AAAACCTCTACCTCCCTAAGAAAAACCTCTACCTCCCTAAGAAAAACCTCTACCTCCCCCTACCTCCCTAAGAAAAACCTCTACCTCCCTAAGAAAAACCTCTACCTCCCTAAGAAAAACCTCTACCTCCCTAAGAAAAACCTCTACCTCCCTAAAAAAAACCTCTACCTCCCTAAGAAAAACCTCTACCTCCCTAAGAAAAACCTCTACCTCCCTAAGAAAAACCTCTACCTCCCTAAGAAAAACCTCTACCTCCCTAAGAAAAACCTCTACCTCCCTAAGAAAAACCTCTACCTCCCTAAGAAAAACCTCTACCTCCCTAAGAAAAACCTCTACCTCCCTAAGAAAAACCTCTACCTCCCTAAGAAAAACCTCTACCTCCCTAAGAAAAACATCAGTGACAATAACGTATGTGGTTCCACTCTCAGTCACAGTAGTAGTACCAGGCAAAGATCCAAGAGTGGTAAATGTAGAAAGACCATCAGATGCCAGTGGAGTCACAGTGACAATTACATATGTAGTGTCACTTCCAGTTGTAGTGGTAGTTCCCTCAGCTGATCCGGTCGTGGTTGACGTAGAGAGACCACCAGATGCCAGTGGAGTCACAGTCACAATTACATATGTAGTGTCACTACCAGTTGTAGTGGTAGTTCCCTCGGCTGATCCGGTCGTGGTTGATGTAGAAAGAACATCAGTGACAATAACGTATGTGGTTCCACTCTCAGTCACAGTAGTAGTACCAGGCAAAGATCCAAGAGTGGTAAATGTAGAAAGACCATCAGATGCCAGTGGAGTCACAGTGACAATTACATATGTAGTGTCACTTCCAGTTGTAGTGGTAGTTCCCTCAGCTGATCCGGTCGTGGTTGACGTAGAGAGACCATCAGATGCCAGTGGAGTCACAGTCACAATTACATATGTAGTGTCACTTCCAGTTGTAGTGGTAGTTCCCTCAGCTGATCCGGTCGTGGTTGACGTAGAGAGACCACCAGATGCCAGTGGAGTCACAGTCACAATTACATATGTAGTGTCACTACCAGTTGTAGTGGTAGTTCCCTCAGCTGATCCGGTCGTGGTTGACGTAGAAAGACCATCAGATGCCAGTGGGGTCACAGTCACAATTACATATGTAGTGTCACTTCCAGTTGTAGTGGTAGTTCCCTCAGCTGATCCGGTCGTGGTTGACGTAGAGAGACCACCAGATGCCAGTGGAGTCACAGTCACAATTACATATGTAGTGTCACTACCAGTTGTAGTGGTAGTTCCCTCAGCTGATCCGGTCGTGGTTGATGTAGAAAGAACATCAGTGACAATAACGTATGTGGTTCCACTCTCAGTCACAGTAGTAGTACCAGGCAAAGATCCAAGAGTGGTAAATGTAGAAAGACCATCAGATGCCAGTGGAGTCACAGTGACAATTACATATGTAGTGTCACTTCCAGTTGTAGTGGTAGTTCCCTCAGCTGATCCGGTCGTGGTTGACGTAGAGAGACCACCAGATGCCAGTGGAGTTACAGTCACAATTACATATGTAGTGTCACTACCAGTTGTAGTGGTAGTTCCCTCAGCTGATCCGGTCGTGGTTGACGTAGAAAGACCACCAGATGCCAGTGGAGTCACAGTCACAATTACATATGTAGTGTCACTTCCAGTTGTAGTGGTAGTTCCCTCGGCTGATCCGGTCTTGGTTGATGTAGAAAGAACATCAGTAACTCTCACATATGTGGTTCCACTCTCAGTAACAGTCTCAGTACCAGACAGTGGTCCAAGAGTAGTCGAAGTCGAAAGAACATCAGTAACTCTCACATATGTAGTACCACTCTCAGTAACAGTCTCAGTACCAGACAGTGGTCCAAGAGTAGTCGAAGTCGAAAGAACATCAGTAACTCTCACATATGTGGTTCCACTCTCAGTAACAGTCTCAGTACCAGACAGTGGTCCAAGAGTAGTTGATGTGGAAAGAACATCAGTGACTCTCACATATGTAGTACCACTCTCAGTAACAGTCTCAGTACCAGACAGTGGTCCAAGAGTAGTCGAAGTCGAGAGAACATCAGTGACTCTCACATATGTAGTACCACTCTCAGTAACAGTCTCAGTACCAGACAGTGGTCCAAGAGTAGTCGAAGTCGAAAGAACATCAGTGACTCTCACATATGTAGTACCACTCTCAGTAACAGTCTCAGTACCAGACAGTGGTCCAAGAGTGGTTGATGTAGAAAGGACATCAGTGACTCTCACATATGTGGTTCCACTTTCGGTCACAGTCTCAGTACCAGACAGTGGTCCAAGAGTGGTTGATGTAGAAAGGACATCAGTGACTCTAACATATGTGGTTCCGCTTTCGGTCACAGTCTCAGTACCAGACAGTGGTCCAAGAGTGGTTGATGTAGAAAGGACATCAGTGACTCTAACATATGTGGTTCCACTTTCGGTCACAGTCTCAGTACCAGACAGTGGTCCAAGAGTGGTTGATGTAGAAAGGACATCAGTGACTCTAACATATGTGGTTCCGCTTTCGGTCACAGTCTCAGTACCAGACAGTGGTCCAAGAGTAGTCGAAGTCGAGAGAACATCAGTGACTCTCACGTATGTAGTACCACTCTCAGTAACAGTCTCAGTACCAGACAGTGGTCCAAGAGTGGTTGATGTAGAAAGGACATCAGTGACTCTAACATATGTGGTTCCACTCTCGGTCACAGTCTCAGTACCAGACAGTGGTCCAAGAGTAGTCGAAGTCGAGAGAACATCAGTGACTCTCACGTATGTAGTACCACTCTCAGTAACAGTCTCAGTACCAGACAGTGGTCCAAGAGTAGTTGATGTGGAAAGAACATCAGTGACTCTCACATATGTAGTACCACTCTCAGTAACAGTCTCAGTACCAGACAGTGGTCCAAGAGTAGTCGAAGTCGAGAGAACATCAGTGATTCTAACATATGTGGTTCCGCTTTCGGTCACAGTTTCAGTACCAGACAGTGGTCCAAGAGTAGTCGAAGTCGAAAGAACATCAGTGACTCTCACATATGTAGTACCACTCTCAGTAACAGTCTCAGTACCAGACAGTGGTCCAAGAGTGGTTGATGTAGAAAGGACATCAGTGACTCTCACGTATGTGGTTCCACTCTCGGTCACAGTCTCAGTACCAGACAGTGGTCCAAGAGTAGTCGAAGTCGAGAGAACATCAGTGACTCTCACGTATGTGGTTCCACTCTCAGTAACAGTCTCAGTACCAGACAGTGGTCCAAGAGTGGTTGATGTAGAAAGGACATCAGTGACTCTAACATATGTGGTTCCACTTTCGGTCACAGTCTCAGTACCAGACAGTGGTCCAAGAGTGGTTGATGTAGAAAGGACATCAGTGACTCTAACATATGTGGTTCCGCTTTCGGTCACAGTCTCAGTACCAGACAGTGGTCCAAGAGTAGTCGAAGTCGAGAGAACATCAGTGACTCTCACGTATGTAGTACCACTCTCAGTAACAGTCTCAGTACCAGACAGTGGTCCAAGAGTGGTTGATGTAGAAAGGACATCAGTGACTCTAACATATGTGGTTCCACTCTCGGTCACAGTCTCAGTACCAGACAGTGGTCCAAGAGTAGTCGAAGTCGAGAGAACATCAGTGACTCTCACGTATGTGGTTCCACTCTCAGTAACAGTCTCAGTACCAGACAGTGGTCCAAGAGTGGTTGATGTAGAAAGGACATCAGTGACTCTAACATATGTGGTTCCACTTTCGGTCACAGTCTCAGTACCAGACAGTGGTCCAAGAGTGGTTGATGTAGAAAGGACATCAGTGACTCTAACATATGTGGTTCCGCTTTCGGTCACAGTCTCAGTACCAGACAGTGGTCCAAGAGTAGTCGAAGTCGAGAGAACATCAGTGACTCTCACGTATGTAGTACCACTCTCAGTAACAGTCTCAGTACCAGACAGTGGTCCAAGAGTGGTTGATGTAGAAAGGACATCAGTGACTCTAACATATGTGGTTCCACTCTCGGTCACAGTCTCAGTACCAGACAGTGGTCCAAGAGTAGTCGAAGTCGAGAGAACATCAGTGACTCTCACGTATGTGGTTCCACTCTCAGTAACAGTCTCAGTACCAGACAGTGGTCCAAGAGTAGTCGAAGTCGAAAGAACATCAGTGACTCTCACGTATGTGGTTCCACTTTCGGTCACAGTCTCAGTACCAGACAGTGGTCCAAGAGTGGTTGATGTAGAAAGGACATCAGTGACTCTAACATATGTGGTTCCACTCTCAGTAACAGTCTCAGTACCAGACAGTGGTCCAAGAGTAGTTGATGTGGAAAGAACATCAGTGACTCTCACATATGTAGTACCACTCTCAGTAACAGTCTCAGTACCAGACAGTGGTCCAAGAGTAGTCGAAGTCGAAAGAACATCAGTAACTCTCACATATGTGGTTCCACTCTCAGTAACAGTCTCAGTACCAGACAGTGGTCCAAGAGTAGTCGAAGTCGAAAGAACATCAGTGACTCTCACATATGTGGTTCCACTCTCAGTAACAGTCTCAGTACCAGACAGTGGTCCAAGAGTAGTCGAAGTCGAGAGAACATCAGTGATTCTAACATATGTGGTTCCACTCTCAGTCACAGTTTCAGTACCAGACAGTGGTCCAATAGTAGTGGAGGTAGAGTAAGGAACTTGAATTTCCACAATTCTAATTCCGCTTGAGTCTGTTGTAGTTGTTTCCGAAGAGTATGGGTTGGTCCATGTAGTGGTGACTGTGGTGACTGATCTTGGAACTAAGACTTCAATTGTATTGGTTGAAACGCCTATGGCAGTGGTAAGCGAAGGAGTATTTATGTCATCTCTAGTGATGGTGGTGACGACAATCGGCTTGACGTTACCAGTTCCATTGGGGTCTAGATCGTTGTAAGACAGCCATGTGACTGTCTGGGAAAATGCCTGCTTACCGCAGATTCCACTGCCCGAGTATATATCTTGATACTGACCTGTAAAGACGTTGGAAAAACCCACGATGTATGGCCTGTATCCAGGAGGTAGGTCGGTGAAAGTCGCGACGATGGAAGAAGGGCTACAGGTGTAAGTGATGCTACCACCACCTGCAGTGGTCAAAGCCTGTGATGGGAATTGCCATGCGTTGAAACTGTTGGACAAGTAGGCACCAGATTGCGAACAATCGAATTGAACTTGACCGCCCAGCGCCATTGTGATCGTTCCGGACATCGGTTGGTCACACTTGGGACCCTGGTAGTAATGTTCCATCTGCTGTAAACGAGTCAACTTTCTGGTCATATAAGAACCCTGGTCAGGATTTGACTGAATAGAGTATGCTCCAGCACTCATTGTCACTGTGAAAGTAAGGTCTGCACCGTCCTGGAAAGTTACTAAATTTTGGCCAGGAGTCCATAGGGTGGCGGCTGCCAAATCCTGTGGAGAATTCGTCATTCCTGGGTTGAAAGTGAAAGGGAAAGTTATGGTACCATCAGCCTCTGCTACAGTTGTGACAGCTGGCAATGCCGTACAAGAAATCAGTGAGTATGGAAGTAAATTTTCTCCTGAGGTCAAGGTACATGTGGCATAGTTGGTGCCCCCTGAAGACAACGCAAGAGTGTTTGTCGTGGAAGTAAACTTGAACACATTAGGAAGTGTTAACGTAAATGTATCGCCAGGTGCGACTTGTGAGGAATCAATTTTCCATGCAACAGTTGCTTGCCATGAAGGTATATGAGGCTGCTGGTTGCTAGGAGGCACGATGTTGTTGATGGCTGTAAACACCCCGGTGACTTGCGCCGAAAGAACGGTGGATGCAAGCCACAAGAGCAGCAAAAACTGAAAAATCAGCATGAGTTTTGAACAAAATTTTGGCAAATATGCGGAATGCGGCTTGCTTATGGCCTTTTATTCTTGGGATGCCCATCCTAATACCAGTCATGGACGTTTTTTCCTCATTTGCATCTGGCCGCAATGCACCAAATTAACAAAAGCAAATGCACCTTCTTTCCATGCATGCGTTATGTGTCCTGCGGAGAGGTAGCCCCATAAACTTCGACGTATAACGTATGTGAGGTGCTTGTATATCCTCGCAATATTGAGTGGCCGAGACTTCTTTCGAGTACCGCCTCAAGGTTTTTGAAATCAATTCACACTCACCCTAAGTCTCTGGATACCTTATACTTGATTGCCTGAATAACTTTGGGCGGAATAGCTGCAGGAACTGATGTATTTGAGAGGCTTTATCCGGCACCGAGGCAATATATGTACAGGACCTCGAAACTTTATGTCCCCCCTCAACTATAGGCTTGTCTTGCTTGACGCTCAAACCCTTGTGGGACACTTCTATGCTGCCCAATATGCCTGTATGTGTGTATAATGACAAATCCCGTTGTGGTCAATTGGTACCTTCTGCTGCAGCTATCTGAATGGGCCACTGGTGTGCAATGCTAGATTCACACAACGTTTGTTCTCTTCCTCTAACAAAGGGGCCCGACAAACTGCAGACTTCGTATAAAATGACAGCATTCGATCCCTGTAGATCTCACAAAATCTTGGTGTTGAGATTTAATCTTGTACTGGCATGGTAAATGCTGCCCGATTGGACATATACGCTGATTGGGCTACTCTTCCTCCCCGTAAGGCGTGGGGCATCGATTACAAATGAAAAAGAAACCTCAATTGTGACCATAACGATGACGTCGAGTAGGTTAATTCTTGGATTGCTTCATGCAGCAATATGCATAATTTATGCAGAGTCGCTTACTTAAACAGTTTTTCCTCAGAATACTGTAATAGGCATTGCCAGAGATGTCTCCATTATGAAACAAAAACCATACATTGGACGACAATACTCTCGGATCTCATTGCGGTGGTATCAATATGGTCCAATGTGAAGTTTTTACATGTACGGAAACAACATAAGACCATAGAAAGAATGGTGGCAGGTGGCAACCGTCAAATGGCTCTTCCCACTTAACGCATTACACGTGCAATTTAAGCGACATGCTTTTCAGAAGAAACTCTAAGTGGATGGGCGAATTGATATAGCCGACGTACATGAATGTGGTAGTATTCTGAGTTGAACCTTGCTGGTGGTGTTTAGAAAATATTGGTCACAAGTGTGTTTTCAAAATCAGGCTTGTATACCCAATTAATATTGTTCTATTTTTTTTTTTCACTTACATAAAGAATTTTCCGAAGTATGCTGAACAAAGAGATCTTTTGTAAATTCGGTCCTCCCTGCGCCATTCAGTACATTGTAACATTTTTCTCAGAACATAACCTTAAATTACCTCCGTAATTCGGTACATTAGCCGCAAATGAAGTTTTGGGCGGCCACCGTCGTAAACGAAGAGGGTATTGTTGTTTCAGCAAATCTGGGTAGACGGTATTCTACTGCCTATAATTTTATTCATGTGATGTGCTCCCGTCCCTATGGATGCACAACGTCCCTATGATCGAACCAGAAAATCTGAAGCCGGGAAATCCTGTATAGTCTCCCAAAAATATTGCGATTGTGAGCACTTCCCACCCTTGAAAAGTTCGCGAACATGCTTCCATGGGTCGCGCAATTTATAGGTAACCATGAGTTGCGCAATTTGTAGGTGGGCTTGAGGCGAGAATTAGGGGAATCTTATTTCAGAAGTCTTCCAATTTGATTAAATATTCATATCCTTGACTGTTCTCTGGAAGTACTGCCCCTATCTGCAAGGTAATGTGTGAGTGTGAGATAGCATGTCGATATATGCATCTGTGATGATGAGAGAGGCAGACTGAAACTCCAACTGATAGGATCGAATGTTTGGACCGGCCAGGGTATGCATAAATGGCTCGACCGTTTTTTTCCCGTTTCATGGTTTTGTGTCACACGGCCTTTCAAACACCGATTACTATCGTTGGTTTACTTGAGGTTGTTGTTTGCCTTCTTTGACAGATTCCCATAACATTGCATACTTGGATAACTCGGACTTTAATATGGGTATCTATGATGGCTCCCACATGGTTAAGAATAGTTGTGGGTAACAATGAGAACCCGCCGAAAAGGAAGGTGGGTTTCCGCTGATGAGCGCCACTATCAGAGACATGTAGGAGCATTGATTGTAGACATGCGGTGGCTGATTAGACTAAACATGCGCACTATTGTAGTGAGTGAGAAATCTGGAGTTTTTGGATAATGCACAATATATCACGGAAACACTGTTGGAGGTATAGTATAACTTTGAAGGATTTGGGGGTTTGCATTCATTGAAATTATTAGCAAAGATTCTGAAAAATTAGAAAAGCATTTAAGTTTTTTAAAATCAGAAAGTAGTAAATTAGAAAAAGAAGTAGATCTAATGATTTTATGTTATATGTTCGACTGTTGGCTTGGAAAATTTATTACCCGGTTTTAATTGAAGCTTACGTTCTCATTCGTATGTACATTCACTGCCAACCAAAATCCCTCAAACAACCTCTTTAAAATTAGTTGGATGTATTAAAAATAATCCAAAACTATTTACTAATAATTTCGTGTGTTTGATTTTTATTGACAGTTTTTGTTATTTTGAGAATTTGACATACGACTGCGAATTTGTACATACTTGAAATTCTTGCTTAGAAATCCAAAAAACATCAAACTACGAGATTCAAAATATCAACTGGTCTCTTATCGATCCACAATATCCACACCTACATCATTCCGGAAGTGACGCCTACAGTTACTGAAACTTTTTTTCACCCCTGATGAGAGCAGTTTAGAAAGGCAGGGAATGAAAGCTTCAACAGCTCACGAGCCCGAGATATCGAATCATGAGAAGCACAATCGTATCCAAATCGAAAGGGTTCGGATCGCTCCAAGACGGAAGTTCTGAAGATGTCGACAATGGGAGCATCTCTCGCACGAAGAAACGCAAAAGTGAATAATTCCTAAAGGTGGCATAAAAGCTACCAAAACAAATTACGATGCTGGCCACAGAAACATATGAGGGAATATTAATAAATATTCACTGAAATCACAATTGAATTATGAATAGTTGACCAAGAATAAGGGAGCCTTGCAATGAAACATATCTCAGTGGCTGCCTACTCTCCACTGAAACATACATTCATCGTGCTTGCTTCAGACCTCTAAAGTGGCGAGAAGTTCACCCCAACAATTCTCCTATAGGCTCTCTATGTATATATTCTTGGTCTCCGCCACCTTTCTTGCCACACTCTCATTAAACGTGGTATTGTGCATTGGAATGTTCTTGGTGGGGTGAGTGGGGAAAACCATGCAAAGCTATGCATTTCGCAACATCATTGTCACATCTCCGATTTCTTTATTATCCATCTCCATCTCATGATTTCCTTTCAACCAACCATCCCTGAAGAGAACTAATATGGTTCCAAGAGGAATTTATACTCCTATTCCAACTTTCTTCAAGAAAGACTGTAAGACCATTGACTTCGACACTCAAACAAAGCATGCCCAATTCTTGAAGGATAATGGCATCTCAGGAGTAGTCGTCATGGGTTCCACTGGAGAGCTTGCACACCTTACCCGGGATGAAAGGGCACTGGTTGTGTCTAACATTCACAAAACCGTACCTGGTCTCGTGATCATGGGCGGTGTTGGTCAACACTGTTTAGAGGATGCTTTAGCTGAAATTCTGTCTTTGAAGAATGCTGGGGCTACCCATGCACTTGTATTACCCAGCTCTTACTATGGTGCTTCACTCAAGCAGCAGGGAATCATTGACTGGTACACGGAGGTGGCAGACAAGTCTGAGTTGCCCTTGCTTGTGTACATTTACCCCGGAGTGTGCAACAATGTAGTGGTGGAGCCAACAACAATTGTTACGCTTTCCAAACATCCCAAAATTGTTGGCACCAAGCTTTCCCACGGAGACATATCTCACTATATCTCTATTGGACTAAACGAAGAAGTGAAGAAGAATGTTTTTGCATGTTTTACAGGGTTGGGACAAATCTTACTTCCAGCCCTCTCTGTAGGATTCCAAGGCACAGTGGATGCCTTGAGTGGAGCCTTCCCAAAACTTTATGTGAACATAATGAAAAGCTATGATGCTGGAGACTTGGAAACTGCCCGTAAATTGCAATACGTGGCGACTAGAGGTGAAGAGTTGGTTGTGAGATACGGAGTTGTGGGGATCAAGAAGGCTATCTACACTGCAACGGGATTTGGAGAAACCTACTTGGGCCGGGCCCCATTAAACCAGGATGTTGCTCTTGACTGGGATGTATATGCCCACTATTTGGTTGCTTGTGCTGAAGTGGAGGCAACTTTGTAAGTACAAGCCGGGACAAGCACGCCTTTGGAAAGTAGAAGGCAATTGCCAGACATAAAAAGATATGAATCTAGTAGTGAAATGATCTAATTAAAATCAGGAGTTGAAGAATGACGAAAACAGAAAGTAGATAATGCATACTGTTATGGAAGTTTCTTGCCTCCAATATTACAACTTATGTGGGCGCACAATCATCCTTGCGCACTTCTTATAAAGCATCCACAATAGCAATGTCCAAATCTCCATGTATTCCATCTTAGACACCCATGTCCATTTGATGGCAGATGTCCACGACTACTGGAATTGGAATTGCCCACATCCATTGGCAGGAAACCACCGTCTTGACGAATATGCTGCCGAATCCCATGATCTTTCAATCAAGTCAAGATTCACTGTTGATGGCTTGATCTGGATCGAGGCAGACGCCAAATATGAACTTGATAAAGGTTTGGAAGGCGTTAGAAACCCTATAGAAGAATGCCAGTTTGTACTGAGATATATTAGTGGAACCAGATCGGGAGAAGGAACTACCAATGCAGAATTCATCAAAGCATTGGTTCCGTGGGCACCGATTCCATGGGGTTATAAGGTGCAATTATACGTTGACGAGTTGAAAAAGGAGCTTGGACAAGAATTCAGTCATGTGAAGGCATTTCGTTTTCTCGTTCAGGACAAACCTTCTGGAACAATTGTTGACTCTGCGTTTATTGATGGATTGAGATGGATGGATGCACACAATTATGCTTTTGATTGGGGAATCGATGTACACAACAGCGGCTTGTGGCAATTTCGAGAATCGTTGGAAGTGTTCAATCAGGTGCCCCATTTGAGGTATATAATTAACCATTTGACAAAACCTAATCTTGAGTTGGGTTTGGACGTCGAAAGCACTGAGCAGTTCATACTTTGGAAGTCATACATGAAGAAAATATTCGAAGCGACTCCAAATTCATATATGAAGCTCTCTGGTGGATTTTCTGAACTAGAAGAGAAACTCACTAGCGAAGAGATCGTGGATCGAGTTTACCCGTGGTTCAAGGTGACTTTTGACCTCTGGGGTGTTGACAGAACGATATGGGCCAGCAACTGGCCCGTATGCGCCATTAATTCAGGACCAAATTTGGTTGCCAAGTGGTTTACTATAACTGAGAGACTATTCGACAAAGTAGGGGTTGAAGAAGATGATAGGCAGAAGATATATAACGGCAATTGGCTCAAAGCATATAGGTGATTGAATTCCAGGATTCTAAGTTGCAGTTTCTCAGTTAATCGGTCAGTCGGTCAATCGGTACTCGTTACGAGTTTTTTGCTACGTTATGCTAGATTCAAGTCTCTATGCCTATATAGCCTCTATTGGAAATTCACAAACGCTCCTCCGTCCACCAAAAGTTGTGCTCCACTCATATACTTTGACATGTCACTAGCCAAGAACACTGCTGGTCCGGCAAGATCCTCGGGCTCGCCTAGCCTTCCCAAAGGAATCCGACCTTCCATATATACTCTCTTTTCCGGATCGCTCAAATCCTCTTCATTCAACGCCGTCTTGATGGTGCCTGGGAGTAATGCATTGCATCTGATTCCATACTTACCAAGTGCACATGCTGTCAGCTGAATCAAGGAGAGAATGCCTGCCTTGGTTGGTGTGTAATGAGTCTGAAAGGCTCCACCAACAAGCGCAGAGATGGACAGCACTGCTATTATACTTCCACCTTTACCTTGCAACTTCATCTGCTTGGCAGCAGCCTGTATGGCAAAGAATGCTCCGTTGAGGTTGATATCTATCGTGCGGTAGTAAGTTTCCCTGTTGATCTCCGTGAACTCAGCGAATTCGCAAATCCCAGCGTTGGATACAAATACATCAAGGTGGCCAAACCTAGCGACAGTTTCCTTAACCAAATTATCCGAGGTTTCGGGTTTAGAAATATCACCAACCACTCCCAAAAAATTTTCCTTTCCCATTTGTTTTTCAAGTTCCATTGCAAGCTGAGTCTGTGATTCAAGATGGTTAACCACAACTTTAGCGCCGTTGGCAGCCATTCCAACGGCAATTGCACGTCCAATTCCCGTAACACCACCTGTAATCGCAACTACCTTTCCCAGAAGCATCTGGTGAATGTTCAAATGATTCTTCTTATTCTGTTTTAGAGGATGATCGTGGTGTATTTATATGCCCCGCCTTGGCAAATGATTTCTGCGGGGGCGGATCTCGCGACAAAGATATTGCGTGAAAGTATCCACGCTGATACCCCACCACTCCGATCTGATCTCTCCATCCTCTACATTTCAAAGAAAATAAGAAAATTCATTCGGTGCTTGATTAGTATATGTCATACACTACCGTTCTTCTCTTTCTCCACCTTCAATGGCCTCTCTGGGTTAGGAGATAAAATGTACTCAGCATCAATCAACTCGACCTTAGGGTTCAAGGTCAAACCAAAACCCGGCTTGTCGAACATTGTGGCATCCAAAAATCCCTTTGTTGGAACCGGCTCATCAATAAACAAGTTGCCAAAAACTGGCAACACCGCGGTTGAGTCGGGAGAGTTGGCAAGGTACTCTTGGAATGGAGTATTCTGCTGGGAAATCACAAAATGGTACGAGTATGGACCTGAAGCGTGAGGAACTACTGGGATATCGTAAGCAGCAGCTTGTGCTGCCACTTTCAAAATCTCCGTCATACCTCCAACCCACATGACATCAGGTTGTAAGATGTCGATGTTTCTGCCCTCAATGAGCTTTCTGAAGCCGTAACGAGTATATTCATGCTCACCAGTAGTCCACTTCATGCGTGGATGTGCTCTTTTCAACAATTCAAAGCCCTCAATGTCGTCAGGGTGCAAAACTTCCTCAAACCAGTTGATGTTTAATGACTCAGTAGCGCTGGCTAACTCAATGGCGTATGGGACCGTCAACGACATGTAGCAATCTACCATTAGTGGGAAGTCTTGACCCACAGCTTCTCGGTGTTTTCTCAAGAATTCTACGTTTTTCTTGAGCCCCACATGTCCCTCATCTGGACCATATGGAAGTGCAACCTTACCTCCCCAGAATCCCATCTCCTTCGCGGCAACAGGGTTGCACCCAGTACAGTAAAAGTCAATGCGTTCCTTGGTAGCACCTCCAATCATCTTGTAAACTGGTTCATTTCTTATCTTGCCCAACAAGTCCCAGAGAGCCAAGTCTACCACAGATATGACTGCGATTGGCAACCCTTTTCTGCCATAGAACATCAGTGCTCGAAACATCTTATCCCACAAGATGTTATAGTCTCTAGGGTCTGCCCCTTCTAAGAATCTGAGAAAGTGGTGCTTAACGAGCCAACAGGCTGGTGGACCTCCAAAACCTGTAGCAAATCCCTTGGTTCCATCAGTGGCCTCAATTTCCACACAAAAAGATCCCAAAACATTGATTCCCCAGCTTACTCGGGAGGACCTGTACTCTTTGTACTTGGACATAGGGTTTGAAATGGGACTATCAATGAGCCAATGTCCAGACTCGACATTGTGATAATCACCTCCGATTCCTTTTCCGTCCAATAGGAACGTTCTAACAGTTTTGATAGTTAGAAATTTGGACATTGTTATGCTGTTTAAAACATGTCCAGCCAATGGTTTAAGTATACGTGGAGTGCGGGCGAAAGATGATGCGGCCCTGGTGGGGGTAATTGAGAATGCGGGACTTGGTAAAAGCTTTCGCACCGAAAAAATATGGGGTATCTTTCTGTCGGCAACAGTGGAAATTCGTGGGAGCTATATGTTCTCTTTGGTGGTCGTTATATTCCACGTTTAAATTTGAGTAAGCATAAATAAGTTGCATTGATTTTTTATCAACAAGATTTTTGCCCTTTTATTGAGACTATTAATATGAGGACTGATTTGTGGTTCTAAGACCTCTCTTGAGCTATTTGGCCCCAAGAGCCTGTGAAGTGAATACATCATCGTACAAATAAACAAATATATTGAAAAGTTGAAAGTTATCCTTACAATAACATGAATCTCCATGAATATAAACAAATGAAAGTGATTAAACCAAAATGACAAAAAGGGCCGCAACAACAGCAAGGAATCCGAAGGTGGTAGTATGTGCCTTACTCTCGGTAACTGCTGTTGGTACCTGGCCATGCAAAGTTGTGGAGTTTGAGCTCGACGACATCGTTTCAATTGAATTGACACTGTTGGATACGACGGACGAAAATGTCAGCTCCACATAAGGTATCGATGAGGTCTTCTCCACCATATACTCGAAGTCTTGCGAGTAGTTCAGGTCGCTTGTAGTTGTTTGCGAGCCTGACAACGGACAATAAGTGGTGTAGGAGGTAACCACATCATTCTCGGTAACGGTGACAATAGTAACTCCAGTGGTGATCGAGCTGGTGCTACAGATATTGTCGCTGTTGCAGGAAGTGGTTGCAATAACCGTCTCCTGAATTGTATCAGCGCCCGGCATTGATTGCAGTAAGGGGCAGTATGTTGTGAAGGAAGTAGCAACTCCATTGACAGAGGTTGTGACAATTGCCACTCCTGTGGTGAAAACTGTCTCTGAGATCTTATTCTCATCTGTCAATGGACAATATGTGGTGTATGAAGTTACAACTCCTTGTACCGTAGTGGTCAAGACAGCAACTCCAGTACTGACTGTAGCAGTCAGAATGGGTGATAACGTCGATGGACTGGCCCTTGGTACCACGGAAGCTTCCGTAAGCGGGCAGTATGTGGTGTAAGAGGTGACTTTACCATGAACAGTGGTAGTAACAACGGAGACGCCAGTGGTGATGACTGTTGACTTCTTAGAATCGGATAATGGACAGTAAGTAGTGTATGATGTCACATGACCATTGATAGTGGTAGTGACAATTGTAGCTCCAGTAGTGATTGTCGTTTTCAGAACAGAAGATGAATACACGGAAATATGAGCTGTTTCATGAGCATCTGTACTTTCAGTATCAGTTCCGACAGTGTTAATTCCAGCGGTGTTAGTTTCAGCGGTGTTCGTTCCAATTGTGTTGGTACCAGCGGTGTTAGTACTGTCAGTATCTGTGCCAACAGTGTTCGTTCCAATTGTGTTAGTTTCAGCTGTGTTAGTTCCAACGGTGTTCGTTCCAATTGTGTTGGTACCAGCGGTGTTAGTTCCAGCGGTGTTAGTTCCAGCGGTGTTAGTTCCAGCGGTGTTAGTTCCAACTGAGTTAGTTTCAGCGGTGTTAGTTCCAACGGTGTTCGTTCCAATTGTGTTGGTACCAGCGGTGTTCGTTCCAGCGGTGTTAGTTCCAGCGGTGTTAGTTCCAACGGTGTTCGTTCCAGCTGAGTTAGTTCCAACTGAGTTAGTTTCAGCGGTGTTAGTTCCAACGGTGTTCGTTCCAATTGTGTTGGTACCAGCGGTGTTAGTTCCAGCGGTGTTAGTTCCAGCGGTGTTAGTTCCAGCGGTGTTAGTTCCAACGGTGTTCGTTCCAATTGTGTTGGTACCAGCGGTGTTCGTTCCAGCGGTGTTAGTTCCAGCGGTGTTAGTTCCAACGGTGTTCGTTCCAGCTGAGTTAGTTCCAACTGAGTTAGTTTCAGCGGTGTTAGTTCCAACGGTGTTCGTTCCAATTGTGTTGGTACCAGCGGTGTTAGTTCCAGCGGTGTTAGTTCCAACGGTGTTAGTTCCAGCGGTGTTGGTACCGGCAGTATCTGTGCCAACAGTGTTCGTTCCAATTGTGTTGGTACCAGCGGTGTTAGTACCGGCAGTATCTGTGCCAACAGTGTTCGTTCCAATTGTGTTGGTACCAGCGGTGTTAGTTCCAGCGGTGTTAGTACCGGCAGTATCTGTGCCAACAGTGTTCGTTCCAATTGTGTCGGTACCAGCGGTGTTAGTTCCAGCTGTGTTAGTTCCAGCGGTGTTAGTTCCAGCGGTGTTAGTTCCAGCGGTGTTGGTACCGGCAGTATCTGTGCCAACAGTGTTGGTTTCAGTTGTGTTGGTACCAACGGTGTTAGTAACGGCAGCATTAGGGCTGATGGTATTGGAGGTATCGATACTTAGTGTACTCGATTGGAAGTTGTCGTTTGTTGAATCACTTTGTGGAACAGTAACGTCACTCACGGTAGAAGCCAAAGCTGCAATACTCTGGGGAGTCGGATTAATGTCAGTAGAACTGTGAGGAGCACTTTCTGTACTGACGTCTTTGTCTGGTGTTACTGAGCCTCTAGAAGTTCCAATTTCTTGAGCAGTTGTTTCAGATGCGACAACTTCAGAAGTTCCCGACGAAACTAGGCTGACCTGTGAAACGAGACTAGATTCAAAGCTTGATTCAACAGGAGATTCTGATTCTGCAGCACTCAGACTGAAGCCGTCCTCCACTACAGAAGTCCTTGAACTGACATCAGGTATAGGAGCAGTATATCCGCTGGCATAGGAAACTGTAAAATCGGCTCCGGCAACAGTATGGGGCGTAACAGAGTATTCAGGAATGCTGAAATCAACTGTCTGAGGAACACCAATATCCAATGAGTGCGGTAACTTGGTTTTGCTCAGAGAGTCAGCTTCAACCACAGAGGTACTTGAACTGACATCAGGTATAGGAGCAGTGTATCCGCTGGCATAGGAAACTGTAAAATCGGCTCCGGCAACAGTATGGGGCGTAACAGAGTATTCAGGAATGCTGAAATCAACTGTCTGAGGAACACCAATATCCAATGAGTGCGGTAACTTGGTTTTGCTCAGAGAGTCAGCTTCAACCACAGAGGTACTTGAACTGACATCAGGTATAGGAGCAGTGTATCCGCTGGCATAGGAAACTGTAAAATCGGCTCCGGCAACAGTATGGGGCGTAACAGAGTATTCAGGAATGCTGAAATCAACTGTCTGAGGAACACCAATATCCAATGAATGCGGTAACTTGGTTTTGCTCAGAGAGTCAGCTTCAGCCACAGAGGTACTTGAACTGACATCAGGTATAGGAGCAGTATATCCGCTGGCATAGGAAACTGTAAAATCAACTCCAGCAACAGTATGGGGCGTAACAGAGTATCCAGGAATACTGTTGTCGTCTGTGTGAACGAGATCACTTTCTGCTGGCTGCAATGACTTGCTCGTGCTGAAATTGATCAGTTCAGGAGTTAAATCTTCGCTTGGGATACTGGCTTTATTGGTAGCAAAGGTTTCACCAGTAGTATGAGCAGTGTAGCCACTGGCTTCAGAAACGGTGAAATCTTCAGCCGCAAGTGATGTGGATCTTTTAGAAGACTTAGAGGCACCAGACAGATCAGATGCGTCCAATACAACAGTTGATGAAATAGCACCAGAAACGTCAGAATGAGCAGATACATCAGATGTACTAGCAGAAGCATTGGAAACATTGGTGCTACCGGAGCCAGCTGAAATATCAGAGGCATCAGAGCTATTAGAAGCATCAGAAGGAGTAGAAGCAACAGAAGCTTCAGAGACAGCAGAGCTATTAGAAGTAGCAGTAGCAGTAGAAGCATCAGAAGCATCAGAAGCAGCAGAAGCATCAGAGGCATCCGAAACAGTAGAAGCATCAGAAGCACCAGAAGCAGTAGAAGCAGTAGAAGCATCAGAAGCAGTAGAAGCACCAGAAGCATCAGAAGCACCAGAGCTAATAGAAGCACCAGAGCTAATAGAAGCATCAGAAGCATCAGAAGCAGTAGAAGCAGTAGAAGCTTCAGAAGCAGCAGAGCTAATAGAAGCCTCAGAAGTAGCAGAAGCATCAGAAGCATCAGAGGCATCCGAAACAGTAGACGCATCAGAAGCTTCAGAAGCATCAGAAGCACCAGAAGCAGTAGAAGCATCAGAAGCACCAGAAGCAGGAGAAGCATCAGAGCTAATAGATGCATCGGATGATAAAGGAATATCGGTGCTCACGGTAAAAGCTTCACCAGCAAGAGAAGTTGATCTTGTCTTAGACTTAGAAGCATCAGAGGCATCCGAAACAGTAGAAGCACCAGAAGCACCAGAAGCTTCAGAGTCAGCAGAGCTAATAGAAGCATCAGAAGCATCAGAAGCAGTAGAAGCATCAGAAGCAGCAGAGCTAATAGAAGCATCAGAAGCATCAGAAGCAGTAGAAACAGTAGAAGCACCAGAGCTAATAGAAGCATCAGAAGCAGCAGAGCTAATAGAAGCATCAGAAGCATCAGAAGCATCAGAAGCAGTAGAAGCAGTAGAAGCATCAGAGCTAATAACATCAGAAGCACCAGAAGCAGTAGAAGCATCAGAAGCACCAGAAGCAGTAGAAGCATCAGAGCTAATAGAAGCATCGGATGATAAAGGAATATCGGTGCTCACGGTAAAAGCTTCACCAGCAAGAGAAGTTGATCTTGTCTTAGACTTAGAAGCATCAGAGGCATCCGAAACAGTAGAAGCACCAGAAGCACCAGAAGCTTCAGAGTCAGCAGAGCTAATAGAAGCATCAGAAGCACCAGAAGCACCAGAGCTAATAGAAGCATCAAAAGCAGCAGAAGCATCAGAAGCTTCAGAGGCAGCAGAGCTAATAGAAGCATCAGAAGCAGTAGAAGCATCAGAAGCAGTAGAAGCATCAGAAGCTTCAGAGGAAGCAGAGCTAATAGAAGCATCAGAAGCAGTAGAAGCATCAGAAGCTTCAGAAGCACCAGAAGCACCAGAAGCACCGGAAGCATCAGAAGCATCAGAGGCATCCGAAACAGTAGAAGCATCAGAAGCTTCAGAAGCATCAGAAGTAGCAGAAGCATCAGAGCTAATAACATCAGAAGCTCCAGAAGCAGCAGAGTTAATAGAAGCATCAGAAGCATCAGAAGCAGTAGAAGCATCAGAAGCACCAGAAGCATCAGAAGCACCAGAAGCAGTAGAAGCATCAGAGCTAATAGAAGCATCCGAAACAGTAGAAGCACCAGAAACATCAGAAGCTTCAGAAGTATCAGAGCTAATAGAAGCATCAGAAGCACCAGAAGCACCAGAAGCATCGGATGATAAAGGAATATCGGTGCTCACGGTAAAAGCTTCACCAGCAAGAGAAGTTGATCTTGTCTTAGACTTCGAAGCATCAGAGGCATCCGAAACAGTAGAAGCACCAGAAGCACCAGAAGCACCAGAAGCTTCAGAAGCACCAGAGCTAATAGAAGCATCAGAAGCATCAGAAGCTTCAGAGGCAGCAGAGCTAATAGAAGCATCAGAAGCTTCAAAGTCAGCAGAGCTAAGAGAAGCATCAGAAGCAGTAGAAGCATCAGAAGCAGTAGAAGCATCAGAAGCAGTAGAAGCATCAGAAGCTTCAGAGGCAGCAGAGCTAATAGAAGCATCAGAAGCAGTAGAAGCATCAGAAGCTTCAGAAGCAGCAGAAGCATCAGAAGCACCAGAAGCAGTAGAAGCATCAGAAGCTTCAGAAGCATCAGAAGTAGCAGAAGCATCAGAGCTAATAACATCAGAAGCTCCAGAAGCAGTTGAAGCTTCAAAGCTAATAGATGCATCGGATGATAAAGGAATATCGGTGCTCACGGTAAAAGCTTCACCAGCAAGAGAAGTTGATCTTGTCTTAGACTTAGAAGCATCAGAGGCATCCGAAACAGTAGAAGCACCAGAAGCACCAGAAGCTTCAGAGTCAGCAGAGCTAATAGAAGCATCAGAAGCACCAGAAGCACCAGAGCTAATAGAAGCATCAAAAGCAGCAGAAGCATCAGAAGCTTCAGAGTCAGCAGAGCTAATAGAAGCATCAGAAGCAGTAGAAGCATCAGAGTTGATAGAAGCATCAGAAGCACCAGAAACATCAGAAGCTTCAGAAGTATCAGAGCTAATAGAAGCATCCGAAACAGTAGAAGCATCAGAAGCAGCAGAGCTAATAGAAACATCAGAAGCTTCAAAGTCAGCAGAGCTAATAGAAGCATCAGAAGCACCAGAAGCATCAGAAGCACCAGAAGCAGTAGAAGCAACAGAAACATCAGAAGCATCCGAAACAGTGGAAGCACCAGAAACATCAGAAGCTTCAGAAGTATCAGAGCTAACAGAAGCATCCGAAACAGTAGAAGCATCAGAAGCAGCAGAGCTAATAGAAGCATCAGAAGCATCAGAAGCATCAGAAGCAGTAGAAGCATCAGAAGCTTCAGAGGCAGCAGAGCTAATAGAAGCATCAGAAGCAGCAGAGCTAATAGAAGCATCAGAAGCATCAGAAGCAGCAGAGCTAATAGAAGCATCAGAAGCTTCAAAGTCAGCAGAGCTAAGAGAAGCATCAGAAGCAGTAGAAGCTTCAGAAGCTTCAGAGGCAGCAGAGCTAATAGAAGCATCAGAAGCAGTAGAAGCATCAGAAGCTTCAGAGGCAGCAGAGCTAATAGAAGCATCAGAAGCAGTAGAAGCATCAGAAGCTTCAGAGCTAATAGAAGCAGTAGAAGCATCAGAGTTAATAGAAGCAGTAGAAGCATCAGAGTTAATAGAAGCATCAGAAGCATCAGAAGCAGTAGAAGCATCAGAAGCACCAGAAGCATCAGAAGCACCAGAAGCAGTAGAAGCATCAGAGCTAATAGAAGCATCCGAAACAGTAGAAGCACCAGAAGCAGCAGAGCTAATAGAAGTATCAGAGCTAATAGAAGCATCAGAAGCACCAGAAGCACCAGAAGCACCAGAAGCACCAGAAGCATCGGATGATAAAGGAATATCGGTGCTCACGGTAAAAGCTTCACCAGCAAGAGAAGTTGATCTTGTCTTAGACTTCGAAGCATCAGAGGCATCCGAAACAGTAGAAGCACCAGAAGCACCAGAAGCACCAGAAGCACCAGAAGCTTCAGAAGCACCAGAGCTAATAGAAGCATCAGAAGCAGCAGAGCTAATAGAAGCATCAGAAGCTTCAAAGTCAGCAGAGCTAAGAGAAGCATCAGAAGCAGTAGAAGCATCAGAGTTAATAGAAGCATCAGAAGCATCAGAAGCACCAGAGCTAATAGAAGCATCAGAAGCAGTAGAAGCATCAGAAGCTTCAGAGGCAGCAGAGCTAATAGAAGCATCAGAAGCAGTAGAAGCATCAGAAGCTTCAGAGCTAATAGAAGCAGTAGAAGCATCAGAAGCATCAGAAGCAGTAGAAGCATCAGAAGCTTCAGAGGCAGCAGAGCTAATAGAAGCATCAGAAGCAGCAGAGCTAATAGAAGCATCAGAAGCAGCAGAGCTAATAGAAGCATCAGAAGCATCAGAAGCAGCAGAGCTAATAGAAGCATCAGAAGCTTCAAAGTCAGCAGAGCTAAGAGAAGCATCAGAAGCAGTAGAAGCATCAGAAGCTTCAGAGGCAGCAGAGCTAATAGAAGCATCAGAAGCAGTAGAAGCATCAGAAGCAGTAGAAGCATCAGAAGCTTCAGAGGCAGCAGAGCTAATAGAAGCATCAGAAGCAGTAGAAGCATCAGAAGCTTCAGAGCTAATAGAAGCAGTAGAAGCATCAGAGTTAATAGAAGCACCAGAAGCTTCAGAAGTAACAGAAACATCAGAGGCATCCGAAACAGTAGAAGCACCAGAAGCACCAGAAGCACCAGAAGCTTCAGAAGCACCAGAGCTAATAGAAGCATCAGAAGCAGCAGAGCTAATAGAAGCATCAGAAGCTTCAAAGTCAGCAGAGCTAAGAGAAGCATCAGAAGCAGTAGAAGCATCAGAGTTAATAGAAGCATCAGAAGCAGCAGAAGCATCAGAAGCACCAGAAGCAGTAGAAGCATCAGAGCTAATAGAAGCATCCGAAACAGTAGAAGCATCAGAAGCAGCAGAGCTAATAGAAGCAGTAGAAGCATCAGAAGCACCAGAAGCATCAGAAGCACCAGAAGCTTCAGAAGTAACAGAAACATCAGAAGCATCCGAAACAGTAGAAGCACCAGAAACATCAGAAGCTTCAGAAGCACCAGAGCTAATAGAAGCTTTAGAAGCAGCAGAGCTAATAGAAGCATCAGAAGCAGTAGAAGCATCAGAGTTGATAGAAGCATCAGAAGCACCAGAAACATCAGAAGCTTCAGAAGTATCAGAGCTAATAGAAGCATCCGAAACAGTAGAAGCATCAGAAGCAGCAGAGCTAATAGAAACATCAGAAGCTTCAGAGTCAGCAGAGCTAATAGAAGCATCAGAAGCATCAGAAGCAGTAGAAGCTTCAGAGTCAGCAGAGCTAATAGAAGCATCAGAAGCATCAGAAGCAGTAGAAGCATCAGAAGCACCAGAAGCACCAGAGCTAATAGAAGCATCAGAAGCAGCAGAGCTAATAGAAGCATCAGAAGCATCAGAAGCAGTAGAAGCAGTAGAAGCATCAGAAGCACCAGAAGCACCAGAAGCACCGGAAGCATCAGAAGCATCAGAGGCATCCGAAACAGTAGAAGCATCAGAAGCTTCAGAAGCATCAGAAGTAGCAGAAGCATCAGAGCTAATAACATCAGAAGCTCCAGAAGCAGTTGAAGCTTCAAAGCTAATAGATGCATCGGATGATAAAGGAATATCGGTGCTCACGGTAAAAGCTTCACCAGCAAGAGAAGTTGATCTTGTCTTAGACTTAGAAGCATCAGAGGCATCCGAAACAGTAGAAGCACCAGAAGCACCAGAAGCTTCAGAGTCAGCAGAGCTAATAGAAGCATCAGAAGCACCAGAAGCACCAGAGCTAATAGAAGCATCAAAAGCAGCAGAAGCATCAGAAGCTTCAGAGGCAGCAGAGCTAATAGAAGCATCAGAAGCAGTAGAAGCATCAGAAGCAGTAGAAGCATCAGAAGCTTCAGAGGAAGCAGAGCTAATAGAAGCATCAGAAGCAGTAGAAGCATCAGAAGCTTCAGAAGCACCAGAAGCACCAGAAGCACCGGAAGCATCAGAAGCATCAGAGGCATCCGAAACAGTAGAAGCATCAGAAGCTTCAGAAGCATCAGAAGTAGCAGAAGCATCAGAGCTAATAACATCAGAAGCTCCAGAAGCAGCAGAGTTAATAGAAGCATCAGAAGCATCAGAAGCAGTAGAAGCATCAGAAGCACCAGAAGCATCAGAAGCACCAGAAGCAGTAGAAGCATCAGAGCTAATAGAAGCATCCGAAACAGTAGAAGCACCAGAAACATCAGAAGCTTCAGAAGTATCAGAGCTAATAGAAGCATCAGAAGCACCAGAAGCACCAGAAGCATCGGATGATAAAGGAATATCGGTGCTCACGGTAAAAGCTTCACCAGCAAGAGAAGTTGATCTTGTCTTAGACTTCGAAGCATCAGAGGCATCCGAAACAGTAGAAGCACCAGAAGCACCAGAAGCACCAGAAGCTTCAGAAGCACCAGAGCTAATAGAAGCATCAGAAGCATCAGAAGCTTCAGAGGCAGCAGAGCTAATAGAAGCATCAGAAGCTTCAAAGTCAGCAGAGCTAAGAGAAGCATCAGAAGCAGTAGAAGCATCAGAAGCAGTAGAAGCATCAGAAGCAGTAGAAGCATCAGAAGCTTCAGAGGCAGCAGAGCTAATAGAAGCATCAGAAGCAGTAGAAGCATCAGAAGCTTCAGAAGCAGCAGAAGCATCAGAAGCACCAGAAGCAGTAGAAGCATCAGAAGCTTCAGAAGCATCAGAAGTAGCAGAAGCATCAGAGCTAATAACATCAGAAGCTCCAGAAGCAGTTGAAGCTTCAAAGCTAATAGATGCATCGGATGATAAAGGAATATCGGTGCTCACGGTAAAAGCTTCACCAGCAAGAGAAGTTGATCTTGTCTTAGACTTAGAAGCATCAGAGGCATCCGAAACAGTAGAAGCACCAGAAGCACCAGAAGCTTCAGAGTCAGCAGAGCTAATAGAAGCATCAGAAGCACCAGAAGCACCAGAGCTAATAGAAGCATCAAAAGCAGCAGAAGCATCAGAAGCTTCAGAGTCAGCAGAGCTAATAGAAGCATCAGAAGCAGTAGAAGCATCAGAGTTGATAGAAGCATCAGAAGCACCAGAAACATCAGAAGCTTCAGAAGTATCAGAGCTAATAGAAGCATCCGAAACAGTAGAAGCATCAGAAGCAGCAGAGCTAATAGAAACATCAGAAGCTTCAAAGTCAGCAGAGCTAATAGAAGCATCAGAAGCACCAGAAGCATCAGAAGCACCAGAAGCAGTAGAAGCAACAGAAACATCAGAAGCATCCGAAACAGTGGAAGCACCAGAAACATCAGAAGCTTCAGAAGTATCAGAGCTAACAGAAGCATCCGAAACAGTAGAAGCATCAGAAGCAGCAGAGCTAATAGAAGCATCAGAAGCATCAGAAGCATCAGAAGCAGTAGAAGCATCAGAAGCTTCAGAGGCAGCAGAGCTAATAGAAGCATCAGAAGCAGCAGAGCTAATAGAAGCATCAGAAGCATCAGAAGCAGCAGAGCTAATAGAAGCATCAGAAGCTTCAAAGTCAGCAGAGCTAAGAGAAGCATCAGAAGCAGTAGAAGCTTCAGAAGCTTCAGAGGCAGCAGAGCTAATAGAAGCATCAGAAGCAGTAGAAGCATCAGAAGCTTCAGAGGCAGCAGAGCTAATAGAAGCATCAGAAGCAGTAGAAGCATCAGAAGCTTCAGAGCTAATAGAAGCAGTAGAAGCATCAGAGTTAATAGAAGCAGTAGAAGCATCAGAGTATAGAAGCATCAGAAGCATCAGAAGCAGTAGAAGCATCAGAAGCACCAGAAGCATCAGAAGCACCAGAAGCAGTAGAAGCATCAGAGCTAATAGAAGCATCCGAAACAGTAGAAGCACCAGAAGCAGCAGAGCTAATAGAAGTATCAGAGCTAATAGAAGCATCAGAAGCACCAGAAGCACCAGAAGCACCAGAAGCACCAGAAGCATCGGATGATAAAGGAATATCGGTGCTCACGGTAAAAGCTTCACCAGCAAGAGAAGTTGATCTTGTCTTAGACTTCGAAGCATCAGAGGCATCCGAAACAGTAGAAGCACCAGAAGCACCAGAAGCACCAGAAGCACCAGAAGCTTCAGAAGCACCAGAGCTAATAGAAGCATCAGAAGCAGCAGAGCTAATAGAAGCATCAGAAGCTTCAAAGTCAGCAGAGCTAAGAGAAGCATCAGAAGCAGTAGAAGCATCAGAGTTAATAGAAGCATCAGAAGCATCAGAAGCACCAGAGCTAATAGAAGCATCAGAAGCAGTAGAAGCATCAGAAGCTTCAGAGGCAGCAGAGCTAATAGAAGCATCAGAAGCAGTAGAAGCATCAGAAGCTTCAGAGCTAATAGAAGCAGTAGAAGCATCAGAAGCATCAGAAGCAGTAGAAGCATCAGAAGCTTCAGAGGCAGCAGAGCTAATAGAAGCATCAGAAGCAGCAGAGCTAATAGAAGCATCAGAAGCAGCAGAGCTAATAGAAGCATCAGAAGCATCAGAAGCAGCAGAGCTAATAGAAGCATCAGAAGCTTCAAAGTCAGCAGAGCTAAGAGAAGCATCAGAAGCAGTAGAAGCATCAGAAGCTTCAGAGGCAGCAGAGCTAATAGAAGCATCAGAAGCAGTAGAAGCATCAGAAGCAGTAGAAGCATCAGAAGCTTCAGAGGCAGCAGAGCTAATAGAAGCATCAGAAGCAGTAGAAGCATCAGAAGCTTCAGAGCTAATAGAAGCAGTAGAAGCATCAGAGTTAATAGAAGCACCAGAAGCTTCAGAAGTAACAGAAACATCAGAGGCATCCGAAACAGTAGAAGCACCAGAAGCACCAGAAGCACCAGAAGCTTCAGAAGCACCAGAGCTAATAGAAGCATCAGAAGCAGCAGAGCTAATAGAAGCATCAGAAGCTTCAAAGTCAGCAGAGCTAAGAGAAGCATCAGAAGCAGTAGAAGCATCAGAGTTAATAGAAGCATCAGAAGCAGCAGAAGCATCAGAAGCACCAGAAGCAGTAGAAGCATCAGAGCTAATAGAAGCATCCGAAACAGTAGAAGCATCAGAAGCAGCAGAGCTAATAGAAGCAGTAGAAGCATCAGAAGCACCAGAAGCATCAGAAGCACCAGAAGCTTCAGAAGTAACAGAAACATCAGAAGCATCCGAAACAGTAGAAGCACCAGAAACATCAGAAGCTTCAGAAGCACCAGAGCTAATAGAAGCTTTAGAAGCAGCAGAGCTAATAGAAGCATCAGAAGCAGTAGAAGCATCAGAAGCTTCAGAGCTAATAGAAGCAGTAGAAGCATCAGAGCTAATAGAAGCACCAGAAACATCAGAAGCTTCAGAAGTATCAGAGCTAATAGAAGCATCAGAAGCACCAGAAGCACCAGAAGCATCGGATGATAAAGGAATATCGGTGCTCACGGTAAAAGCTTCACCAGCAAGAGAAGTTGATCTTGTCTTAGACTTAGAAGCATCAGAGGCATCAGAATCGGAGCGGGCAATCGAAGTCTCAGATTCATCTAAGGAGGAAGGAATTGGCCAAATCCGATTAAAAGGAGGAGGACCAGGGGCCACGGTAAAAGCATCTGATGCAATAGAGGCATTAGAAGTTGAAGCAACGGAAGCATCGGATGTAATCGAAGAAGCAGAATCATCAGAGCCCATTGAGGCACGGGTGGCATCGGATGCGTCAAAGTTAACAGAAACAGTCGATGCGTCGAGTACATCAGAATCAATGGAAAGGTCCGATTCATGAGTGGATGAGAACTGATTTCTTGATTGTTCCGCGTGGCTCGAGATGGATGATTCCTCTGAAATTGATGAAATGAAGGATTTGGTCTCGCTAGCAGATGACCATGAGTCAAATTTAGATGAACTTTCAACGTTTGAAATACTTTCATCAGCGAAACATGCTTCCTCGTCCCAACAGAAGTCTCCCCCATCAGTGTAAGACTTCAAGGAAGACTTGTCATAGCTATTACAACCAGTGATGTATGTCCAGGAATTAGAATACGTCCACTGGTTGCACTCGGAGTAGTCGTCAATGGAAATACACCAACTATAGTAGACACGGACACGTGGCATACAGGTGAGATTTCCCAGAGTCTGAGGCTTAGTGAACGACACTCTGTAAGACCAGTCACATGGATCATCAATCAATTGAATTCCTTTGTACCTGTAGAATAAATCAATTCTAGTCGTTGGCATGAGAATTGCCAAGACGTTTAAAGATTTGATAGACATGCACGTTTCTGGCTTCACATGAAGAGTCGCTTCGTAGACTCCATCAGTGTTTGTGATATCCGTCACTTCAAAATCTAATACAGGATAGTTCAGCTCCAGGCTCATGAAAGCAAAGTCCAAGTTTGGACAGTTGTTCGTTGCCCTGCAACCACCATTACCTGATGTCTCAGTTGAGAAACTACCAGACGTCGAGGAGTAAGCAATCTGATTTTCGGACGCAGATGGGGAAGCGGGCTGCTCCACAGACAGCGATATGTCTCCTGCTGTATCCGATTCAATTGCAACTGATGATCTTTCTGCGGTGTTAGAGACATGGCTACTCAATGTCGTCTCGTCGCGAGCAAGGGATTTTGACCAATCAAGAGCTTGTGAGCTTGCAGAGCTTTCTGAAACAAGGGCTGAGGATGTAGCAGAAACGGATTCAGGTTTACTGTCGGATAATAAAGTCAGTGATGCAAATTCCTCAGAAGTCACAGCACCTGATGAATGCTCGCTACTCGAAAACATACTGACGTCTGACGATAAACTTGCGACTGAAGACAGAGACTCTTTGGAGTCAATGAAACAAGTATCTTGGTCCCAGCAGAAGTCTGGAGCATCTGTCCATGACTTTTTGGAATAACTGTCATAGTTGTTGCATCCAGTGATGTAAGTGTATGATGTCAGGTACTTCCACTGACTACACTCAGTCTGGTCACTGATAGAGTTGCACCATAAGTAGAATACCTGGAAAATTGGCATACACTTAAGGTTACCTTCAGTTTGAGGCGTGGTGAACGAAACTCTGTAAGACCAATCACATGGGTTGTCAATGGTGACCGAATTCTGATATCTGTTGACCAAATCATATCTGGTGCCGTCATTCATGAGAATAGACAACATGGTCAACGAGTTGATCGACATACATGTCTCAGTAGTGACATGTACAGTGGCCTCATATACACCATCAACAAATGTAATATCCGTGACATCGAGATACATGAGTGGGAAGTTCATGAAAGTCTTTCTGTAAGTGAAGTCAACATCAGCGCAGTTGTTCACACCGTTACATGAGCCGGGCACCACAGGTTGAGAGCTTGGAGTAGTTGCTGGCAAAGAGCTAGTGGCTTTGTCAACTGGTGCCGAAGAGGCAGGGATAACTTCTGGTGCCGAGGAAGTAGGGATGACCTTATCAGAACTTGGAGGCACCACAACTGGGCTCTCAGATGAACTCTGACTCAAACTAGCGACTGAAGACAGAGACTCTTTGGAGTCAATGAAACAAGTATCTTGGTCCCAGCAGAAGTCTGGAGCATCTGTCCATGACTTTTTGGAATAACTGTCATAGTTGTTGCATCCAGTGATGTAAGTGTATGATGTCAGGTACTTCCACTGACTACACTCAGTCTGGTCACTGATAGAGTTGCACCATAAGTAGAATACCTGGAAAATTGGCATACACTTAAGGTTACCTTCAGTTTGAGGCGTGGTGAACGAAACTCTGTAAGACCAATCACATGGGTTGTCAATGGTGACCGAATTCTGATATCTGTTGACCAAATCATATCTGGTGCCGTCATTCATGAGAATAGACAACATGGTCAACGAGTTGATCGACATACATGTCTCAGTAGTGACATGTACAGTGGCCTCATATACACCATCAACAAATGTAATATCCGTGACATCGAGATACATGAGTGGGAAGTTCATGAAAGTCTTTCTGTAAGTGAAGTCAACATCAGCGCAGTTGTTCACACCGTTACATGAGCCGGGCACCACAGGTTGAGAGCTTGGAGTAGTTGCTGGCAAAGAGCTAGTGGCTTTGTCAACTGGTGCCGAAGAGGCAGGGATAACTTCTGGTGCCGAGGAAGTAGGGATGACCTTATCAGAACTTGGAGGCACCACAACTGGGCTCTCAGATGAACTCTGACTCAAACTAGCGACTGAAGACAGAGACTCTTTGGAGTCAATGAAACAAGTATCTTGGTCCCAGCAGAAGTCTGGAGCATCTGTCCATGACTTTTTGGAATAACTGTCATAGTTGTTGCATCCAGTGATGTAAGTGTATGATGTCAGGTACTTCCACTGACTACACTCAGTCTGGTCACTGATAGAGTTGCACCATAAGTAGAATACCTGGAAAATTGGCATACACTTAAGGTTACCTTCAGTTTGAGGCGTGGTGAACGAAACTCTGTAAGACCAATCACATGGGTTGTCAATGGTGACCGAATTCTGATATCTGTTGACCAAATCATATCTGGTGCCGTCATTCATGAGAATAGACAACATGGTCAACGAGTTGATCGACATACATGTCTCAGTAGTGACATGTACAGTGGCCTCATATACACCATCAACAAATGTAATATCCGTGACATCGAGATACATGAGTGGGAAGTTCATGAAAGTCTTTCTGTAAGTGAAGTCAACATCAGCGCAGTTGTTCACACCGTTACATGAGCCGGGCACCACAGGTTGAGAGCTTGGAGTAGTTGCTGGCAAAGAGCTAGTGGCTTTGTCAACTGGTGCCGAAGAGGCAGGGATAACTTCTGGTGCCGAGGAAGTAGGGATGACCTTATCAGAACTTGGAGGCACCACAACTGGGCTCTCAGATGAACTCTGACTCAAACTAGCGACTGAAGACAGAGACTCTTTGGAGTCAATGAAACAAGTATCTTGGTCCCAGCAGAAGTCTGGAGCATCTGTCCATGACTTTTTGGAATAACTGTCATAGTTGTTGCATCCAGTGATGTAAGTGTATGATGTCAGGTACTTCCACTGACTACACTCAGTCTGGTCACTGATAGAGTTGCACCATAAGTAGAATACCTGGAAAATTGGCATACACTTAAGGTTACCTTCAGTTTGAGGCGTGGTGAACGAAACTCTGTAAGACCAATCACATGGGTTGTCAATGGTGACCGAATTCTGATATCTGTTGACCAAATCATATCTGGTGCCGTCATTCATGAGAATAGACAACATGGTCAACGAGTTGATCGACATACATGTCTCAGTAGTGACATGTACAGTGGCCTCATATACACCATCAACAAATGTAATATCCGTGACATCGAGATACATGAGTGGGAAGTTCATGAAAGTCTTTCTGTAAGTGAAGTCAACATCAGCGCAGTTGTTGGTACCATCACAGCTTCCAACGGTAAAAGCCTCTGCAGCCAAACTGGTTAAGGATGCTTTCGATGTCAGGGCTTTAACAGGCTCTGCAGCCAAACTGGTTAAGGAAGCTTTCGATGTCAGGATTTTAACAGGCTCCACATTGGGAATTGAAGTCAGTGAAGTAGTTGATGGTTTCCGACTCGAGGAAGAGGGCTGCTCCACGTTCGCAGGGACGGGAGCTACTGCTCCGGATCCGTCCCAACAGTAATCAGGAGCATCCATCTGAGAGTATCCTGTGCTAGAATCAAAGTTATTGCACCCAGTAATATAATCATAGGATCTTTGGAAGTTCCACTGGTTACAATAACTCCAATCAGTTACTCCGGCGCTACACCAATCGTACTGGATAGTGAAACTTGGCATACACGTCTGGTAACTGCCGACCTGACGAGGAGTAATGTTGACGGTGTACGACCATTGACCAGGATCAGTGACCGTGTACACCTTCATGTTGTAGGAGTAAAGGATGTATGTTCCTATGCTGAGGATCTTCAACTCTGTAAGAGAGGAGACTGGCATGCTTTGAGCAGCATAGAAGTTAATGGTGACATCCCAAGTACCGTCTGGCTTCTTGATGGGGTTTGTGACCGTGATAGAAGCCTGGGGGAACCCGGTTACTTTGTAATGCCAACCAAAATTCTGGGAAGGACAAGCATTGAATGTATCTATGGCTAACGCGGTGGTTAACACCACAAATGCTGATAGTAGCCTTAAAAGATACATAGCGGGTAAAGAACGAAAAAGCGTTAAGGACTTTAACGTTCTTATTTATTCATGCCGCCGAGGCGTCAAGAGTTTCGATCAAATGAGATCTACATGCGTGGAAACGGTGGGCACAATGCAATGCAGATGCGAAGTAGCTTTGCAGTGCCAGCGATGAGCGGGGGGTACAACTGCAAAATCCGAAGCGTGCGCGAAGGTACGTGAAGGATCGCCCAGATGCGTACCCGCCTACCATGTATAGGTCATGATGTACATGCCGGGTTTTTGCCGATGGTGCCATACGCAGGTGGTGCAGAACCCAATACGTAAGAAAAATATCGCCTCAGAGTTCCATAGTCGATTAAACATCGGAATCCTTCTGAGCGGCTCTGTTGTGGAAGCTCTTCGTGCATCGATGTTAATTCTTATTGGTTTGTGCATGCGCAGATCTTCCCAGATTTTGAACCTCTGAAATGAAATCTTCAGAGATTAAATAAAGTCCGTTCTACCTTCTTATGTGTACCCCTGCTTGCTCAAACGGTTGATTGTCGAAGTTTGGTCCAAGTTTTTAGCGGTAGATACTAGAATTGGTAGGTGTTCTTGTTGACTATATTTGTAGCTGGTTTACAGTATGTGAATCTTGTTTTTTCATCCATTTTAGTGGTAATCCTTGTGACAGAGAAAGTCATCATGCGACTTCTGATGTGTGAGTGACGCATCTCTACGTAAATCTACGTAATTGTGTTATCCATTGCTAATGCAGGAAGTATCTCATTAACGCATTCTAACCGAATTCGTCAAAGTGTACGATGGGAATATCTATGACTCAACGGTTTTCAATACTACCAAATATTTTCAGATCGTTTGGTATGCTGTACGTCCAGTGCCAAGAATTGCAGTATAGCACCAAGCGCTCGGGGATAGCCTCGATCAACTAAGAGCCTACGTAATAAATTACTCTATTCTGGTGGATAATGATCTACTTTCTGAACATTTTTTTGCTGCTGACCGCATATATGAGCTTGGTTAGCATGTGTTATTTCCACTCATGTTACTACGTATGAACTCTCTTTTAAGCTAAGCACGCATGGTACAATTGCTCAATCGTTGGGTATTTCAGGAAAAAGTCTACATGATTACTCAAAACATTCTAATACTGATCATTATTCGGCTGAGCTTAATGAAAGTGAGATCTGCCTGCCTTGAAAGCAACAGCCAATGGAACTTCGCTGTTCTAAATGAGAAGAGAGTAAGTGAGACTTTCTGATATTATGTGACACTCTCGGGAAAGCAGGTACTTTACACTAAGATCAAAGTATGAGTTTTTAATCATGTGATTCTTGTTGGATTGGTGAGCCAGCAGAATTCTCCTCCATCCACTCTGACTTATTGTGTCCCTCAGAATTGACATTCCCATTCAATCCAGAGTTATCTTATCCGTTCCACAGCTCTTCACTTGGTGCCAACTTTGTTTCATACTTTGTGATTGAATGTGATCTATGTTTCTAAATTGATGTATGCAAAGTGTTGACTAAACCGAGTAGAGCTGAGACGAAGTGAAGTAGTTTAAAACTTAAAATGTTGATCACAAATCTGATGTAATATGCGGTATGTTCTGTGGTGCAGTCATTTTCCGAAGTATCCGTATCTTTCGATACTTATACTTGAACGTAGTTAGGTCGAGCCTATTCTGTCAGTCTCAATGCATTAATGACCCCAGTTTTTTTAATCAATCTGGATCAAGATCCTAGAGCATTCCAAACCGGCATACTTAATGAATCTGAATAATGGAAATCCAGTTCATGCAAATTGTAACTTTACGATACATAAGCACGTTGTGATTAAGGAAATTAGAGACTTCTCTCGTAATCCGTAATATCCTCCTGCATTTGTGACTATGCACAAAACCTTATGTGTTATGAGCCTGTGATATACGACTGGCACATTGACACTTAAAATTCCCTTATCGCCGAAAACAACAACATCCGATGACGAAAAATTTTCGTGAAACGAAAAGTATATGATAATATTTCACTTTGTTTCATACCCTCTTCACTATTTGGTGTTCACCAATGCTATACAATCCCAGTTAACCGAAAATAAGATTCGTAGAAGATCTACATCGTGCACACTTGAGATTGGGCGTGTTGAGTGCATGAGTGGTCATGCCCGTAGCTGGAACATAAAAACTCTAGCCCGCACTGCATCCCGAGCAACATGTGCATGGGCAGGTCCGGGTTATTGGACAGGCCCAGAAGTAAATTTCGGCGAATTTTCGGGTCTATATTAGATTTAGTAATACTTTCGGCAATGCGTTTTGTGGGAGGAGATCTCTGCTATCACAAGTCAACAATCGAAAAGAAAAAGATTATTTAAGAACTTGATACTACCAATTGGAAGTGTAAAAAGCCTCATCAGTTAATGCAGGAGGATAGAGCTGGATCAGATATTACAGGATTGTAGACTTTGAGGTAGATCAGAATCAGCCAACTTGATTGAAAAATATTTTGGGAGATCGATGATTGGTTTGTTATCCACCCCACTTATCCGTAAACAAGAGTCGCTTAAGTAGGCTGAATGTGTGAACGTCAACCGGAAAGAAAAAGAAAAATCTAGTAAAAAAATAAGATCCAAGTGCAAAGAATGACTTATTATTGCCTTTGCTGCATTTCGTGGAATCTCAACTGTCACAGCATTTCAGGAATGGTTCTCAATGTCGACAATTCCGGAGGCGCTTCGCTTTTCATGCCCACATATTCCGTCCACTCTTGCATCCTGGAAAAAATATCCGGCATTATTATATGGCGCCACATGCATGGCAGCCTAGCAAATCTGTGGGATGTAGGGAAGGATCAGAAGCAATTTATGATTATGTGTAAACAAGACCTCCTGGTGCCTTAAATAACCAACGGCGCCAAATCGATCTATTCTACCTCTATAAAAGCTCACCATCACCAAGTATCGTATCTTTAATAACTTAAAGCGATTTGTGCTATGCTTAACGTTGCTCGCCCGGGTTCGTAAAATGAATCCTTCACTCATACAAACCTTCCAGAACATATGTCTTGGACGATAATGTTCTCTATCTACAGGCGGAATGTTCGACACCCATGCAAGGTTTCTTTTGTCCATACATCACTTTCGTGTCCTCCATCCTTTTTCAGATTGGCTTTCTGCACTCAAGATTGATCGCTTTGTCACCCATCTGTCAACTAGCAGAAACAATGGCTCGTGGCTGCAGTGAGAAGGTAAACAGGAGCTGGGAATGTCAGATGGAGGTTTGTTGAGTGCGCAGCACATGGACTGATTCTGTCATGCAGTGCATTTGAGATCGACAAATGAGAAGAAAAAGCAATTCTTACTTCCCCAACTGCTTCATTCTCCAAGAAGATTTACATAAGTATAGAACTTGTTTTGAACTACAAGACTAAGATACTTAACTAAGAGGTCTCTCGTTGGTATAATCGACTCTCTGATCATGGAGTAATTGATGAATATCAAACAAAAGAGGCTACAGTGCCCAAACATATCAATTTGACAATACGTCAGTTTACGTGACAAAAATTTTCTTTGGATTCTATTGTTTCTGTGGAGAAGCAGAAAGTTCGGATATTCTTCCCTACGGAATATTCGGCACACGAATACTGCCTGGGCATGACGAGAGATACTTTGGCTCATCATTTCTAATATTGAGTAGAAAATATTGATTCACACCCGTGGAAAAAAAATCTTCAAGAGGACAAGTTGAGAGGTCTAGTAAGTCGGAGATTATACACTTAGAGTTCGTAGATATTTGGAAACATGCAAAGAAGTTTGCCCGATGTATCTTGTTTCTAATTGGTCAATGAGATATGACTTGTCTTTACGTAAGATTGGCGTATGGTCAAGCGATTCAAATTTGTACCTCTTTGTATCTTATGTAATAAAGCGACGACAATTCATAGATTTCAATTTTTCACTCAATGTGTCGTGCTCACACTAAGAAAGCTTCTCAATTCAGTTTTTCTCAAGAGCTCTAAAGCTCTGTGACCTACAACATTTCCCCGAAATATAATTTCCATGGTTCCAGGTGCCACATGCTTAGACTTAAGATCGCCTTCTAGTTCTTATGTACTTTGACCTCGAGCCACAGTTATCCTGTTCAAGATGTGAAAACTCCGCACTTTCGGATTTCGATTTCCTTTTTGAGCCACTCCTTGCGCACCAACTCCATCTTAGTAAATGAAGCACCCGGGCTTGAGTCTGTTTGCAGTGGAATCGCTAGCTACAAGTAGATCCAAATCTTGCATATCATGTCGGGAACGCAAACGTAAGTGTTCCCGAGAATCTCCCAAATGCTCACAATGTCAGAAGAGCTCGATCCCATGTTTCTACTCTGAGAAATCTAGAGGGTATCGAGACTTCAAGCTTCACGAGCAAGCAAAAATCCTACTCGGCTTATCTTCTCAGGCTCATTGTTTCCCTTCCGTTCCTAAGAACACACACCGTGTCCCTGAAGACACAACACCTGAACAAGGGTATCGCTCTGGCCAGATCGTTGTCACGGACGATATACTGGAGTCCCACGATACGGAGCCTGATATTCTCAGTCGAAAACGTTCGATCACGTCGGTTTCATCTGCCTCCAACGGTGTAAAGAAACCCTCGCATTCACCATCTCGAGACTCCAGCTCGGTCCTCTCCGGACTGTTTGAAGACCTGGAGTCACTCAATACGGCAGAAACAGATGTCAATAGGCCTGATATGACTAAATGGAACAACATAGGTGCTGTTTTGCCGGAGCAAGCCAACATCTTGACAACCATGCCGGCTGCCAAGTCGATGTGGCCCAATATACACAAAGACCAACTCCATCGCTTCAAGAACGACCCCAATGTCCGTGTGGGTCCCATCTACACGAAAATTTTCACATCATCATTGTACTGTACGGGAAAATCTCTCGATATTGACTTGAATCTATTGGAATCGTACCTTCCTCTGAGAAAAGTTTGTGATACCCTCTTTGCTCGCTACGTCAATTCCGTGCATCCGATTATGCCACTTCTCGACATTAAGAAGCTCCATCCTCAGTATGAGATGTTCTGGAATAACAAGATGTCAGTATCGATATCATTCTATATCATTCTATCTGCTCTTCTCTATGCTGGCTCGGTTTCGGAGTTTGAACAGTTGACCATCTCCCAAACGTCAACTTACACGAAACAGGAATGTATTGACCTTATGAGACATTTGGTTGGTATGGCCGAAATCGCACTAGCAGTGTCTGATTTCCCTACCAAGGTTACAGTGGTTGGTTTACAGGCTTCAGTGATCTTACATTCGGCCGTCAGAAACGACTGCAGAACTGACGACTGTGGATCGGTAGCAAATTTGGTCAGGTTAACACAGTTGATCAATCTCAACAGAGATCCCCAGTCATATCATAAAATAGAAGATGCACTGCTTGTCCAAGAACGAAGATTACTATGGTGGCACGTATACTACTTGGATAGTACCACTGCGCTTTCATCAAGACTAGCACCAGTCATAGTGGAGGATGAGTATGACACCTGTTTTCCCATAGAGTATAAAGAAAATTCTGGACTCTACAAATTGGACCTGTCAATTGCCTTCGCTAACGGAAGGTTCCGATGGGCTGAAACTTGCAACAAGATTACCAGAAGGGGCTTTCTGTTGAAGCCCGTAACACGGACTGAGGCCGACCGCCTTATACTGGAGATTGATAACTTGGGTTTTCACTGTACCTTGTCCATCCTGCGAATTTTGGACCAGCCCAACGTAATGCCCAACCAGGAGCATTTCGCTAGCTTCAGTTCGTCCATGTTGGCCACTTTTAGGGATCGGTGTCTATGCCTTCTCAATATGATCTTGTCAACTCGACAGGATCTGATTCAGACGTCATCCACGGCTGATATACTGGATAACAGCGTGGGGGATTCCTTGGTCAAACATACCTTGCATTTACTTCTGGAATTCTGCAAGCACGGGTCAATGCCTCATAATGCAATTTTCTTGTGGGAAATCCGAAAGTATCAGCCTATTCAGGTGCTTTTATTTCTTCTTCGGAACTTGATTGCCGATGCTAAAAAATTGCTGTTCAACACCGAAACCCTCAGAAACGATGAGAGAGTGTTAGCGATTGAGAATTCCTTGAATGTTCTCGGGTACCTTTCGGACCATTCAACTAAGTTGTGTCAGGAACGGTGGAATATGGTCCGAGAATTGAAGGCCACCACTTGGGAACAACTTTTCGGGTCTACGAATGACCTGTCTTCTTCGGATACTTCCTCTCCTAAGACTTCTCCCGGTGAGAGCAAGGTGGCAGAAGCATTCGGGGAGGACTGGGATGCCATCATAAAGAAGTTAACTGCGGTAGAAAACACTATTGATGAGAATATATTTGCAACAGATTGGGACGAGACGTCGGGACGTTACGTGATGTAACATGAGTATATTGTTATGAAATTTGGTCTAGACAGTAATACGTAGATTTCTGGTATTAAGAATCCCCAACAAATTGTGACCCTAAACTTGTCGCATACTAAATTACCGTTTTCACTCAGTCCTTCCGATATAGGTCCCTATAGCGTCCACATCTCAACAGTTTCTTATCTTTGCATTAGTACCATAACCATGATTGGTCTCTCCACTTTTTATCTCTGATTGAGGTGATTCTCATTGTCTCCGATGAGATGTGTGAGGTGCTAATGCGTTAGGTTATTTTTCTCCTTCTCACAAGCCTGCGTGCTCCTTTGTTATGTGAAATTGATTTTATTGTGAGATGAGGATCTTCCGTATGTTCGCGGAATAGCCTGTGTTTGCAAAATTTGTTGAGAATATACCCCAAGCTTTAAAAATCAATAAAGGACAGCAAAAATCAAAATTTAAAGAGAATCAACTAAAAGTTACATGTTAATACGATTCCTATCAAGAGATCACGTTAGGAGGTTCAAATTGTGTAAAACTTCATAAAATAAGTAACGCAAAGGAGAAAACTGATTCTAGGGCTAAAGTGTTACGGAAAAACATGCCCGTCGCGTAAATTAGAGTCCCCACATTTTTCCCTCACTTAGCAAAGCCGAGAACTGGGCAAAAACCGAAAGGGGAGAGTTTAACCGTTATCGGAAAATCTCTTGGTTAGTACTCAAACCTTGCCATTTGGATCTATTTTTCTGATTTGAGGCCATAGCCATGATAGTTTCCGAAACAAGGTTCAGCCGTCTACTGCAAGGCTGAATTCGATCACATAGAATTCAGCAACTGAATCGGCATCAACTCACTCTTCCTTCACGCAGTCGTAATACTGGAAAATCACGCATCACCTGTCCATTTCTGCAAGGAGAAATTGCTCCACTCTGGGGTTGCCTGGGGAAATGCTCTCGTATTCTGTATTAAATGTCAAAGGGAGTAAAGTGCATATGACAAAAGTCCCGGAAAAAGAATTCTTGTACTTGATGTGAAGCAGCTCGTTTATTTTCCCTTGTGGCCCGATTTTGAAGGATTTACTTCAAGAACTAAGATATATCCATTTCTCCGAAGTAGTTGATTGGTCAAAATTGACTACTAACGCAGAACCCCGCTTGGTCTTGATTGGACCGGATCATCCAAAGTTTCAAGTGCAACGGTTCGGCCAAGGGAAGTAACTCCTATTAAATTCAGATTTCTACAAGATCAAAGGGCCATTTTAGAGAATACTACCAAAGAGGTTGCATGTGTCTATCAAACTGGTGAGTTGAGAGTCAACAACATAATCAACTGATAATGGGAGTTAAGAGTAGATACCTATGCGCTCCAAGTACAGTTTGGAGTAGCACCACTTTCGTATTATCGTCAAGGATTAACTTCCCCTCAAAGATTCAGGAGTTAGTTCCTGTAAAAACTCCCAATCTAGACAAGGGATTGACCGAGGCGGAGAAATTTCCCACAAGAACGCGTGGGAAATTCCGGTCCACAAGGAGGAGTGGCTATGCCTACATCAGTCAAAAAATCCGGTTGGGGGTAACCAGCTGCATAACCATCCCAAAACATGTAGATCATTAATTCTCAATGATCTATTCTATAAGTAACGCTTAATGAAGAGCAAGTTGTCGAGACAGGTAATCATCCTGCAAAAGGGCATCGCCAAAAAAAATTTCCGGCGTTTTTGGTGTGAGGCGACAATGAGAACATGAAACGAGGAAGAACCTGTTTATCCGCCTCAAGTTTTCTGCAGGACCCCGGAAGATTTTGCTGGGGTTGCTCATGTGGAGTGCATGAATCCCCAAGTTATTCCACGGCACTTTCCAGTTTTTCAAGAGCTTTAGTGGAAAGAGATTCAAGAACAAGTGGATTATAGTTCTTTGGCAAGAGGCGATAGAACTTATTGAGTTTACATTTGGCAAACAAAGGGTATCTTTATCTTTGTTAAGAGCATGAAGTTGGAAAAATAGGGAAAATTACGACAATCACCAACATCGACCAAAAGGAAAAAACCCCACAAAAGTTAATTCAGAAAGTATCACCATACAGTATTGTACCAGCGAGACATAACCAAAGCGGCACTACCTCTAGACACTTTTGGGTGTCCGGAGTAATGTTGACGACGCAAGGCATTGAAATGGTCGATATGCATATTAAATGCAGTCCAAATTGTTCCGGGACAATCTATCTGACCAATAAAAAGCACGCAGGAGACGCCGTTCGGGGAAATTTTGGCAGGTTTGACGCACTGTCGTGTGGGGAACCTCATTGCCCTCGTGCAGCATACCATCGGTATCTGCAGAGGTTGCATTCGTGACCTGGAGACCAGCCGCATTTAGGTAACTTGGAAGTTCACTAGCAATTTTGCCTGGCTTCACAACCTCCGTATGGCAGACAGCAAAAAATTATAAATACTCCATGTTCCCCCAGCTATTCCAGTTTTCTATCATCATCTTTCTATCAATCACAATCAATCATGGGTTTGGAGGACAATAGAATGGTTAAGCGTTTCGTCAACGTTGGCGAGAAGAAGGCTGGCTCTACTGCCATGGCCATCATCGTCGGTCTTTTTGCTGCTTCTGGTGGTGTCCTTTTCGGATACGATACCGGTACTATTTCTGGTGTCATGACCATGGACTACGTTCTTGCTCGTTACCCTTCCAACAAGCACACTTTCACTGCTGATGAATCTTCTTTGATTGTTTCTATCTTGTCTGTTGGTACTTTCTTTGGTGCACTTTGTGCTCCTTTCCTTAACGACACCCTTGGTAGACGTTGGTGTCTTATTCTTTCTGCTCTTATTGTCTTCAACATTGGTGCTATCTTGCAGGTCATCTCTACTGCCATTCCATTGCTTTGTGCTGGTAGAGTTATTGCAGGTTTTGGTGTCGGTTTAATTTCTGCTACTATTCCATTGTACCAATCTGAGACTGCTCCAAAGTGGATCAGAGGTGCCATTGTCTCTTGTTACCAGTGGGCTATTACCATTGGTCTTTTCTTGGCTTCTTGTGTCAACAAGGGTACTGAGCACATGACTAACTCTGGATCTTACAGAATTCCACTTGCTATTCAATGTCTTTGGGGTCTTATCTTGGGTATCGGTATGATCTTCTTGCCAGAGACTCCAAGATTCTGGATCTCTAAGGGTAACCAGGAGAAGGCTGCTGAGTCTTTGGCCAGATTGAGAAAGCTTCCAATTGACCACCCAGACTCTCTCGAGGAATTAAGAGACATCACTGCTGCTTACGAGTTCGAGACTGTGTACGGTAAGTCCTCTTGGAGCCAGGTGTTCTCTCACAAGAACCACCAGTTGAAGAGATTGTTCACTGGTGTGGCTATCCAGGCTTTCCAGCAATTGACCGGTGTTAACTTCATTTTCTACTACGGTACTACCTTCTTCAAGAGAGCTGGTGTTAACGGTTTCACTATCTCCTTGGCCACTAACATTGTCAATGTCGGTTCTACTATTCCAGGTATTCTTTTGATGGAAGTCCTCGGTAGAAGAAACATGTTGATGGGTGGTGCTACTGGTATGTCTCTTTCTCAATTGATCGTTGCCATTGTTGGTGTTGCTACCTCGGAGAACAACAAGTCCTCCCAGTCTGTCCTTGTTGCTTTCTCCTGTATTTTCATTGCCTTCTTCGCTGCCACCTGGGGTCCATGTGCTTGGGTTGTTGTTGGTGAGTTGTTCCCATTGAGAACCAGAGCTAAGTCTGTCTCCTTGTGTACTGCTTCCAACTGGTTGTGGAACTGGGGTATTGCTTACGCCACTCCATACATGGTGGATGAGGACAAGGGTAACTTGGGTTCCAATGTGTTCTTCATCTGGGGTGGTTTCAACTTGGCTTGTGTTTTCTTCGCTTGGTACTTCATCTACGAGACCAAGGGTCTTTCTTTGGAGCAGGTCGACGAGTTGTACGAGCATGTCAGCAAGGCTTGGAAGTCCAAGGGCTTCGTTCCATCTAAGCACTCTTTCAGAGAGCAGGTGGACCAGCAAATGGACTCTAAAACTGAAGCTATTATGTCTGAAGAAGCTTCTGTTTAAATTTGATGAATTCCAGCTGGTGCTGGCTAGTAACGAATATATTAATCACTTTTGGAATTATGACGTAGCAACCCAATTACCTAACTTATCTGTCAGATTTAGTAATCGAACTTCGTATTGGCCAATATTATCCCAGCTAAGCATGGAACTGTGCAGGTTTGAGAGTTCCGAGCCCATATCTGCACGGCTTTGACTAAGTTATGAAAGTTGCTGCACATACCTATAATGTCACGCATGCAAATGTGGGGGAGAAGAATCTTCAATTCAGGCCCCCTACACAATTCGGCGAATTGTAAATGATTCCTATGCTCCATTCAACCTCGTGAGTTGGGCTACAAGCTCTTGAAATTATTACACATCCCTTCTTTTTTTGCGGTCGGATTATCTTCATGTGAGGGAAGACTTCATGATCCCACTTCATTAGATTTCTCCCACTGGTCTGAGACTTGTACCTAACCCCACAATATGATACCCCTCAGAATTCGAGGCAGGCATTCCCCGCAAGTATTAAACACTGACCTCGGGAACCCCTACCAGGTGGAGCTGTTTTGTTCGGATTAATTGCGGAGTTCCATAATCGGACAAGAAAATGCGGGTATTTTCCCCTCCTTATGTCACCACCGACGTCCGGATAAATTTCCAAGATTCGAAGATGAGGAGGCTTGCTACTTGAAAGACCATGAAGTCACCACCAGAGCAGCATGTTTCGATGCAACTTCGCCTAGGAAGTAATTGGTCCATGTGGAGTTTTTCCGGTAGGGGTGTTGCATAAAACAATAATCCTGAGATTGACCATTCAAGAATGATTAGTGTAATTCCCAGACTCACCATCAAGGAGCGAACAACCGTGCAACGGAGAAATACCACGGTAGGACATATAATTCCACACCAGCTAGTTCTAGTGTTGGCGAGCAAACGGCAACGGCATTGTGCATGCCTGACTTTTTCATAGTATTGAAGTCGTAAACCTGAAGGCAAACCTGAAGGCAAAACTGAAAGACAGTATGTGTTTTTCAAAGTGAACAAGAAAAAAAAAGGAAAAAAGAGAGGGAAAGACAGCAAGTATTCGTAACAGTTTGTAGGAATACTCAGAGAATAAAAACTGTTATTCTCCACATCTTCCCAGCTATTTACACTGGTGAAAGAACCTCAAGAATGAAGCTTCCATTTGATCAAAACGCTTGCCCCTTCACAGCCATCTTTCCAACTCAGTACATGGTGAATCACAGTTTTGCAGCGATTCGAGATGAGGTCAGGCATATGCTAAAACGTGCCAGCAAACAAAACCGTCCATCCAAACCTATTAATTTGTAAAATCACCACATTCCAAAAACATGATAAATTTAGCAATAAGATTGTTAAAGCCAAAGTCTCAATTCCCTTCCCCATTTCTTTTTCCAACGTTTAACTAAGTACCTTTCTATGTATCGCTTGCACCCTTGCACCCTTGCACCTGAAGTAATAGATAACCGAACGACCTGCAGGCGAAACCACGATATTTAGGTCACTCCATTATCTTAAATCTACCTACAACAATCACTGTTTCAGGCCAACTCTGTACTTTCCAGAGATTTACACAAAAAGAGTGACCACAGATCATTCAGCATGTTGAATTTCATCTTGTTCTGCTGCGTGTGGCTCCAGCTATCTGCGGCAGGACTCGTCAACGTGAAGCCGGCAACTTCCTCGGCCGTCCCACCACCTCCGCCCTCGACTATAGTGGATTTCCTCTCCTCAGACGTTCAATATTCTTATTTTCTTCGACATTTGCAGCGCCACGGATTGATCCCTCGTATAAACACCTTGTCCAATGTGACTCTATTGGCACCAGTCAATTCGGCATTTGTGGACGGTGACCTAGCCGCCAACGACACTCCAGAAAACCTTCTAAGGTACTTTTCTGATCAAAGGTTCCGTATAGGATACATGGACCGCAGGGATTTTGTGTTTGACTCTTTGTTCGTCACCAAAACCTCCAAATCTGAGAATAGAACATATCCGCTCAAGTTGCTGTCTTCCACCAAGAATGGTGAACCAAATGAATACTATGTTAATGACTTTGCCCAGGTGGTAGAGTTTGACGGCTATGTAAAGCACCAGCACACGTTTATCCATGCGATTGATCGGCTCCTACCGCTTTCGCCCACAATATGTGATGTCCTCATGGATTCGTCCACCTATGAGCTCAACGGGAAGAGCATCTCATTTATGAAGCAGCTCTTCCAACTGGTATTTACCAAAATCCATTTCAAGGAAGAAAATCGCCTGTGTGAAGCATTTTTGGCTAACGTTTCCACGATATTTATCCCCACTGATGACTTCGTGGAGAAATCCATGATTCCACTTCAAAAGAGATACTACACTGCTCTTTTTCATGCGATAAACAACGACTCGTTGAGACCTACAAAAGATGCAGTTCGTGAAATTAAATCTGATGCACTTGATTTGCTTCTGAACTTAGTACTCTCGGAATTAGTGGCTGGTGCAAACGGAACTTCTGGACATAAGTTCTGCAAGACACCGTCGCATAATAACAAGTACAATATCACTTTAGTGAACGATACTCACATCCAGATAAATGGTAAGGTCACAAGTTCTGGCGAGCTTTCCTCATTGCCAGCTTTAGATGGACTAATGTATGTTTTTGACGTTGACAATCTGCTGGATTCCTTTTTCAACGTTTTGAACATACCATTGGTTGAGATGATACCGCGGAAGACTCTTTTCGCCATGCATTACTCAAATTTCGTCAAGGAACTCAAGTTCAGGAAACTTGGTTTTTTGGTCGATGGTTCAACCACCAATCAGACGATTGTTCTCGACTCCACAGACCGAGATGATATCCCGGATGAAGAAATAAGAAGCGAAGAGAATAGAATCGAGGAAGATGAAGAACCAAGGAACTTTGGTGTCAACTCGTTTAGCAACAAGCAATCAATGCTTTATAGGTTTTTGAAAGGTGCTGTTCACATACCAAGCGAATTGACCCCTGATTCTCCGACATACGACAGGATATTAACTTCGAGGCTTTGCCTGAAGAAGCGCTTAGGCTCTTGTTACAAAGTCAAGGTTTCTGGCAGCTTGAATAATGGTAACTATGCTGTTACTTTCAATGACGAGGTCGCTATGCAACCAGAACCATTTGAGGCCAGTGGTAATAACATGATCTATGTCATGGATGAGGACTTCCTGACACCACTGTCATTCAAACACACGATTGCAGACCTTATTTCTAACGGGGTTTCAAAGAAGCACTTGTCTCATATCAATATTGACAAGAAGGAATGCCTTCAGACTTTGGGATACTTAAATGAGTATAAACTTTCACTGTTGACGGATAATCTGAGGGGCTACACGGTTTTCCTTCCTTGTGGAAATACTATTTGGGAAGACAGAGACGAAAAGAGACAGCAAGATTACAGATCGTGGAATGGACTCGGATTGATTCTCAAGTATTTGGAGTCGAACCCTAAAGTGATGCACGATGTATTACGAGGTCTCTTTGTGGAGGATTTGATATATTCCGACTTTGGTCTTGAGAATGCTGAGGAACTGAGTCGTTCTACAAGAACTTTGAGAGGCGATCCATTGAATGTTTCTGAGAGTTACCGCAGTGGTGACTATAACCACATTATCCGTCTTAACGAGACATCTATATCTGTTCCATTAAACTCTGATATTCTATTCAATCAGGGTGTCATTCACATCACGAGTAAAGTGTTGCTTCCAGACGATTTCCGTGTTTCACTCAAAGACTTGATTCGGGCTACCCAGCAGGAAGGACAAGACGAGTACTCCTTTTTGAAACTCCTTGAGCCATACCCAAAACTTGCGGATGCACTCGGGCTCAACGGATCCGACCAATCCTCCAATTACTCGATTTTTGTTCCCAGTCCCGAACAGTTAAGGTCTTTCAACATTTCTTCTAGCTACAGTCGTCTATGGGAATTCTTAGAACTCCATCTTGTTCCAAACTCACAGGTTAATACCCTCTTGAATTGCATTCATCAAGGGGATTCACCTTACAACCACATCAATAACGGTTCGTATGTTGTGCAAACTAACCGCACAAACGGGGTGTTTCAATGTAACAAGAACCCGGTGACGGGTAAGGTTTATCTCCAGCTCCAGAATTCTGCCTCAACCTTTGGTTATAATGCTGACCGTCAAGTCCGGATTGTTTCACATGGGTGCAGTCAAGTGGGACTGAGAAGCGGGTCTTGTGTTTTTCTTCTTGAAAAGCCGTTCAGTCTTGGCTGGTTCGACCAACCCGATAACTTCTTGCATGTGCATATTGGTTGGATCAGTGTTGGCATTGGCATTATCATTGGAGTAATTCTTTTTGGATTCATGACCACTGCTTTGGTTGTATGCCTTTCTGCCACCTCCAGTAAAAAGAAGCATTCGCTTTTGTCACCGGAGTCTGTTTTCACTCCATCAGAGCCCTCCTACATGCGGGTGACATCCGATGATGACCTGAATACCGGCTACTATGATTACGGATACGAAACTGATGATGATGCAATGCAAAATGAACGTGAACGATTATTGCCTGGAGCAAAACGGAAGCGCCAGACTTCTCGGTACGGGGCCTCGTCTCTGCCAATAGGGGCACCCAATGCGCCACGCTACATCCACAATAACAGCATCAAAGGAACCCTCAACAGGGACAGGAACCTTCCTCCACTTAATATTTAGTGCGTGTGTGTAGGTTTTCCACCCGAGTATGGAGTGAAGGGTTATCTGCAGTTATCTGCAGTTCGTGACGACCCCGAAAAGAAACTGTCTTGCAATTGTAAGACTTTAATAGCATGTCCGACCAAGTGCCGCTCGAAATGCAAAATACATTTAACCAGAGTGGAGATAATAGTTATCTACTGGCACAAAGCTCTAATTTATCCCAACCACAGTACTTTCAGCAGCCCAACCACCAAGACCAGAGGTACCAGGGTCATGAAGGCTCTTACACTCAAATCCACGGTCAAGACCATAGCCTGGGTCAGGATGTGAGTCACAGTCATAATCAACAAGGTCAAATTAGATACCAAAATGAATCAACCCCACAAACCCATTCAGACAATCAGAATAATCAGAGCCACCACCTCGACAACAATTACGACCAAAGCAGCCAGCCACTGCCGAACTATTATCCTCCAAAATATCCTATGACATTCAATTCCGCAAATAATACCCAAGTGACCGATAAATTGGTGCTGATGGAATTTGACGCCGAACTGCTCCGAACCCTTAGCAGTCTGCTCGATAACATAGCAAAGCCTGGATTATCGGAGGAGGAAACCAATGCCAGAGCGGAAGTAGACTCACGCTCTGTTTACATTGGAAACGTTGACTATGGGGCCACTCCTTTGGAGTTACAGCAACATTTCGCTGGTAGTGGAGTAGTGGAACGCGTCACTATCATGACCAACAAAGTCACGGGCCACCCCAAAGGGTTCGCTTATTTGGAGTTCTCACTGTCGGAGGGTGCTAGACAGGCAGTTGCTACGCTAGATGGCAGCATGTTTCGGGATAGAGAACTCAAGGTTAACCTAAAACGTACAAATGTTCCAGGCATTTCCACTACCAATAGAGGTGTTCCGAGAGGACGTGGGCGAGGACGTGGTATGATGCGTGGAAGAGGAAGGGCAGGCTTTCGTGGGCGAGGTTTCCGGGGCCAAAGCAGGTTTCTGCCGTATTAATGAACCAGTCGTAAAATTCGACAAGCTCAAACTATCCAGGATCAATCTAAGGACAACAAGCCGTGTATTACACTGAAAACATCTCTTTTCAAGTACACTCATTTCAAGTACACCAAACTCAAGAACAACTAATCTGAAGTGAACTCATCTCAATAACATCTCATTTTAAGAACTCGTCTGAAGTTAATCTCAACATGCAATTCTCACATACTCTACAACTTTCTAAAATGAGTCTATTCTAAGTTGCACTGCTTAACATACTCAGCAACCTCGGGAACACCATCCTCGACCAAACCATTATAAACTCCATCAATGTTTTCCCGAGACATCTTTTGTTCAAACTTAAGTTTACACTCAGTGTCACCAATCTCGATCTCCAATCCAGTGATGGCCTTCTGCATGATTCTCAAGTATCCCTCCGGAGCATCTGACAATTTCCAGGGAGTTTCTCTCTTCAGTTCCTGCTGAGAGCTGAAATTCTCCAATTGTCTTCGGACATAATCGAAATCATCAATGATCCGCAGCTTTCCATGAACATGCAAGCTGCCAAAGTCCCAAGTTGGAACAAACTTGTGAGTCTTCTCTTTCTCTGGATAATACGAAGGAGAAATATACGACTCGGGTGTCTGGAATATCACCAACACGTTGTCATTGGACGTCAACGAAGGTACTTGGTGGTTCTTTTTGGCAACATGTGCCTGTAAGTACCACTTTCCAGTCTCTTTGTCTTCGTGGAGGAAGAATGGGAAGTGATTGGCAATGAACTTGCCGTCTGCGTCCGTGGTGACCACAGTACCCAAAGGATACTCCTGGATAAGCTTTTTCTTTTCGTCCCACGAGTCGACTCTGTTAATTGCTGGAATATACATATGTTGGAAACATGAGAAGGGGCCAATGACAGAGGTTATATAGTCATAGGACTGCCCAATCGAGCATGTGGATGCGCAGTATTAGTTGTGTGCATGAGACTTGACTGATAAAGTCCAGATAAGATTGATGGGAGTTTACGATTCTATAGGAAGAGATCTAGATGCCCGCCAATTGTCGACATCTGAATATCAATGGTTCAATACTGGCTGAAAATGAAGTGTATTATGGAGATTTATTGATCTGTTGAAAATTTCGCTTTTGGCCACACCCCAGTGTGGTAGGATGTAAAGTCCCGAAGCTTACTAAAGAGAAAAATGAGTCACCCTAGGGTTCCACAGTGAAGTCAATTTTAAAGTACTAAATGGCTGTGACTTCTATCCGTTAAAATACGTGAAGTTCTACGCCCATGATAAAGGGGAGTAGATTTTGACTCATTAATTTACTTAAAAATTCAATTCTAATTTGTCCACCGAAATTTGTCAATTCTAACTACCGTTAATTTTGAAATACTTCGGGTGAAATTGACCCGTTTTTCCTTTTCCTAACCATTCTGATTCAATTGTCAACAATAGATTTCTGTGCCTTCACTTCAACCTCTAACCCTCTTGCTACATAGGACTTCGAAATCCACAGCTCTCTACCCAAGTATCCAAGTTCATGTTCTTTAAAATCGACATGAACCCCACACTGCCACTATATTGGCAATACTTGCTCACGTCGCTGGCACTCAAACTGCTCAGCCCGGGATACTCCACGTTGAACACGGGCTTGTTTGCATTTACAAACAGCTCATACAAATCACACTCATCGTACTGGATACATTGCTCCACAACTACCCATTCTGTTGCATTGACTACTCGGTCCACTATTGAGCCTCCATTCTTGAGGCCTATGGCCAACTTCTTCTGGTGTGCCATAGACGAGAGAAACCTCACGTAATCCACTGCGTCATCTTCAGTTAATCCGAGACCGTTGTCGTTATCGTAGGCATCGATATTATCAGGATCCACGCCATCACATTTTTTCTCCACAGCCAATGCCATTCTGTTCACCATGATATCTCGAACGTTTGTGGATTTGACATCAAGCCATCTTTCGCCAGGCCACCCGTCCAAATTGTTTCCCAAGTCGCTAGACAGAAACTTATCCTTATCAGGTCTCCAATTCTCGTAGCTGCCGGCAGAAAAGTAGCAAATGACTTTATGGCCTTGATTATGGAGGCTTTCGACGACCGATGAGTTAGTGTCAAAAAGATCAATATCGTAAACACGAATCGATGAATTGAACGTCGTGGGAACCAGCAGAAGCTGGTAGTCCCAAGTCTCGTTGAGCAGCGGTGTCCACAGACTGGCCAATTCAGAGGATGATGAGGACGAGATAGTGGAGGATGATGCGGACGTAGATAAGGTTGAAGACGTTCCAGACGGAGATGATAAGTTGGAAGGGGAAGAATCTGACAGGTCATCCGTTGATTTATCGCGTGTGAGCCCAACTCCTAGGCCAACCAGAAGACCAATCACGACAGCAAAGGCTACCAAACTTGAAATAATGTAAATTCTTCTCATGGGTACAAGAATTAGTGTGAGGCTTAGACGAGTCGCACATACGTCAGTATGGGGTAAGGCATGACTGGAGACGATGAGATTCCCCAGAAGAATAATACTTTAGAGGAGGATGAGAGAAGTAGGGAGATGTCGAATGAATTGAAGTGACTGATTTCTTGGTGGATACTGCCGCGACAAGTGAATGTTTTGTCTAGACACTTGACATACGTGCTAGGAAAATCGTAAAGTGCAAAAGAAGGTGCAGATTCTTCGCTTGCATTCTTGCAATTGCATTTCCCTGATTTAATTCCTTTACATCGTGTCAATCGCCTGTCCCCGAATTTCGAGCCCTTTTCCTTTTTTTTCTAATTTTTTTCGATTTTCCTCTCCTTTCACTATGTGTACTCGATTAATTTCCGGATCTTTTGACTATTTCGTCATCTCATTGCCGCGACCACGCTCCGCTTTAGGAAATCAGATGCGCTCGACATATATAATTACTCTGATAATCCACCTCTCTCTCCTTTCCTCATCAATCGCTTTAATGACTTCAGTATTGGTAACAGGAGCATCGGGGTTCATTGCCCAGCACATTGTCAAGCTGCTCATCTCTAAAAACTATTCCGTGGTTGGAACTGTTCGTCTGTCAGCTAAAGGTGATAAGCTCAAGGCCAACCTCGATGCCATGAACGCAGGCAAGTTCGAGTACTCGATTGTTCCCGACATTGCAGCAGAAGGTGCATTCGACAAGGTTTTCACCAACTTTCCCGACATTTCTGTTGTTCTCCACACCGCATCGCCATTCTTCTACGATACCACTGATCCCGAGAAAGACTTAGTGATTCCTGCTATCCGTGGCACTGAAAACATCATGAATGCTATCAAAGCACAAGTTTTGGCTAGCAAGTGCAACATTAAGCGCGTGGTGATCACTTCCAGCGATGCAGCTATCTATTCTTCGGTCGATGAACAGAATGCTGCTCTCTCATTCGACGAGACTTCATGGAACAACATCTCCTATGAAGACGCCATCAAGGACCCAGTCAGTGCGTACTATGGAGCCAAGTCTTTTGCTGAGAAGGCTGCTTGGAAAATCGCCGAGACTCCTGGATTCCCAAAAGTTTCTTCTGTCAATCCAGTCTGGGTGTTTGGACCCCAAGCTTTTGACAACGAAGTGAGCAACGTGTTGAACACGTCCAACGAAATGATTCACATCTTGACGAAGGTTGGCCCCGACGGACACTTTGAGAACGACAAGGGAGGGTTTGTCGACGTTCGTGATGTGGCCAAGGGACATTTGGCTGCTTTCGAAGAGGATTATACAATTGGCAAACGGTTGTACATGAAGAATGGCGAGTTCAGCATGCAAATGATGTTGGATGCTATGAACAAGCAGTTCCCACAGCTTAGGGGTAAGATTCCTGTTGGCACACCCGGGTCAGGACCTGCGGATATTCTGACGTTGGCTAAAGCAAATAACGCGGCCACCAGAGAGCTTTTGGGAATCAAATGGGTGAGTTTGGAACAATGTGTGAGTGACATTTTGAGCCAACTTTTTGCTAGGAAAAGAGAAAGTTCATTGTGACTACAATGAAGTGACGAGAACTCCAGTAGACATCATATAGAGAATGAATTGAGAATGAATTGGAAATGAATTGGAAATGGATCGAAATGAGAAGAAGGGAGTAGATTACAATAGATATTGCCTTGTAAATCTAATCGAAAAAAAGTGATTCAAAAGAGGCTCATCCTCAAACGTTTACCGCCTTACGTTTCAGTTCAAAAGCATGATCAAAGAAATAGGGAAACTACAGTTATAATGCAATCTCAGGAAAAACAGATCGGAGAAGAAATCAGATAAAAAGCAGAGAACTCTACGAAACAATTGAAGACAACTAAGGAGAATCGGGTATCAGTGCCAAACAACATCCTTTTTAATTTTAACGCACTTGCTAAAATCAGCAATAGTGAAGAATTACAATGAGGCAGGGTTCGTTTAGAAAAACGACTTTCAAGATCTAAAACTCACCAAAGACCCATACCAAAGTAAAAGTGGAAATATTGGGACAATCCATTTCTTACTAATAAAAACCACTAATTAATTCCCAAGCTCTTTTGATTTCCAAGATCCTTCTATTCTCCAAACAAATTTCCGAAATTTCAAAGCTTTCTTCTCGCTAAAAATAAAGAAAAATCTCTTCATTGGCATCTTGCAACCACCCTGCATCGAATGATCTGCCATCGATGAACCCGAGATTCGGATGCGGATCCTCCCAAAGAGAATACCCGAATCCCGACCTTAACTGCACACCATCCGATGGTCACTATCCAAATCTTGATGTCAGCAAAACTTGACGCCGTGTCACCTTCAGTACACTCCAACATGGTGTTGATCATGTAAGCACCTTCGGTACATCTGTTCTGCACATAGATCAACACAACCATGGCATTTATAATCCCAAACATCTGGACCATCGTAAAAAAAGAAATAATCGTAAACAGCGACAATAAGAGCTCATTATTATCTGAGTTATCGTGGTGATTGTTATCAACATTCCCCTCATCTTCTCCTTTTGTGATTGTCATTATTCATGCATCCTCACGAGCTATGGCCAAAAACTCCGATCGGCTGCAGGAGAATGAAGCCTTCAGGGTAGACGACGGGCCGTGTGAACCGAACCAGCCAATTAGAGTTGTCACAAACGTCAGCAACGCATATATACAGTCCGCAATCTTCCTGCGACCACGGTACCGATGCTAGTCCTTGTATGAGTGTGTGCAGGAATTCATACTAGATATATATAATAACCATTCAAAGGTGAAAAAAAAATACACCCTTCCCCTCCCAAATTTTTCGACTTTTCCATTAATAAGTCCAAAACCACCATACGGTTATTCAGCATCTCTGCTTAACATTCTCCAATCAGCCACCCATACTCCACATCCCTTTACTCCACAGCATGTTGGTGCAAGCAAAAAACGCCGTGGCCTCCCTCTTCAACACCAGAGATAGCCTGGACGACGAATTGGCTAGAGCACAAAGATTATTGGACAACAACCAGCTGCCTTATGGATCTGTCGCCACCAGCGATCGTGCACAGGAGGCTGCCAACGAGGAGGCCATTGCTAATGCCTTGAAGCATCTGAACAGCGAAGACGACGAGGAGAAGGAACAGCAGGGTTTCCTTAACAGTTTTGACCCACGTGTGATGAGTGATATCATCATTGGACTTTCTGACGGATTGACGGTCCCTTTTGCATTGACGGCAGGCTTGTCGTCCTTGGGTTCTTCTAAACTTGTCATCACTGGTGGAATGGCCGAGTTGGTCAGTGGAGCCATTTCCATGGGTCTTGGAGGTTACTTGGCTGCTAAGTCCGAGTTGGATTACTACAAGAGTGAGGTGAAGAAAGAGAAGTTGGAGTTTTTCAAGAAACCTGAATTGATCAACCAAGATGCGGCTGAAATCATGTTGGATTTGGGTGCATCTGAATCCACCATTGCATCATTCTTGAAGGATTTGGACCTGCAACCAAAGAATTTGATCGACTTTGTCATTCGTTTCGGTAAGGGTTTGGAGGAGCCTGCTGAAGGTAGAGAAATCACCTCGGCATTGACCATTGGTACCGGATACTTCCTTGGAGGATTCGTGCCTTTGATTCCTTACTTTTTCTGCGACGTGGTTAAGACCGGACTTATTGTCTCGGTCATTGTGATGATCGTGACTCTTTTCATTTTCGGCTACGTCAAGACCTCGGTTTCCTTGGGTGACGACTGTGGCATACATCGGAAGGTTCTTGAAGGGTTCCAGATGGTCATTATTGGTTCTGTGGCGGCCGGTGCGGCATGGACTTTGGTCTACTTTATTGATACGTAAGTCATATTGCTGTGCCTCCAGTATCCCATCCAGAACCATACACAATGCATCCATGGCGCCGTGCTACCAAAACACAGATTTCCCCAACGTGGCAGCGGCCAGGCCTGACCTTTGTATATTAGAGAGGGTTGAAAGCACCCTTGTAATTACGAAAACTCGAGAATGTTTCATTTCAATTGAGTTTCGGATTACTTAGCCATTATAAATGATCCTCAATGAAGTTTACAAGTGTAGATGGTGATTGGTTTTCAGTGTGTTCATAGATTATTCTGATGATGTCACTATTCCATTGGTTACTTTTGAAAATTTTAGCGATGTTCCATGCAAATACTTTGGTAAGAAATTCTAATTTTTTCAGAATGTACTATTCAAGCTTTTATCTGGGTAAGTCTCTATGGTGGTATGAGAGGTACGGGTCTGCCACACTAAACACACACTTCAAGCCAAATACTGCATCACAATCAATTGTGGCATTAACATAGCAATGTTAGAGAAACATCAATTCAGCCATACTTCCATAGTCAATTCTTCTTTCGTTTCTGAATAACATTACACAGTCATTTCTAGACAGCAATGTCAGTATATGCAGTACATTCTATCAGTATATCTGACTTATTGAAAAATATACAAAATTGACGGAAAAAATTCAGAAATTTTCTTAAACAACTATAAATAAATAATACTTATAATCACTTCTATAGTCTTCAGAGTCTCATCATTAAATACAAAAACTCCTCACTACTGTTCTATTACATATCCTGCACATGACCACACCTCCACCTATTGCCACTAGTAATTTCTTAAACTTACCTCCTACCTACAAAAACTACATCCCCCATCACCATGTCGTTCAGATTCGCCGACGTGATCTCCAAAATCGCCATCCCTGCAGGTTTGGGCTTCACCCTCCTCCAGTCGGCCATGTACGATGTCGAAGGAGGAAAAAGAGCAGTCATTTTCGACCGTTTGAATGGAGTTCAAGCAGCAGTCATTGGTGAAGGTACTCATTTTGTTATTCCATGGTTGCAGAAACCAATCATTTATGATGTCAGAACAAAGCCAAAGACCATTGCCACTACCACAGGATCCAAGGACTTGCAGAATGTCTCGTTGACCTTGAGAGTGTTGCACCGTCCAGAAGTGTTGAGTTTGCCCAAGATTTACCAGACTTTGGGCTTGGATTACGACGAGAGAGTGTTGCCTGCCATTGGAAATGAAATTTTGAAGAGTATTGTGGCACAGTTTGATGCCGCCGAACTCATTACTCAGAGAGAAGTTGTAAGTGCTAGAATCAGACAGGAGCTTTCGAGAAGAGCAGCTGAATTCAACATCCGTTTGGAGGACGTTCTGATCACCCACATGACCTTCGGAAAGGAATTTACTAAGGCTGTGGAACAGAAGCAGATTGCTCAGCAAGATGCAGAGAGAGCAAAGTACTTGGTGGACAGAGCCGAGCAGGAAAGAAAGGCTGCCGTTATCCGTGCCGAGGGTGAGGCCGAGGCTGCTGACACGGTCTCTAAGGCTTTGGCCAAGGCCGGAGACGGATTGTTGATGATCAGAAGATTGGAGGCTTCGAAGGACATTGCGCAGACTTTGGCTGCTTCTCCTAGCGTGAGCTACTTGCCAAGTGGAAAGGCAGGTGAGGAGTCGAAGAACTCGTTGTTGTTGAATGTTGGACGTTAGGATGGTCGATGTGGTCAATCTTGTGAATAGTTACGAATGCCAATGGTCAGAGAGAGATGTAGAAGTTCAAGGAAGCGCTCAATATCTACAGTGTACGGTTATTACGATTTGAATATACATGTGGATTCCGAAAGGTTTGGGCTAAGTCCGACCAGTGCTTTGGACACTCGATGCGTGAGATCAAACACACCAACTTCCCTATAACTATATACATATTTCCACAACCTCGTCGTAGACTCCAGGAGTGGTGACCTTTCCCTCCCGGATCAATGCCTCGATGTCGTCCACCTCTTTCACACACAAACTGGTCAAGTTCAAGACGTCGCTGGACACTTTTCCCACCGCAATATCGTCCTCTACTCGCACTCCGATGCCTTGAAATTGCTTGGGCCACTTGGTGTCGAAGGGAATGTACAATCCGGGCTCGATGGTAATGACATTGCCCTTCTTCACGCGGGTATGTCTCGAAACAGATGGAATATCATGCAAGTCCAACCCCAAATGGTGGCCGATGTAGTGGGGGAAAAGTTCTCTGGAAACCTCTGATCTGGTCACATTGGAGAAGCCCGTGATTTGTCTCAAACCTTGGGTCAACGTCGTCACCGAAAGTTCATGGAGATCTTGCAATGACATGGCAGCATTCTCGTGACACTGGTCAATACATACCTTGTTTGCTTCCAAAACAACTTGATAGATGTCTTTTTGAGCAGGTGAGAACCCATTAGGCGAATTGGGCCATGTTCTTGAAATATCAGCACAGTAGCCTCCCAACTTTCCACCGGCGTCCACAAAAACCGTCTCATCTCGGTAAAGCAAGTCATCATTTCTTGTATAGTGGATGGTTAATGCATTTTCTCCACTGGCAACAACTGGAATGTATGCTTGCTTGTCACAGCCTCCACGGACAAAAGCATACTCCAAGTATTGAGCAAGCGTCTTCTCCGACAGAAATGGATCAACAGACCCCACACGTGCTATAGCCGTGTTAATTGCCCGCGATGAGATCTTTCCAGCACGGTGCATCACCTTGATTTCTGCTTCTGACTTGATCAGCCTCTGCTCGGCCACAATTGGCTTCAATGGTCGCACAGTGGCTCGAGACGTCCGGAGCAATTCCTGAATGGTGGCCAGATGTCCCTTGGGCGTGAAATTGAAGAACAGTTTGAAGTTGGCGTTGCCAGTATTGTTGCCTTTGGTCTTGTCATCCACATAGACGTAATCATTTCTCTCGATGATGTGGCGCAAATATGAGTCCACGCGGCCAATTCCAGCCACCTCATCAGCATTGAAGTAGTCGTAAGCACCCTCTAATCCCGATTTGGCACCCTCCCAGAGCTCTGTTGCAGGATTCTTGGGAGGAACAATCATATGGAACACCACATCCGTTTCACTCCCCGTATCGGCAACTTTCTCGATCACGGCCACACTATCGGGTTCCAACCATCCTGTTAAGTAGTAGAGATCATTATCCTGCTGGAAATCGTAAAATACAGCGCCCGATGAGTGTTGGATACGATTCCCCACCAAAATGGCTGCGGACCGCTCAGGGAGCTGCTTGGCCAATTCAAGACGCCGATGGTAGTACTCTAGCGCCGAAATTCCCACGGTGATTTCACCTGCCTTGGGCAAAATGTGTTTTCTGGTCTCGTGCATGGGCTGGCCAGTTTTATATGGTATCTCCAACTTTGGTCTCGTGGCCAACAGCAACTGGCGACAAGGCGGATGCCGTGCCAAGCTCCACGACAAACGCAACATTAATCTATCCAAAATGTATAGAATTTACTTTATCCAGTATTGCAGGAGTACAGAACAAGAGTAGGAATAGCAGCAATTGCAGTAGTAGTCGTACCTTTTGGCATATTTGGAGTCGCACTATTATCACCAAATCACCAAATCACCGAGTCACCATATCAACTCTCGTGAATTATATGCTGGTGGTGCTAGATCCCTACAAAGGGTTCTGCTTTGTCAAGGAGAAGGCGACGGTGAATCCGGTGGTGCATACCAACGGGTTTGACCAATTGGACTGGGAAAAGCATTTACCAGAAGGTGGAAATGTCGATAAAAATGACTCCGAAGAGATAGCTGAGGAAAATGCTCCGAAAGCGAAGATTTCTCGCGCAGAAAGAAAACAAATCAAGAAACAGGTGGCAGCAAAGAGGAAGCTCCGGCTGTCAGCGGCGGATTCTGACGCCGTGGTGCTGAAAAACGAGCCCAATCCATATCTGGCGAAACAAAGACTCAAAAAGCTCCATGGAATGCTTGCCAGCGGCGCTGACACCAAACTTTTTGACTTTGGCCTGATTGCCTTCTACAAGTCTGATGTAGACTACGTGGTTCCTGGCGAATGGCTCAATGACAACAACATTTCATTTGTCTACGAAGCTTTATCGACATATTTCCTTAAACCTCATACGTTCGGCCACCAGGTGTACATGCTCTACCCTGCGTTGGTTCAGCTCTTCTTGCATTACCCTATCGTGGAAGAAATCAGCGGCATCTTGCCCATGAAGGACTTGAAAAAGCTGAAATTCGTCTTCATTCCATTTAACTTCATTGACGAATGTGATCTGGTCGACTTGGAGGACGCCAACAATGGTGACCACTGGGCTTTGTGTTTGCTAAGTGTCGAGGAACGTAAATTGTACGTTTATGACTCCATGAGCTTCGATGATGATGAAGAAGAAGATGACCAGTTACTCCACCAATTGGCTTCGAGATTAAAGACGGCTCTTTTCAAGCCAAAAGATACAATTTCCATAGTGAAAATGAAATGCGGCCAGCAAACAAACTTTGACGATTGCGGCGTCTATTTAGTTATGTTTTCCTGTTATCTAGTGTCGTTGCTCATGTCCGAGAAACCCACCAACTTGGATCTCACTCGCGTGGTGTTCAATCCTCTAAGTGGAAGACTCTCGATGATGGAATTGGTGTATAAGTTGGCCAAGGAACAGCTGCTTACACCCAGTTAGAATTCATCGTACCGCATCTATGCCCCAACAAACAGAAAATTAGACTTAATTATGCACATAATGAAAACAGTAACGTTACTACATGTATAAGGCCACCAACTTCGCTTTCAACAATTGTCCGGCTGCCTCAGCCCGTGTCAAATGGTCGATCTGATCTATTTGTTGTACCACGTGCTGCAATCTCGTATCATCATTCAATGGGTCATTACAGAATTCGTCGTTTTCCCTATCAAAAGTGATGTTAACCTGACTCAACTGGAGTACCGACATGAGCACCAACAATTTGTCCGAGACTCTTGAACATTGCTTTTGGGAGCATTCAATATAGCCCAAGCGTCTTACCATGGTTGTCCTTGGAATTCTTCGTGTGATAGACATTATAAGTAGGAAGACTTTCAGATCGAGAAGGTCCACCAAGTATTCCCAGAAACCTTCATCTTTCTGGGGTAGCAAATAAGAAATCTCCGCGTCCGCTGCTTCCACGACTTGCTTGCTCATGAGCGATTTCACATGAGCAAATTCAGCTTTTGATAACCCATACATGATGTCGTAAAATGTCGACACCAAGTCAGAAGTGTTTGTAAAAAGCTCCACAATGCTCTCATTAGCATTGAACGTGAGCTCCTTGAAAGGTTTGCTCGCCATACATGCCACCGAATACATGAGTAGTAGCTCTCGCTGTAAGTTCAAAAATTCGACGGTATCAAAAGAAGTATAGAGCAGATCAAACTCGTCAGCAAATGCAACAAACTGGTTCATTTTAAACTTTGCTATGGCTAGCAAGAACTTGGCTATCTTGTAACACCCAAACTCAAACTCCACCTTGGACACCACATGGAGAGGTTGCTCTGGCAATGATTTAAGCAAATGGACACTTCTGCTGTGGTAAAGAGAGATTCTTTTATCAAGCAGCAGGAGTTTCTCCTCGGCATTAACCTCAGAAGATGCAGAAGTTGACGTGAAAGATGGAAGCTCCCATATCAGGCCGTAAAGGGTGCAAATAAGCTGATAGAGCAAGAATTCAAAGTATCTGTTGGCACCAAACTGCTCAGCACTCGTACTATGGTTCATGAACTGTGCCATTCTGCTCATTCTAGTGACATAGTACGACAACATCTTGAAATCGCCCGCGATAAACCGTTGTTGGCAGAGAGGAACAAACTCTTCAAATAAAACCGACTTTTCTGGTGCATCAGTGAGCGCTAGCTCGTACAAATATTCTGGAACCTTAACAATGTCTTTAGCTCGTGTAAGCCATTCGGAATTGAACTTGGTTTTGGTCTGAAGTCCTGATTCTTGGAGGACTTCAACCATCTGTTCAGCTATAGGGTGCACTGCACCAAACCTCTCCATTAGAGTGAGAGCTTTGAGGGCAATATCAGCTCTTTCGACATTGCTAAATACCCGAGCATAAGAGAACTTATGGACCAAGGAGAAAACCTGGAGGAAGTCGAATCTTTCCATGGTAGTAAGTATTGTTTCAATCAATAGAGATATACAGGTTGACGTTGAGGTGTGGAAGATAGAAAAAGATAACAAAAATTTCCTTCAATCCTATAAGATATAAATATAAAATTTAAAGCAAAAATAAAAAAAAGTATCAGATTCAGTATTTTTATCAACATATCGACCAACATTATCTCTTTGTAAATTTCAATATCACCATCAACATTATCAACATGCTATACTAATTGACCATCATGAGCCTTCTTCCACTATTCTTCATGTCCAGATATCACATTGTTTACATATTATTAACTTTTCACTTTACAAAAATCCCTCAAGGACCCGATGTGCTTTCTCCAATCTTTCCATCCCGACATCGTATCTGTTCTCGTCTATCACCATGTCCAGAGTCAAACGACTCAAGGAGTCCACGATTTTCTCAATCATTTGCTTCTCCTGAATTGGCAAATTCAAGCTCTCAAACTCCTCACCAATCACTGTGCCATTTACACTCTCCAAAAGATGAATCAAGGTATTATACGAGAATGGCTTGAGCTGAAAGTTAGATGCGTCTCTGGCCTTTTTGCGACTAGACTTACGTTTACTAGTCTTGCGTTTGGGGTTTTGAATGCTATCCTTTACACTCTTGGACCTTACCGGCTTGGAAACAATCACTGGGTCCTCAATGTCGTAGAACCCATCATCACCAGGGGTGTCGCGAGCATAGACAGAGCTTCCAACTTTGCCTGGAGTGATCTCACTCTGCGCAAGCAATGTGCCTGGAGGTGGTGGGAGCTCTTTTTCTGTGCGCAAGCTTTGCGAGTTAGCGTGCCGAAGATCCACTGGTTGACCAAGCTCCTTGAGGTCTGGAGTGAGAGAGAATGCAAGTGAGTCACGGACTGGATTGTGGACTCCTGGAGTGATAGTCCCCATGGGCTTTGTTGCCTCTTTTGAAGGGGTCTGAAGGGCTTGTTCATCAATGGACTTGCCCAAATTGGAAGATTGTCCGATATTTGAAGATTGGCCAAGATTCGATCCTGGAGAATTGGACGACCCCAAAGTAGTAGACTGAAAATCGTCACTCTCAATTTTGGTCGGAGTCTTATCATTGTTTGGTGCATTGTCTTCGCCCAATGAATAGACTCCTCTTTCATTGATATCCCTAATATTTTGGTCGCTCTTACCGCTTGCAGTAGCCACTTCAGCCTCCAACTTGTTAGAGGGATATTCTTGGACAACCAATCCCTCTACATCGGGCTCAAATCCATCTATGTTACCCACAAGTGCATTGAGTGTGCCTGGATGGACAGAGTTCACCAGGTCGTCCATATCTTGGCTAACGGTGTTTTCTTGCAGAGCAATGCTTCCTCCAGTACTGAACTGATGCGATGCCTGTCTTGCCCTTTCCAAGTTGTCAGGATTTGGCCGTTTTGGAAGTACCATTGGTACGGTGGTTTCTTTATGCTCATGTGTTAAGGATGTGGTAGATCTTCCATCACCAGCGGTCTCAAAACTTTCAGTGGAAAGCATGCTGTTGAGCCTTGAATGCCCCACAACATTTTCTGGAACACTTTCTGGAGCACTTTCCGGTCCAGACTCCTGGGATTCATTGGAGCTTCCCACTCCTTCCTCCTTGTGTTGCAAGTCGTTGGCACTCTCCATGATCTTGTCGAGATCGTCGCTGATATTAAGTGAAAATCGGTGCTGGTGATTTGTGGTTTCTTTGGGTCTCAGACTAATGATCTCACTAACGGGTCTTCTTCTCAGTCTAGGAGGAATCACGTTTTCTACTGCCGTGTTGACAGTGTACTCGGGTACAATTAACGACGAGGTAGGTCCCTTGATAGTGTTGAGGCGGCCCAAATGAACCTGGCTCTCTGAAATCAGCGACATATCGTCGTCGAAGCTCGCATCAGTTCTGCTTCGAACACGGGCATCCTTGCCGTCGAAAACATGCACGGGCACAGCTTGGCCTATTTCAGCAAGGTGGAGCGAGCCATGGGAGATTTCCAGACTGTAGGACTCACGATAGGACATATGTTTTTCTGGCTGCTTCAAAAGCAGATCGTCTGAGGCCCTCTTCTGGTGCTGGCTCAACTCAGGAGACACCGAATACACGGAGTCTGAGTATTGGTCTTTTGGATCCATAATCAGGCAGTAATGAGGTCAAGGAAGTTGTATTCAGAGGATGGACGGTTAGTTTTTAGTGGGTCTGAGGGTGTGTTTTGGTATTGCCAAATCAGGAAGTGTAATAGCCATCATGCAGCCTTTGGCGCACTTCGATTGCAGCGATTGGGTCTTTGTTGTGCTGCGCATTGCATATTGACATTTTCATTCCCATGATAATTCCATAAAATCTCATGGCAACACTATGGCGCAGGCTCTACCATGTCAACCATTTCTCAGCCAGCCCACTCAATTATGAGAGCTTGTCGAGAAGATGTGCTCAGTTTCGCAGCTCCAAAGCTCCAACCTCGGCTGCGATTCGAGATTATATCCTAGCCAACCGCATGCTTCAAAAGATCAATCGACAGCAAAATCCCCGCTTCAGCCAGCCAGGATCAGCCCTAATTGACCTCGATCTTCACCTCCATGTACCCAGTGCACAGCTTGAGCAGGAACTCTGGCTGTTCTTGCAGGAATACTGGCACATGTCCATGACAGACGAGGCTATAGTCAAGGATTATGTTCTTTCATGTACATCGGGCGATATCACCCACGGATTCCATTTGGTGACCGAAAATTACAATTACAACCTTGCAGAGGGTCGCATTGCCCGTGGACCGGTGCTTGCGCTCATACATGTGCTTTTGCATCGAAGTGACTATCATGGATGTTTTAAGCTTCTTAACTTAACGTTTGGTAGTAAAAACCTGAAGGCTCTAGAAAGAAGGGCTTACTACCAAACTATTGCTGTAGGTGCATTGGTATCGGTAGTAGCCGGAGCATTACAGTGTGCATTTATGACTCCATACTGGGCTGTGGCATTTCTCACGTTGGATATGGGTGCCATATTCGGCACCATGTACGGTCTCAACCGTATTCATTATTCGGACCTGTTAGGTAGAGTTAGCTGGCGGCCGTATACGAGTATCTTCTACAGATATATTCATCGGCAGGAGATTCTGGTGATCAACAAGATCGTAACTTATTTCGAGGACTACAACGAGGTGAATGTGAAGAATTACCACATTTCCGAGGTTAGAAACACTACAAATCTTGGGACGTTTCATCAAAATGAGTATGAGTTCCAATTGCCCGATTCGATGGCTTTGACGTGGGATAGTATAGGTACTGACCAGAAGGTCCAGTCTACAGCTCGATATTTCCGTTCTGAATTGAGCAAAAGACGATTGTTATGGAAACCTCTAGATGAGGAGCGCATGTTAATTGAGTTTTGGATATCACATGGCGAGAATTTTGAATGGGTAGAGCCGGACCAAGACCCTGCTGAGATGGTTGATTTCCGATGATCTCGAAAAATCAATTTCTCAGTATCCCTAATAGTCCAAGCACCATTTTTTATAATCAAAGTGTAATAATATTTTCCAAAAAGCTTCAAAATAGATCCGATTCAAGTTATATCATATTTCATTGATTTTGCTATTTTAGTATCCAACTCAACCTCTATGTATAGCATCGCGACTCATATAAACAAACTTAACTATATCATCAAACTCATCCAAAATCATCACAATATGTCCTACATACCTCTACCGACACCGCAAATTGATCAAATTGCTAGCATAAAGTTTTCACCGCTCGATGACCAGCTTCTCCTCTCATCTTTCGACGGTTCTGTTCTTCTATATCGGTGCCAAACTCCAGGTGGACAAATCGTGCCCAAACTTATGTCCAAGTTTCATACGGATGCTGCAGTCACTAGCTCAGTATTCTTGCCGTCTCGATCCACCTTTGTTGGCCTACTCGACGGTACTGTCCGTCAGATTGACTTTGAAAACATGAAGTTAACCTCACCGATAGATGGAGACCCCAAAACGACCATTAACGACACAAGCAGTATTTCCCAAGCACTAAATCACTTAGCTGCTGTCCCTGGCCAAGACAGTCTCGTTATAGCCAGCACTTATGCGGGAAACTTGAAGTATCTTGATGTGCGGACTCATAGACCAGTTTTCCAACATAAAACAAGCAAGATTTTTGCCCTAGACACCACGGCGAGGTACGTGACGTTGGGCCAGGCGTCCCAGCTGGTCCAGATATACGATGTTCGCAAATGGAACTTGCCATGTCAAACCAGAACGAGTGGCCTCAAGTACCAAATCACGGCACTTCGAAACTTTCCGTCTGGAGAAGGCTACGTATTGAGTTCCTTAGATGGAAGGGTTTCTGTTGAATACTACGACGAGCTGCCAGAAGTGCAACAGCTCAAGTTTGCGTTCAAGTGCCATCGCCATAAAGATAAACTGTCAGGCACTGATTCAGTATACCCCGTGACTACGCTACGATTTCATAAGCAAACAAACACGCTATTCACCGGAGGCGCAGATGGACACGTCTGTTTGTGGGATTGGCAGCGGCGCAAACGTACTAAGCAGTTTGTAGCGGTGGATGGTGCTATTAGTCATATGGACATTAACCATGATGAGTCCATGTTAGTGGTGGGCACGACAGACGATCTGTACTTGCGAGCTCGGGACTATAATGTTGATGTAGATTCCAAGAGGAGCATGGTGCATTTGAGGAGATTAGAGGGAAGAGAATGGACGAAGAGATGAATAGTGATGATAGAAAAGTAATGAGAGTAATGAGATAGGAGACTTCAGATGTGATTGAAGACATGAGAATAGAGATTAATGAGTTAGCAGCCTTCTCCAACAATTATGGGTGACTGACTGATCAATGAGCAACAGCAAATACATCCCCTAGAATTCGCAAGCATCTCCAAACTAGGAAACTCTATTCCATAAACAATAGGACTATACTCTAAATCTCAGAGGTTCTCAAGGTCCATAACCTATGGTGAGATTCCTAATTTCAGCTCACAATCTTGAACAATTCTTTGTGGCACTTTGTCTATTGAAGAAAGGGAACAAGTTCAAAGTTCATAAACATACACAAATTTAATTAACGACAGTCTCGTCCAAACAATGCAATGGACTGTCCTACTCATGGCAACCATGATGTCATGTTGCGGGACGGGGCACATCAAAAAAAAATACGACAAAACCCTGCTATCCTCACTGAACAATTTTTCTAATTTATTTCCCTTTTCTTCTTTATATCCTTACGGTGCCCATTTTCAACCTCACCACATCGGGCCCTAACTAAACCTCCCTATCTTCCCATCGGTAATTAGCCTGCACTCCCCAAACTTTTATCAACATCAATGTCTTTTCAAGACAAATCGGCTGCCTTCCGTGGTTGGCTCGACAAGAATGACGTTTCTGTATCTGGAAAGATTGATATTGTAGACTTGAGGGACGATGGCCAAGGCAGGGCTGTAGTGGCTACCCAGGATATCGATGAAGATGAGCTACTCTTCAAGATTCCAAAACTGCTGTACTTCAGCATTTATAACAGCTCGCTAGTGCAAGAACACCCGGAGCTTCGTGACAAATTGTTGTCCTTGGGGCTGTGGGAAGCACTAACATTGGCAATTGTGTACGAATGGAAGGTCAAGAAGGACAAGAGTCGCTGGGTCGGTTACTTCGATATTCTTCCGTTCATGGACACTGACAACTACACCTTCAATCAGCTTATATTCTGGAACGAAGAAGAAACTGCCAAGCTTGCGCCATCCTTGGTTTTGAAAAGAATTGGAAAAGACTCTGCCCGAAAAATGTACAAAGATATATTTGGAGGAAACAACCTTGGAATCGAGGAATTCAATGATGTGAGTTTGGAGGAGTTTGATCAAGTTGCGCTGACGATCATGTCATATTCATTCAACGTGGAGACACTCAAGGAAGAGGCAGAAGAGGCCGAGGAGGAGCAAAAGGAAGACGAAGAGGAAGAGGAGGATAAGGAAGGCGATGAGACATTCTACCAATGCATGGTACCATTGGCAGATATGTTGAATGCAGATTCACACAAGAATAATGCCCGCTTGATGTACGAATCTCAAAACCTCGAGATGAGAGCAACTAAACCAATCAAGAAAGGTGACCAGGTGTACAACATTTACTCTAATCACTGCAATTCAGAGCTTTTGCGTAGGTACGGATACGTGGAGCCTGAAGGGTCCGATCAGGATTTTGGCGTGGTTCCTTTGCAGACCATCAAGAAATACTTTGCTGAGAATACCTCGCTATCTCTGGAAACGGTCGAAGATGTCGTCACGGTGTTGAAGATGATCGAGCAGGAGGAAGAAGAAGAAATTATCCCTGACGACTTTGCTATTTATGTGGAAGGCGAAATCGAGTTCCAATTCACTTTCGTGGTTCAACTTTTCATCGTGGTTGCTGGAATTAATGATCAGAGATCATTCAACTCTGCATCTTTGGAAGTTAAAGCCAGAGGCTTGAGAAGAGTCTACAAAAAATGCTACCAGCTTCTCCAGTCTTTTAAGGTGACGGAGTCCTTTGCCAGAATTTATAAGAGAATCATTCAGTTGAGAATGGCAGAATATCCTAAGAAGGCAACCCAGGAATTTGAGAAGAGGGAGGGAGACCTTTCTCGAGAAGAGATGGCCAACATAGTGTTGAAATCGGAGTACAAAGCATTGAAAAACGGTCTAGACTTTGATAAAGTTTACAAAAACAGGGAAGAGGGATACGACGTTGTGGATGATGAAAAGTTGTTAAAAAACATTTTGAAGAAAGACATCTTTGAAGGTAGGGACGACAAAGCTTACAAAAAACAAAAGCTAAACTAAACCCTAATAGCATTTTATTATAGAATATAACCCATTAATCTTCAGAACTCAAGAATTAAATGTACGTCAATCGCTCTGGTGGTCCGACAAGTTCAGTGTGTCGTCCACCGTATGCATTGGTTTCACAACGATTTGACGTGGACGAGACACCTCAAATCCTTTGGTTTTTGTTGCCTTTTTGCAAGCTCGAAGCAGTGAAAAATGCTTCGCGAGTCCTGCAAACCTAGCAGGCAGTGTCTTCTCATGCAATTTTTCCGGTGCCAATGGTATGGGAGACGTTGGCGTTTCGACGTTCCATTCTCTCGATAACCACAAATCTCTGATTTCCGGATCTACAGCACCATCCAAGAAAAATTTGTGGTATAAGCGATCTCCTTCTCGGGTGGTGTAGTCCTTTTGTTGCTTCCTTGCTTCGGTATGCTCGAAATCCAACTCGTCACTTGTTACCTCATCTTCCCATGAATTTTCATGATGCAGACCCGTCGGTGCATGCAAATGTTGCGATCTTTGGAGGATTTTCTCACTCTTTGTACGGTAGTAATCAACTTCTCCGCCTTCCTCGGCACCGGTTGTGCGGGGAGAAAGCGTTTCGCCTTCAGCTCTTGGGGATGAAGTTTCCTTCTTAATTGCGACAGGCTGATACTCGAAGCCATCGTTGAAATCGTCGACGCTTGCACCCTTCGCACCCAGATAATTGCCAAGATTCTTCTTCTCCTTGGTTTCCCTCATGAATGAGGTACCGGTCAAACCGAGACAATAAAATAAGTGGATGACAAAAGTGAACGCAACAAACAAATGTATAAGCATTTGGACGTAAGCAATGTAGGTTCTGGGAGCTTCAGCGACATTAAGCGGTCTGATATATGGAATGCACAAGATGCTTTGGATTAGTCTTGCTGCAGGAATAATCCAAGAAAGCGAGTACCACCTCATCTTAAGGTAATATGGGCGAACAGTAACCAATATAGATAACTGTACAAATTCAAGAACGATGAGAAGGACAACCTGTACAGTTCCCAGCTTCTGAAGGAGCCCAACTATGATCAGCACAAGCACAGTGTACAATAGATCGACCACTGCGAAGTGAGCCTTGTCAGGTCGGTACTCATTGTAGAAGTACGACCAAACAATGACCACTTTGATGGATGTGTATAACTTTCTCAAATTTGGATTGACAATAGGCACCCATCTTTTAAAGGTAAGCAAATACCGGAAAATAAAGTAGGCAATCAAAGCAAACCAAATGACTAAAGCAAAGTACCCACCAATAATGCTTCCAAGCGGGATTGAATGCAAATTACGTCTCTGAGACGTAATGAAAGATGTGCCATTTGTAAATTTCGGTCTGCACACCAAATCGTCATACGACATGGTCTCGTTGAACGCATCTATGCGAAGATGATCTTGAGATAACCTCCAATACTTATCACTTAAGTTGTTCGACGTGTACAACATAAAGAAAGTCAAAACCAAGAATGGCATACCAAACGTGCTCAATAATTGGCGGAGGAAATGGCCGAATAGTGCCCAAGCATTCTTAGATAAAGCATATTTGAAAACGACTTCGTTATTCTCACCCATGCCGAAAACCGTGGGTAGCGAACGCATAAATTTCGGATGACTTCTCTTGAAGTTCGACGTGAATAACCGAAACATGATTAAGATCTGGTATACCACCATGGCGATGGCGATCCAACATAGCAAACACAACATGAAATTGGGCCAACTGTAATACACAAAACTGCTCGAGCTATAGAGGGCTAATGCACCCAATCCCGAAGAATTAAGGGTAATGTAGATGTTTTCGCTTTCCAGCAGGGGGATCGAAGTTTTTTTCTTCAAAAGATTGATTCCCAACAATGCACACCATCTGATTTGACCCATAAGTGGTTGAAGAAAGCCAGGATACTGTAGGTCAAGCGCAGACAAAAACAATGCAAATTGAAAGTACCCGACTATTCTGTTGATGCTTGCTTCTAGCTGTTTCAAAAGTCTCTCGTTGCAAATGGTGGAAGCTTCAATCAAAAACGGATTGGAAGTCTCCTGGTAGGGCGAGAACACCGTGATGAGGAAGTTGATACAATTGGTCACCAAAAGAAGCGAGAAAACTCCGAAAAAAAGTGTCGATGATAAGACAGGAGGTTGTAGCACCGGAGTAACATACACACGCACACCTCCAATGACATTAGACTGCTGGCCGTTGGAAACAACCGCAAACCTGACAGTGTAGGAACCAAGACGGTTGAAGTGATCGCTGATGTCTGCCTGGTAGTACATGGCAATGGAGTCGTTCTGGTACAACGGACATCCTATTAGGTCACCTGTCGAATTGGAGAATATCTTCTCGATGGTATTGTTGTTGGATGCGAATAGTCCAAAGTCAGAATTGGACTCGTTAAAGTGCAGATATCCGTCTGGATATTGTCTCCTGGCGATGGAGGAGTCGTTAAATCCAGCCCAAGGCAGTTTGGGCAAAGCCGTCGAGGTTGGAGATTCTGCGGACGACAGAGGCGACAAGCTTCCAGCGTATCGCGGGCTATCCTCGTAATCGGAAGTGTTTTTGACAGCCAATATATCGCAAAATCGTAGGTCCTTTTTGATGAAGGTCTTACCCATGAAATCGATATCTACATGGAAAGTAGTGTACCTGTTTGTCAGCAGGTCCACGTCTGTGATGATGGGTTCTGTCGTTGAAGAGTTTGACATGTCGTCCACCTTCGAGTTGATGTAGAACTTTAGGAGTTGGTTGTCCACGTCAAGTGCCACATCAACTATAAATGTGTCTAGCAAGTAATTAGAAGTAGAAAACCCATCGAGCTTGTATGTCTCCACGAAAGCCGCAGAACAAAAGCGTATTAGCAACAAAGCCACAAACGGTAGTGACAGGCGGAATATCCACATGGAATAGGACGGTGGTGTGGAAATAAGGGAGTTGCAGAAGGACGGAAAGTAGTTAAGCCTTTCAAAGCAGATAACGAGAAAAAAATCCAGTGGAAGGGAAGGGCGCAAAAGTGACAGAAACGGCCACAGACTAGCCAGTAGTATGCGGCGCGAGCTATCAGATGAAAATACCCAGGGAAAATGGCGCTTGGCTGGGATTCGGCAAAGGATGTATTTCTTTAAGTAGGTTCAACCCTGCGAAGGACATTCTTCTTCCTGTACGCACCTGAGTTGTTTGTTCGACGTCCTGCAGACAAAATGGGGCCGAGAAGTACGGGAGATTTATTTTGTGATGGAGCCGGGCAAACAACAGACGGGGGATCTTGTAAATCTAGACCGAAAGTGGAGAGGGTAAGTTTTTTACACTGGTTGAGGAAAAGCGTGTTTGTGGGTGTTGCTTTGAGATTCAGGTGATTTGCGAAATTCTGGGTCGATTGATGAGTCTTAGACCCGTGCACCTTTGACATCAACAAGAATGTTGTAAGGTACCTGCAGGAGCGAATGCAAGGGGGTTATAATTATGGTGGTAAGTGAGCCTGGAAGACGAAAGCTTGGCAGAAATGATGCCTTAAGAATTGAAAAATAGGTAGATACAAGCAGTGATAAACCAAAAAAATGGTAGATGAAACCGAGGTGATTATGGGTGGTAGTTCAAAAAATATTAAGAATGATGTTATTGAGTAAGCTCGATTGGCAAGTGGAATGGGAAACACGACATTAAAGATGATGGAATGAAAAGCAATGTAACTAAATTAGCCCAAAAGTACTATTATCGAGGTTGGTTTTGATTTCTTTATTCATCACATATTCCAGACATAGACTAGTTCAATTGTTTGGGCATTGTTGTGAAGTTGGAAAATTAATTGTCGTTTGAACAATGAACAGCATGACTGTGTAACCGTAATTAGAGGACTCGGGTTCATTGTTGAACATATATGTAGAGAGTTTCTAGCAAGTCATATATAAATTGAATTGGAACTCTCACACCCAATTACTCCAAAGAATCTTTGGTTGCGAAACATTCGATTTAATTACTTCCACCATCAGAACCTCGCTACTTATATCAGGACTTAAAAAAATGACTTCCACGTAGCCTGATAAAATACAATTGAGGTAGCCTTTTACTTGCAAATCTATAGAAATCGCCAGAGCTTTCACCATTTGGCTACGCAGGCTACCACTTCCAGTAAAGAGTGTCTAGATGCAAAAACTGACAACTACTGCTTCAGCTCGGATCACTATAATAATATTAGGTGTTTATAGAGCACACTCCATGGCAATAGGTGCAAAATTTCAAGCAAAATCCTTGACCACATAAAACTTCAAGCCATGTTTCATAATTAGCAAATATTCCTATATAAGCGGTTTTAGCTCAGTTGGGAGAGCGTCAGACTGAAGATCTGGAGGTCCTGTGTTCGATCCACAGAAATCGCATATTTTTTTCCATTTTTCAACTTTGATCAAACATTATGTCGTATTCTAGACTTCGGTATGATTTTGGCTCATCAAACGTATATTTCTACAATCTTTTTCGGTGGTATTTTACTTGTTGTAAGGTTCTGGCCGTTCAAAACTTCCAAGAAGTCATTGACCACTAATCTGCTCCGACTCATCCACTTTGAGTTTCCATTCAGCTGCTAATCAATTTTCAATAAAATCCATATATCTGACTTTTCTCTATATCACTACTTCACGTCCGTAACCTGTCCATTGCTATATACATTATTTACATGTCACCACTAATCATTCACCCTTCTGAACTTTGGATACAACCTTCCAGCATGGTAGTTGATTGAGCTGACGGTCTCCTTCTGTGGCTTGAATGTTTCCATGCATGTTTTCAAGTCGTGCTCAAAAGCTGAACATTGTGCTGAACCTTCTCCATTGGCTGCCCAGCAGTTCAAAAGAGACGACATCAAAACGTAACATTGGTTTGTACTTTTTTGGAGAACTGGATTTCTGAGCCTCAACTTAGGCAACGGAGGCAATGACTTGGTCTGGGCAACTTTTTTGAATGCCATGGTGGAGGGTTGAAAAAGTTGATGTTCATTGTAAAAAATTTCGGGTTGAATGCGCGGGCGTGCGTGATTCAAGAGACTACAGGACATGATAATGCGACAATAACCATGATAAATATTAATTAATTCCTTAAGCTTTTCAGTTAAGTAAATTCGTAGGATTCAAAATCAAGACATTGAGTCCTTGGGCCTTTCTGCGCACGTTCTTGGAAAAATTTTTCCGCTCAAGTCTTAATCCCATAAATGGTTTCCGGATCCAGCAGATCCTCAGGAAATTCAGTGAGAGAATATGCTTGTGCAAAACAGCATGATACTTTGGTGGCACCCGAAGTCTATGTTCGGTTGCCATCGGCATCAATTTCGTAGAAACTATACGGTGAATTTTACCGTAAAGTTTGCGCATAAAGGCCCTTGATTCGTCTGCCAGAGTATACTTGATTCGGGTCAAGACATCGATGTGCTCCTCCAAGTTGATCAAGATCACCTTGAATAAATGCTTATAAAGGTTATTCTGATGCTTTGAAGTAGCAAGAACCATACCGTAGATGGGAATGAGGTCGAAATTTTTGAATCGGTAACTGGTGGTTGGGCCGGATGACGGTGTGGCATCGTGGTCTTTGGATGCAATGACATATTCACTTGTTCTCAACTTAGGGGCATTAGAATTGAGCACATCAACGCCTGTGGGGATGATTTTTCTCGCTATCTCCAAGTAGAGCAGATCCTTAAGTGATAAAGTCTCCCTTTCCACCCTTTCTAAGAACTTCACCAGATGGTGGCCCACTTTTCGATAGTTGTCGATATTGTCCATAAAGATGGGTTTCCCAACATCACGGAGAAGATCTTCCGGGGGAATCGGCTTAGGGTCGTAAGGCAGAATGCTTTCTTTTAGCTGGTCATCATCTAGGAAGTTCACATCCACCTTGTGCACAGGCACTTTCGTGTCGAACGGACGCATATCATTGATCATTTCCACCGGGAACAATGTCTCCATATCATCCTTGGCCCGCTTGTCGCCCTTGCCGCCCCGCATGGGGACTCCCACTATGCTACGGTCAAACCCCACCACATTGTACTGATACAATCTCTTGAACACCCTCTCTAAGCCCTTGGGCATCTCGTAGCGCTCGCCACGACGTCCTGCCTTGCACATATCCTCGAGATTATTTCCCATACGCAATCTGGTGATGAGGTCGTTAGGATCAATGCCAAACTTTCGAACATATCTCAGATGCACCGACTTGTCCTCATCAAGTTTCTTTAGCAGTTTATATACCCGATCTATTTCCTCCCATGGGGTATCGATTATGTCTATTTCATCTGGAAGACTCCGGAGGAGTGCTTTACGGTCTAGGAAGTGCTCAGAGGCAAAGCTTCCAAACTGGTTGCCTTGGTCAAAGTTCTCTTGGATAGCCACGTCATCCTTGGTCATGAACGCCACCTTCTCGAAGGCATCCTCAAGATCGTCAATATTTTCCTTGACGGCCAAATCTAGCGCCAGTTCATGCGGTGGCTGAGGCGATTGCTTGTTGTCAGAGTCTAAGTCCAAGTCTGTAGTAGGTCGAGATGCAGTTTCATTGTCCTCTCCCACTTTTCCCTTGTGGAGAAGTCCACCAAGTTTCTTTAGGTTCTTCTTGTTGTTTTCCTTTAGTTTTGGCGCCGAAACAGCAAAATTTCTGGCTATGTGCCTTGGTTGAAGAAAAAGCCGAAGCATGGAGTTGAGATAAGATCACTGGCTCGGTTCAATACAGGATGAATGGATGTATATAATTCAGAGGAGTGCCAGATCAGAAAAAGAAGGAAAACTAAAATGAGATCGAAATAAGAATTTAACAAAGTTGATTATATCTAGAAGATTGGGATTCATGATGAAAGTTGAAATCCCGAGAAAAAAATTCGAACTTTAGTGATATCAGATTTCGTACCTTACCACTCGTCTTTGTTCACATTACTATAAACTGAACCACCAGAGAAACTCGTAAAATGGGGGGACTGAACTGACAACTTTGAAAGAATAGAACTCCAGAAAAAAAGTGAACATAGTAACTAAACTTCAGATGGGTAAGTGACATGTATGAATCTTGATGAACACTTCTACAGCATCGTTCACTGAGACTAAAGAAAAATTAATCATTGTTGACGGTTACGATTGACTACTAGAATTTCAAATAATTTTCACATTACTTTGAAATTTTCATCCATGCATCTTCCACCTCCTTACGCCAGGCACCCCGGATTTTAGAACAGCGTGCTTTCACAATAAGACCTTTGCGAAGGTCTGAATCATAACCATTGTTCTAGGCAAAACGTCCGTCACCTGTAACATGATGATCCCCAAGGGAGAAAAATTTAATCTTTGAGACAGGAAAACTGTAAATCCCTAGATCTTTCAATTTGGAGATTCTCATTGTGAAATCCATAATTTTGTTTTCACAGTATCAGGCACTAGGCCCCTACTCTAATGTATCGTATCCGTCCATTATCCTTCTATAAACCCATTAGTTAGAACCTTTGCAAAGGTGGTCGAGCATGCGTGTCAACTCCTTTTCCTCATTCCGTGCAGCCATTTCGATGCGTGGATCAACCCCGTTGGTCCATCTCTTGGTCATCACCGGGCTCAAAGATTCCACTGAACTAGTAGAATCTTGTCTGTAATGACATGAAGCCATCGAGCTGGCCCGGCTATGACTAGGCATGTGGCCCAATGACAATGCAGATGATGTAGAGGAGCTTCTGGAAATAGAAGGCGTAGCCAATAATTCCTTCTCGGCTTGGAGCTGCGCAGCAACGGCCTGCTGTTGCTTCTGCAAGTATTGTCTCATCTTTGATGATCTGATCAAGTCCTCCTTGATAGGATCCAAGAACTTACCCAAGTGGGCAACCATCTCTTCGTTGGACACACGAAGGTCCCAGTTCAAGAGGTAGAGCAACTGTCTCTCCATCAAGTTGACATCGGTGATGGAGAAAAGGCCATCAGTGTAGTTGGCCCAGTGAATGTTCTTGGGAGACGAGTCATTATGGAATTTGGAAGCCAAAATCAAGCAGCTCAAGAAAATTCTGTGACGGGTGCAAGGAAGACCTTGTGCATTCTTAGGCAACTTCTGCTTCAATCTTTCCAAGTACACCAAGGTAGTCATCAAGGTACCGGTGTAAACGTTTGTGTATCTGACCAATCTGTTGATAAAGGTCATCAAAGATGGCAATGGCTTTCCCTCGCTTGTCGTCTTCTTGTTCTTGTCTTCCAGGCATGGGATCACCTGCAAAGTCTTAACCACGAGCTTGTGAATCATGTCCTGGGTTACAGTGGACAGGGTAAAGACGTTCAATGCTTTCAAGTCGATGGAGGACACCATTGTATAGAGATATGTAAGGAGGTAGTAGAATGCAAGTGGTGAGAATCCAATGAATGAAAGATTGAAGAGTGAAAAGCTAGACGGAACATTTTTCAATTATATAGCCAAGCTGCGGCCCGCGGGTCGCGACGCATGGGTGCGTCAAATGTTGTGGTTTGCAGAAAATAGGCACCTCCTGCGACACGAAGATAACGCTTTTAGGCAAGAAGGAATGCGCGCATCTGCACCTTTCGAGGTTTATTCGCCTGTCATTTATCGCGTCCCGTTGCATTTGCAACTATTGATTGGCGTGCCTTTTACTGAGACACTGCCCCAGATTGTTAGGGGTGGCAGGAGGCCAGATCCCCTCCCCCCGGTCGTGCAGAATGGACTGCAGTGGAAGCGCACTGGACCTTACTATTTCGTTACTATCGGAGTAGTTTAGCCACAATGCTGGGTAGTGAACAATTCGGCATGTTCAATGGGCAACCCTCATTGGTTTGGCTGGGCGGCTCCCCACATGACTTCCCCAGCATTTACCCTTGGTAGGCTGGTGACTTCTTAATTTGTTGATGCCGATCAAACTCCTTTCTGCCTCCTGATTAATTTCCTTTAGATTAACCTAGGAATGTCTGACATGCCCGCGTCGCATTCCTTGCCCCAGACTCATCGAAGCGTCCCATGCATAACGTGCAGATCGCGAATGAGGTGCCTGTAGTATCTGCAGGCGGCCCTCGTAATGTGTCATCTTTATCATAGCTTTTTCATCATTCTACCCGTAGACATTCTCTTGGACGCGCCGAATATGAGGTTTGTTAGATGGAGAAACCCTTTCGTAAATAGGCTAAACCACTTGGTTTCAAACTGGTGTAAAGCTTCGTTCTCATTTGAATCAAGATTACACTAAACACCGCTGTTTGGTTACTATTCGATCCTATACTCTGTCTCCACTGATTGGCTTCGAAGTTACTCAATTAGCGCAGCCTAAGTTGCGGTTCGGGATCAGAAAAATCACACCGCCCAATTAGTAATTTGTTTTCCGAATTCGTCTAAATGGCAAGATGTCGCCCAGATTGTATGCTGGCGGAGCAAAGGAGGTCTGCAGTTTGGAAGGTCTTATTCGGAAAACTAATGGCAGACGCGACCTATTTGATCCATTTTTAGCTGGATACTAGCGCTCGTCTATCGTTGAATGGTGAATTTTGTGCATATTGATGATTACATGCACACAAGTGTCGTAATAGACGTGTTGATGACGCACTTTCTGGGAAAAAACCTGCTGGTGGCTACAATTTTCAGAATGGTTCCACAACCTGTCTAGACTGTAGGAGTTGTAGGGTTATGATAGACCTGATGTACTCAAATGAATGGAATGTAGGACGTGTAAGTCGTGGGTAACAGAGAAAAAGAACCGAATTTGGTCCAGAGCCAGGAGGTGATACAGTATCAGGAATCAATATGATTGCCAGGAATAGAAGTACCTCCCGATTCAAAAATGACTAGACAATTTACGTTATCGCCCCACTGACCTCACCAGTATCTGTCAGTGGTCATCACTAATGCAGTTATGGTCATTCAAAAGAAAATTACAAAGCCAGAATCCAACATCTGGCAATTACCAGTGTCTAAGACAACGGCACATTCTGTATGTTCCGATAGTAATATGCTGGCATCTACTGATCGTTTAAGGATCCTACATTGAATTAGCAAAATGCTTCAGTCGCTAACTGTTAGTAAAATTCAAAGTGAATTTTGGGACATCTCAGGTTTTTGGGTATACTGGATCGATCATAATATTCTGACTGGTGCACAGCGTAATGTCATCTTTATGTCCATGATTTGTACATACAATTTGTAGTTGAAGAAAAAAAGATGAGAGAAAATTTTCTGAATTTATCTACACTCAGGTTCGGGTAAGCTTTAGATTATGTGCAGGTGGTAGAAGGTTAGGTTTGGAACCTGATGAATACATTCCAGGTTATATAATGAAGACAACGATTGAAGACAAACTACAGAAATAATCACCAAAAGGGAAATTCATGTATACCAATACATTGACGCGATTACTCGAAGCTTTTTTAGCATTTCTCAAAGAGTTGATACCAAACCTCACTTAAACTTCTCTGAAACTATTGTTCTTGACCCATAACCAATTCACCTCTTATTAAACCAGAAAAAAAAAAGGGAAACCCTATCTAAGCGTATGGAAAAGTTCGGAAAAAGTCGTATGCGTCGTCAACATTCTCTTGCCCATCTTGCGGTGTAAGTGGTTGGAAATTCGTTAAGTACAGAGGAATCCACTCCGTGAATGGATTGTGATCTTCTTCGGGCAACTCTTGTTTGGATTGCGCTTCCATAAGTTGGTTAATGCTAGTGAGTTGCCGCCAGACCATATCAATCTCGGTACTATCTCGCTGAAAATCATCAAAGTCTAGAGACAGAGTGCTTGAAGGAGAAATATTAGGTCTTTCAACATTGACACTTTCGTTTGTGCCTTCTGCCTTTGTAAATCCAGATGTGTTCTGGCTAGTTTTCGTCTGTTTAGATGGTCGTATGTCTCCTTCGGTGTTGCTCCTTTTAATGTCAACATCATGGTTGAATACTTTCTCATCCGAAACATTGGGCGTGGTTCCATCATTAACAAGCACATCCATCTTAAATGAGGATTTGATTTTCCATAGCGTCGAGTCTGCAATCAAAAGTAGTTCATTAATTTGATCTGGCGATAATGTGAGGAATTTGGGATCCGATTCCCTCAAGAAATCACGGAACTCGGGCTTATTTATCAACTCTATCGTATGAGAGTGCGCCTTGGATATTCTCCAAGCATAATAGTACCTGTTACTCAATCTCGATAAGCACGAAGTTCCGAACTTGCAAAATTTCTCAATCATTTTCGAGAGCTTGCAAAGTCTAGCATAACGAAGTTTATACTCGAAAGAGATGAGCAAGTTCCTGCTATGTGCCTCCAAGTTTTGCTTCATTTTAGCGATAGAATGATTCAAACGAACCAAGATGGAAAAGTTCATTTGATTGGTCTTGTGAATGAGCTGTTCAATTGACGGGCTCAAGATTAGGTCAGGGGTTGTGCTCTTCGGGTCGAAATTAGCGTGATTGTTTCCAATAAGCAGTAAGTACTCTGTTAAAAACTCTCCACAAGAAATGATCAAGTATTTGCGCAAGTAAAAGAAAGCAAGATTTGCTTGGCCCTTCTTTTCATAGTTGAGGAAGAAATGGTAGAACAACGTCACAAGAAATGATTTAGCATTCAAATAAGCTTTACAAGCCAACACTTTCTTGAATGGATAATCGTCGGGAGAGACTCTTCCATTTGTGAAGTTGGAAAGATCGCCAAACCGTGCTCTCAACAGGGTTTCGAGGTCTGAGATCATCGAAGTTAGTTCTTTCATCTTCATATTTTCTTTAATGCTCAACGAGTGAAGCAAAATTTCCCGAATTTGCGTGTTGAGAATATCTGCCAGATGAAGTGTTTCACAAATTGCTCTTTCCATATTAGCATCCAACACATTTGAGTTGCCAGGTCGGTAGTATGGAACGAGAACATCATTGTAGTTATCATCTACTACCAAAGGGAACCCGTACTGAAAAGAATGGTTCATATCCATTAACTTGAGAAAAAACCATATCTTTCTTCCGATATTATTTTTCTTTTCGTCCTCTCTAAGGCTTTCGAACTTTGTAGGCTCTCTATTGAGTCCCATGGAGAATGCTATCTGCAAGCACATGCTGTTGAAAACATGAGAATTACCTCCGTCTGATCCGTCACCTTCTTCTGGTGAAAATAAATGGTATATTCTCATGAAAACAGCACATTGCAACACCACAAGGTCGGTTCGCCTGTACAAGTCGAATTGGTCAAGGCATATCTGTGCAAGATTGATGACATCCATGTCGATCGGATGGGTTAAGATGTACTTTGTTTCTGCCAATGGAGAGTCGTCAGAACTAGCGAGCGCACGGTCATTGTCTGCTTTGTTGTTGGAAAACGTGGACAAGTACGATAATCTCAACACAATAAACAAGATTCCAAAAATAGCCAAGTCCAGACGTTTATCTGCCTTGATCTTTCGATACTTCTCCTCCTTGTACTCTTCATGGCCCAAAAGACGCTCAATTTCTCCACGAAACCATGACTCATCTATCAATGGTATAAAAGGGTAGATATAAAGAAAGAACCTATTGATGAGCACCCATAGCGTCATTTTGTTGGGGAGTAATAATTTAATTTTCTCCAAGAGATGGACTCGTTGGTCAAGCTCACCTTCAAAAAACGTGAGTCCCAAAGACAATGCATTCTGGTTCATTTTGATCTTCATTTCGTTGATTGACCCGTTCTTATCTGTTAATGGGGCCTGATCATAGTGGCCGTCCCTAGCCAATGCTTTCTGGGTGAATTCCTCGTCATGATTCTGTTGATTTAAACTAGGACGTTTGGATGCCGTGGCATCCTTGGGAAGAACCGGCACCGTGGTCTTGTAGTAATTTTGGCCCCATTGTTTGAAGTAATTCATAAGAATCAGAAGTGCTTTGTCTTTCTTCATAATACTAAGCCAGGAATACGGTCCGTAGTTCATTTGACGGTTCTGAATCATCTGAATAGGGTTGTAGCCTTCATACAAATCCAACACGTCGTCGGGATCTTCCAAGTCGTACGGATTAACTCCCACATAAGTAGAACCGTTGGGAGGCAACTGAGAGTCATTTTGCTCGGGTGCAGCGAATATATTATTATTAGGAGCATTTTGCTTTTGTTCATTAACTGAAGCTTCATCAAGTCTATTGTTGCCAGCGCTCTTTTTCCTGCTCCTATCTGACTCTCGGTCATTCAGTATAACTGCTTCAAGCTGGTGAACCTTCAGTTTGAGCATTTGTAGCTCGGAAATAACACCTGATCCTGATGAGACAGACAGATTTGTGTTAACAAATGAGCTTCCGGAGGAAGCCTGTGGCGACCCTTGATATCCTTGACTTTCATTCCATGGCAGAACAGTACTAGATTGTTGCGAAAAAGTCTGCCTTCGTCTGGAAGTCTTCAGCTCAGAGGGACCATCGGACATTCGGAAGATGTTGATCTTGTCGGCAAACGCTGCATTGGGCGTCGAGGCTATCACTTCCGTGGAGTAGTCACAATTATCCAGAGTTTTATGCTTGATGCATGACAGACAAGGCATTCGTCGGTCACATCGGACCTTCCGTTTTCGGCACTGTAGGCACAGTAGAAGCGTACGATTTCGTTTACGTAGCAGTTCAACTTCCATGATTGACATTTGGGTCGAAACCTAGTAGTTTGGTGTTTCTATTCGATTGTCTATATCAAAGTACTGCACAAGTACTAAATTGATTACTCAGAGATATCACTATGTGCATGACTACAATCCTCCCCATCTTCATCCAGTATATATATTCTCCAGATAGTTTAAATAATACATTTTAATACAATTACAGGAATGACGTGTAGTGATATTCTGTGTTCACACGTCAATATTCCTCAATGGGACACAAATATTCGGGCGTATGTTCCTGATGAGATGCTAATCCATGTGATTACAATGTGTCCAAATCTCCGTAAAGCTCAAATAACTTCAAGAGCTCCTCCGTTCCAATCATTGACTGCTCATCAAGCACTTCCTTCAGGAAGTCGCTGTGCATATGCTTTTCTTGAAGCATTCCGTAGGTATTGATAGTGTTCGCGTTGGCATACATCTCCCGATTGGCTGTGCCAACATCAAATGTGGAATCGATGTCCACTGTGCCGCCGATTATAGCGTCAAGTGCGTCCACATCGTTTGCTTTGGTAGGATCCTTAGGGTCGAAGGGGGTAACAGGTTTCTCAGCCTTCTTCAGGGAGTCGGCCTGGATCTTAGAATGAATCTTTTGTCTCTTTATCAGCTCTAACTTGGCAACCCGGAATTCTTCACATAATTTGCAAAGACTTTGAAGCTCTGGAATCGTTAAGAACTGAAGCATATTTGTTCCCTCGTGAAAGTACTCCATCTTGTCTCCTGATGTACCGAAAAGTTTCTCAGGATTCTCCATACACTGTTTCAAAACAAAATATGCCATCACATAGAGTTTGTATGAGTTGATGTACGTCTTACTCAAGACTCTGAAATTTCCAACAAACAATTCTGATTCGATCAATGCAATAGTGAATAGCGAGTCAACTACCTCGCATCTCAAGTTGAAATCTTCCGATTCGTTTTGCGGCTCCTTACCATCCCGTTTAGCTTCTTCGACTGCCAAAGATCTTTTATAATTCACGAGACGAATGAAAAAGGACGTGATAAAATTGTGTGTCTTGATCATGGACTTCTCTATCCTCGAAGTAATCAAATAATCATAGCATCTCCCGAATAATTCCTGGGAGTTATCCAAAGCATAAGACATGATGTACACCAACTGGATGACACTTCTGATGAAAATCTTAAACAATTCAATTCCAGCTCCGATTTCTGCATCCTTGTCTTCATCAAGCTTATTCTCATAGTGTAGAGCAATCAAGTAATACAAACAAGACAAATTGGAGCGCATGTGCATGAAGCAAATAAAGCGGTTGACTTTCATATACGAGTCTTCATGTTTGCGAGGATCGAATTCTTCTCCTTCAATTTGCTCCGAGGCTGGCTTACAAACATAGTCCCTGAAGAAGTCTGTACCAAAGATCTCCAAGAACAATTTCTCCAAGCAACTTGTTTCTTGTAACACCTCAATAACTTTTGGCTTTGTCCTTAAATTTGTGATCTTATTAGTGATCCGCCTATAAGATTCAAGCATCGTCTGCATGTGCTCAAAAAATTTGACGTTTTCTGGTTGAAGAAAAGATATATCTGGAGTTTCAACATCGCTGATATCCAAACTTGGAATGTTCAAGGTAGTTCCACAGTACATGGCCTGTAAAGAGTCCATGATGCAGATGTAATGCCAGAGAGTTCTCCACAGTTGTACAAATGCGGGCTCCTTCGAAATAAACTTTATATCAGAGAACTTCATTGGATCTCTGTTCAATCCGATGGATAATGCATGATTGACAATTGCACCAAATAGCAATTGAGAGTCTGATCCACTCAATCCATGGCAATCATTAGGTGCAACAGACCTGTAGAAATGCAACAAAGTTAGGGCTTGAACAAACTTGAAGGTTGATTTCGTTTGAATTTTCTCCTCTGGAATACAAAGGTTCACAACACTGATATACTGATCGGATTTGAACCGCGTGATATCTCTGATCAACTCTTGCTCGCTGGAAGTGTAAATCACATCATTTTCATTGTTGGGGATCAAAGACATGTACCCCAACCTTATCATCAACAAAAGTTGACCAAGAACGTTCAAGTGATTATCGTTCTTCACCTTAAGCAGAGTGTAAAATGCATTTGAATCTTCATCGTAAGCATTGTTAAACACTAACTTCACTTCAGATAGAAACGTCTTCTCGTCCAAGAACGATATAAACGGCAAAACATAACGAAAAAATCTTTGGAGAGCCACATGAACGGAGCGTTTGCGAGGAAGAATCTCAAGCACACTGACTTTGACAAATGCGTAGTACTCGTCTTTGGAAGAATAGATCGATTTTAAAGATTGGATGCCTCGAAGAGTAGGAAAATGAACCGGAAGAGTGTCGATATGTCTATCGATTTTTGGGTTTGCCAGAATCGTATTCACAATAAGACCTCCTTCAGTTTCGATGTCGACTTCGCTTTCGGAATCGACATCGTCGGCATTTCCATCATCAAAGTGAGCAGAATATTCCGAATGTTCTGATCGGGCCTGATCCTCGCTACCAGATACAGACGTAGTCATTGTACACTGTGAGGCAGGCGAGCCATTCATCAAGGCTTGTCTGCGTCGTTTTGCCAGGACAAACTGTGAAAACTGTTCACTTTTGAACAACTCCAAGGTGAAACTCCGGACCAACTTGATATATGGATCGCTCTTCACCAATCCGACATAAGAAATCGGGCCTTGTTGCTGCCAATATGATCCTTCAACCATTAATGAGTGAGATGCACCAGAGAACGACTCCATCCTGTCATCTGCATCAATCTGAAGCATGTTAGAGCCAATAGATACGGTCACGAATTTTAATCTCTTTCCTTCGTCCACTTGTTCAAAGGTACGCTTTTGAGGCGGACGGAAAACTACATCATCCAACGAACTGGTTTGCAGACCCATGCTTTTCAGCATACGCGGAGGTAAAGGCACTGATGATGCCAGCGAAATGGTACCGGCAGGGGACAGTTCGCTCGAAGTCATCATAGGGGCTTGTGGCAAGATATTGGAACCTGTTGGCTGCATGGTGGAATTCGATGTGGTCATGATTGTTGAGGAAGCAGAGAGAGACAGTGGAGATAATTGCTGTGGAGGGTTGGGAGTGTAAGCCAGCAGTTCCAATAGTTGTGGAAGCGTGACGTTTTCCTTTTCCTCAGAAAGCACTGGTTGTCCTGTGATAGACAGTATCAGTTTCAGACGCATGGGCACTAACGGAGCCAGCTCCAGCCCCCGTCTGTTCAGAGAAGATCCTGATGATACTGAATCACGCGGTTGGTAGTATTGGAATACTGGTTGTGATTGCTGCGGCTGTTGTGCGTGTTGCAGAGGGGGCTGATTGCCTTGAAACCCTGGCATGGCCTGGTGAGAGGCCAGAAAACTCTGACGATTCTGCGCATTAGCATGGAGTGGACTCGGATGGGAGTTCTGGTGAGGATTCTGTAGTGAATGTTGAGGAAGATGTTGTGGGTGCTGTAGTTGCGGCGACTGGGAGTGGCCCGCAAGTAACAGGTTGTGTGTCAGGGAAATTTGGCCATGAGGCATGTCAAAGTACTGAGGCTTGGTTGCAGACCAGATTCCAGGCAGTGGAAGCATCTGGCCATGTGAGCCATTGGGAGGAGGAGCCCCGTGGGGATGGCCATGGGGCGGTGGAACAAATGAAGGATGGGCCATATGTGGAGACGGATTCATGGCAGGTTGGCCATACTGGATGGACGGTCGAGGAGAAGCAGCCACGGGCAAGTACGTGGTATTATTATTTGCTGGAAGCAGTGCATCGTCCTCGTAGTTACAAAGATGTGCAATCAGCTTTTTCTTACATGTTCCACACACTGGACGGGTTCGATCGCATTTGGACTTTCTCTTGCGGCAAACCAGGCACGACGCCGGGATGCGGTGTCTTTTTTTGTAGGAGGCGTCCATGCTGGATCGAATTGGAAGCTGATATGGAAGGAATAGAAGTACGTAGATGTGGATGGCAACCCTGGAGAAGAAAATATGGAGTTGGGAATTCGGCCACTGGGTATCTGGGGTGAGGGGACCAGAAGTGGGCTTTTCTGCAGGAGCGCCTAATTCTTTCAACGATGGTTTCTTTGCTGAAATGATAAAAATGCGGTACTACTATAGCGGAAGAGGTAGAAGGGCTCGAGATGATTGATCTGAATTTTTTGGATGCTGAATTTATCCATGTGGTTGTGCACTTCGAGATGACAGTTTTGGTGAGGCTGAGAAAGAACATTCATCAGGAGACGAGTAGAGAAGGCTGCATAGCAAGTAAAAATTTTGATGACAAGAAAAGAAAAAAAAGTTAGCTCAGATTCTGCCCACAGTATCGTTGTAATGTTAGAACTCGTTCAAGAACTGAATTTTTTTCTTGCATTTGTTGAAACCAGTGCTTCCAGACGTGGGTTAGCTGCACTGCGAAAATACGAATTGCGGGGTGCACTTTTGGATTTACCTATTTTCTGTCAAATGCAGACCAGGAAAATCCAGAAGTAATTTGGAGCGGATTGGTGCACTTTTGCAAGGCTGATAGACTGAGATCGCTGGTGCAAGAATCCCAGCGTCGAAATAGTAAGCACCTCTTGATGTGGCACTTGATATCCAACATCTTTGCTGGTGCTGGACGTTATGAAACTTGTCTATGTAGGAGTTCCTCTATGTAGGTGCTGATTGGCCTAACTTAATAGGGACCAGGGAAGAGTGGGGGGAACCTTTGCGCGGAAATTCCATGGTCACAATTGACCTGTAGATTCGAGGAAATTCCACTATCCGCATAAATCATTATTGTGTGCAATTTGTGTCTCGTTGGTGATGACAGGTTGACTGGATTCTCGAAGGTTTGAGAGGTGCACCTCGACTGTATCCAATTACCCAATGTGGAATCAGCAACCAGGGATTTTTGATCCATTAGAGAATTGGCTAGCCTCGTCTATTCTCAGATTCATGGAGTGCGTCTGTTGTTGCACCTAATTTAGATCGTTTGTTATGGTTCAGGAAAGTATGTTCAACCAAATATTTAGGTTAAGCTTCTATTGCTATTATGACCCACAATAAGTATTGTTCACACTGTTTGCAAGATAATTGTGGAAATGAGATCCGGCAAGAAAAGCCGCTCGATTGTATGAAGTCCGAGCTTATTGTTCACTTGCGTTCTTGACCGTTTGTTTAGGTTAGCCATCCGGGAGATGTTAATTGTAGAAGCCAATTTTGGGCCGTTTTGACTTTCGGCGATCTAAAACTGACATCGGGAGTTGTTTATTTCGCTTCTCTTCAAAAGTAGTGCATAATGGGTAGAGTAAGCGAAAGAGTCACAGCCCACAAATGTCATTACCTGATATCATTGAACCCGTTCGCTTATATCACGGTGTCGGGAATTGAACGAGTCATATACTATTACCATTTGAATCAGATCAGTAGAATTGGATTGGATGGAGTACGGATCCTGCCAAGAACAGAAAAAATGAGATAAGAAGATCAGAATTTCTTTCCTTCCAAATCCAGTAGTTTTAGATCTACCAAAGGAAGATCTCTTCAGTTTATAATGTATATATGGCCCAAAAACATCTTGAAGAAAAAAAATCGACAAAAAAAGAGATGAAGTAGATAAAATCGAAGAACGAAATGAAACAGAAGAGAAATAATTCGTCGCCTGGTAAAATCGACCGTACCATTTGAATACCCCAAGTTGATCTTCAAAAAACGCCTGAACTGATTGCAAATACTGAGTCTTGTATTCTTCACCTCCAGAGGTAAAACAGAATCAAGAGAATAATTCTCTGCTCGGATTTAATCTGCCCTGTATTTCCCACCGTCTTAGAGCAAAACTTCCACTGTCTGGCGATTCCCAACATCTTCTGGAGATCTGATCTTGAGAGCTTGAGATTCAACTCGCACCCTTCTTTTGATTGGTTATGTCCTCATTCCAGGCTTTCTCGTCAAACAACCGACAGGGCCCAATATTGTTCCTTCGACTACTCAATTCAGTTTATCTTTTTGATTGTTTGTTTGTTTGTTTCACAAGATCTGCGCTTATAACTGCTACCCTTGGTCGATAGAGACGTAAGATCCATGATTCCTCTTCTCTTACCTACAAACTTTATTTCTGTTCTTATTTCTATATTTACTCTGATTTTCTTGATTATCATCTTTTCTTTTTTTTCCCGTACCTTTGTTCTTGGTTGTACGAAGTGCTGTCAGTTGGATTCCCACATCAATAAGTGGAAAATTCAAACACGCAAGAGCATTCCAACAACCACCCCAGCAATTATCACCAGCTACCCCAAATTCAACAATTATAAAAGAATGCCAGTCTCATTCCCTATCTTATCAAGCCTTACAATCCCAACAGTCCATCTAGGTACACGTCCATGTGCACACCACCATCACCATGTTTACGCGTATCTCAATCTACACTCTTTATTGTAAAGCCCATGTCTGAGAGTGACGACTACCGTGATGATCACGAGCTCGATGAGTTCATCGTCTCCGATGAGGAGCCTGTTCTTGAACAGAACGACCAGCAAAATGTGGACGAGCCTCCCCAAATCGATCGCATGGATAATCTCACCTCCACATTACGCGTGAATGAAACATATACGAGCAAGGTTCTTCGTGCTCACATATCCGTACTAGTTTCAGCACTTGGAGGCCCCGATCATACTTCTTCTGAAGGTTTGTATAAGTTGGGACACGATGCTTTGGCGTGTTTAAAGGATCTCAAACGATGGATCCGAAGCGTGGATGATCGTAATGGCCTGGCTGATGTAGCTCTTGCCTGTGCTGAATGCGGTCTTGTGACCAATGACTTAACAGTGATCTTGTGTCAGTGGGATCGGCCTCCCAAAGGTGTCAAAAAGACGAAAACTACTGAGAAAATTATGCTTGCATGCTTGGAATTGTTGGTTCTTCTTACCTGGCCGGTGGACGTCAACAGAAAGACGTTGTTCAAGGATTATACTGCTAAGACAAATGCTAGGCGTGCACAGATAACTTATAAACATCACATTTTGTCCTACAAGGGAGGAAGAACCTTGAAGGCTGTCATCAGGTTGGGACTAGAGGCACTTCAACTACCCAAGGACGAACGAGAGCCTCGCGACGTCAATATTCTCCGACTCATCATGTTTTTCATTCGAAATGTTCTCTTCATAGAGCCACTTCCGCCTTCGAAGTCTCCAAAGGCAATTACAAATTCTTCAGACTTGCCAAACGGTACAAACCCAGAAGATATTGGGCTCAATGCGGTCCTCACTTCTTTCAGCAAGAATAATGTGCTCTTATTTCTCACATCCGTGAGTCACTCGCTCCTGAATGATTTGACTGATGAATCTTTTGGTCTGTTGGCTATGGAGTGTCTCTCGCTACTCACCAAGACTGTCCCGGTATCAACTTTCTTTGCAACAAAACCGATGGTTCCAGATGCTTCCACTACCGTTCCTCCAGCATCTTCTGCAGTTGGAATGCAACTACTGGATCTATTATCTGAAGAAGATAAGAGAAAAAAGCGCCATAATAATACCGTTTCTACTCGACATGGCCGGTTTGGAACATTGCTCTCGATTCAGACTCCAGACAATGCCTCTTACTACACGGTATCTGGTCAAGACGCACTTGCTAGTACTTATGGAACTCTTGATAAGATGGATCGTACGAAGCAGTGGCATCGTACTTCTGTGTTCAAGTATGACTCTAACGATTATGTGAAGCTGGCCATGTCGTATCTCAACAAAGGCTCAGCAGACATTCTTTCCCAGTTTGTGAATCAGTTCTTGATCAGTGGCTGCTTTAATACCGTGGTCAGATTTGTGAGCCATCACTTGACAAATTTGACAAACGATGCGGATCTTGGCCGGAGAGGGATGTTGGATGTTGTTGATGGCCATGAGCTTGCCAGCTTTTTCATGACCATTACGTGGTTTTTCCATTTCAAGCGTGAAAGATTGGCTTTCTACCAAAGCATCAAACAGAAACCACAAGAAGGCGATGATAGTTTGGACTATGGTTCTATCGGGGCTGCCTTGAGCGAAGTCAACTTCATTCTTCTCATTTCGTACTGCCGCTCCTCTTTTGATGCCAAGGACTACGACTCCCTCCATGTTGCCTTGATATGTCTCAGAGAAATGCTTTTGATCTCGAATTCCATCTTCATGAAGGAGAGAACTCAACAAGAAATTGAACTTGCGAGCGAAGAAGATGTCAATGAGGACAGAGAGTTGGCCGAGGGAATCATTCGAAAGTTGTTTTCCCAAAAACAATTCTTGGATATGATGATAAATGTTCCTAAGACCGCAGCGAAACACTCCCCGGAATATCTTTCGGTATCGGTGTCTGTTGTTCATGTGCTTCTCAAATGCTTTGAAGCCTTGGCTAATGAAGATGTAAAGCTTTATATCAAAACCAGGCGGAAGATGAGTAAACTAAATAATCGTGGAGGCTTGAATAACGACATGGACCGTCAACACTGGGACCTTATTGACAGGGGCTCTGACGAAGAGGATGACGAAGAGCAAATTCGCTATATCACCCAAGAACGTAAGTTGGACTTCAAGAATACCGAAGTTCGGTTTTTTCATTCTGACATTGTTACGACTCACTTGGAATATTTATCCAGGTTCGAAGATTTGTCACATGAGGAAATTAAGCGAGGAATCACTTACTTCCATCGTCTTTTCGTTGTGAGAAAGGACTACGCAGCGTTGTTCAGACTTGACTTCATGAGCATGATTCACAAGTTGCGCAATTATCTTCCCAGAGGATCGAGCATTCGGCGACATGTGGAAGAGTTCATTGTCTATTTCATGAAAAAGTTCAAATCTGCATTTGAAAGGTTTCCGCTTGCTGTGGAGCTTCTTTTCCCCAGAATTGAAAATATTGAGATCAAGAGTTTCTTGAGCACAGGTGATCTTGAGGCAACTTCTAGTGGATCAAAGCGTGAACTGTCTTCGAAGACTCCTGGTTTGCCAAAATCAAGCTATTTTGCTAGCGACTCGCCTCAACCTAGAGCTGCAGCACAACTTCAATTTGCAGATGAGGGCAAGTCAGTGGATGAGAAGATTGGTATTTTGATTTATCATATCATCAAGAAGAAGAACGCCTTAAAGTTCGTCAAGTTTTTGATAGGAGAGCTTGAAAGATTGGTGAAGTTGAAGAGTGATGGCATTACTCAAGTTTTGTTGAGACTCAATCTTGCTAATAGAAGATTGTTGATCAACGATTCTCATTTGAGGCTTTTGATCGAAGTTCTCGAATTTGATGCCCCATTCTTACAGAATGATGAAACTATTTTAAGATTACATGTGGATGCTGCGCAGTTAATTGAGAGGAAAGAGTTGATTGTAAAATGGTTGCAAATGCATGAGCAAGGTGTGGGAGATATTGAGCCCTTCCTTGATCAGCTCAGACTTGAGATTTTCACCAAGGAACAGTTGGACTTCGGAATTGCTTCATTGGCCAATCTCCGCCAGGGACTTGGTATTGACGAAGGTCAGGTTGAACAGCTTGGGCTTACCCCAGGTCAGATTCACAAGGTTATTGGCCTAGCTAAGAGAAAGGAGTATGACGAGAAAATCGCCGCTCAGTACTATGCTGATGATGATTTTGTTCAACCTGCCATGGAGAACTCTGATGAAGATGATATTAATTTTGATGATTCCCTTCTGCAAAAGAAACTGCGGTCCAGAAGACGTCCAATTGTCGAAGATGCACTTGAGTTTGATGATGACGAGCCGAAGAAGATTACAAAGTCGCGTCGGAGCAGAAAAGATGCACTTCTCAGCATTGACTCAGATGATGAATTGGAATCCATATCGAAGTCGGCAGAAATGGTCCATGACTCGGATGACGACTCAGATAGCGAGCAAGCAAGAGCCTTTTTTGCCAGAGAAGAACAGTTACGTCAACTTATTTCTACGACGGGCGGAATAGTTAACAAGGAGCTGTTGAAGGTTTTCAAGGAATCGTGGCAGAAAATCATTGGATCCAATTCAGACTCTCAGGTGAAAGAAGCCATTACTAAGGCGGCACTTTTTGTGGAGGATCTGGACGACGATGAAAGTCCAAACATTTTCTCACATGACACAACACCGGCATCAGGTGTTTCAGATCACGAAGCAGACATGAACAAAAAGAGGACTACGGATGCAGAAGTTGGGACCAGCCGTAAAAGGAGATTTATTGTCGATGACGAAGAGGAAGAATAAATGCAGGGTTCAATTTATGTGACTAGTCGATCACACAATGCGAATCACCGTCATTGCCACTAATGCTGTTGGCGATAGTTTTGTAGGAACTGATGAACATCACACAGAAGCCAAACAACGTGCACAAGACGCTAGGAATCGCCTTCTTTAATAGGAAATCCCTCTTCTCGCCTGAAGTTGCAGTTTTGTAGTCGATCTTGTCGTAGCACAATTTCAAGTAGCAGAGAGGCGGAATGATGTAAGCCATCAACGAGGCAGAAGTGGCACCAATAAGCTCCAAGATCATACCCAAGTTACAAGTGAATAACGAGACCGACATAGAAGAAAACACTAGAACCGTGGTGATGATGAAATGTTGACGGCTAGAAAGCTCCAAGTGAGCAGTACTTCCTCCGTCCTCGGCAATTAATACAATGTCCTTCAATACATCCCTGACTACAAAGATCTCCAAGGGAAACGTGGTCAACATGTTCAAACCGAAGCAGAAACGAGCCACGTTGGCCCAGAAGTCATTGCTTTTGAAGTTGTTCAAGATGTTACCTTTGGTGTTTGCTCCGAAATTGAGAAGTCCACTCACTCCCATGAGTATGCAAAAACACATGGATACTCCACATGCCCAGTGGGTCAACTTCGCAAATTTTGACACGGTAGCATTCTTTAATGACTGATATATGAAAATTGTGTTGTGATGGCACACTAACGCAAACGATATCACGCTAATACCCTGGAATATATTGACATTAACAGTCCATTGCAACTTGGTGAGCGGTGCTCTCAATGCCGAGTCAACAAATGGGCCACGGATCACGGCAACCAATACAATGATGAGCATTCCCACCAATGCAAAGCCCGAGGCTTTAGCCAACTTGGAGATGTCTCTGTTGAGAGATAGTGGGTATGAGATGCATGCAGTGAAAATGCAGATGATGACGTTGCGGCCAAAGAGCCAGCCAATGACAGATGTATCGGGATTGGTGATGGACTCTGGAATGACCAGTTTGAGCACATGTGGAATGGTGTCGCCGATAATAACACAGAAGGCCATGCAACCACCATACGCGAACGAGCTTATGGTGACCAAAAGGAGAATTCTGCCCCATTTACCAAAGCAGAAGTTAACTGTATCTTGGTACGACTTTGTCTGAGACATCTGAGCATTGATAACTATCAAACGTAGCGTCCAATCAATGAGAAACGTCAATAGAACAACAACCACTAATCCTCCAATAAGTCCACTGTTTCGGAAAGCAAACGGCTGGCCAATAATTCCAGCACCTAAAATGGAATTTGCCATGTTCATGAACGCCATTTTCATGGACGAAGTGCCCAGATTCTCGCCAGTTTCTGTGTTGTGTTCGATGTCTTCAGAGATCTCGTAGTCTAACGAATCCAAGTCGTCGAGCTCGATGTCAAAATGTTCGTCATTAGATTGACCCGCCGCCTCTGTCACCCGCGTCGTATGTGCCTCCTGCGGCAACACCACATACTTACTTGAAGACATGTTGTTGTGTAAACGTTCGTGGAGTCTATGGGTATTATCTGGACCAGGTGCACGGATGTCAATGTGGGGCAGAAGATGGGTTATGTCAAAAGGACTTTCTGGGGATTGGGAGGGCTTTCGAGGAAATCTGACAATTTATGTGATTTCTTGTGGTCTGAAGAGTAAAATTCTGGATTTTGGTGACTTTTTGTAGGGTTTGTGGTTTTTTCAGTGGTGTTTTGTCAGTTTCCAATATTTCAGATCGCGGTCATCATATGAATATATAGAATTTTGGGCCAGGAACCTCTGAAAATGTTTAGAGAACATGGAGAAAAAAAAAACCAAAATCAGAAAAATGTAATTAACAAGAACAATAAAACATACATGAAATAACAAATGCAACACTATTTCGATTCCAACTTTCCCCATCACATCCTTTAAAGCATGTTATCTCACTATTCAACTATGACTTCCTCCACACAGGTGCGATGACCATACTACATCTTCATCATGGCTGGATCGTACGAAAAACGTAAGCCTTTCAAAGGCAAGAAGTTTCACAAAGATCTTCGAGAGTTCAAGTCGCAAGAGATCAAGCGGTCGTTGGTACACCGAGCAAGATTGAGAAAAAACTACTTCAAGCTCATTGAGGATGAGAAAGAGTCTGAGATTCCTGGCCAGGAAAAGGTCCAACAAGACGAGCAAGTGGAGAGCAACGACGAAAACAGCGATGGTGGTGACGATGAGGCTCCTAAAGGCAGATCCCGAACCGCTCTACCCCCACAAAGAGCCCCTCCACCTCCGCCAAAGAGAAAGCCTCTCAACTTTACAGAGAGAGCCAAACTTGCTAAACAAAGAAAAGAGCAGCAGAGAGAAGAGAAGCTCCAGAAGGTCCAGGAGAGACGTCAAATGTTGGAGAAGAGGAACAAGCAGAGAGAAATTCAGAAGGAACGGTTGTCGCAGAGAACAAAGTCCGGACAGCCAGTGATGGGCCCCAAGATCTCCAACTTGTTGGATAAGATTAGACAGAACAATTAGGCATTATATATTTACAGGATCTGGGTCTGGCGCCGCAGAAAGAACATGTAGACATCGTAGAAGAAGAGTGAGCTTCTTCTCTTCTGGTACGACAACCAGCTGGTGAGGTTGTGACTGAACCACTGGAACGAGTATCTCCGATATAACTTCGAGTTGGTCTCCAAAGATTCATCGTACACGGCCCGCGCACAGTAGTTGGCCAAAATCAAAAAGGTTCTCTCAGGTCCCAATGGGTTCTCCAAGGTCTCGTCCAAATTTCGCGTCAAGTCGTTGGTTTTCAAGATCAACAACACCATACGTGGCATGCTACTCAAAATGTCCATCAAATCCTCGAGAACTCCATCTTCTGAGTGGAGCTGGCTCTGTATGTTGACCATTTCTGCATCGTCTCTAACTTTCTTAATGTTCATATTCATTGCAATCTCGGGGTCACGTCCGGTAATGGCTGCAGCGAAAATTCTAAACTTACGATCCCCCTCGATACCAGCAAACTTTTGGGCATACTCCTTCATTTTGGGCACGTCGTTGTCCAAGATGGCCAACCAGAAATGCGAGTAATCTCTCTTCATCTGCAACGGAATGTAACGATACAACCCGTGGTCGTAAAGCACAATCTCAAAGTTATGTCCGTTATTGCTAGTTGCCTTGTCCACCGCCCGGATGGCCAAGTTACCTCCATGGGGATCACAGTGAAGTCCCACGTGTGGCGTGAAGATCATGTTGTTGAATATATGTGAGAGACATGAAGAAACCTGACCAGGATTAATTTTGTTCTTTCTCATGTAGTCTAGGTCATCTAAACGAGCACCAGCCACGTACTCCATGATGATGATACGCTTTTCGGCGGACACAATCTGGGGAATACGTAAGGCAGTTTCGTTCAACATGTTCTTGAAGTTCTCTGCGGTGTTCTGTGCGTTGACAGCTTCGTTTGTGAAGTCCAACTCCACGTAGATGGAATTCTGCAACTCATCGCCCAACCAAGTGAGAGGATACTCAGGAAATACCTTGTGCATCAACGAGAAAACTGTCTGCGTCAAATAGATGTCCAAGGGCACGAATTCGGCCAATGATGGATGCTGGAGCTTGACAGCTACCTTTTCGCCCGAGTTTCGGAGTGTAGCAATGTGCACCTGTGCCAAGGAGGCCACACCAACAGGCTCGGCTGAAAACTCAGAAAAATACTCCATGAGATCAACCCCCATGTCGTCCTTAAACATGGCCTGGATTTCCTCCATGGAAGACCGGGGACATCTGTCCTGAAGTGGAAGCATTGTGGTGGTCCATTCTTTCGGAAGCAAGTAAGTGAGCGCACAGATGTGTTGACCTAACTTGATGTAGATACCTCCATTCTTCTCCAAAGCTTTCAATGTGATATGTGCCGCCTTGGAGTGGGCAGCACTGAGTGCCAATTGTCGGTCTTGTTCTGAAGGAAACTGCTCCAGAAGCACGTTCTTATAAATATTGAAACACTTCAACGTGGCCAAAGTGACCACTCCAACTCGCTCGCTGGTCAAATAGAGGTGCTTGGTGCCGTCATGGAAGGTGTCGTTGGTGAAATACAAAGTAGTAGCAAGCGCAGTGACACCACCGGCGAATTTCAAGCCCAAATGTGCTTTTTTGACCGGGGTTGTTTGGGACGAGTAGAATCGCGGCCGAAATCTGCATCTGAGAGGGCCCAGGAACCGTACACCAGAGCGGAACATGGCTTTTTGTCGTGAAAATGTGTAGCTGATCTGGTGATTAATTTTGCTGAATTTCCACGTGATGATTGCAATAAGTATGGCGGGAAAATATGTGAAATCCGCCTGGCAGATCAGTTGGACGACAAAAGAAAAATCTGGATACTCATTCTAGCGTATCTTAGTTTTCTTGTTCTTTCTTTTTTTTTCTTTTCCCCCATCTCTTAATGTGACTTTTCTTACATTGGTACATGCTCATAATACAATACTTCGTAGCTCATATAAAAAACATTAGTAACACTATAAAATTTCACCAAAAATATTATTTCAAACCAGAGGCAGAGATAAACTCAAAACCAATGATAGAAAATTGGAGCTTCATCAGATCATTGGATCTTGAGGTGCTCAGAATTGAATATGAATAAAATCACTGAAACATGGCCTCTATGGAAGAGTTGTCAAAGTACCCTCCATTGATCTGCATTACTAGACCTTCCTCTCCAACTAGGTCAAAGTTGAAGTTTGGAAGGGTCTCCCAATCCATTGTATCAATGCTCAGAGGAATCGGACTAGTGTGAGTCAGGAAACCGACCATGCTAGGCATGGGTGCCATTATTACCTGGGGAGGGGTTCTGTTTGTAATATCAACCGCCATGGAGGAAGGCTGCAGATCATTGAAGGTAGCCAGCGTCAGTATCATGTTGCTGGAGCGGGATGTCGAGTCATTTTGGCCACGAATATTGCTCTCGTTGAAGGTGGACAGAGCTAGGCTCGAGTTGCGAAGTGCTTCGTGGTCAAAAGGACACTGCCTCTTGCGAGATTCAGACTGGGCCAATGGAGCAGGTGCTCCGATTACGGAATGATCCACGGGACATCTGCCGAGTGGAGGCGCAGGGATATCTTTGGTCATGACTCCATGAATGACTGGACATCCCATTTTGGTGCTTGAAGTAGATGAGCCCATGCCCAGACTGGATGGCAACACAGGACATGAGTCGACGATTCTTCCTGAGCCGAATGCCTCTGCATGAAGTTTGGCGTAAGCAGCAGGGTTCATTTTGTGGGAATTTCGAATGAATGTCATGTAAAAACGCCAGATCTTGATCGCTCGTACAGCGTTTTCTTTGCTCAGAGAATTTTCTATGAGACGAATTGTGCGGTCAGTTTCCGCAATTAATTCATCTTTGCTTGTAACGGGAATATAAATGGGCATTCGGTTTTCTGATCGTTGTGAATAGACAAGTCGAGAAGGCGAGGAATCTGACCCTGATGAAGAAGATGAGCTGGGCTCAGAAACGAACCGAATGAGTAATCCGGCAATCAAATGGGAAACTTTGGATACGTTTTCAGCAATGGCCACTTGGACGTATTGAGAATTTACGCTCTTGTTGAACTGGATGATGCTGCCCTGCAAAAACTTGTTGACATCGAGAGCTTTGGCGAATAAATGGGGAATGAGCGAGGAGACCAGATCGTAGTCATCATTTTCCTCACATTGAAGGAAAATTATGAACAAAAAGTAGAACTCCAAGTAGTTAAATATTGTGCGGACTTCGAAGTATCTTGTCATGCGAAGCTTAGCGAGAGCCATCTCCGACGCCCACGCCAGAATTTCAGCTACAATTTTCTGGAAATCAGCCACCTGAGCTCTAACAGCTCTACCACAGATTCCATTTCGGACGAGAATGGATGCACGAGCAATGAGGTAGTTTACATGCAACGAGGTGATTAAATCACCAACATGCGTAGCGGAAACTGAACCTTCAGATTCTCCCATTTGTGCCAAGTACTTGATGTGAGCATGAGATGGCTCCGCTTCGGCAATTTCTTCGAGAAAACTCTCGAGTAAGCGATCCAAGTGATGCAGATGTTTCACTATAGGAATCACGGAAAGCACAATCAAATTGACTATGCGCATGAAATCTGCCCAAACTAGACAGAGCAAAAGACGGAGATCATTCTGACGGTCTTGAGAAACATGGGCGCCTTCGAATGTCACCTGGGCAGGGTCAACCCAAAGCTCAAGTCTGTGTCCGCCCAGATCAAGCATCTCTAGTGTCCATGTGAAGATATTGGTGAACGCAGAGCTTTCATCGGGAATAGCACCGTCACGCTTATAAACGGCAATGCTCCGATTTAGAAGTACCACGAGCAAACAGACTGCCAGCATCAGGGACCACACCTCGCCCTTCTTGTTTTTCACCATCATTTCAACGAACTCACGTACCTGGCCCAAAACGTTCGTCTGCTTGTAACCTAGACCGTGATGAACAGCCTCAAGAGGGAAAACTGAATGGAACTCGTTCATCACTTCCGACGAAACCCCTCTTCGCATACGGAGAACATCAAGTGCCTCCTCCACGATGAGCGCTAACATCGAGAGATATATGCCCTGCTGTTTAAGCTGATTGTATACCTCTGGATCAGACATTCCTGACTGAAAAACGGCGATATTGAGGCAGACGTCGTCGCCAGCCTGGCGAAAAAGCCCCACAAGGTTAGGCCGGAAGAACCGTAAAATGTGAAGTGATTCTACTTCACAGGTCATCACTGATGGCTTGTACAGACTCTCCGAGCCATCACGAAGGTAGAAATCGAGCAAAAACAAAAGCTGAGAATAGGACAACTTGCTATTTCCACGGCCGTAGTTTCTGATCTCGTTCCAGAGTCGCTGAATCCGTGTGAGAATACTCACTGCTTTGTCGTTGAGATTGTTAACATAGTCCGATTCCTCTGTTTTCACTTTTGAGTAACCTGAGGGTCCCGAAATAATGGAATTTCCTGATGGAGTAAGGCCCATCGGCGTCAGGGAGCCTGCTCGAGACACTCTTCGAGAGGTTGGCTCAGATCCCGAGCCCCCAGCTGGCGTTCCGGCACGATTAGACTCCTCAACCATCATATTGAACTCACAAGCAACCACGGGACACTTATGGTGGCCACAAGCAGGACTAGCCGGAGACGATGTCGAGTCCAGATGGCGCATATCGGACGCCAGCGTCCTGTACTGGCCAAGAAGCGAAGTCTTATAAATGTGGTATGACTTTTGCATGCTAGTAATTTTGTACCATAGTGCGGTGAGCTGGGGATCCAACTTGATTATGTTGAGCCACAGGTACAACTTCACTATTATACCTGACGGGTCTGGGGTGCTCTTATGACGGAAATGACGCATTGAAAAGTAGAGATCATCAGCCACCAGTGGCAGAGCAGTGTCGGGAGAGCTCCGGAGTTTTCGGAGAATAGTCACCGGCGAAGTATTCATTTGACGTAGCGCCGTGCTGGCTGCCAGAGGACCAAACACATTAGGAAGCGGCTCGCCGGCGCTCCTTTGAGGCGTGGCTATATTTTCACTCGCATTGGCTGAATATCGTCTGGTTGAAGCGTTCTCTCGGAGATCTGCACCGATATCACCACTGGTCCCCACACCGACATTAGCAACATTAACATTTGGAATGGTAGCAACGTTGACATTAGAAATATTGATATTGGCAACATTAGCAGGTACACTGCCTATTACACCACCAACACCTTCCCCATAAGGACATGCAGCCGAGTTTCGTAAACTGGCTAGCTCTTCCTTCATTCTCTCCACCTCTTCTCTATACCTAGCCTCCATGACCGTCATCTCTTCCTTGAGTCGTTTGTACTCAGCCAGATCAGTCACCACCATATTAGCTACTTGAGTCAACTTCGCCAGCAGCTCTGCCCAATTTGGTTCCATATAGACACAGAGATGGCCCACGTTATTCTTGACGCACCCAGAGCATGGGGTCTGTTTGTCACATCGTACTTTTCTTTTCTTGCAGTTGAGGCACGATAAGGGCACTCGTTTACGTTGACGTTTCTCCATTCTGGCAAAAAATTGGCCAAACTTATGGTTACTTTCAGTCTATTGGAGACGGTGCATTGATATACCGTTGTAAACCAACACCGATAAGTGCGACGTGAACTTCTTCAATGCGAATCGGCTTCCTGCAGACAACCACAGAACTTCGTCCTTACTAAAATATAAAAACGGATGAGGTGATTAGGTTGAGAGCGTTTAAAGAACATGCGGAAGGTGTGAATTATTAGAGTGATATATTTTTTTCTTTAGATTGTTCTTATTTGTAAGAGACACTGTAGTAGCTATCATCAATAAAATATCCACGTGAGTGATCACGTGTGGCTTAAGGAAAACTAGTGCTCAATGCCGAGGATAGTTTAAATATTACAAACGATATGAGCTCTGGAAAAAAGGTAAAATTCTATTCCAAGTCTTCTATTTTTTTTTTTTCACAATTTTTTCACCCCCAAACTCTATACCAGTTCTTGGAAGGTGGAAAAACATTACGACATTTCGCGACAATGTCTGGGCACGTGATCTACAATCACGTTCACGATCAACAAAAACTCCATCTACAAACCCCATCTTCATCAACCAAATGTCAGCTGGAATTCCCGTGAGACTCCTAAACGAGGCCCAAGGGCATGTTGTGTCACTAGAACTCACTACAGGGGATACTTATCGTGGCAAATTGGTTGAAAACGAAGATAACATGAACCTATCTTTGAACGATGTCACCATCACCAAAGGTCGTACTGGTGAGACGTCTTATATGAGTCAGGTATTTGTGAGAGGCTCCATGATTAGATTTGTCAGTGTTCCTGACATATTGAGGAATGCGCCGATGTTCTTTATGAAGCCAGGTGAGAAGCCTAGACCTCCTGTTCGGGGTCCACCTCCCAAGCGTAATAAGTATTGAGAGATGAAGGATCTTAGAAAGATGAAGGATCTTGATGAAGATCTCAGAGAGATGACAGAACTAAGAGATTTGAAAGATGAGAGAGATTGTAGGTATTATCAATTGGAGTTTCTCATGGAGCACTAGAGATACTTAGTGCTTGTTGCTACAGTCTGCTCTCGCTAATGCTGGCACAATGGCCAGATTCTGGTTTCTAAAGGTACACCTTAAAGCTATGGTGGATTGTTATCTGTCATACTTGAGTACCGATTTGAGGCAAGAATGGCGAGAGGTCTGGAATGTACATTATTGAACATCCATTGGAAGTGTCAGCTAGAAACACCATAGGAATGTTCCGTTGATTGAGGGCCGAAAGGATGAATTTATCAAGACAGGACCAATTAGTGATAGAGCAATGTTTGTTACACTTTGATTTTTTTTTTTTTTGCTGGCCACACTGTTGATTATTCTGGGTGGAGCTACAGTTTTACGCTTGATTACAGATCTCTCCTGCCCTTTGGTCACAGTTCATTGCACATCATTGCAGTCTATACCATTACGCCTTGTCGTCACAGACATAATCTATACTTATAATTTATCAACGCAAAGTCACCAACTCTTCAGCAGATGTAGGGTGAATGGCCACACAGCTGTCGAAATCCTTCTTGGTGGCACCCATCTTCACAGCAACTCCGAATCCCTGCAAAATCTCAGCAGAGGAGTCACCAACAATGTGTAGTCCCACAACCTTCTCTTCTGGTCCAGCACAGATCAAACGGTACACACAAGGAATCTTCTCATCGTCAGAGTCCATCATAGCGTAGAACATAGCGTTGAATTTGGAGTTGTAGATCTTGATCTCGCTCTCACCGTATTTCTCGATGGCCTGCTTAGTGGTTAAACCGATCGATCCAGCTTCAGGATGCGAGAAAACAACAGATGGCACATTGCTGTAGTCCAATTTATCCTGAGCAAACGCCTCCTGGCCAGAGAACAATCTGTTAGACAACTTACGACCAGCTGCAATTGCCACTGGAGTCAACTCAACGTTACCAACAACGTCTCCCAAAGAGAAAACCTTAGGGTTTGAAGTCTGTTGGTAAGAATCGACCTCGACGTTTCCCTTGGCGTCAAGCTTGACACCAACCTTGTCCAAACCAATTCTGTTCAATCCCTTACGGCCAACGGTCCAAATCAACTCATCGACCTCCAAAACATCTCCATTGCCCAAGAAAACCTTCTTCTTATCTCCAGCCTTCTCAACCTTACTAACACTGCCAGAGTTCTTGATGACATTGATTCCCAACTTGTTGATGTAGATGTCGGTGATGGAATTTTGAATAATCTCGTCAAATGCTCTCAACACAGTCTCTCCACGTGCGACCAAGTGGGTTTCCGTTCCCAATGAAGAGAAGACACCAGCCAATTCAACACCGATGTATCCCACACCCACAATGGCAACCGATTTAGGCTGCTTCTCCAACCCGAAAAATCCGTCGGAAGTGATTCCCAATTCAGAACCCTCGACCTTTGGAGGCACGACAGGTTCTCCACCAGTAGCGATGAGAACCTTATCAGCAGAAAAAGTCAACTTCTCGTTCTTCTTGAAAGAGCCGGACAAGAAAGGAACCTCCTGGTCCTCGCTCAACACCACCTCTACATCACCGTTCTCGTTGGCAAACGAAGCATATCCGTAGAGGTACTCCACCTTCTCCTTCTCTAAATTTCTCTCGTAGATTCCGTTCAATCTCTTGACATAGGCATCTCTCTTTTGCTTAATGGAGCTCCAGTCGAAGTCACCGAACTTAACATCGAGTTCTTCATCGGAAAGGCCATAAGCTTTCAACTGCTTCTTCTTGTGGGCCATGTCGGAAGCATACCACATCACTTTCTTAGGAACACAGCCAACATTCACACAGGTGCCTCCTAACTTTTTGTACTGGCCTTCAACAAGGAGAACCTTAGCACCATACGAAGCGGCACGGCGGGCGGACGCCACACCACCAGAACCTCCTCCGATCACCAAATAGTCGTAATGCTTAGCAATTGAATCCTGAACGGGAGCCATGGTTAAATGTCTTTGAATTGAAAGTAGACGAGGCAAAGGTTTCTTAAATAACTGCGACGTCGAAGCAAACATATAATGCTGGAGCTCTAGATTAGCAAACTGTAGGATATATGCAAATACGCTTACAAATTTCCCACCACATTGATATATGCACGACTGATCTGAATTAATGGCATTGTTCTGGGTTAAGCTTTCACAGGATGGGGTATATTTGTCAAACAGATAGTTTTGTCCATAGTACAGCCCGAGGGGATATCATCATATGGAAATCCTATTCGAAGGGAGGTGGCGTAGTAGAATTCTTAGGAAGGTACAGCAAAAGCCACACCAGATCAATAGATAAATGAAAATGATAGAAACTGATTTGGGCATTAAAATCATAATGTCATTGTCACAAATTAATCATCAATTTTTCGGTGAAAATAGGGACATCGTAAAATCCTCAACTCACTTCTTCAACGGCTTTCTTAACACAACGTTTTAGATGTGCTATGGTGAACGTCACCATTTCCTGGTCTCCCTCATCGTCTTCCATTACTGATTCCCTCGAGCAGGAAATATCCTCGTTCTCCTTATCGTAGTTAGATGTGAGCCATGACTGCGTCAAATCTAGTAGATGTGAGGTGTCCAACTCGGTGCCACTCGCGGAGTCTTCAATGGCTGCCTTAGCACGGAATCTAGCTCTGGTTGCAGTTATCATCTCTTCAAACAACTTATCTTCTTCTAGGAGGCCAAGCATCTCATCTTTGTCTTCGTGGAACGCCTTTTGGACATTCGCAATATTGTCAAAGGCAGAGTATGAAGAATTGTTTGTGATGAAATCGAGATTCACATTGTTGGAGTAGCCAAAGAGTTTGCGTAGGAACTCCTTCTTATGATACACTTGAACTTTGCGTTTGCCAGAGATGGAGTGGTTGGCAATGAACTCACGCTCCTGCGACCCACTCTCCCTTTGTCGGTATACCCACAAGGCATTGGCCAAGGTATCCTCGTATTCGACCGGACTAACTTCTATGCTACTGTTCTTTAAGATGTCAAAATTCTCGAGAAGAACCTTAAGCTCTCCTTTTGTATAGCCTGGGACCGATTGGAGCGTTTCTTCTCTGGCACGCGAAGATGGGGATGAATTCCCTCGATTGATGCTCGTTTCTGCCTCAGCATGTAACTCTTCGTCTAAGCTTGTATCCATTTCCTTGTTGACATCCTCAAAAATGCCAAAGGTCCCCGAAGAAGAGGATTGCGTGTTCTCGAAGATAATGTTAGCACTGATCTTCTCCGCCGATTCCCAGGCACGGATCTGCGATTCCTTAATAGGAGGTGGCAATTCATCTTCTTCTAGAGACAGTCCCATGGGATGTTCACTGAAAACCGAGTAGTCATACTTGGTCATGTTGATAGGTTTACGTAGCACAAACGGCTTGGGATTCAGATATGTCTTCCTCAGCTGCTGAAGATTGAGAATCTTACGAGTTGCGTTCCCGCCTGCGGGAATGTCTCGAGGACGTAATTCAGGATTGCCAGTGCGCTGGCGGAACCCATTTCGTTGCTGAACCCTTCGTATGTTGTTGCTGGGTGTACTCATCATAGATGATGAAGACACCGTGCGTTGGGTGACATTCGCAATACTTCCGTTCGACACATCGGCAAACGAGTGCGATGTAACTCGGAGTCGCGGGAGGATTTGGCGGGGTGGTGGTACTTTGTCATCTGCCATTGAGTTGTTAGTGGAGTGCAGATGATGGCGATAAGCACTGTAGACAGTGAGGGATGGGGTACTGTGGTGGTACTGTATGTAAATATAAGACAACAGCCAACATGCTGCAAATACATACTTACTACAGGGTCGCAACCTCTCTATTTATACTTCTTTTGGCTGCAAATTCAAGAAAGAGGGGATTATGCATAAGTAATTATATAAGAAGACGATTTCCAAGATTATTTTCATGAATTAATATGCCACTACGCCACACCTGTTTAAAGTGAGAAGGCCTCAGTGGTGGTAAGTGACTATGCAACTAGCATTTAAGCCCGTGCCTCCTGAACAATAGTGAGTGTACCTTCAGCCGTTAGTAGGGGGTCCAATGATTCAGGGCTTGAGCCCTAAGTGCGTACACCCGTGCACCAAGAAATTTCTGTGTCCGGCACGTTTGAAAAATTTCTCCCGCGACCACTATACACCAAAAAATTCTTACACTTCATCTAGTTACAAGAACCACTTGACAAGATGGCTACTGAGTTGACCGTTCAATCCGAGAGAGCTTTCCAAAAGGTATGTGGAGCGAAATATAAGGATGGTGATATGAAATAATCACCGGTGCAAAAAGAGTCCATACTAACATTGCAGCAACCACACATCTTCACCAACCCAAAGGCTAAGGCCAACAGAAAGACCAAGAGATGGGTCAAGGATGTCGGTTTGGGATTCAAGACCCCTAAGTCCGCCATCGAGGGTTCTTACATTGACAAGAAGTGCCCATTCGTCGGAGACATCTCCATCAGAGGTAAGATTTTGACCGGTACTGTCGTGTCCACCAAAATGCACAGAACCATCATCATCAGAAGAGACTACCTCCACTTCGTCAAGAAATACAACAGATACGAGAAGAGACACAAGAACGTTGCTGTCCACGTCTCTCCAGCCTTCCGTGTTTCCGAGGGTGACGTTGTCGTTGCCGGTCAGTGTAGACCTCTTTCTAAGACCGTTAGATTCAACGTGTTGAAGGTTGCTGTGTCTGCTTCCAAGTCCAAGCAATTCTCCAAGTTCTAAACTGCATATCAACTGGTTAAGTTTGTTGTGTATTTAATGTTACATTAGCTAATTCGTTCTGTAGAGACTATGCATTCAGAGGTTTTTCGATGAGCTTAACTGACATCTTTTTATCTCCCCAAGCGTTCAAAAGCTCCAACAATTTGCCCTCCTCATGCAACTTGACAATGTCGTCACATCCTCCTCTACTTTCGGGACTGGCTCCAACGATTAAATTGGGGACCGTACGTCTTTTGGTAACCTTAGCCAAATATTCCTGGAATTCGGCCCCGTGTTCATGCTTGTCTAATTCCACAACGGTAGGTTCAGGTGTGATACTGTAGTTATCCTTCAAAAGCTGCTTCAACCTCTTGGAGTATGGACAGTATGACTTGGAGAACACTGTCATGGGTGCCATTGCTCTGGTGTTAAGAAATTCGGTGGCTGGATCGAATGGACCGGATGTAATAGGCTCAGCTGGCAATTTGACGGATCCTTGTTGCTGAGGACTGTTTGTTCCGTCTTTATCTTTGGAGATTTCCTTGTTGATGGCCGCGTCTGTTTTGGCGTTGTTGGCAGATTCGATAAGGCTTCCATGTTGAGCTGATTCAGACTCGGCCAACGAATATGAATCCTTCTGGGTGTAGAGGACAAACACAACACATATAGCCGCGAGAGCGATCACTACGAGACGTAACTTGCGGGTGGATATCATTGTTATGGGAAACTGAAGTGCTGGAGCGTTGCTATGTATAGATGGTGGGCGTGTGGTGTTCAATGGGAATAGGCTGGATATTCAGAAATTGGGGATGTGCTGGGGGTCAAGGAGGAGTTGTTTTAGTAAATTTGAGAATTTTGGCAGTTTAATATTGGTTTGGGTGATAATTTGGGTGAGGAATGGAGGTTTTGTCTTCATGTTACCTATGTGACACGGTTAGATGAACAGTGCATTGAGTCTGGACTTTCAAATGGATAAATCATGGAGAAATGTTAGGTTAGTTAATCTGATTGAATAATAGAAAAATTTGAGGAAGTTCTATAGAATTGAAATGTTTTACAGGATGTAGATCATTATTAGTAGCTGTGGGTTAAAAAGTGCTTCGGCATTGAAAGGAACTTTACGCGAGCGAGCAGAAAGTACCTCATGTAAGCGAACCCTAGAAATAGAAAGCGACAGAAAGGCGAAAACTCTATCCGATGGATTGGTTTCATATCTTTGAAATCTATTGGTTATTAAAAATATTTAAATCAATTAGTGAAAGCTGGTCAGGAACGGATATCTCCATTCGCTCATAATGAGATCTCTTTTGAACTCTAATTTAAGAACATGTCAAGATTTCTTCCAAGCTTAATTTCCAGATATTTGCTAGACTTATTTTCAAATTCTAATTCAGATTTGAATGGAAGTTTTCATTCTGGTCATTAATATGTTTTCATTTTACAGAGCGTCTGTTTCTTTCCTCTACTTGATACATCACTGCTCCACCAGTCGACATCAGCACAATTGAAATAGTTGTATAACTCACAATTTATGGAGCAACACATCAAAAATTTACTGACACATTTCCAATTGTTCTTTTTAACATTTTTCATCTTGGCATATTATTTAAGGTGTTGCTGTTTTTTTGCTGATTATATCCATGCTCACCAGGAATTGAGAAAGTGAATTTGATCAGCCGTTTTCTCCAAAAACAGCACTAATGATAAGTCGAATAAGCGAGCTACTAATTCATAACAGCACCCCAGAATGCATAACAATAGATAAATCGAGTATCCTACTACTAAGCAACTCATAAGAATGTAGGCATACATGGACATGTAAGAAAATACTGGAAGAAAGGGATTAGAATCAGAGACGTGTATTGAACTAATGCTAATCGGAAAACGGGAAAATCGGTTCCAAATAAGATTCTGAGAAACTAGGATCCAAACAACTGACGAGTTATCCAGCAAGGGATTATAGTCGTACAATAATACCCAGAGTGGAATGTTATGAGTATTGCAGTAAGTGGAATGATATCGTTTTTCGAGGTAGGCCGTATCACACAACTCAAATGATGTTGACAATTCCTACAGATGATCTGAGGAATTGTCATTGTTGGAAGCCGTGTGATGACATAAAGTGGCAATGGTTGAGAAATCTCGTGGATGTTTGAGCATATCTGTATTCACTTGAAAAGAGTTTACTCTCAGTTAACAGAAATAATTGAGCAATTGAAGGTGGCTCGAGAAGAAAGAATAGAGAGCTACTTGCGCCTCTACGAACATCATTTGTGCACCTACTGGTTCTGAATTCAAATGAACATAAGGTGGGATCGACCCAATCTACTGGAAGGACATTGGGTAAACTTCAGAAACAATCTCGGGTGGCCAACGTCTTGAGGAAAGTTAACCCAGTGAACAAAACCAAAAGCTGTAATCCGAAATGTTATGGTATTGGAGACATCGTGGTTGAAAGTAAAGATAGCTGACCATAATGATCGTTGACCACATAGATGTAAGGTAAGAGATGAAGTCAATGTAGCAGACCTCAAGAAAAATAGGTTTGACGACAAAATCGACTTGCAAAGTTCCTTAAACCATGACCAACACCCACCAAACAACTCTCCTCTACTTCTTCCTCCTATCCAACCGAGTCCTTTCCCTTTCAAACAAGGATGTACCTGATAAATACTTCTCCGTTACCAAATTAAACATCTTGCAGCCCAGAAAAGCAATTATGATAATCTCAAATCCATGGGACTAAAGATTCTTTTCTCCTTTGTCTTCGTTTCTTGACCCTTCCACATTTTGAAACTTGCATATCCATGGAATATCCTCTACACCCACCAGACAATGACACCAATACAAGTAAGTCCACGGAATTATCGTGTGAGAATAAAAAAAGAAAAAGTTCGGAGTTCCTCCTCATAAATCCATAGTGGTGTATGGCTAATTCTGGCGCCATACTGCCATACTGACTTCTTGCACCTTGGTGAGTTAATGCGACATAGAAAATTCACCTCTAAGTCAGGGGAATACCAATCTGATAATTCCACCCCAGAAATACCCCGGCCAGTAATAAAAAATTACGATTGTTTGCCCCAGTGCATATTCCCGTAACAACACATTCTGCGTGGCCATACGGGAAAATCCGGAAGCTTACGGAACCCCAAAATACCCCACCATCTCTAATCATATCTTGAATTACGGAATGTGGCCGTTCTCGTCGAAAAATGATCTTCTAATATCCAAGAGTTTTTCTTAACCTTGATCAAGTCGAAATCTTCAACATTCATCCCAAATCCATCAATCAGCTCTATTCTGACTCTATTTAGATTGCGTCATATTAATCGCCACGACCCCGCCACTTGTCCTTCTTCGCGTCGCAAATAATGTCGTCCCGGGGTCTACACAAGGGTTGCCCAACCATTACTGCAACGAAATACCGGGATTTATTGCTCATTTATGGCACCATCAACCCCTTGGGCGGAGCACCCAATGAATCCACAGCAAAGTTGCCCCTCCTAACTTTGTGTTCGTGGTAGGTAGTTTTCGTAGGAGGGCCATTCTGGGCTACTTCGGTGAACGGCAAAATTCTCCGACGTCACCCTACTTGGTGCCCCTAAGAGTCATAGAAGCATCACTTTACTACACAAACTTCAAAGGAAATTTTAGATGATTCGAGGATCAGTATCTTATCAAAATTTCACAGATTCTGCATCTCTGCCCTATGCCCTGTGCCAGTGGAAATCTCTTTTTGGATGATATGGCCTGCATATATCCGACCCAATGAGAAACTTTTCGATACTCCCCCGCTGGGCTACCCCACTTTGGCACATTTGACAGAATTGCCAAGGGCTGGCTGCCGTCTGACATCTCTATATGCTGTATTTTTGTGCCCCTCCCCCACCTGTCTTTTCTTCACTTCTTGACAAATTTACACCATGTTCTCGCCGTAACGACCATGACTTCCGTTTGGCCCTGGAGGGCTGACGATGTGCCCCACGCCGGAGTCCAAGCTCCGATGCAAATACGATTAAGTCCCGCCAATTACACAACGTCACAGTTATCCATCCGGCAGATAAGGCGGGAAGTTGCACATCTTGTTACTGCATGATCTGCATGGTGATATTGAGTGCATCGCTGCCAACCGGCGACTGTTGGCTTGATAAAATTTTTGCGGTAGGGTTGGGTTTAAAACGGGACCAATTCCCCCGAATTTTTTCTCCTCTATCTTTTATTACTCTTATATATTCATAATGTCTCAACTGATACGCGACATCGAGTCTCAGAAGATCGAAGAAGAGGAGATCTTCCCAGTGCCTGAACATGTCATGGGTGCTCCTTCCTTCACCAAAAAATCTATCGTCAACTACTGTAAGACCAGATTCACTGAGTTGTTCCCCACCAAGGAATATATGAGTGCCAACAGGGATCTCCTTAACCCTATTCCTGGTTTGAGAGAGATCTCTGGTAAGCAGTGGCTCTTTATTTTGTGTGCTTTCTGGGGTTGGACCTGGGATGCCTTTGACTTCTTTACCATTTCTCTTAACGTCGACGTGTTGGCCAAGGAGCTTCACAAGTCCGTTACCGACATCACCTGGGCCATCACTTTGGTTCTTATGTTGAGAACGGCTGGTGCTTTCATTTTCGGTTTCTTCGGTGACAAGTACGGAACCAAGTGGCCCTTCGTGGTCAACTTGGCCCTCATGTGTGCTATTCAGGTTGGATGCTCCTTCATCAAGACTTTTAAGCAGTTCTTGGGTGTGAGAGCCATGTTCGGTGTCATCATGGGTGGTATTTACGGTAATGCTGCTGCTTTGGCCCTTGACGACTGTCCTCCAAGAGCTAAGGGTTTCATTTCCGGTTTGCTTCAACAGGGTTACGCTTTTGGCTACTTGCTTGCTGTCATTTTCACCAGAGCATTGGCTGACACGCAAAGCCACCAGTGGAGAGCCATGTACTGGTTCGCAGCCTGTGTTTCTGCCATCATCACAGTCTCTAGAGCTTTGCTTCCAGAGACTAATGCATTCAAGGAGAAGAAGTTGAGAGAAGCCATGCAGAGAGAGTCGGGTATCATTCCAGACCCATTCTTGACTAAAGCCGGCAAAGCCATCAAGGTTTACTGGCTCATGATCATTTACATGGTTTTGTTGATGGCAGGTTTTAACTTCATGTCCCACAGTTCGCAGGACTTGTACCCAACTTTCTTGACCAAGCAGTTGGGTTTCTCTCACAACAGATCCACCGTTACCAACTGTCTTGCCAACATCGGTGCCCTTATCGGAGGTCTTATTGTTGGACACTTCTCCAACTTCTTGGGTAGAAGATTGTCCATTATGATCTGCTGCATTGGTGGAGGTGCCATGATTTACCCATGGGCTTATGTCAGAAACAACGGTATTGATGCTGCTGTCTTCTTCTTGCAATTCTTCGTCCAGGGTGCTTTCGGTGTCATTCCAGCCCACTTGTCCGAGTTGGCTCACCCAGAGTTCAAGTCTTTCATTGTTGGTGTGGCTTACCAGTTGGGTAACTTGGCATCTTCAGCTTCCAGTACCATTGAATCGCAATTGGGAGAGAAGTTTCCAATTCATAAGCCCGATGGTACCATCATTCACAACTACGGTAAGGTGATGGCCATTTTCGTTGGTGCCGTGTTCATCTACAACTTGTTCGTTGCTTTCATTGGTCCTGAGCACAGAAACATCCACGCCGATGTTGCCAGAAGAGACAATGTGGACAAGTTTATGGTTGACTCCAAGTTCACCATGGAGAAGTATGAGGAAGCTCAACAAAAGCTCAGCGATGACGAGAGCAAGTAATGATTAGGACTATGAATGAATAAATACCTTTTGGATGACTCAATACTTGATAGGATCTTGGGAATTACTCGACCAGTAGATATGTGACCTCATATTGATCACCTTATTATCAAGTCACTTAAATGTTGAAAACTACATCAAACTTCACGCGAAACCTGTTCAACTAAATAAATACTCATAATTTACAACTTCTCAGCAGAGACTGGTCTGCCAACAGTGGTGACATCGTCGTAGATCAAGGTAGTGACAAAGTCCGAGTACTTCTCACCCAAAGCCTCTGGCTTGAAGTATGCCAATGCAGGCTTGAACTTGTTGCCTGGCTTTGCAGCCTTGACCAACTTCTCGTACTCCTCATTCAAGAGCTTAGCAACATAAGCCTTGTCAATGAGCTTACCAGCATCGGTGTGAGCACCGTGGGTGACCCACTGCCAGAGTTGGGTTCTGGACACCTCGGCGGTGGCAGCATCCTCCATCAAGTAGTTGATTGGAACACATCCAACGTTACGCAACCAAGCCTCAATGTAAGACAAACCGATGATACAGTTGGTTCTGATACCTTGCTCGGTGATCTTGGCATCTGGCACGAATGGACTCAACAAGTCTCTGGCAGTAATTGGAGTGTATGGCTTCTTTGGAGGAACATTGATTTGGTTAGGACCCTTCATGTGCTCGTTGAAAACCTTCAACACAACAGGAACCAAAGCTGGGTGGGCAACCCAACAAGAGTCACAGCCAGCCAAAACCTCTCTCAACTTGTCCTTGGCCACGTTCTCCAAAGCAGCCTTGTTTCTTGCCTGGTCCTCCTTGATAGGAATCTGAGCAGCCATACCACCCAAGGCATGAACCTGTCTCTTGTGGCAGGTGTGCACCAAGAGCTTGACGTAGGAGGCCATGAATGGGGCGCTCATGGTGACCTGGGATCTGTCAGGCAAGATGAACTCATTGTGGTTTCTCAACGACTTGATATAGGAGAAGATGTAGTCCCATCTACCACAGTTCAAACCACCAATGTGCTGTCTCAACTGGTAAATGATCTCATCCATCTGGAAAGCAGCAGGCAAAGTCTCGATCAACACAGAGCCTCTGATAGTACCTCTTGGAATACCAACGTAGTCCTGGGCCTGGCAGAAAATGTCGTTCCACAATTTGGCCTCCAAGTGGTGCTCCATCTTGGGCAAGTAGAAGTATGGACCAAAGCCACGGGCAAGCGTCTCCTTGGCGTTGTTGTAGAAGTAAATGGCAAAGTCAAAGATACCACCAGAAACTGGCTCACCGTCAACCAACACGTGCTTCTCGTCCAAGTGCCAGCCTCTAGGTCTGACAATCAAGGTTGGAATATGTCTCTTAGGGTCCAAGTTCAACTTGTACTCCTTGCCATTGGCGTTGAAAGTCAAGTTTCTACGAACACCATCATACAAGTTCACCTGGCCATCAACCAAGTTGTTCCAGGCTGGCGTCAACGAATCCTCGAAATCAGCCATGTAAGTGGCAACACCCGAGTTGAGGGCGTTGATCACCATCTTTCTGTCGGTTGGACCAGTGATCTCCACTCTTCTGTCACGCAAACCTGGAGCCAATGGAGGTCCAGTCCATGTGGGGTCCTCTCTGATGTACTCGGTTTCAGGCAAGAAGTCTGGCAACACGCCCGAATCTCTTAACTTCTGCTGCTCCTTTCTGTTAGCCAATAACTTCTTTCTTTGAGGTTGGAAGTTACGATGCAACGTTGCAACCAATGCCAAAGCCTCCTGGCTGAAGATGTGCTTAGCCTCAGCAGGGATTGGGCCCAAAATCTGGACGCCTTGAACTTTCAGTGCAACAGTAGGGAAGGGAGAAGACATGATTAAATTTGTCAATGGAAAAAAAATTAAAAAATGGGGTTGGGGGAGTGCCCGGGGTATTTATAGTGTTAGCCCAGGAATCATGGTTACCCCAGATTCCTCGTTCCAGCGGATGTTTGCGGCTAAGTCGCAGTCAGACTCGGAGTCAGCACCGGGGACCAAGGAGTCATGGGTTTAAACTATGAGGATGTACGGATGTTCCCTCGGATTTGAACCTCGGGGCCGAGCATGATAATTCGCCGAATAGGATATGATATGGGAATCTTCGGACGAAGGGACCACCCACACCATCGGATGTGCGGCAAACTCCGAGGGTAATGGTGAGAGAATATGATTATATACAGGACAAGGGCTCCCCGGATTCGCAGGTGATAAAAAGTTACCCATGGTAATCAGACGATGTTATTTCTTTTGCAGAGGTTAGAGAGAAATCGGAGTCGGAGTTGGAAATAGTGACTGGAAAGTGGGGGACGACAGTGGGGGAACTAGGGGAGACCAAGAGAAAGAGGTATGGAAGGAATTATGACCATAGATGTAAGGGTGTAGAGGGTCCATGTGATAAGAGTGGATAAGATGGGAAAATTGGAGGATATTGAGAACAATATGAATGAGGGAGAAAAGTGAAGATGAATGTATTTAAGTAAAGGAATTGATGCTGGAATTGGCCATAGTGAGAGCGGAATTGGTCAAGAGTGGAATTCTAAATTTTATTTTTGGTGTCGTCTACACTTGTGTGTTACTTGGTAACCCCATTTGAGATTGTAGAGATCATGACTTTAAGCTTCGTTATATGAGAAATTGATGTGTATTTACTATTTTATAGCGGCATAAGCCTTGTCACCACCGCAATTATAACCAATGGCGACACTTGGCCATCTCTGACCTCTATCACATACTCAACACTCCATCAACCTACTCCTTGGCCCACTTGATGCCCTCCTTAGATGGAGTAATCACACCCTTCATGGCTGGAACGTAGTTGATTCTGTGGTACGAGTTGATGTTCTTTCTCAACACAAACTGGTAACATGTAGCTCCACTCTGTCTGGAGGTGATGGTGGAAGAAGCCAAGAAGTACTCCCAGATTCTGAACCACTTGATGCCATACTTGTTGACAACCTTGTCCTTGTTACCCATCCAGTTTCTGTACCATCTCCACAAGGTGGCAGAGTAGGAAACACCGATGTTATCCACGGTCACAATTTCAAATCCAGCACTCTCCAATGCACTCACAACGAAGGCCAAAGGAGTGGAGGCATCGGCACCTGGGAAAATGTACTTGTTCATAAACAATCCCCACACCAAATCCTCGTATTGCCAGCTCTTTCTCAATCCAGCGTATTGCAAGAAGAACAAACCATCATCGTCCAAGGCATCGTAAACCTGAGCCAAGAAAGCTCCGAATCTTCTAATACCAACGTGCTCGGCCATTTCAAGACAGGTGATCTTGTCGTACTTTCCGTTAGGCTTAGCAGATTCAGGAGCATCTCTGTAGTCGCAGCACACAATCTTGGACTGGGTGGAGTCGACTCCATACTTAGACAACAATTCGGTACCCCACTTAGTCTGGTTTCTACCCAAAGTAATACCGGTGAACTTGGCACCAAACTGGGAAGAGCCGAAAGTGGCCCAAGTACCCCAACCACAACCCAAATCCAAAACATGATCGGTGTTCTTCAACTGAATCTTCTCGGCCACGACATTCAACTTGTTGTCCTGCAATTGCTCCAAAGACTCCTCCTTGGTGATGTCGGAGATACAGCCGGAGGTATAGATCATACGAGGACCCAAAAACCACGTGTAGAAATCGTCACCTCTGTCGTAGTGGTCTCTAACCTGCTCCTCGTCTTGAGACTTAGAGTGCATGATCACTTCAGGAATCATTCCCAAAAGAAAGAATCTGAAAAGAGACAAAGTAAAACGGAAGGTAGCCCAGTCATGTCTGCTCTCCAACACGTCGAGACAGTCGCCCTTAAACGATACCTTACCGTCGAAGTACAACTCGTGAAAGGTTTCCATTGGAATCTTGGAGCCCTGGCCATTGTTGGAGGTCTCATACTTAGCCTTCAACTCGTCGGTGTGGAATTCCAAGTAATAGGAGATTGGCTTACCTGGAAGCTTAACTTTCTCGTTCAAACGAGGCGAGAAGCTCAGCAAGAGCGTCCAGTAGGCCATCATGATAGGAAGAGCGAACAAGACAAAGAAAAACAACCATGTTTTGAAGCCTAAGCCCAACTTGCGAGTGACAAAGAGTGGGATCAACACCAAAAAGCCCAACATGGCCAAATTGCTGAAATGTCTACTTCCAGGACCATCAGCTGGCAATGGAGCATTATGGATAGTTGGCGAGTCAGTGGTCAAGATACCACATGCGTCAGATGCCTTAGGCTGGACGGGAGCCTTGGGTGTCTGAATAAATTCGACGTGATCTAACATGTTTCAGTCGTTGACGATGTCAATTGGTAAAGAAACAGTGTAGTATAAAGAAACCGTGAAGTCTGGGCGAGAAATCAATGTGCGGTGGACAAAAGTGCCACGAGGCTATATACATACCATTCGACAAGTGGGACCAGAGTGTGATTGGAGGGAATTTGGCGTGAGGCGAGGGTGGGGAGTTGAATATGGTTTAAATGTGAATTACTTGGTAGAGATTTATAAGTGATTGAACCTTTTTGAGAGTTCTAGGGGGTTTTGTTGGTTCTATAGTGTCAAATTTTGTTGTCGTATAGGTACCTCAAATAATGGAGACGTGTATGGGTCGAGAGGCTGGGGCTAGGGCGACGAGAGTCCGGCAAGAAACGAAAAAAAAAAAAAAAAAGACAGAAAAAAAAAGTAAAATAAAAAAAAAGCTTACTTGCTTAGCAACGGAATGTTATCAGATGCATTGGCACGAAGCCGTTCAGAGGTTCCTGAACGGGCACACACGGCTCCAGTAATAATTACTACCACTATTGTTCGAGATTTCCATATTGGGATAATTGATTCCCCCGTGTTGTTGTAGTTTTATTGCTCATATTTGAATGATTTGTGTAGTTGAAAATTTGAACTTGGGTTTGACAATCTTAATCAAGGCTGTTTGTAAGACCATTTGTGACTATATCTCTATGGCTGGCCCATGGTTAAAACCACCATGGACTCCTGCAGAACATCTCCAACAACTACATGATGCTATAATTTTGCTTGAAATCGAAAAAAAAAAAATAAAAACACAAATTGCGGAACCTTTTCTACTTTCTGTTTTTATCAATGATTTAATGAACTCACCACCACCCATTAAGAACCCGTTGGAATTATCAGATTTTACCTCCCTATTGTCCCTCAATCACATGACTCTTAACCACGTGATAAATATTACCCCAATTAGGCGGTTCATCAACACCACCAACTCCCCATCATTAATCTCTCCCATGGGCTCGTCACATGACAGGGATGTCGTGCTCATCGACTCGGACTCAGACTCAGAGCTCCAGCACGTATCCAAGCGCCATAAACCCGACTCGGATGCGCCGATGGCGCCCTTCAGAAAGCCTTTCATGCAAGATTCCGACTCCGACAGACAAGAGTCCGAATCTGGAAGGCCGCTGTCGGAACCACCGACGCTAGCGGTTGAAGGAGAGGTTTCTGGCTTTGGAGATAGTGAAAGTGAGAGCGAGAGTGAAGATGAGGCTGGAAATGCTCAAAGTGTAGGTGACGACCAAAGTATCACCAATGGTCAGAATCATCAAGTTTCTGACGGACATCACGGGCTGCTGCCGCTGACCAACTCCAGTGTGGATTCATCAGATTTGGATGAGATTGCTGGGGGAGATATCGCGAATTCTGCAAATGAAGACGACAAGGCATCGTCTGTTGCCATGCAGCGTACAATCTACGAAACTCGCAAGTACTTGAAAACCAGGGGAATTATGGCGTTTTTGCAGGAGTATTTGCCCGCCACTGCACTGAGTGAGAACATCTTGGAGCTCATCGTGAAGCTAGGATTCGTTCCTCGTAATATTCCTCCCTTGGCTCAAGGGGAGAATCTTCTCCAGCTAATCAAGCTCTTGCATTTGGCTATGAAGCGAGTTCGCCAGCTTAGAGCTCGCCTAGATGACTTCTACACAGTGGACCATGTTTTGGACAAGCTTCGAAGCGCCAAAAAGATCTTAGTGATCACGGGCGCAGGCATCTCCACCAGTCTTGGAATCCCCGATTTCCGGTCGTCCAAAGGTTTTTATTCTCGGATCTCCAATTTGGGTCTCTCAGATCCACAGGAAGTGTTCGACTTGGACATTTTCCACACCGATCCCAGCATATTTTACTCCATTGCATACTTAATTCTTCCGCCTGACAACGTGTATGCACCTCTTCACAAGTTCATCAAGTTGCTACAAGATAAGGGAAAGCTCTTGCGCAACTACACGCAGAACATCGACAATTTGGAAGCAAACGCTGGAATCGAATACACCAAGATGATCCAATGCCACGGCTCCTTCGCATTTGCTACATGTGTCACCTGCGGCTACCAAGTCAAAGGCGAAGAGATCTATCCACAGATGCGGAACAAGGAAATACCATACTGTCCTAAATGCGCCGCACAACGTAAGCGGATGATGAACAAGGACGACACATACGTGGAAGAAAGTTATGGAGTCATGAAGCCAAATATTACTTTCTTCGGCGAAGCACTCCCGTCTCTTTTCCACGATAACATTAACCATGATCTCCGCGAGACGGACTTGATCATCAGCATTGGCACGTCGCTTAAGGTGGCACCCGTGGCTGAGATTGTCGACAAGGTTCCACTGGATGTGCCACAAGTTCTTATAAATAAGGACCCGATCCACCACTGCAACTTTGATGTAAGTCTTTTGGGCTACTGTGACGATGTGGTGAGTTACTTGTGTGACAGGCTCGGTGCTGACTGGGATATTGATCACAGTGATTACAAGAAGTTGGTCGGAGACGGAAGCAACCTTGAACTCGAAACTACGAAGGAGAAGGGCGTATATAATATTCGGAACTTAGAGCGGGAGGCTGAGTTGGCATCTATGCCACCAGCGGTGCTTGAAGAGCCTGACCTAATTGTGTTGGAGCCCACACTTAATTAGCATAATGCGATCTACGAGTTCGAGTCAAAATGTGGAATCCTACTACTTTTGCCTATTGTCAGCCCTCTTTAGCATCCTATTTGATTTCTTAAGTTCCTTTTCCTCTTCCGAATCCTTTTTCATCTCTTGCTGTCCGTCTATTTTTCTTTCCATCATACTCCCTCGACAGTATATCATCGCTCCTGCACTTCTTCCAAAAATTTCAAACCACCAAGTCATGATCTCCAGAACTCTTGCGTGGACGCCCCGAATATTTGTGTCCGCGGCACGATTCCGTGTGGGTCTCAATTTGCCTACTAATTGTCGTTACTTGTCCTCAAAACCTCCTATTTTCACCCTCGATTTGGACCTCAATGACCTCAACCTAGAATCAAACCAGTCCGAGCCTTCTCCACCCCAAGAAAAAGCGAAGAAGGACGATTTGAGCGATATTCTAGCCGATATTGTGTTTGAGCCAGAGGGATCGGAAAGCTCAGAACTTGATCGTATCTTTGCAGATTTGGCCAAAGGCTCAGGTACCGAAAATGATAACCACTATACAAATGTCACATTGGACCAGACCGACGAAGACGTTTTTGAGCAGGAATCGAAACAGTCCGAGATTATCGGCGAGGAAAAGAGACTATTCGAGGACATTTTCGACACTTACGCTCGCAATGACAGGGAAACTCCATCATCTAGCAAATTAGAAGAAGAGGTGCTTTGGAACCTTCAACAATCGTTTGCAAAGCCTAGCCGAAAGGCAGAAAACATGCCGTATTTTCATCAAAAGTTATCTGCACTGGTGATCAGAAAGTGTTTGGAGAGCGCCAAAACAGCCATGCATCCCACACTTGATTATTTGGCTAGTTTAAATAAACAACTGGAGTTAGTTGAGTTTCTTTCCGAAACCTTGGCCCGATACGATGCCAAGGACTACAACGAGGATTCATTCTACATGCATAAGCTCAATAATGAGCTGACAGAGGCATTCGAGGCACGCACAAATGAGGTGTTCGAGACAGCCAACCAAAGGAGCATCGCAAGCCCTGTGGAACCATACCTCAATGAGTATACGTTGCCTGTGATGTTCAACCACATCCTCCGGTTGTTGAGTACCAAGTTTTACAATGGTCAATTGGCGCTTTCGCTTTTCAATTCCATGAAAAAGGATATCAACTTATACACAATTATGTGCAACCAGGAGACATACAATGAAATGCTCAAGGTGTACTGGATCTATATGGGCAAATCCAGCTTGTGTGAGATCGAGCTACTTATGGTGGAGATGACCACAAATGGATTTAAGGGCGACTTGACAACCTTCATAATCCTCAAAGAAATCATGGGAGAATACCACACCATGCGAATGGGCAAGACACTTTACAATCCAGGTGGGGCACCAATCTGGTCGCTTGAAGATGAAAAAAGAGCCACTAAAATGGGGGAAAAGCTTCGAGAATTGGGCAGGTACTTGAGAAAGAGCCATCATTAATGTATATAGGGCCACACTCAATGCTGAAGCTAAATGGTAGAGAGAGGAGTTAGACAGAAGAGAAAACACTAAGAAAGAAGTAAGATAGAAGAAGCATAATGAAGAGAGAAGTAAGAATAAAAAAGTGGCTTAATGAAGTAGAGAAGGCCGTAAAAATAACTTTAGAGATGACGCAGCAAGACCTGAAAGAATAGTAGGGTGTCAAAATTATGCGCGATAACAAAGGCAGGATTTGGACCACATACCGATTTGTGTGGCTCAACATTTGATTAGTAATGAAAAAATACACATAAATGGACGCAAAGTAATTTTTTTTTCATTCCAACTCCCGAAAATGTCTCTCGAATCATCAATCATCTTCCAACCTCTCCAAGTTGGAGATGTAAAGCTCTCCAACCGTATCTTCTTCGCTCCCAGTACAAGATTCAGAGCACTGGCCGATGGAACGTCTTCAGATCTCAATTTGGAATACTATGACCAGAGATCCAAGTATCCCGGTAGCTTGGTGATCACAGAAGGAACCTCTATCAGTGAGAAGTATGGGCTGCACGCGTTTGAGAAGGAAACTCCAGGCATTTACACTCAGAAACACATTAAGGCGTGGAAGAAGATCACCGACCAGATTCATGCCAATGGATCGTACGTCTCTGTCCAGTTATTTGCCGCCGGAAGAGTTAGTCGGGCTTTGGGATCGAAGGCTATTGGAAATCCAATCTTTGCTCCATCTCCCATCTTCGCCAGTGAACAAGCTGAGTTGGCTGCGAAAAACGCTGGAGTGGAGATCCACGAGTTGACCACCGACGAGATTAAAGAGGTTCAGGCACATTTTGTACAGGCAGCCAAAAATGCTGTTGCTGCTGGTTTCGACTTTGTGGAAATCCATGGCGCAAATGGATACTTGGTGGACCAGTTCAACATGCCTAGTAGTAACAAGAGAAGTGACCAATATGGAGGATCCATTGAAAACCGGAGTAGATTTGTTTTGGAATTGGTTGATTTGCTTTCTGAGGAAGTAGGAGCCAGCAAGGTGGGTTTACGTCTTTCTCCGTGGAACAGATTCCAAGGTATGTTGGCGGAAGATGATGAAGTTTCGCCAGTGGCCCAATTTGGATATTTGCTTGACCAATTGCAGAAAAGAGCAACCAAGGGAAGAGAAATTGCTTATGTATCGTTGGTGGAGGCTCGCTACTCAGGGACAACTTATGGAGATAACGACTTTGTCTCCAGTGTATGGAAAGGTGTTCAATTGAGAGCTGGAGGATATGGAGATGATGCGCCAGAATTCACCAAGGCATTGAAGGATGCTGAAAAGGGAAACACCGCCATCGGGTTTTCTAGACACTACATTTCGAATCCTGATCTTGTTAGTAGAATCCGGAACCATCAAGCGTTGACGAAGTACGATCGCGAGACCTTCTACACACTGGGAAACTGGGGTTATAACACTTATGTGACTTATGGAAGCACGAAAACGTTCTCAGAAGAGAACGAAAAGCAGAGACTCCCAAAAGCATTGGCTTGAGATGGAGTATTTGAATTGTCATACAAGGAAAGTTTAAGTACTTGCCATTCATGTAGGATGGGTCATATAAGTGATACTAGTCACTCAAGTATTACATTGTCACATAAGAACCTAAGCAATAAATTCTATACATATGATACGTTTTGTACTTTCGATTGCTCTCAGATGATGATAGCTATACTGAGTATTCTAGTGACTCCAATTCTAATGATTATCTCTCATGCTAGCCTACAAAAACCTACTAATATCACTACATTCATATAGTTAAAACAATGTATTAGCAAAAAACTATAGAAGTCAAACGGACGACTAAGAAAAAACTAAAAACTGTTTTTATTTCTGACCAGCAGAATATTTACACAATTGTGCATCCGAATGGAACAATTCCACGTTCGTATTTTCTGTTCAAGCCGTTATCCTTTGGTGGGGCAGTAGTCTTGTTTTGAGTAGTCTGAGAGGAGGCCATTGTAATTGATTTGTTTGATGAGGACCATTGAATGAAATTGTTTGTCTTTTTATACCCGTCTTTGAAGTTCTGATAGATAGAGTTGAAACCAGTTATGTTTAAGGTAATTGCTTATTTGGGCGACAACAACGACCTACAGAAGCGGCTTCGAAAAGAATAATTGGCATTGAAATTAAGCAAGAAAAGTACAGCCAAATACTATACTAAGGAGAGTGGTTAGCCAATTACGTGAATATAGAGATATAGATGAGAGTACATGGACGATACGTGTTAATTGAATGGCAGACATATTTGAGAATGTAAGCAAGCAGATATAGATGGGGGAATTAACCCTCTTAGAAATCTGATACGTCAGTTACATCCAAAATATCGTAAGCAATTATTTTTTCAAGATGTTTCATATTTCTTCCATATTCATACATTACTTTAATAACTTCAAATATATAGCCATTATCTGTGGTAAATAAATTATTTTATTTTTTGAAGAATTGAAAGTATAGTATGAAGTGCCATCTACCTAGTCATGCAATCCCGAAAAAACAACGGACCAAAAAGTGCAGAAATACTGAAATCATAAATGATTTCTTCTCCTTCCTACTTATCTTCTTGTAATCCTTCCCCTGGCAGGTTACATGGTGTACAGGTGTAAACCCTTAATCTAAACTACAACTCCCCCATACAAATACAATGTCAGAATACTTGGATCCATATTCAAACATGCAGAAATACAAGGGTGGCGCCAACCAATCATCATCGACGTCGCCAGTCACAATCAACCACAACGTGCCCAACATCAACATCAGGCAAGACTCAGGATCTCCAGTAAACGCCGAGTTTCTTAGTAGGTCAATGGATATCAAGAAGCAATTGTCCCAGTCCTTCCAAGGCACAGGCACCCAGGGAGGAGTCTCAAAGCCACACTCACGTCGAAACCTGACATTCCATGCAAAGCTGGAACCTGACGATGAGAATGACCCAGACGAGCAGGGAAACGAGAGAAAGCGCCGTGATAACATCAATGAGCGGATCCAGGAACTCTTGACATTGATTCCAGAGAAGTATTTTCAGGACAACGGACAAGATGGAACGGGATATGACGAGGGAATGGCCAAGAATACCGGCACTAAGGATGGCAAACCTAACAAGGGCCAGGTATTGTCTAAATCTGTAGACTACATCCAGACGCTTCAGAATTTGATTGATGAGAATAACAGAAAGGAGGTGGAGTTGCAGCTCAAGTTGAAGACATTGCAATTGAAGAAACAGGGAAAGGTCAACGTTCCGATTCAGACGGGGACAACCAGTGCTGAGTTGGCTTTGGGAGAAATAGGCGTGGGTCCACATGCTGAGGAGTACTTTAAGCGTGTTCTCATGGCAGCTAATGACCGGAGGAATTAGGTGGATATCAAATTAGATTCATTTTCAGTTCGGCCTAGACAAGCTAACCGGACGGTGCTAGTGGTCTCAATTATTGCATTTACTCTATGTGGTCAATATTGTTTCGTCTGAGCCTTTGACGGCGTCGATGTTCAACGTATCAATATTCAACAGTGCTAGCTGTCATACAACAATGTCAATGTTCATTCAACACCATCTCCAATTTTACGTTGTTTACGACTCATTTTAATTTTCCTATTATCTACATTCAATCAAAACTTATTGTGACTCCCACATACAACTGTATTTGAACCCTAAGAAGTACTACAACCGCTGGATATTGTCTCCACTTATTGTGATGCGTGCATTAGTGCATTAGTCTATGATCTACACCAACGACTTCAGACCTCTAGTGCCAGACTCAAGTCAAGTTCTTTTTCCGTCCTACCCGCTCCCGCTCATCCGCATACTCCTCTAACATGTATGCTGGCAAGTAGGAGTCTCCCACACGTAAGAACATGTTACGCTCAGTGGTTTCGACACCCCCAAGCGAAGTGTAACCATCATCATAAAGACTACAGTAAGGCAAGTCACAGGCTATGAGAAATTCCCAAACATCCACATAGTGCCAATGCAAGATTGGATGCACACGCAAAAACTTTGGCCAGTTGTGGTCTGTCTCCTGTTCGTACAGCAATTGCGATCCGTATGGATCAGCATATCTGATGCCCACAACAATTACCTTAATCTTTGTATTGACCTCGTTCAAGTAATGCTCAAAACCTTCCTTCAAGGACGATTTGATGGTAATGGGATTTAATTGGTAGTAATGGGTGGACAGTTTGATGAACTCGGTAAGCTCCGGGAAGGAAGTCTCGGAGTTGATGAAAATGGAGTCGAGCCTATAATCTTTAGGTAGCAAGTTAAGCTTTGGGTTAGCCACCGACTCCGACGAGAACTTTTTGTGAATGGATGCCATAAGCAATATGAGCATGACAAGACAGTCCTTTCCTCCATTGTAGGATAAGGCGATTTCTTCAACACTGAAAGTTAGTAAGATGTATTAAGAGAACAAAAAAATGTCGATACTAATTCACATACCTGTGGCTGTCCAAAGCCTTGTCGAGCACCTCGAGTGATTTCTTTACCTTCTCTTTTACTATCAGTCTCCGGTGCTGACGAAAAATGAATGGAGGATTCTTCTCGACCTCTGGAAGTCTATCATGGAGAAAATCCTGGACCAAATGATATGCCTCCTCACATCTGGCAAGAAACTTGCACTGTTTGTCGTGGCTCGTTTGGGTCATAATGGTTAACATATGAAATCTGGAGTCTGACAAGGTCTGGGGCAGGTGGACCATATTATCTGCAGGATCACGATAATATGGAAGTGGAATGGAAGGAAAGAAGACTCATTAAGAGCAATTTGGAGTTCGGAATTTAAACTGGGTTTGAATTAGAGAGATATAAACGTTCTTATTGTTTTTGTGAATTGGATATTAGTGGAGATGCTGGATATAGAGCCTCGGAACTTTTGATATGCTAGTAAGTACAGGCATGTGGGGGAGTGAAGTGAAACACTGGAGTCCACTAGTTTTATAGTAGTTTGAGTTAAGAGGTCCTCTCAGTCCTTGAAACTCAACCAGATTAGAGTGAATAGAAAAACAAAAGTAGACCAATGAAGGTATGTAATTCGATAGAAAAATGAAGGAGAAACACTATCCACAGAATACCTTCTCTATTCTCTGTTCTGTGGATTCCTCCACTCTATTATTACCTAACCTATTTAAACATAAATTGCAAGAAGTACTCCCGTGAGTCCTCGTCCCAATACCACCAATAGTTGTCAGACATTTCTTCACCATCGGGCTTATCGATCTGCTTCAGAGCAGGAAATGCCACTGAGATATTCTCGTACGGTTCAGCGCTAATCACCAAATACTGGAATTTGCTGGGATCCAAGTCATCGGTGTCGTCGTATTCCAGCTTGTCTCGCAAGAGAAACGATTTGGCAACATTCTGGTTCTTGGATGAAAGCTCGTAGTACGACATCAATCGAAAAAAGGGTTCTTTAACCGCTATGCGAGGAAGCTGCACTTGCACTAAAATACCCATTCGGAGGAATTCTGGATGTCTGATTTTGGTAACCTTGTATGAGGGACGTCCGATCTTCGTCCAGTGACGTTTTTCCACCTCGGACATACCATTTTGCAGAGGCTTTGGGTTTAGTTTTTCATCCAAAAGGCGACGCTTCTCCAAGTTCATGGTGTGCTTTCGACCACCTAAATGCGAGATATACGATGCTTCGTTTGTGTGGGTAGTTAAGCAGAGTCGACATTCTAGAAGTCCTAGATGGTTTCTGAAGACATAAGGATCATTGTCGAGATCGAGCACCTGCGAGGTCAAAAGCTCTTTTATTCTTCTTTTCGTGTGAATGTTGGCCTCATGTTTGTCTGCGATGCCTCCTGCTCCTTTCTTGGAATTGACTCTGTCTGAATAGTCCATGATTATGGAAGAGTAGACTTGTAGGGTACAGGTCTAGATGAGAATAGTGATAGGCAGGTAAAGGATGAGATTGGGAAATATAGAGTGGTGGATAAAAAGAATTGAAGGGGGCCAAAGAAATTAGAAAACGAACAAAGGGAGATAAGGAATAGATAGCAATAAGAGAAAGAAGCTTAAATATTGGAAAATGTCCATCTCGAGTAATTTTAAGTGAAACCTTCAACTTACGGATAATAGAGACAAAAGAACCGCACTTCATATCTTCAGCTCATATCCTGAGAAATAAAGAGGGCCCTTCGAACTTTACTTTCTTTACTTGGCATTTTGTCATCATCAAAGGTTCTCCGACTTGTTAATATCCATCGATTTTCTCATACTATTCCCCACTTCATTTTCATTTTTTTCCTTCACTCATTTCCTCCTCGTATCTCACTTCTTTCTCTTTTAGTACTCTTCCTGGATCCGTATTATGTAGGCATTATTTCCGCCCTTTTAAGAACAATTGGACCTCAAATGCTCCAACCACAAAATAAAAAAAACCCATGAAGATATCGCCAAGCAAGTCATATCACACACTCTAAACGAAATCTAGAAAAATCTTAAACTCAGATCTTTCAAAAACCATAACCATAATTCCACTGACCACATTTATATCTCGGAGGTACGGGTCTACACGTCCCACCAATCCAACCGAAAAACCAATATACATTATCGACTCTACCATGGATTCTCCTCAGAATATGGGCGACACCACCGCCAACTCAATCTCCAATCAGTTGGGCGGTACCCACTTGCACCGCCACAAGTCTGCCACCAAAGTTGCCGCGGCCGCCCCTGGTGCCACCCCAAAATCCGTCACGTCCGCTCTGTATTCGGGCCAGAAGTTCATCCAGCTTGACGTGGCCATCGACGACTCCGCTCGGACGGTAGCGGTGTTGCGAAGAGTCCAGGACTCGTATGTCAATGTGTCGCAGATGCTCGACATCCTTGTACTTCTATCGATCTTCTCAAGCGATCAGGTAGAAGGCTTTTTGGCCAACGAGGTGTTCTCCAGCACTCAGTACTTGCCCCAGGGCGGGTTGCACCACATGCCATTGTACAATGACTTCCGAACACACGATGTGGCCCAGGTGCGTGGTCTCTGGATCCCATTTGATAAGGCTGTGGCCATGGCTGTCAAATTCGACCTCTACGATGCCGTCAAACGTTTATTCTTGGTGGACGTGCACGATTTTGACAAGTTACCCAAGCTCGAGCAGACAGACCCAGAGTCGCTCAAAAGACCTGGCGACGACGACTTAGATGCAATGGTGGCGGACTCCCCTAGTAAGAAACGGAGAATTGTAGCCATGGCGGCCACTTCACCAATGGAGGTGGTACGTAAGGCGGCAACTGCAAACTCAAATGCGCCTTACACGCAACCGGCATTAACATTTGCCGAGAAAGACGTGGAATTGGTCGCCGAGGTCAAGCAGGTGTTTAGCGAAATATTTAAGAACGATGCCAAGGACACCCTCACAAAAGGCGATGTGACTACTCACTTCAAGCGCATTTTCGAAAAATGCCCTCCCCACACTTCGAACTACGTATCATTGTTGGACGTTCCCTTGGATCTGTTGGGTAAAACTGCCCTTCACTACGCGTCAACTTTGGCCTCTGTCAACTTGGTGTCCAGCTTTATCGAACTAACAATTTGCTCGCCTGTGCGTGGAGACAACAAGGGCGAGTCACCGCTCATTTCCACAGTCCAGGTGACAAATGCCATGGAGAAGGGCAACTTCGTTGAATTGCTCCAGGACTGGTTATGGCCAAATTTATGGCTCTTCGACAACAAGCACAACTCTGTGTTGCATTACCTCATAAACCTGGCTACCAAGAACTATAAGAGCTCCAAATTCTACTTTGACAAGATTTTGGAGTGGACGATCTCTAACCCAGACAAGCAAAATAGCTTGTATGCCATGTGCAACAAGATTATCAACGCACAAGAAACCCAGAATGGTAACAGCCCACTTCACTTGGCGGGAGAGAATGAACTCAAATGGTTTGTCTTCATTCTTCTTGAGTTAAATGCTGACGTTAACTTGCCCAACAATATGGGTGTCAAGCCTCTCGACTTTGAGTGCGTGAAGCAGATTTCCGAGTTGAGGGAAAACTACCACAAGAACATTACTTCTCCTACAGCAGTCAACACACTTTTAGATGCCTTGGACTGCAACACCGAATCAGATGAGTACACCATCCAGCTTGTGAAGTCCGCCCTGGAGTTCTTACTAAAAGTTTCGCAGTTCAGCGAAGTCGGAGAGTTGGAAACTATTAAGAAGTCTGAACCTAAGGAAAAAGAGCTCACACCTACTAGCGAGGTAGAAAGCTCTTCCTTGCTACTGAACAAAATCTTCAAGTCTATTCAAGATCTCTTGGGCAATACGAATGAGGAGTATGAAAAGGTGATTCACCAGAAGAAGATCGAGATCAATAACCTTAACAAGGAGCTTCGAGATGCGACGATAATTACAGCAAATAATAGATTCATATCGAAGAAGATTTCCGAGCGCATCTCGCTAGTGGACACCATGAAATTGCAAATGACGAATATCAATGACAAGATCCAGATGCTTAAAAAGGATATTGCGGGCAAAACGGAGGATGAGGCGTTGTTCAGTAACGACATCGACGATACTACACTCAAGTTTGATGCGGACGAGCCATTTATTATCCGACCCATATATGAGAAAATCGCCAACAATGAGACGGTAGAGGCAACCGAAGAAATCATGCAAGTGCTTCCTAGCACAGAAATTTTGAAGGCACGGTTGCAGGCATACCACGAGGTGAACACCAATCTCCAGAACGAATTGGACAATTTGCTTGACTACAATGCGTTGACCGCCAAGTTTAAGAAAGTGGTTAGTTTCTGCACGGGAGTGGACATCAACGAGGTGGACGAACTATTGGACGGGTTACTAGAGGCAGTGGAGGGTCAGCAATAGTGGCTCTTGAGAGTCCGAGACATTGGTCTACAGAAACCGGTCCTACACCTACCAGTCCACAGGCTACCTGTCCACAGCAACCAACACATTCACTTTTCTTCCTCAAGGGATTAGACCCTTTTATGTATTATGAGCATTTAATCTTCCCACGTCATACCAAACCCTCGTAGGTGTTGAGTGAGTTGGCAAGCGCGGGGTCCATCTTGACGATTCGTTTCATATCGTTGATGTCAAGATAATCCGAGTCCTTATCCTTTTCAGCCAATGTAAATAGCTTTGCTGCCCGCAACTCAGGGGTCCGCTCGTCTTCCGGGAGCACCACCATTGGCCCCACCATTTTGTATATTGCCGTAATCACCGCCAAAGTGTCCTGATAGTACACCTTGCCGTCTCTATCCAAGTCATATAGACGAAACGTAAAGTCCACCTTCTGGTTAAGGTCTCCACGAGCAGTGAGCGAAAGCGCTATTATAAACTCCTTGAAGTCGATGTACTTTGAGTTGTCGGTGTCGAATATCCGGAAAAGATAGTGGCAGTAATCGTGGGGTTCGCCAAAAGGGAAGAATTGCTTGAATACTTTCGCAAACTCGTCTTCCGAAAGCTGTCCTGAGGGACAATCACGTAGAAATCCTTTATACCATTGCTGAAGCTCACGCTTGTCAAATAAGGTGCGATCACGGAGCTGTTTGATCTCATCTTTTGAGAGTTTGGAAACTGCTTTTCCCATGATGATGGTGGATGTAAGTTATAGCAGGTAATGTATATGGTCAGAGTGTAGCTAATGTATGGTGGTGCACGACCTGTGGAGAAGAACTATTCCATATCTAGAGTGTCCAAGATATCCACTTTCAGCACGTTATTTTCTCACTGCAAGTTATTCTAGAAGTATGTTTGCACGTAGAAACTTTTCGATGGCCAGAAGGGCCCTCATGAACTATGGAAAGCCTCAGAACCCATCATACAACGAGTTGGCCTCGAGAATCGAGCCAATCAAGAGAACAGGTGAGACCATCGACGTCAAGAGAGCCAGATTGACATATCAGTCAAGAAAAAGAGGAATTTTGGAGAGTGACTTGTTGTTGTCTCGTTTTGCAAAGAAATACTTGCTGACTTTCACCATGGAGCAGTTGGACGAGTTTGATCTGTTATTGGACGAGGCTGACTGGGACATCTACTACTGGGCCACTGGAAACTACGACGTTACACCTTTGCCAGAGAAATGGAAGGAACTGGAGATTTTGAAGATGTTGCAGGAGGATGCCCAGAACAACAAGGGCGAGATTTTGAGGATGCCTGACTTGCACTAGGAGTTTTAGAAGAAGTAAGAATGATAGAGGAAGATTGTGAGAACAGTGAATGGAACGTGATGTCTGAGTTCTGCCATGTACATAGGAATACACTTTCGCCTCCAATGAATGAAGGGTAGAGGAGTAGAGAAGTATAGTAGAGAAACAGAGAGAATAAGAGAGGAGTGAACTAGAGAATTTGAAAGAGTGTGATTACAGAATAGGAGGAAGAGAAGAAGTACGAATAACGGAACGGTCATCAAATGAATAAAAGGGACGATAAATTAAAAATTCTAACCTTTGGCATTAAGTCTTCCACTATTACTTACAAAAGTAGAATTTGGCTAAAGTAGAGGGAGAAGAAACTACACCACTGATGACAGAACAATAATTTAACTTTATCTCATTTCACTAGAATATAACAACCTTTTAAGGATATCATTGCAATGAATATCGTGAAAGAGACTCAAACAAGCTAAGATGGTCTGTATAAGTGAGCACTTCCCCATGGTACTTATCAATTAATTTCCATTCCAATATTAAAACAAAGTGTCCACCAGGTTAAATGAATTTGACGTAAACTGAGAAGGATGAAAAGATTCTGAAGATATTACATAAGAAACGTGTACACTGTATGAGTAACATTGGACATGGGTAACCCACTTCAAGTAGAAACCAAGTGTATACTGAAAATGAAATAAAGATCAAATATCTAAAAATACTACAAAAAGCAACAGCACCGCTTCTAAATCAATTATCTATCAAAATTCATCCATATATCCAGATTTAGCAATAATCTCTATGGCTTACCAGAGCCCACCTTATCACCTGCACAATCCACACTATCTCCATATCATCAAATACCTACGAGATCCTGAATCCCCCCTTTATTTCCCAATCATGTCCAGTCTCCCTGAATCGTTAAAGACAGACAGAAACATAGCCCCTTTCATTGCCCGCTCCAACGAATTGGCCCAGGCTAATCCCGTGGTGTCATACTATTGCAAGATCTATGTTCTTGACCATATCCTCTCCAATAGGCTCCATGTGGGCAACCCGGAGGTGGAGGCGTTCACCGTGTCGCTCTTGGATGATACAGAAACCATAAAGGCCTCCCATGAAGACGAAAACGTCCGTGCGGTGTTAGCAGACAGACAATTGTCGCTCAACCTTGTGTTTGCCTTTGGATTCCGTTTATTCACTTCGTGTCTCGAGGATTTGTCCCACTATGATGGCACCAATAAAATTCAATTGGCCTCCAAACTTAGAGCGACGATCAACTTTTTGTCGGTTCTCAAAGTGTTTACCGGCACGGAAGACAGCTCGTTGGACTTTTCAAAGACTTCAGGAGGAAAGTGCACTTCTAGACACGAATTCGATGCCTTCATCAAGGAGAAGTTGAAAACGCTCAAGTTCCAATTAAGCCGTCTCATCAAGGACGAAATACCCTTGCAGGGCGAGGAGGAAGAGCTTGCAGAGTTAGGAAACGTAAAAGACAACTCTGACGATGCTTCTCCATTCCCATCTGCCCCTCAAGATCTTTCAGACATTCCTGGTCGTTCAGAATCGACTTCTCCACCATTGAATTCCAGTTCGACCCAAATTCCTGGGTCACCACGTCTTCCACACTCTCCAAGGCTTCCCAAATCTCCTCTGGGTCCATCGTCTCCCACTTTACGCTCCTCATCCGGATCTCCAGCGTTCAAACTTCCTGGAGCACCTAGATTTGATCCAGGGTCGGAGGGAAGTGACTCAGATCTGGGCCCTTTCAAGCTTCCTGGTGCTCCCAAGTTTCTTCCTGACGACGATCTCTCGCACATCAACAAGACGTCGTCGATTCAGATGTTTCCTCCAGACAATGAGGTAAAACCAGCACTACCACCCAAGCCAACACCCAAACCTGTTATTCACAAGCCGAGTGCATCGGAAACCCACCACAAGCCCATAACCAAGGAATCATTGGCAGAGATCATCGATACGACTGAGCAAATTGCGCAGATCCAGAAACACGCCAAGTTTGCCATTTCGGCACTTAACTACGAAGATTTAGAGACGGCCGAGAAGGAATTGGCCCACAGTATGGAGATTCTACAACTAGTAAAAAAGCATACCAGCTAACTAAGATAAAATGTGAGGATGGGTGCGCATCAATTTGTGAACCTTCTACTTCACCAATGCACATTATTTCGCCGATGGACAAACCACCTTCCAATGCATGGTCTCAGAAACTCACGCCTGTAAGTGTGGAACGTGCTCCCACTATCTACTGTTTTGAGACAAATGAATCCCAAAAGCCCAAACGTAATAGGATCAAACGGAAACCCAAACTGCGCAAACCCCGCTATCACAAAGTTACGTCTCTATCCAATAGGGAGTCGGCCATGTACAATTACTGGCAGGCAATTTGGACTGACCCTGGCTACTGTGAGACTTTGAACCAAAACTGTCTGTATTACCAAGAGAACCAACAATATCATATCCAAGAAAACTATCAACCAGAGACGCTTCAAGAATACTACACAAACGATGACAGCGTACGCAAATGCAATCACTATATGGAAGACCAGCTTTCCGGGTCTCAGGCTGAAAGATTAGTGATAAACCAATTGGCATACTACTTCTCGCGGGATAACTTGCTTAAAGATATTCATCTCCGAGGCATGTTTCACCGTGAAGACGGGACTGTATTATTGTCCGAATTAATCAAGTTTGCAAAATTGAAATCTTTACTTGGTGAAGATATCAAACGACTTGTGCAAATCGTCAGAAAATGCTCGTTTGTAGAGTTGATTGAAGACGGCGGCATCGAGAATACGAGAGTTAGAACGCACGATTGGCATTTTTGGATTCTGGAAATGGCCCCAAAAGAACAAATGAACTAATTTACCGTCCACTTTATCCATATCTATCGAGCAACGAGTTCTTTTTCTTCTCCATGACCCTTTTCTTCTCGGCCTCATTTTGTCTATTCTTGAGCATCATTAACGTAGGACTGGCCTCCACACTGAGACCTAGATCAACAGGAACCGTGTCATCAACTTCAGCATACGGATCATGCAAGCTATCAAGCTGTTTCTGGTATAATTCCTTCTGCTTTCTTTCTTCATATTGTCTATTCTGGTCCCAGGCAAATTTTTGCATTTGGCGGAGCTCTTTCACATCTTTGCTTTCCTTAACAAATTCTGAGTCCAGGTTGATCAATGCTGCAGTTGAATCTTTGCCCAAACGGATCTTACCTCCCTCGTTAGCGTTGATGGCAAGAATGTACGCTGGAACATCACGTCTGTCTCGAATGGACTTTTCCAACGGATCCTCTTTCAAATGAATGTGCAAGTCTTTCTTCTCTAGCCCTAGCTCCTGCAATTCGAGCTCATAGTCTGTATCGTCACTGTCGTTAGCATCTTCAGGCTTCTGGATGCTCCTTTTGATGGTACTCCATTGTGCAAGGATCTCATCCCAATCTCCCAGCGTTGTACCATGCCAGCGATCTCTTTTAGTTGAATAGTCTCCATCTTTTCTGATTTCGTGTCCATTGACGGTGTCAAACTCGTCCTGGATTCCAATTCCAGCTTGTGGAACACTGTGGTCAATAGGTGCTTGTGCTGGGTCTTTACGGTGGTGGGAAAGATCGTCCGTGGAATCTTTACCTCCGGTTTTGAAGTACCATGGAACGTTCTGGATATACTTCGGTAGGTACAGGTTATCTTTTGGAGGCATTATGTAGAGTGGAGTTCAGTTGGCGATGCTCATCACTCTATACAGATGTAGGAATACGGGAAGAACAAGATAAGAAAGTGGAATCATTTTGGACAAGAGAGAGAATGAATAATTGGATAGATCAAAAGAGAGTGATTGATGGAAACAAAATCATCTCGTTAATACGGGGAGAGGAAAATGAGGAGAGTGATACATATTAAGTAAAATACTTACTTTACAAAAGTTCCTGTTCAGATCTATTATCTATGTTACAATGCTAGAACCCTGTCCATTCATCGTCAGAGTCGTCGTTCTCCTCCTCGTCATTAACGCCCCAAGCCTTGATTCTGTCGTCGTTGATGACCTCCTCTTTGATTTTGTTTCTCAACACCTTATCTTTGCCAGACTTGGATAAAGTGTCGAAAGGCTCGATCAACTTCACAAGTGGAGTATTTGCAAGAATCTGTGCCTTCTTCGCATTCTGCTCTTCTTCAGTGAGGGACTTGACGTCATTCTTGGTCTTCTCTTCCTTTTCCTCGTCGTCGTCTTCCTTCTCTTCATCAACTTCGTCATCCTCGTCTTCACTCTCAACATCATCTTCCTGACTGTAATCTCTGAAGTCCTTGAAGATCACATACTCGATCTCATCAAGATAAATGTCACAGATATGGTATGTGAGCGATTTAGGGAAGAATGCCTTTTCACTCAATGGATACTCGTTCAAAACATCCAAGAAGTTTTGCACCTCAGCCTCTGGCCAGCCGTGCTCCTCCAAACGGAAAAGAAGATGCCTGAGTACTCTTCTCACCAACATCAAATACTTGTCGAGTCTCCATTTGTCCAACTGGGGCCATTCCTTGGCCATGATCAGCCAGTAGGCCCTGTGGAAGTCTTGGAGCTGGCTTTCGGCCACAACTTTGGAAAATAACTCACCCAAGTTACCAGCCAACGTTTGTTGAGGAATAGGCTTGTCACAATACCACATGGAGAAGTACAATCCTCTCCACAAGACTTGTAACTCGATGAGATCCAATTTAGATGAGCTTTTAGCTTTCAAAAAGTTTTTCAAGGCAACAAAAGCAGCATTTCTAACTGCTGGGTCGTTGTGAGCCAATTTTCGCACAAAGGCATTAGTTTCTTTGGCCATTTTCGTGTATCGTAGTAGGAGATGAGTTGAAAATTTGGGGCATCTTGATGTCTTGTGATGTGTGCAGGAATAATATTGCAAGTTATAGAGGCAGTTTACATTTGGGAAAGTATAAGAATAAAGGCTTCAATATTATAATATGAGATAAAGTGGAAGAGAAATTAGCATCAAAATTGAAATTGAAATATTTTGAAGCAAGTTTACTTCCAGAAAGGTGGTCACATGGTAACGTGGAATATGAGAAAGATTTAACTGTTCAAGATCCTCAGTAAAGACTCCAATCAAGCGACGAATTAAAGTTTCTCACTAGAACCAGGCGTATATCACAAAGATCACAGTGCTATCACACTTTGTAACTCACAGTTCAGAGTAACCACCTTCTTTCCATCATCTCCAATCCACCGTCGTCACTTTTTATCACTAATCTCCAACTTTTCTCGTGCTCTCCTCTCTTCCACTCCCTACTCAGATCCACATAGTAATTTATTAACAACGCACATGCGCCCTCTCTATGAATTAAACAATTAAGTATCTGATTGGAATGTGCAACAACTTGACCACATATCCAACAACACCCATCATGACGAAGCCGACACCAACGGCTCTGACAATCTTAAAGTATTCTGAATGTTAGTAAGAGTCCATAAGAAACGAGAAAAGATGATCTAGATAGAATCGGTCATGGAAATCAGATAACCTATAATAGAACGTTTCATTCACGAATCATGGAATAATTACATACCTTTCTTAGTTGGCTTCTGGCACTTTCTCACGAAAGCACTTCCATCCTTAAAAAATTCCACTGGAACTTCGGCAATTTTCTCCAAACCCTCGGCCATTTTAATTTATCGATAGAGTAGACGTGGGAAAGTTTGGACGAAAAAGTGGAGGTGTCCACTACGCGATAAAATGGTACAAGCACGACTTCAGGCTGATAGTATAGATAATAGAACAAGTGATGTTAAAAAAACGTTATCGAAACCAAATTTAGAATTTAATAGATTGGGTGTATTCATGGGCACAGCTTTCTGCCTACTCGTTGGATTCTTCTAGTATTGTTTCCTCTATTCGAGATTATCCCTCGTGTACTCACTACTATGATTCTCATTCATTATAGCATCATTGAATGCCACCATCTCTATAAAGTTAGATTCCCATCAAGATGTATTAGCTCTTGGCTCGAAAAGTAATTTCAGTTATACTCTCAGTAACCTGATCAAAAGTTCGATCAAGATTCAAAATACACCTCCAGAATATCTCTACTTTCAATCACTTTTGTCTCTGTTCTCCCATTCATTTGTGTCGTTTCTCATTAATCACGACATAAGTCCCAAAAACCCGTCTTCTTCTTCCTCACCGGTCATTGTGAGATTTTTCTTATTCATCGCTTCCAAGAACCGTGGTTGTTGGCTTGTGGCCCACGTTCCGAGTCGCTCTCTCATTGTATCATCTAACGACCATTTCCTGATCAATGGCTGAATTTGCCAGAGCTCGCCACGCATACCCTTCTCATTAATCAATGCCTTCATTCCCTTACTGTAAAGCGTGCGGATCTTGTATATGGTATCATTGGTGGCAGACTTGTTGAAAGAGTCTGTCGAGACACTATGAAGACGATGCTCGAGAGCCAAGGCCGACAAGTACTCGTAGGCAGTCTCGTCCAGAGGATTCTCTTCAAGCAAACGTAAATACGTCAGGTAGACACGTGCAGAGAAGCCTGGCTGGCTCTGATGATAGCCCTTCCAGAGCTCGCCAATCAACTTGGTCCTCTGATTGGTTAAATCAGCTACGAACTTCAAGTAGCCCTCATAGTCGAAGTCAACAGACCTCTGTGCTTCCTCCAACGTAATGGATAACTCACCTTCATCCACAGGCTTATAAAGAGTGGTGGCGGTTTGCTTAATAAAGTATTGGAGAGCACGGAACTCAGAGAAACGAGTAGTGATCTCGCTCCACCGGAAAAGCTGGTCCCAGCAGTGCTTGGATTCGCTGAGGTCGATGTTGTAGTGCTCTTGAAAGGCGTTTAAGTATGCCAACCCGCTAATATACTCTTTGTTATAGATCATGGACACCACCACCGTCTGCACCAAGTCCAAGGTTGGGAAGAGTGGATCGCCCTGCTGTGGTTTAGAGAACTTGGAGTCCATTTTTCCTCGGGAAGAAATACCCCAGTTCTGTTCCACAAGCTTAGTCACCTGGGCAACGTTGTTAGAGTGTGCCATGGACGATAACATCACCGTTAACAAATTGGTGTCGAAAATCACCTTGGACGATGCCAGCAGCAGCTCCTGATGGCACACAAAATCGTCGAAGACATCGAGCCACTTCTTTTCTGCCTTGAATCGTGACCGCCTTGGGTTCACCTCCAACTCATACAAGTCTGTGGGCTCCACTTTCCAGAGAGAAGAAAGTCCTCCAGAATACACTTGGAACTTGAGCAACCACAACTTCTGAGTCATGTGTTGGTAGTACAGACCCTCACTGAACTGCAGCTCCATGCGCTGAAACCATTTCGAAGCCAAATCCAACTTTCCGTTGTTTAATTCCATCGAGATCAAATTCTCATAGTCGAGTGCACTGAGACGGAATGCCGGCACCGCATTTCGGCGGTTCCGCAGGTACAAATGGCCCCGCAGCTCGCCATAAAGCAAGTTGCTATAAATACTTCTCACCTTCTCTCGGAGATCCCGAGCAGGAGCCATGCTTGACAGAGATTGGATGCCGTTGCTATGCACCATAATAGAGGTTCCAGCCTTGGTTATGAGTCCGATCTGATGATTGACGATTTTGTTGACCAAGTATGAAAGTTCATTGTGGGTGAGCACTGACTGCCATGTTCCATCGGAGCTGACACTAGTCCATTTGACCAAAACTCGAGCTAAACTTTCGAAACTTTTGTTCTTAAGTAATGTGGAGATTTCTCGTTTGACCAAGTCAGCTTCAGAAGGCTGAGGCTTGTGAACAGATGCAAAATGTGTTTTTGCTAGACTGTCAAGGAAGACTAGCGAGTTTTTAGTGGCAAGCGGAGTTTCATTGGTGCCTGCTGGAGATTTTTCATGGATTTCTTCCGAAGCATGCGAAATAGTGGACACGGACGCTGTAGCAGACGTCACGGAGCGGAAAAAACATAGCAGCGGCCATGTTTGGCGTTTGGAAACTGCAGAAAATGACGCCAACATCTAAACCTCGCAGCAAAACGGTTGTGTTGTGAAGTTATTCGTGAGAGGATGAAATTAAAGAAATCTTGGAGATTTCTTTAGAGGTGAGTTATACTATGTGCACTCCTTTCTAGAGGAATGGAGGTTGAGAATTGGTACTTCCATGATCAACTCTACATGAGTAAGTTAATAGATTGATTTGAATGTAAAATTTAACTTTTTTTTTAAAGCAAATCAGCTATAAACTAATGTTACAATTGAACGACCGGTCATGATGTTCAGATTATCTAACACCGGTTGTCAGTCACATACTGGTTGATTCTTTACTTATCATTCTGCCAGTTTTGGCTGATATATGATTGCAATCCAGAGTTTAAGTAGTTCATTGCCTTTTTGATTAGGGTATGCTTTTCTATCAAACACTAGTATCGATCCTCACTGTGTGTTTTTTCACTTTTCTTTCTCTTTGGTCTTTGAACATTGATTAAGCAAGTAAGACAACCATTTGATGTCAAAAGTTACATATTAAGTGGGGATTGGAAATCATGGGGGGTTCCACACTTATTCTAAGAGAATGCTTACTCAGGTTGAATTTGATACAATAGTATATAGATATGAGTCTTGTACTGGCTAGTCTAAATAGTAACTGAAAGCTACTTCTCAAGCACATATACTACAACTTCCATTCAACTAAAGCTTGGCCTTTCCATACTCGAGTGTCACAGGTCCACCAGCAAGGTTGATGGCGTTGAATACAGCAACATCCTCTAAGCCCTGCTCATGGTGACCCCCGTCAACGATTTGCTGGATAGAAGCTTTTGTTCCCTTGATTGCCCACTGAATGTTAGAGTTGATGTCCAGACCCAACTCGGTACAGTATTCTACACCGGACTTCAAGTCTGGTACAACTTTCGACACAAACCCAAGATCCAAAGCATCCTGCGGAGAAAACACTTCACCTGTCAAAGCAAGCTGATACATTTTGGACTTGTTATTAACCAAATTGGTCATTCTTTGCAATGAGCCCATGTCTGCCACAAGGCCGATCTTGATTTCTCGCACAGAGAACCTGGTGCCTTCCACGGCAACTCTGATGGAACAGGCTGACGCAATGTCTAAAGCCAAACCGTACGAAACTCCGTTCAACAACGCAATGGTGGGAGTCTTCATTCTAGTCGGGTACGCAATGGCCTCCTGAAACTCAATGATGTGTCTGTGAAGGAATTTTTGTCTGGCCTCAAGTGACCAGTCGGACTTGTTACCTAACAACTCCATACTCTCGGTCAAGTTAAGACCGGAAGAGAAAGCCTTAGGCACGGCCGAAGAAATCAAAATAACGTTGGTATCTGGATCATTCTCCAATGCCGTGAGAATCTCCAAGTAGTCTCTCCAATCTCTTTCAGCATAAGCATTCAAGGTTTTCGGGTTGTTGTACTGGAGGTGGATGAAGCCAGTCTCGATTTCCGTGACAATCCACTTGGAATACTTGGTGAAATGGTCTGGATTGAATCCCATTTTCTCTTGTTTGTTGGAATCTCCAAAAATTGGCCCTGACTTCATTAAAAGATGTAGTTTCTTTGACCCCGCAAAATGTCCCGAGGTCTGCGCACCTTCACATGAGATGTGCGCAGGCATCAAGATGAAGTCCAGTTAATCTCCGACGGAAAATACAATCTCAACTGGAGAGTTCCAAACATGCTATTCAAAAGAAAAAAAAAAAACAGAAAAAAAACTCACTCAAACAGTGTACTTTCCCGACGGAGCAGAATTATCATCTTTTTCAGCCAATTCCAAACCTTCGAGCATTTTCTGTCGGATCATTCTATTGGCCTCATTAACTGAACTCTCAGTAAGACCTTCAATAAGTAAGTAAAGTCGAGGTGGTGCAGTGACCTCTTTTCCTCCCACCTTGATTGTTGTAGGAACTTTAGTATTTGGAGGATAAAACTGGCCCTTGTTGGTGATGGACGTTGATGTCGCCTCAATGATCTCTGCTAAACTGTCTGCATTAACCACCGTCCATCTGGCCTTCTGAGGTAAGTCGTTGATGGTGATTCGTGAGTGAAATTTGCACCTATCCGGGCCAGCGGTTTCTTCTGCACGGCCCTCAATTACTGTAAACTCTGGAAGATCAATTTGTGGACCCTGGCTAGCCTCGCGGCTGTCTGCTTTTGGTGTGAATGCTTTAACTTCTCTAGTTCCATCAATATCGTGTGCTTTACGATCCACCAGTTGGTTCGTGTTTCTCAACTCGTCAAGTTTGTTCAATCCGTTTCCTCCGAATCCAAACCGAAATTTCTCTTTACCGTCCTTGACCTTACCCAAGAAAGTTTCAGATATCTTCACTAGGCGAGCATCGATCTCGTCCTCGGGAACCTTACTAAGTCTCAAGGCTTTAACTAGGTCTGTAATAGGTCGCTCTTGTTGCGAAGAAACAAATGTGTATGCTGTTCCAGAATTTCCTGCTCTTCCAGTCCGCCCAACTCGATGAACATAGTCTTCCATGTGATTAGGTGGATCGTAATTGACCACCAAGTCTAGGCCCTTCACATCCAAGCCTCTGGCAGCAATGGATGTTGCAATAAGAACGTCCACGCCGCTGTTTTTAGCCGAAAACTCCTTGATGGCGTACTTCCGATCGATTTGGTCCTTTCCTCCGTGGATAACTAAGCTGGGCACATCTTGTTCTAGAAGCTTCACCAATAAACGATCGGCAGAATCTTGCTTCTCCACAAAAACTAACTTCTTGATTCCTCCATTTGCTTTGAGAATTTCCACAAGCTTTTGGAATTTAAGTGCCTCCAATTCCTGGTCCTCAGTTTCTTCGAAAAACTCAACTTTCTGTGTGATCTCAGGTGCAACCACACTGATGCCACCAACCACAATCTCCACAGGATCACGAAGCGTCAATTTGGCTAACATCTCCAACTTCTTCGCAAACGTGGCGGAAAAGAGTATACTCTGCTTATCTGGTCGGATCTGGGAAAAGATCTTCTTAACCTGAGGTTCGAATCCAAAATCAAACATACGGTCAGCTTCATCCAAAACAACATATGTAACTCTCTTTAAGTTGCACACACGTCCTCCGTTTGCAGCCAACAAGTCAATAAGTCGTCCAGGGGTGGAAACCAACACCTGCGAGCCTTTCTTCAATTCGGCAATTTGAGGTTCAATTGATGAACCTCCGTAGCAGCAACATGCGGAAATCCCTAACTTCTTGGTGAAGTATGTGAGCTGCTTGTAGATTTGTAGGGCCAATTCTCGAGTTGGTGTGAGAAGTATAGCAATTGGACCATCGCCCTTTTCAAGAGGTGGCTGATCTTGTACGTGCTTGAGAAGGGGTAGCACAAAAGCCAACGTCTTTCCGGAGCCCGTTTTGGCAATTCCCAAAAAGTCTCGCCCTGACATGATGGCTGGAAGTGCTTGACTCTGAATCGATGTAGGTTTTGTGTATGCCAATTTCTCTTCCATAATCGACATTATAAGCGCAGATAATCCCAATTGGGTGAAACTCCACACGGGCCGTGGACAATCCTTGCCAGTGACCTTGATACCATCCATTTCAAGACGCAATGCTATGACTTCCTCATCACTCAAATCTTTCACCGATTGAGGTTCAGTGTAGAAACACTTCTTGAACGGGAGATAATCGATCTTGTCATGATCAACCTGCACCAACTCCTTACCTTGTTGCAAATTCTTGATCTTTCTGTTCAAGAGCTCATCATCATCGTCGATCTCCACATCTTCCTCCTCGTCCAGTTCTATAGTCTGCTCGACTTTATCGACTTTATCGGACTCATCGAGACCCTCTAGAAATTTGTCGAGTGCATCTTCTTCTTCTTCCTGTACTTGCTTATATTCACTTTTAGCCATTGCAGGCTTCTTGAACACAGGTTTGCTTACCGAAGATTCATCTTCGTCGTCGAAAACCATTCGTTTTACTCCATTGACAGGTTTCTTCGGTTTGGATTTTGAAATGCCACTCAAAAGGTTCCGGACCACGGCCTTACTGGCTCCAGCAGTTTCTTGACGTTTGTGTTTCCATTCCTGAAGCTTTCTCCTCTTTTCCTCGAGAGTTGTATCTTTGCCTTTCTCCTGGTTGATGTTCTGCTGCTGTTTCTTACGTTTCCACTCTTCGAGCTTTTTCTGCCTCTCGAGTCTTTTCTTTTCCTCCGCCGAAACAGGATCTTCAGCCACTGGCGTGGTTTCCTGCGAGGTTGGCGTCTTTTTAAGCTTCCATTTCGCTAGTTGTTCCTGGCGACGCCGAAGTTTTTCAGCCTTAGACAAGTCTGTCTCCATGTTAGTGGGTCAATGAATTTCAATAAATTTTCGAGTCTATCGAGCAGTGATGCACACCTTATAAATTAACTATAGAAGAAGTTGTAGATTAGATGAGATGTTCAGTATACAGAACAACATCACCAACCATCGATATAAACTCCTGGCAGTGCATAGAATCCTGTTTTGTCTTAAGAGAGTCTTAACAGAAATAAAAATGCATTCTTGGCTAGATAAATCACAATGCTAAGTGGCCCTGTGAAATTGACAGGTGCCTGTCACCTTATAAGGCTGTAGTAACTGTCACAGTCTGAGAGTTCACCAACATCACTGGAGCCAAATCGTCCAACCAGATTGCAAGACTGTTGGTGTAGTCAAAAGACTCATCTGCGTCCAAATGTGTCCCGATAACTGGCGCAGGTAATGTGGAGAAAATCACCGCTGTCTCATGCTTAGGTGAGATACTCTTCATGAGCTCATTTAAGATGATATGCTGGCCCTTAGCTGGTAAGTCATTGAAAGTGAGGCCCAGCAATTCCAGCTGGAGCTGCTTGTAGGTTATCTTCTCAGACTTCAGCTCAGTTTCAGGGTCAACTTGTCTGGGTTGTCCTGTTGGAGATACGTCGTCGTCATCCACGAAATGTGAGCGATTGATGCCATCGTTGGTGATGATAGGCGAACGTACACCAGCGGTAGGATCAGTTGGAAGATCGAAGTAACCGGATGGGCCCCTCTTTGCAGATGGTCTCGTTTGTGAGTTCACACTAGCCTCCAACTTCCTAATCTTTTCCATCTTAGATACCTCGTACTCTCCCTCCTTGAGTTGTTCAACTGTCTCTTCTTCAACGAACTCCACAGTGACCTCATCCAGCTCATCATCCTCACCCTCATCATCCTTGTCTCCATCTTCAACAAATGCAATAGAAGGTTTATTCTCTTCGGCTTGATCGTCGTCATCATTCTCCTCTTCGCCTTCTTCCTCGTCATCTTCGTCATTTCTGACTTTGGATTCCGGAATCTTGACAGCCAGGAAGTTGGGACGAAGATTAGATCTCGAAGACCTAATTGATATCAGATCTGACGACTTTGTGTCTATTGTACTGAGATACTTGGCCTTGAGTGCGGGGTTCATGGCAGTCTTTGCATTGGCACTTGGTGGAATTCTATCCTGAACTGCTGAAGGTATTGTTGGTGCCGGAACAACATTGGTCACGACAGAATTGGAGGGAGCACTGCTGTCCTCAGAGTTAATGATGCTGGAGGACTCACTCACTGCTTCACTTGGAAATTCACTAGTGTTATAATCCCTTTCGCTGTCACTCTCACTGCTGGAATCACCGGTATCATCATACTTGAAAAATTGACCTCCACCTTGCGCATTCATGTTCAAAGACAACGAAAGACCTTGTTCGTGGAGGTTGGAGAGGGTATAGCGTCTGTTTCTAAGAGACCTTCCTAAGCCCCGACCCTCTGTTGGGCTTTTAGATGTCAAGCCGACCGGGTCAAACTTGTAATCCTCACCTCCAATTCCGATAGCCTTCGATTTGCCAAATTCAGCACTCTTTCTCTTCAGCTTCTGCGTTTCTATTTCCTTCAACGTTTGTCTGGCTTCTACCAAGTTGTTCCACCACTGATCTTCCAGTAAGCAATTATTGATATTGGTGAACCATCTTTTATTCTCCTGCGTAACAGTGTAGCCTTTCACAATGAAATTGTAGGAAGTGTTAAAGCCATCCTCGAAACAAACAATCTTGAGTTCAGCAACAATACGTAACGACTCGAGGAGTGCGGTCAATCTTATTCTTTCATCCTCCTCCTCGCTCTTTGTCTCGACAAACGCAATGATACGAAGCTTGTATCCATTCTCTTTCCATTCATCAACAGTCGACAAAATGTAACCTAATTGCAAAATCAAAGTGTAAGTATCGAAGTTGGTGGATAAAACAGACTTTCCGTCTTCCAACAAACAAATGGACGACATCTGGATTGGGTACAAGTCGATGTACTTGCACTTCGTACTATCCTTTCCAGGTCCTTTCCTGAACCATTTGCCATCACAGATAGGTAAGTCGAACTTTCTGAAGTTGGCAGCTACTGCTACTGTGGCTTGCATAATAACCAAATCTTCCACGATTTGCACCCATTGCTGGATGGAAACCTTCTGCTCCTTACGACAGTCATCGGTAGGCAACTGAAGATTCAGGCTAGTTGGATAAATGGGAAGTCCGACACCACGTTTGTGGAAGTCATAGAACCCAAGAACCGTGATGTTTGGTTTCATGCCTCCCAAGCCCGAACCCAAGAAAACATTCCGGACGCCCCAAGGAAGCGATGGGCCAATTGCAATTTGCACAAATGCCTTGATTCTAGCCAAGTCTCTAAGTTTTACCCATGCATTCTTTTGCTTCTTCACCTCTTTGAAGGACTGAATGCTAAACTCCAGGACTTCATCCTTCAGCTGTGAAGCATCATCTTTCAAAATTACAACATGACCCAAAATGTACAAGCCACCTTTCTTCAAATGATTGCAGAAACCGATCAAGTTCCAAGATGTTCGAGGATCATCACATAGCAAAAGAATTTGCGGTCTCCAGTATTTCACGCTCATTTGCAACTTGAGTCGAAGCAAGTACTTCCGAACTTGGTGGTAGATGAGCAACTGCGAGATATCACCAAATTTCAGCGGAGGGGTTGAATAGTGAATCATCAAAATGAGGAAAACCAAGCATATGATCACAGACGTAGCAGAAACACCATCCACCAAGTACATGGCCAACACAGACACAAGACCACCCGTAAAAGCAGTTTTGGAATTGAAGTATTTGAAGGAAGGTCTGAAGTTTGGCGCAGAGCCCACCTTCAACAAAAAACATGCCAAATTAGTCACCAAGAAGGTCATCAAGAATGCCATGGTAATGAAGGTTGCAATCTGGTTGATGTCTGCAAACAAGAACACCTGGGCTAAGAACCAGGTGAAGATTATACTGTAGATTTCGGCTCTGCGCTTCTCAGAGACTGATTTCTTTGCTTTGGAGAAGATCGTGAGACCAGGGATGATCTTATCATCTGCAATGGCATTAAGCATGGACGCAGCACCAACCACACCCATAATCACCGAAAAAAGAGATGTCGACACCTCACCCAATATGATGATGAGTCCATTCAAGTTGACCGACTGGATGATCTTGATATCCTTATGGAGAAGTTCTCTTGGTGTAGATGCACCCAACGATAAAATCACCAAGAGATATAAAATGAAACTAGCCAAAAGACCCTTCAAAGTGCCCTGAGGAATAGATTTAGAGGGGTTTTTAAGTTCCCCAGACATGGAAGCACCTGCAAATATACCAGCAGTGGCAGGGAAAAATATGCCAAACAAGTTCTTGAATGTTTCAGGCACTCCAGGAGGTTGCATGGACCCAGCAGCTCCACTGGTAAAATGAGGCCAAAGATTTTCTTTGATGGTTTCCCAGCAGATTCCCGTATACTTCAAATTATCGTAAGGAGGTGCTAGAGGGTATCCAGGAGAAGCAAAAATGGCAGATACTGGGATGGAGAGCGTACTAAGGGTAAGAATGATGAAGAGCCAAAGTGCCGTTTTCGACACAAGCGACGACCCAACCATTGCCACGCCCGTACAAAATGCAAGCAAGATGGTCAGGTACACCACCTGCCACAAGTAAGATACGGGAAGAAGCGTCATAATGTCACCGTCAAGTTTATTGAAGTTAACGAGAAGTGGCTCGATGAAACCCACCACATTCAATGAGGAATTCAAGATCTGGCCAATAAAGAATATAATGCCGATAGCCCCACCGAACTCAGGGCCCAACGACCTCGAGATCATATAGTAAGCACCTCCACCTTTGACAGTTCCGTTGGTTGAAATGGCAGAGACCGACATGACCGTCAAAATATCGATGACGTACGACATCACCAAGAGTAAAATGGTGCCCATGATGCCCATCTGGCCAATAATGAAGCCAAAACGCAAGAACATCAAAATGGAGAGCACATTGAGCGAGGTGGGAAGAAACACACCCTCAAAAGTGTCGAGTTTGGTGTTTTGTTTAACGACCAGCTTGGTCTTCTTCTTGCGGGATTTGGCCCCGGGGGCCTTATACGCCGGTAGAAGAGGAGTTGTTTCCATCGTGGTTAGAGCAACAGAAGGAAATGTTCTCGATAATAAATGTAGGCAGGAAGATAAGCGAGAGGTGAGATGGGGAACAATGAGGACAAGGGTAAAGATAGGAAAAAGTCGGGGAGACTATGGAAATTGAAAAATGATGGAAGATCACCTTTTGGTAAGAATTGAGGTAAGTGAACTCCAATCTCTTGTATCCTTACTTTTCTAATCATCATTTTGAAGCTTCTATGGAATCGTACACGCTGAATCAATTGCTGCGATGACAGGTGTATGAAGGACCCGAAGTGGGCAGATCATGTGTAGGAAGATAACGGACAAACCTGCCAGATCAAGGATAAGGACACGGTGGAAGAGTTGAAAATTGAATTGGAGACGGGCAGTTCTAGAGCATTAAGTGAGTAGTTTGACCTTTATTTGCCGATCTTTGTCAATATGTTGCCCCTTACGAATTATCAGCCGTAAGTCACGACTTCTTTGTACATGGTGACATAATTCCGTTGGACTCCTAAACACTCTCCTACCTTTTGTTCTTATTGTTCTCTCTACTGTCAATGATTTAATTTAAGAAAATATTTTTTTTCTTTTAAATTCCTTCCTCCTTCTTTCCTCTCTTCTTTTGTCTTGTATTCCATTGCTAAAACCCTCTTGATTTCAATGTCACTTCAACCTTTCAATTTCCATTGTCAATTCCAATGTACCACGAACCTCAAATGTCTAGTGTCTCAACTCAACTCTCCACCGTCTTTACTCAACATTCGCTTCTTCACATGCTGGTCTAGATTCCAACGGAATTTTGATGGTATCGATATCTGTTGGCCATTGCGTTATCACACATGATGTCATGGCCAAGCATGGTCCCACCGTTATGCGATATAGTGGCCTCAAGAGTATTGATACTTACATCTGAAACCTCTTCTCTATTAAAATATACATTTTAAAATAGACAACTATGATTCAAAATCTCTTAATTCATTCAAAAATATTCTTTTCTCCATCCTCTTCATCCTATTGGCCCAAATCCCAATTCTATTTCCCATTGGCACTTCCATCATTCATTTTCCCCAACGTTCCCTCCGCACTCACTAATCGCATACTGGCACCAACCCACCCAACTTCGCCACCACCCCAAAATCCACCCTACCCTATACGAAAATTTCCTCCTACAACTCGTACACCTATACGACTTCAAATATATATAGTCTGAGCCAATTCAGGTTTATTGCCTCCAGATATAATTTGTTCCTAATACCCTTAACCTCGGTGGCATCTCCAGTGACAGTCAGCTATACAAGCAAGTCAGAAAAAATTCCACTAACAAAAAAATCATCCAACCAAAACTTTCTGCTCCACCACCGAAAAATCTTCGTGACGCCAGCAAATAATTCCTGCCATGTTCAGACTTCTTGCCTCCAACACCCAGTCCGGGTTCAGGCCCGTGATTCTTCGAAAGGTCAGAGGTAATACCTCCAGCCTCAAGCTCTCCGGGACCTCAGTGGACTTTGACAAAACGCCTATCCAGTTCCGTAACAACTCCACGGCAGCTCCCATGGGCAAAGTGGACCGTTTCTTCACCAAGGCTAGTGCTGATCCTTTGCTCAAGGACGCTTTGAGCTCTTCTGGGAACTCGGCCAAACTCAACAGATTCGAAGAGCTTTTGGTCACTGCCAACCAGGTGAATCCACTGCATAACAACTCGCTGCATAAGCAGTATTTCGAGACCATCAAGTACTTGTTCAATATGATCAAGGATGATGCCGTCAAGGACTATGTGTCTCGTAACAATGTGTTCCAGTATGCTAATCTTCTCAATAATTCTGTCTACCAGAACAGAACATCGCGGTTGTCTGGGTCCAGAAATAGAGACAGCGACCAGTACCAGAACAATACCTTGAACAATGATGTCATGCTCAAGACTGCCATCTTGGATCTTGCCGATAACATAGTCAGTGGCCACTTCAAGGCTATCTTGGATGCTCCAACCTTGAGAGTGTTGCTTTTGGCCATGTTTCAGTTCAAGATGTACCCAGAGATGATTTCGCTCTGGGAAGCCGGAGTCAACGATGACGAGGTCAGTGCCATCTACTTGAAGCAGACTATTTTGTCGGTGATTTTGCCTGTCACCTACGATGAGAAGCGTTTTGACTACGAACAGGTGTTGCAGATCTACGAGTTGAACACTAAGGATACCCCTACTGTCAACTTCGAGCTTTTGGGAACCATGGGCAAGATCGCCATCCGTGCCGGCGACTACACCAGAGGTCTTGATTGTTTGGAGACGCTTTTGCACGTTTATGAGCTGAATGCCAAGGCCAACCGCAAGTTGGTGTTGAGATCTTTATCAGAGTTGCACTTGACCTTCATTGGCTCGTGCAAGGACATCAACATCGCCCGCCACTTCTTCGACAAGGTTGTGGAGGGAGATTTGCCCTACCAGGTGTTGCTCAAGGCTCCACACGTCCAGTCTCTTTTGGAGAACTGTGTGGAGGTCGATGAGCCTGTTGACACCATCTTGTACTTCTGGAAGGCAACTGTTGGCCACTACAATGCCGAGCAGAGCGACAAGTCCAACTTGAACTCGCGTTATGCTATCTTGAACAACTCGTTCTTCTCTGTATTCTTCCGTCTGTATCCACACTTGACCCAAGAGTCTTATGCCAAGTTGAAGGAAGTTATTGCTATTTACGCCACCATCAAGCCTATTGACGAGTTTTTCCTTAATACAGTGATTAGCAACTACACCTGGAACGACAAGGTTGTGTTTGAGCAGTTGATCGAGAATTACTCGATTCATAATGTGGCTAGATCGCCAGTGTCATACCGTGTGATTTTGAAGAAGATTGGAGATATCCAAGAGTTTGATAATGCTGAGATCTTAGCTCGCTGGAACGAATCCCTTGCACATTTGGATGCAAGCAACTACACATACATTCCTATTGCCGACTGGGCTGCCTTACGTGATGCCACCATTATGTCTCCATTCAGAGATCAGAGAGAGCAATTTTATTTGAAGGTCTTAGATGCTTACAAGAACTACCACCAGGACGAGAGAGCATGTCTCAGATTTGCCAAGTACTGGTTGAATAGAAGCGACTACATCGAGCAGGTGTCGCGTGTGTCGTTGGAGGAGAAGCCGCAGTTCAACTCTGATATGGAAGTGACGATTCCCTCGTTCAGAAAGTTGAGACAGAATGTCGACTACAAGAAGGTGACGCAGCCCATGTTCAGACCAAGAAGAACATAGATGGATCGATTGGAGTCACGTTTATATGACTCCAGGTAAAGAAACAATTCGGGAACACTCGGCACCACTAATGTATATAGTCCATGGTGACCAATGGTGATTTTAATGGTAACATGCAGTAGAGTAATCAACCAACATTAGTGATTAGGGAATGGGAGCTTGTGCGTCCAAAGACAAGGAATTGAAGCTCTCGGAGCCGGCGAAGCAACATCCTAGGTCCAGACCCACTGTCAAGTCGTCGTCTGGAAAAGTTTTAGGTGGAGGAGGAGGAGAGAGCACGGAGAATTCCAAAGAGGCAGCAGCACGAGCTGCCGAGCTCCGGTATCAGAATCACCAGGACCTGAAGAAGAATAGCCAGGCCAAGCTCAAAGCAATGGAGAAGATATCGAAGAGGGAGAAGGGATTGGAGTGATAAGCTGGAGACAGATATAGATTGATGAGAAAGATATATGTTGGATGTGAGCATTTCGGATGAGATATTCTGCAATAGATGTGAATTTGCAGAATTGACGAGGAGATGAGACAAATGGAAGAATTTAGAATAAGAGATTGTCGATAAAAGGGTAATGGAAGAGCAGGTTGAAGTTCTAGACATAGAGGGCCAATTGAGTTGGCCCTAACCAGAAGAACACAGTTTACATAGTTGAATGTGTAGAAAGATGTAATAGCTTTAATCTTCAGTTTTTATTCCAAATCGGATCTTTAAGGTGATTTATGTTTTGATTTGTATCGACTGAAATTCCTTGATTTGAAGAATTTAAGAAAATGTTAATTTATCTTGACAACTGGACCATTTTGAGGAGATACTGCGAAATGAGGAAACTTAAACATGAACGCTTTGTCAAGAGACCATATCTACAGAAAAAAAAAAAAGGCAGACCCCGTTGTAAGCAGAATAATTCCGATATTATATCTTCCATGAACTAGACCAACAATTCATCAATATTCACGAATTTCTATTACTCTCTGCCTTCTAGCTTGACCATATATCTCACACCCGTACACCATACATTTAACTAACTTTGAACTTCAGCTAAACATTCACCTCCACCATGGATTCGGCAGCTAAAATCCCCCTCTCCCACACGTTGTGGTCCCCTCATGACACCGTTAAGGATGCAGCAGAGTTGCTTGGCATTACCCTTCCCGAAGATGCGGCCAAAAACTTGGCCATGGACGTAGAGTACAGAATCCACGAGATCTTGGAGACTGCCATCAAGTTCATGCGCCACTCCAAGAGACGTCTCTTGACCACAAGCGATTTCAACAATGCGTTGAAGGTGCTTAATATCGAGCCGTTGTTTGGCTACGACCAGAGCCAGCCACTAGTCTTCAAAGAAGCTCTTTTCGGAGCTGGAGGACAAACCCTTTACTACATCGACGACAACGAGATTGAATTCGAGAAACTTATCAATCAGGAGCTTCCAAAAGTGCCTCGCCAGACTACCTTCACGGCGCACTGGTTAGCCATTGAGGGTGTGCAGCCTATGATTCCCCAGAACCCATTAGCACTGGAAATTAAGAACTTACCACCTATAGTCAGAGGTGCTACCTCTTCGGTGTTGAGCAACGACGTCTTGGGCAACAGTTCTGGAGCAATAGTGTCCGAGGAGTCTAAGAACGTTGCTTCGCTGAAGAAAAAGAACGGAGATAAAGATGTGGAGGTAAAACCTTTGGTCAAGCATGTTCTTTCCAAGGAATTGAAGCTCTACTTCGACAAAGTGGTGGAAGTGCTAGTACTGACGGCACCAGAAAAGGAGTCGCTCCGCGAGGCTGCGTTGAGCTCGTTGCGTACCGATCCAGGCTTGCACCAACTTGTGCCATACTTTATTCAGTTTGTAGCAGAGCAGATCACTAATCACCTCCGCAACATCGATATTTTGATCACCATGCTCGATGTCATATCTGCGCTTTATGACAACAAAACCATTTTTTTGGCTCCTTACGTGCATGCTTTGATGCCATGCATCCTTACACTTTTACTAGCTAAGAGAATTGGTACACCCATCAAAGACGCCGCCGACGACGAAGCAATATTGGAACTCTTGAAGGGCCAGTTTGCTGTCAGAGAGTTTGCCTCCTTACTTCTTGAGCATGTGATCAATGCATACGGGTCGTCATATTCCACACTTAAACCCAGAGTCACCAGAACTTTGCTAAGGGCTTTATTAGACTCTTCCAAGCCTATTGGCACACAATATGGTGCACTTCTTGGGTTGGAAAAGTTGGGCCCTGAGGTCATCAAGCTTGTTTTAGTGGGCAACTTGAAGTTGTGGTACAAGCTGGTGATCGAGAACAGCGACAAGTCGCAGGTTGAGAAGAAGCTACTTGAAGACAAGGTGTTGGAGGTGCTTGATAAAAGCAAGGTAGATGTGACTGCGTCGGATTCAAGTATGGATGTGGACACTGAGATTTCCGAGGAAACCAAAACAAAGTTAAAAGAGAGAGTCGGCGGGCCTTTGGCTTTGCTCGTCTTGGAGCATCCTAATGCCCTTGGTATCTGCCAGGGGATGTTTTTCGGCGAACTGACTGTCTGATGCTTGTATTAATAGGGTAATGTAAAATAGATGCTACTTTCTAGAATATTTGCGGATAGTTGGCTTCGGAGCAGACGATAGAAGTCTTTCAAAGTCGGAGTCGGAGTCGGAGTCTGAGTCAGTGTCGGATCCTTCAAATGACGCACTAGTGCTCTTGGAAAAAGTCAGGATCGTTGGTTCTTGGACACGTTCAGCTAGCAAACTGCGTAAAGGTTTAACAAACAGAGCATTTGCACTCTCTGTTTGAACCAGCAACTCGTCAATACTCGTTTCGTTGTGAACTAAGGATGGGATATTACTCGATTCCAAGTTTGGAAGAGCTTTCTTGCTTTTGGAGCCCGGACTAGGCTTTTCTTTACGAACAAGCTTCGTAGTCTTAAATAAACGACCTTTGGTGGATTTCGGTGGAGGCAGACCATTCAAATTCGAACGGAAGAACGGCGAATCGCTAAGGGCTATAGGTTCACCTGGCTTTACTCTTGTTTGTGATTTGGGAGCCACTGGAGACGACTCCACGGCAACTTGAGGTGAGCTTTCAATAACATAGGAGGACCGCAGAAAGAGGTTCGGAGTAACATCCAGAGAACCCTTTACGGGCGATGAGGTGATGTTTATCGAATCATCCTTTGGAGGAGCCAATTTCAAAAGCCTTTCCAGAACAGAGGGTCCTCGAGTAGGAACGGCAAAGCCTCCTGAAGCATGTTGTGGAGTCTCAAGAATTTGCTGGTGAATATCAACCACTCTAACGTTGGAGGGTGTAGCCAACACTTGAGAGGTAGCCTTCGGTGCTGAAACAGAGTGAGATACTGAAGCTACGGAAGCACTTTGACTTCTCTTCATCGGAGTAGCTCCCACCTGAGTGACTTCAGAAAGGGCAGCTGACGACGCCGTAGATTTGATTCTCCTTGCATCTCCAAACAAAAAAGACCTGGATCGAATCGGTTCTTCAGTGTCTGGGTTGCTCGTTGACACAGACATGTCCACCTGTCTCCTCTTTAGGTTCTTAGAACCAAGGTTGGACTTGGAGCGTTTGAGCAGAAATGCTGGTTGAAGTTCTTTCCCTGTTGTGGCAGAACGGCGTAGAAAAGGCATTTGGCTTGGAGACAAGAGAACCTTTGCAAATCTGGAGGACTTTTTAGGAGCCTCAGCTTCTTCCTCGGCAGGAGAAGGGTCATCAACAGGAGAATCATGCATTGATTTCAGTTTCTTACTTGACTTGGACTTTGGAATTGTAAGCTTGGGCCTCAGATCTTTAACCTTTTGGACCACAAATTGCACCACCTGTGGAAGCTGTTTGTTGAAGAATGGCACAAGAACATAAGCAAGAAATCCGTACATTGACTCGTCCTTGACACCCTTGATACGCCCCAATAAAGAGTCCCAAATTCCCATTTGGTCTACCAATGCTATAAGTGACGTGTACAAGGAGAGCTCATCAATGGCCCTCTTGACAGGTTTTTCTGGTGATTCGATGTGATCTTGAACTCCAACTCCTAGGAAAGTTGGGATGATCTTCTTCTTAGATCCTTTTCGTCTAACAAGAGACCTTTTCTGTCTAACAGTAGTCGCCTTAGCCTGACGGAGTGGCATTTCCTCAAGAAACTGGTGCTCATCAATGGGCCAAGCAAGTAGAAGGCTCATCAACACCAAAATTTGGAGATGTGCCTCTCGTATCTTAAGCTCTAACACCAACTTGGCCAAGTTTTCTTCGTTCGGAGTTACTCCCAAATACTTGCTTGCAAACATCAGACGACTTTCTACCTCGTACTTGGAACTAGAAGTCAGAGGTGCATGCTGTGGATTGATCAAACCAAACTTGGTCTTATATCTCTCTTCTAGTTGATCGGGAGTCAAATATACAGAGAGCAAATGCATTTTCATCACGGCCATATCATTGCTACACATAACCTTGAATCTGGTTAGTGCTGTTTTGGGAAAGTATGATAATGGAGTGGTGAGCGAGTAGAGCGTACTGTAGTATCTGGATAGAAGGAAGTTGAGAGGATCCGACTCGCTTTTCGGTGAAATTGTATATGGAGAAAGCTTGTGAGATAGAGGTGGAAGCTCGGTTGCTGGAGGTTTCATGGAAAATCCAGGTAGTCGGTCCTTCTTGGAAATATCATGCTCTGGGTCGCATCTCCACATTGAAAGTGTGTCTTGTACCGAAGAACCTGCCAAAGGTTCATTCTGAACTGAATCCTCGTTGATTTCCATCATTTTATCGCCCAAATCGGCTTCTGGGACCGTCTGTCTCCCTGAATCTATCAAGCAGTACGCGTTTGTAGTACCGGGACATCGTGATAGATATCCATACTCAAGAAACTTTTCCTGCTCATCAAATTGCTTAACTTTGAAAAACAGAATATCATCAAGTAGCGGAACCTCCTTGGGATCTAAAAACACTAATTTCTTCTGTGATATGGCCTGAGGACTCAAGCTGGTTAGCTGTATGTGAGACATTGGATGTAGAATGGAGATGCGCAATTTGGAGGCATCAGAGGCCCCAGAGAGTGTGAAAGTCGGCCATATTGCGGGAGGTCCATTAGAGAAACAATCTTCATATTCATCTTCCATGCTGCTAGAGCCGCATGTGAGTGACAGCTCGTACTTAAATTGAAGTTTAATACCTATAAGAATTATGTATAGTCTGGCGCAGAAGCCCCAGATCTAGTATGCACACTGGAGGATAGACATCCAGATAATTTTGATTTCGGAATTTCCGGTTTAAATATCAAGCCAATCATGGTCAGCAATGTCTGTTATGGTAGGACGATCAGCCACCTCGCGATTGAGAATGAGTTTTACCAAGTCAAGCGATTCCTTGCTCACAACAAATGGGACTCTCATATCTCCCTCCATGATTTCATCGACGTTGTAGAATGGATTCTCCTTATAGATCATGGTGTAGAGCAAAATTCCCAATGCCCAAATATCTTGGGGCTTGCCTTCGTATTTCTCTCCACGCAAAACCTCAGGAGAAGCGTAATCTATGGTTCCAACAAAGACATCGAAGGGTCCCAGCTTTACATAGCCAGCACTACCAAAGTCAATGAGTTTGATCACACCAAACTCGTTGACGATGATATTCTCATCCTTGATGTCACGATGGACAATGCCATGCTTATGCAAATGGTAGATAGCCAGTACAACTTGTTTGAAGATAAGTTGACAATCAAGTTCGTTCATGTCTTTCTTTACCTCGATGTAATCGAACAAATCGATTGCGGGCGGATTGCCGAAGATCGGCGTTTCAAGATAATAGTAGTTGGGGTCCTCGAAGTAATCAATGATTCGCATGATGTTAGGATGTGGCTCGTGATTTAAAGTTGCCATCACTTGAATTTCCGATGGAATGGTTCCGAGCTGGCGATCTCTGACCCAAGTGTCCACCAAGATCCTCTGCTTATCAATGCATTTGATGATCACCTTGTATGCGGGATCGTCCTTATGTTCTCCCAATACTACCTTACCATATGCACCTTCACCCATTTTCTTCAATACCTTAAACTCGTCATACTTCTTGGTTCTCTTCCGTGCTCCGATTGTAGTTGGCCAGAACTTGGACTCCTTTTGTTGCTTTGCGAGCAGCTCATTTTCAATGGCAAGCATTTCCTCCTCCGAGAAATTCTCATAATGCTTCACGCCAGCATCAGACACCTTACGTTGTTCTTGTTCTGGCTTCTTTGGAATATCCAAAGTAAGCGAGTTTTCCTTTTGTTTTTCCGTTTTGGATAATGGACTGCCGACAAGAGACTTAGTAAACTCATTATTAGTAAAGGTGGGATCAGTTATGTAAGTCACCGGAACGGCAAATGTGTTTGCTTTTTTCGGTTTCCGAAGACTACTCTGCCTGCTCATTTCAGGACTGGCTGATCCAAGTTCAAGGAGTTCGGACTCGTTCTTGGGAAACAATTTAAGCTGAGAAGGCAAATCAACTTTGCTTGAAGATAGCCCTGGGTTGCTGCGGGTTTTAGTCAACAGGCCACCGCTACCTTTGAGATTCACAGATGACGCGCTCGACAACTTTTTGAGTTGGCGAGTTATGTTCTTGTTTGTATGTCTTGAGTAAGTCACCCACAAAACAAAGACATCAGTCAGGATGACACGAAGCTGAACGTCGATAAACAAAGATTTTCCGTCTCTGTGAAGTCCTTCAATACCTCTAGAATTGACGAATAGATCATCGGGCGACACATTATTGTGAATCCTGTGCTTGTAGTAAGCGTGGTACTTTCTAAAAAAATGCTCGGGTAGTACCAAACCTGGAACAATGGCCGTTGCAGTGTCTGGGTCATCAAGTCCCAATTTCAAGATGTCGGAGAATCCTGGAATGATGTTGTTAATAGTGTTGTTTACAATGACATCGGATGATCGACCAAATAAATTCTTTGCAATTGCCTTGTTGCAAGAAAGCACCTTGTAATCGTTGAAGTCCACAACGAACATTCCTGCGATATATGGCATGGAGTGGATTTTGATTTTCAATTCAAACTTCTCATCGTCTTTCTCAAGTGGATATGATGTGAGCGCACAAGGGATATTGTCATCGCCGTTGAGTTGAACCGTGTAATAGCGCTTCGCATTTATCGCCTCGCTTTCACGAATATCACTAGATTCATTCAAACTGGAGTCAGAGTGTAAATCTGCTGCCAAAGACTCCGACAACACGTTCACCTGGGTGATACCACTTGCATCAAGCTTCGTGATGAGCTTGCCTGCAATCTCGTCAACGTTTGTAATGACATACTTGGAATCTGGATAAGTAGCCACATCTCTCAGGACCATCACATCAAAAGCGTCACAAGCAATTTGCTCAAACATACAAATGATAAGCCCCTTTCTTCGCTTCGCCCAGATGGAAGTCCATGCAAATCCGCCCTCAGCTTGTCTTGAAATAGCAATAATCTCACCAGCGAATATAATGTCATTGTTTGTCTTACGTCTGCTCTCGTCAGAAACTCTGGTCAATCTATCCGTGAGAAAATTCCTAAACTGTGGAGCAATGAGATCTAACAATGTTAGGTTACGGATCATGCTCTTCAGCACTCCGAACATCAAACATGCCAAATCGTTGGCAGCCTTGAAGTTCCATGGATAATCCGCCTCAACGGTCACAACTGACTGCGGAGATGTGTGCTTGCCAGAGGAAATGGCGTGAAATGGCCGATTACCAGTAGCCGTTGCAGCTTGTGGCTGTTGAATAGAATTCAACAAATTCAAGGCCGTGGTGGAAGCGTTGACCAAAGGCGAAAGAGAAGCACCAGGAGAAGGAGCGGCAGTAGGAGGAACGGCCCAGGGAGAAGTGGCCATGGCAGTAGTCTCCACAAACGGCGTAGCAAGTGCATAGAGCATTTTGGTTTTCAAGAGATTCTGCTTCTTTCTCGATATTTCATCATTGGAAGAAAGTGACAAGTCATGGAGCGTCAGGGCTATGTCGGAGTTGTGTGAGATGATTGACGAGTCCTGCTCAAGTAACTCGATGATGTCCTTCAAGTCGTCGTTTAGCACGGTGTCCGATTCGCCCACGGATTCCTCGTTGGCCTCACCTATGTCTTCAAAAGAAGTTCTCGACATGGGCAAGCTGTCTGCCCTGTTGATTTTAGGGCGGAACAACGCCGTAAGCGCCGCTGAAGATGCATTCAGCAGCATCTTGAACTTGTCGGTGGATAAGTGATCGTTACTTTCGTTCCGCAGAAGAGATCTTGCAAGCAACAGACGGTGGGAGGATTTACGGCGTGCCCCTTCTACTGAAGCCGGAAGTAACGGCTTTGTGGGAGATGTGAAGTCCTCGTCATCGCTATTTCTGGACTCCGTAATGGACTCGAATCTCATGTCGTTTCTAACTTCGTTTCTGGCATTTTTCAGACCTTCCTCGTGTGAATTGATGGTTTTGAACCAATCCGGACGATCGTTTAAGATTTCCAACGACCGTTTCAACACATTGAGTCGGAGTGCCAATGAGTTGGGTGACAAGTGTGCGTATGAGTACGCATGGGAGTTTTCGATGGGGAATAGTAGAACATTGTTAATGCTAGGTGACTCCGAACTCACCGAATGCAGACTGTTGGCTGTGGGAAGTGACGGCCTCTTTTTTACTGCATCCACAGAGGATTTGAGAACCTCATCATCTTCCTCGCCAAAGTAGAACAGCGTCGGGTGGGGCCGAGTGGATTGCATGTGTGGCAAGCAATTTGCAAATATTTAGTGAAACAAACACCGGATACTTCTGATAGTGTGTGGAGGTGGCGGTAGGTGACTAATTATTTCAGGAGAAGATTTTGAGCAGTGAGAGGACTTGGATAGTCTGATAGTATGCTAAAAAGCTTACTCTGCTTGGATTTTTTCGATGAAAGTCCAGCTCAAAGATTCCTAGTGGGGAGGTGGATCCGTAGTGTTGGGGCTGTGTGCAGTCGGTGAATATCTGGGTAACTGCAGGGTTATGTAATGGGAGAAAGTTGGGGGGTTGCGAGTTAGAGGACAGATGCAGTGACGTCAAGTGTGATAGTGGTTGATATCTTAGATTTTGCTATTATGGAGAAATCAGCAGCTATGCTTTAGAAAACGTCGGAACGGCTGACTCCAAAGCCCTGAAGTAGCTGCAGGTCCGACGGTGCCTGTTCTCAGGATGATGTTCCTGCCTACTATGTCTGCAAAGAACATTATCTGGTTGGCTGATGATAGCAGAGCAGCATGTATAGCGATTGGTATGCGGCGGCCACAAAAACTTGCAAACAGCAGACATTCTGAGTCCTACTGGGTATAATGCTGATTGTTGGATGAGGCTCACACCGTTGAGGTCGCCATTGTGCCAGCAAATGGAAGAATGCAGTGAATTAGTTGTATACCAATAATCAGCAGTATCAAGAGTTTGATCAGTATCAGTAAAGTCAGCTGAGGCAGTAGTAGTCAAAAGAAGGCAGCAGTTGATGTTCACGAGAATACTAAGATTGCAATCACTTCTGTAGACAACCAGAATTTAAAACTTTCAAGCAACTTTCATGCAACAGAACAACCTTAAATTTCCAATAGTTTCGGACTTGAGTGTCAAATCCAAACTGGTTACAACTGGAATTCCTGAATACCATCTTCCAAATCAGTCATACTATCAATGTTCTGGTAGTTCCGATTTGCGAAATTTCCAACTAATGGCGTTTCTCCCACTCCATATAAAATGGCAGGCGTGGGTCTAGATGGAGAACTGATGTTGAGCGGACCAGAAACAGGCGTGGCAGTACCCAGATTCTCATAAGTAGGTGGACTCAATGCACGGATGTCTTCGTAAGTGGGTGGAACCTCGTCATCCCAAGCAATTCCGAGCCCAGACCGTTCGGTAACGTTGACCTTAAACTGCATTCGAAGAACTCTGGCCGAACCTGTGGGTACGCCAATAGCAGTTGCACTAGCATTCGAGCCAATAGAGGTGACAGGTGTCAATGCATCATTTCGCAAACCTTTGGGCAGCTGAACAACCTCCTCTGCCACAATAACTTCAACAACCAATACATGAGACACATAAACTCCAAGTTCGGGGTCTTCTATGTCACACGAGATGGTGGCCTCATTGAGCATTCCAGGAATATCATCATGATGTGTGTCGTTGGAAGACTTGGAAGCCACGTGTGGACGAAGTCCAGTGGTGCAATCAAGAGCCACAATATCGGCAACAAGTTCAATGCGACCCTTGCCTGTAAAGTCAGACTTCCAGCCAGACTTGACATCGCCGTGAGCTACCACACGAAGCTCATCCAAAAAGAGCTCGCTCTTTGCTGTTCCATCGGAATTCAATTGGGGCGATGCACCTTGTGAATTCGAATCTGTTCTTGATGCACTTTGAGAACCAGAGCTATTTGTTCTGGATGAAACCGCTCTGGGGCGTGGTGATTGAGCACTCGACGAGACACCAGGTCTAGTATTATTTGAGGCGGAGGACACTTGTCTTGAAATCAGCCCGTCTTGTGAACGTCCAAAATCTTCTTCGAAATGGAGCGCCTCGTCAGCGGGACGGTTGCTAAGAGCCTCTTCTTCTTCCTCAACGATATCTTGATTCACTGGGCCAGACAGTGTAGAGGCTGCAGCTACCATCTGTTCCGCTCTTGTAACAGTTTGTGTTGCAGGCGGGGGGCCAAAATACATCAGGGTCTGAACAGTCAGGTGGTGTAGCCCAGTATTTCTGCTGGGTCCGTCATTTCCACCGGCAGAAGGCAGACCCTGCTTAAGAGACTTGTAAAGCTGAGTTTTTTTCTGGTTATCTTCAACAGCTTTCAACTTCGCTTCATGTATAGAACATGCATAAGCTCTCACATGGGTGTGTTCTTCAAGCTTCCACGATAGCTTCCGCATACGCCAGCGACGGTCCTGTTTCTGGTTGACCACATTGTCCATTCGAAGCTCTATAGGGAAGGTGGATTTTGGGTACATGACATTTGGGAGAACAGCGCTGGCCGTAACTTCCGTAGGAGGAAACACTCGTTGAGAATTACGATCTGGGCCCCTTAGAATTGATCGCAGAATGTTCACCGGAACAACCAATTTTCTTTCTACGGACCCCGAAGTGGCCACAGCCACCAACTCGTACTTGATGTATGAGTGACTCTGGCTTCCTCCAAGCTTGGTGGTGGCAGCTAGCAGGCCCGGTATAAGATGAGAGAAAGGGTAGGCATGCGAGCCCACATGGAAGGGAACACGCTCCAGAAGCGCATCCCAGCGTGCTAGCGTGTTGATTCGCGTGATACACTTATCACAATTGGACATCAGTGACGACAGAACGACAAACGGCTTGGTGTAATGCATGGTCTGCACCAACAGTAACACTACCGAGTCCATCTCAACCTCGACAGGTGCCAGCGACGTTGATGATGAAACAGACGATAACAAGGACTCGGAGGACCTACTGGATGAGGGTTCGAGCGAGTTCGTGGACTTAGGAGGTGAGATTTCGAGCATGAGAACTCCTGAAATGATGGAACCTGTGGATTCATGGGGCTGACCGTACAAAACAACGGGTGGGGACTCCAATTTGATGTTCAAAGCAAAGCGCGCCAGAGAGCCTTGGGGGTGGCGTCGATGTGACGACGAATTCAGCGACACTGGCGTAAGCCCAGACCGAGAATGCTTTTCTGAATGGTGGTTCAATACCCTAGACAAAAGTGACATTGTTCAAGGGGTTCGTGAGGTGTTCCAGACAATTAGGAGTAGCAGACAGACACTCTGGAGACGTAGACGAAAGACGGTAAACTTATATAGTGACGGCGAAGGGAGATGGACTCAAAGGAGACGATATCAAGGGAGATGGGCTCAACAGAATATTAAAGAACCCAAATTGGAACTGAAGAGACGGAAGGAGCAATTCAGTAGGTAAGAACCAGATGACAAAAAATAAAACAGAAAAATCCCACAATGGACAACGGCTGCTATATATATACGGGACTAGTTCCAGGTGCTGAGTGTGTGGAGTTTTGGTAGGTGAGTAGTGTGTAGATTTTTTGCTCTCCTCATTAAGCAATCGGCGTGCCGGTATAATTGGAGTTACTGCTTGCCCCCAAACGTTGGGCAGGTTGAGGAAAAGGTGCAGAGGAATATGTGTTTTAAGACAGAAAATGATTTCGGAGAGTGAATATATTGATGTGGAAAGAAGGAGATTGAGAAATGAAAATAAATTTTCAAATGTTTGGGTTTTGGCTGGATAGTCGGGGGTTTTCTTTAATGAGATTTCCGAACCAGGGCTTTGGACATAAAAGATTCTCTTCATGAAGATGGAAGATGTTTAGGTCATGAAAATAAATTATCGATTCATTACATTACACAGTTAATGAATATTGAAATTGACTGGCATTGAATGCTTTTGATTTTTCTCACATTGATTAGTTCTGTTATCAATTCCTGAATATTCTGAACTCTTCTTCCATGCATATATTTCTGCTTTCTGCACATGTTCAATTCCACCAATGTTAATTAGTATATACTTAAAATCGAAACCATTTCCAAGTTTTGCAATAACAACTCGTCTTCATTGGCCCAGTCGTATAGTTCCTGAACTTCTTCTTTTTGCTTAATCTTTTCCTCATCACATATTCACTGGTTATGTCCTTACGACACACCGGGATGCCGACATGATTGCTTTTGGCTAATACGACAACATTACGGGAACCCGCCTTGACGAACGCATTCTTATCAGCAAGTCAGAATGTCTCAGGTGATGCTCAATACGTGGCAATGCGCGATGTGATATCTTTCAACAGATGAAAGTTTCTGATTTTTGAAATGTACAGTTGGTGAAAGATCACCATAAGGAAAGTAGATTAGCGAATTTCAAGTAGTCCGTTGTATTACTTTGGCCCAATACGAGCATCCATTATCAAACATTTGCATTATCTTAAATCAAATGCCTATGCAATTTGGAATATGAAAAAGAAGAGTTTTCGCCTCAGGATTTTTGAATGGACATTTGGACCATACTGGCGATGGGATCAAAGTGTTTCTGTACTCCAATTTGCCAGCAGAACTAAGTATTTACTGGTGGTTTCCATTTATAATTTAATCAGGGTCGAGATTTCCTCTTAGGATTGAACGACTATCCCAGGAAATCTGAATAAATGCTACATTATGGAATTCCATACAATGACTGGGGAATACGATCTCAATGTTTGGTTTCCGTAAATCGTCATCCTCTTACGTTATCGCATACAAATAATTATCTCAAACACTCTATTCAAAATTCTCTCTATACTTTTCCCAATTTTCTGTCTACTTTTCTTTCCAATTTTCAACCTTTCTTTCCAATTCCCTTTCCTTTTCTTTCCTTCAAAGTCCTTCTATCTTCTCTATTTCGTCAAATTGTACTACCCACTATTCTCCAACACTTTCTCCATCTTCTCACCTCCATACAGTCAGATACCACCATCATGTCAAAAAAACACCTAATACTAGACAACGGGTCATACAACATCAAAGCTGGCTTTGCGCTGCAGAAAGACCCTCTTGTGGTGCAAAACTCCCTAGCAAAAGCCAAGGATGGCGTCATTTACATTGGCAATGACTACCTCTCTCATACAAACTTATACTCGGGCATCAATTTCAAAAGACCCCATGACCAAGGCCATTTGATCTCGTGGGAAACAGAAAAACCCATCTGGGATTATACTTTTGACCAACTTTCACCGAAGGTAGAGCTTGATCCTCTGGAAGTCCATTTGACTCTCACAGAGACTCCATTCCAGCTTCCTCAGTTGTCCATGAACACAGACTTGATTGTCTTCGAAGAATACGGGTTTGGCGAGTACTATCGATGTGTGCCGCTGCTGCTTGTACCATGGGCCCAAGGCGGCCTGCCGTCGGACTTTTCCTTGGTCATCGATTGTGGTTTCAATGCTGTTCACATCATTCCAGTGATCTACCAAAGAGTATACTGGAAGGGCGTGCGTAAGTTGCCTATCGGAGGAAACCAACTCAACGGTCTTCTCAAGGAGATGATTTCGTTCCGTCACTATGATATTTCTGACGAACCTCTTCTCATCAACACCGTGAAAGAGAAAACCATGTATGTAGCCGAGAACTTCCTGGGTGCACTCAAGAAGAAAGAGCAGGCCAGGTGTGAATTTGTGCTTCCAGATTTCAAGAACACCGTGACTGGATATGTCAGACAAGACGGCTCGAAACTTCCAGAAGACGCGCAGACCATTCAGCTCTACGATGAGAGATTCACGGTTCCCGAGCTGTTTTTTCATCCCGAGATCATGTTGGACCATAACGCACTCTCCAGCAACACGGTAATCCAGAAAGCCAATTTTAAGAATATCACTGATTTGGTTGTGGACTCCATCATGGCGTGCCCAGATGTTTCTCGTCCGGTTCTTCTGGCTAACATCCACTTTGTTGGAGGCACAGCCAATCTTGCGAATTTCAAGCATCGTCTCGTATCTGAGCTCGAGAAAGAGTTGCCGGTGAACTGGACTGTCAATGTGTTGGACGAGAAGTTTGACTTGGACAAGGTTTCCTGGCAAGGAGGCCATGCGCTTGCTAACAATGACATTATCAAAGAGGTGACCATCACCAAACAGGACTATTTTGAGCATGGAGCTAATTGGTGCCAGAAGCAATTTGGCTTCCGCAATTTCTAGAAATGATGTATATTAATGCAGAGGGAATGGCTAGTGCCATAAGAAAACATGAGTAGGATTAGGGTTGTGCAAAAAAGGTGAAGGGTATGTCTAATCACCAAATAGTTCTTCCCAAAGAAGATATTTTGATCTTTACCAAATGGTTATGCCTGAAAGAGTTACTGAATCTGTACCAAATGGTTATAAGTCAAATACCGACTGAATAGAATCCAGCCGTAGCGGAACCACACCATCTGGGAGAAGTGACCATATGCCATAGCAGCATATGAAACACTCAACATATTGAGATCAGAGTACACCTTCACCAGTGACACCTGGTTGCCATTGAACTGGTTGAAGAAGCTCACATTAACATTGATCTTCAAAAGGCTGCTGAAAACATGGCGGGACAATAAATCGAAAAACAATTCCACATTGGTGAGCAATGTGAAAGAGTACTTTTCCCAAAAGTTCAACGACTTCAATACATAAAGTCGGAAGCTATCGTTATTTCCCACCTTGGACCGGAAAAACTCCTTGGTACCATGATAAAGCGAAATGTGGTTGGCATGGCCTGAGACTCCATGAGCATCAAACGTGATTACAACGATATTCTTGTCGGGCTTTGTGCTGATGATATCACCCAAGCTTTGTGCCACGTCGTTGCTTCTCCATGTGATATCCATTCCATCTTTATAGTCGAGAATGATAACATCTTCGTCAGCCACGCCTATAATTCTGGCGGAAGCACGAAGCTCCTGCGACCTGATACTAGCAAACGACTCGTGGACAGCGTCTCCACGAGAAAAGCATACCAATCTCACATGATTTCCATGTTTAGGCTTGGAGATCTCCACCAATGAGGGAGAAAAGAACATCACCTCATCGTCTGGGTGGCCAATGACAAAGTAGACCGTCGAATTGCGGATGGGTAATGGCGTAGGTGATGTGATGGAGTTGTATGGGTAATTAGGCCGGATGAAGGTATTCGTCTGGATATGGTGATTGTGAAATTTCATGGAAATCTGAGGAATTGCCGTTGAGAGAATAATCCAAACGGCAAAAGACAATAGAAACAACTTAAAGATGTATTTGGGAATCGCTAGCATGGTGGGAGATGGAATGCAATGAAAATTTAGGTAATGTAGATATAAAAGTAGTATTCGACCCAACACAACGTGGCTGCGTGTCCTACATCTTGGCTGAGCCGTTGGGGCCGGAGTATGTTGGGTAGGTTCCGACGAGAAACTAAGGTTCGAGATGGTCATGGATGAGGAATTTATTATTCAGATAGCCCAAATGAAGATATGGATGGAATTGTAATTGTCAAATGGGTTGGAAAGTAAGGATTAATATGAGATACATGAGTGGAGATAATTTGATGAATGGCTGCGAAAGTTGGAGATGGAATTTGGGTTGAGATGGAGTAGAAAACTTAAAATATGTGGGAAAATAACAAGACTTGTCAGTAGGACGGGAGAATATTGCTACTATATGGAAGTTAAAAATGGTCATTTATTTTTACAGGTTACGTTGACACTGTAATTTTATGGTGAGAACTTGTTATGTTATGACGAAAAGAGCAAGAAATAAACTGTGGCTTAGTGACTATAAATGGAGACATTCATAAAAGCGACCAAGCAAACGGTAATACTAAGCATAATTGTATTCAATTCTTCACCGCTTTCTCACGAAAGTGTATCCGGTGTACCAATCTAAATCCAACTTCGTCTTCTCCTTGTCCCAGCCAAGCTGCTCCACAAATTGATTCTCGAAGAAGTCCAAAAATTCCGTGTCCTGGCCCGTTTTGTCACGGTAATTATGAAATGAACTGTAGGTAGAAACGTAGTTCCGGAAATCTCTAATGGTAATGTCCTTTCTCTGCAAAATCAAGTCTTTATCGGTATGTGTATCTACTCCATCCAAAGATGGAGAGTACTTATTGTACACGGCATCTTTATACAATTCACATGGGATGTACTTGTCCACATCCACCAAATAGCCCTGGAGAATTCCTCTTCCTGGTTGCTCCCAGCATGGCCCCAAATATCCTGGATCATTATACACCAATTGGTTGTATAAGTCCACGGCAGCCTTTAAGATCTCCTTCTTGCTGCGGGAGGTATCGTACGGCCCTTCGAAATTGACCACCACGGGATCCACGTAGTACCAATATGCCAAAACTCCCCCTGGTTTCAATTGCTTAGCGGCAGAAGCGAAGAAGGATTCGTAGTCACGGAACCAGTGGATACACTCAGCACAAGTGATCAAATCGAACGACTCTGGAGGAGCTTCAAAGTCTTCCACTGCAGAAACATCAAACGTGATTCTGGACTCGTCCGTGAGTCCCATTTCGGCCAATCGCTCTTTCTTAAGCTTGTTGGCAGTTTCAATCATCAGTGGTGATAAGTCCAAACCCACCACCTTTTCCGAATAGTTAAGAAGAGGAAATGTTCCCACACCAGTTCCACATCCTAGATCAATGGTGCTTGCTATGGAGTCTCTCTGGACATAGTCAAAGAGCACCTTATAGAAGGATGCCGGGTAATGGGGCCGGAACGAGTTGTAGTTGATGGAACGGAATCCAGTTTTAGCAAATGTAGTCATAATCTGGGGTAGGAAATAATGAGATTCGTGCACTATATAACTACCAGCAAGTCCGAGAAATTTCCCGAGAACTCGGTGACAGCTGAATGACAGCTCGGTGACAGCTCGGTGAATTGACTGACATAAACTCGGAAGACAGTGAAGGTTCGGTGATAATTAATACATTTCGGACAATTGGTTATTGACCTAGCATTAAGTAGGGACAGTGTGACGTTTGTGTCATGGTAAATTTCGGTGCATAGTACTTTTCTTGTTTAATGTGTCAACACCTCATTCTCAAAATAGACCCCACAAAAAAAATATTTCCATCGTGCATAATTGACCGACTAATTAAAGATGCTAGTATTTCGTAAGTCATTCTTTTTGATAAATGGTCACTTGAAGTTTCGTCAAATTGCTAGTGGTATTTCACCGGCGCCGAAGCTCCCACTTATTCTACACCCTCCATGTCTTTTCACAATGTCAAACTAGAGTCAAGCTCAACAGGGTCTTCTTTCCCCGCTGATTCTGCCAAGCCCGTTCCCTTGGCTGTGGTTTCGCTAGATAGTAGATAGGGACGAATTTTGACTAAATTGTGGAGTTCTAGATCACAATCATTCACAATGAATACCCTCTCTATGATCCAAAGACTGGACTAAATGATTGTAGCTACTCTCCAAACTTTCATGTGTAGCCGCCTACACGTATCTTTCTACTGTTGGACAGTATTTAAAGAATTACTATCACATAACTTCCCTTTTGGGCATTGCTTCTAAGATTACATAATCCATTACATCATAGTAACTAAATACCATATTTCACCTTCATCATGCCCTAAGATTTGAATCTTTATCGTTGTTATCGCCGTACTTATTACAGTACCATCTTGTCCTACTGATAAGAATCACCTCATATCATTGTTTTTGTTCTCCAGAATCATTCTTATCGATCTAAAATCATTCTTATCGATCTTCGAAAGATTCGCTTACCTCGCCCAATTAGGAAGGAAACCCGCCAGAGACATTCCGCTCTATCCTCCCCATCAGGAAAGTTATCCAGCTCTCCTCTTTATCTATTGGCTCATCAACCCTGGTTATGTGCTCGCTGTGGTTAACTTTTTTAGGTTGATCATCTGAACCTCCCGGAATACCCTGCGTGGGTATCATGGGTATCTTTACCTAGTGCGCACAAGGTATACGAAACAGGCGTACAAGTCCATCTCACCTCGCTATCAGTTACCTGACCGTAGTCAATATATAGATATGCCCAAGACTATCAGAAAACCTTCGAGCTGGTCTGTATCTTCTCACTAATGCGGATGCTCTTATACCATATAGATATGCAACCTGGGACAACGCTCCAATCAGCATATATATTTGACATGATGGCCGGAATTCTTCATTAAGTAATGAGTTTCGAAAAATCACCCGTCAGAACAGAAATCCAGGAAGATTCGTCTCTGACTGACATTGAACATGGGCTCGGACCCCAGATCGCCCAGAAAGATTTGGTCGTCGAAAGTGATGTGGCCTTGGGTAAAAAGATGTTCCTAGTCAACAACGCACTTGACGATATAGGATTCACTTGGTATCACTTGAAGCTTTTCTGCATTGCTGGATTTGGATATTCTGCCGATTCACAGTTGGAAATGATCCAAAGTTCGGTCAAAACCGTCGTCGACAGGCAGTTTAAGCAGGATTACCCAGTTGCAACCGAGATCTTCTATGTTGGATTGATTTTGGGTTCCATTTTCTGGGGTTTTGGCGGTGACATCATTGGCAGAAAGACGGCGTTCAACACTTCGTTACTTCTTGCTGCAACTTTTGGTTTCATCACCGGAGGTATGAACTCTTATGCTACTTACTGTCTCTTCATGTGCTTGAATGCTTTCTGTGCTGGAGGAAATATCGCTTTGGACGTCGCTGTTTTCTTGGAATTCAGTCCCTCCAAATACACTTGGATCACCACCTTCATGGCTGCTTGGTGGGGTGTGGGCCAGACGATCGCTACCTTGGTCGCGTGGGCTTTCATTCCAAACTACTCTTGTAAGTCCTCTGAAGACTGTCCATCTCACAAGAACAGAGGCTGGAGATACGCTTGGTACACCAACTCGGGCATTGTCATGTTTGCTGCTTTGTGTCGGTTGTTTATTTTCAAATTGGATGAAACTCCCAAGTACTTGGTATCAAACGGAAGAGACGAAGAGGCCGTGGAAGCCTTGCGTAAAATTGCTGAAAAGTACAACAGGCCATTTACCTTAACAGTTGAAAAACTCAAGGAATGCGGAGAGGTAGACAGCTCTCACAACTTCAAGGAAGATGGCTACTCATGGAAGGCGGTAACAACTGCCATTGTCGAGCACTGTAAGGTGTTGTACCTGTCTAAGAAAGTGGCCTACTCGACAACGTTGATTCTCCTCTCATGGTTCTTGATTGGAATTTCTTACTCGACGTTTTTCAACTTCTTGTACATTTTCATCGGTTTGCACGGAGGAGACACTGGCTCTACGACTTTCATTGTTTACAGAAACTCAGCCATCTCTAACTTTGTTGGAATTTTTGGTCCAATGGTAGCAGGTGCTCTTGTCATGATTCCAAGACTTGGAAGAAGAGGAACCATGACAATTGGTGCATTCTGTGGTATGGCCATTTTATTTGGCTACACTACCGTTCGAACCCAATCGGGAGATGTGGGCTTCGCCTCAGCCACTTACTTCTTTATAAACATCTACTACGGTTGCTTATACGCATACACTCCGGAAGTGTTCCCTGCTGTTGCCAGAACCACAGGTGGTGCTTTGGCGTTGGTATCTGCTCGTGTCTCAGGATCATTGGCTCCGGTGGTTTATTATTATGGCCAGAAATCTGGATCGGCTGTGCCAATCTGGGTCTGCGGAGCTATTATTGGTGCTCTTGGTGTTATTTCGCTCTTGCTTCCTTTCGAGCCCACCAAGAGGAGATCTGTGTAAATTTCAAATTTAATGAATATAAATATCGTATATTAGCGTAAAGAGTATCACCAGTTGAAAGAAAATGCACCCACGTCATCTTCACGATCACTTAGTCTATCTTCGTCATTGTGGTATGCATCAGAAGTTTCGTTCAAGAAAGGAACCAAACCAAGCGATCCGTCAGCGACGAATTCATTAACCAATATTTCGTCATTACAATTCATTTTGAATGGGTCAAACTTCAAAATATCTTCGAATCCGGAATCGAATTGGTCTCCTGTAGACACATTCGAACTGCTGGACTCATTCATGGAGCTACTCAACCCACGATTTTCCTCGAGTGCCATATTATTTACATTGGTTGCGTTAGGTTGAAACTCGTTCGGAAATTGGCCGACAGACGGTTGATGTTGGACAGCTGGAGGATACTGGTGACTCAGTTGCTCCCTCTCCAAAACTTGGATGTTCTTAGCTGTCAAGGACTCAGAGTGATTGAAGTCATTTGGAAACTCCTGCTTCACTGAGTAAGATTGTTCACGAGAAGGAATCTTCTTGAAAGGCTGGTTGTACAAGACTTGTTTTCTCAAGCTATTGGATCCATTACGGCTGGCCATATTCAATCCCAAAATACTCCAGATTGCATATTCAAGCATCATTTGTGAGTTTCTTGTGAGTCCACCAGGGATATTGGTTTCTGTTTCGAGCTTGAATGATGCCAATGTATCGAGAAGCAACATTTTCAGGTTTTGGTGCAATGGGCCCCCTTTTATGTAGTCCAAGGATCCCTTTGCAACTAATAAGGCGAATCTTGCTTGCTCTCTGGGGATGTTGAGTGGCACTGGAAGAAGGAACTGATTGCCTGAGACACTCTTGAGTACCTCTAAAATTTGAATTGAAGATTGCTGGATCATGGTCATGCTCAGAACGACAGTAGACACATCCCTTTGACCCATAGATAAGCGTTCTTTAAATGACATTCCAACGTTGTGATGGTAACCATACTTGGAGATAATGGGCAAGTATATCAAGATCTTTGCGTGATAGTAGAGGAATATGAGAACTTGTTGCTGTTTAGAGTAAATACTCCAATTTGTTGAGTCGGAGCCACCGTTCAATTTATTCTTTGAATTGTCTTTGAGTGAAAAGCCGTTGACATCAATATCGAATTTCAATTCAGCAGGGAGTTCTCTTCTCCAACAGTCCAAGATTTGATCTTTTTCAAGAGCCTTTGCCTGGACATCGTATCCGCCAGATCTGGAAAAAATCGAATCCAAGATGTTTCCCAAAACTTTACAATATTGCATGGTGGTCAATGCAATCTTGGATACCTTACCAAAAATAGTCAACTTGGTGTTGTTTATGACCAAAATATTCTCGTTATCTCTCTCTGAATCATCATCACTATTTCCGCTAAATGGCAAAGCACATTCGATTTCGTGGTCTTTGAAAAGTCTTGGAATACCCAAACTCAACGATGAATACGTGTCAAGACAGTAAATACACCAAAACAAAATACGTCTTTCACCTTGCATAAAGTTCTGAAGATGTACGTTGTTTGCATCTTTGCTGAGTCCCAACACAGCAGCGGGACATCTGTGAAGTCTCAATTGTTGAGCCATGGTGACAACTCTTGCTCTTAACTCGTAACAAGTGGTGACATCACCTACAACCAAGCAGTACTGAAGTGCAAGCGTCAATATCTGAAGTGATTGAATAGAACAATACTTGGTCAAGCTGCAATTTGGCTTGATAAAGTCGTGAATCAACTTATCAAAATGATTGAGAAGCGCAATGTACCGAGACACTTCATTGGTATCTTTGGTCTCCATCATTGTGAATTTCTTGGACAATAGACCTAGAGCAACCACCAACACCATAAGAGCACCGAGCTTCTCAATCAGCTCATATGAGTGTTCTGGAATCGAATTCTGCAAAGCAGAGGAAGATGAGTTTTCCAATAATTCAGACAATCTGACGTAGTTCTTCAAGAAGGAATTTTTGCTGAGGATAGGACAGACGTTTCCCCAGTTCTGGAAATAAACTGTCATTAAGTGATCGAGTTCCACCTTGGGTGGGAGCTGGATTAAGTTCAAGAACTGAATGGCCTCACTCTGATTAAGTTTAGGCGTAGATTTATCCATAATAAGTGAGAGTAGCGAAGCATGAGCCATGTTGGTCAACTGGGTAGGATCAGACATCGAGAGGTTAGAGTTCTCCTTCAAAGATGCAATAGCATTGGCCGTAATAATGGACGGTTTTGATCCGTATCCGTATACTTGACAAATTCTGGCAAGTAAGGTTGGAATGAAAAGAGTTTCTTCCGTACAACGAGGAATGGATGCTGCTACCAAGCTTGTGAGTGTTCGCAGCTTGATCTCCTCTTCGGCTTGCTCTTTTGAAGTGCCCTTTTTCTGCATTTGCTCAATGGCTGTAGCTGCAGCAAACGCTCCTGGAGCTGGCTTCACTTCCTTGCTCAGATAATTAAAGTGTTGCGAGTAATCTTGGACGCTGTACTGCGAATCGCCCATGCTAAGTAAACTTTGAGTTTCTTCGTCATCATCGCTAAACACCGAACCTGCAAGAGACATATTGGCCACTCCATCGTAAACAGAACCTGCAATGGAGACGGGTCGGTCATGCACCGCATGCGGATTGGAGCAACACTGACATCCTGCGTCATGTTGATGTGTATGGAGCACCGAGCTAGCCACGTCTTCGACGTCGGTTGTGTTGGTGTCATTATCATGATCGTTGTTGGAGTTCACCCCATCTGGACTGGCCAGGTTAGTGTATCTTCCAGCTTTAGAGGTATTGAGCGCTAGCTGCTCATCACGTAAGTCTAAGAGGCCCTGGAGCTTTGTGTTTTCGGCCTCAAGTTGGCGCACTCTCTCCTCCAACGTTTCAGTGTAACCTTTAGGGAATGCTCTCCTAGACAACTTGTCCAGCACAATGCACTTGATGCCGATGGAGGCACATGAGGAGCACGCAGGTAGTTTGCCATCACATTTCTGTTTTTTGGCTCTGCAACGGTCACATGCTTGGGCAGTTCTGGCGGCAGCCAGACCAGGTGCCAAAATGGTCTTTTTGGGGACAGAGTCTGATTTCGGCCGACCCTTCTTGCGCCGAAGAGCCTCATTCACGGGCATTTGGCACGACTGAGGTGAAATCTGCGGTAAGGCCAGCGAACTAAGTGGCAGATCCACTTCTTTCTTGATGAAATTCTGATTGGGCAGGAGCATGGTGACTCACTATGGATATGATGTTAAAGCGGCAACCAGAGAGTAGTGGTATGTCTTGAAACGATAGAGACAGGTCAAGGGCGATAAAATCGAAACTTCCAATGATCAAATGGTGAATACGTCGCTTAAATGTAGATATTCTTTAATGGAGATTAGTAGATAAAATCTGGGGAGGATGACTCGTTCTGTTTTCACCGGAGACTCAATGCAGGATATGGTTAAAAGAAAAAACTGGAGTTAAGACCCCAGAATCAAGCAAGTGAAAACATATGGAAAATATCGGAATGTAAGAAAAATTCATTAGGCTCTAAAGTAAGATTAAATCATTCTATTGAAGTCATGTACGTTGAAACCCTTCATTTTATTTAAAATCATAAAAACTTCATGCGTTTCTTTCAGAATCATTTCTATGTTCGTAATATGCATGTGCCTCGGTTAACTCCACCAGTCTCTTCAGATCATAAATGTCATTATTGTGCATAGCGTAGTCAATAATACAGATATTGCCAATGCAATAATCGCCTCAGGTCTTCCTTCTGTTAATACAAACATGACAACACCAGCCCCCAACCAGGCTTTTGCAAGTGACATAACAACACCAGACTGAAGACTGCTGAAAACCCAGCATTCCACGAACGACTCCATATTGGGGCTAGGCGTCACCTTGATCTCCGAAAGAGGATCGGACATCACTTGGTGGGCGATGACGTCAAAGGGAACGAAGTAGAAGAAAGCCATGGTCACAAGAGCCAAAATCAGCTTGAATAATGGAGTGAATGTGGGGCGGATGGTACAGTCGTTTTTCTCGAGATCCATGATGAATAACTATACTGATTTGAATTTGAATTGATGTATCAATGAGATTTGTGTATGATATATATCAATGAGAAATATTGAATGGGTGATGTTTCATCTAAATGGACCAACGACTTGTGTCAAATGCGTATTGTATTAAATGCGTCCTGACCCAGTAAACAAAGTTGGTGAATTCCTGAAACTTATGCGGATGTGTTGTAAATTCTGCCGTGGCTACCCAGTAGTTATAAGACAGAACGTGTTAAGCGAATGGAATGTGTAGACTTCAAGCTAGTAGAAGGTGAGAGGAAGAAAAAAAGCACGCTAGATTTGATATTTACCCCATTTATAAGATTCCGAAACGCCATTCACTGTCGACAATTACGAGCCTTGGAAATTCGGTTCCTCAGGCTAAGCGCACGATTGGTTAAAGCTCGTGTGATTCTTGTCTTGGGTATCCTTGGAAGTTCTCGTATGTGAAAATTGCTCTCGTTCACGAATAATGTTTCTAGCCTTCTCTTATGACCGAAGTACTTTATTATCATCCTCCGGTCACCTTTTAGTTTCCTCTTCATGAATAATGAGGTTCCGAGCACCGTTCTCAACACCTCCAAAAGTCTGGATTAGTGGGGAAGATAGTCTTACGAGAACTCAGTAAAAGTCCTCTTTAACTCTCCACTTGGCTGTTTTCGTTTAGTTTTTAGGCATTCGGCTCTCGCTCCTTTCCTTTTCTGCACGAATGGACTGTTCGCTTGGCTAAACTACTTTGCGATCTACCAGGCGTCTGAGTGACAGTACTAATACATAAGCTAGCCAAGTAGAATAAGTACCTTTGACAGGCATCACGCTAGTATTTACCCGACTATATTCCATACTTCTCTTTGTGAAATAATGGATTTTTGTATGTATCTTTCATTTCTAGATTTCTCCACTCCTGTGGATGCACCAAACTTAAAGTGATCGCGCAACACTCAATTAGCGGTGCACATGCCCTCTAAACGGACCATCGACGTCACCCCTAGCATCACGGAACGGGCATTACGAAGCGGCTCGGTGTGTAAAAGACCCGCATTGTCTTTGAGGTTGGATGAACCGGCTATCAAAGTGGAGGTGGAGGAGACAAGAGATGCCAAGAGAGTCAAGCAAGAAGAGCAAATAGTGGCAACGATAAAGAGAGAGGAGATTGTCGAGAACGAACAAGTCAAGGTGAAGGTGGAAGTGCTGGAGGATGTTAATTCTGAGCTGATCCTCTCAGATGAGGAGTTGGAGCGAAAACTCAAGAACCTAAAAGAGGAGATAGTACAAGAGACCTTGGAAGTGGGCAAGATGACAACTAGTGAAATGGATGGTTTCGATTTCCAGAAGAAGAAGGTAAATCCACCAAACGTGTTTCCTTCGGTTTCCTCTGAGGATATACTACCGAGTCAGCCAAAGAACTGGGACAAGATATATAACACCATTGTCGATATGAGAAAGCTCATCGTCACGCCTGTCGATACCATGGGCTGCGAGAGAATGCCAGATACCATTACCCCGGGTCTCTCGCATGATGATTCAAAGTTGTACCGATTCCAGCTTTTAATATCATTGATGTTGTCATCCCAAACGAAGGACGAAGTGAACTACTCAGCGATGGTGAAGTTGAACAGCCATTTCAAGAAAAAAGGATACCCTGCGTTATGTCTTGAATCATGTTTGGACGCCTCTGAGGCGGAGCTTGATGAGTGTATTAAACAGGTCGGTTTTCACAGACGTAAGGCTTCTTTCATCAAGAAAACATGTGAATTGGTGAGAGATAGGTTTGAAGGAGACATTCCCAAAACCATCGAGGAAATCGTAACGTTTCCTGGTGTTGGGCCCAAAATGGGCCATTTGCTTCTTCAAAATGGCTGGGGTATCAATCTGGGAATCGGGGTGGATGTGCATCTTCATCGACTTGCTCAGATGTGGGGTTGGGTTCCAAAATCTGATAAACCGGAGACAACCCGTGTAGCCCTTGAAGAATGGCTTCCTCGAAAGTACTGGGGTGATGTTAATCCGTTGCTAGTTGGCTTTGGTCAGACGGTGTGTGTCCCTCGAGCACTGAACTGTGATGTTTGTACATTGGCTCCAAGTGGCTTGTGTAAGGGAGTCAATCGAAAATTGGCGAAGGCGGAGATTACGGAAGCTCGCTTGGCAAAGTTGAGCAAACAGCGAGGTAATTTGTTGAAACTCGTGGAATTGCGTAAATAGTATATCAGATATAGAGATTAAGTCCATGCCAGCAAGGCTTTTAACGGCTGATAATAGCTTTCGGTTGCCTTTGGATCACAAAAATGGGATTCTAATTCATTCACTTAAAATAAATATCCGCTTTTATATTTTGAATCAACAGTTGTAATCGATTCATACTGTTGAAATATTTATAAAAAAATTATATAATAAGTAAAAGAATACTTTATATAAAAAACTATTGCAAAGAAAATGGGCTCGGGTTTTTCTTAGGCAAGTGGACTGATATACTCCTTTAATCATGTGTTCATTGAAAGTAGAGCAGTTCTATGGCGTACAGCACGGAGAACCGGAAACATTCGATGTAAATGTACATTACTCATGACACAACTTCTTTAAAATAGGAATTGAATCTTGAACCCTAAATCTCATTCGAAGATGTCGGTAAATATTGTAAAATGCATTTCCAGGAACTCTAATTCGCAGAATGCTACTAAGAGTTGGCTCATTAATGCATCGTTTCTGGAAGTGCAAGTGCAACATTTTGAGTATGAATTGCAGAAGCAGAAAAATTTCAACAAATGTCAAAATTTCTTCATGTCTTAAAACGTCCGAATTTCAAATTTATTCTTGATGACAATCTTTCGATTTTTTCTCTCTTCCTCAATTGACACTCTAAGGTGTTAGACTTCTTTAGACGGGCAGTCTCACCAGATCACTAGCCTTAGGAACACAGGAGTTAATCATCAACTTTATTAGAAGAATGTTGTTTTGCCTTTGCAGTTTTCTTAGGCTTATCTGTTTAAACAACCTATTCTCAATGTAGGGAACACTTCGTATATTTACGACACAGAATGCAAGACATTGCGGGACATGCAGACTCCCTTAGACCCGAACTTTCGGATTTACATGCCAATGACATTTAAGATAAAGATTCCTCCAAGACAACGGAGGAGTCATGAATTTTTTATACTTACACTTTGGCTATGGAAACCCTAAGCCAGTGACTGCGTTAGGAATCGTCAGGGGTCCACTTTACTATATCCAACGTACGAATGGATAACGGATGTGTGGTCCATAATTGAACAAAAAATACTTGAACTGAAGCCCCATATTAGTATCTCTATGTCCGAATGATGATTCGGAGTCATCATATTCTGCTCCCTGAACTGAAATCTATTTTCTTGTCATAGTTCTTGAGGTGTAAGACGCGAATGAAGTGGACTTTAACGTGTATCGACCTCGTTTATTGAGGCGGATCGCTTCTATTCAATGTTGAATGGTAAATTCTATTTTATCTTTTGATCAATATATCATATTGATCTCTACAATTGTAGTGGATGGCGTCTGGCATCTGCACAGTTGATCTCCTTTCTAGTCACGAATATTCAATTAAAACACTCATTGAAGCCCCGGACCCAAAACCATTGTTCATTTCCTTTCATCACCTTTGACGCTTCTCCACAGATTTATTACCAAATCCATTCGCCCTCTACCCTATATCAACTCATGGTTACATATACATTGTTGCCCGACATTAAGTTCTACCTTCACTCCATTCATCCCCATTTCTTCCTCCTTTTATCCTCTATCTTCCATCTATCCTCCATTTATCCCCCTCTCATTCCCAAATTGCCTTTCTTTCCTTTATTTCCTTCAATCTTCCCCCGTCCCCCAACATTCTGGCACCAGGGACTCCGGCCCCAATGCAGGCCAATGTCTCCGGCTTTAAGAGCACCCTACTATATCAGCCAGATTAAATATATAAACACCTCGTCTTACCCCATCTTTCTCCATGACGCTACCCATACGTTTCCTGGCTCGCATGCTCTCGTCATGTATGCTGCGGCTCGTCCCCTACTCCTCCCTCCCTAAATCTCCCATCCCATCTCCTCCTATATATCCCCACACTAAAGCCAAACCTCCACCAGACTTTGACGCTACCCGGTTTCGCCAATGGATCCAGTTCCCTACAAGCGACAACCCACGTGTTCTGGTGATGTCGTTCAACCTCTTGTCCCAGCATTATGTATGGAAACAGGTGTTTGGCTACTTGGATCAGGAGTACCTAGATTGGGCCCATTATCGGTTTCCCTTGATCAACGAGACCATAGCACAATTCAAATGCGATATCATGTGCTTCCAGGAATTGGAGTATCTGGTCTATAGCAACTCGTGGACACACCACTTTCCGCTTGCTAACTACAAGCTGTTTTACATGAGGAAGCCGAATCCCGGATATTGGGGGAACAAGCCATCAGAATTCATGGACGGGGTGGGCATCTTCGTAAACACAGACAGATTTGAAGTTCTTAACCATGGCGAAATCAATTTTGGTCACTATATCTCTGAAAACGCCGACAAGTTCGACATGACCGAGGACTTGGCTACTAGAATCGTGCCTCGGAACACTGTGGCCGTGATGCTCAAATTGAAGGATAAGGAGACCGGAAAAATTGTCTATGTGACAAATACTCACTTGTACTGGCTGCCTAAGTTTAACGACGTGAAGTTGATCCAGACAAAAATCCTCCTCAATGCCTTGGAAAGATTTATGGACAAAACCGATGTAGGCGAAGATCCATACGTGATCATGTGCGGCGACTTTAACTCCACGCCTGATCTGTTGGTATACAAACTTTTAGACACGGGCAAAGTAGACATTCACACATCCAAGGAGTTTCGGGGCTTCAACTATGGAAAACAATTGGATGGAGAGCTGCTTACCAATGACACGGTGGCCAGCCAGTTCCATCTTTCTCCGGCCTATGGACCACTTCTACGTGCCAACTACAATGACAAGCTCGACTTCACCAGCTACACCAAAAGCTTGACTGCTGTGTTGGATCATATCTGGTACAGTTCTTCCAGATTTACAGTGTCAAAAGTTTTGGGGAAAGTGGAGAGAAACTACAGCGAGCATGCGCTTGGATTTCCCGATAAGCAATTTCCATCTGACCACATTCCATTAGTATCTGAGTTGGTATATGTTTGAAACTACAAAGAAAAATACTTGGTATATCGCATCCTTGGAATTTGGCTAGTGTCTATCTTTGAAAACAACACTTACCGGTTTCTAATGGAACTTGGACGGTTCCTTGTCTACATTATTTGCCCAAACGTCATGCTACTTCCTTTCTTAATCCTACTGCGCAGTTGCTTAAATTCGTCGGAGTTAGGAAGCACTAGGCGGAATGGGAATCCAATAGAGCTAGGGCCAATGTGCGAGGAGACAATTGGCTAAAGGTCAATGCCTTGATCACAATTAGACGAGCAGCTAAAAACATATTCTCTGCATTTTATGAAACAATGTTTCTTTTCTACACCTTTCAAATTCACCATGTCTTTTCTTCCCTCACTTCATGTTTCTGGATCACCAGTGCGATCACGAATCATCAACGATTTAACATCAAATGAACACTTATTGAATCAAACAAAAAGAAAAAAAATGAATCTCTATTTCTAAGTGTTTACCTTCCATTTTTTTGCTGATATCCCCATCAATCTAAAGGAATGCCCACTTAGAAAGCCAAATATGTTTCCCCAAGTCGTGCCATCAGTTAACTATGTCGTGCACAACACAATACTCCACCAGAAAAACACCTTCACGACGTCCATCAGTTTCCACCACAGGCATTACACCCAAAAATCGCCCTTTCAGCCATTTTTAGCCACCAAAGGACATTCTGCCTCTTCGTTTCGTACACCCTTCTGCCGTGGGCCGTTTAATGTCGCCAAGCTCCCGGAAAAAGCATTACCACGAAACGCAATCCCATATTCACCCAGGTCGCCACATCTATCTAGCGCCATCCAGTTTTCCCGGGCGAGTGTAGCCGCCACGTGTCGTTACGCACTTACATGAATAGCAACCATAAGTTTCAACAGCAGCCTGGCTTGCCCTCGCAGCAAATTTTGCTCCAGCAACTACAACAGCCCCAGGGTGGCCAACCTCTGCAGGCCACCCAGGCCCAATTTGGCCAGGACATGTACTCAGACTCATCGTTCTACCAGCGTGGGCCGGGTGCACCCAACACTACTGGTTTTTTCCCTCCTCAATTTGGATCAGGCAACCAGCCTAGTCAGCAGCAGCAGCAACAACAACAACAGCAACAGCAACAGCAGCAACCACAGCAACAGCAACAGCCCTTGGGACACTACTCTGGTCAGAGTCAGGTTTTCAATCAGCACCCACAATTGTCTCAGCAGAAGTTTGTAAACCAGCAGACCATGCTGCAACCTCCAAGTCTGGGCATGCCCATGACAGGTGGTAACCAAGGCTTTCCAGCGCCAGTCAAGGTCAATTCCATTAACGTGGATGACCCAAATACGGTGTATTGGCAGAACCAGGTGCAATTGTGCCAATTGTCCAGAAGCGAAGACATTCCGCACTTTTATGCCAGGCAATATGCTCAAAACTCTCGGAAAAACAAGAATCCATACGGTGATGTGAAGGCCGTTACTTTAATTGACGCCACTAAAACCGTTGTAGCTGCGTTGGATGAGCAAGAGAAGCAGCAAAGTGCTGCGCAGGCTTCTGCGGCGTTGATGCGCAACAAGAAAGTCGATTTGGAGGAAGATGAAGAGCAGAGAATGATGGCCCGCACACAAGGGAAGCAGTTGTGGTGTCATTTGGATCTCTCTGGCCAGGGTTTGCTCAATATTTCTCCGAAGCTTTTTCAGTACGATTTCTTGGAGTCTCTTTACTTGAACAATAACAAACTCACCACGGTTCCCACAGTGATCAAGAAATTGCGTGGTTTGCGTGTCCTTGACTTGTCTCACAACCGTATTTCTGAGGTGCCTGGTGAATTGGGATTATGTTACAACTTGCGTTATTTGTACTTGTTTGACAACAATATCAAAACGTTACCCAACGAGTTCCGTAACTTAATCGAGTTGTTGTTCTTGGGTATTGAGGGCAATCCGATTGACTTGAAGATTGCCAACTTGATTGCTGAAAAAGGTACTAAGGAGTTGATCAGCTATTTCAGAGATATGGAGCCCACTTATCCAGAACCTAAGCCAAGACAATGGCTTTTGTTGAAGGAAGATGGTGAGATCATTGATCCGGTGACCAATCCTGGTATCTACAGTGAAGACCTCATGAATTCGGACTCTCATGATACTTTCACATTGTTGACATACAACACGTTGTGTCAGCACTATGCCACCACGAAATTGTACAAGTACACTCCATCATGGGCCCTTGACTGGAACTTCAGAAGAAACTCATTGAAGGAGGAGATTGTCCGATTAGGCACTGATGTGATCTGTTTGCAGGAAGTTGAAACGAGAACGTTCCACGAGTTCTGGGTGCCTGTTATGGAAGCTATTGGATACAAGGGATACTTCTTCAGTAAGACCAGATCTAAAACTATGAGCGAGCTGGAGTCTAAGAAAGTGGATGGCTGTGCTACGTTCTACCGCATGTCCAAGTTCCAATTGGTTCAAAAGCAGCACTTGGAATACAACACTGTATGCATGGGATCTGATCGTTACAAAAAGACCAAAGATTTGTTCAATAGGTTCATGAATAAGGACCACATTGCGTTGATTACATACCTACAGCACGTTGAGACAGGGGAGAAGATTGTCATTGTCAACACGCACTTGCATTGGGATCCAGCATTCAATGACGTTAAGGCATTGCAAGTTGGTATTTTATTGGAAGAGTTGCAGGTGATCATCAAGAAGTTTCTCCACACAAACAGCATGGACGATGTGAAGAACTCATCGTTGATCATTTGTGGTGATTTCAATTCGACCAAGAAGAGTGCAGTGTACCAATTGATCTCAACCGGATCTGTCTCAAACCACGAAGATTTGCACGGCAGAGACTATGGTCGTTTCACGGATGAGGGATTCCACCACAACTTCAAGTTAAAGTCCGCTTACGACCACATTGCCTCTGACTTTCCCTTCTCCAACTTTACCCCCACATTTACCAGTGAGATTGATTACGTGTGGTATTCCACAGGCACTTTGCAAGTCAAGGGCTTGTTGGGTAAGGCAGATGAGGAATACTCTTCGCACCAGGTGGGTTTCCCAAGTGCACACTTCCCATCCGACCACATCCCATTGGTTACCAAATTCCAAATTCGCAAGAAAGGGTCTGTGGCAGCCAACAAGAAGACCGACTTCAAGCCGGACTTCAAATCGGGTTCCTCTAGAAAAACCTAAAGGAATCGGTAATGAGCAAGAGAAAACAATGACGAGTGTCCATCACGGTGTTGACGCTAACGTAAGCGTTTTCAGTCCTTGCTTGATTACGTGTATTTTAGCTTTATAATAACATACTACTTTAGAAGACCTGCGTATGTAGTGGGGTGGGGGGAATTAGTCATTGAAAACGGTATTTTTCGACATACACTCGCCTAACACACGTAAACAATCCATATTTAGGAAACCAATCTCATGAGTATGTCGGGCGACTGTTTCCGAACAACCTGAACTATATAATGTTTTAAAATTCACCCTTCCCAAAGGTGTCTAGGTTGAAAATATCGTCATCAGTCCAATAGTTTATCCGAGTATTTTTCCGGCCTCTAATAGACTATATATACCTGCCACGTCTCTGAAAATAGTTGTGTCTACTTGAAAAAGTCAAAAGTAAAATATAGAACTTGATCATGTCCCTCTTAATTCCTACCGAAGTTGATTACAAGGATGCACATGGCCATCCCACCATTGAAGAAGAGTACCAGGCAGAGCTTGAAAGATTAGCAAATGAAGGTAACAAGGAATTCTCATGGGATTTCGAAGTTGTGCCAGGATTTTTCGTACAATCTGACCCAGCTACCAACGACTTGAAGTTCAGGTACACACAGGCCAATCTTGGACGGTTAAAGACGTGGGATCAGATCCAAAAAGACCTTGCATTGTTGAATGAGAATGCCAACGACAACGAGGTCTACAAGCTTATAATTTGTGCCAGACATGGACAGGGCTATCATAACATGATTGTGGAGAAGTATAGTCTTGACGCCTGGAACAAGAAGTGGAATGTTCTCGGTACAGATGGAGAATTTATCTATGGACCAGATGCCATGTTATCGGAGCTCGGACTTAACCAGGGTAGAGAGAACAACAACGTGTGGAAGGAGGAGATAGAGCAGCATGGAGCTCCAATCCCATCAAAGTTCTACGTCTCACCCCTTCAAAGATCCCTGTGGACTTGTGTGCTTACTTGGGATGGTTTGAGACCCAGTCATATCAACCCTGTGGTGACTGAGAACCTCCGAGAGACCATTGGACAGAACTTGTGTGATAAGAGATCGAGTAAGACGGTAATCTCCGAGAGATTCGGTCAGTATGGATTTGTTTTCGAGGAGGGATTTGAGGAGGAAGACATTCTTCATACCCCACGCAGAGAGACTGCTTTAGAACAGGCGGTGAGAACAAACCGTTTCTGTCAAGCATTGTTCGAGGAGGATTGGGATGAAAAGGCAGGTAAAGTCAACAAAGAGCTGGCTGTGAAGCATTCGTTTATCTCCACCACATCTCACGCTGGAACCATCAGATCTTTAATTATTGTGTTTGGTCACAGAAGATTCACCATTTCCACTGGCGGCATGGTTCCCATTGTTGTGAAGGCAACTAGAGTGGCTTGAATATTAGATAAAAATAGATAGATAGTTTTATACAATAATAGATAGTCTGTTACAAATAGTATAAGCACATAGAAAGTTTGTTGCGAATAGTATTTTAAACGATGAAAACATGAAATCGCTCTTTCGAGCAAGTAATAGACGTGGTCCAAGAAAACTCTATGAAATGAACTTGTCCCCTTTTACATAAAGAATTTAGTTACGATAAAGGTGGTTGATAGCGACAATTGTGCATTAATTAAACATAGGAGATATGAGTCCCGAATGATATACGATTGTTGAGCACTTTTCTGCGGTCATTATTTAGTCAATTATGTAAGTCAAGAGTAGAATTAAACAGTCTAATGGACACTGTCGGTCAGGACCAAAGCCTCATGCTTCTTAGCAGCCTCCTCATCGGTGCTTAAGTCATCCAAGTCATGGGTGATAGTTCCATTACCCATAGATCCAATATCGAACCCATGAGACTTCAAGTACTCAACAAAACGCTTGTCCTCGTGGTCGATAGCATCCTGGCCAATCGAAGGACCGAAGAAAAGAGCCAAGATAGCAGAAAAGAGACACAAAGAAGCCGAGACATAGAAAGCAGTAGTAATTCCTTTGTCTGAGTCTGCACCTCCGTTGTTTCTCAAGATAATTGGGAAAATGTAAGTACCCACAAAGGCACCAACTTTACCGATAGCAGCAGCGATACCATAGAACTGGCCTCTGATTGGAGTAGCAGAAGACTTGGCTGCCATGATACCAACGTTGTTACCGGGACCAAACTCTCCAAGAGTAAGGAAAATACCGTACACCACTACAAAACCAGCAATGTGGTGCTTCAAGTGGCTGTAACCAGCAGTCATACCGAAACCCACAACTGCTTGCAAGATAAGTCCAATAGTGATTGTGAGTCTGGGACCAAGGTAGTCGCAAACATAACCACCAATGAAGGAGCCAGGAATGTAGAACAAGTTGAACACAACGTTCCAGCCCCAGGCCTTGTAAATATCGTCACCAGGCAAAATCACTGAGAGAATATAGGAGGAATAAAGACCGAAAGAGTAGGCAGAGAAATCATAGATAAACCAGATAATGGAAATGACAGCCAATCTGAACCAGTAGAACTTGATCACAAGCCAATATGGGAACTTGGCCACAGACTTCATGTGGAGCTTTTCATAAGAATTAGAGTTCTTCATCTTTCTTCTCATGAAGAACAAGGAAAGCGGAGGGAACACACCCAAAGCCAAAGTGAGTCTCCAAATAACAGTCAAATGCTTCTCGGAAAATATCCACAACAACACCAAAGGAACAAACGAAGAGACAACAAAACCTGCATCAATACAGAAGTTGGTAAACCAACAGAAGTATCTATTTCTCTTACCTTCAGGCAACTGGTTGGCAAACTCGGAAGCAATCACCGAGGAGGTTGGGTACTCAGCACCAATAGCGATACCCAAGAAGAATCTGAAGGTGGTGATGGCAGCAAACAAGCCGTATGGAGTGTTCGACCACGTTGCCACGGCACAGAGAAGTGTGAATACAATAAGCATCACGTTGGCAACTAACATTCCACCTTTTCTGGCCAAATGGTCGGAGATGTAACCAAAGGACAATTGGCCAATAACGGTACCAGCAAAAGCAATTGAAGCGATATTGGAGATAGCGTTGGAGTTGGTATACTCCTTCTTGTACAAGAGGGCCAAACAAGTGGTGACAGTTCCAATGGAGTTATTAACGTAACCATCGGAAAACAACCCAGCACCAGAGATAAATGCGGGCCACAAGTTCTTCATCTGCACCTTGTGGAGGGCCTTATCCTCTTCAGTTTCGGGTTTCTTTTTGTTGAAGCACATCTCCGCAGGGAGGCGCTCAATTCCTCCAAGGAACAACTGACGGAATGAGTGGGGTAAGTCTCTGGTGGCCATAGCAAGTTCAATAAGTTATCAGCAACAGACAGGAGTGATAGGTGACAGAGATGATAGTTGAGAGGCAGCAAACACTGGAAAACAAAAACGGCTGATGGCTGCAAAGTTTTGACCGTAGTCTAACAAGAACTTCTAGAAAATTGGTCATCAACAATTGGGTGGTTAGGTGCTCATATTTATATGCTACTTGGGGGGAAACGGTCTATCATGTTGCATGAGTTTCGAGAAGTGCCGCACGACTGGCTACAGGATTGCAACGTATTCCGCAGCAAACCAATATACCCTGCAGCACCATTATTCATCCCAAAAGATAGCTTATCGGATAGGATTGACACGGATAATTTGAACTAACAGGGAAGGACCTAGGGATGTGCGGTCAAAAGGTGAAAAAGGCGAAAAAAACCTCTCCGTCCTTCACTAATAACGAGCCTGTCACACTATGCTAAGAAATTCTTTTGCTGTCAAATCCTGCAAAAACGTGGGTAATATTGGTGTCAAGATATTTTTGGCATGTGCACTGCCGCGTGGCTGCGTTAAATATCGATCCACGTGTAGTGTCGTGGGACCCTATCAGACTGGTAGTAAATGATTTAATGGACCGTTAATCGAGAATACCAACGTGGGTCTAATCGACAGTGAATCGGTAGTGCCAACGTTGGTCATTTGCCGTGACTGGACTGGCGCTGGACATGCATGGATCACTAATTACCAATTCAGTGCTCGTGGGCCAGTTAGCTGGGATAAGCGACATTATATGAAGAGCTTGTGGAGTAGGCTCTACCGAGTGGGCACTACAGGGACCTCGTCTAGATGAGTTCTGTGGTGGGCTTCGTATAGTGAATTTTGTGTTGGTGGGACCATGTGGAGTAGAGTCGATTAGTAGTTTTAAAGTAAGAGAAACTGAAGATGTTCAAGTTTGGAGTTCATGCTCGAGAGCTCCAATGGTGGGAAATATGCCAAGAGGGAGAAATTCTGACAGTTTCATATCAATAGTTGATTTCTTCAATAGTTTGCCTACTTTCGACAAGGATTACATGCATTTTTTTTTCGTTCCTTATGGTTAGCATGGGTGGATTTTCTGCATTGGGAAACAAAGGCATTATGTTCCCTGTGCCCACAGGACCAACGGTGAATAACTGGTCCGGAGAAGAGACAAGGATTTTTTTTCACATCGAGCAGATGCAGCATCGTGCTTTGCACTTATCATATCATCTAAGTATACTGTTATCAACTTTCTGCCAAGTTTAATCATTGCGAATCGTACCTGTCTCTCATTCTCATAATCCTACTGGCTTCTCCTCCTTCCTAGATAAAAACTATATACTACGGTCACTCACCTATCTATCTAATCCCACTCTACCATATACTTCAAAGATTCTCCAGCCTTGAATGGTACAACCTGGATGGTGTCGTTGGCAATAACCTCGGCTACAACATTCTCTCTCTTCACCAACGAAACCGTGTCCTTGCACACCACATCGTCATCAGAGATTCCGTAGAATTTCTTTCCATGTTCGTTGACAAATCCACGCAACTTATCCAACTTTCCTGCTCCCTCAAAAACCTCTGCCAAGTACCCTATAGCATTGGACTGGGTGTACACTCCAGCACACACTCCTACATGTCTAGCCTTACCCTCAATAGGATGAGGAGCGGAGTCTGATCCGAAGAAGAAATATGGTTCACCCGATGTGGCAGCATCCACTAACGTCCGCATGTCCTCGGGCAACTTAGCCACTGGCTTGCAGAAGTTAATAGGGTTTCCGGCCCACGAATCAATTGTGAGAGAAAGGTGGTGAGCAGTAATGGTGGCGGCCACCTTGGCATTAGGGTTCTCTTTGTGGATGCCACGTACGGTATCCACAGCACTTTTGGTGGTGCAATGTTCCAAAATGATCTTCAAGTTGGGGAAATCCTTGGATAACTTGACCAACGCAGGAAGGAACAATGGCTCGGCATTAAGTACGGTGATGTCTTCATCCTTGGCAGGAGGACGCTCTCCGTGGAGGTTGAGAACCAAATCGTTCTCTTCAAGAGCCTTGAAAATGGGGTAGAAATCAGAAAAGTCGTTGGGATCCACTCCAGCAGCAGAGTTGGTGGTGACACCTGCTGGATAGCACTTGACACCGTGGATGGCGCCTTGTTTGGCGGCAGCATGGATGAGCTCAGGTGTTAAGTCCTTACACAAGTACAAACTCATCAAGAATGTTGTTTTTGGTGCAAGTTTTTGGAGACTCTGCTTGTATTCAATGACTCTTTCCAAAGTAGTCACTGGAGGTACCAAGTTTGGCATGACGTAGGCAATAGAGACACCACCCTCTCTGACGGTTGGGGTGATTAACTCCATCATCTTGCCATCACGAAGATGGACGTGCATGTCAGCGGTGATGCCAAGGTTGATTTTGGACATGGTGGAGAAGAATAACTTGTAGAGAGATTTCTCCAGATTTTGTGAGAATGTGCCGGAAGTCTGGAGAAAAAATCCTTAGATATAGGAACTGAGGATGTGACCCGAAGAGGTCTTAGTTGGGATAGTATTCTGGACTTTTTAAAAAAAATTATAATTATCGATATGTGTTTATTGGTAGTAAATCCACTTGACGATGAGTACTATCAGTATTATTTTTGGTAGACAGGGATGACATTCTCCAGATAACTATCTACTACCGTTGTGGTCGCAAAGATGTGCTTGAAGGTTGATTTCTCCACCAAAACAGTGAGTAAACGATGAATTTCTGTAGGAGTGAACTTTGTTTCATTGGAGCCAAATGGGCTTGCGAGCCATAAAATTATGTGGAAGGAACCATTCAGCTCCACTCTGTCTATAGGAGAATCATAAATTTCCTCATCTTGAGAAATCTTCTCGTAACGCTTACCTTCTTCAACTCTCCGGTAACGAAAAGCTTGCCAAACATTTCTCTTCTTTTCTAAAGATACTCCAATCACAGGTACTTTATGTCAGTAAAATCTCATAAATTTCTGGGTTATACATACTTTGAATGTCCATGGGCTGGTACAAGGTGTCTCCTACAACCATAGTGCAGATATCTTCAAATGCACCCAAATCCTTTCGTGAAACTTCAACGAATAACCTATCAGAATAAAGAAATTGCTCATTTCTTGAGATAGGTATTGCTCCAAGTCTCATTAGGTGTATTGGAAGCATTGAATCGCCAATCAGCGCCATTCTCCTCGAAACCTGAGATTCCATCTCTAAGACCTCTAGGAGATTCTCTCGGCTCCACCAGCACCATTTATAATATAATATGTGATCATGAGAGGATTGGCGACTCTCATAGAGCAAGTATTTATAAATGAGGCTTTCTTCATGAGAGGTTATGATTAATCTGGTGGATGGAGGTCCCCAATATGTAAAAGTAGGAGGCGAACAGGGGGGTGAAGCTGGTGTTTTACAAGACAGAGAGTGAAAATTTGACATTGATGAAGATTTGGGTCTTTTAATGTTCGAAAACTGGGATTGAGGAGAAATATATACAAATATGTAATCTGGGTGCAAAATGCGCCCATGTATATGAACATAAAGCATAACTGAAGCTGAACTTGGTTTACAAAAACAATACACATAGGCTCTTATCGACGATAGAAATGAGTATATGATAACTTTCCCAGGTTTGGGCATGTTTTATATTTGCAAGTTTCTTTGTTCCAAGGCACAACTCCCAATCTTTCAATATCCAACTCTAACATCTTGAATTAAATACTCACAAAATTTGTAAACCTATCTTTAAATTTGCTTTCACTGTAAATAGTCATATTTCCCTCTAATGTCTAGTTCACCCTCCTCCTTTCATTGCTATCAGTCTCCACCAACTCTTCCTCTACCTTATCACCTCATCTCCAGTGTGCACTCATCTCGACATGAGCTCCATCTTTCTTCCCCATCTCCGAACAGGCTGGCATGTGGACCAGGCCATTCTCTCAGAAGATGATCGACTTGTGATTATTCGCTTTGGCAAGGATTATGACCGTCTGTGCATGATTATGGATGAGATTTTATACGGAATAGCAGAAAAGGTAAAGAACTTCGCTTCAGTTTACCTATGTGACATTGAACAAGTTCCAGACTTCAACGAAATGTACGAGCTTTACGACCCGTGCACAGTGATGTTCTTCTATAGAAACAAGCACATGATGTGTGACTTTGGTACGGGAAACAACAACAAGTTGAACTTTCCCATCGACAACAAGCAAGACATGATCGACATCATCGAGACCATCTACAGAGGTGCCATCAAGGGAAAAGGTTTGGTGGTGAGTCCTAAGGACTACAGCAGTGTGAGGACTCGGTGAAGAGGTTGAAGCTGTGGGCTAGATGGGTTTTCTTCGTGCCATAGCCTAGGTATACCAAAGCGCAGGCACTTGATGGAGAACATAAACAGAGAATACAGAGACAAAGATAGCGTCATCTGTGACTAATAGGAATGTATGAGCTCCAGATTCTGCTGATTGTGATGAGGGATTTCTTTTTCACAATATGATAGTGGGGTTATTTGAATCGACAATCATGGTCTACTTGTCAATACTTTCGCTCGTAACAGCCACTACAATGTATGAGTTCAAAAAATACATTCCATGAGTGCTTTCTTAGGTGTTCTATGAGCTCTCTGATTTCCTTATGAATTGGCTTGTGAGTTCATTCTTGGGGTTGGTGTCTGGTTTAAGGACATTACGAGATCCATGTCTTAGATTTTCACTTATCCAGTCATCACCTCATCCATATCTGTAACTTTAGGAATTAAATATCAAGGAAAATATTTTGTCCGTACCTACCCATTCTACATTCAATTATGGTTCGACATTCCACTTCTATGTCTTTTTACTCTTGAACCTCGTTCTGCGAATAGAAAAAGTTCACTCCCAACAACTTGGAGTCGCCTCCATGCTTTTTAATCCAATCACGGACTCCTGAGCCCGGAGTTCCAGTGCCCCACGTAGGTCTATCTGGTGGAGCCACCAAATTGGCCTTAGGATCCTGCTTATACAACAAAAACACATATCTGTGCTTCTTGGTGTACTCCGGAGGGCCGGCACCCTCGTACTCCACAAGTTCATTGCCCTTAGACAAGTCCAAAATCGTCGACAAAGAGTCCAGCGACTCCAGATTGTTGGGATTCAAGTGGAGATCGGTGACGATCCAATGGCAATATTCTGACCACTTGTGATCCCAATTGGATGGTGCATCTGGGTCCGTCAAAATCAACGTAAAACGGTCCTCTGATTCGATCAGCAACTCGGGCTCCTGGCTCGACGAGTTCAAGGTGAATTGGATCTTGGGTCTCTCCTGGGTTTCGGAAACCTTCAAGGTGTTGCCCATGGTCACAAGTGCGCTGGGGCTGTACTCAATTGTCAACAAGCCATGAGTGTCGAACTTGTCAACCACTTCGGGCACGATTTTGTGCTTGGTGTAGGCCTCATCCAACAGCTGGGAAATAGTCATCAAATTCATGGCTGGAATGATGGACAATTGGGAAAGTCTGGAGATATGAGCAAGTCTGGGGGAAATTGGGAAAAGGCGACGGGATTGATATGTTGTAGCACGAGCAAATGTGATCAACATGAACCAAAATGGCCTTATATACCAAAAAAGAGGTGATAGGGGGTGAAGATATCATGAGAGAGGCCATTTAGTCTGTGTGCACGGCCTGTGGGGAAATTCCGTTTCTCTCCGATAGTAATTAGTCAAGATAAGAATTGCTGACCTAATCTTGTTTTGAGATTCATGTCGAGTATTTCTTATAAATTCTGGCGATTATTGGCAATCTACTGTTATTTACGACTTCTTTTTTTTCATTCCAAATCTCCAATCATAGTAATACAAGTAGCAACCATAGGGTGCTTAGTAAGGGCACTTGACACGATGCACAACGAGGTGAATATTGGGGTACGTCATAACTTGAGCATAGAGAGAGATGGTGAAACGGAAAGTGGAAATCCAGTGTGGATGTGTACACAAAGGATCAATCGGGTCCCAGATATTCACAATTGCACCTCGAGTGACAAGTGATCAAAAACACTTCATGTCCTGTAGGTGTCAAATTATGTCAAGTGCGTTAAGTGCGTGAGCGTAACACCGAGTACATCAAGAAGGCCCAGTGATATCAAGTTAAGCATCATCTTCTCAGTCATTAGTAGTCTGACACTGATAGATAGCACGTTAAGCGTTATGCGTATCCGAACCCACCTAGGGATGTGACTGATCGTGAGGGTACTGGCCATGAAAATTCTCTAGTTCCCCAGATTTCATCAATGGCCTTATTTACAAACGTTCACTGAGTTGTAGTACGCAATCACGTTTAAGCAAATTCTCTCGATTCTGAATCCTGTCTTATTCCTTTCCATCTGATTAATCTTCTTCCCTTACTCGAGCTAAGTTTCCAAATTCTCTCCGACCTCTCTGCCCACCCCAAGTCCAACCTCAGCTATTCGAATCTCCAACACTCCAATACTCTCTCAGCAATCCAACTACTCCTCCGGTCACCCACAACTAGTAGTTATTAGAATAGCCAGAGTAGCCCTCGAATTCATACCCTTCCTCTTCGCCTTCTTTCTTTTCATGCTTCTCTTCCTTCACTTCCACCTGTGGAATGGGCGCCAGACTATTTCCTGGAATGTTCGATACCATGGGCAGGCCCTGAGTGGCAGGCAGCTGGTGCCCCAGGGGCGTCTGGACAGCGCCAGCAGGATGTGCGGGACCCCGAAGAGGTGGGGCGTGCATTCCTTGCTGGTGGAGTAGGTGGTGCAGTTGACCTGGTGTGTTTACGTAGCTACCAGTTCTAGACTGAGGAGGGAAAGGCTTCTTGGGCTTCTCTTCCTCACGTGGAACCACGTCGATCAAGAAGTCAAACATGTCACTTTTTGTCAACGCGGCTGCAATGTCTGACTTCTGTAGCGTTCTCCTCTTGTTCTCTTCTGCATGGATCCATGCTCTCATGGTCAATTCGGTGATGAACACATCACAGCCCTTAGCAAATAAAATGGGCGCCTCCGCACTGATCATACGCACATCCTCATCGGTTTTCATCACCTTTTTGATTCTTGCAAGCGGCAATTGGTGGTTCTTAAAGTCATGCTCATCGTGCTCAATCGAGTTGATCGTCTCCTGCCAATATTGCATCATCATATCGTGGTTTTTACCTACAAGCCCCTGACCAACGTTGCTGAACACTCCGCCTGGTTGTCCCTGTTGCTGCTGCTGTGCTACCGCCGCATCTGCTGCTGCCTGAGCTGCTAAAAGTTCTTCTTCTTCCACCACCGGGTGTCCGTGCTGAACTGGCACATCTTGTGGTGGAGCAGCGTGAGCATCAAACTGTTGCTCGTCTACGCTTCCATTCTCCTGTTCTTGGTTCAAGTGGGATAACTCTTCGTCATCCAAGTATCCGGTGCTATATTCCATGTAGGTTGTTCAAAAAGTCTGTGTTTCGAGTTATTGAAGCTGATATTGCTTTGCTGTGAAATTTCAAATATCACTTGGGAAGGGAATTAACGATGTCGTGGTCGTGGGTTCCTCTTGGTGGGAATCTCTGTGTCTGTAGGTGGACAATTATTGTTGATTGAGTAGTAGAAGGTTGTGCATTTTGGTGAAGAGTTGGTGCGAAGTTCGGGGGTTTCCTGCCGGATTACATCCGAAGTCGATCATTGACGATGGGGCTCATACTGAAGAGAGAACAAAAAAAGCCAAGGCCAATAGAAAGGGTTCCAATAGGGTTTATGGTAATCCAATGATTTATCTCGATATTTCAATGTTTTGAAACATTTCTCTTATTTCAAAATTTTGTTACTCTTCATTCTTTTCTTGCATTACTCTTCATCTGTTTTTTGTCTCTCATTATTCTCGGTCGAACTCTCATATCCTAACTTCTCGTCTCTCTCTGTCACATCTCCTTTCGAATTGACTAAATCGTCCAGTCACGACGGAACTTAAGATACTTGTACGTACTCTGTGGTCCATTCATTCCCATGGCCAAAGGATGGTAGTACCAGAATCCTCCAACAACCCCCACAAATGCCAATGCAAATACTGGATACTTGATATAAAAAGGTGTTCGCCGGGCAATATAATACTCCATCAAATATCCAGATACAAATATGGCAAAGTAAATGGCTGGCGCATAATGGTGTAAGTATGTGACACGGCCCATCATTACAAAGGGAAGGTAATGTAAGAACCACCCAGCCAACGGAAGCACACCCGCAGACAAAAGGAAGCCCCAATTATCTCCGTAGACGCTTAAGTCTACCTTCTGGCGCTGCCACTGTAAGAGGACCCATACTATAGTCAATGTAGCAAGAGGAAGACTGATGGTCGAAAAGAGTGTCACGAACGGATGTCCAATGAGGAAGTAACGATAATCTCTGTTGCTCCACGAACCCATCCGTAAGCCCGACTTCAAAATTGGCCATTCCCACCATTTCGATGCCAATTTGTCGAAATGGTCTGGGTCTGGAATCAAGGCGTTGTTGGAGGCCATCATACCATAGTTTAGCAACACAAATTCCTTCCAGAACTTGGGTTTGGGTGCAACATATGTGATGTTCGGCTTTGGCAACTCGTCGTTGACGTGGTCTTCCACGTTCCACCAAGTGCTTTTATCGTTTTTGAGGAATGAGCGCTTGCACACGACTTCTCCCTGTTGGAATCCCCATGCTGGGTATGAATAGCCAGTGGTGGCCAAGTAGCAGCCGAGAACTTTATGTCTCAAACGGAAGTTGGTCGAGATCGGATGAATCACTTCTGGGTCTTCGTCTTGGAACTTGCGAGATGGAGATTTGTACTGACTTTGTATCTCTACAACCCAATCGTCCTTTTTGTCGTGAATGTCAATTCCTCCGTAACAGGTAGCCTCATATTGACCCTTCAGAACGTGTGCAGCAATTGGGTGCGAGTGGAGGAAACACCCAGTTTGCTTGTGGGACAATCTGATGGTGTCGCCGTCTCTCACCAATGTTTTGTAGTCAAGAACATATTCCGGATGATCTTCGTCATAATCAAGGGTAGCATATCTATTCTCATTCTCCATGGCATCCAATCCAAACTCAATAAGAAATTCGTTGTTGTTGTCCTTGAAGCCGTACGTGGTAATCTGCTGCTGGCCAGAGCCTTCTGGGTATTTCAGCCGATGCGAATGAAGCAAGTTTGGAGACAAGCCCTGAGATCTCAAAGAAACCAACGAGCCAAATGCTACAGATCTTGGGCCATTGTAAACCTTATTTCCTTCCAAAGATGCCTGGAGAAGGGTGGAAATAGACCCATCGCCTGGTCCAGATTTGCTCAACACTGCGAAGTGTACCTTGAATGCGGCTACATAGATCAGGAATGGGATCAAAATGAGGCACACGATTCTTGCAAGCCAATGAAGCAAGTACTTGGGCCACGAGAGGTGGTATTGTTTTTGGGAAGGAGGCACCGATGTTTGGAAGAAACGAACCCCCAAATCGTAAATAGTGTACATTCCAACCAAAAGAGTTACGAAGAGACCCACCCATTTCACTGAGCACACACATCCAATTGATACACCAGTATAGGCCAACCATGCCACGCCTCTTTTGGAAAGCAATTTGTCGTTCTGTCTGAGGGTGTGGATCTTGATAAGGCCAAAAAAGGTAGACACGGTGAAGAGAAGAAGCATGGAGTCCAAGAGAATAAACTTTGACAAAGTCAACGACAACATCTCAAACGCCACCAGCAACGAAACAAACCACGTGGTGAGCTGCGAGAAGCCCAATTCCATCGCCGTGAAGTATGCTAGAGGCGTGCAAAGGATTCCAAACACACAATTGAAGATTCTCATGAACACAATGTTGTGTTCGGGAGGGAATGACTTTCCACTTTCAAACTTGAACGAGCCATCGAATTTGGCCAAGTAGCCCGAAAGACCCACCAACAACTTTCCCAAGGGTGGGTGAACATCGAAGTAGAATTCATGTTGAAGGTAGTATGAACCAAATTTTCCGAAGTGGGCCTCGTCCCATACAACACGCTTGCTATCACCAATTCCATATAAGCGAACAAATCCAGCCACGAGCGTCAATATCAATGGATTAACAAAGTATTTCAAGTAGTACACGTAGTTTGGATGTTTAGAAGGTTCATCGAGCGAGAGTGACGAGGTTTGCTGGATGATTTGCGACAACTCCTCGGATTCACCAGCATTGACAGGAACTTTTCGACTTTTCAATGTGGATGTAGCCGGTTGTGACACGGCTGAACTGTGAGCCCAATCCGACATTGGAGTTGAAGTTGACGAATGTGCGAAATAACAGGTGGAGGTTGTAGGTAGGAGTAATTAGTGAGGTGGAGAGGGAAGGGGAAGTTACGAAGATACTGGAAAATAATGGATGAATGAACTTGTATTGGAAGATTTTGAGTTAAAATTCTGATTAATTATTGGAGATGGAGTAGTTATTGATTTTTCTTGTCTGTGGGACAAAACATTGACAACATTTCAACTGCTGTTGTTTTCTCTTCAATTTTATGGTTTCGCAGCCAGAAGCTTGGAAATGGTGGAATGGGTCTCAGATGAAGTATCAGTTGTTCTCATGAGCAATCAACCTAGATGACCCTGCTGAAAAGGAATATAATAACTCCACAGTTAACATTGAACTTTACAATGCATTGAACATACCATACAACATTCTTGTAAATTCAGCCGAAATACGTATTAGTTCTGGCTGGGGGGAACTTGGAAAGTTCATGGCAATTAACTGAGTTTTGGAGGATTTTACGCTCTGGTAAGCCTTTCGTTCCTATATTAACCACATTTCGTCATACATTGATCATTTCCTCTCTAACGTGCACTGAGAAGGCTAGCAATTGGAAACATAAAGCATACAGCCATGTTACTGATAACTGTGCTTAGAATAGATCAAGTACTTCAAACCAAATGTTTGAACCAACCAGAGTAGCAGGCTGAAGTAGCCAACTTAAAGAAGGAATTACAATAACCAAACAAAATATTCAACTAAAACTAGCAAATTCTTCAATCAACAAACATAACCAACCAACATACAAATACATGACTCAACTAGAATAACCTAATAGGGTAGCTAACAACAATAACCGCACATAAATCATGCAGCAAGTTTCCCGTTTATGATTGTCCATTGGAGACTGTATGCCACCAACCTTGTTTTACCAACCTCAGGACTGTCTCTATTAATCAATCAATGCGTGATGAAAACATCTACTCAAAGATTCTTTGAAACTCAAAACGTATCATTGATTGCTGGATTCTTTTTCGTTTGTAACGTCTTTCAAGTACGGCTGAATGACTTCCTATTTATTCAGAAGTTATGGCACCAAGTAGATTCGAATCCACCACGAGCACTTCCCAATTTTTTCTTCTACATCGCTATTTTGTTTCCGTTTCCAATTTCCAAGTTGCTGTGTTTTCATTTTTCGGTTCAGTTTTCTCCAGTTTTAGGGCAACTTCCAAAATCAATGATTTTGACGTCTTAAATCCGTCGTATCGCCGCGGCTTCTGGAACATTAGAATTTGAACTAAAAAAAGAAACCTTCATGACATCACCGGAATCCTTATTTCCACAATTCTTTAACAATACATTGAACAATCCCGTTGGATATCCCAAATAAGGTTTTATTCGCAACCTCGGCAATTTCCTCATAACCCCCTCTAAAAATCTCAGTGTAATCTCCCATATCATATACCCCAAGATAAATGTTCTCCACCTTCTTTCCTGCGAGAGATGACTCGGATTCTCGGTACGGAGACCCGATCACTTAAGCCTCTTCCTCCGCGCCAGAATGGCCATAAACCAGAACCAGACAGAGTTCATTGACAAATACATGAAAATGTAGTAACTCATCTTTCTGACAAATGATGATGAGAACCCATATCCACGGCTACCCAGAGATTCCAGCACTTTAAGTTGTACCCCATCAAGACTGACAAATGATGCGCCTATAGTGTAATCTCGGTTGTGTGGCCCAATTAGGAAGTTTCGGCCGCAAATAATCTCCATGGCTGTAGCATAAATTTCCCCATTGGGCACGACCTCCGCACCGACTTAGTAATTTGTATCCAACATATATAGCAAGGTTTCCAATAGGTGACAGGGACGAAATCATATTCAAAACAAACTTTTCATAGCTTTTTGACGCACACATAACTATTTTGCCGACTTTGAAAATGAACAAGGAAACCAGTTCAGATAGCTACGGTCGGAGTCTGAGATCCAGCTCAGATCTCCACAGACATACCTCCAATGACAACCATGGAAACAGCGTTCACAGCTCGGATGACCAGGATGTGCATGTTTTCACGGGCCATGACGACGCTATGCAACCCGCCACTCGGGAACTCTCCAGAACACAGACCCTCTTGAACAAAGTTTCCTCACGAATCTCGTTTTTCAACGAGAGACTCAATGCTGAAAGAATCAGCTTATCGTGGAAGGTGTTGGGTATATATGGAATCATGGGATTCTTCATCTTGGCCATTTTCTCCATCTACTGGGGATCCATATATCGTCGTGAGTACCGCTACAAAAACCTTCGTATGCTTGTGGTTATTGAGGACGAAGATACCGTCAATGGAATTGCTCCGATTATCGGCGAAACGATCAGATCAATATTGGCAACACCTCCAGCAATGGCATTGGGTAAGTGGCTCATCCAGAATACCACTGAATTTAATGCATTGGCACAACGGCACAACAATTCTGTCTTTGAAGAGATCCAAAGACAAGTGCACCACCAGCACTACTGGTCGTCCATCTACGTGCCTAGGAACGCCACGGTTGGGCTTTATGAGGCAATTCTTGCAGGAGATGTCTCCTATAACGTTTCTGCCAACACTGCCATCTCATATTATGAGACGGGGCGTGATTTCTTGAGTATGAACCAGTATGTGACTCCAAACGTGCAAAGAATCCAGTCCATGTTCTTAAGACACCAGCAGAACATCACCTCCGCTATCTTGGGCAATTCTGACCTCTCACAAGTTTTTAATAACCTGAACTCGTTGACAGTGGCTGCTACACCAATGGAATGGACCTTCATGGATGGAAGACCTTTCAAGGATCCCGTTTTACTTGCTCCATCGCAGGTGGGTCTCATTTACATGATCATCATCACGTTCTTCTCCTTCAACTTCTTCTCGGATATCCACCAGAGTGTGGCCAAGATGGGTATCAAGATCCCCCATCTTGTGCTTTACAGAATCCTCTCCGCCATCTTGAGTTTCTTTGTCATCAGTTTCTTCTACAGTTTGGTAACGTTAGTCTTCCAAGTTGATTTCACCCGCACTTTTGGCCATTCGGGTTTCATTGTTTACTGGATGACCAATTTCTTGACCATGTGGGCCGTAGGAGCCATGAATGAAGCCATGGGTATGGTGTTCATCATGTTGTATCCTCCACTCCTTGGATTCTGGATGTTGTTCTGGGTCATTGTTAACATTTCGCCCACTTTTGCCCCATTGGCACTTAGTGCCAAATTCTTCCGTTACGGTTACGGTATGCCTATCCACGCTTCGTACGAAATCACGAAGGTGATCTTCTTCAACACTTATAAGGGAGCCTTGGGAAGAAACTACGGTATTTTGGTGGCATGGTGTGTGATTGCCAGTGTATTGTTACTAGTGGTATTTAAGAAGTTTGGCCAAGTTATGGGTGGTCGAGCAGCTGCTCAGAGAGCACAAATTGAGAAAGAATTGAATGAGAAGCGTGCTAGAGATGAAGAGGGAGAGATTGACTTTAGCTAGGTTTCCATCTTATGAAGGCAAAAATCGTTTGTGCCGATTGTGAAAGACTATTTTGGGAGTATAGAAGTAATTGTGGGGAACTATAAAGAGTGCATCGAGACATTGAGACATTTAAAGCATTAGATGAAAATGCTATAATATAATTAGGAATCAGTCAATGATCTCAGAATAATAGAAGACATTTGCAAGCTTAAATTGACTTTGCTCTACTGTAGATATTGTTTATCAACTATTTCATTGAGTATCTCAACCTTCAAGAGTTTCCTTTCGCATTAGCTCATTTCTCTAAACACCGCGCGACATTTTTATTTTGGTACTGTATGTAGCACTATTTACCTAGTGATTCGATGTTTCCAACCACCCATTCTCTCCAGATTTTCAACCTATTCTGCTTTTTATTCGACTTATTCTACTAATTGGGCCTATTAAACTTATTAAATCTTGACCACGTGATACATATCAATAAGCTCTAAACATCTGATCCTCCATAATGTCCCATTCCAATAGGGAAGATATCCGTGGACAGCTTTCAGATATCCAGCGGAAGCTTTTTGGAGCCAGCAAGGATCGAGCACAAAAATCCATAGTTCCGCCTGAAGGCTCACGTCCCGCTCGCAACCCTGCGTCGGTGTCAGGGCCAGGTCTGAGCTCTGCGGCCGGAGGTTCGCTTCTGAAGAAACCGGTAGCAACTTCCAACTATTCCAACCGCAATACATTGATACCACAGGCTCCGCCTGCGTTGGGCCCCGAGCTGAAAGGCGGTGACATGAACTTCATGGTTGATTTGAGTGAGAATTTGCTTTTCGAGTGTAGAAGATGGCGTGCCGACAACGCTAAATTGAAAGCCAAGTTGAAGAGTCTGTATGATGAGATTGCTCAGTACAAGAGCGAGATCGTGGCCTTGACAAACTCCCAGACGTTCGCTCTGAGTCATGAGACAACTTTAAAGGACAAAAACTGGGAATTGGAGACAAACGTTACCGTGTTGAACGAACAGTTGGAGTCTCTTCGTTTGGCCAATGAGAAATTGGTCAAGTCTCACAACGAGTCCACGCTTCGCATCTCTGCTCTCCAGCGTGAGAACGACGAGATGCTGTTGAAAAACTCCGAATTGGCCACGGACTTGCACCACGTTCAGGATCAATACAATCGGGAGGTGACCGACTTTAATTCCCGAATTGAAGGTCTCAACGACGAGAACGATACATTGCACCAGCAGCTTTCTGAATTGAAGGCTGCAGCCGGGAATGAAGCCAGGAAACTGGCTTCAGATGACGACTTCGTTGAAGTAAACCCAACTGCTGAAGATACCACTGATGAGCCTTTGGACTTGGATAGTATCCTCCAGGATACATCTGATATCGCACAACCATCTGAGATCGACCCCAACAATTCAGACTTGATGGTGGAAACACTCAAGGCCAACTTGGACCACTCTAACAGAACCATTGCCAAGCTCAGAGCAGCTCTCGTGAAATTGAAGTTTGACAGTCCATACAAGGACAGTAACAAAACACCAAAGACGAAAAACTTAAAATACAAGGAGTTTATTGCTCCCGCAGCAGAAAGATCTATTTCTTATCTTTCACCAGCCAAGAGAAATTCCAAATTCATCATATTGGATCACGCAGATCCGGAAGACCTGAACGAAAATGACCTGAATGATAAATCTCCTTCATCCGCCAAATGGCCGCAGGAAGAAAACTGGGAGGACTTCATTGGCGATGACATCGACGCCACTCCTTCCAAGCCTTCGCGTCGTATCATAGATGATGATGATGATGACGGAAAGAAGAGTTTGTCCCTGGAGAGTTCTGTCGAGAAGAATACCACACATACCTCGTACTTGCCAGATTCAGACTATTCTGACGAAGAAGTCGATTCTGCTGTCAGAAACAAAAGACGTGTGCTCTCGCAGGAGCTATCCAAGGCTGCTGGTGCTATCACAGAACAGCAGGTCAGAGAGTTTGCAGAGGAAAACAACCTAGTGTTGCTTTCGCTGGAAACGTACTCCAAACTTGAATATAATGACGTTGAGGAGATTCCGCTTGATAGACTTATCAATGTGGTTGAAAACAAGGGCTTTGTATTGCTCAGTAAGCTGGAGCACAGCGATCTCATTGATGAGAAGAGCATGCAGCAGAGATTGGAGGCTCATGGTATGGTGACGATACCATCAGAGGAGTATTCCACTATTCAAAAGAATTCTGAGAAGTACGAGCATCCAGACTTCTCTTATCTTTCTGAGAAGTTGAAGGCATCTGGGCACGAACCTGTAGAAGCGAGCTATTTGGCATCCCTCAAGGAAAATGAGGCGAAGTACCAGTCTCCCTCTGAATCCTACTTACGCACGAAGTGTTTGGCTGCCAAATTACATCCACTCTCTGAAGACGAATACTCTCATCTCAAATCGGTTGAAACTGACTATGATAGGCCCTCCAAGGATTACCTTACTACCAAGGCAAACGAGATGGGATTGATTGTTTCTTCATCTAAATTTTATGACGAGTTGGTCAAAAGGGCCGATAACCCATCCAAGGATGATTTGACAAATAAGGCAACTGCAATGGGCTTCACAATGATTACCAAGGACGAGTATTCGGACTTATCCACTCCATCCATCGAGTCGTTGTTCAAGCAAGCCAAATCTTTCAATCACACGGTGTTGCCTCTGCTGGAGCATGAGACATTGCGGACTTTGGCTCATGAGCCTCCTCTTGAGCATTTGATGACTAAATCGGCAAGCCATAATCATGTCATGGTCTCACAAGACGATTTCAACAAGTTGGCCGATGACTCTTTGGACGCCGTAAAGAAGAAAGCAGCGGAGTTGGGTTGCACCTTGTTGAGTATCGAAGACTTTGATTCTTTACATAAATTAGCTTACTCTCCAACAATTGAGCAATTGAAGGAAAGAGCAAAGGGTTACACAGTTCTTCTGGGAGAGGAATATGATAAACTCAGAAAAGCGGCGAATGCTCCAAGTCTTGCTGATATTCAGAAGCATGCAGAGAATAATGATCTCGTCACCCTTTCCACTTCGGAGTACACAGAGCTATTCAACCAGGCCAACGAGCCAACCGTCGAGCACATCAACGCCAAGGCTGGTGAAAGGTCGCTTGAAGTTATCAAGTCTTCCGAGCTTGAGAGACTTAGAAAGAACGCCGAAAATCCAGACCTTGACCATCTCACCCAAAGGGCTTATGCAATGGGACACTCGATAGTGGAACTGGACAAACTTGAAGAATTGGAGAAAACCGTCAAGACTCCAACTCTCGAACACATGACTTCGAAGGCTAAGCAATTGCAAATGCGTCTTGTTCCTGTTGATGAATACGATGCTCTTTTACACGAGAAAGAGCTGCCCTCTCTTGATTACTTGAAATCAAAAGCAGATGGCCACGAGCATGATATTATATCCAAAGAAAAATTGAATCAGTTGCACAATCCAACAGTTCATGAATTGCAGCTGCTTGCTGAGAAGTTAAATCAGTCTATTATTGAAACTACGGAACTTGAGAAACTTCAGAAATCGGTTAACGATCCAACCTTGGATGATTTGAGAGGAAAGGCTGAAAAGCTAGACTATACACTTGTGGAACAAGCTGTATTCGACAAACTTCAAGTAATGGCGAACGAACCCTCTGTTGCGCACCTAAGAAGCATTGCATCCAAACTGGGATATGCCGTTGTTGAAGAGAATGAGTTGTCGAAATTAAAAGAACTCGCGCACGAGCCACCTCACGAACACATTGTGTCCCGTGCAGAGGCTGTAGGCTTGAAAGTCATTCCTACTGACGAGCACGACAAATTGGTCCTTTTAGCAGAATCACCAGATATTTCACACCTTTCCAATATGGCAGGGAAGCATGATCATGTTGTTATCGGCAAACTGGATTACGACAATCTCAAGAGTATTGTCGATGAACCGTCGATCGATCACCTAATGAATAAGGCAGAATCTCAAGGGCGCATACTTGTCAAGAAGGAAGACTTTGAGCATCCATCTCGTGAGTATTTGGAGGAAAAAGCAAAGAACAAAAACTTAGTATTGCTTTCTACAGAAGATCATGACAACATGAGGCTGCAACTTGAGCAGCCTACTCGTGACTATTTGGAGAAAAAGTCGAAGAATATGAACATCGTATTACTTGATTCTGACAAGCACGAGAATTTGCAGAGACAAGTTGAGCTGCCATCTCGTGAGTACTTACAAGACAAGGCCAAGCTTCACAATTTGGTTGTTATGCATTCTGATGATCATGAATCCTTGAAGAAGCAAATTGAGCAACCGTCGCGTGACTTCTTGGATGAAAAAGCAAAATCACAAGGCTTGGTTCTCGTCTCGGCTGATCACCATGATGAAATGAAGAAACAATCTGAAAATCCATCTCGGGAGCATTTGGAAGACAAGGCGAGGTCTCAGAATTTAGTCGTCATCTCATCTGAAGTTCATGACACGTTGAAAAAGCAGGCTGAAGACCCATCTCGTGAGCATTTGGAGGACAAGGCGAGATCCCAGAATTTAGTCGTCATCTCATCTGAAGTTCATGACACGTTGAAAAAGCAGGCTGAAGACCCATCTCGTGACCATATAGAGGCAAAGGCAAAAGCACAGAATTTGATCGTCCTTTCTTCCGATGATCATGATTCTTTGAAGAAGCAAGTGGATTTTCCATCTCGTGAATACTTGCATGATAAGGCGAAGGCTCAGAATTTAGTTGTTCTCACTTCCGATGATCACGAGGCTATGAAGAAGCAGTTGGAACATCCAAATCGCGAATACTTGGAGGATAAGGCTAAGGACAACAATTTGGTTGTTGTTGATTCTGAAAGATATGATACCTTGTCCAAGAGCTTCGAGCAGCCTTCCAAGGACTTCATTAAAGAAAAGGCATCTGTGCATGGCTTGGTTCCTTTACCAATTGAGGAGCATGAAAAGTTGGTTCAGACGTTTGAAAACCCATCAACGGAACATATTCAGAAGTCTGCTGGAGCTAAGGGTTTGACTGTGATTCCACATACCGAGTACGAGAAGTTGAAACGTGAGGCCAGAGATCCGACCCAAGAAAGCGTTATCGCCAAAGCCCTTGGTCTTGGACTTACTGCTGTCGCTACCGCTGAATTTGCCACAATGAAGAGAATGACCACCAATCCTACAATTCCGGAACTCACACTGGTTGCTCTAAAGTCAAATCACCATGTAATTCCAGTTCCCGAGTACGAATCGTTGAAGAAGCTTGCCTATAGTCCTTCTGTTGAGCAGATACAAAAACATGGTGAAAAGCATCAACATGTTGTGGTACCAAAGAAAGAGATCGAGGAGCTCGAAGGTCTCGCTTACAAGCCTTCAATCGAGCATATCCAAAGTAAGGCTAAGGACCTCGACAGCGTTGTTGTGCCTAAGAGCGATTACGAATCAACTACCCTACTCGCTCAACGGCCATCGATAGACCATATCAAGGAGAAAGCAGAGAATTTGGGATACGAGATTTTGCCAAAACAGGACTTGGTCGACTTGCAATCGCTTGCACAAACACCACCGGTAGACCATATTGTGTCGATAGCTTCAAAGCAGCATGACCACGCTGTCATTCCTAACTCTGAATTGGCTAATTTGAAACTGTTAGCGCATGAACCTTCGGTGAATCACTTGCAGAAGGTTGCCGTTAAACATGGCCATGTGGTTGTGCCTGCGGTTGACTTTGATAATCTCAAGAAGACTGCGGAGTCACCTGGAATTGAGCATCTCCAACAGAGGGCCATCGCTCAAGACCACTTGGTTATTTCCAAATCAAAGCATGAGAAATTGTCCGAACTTGCATATTCCCCGGATGTAACTCATATCCAGTCGGTAGCAAAGGAACGCAATCTTACTACTTTGAGCGAGGATCAACATGACCAGCTTGTAAAGTTGGCGCATAACCCAGAGGTTGAACATGTCAAGACACATGCTGAGAGGTTGGGATTGGAAGCTGTGGATAAAGACGAGTTGCTCAAGATGAAGAGAACTATCGAGGATCCAACTTTGGATTACCTCACGCATCATGTGGCCTCGCATGGATACATTGCAGTTCCAAGCAAGGAATTCGAAACCCATCTCGAACATGAAAAGAGAGCTAAAAACATGAAACTCGTTCCAAACGAAGAATATGACAGATTGAACGGTATTTGCACTGATCCTCTGCTCGACTTCTTGAAAGAGAAAGCACAGAAATATGATTCATCTATTATTGAGAACTCCAAGCTTGAGAAGTTAAGAAGCATTTCCAGTGATCCAAGTCTAGACTTCTTAAGTGAGCATGCTGAAGCCAGCGGTTACAGGTTGGTGAAGCACACGGATTATGATGATTTGAAAACATCTGTTGAGCATCCTTCGAAAGAATACTTGGATAATCAGGCTTCGCTGCTAGGCTTGAAGTTGGTTGAACAAAAGAAACACGATGACATGTCCAGTTTAATGGAGCATCCAACTAAGGAGTTTTTAGAAGAGAAGGCTGATGTCCAGGGTTATAAGTTGGTCGAACAGAAGGATTATGATGAGATGACTAATCTTCTTGAACATCCAACCAATGAGTTCTTGAGCGCAAAAGCTGCTTTGGGAGGTTTCAAATTAGTGGACCAAAAGGAGTTTGATGACATGGCAACCTTGGTGGACAGTCCTTCCACTGAATTCTTGACTGAAAAGGCTGCTACTCAAGGATACAAATTAGTTCAGCAGAAGGAGTTCGATGAGATGAGCGAGATAGTAGAGAATCCATCAACCAAGTTCTTGACCCAGAAGGCTGCTTCTGCGGGCTTCAAATTAGTTGACCAAAAAGAATTCGATGATATGGCCACTTTAGTGGAGAGTCCTACCACTGAATTTTTGTCTGAGAGGGCAGCTGGTCAAGGCTTGAAGCTAGTTGAACAGCAGAGCTACGATGAGATGATTAGCACTGTGAAAAAACCGTCGACAGAATTCTTAATTGAGAAGGCGCTTTCACAAGGTTATACCTTAGTTCCGAAGAAAGATTACGATGATATGGTCACTCTTGTTGAGCAGCCTACCACTGAGTATTTGACTGACAAGGCTATGTCTCGAGGTTACGCTTTAGTTGATAAGAAAGACTACGATGAGATGACAGTCGCGTTACAAGACCCAACCACAGAGTTCTTAACTGAAAAGGCGGTGTTGCAGGGTTATACTTTGATTCCAAAGAAAGAATATGATGAGATCACAGCCACCGTGGAGAATCCTTCGAGGGAATTTTTGGTTGAAAAAGCTGAGAATAGTAAGTTGACCCTTATTCCAGTGGAAGAATTGGCAAATCTCAAGAACCAAGTTGAAAAGCCGTCATTACAGTACCTCCAGGAGAAAACCCTCGATCACAACCGAACCCTCGTCCCCACTTCAGAATACAAGTCATTGCTTGCCACTATTGATGAGCCTGATGATGAGTACCTAAAGCAAAAGGCAGCATCCAAGGACTTGTATATTGTTCCAAGGGCGGAGTACAACAGCTTGACTGAGAACTTGGAAAAGCCTAACATTGACTATGTGAAAGAAAAAGCTAGGGGTCACAACCATGCCGCAATTCCGAATGCGGAACTAAAGAAAATGCAAGATACAGTTGCTGCCCCATCGCTCGAGTTCTTGAGAGAAAAGTCCCAAACTCTTGGTTTCCAAGTGGTGGAAACGTCTGAATTTGAGCGCTTGAAGGATCGTGATAACAGAACAATTGAGCAATTGGCATCCGAAACAGGACAGGTGGTAATTGACGGTGAAAAACTCCGTCACTTGCAGGAAGAGGTTGAAAATCCATCGCTTAATTTCCTAAGCGAGCATGCTCGCGCGTTAGGATGCATATTGGTTCCTGAAATTGAGTATAATTCTACCGTGAAACAGGCGCAGGAACCTTCAGTTGACCATATAACGGAAAAAGCAAGTCAGCTCGGATATTCCATTTTGTCACATTCTGCCCATGAATCTTACCTTGAACCGCTCGAGAAGAAAATCACACAGGCAGGATTGATCGCTTTAACCAAAGAAGACCACCAGAAATTATTAAGTCTGATTGAATCCCCAAGCCTTGACTACTTGAACAAAAAGGCTGCTGAGCAAGGCCAATTGATGATCTTCAAAGACAAGTTTGAAGCTCTTCGCAGAAAGGCTGCCCAGCATGATGAGGCAAATGCCGCAGGCATGGTTTCGATTGCAAGACCTCAGTTCGATGAATTACAGACCAAGAGCGTGGAGTTCAGTGACTTCAAAAAGAGACTTGATGAACCATCTCTCGAGTATATCCAAGATTCTGCCGACAAGTTGAGTCTTGTCGTGTTGTCGCGTCCTGATTATGACAAACTCAAAGAGAGCCTGGAGCAGTCCATTTTTGACAGAGCTGCCAGCTTGTCAATGGTTGCTATTCCTGCTGAGGAGTTCAACGTGTTGAAAGCTAACGCAGAGAAAACCCTTGAGGCAAGAGCAGCTGAGGAGAATATGGCTCTTTGTAATCCAGCGCAACTAGACCAGTTGAAGAGAGAATATGCCTCACCATCATTTGACAAAATCAAACAAGTGGCAAACGCAAAGGGTTACACATTGATCGCTGCCTCGGAACTCGAAGAGCTACGTAACCAAGCTTCTCAGCCTATTGAATCGAAGGCTGCCTCTCTTGGAGTGGCATTGATTCCCGTCTCTCAGTACGAAAGTATGAAGCTCATGATGGACAATCCTTCGACTCAGTATCTTGAGTCAAAGGCAGCTGCTAAGAAGAAGGTCATTATCGATGAATCCTTGTACGAAGAGTTGAAGAATGACCGTTCTCTCAGCATAGAAGACAGAGCAACGAACGCAGGTCTTGTTGTGCTCCCAGTTGAAGAATATGCTGACTTGCACTCCAAGGCCACAGAGCCATCCACCAAGCATTTGCAGAAATCTGCTGCAGCTCTCGGCTACAGTATTATTCCAATAGCTGAATTGAGTACACTCACAAAGCAAGCCAACAGAACTTTGGATGATCATATTCAGGGCACAAATCTCAAGACAGTTGATGCAAAAGAGTATAACTCATTGCTCTTGAAGGCCAACAAGCCTTCGATCCAGCAAATCACTGCTCTTGCAGAGAAAAATGGCTTGGCCGTTGTGCCAAAAGAAGAACTTCTGGCATTGCAAAACGATGCAGCTGAGTCTCTTGAAACCAAAGCACGTCTAAGGGGAATGGTTCTCGTCCATACCGACGAATATGAATCCCTTTTGGCTCAGCTTGATAAGCCTTCTGCCTCTCACTTGAAGGAGAAGGCGCTAGTGGCCGGCCTCTGTGTCCTTACCGCGTCTGAATATGAACAACTCAAGGACAATAAGCAGGCAGACATTTATGATCTTGCAAAGGAAGAAGGGCTTGTTGTTGTTGAGGCTGGAGAATACAAGGCACTTGTGGATGACTTGGCGAATGCCAAACGTGATGCATTAACTCTTGACGATGCAGATAAGTTAGATCTGGTCAAGAGTAAGCTCAGAGATGGTGGATTCGAGGTCATGACAAAAGAGAAGTACGCATTCATGAATACTAGCTCGGCTATCGACCCGGAGAAACTTACTGAGGCTGCTGAAAAGAAGGGAATGATTGTTATGTCTGAAGATGCTCCTTCTCAAGGTGATATTCAGAGAATTGTCACATTATTGGAAAACAGAGGTTACAGTGTTGTTGACAAGAGCGAAGTCCAAGGTGGATTTGCTGATGCTGCAGAGGAATTCCACTTGAATTCTGAGGAATTGGCGAAGAGCGCTGACAGATTAGGAATGGTTGCTCTTGACAAGAAGACATACGCCGACTTAGTAGCAGGATCTGCTCCCCAAGATCATGAGTCTTTAAAGACTGCTGCAACTGCCCTTGCGATGTCGGTAGTGCCCAATGTTGAACTCATGAAAATGAAGCAAAGTTTGGCTGAGAGCAATGCGACAATTTTCAACTTGAAAAAGAAGACACCCAATGCGGAAATGACGAGAGAAACTCTTCTCCAGAAGCTGAGATCACTTGGACTCATCACCCTTGACAAGAAGGAGTATCAGGCGCTCAAAGATCAGAATGCGAAGAGTGTGTCATCGGGAGTTATGACCGAAGAAGATGTTAGAGCTAGGGCGGGAGATTTGGGTCTTTCTGTTGTTAAGGCTTCAGAACTCAATGCATTGAAGCGCTCGTCTCTTGTGTTTGAGGATAAAAAGATGTTTAGAACTGCAGCAAAGAAGTTTGGATGGCTCTGTGTCCCTGAAACTGCGTTTATTCCAACTACAGTCCAGAGGCAAGCCGATCCAGACAAGGTGACGTTGGTTCCAACCACATATTATAACAAGTTGTACCAGAGTGATAGCTTGAATATTGAGAAAGTTACCGATGATGTTTTCAGGCAGTATGCACAGAAGAGAGGCTACAGACTGGAGGTCGACTCTGCGGAGCTCAGGACTCCAATGGTCCCTCCAGATGCAGATATCGATTCGTTGAACCTCTCGCCAGTGAGCGCAGACAAGGTGACTCCATTGACGAACCAATTTGCACCAAAGGTTCCAAGGTCTCAGTCCACAACATCACATCTCTCCACGCAATCCAAGGGAGGCAGTCTAATGAACTCCATCACAGGCATGTCGATTGCTACTAACATTTCGTTCACAGACAGATCGATGATCCCAGCCATCACACAAGTGGTGATTGGAGAGTACTTGTTCAAGTACTACCGTAAGCTTGGCCCATTCAGCTCTATTTCCGCTGATCGTCACGAGCGTTACTTTTGGGTGCATCCATATTCGTTGACGCTCTACTGGTCTTCGTCTAACCCTGTGTTAGCTAACCCAGCAGATGTGAAGACCAAGGCGGTAGCTATCCTTAGCGTGGAAAGTGTGGATGACAACAACCCACTCCCCACGGGACTTTATCACAAGTCGATTGTGATTCACTCTCAAACCAAGACTGTAAAGTTCACGTGTCCAACTAGACAAAGACACAACATCTGGTACAATGCATTGCGGTACATGGTGAACCGCAGTATCCATGAGCTCGACTTCGGACGTGGAGCCAATGCGTCGTACCCACACAACCGCACTCCGCCTGATGATGATGTTCCTGAGTTGGACTTTGAGTCATCAACGAGACATGCCTTCCCCAGATCATCCACGGTGCTGCGCAGTTCTTCGAACAGAAGATTCAATAGTCTCAAGCCATAGAGAAGAAAGGTTATGATTGGAAAAGCCAAGTGATGGCATAACGATATGTAAGGCTACAAATAAACAAGTATTAAGATGACGTTTTTGAGTTAAATCGTAAAGATGTGATGATTCATCCAATTATTCGTTTAGGAAAGTAGTGGAAACCATGAATTGTGTTCGGATCGTATAAAAGTGCAACTACAGCATTCAAGTAGTGGTATAAATTGTAGCCTAGTCATCAAGTATACATCATGTCAAAAAACCATACGCCAAAATAAAGATACGCCCATCTACTTGGCAGCCAACAACTGGGTGAACTCCTGGATGTCAATCTCGCCATCGTTGTTAGTATCGGCCTCTCTGATCATCTGGTCCACGTCAGCATCTGACAACTTCTCGCCAATGGAAGTCAATACGTGTCTCAACTCGGCAGCGCTGATCTTGCCATCGCCGTTTCTGTCGAAAACCTTGAAGGCCTCAGCGATCTCAGCCTCTGAGTCTGTGTCCTTCATCTTTCTGGCCATCATGGTCAAGAATTCTGGGAAATCAATCAGACCGTCGCTGTTGATATCCACCTCGTTGATCATATCAGTCAATTCAGATTCCGAAGGGTTCTGGCCCAACGATCTCATGACCGTGCCCAACTCCTTGGTAGTGATCTTTCCGTCGCTGTCCTTGTCGAACAAGGAGAAAGCCTCCTTGAACTCAGCAATCTGTTCCTCCGATAACTTTTCGGCCTGGAAGTTAGCAGGGGGTTTATGGGTAACGGCCAGCATTGAGTATAGGATTACCTTTCAAAAAAAGAGAAAATTGGATGTTTGTCCAGAGGGATCATGCTGTTATATATCAATGTGCGGAGGGGAAGCCTCGCCACGGCAATTTGCCTATACATACCATGTTTTCGTAGTAGTAGGTTGATATTTTTTTATTTGCTGTTGACTAGTCGCACGAAGTGTCCGGATTGCACGCAGGCGTGACGATACGAAAAGACAGACAGGAATGACTGGCGACGTGAATGGGCAACATAACGGCCAATTCAGCCAATAATTTGCCTGGTTTTTAACTGGATTTGGCTAGGCATGGCTTCTGCCGTAATTTTTGAGTAGGGTGTGACGGAAGGGTTCGACCGGTGGCTTCGGGCCGGTGCTTTCGGGCCGAGAGTTGTGATGTAGGAGATGAATTATACATGACAAGGCTGAGTATATACATGAAAAATGACGTTAATAGAGGGTATGGATAGATGGAAAAGGAAGGAAATGGAGTTTACGATGAAATTTGGTTGAAGCGGTGATTTTCATTGGCCATGAAATCGTGATGGTCTACTGTGAATGTATGTATTCTATTAATAGCATGGGGTTCTATAGATTATAGAAGTAATGGTAAACGAAGAATATTTTGATAGTATTTTAGTTTCATTTTTGATTGGAGGGTTTTAATGGAGGGTTTTATTGGAGGGTTTTATTGGAGGGTTTGAGAAGGTTGTCATGGTTGGCGTGTTTGCAATGGCGTTAAAGGCTGGAATGGTTGTCGAGTTATGTACCATTTCCATGCATCACCAAAATTACCTATAAACAGGGAGGTAATAGGTGACGAAGTCGGATTACACATTTTGTTTCTACTTGCATTATTATTTTTAGTTTTTCTAGACCAGTACTGGAATCTGCATCTCTAATAGTGTTGATAATGCGTACTTCTGCTCCGTAATCGTGTAATCCAATGGTTTGATTTGGTCTGCCCTTCAAACTCTCGGTTCTATATTACGGCAATCAAAATTAGTATCCAACTTTCAGTTACCTGGCCACTCCAATATGGTTTTGATGCTCAATATTCAATTTGAGTACAAATAGTTGCACTCATCTGACAAGTAAGAAGTTTACTCAAAACTTCTCGAAGCTTTCTGGCCAAACTGACTTCTGTCATGAGTATCTTCGGATCACCTTTTAATCCCATTTCAACCCCACAGCTTACATCAAATTTCATCCTTGTTGATAAATTTCTAATTATTCATTGATTCATAAATGCAAGTGGGATCGTCAGCTCCACCTAACTGTCTAGTAGAGGCGGCACATGCTGTCGGAACAACTCTTGCGTTCGCTCCCGTGTAGATCCAACAATATTTCCCATCGGATAATACTCACAGATGGTGTATTGTGACCAAGCATTATTACAGTTCACTATGGCACACCCTAGCTCCAAAGTGGTGTTCCAGATCAACTGGGTAAAGTGTCCCGTCGCTTCGGCAAATCCTGGATCGTTGTAGTTGTAGAGGCTGATTTCATCATACCATGCGTTCACCGGTGACTCTCCTCCCTGGTATCCGGCAGCCAAGTTCTCGCCGTAAGGTCCACCGGAGTGGATCAACTGAACATTGTCACAACTGAAGTTGTTGGCTGCGTAATTGGCTGCGAACCTTGTGAGCTCGTCGTTCCATGTCAAGTTGGGAGATCCATGAAGGCCCCGGAGCTCATTGTGACGGCGTAGAAGTACTCTCTGGATCTCCTCGAGATCTTGTTCTGGAACCGTAGATCCTACAGATGATGACGTGGATGTTTCTGTTGTAGTCGATGAGCCTCGAGTGACCGTCGTTAGAGTCGTCCGTACGACTTGTGTTGATGATCCCACATCTAATGTTTGCACCGCTGATGTTGCTGTCCCCGTAGATGTCCTAGAAGTTCTAGGTCTTGGCTCGGATGGCTCGGTGCTTCTTGACGTCTGGATCGCCCCGAAATAGACAGACACAGGCACCACAACAGCTACCACCACGGCGGAAACCACTAGTAGGGTTATCAAGCCGGCTCTATTTTGGCGGTACCGTCTATTATCCATTGTAGATGGTTGAGTAAGATGGGAGATGAGCAAGTATGCGGATAGAAAGCCTTGTTATATGGAGTGTTTTTCGCTTATGTTTTCTGAGATCTTCTTGCAAGTGATTGTTGCAAGTGCTTTGTGTATGTTTTGCTTCGGAAGTGATCTTTAGATCTTTAGTATATTTAATTGCCAGATCTTGCACTCATTATATAAGAGTAGGCTAAGATTTGTCAGGATTACTACTAGGCGCAGTGTCTTGGCTAGGCAGTGCTGAAGGTACCTGGAGGGAGAATAATAATCCGTGATATGCAGAGAATTTTCTTTTTAATTTCTGATTTATTGACCTGTCAAGCAATAAAACAGTTAAAATTAAGGATTTAGAAGGCTTAAATCTCTCGTAATCTGTTAACTCTGTCTAGTAATAATTTGGTGTAGTTCCTAGTCAATTCTGACACTCATCGGATGGGTGCGAATTGCTGTCTGGGCAGGGACCAATTTCTTAACATTTCTTGTTCCTTGCAGTGTCTTGTTGTCTTGTCATTGCAGACTGTAATGACTTGATTGCTCATGTAAATTCTTGTTTTTTTTTCCCCCCGTTCCCCTTGTGATCTTGCATAAGTGAGCTTGGTGGGGCTGAGAGCCAAGCCCATTACTTTTCTAGTTTGGGAACCTAGTCATTGATCTTTAACGGTGATGATGAAAGTATCCCAATAATTGGTAAATATGGACTTACTGAATTAGGAGAGTACACCAGCACTTCAAAGGTTTTGATTTCATGAATTAATAGTGTCTTTTTCTCCTTCCTTTTCATCTGTCAAAGTCTCACCTCAGCCTCGCACCTCCCACATGAGGCTGAAGGTGAAGGCTGAGGCCCCCTGGTCGGCCTGGGTTGACTAACAATGTAACTTCAAATTGAACACCAGGCTGAGTAAATGAGTTGCCGGGTTTTTTTTTATATGCGGTCTTTGGTATGGAAAGCTTTCGAAATAGATAATCGACTCATTGTTATGTTATGATCGATCTCGATGGACTATTGATGCTGACTTCTTTGATTTGCTACAATAACCCATGATCTGAGGCAATTTGTCGTTATGAGGCTTGATTCTTTTTTTTTGAAACGGTTATAGTAAACCATTGTGAAAGTGTAGGGAGATTTTCTTGTGGATTTTCTATATCAAGGGTTCTGAATAGCTTTAGACCACTATACATTGTGATTTCTGAACTATTTGTAAGTTGATTCAACTAGGATTTACATTTATAGGATTTTACTGTGGATTCATTTGTGTGATTTTCCATGTTTTCGGTTTCTAAGTTCGGTTTAATAATATATCTGTATCAAGAAAAAGCTTTTGTATTGGGTCTATCTCTAGCCAAACTCCGTCAGTCTCTATTCTAGCTGAAGACTATGTGAATAGCCACTTGCCCTTATCATCCCGATTAATTCCATAAACTATTATCAATTCCGTCAGTCTTTCAGAAACATAATTTGACCAACTGAATACATAATCAATATGGTCATCCATTAGCGTTCCTGTCTATGTCTCAAACTAACATATCTACCATATAACCATCTCAATCAAACACTTCTGCACTGATGCTACATGGATGACACATACCAGTCGTTTCTACAGCTGCTAGATAATTCTCAGCTCATCAGTCACATCAACTCGCTCAGTCAGGATGTGCCTCAAGTGATCAACTCTGGCCCTATCACGTCGACTCCACGGAAGCTAGATCTGGTGAGGTCAAATGGGTCAGACCCATTTAACGACGATTTGGACTCAGAACTATTGAAACTTGGAAAGTTATCGTCGCTTACTTCTCTGGGCAGTGTTCCGGGAAATCAGCTTGTTTTAGAGAGAAATGACACTAGTGAAGATGAAATAGAACAGCATGATGAGATAGAACAGCGTGATGAGATAGAACAGCGTGATGAGATAGAACAGCGTGATGAGTTGGGACAGCTTCATGAGCAGAATGGTAGTCCTATGGATCCTCGTAATCTTGGCGACCTTGCTGTTTTTGCAAATAGTAGAGTGCCGGGAGATGTCGATGTACAAAGAACTGATGGTTTGGATATTCCAATCGATCCCCGGGCCGATGAAAAATCCCAAGAAAGTGACCATGACAACACTTACAGCACTGTGGGTGAAAGACACAAGTTTGGAGACTATGGAACGTATTTCCACAACAAGTTTCTCAAGCAGCAAATGGCTGATCAAGCATACGTGGATTGGGACAAGGAACGACGCAGAGCCCTTGGCCAATCTACAGAACCTTCGAAGATCTTTGATGGCTGTATGATTTACGTCAATGGAAACACTATTCCTACTCTAGCTGTAGTGCACAAGTTGGTAATTTTGCACGGAGGAAAGTTTCTTAATTATCTCCACAGCAAGGGAGCTGCAACCCATATCGTTTGTGACCGTCTCACGCCTCGAAAACGAATTGAATACAGAAATTATAAGGTAGTGAAGGCTAAATGGGTTGCTGATTGTGTAGAGCAGGATAAACTCTTGGATTGGAAAGAGTACCGACTCATTGACTCAATTGACTTTGACCAGCAGCAGCTCGGTTTTCAGAAGTTGGAATCTAAAGTGGAGGAGAAACTGGAGGAGCACCTGGAGAATCCAAAGAAGAGTACGGAAATCCTTTTGGGAGAGGATTTGGCTGTCCATCAGATCGAACATGATTTTGAGAATATTTTGGATGAAGAGAATCTACTAAATGAAGAAAACCTACTAAATGAAGAGGATTTCTCAGATGACAATCTCAAGATTATAGAAGATGGACAAGATTTTGGTGGAACGGAAGTGGCCGAGGTCATATTGGAGAAGTCAGATCAGCCACTGGGAACCGTCGACAATGCTGCTGGCTTCGCATCTAAAAACACAGAAATAATTCGTCCACATATTTCGCAGTTGAAAAACGATAGAATTGCTCGACAGCACACAGCAATGGACGCCAAACATCCAGACTTTCTCAAACACTTCTTTGCCAATTCTAGGCTCCATCATCTCAGTACTTGGAAAGCAGATCTACGCTCCAAATTCTTGAGGCTTGTGGCAACTCGCCATAAGCATAAAAAGTCTTCTTCTGACCAAAGGTTAATTCTTCACATTGATTTCGACTGTTTTTTTGCTACCGCCTCTGTGTTATCCCATCCTGAACTTGACATTCTTAAAGATCCAATCGCGGTGTCTCATGGAGGATCATCTTCAGATGTTGCCAGTTGCAACTATGTTGCTAGAAATTATGGAGTTTCCAATGGAATGTGGCTTGGACGGGCCAGGAAACAGTGTCCGGAATTGAAGGTTGTCGATTACGAGTTCTCCACTTATGAGAAATGCTCGACTGCTTTTTACAATTATTTGGTGTCTAAAGATACATTCGACTCCATTTTTCCGGTACTGATAGATGAAGTCTTAGTGGATGCAACTTCAGCTTGTGAAGTCGAAGGCACGATATCGGAAGAAGCAGTGTCAAAGTTAAGCAAGCAAATCAAGTCTGACATTTATGGACTAACAGGTTGCCTGGTCAGTATAGGAGCTTCAAGAAATGTATTGCTTGCAAAATTGGCAATCAAGAAAGCCAAACCAAATGGCTTCTTCCATTTAAGTCACGATTTTGAATCGTTTCTTGATCAAACAAAGGTTAGAGATATCCCCGGTATCGGAAGGAGCTTAAGCTCTCGGTTGGCTGAGGAATTGCAACTTGCCTCTGGTAAGGATATCAAAATTGGAGACGTGAAAGACTTGACTATTTCTAGACTTAGTAATATTTTTGGTGAGAAAACGGGCCAAAAGTTATATGACAATTTCCGTGGTATTGACAAGACAGATATTGCGTTGGACCTCGACACAAGTGAGTCACTTTTGGGTCGAAAATCTGTTTCTGTCGATATCAACTTTGGAATAAGATTCGATACTCATGCTCAGGCGGAAGTCTTCATCATGAGTTTAGCTAAAGAGTTGCATTCGAGAATGATAGATCTTGGAGTGTGCGGGTCGGCGATCTCCTTGAAATTGGCTCGAAGAGCTCCAAATTCACCGGTGAATCCTCCCAAGTTCATGGGAATGGGTTTTTGCAACTTTTTCAGTAAGTCTTCTCGTCTTGGTGTACCTACAAATGATTGGGGTATTATTGGGTCTGAAATGAAGTCCTTGTTTCGAATACTAAATATTCCAGCCCCTGAACTTCGAGGAATAGCAGTTTCCATGACGAAATTGGAAGATGTCAATGCCGTAAAGAAACAGAGACAACAAATTCTACAGTTTGAGAAACCCAAGGCCCAAAAGAAAACAATGAAAGTTGAAGATCCAATTTATGGAGAGACTGTTCAAGGAAGCGATTCGATAGACTGGGATGTTTTCAATGAGCTTCCTGAAGACATTCGGAGAGAATTGAAGCTGGAACTCCTTCGCCGAGGAATCCCTGTGACGAAAAGGGAAAAACTTCTGGCTAAGACCAGCCCGATCAAACAGGATCCAGGTCGCAAGGTCTACATTCAGCAATTGTTTCCCACACAGGTAAATGGGCCTTTCAAGCATACCAGAGTGGTCGAATCTCCGAAGAAGAAAAGACGGATACACGTTTCTCCGACGAAGTCGCCGCTGCCTAGGAAGAGAGAAGATTCACCAACTCCATTCAACCAGACGATTTCATATGATGATGAGGTACTCAACGAAATACCTTCTTCTATCCGAAACGAATTTTTTCACGAATTGGAGTGGCATAGAAATAACAGGCGTTTAGGATACGTTCCGATCAAACAGCGGATGAAGGAACTTGAGGAAGACCGTCAGACAATAGTGGAAAGTGAGATCACTTCTGATTGGATATCTCAACAACCAACAATATCCACCATTTCCCCATTTGCGGGAATGGTCAAATTTAGCGAGCTTCGAGAAGTTCTTGTGCAATGGGTTGGACTGTCGACATCAAGTCGGGGACCACATCCTGAGGATGTTGAAATGTTTTCCAAGTACATTGAAGAGTTGGCCAGGCAGAAAAATATCAATCGATGTTTGGGCCTTCTCAAAGTGTTAAAGAATGAGATAGGGTGCCAGAGCTCTATTGCTCGTATGTCCAATCTTTCTTCGCAGGCGAAGTCAGACATGATGGCGGGGGTAGAAGACTGGAATCTCCACTATACGACTTTGAGAGATGTGGTAGTTTCTATTTGCAAGAACTTCAACATAACAGTTGAGTTTGAGAATTAATTAACGATTTTTATGAGCTTACCACTGATATGATTGTAGGTAAATGATTACTGTTTAGTGTAATTGAACGTCATGCCCAAGTTTTTGGTCCAGTTCTCCCTCCATCTATTGTCGCTCTCATGTAGAGCACCGTCTTTGAGTTTTCCAAGTAAGACTGGGTCGCCCAATGCATTCGAGATCAACCTGAACATTTCATCGGTTTCAGAGACCGCACTATCCTTCTCAGCGTGCGTCACTAGCCCATTGACTCCGTCAGTCACAAGCTCACCAATTGCAGGAAACGAAAGCGTCACCACCGGCACTCCAACGCCAAAGAAGTCCACAATCTTCATTGGAAGATCAATGCCACTCAGCGACGTATGCAAGGAAACTCCCAAGTCAGCTAAAGATAGGATCACCGGATAATCTTCTGAACTGAGCCATGCCGATCTAATTATGACACGGTCCAGGAATTTAAGTGCCTCTACTCTTTCAAGAAACTGGCTTTTGAGTGGACCCTTGCCTGTGACGATCAAGAGAATTGGAGGTAAAGTCTTGTCAGCGAGATCGTATTTCTTGAGCGCATCTAGCAAGATGCCAAAGTCTTCATCGGGAGTGAACGAGGTCGCACTCACTAAGATTTTGTAATTTTGAATATCCTTGATTCCTTCAAAGAGTTCGTGATTGGCCAAAAGTTCCAGTTTAGAGTGTTTCGTTTTGGTCAATGGTTGGAATTGGTTGGCTGGCCTATCATGGAGGACAATGATTCTTCTTTTGTCCATATCAAACTCACTAATCAAGAATTTCTTCATCTGCTTAGTCACGGTGATATTTAGCCACGCAAACTTACCCAAATAATGTTCATAGAGCTTCAAAAACTTCACCAAAGGATGGTTCAAGTTGTTGAATTTCAAATTGAGGATGGTGTAATTCAAATTGTGCCAGTCAATCACAAGTCTCGAGCGGCGGCTGAACAACTTGATGAACACAATCAAGATGGCAAGAATGGGGATAGATGGAGGATTCTGGATCATGAAGTAATCGCTTCCACGAAGCTTGAAAAGGAGCGAGACCAACAGGAAAAACTGCAAGATGATCTTCTTGATTGCAAACACGAGGTATGGGAGCCCCGAGGTATTGGTTACCACTTCAATTGGGTATGTTTCAATGTTGATATCATCTACCACTGCTGGTGGAGGCAGTGTTTCAATATATCCACATAAATTCACATAGAAATCTAGCGATGAGAAGGATAGAGCATGGTAGCACATTCTAGGGGAGTGTCCCAAGTCTCCTAGGACGATAATCGACACCGTTTTCCGCTTTCCGGCCGGTCCATTGAATGTTAGAAAGGGAAGAATTATGTAGATGGAGATAGGTATGGAAAGGTAGATGGCAATGATCCACCAAACATAGGGTCGGGAGAACAGAAAGTAGTACTCCAATTGTTCTAGACCGTAGTCAGACATGATGGGAGGAAAAAATATGACACAACTCTGTTTGTTTTAAACAAACGTTGAATATTGGATGTAAAAAGAAAGCTCCGCGACGGGGAATTGAACCCCGGTCTACCGCGCGACAAGCGGTAATTCTAGCCACTAAACTATCACGGATTTGATGAAAAAATAATTTTACCCTGTATATATGACTTCAATTTTGTAAGTTTTCTGAGAGGTACGGGTGTAGATTTACACAGTGATTCGATTCCAAGTTAAGTTTGAAGGCAACATCAGATGTTCAAGAAAAGAAATATTAAAGTAGCATCGAAACGACGAGCCGAGGCCGATTCTGATGGTGAAAATGACCAGCTTTCACTGATGCCTTCTAAAGAAGTGTCATTTAAGAAGGTGAAGATCAAGCCGAATAGAGAAGCGACTCACAACGAAGGCAAAAATGCCAATGAAGAGGAAAAAAACCGGATCAAAGCAGAAGATGATATCGATAATATCACCGTGGCTAAATTATCTGGCCCAAAAGTTCCCAAGAACATCCGAGTGACCACTCTCACGGATTTTCAGCCAGATGTTTGTAAAGATTTCCAGCAAACGGGATACTGTGGATATGGAGACACATGTAAATTTCTTCATATTCGAGATGAGCTGAAACAAAAGAAACCTATAGATAAAGAGTGGGAGACTGTGGACAAGAAACCAAAGGACAAAAGCGAAGACACTCTGAAGCCATTCAAGTGTCCAATTTGTAAGGAGAAGTATCGTCAGCCCGTTAAAACACAATGTGATCATATCTTCTGCCAAAAGTGCTTTATGAATCGATACAAGGTAGAGAAGAAACCGAAATGCTTCATATGTAACGTGGATACTGGAGGACTGGTACAACCACTTCTGAAGCGAGAAAGGGAGGAGCTTGAGAAGAGCAATGAGGATTGAGCTGAGGATTCCAAACTCAAGATTAGAAAGTAGAAGGTATAATCGAATTTTACATCCAATATTGACAGCAGATCATAGCTGGAATGATACCACTGACATGTTACCTTGATTTGAACCATTGACAATAGCCGTGTCACATAATAGCACCCACTAGGGATTTGCCAGCATAGATTAATTAGTAATGACAACAAATGAACGACTATTGTACCTTTCTTAAAAATCGTTGGAATGCCTCCGGCTATAGTGGAAGCCATTATGAAGGACTATAATATAATGTACACATAACTTAACCGTTTGGATGACTCTACAGACGCCTGTTTCCGTGGAAAATTCCGAAATTATTTCCTCATGATTTGATTATTCTGGTTGAATTCTTTTCATATCCCTACGCGCTCCCGATCCTATTTTAACATCACTGACCATGGCCCAATTCCAACAGCAACTTGAAGGTGTTCCAGGCTACGATATGGGCATGGACCTATTTAATGAATACGCCGAGAAACATTTCAACAATACTGATCCATTTGAAGATTCAGAAGGAAACAAACGAAAATTAACTACTGGGTACAATTCTGAACATGAGAAAAGAGCATGGAAACGTGTGCAATCTCTGGCATGGGAACATGATAAGTGTTTTTTGGGATCTTGTGGTGTAGGACTTGATTGTGGCATCGGCCTAGTGCCAATCATGGTGTTCCTCTTCCCTGGAGTGGGACCTTTAGCCATGTATGTTGTCCATTCTCGACTTATTCATAAAGCAGAAGAGAATGTGCATCTTCCGAGCACTTTGGTGGCCAAGATGCAATCAAATATATTGCTTGACCTTCTATTATCGCTACCGCCAGTCATCGGGGCATATCTCTCATGGATGCACGGGTGCCTGACCAGAAATGCTGGAATGTTTTATGTATATCTAGAATACTTGGCGAAAGAACGTCAGAGTGGTCGTTTGCCCCAGTATGAGGGCACTAGGTTGGAAATGCATAACATGTATGCTGGGACTGCTCGAGAGCAGAATTATGCAAGGAACCAGCCAAATAATAGCATCCAGTCTAGCAAGCAGAAGAAGTCGAAGAAGCTGTCAAAATACCAACCTATGGAGTCTATTGAGGTCGGTGTTCAACAATCTGGGATTCGTTAACTGGAAATTATAGCTTTACTCTGTTTGATTTTCAGAATCAAACATTAGTTTGTCTGTTAATTTAACGAAGCTTTTATTCACCTTCACAATCGCAGTGATTGCCTCAATATTCATCTCATTGATCTCGTTGATTTCTTTCATGTCATCCACAAAAATTCACAGTAAACTCGAGCATTAATGAACACAAAACAAAGTTTATAATGTAAGAATGTAACCTGCCAATATTTCGTAACCAACGGTCTCTATTTTCACATTCACTCGTCCCTAGGTTGTAGTCTACAACGTGGTGCCTGCAGTCTGATCTATAACTACCATATTCTTCTTACTCCATGTACGAACGTCCCGAAGGAATTGAAAATTGCAGAATCTGGGTAGATGGATGCTTTGATTTTGCACACCATGGTATGTTTGTCATTTTTTTCCGGTTAGAAAAGAGCCCTCTTTTGTCCATTCTCTAGACAACAAAATCACTAACGTCCAGGCCATGCTGGTGCTATGCTCCAGGCCCGTCAACTCGGCAAAGAATTATATGTGGGTGTTCATACTGATGAAGATATCCTATACAACAAAGGTCCGGTCGTGATGAAGCTTGATGAGAGAATGACTGCTGTTCAGGCTTGTAAATGGTGCACTAAGGCAGTAGAGGGTGCTCCATACGTTACAGATCCCAAATACATGGCCGACCATGGATGCAAGTACGTTGTCCATGGCGACGACATAACTACTGATGCAAATGGCGAAGATTGCTACCAAGAAGTCAAGGATTTAGGCCTCTTTGTTGTGGTCAAAAGAACCCCTAACATCTCTACCACTGATCTCGTGGGCAGAATGCTCTTGATGAGCAAAAATCACCACTACAACTCCATAAAGTCGCTAGCAGGCGTCGAAACACATCCTCTCTTTGCCAAAGATGGCCACTTGGATCGGTTCGTTCAGTATGCTACTGACAGTACAGGACTTACTAAAGGGTCTGGAGTCTACGTCAATGTGGACGGAGAGCCATCATTCAAGACAGTTGTGGAACCTTCCGAGGCCATTGATGCCAAATTCAAGTCCAATATCGTATATGTGGACGGAGGATTTGACTTGTTCCATCCAGGTCATGTCGAAGCTTTGCGTCTTGTTCGTGAAGAGGCCGAAAAGAGAAACGCAGCAGTGGTGGTGGGACTCCATGACGACAGGGTTATCAACCAATACAAGGGACTTAACTATCCCATCATGAATCAGTTTGAGCGTGCGTTGTGTGTTCTACAGTGTCGCCATGTGGATGCTGTGGTGATTGGTGCACCATACGTTCCTACCACGGAGCTTTTGGCTAAATTCACGGGCCAGGTGTCTGTGGTGTTCCATGGCCCCACTCAGATTGATGAGGGGGTTTACGATAATGTCCTCTCCGTGTTTAAGGAGATTGGTCCCCACAAATATGACGAGATGAACACAGAGTTTATTGTCAATAGAGTGTTGAGCAACAAGGCAGCTTACGAGGAAAGACAACGCCGCAAGGGATGGAAGGCTGAGGTAGAGCAGAAGTTGAGAGTCGAGGAATTAAAGGCTGGAGAGCAGAAGAGACAATAGGTTTGACTAAGCTTTCGACACTAGATTGGACCCTATCAATACTAGACTATCAATAATAATATCCACCAAATTCAACAATACAATTAACACTAAGGCAAACTAGATATACAAATCTACGTATTATCTTCTCGATTAAATCATGCTTATTCTATGCTATATCGTTATTTCGTATCTAATTTTTCATCTTCTCGTCACATTTCTCGGTTGTCTCTTTGATCAACTGCTCATTCTGTGCGTGATTCGAGTTTCTTCTGGCCGATTTGCCAAAAAACTCTTGACCTGCCATTTCCTCCTGGTCTTGCAATTCGTCACCGGGCTTTCCCCAATTGAACTTGCCGTTACCATTCTTGCTGACCTTATTTGGATCCATATCGGCATGTCCATTGTGAGTAAAGTATTTCTGCTCAGCAGCACCTTCATGCACGGTCCACTTGTGAGTTCTGGTCATGATGGATATATAGTTTGTGGTTTGTAGTTTGAAACTTGTAGTTCTTTGAAGTTTGTGTTTGTAATCTGCAATTTGCAATTGTTAGTGGATTGACAATTCTGCCAGGCATATCGCCATTTTTATAGTGGTCCATTTAACCTGGTCATGACCTTGTGGGGTACGATTTCCTGCACTGGCCGCACAACACTATGGGGTGACTGGCCAGGCTCAGTGGATAGGTGTAAGTGAGGTAATCGGCAAGTGGGGTGAGGGGGGAAATGGCATGGATACGTAGGCTGAGAGATTATGACTGGCTGTCACTTGCAGTTGTGACTGTGTAGTGGTTGCAAGTGGGTGTTTCAAGATTGATATCGATGTTCACTGTTGCAATGTCAATTGTAGATGTTAATTGACATGAGAAATTCTCAACTTATCCATATATTCAAATGAGTTCCTTAAATCAAATTTCAGTTATTTCTTCTGGTTTCAGATTCGGGATTTCCAGTCATTTTCCCTGGATTTTCCACGAGTTTCCAACTTCCATGGTTCTACGCCATTCTGCCGGACATCCATGCGTGACTCGTGAGTCAGCGAATATTCTGTGGTCCAAGTGTCGTCAGCCTTTTCGTCGAACTTGGATTTTCGCCCAGTTTGGGATGAAAATGTTTCCAAAAAGGTTTCCTTTCTATGTCGTTAATTTCTATTTTTTCCTGATATTTCTATGTTCTTAATTCCAGAGTGGGTTTGCTCGTAAATGTTTCCATTTCCTCAAGATTCTTCCTCAATCTTTCAGAAATGTAACTTTATTACATCCACCAATTAACTCATAATTCTTCAAACTGTCTGCCAAAAATCCTAAAAGCTTGAATTGACTAAAACTTGGCCCAATTCTTGAACAGTACATCATGAATATCTTAGAAAGTCCCAGTCTAAACACTGTCAGCTTCCTGCAGACATTTGCCATCTTCTTTACCTTCTGTATCTGTCTGCATTACTCGATAAGTTAATGACTGATGATATTCGTCATGAAGAGCTCGGGTCACTCGAGGCTATCTACCAAGATGACATAGAGGTAGATCATCTGCTGTACTCAGGGAAGATATATATTCCCATAAAGATCGAGAATGGAATCAACATTCACCTTCTCCAAGATCACATAACCAAGAGATCTTCAAAAGTTCATTTTCTTCCACCCATAATCTTCACCTTCACGCTACCTCAGTATTACCCCTACGATGTTCCACCTATATTTGATGTGACCTCTTTGACTATCTCGAAACCAGAAATTTCGAATTTGAAAGCGCAGTTGCTTAATCAATGGAGGGATTCTAGAGATCAGATCCTCTTCAGCTTGATCGATACATTACAGGAAAAGGCCGAGTCGATGTTCCAACTGGCTGGCCAGTTGATTGAATGCACAGACATTGAGTATGAACAGATAATCGAGTATGACAACTATCTGAAGCAGAAGGAATTTGACAAGTCAACTTTCACTTGTGAGATCTGTCAGGATGTTACGAAGGGTGACAAATGCGTGCAATTCGATCCATGCATGCACATTTTCTGCATTGCATGCGTTGAAAACTTCTTTATTTTTCTCATAAACGATGGAGAGGTGGAGAAGATCCACTGTCCAGATTTCAACTGTGGAAAGAAGTTTCTTGAGGTCCGCGAGAAGTATTTGCGACTCGACAATATTGAAAGTGAAAAATTTGACTTTGAGGAGTTTAAAACCCAGCTCATGACCCCTCCAATAACTCTTTCTCTACTCCAGAGAATCTTGGGTGATGGTGTCGGTGCAACGTTGTTCAACAAGTACTTGACGCTCTTCACCAACCACCAAAACGCACTTATAGCCAAGCTATTCCCAGAAAGGCTTGTTTCATGTCCTCGGGAGAAATGCCCTGCCATGATTTTCAGAGAGAGCATGACCAGTCGACTAGTAATCTGTCGAACCTGCGACTATGCATTTTGCAATATTTGCCGTAAGTCCTACCACAGTGATAGCATTGACTGCTCACGCAAGTACACTTCTAAACAATATGGGGGAATCCCCATTGAGGCGCTTGAAAAATGGATTCTGGCAGAGAAAAATTCTCGAGATCGTGATGTGTTACGCTACAAGTATGGATCTGATCTTCTTGTCAAGGTATCCCATGAATACACTATGGATAAGCTATTTACCGATATGCTTCTGGATACATCACAAGGCTTTTCGAAATGTCCAATGTGCGACTTGATCATCCAACGTCTGGAAGGATGTAACAAGATGAAGTGTTCTTCGTGTGCTACATTCTTCTGTAATTTATGTGGGTGCTTTTTGCCTTATGATCATCCATACGAACATTTTAATACTCCTGGCAGTAGCTGCTATGGAAAATTATTTCATGGAATGGTAGGCATGGAAGACATAGCTGACTAGTTACATCTCACGAGAGCATATGAGACGTTCTAAAATAGAAATTTATACGACACGGTAATTGAAAAAACATTCTCATTTAAATATTCAGCAATAAATTAATTTTTGAAATTTTCGGCTCAATCTTGATTCCAATACTCCAATGATATTCTCCAGCCTACACGCAGTATACGATCTATCACCCTAATCATGAAGTTAAGAATAGCATGCGTGCAATTCAGTCCCACGTTAGGCAAAATCGAAGCCAATATTGCCAAAGTCAACAAGCTATTGTCAGGAGTTAAGAAAGATATCGACTTATTGGTTTTGCCGGAACTCTCACTCACTGGGTACAACTTCTCTTCACCCAATGAAATAAATCCTTATCTTGAGGTAGCTCATTCCGGGCCCACCTTCAACTTAGCATCTGAGCTTTCTTCTAAGTTCAGATGTACTACCATCATCGGATATCCAGAGAAATTTCAGAACACCACTTATAATTCTGCCATGGTGGTGAATGAAAGTGGCCAGTTGATTTACAACTATAGAAAGACGCATTTGTACGAGACAGACGAGACTTGGGGATGCTCCGAAAACCCCGAAAGGAATTTTTCGCCAGTGACGTTGATGCTTGGTGCTGAGAAGAAGCCTGTGATCACCAATATTGGCATCTGCATGGACCTCAATCCATACAAGTTCGAAGCACCTTTCAACGAGTTTGAGTTTTCAATACTGTGCTGGAAGAACGGCTCACAATTGGTAGTGGTGCCTACGGCGTGGCTTTCGTCTGAGTCACCATCAATCAAAGAACTGCTCAGTATTGAACAGAAGAAAGAGGAAGGGAAATCGTGGCAGAAAAAACTAGAATTGCTAAAAGACAGGGCAACACCACTGAAGCTGTTGATTGACTACTGGATTATGCGTTTCTTTCCATTTGTTAGACATCCAATGAACGAATTGCCTCGTCGACCTGGAATAACAACAGTGGTCCTATGCAATAGAACAGGAATCGAGGATGACGTTCTATATGGTGGATCCTCGTCAATCATTCAATTCGACGCGGAAAAGCCGGACGATTTCAATATTGACCTGACAAATCCTAGTGTCAATGTGCTTTCTTCGGCGGGTTGGGCATCAGAGGAAGTTGTGTACCACGAGGTAGAGATCTAATAGGCTCTACAATCAGGGGACTATTGGCGAAGTATGATGATAATAAATACCATAATAGTAATATTATTAGAGAAATTCAGAGCGACTTGAGCAATCAGTTTGTCAAATGTTTTATTACAACGATTCGGGCATTTTCTCAAGGACTTACTAGATTCGCTTACATCAGCATCTGTATCGAGGATTATATTTCACGTAGCCCTAAACATAATACATTGCCTCCGAAGCCCTTAAATAAACCATAAAGAGATATCATGATATCTTAGGTTATTATTTTGACAATATTTTGTTCTGTACTCATATTTTTATGGAGTAGTTGTCCCTTACTTGATAGGAACGCTGCTTTTCTTCTATACGATGCATACCCGTGCCACCTTAAATTTAATTACATTTTTTCCGTAAAATAGTCAGGAAAACTTGAAAAAATGCTATGAATCTGTTAAAAATGGTGGAATACAGGGAAAAATTAGAAAGGCTATAAAATACATTGAGGATATAGAGGACAAATTATGGAACCTGTGTTTAAGGCCCCTCTGGCCAAATGGTTAAGGCATCCGCCTCCTAAGCGGGAGACTCCGGGTTCGAGTCCCGGGTGGGGTTTGTAATATTTTTTTTACTAAACCATAAGGAGATGCATGCACTAACAGTATCGAAAAAATGAAATAGAATCAATTTCCATCCTGGTATGATTTTTATTTAATCTATATTTAACTAGAAGCCAAAATTGAAAGCGCTCATATCCGGCTCCTCAAAAGTAGAAGGTGCCGGAGCAACTTTTGTTTCCTTAGGGGCAGCTGAAAACTCCAGGAATAGGTCTTTGGCCTCAGAAGTAACCTCCACCTTATTGCGAACTGGTTCTAAAAACTTCCAATTCTTCATGAGGAGCAAAGCCAAGTAGTCACATCCCATGCGCGAGTAGATTGTCGAGACCTTGATAACGAACTCAAATTCCTCATCAGGCTTAACAGCCCTTGAGCCCTGCAAATAGTTCAGCTTAGAGGAACGAAGATTCTGAAACAAAACAGCCAAAACGGGGTCATCTCTAATGAAGCTCTTACTTTTCGCCTCCAAAACAACTGTTTCCATGGTTTTTTGGAAGTTCTGTGAAAAAGTAGTGACATACTCCTTGACAACATGAATTGGTGATTTGATGAGGGCCTGGATGGAGATTTCCTTTTGCTTCATCTCCCAAAAAACCCAACTGGTCATCCATCTGTCTCCCTTCATTAGAGCATGCGGTAATATAAAGTTTTCAATGATGTGCATTATGGTTTCTTTGTCCGAATTGACTTTAGCAACAACCAATGCAAGTTCAATGTCTCTAACCTTATTGCAAAGAGTAATACAACAATCCCTGACCTGACCAGCAAGTAAGAAGAAGTATGCTGCATCAATATATCTGTGCTTTCCAAGCAAAACAAATGCATTCTTCAGCGCAGCAGTTTTCCATCTGTCTTCTGCAAAATTATTGCTTAAGAACTTGAGAACTTTATCTTTTTCCGGGTGATACACAGTTCTCCATAGTCCCACCAAAACCTGCTTCTTCTTAATCGCCAAATAGAGCACAGAAACTCTTCCCGAGGGATCCCTCGAATCACCAAATTCGTTTCTTGCAATGGTCTCCACAAGATTAGTGAGTCTGTGCTTATCAACCCAGTATGCCAAACCAACTTTTCTCACCTGTTCCCACGACAACCTATGCTGATAAAGATTGTCGACAGTGCTGAAAAGCATCTCTTTTTGATCGCTATGGAGAGCCCAACTAATGTCTCTCATGGGCAAGTGTTTTTGCTTCAGCGATGACTGGAATAATTCTAAACCAAGCAAAAATTTCATTCCATTTTCGTCCATAGAGCCCTTGTATTTAGACAAATTGTTGACGATATTTGTCACAGTGATAAGTGTTGTCTGCTGGTGTCTGGTTAGGAGCGGTAAGGACACTTTTGTAAGCTTTTCAACGAGCAAGTCCAGAACAGTGGAATTGAACTCGTCAAAAACTTCGAAATCCATGCCTCCAACGAAAGAAACTCTTCTTCTCTTCTTGTCGGAGTTGCTATGGAAAACGGCATCCATGAATTCCACCCCAAGATCCCATTTGATCTCGCCATCCGTTCTGAGAACTTGCAACAACTTTACCAAAACTTCTTCTACTAGCTTCACCTCATTCTGAAGCAATGCCTGAATAAGAAATTGCGGATGATACACTGGCAATGGACCGTTGAGAATTCTCACTAGATCAGAAATCATAAAGCTGTTTTGCTTGGGGTCGTAACCAACCATCAACTGTCTAATGGTAGAGTCAATCGAGCGGTTTGACGAAGTGCTGTTGGCATCAGCGAGTTGAACCCATTTATCGTCAATGAAAAATTGATTTCCACTTCCAATAACCATGTACCCTTCGTCAATCCAGATCAGGTCCCCGATCTCATGCGATGTGTAGTCTGATATGTCGATTTTCTTCAACAGCGCAAATGTAGGGACTTTGTTAGTGTAGTCGTATCTGAGTTGCGTATATAGCATAACGAATCGAGGGAAACCAACTCCAAGAATTGCATGAGCGGTAGAGCCCATAGATCCAATGAAAGTCCAGTCAAGATCCCAGATTTTTCCATTCTCTTTTGGGAATGATTCCTCGTACTCAAGATGGCCGGATTTGGTATCCCAGATGGTGAGTTGATCACCCTCTTCATTGACGATAGCCAATTTATTGATCACTGATGCTCCACGAATGTAACTTGCTTTTTCGATGTTCGTGTGGATCTGGGTGATTTGGTTCCATTCGACCTTGTTGCTCTCCTCACGATACGAGACTCCTATCAATCTGAAAAGTCCCGTCTCATCAATAATTGACAAATCTTTCTCCAAGAAAGTGTCAACGGCTGATAGAACAACCTCACCAGAATATTTTCCAGGCAAAACATCCGCCTTGACACTCGAGTAAGAGGGCCTTCCATCAGAGTCAATATCGATCTTCCACGCCTTGATAACACTATTGTCATAAGCACAAATCACAATGTAAGTAGACTTTGAGATAGTATTCAAGAAGAGTGCACGAGGAGCAACCGTGATTTTATCATTGTTTGAGTCCAAAATCTCAATCCTATCGATAAGCTTAGCATCTTTGTCATCCATGGTTTCCCCATCGCAATCCCAGATGCTAAAATATCCACCTTTTTCAACCACGACTGCTATATGGTGTCTCAAATGGCCCTTAGGTTTAGTCACATCGTTGATAAGAATTGCATCAACGATGCCCTGGTTGTGGATGTCATCGCCTTTTCTAGTAACATTGAGACGGAATCTTTTAGTGATCGACATACATTTCTGGTGCCCAGGATCGAGGAACAAAGGCTCCCATATGTAGTTGTGCGAAGGAAAGTTGGAGATAGAAAGCATGATATTGTTCTTGTAGGAAGAGGAGGAAGTCACCAATCTCCGGATTGATTTGGTATGGCCCTGAAACTTATTTTTGAGTATCACATCGGCGTGTCCCGGTCCCTCAATCAAACCTCGGAACGATCCTTCCACAAGTCGAATTGTGTTCTTGAGTCGATCATGCACTAAGTAGGAGATCCTATGAGTATCCTCTAACACAATAGTATTTCCCAAAGTCACCGGATTTGTAGAAAGGTGAAAATCTGCATCAGATGCAACGCTTAGGAGATCATGCAAAGACTCTACCAAGTAGCTAGGAAGACATGTTCTGTCTATGTCCGTCTCGCGGATCTTCTCAAAAAGAACATTGTTGGGGGGATTGGTGTCGATGTTCCAGACCGCATAGGCGACAATCTTAGTGCTACCCAACGCTAGTACCAAATCAAAATTAAACATATTCTTGCCTTCAAAATGTTTCTTTACCTCAGTGTCACTCGTGGACTCTGCTAACTCAGCTATTAGTGTGGATTGTAATTTGACATTTTCGATCACGAGTGCACCCTTGAAATCCGACTTCAAGTCCTTCTTCAAGTCAAGCTCAGCCCACAATTTTAAATGGCTGTGGCCGCTGAAATCGTACGTTGCCCACACATTGAGCACATGATCATTGGTAATGGTGTATAAGATGTCGTTACTTTCGGAGGAGGTAGGCATGTAGCTCCGAATGTTTTTGATATTTGCAATGGATGCCAATACGTCGTCGTTGATTTCTGACGTATCTACTTGCCGTTTCTCTCTCCACTTGAAGCTCAAGAGCCATTTGCTCCGTTCGTGGTCCAGGTATATGAGTTCAAAGAGGGAGTTAGAGTCACCATAGTTAATACGGACGAATACCTTTGCAAATGAGTCGTAGTTAGTGTAGTTGTAGCTGACAATTTTGCTAGCATCAGCAGTGATGTCGATTCCTTCCACAGGGCTGGCTTGTTCTTGAAACCATCGGGAGTTGGACTTGATTTCTCCATATTCAATGTAAAGATGTAGCAAGTGGATACCCTTAGAGGTTCCTACAACCAATTCTTGTTCTGCCACTGCCCACTTCATGCAGAGCACCTCTGTCTCGTCGATATCTAGCCTCTGAGCTTCTGTCCATTTAGGAATTGCCATATACTCGTTAACAGGCCGAAGAGCCAAAACCTGTACTCCATGGGAGATACATATGAGGCCATTGTCGCCATTGATACATACAGCGACGGGGTCTCTATCCAAATAGACAGTTTGAAGGTTGGGATTTCCATTATCGGTGATGGTATATATGATCAAGTTGTTGCCTGAACCATAGGCGATAATGCGGTGGTTTCTCCATTGGGCCTGGTACAGCGAATTTATGGATCGATTTGGGTCTCCAGGCACGAACTGGATAGTCATTTAGGGGAATTTGTGATTAGTTGGTGTAGTATATTGGTTAGAAGATTGTGGGGCCATGCAGGCTGAATGACTGTGGAATGATACGAATAGAGAAAGTAAACTTGAGGATGGTTATGAATATCTTCATTTTGATAATCATAAATGGTATATTTGGTGTATTTGATGTATTTGGATTACTTTACGTGGATTTGGAATGCTTTTGGTTAGTAATTGGTTGAATACATTCGAAGACTGGTCATTTCAATTTGGCTGCGAGAGATCATTGGTTGTGGAAAATACAAAGGCAGAGACAACCTAAAAACACTAAACGGACAAATATACGTATACATATGCATACATTGAAAATAGTCAAAATATTGAAAATAAAATAATTTTTAAAATTCTACACCTCATTTAGTAACTCTTATCTCAAATCACTGTTCATTATTACACAAATTCCTAGACCTTCTCAACATGAGACTTCACAGTCTTAACCTCGTCCTCTCCCAACAAATCCTCAATTCCATCTTCCTCGGCAGAAGTATGGTCGGTGATCTTGAACAAAATCAAAGGTGCAGCAATTATCATAGTTCCCTGGATCAAACCCCAAGAACTAGCAAACAAAGCCATGTATGAAATCAGCATAGCGTCCAATCTCCACACAATGGCAGCAAAAGCAGATTGCAAGGACTTGTAGAAAGAGGCGTAAAGAGCAACCTTCTTAGGGTTGTTGGAGAAAGTACCCAAGATCCAGAAAATGAAAGATTGGAAGATAGCGTCGTGGGCTCCGTAGAACATGTACAAGAACATTGGACCAATGTATCCATCGTCGTGAAAGTCGATGAGCTTCTTGTCGGTCACATTTTCTCTGGTAACACCCAACTGGAACTTCAAGCCTCCGCCCCAGATGGCCATACCGGTGAAGAACACAATGAAAAATCCAATTCTTGCACGAACGGATCTTCTCCACTTCTGACAGTCCATGATGGAACCGAAGAAGATAGCACCAAGCATCTGGGCGAGCCAGTAGAGAAGAGAGTTCAAGGATCTCGTTCTCACGTTGAAGCGAGCACCATTGAAGTTGTTGAATTGGTAGGTGTAAAACCAGTTGGAGGCACAGAACATAGGGAACAAGAAGTAGATCTTGCGTTCGGTCTTCAACACATGGAGCATGCCCTTAAGCTCTTCCTGGATCTTAGGGTACTTCTTAGCAATAACCTTGGTACCGTCTGCCTTGTAAACCTTGTCCATTGGAAGCAAGAAGAAGGCCAACACGATACCGGCACCCATCAAGACCATGAATGCAACGTAAGTTCCTGCGTTAACGTTGGACTCTCCAGAAGACATGTTTTGCACAAGAGGAATCAAAGAACCAATCACGGCACCAAAGTTGAAAATGACCCAGAACACCATGATGGCAGTAGCCTTTCTATGTTCCAAAGCGTACGACATCATCATGGAACCTTGAGCAGCCCAAGTCACGGCAGCACACATTCCCAAGTAGGCACCAGCAAAAACTGGGAAACCTCTGTTTTCAGTGTAGTGGTAGACGAGAAGAGATGTCGTATACATGAGGTAACCAGTACCACCAAACATAAGACAAGCTCTGACACCGAAAACGTTACAGAGGACACCACCAAAAGCTCCAATAGTAGCAAAGGTTGAGTAAAGGGCAACGTTGGCATTGTCAGCCACTCTGTGGTCGGAAATACCCGAGTTACCAATACCAGTGATGGCATTGAAACATCCTGGAGTCAAAAAGAGAACAAACGACATGATCACCAACTGGGTCATGGCGTGCGAGTAAGGAGGGATCCATGAGACAAAGCGGCGGTTGTACCACTTGCCAGAGGCTTCGATCTCAGCCCAACTATGGTGAACTGGCTCGATGTGGTCTCCACCTTCAGCGTAGTATGGAGCAGAGGAGGACTGGGACTCCACCTGGACTGTATCGGTGACTTTTTCAACAGACATTGTAGTTCTTTAGGAAGTAGCGACTGCTAGATGTGATGAAGAAATGAAAACCCTGGGGTCTGGCGCTCTATATATGGTTTCTGGGTTTGATAATGATGGCCACCTACCTTGTTACAGTCTGCACACGATGTTGCATTGAAAAACATGTCGGATTTTTCTGTGCGACCCTTATCAGCCAGAGATAAAAAAAAAAAATGGCCCGGTATTCTTGTCTATCTGGAGGGCGTGTTACGGACCACCATGAGCCACTCAACATTATACTTACACGTTTAATGATATGTACTTTGACTGTAAGATTCTCATATATTTCATGTTAGATAGAACTTTAGCTCAACGGCCCCGATGGTATACCCCACCATTAGGCTGACATTAGAAGTCCATGCACTGCATATAGTCGTGATTCCGCACTTGATGCAACATGGCATTAGGTTTATGTGGGGCAGACAATGTTGCACTTTTCCCTTGGGAATACAGAAACGCAACGTTGCAAACAATACCCAGGAGTGGCCTTGGCCTTTCTGGGGTTATTATGACCGATACGTTGCAATGGTTCTTCCGGCATGAATCTACCATGTTGCGTTTCTTTTCTCCCACTGGCTGACTCTAAGGTTCCCTTTCCCTTTAAGGTGCTTATCTGCCATGGAGAAGAAATAACCCATTGTTCTAAGAATTTTTTTTGTGGAGTAATGAAACTTCTGGGCACAACATAAACGTCGTAGAGGGGTGAGCGAGATCTGGTCGTGTTGATCGGGTTGCTTTGGTTTACCGTAGTGACTTTAGATACGCACTTATGGCTCTAGAGATATGCACTTATGTTTCCGGGATAGTAATCAGTTGTTTAAAATACGACTGCCCAAAAACTGTTGCTGTTCCATCTTTGATTTCAGCTTCTGCTTGTGATATGTTGTGGTTTTCCAGTTTGCGTATCTGTTTCTATAAACTTATCTAGGTATCTATATGGTCTAATTCAGCGAACTCATTATCTAACAATATTATCTCCGGACAGTTGTGTTCTGGATTTCGTCTATTCCTGGAACGACGAGCCAACTTCCACAATACTGGCAACCAAATCGTCCACGACCTTATCCGTGAGAATAGGCGAGTTAAATACAACTCGGAAAAACTCGCCATGACCGTCAGCACTGGGATTGGGCAGGAAGTCCATGAGGTACTTACCCTGGCGATGAAGTTCTCGAGATACATATCTGGTCACCTCCGTGAAGTTTTGCCCCAAAAAGCCTTCAGGTTTGTAATAGAAACAAACTTGAAGACACTGTGGATCCTCAACCACGAGCAGAAAGCCCGGAGTGGCGGAGATGGCCTTCACAAAGTACTCCACAATGGCAAAGGCATGGTCGACTCTCTCACTCAAGCCCTGGTAGCCGTAGTAGAGCCATGTCAAGTAGAACTTGAAGGAATCTGCTCTTCTTCCACAGCCCATGGTTCCGTCTGCCAAATCCAAGTTCTCTTCATCATTTTCACGCCCGTGGAAGAGGTACGGAGCATCAAGGGAATTGGCGGTTTGGAACTTCCTGACATCTGGAAGCAAAAGGAACGAGCAAGTGTTTGGAGTTCCGAGCATCTTGTGTGGGTTAGTGGTGATGGAGTCTGCGAGTTCACATCCAGCTAATTTAGCGCTGTGTGTCTTGGAGAAGATGACATTTCCTCCCCAAGATCCATCGACATGAAACCAAATGCGGTGTCTTTTTGCAATGGCTCCGATTTGCTTGAGATTGTCAAACAGGCCAAACACCGTCGTTCCTGCGGTAGCATTGACGAAAAGAGGAATGTATCCCTTGTCCACAGTGTCCTGGATGACGTTTTCGAGTGATTCGGTATTCATGGTGCCATCGCTGTTGATGTCAACTTTGAAAACTGCTCTCGATCCCAAACCTAAGAGAATGGCGGCTTTCTCTACCGAATAATGGCAATGTTTCAGTGCGTACACTGCAAAACGTCTACCAGCATTGCCCTCGATCTTTGTTTCAGGAAAATGGAGTGATCTTGCGATTTGCAAAGCCGTGATGTTCGACCATGAACCTCCAGAAAACGTCAAACCTCCACAAGTATCAGTATTGTTCTTGAAGAAGAGACTGGCGTATTTTTTACCTACAAAATTCTCCAAAACAGAAAGAACTGGCGATACAGTGTACACATGGGAGTTTGTGTTGAGTACCGATAGAAGAATGTCACTCACCACACCGATTGGGTTGGTGGATGCGTAAAGCTTATCCAAAAAGCCCGGGTTCCAAGTATTGACCGAGTACTTAAGCACATTGTCGATGTGACGGAACAACTCAGTTGTGTTTCCTTTGACTCCCAGTTCAAAAAGCTCGGTCTCAGAAGTGAAAATCTTCTTCAAGTCTTGAGGCTCATGGTAGGTACCCAAAGAGCCTGGCTTGAAAGCACCAGCATTGAGATCAGCAGAAGCAACGTAATCAACAATTTTGGGGTGGATGAGCGAGAGAAGCTGGTCAAGCTCCTGTACTCTTTCGTTTTCCAAGCTCGTTGAGATCATTGAAGTAGTTGAAGTTTTTCAAAAAGCCATAGTCGCAGTACGCCATATCACATGGAGGCAGGTAGATACAGAAAATTATTAGCCAAAGTTATTGAAGGATATTGGAAATTATGAAAGGTTATTATATATTAATTAAGATTATGAAGGTTTTTAAATGTGTTATAGTTTTGGATTTCAGTAAGGCCACTGGTTGATATCCTTTAGATTTTTACGTTTGAGTCAAATTTTTAGGTACATAAAATCACTTACTCTATATCTTCATGAAGTTCACTATCCTCCATACAAAACAACTTCCTTTTAATTCCAACCAAACCACTTATGGTTATAAATTTATGCCAGCTTCATTCTCAACTCACATCAACTTGAATTTTCTCCTACATCATTTATGCTTTGAATCTTGAATATGGTCACTTCTGAATCCTCTTCATGTTCTTCTCATACTTCATCTCGAATCAATGATATTTACTATGACCTCGTCCATTCCTATGTACATGTTCATTCCTGGTTTCTTCTCTCCTCCTCCTCCCGCAACTGCCTCTGCTTGGACAAATTACGGTTCAACACATCTAACTTCTTCATCTCCTCACGAGCATCAAAGTCTCCACTCGATAACTTGTCATATGTGTCATCGTACTTACCAGTGGATAACGGAGCATTTCCTCTCATTCTCTTTCTCATGTCAAAAAATCCGTTCTTGCATTCCACGAAAGCTCTGAAGTTGGCCACACAGAGCTCAGGTAACTCCTTCTTTAATTCTGGTTTGGTGAGACAATCTTTTGGTGTATTTCGCTCTATAAGCACACATGGCGACCTCTGTAGACAAATGGCGAGGGCTTTTTTCTGGTCCTTGCAACTGTAATATTAGTAATTGTTTGACACCTTTTAAATTCTCTAACAGTAAACATACCTGGCACCCATGACTTGGAGTTGTAGATTGGATATGAGATTGTCAGCTCACATACTAGACAGCACACCCGTACACCAACTTAGGTCAGCATTTTGGTCGCCTAATGAATTTAGCACTTTTTGCTGATAATGATGAATAGAACTATGTGGATATATATTTATTCAACTTCTAAATTCCCTTTCTATCTCCGAATCTCTGCTTGGCTGTCTATTTCTCTCCTTCATCTACATTCAGGTATCATTGTTCTATGTGCAGTCCACCGAAGACCTACACCATCAAAACTCCACTTATCTATCAGAAATCAACATTGAATAGTGCAAAAAATGCTACCGAACGACGATTCGCTCTATCTCTATAACCTAACACTACGATCATCTTCACTGGCGCCAAAATCCATTGTGGGCCAGTTTTCAGGCCAGAAAAAGTCTCAGGAATTGGTGCTTGCAACATCCACCACCATTGAGCTTTACAGACCTAATACCGAAACCGGAAAAGTTATGAAAGTAATGGCACAGACCTCTTTCGCAAATTTACAGAATATAGAGAAGATCCGCTTGGTAGGCACCCACAAGGACTTGTTGGTGGTCACATCGGATTCTGGAAAGATCGTGGTGGCAGAATACAAAGAATCCATTTCGATGTTTGTTCCGCTAGTACAAGAGCCACACTCTAAAAACGGTTTACTGAAACTCAATCCAGGTGAATACCTCAGTGTAAATCCAAAAAATCGGGCACTTATGGTGGCTGCCATAGAGCGCAATAAGCTAGTATATAAGGTGGAGATGGAGAATGCAGCAGGACTCTTGGAGTTGCTGTCTCCACTCGAAGTATCGTCCAAGAACACGCTTACGTTACTGATATGTGCATTAGACACGGGATACGATAATCCTCTTTGGGCAGCCATTGAGGTAGACTACAGTCAATACCTGAATAGGCATTACGATCCAAACTCGTCTCCGCTTCTTCTCAATTACTACGAGTTAGACCAGGGTCTTAACCACGTTGTTGTGAAGCGAAGCAAGCCCGACTTGCCAGCTTCAGCGACGTTGCTTGTGCCACTTCCGGGCCACATTGGCGGAATACTCATCTGTTGTGAGTCTTACCTCATATATGAGCGAGAAATCGGCGGAGATCGCATCTACCTCCCTCTTCCGGTGAGAGAGAAGACTTCTAAGACAGTTATTGTTGATTCGTTCTTGCATACTCTCAAAAAAGACGACTTCTTCATCTTGCTTCAAAGCTCCATTGGCGATCTATTCAAGGTTACTATGGACTATGACTCAGATGCAAAGGCCATTGACAAGATGTATGCCACATATTTTGACTCCATTTCGGCATGCAACAGTATCAATGTGCTCAAAAGCGGATTCTTATTTGCCAACACCACAGACAACAATAAGTTATTCTACCAGTTTGAAAAACTTGGCGAAAACAACGAAACAACGTTAGCCTCTGTTTCCAGTGAAGACCTCTTGGAACCTCCAGAACCTTTCAAGCCGCAGGGTCTCCAGAATTTGGCCTTGGTGGACATTATGGAGTCTTTGACCCCATTGGTGGATGGTGTATTATTTGAGAGAGCTTCCAAAGAGTCCTCTGATCTGCTCAAGCAGCTTGTAACGCTATCTTCCCACTCATACATGAAAATTTTGACTTATGGTCTTCCAGCGACAGAGTTGGTGTCGCTGCCTTTGCCTATAGTGCCTACCAATATTTTCACCACGAAAGTAACCTCAAGCTCACCCAACGATGACTACTTGGTTCTCACCACGTCACTTGATTCCAAGACTTTAGTTCTTTCTATTGGCGAGGTTGTAGAAGAGGTCAACGACTCGGGATTTGTGGTGGACCAGCAGACTTTGGCTGTTCAGCAAGTTGGAAAGCATTCAATAGTACAGATCCACGGCAACGGGATTCGTCATGTGCATCATATCCTCGGTGAAGACGGAGAAGTGACTTCAAAGAAGAAGACTGACTGGTTTCCTCCTGCTGGAATCTCCGTCTTGCAAGCAAGCACAAACAGTGAACAGATCATCATTGGATTATCCAACCGAGAGGTTTGCTACTTCGAGATCGACTCTTTGGATGACCAGCTTGTTGAGTACCAGGATAAATTAGAGGTTTCGGAAGGTTCCATTACTGCACTTTGCCTTGCATCCAACTTCATTGGGGAAGTAAAGGGAAGAAGCAGCTTTGCCATCATTGCTTCGTCAGATGAGACCATCCAGGTGATTTCGCTTCTACACCACAATTGCTTTGACGTCTTGAGTATCCAGGCTCTCTCTGCAAACTGCTCTTCCTTGTTGATGTTGCCCATGGACAAAGATACACTATATGTTCACATGGGACTTTCCAATGGTATCTATGCTCGGGTAAACATTGATGTGATCTCTGGGAAGTTGAGTGATACGCGACTCAAATACTTGGGCACCAAGCCTGTTCAGCTTCGAAGCGTTTCCTTGCCAGGACTTAAACAATCAGCAATTTTGCTTATCAGTTCCCGACCCTGGCTAGGATTTTTCAATTTCAACACTGCTTTTCGTCTTACTCCGCTTCTTGGAACCGATATCCAGAGTGGAACTTCCTTTTACTCGGAGGACATAGGTACCGAGAGTATTGTGGGTATCAGTAATGGAGATTTAACTATTCTCACGGTTGGAAATGATGATTCGGGGGGCTTTAATGTTAACAATGAGTTCAGCACTGAGCTGATAAAGCTACGGTATTCACCTCGAAAGCAGATTAAGGATTCCAAGTCCAGCACATTTTTTGTTGTGGAATCGGAATTCGGAACTGTCTCTCCATATTCCACCAACTCTGATGTGGACTCTGACTACTACGACGCATTTGGATACGAAAGAAAGCACAATTCGTGGGCTTCTTGTTTACAAGTGGTGGACATATCACAGTCTGAAGTCACTCAGACGATGGAATTTGATAATAACGAATGCGTCACGTCTATCTGTCAAGCCAAACTTGGAGAGTTTGATTATGTGGTTGTTGGAACTTCAGTTAACCAGACATTTCTACCTCCATCTTCCACAGGCAGCTTCCTCTACACTTTTTCTGTCCATAGACCCAAAGATGGCAGCGTGTCTATTGAACTCGTTCATAAGACAACTGTTGACAGTGCTCCAAGTGCGCTTGTTGCTTTCAACGGCAAGGTTTTGGCATGCGTGGGCAACCAATTGCGTCTCTACGAACTTGGAAAGAAGCAGCTACTTCGTAAATCTTCTACAGATATTGACTACTTGCGCCGAGTCACCAAAGTAGTCCATATTGGCGGAGATGTGATTTTGGTTGGAGATTCCAGCGAATCGGTGTCGTATCTCAAGTTTGAGGCCCGAAACAACGCTTTCTCGCCGTTTTGCAATGATGTTATGAGAAGGCAAATAACCTCACTAGAGTCACTCGACAACAGGACTGTCATTGGTGGCGATAAGTTCGGAAATATCTTTGTGAGCAGAATTCCGTCCGAGACAGCTGAGCAGTTGACAGATAACGTTGTGGTGAACAACCAAGAAAGTTTTCTAGGAGCTTCTGGTGCTAGACTCTCAACAGTATGTGAGTTCTACGTGGGGGACATAATCACTTCTTTCCAAAAGGGTACTTTCGTGTTGAATGGAACAGAAAGCATAATCTACACTGGAATCGAGGGTACAGTTGGCCTCTTGGTTCCTGTAGCAACAAAACACGAGACAGAATTCTTATTGAAGTTGGAGACTCTTCTTCGTAAACACTTTGACATAAGTTTCGAGGAATTTGGCTCTGGGAAATATACTCCAAGTGTTGTTGGCAGAGAGCACCTGAAATTTCGTGGATACTACAACCCGGTTAAGAACGTCATTGATGGGGACTATGTGGAAAAGTTTTACGATCTCGACTCAGCAACGAAAATCAAGTTAGCTGGACAACTCGACAGAACGCCAAAGGAAGTGGAGCGCAAGATTTATGACTTACGTAATAGAGCAGCATTCTGATTTAGTCCGCAAAGATAGGTCAGTATATAGACTCCATAACATTCTCAAAGGAAAAGCTTAAACTTCACGCTTCACTGTAGGTGAGTCATTTGGCATATTCTGTGAGTTAGATGTCAAATCTGATGGGGACCCGTTGGATTGTACTCCTTTCTTCCCCCGGTTTAACGTAGGGCTAGTTTGGCCATCACTTTCCTCACTATTTTTTCTACCTGGTGTTTGGCCATTTGGAGTACTGAATTGGACAAAGTTCCAAAATGCTGGTGACGACTGATTAATGTTACTTCCATTACCCATTTTTCCACTGGCTTTTGATCCACGCTCAGGAGTGAAAGCTTCGAGCGGAGCAATCTTTTTCGGCGAGTTGAAGCCTAAACCCAAATCTGTGTTGTTCGAGGTTGATGGCGCAGTAATGTTCTGGTTGGATAAGCTGCTGTTACGATGATGCGACGAGTTATTGGAGGCAATCCCACTGGACTCTGCAGCGCTGCTGTCAGAAGCACCTCTGGGGGCAGGCTGAGAACTGGGTTTGTATGTGTTCATTCCAGATGAAAAGTTCTGTCCTCCGGGGACTCCATTTGGATGTGGGAGCGAAAATGAGGGGTTTCCGATTTGCGGAAGTTTGGGTATGTTGGAGTCGGTGCTAGATGAGCGTCTTATGGGGGACGCGAGCTCACCTTGAGGTCCATTGAAAGCCGGTAGTTGCTGAACAGGCTTGCGGTTTTGGGGTTCCGTGAGCATCATTGAAAGTTGCTGGTAGTTGTTGTTCCCGCCGTAAGGAGCTGGGTAGCCATTAGGAATGTAGTGTGGCTGGCTATTTCCGTAATTGGCAGGATTAACCTGATTTGCCTGATTTGCCTGATTTATCTGATTCACGTGGTTTATGTGGTTGACTTGGTTGGTAGGCATGTTAGTATACGGCATGGGCTGGTTGACACGCTTTATGATGTTTGGATTGTGGTCAACCACACCCTGGCGTTGGTCAAATGAGCCCGAATGAGTTTCAGGTTTATACATTGCCTGAGAATCAGGAAGCTGGGAGTGTGTAGCCAAATGAATCTGTAACGTTCGAGATACGGAGGAGCCACGTCTTGATTTCAGCAATGTTCCGTTCTGGATCTTCTTCATGAAATCTTGTTTGTAGGAGTCACTGATTTGCCACTTCATACCTTTCCCGGGTTCGTTGGGCCGTCTTGGAACCTTCTCGAATGCCTTATTCAATGACAAGTTGTGACGAATGGAGTTCTGCCATCCTGTCTTCAGGTACTTGTAGTAGGCGTAATGAGACAGGATCCAGGCATAGATCTCAGCCAACGACATAACACCGTCTGGATTCAGCAAAATGGCTTGCGTGATCATGGTAGCATACGAGTATGGGGGCTTTATATCCTTCGCTTCTTCTCGTGACAAGTCTTGATCCAAATTGTTCTGTAAAGACACAGCGGATACCTGGGAAGGAGAGTTGCTCAAGTGGGACTTGTCGAACATCTGGAAATTTGTCATGCCCAGAAACAAGCCCATGCTCATGGAAGGGGTGTGGTTAGCGCCCATTGAGCCCGCAGGACCCATTACAGCGTTGGATTTGGGCACCTTCTTGGCGTCTTTGTAACGAGCTAGGCACACCAGTAACACTTTTTGCAGAATGCTGGGCGGCGCATCAGGCAAGATAAACATCATCTGAGTACCTCCAATGTCCAAAATGGCGCCGGAGTGCAATGGAGTCGCGTTGTCGGCGCCCACGGCGATTTTGGCGCCGTCTACTCGGGCTCCGTTACGTCCCAACACTTTAAACTCCCAACATCGCAAATCAATGTTGTAGGTGATGGCGGCATGTTGGCGCGATACTACCTTGGCTGGACCCAAGTCGATATCGACTTGCGGAGTGTTCAGGCCAGGTGCTGGCGGAGCGTTTTCGGTGTTTCTTCCGATCAGAATAGCCAACAGCTTGACGTAGAAAGTCCAGTCGCAACCTGCGATCTTGGCGTATGCCTGGACCTCTGTGGCAAGGTTCTTATCGTTGGCATAGTACATGGCCACGTAAGTTTTTTCCTCGGGCTGTTGCAAAGTTGATATTACCGCATTGACCAAGTCCTGAGGATCGTCAAAGTTCGGAAGCTCGTCGTGGGGACGTTTTAAGTCGGCCATGGCGGGCAGGGGTGGCAAACGAGGCAAGTGGCGGCGGGTACCGAGGCAAATGTGCAGCGATGCTAGGTGAATCTGGCGGGTAAGCGAAGAGGAATGGAGATCCGTTTATTGGGAGCAAAACACACAATAACCTGGCGGCTAACGGGGTGAATTTGTAGGGGAAAACGGGATAGGAATGCCAGAGCCGGGAAGGACTGCAACAGGAGTGAATTTCCGGGATCCAGGACTTTCGATTTGGGTGATGAGACGTAGACCTGGAGGACTAGGTTTTTTTTTTTGATTATGGTGAGAAATTCTCTGGACAAAAACAGTTGGAGTGCACATTGAGAGGGTGGGATATTGGTTACTTGAGAAGGCGAGACGGGTATGGGGATGTGGTGTACGGGTTTAAGAAGGGTAATTCGATAGGGTTGTAGGGTCAAGAATAGCTGTGGATGATCAAACTTCAAAACCAAAGAATATACAAGAAAAGTATCAGTTAAATTCATGTCTGTCGGTTCGCGTGGGAATATGACGTTGTTATATACGAAGGTAATTGGGGCCCCAGTCTTATGTGTAGGATGTTTATTTACAAGCGCACAAGTAGCACGTTTAAATTGCAACTAGCCCTGAGTATGGTGTACGGGTGCGAATCTGTCACTTGCACCTCTCACTTCTGTGACATTTCAAGAAGTCATATGGCCTTCTCATAATTTATAGGTATCACAAACGATTCGATTTGTGTGTCGAAACCCCTGGCATCGGTTGCTTCACACGTAATCACATCCACAAACGTATCTTCTTCTTCCATTCTCTTTTTTAAGAGATCTGTCTCGTCAATGACATCAAATTCGTCTTCTTTCTCTTCATATTCTTCATTTTCTTCAATCTCAACAAAATCTGGTGCCAATGCACTCCATTTCAGGGGGAATTGCACCAGCCAAAGGTATACAGATCCACTATCGAGCCCCGTAGATCCAATCATGCACTTGCTGTAGTTCCACTTGACGTCGATGAGCTCTTCGTGCGAACCTTCTAAAATCTTGATAAGTGATCCCATTTGAGTCTCCCAAACATACAAATCCTGAGAGCTCTGGCCAAAGGTGGATGCCACAAGAAATTCAGAATTGTGATTGAAAGCCACCGTATTCCACTGGAGACGGTTGACAACATCCTGGTAACGTTGCTCGATCTCAAATTCCCACAGGTCTGGCTGGTCGTTATTGAGCATGTCTGGCAAATTGATCTGACGAATGATTCTGTCAGACGAGTTGACGGCCAACTTGCGTCCGTTAGAAGAAATCTCGAGCGTTTTGATGTTACTGTTGGTAATTTTCACCAGATGCACTGTCTTGAAAGTCGCCGTACTGATCACATTGAGCCAACCCTTGCTGGTTCCCGTGATCACGTAGTCACCCAGAGGCATGAAGCTGGTGACAAGGGTGCGATGCTTAGAGTCTCTCTTTTTCGGGTCATCTTCGTCGTCATCATCTCCTTCCACCACTGGTTCTGTCTGTAGCTTTGTGATTTTCTGCTCTCCAGTGGAGAAATCCACATACACGGGATCTTCATCAAAGATAGATGCCGTGAATGCCGTATGTGTGTGAGGCTGGAACAGGGCTTGCCAAATTGGGCTGTCGAATTGGACCTTATGCAAAACAGCAGGATTCTCTTCAAATGTTTCATTGTTGGCCTGACTCAAGTCCCAGACTATGCAGCTCCAGTCCTGGGATGACGAGAGCAAGTACTGGCCGCAATGGGACCATTTGAGTGACGTGATGGAGCGCGTGTGTCCGCCACGCGATAGAATGGCTATGAGTCCATTGCTGACGAGGTCATAAATGGCGATGGTTCCATCACTTAGACCTGAGGCTAGGTAGTCGCCTTTGGCGTTGAACTGAATGGTCACCGAATGACCGTACTGGAACGTTTGAACTAGGGTGTCTGGATACTCCTTGGCGACAGTGAAGGGGTCTTGGAGAGATAAGTTCATGAATAAGATGTAGAAGGTGTAGGTGATTTGTGCAGTGCTGACTAGTTCGATGTATGGGATATTGAATTCGAAGATAGACTTTGAATTTTCCAGGGTTTAATATTGATATTGTTATGTCATAAATCTTTGGGAGAATTATTAACAATTTATACTTCGATTTGAATCTATGAAGATTTCCATGTTATGTTTATGTTCTGGTCCATTGTGTGTGCGATGGACAGATAGTCACAGGAGACATGATTGTGGAGAAAGTACAAGTAGTTGTATGGAAGGAAGAACTTGGTTATAATTTTGATGAATATATTTTTTTGTTTTTTTCGAGTAATTTTATTACATTCGTGTATACATCGATCAACATTCAATCTTCGAGATACCATGTTCAATACGCTGATCAAGAAATTAATGTCACCATACAAAACAATCATCTTGTTTTACCACAGTATGAAAACAAATAGTTAATAATGACACCTCAATTCTAAACCCTGGATCTTCCTCTTTTCTCTCTGGCTTTGAATCACTATATATTCGTGTCCTTAAATCACAAATCTCCACTCTCCAATCTCCCTCCACCTACACCTACACCTACACCTTATCTCCTGCACATCTACTCTAATCCACTTTCACCTTCTCCAATGGATCCCCTATCACCATCGGAAAGCTCTGTGAGTTTTCCGTCTCTGTCCAGTCGACCGGCAACTCCAATTAAGCGGAAACGCTTCGATGATAGAGCTCAAACGGCCATTTCACTTCAACTCAGAGCGCATGCTTCACTCAACCATGACTTTCCTCATCCGTCAACATACCACGACACCTCCAGAGTTCTGAATATGGTTCGCTGGTCCGAGATCAAAAATGTCTCTAAAGTTGTCAATCTGGACGAGTTTGCCTCGACGTTTGGTGTGGCTCTGTACATCGACCTCTCTCCTATGTACATCGCCGTGGCCACTACCTTGGGCGCCATCATTGGCTTCAATTATCACCAAGATGTGCAATTTATGTTACTATTACACCAGCAGGAGGATCTGGCTTTCAAGCCGGATGTAGCGATCACCTCCATGTCATTTTCGGCCTCATCAACCCATTTGAGTGCCGGATATATGGATGGAAAAATCGCTGTGTGGGACTTGAATGCTCAAAAGGCAAAGCTGGGTGGCTATTTGGTCATATATCCATACGAAGTCATTCATTCAATAACGCTAGAGTCTAGGTTTGCTCGCAATGGTCAGGGTCACTTAACTGGAGTGCCAGTCAATAGTGTGCAATTTGTAGGCGATCTGAACCATCACTTGGTGTCGTCAGATGTATCTGGATTGGTATTCTTCCACCATGGCTTCAAAAAGTTTCTTCAGAAGTACTATGTATCGCAGAAATTGTTGGGCCAGAACGATAGCAATCAAACCGACCAGAGTGAAAGGTTCACCATCAAAGATTGCAAGATTCTTCCTGTGGGGACGTCTTCTCTGATAACAGATCATATCGGTGTTGTGGCTGTAATGTCTAGCAACATATTGGCGATTGTGTCTATTCGTTCGTTGAACAATGCCAGCTCGATTAATCCCATCACGCACTTTAAGATCTCTAAGTCAAAACATGTCAATCTGGACGACGGTCCTGTCTCTGGCTCTTTGTCTTGGTATCCGTGCATTGAAAGAAATAACCATATATCCAACGCCAAGTTGGCCTACGCCTGGAATAACGTTCTAACGATCTTGGAGCTCGACAACAAAAGTATTCCTAGCAATCTCATGAAGGTCATAGGCGATTTGAAAGACAAAGACAAGGGTGTACCCAAGTTACCTATCTACAAAACAGCGAGATGGACGTCTCCTGATCCAACTGACAGAATAGTCAATTTGGCGTGGCTCAATTCAGAGATTTTGACAGCATTGGTGAAGTGCTCCGAAACCACAGAAACTAAACTTTACTTTCTTTTTTACTCCAGCGGTACGAAAACAACATTCGTAGAGGTTGGTGTGGATGATTTAGACTCTCAGCAAATCAACTGGAATGAACTTGAGACGAAAGCAAAGGATCAGTCGTTGGTGTTCCGCAACTACCATAACTCCATGCGTATTTTCAGACATACGCTAATGATCTTGGTCAATTCACACTCCAGATCCCAAAAGAACATTCTCACAGGAAAGGTTTTCAAATGGGCTGATCGTCTCATGGATTTCTTGAACCAAAAGGACTACCAAGCTGCTCTTCTTACCGCCAAAGAGTACTATAACTCTGAAAATTTCGGCCATTTGGTCCTCAGTGGCCTTCCTCACACTACAGAAGAGCGACACAAAGTGGTACGGCCTTTTCTCATCCAGATCATGTCTGAGTCGGTGGTGCCTCTATTTGCTAACCCAGAGGAGGGTATGGAGGCCGATAAAATACTACTTACCTACATGCATGTGATTTCCATGTTAGCCAGTGAAGATAATGGCCATGTTTCGTCTACTTTACTGGATGTTCTTGAGCTGCTACATGAAAATTTCACCAACGAAGAGGTGTTTTTCAACACCCTTGAAAATTTTATTCTCACTAAGCAAATCCGAAACCTCTCTCCTGTTCTTTTCAAGCATTTGGTGGAGTTTTATGTCCATTCTGGAGATGGAGGTATCCTCACAGAAATAATTTGCATTTTAGATACCTACACTCTCAACATTGATGAGACTCTACACTTGTGTGATTTACATGGCCTTCGTGAATGCAGTGTCTACATTTGGAACCATCTTTTGCACGATTATATGACTCCATTTGTAATGCTCATAGAGGACTTATATCTGGATAAGTACGATGACGCTCAGAAACTGCTTGTCTTCACCTACATGTCTTATATTCTCACAGGGCGGCAGTTTCCTAGCGATGAATTCTTAAGTATGAGTGATGCAGAGGAAAGTCGGAACGTCATTTGTGGTGTTTTGTTTAGCATCACCCCGATACATTGGCCAAAGGGCTCATCGACTATTTTCCTCAAAGAATCTCAAGATACAGTGTTCCCTTACTTGTTACGGTTCCTCAAATTCAATACATTCGAAATGCTTGTGACTCTAAACGAGTTTTTTGAGCATCCATACTTGAACTCGGAGCTTCCAGGTGAGCTCAATCGGCAATACATAATTGAGGCACTTCTTGATATTTTTCAATTCAATAAGGACAGTTTTAGTGACTCCGACTTTGTGCATCTCGCCATCTTCATTGCACGCAACTATCCCAAATATTATCAATTCATTCGGTTGCTGGAAACTGTTTTGCATACCACCGTTGAACTCTTGTGTAACAACACAATTGAGGAACTTCATAACGACTGTGAGCTAGCCTTGCAGAGTTTGCTTCCATTCTATGATGTTGAGAGCGATGGTTTTCTTCTTGAAAAGGTCAAGGCTGCTAAATTCTACGATGTCCTATTCGGTATTTACAAGAGCGAAGGAAAGTTTGCTAATGCATTGGATGTTTGGCTTCAAAAGCAAAGAGAGCTGGCATCCATGGACTACCAAAGAAATTTTGCAGTTTTAGCATCAATCATTGAGGCATCGTATACTTCCGCTTCAGAGAATACCCTGGAAAGATTACAACTTGTGCAATTCATTGGTGACCACTTCGATGAACTCATCTCTCGTAACACAGATGATATGGTTGTGTTGGCCAATACCTATAATCAAGACTTGCACTTGATGGTCCTAAAGTGCAATGACCCAGCAGTAGCATTCAAGTATCTTCAGGTACTTTTCTCGCGGTACGATTTGCAAGACATAGGGGCCGCAAGAATTAACCTAGCTGTTCGTTACGTTGAGTTGCTTTGTGTATTCGTGAGTGACGAGGTGATGTCTATTGTTAGTCGATTTGCTCCAGCATTGGTGAACTTTCCAGAGCATGCAAAGACTTTGGAAGCTTATTTGGAGCAAAATGACAATATCAGTGCAAGCACGATTATTCTTCGAGTGGATGGTCGCTATGATGAAGCATTGCAGAAATTGATCGGAGCAATGAAGACGGAGGTCGCGAGGCAGAACGGTGCAGCCATCGAGAAATATATTAATGCTGCTATACCAGTGTGTGAAGAAGCAGATGGAGGGAACTTGTGGAAAACTTTCGTAGAGGAATTGGTTCGGATGACGTCCGGCTCCAATGAAGAAGTCTGTGGAGTGTTGAACCAAGGAATTTACCAATGTTTCCGTAGCATCACCAATCAGCAAGATTCCCACGAAAACAAGGAAGTCAAGGAGACGTTTACAAGCATTTTCAATGACATACTCGAGTTGGCAACGGTTTCTAATATTCGAGCCATTCTCCAAGAGATTCTCACATCGTATTTCTTTGAGAGCGAAATGCACACCATTACCGTCAGCAAAATAAACCAGGGAATCTACAAGTATATGGAGCAGATCAAGGTTGACCTGCTTCGTGGTTGGCTTATCAAGAGTCAGAATTGTACAAGCTGTGGGAAACCTATTTGCGGGAAGAATGTTCCTGCTGTGAATATGATGGCATGGGAGGATCGAGAACGGAGGCGAGTGTTTGTGGTGGAGGAAAGAGAAGAAAAATATAAAGAAGCTCAAATTATTTTATTTAAGTGTCGTCATGGTTATCATACGCTGTGTTTGGCCAATTTGGGCAGCCCAGGGAAATGCGTGATATGCACCAGTGAAGATTGAGGCGAGCAGGAGGGAAAGAATTATAGAATAGGAAATAATGACAAGAGTAACAAACTAAAACAATTTTAATAATCGCTATAACCTTAAGAATAAAATCTCAAGAATTTCTCGTCAATTATCTTTATTGTCAAAAGCGATCTACATGAAACACAAATATTAGTACATGGTCGTCTTACCCTGGCAAACCGCTACATTCCTCCAAGAAACTTAGAAAGCAATCGAAACTCAACATTCCGTTCCCACAAATTCCTTGCCCACTAAGCCCTTGCCCGCAAAGCCTCGCCGTTTTGAGTTTATCTGTATTCGATTATTCCTGGCCACGAGCACTGAATGTGCGATTTACCACAGGTGGAAGATCGACGGCAGAGGTCACTTCGCCCGAAAGTGATAAATCCTTGCTAATCTAAAGATCCTCCAATCCCTCTCAAAGATTCAAAAGCTCACCTTTTTTTTCCGGACCCTCATTTCTACCTTTTACCTAATTTCACCATTGTTTCAGCTTGACAGCATTCTCACTCAGGCACCATCATTTCCTGTGCAATTTGCCCGATTTGGAAACAAAAAAAACACTCCAATAATAGGATCGGCCGCAGGCAGGACCTCCAGACATTAAGAAAGGTGTGTCTATTCCTTTTCTCTTCTTTAACTGGCTTCATTTCTGTCCATTTCAGTACATAATGAGCCACTACAATGATGACGATGACTTGTTCGGGGACGAGAAATTGCGCACCACCTCGTCTAGCTCAGTTCCCCGGACCCATAGCACGGTGGTCGATGACGAAGACTACTTCTACGAAAAATTAGGTGGGTCGCTCTACGGAGGCCTGTCATCGGCCATGCTGCCGCCAGGGGGACTGAATGTTCGTTTTGCAGATGTTCCACTTTCTTCGTTCCAGGAATATCCGGAAAACGACTATGATATTGAATATCCACCCACTGCCTATAACAGATATAGTAAGGTCTCAGACATGGACCATGAGGGGTCACAAATGGGTGTTCTGATTATGGGCGGTCCCAGTATTATGGGGGGCCGTCTTGATGGCTCTGCACTCATGGGACCTCCCGTCGATGGGGGAATGACGTCCACTCTCCATACAGACAACTACAACGTCAATCTTTTAGAGGAGGCCGAAGACACAATGGATCCGTTTGGTGAAGACGACTCGCTTTTTTCTGATACTGGAGAGGAGCCCATGCGCCGTGCCACCACTCTCCGCCGTAGACCTGTTCAGCAGGACGATGAAGACGATGATTTTACTCCTCGTCTCAACTACACCAAGACGCTCAAAAGGGCCAAGTTAGTACACGGAAACTACATCATTGATGCTCCAGTTCCAAATGCTTTGCTCAATGCCTACACAAGACCGCACTTTGGAGACAGTAACGAAACGTCTTTCGTGAGATATTCCGGTGTGACCTGTGGACCATCCAACTTTATTAAGTTCAACTATTCGCTCCGTCAGACTATGTACTCACCACCACGTGCAACGGAAATCCTTGTGTGTATCACCATGTATAACGAAGATGATGTTCTTTTAGGCAGAACTCTCAAAGGTGTGTTCGACAACATCAAGAATCTCACAAACAGAACAGACCCAGCATGGGGAGAAGGCTCTTGGAAGAAGGTCACGGTAGTGATTGTCAACGATGGACGTCTTCAGCTCCACGAGAGAACACAGAAACTTCTTACTGCATTGGGAATTTTCCAGGAAGGTTATGCTAAGTCGAAGGTCAACGACAATGCAGTCAAGGCACATCTTTACGAATACACTACCACTGTGGGAATTGAGCGAGTCACCAAAGACCGTGTCTCTTTGACAGTCGGCCTGACGCCTGCGCAGCTCATTTTCTGCTTGAAGGAGAAGAATGCAAGAAAAATTAACTCGCATAGATGGTGCTTCCAGGCTATTGCTCCTTTGCTCGACCCCAAAGTTATCATGTTGCTCGACTGTGGTACCAAACCCGCGAAGGATGCCTTCTATCACTTGTGGAATTCATTCAAAGACCCCAATGTTGCTGGTGCATGTGGAGAAATGCGTGTGGCTTTGGGTCCTGGAAAGCAACTCTTACTGAACCCATTAGTTGCTGCTCAGAACTTTGAGTATAAGATTTCCAATGTTTTGGATAAGCCTATGGAGTCTGTATTTGGATTCATTAGTGTGCTACCGGGTGCCTTTTCGGCTTACCGATGGCATGCCTTGCTCAATGTGGACGGTAAAGGTCCCCTCGAGAAGTATTTCAAGGGTGAGTTTCTTCACCAGAATGCTGAGCTCGACAAGGAAGATGATGAGTATGAACTCAAGGAGAAGAATTTCGAAGAATCCGGCATTTTCACTTCCAACATGTACTTGGCTGAGGACAGAATTTTGTGTTTCGAGTTGGTGGCCAAGAGAGATAAAAACTACGTGTTGCGTTATGTGAGTTCCGCCACAGCTGAGACAGATGTCCCAGAGAGGATCGATGACTTTGTGTTGCAACGTCGTCGTTGGCTTAATGGTTCCTTATTTGCAGCCATGTACTCGATTTTCCACTGGACCGCTATCTGGAGATCCAACCACTCCCTTTTGCGGAAGCTTTGGCTCCAGGTGGAGTTCTACTACCAAACTGTGACCGTTTTGGTCTCATGGTTTTCTCTCTCGTCTTTCTTCTTGGTGTTCCGTATCTTGACTCGTAACTTGGGATCTTCGGAGGTGGGTTTCACTTTGGGAAAATATCTTTCTGCTGCGTTCTTGTGGGTATACGTTGGATGTGTGATTTGTACCTTTGTTTTGGCTTTTGGCAATACTCCTCGTGGCACACGGAAGTTCTATTTCTCCATCACAGTTATCTATGCTATTCTCATGGTGTACTTGACTTTTGCTGCAGTTTACTTGGCAGTCAACACCGTGAAGCTTGTGTTGAAATCGTCTAACGGCCATTTCACGGCATCCATGCTTTTAACCAACGAGAAGTTTAGAGATCTTGTGGTTTCCATGCTCAGTACTTACCTACTCTATGCCATGGGAGCCATTATCCACGGTGAGCCTTCGTTCATGGTGACGTCGTTTGCCCAGTATCTTTTGCTTTCTCCATCATACATCAATGTGTTGAACATCTATTCGTTCTGTAACATTCATGATGTTTCGTGGGGAAACAGAGATGTTCCACAGGCTCGTGACTTGGGTACTGCCAAGGTTTCTGATGAGAACGGACAATTGGTGATGACGGTGGTTCCAGGATCAGATGAAGAGCTCGAAGAGGCATATTTGAACACATTGGAGGAATTGAAGATTCCTGCTCTGCCTGAGTTGAAGATCAAGAAGAAGAAGCTGGAGGACGATTCTTACTACGCTTTTATTCGTACCGTGACGGTGTTGAGTTGGATGTTTACCAATGCGATTTTGGTGGGTATTGTTTTGGCCACTGGAGGAAGCCGGAACAACACGTGGAACGATTACAGAAACTCCACCATCTTTTTAACGGTGATTTTGTGGGTTGTGTGTGCATTGGCAGCATGCCGTCTTATTGGCAGTGTTTTGTATGTCTTGCAGAGGATGATTCGTCCCATCAAGTGGAAGATACAAAGCAGAAAGTCGGTTTAATGGATTTTATGAGGATATATTGTAGAATGAATAAGTGCTTAACTTTATCATGTTGCAGGAAGATGTAGTCAGGATTGAGTCTATGATATGATTTCTTGCTCTTGGAGAGTGAGACTATTCTTGGTGCGTGTTCACTACATGTTTCTAAATTGTATTTTTTTGAAGGAACGGTCTACTTGATGAGAAAATAAAAGTTGAAAGAATAAATTCGAATAAAAGGGTAGAATGTAAAAACATTTCACAATATGGTATAGATGATGTAAGACCACATTTCCATGGTAGTATAAGGAAGGAAATGCACAAACAAGGCAACTAATTGGCTCCATCAACTCCACCGTAGGGTCCAGGCACTGCAGATAAACGACAATATTGAATTTCCACTACAAATCAGATGGTTTCCAAATTGTTTATGGGAATGTAAACAAACTGATCAATCTCAGATCTTCATGTCTATAGTTGCTGCATGGATCAATTCCGATTTGAAAAAGGTCCTTATTGGCTCAAATGGAGCGACATTTTCGAAACGTAGAATGATAGATGTTAAGGATTACATTGAGTGGGAGATTAAGACCAAACTTTAGAACATAAAGAGGTTTTAAAATAGATTCGAATAGATGGAAAAGGCGGATGAGCTGAATGTAAGTCAATTGAGTAGCAGGAAGGAGATGGAAACAGAGACAGAGAAAGCGAATTAGAAACAGTAAAGATAGAGAAAGTGGAAACAGATAAAAAGAGGAAAAGAGATAAACGAAAACAGTAGCATAGAGAAAAGAGTGGGACGTACTTACCACTGCACAGATACGTCAAAATGTCGACTTAGTCGATCACAACATAACAAACCCTCCAGAACCAGGAATCGTTGACATTATCCCAGACTAAACAGCCGGTCCTGCGTAGCCGTGTGGGCCGAGGTGCCGATGGAATAATAGTGGGAGTAGCCGAGCCTTCCGGTGACATCGATGTCGCAATCAGGGCTCACACGACCACGGATATCCACCACTGAGAGGCCGAATCACCCCGGAAGGGTAATGTTGACAAGGTTTGGAGTGATGTCGACAAGATGAGCGATTTATGATGGAAGCATCGGAAGTGGGGGACGGAAACCAAAAGGTTAAAGAGGAGAAGAGGTGAGAAAACTGGAAGATCGGAAGAATGTTTAAAGGAAAAAGAGAGAGGAAGGAAAGGAAAAATAAGAATTGGAGAAAATCGGCTAGAAATGTCAAAAAGGATAAGAAAAAAAATCCCCCCGGAGTTGGTTCAAGGTGGGACCAGCAAAAGTGAAATTCCAGAAAATATTAATGAATGCGACAAAGTGAAAAAAAAAAAAATTTCTGATGAATTGAGGGATTATCCGACATGAAGTAAAAATAAAATCAAAAGTTATGATAAAAGATTGTTAGCGAATCAGGGCCGGGAAAAAAAAGCAATAAATAGTTAGCGCTAATGGCGCCCCAAGCATAAGGCACCCGACCCAAGTGGCATTAGAGATCGAGCCGCATAACGGTTTTTTCAGCTAGTAAGAACATTGATGTGCGGGGCGTTGCGGGGCATCGGGGCCAATGACGATGAAGGAAATGAGATGAGATGGGGTAGGAGTCAGTGAGCAATGCCGAGAATGCCAATGTATTGCGACATAGAAGAGGTGAATAGGAGTGAGAATGTAGAAAACAGGGCCAACAAGTAATAGGCAGCAGGTTATAGGTTCAATGGTAACATGTTGAATGGTCACAGGGTCAAATGGTAACAAAGTACATGTCGTGAACAGGTAACGTCATGGTCGTATAGAAATATATGCACAGATGCATAGTTCCGAAGGCATAATGTCATAGTATGAATATTATAGCATACAGCATATTACCATCCACCTAGGTCAACTCACCATACAGTGACAAATACTATACAATTGATACAATCCTACAGTATTCACATATATGAACCTAACAGTATAATACTAAACAGAGAAGAGATCAATTCCAGTGCATGTTAAGTAATAGAGGAATTTATCTCAACACCAAGTAAAACACTCAACATAAGTCGCCATACACGGCACCTTAATAGCATAGTAGTATCACCACACCATATTGCCATATTTCGATTGTGCCATACATCCATAATGCCATAGTGGACTAATTGCCATATTGAAGAATTGCCATAATTACATGCTTTCAAACAACCATGCATTCTAATATGGGTGCAATTACACCACCCAAAACTACCATGGACTACAACCAAAAAGTACACAGGGGACCCTCTAAAAGGTTCTCCAAGATAAGCAGTCAAATCGCCGCTCATGGAGGTCTGTGTAGGTCTGAAAGTCAAACCAATCAAAATCCAAAAGCAATGTAAGATAATGAAGCCCCGATCGCTTGGCCCACCATTACTCCCCTCAGTAACAAAGCGAATGACACCATTGCAAGTCACCGCTAATCCACTCACAATGTCTACGTCAGCTAGCCATGGATATCAATTTAAAGCTTCGGTGGTCGATCCAAATCACAGTGGGCCGCAACCAAAGAGGAAATAGCCCATGGAAAAAAAAACCTCCCTCGGCATAGGTGCGACATTTGAGAGATTTTAGGTCTACGACATGACGCCGATTGGAAACCATCCCCCAAAAGTTCCGGAGTTTCCACTATGCGAATACCGGCCCTGTCAGTGCCGACACGGCCATGAAGGATTATTTTGCACCGATAACGCCTACGCTGGTATGTATCCAACTAGGAGGTTTTCCCGCCTTGGCTCCATCATATACCCCAGTCCACCAGCCCACCCAACCCAGTTAGTACGTAGCTCCAGCAAACTCGATACTGCTAGCCATTTTGGGCCAGCATTCTCAATCGGTGCGGAACATCCCCCAAACAGGAAAGAGGAGGGCGCACCGAAAAATTAATTAAGCCGTCAGTGTCGTCCGAAACCATGCTAGACGTAAACAGTGCGACGACATTTTACCAAAACACAAGACTAGGTTGTTATCTTCTATGCTTCCAGCATCCTGCAGGGAACCATCATCGAGAGTGTCAAACAGACTGGGCACATGAGGTGTTCGGAATAACTGGCCAAGGGCAGCTATGAAGATAAGGGCAGGGAACCATGGTTGGACATGTAGGATTAAGTTATAGGTGGTTGTCCAGTGCCTCAGAGGGCCCTAGAGAGTCCCCGCTACCAGGGGAACGTCCGGTAGATTACGCAATCTGACGTCGGCAGGTCGGGATAATTGGCCTGTTCTATTGGCCAGCAGTGAGGGGTGCATGCAGGAGGTTATTCCTTGATACCAAGAGGATACCCAATTGATGGTCGCCGAAGTAAGAAAAATGAGCACTCTGACAAACAAGACAAAAGTGAAAATTTGTTACAAGTTTTCTTATACTACACCGAGTAGAAATATTACAATATCTTAACAGAATACCAAACTAGAAGTATTTTAAAGTAACCTATCATATAAAGTCAACCACAGTCAAAATTCCACGTACGACATTCCTCCACACAGCGATACGACATGCCTTCCCAAAACGTCCATTTTTGTTTATCCAATAATTCCCTCATTTCCAGGAAATTACCCAGACAAAAAAAGAAAAAAAATTCCCATATAAATCCACCACCCCCCAACCACCCACTCAGGTTCGATTTTTTCTTTTTCGCCCCCAGTTGTCGATTTCAATTATGAGTGCAACTGAACCAACCAACGAAAAGGTCCCCAAGACCGTCGAGGACGACGATGAGGACGAGGACATTGACCAGTTGATTTTGGACTTGCAATCCAACCACAACCTTGGTGAGGACGAGGAGTCCGACGAAGAGGATGAGGGAACTTTCAAGGCTGTTCCTGAGGAATTGTTGCAAACCGACCCAACTACCGGTTTGAACGATGACGAGATCGCCAAGAGAAGAAAGAAGTACGGTTTGAACCAGATGGCTGAGGAGAACGAGAACTTGATTCTTAAGTTCGTTATGTTCTTTGTCGGTCCAATTCAGTTCGTCATGGAGGCCGCTGCCGTTTTGGCTGCCGGTTTGGAGGACTGGGTCGATTTTGGTGTCATTTGTGCTTTGCTTTTGTTGAACGCCGGTGTTGGTTTCATTCAGGAATACCAGGCTGGTTCCATTGTTGAGGAATTGAAGAAGACCTTGGCTAACTCTGCTAACGTTATCAGAAACGGTACTCTTATCGAGATTGAGGCCAACCAGATTGTTCCAGGTGACATCTTGCAGTTGGAGGACGGTGTCGTTATCCCAGCTGACGGTAGAATTGTTACCGAGAACTGTTTGTTGCAGGTTGACCAGTCTGCTATCACTGGTGAATCTTTGGCTGTTGACAAGAGACACGGTGACTCCACTTACTCTTCTTCCACTGTTAAGACCGGTGAGGCCTTCATGGTTGTCACTGCTACTGGTGACAACACTTTCACTGGTAGAGCTGCTGCTTTGGTTAACAAGGCTTCCGGTGGTCAGGGTCACTTCACTGAGGTCTTGAACGGTATCGGAACTGTGTTGCTTGTCTTGGTTATCGTCACTTTGCTTGTTGTCTGGGTCGCTTGTTTCTACAGATCCGTCAGAATTGTTGCTATCTTGAGACACACCTTGGCTATCACCATTATTGGTGTCCCAGTCGGTTTGCCAGCTGTCGTTACCACCACCATGGCCGTTGGTGCTGCTTACTTGGCTAAGAAGCAGGCTATTGTCCAGAAGTTGTCTGCCATTGAGTCCCTTGCTGGTGTCGAGATCTTGTGTTCTGACAAGACCGGTACTTTGACCAAGAACAAGTTGTCCTTGCACGAGCCATACACTGTTGAGGGTGTCGAGCCAGATGACTTGATGTTGACTGCTTGTTTGGCTGCTTCCAGAAAGAAGAAGGGTCTTGACGCTATTGACAAGGCTTTCCTTAAGTCTTTGATTAACTACCCACGTGCTAAGGCTGCTTTGACCAAGTACAAGGTCTTGGAGTTCCAACCTTTCGACCCAGTTTCCAAGAAGGTTACCGCTATTGTTGAGTCCCCAGAGGGCGAGAGAATTGTCTGTGTTAAGGGTGCCCCATTGTTTGTTTTGAAGACCGTTGAGGATGACCACCCAATTCCAGAGGACGTCCACGAGAACTACCAGAACACTGTCGCTGAGTTTGCTTCCAGAGGTTTCAGATCCCTTGGTGTCGCCAGAAAGAGAGGTGAAGGCCACTGGGAGATTTTGGGTATTATGCCATGTATGGACCCTCCAAGAGATGACACTGCTGCTACTATTAACGAGGCTAGAAGATTGGGTTTGAGAGTCAAGATGTTGACTGGTGATGCCGTCGGTATCGCTAAGGAGACCTGTAGACAATTGGGACTTGGAACTAACATTTACGACGCTGACAAGTTGGGTCTCTCCGGTGGAGGTGACATGGCTGGTTCTGAGATTGCTGACTTTGTTGAGAACGCTGATGGTTTCGCCGAGGTTTTCCCTCAACACAAGTACAACGCCGTTGAGATTTTGCAGAACAGAGGTTACTTGGTTGCTATGACTGGTGATGGTGTTAACGATGCCCCATCTTTGAAGAAGGCCGACACTGGTATCGCTGTCGAGGGTGCTACCGATGCTGCTAGATCTGCTGCTGATATTGTTTTCTTGGCTCCTGGTTTGTCTGCTATTGTTGATGCTTTGAAGACCTCCAGACAGATTTTCCACAGAATGTACGCCTACGTGGTGTACCGTATCGCTTTGTCTTTGCACTTGGAGATCTTCTTGGGTCTTTGGATTGCTATCTTGAACAAGTCCTTGAACATTGACTTGGTTGTCTTCATTGCTATCTTCGCTGATGTTGCTACCTTGGCTATTGCTTACGACAATGCTCCATACGACCCAGAGCCAGTTAAGTGGAACCTTCCAAGATTGTGGGGTATGTCCATTATCTTGGGTGTTATTTTGGCTGTCGGTACCTGGATCACCTTGACTACTATGTTCATGTCCAAGGGTGGTATCATCCAGAACTTCGGTTCCATTGACGGTGTTTTGTTCTTGCAGATCTCTTTGACTGAGAACTGGTTGATTTTCATCACCAGAGCCAACGGTCCATTCTGGTCTTCCATCCCATCTTGGCAATTGTCTGGTGCTGTGTTGATTGTCGACATCATCGCCACCTGTTTCACCTTGTTCGGCTGGTGGTCTCAGAACTGGACTGACATCGTTTCCGTTGTCAGAACCTGGATCTTCTCCTTCGGTGTCTTCTGTGTCATGGGTGGTGCTTACTACTTGATGGCTGGCTCCCAGGCCTTCGACGACTTCTGTAACGGTAAGAAGGCCAAGAAGGACGAGAAGGACTCCAGATCTGTTGAGGACTTCTTGGTCTCCATGGCCAGAGTGTCTACTCAGCACGAGAAGTCTTCTTAAGCGAATACTTCGTGACATTGCTTACTGTCTGCGAATTCCCGCGCAGATGGAAGCTACAATTTTTTTCTGATTCCCGATTCCCCCCGTCATTTTAAGTTAATTTCGTATTATAGTAATAGATAATGATCTAAAGTGTGCGAATTTAGTTTGTAGGTTGTTTTTCCGAGTTGGTCGAATCTGATGAGACTGTCGGGTTAATTGTTTTGGTTGGGCAGTCAATATTGCCGACCTGCAGATAACCCACAGAAATGTCGCAGTGTTTATCAATCTTTCCGAATTGAATTTTAACACCGGCAACCTCATTCCTCATTTCTCATTCCTTTGGGTTAGAGGGGAATTACTTTATTTTCGGAATTTCATGCTTGCTCGATTACTATGGGGATCTTTCTTTATGGCGAAATCCAATAAGTTTCCCCATTAGGAGATTGAGGCAGTCATATTCTGGTTTTGTTCGGAATTTCTGTGGTGGCTTGCCCATCTTAGGCAATGAGGAAGTTCAATTTCTTGCCAAAGTTGATAACGCCGTATAAGTTGAAGGTATTTGGGAATGATGCAGGTTGCCAAGTTTATTAGTTTCGTACAGTAAAATAGGCACCTTCTTTTGAATGGGGGTTATTAGATCACGTGATTATCCCACACGTGCAAGAGAATGATCAATGAAAAGTTCTCCATTATAGAATGAATTAATTGAGTGAGGTGGTACACTACAATATGAAGGGGGTGAACAAATTGGTCACGTGACACATTGTCCACCATCAATTACCAACTCCATTTTATTTCTACCATTTTTTGATTTTATATCCATTTCTTTCAATTTTCAGTTTGTTTACTCTCTGAATGTTCCACTGACCTACGTTTCTCCATCCTGACTTTCCTGGCCGCATAATCCCACTACATCTCTTCAAATCCTCATTGAGTCACATACCATCATCAAACTCCGAAGCCATAAGGGGGAACACTACAAGAATCTGCTAATATCTAAACCAGGTGCCAAAGGTACCCCTGATATCACCAGATTAAAACTCGATCTATATCTTGGACAACTTTGCACTGCCCTTAAGTTAGTTGCCTAGCCCATATATACAGGACAGCACATTCACGCACCAGAGCACATTTTTTCTCTGTCAGATCAGGTCTTCTTCAGAACTTAACGCTTACTCCAACATCCCTTTGCGTGCTCCGTGTGTTGTCGTGACCCATTCCATCGGCATCGGCGACTCAGAACCTCCACACTCGTCGTTTTCCGGCTCGAATCTGGCCATCTTTTCATCCAGAATCCTGCCGGGTCCTCAAAAGACCCCAGTTGCACTATTTCCCACCAGATTTAACCTCCAAATCTGCCTATCCAAACGTCTCCATCCTTTTGCATTGTACATTAGCCTGCCTAGCGGCCACCAGATTGCATTTCCGTCATTTTCCCTTTGTATATTAGCCTCTGTACATTAGCATCCAGAATCTTAGCATGTCTTCCAATTTGCAATCTGGCAGCAAGTCAACGTTAAGATCGGCTTCCATCGGCTCGAGTTTCTTTAACAAGGACTCATCTAGTTTTTTCGTCAAAGAAGACGCATCTGGCACTGACGATTCCACCACCATCGATGATTCCTCTAATACGCCTGTGCCCTCAGATTTAGATATTGTTGGCGCTCTAGGCACCTTGGATCTTGATGCAGAGCTAGAGAACAAGCTGAGTGTTCCCGTTGCTGCTGAAAAGTCAAAGCTGTCAACTCCCTTCTCGCAACAACCTCAGTTTTTGCACAATGTTCCTCATTCGACAACTTTGACGGGAAATCCGAGAGTTGCCGCCCAAGTTGCCGCCGTCAACCCGTCTGCCGTTCCCTACGGTTCATTGACACCCAATCATCCATCCGTGGGGGCATTCGAGTCGATTCCCGGGTCTCTCACGAATCCTGGCTCTACTCCTTCGTCCACTTGGAGAAACAACTTTGTGCCCTTTTCTGCCCCTCCGTTTGCGTATCCGGTCACTGATCCTGCTGCGGTATCAGAGTTGGCTATGCTGATTGCTCCATTTGAGTTACCGGATGAGAAGAGGGCAAAAGATGCTGAATCGTCTGGCCTCAATGTTGGAAACACCAACATCATCGCTTCCCCACAGGGTATGCACCCATTTGGTGGAGTGTTGGATTCCAGATTCGCATTCGGCAACTTCTCTGAGCCATTTGCCTTTCAGGAGTACTCCAGAGAATTAGAAACCCCCGACAAGGACAAGAAGCAATTCAACATGAACAACCAGGAGAAAATGGCACCTTTGATGTCGCCAAACATCAACTTATGGAACCAGCCTCCGCAGTACTACGTGAACAGAAGCCCATCTGAGAATGCTGCTGGACCCGTCGAGCAGTTTGCTTCTAATCCGATGCCATCGAATAATCATAATCGCTTCAACAATAATTACGGCAATAACTCTGGCCATGGCAACAACTATCACCAGTACAATGGCCGTCGTAACTTCAACATGAACTCGGGAGTCAATGTGCACCGCAAGATGCACAATTCAAACCGCAGAAAGGGTGACGACGCTGCCAAGTACGCTAATGCCAAGTTGGAAGACTTTACTGGCGACATATACTCGTTGTGCAAAGACCAACATGGCTGTAGATTCTTGCAGAAGCAGTTGGATTTAGGCAGAGAGTTGGCCAGCTCTGACCGACGTGGATCCGAAGTGTTGGCCAGTGATGTTACCGCCACCATGATTTTCAACGAGATATACTTGAAGATTGTGGAGTTGATGACTGATCCGTTCGGCAACTACTTGATTCAGAAGCTTTTTGAGAATGTTTCGCCTGACCAGCGTTTTATCTTGGTCAGAAACGCTGCCCCCGAATTCATCCGTATTGCCTTGGATCCTCACGGTACCAGAGCCTTGCAAAAGCTTGTGGAATGTGTTTCGACCCAAGAGGAATCGCAATTAATTATTGAAAGCTTGTCTCCTCATGTGGTGACATTGTCTCGAGACTTGAACGGAAATCATGTTGTTCAGAAGTGTTTGCAAAGATTGAGTCCAGAAGTTAATCAGTTCATCTTTGACTCTGCATCCGCTCACTGCAACGAGATCGCAACTCACAGACACGGCTGCTGCGTTTTGCAGAGATGTTTGGATCATGGCAACTTGGAACAGAGAAAGCAGCTTTCAATGAAGGTTGCAGAGAATGCTACCAATTTGTCTTTGGATCCGTTCGGCAACTACGTTGTTCAATATGTTTTGTCGCGTGGTGACGAGCAATCAATTGCTGTGATTGTGGACCATATTCGCAAGAACATCGTGCTGATGTCGTTGCATAAGTTCGGTTCCAATGTGATTGAGAAGTCGTTACGTATTGGGAAGTTCACTGATACCATTGTCGATGTATTGATGGCAAATAACGAGAAGTTTGGAGTAATGTTGAATGATCCATACGGAAACTATGTGCTTCAGACCACATTAGATATGGCCAAGAGCGAGGACTTGACCAAGTTGGCGCTGATGTTGCAGCCGTTGTTGCCCAACATCAAGAATACTCCACACGGGCGTCGGATCATGACCAAGATCCAGAACATCGCCTGACTGTATTTTAGTAAATAGTGTAAGATAGTTCATAAATTCGTGTAGAGGAGCCAACGTTCAGAGCTCCTTAGACATCTACAGACCATCTCCTCCTCCATGTCGCCTGTATGATGCATCACCACCTAGATTCTGCGAGCCAGATTTTATGCCAGGCTGACACCTCAGATATACAAACTTCTAGAACTAAAGATGTCACAGATGAAAAAAATAATAATGATAGAGATCCTTGAATTCTCGAGAAAATTAAACTATTGTTTATTTTTTAATTGAATTGGTAAAAAACAAAAAAAAAGTAAAAAATAAAATGGTTAAGAATACTCCTGCTTCCATAATAGAAGGTTACGTTCCTTCCCCATAAATCCAAAATCATCTCCACCAATTTCTAAACCATAGTTTCTTTACAAAACAAACCAATTTTGTCTACATAGTCTAGATTTACCCCCAAGAATACTCGTCAATTTCATTTCACTCGAATCTCCCGTCTGGCATCAATACTTTATTGCTTCCCCGATCCTCAACCTCGGCTTGACTACTGCAGTTTATCGCAGTGAATCTTCGATATCGTATTTCACATCAACTATCTGAACCACACGCCACCACAGGACCTCCCCGGTCTCCACAGCCACAATTAGCCACATCAGTCCTTCCACTACTCGGACTATCGCAGCCCCACGCATTCCAGATGTCGTCGTCATTCCTGGAAACCAAACAAAAGATCAAGAAGAGGAAGTACTCTAGAAACGGATGCAAGGAATGCAAGCGACGCAAGATTAAATGCGACGAGACGCTTCCAGAATGTAACAACTGCAGCCGCTTGAACAAAAGATGTGTTTATGAGCAGACGACGGCTGTTGGCCCCGGCGATTCTCACACAGACAAAATTGGGGCCAATGACTCAGACAAGAAGCCCAAAATAGAGTTGCAGATGCGCTACTACTCACAATCGCCACCTAAGCTTGCTGTGGAGCTGCTGCCGACGCAACAGCGCCAGTATATTGATGCGTTTGCCGCCAGTGCAGAACGAATGCATGGCCGGAGCCAAACTTACGGAAACGGCATCGTTCTGGCAACCAACAATGCTACCGTCCTCCAATCGACATCACGCATGGAACCTCAGCATGGAGAAAGATCACAAGTCGGCGAAATAGGCATGCTAGCGCCTCCACCTGCCGCAACACTGAACTTACCTTCTCCATCTCAAATAGGGATGAGTCCAGGCACCTTGACGAATATGGACATGCAAATGCTCTTCGACGAGGCCAGCGTGCTTGTTCACGATATGAACCATTTAGTGGGTGAGGATCTCTTGGAGTCGTTTGTGCTGTTGCCAAACATGGTCAATGTTCCTGGAGATGGAGCCAGCAAGTCTTCGGTTGGCACCAACGCCAGTCCGCTCAGCAATACTTCCGATGACCGCAGCCAGTTCCGCATTGATGACTTTTCAGCTTCTATTCACGAAGATGCATACGTGAGCCCGTCAGGAATCCAGGAACACTTGTTGCTCTCAAATCTGGAGCTTATAGACCAGTGCATCGCCGAGAACTCGTTGGAGGAGCCCCATATCACCTATTTGCGCACCGTCACCACCACAGACATTCTGTACCATCTCTATCCGTTTGCATCTCTGATTGAGCTGAACGAGGTAGTCAAGTTGCTTCTCACATATTCAGGAAAGTGTCCATATCTCTTAACAAGCTTGCTAGCCATATCTGCTACTTTCCAGTTCAATCAAACGGGCAAGGCAGCTAATGATCGTGCCCGAAGAAAGTACATCACGGTGTGTTTTCAGTCGTTGAGCGATGCCTTCACTGAACATTCCGGTTTCAAGAACACTGCCATTTTCTCCAGTAACATCGAGAAACTCCTACTTACAGTGCTTGTGCTTACATCCTACTTTACAGCTACAACTTGTATGCTGAACAATAGCATTCTCAACTCATGGAAGGCACACCTCCGTGGTGCCAGAGACTTGTTGATGAACTACAGCAAGGTCACCAGTTCGTATCCCACGCACTTCATATCGGGCGGCCTTGCATTGGCCAAATGTTGGTTTTTTGCCATAGAAAGTTCAGCAGCGTTCCACTCACCCATCGGGGGGTCTCTCCTGACCGCCAAAAACGATAGTGACTCGAATATAATCAGAAAAAGTATTTATAGCAGCAAACCCGGAACCTCTGGCGGTGAAGATGCTATTTTCGCTGAAACCGGCGTCTTTGAGAGAAGTGTTCACCCAGAATACCACGACGCCCTTTACAGAGTAAACATGGTGAGCACATCTCCCTCTCTGTCAGACTTCAATCTATTCTACGGCTACACAAGCAAGTTTGTTAATGTTGTTCTCCAAGTTTGTTCGGTGATAGATACAATGCGCGTCAATTCCCTTCAAACGTGCCCGCATAGATGGCTCACGCATCTTGTCAAACTTAACGATGAAGCAAGCGCGGACCATATTGTCCCTGAGGTGCTGGTAGAAACCTTTATGGTGCCCTCCACTAGTATTGGACATCCTGAATACAGCGGTAACGACAAGGTTGTGTTTCCCAGAGCCACTTGGGTCAATGATGTTGATGAAACTGGAAACAAGGTTTATTATTCTTGGTTTGACGCGTCGCAACAGTTGCATGTGGATTACCTATATCTTTGGATTCTTGTTTCTCCAGGATTTATGAGATTGTCCAGAACACACACATACGTGCAAGAACTCATTGCAAAATTGTTTGCCGGAGCCTTTTTCATCAAGAGCAAATCGCTGTCGCGGTACTTGGTAGAGAAAAGCACCATAATAGTGGAAAGCGACAACTTCTACTTGAGCCTGACAACATTCGATATGCGTTGCGTCATGGTACAGTCAATCTTCCGAATTTTATCGGGGCTCGTGATAGATGATAAAGATTTTGAAAAAATTGAGCTTTTTTTCATGGGACTAGTCAAGTTGGGGAATGGAAGTTCGCTCAATTCGTTAGACATTGTCGCCCGATTCAAAGAAAACCGACGCAAGAGAAGAGAACAATTCCCAGGTGAGGTTGATACTGAGATATACGAGTACTACGAGCGGTCAATTGACATTCCGTTTGCTTAGTGGATTTAACAACCTTGAGGTGAAGAAAGTTTGAATGGAGTTATACTCGGAGATGCAGTCACCATCACCGCATGCACAATTCCGGCTGATTTAACTGTACCGAGCCGTCGTATAGGTGAACTGCTGCTTGAATTGCTTAGCCATGCATGTGTTTGACTGAGAAGCCTCGAGGAAGGGGCTTATGCATTTGCTACGCCATAATAATAGGGGAGTGCGTGGATAACCTATGGAAAGTAGATCCACTTTCCAGGATCCACGATCGACGATATACATCCGCACATCCCGAAAATACGAGCTGTATAGCTTCCTATGTTGGAGCTCCAAATCGTGACACGTTTGATTTTCGAAAATAAGCATGAGGAAAAAAAAAATAAAAATAAGAAATTCCGTTGCTTGTTCTCCGCGTTTTCATCGATTGTTGCACCGTCGAGACTCGTACGCTATACGACAGTACGAAACGCGCAAGTATAAAAATTCATTGATTCTGCACCCCACCAAAACATTCAAGGACACACCATCTCAAAGCAATACGACAACATGGCAGCTACCGAGGAAACACCACTCGTTGAGCCAGTCAAGAAGGGCTACTTGCCGAAAGACAAAATCGAATGGGACTTTGGAGGCCCTATTGGTGCCTTTGGCATGATGACCGGATTCCCATTGCTCATGATTTATATGTGGATTTCAGCCCAATTCTACAACGGAAAGCCGGCTTGGCCCGTGGAAGACCAAACTTGGTCCAGCTTTGCCGAGCAGTTGTGGATTTACTTCAGAGACTACGGTATTCCATCTCCTACCGTGGTTGCTGTTTTTGTCACTTTTATGGTTGTGCAAGCAATCTTCTACTTGACTTTACCTGGCGTTTGGACTAAGGGCCAGCCTTTAACCCACTTGGGCGGTAAGCAGTTGCCATATTACTGTAACGCTGTGTCGGCCTTTTACTTGACCAACGTAATCTTGTTGGGCTTGCACTTTGCTGGCTATAAGATGTACTTTATCATTGAGCACTTTGGCGAGGTGATGGTAACAGCCATCATCAGTGGCCTCCTGTTATCTGTGATCTTGTATGTGTACTGTCTTCTCGTATCCAAGGATTACCACCGTATGACCGGAAACCACATTTATGACTGTTTCATGGGTGCTCCTTTGAACCCAAGAATCGGCAAGTACTTGGACCTTAAGATGTTCTTCGAGGTCAGACTTCCATGGTACACCTTGCACTTTTTGTCCTTGGCTACTGCCCTCATGCAGCATGACAAGTACGGCAAGGTCTCTCCTCAAGTTTGGTTTGTCGTCTACGCTCATTTCTTGTATGCCAACGCATGTTCTAAGGGTGAGGAGCTTATCGTCCCAACATGGGACATGGCCTACGAGAAGTTTGGCTTCATGTTGCTTTTCTGGAATATCGCCGGTGTTCCTTACACATACTGCCACTGCACTTTGTTCTTGGCCTATCACGACCCATCCGAGTACGCTTGGTCTCCATGGTATAACGCTTTGTTGTTCATTGTGTTGACCATTGCTTACTACTTCTTCGACACCGGAAACAGACAAAAGAACTCCTTCAGAAGAATCATGGCCGGTAACACCAACATCAGAAAGACCTTCCCATACTTGCCATACAGTGATCTCGTCAACCCATCGTACATTGAGTGCGAGAACGGTTCTTTGCTTTTGACGGATGGATGGTACAAGTACGCACGTAAGGCTCACTACACTGCCGACTGGATCCAGTCTGTGACATGGGGAGCCATTTGTGGCTTTGCATCGCCATTTCCATGGTTCTTCTGTGTTTTCTTCTTCATTGTGTTGATACACAGAAACGCCAGAGACCAGAGAAAGTGTGCTCGTAAGTACGGAAAGGACTGGGACCGTTATCTCGAGGCCTGCCCATACGTATTCATCCCATACGTTTATTAAGTATGGTTAAAAGTTGTTTCAAAGAAACAAATATTCTTTCATTCGATATTTGTATGTTTACCTGACTAACTGACTACAATTTTACCCTCAATTCAGCCGATTCATATACATCTCCTTCAGAATCAATCAAACTGAGCCAACCTAAAAGTTTCATCTACTTCTACGCTTCATGCCATCCGAATTGAATCTACAAATCTCCTTCCCAATGGTTGTTCATTACTCTCATCTAATCCATTTCTGCAATGGCCACCAACCTCTCATCGATCTCGTCAGCAGTCAAGATGCGGAACTCGCCCTGCGTTGCCACACCAATCTCAATGTCATTCTTTCTGAAATCGGTACCCAACACAGAACTCAACGAAGTGATGGCAAACTCCACCGTCTCCTTCCAGTCACCGTCTACATGGTCCATTTTCTTAAACTTCTTCTCCAAGTAAGTGGTGGCTTCTTGCTGCTTGGGGCCCGTCGACACAGCCTTCACTCCCGTGTAATAGCCTGCTGGATCACACTTGAAAATCTGCGGTCCTCTGTTCTCATCCTCGAAATCCACCTGGCAGAACGTAAGCGCCACTCCAAGGGGTCTCATGTATGCTCTCTGAGTATATATCTGCGAGATGTTGGCCATGCGCTTGGCGAGACCCTGGACAGGCATCTCGTATCCATATTTGTATCTAAACTCTGCTGCTTCTGCTCTGGCCCTCAAAGCCAATGATCTGGCGTCGGCAATTGATCCTGTGGCCAACATTCCAACGGAGGGTGTGATTTGGAACAAATAAGAAACGGTGGCAGGGTCCAACAACTTGTCGGGGATTTTTTTCTGCGAAATCAATACGGCGGAATCCTTACCGGTCACACCAATGGATGTGATGGAGGCAGAATTGATGGCCTTGAAGGCGTATTCCACCTGGTACAATCTGCCCTCAGGCGAAAAGATGGTGATGTGTCTGTCGAAGCCGGCAGAACCTGATTGTTAGTATGTGAAGTCAGTGGGAGGAGTCAAGGATTTTCAGATTGACAATTCAGGCGGGGGTTACATACTGGACATTGTGGTGGTTGGTAGGTTTTGGTGGTATTGGAGATTTTGGTGGAGGTTTGATAGTGGCGACCACAATGTCGCAACATGTCGTAAAATGTCGTGACAACCTCAAAGGTAAGAATGAGGTGGAAGGTTGGGTAAAAGCATGCAAAAAAAACGAATTCTGGAATTTGAATGGAAACTTTGAATTATTGTAGCAACTTTACAGCCACTCAGGTGGTTTTCCCCCCCTTTTTTCCTCATGTTTCGCATCATTATCAACCTCATCAATATCTCTCACTAGATATTAGTATTCTTGAACCCGTACACCAGGCCAACCAGCACACCAAAATTCCATCTAAGACTTCAACATCCAGTTATTTTCCCAGCAAATGTCTTCTACGTTCACTACAGACGCCAGGACGCTGGCACAAGCACCACTATATTACCCTCAGCGACAACTGAATCTCAAGAATGTCTCGTATCACTATAATCCAGAGGTTTCTCACTTTCATTATGGGCCCCACCATCCAATGAAGCCATTCAGATTGATGCTTACAGACCATTTGGTTATTTCATATAAACTCTATGAGAAAATGGATCTTTTCATGCCACGGCGTGCCACTCGCGAGGAGCTCCTTGAATTCCATCTGGAAGATTACGTAAATTTTCTCCAACTGGTAACTCCAGAACTAAGTGCCAAAATGGGGGAAGAAAAATTGGCACAATTCAATATTGGAGACGATTGTCCCATCTTTGATGGCATGTACGACTACCTGAGCATATACGCCGGAGCTTCTTTGGACGCATCCAGGAAGTTGATTAGTGGAATGAGTGATATAGCCATTAATTGGTCTGGAGGACTTCACCATGCGAAAAAATCAGAGCCCTCGGGCTTCTGTTACACCAACGACATTGTTCTTGCCATTCTTAATTTGTTGCGTGTGCATCCGCGTGTAATGTACATCGATATCGATCTACACCATGGAGATGGAGTTCAAGAAGCATTTAACACTACAGACCGTGTCATGACCGTGTCTTTTCACAAATATAACGGAGAGTTTTTCCCTGGAACGGGTTCTATAGATGAGGTGGGAATTGGGGCTGGTACAAATTACGCCGTTAATGTACCCCTCAAAGACGGTATCGATGACGATTCGTACATTCATTTGTTCAAGCTGATCATGGAACCTCTAATCACCAAGTTCCAGCCCACATGCATCGTTCAACAGTGTGGAGCTGACTCGCTTGGTTACGATAGATTGGGCTGCTTCAACCTTAATATTCGTGCTCATGGTGAATGTGTGAAGTTCATCAAATCTTTTGGCATCCCCATGTTGGTTCTCGGAGGAGGAGGATACACGCCGAGAAACGTTTCGAGGCTCTGGTGTTATGAGACATCTGTGTTGAACGACATAACGCTTGAGCTGAAGATTCCTAGTAACATTCCCACTTATGACTGGTTTGGCCCTGATTATTCGCTCCATCCACAACTTGAGGGTCGTCTTGATAACAAAAACTCCAAGAAATACCTTGAGAACGTGAAAAAGTACATTTTGGAGCAGCTACGGTTCATCAATTATGCGCCATCGGTGCAGATGCAAGAGATCCCACCAGATCTCACAGGGTTGACAGAAGAGGAAGAGCAGGCCATTCGGGAATTGAACGAAGAGGAGGAGGAAACTCGAAAGTATCAAGCAGTGAAGGATGAGGCACGCCTGGGAGAGGTGTATGCGTAGGGTATTTGTAGCATTAATAGGGCAGGTCCACTGCCAGGGTAAAGGTTTAGACAAACTTGGAACTGTAGATTTATTGTTAAGAAACTGGGCAAAGACTGAAAGGTGAGGCATGTAAGAACGTGATTATAGGTGAACAAATAGAATCCACATGAATATCACAGTTTTTCGAGACTTTTACTACAGGGTGCCAGCATTGACATTCACAGGCGATTTTTCACTGTTTTCCTATCAACCTTATTTCGCAGCCGTTACTCCAGCAACTACCTCGTTGCTACAGCAACCATTGCACACCTACTTTAACGACATTTCAATAGATTTAGACTATACAGGCAGCATGGTTTCCTGTTGGAGTACATATCTCCACGGTAACCGACTTAGAATTGTATGCGTCAAGTAGATGAGTAAGCAGTGTTGTTTATATTTTCATGCATTCCCTTGATAAGATGTTTGGACCTGGAACTATGATGTAGGATTGATGTGTGATACTTTTAGACTGAAAGGTCAGTGTTCATCTTGCATGAATTCAATTTGACCCTTTCTTCGATATTGGTACTAGGTGCTTCGTGAAAGAATTTTGGATTAATATATTTAGATGGCCCGGTTATAAAAGAATCCGATGAGATGACCAAGACTGATACTAACAAGACTACAGAAATCTCACTAAGAAGACTTCATTATTTCACTAAGAAGACTATGAGAATAATATCAATATCAGAAATAATTTTCGCCTTGAATCGATAATCGTAGTAAGTTGCAATCCGCCAGTGAATGTATTCATGTTGTTACATTCCAAATGTAATTCTTAAGCCGTTCTCTATGACTTCAAAACTTCATAAAGTTGTATAGTAATGTGACTTCATAGTGGTTCTAGTGTTGGGAAGTGATTTTCTGGAGACTCTTACAATGGTTGTCCAGAGTGTTTTATTCTTCAGGTGTTTCGTCTGCCTCGATCTACGGGACTCCTTCTGCCAGCATTTTCTATATTTATCGATTCTCTACAACTTTTTAGAAAAAAACATACTTCTATCCTTTCCAATTAGGTCCTTTCTGTCAGTTTTATCTGTAATCTCTCTAACTTCCCGAAAGAAAGAACTAAGCTGTTTAATCCACATCTTTTCACTCATTTAAGACCACCATGAGATCCAACGTAGACAAGAACTGTTCCAAGAACCAATTGAATTTCTTCTTCATCTTGAACTCAACTACAAAGTCCTATACTCAACGCTTTCCTTCGTACCTTTGTTCTAATAATTTTTCACTCGGCTGGTCCATTCTTCTTAACTGTCTTACTACTCACCGCACTATTACGTAACCTTACGTAAACAAGCACTCTACACCTAAACCAATGCCATCATGATAACACCCATTAATCTCTTCAATGTAGCGCAATACTTTCAAATAAAACCATTCCGACCATTTTGAATCCCTCTCAACCTACAAACCCCCCAAAATAGAATAATCCCAAATTATCCAAATCTCACCTTATCGTGTCCGGCACCCAGTAAAGTAGGTCTAATCATATAATTCCAAACTACATCTCCACTACGACCCTAGAACCACCCAGCTGCTGTCATACATGTCCCTTCACCTCGTGCCATGGACATTCTGAAACTTTCGATCGACACAGACCCAGCAAGCGGGAAAAAGGTGGTGAACCACCGATTCAGACTTGTACAAACCATCGGACAGGGCCAGTTCGGCAAGGTTCTTCTAGCGGAGGACGTGACTGCTAAGAAGAAGGATCGATATGTTGCCGTGAAAACCATCAATCGTGTGGATAAGACGAAACTCATCACGAAAACCTACTTGAGTCATACTACTAAAATCAAAAGAGAGATCCAGATCATGAAAGAGTGTAATCATCCAAATGTGGTCAAGCTCTACCAGGTGATAGACGACTTGCGATTCGACAAGATCTTTCTCGTGTTGGAGTACTGCCAATATGGAGAGATTGACTGGAAAAGGTATAACCACTACCATGAGAAGTATTTTAAGGAAGACAGAGGCATCACACTCAATAAGATTCTTCGAGACGTGGTCAATGGGCTCGAATACCTCCACACGTATAAGCACATTATACACCGAGATTTGAAACCATCCAATCTTCTAATCAGCAGCGACCGGACCATCAAGATATCTGATTTTGGAGTAAGTTTGATCTTGGAAAATAACGCCAACGATGATAAAGAGCTCGGCAAAACCATGGGAACCCCGGCTTTTTTTGCTCCCGAGTTGTGTCAATTCGTGAACAATCGTCTCCTGATGTTTAACGAAGTCGACCTTCAAAAGAGTAAAATCGACGCCAGAATCGATATCTGGTCTTTGGGTGTGGTGCTCTACTGCCTAATATTTCACCAGCTTCCGTTTGAGGGCCATAATGAGTTCTCTCTTTTCAAGAACATTGTCACAGGAGAGCTCAAATTCCCAAAAATCAAGGAGGGTTCGCATGTCAAGTCCCAGGACTTAAACGAGCTCACAATGCTCAAAAGTCTTATATCTCGAATGCTTTCAAAAGACTCTGCCAACCGTCCCACAATCAAGGAGATCAAGAATGATCCATTCACATGTTTTGACCTACTGAAGAAACAGAAAGAAGAGTTCGAGAACTTTAACAAAAACATAATCAGTCAACAGTCTCCACTTCTAGCGGAAACGTGGGCTTCCGAAAAGAAATTGAGCTCTAAGATTAAAAGGGTATTTGGAAAGAAGTCAGATACTACAGCTGTGCCACCTAGCCAACTTCCACTCACCGTAAAATTGAAAGAATCGCCCGAGAAACCAGTCAATGTATCCGAGTTGGAGAAAGTCGATGACCTTCTCGATTCTTACTTGGATGACCTGAGCTCAATGGGTTCGTTTGACGAAGACACCGAGCCTGAAGTGGTTGACACCAGTAATTTGCTATCGTCGCTCCAGTTTTCTGTTCCAGCCTCACCTCATGATGCATCGTTCCAAGTTTCTCCAACAAGCCATTATGACAGCCGCCAGGGTGTTGCGCCAAGCGTCTTCAACGAAAGCTCGCCGTTCTCTAACGAGTCCCATTACGACCAGTTGACGTCGCGCTCCAACCCAGAGTTGCGGTCTCTTACCACGCTCAAGAACTCACACTCCAGTCTTCTGGTTTCGCTGCGTATTTCAAGAGGGTCCATTCCTCCTCCACTTAACTTGACCACTTCATCGTTCAGCAGCCCCACAAAGATTGGCAGCAATTTGGCAGCCCCAAACTCTCCATTTTCCGAGCAGAAAACTCCGGTTTCCGCGGTCACCATTGGCGCTGGGTCGCCTCTGTCGATCAAGTCGATATTCAGTCCATCTCGACGGTTCTTCTCACGTATCAAGAAGGATCCCGAACCCACCATCCATGCTCTCTCGTCTCCCGTTACTCAGGTACATTCTACATCGTCAAGCTACACCGACTTAGCTCCTCCTCCAGCGTTTGGTTCCACTAGAGATAAGAAGCGCAAAGACAAGACGAAGCACCGGGTGGATAGGCGCAACTCCGACATAAGGGAAAACCGCAATTCCGGGGAGCTGATGTATTCCGACGCTGGAAGAGGAAGCTTTGAGGTTGATCGAAAGAACTCAATTCTGCTGGTTCGGTCAGCACGCTCCAATGGGCTCTCGAAAATTTCTAGTTCGAGTTCTTCTCTTAATTTACACGCATATTTGACAGATAGTGCCTCAAGTTCGCCACGGTGGGCTTCGGGTCTGGCTAGTGGTCTGCCTGGAGTGTTTGCCAGTGAGAAGTTTGAGAGTGATACCGATAATGAGGAGGCTAATCGTACGGTGACCATGGATCAGTATTTGAATCGGCTTTGAGAGAATAGAGGAGTGGAGATTAATCGGAGCGAATTGAGGCGAAACTTCTGATGGTTAATTGGAATGAAGAGAGACCATTGACATGTTAATGGAAATTTCACCATGAAAGGAAATATCCATGAAACAAAATGTTATCATGGAATGACAGAGGGATACGTGTTAGCAGATATTTGACATTCTAAAGGAACTCTCTTGATGAATGGAAATGACAAGAAGGCAGGAAAGAAATATGGAAGGAAGGGACATCACAAAAGGGAATTGACATAACAAAAGAAAATTGACATAACGAGAGGAATCAGTAACAAATTAATTATTGACATGGCCAATGGATCATCTCATCTATCATTTTCATTCAATTGAAAACAACAACAGTGGAACATCCCATCAATTAAATTCAACGGGTGTGACTGAAATTAAAGAGCCGATGCACGGCCCCAATAAAACAATGGACAATTGAGTTTCACCCATGATTTTCACCATCTATAATCATCTGAAACGCGCCTACCTCCGCGAGACAGCAATGTTGATATCATGCATGAACTTGGCTGTCAGCCATAACAACGCAATTGTCCCACATGATTCCGAGACGCCAGCCGTATTTACGTTTTGTCAATGCATGATTCGGAATTATTTGTGGATAAGAGGGTCTCTGATGGGTAATCGTGGGTGATGAAATGCAGCGAATAACCTGCATGAGCCGCGAACAAACATAAACACGCAATGTGATCCGTTTGTGGGGAGAAAATTGCCCGTAAATGGCGAGAGACACAATACTCGAACTATTTTGGTACATGGACTTGTGTACACTGGAACATGGGTTCTATTTTGACATGATATACGAAGCATCAGTATTATACTCAATGTTTTCGTATAATTCTCCCCGATTATTAAAGAACATATCGGGAACTTCATGCATGGAACGGCTGCAGGAATACCAGTAAGACCCGTTGCAGAACTTCCCCCTACAGGCCCGCGCTATGGCCGTTATAGGTCATGTTGCTTGTTTATGGAACGCTGCACATGGACATTCCCCTCGAGTGGGACATGAGCCTTAGGAGCCTCGCCATTCATAGCCAGTCACCAGCACACTTCTAAAGTGTACACGCAACCCCTGGCTTGGCCGATCTGGAACACTGACGCCCTATTGCGCATAGAAGCGCACCAACACGAGGATGGGCCCTTTTTTAAGTGGCATGACATGAGATTCCTCCTTGTGACCTACCATTTTGTGAGGTGATTAGAACACAATTGCATGGGATTTGAATACGAAATTGCAAAATATCGTATGTTGAAATCTCGTGTCTTGAATTCACCCGATGGGCCATCTTTCGCCGACATTTGGCAGATCACTGCGGATGACGCTGCGGAGCGTCGCGAATTGGTTGCGATCCGACACTTGTCGACATTTCCTGTATTTCTGGTGCAGGCTGTTTTGCGATGTCCATTTTGGTTACTCCATCAACGGGCCAGAGCTCGTGGCCAAGAACTGGATTCGTGAAAACCGTCTGCCATCCTCTGACTTAGTAATACTTCGTTGATAGTCTGTTTCTATCGGAAGGTTTTTAGGCCTTTTTTTGTGTCAATTTTACTTGCCACGCCGGGCTGCTTCTGTTCTTGAGACTAAGTTACCTTCGTTCCTTCTTCTTGGCTGTCGGGCTGTCTCGGGTTTTTTCTTCCGACCCCGTCACCTTCCTCAGGATCAATTCATACAATTTCTCGGCTATTCCATCTGATCCACCTTGATTGTGCCACATTGTGTTGAACTTTTGATTTATTCTTCTTTATTCACGACCGTGACACTTCACACCTGGAATTTTGCGTCACTTGACTCTGCTCATTGGTGTCAAATCACAATTTCACCTCATTCGCTTCCTTTTCAATGAACGAATTGATGTCATCGCCAGACAGAGACCCGGCCACTTCACCATTGGAAAACCGCAAGCGACGGCCTTTGGGTTCGCTCTCGTCGTTGGTTAACACGCTTGAGTCCTCTGTCATGTCCCGCATCTCCAAGTCGGTGTCTCTGATGGCCAGATTCCCAGAATTCCTGAAGAGTAGCCTCAACGATGTCCCCATTTTTGACAGACACGATGATACAGATAATGACGACGAAAATGACTCCACGCTTAACGATGAAGATTTTCTTAACTCCCCCACAATGAAGTCCAAGCCTCCTGCTGTCATCCGTCGAACCCAATCTCTCTTCACTGACGTAACTCAGGTCGACATCCAGCTTCAGAGTAACGACTACTTGTCTACGAGCGGGATATCTACTTTCACAGTGTCGAGCGATCCGATTCCCCGTATCAACGAGTCTGAGCTAAAAAATATCATCGAGGGAGTTCATTCCAAAGTATACGATGAATACATCGTCATCGACAGCAGATTTCCCTACGAGTTTGAAGGTGGACACATCATTAATGCCGTCAACATCGCTCTGCAAAGCGACTTAGAAGAGCGGTTTGTGGTGAACCAAGATATGACCTCCAATAAGCGCAGATTACTCATTTTCCACTGTGAGTACTCCATCTTCCGTGGACCCACCATGGCCAATCATCTCCGTAAAATTGACCGCATCTACAACTCAGATCGATACCCATTCTTGCTATATCCAGACATTGTTGTCTTGGAAGGCGGATACAAGCGTTTCTTCGACAAATACAAGGAGCACTGCTTCCCTCAGTCCTACGTGGAGATGAAGGACACCAAGCACAAGAGAACCTGTGAGGTGGAGATGAGTAAGGTGTTGCAGGCATCCAAATTGACCCGGGCGAAATCTTTCAACCAGTTCCAACCTCGTCTCTCGGTGTCTCATGCACGGTCATCATCCTTTACAGCACTTCTTTCTTCCTCTGATCAGAACTTATCGTTGGGTGCTTCCACCCCTTCTCTCCGCAAGAGCAGAAGCTCCAAGATACACAAGAAGGAGCGTAGAGATTTGAGATCACAGTTCACGCAATCATTACTCGTATTACCTACTTCCTCCGACATCTCCAAGTTGGACTCGCCGGTGTCATCTACCTTTGAAGACGACTTTGCTCCACCTCCCACATTATTCCGAAACCACAGCAAGAGCTTGTCCAGCCTGCTGCTCTCGGTCCACTCATCGCTGCTGCTGGTCTGCTCCGAGTCCTTTTCTGCATTTTCTTCGAGCGATTCGCTTCTGGAGACGTATTCTCCATTTGCAGATTGTTACGAATACTTCGACAGTGTCTCCACGAACAATTCTGGAAATTTGCTTTCAGGAGGCACCAAGTCTACTACAGGCTACGCTTTTCCAGCCAATGGCCACCAGTTTCACTCTGGCAACAACACTCCCTTTACACAGAACAGTAATCAGGCGTCTAAGAATAAAGCCCGTCTCAGCTGGGGCCGCACCAATCGCCTGGGCCAGCAATTTTTGTCATCTCCCACCATCAGCTCGCCATTGACGGGAATTACGGCGGCCACATTTGAGTCTGCTCACTCAAACAATACTCTCATGGATGTTATTAATGATAGCGAGGTTGAGTTTTCGCTTCCTACGAGACATTCCAGCCGCAAGAGCCTGTTTTCATTTGTTAATGGTCAGCGTAATGGAAATACCCTGGACATCGACGAGGCAGATGAAGAGTCCGATTAATTATACCTTCGTTTGAGCTAATACAAATTATATCATGGAAAGTGTAGAATAGTATGCCAAGTGTCTTAAGTCTCAATGCGTGCCTTGGATCATTGCACAATAAAGAAAAAGAAAAGAGATTCTTGATCCGGCCCAGTTTTGGTTTATTGACATATTCTAGTATTTGATGACCATTGCATTGACTTTACGAACTTCTGGAACTAGCCAATGTACTTGAATTATGTAGCACATTTGGCCATTAGAGGAATGCATTGCTTTTAGATTGGTACATTGGACATATCAAGTAAGACATAGTACATGTTCTAATTTTGGGATAATAACTACTGAAAGTGAGGGTTGCCCTTGTTTACTTGTTTAGAGAAACACGTTCTAGACTCTGTTATTTCAAATGATTGGTCACTGCTTTGTTTACACTTAGGGTAGACCAATTGGTTTAAATTGTGATGTACGTCCTACGAAAGTGTGAACACTAAAAGTTATAGAAACTTTTGAAGTCTTGCAAGTGAGTTCTGAACGCTGAATCCATTGGCTTATCAAATCTTCAAGGTTTTTGATATTCTATTCAGCCAAGGATTGCTGATCTACTGTCACTCCCATACTCTCATCTAGCGTCGTATCTATTCTCCAACCTGTGGTTATGGTTGTTATTATGTCATAATACGTACCAGAATACTTATCACCAGTCAGAATATGGTCCATTTCGTGATACCAGGGAAGAGGATGTAAGGTAGTCAAAAGAGGCAAAACAAACCCGGTAGATAATTACTTCAGATTCCAAGATCGTGACTTGGTTGATACATCATAAGCTCAAGGGATGACAGTTGAATGTACTTACTTCATCTTGATATTTAAACGCAATGGACTTACCACACTGGCAGGTACAAAAGAAGGGAAAGACAATCGCTTGGCAGGCCACGCTATTAATCTACTTTCTACATTCCTCTCGAAAACGTAATTCATTGGCCTCCTCAAACTTACAAAAATAAATAGCAATTACAACTTGCCCTTGTCGGAAATCAACTTGATGGCAGCGTTGTTGATAGCAATGGTCTTTCTGTCAACCACATGAGTCTGGAAAATGACAGTGTCACCTTGCTTCCAGGCGTAAACTCTCAAAGTCTCACCTGGGAACACAATACCAGTGAATCTACCCTTTATCTCGTTGAAAGCTCCAAACTCATCCAACAAGACCTTTGCAGACAAACCATAGGTACACATTCCGTGCAAGATTGGAGAATCAAACTTAGCACCCGCAGCAAAAGCAGGGTCAATGTGCAATGGGTTTCTGTCTCCAGTCAATCTGTACAATGCAGCCTGGTCCTTGGAAGTGACAATATCCTTCACAAAGGTTGGCTCAGTCTTTGGTGCATTGAAGGGGTTGGTTGCAAAGGTTGGTCTCTCAGCATAATTCTTAGTGTCACCCTCACACTGTCTGATGAAGAGAGTAGCTTCATTCTCGAAGAGAATCTCTCCGGTCTTGGTGTCTCTAGACTTCGAACCGTTGACAATGACACAATTCGTACCCTTCTGAGCAACAGACACTGGGTGGAAACTGGTGACAACCTCACCCTCGGTTGGGATTGGGAAGGCGTTGATCTTAATGTACTGCTCACCGTGCAACAAAAGCATTGGGTTGAAGTTTCTCAAGTACTGAGCAAACGACTCCTGAGACTTAACCGAGTTGAAGGTTGGCAAGTGACAGAACGATGGTACGACCTGGAAATCCGAGTCGTTCTCGTAAACGTACTTCAAGTCGGTGACCTTGGCACCAACACCGAGGTTGTACAAGATAACCTCTCTATCGGTCCAAGAGAAGACTGGATCTGGGAGCTTGTTGACGTCAATCTCGTCATCGTCGTCCTCTTCTTCGTCCTCATCATCCTCATCATCGTCGTCACCACCGACAGCCTCCAAGATGGCCATGGAGGACTCAGTGGTTGAAGATGGGTTGGCAGTACCGGTGGAGAAGTCAACAATGTCGGCAATGTGCTCTGCAATGAACTCGGCAGAAATGTCCTCGTCATGGGACACAGCACCCTTAGCTCTCTGCCATCTGGTGGCACCGATCCATCCTCCACCACCCTCGAACAACTCACCAGTAACTGGAACCTGATCAGAAGCCAAGAAGATCAATAATGGAGCAACCAACTTTGGTGGGTACAAGTTCTTGTCCTCCTCTCTGAAGATAGTCATGGTCATGGCAGTCTCAGCATGTGGGGCAACGACATTCACCTTGATGTTGTTCTTAGCACCCTCAATGGCGATGGTCTTGGAGAAACCGAGAATGGCGGCCTTAGCAGCGGCATAGTTGGCCTGGCCAAAGTTACCGTAGATACCAGAGGTGGAAGCAATGTTCACCACTCTACCGTAGTTCTGCTTCAAGAAGTGAGGCCAAGCCAACTTGGTCAACTGGTAGGTACCAATCAAGTGGACCTTCTGCACTTGGATCCACTCCTCGTAAGTCATCTTGGCGAAAGAACGGTCTCTCAAGATTCCAGCGTTGTTCACCACAACGTCAATCTTGCCATACTTGCCGATGACATTGTCGATGATCTCCTTGGCCTGCGAGGCAACATCATGCTGGTCACCGTGGGCATCTCCGCCAGCGGCCTTGATCTCCTCTACAACCTTGTTGGGATCTTTGAAGTCATTGACAACAACCTTAGCACCAACCTTAGCAAAGGCCAAAGCGTAGTCTCTACCCAATCCGGCACCAGCACCGGTGATCAACACCACTTGGTCCTTCAATGACACTGGGTCCACGCCCGAGTTGTCGTTGGCGGACAACTGCTTAGCAGCCTCGTTCAACGACAAGTAATCGTTCAACATCTTAGGATGCTGAGTGTGCAACAACTCTGGCTTGCCAGCGTTGTCGAAGTTACGGATCTCCTCAAACTTCTTGGACACAGATTCAGCGGTGAAGGAGTCGTCTGGCTTGAACAAAACACCTCCAGATCTCTCCCATCTGATCTGAGCAAAGAAACCAGCAGCGACCTCAAAGATCTCTCCATTGACTTTGTCGTTGGCCTCAGAGGACAAGTACAAAACCAAAGGAGCAACCTTGGATGGGTTCAACTTCTCCAAAACTGGAGGAGGCAACACGGACTCAGTCATTCTGGATCTGGCCAAAGGAGCAATGGTGTTTGCCTTGATGTTGTAACGCTCACCTTCCTTGGCCAATGTCTCGGCGAAACCAACCAAACCCAACTTGGCAGCGGAGTAGTTTGCCTGGCCAAAGTTACCATACAATCCCGCAGGAGAGGCGGTGTTGATGATTCTACCATAGTTCTGCTTTCTGAAGTACTCCCAAGCAGCCTTGGTGACCTTGTAAGCTCCGTTCAAGTGAACATCAACAACCAACTGGAAGTCCTTATCGGCCATCTTTTTGAACGAGGCATCACGCAAAATACCGGCGTTGTTCACCACAACGTGCACGGTACCAAAGTTCTTGACAGCAGTCTCGATGATCTTTTCACCGTCCAAAACGTTGTTGTAGTCAGCAACAGCAATACCGCCAGCCTTCTTAATTTCTTCCACAACAACATCGGCGGCACGCGAGTCGCCACCTTGGCCGCTCAACGATCCACCCAAGTCGTTCACCACGACTTTGGCACCACGCTTAGCATATTCCAAACAGTAGTACTTACCCAAGCCACCTCCGGCTCCGGTCACGACAACAACCTTGTCTTTGAAAGAGACGGTCATGATTGTTATTTTTAAATTCTAAAAGATTTTCTGAAGTAAATCCTTGGTCGTTGGAGTTGGGGGATATTCCACTTATTATATAGTGGATGATTTTGCGGGGTGAGCCTGTGAAGTTTCCCCAGACAAACCGAGGTACTGCACACAAATAGGAAGAGAGATTGATCACCAATTATCGAGTTAATAGAGAGGTGGACGTTTAGGAATTGTTAAAGTACGATTAATTGGAAATAGTAAACTCAATGAAATGACTGGGCAACTTTTTTTTTCGAAGTCTTCAACGGTTTTGTAAATAGAATATATTAGTCGAGAGAGTTTTCCAAATCATCGAAGCGAGGAGGTACGGGTGTTTCTCTCCCATCCGAGGATCACCATCTCCACACATTAAAGTCGATGAAAAAAAAAATTGCTCAGAGACATTCATCACAATCTCTACAGTTCAATTTGCACAATACGGCAGCCACAATATTTTGCAAAAGGGGGAATATCGACCTTTCAACCAATGACTTCTCGGGGTATACTCGGCTTCACTAAAGATCTTGCACCCGTACCTCCGATACTAGCCCTCCGATGGCACATGCGAGGGGAATTCGGTTATTCGACTTTTTCCGGTCAATCCATGGGAATCACATCCGGAGGGTGACGACTGTGGATTAATGAGGAGTGTATTTGGTGAAGATAGGGCTGGATGGATGGATGCGGAGTCGTAGTTGGTGATTTAGATAAATCGGAGACATGGAGGTGGAAAAACGATTAATTGAGGGTCGAGATAGTTATTGTGGAGATTGGAGTTATGAGACTAAGTAGACTAAGTGGAATGGAATAAATTGATTATTCTATTTTATGATTTTGAATTGTGAATTTTTCTTATTTAATCAAAAATAATCTGGCAGGTGATTATGTATTCAGATTGTTGTCATTGACATTTTCACATTGTTTGTCACAATTTTACAATTTCACATTTTCGGAGTCTGATAGCAATGCGAACAAATGTAGGAAACGAGCATGATTGTCATTGACGTGCAATGGGTGAGAATTTTGTGTAAATGACTCAGATTGATAGGTTGATTGAAATGAATAACTTTAATGATTTGATTAGTTTAAATTTCAATTGATACGATTGGAGTGTACATTCTAGAGTTCCTTGTTAAGATTATATTGAGCTGAGGTTCTGTTAGGTTGATTGTCAATTACCTGGTAGCCTCAAGATTCATAATTAGATAAATTTCATGAAAGAATATTTGAATTGATTAATTAGAGTGTCTCCTCCATACAGCTGCCGTATTCACCATCAGACATTTTACCTTTATTGTCTTCAATATTGACAGATATTATTCTATCTGTTGTTGGGTGGGGATCAGGTATCATGAGGCAGGCTATCTTTGCATTTTTAATCATACTACAAGATGAAGCTCACTGTCTTGCTATTTAAGCCTTCGAATACTATATCTGGAACCTCACTATATTTGCTAAAGCAAGAAATTCGACGCCATCACTAGGTTTTGTCAACAATCTATCTTCTTATACAATATTAAGAATGTACACAGTATAGAATCCTCTCGGTGGCCAAGCTGGCTAAGGCGCGAGACTGTAATTGAATTGTAATCTTGAGATCGGGTGTTCGACTCACCCCCGGGAGACTTCTTTTTTTCGCACCAAAACTTTTTGGCTCATCTCATCTCATTTTATCACATACCACATGCCTTCCAGAAACTCCATAAACAAGCCCAAGGGCAAGATCCATAGAGCACAGCACGGTGCTGCCATTTCCAAAAAGAGAGCTGCACGTTCCAAGGCTGCTCTTCCCACTAGATCTTCTGCTGGAAGATATAATACTGAGACTGCTCCAAGACCTACAGACTCACATGCTTTGGCCTTATACAGTGGATCTGGGCCTAGCTTGGGCAGTGGCGTGACCACTAAGTCTCTTTCCAAGAAGAGAGCCAAGAAGATCGAGAGAAACAGCCGTTACGTTGCTAAAAGAAACGAACAATTGTCGATTGATTTGGCAGCCAAGGAAGAGGGCATGGACGTAGACATGGACGGCGAATCCAAGAGAGTCAGAAACAAGAAGCCACAGACACAGTTGGAGAAGGTTAAGGAGGCTCTTTGGGCGGCTGTGGATGACGTTTCGGGTGCATTTGAGGTGGATGTTCTGGGCGAGGGTACCACCATTGGAATCCAGGCCTTTTAATTGCATGAGGGAATGAAGCATTTAGGGATTAATCTAAGACTGCGGAATGAAAGTAGAGGAAGAGACAGATAGGCGAAGGAGAGAGAGTTGAAGTGGAGGGGAAGCCCGAACCAGTATGATTTTTCAATTAAGGTAGATCAATGAATCCCATTCTATGTCGATCTTCATTTGCTGGCCCAGCGTATTAGATAGAATTCGAACTATCAACAATATTCGGCGCCCATTGCTCTTTTAGTGGTCTAATACCCAATAAATATATACATTGTTCAATCCAAGACACAGATCATTTGAGGTTCCTTAACATGCGTATCTCAATTGTCATTCCACTTAGTCACATAATGTTCAAAGTCCGTATGCGTTTTGCCACAATAACACTGTCTCTATTAGACATTCGACAATTAGCTCCATATCATATTGCACATGCATTATCCAGCTCTACTAATCGTGCCCTACGTTTCACAGCTCTATTTCTCAACCCACTAAACATCTACAGCATCAATTCACTTATGTGTAACAGGCGAAAATACAACCTTCGTACTACATATCTCATCACAGTTTTCTTCCTTCACTATCTACTCCGTGTAAACACCCTTCTTCTTCAAACTGGCATTCACAGTCTCTCTCATATAGTCAATAAGCACCACAGGGTCTGGAGCAGTGAAACACGAGGTTCCTGCAACAATAACATTGGCACCAGCATCAGCAGCGGCGGGAACGGTCTCCTTGCCCAATCCACCGTCAACTTGGATGTTCAATTGCGGGAATCTCTCTCTCAATTTCTCAACCTTAGGCATCATGTCAGCCATGAACTTCTGGCCACCAAAACCGGGCTCCACGGTCATCACCAATGCCATATCCAAGTGCTCACCCAACTCGTAGAGCACATCCACGGAGGTTCCCGGCTTAATAGCACAGGCAGCCTTCAAACCGTGTTCCCGGATCAATTTTACAAGGGCCAATGGATCCTTCGTAGATTCATAGTGAAAAGTATACTGATCACCACCAGCCTTTGCGATTTCCGGAACCCACTTCTCAGGCTCCAGAACCATCATGTGACAGTCGAAAAATGTCTTTTCGGCGGCTCTTGGGATCTCCTTTCTCAAGCTGGAGATGATAGGAGGACCCAATGAGATGTTGGGTACGAAATGACCGTCCATGACGTCAATGTGGAGCCAATCGGCACCGGAATCGTACATCTTGTGGCAGTTACAGCCCAAGTTGGCGAAGTCGGATGCAAGAATGGAGGGTGCGATGATAGCCTTGACCATAGTGGAAGAAGTGTAGTTGGTGATTGCTAAAGATGAATTGTGCACTCCAAGTAGGTGGAGGTGTTCTAAGAGAAATGTAGGAGAATGACGGCCAGAGACTGGGATCTTGAGGATTTATGATATTTCTCTATTTTATTCTACTCTTCTTTTTTGAATTCTTTGTTGGATGTGAAATTGGGATATCAAGTTGAGATATCTAGTGGGTAGTGAAGGTTGGTGATCTGAACGAAGATTGCGAAGTAAATATCTATGAATGCACAGACGGAGAATAGATAAGAAAGAAATCGGTTATAGGAAGTAAAGATGAGAGATGAGTCTTTTAGTATTTAAGAATAGACTGAAAGATCATCAGTGACTGAAAGATCATCAGTGACTGAAAGTTATATTGGGTGTGATGATGAATGTTGAGATAAGTGTATATTGAGATAAAGATGAAGATATGGAAGTTATGGAAGGTGCAAAGATGGAAATAATAAAAGAGATATAAATAGGGAAAAACCTTTAGATGATGGTTCATGGCCGGCCCTTAGTATCCATTTAGATTAGAGTGAAAGAGACGAGATCAGTAATTTGGTGACATGTAGACGATAAGTGAACCAATATTGATAGATAAGCAGCTATATACTACAATAAAAAGCAAAAAGATGAATCGAACTACCTATTCAGACATTGGTATCTTTTAATTTCAATGAACTTCGTCCTTTTCACACATCCATCGCCACCGATGTTGTCCTCAGGTGGAAGACACCATATATAATTCGATATAGATAAACAAAATAGACGTAATTTTAAACATAGACAAAAGAAACAACAACGAATAGAAACTTACAAATCTAAATATCCACCACATGACACTATACTATTATTGCCTATCTAATTAGAGAGATCCAGGAAATCCATGGTTGCTTTGTCGCCTCTAACACCTTATAACTTTACAACTTTTCAAAACCAAAAAATCCATTTACTTTCTGTTCTTTCCATCAACTACAAATCACTTTCCTTTCTTTATAAATCCCTCCAAATTTCCAATTTCTCATCTCCATTACATTCCACCCGTCACATCTCCAACTCATCCATTCTCACCAACTTCCTCCATACACCGCGCCTCAACCACCTACACTTCTTTATGGCACACTCCACCAACGACGGCGCCTCCTTCTCGGAGCAGCTCTTGGAGTGCGCAAGAAGAAACAACACCGAGCTTTTACAATCCATCATCGCCGAGTTGCCTGACGTCCATGCTGTGGCCAAGTTGGTCAACTCCACCAAAGAAGTGATCTCCAACAACTCACCCTTGCACATTGCTACGCTGTTGGGAAACTGGGAGTTTATAGACATGGTGCTAGACATTGAGGGGGTGGAGATCGATCCGTTGAACAGAGACGGCGACACGCCGTTGCATTTGGCGGTCAAGTACGCTGCTTCGGAACCGGAGTACGGTTACTTTATCATAGACAACTTGCTTGATGCAGGGCTGGATGCTAAGATCGTGGATCGGTCGGGCTTGAAGCCGGTCAATTACGTGGTGAACAATGAGAAGCTCCGGACCTTGTTACAAAGTGCCGAGTACGCTGCTGCTGTGGAGGAGGTGGAGGTGGACGATGACGACGATGACGAGGGAGATGAAGGTCTGGCCTCAGATTCGGATTGATAGTTGAATGCATGATATGGACGGATGGATGCTGTAGAGTCGACGGTTAATATTGGGAGGATGTTGCTTGTTTAGGCAAATCCGGTCAGATAAGAACCAGTCAGATAGATCCAGTTAAATAAGTTCCAGAAGAGCCAACTACGGCCAGCCAAACGATCACGCTGACTCCACCCAACAAAATACTGGTTCCAGTAGAGTAGTTGATATCTTGAAGTTCTACTTTTATTTTATTCTGTTTATGCATTATGTTCATCTTCCAAAACTCACTTAACCTCTAGTTCCACTAAGATGTCTCTTTACATTCGTCTGCCCATAATCTCTACCCCAACTCTATATCTTCTTTACTTGTTCTTGGCCAACTGTCAAATTGTTTCCATGCATGTTCTTTGTCTTCTCTTCTGTCAATCTTTAACTCATCATATTTCCTCACATTTCCCACCATTTCCTTCGCATGGCTATACATTTTCCTTTTGCACAACATCGATGCTCCAGTCGGCTTAGGTGGTTTCTTCTTCACAAAAGCTCCATTTTTCACGCCGTTATTAAGCACTTCTTTCGTTTTGGTAGGAACACAGTAGACTATACTGAGAGGCAGAGGAGATGCATGGTCAGACTTGTGGAATTGATACTTGTCCGAATCGAAAAGCAATACTTTGAGTTGCTGACTGGCGGGAGGATTGCTCTGAAGTCGCTCATTGAAGCAGCGAAGAAAATCTGTCTTGTTGTACTTGGCTCTTTGAAGTACCAAGTAGTCAAGATAGATAGGCAGCACCAATTGAGACGTAACGCAGTTTAAAATTCCTATAAACTGCTTCAAACAGAGCTTATCTGAGCAAGATTTCGAGTAAGTCACCAAACTGTCTGCTCGGCCCGGTTTGGTCCTGACTATGCCCACCTTATTGAAATGTGCTCGACCTCTCATCACCTTAAGCTTTTTGGCCGGAGGTTCCCAAGAATCAGCACAATTTGAGGAGACAACAGACATAGATGCGTCTCCACATGGCGGTTCCGAAATGTAGAGTGCCAATGAGACGTCGTTCTTGAGACGAAAAGGTCGCTTTCCATCGATATCTTCACATAGAAGTATCAGTTCATGTTTATCCCCAACCTTCTTACTCAAACGGACCGCTTCGTCCACCAAAAGCCAATTAAAAGCTCGTAGACACAAGATCTCGGCATGATTGTCGTGAACAATCCATCCATCCGAGTATTCTCGAACGCTATCAGGCATGGATTTCACTCCAGTAGCCAATGTGAGCACTGACACCGAGTCTTGGTGTATGGCGACAAGACCTGCTAGAACAGACCATTCCTTCGTTCCATTGGACCGAACAGTAGGTTTTCCAGACTTATCGAGCGCATCAAATGCTGTTACCACTGCGTTGGCTATTCTGTTCGGTAGGTCCATGTCGTGCAGGTACAAGAGATGGAGATGGAGATGGAGATGGAGGTGGAGGTGGAGATAAGTTGGGGATGAAATTGAAGAGGGAGAAGAGTGTGATAATACAGATAATAGAATTTATTAGAAATATCATGAATAGTGCTGCAATAGCCAAATGAATAGAAATTTGTCGCGTAATCAATCGACTGGTGGTAACAAACAATGAAACATACAACATCTCCATTTACGAAGTGAACACTACTTTTCCAACAGCACGGTTGGACGCAACTCTATCCACACCTTTCTGGAAGTCTTCCAACTCATAAACACTGTCAATCACCACATCAAACTCGTGGTTTTCCAAGTATTCAACCAATTTGTCTGGCCATGTCTGCTTGGTATCGTTCAGAATCTGAACCATCTCATAGTAGTAGGGTAAAAATCCCGTTTTGGATCTGAAAATCCGGAAAAAAGTGCTGAAATTGTTGGACACAAGACTCAAGAAGCCCTTTGAGTAGTCCAGCTTGGCGTCACCGGTTACAGTCACATAGGCCCCACCTTCCTTTCTGGATCTAAGGATTTCTTCGATCTGAGGGAACAAATCACTGTTTCCACAACAGTCCAAAATGGCATCAAATTTGCCTGTGATCTTCACACTTTCCAAAACCGCGTTCAAGATGTTCTTGTTCTTCGTGTAGTCGATCACCTCGGTAGCTCCATACTGTCTTGCTACAGGTTCAGTCTTACCTGAACAAGTGACCACAATATGTTCCGAGCCATAGATTTGTTTGGCCAATTGCACGGCATATCTTCCCACCGACGTTCCAGCTCCCAAAATAAGCACCTTTCTGAAAGAAGCCTCTGGCTTGTCGGTTTTCACCAGCAGACAATACTGAAACAAAGACTCAGCTGTACCAAAAACGAGAGGGTAAGCTGCAGCCTGTTCGTACGAAAGCTTTGCTGGAATTTTTCTGATCGACGCACCAGACTCTTTGAAAGGCTTGATCAAAATGTATTCCGCCATTGAACCATCGGAGAAATACGTCAGATTAAAACCACACACCTTGTCTCCGATCTTGAAATCGGATTTCGCAGCCACCGAGCCTCCAACAGCCAAAACATCTCCCGAGAAGTCAAAGCCAATGCCTTTGTCACTGAAGGAGAATATCGAGTAAACGGTGTTCTTGACCAAAAGGTCAACGGGATTAAGTGCTGATGCCCGCACCTTGACCAAAACACTGTCGTCAGGAATCAGGTAATTGTCACCATTTTGCTTAATTGGCAACGACACGGTCTTAATTGAAAGAGGCGAGTTTTTGTTCCTGTAACGAACGGCTTTAAAGGTAAAAGACATTTTTTCAGGGGCTGGAATTGGTGGGGTTACTGGTTAATATATATACGGGACAAATGCCGGAATTAGAGAAAGTCCGTCGGGGTTCTGGTTTGGGTGGCAACCATAGTACCATCGACCCATGAATCCAAACTATGAAGACATTTGGCTATTAGAGATGTTAACGTGTTCATATAAATTCTTCAATAAGCATTTATCATGGTATTGGCAACTGTGAATGTAGACAACCTCGGATTGTGAATGTAGACAACTACCTCACACCATGTATCTCACACCATCACACCATGAATTTCACACTAAATCTAAGGGTCCCAATGAAAGTACTACACCAAAAAAGAATAATTTATACTTTATCAAAATGCTTCAAATTATGTCATTGGTCTTGAGATTCTCAATTTGTCAATTCATCAATTCTTAAGACTTCAATTCTTCAAGTCCCCCACAAAGCCTTTCCTCTCTTCATCTTCTCTTTCTCATCATGGCCCCCATAACTCCCAAACCCACCGCCAACACTCCTCCAGCAATTCCTAGCCCAATGAGTCCGTCTTGAGTTACCTGGTCGTCGATTGCCTGCTTTAGGGCCTTGAACTGAGTGTTCTCAGGCTCCTTTTCAAGCAACGACTCTGCGTAACGCCGGGCATTGGTGAATTCACCGATCTTGACGCTTCCGAGCGCCAAGTAGTAGAGAGAGTCTCTCCGGAGTGATGGAACGTCTCTGTAGAGCGTGGCCAAAATGTCTAGCGCCTGTCTCTGCGCCTTGTGGTTGTCTGTCTTGAGAAGTGCCCATGCGTAATTGAACAGTGATTGCGGGGATGGTGGATGCTCTGACTCGACCTGATTTCTGAGGATCTGGAGCTGTTCAGGTGCAATGGGCTCGTTGACTTCTTCTAGTGCCGCATAATTTCTCTTGAACATGAAAGACATAGTGGTACGGATAAGTTATACGCAGAATGGAGTATGAAGTATGGAGTATAGTGTATGGAGTATGGAGGAGTATGGAGGAGTGTCGAAATATGGGGAAATTTGGACTCGACGGAGAAATTTGTAATTGAAATGATTTGAATTTGAAAGTATTGGAATTGAAAGTATTGGAATTGAATTCATGGCATACATAGTTATTAAAAAAGTATAGACATGGAAATGAAACGTCATTCTGGTGGACGAATGAGAAAGGCATGAAATCGTGGAACTAGTTATAGAAAGAACAAAAAATCAGAGGGAGGAAAATGGGAAAATCAAAGCAACACAATAAAGCTTTGCAGAATTGAAGTTTGAGAGAATCCATCAATAAAAAAGAAAAGAAAATAAACTGTTTATTGAAATGGGAGATGGTCCTTACTGATACCTTCAATCAATGACTGATCCTCTTGTATTCATACACAAGGATCCACCAATTTCATACATTCCATTCATTTTGATATCATTTAGCACTGGTTGAGATATACCTTGTTTAGATTTCTTTCAGATCACATTAACCATCATTCTCTCATCCATCACTTTTTCCATTATTCTCCACTACCTGTACACCATCCATCACCAATAGACCTAACCACCAACTTATCCACCACCAAACCATTGAAAATCCTTTAATATCCCCATAGCATTCCCAACCAATCAATTACCTTTCATCAAAAAGCCCACTTAAATTTGCAATTCACTTGCCAACCCCAATTCAATTCTTCTACCCACTCTCCACTAATTAATTCTCACCCAATTCTCACACTAATTCTCACCATATCATACACCAATGCAAGACAATCCCTCCCCCACCAAGTATTCCCTTTTCAATATCTGGGGAGTGACTCTCGCCCTCAAGGCATTGCTCACCATTGGTTACCACTCCACGGACTTTGATGTTCATAGAAACTGGCTAGCCATCACCCACAACTTGCCAGTAGCTAAATGGTATCTTGAGAATACTTCGCAATGGACACTCGACTATCCGCCATTCTTCGCCTATTTCGAATGGGCTTTGTCACATTTGGTTCCTTCTTTCGTTGTCAATGATGGCTGCTTGTCAATTGTTGAGAAAGGTATCTATGGCTTGCCTACCATCTACTTTCAACGACTCTCGGTCATTGTCAGCGAAGTAGTGTTGTTTGCCTCGTTGCAGTGGTACTTGGCCACCAGTAAGTCGCATCTGGAGACTCGCCGGGCTTTCGTGGTGGCTCTGAGTCTTGTTCTTTCGCCTGGTCTACTCATTATCGATCATATCCATTTCCAGTACAACGGCATGATGTACGGACTACTAGTGCTCATGATTAACTCTGCAAGGCTTGAAAAGTACTTGTGGTGTGGCTTCTGGTTCAGCACCTTGCTATGCTTCAAGCACATCTACCTCTACTTGGCACCAGCAGTATTTGTCTTCTTGCTCCGTGTTTACTGTCTCAACTTGCAATATGACACAAAAAAGAGCTTTCTCGACAACGCTGTGCGTATGGTGCAGTGGAAAAATTCACTTAAGTTAGGTTTGGTGGTTATTGGTGTGTTTGCGCTGGCTTTTGGCCCCTTCATCTACTACAACGTGATTCCAAACGTTGTGGAGAGACTCTTTCCCTTTAGTAGAGGCTTGACCCATGCTTACTGGGCCCCTAACATTTGGGCCATCTACTCCTTCTTCGACAGACTTCTTATCCAAGTTTACCACCGCATTCCATTGTCAAGAATCCCACTTCAACGGATCTTCCAGTTCGATGTCAAAATGCTCAACGACCCTAAAATGCTCAAATCGACAACCAGAGGCATTGTCGGGGATATCGAGTTCTTGGTATTGCCTAGAATCCCTCCAAAGTTGACATTTCTCCTTACGCTCTTCTATCAGGTCATGGCCCTTATACCTCTTTTCATGCAGCCCACCTATGAGAGATTCATTGGTGCCTTGTCTCTCTGTGGTTACGCATCATTCTTATTTGGCTGGCATGTCCATGAGAAGGCCGTGTTGATCATCATTTTTCCTCTCTCGTTCCTTGTTGCCAGAGACAAGAGGCTTTTGGCACCTTTTAATCTTTTAGCATCGTGTGGCTACGTGTCGTTGTTCCCGCTCATTTTCACTTGCGAGGAGTGGCTCATTAAGGTCACATACGTGTTACTCTGGTACGTGATTTACTACTTTATGTTCCGAAACATTGTCCAGGTTCCCACCAAACTCGTACGTCCTGGAGCTTACGTTTTAGAGCGGGTTACGAATCTCTACATCCTCGGATTGGTTCCAATGGTGCTTGTAGTAAGTTTGATGGAGTTGTTGGAACATAAATTTGAGTTGATGAAAAAGTTGGAATTCATGCGTCTTATGATTGTGAGTGTCTACTGTGCTGTGGGCGTGGTGAGTCTGTGGAACGGTTTCAATTGGTTGTATTTCGTCGATGAGAGTATCTGGGAAGGCAACTAGAGAATAAGAGCGATTATTCAAATGCGGATAGTAAATTGAAAGATTTTCTCCAATGAACGGTATTTCTTGATCAAACGGTACTCTTTGATCAATTGTACTCAATTTTGCCTCATTCCTCCTGAGATTCTCACTAAGGACAACCATGCAAGCTGGCCCCAAAACGATAAGCTATTGTTGATCACTGTAACGATGGGATTTTTGCTTGACAACCTTCGAAATGTCAAATCTTCAATTGACAGCACTAGCTCACTCGAAGATTTACTTATATTTCCACTCTACACAGTCATTAGACATTGACACATATGGAAATCTGCCAGATGTCCAACCTTATCAACTTGGTCTTACACTCTTAAAAGTCGCCACATCCCTATTTATGCAATTGCAAGTGGTCTATCTTGTGTCTGGGATTGTCCCCTGTTTATTTTCCAAGTGTTGGAACTTGATATCAATGGGTGCTACACTACTCTGCACAATGACTTAATTTCAATGAGGCCATCCTACACACCCTTACTAGGATTCCCCGCAACCCCACATGGCGTCTGGTGATGGACGAGGCATGGAAGATGATTTGTTGAAAAATTAAGCGTGGTATTCCATTCCGGAGTTTGACGCTCCAGACTACGGCATCTCCTAGTTAGTCGCACAGCAAGTGTGTCACACGGTGATGGTGTTACATAACCATCTCAATAGTTGCGGACCTCTGTAATCTATTTAAGGACTTCATCCCTCCGATTTTCGGCCACTTTCTCAAGACATACTATCTTTGTAAAAATGTCGGAAACTATCTCCCTCGGAACCTACTTGTTTGAAAGACTCCACCAGAAACCATTGGACTTGGGATCAATCTTCGGAGTTCCCGGTGACTTCAATTTGACTCTTCTTGATAAGATCGACGAGGTTGATGGCTTGGAATGGCGTGGCTGTGCCAACGAATTGAATGCTGCTTATGCTTGTGATGGCTACTCCAGAGTCAAAGGTGCCTCTGCCGGTGGTGAAGGTATTGGTTTCGCAGCATTAGTGACGACCTTCGGTGTCGGAGAGTTGAGTGCACTCAACGGAGTTGCTGGATCGTTCGCCGAGCATGTTGGAATGCTTCATATCGTCGGAATCCCTTCTTTGGACTCACAGAAGAAGCAATTGTTGTTGCACCACACCTTGGGTAACGGCGATTTCTCCGTCTTCCACAGAATGTCTAAGAACATCTCCCAAACCACTGGCGTCCTCAGCGACCCTGAAACGGCTGCTGACACCATCGACAGGGTCATTGAACAGGCTTTTATCAACCAGAGACCCAGCTACTTGGCCTTCCCTGCCAACATGGTTAATGTGGAAGTCCCCAAGGAGAGATTGAACACACCTTTGAACTTGAACGTTCCTGAGAACGATCCGGATGCACAGGAAGAGGTGTTGGAGACTGTAATTGACATGATCAAGAACGCGAAGAATCCCGTGATTATCGTTGACGCCTGTTGCGCTCGTCACAATGCCAGTAAAGAGGCCAACGAGCTTATTAAACTCACCAACTTCAAGTATGCCATTACTCCAATGGCCAAGGGTACTCGCTACATCGAAGAGGAAAATGACAGATTTGCAGGTGTCTATGTGGGTAGTTTGTCGTACCCAGAGGTGAAGAGCTCGGTTGAGGGTTCCGATTTAGTACTTTCATGTGGCGCTATGCTAAGTGACTTCAACACTGGTTCGTTTTCCTACTCATTTCAAACCAAAAACGTCGTCGAGTTCCACTCAGACTACACAAAGATCAGAAATGCCAACTACCCTAACGTTAGAATGAAGGAGCTTTTGCTGAAATTGGTGAGCTCCAGTGCCTTGAAATCCGCTGTTGCCAACTACAAACCTGAAAAGTTGAACAAGGATCCAGTCGAGAAGAACGACCTCTCAAATGAGTCCAATATCACCCAGCTGTACTTGTGGTCTCGTTTGTCTGGTTTCTTGAAGGAGGGCGACGTTGTGGTTACTGAAACCGGAACTTCATCGTTTGGAATTGTTCAAACCAAGTATCCAAACAACACCTTGGGTATTTCACAAGTTCTTTGGGGATCAATTGGTTACTCTGTGGGTTCAGCATTTGGTGCCGTCATGGCTGCTGAGGAGCAGAACCCACCCAGAAGAGTGCTTCTCTTTGTGGGTGATGGTTCATTGCAATTAACATGCCAGGAAATCTCATCTATGGTTCGTTTCGGCAAGAGGCCATATCTTTTCGTTTTGAATAACGCAGGTTACACCATTGAGAAATTGATTCACGGAGAGCACGCTGAGTATAACCAGATCCAGCCTTGGAACCACCAAGTGATGTTGGAGTTCTTCGGTGCCAAAAAATCCGAGACCCACCGTGTCCAAAAGGTTGGCGAGCTCGAGAAGTTGTTCAAGGATGAGAAGTTTGCCAAGAATGACACCATTAGATTGGTGGAGATCATGCTTGAGGAGATGGATGCACCAACCAACCTTGTGCTCCAGGCAAAGATGTCTGAAAAGGCTAACGCTGAGCAGTAACTTCATAGGAACAATTCAAATGATAAAATGAACGTCTGTTTAATTCTAGTACAGTAAGTCCGTATCCGTTTTCCATTGATAATGTCCTAAGGCGATAGGTCATTGTGCTATGTACTGGTTATCATCACAAGTAGATCAAATACTAGTGATTCATTCTCAGGAAAATCGAATCAGGGAATAACGCTTCCCAATCTTCGTTAAACAAATCTGAAGTCATGAGGACAGGCGGACCACCAAAAAAGTCCACACTGTTCTCGTCCATGATATTGCCATAGTTTGGTTGGTTGAAAATATGTGAATCAGTGAGGGATGATCTCTCTCCCACATCACTGGTGTCATTCGGTGCCTCATTTGGCTGATTAGAGCATTCTGAGTCAACTGCAGACAATGCTTCCAGATTGACACTCTGTGGAACAGATTCAGATGAAACTTCCCCATTAGTTTCCTCCTTTATTTGAATGTTAGAGAGGACAGGTTTCTTGACCTTCTTAGGTTTGGTCTTCTTATCTGTTGTACGAGGAGTGAAATCAGGATCGTTGACAAATTGCAACTGAAGTTTGCTTTCAATCAGCTTGTACGATTTCTCTGCTAAAGCCCATGTCTTGGAACATCCAGCCAAAACATTCAAGAAATACTTGAGTTTAGTTCTGGTGTCCTCACTCAACTTTTCAGTAGGAGTGGTTAAAAGAATGACAGATATAGACAAAATACTGCAGTAGACGATAAAAATTGACGATCTTCGAAGTCCATGTGTCAGGTCGAACTTCTGGATAGCCACATATAAGTCCTCGATAGCATTGTGACAAATCATAGCAGGAGAGTGGGGGTCCTGTCGGTTGTGGGCCAAGGGAGTACCCACAAACGGACGGTTCAAACATAAAATAAGAATGTAGTAATAGTAACGCACGCTGGCAATGGTGGGATTGTCGGAAACATTCTGCAAGTTCTCTTGGTCCCAATTCAAATCCAGGGGAAGATTCTCCCTCCACTTCATAATCTGAGCGTTATATTGCGATAGCTTCGTGTACCTTGAAGACAAGTCCAAGTCCTCCCCTTCAGAGTCCTTGTGGGCACCAGATTCGTGGTCGGATTTAGTGAAAATGTCATTAAGCATATTGTCAGAGATGTTGATGAGGTTGATGATATGATTCAACGGATCAGAGATATTGGTGACATTCTCCGGAATGTACTTATAGTCATTAATCCAATCCAACTCTGGCAAGTCCTGGGTTTCTGGAATAGACGCATCCAGCAGCTTCAAAAGTGAAGGTCTACCCAATACAAGACTGATGAAGTGATCGGCCATGTAGCAGCCCCAGTAGATTCTGCTTCTGATGGCTACGTCGAGTGGTTTGACGGCTCCATGATTCTTGAGAAACCATACCTCAGGGTTTAACTGGAACCCTAAATCAAATCCCATTCTCATCGCATTACCTGAAAGCATCCAACCAGTAGAGTTGTTACCGTTGCAAATGTCGTAAAATGCTAATAAGAGGAAGCTCTGCACGGAGGTGATACTTGGGTGCTCCAAACTGGACAAAAGCGAGCTTCTGGCTTCATTGTAGTAGGTAATCGAGCGAGAGTAGATGGTGTCCACGTCACACATTCGGGCTCCAAGCGCACAAATGCTGAGGACAAGAACAGGCAGACAATAGAGCGAGTTTGGCTTGGGATTAAAGAAATCAATGAGAAAAGCTTCTCGAAAAACAAACATGTTATGGTCTGGATATTGCCAGGTGAAAAAAAGCCGCAAACACTGAAGAATGTCTGGATCCTTGTTCATGGACTTCAACAAAATGATATCTCTGGATTCCTTCTTCTGCAACAGCGATTTGGACCTGAGCTCGAGCTCATTCTCATAGACACTGGTAGGTCCGTATACCAGCCGAATCTTCGATGAAGGAACGGGAGACAGAGAATGCCTCGCATCCTCATCATTTTTGACCTCATCGGCAATCTTTGATTCCTTTTTCCGTTCTGTTGGTGGAGCATGTTCGCCCAAATATTGTAGGATGCTGGCTTTCTGACTCAGAAAGAAATGGTCTCGCTCATCCAGTGACTTGAGCTTGTCCAATGAGAGAAAAAACTTAGAAAGCGCATCATTTCGCTTCTCCAACGTCAGGACATAGTTGGCAGGTGGCCGTTTCTTCCTCATATCGTTTGGCACCTGAATGCATTCAACACCCAACTTTACACAACTCGAACATGGATGTGCAAAGTTACATTTCACCTTTCGTAGCCGGCATCTCTGGCACGAGAGGGGCATCTCCTTCTTGCTACGCTTTGTGGGTACGTTTACGTCATTTTCCGCGGGTTTGGTAGACGTCTCCGACATTTAATGACAAAAATGGAGATGTTGAAGCTTTTAGTGATAACTAAAGTGCAGAACTAACGGTCTGGTCGTGCATATAAATGGCTGACATTTATGGATGGTGGGGATGAAAGGGATTTATAGGAGCATATGAATTAATTTTTTAAAAATACTAAAGGAACTGAAAAATATTTCATTAAGAAATTGCTGGGTACAAATATTCAATGATTAGTATTTTTTTTTGGCGTGTTACGCACTCAATATATAGGCGATCCGATGGGATCGATGCTGAAACCTCCTAAAATTTATCTCTACTCAATGGCAAACAAAATCTGGTAGGAAGTGTAGAAAACGGCAAGAACACCCACCACAATGATCGCCCAGTCAAAGTACTTGAAAAACATCAGCTGGTTGGGCTGCGTCTTGTATGTCTTCAAGTGAATCATAGGTGGATAGATGTAGACAAGTGGAATACATGCGAAACATCCATTGAAACTCACAAACTTGTCGATGTTATTGGCGTTCAAGTAAGCCACACAAGAAATGAACACGACTGATGCTGCTCTCAAGATATTCTTGATCCACTTGATATGTGGGTTGTACTTTCCAGAGTTGTGGTACAATTTACCTTCCTCGGTATGGCTCTGCTGCTCCTTGGTCAAGAAGAGTCTGGAGTTGAAAAGAACCAGCTCTCCGATTCTGATGGCTGGGAATAATTGCAATGGGGCGGTCAAAAACACAGCAATCGAGTACAACACCATGATCAGCTGCACTGCGATGTTGGTCAGAGGCAAGTTCAAAATGATGATGGACTTCACGTTTTCTCCAAAGCTTGAGTAGCCAATGGCACCAATGGCCACGAACAATGCGGTGATGATCAACATACTCATCGAGAGAACAAATGGAAACTTTTCTGGGTGGGCCATGGATGCTTCGATGGGAAGAATTAAACCAATACCTTCGAAAGCAGTAACTGCCACACCAATAAGCATGGACCACGTCTTGCTGTTGAATTGTACGATGTTAGGGCCGATACCATGCTCGATCAATTGCAAGCCAGAAAAGTAGAAGATGATCATCAAACCGACAAGAATAAACACGGAGGAAAGAAGGGACGTGAAACTCAACTTGGTTAAGTCTCTGATAAGAACGAACGGAATCAAAATAAGACATTGGAGAATTACAATGTTGGCTTTGCTCACGGTGATGTGGAAAAAGCCCTCCATGAACAGCGCCATGTTCTCAGCCGTGAACAAGATATATGTAGCCACAAACCCAATCTGAGCCAAAATGATCGATACCATGATTGAATACTTCAAAGGGTTACCGTATGTGAGGAACGCCAACTCACCGAATGAACTCTTTCCGAGAATCTTCTTACTGAAGATCAAAACAATGTAACAGATGTAGGTCAAGAAGCCGAAAATCATCATAACAATGGTAGAGAAAAGCAAACCACCATGGTGGAAGGCTCCAGGCAAGAAAAGCACACCGGAGCCCACCAAAGCCTTGAAAAGAAGGAAAAACGTCTTAACCTGGCTGGCAGTGCCTTTATGAGCCGTCTTTTTCCGTTTTTTGGGCACAGAACCCACAGGTCTTCTTTCCTGTAACAACAGCGACTCCTCGTCAAACACATCTTCGTAACTTTCCTCGGAAGACTCGTCGTCATCGTCGTCATCAAAGTCTTCACCGGCAAAATGACCGTAAATGCTCAAGAACTCCACAAAGTTTCTAGTTAAAAAATTTGGTGGAGGTTTGTTCTGCTGTAACGAACGGTTGATCAAGAACTCCCTACGGAATCCTCCAGGCACGTTGATGTCACTGGCTGTTGATTCTCTTCTGGCATCGATGAGATTACTAAATGAAGAGGATCTGGCCCTGCCCTTGCCCCCACCGTTGGCATTTTTATTCGCATTCTCTATCTGATGATACAAGTACCGTGCAACGTCTCCTCCTTGCATTTTGAGAGTTTCGTCGGGAGTTCCAAGATGCTTAGTCACCGTCTTGTAGTCGATGGATGCCGGGTTGGAGGTGCCTATATTTGCCACATGCTCATCATAAGACACAGAGTTGGATCGCGTGCTATTGTTATTGTTATGGATGCTTCCGTGGAGACTGCCGTAGCTCAGAGGCACCATGATATTTGCAAGATTCGATGCCGAGTGTCCCAGATGAATGGACATGGCGTTGTGGGTGGAGTTTTTCAGTGGAGAGTTCTGGAACGGGGAGTTCGAGAGCGACACTGACGAAGAGTCGATGAACTGTCTTCTAAATGACGACATCGTGAGCACTTAGGAGAATTTGATTACCAAAAATGGTGATCGTTGGAGGATTAGATGGGGACTGCCTCTAACAGATTGGGTGCAGGTGTGACAGCAGAGGTGTGGCTGGCGTAGGCGTCTTTAGTGGGGGCTTAGATGAAGTTGTTGGGATAGTTGATGGAGGGAATAGGAAGATCTTTTTTTTTATTTATTTATACATTGCTGGTATTATTCCGTTCTTCCAATTGTCGGAAATTCCAAAGCGGGGAGAAAATCTAGATACTTACAGATCTACACAGGGTTGCTTTTGGGGGTCATCGAACAAATTTTGACATCTCTCAAGGAAACTTGGCAGTGTCGAGAAATTTGACAAACATAGATTGGGAAAAAATTGCAATTCAAATGATTTTTCACGTTATGATATTCTGCTTGATTCCCAGTATTAATTGTCTTTTTTTGTTTGCTGTGTTTCCGTTCAATTTTGGTGATTCCGCTGGTCATGTCAGTTGTCGCATTTTGAGCCTTTTTACACATTTTGCAGCCAACATATTGTTCTCTCTTATGTTATTATTTTCCTAACACTTCCCAAGCATTAACCTAATCTCCTCGAAAATGATTTAAACAAAGGAAATGTCAATCTTGCAATTTATTATCTCTCTCTTGTCTCAACCTGCATGCCATCTACTCCCCACATAATCTACAACTTCATTCTACCATCAATGCCCTTTCTGTCATTTACGTCTTTCCTAGACAATGTAAGTGAGCCTGAAAACTTCAATAAGTCATCAGCGCCGCTAGACCTACTAGTTTCTGATTTATTTCTCAAGCTAGAGGCCACCAATGCAGAGAATAAAGCACCGTTTAACAGTGTTAGAGCCAAGAAGGAACATATTATTCAACAATTTGTTGAAACGTGGCGAACCCATTTTGGAGACAATATTTACCCGGCAGTTCGGCTCATATTTCCCAATAGAGATGGCAGAAAGTACCATATCAAGGATGTGGCGCTCACCAGACTTGTGACCAAGCTATTGAATCTTCAGGCTGGGCTGAATGACTACATGATCATTAAGAACTGGAAGAAATCGTACCATCAGAAGGCACAGTTGGCTGGTAGTAGTGAAAGAAAACAATTGAGTGACTTGCCGTTGATTATAGCCCGGATCATTCTGCGAAGACGAGACCAGAGTCTGTTGGTAAAAAGCTCTGTGACCGTCAAAGATGTCAACGACACGCTCGACAAATTGACGACGCTCTCCCATGCCAAAGACCAAGTAGACCTACTATCACCATTTTTGGACAGGCTCACCATTCCTGAGGTTCGTTGTTTTTTCCAGATGATCCTTAAGGAGTCCATGCTTTCCTTTTTCGAGAGAAGCTTTTTTGTAGCATGGCATCCTGATGCCTACAACTTGTTCAAGGTATGCGATGACCTCCGCAAGATATTCTGGCTTTTGTGCGACCCCACAAAAAGATTGGGACCCAACCAGCTATGTGTTCAGCCCATGTATCGGTTCATTCCGCAATCTTCTAAGAAGTTGGAGATTTCATATGCTGAATTGTGCAAGAGAATGACTGTCCCGATGGCAAAAGGCAATAAGGACGATAAATTAGTGCAGATGTACGAAGGACAACAGCTACAAGGCAAGTACCTTATTGAGGAGAAGATCGACGGAGATCGAATGCTTATGCACATGGTCGATGGGAACTTCATGTGGCATACGAGACGAAGACGGGACTACACACTTGTGTATGGTGAAAACATCCATTTAGGTTCGTTAACGAAGCACTTGAAGAACGTATTCCATGAGAATGTACGGAGTATCATCTTGGATGGAGAAATGGTTGCATGGAGCAAAGACAGAGAGCTCATACTTCCGTTTGGAACTCTACGATCTGCGGCAATCCAAGAAGCCCTCAAGCAATTTGAGGTAGTGGATGTCTACGAGGGTAACAATAGCTGGCCCCTTTTCATTGTATTTGACATCTTACACTTGAATGGCCAGGATCTCAGCAACCTTCCACTTTTCTACCGCAAGCATCTTTTAACCAAAGTAATTAACGAGGTTCCCCATCGGTTCGAATGTCTCCAATGGGTAAAAGCCACTAATCCCGAAGACCTTAAGGCCAACATGCAACGCATTGTCAGTGAGAGTAATGAGGGTATCATGGTTAAGTCGCTTCTACTGAAATATCGAGTATACTCACGAGACTCTACGTGGATAAAGGTTAAGCCGGAGTACTTAGAGAATTTTGGCGAAAATCTCGATCTTGTGGTGATTGGGAAGATTGGCAGAATTAAAACATCGTATATATGTGGGCTCAAGGATGTCGACGAAGACGGATGCTACAAGCTGTTCTGTCGAGTTGCTAATGGGTTTCTGACGGCCATCTATAGGCAGATCGAGTCTAAGCTTTGCAATTTTTGGGTCGACTTTTCTCTCCGCAAGCCAGGGCCCCACCTTCTCCGCTTTGGCACAGTCAAACCGGACTTTTGGATCGATCCGGCCAACCTGATCGTGCTTGAGATCAAAGCCCGGTCGATCGAAGCAACGGCCGAAACGCCGTATGCGGCTGGTTCTACCCTCCACAACCTCTGGTGTAGAGCTGTAAGAGAAGACAAAAGCTATGATGAATGCGTCACATTACAGGAATACCGGGACATCAAATCCCGGTACTCAGTGGACATATACAAGAGACAAGATGTTAATATCAGCCGGAAAAGGCAAGTGGAAAACTCCATCTATGTGAAGTACGATAAACTGGTCAAGCGGGCGTGTGTATCGGAGTCGACTTTATTTAGCAATCTCCACTTTGTGGTGGCCACTGATTACAGACACCCCGAGAGTGGAGTATGGTATCTGAATGAGGAAATGGTAGCGATAATTACCAGAAATGGGGGAACTGTGCATTTCCACCCAAAACTGGCGGTGTTCCTGAATCCTACCCTTGTATTGGGACTGGCACTTACCCCTAGGTTGCGAAGATGGGTTTCTGAGGGGTTTGATGTTATCTCACCTAGATGGGTGATGATGAGCATTGAGCACGGGAAACTCGAAAGATTAGAACCTCAGTTCGTGGTGGCCAGCCGCGACAACACATTACAGAAATTACTTGCACATCGTGTGGATGAGTTTGGAGATAGCTATACGACAAGTTGTGGACACAACCAATTTGCTGGGTACTTGATGAGACTCAACATACCATCAGGTTTGCAAGACACTAGCCACAAGTTATGTGCCGCACAATTTTTGAGTGAGGAGAAGCTACTCCGCAGCGAATTATTCCACAATTTGAGTTTCTATGTGGTCAATGCAGGAGGTGCATGCAGGGCCCGTAACGCGCAGCTCGTTCGGAAAATTGAAAGGTATGGGGGATCCGTAGTGGATGATGTTGTACACAGTACTTATATCATAGTTCCTAACATCTCTAAAGGTGTTGCTCCGGAGGAGGTTATGGACGAAGTCAAGAGAGCGAACGCAAAATTGGGGGCGAACTACGAAGAGGGGACTAAGACGGCAAAGACTGTTTGGGATGGATTCGTAGATGTCACGGTTGCAATGGGGGAGTTAGCTGATAGTGACACCTTCAAAGTTCGCTGGTGACTTGATGTGCCTTCCTGCGTGTAACAATGCTCTAATGTCGGTCGCCCTGCACAAGCATTAATCGGGGACACCACCCGTGTGATCCAGTGTGCACCTCCATGAAGGTTATGACAAAGACTATGTTGGAAAATGTAACCTCCCAACTAGCCGTTCCTGGACGTAGCTAAATAAGGATTATTTCAAAGAATAAAGAGAAAAAAATGCAACATTGCAAAATATCTTGCCTAGTGTTTGTAGAGAACATGTCATGTGGAGGAGCAGCAACAAAATGGGAAAAAGAAGATTGTGGTTTACTTAGAAATGGGGTAAATACGTGGGGGTGATGGGTCGCTAAAACTGGCAATCTAGTTCGGAAAAATGCATCATGTGCCTCCTGCAAGTGAATATCCAATTTCAGCATGCATGCAGGGTGGCAAATATCATCAATTTACATATACGCAACTAGTTCAAACCCCGCGCAAAAAAGACTTGAAGATTTTCCGAAGAGGAGAAGCTCCGGAAGGATGCACCAGGTGCAAATATAGTGAAGTCTTTGGCCAACATACAGCCATTACTGTCAATGACCCGAATTAGGTGGAGATCTCATCCCCCACCCCATAGTTATTTTTTTCCGCGTGCACAACAATCCTTTATCCAGCATGCAGATTTGGAGTCGTCTGTGCGTCACGGCGACAGGGCAGTGGCATTTTTTTTTTTTATCGCCGGGACTGGCGAGGCGGCATATATAGTGACGGTTTCCCCATCTTGTTTTGCGATTCTTGAATTCTCTATCAGCTATTCTCTTTTCACCATGGACGATTCTTATATTTGCCCGACATATTCATATACTGAGAACATCGACTACATGGGTAAGGCCGATATCCCCAACCACCACCTCCACCTTTGCTGGAAACGCAACAACTCGGTCACTATCAAGTCCCATCAAGACGATATCTGTCTCACTATCCCTTCCACCATCTCCAGAAGACTAGAAAACATATGCTGGAGAAGATGGAACAAGCAGTTGCATCTGTTGAACGAGATCTCGCCAGCACACATCAACTGGAACAAGACCCAGGATATCACATGGCTCTACGGACCAAAATACACAGAGCCTAGCCCTCTAGAGGAAGACATGCCTCGTCTTACAAGCGACAACTTGCATAAGATGACATACAACGATGTTCCAGATATGGAACTCGATGATGTCTCCTCCGTTGGGCTGGCCTCAACCATGTCATTTGACGACGTTTCCCTGATAGACACGGTAGAAGAAGAGGAGTTCGAGTTGTACGGATTGAAGCTGGCACTTAGACGTACTCCAAGTACCAAAAAGAAGCTGGTAAAATTCAGCTTCATTGTTAACTCTCGTGAGTTTGTCAACGGCATCCTGTTTGACTACGACTTTTTGGACACTCAGTGTTTGTAAAACCACCTAATATCTGCATGAACCAAGTACTAATACATTTTTGCTGGCAAGATTATTTTGTAGATTGCTATTCTTTTAAACTATTCCTCAAACCTAGATTCGGTGATTAAAGGGTACTCGCATCTATCTGGCAACTTTGTAGGTTCGGACAAAAGGTCGCATTCCTTACTATGTAGCGAATGGGAGCAATGGTATTAAATTATTTGCTTTTATTTCACAGGTGTAAATATCGGCTATGCGACAGTGTCCAAACCCCCAAATGTCCATGTGACTCAGCGAGCAATATCCCACTGAATTTTCTCCACTAATAACGACATCATGAGATAAATATGTACTTACAATCGAGGCTCATGTCGAAATAGGCAATGATTTCAAGTGGTGGTATGTATTTTGCGAGTCATGTGCTACTGAAATTGTTATCGCTTATTTTGTTCTTTCTTCGATTGTTATGTTACCATGTGAAAGAGCCAGGCTCGGAAATACCCTCCATTGCGAGCTCTGAGGTAAACGTGAGGTATTTCACACTGGCCACAAAAAAAAGTCTGTGACGTCTCCGCCTTCTCCCTTTTCCCTCTTCCCCCGCGGTTAGGTGGTCAAATGCACCACGCCCAATTGTGCCACCTGCATGCACCCGATCCACAAGACCACTAGCCGCAACTCACAGCGGTACCCACTGTGCTTGACATGTGCCCGCGGTGCGTCAAGATGGCATTCCCCGTGTTTCCCCACTGAGGCAACTCAGATGAATAGCGCCGCTTCGACCCTCGTTCGGCCTCTTTGACCATGGTGGGGGGAATTGATGTCACGAAGGGTTTTTATAATGTGAGTGTTGATTGGCTAGCTCGGCCATAAGAAAGCGGAGATTTTCGGGTGGATCCGGGCGCGGAAGCCTTCTACATTTGATAAGTGGCTTTTTTGGGTGTAAGCGACGGTGAAATGGAAGCATCAAAAAAAAAAAAAAAAAAAAAAAAAAAAGACAAGAAAAATTTGTTAGATAATACAGGAAATCCCAAGTAAAATAGAAAGGGCAAAGAAGCGCCTATGCATAGGAGTTAGATGATGCACATTAAGTTTTTCCGAAGCTCCCCAATGATTCCGCGTACGTAGAAACAATCTCATTTCCAGGCATATGCCTTGTAGATCCTTGCATCAGGTGGTCCAATCTCTTCTAGGACCACTTATCAATGTTTCTATGGAACCACACTCTTTGTCACATTCATATTTAACTTTGTTGATTTGCACTCTCCAAAGATTAGGTAGATCCCTGATTGTAGATTCGTGAACTTTGGCTACTGCAGTACGGGTCGCCAGGTGAAACAACCTGCTCGAGCTTTCTCCTAATCTGTCGTAATTGGCCCAGGATAGTTCCGCTCAAGATGCCGAATCCAGTTCCAGAATCATATTCTACCCATTCCTATTCTTTCATCAAAATTGCCGGAATAAAGTAAATCCTGTCGTTTTTGACAAACCCAAGTTAACCGGTTGTATGCATCCGGAGAAGCTTCAGCACATTCCTTGTTGGTGCACACTTAGTTGGTTATTCTCACATGACGCATTGGTCATTAGTCTCAATCGGAGAAACTAAATGGGCAAAGCCCAGGTGGAGAAACTTGATGAGGAGTCAGTCCTAGAGGAGAAACTCGCAATAATTTGCTCTCCAATTGTAAACAAGGAGGAGCAAAAGTGAATTTCCGAGCCCCCAACGGTGTTTTGCGAGCTATGCTTTACACATGTATTTTCCCCCTACCTAGTGTTCGTACAACTTGTATGATAAATAATTTGTATTACCTTTATTTAACCTATAGCCAGCTATGCACGGTATGTCAGGAGCCCATGCTGGATACTCTTGCGAACATCCCTTACAGTTTTTACGCTATTAATCATAGATAAATTCTGAAGAACAAACCCATCATGAGTCTCCATTAACTCCTGAAGGGGATCCTTCATGCGACCAACTGCAGTCACAAGGGGAGCGTACGCCTCGGACAAGTCCATTACGAAAGAAATGACAAGTAGCAGATGTAGTTGATGGGCGCGGCGCGGAAACTACACCTCCTCCTTGCAGTGCTTCTATGCATTCCAGATGAGTGAGGTGAAATGACAAAAGAGGAAGGTTGACGAGAAGCTCGGCGTTAAGACCAATAACCCATGACAAGCCGGTGATCGACAGGTTGCTTGTTCTCTAACAATCTGGTGCACGGGTGTTAAGATGTCCAGGAGACTGATCATCAAGAGAAAAGACATTGTATTCATTAACAATCATTGAAAATGATTGTATGCTTCCCTCGAGATTATCTGTTTAGGAAGGTGCAAGCATCTGCAAACAGGAAGAACAAAAATTAGCAACTACTTGGCACATTCAGCAACCAATCTCTTTGGGGGAGTCTTGCGTACAGGATATAGTCTTCACTGCTAAACACTCCATTCCCTCTTGATAGCAGTGGCTAGAGACACAGGATACGAGCGTCAATTAGTTCACATGATACATATAAGCCATCAGTACATGGGCTAAAATGAGACATCTCTTAATATGTGGTGTACGGGTTTTTCCTGTGAGCGAAGAAAAATGCATCTCAAGTTGTTAGCGACCCGATAAGCCAATGAAAAAATTTTCATTGGGTCCAGATATCGATAGGAGAACCTTTTGGTCTTCAACATTTTCTTCCCAAACTGTAAAATTCCCCATCTTCATTTGATTCATTTTCTTATTTCTCTAGGAGGTACGGGTGCACGCGCCAGTATCCATCATTTACTAAACTACTTAAACTATGATGCCTTTGCAAACTGATCCATGTCTGATGACTTGGAAGAAGATTTTCTCGATGATCTAGACCCATCTATATTTAAGGCACAATATGAGGAAATTGCTCCTCCTCCACGAAGATCTCAAACTCACCACAACGTCGATCATGAGAATCTCAAAACCTACATCTATCCCACTAATCTTCAGGTTAGAGATTACCAATATAATATCGTGAACCGTGCGTTGTTCCACAATGTTCTTGTGGCACTCCCAACAGGTTTGGGTAAGACTTTCATTGCAAGCACCGTGATGCTCAATTTTCTCCGATGGTTTCCAGATCTGAAGCTCATCTTCATGGCACCTACAAGACCTCTCGTAGCACAGCAAATTAAGGCGTGTTGCGGAATCACAGGCATTCCGTCGAATAAGGTGGCCATTTTATTGGACAAAACTAGAAAGAATCGTGGTGCCATCTGGGATGAGAAGCTGGTGTTCTTCACCACTCCGCAGGTGGTAGAGAACGATCTCGCGACAGGTCTTGTGGATCCCAAACTGGTGGTTTTGTTGGTTATCGATGAAGCTCATCGTGCCAAAGGCAATTATGCGTACAACAACGTGGTGAAGTTCTTGAATCGCTTCAACTCTTCATATAGGATTCTTGCCTTAACTGCGACACCAGCATCCACCGTGGAAGGTGTGCAAGAGATTGTCGATAATCTAAACATTTCGAAAGTGGAGGTTCGTACGGAGAAAAGTATTGATATCTTTCGTTATTTGAAACGCAAAACTGTGGAACGTTTCAACGTGGATAATCTGTCTGAAATCACAGAAGTCATCGAATTACTATGTGAGGCCATCGCCCCAGTTCTAAAAACCGCCAACCAGAGAAAGATCTTGGAAATCACCGATCCGGCCAAGATCAATGCCTTTGCTGCATTGGAGGCACAACAGAAATTGGTTCGAGACAGAAATATTCCTGAGGGACTTAAATGGGCCAACTATTTCATTCTCCAGCTCTTGATAGTGGTGGGTCAGTGCCTACGCCGTCTCAATACTCTTGGCATCCGCTCATTCTACAGCTATTTCCTTGAGAAACATACGGAGTTCTCTGCCAAATACAACAACAAGAAGTCGACGAATCATTTGGCAGCCAGCTTCTATTTCCATCAGAGCACAAAGGCTGTATTAGCAAGATGTCAAGACTTGGTTAAGGATCCTACCTTTTTGGGCCATGGAAAGTTGGAAATTACCATATCTGAGCTTGACAATTTCTTCAAGTTCTCGGCAAACCCGGACTCCAGAGTAATTATTTTCACTGAGCTTCGTGAAGCTGCTCTTGATATAGTTAGAGCTCTCGAACAACAGAATTCTCACGCAAAGCCGCATATATTCATAGGACAAGCCAAAGAGCGTGAAAAATTCAGCGAAGAGAAATTTCTCAAGAAGGGAAAGAAAAAGGGTAAGAAACTGCAGGAGAATGAAGACATTGTTGTGCCATCAATTCAAGAAAGGCCATTGAGTTCCTCCGAGCAGGCACAAGTGCATGGAATGAACCAGAAAATGCAAAAGGATTTAATCAGGAAGTTCAAGGGCGGTGAGTATAATGTTCTCGTGGCAACTTCTATCGGTGAGGAGGGTCTTGATATCGGTGAAGTGGATTTGATCATCTGCTATGACTCCACGTCCTCTCCGATCAAGAATATTCAAAGAATGGGACGAACGGGTCGTAATCGAGACGGAAAAGTTCTTCTTCTTTTCTCCAGTAACGAAGAGCTGAAGTTTGACAAGGCTATGGGAGGATATGAGTACATCCAGAACCATATTCGAAACGGTAATTTGATCACATTACATGATCAAATTCGAATTATCCCTGAGAACTGTACCCCAGCCGTAGTTGAGGAATTAATAGAGATTCCGGAGGAGAACATGGATATCAGGGCGGAGGAAGATGAGGATGAAATCATTAAGTTAGCCACGAAGTACATGACCGGAACTAAGAGCGGGAAAACAAAGGCAAACTCAAAAGCAAAAAACTCAAAGGCAGAGAAAATTCAGAAGAAATTCTTCATGCCTGATGATGTTGATACAGGTTTCAAGCTGGTGAGTATGATGCTAAAAAGAACCAATGAAGACATTTCTGTTGGAGAGAAGAAACAAGAAGAGAAAAGGCGGAAACCCCAAGAGGTGCCCAAAGATATCTTAGACACTATCTTGAACTCCGACGACGATAACGAGCTTATTCAACTAGAAAAGGCGGTGACATGCGATCCAGTGCCCTCAGTTCAGGAGGGCCTGCTCCTTTCCAAATCAGATATGATACTGAGCCTGTCAACTCTTTCTGGAGAGCCTGCTGTTACTGAGCTTCACCCTAAAGGTCTGCCCAAGGAACCTTCGGTCAGTCCATCAAGAACACTTGGCCTCCGACGCCCGGAACTCAACAACATCCTCCGAAAGTCTCCGCGAGTACTCAAACAGCCATCGATATTCGATGTTCCCATACGTACCCGAGCTGGATTGCTGAAGCCATCGTTGGGAGTGAAGAAAAGACCACCAAGTGTTCTCGAACAATTGAGGAACGTGCAACCAAAGAAACTTTTGAACGCAACAAGCGTGTCTAATGACGATCTTGACGAGTTCGACGATGATGAAGACGAGATTTTGGCATTGGCCAGAAGCACGTCGTCTTTTGAGTTTGAAAGTCAAGCTAGTGGCAATCGCCAAATGGCTGCAAAAACTTACGATCCAAAATTGTTTCCGATTCCACTGGGAGAAGAAGGTTTGCTTACTAGAGAAGAAACAAATGAGCTCTACATGTCATATTATATGCCCACAGAAGCATACAAATTAGTGGATTGTTACAGGGTGAATGCTTTATGCGACGGAGATTTCATGAGTGGAACAAATTCGAGGAGATTTATGGAATTCCATGAGTTTCAGAGGCGCACAGACTCCGAAAAAGCAAGGAATATAATCGGAAAGTACCAAGCTGTTCTGGACGACGAACAGTCGACTTTAGGTGATTTTGTGGATTTTGATTAGGTATTTTAATGGAGATTTATAGACTAGTTAAGTAGACCAACTTGAGTTCTGGTAAACGCACTAACAAAGTTACCCGGATTTTCTTCTCTATATAACCAAGCGATTATCCGCCTCCGCCAGAATTTTGCTCTCCATCTTTATGCAGGGGCATTACGTGTTTCAGTGAGGATTCGTCCGAGATCATGTTTTTGCTGGTTGAAAACTATACCTGACAACTCTTTGGAGGACGGGCTTGCCTGTTTGCCAAAGGAATTTTTGGATCACACAATGCCTAGGTACTTCTTGAAGACCAGCTTTTCTATTTGAGTAACTGCGGACATTTACTCAAGGAGAAAGGATGCTTTGCCGTTCAAGTTCACACTAGCATTCTGGTTCCTCATTCTCATTCATATTCCTACTTGTAGTCGCCTTGTGCCTCGCTCGGTGCTTCGTCTCTAAGAAGCATCTTGAGCTGGATACCGAATGCATTAGCATCTCAGTAAGGGGCCATAAGAAACAGGGCTCTATTTGAGTGCGGTGACACCAAGGGTAACCGGATGGTGGCACTGTAATTATCAGTCCTGACATTGTAAATTGTAAGCATTCAATATTCCTCTCAAGCCCAATCGAAGCTTCAAGTCGACTTCGTCTCATCTTCTTGCATATAGCAGCAGTATTCACCGATCGGAAGAAAAGACTCCAGATACTCATCCTAGCCAATATGTTCAAGAAGTTCGGCAAAGACGAGATCCACTCGCGCTCTAATATCAAATCTTCCGTGCAGAGAGGCTTGAAGTCCAAGTTCGTCTCGCAATTCGAGGCCTTGGAGCCCGTCATCGACGACATTATACCGAAGAAGTCCCAGGCCATCTTGATCAAATGTGAAGACAAGATTTCGTTATATTCCGTGGACGGCGAGGTAGTTTTGTTCCAACACTTCGATGACTTAATCCCCATGTTGAGAATCGTTCACAAGTACCCCCAGTGCTTCCCTTCTGTCCAAGTGGACAGAGGTGCCATCAAGTTTGTCTTGTCTGGAGCCAATGTCATGTGTCCGGGGTTGACGTCTCCAGGAGCCAAGTTGCCAGAAGAAAACTTGGACGTTGACACCATTGTTGCTATCTATGCCGAGGGTAAGGAGCACGCGTTGGCCATTGGAAAGTTGACCATGAGCACCGACGACATCAAGTCCAAGAATAAGGGTATTGGCATTGAGTTGTTGCACTACTTGGGCGACGGTTTGTGGAACCTTGATGAAAGCAGCTAGTTGGATCTAGCTTGCGCTTAATGAAACATACACCTTCTGATTAGCTGAAAGCACGTAGCTCTGTAGACTGGCGATATCGTCGCTGAGATATTGCCTTGTGTCGTCCAGTTCTATTCCATGGAGATAAAAGTAGAGTTTTAGCCTGAGCAGTGACACGGCTATCTTCTTAGAAATGACACCTTTGAGCCGAAGAACGGAGTTGCTTTTCAAGAAGTCTCGAGTGAAGAATATTCCGTTTTCACATTGGATTTGTAAAGAAATTTTGCGAGAATCTTCGGTTGCTGCTTGTGGCGTGCTGCTGATTTTATACTTTTCAAGCAATTGCCTCATCCGCCTCTCGTTGGTGAAAGAGATGGCTCCCAGGCGAACTTTTGAAATGAAGTAGAGCTCTGCGTTTCTGATTTCCTCTGCTGAAAGCATACTGCCATTGAGTTGGGTCAATTTGCCTTCTCCACACTCAAGTCGTGCTATAATCTCCACTGTCATTTCTTCTATTGATAAATTAGCAAAAAGGGGGCAATTATCAATTCGGAGGTCTTTCATGTTTGGAAAGACTTGGGATAACTTGTCTATGGATTCCCAGGAAATTATGCGATTATACCGCAAATCCAAAGTGACAACGTTGGGCAATATATCTTTAACCGATACCGTACTAATGATGTTGTCTCCCATGTTCAAGTGACGGACATTGCTAAGTTGGATCGAGTGTGGAATGCTCGAAACTTGGTTGAATGAGATGTCGAGGAATACCACAGAAGGTGGTAGCAGCAACCTCTCAATATCCCCCAGCGTCCAATCATTGCTTGCGAGAATGAGTTTTTCCAAATTTGATATGTTCAACATGTTTATCTGATCTACTGTCACCTTTGATGCTGCGAGTAGAATCTCAGATAACAGAGACGGCAACTGGAAAGTTAGAGGCCCCGAGAACCTGTTTCCGTTCAAGTTCAACGACTTCAACTTGGGAAAGTACTGCAAGATGGTCTCGAGCTCAGACCATCTGGCCAAAAGATTGAAACTCAAGTCGAGAGTCTCTGTATTGGGGAACATCCCCAAGTTTCCAGCATGCAGCACGTTCTGGCGGTCCAACATGATAGTTTTCAACGCCGTGATATCTCGCAGCAAGGCATTGAGTTTCTGAAATCCATAGCTCTCCACGGTTTTGGATCCAATTTGAATCTTCTCGTTGAGTGCTAGTTCATTCTCTTCCCCTGCGTATCTCCGGAGAATGGCATCCATGAGCGAGACACCAGTAACTATTTTCTTATTGGAAGCCTTGAGAAACAGCCCAGCACCCTCCACACGAGTCTGAAAGTACTGAACGCCATTATGGCTCCCACTGTTCTTACCTCGATGCGGATCGTCCCATTCCACTCCGTATGCGACAGTTCCGGAGCCCCAAACGTCAAGATACCCTATAAAACGGACAGTTCCAAGGGCATTGTCGAGCGATATTCGGTCATTTATGGTCAACATATGGGGAAAATATCCTAAACTGGGGTAAGCAGAACTTAAATTTGAAAGTATGGATTTCCAAAATAATTCTGATCGTTCTAAAATAGCATGTAAACCCCACTTTGGAAAGTATTGGAAAGACTAGACTGCTCTTGTATGGAGTATTGTTGTTAACGAATGGAAGTGGTGTATACGTTAAAGTTCAGATGATCTTGATCCATCACTTCGCGCAGTAGATAAGTAGGTAGATGTCCAAACGACTCATCTTTTTGAGACTCACTAATTTCAGTTTACTTACCAAGTAATACCCTGCTTTCCACCTAGTTCTAATTTTCCTTATTTTCGTCTACATTTCTCTTTTCCAACTCTCATCTACCCTCTCATCTCCATTTTACATTGACTCGCTTTCTATCATCTTTACTTCCTATACCCATGCTATTAAAGGCCAAAGTTGTCACCTAACAAGCCGCCCAAGTCAAACTCCTCGGCCCATTGCGTCACAACAGTAGTGTTTTCAACCTTAGGTGGCTCTTTCTCGCCTCTCAACGCACTCTTAGGTCCGTCGATGTTCACCTCAGCAGCTTGTGCCTTGGAAGAGTTAGGCAACACCCATCCGGTAATACGGCCGTCTCTCCAGTCATTCAACACGTTAAGAGCAGCAGACTCCAAGTTAGGAACACCTCCACGGCCCAATCTGCCTCTGGCTCTGGCCACGTGAATCAAAAACTGCTTAGTGTACTCCTTCAAGTCTGATGAAGGCAACGAGGGCACCTTGTAGTACTCCTTCAAAGCATCGGCCATGGTGGTGTCTTTAGCCAATCTTTTAAGCAAATGCTCAACCACTAAAACAGGGTCTCTGATGTTCTTAGGAGAAATGGCTGACAAAAGAGCCAACTTGGCTTCAGACACATTCTTCTTAGATGACACTTCGTCTGGGAACACAATACCTGGAGAGTCCAAGATCTTGAGCTTGTTGTCGATCTTGACTTCTCTCATGGACGTGGTGACACCAGCCATGTTTCCAACGGGGCAGGCTTTTTGCTGGCCGTGTCTGTTGGTCAATGCGTTGATGATGGACGACTTGCCCACATTTGGATAGCCAATTACACCCACCACAATAGATCTTTTGAGGTTGGACTTGGCAGCAAAGCTCTTGAGCGCTTGCAACAACGTGTTGGCCGTAATTCCACTAGAAAGGTTTTTATTGTACATGCTCTGTCCCACTGCACCTGGAGATGCCTTGATTGGGATAGTTGGAAACGACAGCTTCAAGAAGTTGAGCCACTGAGTCAACACTTCGGTCGGAACCAAGTCTACCTTGTTCAATAATAAAATCAACCGCTTACCTCCACTCTGCAATACGGCCTGCTCGACCTTCTTAGAACGGGTGGATTCTGGGTCACGGGCATCCAAAACATACAAGACGACATCGGATGCCTCCACAACAGCCTTAAAGATCTTGTCGTAGGCCTTTCTGGACTTGTCGAGGTCTGCACGGTCGATTTCAGAATCACTGATTTCGTATTCCACATCCTCATCGGAGTCGTTCTCCATAGCATCAGAGTCATCTTCGTTGTCGAATTCTCTGGCTGCCTGCTGAGCAGACTCCAACAAGGCACCCAAACCTCCCTCGTTACTTTCATCTTCGATTTCCTCATCCATGAGATCTTCCACATCGGCTCCTCTAGCCAATGCTTCCTCTCTTTCTTGTTGCTTCTTCAAACGAAGCTCCTCTTTTCTCTCCTTCTCGGCTCTTCTGCCATCTTCCAATTCCAGGATAATCTGCTCCTTGTATGGGAAACTGGCTGGGATACCAGGATCTTTCTTTTGTCTAGATCTCCAGGTGACATCTTTCTTTGCGTTTTTCTTATTTTTTCTTTGTTGAGCAGCAGCCTTCTTCTTGATACCCTCCCGCATACGCGTGGTGGTTCTCTTGGATGTGGGCTTTTTCACTCTCATTGTGGTAGGGCCGAGATGAGGTTGAAGATTGAAATTTTAATTTTTGCGATGGGCATCTGGGTGCATACAGTATGGGGAAACTGGTTGCAAAGGAAAACAGAGAAAGAGGAAGTGCTATGTGAATAAGTTGAACTTCCTAAAATCAGCTAAATATTCTATAATTCTTAATCGGGGCAAATTTCAGTGATATGAAAAATTTGCTCGAGTTCGTAGCGTACAGAGGTATTTGACTATGAACAAAAAGTGAGCATAGTGCCTCCAATAACTGCATTTCAAGGAGATGGAGCTGACGATGGGATGATGCAATGAAAAATAGAAAAGAAAGAATTGGGAATAATCAGTAATCAGCTGACCACTAAGAATTCTTTATTCTTCTCGGTTGAATCATTCAATTGGCTCTTCACCATGTTCTCTAAATTTGGTTCAATTGTCATACACCTTATCTATAGAATTCATGCAGTGCTGATTATTCTAAATCACTGGCTTCAATGGCCCATTTGCTAGACGATTGAGTTCGGCCATGTTTGGCTGCCTCGCTGGTTGAAACCATGGGAGCGTTGGGTCCTTTGGGTCCTTTGGAGGACTTGAATGCAAACTCTTGAACGTGACCCATAAGGTATGCTGGACTGGTTGAACGGTCATGGGACTCTTCTTCTGGGCGTTTCTTCAACACGTACGTAACGTCGTTATCTGCTTCGTGACTGTAATCTTCAAATTCACCTTCATTTTCGCTTTGCCATGATGCTGTACCATCCTCCAGATTCGCTTCTACAGCCTCGTCCAAAATCGAAGGACGAACAAACGTGAACTTACCCATAAATTTCGAAACAGGCGCAGATGAGCTCAATGAGTCCTTCCATTTAGCAACAAAACTGTTCTTATGTTCCTTCAAGCTTTTTCCATCAACAATTACCAGAACTCTTCCAAGTGGAACGGAACTGGCAGCAACAAGAAACCACAATAGCAAAAGAAGATTCATAGATTGGCTTTTGCGCTACAATTATGTTTGTGCGCATCTATGGCTTTGTCCGTGCTACTGAGCTCGAACTGGAAACTCGCGGAATTGAGTCTCGGTTCTCAAACAAGGCATTCTTCTTCGGGTTAGTGAATGGCTTGTTGAGGAACTCCACAGGACGTGAGTTGTCGTCTGTTTCATGCAAATTGATGGTGGAACGTGTTCTCAACACCGAGAGGTCAGCGAGATTGTTAGCCAGAGGGGAAGCAGACGGGAAACTTGGTCCAGACTCCAACTCGTTGCTAAGGCCCGTCTGTTGCTGTAATTCGATATAGTTAACCACACGTGCGATATGAGGACGAACAAATGATGGAGAGTGCGTTTTCATCCAGTTAAGCCCCGGTTTGATCGATGGAGGCATCCTCATTGGACTTGGACGATTAAATGCGTTGACGACTCGGTTGACCAGCTTCAAGCCCATCTTGTAAAGTACAAAGAACATCAATGCAAGGAGAATGAATGTGTAGAACATGGGGAACGTACTTGCTTCTTCGTCATCAGAGTCTTCGTCGTCCGAATTATGTTTGGTGGAAATTTCACTGAGTGTCAATCCGACTTTTTGAGAGTCCGCAGCTTCAATGTTTGACGACGCAACAAGTAAGATTTTTCCCAAGGTCCATGAGAGCTCGTCGCCGTTGACCGAGTCTGCAGACTTGAAAGGAACATGGACCTTTTCAACAGCTGTTACGTCGGACGAATCAGGCAGAGCGTTGATATCAAGTCCCAACCTAGGAAGCTTGAAGCCTTCATGAAGAACGTTTACCACCCAACTGGCCTTGAAACATGCATCATAGAGAAAACTCTCGGGCAATTGGGAGTACTGACCATCTTTGGAGTTCTTCAAGACGTCCTCCCACGAACTCTCGCAAAATCCCTTGACCTTTTCGTTAAAACTGTGGAAGTTATATTCTCCTCCACTATGGAAAATATCATTGGCAGTGTACCAGTATTCAGAAACTCCCACAAACTTGTCCTTTTCGAAGTTCATCTGAGGTGTGTGCATTCCGTTGAAAAGACATGGCTCATCCACACAAGGTAAGTGGGTCATCAACAACGGATATATATCCCTGATACAGCTCTCGTAATTTCCTGTTCCCTTGATGTTATACTTTTTCCCGTCTTGTTCAAACCCCTTGATTTGTGCATCTTTAGGCATGCATGGATCGAGCACGGTTTTCTTCAGCAACTTCGAGTATGTACTCAACGATATGAGGTTCTTTAAGTAGCGGGACCTGGCCTGGTTAGCACCGAATCCAAGCCACGTCTCTACGAAAACTCGCCACGTCTGCAGTTCTCCATTGATATTCCGCAACACCACTCTCGACAAGTCTTCGTCGTGTTTTTTAATTTCCTCGGGAGAAGACGGGACAAACGCTATCTGCGTCGAAGCTCCACCCATGTCCATGAAACCAATTGACTCGTGGGTTTCGTCATGTACCTCGTAGTTGTCGAATTGTCCCATCAAGTAATTGAGAGCCAACCATCCATAAATACCCTCGGTTCCTCCATCAATCACTTGCACATGGTCCGCACAGTCATTAATTAAGAAGTTAGAGTTCTTCTGAAGCGATCTGCATGTCTCTTTCAACACAGCATTACGTTGTTTCTCTGGCAAGAGTCTCATTCCGGCAGTAGATAAGACGTAGATGGGAGTGCTGGCCACCTTATCTTGAGGAACGACCGTTAAAGCAAAATTTATTAGCTTCTTATAATGATCGTTCCATATTTTGTTTGTTTTTTCGCCAAAAGTCGATATTCCTGGTGAGATCTTGTGTGTCCATTTCTCATCATGATAGATCTTGGGAGGCAGCGCAAGTTCCGCCGGTGACGCGAACTCTTTCACCACCTCGGGATCCTGCCATCTGTAGATCTGGATACGTGACCCTGAAGAGCCCGAATCAATGACTATTCCGTAGTGGAAGTTCAGCATTCGAAAGCAATGGTGTAGGAAGTTGGCAGTGTGCAGATGTAGGAGACAGCGGGATCTGCAACTGTGGACACCTGTTAAAAATATGAAAAAGATGTGATATGTTGATCAGAGAACAGATTGAGTCATCTTAGTCATTTTTTAGCAAATTGTTACCTGTTTTGAGATTATATTGCCGTTTGACGTGAAATTCGTATGTGTGGTTTGACGGGCAATTGACGGCATAATGAAGATCTGTAAGTACATTCTAATGCGAGTGAACGTTTTGAGGAGTATAGAGAATCCGTTAGAAATCGGGCTAATACGAGCGAAAAGAATCAATTTGGAAGATCAAAACAAGGAATGTCGTCGTATGGAAAATTTCGTCTCGAAGGGTGACTTCCGAGATATTTGTGTGGTGATAGTTGCATGGTTTTAGACAAAAGGCTATTAGTGAGAACTTTGGGTGTTCCACTTCGTATAGAATAAGATTACCCAAGTGTAGATGATATTTTATAACAGAATGACCATTGGAATAATTCTCAGTCTTTTTTAAAACGTTTAGTGAATTATGTTGGTCATTCTCCATTTTGCACCAAAGTTTCAATTGCGAGAAAAGGATGTGAATGTTCAATGTAGAGAGATACATTTTGAAGAAAAGGGAAGAATAAGAAAATCAAGATGACGAATTGACAATAACATCCCCGAAACAAACGCATAAGAAAAAAGTGAAAATATTCATAATAACACAGTTCCTCTGTATGCGGTTATCAATGAATCCTCCAGTAGCCAAATCCAATTAGAGTACAAGGACCCATTAATAAGCTCATAGATTCTTCAAATACAACAATAACGATTTGAATGCTCCACAAACCTAATATTCAAATGCAACGTGCCAAGTGTAACGTCCTCTGCTAATGAAACCTACATTATTTGCTCCACTGTCCAGATTTCCCAAGTACTCTATCTCACTATCCACTCCATTGTCTCACTTATCAACTCTCCCCACTTTTGAACACCTACGCCTTCCACATGATTGTTCTTCCGAACACCCCTCCCACGCCCAAACCCTGGAATCCTACATCCTCAGTATTATCCCCTGGCTTGCTCGCTGCTCGTGCATCTTTAGATTCACTGCCCTCTACCCACGCCGACTCTGTTCGTTATGTGGTGAAGTTGGAGGATTATCTCGAAGGGATCTTTTCATTATTGGCAGCATCTCTGTCCAACACGATTTTGCTTGATTACGCAACAAAGTCGCTGCTGTTGGACTTGTGTAAGATGATTCCATGGAACAATGTCTGCCACAAGAAGAAGAGAGACTTGAACTTACTCAAGTCTAGTCCCACTGTCGAATGGTGTCTCGCAACGGAGATCCAGACGACTGTGGTTGCGGCATCGTTCATGTACTCACAGTTAGGTGCTGCACTCATCAATGAGCTCATTGAATTGGATGAGATGGCCCAATCGAAAGAAACGGATGAAAAATGGAAACTGGTCGCCAACTTCTACAAAAAGGCACTCTCATTGGCCAACTTTGGTGCTGAGTTCACCGGTCTATGCCTGACTTCTGTCCTATTGGATCCTCAATTGTTCATTTTGTTGGACAAGATCGCCAATGTAGGCATCCAGATGTCCATCTTGTGCAAGTTTTCATGGGCCAACAGAAACTCGTTCAACGAGCAAGATACGTTCCTGTCCAAAAACAACGGCGTTCTCTGCCGTGTAGCCATCTGGATATTGGACGAAGTCAAGGCTTGCCAAAATATTGTCAGAGAATTGGAGTCGCTGCCTGGAGATTTGCTTGATTTAAACTATACCGACTGGTCGCAGTACCTAGCAGTGTTTGTCAAGTACGCAAGTGCCTACGCAGGGTTATTTTTGTCTATCGAGTATTACCAGAAGGATAAGATGGGCCAGGCGATTGGACTTATCAATTTCTCGCTTCTTTCATTGCAGAGTAAGAATCTCAGCGAAATCAAGCCCAAAAAGTCGAAGGTTCTCGCTCGTGTGAAGAGCAAGATCGCTGGCAAACGTAACGAAAGCTACATTTCAAGTTTGCAATCGATAACGTCTCTCAAAATCGATAAGTCTGTTTTCCAGGAGCTGTCAGGCGTGGTGCTCAAGGATCTTACGTTGCTCTTTGACCAATTAGTGCAGTGCCATCTCAAGTACACCAAAGAAAACAACAATCTCAACTTCGACGAGGTTGTCGACTGGCAGGATATCCATAGCGACTCTAAATGGCCCTTTGGGAGTAAGATTCCTGTTTCCGATGTGGCAGTTTATGCTCCGAAGGTATTGGCACCTGCTCCCAGCAACGGAGTTAACCCCAACTTCACCGGGCGTGGAAGCTACTTCTAAATTGTGAAGCAACCTGACTTGAGAATCTACAATTTTGATGATTAACGAAATAACGACGTCGATATTATTAATTAATAGTGAAATTTCCCAGTAGGTTAGAAATGATTGGAACGTGATGTTTTCATATGGCTTGATCTACTACTGAATTCGCAAGATAATAAAGTACAAACTTTGATCCAATCAGATATCCATCCAGAAAGCATAAGTTTTGATTGTTTTCATCGAAATCCCACCTATGTAGAGTATTTGTTGTCTTCTTATATTAGCTATACTAAGATTATGTCGTCCCTACACTACCTTATCTTTGAGCACTCCACACTATCTCATTATCAGAGCGGAAATTCCACACAGGCCAATAAACGTACAAGATCTCAAGATCTGCCTACTCATGAGCAAAATAACAAGGGTCCGGACAGGGTGCTGGACTTGCAAGAGACGGTATGTTCAAATAAACAAAACCACCATTTCTCTTATTTCCTTACTAACTCCAGCCATCGAAAGTGCGACGAAGCAAAGCCTCATTGCAATAACTGTCTCAAGTCTAACCGAACCTGTGAAGGCTATGGCGTCCGGCTTCTGTTCAATAACGACAGTTTGGCAGAACGATCGAAGGTGAAGAAAGATACCATACACAAATTTTCCCACGAGAATGTCATCAAGCTAGACCGCAAGACTACTCTTGTTAAAACAGAACTGATTGGGTCTGAATACGAACCCCAACCGCTTATTGATCAGGACCATGCGGACCCGTTTTCCACCGAAAAGAACAACAAATTCAAGGAATTCGAAAAGACGTTCAACCAGAAGGCATTTGCCCATTCAAAGGGCCTCGACAAACAGTCGGAACATGTCGAGCCGATCCACCGAGACGTGAAAACTTTGAACAACCTAGAGGAATTCAGCAGCAAATTATTCGAAAACTTGGAGAACCTACTACATTCTCCTAAAGCGCATGCCTCAGACATTGCACAGTCGGTAGCGGTAGAGGATTCTCGAAGTCCTCTAAGCCAAGTGTTTGGAGATATTCTCTCTACACAAATCACGCCGTCCCTTTCGGCCACATCCCAGGATTCTCTAGACGGGTACGCCAATCTAGACAATGAAATCATCCATTTCATCGATAAGGCCAACGTGTTCGATGGGCGAGTCGGAGAGGTCGAGACAGCCACCTCACTTAATGTCTCGTATCAGCAGGAGAATATGATGTTGAAGCACTTCTTCAAGAAACTTCTTCCACTTTTAGATGGCCACCCGCTGTCTCCCTGGCCTGACTTGGCCTTGAAATACTGCGACTTCGACGTGGCGAGAAGCTGTTTTATTTCGTTGGCATGTATTCACATTTACGAGAGCAGGAAAGGAGGAAACGAATTCTACAAAACAGGAATGGCACACATGAACAGCACTATGAACTACTTGATCCAGTCGATTTCCAGTACTCTGGAAGCAGACGGAGAACTCAACACCGAGGGCCAACCCAATAAACATATGCGATCTTTTGTCATCTTGGTGTTAATGAATGTGCATATTCTTTTCGCCGTTTTAGAGAAGGGCCAGAGTTCGCTTGCAAGATACCTCTTCAAGGTATTTGGGTCCGTTTGCCAGGATCTGCAATTCTATGAATCCTTGGATGAAAGCAGCAAGAAGTCATTGGTGGTAGTCTTGTCGTGGTACGATACCGTTTGTGCTATCGTGTCACCCGATTGTAGACTCCCATTCGGAAATCCAGAATGGTACGGAACATCCACAGACCTGATCTCGACAATGGAAATGATGGGGTGTCCTGGAGAGATCTTCAAGGCAATGTCTCAGGTCTGCTTTCTCCGACACGAAATACACCGAGGTTATATGAGTGATGACGCCGTATTCGCTGTGGAGGCAGAAGGCTTAAAGCTGCGGTTACTCAAATATAGAGACTACGTGGATTTCAGAGATGGAAAGGACTATACACTTCGCTTGAAAGGTGCACAGTGCTGGTCTCTTGCAGTGTATGTGAGTCTCCTTCGCCTATTTAAGACACCAGAAAGACAGCAGGTGATCACTTCTGTGGTGAATGAGTTTATCGATGTATATGGATCCATGCCTAGTCAATCCGCCACAGTTGTCCAAATGGTCTGGCCGGTGTATGCTATTGGCAGTGAATGTATCAGCGAGTACGAGAGGGAACACTTACTGATATTTATGGACACACTTTACGAAACTGCGCAGATGGGCACCCTACATTCGTTGCGGTGGATCGTCAAACAGGTATGGGAACAGGGCAAAACTCAGGAAGAGATACTCACTCAATGGCTTCCAAAAGGAGTAGACTATTTACCACTCTAATATACCGAAAATATTCAGATTACAACGACGCTACTTGGCATTAGGCATTTATCATCTATGTAATCAAAGCAATTACAAAACATCCAATTTCTTTATACAATAAAAAAACAGAACGGAGGGACATTGTACAGCCCGCTTACAACTTCTGCATAGCGGCAACGTCGGTGGACTGGACGTGGTCCTCGTCCTCCTCAATGGTCTGCTGCAACTCATCCAAGGAAACCTTCTCGTCCTCGATAACCAAGTTGATCTGCAACTTCTTGATACCGAAACCGACTGGGATCCAGGTGTGGGCACCCCAGGTCAAACCGTCCTGCTCAATGGACTTGACGTTGGCCAACAACTCCTCCAAGTCGGTCTCGTCATCCCATGGCTTGACGTCCAAGGTGACAATAGACTTAGCAGCTGGCTTTGGACCCTTAGCGGCCTTCTTGGCAGCGTACTCAGCCAATCTCTGCTGCTTCAACTTCTCAGCCTCAGCATCGACCTCCTCATCGTCAGAACCGAACAAGTCGACGTCATCGTCGTCCTCCTCAGCGGCAGCAGCTGGAGCAGCTGGAGCCTTACCAGCTGGCAAGGTGTCGAACTCCTCGGTGAAAGAAGCAATGTGGTTGAACCATCTGGTGAACTGTGGGTACTCCTTCTGGAAAGCCTTGTAAGCGGCAACATCGGCCTGGGTGGCGGAGGTACTGGACATGTTAGTAAAAATTGGGCGTCTAAAAGGATGTTTTAAAGCGTAACACATAAAAAAATAACACGACACAACATCGGGAATAAATAGCATGGGATAAGCCATTGGAACGTCTCAGCGAATAGATTTAAATCTCCTTTGTCACTCATGCGGTGGGTCTTGAATCCACCTCATAAACACGGACCAAAGATTGCGATCATCATAGAACCTCCTCAATTGGCACGGCAATAAAACAAAACTTGTTAGAAAGATTTAAAGAAACATACCCGTCAACGTAAGACTTTTCAGTCAAGAATTCGTTCAAAGACTTGAGGGTCTCGACCTTGGAGAAATCGGAGAAAGACATTGTGGTGAGTAGGAAAGAATCTCACGGAAAATTTTTTTCGATGTGGCTAAATGGTCGGTGGGTTTGGACACGACAGGTTGTTATTAGGGCTGGCCACCTTCTGGTTGCCTGCAGTACGATTTCATATTGGGTGATGTGTGGAATTGAGGGAATTTGAAAGTGGGAGCATAAAGTAGAGGGGAAAGGTTGAAATAGGGTGAAGAATTAAGTAGAATGGCGTGAGATTTAAGTTTGAGGGAGGAGAATTGGAGGGAGGGAATGGGGATATTTATATTGGATGGATGGTGTATGTGCAGGTCTCGTTGTGAAGAGCTCAGTGGTTCCTTGACACCACAATCCTGCAGAATTAGCAGCCATAGAGAGTATGTAAGTAAAAAGCTTGAATAGGTAAGAGGAGGAGGGGGATAGAATGAGAGTAGGTGAAGGAGAAGGGAAAGGGAAAGATCATGATCTCCAAGAAAGCAGAGCAAAGTATAAGAATTTAACGAAAAACTATAAGAATTATGAGGAAATATTATGAGAAGCCAGAGGTCGAATGTTAAGCAAGGGCATTGGAGTAGTGACTAGTGTTGGATGACAGAAGATGATTGTTACGATTGTAAGATATGTTGAATCAATAATCAAATGGCAGGACGAGAAAACAATTTATCGGACTCAAATTTGAATCAATAGATTTGGGATCACTTTGTCCAAATGTCACAGATCCATTTGTCACTTTCCATATTTTTATGAAGCAATTTCACCTCGCCAAATGAAAAGGCCGTATATGTTGAAGTTAATACTGATGCATTGGTGCATTGGACGCATACAACTATTATCAAAGTTTGCTTGATCTGATTTCAAAAGGGTTACTTCAACCATGGGATGCATAGACCATTTAATGCCTTCAATAATATACTCTGCAATTTAAACCAACTTCAATCCTTTTTTCCTCATCAAGATTCAAGCATGAAATTACAATTTCCTTTATAACCTACAGGGTCAAATATTCATATACCTTTATTCTGGTACACTACCCAATAATCAATGTGTTAACCTACACCGTGTTGTCGAACTTCCAGTAAGGACACTCAAATGATGCATAACACCGGAACTCGTTACTCAAACCATTCTTGTGCTCAGGCAAGAACGAAGTGAGCAGCGTCTCCGGATAAGTCTTCTTGATGATGTCTCTCATTCTCTCACCAGTAGATGAAATCAATTTGAACTTCTGGTCACCCGAAGCAGTCTTCTCGCCGTTGATATCAGCCAAGAGGTTTCTGGCTGCCTGTGCCGACTTGGTCTGGCATTCTTCCTCCAAAAACGGAGGATCAATCAAAAGTCTATGGCACTTGTTTCTAATGACTTCTGGCACTTCCTCAGGCTTGTTGTAGTCGTAAAAATGAAAGTATTTCTTTCCGGCCATCACCTCAAAACGCTTGTCAAACTCAAGCAAGTAAATGTGCTTGGTAGGAACTTGCTCTGCTGGAAGTCTGGTGACAGCAGCATAGACTGAAGGTGCACTGGCAATGCACACCACAGTGTCCTCATCTGCACCTTCTAGAAGTGCCTTCGCCAAGATATCAGCAGTTTCGTCTGAGTACCAGAACTGTGAAAGCTGCCAGTCCTCCTTGTAGTCATCGATAGAGGCTTTTTGAAGCTCATCGTACCTGTCTTCGCTCTCTTGGTAGAGTTTAGCAAAGTGCTCCTTGCGCTGCTCTTCCTCGGATCTAAATTGTTGAAGAGCCGCCAATGTGGCTGCAGAGAGCACCAAGGGTTCGTTGTCGGAGTCCATTTTATACTTTCGATGGGTTAAGATACTATAATTAAAAACCTTTGATTGTCTATAGGGTCGTGCGCACCACATAACACACCGCATGTCCTACATCTACACAATACACACCAGAACTCCATCAATACAAACCAAACAAGTATAGACCTTGATATTACATTTCTACTCAGACATTGCTACTGCTAATCACATTTGCTTATCCCAATGTCATTCACGTGCACCCCGGTCCAATTGGCTGCTCACGTCATTGCAAAACTAGCAGTGTCTGACTCGATGTCACTTACCCAACTATGGGTTGTCGCTCAGGAAAAGACAAACGGACCATTGGATACGATGCAGAAGAACATAGTGTGGCGCAGTACCATCACAAGTTCAGACAAACTCTTCACCGTGAAGATCGAAGAAACCAGTCTCGATATATCTGGAGGAGTTCCTCTAGGTGATGTTCTCCTCCACGGATCCGAACTGGCGATCTTACTCATTCCCACTGAAGAGTGTCGGGTTCGATACTTGACAGGGACAGAAAACTACCAGACTATGATGGCCAACTTGGGTGAGTTGCCCTTTCAGTTGCTTGTGGTCATAGCCAGACATGGATCCGAAGGTATCTTGAATCCTGATTTGGCAAGAGAGTCTGGTCAGGATGCCCGGTCGCTACGGCTTCGGCTCCAAAAACTCGAGGGAGCGGGCCTTATAAACTGCGCCAGTGTGTACCAAAACAAGACCCACACTACCCATTCGGTGCATGTAAAGTTTGCTCGTGAATGTGTGGTTGGACGGGACTCCAGCGAGGCGGAGGAGGATTTGAATCTGCTGCGTGACGTAGGAAAACTTAAAAAGCGCATCATGGAAGCCCTCAAGGAGGCGCCCAACCAGCTCAGAGGCTTCTCGGACTTGTGTAAAGAGTTGAAGTTAGATGACTCTCGCCTGGCGTCGAAATTCTTCAGAAGCGTATGTTTGAAGCTCCACCGTGCTGGATACGTAGAAAAACTTCATGTCGAGCTTCCAGAAACGAAACAGCGAGTGTACGCTATCAAATTTGTCAAAGACGTTCCCAAAGACACCGACGAACTCCATGAGTATATTGACATGAATGATTTGGACAAAGATGAATTTGATCCAATCGACGAGGAGAAGCTGCAGCACAATGACGAGATGCCGGTGATCAATCGTGTCTTTCCTATTTTCCACCAAATTTACCGGCAAGCATATTCCAAAGGTAGTAAAGGTATAACCTCGGGCGAGGTGGTCAAGAACCTTTTGGGAATTTCAGAATACAAGCCATATACGAGGATTTTCGAGGTGCTGCCAGCATACATCAGCAACACCAAGAATCTCAAGGCTGCGAAAAAGTACGTGGAGCCATATGACCAGTATACTTTGACAAAGCTCTACGATAATGAAGGGAAACTCAAGTTTTATCGATATTTTGCAACAGAGTTCTGTCAGGAGGACAAGCCTGCTCCTAAGCCGTATTCCTCCAAGGTTACAGCATCACAAAAGACTATCGTTCAACTCAATAGCAAATTGCACTCGTCTCTTGGAAAGACTTCCAATCTGTCGCTCATTGAAAAGAAGCGAAAATTAGTTCAAGTTTCGATGGAGACGAACAAGAGACAACGTGCGCAGAGAGCAGAGAGTGAAGAACTTGTAGAACTTGCTTTGGATGAACTACCGAAAAGACGCAGAACAAAAACCCCCAAGTCTTATGCCACCGATGACTACATGCAACTTGATGAGCCAGAGTCAGAAGAGGATTATAAGCCTGCAGTTATTCCTGAAGTTGAAGCTGAATCCGAGGAGGAGTCGACGGCCAACATCATTTCGTCAACTGACTTGCCGACTTTTGTACCTGTGAAGGAGCCCAAGAAGCGCAAGGTTCAAGCTCCACAAACAAACAAAGCTGAGAGTTCTGTTAAATCGATGACGAGGAGACAGACCCTCTTGGATATTATTCGTGAAGAGGGAGGTGCAACTTTTAGCAGCTCCAGCCTCTGTCGAAAATTGGATGAGCGCATGAATAACACAACAGCCACTGACCTCAAGACGTTGGCAAGAGATGTCATGCACTTGACCAAGAACAACACGCTTGAGTTGCAGAAAGTGAATGTTGACACTGGAAACCAAGTTGTTGAGAGAAAGTTGCTTGTTTTGGTCAATGCTGAAGAAAGGCCCTCTAAGGATAGAATCAAAGACTTGATATCGAGTTTTGCAGAAATCAACAGCAAAAAGGACATGAGAATCTTTCCCAGAAGAGTCATACAGTCTGATATGAAATTGTATATTGAGACTCCAAACGAGAAGAAGGTTTCTTCAGTTACACGCAAGAGAAGAGGCAAGAACAGATTGCAAACCTTGGGAGACGATTTGGAGAGAGAACAAAGTGTTAAAGAAGAGCCTTCTGATGACCTTGCTTCCTCTGAACCTGGTGATATTTGGTCAAATCTTAAAAAGTCAAGACGAACTAGAAAAATCACAAATAACCAAACAAACGAGGTCTCAACGAGCGTGGCGAAGAGACCTAGACGAAACATTAGACTCGATAAGTCTGATGCTACTGTTCTATATCGTGCAGTTGTCATTTCGAAGGCGTTCTCGAGGGATGCCATTGATTTCGACGAGATTGCCACGTTCATCAATGATTTTGATGGCAAGATTTTGAAGCAAAAGTGGGGAACATTAAGACGTTCATTTGGTGGAGCTGGAGCTGTTGCCAAGGGAGTCGAGACCTTCCAGAATATGGTAATGCAGGGAATCGAGGATGAACTGATAGAAGAGAGGCACCTTCGTGATAAGAATTTATCGTTCTTTTTGGATTATTGGAAAGCGTTCGATGCCACTACCGAGTTTATGGTTCCAGATGAGATGCCATTGTATTCTTCATACGAACAAAACCTGACAGTATATGATTTCTCAAAATCGGTTGTTGACACTCAGACGGGGGGTCACTGGGAAAAGATCGAAGACATATCTATGCGTCAGAAGGAGACGGTGCTTTCTCACTCGATTTTTGAGTATGAGCCGTTGGAAACGCCAGTGGCCAAGCCACTCGATGAGATTCGGTCAGTCTTAAAGGCAATGTTTTTGGCAAAGACAGAGGATGCTGCATTATCCAAACTGATTCTCGAGAAGTACGGAGAGCCATTGGTCAGAGAAGCTTGCAATGCTTTGCTGCGTGATCGTGAAATATCATATGTGTCGGTGAATTCCGACAACAAATTTCTCGTTGGTGACAAGTTCAAGAATACCTTGATACTGAAGGTACTCACACCCAAGTTCTTTCATCAAGCCTCTGCTTTCAAAGCATCACTCTGCTCTATCTCGAAGGTTAATAAGGGCCTCATCATTTCCCAAGGTATTATGCCAGGGCAAATCGCGTCACTTCTTGAGTTGGTATCAGCCAACTCAGTTCAACTTATTAGAATCGATCGAGCGTTTCGTTTCGAGAACTACGAATCAAGATTGATTGATAAGGAACAAATTGCTTGTGACATTGTGGTTAAATGTAATTATGAAGTCGTCGACAAAATTCAGGTTGCATCAAAACCAGTTCCTTACCATGGACCATGTCAACCTATCTGGATACAATTAGATTGTCTGGTCAACAAACAGCTCTGGACGAAAATAGTAACGACGTTGCTTTATTATGTCGTTTTCAAGCCGGGAATTGCAGACATGCAACTTTACAATAAAGTCCAGCCGGTGCTCAGTTTGAGAGACTACTACGATAGTATGAAGTGGCTTATAGAAAGCCAGTGTATTGTCAAACTTGAGACCAGCGGATATTTGGCCACGGATAGATGGCAGTACATTTTTGGATACTAAAAGGAAGATATGCTAGAAATGTAAGTACTGCTCTCATGCGAGTTTTGACTCAATTGAGATTTTTTAGTGGTTTTTGAGTGTTCTCGCTATCTCATGCTTAGTCCTTCACCTAAAACCTACACAAAGTTTCTTATCGAAGTGTGCAGGGCCCATCGCATAACTTCACTATTTTTCCTTTTTTCGTTTGTTACATTCTCATCAAAACAAAATGGGGTTGGCAGGCACTAAGGTTAAGCAAAGATTCGGACTAGATCCTAGAAACACTACTTGGTCCAATAACACCGACCGTTTTGGACACCAATACCTCCAGAAAATGGGCTGGAACCCTGGAGAAGGGTTGGGTCTTGTGGAGCATGCAACAACAACTCACGTGAAGGTTTCCATAAAGATGGATAATGCTGGTTTAGGGGCCAAATTGGCCAAGAAAACCAAGAAGGACGAGTTTGACAGTGGTGAGTGTGCTGGACTTGATGTTTTCCAAAGAATCTTAGGAAGACTTAATGGAAAGGAGGAGCAGATCTCCAATGAGTTGGAAAGACAAAGACTTGACAAGATCATCAATGGCAAGTGGGGTATGCATTTCGTCAAGGGTGAGACTTTGAAGTCCACTTGGGATTCGGAGTGCAAGACCTTAATGAAAGAGGAGAGGAAGAGACGACTTTCTGAAGTTGAGGGAGATGTAGTGTCGAGAAAGAAATTGAGAAAGGAGAAGTCTGAGAAGTCCGAGAAGAAGGAAAAGAAGGAAAAGAAGGAAAAGAAGGAAAAGAAGGAAAAGAAGGAAAAGAAGGAAAAGAAGGAAAAGAAGGAAAAGAAGGAAAAGAAGGAAAAGAAGGACAAGAAGGACAAGAAGGACAAAAAGGAGAAGTCTGAAAAGAAGGAGAAGGTCAAGAAAGACAAGAAGGAGAAGAAGGAAAAGATAGACAAAAAAGAAAAAAAGGACAAGAAAGATAAAGTCCCTAAGAATGAAGTGACCCGAGAAAGCATGCTCAAGCCAAAAGAAAAGGCACCAGAGAAAATAGCGACCAGATTGTCGGCCAGAGCAAAATGGATCAGACAGAAACGTGCCTCTGTCATGGATGCGAAGGCCCTCAACGAGATCTTCATGATTACGAACTAAATAGAACAGCATTAACACGATAACTTTAATTATATTCACTTTTTACAAGAGGAAACTAGTGAAACCACCCACAAAACACATCACCATAGCTCCGACAGCGGCCATCTCACCCATAGAGAATGGACGAGCAGAAATGTTAGCACTGCTCTTCTTAGAAGAAGTGGACGACGAAGACGAGTCCGAGGAAGAGCTAGAGTCCGAAGACGAACCAGAAGAGCCGGAGGAGTTGGAGCTGTCTGAAGTAGCCACAGCGTTGGCCGAGACAGAAGAGACAACAGCAGAACAAGAGCTGGCTGCAGCAGAGGTGCTCTGCAAAGAAGCCAGTCCATCCCAATCACAGGCACTGGAGTGCTCACCGCTGTCCTGGTAGTACTTGTTGAGGAGGTAAGACAACTTCTCCTTGTCAGAACAGAAGGAGATAGCACCGTAAGTACCGTTCTCACCGTTTCCACTGACAGCCGAACAGTCCATGTCTCCACATACACTGCCGAACAAGTCACCGTAGTCCTTGCTCTTGACATCGTCACTGACAACACACTTCAAGGAGGCAGCAACACAGTCACAAACGTTCTTGTCTGGGGTTGGAGGCAACACGGTGTTGGCTTTCCAGGTAGAGGCAGAAGCTGGACAAGCAAGAGTTGAGGTAGAAGCAGCACCAACTTCGGAGGATTTAGCCAAGTTAGGGCTGATGGAGTTCATCTCCTTGGAATAGTACGAGTAATCAGCCAAAGTGCTGACGGAGTTGCCGGAAACAGAGACAAGTCCGTAATCGTTCTCTTCCTCGTAGTACATGTAGACAATTCCACCAGACCACACATCGGTCATTTCGTCACTGAAAATTGTTCCGATCTCAGTGAATTTTCTTGGTCTCTCAGCATTACAACCGTACTCAGAGAAAAACACTGGAATGGTCAAGTTCTTGTACTCCTCGGTTCTATCCTCGTAACCAGAAGTCTTGAAAGTAGAGTCTCCACACCATTCGTACATGTTGATACCGAAAAAGTCGGCTCTTTCGTCGAGACTTCCGCAGGAGAAGTAGTCAGCAATGGCAACTCTGATGTCCTCGTCATCGTTGGACGAGTATCCAACAGGGAAGGTCCAGCCTTTGTCCTTGATGTATTTCTTCATGTCTCTGACAGCAGCCTTGACGAAAGCAGAAGCATCGGTGTTGGACTTGTTGTTCGACACCTCGTTACCGGCGAAGAAACCCAAAACATTCGAGTAGTTGGCGAACATGTCAATGACAGACGTGTATCTGTCATACAACTCCAAGTTCCATTCAGGTGAGTCTCTGTTAATAGAAGTGCTTGGTTCAGACAAATCAGCAATGATGTAGATTCCAGCATCCTCGAAAGTCTTCATACATTCATCGTGATCGTTCTCGGGATCCACGGCGTACACTCTCAACACATTGGTGTTGGACTTGGCAAAGAACTGGACATCACGCTTACAAGCACTGGCATCTGCCAATGGATCCACATAGTCGACAGAACCACCATTGGTGGAGTTGTCAAAGTTTTGCTGGTAGGCAACACCACGGATCAAGAACTGAGACCCGTTATTAGAGTAAAAAAACTTGTTTCCCACCACCTCGATGGCAGGAAGACTAGCCAGAGCGAGGGTAAAGAAGGCCAATGCCGAGAGCAAAGTATAAACCAGTCTCATTCTAAAGTTGAGTCAAGAAAAAGGTTGGCACAAAACACAAAACAAAAAAGTTCTTGTCGCCCGAAAAAAATGGTTTTTTATATATCCATAGGCAACTCGTGTAAAAAGAAAAGGTTGCACCCAAATTCATGGGCCCTGGCCAAGTGTGGTTTGTAGCACCGTACTGATTCCGCCCAATTGCGTTGGAGCTCAAGCTTTTTATGGCGGAAAATTGTACCCACTTGGTTAATTAATAGGTTACGAACGTGCGGGTACAGGATGGCTGTGTACGGAACGCGGTAGCCAAAGGGGCGTGGAATAAGCGTTCTGGGGCCAAATCTTTGTGGAGAGCGTGGCTATCTGCGAGGAACAAATGGGGGAAAAAAATACAAGCGCAGAGAAGATCGCGAAGTGGAAACTGCTGCACTATGAGAGAGTGCGCGTTTTACGGGCAGACATTCATGAGGGGTCTAGTCGGGCCAACAAGTCCTCAGGTGTTTATTTATATTTAGGCACAATCGGAATTTTTCGTCTGGTGGTGAACCCTGGGAACCCTGGACGAAAATAGTGTATAGTGGGAGGAATGCATGTGGGACGATAGGTTGATCACTACAGAGGATGTATGGATGTTGCACCAAATCTTCATTTTCGTCTGTTACACGTTACAACTAACGTGAATTTGAAGGGAAAATGACGTTAAAATGGTATGGGCTCAAGTACGCGTCGGGATTTGGGCTGGGTAGAGGCCAATATATCTGTTTTGGGACAATGAGGTCATAGGGAAAAGATGGAAGATGCTAAGAGGTGATAATAGAGAATAGAGTTGATGATATAGAGAAAAGAGAAGAGTTTAAAAGCTGAAAAGAAATTTCTGGAATGACAGGTAGGAGAAATAGGATTCACGTTGGAACATACGTCTGCTGATACTCCGTTGTGACAGTCTTTAGTTTCGCGTTGTACTAGGTTCTAGGCTTGGCATGTACTCAGTGGGGATAAGTAAGTGCAGGTAAAGAACACTGGGTCTCATGAATATGCCGAAGAAATGTCTACTAAGACAGAAATGGGGAAACGATTCGCATGGTACATTGAAGTGTGGAAACGAAAACAAAACTAGCGACGCAGCATCAAATTTGAGAATATCATAAAGGACAATGTAGAAGTCCAACATTAAAGATAAGTTGCTACCGTAGATTTTATGCCATTATCCCGTCCATTTGGTCAGATAATGCGATAATACCATTTTGCAGAAACCTCGTAATTTCTTCCAATACGTATGTGAAATTGACAAAATGACCAGAGAGTAGATATGACTAAAACACTCTATTACTGTAGTATTAAGTTCAGACTTAGTCATTGTCCTGAGCCCAAGCTTGAAAATTAGAAGCTCTGGATGAATAATCTGTCAATGTTAGAGGAGAGTGATGGTATTTCCCCCTTTAAATTGTACTTTCTTCTAACCGTTGATTTCAATAGCATATCTGTTTACAACATTAGTTCTGTTAGCGACTGCTTCTACTAAAAGCCCTTCCATTGATCTGACACCACATTGAATCACATTCCCAAAACCCAAATCTTCCGGTGTGTTTTCTATAGAGCTGAAAATCTTCACAGATCTCTACTGAAGTCAACTTGATAATCTTCTTCTAATTGGGCCGACCTTGTCCAGATATACGTCTTTATCACTGGTTCTTTATCTTCAAAGACAACATCCATATTGCTCTGTCTTCCTAAATAGATCATACTTGGCCCCGAATAATCCACGACAAACTATCTCCATCATCAAATCACAGAAATACATTAACAGAAACCTACAGGGCCCCACATTCAAGCCCTTACCCTAAAACTCTACATCTACGGACACATTTGCCAGTTCCGGTATGAACTAGCGAGCAAGTCAAGACACTCCATCAATGTCAATGTGTCCCCTAGTACTCCCTAGTCAGATTTTCTATTCACAACTAGTCGCATCACCAACGAATGCTGTCTGAAATCCCGGAATCCTTGATTGGGATCCGGTGTGTCAAAAAGGCAATTAGCGCACTTCCGGAACCCATAGCCTAAAAGGCGCGATAAGGTGGAGTCTCCATTTCCCCAATGGTTGCGAAATCCCGTTGATAGGGCGCACAGATAACGATCGTGATAACGACTATGATAAGTCTCCACTTTATATACCACCTTTAATTCACACTTAAAGAATGTATAATTGTAAAATAAAAATCAAAGATATAATGTTGACCACTCCAGAATTGTTGGCGGACATTGAGGCTGGAAATCTCCGCAAATGTATTTCAGAACAAACGTATGAGGAGTCTATGGAACCAACGTTCCTTGAACTCAAAGCGAAGTACGGAGACATCTCCCACATTGCTTTTGACCCCGAGAAACACTTACGAGTCATTGCAGGTGGACCGGTTGAGAACCACAAGTTCCAGAACACAAGAAGATTGACCATGGAGGAATTGGGACTCTCCAGCAAGAAACAAATCAGTCCCATTGGAGTTTCTGACCCATTTCCCTTGTTTACCGATGAAGCAATTGACATTATGAGGCTTGAGCTTCTTGAGAAGAACAATGTGCTCGAACATGCTCGTGCCATTTTCAACTCTACTGGTGTGGACTGTTGCGTTAGAGGCTGGGTCAGAAAGAACAAGCAGGTGCAGAAGAAGTTCACTTTCGATGCGTGGAACCACCCCAAGACCATGGAGTTGATCTCAACGGTCGCTGGCACCGAGTTGAAGATCGTAATGGATTGTGACATTGCTCATACAAACATCAGCTTGACGTCTGCTGAAAGGGCCCAACAGGAGCGAATTGACCATCAAAGCGAAATTGCACTTAAGACCAAAGGCGGCGAAAGTATGCCGGCTGTGGTTGGCTGGCACACCGACTCTCCACCTTTCGTATGTGTTCTCATGATGTCTGACACCACAAACATGATTGGCGGTGAGACATTTCTTCGTATGGGAAACGGGGAAATTGCTTGTGTTCCTGGTCCAAGAAAGGGCTACGCAGCCATTTTGCAGGGTCACTTGATCCAGCATTTGGCCTCCAAGCCCCGTGGAGCTACTGAGAGAATCACTGAGGTGACTTCTTTTATCGCGAAGGACCCATTAGCCATCGAAGACTCTGTGTTGTCGACAGTGAAGCCAGAAGTCAACTATTCCTCGAGATATAATGAGTTTTACCCAGAATGGATCGACTATCGTGTGGAGATTCTCACCAAGAGACTCGAGCATTTGCAGAAGACATGCAATGAGTCAAAGAAGTTCGATAAGGCCGGCACCATCGAGGCGTTGAAGCTGATTGAGGCGTACTTGGCCAAGACGTACACGGAGATGGAGGTTTCGCCCGAGGAGTGGGCCAAGATTGTTAGCAAGGGCTAATTGATAGATATGAATTGATATTGGGTTAGTTATAAATGGATGAGTAAATGAGAATACAAACAAGTGAATTATGAGCGTACTAGCAACATGGTGACTATTTTTATCTTACCAAAGGTCGAGTATTGGGCATTTTAAGTTAATTTCTCTTTCCCGCATATGTCATCCACATGCTTCAACTACTTAACCAATTTTCATGGAGGTATGTTATCACCACCTAAGGAACCAAGACATACTCCAATCAAGTTATGTTGATTGAATCTTCGAAAAAAATCAAAAAGTGTAAAAAAGTTCTCTGAACAATCTTCGTGCTCCAGTCATATATACGCATTATCCTCTCACTTGAAAAATGGCTGCGAAATCAAACCAACCACAAACACTCATGCTCTGGATTTTCTTCGTACCGCTAGTTTACGCCGTAACTAGTCCCGCTGAATTAGGTTCGTACAAGAACCCCCATCCAAGACCCTACGAAAGATGCGAAGCCCACGATTTAATCAAGTTGTCCGAATGTTGCAATGATGTCCTAGCCAAACTTGACGATTGCAAGGCTGGCGATCTTGCTTGTGAATGCTGTGCTCTACAACACATGGATCCACTGTGTTATTCTTTATGTCCCGGAAACCCATCCACCAACTTTCTTTCTGTCCTTTACAACGATTGTGCCCCGCTTAACGACGTCAATGCTTGCAACTTACCATTCAAGAAGGTGGACGGTCAAAAAGCGGTGGGTGGACGTAAACCCGAGGAAGACGAAGAAGATCCCAATAAGGTAAGCGTCAAGTCAGTTGTTCTGAACGTGGAAGTGGAGGACGATAAGGGTATTCTTCTCTATAGTGCAGACGCAATGTATGACTCGATGGCTGTGACAAATGAACAGAGTGACGAAGCTGATGAGATGCTAGAGGTGAAATCCGAGAAGGAAGAGGCCGAGAAGTCGATTTTTAAATCCACTAAGCCTAAGGTTGTTTTAGTCAACGCTTCAAATGCAACAAGTACGTATTATTGTGATAGTGGAAACATCATCTCCATCTACTTTTTACTAACTACCAGGTTCAACCGTGCATTCAAGCTCACATAAAATATTTATAAGTGGAGCTGTGGTAATGACGGCCACTTCTCTCGTGGTGTCCTTTCTCTTTGTGAATTCACGTTTCTAGTCTTTATGAGTCTCGTAGATCCAGTCGAGGGTGTGCTTAATACCCTCCTCAAGCGAAACCTCCGGAGTGTATCCCAAAATAGTCTTAGCCTTGGTGATGTCGTGGTAACGAGTAGCACAGGTGATCTTGGCTCTGAATGCTGTCAATCCCGGCTCCTTATTAAGAAGCTTAGAGAAAAACTGAGATAAGTACCCGGCCGCAATGGCAACAGGACGGCTCAAAACAATGTTGTATTTGTCAATGTGGCCGTCAGCCTTCCACACGGTTCTGGCCAACGTCCAGAAGTACGTGGGTGCATCGTTGGTGATGAAGAACGTCTCTCCTCCAAGTTGCGAGGCATACTTGGGGTCCAAAACTTTCTGAGCAGCCAAAACATGAGCATCTGCAACGTTTCCGACGTATGTCCAATCGAACAAGTTGTTGTTATCGCCCAATTGGAACTTAGATTGACCCAATCTGGCTGCTGTTCTCAAACCCGGCACAAGCTGTCTGTCACCGGGACCAAAGATACCTGCTGGTCTCAAACACACTGTCAAAAGCGAGCTAGAGTCATTGGCAGACATCACGGCCTCTTCAGCAATGGCTTTTGTTTCATTATAGCCATCCATGTGTACTTCAGGGTATGGCCAGCTCTCGTCGGCATTGTACACGTTCTGGCCATTGAAAATAACTCCAGCAGACGAGGTGTACACCAAGGCCTTGACTGGCGACGTTTTAGCAACCTTAAGAAGGGCTTTGGTGCCGACAACATTAACCTTCTCATAGATGTCTTGAGACATGCCATGAATGGGAGAAGCAGAGTGAACGATAACCTCACACTTGGAGGCGTCGATGGCGTGCTTGATGTCAGATTCCGAAGTCAAATCTCCTTTGTGAAAGGTGATTTTGGTGGGATCAAACGTGAAGTATTTGGAGATTTGGTCTGGAATAGGACGAATATCAAAAACGTGAATGTCGATGCCGGGACAACGGTCGTGGAATTGCTGAACGAGGTGTAACCCAAGGAATCCAGAACCTCCAACCAATAATACCGAGGTGAGTTGTGTCATTTGGATCTGTGTATTTGGAATTGAGATATACTTGATAGGTGACAATTTAAATATTGAGGTGTCGCGATATTACGAATATACGAGGAGAATGGGTGACAATAAGGTGAAAGTGCGATGGATAACTAAAGGCACAAAAGAGAAGAAAATAAGTGAATCCACAATCAATATGTTACTACATCCTGTATTAGTATACAAATGGCCATGTAGGGACCATTTCAATGCGATTGTGGCGGAAGGTCGATGACACTCGTAAAGCGATGATCTCAGAACCGAAAACCGAGAAGTATCAGAACTGCGAACCGCGATAGTCAAATTTGGAGAATGAAAACTGATCATCAAACTCTGTTAGCCTTAAAACACGAAGGTTCAATTAAAACTTGAAAAGTGACTTGAACTCTTCAACCTTGGCCTCATCTACCTCACCAGTTATAACCTTGACGGGAGGGAAAGTGAACGACACATCCGATATAGCTGAAGGTGATCCTTTATTTGCATTGCCATTGCTTTCCGAAACTTCATGAGTACCTTTCGTCTCAGGCGTGTCTAATGATGCAACAGATGGCTTGCCGAATGAGAAAGCAGGGGACTTGGAGTCGAAATTCCCGAAAGAGAAAGCTGGCTTTACATCCTTGGACGAGTTGGAGTCCGTGTTCTTCGTCGGCTGAGAACCAAAGTTAAATGCTGGAGTTTTAGCGGCTTCAGTTCCAGCTTTAGAACCAAAACCAAATGTTGGGGCCCCCGATGCTTCAGCCGATGGTTTCGAACCAAAATCAAACGTTGGGACCTTTGTTTCTTCAGTTGATGATTTCGAACCAAAACCAAATTTCGGTACCTTCGTTTCCTCAGTTGCTGGTTTATTACCGAAATTGAAGGCTGAAGCTTTCGTATCTTCATTTGCTGGTTTAGAACCGAGATTGAAAACAGGGGCTTTTGCTTCTTCAATTCCCTCTTTAGATCCAAAATTGAAAGCTGGAGTCTTTGGAGCGTCAGCCTTAGATGCACCAAAACCGAACAGGGGCTTCTCCAGAGTGGTTTCTTCTTTCTTCAGAAGACCAAAACTAAATAGTGGTTTCTCCAGTGAACTCTCCTCAGGTTTCTCCGCGCTTATACCTCCAACTTTATTGAATGCGGGAGTGGTTCAGGCTTTTCAGTAGGTTTGGATGGACCAAAAGTGAAACCGTTAGAAGGAGCTGGCTCTGGAACCTTAGGTTTTCCAAAAGTAAAGGTGGCGGATCCGTTTTCGGTTGCTTTTGGTTCTTCCTTCTTGGAAAATCCGAATGTGGTGGGAGTTGGAGCCTCCTGCTCAGATGATTTTTCGCCGAAATTGAACTTTGGAAGGGTCGTGTTAAACAAGCTAGGTTTAGACTCGCCATTAGTGCCGTTTTCTATAGCATTAGTCTCAGTTTTGCTGAATAGCAGGCCGAATGGCTTTTGAGTACCGTTTGTATCTTCTTTTTTGTCGGTTTCGTTTACATCGATCTTAGACTCGCTCTTGGTGTCATCAGATTGCTTGATATCCGAGTTGTTTTGAACGTTCTTGCCATTCACCTCCGTAAGGTCAGGCTTTCCAAACGTAAATGTGGTGGCTGCGTCCATTTTTTCGTCTAGCTCGTCAACCTTGCTGTGTAAAACTGTTTTGGAGATATCATTTGCTCCGAAAGTTGTATGTCTCTTTGAAGGAGGATTCAGTGAAATAGGATTCTTCCGTTTACTTCTGGCAAATGGGTTATGGAGCAGCTTGACGGAAGAAGTCGAATCCACCAGCTCTTTGGAGTTTCCACCATCCAATATAGACAAGAGCGAATTAGCTGTATTGCTCATTTGTTTTTGAGCAGAATCCTGATTATCGCCATTCAACTCCCTACCAGCAATCGAGGCAGCAGTAGAGGTACCCTCAGATACTCCAGCAGACGCTGTCGAGGTGCCAGTAGCAGTCGTGAGACGCTTGGCTCTTCTGGCATTCAAATTAGGAGCTCTAATTCTAGTTCTATATGGAGAAGGCAAACCAGAGAATTGGTACACCCGTTTCACGGACGTATTGCCGCGAGACGTATCGCTGAAGGTGTGGTACACCGGCTTGTAGTCTGGAGTGGCCAAGGAAGTGGAGTTTGCGTCGAGCATGCTTGTATTCCTCAAGATCTTCTGTGAATAAGGAGCAAACGTGTGGTTTTGGCGTGCCTCCAATTCTGAGTCATCATCAGGCGCAGTAGGCTTCTCGGGCGACTCCGGAAGGGGCAAAGTGATCGATGCTTTCGATTTCTCCAAGAGTGACATGACACCTTCGTACTCAACCTGAGTCAAGGGCCGATCTCCCTTTTCCTGAAAGAAACTGGAGAGAATCCTGTTGGTGGTTTGGTCTCCTTCGGCCACCGAGTCGTTGACTGTGACAGAAAACGACTCCAACCGTGGAAGTATGCTTTTATTGGCGCTGGCAGGTACGGGTTGAGTGGTTGAACGAGATTGCTGAACCTTTTCCGTGACTTGAGGTGATCCAGCAGAAAAGTATCGTTTCACCCTAGACAAAAGACCACCACGAGTGGGGTAGGGTAACACTTTCTCCCTGGTCCGATCACGGTACGCTTTTATGACTCTGCGGTTATCCATGGTGGGAAATGTGGAGAGTAGTGTGTTTTACATTTAGTGTTTCGAAAATTATGATGGTGATGATGTCACGTGATACGAATTTTGGATTGTGGGGTTAATTAAACAACCCAGAATTCACTTGATGAAATTTTGAGAAAGGTGTAAAAATTAAAAAGTTGGGTATATCAAGAAAATAATTTTTTATTATGTAATTCTCTTTTTGAGATGCTTTTTCAGAGGGCAGTTTGTTGATGGGGTAAGCTGAGGTACGGGTGTTTGTAGTGGTCTAAATATGGAAATGTTCTAAACGGCAACGAGAATGATGAACTTCAAAAAATAATCATTAATTCTACCATTTATGACTCCATTTCTTCCCACTTTTCACGTCCTTGTTGCAGTTTAAAAGTTTGAAACCTTCAGGTGTTTAAGTGATCAGACGCGATCACATCAACACGATTCCTGCACTACAACCTCCTACTCTTTCCAACTCCTACAATCACTCTAGGTATCTGGCGCCACAAAAACAAGCCGGTCCAGTTAAAAGTTGATTTATTCACCAACAACCACAAAGAAGCATCTTGAGATTTTTTTTCCAGTATTTCATGACATTCTAAACCACCACACTGCATCGAACAATCTATGACTTACGTCTCAGATTCAGACGGCGACAACTCGCTCCCGCCGTTGTCTCCAGAATGGATCAACAAAGACCAGCTACGAGAGGTGTTTTCGATTCTCTCAGAGGCCAGCAAGTGTCGTATACGGGCCGAGGCTCGTGGAACCCCCATGGAGGAACTTTACAATGACATAGAGAAGCTGGATATTGAGGTTTCCGTTGGACATGAACTTGTGGAAACGCAAATACCACATTCAGAACAAATTGTACATTTAGAACAGCTGAGGGTGCCTGAGCAAACGTTAGTACAAGAACAATCAATAGGAAGCGATTCTAACTTGGACTCTCAACTTCCGCACCATCAAGAGAACGTCCTTGAAACTTTTCTACCGAAGCATATCGAGATTGAGTCGTCTCCTCTACGACACGAAATACCTGTCATTGACGGAAATCCGGTCCCTTTACTGAGAGCATCTACCAGAAGTCTACGGAAGCGAACGTTCGCCAGTCGTCATCCATATATCGCCGACCAGGCAGACTGGCTTGGAATCTGTACGGTAGACAGCATCAATGAGATGTTTAACGACGACGAGGATGTTACGAAGGTTGTCAAAGCGCTCAATCAGCTCTACTTGAGAAGAAAAAAACGATATCCAGACGAAGATCGCTACAAGTCTAAGAACTTCTATGCGCATTTGGGAATGAGCAAGCATTTGGCATTATCAGGCGACTCAGAAGTATCCAGCAGAGATGTTATAGAGCAAATGTCGCAAAATGCCGAAGAGGATGAGTACGAATCGGATGGGAAAGAGGATGACGAGGATGAAGACGAACAACTTATCCCTTACGAAGGTTTAATCAGCTCTTCTTTGCCTGATTATGACGATGCAGACAATAACACAAGAAATTTTTACGAGAATGACGAAGGAAAAGACGCTGACATCTCTGCGGAAAGTGGAGACGAATCCAGCGAAGAAGAGCAATTGATTAAGATTGGCGGGAGATATAGAAAACTCAGTCGTATTTTGCGTGGTGTGCTTCCTGAATCAGCCAGAAGACTTGATATTTTCAAGGACACCAAGCAAGTGAGGAAACCCAAGAAAAAAATCAGGGTCTTGGAGCCACGCAGGGGTCTTGCAATCAAGAAGTATGGATCCAATTCGGCTCAGTCAGATGAATTACAAAAAGAACTCAACTCTTTCATAGATGAAAACCAATCAGGAGAGGAATATACTCCAAATCATCAGCAGTTGATTCAGAAGTCAATCACCGACTTAACCCCGAGTTTCACCGAGGCCAGCTCCAGCTCTGATTCTGAAAGTGACTTCGTGGAGGAAGTCTTCTCCGACAATGTTCGCGATGACTTGACTCCAACGTTCCTGGTTTCAAGGATCGATCCGTATCTGAGTTTTGTGGATGTGGAGTCAGACTCCGCACACGAGGAAGACCGCATAGACCACATGTTTGCCAGTGGTCCAAAACACCAGAGTAACGGCTCTGGGTCCAAAAGAGTGCATTCCAAAGCTCGTCATGCTCGCTCAACGACTCCCAAGTCCCATAATACTGAATTGAGAGACCTGACTAACACTCCTCAGCATAGGCGAAAACGCAGGTACAACAGGCGTTATCTGACCAGTCTCAAGCGTAGAAAGCTTGTGTCTCCCCATTCAAATCGAACGCCAAATGTTGTGGATGCACCTTCAAAAAGACCGCAGGCAAAACAAGTGGTGAGAAATCAAGCAATAACAAGATACAAAACGAACATCCAACATGCAAATATTGATAGCAGAGAAAAGCAGAGAGGTCAGCAGCAAAAACTACATCAGCAAAAAGCTCAACAGCAAAAAGCTCAACAGCAAAAGAATGCTCCAGAGCACTATGTGGGGAGATATGCTAAAAACGAGTTTAGAAGAGATCCAATTCAAAGCACAACAGTTTTTGAGGTGGAGAGCTCCACTCATTTTGTGCGTAATCGAAATGTTCACCAAAGCGGAAACACCCCGGACAAATATGCTCCATCCAAAGAGTTTCTTTTCGGATTAGATGGCGATTTCCTTCCCAGGGATTTGATGCCATTGACGGAGTTCTCGAAAGTAAATACAATGGGAGATGGCCATATCTTCTTCAATGGAGAAGATAGTGTGGTCTTCACATTGGTCGGGAAGAGATACTCCTTAGGGCTCTACCGTATCGAAGCTTCCAACTTATTGTCAGAACGTTACTTCATGCAATTACGCAAACTCGTCCTGGACTCTAAGATGATTCTCAATCCAAATATCAGAGAAGAAATTCATCACTCGTTGAAAATGATCATCAAGTGGATTTTAATTGCCCAAGAACATCCACTGGAGGAGCTCTGGAAGCTTTTAAACCACCAATTGAAGGATTTCACGAAATTACACACTCGGGAAATGCGACAACATCAGTGTATTGTGAGCAGCCGTCTATTGTTTATTTACTACATCTACATTCGAATTGAAACAACGAAGGTGTCTAATTCCGAGCAGCAATTACTAGAACATTTTAATGCCATTTGCTCTGATTACTGGTCAGTTTTGTTTCAAAGTTTCTCTGCCTCAGAAATCTGCTCCGAGTTTTCTCCAGAAGCTAGAGAAACCTTGCTCCGTGACTCGTTGGCTATCATGTATTCAATTTTCACAACTCAAAAGTCGTTCTGGTGGGCTCCTATTATTGAAGCTTTACATGATTCTGTTCAAGTCATTTACGATAAAGTTTCTTTGTTAAATGTGATCTACATCCTTTCCTCGCTCGTTCCACGCAATAAATACAATTGGGGATGCTTCCTTGCTGTTTTGAGCGAACTAAAGAGTGAAAGGACTTCTGAATTTTACCATCATTTTATTGACACTTGTGCTCTTGCAGTTCACAGATTGAGCTGGCCCCTAGAGGAAAGGTTGATCACACAACTTTATTCCTCATTTGCCCAGAGACAGTTTGGGAACTTTTCTGATGAGGGATTTGTGCCCCGACCATTGGGACTCATTCACACTCGTTTGGATATTCCAGAGTCCAGTGTTTTCGAGAGATTCATGGGTCTTTTGTATAATCATGTCTCAAGCCTTTCCTCAAAAAAAGACGTGAAGAAACTTGTTTCCAAGTTGGTCGCATCTAGTCAGTATCGATACATGAGTGGTCGGAAGTATCAGATTCAATTTGTGAACCGGTTAAATTTGATATTGTTGCTTTTTCAAGTTTGTGACGTTGACCTATCCAGTCCTTTCATTAGTCTTGTGGAATCTATTGGAGACTCCAAAGATATGTTCATTTATGGTAGAACATTTGATGCACTTGTTCTCTATTGTGATGTTGCCAAAAGCAGACGAGCTGGTATTCCCTTGAGAGCGTTTGAAGTGCTTCTTTCCAGTTTCTGTACTTATTTTAACAGTCTCTTTGGGATGCCAGACTTACTCAAGAGAGCCATTCAATTCTTGGGTAGTAACTTCCAATGTCATAATGATAGCTCTCTTTTCCAGTTATTGAAAGCTGTCAGCTTGACGAAGATTCCAGATGGTGTCTTAGCTGATTTCCTCAGCATGGTTCTCATTTCGTCTTTTGAAGTGCTGGGTCGAATTAATGAGTTAAGTGAATCCGAGATGGTAGACATTAGCCATTTCGACAAAGCAATAGTCAATTTATTGAGTGCTCAAATGAGAAGATTGCATTTGGTTGAATCTCGCCAGCGAGAAAGAATCGAGGATTCCATTGAGATCGCAATACAGATATGGATGATAATAGCCTCGGTGACAAACACTGATCACTGGAATGTTATGATGTTACGGAAGTACCCATACATTGGAAATGAGCAGCTGAGAGAGAAGTTTGTGCTCTTAATGTGTGAAGAGTATGTAAAGTCTGGACCACTCAATGACTCCATAATTACAGAAATCGACACAATTATGGTAAAGGGATTAATGTCGCTATCAATTTCCAAGTATGCCCTTCCGCTATATTTGAGGCTTTGCAGGACTGCTGGATCATTATTCTGCTTTAAGAAGATACTGACTTTAACTATAACTACACTTTCTCAAATGCAAACACTCAGGCAACAGGTGTTGAATCTCGTGATTCAGAATATGTGCTCTCTGAATTCGCATTCCAGAGACGTCAAGGTTTCACTCTTAAAACAGTTTGTGAACATCTTGCTGCATGAATATTCTAGAAACTTTTTGCAGACCATCTACGTTGAATTTTGCAAGCAAATGGTGGAATTGGTACAGAAGGCAGGTAAGTCACTTCTCAACAATGTAGATGAGTTCTGGGAGTTTGCTGTGAAGTTAGGTTTCCCCAATAGAAAAAAGCAAATCGCATGGAGTGAATCGAGCGAGATGGACCAGTTACAAATGCTTAACAATGAACTTCTTGATGCTTTGCAATATAGCAAAGACTTGAAGAAAGCGTTGGACAACTGGATTAATATTAGCCATATGAGTGCTGTTTATTCATTGGTTCAAATCTACATTTCTGCAGTTTCCATTCACGAATCACATTGGGCCCATTTGTCCAATTTGCTCCAGTATATCTTATCGAGAATAGAGCAATACCAGGTGAAGGTTCAAGAGTTTGCATTTCAGAGGTTTTTGGCGATGCTAGTTGACATAGCAACCATTTCGTCTCGTTGGAAGAGCAGTACTTATTCGATCTATGAACTAGATGCCTTGACAACCTGCTCGAAGATTCTTCACCATGCTTACTACTTTTACAGTGGGTACAAAGACCAAGCTGATTTTATGGAAGTTGCACGGCAGTTTTTGGGTCAGATAGACTTCCACGCTCCTCATGATACACAACTAAGCTCCCCATTCACTAGCCTATCGTTCGGCATGCTCAGGAATTCAAGCCGCTCATCATATACCCCACTTTTGCATAATCCCCCCGAAGAATACTCAAAATTCTACGAAACGCTAGACAAGCAAATCACGAAGCTCCGAAATACGTTACAGCCGATAGCTGAGCAAGGACTGCTTGACTTTGATTTCGAATTCTGAAAGCATTCCAGTTATATATACTTATCTAAACCAGCATTTCCAGCATATACACTAGCATTAAAATACAGATATCCTATTAAAAATCCATTACTGCAAACCACGCTGAGCCTTGATAAGCTCAATCTCCGCTTCAAGCTTATCCTTACCTCTTTTCACATCCAACAAAGCTACCACTGCCTTGATCAACTCGTCGTACTTAGCCATTGTCTTCCGCGTGGGCATAACCGGCTTCCAAGTTGTGCCACCCGCAGTAGGAATATCAAGCTCTTGTAGCATAGTATTGACGGATTTGAAAACAGACTGTCTTTGTTGAAGACCTGGAAGCTTCTGGGTAGAACGTAAAATTACACCAGGCGTAAGTCTTTCGTTAGCATGGTAGTACAATCCATAGGCTTCCTCTTCCTTTGTCGTAAGGCGCTTTGCAAGAAGCTGCTGCACTGCAGTCTGCTCGCCTTTATCCTGCTGTTTAACAAGCCCTGAGAGATACTGCTGGAGGTGTGTCTGGAAACCTCTATCTCTCTTATATGACGAAGAAGCCACCAGAGGAATTGGTGGGGGCACTGGATCGTTGGCTCCAGCAGCCTTTTGTTGTAGTTTCTTCCGCTGGTGCTTGTCCAAGATCATCAAGTTGTTGTATAAGTTGGTCAAGCCCTGGGAGGAAAGATACTGCAGCACCGACTGAGAAGTCTGGGGCGAATCGAGTAAGGTCAACAAATGCGATCTCTCCACAAGCATTTTCTTTGCTGCAAGCTCGAAACGACGTGCTTCTATGACAAGCGACTCTTCCTCGGCAATTTCTGCTGGAGTTCTCTTGAGAAGGCTTTCAAGAAACTTCTTTCTGTCGTTTTCTGCAAACTTGGAAAATGCATCAAGCGACTCAAGCAAGCTGGGGTTTCCCGTTTCACGATACTTTAAGATTTTGGCTGTCATTCTGTAGAACTGTTCTTTCAAGTCCTCCATAGTACGTTGACACTCAGAAGGAAATCGATCAGCAATTACATACCATTTTAGCTCATTATCCCGACATAGCTCGAAGAGAAGCTTTGTTTCCTCGTAAGTCCATTCGGGCGAGCTAGGCTCCGCGTCCACGTCCTCAACGTCTTTGGAATCCTTGCCTTCTTCCTTAGTATCAGTATCGGACTTTGAGGAGTCTTTTTCGTCTGCTTTGTCATCGTTTCTCACGGCTGGCACATCTTCCTTCTTCACCGTGTCCTTCTTCTTTGACTCCTCTTCGACTTTCTTCCTTTCCTCTTCTTTCTTCGCATTTTCACGTCTCTCTCTGGCTCGACGTCTTCTCTCTTTCTGTAACTCCTCCTCGTGCTCCTTGATCTCCACCATTAAGTTGTCAAATGTTGGTTCATCCACGAACTCGGGAATATCGAGTGAAACCGCAAATTTATCATAGAAGTACGGCTCGTCGGCGACTTTCTCCAACAATTCCTTACTTCCCTTCTTCCAGTGGTGGAATGTGGGCGCATGTGGGTTCTTTTTGTTGGGTTGAAATGCGATTTTTGTCCACGGCGAGACCTTCTGCTTTCTGTCCTTAATTCTGCTGATTCCCATGTTCATATTAACTGGTGGAGTGTTTGGACCTAAAAGGTTATACAACTCTCTCGCCATGGCACCCTTTTGAAGCACTGGTTGTTCCACCCTCTGTTTCTTCTTGGCAGGCTGAGCACTCTCATCTCGCTGGATATTTAAAACGTCCAAGACGTCGTTGGCAGACATTTATTGATGAGAAAGGTAAGTATGTTTGTGTGAAGTTGTAGTAGGTGAGATGTGCAGGATGGCCAACTATGATGAATTTCGAAATCGTGTTACGGCGAGTATTTTCAGCTGCTAAGATCCATTTTGTGCAAATTTATTATCTTGCGCTGAGTTTTTGCATGCTTGTATTTCCTAACTCTGTGAGTCTTGCGAATTTCTTACTATTAAAAAGTGAACATGGTCAGATGAGTATGACTAACTTCAATAACGTTCCAAGTAACCAAAACTCTCAACTTTTTCTTTCAATACTCTCGAATATTCAGGTTATTTACGTTAATGAGCTCCACTAATACAGCTACGTATCCTTATAAAATGCATCTGCTCAATTCTATCATCAACTACTATTGATATCCTCCAACCAACATCCTCTGCATCTATACCTCTCCATGCTAATCTAGGCTCATCACCTTATAAATATCAATGCAACTCTCTAGGTGCCTCGATCCACTCTGTAGTACCCATCTGCGTCAATCTACTTAATGCTCTTGCAAACGCAAATTTCTCCTCGTCGTTGACAAACATCGAGGCCTTCTTGGCGATCAGCTTGTCAAATCCGTGTTTCACCACCAACTCGTCATCTTCAAACGTTTCTTCCATTCCCTTATCCTTCTGTCTCTTGTAGAGCAGATAATTATCCTTGGACAACTCCTCGGGTTCCACGAAGATGTCTTTGAATGCCGCTGCTCCCGTGGTAGCAATGCGGCCATGGGCATCGTACACGGCATCCAAAAATGTGATGAATCTTCTAACCTTATCACGCACATCGGTACTCAAGTACGGAATGTCGGTGATAATGAACGACTTGTATGTGTTGGCCAAGGTCAAGTAATCTCCAGCACTCAAATTCTTTCCACAAAGCTCGTCAAACGTGAACTGCGCAACATCCGGCTTGGAACTTAATGGAACCTTCAACTGTCTGCCCCAAACAATCAACACATCGTTGACAACCACGTCCTTATTAGTATTATGCTGATTAAAGTAGTCAAACCATGTCTGAACATGTTTCAGGCACGCAGCACTGTTAACCTTGCTATGATACTTCACTCCGGGCTTGGGGTACTGGTAAACAGAAGAGATAGGTTTAGGGATCTTTCTGTAATCTGTGGGCGAGTTTAAGTAGATAACTCTTGTCTGTTTCTTGATCAACTGGATACATGGAATAAACAGCACTCTCTGAATACCGTTCATGTATAAGTCGTCAGGAGCACGGTTTGAAGTTGCAAACAAAATCACTCCATGGTCTGGATTGAGAAGAAGTGTCATCAAACGTCTGAGCAACATGGCATCAGCCACATCGGTCACTTGAAATTCGTCAAAACAGAGAACCGTAGATGTCTGAGCAATTTCAGCCGCTAACAATGGGATAACGTCTAAGTCCATATGATTGTGCTCCACCTTAAGCTGGTGGGACCGTTTGTGCAAGTTTTGCATGAACTGGTGGAAGTGAAATCTCCGTTTAGGTAGATGTTTTGGAACTGTCAGGTAAAACAAGTCCATTAACATGGTTTTTCCACAGCCAACATCTCCCCAAAGATAGATACCTTTGATCTCGTTTTGAGGAACATCCTGAATGTCTACCTCCTTTTTTCCTTTGCCAAAAAAGGACTCAAAGTACTTAGCCACTCCAATCTTGGGTTTCAAGTTCTCCACATTTGGAGTCTCCACCACAGGGGCCTTGTAGGTTTCGAGCTTGCCATGCAAAATAGAGAGGTTCAGTATAATTTTTCTCTGGTAAGGGTCGTCTTTGAGTAAATCTTCTGCCACTTTTTGGTCGTACCTTTCGATAGGTGACAAATTGAGGAGTCTTCTCGGAACTACACGGATAACATTCCGAGGAAATAACGACCGTGAGAGTAGAATTTTGTTTGTCATGACAAAAACCTATACTCTGGAGGAAATGCTACAGGGAATCCTCGGAGCGTCGGAGTTTTGACGTGTATTACAACTAAGTCTGTGGATCCTGTTGGTAAGACTGGTAACAACTCTTGAGCCTGGCCCGGGTCCACCTGCAGGATCTACCCCAAGTTTTCCAATTTCCTCCGGGGCCATTGGCTAGTCCTGTGTGCCAGACTCACTGATAAGTCACTGACCGGTAGTCATTTTCCGGGTGGCTTGATCTGGGAGGGATTCCCACCTTACGCTGATGTCTTTATTTGTGATCGCATGAAGATTGCAGCTCTGTATTTCTGTATTTTCCCTTTTATTTTTTCGAATTTTCCATCATTTTGTGTCGGTCATTTCGAATAGCAAATCGTCGTTGTCATAGCTCATATGATCATCGTGATCAGCATGTGACATCTCCTTACCAGTAGACCCAAAGTAGTCGTTAGTGTCATCATCATCCTCAAAAACATCTTCGTACTTGATTGGACGTTTGGCCTTGACGTAAATAGAGGGCGATGTAGCTAGCCCAGATACTCCCTCTGCATGATGAGTAGCATGAGCCATCGTTGTAGCTGTCAGCGGTGACGACACGAGCTTGCTTCCCGGAGACTTCAAAAATGAGACATTTCCTCCAGAGTAACTGTTCTTGAATGATCTCGGACTGCCACTAACATCACCACTATGTATGCCGCTATCATTCAATCGCGATGTAATTGAAGGTAACCTGGAATTGTCAAATGAACCTGTTGGCAACGAAGGTGGAGGAGAGTAGATCGAATGGGAAGATTTTCGGCTGGAAGGCTTGCTTCCACTTCCACTATTCTGGCTCTCTCTAGATCCCATTTGGTTGTGATGGAGAATTAAGCTGGCACTCACACTTTCTCCTAGCTGTTGATGTTGGCTCTTCAAGAGTTGAAAGCGGTTCAATGCACTCAAATGCGAACTGCTGACGTTATCGGAGGAGCCCTGCTTGGAACTATGGTGACTCCTACTCAATCTGAGATCGGGATTATCGTCAATCATTTGGACGAAGGAGCTAATATCATCTTCAACGTACAATCCTGAAAATGGAGCACTGGATGAGTTCAGCTCCACACTGGTTCCTAGAAGAGATGGATGGGCATCATTATTCAGGATGGAATTCAATCGGCTGCTATTGCTGAACCGACGACTCTGTCTAGACCCAAACGACGAGGAAAATCGAGGAGCAGATGAAACTGTTTCACCAAAATGATCGTCTCCTTGCAAATGTGAGCCATGTGAGGACGAAATGGACCTTGGAAACAGCATGTTGAAATTGTTCTGCGAGCCAGAAATCGTCATCGTGTTCGGTGTGTTAGAAGAGGAAGTACTACCTCTCGCATTTCGCAATAATGCTGCTAAAGACGCATTTGACCCAGAGCGGTTGCTCGTGACGGAGATTCGCCGTTCCATAGAAGAACCTGTAAGACTATTTGGAGTATGAGACAACCCAGACAGTGGCGGTGGAGAGTTGCTGATAGATCCCACTTTGAATGGCTGGAATCCTGGACGAATTGGCGCAATAGATACCAGCTTTTGCTTTGCCAGAGTCTTGGGAGTGGGTGAGCTCTCTTCGTGCTGTAGCAACGAGGTGCACGGCAGTAACGAGTTCTTCTCACCGTGCTGGACAAGCGAGTCTCTTGGCTTTGATGTCTGCGGACGATCAGAAGAAAGAGATGCAGAGCGAGAATTTGGTCTGGATGTCGAATGAGAACGGGACCTGGAACCCGATCTAGAGCTTGGACGGGAATTCGCGTGTCTTGTTGTTCTTGAGCCAGTGGCAGAACCTTCCAGAGTCCTCGTCAGATTTTGTGTTTGATTATTACGTTGAGCTTGCTCTGCCTGCTCCTTATCAGAAATGAGGAAGTGGTTGGACAAACGTTCTTCTCTGTCTTGTACCTTGAACTTGTAGTGATTCCGGTAGCTCACAGACACACGAAGGCTTCCTAAGGTCGTTTCAATAGGCTCGAACGACCGTTGGGTCATGTGTGACTCAGTCATAAGCATTTGATGGGGAATTATGGACTTAGACAATCCAATCCGACCCTTAGAACTGATTGGTTGCTTCGGGTCCACAAAGCGGTTACGCACCACCAAGTTTTTTGACAGCAGCTTGGTCACATACTTCTTCAACTTATAAGCGGGGAGCAAACGCGTGATGGCGTAAAGAACCCGTAGAAGGACAATAGCCTGCTTGTATATGAGTGGAAGCTCGTCAACAGTAGCCGAGAGAGCAAGGTTGCGGTCAAATTCAATAAGCCAGCGCTCTACAACAACCTCCTTCTTCTTAGATCCACCTTCTATCACGGTCCACAAACTGCCGTTGTCATCTTCTAGTAGTACAATCTCGCTAGGAGAGATCAGGCGTAAATCCAAGTACGTTTCAATGATCATGGAAGGCAAGCCATAATTCTCTGCCTGTGCTCTCCACTGTTTGATCTCGCCCCGGAGCCACTCGTCTCCCGTGGATGGCACTTGGAGGTTGAACCACTTATTGATCTTAGATGATTGGCCATCGTCATTGTAGGAGGCCAGCGATGCCTCAGGAACGGCACGAGCTTGTACAATGGTTTGCAGAGCCTTTGTAAAAAAGTTTTGCATCACCACAATCAATTTAGCCTGCTGTTTCCGTGAAAACAGATCAGAAGTCGGCGTCTTTTCCATTTTGGAGCTTCTGGAATGAACAGTGGCCACAGGGCCAATCCGGCACCGGAAATTAATAGATGAGGCCACTAGCGGCACTTAAAGTCACTTGCACCAGCTTAAATAGTTGGAGATGTGCAAATAATGACCACGCCGCTTACAATTGGCACAAAAGCACTTCAGTAAGTGATGGTAGTAACGCGGTGAGATGACACCGTATCAGGAAATACAATCGTTAGCCGCGGTACAAAGTGAGTACTATGCGGGCAAGCGGATAGATCTAAATAGTAACACAGCCAGCCCGATGGAGATTGTGGGCGGTTGTAGAAAAAAACGTGGCGGATCAAGTCAGATAAGTGACTAAGGACATACCTCAGGTATAAAGGATTGTTGGTTGTTCCTGCATATGGTTGGATGGAAGGTGGAGAGCCACAAAATGATTAAGTGTAAATAGATAGTGGAGTTGAAGTATTGAGACACACAAATGTATTAGAAAGGATGAGTAAATTTGAATTTGATTCTGAAACTTCATTATGGTGGTTCCTCAATTTGTAGGTAGACCCTACTATGGCTGATCTTATGGTACTGTAGATAGCTGGCCGATAAGGTTCGCCTAGTGAGACTTGCTGTTGGTTGCAGGACAAGGTGGTAGAGGACAGGGGAAATGAAGATGTATTATAGGAAGACAATAAGACGGCTAAAGGTTAAAGAAATATACATCCGCTCAATACAATTACGATTGAATCGATATTAAAGGAGCGAGCTAAGTGTAGTTTAAGAATGCCCGTCTGCTGACGTAAATTCAAAGTTGTAGATCTACCGAAGTAGATTATTAAATTGATGTAGATCCCATTAACGACTTAGACAAAGTAAAATAAATTGGGATTAAAGTTTTTGGCTCATTTTATGAGTTGGAGTCGATATTTAGGGTATCTCCAATTATTCACTTGCAATCCCAAGCGCCTTGCGTGCTGCTCCAAGATCAGCACAAAGTAACAATGCTCTTTGCACTTCTCTGCGTGTTCCCTTGTTCACATATGCTTGCGACACCTCTAGAGCTGTACGTTTGGAGTCCGAGAGTAATGCCGTGGACAATGCCATGTTCAGGCTGAGATTGCACCAGATATTGTAATCCAGAGGAAACAACATGGCAAACTTCTGCCACACCTTGGTATCTTTTTTACCAGTGATGCGTTCGGTCAATTCGGCCAATACTTTAGGAACCAAACGGTTTGCGTCACCTACAAGCTCGACAAGCAGCAAGCCTTCGAGCTCTTCCTTGATAGGAACGAAGTATTCTTCGAGGTTATCGGCCACAGAAATGGCTCCCAAAGTGAGCACAACCATAAGCGACGATCCGTTCTCTTCAATAAATGAAAAAAGTTGGTCAATGGCCGCCTGCTTAGTTTCTGGAGTGTTGTAGGCGAACAACACTTGAGCGATTAACGTAACAGCACGGTGTGATTGGCTGTGCTCGCTGAGAATCATCTTCAATTCCTCCAACGCATCGTTGAACTGATTGTTGAAGAGGAAAGACAATCCAATGACCACTCTCGACGAAAGCAACGCGTCACGTACCTCTTCTGTATACTCTTCTTCTCCAAGAACATCCAAGGTGAATTGTGCATGGTCAATGGCTTTCTCGTACTCTTCGATTCCCAAGCAGATTCTAGCCAACTGGGTCTTTGCTTGTGCAAATTGCAACAATACTTGCAGACTCTCAGACTCTTCGTACTTTTGCTCCAACAATTGGCATAGTCTCTCCCCAATATCGACACTCAAGTTGTACGTCTGACATCTCTCACTGAGCAAAAGTGCAAGCTTCAATCCTGTAACGTCATTTGGCTGCATCTTCAAGAAGCTTTGGATAGCGTAGTTTGCAATGCTGAACTCTTGCGCCGCTTCTACATCCTTGGCATTCTTTGCATTTCCAATTCTCAGCGTGACCACAGACGTAGCATAGCACAACTGCGCCAACGGAGATCTTCCGTTAGACAAAACATAAGCGTGGGTGGTCATTCTTGAAGCAGTCTTGGAGTCACCCTCTGCTTCAGCAGTCAAAGCCACTCCCAACCAGGAAACAGATTGATCGGGTGCAAGAGATGTGGAGCGCTCAAATGCCTCCTTTGCCAACTCTGTATCGCCATAGCGCAAATACAATGCGGCCAAGTTGATCCAAACTTGAATATCGCGTGAATCCAACACGCTGGCTTTAATAAAGCAGTGTTGAGCAACCTCGGCGTTGGCTGAAGCATATGCATTTCCCAAAGCAATCCAATACAGAGCATTTCCTCCCTCAATTTGGATGGCCCTCTTCAAAGATGCTACAGCATGATCTCTGAACATAGTCTGTCTTTCTTCTCCACTGTTGAAGGCATCTAAAAGTGCCAATCCCATGTTGAAGTGGGCCAGCGACCTCAAAAACTTGCTCACCTTTGCAGGCAAGACAGCAATTGCTGCATTCGCAGATAAGATCTGCAACATTGAAATAGCTTGAACGTATTTACCCTCATTGAATAAGTTCTGAGCTTTTTCTTTGGAGAAGTCGACATGATCAATGCCTGGAACTTTCTCTAAAATGGCAAGAACAGTATCAATTGGGAAACTCTCGATGTTGAATTGGACTTTAGTGGCCAAATTGAGACACTGTCCAAGCGATTTCCACAAACTTTGTGAAGTGTGGTTAATGTTAACAGCTTCATGGATTTTCTGAATAGCAAACTTATTGGTATCGAGGGTCCTGCCAATGAATCCTCCAAGAATCAACTGGCTCGAATAGTCGATGCACTTTTCATAGATTGCATTGATAATACATTCCTCATTTGGGCTCATGGTCAAAGCCTTCTTTAAGAGGTCAATTCCATCTACGAAATCTCTGATTTCGCAAACAGCCAATCCAAGGAAGTAAAAGTTGGTCCACGAATCTGGATCCACTTTGGTTGTATGCTGAAAAACCTTGATGGCAGCGTCAATTCTTCCACAGTTAAAATATGCTTCACCCAATCCAACCCAACATTCCGTGTCCATCGCTTGCATTCGCAAAGCTGTCTGAAACCACTCAATGGCCTTGGCGTCATCTTGTCTGTTCAATGCAGAACATCCAAGCACTCTGTAGGGCCACGATTTATCAGAGTCCTCGAGAAGAGGACTAAATAGGATTCTTCTACTCTTTTCGGAAGTAACGACTCTTTTACATAAAATGTCGGTGACCTCCCATTCGTTCTTTTCAGCAAGTTCGGTGACAATGTACTTTGCTGCAGTTACCTCGGCCACATCGATCTCAAATGCTTTAAAAAAGCATTTTTGTGCTCTGGAGGTGTCATTATAGTAGTCGTTGTAGATTATTCCCAAAAGAGTGAACGAGGGTGCGTAATTCTTGGAGTCTTTCAATGATTGAATCAAAAGATCATATGCCCGCTTCACGCCTCCATCTTGTACAGGTTCTTGAAGTAAAAAACTTTTTGCAAGTCTCCACTGAACACTGGCTCTAGCCTCAAATAGATTCCAGCCCTGGATATTGTTAAGAGCCGTATAAAGCGTTTCACGCCCAGCATTGTAATCTTTTGACAAAACTTGACACCATCCAAGTTCACTCAATGCCCTCCAGTCCTCAGGAAATTTAGAGGCCACTTGGTTAAGCATGGTACTTGCCTCGGACAACTCACGTTTCTCGAGCAAGATCAAACCTTTTCCAATCAAAGCATCTTTGTTCTCGGGATTGTCATTGAGAATTCGGTCGTACAATTGAAGAGCCCGAGAAAAATTCTTAGGGGCCTCGTGGTACGTGTAGACAGTTGCAAGCAGACACAAGATATCCTCTTTACAGTTGACCAAGTCGATGCCGTAAGAACGTTGGATATCTGCAAGTTGACGAGTGGCAATGGTACATTTTGTGGATGCCATCTCGTACTCTTGCAAGTGAATGTAATAGTTGCAGATGATACGGTGTGCAAGCATAGAGTTAGATGCTTTAGTTGAGCCCACCTGCATCAATTCAAGCACTTCATCGGGAGATAGGAGAGAATCGGAAACTGCAGCATCCATTTCAATGATATTTGTTTCCAAGTCCTCTCCATCGGGTGCAGGGGTGGATTTGGATAGTAATTTCAAGTTCAAGTCCTTCAACTTTGACTTATCAAACGGAGATAAATCGCTCATACAGAAAGCCAAAAGGAGAAGGCCGAGGCCCTCGTTCTCGAATTTAGATATGAATCTGAAAACCGTATCTTGATCCAAATGTGCCAACGTCTTGGGATCCGTCAAGTCAAAGTGGAGAGACCACGCAAAGATATCGTCTGTATCGATAAGAACCATATCCTCGCACATCTCCTTGATCTCCTTGATGAGCTTGCGCTTTTCTGGAATAATGCGAAGAATCTCGTACTTGTACTTGAGATACTCTACCTCATACTTGCGTCTCAACTCGTCATCTTGACAATAGTTGAGGAAATCTGAGTATAACTGTGAGAGGTGGTAAGGTTCACGGATGCTCCACTCCAACTGGTTCAATTGCGCCACAAGTGTCGGTGTGAGTGCTCGAGGTAACTTGAGTTTCTCCTTTGCAAGTACTTGTCTCACTTCCTGTGCCTCTCTGTTCTTAGTCAATGTGATAAGTTTTCTCAATGTGTCTTCGGGCTTTCCCATGGCTCCATCGAGCAAGTCTCCCAACTTTGTGCCTGGTAAGATAGCTCGAAGAAATGCTTCATGCAATTCGTCATCTGTTTGGTACTTTCGAGCGTTCAAGTAGTTGTAAACGTCCTTGATAACTTCGGCAGTACCCAAGTCCTGGTCAATTAGCACTTCCAAGTATCCTGTGAGTATTTCGAAAAACTTATTGTAGTCATCCAATGATTTTCCCACTTGAAAATAACCTTTCCATCCCAAGAGATTGTCTGGCTCGAGTTTGATAGCCTTTTCAAACGATTTAGTGGCATTCTCTAGCTGTGAAAGAAGCTGGTACGATTTACCTTGGAAAATGTAGGCAAAGTAGCAGTTTTTGTCGTAGTCAAGTGCATCATCAACGCACTCGAGAGCAAGTTCTAGGTCTCCACGCTCGATGGCGCCTTTAGCCGATTTGAGCAGCTGCTTGAGAGACATGTAGTTGATGAATATGAATGGAGGTAGACATTAAGGTGGAGTGTTGTCACGTGACCCGCTAAAATGGAAATGAACTGGAACGAATAGAAGTGAATGTGAGGATGTTCTTAGGTATCTTGAGTAACTCAATCAGACGGTTTGGTTTTTTAGACCTTCTTTTTTTATTTGTTTTGGGTGAAGTGAAGAAATATATGTGTATTGATCGTAAGAAAATCCGATTGAGAGAAGACAAGCAATAGGAAGGAAAAGCAGATTCTGGAAGAAATACAAGTGGAGAAAAGCTTAACTGTAATAATGGATTAGAAAGTATAAAATATGTGAAATTGTGAGAGAGAATTTCCACATGTTCTTCAAATTGATGTTTTTCTTTCCTATCACTCTTGGTATCTCCACCTATACATAATTTACCCAAAAGAAAACACCGTGACAACTTTGAACTCATAAACATTAAATCTCCAATAGTTGACATATCTTCGAAACATTAATTCTTCGAGAAATCTCCTATGTGAATCCATACCATGATAACTTCCATTTCCATTCTCATTCTCATTTTCCTATCGTCAAGCTCCAGTTTCAACCTCTAAGGGTGCGAAACTTCGAATCATATAGGTGTTCACTTCACCACTGATCCCAATACAAATTCCACCAAAATTCAACAAAATAAACCGTTTGAAGACTTGACACCCTAAAACACCTCCTTGTCAAATCCCCAAATATAATCATCTCATTCTATATTGCCATAACTTTTCCCTTTTTTAACATCTTCATCTCTGTCCCATCGTGTCACGTGCATCACTCACTCATCACCAAAAATTATTTCACTCCAGTAACTTCTCCACAATGAGTGTGTGGCTATCCGATTCCGCTAAATCGCAGTCGCCCTTCTCGTACTTATACACGCGAGTGGTGTCTTCACACTTGGGCGAAACGTCAGCCATTATCGTGTCGGCGTTGATCTCATATGGTCGTTTGTCTGCGAAAGAACTCCATCTTCGGAGTAAAGTGCCGCTTAAACAGTTGAAAACTACTCTCGTGTGCCTCATCCAGCTTAACTGCATTTACTATTGGGCAGATCATGATAGAAATGTGTATTACTCGTTCAACGAGAACGGTGTGTTAACACTATTGCATGCTGGAGACATTGTTTCCCGAATCAAGCACATCTCCGGTGATGAGGCGGCCGAGTTGACTCAAAATATTATTGAAAATGGGAACTTGAACGTTCGCGAGTACATGGCTACGTTGGAAAATGACCAGTCTCAGCACGAAAAGATGGCCATTTTGGTGAAACTTTACAATGACGGATGGCTCAGAAAACTCCGCCCGATCGACTTTCTGCCTGTGGAGGATGTGTGGAACAAATTGTACCAGGAAACGTTAAAGAACACCCCAAGAACGGCTACCACAAGCGAAGTCAAGCGTGTAGCCGAGGCCAAGGAGAAAACCAAGGTTAAGTTCTCCGATGCATATCTGGCGGGCACCGACACCAAGGACATTTTTGTGGTGGACAACGGCATCCACAAGTTGCGCCCCGATATTACCATCACCTTCAATTTGGTTCGGTACGAAAAATACTTGCGGACTCGTGCGTTGGTCGAGTTGGCCAACTCCAGATTGGGGCTCATCACCTCCACTATATACGGACGGTGTGCTGGGTTAATCGAGACAAAGTCTCCACCATTGAAGCATAGTTTTCTTGAGGTCAGCGGTTTAATCAATGACCCTGAAGAGCTGCGAGCATACATCAGTTCCGTGGAGAACGCTTTGGTCGACAACAAGGCTATTGTGTTTAACATTCGAGACTTGGCTCGATCGTTGCCCAACAATTTGGACTTGCGCAACTCCATCTTGACTCAGAACTTCCTTAAGCCGGCCAAAAGACCGCACGATGATATGGACCAGCCTGCAAAGAAGATCAAGTTGGAAGATGGAGAGGCAGTAGCACCAGATTCGAACGGAGTCGTCAACGGATCATCTAACGGAGGTCTCAATGGAGATGATGACTACAAGGAAAGTGACCGTACAGAAGCACACTCGCTCTCATTGCTTGCTGAGCACATGAGACTCTTGTCATCAGGAAACGTTCCTTTCTTGGTGGAGGTTGCACCCGGGTCCTACACCATTCCATTCTTGCAACTTTCCAAGTGCATCAAGCAGTTCCACTATGGAATGCTAATTAAGACGACCATGGGAAGCAATTCACTCCGCGTGCTCAACTGCATCAAGTCGATGAAATTGGCTGACGAAAAGGCTATTTCCAACGCGGTATTGTTGAAGGATCGTACAGTTAAAAGCGAGATTTACAAGTTGGTGAATATGAACGTTCTTGAAATTCAGGAGGTGCCCAGAAGCGCCGATCGTGCAGCTTCCAAGACGTTTTATCTCTTCAGACACAAGGAACTCCCGCTGTACAAGTACTTGAGCTTTGCCCTTGCATACACAATGGCGGATATCTTAACCAACATCAGCCAGTTCAAGCTGGAGCACAAGATCTTGCTTGACAAGTGCGAGAGAGAGGATGTCAAGGGAAACGAAGATGAGCTACTATTGGAGTCCGAGTTGAAGACTTTACGCGGGCTACAACAGCGTGAGATTGCTAATTTGGGCCGCTTTAACCGTATCAAGTGGCTCCAGGTTGTTTTCGGCTTATTGTAAGTTAAGCATCGAATATGCATATCCATGTACGCACCTATGAAAGTACGGTTGCTATATGCGAGGTGCGTCTTACTTGACGTAGAATGGTAAAAGAGACTTCTGAAAGAATTTCAGACTTTAATATACGAACATACAAAATCAGGGGGAATGCCACCCAACCAGTTCCAGTGGAGTATGTGTAACATGCAAAGCAAGCTGGTCATTAAAGAATTACTCATCAATGCACTCACCCTGTATGTACTTCTAACCGTGTCTCCCCATTCATGCCCTTATTCAGTTTTCGGCCTATTCGCACTTACTTTGGGTCAATGCTTGTAAACGATGTGATACCAAAATGGTTTAAACTCTAAGCCACATATATTCTGCTATAAAATCCCCGGATGCAAGGCGTCAATCGACATTAGGTCGGGGTGGGAGTGGGCACCGGCTTTAGTGGTCGGCATCCTGGCCAGGGTTACAGGTCTCGTAGTTCAACAACTTGAAGACCTTCCAGATACCAAAGGCAATGGCAGAACCCAAGAATGGGCCAACCCAGTAAATCCAGTGGTAGTTAGGGAAAGACTTGGCAGCCACACATGGACCGAAACTTCTGGCTGGGTTCAAACCAGCACCAGTGTAGTAAACGGAGATCAAGTGTCCCAAGAACAAAGCAATACCAATGACGAAAGGAGCCATGAAGGTAGCTCTAGCCTTCTCAACAGCCATGAACAACACAGCCAAACAAAGAAGAGCAGTAGCGAAGGCCTCAATGAACACACCTCTGGCTCTAGAGCATCCACCACCCAAACCGTTGGTGAAAGCAATTGGGCCCGGAGTCATGGCAGAAGCGGCACCAGCAGTAGCCATACCGGCAAGCATCTGAGCAGCAAACATGAAGGCAGCTCTCACAGGAGGGACAGCACCAGCCAAAACCAAAGACAAGGTGACGGCAGGGTTCAAGTTACCACCAGAGATTCTGAAGAACATGAAAACAGGAACCATAACACCGAAACCAAAACCGCAAGAGATCATGATCAATTGACCTGGGTTGGAGCCAACAGTTGGGATGGTAGGATCCTGGTTAGCAATCTGAGCAATAACGAATGCTGTCCACAAGAAGGTGAAAGTACCAAAGAATTCACCGAGGAAAGCAATTCCGTGGTTCTTGAGAGGAGAAGCCTCAGTAGGAGCTGGGGAGTAAGGTGTATCGTTCAAAGCTTCGACGTCAGCAGTCATTTTTTTGTAGAATTGTTTGCTGGAGGAAAATCATCAAGGGTGGAGGCTAATTTATATGGCAAGAGATGGGGCCTCCACCTTGGGCTTCGTAACCTAACACCGGCGGCATGTGGGTAATAAGTGATGCAGCCTGTGTGTAGGGGTGCATCGGGGCGCACATCGGAGTATCCGTAACTGGCATTAGCCCTTGGACATGCCGAATATGCCCACCCATACAAATCATGGTTTCTACTATGAAACATGAGGGAATGTTGCACATGCTTGACTTCACACAAGCCTAAACCCATTGCAAACGTCGCCTACGTCACTATCTTTGGGCATTTTTTAGCTCCGCTCCGCAATCAGTTCTCACCTCCACAGTTCAGTGGTGATGACCAGCAAGAAAATAGACTCATCGCACCTTCGCTCCACTTGCAGGCACATGACCACGTATATTGTCTTGACCCAATGAAGTTTCCAGTACACCCACCATTACACATTGTTCTGGGGGTCACTTTGTTATGGCTACGTGGTCAATGGCCGAAATTCATCCATCCTGGGGTATTTGGTAGGTGTATGCTTGTTGCTGCTTGCTGATGCTAGTGAAGGGTTGGATGGCATCGCCGATTCTTCGGTGGTGAGCCTTCGATGCGCAATACAATTGTGATGCCGCCTGCAGAATGTCGGAATGCGCGCGGATGCTGGCTGCTAGATGATGCCGAATCTTCCCTTCGATGTCTATGTATTTGATCAACCGCGGCGTAAATGGACACCTCTCTCACTTCTATTTTTACAAATTAACGCATAGCGCTTTTGATAAAATTTTTCACTGGGGAATGGCCTGGTCGTTCGAAACCTGTGAAATGTGTCGAAGGTGACACACGGCTGGGTGTCGAAAAAAAAATCTTCGGCATTATACCTGCAGTTGCCGACACCCATAACTTGGATCATTCGATAAAATGTTGAAGACTGACCCGTGGTTGTTTTGTGAATTTATTATTAGATTTGATCACAGCACGCAATGATTGACTAATACTTTGGTTGTTCGTTTTGTTAAAGATTGTTTCATATGCCGCAGTGGCTAGTGTCGATTATGTGCATAACTTTTTCCAACCACGGATGCTGCAATGCCGTTGTGTACTTCACTGACCTCTTCTTCTCTGCCTTCCTAATTAGCTTCTTTGCGCATTTCATCTGTCTGTCATGCATCTGCCAACGGGCGTTTCTTCGTCTCTCATTGGCTGCGAACTTATTGATCGCCTCGAACCGTTTCTTTTTCTTGTGGGTGTCTCGATATGAAAATTAACCTACGTAATGATTTTTACTTTTTGATTTTCTTTTGTGCTCTTATTTTAGATTTTGGGGGCAGGTTTTTTTTTTGTTATCCTTTTTTGAGTTTTTCCTTGTGTTTTTCGTTTTGTTTTTTTTCCTTCACTTTCCCTTTTGGGCTTTACGCATTTTTCCATGGTTCGCTCTGTCCATCGCTATTAATGTTGAATCGCACCCATTTCAATTCCCTCCAGTCATTGCCCCTCTCCTTCTCCTCTATTTGTACCTTATATGTTTCAAAATGTAGCATTCTAACGCGTAATCTTCCAAGGACTACACCACCCAAGTGCCACTACTCATCATCCCACTTCGATACGCATGAATGCATTTATTGTTCATGATCGTCAATACCACAATAGGAAAATCCCACCCGTTGCTTGGTTAAGCTATTGGGAATCTTGAATAAAATCCTGGTATTGTGTTCCGTGGTCCATGTTTCAAGTGAGATATACGAGCCATAGAATTGTGGGGGTTGTATCCGGATCTAGACCACAGTCAGATCCCCATCCTGTGTTCGCTGCAGTCATACTTATAACGGGGAGCAACCTCTATGTACGTCACTAACTGGGGAAAGTCACATTTAACACTGAGTACATGACGGGAGGTTATGAATTCACATGTGAGGTACCCTTCAACTTCACGTGATATATGATCACATGATAAATATATCATGTGATATATTGTCATGTGATCACATCATTGTTATCTTGCAGGACTCACCAAAACACATTGCTCCATCTGAAATATCCAATAGGCACCTATGTCAAAGCATAAATTCCCGTCACCCCCGCCTGTGGTCAAAAAATCCACTGGTGACGCCCGCAATTCTGCTACACAACCAAATACCTCGGTCATTTCCGTTAATACATCGATCAATGCTGACACAAACCCAGACACCTTAGTATCGTGGATCGATAGTTTAAAAGCAAGAGTCAATGACACATTAACACAACAAACATCGGAATTGCAGCAGCTCCGAATATCTGCAAAGCAGGAGGAGCTTCGTCTGAGGTATCGTTCACATGTTTTTCTGGAACCTTTCGATAAATTGGGAGTGTACTTGGAACAAGAAGCACACAAACAGCAGCGGACTGAATTGGCTGTTAATGATGAGAAGGAAGCGCTGCCATTTATCGAAGAGGAAGAAACTGCACTTGTTAAAGAGTATGAATATTCGCCGTATCCTGAAGAAGCGCCTGAACTGGAATATCAGAATGAACAGGACGATAGTGATGTGATTGAGATAATTTCAGACGAGGAAGATGGAGAAGACGATGCAAAAGAGCAATATGCGGAGTCCGAAAGCGACTTAGAAATTGAGAATTCTCAGGAAATAGAGAATTATGATGATAATGTGGATTACGATGATAACGTTGAATATGATGAGAATGTTGATTACGATGAATTTGAGATTGAAGACCATAACGACAATGACGATGAGACCGCAAATGTTGGCAAGATTATCCGGTATGAGGAGCTGGACGATGTCCAAGATGAGCCTCAAGAAGAGTATCCAGAATACCTGGATGAATTCGAAGGTTTTGAAGAGGAACAACAGTCACTGGCCAGTCGCTCGGTAGTTTCCGATGACGAGCTAGAAGCCTATTCAAGTCTGCGTCCAAAGCCAAGTTTTCAATTGAAGGATGGTAGGCCGCGACTTAGCGACATGTCGTCGTACAATTACTTTCAACAGGACACTAATGAATATCTGGAAGATGATGCGGAGGAGAATCTGGCTAAAGAAGAAGAGAATGAAGAGATTGGTAAGGAGGAGGTAGCTAGTGAAGAGAATGAAGATGACCAGGAGGAAGAAGAGCGCTCTCCACAAAGCCAGATTCAACCCGCACCTGAGGATGAAGTTGATTCAATCATAATTCTTTCGAGTGGAGAAGAGGATGCTACAGATTCTGAAGATCAACCGATAGTGGAAACACAGTACTACAGTGAAGGTAGGGATGATGACTCTGAAGAGATGGTACATTCCGAAATGGAAAGCTCCGAAGTGGAGAATTTTGCAAATCACTCTCAAGAAACTGAGGGAAGCGGCACAACTGAATCGAGCAAACATTTACAGTCACACATTGCAGAGTCAAGCGGCGTTGAGTCCGATGCTGAGCAAGATTTGCCAAACGAGTCAAATTCGAAAGACTTGGCCACTTATGATGACGAGTATAGTGCAATTCACGAGGTTGCAGACGAAAACAACTTGTTCGCGAATATAGCCCAGGAAGCACTAGTGGAAGAACATATCCCCTTGGGCACCAAAATCAATAGTGACTATCTTGCTGATGTTGAGTCTGATGAACCACCGAAGCCAGTTGTTTCGAGCGAAGCCGGCCCTATTCTGGAAAACGAAGCAAAACTTCACGTAGAGGAGAAAACTTCCCTGAACATGGAAAACAAAACAGAAGTCCCCAACTTTGACTCCGCAAACCTGTCTTCACAATTTGATTTAGGTACACTGTCTGGGCCTAAGAACGAAGATGAAGACGCAAGCGAAGGATCTCTTGCTGACGCAGAAAGTGACTTCCGAAAAATGGATGATATTCCAGAGGAAAATATTCCTCATCCAAGCTTGAAGTTCCCGATATTCAAAACCATAAAGTCAGAGTCACTGGAGGAAGTGTTGAAAAAGTTAGAGGAGACTGAGCAAAAGTTCCACATCAAGTTGCACGCTGTGGAAGAACTTAAGAGTGAGCTTGGTATCTCAGAGGAGCCTGAGGAAGTCACAAATGTGAGTGATGTGCTCTCTGGTCATCCAACTGAGCCAAATAGGCTAGATGCGTACTCTGCTGCTGATCAGTCGCATGCAACTACTTTTCACGATGCTCTCCTGCTAGATTCTCTGGCCATGGAAGATTTGGAACATATTCCAAGTGAGTTGACGCATAGTGTACTTGCAGATCTTGAGTCCGATGCAAGTTTAGATGCCATCGTGAATGAGGCCTTACTGACACATATTCCTGAATTAGATAATGCATCCATAGATGCGATTCTTGGTGGATCTGAACTTCCTCGTGTTGAGGATGAGCCAGTTCAAGAATCAGAAGATATGGAAATGGAAAATTCTGAGCAAGTCGAAGCAGTGGAGCTGGTGGAACACCTATGGGAAGAAGAAGCAATTGACCAGATACCTGAAGAAAGTCTGCCTTTATCGGAAACAGAAGAGGGTTTAGTTTTATTGCATGAAACTGCTGAACCAGGTGAGGCACTGCCACTGGCAGGTAGTACTACCCCTCCTCCAGAGTCTAGTTCTGAATTGGAAGTTGGAGCAGACGTTTTGCAAGTTGTGTCAAATTTCAAATCTGACTTACGAGCTATTGAAGTTCCAACATTGGATGAATTTGCAGGCGCCACTGATTATTCAATCGAGGAAATTGGTGATGGGTCTGAAATCACAGAGAAATCCGCTGAAATCGAAGATGACGAATTTATCCTTGAAGATGACGACAAGATGTCAGAGTCAGAAGATGTTCCTGCGGGAGAAGATCTCATTTCTGAAGTTGAAGGTGATGCTGAGAACGTTGATCTCGACGCTGGAAGTGCTGAAGAGGAGACTGAAACTGTAACTAAAACCGAAGCACAAGCCGATTCTAAAGATTGCCAAGTGCTTCCACAAGAAGAAGCTATGATTGAACTGACTGTTTCTCAACCCGATATTGAGCAGGTTGCTGGTGAAGAGGAGACAACTCCAGAAATCGAAGAGATCTCTAGTTCTGACGAAGTTGTTGCAGAAAATGTTATGCAGAATGTTGGACCTCTCGGAATTGGATCCGATTTGGATGAGTCTTCTGTGAGAGGCGAAGAGTTGTCTGACTTTAAGAATGCTTCATTTGTGCCAAACGATTTCCATATTCCTCGGTATGAAAAGCCTTCATTACCTGTCCTTGAGAGAATTGACTCTTTTTCAGATGAAGGTGTGGATGTGATTGAACCTAAATCTCCCGATGAGGTCATTGTTGAGTATGACGAGTTCGCGGTTGTTGAAGCCGAAGCCACAACACCTACCTCCATCGAAGAACCTACGATATCCGCTCCAGAAGAAACGATTCCTGTTGCGGTTATCGCGACGGAGGTCCTGCTCGACACGACAGCCGATGTCGAAACTCCAACAAATATTGTCGAGCCTACTGAAGTTGAGGAAGAAATTCTTGTTGAAGTCTTTGATGATAATTCAGATGTGGTAACTCCCTCTGCTATTTTGGAATTGGAGTCGATGCGCAATACTCCAGTTCCTGTTTTTTCCCATGCTATTTCAGTAGAGGAAATTCGTGAGCCCCAACAACCATTGTCCAAAAAACGAAAGATTGACGGCGATGAGCGATCTTCCTTCAAGAGAATCAAGACCGCATGGACCCGTCTAAATCCACTTAACTGGTTCGGTTTAAAGGACAAGCAGGAGGAGTCTGATGAGGAGCAACCACAGACGGTGAACAATCACGGACAAGCTGAATATTCTGACGATCTGAGAGGCTTTCAACGTTCCCAAAACAATGAAGACAGGAATGAGAACGAGAGTGAAAATATCGATCCAGAGGCGGCCGTGGAAGTTGATGAAGATCATGATAATGCTTTAGAAATTTTGAGGGAACTGGCTATTGAGGTTGTTGAAGCGATTTCTGATGATATGTCTGCGGTTGTTGATGGGGATGATGAGAATGGGGGTGATCAGAAGAATCAAGCTCTTCTGGAAGCAATCGAGCACGTTAAAGAAGCCGCTCACGAAACTTTTGAAGCAATCTCGGAAGACATTTATGCACCTGTAGAGGGTGAAGATTCGGAAGAAATAACTGTTGGCGAAAGTCTAAGGGATCTTGGGGAATCTGTTGGAGAAACCCTTGATAATTTGAAAGAGGCTGGCCATGGAGTTATTGAAGCATTATCTGAAGACATTACTGCACCTGTTGAGGGTGAAGTGGTAGATAAGGAGGGAGCAAATGATCATATACATGATGGTGGTAGTGAAAGTTTCGGAGAAACTATTGATCACATGAAAGCAGCTGGCGAAGAAGTTATTCATGCAATAAGCGAAGAGATCTCTGCACCCGTTGAGGGTGAAGAAGTGGAAAAGGCTGCCGATGAAACTCAAGAGGAAAGTTCGGAAACCCTCGAACAAACGCTTGATCATATGATAGAAGCTGGTATTGAAGTGATCGAGACAATATCTGAAGGTATTTCTGCACCTATTGAAGGCGATGAAGTGGAGAAAGATGATGAAAGGCACGTTGGTGTGTCCGGAAACATTATAGAAACGATTCACTACTTAGAGGAGGCAGGTAAGGAATTAACTGATGCAATTTCTGAAAGCATCTCGGCACCTGTCGAAGGTGAAGAAGTAAACAAGACTGAGGAACTTGAAGATACGCATATTGATATTGCCGAGTCGCTCCTGGAAACAATGACTATCGTGGATGAAGCAAGCAAACAATTCGTGGATGCCATTTCCGAAGACATTTCTGCACCTTTTGAGAATGAGGAAACAAGAAACGTCTTGGAATTGGAGAGTGCAAAAGAAGATGCTGGTACTGATATGCATACCCATGTAGGGAAGCATTTCCTGGAATCTATCAGTCGCATGAAGCAAGCCGGAAAAGAGTTGGTTGACGCTGTTTCCGAGGAGATTTCTGCACCTGTCGAGAATGAGATTGTGGATAATGAATTTCAAAAAGAAAACGAATCCAATGAGTCCTTCCTGGAAACAGTAGATCAGGTCAAGAGAGCAGCCCAAGCAGTTGTTGAGGCTGTCTCTGAGGAGATTTCTGCCCCTCTCTCCGATCAAGAGGATTATGCAAGTGCAGAGGATGAGGATGCTCACACAGCTAAAGAAGAAACACACGTTGGTGCGACGAGAGAGTTTCTCGACAATTTAAAAGGTGCTGCGAAAGGTGTATATGACGAGCTTAACGAAGATCTTTCTGTTGCTGTTTCCAGTAGCGACCTCACGAAAGATGGAACTTCTGCTGGCGAGGCTAATCAAGATTATGAAACAGACAAAAAGGCTGATTTAAGCTTTTCTGAGACCTTGAGCAACATCAAGAAAGCTGCAGAGGAAGTTGTGGCTGCAATCTCAGAAGACATTTTGGAACCTGTCGCTGACAACATAGCAGAGAACGAAACTGGTAACATAGATGCTGCATTGTTATCGCCAATCCTTGACGTCCCAAGTGATAATTCCGCTTTTAAAGTTCCTACTACTGCCGATGATGATACGACTACAACAGGGCCTAGCATTCCTCCAGTTCCCGTGTTTAATTTGATTTCTCCACTGGTTGAGAGTTTGGTGTCTACCAAAAAATCTTCAGAAGTACCTGAAATCCTCGAAGAGGCAACTGATGTTCACTTGGACAACAATAAATCTTCGAAGGTTACAGGAACAAAAGTCTCGGACTCAAAAGTTCAGGTTTTGATGGATATGTTCAAAAAGAAAGCCGAAGCCTTGATTGAGAAACACGAGCATGAAGATCCCGATGTAGAAAAGCCTGTTGCCCTGGAATCAGAGGATTTGAAAACTGAGCAAATATCGAGGAAACAGGAGGATCACGAGCAATCAGAAGATTCAATGACTGATATCTCTGATAATGAAGAAACTACTGCAGAGAAAGCGATACGGACGAAAGTTCAGCCAGCTTCAAGGAAACGTTCTCAGCGGAAACGGAAAGTAATGGGCATTGACATTGGTTCCGATGTTGATCTTACACATAGGCGAGCCTTGAGAAGTGGAGCTACTGCGGACGAACAGGAAGATAACACGGACATCCTGACTGACAAAACTGAATCACTTGGTGAAGTAAAGAAAGAGCAGGAGTTCACTTCCATTGAGACTAAAGGTAATACTAAACCCCGCAGAAAACTCAAGCTCGAGGCCCCTGAAGTTAAAAGTGACGAATCTAAAGTATTGTCACGAACCGATCTTTTATCACCAACCCAAGAGGTGGAAACTGGATCACCTCGCAAATCAAAGATAGTTTCCTCAAAGCCACTTGAGCTCCCAAAGAAAAGAGGAAGAGGAAGACCCCCTAAGAAGTCGAAGCGAAATCGAGCTACATCATCCGCATTGGAAGTTGGCGGGACCGACTCCAGAACGCCCAGTGGAAAACTAGATCCAAGTCTGTTGGATCACCCAGCTCTCCGGACGAGGTCTAAGTCGCCTATTAAAAGAACGATCCAAGAGCTATCGTTGGAGATCGACGAAGACCAACCCAGAAAAAAGCGAGTTACCAGAAGTGCAGTTCAGAAGAGAATCGAAGAAGTTGAGGCGAAGAAGGAAGAACAAGGTCATGATAAAGACCACGAACAAAACCGTCGTGGACGCACACGTGAACGACACTAACGACATATAATAATGTACCAATACATAAGCATGCTCTAGATTTAATAAATAAAAGTATTAACATCAACAGATGGTTAAATGAGATGTTTCATGCCAAACTCGTATGTGCTGAAGAACACCATATTTACAACAAATGACCGGGTCATGGACATGCCCACACCCCTATATACATGGCGAGCAAACACCAACTTGTGTTCTTTTGGAGGTAAAGGCTCGAGGCCCTGATTTGTCCGCAAGATGTTGGTGACAATGTCTTTCTGGATGCGCAACTTGACAGTGTCGAATGGAAAGATGATGGCCCAACAAGTCACACCAGACATTCCACCAGCAAGAAGAATAGACACAGGCGATGACATGGCCGGATCTCCATTGATCAAGCTGTTGGAAGCCCACTTGAAGGACTCATAAACGGCAAAATAGACACCAGAGCCAAGCAAGTCTCGAAGTAAATGGTATTTGTAGCCTGAATAGAGACCTTTAGGACCTTCACTCTTAATGATGTTTCTGACCACCTGAGCAAGTGACAGATGTGGATTAAAAGCAGGTTTGGCAACATTTCCACCAATAGAGTTTCCTGCCATGGCTTTATTGGCCAGCAGCTGCGCCAAAGATGCAATTTGGGAGTAGACCTTTGTGAACTCAAACGGACATGCAAACACCGATACTCCACATCCAGCAAGTGCACCAGCTAAGAAGCACACAGGGAAATTCGTGACAAAAGGATGTAAATCCGGTTGCGATCCGTCCCTCCAACCATACAAAGCGTCGTAGCAGTAAGGCTTGACTCCAGTGAAAATAGAAACACTGAGCGATCTGACAAATGCCGTCGATATGAGTGGAGCAGTGATTCCTCGATAAAACCCTCGTATTCCCTCGGCCTTATACGTTTTCACAATGCAATCCAGGTACGACGTAAACTTCTTGTAGGTTTGAATTCGAGTTTTGACCGTATCGAATGGAAAACCTATGGTCGTAGCAACGAGGGATGTTCCATAGGCCAATACCGTTGAACGATAAGGCAGGAGTGCTTCTGGGAACACTCTGATAGCCTTGGACTCGTCTATTTCACCCGTAATGGCAGGAATGCCTTTTCTTTGGGGTTTTTTGTCCATGAGAGGAGGTGATGGAGTTCTAGTGGAGGAGTATAGCGTGGGGTTGGGAAATTACACTGGTGATGCATCGGAGCAGGAAAACTCCGGGGACATGGATGTGCACACCTGAGTCGGAGGACGATGCACGTTTGAGTCACTTGAGTCAGTCGGGATGTTTGGGTGGAACTGAAAAGAGGATTGGGATAGGAGTTGAATAAAAATGCAATTGAAGTGGGATGTTTTCTTTTTTCTTTGGGTTTTCCTTTTGAATTCTGTGACTGGATACTATTGTACAAGAAGAGCTGGTTCGGATGTTCCTGTGCCGTAATGTGTCAAAATGGGTTATGGAGATTTAGAGAATTAGAGTGGGTTTGAATTGATTTTTTTCCAGTGGTTTGTAATCGTTGAGGTGAAGATTTGATGATGCCCACATGGACTTGAGTAGTATGTAATTAGTAGCCATGAATGTGGTCAGTGAATAATACTGAAGCCATAAGGGAGATGTTACTGAAAGTTGAGATTTGAAACTTATGAGATTGGAGAATAGAGGTAAAAGTCAATGAGAGCTGGTTCAAGGGGAAATGGCACCATACAATACTACTGGTGAACTATTGATCAGCGGTGGGAAAGTCAAGTGATGTTTATTCATTGAGTTGCAGTGGCTACGAATATCATTCAGTTAGCACGGCTTGCAAGATTTACAAATTCTTCCTATTTTTTTAACTTAAAGAAAAGATTAAATCAAGTTCTTCTCCACATGATAGGTATTAGACGATGAATTTGGTGAGAAGTGTAGGTTAAGCACAAGGAATTCGGATGCTTTTGGAATGATAGATACTATGAAAATATTATATATAGCAAGGTAAAACGTAATTTCATATTCTACTTGTTATCTCTTCTGGAACTTAGATTGGTCCAGGCCATTGTCCTACTGGGCGTCTCTGGTTTGCTTATGTTTATGTTTGTCCTCCAACAGAATCGTAAGATACCGCTAACAAAGCAAAGTTTGAATAGAGCAAACCATTAGCCTACTCAAAAGGAGATGTAAAAGGTATTAACCGGTTATGTAACATGGAACAGGAGTTGGTAAGGTGTGTTTCGAGTATAGATTCAGAAAAAAGTGATATTCTGGTCAAAACTCAGAATTAGCATTTATTGAGAGATTAGAAGCCTAGAAGTCAGAACTTTGTTAAAAAAAATAATAACCACGATTAGATTTTGTACAAAAAGAATGCCCTCGTTGGTGATGTTCTATCATTCACTCATGATTTTAAGCTACCTAATACTATTCTACTTAGACTCCTTTCATTCTAATCTATTCACTTTAATTCGGCCAAACTATATCGATAAACTGACTCCCTATGACTTTCATTCCATTTCCCATTCAATCTTTTCATTTTAATCCTCATCATAAAAACATTTATCCCCATTGTTTTTTGTCTTATTTTTTCAAAATCAAAACTTTCTCCATCTGCGTGTTATTTTCATTCCTCTCCCATACTTGTCATTTCGCAACAAAACCATCACCATTAACTATAGTCCAAATATCAGAAACCTCCCCTTTGGCGAATAAATCCATCCACACCTCTATCATAATACCTTTTACAATCACATCATATACATTTTTTTTTTCTTTAAAGAAAACTTCATTCATTCATCCCTCCATCCTACCGTCATGTCGTTTTCAACGTCCTGCAGACTCAACCCCAATCAAGGCAGTGTAGAAACTCCACCTACTACATCTTCATGAACTTCTTGCGTCGACGGAAGGCCGACAATCTCAGCGACAACGACTCGGACAGACCCGAGTCGACGCTCCAGAAATCCCGAAAACCACCAAATACTGCCTTCAGACAGCAGAGATTGAAGGCATGGCAGCCCATCTTGACACCCAAGACAGTGATCCCACTCTTGTTTCTCCTCACCGCCATCTTCGCACCACTAGGAGTGGCCATTGTCTACTACTCATATAATGTTGAGAACTTGCAGTTGGACTATTCTAAATGTACGGAGTTGCACAGCTCGGAGTACGAAAAGGTTCCCTCCAAATATACAAATTGGCATTTCCGTCATAAGAACACCAACCCGGAATTCCAGTGGAAGGTAGTCAACTCCACCGATGCATTTGGAGACCTTGAACAGACTTGCTTTGTCCAGTTCAACTTACCTCGCGACTTGAAGCCGCCCATCTACCTTTACTACAGACTCACCAACTTCTACCAGAATCACAGAAAGTACGTGGAACTGTTTGACTTAACGCAACTCCAGGGTTCCGACGTGTCTGCGGGCTCGTTGAGTTCCAACTGTAACCCATTGCGCCTGAGTGGCAGCGGTGACGACGAGAAAGCCATCTATCCATGTGGCTTGATTGCCAACTCATTCTTCAACGATACGTTTTCCAGTCCTGTTTTGCTCAATTCCAAGAGCAGCAGCAACAACGAGACGTACGAATTGACGGAAAAGGGTATTGCGTGGCTGTCGGAGAAGCACCGCTTTAAGAACACTACCTACTCCCCCAGTCAGATCGTGCCTCCTCCAAATTGGCACAAGATGTACCCAGACGGCTACAACGACACCAACATCCCTGATGTGTCGGAGTGGGAACATTTGCAAAATTGGATGAGAACTGCAGGTTTACCCACATTCTACAAATTGTACTCAAAGAATACAACCACCACGTTCTCACTGGGGACTTACGAGTTGCAAATCAAAATGAACTACCCAGTGTCGATCTTTGGAGGCACCAAATCGGTTGTTATCACCACCAACTCAGTCTTTGGTGGCCGCAACATGAGCTTGGGAATAATATACTTCATCGTGGCGGTGGTGTGTTTAGTGTGTGGAATTGGCTTCTTCTTGCAGCATTTGATCAAGCCTAGAAGAGTGGGCGACCACAATTTCCTTCAGGATGGCAGAGATCCTTCCCAAGCAACTCATGTGCGGGACCAACTATAAGATAATGAAACTAACTCTTGCTCAAATCAATTTGCTCAAATCTCTAACTTTTTTTTACTCTCTCTGGTGAATATCCTGATACCTTTTATTGTCAACCTGTCAACCATTCCTTCATACAACTTCAGATCAAAACCTCAACCCACGGTCGTGTTAAAACCAAAACATCTACACATTATTCTCGCCTACGTCGATGAAACCTGCCTAGTCTTTTGAAAAACTCTACTCCGTTGTTTTTGTGTCGTTTACATTCCGCCAACGCAATCACTATCCGAGAGAGAATCACGAGAAAGAAATAATTGACTTGCAGAGCTTCGTGGGCACCACAACTTCCAGAATGAACGTGAACCCACACCTTCAGTATTTGCTGCAACAACAGCAACAGCAGCAGGCGGGTAATCCACAAGGCGGTCAGTCGCTGCAGGCTTCTCAGTTGCAGCAGCAGCAGCAGCGCCACTTACAACAACAGAGACAACAGTTACTCAGCCAACATCTCCAGCAAAACCAGCCTCAACAACCCCAACAGCCCCATGGTCAGTCTACAAATCCTTTATTGGCCGCGCTCAATGGTGGAATAAACGGTCAGAACAACTCTGGGTTGGGCACACCAGGTAATGGTTCTGCTAACCTCAACTTCAATCAGAATGTCAATCCGTTATTGCAATTGCAATTGCAACAATTACAGCAGCAGCAACAGCAGCAGCCTGTGCCTCAACAGTCTGTGCCACAACAGCCACAGCAGCAGCCAGTTCCGCAGCAGCGAATCTTCCTGAACCAGAACATCCAGCAGCAACCACACACCTTACAGCAGCAGCAGGCTCCACTAATTAAAGAGGTGTGGAATTTTAACTTGGAGCATGAGTTCAACAGCATGAGGTCGTTTATCAATGACAAAACGGCCAACATCTTCATATCCATTCATCAAGAGATTCCAGGTATTGTGGCTAGACCAGTGGGAACGTTCAAATCCTCGGCCGACTACCACTTCCAGACGTTGAGATCCAACTCAGACTTGTTGAATCTCATCCAATTGTCGATGTGCGCAGTGAAGGTGAGAAACAATGAGATTAGTGGATCCGTCATCTGGCAATTCAACTTTTTATACGACTTAACGAAGGAAATGTTTAACGAGGAGCACTTATCGATGTTGACACAAACCTCTCAAATCAACTTCGCTTCTCACATGAGTCAGGGTATTCCACACTTTGCCTTTGCAGAATTGATGATTGAGAGCGGCTTGTTGTTGGATCCATCCATCAACTGGTTGAGTTATCACTCCGGATATGATTTGGGCTTCCTTATCAGCTTGTTAACAAATAACATCTTGCCAGGAAATGAGCGTGAATTCTTTTGGTGGTGCTCAAAGTACTTCCCCAATTTTTACGACTTGAAGCATGTTGGTAACCAATTGTTATCCAATGGAACTGGAAAAGTATCCACAAACGGATTGAATTCCAACAACAACGAATTTGGAGGTGTTTTGAACGCAAATTCTGCTAACGGTCCAGGTAGTGACTTGGGGAAGAATCTCACTTCAAATAACAAGCCATCTGTGGAATATCTAGCAGAAGAGTTGCATTTGCTCCCAATATCACCAGCTATTCGTCAATACTTCACATCTTCTTCGTTGGGACAGTTCTCAAATCATCAACATCAACAGATGACTTCCACGTTGCATGCATACTTGTTGATGGAATGTTTCAAGGAGCTTTTCAGACAGACAAATTTCGACTTGACCGTTCTTGAGAAGTTCAAGGGATATCTTTGGGGTTTGGGTGATGCATACGTACAGATACAAGAGTCAGGTAGCGCAAGTGACAAACAAGACACCGCTGCTCCATCGGCACAGCAATGGTAAGTACATAGCCAAATGAATGTTTCAGTGGAATTGAAATGTGAGCGAATACAACCCAACCGTTCATTAATGCTGATATATAGATCCTAATGTACATGAAATTTCGAGAACAATACCTACTGTTTGTCCAGTTTCTCCTCCTTTTCCAGCTCCTCCTCGACGTCCTGGGCGTCCTCGGAAGATTCCAGGTCAACCTTTGCTCTCTTAGCATTATGCTCTTCCTCCTTGCCTGCTTCTCTTTCGGCACGCTTTCTCTTATGTTCGAGCTTCTTGTCTTCTCCGGTTCTGACCTCTTCGTCTTTTGGTGGTGAAACAAACCATGGAATCTTACCTCTGTTGAAATCATTCAACACCTGCTTGGCAACAGCACTCTCATCTGGCTCACCACCCTTCAACAATCTTCCTTGCTTTCTGGCGATGAGCTCGATGAACTCGGTACTGGCCTGCTCCAAAAGACTTGGATCTTCCTCGAAATTGCTCCAACCTCTGATTTCGTATGTTCTTTCCAAATGCTTACGTTCACACTTCTGGAGCATCTCCTCGATATATTGTTCAGGGTGGGAGACATGCTCAATTCTCACTACACCTCTGAATAAAATGTCGGCTTCGGTATCCTTGTTGCTTGGAGGAACAATACCTGGACAGTCAATCAAGAAGATTCTCTTCATCAAAGTAATGTATTGCCAAACCTTAGTCTCACCTGGAATAGGAGCGACCTGACAAACCTTCTTTTGACGCAAAGTATTAATGATAGAAGACTTTCCAGTGTTAGGGTAACCAATGAAACCAACGGAAATCTGTTTACGATCCGAGTGCAACGTCGAAAACTGACGCAACAACTGGATCAAAGAACCCTTACCAAAAGAGTTCTTGATCGATGCATGGAATGCAAGAGTTGGAAAGGACTTGGAAAGATGCTTAACCCATGCAGCCTGAGATGTTAGTAAAATTGTTATGAGTTGGGTCATTTTGGGTGAGAACTGAAAAGACAAAAATATAAATGGAAAATAGAGAAAGAAGTGTCGGACTCTATACTACGGACAAACTCATTTCACGACACGAAGTCGAGTAGGTCCAACTCAAAAAGTTTCCGATACTATTCTAGATTGCCAGTAAAAACTACCAGCAGGTGTGACCAAAGCTCATTCCAGAACGGAACAAGCACCAAGTGCAAGCACTTAGGACCACGGGCGAATAGCATTGATCTTCCAAAGACGTAACAGGCAACAATGTAGTTGGTTGATATGAAATCGAATGCCACCCTGACAAAAGGCTTTGGGACAAGAACTGAAAATGAAAGAATAGAAAACCCAAAATGAAAAACCCAAAATGAAAAACCCGAAGGAGAGCCCATAAGGACCAAAAATGCAAAAAAAAAAAAAAACATACCGCAACCCAAGTAGGAACCAAGTCACACTTGTTCAAAACGTAAATCAAATGCTTGTGAGGACACTCTTCCTTGATGTAATTCTCAACAGACTCACACCGAGTGCCCAAAGGATTTCTGGCATCCAAAACATGGATAACCACATCAGACGAGTCAATGACCTTATACAACTCGTTCCAGATTCTCTTAGACTGACCCTTGTGGAAAATGGCTTCCTTGGCCTCCTGAGTGTACTCATCCTTGTCCAAGAAAGAGCCACCCATCAAACCCAAAGTAGCATCCAATTCTTGCTTTTCCTGGTAAGTTTGCGAGTCAGTCTCAGTCAACTGGGCCAATTCTTCAAGCGATGAGGCAGCCTGAGTTCTAGGCTTCTTTCTCTGCTGTCTGGGACCAAAGGCGTGAGCGTACGACTCAGTCTCAACAATACGAGCCGTGGGTGACTCAGTGGTGTCCTTCTCATCTAAAAGTGACATGGGCAACTTGTTTCTTCTCAAAAGAACAGAGTATGTATCGTGTTTCTTGTCGCCCATGGCCTCACGGAAATGGGTCAAGGCATCCTGAGCAATGACTCTTGTGTTACCAAACCACTTTCTGTTAGGATCCACTCTGGCAACTGGAGCATCAGTAGATTGCAAAGCAGCAGCTCTAATGATCTCACCTTTTGCGTTTCTGACCGCTCTTCCAGTCTTGTACATCTGCAAATGTTTCACCTTTTTAGCATCTCTGTAGAAGTTCTCACCCTTGACACGGAGATTTCCATCTCTGTTGTCGCCCTCGCGGACTCTTCTTTGTTTTTCTTTCTTTTGAGTACCCATGGTGAAGAAGAAGAAGATTGAAAATATGAGAAAAAATTAGCTGCGATGGAGATGGAGTGTTATGTACAGGAATAACAAAGAGATAGGGTATGAATGAAAAGAAACTATTAGTTGGATTTTTTTTTTTTTTCTTTTGACAATTGTTCTGAACTTCGAAAAGAAATTGAATTAGGTTTGACATGTTCGGAAATGTTTTGAAATGTTCGGTGGCCATTCAATGTGATAACAGGTGATTGTATAGGCTCAAGGATTTTAAAACAAGTTACTAAAATAAAAGGAGAAGCTGAAAATTCGAAAAAAAAAACGTTAGACTAAATCGATAGGAGTTGAACTCAAAAAGCAGGGGTGGCAGAAAGAACGGAGTTAAAAACCAAGGTTTGATACAGACAAGTAGATATAAGGGTGGAAAGAAACACGGCCACTACAGATACTGGATAATACAGTATTCCATTGAAGAGTCACATGAGTCTCATTAATCTTATGCGAAACATCCATAGTCCATTGTAGCAATTCTACCCATCGACAGTTGTTCCTTCTGAAGTACTATATGTCATTTATTTGATGTCTTTGAGCACATTTGTTATCACTGAGCCGATACGGAGATGTTCGCATCTTCATTGTCCCGCAACTTCATGAACCAAACAATATATACTCCATAATCAACATCACCAACTATATACACTGCTCTAGATATCCATCTGACCTTTAACGAATGCATTAACCTTATCGTAATTCAAACCTATCAAATTTCTCACATGCCCTTCGCAACCTCAATCATTTCAATACACTTCTTATCTCTTGAACACTCCACAGAAATTCTTCTTCACCAACCGCTTTTTTACTCAATAATCCACAACTTTATCATTATACTCTCCACAACAAATATTTGCCCTGCAAACGCTTTTCCTTTACGATTAATGCAGCATTTCATAGCAATCTACTGAGCCTCCAATCATCACCCTCCTGCACCCCACGATTATTGACCCTAGTCTAAATAAGCAAGCACCTGTCAAACATTTGTAACCCAAACATTCATCTTTGATTCTAATGCTAACCTCAGATCTCAGTTTCATTGATTCACTCACGCCAACGCAGGAGCATTTCCTTAAGAAATTTCTCTTAGAGCAGCAATTGACTTCAGAACTCCACAACTTATCGGAGCCCCACAGCCTACAGAACCTTGGCCCACCGTTTGCCAATGATGCAGACGATAATAAACAAAATGACTCGGACATGGTACTTCTCCGGTACTTTTTTTCACGTTTCGTGGCTACATTTCCCTTGATTGCAAACAACAGCCCGGAAGACCAAAGAGACTTCTGGAAGGAGACTGTGGAACCCTTTGTTGACAGCTTCAACCGCAAAAACATGTCAGAGGGAATGGAGAGAAATGAAAAAGTCACCAAAAGACACCAGGTCAACCATAAGTTGCTCTCGTCGCTTCTACTTTTCTACAATTCTATGTTTGTCAGCAAGCGAGACATGGAGTACCTCGAAGCAGATCACTTGAAGTCGTCTGATCAGGGAAAACTCCAGAAATTAGCCAAGGGGCCCACAAAATCCACTGTTGGACTCGAAGATTATCAGAAACCCAAGACATTGGACGATTATGTGGAAATGACATTTGTGAACGATATGAACTTGAATATTGTAGCCGTGGACGTTGAGCCAGCCATTGAGGTACCCAAACTGTGGAGCTTCAACCCAATGAAGTTGATAGTTCCGGAAACTACTGGCTCTCCAAACTATTTCTTCATAATTCAGGTGACAAAACGCTCTGGTGACCTGCAACACTATACTTATCGGTCACATTTTATCAGTAGACCATACCTGGACTTCCGCCATTTAGAATCGCTGCTTAGGAAGAAATATCCCGGGTTGATGACCACCGATGTTTGTCGGATTCCTCACAAAATGAAGCACGACGATGGCGTAACGGTAGACGATGTGTCTGTTTTTTCTGATGTTACAGGTTCCAGCACAGAGTCGTCCATGCTGAACAAGAAGGGAATCAAAGTGAAGTTCCATCGGGAAAAGCTCCGCCTTGCACTTCGGGGCTACCTTAACTCCCTTCTCTCCAAGCCAGAGATTGCACACTGTGACGTTTTTGATGGATTTCTCGATGACAAAAATAGAAACTTTAGCAAACTCTCCCTGGCGCAAGAGTTAGACTTCATTCAAAGGATGCAATTAGAGAAGAGCAGGCTCGATACTCAGCAAGAATTTCAAGAACGAACCGCCAAAGTCGTCTATGCGTTGACCCATGATTTTGATGAATTCAAAACTCAACTCGTGCGGGAGCCTCAGCAACTTACTGCTCTATTTGAAGAATTGGGCCATACTAAAGACAGAGAGAAGGTGTCCCCACTTCTCCGTACATTTGTTGAATGGTGTAAGTTGGAAGTGGCTGCAACACTCTACCAAGTATTCCTCACTCAAGATAATCTGAGCGAATGGCTTGCAAAGTGTCGCAAGTTCCACCGCTTATTTCCGTATAATGTGTGCTACGGCATTCTCAAGTACACCAATCCCGTCAGAATTATGAGCAGAATGGTGGACTTGCTTTTGGTGAATATTCCCAGTTTTAGCTGGGGCAAGAGCCAAAATGAGAACAAAGCACATAACTTGCTTTCTATGATTTTTGTGATGCTCCTTGACGAAGATTTGGAAGACTACCTGAAGGAGAGAGCAAAGTTGATGGAGCTGGAGCCGTTGAATCTCCCTGAGTATCAAATTTTTATTGAACGAATCCAGTGCTATGTTCGCGACAAAGAGCTGGACATTAGTGAGGAAGTCAAAGAGGAGGCTCTCTCGAACGGCGAAAATTTACTAATAACCATTCTCAAGACAGACAAACTTGAGCCCGTGCTACAGGACAAGGATGGACCGCAGATGAATGCAATTGAGGCGGCTTACTCTTCTTACGAATCCCTCGATCAGCACAAGATTATTGATGCAACGGTAAACTACGTTAATCTTCGGCAACTCTGGCAGTTGGAGGTGCGGAGAAGAGATAAGCAAATGTTAAAGCAATTATGGCAAGAAGAAGAACTTACATTACTCATCAAGAAGCTTCTCACGTTGTTCTTCCAACCCATGATGACGGTGATGAAGAAATGTGACATTCATCTCGCGTTCCGTGATTGGCAGTATTTTATGAACGACTTGATGGACGAGTTGAGCAAGCTTGATGAGGGCGATATTTTCTACATGAGTTCGGTTGAAATGTTTGATCGCTTCAAGACGCTTTTGGATAAGCACGAGGACGCATTCTGGAGTTTCATGCATAACTTGTACATGAAGGACGACCAACGCATATTTCTTGGCATTGTGGAATGGATAGAGACATTTTTGGTCGATCTTCGACTCAAATTCGTTGCACCGGATCACGTAACAATTGACGTCGCCAGATTCACTCCTTCCGAGCCAATAGATGAAGATCTTTTTGTGTCACAACTAGACAGCCGTATTGAATTAGTGTTGGAGATGCGCCGTTTGCTCAAGGAATATTTACGTAATGCTGCGCATCAAGAGGCCGACATCCTGCCGGACGATGTGAATGAAACATCCGGAAACAGTAGGCAACGCGCCATTACTAGTGAGTGGGAGAAAATAAACCTGGGAATTTTTGGATCTAACAACAGCGGATTTGGCGTGGCAGCCGCCGATGTTGAGGATTACAATCTAATGGCCATGCATAGTAAAACCGCTAATGGAATGGATGAAGATGCAGCCCACCGAGAGATTTTACGAAAAGTTGCGGCTTTAGACTCTCAGTTGAGACAAAAAGTCACACGAGATGAGTTAGGCAAGTTGAAGGCATCTACTCGGATCTGCTTGCAGAATCTATTATAATCAGCAAGACAAAAAGCAATGAGTGTTTTTGCGATCTGCAACGAAAATCCTTATGAAATGACCGATATAGAGAACTCATTATGCAGGTGTGCTGCATAATTGTCACGCTCAACGAAGAAATTCGGTACAGTCGTCGGGCAATATTCCTGTTCGGCAATCGGTACCTTGACTCCACAGAGAGTTGCATGTACTTACATTTTATCTTTGCAGCATTCTCTGTTTCAAACTAGGTTTTTCATACAACATTTAGGAAATACTTTCGCCCGATGCTGTTGGTGTGTATGCGAATGCGACATTTCTCCATGTTCAATAGCTTATCATCGGCCATTACTAAGGAATCAATGCTCCCAACCTAAGCAGGAGTGCTAAACATACCGAATTCACTAAGTCACCAATAAGTGCAGTGATAATTTTGAGCCATGGGTGCAAGAAAACGAAGCAGTCACAATTGTGGTCGCGAATGTAGCAGGGACTCAAATGCCGGCATTTGACTCGTGTGACCTTTAATACTTCCCGGTTTCCAAATTTTATTTTGTGACCTAGCCTTTTCTTCATAGGCATTTTAGTTGTTTGTCTTTCGCTTATGTTCTCACCTTCTTACTTCGTTGTATCAAGGAGGGTGCTATGGTATGTTCTCACGGCAGTAGTGGTGATGAACTTCATCATTGTCTCCTATTTCCAGTTGGCAAATTCCATTACCGACCTTCTGAGTTACCAAGGAACGTCCAGATTGTCCAGTTTTCAAATGGCAGCTCTTCAGTTTTTCAAGGTTCTCGAGGGCGACAAAAACCGGTTTGGTCTTGTTGACAGCTCATTATGTCATGCCGTTGGCAACATTGAAACCAAGGACTTCTTACCTGAAGATGGAAAGGACTTGGATGATTTTTTTTACGATCCAAGACTCACCCTCTCGGTGTATTTGAATGAGCTCACCAATTTGGGCCAACGGAAAGATACGCCAGTTCTTCCGTTCCATTGGACAGACTGGATCGATGTCACCCTCTTAAACGAAGAAAAGAAGTTGCAGGATCCCAAACTAATGACATGCGAGCGGATCCGTAGGCGGACTCAAAGAAACCCCGATACTTCCCCATTCTGCAAGAATAAAGATGACCTCTCCATAGAGGAAGTTAATTCACTTGGTTATAAGTCGAAAGATATCTTACCTCCAAGTGTAATTTTTGGGCACTGCAAGCATAACAACAATGGTTACAACGATGTCAGAGTGTACATGGCGAAGTCATATGTGCTGACTTACCTTCCGAAGCCTTACAAGGTAATAATTTTGAACAAGGAGAGAGGCACGTATGAATTTGAAGTCGATCAATCGAACGGACCAGAGCAGCGTATGGTATTCAGCGGAATGTTGGATCGTTTTTCCAAGAAGATACTAAAAGTATCTTCACAATCCTTGCTTAAGAAAAAGGTCTTTACCGTGGACCATTTGAGTATATTCAAAAAATTACGTAAAACAGTGAAGCCAATTTTCATGCCTCGGTCTCAGGATGTTCATTCGATGAACCAAATTGTCATGTCATCTCCCAGCCACTCCAAGGACATCAGCTTGACGGAAGCCTCTTTCGATTATACAAAAGAAAAGATCACGCAGAAAATCGAAGAATATGAGCAGATCAAGAACAGAACCATTCAGCAAAACAACTTCCTAGACGGCTTGAAGGACTGCTTGCTTTACGACGGACTGAACGAACCAGAATATTTTAAGATGGCCACCTTGAACATTCGTGAGAGGAAAAATAAACTCAATGATTGGGGTTGGCATTATGATTGGAGGTTCTTCAGTGATGCTCTTTTTATTGAGAAAGTTGGTTGGACTAAACAGGAACGTGTGGAGAGAACTAATATTATTTTGGAGCGTTTATTGAGAAACTGGAACAGATTTGCCGAGGAAAAAGGTATCGTGTCGTGGATTATGCACGGCCCATTACTTTCATGGTACTGGGATGGATTGATGTTCCCGTTCGATGTCGATATTGATATTCAAATGCCAATATCTGAACTCGTGAGACTTAGTGAGTTTTACAACCAGACCTTGGTGGTGGAGGACCCAACCGAAGGCTACGGAAGATACTTAATAGACGTTGGAACATACATTCACAACAGAGACATTTCTCATACGGGAAACCACATTGATGCTCGTTTCGTGGATGTAGATTCCGGAATCTACATTGACATAACTGGACTTGCCAAGTCGCCGGCTAATCTTCCAGAAGAGTACGAAAAAACCCCAATCGTCCAAAAGCCGAAGGATGATGGGGAGGTCGAGGTGTACAACGATCGTCGAAAGCATTTTTACACATTTGATCAGCTCCTGCCATTGCATTACTCCATGATGGGTGGAGTGCCATTATTCGTGCCTAATCAGATTGAAGAAAGGTTAAGATTTGAGTACTCTCATGGCTTAGATGATTATGAATTTCACGGATGGTACTTTGTACCTAAGCTTCAACTCTGGGTGATGACTGATAAGCTCTCAAAGGTACTTCCAGAAGAACAAATCAGGAAGGATGGGAAGCAGTTGCGGGAGTTGGTGATCGCTGCAGCTATTGACATGACGGATCAGCAAGCGATCGACATGCTCAAGGATGATGAAACATTAATGGAGTACTACCTCACACGTAAGTTTACTGACTGGCACTCAAGAGAACGGGAGATACTATTCACTGAAGACGGAAAGGACAATATCAACGCTCTTAAAGATCCCGAGATCAGAGCCAAATACACTCAACTCACAGGAGAAATTACCATGGGCAGGCCGTTGAGGAAGTGTCTATTCGAATATGAAAAGTTCGACAGAATGCTCTCCCTGGAGTATTATTTGCATAACAATTAATCGCATATACATAAGTTAATTTGAACATTCGAAGTGAGTCGGAGATGGAAGCAGGATAGTCATTTAGAATTATGACTAGAAATTAATATAACCATGAAGTAGTGCTAATTGTAAGTTTGTAATGGTTTATATCATGTTAAGGAAGTCAAGGCAGTCTTCAGAGCTAAACCTTGACCTCACCCCATAATGAAATTACTCAAGATAACAGGAGTACAATTTTAGTCATGCGTGAAGCGACTACTACATATAAGTGCAAGGGACAACGCATGTGATGAACTACCAAGACATTTTATTTTATGAAACATAACACCTTTATAGTTCATCCGAATCAGATAAGAATCTAATTCCGATGCTGAAAGATGATGGTTGAGTGACGAAGGGAAACAGAATGCAATCGGAAGGGTAGAGCCATTTCCGATTTATTCAGGGGCTCTGGTTTTTTCTTATGTAGGGCAGATCCTGCAACCTGTCTATAGATATACAACTGAATATTTTTTGGAGCTTGATTTCTCCTGCATTACAAATGTTTCAACCAACATGTTGCCTGACGGAACTCATTGCTTTTGAAGATTACAGTATGCAGTCATCGCATGTGCATATGGGAACTGTGCAGACCCTCTTAGCCTCCCGGCATCCGAACAGCATCGTGCCGGGAGAGACATCTAATACCTGTAGTCTGAAAACCCTTACATCTGAATGTATGAAATCCAAACCTCCCAGGAGGAAATTTACACCGACAATTTCCGAAAAACCCGTACCTTTCCCTGATTCAAAATCCATACATCTCATTGACAAAACCCATACCTTTGAAAAAGAAACCCCGTGAAGGAAAATCCATACATCTCTCGTTCAGTTACAACCTGCAGTTAAATTAAACGATCACCCGGCATTAAACGATAACCCGGAGTTGTTGAAATTTACTCATCATTCATTTGTGCCTCGCACACTCTTCGTTCCTTTTTCGTACCCACAGGTCTCCTATTAATCTTTGCTGATCTTATCTGTCAGTAAAATTCACACTGTTCCTTTCCAGCAACAGACTTTCCGTTTTACTAGATCATGTCAGAAGTCACCACTAGTCTAAGAAACAGATTCGGTGATAAGCAAGACCGGGTTTCCTCTACGGAGGAGGCACTTATCGAGAAACTCGATGCTTTTCTAACGTCTATTGAGCACAGACTTGAGAAATTCGAGCAGTATTTCCAGGTGATGGGTGATGGAGCCGATGAGGTTGTTGACTATGGCAAGGATGCATCTTCTCGTCGCAACAGCACGGCGTCACTCTCATCTATCAGATCATATTCAGCGTACAACTTGAATAAGGTGCAAGAGCAACTTTTGAAAGTCAAAGACCAGGTGCTCCGGACGTCTTTCACCAACTTAGACTATCTCTACAAGACGCTAGATGACACGTACAACTATTTGTTCAGTGTGGACGAAAACACAACGCCGGTTCCTGATTGTGGAACATCTCGTGAGATCTTATCCACTAACATTATCAATACCATCCAGTTTTTGGAGAATAAGTTGAATCACATAGACCAGCTTGTGAAGAGCAAAACTCCTCAGGCCACAGCAAACTACGACAAGGATGACAAGTTTAAAAGATTTCGCTTTTTCAATTTCAATAAGGCCCTTAAGGATGCCGAGCACGGCCTTTTGCATTACTACCAGCTTCCTCTCAGTTGGAGAGAAAATAGGTACATTGTTTTTGGATACAGATTTACTTTAGATCACTCGTCGATGTGCTCATCGATGTTTCATTTTAACCACAACGAGGCAGGCAACATTTGGACGCACATGTTTGGTGCGTTGACCATTTTGTATTTGGGGCTTATTCACTTCCCCACAACCGCTGTCTTCGCTGCAAACACTTGGATTGATAACATTATCATGTATATGTTCTTGGCTGCGGCCCTCGAGTGTTTTGCTTGCTCAGTGTTGTGGCACACATACTCGGGTTTTGCTAACTTGGGGATTCGCTCTCGTTTTGCCTGCATTGACTATACTGGAATCACAGTTTTGATCACATCCTCGGTGATCTCGGTAGAATATTGTGCATTGGCTCCATACCCCAAATTGTTGGCCTTTTTCGTGGGGTTCTCGCTCCTATCTGGAGTCGGGCTGCTACTCTTTAACTGGTCGCCATACTTTGATAAACCCGACTGTCGTCCGCTCCGCATAGGATTTTTTGTGTCGTTAGCGTTGTTGGGATTCTTAACTTGCTTGTTCAAGGGCTACTACGAAGGTTTTGGCGTTGCTCTCTGGTTCTATGGTCCTATCGGCTACTACTCGCTCATTTGGTACTGGATTGGGGTTATTTTCTACGGCGGACTCATCCCCGAGCGCTGGAGATACGATGTGATAATAAACGAGGATGACACCTGCCGTCATACACATACATCCACCGATGTGTTAACGGGACATATTGAAAATGCTGGCCAAGAGGAGTTCGAGGAGTTGGAGCATGAATTAGACGAGAAGGATAAGTGCGATGGCGTTCTTGACAACGCCGATACAAACCACCAAACAGACAGTACGTCAGAAATAATCGAGCACGATGAGCATCGCTATGACGATATCTTAGCCAAGCACTTCCCTAAGGAACCTGTCAAGACTCCATATCATCGCGATTTTATGTCACTTTGGTGGGTGGACTACATTGCAAACAGCCACAATATCTGGCATGTCTTTGTTGTCCTTGGTGCCCTTGGACACTACGTTACACTCGTTGGTATGTTCGAGAGCATCGCTCGAAATTAATTGCATGTTTACATCTGGTTATGAAGGTTGCAATGGTTTTGTATGGCGGATGTTACTGAATGAAGGGCTGGATGGTCCTGATGGGGTCCAGCCCAATCGCGCCATCCCTAGAACTCTATGCATACCGTGGGGTATGTCCCTTTTATTTTTAGGGCAATATTAGAGCCAGCAACAATGCTCAGCAATATGTGAAGTGGAAAATGGAGTTGAAAAACCATAATGAGAATTGTCACCTTCTGGGACCTTCTACAATGACAGTCCAGAGTAATGACGCAAGGTGGGTATATTTTAACCCTTAATGAATGATTTGACTACTAAGCATCTCTACGTCATAGATGGAGATATTTTTGAACCCCCATTTTTGTATCACTGCACTTCTTTTTTCACGTTCAATCCAACGGAAGTACTGCAGACAGCACTGTCTAGATGAATATGCCGCACGGTCTTTCTTTTCCTCGGTGACAGGTATGTTCTTCCGAGGATGTTGAAAGATATCAAAAACAGTCGTAAAAACTCCCAAAAATTCCTTTCAAACAACAAATCCAACTTCAAATCAATAGTTGAAGTCCTCAGTTTACCCCCACGTCACTTTTTTCCCATAGCAATGATATAAACGGGACTGCAGGCAGATGTGGCAGTTTTTTAACAAACGTATTATTCCCTTCATCCTGCAGTATAGTGTGCGGCTCAACTACCCACGTCATAATGCTTTGTGCATTTGCGTTTCGCATCCATCATGGTTCAAAGTTCCCAATCATTTCTTTTTCCCCGGGAAAGAACTATATAAGCATGTCCGTATCTCCCTTGTATGGCCAATTCCTTAACCACACATCAATCATTAATTATGGGAGGTATTTTTGGAAGAACTAATACCTTCGGTCTCACGGGTAGACCGTTGAGAGTCGCCATTACTGTATTTGCTACCGTCGGTTTCTCTCTTTTCGGTTACAACCAGGGTATGATGTCTGGACTTATTACTGGTAAACAGTTTAATCAGACTTTTCCAGCCACAGACATGAATGCAAAAGGTGCCAACGAACACCATGTTACTGTTGTGCAAGGTGCTGTCACTTCTTGTTACGAATTGGGATGTTTCTTTGGTGCTTTGTTCGCTCTTTTCAGAGGTGAGAACTTTGGAAGAAAGCCATTAATTGTCAGTGGATCTGTGATTATCGTTATCGGTACAATTATCTCAGTCACTGCATTCGAAGGCAGCTGGTCTTTGGGTCAGTTCGTCATCGGAAGAGTCATCACTGGTATGGGTAACGGTTTGAACACTGCAACTATTCCTGTGTGGCAGTCCGAGATGTCAAGAGCAGAGAACAGAGGTAGATTGGTCAACTTGGAAGGTTCCGTTGTCGCCGTGGGTACTTTGATTGCCTACTGGTTGGACTTTGGACTTTCCTACGTGGACACTTCTATCCAATGGAGATTCCCAGTGGCTTTCCAAATTTTCTTTGCTCTTATTTTGTTCACGGGTATCACCAACATGCCAGAATCTCCAAGATGGTTGATTTCCAAGGACAGAAAGGATGAAGCCATGGAGGTTTTGGCTGCCTTGAAGGGTTTGAGCATTGATGATGACGAGGTCTTTGCTGAAGCTACCGTTGTTCAAGATGCTGTCACCAGATTCTCCAGATCCCAGGTTGGTTTCAAGACTTTGTTCTCTGGAGGTAAGACTCAGCACTTCCAAAGAATGGTTATTGGTGCCTCTACACAGTTTTTCCAACAGTTCACAGGATGTAACGCTGCTATCTACTACTCTACTGTGTTGTTCGAGACCACCATTTTCAACGGCCAAAAGAGATTGTCTTTGGTTCTTGGAGGTGTCTTCGCTACCGTCTATGCTTTATCAACGATTCCTTCTTTCTTCTTGATTGACACCTTCGGAAGAAGAAACTTGTTCTTAACTGGTGCTTTAGGTCAAGCTATCTCGTTCACTATCTCGTTCGGATGTTTGGTACACACTACTCAGAACTCTGCCAAAGGTGCTGCTGTGGGTATCTTCTTGTTCATTTTCTTCTTCGGTTTCACCATCTTGCCGTTGCCATGGATCTACCCACCAGAGATTAACCCATTGAGAACCAGAACCGTTGCCACTGCTGTATCTACCTGTACCAACTGGATCACCAACTTTGGTGTGGTGATGTTCACACCAATTTTCATGAACACCTCTGCATGGGGAGCATACTTGTTCTTCGCTGTCATGAACTACTTGTTCATTCCAGTCATCTTCTTCTTCTACCCGGAGACTGCCGGTAGAACTTTGGAGGAGATTGATATTCTCTTTGCTAAGGCACACGTTGATGGTCGCCAGCCATGGAGAGTGGCAGCCACCATGCCAAAGCTTTCGCTCAAGGAGATCGAGGAGCAAGGTACTCAGCTTGGACTTTACGACGGCGACTTCGAGAAGGAAGGCTTCGAGACCAAGGAAGATGTATCCTCTACCTCATCCAATGAGAGACAGGAGGGTGTTCTTCAAGTCTAAGTGCTCGATGAAAGCACGGAGGTTATTTAAGCCTATGGAGGCATTACTGTACTATACTGAAATATTTGATTTCAAGACGAGTTCTAGGTGGGTACACCAAGTACCTTGATATACAATGATACACTTAATAAATGTTTCGTTTAACATATTGATAATTTAATTCACATTGCTGTAGTGGTTGCAAAACCCGGCACGCATGCCATCGTGCCATCATACCACCATGAGCTTATACCCGAGAGCAGTTCCAGCCGAGTCTTTTGTTCAGCCGCGTGGCCGGTGATAACTAGGGTATATAAGCACGAAACGCCCAGATTAGTGGCGAGGAGGATTAATTGAATAGATCATGGGGATTAAACATGATTCTGCGAGTCCAAAGCCGTGAGGAGCCGGAGATATTAGAGATTAGAGTGGAGAAGGTCAGAAATGCAGTGCAAGAGCGAGTGGGGGAGAGTAGTGGGGGCCCGCAGTGGGGGTATTGATGGGGGGTGTCCAAGGCTCCAACTTAGTTGCTGAGTCATTGACGTGGTGATGGTTTAGATGATGTGGTCGGCGATAACTGCCTCTAACGCCGGAAAAGGGCCACCGGAATATCCGAGGAATCCGCAGGAATAAACACAGGAAAACACACAGGAATGGACAAAAGGATACATGGAACCATTCGCTACTAAAAGCAAGGGGGTCGGAAGAAAGGACCGACAAAAGCAAGGGAGAAAAAGAGAGGGAGATAAAGTGAACAAAATACGCAAATCACCAAAGAGACAAGTGCTACTGGAGATGAAATTTGGTGAAGGAACAATGGCTCGAAACGGAAGTGACCAAAAAGGGAAATACGAAGTCCAGTCGATGGTACAAACGCACAACCACAAATCCACCATCGCAAAACCAGAAACTGCAAAAAAGGTTATCACCCTTCATAGCATGCTATCTCTAGCCTGCCACCTTCAAGCCTATCCACCACTCTTTCTCTCACTGACCCTCTCCTATCCTCTTCCTTCATATGGTCGTCCTAACTCCAGCCGTTGGTCACACCTAACTCCTTTTTCGCCTACCCCACATAGAACGCTCACCGAAATCTTCAGCCGTTGAGCCTTTGTTGCTTATGACTTCTACCAACCAAAGTGTGTCCATCTAAGAGCATACTTTTTATTGCCGTCGTCCTATTAGCTCCCTCAAACTACCCTAGAGAGACCCTAAACCTGGATCATACAACTCGACTCTCAAGTTTTTTTTTTTTTTTTTTGGGTTGGACCTATTGCACACTCCGACCCCCGCTCTATATACGCCAAAATCGGCCATCTCCAAGTTAAACTTTCAACCCAAAGTCTTTCCCGTGAGTGTTAATCTTTTTTCTTGTCTTTGACGGTCGTTTTTTGTATTGCCCTGTGCTGGTTCTTATCTCCATAGCTTCGTGGCTACCCCAGACTCTCCCGGATTTTTTCTCGGTGTTACCATTCCACTATGGAAGTTCACATCAACTCGCTTTCACCCATGATGTCTGTATCCATGTCCTCCATGACATCCATCGACGATCCCATGGACGGATCTATCGACAGTGCTTCCCTTAACGGAGTGCCCATGTCTGCACCCATGCTGCTGTCGCTTTCCAATCTGTCTGATCGTAAACGTACCAGGACTTCGGAAATGAAGGTTTTGGCGGACGGAAACGTGGTAAAGCTCCAGAAAACTCGCCAGCGTCGAATCTTAAGCTGCGTTCATTGCCACTCCAAGAAAATAAAGTGTCTGCGTGTTCAGCCCGTGTGTGATAACTGTGACAAGTTGGGCATCGAATGTAAGTACTTCATCAACGAGCGTGTCAGCCGTGGTGGCCGCAAACTGAAGGTATCTGGCCCTTCTGGTACGTCATCGTCGGGTTCGGCCGCCATGGCAGCACTGGAATCGTCCAACTCAGCGCCAGGCGGCTCAATACTTCAATCACAGCCTCCTGCCGTTAAGAGAGAGCCTCTGGAAGGTCCTCTGTCGCATAACAGGTCGTCGACTTCGGAGTTCTCCGACATGAACGGCTCACCAATGTCACCAACACTCTCTGGAGTTACGGTGGTTGAGGATGAGCGCAGAAGCTTTCTGCCTAAAAAGTCTGATCCACTCCAGGAGTCCATGAACTTTCTTCAGATGGGTATGACCAACGCCAACTCTCCAGTGTCGATGTTGCAGGCGCCCATCGTCAACTCCATTAGCAACAACATCACCAACAATTTCTTCAACACAAATTACACCTCCAACGCGCAGACCAACGACGATCTGTACCAGTTCAACTTGAACTCATTCAATTTCAATACGGGACCTGAAACAATCATGAACAACAATTCGACGCGTATTTCATCCTCAGTGACTCCTTCAGGGAAGGAGAAAAAACCTGAAAGTACGCCTGCCATGGCTCCGTCAATGACTATTTCCAACGGACTAGATGAACCAGAGACTCCTAGCATCCAGGGTATCTTGAAAGGTGCAATTACCAACTTTGTTGATGGTCCAATCAACCTGCCCAACTCAGTGGTGACAAACAACGGTGTAACAACTAGAAACTCCCACCCCAATAACCCGGGCCTTCACAACTCGTTGAATGCCTACCTGTCGAACCCAGCAATGACCGTGAACTACTTATACGGAACAAACACAGACTACGAAAACGACAATTTGCTCATGGATTTGATCAAGCACCTTCCCACGTCTCGTGAACGGTCCTTCGAGCTAATAGATCGTTATGTCAACTCCGTTCACTTGTTGCTTCCTATAATGGTGAACTTAAATGGATTTATTGTGGAACATGAGAAGTTTTGGGACCATTTCGATCCTTACAAGAACCACTCGCCTTCAACGTCTTCATCTGGCTCATCAAACGGCCCTGGTGATTTCAACTTGTTGCAGTTCTACACCCTTTTCTTCCCTGTTCTCTATGCATCTACCATTTCTGAGTTTGAAGAGTACGATAACCTCTTGTTGAACCAAGATATCAACAAGTACTTGAAAGGATTCAATAAAGTTTGCCAGTACTATAACTATCCTCACGGACTCAAGTCTATCCCTATCCTTTTGGGAAATGTGATTATTCAATCCATGTCGCCAAATCCTTCGACGATGGAGATGTCGCAGATCATCAGATATGCCAAGTTCTTGCAGTTGCACAAAGATCCCGTAATTTCGTTGCGTATCAGCGACTGGAAGGTAATCAAATTCAGACGAATGCTCTGGTGGATCATTTTTGGCTTGGACGGTTTGAGTAGTCACAACTTCTGCTTACCTCCAGTGTGCAAGTTTGATGACTTCAATGTTTTGATGCCCGAATATGAAGATCCAGTGTTCGATGAGCTGGGAAGCATGACAGGTAAGAAATTGAATGTCACAGTGCTTGCTATGACTATCAAGTTTAAGTACGACCGAATTCTCAGTGAGTTGGTGTATCAGCTACATAATGGTCTAGCTACAAACATCACCTCGGAGGAGATCAATGAAATCAAGGGCATGATTGTCAACTTGTTTCATTTCATCCACCAATCCATAATCAAGATGAACAACTTTTACAAGGCAAGCCCTCCAACCACTGTCCAGGAGATGAATCTTGTGAACTTCATCAAAAACCACTCGTGGAGTTTTGCTGATAGAGCAATGATGTTGTTACATAAGAAAATTTTGCTTCATGACTCCTCAAAAGATGGCCATAATGACGAAAGAGATCGGACTGTCGAATTAACTTCCAAGAAAACAAGAGGGGAGGCGTTGTCATTGAGTGAATACGAGGATACTTTTGGAAGAATGCAAGAGAAGAATATCATCCGCAACTTTAACAACTCGTCCATTTCTCAATTGAGATTCAACCAATACGAACTGTTCACTTATGAAAACATGCAGAACAATTTGATTCCGTCCATTTTGCATAACTTGAATGATTTCTTAAAATATAACGATTTCATCAAATTTGGCAAGTTCAACTGGTATATCAAGAGAACTATTCCATTGGATTCTATCATCTTGTTGTTTGTGATAATTTGCGTGAAGTTCAAATATGAGTTCATGACCCTGAATGAATTGGTGATTTACGTCAAGTTAATCAATAAAGCTCTTTTCATTTTGAACAGGAAATATTTCAAGAATGAGAAGTACAAGAGAATGTTGTCGTTGACAAACTTAACCTGGGAATACATTTTGAAAAAGTATAATGTGATCAAGTTGCTTAACTTGACCAACGATAAGAAAAATGGTCGGATCGAGTTTTTCGATTACCAGGTCAGTGGATTTATGAACATGAGCGAGTTATTCAACGTTATGGACGTGCCACAACCTGCATTGATTAGTAATGGGGTTAATGTTGGACGCATCCAGAGTGATGATGTTCTAATGAGAGATCTGCCACAAAAATGGGATGCTGATGATTCAGATGAAGACTCTCCTTCCAACAAGCAGCTCAATCAATCTATGTTCTCCAACCAGCTCATCCAGCAGAATTTGGACAAGAGAAATGATAGTGAGCTACATGGACAGAAGCTTGAGCTTATGCAACTCAACGAAAAGATCTATTACGATTTGCGTAACAATTTTGTGGATATCAACGATTACTGTACGTTTTACTCATCTCTTGAAAATGTGCTTCATGAGCTAATGGACTACGTCAATACGGGCAACGAGATTCTGCTCTAGATTTAATATGAGGTCTTCCAAACTGTTGCAGAAAAGGTTCTGAAAATGTTGCAGAAAGCTGCTGCTATGCTTTGGAGGTTGCACTTTGGGGGTTGCAATGGTTCACTACCTTTGTTAGCCCACCTCACTCTTGAAATCATTGTTGTTTATCAGGTTTTAACCTTCTGTGGTGGTATGGTCTGCATACAGCCAAACACCTGAGATTTCTCCGCATTATGAAGATGATCTCCTATGCATGGAATATCGTGACATCCCCTCAATCTAAAAACCAATACATAAAATCATCTGACCAAAGTGGGTAGTACCCTTGCATATATCTCTATGCTGACCCTGGCGAGTGTATATCTGCCCAATCAGGGACCCCCGTGAAACAACAATTGTACTTAAACCCCCAAAACTCCAGGGCCTCTGACCAATTAACCCACCTGTGGAAGTATGACAAGATGAGATGTTCACATTGTTTTGTTATATTTTATATGTGTCATCTTCCCAATTGAACTTCTCTGACTCGCTTTTTTTTTCTCCCTCAATGTCCGTCAGCTCCCCAGAAGTTTCCGTGCCTCTGATTTCAGAGGATATAGATCGTGACCCAATTCATCTACTTCGGTCAATGGATCTGTTGGACTCTGCCGAAAGTGAACTATGGCAGACTCGCCATGACATGATCAACAAGGAAGTCCAGGACATAATGGTGGATGTAGTTGTGTTATTCACTGCGTTGCCAGTGTTAAAGGATGACCACGATGTGCTTCAGAGATGGTACATTGCGTTTGAGTCTCTTTTTGATATTGTGAAGGGTATGCGTCAGGTTATGGACTCGGATGGTGTTTTTCTGGCAGAAGATCTCGAAGGCAGACATGGTCGTCTCTATCTGAGCATTGAACGTGAATACTTTGTCACATGCTTCTTTGAGGAGTTCCACGATATCTTGTCTCTGTCGGAGCTCCTAGGCGACTTACAGGAGGAGTATTCATGGACGGACCCAATTGAAGACCTGATTGGGTTGTACAAGTTTATTCTTGACAGGTTGAGTGGGTCCGGAGGAAACGCTCACCGAAGATCACGAAGAATGTCTCGCCGTACAGTATCAACCAATGAAGAAATAGATGCTGCTAATGCTGATAAAGAGCTGGTAATTCGGAATATCAAGCAATATTTGGACCTGTTGGTGGATACTGGAAGTAATAGTGATGAATCCTCTGCAAATCTTATGGTGATTGCAAAAGCGATTGACTTGCTGGAGGATACGAGTGTGCAACGATTTCTCCTGCTGTTTCGGAAAAGAGAGTTTTACAAATTGTACTCGCCGGTGCAGAAATCAATCAATGGTGAAATCTTCGTGAAGGTGTTAGCGAAGTACTACCTTGAGTATGCGATCGACCCTCGTATATTCAATGCACCAAGCTACGAAACGATTGTCAAAGAGATTCTTTTGGATCCACTTTGTGATTCTGACGTTCAGAATAATCCTAGCAGGTTGTGAATAGTGTTTGAGCCGAGAGTCTTTGGATGATTCTCTGGCGCTGTGCTTTATGGCCCTGTGGTACTCTACTTTGTTATAATTAGGTCATTTTACCACACGACGAAAGAGTCCATCACAAGTAGTAGTCCTAGGATAGTTAATAGCAGCATGAATAATTACGTATTCTTTCTACATAGAGGTATGCGATTTAAAGTATGGCATCACGACTACTCTCTATATTCTGCAAATCATAGTAGATGTTTCCATGTTTGAACAGAATGCGGTTTGAATTGCAGTTCTGTTAGGGATTTTTAAACATTTAAGTGTTTCCTCCAGACAGTACTTTTTTTTTTTTTTGCCTGTCGTCCAGCCGTCAGCCTCCAGTTAAGAATGTTGTAGGAGATGCACAACTGCATGAAAATTACAGTCATTCAAAAATTATCTTTCTACTGCTGTAATATCTACGATAATCCTTCCAAACTTGCAAATACAGCTGTCTGACTCCGAAACATGCAATAATATAGGACTACAGTCATTGTTTTAACATTTTTCCCATATTCGGTTGTATAGTGTAGTGGTTATCACTTTCGGTTTTGATCCGAACAACCCCGGTTCGAATCCGGGTACGACCTTCCTTTTTAACATGTTCTTTTTCCAATTTCTTTTTACTATTTCCTTTTTCCATACTCTTTGTCCATCATCTTAAAACTTCTTAAAAGTGTATCTATTTTGTTCTATTCACTTTTAAATGCCGGTGGTGACAATGGCTCGTAGTTGTTGTTGTACAAGTTGTCAGCAGGTGGGTTCCGCGAGTAAAGGTTTCTCAAGTCTAAATGCTGTGGACCCAACTCTGAAATCTTAGACACACCCAACAATCTCATATCCAACTTGATTTCTTCCTTCAACATCTGACAAGCCTTTCTCACTCCCTCCTCGCCGTATGCTGCGTTTGCATAAAGAAAGATTCTACCCAATCCCACTCCTTTTGCACCCAATGCCAAACACTTAATGATATCTGACCCACGACGAACACCTCCGTCAATGTAGATCTCGATTTTATCGTCCAATCCCTTCTCCTTTAAAACAGGTATAGTGTCTGCCAAAACTTCAATGGGAGCACGTGCGTAATCCAACTGACGTCCTCCGTGATTAGAGATTACCACCGCCTTCACTCCATTCTCAGCTGCCAAAACCACATCCTCCACACTTTGAACTCCCTTCACCGCAACGGGAATGTCTGTCCAGTTGGTAATCTCGGTAATGTCTTTCCAGGTAACTGCTGTGTCTCTTCCATACACCACTGACGAACCCAAGTCCAGCGATTCCTGAGAATCCGCACTCTCGTCTGAGTCGTCCATCTGAGCCAGAATTTGTGCACGGAGCTTCATATCCTTTTCTCTGCGGCCCAATTCTGGCGTGTCCACTGTGACGAAGATCGACTTAAGTCCCAATTCGTTACATTCGTCCACAGACTCCCGAGCACTTTCGTGGTCAGTCACATACAATTGGAACCATTGTGGCTGTCCCTTCGAGGCAGCGTCCACAATGTCTTCCAAGGGGTAAGAAGAATAGTTGGAAATCATCTGGATCACTCCCTCCTTGCCACATCCTCGGGCAATGGAAAGTTCTCCATCTGGATGGCCCAATTTGGCCTGTGCTGCTGCACTACAATAAAATGGAACCTCAGTAGCTTCTCCCATCATAATGGTGGATACGTCCACAGAACTCACGTCCACAAGCACTCTAGGCTTGAAGAAAATTCTGGAGAATGCATTGTGGTTCTCTCTCAAACTGATTTCGTCATCCGCACCGCTTGAGTAGTAGCACCAAGCTGTAGGAGGCAAGATCTTCCTTGCGATGTACTCGAAATCAGAAACTCGGAATACCTCCGAAATAGGTGGCTTGTTCTTGATGTTCTCCAATCGCTGAGTATCGTCTCCAGCTTCGGTGACATCGGGTGCAACCTCCATTTCTCCAATCAAAGGACCCAAACATTCCTCTGGAGTCAAGTACTTATCCACGAAATTTGGCGCATGGAATTTATTGAAGATGGCCAGTGCATCCTTTCCAGCGTATTTGAGAATGATCTTAGCTCCTCCTGGGTGACGGGTCAAGAACTCGGTCAAGTTGTAGACTTTCCCGTTGATCACCACCCAAACTCCATTTTCGACAGAATTGTGTTTTTCTACCTCCTCCACAGGTACACCAGGGGCCAGTGAATCAAGGTCAACTGATTCGTTGGACCATGCAACAGCCAATGCCGAAAGGGTACAAGATACAAGTGCTAGACTTACTCTGGACTTGAGAGAGATAGTCGGAGAGACGTACCGGGAAGAAGAGAGACCTCTGGAGCCTCTAGAGACTTTTGGGGTTTTGACACGAGCAATTCGAGCCACAAGACGTTTCGAAAACATTCTAGAGAACAAATATAGTGGGTAGCAAGCTTTATATAATTTCGTGCAATGAGAGGTGGTTTATATGTCAGATAGCGGGTTGTGGAACCGGAATAACACACAATAGAGCGGAAATGGCGCGGAAATGATGTGCCGAACTATTGGTGTGGTGCATTGTAAACACAAAGGACCCTCCGCCGTTCATAGAAAAAGAAAAGTCAACAACTGTTCTGCCGTACAATCGCGGAAACAGTTCGATCTTCCATCAGATTTCTTAAATACGTGAAGTCTTAGTCTTCCACAACAATTACTTCGTCCTGGACAACAGACTCTGTAGACTGAGCCTTTTTCACTGATGAAGGACGTTTCTTTGGCGAAACTGAACGTCTCAATAAAGATCCACTCTTCTCAGGCGAAGTCGATCTTGATATTGTCTTCGATGGAGGAGCAGGAGGCACCTCATCGCTTTCCTGTGGCTTTCCGGAAGTCTTGGTTACTGCTCTCTTAAGCCTGTTCTCCAATCTTGATTTAGACGACTCCATAACATTGGTCTTTGCACTTGGAAGAGTAGTGTGGTCCTTGCGAACAGCTTCTCTTGGTTTGGAGTTTCTTCTTCTCAATTCGCCAAAAATAGCATTTTTATTCTCGAAGAAATCAGCCATCAAGTTCTGTTGAAGTAGTTCCACAGCCGCAGTGTCAAGATGGGGGCTTCTCTCTTCAATGGAACTGTCTAATTTGGGTCTCAATGCAACGTTTCCAAATTCTTTGCAAATTTTGGTCTTCAACTGAGATGCCAACTTCTCGTTCTTGGAACTAACAATGCTGACAAGACGTGTCAAGTGTGTCAAAAGCGCATCCAATGTAGCCAAGTTGGACACAGGGAGCTCCAGCAATGTGTTCTGCAAGCCGGTGATACGAGATTTATCCACGTTCTCGTCATGATCCGAAACTGGGTAGTTCTGGTACAAAGTCTTGATCAAATCAAAGTAGCTGTAGGGAACTATGGAGTCTGGCAATTCCATGAAGTATAACTTGAGAACATTGGTGACGGTTGTTGCCTCGTTCTCCTTTAGGAAACCATGTATCTGTTTAATGTCCGTCAATTCGTTCAACTTGAATCTGAGGGCATGCACCTGAGATAAATGCACAGGTTGTGTCCAGAGGCCAACTCTTTCTTCGTCATTACTCAATTCTGGGTATACCTCATCCAAGTACGAGAGAATCGCCTGGACAATAACGGGGACAGCCTTTCTGTCGAGTCGAGACTTCACATTGAGATCCACTCCAAATGTCTGCTTGATATTGGAGTCATAATAATTGTCGTACAAAGTGACGCGAGGATTGAACTTTCCAGTAGCGTAGTTTTCAATCAAGAACTTCAAGTCGTTAACTGGATGAATAGTCTCTTCCACCACAAACAACTCGTCGCAAGCATGCTTCAAAGCACTCACCTTATTGGAGAAAGTGGCCAAAAAGTCAAACATTGCCTTCTTGATGGCCTTCAAGCGATCTAGCTCACACTTTTGCATGAACGACAAGTGGTCCATGACGGTTTCTTCGAATGTGCACCTAATTCTGTCCAATTCCTTGGTAGTCTGGAAGTATTGCAAGTCCAAAGTGTTCACCTCATTCGTGAGTTTCAAGTACTGGCTCTTGTCGGTATAGTCCACTGTGGTCACACCAATGGCTTGCTTGACGTCTTCGAAATAGTTGGAGAGCTGATTGGTCCTGCTTGTCTGTGCTGCGATTGGGTCGTAATTGACAGTATTACCTGTTTTCGAAAGATCAAATTCGGACAACTTCGTCATGTCGAAAACTAAAGGTTTCCATTGGTACAAGAACTGCGACGAGTTGATGAAGTTCTTGTTAGCACCCATCGATCCAATGAGTCGGATGAAGCCGTTGGTCACCAAATCCTGGCCAAACTTCTCGGCCTTGGCAATGTTGCCACGGAACTCAGGCATGTTGTCTAGAAGCCATTGTGTAATGGCACTTCCACTGGATACATTGTGGTAGGTGCCCAAGATGGGAACTTTATGCGACGTCAACTCGATATGGCTTAGCATGTCTGACAACAAGGTAGTAGCTGTTTTGGAGTCGTAAGAGTGACCTGCAAACGTGTAGATGGTACTATCTACATCTTCTGGGTCGTTGGACTCATCCTTACCAGATGCGTTTAAATGGACATCTTCAGCGATTTCTGCCAATTCCTCTTCAGAATAGTGAGACTTGAACTCCTCTAGCATTCTGCACTTGTTGAAGTACTTCTTCAGCAACTTGTCCAAATTGGCCCGTGCAGTTTTGTAGTGTTTATATTGGTCAGTGACCACCAGCTCCAGGTATCCAACTCTCTGCTCATGGTCAGCACACCATTTCAGAAAAGGTTCCAATACCATCGTCTGAATGTTGCGTGCGATCTCCAGGTGGTATGCACCTTGTTTGGCGAAGTTTTCGTTGAGCTTGCCATAGGCATTCTTAATAGTCAGTACGTAATCTTCATTGGCGTGTCTTTTGCTGGAATAGCGGAGCGACGAAGGCAATTGTTCAAGAGATAAGCCGTATGCCAACTCCAGCTCCATACGTTTGGTGAATAATTCGATGAAGTCGTCATTTTCTTTAATTCCTTCAGCAAGTTCGTCAAAGAGCACCTCGTACCCTACATGGTAGTCGTGGGTCCAGAAGGAGTTTGCAAACGACATGGCAATAGGGTTGTGACGATGAATTGGGCGAATTTGGCAGTCGAGACGAGGTGAAGTTTTGACTCAGTAATGTTCTGACGTCTGGTGTGGATTCGTGGATCAAAGCCTACTTCGTGTATTGTGAGAGAGTAGAATGTACAGGTTGGCCAAAACCCTAGATTCAAGTTGCCCGGGAAGGAGCCATTGTATGTCAGAAGGGATCTAAGGGTAAAAAAAAAGATAAGGGATTCAGGAAGCCATAGATTAGGGTTTAATTTTGGATGTTTGAAAGATTCTACAATGTGGATAGTTTAGAATGAACAGGTCGACCATTTTGAAGAGTAACACTGAGGGTAAAAAATAGATAAAGGTGAGAGAGTTTTAAAAGAGAAAGATTGAGCAATCGAGCAAAATATCAGTTAACGATCAGAAGGAATGATTGCATTAATTTTGAATTCGTAAATAAATTCTGAACTAGTATTGCTTTCTAGAAGGAGAAAGTGTGATATCAATGGAATTGTCAGGCTTAGTCATGTAACCATGAGAGACCCCAGACGATCTATCTATAAATAGGAGCATCTCAGAACGGTTTGTTACAGTGTGGCGGGATTTTTAAATATGTTTAGAGATATGAATTTTGGAACTTTATTGTTCATCTTGCCCTTTTTTTTCTTCTTCTTTTATAGCTCTTCTATGGGTCTAATTTTGATTAGATGTTTGTTCCGGCATTTCCCTGGCTTTGTCTGGGGGCCCCATAACAACTATAGGATACAAACATGCAATCAGTTGTGTTCAAATCAATTCTTATTTGTTTTTTTTCAATTGCATCGTTTTCATCAATCGAAGCTAAAGCTTCTTTTTATCTCCTCATTTAATCCTCCAATTTCTCTTTACTATTATCCGTCTTTATTATTAGTGTCATAATTAATTCGCGTCTTCACAGTCAATAAACTCATCCATCTCTACACATTCAAAACGAAGAAAACCCTCCTAAAAATCATCAAAATCATACTTCATTCAGAAAATGGACTCTCGATTCCCCTTATCCATTTAAACTTTAGAAAATCGCCTTTCTTACAATCATTACCGTCCCTTGTAATCTCCATGGTGTACGGATGTTTCACATATCCCATCCCAATTCTTTTCCCTAAATTTATCACCATCTCCCTGAAACTACAAACTACCAAAAAATATGGCACCCCATCCAGAGTGTCCTGCTACTCCTCCAAGGCGCCATGTGGCCCGTTTCTCAAGTTTCGGCAATATGACTCCAAAATCCTCTCGTTCTTCCCATCGAAAGAACAGGTCCATCGACTCAAAGTTTGATACTTTTGCTTCTCCTCATAAGTCACCTTTTTTGAGTCCACGAGTGACCAAAAAGAGCCATAAGCAATCAGGTGTATCGGCTAATCCCTTCACGGACGCGTCGGCTCCGTTTTTGCCCACGCCTCTGGCCACATGCTCGTCTAGAAAGTCCACGCTATTCTCTGAACTTATTGAGCCATCACGCAACTCCAGATCGCTCACAGCGAGCCTCCAGGCACTAGCGAATGAAAGTCAGGATGCCAATGTCTCCCCCCTGCACAATTTTATCAAGGTTCCCACTCTAAGGACACCGTCCCCTCGTCCCAAGTTGCGTTCTCGGCGTGAATCGTCATTCGACAGCGACGATGACATTCTAGTAATGAGAGAGGAGGATTTGAAGAATATCCCACGAATGGAGTTGGAAAATCCGTTTGTTGAGTCCACATCTGCAAAGGAAGCGGAAAAGGGCTCAAATGACATTGATTTTTCCACTCACATGGAGCTCATCAACCACCGCACAGGAAAGAAGATGATCCAACGCCTAACGGAGGAAGAGCAACGTTTCAAGCCCCGGAAATTGGTGTTCACGCAGGTCGTGGAGCCTTCCGTCAACTACAACGTTGCTAATAAGTTTCTTGATAAGAACATCGGTAAGAATTTTACCATTCAGGGAGACCTTGCTCCTTCGACGCTTGGGTTCAGTATATTCAGCGATGACAATGACGAAAAGTGAGTGTGTCTAATCATTACCTTTTTCCTACTTATTTATCTCTGCCGCCATTAATATCTGCTGCACGGCCACTGGAATATAGACGGTATAATACATTAGGTAAACTTCAACACTTCATATCTTTATGACAGCGTATCTCTGTACTTCTTGATATTGTCCCATGCAAGTGAGTTGGCGTTTGGAAGCTTCACCACCTCAATCTGGTTCAAAATATCCGGCATGGTCTTGTCAGGGTAGGTGGCCACATACCTGATAGGCTTGCTGAGATCCGAGACAGGGTCCTTCTCCTCTCCACGAAGCTCAACTGGTAATCTCTCCATGATTTCATGATGCTGAGAAGGTAACGTGAAGCGTAGCGTGAGATCTGGCCGCAAGAGCTCGGCCAACTCGGGAGTAGGTGGAAGCTGGGTAGACGACTTTTGTTGCATCTCGGCCTGCTTGACCAATAACTCGTTTCTGCGCTTGTTCCTGAGATCCGTCTGCTCGATACTATACAATTTCTCGAAGTTGATTTGCTTAAACCTGTAAAAGCACTTCCAAGTATCTCCAGACACCTCACGGTACGAATTTACCAACAAGTTAAACAATAAAGTGTTGTGCAACATCTCCAAGTTGGTGAAGTCCTCGGTGAATCGTCTCTGTCTCTCCAACACAACCTCCACATTGTCATCCGAGTAGAATTCGTGAGTTAAGCCCTTGATGACGCGATTGAACCTCTTGCTCGGTGGCTTCATCACTCTGTTTGCTGGAATATGTGTGACTGCATTGGTCTTAGGTGTTGACTCGGGGGTGAATTTTCTGATGCGATTAATTCTGTTCACCATGGCTGCATCCTTATAGTTACCCGAGCCAGGGCCTCTGTAACTCTTGAAGTAGTAGTACTTAGAGTGATAGGCCTCCTGGTCGTTGTTGAGGAGGATCTGCTGCAACTGCTTGGAAGTTTTACTCGTTTCCGAGAACTTCAAGTCCAAACCTTCAAGATGTGGCTTTTGAGGATTGAATAACGCATTCTGCTGCGCTGAACTCATCTGTCCGTTGATGACAAAATAATTAGGAACCTTACACAATGCATTGACATTGAACTCTTGGATGAGCCCGCATCCTGGAAGTATGTTTTCCGTGACATCTAGCATGTTTGGGTCCACACTTCCCACATGACGCTTTTGTCTGCCCAAAGGCTTTTTTGACGAAGACGAGGAAAATTCCGAACCGGAATTTTCCTCCGTCTTGGAGGCGTCGTACAGAGTGTAGTTATTTGCCGTAAATAAAAGCTCCCGTTCCTGAGCACTGACCGAGGTTCCATATACCTTCCTGTAGTTTCCGTCATGGCGGTAAACTTGCAACTTTGTCATTGGATTAAGACACAAGAACGTAGCATGTGTTAATGGTGTGGTCGCTTCCACCTGTCCGTACTGTGGGAATACCTGGGAGACTGTTATCATGTCATCTTCTATGGCCCTGGCAGTTGGTCTTCTTCTTGTTTCTGTAGGAGCTTCGACCGTCATTTCGCCAACAAGTACATCCTTATTGGCCACCACCAGGTAAATAAGCAGCAAATCCACGTAGAAAAGCTTCTTTTGTGCTTCATCACCAGATATCAAGTTGGCATCTTGAAGGGCGGCGTTAAGCAGCGCATCAGACTCCAGAAACAAGTCATTTTTCGGGATTCCAGTCCGTTTGACCAACTTAGAAATCACTTGGTAAGACAGCGGGTAATTCCACAACTGGGCAAGGTGTTTCACCAATACCCGTTCTTTACCATTGTAAATGAAATAGGGAACCTTGAACGCCAATGACAGTGAGAAACCGCCAATTTCGGGCGGCGTAACTTCAACAGGTACACGGAGCCGCGTATAGCCGTGATTTGGTGCCGGATGATTGGGCCATACGACAGAAAGAGACATGTTATTGTTGAATATAAGTTGTGAATTAGCTTGTGAGTATATCGCTTGTTATGGTGTACGGGTGTAGGACTCGGGGCATGAAATGATTGTTAGTGAGTTTGATAAGAAGGGGAGTGGAGGCAATTATGAGAAAATGTGAGATGATGATTAGTAGCGAGATAATTGAACATTTTAAAAACTTCTTTTGTTTTCGTTTGTTGATTTTAGTCAAAGTTGATTGGTAGTTATACTGTGGTCACGTGATCTGCTTTAAAAGTTTGATGAATTCGATCCCTTTCACAACGACAACAAAAATGAAAATTACCAAACATAACTATGCTTCGCGCTTCTAGTCATATCTATTTAAACCCGAAAGTCTTGACCTCACTCTTCCATTATTCTTCAAGTCACTAACAAAAACCCGGCTTGTCTGCAGTCACGCCCTCCGCCCAAAGATATCCTGATCTCACATTTCCCACCACATAAAAACTAATCAACCAAGAATGGGATTGTCCTTCTCCAAGTTGTTTGCCGGCCTCTTTGGCCACAAGGAAATGAGAATCTTGATGGTGGGTTTGGATGCCGCAGGTAAGACCACCATCTTGTACAAGTTGAAGTTGGGAGAGATTGTCACCACCATTCCAACCATTGGATTTAACGTCGAAACTGTCGAGTACAAGAACATCTCGTTCACGGTGTGGGACGTGGGTGGACAGGACAAGATCAGACCGTTGTGGAGATACTATTTCCAGAACACCCAGGGTATCATCTTTGTTGTTGACTCCAATGACAGAGACCGTATTGCTGAGGCCCGGGAGGAGTTGCAGCAGATGCTCAATGAAGACGAGTTGAGAGATGCGTTATTGCTTGTGTTTGCAAACAAGCAGGACTTGCCAAACGCCATGAATGCTGCGGAGATTACCGAGAAGTTGGGATTGCACTCGATTCGCCAGAGACCATGGTACATTCAGTCGACATGTGCCACATCTGGAGACGGTTTGTATGAGGGTTTGGAGTGGTTGTCCACGAACTTGAAGAATGCGTAATTGTTTAGCATAATAAGAGAGTTGAGAGAGAATGTAGAGGGTAGAGAGATTGTAAGGAGAAGCAAAAGATAGAGAGAGAGAGAGAAAAGGAGAGAGAGAGAAAAGGGGAGAGGGGGAAAAGGGGAGATAAAGAAAGAAAGAAAAGGTAAATGGGATTTCCTTAGAATGTAAAGAGATTGTAAAGAGAAAAGAATGGCTGAATTCTGAACGGTGTGCAAGGTGAATTCCTAAGAGTACCAAACCTCCACAATTTTACTTTCTAGAGAAGCACTGATGGAACAGGAGTATACATCACATTAATAACCTTTTGAATTCTACAAATAAAATCCTTAAGAATTTTAATAAGAAAAACATGTTACGAGCCTGTAACTATAAAGATCCTGTCACTTCTAAGATCCAGTTATTAGAAGTGCCTGGGTATAAATATTTGCTACTAATCCCATAATACCCACGAGATAGCCAACTAGACAGAAACCCAGACTTTCATCTGTTCCCCCTTCTGAATAGATCAGGATAACTCGATTCATACCATATTAACAACTCCTATTTCTCCCATTTTTTCAAAATTGCCGGTTGCAAAATTTCCTCTACATTATACACTTCTTTACAATGTCTATCATACTTTACATTTTCTCATTCTCGGCATTCTCGCATTTCTCACATTTCTTGCCATGCTCAATTTCTCACGTACAGCCACAATATATACTTTCTACATCTTCAACGAACTTTCAAGCTTACCCAAAGCTTCCTAAAAAAGAATTCCCCAAAAAATTTTCCCCCAAATTTCTATCCTATGTATCCGTCCTCGAATTTTCCCTCCCCTCTTCAACTTAGATTCCGATGGTTCCCCCATCCTCCGCACTCTTATCCTCGGTTTTCACCCCACAATCCGCTATATGGCAATATGCACTTGATAATTCTGCCAATTATATAAACCTTCAACCGCATCTGTTTCGTCATATACACAAACTTATTCGAACCTCCCACCATGTCGCTGGAAGACATTCTCTACGAGGTTAAAGGAAACGTCACCGTCATTACCCTCAACTTGCCAACCAAGTTAAATGCATTGACTGGGTTGCAATACCTTGATTTAGCTAAGAAGATCGCTGAAGCAGATGAAGAGGAGAACACTGTAGCCACCATCATCCAGGCCACCGGTAGATACTTTTCTGCTGGTGCCAATGTGTCTGATGGCACTTTGGCTGGCACTGTTGGTGACCCTGCTGAGCTCTTCTCGCATGATTTCTGGTTCAAGAACTTCGTGGGTAGAAACGCTTATTTGGTGGACTTGTTTCACAACCACAAGAAGGTGTTGGTTGCCGCGCTCAACGGCCCAGTGATTGGATTATCTTCAGCTTTGGTTGCGTTATGTGACATTGTGTATGCCATCGATGACGAGAAGGTGTTTTTGTTGGCACCATTTGCCAATTTGGGTTTGGTGGCTGAAGGTGCAGCCTCTTCCACGTTATTCTTGAGATTGGGCTGGTCCAAGTCTGCCGAGGCTTTGTTGTTCTCCAAGCCTATTCCAGGTAAGGACTTGGACAAGTTGGGTTTCTTCAACAAGACCTACTCCGGTGAGAAGTTGACCACCGAGGAGTTTAACGCAAAGGTGTTGAACGAAGTCAAGGCCAAGCTTGAGGGCTTGTATGAGCCATCCATCTTTGCTAACAAGCAGCTTCTTAAGGCCAACAGAGACCAGTTGATCAACAGTGCCAGTTCAAAGGAGCTTATTATTGGCTTCAACAGATGGATCCAGGGTATTCCTCAGCAGAGATTTGTGCAGATTGCCAACAAGGAGATCAAGCACAAGATGTAGGTATTTATGGGTAAGCGAAATAGACTGCAAAGCAGAGTGGGGCTGTTATTGGCTTTGATTGTAGAAAGCAGACGAATGTTTTGGCTTATTGAATGATAAGTTCGAGCTTTAGTTTAAGGAGCGTCTGTAAGTGTTGAGTTAATAAATACCACTCTAAGTGGATTGGATAGATTCAAATGACTTAAGTGTCCGGACAATGGACACACTGATACTCATTGACTAACTGTTAACTTACTGTGTCCAGATACTATTCAACGTTTGTTATCGATTGAAACTTACTCATAACATGTCCAACTCAAATGGTAATATTCTCTTTCACTTATTATTAGAACGAATTATGTTAATCGGATATTTGTTAATGGAATGGTCTTTCATACTTGCAATTCGCAGTCATTGACCACATTGCTAACTACTTGCCCTCAACCAGTAAATCTCCAAAGACTGTCCAAAGCTCCATGAACTCAATTTCCAATCTCTTCTTATCCCCCTTCCAATATCTGACTTCAATTTCTCATCGTCACCTAACTCTTCGTATCAATTATATTTACAATACCAACTATCTTCTATACCAACTTATCTTCATTTACCTGTCTATACTGCACTTCTAACCTACACCTACAACCAAATATCAACCTTATCTTTATCATCTTCAAATCTTACGCCTGCTTCACTCAATCACATGTCGTACAACCTACCGTGTCCCAGTCTAATAGGCATTCTCCTTGTGGTTTCTACCCACAATGGCCCCCAGATCGTCCATCACTACCCTCCAGAACTTTCAGACACCTCTCTAAGGTCCCAAGGTGCAGAAGAGTCAGACGATGACTTCGACGATGAGGATTACATAGCCGAAGATTCCACTAAGGATCGCGAGTCCGCTACTACATGGGATTCCAGTCATCTCGACTACTACCTCGGCACCAAACAAGACCTATTGTCGTTTCTAGACAACCAGCAGAGCCACAGGGCCCGGCTCCATGAGTTGGCAGAAGTGGGCTCCGTCAATTCGGCAGACCGCCCTGGACTGCCCCAAGTGTCTTACGTGGAGAGTGGCCACCGCACATTAAGACAAGTTGCTTCGAATCTGAGCAAGAACTCCTCGACGACTCAAGGCTCGAAAGAACTTTCAAACCAGATTTTGGGGTTCGAGCCAGAGCACATCAGTGAGATGCTAAGTCCACCCAGGGATATGTGTAACCGACGGTTCGAAATCATGTTGGAGAATGTGGTCTTCTTGGGACTTCCAGTGCATGTTTCGAGTAATGGCTCGTGGAGATCAGATAAACGTAACAATCGGGATCAGAGCATTCACAATGGCGATTCGCTCACGAATGACGACCACGGAACGTCTACAGAACAGTCTGCCACGGCCATGAGCATGTTCCATCTAGTTTTTGTCATGAATCCGCCGGAAATAGAACGAAATTACCGTATCGATGAAATGTTCTATTACGTTGTATCTAAGTTGTCATTGGTTCTTCGTTATGAGCAGCTGAAACACGAGTTTGTATGGAACCAGACTAGACTCATCTATAAGTTGAAGGAGGAGTGGAGAAACTCTGTGAGTCAGACGTCTCAGCAGACCATGAACGAGTTCTTGGTGTCCAAATCGTCCCTTTGCAAGATCATGGTGCAATGCTTCGATGCCATTTCCACGTCCCGTATTGCCAATCTAACCATCAACAACAAACCTCGTTCATTTCAGATCCCTATCAAATTGGAGTTCCATTCGCTCCCAGAAATGACCGTGCCCTATATCCCAGGATCCTACTTATCGTCTACGGTTAATCTATTGGGAAATACCGGTTTGGTAAGCATAGGCGAAACCACACGCTACAAATCAAACAGCTTAATGAGTCTTATGCTAGGTGGACTGATCACAGATGATTTAGATCCTAATGAAGATAATGATGACGATCTGGACGACGACGATAAGGCGATCACTGAAGATGTCATCTACTTCTCGTTGTTGTTATTGGACGAGCCTGACTCGATCATTCGAGATATTAAGGCCGACCCCAATTCGGAATTAGCAGCGTTCGTTCGTTTGATTCATCCTTCAGAGTCCTTGCTCAAAATCACCAACAAAATGAAGCTGCAGTCGGGGAAGTCCTCTCTTTCAACGTCGGCAGTGATTCTGTTTGCGCTTCACTTGATATACTGGCGACGTGCTAGGGTTATTTCACCCTTGAATACTCGATCTATCTACATTGTATCTCCAATGGCTCCAATCACGGCCAATTTCTACCGAGACATCCCACAATTCAAAAAGAAGTTCTCAACAGTACCTTCTTTGCCTCTGTTCCTCAAGTTACTTTCCTCCCGGCTGAAGAAACCAAAACAATTCGCCTCCATAATTCCTTCTAGGGACCATAAAGAAATTTACTTAGATGCACTTGCCTGGCTCATGAGATATGGCTATGTTACCCAACTCCACACGTATATCTGGCTCAAGGTATCGAGAAAGGTCAAGATGAAGGTAGAAGAAGATATGGAGAATGAATTGGGGAGAATTAAGAGACACGGAGATTCCTCCTCTCGTTCGGATGTTAAGTTGGAGAGCAAGGTTGTGGATAATAAGGTTGTGGATAATAAAGTTATGGATACTAAGGTTGTGGATAATAAGGTCACTGATGGCAAACCTGCCAAACCAGATAACTCATCTAAATTGATGAAGGGCTCCAATCTGAAATCTCCGCTTGACACTCTCGATGATCAAATTGATAGCATCCGGAAAAACTTGGAGTTTTCCCATCTTGCACCCAATATTGCATTAGAAGATGATGATGATACTATTCTTGTAGACCCAGGTCGTGCCTCCAGCTTGGAAAGAAGATGGATCAATAAAATTGTACATGAGGAGTGCAATTTGACTTCAGAATTGTCAGCTGTGTTCTTTAAGTTGTTGAAGTACATGAACGGTAAAAATTCGTTGGAGATCTTGCTTCTCAAGGAGAACGTATCTCGGACTGAGTTGAGAAAACTACTTGTGGCCATCGAAGCCCACATCATCTCCGTACGTCATTGGTGATATGCAAATTATGTATTATTCAATTAGTATGTTCAGGAAAAATTGTCCTCCTGTGTAGCCTCCAACTCATTACCTTCAATGTCTGCGAAATTGCTGAAGTGAAGAGGGCGATGGAGTTCATGATAAAATGGTAATGGAATGTCCATTTTCAAGTCAAATGCACCGTTCGGATCCCACACAGGGCCAATGAATGAGTAGTTCCAGATGCTATCGTCCGGAACAGTGAAGGATCCCAAGATTCTATCTGACAATATCAACTGTTTCTTCACACTGAACGAAGGACTGAAGCCCGCTGGGGCATTGGAAATCATATCCTTGTTGTTAAACCCCCAAGAGTATGCCTCGTTGGTAAGATTGTATGCTGCGAGAGTAACAGATCCTGGTGTAAATGATACTGTCATATCAATCATGTTCTTGTTCCAAGTGTTTTCATTGTTTTTGAAGAATGTCGACATTGTGGTAACGTCGACAGGGCTAACCATATTCAAGTCGTGACTTTGAGTATGGATCCATCCCAACAATTCCATACCTTTGAGGAAGTCGTTCTCCTTATGGTTGGGTATCTTCGTTGGGAATTGGATCGAATGAGAGTTTCCAAGCTGTGGAACCAATGCAATGCCCTTGATCTCCTTGATTTCATTGTTGTCTTCTGGAGAAGTTCCATATATGAATGCTCCAACTTGAGTGCGGATATCTGAGATCTGAACAAATTTCTTGAGCAAATTCTTGGGCATGATGTATGTGAAACTGTCATCTTCAACGAACTCTTCAGATGAGACATAAATGTTCTTTGTCCGCAAGTGCAAATTGTTGGCAGCGATTGCACGATTTCTCCACTCATTCTTGGAGCTAAATGACAGCTGCTCATAATTGGTGGTAGTAATTGTTGTAATCTCTTCGCCATGTACATTCTGTGTCGTTGTCTTCAACGCAGTTAATTGCTGATTAGCATTAGCTGCGTCTGGGTCATCCTTGGAGGTATTTTCAACATCTGCAATCTGTTGTCTCATTGCTGAAGGTGCTCTAATTTCTTGACCCAAAATTAAATCACGGATCTCCGTTTGAGTCAACGACTGGATGTTCACGTTGTTTTTCTTTGCGTAATCGTTCAAAATCAAATCTCTCAATTGCGTTTCGACATCAATCCATTGTTCATCAGTCAAGGTGGGCCAGATATGATGTGCCTCGGTGATGACACTAGCGTCTGGACGAAGAATCATATTGGTTCTTTCTTGACTGATTCCCAAGGCTCTCAAAATAAGGATCGTTCTGGAGAATGCGGTGTAAGATGAAATTGTTTTGAGCCAGTCGTCATAAAAGTTGAACAATACCATCTGGGGCTCACTGGCTTTCAACACCACATCTGCTAGTTTATCAATCTTCAAGGCAGAAGCAAACGGCAAGTGGAGTTCAGATGCTCTAATAGCGATGTTAGGGAAATCAAGCATGTGAACTTCAAGTGGATCGAGGACACCCTTTCTAGTTGCGATGATTTGCTTTGGTTGTTCTTCTCTTGGAAGTGAGCGAATTAATGCGGCCACTTCTTCAGCAGTTTTCCACTTTGCTAACTGTCCTAAACGTTTTTGGCCAGCCCAAACCAGTGTGTGGATGATTTTCAAGAACAATTGCCCGGTCTTTGGATTCAAAATGAACACTGCACCGTTGATTGGCTTTGTTGTCAAGTTTCCTTCAAAAGTACGGTGAACCGTCACTCTGTACACATTTGTATCATCAATAAAAAGCTGGGTGTCATTGTTAAAGAGCTCGGCATAATTAGAGGAGTTCAAAAGGGCGACCTGAGGTTGAGATTGGTATAATTGCAATCCCTTTCTGATACGCTCTCTGAGCACATATAATGCTGGGTTTGCTTTCATGATTTCCTTCATGGCATTCTGCATCAAAGGCTTAAATCCATTGAACCAATTTCCGTAGACATCATAAACATTATACGCGAGATCAACACCAACCATAGCTCCGGTAGGTGAGGGATAAGCACTTGTGCTGTCAGTTGTATAGTCTAAGAACTTGGCACGGGTGTATCTTGAAATATCATGAGAGTCATAATCACCATATCTCAACTGAACATCAATCCAGTACTTTGTTGCAGTAACACTGTCAAAACTGTCGTTCTTGTCGTGAAGAAGAGAAGGTCTTGAAAGATTCCACTTGTAAGTACTGGTCAAAACAATATCTGCAGAAGATGAGTTCATTTTGTAAGACTTTCTGGGGTGGATTGCCTGTTTGTCAACACTATCAATGTGTAACACTTCTAACTCTTTGTCAAGAACTTGACAAAGGTCCTGAACCAAACTTTCATGAATCTTCTGCCACAAATGTGCCCTGAAAATCTGGATCAATGAAATCTTCAAGGTTGGAATCTTTCCATGAAGGAAAATTCCTGTAAGATCAAGTTGAACTAAGAAACCAACATAAACATTCGCTCTGTTAATAGTGGGAGACCACCACAAGGTGAAACGACGGTTTGGAATCTGACTCAAACCTGATCTTTGCGCATTTGTCAACTTTTTAAACTTCAAAGAGTCCTCAAATCCGGATGCTTTCTCCCAGAATAAACCTTCCCAAGAGTCAAAACCAGTGCCCTTGAACAATGTATGCTCAAGAATTGTCTCAATTCCCCCAAGAGCTTGGATGATATCCGTTCTGTAGGCAGAGAGGTTCCACAACTTTCCATCATGATGGTTACTTGTCCACCAGAATGGGTTGTACCTAGCCAAGCTGTATTGCTTGAACTCTCTTCTTACTCTATGCCCTTTGTCATATGCCAATGTCTGCCTGTCTTTCTGAAACAATGTACTGATTCTTGGAATACCACGATCCCAACTGCTTTCCATATCTTCGAAAGTAAGTCGACGGTTCTGCTCAGCGGCTTCTTGACGCTTGATAGCATATTCAGCCCACACTCTCTGTGAGTCGAGGAACTCATTTTCCCACGTGGTGATGTATCTAAAGATTGTGGGAATCATTCTCTCTTCTTGGTGGCTCATACCAGCTCTGAAATGAGTAATTCCCGTATCAGTTTGTTTTGACCATTTCAAATCGGAGGCTGGGATCAAAATATGCGAAGCACTCAACATTCCCAACCCTCCAAGTTCTTTGGGTGTATAAAACACAGCAGGTGGGAACCTCGATGGCATCTTGGAGTTCAAGCCCATCTTAACTCTATTCTGGATTTTGGTCTCACACTTGACAAGGACATCAAGTAATGATTCTGTAGCAACAACTGCCTCTCTGTAATATGCGAAGAGAGAGATAAGTGCCGTGTTCCATTTCGCTGCAACCTTTGTGAAAGTAGCCGAGCCAGAAGACATCAATATTTGACGGATACGGTTCTGAAACTTGTCCACATCTTCCTGAGATACTTGCAAGAAAGCTTTCGCGGTTCTTTCCTTGGATTTCTGATTAATAAGGTCCCAGACACCTTCCTGGGAGGAAAGGTTCTCGGCAGCTCTGCATTTTGGTAATATTCTTACCTCAAACCCACACATAGAGAACAAGAGATTTGGGTTTTCCGGCGAATAGACGGAAGCGTAAGAATTTTCCCACTCGATAGTAGTGATAGAGCTTGGGATTCTGGTTGATATCTCCCAGAAAACCGCTCTCCCCAAATTTACATCTGGTCTCATCAACTTCATTCGCTGGTCTCTTGGCCAACACTTATGGTTATTGTAGCCCACCACACTCTCGAAGTTTGGATCTGGATTCTCGGTTAAGTAGTCCTGAACCAAGCCATCAGCGTCCTCTTTGTCGAAGCGGAAGAAAATGTGAACTTTATCCATGTATCTACAATACAATCTGATTGGACTTGCTGTTTCAGTCTCCTTGTCCTTAAACTGTAAGAAACTGTTGGGTTGCAAGTTACTTCCGGCGAGTTCCGTAGCACGGTCCAAACCCAAAATCAACAAATCTATAGCCAAACAGTAGTACTGATAGACAAAAGATGAAAATGCATGGCCCCGAATCAATCCATATTGATTGACATGGTTCATATCCTTATAAGATAATGTGACATTGTTCTTCGAAGTGATGTAGTCAGCAATATTTGGATCGACGACTAATCGGAGGAGTCTATTAAGCATAGTGAAGTCAATGTTTTCAGCCACTTTGCTCAAGGATGTTTCGAAGTGAACGTTGGCCTCTCCTCTTGATGTGCTCCATACATTATCCAAATTATTGATACCCTGGCACCATTTGTACACAAGGAGTGGTGGAATCTCGTCATCAGAAGGCTTAACCCAGTTGGGGAAGAGCATACGTTTATCGGCTTCATACCACAAGTATTGGTCAAGGTAAGCGTCAGTAATTTTCTCTAACGGGTCGATGGTGTAAGTTGGTACGAGATGACTGTAGTGGTCCATCATCTCCAATCCAACCTCCTTGAAAATCCTTTGAGTAAGCAAAAACTTTTTGATCCGAGCTAAACATTCATTTGGATTATCATATGCTTGTTCGATCAAAGCTAACTCTTCTCTTTGGGCCGAATTCAATCGTGCATTCGCATTGTAACTTTCTTTCAAGTTTTCCAATGCAAGAACCAATAGCTTCGTGTCGTGTTTATAAGAAATGGGAGGGAAAGGGATAGCATTGAATTTCCTGCTTTCCAACCAATGGACCATCGTTTGAAAAATGATTACGGCTTGATCTGGAGAGACATATGGACCATTGGAAGCAAAGTCATTTTGGCGGTCTTGCTCGTTCTTAACCCACAATCTGGTAAGTCGTCCTAAGTTCTTCTTAACAACAGTCTTCTCAACGGTTGCGCCACGTCTGATTCTTTCACGGTTGTAATGAGCGATGGAGATCCAGCCGTCGGCCTTTGCTTTGATATAGTGCTCGATAATATCCTCAACAGGTTTTGGCATACCGGGCACTTTCCAAGGAATATTCGCTTTCCAGCATCTCCATGCTTCACTCAAATGTTGCAAAATAATAGCTGATTTGTTTTGTTTCAAACCCTCGGGAATCATATCCAAAATATCATGCATGACCTGAGCTCTCAATTCAAGATCATAGTATGAGTCAATTCTTTGTTTGGTGACAGTCTTGGCCACATCATTACTTCGTCTACCTTCAAACTGTCTAGCTAAGAGGTTACCTAGCCATCTCTCAAGCAACGGAATGGTGCCTCTGATGAATGATAGCCACACTCTCCAAGCAGGTTGCCAGAATCCACATCCGGGACCCTTGCCTATATCTTGGTTAAAGTTTGAGTAAACCACATGTTTGAGATCCTTACATGCTCGGATTTGATGCATGACTTTATACTTGTAACGGTAGATTCCTGTGAGCTGGCCCAAGTGATTCATAATGTAATAAAGACCATCAGCTAATTGATAAGCATCCACATTTCCCAATCTGAATTGAACATGTGCATCCACGATGATTTTAACAACTCTCAACAACTCACGGATCAAGTGAAATGCATTACCAAATCGAGACTTTTTTCTTTCCTTTGTTGACAAGGTCTTGGTTGGCTTAAGATTGAAATTGTAGTCAAGATGGAGATATGTGAGACCTCGTTTGTGGAGAAGCAAATTAAGCATATTATGACCCTGTCTGCAAAGTTGAAGTCCAGCCTCCACCCAATCTATGGTTGTTTCCTGAAAATATTTAGTTGATCTCAACGTCTGCAAAAGCTTTGCACGATTCTCGTTTGCCATTTTTGATCCCGACTTCGAACCAGGAGGGTTTTTTAATTCGTTCAATACATGGTTCTTCAATAGTTTCTGATATGAAACACGAACCTTGATTGGCGCATTGGGCGGCGGTCTCTCCTTGTACCATGCTTTAACCAAAGCCACATCTTGTGCACGAATTGTTTTGCCTGAACGCCTGTTGTATGGGTATGGAGCCCACCATAATTGAATTGCATCGTTGGTGTGAGATGGCTCCAAGGGTAAGGGTTCTTCATCAGACGTAGTCATCAAAGGCTCGAAATCCTGGGGAAGTTCTATATCCTCAACTTCAAAATCAATGAGAGCCTCTTCAGATCGCTTGGTCGAGAAATTATGCGGAATGATTGGATTGTATGACAGATGGAAATTGAAAGATCTTCCCTGAGATTTGTTTTCGGTGTCTGTTTCCTGGTCTCTGACGTACGTGTTGATAGAATCATGATACCATGAAACGCTCACATCTTTGACAAATGAGTTGTAGAGGTATGGGTATGCCACTTTATACTCTGTTTTGATAGGAATTCTGAATATAATACGGTCGATCGAGTTAAACTCGGTGAAGTCTTCGTTGTCCCTGTCATTGATCTTGTCTTTGTACAATGGCTCGTACTTGGGTCCACCAGGGACGACCACATTCAAGCTTTTGGCCGTGAAGAAGGCCTCCTTGTTAAACAAGTAGTAATAATTGGCATCAGTTACATGAGGTAACAATGGTTGGGCGAGCCTATACAAGGCGGCCAAGGTGGGGAGATCGAGGTTCCAAGCTCGGTAAGATTCTCCGTTGACCACTGTAGAATCGTCGATGAATGGTTTCTCGTCGTAAAGCCAATCAATCAGACCAAACTGGGAGTTGTTTTCAAGGTCCAACTGGATGGCCTCGGGCGCAGGAAGATCTTCAAGATTTTCCATCCAATCTATTGGAGGTTCCTCGTCGTCGAATGGCGGAAACCTCATGCGCTTGAAGTGTCTTCTATCACGTTTTTCTCTTCTCATCATGGTCCATGCTGTAGCCCATTGAGCAGTGTAAACGGGCTCAATGACACGAGGAACTTCATTGACAAATGTAATGGCACCTGTAGTATGGTAGAGTACCTTCACATCCTTGGCCAGCTCCCACGGCTGGGGAATATTCTCAAGAAGCTTGAGAATAGCATGAGGCATATACTTGAGCGAACCCAAATGGGAACGCTTGTCTGATGCTACTTTCTTCGACGAGAGGTCGCCATGATCAATCATAATCTTTCGGAGATGCTCAGGAGGAAGTTCCGACTTTGTGGGACGAACCAAGCCGCCGTTCTTGGTGGAGGTCAGAGTGACTTCTCTGAAGCGCAACTTCTGTCGCTGGAGCCAGTTTCGTTTTCTGTTTTCAAGTTCTTCTTCATCGAGAGGAGCAGTGGCCTTTGTTTTCATGATTTTACGCGGCGGTTGCTCTCTAGCTGGTGGTGGTGGTGGTGGAGCATGTCTAGCAGAAGGTGGGGGCCTTGGCGATGTGGTTGGCGTTGACCGAATATTGCTGGGAGGCGGAGGAGGCGGAGGCGCTCGTCTAGCAGGCTTCGAGCCATTGGGAGGTGGAGGAGGCGGTAGTTTGGGAGGCATGGTGGAAGAGGATGGGTCTTTGGGATAGTGGAAGATGAGTTTAGATGGCATCGAGATGGTTAGTATTGGTGCACGGGTGTGTAGGCGGTGATTTGGATGGATGGGGTTGCATAGATTCTGTATTGGAAAAGGAGTTTCTGATATGTTCAATGTTTATGATTAAGGATATGATTTCATATGACTTTATTTTCTTTTCTGAAGTTTTGGCATTTTGGTTGTTTTGGTAGTTTTGGCTGATTAGATTCTTTTGACAAGTGGATTTGACGGTGACCAAATCCTTTTATTTTCTTAAAGCCAGAAACTAAAATTATATAAAAGTCTCATAGATTTGCTAAACTCTTCTATTTTTCTGTTGGTTTTTACATTTTTTCTTCTTTTGTTTCTCATAATCAGTTCTATTCTTTCAACATTTGTCAGATCAATTGAAATCTTGCGAATACTCAGCACTACCACATTTCAAATATCATACACCAACAATATTAAACCATTCCCATGAACCCTAACAAAAATTGATACATTAACCACCTATTTAAAAGTCAAAACTTCAAGATATAGAAATCCAAAATATCAATATTCATTACCAAGATATCTATCACCTACCCCAGAAATTTCCCAAATCTTCGATCCTCAACTCGTATCACTCCATACACTATCGCAATCTCCGCACTACACTCTTTCCAATGGCCGACAACCAAGGATTCCTCCACGGCATTGGCGATGTCGTCAGGGTATTCATGGATGCAATAGAAGAGCAGAGCAAGTACGCCGAATCGCAGGATCTCATGTGGGACCGGTTTGGCTCGCTCACCATGTATGCGTGCTCTCTCTATGGAATCTCCACTCTCTTTGTGGCACTTGTGTTGAACAGAACTGCCATAATTGCTTCGACCAGCCACTTCCAGCGTCACAGATCACTGAATCCTGGTCTAATAGGCTTCATGGCCCGCCACGAATGGACAAAATCGGTGTGTCTCACCTTTCTTCGAAGTGCTGTGCTCTCCACCCTCTTTATCAGCATCTACCATGTTTTGGTGGCATTGTCGGTGAAAACCCAATATGGAGATCCGGGAGAATACTCGTGGATCACCCGTCATATCCCATTGGACTACATCCGCTACGATCCGGAGAAGTTTGCTCGGAACAAATACATGGCCATGCCTCAGGATGAAGTGCAATTCGGGCCCACAACCACCATGCTCTGGCCCATCTTCTGGAGTGTCAGTTTCTCTCTATTTGCAGAGACGTTTTGCTCTGCTATTAATGGCGTCAAGCCATTTTTGGAAGGTGGTATCACTCTTTTCGAGCTCTCTCTAGCATTCCAGGAAGTCAGTTCGGGCTTTTTCTTCTTGCGTGAGCACGACATTGCCAAAAGACCCTCGGAGCAGGTTTTGATGGTGTGTCTCTTCCTGCTTGCGGACCATGTGTGTAATCAGATGGGTGCACTATTGTATGGTAACAAGTATCGGTTAATCCCTCTGACCATCTTGAATATCTTCTTTGTTTGGTACTTCGTGGCCACACTCACCAAGTCGACCATGCTGTTCCTCCTTTTCCCATTGAATATCACTTGTACATACCTCTCTTTGGTGCTAGTGTTGTTCATTATTGCCATTTGCGTGGGGATCTTCATATTGGCCATGTTGACTGAGGGCTCCAGGTTCAGGGATCTCAACTACTCCAGCTATTTCTTTGACGCAGAAGATTCGTCGGAGTTCTTCTCTAAGCATTTGAATATTTCGCTCAGCCAGGACTTTTACACTGCGGTTGTTAACGTGGGTCTTTTTGCTATCACCCTGGCAGGAAAGTCCAGTTACATTACTGGCTACAGTGTTGTTCAGGCTCCTGGTGCCAGCTGGTTAGAAGCAGGTGTATGGGAAAAGATTACTGCTGCTTTTGGTGTTCAGACTCTCGAGGAGCGCAACCAACTTGTTCAAAGTGGCCGAGTACTCCAATATTTAAAAGAAAACAGTTTGACTGGCTACGGAAACGTCATCGCCAGCCCTTCGGAACGCTTAATCATGGGCTCCAATAATGCTAAACTGGCTGGCAAGCAAACAAGTGCACTTAAGCTTAAGGCCAAATACTTGAATGAGATTTCCGTTCGGTTTAGTCAGCTCATGTGGTCTCTAGTGTTCAAGTCATTCTTGTGTCACAAGGTGCCGGTAGCATTCCGGAAGTATGTTCTTCGCAAACCGGTAGAAGAAGAGCTGTCGTTGGAGTCTGACGAACAGTTCGAGAGAAGGAAAGCTTCAGCTCCGCCATTTATTCAACATCTTGTGGTGAAACGCGAGGCTCCTGATATTATTGCAGGGTTCAACTTGAATCATTTGACAGAAGACCAGTTGAGTCAACAGTATGCTCAGATTCTCTTGGAGAGAGATCTCGCAGATTCCGATGACTCTCCAGACTTTGAGGTTTTGGAGCTGGAATACGAATCAGAGTCGGACGTGGAGTCCATCTCGCTCGAACAAGGACAAGTCCTTAAGGCCAGTGGCCGGATCCCCATGGCACGAGACATTTCCCATGAATCTCCAATGAGCGAACTCATGACGCCCGATACATTTATAGAACTTGTGGATAATCACGACATTTTGACAGGCCACCTACAATACGAACGTTCTGAGGGAGCCATGACGCGTTCAAGGTACAACGCTATTCGCCATCCAGAGGTTCGTTACCCACAAGACGAATCCGAAGCACTTCTACAGCTTTTACTCACCAAACGGAACCGCCCACCCCCACCAGCCAACGAGGACGAGGACGAGTACCTCGATCCACGTCTCGGTTGTGTGATTTGCCAGGTATGCCCAAGAGAGATCATCACTTGGCCATGTAAGTGTTTTGCAATCTGTGAAAGCTGCCGTCTTAGTTTGGCTGCTAAAGGCATGGAAGGTTGTGTATGTTGTCGGAGAGACGTGGAAGGAGTCTCGAAGGTTTTCCTCCCGTAATAGCACAAGAAATCTTACATCATCCGAGTGAAGTATTCTACATAGGCATTCCTACATTTCAATTTCATTTTGCTACATACCCCCAACCTTCATTTTTTCATTTTTACAGGGTTTGGCACGTTTTTTCGAAAGGATAGGGGCTGCGCACGTGACCCATATGTTTAGATTGAGTTCTCTGCCGAATTCTCTGCCGTAGCGGCCTTTTTTTGTTGGAGATTTTATGCGTATTTTTTTCTATTCCACACCCACAATAGCCCGCGCACATCCGTACATCCGCGAATGCCCTCTCTTGGATCGCCTGTTTAAACCTACTCACCTAAAGTGAAATAAAAATATACACCCCTATGTCAGTCAAGACAGTCACCACATTCACGACTGCCATACCATCCACGGTGGAGTTGCTAGAGGTCAAGCTCGCTGAGACGCTTAATTTCTACCTAAACTACCTTGAGCGAATTCCGGGAGGCCTGATTATTCAAAGATATATTCGTTCTTCTTACAGAGATGACCCCATTCGTTCTGTATTTGAGTTTGCCTTGTTCCTCTTTGCGGTGCACTACTTCTTGTCATCCAAGAAGAAGGAGAACAAGTCAGAATTGGTCAAGTTCTCCAAGAAGGAAATCGATGATTTGGTGGAAGAATGGGAACCTGCTCCATTAGTGGATGAAGTGACCGAGTTAGAACATTGGCGGTTGGCTGAAAATCACGTCAAGGGAAAGAATGGTGCCCATATCGAGCTTGTACAGCACCCAGAATACGGTAAGGTGGTCAATTTGTCGAGTCTTGATTTTCTCAATCTCAACGGAAACAGCGACTTGGACGCGGCCGCCAGACTGACCATTGCATCATCTGGTGTCGGTGCATGTGGTCCGCCAAACTTCTACGGTACTCAGGACGTGCATGTGAGATTGGAAGAGGACTTGGCCCGTTATTTGGGAAGTGAGCAGGCCATTTTGTATGGACAGGACTTTGTTACAGCTGGCTCGGTTATTCCGGCATTCTTGAAAAGAGGTGACTTGGCAGTGGTGGATTCGGGCGTCAGCTTGGCTATCCAGAAGGCTTTGATTGTCAGTCGTTGTGACATTGAGTGGTTTGACCATAATGATATGGAACACTTGGACCAGATCTTGAGTGAGTTGAAGCCTATGTTGAGCAAGCAGAAATTGCGCAGAAGATTTATTGTGACTGAAGCTATGTTTGCCTACAGTGGTGACATTGCTAATTTGCCTGAAATTGTGGAGTTGAAGAACAAGTATAAGTATAGATTGTTCGTGGACGAGACTTTGTCGATTGGTACCTTAGGTAAGAGCGGAAGAGGTATCACCGAGCATTTTGGAATCTCCAGAGATGAGATTTCCATTACCATTGGAAGTTTGGCAAATGCTTTCGCGTCTTCTGGAGGTTTCTGTGTGGGTGTCAGACCCATGGTTCACCACCAGAGAATCAATTCCATTGCTTATGTGTTCAGTGCTGCTTTACCTCCATACTCTGCCAAGGTTGTCTCTGAGACCATAAAGTTGATCACTGAATCTGAGAACTCCGACGGACAATCTGCCATTATCTCTGCTTTGCAAGAAAAGGTGAAATACACTTATGAGAAATTGACCAAGAAGTTTACCCATTCTAAGTACTTGACGGTTAAATCGTGCCTGGACTCGCCCATCATTCATTTGGGCTTCACTGACGCGTTCAGAGAGAAGTTGGACTTGCCTCCTATGTATGGTAACTCCACCTTCCTCACCAAAGGACGTCCAGAACGCAAATTGAACAAGTTCAGCCACCACTACAACGTGGAGTGCTACATCATGCAGAAGATTATCAACACGCTTCTCGTACAACAGCATACATTAATCAACAGAACCCGTATCGTTTACGAGCAAGAGAACTTACCAGTGGAGAGCCCCAGATTGTTAATTCACATCAACAGTGGAGTTTCTCATGAGGAGTTGAACGCGGTAATTTCCGCATTGCCAACCGTGGTCAACGAAGTATGCTCCAGGCTCAAAGGACCTGCCGATCTCTTTACAATAGAAAATGAGTTGATGACGCTCTGAGTGCCTGGACTCCGCTACCCAGAGTACCGCCTCTTGTTACTTATATGCGCTATTTAATTTCCCTTAATTCACAATCATTCATCCGTTCACTTTGCCATGCGGCTTCGGGCTTCCTTGGCAATAGACCTGGCTTCTCCCACGTCGTGTGCATTATTGAGGCTGAACTCTTTGGCTAATTCATAGGCTTCCTCGTAGCGACGATTCTCTAGGGCATTCCTGGCGAGCCACAACCTTGCCTTGGATGTTTCGTCGGTGATTCCCCAGTCGAACTCTTGCTCAAAACAAATACGCATGTACCGGTATGTCTCTTTTGACCGTCCTAACTTCTCTGAAATCGTGGCCAATTTGTAACATATATGGGGCTCCACACTTAAATATTCGTCTGATTGGTCTTCCGAGGCTCGACTGAGCCCATCAATTGCAAATGCTTTTTCAAAAGATCGGAGTGCCTCTTCTAATTTATCGATTTTCTCATAGCAGTTTCCAATCGCCTGCCACATACGTTTATCCGTAGGCTGCAAGTTCGTAGCACGCTGATAGTAATACAAAGCGTAGAGATGCATGTCGAGCACCTCATATGTTTGACCCAATCCATACCACGCTCTGAAGTCCTTGGCGTTGATATCCACTGCCCTTCTGTAAGATTCGATGGCTGCATGGGAGTTTTTGAGTTCCACAAACTCGTGGCCCATCAAAGTCCATGCACTAAGACAGTTTTTGTTAAGCGTGAGTGCTCTTTTATAATACATGATGGACTTGTCATGTTCACCTTTCATGGAATGGTAATTTGCGATAATGCAACATGTTTCTGACCGAAACTTATCAATCTGAGAAGCAAATTGTGCAAGAAATGAGAGCTTGGACTTCTTTTCCATAACATAGAGCATGTTTGAGTATGTGTCGAGGTCATCAAGACGCATGGGATCGGTCATAAGGATTTCATCAAAAATGGACTCGGCCTGAAAGTAGTCGAGGCCGTGGTATGCTGCGAGGAACTTCTGGACCTTCAAAAACGTGAATGTAGGGAACATTTCGAGCAGCGCCGCTAGCTTTTCTGTAAATTGTGGCAGTCGTTGGTAGAACTCCTGAAGCATGACGATTTCAAAGAACAGAAACATGAAGTTGTTTGCCAATTGCGGGCGTGTGGTGCGGAGTTGATCGACAAAGATCATAGCCTCATCAAATCCAGTGAATGTCGAGAGCAATTCTTGCCAGCAACTCCAATTGTAGGGGAAAATCAGAAGTGATAGAAGTAAGCTCGCTTGTGCCAATTTAAATTTCTTCTTTTTCGCATAGATCATTCCCACCAAGTAATGAAGAAACCCATTAGGTTTAGATCCATTGGCATGATACTGTTCAGCCTCAGAAACGACTTTTCCCAACTTGTCATCGAGTTCACCTTCAACATCGACTCCGTTTTCAGCTCCGTTGCCTACGCTTTCCTTTGAGACATTCACAAAGCCGCTTTTCTCGCCAGACGTTTTCTTATCTATGCTCAAGTACACAGCATACAACCTTAGGAACACTGCATTCCCGCTTCGAGCATCCTTGAGCGTATACGCGGCACGGTCAAATTCTTTACAACTGAAGTAAGTCTTCGCTAGCATGAAACTAAACTGGTCGTGCTTCTCGTCGTCATCTAGTTGTGGATTTGGATAGTCAAATGGGTCTGAGATAGGAGCGAGGCCATTCAAGGCCTCTGCGCACCATTTGGCAGCATAAACCAAATTGACATTGGAGAGTGCAACAGACGCTTCGTATAATCGAAGTCGTAATTCCTTCACGTCTGTCATACGATGTTCTTTCTGTATTGGTTATAGGGTAGGTTTTGTTGATGTAGCCAAACTTACACCCGTACACCAAACAGATAGATGGTTTCCAAAACCTATTGATCTAACTAACTTTCAATTTGAAAAAGGTTGCCATGGTGAACGCCGACATCACATTTTTGCAGAATAGTGCCGATAAGGCTCGGAAATCACTAGCGAGCGTTGAGGAATTGGTGGCAGCAACTAAAAAAGTCGTGGAAAATGGGCTGGTAGATTCGACTAACATCAAGCAGCTTCAGAAGGAAGTGCTTTTGGACTCGTTTGCCGTGAAAAAATTCCATCGGGACTACAAGGAGTGGGAAAACAGCACTCGCAATAAGTTTGTTGATGGCCAGATCAAGGCATACAACAAGAAATACGCCCAAATCTCCAGGCTTCATGGTCAAAGTTCAAGCTTGGAAGATACGCTTCGAGAACTTCAAACTACCATCAAACTCCCGAAGTTTGAGTTTTCTATACAGACATTGGAGCAATATGAAGGCGGTAGGCTACTTGAACATGTGGAAAAAGACGCCAATGGCGAGTACCCTCGACGTGTCAGCAGTGAGCAGGTGTTTTCTCTAGATCCCAACTCCCCACTTCCCCATCCATCGTACCGGGAATTTAACGAGTTAGTGAACATCGAGTACAGGTTAAGGATTCAGTTACAGATAAAGTACGAGGTTTTGCTTCGAATTAAGGCCAGCTTGGCCGCTAAGAATTCTCAATGGGCAACCAGAGATTCTACCTTGAATAAATTCATCACACAAGACTTACCTAAGGTGATTCTGGAGGTGAAAAAAAATCAAGACGAGTGAGTATGAGGATTTGAAGTATTACGAGGAGGATTACGACATGGAAGAGCAAGGAAGTGACGCCGAGGAGAAGGAGGAAAAGGAAACTGATGAAATTGACAATGACGAGGGTGAAAAGAATGAAGGTGAAGAAGAAAATGAGCCTAACGAGCGCGAGGAAACTGTTTATAAACGCAATGAAGAAATCCGCCATGAGGAGAGTGCTGGGGAGGGGGAAAACATTCGAGAAGGAGAAGAGATCGAGGACAATGAGGCAGATAAGGTTCCAGACAATCATGAAGGACAAGAAGTTGAAGGAAATCTCCGAAACGAAGAAGAACTCGATCAAGTTATAAATGATGATAATGCCCGAACTGAGGAGTCCACCCCAATCCCTACATCTGCAGAAGACATGATTCTCGATTAAACTACACCTAATATATCCGTTTATCCTATTAATACATGCTAAGACTCGACCTTGGCAGCAGCAGGCGAAGCAGTCGCTTCGTCTCCCTTAAAGATATAGTTGAACACCTGTGCTGGCGAATCACCAGCATTTCTTCTGTAGTTGACTATCCGGATTAGCTGGTAGCCGGCAACACCGCCAAGGAAGAAGTTGACACTGGCCAACAAGTAATTCTTGGGTCTAATGACGAATCCTGCCCATCTAGTCCAGATGGCTCCCGTACAAAACAATGCCAACTGCTGGGTTCCACTAAGCTTCTCCACTGGTCTTTGGATATCACTCAAACCAGCAATCACCAAACTCCACTTGAACACAGGCGCCCAGAAGTGGACAGTTCTTGGGCCGGTTTCTGAATTGAGAAAACGTTGGAACTTCGAGGCGTGCTGTGCAGAGGCGGCCATTTTCTTCTTGTAAGTAGTAACTTTGCTTCGGAGGTCTTGCTTCCATTTTTTGGGGCTGCTAGACACAGGAAAGGTGGGGGCCACATCCTGTGTCTAGTCAATAATGACAATCGATTCACTCTTAATCTGGGAAGAAGTTAAGTCATTGGGGAAAGGAAAACGGGGATAGATACTTGTCAAATTAGTCAGTGAAAATTGGTGGACAGAATTCAATAATTGACTCTTGAGAATTAGAATTTTGTTGTTCGATCGTCGCATGTGATCAACTTGAACAACTTCATATGTTAGTCATCCATGTATGATTTCCGCACCGAATTCTGGTTAGTGATTTCCACCCATTATCTGGATGCGCATACATTATTCTCTTAGAAGGATTGGCCAATGATTGTGTTCAGTATAGAAATCATTCGGAATACACCATTAGAGTGAATGCCAGGAAGTTAAGATTCCAATAATACTGCTTTTCCAAAATGAATGCAAATATTGGATAAAATTTTGGTGTAATTCTTTCACTCCAATTCTTATCAAATGTAAGAACCTTGCTTGCACAAGTTGTAGAATATCAGCTTGGGGTCCTTCAACAAATTCTCTGGAGTATCAAACTCCCTAACTCTACCCTCCTCTAACGCGAGAATCCGATCACAGTCCATCACGGTATCAAGTCGGTGTGCAATTGTGATAATGGTCTTTTGCTTAAACTCCTGGCGAATCGTGGACTGAATAATCTTGTCTGTCTGGATGTCCACGGCAGCAGTGGCTTCATCAAGCATAAGTACTTGCGAAGGGTTTAGAAGTGCACGGCTTAAACACATGAGTTGACGTTGCCCCGCAGAGAAATTGGATCCTCCCTCATTCACCTTACTATCGAGACCTTGGCCCCCATGGAGAGTTTCCACGGTGTGCTTAAGGTTCAGATGATCCAAAACCTGCCAGAGCCGTTCATCACTGTACTCATCAAACGGATCCAAATTTTGTCTGATAGTGCCCTCGAAAAGGTGTGAATCTTGTGGGATAATACTCAAATTGTGACGCAAGTCAAAAAGACGAAGCTTGGTCACGTCTATATCGTCAATCTGAATGCTGCCCAGGGTAGGTGGAATCATGCGGAATATTGCAAGGACCAACGAGCTTTTACCTGCTCCGGTCCTTCCCACTACTCCCACTTTCTCCCCTGCCTTCACACTGATGGTGATGTTCTTAAGAACTGGATCCAAATTCTTTGCGTATTGCGTAGAATAGTTCTCCAACTCGATTCTTCCGTGAGCTGGCCACTCTTTAGGTGGTGTGATATAATCGTACTCTTCAGTCTCCTCTGTTGGGAGATTACAGTACTCAAAACATCTTTCAACAGAAACAATATTGGCCTCCACCTCAGCAGACATTCTCACCATGGTCTTCAAGGAATCCGTGATTTGCAATGCATAACTCATAGCAAAACCCGCCATTCCAGCACTCACAGGCGACGCCGTCGTAGACTTGTAGATCAACAACGATGATGATGTCCAGATGATAATTGACCCAATGAATTGGAGCCTCACGGAAAGCCATCTGTTAATTGATCTTAACATATACAAGCTTCGGAGGTTGAAGTCAACATTGGCATTGTTCATGTAGATGAATCTATCATTTTGCCGATAAGACGTGATGGTCTCCACTCCAGTCAAACTCTCTTGCAAATGGGCAAAGATAGGTGACCTAGAAATAGATACCATTCTCTTCAACTCTCGCTGCACACAAATATAGTACTTTTGGTAGTAGCCGTAAACAAATAGCAAGAATAAAACCACAACAAGAAACATTGGAATGGCCATGCCAACCACAGCAAATGTCATTACTGTTTTAAGAATAGTACCCATAAACATGTTGAATGAGCGAGGAAGTGCATCGTCAACCTTGTTGATATCATTGCTGAATCTGTTCATGATTCTACCCACGGGAGTTCTTTCAAAAAAGTTCATAGGTGCCTTCATGATTCTTCTGGCCATTCTTTCGTGCACAATACGACCACCTCTGATTCCCAAAAATATCCAGAAAAGGATACCTTTGAGAGCATTGAGCACACTGGTGCTGAAACCAAGAAGCGCAAACACGCTGATGTACCGAATAGCTTCACTATTATCGCCAATTTCAGCATTTTTCTCTGCCCATTTTTTGAGCCAGTAGTTATTCAAGATCGAAGCTAATGTTGCAATCACATTTAATATCACCCATGCAATTACTCCCGTAATTGAGCATGCCCTGACATACTCCAAATAAACTTCCCATTTGACCTTTCCCTTTGCAGAAACTTCAACAGTAGGACCTGTTCGATTATTTGAGAGATTCTTCCGGAATGGATCCCAATCAAATGTCGCAAGACTTGCCCTCCTGAAAGCCTCAACAGGAACTGTAATAATACTCGGGTCCGGTGTAATATTCAGGTCTGACAAGTAATCTGGAGCCGGAGACTTTGATGCGTCTCTAACCTGTGATTGTCCAGATTCATCTAGCAACTCATTGAGTTTTGGATGTAATTTGCTTGCACAAATGTCCCAATATGACCCTTCTTCAACTATAGCTCCCTTCTCGAATAAGTATATTTTGTCGGCCTTTTCGAGAACCAATATATTATTGGTTGCCAATACGATTGTCTTGGAAGCAAGAAGTCCGGTTTTGCTCAAAACATTGGCAATGATATTTTTCCCAACGTGGCTGTCAACTGCACTCAAGACATCATCTAACAAGTATACGTCTGCACGGGCATAAACAGCTCTGGCCAATGCCAAACGTGCCTTTTGGCCACCTGAGAGGGAAATGCCTTTTTCGCCAACTTGGGTAGCATCTCCATCTGGTAAAATTTTCAAGTCCGGCAAAAGCTGACAAGCTTCAATTGTGCGATTGTAGAATTCTTCCTCAAACTTATAGCCAAAAGTAATGTTTTCTCGGACAGAAGCATTCATAATCCATGGATTCTGCGAGCAATAAGCAACCGTGCCGTGGATCTGAATGGGGGAAGGCTTGGAAGATGGAAATTTTGAATCGAGGGCGTCGAGTTGTCCATTGATGGAAGAAAGAAGCGAAGACTTTCCTGAACCAACCTTTCCCACCACACAAATAAAGTCACCCTTATTGGCAACTATATTGACATTCTTGAGTGCACAGTGAAATGCTGTAAAGTCCATGTCTTCTGTGACTTCCGGCACATGTGGGTGGTCCCAGAAGAAGGAAATATTGTGAAGACGAAGTGCCTCGGTGTCGTCAGAAGATTTGATCTGCACCAAATCCGAGTCTGTCTCTGAAGCCAACAAAAATGAAGCAATTCTGTCAAGGGCTACTGATGCCTCGGTGATGTAATTGATCACAAATGGCAACTGTAAAATAGGTCTGGAAAGAATGTTCAATAATGCAAGTGCTGGGAACACAATATCCGAAGTCAAAGGAGTCTTCAGGAAATAGGCAAATGAAGAAAAAGTAGCAAAGGAAACAAGAAAAGGTAAAGTCACCCAGATTAAGTTGCCGATCTGGTTGATCCCTCTGATTTTGCGCAAATTCTTGAGTTCTTTATTGTTTCTAGCATCAAGCAACCGATTCAACATAGGAGTCTCCCAAGCATATAGTTTGATTGATTTCATGGAAACTAGAATCTCATTGGTAATTCTATTTCTGTTATCCTTTAACTTCATCTGGACCTTATTAAGACGCTTCAGAAATCTCACAATGATCGTATTGATAGGCATTATTATAATGATGGCTGCAACACCCGCAAAAGCTGCTTTTCCTAGAATTTGATACAAGGAAAAGATGCAAAGTGCCAATTCGGTAGGAGCAATGATGACCGTGCTAATTTCCTGTGCACATGTCTGAATTCTAGGAGCATCAATGGAGATGAGATTGACAATATCACCAGTGGATCTCTGAGATCTTGAGTGAGAAGAAAGCTTAAGACTTTTCTGGAAAATGAGCGATGTCAATGACGACCGGCATCCCAAGCCTACTTTCAATACTCTCAACACGTACTGGTTGTTCAAAGCAGTTTGAAGAATAGTGACACCAAACATGGAGAAACTGATTAAAATACCCTTGAGAACAGGCACATTTTTGTCATTAAGTCTATCTCCAATGAAAATAATAAGTAGACGCAACAATTGAGGCTGGACAAAACTAAGAAGCGAGTCACTGGCTTCGTATAAGAATGATACTAGCGCCAAGGGCCCAAAAGCCCTGATGAGAGAGATGACAAGACGCCTTTTCGTCTTCTTCTTGTTTGGATCATCCCAGTATTTCTGGAGCGTTTTGGTGAACTTTTCTGTTGCCAAATGAGATGGAGCCGGAGGCAAATCGTCCGCGACCAACGTCTGGTTCCGATATGAGTTAGTGATTAGTGTGTTCATCCATGTGAATGTAAACTTTGCAATAAAATTGGGTTTGGTAAGCAAAGGTTTGAGAGTTTCCGACTTAGAATATTCCAAAACTAGCAGATGCGTAGGCTTCCACAATCTGGAGGAATTCTCAAATACGAAAATTGCACAAGATGCCAAAACAGCACACAATTCTAGCAATGGAGCCAGCGGTGAGAGAATCACGGGCCATCTGGTATAGTGATCTTGAACTAGAATGGCAAGTTCTAATATTGTCAAAATTGGCCAGAAACAGAGCAAAACTCCCAGAGCCACCGGCGAAGTGGCAGTTTCAATGAAATGCAATGGAGCTATTATCACAAAACTCACAATTGTTAAGGTACAAAACGGAATGAACTTATGGTCTGCGTATCGTTCGTATATGCTGAGTGAAGCAATCAATGCTACCAACATCAAATTGTGCAATATTACCAAAGTGCACCGTAGATAATGAGCCAAACCGGTATTTTTCGGCGAAAGTGGACCATAAAGTGGTTTCTTTCTGTAACTTGCTAATTGTATAAGTCCCACCGCAGCCATAGATGCTGAAAATACAAAGACAACATTGGTCAAGAAACATGGATTGAAGGCATTTTCCGAGGATGGTGCAAGAGGGTGCCATAAGGCTCTTGGACCACATGTTAGCGGCGGTCTCGGGTAAACCATGTTGCTTGGGAAGATTCAATGGCGTTGAATGTGTCAAATTGAAGGTGATGCATACCCGTGACCTTTGGTCACGTGTGATAATAGGGAGCTCAAGAAGGTAAGACGTTTTAGGGAAAAGAGAGGTTTCATGGGAAAAAGGAAGCTTTTCAGAGGTAAGGCTATCAAATGGATTTATGTGGTTGAAATAATAGTATTACATCGCTTGGTTTTATAAGTGGTGTATTGAGCTGTAGGTGAAGTATTGGTAGATATTATGATACCAACAAAGAAGAGACATGTATGTAGAGGTATGGGTAATTGAAGTGTTACCTAGGTGTTAGTGTAGTGTAAATACTATTGAGTTTGAAGTTCACCTTAAACTTTAAATTTTTTATGCTGAATTTGAGAATGTGGAGCCATTCCCATATCTGTAAAATAGTTAGTATTAGTGCGATTTTTGGAATCATATGGGAAATACCATGAAGTGATGATGCGAACACCATGTAATCGGCGACAATATCGTCCTTAAATCTTGGGTAGAATTGCAGACGATCAGTTCAAGTGAAAGGATCAAGAATCCAAAACTAAAGGCATCAATTTCAAGACATAAAGAGCTGGCAGTTGAACAGATCTTCCAGTGGTCAAGAGCATGACTAGTCCATGAACCAAGGTACTGATTACCAGCATCTTTTCCAAGTTAAGCAGTAGATCCAGCAATTATAACAAATCCTATAAATCACAAATCACAAATCACAAATCACAAAGACTACATTTAAAAATAACATCATGGGATTCTTTTCCAAACTTATCCCTACAACTACAATACTATTCGCAACCAAATACCACGCAATATTACCACCCACCAATAATAACCACCATAGAATATTTTCCACTCATTATCCATGGAAGAAATACCCAGGATGTAGGAATTCCTATTCTTATACTTAGTATATTAACTTACATAAAATGTCGGGCTTTAACTTCCGACAGCCATCCCAATCAATCCATCTGAAAACCCTGACCAAATTGACCCATTTAGGTCCCTCCAATCCAACCCATCCCACATCAACTGATCTGAGACCCCCTCCTCCATAAATCCGAATACACTCCTTCCACATGGGCTAACGGATGCAATCCGCATCCATACATCTTGGATCATGGTGGAAAATCATTCAACCTTTACTTTGGTCCTCTGTGATTGGTTCCCAGAATCTGGGGAAACTGATGGCATGGAATCCCTGTCCTGCAGGAACATGAAAAACCTCTTCAAATAAAAACAAACAGCCCAAAACAGAGAAAATCTTCAACCGAATAATTTGGGCTCCAAAGCATGGTAAGCGACTAGATCCCACAAATCAGTTTTTGCCCATTGAAACAACGCAACAGGCGCAATGGCGGAATGAAGTCTCGGAGAAAAAACTCGGGGTTCTGTTTGTCCCGAGGCTTCACGTGCCGGAGAAAAACCGGTGGTCGGCCCCGAGAGCGCTCAGCCAATGGTGCGCGAGGAATTCGCGGTGCCGGAGTTGGACTTTTGGAGCATTCTTCCATTTTCGAGGGTATTTCCGAGGGTAGTTGCCGGGTAGCGACCTGGAGGTATCGGTACAGAAAGATTAAAAAAAGGATATATTTGAATTCGAATTTTACAGTTCTGAAAATAAATTTGAAATCTTAACATTATTCTCATTACAATCTATTTTTCAAAATCTCAAAATTCCTAATAATACCTCCTTTTCATCTATCCCTCTTCATTTCCCCAGTCTATCCACTTTCTTGCATATAAGCCATTATTTCCCCCGGTTCTGCCCTTACAAATTTCCTCGCTTTAATTGGCTGTAAATCAACGAGTCCCTCCATCTTCAAGGAGTATATATATCTCCAAAATCTCGCGCAGTTCGTCCACTTCTTTCTCCTTTTTTTTCTTCTCTCCACCAGAATGCTTTCTGCCTCCAGAAGATCTATGGCTAAGGTGCCACGCTCCGTTCGTGGGCTCGCTACCGCCGGCCTTACCAGAGACTCGAAGGTCCACCAAAACTTGTTGGAGGACTACTCTTATATTCAATACAAGAAGCACTTGGAGAACGTCAACATCGTCAAGGAAAGATTGAACAGACCATTGACTTACGCCGAGAAGTTGTTGTACGGTCACTTGGACGACCCTCACGGACAAGACATTGAGAGAGGTGTCTCTTACTTGAAGTTGAGACCTGACAGAGTTGCTTGTCAGGATGCCACCGCTCAGATGGCTATCTTGCAGTTCATGTCTGCTGGTATGCCTCAGGTTGCTACCCCATCCACCGTTCACTGTGACCACTTGATTCAGGCCCAGGTTGGTGGTGCTAAGGATTTGGCTAGAGCCATTGACTTGAACAAGGAGGTTTACGACTTCTTGGCCTCCGCATGTGCCAAGTACAACTTGGGTTTCTGGAAGCCAGGTTCCGGTATCATTCACCAGATTGTGTTGGAGAACTACGCCTTCCCAGGTGCTTTGTTGATTGGTACTGACTCCCACACTCCAAACGCTGGTGGTTTGGGTCAGTTGGCTATTGGTGTCGGTGGTGCTGATGCCGTCGATGTCATGGCCGGTTTGCCATGGGAGTTGAAGGCTCCAAAGATTATCGGTGTTAAGTTGACCGGTAAGATGTCTGGTTGGACCTCTCCAAAGGATATCATCTTGAAGTTGGCTGGTATTACTACCGTCAAGGGTGGTACCGGTGCCATTGTCGAATACTTCGGTGACGGTGTTGACACCTTCTCTTGTACCGGTATGGGTACTATCTGTAACATGGGTGCCGAGATTGGTGCCACCACCTCTGTGTTCCCATTCAACCCATCCATGGTTGAGTACTTGAACGCTACCGGCAGAAGCGATATCGGTAAGTTCGCTGAGTTGTACCAGAAGGACTTCTTGTCTGCTGACGAGGGCTGTGAGTACGACCAGATTATCGAGATTGACTTGAACACTTTGGAGCCTCACATTAACGGTCCATTCACCCCAGATTTGGCTACCCCAGTCTCCAAGATGAAGGAGACCGCCATTGCCAACGGCTGGCCATTGGAGGTCAAGGTCGGTTTGATCGGTTCTTGTACCAACTCCTCTTACGAGGACATGTCTCGTGCTGCTTCCATCATCACCGACGCTGGTGAGCACGGATTGAAGGCCAAGTCCATCTACACTGTCTCTCCAGGTTCCGAGCAGGTTAGAGCCACCATTGCCAGAGACGGCCAGTTGAAGACCTTCGAGGACTTCGGTGGTGTCGTTATGGCTAACGCCTGTGGTCCATGTATCGGTCAATGGGACAGACGTGACATCAAGAAGGGTGACAAGAACACCATTGTCTCTTCTTTCAACAGAAACTTCACCTCCAGAAACGACGGTAACCCAGCTACCCACGCTTTCGTTGCTTCTCCAGAGATGACCACTGCTTATGCCATTGCCGGTGACTTGGGTTTCAACCCAATTACTGACACCTTGAAGGACGCTAACGGAAAGGAGTTCAAGTTGAAGGAGCCAACTGGTGTTGGTTTGCCACCAAACGGTTACGACCCAGGTGAAAACACTTACCAGGCTCCACCTGCCGACAGAGCCTCTGTTGAGGTTGTCATTTCCCCAACCTCCGACAGATTGCAGAAGTTGACTCCTTTCAAGCCATGGGACGGTAAGGACGCCGAGGGTTTGCCAATCTTGATCAAGGCTGTTGGTAAGACCACCACTGACCATATCTCTATGGCCGGTCCATGGTTGAAGTACCGTGGACACTTGCAGAACATTTCTAACAACTACATGATTGGTGCTATCAACGCTGAGAACGGTGAGGCTAACAACGTCAAGAACCTCTACACTGGTGAGTACAACGGTGTCCCAGACACTGCTGCTGCCTACAGAGACGCTGGCCACAGATGGGTTGTCATTGGTGATGAGAACTTCGGTGAGGGTTCTTCCAGAGAGCACGCTGCTTTGGAGCCAAGATTCTTGGGTGGTTTCGCTATCATTACCAAGTCTTTCGCTCGTATTCACGAGACCAACTTGAAGAAGCAGGGTTTGTTGCCATTGAACTTTGTCAACGTCGCTGACTACGACAAGATCAACCCAGAGGACACCGTTGACCTTCTCGGTTTGACCACTCTTGCCCCAGGTAAGAACGTCACCTTGAGAGTCCACCCTAAGGATGGCTCTCCAGCTTGGGATGCTGAGTTGTCCCACACTTACAACTCTGAGCAGATCGAGTGGTTCAAGTACGGTTCTGCTTTGAACAAGATGGCCAGCGCTTAAGCTGACATATAACGTAGTCTTTAACGCCTATAATTTATTGCTTATTCATTGATACAATGTGTAGATCATTAGGAACAACCGGAGTTTACTGGTAAAGCTAGGAGTGGATTTAGTAGCCTTCCAGCTGACAAAAAGGAGAAAAAAAAATGTAGCCCGACGCGGGGGTCGAACCCGCAACCTTGTGATTAAAAGTCACACGCTCTAGCCATTGAGCTAGCCAGGCAAACTTAATCGAAATTGTCCTTTTTGGAATATGATCGAAAAGCAAATATTCTATGTGGCAAAAAAAGGGAGAATTCTGAGTTAAAGCTTACTTGTCGGTTGTTGCATCTGGACATATTATTTTCTGGAAGTGGCAACTTGCGTAGCCGAATGGTGAGAGCTTTGGCGATGATAGCAGCATTTCAGCAACCTTAGTTTATCTACTCTCAACGGGACTATGACCATGCTTCTCAGCCTGGTCCCTGATATAGTACCCAATACACAAATGTTTTAAAAAAAAAAGAATTATTGATTCTAATTGAGGTATCAACATTCCACAGCACTCTAGGAGGAATTGACATTAGTCTTGACAGCAATAGAGATCCTCTACTGTCTTCGGGTATTTGTATTCAGGTTCCTGAATATGTGATGCAATCTTGTGATACAGAGCCAACAAGGTTTCAAGAAAAAGAGTCAGCGCTTACAACAGCAGGTATCAATATGCTGATGACAGTTCGAGATCAGTTAGAATTGTCAGATAAACGTACACCAGGAGTGATAATTTTACGTAAGTTGATGATAAAAGTATACAACAGCCCATAATACTCGTCTTGCTCTCACCTAACCTTAACTCATAACTTACTTTCCGTATCCTCGCAGACAATGGACAAGCCAGACCAACGATGATAACTCAAATCTTCCCAATTTCCACTTCCGCATAATCTCGGTATTATTTTCGAGCATATCAATGACGACTGTGGAGGTTAAGGACAATGAAGTCAATAGAAACACATAAATAATATCCATTAATCACAGAATAAGAGTTTTGCAACTAGAGAGAAAACGTTACTTCTATCTTCACAGGAATCCTGCCCGCATCGGAAAACACCCACCAGTTTTCCGAAACGACATGTCCTAAAGTGACAGGCCAAGCTAAGCCGGTAACTCAAATATCATATGAAATTACAACATCATTGGTTGTTCAAGTGTGACATCTTAGACATTTTGACCTTTCTTTGTTATGTAAAACAGTTGTTCAACTTCGTAATCTGAGCCACAATTTACGCTATTCTCTGCAGGTGGGATCCATAACTACAAGTGGATTCTTTTGATAATTTTCAAGTCAGGTCAAATTTTCATTTATTCTTCATGACTCAATTGAAAAAACCAAACTTCATTGTCATTGTAGCCGACGATTTGGGTTTCACTGATACTTCTCCATTTGGTGGAGAAATCGACACTCCCAATTTAGACAGGTTAGCTAAGAATGGACTCAGATTCACTGATTTTCATACGGCTTCTGCATGTTCTCCGACAAGATCGATGCTTCTCTCAGGAACAGACAACCACATTGCCGGGTTGGGGCAGATGGCGGAATTTGCAAGAAGAATTCCAGAAAGATTTGCTGGAAAACCAGGTTACGAAGGCTACTTGAACTTCAGAGTGGCTGCACTTCCTGAAATTTTACAGGATGCTGGTTATTACAATTTTCTTAGTGGAAAGTGGCATTTGGGATTCACCGAAGAGTACTGGCCATCTAAGAGAGGCTTTGAGAAGACCTTTACTTTGTTGCCTGGAGCTGGTAACCACTATAAGTACTTTCCTCTTGATGAAAAGACAGGAGACACCATTCAGTTTATGAAGCCACTCTTCGAGGAAAATGGCAAATCCTTGAATCCTTTTGACTTGCCTGACGATTACTATAGCACCAATTACTTTACCAACAAGTTCCTCGAGTACTTGCAAGATGATTCGCGTGATGGAAGACCATTCTTTGGTTTCTTGACGTACACCGCTCCACATTGGCCCTTCCAGGCACATGAAGAAGTTATAGCCAAGTACAAGGGCAAATATGACAACGGACCAGCCAAGTTGAGACAGCAGAGATTGGCTAATGCAGTTAAGAAAGGACTTATCCCAGATGGAGTGACTCCTCACAAGGTGGAGACGCAGAGAGAGAAGATCTGGGCAGATTTGACAGAAGAGGAAAAGAGAATCGAAGCGAGGATCATGGAAATTTATGCAGCTATGGTGGACATTTTGGATCAGAATATTGGACGAGTGCTTGACCAATTGGAAAAGGATAACGAGTTGGAAAACACCTTTATTCTTTTCATGTCTGATAATGGTGCCGAGGGCATGATGATGGAAGCATTGCCACTCACCAATGAAAATTTCGAAACAAATATCGAAAAGTACTATGATAACACATTCTCTAATATTGGAAAAGCAAACAGTTTTGTGTGGTATTCCGACCAATGGGCTCAGGCTGCTACCGCTCCAGCATACATGTACAAGATGTGGGCAAGTGAAGGAGGTATCCGATGTCCTCTTATTGTCCATTATCCACAGTTGATCAAAGATAGAGGTTCCGTCAGACACGGCTTCAACACCGTTATGGATATCTTGCCTACTATTCTTGATGTTGCAGGAGTGGCACATCCTGGTGAGAACTTTAGAGACAGAAAGGTTGTTTTACCAAGAGGTAAGTCGTGGAAGAAGTATTTGGCGGGAGATGCCGAATACGTTCACGATGAGGAAACCGTGACAGGATGGGAGCTTTTCGCCCAGCAGGCGATCCGTAAAGGAAAGTACAAGGCACTTTACATTCCTAAGCCTATGGGACCAGACAAGTGGCAGCTTTTCAACCTTGAGAAAGATCCTGGTGAGACAACAGATATTTCAGTGGAGGATCCGGACAGATTAAAGCAGATGGTGGATTACTGGGCCGAATACGTAGCAGAAACGGGACTTGTCGAGTGTGCTGATGTGTTTTACAAGCATATGGATGCAGAGTACAATCCTATTGTGATTGAGGATTAAAATATAGAGCGAATGGACGATAGTTGAAACCTGGAACATCTAGAGGGTCTCATTCAAGAAACGAGTCAAACGCGCCATTGCGAAGTAGTCCTTTTCTTTGAGATCGGTAATTGATGGTTTTTTGCCAGCCTTTAGAGATTTGCTGATAGTTGCACTCGCTGAGTCTTCGAAGAAGAAGAACCCATCGTGGACTCCTAAAGGTTCAACGTAAGCAGATAAGTTTGCCTGGCCCTCGATATTTCTGCGCTCGAACTCATAGTTTTCTGTCTTGAAAGTGCGCTCAGAATCTCCGTACTTGACAGTGTCCCAAGGTAAATCCAAGGCGAACTTGGCCCATCTCAAAATATCAGTTCGGAAGCTTTCGTCCTCACCCAAAACCAAGAAAATGTCACAGTCTGGACTTGAAAATGTTGTAATGTCCGACCAGTCCGATCTCAACATGGGGAACTTACCTCCCGGAGAGGTAACCAAGGAATTAAGATCCTCAGTTCCAACAATTTGTTTCAATTCATACACATTGGAAACCAACGAGTGATGGATCATGTCATATTTCTCATTATCAACCCAAGAGTTACCCTTGACAAAGTCAGAGGGAAGGAGATGCAATTTCACCCAAGGACTGATTAAAAGGAGCTGTCTAGGATATACAAGAGGAGACTTGGATAATGTTTTCAAGTACTGAGTGTATGCGATGGAGAGGTGTCCACCAGCTGAGTCACCCATGAGAAGAATGTTTGAAGAACCTTCTGAGACAAGCTTACTGTAAGTATCATGAAGTTGGTACAACTGAGTGGGTAAAGTGTGGCCACGAGACGCAAGCTTGTAGTCCAAGAATAGAATGGAAGTCTTCTTTTGTTTGTCTGTATCCAAAAGATGATAAACTGACATCAACGAAACAATCTGAGATGGAGAAGTTTGTATAAAATAACCTCCGCCATGGGAGTAAATAATCACCGGGTCTGTAAGCTTTCTGTCTGGCTGTTTAACAAGCCAAATGGAATTGGCATCGTATTGCTCTCCCCAGCCCGGAATATTCTTTACAAGCCGTGGATTCTGTAAAGGTACAATTTTCCGAATTAACGTAGAGTTGGAGAAAGGTATAACCCATTTTCCGTTTGAAACTCCAACAGCCAATGCCGTGCTGAAGATCTTTAGTTTGAGGGCATTTCTTAGACTGTTTCTATAGCGTCTATACTTGAGGCCACCAAAAAAATATTGGATGACTAGCCAAAGAAGTGACGGAGGAAGAGTAAGCAAATGTCTTATAAGTTTCCAACCCATTAAGGAGAATAGGAATGGTAATTTTAGAGGGGAAACAATGGATTTTATAGAATTTCGCAGCCAGAATGTGAAAAGTGATGCACGTGAGAGCGCACCCCGCAAATGACGTTTTGTAAAAGAAATGGAATATTGAGTCAAAGAGATGAGACAGATGGGAATTGAATTAGTTTCTAAGGTTAATAGTGAGTAGAAGATTTTGATTTTCAAAGTTTTTTGAAGAAAAGAAGACATGAAGACGATATTATAGAGTTTATTTCGTTAGGAATCTTGCAGGTGGAGTATCTCCGTTATCTCCAGACAATCCGAATAGAGGAATTGTTGGTAAGGTACAAGATACAAGACTACGTAAAGATTCGACTGTTAAGGTAGATGAAAGATAGGCAAATATTTAGGGACATATACTTTAGGTACATGAATATTTATGTCAAGACTCGAGACATCCTAGAAGTGTTAAGCATGAATGAGAAACGAAGGGCCGCTTATTGGGGCTAATTCTAAGAGCCCAGGATCGAAAATTAAGTGAAAATGAGAGCAATACCTTGTATGAAAATTGCACAATTAGAGTGTGTTGGAGTGAGTGTACTGTTTAATTGCCAGAAGTTCTTGGATAACAATAACTTCAACAAAAACAAAACCATCAATCCACTAAATTTGAAGTAGTACCTTCAATCAAAGATACTGAGGGATAAGGTTTCATACGAGACGCTCAATCAAAAACACTAGTTATATCCTTTCTTTTTCTCAAAGCTATAGAGTGAATGATGCTTGAAACTCTCACAGTACTAAAAATCCCGATATTTTTAACAATTACATAAGCATTAGCGATTGGCAAGATGATTATGGCAAGAGGTTCATGATACAGTGAATATTGAATTTGTCACTTCCCTATTCTTACGTTCGGCGACTAAATTATCTATCTCTTGGGCAACTTTGAACACATTGAAGTGGCACCCTGATGAATGATGTTGTCAAGACCACCTATACCGTACGGTGAACATCTGGCAAATACTTCTAAGGTAGTTTACAAGATCCCATCTGATTGGCACCATAACTTATTAATTCCATTCCAACATCATCGGACTAACCAGAGTCTTGAATGGACTAAACAAGTATTTGTCTCATTCAACAAATGCAGTATAATCACTACATGGTTAAAATGTTGCAGTTAGGTTCTAACCTAACTGCCCTGACCAAAATACTTGAACCAAAATGTCCTACTTAACTAGTTTGGGACATCGATCTCATGTCCTTTCAAGTCCATTGCATTTTTCATCCTCTTCGCATCCCAAATATCTCTCTTGGCCAGGTCTCTCTTCCAATACGATCCTGTATTCCCTTAAAATTTTCCTGTCCAATCCCATATTCTCCTGTTCAGTCCCATATTTTCCTGTGGTCTATTTTATTTTTTTCCTGTCCACTCCATGTTTTCCTGTCCTCAATGTAGGTTCCTGTCTAAGAAAAATGCCGAGATCCCACTCTGCCTGCCACCTGTGCAGTGCTCATTGAATGTGACTGCGAAAAGACCAAATAATCGAGATTAATCTTACCATTCAGAGACAAAACCACAAGTATCCCAAAAGAAACCTTCAAGATTCTCGATTGTAGACCACAAATTTGTCATTTCAACCCCCAATTCCCTCAATACCCCCACTGTAGCCCCCACATGATCCTTATCTCTGACTGGTCAATTCCCCACGTGATGGAGTCAAATTTTTCAAGCAATCAAATTATTCTTGATTCTTTCAACTACTTTTCTTTTCAATGTCTCAAGAATTGACTCACCCCTCCATCAAAGATGGCTGGTTCGCCGAAATCTCCGACACCATGTGGCCTGGCTCCGCCATGTCCTTGAAGGTCGACAAGGTGTTGTATGCTGGAAAGTCCAAGTATCAGGACGTTTTGGTGTTCAAGTCCACCAACTGGGGAAATGTGTTGGTGTTGGACAACTGTATTCAGGTCACCGAGAGAGATGAATACTCCTACCAGGAGATGATCACTCACTTGGCCATGAACTCCCACCCAAACCCAAAGAAGGCTTTGGTGATCGGTGGAGGTGACGGTGGTGTCTTGAGAGAGATGTTGAAGCACTCTTCCATTGAGGAGGCTTGGTTGTGTGACATTGACGAGGCTGTCATTGAGGTGTCCAAGAAGTACTTGCCAGGCATGTCCAAGTCCTACGACGACCCAAGAACCAAGGTTCACATTGGTGATGGTTTCAAGTTCTTGGAGGACTACAAGAACACCTTTGACGTCATTGTCACCGACTCCTCCGACCCTGAGGGACCTGCTGAGTCTTTGTTCCAGAAACCATACTTCGAGTTGTTGAAGGGTGCTTTGACTGAGAACGGTGTCATCACCACTCAGGCTGAGAGTATCTGGTTGCACATGGACATCATCTCCAAGTTGAAGGCTGACTGCAAGCAGATTTTCCCAGTTGCTGAGTACGCTTACACCTCGATTCCAACTTATCCATCTGGTACCATTGGTTTCATGGTGTGCAGCAAGAACCCTGATGCTAACGTCAAGAAGCCATTGAGATACGAATGGGACGACGAATACGTGTCGGAGAACTTGAAGTACTACAACGACAAGGTTCACGAGGCTTCTTTTGTGTTGCCACAGTGGGCTGACAAAATTTTGAACAAGCAGTGACATCGCATCACGTAGATATTATGTGATGACTTACGATGTTATGAATTTTCGGTTATGGGTTCTATAGGTGTGTAGCGATGAGTTTCTGAAGCCAGAAACTGAAGAAATTGCTTGTTCAGTGACTTGTAGAGAGAAGAAAGATAGAGAGTGGAAAGATAGAATCACAGGGCAATCTTGGCCCTGGTAATAATTAACAGAAGGGGGTTCCACAAAACTCTTCGATCCATACTGCCCAGAAGCGGCCTCATCTTATCTGATAACTCTAACAACAGGAAAGTTTAACTTTATTCAGGAATAAGAATAGTTCTAAGCCTTGAAGCCAAAAGTACTTGGTTCGCACTTGATTTTTTTTGTTTTATTTGTATGAGGTGTAAGATCAACATGAAGCGTGGCTGGCTCATTGTCATTAGATGCAAGCTGTTATTGTTCTGTTTTGTTCAATGATACTGCCAAACCACTTCAAACTCAGAATTATAATAAAGTTTCACATCTTCAAAGTCTGAATGCCTCAAAATCTCCTTGAGGTCTTCCCCATGGAGGTCATCGACATTGTTCTTATGTTTCTGTCTAAAAGAACATTGGCAACCCTCTACGATGGATTATCAGAGGAGTCAGTGCTAAAGCCACTTGTGTTTTCCAGAATGTTCAAACACATGAAAGTTGATAATTTGGAGCAACTAATCGAAGCAGCAAGTCTTGATGCTCGTGTTGGAACGATGCATTTGGAATACAAGGACGAGTATCTCTCATTTTTCCAAGAAATTCCAGCTTTCACGTCTTGTATATCCGGTATTAAGCTTACGCTACCAGGTCCTTGTGACTACACGGTTTTCAATAAGATTCCGCTTAAAAATGTTTCACATGTTGAGCTCAAAGGAGTGAAATCATTCGACCCATCTCGTGCTCCACGCAATTTAAAGCTGATAAATTTATTTTTTGATTTGCACCCAATCCCAATGAAGATGGAGGGGTGGCCGCCTTCTTTGTCGTCCTTAGTTATCCAGGGCCATAATAACTTGACTCTTATTGAGCTTCCCAAGGGTCTTGAAGAACTTACGTGCAGTAATCTGCAAGGATTATGCAACCAATTCCCTTCAGGTCTCGAGAAATTAGAATTGATCCTGATCCCATTCCAGAATCAGAGGTTTCCGAATTCTATTAAGGAGTTGCTGATCGATTGCCGCACTGATGATGTTGGCAAACTATTGGGAAGATTACCGTCGAAGTTGAAAAAGTTAAGTTTGACAACTACTCTCTATGGTATGATATCATCTTTCGAGTGTCCCGATTCAGTCGAGATTCTAGAAATTAAGCACTGTATTATTGAGAATCTTGGGGATTTCAAGCTTCCCAAGTCGCTCGTAAAATTCATCTTGACAGATAACAAGATCCTGAATTTGCAAGACGTGAAGTATCCAGAGTCCCTTCAAGTACTCAATTTGAATTCCAATGGGTTAAGAACGCTTCATAATGTAGATTTACCCAAGCAGCTTCGTGAATTGTACGTGGCAGACAATTACTTCACCAGTTTGGAAGGAGTTACCTTTCCCGAGTTGGAAATCCTTGACATCACAACCAACTCTGTCGTGGAGATCAAGAGTATGAAAAATGCCATACTTCCGCCCACACTCAAGGTTTTAAAAGCAGGTGGGCACTGCATTGGAGACTATGAATAAACCACTTTTCCGAAAGGCTTGAAAGAATTGGAAATCACCATCGATGGAGATTCGCAAGATATATCTTTCCCAAATGAGTTGGAGAGCCTTTAGCTAGTAGCGTCAACATATGGCACATCCCAGTGTTCTCGAATTGACTTACCTGAAACATTATTGAAGCTTGAAATAAGAAGCGGGAAATTCACTGAAGTCAAGTGGAAGGTTCCCTTCTTGCAAAAATTGACTTTGAAAAACTGCGAAGGTCGAGTAAAAGTACCACTATCTGTCAGCCATCTAACTGTTTATCACCGCAATGGGAAACGTCTAGAAGGATTAGAGGTATCTCAAGAGTTAGATGAATGTGATATCGTTTGATAAAGAGACAAGTGTTTAGAAGGGAGAAGGGTTCTTCTTGACACGTAATTGAAACGTTATCAATCGAACAGCGATCTCGTATGAGTCCATTGAATACTTTATGACTCTACCATGACTCTCGCATTGTGAAAGTCCTAGAAAGTCTAAATTCAATCATCGCCCTCTTAGTCTGAAGTGGGAATGCATAGAAAGACATTCCACACATAATCAGTTTTAGATCGTGCAGAATGAATACTTCGGCTGTTAACTGAATGCATTTCATCAACAGAAAATGCTATAACCTCCAGAAACTTCTAATAGGTCTTAGTGCTCACATGTGATTAACTGGTTTAATTCTGTCTGTATTTATTTAATTTTCAAATTGAAGCTCATGAATCCAACAACACAAGTCTAAGACACAAGGATATCGCAACAATCACCCGTGGTACGGTGGTGCTGAAGGTATGCGAATAACTGAACCAGAGAGTTGTAGACCACCAGACAAGTCACATATTTGTTGACATGTAGATGGCCTCTCCACGACCAAGCAAATTGATCTGTTTGGTACTGGAATTATCACTTCCCCTGCATCACTGGCTGTAAATTACCTTTCCGGTAACAAACCAAGAACCCTTTGGAAATCTTAGCTCTCTCTACCATGTCTGAAATTTTCATTGACATTTTAACCCTATGTGTCATTGATATTGTTCTCTTTTTATGCAAGAAAGCATTGACAACATTCTACGATGGGTATTTCGAAGAGTAGACAACTTGTACTTTCTAGAATGTACAAACACATGAAAGTTGAGAAGTTGTGACTCCTAATCCAGCAGCATGTCTTAATGCTCACGTTGCTAAGATGGAATGGAATTTTCCGGAGGGAATCCCCCCCTTTCTTCGATAAAACCCCATTGTTCACTTCTAGTATCTCCAATGCGAAGCTTACCCTTCAAGCTCCTTAAGACTATTCAAAATTCCAAGTGATCCCATTTACAACTATTTCACATGTCGAACTTAAAGAAGTATAATCTTTCATACCAAGATTGGAAAAACTTCTAGGTTGATCATGTTGCACGAAATACTTTGGGCTCTGTAAACTTCAAAACACAAGAGGGTTATCTAAAGGTCTAGTTGTTATTTGCTTACTTTAATTTAATTTTCCTTTCATTTTATGTTTTTTTGTTCAACGACTCTTTTACTTAGGATTTGAAATTGTTTATTCTAGGGAAAATGTACGTTGGTGTTGTTCCGAGAACTCATTTCCCATGGCATACTTGGCAAAAATGATTTGCAACACGATAGCAAGGAAATTTCCAACTTCCAAGAAAACTTCCTTCTTCATTTTTTTTGTACTCTCTCATTCAGTTCAATGTTCAAAATACAATAGATTCACTTTTATATGGTTATACTCTATTCATGACCCATTTGATAATCGCAGAATATTCATACTCTCTAAAAAATCCCTTAAGAATCAGATCGCTTTTTTTTTTTAAGATCGCTTTTCCATTTTCATCTCTTGAATTTTTCATTTCATTATTTCTTACCCCATCACTTGTCTCGTCCATTCTTGTACAAATAAATGCTACATACTCATTTATCTCACCAATGACAATTTCAACCTACACCACTGCTTCACAAAAACTACTTTCTCATTCCTTTTTCAAATCTACTTGAATTCCAAATCTTTAACCTACCTCTTGTCTTTTCCCTGATCCGTTGTATCAAAATATCCAAGTATCCATCGTCAACTTCATCACGATCTCCCTGCATCCAACGCTTCGTTTGTAAATAAACAACTACTCTTCTTCATGGACGATCAGGACTTTTCTCAGTTGCCGCTAGAAGATAAGTTGGCCCATAAAGTATGGAAGGTCCGTTTGGAAGGCTACAATTCTGCCGCTGACCAGTTTGCAAACCTGAGAAATTCCAATGATCCAGTGTTTTCTCCATTCAATTCCAGACCTGATCTAGTCAAGGGTATGGTAACAGACTCGAACGTGGTGGCACAGGAGGCGGGATTACAGGCATTGGTTAGCTATTTACAGTATGGTGGAACTGCCTCCAACGCGAATAAATTGAAAAATGCCGGTGTTATATCTTCATTATGTGAGAAAGGTTTATCTTCAAGTCGAGCGGGAACAAAAACAAAGGCTGTGGACGCGTTGCTCAATTTCACAGAAATTCTAGATGGTGGTGAACCAGTAGTGGAAGCTATTCTTCCGTTTTTTGATAACAGACTCCCCAAATTGGTTGCGGGATGTGTCAATGCCGTTTCCCAGATGGTGGAGCAGTTTGGTTGCGGTGTGGTGTCGCCCAAAAGCGTGATTTCCAAGTTGCCAAAGCTCTTTGCTCACGCAGATAGGAACGTGCGAGCAGAAACAACAAAGTTGACCGTCGAAATATACAAATGGATGGGCGATGGGCTTACTACTGTCTTGTTTGCAGATTTGAAACCGATTCAGCAGAAGGACTTGACTGCTGAGTTTGAGAAGGTGAAGGGATCAAAGCCAGAGCAGAAACGCCTCACTAGGTCTCAGCAGCAGACGTTGGAGGCTCAAAACGCCATCGCTGATCAAGATGGCGACATAGAAATGGAGGATTCCGGATCAGGAGAACCAGCTGCGGAATTTGATCCGTTTGACATGTTGGAGCCCGTGGATGTGCTTTCGAAGCTTCCTGGAGACTTGACCTCGCGCATGGGGTCTGCCAAGTGGAAAGATAGAAAGGATGCATTGGATGAGGTTCACGAAGTCTTGTCTAAAGCTCCTAAGCTTGCGGCCGCAGACTACACAGACTTGGTACGGTTGTTTGCCAAATGCATGAAGGATGCCAATATCCAGGTGGTGCAGTTGGCAGCCAATGGAATCGAATTTCTCTCTAAGGGTCTTAAAAGTGGTTTCCACCGCTATCAGAACTTGGTGGTTGGACCACTCATTGAGCGGAGCAAGGAAAAGAAGCCTGCCGTGGCTGAAGCATTGGCTAACGCATTGGACTCGATATTCATCAACTCCAGTCTTGCCGATGTCCTCGATGAAACGATTAATGGAATGAAGCACAAGACGCCGCAGGTGAAGATCTCTGCCACGAACTATCTTCAAAGATGTTTGTCAACCACTACACTTGCACCTAATACTACCCAAATAGATTCCATAATGGAAGCGGGTGTGAAACTCTTGACAGATTCACTGGAGCCCATCAGACAGGCTGCAACTGAAATGGTGGGCACATTGATGAAGATCACCGGAGAAAGAGAACTCAAGTCTTTCCTTGAGAAGATCGACGACAATAGAAATGCGAAGGTGAAGGCTGTTTACGAGAATGCGGTAGTTAAGTGCCGTTCGCTGTCAAGTTCGAATCCTCCAAGTGTCCCGACATCGGGTACCAAACTGAATGGCCAAAAGCCACCCACCAGACTCGCAGGTGCACCCGTCTTGAAGAAGCCAACGGCACCGCAGTCAATACCCACAAAGAGGACTGCCACTTCGCCTGCGAAACGTGCTGAGGGAGCAAGCAAGTTGCCTCCCTCAAGAAATTTCACGGGACGACTGCTTATATCTCCTGCCAATAATGTTGCGATTGAGCCAGCCAGCCCAGTCATTAGCTCCGCAGAGAAAGAAGAGTTGGAAAGGCTCAGAAAGGAAAATGCAAGGCTAGCATCGCACAACGAGCAACTAGAGCGTGCTAAGTTCGAATTGACGGAGGATCAGCTCAAGTTGGAGAGCGAAATTGAACAACTTCGAACTCAGTTAGACCAGTCGCAGAAGGACAACACTAATACTAGACTTTTGGTTAAACAAAGGGACACACAGATTCTTAGATTGAATAGCGACTTAGAGAGCGCTAAACTCAAGATCAAGAGCTTAGAGCAGACGGTCGAAATGATCAAGCTTCAGCAAACAACCCTGAAAGATCCTCTTCTTCAACCGTTCCCAGACCAACGGTCTCCATATCGCTCACCTGAAAGACTTCCGAGATTTACGCTGGCTGAGTTGAGTACGCGTGTGGACCGCTTATCTATAGAAGAGGGAAGAGCTACGCCAAGTTCTAATGACGTTTTCACGCCAGCCGGTGATGATATTAACTTCAGAAGGTCAGTGAGTGATCGAACCAATGTGTACAACTCTATTCCAAACAGGGAGGTTTTGAGTGAAGAGGAAAACTGGAGGAAAGCAGCTGAAGTTACTGCCCAACTCAAGGCACGCATTGAGAAAATGAAACAAAGAAACCGTCTTGCAATGAACCGATAATTATTTTTTTCTGTTGGGTATTCACTTTTGGCAGCCATAATTTCTATTGTGTTAATTCCTGCACGCTCGCTCCCGGTCTCGGTTTGACTGAAAAAAAAAGGACCGGAAAAAACAGATCACTTGTCCAACAACATGTCTAGCAAATTGAAGATTTTGGTTCCAGTCAAAAGAGTCATTGACTTTGCTATCAAGCCAAGAATCAACAAGGCTGGTACCGGTGTGGAGACTAAGGGTGTCAAGTTCAGTATAAACCCATTTTGTGATATTGCCTTGGAGGAGTCTTTAAAGCTCAGAGAAGCCAACAAGGGATTGGTTGAGAAAATTCATGCTGTTTCAATTGGACCAACTAAATCTCAAGATATCTTGAGAACTGCTCTTGCAAAGGGTGCCGACTCTACGACATTGATTGACGTGGGAGAGACTGAGGTTGAGCCATTGAATGTTGCCAAGTTATTGCAGAAGGTGGTTGAAAAGGAGGGTTCCAACTTGGTAATTTTGGGCAAGCAGTCTATTGACGACGACTCTAACCAGACCGGACAAATTTTGGCAGGATTGTTGAACTGGCCACAAGCCACTAATGCCTCGAAGGTTGAAATTGATGGGGACAAGGTTAGTGTCACCAGAGAGGTAGATGGTGGAGCCGACACCTTGCGTGCCACCTTGCCAATGATCATAACCACGGACTTGAGATTGAACGAGCCACGATACGCATCGTTACCTAACATCATGAAGGCCAAGAAGAAGCCTTTGGAGAAGTTGAAGGCATCTGACTTGGGAGTCGAAATCTCCAATAGATTGGAGACAATCAAGGTTGAGGAGCCACCAGCACGTGCTGCCGGTATCAAGGTGGAGTCTGTGGATGAGTTGATTTCGAAGTTAAAGGATGCCAAGGCCATCTAGTATGAACTCTCCTAATGCATTTACGTTAGATCGTGTAAGATAGGAATTGGACAAAGTAAGAGAACGAATCCCAGAAGTGGAAAGAGTAAATTTCGAAAGAGTTTTCCACAAGTTTGTATTCAAGTTTGTATTCAATTATTTTCCCATTTTCTATGAAGGTATATTCTCACTACTCCACATTCCAATATAAAGTAATTAGTGAGTATATTTTGCTCATATTCACCTCAAAAGATGGCTGTGCAAGTGACATGTGAATATGTAGATCAGCAATTGAGTACATGGAACCTCTCCAAACCTCTTGTTTTGGGCGTCAGTGGCCCTCAGGGTTCAGGCAAACTGTACTTGGCTAATCATCTATTGGTTCATTTAAGAACAAAGTACCCACATCTCACTAGTGTGGGACTTCTGATCGATGACTTTTATTTATCCAACTTAGAGCAGCGAGAGGTCACCGCCAAAGCCAAAATTGATGGAAATTCTGTCTTGCAAGGGCGAGGACTTCCCGGAACTCATGATCTCAGGTTGGCTATCCAAGTAATGGAACAATTGTGCAGCAGAAACGTCCCTGTCAAGGTTCCAATATACGATAAGAGTGCTTTCAATGGAGAGGGTGATCGTTTGCCGGAATCTCAATGGCAGGTAATTGAAAAACCAGTGGATGTGATCGTGTTCGAAGGCTGGTTCAACGGATACAAGAAGATCGACAGTCAAATCTTTCCGTCCGCGTATCTCACACAAGATCCAAGCGGAGTGGTCCAGAGACACCGCATGTACCATTTGGAGGATATTAATGAGCGACTCGCCTCGTATGAGCCGTTGTGGATCAAGTTCGATTTTTTTGTCTACTTGAGGACAGACAACTTGGCCAACGTATTCAAGTGGAGATTGGAGCAGGAGGCTGGGCTAATAGCTGAGAAGGGAGTGGGTATGAATCCCGATCAGGTCAGAGTCTTTGTAGATCGGTATATGCCCATGTATTACCTTTACTATGAGAGAATGTGTGATGGAGGAGTAGCTAAAAGGGGAAGGAATTTGGAAATTGACATTGATGAATCACGCAAGGTTAGGAGGTGGAGGAGACTATAGAACGGAGGAGTGATAGAGAAGAAATTGAAAAGAGATTTTAGAAAAGAGGAGAATGTGGAAGAGATTATAGAAGGGAGAAGAATGTAAAGAGAATTGTAGTCATAGGTTACAGTTGTCAATTCGTTAGTGTTATGTCATCAGGAAGGCTGTTGAAGATCATCGATTTGAATTATTGAATTCTTGAATTCGGTAGTAGATTTGTCATTCTTGAATTCCTCAATAGCTCAGCATTTGTTTAAATTCAAGTCTTTGAAAACCACCTCGCTGTCCAACATTCCAGATATCTACACGTTCTTTCAGTAAGTATATTCGTAGCAACTAGACAATTGGTTCGACCAAGCCTAGTCATGGCAGTCTCGTAAAGCCGGGGTGCCCTCTATCCTCTATCGCTGGTAGTCCTCCGGGTAGAATATCAACCTCTCCACACCTGTCTCGGTCAAAATTACCATCCGAATGACACCTCCAGACAGTCCATCCCACTTGATGGCCTCGGAAAGAGCATTTTTTATGAACGTCACGCACTCGTCCTTCTCCATGTTGGGCTTCCAGTTCTCATCACACCATCCATAGATAAACGTAGATCCAGAACCTGCAATGGCATATTCCTGCTTGTGGATTGAGCCTCCAATAGGAATCAGGTAGATTGAGCCTTTGTTTTTGCGATCATATCCCGCGCAGATGATTCCCGCCGACAAGCTGTCCTTGTTGTTGTAGCAGATTTCCTGGAACACGTTAGCTGCGATCTCGGTGGTGGGCTTCTGTCCTGGTGGCAATTGCGACGAGTACATTTGCAAATGGTATTTCACAATGTCAGCCACTGCCTGTGTGTCTGCTGCAGAGCCTGAGCGACAACAGTAGATGGTGTCGTGAATCTGCGTCAACTTATCGGAAACTCTATTGGCGATATAAGTTCCCGTGGTTGTTCTAGAATCTGCGCCAAGGATAACACCGTCTTTGAAGTTTACAGCCATGATTGAGGTGCCTAGCGACACCTCGCCTTTCTTTAAGTGGTTGATGTCCACGGAAATGCCGTTCATTATGTTGTGCTGAGGTTTGGTTGAATTAGTTTTGGTGGAGGTGATTGCCACTGTTGGGTCACGTGACAGGCAGACTTGGAGAGGTAGTGAAAGGACGTGAAAGACCCATCCTTTAAATGTGTAAATTCTAATTGATGGATTCGTTGGATCTTTGTGAAGGTTGGATCTTGGTTATATTTTGTCTTGATTGTGTAGTCTAAGTTGAGTTCCAGGCACTCTATGTGGTCTAAGTGGAGGGAAGTTGTGAAATTGAAGACGAGAATTGGGTTTTTATTTTTTTCATGTCTAATTTTTTTTTTTATTAAATTGATGTTTTATTAGCTTCTTGTTTATTTCTTGTAAAGGTGAAGTTTACGTGGCTTCGTCATTTGAAAATATTGAGTAGGCACTGTTGCATCTTGAACATTAGAGCTTAAATTACCTTCGAAAGCTAGATCAGTTCTTCAATGTAATGAGTGGGTAGTTTCTGCAAAGCAATCAAATCCATTGATACCACCTTATGTTTTTCTATTATTCTACCATTACAAAATTACAAAAAGGGCTTTTCAAGATGTAAGAACTAGTCTCGCAATTTCTCAGTACCTTCATTTTATTGAATTGTCAAAACGTTGTCAATTATGAAACGAAAATTCATCAAGATCTTTAAGTTTACTCTTGTTGGCTTAGCATATTGTAGAATCTCTCCCAACTTCACTCCTTCTATCTGGCAGTTTTGTACCAACATTACTTACTCAACCTCAGGACTCTCGGTAATATGGGTATCAACAAATTGGGTCGATGAGTATTTTCGTTCTTCAATTGTACACCTTGAAGCATCTGGTGTCCATAGCATCGTCAGGCTCATCCGGATTTACTTCTGTGTGTCTTTTTCTTTCTTCTATCCGAACTCTAACCCAAAGGACTTTGTCACTTCAACATGAACTTAGAAAAGTATGCACTTGAGCCCTAATTCTTCACCCCTTGCAATTAATGCCATAATTTCATTCTCGTGGCCCTAACAGCGAATCCAAATGTGTTTACACCTCAACTAAGCTCAAGCAGACGATTTGGTTGAACTTCGAGATCACAGTGTATGCTTCCTGAATAGGAAACTCCTTAATTCTGAAATTCAAATTGAAAGTTCTCAATAGTTAACTTAATTTTGCTTTTATCCTAATTGATGTCCAAAGAAAGTGTCGGGAGTTCAAATTATGTCTCCCTGTCAAAAGCTGGTTACCACGAGTCTGCATCTTATCTATGAAACCATACCAGGAAACCTGAATTTAAACTATGAATTCCATGGCAAACTTCCGTAGTAGGCGTCCATTCCGAGAATTCCATACTCGGCACTTAAACAATGGAAATGTTATTATCCAGTCAAACAATAGGATGACACTGTATCGTAAAGCCAAAACATAGGTTTGACACCATCCGCACCCAAACCATATTTCAGAAATGAAAAATTAAAAAAATAGTGCCCCAGTGATAGAAACACCATCTTACCCAAACGTGTGAGTTTCAGATGCACAGCTAGAACTAGTTTTTATAACATTATCGCACAAGGGTGTATTGCCTCGTAATACTTAGTTACTTCAATCTCAGTCCACATCCTCCATTTTTACCTAGGACATATCAAATCAAATCAAAAACCCTAGCTCTTACAACCTATATCTCTTGTTTCTCTCGACCACTGGTTCTTCTTAAAGTACTGGTGTAAACATCTAAAATCTATTCTCGGAATCCCAATTGTTTCTCCCCTCTCTCTTCTCCTGTCTTGTCCCTATCATGTCGGCAACTTCATTCTCTCGGTTGTTACTTCCAATCCACACCCGGAACAACGAACCCTTATACAATCAACCGTTAAAATAACGCCAAAACTTCTCTCCGTAGGCAACCTACCGACGTATCTTCTTTTACTGGGCGTTTTGAATCTACACGTACATTCCAAATAAGCGACGCACGGGACGTGATTCTGAGAATTCCGCAACTCCACCATTAACCATACAAACCACATTCCTCATGCTACCATACTCGCTATTCGTGGCATTTGTCTTTGCATGGATGGCTCTAGCCCAGCCTACCGGTTTGGATCTCTCCAAGGATGAAATGGCCCATTTGACCAACGACCCGGAGATCACCCATAAGGTGTCGTTGATCGTCACCAGAACTTCGGGTTCCAGCGAGGAGGATGTGGGAAACTTGGTGTTTGGAATGTTTGGAGGCACCGTTCCCAAGACGGTTGATAACTTCATTGGTTTGGCCACCAAGGTCAACGGCTATGGCTACGAAAACTGCTTATTTCACCGCATCATCAAAGACTTCGTGGTTCAAGGCGGAGACTTTGAACGTTCAGACGGCACTGGAGGATATTCCATCTATGATAAGAGTCTGTTCAAGGATGAGAACTTCTCCATCAAGCACAACAAGAAGGGACGGTTGTCTATGGCCAACGCAGGCCCAAACACCAATGGTGCTCAGTTCTTTGTTCTTACTGGCGACTCTTCTGCTAATCTTGACGGCAGGCATGTAGTATTTGGCCAGCTCATCCTGGGATTTGATGTGCTTGAGCAGTTGAACGAAGCTAAGACGAAGAACAACGATCGCCCTCTAGACAACTGGACTTTCAATTTGGCTAGCGTGACAGATGTGGAAGGAAATATCATAGCAGGAAGTGCAGAAAAGGATAAGGAGACTTCCGAAACAGAACAGGAGAAGGTTGGCGACGAGCTTCTTGCCGAAAAGGTGCCTGAGAAGGGAGAGAAGTCTGAAAAAGCTGAAAAGTGGACGGAGTCTACCAAGGCGAGTGGGCTGGGCTCCCTGTCTTCGATCCACTATCTCGGATTGGTGGGGTTGTTCTCGTTTGCAGGTTACTATGCATTGAGATGGTCGAGAAGAAGACATGGAATCACCATCACTGGGTTTCGGTCGTAGGGAGTTATAGGATTATACTAGAAATATTGAATATGAAATGACATTAGTGATGTGGGTAGTGAGATGTAGTCAGATAAGTTGATATTAAATACTAGTAGAAACGAATGCTAGAGGATTTTTATGGAAGAAATGAGTACTAGAGGAGATTCATAGAGATAATGAGCGATCTCTAACATTATATCATTGTATTTCAAGTAATCCCTTGTGAGTCACGAATTCCAACACGAATTTCCTCCATCATTCTATATCATGATCTATTAAATTATATTTCTTAAGATCTCTCTCCATAACATTTCCCCGTATCCGTCCTTCATCATTATCTACATACATTCTCACATCGCACTCAACGATCTCATCATTTTCTCAACATATCATCTCTGCTATGCCATGTCCGAATTCCCCATAGTGTTGGTAAAGAATATCCCTTACGATGCTTCCACCAGCCTGCTCTATGAAGTATTTGGCAAGTTCGGTCATATTCACCAATTGAGAATTTCAGATGGGCTGGTTCCTCAAGGTTCATGTTACGTTGTGTACTCGGAATTGGCTTCAGCCAAAAGAGCAGCTCGAGAGCTTAATGGAGTCAACTTCCATTCACGGTATCTCGTGGCACATATGTTTGCTGTGGACCCGGAAATTCTGCGAGAGGAGTTGTATAGGTTGAAAGAGCAACATGGAATTGAGTAATCGTGACGTTTACGACAGTCACGATTGACTGCTACATTCGTTCGAGTGTCAGATGTATTATCACTTCTATATTTTAATTTTGCTCAATGGAAAGGTTCAAGAGCCCCAATGCGTAGTAACTGGCCAAGCCAGTAAACACAAACCCAGCAATCTTCAACAACTTGTATCTGTAGCTCGACGCAGAGTAACGGTACTTCACGTAAACATCAAGCAGCGACAAGCTGTCGCACAAGTTGCGGAAGTGAACACGCACCTTGACGTGGCCATCAGAAACATCAAGGTAGCTGGCCTCAGCTCCCACCGTCACATCCTCAGACACCACAGGTGCGTGGAACGAGATGAACTCCGATCCTTCAGGCAAGTAGAAGTTTAAGTAGACATCGTCGTAGTAAATCTCACGAAGTCCATTCAACATTGGGAACTTAGCAATGTACACATTGTCATCATTGTGCATGGTGTGGACGAAGTGCTCCATTTTGTTGCTCCATCCCAACGTGAAATTGTACTTCCAACCTCCGAAAAGCGGGAAACGTGGCTGCATGATGATGTGGCCTTGCGCTGGGTGGTGAGAAGACACTTTACCAACCTTATCGGTGATATAGTAGTCCTCGAAAGTGGCAGCAGGATTCTCAGGGAACTCCAATTGCGAAATAGCAAAGTGCTCTCTGATAAGATCGTATCTTCCCTTCATCCAATCTCCACGTGAGTAGCCCGACTTCAATTGAGCACCATTGTTGGTGAGTTCATAGTATTCCTCAGTCAGCACCACATCCACACCCGAACCAGGCAACCAGAAAGATCTCTCCAAGTTGATTACACGGGTTAAAGGTCTGGCGTGGTCATATAAGAGTCCCATAGGCACCACAGCATACGGCTGGATGGTGGAAACGACGGGGCCATAGACCAAGGCCTCAGACTCGACTCTTCCTTTCAAGGCTGGCAAGTTGGGCGAAACGGTCACATTGGTGAACTGCAAGTCCATTTCCTGAGCCTTGGGGAAGCCTGTGAATGCAAGCGAATAGTCGGAAATCACGTACGGAGAGTAAGCGTACTTGTTGATCTTAGCCAACAAACTCTGGCTCTCATCCATGTTGATTTTTTCAGGGAAGGGCACCAAGGTGTTCGTGTAGGCGTAGCGGGTCTTGAACTCCACGGTGGAGCCTGGAGCAATTGGAGCGGTGAACTTAATGGCGTAGATTCCCTGGCCAAGTTTGAATGGATACAATTCCAACTTGAGATCCATCACCGTGACGCCAATGTACGAGATATTGGGGACAGAGTCAAAGCCGTCGTTAATAGTGAACACGTAAGTGTCCTGAGGCTCAGGGCTGGTATTTTTCGCCTCGATAAGGTCGAATTCCTTGATATATGGCCCGCTGAGATCCACATTTCTATAGTAGTGGACATTCTCCCAGATGGTGGAGTCAATGGCGTCCACATTGATGTCCATAGACACTCCGAGCTGCTCGGAGACCGAGGTAGCCGTCACAGACAAAGCTGCAGTAGCAGCAATTGACAACCACGACCAAAGCATGAAGAATGAAGAATGTAGTAGTAGTTGGACACTTGGTCAATGGGAGTGCAGGTGAGTCGCGTGGGCGAGGTGGGATTAAGTTGGACTATAGGAAGATGGAATGAATGGAGGTATTGAAAGAGGTAAATGGAGATAAAAAGGATAAATATGTGGTGAAGATCTTTTTATATGGGTTTTGAATGTTTTTATTGTTCTATTAGGTTTAGGATTGGAAGGGTGGTTTTTGTAGATGCTTATGTACGGAGTGTGAAAATCGCTTACGAAATGGAAATGCGAACTTGAACATGAGGAGGTAAACATAGGGTAATAGGCATGGAAGAAGTTGACATTGGAAAGTAAAAATTGACTTTATGAAATCCGGGACAATTCTATGGAGTAGTTTAGTTGCAGATTTGAAATTGAAATTGAAATTGAAATTCAGAATTTGTACGAAAGGCATTTTTTTTTTTGATTTTTTAACCATAAGTAGGCAGGTTGTCATGGTGTTAAAATTCATGAAGAAGTGAGGCAGGTGTCACTTGAGAAAGGACAGTGGAGAGGTTGAAGAATTCCAGGAGAAAAAAAAAGAAGGTAAATGTGAGAGCCTGATGATCAAATATACCATAAACAACTAGAAAAATAAATAAATATCAACAAAGCATGGATTAGGTGAATAGGTGGAGAGGCTCGTATCTGTGTCGATACCTCTAGCTACCTTACTACAGAAAGATATATATATATATATTTTCTATGATTAAAAGAAAAAAATCAATTCGTGATTCACTACTAGAAACACATCATCACGTTTCCCTACAATTACAGCAAAATATGGTTAGAATATTCCAATAGCAACCACCCAATTTGACAGATCCAGTAAGGCACCCGAAACATTTCTTCATAGACTAAAAAAAACGTTTCTACTAAAGAGTGCCTCTATACTATATTCATGATCAAGCAATAGCAACTTCAAAAACCTTCCAATTCTCTAATCTTCATCATTAAATCTTCTCCAATTAAAACTTCTCTCTCCCGCAACCGTTACATGGGTAAAGTCACGTGCACCCATGAATTCAAAGTCAACTCTTTACTAAAATCAACCTACAGAAACCTTCTCGAACCATTAAAGTTTCACAACGTATCTAACCATATACTTTCTGTCTCCATCCTCCATGTTCCAGGATCCTTCCTCACATCCTTCTTCTCCGTCTTATTACCGTTGCTCCAACCTCTGATTATATGCACTCCAACAAAATAGTGTTTGCGATACGAAAAAGATTTACTTTGATTGCTTGCCACACTCGAATCCATAGCTTCTCTGTCCGAAGCTGCGCCCCAAGTGTGACTGTCCTCCTCTCAAATCCGTGCACTTCATTGCTGCTTGTCTTCTGTGTCGTTGCATCTGCCAAATTCCAACCATTCCTCCCAGTTCCAGGCTTTACACTCAACTACTGATTTTCAAACAAACTGACGTGTAAAATGTCTCTCCAGGACCTTATCCCCGTGGTAAATAAGCTCCAGGACATCGTAACCACCACCCAGTTGGCTGACATCGATTTGCCCTTGTTAGCGGTGGTGGGTTCCCAGTCTTGTGGTAAATCCTCTGTGTTGGAGAATATCGTGGGCAAAGACTTCTTGCCTCGAGGCACAGGCATCGTCACCCGTAGACCTTTGGTGTTGCAGCTTATCAACATCAAGAAGGATGACCCTATAGTGCGCAATTACAACCCAACTGACTTGGCTGATGCCAACAACGGGTACTCTCTGTCTTCTGACGAAATCAACTTGGAAGACCATCTCAGACAACACGCCAACGGCTCCGCTAATGGCTACGCACGCTCCACCTCGTCGTTTAATGATGAGCCCACCGAGTGGGGTGAGTTTTTGCATATTCCAAACAAGAGGTTCTACAATTTCCATGCTATCCGTGATGAGATCGCTCGTGAAACTTCCAGAATCGCAGGCCGTAACAAGGGAATCTCCAGATTGCCCATTAACCTCAAAATCTACTCGGACCGCGTGTTGAACTTGACTTTGGTGGACTTGCCCGGCCTTACAAAGATCCCAATCGGCGACCAACCCACTGATATTGAGAAGCAAACTAGAACCTTGATTTTGGAATACATCTCTAAGCCAAATTGCATTATATTGGCAGTTTCTCCCGCCAACGTCGATTTGGTTAACTCGGAGTCCTTGAAATTGGCCAGACAGGTGGATCCAACTGGCAAGAGAACGGTAGGTGTGTTGTCCAAGATCGACTTGATGGACCAGGGCACCAACGCCGTGGACATCTTAAAAGGCAATGTTTACCCATTGAAGTTGGGTTTTATTGGTGTTGTCAACCGCTCGCAACAGGATATCCTGGAGAACAAGTCGTTGGATGACTCTTTGTATGCTGAGCAGCAGTTTTTCCAGACCCATGCAGCATACCGGGCCATGGCCAGCAAATGTGGAACTCGTTACTTGACGTTGACGTTGAACAAGATCTTGATGAACCACATCCGTGAGCGTTTGCCTGACATCAAGGCAAAGTTGAACACTTTGATGGGCCAGACAGAGCAAGAGTTGGCTTCATACGGCGACTTCCCATCGTTGTCCGACTCTACTGAAAGCAGAGCTGCGCTCATATTGAACTTGATGACCAAATTCGCTAACAGTTTCGTGAATTCCGTGGACGGAACCACTTTTGACGATGTCTCCATCAAGGAGTTGTGTGGTGGTGCTAGAATTTACTTAATCTACAATGAGGTGTTCGGTTCGCAATTGGCCTCCATTAACCCCACCCACAACTTGTCTGTGAAGGACATCCGAACCGCTATCCGTAACTCTTCCGGTCCCAGACCATCATTATTTGTTCCAGAGTTGGCCTTTGACTTGTTGGTCAAGCCTCAGGTCAAATTGCTCGAAGAACCATCTCGTGGATGTGTGGAGTTGGTGTATGAGGAATTGATGAAGATTGTCCACAGTATTTGCAATTCCGGATCCACAGTGGAGATGAACAGATACCCAAGATTGCAGGCCAAACTCATGGAGGTGGTTTCGGACTTGTTAAGAGAGAGACTTGGTCCTACCATCAAGTATGTTGAGTCTTTGATTGAAATCCAACAGGCATACATCAATACGAACCATCCAAACTTCCTTGGTGCTGCAGAAGCCATGGCTCTCGTGGTTGAAGAGAGACGCAAGCTGAGGGAGAAAGAGCTGAACTCCAAGTTGAAATTGGCTACTCACAGAATTCTCAGCAAGCTGATGGTGAAAGAAGAGGAAATTATGGAAGAGGTCGCAGCCAGGGAGCTTGATGTTAGCCAGATTGATGATGAGGCCAAACCAACTCACAAGAGAAGCGACTCGGGCAAGACCATTCGTTCCGCAATGTCGGATGCTACCCAGCACACGCAGGAATCGTACTTCAACTATTTCTTCGGGAAGGATCCGGTAATGCACCAACAGCACATGCAAGCCCAAGCACAGTTGCACCCAACACCATTTAAGTTCCCACATTCGCAGGAGCCAACGTTGCAGTTCAATAGCAACTTTGTGCACAACGTCAACCATGAGATGAAAGGAATGAGCCTCGATGATCAAATGTCGTCTAACGGATACTCCTCCAATGCCAACGGTCACTCGAACGATGACTTCATTGGACACCAAGAGCCAGACGTGGATGACAACATCAGTGATTTGAGCGAGAGAGAGCAATTGGAGTGCGAGTTGATCAGACGGTTGATTGTGTCTTACTTTGGCATAGTGAGAGAGATTATCCAGGACCAGGTTCCAAAGGCAATCATGTGTTTGTTGGTGAACTACATCAAGAACCACATTCAAAACAGGCTTGTGGTGAAGTTGTATAACGAAAAACTCTTTGACGAGTTGCTCCAAGAAGACGAGAACATCCAGGCAGAGAGAGACAAATGTCTCAATTTGTTGAAGACTTACAGGGAGGCTTCCAGAATCATCAGCGATGTCGTTTGACCATGGGGCGTGGTCTGGAAAATACAAAATTAAAAGCACCATGTATATAGCTAACGACAACCGAATTGACAGTTATTTATCCACGCGGGCGGTGTAGGACATACATATCCAACGAGTTCAGGGAGCCACAACTCAACACCTTGGCTCGATGTAGTTTATAATTGAGTGCCTTCTTATCATCACCTCCCTCTTCACCTTCATCTTCATTTTCTTCCTTCAAAACTGGCGTGAAACTAAACTTAATTTCCTTTGTTAGGAGAGCAACATCATTGGAATCTGTACCCGAAAGTGAAATGTTTTTCTCCTCCAAAAACCGATAATCATGTTGTAAATGCCCCAACTTGTAACGTAGGTCAGCAATATATCCTAGAGTAGTCACAACTCTACATTTCCAATGTTCGCCCAAGTCACGAGCCACTTTCAGGGACCGAAGCAACGATTTCTGAGGAAACAACTCTGGTAAGGGAATATCAAAGAGGAATTCCTTGAGGTTGGTTTTGATATCGAATATAAGGTTGGTAACGTCATAGTTTGAGAGCCTAATCAGGTTAATGGATGAAAGCTCAATGATGGATTTTTCGTTGATGGCAACACGGCTACTCAGTAATATTCGTTTCCGATTAACAAATATACGGACGGGAATACAGCAATCATGGTTCAATCGAATGTACAGAAGAGTAGCTGGCATTGATGTTGAAGGTAGTGTGTATATTATGGTGAAGAGGTATAGGAAGTATGGAGAGTTGACATATGGAAAGACGCTGCAATTCAAGTTCCTTAGATAGGAGTACCAAAGACATAATAATATTTATAAACATTTATCATAATCTCCCTCAAATTCAGACATTCTAGTAATCGAAGAATCAACTTTTTTTTTTTTTTTTAAACATATCATTTTGATCTCCTGCATATATCAAGCCACACTGAACTATACAAACTAGCAAAACTTACCTTCAAGCTGTTAAGCGCAGTGGCGCAGTGGAAGCGCGCAGGGCTCATAACCCTGATGTCCCAGGATCGAAACCTGGCTGCGCTAGTTTATTTTTTTCAATTGTTCTCGGCTCTTTCTTTATATTCCTTCACTTGTCCTCTTCTCTCTTGATCTTCATTCTTTTTGAAATTGAAGTCCATTCTTATCAATTGTTCAATATTTGCCTCCACAAAATTGTTGATTTGTAGTTGTTCTACGCGTTGACTGGATAAGCATTATATTCGGTGAGACGCCACGTCGCTATCAGCGGGATCTATACTGCACATAAACGCTCGCAGTCTCTAACGTGTCTACATCTTCAACAGATTCATTGTTACCAACACACTTCATCTTCAATATGGTATGTTGACTCTTCACAACCCCTACTTCAACACTATGACATGTACTAATACAATCAGGCACTTCAAACCCCAAGGCAGAGAGCTGCTAACGCTAAGTTTGCCAGCGTCAACACAAAGAAACAGGGAAAGCCTAGAGCTAAGACTGAAGCTGTTCAGTTCCCAATTTCCAAGGGCTGGATCTTCGTGCTAGTGTTCTTGGTATGTGGAGGTGCTGTCCTTGAAATCCTTAGATTGTTCTTCTAGGGTTAAGGCCGCTTGCATTCCTTCTGGCTTGTCCACTTCATACATAATAAACGATTCCAAATTTGACTCCAAAACCGTGACTTCATTCTGTCGCAGTGTTCGAACTGAAATTTTCTGGACTTATATCGATTCCGTTGTTAAACTTCCGTAGGAGGTCTTCATCGGAGCTCATGAGTGGAGAGCTAAGTCCACTACCACGAAACTCAAAGACATTAACCGGGACATCAATACCGAAATCCTCAAAAATATCGTAGAAAGAATTCACTGGATCGTCACCACTGATTTCATAAGTTGAAAACTCGACATTTTTGTTATTTATCAAACTCAAATATGGAGAGCAGGTCTCAATTTCGGCCTGACACAAAGGAGTATCAAACTCTTGAATATTAAGGCGTTCAACATTTCGGGAATACTTGATCGGGTTGAACAAAGGAGCGTCAGATTCACCAATGATTGGCAAGCTACTAGCCGGTTCCCTCGGGAGGACATACTTGAAGGTATGTTTTCCATTCAACGGAGAGACAAGCCGTAGGTTATTCCTTTGGTCCAAGAATGCAAGCTGGTTAACCTTGTAAAACTGCTGCTTATCCACACGCGCTTGCGAAGTTTGTGGAGAACTTGGAACGTTTGAGCATGTCGGAAGTTTGCAAAACCCGACTGCCTTCATCGAGGGTAATATCCACGAATCGAGGAACTGACCACTATTAGAATTATCGATTCTGTTTCCCAATAATTGGTTTGGATGATTGTTGTTCTCATTGCCACAAGAAACATAGTTGATATTGTACCAATGAACGGAGCCCAGCTTCTTCGTGATACAGCCAAAACCGGAGTTGGTTCCCTTGATAATATCAGTATTCTTATCATTGACAAACCAAAAGATTTCCCTGATGGATGCACTAGTTTTTCCTCTCATGAACTTTCCTATCAATGAGACTTCACGAGGAGTTTTGTAGAGGTCCCACATGTAGAAGTTATCTCCTCTATAATTAGCATGCACCAACTGCAAATCATAAGGACTGAGAGAAACACGCGAGATGCCTCCAGGAGGTTTAAACATCGCCATCACTTGGCCATTCCCCAAGTCAACGACCTTGACAACTTCATTTTCACCAAATGACATGGCCAGTTTCTTCAACTTGGAAGCAGTCGAATACAACGCACTGCCTATGCTATTACTGATCGAGTGAAGCGATACATCCTTGTCAATGATTTTGTCTGACTTTGCCAAGTATCCTCTGACTCTCTTAGAGCTCATTTCCGAAAACTTGTACAATTTGTCTAATGCAGTGTTGGAGACACTTGACACCACCCTGTAGAGCAAAGGACCGGGAGTGGGAAGTTTAACCGTGGTATACAAAGACTTGCGGAGTTTCAGCGATTGCAGCGATGACGCAACTTGGTCGCTGGAGCCAACCAACTGTTTGTAATAGTCCGACTCTACCTTGGTGGGAGAATACACCAACCAACTCCCTACAATGTCAAAGATTGGCGAACTATCAAATGTTGCAGTTTTGAGCAACAACTCTCCCTGCTCAAGACGAATGTTATTCTTTTCTGCAATGGGTCTGGAAGAGTGGTTGACAATATGATTGAGTTCCCCTCCATAATTGGCCCTCACAATAGGACACTTGGAGTGGCGATCGTATTTGAGCAAGTACAAATAGCCCTTAGAAGACAGCACAGTGACAAAGCGTGAGCTTACTTGCAAACGGAGGTCTCCCTCCAAATAAGAAGGCAATTCCACAACGGAAAGGTTGTCTTCATGGCGAACCTCCAACTTCACACCGTTGTCATCATCAGAAACAACACTGAGAAACATTTCCACGCCGTCTGTACACCGCATGAATGCCATGTCCCAGAGCTTCCGTCCTGGAACCACGAATACTGCCTTCAACTGTAACACATCACCAGTGTACTCGGCTTTAGGGGTGGAACTAGGAACAAAAGTGATTCCAGGAGCATCTCCGCCATCTTTTGTAGTCTCCTGGCCCTCGAGGAACTCGGAGGCACCAACCCAGTCCCAAAACTCATAGATGCTATGTGCTGGATACCAGATACAGATCTGGCCATTAGGACCCTGTCTGACGAGAATAGAGCGTCCAGAATCAGCGGAACCGGGCTCTGCAACTCCATTTACACCTTCCAGACCGCCATTGGCCTCACTAGCCACACCCTCTCCGCCATTCTCGGCCCAAGTCTCCAGAGTAGCCGCCAGCTTGATTTTGTTCCATGTTGCTGAGGAAGTGCCGAGTCGGTGGCCTCTTTTCGGGTTGGTAAGACTAATTGTCAGTATAAACGTCACAAGAAAAAAAAAGATCAACATACATTTTAGTTAACTGGATCTCTGAGGTCATTCCGGAATGGAGCAACTATGGATGGACTTGTAGGGTGATTTGTGTGAGTGACAAAGATAAGGGAGCTTTTTGTAGATTTTTTTTTGGATGATTCGTAAGTTGCGGACTTTTGCTTTTGGTTTTTGAAAAAGAGATCGATCTGCCTATTGAGGGAATTCGAATGTTTTTATCTTAAAGGTGTTTCACTTAACTAAGGAGTGCGTATCGGGCGAATGAAGGTTATCGTGATATCCTGCATGCGCGCTATCGCTATCAGAGGGGAGGGAGGTGTGTGAGTCAAATTGTTGGAATTTCCCACAAGAATATGACACTAATGGAAATTCTCGGGTGAATTGATCTTGAATCAGAAGTCATGTATATTTGAACTAGTGGGAATAAAAAAACTGGTGTAGTATCTTTGAGCGTAGATAGAAATTGTTTCCCACGTGTTAGGAATGTTGGGCACAAAAAGAATGCGCAAGCCCGGAATCGAACCGGGGGCCCAACGATGGCAACGTTGGATTTTACCACTAAACCACTTGCGCGCTTCTTGTTGTAATTAAAATAGAATGGTTGACTATATTCGCGCTATTTAGGAGTTTTAGGAGGTACGGGTGTTGAAAGTGAAACATCCTTGCACCAGGGGCAAAACATCCATACACCGGAAATCTTCTCTCCGTCTCGTTCTTGCACATAGTTCATGTAAGTGCGAACACCCCTCATCCTTCATTTCACATATTCTCTCAACTGCCACATCAGAAAATTAATCTGGATTATTATACAACAATTATGTTTATAACAAAAGTGGTATCCTATTTATTGGTCAGGTGATAAGACCATGCGATTGTTCACACTTCAGGAATCCATGTGGATCTCATTCCCTTGTCCATTCTCCTCTACCATGCACGTAACTCGAAGAAAACCATGCAGGCATTTTGTCTGGCCTTCTGGCCCTCTGGCCTTCGGGATTTTGTAGATCATCCTATGTGATAGTAACCAGGGAGACTTGCCAACCCGATATTTTGATTTTTGATTGTTGTCTTTGATAACTTGACTTCTTAAAATTCCAGCCATCCCAACGTCGTCTACTCTCATGATCGACGTTGCTGCGAGGCCCCTTCTGGTGCCAGTCACCAAAGTTCATGCCAGGACGCTTCCTCTGGAAGTGTTCCATCTTATTTTATCGTATGTGGAAATAGACGATATCATCAAGTTGATCTTATCGCATACTCCTCTCTATTACCAACAGATCAGAGAGGCGTTGGCTGCACGAGTGCTGGGAGCTAAACTTGTGGCTACCAATCGAGTCTGGCTAGCCAGCTATTTGGAGTCGTATAAGAAGCAGAGTTCGTTTATGGATCGGCGCAAGGCTGAGTACTTGAGTGAACCTCGCAATTTGCCTGTGATCTTGCTGGCGGCGTCTCCGAGAGATTACGTTACGGTGTCGTATTATGTGTCGAGTTTGAAGGACATCCATGGGTTCCTCAGGCTTGCAGATGCCCTTCCGAAATCGTTTGGTGTCAGGTACAATGTTGAGTTGGAGTTCGATTCAGGCATGCTCCATGTGATCGACTTGCTGACCATTTTGGCTGGCTGTGGTGAACTTTTTGGACATTCTCTCAAAGTCCTCATGGTTACCAACTACAACGGAGACCTCCATCTCGATATGACCAAGTTCCTGCTGCTTGAGGCGCTTTGGCTCACAAACACGAATGTGACGTTCTCGTCGTCATTCGAGCTGAACCTTGCTCTCAAGAGAATCGTAATCCACCCCAACTACAACGGAGTATCCGATAACAACCCAGTGATCATCGACAAGTCATTGCCTCCCAACCTAGTGCTGGTGCATTTGGGCCAGTCAGTAGTGTTGGATAGCTCGAACAATTACGCGTTTCCTGAAAATATTGTCGACGTCACTATCATGACCGTCAGAGATACCCTGATGAAATACTTGGGTAAGCTCTTTGAGGATTGTTTGGTGCAAAGAAATCTGTTAGTGTACGAGTCTGCGTTAGCAGAATGTTCCGCTCATGCGACGTATAACCATATCCAGTGGCTCATCAAGAAGGAGAATGTACTCACCAAATTGGCACTCACCTCCATTAAGAACTTGGAAAAGACTTGGGATTTTTCTGCCAAAACTTCCCTCAAGGAATTCAAGCTTTCAAAATGCGATGTTCAGTCACTTGTCCTTCCTCCTGGTATCACGCATTTGGACGTGTCGAACAACAACATCGAGAACATATCAGCTACAGTGTTCGCCAACATTACTCCAGCACTTCTCGCCTTAAACATCTCCGACAATCCCATCGATTGGCGCCTGATGCCAGAAAGCATTGTTTTCCCTCCTAATCTTAAGGATCTCCGCATGAACAACACCAACATCGGCCGTCGCCTACTGTCAATGTTTTTTCCTAGTCTGTTGGAGTACCTTTCGCTCGAAGTCAATCAGATTGAGCTGTTCGCTCATTTCATGGGCTTTTCGTCACGCCTGCTTGAACTTAATTTCACCTGTAACCTTATTGCTAAGCTAGATTGTCCTTGGGTTCCCCCAGGAACTAAAACTGTCCGCTTAACGGAAAATTTCCTCACTGGCCCATTGGAACTTTCCACCGATGTTCTAGGAAACGCCTCTTGCATCGAGCAAGTCTACTTGGATAACAACCGTCTTCTGACCCTATCTGATATCAGACTTCCGAATACCCTCCGCATCTTAAATCTCGACGAGTGCAGCATCTCAAGGTTGGAAAACATCCAATTCCCCTCTTCAATTGAAGAGTTGAGTATCAACGGCACTAATCTTAAGAGCATAGTGAACGTGGGGTTTGGGTGCAACTCGAAACTTCGGGTTCTTAACTTGGCACAAAACAGAATCAGTCAAAAAGATGTTCTTCAGTTGCGGTTGCCTCAATCGTTGGTGCAATTAAACTTGAGCGGGAACACAATTACCAGACTTCATGGTAACGAGTTTGTTCATTTGACCCGGTTAGAGTCGTTGAGTTTGTCTTGGAACAGTTTGAAGCAGGTGGAACTCCAATTGAATGGCCAACTCCAAAGCTTGGACTTGTCGTATAATAAAATTCTGGAGCTCCAGTTGAGATTCCTCGGCAAGAAGATCACTCAGCTTGCTGAAGTCAATCTTTCCATGAATGACCTTGATCACTTGACACCAAACATGATCGGCCATGGTGATGGCACAATCCACTCCAACCTCTTGGAAGTAGATGTAACAGGCAACAAGGTATCGATGGAGGAATCGTTGAAGGGGTTTCCTGAATCGCTTATCTGTTTGGTGGAAGGAATCAGCGGAGTACAAGACCGATATGGATACGACGTTGGAGCCAACGTGATTGGAAACACCTATTGCCATGGTAAGCGCATCGATGTTCCAAGTCTTTGAGGATTAAAGCAAGAAAAAATACAGTGAAGTTACGAATGTTGATCATTTAAATAGTCCCGAGAGATCAATAGTGGCTGTCCGAAGATGGCCCGTCAACCAGGGTGGAGATGATCGAATTGCTCTTCCAACTGCGAAAGTGTTCTCCTAAGCCAGTTTAAACTGTGAATAACCGAATATTCTCAGGGCAGACGAGAAGGCATACGCGTTGGAAGTCTACGAAGAATTGGACAAATTCGTTTATTGAAAAGAATGTGGTTGTGAAGATTATTATTGAGGAAGTTTTTTTTTTTATACCAGGGACCGGGTAACGGGCAGGTATGCAGGAGATTGGGTAAGTAGAATATGGAATTTATTATCTGGAGAAGTAGAAGTAGATTAGGACGATAGTGGGGAACGGACAAAATTCAACAAAGGAACATTGAAGAACGAAAGGGTGGTAAATGGGTGATGGTTTATGGGTTTTAATAAAATTGGTGATTTCGAAGTCTTTAGAGAGGTGCGATCATGGTAACCTTAGTCTCGTTGGTGGAATTAAAATTTAGGGAAAATAATTAGCTTTAGGTCGTTTGCTTGCTCCTTTTAATCTAATGGAGTTTAAATCCTAATGAAAAATCGTACGTGGTCTTACATTGGTTCTATTGCGACTAAACATACTTCACTGAGAAAAAGTATTCGATGGAAGAGATTCTTGACATAAATCAGAAAGTTGACCAAACAGAAAAGAGATATGGAGAGGAATTTCACTGTTAGAAATACAATTAGCCTCTGAATTTTATGATGTTTTTCAATTATTGAGGAATCTCGTCAAAATCTCAAACCACACATAATCTCAAAATATACGAAACAAGAGAAAATCCATGAATATACAGAAGGTAAGAAATCTCAAGACTTCAAATTAAAAATACGAAAAAGAACTTAGCAGTAATAAAAAATAACCAGAATCCACAAATAGAAATCGAAAACCTAAACCCTCCCAAAAATTACTTTCCTTTTTGCAACAAAAGATACAATGCTTCCTTATCAACTCATAACACATTATCTTGTATCTAACATTTCTAGACTTTTTTTGTTCTCAACATTCTTTTGCGCACGTGACCTGTTCCTCAACGCCATTTCCATCTAAATTTCCTTTCGACAATATAATTGGCGATGCCTCCTGCACACAATACGGATTTACCATATTCGCTTCTTAACGTCCCCATCTATAACAACCTTTCACACGACCAAATCATTTGAAAATTCAACAACATCTTCTTTCCCTGAAAATAACCCTCCTTCCATACTTTCATCCTAGACCGTCAACGCTAACCCCCAAACCTTTCACCCTTTGCTTAATGTCTGTTCCTGCAGATACATCCTCAACATCCCAACATTTGCACCCAAATCCACCAACATCTAAATTCTACCACCCATCCTGCAGAATACATAACCAGCCCATATATATCCCAGTAAATCCACCAATACCACCAGGTTTTTTTTTCCATAGTAATCTCCTGTTAAGTTCGCCCCCAATATGAGACCAGAGATCGAACAGGAACTCTCGCACACCTTGTTGACTGAGTTGTTGGCATATCAATTTGCCTCGCCAGTCAGATGGATCGAGACCCAGGATGTATTCTTGAAAGACAACAACACCGAGAGAGTGGTGGAGATCGGACCTTCGCCAACTTTGGCCGGTATGGCCTCCAGAACTATCAAGGCCAAATACGAGTCTTATGACGCCGCCTTGTCCTTGCAACGTCAAGTTTTGTGTTACGCAAAAGACGCTAAGGAGATTTACTACACCCCAGACCCTGCAGACTTGGCTCCACCTGCCAAGGAGGAGGCCGCCCCAGCTGCTCCTGCTGCTGCTGCTGCCCCAGCTGCCGCAGCCGCCCCAGTTCCAGTTGCCGCCCCAGCTGCTGCTCCGGCCGGTCCAGTGGCTGCCATTGCAGACCAACCAGTGAAGGCCTCGTTGCTCTTGCACGTGTTGGTTGCACAGAAATTGAAGAAGCCTTTGGAGTCCGTTCCTATGACTAAGGCTATCAAGGACTTGGTCAACGGTAAGTCCACTGTCCAGAACGAAATCTTGGGTGATTTGGGTAAGGAGTTCGGCTCCACTCCAGACAAGCCAGAGGACACACCTTTGGAGGAATTGGCTGACCAATTCCAGGACACTTTTAACGGCCAATTGGGTAAGACTTCCACATCTTTGATCGGTAGATTGATGTCGTCTAAGATGCCTGGTGGATTCTCTATTACCGTGGCCAGAAAATACTTGGAGTCCAAGTACGGCTTGGGTTCCGGTAGACAAGATTCCGTTTTGTTGACTGCCCTTGTCAACGAACCAGCTTCCAGATTGGGCTCCGAGGCCGAAGCCAAGGAGTTTTTGGACTCTGTGGCTCAGAAATATGCCGCCTCAGCCGGTATCTCGTTGGCTTCCTCTGCTGACGCTGGTGGAGCTGGTGGAGCTGGTGGTGCCGTCATCGACAGTGCCGCTTTGGATGCTTTGAGTGCCGAGAGCAAGACCTTGGCCAAGCAACAATTGGAGGTTTTGGCCAGATACTTGCAAGTCGACTTGAATAAGGGCGCTAAGTCCTACATCAAGGAGAAGGAGGCTACCGCCTTGTTGCAGAAGGAATTGGACTTGTGGGAGGCCGAGCACGGCGAGTTCTACGCCAAGGGTATCCAGCCTGTGTTCTCTGCTTTGAAGGCTAGAACCTACGACTCATACTGGAACTGGGCCAGACAAGATGTTTTGTCCATGTACTTTGACATCATCTTCGGTAAGTTGACCTCCGTCGACCGTGAGACCATCAACCAATGTATCCAAATTATGAACAGAGCATCTCCAACCTTGATCAAGTTCATGCAATACCATATTGACCACACCCCAGAGTACAAGGGCGAGACCTACCAATTGGCAAAGAGATTGGGCCAGCAGTTGATCGACAACTGTAAGCAGGTGATGGATGTGGACCCAGTCTACAAGGATGTTTCTAGAATCACAGGTCCAAAGACCACTGTGGACTCCAAGGGTAAGATTGTCTACGAGGAGGCCAACAAGGAGTCTGTTCGTAAGTTCGAGCAGTACGTCTACGAGATGGCTCAAGGTGGCCCAATGACCAAACAATCCCAACCTACTATCCAGGAGGAATTGTCCAGAGTCTACAAGGCAATTTCCAAGCAATCCTCCGTGTCTAAGAGCACTAAGGTCGAACTTGACAAATTGTATTCTCAGTTGGTTGAATTCATGGAGAGCAGCAAGGAGATCGAGACCTCCAAGGTTGCTCCTCTGACCTCCACTGGTACTACTACTCCTACTGATGAGGACGACTTGTCTACTTCATCTGACGATGAGATTGCTTCGTTGCCTGACAAGACTTCTATCTTACAGCCAGTCTCCTCTACCATCCCACCTCAGACTCTCCCATTCTTGCACCTCCAGAAGAAGACCAAGCACGGTTGGGAATACGACTACAAGCTGTCCGCCATGTACTTGGACGGTTTGGAGTCTGGTGCTATCAATGGTTTGACCTTCAAGGATAAGCACGTCTTGGTTACCGGTGCTGGTGCTGGCTCCATTGGTGCTGAGATCTTACAAGGTTTGATTTCGGGTGGTGCTAAGGTTATTGTCACCACTTCTCGTTTCTCCAAGAAGGTCACCGAGTACTACCAGGCTATGTACTCCAGATATGGTGCAACTGGTTCCACTTTGATTGTTGTTCCATTCAACCAGGGTTCCAAGCAGGATGTTGACAACTTGGTCAACTACATCTATGACTCTGCCAACGGTTTGGGTTGGGACTTGGATGCCATCATTCCATTTGCTGCTATCCCTGAGAATGGTAACGGTTTAGACAACATTGATTCCAAGTCTGAGTTGGCTCACAGAATTATGTTGACCAACTTGTTGAGATTGTTGGGTGCTGTCAAGTCCAAGAAGCTTACAGACACCAGACCAGCCCAGGTCATCTTGCCACTTTCTCCTAACCACGGTACTTTCGGTTTCGATGGTTTGTATTCCGAGTCCAAGATTTCTTTGGAGACCTTGTTCAACAGATGGTACTCTGAGGACTGGTCTACTAAGTTGACCGTATGTGGTGCCATCATTGGTTGGACCAGAGGTACCGGTTTGATGAGTGCTAACAACATCATCGCTGAAGGTATCGAGAAGGTTGGTGTCAGAACTTTCTCTCAGAAGGAGATGGCCTTCAACATCTTGGGTTTGTTGACCCCAGCCGTTGTTAACTTGTGTCAGGAGCAACCAGTTATGGCCGACTTGAACGGTGGATTGCAGTTCATTGAGAACTTGAAGGAGTTCACTTCTAAGTTGAGATCCGACTTGGTCGACTCTGCTGAGGTTAGAAGAGCCGTGTCCATCGAGTCCTCCGTAGAGCAGAAGGTTGTTCACGGAGCTGATGTTGATGCCAACTACAACAAGGTGACTGTCCAACCAAGAGCCAACATGACTTTCGATTTCCCAGGTATGAAGCCTTACGAGGAAATCAAGAAGGCTTCTCCAGATTTGGAGGGTATGTTGGACTTGGAGTCTGTTATTGTTGTCACCGGTTTCTCCGAGGTCGGACCATGGGGTAACGCCAGAACCAGATGGGAGATGGAAGCTTTTGGCGAATTCTCCTTGGAGGGTTGTATCGAGATGGCCTGGATTATGGGTTTGATCAAGTACCACAACGGTAACTTGAAGGGTAAGCCTTACAACGGTTGGATTGATGCCAAGACCCAGCAACCTGTTGATGACAAGGACGTTAAGACCAAATACGAAGAGGAGATCTTGAACCACTCCGGTATTCGTCTTATCGAGCCTGAGTTGTTCGATGGTTACGACCCAGAGAAGAAACAGATGATTCAGGAAGTTGTCATCCAGCACGATTTGGAGCCATTCGAGGCCTCTAAGGAGACTGCTGAGCAATACAAGCACCAGCACGGTGACAAGTGTGAGATCTTCGAGATTGAGGACTCTGGTGAGTACACCGTCAAGATTTTGAAGGGTGCTACTTTGTTCGTTCCTAAGGCTTTGAGATTCGACAGATTGGTTGCTGGTCAGATCCCAACTGGTTGGAACGCTAAGAACTACGGTATCCCAGAAGACACGATCTCCCAGGTTGACCCAATCACCTTGTACGTTTTGGTTTCCACTGTGGAAGCTTTGTTGGCTGCTGGTATTACTGATCCATTCGAGTTCTACAAGTATGTCCACGTTTCAGAGGTCGGTAACTGTTCTGGTTCCGGTATGGGTGGTGTTTCTGCCTTGAGAGGTATGTTCAAGGACAGATACTCTGACAAGCCTGTCCAGAACGATATCTTGCAGGAGTCTTTCATCAACACCATGTCTGCATGGGTGAACATGTTGTTGTTGTCTTCCTCTGGTCCTATCAAGACTCCTGTCGGTGCTTGTGCCACCGCTGTGGAGTCTGTCGACACTGGTATTGAGACCATCTTGTCTGGTAAGGCCAAGATCTGTATTGTTGGTGGTTACGATGACTTCCAGGAGGAAGGCTCTTACGAGTTCGCAAACATGAACGCCACTTCCAATGCTCTTGATGAGTTTGACCACGGTAGAACTCCATCCGAGATGTCCAGACCAGCTACCACCACCAGAAATGGTTTCATGGAGGCTCAAGGTTCTGGTATCCAAGTTATCATGACTGCTGACTTGGCTATTAAGATGGGTGTTCCTATCTACGCCGTTTTGGCCATGACTGCTACTGCTACCGACAAGATTGGTAGATCTGTTCCAGCTCCAGGTAAGGGTATCTTGACCACTGCTCGTGAGCACCACGGTGAATTGAAGTATCCATCCTCTATGTTGAACATCAAGTACAGAAACAGACAATTGAAGAACAGATTGGCCCAGATTGCCTCCTGGGAGGAGTCTGAGATCGAGTATTTGTCCGAGGAGGCCGAGTTGGCTAAGGAGGAATATGGCGCTGACTTCTCTGTTGGTGAGTTCTTGCGTGAGAGATCTGAGGAGATTTCTCGCGAGGCCAAGAGACAATCCGCTGATGCTAAGAAGCAATGGGGTAACTTCTTCTTCAAGGGTGACCCTAGAATTGCTCCATTGAGAGGTGCTTTGGCTTCTTTCGGTTTGACCATCGATGACTTGGGTGTTGCTTCCTTCCACGGAACCTCTACCAAGGCTAACGATAAGAACGAATCTGCTACTATCAACTCCATGATGAAGCACTTGGGTAGAACTGAGGGTAACCCAGTCTTTGGTGTCTTCCAGAAGTATTTGACTGGTCACCCTAAGGGTGCTGCTGGTGCCTGGATGTTGAACGGTGCTATTCAAATTTTGAACTCCGGTATTGTGCCAGGTAACAGAAACGCCGACAACGTCGACAAGGTTATGGAGGACTTCGAGTTTGTCTTGTACCCATCCAGATCTATTCAGACCGATGGTATAAAGGCTGTGTCTGTTACCTCTTTCGGTTTCGGTCAGAAGGGTGCTCAGGCTGTTGCTGTTCACTCTGACTACTTGTACGCTGTATTGGACAAGGCCACTTACGAGGACTACGCTGCTAGAGTCAATGCCAGAAACAAGAAGGCTTACAGATACATGCACAACGCTATTACCCGTAACAGCATGTTCAAGGCCAAGGACAAGGCTCCATACTCTGATGACTTGGAGCAGCCTGTCTACTTGGACCCATTGGCACGTGTTGAAGAGAGCAAGGCTGGTTTGGTGTACAGCAAGAAGGGTGTTCAATCCAAGAAGAGCTACGTCTCTGCTGTTTCCGACTCCACTTCTAAGGCTTTGAGCTCCTTGAACAAGTCTTCTAAGGGTGTTGGTGTGGATGTTGAGTTGCTTTCTGCCTTGAACTTGGAGAATGAGACTTTCATCGAGAGAAACTTCACTGACGCTGAGATCAAATATGCTTCCGCCTCTGCTCACCCACAGGCTTCCTTCACTGGTACTTGGTCTGCTAAGGAGGCTGTCTTCAAGGCCTTGGGCGTCAAGTCTGAGGGTGCCGGTGCCGCTTTGAAGGAGATTGAGATTGTCCGTGACAGCAATGGAGCCCCTAAGGTTGTGTTGAGTGGTGCTGCCAAGACTGCTGCTACCAAGGCAGGTGTCAAGAACGTGAACGTCTCCATTTCTCACGACGACTTCCAGGCCACAGCTGTCGCTTTGAGCGAGTTTTAATTGAATTAATTTATTTAGTAATTGAGACTTATTTATCTACATTGTGTAAGATCTTAGGTTTTAGCCCAACATTAATTTAAGTTCTCGGACCCTGCTAGGACGCGAATTAATCATCACGTGATCAAGCTAGTAAAAACGACAGTTCACCTTCCACTACTATGCAGTACAAAACATCCTCATATCTACTGCGGACAAATCTAACCTTACCTGAAGATTTAGTAAAGTTACTCCAAAGTATTTTTCCAGAGGAATCACAACCCAAATTACACACTTTCTGCTTCAGATTACTCATTTAGGATTTCAGACGCCGTCCCTCATGAGCAACGATCCAGAAACCGTGGCACCGACACTTGACGATAGTGCAAATCAAGATTCTCCTAAAGATGTCAGCGGAAGCGCCTCCGAAAATGGAATAACGGTCGAATTGAACGACGAGACCTCGAAAACTGATCCTGAATCGCTGAAGGCTACGGAACCTACGATATCCAAGTCGCCACAAATCTCTGCAGTTCCAGATGTGCCACCAAAGGACTCCACGGAGAATAAGGAGCTTCCGCAGCCGCCAATGGAAGTGGAGGAAGGCCAAAACACAGAAAACGGCTCTCACGAGCCATCCGAAGACCAACAGGAGGCTGAGCATGAGGAATCGGAAGGAAATACCGAAGTTTCCGCTGCTGAAGACATTCAAGAGCCTTCAGAAGTTTTAGAGGTAGAAGAAGCAGACGATGTGCCTATTCCCGAAGTAAAAGTCGACGAGCCAGCGTCTAGTGGCGTAGTTATCGCGTCGCAAAACTCCATTGAGTCTACAGTATCACCACGTGCTCATGCTAAAGTTGAAAATTTCCAGATCTTCAAGAAAACATTTGAGGTAATCTTGGCCAGCAAGGAGGCCAAGAAGAACGAAGCATTAAAAAATGCCACACAGAATGCTATTGATTCGCTCGACAACTCGGCGTCGAGAGATCCACATGTTATCTTCGAGGCATTGAAGTTAACTTGTGAAACCAGTAATGCAAGTTTGAAGTCTATGGCTGTGGACTTATTTGCCAAACTCTTTGACCACGCTGTATTTGACGATGACGATGACCGTGTAAGTCTCACAGATGCATCTGTGGATGTGGTTTCTGCTTGCTTCGAAGGTGAGGGTACCGATCCAGAAGTGGAAATGCAAGTTGTCCGTGCTCTCATGCACAGCATTCTCCTTATGCCCACGCATGGAGCATCGCTCTTAAAGGCAGTTCGCCAGATTTACAACGTGTTTATCTTTTCCTTGACACCACGAAACCAGGCCGTAGCCCAAGGTACGTTAACGCAGGTGATTGGGTCGATTTTCTCCAGAGTCAACGAAGCCATGGCCAATAAACTGCGAATGTCCAAACTGAGTAGTAATGTGGCTCTCAAGTACGAGGTGGACACTGTTACACCAACTCAGACGCCGTCAGAGCCTGAGTCTGCTAACAAAATGACATTGGAGAAGTTAGAGAAGTTGAATGGGGACTCCGCCGATTCAGATAGGGTTAATGAAGCCAACTTGGCCTCCGAGAAGGACGAGGATATCGCTGTTAAGGATGCCTTCTTGATTTTTAGAGCCATGTGCAAACTTTCCGTCAAGGATGTTGATTCGGACAATGTGGATATGAGATCCCACTCCGTGCGCTCGAAATTGCTCTCCTTGCATATCATTCATACTATACTCAAGAATAACATCGACATCTTCTTGAGTAAAGATGTGGTCATTCTCTCATCGAACTCCGATGAACAGACAAGACTTATCGATGCAGTGAGAACCTACTTGTGCCAAGCGCTCATTCGTAATGCTGCATCGCCTTTGGCCCCTGTCTTTGAACTCACCTTAGAGATATTCTGGATTCTTATTTCAAATCTCCGCTCGGACTTCAAGATGGAAATCCCAGTATTCTGGGAGCAAATTTATTTCCCAGTCTCGGAAATGAAAACGTCCACAGCTCACCAAAAACGGTATTTGCTTTCAATTATTGAGCGCCTCTGTAACGATTCCAGATGCATCATTGAGTTTTATTTGAACTATGATTGTGATAGCAGCCAGCCAAATATCTGTGAAAGAATTATTGACTACTTGAACAGACTAGCCTTGGCCCGTGTCGACGTCACAGTCACTCAGAAATTGAATTATCGTGACAACAAGAGAAAGGGTGTCTCTCTCTATGATATCAGCAAGACTGCGAACCTCACCAGTAGTGCTATGTTCTCCAAGCCTCCTGAACCCGAGATCTATTCTTTATTCCCATTGGAGTATGCGATGAAGATGACTTCTCTTAGTTGCACGGTGGCGTTCATCAGATCTCTTTATTCATGGGCCCAAAAAGGCATTTCCACTTCCAACAAGATCTCAGATGGTCTACTCAAACAATCTGCTTTAAGTTCTGCCTCTCCAAGCAGGTCAGCCTCCAGAAATGCTTCATTCGTTGCAAATAACGTATCTGATTTGAACGACGCAGATGATCCAGAACAATTCGAAAACCTCAAACAAAAGAAGAAGACTTATTTGGAAGGCATTCGTCAATTCAACCAAAAACCTAAGAAAGGTATTGCCTACTTTGTCGAACACAAGATTATTCCTTCCAACAGTCCACATGACGTGGCTGTATTTTTGTTGAATAACGATGCCTTGGATAAGACTGCCTTGGGTGAGTACTTGGGAGAGGGAGACGAAAGAAACATTGCCATCATGCACGAATTTGTGGATCAAATGGACTTCAGCAATACTTCGTTTGTGGAGGCAATGAGAACATTCTTACAATCTTTCAGATTACCAGGAGAGGGTCAAAAGATCGATCGGTTTATGTTGAAATTTGCTCAGAGATATGTGCTTGGTAACCCAGATGTCTTTTCGAACGCTGATACCGTCTATGTGTTAGCATATTCAGTCATCATGCTCAACACCGATCAGCACTCGCGTCAAGTCAAGACCAGAATGACAGTGGAAAATTTTATCATGAATAACAGTGGAATCGATGAAGGAAAGGACGTTCCCAGAGAGATTTTGGAGAGCATTTTCGCCGAAATCCAAAATAATGAGATCAAATTACATTCCGAGCAGCATGCTGCTCTTTTGTCCAATGATCAACCACTTGCTTCGGCTGGACCTACAGGATTCTTCGGAGGGAGGGATTTGAACAAAGAAGCATACATGCATGCTTCCAAAGAAATGTCTACCAAAACTGAAAAGCTTGTCAAAGACTTAGGCAAAAAAATGCGTGGAGAGGACCTGTCAGTTTTCTACGCTGCTTCTCACGTCCATCATGTTAAGTCTATTTTCGACACTTTGTGGATGTCAATGTTGGCTGGATTGACAGCTCCTTATAAGGAGTATGACGAAGAGGATGTCACAAATCTTTGTTTAGAAGGCATCAAACTTTCTATCAAGATTGCGTGTATGTTCGATTTGCAATATGCAAAGGAGTGTTTCATCAGAGCATTGGTTCAATTTCAAAACTTGAATAACATTGAGGATATCAAGGCTAAGAATGTGGCTGCTATTTACATTATGTTAGAGGTAGCAGTGAGCGAAGGTAACTCCTTGCAGAAATCATGGATTGAAATCTTGACCTCTATTTCGCAGCTTGAAAGATTGCAATTGATTGCTCAAGGTGTAGACCAAGATTCGATTCCTGATGTTTCAATTGCCAAGTTGGTAAATCGTAATTCTCTTGAGAGCTTGACCTCGATTTCTACGGGGTTCTTCCTGTTTGCTAGGGAGACTACTGCAGCTCAGAATGCAGCGCTCAAGTTTCACAATCAACATCTTTCTGCAGAAGGCGCACACCTTCTTGGTCGTACAGAATTGGGTGTTGCCATGGATAGGGTTTTCACAAACAGTTCAGAATTGACAGGTGAAGCTATTAAGTATTTCGTTCAGGCTTTGAGTCAAGTTGCTAATGAAGAAATTGAGTCTTCTGGTCAATCATCCAACCCCAGAATGTTTTCTTTGCAGAAGGTCGTTGACGTTTGTTACTATAATATGAACAGAATTCGTTTGGAATGGTCTCAATTATGGGCTATTATGGGTGAAACTTTCAACAAGGTTGGTTGCAACCCAAATGTTGCTGTTTCCTTTTTTGCTTTGGATTCGCTCAGACAGTTATCTGTGAGATTCTTGGACATCGACGAATTGTCTCATTTCAAATTTCAGAAAGAGTTCTTGAAACCTTTCGAGTACATTTTTGTCCACGACGAATCATTCGAAGTTAAAGACATGGTGCTTGAGTGCATCAACAACATGATCTTAGCTAAGGCAGATCATATCAAGTCTGGTTGGAAGACCATTTTTGGCGTGTTGACTGCTGCTGCCAAAGAACGCAAGGACTCACTTATCACGAAAGCATATAAAATGGCTTTCAACATCAACAAGGATTACCATGAAGAAGTGATCGCGCAGGATTCCTTCTCCGATCTTGTGACATGCTTCACCGAGTTTGCCAAGAACGAGAAATTCCAAAAAGTTGGACTTTTGTCTCTCGAGGTATTGTCTAAACTTATTGTTCAGATTGCCAAATACTCGATTGAAGTTAACAAGGATCACACAATTAGCATTAACGGGAAGGATGACACTGAGCGCAACGAGAAATTGACAAAGCTTTGGTTCCCTGTGTTATTTGGATTCTATGATATCATAATGAGCGGTGAAGAGCTTGAGGTGCGTTCCCGTGCTTTGACACACTTCTTTGATGTGCTTTTGAAGTACGGAGAGCACTTTGAGAACGATTTCTGGGATATCATCTTCCATAAATTGTTGGCACCTATCTTTGGTGTCTTGTCAAGCCCTTGGGAATTAAGATATGATGGTGGCTCCGCGCATGCCAATGGCAGCTTATCTGAAAGAGATCGTATGTCGTTTTGGGTATCTACCACGTTGATCCAGGCTATGAATAATTTGGTGACTTTGTTTACGCATTATTTCAATCAGCTAACTCCAATGCTCGGAGAACTCTTGAGTTTGTTGACCAACTGCGTGTGTCAAGAGAACGACACCATTGCAAGAACAGGTAAATCGTGTTTCCAAGATTTCTTGGTCAAGAACGCTTCTCGTTTCAGCGATTCACAATGGGAGTTGGTTACCGACTCTTTCACCAATTTGTTTGACTTGACCACAGCAAAGGAATTGTTTGCATTGGATCCATTGAAAACCACTCATTTGGATTCAGATGTAGAGGATCTCGATATCAACGACACCGATACACCTACTAGGCTCAACAACAAGGATGAAGACAGAATCCAGCGTACCAAGGAGAAGTCCTCTATTGTTGTTAAGTGCGTGTTGCAATTATTGATGATAGAGACAGTTCTGGAGCTTGCTGTTAAGGAAGAGTTCTACGATGCAATTCCTCCGAAGTACCTAATGAAGCTTGCGGGACTGTTACAAGAGAGCTACACATTCGCCAGGGATTTCAATGATGACTACGATCTTAGAGTGCGCCTTTGGAACGCGGGAGTAATCGAAAGACTCCCAAATCTTTTGAAGCAAGAGAGCATGTCTTCGGCAGTTTTCTTGAATATAATGTTCAGACTATATTGCGACGAAGACAAGGCTACTGACAAGGAAGCCAAAAGCAAAATCATGCAGCAGGTCATGCCTCTATGCCAGACGATCGTGGGAAGGTACACCGCATTCGACGACTCTAACCAACAGAAGAGTATTACCACTTGGCGTCCCGTGATTATTGAGATTTTCCAAGGATACGTGGAATTGGACGAAGAAGACTTCCTTTTGTACTCCCCATCCATGTACAAGTTGAGTTTAAAGATTCTTGACCGTAGTATTGGAGCAGACTTGAGGAGAGGGCTCCAAATGTTCCTTGCACGCATCGGCGATTCATTCATTACGCCACTGTCTCAAAGCTAAAGGAAGAGAAGAAGTTGAAGATATAGAAATGGAATTGAGTGATTGTATCTGAGAAGTACAGAAAAAAAGTACTATGATGCACATTCCGAAGACCTCATGTTGCAATTCAGATTATGCCTAACTTTTGTTGCACACGAGCCATGGGTTACATACCAGCCAACAACTGTACTACCACCACATTTTTGCAAGGATATGCATGGCCCAAATCCTAATGCCAAGACCAAACAAAGGATCTAGGAGTATGTCTAGAAAATTGATAAAAGAAGTTTGCAGTACAAACTGGTCCCAGTAGGAACTACAGTAGCAGCACACGACCCCAACCTGTACTCAATTGTCAAAGGTATTCAATACACAGCAAAAGGTGACCCCAGGTGTGTGTGGTGGGGATGTACGGGTGTCACCTTTCGTTGAGGAAAGCACTCTTACTACGCAAAAAAAATGAAAAATTTTCTTGTGGACAACTTTTTGCTACTCACTTATTAACCAATCCAATCCAAATAGACTATCATGTCGTTTGAAAACAAGGTATGTTGACTTTGCAAACACAACCATGCGAGATTTAGCCCATGCCCACTTTTTTTCGTCCAGAAAATGTCCATTTTGTCGAGGAGTCCGGAGTATGGGGAAATGGACACTTAGTCATGTATTTGTGCACAAACTTTGTAAATTGGACAATTGATGGATGGAGCATGATTTCAGGACTGCAACTGTCACACTCTGAAAGTATGGCCTGTTTTTCTGCGGTCTATGACTCCATTTGCACGCTTGCTCCACACTTTTGCGGACCGGATCAAATATTGCGCAAATTCAGGCAAATTCAGGCCATTGAAGCAACCAAATACACTAAAAGAAGCTAGTGACTGGGCGTGGAAGGTTTTGAAAAACCCCACAAATTGATGGCTGAAGCCATTCTTGTTTTCCTTGGACATTTCGTTGGCCAATTTGATATTTCCCACGAACTGGATACTAACAATCTAGAACTTGTACGCTTTGTTGGGTAACGACGTCGAGGATGAAGACGCCGCACCAGCACCAATCCCAAGAGAGATTGTGAAGAAGACCACTTCTTCTAAGAAGGCTGACGTTGCTCCAGCTTCTGCTGATCCAGCTAAGGCCAAGAAGAACAAGAAGCAGGCTACTGGTAACGAGGCTGCTTTGAAGAACAAGAACGCCAACAAGGACGTTTCTGCTCCAAGCTCCACTCCTTCCAAGCACGTCAAGAAGCCTTTCGACCGTCACTCCAGAACTGGCAAGACCGACTCCAAAAAGAAGATTAGACAAGGATGGGGTGGAGATGACAACAGAGAGTTGGAGGACGAGGCCAACGCTGTTGGTGACGCTTTGGCTGAGTTGAACGCCGACGCTGATGCCGGTGCTCCAGCTGCCCCAGCTGCTAAGTCCTTGCAGGAGTACTTGGCTGAGTTGCAGAAGGCTGAGAATGACTTGGAGGGTAGAAAGCCAGCTAGAAAGGCTAACGAGGGTGCTGAGGAGAAGTGGAACGCCAACGAGAAGATCGAGAAGGAGACTTCTTCCTTCCACGAGGGTACCTACGTGAAGAAGATCAAGCAGAAGGCTGCCAAGGAGAAGAAGTTCTTGGAGTTCGACTCTGTGTTCTCTGACGAGGCCCCAAAGCCAGCCAAGAAGGCTCCATTTGCCGGTAAGAAGGGTGGTAAGCCATCTGGTAAGCCATCTGGTAAGCCATCCGGTAAGCCAGCTGCCAAGGCCCAGGGCTCCGAGCCAGCTGCTGCTGGTGTCAACGAGAAGAACTTCCCATCTTTGTAAATGGTGAAATTCGTGAGTCGAAGTTCGTAGCGGACCGAGTCCGTAGCAATGCAGTTTAAATCGCTAATTACTGTAGAGTAGGTATTTTGAGCCTCGTGGAAAAAGTTTTGAGTGATTAATGATATCCCAATGGTATCATAAGTATAAAAGTTTTGAACATATTAGTTTGTTGCATGGAAAGACAGGTGAAAGAAATGAGTACTGTTGAGGTTCTGAAAGAAAACGGCTCTTTAATGTACCAGGGTTGATTAAAGGGACAATCCGAATTGAAATCTTTTAGTGATCAGTCCCTTGCATGAATGATACGCTGCTTAGCCATTACGGCCGAATTAGTTAAAGGATGGTCATTCTAATGAAAGTTGATTACCAAAGTAAACTGACATTGCTTGAAGCTTCTTTCAGGGCAGTTGATCAATACTTGATCATTTGAATCAGTTGAAGGCTGTAAACTTGATCTCTGATCGAATGAAGGCTGCTATTACTTGTTCGATTTATGAAAGTGCATCTTTGGGGAATCGCCTGAAAGACATGCAATAAACTTCATGCAAGTGATTGTTGGAGCAGATATATTCGGTCAAGATATGTGTTGTTGGCTTTACATTGTTAGTCACCTGAGCATACAAGTTAGGAGAACCAGCATAACATCAAAGCATCCAACCCAACACCTTCACTCAACTTTGTCATTTATCACTGTTTAGAAGCTACTGTTGGCTGCCTTTAACTCTGATTCAAGTTCCAAATACCCTTAGACAGCACATCTCAACCTCTAATGACACATTATCTGTCCAGGAGCAGCTCTGGTTCCACCAACCCAAGATTCTGGCCAGATCACTCATCCAGATCTTACATCTCCAAGTCATTATTTGTTGCTTTTTCTCGGATTGTTATGATCAACAACCTGTTGTCAATCTGAGTTTAAATGATGCATCTCTATGTTGAAGAATGGCCATATAAAGATTTCACACAAATGGTTTCGGAGAAATTAATCAAAGACAATCCATGACAACTAATAAAATTTAATCAGAACACCATGAACTTCGTTAACCACTTCAATGTAGCTCGGATTGGCTAACGACTTCAATCTAGACCTAACGCCATAGGGTCTTCCTAATAGCCATATCAGGTAATCCACACAAGGAGACATCTACACCAACACGAAACAAAAATTGCCAGATCCAATCAAGCAATAAAGCCCTGGTTCGGGTAATGTTGAATGACCTTCACCCTAACAAGCGCCGCTCCCCTTTTGCATCCACAACGATAAGATTGCAACCATGCAACGAAGGGTTCGATCTGCGTAATGTAAAGCCGTCCAGCATGGAAATCTAGATTCGTCACAAGGCAAGTTTATTGGAACCATGCACAGCTGTTGAAGCGGATGTGGAAACTGACATTTGAACCCATGTAGACCCCTGGCCTCGTATATTCTGCATGTGGGCTCGGTTCGGTGGTTTCCCCTGAGCTCGGGTGGAGGTGACGCATAAGCGGGAGGAGGCCAATTGGATGGGAGGCACTTCAAGATCTACATCGCACAGGGGTTTTAATTGCCTGGTGCGTGGAGACACACTTCACTTGCATTGGATACCACATAGTTTGTTCAATACATGGTGGTTTTTTTAAAGCTCCGACCAGACAGGAAATTTTAAGCTTACAATAGTATGCTCGCGGTGGGGAGTGCTATCATGCACCAGGGGTGAAGGAGACCGCCCCGTATAGATCCATGACTCGTATAGGATAGATGCGGGAGTGATCTATGAATCATTGCACGGGATATTCGCAATCATTTCAGAGAGTCTGGACCTAACTATGGGCTGGGACGCCTGTGTAATACAATTAAAGATCAAATGAGCAGGATGACTCAAAGATTAGTGATGGAATATCATTTATGAGAATGGTTACTGACGTGATTTCTTATTTGTTTTTTGAAAGTCTAGTCACCATGGATCAATTGTTGGTCAATGAGACAAATGAAACCGTCAAATGATGATTCTCAACTTTTCACTATGATTCCAACATTTATTTTGGTTTCATGCAAGTGCTAGCCATCCCCTAGAAATTAGTCGCAAAGTGCAACCCCAGAAATGATGCGTGGTTGATGACTGAGTGCTCATAGATGTAGAGAAAGAGGAAGAGCTGTAGATCGAGATAGAGATGTAGAAAGAGACCATCGGGTTAGTTGGTGGACAATAATTGAGTTCAATTCATATAGGGTAACTCAATAATTCTATCCGGTTGTGAAAAGCAAAACATTTTACACCAATGACTAATAGTGTAGTTACTCACTCATGCCTACAAATAACCCATGAGAAATCGGCCATTCCCGGAACCGTTCAGTCAAGGAAAAACGGACCTTCGCTATCGTTAGTTGGAGACCGGAAAACGTCCTCGGAAGCTCCGTGGGTTACTCTCCCACTGAATAGCAACGTGGAAATGCACCTCAATCAATGAACCATGACTAAGACTAATTTTCGCCACTTACACCGCCTCCAAACTTTCAGAATAATTTCTGATACCACAAATTTGAAACCCCACTATGACGACTCAAACCCGTGCCTTTTCATTTACCCCAATTCTAGCCAATTTCAAATTATTGCTATGAGCCAACAACGGCCAGAAGTGTCTGACCTAGACATCCTGCAGAGTGAAAACAATCACCTTACCTCGTGTCCATTACCATTTCTATCCATAATGGCGTAACCCCCCATTAACTCCCATTAATCCTCAATAACCTTGAGAAGTCCCTGCAGCAGCTAATGCAAGAGCCTCGCATGGAGTGTCAAGTGGCCATAATCTGCCTATTCTAGCTCTCATTGATCCGTTGTCCTGACTACCAATTCACAATTTTAACCTGGGGTGCTTGTCACTCCCCCGGTAAATGCAGGTTGTCAGGCCCAATGAATTGAGACCCCACGCCGGAAGTCACTAACTAGCAGCCAAAGTTATGTTCAGGTCAGTAAGTGGGTAATGGAATTGTTTTAAGCAGCCAACATTCTCCTATTTTGAATTTTCTTTTTTCTTTCTACTTCTTTTTTTTTTATTTCATTCCATTTTCCATTCATTCTTGTGTAGAAAACGTTTATCTTTACCATTCCTATCTTCCCCAGATCTGGCCTACCGTTATCCACCCGCGCCTCAGCTATACACGCCTAATTTTCAGTTGCTGGTTGTGAATAACAACTACTTTCATTCTTAAACATCAAGGCAGCTTTCGCCGTTTTCGCCAAATTTCGCCTCCAAATTATCACCATGGAACATTCCACTCGGCTTCCAGCCTCCGTTTTGGCGGCTAGCCACTCGGACAGTGGCTCGGCGTCGCCTCCGGGAAATAACGGCTCCAACTCCTATGGCCAAAGACTGCCACTAGCTGCCACCTCGCCAGACCTGCGGCCCGACCACAAGAAGCACGTCACGAAGCTCCTGACACTGAGCCCCGAGGCTATCCGCGTGGCGGCTGAGATTACTCCTCACCGCTTGGCCAACTTATTGATTCGGAAGGGTCCGTTAGCTATTCGTCTTATCACGGCACAATTGGCGGTTGAGGTGCCTGGCTTCGAGCTTTTATCTCTTTCCAAACAGCGCCGTCTTATTATGGCGGCCATGGACCAGGGTGACCCAGAAAACAACGTGGTTTTCGAAAAAATCGGCTGGGGCCAGTGGGCCGTACGCAAAGTCGACTCTGATTACATTGTCACCGAGGCTGATAGCACTTCTGATAACCCAAGGGCCCTTTTGAATATTCACGAGTTGAAGGAAAAGGCCAAGTTGGGATGGCTGAAGAAATCTGCTACTTTGGAACACAAGGACGCGAGACGTGACTCGATTTCCAATCTGAAGCCTAACTTGCACAACGTGAGGCTTCCAAACGAGCGCCTTGGCTCTTCTAGTGCCATCCTGGACTCGGATTCCGAGTCCGAAGACGATGACATGGACGTACTGAAGTTCAGAATGTCTGTGAGTCATATGGACCTGGATGACATTGAAGTGGACGACAATGCCATTGCCGAGGACCTGGACGTGGAAGATGACGCAGAACTCTTCGATTTTGATAACGACGACGAACAGACAGGCTCCATCGGCCGTTTCAAACGATCTCCACCTGTTAAGTTTGCCAAGCGTGTTCCTACAAAGTTCAGTCCTCCTCCAGCGCTTCTGGGCTCCAGACGTAAGTCCTCCTCGGCCGGAGCACCCAGCTCGGTCACTAAGAATACCAACTACAACAACTCCACACGTCACCAGATATTCAATCGCAGTAGGTTGAACCTGATTGAGAATTTGGACAACTATATTGTTTCGAGTGCCCGGAACTCACAATTCTCCGTCTCTAGCCCTCCTCCACAAGCTGGTTCTGTCCCTACTGCGTCGCCACTCGGTTCCTGGAACGGGAACTCTGGCTACTTGACGCAAAACGCCAATATTCTGCCAGAAAACATCGCCTCTGCAATGCTGAAGTCTGGAAGACGGAAACTGTCTTTCAATGAACTGAGCATCCGCTCAACGCTCCTGACTTCTTTGCAGTCCAAAATATATGAAAATGGTGCCCACGCAGCATCTAACGGGTCGATCGTCAACCGATCGTACTCTCCACCAAGTACCAACGGCACAAGACGCCCCACCAGCCTACGCCATGACATCGCCAGCGATACCGACGAAGAAGACTGGGCCACAATTGGCGCCGAAAGTCTTCGCAAGCATTCAGCTGGTCTGAGTAGTCCCGGACGTACGGTAGAAACCTGGGACGAGCGCACTGCCGCCAGGGCCTTGGTGGACCTAATGTCAAACTGACCGATTCCCACCTTAGCTTCAACGTCTAAAATATTCTATGTAACGAACAGTATTTAATAGTACACTGGTGTACGATTAGAGTCCTAGATATGGGAATTGTAGGAGTAAAATGTAGGATGCGAGATAGCTAAGTGTTTGTTCAGATGGTTTCGTCCACTCAATGAGACCAATACAGATATCAAAAAGCGTCTGTTAATATTCAAGTTGGGAACTATATTTCCCTGCTTCAAGGATTAGCGAGACACACGGAAGTGCTCTCTTGTTGATTGGTCTCGTCTGGTGACACATGCAAAGCAAATCTCTCCAGAAAATTCGTGTCTTTATTTTATCCTTACTGAAAAACGTTGACGCCTATGATATTGTGCAAGTAGTTAAGTTTGACGAGGACAAAGGTATACAAGTTTTGTTACTTGAGGTGGTTGAGAATCGATGAAGTTACCCTGTTTTTGTTCATTGTAGATGCCTCCCTGAAATTTTCATTTTCGTTAGGGTCTTTCAATAATATTAACACTAATAACTACACAATATACCAAAATATAATATGACAATAGAATACTTCCCTGCCTCTAATCATTGAAGAGTGGAGGCAAGCCATATATGGTCTGCAACTTCCAACGTCTCTGTAAGGACACCTGAATCTGAAGAAACACAATTCCAAGAAAGACTTTTTATTCAGAGAATACTTGATTTGACAGTATTTTACTTCTATCAGCATTTGATAATGCTAATATATTGATTTGTGTACTATATATGTCTCAATGTCAGGACAAACTGTTCAGTACATGTCCAAATCACCCAATTCAATCCATTCCAATTCAATCCAACCCAGTATATCTCGATTTAATCCGACTCAATCCAATCACCTAGACCTTCATTAACTCATTCATCCATTTAATTCTACTACCAAAACACTAATAAATGTCCTACGTTCAAATCTTTCGTCAACCACACTCTATTTTGGCTGCGAAACTAATCAATTCTACTGCTACAAATATAAATTCACCCCTCAATCCAAACTTCGGTTCAAGGAATCAGAATTTCCTTGAAATAAATAAAAGCTTAATTCCATCCAAGTTATTCCATATCTCCTTTTCTCTATCTTTGTTTTCTCGTCAAATTCCATCGTATTTACCTCTCCTTCACTCCAGCCAGCCGTCCTGCACCTCATCCATCTTTTCGCCCAAACCGGAAAGGTAATTGGGACGCGCCCATCGAAACTACCATATACTTTTTTTTTTATTGAAAAACATTTATCATGTCATCTACTGCGGTGTTGCCCACCGTCCAGATCAATGTCAATTATAATGAAATTAAGACCCAGGTGCGTGACTTCTTCACCCATTTCAAGGCCTCCTCCGACGCCATGGACGTTGAGAGCTCCACGGGTTTCAAGTACTTAGACCTTTTCCAACATATCGCCAACAGAGACGCCACTACTCTCTACATTGAGCTTGACGATATCAAGGCATATCAGGAAAACCAGTTTTTTTCGTCCCAGCCACTGTCAGCAGACTTGGTAGTACAGATCGCCAAAAATGCATACCACTACTTGGAATTGTTCAGTAGTGTGGTGGACGAGTTAATGCCCGAGCCCACCAAGGATATTTCGTTCAAAGATGACGTTTTGGATGTTATTTTGCACCAGCGGAAGTTGCGGAACTTGCGTGTGTCGCAGGAGAACGCCGATGAGGTCAATAACTTGAGATCAGGATTTTCTCAAAATGAAGACACCCAGAACTCTGACCCTGGTGACTTATTGACGACAAACTTATTTCCTGCCAAGTTGACCAGACGCTATCACTTGTATTTCAAGCCATTGTCGTCCCACCAAAAGGCTTTGGCCGTCAGAGAAGTAAAGGGTTCTCACGTCGGAAAATACATTACTGTGAGAGGAATTGTTACCCGAGTGTCGGATGTCAAGCCATCGGTTCTTGTTAACGCTTATACATGTGACAAGTGCGGATATGAGATCTTCCAAGAGGTTAATCTGAAGGTTTTTCAGCCGTTTACTGAGTGTACTTCCGAAGTGTGTAAAACAGACAACCAAAGGGGCCAGTTGTTCATGTCCACGCGTGCATCGCGGTTTCTGCTGTTCCAAGAGGTCAAAATTCAAGAGATGGCATCGCAGGTTCCAGTTGGTCACATTCCCAGAACTTTGACCATGCATGTCAATGGAGATTTAGTAAGATCCATGAACCCAGGTGACATTGTCGATGCATCAGGAATCTTCTTGCCATCTCCATACACGGGATTCAAGGCGTTGCGGGCAGGGCTTTTGACAGAGACGTATTTGGAGGTCCAGTATGTTCATCAGCATAAGAAGCAGTATGAGCTGTTGGAGTTGAGCGACGAAGTCAAGGAAAAGATCGAGGCCTTGCACAGAGAAGGAGGAATCTATAACAAGTTGGCGCTGTCCATTGCTCCGGAAATTTATGGCCACTTGGACGTCAAGAGAATTTTGCTTTTGCTATTATGTGGAGGTGTCACGAAAGAGATGGGTGACGGAATGAGAATTCGTGGTGACATCAATGTGTGTCTCATGGGTGATCCTGGTGTGGCCAAGTCTCAGCTTTTAAAGGCTATTAACAAGATTGCTCCTCGCTCGGTGTACACTACTGGCCGTGGTTCTTCAGGTGTGGGTTTGACTGCTGCAGTCATGAGAGATCCAGTGACTGACGAGATGGTACTTGAAGGTGGTGCACTTGTGTTGGCCGACAACGGTATTTGTTGTATTGATGAGTTTGATAAGATGGAGGAGGGTGACAGAACTGCAATTCACGAAGTGATGGAGCAACAGACCATCTCTATCTCCAAGGCTGGTATCAACACCACCTTGAACGCCAGAACATCCATTCTTGCAGCTGCTAACCCGTTATATGGGCGTTATAACCCAAGATTGTCGCCTCACGAGAACATCAACTTGCCTGCTGCGCTCTTGTCTCGTTTTGACATCATGTTTTTGATGTTGGACCAAGCTTCTGTGGAGTCTGATGAACAATTGGCCAGACACGTTGCCTACGTTCACATGCACAATCACCAGCCAGAAATGGACTTCGAACCACTTGACTCTCAGACTATCCGCCAGTACATTTCTGTTGCTAGAACTTACAGACCAGTTGTTCCAAAGGAAGTGGGAGACTATGTGGTACAAGCATACATTAATATGAGAAAAGAGGCCCACCGTAACGAAGGCTCTATCAAGAAATTTGCACATATCACTCCTAGAACGCTTTTGGGTATTTTGCGTCTTTCCCAAGCGTTAGCTAGAATCAGATTTGATAATGTTGTCAGCCGTACCGATGTGGACGAGGCTTTGAGACTTTTAGCGGTTTCCAAACTGTCGATGGAGAGTCGTGACGTGGAGCGTGACGATTACACCTCTGCTATTTTGATGCTTATTCGTCGTATCATCGCTGAGGGTGACACCAATACCGTCAACATGTTTGAGTTGAGAAACAGAGTGCTTGGACAAGGATACACTGTGGAACAAATGGATTTGTGTATTCGCGAATACATCTCGCTCAATGTGTTCCAGTTGGTTGATAATGGCGAGACGTTATTGGTGGTCAACAGTGTGTGATCTGGTTGATGTTGGCAATGTAGGATAGAATGTATTATAAATGTTTTACTAGACAAGATGTAGACAGTTCAAGCCACGAAGTACAGTCATATACATCATAGTCATAGTTCTTTCTTTGTATACTTAATTAAGTAGGAGATTCAACTGTCAATTGGTAAAGTAATGTTCAGTCTCTGAACTCTAATTATTGATAGAATATAGACATAAACGTGCTAATACTTACCTATTAAAATCCAAATTAAACCATACACATCATAAACTTCATACCCAGGAAGTTGAACCCAATTTCCCAACAAAATTATTATTTTGTCGATTACTGAATACATTTCATTTTCTCTTCTTACTGGATGGTTGACTCCATGTATGTCAAGTGTTTCTGCGCAGGCTATCAGTAACTCCCATCTCATGTCTAATTCCAGATCCAACGCTCCCACTATCAAACGGCGAGTAACCCGAGAGTCATTATTTACCAGCAATACAAATGCGTCTACTTCTAATACAAATATCCCTTCCATTATCACGGAATCTGTGTCGGAGGCCACCAAAGTGCTGGACACACCTGGTTGGGGCCACAAGGTCATATCCTACGTTGAAGACCACTCATTGATCCTAGAAAACAAAGCTAATGCAGCACGGGATCAGATGGCTAATGAACGGACGTTTTTATCTTGGATGCGGACTGGATTGGTGTTGGTCACGGTGGGTGTTGCATTCATGCAGATGTACTCGATCCAAACCAGAGCTAGAGTAGCAATTTATAATGGCACAGAGTACGATATGGCAGGAGAAGCGCCTTTGGAGTCGTTGGTTGGTCTAGGTAAGCCGTTGGGATACTTGACAGGTATTTTTGCCATTTTGGTGCTGATTTTTGGCCTGGTCAGATTCTTTTCAACACAGTACATGCTACAGCAACGGAAATTTCCTGCTACGCGAGTGATGGCGGCGATGTTATTAATTTTCACATTGGTTGTGTTAGTGCTTATTCTTGCAATCGAGATAAAATCTTCATAGACGATGTTTTAGAGATGAGCAATTTAAGTGCATAGATATGTTCAAGAATGACAGAGGTAACTATTGAGAAAAAGATTGTCAATTGGTAACTTTCTACTTCAAGCACAGTGATATTAATATCAGTGAAACGATGCAGAATTGATTCTATGTCTATACGAGTGGCTTGCTGATACAAAGTCCAGAGGGTCATGTATAATGCCTTCACTTCTGGAGCCCACAGCAATTTATATTAATTTTATTATTATGTCCAAAGACACCTTTTCCGACAGCCCATCTCATCTGTAATCCACACATCTGACCTACTCCAAGAATATTCGTCCAATTAAAGATAATTGTCCTCCAAATCCAATTTCCCTATACTCTGTCTCCAAATCCATCACTTAAGTCCAACCTCCACCCATCCCTGCACACACACCAAACACCATTCTCGACACAAGTTTCATTACGTACTCTTTATTGAACCATGTCGGATTACGCGTCGTTAACTGTAGCGCAATTGAAGGAATTGTTAAAAGGCAAGAACTTGCCTGTGGATGGAAAAAAGGCTGACTTGGTAGCCAGACTCACTGAGGCTGGTGCCGGAAACGAGTTGGATGAACCTAAAGACGCTGTTGAAGGTACTGAAGCTGCCACTAATTCCGCTGTTGAAGCATCTGCTGCTGATGCACCTGCTGCTGAAGCTTCTACTTCGGAGCCTGTTGAAACCGCAGAGTCCACTGAGGCCGCAGAGTCCACTGAAGCAGACAAGCAAGAGCAGAAGGAAAAGAAACCAGAAAAGAAGGTGTTGACTCCTGAGGAAATCAAGCAGTTGGCGGTGGATTTGCTTACCAAGAAAATCAAGAGAGCAGAGAAGTTTGGAGACGAGGCACTGGCCCAGGAGGCTAGAGCCAACTTGGCTCGTGTGGAGAAGTTTGGAGTGGATCCATCCACGGCTTTGGCCAAGGAGATTGGAGCCACCAACCGTGGAATCAACAGTGAGCTCAAGCCACCCAAGCGTCGTGGAGGATACAAAAATGGCGCCAGATCTAGAAAGAAGTCCAAGAATTAAAATGTACCATTATGTATAAAAGACCGTTAATCGAATTTGAGGTTAAGAAGTAGACTTGATTGATAAATGCATCTATTGCTGATTACTTATTGGTTGATGGATATCAAAGTGACGTGTTGATGAATTAATTGAAGTACAGAATGGGCCAATTGACGATACATTGGGTCACCTCAATCCTGGTAATGTGCCTCATTTAGTGCATCCATTTGGTGATTCAATTGGTCGCTTCATTTGTTGATTTCAATTGGTGTATTCGTCATAGTAAAGTGCAATTTTTTAAAATTATTCGGTAATATTACGTGACCTACGAACTTTCATAATATCTACTGGGCTTGGTAGATACATTCAGGTAGATTCTGTCACCACTAAAAATTCAAGATTTCTTAACAAACGACAAGTATACTGGAGACCATTCGACAACTATTATCAATCACCTTATTCTCTCAAAAGGTATATTTTACCTCATTAACCAAAGTGGAATTTCTACATTGCCAGTGTGCACTGTAATTTAGGCTCACATCATAGACCAGATACATGATATCATATACATGCATCAATAATTAATCTGTACGGAATACTACATGTCAATCTTATCTATTTTGTCGCGAAATGTCAATAGGGTCCAATACGTCTTTAGGGTCTAAATGCATGTAAATTTTACATATCTGAATCTTCAAATTATTTGAACGGTTTGAATGTTTCAAAAGTCCAAATCTCTGAAATGTTGTCTCTGAAATGCATTGCTGAACCACGAGCAATATTTCACAAATTTGATCTCCAGAATGAAGTGGCTTGTCCCTCGGATATCTCGAATCAATTTTTCTTGACAAACGAATCCTAAGGTAAAAATAACGTCTTGGCCGGAAATCGAACTCCATGGTTCCGGCCAAATGTCGTTATCTGATCCACAGATTTGGGTGCAAAATTCAGCCACACTTATCAATATAAAGGCAACCTTAAAAGGTGTACAGAAACCGATCTATTGCTCATTCACTTACTCCTTACAAATCACAATGGTCAGTTACTGGAAACCTTCGGGCTCCGAATTAGACGATCCAGTGTTCTATGAGAACATCAAGAAGCGTATCCAAGCAGGCTCGCTCGCTGACGCTTCAGAGATCGATGAAGCCAAAAATCACATCAAGTACCCAGAGTACTTGACTAGAACGACTCTTGAACATGAAGGAAGATATAACACTCAGGTGAATCCTGGCCATGAGAATAATGACAAAGGTCATTTGGGAAATCCAACATTTGAGAACCTTTTCAAAAGTCCAAAAGTTAAGACTTTTGATTTGTCTCCTAATTTGGGGACAGAAATTGATGGTGTTCAATTGAGTCAATTGGATGATGCTGGAAAGAACGATTTGGCGTTGTTTTTGGAAACTAGAGGTTTGGCCGTTTTCAGAAACCAGGACCTCAGGGATCAAGGCCCAGAGTTCGCTGTGAACTTTGGAAAACACTTTGGGCCCTTGCACATCCATCCCGTTTTGTATTCCGTGGATGATCACCCAGAGCTTTTGGTTACCTTCAGGAAGGCAGGAGACAGTTCCAGATATGCTCAGGAGCTTCTGTTCAAAACTCACAGTAACAACTTTGGCTGGCACTCGGATGTGAGTTTCGAACAGTACCCTGCTTCGTTCTCCTTTTTTGTTGCTTTGGAGGCTCCTCCATCGGGAGGTGACACCATCTTTATCGATTTGCGTGAAGCATACAAGAGATTATCTCCAACGTTGCAGAAGTTTTTCGAGACGTTGACGGTTGTCCATTCCAACTATTACCAGAACAAATATGCTGAACTCAGAAGCCAGGTTGCTAGAGTTAAAGGAGACTACTTCACTGAGCATCCATTGGTGAGAACCCACCCAGTGACTGGAGAGAAGAGTTTGTTCTTCTCTAGTGGTTTCATTCAAAAAATCAAGGGTGTGAAGCCTTCGGAATCTGCTGCTATCTTGAACTTCTTGGAAGATCATGTTACAAACAACCCAGAGTTCCAGGTTAGAGCTACTCATAGAGGTACCGACTCCAGGACTGTGATTGCTTGGGATAACAGATTTTTGCTTCATTCTGCTACAAGTGACTTCCTTGAGCATGAAACTGGCCCAAGACATCACTACAGGATCACTGTTCTTGGTGAAAAACCATACTTTGAGAAGTCTTTGGCAGACTTGACAATTTAGTTTTGTATTTATTGTAATTGAGAATTTCTGGGGATTACCAAGTAGTAGAATCACAACTAAGAAGAGAATTGTTGACTAATGCTAAAGCCACAATAGGGTAAAAGATTTCGAACCCTATAGCACAATACTAATTTGGGCAAGTAGTATAGTTATTTTAACAATGAGTATTCAAAGAACTCTAATAAATTCAGTGGTTCAGCATATCGTAACTCGATCTTCTCACTATCTCTTATATTAACGAAAAAAATAAGAACTGAGCAGATCTTCACAGCAAGAATACGACACTTCAAAAAAAAAAAAAAAAAAAAAATTAGTGACGGGCAAGTTGGAAACAGAATTTATGGTAATTTGTCATGTTTGTCAGTCCTCCCAGTCATAGCAAAAGAGAATCACCAATAAATAGCGCAAATGATACAATAATGCAGCGAAATTGAAAATCCCCACAACCTCCACTTTCTGATCTTGATGCAGGGTTTAAAATTCAACCGTAGGGAGCTGAAAGTCCACAATGTATTAAATGACGTTATCGGAGCCACTATTTGTGTACAGGTTTGGGTGCAAAATCGCCCCTAAACGCATACAACATAAAAACCCCAAATCCACGAGCAAAATGTAAAGCCAAAATCAAAAAAAAAAATGGTAACTTATTGGAAAATTCACTGGTCGGAATTGGATGATCCAGTTTACTATAAAAACATTCAGCAGAAGATCCAAGCCGGCTTGGCTACTACTGCGTCCGAGGTTGACAATGCGAAGAACCACATCAAGTACCCGGAGTATTTGGTCAGAAGTAAGATAGAGGACGAAGGTAAATACAATAATCAAACCAATCCTGGCCATGAGAATAATGACAAAGGTCATTTGGGAAATCCGACATTTGAGAACCTTTTCAAAAGTCCAAAAGTTAAGACTTTTGATTTGTCTCCTAATTTGGGGACAGAAATTGATGGTGTTCAATTGAGTCAATTGGATGATGCTGGAAAGAACGATTTGGCGTTATTTTTGGAAACTAGAGGTTTGGCCGTTTTCAGAAACCAGGACCTCAGAGACAAGGGACCTCAATTTGCTTCGGAGTTCGGTAACTACTTTGGACCATTACATATTCACCCAATTGCTTACTCTGCCGAAAATCATCCAGAGCTTTTGGTCACTTTTAGAAACTCGGGTGATGGTTCTAGATACAAGCAGGAGCTTCTGGACTCGACGACAAGTTTGACTTACGGATGGCACTCCGACATCAGTTTCGAAGAGTACCCTGCGTCTTTCTCTTTCTTTGTTGCTTTGGAGGCTCCTCCATCTGGAGGTGACACCATCTTTATCGATTTGCGTGAAGCCTATAAGAGATTATCTCCAACTTTACAGAAGTTTTTCGAGACGTTGACTGTCGTCCATTCTAACTACCACCAGAACAAGGTCGCAGCGCTCAGAGGACTCGTTGCCAAAGTAAAGGCTGATTATTTCACCGAGCATCCATTGGTGCGCACTCATCCGGTTACAGGAGAGAAGAGTTTGTATTTCTCTCGTCTCTTTATCCATAAGATCAAGGGTGTGAAGCCTTCGGAATCTGCTGCTATCTTGAACTTCTTGGAAGATCATGTTACAAACAACCCAGAGTTCCAGGTTAGAGCTACTCATAGAGGTACCGACTCCAGGACTGTGATTGCTTGGGATAACAGATTTTTGCTTCATTCTGCCACGGGTGACTTCCTTGAGCATGAAACTGGTCCAAGACATCACTATAGGATCACTGTTCTTGGAGAGAAGCCATACTTTGAGAAGTCGTTAGCAGACTTGACAATTTAGTACTATATTTATGTGGATTGATTGATGTTATATGATATTAATAAGATACCGTGTATAAGCATTCTGGGATTCCGGATAAGGTTCATTTCATTTATTTAGATTAGCTGTAGATTGCAATAATCTGAATAAAAGTATAGGAAGGTAACTTTCTAGAGGCAGTATGTGTAGTCCACAACTCGGACACACTCAAACATTATGATACAATTGAACTTGATTGTTCTTGTGACAATTCACTTCATTAGTAAGCGATAGTTGGTTTTCTGAAAAAGATTCTCCAATTTTGTTACCGTTAATATGTTGATTTTCTCTTCTTATTCGGGATGTTAGTCAATGACGACTCTTGGATATGGGATACCTTGTATCAATTTATGTTGAAGTCACTTCGTTCAGCTCTCAATTTTTTGACTATTCTTCTCTTTTAGTTTACCAAGACAAAACTGAATTTAAAAAACACAGACCCCAGATTCTCGAGGGATTAAACTTGTCATTCTCAAGTCTTCAATAAAGCACTCATTCTATTTAATTGGCTAATCAACTTGATATCAAAAAGTTTAGAATACAAATGGAACAACACTCATTCTTTGCTCCTTTCATCCATAAAATATCAATTTTGTCATTATTTTGGCACATAAATCACACTTTTTCTCTTATGGTTATGCATTTTACATTTTACACTTTGCGTTTTGCGTATTGCAAATTTGCATTATCAGTTCCCATCAATCTCTACTCAGTTATGATTACACCACTTTCATAATTTCCACCAATCATCGAAAATCGCCCACTACATCCCTCCAAATGCCAATTCTCTAATCTCCCAATTCCTCCACCTTATTACTTAAACTGCAACAGCAACCTGTCATACTTGCATGTTGTATCATGGTGCACCCGATCTACCATCTTCAGGTGCATACATCACCTACCCTATTGGGAAGAAAGAAGCTTAAGTCATTCCTTCCCTTCTTGACACATTCTCAACGGTTTTTCTGACACATTGTCTTCGTCAAGTTCCAATCAATGCCACATCGGCGCGTGGCTCGACCATTTTGGGAAGGTGAGAAAGAGTAGGATAGTGCGAACATGTCAAATGCCATAGTTACTGACACTAGACAAGACTGATCTGACTAGAAAAAAAAACCTCATCGCCGTCGTTTTCTGTCTGTCACTATACTTATAATGTGTCCACTGAAACCATACTACGAGGCATTGCCCTCTGCGTTGAAGCCTACGCATTACGACATTTCCATCTCCAACATCTCTGACGAGAATTACTCTGGAGTAGTCAACATCGATTTGGACGTGGTGGAATCCACCAATCAGTTGCACTTACACTACAGAGACTTGACCATCGGTGCAGTGACAGCTACATATGGTGGAAAGTCCGTGAAAGGTAAGGTTGCTCTTCTTAATAAGGAGAAGGAGTATTTTGTGGTCGAGTTCGCTGACAAATTCGAGGTTTCTCATGGTCTGGTGTCTGTGAAGGTGGCCTTTGATGGAAATATTCAGACCAACATGGCCGGTTTCTATAAGTCGTCCTACAAAGAGGATGGCGAAACCAAGTATATGCTTTCTACGCAGTTTGAGGCCACAGATGCTAGAAGAACATTCCCATGTCTCGACGAGCCAGCTTTGAAAGCCACTTTCGCCGTAAATCTCACTGTTGAGAACCACTTAACTGTTTTGGGAAATATGCCAGTCAAGGAAGAGAAGGCAGATGGTGATTTGAAGGTTGTCACGTTTGAAACTACTCCAATCATGTCTACATATCTATTGGCTTGGGCTGTTGGTGAATTCGAGTATATTGAAGGATTTACTAGCGACCTTTATGCTGATAACAAACCATTACCTGTGAGAATTTATACTACGAAGGGCTACACCAAGGACGCCGAGCTTGCATTATCTCTCGCACCCAAAATCGTGGACTATTTCTCTAAGATCTTTGAACTCAAGTATCCATTGCCCAAACTCGATTTGATCGCTGTCCATTCGTTTTCTCACAATGCTATGGAAAATTGGGGTCTCATCACCTACAGATCTACGGCTCTTTTGTACTCTGAAGAGACTTCTGACCCTAGTTACAAGCAAAACGTCGCTTACGTAGTTGCACACGAAATCGCTCACCAGTGGTTCGGTAACTTGGTCACCATGCAGTGGTGGGATGAGTTGTGGCTAAATGAAGGTTTTGCAACTTGGGTTGGTTACGCTGCGGTCGACTTTTTATTTCCAGAGTGGGACATTTTCTCTGGGTTTGTATCGACTTCTTTGCAAAATGCCCTTGGACTCGACGGTTTGAGAAATTCTCATCCTATCAAAGTTCCTGTGGTAGATGCATTGGATATCGACCAACTCTTCGATGCAATTTCGTACTTGAAAGGTGCCTCCACCATCAGAATGCTTTCCAGTTACTTGCACACCGATGTTTTCCTCAAGGGTGTGGCAAAATACTTGAATAATCACAAGTTTGGCAATGCTACGTCTGACGATCTTTGGAGTGCTATTTCCGACGTTTCTGGCAAGAACATTGGAGCGATGATGGAGTCTTGGATCACCAAAATCGGATTCCCTGTCATCAAGGTGACTCCTCACGATAAGAAGTGGGTGGTGGAGCAGTCTAGATTCCTCAATGGAGGAGGCGTGAAGCCAGAGGAAAACGAGACCGTCTGGTGGGTTCCTTTGGATGTCAGTTCCGAGGCTTCTATTGAACTCGATAGTTTCTCTACCAGAAGCCACACCATTGACGAGATTCCAACTGGCTTGTTCAAATTGAACAAGGAAACCGAGGGTGTTTTCCGTGTTAGCTATGATCCCAAGATTCTCCACAAGAACATTCTTCCATACTTTGGCTCTCTTTCAGGAAAGGACAAGGTGGGAATCATTGCAGATGTTTTATCGATTTCTGTTTCTGGAGATATTTCCACCTCAAATTTCTTGGACTTGGTTAAGTCCATCACTATTGATGATGATCAGCTCGGAGAAAATTACGTGGCATGGTTGGAATTGTGCAATAGACTTGCATACTTCAGCACAACTTTCAGTGTGAAGCACACTGAGCTTTCTAAGAAGATTGCAAAGTTTACTAGCGATGTCTACCGTAAGTTGGCAACCAAAATGGTTTCTCAACCAGTAGACAAGGATGACTTCTTGAAGTCGAAGTTGAGAGCAAAAATCTTGAACTCCTCTGCGGGCTTAGATATTCCAGAAGTTAAAGAGTATGCTGAAAAATTATTCAATGAGTGGAAGACTACCAAAAGTATTGATCCATCATTGAGATACTTTGCTTTCAGCTCCATTGTCTCCTCTGAGAACTTGACTGGGGCTGATTTCGACCTTATTATGAGTGAGGTGACCAACCCAACATCGTTGGATTCCAGAGAGATTGCTTTGGGAGCTTTGGGTCACATTTCCAATGAGAAATTTGCAGAAAAGTTGATATCATACCTTGGTGATGAGACTGTGATTCCCGTTATGGACGCCCACTTCTTGGGAATCAGCTTGTCGAAGAACACCAGCACTAGAGATTTGCTTTGGAGCTTCTTCAAGCAAAACTATTCCGTTTTGCACAAGTTGATGTCAAGCAACATGGTAGTGTTGGACAGATTTATCAAGGTCACCTTGTGCAACTACCAGTCGTTCAAGATGGAAGAGGATGTGAAGCAATTTTTCGAGAAGAAGGATATCCACGGATTCGAGAGATCGTTATCACAGGTGCTTGACCAAATTACAATTAATGCTTCGTATTACCAGAGAGATCAGGGTGTGGTTCAGCAATGGTTGACTGAGAACGGATACTAGAATTATAGCTCTCTAGCAAGTTTGAACTTAATAACAATATAATCAGGACTTCAAACAATACTACACTTTATCGTAAACAGTAGGTGCACTATTCTATAATCGTTCATGCCTTGTCCACGTTGTGCTCGTGGGTGGTGGCGTATCTTCCGGATGGGTCAGCGTGACAGCCCCATTCAGCCTTTGGAATCCATCTCATAACGGTGCTGGCAGCAGCCTTGGATTTGTTGAACATCTCGTCGAACTTGCATCTGTACCAGTAAGCCTCCTTAGTGGTTGGGATGTCGTCACCCCACTCTGGCTTAGGGTTGGCCAACTCCTCATCAGACACAGCAGCCTCAGCAGCATCCTTCAAGCCGTCAATCCACGAGTATCCCACACCGTCAGAGAACTGCTCCTTTTGTCTCCACAAAATCTCCTCTGGCAAGTATGGCTTGACGTCAGGCTCGTCGGTAGTGTCGAAAGCCTTTCTCAAGATGTACTTCTCGATTCTACCCTTCTGGATCAACTTGTCCTCTGGGTTAATGTTCATACAAACCTCCAAGAACTGCTTGTCCAAGAATGGTACTCTGGCCTCCAAACCCCAAGCCATGGTGGACTTGTTGGCTCTCAAACAGTCGGCGTAGTGCAAGTTCTTGACTCTCTTGACACACTCCTCGTGGAACTCAGATGCAGATGGGGCGTTGGCAAAGTACAAGTAGCCTCCAAACACTTCGTCGGAACCCTCACCAGACAACACCATCTTGACACCCTGTGCCTTGATCTTTCTAGACAACAAGTACATAGGGGTGGATGCACGAATGGTGGTGACGTCGTAAGTCTCCAAGTTGTAAATGACGTCGTTCAAGGAGTCCAAACCTTCCTCCAAAGTGAAGGTGTGAGAGTGGTGGATGGTTCCAATGAAGTGGGCCACCTTCTCGGCAGCAATCAAATCTGGGGCACCAGGCAAACCAATGGCGAACGAGTGCAATCTGTTGAAACCAGAAGTGTGCAAAGAACCGGAAGCGTCAACACCAGACAACTCCTTGTTGGCGTCAATACCGTCCTCGGCAATGGTGGCTGCAGCCTTCTGGGTCTCTCTGGATGCGATGGATGCAATCAAAGAGGAGTCCAAACCTCCAGACAACAACACACCGTAAGGAACCTCGGCCATCAATCTCTTTCTGACGGCCAACTCCAAGGTCTCTCTGACCTTCTTATAGTCTACATGCTCAGTTGGAATCTTGGAGCCATCCCACCAGGAAGGCGTGAAGTATCTCGTGAGTTCATCAGTGTTGGAGTCATAAACATGGCCAGGAGGGAATGCAAAGATCTCATCACACTCATCGATGAGACACTTCAACTCGGAAGCAAAGTATCTGGTCTCTGGAGACTTGGAAGACTTACCCATATACAAGGTGACGATACCGATAGGGTCTCTGGCAGCCACGATTCTGTCGGTCTTCTTGTCGTGCAAAACAAAGGCAAACATACCGTCCAAGTGCTTTGGAGCATCGATTCCATACTTCTCAACCAATGGGATGATTGGCTCACAGTCTGACAAAGACTGAAACTTGTACTGTTTGAGCTCATCTCTCAACTGGATATGGTTGTAGATTTCTCCGTTGACAGCCAACGAGTATCTCTTGTCCTCGGAAAGGATTGGCTGGGCTCCGGCGTCCAAACCAACAATAGCCAATCTCTCATGACACAAGATGGTGTCGTTTACAACAACGTTTCCTGACCAATCTGGGCCTCTGTGTCTAATTCTCTTGGAGTACTGCAAGGCCTTGTCCTTGAACAGCTCGATGTCCCTCTGCTTGTATGCAGCGAAGATTCCACACATTATTCTTTAGAGTGTTTTTTGGGTTTCTTTAGTTAGGAAAGAAGGTCGACTTTATGGGAAATTTTGTCGATGATTTTTTCACCCAGGTGCGCTACCCCCGGAACTGCTCGGGTCGGATATGTGATTGTTATTCCTGTATATGGTGATTTATCTCGTGGTAACCTGCTTGATTGAGAAGGCGACTGTATCTAGACAGGGATTTGGCAATAGAAAAGTCGCAAAAGCCGGGGGTAATTGGTTTATGTGCAGTTCTTCCGGTAGTTTTCATTGATTTTCTTCAGCCTTCCAAGTTATGACTCAGCTCGATAAGGTGCAATGTGTAGGAATGACTCACAAGGCGAGATAACAGGTGAAGTATAGGGTGACTCATGACAACCATGCGATAAGTGGTTTATATGTTAACTCAAGATTGTGATTGTGTCTAATGTTAGTGGTTGGTGTTTGGGAGGTTGTAGAGATCATACTGGTTGAAAATATAAATACGAGAATGATGACCTAAAGTTGAATTGAGTTTAGTGATGATTTTGATCCGTTCAAGATTTTGAATCGTTTTACTATTTGGATAATCCAATTTGATTTAGTTCAATTTATTTTGATCTGATTTGATCTAGTCTGACCAATCTAAACTTTTCTGTTTTTCCTTGATCTATTTTGATCTCTTGATCTACTCTAATCTGCTGTTTTCTTGTATTTATAGTCGTTATAAGTCTAGTCATTTTCTTCCGTTCCTAGTCCTTCATCTCTAGTGTGTTTAAGCTCTATACTTTCTGGTTTATAATGTTCTAGTCTAAATCCCCTCATGTTCCTCCTACTATCAGAGGCTTGTTCGTCCCCCTCATCTTTCTTAACTCCTGTTCAATCAACACCATCATCATGCTGGCCATAATCAACGAAGTCCTCGTGATCTCTGCCTCTCCGTCGTCTGCTACACCCTCGGCAACACTCTCAAACAATCGTACCGTTCCAGTTACCCTCACACCTTCAAGCCGCTCGTCTCCATTGTCTACATACGATGCATAGGGGATATTGACCAATGGCGACGCCTGCGAAAGCAATTTCAGAACTCCTGAACGGTCTTGTTTGGTCACCGCGAGATAAAGTGGATTGTCATTAATGCCTGTCAAATCCACATCTTTGATGGAAGCGGCAGTGTCGATGTTGTCGCAATCCACGCCGTCTGCAAGTGTAGGGGTCAGATCGTGAAGCAAAAATAGCTTGATCAAGCCATTTCCAAATGTGGAAGACGCTCCAGAGGCACCAAATACTCTCAACTTTGTGCCCTTATATATAGCATCAGCATGAGGCTTCAATGCATCGTTGAAAAGAACTATATTCTCGCCATTATGGAACATTAACACGTAGCATGTGAGATTGTTCAGCAAAATCTTGAAATACACTTTGCAGAACTCCAGTTTCAGCGACCCATCATGGAAGTAGGTGGTAAGAAGAGGTGCATTTTTCTTGAGAAAATGGAACTTATTCAGTTGAATGGTAAACATGGGAGGTTCATCATCCTTGAGGGACCGCAACGAACTATACAACTGAAGATCCAGCTTGATGTGACCCACAACAAGAGGCATTTCCCTGATTCGAGTATATGACAGAAGCTTCACGCCGAACACCGGCACCAGCGATGCAGACACGGTTTCGTCGGAGAAAATAGAAGCATTATCGAGTTCTGCGGGAGTAGTTGCCGAAAAAAGTGTCAGAATGGACTCCTCACTCCTACTTCTAGGAATCATTCGGCTGGATAAGATTCTTATTTTGGTATTGGAAACTAGTAGGCATTACACCCGTGCACCAAGGTAACGTTTCAGATGGGTGGCCGCGCATACTTTCCACAAGTGGAAGGGCCGCCTCAATCCGGGGAAGAGGGAAAAGTGGGAATGGAGCGAAAGGAGGGAAATGACCAGAAAATTAGGGAATGATCAAAGAAAAGGAGAAGACGAATAGGAGAAAGGAAAAAAAGATGTGTGTGGGGAGATTAGGAACTGCGAGATTTGAATAGGTCAATGTCTCAACATATTGAGAAGGGAACACATAATATAAGAGCAAACGAGTCATGACAGCATACCAATAGAGTCATAGAAAAGAGTAGTGGAGTCACTCATCGTGGCCACACATCAAAGAGTCATGTCTCTAACCTAAAATTTAATCTTAGACAGATAAAAGTTTAAAAAGTTGCTAGTCAGACATTTTTGTCTCCAAGTCAGACATTTGTCTCCAAAATAGCAACGTTTGGCGGACTCGATAGGGGCTTGCCCCAACCTCCGCAACTCAATCGTTCGCCAAAGTTGGACCAATCACAACTATACAATTGAATAGAGATGACTGGACATAAGGGCGATACATCCGTCCGACCATCATCTCTAACCTTGAGCTCCGAGCTACCAGCTCCGAGCATCAGTTCCGAGCCTATCAAATAACGTTCGGAGTTACTGCGTAAGTCCACCGAGCTTTTGTCAAATTATCACCGAAAATAAACCTGACCACAATTCGCCCATCACTTGCCCTAATTTACGGCAATCGCCCGAAACTTAAATAAAAGTTAAGTGACTTTTTTTCTTCTAAATAAAAACGTCTCTGAGATTTACCAAAAATTCCTCACATTCCTTTCTATTTGTTCAAATCGCCATATATGACGGTGCTTTCATTCTACCTCTACACATTCGCTTGCTCCTCGCTTCCCTTTTCGACTTCTCACTCTGGTCAAAATGCCTTCCAAGTCGCAAACCTCCATGCAAGTCGACGTGGGGTTTGATTAACGATGGAGTAATACTGCAGACAGCCCTGGCCGCCGACAAAAGTCCGTTGATCCGTTAACAGCATGAGGGAAGTTCCGGATCCGAGGCAATACCACTAGCACATGCTGGTGGAAATGTTGACAGGGCAATGAACACATAGTAAAGGATAAAAACTCAAATGTTTCAAAGATTTGTGACATTCTTCGAGCCTCAACAGGTTCTCAACTCCGACTCCGAAAATCCGAGGTGAGCTAATTGCGGGAAGTCGAGTGGGGCCGCACAAGACTTGAGTGATTGAGCGGGTGATTTCCGAGGGTGAATCTGTGAGAAAGTGAAAGGTGAAAGACATTGTATATCACGTGATCGGGTTTTCATTTAAGTTAAATGCAGGCATTGGCGGCAACCGGACCCCAACTCCGACCTGAACTCCTATATAATTTCCTCTCCACGCTTTTCCCGCCTAGGGTTCCCCCTCTGGATCTCGATTTCCCCTCTAGTTCCCCTCGTTGAATCACCGTTGACTCAAATGGAAAATGTGGGAAAAATTCCATCAATGATAAAACTTGTCTAGTCTCACAATATTTCCCATTTTTTCATGTAGTTTGGTTCTTCTATTATTTGTGCTGTCTTTTCCAATGGCGGCACTGCCAATCCCACCCACAATTGACTCCGGAAGAACATTTTGCGCATGGTGAGCAAACCGGAAGTCACCAGCCCCCACCACAGGAGCCCCTCTCCGGCGTCAACGTTCAGCCTCGTACCACCTATTCTATGCGTGGCCGGAAGTCATACTTGTCCTGCAGACGGATAAACGGAGAACCAGTTACCACCACCGGAACTCTCACTATTGAAACCCCCTCAGAACCGGACACTATGAATGCGGGGTGCTTGCCCCAGAAAATCCTAACCTGCGTTCCATCAAACCTTTCACCTATAGAGAAATTTTTCCAGCTTCATACACCTTTCTTATTGCGATTTTGACAGGATCTTTCCCGTTGAATTTTCTATTCCGTTTCTTCTATTGACTTGATTTGTCTCGTGGGTTCATCGCGTTCTGTCTTGATCGGTGGGTAATTTCTTCTAAGTACTAACGATTTTCTTGCGGGATGCCTCCTCCCCAGAAGAAATACATTTGTGGCTTCTGTGCCAGAGCCTTCACAAGGTCTGAACATAAACAGCGCCATGAACGCTCTCACACAAACGAAAAACCTTTCCACTGCTTATATTGTACGTCGGCGTTTGTTCGTAGAGACTTGTTGCAAAGACACTGCCGGACAGTGCATAATATTCGACTCGTAAGTCGTTCGCACTACAAAGAGGAGCGATTCTCTGAGTCGTCACCTAAAAAACTGCCCCTGTTGGTGACGGTGCCTATGAACAAGCCGGGTACTACCGCCGGAGACGACGGACTTGCCAAATCTGTCGTAGACGCTGGAGGAATCGACCATAGTTCGGCCTCGGTGCGGCCTCTGAATCTTGGTGGGGTTGGTGGGGTGGGAGGTGGTGTTTCCAATATTACCAATGCTGTTGGCTCCACTATTCCTACTGACCATGCCAGTATGTCTAATCATGCCAATACGGCGCCTATACCTACGCATGTGGCTGCGTCTGTTGACCAAGATGCGTCGACTAAGTCAAGTATTCCACAATATGCATATGATTCGGTGACTCGTCCTGGAATCGGGCCAAGTCACCAGTCGGCGCCTCCAACCACTCACGATCATGAAAATGATACTCACATCATGGCATCTGCGAAGGCGCTTTTGCAGTTGGCGCCCGCCAAGAGTTCCCGGGCTCAGACTCAAACCCTCCCTGGTACTTCCGTTTATGAGACGGTACCTCGGCCTGTGAAAACCACCTCCGAGTCTGGTTCGGACTCCCCGTTGACGCTGGTGAGTCTGTTGGATGAAAACGCAAAATCGGCCTCCAGGTTCGATCACCGCTCTGGCTCCATTAGTGGCCCTTTGGGCCCCCTAGGTACCTTAGGAAACCCTACAAATATGGCCCCTTCCAGTTCAATGGCTACAGTTGGCTCTATGGCTGCCCCTGTCCAGAACTTCATACCATCGGGCATTGAACATCTATCAACCTCGTCACCTCGTCTGGACTTGGTGCAGTTGCTCTCCATTGCCAAAAACTTAGAGAAAGCTTACGACTCCGAAGACTTGCAGTATCCGGTTAATGAGTTATTCCTAGTGGGCTACTCGGTGCTCTCCAATGAGCCATATTCGGTCTTCCTCAATTTCCGTAGGAGCTTGGTTGAGAACTTGCACTCGCATTCATCCAGCTCGGCTCTCTCTGATTTCAGATTGGGCATCGTGTACACCGTCTTGGCTGTTGGAGCGTTAACCTGCCCTGGTAACGATTACAACTGCGATGAAGTGGCCACATTATTTATCAAAAAGGCTTGGAACATCTTGGTGGACAAGCTTATACCCCAGCACACCAGCCTCATCTTTCAGAGCGAGATTTTGAAGAACTTGTATGTGTTGACTTATACTTATCTCCGCTTCTTTAACAATGACCTAATGTTATCCTACTTGGAGGACAGTTCCCATATCATCTTGCAGAATTTGGCTGCTGCCCAGAATAACATGTCCGAGGAGATTGTGCTGATGAACATGGACCTCTTTTGGAGCATCTATGTACTTGTTTCCAAGTACAAGATCAATGAAGCACCTCCAAAATTTTATTCGTGGTTTTTGGCCCAAAAGGTTTTCAAGGACTCCACCATTACACTCCAGCAATTCATGGGCAATTTTCTGAAGTCAGTTACCCCGCTCTCGGAGCCTTTTCTCAATGAAATCGTCATTTGCACCCTCTCCAACGAAGTGGCCAACCTAACGTTCAACCAATCCTTGTGGATATTTGACCTGCGGAACTCCTTGCACAATGCCATAATTCTCATTAACAAATCCGTCAATAAGTCGGTTCTGCTGGCCAGTACCTATTCGGAAATCTTTGAAATATTCAAAAAGAAGTTAATTCTCAATGCACCTCCTAAGTTCAAGGATCTCATGGACTATTATGCTTTTCAGATCAGCTCTCCTTACCATTGGGGCCTTCTTCTCGCTACTTTGAGAGAAGTCAACTCCACTTTCAATTTCGATCGGTTCATGAAGGATAATATGGCCCGGCTGTTCCAGAAGTTCGGAAATGCATTGCTCGAATTCTTTTCTGCGAATGATTGTTTGAGCAATGGCAATTCAGCTTATGAAATCAATAACAATTTGGGCATTGTCAGCTTTCCCATCATATTCAACTACAACCTTCTCAAAATGAACAACGTTTCTCTGCCTGTTGATGTTGCTAAGTTGAATCTTGTGGATATAGCTAACTTAAACAGCTTGATATTGGAATGGTATATCACTATGGTGAAGATCTTGATCAATTTGTTTTCCAACAATTCTCCAGCTAAAACTCAACATGTTCTTGCTGACAATACCGTACTTCAGTGCTTGATGTACATGATTACTGAAAAAGAGGTCCATTTTAGCTCTGCGTCCCCAGAAGTATACTTGCAGATGTTTAATGAACTTACCAAGATTTGCGACACTTGGTTGAACTACTTCAACAAGAACACTCACTTGGCCACCTTCCGTATGAACGTCAACCGTTTTTTGAATGACTTGTTTGTCTTGGCTTTGAACCAGGAAGATTTTTTCATTGGAGACTTGTATGTGACGAACGAATCGATCTTGATTCGTAATAGGCGGTCGAAATCGATTAGCTCGATTGACACTGCTTTAAACAATTCCAAGATGGCGAATTCCAGAGGATCTATATCGGCAGGGGCTTCAGGTTTTGGACAAGTACCATTGCCTGCTTTTGCTAACACCGGTAAAGTGAATAGCAACTACGTTTTGATGAACAAGACTGAGAGTTCTGAGTCTCCACCATTGAAGGCCAGACAACCTTCACAAGGCTTTGTTGCTATGTCTCCAAGCACGTCTTTGCCTCCACTCCAAGGTGTTGCAAAGCTTCAATTTGCTTCCGGAGCAACAAGCTCAACATCCCTGATTATCTCTCCGCCAATTGCACCGCCTGCTAATTCGTTGATTTTGCCTCCTATACATGCCCAGGCAAGAGAGGGAGACAAGTCCCCATTGAGAGGCTTCAAGCGTGTTCTTTGAAACATAGTGTAATATATTCTGGTACATAGCGTAATTTGATTCTTTCAAAACTTACAAATCTGCTTTCGAAGATGATCATGAATACTCAAAGCTTAGAGTTGCGTTCAAATATGTCCTGGTGGTAGCTTTCTAATCTCCAGGCTTTCTCCACTTTTATATTCAACTCCACGTCATCTTCTTTTTCTACAACTTTTTTCTGATAACACTCAAGTATGAGCTCCAACGGAATGCAGAGGCAGAACAGTGGTACTTTCTCAGTTTTGGATGCTACGCTGCCGTTAACTGAGGGCACGAAAACTTGGGCATTGCTGCAAATTAGTCCAACTAGACTTCCTCTTTCGTTGAAAAGCCCTCCTCCAGATGATCCATTCCAGCATGATGAAGATGCTATGAGAACACAAGGAATTTTTGGCGAGCTCTCAAAGGGCTGGTGATATATTTTCGAGCTAACGTGTCCACTAGATTTCATTGTTTTCAAATGATCTCTGTTGAGGATCAAGCCGTAACCAGATGTGGTTACAACGTCTCCGATTTGCAAATTGTTGGAAAAGGACATTTTGGTGGGTCGAATGGAGGATACCAACATCATATTTTGCGGTGACAATACAATAAATGCCAAGTCCAAACTCTCGAATGGAATTATGATCTCATCGTCTTGACCTATAGTCATGGATGTGCTTTCATTGATCACAACTTCACATACGATGTCTGTTGACTCACGATAGCGCTTGATAACATGTAAGTTGGTGACCAAAGTGAGCTGGTTTAGAAGGATGCAAGAGCCCCAAGATAAGTTGCGGTTATCCTTGAACAAAACAATCGGAAAGACAGGATTCTTCGAGGTCAGGGCAGCGTTTGAAGTTGGCAGTATCCATGACTTTTCGAAATTCTTGGTTTCCGTAGTCATCTTCAAGTTGGGAAGAAGTGGAAGCAATCGCTCCCAAGGTGCAATAACTAGTAAGTCACCATCGCCATTAATTTTGCGAAGATTTCCAACTAGAAGTCCGACTGCCTCATCCTGTCTGGTGGTCACCAAAGCGCCGCTCATGTTCTCCAAGTACTTTATGTCACTAAGGTAACCGTGACATCCCCGCTCGTCTTGTAGGGTAAAATTCAAGTTTCCTGTGGACGCAAAATCTGCAAAGATAGAGGCATTGGTGAAGTTGAAAGGAGATGACCGAATCACAATTGGGGCTAGTAGTTCTGGAGTGACTGATAAAAATTCACGAAATCGATGGCTCGTTTCAAGGGAGTATATGCTTCGACACAGTACCTTGATTAAATTCAATGACAGCAATAATGGATTTCCCACCAACGAGTCCAAAGGGAGGAAGTTGAATCCATTCTGTAATGCATATTTCATGTAGTCGTAGAGTGGGTCGTCGATCGCCCTGAAAACTGGAGCCAGTGCTACTACAGATGAATCTAGCCAGATAACATCACCATTTCCGTGCAAATGAGGTGCTGCAACGTAAATTTTATAATCTTTTTCCACCTGATCAAGTGGAAGATGGCAGATCGAAAGACAAAAGGAATCAACAATCTCCTCTCCAACCTTATCTACGATATAGATAGCTGAGAGTGAATGGGCGATGGTACTGTTTCGAGAATTGACGATCCTGATACATGCTGACGAATAAAGCCAGACCATGTCAAGTGAAGTCTCAGATATGTGGGGCTGGTTGTCTTTGGTGATAATGGATTGTATATAGGAGAGATTGTAGGTTATCATTTCCGCATCCGAGGCTCAGTTCCGCATGGCAAATGGAAATCTCCGGTGAATTCTACTTTGGATCTCCAAGTAGTTGGGTTCATTTTCTGGGGTAACATAGCCATGTCTCATCAAAAAGTCCACAATCACCAAGCCACAATTGGGCTTAAACTCATCTGCAAGCATTCTTTGTTTAACTTCCTCGATTGTCATGAGCTTGAAATCCTCAGCCTCTCCGTCAACTGGAAAAGGAACAGTATCCGTCTCGGATTCAAACTCCAAGTCGTAAACGTACTCCACTTCAGGTTGAGCATGGCCCTTTGGGCCGTATGGTTGGCACAAGTAGGTGATCACACCAGCAGATTTAATATGGCTCTCAACAAAGTCAGCACTCAATCCGCCTTCTTCGTAGCACTCCTTAACAACATTCTCCCATATTCCGTAGGGATGTGCCAATCCGCCTGCGATGGTGTTGTCTAATTTTCCTGGATAAGTTGCCTTAGTCAAGGATCTCCGGGGAACCCATAATTTAAGCACATTATCTACAGTTTTTGATGCTGGAACATAGCCATTGATGTGAACACCGTAGGTTGCTACACCCAAAAGACAAGAAAATGCTCTTTCAAGTAACATATAAGGAACCGACCGGGGGTTATAGATGGTGTACAACTCATCACGCCAACCCAGCGCTAGCAATTGGTCGGTCTCCTTCCATTTAAGAGCAATTTCTGCAAAAACCTGGTTTCTTTTCTCGAAAGTATCTAAGGAGGGACTCAACTGCACGATGTGACTGGATTCATCTACCTGGAAATAATCGGACGCCTTTAACCGATGTGCTATTTCAGGTACGATGTACCCGAGTAGAGCCCCGTCATGGCTGATAAACTTCCAGTAATAAGGATCTTCAACGTAGGGAAAGGAATCGACTTTTTCGACCAATGGAAGCAATGACATGATATGATACGTTGAATATGAGACAGCTATCTATAGAAACTATATGCAATAAGCGAGTTAATCTAGCAGGAAATCATCGGTATAGACACCCGTACACCGAGGCGTAAGGTGCATATCCATCAAAGACTAATGCAAGATTCCAAGAGTATATGGTGTTATTTATAGTTTATCGAATGTGGGCAGCTGCAAATGCGGAAAGGACTATAAAGGGCCTCAGATTTCTTATCTTTTTCCTTATCTGTATTTCATTTTGACTGACATACACGTGTCACGTCTCCCCGCTATGACCGTGTGAGCCTTAAGGTTGAAGTCCAATGTAAACACGGTGTCCGCACTACTCTAAACTCACGCACACATCAATAACTTTCTTGCTTTAGATTATTGCACATTTAGACGTTTTTTTAGTGATATCCTTCCTGTTAACACCGACATATTTATTGAATTTGCAGTTCGATCAAACTACCATCTGTAATGACTATGGACCCCGATCTGCATAACACGAACACAGTGGTTGTTGAGGTCCCGGTCACGCCTAACCCAAATGCAGAGGCAAGCGCCCCCGTTCCGGAACAAGAGACAAAAGAGAAGGTAGGGCATTCTCCGTCGGGATCTATCTCTTCAGTTTCATCTTCCGAGTCGACCGAAAAGCTCATTAAGAGTTTGTCCATGGGCAAATTGGACATCAACAAGGACGATGAGCCCCCACTTGAGCCATTCACGGTTTCTCCGATCCAGCCAGCATCTCCCAGTGTGAGTTCCCTGCTACCTAAGGCCAACAACGCCCCAAAGCCTATAAAATTTACAGTTCGGAAAGTATCTCGTGATACAATTGCCCTTCCGGAAACTGGAAAGGCTCAGAACAAGGAAAGAGAATACGCATATGGTAATTTGCCAGAAAACAGAGAAAAGGCAAAGGAGAGGAAAAGTGCAGAGAAGATGTCTCAGCTTCAGTATAGTCAGGCCAAATACGATCAATATGCTGCACGTATCGAGAAGATCAACAAGGAGGTGAATTTTTTGACCAATCTCCTTCCCCCGTACAACGTCGAAATTGACTATGTAACTCGAACGAAGATCACAAAGGCAATCGAGAAGTTGCGAATGAAACAAGATGAGATTGAGAAGAAGAAATACAGCTTGGGAATTTCTATTAGTCGCTTATGGAGAGAGCATGATGAGAATGAGATCTTTGTGAGGTCTGTAAGTAAGCATTAGTTGGAGGCTAGTGCGATTGATGAATGCTACGAGTATTCAAACCAAAGTGTTGGAAATTGGCTTCGGACAGTGACTAGATTGACCCGACTGGCGGGGCTATTCACCTTCCGCGTCGGAATCATGGTGTGGCAACACCCCCGAAGTTCGATTCAACACTTCATCAGCATAAATTCGAGTATTAGGTCCCAGGAGTTTGGCTCAATTTGATTCGGGTGGAAAAAACTCAATCAATAGTTTAGCAATTGTGTACGTTTTGATAATAAAATAGATTCACGCAGGCCTTCACTGCTGAGTGTTGGACCGAGGAGGACCTTTGGCAGGTATATTGCACTTTCGGTGATTTTCAACGAGAGATGTGACTTCCGAAGCCGTGAATCTGAATATTTTACTTTTTGAATATTTCAAGCTAATCTCAGCCTGCTTTGCCTCATATTTACAATTTTCTCTTTACTTGAACACTTCTAGCACTATCATCATTGTCAGAAAATGGGCCGACCAAGTCTTACCGGTATCTGTCATAATGTGAGTACTGCAGAAGTTCGCATGGGTGTGAAGATTTCCGATAACCAAGAGTCACTTAATCGGAGGCCCCTGGCTGCAAAAATTAATGCTCTTGTCAGTTAGTGAAACTCATATTTCCATCAAGATTTGCTTATGTCTGGGAACCAATGAAACCCTTTTTGGATTGATTAAAGACTTTCAATGTTGTGGCCAATATGGAACGGCTGAATGGACCATTTCGCAGTGTCTTGACGGAGCCCGCTCCAATGATGAGTCCGATAGTCACCTTCTACCAAGCATCATAACGTAAAAGGTCGAATATAAACATGCCGGCTTCTCTCACTTGACTGAAGGCTTTGTTTTTGTCCTAACATTCATCTCTGGAATTCCCCACATCCTGCCGTATTAGTCATCCCTCGGGTATATCTAGTCGCACTTCTCACAAGAAATAGTCATAGGCTATTTTTGTCTATTCTTCTGTCTGGTATCTCACCGTCCTTCTGATCCATTATGCTACAACTACTGACGACGTCGTCAGACCTGAGCAAATCGGAAGATGAGTTTGTGGCACAACAACTTTCAGGCGGAGAAATTGATTCCGCTCCGTTGACCAGACACTCAACAAACGTTTCGGAGCTTTCCCGAATTCTCACAGGATTACGAGATGACTACGAACAAGATGCAGCGGAGTTTGAGCTGTATAAGTCACGTCCGGTGCCGGAAGAAGCACTTATCGAACAACTTGAGTTGGTTTCTCCTAAATCTGAGCGAGATGATATACTGGAGAAGTTGGAACAAGATGACCATCCCATCGATGGTGCTTTTGCATTTTGGCAAGCGGTTTTGGCTATGTTGATGGTTTTCTCGACTTGGGGTGCCAATGCTGCCTTTGGTGTGTTCTTAAATTATTATCTTACCACTAACTCATTTCCTGGGGCTACTCAGTATGACTTCGCATTGATGGGCGGAGTCATCGTGTTTTTGGCTCAAATCCTTGCCCCCATGACGGTGCTTCTTGTAAGAATCTTTGGACAAACACCTGTTCATCTTACAGGCATTTGTTTGCAAACCCTTGGATACTTTTTGGCTGCAGAATGTACAAAGTTATGGCAGGTGTTTCTTTGCGAGGGAGTGTTGGTGGGATTTTCTTTTTCGTTGATCTTTATTCCTGGAACCTTGGTTCTTCCAACCTGGTTTGATAAGCAAAGAGCTACGGCTATGGGTATTGCTGTGGCTGGTGCAGGTTTGGGGGGTTTGGTGTTCTCTTTGTCACTTAACAAGATTATTCAGGAGACTGGTGACCAACGATGGGCATTGCGAATGGTTGGCTTTATAACCTTAGCAGTCTCTCTTTTTGGTGGTACGTTCCTACGTGTTCGTACCCCCAAGAAATCAAAATTCAAAGATCGTTTCAATAAGGACTTTATTATTAAGAACTTTAAGATTGTTTTCGATTTCCGATGTTTTGATAATTACCCAATTATTACCGTCGGGGTTTGGTTTGGTGTGGTACTTATTGGATACATCATTATTCTCTACTCGTTCTCAAGTTTTGCTACATCAATCGGATTGTCACACACGCAAGGATCCAATATATTGGCTATTCTTAACGCATCGCAGGTGGTTGGTAGACCTCTAATTGGAAATATTGGTGATTTCACCGGCCGTGCAAACACCTCAGTGGCTATCTCGATCTACGTCATTATTTTGATATTTGCATTCTGGTTCAATACCACGACATACCCTGCTCTCATAGTATTGTCGGTATTGATGGGTTCAGCAGTCGGAGTCGGTAGCACAATGGCGCAAGCTCTAGCAGGAGACGTGCTAGCGAAAATGGGGAGACATGAAAAGCTACCCGCAGCATGGGGAGGATTGAACATCATTGTTTCCTGTTTCTGTCTTCCAGCAGAAGTCATTGCATTGAAGTTGCGTAGACCTCATTCTAACCATGCATATGCTCACACTCAGATTTTCACTGGTTGCTGTTTCCTCATGGGATTGATACTCATGTTGGTTTGTCGCGAGTGGCTAGTACGAAAGACGTTTGAATCCAGACGGTCGCAGGCTCAGGAGACACTCAACTCTAGGCACAATATGCATTTGCGCCGACAAGAGACACCTGAAGTAGAGGACGACGAGGAGAAGGACGACGATCAACTTCTTCAGGCAAGAGTTGAGAGATACGACCGGCTCTTGGGAGGACTGCTTATTTATTTCATCATTCGCATGTTCTATCCTCTTAGGGTATAACACAAAATAGACAATTATGAAACATTTGTATAATTTTAATTTATCTTTTGCAGATGTGGTAATAATAAAAATTACAGTACTTCAATGCTACAGCTCGGACATTAATGACTTTGTTAAAATATACAGCACCTTAACGGTTAGACTTGGCAACTCTCTCCAACTCGTCCTTCTTCTTGATAGCGTAAGAAGTAGAAGAACCCTTGGCAGCGTTGATCAACTCCTCAGCCAAACACTCAGCAATGGTCTTGACGTTTCTGAAAGAAGCCTCTCTGGCACCGGTGGTCAACAAAGAGATAGCAGTGTTGACTCTTCTCAATGGAGAGACATCAACAGCCTGTCTTCTAACAGTACCGGAAGAACCGATTCTGGTGGAGTCTTCTCTGGCACCAGAGTTGACAATGGCATCGACAATGACCTGCAATGGGTTCTGCTCGGTCAAAACGTGGATGATCTCCAAAGAGTGCTTGACGATTCTGACAGCCTTCAACTTCTTACCGTTGTTTCTGCCGGTCATCATCAAGGAGTTGGTCAATCTCTCGACGATTGGGCACTGAGCCTTTCTGAATCTCTTGGAGGCGTATCTACCAGCGGTGTGGGAAACGAACACTGGGGATCTGACCTGGATGTAGTCAACCAAGGAGACGTCCTTGACCTCAACATCCTCAAAAGACCACTTGTTGAACAACTTGATCTCCTGCTGAGCAGCCTGGACATCAGCTGGGATTGGGGTGGCAAGCTCAACCAACTGCAACTCCTGCTGCACGACTGGCTCTTCGATCTCGATTTGTTGTTCCTCGACGTCAGACATTTTTGATTAGGAAAAAGGTGATGGGAAGGTTGAAAAAAGCTTTGGAATGGGTGTAAAAATTTTTGGTCGCGGGATTGACTGCAGGACTCCATGCTGAAATGTGCGAGTGCTATGGGCGTTTTGTAGTGAATATTTGAGCATACTTGCCTTTTCGGGAAGGTGTGAGCCCTAAGTAATGGCACGTGATTCAGTCCCGACTATATGGTGTTGGTTAAAATGCCATATATTTAACTTTTAGCAATTGGAATGCGTTTTATATGGTTGTTTGATTAGGTTTTGAGGTCTTTTATGCTATTATTTTGGGTGGTGGTGGAGATCCATTACTGTGGGAGAAATTTACTTCCTTAACTATGTAAATTAAGGGGAGCGCATGGTAAAACACCAAGAATCACTAAATTTGCTCAGAAAATAGTATAGATACAAATTTAATAAGTCCAAAAAGATGCTCATATTTTTAGTTTCTGATATTTATCGCTTTTGAACCTTCTTTCGCCTTCCCCATCTTTGGGATTGCAATCTCTCGTCAAATGGCTCCTGTATATAATTATGAAAATTTTTATCTACGTTTTTACTTCTTCGCCCCAATTAGGCAATGTAAAACCAGGACCGTATACGCGTATATTTGAGCACAATTTCCAAGTTTTGCAACCATTAACTATAGCCATATATTACCAGTTTGTAGGACCAAAAGTTTCACCCTTAGCCAATCTATAGAATGGCTTGTAGGCATCGTCATAGGTGTTTTGGTAGACGTTGTTACCCCACCAACTGAGAGAGCCCACTGGGTAGGCCACGCAGAGGAAAATTAATACGGCACTAATGGACACTCCAGAGTCGATGGCGGCTGACAAAATATAGGTGTACTTGACATGGAATGCCTTGAACCATTCTCTAACATAATGGTTCCAGCCAAAAGAGATGATGAAGTAAAGGGAGTAGTTGTAAACGGTGGAAGGAGGAATGTTTCCAGGACCAGTGAAGAATACTGGAGCATTGATCTTTCCGATCCAGTGTCTTGGAAACTTTTTCTTCAAGAAAAAGGTTCCGAATGGAGCAAAGAAACCGATCAAGAAGAAGTACATGAATGCATTGTACCTCTTTCCTGGACTGAATAATTTAGCTGGTCCCACTGCTCCCCAAATAATGGAAGCATTGAATATGGTACGACCGTTGGCACAAATGAAACCATCCAGCTGACTAGGAGAGCAGATATCCTTAATATTTGATCTCATCCATTCCTGGACTCCAACGTTGACGAGTCCTGCAACCAAAGTACCCATAATCTGAGCGAAAAAGAGCGTTCTTGGAGGAATCTTCATATACTGCGCAATCTTCAAGTCTCTCGAAAAGTCAAGTCCCTGTCTCATGGGGATAAAGCCGTACAACTTGACCATCATGTTGGCCAACGGTTTTCCCTTCCAAATGTATCCAGCAATGAGCTCTGTGACGATGTTAAGTCCAACGTGCTGGTTGGTGATACCCTCCAAAAGTCCTTGAGGAAGAAAATTAACAAACGCAATCAAAAGAGAAACAATAAGTCCCCACCATGGAAGCTGGGTTGGGAAGTGACAAACACAAGCAAATGAGAGAGCAATGGAGATCACAAGTAAAATCAAATACCACCAGTCGGGAGCCTCTTTAAAATTGTTCATCAATCTCTTGTGAATATCCTCTCCCCCGTGTCTTTGATCTTTCAATTTGTTCACGATATCTTTGCCGTGGTACAAGTAGCAATGGACAAAGAGTGAAATAACTGCAGCGAAGTTGAGTGCGTAGGAGAGCAAGTAGGAAAATGGCACAAAAAGTGGAGAATAACTTTTGTATCCCTCCTCGTAAAACTCCAATTTGTCATTCAAAACCCTGGACACATTGTACTTCTTTGCAGTGTTGTCGTAGGTGGTGGTGGAGATCATTGGCATGAACTTGGCATACATGGTGTTGGTGTAATACAAGCAGGGTAACACAATGATGAAGAAGAGGAAAACAGATCCATAAGTGTTGGCAGAAACCCATGCCGGCGTGGCCAATGGTGAGGTGTCAGTTGCTTGTGTTGCCATTATCCAATCAAACGAAATAGGAATGAGGCCAAGTCCAGATTCAACACCAAAAAGCTGATTGACCACGATGTTTTTGGGCCAGATCCAGCAAATGAAATTGAAGTAGGATAAGGCTTTGAACAAGTAGCCGGGAAGCCAGTACCAAACAAAACTGAATGAGGCTACCAAGGTGAAGAACTTGTACCGTGACATTGTCCAACCGTTCGCATTAAGTCTATTGAGCACATCATTCTTGCTGGAATGAAGCGTGCTGAACAAAGAAGTGGTCACCAAGGTTTGGGGCCAAACCATGGCTGCTGGGTATACGATCCATCTTCTAGTCAAACCGGCTGCACCATATCCCAAAAGCTGGGTTGAGAACACCAAAAGAATCATGTATCCAGCACCCAACTTCTGGTTGTAGAAGTTTGTTTGGGCAATAAGAATGTTCATGGCATAGGACGTTGAAGATGTCAAGGATACCACGATTGTAAGCAAGGCATGCTCTTGTTTAGAGAATGGGCCAGGGTTCAATCTGAAGAATTCCGGCAAGAAAGATGGTTTGTAAGCCGGCAACTTTGCCAATGCCTTACCGATTGGGAATGAGACAACCTGTGCAACAATAAAACCAATCGACAACGAAGGATAACGCAACGAGAAAAACTGATTGACTCCACTAAAAACAATAACAAAGATTAATGTCAAGGTCCACGTTCTCCAGTGGTTAAGTTTGACATTTAAGTCGATATCAAGAGTTACTGCAGAACGGACTTCAGGATACGGAGAATTGGCAAGCTCTTCGACATTTCCCTCATGGTATGACCAGTCGTCATGTTCGAGCTCCTCTTCGATTTTCTCAATATCAAGCTGCTGCGAGGTGACGACATGGACGTCCTTCGTCTTATCTGCCGAGTCTGAGGAGATATCAGAAGCTGGCATGGTTCTATTCAATAATTTACGCCTACCAGATATTAAGCCCTATCGATGGGAGCGAATTCCATTTATAGTTTTCTCGACTGATAAGGCGTCAACATAACTACTGGTTAATAGCTCCGGAAAACTTTCCTTATTAAAGTGAGCCACACATTATCAGAGTGACGCAGTCAGGGATCATACCACCTCAACCGGTATTTGACTACGAATGCCCCAAGTGTGATTGGTTGGCAAGTCGGATTGAGAGGTGCCGCGACGTCATTTCCATAAGGACGTCCTGTGGTAGTAGATAGCAAACCAGGTATTTGAAAGCGGACTACAAAAAAACAGTAAACATTTGGTTTCTTAGGGTTAAGAAGTCGGCAGAATAATAATTACTTCACAACTGGCGAGTAGCGTTACCCAATAGAATTAATTCCACGATATGACAGAGAAAATAAGACTCGTATCTAGCTGTCAGCGAAGTGCCAAGGGTAAGCGGCGTACGTGACAGTCACGTGGAGAAGGCCAATAATGGGCATTCGACCAGAAATAGTATGGCGTATTAATTGCCTCTGCAGAGTGTGTATCTAAAAATTGCGAAGGGTATCATTTAGTCCGTTCCATGCGGACCTCGGAAATTTAAGTATGGAATAAGAAGCTTGGATATCGGACAGACTTCTGAACGAAACTGTGGATCTACAGGAATTCTGGTACACGGCGAGGTTGACCCAAATCGATAATCCGAATAAACGGCGTTTTGATGTGGAAGCTATTTTAAATACATAAGCGGAGATAGTTAACGATGACCCTTTCTGTAATGGATGGTTAATTTGCTCGTCTATTTTGGAGAAGGTCAATAAACTGGCCACTTCTCACTTGATTTTCGAGGTTATTGGGAGACTAGTGACTCTGCAAGGGAATTGATTTGAATTGTTGCGGGCGTATTCTAGGAAAATTGTTACTTTTGTGGTCATTTAGATGCCATTTCAAATCTAAATCTCATCGGTATGACTCACTGATGGTGAAGAAGAATGAAATCACAACTATCTGACCTTTCCTATAAAGCGGGTTGCTGACACTTAAAATTTGGTTTTGAGTTGCAATTCTGATGGAATGTAGATCTTTATGAGTGCTGAATCATTGACTTCGGTGGAGGTGTATTAGATTTAAGACCTTCTTTTCAGTGAGAAGGAACAGAAAAAAAGCCAATTCAAAATGAAGTAGCAATTCGAGGAGGGGCCGTGTAGTTCAAAGGATAATCATTTCACAATAAGATCCAATAATGCCTTGAAGACCTCTTGTCCAAATAAAATTACTTTTAGAATTAATTTCACTCTTAGTAACTTTTGTTCATTGGGACAGATGAATGACTCACGAGCCAGCGTACTTCTCAAGTGCACTACTAATATCAAATGTGGAGAGATTCGGATTGCCTTATTCTTACCACCTGGCTCTTTGGTCTCATAAAACAGTGTATCAATATTCTAGACAACCAACTCTCTGTTCTTCAATCCTTCACTTATTTAATCTGTCAACTCTTTAACTCTTGATTTTTATAAACCTTAACTCTTCAATTCTTCAACTCTTTAGGTCTTCTACACTTCTTCAATTCTTTAGTTCTTCAATTCCTCAAACTCTCTTCTTGTATGTACCACTCTCGAATTCCCCGTTTAATTTTACACCCGATCTTGGAACTAAAATTCTTTCCGACACTTCAAACCAAACTAACGTTGTCTCTTCCACCGGTTAAATTTCCCAAAGCCCCTGATTCTCGTATATTTGTACGCAAGATTGTACAGTCTGAAGTCGGACCTCAGCCGGACCCAGATCTGCACCTGATTCGAGCTTGGCAATGAAACAGGGATTGAGCCAACCATGACTTGCTGGAGTTCACCAGAGCAAAATAGTTGGTTATGGCTCAATGTCCTTGGCCATTTATCTTAAAAATCATCGATTCCCAACATCGCCCGATTCATGCTCTTATCTGTTATATGGCCACCCCACAGTCATACATTAAATCATGTCCTGCAGCTAATCAGGGCTGTGGGATTTCTTGACCTACTATAAAAAAACACCTCGAGAAATCTCGTACTTCCACCTCTTTCGACTCTCGTGGTTCTCAGTTTTTTCTTTCCACATCCTTCACACTCATGTCGAATTACAATCCCCCAACTGGTCCCCCACCTAACTGGGATGACAAGCAGCAATCGGCTCCCTTGGGAAACCAATCCCAGACCGATAGAGGCTACGCCCCTCCTCAACAGCCCCACTACCAGCAACAGGGCTATGGTGGCGGTTACGGCCAACAGGGTCCTCCTCAGGGTGGCTACTACCAGCAGGGGCCTCCTCAGGGTGGCTACTATCAGCAGCAACCCCAGCAGCAGTATTATGTTCAACAGCAAAAGAGCTCTAGTAGCAACGGATGTTTGATGGGATGTTTGGCTGCCTTGTGCATGTGCTGTACTTTGGATGCTCTCTTCTAGGTTAATTGTGTTTTATAAGTCTTAATACAGATGCTTTTCTGGTTAGAAGTGTCAGCAATGAATATGTACTATTGACGAATGTAGAGGAGAAGATGTGGGGTTTTCTGGGGTTTTTCTGGGGACTCTCTCTGATATTATAGTCTTGAGCAGAGTGACTGCTATCTCTTTTCTCGTTTGACTCACTCTGCTACGCAATTGTCCAACTTCCTCTATCTTCTTCCGTTGGCTGCATAGTTCTTTGACTTTTGGTCGTTTGTGTCCTGTTTCTTTCTTCTCCAAAAAGTCTGTTATTATCGATTATGATCATTCAAATGAAGTAGTAAGAGTAACGGAATTTTAAGATGAAAGGAAGGAATCGATTGATGATATATACGCAATTGGGATTCGACGTCGTCGTCGGCTCGGAGTTAGCCAACCGTTGACATCACCGAAGTTGTTTTTACTCGAAAACTGGACAGAAGAAGACTAGACTTTTGCTTTACTTTGGAAACTTTAAAGCGTGTTTAAAATAAATGAAGTATTAATATGTCGATATTCGTAGCTCAGTAGCATATTCTTAATGTCTCAGTATTCACAGTGTTAAACTTACTTTGACTGTAGTACTATTTTCTTACGCGCGCGTTCTTTATTATTTATTTCTACATTCCCTTTTGTAAATTAAAAGCATATCAACCAATATTGGCTACTTAATCGCCAAATTTCCCAACTTAACTTCAATATAACCATTATAAATATGTAAGAGTAATTTCCTTCAAGATCAGCCGGCCTAGTATAGTGGTTAGTACAGTTCGTTGTGGCCGAACAAACCCAGGTTCGATTCCTGGGACCGGCATTATTTTTTTTTCGAGTTCGGTGTCGCTTCTTTCCTCTTTTTTTGCTTATTTATTGAGTCAATTATCAATTGCTTCATTCATTAATCAATACAGCTGGACGTTGTCGTTGGCATCGGTCACCTTGCACGACTTGATGGTGATGAGAACCAACGCATTGTCATCCTTAGTTATATAGTTCTGGGCCTGGACCTCATCGATAAAGCCATTATTCAAGTGCAATGACTTCAAAAACTCATACCTGTCGCCATCTTTGTGAACGACCTCGGCATCTCCATCGAGCATCACGGAAACACTGCTGATCTCCGATTTATTAATGTTAGTCAACAATTCAAACAAGGAGTTTCTTCTATTTCCGGACTCTTCCGTCGACGTGGGGTTGGAAGCGACCCAGTCATGAACTAAGAGTGACACATGGGGATTGGAAACAATGTTCTTATATTTGGTGGTGCAAGTAGGCGTCGAAATGACGATCTGGTGCTTTCCATCTTTGTTGAAGTATGTATAGTTCATGAGCGACACATGAGGCACGTTGTCCAAGCACGTAGCCAAGTGGACAAACCTCTTTGATTTTAATAATTTGACCACGGAGTCTGGTAAGTTTTGTGCCATAATGGGATAATGGAAGTGGTTGGGATTGGATGACTTATTAGTTTAAAAGTGGTGGGGAACATCCCTGCAGGACGCGAGTTTGTTACTAAGATTACAACGATAAGGAAGGTTAAGAAGTAAATGGGATGCAAATATTTGAGGCCCTTCATATGCTTATAATTAAAATATATGGATTTGTTTGTTTGTTTGTTTGTTTTTTTTGAAAGAGGAGAGTTTTTGTGCTTCCTTTCTATTCCGTGCTTGGATGACATTTCCGCAATATATCATACTAAATTTATAGGTGACGGTCCAATGGCATAATGCATGAATGTTGAAAAGGGGACAAAAAATCCAGAAAAAGACAAATTTGCAAAGAGGAACATTGAAGTGATTGCTTGGTTATATTTCAAGAAGTCCATCAAGGTTCCTTTTTGGCTTTCTCAACATCCATGACACAAATAGTCAAATGGTCGTTTCTCACCACCAAACCGATTCTTCACACAACGCGCATCTCAGATCTCTAATCAAAACATTTAACTCCACATGTCTCAGTTCAAAGAGTTTGAGGGTGAGTTCCAGCCAGTAAGAAAGTCCACACTATCAGAGATTCGGGCCGATAAATTTCTTCTGCGGCTCAATCGTGAACGACAGTTAAAAAGAGATGAAGATGGTCAAAAGCCTGTTGCTTCTCCGAACATGCCAAACAACGTTATTATGTCGAAACAGGAGATTCTTCTGAAAGAGCTGGTACCTCCAGACTTAACTGCTCAAGTTCCCAAGAAACGGAGGATTCAATTGGTTGGAACAAACAAACTCAAGAAAAAATTGGATAAGCCAAAGACCTCGAAAAGGAAGGTGATGTTGGTGGGTACTAAAGCATTGAATGAAATGCTAGACAGAAAGATCGAACAAAAGAAACAGCACATCAACCCCGTAGATGTGGATGATATGCCTGTGAAGAGGCTGAGGATTATGTTAATTCCGTTTCCACAATCTGAAGCGGAGTCTGATGATGAGTTTGTTGATGCATCTCTGCAATTCCATGAGATAGATAAACATGAAATGGAGAAATTGAAACCAACACAGAATGAGGACACCACTCGTGTAGAGGTAGAAGCATCTGATTCAGATGCTTCAAGGGAGGATTTCGAAACCGCTGCTGCTGAACCAGATACCCTCCGATTCGTGGACGATGAGGATAGTTTGAATATGGAAGTCAGCAATGAGAAATTGGAAGCAAAGCACGAAGAAAATGAATTGTCTGGTGACGAGAAATATCGAGATGGTATTGATGTCGATGAAGACGTCAATAAAGATGTCAATGAAGATATCAATGAGGATGTCAATGAGGATGTCAATAAAGATGTCAATGAAGATGTCAATGAAGATGTCAATGAATCCAACGGTTCAGATGATATTCAGGACTGTCCAATCACTGCTTCTGATATTGAAACAATGAAGAAGATCATCAAACCACAGATATCTGGGTTAGAATTTCCTCTTCTACACAAATCTTCGCTTCACGCACCTTACAAGGAGATATATTCTATTCTAGAACACACCGTCAAAGATTTGGAAGGACATTCAACACTCTTAGTTGGTCCAAGAGGCTCAGGAAAGACGTATATTGTTGACAGAGCCCTTTCACTTCTTCGAGTGAAGCACGAAAACCTGTTCATTACCGTCAAGTTGAATGCCCTTCTTCATTCAGATGAAAAGTTGGCTATCCGAGAAATTGCGAGACAGTTGGATAACCACTCTCGTCTAGTCAATGGCGAAGACAACTCGCGCACATTTGAGCAGAGAGCAATCAATGATACTTTCACTAATATCTTGCTCACACTTGACAGTAATGCCCCGGGAAAGCCTCAAGAAGACATTAAGGAGAGGTATGTGCCAGTGATAATTGTAATTGACGAGATTGAAAAGTTCACTGGAGGGGCAAAGCAGACTTTGCTTTACAATCTTTTCGAGCTATCACAAAGCTCAAGGGTTCCTATTTCGGTGATTGGTATTTCTACGAAAATTACTACAAGAGAGCTCCTTGAAAGAAGAGTTAAGAGTAGGTTCAGTCAGCGAATCATTTCCATTCTACGGCCATCAACCATCGAGGAATTCTGGAATAATGTGATGCTTAACTTGACGGTCGCACCCAAAGATACAGCCAAATTCACAAATCCCAGCTACGCCCAGCAGTGGAATCTGCATGTTCAGACATTATATTCTTTGCCCAGTGGGTTGAAAAAGGTGATTTATAAAATATTTTACACCACCAAGAACTATAAGGATGTTTTTACTTGCTGCCAGTTACCAGTGGCCAGTATCACTGTCAAAGAACCGTTTCCGCAGTCAGACAAATTCGAAATATACTTGAATCAGTTGTCTCCCGGATATGCCCAGTCCATAGTGGAATCGCTTTCGAATTTGGAATTGCTTCTAACAATAGCAGCGGCTAGGTGGATAGAGAAAGTGGATGTGCCTCTGGTGAACTTCAACTTGGCTTACAAAGAATATGCGGACATGATGAAACAGGCAAATATCGAAGCAACAGCCGCTTCGACCAATTCAGCATCGGCAGACAGTACGATCTTCTCAAGCTTCAAAGTGAAGCAAAAAGTTCGGTCATCCAAGGTCATGAGGGACTGCTGGGCAAATCTCTACCACATGGGATTATTATTTGACCTTATCACCAGTAATAATGAGGTCAATGTCAACAACAACTACAACATGTACAAGAACATGGTGATCGAGGACTCTAAAATGCTCCAGCTAGATATATCCTTGGAGGAGCTCGGGCTGCTAATTCCTGACCTGGAATCGTACAAAAAGTTGACTAAATTGTAAGTAAGTGCGTGTGTGTGTTTCGTATCTGAAACGGTGAAGTTATCTGAAACTCGCGCACTCATCTAGTTAGTGTCAGATCAATCTAAGGGCCACCTGAAACATACAGAACAATATTTGACAGGTTCTCCTTGTCATCACTTCTCAGGTTTCCTTTTTTTAAAGAGGTCGAAAGTATTTGCTTTCAATTTTTTTTGCTTTCATGGTGCATTCGCTCCAACAAACGGATTTCGCAACTCCTAAAACAATGAAACCCGGATTGAGACGGGGCCATGAGATCAATGAGAAGAACCAGATGGAAATCTTCTCCATTTTGATTCTTGTATTAGATCTTAACGATTTTCTGCAGAAGCCCAGGAGCTTTCTGCATTCGCTCAGACAATATTCATTTACCAAACAGTATCCATTTTGTTTTGAGGTTCGACGTGCGGTTAAATTAATGCAACTGTTGCAATGGACTCTCGAGCTGAATACTGTCAGTTCCACCATCTCTTATTCGGTGAAGCCCGATTTGGCATTCTCTTTGTTAAAACGATACTATGCTGCTCACCTTCTTCATTGTCCGATCTCCAGAACTGAAGATGCACTTTCGGAGTCCATGACGGTTCAAATCACTCCAAAAGGCACTGCCACGGTGTATAATTTTTGGAAAAGCATGGGGTTGACACGCGAAAAGATGCCTCTGGTGGTGAAATCATCTTTCAATTCCATTCATATGTTTTCGTTCGATAGATCCCATCCAGGAAACAAGTTATTGTACTCCGAGTACCTTCTCTACATCCTCATCACTCAGATGATGGGCCCCACACCTAATGTGTGGTCGTCGAGGCAGTCTCCGTGTATGGTCAAGTGCATAGCAGATGATGAACACGTCTCAATATCGTCCTTATCATTCTCAAGCGAGGTCATGGCCCACCACTTCGGTGATCTCGTTCAACCTTCAAGAATATTCGTGAGTCCATTCCACCACAAGTACTTCACCAACCCTGAATCGGATGCTCATATCCAGTACTACGAATCGGAATCGGGCTTGAGGGTATTTCAGAACAAAGTGTTCAAGACCGAAGAGAGAGAAGTCATCATTAACTTCTGCTTCACCGGTAAGGCGATCTCACAATGGCTCTTGGATTGTACCGTTCTTTCAAGCCGGGCCGAAACGTTGGATATTGGAAATCTTCTCCTTAAGTATGGCCTTTTGACTCCAATTACGTTGGCAGCTTCCGCAGGTAAGTTTTCGGCCCACAAGGAGGCATACTATATTCTAAGTCCCAGAGGAGAGCGTGCTTGCCGGTGGAATAGTGAAATACTGGGGTTGGAATCGTTGGGATCTATTGACCTGCGACAAGACATCCAATTGTATGAAGAAAGTAGTCGAAAAGTGAATTTAAAATCAGTTCTCCTCGACCCTGGTATGAGATATTTGTTCAAGCAACATATGGAAAAAGAGCGATGCTCCGAGAATCTCATAGCTTACCTCAACTTGGCAGAGTTTGCAAAGCTGAAGAGCCAATTGTCCCAACTCTTAAAGATCCACTCCGGGCTTCTGGATGAAGTGAAGAAGGGCCGCTTGGCAAGCATTATTGAGAACCAGGCATGCATCTGCTACTCGTTGGCATTCCACTTGTATCTGACCTATCTTAGTCTGGAGTCCATGTATGACCTCAATATTGGATTTGGCTTGCGGCAAGAGATTATAAGCGTGATGGAGCAAGCAAGAGAATCTGATTTTCTTGACAGTCCTCTGATGAGCACACCTCAAGTTGACTACATGAAAACTCCCGTTTGTGAAACGGTTCTTGACTTCTCTGAAGAGATCGTGCCAATCAAGCCTGCGTTTGAACGTCCCGCCTCGTGCACCGTTGAGCTGCCTACCCTAATGCTTAACTCCGGCAAGATGCTGTTGGCGGAGATTATGTCTGCCTTAAGTCGGATCTACGATGTCTTTGGCAAGATTGCGTCCTCTATCTACAGACTCATGGAGGTTGACTCGTATCCAAAGTTTGTGAAGAGCGAAGAATACTTGTACGCAGTGGATATCGATACACATAGATCGTGATTATGACTATAAATACAGAATAGAAGAGTTTAACAGCTTTGTACCAGCCTTTATGCCACAGGGTCCAACGTAGTACCCTTCTTGATGGTGGCCCAACCAATCAAACGCCAATGCTTCTCAATTCTTCTCGACAAGGCAATCTTCTCGTTAACCTCAGTACATGCTGGAGAAGTCAATTGCAAACGGGCCATATCAGCCTTCACGGCAACCACACGAGCACCAGTGGCTGTAGAACCGATGTTGACCATCAAAACCTCACCGGCCTCCAAGTTACGGACCTTAGCACCCTGCTTCTGGCCCTCAGTCTTGACACCTAACAATCTTCTCAACAAGAAGTAGTTGATCTCGATGTCTGTGTAGATGGAAGGCAAGTGACCCTTTGCACCAACAACCTGACCAACCAATCTGTCGGCTCTGCACAAGGTTGGGTCAACCTTAGTACCCACACCAATCAAACCACCAGGAACTGCAAACTTCAAGTCATTGTGCTCAGCAAACAAGGAAACAATATTGGAGAAAATAGGCTTACACTGGATTTTTCCGTTGTCATCTTTAGTAACAATACCTGGTCTGATCTCGATCTCATCACCGATCTTGAAAACACCAGTCAAAATAGAGCCACCTGCAACACCTCCCTTCAAGTCGTCGATCTCTGCACCTGGCTTGTTGACGTCGAAAGATCTAATGACAATCAAACGGGGAGATGCCAAAAAGTCTCTTGGAGGAACAGGAATGTAGTCGCAGATGATTTCATTGACGGCATCAATGTTATATTTCAACTGGGCAGAGATCGGAACTATTGGTGCCCCATCAGCGATAGTACCTCTGATGAAGTTCAAGATGGACTTCTGGTGCTCCAAGGCTGACTCTTCACGCATCAAATCCACCTTGTTCTGCAAGATGATGACGTGGTTCAACTTCATGATTTCGATAGCAGCCAAGTGCTCCGAGGTCTGGGGTTGCGGACAAGATTCGTTACCAGCCACAAGCAAAAGAGCAGCATCCATAACGGCTGCTCCGGACAACATGGTACTCATCAAAATATCGTGACCTGGACAGTCGACGAACGACACATGACGAACCAAGTTGTAACGGCCGTTACAGTCTGGTTGCTGACATTTAGGGTGGATCTCCTTGTCGGATTTGAACGATCTGTAACATCCTGGAGCTTCACACTCTTCGTTATCACATTTGTAGATCTTGGCGTTGGCGTAACCCAACTTAATGGTAATGTTTCTTTCCAACTCATCCTTGAAACGGACGGTCTGTACTCCGGAAATGGCTCTGACAACGGTGGATTTACCGTGAGCCACATGTCCAATGGTTCCGATGTTGATTGTTGCTTGTCTGTTGATGATTTCAGGGCTGAGTGGGGTCAAGCTGGAGAAATCTGGGTTCTCAGGCTGTTCAGGAAGTCCACCACCTTCTTCAAATTCTCTGCGGGCCTCTTCCTCATCGTATTCATCTTCTAATCCAGCAAACGCCACGGACTTTTTCTCTTTCTCTGGTGCTGGCTCCGCCTCCTCCTCGGCACCGGAGTCGATGTCGTGTTCGTAGATTACCTCCTCCAGGTCTGGGATAGTAGACCCGATGACAATGTCAGGAGTAGCGTTTTCAATATCGTCGTAGGACATGATGGTTGTTGGAGAAATTGACGTGAAGAATTTTTCTAAAGTTGTGTGTGTGTATGTGCAGGTTGTTACAAAATTTGTAATAGTAATCTAAGGGGAAGCACTATATTTTGAGAGGAAAAGAATGTTTTCTTTTAAATATTCCGTTTCCTAATGAATGCGAGTTCGAAGTGTTCCTATAAAAAAATCGTCTGTTGGACCATAGAGGCCAACCGTACTTAAATACTGACCTGTACATATCGCCAAAGTATCACCAGTGCAATGTGCATGGATGTAGTTGTGAAAGCCATCGCAAATATTCTTGTAAGTGAGAGCTGATGATTTGTCTGCCATTTGAGGAGTTAATCTAGTGGCATTGTAAACTGATGCATGTACTGCAGTGTCTCGAAATTCGCTGTCGAAATCAAATCGACACGTTAAGCTTAATGTTTCCATAGTAGCATCTCTTTCAGAAACTCAACTCTTCTTTGTATTACATCCACCAAGCATGAATTGTGCCATCAACGGCCTATGGTCACTCATGTAAGTACCTCCATATTTAGAGTGAAGAACGGAATATGATTCCAATTGAATGTAAATCTTCAGGTTATCTGGACACTTATCTTCGCTCAATTTCCTAGTGGTTGAAGGTGCAAAAATGTAATCGATACGCTCGCCTTTCGAGTACCTAGCACCCAGGAATCCCGTTACAGTGAACTCTCTGTGTCCGTACTTATTGTATGAGGATGCGAGATTATGCACGTCCCTGAGCCCGGAGATCAATTGCTGATGAGTCTTGTCGTCTGGCTTCGAGTTGAGATCTCCTGAGAGTAATGAGGGCCACTCATTGACCGAATCCATCTTATTCATGAGCAACCTTGCTGATTCGATTCTTGCGGTATCTCCCTTGTGATCGAAATGTGTGTTGAACATGTTTAGGTAGGCACCAGACTCCTTATTCTTGAGTGTACCATAAGTACAGATCCGTGGGTACTTGGCATCCCATCCTGCAACAGCGGTTCTTGTTTCACCATTATTGAGCCAAAATGTGTCGGTGTAAATTATATCCCATTCGCTTTTACGAAGGATAATAGGCACATATTCACCCTTTGATTTACCATCAATTCTCCCTCCTCCAAGTGCGATCCATTCGGACTCATCATTCTCGTTGAAGAGGTTAAGCTGAGCCAAAATGTATGAAAGCTGGAATTCAAGTGCTTCCTGAAGCACAATAATCATATTAGGCGCCATGTGTAGCTTGATGGACCCCACGATATCAACTCTCCGCATGTCCCATGGTGTTTCGCCTGGAACCAAGTCTCTTTTCTCCCCGTTCTTGATGTTGTGTGAGTAGATACGGAATCGGAGAGGTTTAGCGATCTTCAGTTCCGCAAGCCTTGGAACATCTGGATAACGAGGCTCTGGAATGTTGGCAGGGACCCCGGCAGCCCCTGGATTCGAATCATCCATATTCTTTCCTGTTTCCTTCCCCTCATCCTCCATATCGGGATCTTCAGCATTGGTCTTGGGAAGTTCCTCATACTGATCGTATTCGGAGTTGTCTCCTAAGTATATTTCCGGATTCACTTTCTCTGAAGATGGCTTCTTGGTGGAAGCTTTGTTGGAACTCACATCTGCTGCATCCTTATCTTGCAAGTCCGTGTCTAGTTCCTCGGGTCGTGGGTCAAATAGACCAGATACGGTGTTGAAGTCCAACTTAGACACGTCGAGTGACGACGAACTAGTGAAGAAGCAAACCATGACAAAAGCCGCAGCAAGGGCTATGAGAAACAATTTGCGTCTCTGGACTTTTATCAGAGACATCTCTGCAATTTAAAAGGGTGGTTCTGGTTAAAATTTTAGTACTAAATGAGAGGTTGATAGTCACTATGCAAGGCTTAAGCGATTTGGGTTGGCCCTGCATCAAATATTCTGAAGTTTGGATTGCTTGATTGATTGTTATCGGATTTTGTGACTTCTTGAAATGCTGCCAATTTCACTTTTTTTCTTAGTGTCACCGATTTTCAAAGATTGAATTTGGATTGGGAACTTCGATGGCATCTCTAGACCATAGCCCGTTCCGCAAAGAATCTTATGCACTTGAGTATCTTGATCTCTTCGCAACAAGTAACCTCTACGCAATTCCAAAATATACGCCTATTAAACCTGAAGACTAAATTAATTATCTTAATTGGTCCATAATTGTCTATTCCAATAATTTACTATGTACATCATGTGAAGGTCTGGAGCGTGCTCGAAAGCTTCACTTGCATTTCCTCCCATTCTCCCTCTTCTTCACTAAGAACCGTTATGGCTCCACCTGCTCCAATTCTCCACACATTTGTTGATGCATTATTCTCCTTATCGTTCTTGTAATGCATGATTGACCGGATCACGACTGACCAGTCTGCGTCATCACTGATCGACCAGTATCCTGCTACACCACTGTAAATGCCTCGGCGACCACCCGAAATCATTGTGGGCTGCATGCTTTCGATATGCTGGAGAAGTTCCACAGACCTCTTCTTGGGAGCACCAGTCATGGAGCCTGGTGGAAGTGACAGATGTAACACATCAATTCCCTTGTATCCAACGCTTTTCAAGTGACCCTGGATGACACTTACAAGTTGGTAAACAGTTTTGTACTCCTCCACCTTCATGAGTCCATTCACTCTCACATCATCGATAAATGAGTTGAGATCATGGCGAATAAGATCCACAATCATAAGGTTTTCTCCCATCTCCTTGGGTGTCCGAAGAAGCTTGGTGGCATCCTCAAGTGTAACATCTTCGGTGTTGCGAACCGTTCCTTTGATTGGTCTGAGTTCTACAATCTTTCTGCCTGGTTGTTCTTGACTATCCTTCCATGAAACAAATCGCTCTGGAGACGATGAAATCAAAACACAATCATCGAAGTTCATGTAACATGAATAAGGAGAAGGATTTTTGTGCACAGCAAGAACCTTGTAAATGTCCCAGGTGTTTAAATATCTGGGGAGATACAACTTCAGCTGCGTGGTGAGGCAAAGCTCGTAAGAATCTCCGGAATGAAGATTTTCCTGGCAAGTTTCGAATTGCTCACGGTAAATGTTCCGGTCAGGAAAGGAATACTGAATCTTTTGATCGGCGGGTTTGCAGAGCAACTTGACACTAGTTGGGACGCTATCGGCTTTCAAGACAAGATCTTGAGCGGCCAATAGTTTGGCCAAAAACTTCTGGCACCACTCAGACTCATCATTTTCGTTTCTGATGGAAAGAAAGTACCATTGGTTGGAAATTCTATCATGAACAAGTGCTCTCTCAATGTGGACAAGCTTAGTGTCTGGGGTTGGTCCGTCACAAAATGAAGAGATTTCCTTTGTGTTAACATAGTGACCTTCTTCATATGAGAACAAGCCCATGTACCCTCCAAAGAATGGCAATGGGCGAGTGGGCTTTTCAGTCATCTTGGCTTCAATGGTTTCTCTGGAGACATAAGTCATTTGCATACGTTGAGAAACGAACTCCCAAACAGAGGCAACCCTAATATCTTCAGACTGCTCGGAGTTGAATTTCAGAACATTAACAGTTTGTGGTGAGTCGATCGAGTGAGTAATGACCTCGCTGACCCCGTCAATGGGTAAACCGATAATAGACCATTCGCCCGGGTCAGCTGCGGAGTTCAACAATATGAATTTGGTGCCCTCTTGTTCAAGGTGGTCACATACATCCAATGGACGAGTGCTTGAGTCGGCCAAAGCAACCCTTTGGAAGACAAAATGTGGAAGTTCATTGTCCACCAACTTGCCGTCAGGAACAAGCCACTTCTCATGCACGGCACGGTCACGGGTGTACTTATCATTAATTTCTTTCATTTTGCAAGTATCCTGCAAGCGGGGAAGATCACTTCTGTTGGCATCATTGTATGCTTTAGCTATGGAGTCAAATCTGCGCACGAGAGTTTCACCTTTGTCAGAACAGATCGACTCAGGATGATATTGAACACCATAAAGAGGAAGGGATGTATGCTTACCTGCCATCAAGAGCGGTGTTGAATGTTCAGAATCATCACATGTGGCTAAGGGCACAATTTGTCCATTAAGTGTGGAGATTTCCACGTGCAATGAATGGTATCTAACACTGGCAAATGAAGCCAAGTCTGATTCAGAGTATCCAAATAAGTCTGAGGCAACTGGCTTCATTTCGTACACCTGACCATGTTTGATGGCGTCCAACCTCGTGACTTTGTTCCCCGTCTCATTGCACAAGCTCTGGAAACCTAAGCAAACTCCCAAGATGGGAACCACCCTTTCACCAGACGTGAGGAAGTGCTGGTAGAGCCATTTGACAATACCAATATCGCTAGCAATGTCCGGATGTCCCGGTCCTGGGCCCACCACTATATAGTCAAAATATTGAATCCACGACTCAAAGGCTGAGGCGTACTCAGATGGTGAGAAAGTATCATTATAGATGGTCACCACTTCCTTCCCTGTGCTGTTTTCCACCAACCGTGAAAGATTGTGGGAGAAAGAGTCGTACGAATCTATGAGAAGAATCATAGCAACAGAATAGTGGTGTTGTTATCCTTGCTAATTTTTTTACTATTGAGATGCACAAACTATGGAGGTCCGACATAGTAAAAGTAAATACGAATCTTTTCACATACAATGGCGTTTGACTGGTCAATTAATTCAAGATGCATATATCAGGATAATTAATCAACTGTCTATAATGTCTTTATTTTCTATCACTTAGTTTCGTGATTGAATGCATTTTTATACTTTTATTAACCCTCTTCTTCGTTGTCATCGCTATCATCCTCCTCCTCACTTGATTCATATTGGCCAAGTGCGACCAACTGACTCTTATACCGCATCATCTTCTTTTCCTGCTCCTCCCATAGTAACACCAAGTCTTCGAAATCAGCCTCCACATTCTGCTTAGCTGCCAATTGCTCCTTTAACGATGCAATCTCGGTATTGAGGGTATTGTTGTCGTTCTCTTGAGAGTGGCCTGTGGAGCTCAGTGGTGACTCCAAGTCATGTTTGACTTTTGTCACTTCCATTGTCAATTCCATAATTTCTTTCCTAGCATCCCTCAACTCGCTCTCTGCTTTCTGTAATTTGGATTTGTATTCGTCCAACTCCTCTTCTAATCGCTCTTTCACCGTCTTGACCTCTGCAGAAGTCCTCTTCCAATGTTGTTGAGCAGTTTCGCTCTCCAGTCTCAACTTCGATATCTCTTTGGAAAGGTTATCATTTTCCTCTCTGGCGATTTTGCTCAAATTCCTCTCAGCATCAAGTAGTGTGGCCGTTTGAGCCAAACTCATGGAAGTTTCTGTCAAAGTTTCTGTTTCCAACTTGAGCTCATTCTCCAAACGCTCAACCTGTGCCAAATGACCGTTCATCTGTTGTTCTGACTTCTGCAAATCCTCAATAACTGCTTCCTTATCTTTCAAATCTGACTTCAATTGCTCGTAATCACTCTTTGACTTCTCCAATTCACTCTCCAAGTTCATCTTCTCTTCCACATAATCGCCAAGCTTTGTTTTCAATTCAAACACAAGTTCGTCTGACTCTTTGGCCTTGGATTCCAATAATAAGATCTTTTTGGTATGTTTAGAATCCGCCAGAGATCTGAGCTCCAACTCATCGGCAACTGATTTGATCTCAGACTCAAGTTGAGCTTTTGACAACGCATTATTCTCTAGGCGAGTCTTCAACAGATTGTTCTCTTTCTCCAACGTGGACTGAGATCCACGGAGTGAAGATACTTCGCGTGCAAGTCTCTCAACTTCAGTAGCTTTCAGGAATACTTCCTGCTCGAAAGCCTTCTCTGTTAACTGCGATTTTTGCATAGACCTCTCGAGTTCAATTTCAGCATCGGTGGATTTTTTGACAAGTTCTTCTCGCTCATTCTCGACTTCTCTTAATTTCTGCCTTACCTCCTGAATTTCTGATTTCAACTTATCAATGGACATTTGATGCTCCTCAGAAGTTTTAGTAGACACAGCGGCTGCTTCAATGTTGTCTTGGAGTTCAGTAATCTCCCTGGTCTTTTCCTCAATAACTGAAGTGGATTTGTCGAGTTCGTCTTGTAGTTTGACAATCTCATATCTCAATTCAGATATAGAATGTTCAAGTTCCATGTTTACTTTTGACTTTTCGGTGAGTTTTATCTCCAATTCTCTCACATTTTGCTCTTGTTGAATTGACTCTGAAGCTGAGAGCTCGATTTGTGACCTCAAATGATTAATCTCAACCTCCTTCGATTCAGCATCCTTCTTGGCAGCATCAAGGTCTTCTTGAACCTGTTTCAACATGGTGGAATCTGTTCCCTTCTTCAAAGAAAGCTCGTTTTCCTTCTCTGATAAAGACAGGAGCGACACTTCAAGTTGGTTGGCTTTTTCTGTAAGTTCTGATTCCAATTCTTTGACTCGGTCCTCTTTAAGACGTAACGTTTCTTTCTGTTCTTCTAAGCTATCCTTGAGTTCTTTGATGGTTGCCTGGTGTTCATTCTCTTTGCAGTTCCATTCGTTCGTGGAGGACTCAAGAGCAGCTATTTGAGTGGAAAGCTCTTGACAACGAGAAAATAAAGTTTGTTTCTCGTTTTCTATTGAAGATATCTTATCTTCGAACGAGACTTGTTTTTCTTTAAGCTGCGTGTCTAGTTCAACCTTCAATGATTCGATCAGCCTATTCAATTCCGCAACCTCTTCTTCGTATTGCTTGAGGATAGGCTCGGTACCTCCTGAGAAAAGTTTTCTGTCCTTTTCGTGGTCAGCAACTCGCTTCTTCAATTCTTTCTCCAAAGACTGAATTTGCTTGGTAAGTTCCTTTTCAATTCCCAAATGGTTTGAAATTTCCTCATTGTGACTATTGATATCTGCTTCAATTTCAAGAACCTTTTGCTTCAACTCTTCGGTCTTGTCATCGAGCTCTTGATTGAGATTGTCATTCAAATTGACAGCATTTTCCATATCCCTTTCCAAAACCTGTATCCTCTTTTCAAGTTGCAATCTAAGTTTCTCCGAATTTTCCAACTCTTCGTTTCTTTCAGTCAATTCTTCTAAAGCAATCGTTGAATTTTCTAACTTCCGCTTGATATCAGAAATTAACTGATCCTTTGCCATAAGTTCAGATATCTTGTTTGAGATTTCCCTTGTCAAAACGTCTTTAACGCCAATATCACCAGTACCATTTTGCTGAATGTAATGTTGTGTAGAATCCTTGTCAAGTGCTTCTGTCTCAAGCTCCTCTTCCATCTTCCTCAATTTTTCACTTAATGCGTCCTTTTCGCTTTGAGCCTTGCCTAACTCTTTCTCCAAATTCGCCAATGTTTCTTCTAATTCGCTAGCGCGTTGCTCAGCAAGAGATTTTGCTTCTTCGTAGTTTGCAGCTTTTGCTTGCAATTCTTGAAGAACAAGCTTAGTACTCTCGTATTCTTCCTTCAAGAGTTGATGATCAGAATTCAATCTTGCAAGGTCGCTGTTTTGTTTCTCTAGTAACGCCTGGGTTTCATTATGGTCGGTTTCTCGAGACTTCACATGCAAATCAAGTTGCTGGTGCATTTGTTCATCATGTTCGCTTCTGAGGTTTTGCAACTGCTCTGAGTGAGCTTCTTTCAACATTTTGAGTTCATCGGTTAACAGCTCCTTAGCTTTTTCCAACTCTGTGATAGTGGAAGAAAGTATTTCCTGCTTTTCTTCGAAATTGTGTTGCAATCTTTCAAGCTCGACACCTCTTTCAGCTGCATCCTTAGAAAGCGTCTTTGTTTCATCCTCAAGTAACTTGATTTTCGATTCAGCAAGAGAAATTGCATCATCCTTCTTCAGGAGACGGTCTTTCAATTCGTCAATTTCTTTACCACAATTCTCAGATTTCTCGGTGTCCTGGTCACTATCAGAAAGCCCTCTAGCATCACCCTGAGAATCTTTAACTTCTTGAAACTGAGCCTGCAATTCATGGTACTCTTTCTTCAAGCAGTTATAATCTTCTTTTAATTGAGTAGTCGACGACTCATGTTTCACTAATTGGTCTCGGATATTTGTCAACTCCTCTTCGAGAGCAGATTGCAAATTGGAAGCACTCTCAACGGTTTCTGCTAGCTCATTCTGAGCCGAGGAAATTTCCCGCTCTTTATCTTGGAGTTGAATTTGTAACAAGCTCTCATTTTCCTTCGAGGTCCGCAAAGATTCATTGAGCGAATCAACCTTAGAAACCAGATCCTGTAAAAAAGAATTGATTTGACCTATTTCACGGTCCTTAAGCTCGAGTTGTTGCAACACAGACTGATAAGAAGATTTGGAGCTTTGCAAGTCAGCACTCTCCGATGAAAGATTTTGTTTCAAAGATTCCACTTCAAGTGTTAATGCCTTTATATTGATTTCATGTTTGCTCTTTTCCTCCAATGCTGTGAGTAAACCTTTCAGAGCAGTGTCACTGTTCTGATTCACATGCTCTTTCATGCTGTTCATCATTGACTCGAGTGTCTGATTGCGGTGTTTAAGAGTATTCATTTCATCATGGAGAGTCTGAATTTCTTCAGTGGATTGAGAGTGATTGGTCAATGCAAGTTTCAATTGTTCAACTTGTTGACTATATTCCTGATTGGAACTTCTCAAATCTTGTACGACGGATGCTGCGGTTCTGAGCTTTTCCATCAAGTGCTCGTTTCCGGTTTCCGCATCAGTGGCACGAGCTTGAAGCTCTCGCATCCTTAACGAAGTATTCTCCCTTTCAGACGAAAGATCTCTCAACTGCTGCTCTAGAATCTTGATTTTTGACCGCAATTCCTCATTGGTTTTTCGGGCAGAATTAAGTTGACTTTCATAATCCTTAACAGTTTTGTCACTGTAAGTTTTCAACTGAATAACTTCCTTCTCTAGCTTGGAAATTTTACCCTCCAAATCCTTCTTCTCTCTAGTAAGCTGAAAAAGTTCTCTGCTCATTTTATTGATACCATCCTCAGCTTTAGTTTTTGCTGCCTCACTGTCTGCGAGCTTCTGCTTCAAATGATTTAAGGAGCCTTCATTGCTGTAATTCTGCTTGGAAATTTTATTGAGTTCCGCAGAAAACTGCACTGAGTCTTTTTCAAACCTGGACTTTTCGTTTTCGATTCTTTTCAACTCATTTGAAATTAGTTCAATTTTTTCTGTTAACTCAGCTTCTGACTCCCTCAACAGGCCAACTTCGGCATTAGATTTTTCGAGAAGAGACTGTGTTTCCTCGAATTCTTCCTTGGCCTTGTCTAATTGTTCTTTCAAGTTTGCCTCGTTCAGTGCAGCTCGATCTTTACACTCTTGCAAAGTGATTGCTAGCTCGCCATTCTTCTTCTCCAACTCTTCAAGTAATTCATAGGAGATTTTTATATGTGGTTCGACTTGCGGATTGTGCGAAAGAGCCTTCCTGATTCTGTAATAGTTGTCCTTGATCAAATCAACGTAAATGGAAATGAAGTACACTTTTGGTAAACCTGTTGCATCTCGTTCAACCTCCTCGGACAAAGGGTCAGCAAAGTCGCGGAACTCCTCACAATCTTTGAATTGCTTAACCTTGAGAGCATAATTATTGGCACCAAGACCTTTAGTAACAAGAGAATGCATTTCTGTTCTTGGAATCGGCGACGACTTCTGGCTAAATTCATAAGATATACCAACTAAAATTGAACCCATTCCAAGAACGAGATCTGACGATTCTGCAGAGTTCTTGGAGAGGAAAGCAACAATAGATTTGATGAGAGAAGAATCACCTAGAAAGTCATTGACCGCATCAAAATCCTCGTAAAGCCAAATTGTTAATAAAAGCATTAATCCAATGGCAATTCTTGGATCTTGATCATCCAAGGTAGTGATCAAAATTCCCGAAATGGCTTGAATCGAAGTCATCACCTCTTCGCCTTCCTCGGCGTCACCAACCTTTAACTCCCTTGCCAATTGTCTATTCTCTGGACAGTCCTCGAAGAGGTAAATTAGTATTGTCGCGGCGAACCACACCCGGTATGGGTTAAGCTTGTTATCAAAGCTGAAATCCATCAACGTTGTAAAAATATTGGCTATTGGAGTTTTAACCAGATTTTCGTCCGTGGATGTGGCAGGGATGCTTTCGACTTCATCAACCTTTTCAGAACTATCAGTTGACTTTTCATCATCTACTGGTGAAGCCTGATTCATCTCGTCGTAATAATTTGGATTCTGACTGGCTCTAGCCTGGTCAGTAAGAAATGCAATCTTAGACTCTGCGTTATCTTTGAAAAAGCATCTTAAACAATAAGCCGCAGCAAGCCTAATCTCAAAAATATGAACCGAGTTGGATAATAATGTCCAATTAAGAAGTGCCACTGGCGCCGGAATGGGTTTCTCAAACTTCTGGAGTTGCGTTGGAAGTGATGGATCAAGGTACGGAACATCAACCTGAGAGAATTGCAACTGGAGCTCAGAGTTCCCTGCAATGAGATCTCCGGTTATTTGCAAGGCGGTCTTTCTGATAGGATTTTCGGTCAATGGAGAGAAAACAAGTCTCATGGTACAGAAAAAAATTCCGGCCTGAAAGAGTTTATCCTGGTTATTGCGGATATCTGGATCATCCTCATTAACGAAAGATTTGCATATCTCCAAGGCTATTGACATATTCTGCAAGCGCTGTTCTGTCCAGATAATTGGTGGTGCAACAATTGGATTTCCATATTCATCATGCATTCCATCTTCTAAAGTCTCCTCGATGGGTTCAGCAAGCAACTTTGCCAATTTGGGTACTCCCTCTGTCTCCAAGAAATACTTTTGGTTGGAGGCATTATACATCAATAAGTTGGTTAATAACGTCAAGCAGTCTTGTACAACAATTGACCCTCGAATGCCACCCTCTTCGTCAATAATTTCAAATAATCTATCAAAAGTATTTTCAAAAGCCACAAGCTTTTGTATGTTGAAGTTATTGTTGACCAATGCCATAAGGACCAAAATGGCCTCGTTTCTCACTGGATCGTACACGTCATTCAATAACGACACAATTGTTGGCACCGCAAGAGGAATATTGAGAAGACATTCCTTTGTTCTCGTTGGTCGCGTGGTTACAAGAAACTCAAAGAGCTGTAACGTGTACAATCTGATATGGTAGTCCTGAGACTCTTTCAAGATATTGATAAACACCAGTAGGTGGTCTTCCCCGGCTGTGACTTCATCTGCTATCCAGATTGAAAACTGGTCCACTTCTACATCTGTCATGAGTAAAGGTGACGGATACTTTCCATTCTGGATCCGAGACTGGCTAGCGATCCAGCCTCCAGTGTCGTCTTCAGACTTATCGCCTCGTAGAAATAAAATGATGAGTGTTTCTAAGATAGCCTTCGCCATTATGGCATTATCTCTATCCTTATCTAACGTCAGTAAGAGAGGCCTGAGCCCATACTCTACTACCGATTCACGGAATTGGCGACTGAAACTCTTGAGGCCCAAAACAGCAGAACGGCGGTCTGCTGCCAAAGTTGCATGCTGCAACCTATTGGATAACGTTTGGATGGCAACTTCCTCCTCTGCTCCTTTTACACTCGGCTGCTTCAACACACGATTTTTCAAGTATTCCATGGTGGAAAGCTGGTGAAACTAGCAGATCTGGTTTCTTGTTAGTGTAAGTCCAGTCTGCAGGCCGCCACGTATACAACCTATTGGATTCTATGCCTAGGCGATTGAATGATAAAAAGTGAGAATGTAGAGAGAGAAAAAAGGGCAGGATAGTTGGTAGTTGTGCTTTATTATTGGATAGAGCCAATTTAGAGAGAGAAAATTGAGTTTTTGTATTTTTTAATCATGTTTGTAAGAAATGTATATTCAATGCCAAATCATCGCGAAGTTGAGAACTCGTACGTTTAAGTTGAATTTCAGAGAGATAGAAAAGTATGAAACTGAACCCTGAAAGGATTAAAAATATAGAAGCCAGAATATATGACAAGAAGTAAGAGAAGCAGCGAAGAACAAAGCTAAAAGTGTATTAGTAAAGTAATATTTCCCTTCACTAGTCTTTATTTCTTCCTTCTCATTCACAGATCTCGACCACTATTGACCTGAAAGTCTACACACACGCATCACAGATTCTCAGACATTTCGCCTACAGATGGAGGAGGAGAACCATGTGATTTCTTCCGTATTATTTCCGGATATATCTGTATTCGAAGTCGAGTCTGATGAGGAGGAAGAAGTAGCGGAAACGCTATCGCCCTGGGCATTGTCGAAGATCGGTACGTTCCAATATAGACTCGAGGAACTCATCAGATACCGGGAGCAAAGAAGAGGAAAAAGCGTGTCAATGTCGCAAATTTCCACGTCGGTGATACTTAGATTAGCAAATGATGTGTTTGGATTCAATGGATGGTCGTCCAACTTATTGGAATGTCTGACAGTTGAACAGGATTTCGACGAGGAAAACTCCGAATATTCAATGACACATCGAGCCCATGTCCTAGTTAAACTACAAGATGGAAGCATATCAGCGGCTACTGGTGTTGGTATATCTCGCAGAATGCCCCACAAATATTTGTGCTTGCAATATAGCAAGAAGATGGCCGTAACTAATGGGTTGCGAAATGCCATATTGAACTTCACGAATTTGATCTTCCCAGAGACGGAAGTGAAAACGGAAGTAAAGCTGGAGCTTGGAGATTGGGAGGGTCAATAGGTTTTGTTTAGGGTAATGCAGGTGTTATTTTAGAGATATAATTGTTACAACTTCCAAGGTCCTTTCATTCAGTTGATCTAATAGTCCAAAATCTCCACCTTCGCAAAGTCCTTAATTACTGGTGGAGGGATTTCATCGATAAGGTAAACCTCGCCATTATCATCAATTCTTTCACGGTCTCTTTCGCTCATGTTGTGGATCTCAACGATATGCTCCCGAAGGAACTCGGTGAGCTCTACCCAATTACTCTGGATTTGGTATGCCTGTGGAATCATCAGCCTTCTGACCAAACCTTCAATCAAGTTGGATGCATCTGCCTGAGTCTGGTCCAATCTCTCCACCAAACGGCCCACAGACTTAATAAGATACTCCTCCTCATAAATGGTTCCTTTCCTGCCCTTTGCCCTCTTTCTCTCTTCTCTCTTTCTGTTCTTGGCTGTCCTCCTAGAAGCTCCGGTCTTCGCTGTCCCAGATGTCTTTCCAGTGTATTTGGTAAAGAAGGAAGGCGTGGTTGAGGTTTCGGATGCGGCAACCGAGACATTGTCAGGAGTGTCCAAATCATCGTTGGGTATACCGTAGAAAGCGTATGGATCTTCTTCCTTCTTTTGTCTCAATTCCCTCAATCTTCTCAACTGGGAGTTGGCCTGGCTCTTACAATCTGCAAGCAACTCAGCAATTGTACCGAATCCTTCTCCCAACTGAACATCCACAACGGAAGTGATCAATTCTAGTTTGCCATGCTCAATCGCTAAGAGCAATGCACTGTCAAATTGATAACTCTTGCAATAAAGTCTCACAGCTTCTTCGATGTTGTTTAAGTATCTCAATTCGATCTCAGCAGCATCAGAATACTTATGATCATCGACAAGAACAGTCGACAATTGTTGAGCGGTTGACTTGATTGTTTCAGCCCCAAATTTAGGGGCGATCGAAAGTGCTTCTTTCCATCTTTTACCTGCGACATAACTCTCCAATGCTCTTTCAGAATTTTGAAGGTACTCAAACGTGACAGCAGCCTCAACAAACTTGCTGCTATCATAGAGGAAGTCAGCATGGAGTGCCAATATTTGCTTTGAGCGTTCTGTGTCATACTTGTAAATTGACAATGCATGCTTGTACAATTCGTGCTTCACCACATAATCATCGAATTCCGAAGTTGCTTCTTCTGCAAGCTCAAAAAGCCAGTTCAAAGCCTTTTTGTGGTACTTGAGATAATCATCAATCAAAAATTGCTTCCTCAATTGAGGCTGGATATGCAAGTTCTGGAGGAAGGGCAAGTATTCCTTAGGATCCTTTTGTGACTTTTGTGCTATGTTCAATGCGAGCTTCACATCATACAATTCCAAGGCATGGTTGTACAATTTGTTGACATCCAGCAAGAAACACAAGTGCGTGAGAGCCTGCTCTTGCTCGTCCTCGTTGGAAAGAGACGAGATGAGTTGCAAAGCACCTGCCAAATTAGGTGGCTTTTGGCATGCAAAAGCTGTAACCCTTGTCTGTAAGTATTCCACTGCGTACTTTGGTTGAGACAAAACTGCAAGAATGGCATTACAGATTTGATTGACCTTAGACGACTCTTGCTCCACTAACTTGTTGATGATCATTCTTCGGGTAGTGGGTTTTTCGGCCGCTTGGTCAATCTCTAGATTCGCCATTTGGCTCACGACCTGATCCGTGTCTACCAAAGTGTCTTTGTACTTTGTCACAGACACATCCTCGTCGTGTAAACAGGAAACAAACAAATCCAAATAATCAACTTTTTTGATCTGGTTGACAAAAAGTTCAGTATTGCTATAGAACAGTTCCTGATCATAATCATGCAACAAGTCCAAGTCAATTCTGTGCGTACGACAAGCAATAAATGCCTCGTGGAAATTTTTCTCCTTGATGAACTTTCTGACGCCCGTTAACACCATGATACGCGGACAGATGGTCTCAAGATTACCTCTTGGAGCTTGCAATATGACTGAATATTTGGATGGAACGCATGACACCAAGATAGATCCTCTCTCAATCTGTCTGATCCTCTCATCAGCACCCTCGCTATGGTTTTGGAGAAATGTGAATTTTTCTGGCTCAAGTGCTGATGAAAGATGCACGAAGCAGACCTGGGAGTGTGCAGTTGTGAAAGCAAGAAGTGTATCGGTTACCTTCAAGGAAGTTACAGCAGTAGCAAGTTGCTTCTCTCCTCCCATTAATTTACCATTGGCAGTAATACCAATTGGTAGCGCAGTTTCTTCTAGGTCGGACTTGATGACTGCAACTTCAAACTCCTGGCAGAGCTGGGGAAATGTGGAGATGTGTGTTGCAATACCAATATCTGAAATCTCGTACACTGCACCATTGACGCATTCGACAACAGCCATCTCAAAGTCGCTTCTAGACTTGATAAGCACCGCACGGCATTCCAATTCAACTTCTCCTATTGGGATATCGGTGTTCCCAATATCCACCAAGACAACCTTCGAAGAAGAAGCGGTGTCCACTAAAACCGCAACTACGGTGTCCTGAATGAATGCAACCTGTTTGATAAGTTCCGAGTCCAATGAGGCAACTCCTTTTTCTATTATTGCCACAGTTGGATTTTCATTCTTCTTCATATCTTCAAGGGTGATGGAGTGGATCTGAACTTCATGTTTACTAGTAACAACTGCAAATCTCTCATTGGAGGAACTCACAGCAACATCCAAAGCGTTATCCAGTAAGTCGTACTCTCTGAATGAAATTGGAGGAGGTACATTGGCAATAGCCAAAGGTGTGATTTTCAAATTCTGACCATCAATGACCGCTGTCATGCCAACATCCATGGTGGCTACAGTCGGTCCTGATGCAATTTTGTATGCGAAGTTGAACATGTAAACACCATCCAAAGTTGTGCCAACCATTAGATGGAGAGGCTTCTCTGGATGAAATTTGATGTATGAAACTTCATTATCTGGATTCTGATCATTGACAAAAATTTCCTGTTTTAAATACCAGTGGTAATTCTTGGTGGACCACACGCGGACGCAATTATTGGTGTGAAATGCCATCACATCACTATTAGCAGACCACTCAATGTTGACAATTTGCTCCTCAGTTGGATCAAGACGAGTGTTGAATTCTCCGTGCCTCAATCCATTTCTTTCATAGAATGCAACATTCAATACTTCGTCTCCATCAGAGTCAGTGAAACGCTGTGTAGATGCAATTAATGAACCAGAAGGTCTCCATGCGAGAGTATGCTCAAGACCATCGACAGCTTCAGAAACAGAGTCTAATCCTCCCTCTCTAGAGAATACTCGGATGACTCGTCTTGAATATGACTCACTGGCCACAACATCCTCAATAGTGGTGACAGCAAAATATTCGCAGTCACCTCTCCAACTGATTGAACAAGATCCATTGTCAAATTGCGACAAAGTTCCTCTCTCGAGTTCGGCCACAGTAGGGTCTCGCATTGGGGAGTCTTCTTTCAAGTCAAGGCCCGCATACTTGAGGGCCTCTCTTTCTCTTTCGAGTGCCTTGAAACCTTTACCCTTAAATTGAGTCTCCTCCTTACCCCAACCGACACTCACATGTTTGGAATCGGCAACGTTGATATCATCGGGATTGAGATGTTTTTCGCAAATTGGGTCGAAGAGTCTCAGCAACAATATAAGATTATTCTCTTTTGTGAGGAGCACCAAAGTTTCTTCATCGGGAGACCAGCTGGCTGTGTAGATACCGGCGTCAATCAGTCCCACGATTTCCACCGATGTGGTATCAGCATCGGGAGCATAAGCATCATAGGTGGCAGAGATGATGTCACCGTTTTCGAAGACAAAAACAAGCGACGAGGAGTCCACAAGATGACAAAATGAGATAAGTTTGGATTGTGGACTTGAGAACGAAGCCAAAACAACCGTCTGACCACTTTTCATAAGCTGCTGGACCTCGATGATTCCGCTTTCAGCAGAAGTGAGAACGCAGGTCACAGTATCGGACACCACGTCAAAAACCGAGTCTACAACAGATAAATCTGGGTATGTGAGTGACTCTGGAGACACACGGCCTCGATTGAGAAGCAACAAATTCCTCATAATGGTTTCACCGGAGGAAGTTTGAAGTGTAAAAATGAGTTTGGCATCTCAAGTACTGCACATTTAAATTGAGTTGCAATACAGTATTACTACGTAAAAAGTCTATGTCCAACATCCCAATTCGCACTCAGCTGTTAAAGTGCTTCACATACAGCACAAGACATTGATCAGGCTCGGTGAAGATGAGGTACTCTTCTTCGTATCTTATTATCAATTCTTTTTTTTTTAAAAATTCTTTCATCCAATGCTTTGTATTTGATTCCTTTATTTCTTTTTTTTTTATCCATTCTTCTTTCTTCCATGATCAATGGAAGTATGCTGTGTGGCATCTCGAATGCCATAATCTATAAATCCAGTTCTCTATGATGTGCATCCTCGAGAAAATCCCGGACAACATCTTTGATAGCCAAGTTGGGAGCCAATTCAGCTGTAGTCAAAGGTTTTTTGGTGATGGGGTCCTTATTCCCGTTCTTTTGCATACATTCAATCAATGTAGCTTTCTCGTAAGTGATGCCACTGGGAGTTATAACGGGATCATTCAAAATATCAAGACTGATAGGATCCAACATATAGTAGGGAGCATTATCGTCAATAGAAGACAGGGCAGAACTAGAAAAAGAAGTCCGTGTTGATTGCTTATCAATATTGGAAATGTCTGAACTGGTAGTGGGTGCGAAAACCTTACGCACTTGACCCAGAGTATAATTATTGGTCATCACGTCCAAGAACCCTAATAGTTCGTTGGCATGGACCCTTTTCAACGCGACAAGCTGGTCGTGGTAAGCAGTATTTGATGCTGCGACGTTATAGTTGTGGCGTTTCTGCAATAAAGAAATCTGTCTGGCATGGTCCTTGTCGAGAAGTTCGTACATGTGACGGTAAAGAGGACTGGTGCCGGTGGATTCGTTGTAAAGTTTGATTTTCACCTTGATTTGGTGAATATCCTGGGAGATTATCTTTCCCAATTTGTGAGATGGCCCACTGATTGTTTTGGGCGTTGTATCATTAAAAAGCAGGGAGATGAAATTCATAGATTTGGCTGATCACCAAAAAAGAGTGGGTGATAGTGCGGTATTTGTAGATACACGAGAGTTTACGAGGCCCGTAATCACGGTCCAGGCGGGCAGTTCTTATGTAAGTAGTCTGTGACGGATATTTTGATTTTTGCTTAATGATGTCACAGGACATGTCTAGACCTACAATTAGTAATGAAATCATCTTTCTTGGACCCACAGATATTTTCGAATTTATGACATTAACAAAGATCCAGAAAACTAATACATCAATGAAAGTTCGAACTATGATAAAGAATTTCTTCTGTTGACAAATCATAGAATAGCTGAAACCTTTCAATCAGATCATGGTTGCGATACGATGTATGATATCTGGTGCCGAAGTACAGGGCTCAAAGTAAGCGACAGTACCTATAGTCAATAGATCTTCAATTAAATGTAGGATTGCTATCGTCCGAAATTCAAACCTGACCGACTGACAGCTTATTTAGCTGAGCTTAAGCTGCACTCCGAATGAGGCTATGCGTTGTTCACGTCAAACAACAGGAATCCGACATACAATTGGGTCTACTTATTGTCTACCATGCACGTTGACAAGAAACCACTTATTTTTATTATTTTCTTGTAATTCATTTATTGCTCCGAGTTTTCACCACTCATAAATCAATCTTCAATTCTTACTGTAGGCTTTTTTTTTTTTGAACATATGCTCTGCCCTTGGCTAATTGTTACCCTCCGGACTAAAAAATTCAAGAATGTTGGTAGGCAATTGTACGACGGCCTATATAACATACATGATATATAGAAGAGGTACTTGAAGATGAAAAGTCTATTCAATTCGATTTTTTTGGCGCCTCCGATTACCTTCTGTCTGTCCATAGTTTGACAGGGAAGAAAACTCAGATAATACAAAAATCAAAAACAGAAATCCGAAAAGTAGTCTCAAAACAATTTCTGTCTCCCCAAGCACCATAAGTATCTACCTCCAATAATCAGAATTCCATATAGCAAAACTCTATTCTATTGAAACGATGAAACACATTCGACTTTAATTATCACTTCCTACCATTCTTGATGGCACTATTGACGGATCCTGCACACTTGCTCGGTGTTCTCCTTCCAATAATCTCAAATAAATTCCTCCACTATCTTCATCACCGGAATCCCTCCATCATGCCCGAAAAGGATGAAGCCATGTTCCGTAAGTAATTGCGATTTACCCATTCCATGAAAACATTATTCTAACCTCTCAGGTTCAGCGGAAATGTCGTTGGTGCAGCTCTATGTGCCCACCGAGGTTTCCAGAGATGTTATCCATCACATTGGAGAGCTCAACTTGGTCCAGTTCCGTGACTTGAACAAGAACGTAACTGATTTCCAGAGGGCCTTTGTTCAGGAGTTGAGGAAACTCGACAATGTCGAGAGACAATATACTTACCTCAAGACTGAACTTGACAAGAAAGGGATTGAGGCTAAGGTTTACCCTTACGAACAAGGTGTCGTTGCTCAATCTGAAATCGACGAGTATGCAGAGACTGCCACGTTGTTGGAGTCCAGAGTGCTGGAGTTGACCGATGCTGCTGACAACTTGTATAACAGACAGAAGGATTTGAAGCAATTCAAGTCCACCGTCCAAGCTGTAGAGAACTTCTTTTCGGCCAACACTTCTCCACACCACAACTCAACAGAGGGCGATGCTCTTTTGTCTGAGTTAGAGTCTGGCGGAGTTCCTGAGTTCCAGGCTGAATTCATTGCTGGTGTTATCGACAGAACTAAGGTGTTCACCTTGCAGCAGATCTTATGGAGAACATTGAGAGGTAACTTGTACTACTACACCGAGGAAATTCTGGAGCCAGTGTACGATCCAAAATCGGGCTCGCACGTGGCCAAGAATGCCTTCATCATCTTCTCGCACGGTTCATTAATTTATCAAAGAATCAAAAAGATTGCTGAGTCCTTGGACGCAAACTTGTACAAGGCAGACAAGACCGCTGAGTTAAGACGGGAGCAATTGAGCTCGTTGAATTCCAACTTAGCTGACCTCGACGCTGTTTTGGAGCAGACCGAGTCCGCCTTGAACTCTGAACTCGTTGCTATTTCTAGAGAATTGAGCAAGTGGTGGGAAGTCATTGCAAGGGAAAAGGCTGTATATCAAACTATGAACCTTTGCGACTATGATAACTCCAGAAAGACCTTGATTGCTGAGGGTTGGGTCCCAACTGACGAAATTGACGACTTGAGCACCGCTGTAAAGGAGTTGAGTTCCGAGGATTCCATTCCTACCATCGTCAATGTTTTGGAGACTACCAAGACTCCTCCAACCTTCCACCGTACAAACAAGTTCACTGCTGCTTTCCAGAGTATTTGTGATACTTATGGTATTGCCAGTTACCGTGAAATTAACCCTGGTTTGCCAACCATCATCACTTTCCCTTTCATGTTCGCCATTATGTTCGGTGATTTGGGTCACGGTATTATCATGTTCTTGGCAGCATTGGTGTTGGTGTTAAACGAGAAGAAAATTGCTGCCATGAAGAGAGACGAAATCTTTGACATGGCCTTTTCTGGTCGTTACATCTTGTTGCTCATGGGTGGTTTCTCTATGTACACTGGTTTCTTGTACAACGATTTGTTTTCCAAGTCAATGGATTTCTTCCCATCCGGCTGGGAATGGCCTGAGCACTTCACTCCTGGTGAGACTATCCATGCCAAAAAGGTTGGAGTCTACGCTATTGGCTTGGACCCTGCTTGGCACGGTTCTGAAAATGCCTTGCTTTTCTCGAATTCTTACAAGATGAAATTGTCAGTGTTGATGGGTTACTTGCACATGACATACTCGTACTTCTTCTCGTTGTCAAACGCTATCTTCTTCCTGAACCCAATTGATATCATCGGTAATTTCATTCCTGGTTTGTTGTTCATGCAGGGTATCTTTGGCTACTTGTCATTGTGCATTGTCTACAAATGGACTGTCAACTGGTTCGCCATCCAGAAGCAGCCTCCAGGATTATTGAACATGTTGATTACTATGTTCTTGTCCCCAGGTACCGTCGTTGAGCCTTTGTATGATGGCCAATCCACTGTTCAAGTTGTTCTTTTGTTGATTGCCTTGGTGTGTGTCCCATGGTTGGTTCTCGTCAAGCCTCTTTACTTGAAGCGCCAGATGGACAAGGAAGCCAAGGAACACGAATACCAGAGAATCGTGGATGAGGAGTCTGATGGCGAATCACCAGTTGGCGAGGAACATGACGATGACGAAGAAGGTCACGATGACCACAACTTCGGTGATATCATGATCCACCAGATTATCCACACAATTGAGTTTTGCTTGAACTGTGTGTCGCACACTGCCTCATATTTGAGATTGTGGGCATTGTCTTTGGCCCATGCCCAGTTGTCTACTGTGTTGTGGACTATGACTCTTGCCAACTGTTTCGGAATGACTGGAATTGTTGGTGTCATCATGACAGTGATCTTGTTTGCTATGTGGTTGGTTTTGACCGTCGTGATCTTGGTGATCATGGAGGGTACGTCCGCCATGTTGCACTCGTTGAGATTGCACTGGGTCGAGTCTATGTCTAAGTTCTTTGAGGGTGAGGGAACAGCCTACGAGCCATTTGGCTTCAAGGACTTATTGGTGGACGTTTTCTAGACTTGCTCTTCTCTTGAGCACAAAACATTTTGTTTATCTATTTACATTCACAAATGCTCCATTTAATTTCCGTACTGTAGGTACTGCCTCCACATACATACTGCTTGTAACTCATCGCGCATCGCATTTCTACAAAAATCTCAAGATCAGAAAATCTCCATTGCCTACAATGTCCTTGCCCATCTCTGCCATCCTAAAGGATTTAGAAGATGTACCTAAGTCCATTATTCCGATATTGGCTTCATTACACCGTGACAGTGCTCGTTTGAGTCAGATCTCTAAAGTGGATGTGAAACACTTGACAAGCAGAACATTGAACCTTTGCAAGTCCAATAAACCTTACCAGGTATGGTGTGGAGTAAACGTCATCAATGTTCTCATTGAGAATTCAGATATACTTGCCTCTTATGGCTCGCAGTTCTTCTCCCAACTATTGAAAGTTCTTCAAACCCACAAGTTTAACAGAAAAGTGCTTTACAATGCAGTGGAATGTTTGAACAAACTCTGTGGGAAAATTAGAGGAAAGCCTACGCTCACAAGAGAAGTTTTGACACCTAACTTGACTGCATTGATGACTCTGTACTTGGATAACCTTTCTGATGAACCCGAATTAATGAGCACTTCGTTGCAGGTTTTGGTGCTGAATCACCCAACGACGTCGCGGCCATTTGCTAACAAAATTAGGGCTAAAATTCTTACAATCATTGCAGCTGACACATTCTTGAGTTATCCAGATTCAGTTAGATTGGCTGTGACGTCAACTTTGGCCACTTTGCCAATTGTCGAGAAGGATGGTCCAGATCAATATTGGTTGAAGGATGTGAACAGAATCTTGAATAACATTGGAGGGACAATGAGAATTTTCGAATCTTTGCTCGATTTGAAGGAAGATGCCGATACTTCCAAGTTGCTTCAGCGCTTTAACTCGGAGGACGAAGAGATTTTCGGAACTTTGAACATTGATGTTAATCACCCAGAGTCCTTTCTTTCTATATCATCTAGAATTCAGCTCTTATTGGATATCCTCCAGGCTTATGTTACAACTGCCACGCAGTACACCATCTCTGTCCCAATTGGAAAGATCGTGGGAATCGCTGAACTTATCAGTTCGGTGAATACAAAATTCATCTCCTTCAAGAGAGAAATCCGTGATGTCGAGATCAAAGAAATGACAAAACTTGTTTTGATTAGATCGCATCACGCAACTGTTAAATTCTTGGGATCCTTACCTATGAAGTACTCCGGAACGATTTTGCCACATATGACCAGCATTATTCTGTTCCTTGAGCAGATAATATTTTTGGACGGTAAAAGACTTGATCGTTCAAGAATTCTTGAGGAAGAAGACTTTATGTGTGATCTTCTCTATTGCGTTGCAGCATATTTACGCTTAGTGAACCATTTCCATGACCACTCGTTATTCATCAGATACATTGAACTCGCAATTTTCCTTATTGAATCAAGAGAGGTAGTTAGTGCGCAACCAAAGGAGAACATTAAACAGACCCAACATTCTAAGGCCGCTAGAAAGAGAGCCAAAAAGAACAATTCTACTTCGCTTGCGGACGTTTTGTCCCACGAACATTTGTTCGTTCAAGCCGTTCCAAAATCTACAAAGAGATGTGTGTTTGAGTTCTTCAATACTGTAATCCCCAGAGTCACGATTGCCCCCACTCAATACAACAAATTGATCAAGGCTGTCTTGGTAGAATCTGTCAAGTACAAGGACCAGCTAATCAACGAGACAGTTCCTCAAGAATTGAAGAACATCTTAACCGCGTTAATCTTGACTCCGGCACCCGATTCTGCATCAATCTTGCCAATTGCAAGCACACTTTTGTGGGACTCCCCGCTTGTGAGTGTGTTTGTCAACCCTAGATTTCCTCAACTTCCTGTCATTGTCAAAAACATCGACGTTGAGCAAGATGTTGAAGAGGATGACGACGAAGAGGCCTCAGAGGTAGCGATGGAGGAATCTGTAGTGTCCGATGAGCCACAATCGAAAAAGAGGAGATTAGATGAAGAGTCTGAGACAGCATCAGTTGAATCGCTTCCAACCACAAGTAAGCCGGGCAGCATTGTACAAGACCACATTTTCTCCAGGAACTCGGTCAGGGAAACCTTCGACGAGGCTCTTAACCAAAGTGCCACAACAGAAGCATCTGTTTTGGAACAGAATGAAATGCAAGAGCAACCTGATGCGCAAGGAGAAACACAGCCTGCAGCAATCGAAGACGAGTCTATGGATGATGATGGCTCAGAAATTGAAATTCCAGATCTAGACTTGGAAGACGACTCTGACGAAAACTAACCAAATGCATTGAGGGGCGCCTGTGGCCGCATGACTATTGTCTTTCAATGACCAGAGTTATTAACAGGACCATCATGAGAACTTCATGATTTAGCAACTGCGCATTAATCCAAAAATCACGATTTCCCCTCGTCCTGATGTAAGTCCTTGCACATAAACCTACTAAGCAATCCATACGTGTTCCTAGTGATTCTAAAATTGTATCATGTAACCAGCAACCATAGGAACATGTCATGATTTTGTCCCAAAAGCGTAATTTGATTGTGCGAGAGCAATCACTTCGCAACCTGCCCCAGCAAGCATACGGTCACAGCATGGCACGAATTGGAATATAAAAAGGGTGCCCTCAGCATTCTAATTCTTCACTACAACAATCCAAACTACAATGTCCGACGCTCACCGTAAAGATATCCACGAAAAGATCGAGTCCAAGCTTAAGCCAGACTCCCAGAAGTCCACTGGCGAGTTGGTGAAGGACAAGGTTACTGACAACTTGGACAACGCCGCTGGTGACAGCACCAGAAAGGGTGACAAGGGTTTCATCCAGCAGGCTGCTGACAAGGTCTTCGGCAACAAGTAAATAGCTTTAAATTGACGAAGTTGATTAATTGAATGTAGCTGCAAATACTTTGCCAACATCTGTCCCGATTCGTACATCGATGTTTCTTTTCCATATCCACACTTGTGTGATTATTGGGGTTGAAGTGTACTTTACATGTTCCTTAAGTATGTATCAGACAACTCTAGACTGGGTAACAACATTATGCATGTTTGTCCCAACAATCTTACTTCGAATTGAAGACACATCGATTGCAAGAGGGGCCCCTCACTGTAGTAAAGGTTAAAGAAGGTAGCGAAAAATGTAGTTAAATCTGGAAAGTAAAAACAAATGATCACGCCCAGGCTCGAACTGGGGACCTTCTGCGTGTGAAGCAGATGTCGTAACCAACTAGACCACGCGACCTTTGCTTGCACTTTTGAAGACTATACTTTACTATGCACAGCTAAGAAGGAAAAATCAAGGCAATAGGCCAGAAATTCGAATTTGACTTTACTTACAAATTATCTGATTGAGAAGAAGGCGAAATCTTAATATTTTTGTCCGTTTAGAGCACTTTTCTTAGCCATACAATGGCACGCGGACCACTGCCCTCAATGAACGACCCTCAATAAACTTATCAAACGCAGTTAGAGCAAAAACAAGAAGGAAATGGAAATATTGTCATCTTTGTTTTCAATTGATGATTCGATATTTGGGAAGTAAGGTAACTTCCACGAGGATCATTTCAACAGACGTGCGATCATTTAATCTTGACACGGCAAACATTTCCAAAATAATCACCTTATTTCAAATCCCATATTTACTTATGGAAATTAATCAGTAAGGCATATCTTTTCCTTAAGCTGAACCTAAACTTCTCTCAGTTTGCAACCATTTCAATTTTCACAACTGACTCACTCGGAGGGTGCATATGACTCCCACGGATAACTCATGATAGGGCACTTTCAGCAAAACTGATAAGAGGCAAGCATTCAAAATCAAATCTAGACTCCAATGAAAACGGATAATTTGGACTCACCTTCTCTTGCCCCCAATGTTACCACACCAGGTTTTTCAATCCGGGTTCAATTTCCCACGCTCATGACGGAATCTATTAGTGAGCCACAGTGCGGCTTAACGTTGTACATTTCCGCACTTATAAATCTCAGAATCGAGTCATCCAGTAAATCTTGAATGCTTCGTCTGCTTCGGCTCCCATTCACTGTAACATCCACATCTAGCCGGCGCCACTTTTTTCAAACAATGACAACCACGTCTAAAGACCCCTCCACTTTGCACAATCCATACTTCGAACAGAACCCCAACAGAAAGGATGTCTGGACATTGATTAACGAGACTGCTGCTAAAGCTCAGGAAGAGCTCGGAAAGCCCGTGACTAACTTGGGCCAGGGTTTTTTTTCCTACAATCCTCCTGATTTTGCTTTGGAGGCCGTCAACCACTCCTTGACAAAGCCACAGTACAATCAGTATGCTAGTGCAAGGGGAAACCCCAATCTCTTGAAGAGTTTGGCAGAGATGTATACGACCGAGTACGGCCGTCCTGTTGATGTATCTGAAGTTCAGGTCACCACAGGAGCCAATGAGGGTATGTTCTCTGTGTTTTTCGGATTCTTGACTCCAGGAGACGAAGTGGTTGTATTCGAGCCATTCTTCGATCAATACATCCCTAATGTTGAAATGACAGGAGCCAAGTTGAAGTATGTTGGCATCAAATTTCCTGAGAAGTTTGATTCCGAGAACGTAACTGGTGATGACTGGCAGATCGACTGGGACGGCTTGGAGAAGGCTATCACCCCAAAGACAAAGATCATTGTCATCAATACTCCTCATAACCCAATCGGAAAGGTTTTCAACGAAGAGGAGCTCTACCGGATCGGTCAATTGGCTATCAAAAACAATTTGATCTTGTTGTCGGACGAGGTTTACGAGAACTTGTACTATCTTCCAAAGTTCCCCAGACCGGCAGCTTTGGCTTCCTTGCCTGAATTGGCTGATAGAACTTTGACTGTTGGATCTGCTGGAAAGTCTTTTGCTGCCACTGGCTGGAGAGTGGGTTGGATCCAGGGACCCTCCGAATTGCTTAAGTATGTCGCTTCGGCACATACCAGAATCTGTTTCTCCACTCCAGCTCCATTGCAGCAGGCTGTCTCGGAAGCACTCACGCAGGCCGCCGCCAACAACTACTTTGAACTTACTCGTAAGCAATACGAACATAAGTACAAAATCTTTGAACAAGTTTTTGAAGAGTTGGGTTTGCCATACACTACTGCTCAAGGTGGATATTTCTTGCTTGTTAACTTCAAGAAGTTGAAGATCCCTGATGACTATGTTTACCCTGAGGAGATTCTGAGCCGTGGCACCAATGACTACAAGCTTGTTTATTGGTTGATCAAAGAGATTGGAGTAGTCGGTATTCCTCCAACAGAGTTTTTGGTTCCAGAACACAGAAAAAACAATCCTTTGGAGAACTCCGTGAGATTTGCCGTGTGCAAGGACGATTCATTGTTGGAGGAAGCAGTGATTAGATTGAGAAAGTTGAAGGAGTACTTGTGAGGACAATGACATTGCATTCAGTATAGAGTTCAAAGAATGAATTGAGATTTGTATGACTTGTATTAAATGCCTAAATTATTATTAACTTTCCTTTCTGATGAGCTTTTTGAATAGAAATGTTGTTTCACCGAAATCGTCATATCCGGTCTCAAATGCTTCCTCCTCGGAAACGTATCCATTCAGTTCAATCAACTCCCACAAATTTGCACGTTCATTCTCAAAATTTCTTCTGATTGGCAACTGTAAGAGCACTCTGGCACTTCCTTCGGGGCTGAGGAACTGATTAATCATATTGACAATCCATTGTGGGTGCTTTGAAGAGTAGAGAGGGTCAGACAAGATTATGGTGTTGAAAGTAACGTGGCCCCTTGCAGAAAGAAAGTCAGAAGGATTACTCCAATCTAATTCAGCAACGTCACAATTGGAAATTCCATTTAGTTCAGCGTTCGCTTTCAAATTGGGAAGAATCTCATTTAGATCTGTCAATGTTGTATCATACCCCAATCGACATGCAACCATTCCAACCAAGCCAGTGCCTGAGCCCAATTCTAACACTGATCCTTCTAGATATTTGTTATCTTTGTCTCCTGCGAGACGGGTACCGAGGATGAAAGATGAGCCCCATGTTTTTAGTCCTAAGTTGTCAGAAGTGAGCGATGGTTCACGCAACAAGATGTAGTCGTCCAAATGGGTAATTTGAATTTCCCTAATGAATTCGGGCTGGGCAGACCGTCCGCAGTTTTCTGCAAGTCGAAGCGATGCAAGTTTCTTGATTTCATCCACAGATGTCTCTGAAATCCATGCAAGTTCTGTTGATATTAGTCTTGTAAGCCAGCCATTGAATTCCGAGACAAAATTGCGCTTTAAAGAGTCAGAAAGAAGAGGGACAGATGCAAGCAGCTTCTCAGTATTAAATCTCAGACTGGATGGCTTGAGCCAATCGAGCGATGAGGTCACCAAATCACTTACATTCTTCTCAGCAAAAATTACATGCGGAGCCTTTCCGTCAGTAGCCGACTCAGAGGGTGCAAAGTTCCTTACCGTATCTGGCGCAAGCAACTTTAGGAAGAGTATTAAAACACAGCTTGGAGGCTTGAGTTGTAATAGTGGTAGATCGTGGACATGAAGAGGTACTAGTTCAGAGTCTTCATCGTCTTCTAAGAAATCCTCATCAAGAATGTTTTTTGAATAATCCGAGGAAACAATCTGGGCTTCTCGTATTTGCTCAATCTCACTTTCTATTCTGGGACGTGGAGGGGTGAATAACAGTAATGGGTCGAAATCCATTTTGGTTGTTTAATGAACAGATTTTGTTCGCACCCATATATTACGGCAGGAATATACATGATTAATCTTTACAACACTAGACCACCACTGCCATGTCAAAAGCAATATCTGAATTTAACTATTTTTCTTGTAAAAATTAGAGAATAGCAACATAAACATGTCAACTTGGCCCCATTTCACTAATCCAGTTAAAAGATGTACATTCCGCTACTCTCTCCCATTAATCAAACCGACTTAAAAATCCGTCACTCTACCGTTGAATGACCAGTCGTTATGTCTCAAAGGGTCCTGCTTTGGCCCTCCGATCTCGCCCGTCACTGGGTTGACTTCGCCCTCAAACTCGGGGATAGTCTTCAAGTATTGTGTTTGCATGCCAACGTCAGTCTTGCTCATGTTGCCCAAAATATCGCTATCTGCTGCACCGGTCTCCTCGATTTGTCTGTTGTACTCATCGATGGCAGCCTGAGAGTTGGCAAGTTTCTGAAGCGCTTCAAACTCCTCCTGCTGTTCTTTTGGAAGTTTTGGAGGTCCCGGGGTGAACTCTCCAAACTTGTTCGACATGGAGCGAAAAAGAGTCACTCGAAGACTAACAGGAGCAAGTCGAGGACGAAAGATCAAGTTTCTAGCAAGCATTTCGATGGAAGCAATGGATATTCGATTCAGAATCGGATATGACTCTAGATCGGACTTAAATTTTTGGCTTGTATGAAGGACCGGGAACTTAATCATGTCTTCCCGAAGTTTTTCAACCTGTGGCAAATAATATCAATTAGAAAATAAAACAACAGCTTCCAATTGATCATTCAGCATTGAAAATAAGAAGGGCAAGACAGATTCTATTGATCGACTGAATAAACTAAATACAATGTGAGTTGTACATATTTTAAGTGCAAACATTCCCTTCAAAACCTCCTGTATTTCAGTTTTTAATTTCGATCTTTTTGTTTTGCCCACTCAGATGATTCAATTTTTCCACAACAGCTTATAAAATGAAGATATTTTTTAATTTTTAAGCAATATCGTGTTTGCTTTGAATTATTAAGTCGTATATATATCTATGGATCAATACAGTAAAATATCCGATATAGTGTAACGGCTATCACGGTTCGCTTTCACCGAGCAGACCCGGGTTCGACTCCCGGTATCGGAGTTTTTTTGCCTTCTTCGATATTTGTTCTCTTTCTTCAATACCTCTCAAGTTGCCATTGTAATTTTTTATTTCAGAAATACTTTCATTCTTATGTACAATTAAACTGAGCCTCCAAATCCTACGGGTTTCGCAGACCCTTTTGGAAGCAAGCCCATGAATTTATATATCTTGCCCATTCCCTTGTCATCCTTCGAGGTCAATCTCAAGTAAGACTCATAAAGCAGCTCTTTATTTGCCATCAGGTTAGCTGATTTGATAAGTTGGTCAAATCTGTACCCAATCCCTAGTTCGTGTAGCCAATCACCTTGTTCGACAGGACCAAAAACATCCACTTGGGGCGAGGCAATCAACTTTAGATTTTCAAAGTCAACGTCAATCGACAAGTCTACGTCTCCGGGCTTATAAAATGGAGAAACAAACTGGTGCTTGTAAATACCTCTGAGGGAGTTCAGTGGAATCTCGTCAGCTAATCCATAATCAATAATTAAAGCTCCTCCTGCGCTTCTGGTTCCGCCTCCAATGAGTTGCATGATCTTCTTCATGTACAACTCAGCATCAGCGCATACTTCAATTCTAGTCCCTACTGGTAAGTCTCTGAATCTTTCGCTGATTGTAGGAACTGTCGAAGATGGAGTTTCCTTTGGTGAGGCTGTAAGGTGAAAGTCTACCTCCAAACTCTCTGGAGTAGGAGTCTGTGGGTTGTCAGACTCTGCAGATGGAAGCTTTCCCTGCGTGTTGACCACTGATGAAGAGTGTTCAACTAGTAATTCTCTCCATCCATGCTCAGTGTGAGTGAAAGACTTGATAGGTAAAGCGTCGAAGAACTCATGTGCGATAATATAATTTACATCATCCGGCTTGCTGATGATATCTTTCTCTGTGTCCACCCAAGTAATCTGCGTCCCCCATTTTGTCTTAGAAACGTTAAATCCAGCCTCATCTATCTCAAAAGCAGACAGTTGAGAACAGAGTAAACCCCACTGTTCCTTACGAAGAACTGGAGAAGCCTCGATCATCACAATATTGCACTTTACGTCTATATTCAGCTTGTTCACAAATTTGGTAAATACAGACATAACGTCGTACATCAAGGTTCCTCTTCCAGGCCCAAACTCTATCACATTGATAGATTCCGGGCTTCCTTGACTGGTCCATACAGTGTAGAGCCAAATACCGATCATTTCACCAAAGACAGAAGAGATTTCTGGAGATGTAATAAAATCTCCGCTGGATGTATCGAGTGGATTTCTTGTAGTGTAATATCCATAATCAGGATGGGTAAGACATTGTCTCATGAATGCAGAGAGAGAGATCGGACCCGTTGTTTTGATCATCTCCAGGAAAAAATCCAGAAGGTTATTCACTTTCTTCAGGGGACCTTTAGCAGGAAATTGGGCCATCTTTCCCACGTTCTCTCGAATATTATGAGAACCTTTGATATCCTTCTCCAACTTTTCATATTGGGTCGTTACGAAAGCTTTGGCATCCTCATACTCTTCCTTAGTGAACTTACCGTAATAAAGTCCATTTTCGTGGATGAGTGGGTTTTTTTGTCGAAGAATAGCCGACCTGGCCAAACTTCTGGTGAACTGACGAAGCATAAGAAGGACTTAAGGTTAGAAGTATCTTTTATGAATTACGTGCGAATGATTATCTTGTACATAGAGAAGAGATCTCAACGCAGAATAAACAACTGGCAATCAAGAAGATATCTAGAGGGTTAGGTATTGACAGAGAATTGGCTACATTCAGATTGATTGAATTTGATTTACTACGACAAGCGCTAGCAGTCAGAAATGTTGGGGACAAGTCAATTGGCCAGCCACCTAACATGGCCTCCACGACACGGACGACCATGTTAGGTGACTAGTCAATTAGCCAGCACCAACACTCTCACTACTAGACACTTCAAAAGAAAAAAAAAACGACGGATTGCAGACGGCACTAAATTGATCAATTCACATCTGCATAAATCATGAAGGAGTCGATGTAGAGCAACTCTTCGGCACTCACGGGCTTACTTAACGGCTTGCGAGAGAAGGAGTTCCGTCTTGTCGACGAGCTCGAATCATCCGAGTCGCTGGACTCTGAAGGAGTTACTTCATCATTGATGATAAACGTCTTCTTCAAAACCCAACCCAACTTCTCATAGAACTTTCTGTTCGCTAAGTTCGATGACTCTAAGTAGCACCAATGACCCTTCATATAGTTCTCCAAACAGTGATTGATCAATTTCTTTGCCAAGCCGTGGCCCTGGGCAGCAGGAATAATACCCACATCTCCCAAATACCATACGTTGTTCTCCTTATTCAACTGGTGAGAAGAAATCATAGCCTCGAGAACACCGTCACGCTCAAACTTCAATCGTGTGTCTCCAATACGTTGTACTCTCAGACGACACTTTGCCAATGAAGAAAAGAGGTTGTACTTCAAAGAAGAAGGATGCATGTTAGACAACGAAGACATCGACAAAGCAGATTGGTACACTTCATCTTCATCATCATAGACTAACTTACTCCAACAAGCAACACCCAAAAATGGGATCTTGTTGATAGCCAGAGCTCGCATCCGCTGCTGGATCATCTCCAGCTCCAAATTGTTGTCCTTGACTACCACAACTAAACCACCCACGGACATATACTCATAAACAGAGTACTCAAAAAGTGAAAGCATCAAATCATGTTTCTTCTTGATGAGTCTGGATTGAGAGGGGTCATACTCAGTGGCGGTGTTGAGGATATAATTGACAAACGGGTCCTTGTCAAAAGCCAAAGCGAGTGTTTTCGCCACCCGGCGATAATCCAGCATCGACACGGGGGAGAATGAAACATTTAGAGTTTTTTTATCGACAGTTAGTCTCAGGGAATCGGTGCTAGGACCCGTGCCGACCCCCTGAGACTGGAGCAGTCGTGGTTTTCGTTTATGGCATGATTCATGGTCTTCTTGAATGACAGCAAACATGATTCTCCATACCCACGAAAATTAGATTATTTTTTTGTTATTAAACAAAAAATTCAAAGATTGAAGAGTGTTGAGAGAAAAAAAAGAGTATCAAAATTTTGCAGTTAGGGGGGATTATAAGGGCATTTATTTGGCGGATAAGGGGCTTCATACAGGACGCACCCACCTACCCGATAGAGTTAACTTGACCGGAGATGGCGAATGCAATTTTCTTCGCGATGTAGTAAACTTTTTAGAAAGAAAAGAACAGACGGCTTGGGTTGGACGACTTGAAGGTTGGCGAAGGGCCACTTAATGAAGTGGAGGGGGGATGTAAAGAAGTATAACCAGCCACGATTGCTTATCTCAAGTCGGGGAAGTGTCGAACGGAATGGCACCGGCGCTTGACCATGTGTCATCCGCATGCAGAGCTTCGCTACGATGATGTGAAATTCCGTGATGTACGGATCTCCCCCTGGAGTATCTCAATCCGCAGTCATCCATGGTTTATGTACAGTACTGCAGTAAACAGAAATTCTACTCTAATATGCAGTCCTCTAAAAGAGCTCTCCGCCCACACACATTACCTCGTGTCCTTCAACATCATACAGTACTAGTGCAACCTCTATCATGCGGTCCAGAACTCACCGCGGTGCAGGTATGACCCACTAACCTGAAATACATCGTTTTAGGCTAAAAACAATTGAGACGAGAGACATTCCATTGCAAAATAACCTACAAATGTAATATAAGTACAGATATCTGCATGAAATTAATTGGATTACCTGCCCCAAATTCGTTAGGTACGGTCCTGAAAGAACCATTTCGATCCATTTCCCCCACATTCACCCATATTTCACACTACTATAGCCTCCATGCCCGTCAACAATTTCAACACTTGGTAGTGCGCAACACAACTTCTGGTCACCTCCTACTTGCACTCCATCAAAACCACCAATAGCCCCCGAATAGGCGACTATTATCCAGTTTCAAGTGCTTGCCCCCATCCTCCGCTCGCGGTCCGCTCCATACTTTGCGCCTCAATCTATTTGTGTGCCATCTGCATTTTTTCCACTCGTGCCAACTACCGTTCGAATTCCTCTCTTCCCCATCTTCAACTCCTGAGTGGTTCTATATTCGGTTGCACAAAAGTTTGTTTCCAAATTTGCTGAATTCTGGCCCCACCTACACAACTAAGCAGCCACATTATCCGCTAGGTTTCTGTTTGGAGTGTTATCGCTCAATATCCCACAATTTGTCTGCAATCCGCTACTTTTGTTGCTGTTGTCCACTTACCAACTCTCGTTTAAGAAAGTTGCCGCCAGTTGCCGCAAACACCACGCGACCATCTCGCAGCCAAGTATACCCCAATATCTTTGCCGCTCCATTCAGTGGCATCTAATTCTACTCGCTACACACTGCTGCCATGGGAAATAGCCCTTCTAAATCGAAGAACGGACTCCCGCTCTCACGAACAGATACTGGAAACTCCGTAAAGTCGGGACGCTCCATTCGCTCCCGCCGCTCGGCATCACAGCTCCTGGTAAACAATACCGATTCTCCCCGCCAGCTCAGCAGAAAAAACTCCTCGGCTTCTCTACCGAATGGCGACTTGCTGCCAGCATCTGAGAATGGCCTTGAGGACTCCAACATTAGCGTCCATGCACTGATGGTGACTCCAGAACCTGAGAAACCCATCTTGCTTCGCAGGAATACTGATGATACGGAGCACACTGGCCGTGTTACCACTAATGGTGACGAGTTGGCTCCGCTCTCCAGATCCAGTACGAACCACTCGACAAGACTTGGCTCTGTCACACCTTCCAGCACTTTTCTAACCCCACAACACACTGGTGCCAGCAATAATGGCTACAATGATGACAAGAGTGATGCAATTTCCATATCGCTGAAGCGATCAGTCCGCTCATTATCTCTGAGTAGAGCTGCATCCAGAAGAGGCTCATCAAGGGAAGTGAATGTCGATCGCAGTGATCTTACTAGCGACAGTGCTACAATTGATATTGAAGACTTCATCCAGCGACTTCTTGACGCAGGCTATTCCGGAAAGAGAACCAAGTCTGTATGTTTGAAGAATAACGAAATCCAATTGGTATGTGCAAAAGCAAGAGAGATATTCTTGCTGCAACCCTCCCTATTGGAGTTATCACCTCCGGTGAAAGTTGTTGGAGATGTTCATGGTCAATACTCGGATTTAATTCGTGTGTTCACAAAGTGCGGTTTCCCTCCCCTGACAAACTATTTGTTCCTTGGAGACTACGTGGATCGTGGTAAGCAATCTTTGGAGACCATTTTGCTCCTACTTTGTTATAAAATCAAGTATCCGGAAAACTTCTTCCTTCTCAGAGGTAATCATGAATGTGCCAATGTGACGAGAGTTTATGGTTTCTACGATGAATGCAAAAGACGCTGCAACATTAAGACATGGAAACTTTTCATTGATACATTCAATACCCTCCCAATCGCTGCTATTGTAGCGGGAAAGATCTTTTGTGTGCATGGCGGTCTTTCTCCTGTCTTGAACTCAATGGACGAGATCAGAAACATCGCTCGCCCAACTGACGTTCCAGACTTCGGCCTTCTCAATGATTTGCTATGGTCAGATCCTGCGGATACAGTTAATGAATGGGAAGACAATGAACGCGGTGTGTCGTATGTGTTTTCGCGGGTCGCTATCAATAAATTTCTACAAAAATTTGGCTTCGATTTGGTCTGTCGAGCGCATATGGTTGTCGAAGATGGTTACGAATTTTTCAATGACCGAACACTTGTTACAGTCTTTAGTGCACCCAATTACTGTGGAGAGTTTGATAACTGGGGTGCTGTCATGAGCGTATCCGAAGAATTGCTTTGTTCATTTGAGTTACTCGATCCGTTGGATTCTGTGGCATTGAAGCAGGCCATGAAGAAAGGCAAGCAAGAACGAAAAATGTCCCTACTGCAGCAATTCCTGCGGTAATCACTCAACATTTGGCATCAGTACCGAACATGTCGTATGCAACCCCACATCCTTGACTTTTACCACCAACTTCCCTCACTTTATTAGGCTTATCACTCTTCATTTTATAGGTTACGATTTTATGATAAACCACGTTAAAGATTGCGGACGGTACATCTATAAATATACATGCTTTACTCTTCCATTGTGTATCCACGCTTGGATTTATCTCTGTATTCATTTGCTAAGGAGGGGATGTTGACGAGTAATACATATTGAGAGAATCATAGTTAGCAGCTTCAGAGTCAATTATCTACCCTAAGCATTCTGATGGAACGGCGTAGCATTCCACATAGTAGTTTCAAATTCCAATACATGCAAGAAGCAAAGATGCTGATATATAGCAATTTCATTGGTTTTCTCGACAGGAGGAAACCATGGGATTACGTACTTGATATTTGCAGGATTCATGCCTATTAGAAGGAACCTGTTACAATATTTTGTGTCAAAAAGGGCTGGACCATTCGTGAACTGCATGCATTCAGAGGTTTATGCACAAATATCAACTAAATACACATTAGACTAGTAGTATCCAATAACATGACTACTCCAGCATCTAATTTTCTACTAAACACGGAGAACTATGGGCCAGTTTTCACCATTGCAAAGCAGATCACCACTAGAATTCAAGAAAACGAAAAAATATTAGCAAGAATAGCTAATGTCGTGGATAGCAAAATCAAGTATCCCCAACTTCCTAATGGTGAAAAGTCAACTGACCTTGAATTCGGGGAGTTTGAGAAGACGACATCTAAACCCGATTCGGTAATCGAAACCGGAGATCCACTCCGGATCCTTTTAGATCAGAAATTCAAAGCCAATGACATTGAAGATGTGCATCAGTTCGACAATATTGAGAATCTCGAGTTGAGACAATTACTCTGTGACAACTACAAATTGCTCCAGATGAAGAAGGCCAACGCAGAAAAAAACAAAAAACTTCTAGAAATCAGCCACGAGTATGAAAATTTACTACTGGAAGCAATCATTCCAACTTTAGCAAAAGATTCAAGTGACCGGAATCTTCAGAACCTTAGTCGAATCAAAAGTGAGGAAGTTGAGCAGAAATTACTGGCTCAGCAAGACCTTTGGAACACTTATCAACGTTACTTAATTTCAGTTGATAAGAGCGGGCGTTTAGTGGAGGAACTAATAGAGGTTCTTGAAAATTCATTGGATAGCAAAGAGGCTGAAAGGCTCGCACTGCAGATGATCATTCTTGAAACCTTCAAGAATCAAAAGAGTCTAAAACATCTACGTCGAGTACGATAATATAATGGTATTGGTACATAATAAATACAACAGGTCCCATTGCAAGCCAATGAGAGAGTCGCATATGCTTTAGGAATCCGAATGGCACTCGAGCAGTGGCGAGGCCCAATGCAAGAACGATCAGATGGTAATGAGGGGATCAACATAAAATACATGATTAGGTGTTGGCGTGACAGAAATGTGTTTTGAGACACAGGGACTCGAAGAAATAGTCTGTAGGGAGAGAAGTCCCTGTCAAAAAAAAAAACTTGTTCATTGTTCTTCCTTCTTCTTCAGAGAATCAGAATCTTCCTCACCAGGAGTGATGAGGGTGTCGATGGCAAGTTTTTTAGGTTCCTCATTAAGCATGTTTTTAAGCCAGGGCCTCCTCTCCTCGCTCACTTTCAGATCAAGCTTCACAGTAACAATTGACGAAGACTTATCAAGTACTGCACCGGTAGAAGTGACTTCGTCATTGGCATCAGCATCATTTCCATTGCTTTCCTCTTCTTTGCTAGACGAAATACTAGTGATAGAAGGTAACAGGACATTCAGAGCCAGTGCCAGAGTAGAAGAAACTCGAGAGACCGAATGCAGAGGGAAAAGTGTGGACGAATTAGGAGGGATTTGGTTAAACAGCTGATGGAAGAGAGGCAGCAAAGGGGAAACCATCATGGGATTAAAATGATGAAGCTTCCAGCTTGGTGTAGAGCCAATTCCCCGGTATGTGGGACCTGCTCCAAGGCCATTGCCGTAACCATGTGGGAGCCCCAAACCATATCCAGAGCCATTACCCATTTCGTATGCCATACCATGCCCTAGAAGACTTCGGGACGGGCTATATGATGGAAACAGCGACATCGCTGGTGCCGTCTTGAGTGGAGGTTCCACGGAGAATGTGGGAGTTTGGGTGCGATTGTTTATGGCATTGTCGTCAGCGAATGAGTGCGCAAGTGCCAAAGGCTTTGGTCTGTTCTTTGGGTTAAACTTTGGGACTTGACGCAACAGGCTCGTCGTTTCATCACCGCCATGACCTTTAGTTTCCTGCTCGTGTTGGGAGCGAAATTGACTGAACAGGTGAATGGGAGGTAAACCAGCAGGCACCCCCAGAGTTTGCACTCCTGAGCGAGCATCTTCAGAGCCGTAGTGATCGTAGTAAACCAGTGCAAACGGAGGCGAACCCAGGCTGGGTGGAGAAAACAACTTCGGCCCGAATTGCAGCGGGGTGCCTGGCAACATCTCCGGACCCTCTGGGCGCGCCAGCTGCTGTCCCAGCGGGCGTTTCTTGATGTAATTCTCATATGCGTGCACCGTTTGTTTATGTTGACGAAGATTATCTAAACGGGAAAAATTCTTAGAGCAGTGAGGACACGTGAATGGTCTCTCACCCGTATGCTTTCGACGGTGGCGGGCCAAATGCTCTGACCTCGTAAACGACTTATTACAATTGGGGAACCCAGTACATTGGAAGACCCTGCCCTTCAGCGAGCGTTTGGACTTCTTCTCTTTATCGGACATCGACGGGACAAATATGCTTGGGGAACCGGAAGGTGTAGTCAACTCGGTGTCTCACGATGCTGTACCCTTCGAAAGTGTAGACGTTGTTATTGATTTTTGCTCAACTTATTTTTGCCTGTGGTTGGCGATTTGGAAATGGAAACAGCTTTAGGAGATGAGTGGGCCAAAAAAGTAAAAGCTATGAAATGTCAGAAGCACACAATCACGTTTGAATCGAAAAGAGTGATATTACAGAGACACACAAAAAAAAGTGGGAAGAAAACAGTGTGATCTTCTACCTGTAGGATGTGCCTTGTAAAAAAAAGGCACAGGAACCTACCCACCCGGATACGCAGAATTTACGCAGGCCACGATTGTGACGGAGAATTTCTCAAAAAAAAAAAAAAAAAAAGAAAATAACATGCAAAGAGGCAAGCATAGAAGCACCGATTGATGTAGTGCATTATCTGGTATGGTGGCAAAATGACTGGCAGAATAGAGTCAACTTGCCAGGGACATTCCGCCTGGCGAGGATGGTTGTCAGTTTCACTAAACAGGCACAATCTGGGCCGAGTGGTTGACGGAGTCTTTGCCGCGAAGCGCGAAGCACAAAGGCTTATGGGCAGCGGGGAGGTTCCGGGCCCAGTCATTCCAAAATTAGGAGCCACGCAACAAGAAAATTTTGGGGGGTGGGATTTACCATCACTATTCAGGGGCATAATTTGGCCCCTCTGGTGCAGTGAACTAGTGACTATATTTTTAGATTACTATGAACGTTGTGGTTTTCACGCCCTGCTACGAATAGTGTAATAAAGCGTAGAAGAAAGCAATCCATGAAGGTAGCTTGATGGTCGTTTATATTGAAGAGGATACCAGTAATTTGTTGAATGAGGTACTCACCAAGCTTTTGGCTTTCTTACTTCTCTTTCTGTTGTCTTCGTTTCTTCGATCGTTCCGCTAGCCCTAGGATTTGTTAAACTTAGGCGACATTTCCCCTGACTCTTGTTTGTATGATCTTTTTGATCCTTACAATGCTAAAATTTAGGTCTTCTCCCAGAACGGGGCATATCTCACAATTATAAAGTTTAAATTTGTCTCACATTTCAAAACTGTAATAATCTTCTTTACTTTTTTTTTTGGTCATTATTCTAGCAATCTATGGACATTTTTATTGTTCGTCTTTGTGTGACTCGTACTCTCAATCCTGGCATTTTGTACCTACGGAACTGTTTAATATCACTCTCAACTTATCCATTATTTCCCATACCAAAGTCTAGTCCTAATCTGGTCTGGAGTGGTAAGACAAGCCCCTCGCTCCCAGCCATGTCCCAGCTCGTATATTCTCCAGTTAAACTTTGAGCAGTGTCCAATTCTTCATGATCTTTAGCATCGCATACCTTGCACGATTCGCTGAGACTTTACCCCCCTGGAGCAACCGGAATTTTTCAGTTGTCACTACAAGATCCAGCTCACACACTTTCACACACACATATGTGGTACCAACGTTCTTCCTTGATCGTGAATTTTTTCGTATGTAAATAGGCCACGCCTGGTGAATGTGCACACCTGTATGCACTGGGACCCCCAACTTAGTGATTGTGCACATATAAGTCAATCTAAATCACAACCTCGAGGATTGTCGGACTCTCAATATGGTAAATTGGCATTTAATTGATGCTGCTACCACAGGAACTTTCAGCAACAACTGGAGTTACCCTGTGGTGCACTCTCAATGCTCACATCAACGGTCTCTGGCCGCTGATCAGTGTCTGCAGAGGTCTCACTAAACTCAGGCAAGCATGAGGCGATACGCTTGAACAAGAGTTTGACGTTGTGATTAGCTCTGGTCGAAGTTTCAATTAAAAACTTGCCGCCCACCAGCTTACAGAAAGTCTCCGCTTCTTCCACACTAACTTGTCTCTTACCACTAAGATCCGACTTATTTCCCACAATAACCACGATCACATCGTCACCACGCTCCATGCGAACATCATTTACCCATTTCTCTAAGCTCTCGAACGACTTTTTGTTGGTTATATCGTAACACACGACAGCAACATGTGAGTCTCGAATGTAAGAAGGGATCAACGAACGGAAACGCTCCTGGCCTGCGGTATCCCATAATTGTAACCTCACCGTTTTGTTATCTTCCAAGTACATGGTTTTAGATAGAAAATCGATTCCGATAGTGGCGGCGTACTGGTCATCGAAGGTGTCATACATAAAACGGGTTATCAAAGAAGTCTTTCCGACTACGTGCTATTAGTATTTTGAAAAGTTGCTGTATAAGATTTGCGAAACATACCACTCTGATCTCCCAAGAAAACAATTTTGTACTTTCTGAGAATTCCTTTGTCGCTCATTATGAATTCAATCAAGTGAATGTCATTCGACTGAACGGATTTTTCGAGGTAGGCAATCGCTAGGTGTACGGGTGTATAATATAGGTTGGGGGATACCCTTGCCAACAATCGAAAGTTCAAGTTCATTCAGATGATGGAACTAATAATAAACTCATCAGTGGCATAATTTCCAAGGAATCTTTTTAATGGTCTTCTTGAATCAATCTTTTAAGTTAAAGTACCCATGTTCTCTTCCTCCATGCTCTACTTCTATGCACTTGGAGGATACACCCGAGACGGTAGAAATCCCCAATTAATTCCATTAGATAACTCAAGTAATTCAAGCTTCTCTCTATTCCGAAATTGATAAGTTAAGGAGTAATGAAATATTCTTGATGGTTGGAGAATTTCTCCTGTACATACGCATTCATCATTACGATTTTCGAAAGGCTGTTCAATAACACATCAGATTCAACCAAAACAATGGATGAGTCAGAACTAAATGCCATCAGAGCGGCACGCTTGGCTGAGCTTCAGAAAAATCAATCACAGAGTGCATCTTCTGGAGCAGATGAACTGAAGTTAACTGTTCTTTCGCAGGTCTTGGAACCCAGTGCCAGAGAAAGGTTATCACGAGTGAGAATCGTTCGTCCAGACAGAGCCGAACAGGTGGAACAGTATTTGATGAAATTGATTCAAATGGGATCAATCACTCGCAAGTTGGGGGAGAACGATATCGTGGAGATTCTTGAATCGCTTTCAAGAGACGAAAAGAAGCAAACCAAAATTGTGTACGAGAGAAGAGGCACTGAAGACGATGAAGATGATGACTTCTTTGATTAGGTGACTCATTTCAATTCACTTAACTATGCTTTTGTTACATTCAAGTGCAACCAATCGTCATTTTATCTTGGATCTGATTTCTCGGGTAATATGCCTCAAAACACGATAGCTATGTCATTGTCAAATACAAAGAGCTGTATAGGTTCTAACATTCACTCTTGATTAATAGACCTATAATGATATACCAACCCGTTAGGCTTTTCTGGCGTTTTATGATTTTAGGTGACGGGTCCTCTACATCCATAACAAGTTATGAACAGAACGCTCAATTCTTGCTGAACAAAGTGGTTCATTACAGAGAAAAGAAGGAATTCAAATGTGGCATTGAGCTTATGTTTTGAGTTTACGTAGTTGATATGCAATAAGCTCGCTGTTACACTCAATTTGGCCATATGAAGACCGGATTCTTTTCCCATATATATGACACAGTCACAGTAAATTCAACTTTACCTATGAAAAAAGAAAAGAATCGAAAGAGAGCTAAGCATTGCCTCCCTCGCAGCGGAGTAAGTTAAGTAAACCATGAACTTGCAGGTAAATCTCAACTCAATTTTGATGGATCTCCTGCACTGATCTAAAACAATAACAACAGAACAAACATTCACATCAAGTGAAAAGCACTATGTCTGATAATATCCAAGTGATAGTTCGTTGTCGATCCCGAAATGAGCGAGAAATTGCATCTAATTCCCCTAGTATTATTGGACTTTCCAACGATGTTTACTCTCTAGATGAGCCGTTTGTTAGTGTCAACAATACTCCAATGTCACTGGTTTCAAGTGCAATTTCCTCCTCTGGTATCAAGTCTTCGCTTGCACAAGGAAAGGTTTTCAAGGTCGATCAAGTGTACGGACCTAATGCGGATCAGGCACTTCTCTTCGAGAATGTAGCTCTTCCGCTATTTCATGACTTTGTGAATGGCCTCAACGTCACGATATTGGCATATGGTCAGACTGGATCCGGAAAAACATACACTATGTGCGGAGATTTAGAAGGAGAAAATGCGGGAATGATTCCTCGTGTTCTCAATAAACTATTTGATGTCCTTAGCAATGATTACTGTGTGAAATTGTCGTGTGTTGAACTTTATAAAGAAGAGCTCCGGGATCTCAATAGTGACGATCCGGACGTTACTGCCAACAAATCAAAACTTAGACTAGTGAATGATAACTCACGAAAGTCTGCAACAATTCAGAATTTAACAGAGGTTCCTATCGATAATTCCGCCATGGGGTTCCAAATTCTACAAAGGTGCCTAAACAAAAGGAAGACTGGCGCAACAAAGATGAACGACATCTCTTCAAGATCACATACTGTATTCACCATAAACATTTACAAGCAGGCAAACCCTTCGGACTGTACTTCAGATTACCGTGTCTCTAAAATGAATCTTGTGGATTTGGCTGGATCAGAAGATGTTAACAAGTCAGGGGCAATTAACGAGCGCGCCCGTGAGGCTGGCTCTATAAATCAGAGTTTGCTTACTTTGGGAAAGGTAATAAATTCGTTGAGTGAAGGAAAGGAACCCAAGCACATTCCATATCGGGAGTCAAAACTTACAAGACTTCTTCAGGGATCTATCGGCGGAAAAACGAAGACAGCATTGATTGCGGCAATTTCTCCCGCAAAAATCAATGCACATGAGACCATAAGCACCTTGAACTATGCCTCCAAGGCCAAGAACATCAAGAACATTCCGCAGTCGACGCAAGACAGTGAAATGGTCCTCAAAAAGGTACTTGTCGCTGACTTATCTAGCCAGATTGCTCGTGTCACCAGGGACTTATTAGCCTCAAGAGACAGGGAAGGGAATATCAAGATGAGCGTGCAGAATTACGATGATTACAACAAAAAGTTGACATCTATGGAATCAAACTTAATTGAGAAAAATGCCGAAGTTCAAAGCATGATGATGAGAATGACTAGAAAAGAGGATGAGATTCAAGAACTTCAGAAACAGCTCAAAGAAGCTGAGGCTCTGAAAGATGTTGCAATTGCACAATTGGCAAAAAAGAATGATGAAGTTGGATCGCTCGAGTTACAATTCTCAACCTTGAAAGAGAAATATGCTATTAGGAATGAGCAGCTTGCTGAAGTTATGCTGCTTAACATTAGCGATATCAATGATAACCTTGCAAGATTTCAACGCTCTATTATGGATGACAAATCTCTGATAGGCAGTCAACTTGAATCTCTTAAAATCGAGATGGTTCATCAGGTCCAACAACTAAAAACGAACTTGAGGAAGAAGGGCAATGAAGTTCAACAATTAATACGGTCAGAACTTGATTGTCAGCAAACTGCAATTTTGAAAAGTCTAGATGTCTCGCCTTATCTTGGCCAAATTTCCAAATTTGACTTAGGTAAGCCAATTCAGTCACTTCAAGATAGTCACAAGCAGTTTTCGAGAGACCTTGATGTGATTCTTAATCCAGATTCTACTCCTTTCAAAGCAATTATTGAGAGATCAGATTCTCAATATTTGTCCAAAACAATTGAATTGAAAGAGAGAATCCTTACGAATATCTCCTCGACAATTGAAGATATTTTCAGCAATAACAAGCAGGCTTTTGCTGACTCATTGAAGCTGACTGTTTCAGAAGTGCTCAATACTGGAGGCAAGAGAATTGCACTGATCCTGACTAAACACAGTGATAGCTTGGCTCCAATTTACGACCAGATCGAATTCGCGAACAAAAACTTCAAGAATAATCTATCTGGTTTGGAATCTCATCTTGAAAGGGAGACATATTCAACAATTCAAAATACCGGAGAGAGTGTGAGAACTAAGCTTACAAGTGCTGTTGAACTATTTATGGAGCTGAACCTTGCGGATGACTATCCCACAAAGATTCAAAAGTCAATTGACATTGCAAAAAAGGGTCTTGAAAATATAGGGACTTCAACAACAAAAAATCACCTTCGAACAACTGGAGTCTTCAATAATTTCAGATCTGTGTTGGCGAATATTGACACTACTCCCAACACTACGAGGTCAATTCCTGCATCCCCAAAGAGATCTCCGATCGGTTCTCCAGTGGGAAACTCACCCAAGAGAAGGCAACAACTTTCGGTGGTTTCAAACACAAGTGTTCTTCACCGAAGTCAAATTCCGCAACTAAGCCATTCCACAAGGTCGAACGTTTGAAATTCTAACAAGAACAGAGTCTGTTCATTTCATTTGGTTTGTACACGACTCGTGTTTATGAACTGAACACGCGATAAGGTCATACTGCTAACCTCACAATGACAAGCAAAGGTGTCTTGTGGATGGCCTCTTATGGATCGTTTAGTATCGTTGCGTTTGCTGCCACCTTTCTATCTCTGGCATCTAAATCCTTCGATTATATCACTTTGATGCATGAACTCACAGACAGTTACAAACTCACTATATTGTTGAACTTTGTTGTTTGTTGCTTTCTACTTGGCGGTATAATCAGTATACGGCTAATTTTTGGGGAATTGAAACTACTTGAGGTGGAAAAAATTGTGGATCAACTTCCATTCTATGGTCTCAACTTGTTATTCATCTTGTTTAATGATGACAATCTCCTATTAAATATTGTATGGGCGGGTATCACTGTTCTTGCCAAGGTTTATCACATCATACTACTCAATCGACTTGAGTTTCTTCAACTTCAAGTGGTCAATGGCCTCACTCGTGAGCATTTATCCAAATTGCGTATCTTCAGGCTTTTCGCCTTGAACGTTTACGTTATCTTATTAGCATCTTTCATAATCTCCGATTTCTTCTTAGCAAAGATACTTGCGTACGATGTATTTCAAGGTGTGAGTTCAATTGGGAGCTTGCTATTTGGCATTCAGTTTGGCGTCATGGGAATTGATGGCTTTGCTTACTTTGGAAAGCTTGCTTTCAATGTATATGAACTTATGTTTTACAGATCTCAGTCCAACAAAATCGATGTTGAGGAAAACACATTGGACGATCTTGATCTCGATGAAAATGATGATGATGACAATGCAGAGACAGTGTGGGAGAATAAAGCTCTTTGGACTCAGAGCTTTGAAATTATAATGTCTGCACTGAAGGCGGCGTTCTATTCAATATTTATTTACATCTTATACGTTCACTCAGGATTGGCACCCCCAATTCCGATTATTCAAGGTTGCTTCTTTGCTGCTGTTAGTGTTGCAAAGCAATGCCTGCAGTTGAGATCCTATATTTCCCAGTCAAGGATTTTGGATGGATTACTTGAAAACGCAACAACTTCAGAGTTAGAAGCTGCAGATTATCTATGTATTATCTGCCGGGAAGACATGCATTCTCCAGAGATTTACCAGCAGCAGCGTGGGAAGGCTTTGTTGCCCCGAAGGTGTCCAAAAAAGCTTCAATGTGGACATATTTTGCACATGGGCTGTCTTAAAGACTGGCTTGAACGTTCAGATAATTGTCCTCTTTGTCGCAAGAAGGTCTTCGGTCAAGAACCCGCTTCAGTTTTGCCTGTTGCTTTTCCGGAGCCTGTCGATCGCCCGAACCCACCAGGTGAGGTGATACGGGAATCGACGATGCCTGAAATGATTGAAATGATTCCATATGTATCAACTCCATCAATTCCCACTGATTGGGCAGCATTTCCAATTGAAAGATCTGATTCATCAGGCCAAATCCGAATCGAAATTTCACCAGGAAATATTGGAGTTCTTACTAAACGTTCGGGATCGGATGCAGCCTCGGAAATTTCAACATCTGAGTAGAAATTAGGTTAAGGTTTTGGGTTAATAATTAACGACATATGGAACTTTCGAGTTGACTTCAGGCAAGATTCCCGAATTTGCTTTCGATCAAATCTGTCTAATATAGTTGTTTTTGGTTCTTATTCATGATCTGAAATTGTAGAAGACTATCATTCCTCTCTGGTATTTATGCAAGTAGTTTGCCTCCTCCTTATATACCACAGAGCTTAGTTTTCGGACATTACGTAACGAAGTCAAACTCCATCTCTGAAGTGGTTTTGTCCTCTGGTATTTTTTGCCCATATCGCAGGTTGAAACTATATGAACCATGACTATATTCATCGACTTCCTCTTGAGGCATTGTTTGCCAATTACCTTGTTGGTCATCAAAATCGCCACTTTCATAGCCTTGGTCAACTCCAGTTGCATTAACAATGTATGAATAGCTCATGGGGGACTTCTGGGACACTAATTGTCTAGGTCTTCTTCCTTGACCTGGGTGTCCGAGTTATCTTTCACTTCCACTGAAATTCCCTCCCGAATCTCGCCGGTGTCGTTGAAGCTGTTCAAAATGGCTTGAGAAGTTAACTCATCCATCGAGCTCTGTGTACCTTGAGGAATCCAATCAACGTACTTCTCTTGTGTCTGTGATGCAAATTGATGAAAGTTTCTGCTTATGTCACCATCTCCAGGAGCCTCAAAAGTTGAGTCAGGGCTAAATGATTGATACCTGCGAATATCATCAACAGTACCTCGTGACGTAACTTCATCAAGACCATTAGAGCCATTTGCAGAGAAACTTCCGTCATTAGAGCTGTCATGACTAAGTGAATTTGCAACTTTTGAAAGGGCATATTCTCCTTGAGAAGGTTTCATCACCGGCGGGTCTACACCTTTCACTGATCCACATTTCTCCTCTTTCAAAACAGCACCTTCGAGCAGAGCTTGAAGCCCATTATCACCGTCCTCGATGTCTTGGACTAGAGAGGAATGCTGAAACAGGTCCAGCGATTCCCATACGTCATTTCGGTTGGTGGGGCTCAGATTGGTAATTTCGGCGTTATGATTTGCTCGATGTGAGTGGCTCAAATTTGATGATCCAGATCTGTAGTCAATCTTAGAAGCTCCTGACTCTCTTGTATCAAACTGAGCTGAGACCATATCCCTGAATAATTCCCCATACCTTTTGGTCCGAGATTTTGAGAGGGGAACAATCGTGGCCCTATTTATGTTGTGTTGTCCAAGGTGGTCTTCAAGTTTCTTGTTCGATGTTTTAGCCTTCAATACATGTTCTCCGCATATCTCACACACACAAAGATTGGACTCTTCCATACCTAGTCGCATCCAACTCCACACCCAAGAACGATTAGTAGCTTTTGTATTTCTGGTACCAGCAACTAGTTTCTTGAGATACTTACCCTTCAAAACACTTGAGCCAAATCCCTCGTGCACTTTGCCATTCTGGAGTATGTAACCTGATTTATCATGAAAGGCCGCAATAATGGAAATTTCGTTTTCATCAAAATTGAAATGATTTTCACGTATAGCAAGTGACAAGCTATTAATCTCACTTTCAATAAGCTCCTTTGGATATTCGAAATGAAAGTTTCGACATGATTCAAGATGCTTCATTGACTTTGAAAGGTTGCTAACTATTCGAGACTTGATAGTTTCCTTGGAACCCATTAACATCATATCTTCAGCCAAGTCTCCTATTTCCTCATTTTCTGCGAGCGAATGACTGTTATCATCAAAACTGATGTAACAAGATACTAAGTGTATACTTTCTGCAATATTACATAGTGCCAAAAGAAAGTGGAAAACTCCATCAGTGGAGTACGGTGGTTGTAATAATAAGTCCTCAGTCATATCTCGTAATTTGGCGTAATTTTGCTCCACCAAGAGCTCCCATAACAATGAAATGACGTAGATTGGAGCATACCTCCGATTGGCAGAACGATATACTGGTCCCAGAAATGAGTATGAAGAATACACTGGATTATGTGAGACGGGGAATGAGAGTGAAAGCCATTCTAGGAATTGCCGTTCCTTGAGCAATTCCAACTTCGAAACAGTTCCTAGCAGTCTCATTTTTTCTTTCTGTCTGGCCAAGATTTCAACCGCAAGTGGCCATAATGCCCTTAGATCTGCTGCATCAAATCTTATGATCATACATAGAATCTTATGAGCATTATTCCATTTTCGGCGTAATATATTGACATGCAACAAGGTCGTTAAGGATTTGATGTGCTGTTTCTTTAAAGAGGAGCTTACAACTTCGCAGCTGTCTTGCAAATACTCCAATCCCCATGTCTTTATTTGGTACTGATCTCTTGCCCAGGTCCGCAGCACGTCAAACCCTGATTCCCATTGCTTCAATTTCTGAATTGCATAATTTGAATCAGGATGTGCTTCGTCATCCCAATTCAAGTCAGGGGTGATATCACCTTTGTTGCTTATTAAATTATTGGATGTCGTCTCTGTGTCTTCCAAATCTGAATCCGATGTGTCCGAATGATCTGAGTTTGAAGAACTAGACAGGGAACTCGTGCTCACGTTCTCATTTTGGATCAAGTTGGCCAGTTGACCAGATAGTAAGTTTCTGGCTTTGTCAAGGAAGTCGGAGTCCAGTTTTTCTTCTGCGAGCTCTTTTAACAATGTTTTTTTGACCTCCTCATCGAAGTCTTCCTGAGACGTTTCACTAGTTCTTTGCCTCTTTCTCCTCTTCCCCCCGTCTTCTGCAGTTGTCTGTTCGCTTACGGTTGCTTTTTGTTGCTTTACATGCCAGTATTCATATGATTCATCCTGAATTGGCCGCTTTTTATATTCCTCCTCTAAACGTCGTAGGAGAAGGTTTCTTTCTCCTGATGAAAATTTGCGTCCAAGCTGTGCCTCGATCTCTCCGATTAATCGATAATTCACATTGTGGGAGATTAGAAAATGGAATTTATTTCGCTTATCATTAGTGAGGTGAACTGGATGAGTTCGGTGAAGCTCTTCAAACATAGTTCATAGCATTCAACACAGGTTTTATGGGTTGGTGAAATCAACCGCGAAGTAATATGCAATATCCCCTGTCAAAAAGACTTACAAATTTATCCTAGTTTGCGAATACCAAATAAAATTGGAAAAACTATGTACAGCCGTTAGCATAACGATTAAAAGCCCATGCCTGGCATGCCTCCACCCATCTGTGGGGCTGGAGCTTGGCCCTTTGGTTCAGGAGCGTCCACTATGGCACATTCAGTTGTGGCCAACAAAGAAGCAACTCCAGCAGCATCAACTAAGCCGTTCTTGACAACCTTGAAAGGGTCAATAATACCGGTTGCGATCATGTCGGTGAACACACCTTTAGAAGAATCGTAACCCTTGTTGAATTCAGGCTCATCGTAGATTTTACCCACGATAACAGCACCCTCTTCACCAGCGTTCTCAATGATTCTTCTAGCAGGCTTAGTAATAGCAGACTTAATAATGTCTACACCCAATTTTTGGTCGAAGTTGGAGGCGTTAGCCTTCACGCCTTCCAAGATTCTGGTAGCCTTGATCAAAGCAGTACCTCCACCTGGTAAGATACCCTCCTGGACAGCTGCTCTGGTAGCGTTAAGAGCATCATCATATCTGTCCTTCTTTTCACCAACTTCAACTTCAGAGGAACCACCGACCTTAATGACGGCAACACCTCCAGATAACTTTGCCAATCTCTCCTGTAACTTCTCTCTTTCGTATTCAGTCGTCACAGTGTCCTCAACAGAAGCTCTGATTTGTTCACATCTAGCTTGGATGTTATCTTTGCTTCCCTCTCCGTTCAATACCACGGTGTCCTCCTTGGTGATGGTGATGGAACCAGCAGATCCCAATTGCTCGATTGTGGCATTGGTTGGCTTGATGTCCAATTCATCAGTGAAAACAGTACCGCCAGTGAGGATAGCAATATCACCCAAAGTGTTCTTTCTGTTGTCACCAAAACCTGGAGCCTTAACAGCACAAACCTGGACCTGACCTCTCAACTTGTTCAAGATACAAGCGGCAAGAGCTTCACCATCGACGTCTTCAGCCAAGATCAACAATGGTCTTCTGGTCTGGTTAGACAACTCCAAAGATGGCAAAATGTCCTGGATTGAAGAGAGCTTCTTCTCAGACAACAAAATCAATGGGTTCTCGAACTCAACTTTACCATTCTTGGTATTGGTAATGAAGTAAGGAGAAATGAATCCACGGTCGAACTTCATACCCTCAGTCACTTCCAACTCATCCTCTAATGTCTTACCTTCCTTAACGGTAATCACACCTTCCTTACCAACCTTCTCCATGGCAGAAGCCAACAAGTTACCGATGTGAGAGTCTCCGTTGGCAGAAATAGTAGCCACCTGTGCGATCTCTTCGCTCGTGGTGATCTCCTTCTTGTTCTGTTGCAAGAACTCAACAACAGCTTCAACAGCGGCCTGCGTTCCTCTTCTCAAGTCCATTGGGTTACAGCCAGCGGCAACGTTCTTAACAGACTCGGTGAAGATAGATCTTCCCAAGACAGTAGCAGAGGTAGTACCATCACCAGCAGATTCATTGGTCTTGGAGGCAACCTCCTGAAGCAATTTAGCACCCATGTCCTCGAACTTATCCTCCAAAGTAATGGATCTGGCAACTGTAACACCGTCCTTGGTAATCTTTGGAGAGCCAAACTGTTGCTCAATGAGTACATTTCTACCCTTAGGACCCAAAGTGACAGAGACAGCGTCGGCCAAGGTGTTGACACCCTTCAAAAGAGCGGCTCTTCCTTCCACGCCGAATTTGAGCTCCTTATGGGAGTACTGACGAATAAAAGATCTGGTAGCAGAAACACGTGCTCTCAACATGATTGAAATTCCAAATGTATGGAAGTTGCAAGGGCGCACTGGAAAAACTGGGGTTTTATAGTGAGGATTGAAAAAAATTCGAGAAAATTCTGTCTTAGATATTGGTCCTGTATGTATGTACTTCTCCATACAAACATTAGAACTGAATATCTAATCAAAACTTCTTTGTGAAGCGAAGTCACGTAGAGTGCCTTTTTCTTACTAGATAGAGCCCGAGCTCGCAATTGGGAACCCTGTTGATAAAACCTGGGTGTTGCAAACACAGTTGCAGGCGATGCAACTCAATATTATATAATTTTAGGAGCTGAAATATTCTAATGACTTCGATAGCCAATTATTACTGACTTATGATATTGCTGAAAACGATTTTACTTAATGCCGGATTCTGAGTAAGTTCATGATTTGCACAAATTCATACCAGTAATAGCCCAAGCTCTGCATTTATGTTTACAAACTCCAACCCAACTTAGTATAAGCCCATGCTCCACATTTATATTTACAAATCCAACTAGCTGGACAACCCGCAACAATATACTTCGACGAGAAATACACACTTAGTGATTCTTCCCTTCTCAAAATGGAGAGAGTTTCACTTTAAGAACAATTAGATAATTCAACGAGTTTTGAGGGTGCCAATGCCACCCCGTAAATTGTGTATGAACTCAAGGAAACTGGTAAGGAAAAAAAGTTCTATGAAGCCCAATTTTACCCGATATGAGGAACACATGTAAATCACACTTCCCTTTCCTTTTCCCCTTTCCCTCTTTTTTTAATGTTCACAGTACTTAAGTCTCACTGCGTAACTTATGTATTGGCCCAAATACCGTTTTTGTTTTCTGTGTTTGCAAATTTTGTGCGAGAATACACCAAATCCAAGAAAGTAAATTCTCTCTGCAAAAATCGAAAACAACAAAAGGAGATGAACTCAGCTTCTAACTATTAATAATTCACAGAGAAGTTCGCTTTAAGCTGTTATTGAGCAGAGTAATAGTGCTTTTACAATTTGTCGGTTGTAGCTGCCCTTGGAAGTGCCAAGAACAGCAAATTCACTGTGATTTAGTCAGTCGACACTCATGTCTTATACTAAGGCTCTGACGATTCAAAACTACTCAAGAATCTGACTGATTGCTGAACAAGTATGAAAACTTAGCCTTTCGGTGTGGCAAGTCCTGTGCATGTAACCTCGCGCCTTCAACAACGGTAGGTTCACCTGTAAATGAAGGTTAGTAGCTGATTCTGTTTAGCAAGACAACAGGGAATCTTTAAAGCTCACACCTAAGATCGGCACTAGGAGATCAGATATCAAGTGCTTCAAGGTTTTCTGCAATAATATTTTCGACTCCAATCCTTTACGTTTCTTGGATCAATAATGAGTGGAATCGCTTTGAAATTCACCTCGTTATTGGTTAGAACCTTAGCCAAGCCAATGGCTCTGGCTTTGAAAACACAAGCTAAAGAACATGAACTATTCAAATCCGCATGCATCCGAGTGGCTCAAACAGTGCACTCGACGGACGTGAAGTTACGAATGAGACTCTTGGGAGAGAATAAGATCAAAGTCCGACCATTGAATGACAAGAAAGCTATCGAGAATGGTGCCAATTTTCTTCTGGAAGCATTCATATTTCTGGTTGCTGGGTCTCTAATCTTGTATGAGTCTTATAGGAGTCGGGTGAAAGCAGCCAACGAAAAGCTCACTGTTAGAAACGACATCACAGACCTTCAAGGCGAGATCGAAGAGGTGAAGAAATTATTAGAACACTTGTCGGAAGACTTGCTACTCTTGCGCAATATGGACTTGAGTAACTCCTCCCCTGAAGATACCAGTCCAAAATTGAACACATCTCCAGTTGTTGGAACTTCATGAACGCATTATACAAATGATTCAAACAGCACGCAAGTTACGACATGATAAAGAGCTGATGTGTGGAGCATTTTTAAATAGACTTAACAATTCGATAGTATACAAAACAGATATATTACATAAGACCCCTCCTATTTTTGGCCCTTCTTTCTCTCCACCTTCAATAACAAGGCCTTATTGATATGTGGCAAAACACCACCATATGCAATGGTGGCTTTAATCAAATTGTCCAACTCCTCATCTCCTCTGATAGCCAACTGCAAGTGTCTAGGTGTGATTCTCTTGACCTTCAAGTCCTTAGCAGCATTTCCTGCCAATTCCAATACCTCAGCAGTCAAATATTCCAATACTGCTGTCAAGTAGATTGCCGACTTGGAACCGATTCTGATTTTGTTCTGAGCATTTCTCTTCAAGTATCTCTTAATTCTACCAACTGGAAACTGCAATCCAGCTCTAGCCGAATGGGAACTAGTAGCTTTGCTACTTTCTGCTGATTTGCCTTTACCTCCGTGAACTTTTCCTTTTCCAGACATTTGTGTATAGAAAGAGTGAGGTGTTGAGTTACCATTTGTTTACTTTTTTGATTACTGTTATGGCTACCGCGAAGGGTTACCCGGATTGTTAGTAGGAATTGTAGATAAACTGTATACATCGTGTTAATAGATAGTAAGAATACAAGAGCTGCTTTCTTCGTATGTGAATCAAATACAACAATGAGTTTCTGTCAGATGAACAGATTATCTAGAGCATGGGCAATGCACCCTAAAATACCTAGGTTTTTTTCTACAAATCGCTGCGAGTAGTAGTTTTTTCGGATCACTATGAATTAATAATCGAACATGGACCAATCATATCCATCAACTTTTCGACATCATTTCTAGACTTCTGAAGTTCGGTGCACACTGAATCAAAATGCTGCATGCCTTTCATGAGCTTAATCAAACTCACCAACTCTTCCAATTCGAACAGCCCATCCTCTTCAGAATCCGAGATATTATCGGAAATCTTGTGATGCAAAAGACTGGACGTTCTATTTGAAGATTCGGAATCACTGTCAAAAACATCCAGTCTGTTGAAGGAATCATTTGCGTCTTCACTCTCGTCTTCATCGTCATCTTCCTCATCGTCATCACTCACACGCACTCGTCTATCCACATGATAATTAAAACTGACTGTCCTCTTTTTCTTTCCTGTTTTCAACTTTGCCTCCTTCACAGAGCTTCGAAGCAAGCCAGAATCTTTAATATCAGTCGTCGAGGCCAGAACACGACGATTCTTTCTTCTCAATTGCTCTTGGTGTGACTCGACGAAGAGATCCAAGTTGTCGATTTTCTCTTCTCTGCTTTCTAGAGATTTCGTTACAGAGTGTAGCACTGGATACAGATTAACCCTGTAAATAATCCCTCTAACGACACCGAAAGTTATGAACCTGCGAATGTCGATGTTTCCCAATGCCTTATGATGCTGAATGTACCACTCCTTTATAGTCTGACCTTGATTGAGCAGCCGATATAAATAGAAAAGAGTAGCTTTAGAAGGCACTTTGATTTCTCGCAGCTGATCTCGTATGTTCGGCTTGTTGATCATGCTTCCACTTATCGCCGACTTTGATAATGGACTTGCAGACTCAGCTACTACTTTAACTGCCGGCGAACCAATACTGGCACTTGCCGCCCGAAGACCTTGATTAGGAATTTCCGGACGTGAGTTAGGTGGAGTATTTGATGTAGCTGCGGTGGTTGGGACAGAATTGCGTGCTAAATCGTCGAAATTGACAGAAATGATATATGCTTGACATTCTTCGGCCATACCATTTGTTTTGAGAAAGTTTCCAATGTTGTTTGTAGGCGCGTAGATATTATTGAATTGGAAAATATCCATCATGGCGATACACTGGTAATGCATTAAATGTTGGATGCAATTCTTAGTAAGTAGATAGTCAGCATCTGCAAGCTCACTAATCTTTTTCACAGAATTCAATCCATTAATATATGGTAAAATCTTCACCATTGTAGGATCCCAATTGACATCCATGAGCAGATTCAACTTCACTGTCAGTAATGGAACCTGATATGCTTTGAGATTGACTGGAGGTGGCAATATGGGAAAAAGCTTGATATCCACACTATTTGCTGAATCAATGGGAATACAACACTCAGAATAATTATTGAGATCCTGGTATATCTGATGAATTAGAGACTCAATTGACTGCAAAGAGAATTTTTGAATTTTCTGATGTCCCGGGGTGTAGTCAGTGCTCTTCGTAAGCAAACTGTTAGATTTCAGATTAAAGAAGACACGATCTTTATCCAATTTGCTTAGAAGGTAAGATTGCTCTTCTAGAGCCCGGAACATCTTGCCCATTCGCCGAATTGCAGATTCATAAGGAGTTGTATCGGAGTTGTAAGGGAAAACAAAACCGAAATTGAAGTTAAATGAGTTTCTTGAATATCCCGAACCTTCAATATTAACAGGGTAACCTAATACCCTAAATCTGTTAATTTTAAAAGACACTAGCTTGTTGCACAATTGTGGTTTCGGAATAATGTAGTTTTTAACAGTGTCGAAATTGAAAAGGATCTCAGACAGGTTAAGGTTTGGAGCAGAATAGCTTGCAATTGAACCTTCAGGAACTTGGTGTACTATCTTAGTACCTTCAGTAGGATGAAATACGGCGTAAAATATCGCCGTAATTGGTACAAATCCGTCATTGGCATCCATGACAGTGAAGTCTTCTAATTTTGAGATGTGGGGAGGAAGTGTTTTCCGCAAAAAAAAAAAAAAACTCCGCGACGGGGAATTGAACCCCGGTCTACCGCGCGACAAGCGGTAATTCTAGCCACTAAACTATCACGGACTACTGTTGGACAAGTGCTCTCAACCTGTTGAGATCAGAGAAGAAATTGAAGCAAAAACGGACAAAAGCTTGCTCCCCAACCTGTGACCCTTGATCACTGTCTTAAGGTTGACCGTGTTGTTCGTATCATCAAACATGAATATGTCCGACGTCGCACCCACTTGTTATCCGGCACAATTTTGCAGCCTATTAACCATAGTGTTGTATTTGCCCGTCATCCAATTACAATGTAGTTCCCTGGAGCACTAGCATCGCTAATTCGTAGTTCACCTTTCCTGAAGCATTACGCACTTGATATGGTGGATGTCTAGTAGAATGGTGAGAGCTTTGAATGGGATGTTAACATTTCAAAAGGATTATTTCATACGGATTGGTGAAACTAGCCGCACAATTAGCATCTCTGCAGCAAAGAATTTTTTGTATAATAAGTAATCTTTAAGATTGTTTCAAGTGAACCACTCAGAGCTTTCTGTCTCTTTTAAATTCGAATGCCTGACCACGGACTTAACAATTTCAACTAACCTGTTTTTGTGTTCTGCATGCGAGAACTCCCGATTCTGATCTTTGCGGCCAACTATTCAAGCATGAATCCATCGGGCAGGACAACTTTATCGCACCACCTACATTATAAGTAGATTAGAACAGCAACATTGTTCGACTAGTTGGGTTGGTATTGAAAAATAAAATAAAAAAACGTTCTTCGGCTGTTCCGGTATCGAAGAGGCACTTGGAACAATAGTATCACTCCATTCCGCCATCTTCATTTGATGTCGTCGCGTGAATAGAGCTGCAAAAAAAAAAAAGACGAGATATGGAGAACTCGATGTGGAGAAGAACTGAGACTTTCGGCTAGTACGGTAGTCACGGTGTCCTGGTGGTGCTCCATAGTTCTATAATGCGACATAATTAGCCAGTATAAACCTTATGTTAAAAACTAAGGATGGAAAATAAAAAAGTGCTTCAGCTTTCATAATCGAATGAGTTTTTAAAACCACTAAATGATCGTCCTAAGGATAGAGAAAGTGGATCAGTTGCTTTGTATTCAATTAGAGTGAGTCAATTAACTCCGAAGGGACGCTATTGAGAAAAAAAAAGCGAGTAGCCTAGCTTTTGTATTCAGTAGGTGGAACAGTTAATCAATTTGAAACCTCAACCCAACTTCAACTAACAAAACTTGCAATTTGTATAGCGACGAGAAATATCTAGGTTGTGCATATATAACATTAAGATGGTCCGTACTCCAGGAAACGACATCCCCTTTGACGAACCCCTATTCCATTGCCCATCTTGAAGCCCGGTGATCTACTATTCATTTTTTTGTCTGATGCTGAGGATGCCATGATCTCCTTCATAACTCACTCAATAGGTCCAGCGGCAATGCGCCTATGTCCGGACGGACGAAATAAAATCTTCAATAGGAATACTCAATATTGACGGTAAAATAGAAGAGAACCGAAAAATTTTTAGGCCAAATTCTAAGTATTCTGTCCTTGGAATTCTGGCAAATTGATCAATGAGAATGTATTACGTAAGTGAGGATAAAGTGTAAAAGGGGGCGTTCAGTAGTGTTCGTCAGAAAGCAGACTACAGACTTTGTAGTTAAAAACATTTTAAATTAGAACGGAATCGGGGACGGGAACCCGGAGCTTTGCTCACCAATTCTTGGCAGAATGTGGTGGTGTGGAGGAAGGGAAGAAGGTGTGGGTTAAGTGGGGTGGAAGTGCGGGAGTGGTGCGCCTCACTGCGATTACCAAGCACTTCCTTTGAAACGTACTCGTAGTCAGCTCTATTCTAAAGGATTTTTGAGAATAACCAAGGCAAGAAGTTGAAATTGTGAAACCTAACAAGTATTGATTCTGCTTGCTCTGCAATAATAAGAATTGAGTGAGAAAATCAAATTGAGCCCGTCACCCTAGACCTTGAATTACCAAGTAATCAACATAATCGTTACTGGCTACGTTTTTAATATTGGAAATCGATACTGAACCAACCCAAACACCCCCACAATCGTCTCCAACACATACAAGAACCCAACTTGGTCAATCGACCTGCACATACGTATTGTGGGGTGGTGAGATGATAATTTGTGGGGTTACTCAAACTCCGAACAACATATAAGGCCCAGTAGAATCCACAACCTGATATCTTTTTCTGAATTACCGTTAATAACTATTTATCAACATGCCTGAGCAATTGGTAATGGACCATGAGAAAGCGCAAGACCCTCCTAAGGGATTCTTCGAGAGATCTTCATCGAAGCCTAACTTAGGATCCTTAGATGAGTACAAGGAGATGTATAAGCAGTCTATTGAGGATCCTGCCACCTTTTTTGGAGAACAGGCCAAGAAGCTTTTGGCCTGGGATCGTCCTTTTGACATTGCTCGCCATCCTGAATCGATCAAGGATGACTTTAAGGATGGTGACTTGCCTGCCTGGTTCTTGGGTGGCCAATTGAATGCTTGCTACAATGCCGTTGATCGTTGGGCAATCGAAACTCCAGACAAGGCGGCCATTATTTACGAAGGTGATGAGCCAGATACTGGTGCTATAATCACATACGCAGAGTTGTTGAAACAAGTTTGCAAGTTGGCTGCTGCTTTGGTGAAATTGGGAGTGAAGAAGGGCGACACTGTCGCTGTTTACTTGCCTATGATCCCAGAAGCCATTGTCACATTGTTGGCAATCACACGTATTGGTGCCGTACACTCGGTTGTGTTCGCAGGCTTCTCTTCAACTTCGTTGAAAGACAGAATTGTGGATGCTGACTCTAGACTCGTGATCACAGCTGACGAGTCAAAGCGTGGAGGCAAGACTATCGAGACAAAGAAGATTGTTGACGAAGCACTCAAGGAGTTGCCTCAAGTTCGCAACGTTCTTGTTTTCAAGCGTACTGGAAGTTCTCATGTTCCTTTCAACGCTGGAAGAGACTTGTGGTGGCACGAAGAATTAGCCAAGTATGGAAACTATTTCCCTCCAACTCCTGTGAACTCGGAGGATCCATTGTTCTTGTTGTACACTTCTGGATCTACAGGAAAGCCTAAGGGTATTCAACACAACACTGCTGGATACTTGTTGGGTGCGTTGTTGACTACCAAGTACACTTTTGATGTTCACCAAGATGATATTCTCTTCACCGCTGGTGATGTAGGCTGGATTACCGGTCACACTTATGTCGTCTACGGTCCTTTGCTTAACGGTGCTACTACCGTTGTATTTGAAGGTACCCCTGCTTACCCCGACTTCTCCCGTTACTGGCAGATTGTTGACAAGTACAAGGTTAACCAATTTTATGTTGCTCCAACTGCTTTGCGTTTGTTGAAGAGGGCTGGTACCTCCTTCATCGAGAAGTACAAGTTAGATTCGATCAGGGTTTTAGGATCTGTTGGAGAGCCCATTGCTGCCGAAGTTTGGCACTGGTACAATGACAACATTGGCCGTGGCAAGGCCCATATTGTTGACACTTACTGGCAGACCGAATCCGGCTCTCACTTGTTGACTCCACTCTCTGGTATCACCCCTACAAAGCCAGGCTCTGCTTCGTTGCCTTTCTTCGGTATCGATGCCCACATCTTGGACCCTGTCACTGGCGAGGAGCTCCTTGAGGACGGAGTCGAAGGTGTTTTGGCAATTAAGAATGCTTGGCCATCCATTGCAAGAGGTATCTTCAATGACTACAACCGTTTCATTGATACGTACCTTGGAGCATACCCAGGATACTATTTTACCGGCGATGGCGCTGCGCGTGACAAAGATGGCTTCTACTGGATCTTGGGTCGTGTTGACGATGTTGTGAACGTTTCTGGACACAGATTGTCAACTGCTGAGATCGAAGCCGCCTTGATTGAACACCAGATGGTTGCTGAAAGTGCTGTCGTCGGCTATGCCGATGAATTAACTGGCCAGGCTGTTGCCGCATACGTTTCCTTGAAATCTAACTTCAAGGCAGACGATAAGGAGTCGATCGATGCTGTGAAGAAAGAGTTAATTTTAACTGTGAGAAAGGAAATTGGTCCTTTCGCAGCTCCAAAGTTGATCTTGTTGGTTGATGATTTGCCAAAGACTCGTTCCGGAAAGATTATGAGAAGAATCTTACGTAAGGTTTTGGCTGGAGAAGAAGATCAATTGGGTGATATTTCCACTTTGTCCAACCCTGGTGTTGTTCTGCAGATCATTGACGTGGTTAAGCTGACCAGGAAGTAAATTAACTCGACCTATCTAGGTGATTACTATTTATATGAATTCTATTTATATTAGTGACTTTAAGTGACTACTCATGTCCATGATTGAGGAAGCCTGCGAATAATGACGATGCTGTGGGTTTCCCAGCCACAACAGCCGGTGATATTCCATTACTTTTAAGGTATTCCTCTGTAGTCGGTCCAATACAGGCGATTCTCAACTGATGAGATTGCAGCGACTTCTTCATGTGATCCACGATTTCCTGGGTGCCTTGCGGACTGAAGAACACAATCCAATCAATATGTTTTTGGCAGCATTTGTGAAAATCATCTAAAATCCCACTGCGTGGTTCTGTCTTATAAATTACTTCCTCCTTCACATTAAATCCGTTCGCTTTCAACTTAACAAATATGACTTCCCTCCTAATTACGCCCGTGAAGAAAACTATTGGCAGTGCTGAATCTTTTAAATCATTTATTATAATGTCCGCCAATTTCGACCCGTTTCCAGCTTGTGAACCACCTCTTACATCAAGAAATCCATTATCTAGTAAGATTTTTTCAGTTGCTGGTCCTACAGTGTACCCAGTCTTGGACCGAATTCGTTCGGCAGTCTTGGAGTTCTTTTGTTCTATCTGTCCTAAACATTCGTGAAAAACTTCAACAGCTCTTTGCGAAGTGATGATGAAGGTGGAAATTTCGTCAAGGAATTCGTTGCTGGAAAGGTAAGCTGTTGTAGAAGCCACATTGACTGGAGCATGATGCAAAAGCGGCAAGAACTCTGCGGAGTTTCCATTCTCCTCCATAATCTCTAGGTATGGATCCAGAGGAGTAGTTCGGTTTTTCAACATAAGTATGTGCATCGTTGAGATGATTTAGAATGTATTAAACTTGAGATGATGATCTGAAGGTGTGCGCATTATCTTTTCCTGTCGCTTTGTTGGTTTGCACGCCTTCACCAGTACGAATCTATTCAATTACAAATTTACATAATCCCTCATAATATAACATTAATTTCACGCCTCTAGCGGTTGCTCATAGCTAGAAAAGACTTTCTTCAATCTTTCATTTCCAACTACCAAATTACCAATAGCATTCCTTCCTGCTTCCTTCATCTTTTCAATTGTTTCGATCTTATACCCAGTGATGGAGACGTAGGAAAAGAAACCAATAAGGAGAACAAGAACTGGGAGCCAGAAGAAGAGCAACATCTTGTCGTTCTCGACGGTTTTTCTTGGATGGTTGACGAAATTAAGTACCATGTCTTCAGATGAATCAGAAGTGACACCAGCATCTTCATGATCAGCAAAAGCCTCGCTTTCTTTTCCCTGATGTGCTCCTGTGTTACTGATATCTTGTTCCACAGAGGCCTTGGGTTTCATGAAGCTATTTCCAAAAGGGAAGAGATCATCGTAGGATGGCAAGTCCGCCTCTGTATCACTAGAAAACACAGCATTCTTGACCTTCTGCCATAAGCCCGCATTGGGAGACTTGGTAGTAGTTTCCGACACATCACTTTCAGATTCTCCGTAGTCATTATAATCCTCATCATCGTAATCGGCACCTTCTTGGTTACATTCGTGACGATACCTGTTATACTCGTTCTCATCGATCGATGAATAATCATCAGAATCAAATTCTGAGTCGGCAAAGTCTGACTCATTTCCATATCCAAAAGTGGATCTCTGTCTAGCAAAATCTGGTTTGACCTCATCAGCCTTATTCATCATCCTGACAGATTCGTCGCTGAATTTCTCCTCCGTGATGACACCAGAGTCCAACACCATCCTCGAAATATGTTTTCCGTAATCCATCATATACAAGGAGTTCAAAGAGTCGATACTCAAGGATTTGCTCAAGCCTCCTTCCAGAACATCAGAGATATTACCCTTATTGGAACTAGTCTCATATGAGCTAAAGCTATTAGACTCTAGTTTGTTGAAAATATCAAGCACATTCAAATCACAGTAATCCTTGAGAAATTTATCGTTGCTCAATTTCATGTTCCAATGAGATTTGCACTCAAGGAAAATGTTTATCAAATCGCGATTGCCACACATAGAAGCGAAGAATAAAGGCGTCAACCCCTGATTGTCTTGAATATCGATCTTGCAACCATGGGTGACCAAAAACTTTATCAAATGTGCGTAATCTTTCAAGGTGGCTAAATGCAACAAAGACTGCCCCTGACTATTACAAAGTTGCCAATTGGGAATGATAATTGGGCAATTAGGGAGATCAACTAATGAAAGAAAATTAATCAATATCTCCTCAGTCGATAAGTCCGATCTGGATAATTTTTCAACAGCCTTATGGGCATTATCATACCATTCCATACTTGCCTGGTTCATTCCAACAGGTTGTTGCGGCGAAGATGCTCCGGTATTAGAATTGCTGGAGCCGTCAGAACCAACAATGCGCTTCGCAATATTCTTTGCATCCTCTAATTTACCATTCATTTTCAATCCCACAATTTGCAATGCTAGTTCAATCAACTGGCGATCTGTATCATCAGTGTAAGTAAAAATCAGCTGTTGCCCTCCAGTTAGGCCCTCTTCCAAATTCTCAAAGCTTACCAAAACTTGTCCTGGTTGAGATGCGGGCGGTAAATACGTTACAATCGTGCTATCAGACCAGCAGTGGGTAGCAAGGGCATTCTTAGATCCAAACTTCACAATCAAACCAGGACGGAAGTTGTACCCTAAAAGTGTAACTTCTATTCCACCACGAATGGGTCCCTGTGATGGAATAATCTTCTGAATAGTTGGCAACAGATTCAGTTGCTGCAACAGCAGTAGCTGTTGTTGCAGGCGCTGTCTTGGGATGACCAGAGTATAAGTCTGTGGTGGAAAGGCCGACCCTAGTGAGTTCATTGAACCCAACACCCCACTCTTGGTATTCATATTATGAATTGAGGTATTGGTATCGCTATTGCTCAACGGGGAGAAACCACCATTGAACATGGGGTTCGACGAGGTATTGAAGGAATCATCAAACGAAAGTTTCTTTCTCTTATAGCCACGTGCTATATTAGAATCAGTGTTGGTATCAGTATTTGCTAACGCTTCTGAAGTAGAATCGTCGATGGAGTTAGGCGAAAGTGGATGCATATTAGAGTCCTCGTTGGTGTCGTTTGAAACGCTAAGATGAGTTGAGGAGCCCACATGATCACCTAATAGAGCAGATGTCTCCTTGATGCTGGTCGATGAGTTTTTTTTCCTATCCATGATCATTATTGGACTGGAAAGATGTTTAGCAACCACCTGCCCTTGGTAGTCCTTGACCACAAACAATAACTTGAAACCGTCTTGTTCTTTATGATGTCTGCAATAGCAAATGATTCGGGCCGAAAAATCTAAAGCTTTGGTTTGGTCATTAAAAAGACCAGTTGGTGCCGGGAAACTGATGATTTCTTTGCAATTGAAAATAATTGCCTTCTTTATCATACTTTCGTCTGCCCATGAATTCGGATTGTTTTTCAATGCACTCGGAACCGAAGCTGAAGTCGGAGAGTTGGCATTACTTGTTTCGCTGGTACCAGTCTTCGACCGCAGTGCCCTCTTCTGCTCTCGCTTGATACATCTCGAGCAAACATTACAAGATCTTTTGAGGTCTGAAGTTAACACATAAGTATCCATGAAGAGCATGTTTTTCCGCAACAGCAACGGTAGAGACTCCACTGGATCTTGCAAGCAAAATTTGCTTTTCGAAATTAAATCTTGGGACACATGAAGAAGATGCTGCTTTGGGGCAGGGTTGAATTCAAATTTCAACTTAATCTGCGTTTCTACCCGAGAGTAAGGTGGTAGTTCAAGAACCTTTAACGAGTATGGCAAATTTGACATCGTCTCCTTCGAGAAATCCAAGTAGGAAGCATTTGCAACTTCAACTGTTGGTGGGCATGGATTCATAAAATAATTTCCAAACTTGACATTAGACAACTCTTTCCTCACAACATCGTAATCATCTAATTGATTACTGAAGCCGTTGTCCCCTTTATCACTTCCAGAAGTGTACTTGGGACTAGCATACACGCTGCCAGATTCACCTTGATTTGGAGTAACATAAAGATATTCACTATTATCTGCTTTCATTTGCATATCTTGTGGCTCGTTTTTAAAATCGAAACCAGTTCCATCAGCACTCCCATCAAGTTGAAGGCCAACGTCAAGATCATAGGTGTCGATCTTCGAATTTTCGCTTTTCAATCTCAGGAACAAATCAGAATGGAAGTCCGCCATATCTTTTTGTGGCATTAAAACACTGTCTGGAGTGTTTGCATTCAATGAATCAAAAACTCGTTGATCCAAGAATTCATTTAATATGTCCTGTTCCTCGTTGTCCTGATGTAGTAGAAGAGACTGGTCTAAGACCATGTTCTCATCCTTGATAGGCATCCCTTCGTGATAAGTTTATTATATACTTAACCAAAGTGCTCCACTCTGTGAATATATCGAACAAGTTGAGAAAGCAGCCTAAAAGAAAGTGGTTACTAGACGTTCACTGGTTCCCCGCCTGTTGGATTTGGCTTCTTGTGGTCTTTTCCTTTTTTTTACACTTGGTGCGGGTCGCACTGCATCAACGCTGCTACTCCTAAGTTCTCACCTGTGACATGCATACAAATTCCGACAGGGGCAAATATACATGCAATCTTACCATGAATACCCAACAGAGAATGTATATTCTCATAACAATATATTACTACTAGCAATTGTCCTGCCGGAAATCTTTTAAGGGAATTGAAGTGTGGGTGTGTAGGCATCATTCAGGTGTCACATGTTCTATATACAGTACTGTTCAAATGTTGGGCTCAATGTTGGGAGTTAACTCGTGATCGTAACCACGTGTGCATCTGCTTTCTAGAACATGTCTTTTGCATAACTCAGACAAGATGTGGGCTCATAATGTTGTCACATCCTGAGCAGTAATCCATGACCCTCCATATAAGGCGAGGCATTTAAGGTTCAAATTAAGTCTTCATAGTCCCTCTACATATTGGAAAGATAAGATCCTTCCTCGATTTACTTCGATTTAGTGAGCATTGAATGTACATAAAGCAGCAATCATGAAACTACTCATAATGAAACACTGAAGTCATATAGCATATAGTGTGGACAGCCTAGCTGGGCAAATTACTCAACCCGACGTGGTAATTATTTTGAGTATCTACTAAATCTGTTCTAATCAAGATTCTAGGAAGAAAAAGTTTGCGTAGGTAAGTAAATAACTTGTCCCCTGCATAAATGTATGTAATTCGAACTGCATATAGGTATCTGAAGAGGGAGGGTGATATCATGATATGAATAACTATCTATCAGAAAACATTAATGATTTATCTAATAGTCATAATTTCCGCAATCGGTTTGGTAGTGTCATTCTTTTTATCCTTTCTCATATATAAAATATTTGTTGAAGATAACGACTTTCTGAGTTATGAATCAATCAATGATATATTCCACTCTGCTGACATTGATCAAGAGTTCTTGAATGATGAAGAAGCGTTAATTAACCTAGCAAATGAATATGACTTCACCGTACTTTCACCCGAGGAACAGCAATCTTTTTTAAAAGGTGAAGAATTCACGAAGCTACATCAACCCTCTGATAATGCAAGGGGTAAATCATTCACTCGTCAAGATGAACTAATCATCAAAGATTGCGGAATCAATGCATTCGAGTTTGAACAGGAGAGAGACATTCTTACTGCGCGATATATTGTGGAAGATCGAACCGAAGTAAACTTTCTTAATAATGACACCTCATATTCAACGGCAACGGCGGTTCTTAACCTCCCATTACCGACACTTAATCGAACACCAGATACCATCTACTTTGAAGTCAAGATTTACGAGTTTAATGCCGATATACCTAATGCTCATCTTGCAATCGGCCTAGTTACAAAGCCATATCCTTCCGGATTTCGACTTCCCGGGTATAACAATTTTTCATTGGCATATGAATCAACAGGAAATCTTAAGATAAACAAACCTTTTCCCACGCCGTTGCAACAGCATAATGGAGACCTGAGTTTGTATAATGCCCGCGTTCTACCCCCGTTGAGACAATCAGATGTGATCGGGATTGGCTACGTTGTCCCTTCAGGCACACTATTCCTTACAAAGAATGGAAGAAAGTTAATGGATATAATGAAAGGATGCTACGTTGATTTGTATCCAGCAATAGGATGCTTTTCTACCAATGCTAAATTTCAAACCAACTTAGGACAAATGGGATTTGTGTGGATTGAAGCTAACGTGCGTAGATATGGCTTCTTCTCTACTAGTGATAGAAAATTAAAAGGAGAGAGAGGTCTTGCCTCCTTACCAGAATATGGAAATACCAAACTACAGAACGATAAACTATTGGACAAAGGTGAAGAACTTCCACCTGATTATCCAGATGAGGAAATTGACTTTTTTGGGCGAGTGATTATCGGATCGTCATCCAAATTTCATCAAAAGAAACTTGATGAGAATTCACTGTATGAACCAAAGGAATAATATAGGATTAATCTATGAACAAACGTTATATTCATATTTGAAAACCTTGTAGAAATTTATAAGATTAGCCCAGATACAAATTGAGATGGAAACAAGTATCAAATCAGAAATATACTAAACAAAACACCATTCGAAAACATTTGAAACAAATAAAGTGATAAAAATAAAAATAAATAGGAACAATATAAAATGCAATTTGATGATATTTTAAGAAATTGATGACCGGATTAATTCTGAATCAGAATTCATAAGGGCCGTTCTACTAAACAAAGGTATTCAAAATCACTACAAAATAAAAAACAACTGACGACACATATTACGCCTAACCACAACACAGAATATAAACAGAAAATACCTCTTGAACATAAGAACACTACATCTCTTTAAATTAAAACACACTTAAATAAATTAGAATATATTGCTAATCACTTAATTATTATAGCATTTACCAAAGACATATGTTTCACTACTACAAAAGGATACCCATTCCAACTAATCGTTACCACTACGAAGTGTAAAATGACGAGTAAAAGCAGACTATAAAAATAACTTCAATTGAATACGGTAAAAAGAAAGATACTTTTTTTCTCCCATAATTACAAATGTATAATGCACCACTTCAATAAACTTAAAAGAGAGCTCCATACCATTGACTCCTTTCAAACTCTCTAAAAATTATCTTCTTCGTATAATTCAAAATTCTATTCGAAATAGTGCTTCCTCAAGTTTGGAAAAAGTACCAATAAAATCAAAATCAATCTTCAGCCTACAATCACCGTAAATCACAAATGATTTTACAGAGTATCATCATATATTCTAGTTTGTATCTCCAAGCTAAGTAAATGATGTGGACAAAAATTTGTTCTTAGTAAATACTTCATTATAAAGAATCTATACTGGCTACGAATTTCTGTACTTTGCATTGTACCACTTATCAATTTTAAGATATTGAGTAAAGTTCGAATATGATACAAAATAAAAAATCTGATGTCATTTTACTAATAAGAGGTAGCAGCTACAATGGAAATAAACATGTGGCCTATTATGTATTTATAAAAACTTAACAAAAAGCATGACTTTGTCTATTCATTTTATAAGCATCCAATTGTTTCACTAATTTCAACTTGGTATCCTTCCTTTTGGCTATTCACAATTCCTAAGTATGCAAAGTACCCAAAGTTGTTTTTTTATAATCGGAATGAGTTCGCTATAAGTAATAATACATAATTGGGTTTTCCAGGCGCATTCGTAATAGTATTATTTTCAATATTATCATTAATTAGAGTTTATTAAATACACCTAGGTACAAATAAGATTAAAAGATCCGTGTGGTGTGAACTCATTTCAATAATATATTATTATTGCTTGTAGAAAGTATGATCTTGTACAGCATGTTTTTTAATAATTATAACTCGTGCTCCTTGAAATTTTGTTATAGGCATGTTAGACAGCAAACTCTAAAGCAAGAGAGAAAGCCACAAGCTTTATATGTTACGATTACATTGCACTGCCTGAAGCGCTGTTTATACTTAACTATTCATTGTCTAATAGTAATGAGACACTGTGGTGGCCCTTGAGATATAACTTAAATCTATAATTACAATTGGTGATTTGGGAGATTGAATTAGGGAATCATTATTTGTAGATTTAAGATGGAGGAAAATATCTAAAAGTGAGCAAATGCGTGTATTAGAATATTTAACCTGAGGAGCCAAAGTGTACCAAGCACTTATTGAATGCACTTATTGAATGTATTTGAGACCTTAGTATTGATTGGGATTCTTGTATTATATACAGGTGTATCTCATATCAGTAACATGCATGGTGGAGACTATTATCATTAGCCTTCTTTCATGAAAAGATATCCCTCAGCAATAGTATTTGATTTAGATTATACCTTGTGGCCGTGGTGGTGTGATTGTCACATTTCTCCGCCCATCAAAAAGAAAACAGAGTGTCGATTAATTGACTCTTCTGGAGAAGTTCTAGAACTTTACAAAGATGTCCAATCGATTTTCCAGGAGCTTGAGGAGAAAAATGTGATCTTGATTGGGGCAAGTCGTACCGCCACCCCTGAAATTGCTATTTCAATCCTCTCCTCTTTTGTGATTAATGGTAAGCGGATGATAGATTACTTTCATACATTACAGTGGGGCCAGCACTCCAAAGTTCGCCATATCAAGAAAGCGGCAAAGGAGCTTGGATTGGAGCAAGATTTACTTGATGGGAATTTGCTTCTTTTCGATGATGAGTCCAGAAATAAGGATGTAACATCTATCAAGTGTAACTTTGTCTTGGTCCCTGATAATAAGGCTGGATTGACAAGGGACGTATTCGAAAACGGGATAAACAAGTGGCGACTCACCAAGGCGGAGTTTTCAACTTGCTAGAGCATCTACGCGAGAAGTTCACCACATAAGACTGTATAATTAATAAGTTAGGAGAGCATATTGATTAGCTCGGTTATTCTCGACTTCAAAAACAAGATTATGAGAATGTTAAAATCAACTATGCCCCTGGATACTCTTGACAAGGGATACAAGATGAGCATTTGTAGCATTAGGTGGAAGGCTGATTTCTTTCTAAAGTTATTAGTATCGATCACACAAGAACTTTAATCTTAACGTACCTCAAATAGATATGACTTCAAACTTTCATCTGACCACTTGCTGACTTCTACTGCAGACTCGTTTAAAGCCGGATGACTCGTTTCCAGCTCCGATCTAATCGTGTCATTAACTTCGACTGGCTTGTTTTCATCCTCCTCAACATCCACATTCTTTTGACCAAACACGGCACTTTCAATAGTAGATTTTATGTGAGGAAAGGTTTTGATCAAAATCAATCCCGCTCCAATCAATAAAGCTCCTGTAGTAGCAGAAGATAGTTTGAAATTTCTCTTTTTTAATTGGAGTGCCATAATCCTTCAATACAAATTTATTGGAATAGTTCAAATAAGTTTTTTTTTTATCTCCCGCTTGTTCAAAACACGTGATATCACATGTTTCTGCGAACGTTTTAACTGCTACTTTACTATGGTATCTATTGAACACACATAATGGCGAGCTCTGAATCAGGAAAACTAACGACGGCTCCTAGCAATAGTCTGATTCTTGAAGAGTAAACTAATATTGAGTCGAGAGAAGATGGCGCCAATAATGTGGTTATTTGAATCTCTCTGACATCTTTTATAAGTTGTGCATAGATGTGCAATAATTGTACAAATTGAAATTAATGAAATCTTAGAGTTATCCAGTCAGCTCAAAAAGAACTCATAGCCCAATTTTGTGACCAATTGAAGTTTCTGTAAGCATTAGCAGTCGTTTGTAGAAGAAGACCATTTCTAGTTGATTTTGACTTCGGATTATTGAAACTGAGGATTTCCGTCACTCGCCCCTGAAATTTTGAGTTGGTTTAAAAGTTCAATTGATTCCAACTTCACACTCCTACACAAGTTTGACATTTGACAGCGTCTGAAGTTAGAAAAAGTGGTGATACAGTACTAAGAGAGAACAACTTTTCAGATGCCGATAACAATAGTAGTGCATACAAATACTAACTGATGTCACACTATCTTCCTTCCCCACAGGAGAACTATTCGCAGCATGATGCAGTATAACAGGGGTTGGGGGCAAAAATTAATTTGACCTTTACTGTTGTTTGTTACCAACTCTTCCACTTGTTCTGCGAATTCATCAGGATGACTCCAGAGAAATTGACAGTTAGAGCAGTGTTGGTGAGAAACAATAAGAGTGAAGAACGTCAAACGTCAGTTCTCCGCACTACGTTTACTTGCTTAACATCAAAGGTAAGCCTCTTGGATTTTGTGTTTGATGAATTGTATAATGACTTGAATATTGCTAGGAACGTACAAAACTTCAAGATCGAAAGAAAATCCAAGAAGCATAAAAGATTCGTGGTATTGGAATGCTCTGACGATTTCAAGGAATTGATGAGAAGCGTGAAGGTTAAAAACCACGTTAAACTCGTAATCTATGAAATTGAGACAAGCCAGCATACTCTGGAGAATGCAGTAACAGATGCATTGGATCAGGTGAAAAAACTTGTCGGTGAATTGCAGAAGTCAGAGCTCTGGGAGATTCTCAGATCCTTCACCACTACTTACAACATGCAACTTGCACCAGATGGAGACAGCAGATCAGATTTACAAGATATCGATTCTAAATCTGTCGATAAGGGTAACGACGAAATTTTCCACCAATCCGTTCATAAGAGTAACAATGACGTTGTCCACGAATTTGTTGCATGCGATTCTTGCCATCCGGCAGATACTTTTGGTAATATCCATGGAAAGAGGTACAAATGTGTTGTTTGCGATAATTTTGACTTGTGTGAACAATGTTACTCGTCAAATGTGGCGCCTATGGGACATCTGAGGCTTCACCCTATGTTGATTATCCCAGACTCTCGTCTCTTCAAGGACTATTACTATCCTCGTATGCAATTTCATAATACCTTTAGAAACCATTGCACGGAATCTTTAGCAAGTAAGGACGCGGAATGCTCAGAGATATTGACTCAGAAGTTAGGCGCTGACAAGTCAGCTGTGTTTTCTGATCTTGAGAAATGTCTTGATGACTCAAAGAGGTATTCGGAGCTTGCTGCGCTTGTTGATGATTCGTCTGATAAGTTTGAAACTTTGAAGCAAATCGTTTCAAGTTCAGTCGAATTCAACTCCTCCAACATTTCAGAGAAGCCTGATGTGAACTCCGACGGCATCTCAAAGAATCCAGAGGTCAGCCCACGAAGAGAGGAAGAAGCGATTCTCTTCCGAAACGATTCCATCTATGAAGTTCCTGACGGTGAGCTTATCTTTGAATGTTACTCTGAGGATGGCTGCAAAGTCTGGTCTCAAGAGCATGATATGCCTGAACTGGTCCACCCAGGAAGTACTTTCTCATTAGATTTTTTTGGTTTGAGTACTCCTTTTGGATCAGAGATTCGTGTGGTACATTCTGAATCAGGATTTAGAATGTCTGGCTTCTATTCTGGAAAAGTGGTGAATTTGTTGATTCCTGACTCAATAATCTCCGAGGGACAGGAAGGACAGCGTCTTGAAGGAGGCGAGATCGAAGTGACAGTAATCCCTAAAGGTACTACATTGTCTCAGATAATTGTTGCGAACAAGTCAGAATCGGAATTTGATTGTGCCGACTTAATTTTTGAGATTGTGAATTGTTTTGGGAAGGTAGTGGCCACGGTATCAGCTCACCGGAAGCATTCATTGTTGCCAGGTCGGATTGCTAAATTCAACATCCTCGTGAACAACACACATTTCAAGTATCCATTTAAATTGGATGTAAATAATGGTGTTCTTCGGGGATCATGTGAACTTAGTTTGAAGTGCTTAAGTGGCACTATCAAACTTTCGCAGATCAAAAACGAGAAATCGTGCAATGAATTATCCCTGTCAAGAGTATCATTGTTTACCGGAGAGAAAAATTCTTCTGCCTTTGATGAATCAAGTGAAACTGGACTTCAGGATGTAACTGAGGACTCGGAAACTGACTTCGATTTGATAAGTTTGGCTGATGTGGAGGAGATACTTTCAGATTTTGAAGTGTTGTCTAATGTCAATTCATTAGAGGCCTGATACTGACTGACTCCAGAGAGATATGCTAAATGGTTGCTTGCTTTTTGTTTTATTTTTTTTTTGCTCAAGTCCTGGAGAATTGAACAATTTTTTTAGCCTTTTCCCTCTCATCTTAGTTCGAAAGTTTAATAGTAAGTTATTGTACGACACCTGAGGACAATGTTACCCAAAACCAGCGTGCCAGATCAACGGAAAAGTTTTCGTTTGTGAACCCTACAAGTTTTCGTAGCAAGAGAAACCGAAAGGTTGCCAAGTACGTTCATTCCAGGCTATATGTTATTTCCTACATGTTTGAGACTGTGTATCATGTGCAATCTGAACTAATCGATAGTAAGCTGTAAGTAGACTGCATTTATCATGAATTCACATATGATGGTGCTGATAGAACGAGTGATTTGATTCCATTTGATATGGATAGCGTTGTAGTTATGCTATGAAGAGGAGAGGTGCGACTTGTGTCACTTCTTCTAGGTACGTTCCCAGTTTACCAAAACCCGTACCCCATAAGATATTTAAAGTGACAAGTACAAATCTATCTAGCTGTTATAAACATGGTCAATGTCAAGGAGTCAGCTCCAGAGAGCGAGGGTATGTTTAGGTAATTGAATTTGATACAAGCAGTACTAACGAAATAGAGCAAAAGTTCAAGCAAAAGTGCAGCGAGCTAAAGAAAAGAATTCTTGAGATAGAGGAAAGCAATGAAATATCAACAATTGCATTATCAAGAACCAGGTTGTCTATTCGTAGATTGAGACTAGAATACGCTGTACTATTGGAAAGATTAGAGGAGCAAATAATGAACACTTCAAGTGCAAATGAAATGATGTCTCAACCACCCAATCCAACTCTTTTGGACGACTCAATCAGTATCAAAGTAAAGAGCGGATTACCAAAAACAAAGAAAGGAAAGCTTTTGAACAGTGGAAATGCTAGTGCAAAAAAGGCGATTAGAGACCCCGATTTACCCAAGAGACCTACGAACGCATACTTAATGTTTTGTGACAGAGAAAAGGACAAAATAAGAAATGAGTTAACCACAAACAACGCCGGAAAGAGTACTGGGGACCTCTCTAAGATTTTGACAGACACATGGAAGGGTTTGGATGAAGAAGAGAAGAAGCCTTATCAGTTGTTATACGAGGAAGATCGTGAGCGCTACAAAAGGGAGATGGAAGAATATAATAAAAGAAAACAAGATCAATATTTGATATCGGCATCCGGAGGCCAAAAGCCAAATTCCGAAGAGGAACTCGAGTTTAAGCGCACTTCTGATTCGCATGAAAATAGTGATATCAAACGACAAAGAGTTGATGCTTCATTTGAACCCAATTTGGAAGCTGGAGAAGATGACACAGTCCAAGACATTCATGGGAAAGGAGTTTAATTTCATTCTCATTTCGATCGAGATACGCACATATATATAAATACAAATATTTACGTTCTATCAAATCTTTTCTTCTTGGCTTTGTAGAATCCATTGTCGTCCTTTTCATGCCTTCTTTTTTCTCTGAATCTCTCATGCTTTCTGATCTTTCTTCTTGCAGCAACTTCTGGAGCAGATATATTCAATTGGGCTCTTCTGGCCCTTCTTTCTTGCCTTCTTTCATCGACACTCAGCCTCACGCTTGCATGAATTGCAGTATACTTGGTAATTCCGATCCTCTCTTCCAAAATCTTTAAACACTCTCTTGCAAGATTCACAACTTCTTCGATATAATTATCATTGTTATCAGGATCAATGAAGTTGAATAACCCGGAAAAAAAGCGCTCTGCAACTTCCATTAGTCTCTCATCACTTAAAATCTGAATGATCATGGCAGCGAGCTGAATTGCACTGGTCTTCGAAACACTATTTTGATCACGGTGCGATTCTTGGCGCATGATAGCACAGATACGTGAAATCGCAAAGTCAGTAGCCTTTTCATAGCTCTTGCTGGGCATATCTGTTGCATTTGCCTCACCGTTACTATCAGATATGAACTTCGTGTTTTCAGTTTCCCATTTCTTGATAATTGAAAGTAGATTTTTAACAATTTGACTGCATAAATCTGTCGAAACTGTTGGAGCACTTAACTGTCGTAAAGATCTGTAAGCAATCGTCTGGATTTCATAGGCCGACACTTCAAATACACAATCACCAAGGTGATGCAAGAACACACCTGTTAATTTCGAACTCTGCAATCTCACCCAAGTGTGTGGATAAAGCAATGAATCGAGAATCAATTTCCATATGTTTTCGAAATCAGGTGCAAAAATCTCGCTTTTAAGGCAACCTGAAATTGCAGAAAACGCAATTAAGGAAGTGTACACATCTTCCCAGTCAATCTCGAGGTCTGATTGAGTTGATCTTGACTTCTCTAAAACCATCGTTATGTGCTTTATCACTTGCAAGTCAAGATCATGATTGTGATCGTAGCCGAAAACCCCAATATAAATTTTGTAAACTAGTAACCCGCAACGTTGTAAAAGAAGATTTGATTCTTGAGAGATCCAGTTCTGACAGTACTTTTCAATGCTTTTGACATCATTAGATCCCATTTTCTTCAAGATTTGCGAAATCAATGCAGAAGCCATTTCTCGACATTTTGCCGACTCGTCTGAAACAACAACATTGGACAATCCAACAAAGAAGCTGGTGGCAAATTGAGATAACAATGAAGAAGATGAACGCAATACAATCGAATGCATTACCTCCATAACCGATTGTCTTCCAAACTGAGTTGGGTAATCCAAATTATTGACCAAGAACTTGAACGCTTGGTTAAGCTTCTTTGAACCTTGCTCGTATTCCATCAAAAATTGAAAGTATATGCTTCGAGACATGTCACGGATCTCTTTGGAGTGATTGACTACCATAATCATCGCAACCTTTTCCATAATGTCGTAAACCTCTGGAAGCATGATATGTTGGGACACCACAGCCTTTAGAAAATTGAAGGCTAGAGATTGTTTATCAGGTTCTTCTAAGTCAGGGATAATGCGGGTAAGGAGAAGTGTGAGAGCATTATCACTTAAGTTGATGCTTGGTTTGTGCCTCACAACAGTCGCCAAGTACCTCAAACATATTTGGCAAACCTCTGATGCAGTTGTTGGAGAATTCTGCAAAATAGTGAACGCCCTTTGGGCAGAAAGGTTAAAGAATGAATCCCTTTCAGAAGAAAAAGGTAACTTGATGATTAAATCGAGCACCTTAAAGACTGCCTGCAACAAACTCTCATCATCAGAGTTCAAACTTTGTTCAATCAAAGGAAAAAAACCATCCAAATTTGATACTGTAAGCAAAGAAGCGTGCCTACCTAGTGCTGTACGCAAAAGCTCAAAAGACATCTTTTGCAAAGTGAATAGGTATTGGGATTTATCAGACGTAATGCGACCTGGCTTAGCATTCAACTGAACGAGAAAATGACTTTCAGAAGCATTCTTTCCCTCTTGTTTCACGTGTGGCTTGAACTCCACCAAGGATTGCTTGTGAAGCTCGTAACACAAAAGGAGAATGTCACGAGATGAAGACATCGGATTATGGTTTAACCCCAAGGAAAACCTTCTCAACAACTCATGGAGCTTTCTTTGTGTTTTAAGTGGAAGATTTTCTCTCAATAACAACTTGACTGGATCCACAAGAACACTGAAGTGAGACAAGCTGATCTTGGACGAGAGAATCTCTCCAGAATCATAACTTTTCTTCGACTTCACCTCTCGCATCTTACTAACATAGTCATCAGCATCTTTGTCTTGACCCGCAGCTCCGAAGATATCCTCCATGATGATATCTGCAATCATACGTGCGGAATCATCGAGATCTCCCACCACGAACGATTCATTGATTGCGACCAACAATGCATGGACAGTGTAACTTAGAACATGTATTTGAGCACCACGTGAAAGGGCAGTTTTCAATTCCTTCACCAAAAATTTAAAGTATCCAGGGCCCAATATCTTGGATATCTTATTTAAAGTTTTACGTACCACATCTCGAAGGTGTTGAGTATGGGACCTTAAAACTTGGCATGTACTCGTTAGAGTTCCTGGTAATTCCCTTTCGATGATTTCCTCAGATGTGCATAAAAGTAGATTCACAGCAACTTCTGCTAACGGAGTTCTGGCCACCACTGTCTCGTCATTCCTGACCTTTAGAATTTTGGCAATCAAGGGTATGCAATCAGTTAGTATGAAGCGATCAATCTCATCCTGACATGGAAGACCATTCATTCGGTCGATTGAGCTCTCCTCACCTCTAGAAGAATAAGCAGAATTTAAGGCATGCGAAAGTCTTGAAAGCAAATTGACTCGGTCTCTCAATTCTTTGTCTGGTGCCTTAGACAAATTGGACAAATGCTTCTTAAATAGTTGCTTGAAATGATCCCAGCTAATACAGCGAACGAGATAAGACCATGCTTCGTGTGTATCATCCAATAAATTTCTGTACCTTTCATCTTTGCAAATGGTGTAAATTTCAGTGATGGGTAAAATGTAATGGTAGATACATTCGGCACTGAGCTCAGACCTCAAGTCGATTAAGCCTCGAATAGCCTTTTGACGAGAGGTAATCTGGATGTGATTAATGTTGTTGAAGAAGTCTAACTCTCGGTCCTCATTAACCAAGACTTTCATTCCTTCAAATTCTGGGAAGTACTTTGCACTTCTAACTATATGTGCGAGGACATTTACGTACTCTTCCCTCACTTGCTCCTCCTCTTTCTTTAATCCCTGGCGAAGATATCGCATAAGAACAGTCTTGAAGACTTGCAAATAGTCACTTGCATCCGAAAGCGATGGCTGTGATGACAAACAGTCAACAAATCTCATCAACATGTATGCGGCATTTGATCGTAAGGCAAGCTCTTCGACATCGTTAATGAAGAATAATGAGCAGTAAAGAAGTGGCATCCATTGCTGAACGCTCAAGTGAAGATATAATTTCTCGTTGATCTCACTAAAGGCCTCAAGTCGCTTTTCAAAGTTCGGTTCTGCAAGTCGCTTTTCGGAATATGAATTCAAAGAACTCAACAAGCCAGACACAATTGCAAGGTCAGAAATTTTATTGCCAAGTGAGTTGAAGACCTTAACTAGTGATTCACGGATATTTCTGTCTTTGTAAGTCCTGAATGCCTTCGAGCAAACATCAATCACAGCCTCGAGTTCTTCATTTGAGCTATCAACTTTATCTACTATCGTAGCAAGTGAGAGAAGGATGCTCACCTTGTCATTGATAGCAACTTGAAGAGGCAGTTTCTTTAATGCAGATGTTGATGCAACAACCAACCTTCTCATGGTATTATTGTCATCAATGTAACCACCTTCAATAATGAGTAACAATACAGAAGCTGCTTTAGAGTTGATGTCATGGTCTTCCGAATTTTCCATAATGGAAGGTAACACATCCAAAAGTCCATCAACTAATATGGCAAGCATAGAGTAGTAATCAACGATATCTATATCTTTTTTCGTGATTGCGGTGATGCAAAAATCAAGAATTTCACTGATAACGTTGTCTTTCACGTGAGGATTCGACGCAAGGTCCATAATAGCTCTCGTTGCAGCGAAATCATCTCGAAATAAAAATGGAATGGTTTGCGGCGATTGAACCCAGCCTAACATTATCTGCATCAAAGAAGAAGGCTGTTGAGCGTTCTCTTGGGGAAATTTTGCAAGACGGGGTTTCACGACGTTTTCGAAAAGTACTTGTGCTTCTGTATTCCACTGATAATTCCCATCTAATACCTTAAAAAGCGTATTGAGGCATTTGAACCCCAACTGCCTAGCCGTTCTAGGAAGCTTTGCATCCACGCCTTCAGTTGTCTCGCTCATTTCAACACCATTCTGTGCACACACTAAGATGTAAATAAGAGGTGGAATTGTAGATCTAAGTACACTTCCAAATTTGAACCCCAATGCATTGTAAACCTCATAAAGCATGTTTAAATATCCAACCATGCTCTTGAAAGCTCGAGAGCTGCCGTTAGTCACATTGTTGTTGTTGTTGTTGTTGTTGTTGTTGTTGTTGTTGTTGTCGAAGAATGGCTTGAAATTAATCTTTTCACTAATAATGTCCAAAAATTGTCGAATGTAATCAGATGGCAAGTTCGGCAAGATATTTACTACTGCAAATTTTCTTCCTGACTTGCTGCTGCTGCTCGAGGCGCCTTTTGCTCGACCATAAAGGATTCTGAGCACAATAGGAATCACTTCTTTCGAGTCCGAATCTTCAATTTTCGATTCCGAGCTTTCAGTTATAAGTGATTGCAACTCTTCACGAAATAATTTATCATCAAGAAGATTGACTAAATTATCCTTATATCTGTTAATTGACAGTATGCGCCAGGCAAAGATGGTAGATAAACATTCTTTTTGGATGTTCGTATGTTTTGAAGTGAGTTGGTCTAACAACATCTCAAATAACTCTTCATTCCCTGGCACGTTTTTCAAATTCTTAAACTTAGAAAGTATTGATAAGAGTCCTAACTTTTCAGAAGAACTCCATTTGGTTTCTTTTTCATCAGGCACGTCTCGAGAATCGTCACTCGAAACATCTGACGTGATACTCAACACGAACTTCACAAAATCAACACCGTTCTTTTCAGCAAGTTCTGGAACAGAACTAAGTGCCTGAAGTACTCTCGTCCTCAATAATCGTTTGTAAGCCACTGGGGGAGAGGTTAAGTTCAACCTCTCCACTATTCCACTAATCGCTTCCACTTCCTCAATACGGGCCAGGGATGCAATGTTTCGATAACTGCCCAAAAAACGTTGATCAGTTGGCTGGCACTTGAACGAGATAAATTCTTCACGGTCAAATACAGTTAAATCGCTAGGACCATAAAGGTCATCCTGTTTTTCGAAATCAAATTTCAAGAAATAGGTCATAATTTCCCAGACCTTGCGAGAGCATCCAAGTGAAGCTAATTTTGGAAGTCCTTCGTAAACAGCAAGCCAAGATGGTTGAAAATGATTATTCAACAATCCAAACGCAAAATGACAAATACATTCCTTTTCGACATCGGACAAGTCCAAATTATCCTCATAGCATATGAATAATTGACGAATACGCATCTTGATCAGATTAGAATTGCTGACTGTAAGAGGGATTTGGTCGATAATCATCATTTGCGAAAGAGTGTCAGGGAAAGGAGCATCAACCGATGCATATAGAGCTTTCAATAAAGCCAACGTTGTCTCTCTTAACTCAGGACTGGGTAAAGAAAGATTGCTAGCTAAAGTCTTAGTGATCTCCAGCCAATGTTGGTTAATGGCTGTCCGCAAAACTCCACCCGAATGTACCAAAAATAACTTGAATGAAGCTAGAAACTCTCTAGAGACTCTTGAGGCGTTTAATGTTTTCAAACACAAGTGGAAAACTTCATGCAACTGCTTCTCATCAAACTTGTCCATTTTTGAACCAGATAATGATCCAACTAGGAAGCCAATAATGTCATGCTTCAACCTGCAAGAAGGAATCTTAGTATCTGCCAACAATTGTAGAGCGCCAATGATTACTTTGGTTTCCGAAACTGAGAATCCAGACGAGTGCTGCAATAGCACACTTACCCAAAGATAACTGTACAACATCAGACCGTCAACATGCTTCCCTTGAACTGGTAATAATTTGATCATTTCCGCTTTGAAGGGAACAGTAACGTTCTGAATGATGATTGGTGCCTCCTTAGACTCACGAACTAAGAACGATGAGAGTCTAATAAAATCATCTCTCGAGTTCTGAGTACTTGCAAATGCCTGAAGAAGTTGAGTTGCGCCAAATGAAGTCATCTTTTCCTTTGAAACCGCCAAGCAAGATTCCATAAATCCCAAATAATACTTGCCATTCGCCAATCGAAGCATAGTTGAGTTTAAGGATTTGAAGTGTTTTGCAAGTATATCAAGAGGGCAATTTCTGATCAAAACCACAAAAAAATGAGCGAAACAAGTCATGAATGAAAATTCATCATCTACATTCTGAAGACTGATGGATTCAATCTTTGATGAGATCAAATTGGATATATCAAAAATCTCTCCCCAAGACGTAATCTTCCTTCCAGACTCCAGGAAACAAATCACAACCATAATTTGTACAACATAAGTACATGTCTTAGCGTTTCTCGCTCTTTGAACAACCGTCGAGAGGTATTCCAAAACTAGCCTGATGAACCTGTCGCAAGATTCCAATGAACCGTGATGCAAAATATCAATTAAGATGTCGCCAACAATCGAAATGAAATAATCACTGGCATGTTCACTATCCAACGCTCTTTTCACCAAAGTGGAAAGAACAATTGGAGCTTTTGAGTGAAATGTTTCCTTCGTATTCTTCATAGACTCACTGAACAAAATGACTATTGAGGCCCTAAAAAACTCGTTTTCTTGAAGTAGAGCAGCATTGCTACCAAAAGTTAGGTTAATTATGTCGTCGATTCCACTTTGATCGAGCTTTCTAACCAAAAATGAAAGTGCCTCTGCACAAAATCTAGAAACATAGGTTTTCTTGGTCATCAGCAAAGTGGGGATGAGTTCCTTGAAGGTCTGATTTATATCTGACACGAGTACTCTCGACAAATACTTGAACACGAATGCCAAACAGTTGAATGACCACTCCAAGGTGTTGGATGAGTTTCTCAGATTTTGGGCATCATTTGGATTCGTTGACTCGGCGAGACGGACAATCAGCCTTAAAAATGGAAGATAGTAGGGCATAAAATCAGGGCCCAAATCATGCACAAACTGAGACATGAGTTCAAGTAACGGCTGAATAGCATTGACGTCCGCCCGATCAATATATGTGATTAGGGTCTCGAAAATTTTCTTCTGATGATGGTAAATTTGAGGTAATGTTTGGCACAACGGCTCAACAACTGTTAAGAAATCGATAAAGTCTCCACTCAAGTTGACCTCCTTCCAATGCTCAATAGCTGCTAAGAAGAATGAAGTTTCCACATAATCATGAGCTCTCTTTCGTAAATTTCGATTTGGTTCAATCCTAATCAGATCCACCCTCTCCTTGAAGGAGCTGAAGGCATGCCTCCTCACAGATTCGGTCGATTTCGGAGATCTTGCCATAGTTCTCTGATTCATGGGCAAACTGTTTAATTTTCTACCTCATCTCATCAACCTGGTGTACGGGTCTAGATCACCGGTTTATGGTTTATGGATAGCCATGCGTTCCCTTCGTCTATGGATATTACGTATACTATAAACCGCTTAAAGACGAGACTTTTGGAAGATTCATCACTCCAGTAATACTTTATGTCATAGGTGCTTGACTTAGAAAAGGTGTTCGTTTGCAATATTTGTGTCAAAGGAACACTGAGTATAACGCACTCCATAAGATTTCGAAAATGTTGCTGATACTAGTTAATCGATTTACATAGTTGTGAAGCTCTTCAAAGAGGGACTATGATGTTCAAGACAAGATTCGAGACTAATTGTGGCCAGAGTTTAATGTATCTTACCTAGAGAAATTACTAAAACGTGTGAGAAGTCCATTTCGTGGACTCTACTTTCATCTGAATAAGAGATGAACTCTCACTTAGTTCAATTCATATCAACTTTCGATAGATATGAAAAAAGTCAAGGGCCTAGACATGTACCTCCCTTTTTTTTTTTTCTGCTGATCCATTATCAGATCGCAAGTCGCGTCAATATGACAACATTTCATTTTGTACTGCCGATACCTATCTGAGAAGTAACACCTGAATAGTAATTATCTGCATAGTAAAATTACGAAGTAACTTCGGAACCACATTGTAGCACTCACGTTGGATACACAATTGGCAAAAGTTGGGAAAAAAATGCAAATGGTGATGCTCTTCCTACCAACTAAAGTACCATATTCATGGTGCAGGATGGGAAACACTATGTAGTATCACGTGTCGCCTTTATGATGGAAGATAAACCCGAACACCTCATATCTTCTCATACAATCTGAAACTTTCAGGATTCAACTCAAAAGCAATGCTGCAGCAATCTGAACATACACCGCTTATAAGGACCCCCAATGCTACTAAACCTTCCTCTTCTACTATTGGTGTGAAACACAAAGCGGCTATTCAAGCTAACAAATCTGGGTCCAAGATTTCACAACCATCTAAGATTGGCCTTCAAAGAATTAGTCGGACGACTCAAAAATTGAAGCTATTGCCGGAAGATCCGCAGATATTACTAAACAACCCTGCAGAAGTTTTTGATGATAGTGACAATGGAGATGTTGTTCAATCCAATAGTGGAGTTTATTCCCAAGTGACGAGGATCAAGGATAGACCTGCTAGAAAGGACGCAGAGATACTTGGAAAGCTGCATCGAGATCTCCTACCTCGTGTGACAGCCTATTGCACTTGTGGCTCATATAAGATGAAGGACTTAATCAGATGGCTAAAGGATAGAAAACGCATTCACAACACGCTGCCGAAGTTATTTGACGAATGCTTATATACACCATTTACTTATAAGGACTGGAGAAGTGACTCGGAGGATGAGAGCAGAAAACTAATACAGTTGGCAGATGATGGTGGTGAAATTGAATTCGGTCGTAAAAACGACGTTTTCATATTTGAATATGGTGTTGTGATCATGTGGGGATACACAGTGAAGGAGGAGCAAGCTTTCCTCGACGACATGGCAAAGTTTGAAAGTGAAAAGTTGTCAGCCGAAGATATCCAAGTTGAAGAGTTCAATTACTACATCACAACATCATATCAGCCAAGAATCTACAACGATTTTATTACTCTCAGGGATGACTCCAATTATATGCTCAAGTTATCTATATCACATGCCTTGGCGCAATCTGTCAAGATTTCATTATTTGAAGAGCTTGTTGATAATACTATTGAAGATACTCAGGATATCCCTCAACAAATTGCTCAGACTGGTAAAGTTGAAATGACGAGAGACGAGACGATGAAGTCAATTGGTGAACTATTCATTTTGCGTATCAATATCAATCTCCATGGGTCCGTTCTAGATTCACCTGAGTTAATGTGGGCTGAACCTCATTTAGAACCAATCTATCAGGCAACGTGTGGATACCTCGAGATAAACCAAAGGGTTGAATTATTGAATCAACGTCTCGAGGTTATATCCGATCTTCTACAAATGTTAAAGGATCAGTTGGGGCACTCACAAGAAGAAAATCTAGAGTTTATTGTTGTGGTCTTAGTTTGCATAGAGGTGCTAGTTAGTGTTGTCAACATAGTTATTGATATCTTAACTTACTGAGAACACTTTGGAATCAACTTCATTTTGTCTGGACCTGCAACTATTTAGACGCTGCAGGACGTCATACATAAAGAGAGGAAATAAGCTTTTTATCGGCATGTTCCACAATGAATGACGCAACAAATGAATTATATAAAGGAATTATGATGGTGACGTATGTGTGGCTAGGGCGGGCTGGTTTTTTACTAGCCGCAAGCAAGCAATGAGGCAAGTGCGCACTTGCCACAAGCAAGGAAAAAAAATTTAAAACCACCCGATCTGTCGTTCACCCACCCCCCTTGTAAAAACTACCTATTGAACATTTTACTGAAAGTTACTCCAACGGATCTGCATTATTCTGCCACTTCACTCTGTTGACAAAATTTCCATCAAATGTTCTTTTCCCAACCAGAGCTGAACCTTTTAAGGACAAGTACATTGCTGTCAGAGTATATTCGTAAACATTTGGAATTCATTAACTCCCCTATCCAGTTGGATGTAAGTCCAAGTGTTAATCAAGTGATGTGTGGGTGGAATGAAGAAGAAGTCAAGGTTGGAAGAAGGCTAGTGCACTTGAATGTGGCTCGTGAATCTTATGCGAAATTTCAAATTGAAGCTGAACCCATCAGCGCAGAGTCGTACACACCAGGAGATGGAAGGCTTGTTGTCTCATGCATTAGTTGGGAAGAAAAAGGTCGAAAGGTTGTGACCTCTGTTGATTTAATTTTGGTACTTGAGTTTATTGTGGGTGAACTTTTTTCTATTGAGGAAAAAAGCAGAATTCGCCGGAACCTACAGTTTCTCAAGCCGTGGACTATCACACGTTCTGGCAGCGAAAGTAAGAGAATATTCAATTCAATCATGGCGATGGATAACCCTAGACCACGAAATATCGAGAAAGACCTCAAAGTATTTGACTGGAGCGAGTTATTCGTCGCAGTTGAAAAGGTCTTATCCAAATACTCTGCGAATCCTAATGCACCACCACCCGTGCAATTTCAAAGCATCGGAAAGATACTGTCGGAAGAATCTGAAAAGGCAAATGTTGGACAAACTCTACGAAAAGACACTCCATTAAGTTTGTCAAGCTCTGACTGCGCGGTTGGAGTTTGTCGAGGGCCCTCCGTTAACGGCCATCAGGGGCCAACTCCAATTCCTATCAATCCGTTCCTTGACTTACCCCAGCATTTCAATTCTCCCGCCCTGAAGTTTGGGAACACAAGGGGCCAAACGAACGTTCAACTGGAGAGAGAACTGAGCAACTACTTGCGACACAACGTCATGGACCAAGCGAGGCCTATCCAGCCACAAACCATACATGCGAGATAATGATCTCACCTCGTTGAGCAATTCAGATGGATCTTACACAGATTTATCTCTCAGAAGCAAATCTAATACAGCCACAACATCCGTGGGTGCATCATCATACGAAAAAGGCTCTTCAGGAATCTCAAGTAGTAATGAGAGTGCAAGGAATATTGATGATGGATCCACGTCAGAAAGTTCTGGGGGTGACAGCAGCAACAACATAGGCTGCATTCCGGAGATGAAACCAAGTGAAGTTGACGATGACAGCCAATCTCCAACACCGATTGTGACAACTCCAACAAATGCCAACTTTTTGCCAATTCAGAAGTTGAGTATTGCTAACATGAAGGCTCATGATCTCGAGCAAGCAAGCCTCAAGTTGACAGCACAGGCTTATCCAAGGAATAATGTTGTCAACAAATCTTCGAAAAGCCCAGTTTCATCACCAAATTTCACAGTTCCCAAGAAGCGCAAGAAGAAAGCTAGGAAGAGACAAAGAAAGTGTAAACTTCCGGTCGTTGCATCATCTTTGGGTCGTCAATTTCCACTTCCCAACCCTAAGGAAATCGAGCTTTACTCTCGCAAAGAAGAAGCGGTTCATTTGGACCCTCGTACGAACGACAAGACAAGTAGCTCGTCGTCCACTGGGGCAGAGCTTAGCAGCTCAGAGAGCTCGAGTCGGTGAACATTCCAATGTTAATGACTTATAACTTGACAGTATATTGAATAGTCTAAATGCTTCTTACGAATTTCCTTTCTCTAGTTTCCTCACAGAGTCCTTAAAATCCTTGGTACTTGAAATTTTGGGTCCATCCTGATCAATTGTCACAATATTGAGATAATCTGCAGAAGTCTCCTTGGATTCTGGCAACTTTGAAGCACCACTTGGAAGTAAAAAATTACGTTCAAATGATTGACTTGGGTTTCCGGACTGAAGCAATACGGACCGAGGGCCAATTACACGCACGAAATCCATCTTTCCAACTAAAATCTTAGGATAAACACCTCTCAACTTATGATACGACGAGACCACCTTCCACCAGTAATACTTGGCATTAACAACAAAATCATTCCATGAAAGCACTTGTGCCATTTTAGTGGGGGGTCTAGTGATGATCTTTTCATCAGCCTCAGCAACTGGGTAGGTGTACTTAATTATGCAATTCTGCAAATCGTACGGACCATTAACGGATACTGCAACTAAGCTGTCCTTATTAACGGATAACTCTTCACCTTCCGCAATATTCACTGAGTATATTACACCGTTACCAGAGAGTCCAATACTCCCTCGGCCGTTGACGAATGTGAACCCCGATCTCGCCCAATGAAACAAACCCGTAGGCTCTTTTCTTGACAAGGTCAATCTTTTCATTAATTGACGGGAAATTTTGCTTGGCAATCTGAACATACCAATATTCAAAGAAGGACCGGAATAAATATGCAAAGCATCATGTTTGAGAATAGCCCAATCGTTAATCCCATCAAGCTTAACACTTGCAAATGACTTAGGTGTCACATTCAGGAATAAACTGGGGAACAAAGTTGGGGGATTTGACGTCACCAATAAAGAAAACGGTTCCGTACTTATGAGCTTCTGGTACCTTGAGAGAAAATTGCCGTAGAACAATCTTTTAAGAAACTGGATCGTCTCATTCGACACAGCAATGCGCTCATGATTGCCCTGAATAGAGAGAATCGTTTTCTTACGCACAAATACTGGTAACGATGGTGGGATTCCAACTGTCATGGCAGAAGGAGGGACACCTACTGCTTCCATCGTAACTGTTTCCATGGTCTTCAAGTTTGGTAAGGATTCAACATTCTCAATGTTTTTTGTGTTGGTTATCGAATTGTTTAGAACTGACTCTGATATGGAAACTTGCGGAGCCTGCTTTATTGTTAACGCCCTTACGAAGTAGCGCTGTATGGAATACACTTTATTGTGCATTTGTTGAAAGTGGTTCAGATGGTATTTGATCGCGCTGAGAGAAGTACACAAGCAACATGATGCGAATTTGACCAATGGAAGGGACTCAACGCTATAGAGCAATCAGAGATGTCTAACGAATAACAACTTCCAATCCCTTCATGAAAGACAAAATAGTTCAATAGATTTTGTTGTGATACTCTAAAAAAATAAAAAATTATAAGAAGAATCTTGGAATTGCTAAGTATTTACAATTTTTGAGATCCTGGCAATTAATACGATGCTTCTTCTATTGTCGATAAATAGTAGTGATTCCCCAGGCATTAGTTATGAGACTTAACAATGCGTCAGCTTCCTCTAGTAGACTTTTCAAAGGAGAATGAATAAATATGCTTCGAGATAATTAGTTGCTCTTGAGCTTTTCTGATGAAATTCCATCTTTAATGAACTTCAAAAACCGATCACCATACTCCGAGGATGGAATAGAGGAAATTGTACCCCTTGTGTGCTTGAGAGACCTCCAAAAAGTTTCGAGGCGCTTCTTGATTGAGTAATGAGTTAAGCAATCAATAATACCCAAGTAGTAAATTTCAGGAAGGGGATCGTTGTTCTCGCTCGTCGCTCGAATACCCCCATCATGACCGTAAAAAATATACTTTGACCGCCCAGGAAATACATCTTTGGGGAGATCGACCACTCTGTTGATATCTCTTGGGTTTGTTTTGAAAACATCAGACTTCACATTGGATTTGGGGTCAAATACTGATAACTTTGTTATGTTCTCGGAGTTTCCCTTTTTGACATCATGAACTCCTAACAAGAGGGAGTAATCCATAACATTAATCTTCTTCAAGAGTCTCACATCGGATTCAAGTTGTTCCATGAAAATTCTCCGTTTGTCCGGTCCGAAGCGAATCTTATCATGTCGTTCGAGAAAATTAAGATCTTTCAAGGTTACTTGCGATAAGTCATTAGCAGTAGTCAAATTAGTATATCTCCCCCATGTTGAACCTTTCAAATCGTACTTGAGATGAATATCTCTGTGGGGAGGAAACAAGTTGTTCATGACGATGAAATGAACCTTCTTCATACCACCCTGAACTTTCAATCTATGCAATCCATAAAACTGACTTATTAAGGTGTTAGGATTATCTTTGACATGTTGATAGTAATCTTTGAGTATCCTTCTCAATTGTTTGTGTTCAGAATGATGGATTGTCTTGATGATGAACCTGAAATCTCGTGAGTAGTAGAAGAATGAGCCACTCTTTCCTGGAGAACCAAGCTCAGAAAGAATATATTTCCCCGTTATAGAAATCAAATAATCAGCAGGATCGATTCCGAACAAGGATCTTAATTCACGGAAAACTTCAGGACAATAATCCTTGAACTTGAAGTCATACTTTGAAGAGGGAGTTAATTCGCTTCCATCCATGTTGAAGGTTAGTTTCTTAGTAGTCTTAAAGTCTGCGTCTTTTAGCTTTGTCATCACTCCAGAACACCGAGAAACCGCCACTCGGATTCCAGTAAGCATGTTGTAAGCCATTACAAAATTCTGATGTCCCTCAGTGATCTTATTTCCTACGATGACCTTCTCATCTTCAAGAAATTCTTTTCTTCTCTTTTGGATGTTCCTCCTGACGATAATTGAGTTCCGCATACGGGTTATTTCGGAGTTTGCGAAATCTTGACCCGAATGCTTCCGAAGATTATGGAGATCAATACTTGACATGGCTCGGTCCGCGTTAGATGTTGCATGCTTTGAGGAATACTGACGATTATGATGCAAATGCAGATGTATTTCACCATGGTCCAATGACCTTTTCGGCCGGCTAACATCAGTAAACAGCCTTAAAATGGGCACTGTAATGGGTGAAGTGTGCCTTCGAGCGCTTCTGAGCAGCGAATGAGGGAGAGAAATCTTTGCATCAAGACTGCTTCCGCCTTTGCGACCAGAAGAGACTGGAGAAAGTTGAAACAGCTCTCGAATGCTTGACTTTGGTGACTCTGGATGGACCTCCTCAATCTTACTGTGGTCACCATTTGCTTGACCGGAGACTGTCGTTTCTGACGTTCCTTTCGTTCCCGCTTCTACCATTGTAGCATAATCCAGGTCAGTGTCTCTAGCTGGTTTAGTCAATGTTTGCGTTGAACCGTTGGGAGCAATTTCATCCGCAACTGAGCTTGGAATAGTTTCACCACTTGCAGTCTCAGATACTTCCAGATTTGTACCTTTCAAGGAGCGTGATGTTGGAGTCAGAAAGCTTTCCTGGTGTCTCTTTAGTTGATGGCTTTTCTCCTCTGGATCCAGCAAATTATGTGATGTCTTTGAGGCTGATGCGAATATTTCGCCTTCAGGCCGACGATACTGAATCATGAAAGTTAAATGTGTGCGGTCATGCAGTAGAAGGACGGTGGAGGGATGAAAATGTGTTCAGTCTTGGGGTTGAAGGTTCACGTACTTGCTTTGCCGGCTATGCAAACGTGGAAAAAAAGCAACTGTTCAAACCTAAAGTGTAGAATATGAAGAGCAATAACTCTCAACTATGTTGTAAGAAATATTCGTTCCACAGATCACTATGTTGACGACCGAGAGACCGAAACAAACTAGAATTTGATGTCGAAGACACAAAAATATGACGTCTGTGCGGAGATAATTGCACGCTCCTTAGATGTAGAGCCAAACCGAGAGTGGCTTGTTGAGAACTGCATGTGTGAAATCATATGGGTCGAGTCTAATTATTAACTCATGATTTTTGACCGATGATCCGTGCCAACCGATTTTAATAGTCTTTTTCGTTTCCTCACTTATTATGAAGGCTCTGTGGGGTCTAATCAAATATGCTTTCGACATTTAGAAACAGAGCATAGAACAATCCTAGGTATGGCATAACACCATGTTTAAAGTTATAAGAAACCTACAATCCACTTGAGAATTCAAAAAAATCGATGATCCTAAGTTTACTTTCAATTACTGGCTTGGTATTAGGTGCTACCATAAAGCAGCCAAGAGAACTTCAAATCCCCAACTCTGAGGGAGCAAAAATTCTCGAAGTTATGAACTTGTCGCACTTAGAAACAAAGTACGGGAAGCTACTAGCCACATCAGATAATACCATTTTCCACTTGATAGATACCAAGACCTTTGTGGCCAAACGAAACAACAATTATTGGGACTTAGAAGAAAATTTAGATGACTTGAGCAAAATCGAAAAAACCAAAAAGCATGAAGTATCTTGGGTAGAATTTGGCTTCCAAAGGACTTATATTACCAATAGTGAGAACCGCATTCCAGTTTCACATTGTCACAGTGAGACAGAGGGACAAGGAGGCGCACTCAACATCCAGTCTTCTGTTGGTGTTGCTCAATCATTGACAGGATCCTTCGGAGTGAATCCCAATACTGTTGCATTCTCCTTATCTTTAACGGCCTCGGTGGCTCTTGAGCTGTCTCTGTCTGTCAATACAGTTTTAGGGTGCAGTGCTAGACATGGGGAGATAGTACAATTATTCTTGGTCAATACCAAATTTGTATACTATACACCAAAAGTCAGGATGTTAATATATGACAAAAAGAAGGGAAAGTTGTTGAAGGCTGGGCAATTCGAAAACAAGAAGCAAAGACGCGCAGTGGTTAGAGGTGGGATCGGTGAATGGATCTGTGGCTCCAGCACTGTAATTCCGTTGGAATGCTCACAGTTGTCTACTTCAGTCACCGAATTCTAGTACTTTCGATTTCTGTCTTTTCGAAATGAATGATTAACCAAGATACAGTGAGTCTCGAGTCGAAAATAGAATTATGAAGTTCTCTTATGTGGTGAATAAGCTTTACTAAAATGAAGCAAGCGGATGTAGACGGAAATTCGGAAAACGGCTATGTACAGTTCCGATATCGTAAACTTCGTGATGACACAGTTTACTGCATGCGCTATAAAGGGCTGCGGTAATTCTGAAAAAATGATAAAAGTTTCACACCTATCTTTCTTTTCCATTTTAATAAGACACGTTAGAGAATCTCTTCTGTTTCTCTATTAATTCCAATAACATTTCCTTGTTTTAATTACATTTATCCTTAATTCCAGCCGGTTGTTTGATATTGCTTGGACCACAACAAATGGGACTTTTCAACTACTTCAAACCATCCAAATCTCACGACGAAGAGTTGAAAGAAAAGGGTTTCGAGATTGCTGAGTGTTCAATGAATTGTGCCTCATGTACATCCAAATTCCCATCCAGTGTCTCTTTCAATGATGACGACAATGGCTCTTTATGGGGCTCCACTAAACCTTATGGTCTTCACATTGTTATTCCTACAAACCAGGCAGACTGGCCCCACAACGCTCTCGATGTTAGTGGCTCCCTTCAAAAGGCTGTTGACTCATGGTCATCATCGGCTAAATTTCCAGGCCTAGGTGAATCCACCACCATTAAGGTTAACGTTAGTTCCCTTTCATCTGCGGGATTGGAATCTAACGAAAAGTACATGAGCTTTGAGGTGGGAGATATGTTGTTACTTCCATTCTTCGTTTGGATTAAAGGTGTGAAAGTGAATGACGCTGGAAAGGTGCTCGACCGAGTTGTTCCAGATTTGATTGCATCCAGAGATAGAGGTGATGAAACTTTCAGTATAAATTCTTACCCAGAATTTCCAGGTGTGACGTTAGAAGTGGATCCACAAAGAGCATATATTTTCTTGTGCTCACACAGAACTAGAGATAAGAGGTGTGGCATTACAGCTCCAATCATGAGAAAGGAGATGGAGATTCATCTTAGAGAAGTAGGATTGTACAGAGATGCTTCAGATCATAGAACTGGTGGAGTTCGTGTTGGATTTATCAACCATATTGGAGGACATAAGTATGCCGCCAACGTGATTATTTATTTGAGGAAATCAGGTAAGAACATCTGGTTAGCAAGATGTAAGCCTGATAATGTTGTTCCTATTATAGATGAATGTATCCTTGAGGACGGAAAGGTTTGGCCAGAGAAGGTGAGACAAGTACAGAAGTTTAAACCGATTGAATGGTGATCTCTAAAAAGGATGACTTCGGTGTAAATTGGTTTTTCGGGATACAAATTATTGGTGTATAGAGATTTGCCAGTATAAAGTTATTATTTCAGTAACTTAGAATTTCTTCATCTTGGATACAGCCTCTAAAATATTCAATCTCTTTTGCATGTAATCGTAAGCAGTGCGTTCCATGTTTGCTTCTTCCTTTGAGACGAGGGATCTCAACCTTGCAGTTTCTCCAACAAAGTACTCCTTGTCATCGTTGATGATTCTCCCAACTATTTTCTTGTAATATGAGGTCATACTCATGTCATCCTTAAAAAAGAGAATATTCTTTTCCACCAAAAAGTCCCTACCATGCTCCAAGAACTGAGATTCGAGTTCTTCTATTTTCCTCACGATTGCTTCGCCATTGTGTCCCTCATAAGCCTCAATTGCTTCATCAATGCTTAATATTCTTCCCGCATTTGCAAACAATTTACCTTCATAATTCCTGCTGAGACCAGTCTCGTCGTTGACAAATGTCACCAAATACTCCAAATTGCGGTCGTCGTTGTAAACGACTGGTCGTTTCAATCCATCTTTATCAATTCTAGATGGGTCAAAGAGCATAATACTGGGCAATAAGCGAACTCCAAATTGCTCCTTTATCTTTTCAGCCTTTGAATTGTTTTCCTCACTAAGATCAACTTCTCCGAATCTTATGATTTCAGAATCTGAGTCGAAGATTTTGTTGGCGATTTCCTCCCAAAATGGCTTCACTTCCTTGCAGTACCTACACCACAGAGCGCTGAACATGACAAGGGTTTTGTAGTTTGCATCAAGTACCTTTTCCTTGAAGTTGTCGTCATCTAGTGCCATGATTTGAGTTGGTTTCGTAATGCTAATCTCTTGTTCATCGGTTTCTCCGGATTTACTGAGTCTCACCCCGGAAGCTTGTTGAATGAAGTTGCTGATGGATTCAGCGTCTCTCATTCCATCATACTCAATAGGATTGTCATTTCCATGGAACAACAATAGTGTTGGGAAGCCAGGTATGTCATACTTTGATGTCATTTTCCTTCCGTCTTCATCTCCGTTGATCTTCACAATTTGAATATCTTCCACATCTGCGTAAAGATCAGCTAATTCTTCGATCGCAGGCATAAGGTTCATACAATGTCTACACCAATCAGCATAGAAGTCAACCAAAGTGAACTTTCCGGAGTTCTTCACCACATCGTTGAAATTTTTATCGTTTACTCGAAGGAGGTTAGAAGCTGCCGCCAATACTAGGAAAGTGAGCCAAAGGAGTTTCATTGTAGTTATTGTATGATGATTCTTTTGTTGCTTATATGTCAGTACTGCCCATGTTAATGTTGGTGTACAGGTGTTTGCACATTTACTTGTATATAGTATGCCACCTTATCTCTGATGAGTAATACAATCGACCAAATTATAAAGGCATCATGAACACCTACTTTATGTGTTTATTGTAAAAAGATGATCTGAATGAGAATCATTCAATTGTATTTAATCGTCACTGATTTCACTTTGTCCGCCCTTCTCTTTTGGGTCTTCGCATCAAATTCTCTTTGGCCATTAAGATCTATGAGTGCCTAATGAGGCAAGGGAATGACGTGTGAAGTGAAGTAAGAGTTCTGACTGGTTGCAGTACCTGCCCATGCATTATACCATGCAATGAAAGCAGTTATAACACCAGTAACACCTCCTGCCCTAGTAACACCTACTACTCCTGTCATTGCACCAATTGCCAAGAGAATGAAAGTGATGGTAAGAGAGAAAAACAACAGGAAAAAAGCCAAAGTGGACTTCATTGTAGCTAATGTCAACATGAATGTGAACATCGCCCATCCGATCAAGAAAAAACCCACAGCATTTGCAAACTGGTCTTCTGCTCCTTTGTAAGCTTCTTCAATTCCGAATGCTCCAATTCTAATAGCAGCAAATGATAACCAAAATGAGCCAAACAGAGTTAATGCGGTACCTCCAAATGTATTTCCAAGAAACAATTCCCAGAGTCCAGTAGCGAATTGCGCAGCTCCACCGTAAAAGCATGCAAGACCAAGTACAACGTTTGGAGTTGTGATACCCATGGCTTGTGCATTGAATAAAGACAATACAAAAGTTGTCATAGCGAAAGCACTCAAGCCCAAAGCAGCTGGATTTCCGTACTCGTGTTGATATGGAGCAGGGCCGGGGTTCAACGTACCACCAAAAGCACTCATTAACTCATGGGTGTAGTACTTCTTGTTTCCGATTACGATAAACTCATTTGAGGTGCCCTTTAACTGAACTTTTCCAACGGGAATGGAGCTAGTATAGTCCGAATTTGTTGTATAGAGGGAGTCCTCATCGCCCTGAAGATTATGTTCAACCATTTTTTGCAACAATTGTATTCTGCGATGGCCCCTTACTATTGGTAAAAGTATCGATAAACAACTAAATGAAAAAAATGAAGGGATTCAACGACTTTTGTACTCAGATCGGCTTTCAGATTTGATTCGGATATGCTCCGGCTCTAAACCCTCCGTTTGATATCGTTTTTAATTATTGAATAGATGATGCGGACTGTACGTAAAGCTCGGAGTGGGGCTGGGCGGGGAAGCTTTGACACCGAAGCTCGGCGTTGTCATCTTAAGCGATTGGCATATTATTAACGGTACTAGGAGATATTGTCCCACCTGGACATTCTGCAGTTCATCTAGGAAATGGAAACTTTAGAAGAATCCTTCTTAAAGCCAGTATCAAATTCGGTGATAATCGCACTGCATATTAATAAATAATATGTTACACCTAATGTGTTCCTCGGATGATTACCATGTACGCAACTCTGATTCGAAGGTTGTCGGCAACTTCAAGCCGGCTCGTATCATTGACATTTTTCACAAAGGAGACATGCCAACTCTGCAAAAATGCTCATGCTATTCTCGAGAAGACTCTTGATAAGGATGGATTCAGGAACATTCCGGTGAAAGTAGTCGATATCATGAAACCAGAAAACTCGGACGCATTCGATAAATACTGCTACGATGTTCCAGTCCTCCATGTCGACAGACCGGGCCAACGGAAGCCCATCAAATTCATGCATTATTTTGATGAATCGAAACTAGCAGAAGAGTTTGGACGTGAGTGAATTCCTCATAATTTTAGTTAAAGCTGAGAGGTGATCTGGCAATGTGAACTTGAACAAGTCATTTCGCTCAATTTATGTCTCTGAGCGACTGAATTACCCCATTTAGCTCGTCATTCTTCAGTCTGAGTGTGGTGTTTTCCTCCTCAAGTTGACTGGTTTCAAGTAGCAATAGATTACGCTCCCTTTCTAGCAACAAGATATTATCACATTGCTTTTCATACTCTTTCATTAGCACGCCGTAACTGGAAAGTTTTCCAGACTTTGAGTGCTCAAGATCTAAGTTGTTTAAAGTCTTGACCCATTTGCCATTTCGACTACACAACTTCAAAATCGGAGCTGAAGGATTAGAGGACGTGGATTCCACATGTTCCCGAGAAGTTGTGTTTGGGAGAGCATCGGAAATGTACGTTTTCCATAGGAAATGTTGCAATTTTGTAAGAGCTTTCTCGTGCTTGGTTAGCATTCTCTGAGTTTCCAAGATAAAACTATTATTCTCCAGCACGTCTTTGGGAATATCGTCACACAACCTACAGTCTTCCTCGTTATCGTGATTATATTGCTCAGGGGAAGTGAAGCGACACCGGAGGCGATCGAGGCGAATAGAGAGCAAATTATTGACGTATTGCAACTTACTAAAGAGGCAGACGAGATGCACTGTATCTTCATCAGAGGGAAGCTTTCCTGATCTTGTTTCTTTGTTACTACTTGTGACTTGTTCGTACAATACCGATAACCGTTCACTATCTCTAATAGAACTAGCCAATGCTTCTTCAAGTTCTTCAAAAACTTGCTCCATAAGGGTACACTTGCCGTATTGGGAAATTGTTGGCAGACTGGAGAATAAAGGGGAAGACATTACGAGTAAACTTAACAGTTAGTTGAAGAGAAATTGTTAATAGTAAAAGGTTCGCAAGTGATAATTGCAGTAAAGGCGAGGATAGCGAATGGCCAAAGTATGAGAAATATGACACATGCCGTCAAACTTTAGGATTCTTGCAAGTCTGAGCCGGCGTCAAGAAATCTCCAAAAAGGGTTTGATGAATTGGCGAATCTATACTCTCGTTGTTGAAGTTTCAACACACGTGGAATGATGACTTCTTCTCCACGTTTTGATGGTGTTCCATCACTCAATAAACGATAATTTATTCTTCAATATGGTTTATATTCTTGCACCATCTATAAGTACAGATGGACAGTAGTTATAGGCAGAAGAAACTCAGCAACCAAACGATAGCGCTATTTTCAATTGCGAATGGATACGATTTAGGAAATGCAATTGTTGCACTAGCTACTACATTGGCTGCTAATCTGTACATACAGGGAGTTGATTATAGAAGCATAATTCAACATGTAGAGCAGGCAAAACAACAACGTCTTGCCAAAACCTGAAAGTGCTTTATTACAGATATAGAACATGATCTACTGAAATCCATGTTCCTTATAGATATATTTAGTAGTTTTTAATTCAAGAGTTTCACGGCAATCCTGGTTTCCACCGACTCCTCCCTTCTCTTGCTTTGCATGAATGTCACCTGTAGTTCTCATCGATTCAAAAACTATAGCCCAGTGATTAACGTCTTCCTTTTGCAAGAAATTAGTACAAGAAGAGCTATAGACTTGCTTATATTTCATATTTGGTACACTTTCTGCTCATCATAGCCATATGAAAGATATTCACCAGTAACCTTAGTACTTAAGCTTTTGGCTGTTCGAAAAACAGATTTGTTTCTTGCAATCAGTATATCCAGCAGGGCAATTGCCAATTATTTGCATAACCCAGGGGAGCTACATGGATTTCACATCAAGAAATTCTATCCTGTCTTGAAAATGAAATTCTCTCTGTACGATCGTATGATAAGTAAAATCGTCATTTAAAAATGACGGAAAACCATGTTATAATGAAAATAGAGATATTGATAGACCTTACAATAGTAACTTTTCAGCCATTCCTACATACTGAAACTCTAACTTATAGTACCTCGGTGCTTTATCTCCACATGCAAACTACTTATCACCTTCAAAGTTCTCCCCAACATTGATCTAGATTCACACAATGTCTGATATCCGTCCAAAATACGCTCTTGTTACCGGGGCTTCCTCCGGAATCGGATTTGCTACAGCCCTTGAATTTGCCAAGAGAGGTGTAACCACTTTTGCCTGTGCCAGAAGATTGGAGCCCATGGAGGAGTTGAAGAAGAGGGGAGTTATCATCTTCAAATGTGATGTTTCACTGTTAGAGAGTGTCATAGAAGCAAAAAAGTTTGTTGCTGAGAAATCTGGTGGATACCTTGACTACTTGTACAACAACGCTGGCCAGTCTTGTACCTTTCCTTGCTCCGACGTGACTGACGACGCATTCAAACAGTGTTTCGAGGTCAATGTCTTTGGATGCATCAGAATGACTAGAGAATTCCTCCCCTTGGTGATCAATGCGAAAGGGACCATAGGTTTCACCGGGTCAGTCAGTGGAGTCATTCCTTTCCCATTCTCCAGTATCTATTCGTCTTCCAAAGCAGCCATCCACCAGTTTGCTGCCACTTTAAGAATTGAAATGAAGGCATTTGATGTTAAGGTCATAAATATCGTCACTGGAGGTGTTAAAACAAATATTGCTGATACTAGAGGCTTGCCAGAGGATTCATTGTTTCAAGTTCCAGGAATCAAAGAAGCTATGTTGGAGAGACAACAAATGGCTGCCAGAAACAACCCAATTCCTGCCGAGGTCTATGCTTATAGGGTAGTGAACGATTTCCAGAATCTGAGGATCGATGGCAAACTTAACATATACAGAGGAAAGATGGCAACATTCTTGGGCCATCTTTTGGATTGGTTCCCAAGATACTGGCTCGAGAATATACTCATTCGAAAGTTCAAGTTGGGAACTGTGTATCTGGAAGTCCGCAAAAAGTACTCGAAGGAGAAGCTCGAGTGAACTATTACATGACATTTACAATAATTTATGATACGTTTCGAGTACTGTAGAAAAATACAACATTGCAATGATACTTTTATTTACCTTCATGAAAATCGTGCAGACAATTCAGAATTTGGTTTGACGTTAGATACCAGCTCTACAGTCTGAGGCATTCCAGTTTTGATGCTCTTGACAACAGCCTCAATACACAAGAGTGCACGCACAGCATCCAAGCCGGAGCATTTAACCTCTTTCTCTCTTCCAAAAATTAAATTCACAAAGTGATCCAATTGAAGGTCAAAGGGCTCCGGTTGCCCATTGATGTTCCCATTAGACAATGAGGAGTTCGAGGATGGAATTTTGGGGTCAAAAGAAGATGATGGAGTAAGCATTGAGTCGTTTGGTGCCTCATAGGATGATGCCCCATGTGTCATCTTGATGTGATCAACCTCTATTGGCCTCCACCAAGAACCCTGACCATCAGGCAGACTTTGCTGATGGTACAAGGTCATGTCTGGCACCGAGATAGTCCCTTTGCTGCCAAACACTCGATAGAATCCTGCGGTAGATTCATGATGAGGTACTAGTGGGTTTTCACCAGTTCCAGCCTCAAAACTAAATGGAGACGTTACATTATCACTGCAGAGAAATGTACCGCAGCATCCATTTGCAAACTTAATAGTTAATACAGCGCCTTCATCCACTTCATTGTCAGGGCCCTCAGCATGTCTCTGCCGGGGCATAAGCTCTGCGTACACCCGCTCTATAGGCGAGATCAAATACAGCAACAAATCGAGATCATGGATCAAGTTGGTCAACAAAGCTCCTCCACCAGACAGAACAGAACGGCGCCATTGCTTTTCGTCAAAATACGCCTGATGTTTCTGCAATGCCCATACTCCCTGAATGGCGATTGGCCTTCCTATGCGCTCCATATTCGCTTTGGTGGTGATAATGTAAGGATTGAAACGCCGATGGTGACCGATCAAGAGTTTGACATTTCGCTGATTGCAAAACTCAAGAAGAGAAACACAGTCTTCGGCACTCGAGGCCATTGGCTTCTCCACTAAAAGGTGAATTCCGTGGGCGGCCAATTGCATTCCAATTTCTGCATGCGTATGATTGGGAGTGGCAATGATCGCCGCATCGGGAAGATCAACTTGGAATTTATGACAAAAGTCCAACATCTCATCGACGTTTTTGAAATGCAGACAATTGCAACTAGCTGCAACACCAGGACCATTAGCAGATCTATCCACAATAGCAAAAAGCGTGCAATCCTTACGCTTTGCAACACTTTTGGCATGACGCGGCCCAATTAGACCTGCGCCAATGACAACAAAACGAAGTACATCTTGTGCCATGTGTTAAAAACCTTGAGAAAACATGCATCGAAGCGGAAATCGTGCGTATTTGTACTAGGGAATCGGTCACACGTGGATCCTCCTTATCTACGACCTGTGTATTGAGTAGGTACTATGTACACAACCTATCCTATAAAACAGTAACAAGTCGCAAGTCAAGTATGTCGGAACTTTCTCTGTTCTCGTGACCAAGTGGAGAATCGTACCAGAAAGTCGTCATTACCCGCCTTTGCGGATAAATGTTTCTTGTTAGTAACTCGTATAGGTTGCTTAGAATGCCAGCCGTTCTCCTCATATTTTTGCCCTGATTCTTGCTGGAGAGAAAATTTCATCTGTCAAGTGATCAATTACCCCCCACCCGTAGCCATTCGCAAACCTGCGTCGTACAACTATATTATTATGTGCATCTGGAGGAAGTTTAACCAACACTTTTCTCCAACTGAGCTCAGGTGCATGATATTTGCGGGCGATCTTCACCTGCTTATCCATTCTCCAGTCTGTGTACTTGAAGAATTTGAGTAGCCCTCCAGTTTTCTTTTCTTCAGGAGGGATCTTGCTGAAATGGTAGTACTTATCGTGAAAAATGACAGGGCTCCTCGTATCAGGAATCATAATATAACCACTCGATGGTATAGGACAAAGAAGTGTGTTAAATGCTGATTCAACTGCTGATGCTTTTGGAGGAATATTAACCTGTGTAGGGCTGGTATCCGATGCTGTCGTTTCTGCTTCGTTATCATCGATGTCATCTTCTACATCAGAAGTGGTACTGTCACTGCTCTTAGCGTTGATTTTTGCATAGCGCCTGGCCCGCTTGGTCAATCTATGCCTCTTCTTATCTGGGGAACCAATTTTTCTGTCACCATTGATGTTCAAAGTGGAAGTCAAGAAGTTGGAGTACTTTTTTGCGATGCTTGTGTGACTATCATCTTCGACTTCTCCAACATCGTTTCCACTAGCATTGGTTTCCGTCAGAAGTCTTGAGTGGTGAGGTTCAACAATTTCATTGTTTTCCTTTATGGCATTCACGTCACCCATTGCTTCCCAATCAAGATATAGAAGGGCACTTGTTCTCAATGGAACAATACCATCATTAACTGCGTTAGCATACACTGTTCTCAGTTCAAATTGCTTTAAAAGTGTGTGGATTGGCTCATCGGGTAAGGTCTCGAGGACAGGGGCAAACATTGATCGTTTCAGCCCTTCGGAATGTTTGGTGTAATGTGGGAGTTTTTTCAGCAATGTCAAATCACGCCCAGTCTTTCCCAATGTGCCCAAGTCTAAAAACCACGAAATCAAGAGACTCATTTCACTCAATACACCAAGCATCGGGCTGGCCATGCAGACAAAATGCCGTAGCTTGATGTTGTTATCTTGGAAGTAGTTATTTCCCTTGATCTGAAGAATATGTTTAAGTGCATACAACTGAACTGGCCCTCCAAGTGAATGTCCCACAAAAGAAATGCTATCAATAACTGTCCCATTGCTCTGGTACTCTTCAATGAGCCCGGTGACATAGTTGGATACCCCGGCACCAAGTCGGTGAATACCTTTTTCAGTTCGACCGGCATTGTCACGGTAGCCTTCAACGACAACGTTCTCGTTCTTCAATTTCGAAAGCTCATCTCGGACGTACAACATGTCTGCTGTCAAATTAGAAAATATTCCATGAGTGAGAATGACCAAATGGATCGGCTTATCGGGATTCGGAGGCGGCCCACTCCAAATGTCCACCTCCGATTGATAATCCACGTCCAATCCTGGATGACTAAAATATTTAGTATCATATTTGAATCTTTCGTTCTCCAATGCTTGGAAATTTCCCTTGGACAAATTTGTTAGAGTCGATCGCGTGAGCATTCTCATCTGGGGAAGATCATCTCCAATCACAAGTATAAAGGTCATGGTTACTCTCCTATTGAGAACAATTTGGGATACTACATCGCAGTACCACTCATAAATTTTCAAACTGTTTTTCTCTTCCACAAGACTGTTCTTGTTCAACAAAAGCCTGACGTTACAGGTTTGACCGGGTTTGACGGAATTTCGGAAATAAACTTCACCATCACCATTTTCTTCAGTAGGACTAAACTTCTGCCTGTGAGAATAATTTCCAGGAATGACATGGCAGTAGAAGGCAAGAGGTCCGTTTAGCAAGTGGATTGCCCGAAGACTCGTGTTGGTTAAGTTCTTGATACGTAGATATATTTCTTTTCGGGAGTCATCAGAACTCTCAAACCTAATTTTATACCGGCTGACACCACCGATTTTGAGTTTGTTTGTGGATTTGTACCAAATGCATTCAGATGACATAGAAAAGAAAGAGTATTCTTCCCCATATTTACGATAGTGAGAACATATGCTATCTGTCACCTTATATGCAAACTGATTATCGTCCTGAGTGTTTTGCTTACTGTAAGTTAATGAGAATATTGGATATAGGCAGTCTTGCAAGATGATATAACCGAAGAGAACTCCTACAGTTTTGATGAAAAGAGGTTTTAATAGAACTTTAGTAGGGTTTGGACTCTCAACTCGGAATTGAGCATGTTATTTCTTCTTCCTCCTCTTTCGATATGGTCCTCATTCGGGAAGAGTCGCTCACATTTATGTCAAAATAATTGCAAAGGAATTCAATTAAAAGTTTGTGTCAAAACTCGTTGCGGACATTAAATAAGTGTTGAGATGTTCTAAGGGTCATTTTAACAGCATTCAAATGCATGAATGAACGAAAAGGACCGATTTGATTTAGGACCATCTTGCTACTTTTTTAATTGAAATTGTCAGTGCCTTAGATGCTTATGACGTTTCCTTTTTTGACAGATCAATACTATTAAGCCTCGTTTTGACCAGTTCTTCACAAAGAATTGTGCATAGTATTAGAGGAGGATAGTTCTACATTTTGAGCTCTCAGATTATGTAATACTTCACTCTCTACGGTAGAGAGGGGACATCAAAAACGTTATGGATCCTTATTGCTTCTTGAGCCTATGAGGTATTTACAAAGTGTTCTGAACGTCCTCGTGTTCTGAACGTCCTCAGACATACATAGGATTAGCGAAGCTGCATTCAAGAAAGTTCGCTAGGTGCCACCCAATATAGTTCAACTTACCATCACATTCAACTTCCCACTATGTCTAATCTTCTCACTGAACTACATTATTGACTTACCATCAAGTTAATGCCAAAGGTAATATGATGTTACTTTGCGCGGCGTTAAGTAGTGGTCGATCATACTTGGTGGATGACTGGTGGAGGTTTCAACGCAATGATCCTACACATAACACACTTAACGAGAAATATGGGGTACCGGATAAATGTGATTCCGAGTTCATTCACGAACATTTATTAAACGCCAGATGACCCCGAATTCAACTTCAGATACCCAGTCCGAGAGCATGCCCAGTTCAGTCACACCCAAAGATGCATTCATTGCTTTGAATCAAGAGCAAACGCAAAACCTTACTGGTTTCCACGCTCTACTGCAGCTCATGGCCCAAAAATTGCCTGAAACCCCACTGCGGACATACAATATAGTTATTGTTGGACTTCGAGGAGTGGGAAAATCCACTTTAGCATTAATGGCACTGGCAGCTTTGGGATTCAGACTCTTGGATGTTGAAAAATGTGTCTCTGAACATAGTGGAATGCCCGAAGCAAAGTTCTTGGAGCTGGTAACCGTCGAGCAGTACCAGCAGTTGCAATATGATTTAATTACCGCTGCAGTCGGTGAGCACAAAGAAAGCAAGATAATTGTCATGCCACTGACAGTAATCAATTCCCAGAAGCTTCTCAATTATCTTAGGAGTGATACCTTCAGTTTCATCATCAATGTGGAATGCGAAGAAGAGAGAATCCTAAACTACTTGAATTTTGAAGGAGATAGAGAAGCCGGGATAGCTCTTATTCAGAATAAGTTCGCTATGTTCAGAAGCATTTCTACTCACGATTTCTTCAATTACTTTACTCAAACCTCGGAATGGAAACGTAATCTCATTTCCATTGGGCGAGATGAGGACGTCAATTCCGAAGCGTCCTCTTACTTCGTGCTCAAGCCAGTGGAGCGAGAATTCATAAAGTTTCTTACCTTCTTGATCCGTGGACCTGTAGCTGCTTCTGCTTCCGTGGGAAATCTTCATCTTCGGTCAAACTTCATAAATGGGTTCAGTAACTGTTTAGAAGTGCCCATTCCGTCATGTTTCGAGAGTCTTGAAGAAAAGGATTTCATTGGAGTTGATTGTATTGAGTTCTCTATTGACATGATTGAGCTTATCAAGCACGAGCTATCCACATCAAAGCTTAAAATGAGTGAAGTGATCTCTAAGACTAGAAGAATGACCAATACCTCCATCCCACTAATCATGAGCATTCTGAACTCGCTCTCAGAGATAAGCTTATTCATTAGGGAGCTTGCTCTTTCAACATCCAGAGATGTGCAGTCAATTCGTAGTGATTTGAAGAATTACTATGTGTCGTTGCTTGGATATGGAATCAGACTAGGTATTGACTATCTATCTGTTGATTTGGCATTGTGTCAGGAAACACCACACAACTTCTTTCTTGACCTGAAAACGCCCACTGAAAGCATGTTTCGCTTATTAGAGAATCTCAAAGCTAATTGTGGAAGTACAGAGATTGTTGGCTCAGCACATTCGTTCCGATCAGATTTCTGGGAATCAGAGGCATTCTCTTTAGTGAAGATTGCGAATTCTTTGAATATAACAACCTTGAGACTTTCTTCCGATGCGAATCTGCTAAATGACAACATTCGTGTTGCAAGTTTCCTCAAAGCTATCCGCGCGGAGTATCACCATATTAGAGTCTGCGCATACAACAAAGGGCCGTTGGGTTTTCTATCCAAGGCAATTAATCAGATTTTGACTCCCATTGCGATGGAACGTGTCATCGAGTTCGAGAACTCGTTAACACTGCGCCAGCTTCTGAGTATACTATTTTCTACCCATGTTTTACCCTCATTAAGGTTCTTTATCATAGGTCAGAATGTATCCAAATCGCTTTCGCCATTTCTTCACGGTGAAGCTTACAAAGCACTTGGTTTGCCTTATACTTACCAATACATCGAATGCAAATCATTTAAGGGAACGTTTCTGCAACTTAAGCAACAGCAGAATTTTGGAGGGGCAGCTGTCATTATGCCCTTCAAACTTGAAGCCTTGGATCATGTTGATTCCATGTCGAATCACGTGAAGGTTATTGGTGCTTTAAACACCATAATTGCTGAAAGAGACCCTGTTCATCCACAAAGAATAGTCACTATAAGAGGCGAGAACACCGACTGGCTCGGGGTGAGAATGACACTTCAGGATAACACTTCACCAATCAACTCTGTTAGTCCTAATAAGAGTGCACTCGTGATAGGATCTGGTGGTTTGAGTAGGTCAGCAATTTATGCGTTGATTCAGTTGGGCTACGAAAACATCATGCTCTACAACAGAACAAAAGAAAGAGCACAGAAATTGGCAGACCATTACAATATGCTCTCGCCAATGATGCCTTCGAAGTCTTTAACTGCTGGTGAGCTTTGTGACAGTAAGAAGGATCTTAAATATTTCACGATCCATGTTTTGCTGGATGAGCAATTTGAGCAAGGAATACTTCCCCTGGGTGTCCGTTCATACCCTATCAGCATTATCTCCTGTGTTCCAAGTTCCAATCCACAAACTGGAGAATTGATTAACATTCCGGTTTGTGAAGCCTGGTATTCCAATAGTACCGGAGGAGTTGGTCTTGAAACTGGATATGACCCCTTGATCACACCATTCTTAGAGAGAACGAACCAGTTTTCTTCAGGAGGATGGACTGCTCTCAATGGCCTTAATTGGTTGTTTGCACAATCGATTGCACAGTTTGAAATGTTCACAGGAAAACAAGCCCCCGTATCTGTGATGAAAACAGTTGTGAGCAACATTTTCGAGCAGAGGTCTTGAATGTTATTATTCAATACATTACTCCCTTCATTCCTGGAAGTAGTTTTTCTTTCCAGTCTTTCAATTTTCTTACTTGTGATCATTAATTGCATCACCATTGAATTATAACTTATATAAGTCCTCAATAAAATAAGTGGCAAACTTGCCCTTTTTGTACTCATTCCAGCCTCTTTCAGCCTCTGCAAATGCATCGTAGTCAAATAAGAAGTCTCTGAATTTTGGATCAGCCCATCTGTTAGGACAACCAACAGTTGGAGGATCAGCCTTCAAAGCCTCATCTCTTGCAACCTGTTCAGGACCATCAGGCAAATGGTAGATGTTTCTGCAGTTAGTTGAACCCTGAACAACCTGAGTGGATCTCCATTTTCTCAAATTCTCAGTAATCTTTAAGACGTCATGAATTTGAGACTTATCTTCAACACGGGCGAGAAGTCCAGCAAGAACAGCAGCATCCTCTAAGGCCTGAGATGCTCCAGAAGCCAAGTAAGGCAAAGTAGCATGAGAAGCGTCTCCCAAGATGATAACGTTTCCGACATCATGAGTCCAAGTGGACAACTCTCTTGAGTTTTGCAATTTCCACTTCTTGGTCTCGTGAATGTAATCGAGCAAGTTCAACAAGTTGGGATCCCAGCCAGCAAGAATCTCCTTTAACTCGTCCTTAGACGAATCTTGAATGGTCAAACCCTCATCTAAATTGTCAGGACACAATGCTACGATGTTGATTGTGTTACCGCCTTGCAACAAGTAGATAACAAGGTGACAGTTTGGACCCCACCAGAAACTGATATTAGGTTCCTTGAAAAGCTTGGTCAACTTAGCATCATGCTTGATGTTTTCAATGTCAACCAATGCACGGAAAGCCATATCACCAGTGGTGTATGGTGGATCCTCTCTACCCAAAATGGCAGATCTAGTCTTCGACTTGATACCGTCATATCCGACAACGACGTCTCCTTTGTAAACGTCACCGTTGGCACATTTAACCGACAGGTTCTCGAAGTCAATTTCAGCAACATGGCAACTCAACAGGATAGAGACACCGAGTTCCTTAGCCCTCTCAACCAATGCAGCGTGGTAGTCAGCACGGTGAATATGCAAATAGTCCGAGCCATACATGTCCTGAGTAAGTGGGACCAAGTTCTGAGTAGACAAATGAGTTCCATCCTCCCATCTGTACACGAAGACATTGTTAGGAACGACACTCTTTGCTTTAACAAGATCGTATGCTCCAATAGAGTGGAGAATTCTTACCGATGGTGGGGGAATCTGAATACCTGCTCCAACCTCACCTAATTTAGGAGCTTGCTCCAATAAAGTCACTTTATGTCCAGAGAGAGCCAATGAGATTGCTCCAGTTACACCTCCAAGTCCAGCACCCACAATGACTACTTCGAGTGGGACTTTAGCTTTTGGTAACTCTGACTTAGAACCTTGAAAAACCATTGCTAGATTGCGTTTCAGTTGAAATTGTTTGAGAAGTTTCGTTGTTTTCCAAATTGTGAATGCAATTGAAACAGTTTGAATACCTGTCTGTCAATTGATGGGTTTCAATGCCAATTTATATGCTATTACTATGGTTAAAATCGGGCGATTCATTGGTGGATAATGCATTTTCCGGCGTGGGGAAAATGGTTTTCCGCATCTACGTAAATCCGGAGTAATTTCCCCAACGATGCAACTCTATGCAGGTACATTTGTAATCCCCATACTACGTTTCGGAGACATCAATTTCTTACCGATGCCACAAATTACCAAACCTTGTATCTACATCACCAAGTAAATTTCGTAAATACTCGGAATAATTTATTGTAAAAGCATACTATAATTAGCTCTGGAAGGCCTCGTTCAAGAAAGCTTCCTCCTCGGCAGTGTGCATAGCCTTGGAACCAGCAGCGACGGAAGCAGATGGATCTCTACCAGCGTAACGGACAGTCAAATCCTTGTGCTCAGTCTCAGCAAGGGTGGTTGCAAGACGTGGAGCAGCAAAAGAGTAAGCTCCCATATTCAATGGCTCCTCCTGACACCAAACAATGTCCTCAAGGCTAGTGTACGAGTTCAAGGCATCTCTCAATTGAGCAAATGGGAATGGATGCAATTGTTCGACTCTAATGATAGCAGTGTTCTTGTCCTCGATGTTAGCACGCTTCTTATGCAAAGCAGTGAAGACTTGACCAGAACAAAGAACGACACGCTTGATGTCCTCTCTGTTGTGGATAGTCTTGCCCAAGTCACGGTCATCGATGATCCACTCAAAGTGAGTGTCACCGGTAAACTCAGACAACTCGGATCTGGCCAATGGGTGTCTCAACAAAGACTTGGAGAAAAAGTTGATCAATGGCTTTCTGAACTGTCTGTGCATTTGACGACGCATCAAGTGGAACAAGTTGGCTGGAGTAGTTGGGTAAGTAACTTGCATGTTACAGTCCTGGTGCTGTCTCTCAAGCTTCTCTGGAGATGGGAAGTAACGTTGGTCTTCGTTACACAGTTGCAAGTATCTCTCAAGTCTACCAGAAGAGTGTTCTGGACCCTGACCATCATAACCATGTGGCAACGACAACATAAGGCCAGATCTCTGCTTCCACTTAGATTCCGCACCGGAAATGAACTGATCGATAACGACCTGAGCAGTGTTGGCAAAGTCACCGAACTGAGCTTCCCACATCACGAATGCGTCTGGGGAGAACAATGAGTAACCGTATTCAAAGCCCATGACACCGTACTCAGACAACGAAGAGTTAGAGATAGTGAAGGCACCCTGATCCTCGGACAAGTGCTCCAATGGAGTGTAAATCAGCTCGGAGTTCTGGTCGTGCAAGACAGCGTGACGCTGAGAGAAAGTACCTCTCTCAACATCCTGACCTGAAACTCTGACGTGGTAACCTTCCAACAAAAGAGAACCAAAGGCCAAAGCCTCACCGGTGGCCCAATCAATACCCTCACCAGAGTTCACAGACTTCATTCTGGTGTTCAAAATACGCTTCAAGTTTCTGTGAACCTCGAAACCCTTTGGAGCCTGGGAAATGTCATCACCAATCTTCTTCAAGGTTGCTTCGTCAACAGCAGTAGGAAGGTGAGGCAAAACCTCAGTTGCCAACTCCTTTGGCGACTTGAAGTCCTCCCATGGAGTGGTCAACCACTCTCTAGAAGTGGGCTCGTATTCCTTGGACTTGCTGAAGGACTCCTCTAAAAGTCCCCAGACCCACTTCTTGTGCTCTTCGATGTCTTCCTTAGAGAAAGTACCCTCTTCGATCAACTGCTTAGTGTAGTAGTCAATGATGCTCTTCTTCTCAGCAATTCTTTGGTACATCAATGGCTGAGTGAATGCGGGCTGGTCAGTTTCATTGTGACCATGCTTTCTGTAACCAACAACATCGATGATAACGTCAGAGTGGAAAGTGGCTCTCCATTCAGCAGCCAAGTTGAAGACGAAGGTGACTGCCTCGATGTCATCAGCATTGACATGGAAGATTGGGGCATTGATGGACTTAGCAATGTCAGATGGGTACAAAGTAGATCTGGCAAAACGTGGATCAGTAGTGAAACCAATCTGGTTGTTGATGATAATGTGGATAGTACCACCAGTAGAGTAGGCTGGCAAATTGGCGAATCCCATCGTCTCGTAAACCACACCCTGGCCAGCAAAAGCGGCATCACCATGCAACAAGATGGACATAGCTTTCTTGTGCTCGCTGATGTCGTTCTTGTACTGCTGGATGGCTCTGGTCTTACCCAAAACAACACCATCTTCAGCCTCCAAGTGGGATGGGTTAGCCACAAGAGACAAGTTCACGTGCTTACCAGAGGTGGTTGGTCTGTTGTAGTTCATACCCAAGTGGTACTTAACATCACCCGAGCCCTCGTCGAACTCCTTGGATCCAGTGAACTCGAAGAAGATAGACTCGTTAGGCTTACGGACAACATTAGACAACATGTTCAATCTACCTCTGTGAGGCATACCAATAACGACATCCTCAATTCCGTGCTCGACGGAGGTATCAATCATGGCCTTCATACCTGGAACAACAGCCTCAGCACCCTCAAGACCGAAACGCTTGTCGTTAGGGAACTTGGTAGCCAAGAAAGACTCGAAAGAGGTGGCCCAAATCAAACGGTCCAAAATCTGTCTCTTTTGGTCGACCGAGTACTTGAAAGGAGTTGGGATCTCAATTCTCTCTCTCAACCAATCACACTGCTCCTTGGATGGAATATGAATGTATTCAACACCGTAAGAAGAACAGTACAAGTTCTCACAGGCATCGATGATCTCACGCAAGGTCATGGTGGTTTTGCCATCACCCATGAAGCGGGGTAAGATACCAGGACCAAGGGTGATCTTTTTGTTCATGTCGGCCTCAGTGAAACCGTAGTGTTCCAAGGTCAATTCCTTAGGAATTTTACCCAGGTCACCAAAGGAAATGTCCAATGGATCGATACGAGCTTTCTGGTGACCACGCACTTGGTACGCACGAACAAGAAGCTGAACCTTCAAGTGAGTGACAACGTCCTCAGTGTGTGGAGTTGCGCCAGGGGTGAAGCCAACACCGGCACCTCCGGCGGGAGTTGGAACCAAAGTTGGAGGTGCAACAAAGGCAGAGGAAGGAGCAGCACCGGAATCCAAGTTACGGAAGTAGGCGTTCCACGACACGTGGACGGAGCTTGGGTCGTGCTTCCAAGCTTCGTACATCTCCTCAACATAGTTGGTGTTGTTGGATTGCAAGAATGAGTCTGTAGCGAGGCCACGAGCAAGGCAAACCTGACCAAATCTGGAATTTCTGGCCATGGTTCTGGTCAAATTTCTGGCCATGGCGCTCTGCACGGTGGCACGAGGCGTTCTGATAGCTCTAAGCATGGTCAGAAGTTGTCGCAATCTGGGGTATTTTTTTTCCAGGTGGAAGAATTAAATTTTCCTGGAGTCGGAATTGACCTTCTTATATCTCTCCTGCTTGTGGGCATTTTGTGCGACATTTTTGAAGGTTTTCTATTTGTCCGGACTCTTTCCGGTCGCCCCGGGCAGATAATCCGGGGTCTAAATCATGTACCAGAAGCGGTAATCGTGAATTTTTTGTGTTCCGATACATCTTGGGAATGCTGTCAACAATCTGGTCAACATTTTTTTCTATTCCTTAAAGTGGTGACCCCTTGTTTATTACCTTTGCTATGTTTGGCCCCGGGAGGCACTGATGTTCTCTCGACTCAATACTGCATGCTTCCCATCGGCTCCGAAGTTGATGACTATGCTTTTCTGATGTTTTTGAAGCTTTATAACACTTCCAATGTCTTCCGTGTGATATGTGGATCCAATCAAGCTGCGTTTGATATCTATTGTGTGCTGTGGTGTAGGTTTTAATGTTTGTTGACAACGATCGGGAACTCCGCACTTCAGACCAATGACTCTGGTTGTGAGCACTTGGCTCTTCTTCTCTGTTACTGGAAATGTTTGGAGAAGATGCCGAGAGGGGTGTCTCATCCACCTGAGCAAGCCTAACCAACCATTGGTGCATGTTCATAGATTTTTATGAGCCTATAGCATTGTTTCTAACGATTGCATCGTATCATTTTCATCGAATGTAGAAAGGCAAAAAAAAATCGGGTCGGCCCCTCTACAAATGCCGTATAGGACTCGCTTGTATGCAGATGACTACATTCATTAGTGGAGTACTCGAGTCATTGGAGTCATGGGTTTAGGAAACGATTCCAACAAGGTATTCTGCGGATAGAGAAGACTAACTGTGAGACTCTCATCTCGGGTGGATTGTATAATTAATTACATTAATAGAGCAATAGTACCATAGTCAGATTCCAAGTCCTCAGAGAGAGTTCGGACTTTGTTACCTGAACTGATTCGAGTCAATCGACACAAAAGACTCCATTTGAAACCACTCAATCAATTCTTGATGATTCATATTCATTGAAATTGGTTTAATGACGAAAAATTGACACCTTCAAACACATATGATCATCGAATTTTACATTTACAAATCACTTCTTAACGACAGGCATCTTCTGTATGTACATGAATTAGAGAAATTCCCTGGACTTTCTTCTGAAAGCATTGCAGTCTCTTAACCACTGCTTGTAGTTCTCCAACGAATAGATTCTCTCGCCATAGTAGTCCGGGACTGGGTTGGAGAAAGACTGGGAGGATGGGTCCACTCTATATCTCTTGACTCTTTGCAAAAAGAGCAGGTCTTTTGCTCTAAACTGGGCCAAAATGTTTTTGTTTTTCAAGTTGAAGAACTCGGTTCCCAAAAATGGGCCCACAGCAAAACCAGCTACTCCTCCCAAGATCACCACACCACCCAACACCATGAATGGATCAATACCCATGATAGGCTTCTCAATATCAATTTCAACATTTCCCAAATAAGTCAAGGTAGCGAATGCACCAGCGAAAGCGGTTAATGATGACGAAAAGACATTGATTCTCTTGTTTTGCTTTCTTAACTTGAAGAAATCCACCCAGTTCATTGTGGTGGTGGAAGAGTTGAGACGAGCACTCTGCCTAGTGAGAGGCTTGTTGATAGCTCTCGCATAGATACCAATATTCTTCAACATCAACATGGTTTAGATTGATTAAGAAGAGTTGCTTCAGGAGATGAAAAATGGTGAGGATATCACTATTTGATCACGTGAGGGGTCAACTGTTAGTGTGAGACTTGCAAAACATAATGGAAGTTTGATTATTAGTTCTTCAGCAAGGTTTCATCAGCCATATCAAAAGGATTGGAATGTGATATTTGAAGAGCCGAGAGCGTGATTTCTGTTTTAACTTTCATGCCCCCCACGCTCAATAACTAACGCTGCAATTTGCCCGGTGCGAGAAGACGTAACAACAAGAATTGAAATTAAAATACTGTTTGAGACAAACGCTCTGTAGAGATATTCGTCTTGAAATTTCTATAATCAATTATCCATGACGGTGCTGAATGTTCATCCCTGGAAACATTCCCAATATCCTAGCCAATATCCTAGCAGTATCCAAGAGATCGGTTCACAAGAAGATTCAACCACTTCCAACCGAGTATCTAATGGCCTTCTGTCTGTTAATCAATAAATCTCAGTTTATAATTGCATACACTCGCCAATCGATCTTGGTGAACGTCGTCGGACTCCGATCTTTCATGTTGTCCTTAATACAAGGTGGTGAGAACAGTAAGAACTTTGAGAACGTGTACGAGGTCAAGCAATAAAACACGCCCCAAAAAACAAAAAAAAAAGCACGAATGGAAGACCACAAATCCCAAACTATTCAAGGTTTCTTAACAAATCACATTATCTTAAGCAATAGCAAGACGCTGTCTCCACACCTTCGTTATCTACCAACCACTCAAGCATGTCGCGTGTCGCATGTCGTCCCAAGCCAAAAACCGCGATTTACATGTTCACTGGAATTCATCAAAAAACTTCAGCTTTTCTCACTAGTGAAGATCAAAGTATCGGTGCACATTTCTGCCCATACATTGACCCCCAGTACACAAAACTTTGTGGATTTTCACGCGCTCAACTGACATAACCATCTTGGATACTTCGGACTGATTGTTGTTCCAGAATTCTAAGTGCTTCAACTCATCCCTTACGAGTTGGAAACCAAGTGTTTATATAAGGCCATTTACTCCCGGAATCATCTTGGGAAGTTTGGATTTGTCTACGCGTCTGGAAATGAACGGCTCCGCTCATTCCAGTGTTGCTGCCGCTGATACCAACGGCAGCGCCTCTGAATTCAAGACTGTTGTTTTTCCCAAAACAAAGCTCCAGCTCGACGATATAATATCACGTTACCAACACCTTCTTCGTCTCAGCCGAGAATCTAAAGAAAAGCATGATTCGCTCGCCAGAATCGCAGACTCCACTTATGGCCGCACGTATCAATCAGGGTTCTCCGAGTCTGAGTTCGTGGATCCTTATAAGGCGGAGAAGTTGGAGTTGGAGAAATGTTTGGCGAAAGTGAGCAAAAAATACGACGAATACATTGAGGAGGAAGAGGAGTTGTCTGCAGAGATTCTCAGCTCATTGAATGCTGCAGAAGGCTCTGATGTGGACTTGGACTTGCTTGAGAAACAAATTGTTGGTTTGCAAATGTTGTCAAGAGATATGGACTTGCCCCAAGCCTTGCAAATGGAGTATGACGATGTTTACAAGAAGACTCACACGAAGAAAACTGCTTTGGGTGACATGGTGGACCAGATTATTGAAGTTTATTTCACAAAATCTGCTACAGATGACTATTTACAAAAGGCTAAATCTGTGGGTTTGAAGTCCCCAAGATCAGTCACTTCATCAGATCCTACATCGGGTGCCGTGGGCGACTATTATGCGGAACAAATAGTAGCTAACAAGATTGCCAGTCGTGTCCAAACATTGGAGAATTTGCCAGCTAACTTGGGCTCCTTTGACCTCAGTAGTGACACTCAAGAGTCTTCTGACGAGTTGAAGATCAATGCCTTAGTTGAATTGAAATCACTTCAAGTATTGGCAGTCCAAAAGCATTTGAAGAACAATTTTCTTAGGAAAGTTGCTCTCACAGCTCACTATGACTCTGAAGACTTGAGTAACAATCCATTGTCTTTGCAAGGAAGAAGAGGTTTATACATTAGAGATAAAATTGACCAACCAAATCCACATCTCTTGGCACTGCAATTGGAGGACAAATTTAAATTGGAAGCAGAAGCCAAAAAACACAAGTTGCATGTCGAGAAGATCGAAAGAATTTTGGAAAACTCTAAAGCATTGCAAGAAGCCAAATTTTCTAAGATCAATAAGAAAGGTACTTTGATCAGATTCGTCAACAACTTCCACTCCAACACAGAGAAAGAGGAATCCAAGAAGATGGAGAAGACTGCCAAGCAACGTTTGCAAGCCTTGAAGGCCAATGACGAAGAGGCATATATCAAATTGTTAGATCAAACCAAGGATCACAGAATCACGCATTTGTTGAAACAGACCAATAGTTTCTTGGACTCTTTGGCCAAGGCAGTCAAACTTCAGCAGGCTGACTCTGACGAGGTTCAAGAAGAGGACACTGTGGACGAGTTGAGAGAGAAGATTGATTATTATCAAGTTGCTCACAGAATCAAGGAAGAGGTTAAAGAACAGCCTAAGATATTGGTTGGTGGCCAATTGAAAGAGTACCAACTTAAGGGATTACAATGGATGGTTTCCTTGTACAATAACAAGTTGAATGGTATCTTGGCCGATGAAATGGGGTTGGGAAAAACTATTCAGTCTATTTCATTAATCACATACTTGATCGAGAAGAAGAATGAAGATAAGTTCTTGGTCATTGTGCCCTTGTCTACTATTACGAATTGGACGTTGGAGTTTGAGAAATGGGCACCGTCAGTTAAGGTTATTGTTTACAAAGGCTCTCCACAGCAACGTAAGGAGTTGCAGTTTGAAATCAGAACTGGTAACTTCCAAGTGATGTTGACTACTTACGAATATATCATCAGAGAAAGACCAATGTTGTCCAGATTCTTCTACTCGCACATGATTATTGATGAAGGTCACAGAATGAAGAATACTCAATCCAAGTTATCCATGACTTTAAAGCAATATTACAAGACCAAGAATCGTTTGATCTTAACCGGTACTCCCTTGCAGAATAATTTGCCTGAATTGTGGGCATTGTTGAACTTCGTCCTCCCCAAGATTTTCAACTCCGTGAAGTCCTTCGATGAATGGTTCAATACTCCTTTTGCTAATACCGGATCACAAGAAAAGATTGAATTAACTGAAGAAGAGAGTTTGTTGATTATCAGAAGATTGCATAAAGTCTTGAGACCTTTCTTGTTGAGAAGATTGAAGAAGGATGTCGAGAAGGACTTACCTGATAAGGTTGAGAAGGTGTTGAAGTGCAACTTGTCGGGATTACAGCACATTTTGTATCAGCAAATGTTAAAACATAATGCCTTGTTTGTTGGTTCTCAAACTAGTGGAACCAACAACAAGTCCGGAATTAAGGGTTTGAACAACAAAATCATGCAATTGAGAAAGATTTGCAACCACCCCTTCGTTTTTGAGGAAGTGGAAGACATTTTGAACTCAACTAGACTCACAAACGATTTGATTTGGAGAAGTTCTGGTAAATTTGAATTGCTTGACAGAATCTTACCTAAATTCAAGGCAACCGGTCATAGAGTATTGATTTTCTTCCAAATGACTTCAGTGATGAACATTTTTGAAGATTTCTTGCGTCTCAGAGACATGAAGTACTTGCGTTTGGATGGTGCTACAAAGGCTGAGGATCGACAAGATATGTTGAAGGCTTTCAACCGCCCAAATTCTGATTACTTTTGTTTCTTATTGTCTACCAGAGCTGGTGGTTTGGGTTTGAACTTGCAAAGTGCTGATACTGTTATCATCTTCGATACTGACTGGAACCCTCATCAAGACTTGCAAGCGCAGGACAGAGCTCACAGAATTGGACAAAAGAATGAGGTGAGAATCTTGAGATTGATCACAAACGATTCCGTGGAAGAGGTCATTTTGGAGAGGGCCCACCAAAAGTTGGATATTGACGGAAAGGTCATTCAAGCTGGTAAGTTCGATAACAAGTCTACAGCCGAAGAACAGGAAGAGTTCTTGAAACGTTTGTTAGACGCTGAGCAAGGTGATAACGAAAATGAAGAGAATGATTCTTTGGATGACGAGGATTTGAATGATATCTTGGCCCGTTCAGAAGAAGAGAAGCAGTTGTTCAACGAAATGGATACCGAGAGATTGATTCAAGAAAAGCTCCACAGCAGACAAGGAGGCTACACAAATAGATTGATGTCAAAAGAGGAATTGCCTGAAGTGTTTACTGAGGACATCTCGCATCACTTTGAAAAGGATGTCAAGGAGTTGGGTAGAATGAGAGAAAAGAAGAAGGTGAAGTATGATGATGGTTTGACTGAGGAGCAATGGTTGATGGCAATGGATGACGATAATGATACCGTGGAAGATGCCATCCGTCGTAAAGAAGAGAAGCGGGCCAGAAGAAAGAGAAAGCAGGGATTGGGCGAAAGCACCGAGCCTGAAGATCTCGAGGATGATGATGACGAGGAGGAACCCAGAAAGAAGCGCAGATCAAATGGACACACAGAAAATGACTACGAAGATGGACCAGTTGATCCGTTGACTACCAAATGTGAGGGCGTGCTTGAGGAAATCACGGCACTTCAAGCAGAGGATGGACACGGAGTCGCAGACATTTTCTTGAAACTTCCTTCAAAGAAAATGTATGCTGATTATTACAAGGTCATCAAAAAGCCTACCGCCATCAGCCAAATTCGCAAGCATCTCACTCAAGAAAAATTCGATTCATTTGAGCTGTTCCTTGATGAGATCAGACTCATGTGTTCGAACGCCAAAATTTATAATGAAGAAGGTTCGTGGGTTTACAATGATGCTGTGACCATTGAGCAGTTTATTGATGGGCTTGCATAAGGTAATGTATAATAAATAGAAATATCTGTATCAGTATTCAAGGTGTAGGCGTATTCGAATGTGTATGGTGAGCCTATGCACAATGACATATTCAATAGGTGGCTTGATTAACCTTGTACGATAAATGCGACAAATCAGGATGCTGGACCGAACCTTAGAAATTACGACATAACGAGACGGAGTCTCTTTGCCAATTGAGTAGTCACGCCTCCCTTTTTGCCGAAGTACATTCTTCCTTGAATAGTAAATGTTCCTGATATAGACAAATGGTCCGCACGTGCTGTCTCCAGCTCAGCCAATGGCGTTGGCGGAGATCCAGCTTACAATGTGTCAATGCAGAACCGCACCTAAGAAGTGTTGGAGAACATGGACATGAAACGACGTAAAAGAGGAGAAAACCGAGAATGATAAAAAAAAGAATGTTGATCACTTCAGATCAGGTGCAATTGGGCTCAAAAAAATTCAAAAAGCAAGTCCATTATCAACTTTTCCATCTAATGGGCCTGGTCCCCAATCATTAAGTCATCCTCATTACAAATGTGGATGTCATTGCGCTGGTCTGGACCTCATATCCTGTGTAATGGTGGGGAATCTTTTATATATAAAGCATCGATTCCCCACATGTAGTTCAGCCTGTAACGATGTCCGCATTTGCAATCAGACAATCTACCTTCAAGACGTTCAAGGGCAAGAGCTTCCTCTTTGGAGTGGCCGGTGCCGGAGTCTTGACTTATTTGTACAACAACAACTTCAGCAACAATAACAATAACAAGAATAAGAACTCGAACAACACCGTCAAGGCGTTATTTGGTGGCGCTACTGCGGGCAGAGCAGCCTCAGTGCCTGATGGAAAGACTTTCAAGGACTACCAAGGTGTTTACAATGACATTGCTGCTAAAGTGAGAGAAGATGACGATGTTGATGATGGTGCTGGTCGTTACGGTTTATTAACGCGTCTTGCATGGCATTCGTCTGGTACTTTCGACAAGAAGACTAAAGCTGGTGGTTCTTATGGTGGTACTATGGTCTACGCTCCAGAAGCCACCGACGGTGAGAATGCCGGCTTGGAAGTGGCCAGAGACTTCTTGTATGAATTCGATGTCAAGTACCCATGGCTCTCTAGAGGAGACTTGTGGACTTTGGGTGGTGTGGTCGCAGTACAGGAAAGTGGAGGTCCTAAGATCAAGTGGAGACCAGGTCGTGTCGACTCCACCGACCGTAGTCTTGTTCCTAAGAACGGTTTTTTGCCAGATGCCTCTAAGGAGGACGCCAAGTACGTGAGAGGTGTGTTCAGTAGAATGGGTTTCTCTGATCAGGAGACCGTTGCTTTGATTGGTGCTCACTGTTTGGGTCGTTGTCACGTTAACAGATCTGGTTTCGACGGTCCATGGAGTAACTCGTTCAACATGTTCACCAACGATTTCTACGTCCAGTTATTGGAGGGCTGGCATATCAGAAAGTGGGGCGGTAAGAGACAATATCAGGATGACGACTCCAATCAACTCATGATGTTGCCAACCGACATGGTATTGAAGACCGATAGTCTGTTTGTGAAGTACGTCAAGCAGTACGCTAAGGACCAAGATTTGTTCTTCTCGGACTTCTCTAAGGCATTTACCAAGTTGCTTGAGAACGGTATTGACTTCAAGGGCAAGGAACACTGGGAGTTCAAGACCTTGGATGAGCAGGAGGAGTAAGATTGTATAGATAAGTTCAATTGGGTCATAATATATGCCTCTCTAAAGCTGATTTTGAAACCTTGAAAGAATCGATTTAAATCAATCTTTCAAAGAGTATATTCTTAGAATTAGTCAAAAAATGTTGTGAAACAATTTGAAGTGTTTGTAGACTTATTATAACATCCGTAAGCTTTTTAGCAGCCATTCAAGTGGGCTATCAGTGCAGGAGAAGAGGACCTGGATTGATCATTATACACCGCTTCAAATCTGTAATTTGACTTGTTTTATAGGTAAATTCTTGGGGCCCCGTAGTATTAATCTGCTTCTTGGTTTTGAATTAGAACATTTAGTGACGTAATCTCGAGCCTGTGAGGTTACCTCAAACTCTTAAACTTGGTTTAGAAAAAACACTCACTTATACGCTACCTGGGGTACTGTTAATGAGAACAATTCCAGATTAACACTCCAACAAACCCACATTTGTGATGACCCTTCACTACTTTACATAACAAGGAATTTGATGTTGGCTGCCATATAAAATTATTAGAATTCGTCCATTGATGATTAAACCTCACTTTCATTTCCTACCTAAATTACGGATTTACTTCCATTTCAAATTCTGTCATCTGCAAAACTTCCTTAATTAGTTTTTCATCCTTAACTGTTTATCTTAGCGGAAAACTACTGTATCTGAAAAAACAGTCACTTAATCACGTGCCCAAGTGCCAGTAAAAATTTCCAGCTTCCCATCGTTCGTCCTGCACACGCGCTTTCTCTCTGCTCGCAAACTTTTTCTCTATATATTCTCAAACCTTTCCATAAAGTTTTTTTTTTTCACCACCAACACAATGAAGTACATCCAGACCGATCAAATCTTGGAGATCCCAGAGGGCGTTACCGTCGACATCAAGGCTAGAACCGTCAAGGTTACCGGCCCAAGAGGTGAGTTGACCAAGGACTTGAAGCACATTGACGTTACCTTCCAGAAGGTTTCTGACAAGGCTATCAAGATTACCGTCCACAACGGTGACAGAAAGCACGTTGCTGCTTTGAGAACTGTTAAGTCCTTGATCGCTAACTTGATCACTGGTGTCACCAAGGGTTACAAGTACAAGATGAGATACGTCTATGCGCATTTCCCAATCAACGTCAATGTTGTTGAGATTGACGGCCAGAAGTTCATTGAGATCAGAAACTTCTTGGGTGAGAAGAGAGTTAGACACGTCAAGGTCTTTGACGGTGTTGACGTTGAGAACTCCAAGACTCAGAAGGATGAGTTGGTTGTCTCTGGTAACTCTTTGGAGGCTGTTTCCCAGAACTGTGCTGACGTCCAGCAGATCTGCAGAGTCAGAAACAAGGATATCCGTAAGTTCTTGGATGGTATCTACGTTTCCGAGCGTGGTTTGATTGAGGATGCTTAAGCGGTTGGTTTTTTATCAAAACCTTAATACATTTTCTAAAAAGTTCATTTCAGGGATTTATAGTTTCAATACGGTTGATTGCTTTACCCTGTCTCATGTGGATTTGTTATTGAGCTCACCAGAATATAGAGCCACCAACGATCTACTGTAGGAATGAGACTCGGATTGTCGCTAGCATTTTTGCGTAAAACCAGTGGTTGTAGCATCTGTGGCTTTGACCTTCTGGTTTGTGTGACAATCTGAGTTTTTAGCCCGTGTCGTTTTAATGTCCTGATGTTAAGAGGTTGGTGCTTCTTCACATGAGGTCAAGCGAGCGACCAGTACGAATATAACTAGCATAACATAGGCCCGATTTTGAAATCAGCGGTATGAAATTTGCCGGAGATTTGATCGTTGTCTAATACTGAGCCGGTTTCGCCCATATTTCCAGTCATATTCTTCTCCTTCCCCAGCTCTGGTTGACTCCTGTATACTAAATGATTTCCACACCTCTTTGGAGTTAGAACTATACCTACTAATCACTCTAAAATGCCCCCAAAAGTTGCATTTCTAGGTCCTCTAGGGACGTATACCCATCAGGTATGTATTTTTCGCTGTTTTTTGCGCCGACGTGTGCATTGCAACTTTCATTTTCCCGAATTATCAATCAACAGAAACTAACATTCAGGCTGTAATTCAACAATTTGGTGTTAACGAAACTGATGTGGAAATACAACCACAAGCATCAATAGGAGCATGTTTTGAACAACTTCACTCCAGAAGTGTCGACTTCGCTGTTGTTCCCTTCGAGAACTCAACAAACGGACAAGTGGTGTTTACTTACGATTTACTTAGAGATTGGCTCATGCCCAAGGAAGGAAGAGAGCCTGCTCAATTTCGTGTCGTTGCGGAACAATTCGTGGCTATTCACCATTACCTTCTTTCAAATGCCGAAGATCTTAGCAAAGTCACCAACCTATATTCACATCCACAAGTTTGGGGACAGGTAACAAAGTTTCTTAGCCTGGACGTCTTGCCAGGTAAATATTCCAAGATCGACACTTCATCTACAGCTCAAGCAGCTGAGTTTGTGAAAAGTGACGACACCAACACCTCGGCATGCATCAGCTCCCAAACTAGTGCACATCTCTATGGTGTTCCTATTAAGGCTGCGGCCATTGAGGATTTTAAGGGAAACACTACAAGATTTTTGGTATTGGGCTACTCAGATAAAGAAATTGAACATGGTGAAGATGGAGAAAAGCCCAATCTAGGAACTCCAATCGATTCAAGTCCAGATAGGAATCTGGATTCTGAAGAAATCAATGACATTACCCTTCTCATGTTTGTATTGAACGCTGACGACCCAGGAGCCCTTTGTCTGGCTCTTGGAGCATTCCAGAAGAACAATGTGAACCTCACCTCTATTTCATCCAGACCTTCAGGTAGGACTCGCTGGCAGTACATTTTCTACTTGGAAGCAGCCGGGAACGCTAAGAATGAAGCCATGCATGCAAGCATTAACTTGCTCAAGCCTCATTGTACGCAGTTGGCAATTGTGGGAACGTTTGCCAGATCCTGGAGATATGGAGAGCAAGAATGAGATTGTCTCTAATCTTGTCTTCTCTTGAACTCACAAGAACGATAGAATAAAACATTATTATAGCATTAGTCTACCATTTATCTTAGCCAATTGAACCTTAAAGATACGACCTCGTATTAATGGGATCAAAGGGTCGCTTGTGTGAACAAGCACAAAGATAAGTAGTGATTCTACAATGATATTTAACATGGACATAGCATTAAAAAGTACCCAATTCCTAACTCAGTATCGCAACCACATAATGCGATCCCAGAACCACCATTTCAACTCATGTGCCAAACTTCTGGAATGTCCATTCTTTGTTGTCCAATGGACAAACCCGTCTAGACTTCAACCATCTCTCGATACAATGCTTGTGGAAGGCGTGATTGCACACTCCCCATGCGGCAATACACTCCTCTGATGTTTTGTTGATGTTGTTTGGCTGGCATTCAATACATGGCTCCATCAAATGGTTACGACAAATAGCGCATGTTTCCACCACTATATCCCACGACCAGAACGCCACAGCGGTCCATTTCTTCACCTCAAACCTCTGCTTTCTTTTACTTTCGGTCTCTTCAGGTTGTTCACCGGGCCGGCTGTCGATGTCTATGCGATCATCTTCATTCATTTTGGTGGGGAGTTGAAGATGCTGTTGAGAATGTTAGTAATATGTACTGTAAGAGTGCAGATAAGCGACATACGTTTACATTTTGACTCATGGACTGTGGTAGTTAAGGTGAAAAAGGAGATGGCCTTTAGTTAATTGGAAGATTTTGCATTTGGTTAATTGGTTTGTTTTAAAACACATATTTCGCCTCTTTTCGTCTTTTCAGGTTGCCACACCAATCAACACTCACTTCTAGTGTTTGAGCGGAATGTTAATACAAAACTGTCCAATCGCTCTGATTCCGAGGGAAGAAAAAAAATCGCATACTTTAATCAATTACCCCCAATGAACTTCGACGGACCAAAAGTTCTTTAGCCCATTTTCTATATGGTACCGTAGTCACTAATATATAGCTAACGGTTGTGGTGGTGTACGGGTCTTGACTTGTTTTGTTAAACCAACTGAATCAATCTATGAAACACACCCATCTTCGTCACAATGGCCGACGATCTCATATCTTCGCTCTACCCTCCGCCTCCACCATACTTCAAGTATTTCACAGACGATAATGTGACTAAATTTGAGGAATGGAAGAAAACAGAATCTGAAGGGTTGCCAAAAGGAGAATTGAGCCTCCAAGTTCCGCCTGAAGTGCCGCTGGGCGATCAATACAGAGGATATGGAAGTATTTGGGCGTTAGAGAACAAATTGCCTTCACTCAAAGAACTGGGATGGCGTCAACTATACAACGACCACGATGAAACTATCACCTCCAAGCAAAAGATTGACGAGCTTCACAAACTACTAGATTCCCTCTTGTTAAATTTCCTTGAACTTGTGGGTCTTATGTCTGTGGAACCAGCAAAATTCTACGTAAAAGTTGAAGACTTGAAACTCATATTGATAAACATCAATCACTTGCTAAATACATACAGACCGCATCAAACGAGAGAGAGTTTGATTATGCTCTTGAAGAAACAGATTGAGAGCAAAAAAGCTGAAATTCTGGAAATTGACAAAGTAACTGCTGAAGTTAAAGAAAAAATTTTAGGATTGGTACTGAATGGGGAGATAGCTCACCTTCAGGAAAGGAGGAATGATATATCAGAAAGTGGTGAACACGAAGAGCAGATGAAGAAGCTACAGCTTCTCCGCGAGCTTATGGAAGAGCAGAAAAAATAATATACGGATATAAATAAAATCAAATAACAGAAATTAAAATCATTCGTGTTAAATATATGCTGGTTGACACTTAGAATAGGTCTAGAAGATCGTCATTGATGTTGGTACTTGTTTGTGAGCTCTTGTTTTTCTGGCCAACATTCATATTGGAAAATTCACTCGACATTTGGTTCACATTGGGCGCCAGTGTTGAAGCGCTGTCAAATAAATTCAAGATATCATTTGTAGAAGATTGCACGGCTGGTCCTTGCTGGCTCTGCTCAATGGGCACAGGCTGCACTGAGAAGAGATCGTTTAACTCATCCAAAATGGAAGCCGAACCAGAGGACTTGGTGAGATCAACTTGTTCATCATCGTCATCAAAGTTGAGAAGGTTCTCGTTACGAGAATTGTTGATTATCTCCTGCTTTGCCAAATTGGTCAAATCCTTAAGATTGGATTTGGTAGATGCTCTTCTTGATGAGGTCCTTGCTTCAATGTGTGAGTAGGCATCAGGATCAATGAACGTAGAGGCCGGCTTGTGGTAAACAGACGACAAAGTGGCCAACTCGTTGATCAACGCATCCAAAAGAACAGGATTGAACGAAGAAATTATAGTTTTGATAGGAGGGAGGTGTGAAGCAATAATGCTCTGTTGTGCCTCCGTGGATGATGAAGATAACAAACGCCAGTAGATGTACGCCTTGTCTCTGACATCAGCATTTTCGCATTCTACCGTTGCCTTCTCCAATACGGTCTGTAAGAACAGAGAACAGCCTGCGTTTGGCAAAGCTAAATTGATCTTCACCACTGCAGTTAAAATATTAAGTTGCAACAAGGAGTCGTAGTCAAGGAAGTTCTCAACAAGGACCTGCAACTTATCTTTCAACAGAGAAAAGTACTTTGGATACTCACCCAACAAAAATACGTATCCCGACAAGGCATTAGTTTCTGTGAGTTCATCGATTTGGTTGGAGATGACAGGCACAATAAGAGTGATCAAGTCATTCTTTCCGGGGTATCTTCTGAGAATCTGAGTCAATACACTAACACACTCATTAATAACCAAATCACCGCCTCTCTGGTCAATAAGCGAGATCAAAAGGTTCACAGCATGAATGACTGAAGACGCCAACTTGATAGCTACAGCACCAATAGCATTAATAGACTTAGTGACAAGCATAGGTTCCACCTCCATGGCATACTCTTTCAACTCACCCAAAAGCAAGGCGCTATTTGCCTCTGAGGCCAACCGAATGACAATCTCGAGCTTTTCAAGCTTCAAGTACAATGGATCTGAGTACTTAATGAAGAAAACACGAAGCTCCTTCAGCAAAACTTGAGGATACTTTTCCAAAATGATTCTGATATTCTTTAAGCCAACATATTGGGCCTCTGGGATCGAAGAAGAGACAAGCGAAACCATTGGGGCAGACAACTTTTTCAAAAAAGTAGTACGCTGCGCCTGGTTGGCCAAACCGTCCAAGTGGTGAATCACCACCTTGATGGACAGCAAAACCACCGAAGGGTTCACGTGCTGTAGTTGTGGAATGCATCTCTCGATAATGTGCAACGTCTCATCAGTGTCTGCGGCGGTGTAGTCAGCCAAACAAGTCAAGATGGTGATTCTGCCCCATTCGGTACATTCGTTCAAGCACGCCAAAAACACCTTCACCATTTCCTTATCCACGACTAAAACCTCCAAGCTGGGATCCCTGTTCATGTCTCTGATCTCAAATAATGCATTCAATGCATTAGCGACCACCATCGGGTTGGAGTCGGTGATCAATTTCTTAACCTCGTCCAAAAATCCAAACTCAATACACATTTCTGGATTCAAGTCAAACAACTTGGCCACACAGATAGCAGCCGTCTTTCTCACGTACGGATTGTCGTCCAGCAATGTGCGTCTGAGTGGGATTTCCATATAATCCACCATTTTGTCGACACGAATACATCCCATGGTTCTGATTGCTAATGCTCTCACCAATGGATTGGGATCTTCTGTATCTTGAACGAAAGTGTTCACCGCCAAAATACACAACTCAGGGTGCAGCTTGGCGTAGTTCATCAAGTACAAGTACACCAACTTCTTCTGCTCCAAGTCGTAGGTGGCGATGTTCTTCAAGACATCTGGGAATAATGCCGAGACGTCTTTGCCCACGGTCATGGCCTGAATCACTCTCTGGATTGCATCTTTCCGCTCAAATTTGTACTGGGAGACCAATCCACTCTTCAACTCGTAGGTTTCACCCTTTTTGGGGCCCTTAAGGAAGTTGATGATTTTCTTTTCCAACGACATTAGTGATTTAAATGTTGTTGTAACGTTTGAGATTCAAGTGAGCGTGAACTTCCGAGGGTACCCTCGGAAATGGTCGGGTGGCTTTCGTACTTGGAACCTTGCAAAAAATACTATACATTCTCTATTATCGTTAGAATCTAATATAGTAATTGGGTTAGAATATTGATGGAGATGTATCTAAATCGTTCCGTATTGTATCAAGTATGGATAGTTAAGAATAGTCTTTTGACATACTCAGTCACGTGATTTTATTGTTACATGTAATCTTAAACTAGAGATTAATTTTGGATATGGACTAATCAATAGTATCATAGGCGTCTTTGATATCTTCTAAACTTATTTACTTAATAAGGATTTTCATTAAGGGGTGTTTTCTGGAAATGTGTAACTAGAATGTTGTTGCAATTATAGCGGCCGCTATAACTGTTGCTCCGGAACAAAGTTAATAGTTGGCCAGATAATCATTTGACTGACCGAAACTTTCAGTTACGGTTCTGATTCGTTGTGAATAGATCGAAGAGCGAAGTCTTAGCGACTTTTAGCATGTTTCCAAAAGTCTGAGATCCTTTGTTTGATTATCTTCTCGTACTCCACGACAGTCTGCGACTCTACTCATAGGAAGGTGTTTGATATCAATGCAGGGCTGGATAAAAGAGAAGGCTATAATTTCATATCAATTACAAGAGGATTATACATGGTGAGGTTAAAATATCTGGAATTGCTGTTGATAACCTTGTGATTCTGGCCAGTGTGTGACATGACTCAAATTTGGCCACAAACGCTTGAATTCGGTCCTCAAACCTTTTGTAATCCATCCTGCAGCTCTTATGTCATTATCAAATTTGTGTCCCATAATTTAAAACACTCGATCCACAAGCAGCCAACCTCTTTGTTGCTCGCAGGAAACAAGACATGCCGAAAGTGGAGGTATAACATTTCTCCGTGGATATAAGTGTATGTGAGACAATCGCTTCTTCACTGTACAGTGCCTGCTGCAATCTCGTACCTACGTAGACTATAAAATCATAAATTATTCACTTCCGAAGGGTCCGACAGTTTTGCACCCATTTGAGATTTCAGTCCAATTCAGTCGAACATATCCAGACCAAGAATGACAGAGTTTCAACAGATGGCAATCGGTTCAATATAATTATCTCTTTCAGCGCAAAACGAAAGTGAGACGCTTTTCCGAAATATACTTCTTGCTTTTGAAGCAACCTTTTCACCCGGTAATGCCGTTCAGTAGAGCACATTACTGAAATCATGCTCGGGAGGTCACCGGTTGCTCGGTAATTAACAACGCAGCCGTATATAATGGTACAAATACCTGAATTACTGTCTGTGGCTATCCTTCTCGATCACACCATGGCTAAGCAAAGATCAACATTCACTAAACTCTACTATTTCTACATCTACACCACTCCAATCGGAACCATGACAACTGGAGAGACGATCATATTTAATTTAGTTGTATTATCCTCGTTGTTTCTCATCTGTTATTGGGCAATTGCCATATTTCCCTCCTGGGTGATGTCAATTAGCAGAATTGTGTACCACTACCTAATTGGAAGTACCATGCCATTCAGTTTGGCCCTATTGTTATCTTGCAGTTTTAAGTTTCCTTCAAAATTTTTGTCAAACTCCAACGTCACAAGGATGGAACGCCAATGATTGAGAGCATGGTCGAATTTATACTTTACTATTTTGCAGGTCATCATAGTCGTTTCACGTATATAAATACGAAAGTCAACATATCAGTTTAGTATACTTATCCAAATAATTTCCAATCTTTCACATCAAGTGAAATTGCCGACTCCTTGACTTGTTTGTAGCATTCGCTGATTATCGATTGGTCTTGATTCATCACAGACGATACCTCTTTCTGAAATAACTCTTGAGTGACCTCTCCATTGGTCTCCAATGGTACATTCATGGTCACTAAGAAGTCAGTGGCAACTTTTTCAAGTCTGATCAAAAACAAAAACATAAACAATTTGACATGTTCGGTCTCTTGCTTGGAAGGTAGTGGCTTCACAAGAAAAGTGTGCATTTCACAGCGCAAAACAGGATGCTCCATTGACTCCAATGGAGCGATATTCGTAGCTGGGCCCTCGAGAATATCGTCCAAATGAACTGCGATCACCTCAGGCAAACTGCTGGCATTGACTCTCTCGAGCAAGTCAAATATGATGGATTGATCTAAACCATTTGGTTTCTCCAATAGGAAAACCTCCTGAGTGTCTGGGATCTGACGGAATTCAGAGACATCAATGGCTCCCTGAGGCAAATCGGCGGTTATAGCGCCTCCATAAAGTTGAGTCATGAAGAAGATGGAGTAGGAAACTGAATTGGGGAAACTGCACATTATATGTATACTAGGATGAGCTGGGTTACCAATCCAAGTTGGACTTCATTTTAGCAAAACGAACGCAGCATGGATCCAAATGATTAAAAGAACTGTTGTCTAATTATTCATATTTGAGTTTTCGGTCCGAAAACAAATTTTGAGATCTCGTTGAATTATCAGATCTCCATTTGCTAGCAACACATACTGAAGAATGGCGGCATGTACTTATTAAAAATTCAATCTCTGTTCCAACAAGTTCTCTATCCACTAGACCATCATTGTTGTCTCTTTCGATCATACTCTCTATTGGTATTCGTGAAATTGTATTACCTCTGGATCGTGTTTATAGCCTTTGGTGTGCATGTAAGTCATCCATCCCAAGTGACGTCAAAATGATGATGACTTATCGAAGACTCCAGGCCCACCAAGAGAGGATAATGAAATAGATCGACACGTATAAATTACACATGCAAAAAAAAAAAATTGGAATTTCCATCATTTGTGATTATGTCAAGTTCGACAACCTCGTCTTAACATTTTCACCTAGTCGTGGTACTCCTGTAGATCTAGGGCGCGCGGTTTTTCGGTCAAACTTTATTGAAACCACTCGTCTATCACATCTTCATGAAACAGGGGTCCATAAGTGGGCGAAGACGCCCCCTTCTAATCACATTCATTGTGGTCGCCCTTCTCGTGGTCATTACCCGCTTTGTGACGTTGAAGTCCGCCACAGCGTTGGATTTGGATAAGTCAGGAATCTTTTCGATGATGTATAACGAAAACGACAAGAAACAAGAGGAGTTCTTGAAGAAGTTGGAAAAAATGCAGCTGCTGTTTTACGCAAAGCAGGAGGAACGTCTTGCCAACTTGGAGAGACAAAATGAGATCTTGCTCGAGCAGGTGCGTCTGTTAAAAGTTCCTCCTAAGGAAATGTCTATTAGAGACAAGTTGGTGTATATGACTCCCTACGACCCCAAGTGCAAGTTCCCCGCGTACATTTGGCAGTCATGGAAACATGGTTTGAATGATGACAGATTCGACGAGGCTTACAAGGAGGGACAAGCTCAGTGGGCGTTCAAGAACCCTGGGTTTGTTCATGAGTTGTTCAATGACGACACCAGTTATACGGTCATCAGACACTTGTATTTGTATGTTCCTGAGGTTCTTGAAGCATACGAGAGCTTGCCTGAACTCATTCTCAAGATGGACTTCTTCAGATACTTGATCTTGTTTGCTAGAGGCGGTGTCTATGCAGACGTCGACACCTACCCATTACAGCCTGTGCCCAACTGGATTCCGGAGAATGTTTCGCCTACAGAACTCGGTTTGATCATCAGCGTGGGCACGGATTCTAGCTCGCCCAACTGGAAACAGGAAAATCATCGCCGGTTGGAGTTTGGACAGTTCGTAATCCAGAGTAAGCCTGGACATCCAATCTTGAGAGAGATCATTGCACAAATCACCGACAATACACTCAGAAGAAAGCTGGAGTTGAAGGACGGTGAGCGTCTTGGTTTGTCCACTTCCCCAAATCAGAGACAATTGGACATTTCTAGATGGACTGGTGCAGGTATCTGGACGGATGTGGTCATGGGTTACCTCAATGACTACGTGAAGTCATCGATATACCAGTCAGTGTCGTGGAGAGAGTTCCATGCGTTGGATGTTCCAAAGTTGGTGAGTGATATCTTGGTTTTGCCAATTAAGTCTTTTGCATCCGATCTCGAAATTCCTAAGGACAACAAGGTGAGCGACCCGATTGCTTTTGTCAAACATTATATGGCAAGCATTTGGAAGACCACCTAGCATTAATAGAGGAGATTGGGGTAGTATATAGTCTGTATCGAAAGGGGACCTGGATAAGATGTAGTAGAAGAGGCAGGGGTTGTAGATGAGAGCCTAAGAAATGAGTCTGTTCTCAGTAAGGTATATTTGGTGTGATCGGGAGATGCGATTGCTGTTATTTCAGGAGGATCGTGAAGGATTCTCGAACAATAGATTATGTATTTGGATTGTGGTTGAAGAGAAGGGGAGACAACTGATGAGTTTGGCAATTTTCTGTAACCCGTTGTGGTTTGCAGAACTTGAAGAATACCAGTCCTCTCCCGGATCAAAGAATGGTCTGAGGTGTCCTCCAACTACTTAACTATTTCAATGCCAGCAACTTCTTGTATTACGCATAGTATTAAGTGATATCAGATTTTTAACATTCACGTCTTGAGGAATAAATAATTCAGGTATCTCATAAAGAGTAGAATAGTAAGAAGGTTTCGTCTATAGTAAAAGAATCAGTGAAGATTCCATAGTAGAATTAGTCAAAAGAAATAGAAATCGAGTTTGAATAAGGCAATTACAAAAATGTTGAAGAAATACTTGGTATCTACGGCAATTCTCCTATTGTGTGGTTAATAGTTTACATTGCTCAATTTGATCATTTAAATAGAAAAAAAATTATCAGATTTGCACTTGTTTGTTTCTCTCTGTTATCAAGAGAATGCGTTGACTCTTTATCCGAATCTGACAACCAAAACCACCATAAACTACAAACATAACTACGAATAAAATCCAATATCGTACAAAAAACCACAATTCTATAAAAAAAAATAGGAAATCATACTCTAAAAATGCATGTCAGCATCAAAAATATTAATTTCACCATATTAAATGGCAAAATTGATCTTTCATAGATATTGATCTCTTTATCGCTTGTATATAGCACATGGCACTATCAGTTGTGACTCATTCGCATCTAATCCCCGGAATTGATGTACGGATTCCTCCATGGTTAGTTCCGATGTACATTTGTGTCGGAGAATTTCCACCTCTGTCGCCTATCTACAGTGTATTACCTATTTTTCTTTTCACTAAACTAAAAATGGTTCAAAAAGTACTCTTGTTGGGCTCTGGTTTCGTTGCCAAGCCAACCGTGGACATTCTCTCCAAGACTCCAAACGTCGAGGTTACTGTTGCTTGCAGAACCTTGTCTAAGGCTCAGGAATTGGCTGGTGATGTTGCAAAGGCCATTTCTCTTGATGTTACCGATGAGAAGGCTCTTGACGAGGCTGTTGCTCAATATGACTTGGTAATCTCATTGATTCCTTACATTTACCATGTTCTTGTTGTTAAGGCTGCTATTAAGAACAAGAAGCATGTTGTCACTACATCTTACATCAACCCTAAGTTGAAGGAGTTGGAGCAGCAAATTGAGGATGCTGGCATTACCGTCATGAACGAGATTGGTTTGGACCCAGGTATTGACCATTTGTATGCCGTCAAGACCATTGAGGAGGTGCACCAAGCTGGTGGAAAGATCAAGTCTTTCTTGTCTTACTGTGGTGGATTGCCATCTCCAGAGGACTCCGACAATCCTTTGGGTTACAAATTCTCGTGGTCTTCTAGAGGTGTCTTGTTGGCATTGACCAACTCTGCTTCCTACTGGAAAGATGGTAATGTTGAGAACGTTAAGTCTGAAGACTTGATGGCTACTGCTCAACCATACTTCATCTACCCAGGTTTTGCTTTCGTGGCTTACCCTAACAGAGACTCCACCACCTACAAGGAATTGTACAATATCCCAGAAGCTGAGACAGTCATCAGAGGTACCTTGAGATTCCAGGGTTTCCCTGAATTCATTAAGGTGTTCGTTGACTTGGGTTTCTTGAAGGAGGCCGAGCACCCAGCCTTCAAGACCGCTCTTCCATGGAAGGAGGCCTTCGCTCAGTTGATTGGTGCTACTTCCAGCTCCGAGAAGGACCTTGTGGCCAAGATCTCCGAGCTGGCCACTTTCAAGGACGAGGCTGATAAGACTAGAATCATTGCTGGTTTAAAGTGGTTGGGTTTGTTCTCCGACAAGACCACCACCCCTAAGGGCAACCCATTGGACACCTTGTGTGCTACTTTGGAGGAATTGATGCAGTATGAGGAGGGTGAGAGAGACTTGGTCTGCTTGCAGCACAAGTTCGGCATTGAGTGGGCTGACGGTACTACAGAGACCAGAACCTCGACCTTGGTTGACTACGGTGATGTTAATGGCTACTCTTCTATGGCCAAGTTGGTTGGTGTTCCATGTGCTGTCGCTACTCAACAGATCTTGGATGGTACTTTGTCCCAGAGAGGTTTGTTGGCTCCAATGTCTTCTAAGATCAACGATCCAATCATGAAGACCTTGAAGGACGACTACGGTATCTTCTTGGTCGAGAAGACCATTTCTTAGATTTGTGAATAGTTATGAATCGTTTGATACGTCTTTTATTCTAACAAACCGATTTCTGATCACTTACTGGCAACCAGAATTGATTGCAATGTCGATTAGTCGTCATCCCAGTCGGACTCATCTTCGTATCCCGTGGTGTACTCTTCGATGAGTGTAGAAATGTCCTCTATCAACTCAGACTTTTCCCCGATAATTTCAAAATGAGCTGGAAGTCGAACCCTTTGGATGATTTTTCGGTACTCTTTGAGAGATTCTTTGAGAGATGCACTCTGTCCAAACTCGACCTGATACTCTCTATCAATAATAGAAGGGAACGTGTCGAGTTCAGTGATATGGTCCATAGTTCTATTGACATAAACGTCATCTTCGCTCTCAAAATGAGATTTCGATATAATGGTACTTTTACCAATTTTCTTAGAGATTCTTGGAGTCGAAAATCCAAGGCTAAGAGATTGGTCCGACTTTTCAGCGTCTGTTCCTTTTGCGCTAGCACTGGCATCCACGCTGAGATACATATCCATGATATTAACGTCGCTGACAATGCCAAAGTTTGCTGCTGATTTGTCCAATTTGTTCCGTGTATCTTCTGTAAGCGAAATTTCGTTAACGATATTACGTTGGCTGAATCCTTGGAGTATGTTGGCTTCTATTTCGGCCATCCTGACCAGATTCTCAAGCTGGCTATTGAGCCCCCATATAGAATCGACAAATAAAGACTGAGCTGCTCCTTGGTGCCAGAGGCTGGTCTTGTCGAAGTTTTCGTTGAGGAAAGAGGTGTGGTCAACAGGTCTGAGAGGAATGAATAAAGTGCTACTCTTTGAAAGCTCAATAATAGACTTTATTCTCGTCAATGGGTTTTCCTTTGGTGATAGAAGCCCATAACACCATAAATTGTATTTGCTGTTAACTCCATTATTGAAGTACTCATCTTTCAACAGCACAATCATCTCATTAGTGAATCCTCCCCAAGCATTGTCCACTTCACTAAAAAAATTAATTCCTTGGATATTATCCAGGCCCTCAAGGTTCTTACGGAATGCATCATCACAAACATCAAAGAGGAGCTTGAACTCTTGCTCTCCATATTGATAGTTCTGAAATGTCAATTTTTGAAAGTGCTTATGCTTTCCTTCTGGATAATCAAAGTTTTCCAATTCCACAAGAGACTGAGGCCTATAAATCAACTTATTGTAATCAGTCCAATACTTGGTATTATTGACATTAAGCAAACTGTTATCGGTGGGAGTACCATTGTCTAAATTCTGTTGGAACTCGTTCTTTTCTACCCTACTCTTTGATGAAAGATGCACACCCTCCAATTTGGAAAGATCCACTTTTGGTTCATGGTATTCGTATCTACTCAAAAACCCGAAGCCTCCAGAATATTCGAAATTTATACTTCTGGGATAGTAGTTATTCTTGCCTCCAGCTCTTATTGGCCATAGAAACACATCATTTGAATGGGAAAGTTTCACATCTTTTGAATACGGAATATGTGACTCCTGCTCGTTATATAGATGAGTTAGGAGATGACCAGATCTCTGAGAACATGATAGAGAGATGACCTCGTGCATTTTCCTTGAGTCATCGAATGATTATAGTCTTAGTTAAATTGAAATAAAGTGAACGTGACTAATCTCACGTGAAAACATACTGAATAAAATCAAAAAAATAACTGATTTCGCCCAGGATCGAACTGGGGACGTTCTGCGTGTTAAGCAGATGCCATAACCAACTAGACCACGAAACCAATTAATTGATGGTTATTGTTGTTGTGTTTACTAAGAGCAGAAATTAATATTATTTTTCAAAATTTTTCTAGATTTGCAGTGGTTCTTTACTGTTGATATCCTTTGACTTTAATTAAATAGGTGTGAATCAACATTTTGCACATATTTCCAGACACAGAACTTGCAATCAGGAAACTTTTCCATTGCCAAGGCGGTCGGCCATAAGTAGTCCATTATCGTAACTTGAATCCATCGTTGTTCTTAGTGTGAACCTTGATATCAGATCATAATGTTAATTTAGTTACCTTCGACATCGAACAAAGGATCTTGATGTAATTATCTGGAGTCTCGCAATGCAACGGCTTGAGCAATAACCATACGAAGTGGTCACAATGCCGTGCATGATATAGGTCCCATAATGTTTCTGGATGATATATTACCACTCTGGCTGGTTGAAATTGTAGATATCATTCACTGGACAAGGGCCACAATGGATTTACCTAGAGCGATCTATATAGGATTGCAACATTTGAACACTCATAATTCAGTTCTCCAGCGATCCATAGATTAAGCCAACGAAGGAGAAAATAGATGCTTTCCGCCAAGTATAAGGGTTTTTTGGTCATCCCAAACTCTTTTTTGTAGTATGAATGAAGGCACTATATCCTATCAGTGCCTGCACTGTATACCAAACCCGTTCAATTCACCAAATGTGAACACTTTCATCAACATAGTTTGATGTTAGAATTGGAGCCGAGAAGGAATTTTCAAATTCAAACATAAACATAACAAGACTTCAATTTTTAACGTCCACATTCAAGATAAAGCACATGTGAGATTGAATTGTTGAATTACTAAGTTAGATAGTAGATGCGAAAATCTACTAAGGTCACGTGCACCAAGAGATACGTGGAGGTTTTTCATTTTGCAATCCAACCTCTCAGCCCTCTATCAATTACTACAATGAGGTTCTTCGCAGTCTTCTACATACTCTGTGGCCTTGTAGCTGCTATAGACCCATACAAGGTTCTAGGTATTGGCAAAGATGCCGACGAGAAAACCATTAAGTCAGCATATAGAAGATTGTCCAAACAATATCATCCGGACAAGAATCTGGCTGCTGATGCACACGATAAGTTTATTGAGATCGGAGAAGCATATGAAATATTGAACGATCCGCAGAAGAAAAAGAACTATGACCAGTTTGGAAATCCAGATGGCCAAGGAGGAGGACAAGGTGGTTTCGACTTTGGTGACATGTTCAACCAGTTCTTTCAAGGTGGCGCTGGAGGTGGTCAGCCTCGAAGACGTAGAGGCGCAGACACACAAGTTTCATTGCGGTTGTCCTTGAAGGATTTCTTCCGAGGAAGAGACTTTGGTTTCGATGTGGAAATGAACAATATCTGTACCAAATGTACAGGTAGTGGAAGCGCCGACGGTAAGAGACACACGTGTTCCAAATGTGGAGGAAGAGGTGTGATTACTGTGAGAAGACAAATGGGCCCTATGGTGCAACAATTCCAAACACATTGTGATGCATGTGGAGGAAAAGGCTCCACTATCGCCAATATGTGTAAGACCTGTGGAGGCGGGGGAACCGAGAGGAAGGTTAGACATTACGACATCTACATTCCTGCCGGAACAGAGAGAAACCATGTGCATGTTCTTGAAGGAGAGGGAGACCAGAACCCTGAGTGGGATGCCGGTAACTTGAACGTGGTGTTCTTGGAAGATTCTCTGAATAACTGGGGTTACAGAAGAATAGGCGACAACTTGTACCGCACAGAGGTGTTGAGTGCCCGGGAGGCGTTTGAGGGAGACTGGATCAGAGAGATTCCGTTGTTTGATGAAGATACCGTAACTATCAAGCGTGGCAAGGGTCAGGTGGTTATAGATGGACAAGTGGACGTGATAAAGGGGCACGGAATGCCATTATTGAATGATGATGGTGAATTCGGCACTTTGTTTGTTCAGTACAGGGTAGTGCCTGTGGGCAATGGTGGTGGAGGAAGTGGCAACGACGAGTTGTAAAGTAATTTATTGGGAGTAGTACAGTTAATAGCACGAAGGAGTACATTAGAGGAATACCGGTAGTATAATTTGTATTTTTGTCGACCTAGTAGTGCCGGTTACTGGTTCTTTTTGATAGTTTCCACATTCCGTCTGACTCCGAACACCTTGGATACAATAATGTATATTCCCAACAAAACTGAGAGCATGGTGACCAAATTTACCCAGTTGGCACTGCCGTGGGCAGTAGGTACGGTGATAGTTACTGCCCCAGGCTCCAGTGCCCTGTAGAATACAGTATCATCGGTGAAAAACTTTTCGTAACCACCCCCGATGACAGCTTTGTTATCGAATGGCGAATTCTTCAACAAATACGAATCTGAGCCTGTTTCACATCCATAGAAAAGAAGAGGCTTCTCGATTATTACGTCGGTATACCCAGAGTCGTTTTTTGGCAACTGGTAACGCGTGTGCAATGTCAAATCAATGGGAAATTGTGCATCAGGATCAACCTCCATGAGTATTTCATTTCCCCAGCCACTCACCAGATACTCGGGAAGTTCCAAGTCCGTGGTGCCGAATACTGTGAGGGTTGTGAGTGCTTCAGGGGTCTGATAGCGATCAAAGAAAACATTCTTGTTGAGGGCAGCATAATAATAGAGCTTGCACAATCGAAGATCATCGTCCTCCGGTCTTTTTGGAGACTCTTTCAAGGAAATGATTGGATGGAGCCCGTTGGGAACGTACTCAATGGGGACACTAGAAATCTGGCGATGTCTTGGCTTGACATGAAACAAAGTTCTGTGGACAAACTTATTTTCGTCTTCCAGAGTATCTCCATCATCATCGTTAAAAACAACTCTGGCTCCTGAAAGAACTAAGTCGTCACGGGTGGTGAAAAGCTCAATGCCGAAGACGCCAACTTCCTTGTACTCTCCAGAGGTACCAGCATCAACTTGCAAATCGTTCAGAAGCGCTTGAAATGACTTCACCACAGCTGTGCCTTCAGTGATAGAGCAGTCAAGAGCATCCCATTCAGCAGGCAATTTCCCTGCAAAATTCCCATGGGGCTTCAAGTATTCATCTGTGTGATAATATAAAGAGTTCAACGAAAGAATCCAGTCCTTCTCCTCAAGTTCTATGTCAAAGGTTTCCTTTAACAAGCTATTTACTTGAGCATAGAAGTTTTGGCGCTCATTGACTTCCGGTACAGCCTTAGGAACAATGTAGATATGCAGACCAATCTGGTAGTCATAAGAAAATGGCGCCGTTTGCGGCGTCCGCTGAAATGGCTTGATCACTTGGATTCTAAGCGAACTTATATGTGAATAGGAAGGTGCATCATATGTAAGTCTGTCCTCACGCGTCGATCCCGGAACAACTTCCACATACGTCGAATTGAGGGATTCAATGCCATTATCCTTGCCACGAGAGTGGATAAAAGTCGTTCTATGCCTCATGATGTAGACATAATACCCGAGTAGGTTTTTGGGTGGGTTTATCTCATGGGCAAAAGACCCGTACACCAAAAGACGATTACTCGTAAAGTTGTAGTTTAGTTCGAGTAAACACCCGTGCACCATTCACAATAGGTGGCGTGGCATTATGGGGATTTGGTCATGTAGAAATTTGTTGAATCAAAAGAAATCATCCAGATTTCGGTAAGGTGAATTTCAAAATCCGATGTTAAACACTTTTGGTGGTTTTGAGGAATTTCCCCCAGTATTTTTCATAGTCAGACTGTTGGGTGCGCATTTTCACATGCATTTTACCCCAGACTATATATCACCAGTTGAATCTCGTGTATACGAAAGTTAGCGATCTTTAGTTTAGACCCTTGACAAAAAGAAAAAATAAAAAATTGGCAGCATTCGTCATGAAGCAGGAACAATTGACTCATCTCTTTAGCAATTACTTTGACTACGTTGATGTTTCGCCAGAACTCAAGTTTGCTCTCTTGTCGATTCTGTTTAACCCTATTTTCTGGAATATTGTGGCCAGATTCGAGCACAAAACTCATTTCTTGACCAAAATCGCTGGTGGGGCTTACAGAGGATGTTACATCTTGGCAGCTATCATTTTCTCCTTAGGAATCTACAGAGATCATGTCTACCATGATGCATTGCTTCAACAGCCAACTTATGAGCCCATGGTGGAGTCTCAAATTGTCAAGTCACTTGCAATTTTGTCGTTTGGTGTAGGTAATGTGCTTGTTTTGTCGTCAATGTGGGCTTTAGGTGTCACAGGTACCTACTTGGGAGATTACTTTGGAATTTTGATGAAGGAAAGAGTGACTTCTTTCCCATTCAATGTCAACGACAATCCCATGTACAACGGATCCACCTTGTGCTTCTTGGGTACTGCATTGTGGTACGGAAAGCCAACTGGATTGTTGGTGACGGCATTTGTCTTTGTCATGTACAAAATTGCTTTGCTTTTCGAGGAGCCCTACACTGCCAAGATCTACGCCCAAAGAGACTACTCTGCGTAGAGGATGAGCCTTGGTGTGCCCTATTCAACTACGCTGCATTGCCGGTCAATGATGCCCGTGAATTAAGACCCTTCCCTATATATAGACCAGAAACTTCAACAGTATAGAAATAAAAGATATCATCAATCATGCACAGTAGTGAGTTAGTGACAGAGTGAGTTCTACCAGCTCGAGAGAGAACCCGCTCCGTATACGACTAGCGCTTAGTCTGCTACATGCTAAAAGCAGCAACGTGCCCCAAGAAGGAACATTGTGCTCCAAAAAGCTGCATTGATGCACACATGAACTGCCTAGGCAAACTCAAACGCTTGTGACTCACCACGGTCTTCCACATACCGAAGGGACAACGACTGGAACTTGTCGCTCAGAGTATGGAAGTAGAGCCCGTTAATAGTGCCGGGAATGCTGTCGGAGCTAAACGTATCGGAAGAAGGGCCATTTGGACCGGCGCCAATATTGAGCACAATATAGTAAAAGCCCTCGAAAGAAGCACCCTTGAGCAGTTTGACTCTCAGGTCTGGCAACAAAAACTCTTCCTTCCATCGCATGTACACGTACTGGGTGTCCAGTTGACCCGAGTGAATGCTTTGAAGACGCAGCAAGAATTCGTCTTCGGAAGTGGTGGGCGATGAGCCCGTGAGCTTGCGCCAGTGGTCCATGTCGTTCTTGGGGAACGAGCCCCAGTTGCTATGTTCTGTGATGAACGAATAGTGGGAGCCAAGGGTTCCCGGCATGTATCCATCTATTTGTCCCCCACCATAAGCCTGTGATCTCTGGAGCGGGTTGTTAATAATCTCGCCCCGGAAACATGTTGTGATGAGTGGATGCTCGTCAGTAAGCCCACTGATTTGGAAAAAACCCGTCACCACCAGACTCATCAAGTCCACGGTCTTTAGCTCCACCTTGATGTCGTAGCGGGCAGACCCACTCTGCTGCTCTCCTACAAACTTGGCGTTGGCCCGCAAATACGTGTTAGCCAACTCAGGCACTCTATCAGACGGGAAATACCCGCTGTCTTCAACGAAAAAGCGGCTGTACGCATCGCTATATGTATAAGCCTGGGAGAATTTGGGGAGGGTCTTTGGTTTTGTGCGGAGGCGGCGACGAGGAGTATCGACATGCTCATCCTTATGTGTCTTTTCCACTGGGTGGAGACTTTTGAAGTCGGCAGTGTGGATCTTCAACGAGTGCTTGAGCACCTTATGGTTTTTGGCTGGTTCCGAGTCCGGAGCCGGTTTCAAGTTTCTTTGTGTGACAGGCATAATGAACTTGAAAGAGTTAAAATATCAAGATGAGGGCCTGGAAGAAAAAATAAAAGAACTTGAATATCTGACAAGCAAAATGAATATAAAGTAAGTAAATAGAAGTTGTCCAGAAAAGGAACCACAAGATCAATCCAGTCACGTTGCTTATCAGGCTCCGTACGCGGAGGAGAAGGGTGGGATCTCGGACATATCGCAGTTGCGGGTTGCGTCATGCAGTTATAGCGGACGGATAATGTCATTTTGACGGGGTTGATCGATTAGATATTGATTCTAGGAATACGGAAAGTGAGGATTTTGCAGGTTTAGCAGGTTGTTTTTTGTTTTTGGGACTTTTTTTTCTCTTCAAGTTGTGCGTTTTAGCTCTGATGATTGTTGGGATGGGCAAGATGAGATTTTTTTCTTATGGTGATTGGGTGTGTTCTGCATCTGCGCTGCCAATGTCAAAGAGGTCACCGTCATCGGCGGTTTAACTGTCAAAGTTCTGGAAGTCGAATCTGGTTCTGATTGATATTTGAGAGTATGTCGTTGATTTTTTCTGTATATCTGATGTGTTTCTTTTTCCTTTCTTTTTTTTGATCAAAGAAAGACTTTATTGCATGACTGTGAAAGGCTAGTGAGAGAAGCTTTGGCCGCATTCTAGAAAACTGTAAACATTCTATTATAAGCGTATGCTCATAGAGTGGTCTCCTGAGTAAATGTCTTGGAAGAGGAGTGTATTCAGGATTATTTCATAATTATTTCTTGGTTGATTGAATTGATCATCAACATGACGAAAAATCCAAAAATTGATCCAGTTACGCCGTTGGCTGTTCTCGTCCACGAACGTGTTCATGTTGTGTAGATTTCCTTGACGTCATTATGGAACCGCGAGCACGACCTAAGAGGAAATGGGCAGAGTATCCCATTTTTCACAACGACACCATGCCAGTCTCTCTTTGAGCCTTGATGTTGATGTAGATATTCATGAGAACCCTCTAAATTTTATGAGCGATTTGGTAAGCACATCGGAGATTGAGAAATCAGAGAATATCTAGATAGCTTGTCCGTGTACCAGACAGACATTGTGCTCACAATACCAGTTCAAAATCAAATGATATACCAATTTCTACCAATCATGATAATCTTAGGTTTGTAAATTTAAGATGGTCTGACTTCTCGCTTGCTTTCTTAATCCAATCAACTCGCGATTGAAAAGCCAATTGAACTAGGTATTGTTTTATCACAGCAAGACATATAGTCTTCTTAATGCACTTACATTTAGACATTATATTCTTTCTCTTTAAGCTATTTAAATTGGTCAAACTATTCAAGATAATTTGTTCCGGTTTTCGTATCCCAATTAAGGGCTTGTAGTTGACAGGTCCATGCTACTTTGACTTATCTTTCCTTTTTCATGTACGATGAAACACATTTTTAGGCTATCTTGACCGCTCATAGCTTTTGAAGACTTAGTAGCATGCCATGGTCACATAATTTGGCCCAGTTTGTCTCTGCTGAACAGAATCAATATTCGTGATGAGGATAAAAAAAGATAAGAATGGCATCAATTCATGATGTTCTTTATCGCAAACCACATGCCTGGAAGTCTCACTTTCTCTGACTTAGATTCTCAGATTTCAATTCTTACAGTCACCTTTTAAGTCCATTATGAATGCCACCTCCATTCAATTCCTGAATCGCCATTACCAATAACAAATACCCTAGTCTATTTTTTAAAAAAAACTTGTGATTTCCTCTTTCGTCTACGATCTCACCATTTTTGATTTTCTCATCATCTAACCATTCCACTGTTTCTTCCCTGCAGATATTTCCCCAGACTAACCAAACTACTATGGACCCTCCTAAAACCCCCATACATGTGGCTCCAGACGTGGAAGTGTCCCTTCCCAACGAGCCGTTCCAATCCAATGACCTAGAACTTAATCCGGATTTAGACGAAGAAGATGAAGATACGCCGGGTCCTTCTCCGCAAACACAACTATCCAATCATAATAATGACAAAGACGAAAATGAAGACATAGATGGCGATACTGACTATGATGTGGCCCTGTGGACGCTACCGTTTGATCTGGCCTACGAGGTTCTACTAAAGCAGTTTAGTGACCACGCTGACCAGCCAGTGGTGACTGAATCTCAACAGAGCAAATTCATCAATTATATCGATGGAGAAATCTTGCAAGTACAGCGAAGATTCATCAAGAACCAAGCAGAAACATCAGAAATATACCCTCTTGCTCAATTGTTGCAAGACGTGGCCAAAATACTAGATCTTATATGGTACCTGATCAACTCCAAGAACAAGCTTTACGGACAGGACGAATATTTCATCAAAATCACTGGCGACTTGGAGGACTGGATGGCATATTATCTGTTAGGAATTGAAGGTCCTGGCCAGAAGGCTGAATCAGAACTTTTCAAGTTCTTTAACTTCTTCAAGTCTCTCGATACTCGGCTTTGCTTCTTGATTGATGGTTACCATGTGGGGTTATCGCTCACCAAAATGAGTCTGACGGAAGTAGTACGGCTTGTTCCTATAATCTCTCGCTTGAGATTCGAGATTGTATCTAAGTTTGACCAGTTGAGAGCCAAATTGACCCATCAAAAGTCCTTGGGAAATTTGGAAGCCGATGCGCTATTAAACAAACTTGATGTGGAGATCGGAAGGCTCTTCGAAGGTATTCTTGAGAGAACTTAATTAGTTTTAATTAAAGCTTCGAAACCCTGTATAAGCTTCGAAACCATGTAGAGACAAAAGTATCATTGCCAACCATATAGAGAAGATGTGTAAGCTTCGTAACAAAAGAGAAACGCTCGTCAACCCGACCAAAGAGTTTACAAAACATAAAAAACCATTCCATCGATAAAATCGTTGAATTGTCTAAATTCTTGTCATATCCACTGTCGTGAAATCTTTCAACATATTCCAAGTTAACACCCGTACACCAACTCTTATGAACTTCGATCAATACTTCATCGATTTATTCTACCAATAGAGAACATGTGGTGGCCCTTTGGAACTGGAGATAAAGACACCAAGGAGCTCAAGAAAGAGCTTCCGAGCGATCTTCAGTCGTTTTTCGAAAAAGCAAACCCACAAACCCACAAATCATCCGCTGGAGAGAATAGCGCTAAAGATTCCATTGTGGATCGGATTCTAGCGAGGGAACACCACGAGTACTCACATGATTTCGATGCCTACAAAAGAGAAGAGCTGCTTAAAAAAGTGACTGGCATTAACTGTGCAGAGATACAACAGGCAGTGGTGGATTGCTATCAAGGATGGTCATTTTTGAGCTCCAATCATTGCACAGACGAAATCCGGAGAACGACCAAGTGTATGGATGTCCAGAATAAGGCATTGCGACAGCTAAGATACGAATCTTGCTATAATAAGCCACAATGCGAGCAAATACGTATTCTTGTGGATATGCTCTTCGTGAACAATTTTGGACAATATGGAGAAAGCATGAACGAAGAAACAGAAAAAAAGTTTGAGAATGAGGTCGATAGCATGTTCGATAGGGTTTGGAAGTAGCCACAGCACTTCGCTTGTATATATTAGTTAATGGAGCCAGCCAAATCTTCCCATAGTGCCAACTTATCCTGGTATTTCATCAGGGCCACCAAGCCCGAAGTATTTGGAAATACGTAGATTCCGAACTCTGTTCCACATTGTCTATGGATTTCTTTCACCAACAGACCCTTCTGGAGTCCCCACTGGAAGGTCTCCTTAGTGAGTTTGAAGCTGGGATTGACGTACTTGACAATGAACTCCCAGATACCCTTGCCTATCACAACGATCCATTTAGCGTTCGACTGGGCAAACTCTGAAAAGAGTCGAGGAACGTTGTCGAGCTTCTCTTGCCTTGAAAGCTCCTGGGCTGTTTTCGTACAACGGAGCACCAAGTCCGTGAATCCCACTCCATATGACACCAATTGGTTATCATTTTGAGCTGTAGCAGTCAGTTTTCCATTCTGAAAGATCAGATTGAGAAAAACGTCATCGTCCATACTCCGGCCGCCATTCAGTTTTTCTCTTCGAAAATCCAACACCTTTGTCAACACATCCAGTGCGTTGAATAATTTCCAAAATAAGTTGGTGGGATGAGCATAGTGATGTTGCTGGCGAGACGATTCTACACCTGGATTGAACCCCACGAAGAGAAGACTGATGTCGGAGCTGATCATAGGCTGTAAGTCCAAGAGAGAGTCATAATTCTGAATGGAGTTGGTCGAGCGAACCTTACTTTTCCCAGACCGTTTTATACTTTTTCTGGATTTCACACTCAACTTGTCAATTTTCTCACCATGCGCACTGGAGTTGGACTCTCTAGCCTCACTTCCATCACCACCCTTCTCTACAGCGATATCACGAGACTTTGCAGCTCTCAGTAGGCCGTTCTTGGCCACCTTTTCCACTCGACTCACCTGTGCAACCTCTGCCACATCATCATACTGAAACGACTGGATCACGCTCCGAAGATCTCGACGCATCTTGTCGACTCGAGACGACACCAACACCTTCGCACTAACATGTCAAGCCCGCAGGAACAAACAAACATCATCACTGTTCTTTTGGGTAAACAAGCAGTTCTCGTCACCCACACCGCTGCTGCATGTCACAAAAGTACCCGACGTTTGGATTATCATACCTAAGTCCGTCGGCTTTGGCGACGGTGTCCATAGATGCACAAAATATTGATACGTCGACGCCCATCAATCGCAACGAGAATGGAGACGAGCCCAGCTTGGATTCCATCGAGATCGGTGAGGAGCTCACGCCGACAAATGTCCGCCGACGCAATAGAAACGTCCCACTTCACTCCATCTTGAAGAACAGCCCCAACCGGTCACAGCAGGTGCCTAATACTTCGTACTACAGTACACTTTCTGATCCGCTGCGAGGCGACACACTTGAGCCTCCAGCACGACAACATGTACTCTTCTCGCCCACTAAGGAGGTTGTGTCATATGTGGCCGAGAGCCAGAAAGCGTTCACGGTTGACTTGACCAAATTGGACGAGCAAGACGAAGATAACGGGGAAGCATCAGCCAACAGCAAGAAACCGCTGAGATCTCGCCTATGGACCGATCCATCTGTTCCTTACGTTCTACTGCTATATTTACAATTGCTCTGCAACGTTCTTCTTGTTCTCTTGGTGGTGTACGTGGTGTATGTTATGGTAGTGAACATCCGAGCAGATGTACAGCACAAGATCGAGATGTACACATCCGACGCCATCCAGGAGATATCCAAGTGTTCCAGAGATTACTACAGAAACAAGTGTTCTACGGAAGGAAATGTGCGGGCGCCAGCATTGGAGGGTATCTGCACCACATGGGAAAAATGTATGAATCGAGATCCACAACAGATTGGGCGATCAAAAATCACTGCAGAGACATTTGCCGATATTGTCAATGGTTTTTTCCGGCCCATTTCCTGGAAGTCTCTTTTCATGTCGAGCTTCCTCTTGTTTGCCAGTTTTTTTGTCACCAACGTTGCATTTGGCACTTACAGAAAAGGCTCCACGGAGCAAAACAAGGCGGTTGATAGAATAGAGATTTTAGAAAAGAGGATCAAGGAGCAGGAAAAGCTTCTAGCTTCTCGAAATCATGTTCTTCCAGCAACTCCACCTTCTCAGTTTATCAGCAAGTATGAACCAATTCTCAACGATAGCATATACTCACCGTTGATGAACAAATGAGACAATTATATAGACAATAAAGTAATGAATCACGAGAACTGAGTTCATGAGGGTTACAGAAGATAAAAGACAAGGAGACATTGAAGTAGATTCCACATCCACTTTTGAATATGACTTCAAATACAAGAGTACCATAGAATCCAAATAACGTCCCATAAGTCATCTGTCAATAATCTCCATCTTATCTGTATGTGTCTGACACTATAAACTCAACCACTCGCTCTCTCCTCCAATCTCCTAATAATGGTTCGTCTATCCACAGTGAGTGTCACCATTAATCAGTGATCCACACACATCAAACCAACCAGAGCAGTAGCTTAAAATATTAATTACGAAAGGAAACGCAAGTTCATCAAATCACAAAAGTATCTGGGGATACCCCACAAGTGCAGAAGTTTGCAATTGTCGTATGAACAGGTAAGGGTTACTACGAAGGGTCTACGATTTATTCAGTGGAAATTCGCTAACCATTTTAGAGTAATAGCCGACAAAATAATCTCGGAAATCCTTTGATTTTCAGAACTGTGAGCCATTAAGTAAGCTTCAACGGCACAGAATACTTCAAATAGAATTACAATGAAAACTCTACCACTAATTTCAGAATTGATAGAGAATACCTTTTTTCGACACTTCTAGTCCCTGTAATGTCGTTCTTCGTAATTGACTCTCCATCCAGGTAGTTTGCACAGTATCTTTATTATGATAGACTGCACCACAGCCTTTACTGAGAACCGAATGGACATCAAAAATCAATGGGATTGCCAAAAAAAGCCATAGTCAAGCGGCAGTACTCACGAGCAGGGTGCATTGAATGCAAGAGAAGGAAGATCAAGTGCAATGAAGCCCAACCTACCTGCGGAAATTGTGCTAGAGTAAGAGTTCAATGTATCTATCCAGACCCAAACTATCGAAACAAACCACGCAAAAGCTATACGAAGAGCGCTCTGGAAGCGCTCAATGTTACTCCCCAGATGTCAAACGTGACTCCTCTGCTTGAAAGTGTCAACGAAAACTATCTCCGGTCACCGTCGACGGAAGGAAGTCTCCAGATACCTGATGGTAGTCACGATATGATGCTCTTTGATAATGTTTTTGATGATGCCAACAATTTGGTGTATGGACTTGCTGATTTCGACATCATGAACATGAGAAGATCATTTTCAAGCCCCCATGCCTCCACGAATTCTGACAATCTCAAGCCTTTCCACTCGAATATCATCCTAAATGAGCCACAGGAGGATAATATCTTGTTCAACGACGAGGAACTCAAAGACTACCTACTGAACGGAGTAGAGATTTCGACGAACCATGAATTGGATCACTTTTGGAACCAGTTTAAACTCTTCATGAACGATCCGACAGAACAGCACAGCACAAGAATGTCCAACGCAGTGCTCATTCTCAAGATTGTAGATAAGTACAAGCTCTCTCAGGAAGAACACGCCTACTTCAAAGAGATCATGCAACGACAACTTTTTCTCTACATTTTCCCGTTTGCATCTTCCGTTGAAGATAGTGAATCTGCGCATGTTCTCTTGGAGTATTGTTTGGTGTTCAAGTTTCTTGTGTATGCGATTTTGTCCTTGAGTGCTTCGTGTCATTTCACCATAACAAAAGAAGTCATTCACGATCGTTACCAGAAAAAATTCACCGCTGTTTGCGTGAAGCTCCTTGTCTCTGCATTTGAGGACTTGAAGAACAATGAACATTCTCTATGGCATATTGAGGGTCTAATTATAACAGTACTACTATTGACAATGCTCTTTTCCGACATGAGCTTTGTGGACAGCACCAAAGTTCCCATCTCATGGGTTTCACACTTGAAAGAAGCTAAGTTATTGCTCCTCAAGTACAACGCAGTCAAGTCGAAGGTACACCCTTCCAACCCGGAGACTCCCGGCATTTTGATGGCGAAACTAATATTTTTCTGCTATGAATGGATATCAAAATTGAGTATGCCGGCGATAGATCTCCCAGACAACGAAAATGACGAATTCTGGTCAGTGACCAGAGAAACCAGCATCTATGTGAAGAATGAGGATTACTACCGTGCACTTTTCAAGTTAGGATTAATGATTCCCCCCTCCTCCACACATTCCGGCTTTAACCTTTTCGTGGCCATGACTAACGAGGCAGAGGAAGGTGCTTACAAACTTCTATCTGTCATGTCGACGCTCGCCAAATCGGGTCCAGAGGGAAGATTCAGCCAATTGGATCCAGAGAGAGTATGTGACCTTATGGCAACCATAAGCAAAACTTTTCAACAAGTGATAATTCCAGGTGCGAGTTCCGAATCCAATTTCTTGATTGACATATCGAACCCATCACACCCATACTACGCGGGACCAGGTGTACCCGTGACTCTTCCTACTGCGGCATATGGCAAGGATAGTGAGGATCCACTTAATGTCAAGTTCTATTCGTACTGCGATGTTGCTCAGAAACTGCATGGGTATTTCCTCTACTTGAAAGTGCTTACCACTAAAGGATTAATGTACGTGCCACGCGACCATCCTTCCATTCGGAGTACCGTGGATAAGACCATGAAGCTAATGTTCTTTGTCAAATCGAAACAGGATCCATGTTATTCTCCCCGAGGTGCAGTGGCCGAAACAGAACATTACTATTTGCCAAAGTGTCTTTTTGATCTTCGAACCATTATGATTCAGCTACCTTTTCGCATGTGTATAGATCTCACAGATAAGGAGGACGACTTTGAAAAGCTCGAATTGTTTTTCAAAGGTCTATTAAAGTTGGGCAGTGGTAATTGTTCTGTCGCATTGCACAGAATCAAAAAAAATAGAGAGGCAATTCACCGTGGCCTCAACAATCAGAGAAATGGCGAGCAAGCTTATCTGCTTGAGGCATTTCCAGTCTACTAAGATGTGCTGTCAAACGGGTGCTTTGAGATTTTCTGAGGATGAAGATCTTTCGTATAGAATGAGTATTGTGAGGCCCATCTGGGTAATGTAATGAGACAGGAAATTGGGCTGCGAAATTTATTTAAGTAGGCATTAAAATTTCCAAGGAGATGTGATAAAATACTAGCAAAACTCATAAAGAAAAATAACGATGCCTAATAAAATAACCGTGGAGACCCAGAGTCAAAACTTTGGCATTTTCATGTTTGGGAGAAAGTCTGATGTACCTTATATTGTTCTAGGGGCTCTCACTATGATACTTGCTTCATTGGGATCACCTATCCAGACATATATCTATGGCAAAACATTCTTAAAATTATCCAAATTTCTCTTCCATTCATACAATTCGCCTTCGGACTTTTTGAACGAAATTAGAGTGCTTTGTGTAGGGATTATGGGAGTTGGGATTGGCCGGATGATCTTGACGTGGATCAGCATTTATGCCTGGCTTCAAGTCGGCGAGAAACATCAAGCTCGAGCACGAATGATACTCCTTAATCTGATGATTCACAAAGAGTTTGTATGGTTCGACTCGAAGATTAATTTGATGGGTACTATAGCTCAGGTCAATAGAAGCATTGAGGAAATCCGAGATGGAGTTTCTGAAAATGTGGCAATGTTAGTGCAAGTAACGGCATCTATAATTTTCCTCTTTATCAACGCCATGATCTCTCTGTGGTCGTTGACATTGGTGGTCATGGTGTCTGCTCCTTTGATGGCAATATGTGCATACATCTTTGGAAACAAGACATTCAAGTCCCAGAAACTTGAGAATGACTTCAGTAGTCAGGCTTCAAAGGTCTTGAATTGGTCGTTTGTGAATGGAGATCTTGTGCGGTTGCTAAATGGAAAGTACGTAGATATGGTCAAATTCAATAAGTTTGTTGACCTCTCCGCCAAAGCTTTCAAAGGCACTGCTCTCTCCATCGCTGGAAACGGTTCAATTCTCCGCTTACTTTCCAACTGTCTTTTCGTACAAGGATTCTTGTTCGGAGCATACATGATGCGAATTGGAAAGCTTTCTATTGATCAACTTTTCACTGCGTTCAGTTCTTGCCTTCTCTTCGGAGGCCAACTATCTGCCATCGCAGTTATCATTGCACTCTTGAACAAAGCAAAGGCAGCAGCTTTCACTATAGCAACTAGTGAAATCTTGGAAATTGAAGATGTCAAACAAAATGATGATTGTTTTGCATCTTCTTACAAGGATAAGTTTTCAGATCAACAATTGAAGCTTTACAACGTTTCATTTCGATACGATTCTAGTACTCATGAAGTATTGAAGGACATTAATGCTACATTCGATGCCTCTGAAATCAATTTTATCATTGGCGAATCTGGATCGGGAAAATCAACTTTAGTGCTGCTTCTCATGAACTTTTACGCTCCCACAAAGGGTGAAATCCTCATAGGAGATACTTCTACCCTTATTCTTGAACCTCACAAACTTTTTGAAGTCATAACCTTGGTAGAGACAAATCCACTTGTTTTTGATGATCTGCTTTTAAGAAACTTACAGTTTAATGACGAATTCTTATCTGAGCAAAGAGTATTGGAAGCTTGCAAGTTTGCGAGATTAGACAAATTTATTACTTCACAACCAGAAGGAATTCATACGAAATTGAGTTCTTCATCTTTGTCTGGTGGACAAATTCAAAGAGTAGGGTTGGCCAGAGCTTGGTTAAAGGACTCCCCCATAATTATCTTTGATGAGAGTTTGAGTGCACTTGACAGCAAGTCACTGAAAGAAATCGTTGACGATATTCGGAGTTGGAGACAAGGAAAAATTACCATTTTTATCACTCATAAAAAGCTGGATATAAAGAGCAATGATAAAGTTACCATCCTTGAGAAAGGAAGAATCGTTTTCCAGGGCTATGGAGGCGAGATGTCTAGTCAGGACTTCGATCAAAAAACTTCTTTAATTGATTCCGACGATGCGAGTGTCTTTTCTTATTCAAGGGAATCAAAGGTGAAATCCAGGATATCAGACTACCTTCATAATCCACATATTCTTAAAGATCTTGAAGAAAGGGGCCCGCACCAGGAGCATGAACCACAGCTCTTGGGAATCTTCGCCATTGTACGTTTCTGTTTTGCAACCATACAGTCGAAAATTATGATTACTGTCGGACTTGTTCTTTCACTCTTTAGTGGATTCTTTGTGCCTTTGATCTCATACTTCGTGTCCAAATTGCTCTCAACTGCCATCACATCTTCCTACGCAATTGAGGGAACCTCTAGGCTGATGCTCAAATTTTCATTAGTCGTGATTGGAATTTCAATTGTAGATGCCGCTGTTTTCTTTTGTTCGCAAGTCGCTCTTGACTTTTCTCTGGAGAACTGGATAGTCGAACTTCGAAAGAACACTATGGCTCTAATTGATGAACAAGACATGCTGTTCTTCAGAGGAGAATCTCGGAAGCCCGCCGAGCTCACAGCACTCTTAATGAATGACTCCAGAGACCTTCGTGTCTTAATTTCTGAATTTTTGGCCTTGGTCATACTGTTGATGGCACTCACTATTTTTGGAATTGCGTGGTCGATCGCCTCGGGGTGGAAACTTGCCTTAGTTGGAATTGCCTTTGTGCCACTTACTTTATTCATCACCGTTGCATATGGGATTGTACTCTCTCGAGTAGAAACTACTTATAAAGAGAAGGTTGTTGATGTAGAAAACTTTTCCCATAATGCCATCTCAGGTATTCGGACCGTTCGAGCATTTGGACTTCATGAGCGAGTTCAACAAGAGATGGAAAAGAAACTTGACAAGTTATGTAAAGTTGGAAAAGCCAGAGCGTTTTTCACAGGATTCGGAGTGGCTCTTCTGGAATTATGTACAAGTTTGGCTACGGGAACTATTCTCTATTACGGTATGACTTTGGTGGCTGCGAAAAAGTATAACCAGAGCCAATTGCTTGAAGTGCTCACTATGCTAACGTTTACATTGACCAGTGCTTCATCTTTGATGCATAAGTTACCAGAAGTAGCCAGAGGTAAACGGTCTGGCCTGAGATTATTTTGGCTCTCAAAGTTGGAAAAGCTGTTCATCGAGACGAATGGTAGCCAAATACCTCTACGCAGAGGGGGATCACCGATAATCGCTTTTGAGAAGGTGGATTTCTCTTTTCCAAATAACGTTACGTCTAGCTACAAGCGAATCCTTAGAAATATTTCGTTTGATATTAGAAGTGGAGAAACTGTTGCAATTGTTGGGAAATCAGGCTCTGGAAAAAGCACCATAGTTCTGTTACTCGGTAGACTCTATGAGCAAGACAGAGGTATCATTACCTATTGCAATAAAGCTATCAGCGACCTAGAGGTAGAATGGTACAGACGAGCAGTGGTGGTTGTTCCTCAGCATCCCAGCTTTTTTGAAGGTTCAATTTTGCAGAATTTAACCTACGGAGTCAAGAAAAGTGCTGTAGACTCTAGTACAATTTGGAAATGCCTCGAAGAGTGTCAAATCGCTGACTTCGTTCGAAATCTTCCACACGGCCTAGATGAAGTCATAGGAGAAGGGATGAATGCCAAGGCTTCCACGGGACAGTTGCAGAGGTTGAGTATCTGTCGAGGTTTGATAAGAAACCCAGACGTTCTAATTCTCGATGAGTGTACAGCTAATTTGGATGAGACAAATGGAAATTTGATCTTTAACCAAATCAGAGCCAACAACTCAGCATTGACAATCATAATGGTCACCCATGATGTAAATGTCATGAAAATAGCATCACGAATCATGATGTTAGATAAGGGAACGATAATCGAAGATGGAATATTCGAAGAACTTTACCAGAACAAAAGGTGTTTCTACAATCTCATTAAATAACCAGAGTGTATTTCGTCATGTCACCAATCTACAACTTAACATTAATGTATGGCACCTCCACATCCTCACCCTCCTTATCGTCACAACAGATTTCAAGAATCAAATTGTTGACATGGTCTGGAAGCTCCTTCTTACCAACAGCCTCGATCAAGGTAGTCAAGTTCATGCCCATTCTCTCGTTGACCTTCTTAGGAGGGTAGAAAGATGCATATAACAAGGTTACACCGTAGGACAACATGGTAATCTCCAAACCCTCATTCTCTTCAAAGTGGTTGAGCAACTCCTTCAAAGTAACATTACCCGTTATCTCAAATCTGTCCCAGATCTGGTCGAATTCCTTTCCGTTGTACTTGCTCTTTGGAGATTGGACTGGCTCAGAGAATCCAAAGAATGGTAAAGCCAAGTTGACGAATCCGTTCTTGTATCTTTCGATGTCGTCGTGCTTAGCAACAACCTTGTACAACTCGAGACAAATCAAACCAGTTACCAAAGCTGTCGTAGTGGCAATTGCTGGAATAATCTTACCGGCAATGAATTTGGTCTTGGATGCATCTGCTGTCTCAATACCATAGTTCAAGGCTCTACAGTTGGAAGCTGCAGTGATGAACTCAATGTGGTGGTTGGTGTCATCATCCTTCTCGAACTCAATAGCGTTCAATCTGTAGCCGGCCAAAGTAGATGGCTCAGGCAAGGTGGCAGCAATCTTCTTGATCTCATCTTCATCAAAGGCACCAGAGAGGTTCTTTGCCTCTTCCTCAGCCTCAGCATCAGTAGCGGCAATCTTAACACCCGACTTTGGCACAAATGGCTTGATTTCCACATTGTCCAAAACCTTCTTGTAGTCCTCAATTGTAGCGTTTGGCTCTTTCAAGCCGTAGATGTATGCCAATAAATTAGCACCACCGATAACGAAGTTGAGATGGTCGGGATTCTCAATATCAAACTCCAATGGCTTTGGAGCTCTCTTTGGTCCAGACCAAAATGCACCTCCGTTGGAAGTAACAGCGTCCTCAGGGAAGTTGTACAACAACTGCTTGATATCATGGTTGAACTTGACCTCAAATTCCTCTCTAGCCCACTTGATGCAGTCATCAAATGAGTATGGTCTGTCGTTTAAGAGGTGTGAAATGTTGGTCAAAGTGCCCTTAATATCAGGGTTCTGCTTCAATGTCTGTTCAACGTAATTTGGTTGACTCAAATATAAGTTGACAGTCTCTGGAGAGTCAACAAAGTAGCCCTGGAACAACGACTTGGCCCAAGCAATGGTGTGGTCAATCTTGTTAGGGAAAGATCTCAAAGTACACATTGGAATGGACTTCTCTGGAGGATCATGGGAAGAAGAGTAGGATTCAGTCATGTTGGGGATCACAACCTGCGTGTTACCCTTGGTTCCTAAAGTTCCAGACTCAAGCAATGGTTTCTTGTAGAAAATACAACGGCGATCAACATACGTTCTGGCATCCACGTTGTCCAAGGCGTTAGTCACAAAGTCCAACTGGTTCCAGAAGCTGTCGTCGAAGATGTCCTCAGTGTCGTTACCCACCTTGTCTAATTTAGCCTCGATCTTGCCCGTCAAATCTGGGTTCATCACCTGGACAGCCCTAGCAGCAATCTCAGACTTGTTGCCTCCGACATCCTTAGGTCTGAATAAGAATTGTCTGTTCAAGTTCGATTTCTCAATAGAGTCATTATCGGTAACAATGATCTTACCATTTGGACCGGAACCCAAACCCATCATGGCCCAGTTCTTTAACATTTCACAACCAATAGCACCGGAACCCACCAAAAACACCTTCAAATTGGCAATTTCCTCCTGGTATTTAGCACCAAACACGGCAATCTGGCCATCGTATCTGGAACCAACAGGTTTGGTCGTTTCTGCATTTCTAGGGTAGTCCTCGACATTTGGCAAGGATTCTAAAGAGTCAAAATACATGAATTGCTTGACAGGACCAAATTTGGAAGAGCAGCACTTCAAGACTTCTTGTGCAACCAAACCACCAAAGAAAGCGACCATACCTGGAAGGTCACCGGTGGCTTGGAATGCCAACTCTCTAATGAGTTTCTTGTCCAAGTCAGCCTCGCCCAAAATGGAAGGATTCTGACTGGCAATCTCCTCTGTGTAACGAATCACCTCGTTGGCATCCTCCTCGTTATATGGGGAAGGTAATCTGCCCTGGTGTCTGGTCTGGAAGGCATGGAGAGCCTGGAAACCCAAGTGAAGTTGTGGAGGACGGTCAAACTTTGCAAAGTCCGAGAATACGTATTCTGGCTCGGCCAATTGCTCCTTGAGGGTCTTGAAACTAATCTTAACAGGCATCTTCACCTGCTGGTACAAACCACCTTTGACGTAGGTACCATATGATTCATCAATCTTAATTTTGAACGCATAAGGTCCCAAAACCTCGATTTTGTGTGGTGTACCATTGTTGAGCTTGGGCATACCTTCAATCTCAGTGAACTTGACATATTCTCCATCTTGCATGCCGTGTCTGTTGTCATCCAACATGGTCACGGTTCCATCGGGCTCGATGTCCGATACAATTCCGGCGTGAGGCTCCTCGCCATTCTGGTCGATGACCGCAAACGAGTCGCCCAAGTCCACGAAAACCTGTCCGAAAAGTCCTCTGATGTCTGCAGAGATAAACCCAATGTCGTTTGCGTGGGCGAATTCGTTGATGGTGACCTGAGTCTCCAAGGAAACGTTGGTGGCGACAATACACTTGAACTGGCTCAATGTGGCCTCGGAGATGTCGTCCACCACCGAGATTGGTACGTACAGATTCAATTCCTTCAACTTTTCAGCAGCCACAGACGCCGTAGGCTTTCCCACGTCCAGCTGCGACAAAAAGAACTGTGTCGAAAGATCACGTAACTCCACAGGCAGCGGGTCGTACAAGCTTAAGGACTTGACACCTGCCAAGGCCACATTCTTTGCAATCTCGTTACCTAAACCTTTAAGGCCAATGATAAGTACATTGGCATTCTGCATTTTGAGCATAGCCTCCTTACCCAAGACGTAGAGCTGTCTCGAGTACAAGCTCTCGTCAATGGTGGGGGAATCTATTTGCATATCCGACATTATTGATGGGAGAAGGAGAGGTTGGTTGAGTTGGTATTACTAACTGGACGGTGTGCAGGGTGGAGGTTGGGAGGTAGAGGTGGGTAGAGGTGGGTAGAGGTACCAGGAGACGAAAGTCTGGAGATACAGAAGTTTTTTGTGTTTGAGAATAATGAGATGAAACCCAAGTTTCAAGAGCGACTTGATTCATATTTAACATTGATTATCAATTTATTTTGAATGTTTAGAGATACACACGACGACTTTAAGTCACTGGTGCATTGGTGAGCAAATTACTAATGTATAGGAGCCGTGACCAGGTAATGAAGATCCACGATGATAAATGTCAAAGTGTAGATTAAACAAATGATAGGAAAATGGGATTGAAATGGGTGCCATTTTGGCTCATATAGCTGGCATCGGCTTTGCCCGCTTTGGGTAATTTGGGGTTTCTGGAATGCTGACGTATCTTGATCTATCTCCTATATACAAGTCTCAAACTAGCCGTTTCTGTAGAAAACGATCCACTTAAAAGTACCAAAAAATCACCATTCTCCTTGGAAAAATCAGACTACAACATTTTTAGGCACCTCTTCTCTAATCCAATCACATTAATCTTAAAAAAATCTTGATATTCAGTACCACGGCCACCATAATCATGAGAGCCCCGCCGGCTTGTGTCACGTGACTCTCCACATACTCAACTCTTAAACTTACCTTCATTTCACAACCAAAATCCCCACAAACTTCCCACAATGAAGGTTTCGACTTTATCTGCCATTTCCATGGCCTGGTGGATTGCAAGATCAAGTGCATCACCTGCAGCCGTGGATTTCAACAAACGGGCAGACACCGATAAGAAAACGCCCGAAAAATCAGATGCCAAAGAAGCGCTTCCTGATACTCTCACTATCGATACTTTCGACCAGTTTACTTCGGAGCATCTTACATTTGTGGAATTTTTCTCACCTTACTGCTCGCACTGTAAGGATCTAGCGCCCAAGTGGGCCGAAGCCTTCCACCTTACAAAAGAAGATCAGAACTCTCTAGACATTCACATGAGGCAGGTGGATTGCGTGAAGAGTGGAGACCTCTGTGAACGAGAAGGAATTAATGCATACCCGAACTTGAGAGTATACAAGCCAGTAGAAAATGCAGAGGGAAAAACTGGTAAGTCAAGTTTTGTGGACAGTTTCCCTAGGGCATTGACGAGAACTCCAGAAAACTTCCACAAGTTCTTAATTAACATGGCTGCCGAATACAATACTGGTGGCTTGAACATGCCAAGTGCATCTCAGGAACTTGACATTGACTTTTCCATGAAAATGATTGCTGGAGAATTAGGGGACCCTTACTTCGTCACCATGTTCTCGTCTAAATCGGAGGAGTGGAAGAATGGCAAGTTTGGCGACAGTTGCATGGACTGTCGGGAAACAAAATTGGTGTGGGATAAATTGTCCAATCTCATAGTCAGCTCGGCCAAAACGGGCCACATCAACTGTCTTGACCATCCTACTTTGTGTAAGAAGCTTGGATATTCGGACTTGGCATCCGTGGACTCCTTTACTGCGCCCCGGTTCGCCATGTTTGTCCCTAAAGCCTCGGGACTTATCCGTTTCGACTTTGAAGAAGAACCAACACTTGAAAAGTTGAAGCAGTTTGCAACCAAACTCAGCCATAACTCGAAATATGAAGAAATTTCTGCTAGAGACTTGGAAGACTATGACTATTTAGTCACCGAAATACCTACCAAGCCAACTGATAAGAAATTCCCGTTGAGTAACAGAATTGCATTAGTGTTTCATTATGACAAGAAAAAGGTCTCACCAGAGGATAAAGCCATTATGCCATATCTTCTCGAGATGGCTACGAAGTCCCCTTTTAACATCAATTTGTTTGCTTCCAAAAGTCCTAAGTTTGAAGAAATGATTGACAACCAGGGCCATGCTATTCTTGAGTATGTGAACTCTGATCCATCTTTCGAGAATAGAAATTTCAACAAGCAGATGCATCTCGCCACAACCTTGACTGCTACACCTACACTTTACATTTTCAAGGAGAACTCATTGATTCCTGCAATCTACCAGAATTTTGCAATTGAAGACATGAGAAAGCCTGAGAAAATTCAGGAGTTCATTAACATTCACCAATATCCTTTGTATGGGGAGTTAACTCCCGATTTGATGAAGGCCTATTTCACGGAAAAGAAGTCCAAAAATCCTCGTGGCTCGAAAGTCGTGGTGACGTTTTTAGATACATCAGATGACAATCTTGTCAAGGAGGCTTTATTCAATGTGTCTATGGTTGCACACCAGTATAACGTCTTAAAGAAGGAGTATTATTTCAATGATCTTGTTGAGCAAAGAGATGCAAAAACCGACAGAGTGAAGGCACTCAAAGCCAAGAACGTTGATTCTGTTACAATCATTCAGGAAATGCGTACCGAAATCCCTCATTTGTTTGATCACAACGATGTCCTCTTCACTTTCATTGACATTAAGAAATACCCAAATTTTGCCAAAGACGCAGGCTGGGACATCAACAACCATGGTTACAAGGCTGGTGATAGCATTATTGTGTCCAAGAGCCGCGACTTTTATTGGGATTCGTCATTGTCTGGTGGACGCTTGACAAATAACCCAAGTGAGTTGCGTCCAGTTTTGGAATACCTTTTGGATAAAAAGCTTGCTGGTACTAAGGACGTGTCGAAGTTCAAAACAAGATTGGCAGACTCACCTTATCACCCAAGCTTAAGGTTGGTTGACACTATTCATCAACATGGAATCATAGGATACCTAATCTTCGGTCTCTCAGCAATCTTGGTGTACTGTGGTGCTCGCGTGTTGGTGAAAAAGAGAAGAGCGAGCCCCTCGGGACTTAGAAGGGGCCTTATAGGCGAAGAGAAGAGCGATTAGAGCTGTACAACCCCTAATAATTGTAACAGTTATCCAGTGTCCTTTTAGAACCATGCACATTCATCCTAATACATGTCGAATTCGAGCATCGGACTCAAGTATCTTTCTGTAGCCTGGCCCTAGCTCCTCCACCTGGAAGTCTTTGCCTGCAATACCAGATATCCGGCTATAAGGAGGAATTACTGCTTTTGCAGGAATCCTAGTGTTATCTTCAACAACACAGCAATCATTAATGGTTGACATCTGGCCAAGCTCACAATTACTACCAATGCTCACTCGGTTACCTAATTGGGTCAGACGAATAACCGTAGATTCACCGATTGAGGTATAGTTTCCTATAGTTACGTTCGAGAATATGTTCTCGCCATTGACAACTTTCAATATTGGAGGATCGATGGTGACATTATTGGCTAGAAAACAATACTTACCTAGCAGAATGGCTGGTTCTTTCGGAGTTAGGGTCTTTACCGAGCCGTTTAGCGTACAATTTTCACCAATGGTGCAGTTGTCGGATATTGAAATGCTCTTAGCTCCGTTAATGGCCGCCAGACGAGATATGCGGTTGCCAGTGGCTGTTTCAATCCAATCGTCCATGAAGATGTAGAGTAGATGTGCAGGAAGATGTGAGAGGTCTGGTTGATGAAGGAATTAAGATGAAAGATAGAGTGAAAAAGTCATGAGACAACTTTTATACTTTTCGTTCCTTATACCAATAGAGTTGATTATGGTTGGAATTGTATTGGGATTTTTTCTTGCCCAGACTCATATCAAATTCGTAAATGATCTCGAAGTTTCCAGGTATAGTTTCAGATATATGGAGATTGCACCCAAGAGTGAAGAAAGAAAAGCCATTTGAGTCAGAGAACCTTCGAACAGTTTGTATTCTCATCTTTGTAATCTTTTTTGAAAGCCACTACCTATCATGAAGTCACCTTCTTTTATCACAATTGACGGGGATCAACTCCGAGATGAACGTGATTCATGTCACGTGGCAATACAAACAAACATACACCCTATGAATTTGTTCCTAATTTCTTTAAAATACCAAATAAACGGCTCCATAGCCAAAAGGAACTTCCAAAACACGTATCTTTGTGAACTAGACCAACGATGTTGTCCCACGTGCTGCCAAATCTGAGCCATATCATTGGCCTAAAATGCCACCGTGGACGTCCTGCACCATACACGGTGATGATTATCTCGCGTCAAGATTCTCCAACTCTATAATTATCTTTCCACTACCTTTTCTCTTGAGAATGTCCAAATTATTTAGAATCGACTGCGGTTACCAAAACTATGACTGGGGAAAAATCGGTTCCTCCTCGGCCGTTGCCCAGTTTGCCGCCAAGTCCAACTCTGCCACTAAGATTGATGAATCTAAGCCTTACGCTGAATTGTGGATGGGTACTCACCCTTCTGTGCCTTCTAAAGTGGTAGATGATGCTCAGATGGAAGGAAAGGTGTTGAGAGATGTTGTGGGCGCCAACCCTACCGAATACTTGCACCCCTCTGTGGTGGAGAAGTTTGGTTCTGATAAGGAATTGCCCTTCTTGTTCAAGGTGTTGTCTATCGAGAAGGTTTTGTCCATCCAGGCTCACCCAGACAAGGCTTTGGCCCGTCAGCTTCATGCTAGTGACCCTAAGAATTACCCTGATGACAACCACAAGCCAGAAATGGCTATTGCAGTCACCGATTTCGAAGGTTTCTGTGGTTTCAAGCCTTTGGAGCAGATCGCTGCCACTTTGCAGACTGTTCCTGAGCTTTACGATATCATTGGCGCTGAAACCGTCAAGGAGTTTGTCGAAGGTATCAAACCAAACGCCGAATTGGGCTCCGCCGACGACAAGGCCAACAGACAATTGTTGCAGAAGGTATTCGGTAACTTGATGAACACTCCAGAGGACGTCATCACAGAAAAGGCCGCTCTTTTGGTTGCACGCGTGGAAAAGGAGCCTGCAACTTTTGACAAGTTGGCACCAGGCTTGGCCGAGTTGACACTCAGATTGAACAAGCAGTTTCCTAACGACATTGGCTTGTTCTGTGGCTGTATGTTGTTGAACCACGTCCGTCTTCAAGTTGGCGAAGCCATGTTTTTGCAAGCCAAGGACCCACACGCCTACATCAGTGGAGACATCATCGAATGTATGGCTGCATCGGACAATGTGGTTAGAGCCGGATTCACCCCCAAGTTCAAGGATGTCAAAAACTTGGTGGAGATGTTGACATACTCTTACGATGCCGTGGAAAAGCAGAAGATGCCTTTGTTGCCATTTGCCAAGTCCTCAGGTGAGGCTGCCAGATCCGTCTTGTACGACCCACCAATTGCTGAGTTTTCTGTTTTGCAGACCATTTTCGACACCAAAGCCGGCCAGAAACAGCACTTTGATGAGTTTGACGGTCCATCCATCGTCATTGCTACCAACGGTACTGGAAGCATCAAGATCAAGGGCGAGGAAGCCAAGAAGGTGGAGACTGGTTACGTCTTCTTTGTTGCTCCAGGAACTGAGATTGAGTTGGAGTCTTCTTCTACCGATGCTCCATTTACCACGTATAGAGCATTTGTGGAGACTAACTAGGCAGATATAGTAGGATGAATAATAGACTTGTGACGACGATAATGTAGAACACCTTGAGATATGACGTAAGTATATGTATCCACTTGTCCGCCATTTAAATACATTAACATCATGTATCAGAGAGGAGATGAAATGGAGATATAATTTATACCACTATTGTCCTTTCTCCATTCGAAAAAAATATTTAATCGAAAATTTCCATAATTTACATCGAATTCTTATTGTTCCAACTTTGCAACTCGTCAATTTACACAGGTTTCCGGCCGGAAGATATTGTGCAGGCTAAAGAATAATCCAATCCAAGACTTTTATGTGACAAGAACAAGAAATCCAAAGAATTGCTGGACATTCTTGATTCCTGATCTTTTTCCATCACATTTTTCTGTTTGTGTTCTCTTTTGGACCGGAGAATCGAGGATATCTTGGTACTGAAAAGGTGAAAACGACAACTCGAGCTGTGAGATTGAAACTGATAGAAATTCACCGATTGCTGTCCATAATTGATTCGTGTTATTGGAGACAGTGATTTTTGAAGAGAATCATCTGGAGTGGAACTGTGAACATTTTTGTACTTCGACCTGTCGTTTAGAATCTCACAAACTTGTGGGGTAGCTTTACACTGAACCAATGGAGAATGAAATAGCAGAATTGGGATCTGAATCCCACACAACTCAGGAAATATCAAATCTGAATTTGCCTAATATGAATGTGAAACCACTAGAGAATTCTGAACTAGAACAAGATGTATTCTCAAGTCAAAATACTGGGCAAAGTCCAGAGGTGGTCCGTGAACCAAAACTGAGCCCTAATTTCGGCCCTGAACAAGAAATTGATACACGATCTGTTTACGTTGGTAACGTTGATTACACTGCAAGTCCCTTGGAACTAGAAACCATCTTTTCCAGGATCGGGCCTGTTGAAAAAGTGACTATTTTAGTAGATCTGACTGGGTTTCCAAAAGGTTATGCATTTGTTGCGTTTGAAGAGCAGGAACATGCAGAGAGGGCAATAGAACAGGCTAACGGCACAAATCTTCGAGGAAGGCCAATCATAGTTCTAAAGAAATTGCGTTTGGGTAGAGGATTCATACCACGAGGACGAGGAATAGGTCGTGGGAGAGGAATAGATCACGGGAGAGGGCGGGGAAGAGGAAGAGGACGCGGAAGAGGAAGTGGTAGGGGAGGCAGCTGATGAGTGGATGTTATGGTAAATTCGGCAAATGAAGAGAGAAATTTTCACCTCAAATCTTCATGTTGATAAGCCATAGTCATGATAGTTCCCGGAACTACAGCTAACTGGAAAATACGTATAAAAACAAAAAATGGATGGAAATAACTACGAATTTTAAAACTATGCTAAAATTCACAATAAATAAAAAATAAGGTTTAATTCTCAACTTGAGTATCTAGTTTTCTTTATTCATAGTCACCAATGTTCCGTCTATACTTCGCCTAATATCGTACACCCGTGCACCACAAAAAATTATAGAGCCCATCGACCTCATCACTTCTATCTAACCAAACTATTCAGCATGGCGTCGGTGAGAAAGCGGAAGATGGCCAGATCCCTGGTCAAAAAGAACACTAAAAGAGTCAAGGATAAACAGAGAAACATCAAAATGAATGCTCATCCTGTCATGAAGGAGCACTGGGACAACAACCTCACATTGAAGCAGAATTACAAGAATCTTGGATTGACGCTTCGTTTGACCAATCCAGCAGGAGGTGGGGAGGCCAAAATCCAGACTTTGACCGAGTACAGAAAGGAGAAGGAGGAGGCCGAAGCCAGACAAAAAATCGAGCCTTCCGCTATTGAAAATGAAACTGATCCAGCTAAGATTCCTGAGGGTGAGGCCAGATTGATCAGAGACCCTGAGACCAACGAGGTGGTTCAGATTATCTACGGTACCATGAAGGTCCAAAAATTGGAAGAGGACGCTCCAAAGGTGTCGATTATTAACGAGTTGACGAAATACACCCAAGAACATGCCGGTATAATCAGAGCCAAGAAACTCTCTCCAAGAGAAGAAGAGTGGATCAGCAAGTTACATGCCAAGTATGGCGAGGACTACAAGAAGATGCTGTGGGACCCGAAATTGAACCCTACGTTCTTGAGCAGTGGTCAGTTAAAGAAGAAAGTGGCATTGTGGAAATCCACCGTTAATTAGGGCATTGCATTTCTATGTTGTAAATTAGATATTTGGAGACATGAAGTTAGTGTGTAGCATGTAGTTAGATTCGGCTAGGTAAGTCCTTCGCCAATATCTTATCGACAATATCACTCATTAGTGGTTTAAGGTTGGCATCCTGATAGAGGTCTATGAGTTTTTTGGTGGAGTGCTCTCCATTATCCTGGTTCTCGATCATTTCCACGAATGTAGGGTCAATTGGAAGGTTTCCTAAGAAATCTAGGCCCTGGCTTTCACTGAGTAATTTACCTCCTCCGCTCAGAAAGATGTTGGTACACTCAGCACAGTACGGACAGATAAATCCACTCATATTCTCAATAACTCCGAGCACGTTGAAATTGACCTTATGGCAAAAGTTGATTTCCTTCCTCACATCTGCAGTGGCAACCTGTTGAGGCGTCGTGACGATAATAGCTCCATCTAGTGGTTGGGCCCATCTCAACTCTTCAGCAATAGCGATATGCTCATCAGAAGTTCCTGGAGGGGTATCTATGAGCAAGTAGTCCAACGGAGTGTTATCATCTCCTCCATTCCAAACAACATCCTTCAAAAATTGGCGGATCATGGCAGTCTTTTTTGGGCCCCTCCACACCACGGAATTCTCTCGACTTCCAAGGAGAAAGCCGAGCGACATCAAAGACAAATTTCCTTTGGATTTGTCCCCTGCATTGTTGAAGACAGACACCGGCACCCAGCCCTGGCGAGACTGGTGAACCTGGCGCTTTTCCACACCAAACATCCGGGGAAGTGAGGGCCCAGTGAGATCTATATCAAGAACACCAACATTGAAGCCTTTGAGAGCCAATGTAAGCGCTGTTTGCGTAGTGACAGATGATTTACCAACACCTCCTTTTCCCGAGAGAATTAGAATCACATGCTTGACCTTGGCAAGCGATTTCGGCACCTCTTGGGATTCCATGATAAGAAGTAGTAAGTGAGAATTAGTAATCCTGGATACTGATCACAAGATATGGAGTGTGGAAGATGGAGTGTGGGATATGAATATGATCACCCGGGCAAAGCGTGTTAGCCCATTCTAGCGATATGGTGGGTTAAAAAAAATTCATATATCCTGTTGTTGGAAGATTTGGAAAGTTCAGATCTTTGGTTTTCACGTTGAGTTCTCGGATGAAAACTATGTGAAGACAAATGATTGCGAAACGACAGGTGAATACACCAAAGTCGATAAAATGAGATTGAAAGATGAGATTTCGTCGTTAATTTAAGATTCGTTTTGAGGTATGTTTTCCCTCATGGAGTTTTTCTTCCCAATGTGAGCTATTGTTCAGTTCGTCAAGAGGTTGCTGAACAGTTGTAAGTAGTTCAAAAAGCAGAACACATTCACTGAACAGAGTGAAGAAAACAGCCAATTTCTTAACTCTTCCTCTCAAATCACTTCTACCAAATTCAAATTTCCCCGAAACACGCTCTAAAACTTTCAGATTCTCCACTTGAACCATACTGATTCCATACATACTGCATACAACATGTCACCTTCAAGATCATTACCCAAAACTGCTACTACCACCAAATACACCTGACCTATCCAATTTCCTTGAATAACATGAACTCACGCTACTCAACAGCTGGAAGTGCCCACCAAAGAGATATCCGCACACAGCTTTTCAGCTCGCCGTCTCCCCGCCTTCTGAATGCGTCCACCCCCGCTAGAATGAGCTCTCCATACGATAAAGCACCACAGCAATCTGCAAAACACAACGAGGCATTCTTGCTGTCACTAGAAAGTCAGAATAATGAAGAAGTTGACCTGATGAGTCAAAAGGTCAATGCACTCAAGAATTTGGGAGTTCGAATGGGGTCGGAGATCAATAAATCCATGAAACTCAATGATGACATCTCCAACAACTTTGAGAAGGGTAAAATCACGTTAAAAAACACTTATAATCGCATGGTGGTCATGAGCAAGCGAGCAGGGATCCTGTGGCGCATGTGGTTGGTCTTTTTTTCCTTGTTCTTTTTGGCATGCTTCTATGTGTGGTTGTTCTAGACACTGGTTTCCTTGTATATTATATCAACAACTTCCTGAGCTTGCTGACTGTATTCGACTCATCGCCTGTACTCTTTGTTTTCAGCTTGTTCCCATCATCGACGCTCTCACCATTATCGTTGTCTTCTAGGTCGCCATCGTCCGAGTTAGTATCTTCCTCGGGCTCTCTGCTGCGTACGATGAACCCCACGGCCAGATAATCGTTGACAAAAGATCCTCGCGGACTCGATCGATATGGCGTATCCATTTTGAACTGAGAGAGTTGGTCAATTGAAGGAGAGGGAGTTAAAGTTAGCTTTTTACCGATTTTTCCTGTTGTCTTAACAGCACTCTTCATTTTGAGAATGGACTGTTTGGGTCTGAGAGTTCGGTGAGATGGCTGATGCTTTGGTGTAGGGGAATTTTCATTTCTGAAACCCACATTGGCTCTCTTTTTGGCTCTCCTTCTTTGCTTTGACTTGAGGTCTTTCTTTAGCGACAAATAGTACTGGTTGGTGTTGCTGGTAGCATCATCCTCGGAATCCGAGGAGCTATCTGGGTCTGACGAGTTACTCCACAGTAGCTGGTCTGTTTCGTTCTCTTCTGTTTCAGTGTGGAGACCCGACGAACTCCAGAGCTCATCGTCATCGTTCAATTCTCGTTGTCTCTGCTTTAATAGAGTTGCTTCCAAAGCTTTTCTAGCTGGTGAGTCCGATGAGGCACATTCACACTGCTTAGATAAAACCAGAGACGAATATTTCATCGGAAGGGCATTAATTCGAAGTTTCTTGTGAAGTGACATCAGAGGTGTCTCGGACACAGTAGGAATAGCCTTGGCTGGAGCAAATGGACTATGGAGTCCTTCAGCATCATTTGCGAGAGTCAGTAGCATATCGCTATTTTCAAGAATTGTCGATGAGAAGAGTAGTCTCAACGGATTAGCAGGACTTCTATATTTCGTTGACAGGGATCCAAAAATGTCAAGGTTCTCATATTGTTTGTCCCTCAACTGGCGGTATTTCTCCACATTTGTATCAATTAGGAGCTCAAATGCTTCCGCATCGAGTTCTTCTGTTTCTTCTTCCGGTTGTAGAGGTAGGTCAGGAGCGGAAATTCCTTTCGCATGTACAATGCCAATCTGAGTAGTATCCACAGCGTCCACATCAGACTTCGAGGATTCTGCTAGAGGAGATTTTGACCTTGAAGAACTTGACTTTGGAGACTTAGATCTTGAAGAATTCAACTTCTTAGACTTGTATGTTGAAGATTTGGAAGCTGAATTGGAGTTCGAGGTCTTTGAGTCCGAAGCTTTTGTATTTAAAGATTCTGATCTGGGCGATCCTGACCCAAGTATCTTACTAGGAACCAGACCATTTTGAGACAATGAAGCCTCATCCTCCAACGGTCTGGAGATATTCATTTGTACACCACCATTTACGTGTTCAATTTCACGTATTTCCACGTATCCGGGCGTAGAGGCATCCTCCAATCCATTATTATAATCGCTCCCATTCACATAATCCTCAATTATTAAGGGCTCTTCCAGTGACGCAGAGTAAACATCACAATCATCCATGTGAGACTCCACCACACTCTCCGGATCTAATTTCTCTAGAAGTTTGGCCAACTTGGGATACTTGTGAGGATTCGGAAACCCAGAACCTCCGTTTCCACGATCTATCCTTGCCAAACGAACACCCAAACTCTGCATGGATGCAGAGACTTTCAACGATAGCTCAAGAACTCTGTCTACATCAGATGACAAACCCGATGATGACGAGATCCGGCGGTTTTTGTCATCACTTGTACGAGACACACGATCAAAGCGTTTCGAACGCAGTTCTAGCTCCTTCTGGATGGAATGGGCCAATTTGGCTACTTGGATGTTTTTATACTGGATTTTCTGCTCGATAGTGAGAGCCCGACGGATTTCTGTCCGTAGATCAGTTTGGAACTTGGTTGTAACATTTAGTAGGGACTGAGCCACGGCTTCTGAGTGGTCAGCGAGGCTCTTAGCAAGGATGTTGGAGAGACGGAAATCGTCAATAGGCGGTAGCGGAACAGGATTCTTGAATTTGGGAGCATATGCCGACGACGATTTTCGGGCATTTGAACCTTGCGCCGGAATCGTCATAGAGATGATGATATAGGTATTTCAGATGGAGTGCAGATATCACCAACTTCCCCAGATTCCAATGCAGGAGATCGATGTTCAGGATGTACAAGAGTACGAAGGTGAAAAACTAAAAGACAAAAAAAAAAACACTAAGGAAAAAAGGTCGGGAGAATATGGAGATCAATTGGAAAGCGTTAGTTAGGATCAAAGAAAATAAAGCGAGTGGGAGAGATCAAGCAAACAATTGGTTGTAAATGATCGCAATCTATAGCAATATTCAGTGATCTGCAATTATAATGTAGGTTAATATGCTCAAAGTAGTTAATGAACAATGACAGTAAAGGGCTGAATCGAAGCCATTACAGAGAACAGTCGATAACAACTTCAGAAAATATCAATACTCGGTGAGATCGATACATTTCATTATAGCAACATTGGCCCATCCTAGTGGGGTTAATCTCTAATAGTATTTGGAGCTGCTAGTTCCAACCTCATGGCTATCACCAAAGGGGTCTGCACTGTCCACAGAGCCAGAGCTTTGGGTCTTGGCAACTGGTGGTCTTTGCAAGGGCTTGGGCTCAGACTCAGTTTTTGGACGCAAATTGGCCGATTTGAATGGCCGGGGTGGTGGAGATTTGACGGCCTCCTGGAGTCTGGAACTAGACTCTTGAACAGTCATGCTTCCCACTCCATCAGTCAACAGCTCCGAATCTGATTCGCTCAGGTAACAGCTCTCGTCGCTCTCTTCTTCCTCTTCCTCCTCGGGGTACACAGGTGCTGGATTTTCAGCGGTGTAGCCACTGGCTTTGTCGAATTGCTGAAAAGTGGTCACAAGCTGCTCATTGGCAACAATAAGGGAGCCCAAGAACTCTTCGTCCATAGCCACCACTTCTGCAGACTTACCTTCCTCACCTCCGGCTCCAACGTATTGCAAGTATCTGAGCACAGACCGACGGACTTTCCGACACTTTTCAAACTCTTTGGCGATCCTATCGTCTGACAATGGATCTGAGCCTGCTGGAAGAGCCAAAAGCAGATTGCTCAAAGCAGTTGTATGCGTATGGCACTCGGCAATGACATTTCTGATCTTTGGTGCTTCTACCTTGTAGTTAATCTGAGGAATTTCAAACTCCTCGTCGGCATATTTCTTGCCACGAGCGCTTTTCTTCTTCTTCTTTTTCTTATCACCATTGTCGGATGTCTTGCTAGCGTATGGTGAAGCGGCGGTAGGTCTTGGAGGAGCAGGTGACTTTCTGTTGCTGTTGCTTCTGTTTCTGGACGATGCTCGTTCGTACTCGTTAAACCGTTCATCAACACTGTCCGAACGCACACGTCTAGGACTACGGCTTTCAGAGGATGCTTCACTGTCGAATCTGGACGACAAACCAGTGCGGGGCTGCTTCAGTTGGCGTGGGATATACTTCCACAACTGGGCCATGCCTCTATAGCCATCCAAGTCTGCGAGCTCGGACTTCCAGCCAATTGCCAAGTTCTTAACCTTTTGCGCCACTTGTGGGTCGTAGTCAAACCCCAATCCCGAGCGGACATTGCCGCTGAGGATGTTCTTCAAGAGATCCAAGAGCTTATCATCTGAGGCCAATACTTGGCCGATTTTGGGCCCAGAATTGAGCACTAAAAGTTCCAAAAGCGACAATGCAAGCAACTGTTCCTCTACAGTGTTGCCATACTTAATTTTTTTGCGAACGGCCCGTGCAGCCTCCACAGCACCTGTCAGTTGGAGCTTGATGAGATCGATAAGATCCGTTACATAAAGCTCGATTGAATCGTCCTCTAAATCGTCATTACGATGAGGTTGACAGAGCTGATTAATTTTAACTGTGATGGACGTGAATGGTTTTTCGCCAAAGATGGGCATGTTTGCTGTAGTAGTAGATTCCTTGAGTTGTCTCATTGGATTTAGTGATAGTGTGGTGTGTACAGGACGTGGGGGTATCAGGTGGTGAGGCTGACTGGCGATTGACACCGAATTGAGTGGGGGGAAGTGAGAAGTTTAGTAGTTATATTGGAATGTTCTTTTTTTTTTTTCCAATAAATAAACTTTAAGTGATTCTATTTAGTTTAGAACTTTGTAGTTTCTTTTTTTTTATCATTTTTTTTATTTAAATCTTTTCATACATTCATCTTGGATTACTGAATCATTGAAGTGTCCTTTCTCACTCAATATTTCAACCCGACATGTCTAATTGGAATTGGCTAAATTATCGCAATTGTTGCGAATCTCCCCATAAAAAAGGAGACACCAGAACGCCGTATACGCTTTTGAGTCATTAACGAGCCTTCTCGATTTTAGCTATGAGGGCGGTCCAGCTTTCGCTAAATATTCTTGAACTTCATACTACTCGCTGTTCTTCTTGATGCTCCATTCTCCACTGACATCGCAGGTAACGATCGCCTCAACAAAAAACTGAACACAAAAAATTGTCATACTTAAATCCAACATGATTTCACTGATCCTCATTTATCATGAAAACCACATCACCATTCCTATCTAGTTTCCAAATCTATCTCCTATTTCTTCGGGTAAGTCATCGTCTACACGTGACCTCATCTTCAATGAATGTGTTCAACCATACCAATTGACACTTTTGAAAACTAGAAATTCAAAGTGTCCTGGATTAAATTCCACCTAAGTATCACCTATAGCATCAAATCAGCCCAGACATCCTCTCCACCTTCTGCATTGTACCAACTTGTCTTCCTGTTCCTGTACAGGAGATCACTATAATCTACAGCAATACATCGAAAATTTTTACCTACATTGAACCCTACCACCATGTCGGACAACAACCAGTACAACCCCGACAAATTGGCGCAGGATTTTTCGCAGACCAACGTCAACGACGGATACAACGCCAAGTCCCAGACGTTCGTTCCTCAGGGCCAGTACAATCAGTATCAGAACTACCAGGACCAATATAACCAGTACAACCAGGGATACCAAGGCCAAAACCAAGGATACCAGGGCCAAAACCAGGGATACCAGGGATACCAGGGTCAGTACAACAACCAGTACAACAACCAGTACAACAATCAGTACAATAACCAGTACAACAACCAATACGGTGGCTACAACCAAAACAACTACTATAACCAATATGGATACCAGCAGGAGCAGCAGCCACAGCAGCAGGGAATGTCTTTGGCTGACTACCAGAAACAACAGGCCGCTGCCCTGTCTTCGTTGAACAAGCCCAAGAAGACATTGAAATTGGCTGGATCTTCCAACATCAAGTTGGCCAATGCCACCAAGGTTGTGAAGAAGGAGGAAGAGAAGAAGGAAGACAAGGAGGAAAACAAGAAGGAGGAGAAGACTGAGGAGAAAAAGGAGGAAAAGATTGAGGCTAAACCAGCAGTGAAGATCGAGCCTAAGGTCGAGACCAAGCCAGGTAAGGAAGCCTCTCCAGCACCTGCCAGCAAGCCAGTGGCCAAGGCCAAGGCTGCTGCTTTGGCTAAGACTTCTTCGACTTCTTCCACCAAGGAGTCTACCCCTGTCGCTTCTGTGGATGCATTGATCAAGGAGCAGGAAGACGAAGTCGACGAGGAGGTTGTCAAGGACTTGTTTGGAGGTAAGGAGCACCTTTCTATCATCTTCATGGGTCACGTCGATGCCGGAAAGTCCACCATGGGTGGTAACATCTTGTACTTGACTGGAGCTGTGGACAAGCGTACTGTGGAGAAGTACGAGAGAGAGGCCAAGGACGCAGGTAGACAGGGTTGGTACTTGTCGTGGGTTATGGATACCAACAAGGAGGAGAGAAACGACGGTAAGACCATTGAGGTCGGAAAGGCCTGTTTCGAGACTGACAAGAGAAGATACACCATTTTGGACGCTCCTGGCCACAAGATGTACGTTTCCGAGATGATTGGTGGTGCCTCGCAAGCCGACGTCGGTATTTTGGTGATTTCCGCTAGAAAGGGTGAGTACGAGACTGGTTTCGAGAAGGGCGGTCAAACCAGAGAGCACGCTCTCTTGGCCAAGACCCAAGGTGTCAACAAGATCATCGTCGTGGTCAACAAAATGGACGACCCAACCGTTGGATGGTCCGAGGACCGTTACAAGGACTGTACCTCTAAGTTGGGACTTTTCTTAAAGGGTATCGGTTATTCTAAGGAGGACGTTATTTTCATGCCTGTTTCTGGTTTTACCGGAGCCGGTTTGAAGGAGAGAGTTCCCAAGAAAGACTGTCCATGGTACGATGGCCCAGCCTTGTTAGAGTTCTTGGATGACATGAAAATCGCCAACCGTCACATCAACTCTCCATTCATGTTACCAGTTTCTGGAAAGATGAAGGACATGGGTACCATTGTGGAAGGTAAGGTTGAGTCCGGACACATCAAGAAGGGTGCCAACTTATTGATGATGCCTAACAAGGCCAATGTCGAGGTGGTGGCTATCTACAACGAGTCCGAGCAGGAGTGTGAGGGTGCCTACAGTGGAGAGCAGATCAGATTGAAGATCAAGGGTGTTGAAGAGGAAGATGTCCAGCAAGGTTACGTTTTGACTTCTTTGAAGAATCCCGTCAAGACCGTGACTCGTTTCGAGGCTCAGATCGCCATCGTCGAATTGAGATCGATCTTGTCTAACGGTTTCTCTTGTGTGATGCACTTGCATACCGCCATTGAGGAGGTGAAGTTTGTGGAGTTGAAGCATAAGTTGGAGAAGGGTACCAACAGAAAGTCCAAGAAGCCACCTGCGTTCGCTAAGAAGGGTATGAAGATTATTGCTGTCTTGGAGACCAACGAGCCTATCTGTGCCGAGACCTACAACGACTACCAGCAGTTGGGTAGATTCACCTTGAGAGACCAGGGTGTCACCATTGCCATTGGTAAGATCACCAAGTTGTTGTAAATGTAAGGGTTGTATACTATAACGAATCTACTAGTCGTGTATTGTAGCTTTTCCATAGCTCTTATCCAGCTATTCCTGTTCTGTTAGCTGTTCCTGCTCTGCCAATTTTCCAAAGATGTTGATAAGATTCTCTACTCCCACGATTACATTCTCGTCGTGTCCTTGTCCTTCCACGTACTTCGAGTGGGAAAAATCAATAAAGTTTAATCTGCTGAGGGGAGTATTCTGTGGATCTTCATCATCCTCGTCTTCATTGTCAGGATCTTCCCCAATGAGTGGGTCTTTTGCAAAATACGAATCCTCATCAAGCTCATGCCATTTCTCTGGATCAGACTCGTAGATAAAAAACAAAGAGCCCGCTACAATACGCACTTCTGTGTCAAGCAAGCAATTATAGAGTAACTGGAGACGCTGGTGAAATCTGGTGAGGAGGAACTTCGAGTTCACCAAGTCCGAATTGAAAAATTCCAAAATTCCATCGGCCACGGTCTCATCGGTGAGTTTTCTACCGTAGAATTTGTTGTACTTCAAGAAGTGACCGTCCTCAGACTTTATTACCTCCACCGTTTCGTTCAGCCCAGGAAACACCTCTGTGTCTGGCTTGGTTGTGCAGTTTCCACGATAAGTCTTCATTCCACAGACTCTTAAATGCAACGAGCCACTTGTAGTGGACTCGCTAACCTTGGCCAAGCGCTGGCGTTTCTCTTCAGTCACAGTATCGTCTACTAGAACCGCACCTAACTTTATGTCCAAAATACTAGGCTTCAGAAACCCATGGTACAAGTTCTGGAGCACAAGGTAGCGTTTATCTGGTTTTGCACTATCAGAAGTATTTGCCGAGTCAGCAGCGGCACTTGCAGCAGCACCTTCTACCAAACCTTCAACTGCATCCTTCACTACAATAGCCTCATCGCCCCCAATGGCTCCCTGTTGCAAGGTGCCCATGTAGGTGGGCATCCAATGCGAGAGATGAGAACCTAAATCGGCTTCGGCGGGCGCAAGCAGCGCCAGCTCGGCGTAGAAGTCAATTTCCTGCTGAGAGGTAAGTTTGGCGAACACGGGACCCGCCGTGAGACATCCATCGTGGCCTGCTGCCTGATGTTCAGAAGGAACAAATGCCATGATGTTGGTTTGGATACAGGCCAGTGAGGCTATGGAGGTAGGTGATGAAGAAGAGGCTTGGAGATTACATGAAACTAATGAGGGAAATACTACTGGAAAGTATTATGTAAATGTCATTCACAAATTCGAAAATTGTGAAAAAAATATGTGATGGATCAAGAAGGTTATTTTTTCATTGGATGAAATCTGTTAAATAATATGAATTATCCCAACCTGTGCATAATCTATGTGGAAGTAGATATCGGAATTTTCTCATAGCTAAGACTAATGATTCCATGTGGACATTAAACAGCCGAGAGTCGTACTACTATTTGATCACCATGGGACAGAAAATGATATGAAGCTCGTAAAAAGTATCGAAAAGTGAAATTTTAAAGTGAAATTTTGTAGCTTTTATGGATTGTAGGGTTGTGGAGCTACAGACCACTGGATATGATTAACTAATCAGTAATAGATAGGAGTGGCAATACGCAACTCTGAATATCTAAGATAACTATCGATGTGGATTCAGGTAATACGATTAATTCCGTTCTTTATATTAACCTCGACGGAATTGGCGTTTTTTTTTATATTTTTTCATTACCGATGCTTTTTGGCCATAACTTGCCGGATTACCCTATACGAAGAAGTACGTCGTAATATGGGCAAGGAGAAGAAAGAGTGACTTTTCTGGATGATTTCTTTTTCCCTTTTAGTAATTTCATTGAGAAAAATCAAACATGCTATTTTTAAATATTCACATTCCCAGAATTATTCACCAAACACGTCTAGTACATCTCCTTCATCAAACTAAATTTTCCAGATTCTTGCTCGAAACCAATACCAAAAGGGGCCGGGCGATTGATTGTTTTGGCCAGGTGTTTGGTAACGTGACACGTCACGTGACATACCCGAAAATGAAATGGCCAACTTTCACCACGACAACCACAACACTTGGCCGAAAAAATTCTTCTATTTAACGGCCACAATATATCTTAATTATTTGTTCAGTACAGAAATCTGAAAAAAGCCACAAATCCCCTGTCACAGCCTCTTTAAAACCAGCGTGAAGTGACGAAAAACCTCGTGTGTGCAGTACGAGGCACCGCCTACACTTAAACACAAAACAGCCCGAATTCCGGTTCAAGAGCACCATTTCATCCACAGAATGAGCAACCCATACTACAACAATGGCGCCAACACGGGGTCATACGAGATGAGCTCGTTCAAGTACGGCGGCGAGGACGACTTCGTCGCGTTCATGAACGAGATTCAAGATATCAACTCCCAGTTGGACAACTACTCCAACTTGGTGGACTTGATTGCCAACAAACAGAGAAACTACATCCAGGAATTGGACTTGAATGACGAGGACGTTGACTACTCGTCCAAGCAAATCGACGCTTTGGTTTTGGAGGCTTCATCGTTGCAAAGCGAGTTAAAGTCTAGAATCAAGAATGTCCAGACACAGGCAGCTCAGCTGAGAAACCCACAGAAGGTGGACCAGGCGGAGAGTTTGAGAAACAAGTTCTTGGATCTTATCCAGAAGTACCGTTTGACCGAGAGTAACAACAGAGAGCAGACGAGAGTCCAGGCCGAGAGACAGTACCGTATTGTTAAGCCAGATGCCACCGATGAAGAAGTACATGCCGTTGTGGAGGATGGCAGCAGCAACCAGCAAATTTTCCAGCAAGCTTTGATGCAGCTGAACCGTAGAGGCGAGGCAAGAACCGTGTTGAATGAGGTCCAAGTGCGTCATCGTGAATTGTTGAAGTTGGAGAAGACCATGGCTGAGTTGACGCAGTTGTTCCACGACATGGAGGAGTTGGTGATTGAACAGGACCAGCCTATTCAACAGATTGAGGAGCAGATCAACACTGCTCAGCACGACATTGAGCAGGGTGTTGGACACACACAGAAGGCAGTTGTATCTGCTAAGAAGGCTCGTAAGAAGAAGTTGTGGTGTTTCTTCATTATTGTTCTTATCATTGTGATTCTTGCGCTTATTTTGGGTATCTACTTTGGTACCAAGTAAGCGGGGCTTAGGCCGGTGGGCAAGGGAAGAAATTGAGTTGAGTGGATTGATTTAGTTTATGGTGAATTATGATGAGTTGAATGAAACGAGCAGAGTGATTTGAATTAGTTGCGTGAATTATCGTGAGTCGAGTGACGGAGTCCCGTCACGCAGTCCCGTGAATAAATTGCAGTGATTGTGGGGAGTCAAGTGACCAAAATACAGAGTCAAGTAACAGAAGTATGGTGAGATGAATGCATTGAAGAATGGAGTGATGTGAGTGATTCCCGACGTCCAACGTCCACTGTCAAATCTCCACTTCAATTCTATAAAAGCTTGAATCTGTTGATTTGCAACTTGTGATCGGTGGCTTAACTCCGATTGTCTCTATTGTCCATGAGAAATCAACCTTTAATCACTTGCAGTTGAAACGCATAGTCCGTGGCTCTCGCTTCGTGCTCACTGTTTGGAACCCTGTACATTGGCAACCTCACGATGTGCGACGCCAGAACCATGCGCTCACTCTTCGCGGTAAACTGGTCAGTTACTCTGTGCCACCCTTCGTACACCCGCCTCCCATATGTTACTTCCATTGACATTACTCAGTCGCATCCTTACATCGCCCAATGTCTGGCACCGTCTGGTCACTTTTTTTTCTAAAACGTATGGCTCTGCCTCCTAATTAGTATTAATATACCTTTGACTCTGACTACAGGAAAGTCTACCAATGACAGGGACTTAGTCGCATGCTGCAGGACGGCATGGGCTCCTGTCACCTGACAGAAAAGGCGTCCGACAAAAAAAGCCGAAATGGCTCCAGTGCTATCGGAGGGGATGGCGAATGGAAAAGAAATCCCTATAGAAACCAAATACCCGCCAGGATTCAGCTTTGTGGAACTTGACAATACTCCACAATTCGGCGAACTCCACTGAAAATTTCCTCCATATCTTATCTAAATTACTCATTGCATTCATTTAGAGATTCCTTCAGAAATCCCGGAACCTTCCACCCCAGGCGCCGCGGCCTCACCGCGCTGGGACCACATATCTCTAACGGCGATCTCCCCTTGCTACAGCCAATCACAATGCAAGAGATATGGAATGGCTGTTCTTTCTGCAGGTCTCTCGTTGCTTTTTTCGCGAATGGCACTGTCATAGGGCATCTCAACGATCTGCACAGTCCGCCGCATATGCAGTGGGCGTAAGCCTGGCAGAAAGAATCGGCCGCTTGCAAATTTCTTATCTTTGGTTCTTCAACGTATAAAGAGTGCGAATACCTCGACTAATTTTATCCAGTGGTGAATCTTCGAGATACAAAGTTATCATGTCTGATCAGGAAAAAGTCATCGCTGTCGAGTCCGATACCAAAAAGAGAAACTCGGCTGACTCGTTTGAAAAGTCATTGGGCTACGACTCGGCCCAGGCTGAAGCTGCTCCTGCTGGTCTTAACATCTTTGACAGATGGGCTTCCAAGTTGAATGCCGAGACCAAGGGTATTGAGTTGATTACTGACGAGGAAAAAGTTGGCGACTCATTGTTGAACGCTGCTACCATGTGGTTGTCTGCTAACATGGTCATCGCAACATTTTCGCTCGGTGCTTTGGGAATCACTGTGTTTGGCTTGTCCATGTTCCAGTGTATTATGGTGATTATCTTCTTTAATCTTTTGGGTGCTTTGTCTGTGGCTTTCTTCTCCATCTTTGGATGCAGATTGGGTCTCAGACAGATGATTTTGTCCAAGTTTCTTCTCGGTGACTATGGTATGAGAGTCTTTGCTTTCATCAACATGATTGCTTGTGTGGGTTGGGGTGCCGTGAACATCATGGCCTCCGCACAGTTGTTGAACATCATTAATGGCGGTGCTTGTCCTCCATGGGCTGGTTGTTTGATTTTGGTTGTCTGTACCATTCTTGTCACCTTCTTTGGATACCACATTATCCACCAGTATGAGAAATGGAGTTGGATTCCAAACATTATCTGTTTTATTGCTATCATCGCCAGAATGGCCAAGGCTAAGACCTTTACCTGGGGTGAGACTGTGGGTGGTCCAACCACCGCTGGTAACGTCTTGTCCTTTGGTGGTACCGTGTACGGTTTCGCTACTGGTTGGACCACTTACGCTTCTGACTACACTGTCTACCAGCCAAGAAACGCCAACGGCTTCAAGGTTTTCTTTGGTATCTTGTTGGGTTTGTGTTTCCCATTGATTTTCACTATGATCTTGGGTGCTGCCTGTGCTACTGGAACTATTACCAACACTCGTTGGCACGATCTTTACGAGGAGAAGTCTGTCGGTGGTTTGGTGTACGCCATTCTTGTCGAGGACTCCTTGCACGGTTTCGGTGAGTTCTTGTGTGTCCTTCTTGCTCTCTCGACTGTTGCCAACAACATTCCAAACATGTACTCTATCGGTTTGAGTGCTCAGGCCGTGTGGTCTCCACTCAGAAAGGTCCCAAGAGTGTTCTGGACCATTGCTGGTAACTTTGTCACCTTGGCCATTTGTATTCCAGCCTACTACGAGTTCGAGGATGTCATGGAGAACTTCATGAACTTGATTGGTTACTACTTGGCTATCTACGAGTCCATGTCGTTGTCGGAGCACTTTATCTGGAATAAGGGCAGATTCTCCGCTTATGACTACGAGAACTTCCATGACAAAACTGTCTACCCAGTGGGTTACGCTGGTGTTTTCGGTTTCTGCTGTGGTGTTGCTGGTGTCGTCCTTGGTATGAACCAAGTTTGGTACGCTGGTGTGCTTGCTAAGAAGATTGGTGATTATGGTGGAGATATTGGATTTGAGCTTGGTGCTGGTTTCTCCTTTGTTGGTTTCAACACTGTCAGATACTTTGAGAAGAAGTATGTTGGCCGTTAATTTGTGCATGTGTAACTTTAATTTTAATATTTATGGATCATGATGTACGGCGGGGTTCCTCTATAATAATGAAGTATTTTTCCAGTTCGGGTCAAATGTCGGATTTCCGCCAAATCTATGCATTAGTGATATCGGTCATGTCCGTGACCTGGCACCTTATCAGTAATTCGGTCCAAAATGCCACATCGGGAAAGGTGGAGAAAATCACTCTGCAAGATAAGAATCTAGGAAGACCAACGACGCCCATATGCTCGATTACCTAAATAAATGGCTCTTCCTGTCATGATTACTAAGTTGGGACTAATACTTGTGAATCCTGTCAATAATTGTAAAAAAAAAACCTCTACACCAGCCATTATACCTCCATCTCCTATGTACTATTTGATGTTGAAGTTTTCATTTGATTGGACCCATTTGATTTCAGCATATTTCTTATTGGCTTCAGCCACTGTTTTGATCGCTAAACTCATACCTGATCTTCGCCAATTGATACGATATGGTAAGGTAGGTTTGCAATCATCCACAGCAGAACCTCGATCGTATTTTGCCAAACTTGTAGCTCTAGTCGCAAGTGTGAAGGTCCCCAAGACATGGTTTGCTCACTTCTATATTGTTTTTGCTTTGCTACAATGGGCACAGCTACTCTTGATGCCGCACGCCGTCGTGAATTCCAATTATCTGGTGGTTTGGCTTCTCTTGACTGCTCAAGCTTCAAGACGCTTGCTTGAAAGTCTTTTCTTGACAAATTGGGGATCTTCGTCGCAAATGCATATATCGCACTATATCGTGGGTCTTTTATTCTATGTTGGCATCTCGTTGTTGTGCTACCTTGGACTCTCTGAAGGTGGTTCATCCCATTGGGAATGGCTGGAGCTACGAATAGTCGTTGCGTTTGTTCTTTTCTCTTTTGATCAATTCCAGAATCACCAACACTTAGCTCTGTTGGTGAAATATTCAGTTCCTACGTTCCGTCTCTTTAAAGTGGTTTCTTGTGCTCATTACTTGGATGAGATAATTATATACTTGTTGGTTACTTCAGAATCACTCACTAGAGGAGCCAAATCAAGCACTTGTTACGCATTTGTGACTGCCTGGACTTTTGCCGTCGTTAACTTGACGGTAAGCTCTTTGGAGACAAAAGCATATTATGAGATTAAGTTCGATGACTACGATGTCGAATATGCTATTGTTCCATATGTGATCTAAAGAAGAAAGAGAGCCCCGACATTAACTATGTGGATGTACGGGTGTTTTGTTTCTTGTGTACGGGTGTTTACCTATCGGTTTTGTGGTCGAGTCTTTGTGGTATGGTTGCAAACGGCTCGATTTAGTCCAAAAAGCTCCTACAACTGATAATGAGTCTGATTATCAAGCTAGCAACTTATTAATTTTGTGTTCCTACCTAAACATGTCAATCTCATTCGAAATATAAACGTGCTGATTTTTCGGGCCGTTGGGAAGAGAAACTCATTGTACAGTGATGTTTGAGGACCTACAGACTCTATTTTAGAAAACACTAGGCAACGCCTTCTGTTATTTGGTGATATTTGTGTCAAAGTTCGTGCTTTAAAACAAGGAGATCTAAACCTTCCAGAACGAGGGTGAGTCTAATGCATTTTGAGAAAATCTACGGAAAGTGAACGAAACACAGACCCAAATAAGTAACACATGAAGGCAAATGCTTGCAATGACACTTATCTAGTACATTAGGCTACTACAGTGGCAGATCGGTATAGGAGTTTGAGTATAACGCGTCCATTGACAATATCATACTTGATCTCGTCCACCACATTTACCACACTTCAGGAAGATTAAATATTCTGGTGTCTATTAGATACGTGATATTCGAAACTTCAACTATATCCTAATGTATTGACAATCAAGAAATTTTCATTCTTCAGCAGAATTCCGAATGTATAGTGGTTCTCATAGCACGAGCTACCATACATACCAAAAGCTATGGATTGTCATTCATATTCTGTTAAACATACCACCCAAGACTTCACTTTCAACTAATTGCCAAAACCTCGTCGCGAATCAACCCATTTGTTCTATTTATACTTACTTTTTCCGATTTCTCCGATTGGGTTCTGCTCCACAGCCTGGTCCTTCACCTAAGATCATTACTTCATCTGACTTGTTACCTCTTTCGCCTCCACATCCACCATGCCTCCGAAAATTGGCTGTCCCGTGCATATCAACCTTCGATGTGACGGGAAAAGCCTCGTGAAAGGGTGTCCTGGTGTTATGCACAGCATTGTATGTGAAATACTCGTTGGTATCAAATCAACCTGCGCAAGGTCAGTACTAACATCCAGCCACGAATAGAAGCGGTGATCGAGATTCGCCCAGTCAAGGGCCATCCATTCTGTTGTCGTGCTGTAGGTGTTGAACTACGCACAGAACAAAAAGTACAGACGCAATCCACACTAGGTTCTAGTGAGACAGTCAAAGAGTACAAAATATGTGGAGATCCCATGGTGTATTCGCCGCCAATGGGGTTATTCCACCAGGAATTGCTAGCCCTAGACATTCCTGTGATTCTCCCTTTACCCCGAGATATGCCTCCGAGTAGCTACTTCGACAATTGGGGTGCCACAACCACTCATCATCTCTTTGTCAAGTTTACAGGAGGAACTTCAGCAGAAACAGAGTATTCCTTCTTGGAGTCATTCGCTATTCCCGTTAAGTTGTATGACACACTTCCTCTATATCGCCAGTACAATGAACCTGTGGAAGAGGTGCAGATTTCGTCGGACAATCAGCTGATATTACAAGTCCACTTGCCAGTATCGTCTTTGGGCCCTCGAGATCCGTTTACAGTCGATGTCCAAGTCAAGGCAAACACCTTACACAATAAGAGAAAGAAGAACTTGCTGGTGAAGCAAATCACGCTTCAAATGCGCGAGGTTTTGGAGTGCTACGACGGAGGGCTTGCTCCTAGAAAGGAAAATAAATTCATCAGCACGAGTGTGGAGTTTGACCATCATTTGACCTCAGAAGGAATGAAGCATCGTTTTTCCTTTGAATTTCCTCATGCCAACGATGCGCTAATATTCTTCAAGAAATTCTCCCAACGGAACTTGAGTCCAAAAGTTGTCAATTCTGCCACTGCTCAGTTCAACAGAAACAAGAACTTCCCCAAGCTTGCCGATGGGATTCCTCTAACCCACGTCCAAGGCTTCACTACCATTGGCAAATTGTTTTCTCTCAGGTACGAGATCACTGTCAAGGTGAAGATAAACCATGGCAAAGATATCGACCTAACTATCCCCATAACAGTATCTCCTTACGATAGAGATAGCAGTCAGTACCTTCTTCTGTGGATCAGAAATGAATGTATGCTAGCTCGTGACCGATTTGGGAAACAAACAGTTCATGAAATATCCCATTTCCATTCCCACGAAGACATGCAGCGACTACTAAATCATTATTGTGGAGCCCCAGAGTTGTATTACTATCAAAAGGACGACTGGGAAAGTTTGGGTTACGATCCACGAGCATTTGGGAAGCAAGATCCTGGTAGACCTCTTGCTACATATATAGACTAGACATGGAGTCTCTCTGGATATTAAGGGAGCTACCATCGTTTAAATGCAAGGCTTTCACTTGACCAATAAGCTGGAAGGTGTGAATTCAAATTGAAATGAGAGTCACCGCACTTTCAGCTTCAAGAAAACATTCCTATACCATTGTCAACTATGATTTGGCCAGCTTTTTCAATCACTAGATTTCACCTTAAGAACGTAGAAGAGGACAATGAATTTGGGAGAGGAAACGCTTGGTAAATATGACTCAACAAGTCTAGTCGCGTTGAAGAAGTCTTGGTTGACAATTGATAATATTTTTTTGTTTGATTAAGAGAGGCAAGGTGAGCGCAATTGGTAATGAGCTCTTGTTGCCCAGATAAGACCGTTTTCAACATTTGTCTTTACCTGAAATACATGCACAATTAGACCATCTTCGTTGCAGATCGATGCACTTCCGATTCTGACAGGTTTGTGTGTAAATGGGTCATTAAAACTTTGGAGGGCGTCAATGTATTCTGAATTTCAAAACATAGTAACCCTTCAAAACCAATCATTCTGTCGACTATTTCTGAATATGTTTGGTTAATATGTTGCTGACGACATGGACCCCTCAACAATTGAGCATTTCAAACGTATATGCTTGTTTCTCAAAAGAAAACGATTATAAAGTTCAAATTGAGTCAATCAAATGTAGTTCTTCCCGTTCAAATCGATGTATTAAATGGTTATACGTATTTCAATTCTGCCCTAGTGAAATCCTCAACTGGATGCTGAGATTGCTAGGGACAAAGGTGAATTCGTCCAACATGTAGCTTAAATTGAACTCTTAGTATCCAGCTCTTCCATGGTAGTCAAAGTTATCAATGCAACTTTCACTACGTTTTACGTGATTCTCAGTTATTCAGATAGCGTGAAGCATTAGTCTCGTTTGATCGAGATATACGAAGTACTATGGAACCAGGCTGTAACAAACCAAAAATCCTCGATAAATTTTCAAATGTAATATAGAAGACTTGAAAAATCTACTGCTCTTTTCACTTGATCCAATTCAGATAAATTTTAGTACGTTTACATATATTTACTTCCCTGTCTCTTCCTTCATATACCACCTCCAATTTAACCTACTACAACCACACCATGGCTGCTCCACCATCATATGCACCGACATCGACCACTTCATACACGCCAGCAGGAGTGAATCCTAGTATTGATTACCACCAAGAAATCACCAGGGGTGCAATCCTCACCACATCTGTCCACAAGGCAGTGTACGAGTCACTATGTGAGATCTATTCCATTATCACCGTGCTTGAAATGGTGGAGAATGCCTTCTTGAAGGACTTCGTCACGGACAAGGAGAAGTATACCAGCACAGTTATGCGGCTAATTAACCAATACCAGATCTTGGTACAGAGTCTAGGCAAAAGCGATGCTCACCGTTCCATCTTGAGAGATGTCTTGCCAGGAGTGGCCGACGACAACTCCAATTTTCTAACGTTGCTTCAGGAGAAGTTCTCTATCCATCTGTCGTTAGCTGCTGATCGTCTCACCTCAGGAATTCCCGCCACTATCGAACACATGCATACCGTAGTTGATAGTTCCAGTCATCCTGTTCAAGTAGCTGATCAAGGAGCTGGCAAGGCGCTGGCAGCCGGAACCAGGCTAGTGGCGGAATCCACCGGTAATTTTATCACTATTATGGACGCATTGAAGTTGAACTATAACACAAAAGCCCAACTTCATCCACTCTTGAGTGATTTGGTGATTTCTCTCAATGATCTCGTGACCATTGATAATGAGAGCAGCAAGCCCATGGACTTCCCTGGAAAATCAAAGCTTGTTAACTGGCTTATCAAGCTCAACAATTTGGAAGACACCCAGGAACTACTAGCCACAGATTGCGACCAGTTCTTGGAAGACTTGGATTCCGCCTACAAAGGTTTCTACAACTCTCTAGAGTAGGTCTAATATACGTTTATGGTTGCACTAGACAATGGACTCGATCTGTTCTGCGTAGTTCAACACGTTGGTTATGATCTGGGATGAGTCAGCCAACGAAGAGTCCTGGCTCTTGTGCTGGCTGAAATAAATCACTCCATCTCTGAACACCCAGTCGTCAACCTCCAACTCCTGCTTCAATACCTCCTCAAACGTCAGATCGGACTGCTCCTGAGGAAAGTACAACAAGGTCTTGCAGTTGGAGATGGGAATGGAGTCATTGGTCTTTTCAATAGACTTTGCAATTTCCACACGCAACGTGTTGACCAACGTAGACGTGAAGTGTTGGTATTCCTTGCACGGCAAGTTGGAGTCGGCCTGCAACAACTTCCAGATCTTAATGTAATTTCCCTCCATCAAGTTGCGCTCCATGTCAATAGGATACTGTAAATACTTGTCTTTGTCGATGTTGAACTGTGGTGCATGGTAGATGGACTCCAACTCGATGTGGAACTTGCTGATATCACCTTGTGTTAGCAAGTAAATCAAATATAACGATATGATCTTCGTGCTGTCGGAGTTGACTTCGTTCTTACCATGCAATTTGGCAGTGGCATAGAATGGTCTCAACGAGGCAAAGTAATTTTCGAAACTCAGGTAGTTATGGGTCAAGAGCGACGAGAATGCTCCAATTTCCAAGATCCGCTCGGCGATTTTCAAGTCGTTTAGCTGGTCATTGGTTTGAGTGTTGGCGCTGGTAGGAACAAGGAGATTGTGTTTGATCAACTCGATTTTGACGGGTGTGAGCAATTGTTGGCACTCGGTGTACTTTTCCTGTTCAAACAACAGGTATAATTCCTCTGCGAGTTTAGGGAGGGCCATAATGGGAGGATGGTTTGAACTATAGACAATGGTGTAGGTTGTTGAGGTGTACGCCACTGCGTGCGAAGCACATAAAAGAGATAACTGAATATGGTTATAGCGGACATATACGATTTCATGAGTTAGAAATATCAGTGAAAGAAGATTAAAATAAAAATCACCTATGAAAATATTCTCCAACTCAAGTATGGTATTGATGATGATCTGGTATTGACCACTAGCTGTTATTACAAATTCGTGGACCTTGAGGTAGAGGCTAAGACTTCTAAAGTTTTCAAGTATTTAAAGTATTTCAAGAAATCCATCTATTACAACGTACTCATTATATTTCCAAATATTATTCGATTATTCTTTTTATTAATCTTCTTCATGCTTATTCACGTTTTTTCCTTCACCTTATCCTTCACCTCTATAATTCTTATTAAACCTGGATCTGATTGTTTGTCTTTCGCACCCACCTCCAACTTATACCATCCACGAAATCCACCAACTCTGGGTTTTATAACAACTTTTTAACTTTTTCCCTCCATTTCTTCTTCCTCATATCTGCCTTAGTCAAATTCCTTCTCTCACTTTCCCTCCCAGCCATTTTCTACCAAATTCCCCTACTCTTACACGTCACTGGTCGTGCGCAGACCAATACACTCGGACACTCGTGTTAAAAACTTCCAAACACTAAACCTTCAACACATCCAACCCCCGCCAATTGCACCACCATGAAGTTGGACGTGACCAAGCTGTTCTCCACGCGGTCCGAAAGGGTGAAAGGAATTGACTTCCACCCTTCCGAGCCCTGGATTTTGACCACCTTGTACAATGGAAAAATCGAAATCTGGTCCTATGCTACAAACTCTCTCGTCAAGTCCATCCAGGTGACTGATTTGCCTGTCAGAGCAGGTAAGTTTATTGCTAGAAAGAACTGGATTGTTGTTGGTTCTGACGATTTCCAGATCAGAGTGTACAACTACAACACTGGTGAGAAGATCACCCAGTTTGAGGCTCATCCTGATTACATTCGTAGTATCGCCGTTCATGCCACCTTGCCGTACATTTTGACGTCTTCGGATGATTTGACCATCAAGTTGTGGAATTGGGATAACAACTGGCGCTTGGAACAGACCTACGAAGGTCACCAGCATTACATTATGTGCGTGAATTTCAACCCTAAGGACCCCAACACTTTTGCGTCTGCGTGCTTGGACAGAACCGTGAAAGTGTGGTCGTTGGGCTCGCCAACACCAAACTACACCTTGGTGGCTCACGACATCAAGGGTGTCAATTATGTCGACTATTACCCTCAGGCCGACAAGCCATATCTTATCACGTCTTCTGACGACAAGACCATCAAGATCTGGGATTATCAGACAAAGTCTTGTGTTGCAGTGCTCGAGGGCCACTTGGCTAATGTGTCTTTCGCCATTTTCCACCCAGAATTGCCTCTCATTGTGTCTGGTTCTGAGGATGGAACCGTGCGCTTCTGGAATTCCAACACTTTCAAGTTGGAGAAGTCTGTCAACTACGGATTGGAGCGTGTGTGGTGTGTGAGTGTTTTGGCCAAGTCCAATTTAGTGGCTGTGGGTTGTGACAGCGGATATGTGGTGGTTAAGTTGGGTAACGAGGAGCCTCTTTTCTCCATGGACAACAACGGTAAGTTGATCTTCGCAAAGAACTCTGAAGTGTTCCAGTCCGTCATTAAGCCCACAAGTACTGACGGAATCAAGGATGGTGAGTCCTTGCCTATTCAACAGAGAGATCTTGGTACTGTGGAGATCTACCCACAGACTTTGGCTCATTCTCCAAATGGAAGATACGCTGCTGTTTGTGGTGATGGCGAGTACCTCGTTTACACCGCATTGGCCTGGAGATCAAAGGCTTACGGTAAGGCCTTAGACTTTGCTTGGAACACACACGATCTCTCCAATGCTACCACCTATGCTATCCGAGAATCTAAGATGTCCGTTAAGGTTTTCAAGAACTTCCAGGAGACTTTGTCTGTGGATCTTGTGTATGAGGCTGAGAAAATCATTCCTGGTGCTTTGCTTGGTGTCAAGTCGGTAGGTCTCTTGTGCTTCTACGACTGGGAAACCGGGGCGCTTATCAGAAGAGTGGATATAGAAGATGACATCCAGGATGTTATCTGGTCCGATAACGGCGAGTTGTTGGCTATTTTAACCTTCAGCGCTAGCTCCGAGGCCAGCGATGGTACCACACCTAAGGTCAAGAAGAGCAACGAAACTTACTTCTTGAGCTTTGACCGTAGCTTATACGAAGAGGCTGTTGCTGACGGCTCTATCAGCACATCTGAGGGTGCAGAGGCTGCATTTGACGTTTTGTACACTTTGCCAACTACTGAGCCTATCTTGTCTGGAAAATTCATTGGAGACGTGTTCATCTACACCACAGGCACCACGAACAGATTGAATTATTTTGTGGGTGGAGAAATCATCAACTTGAGTCACTTTGATCACAAGTACTATCTCATCGGATACAGAGCCACGGAGGGAAAATTGTGTTTGATTGACAAGTCATTTAATGTTATTACATGGTACGTCAACTCAGAGGTGTTGGAGTTGCAGACATTAGTCATGCGTGGAGAATTGGAGCAGTTTGCTACCGGCAACGTGTTGGATGAGGAAACTGGTGAGGAGATCCCAGATGTCAGCACAATCACACCAGAGGCATTGTCAGAAGAATACTCCTCTTATATTTCCAATTTGTCAAAGGGCGAATTGAACCAGTTGTCGAGATTCTTCGAGAAGTTGGGCTACTTGAAATTGTCGTTTGCGTTGTCGCAAGACTTTGACTCCAAGTTCCTGATCGCCTTGTCTACTGGAGACTTACCTCAAGCATATCAATTGTTGGCCTCCAATCAAGAATCCAATCCTTCCAATGCTCTTGTAAACGTTCAAAAATGGAAGAAGTTGGGAGACTTGGCCTTGTCACAATGGCAATTGAAGTTGGCTGAGAACTGCTACTGGTTGGCAAACGACCATGCTTCCTTGTTGTTGTTGCTTTCGTCAAGCAACAACCAAAAACTGTTGGCCCGCCTTGCTTCTGAGGCAGAGGCCAAGGGTAAGTACAACATTGCCTTCCAGGCTTTGTGGTTGACCTCAAATGTCGATCATTGTGTTGACTTGTTGATCAAAACAGAACGTTATAGTGAAGCTGCCTTCTTGGGCCGCACCTATGGTGTTTCCGGCCAAAAACTTGAGAAAATTATGGAGTTGTGGAAACAGCAGCTAACATCTAAGGGCAAGAGCAAAACTGCTGATCGTTTGATTTCTGACTTCAGTGGCATCAAGTTGGGGGAAAGCAATGGAGATTCATTGATTGACCTCGATGCTCCAGAAACTAAGCCAGCTCCTGCTCCTGTGAGTGCTCCTGCCCCTGCTGCTATTCCCGTTCCTGTGAGTGCTCCTGCCCCTGCTGCTGTTGCTGCTCCTGCGGCAGTACCAATTGCCGCACAGGTTGAGAGAGAAGAACTTGAAGACGAACTTCAAGAGTATGTTGATGAGGATGTTATCGAGGAAGAGTTTGAGGCAGAAGCCGAAGTTGCATCTGACAACGAAGCGTTGTTAGATCTCAACAGCGAATAGACGCCAACAAAAATATAACCAATTGCATCTATCCTCTACGGATTGCACCATTTACTTCGAAACAATAAAACGAGTGTTTGTATTACTTAGTAGATACCCCAAACACTGCATACTTATCGATAGAGTAATCCCTTTTGAATTTACTAATGAAGTAGAGATCATCAACATGTGAAGTCTCAGAGTATATCTTTTCTCGTGGACTCCATCTCTCCACCTGCTTGAATACCTTTTCAAGTCGAGATTGAAATAGCTCTATCTCTGGATCAGCAAAGTCCACCTGGGCCAATCTGGTCACGAAAGTCCCATTTTTCACAAGTGCGTCGAAACATAATAGTAGTGCAGCCTCAGCCAAGTCAATAGAAGCCTTCTGCGAATTGGTGGTTGGCTGCCGAAGAGCCTCGTTGGTGCTGGACCGAATATATGGTCTAGCGTATGTATTATTGAAGAAGCCAGCATTCTGGAGAAATGGTGTGGCCAAGTCGGACATGATCACGTCTGCCTGGTACAGCTTGGGACCTAGTAGCTTCTTCATTCCCTCTTTATCGTCCAACGAAAACTCGTTGAATGCGGCCGCAAGTCCATCGAGTTCCGCCTCTAGATGTGTTTCCTGAAGCTCTTTCAGCAAGTATGAGTTATCTGTATCTGGAGAATTGCCGTCTGCAGAAGGGTTCCAGCGACGGAAAGCTGCCTCCTTTAGTAATGAAATCACATTATCATGTACACTCTGGGAGTAGATGTTGCCTTGAGTGGTGATGGTACCTGGTATTGGACTTCCACATATGATATCTGTTCCTATCAAGGTGCACTTTGTGTTGATGACATCTGGGTCAACATGGTGGACTTTCAGGAGCTTAAGTTTTGCGTATTCAAGCCAACTTCCAGGCACATAGCCCACGTCCACCACTTTGGTGACGGTTTCATTGAAGATGGAGAAATGATGGTCTATCTGAGCGATATTGGACTGAGACTGGAGGCCCTGCTCGTAAATCTTCTGTTTTCGTGTTGGCTTTCTGGAGAAATTCAGAGCGTATCGACTAAATCTCAAAGCATGTTGGCAAATAAGTATTTGTAATGGGCCAACGGGTTGCTTTAAGTAGATCATCATGGTACAGATGGGTTTGCGCATTGTGTAGGAAGATGTAGGAAGATAAACATATGGAGTTGGCGTGATCTGGTATGGCTGAATTAGAAGGAAAGAGAGAAATGACGTAGAATAGATAGAGAAGCATCCGTATTGAAGATCCATTACGGGGAGTGATTACTTATAGTTAAATACATGAATTTGTACATGTGGGAGATTCTCTGATAGACGGAAACGTGTGTTGGCTGCGAAAATAGTAGGGTACGGGTTGGAAGAGGCTCAAGTAGAGTATGGAATGGAGATTGTTGATGGAGTTTGACTTCATGAATCGTTACAATAGAATTGCTTTTCTTACTATTTTTGATTTGTGTCACTTTTTCAAATTTTCATTTAAAGTTTAAGTTTCCTGTAATCACTGAGTACCAATACTTTTGTCAAATGTAAGTGCGAGTAGGTCAAAGTTGAAATTGAGACTATCTGAGTCGGGAACTAATAAAATGTAGACAAAAGTAAAATCTTGATACAGACCTAGATGAGCCAATCTCCAGATGTTTTTCAACATTGAGAGCAAATTACAAATAGATACGGCTGAGTACTAGGGGAATATACGTAACCTATGGAAAATGGGGTGTTTGGGCACCAAATAAAAACTCCGGAAGTAGTCTATTGACGTACCACAATCTCTACTATTGAAGCTTAATGAAGAGGTTTGTCTCGTCGCCAAAGAAGGACTTCATGAACGAGTTGTTGCATCAGCTAACTCCGACAAATTGTTATCAAATTCTGGTAACTTCCATTCATTCTTCATCTTGAATAGGTTCATCATTCAAAAGAATCTTTTGCTGTTTTTTAAGGCCGAATTTTACCCAACCTTTCCAGTTTAATGTTCATTTTCAAATCAAAGAATTCGACTACACTGCTTACAGCTAAAGTTGAATACCAGGTTGATATGGTGTGCTTACAGGAATTGGCAGTTTATCCAACAAATATATTGTAGGTTTGGACATCATAACGAGGAGAACGCCGAAAGCAACACAACAATTTTAGTCACACACTCAGGGTCAAGTTAAATCGGGTGATCAAGCAAAGAATGTCATTGCAGATTAACATTTGTCCGTTCAAAAGAAGAAAAGATACGCCCATTCAGCTATGAGATTAGAATGTTTTTGGGGTGACGACATAAAGTTGATATGAAGATTCTTTAGTATACATAGTAAATAGTGATACTTGATTGATTTGATTTCTTCGGCTAAATATACTAGGTGTAAGGCGGGAAATCAATTACAGGAGAAGTTAACGACAGGCTATCTGCGATACTTGTAGCCAAACATGTGAATGTGGACAGTAGCCTGGTAGTTGACTATTTTACAGCCAAAAAATTGCAGTTTAAATTGCTTCAAAAATGATGCTTATCAACAGAACGATAGGATTTATCTGTTCACTGTCCTCTAATTGAAACCTCATCTATTAACTTTCTGCTTTTAACATTAAAAGAGCAAGATTGAGACAAAAAGAAATTGAGGGACTTCGAACAACTGTGGATGGGGATTAATATAAATACGTAAACACATTTCAGAAGCAACCATAGTCGTACCTCAACTTATAATTATGTCATAATGTTCATTTTGGAATGGTTGTCCCTACATTACCTAGCCAACACACTTCTAAACAACGAAATAATTACAATCAACTGAAACAAATCTTAATCGAATGCGTAATTTCTGCCTTCCCACGAAAACACAAACTTTGAAGCCAAATTCATTGTCCTTATTATGATCTATATATACTCTCTACAAAAACACCAGTACATCTTATGGCTGCAAATAAGCGATCTGCAACCATATAAAGGTAAGAATTCCCACTATTGAGACCAGACAAATTGTCACCAATTCCCCTTACAAAATCCATTCTTACGCATCCCAACAACTTATTAGGAGGGGAACGTTTTTTCTCGGCAAGTTGTAAGACATAAATGGAGAACTGCATAAATTTCACTTGGTTTCGAATCACGTGCCTAAGATTATCATTCTAGGGCTTGTGCCCGCACGCCCATCACTCGCACTCTTCTTAACTTTTGAAAATCTTTTCCTCTCTTCTTCTTCATCCTCGTCGAATCACTTAAACTACCAATTCCTTGGGAGACGATTAATCATGTCTAAGATCACCACCGCCCACGTTCGTGAGAACGTTAACAAGTTGTTGGCTTACTCCAACGACACCAAGAAGAGAAACTTCTTGGAGACCGTTGAGCTCCAGGTTGGTTTGAAGAACTACGACCCTCAGAGAGACAAGCGTTTCTCTGGTACCTTGAAGTTGCCTCAGGTCCCAAGACCAAACATGACCATCTGTATTTTTGGTGATGCTTTCGATGTCGACAGAGCTAAGTCTGTTGGTGTTGACGCTATGTCTGTTGACGACTTGAAGAAGTTGAACAAGAACAAGAAGTTGATCAAGAAGTTGGCTAAGAAGTACAACGCTTTCATCGCTTCTGAGGTCTTGATCAAGCAGGTCCCAAGATTGTTGGGTCCTCAGTTGTCTAAGGCTGGTAAGTTCCCAACCCCAGTTTCCCACAACGATGACTTGTACTCCAAGGTCACTGACGTCAAGTCTACCATCAAGTTCCAGTTGAAGAAGGTCTTGTGTTTGGCTGTCGCTGTCGGTAACGTCGAGATGGACGAGGATGTCTTGGCCAACCAGATCATGATGGCCGCCAACTTCTTGGTCTCCTTGTTGAAGAAGAACTGGCAGAACGTCGGTTCCTTGGTCATCAAGTCTACCATGGGTCCATCTTTCAGAATCTACTAAGTTATATATCTGTAATATATTAGTGCCTGACTCGGTTGTAGTGTGTGTGTGTGGAGAATTCATGTTTGTCTCATCAAACTTTACAATCAAAATACATGATGTTATTCAATGCTATAGACCATCCTCGACAATGCGGACGTCAACTTAATATTAATAGACAGTAGAACTGAACTGGACTTCCTCTGAAATTACTCGACCTTCACCTGGCCAAGTGCATTTGATGCTTTCAACACTTCTCTCTTTACTCTCGCAACTTCATCTGTATCTGGTTGGCTGAGAACACTTTCATCGCTGTCATCATCATCGTCGTCGTCGTCATCATCATCATCATCATCATCATCATCATCATCGTCATCATCCTTGTCGTCATCCTCGTCGTCAGCGATAGCGTTCTCATTACTCTTGTCATCATCATCCTCATCCTCCTCTTCAGGATATCCGCCTAACTTGAGCACAATCTTGTTGACAATCTCGTTCCAGTCCATCATGCCGCCCATGCCGATGTCACCGTACGAGCCCACCACCTTCTCCACAGGTTTGAGAATCTCAATCCAAGGCATCTCTTCGGCTATGAGCCGCAATTGCCTTTTGGTGGTGATAGCATTGTACGCATTAATTGTCATGGCCGGGGCGAGCAATATAGGATAGGCCGTGTTCCATGCACGGATCACGTTGGTGAGAAGATTGTCACAGAGGCCCAATGAGATCTTAGCGAGAGAATTAGCGGTCAATGGACACACAACCAACACGTCGGCCCAACGTCTCAATTCAATGTGAAGAACAGGATCCGTCCTCGTGTTCCAGGTGGTCCATTCGTCTTGATCTCTCCAGACACGAATCTTCTTGACGTTTTCGAGGTGATTCAACATCTCAGGCGAAATAAAGTTCTCTGCTGCCTGGGTCATAATAAGCTGAATAGCTATCTTGTCGGGTTTGTAAACCTCAAGCAACTTGGCCATAATTAGCTTGGTCTTCAAAATCAGTGTGGCACCGCAAACTCCAAACAAAACATGCAACTTACCGTCATCTTGAGGGAGTCTGGGGTCGATGTTTGCGTTCTGTTCAGTAGTGCTCAACGCCGGCAGAGCAAGCTTCTCGCGCAGCCGTTCACGCTCATCCTTGCCATTTACGATCGGCTCATTCGTCACCGCAGAAGCTGAGCCTGATCTAGACCGGTTTACAGGCTTAATGTGCTTCTGGGCCTCATCCACATAGAAATGTGCATGAACACTAGGCGCCTTGTGGTGGCTGCTTCCATCCGGCGGCTTATTTGTAAAGTCTAACGACGTCGACAGTCCCCAGTCGGACTCTGTGAGACCGTGAGCAGCCACTACAGCAGCGTTTCCCGCGTGGGGCAGCTGCAACAGTTGAGGGGATGAGAACTCGGGGCTTTTCGACTGCAATAACGCCCCGCCAGCGGGCACGGTGACCCTGCCATTCTCCGAGGTTGGAGGGCTTTGTGTGAGTACCAGCACGGAAGCAACGGATGACTTGGAAGCTACCGGAGTGTGAATCCGTGAGTTGGTCAAGATGGGAGGAGGAGAGGGGCAGCGCAAGTTCAGAATGGCTTGGACCGCGGGCGGGATTTCTTCCAGCGGCGTAATGGTAGGCTGAAGTGGCTCTTTATGGTCGGCCATGGCGAGTTTGTCTGTGTGTGTGTGTGGAATGTATTCTAATGATGTAAGTTCTCCTGGGAGGAATTGGTCAGCAATTAAATGGAAGAAGGCGACCAGCGGCTAATAGGAGACGGGAACGATGCTAAGTCGGTGGCAAAACAATTAAGGGGTAAGATTGGGGCCGCTAGGATGTTGTGGATATGGCGGCAGGTGTGATACAGTCCGGAATCCGGGACCAAGAGAAAAGAATAGGTGGTAGGAAGAAATTTGTATGTGACAGATCCTTGTGCGGTGAGGTTGACTTCCCAATTGGGTAGTGTGGACAGGAACGGCTGTAGTTGAGAAGAGGAGGGAGGTATCGACCACAGAGAAAAGTGCGATTAAAGGACCATACAAAAATAGAAAATGGAATCTGGGGTAGATGTTTTGGTGGGAATAAGTGATTTGGTTTTGAATTTTTACGTTCGAAGGGTTAGGGGCTGAAAGTGGATGATGTCATCTTGCTGATGGTTGTAGACTATGGCGACGGAATTTGAGGATGGAATTTGAAGATGGAATTTGGAATGGAAAGGATGGATTCTGGCCCAAGAGAATAATATAAACTTAAAACATATCGAGGAAAATTACAAGAGTTGTAGAATCGGATAGTGAGCGAACTGTGGCCCAGAATCTCTCGGTTGAATATTCCTTGTTTAAAACATGTAAGATTATCATGATTATCAGTGAAATCGCGGATGTGCAACACCTGTGTTTTAGTTGTATGTACACCACAATCTGTCAAAATCAAGTTTTATATACCTTGTACTTGGTGGGCAACGGATCAGGCCAAGGAACTAGATTACCTTTCTTTCCATCCCTCCTGATTATTTGCCCACAACCTTTATCCCTATATTCTTCGCATCCCTCTAGAAACCGTCCATTTTGAATAAACCTTCTCCCAATCCACCATCTAAAGTAGGAAACCCGAAGTCGGACAGGAGTATGTCTCCAAAGTCCACAGACCCTATAGTAGACTCTCCGAAAGACAGCCTGCCCTGGAAGAGAAGAAAATCGTCCATCTCTACTTCAGGCTCTGGCATGGGTGTAGGAATACTCTCCTGCTTGACTTGTGCAGTAGCCACAAATCTCGACCCAATGTTGGAAGGCTTGATTAAGTGGTATTCCTTGTCCTTACTCATATCCGTAATTGGTTGAACTGGCCGGCATTTCAAATAGTCCAATCCGGCAATGAATGCATCAATATATCTGCTGATTTTCAGCAATGTACCCCCTACCAACTTCGACAGGGACAACTGTAAAGCCTTGATCTGGGCAAGGGCTTTGTCTAGCACCGGCATTGGGAATTCGATGGCTGATCCAAAATTCTTATCCTTCAACATCAAGTAGAAAACTACCAATCCCATTACCGCATGATATGCGTAGAAGATGTCTGGAAATAACGTTCCGTTCAACAATTCATGCTGTGCGGTCAACTCTATAAGCCTGGCTACATCAACCGACAGTCGTGCACACTGATTGATAAGGAAGACAATGGACTCATTCATCCTCACAGACAGTGTGTTGGCCACATGCAAAAAGAATGGAAGCGTAAGCAGGAGACAGTAGTAATTGTACCGGAAATGAAGCACCAACTTGCTTGGTTCAAAATCTGACAAATCAAGAAGAGTTGGATCCATGCTGTGGAATGTTTGAGTGAGATTCTTCTGTAATACCACTGCCTTGGCGATACTTTCAACTGATAAAATGTTGCATGATCTGGTGAGCGACTTACGATACTGCAACACATCGTAGAGACATTTGGTCAACTCCACCTGACCGACATAAGCTTTGGGGAAGCACGAGGGAATGTCGAGTCCTTGGCATGTTGGATAGTCCATATTGACATCCTCAATCTGGATGGACGAAGACCTACCCATTTGAGTTGAGAAACAAACCTCCATGATAAAAACTGTCCACCAGATGCGCCTCATCTCCTCCTTCTTGTCTTCATCCTCTGTACATGAAGAAAGAGACTTTCTATTAATTCCCAAAGTAACGGCTTGGCGTGCAGCCAATTCCACCAAAATATATCCCGTTTCACGCTTCTTGCTGTTGTCTAGATATACAGACAAAAGAAGCAACACTCGAACACCGTCCAATGTGGCTGTCAACAAGGTATCAGAGAGGCACAACTTGATGATGTGGATATATTTCTGCATGGTTGCCTCATCCACAGTTACCGTCAAATCTGTGGGGTCGTAAAGTCTCCCAAGGATCCATACCATGTAAATACAACAGATGGCTTGGTTAGAGAGTTTATCCTTAACTCCAGACTCCACTACAGCCCAAAACCGGTCATGTGTCTCACGGAATAATGTCTCATTGAAACAAAGATAGCGTAGATGTACATGACGAAAGAATACTTCAACATAATATTCAGCAGCACGGCGGCCAATGGCACCATAGTATGGGAAGCTCTCTGAATATAGAAAGTTCAAGTCTTTCTGCTGAATTGGATCGTGGCTGGAAGAGATGATCATCTCACCTTTTGCGATCTTTTGGAACATTGTCCACTTCAGAAGATCAACACCTCCCTTGTGCCCGATGATACGCAAGTATAAGTCCATGAAGCCCGGCGCACCAAGTGGCCCGATACAGTGAGAATTTCCACCCAGATCAATTATGATGTAGTCCTTGTGTGGAACACACAGTTCCTGATCTGGAGATACCACAAGAGACTTATTGTCAGGCTCTTCATCGTCCACCTTCACTTCATTTTGCAAGGGTACGGGGCTCTTTTCATCAGAAAAGTCCTCCTTCAACTCCACCTCATCCTGAGACCGCGGAGATCCCGAAACTCTTCCAGTGGTTATTACGATGGAAAGTTCACGCAACTCTTTGGCTTCCTTTTCGGATGTGCCCCCAAATCTAGAAGGCATTTGAATGCCCTGAAGCTCACCCAAGTTGATGAGGGCATCGATGTTATTCACATCGATCTCAGGGAAGAGATTCATCACGAGAACATGGAGACACTTGTAGTGGAGTCCGATATTTTCAATGGGACCACGAATCTTCTTTTTTCTTTTGATGGTGGTAGAACACTCATAGTTAGCTTTCACACAACCAGCACAGGGGCTAGAGGGATTTGGACGCTGGCATGCTATTTTTCTAACCTTACATCTGTCACAAGAAAAGGATGCTTTCTTGCGTTTAGTTGGATCAACTAGTCTTCTTTTAGGTGTACGGAACACGGGCACGACAGTATCGGCAGTCATGGGTAGAAGTAGAGAACAAACACTTGCGGAGAGGATGTGTCAACAAGATCGGGAAACTAGTATTAGTAAGAGGTACACTACCGTTGATACTTCAACTTTGATAGGATGCCCTACATTGTTGGGGTCAGCCTGCACCACTATTAGTCACTTGAGATAAGGTACCGAACCCCCCGCGATAATACAACAAAAACTGGGACAGTCGCTAATTTCCGAATGCAGAAAGCCCTTACCGAGCCATGTATGTGCAAAGGGACTCGTATGCTTCGACTCTAGTTAGAGAAACCAGGTTGAATTGAAACTATGTGTCAAGTGGAAAAGCTGTGGCTCGGGTTGATCTGCAGTGTGGCACCGCGCCAACTTCCAAATTCGGAAAGTAAACCGCGATATCACCTTGGCATGCATCTTTTCCGTTACGGACAACTTTGCAGCCAGGGTCTGATTACTCAAATGGACAGCTCAATAAGGAAACCGAACACACGCGTAATCAATGGCCCTTCAAGAATCGTAAACGCAAAGAATATAAGGAAGAAGCTATATCACCGTCGGTAACAGTGGCCATCGGAAAATGAATTCCGCATCAATCAAAGCGGATTTAAACTGCAGGATGAAAGATAATTTCCGCTGCAACCTATTATGTTGATAAATCTCTGGCGACAATAGAGTTGACCAAGTCTCGAGCTTTTTCCTCGTCAGTAACATTCAGAGACTGCGGCGACTGAGTATTGTTTTCAATCTCAATCTCTCCCAAACTTCCGGCAAGCGCATCCATTGTAATATCATTATAGGGTGGAAACTCATTATAAGGTTTGGACTGTGAGCCCCGGTGTCTGTAGGGAACCATCGGACCTAGCCCGTAGTAGAATTTTTGCTGGAACGAGTTCCGTTCAAAGGCAAGATTCGAAAGAAATGCAGGCTTATTCTGGCTCTTGCTGGATGGGTAGAGCTGTTGGAGCACGTAGTTGTTGAAATCAGGAAAGCGATCGTAGCGAACCGTCAACGTTCGGCCTTCAAATTCCACATTGTCGAAGTACTTGATTATTTTTTCCAGGGAGAGCTTATTGGCGGTAGTAACAATAGCAAAACCTCGGCTGAGGCCCCTTGTTGGTCCACTGGACGACGAGTTTGTTCTGGCAGCATCCGGAGTAGGAGGTCCCGACTTATCGTTGAGTTGCTGGGATAACAGCGTTAAGAATTGGTATGAATTGAGCTTGGATGCATTGTTGGGCACATCACGCGGCTGTTGCATGGGTATTTCAACTCTAAGAATCTCTATGTGGTTTCCTGGCTCGAGCTCCTCTGCTTTGGTAATAAGAAAGTTTTTAAGGGCGGGCCAGGTCGAATTAAAAGGAATATTTCCCACGAAGAGTCTTCTCAGATTAACCTTGATGGCATTGCCCTCGTCATCCTCCACCGAAATGAAGTCCTCCATGTCGGGAGTTTCCAGTGGGCTCGAATCGCTGGACTGTGATGCTGTGCCCGGAAGGGACGAGTCCCGTTTGACCATATTCAACAAAAACGGCGGCGGTGGCTTTGTGGAGCCACCCACAGAGTTCTGGCGAGAATTCGACCGTGAAGACGACCGCCGGGAAGGAGTTCTGGCGTTCATTGGTGTGACGCCATAGTAACCATAAGGAGGATAAGGCATAGGGTTCCCATAGTAGCCGTAGTCAATTGGGTAGCCGTAGGGAGGTGGCAAAAAAAAATAAGGATTTGCTCCTGGGATTGGCTGCTCGTGGGACTCATTCAGAACGTCGTAAGGGATGCTTGGCGGGATTCCAGGTGGAATTGGTCCTGGAGTGGACGTCGGGCCAGCGATAGGGCCAGGAGGTGCCCCGAAAGCTGGAGGAGATGCCGAGTTGACAATCGGAGTTGCTGAATCGGAGCTTGCCGCCGAATCTCTGGCCGTTGAATCGGCAAAAGCCGTCGAATCTGATCTTGAAATGGGTGGCTTTTCCACAATTAAAGTTGCCAGGATGTCGCCGTCATGCCATTTTTGACCATTTAGCGTCTCCACGGCCGCATCTGCCGTGACAGAAGAATCGAAGGTCAAAACGGCGCTTCCCAGGGCATATTTCTGGACAGTAAAATCGCCTTGAGGTAATTTAGACATAATGTAGTTGTCAAACTCACTTCTCGAGGCAGGAGGAAGCACTAAAACCACATCAAAACCTACTAAGGGAGACTGTTTCGATGCGAGGGTTTGACCAGTGTAGTAATGACCATTCTGGCCACCGAGCAGATTTTCTCTTTGAACACTTCGACCACTTTCACCATTAATTACGCCCCCATTATTGTGGGGGAGTTGCCCATTCACAACATTTGTGATATTCACATTGGGCCCACCAGCCACACCCAACGACGCTGGAACAAACGGACTGGCATTCATGTTGAACAGCACGCTGGAGCGTTTTTGTGACATTTTTGTTCCGATTATCAACACTTTTTCTGGGTAGTTGGAAGTCGGTTGCAAAACACCAAAGAAAGAAATTCAGGAAGTATTTCTAGTTGGCGAGTGTTTGTACAAAAGCGTCAACAATTGGGCGGTTTGGAGATTTCAAAACTGTCCAAAACGGTTGGTGTAGTTAAAAATTTTCTAATGTTTCTGATAGGGAACAGGACTGATCCAGGTCCAGGAACCACACGAGGAGAAAAAAATGTCGGCACCACTGATAAGGAGATAAGCACTAATGTATAGTGCAACCTCGAGAAATTTTCGCTAGGAGATATAGGAACTCTATACGTGAGTAACAGAAGATGGTTTTCTTTTATTTACACAGTTCTATGTTAGGGGTGGCTGGATAATTTTATGGGAGTTTTTTCTGTAATGACAAGAGCCACCAATTTGAGAATCTCAAGTCCGACCGATTATGGGGTACGGGATATGGAGAAATGTGTGGTTGAGGATCACGTGACCAGAAAGCTAAATCTTTCATAAAATTTAAAATTAAATGGTAAGGTTGGGGTGGTGGATGGGCGAACACAAAACGGAACAAAAATAAAAGAAGAGACTGAAAAAAAAAAAAGGATAGAATGCCAAATTGAAACATCAAACAGAATAAAAATGCATGTGAAGTGGAAATTAGTGGCACGAGATTTACCAATCAAGTTGCTTAAGTAAAAAAAGAATCGGTGAACCAATGATAATTAGTCGTTGCAACATGGAAGCGAGGGATAGTCATCACGTGATGATAACCGACACACCTGGTCATCGATAAAATGGACTGCATACAAACCAATAAAAATAATGAGTATATGAGAAGCATCCCCTTCCTCTCGTCCCTCCTCTCGCCCATGGAGGTTTGGGTGTTTTCTAGCCACAGGAGGCTTAGGAGGCGAAGTGGTTGAGGCGAGTATACACAGAAAAAAAAGGATCTCACAGTTACTTCGCATTTCAGTTTCGTGGCTAGTAAATGTTGACCATAAGATTAATATAGCAAAGTTCATATGAAACAGTAAAATGTGGCTAAGCATTCACCCCCAAATGCGGCGAGTGTACGTACTTAAAAGTGGGGGGCTGGGTTCCCCTTTGCTTAGTGTGTCAAGGTACCCGCCTAACAAGGGGCTCAAGAAACCCATGACTGAGAATAGTCCACAACGTGACCTCTCTGAAAATAAAAATCTTGTACTTATCTCAAAGACAGCGACAGTAATGTGGTGTGTGTTCATGCTGTAAAAACTAAAATTGTAGCGTCGAATACGGATCTTCATTGAATGCACTGTCGTATTCAAAGTCTTTAATGTGATGATCCTAATGATCTAAGATCCACCTCTTCCCACTCTAATAGTCTCTGTTGTTTTTGTGAACCCTTTCTGAGGTGCTGTTCGTCGGCCAAATACTTCAATTAGTACTTGCATGAGTCATGACTCAATTGCGCTCAATCTCACCATCTTCTCCTTCTTGATGAGTACCCAGACTTCCCCATAAGAATATTATTTTTTCTAATATTGGACCACATCACCCCGAAGTGGCTTTGTTGGCTTCGACCAGAATGCAAAGCACTTATATTATATATCGCGGGCACAATGTTTATACGTATCCATGGATACTGGCTATCTATACATCCAAGATCGTCGGTGTTGTAAGCATTGCATCGGTATTAATCCGTTGAAAGATCTGCCTACCATTTGGTCCAATGTGTGAGCTTTTGACTCTGCGGTAGGATACCCTTGACACAACGGCTCTGATTGGTGAAGTCATTCAGGGATCAAAGTGGAGAGGGATGGTTTGGTAGGTCGTTGTCGGTGAGAAAATACTATCACGTCATAACGATAGGAAAAAAAATAATGGTGACACTCGTATAAGCCTGTGGTCGGTATGTTGATGTTTCATCCTTTGCAAGTGAAGATCAAATTCTCAACTAAATCATGCAAATGAAAATCTTACACCATCGACGATCGACACTTTATGCGCGATGTTGCGCATAATTTAATTTGGGAAGAGAGACCACGTACGCATAAAAACGAGGACTAAATCACATCAAGGGCATTTTGAAGAGTACTTCCGCTCCTGTGGCTTTTTTTAATTTGCTGACCTCTTGGTCTCTGATACTAGATCAGGAACGCGAGGTCAAATCTTTTCTTATTACTGCATCATGTAGGCGTTGCGAACGCGGAAATGAATGTAAGGTTTGCATCCTTCCGAGAATGCTATATGTGCGGTAAAGGTATACCAAGACGGAGTTCAACCGCTCTCTTCTGCGCCATAATCTACGCACGGCTTAAAAGATAGTCACTGAGTCCATCATCATGGAAACTCAGGAAAGAAAATGATCCTTAATGTACTAGTTCTCCACCGATGCACTTCCAGTGTCGACGAGATATTCTCGCGTTGCGAATAGCGACATCAAAATGGTCGAGGAATGCCCGCCAAAGTGGGAATTCTGGGGTACCTGACAACAGAGACAGAAAGATAATCCACTCAAGTTCTCGATTTAAATTTGGAAGAGTCTAGATGGCCACCTGTACCCCAAAACGAAATTCCCAGCGCAAAACTCGGTAATAATCACCCAAAAGAGTTGGAATTCGTCGTTCCAATAAGAATCATTGCATAGCTTAGCAAGGGAGATTCAAAAATGTCAAAGATCATGCGCTTTTAGACAAAGAGATTTGATTGTTGACTCGACTTTCAAGTCCATAAGGTTTCATGAACGCACAGAACCTAGCAACATTACCAAGGCACATATTTGGTAGTCAAGTACCCCAAGAATAGGTGAGGCCAGGCGAGGCAAGGCAGTAAAAAACCTACCGAACAATGAAGCTGGCGACACCTATGCTTATGCATGGCGCACGAAAATTCACCCTTCAGAATCGAATTAAAATGGCTTTTTTTTTTCTTACCCCATAAAGTAGCCAGAGTACTCTAAACTTTAGGTTAGTTGACAGCATAGATTTGACAGGAGAACCCATCGAGTACAACTCCACTGGGGAACTGACAGATGCACAACATTAATGATGCAGTAAATGTTGCGTGGGCGCCAAACGTAAGTAGTTACCACCTTAACCGCAGGCTGACCCACAGCTGCACGGATTCCGCAGCATTAAGGCATTAGCGAAAGGGAGCGTTCAGAGATCAATGTTCGTCCGCAGCTACATATATTAAATGACGCTTAAAGGAATGTGTACTTTGACAAGCAGCTACGACGTCTTCAAAAATAAAAACGGAAAAATAATGTGCAACGCCTAAATAGCATTTACGGCGCCAATTGAGCGCCAGAGAGCGCTGAATATTATTGTCTGTGCGGTTGTTTCGAATGACAGCGCATATTACCTATTTGTCATTCCATTTATGACAATAAGGGGGGAACGCCTGATTTCACTCTTGCGCGCCAGGCCTATTACCCAGGATGCATCAGTACTTGTGCCCAAAAGACCCTCTGCACGTTACCATGACGGGTGGCATCATGCTGCGGACACACATGCCCGCTATCCTTAACAATCGTCCACCCAGCGTAGAGATCTGCAACATGAGCGTTATATTTTCATGCTTGAGCTCTGTACACCGGAGTTGTGTTGCTATATTTTCAAGCGCATTTCGCTAGGCGTTGTCCTGAATATACCACTTCATCACGACAATACCATGTTCCTGTAGACCGTAGCTTCCATTGGTCATATATATATCGGGGAGATCCTCATCTATTGCCCGTGTTCCCCAATTCATTGCAGCTGGTACGGCCCGAGTCTCGCCTCTTCACTATTGCACCTTTCGCTGCTGCCAGTGTCATCTCACTCGTCATGTTAATCATCGATTTGTGATTTAATTCTGCTTCTTACGCCTTTTTGCTTCCCTTCACCCTTTCACCGTTCCGGTACTTCCGCTACATTCGCCCCAACTTATCCATTGCTGTTTGTTAATGGGCAGGCGAAAACCACAAGAACATCAGCTTCGAGCGAAACGATCTCGTACTCGATCTGGCTGTTTCACATGTCGGGACCGCCACATGAAATGTGACGAGCAGCTTCCTGTTTGTCAGAATTGCATCAACTCTAAGCGAAAATGCTATCGAGGCATACGCTTGAATTTCACCCAGTATACTATCTACGATCCACATAAATCTCTGTCAGCGGCAGGTTTATCTAGACCACCCAAGTTCTTCCGTCTCTTGGATCAGCTGATTGCCGTTCTGGCCCAGTACAAGGATGGCAGGAACAGCTACCGCAAGTACTTACATCTCCACAATCCTGAAGACTTGGAGGAGGCCGAACTCCGCCATCTCCAGGATATGAGTAGCAACAGAAGTGCCAGTACGCCCACCACTGTGCATCCGGTGGTTTACAACGCCGACCCCATTCATGAGGTGGTGGATCCTGGCATAAATGACGCCTGGTTTTTTCATCAGGGTGCCGAGCCAGTAAATTTTTCCGAGAACACCATCCTGGAAAGTTTTGACATTAAGAACCTGCTCATGAATCCCGTTTCCCTTGGAATGATGCCCAGTGTATCTGAAGGGCCAGCTATGAACACTACGTTCGAACCTATGGTGGACTTCAGTTCACAAAAAAAGTCTGATCCACAGCAAGCGCGAGACTTCTCCAGTGTAAGTGATCCGGGACTCGTATCTACTCCTTTTGACTCGTATGCATTTGTGAAATTGATCCAGGATCAACGATACTATTGGATTCTTGATCTCTTCAATGAGATAGACGTATGGAAATCCATTATTCCCAGCTATTGTGTCCGAATTGTGCAAGCAGAGTCTGACGACAAGTTCCGGAAACGTAACCCATCGTTTTTGCTAGACTGCTTAATGGATTGTAAAGAATTCACCTCTATGGACAGAGTTTTACATAACGCCAGACAGCAACTTAATCATTGGAAAGAATTCGACCATAGAGACGTCACCGCTACGTCCTTCAAGGGATTCGAGCAAGTACTACTCAGCATCGTCCTAATCCTCCTCAGCATGATTCTACAGGTGGTAAAACCGACATTTCTTCTCACAGAGTCGTTTAATATGGTCCTAGCCAACCAAGGAAAGATGATCCGCAAAGTGGTTGCACGCTACGAAAGGTTTCCTGAGGCATTGGTGAAAACCATGGCTGGATCATTGATGTCTACCGCCTCTCTTCAAGCCATTGTGATTCTCCGGTTTCTATTGAAGAAACACTTGCAAAAAATAGACATGTCTCTCAATTCCCGATTGTTGCCTGTGCCATTTGACGGTGAAGACGTTCTAAGATCTACCATCAGCTACGACTCACATGCGTCCTATGAGTTAGGTGAATTCTTCACTCTTACGCCATTTGAAGTAGGCCAAGTGGCCACCAAATTCCAGGACTTCGATATTAATGAAATTCACAAAGGCAAACCGTCCGATGCTGCCAAATTAAGGAATTTTTTTTGGTCGTTAGTGGAGTTCGAGAATTTCGGGGGCAAAGGTGATTTGGATTTTCTCGATAGCCTACAACCACAGGATGTAATCCCTGACAAAGACACCAATTCATGGGCGTTACGACCAAGCGATAAATGCATCGCTTTAAACATTCTCGCAGCATATCTACAGAGCACACGAAGCGAATATGCTCCACTTCAAAACACAAAATTGCATGAGATTTTCAACAAAATCAATACCTCCACCACGAAGGAGAAAGCAAACTGGACATCCTACTTCCGATGGACCCTCAATAATTGAGATTACAAGGGTTTTAAGAGAAAAGCACCACGGGTCACGATAGAAAAGTTAAAAGCGAGACCAACAGCCAAAGGTGCCCACTTAAAACAAGGACAGGTCAGCGACTTGCCAAGGTAAATCTCGAGTCATTGTCAACGACATTGCATCAGCACGATATAACTGCCATACTTGTGTTCCTAAGACTTTTGTCTCCAACAGCACCCTGCTTCAGTTTGAAGGCTTTTCAAGGAATTCAGTAAAGCATTAGCGTCTGGATAAAATTTTGGATTGCACAAGGTTTAGAGAAGCGTGGCGTTAGACAGACACTGTAACTCCACAGACCGGAAACTTTGCAGGTGGCTTATTGAGGGGGACCCATTTCAAGTGGTTCTCTTATCATTGTAGTCTCTGTGTGACATAATATATAGTAGTCATTGGGCTTTCTTCATAATGGAGGTAATATAGCATTCCAAAGTTATAGAGCATCTTGCAGCTCCTGCCTACGGGTGTCACTACGTACTTTACACGGCGTCAGCACAGCAAGCCAACCTACGCTTAGAATTTCCCGCCTACACTTGTTGGGCAGTCTGCATGCATAAGAAATAGGCGCGCATGGATCGAAAGGTAATCGTAATCTGCAACACTAGGCTCTGGGGGTGGAAATGTCGAGCGTTGATCTTCTGTATAAGGAGGTACAGGAACGTGCAGCGTGCGTACATCCGACAACATCTTGATATGGGGGATTTTGATTGCGCTGCATACTCGACAGACATGAAATGATTTAAAATCGATTATTGAATTTCGTTCTACTATGCTTAACGTTCAAAGGTGTATGGTTGATAAGTAGCGGACCCCGTGAGAGGTGGTTTGGACATGGTGTTCGTTCTTTGTAAATTCGCAAAGGTCAATGAGGCGTTTATATAGTCTTAATTAAACGAGGTTGAAAATCCTTTCAGATGTACTCAAAACCCGAAGGCACAGTGATGCAACAATCCGAATCCGGATTCAAATGGGACATAAATGTTCGAAGCCGGGCTACTGTATGGGGAAATCGGCGGAGAAGAAAGGAGAGGAGATTAACTTTTGTTGAATGAGTACGAGAAAAAGAGAGAAAATAGCTGGGAGAAGATGATGGATGAGACACTTCATTTAAGTGTCGTTTAGCAGCCAACATAATAGCCACCATATCCATAAGATATGCACTACACACGAGTGTCTTCTCCAAACCGACATGATAGTTACACATCAATTCAGTCAGTATTATCTTTCACAGGTTATCGTAATTTGACTCTGATCGACAGAGTTTACCACCAAACCATGATACCTGAGTGAAGAAAAGTCTATAAAGTTGAGCCGAAGACTCTGGTGATCTGACCAAGCCCCTACACGTATGTCAAACTCATGACTAAGCCTAGTGGTCAAGCCAAGGAATTTAAAGTCAAAATCGTGAATTTCAATAGATTACTTTTCTCGAATAATATATTATGTACATGGTTGAAAGAAGTCTCTACCACTGGACAGGGCAACAAACTTGAAACAAGGTGAATAATCAGAGTACTTTTTGTGATGCAGCCAGTAACTATGATATCTTTGAAGGCATTGAAACCCAGTTACGCATTTAACCTTGGAAAAATGTATGGACAGCGTTTAATTTGACCATTTTATTTTACTTCGGAAATGTACTGGATTCTGGTGAATCTGATGTCGACGTGATAAGTTGAGACGGAAGTGTTCATGTAATGGACCAGTTTCTCTTGGGAAGATCGCATGAAGCTGTCAAGCCTACAAACTCGGTGATCTCAAAGTACTACAGAGAAAAAGGAGAGTAGGCCTCAGTTAGTGGAAGTTCAGACGTCCTGATTTTTTGATGATTAGAAACCATTTCCCTATCTAATCTACATGGGCCACAACCTGACCCAAACTTCAAATCAATATTGAACACGATTTATAGCTATTGAGCCACACAAATGTGTAGATGAATGACATATAAATCACTAGATCTCAATAGGATGAGTGGCTCATTGGCTTAGCAGACATAGGTAGCCATGACGTAAGTCCAATAGTTCTCAGACTTTGAAAGCATGGTCGATCCAGACGAACAAGGGTGAGCCAGACCGAGGTCGATCTCAAATAGAACAAGCAACGCAAATCCATTTCGGCGAGGAAAATCACCCTCGGATGTATGGCGCCAACATTTACGGTGGTTCTGGTGTGATAAGAATATAGACTGGAAGATCGTCGGGTATTCTAAGAAGCGAGGAATACGGAATCGACGAAAATATGCAAAAGGCAAAAAGAACATGCAAAACGGAAGAATGTCATGCAATGGAAAGAATATCGTGATTACGCACAATACAGAATACAAGAGGAACTTCTCGACAACAACGCGAGCACAACGCAAGCAGAACGCAAGCAAAACGCAAGCATCCTTCGCAGAACAAAGAGCAGACAAGAACCAAGCCACATGCAGTTGACGGAGATGCTATTGTTTTGATGTTCGAAAATGTCGTGGGCAGATGACACCAAATTGTTCACCTCAAGCGAATATCAGCCGTTCGCACTTGCCGAGATTCTGGAACCGCTAGGCAATCAATCTCGCCTAGTGAGGAAGGTTATCCTCCGTTGGCCTGATGTACTCATTCACAGCCATTTAAAACAATCCCTGTAGCTCCCCCTTTTTCATTGAAAGCATTATTTGATCGTAAGGTATGCATGAATGCTATTGAGGAAGTACACCACGTTTCATACAAATCACCACCTCCTACATGTGATTGGCCTTCCTGGCTCGACTTCGTATATGAAGAGTATTTCTGCATACATTCTTCATGACCAGAGTTAAGCGATAGAAGGAAAGAAGGTCATTTCGTTGATATGCGCTTATCCGTAGAGAAACTCTAAATGAACACCTGGTAAGGATAAGGATTTTTGACATTTCATGAAAATCAAAGCCATTCTCTTTGTCAAATTGCTATTCGCCAACGTGAATCATATTCAAATATCACTTCCATAAAAATTGTAGTTTCCAACTATGATGGGCATTCTAGCCAGACTCACCTCATTTTTTAATTTCTAATTAATTTATCTTCACTTCACACATTTACAATCTTCAATTAAACACATAATTCATCTCAAATAGTATACCATAACTGTGGAGGTTACCCTAACTGAGGCTGCGAATTTTTTTGTTTCATTCGTTACAAATAACCACCGTGTGTATCACGTGACCATCCACAACCAGTGAGAAAAAAATTTTCTATTTCGTCCAATTCTTTTACCTACCACTTCTTAGAAATGTCCCAGGGTACCCTCTACGCTGACCAGAGAATCAGATCGGTGGCTGTTGCTGCCATTGTCAAGCACTTCGACTTGGACGTCAAGGTTGTCGCTCCTGCCGACGACAAGGCTACTTTTGACAAGTACTTTACCACTGGTAGAGTTCCAGCCTTTGTTGGACCAAAGGGCCTCAAATTGACCGAGTCTATTGCTGTGTCTATTTACTGTATGTTACATTTTGTGGCTAAATGATGAGAAATTTTTTTATTTATACAGTTATCCCTGTCTTAATAGATCATGTCGAGGATTTTCACTCTGAAATGCCTATTTTCATTCATGAATTCTTACTAACCTCCTAGTGTTGAGCCTTGTCCCAGACAACAAGTTGTTGGGTAAGAACGCCACCGAGTACGCCGAGATCTTGAGATGGGCTTCTTTCTCCACTTCCGAGGTGTTGACCACCATCGCTAAGGCTTTCAAGCCAATCATTGGTAAGACTCCTTACAACAAGAAGCAGGTTGACGACGCTTTGGCTTACCTTGAGCAGATCAACGCTGTTTTCGAGGCTAGATTGACCAACTACACCTACTTGGTTGGCGAGAGAATCACCTTTGCTGACTATTTCTCTGCTTGTCTCATCGTCAGAGGTTTCAACTACTTGTACGGTGCCGAGTGGAGAAAGGCTCACCCAGCCATCACCAGATGGTTCAAGACCGTTGTTTCCCAGCCATTCTTGAAGGATGTTCTTGGAGAGGTTGAGCTCATCGAGAAGCCAGTCGAGTACACTCCACCAAAGAAGGAGAAGAAGGAGAAGGCTCCAGCTGCCCCAAAGAAGGAGGCTAAGAAGGAGGTCAAGAAGGAGGCTGAGCCAGCTGAAGAGCCAGCTGCTGCCCCTAAGCCAAAGCACCCATTGGAGGCTTTGGGCAGACCAACTCAGGCCATTGACGAGTGGAAGAGAGTTTACTCCAACGAGGAGACCAGAGAGACTGCTATTCCATGGTTCTGGAAGAACATGTACAACCCAGAGGAGTGGTCCTTGTGGAAGGTTGACTACAAGTACAACGATGAGTTGACCTTGACCTTCATGTCCAACAACTTGGTTGGAGGTTTCTTCAACAGATTGTCTGCTTCTACTAAGTACATGTTCGGTACTTTGGTTGTCTACGGAGAGAACAACAACAACGGTATTACCGGTTTCTTCTTGATCAGAGGCCAGGACTACGCTCCAGCCTTTGATGTTGCTCCAGACTGGGAGTCTTACTCTTACACCAAGTTGGATGCTTCTGACGAGGCCACCAAGTCTTTCATCAACAACATGTTGGCTTGGGACGAGCCTGTTGAGGTTAACGGTGAGAAGAGAGAGATTGCTGACGGTAAGGTTTTCAAGTAAACAGTGTTTAATAAACCTAGGAGAGAGATAGTGTAGGGAGAATTATGTAAACTAGAGAATTGAACGATGGGAAAGTCAGAAGAAATAGAAGGGATTGAGAAATACATCATGAATTGGGTCTCGACTTGGAGATCGACGAAACTAAGTTGATGTCCATCGAAGAGAACGACATAGGTAAGTTAAAGATAAGGAATAAATTGTCTTTATGGTCTGGATAGAAAGTAAGCCACCAACTGAGTATGTTTTTGTTGTAACCTTCAATCAATCATTTTCATGTTCTTAAACCCCAATTTTCCTGTTCTCGACCCTATAGTGTTGAGTCTGAGCACCGCCTACTCAGTCTCTTAACTGCGTTTACCATTCAAGTTTCCTCAGAAATTACCAGTAAGTTTCAGTAATTTCCAATGATTTTTCGGTTATCACCATCCTATTCATATCATCTTTTGGCACATCATTTATTCTCAATCTTTCATGGTCTTGATTCTTCACATACTTGCTGAGTCCCGCATGCTCACATTCAATGCCTTCACAGTTTTCCACCAAATCCCTAATAAATGCCACCTTCTCATAAGTTTCGAAATATCCATATCATTGAATAAGTATATACTTATATCCTTGTAGCATCAATTCCCCATTTCCCATTTCCTATTTCCCTATCTTTCAGTATATTACATAACCATTCCTTTACTTTGTATCCAATCTACATATCTATGTACCCACCTTTTAGCCAAACATTAAACAATCAACCTATCCAGAATTCCTATTCAAAATCTAGACTTTGCAAAGTACCTCTAAAATTCATCACAATTTTATTCTTGTAAATTTGCTTCACCTTTTAATTTTAATTCCCTCTACCCATCGCTATTCCTCCTTACAACTCCATCCCGATTCACGTCGTGTATCTAGTGCGAAAACGTCGATAGAAACCATAATACAAGTCTTTTTCCCATGGTGTCGAAACAGCAGGTGCTCCGCAACATACGAAGAAAACCGCTTTCGATTGTGGCGGGTCTCTCACTCGTGGTGATTGTCTACCTCTTCTTTTTCGGCACGCTGTCGACTTCCACAGCGTCGGCGAGCCCAAAATACTCGTACAAGAAGAAATCCAATGGGTGGTTCAAGGGAAACAATCGGGATTCAGTGATTTTGCGCAACTTGCCAAACGACCACATCAGCCACTACGACTTGAACAAGTTGGAGGCACAGGCGGCCAACGCTAAGGGCAACGATGGTGACGTGTTGATCTTGACTCCAATGAGCAAGTTCTTGCCGGAGTACTGGGACAACTTGAATAAGTTGACTTATGACCATAACTACATCTCGTTGGGATTCATTTTCCCAAGAACTCCTGAAGGTGACCAGGCGTTGAAGCAGTTGGAAAAAGCTGTGAAGAAGACCCAAGGTGCAAAGGGTAAGTTCAAGAAGATCACAATTTTGAGACAAGATACCGCCTCCTTAGCTTCGCAGAAGGAGAAGGACCGCCACGCGTTGAAAGTGCAGAAGGAGCGTCGCTCCATGATGTCGTTGGCCAGAAATTCACTCTTGTTTTCCACCATTGCTCCTACCACATCATGGATTCTCTGGTTGGATGCAGACATTGTGGAAACGCCCGTTACGCTTCTCCAGGACTTGATTGCCCACAAGAGACCCGTTCTCTCTGCAAACGTCTATCAGAGATACACTGACGAAAACGGAAAGGCTGCTATTCGTCCTTACGACTTCAACAACTGGGTGGAGTCTGAAGAGGGCTTGAAATTGGCATCAGGAATGAAGGAAGAGGATATTATAGTGGAGGGTTACTCCGAGATGGCCACTTACCGTCCGTTGATGGCCCACTTCTACGACGATAAGGGTTCAGTCGCTCAGGAAATGGCTTTGGACGGTGTCGGAGGCGGAGCCGTGTTAGTTAACGCCGATGTGCATAGAGATGGAGCCATGTTCCCTCCTTTCCCATTCTATCACTTGATAGAGACCGAGGGTTTCGCAAAAATGGCCAAAAGATTGGGTTACGAAGTGTTTGGATTGCCTAACTACTTGGTGTACCACTACAACGAGTAAGTCCATTGATAGGTGGGGGTCATTTTGGGACCTGAAGTGCCGGAATTGAGTGCAATGTTGGGGAGGAGAAGTATCTGGCTACAAAATTTTGTGTCGAAGATGTTGACACGGTTGGCCTGTGGTTAGTCATGATTGACAATCTTGGTCAAGGACTATCAAAAGAAACTGGATTCTTAAGAGACTGCGAGCGTCTGGTTGCTACTTGCTACCTACATCCATACATATTCATCCTAGGGGCTCTATTTCTACATTCATGAGCAGGTATCTTACTCTATTTTCTGTGATAATCTAACATCATGTCTCGTCTAGTCCTGCAGATACTGGGGGTTTATCTCTGGTTGTTAGCTACAGTAACTAACTTCTACCATCTAAGATTTAAAAGAATGAACCATTGAAACTGACTGAAATATCTCAATTATAGTATTATTCTCTACACCAAGTAAGAGAGGAGCCTCAATACATCTGAAATCGATATCGTCCTGCAGATAAACCACGGGGGCCAAAGTTTCCATTTGGTCTACAATATTAACGAACCACATGAACGCCCTATAAATTCTTGGAAATGAAAACGGGAAAGCACTAAGAAACTACAAAATTTTAATAAATCGTCAATGTTTATCAGAAAAATACCCCCAAATGCCCTCCAAAATGTCTCACAAAGACTCTCTCCAAATTCCCCCATGGACCCATCGCATGCCCGATTCAGCCGAGCCGCACCAAAAAAATTGAGATGCCTTTTTCTCATCTCTGCTCCACCTATTTTTTTTATTCTACATCTTCTCCAAAAATGCAACTCACATGGAAGGATATCCCGTCGGTTCCGACATCCAACGATATGTTGGATATCGTGCTTAACAGAACCCAAAGAAAAACTCCAACCGTCATCAGACCGGGTTTCAAAATCACTCGTATTAGGGCTTTCTACATGAGAAAGGTCAAGTTCACTGCTGAGGGATTTGCTGAGAAGTTCACAGACATGTTGGCTGGGTTCCCCAACATTAACGATGTTCACCCATTTCACAGGGACTTGATGGACACTTTGTACGAGAAGAATCACTACAAAGTGTCGCTTGCGGCCGTTTCTAAGGCCAAAACCTTGATTGAGCAGGTTGCTCGTGATTACGTTCGTTTGTTGAAGTTTGGTCAGTCGTTATATCAATGTAAGCAGTTGAAGCGTGCTGCTTTGGGTAGAATGGCTACTATCGTCAAGAAATTGAAGGATCCATTGGTGTATTTGGAGCAGGTGAGACAGCATTTGGGCCGTTTACCTTCCATCGACCCCAACACCAGAACCTTGCTTATTTGCGGTTACCCTAACGTCGGAAAGTCTTCGTTCTTGCGTTGCATCACTAAGGCTGATGTAGAGGTTCAACCTTATGCTTTCACCACTAAGTCGTTGTACGTGGGTCATTTTGACTACAAGTACTTGCGTTTCCAGGCCATCGATACCCCCGGTATTTTGGACCGTCCAACTGAGGAGATGAACAACATCGAAATGCAATCCATTTATGCCATTGCTCACTTGCGTTCGTGTGTGTTGTACTTCATGGATTTGTCTGAGCAGTGTGGTTTCTCTATCGAGGCTCAGGTCAAATTATTCCACTCCATCAAGCCTTTGTTTGCCAACAAGTCAGTGATGGTGGTTATGAACAAGAGTGATATTATCAAGGTGGAAGACTTAGATGCTGAGAAGCAGGAGCTCTTGAACTCCATCTCTTCCACTCCAGGTGTGGATGTCATGCACACTTCGTGTTACGAGGAGGATAACGTTATGCAAGTCAGAAATCAGGCCTGTGAGAAGTTGTTGACTGCTCGTATTGAACAGAAGTTGAAGGGTTCCGCTAGAGTGTCCAACGTGTTGAACAAGATCCATGTTGCTAGACCTCAACAGCGTGATGAGGCCGAGAGACCAGCATACATTCCGGATGCCGCTAAGAACGTGGCTAAGTACGATCCTGAGGACCCTAACAGAAGATTGTTGTCCAGGGACATCGAGGGCGAGAATGGAGGTGCTGGTGTGTTCAACATCAACTTGAAGGACTTCTACTTGTTGGATGATGACGAATGGAAGAAGGACACTATGCCTGAGGTTTTGGACGGTAAGAACGTTTACGACTTCTTGGACGCCGACATTGCTGCCAAATTGCAAGCATTGGAGGACGAAGAAGAGAGATTGCAGGCTGAAGGATTCTACGACTCGGACTCAGACCTCGAAGATGAGGATGCCGAAGATGTTCGTGAAAAGGCTGAATGGATCCGTAACAAACACAAGGTGATGGTTCAGGAGTCCAGAAACAGAAAGTCGTTGAAGAACAGATCGTTGATTCCACGTGAACACATCAAGAAGACATTCGGTGAGATGGAAGAGCATATGAGCTCGTTAGGCCACGACACCGACCTGTTGAGATCGCGGGTCAAGGGACCAGGCAAGAGAGAATTGAGTGGAGTGGACATTTTGAAGAAGAACCAAGGTGTCAAGAAGTCCATCCAGAAGAAGAAGGCTCCAATCAGCCAACTGGACAGATTCAACGATGGTGTTGCCGATGGAGCACAGAGATCGCAGGCCGAGAGATTGGCCAAGTTGCAGAGAAGAGAGAGAAACAGAATGGCCAGACAGGGAGAGGCCGACCGTCATGTGGCAGCAGCCATGCCCAAGCATTTGTACTCTGGAAAGAGAGGATTTGGTGCCGACCGTCGTTAGGTTAGGTTTATGTACATTAATGTTAGCACTTGTGAGAGGATGTAGGGATAGATGGGGACGTGGGTTTGAACGTTCGAGGCAGTGGGTCTGTATTTGTAAACAAGAGGTGTTATGACAGCGAGGAATGATTAAGAACAATTTGGTGATGTTCTCAAGCTGCTTGTAAGTCTTAATTGGAGGGCCAGTAAGAAATTTGGGGAATTGAAGGTGGAATAGCCAAATGAGACAAGTGAATATTTTCTTGGAATCAACCATTAACTACAAAACATCGAACATTGAATTGTAACTAGGTGATAGCTCACATCACAGAGTTAAGGGTTTAGAAGGGCCATGATTCTGATTGACAACTAAAATCATTTGTGATGTAAAGGATTAGCAATGTCAAAGTAAGCAAACTATTCAATCGCAAGATTCTTTAATTACCGGTATGTATCTGAGATATCTATGACTCCATGACACCATGCTCAATGCCTACATGATTACTTGACCATATGACTTGAATAGTGGTTAGTAGTCCATAGCAACGACATTAGTTAGAAAAAAGTATCCTACGGTCTCGGGTCAATTCTCATGATAATCACCATTGCTTATCAAAGCAACCACCAACACAAAGCCTTATCGCTATCGATCGTTATGTGACGTCTCAATTTATTAAGTCTAAGCAAATCATTCATAATAGTCCGATTACTAACAAGATTCCATCTCCACTTTGATGATCCCATCTCATCATAGTTTCAATACCTTCCACGTTATCTGAGAATATCACGCCCCAGGTCTTCCCACACCCTCATATTTATACCTTTATTCATACTATTCACACCTTCATATCCATTTCGCTTCCCGTGTCTTATCTCTTATCCTTCTCTCGTTATCTACCACTAACCATACAGCAACTATACACAAACCTTAACTCCCCTCCCCCTCGTATCTCGCCGATTGGCCATCAAATCCTTCACCGTTTTCTCTTGCTGTCACTGAAGATCATTGTATAATTTGTGGCAGGACATTTATGCTTATCGGACTTGATTGTTCTATCCTGTGTGGACGACGCAAGATAAAGCCTAGGAGGTCGGAGAATGTGGGAGGGATAAATATTATCAAATTTCGTACATATTGATGATTTATTTTTTTTAATTTATCTTATTATCTTATCGCTACCATAATTAATGGAACAGTTCTGGATTTTTCCAAAAGTGCCATCGAATTTCGGCGGTAATTCACTTGTGATAATTTTGTTTAAACCTCCGCCGATCTAGATTGTGGATCATATTCTCACTGTGGAGGAGCCACAACCATCTAGCCCTAAAAAAACCTCCACAAAACCGCTCAAAAAACCCCCGACCATAGAAAGCCAATCAAAAACCTCAACATCCACGCCTCCACATCTGCCGGGGCCCCCATTCTCTCACTTAACTCCAGCCACATGAATGTCCGCTATCCACAATCCTCCAGATAGGTAACTGTGCCTTTCCTGCAGGACTCACCACGGGAAAAAGAATCCTCTTATCTAATCAACAACTCCTCTACTCATCATTTTTTTCTTGATAACCGTTTTTTCTCCTTCCACGACTACGACGAACCACCACTTCTGCAGTTTTGCTACGTCTCGTCACCGTCGTCTCCTCACCGCCTTAGTTGTCTGCGCCGTTGCTGCCTCACAATCATGAACGGCCACCTGGACATTCAATTTCTAAGCGTCAACCACAATAAATACGTCCCCTACCCGCCGGAAAACCAGAAGAATCACAAGCAAATGGCGCCGAATGCCGATAAGTCGCATCCCCGCACTCCCAAACACCTTCATGCATTCGATTTGCTGTCGATTTCAGACCAATTACCCCCCAATACCGGGCCTCCGGGTACGGTTCCTGTCAATGGAACCAACTCCTCGTCTACCTCCAATAAAAACTTGAGCCACGTGCCGTGCAAGTTCTACCGCCAGGGTATCTGCCAGGCTGGCAATCTGTGTCCTTTCAGCCACAATTTGGATGGCACTTTGGCCGCAGACAAGTTGCCATGCAAGTACTTTCAGAAGGGGAATTGTAAGTTCGGCTTGAAGTGTGCGTTGGCCCACTTTTTACCTGATGGCACTCGTGTTAACTCCAAGAGCTTGCTGTCCTACCGCCGCAACAACGACCGTAACAGCGACCGTAATAACGACCGTAGCACTGATCGTGGAAACGATCGTGGAAATGACCGTGAACGCACTGACCGTGACCGTCAGGACCGTGATCGTCAGGACCGTGACCGTGAGCGCTCCAGCTACTTTTCGGGCTTACCTTCTTCCAATCACCACCAAAGGAGCTCCTCTGTGTCTTCGACGGTGGCTGCAGGTGCTCCGTTTTCGTATTCGACAGGTGGACATGCGTCGACGTCTTCCTCCTCGGAGTCCTACTCACACTCGCCAGTCTCACAGCCTATTGATATCAGCGTCAATTCTCTCTTGCGCTCAGGCAACGGCTCGTCTGCCCTGGGAAACACATCTGCTACTTCAGCTACCTTCCCTTCGTCGATGTCTTCGTCACATCCTCACGCTCAAACATCTGTTCCTTCCAGCTTCCGTACTTACAGCAATAACTATATCGCCCTAGGAGCAGGCTCTTCTTTGACTAGTTATGGTGGAAGCGATTGGCTGGTCAATGGACTGATTGGCGGTACCAACGGAGGTCTGTCCACAACGTCCCATTTGATGCTGAACCCGTTCAACACTCCTGGAACTAGAATGACTTCCAACCCCATGCGCAGATCATTGTCGTCAAATTCTCCTCCCAACTTTTCCATGGCATCGCCAGTATCTGGAGAATTTAGCCGTGAGTTCAACCGGCCAACTTCAAGCGAATTTTCTACGGGCACATCGGCATTCCAGTCGCCCCAAACACAATTCAGCACCCCGTACTCGAAACTTTCTAGGAACAACATATTCTCAACATCTCCTCAGTATAACTTCAATCTGAGTGGCCCGGATTCTGCGGTAGTTGACGATGATAGCGAGGGAAACTATGGAGACGAAGATAACGTTTTTTTCGAAGACTACGTGCCCGCATCGCTTGGTAACCTCATCTTGACGCCTCAAGAGTGCAAGAGACGCAATTCCAGATCGCAATCGGGGACATTACTTGTTCGCCCCAACATTGCATCGACGATATCATTTGATAAACGCTCGGAGAAGAAGCTCCCCAGCGGAGATGATGTTTTTTTGATGGACTAGGGAAACTAAATTTACTTTATATTTGTTTTGGTTGTTTTATTTGTGTGGTAAAAGTTCCTGTGGGGTTAAGTTAAGCATTGATGGGCTGCTGGATGGTCGCATCAGGGTGTGCAAAAGTCAGGGATGGTCAAGGACAATGAGATACACGAAAAGTCGGAAAAGAGACTAGAAAAAGAAAATGAAAAAAAAAAAAAGAAGTTCAAACTTTGAAGATCTACCTTGGGAGAGCAGAAGTACCTTGTTCAAAAAACAAGGCCGTTTAGATTTGCTCTCTCACGTTAACCTATGAACATGATATTTTTATATGTACAGTAGAAGTGCTGCAACATTTACTGCTTCCCTTCCGTCACCGCTGGTGGTGCAGCTCTATAGATATCAGCACAAAGCTTCTGGTAACTCTCCAACGCTCTGACATTTTCCATCTCCAACTCTGGCTTCACTCCTCTTACATGATCGCTCTCGAACAACGTTCCCACAAATGCCATCTCGTCGGTGTAAGGATTCATCGTTATAACAATGTAATCAGTCACCAGTCTCTCTGTCGTGTTAGGCTCTTGAGAATCGGAAGTGATAACCATTTCTTGTCTGGTTTGAACCTTAACAACAAACTGAACTACAGCAGAAACATCGTTGCTGTCTGGAATTGGGGTAAAACTGACCAACTTGGGGTTACCTTCGATGCTTTTCAAATTCCACTCTAATTTAGAACGAATAGGGAAAGTCACAGCTCTGGCAGCCAATGACTTCACAACTTCAATACCTGCAATTCCATCTAGTTGCGACTGCAAGTAGGACTGTCTTTGAGCACCAGGAAGAGAGCATGCAGCTGCAAAGATCTTGTTTGTTTTCACATACTTGTCCACGGCCAACTCCTTCCAGTCATTGATTCTGAGCTTCAACTTGGTATCTGACTTGAACTTAGAAATACTGAAGGTGTTCAATCCGAACGCTCCAATTCGTCTGAGAATGAGCTTGTGCCACGAGGTAACTGGGCAGTCTCTGAGTCTTGGAGGAATGTAGAAGTCTGCCAAAACTCCAATTGCCTTGATAGGTACCAAAGACACATCTGGAGCCTTCTGTTTCTTCTTCTTTGGCTTCTCAGTCGAGTATGCTCTCACAGCACGTGAAGCAGGAAGACCTACCAAACCAGCGTGTGAGAACACTCTAGCAGCACTATAAGGGACTCTAGGTGTCAATATGCTTTTGAGTGGAAACATTAGGTTTGTTGAACAGATCTAGTGAGTCGAAAATTTGACTTGGTGGTGACACCCGTACCTCCGACTATATTGTGGAGTCTAAGAATGATAGGAAATCGACAAAGAAAGGCGAAGATCAGTGAAAGCATTACATTGGATCATGATTGATTGGTTCTATTGATCTTCTATCCTTTTTATGGTTTCCATTTGATGATGATTACCCAGATTTTGCAGGTTAATGGTCTCAATTCCCATACTACAATGTTGACTTGTAGAAAAGTCAAGGATAAAGCAGCAAAATCAACCAACAAAAAGATCTAAGTGATACCAGAATTTTTATCATTTCTCCCAATTACTCCTGCTATAATCTCTTCCCCAGCTTAATAATCTTCCCAGCCTAGTTGGTTAGATTCCCGAAGATAATACACCCGTACACCAGGCGATGAGATACACCTTTCGAGTCACTTAGAATCTTCAAAGTCCATCATTAGCCATGCCTTCTGCCCCCAAGAAGCTTACGCCCGAAAAGGAGAGATTTATCCAGTGCTGTGGTGACATCTCGCTCGAGTTGGTTGCGTCGTTGAAAAATTCCAAAGACATCAATTTGAATGGGCTCATTACTAGATATGCTAAGAAGTACAAGTTGAAGAACCAGCCTCGGTTAACTGACATTATCTCGTCTATTCCGGATCAACACAAGAAGTACTTAATTCCAAAGCTTAAGGCCAAACCCGTGAGAACTGCCTCAGGAATCGCTGTAGTGGCTGTCATGTGTAAGCCCCACAGATGTCCTCACATTGCTTACACTGGAAACATCTGCGTTTACTGTCCGGGAGGCCCCGACTCAGACTTCGAGTACTCTACCCAGTCGTATACTGGATACGAGCCGACATCCATGCGTGCTATACGAGCCCGTTATGACCCTTACGAACAAGCAAGAGGAAGAGTCGAGCAACTACGTCTGTTGGGCCATCTGATTGATAAGGTGGAATATATCATCATGGGAGGAACGTTCATGTCGTTGCCAATCGACTACAGAGAGGGCTTCATCACCCAGTTGCATAATGCGTTATCTGGCTATAACGGCAAGGACATTGACGAGGCCATTCGCTACTCACAGCAATCGCAAACAAAATGTGTGGGAATCACTATCGAAACAAGGCCCGATTACTGTACGGAGACCCATCTTAGTGATATGTTAAAGTATGGATGCACGCGACTTGAAGTGGGTGTTCAGTCCGTTTATGAGGACGTGGCTAGAGATACCAACAGAGGTCATACGGTCAAGGCAGTCTGTGAAACATTTGCCGTGGCCAAAGATGCTGGTTACAAGGTGGTGAGTCACATGATGCCCGATTTGCCCAACGTGGGGATGGAGAGAGACCTCCAGCAGTTCATTGAATACTTTGAGAACCCTGCCTTCCGTACGGATGGACTCAAGATCTATCCAACTTTGGTTATTAGAGGAACGGGTCTCTATGAGTTGTGGAAGAAGGGATTGTACAAGTCGTATAATGCAAATGCATTGATTGACTTGGTGGCCAGAATCATGGCGCTTGTGCCTCCATGGACTCGTATCTACAGAGTGCAGAGAGATATTCCTATGCCATTGGTGACATCAGGAGTGGAAAATGGTAACTTGCGTGAATTGGCGTTGGCCAGAATGAAAGACTTTGGAACAACCTGTCGTGATGTAAGAACGAGAGAAGTGGGAATCCAAGAGGTGCACCATAAGGTTTCGCCCGATCAAGTGGAGTTGATTAGAAGAGACTACTATGCCAATGGAGGATGGGAAACGTTTTTATCATACGAGGATCCCAAGCAGGATATCTTGATCGGCTTACTCCGTTTGAGAAAGGCGCTGAAGAAATACACCTACAGAAAAGAATTTACTTCTCAGCCCACGTCAATTGTTCGTGAATTGCACGTTTATGGTTCGGTGGTACCGCTCCACTCCAGAGACCCCAGAAAATTCCAGCATCAAGGTTTCGGAACTTTGCTCATGGAGGAGGCAGCTAGAATTGCAAAGGAAGAGCATGGATCCAAGAAGATCAGTGTGATTTCGGGAGTTGGAGTGAGAAACTACTACGCCAAGTTGGGTTACGAGTTGGATGGTCCATTTATGTCCAAGACACTTTAGGTCAAGTGTCGAGTCATCGCTTAGGAAGGTTTATACATTTAATACAAACGGCTTTAATACATTCCATTATGACCCTTTATTCCAATTTTTTTTATAATACACGCCAATGTGATTTTAAATCGACCGATAATGCAGCACTCGTAAGTGTGGAAGAATATGCAATAGTAAAAGAACGTAAGCAGCTGGAAAAGTTCGCCGCAGAAACTCTAGTGATGATGGAAGTATTTGTTGGACAGCGGTTGCGATCCGGCCTCACGGGACCACCCATGAATGTCTTCGCCAGATCCACCTACCGGTCTTTCGAGAACAACATTCTCTAAACCGAGGGCATCGCTCAACCATGGGTGATTGATCATTCCACCTGCATCTGCCCGCAACTCAGGCTGTAATGCAAGCATAGGCATCAAGAAGTCAGCAATTTCGATGGCGTCGCTGACGCTAAACTTGTACTTCTCGATTAAAACGTCCTTCAATGCCCATGGCTTGAGCTTAGCAATTCTCAGAAGCTCGTCCTTGCTGTTGAAAAACTCACGAGCGTAATAGCTCTCTTTCAACATCGACCTGGGAAAAGGCCCGATCAATTCGATGATCTGAGCAATGTGGTCGTCATCCTTAGTATAGGACTTTCCATTCCGGGGATCAAAGAGGTAGTCCCCTGTCAAGAGTTCGAAGATTAAGCATGCGAATGACCACAAGTCAGCAGATGCACCCCAGTGGTATCCAAGAAGAACCTCGGGTGATCTATATTGTCTGGTTTGGATTTCATCGGTGAAATGATGGTGGACCCAACATGCATTTCCCAAATCGGCAATCTTAACGGAGATCAACTCATCCTCGTTGATGATCATAGATGTGTCGTTGAACGCATCCCCGGATTGATGCATGTAAGATGCAGATGAATTGTATGTTTGTGAGATGGACATGGACGAAAGTGAGTTGTTCAAGCTCTTCTCCATGTTGTCGTTCTCCTCCTGGTCGGAGTTATTCATGAACGAAGACTCGCTGTGCACGGTCTTCATGTTGCCCTCTCCCATGGACGACTGGCTATTAACCGGACGAATGGAGTTGTTGACAAATGACCCCAGGCCAATCATGGTCCGCACAGGAGTGTTGTTTGTTGTCTGAGAGAGACCCGAGACGCTTGTGAAGGACTTGTTGAACGAGCGGAGTGGCGAAGGCAATGGCTGGGATCCCGTGATTAAGGTTTGCCTTCTGGAGCGACGGCCATTTCTTCCAATGGATGGAGAACTAGTGACATTGCCAGACGAACGCACCTTTTGCATCACGGCAGCCAGATGGGTCTGCGGGGTGCTCTGATTCAGATCAGATGGCATGTCCGAGGTGGACGCAACAGCTGCATTAGGTGAGTTCAAGTCTGTACGGGAGCTACGGTCCGATTTAGACTTTGTACGACCCAACTTACGCTGGCGTTTTGCCTGGTGTTCCTCCTCCTCCACCAAACGCACAATCTGCTCCACATCGCCAATCTCGATCAACACGTTTTCTGGCTTCAAGTCGGTATGGATCACGCCGCACATTCTGTGCAAGAAGTCAAGGGCAGACAAGAGCTGCTTCGCGATTTGCTTGACGAACACCACTGGGATTCCACGGTGCTTGTATCTACGGATGAGCCCCAATAAATTCTCGCCCAAAACCTCGAAAACCATACACACATGGAGCCCGTTAGGGCCCTTATGAGTAAAGGTGTCTAGCAACTGAATCACATGCTCGTGACCGGGATGGTGCACATCGGAGGTAGTGACCTTGTCCAACAACTTGATCTCATCGACAGCAGTGTCAGTGTAGTGTTTTGCACTTCTTACGATCTTCATAGCCACATGGCACTGTTTGTCGTTGTCTCTTGCCAACCAAACAGTCGAGAAGTGACCCCACCCAAGCTTTCTCACTAACGTATACTTGTTATTTTTGTACGTCTCTCCAATGTAGCACGTGTGGTAGCCGCCAGGAACGTAATCCTTGAGATCCTCCTCGTTCTCTGGGTTTACATCTACAAAATCGTCATCAGAGTCGGATTCAGAATCGTTCAGACGGTCATACAGATGATCCCCAACCTTGTCAGCGGGTTTCTCGGCATGTTTCGCTAAGTCGTACCTATCGTACTTGTCGCCACCCACCGAAGCTGTGTCTGTTTCGATGTCGGCATCTAGCGGCTCCATTCTGTCCTTGAGACTGGCCAAATGGTCCTCGGAGCGGTCTTCAAACGTGGTTGTGATAGGCGCGAGCTCAGGACGGAAGCTTTTCACCAAAGGCAACAGCGTAGCGCTGGTGGCCAGTCCAACTAGAGGAAGAAAGTTGAGAGACCCCGACACATCACTGGCGGTACTAGATTTTCTCTGTTTTTCGTGCTGGAAGTTATGATGCGTGGCCTGCTGGCTCTCCTGATTTGCGTCGGCCTTCTGGATGGCTAGAGACAAGTTGGACTTGTGCTGAAGGGGCATTAGGCAGTTCAGGGATTGAGGAAGTGATCAAAACAGTTCTCGGTGGGTAATGGGAAAAAAAAAACCCTGGTTATGGTCTGGTCACGTGATTATTTGATCGGGTCTAATTTAAGCTCCGATCGGGTTATTAATTCGGACCGAATAGGTGAATGAGTTGATAATTTCAAGAGTTTTAATTCATAAAATTCGATACTTCCAAAGATATTCATCTGTTTTTCTAACTTTTGGGTTGTTGGTCCTGACGTCATGGCTAAGTTCTCACCAATTTTGCGAGATTGTAATTTGTCTGACAAAATATTTTTCTGGTATGTGAATTGATCTTTGACACATCGAAAAAATTCTTATGTTTCTTAATAGTTGCAAAATAGGGGTAATGAGAGAATTTTGAATCATATGTTAATGTCAAATCGTGTTGTATCATTTTTTACTGCACCTTCATGTCTCACATCCCATCAATCTAATAATATTTTGACATTCTGATCCTCTATTGAATTTCTCAGATTATCCTTTTCTTGAAATTCCTTCTGTTTCTTCAATATTCTCAATCATTCCAATCATTCCTACAGTCGAACTACCGATTCCTCTTTCTACCAATTGTCATCTGACAGTAAATTGCTATTTATCTATACAACTAGTCGAGATCCATCTCGTCACTCTTGGTCTCAGCAGTCTCACCTCCCTTGGATGCCTCTCTAGCAGCAGCCATCTTCTCAGCCATAGCAGCCATCTGTGCAGCCTCCTGCTTCTGTCTGATAGCCTGCTTCTTCTCCTCCTGGTCAGCCTGGTAACGACCCTTGATGAGGTTACCGATCGATGCCAACTCCTCGTACTTGGCGATGTACTTGGCCTTGGTCGAGTCGTAACCGTCATCGTACAACCAGTCCTCGGTCTTCAACAACAAAGCGGTCAACTTCTCCTTCTCGGCGTCAGAAGCAAACTTGGCGTATTGGTCGTCCAACTTTCCTCTCAACTCGTAGATGTACTCCTCCAAGGCATTCTTTCTGTCCTCAGTGTCAGCGACCAACTTGTCAGCGACAACCAAAGAAGCCTCCTTCTCGAACAAACCTTGTCTCTCAGACTCGGACAAAGCAGCAGACTCAATTTCGATCACCAAGTCGTCCTTCTTGACCAACTTCTTGACCTCCTTGTACTGTGGCTCGGCATCCTCATCGTCACCCTCCTTTGGTTCAATCAACTCCTTGACGAGCTTCTCCTCAACAGTGTGAGCAGATTCGATGGTGTAGAAACCAGATGGGTCGTTTCTCAACTTCAACTTGGTGGCAATAGAAGTCTCACCTTCGTTTGGAACAACACCCTTGATGGTCCATTTAGCAATCAATGGATCAACACCGACTGGCAACTCAGCCTTGTTGGTGTATCTGGCCTCGATCTCAAAGTCTCCCTTTCTGTACAAAGTGATAACCTTGGTGGATGGGAAAAGACCACCTCTTGGGAAAACCTCCAAGTGGTCGTCGTCCTCCTCCTCCTTGTTCCAGAAGTAAGAAACCGAGTATGGGTTGAAGTCCTCGAACTTGAAAGGTCTAACTCTCAAGGTTGGAGAGTGCATAGCACAGATGAATGCATTACCTCTGGCGATGGCCTCGTCCTGGTTCAAAGTGGTGGACAATGGCTTGCCGAAGATCTCGGTCAATCTGTTCTTCAAGGAGGGAACTCTAGTACAGCCACCAATGATCTCGATAGAGTCAATGTCAGCGGCAGTAAGACCAGCGTCCTTCAAGGCAACCTCAATAGGAACGTGGACTCTGTCCAACAATGGCTTGACGTACTCCTCCAACTCCTCTCTAGTCAAAGAAGAGGACACATCGACGTCGTTCATGACAGACTCAATGTTGATTGGAGCGGAAGTGTTAGCAGACAACACCTTCTTGACCTTCTCGGAGGCAGTAAGCACTCTGTAGAAAGCCTTAGGGTTCTCTCTGACATCGATCTTGTACTTACCCTTGAACTCGTCAGCAAAGTGGTTAGCAATGGCGTAGTCGAAGTCTCTACCACCAAAGTGCTTGTCGTAGGCAGAACCCAAGATCTTCAACTCACCCTTCTTAACGGCAGCGATAGAGATCTGCAAGGAGGAGTGACCAATGTCAAGGAAAGCAACCTTCTTAGCCTCATCCTCAGGCAAGTCGTTCTGCTTGAAAACACCGTACCCGACGGCAGCGGCAGTAACCTCGTTGACGATTCTCACAGGGTTCAAACCGGCAATCTTACAGGCGTCAGAGGCGGCTCTTCTCTGCTTCTCGGTGAACCACACTGGGACAGAAAGACAGATGTCAGTGATGTTACCCTTGGTCTCCTTCTGGGTGATGTCCTTGATCTTGTTCAAGTACATGGCCACCAACTGGGTGGAGGTGAACTCGTGTTGCTCACCCAAGAATCTCACCTTGGAGTTAATTTGACCATCAGCACCCTCAGCCAAGTTAGCAGTGAAGTACTTCTGCTCGGTCTTGAAGTCTGGATCTTTGTAATCCAAACCAACAATTCTCTTCAAGTTGTCGACGGTGTTCTTGATGTTGGAAGTCTGCTGGTTCTTAGCAGCCTCACCAATGAATCTGTTCTTAGATCCGAAACCAACCAAAGAAGGAGTGGAACGGTTAGACACCTCGTTGACGATGATGTCAATACCTCTGTTTCTGGCACACGCAATAACCGTGTTATCGTTACCCAAGTCAACACCGAATGGAACAGACATGTTTAGTATATGCTGGAAGAAACTTTGCTCGTGGCGATTTTCCATTTAAAAACGCTGCTGTGGTCTCTGCACGACTCATCTAGAAAGTTCGAGAAGGGCCAAGGAAGAGAGGTGGCCCTGGAGGCCACACATGTCATGTCGGGACAATTTTGAGAGAGCTTAAGTGACAAAGTGGTTTTGGAAAAGCCATTGAATGACTTTTTTCTTTCGAAGTTGTTGCATTCTGGCAGATATTTGCCTAGATGAAGAAATACGATGAAGGTAATTTCCTGCAGGTGACCCAAGGATCCGGTTAATATGCTATTTCGCACCAAAATTTCATGCCCACATATTCACAGGACTACACATGTTAGTAGGCCCACTCAACATTGTCTGCACACTTGATTGGCATTTGTTACAAAGGGGGATTAGAGACTTTGCTCCAAAATTGTAAGAAGCGTCATCCATCCACTCGACTCCACTAAATGCAAGTAGTCCTCGTACTTTCTGTCCTTCACATAACGAGCAATCAAGCCATACTCGTCTTTGCTCAACACACCCATTCTATGGAGGTAGATCAAGAAATGGAAATCACAAAGCTGAGATCCATCGCTTGCACCCAGTTGTAATTGTCTACTCACCGCCTTCAAGTCCTGCAAATCGCCAAGGAAGTCTCTGTTCTCGATCGGGAACTGCAGAGTAAACTCAGGTGTAGGGTCCAACGGGAACGAGTCCAGTAATGTTACCAACAAGTAGTCGACTGGGAACGCTGGCTTGGCGTTTGTTTTCACCTCAAGTCCGTACTCATTGATCTTCGAGTAGAAAATATCCGGCACGTATCGTTTGCCACTGGTCTCGTTGATGTAGAGTAAATTGGGATGTGTAGATGCACCAATATCGTCAGCAGTCACCAATGCCTCGGCACTGGCAGAAACCTGATAAGCACGAGGTTCAATTTCGCCCTTCAAGTTGCCTGTAACCACACAAGTAACGAATTTGGATGAGTACTTGCTTGAGTCGGCGTATTTGGAAACGTTTGGATGAGCATTCTGGTTTCGGGCAGCCATGAGCACCTCAAGACATGACAAAAAATACGAGTCCTTGTGTCTTTTGCAGAGCACAGAGCCATCACGAGCACCCGAGTCTGTCAAATCTGTGAATACAACACCTACGGCCGAGAGCCCTAAGGCATTGGCCACCTCGTTCACTTCCTGTTCATTTTCCCAGTTCAACAAGGTAATTCCGTCCAGTTCACCGGCCTGTGGTGGTTCGTAGATGGCCTCCACCACAGCCTTAATGCCGAGTGGTACCTTGTCGAATGCCTCGTAGCGGCCGTAGAGCACGCCGTACCGCTGAACTCCCGACTGTCTCCATGTTTCAATGAAATTGTTAAGCAACAGGTGGTCTGCGAACTCCACATGGTCCACCATCCGGAAATCCTGTTGACTAAGCGTGATAGGTGCTGGTTGGCATTTGGAGCAGATTCCCTTGGGGAATGGAGCATGGCCACCTCCACAATTCAAGTTGATGGAGTAATTTGGTTGCTCCAAAGGAGCTATGTATGACGATGCCTTATTCTTGTTATTTTTGTTCTCGTTGAGCTCCTTCAAATGTGCATGAAACGACTTATGCTTGATTCCGTTCTCCTTCAAGTACTCCTTGTCCCAAGGCGGCAACGGCGAACAGTATTCACACATGCCTTTGTCTCCATGGCGACAGAAATGGGACTTTGGTCGCGGGATAAGCCCGTCCTGCTTGTCTAGCTCATCATCCACAGACAATTGAACAATCTGTGATGGTTTAGACGGCACAATCAGCGCCACATCGCTGCCGATGTCCACGCTTACGTTTCCATTGACTGATTGGGCCATTCTAGGCTCTGAAGCAGCAACCTCAGAGTTATTCAGTTCATAAGTCAAGTAGAGAATATCTCCATTCTTGAGGTTTAAGTCAGCAACGGTTTTGCCTGCAAATTCGGCAGCTAAGGTGCCTTTTTGGCCTTGTGAATCACTGACATGAAGTTGAGTAGGGTCTGCCACAGAGACCTTGGTCAACACCTGCTCGAGCGCCGAAAGGAAAAGATCTGAGTCAGTGACAGAGATTCTGAACATGCCATCTTTGGATCTGAAGCGAAGAATCATGTCTGGGGGAGATTTGCCACTGGTAGTTTGATTGTAGGTGTAGTTGATAGTGGTTGGTGTGCAGGAGAGAAAGGTCAGGGCAGATGGAGGACTAGATGGAGAATTAGGTGGAAGTTTTAGAGGCTTTGGATGGTTTAAGGATGCTAATGGGAGTATTGGGATAATCTACAGTTAATTGAATTGGATGAAATCAAAAGAAAAACAAATAAGGTTTTGTATTTTATCTGGTCAAGTTTTTGGGGTGTAGTGTATTAGTAGGTGTACATTGAAATCTGAAGAGGTAATAGATAATGTGCTTTATGATTCATGGAGTGTATTTTTCGATTTTCTTTCATTTAATATTCTTTCCTCTTTCATTTGCCTTTAATTTCTTATATTTCTATCCACTTCTATGAATTGACCATGAATTTGGCTATTTGAATCTTTAATACTTTACTAGCATTGTGTTGTAGCAATATCCACTCATGTGCCCGACTTGGTCTTTCTATTTGATTTTCTATCGCCCATAACTCACTTATATATGTACACCAAACTTCATTTATTCGTCGTACTTTTCATGCTCTTAATATATTCCTTCCCATCTCCCAGTGGTCTGTTCCTTGTCTGGATGTCTCAACTGAAACATACTGATGTTCGCAAGACCATTAACAAAGAGTTTGAGCAGACAGAACTAGATATAAATCTTGGACATGAAATTTTCCATATTTAATCCCTAACTCTTTCCTTTCATCCACTTTTCATGTCACTGTCTGTCATATCACGTTCCTACCAAGTCACCTTCTTGTAACCTCTCTGCATATGACTATACTTCTAGTACATGTCTAAACCAGACCATCATGACGAAGCAGATGGACGGGAACGAAATGGCCTTTTTGGCTTACAAACCTCGCTCCCCTTCCCTTTGAATGAGAAAAGAGTCTCCCTGGCAGATTCCTCGGACCAGCCTATCGGCGACAATCTCCACGAGCTTTCCGATAAGCAAATCTCCAAGCTCTTGCAACTTAAGTTTCATAGCAACCCAATGTTGCTTATTCGCCAGCTTTCAAAGGACCTCTCGACTAAAGAATCCGAGCTAATATTGCTTAGAAAGGAAAAATTCCAACGAGAACACGAGCTTTACAGACTATGCACCGAGTACGGCAATCTATCTAGAATGGAGATTGATAAGAGGCTCAATGCGCTCAAGATCGAGGACGATGTACATAAAGTGGTTTCAGAATTGATAGAAACGGCAATCAATGATGTGCCACGGCCGCTAAGGTCAAAACAGAGGAAGTCGAAGTCTCCTACACAATCTCGAGAGATATCTAAAAATGGCAATATCAGCCGCAATGACTCTAGAGAAAGAAGTTACACAGAGCCAAGAGCAGCAAATGCTGCCAGATTGGAGCTTTCTACCAGCAAATTAGAGCTGCTGGCGGACAAAAATGACCGCAGACTGGGCCATTGGTACAACTGGCTAAATCGATCTGAAGAGGCGCTTTCTTCTGGATCGTCCACCAGTCTTAACCGTTTCAGGGCCCTCAGCGCAAATGGATTCAGAAAAGATTCTGGAAAGGTACCAGTGGAGTTGGAGAGTATGGGCTTTGACAGTGACACCATGCTCCCTTCTCCAGATCCTAATATTGATAGGCATGGTTTCTACAATGATACAAGCATGACCAAACCGCCGCCAAGAACACCAGAAATAGCCAAGGACAGCGATCTGACGTTTGCAGAGGCTACCATTTCAACGTTTGAGATCTCCAAGAGCATCAGTACATTGAAACAGCTCGGAGAACTCCATGACGCCAAAAACGAAGAGCACGTCCGTAGATGGGACGTTTTCATGCGGGAAATCAAAAAAGATGGTATTCGAAACAATCAAGACGAACAGGAAATCTTTGGGGTCAAAGCTTTGAATCTCAAGAAGCACGATGGGTTGAGCAAGTTCTTTGGGTCTGGCGAAGAAGAGAAAAACGAAGAATCTCGTCAATTCAAAAGCCTCCATCGTCTCATCAATAGCGGGGGAATTCCTCCCAAGTATAGAAACGAGCTCTGGTTTGAGGTTTCCGGAGCTAAGAATAAAGAGGTCCATGGCGAATACGATCGTTTGTTGGACATAGCAAGAACGAGCACTGATTCTGAAATCCAGGCTCATGTGGAGCAAATCAACCTCGATCTTCATCGGACGCTTCCGTCTAACAAATATTTCAACGACATGGCCACATCGCAACCGGGCCCACATTTCTATAAGCTCCAGAACATTCTATATGCTTTCGTCGCTTTCAAGCCTGAGGTGGGATACTCACAAGGCATGAATAAAATCGTGGGAAACATGTTACTTGGGGTGAGTGAAGGTAACACTATGGGCACGCGGCGACTCAGCGAAGAAGACGTGTTCTGGATCTTTGTTTCGTTCACCGAAGATTGTCTTCCGAAGTACAATCAGCTTGATTACTTCCACAAGGACTCACTAGCTTTCATTCTGCGAGACTGTGGAATTGTGCAAAAGGCTTACTTTCCGAGGTATTTGGGAGAACTTCACCATCACTTTGAAAAGTTGGGTGTTGATGTTCAGGTCATTTTGTTGGGATGGTGGCTTGGAGCCTTTACTGACAATTTTGCTTCTGTAGAGCTCTGGTTTAAATTTTTGGACAGTGTGCTAATCACCGAATGTGTGGAGGTGAAGTTTGTGAGTTACAGTCTCTCGTTTTTCAAACTCTTCGAGAAGACGTTAATGGAGCACGAACGGCCGGAAGATATCTACAAGCTCATGTATAACCTCAAACTGTCGCAAGTGAATCAGACCAACATTCGGTTCCAAGATCTAATCCAAATCAACAATGAGTTTGAGAAGAGCATGAGTGGGGGCGAGTTGGAGGCTCTACGTGGGAGCTAGAACTTGGGGAATAACATGCTGAGGAATTTCCTTGTCATGATCTCCATTTGAAACATGAGTTGATTTAATTAGGAGGTTTACGTGTCGGAGTTTCACCTCCAAATTTACCGTCCACAATACAAGGGATCACAATGGACCAAATTCAGCCACTCACATTATGTCCATTATCCTCATGTCGGACACTTGCATGATCTCCCATTTTCCTCACCTCCAAATTTAATCACAAGTAGTAAGTTCACTAAAATTCTTCCCATTTGATCCTTGATCCAAAATTTCTTCTTCTAAAGTGACTGTTGGATAGATAGTAAGCCGGTGAAACTACCGATTGTTCTTGGCAAAAATAATCTCTAATCCTACACCGTCCAAAAAAAGCCATAATGTGGAAATCAATCCAGAGCAAAGCATTATCATCATATGTTCATATATTTGTCTCTTCTATTAAATTCCAAACAATTTCAAGTTCCACATTATTATCTCACTCAATTCTTCTGGAAAGGTACATCAACCCGTATACTCGCATACGCACCTTATATAATAAAGCCAGGAGGAGGAAGCAGGAATGTCTGTCCACCGGCAATTCTTAACGAAGATTAATTTAGCACCCACAACATACCGAGCACCCTTACCCGTAACCTTCTAGTCCTAAATAGTTGTCAGCCAGGGCCGCTAATTGCCAAACATCTTCTCAAGTAAAGATCTCAAGGATTTGCAAGACATTCAGTACCTGCGTGGAACATAATCTTCACACGTAGTTCACATCACCACACGATCTCACTGTTCTTAGCTATTGTTGTGGATTCAAAAGTTCATCATGATCCCCAGAGCGCCGCAGACAAGAATGACCCTCTTGGGTATTGCCACTGTGGTAGTTCTCTTCCTTTTGTATTCAACGTCATCGTCCAGTTTCTCATTATCCAGTGCTCCGTCGGTGGTATACGTGGACTCCAAGTCGGGAAACGTCATTGAGAACTTTGTTCCGGGCCAGGGACACGGTGCTGGTGACTCTCAAGGAGATGCTGCTGCGCCCTTGGCCAATGATGCTGTTGTCAAGGCTGGTGATGGTAATAACGCCGAAAAGTCTGAAAAGGTCGAGAAGGAGCCCATCAAAGACGCCGAAAAAGAGGAGGCTGCTGCTGAGCAGCAGATTGGCGGTAAACAAGTCATGGGATCAAAGCCAGGAGACTGTGTGATATTGGGACAGCGTGCAAAGGCCACCTTTGTCACATTAGCTAGAAATCTGGAGCTCTATGAGTTGGTCAAGGCCATCCGTAACGTGGAGGACAGATTCAACAGAAAATTCCATTATGACTGGGTGTTTTTGAACGATGAAGAGTTCACACAGGAGTTTAAAGATGTCACTGGTTCCATTGTTTCAGGAACGGCCAAGTATGGACTTGTACCAAAGGAGCACTGGGGTTACCCAGATTGGGTGGACCAGGAAAAGGCCAAAAAGGGAAGAGAGGCCATGAAGGCTGCTAAGATTATTTATGGAGAATCGGAATCTTATAGACACATGTGCCGATTTGAATCAGGTTTCTTTTACAGGCACGAATTGATGCGAGAATACGACTGGTACTGGCGTGTGGAGCCCGGTATTCAAATTCACTGTGATTTGGACTACGATTTGTTCAGATACATGGAAGAGAACAACAAGGTTTACGGATTTACCATTTCGATCCACGAATTCGTAAAGACCATTCCTACCTTGTGGGATACCACCAAGGAGTTCCTCAAGTTACACCCAGAACATGTGGCCAAGGACAACTTCATGGATTTTATCAGTGATGATAACGGAGAAACATACAACTTGTGTCATTTCTGGTCGAACTTCGAGGTTGCTTCATTAAAGTTCCTTCGTAGCAAAGCCTACATGGATTACTTTGAACATTTGGACAAGTCTGGAGGCTTTTTCTACGAGAGATGGGGAGATGCGCCAGTGCATTCCATTGCTGTGTCGCTCTTCTTGCCCAAGGACAAGATCCATTATTTCCACGACGTTGGTTACAACCACGGAGTTTACACCCAATGTCCATTGAACTTAGAATTCCGCAAGCAACACAAGTGTACGTGTACACCAAGCTCTGATTTCACGTTCAGAGGGTATAGTTGTGGTAAGAAGTATTTTGAGAAGATGGGATTGGAGAAGCCTGCTGAGTGGGTAGACTACCAGTAAGAAGACGATGTTGATGTCGATATTGAATGTATATTGGATGAGAGGTAGATGATAGGGAGAAGTAGAGTGGGTAGAGAGAGAGAGAGAGAGAGAGAGAGAGAGAGAGAGAGAGAGAGAGAGAGAGAGAGAAGAAGAAGAAGAAGAAGAAGAAGAAGAAGAAGAAGAAGAAGAAGAAGAAGAAGAAGAAGAAGAGAAGAGTGTGTTAAGAGATAAGAAGGAAAGTAGCAATGTTGATAAAAGAAGAAGTGGAAACATATATCATCAAATGGGTACGACAACCTGAATTCCAAGAGTCACGTTTATTGGTTGTACAAGAATAAAACATAGAAATATGAATAAATTGCAAGGAGAGAAAAGGAATGACTTAAAGAAAATTAAAGACTGAAATTCTTCACTTGAGGTGAAATTTCTCGAATTGTTCACAGAATCTTATCTGAAATTCTACTACTTCTAAGGTGAAATTCACAATATGCTCAAAGAAAAGTCAAGATGAAGGTGCTCTTTCTCTAACATATCATTTAGTCAACAAAGATTTTGATAAACCAATAAACCTCTATACGGATCGAAGGATATTCCCTGCAATGGCCGTGACTCAGTGGAGATCTAGTATCTGGTAATATTATTGAATACCTCGGAGTATATCGGACTCTGAGTATAATTGTCAGAAACAACAAGCATCCACGGACATCAATGATGAATTTCTCAAACACCCATAATTATCGATGAATATTATTGAATACACATTCATATCGTCTGATATGATGATCACCAGTGAATATTTCGGATTCAGATGAAGTTATTTTTCAAGTGAGATAACTAGCATAAGAAACCATACAAAACTACCTAATTACGAAGTAAAATCTTCATAAAAAATAATTGAAGAAAATTTAATTAAAAATACTTAATCCCTTGCAATTGTATTTACTCTCACCATTTTTTTTTTGATTCCTAGAATTTCATCCAGAATTTTCATTTGGTGAATTCATCCATTCCCAACCCACCTTCCACGTCCTGCACTCACCCTAGGGCCAGCAAAGCGCGTAGCTTGAACATTTCCAAAACCTACCACTCCACCAAAGATGTCGTCGTCAAGATCGAACGCCCGGCTCATTCGATTCGCCGTGTTTGCGCTCGTATTGATTTTTTGTGGATTCATCCTTACTAAGGGATCTGCTTACTCGCCTCAGAGTCTGGTGGCCGTTACTCCAGGTACTGGTGATATTCAAGAATCGGTTAAAGATGGGGTTCCTGAGAATAAACAAGCCGAGAAGGCTCCAGATGCAAAAGTTGACGGTGCTGCTGCTCCTGATGCTCCTGCTGCTGGTGATGTGAAAGCTGGTGACGCCAAGGCTCCACAGGCCGCCGCTCCTGCTCCTGGCGAAAAGGTCAACGCTGTTTTCGTGTCGTTGGCCAGAAACTCCGACATTGCATCCATGTCCAAGTCCATCAGACAGATCGAGGACCGTTTCAACAAGAACTATCACTACGATTGGGTGTTCTTGAACGATGAGCCATTCAACGACGAGTTCAAGAAGTCCATCTCTGCGCTCGTGTCTGGAAAGGCCAGTTTCGGTACCATCCCCAAGGATCATTGGTCGTACCCCGACTGGATCGACCAGGAGAAGGCTGCGTTGGCCAGAGAGGCTATGGTGCAGAAGAAGGTCATTTACGGAGGCTCGGTGTCCTACAGACATATGTGTAGATTCGAGTCTGGTTTCTTCTACAGACATGAGTTGTTGCAACTGTATGACTACTACTGGCGTGTGGAGCCAGATATCAAGATCTACTGTGACATTGACTATGATATTTTCAAGTTCATGAAGGACAATGACAAGATGTACGGCTTCACCATCTCTTTGCCTGAGTACAAGGAAACTATTCCTACCTTATGGGAAACCACCAAGAAATTCATTGAGGAGAACCCTAATTTCGTGGACCCCAACAGTAATATGGCATGGATCTCCGACGACAATGGTAACACTTACAACGGATGCCACTTCTGGTCGAACTTTGAAGTTGGAGCATTCAAGTTGTGGAGACTGGAAGCCTACACCAAGTACTTTGAATACTTGGACAAGGCTGGAGGATTTTTCTATGAGAGATGGGGAGATGCACCAGTTCATTCGATTGCTGCATCTCTTTTTATTCCAAAGGACAAGATCCACTTCTTCGGCGATGTCGGTTATTACCACGTTCCATTCCACAACTGTCCTGTGGATGAAGAGACTCGTACAGCCAAGCACTGTATGTGTCAGCCCAAGGATGACTTTACCTGGAGAGGTTACTCTTGTACACCTAAGTTTTTCACTCAGCACGGTTTGAAGAGACCTAAGGGATGGGAAAATTTCACTCAGTAGACAGTGATCTATACATAGTCTCATTTACAGTTCATTTGATGTGATGTAGGGGACTCAGTTAGTGCTAACAACAACAGGAGAACTAGAAATAAGAAGGATATTCTAATTTTACCCCTTTGAAGGAGTATATCTACAAACCAAATCTCTCGCTATCACACATGTTGTAGTTTTGCCGATATTGTATCTATATTTAACATCATTGTACTTAGATCTCATGTGGATTCTTCTCCATATGCACCGAAGCTGGAAAGAAATAGGCTCCAATCGAAAAATAACTGCCGGCAAAATTTGAAATATCATGAAATGTCATGGTTTCGTCGGATCTTATGAAGTGTCATAACCTTCAATGACTTATGTCCTCGCAGCTTTGTCTATGCTGATTCTTCCCACTCAGTTATACCCGATTGTCCATCAAATTCCTAATGCGGTAAAGAAAGAGTTCTTTGATCATTACCACATTATCCAAACCATCTGCCAACGACTCTACGTCATTATACACCATTCTAATCTACAGTCTACATTATTCTCCTCCATTCTGTGTCTATCCCCCATCCTCTGTCTTGTCTCTCCTCTCAACTGATTGGATTTATCATCAATCTCCAATGGCTGCGAATAACACCTCCACCCATATAATATAGGTGTCTCTACCATATCCCAAGTAAACCCCAGGCAAAACTCGAACAAATTTCAAGTAAAAACATTCTCATCCTGGCCAATCAAAACCTCCTTCCAAATATCCCTTCCATTTCCTGATGCTAAATATATCCGGATCAGGGAGTGCTGGACCCAAATTCCCTTCTGCCACATAGTAGTTTCATTCCTACAGAGAAGAGGTTGTGAAACATTGTCACCAACACCATTATAAGACTATTTTCTCCCTGGCGGCATCACCTCTGCTACGTTGTACTTTCGGACTGGCTGACTGACGCCGTGCGTTTCCCACTGTACGATCCCCAATTTCTCAGTGCCAACTCTTGTCGTTGTATCTGAATCCATTCTCCAAGTCACAAATAGAGTTTGTATCCTACATTCCCACAAATTCCCTCTTTGTTGCCGGAATGCCCCAAACACGCGAGAAACACAGGCCTCCACGTCTCCAGAGCACCGCCAGCTACCGCTCGCTGGCCATCGCCCGCATAGTATCACCCATAGCTCCTCAGATGATGAGTGAAGAAATGAGAAACACCTTCCGCATCTCTCAGTCCATCCGCCAGCAGCAGACAAACCTCATAGCGACAACTCAAGATAAGGGAAACTCTGACGCCACCGACGGCATCGATCACGACACCGATGACCGTCTAGAAGACGCAGACGACGCGTCGTCAAATGGCTCTGCTTCAAGAGCACCAGATTCCGAGCCTGTAACAGCTGACGCCGTTTCTCATGATGGAGAGGCTACATCAGGAACAGGATCGGTTGGTTCTGCCAATTCGGCCGTGTCTTCCACCTCACAGTCCACTGCACCATCAGCAGGGTCCGACACGGTTGCCACGTTTAATTACTCGCCCCAAAAGGGTTTGAGTCCCTCAGCGTCGACCCGATCTACCGGCGTTCACGATATTAGCATCCTGGACACCGAATCAGGGGAGTTTGATCGTATTACTTCTGCTCTCAGCAAGAAGAAGTTGAAACGAGACCGTGCGCCTGGACCCTTGAGAATCCCCGGGCATGCTCGTGGCCTCACTCCCGTCATTAACTCTGCTCCCATCCGAACATACTACTCAGCGGTTTCCGGTTACAATGGCTACGCAATTCCGTCCGGATATCCTGGTCGCACCCATGCTGGACATGTAGGTTACGTCGCTGGTTCCACGGGGCCGGTGGGACCCAATATGGGACCCGTAGGAGCCGTGGGGACCGTTGCTTATGCGGGAACACCCGTCAGCATGACTACCCCCGGCCACTACCAGCCCCGGCGGATGCCAGTCCGGCTGTTCTTACAACCAGTGCCCATTCCTGTCCAAGTGGTGCAGACACCAATGAGACGAAGCATACCTGCTGCTTATGAACGTAAAACGGCGAAAGCACGCGGCAAGGAGCGCCGTAAACCTGTCCAGGATGTATTTTTAGGTGACGTGAAGCGAGAAGCTCCCATGACATCGCAGCCCCCATCTGCACAGCAAGAGTACTTTGAGGATCATGACGACGATCGCACTGACGCTACTGAAGAGGAGATGCGCGAGATGGAGTCGAAGAGACGGGCAAATTCCATAGTAGGGGGTAGCATTGTGTTCAACGACGAGTCTGCGTTCAATTTCAAGATCTTTGGAGAGCGAGACGAAGATGCAAAGACAAAGTTCATGAAAGTGTGTGAGACAACATGGGATCAGTACATGGCAAGGCAACTGTAAAGGAAGACAGACTAGATACGAGATATACAAGACTGTGTCATATGGTCTTGTTACTCCAAGATGTATTTTTTTTGAAGATGGGAAGTTTACTTCTTTTCAAGTTTCAGTTCTAGTTCTGTCCCTGGCTCTACTCTCTCATTTCTAGTTCGAGATCTAGCTCTACGTCTGCCGATCGCTAATTTGGTCCTGGTGACCACGATACTGATAATTTGGTCCAGGCTGCGAAATCTTTCAACTTTAATATCAATTCCAAATTCCGTGGTTGACCGCTTCTATATAATTTTAGATTAATAGCTCATATTCTCGTGTCAAGCTTATCTTCATTTTTTATTTTCTACTTCATTCCCACAATTGCACTATCTAATTTATATCCACTTACACTTCCCACTCTACCTTCCATTACCGTTTCCTGTATATGATGTCACTTAAACCACCAGCAAAACATATAAATACCATCCATTTCCTTTGATTTTTACCTCTAAATGATTACATTACACTTCTCTCTCCCCATTGTACTTTCCATTTTTCCCTGATTCTCCCTCCTTCTTGTGTTTTGCTCACCAACCTCAACCAACTTGGTGTGCACGTAACTGACTATGAGGGCAAAAGAAAAAATCACACCTAACGAAATCTTCAACCATGGCCTCATTGCTAATGAGACGGTCGCTATTAGCGACAGCAGGAATATCACGTCCCATGCTATCGGTGACACGCCGTAGTGTTGTGACGCCACTTTTCGCTTCGCAAAGATCGTTTTCGTCGTTCCAGAAGCTCCTGTTCTCATATTCACCAATCAGATTAAATGAACAGAAACCACCCCAAAAAAAGGAGAATAACGAGAAGGAGAAAGAGTCAGAAGACAAAGGAAAGTCCAAAGAACAGACAGAGGAGGAGAAACTCCGTGAGGAAGTCAGAGAGAGATTGAGAAAGAAGAACCCAAATGATAACCTTCAGAACCTCAAGATCATCAAGATTGATGCCGCTCAGTTGCTGAAAGGAATCACAATTTTTGCCTTGAGCACGCTTATGTTGACAATGTTTTTGATGACTGGCCAGCCACGCAAGGAATTGTCGTTCCAAGACTTCAAAACCAGATACCTTGAAAAGGGTCTCGTAACCCGTCTTACCGTGATCAATCGCTTTGCCGTGGAGGCTGAATTGATTCAGGGCGCTTTCTCAGACGAGACGATGCAGGGTCCTCATGGACACCCTATGGTTGTGTTCACTATTGGGTCTGTAGAAGTGTTCGAAGAAGAAATGAATGCTGCTCAGGATAAGTTGGGAATCCCTGTCGAGGAGCGCTTGCCTGTTCTGTACGAGGACCGTGGCTCGTGGATGAATATGATTCTTCCCATTTTGCCTACTGTTTTACTCATTGGTGGACTTTGGTACATCACCATGAGAAGAGCTTCTGCACAAGGAGGAGCTGGCGGAGGAGCTGGAGGAATCTTCAAGATCGGAAAGTCCAAGGCCAAGTTGTTCAACCAGGAGACTGACGTCAAGATCAAGTTCAAGGATGTTGCTGGATGTGAGGAGTCCAAAGAGGAAATTATGGAGTTTGTTAAGTTCTTGCAAGATCCAATCAAATACGAGAAGTTGGGTGCCAAGATCCCTCGTGGTGCCATCTTGTCCGGACCTCCAGGTACTGGTAAGACTCTCTTGGCTAAGGCTACTGCTGGTGAGGCTGGTGTGCCATTTTTGTCTGTTTCTGGTTCGGAGTTCGTGGAGATGTTCGTCGGTGTAGGAGCATCCCGTGTTCGTGACTTGTTCAAGACCGCCAGAGAAATGGCCCCTTCCATTATCTTTGTCGATGAGATCGATGCCATTGGAAAGGAAAGAGGAAACGGACGTATGGGCGGAAATGACGAGAGAGAAAACACTTTGAACCAATTGCTTGTGGAGATGGACGGTTTTGAGGCTTCTGACCATGTGGTCGTTTTGGCAGGTACTAATCGTGTGGACATCTTGGACAAGGCTTTGTTGAGACCGGGAAGATTCGACAGACACATTTCAATTGACATCCCTGATATTGAGGGAAGAAAGGCTATCTTCAAGGTTCACTTGAGCAAACTAACGTTGACTTGTGTTGAGGATATCAAGGCCAGTCACAACGATGTTGACTTCAACAAGTATCAACAGCTTATCGATGAGGCAATCGAACAGTTGGCCGGCAGATTAAGTGCATTGACTCCGGGCTTCGCCGGTGCTGACATTGCCAACTGTTGTAATGAAGGTGCCTTGATTGCTGCCAGAGAAGATGCTACCTCTGTCAATGTCGGCCACTTCGAGCAAGCCATCGAGAGAGTGATTGCTGGATTGGAAAAGAAATCGAGAATCTTGAGCCCAGACGAAAAGAAGACCGTAGCTTATCATGAGGCTGGACACGCTATATGTGGTTGGTTTTTGGAGTACGCTGATCCCCTCGTGAAGGTTTCCATTATCCCAAGAGGACAAGGCGCATTGGGGTATGCCCAATACTTGCCAAAGGACCAATATTTGGTTTCCAGCGAACAATTCAAGCACAGAATGATTATGGCATTGGGAGGCAGAGTCAGCGAAGAATTACACTTCGAGTCTGTTTCCAGTGGAGCCTCTGATGACTTCAAGAAAATTACCCAAATGGCACAATCCATGGTGTTGAAGTTGGGAATGTCGGAAAAATTGGGTAATGTCTACTTCGATACTGGTGATGATAACAATGGATTGAGAGTGTACAACAACTACTCGGAGAGCACAGCAAGAATCATCGATGAAGAGGTCAAGCGTCTTGTCGATGAATCATACGATGCCTGCAAAAAGTTGTTGACCGAAAAACTTGACTTGGTGGATAAGGTCGCCCAGGAAGTGTTCAAGAAAGAGGTTTTGACACGTGAAGACATGATCAGATTGGTAGGTCCTCGCCCATTCCCTGAAAGAAATGATGCTTTTGACAAGTATCTCCAAGGAGAAGATGCGTTCAAATCCAGACTGAAGCCTTCCAAGGAGGATGACTCCGATGCTCAGTCTGAGCCTCAACCGCTGGCATAAATTACTTGACACCTCCAGACGAACGTATGCATCTGGCATTAATGACGAAACCCCCTTATATTTTTGTACATAGCATATCTTACAGAATCATGTCTGGTGTAGCACTATTCGTCATCCGAAGTGACAATCTCGAACTCAAAATTGTGACTAACCAGTGTAGTGATGTCAGAAACAACTGGAGCTTTTGGTGTCCAAAAGTCATCCACTTCCTTCCTTGGTATTTTAGTTTTCTCTTCTACCTTCGCTTCATTCACCAACCGTACCTCTTTTTCCTCTCTTTCCTCTTCTTCCCCTTTGTTCCCTAAGGCTTCTGATGAATCTTCATCCTCTTCTGGCTCACCTTTTTCATCTCCACTAAAGTCCAAACTGGAAACAGAATCACTGAACACGTCCTCTATGCTCTCCATGACCTCATTATCGATAATTGCCATCTTGGGTGGCTTCACATCGCCTGAATGCTTGGAATTAACATGGTCCCTCCATTCTTCACCTCCACAGTCGGTCATATAATCACACCCCAAAATCGGACAAAGAAGGACCTGCCTCCTTGTGGAACATTGATGTGGGTACTTCTGTTGGTGTTCAACCAACTGCTTGCTAGACATAAACGACTTTGTACACTTTCCAGATCCAATGTTCCTCTTGCAGACGTAAGGACATCCCGGGGATATAGACATTTGGAGAGGAAAGTGCAAGTTCAACTTGAGGATAGTCATTTCTGGAATTGTCAAATCTAAGGCTTTCTTTGAAGGCAGCTCCAGAACACCACCAGCAATTAGTTTTGGATCCTCATAGTTCGACTCTTTTGTCACTGGATACCCAATTTTCCGCAATTCAGAAACATGTTTCAGTAGCAAGTGTGACCGATACATAGTCTTTGTTTCCGAAGTATAACGGCACTCAGAGAATGCACAGGTGTATAGAGATAGTTGAATGTCGTCGTTTAAGTCAGACACCATGGAGTACAGGTCATCGTGGATGTAATTCTCGAAGGAAAGCTTCCGTGGCTTCGATCTGTGGGGCAGATTGGAGTTCTGGCTGGACTTTTTGCTTTCTGGAAGACTCTCAGCGGGAATCTTATTCCCTAGAGGGCTATAGCTTACATTTTGACTCTGGTATCGAAGAGGACTATGATTCGGAGAGTCTCTGGACTCAACACTCCTCTTGACGGGTGAAATGTATCCCGACGGTAGACTAAATTTCCGCTTTAAAGGTGAAATGCTCAATCGTTTGCTGGGTGACACGTCCACCACCAGTCGATCACCAAAAACATCTGAATCTGTTGTCGATGGAGAACTGTTGTAGAAACGGTCTTCTCGTTTGAGTTTTTCTCTCATTTGTTGCTTTGCCTTTCTCTGCTGCCTCTGTAAACGATCCTCCTCCTTCATTATCTTGTCATAGTCATAATCTCCTGTCCATATGCTACTGTGGACCTTGACCCCGTTGATCATCTGGCCTTCAGCTGCCAATGATCTCAAATGGCCATTGTCCACGGTGATTTTGCCCGTATGAAGATCAATTTCATCGCTTTCGATTTCGTCGTCGATCTCAGAGTACCGCAGAATAATCTCCTGCCAACGTTTCTTGAATTTGGCTGAGCTATCCTGCTTCAACTTGCTCAAGTCTGCCTCAAAGTTTTCCACACTAGATTGCGCCAAAACGCGAGCAAAACCACCATTTCTTTCACTCTCGCCGCTGCTGCTATCAGAGAAATCATCTATAGGAATCAGTGTCTCGAAACTCCTCCCAGGTGACTGGTTATCCATGGTTGTGGAAAGGAAGAGAGTTATGATGGATTGTGTACACGTGACTTACGAAGTACTACTGGAACAACGTCAACACGAATACCACTAGTCGGCAAAAAAATAAAAAAGGTAAGATTGATCGTTAAGTCATCATTTTGAGTTATTATAACCACATTATTGTATGTCTTACCCACTTCTGAATCACTTTCAAAGTTCTCTACATTTCCTATCCATTCAGCCTATATCCAAATCGCTACATCAAACCATCGTGACTCATTCATTACTATTTACATCTAGAGCTCCCTTTCGTGATTTTCAACGGTCAGAGTTCGTTCGTTATTTTTGTTTTGTTCCCAGCACTTGCGGAAAGCTGCCATCTCGCCTAAACACTTTCTCCAATCACCTTTGTCTGCATGGCAGAGTTGCAATGCTAGGTTTTCTTCGTAGCAGCCAGTGTTTATGATACGCTGATCCCATTCATCAGGCTCGTCGTCAATATCTGTCATAGCGGTATTGCTTGGTGGTTGTTGAAAAGATGGAGTTGATTTGAGCAAGTTCCTGTATAACCAAACCACTAACTCATAGGAAGAGTCGGGTCATAATCATTTTTTGTTTATTATACTTGATTTTGTCTTCATACGTATATAAATCTTCTTGCCCTTGCTAATTTGTTTTTCTTCCAGTCTATTTTGTCCTCCTATTGTCTACATCTCTCTGTCTATCTCTCAGTTATGTACATACCTATGCTACATCAGAAGCCAAACCCACTCTTGGAGTAGGCCATGGGCTTCAAGTCTGGATGCTTCACGGCCTCGAACGTTTCGGTCTGAAGCTTCCATGGACAGTTCTTTTCCTCTGCGTCTCTGTAACCTTCGCCATCATCCTTTCCAGCGTCGTAATCGCCATTTTCTTCAATGTGAACCACTCCACCCATGTTACCAGTGGCATCACAGTAGTTGGGAGCACTAAACACAGTGATGAGTCGTCCATTGTGCTCCACCTCCACTCCACCCATTCTCACCTCATGTGATCTCAAAACCTTGCGAATCTTATTGGACAAACAGAATCTTTCAGTGATGTCGGGACCGAACTGAATACCCAAGCCTCTCTTGGATGGCGACCGGCCATTCTCGGGCTGTGGATCTGTCCACAAGAGCTCCATAGCAATACCATCACGAGCAGGCTGCGACAGACCCGACAGTGGGAACCTGTTGATACTTCGGATATCCTCCAACGTGACATTATCGTTCGAGAACAAGCCTCCATGCATTACCAAGTAGGACCCGTTGATTAGCGTTGCCAACGGAAGAGCGCCAAAAGACTCAGCAAAAGCCTCAAATACCTTTCTGGAGTACTTGGCCTCGCATTCGTCAGTGAAACCATAGGTCTTGTTCATGTCATTGGTCTCGTGGTTTCCTCTGTTGATGTAAATCGACTTAGGGTAGAGAATCTTGAGCACGTAGAGATACAATGCCACCTCACACGACCAAGAACCTCTATCCACAAAATCTCCATTGAACAAATATACATGATCGTCAGATACATGGCCGAATTTGGCAAAAAGGTTCAACACATCGTAGAACTGGCCGTGAGTATCACCCACCACGGTGAATTTCTTTCCAGAAACGGCAACCTCGTGCAGCGTCAATTCGTGCTGGAGTTTGGAGTGTGGCATCTGCAACTCCACCATAGTGTTCTCGGACTTGAGAATCTGGTACACCTTCGCGATGATGGCGAAGACGTGACGTTTGGGCAACTTCCCACCTTCCTTGAACAACCCAATCATCTTCTTCAAGTAGTTTTGGTCCAAACCGCCAATTTCGATCGTCATGTCTTTGCCCTTTTTGGTGACCTCGATATCTAGATCTGGACCCTGCCATGACTTCTCCAAAAGCATGCCGTCGTAGTCCAATGTAGCAATGATCGACGTCTTTTCGTCCCCAGCAATGGCACGCTCAAATGCTTCCTTCTTCAAATAGTTGACGCACGCCTTGTAGTTCTCCAACGTTAACCGGTCATTGGGAAGCTTCTTCAAGATAATCTTGAAGTTATTTTGCGCCTCCTTATAATTCAACAACGCCATCAACGACACGCCTTTACGATAATACGCCTTGACAAAGTTTGGGTCCACCGCCAATGCAGCATCGCAGTCGGCAATAGCCAGACCATATTCTTCCAACTTGATGTGGACTTGGGCTCTGTTAGAATAGAATATTGGGTTCTGAGAGTCCAAATCGATGGCCTTTGTGTAGCTCTCGATGGCCTGTGAATACTTCTGATCTTTCAAGAAGGCGTTGCCTTCGTCCTTGAGCTTGACCGCCTGTTCTTTGGACATTGACGTTGGTGATGTTTTCTAGAATTTTGCGATTTCGCTTCTTTGAAGTGCGCATATGCACTCTGCTTCTCCGCATAATGATGGACAAGTACGAGTGAGAATGGGGAAGTAGAGCGGCTGGCAAACGGGAGAAAACCGAAGAAATTATACCAGAGAGGAAACTGGATGCAAGCAGAAGGGTAGAAGGTCTAAGCAAGCAGATTAGACAAAAAAGAAAAAGAGAAGAAGTGGCAGTTTTCCACGTTTAGTTGCATGGGCAGAGAAATGGTCTCGTCTAAGCAAACCCACAATGTGTTTTATAGCAATTCAATAACTGGTCTTTTCGGAAATATTTGTTTTTGCAACTTTTCAGGCACGAATACGTAACCCAGATGCCGGTGCGCCAATAGAGGTGATTTGGGTGATACGGCACACCTCTCCCTCATATTGAGGCTTATACTTGGCTCCAACCAAAGCCTCGGACACAGATGGTGATCCCTTGTATATAGGCGTGAACGAAGCACAGCAGATATCAAAGTCCGCATATGGATCAAAGTCGATCTCCACAGCATCACTGGAGATGGTGTCGGCTCTAGCCTTGATCTTCTGAGCCTGTTCGGCCTTAGCTCCACTGGATACAATGGATAAGAGCTCAGAAGCAAAGAATGACGCGCTGGAATAGTTCTTGTTCTTGAACGATTGCAGCATGGCAACTTGGAGAGCGTTGACTCTGTGAGCGTTCTGGAGCTTAGCTCTAGTGAAATAGGCTGCCAATTCCAAGTTACGCACCACATCCGATGGATCAAGCGAACGACGCTCCAACTCGATCGACAATCCCAAGATGTATTCTCTGCACAACGTCAACACGTCATCACACTTAGCCTCTTCTTCCTCATTTTCAACGGTCAACACACCAATTGTGTAGATGATCTCTCTGAAAGTAGCAATGGACTCGGCCAAGTTGTTGGCTCTGAAGAACTTGAACGCAGAACTCAACTTTTCTTCCAAAGTATCGAACCCAGGAATATATGGTCTGAATCTGTTAGGATCATCATCGTCATTGTCGGCTCTGATATAGTCCTTCATGGCTGGTAACTCATCGACACCAGGCAAATAGAGCTTGTTGCAGGAGTAAACCTCCATGAAACGCTTTCTCAATGGCTCAAAGTTAGATACACCGAGTTGCTTGTTCAACAAGGAAGCTGCCTGATCAAAGGCTCCAACTGCAACATATCCCGCAGCAGTCTTGTTATTACGAAGCCAGTGAGCGATTTCTCCATCGGCGCCCTCCACCTTGGTGGTTGCCTCAACTTCTTGCGATTCTGGAACATCATCAAACTTGTCGCCAATATCAAGGTCGTCATCTTCCATGTCCCAACCGCCATCATCTTCATCACCATCCTCGTCGAAGCCAACATCGTTGAAGTCGATACCATTGCCATTCTCAGCAGACTTAGGAACCTCTTCCTCAATACTCAAATTCTCAACCTGTCCGGTGACCAATGCAGTCTCGAAGAAAGACATCTTGCTCTCCTTGAGTGGCCAGTTTCCAGATGCATTGACAGGAACAGGCAACTGGGAAGGAGCCTGATACTCTGGCATTTGGACATCATTGATTCCGACACCAGCAGCCTCCAAAATCTGGTTGGCTCTATCGTTCATACCGTTGGAAGCAGCCAAGGTGTAAGCCATTGGGTACAAACCACCTCTTAAGTATGCATCGATTCTAGACTCCACATCATTGTTGTACAAAGTGTTCTGGACGAGTGAAGAGACATTACCACGAGCGTTCGCGATCAAGGACATCTTGCTCAATCTCTCCAGGTCACCCTTGAGCAAATAGAGGAATGAAAGCTTGTCAAACAACTCCAATTGCTGGTAAACCCTCTCAACAACCTCAACGTTACCTTGTGTCAAAGCTTCGTGGCCCAACTTCTCCCAGATCACCTTGTCCTTCAATTTGTTGGCCTCTGTCTCCGCAATAGCCAAATCACCACACTCCAAAGCCAAGTCGAATCTGGTCTCAGGGTCTTGCACGAATTGCAAGGCAATCTCAGGGTAGCCCTTCTTCTGTAAGTAGGCAATGATATTCTGGCCCACCAAGTTGGAGTTCTTGATGATTCTCAAGACCTCATTGAAGTTCTTGTTGACCAAAGATCTCTTGAATCTGTACTCAGTAGGATCGATGGTCAAGATCTCCACCTCACCAGCACGGTTCAAACAGTACACAGTAGTCTGAGAGACTCTGGTGATGTACAAGGTGTTCTCCAAGGTTTTGATGATACCATTGTCTCCGTTCAACAAGGTGTACTTGATATGGTTCAATGTAGAGTATAACAACACTCCTGAGTCGTCCCAGGCGGCACTCTTAATTCTGATGGTCTCGTGCATAGAGGTGACTAATTCCAAGTCCTTGGTGGCAATGGTGATAGTGTGCTTGGACAACAAAGCCAAGTACTGGCCGTCAGCAGACCACGATCCGTATTTTACGTTGTTGACACTCAACTCACCCAACTCCTTTCTCTGTTGCACATCGTAGTTGATAACCGAGTGAGCCTTGACAAGCAAAACACGTCCAGGGCCTCCGTACAACACATCCACGACCGACGAGTCCAACTGGACGGTCTTGGTCACGTTGTTGTTCATGTCCTTGACATACAAAATCTTGGAAGACTTAATGAAGGTGACAAATCTGTTACGAGAAATGAAACAGGCAAAGTTACCCTCACCCAGTCTCACGTCGGTGGGCTCAATGGCTCCGGTGACATGTTTTGGAAGAGCAACCAAAGCGTACATGCCATTGTCGCCCTCGCCGTGGGTGACCAACACTGAATTGTCCGATTGGTTGTACGACAAGGTTCTCATGAAGGACCAGGTCTTTCCGATCTTCTTCAACAGCAACATTGGCAACGATGCCTCATTGCGCTGGAAGTCGTAACTTTGGATCTGTTTCTCAGAGTTAACGTAGAACAACTTGTTCTGGAAGATAGCATGTGCTGGTCTCTCACGCTCTAGCTTGAACACCATAACACCGGAGTCGTGGCAAGTAGCAAACAAGTTGATGGATGGGTGGCAGGCAATCAACCAGAAACGGTCATTTTCTCTACGGAATTGCTTGACAGGAGTCCTCTTGTTCAAATCCCACACACGAATGGTCTTGTCGTCTGAAACGGAGATGATCAAGTCCTGGTGAGGATGGAACACGGCACTAAGCACATTTCCAGTGTGTCCACGGCAGGTGTCCACCTCCCAGGCCTTGGTGTCGCTCATACGCCACAATTTGACCAAACGGTCGTCACCGGCAGACACAATCAAAGGCAAAGTGGGGTGGAATGCAGCCCAATTGACACCCTTGTCGTGACCTTCCAATACGTATTTGACTACCGCATTGACATTGCCAAAAATGTCCTGTTGAGGCAACTGTTTGCGTTGCAATTGGTCCTCAAACGAGCGAGCGGACGAAGTGGGTGCACTGTGTTTCTTACGCAAGCCACTGATGTCCCAAACACGCACGGTCTGGTCCAAAGAAGCAGACACAATCAAGTCTTCTGAGGGATGGAATTGTGCCAGCATCACGTAGTGATTATGGCCCGTCAAACAAGCAATCTCTTGTCTGTTTTGCCAGTTCCAGATACGAATTGTTTGGTCGTCGGAACACGACAAGATCCATGGCAAATCGTGGTGAAATTGCACGGTTCTAAGGTAGTCCAAGTGGCCAGTCAAAGTGAAGATGCACTTGCGCGTGTTCAACGACCACACCTTGACAGTGTAATCATCAGAACCAGATACGAAAAGCGGCTGCGTTGGATGGAAATCCACACATCTAACTGGACCGTCATGATCTTCAAACCGGTCAATAAGTGTTCCCATACGGTAATCCCATAACTGAATGGTCAGCGAGTGCAAGGCAACAAGCACCCAGGGTCTCTTGGGGTGGAAAGCCACACCTTTAGCCCTGGATGACTTGGACTCGAACTTGGTGAGCATCTTCATCTTTGAATGTTGATGTAGATGGGGTTTTAGTTGTTGAAAAGTCGATTCGGTGGTCAATTGGGCGCGGTGTAAACACCCGTACACCGTGGAGTGTGTTTGTGGGTTTAGTGAGACGTTTTGGTGACTGGTGTTGGAATTGAGAGGAAAGTAAGCAATTTTAGAGAACTTTTGAAATGGCTAATGCATCGTTCCTTTTTTCGGAGATTTCTTGCCAGCTTTTCAAGGGTTTCTCAATGAAATTATTTAGCTCAATGATTGGTACCCTCTTGTGTAATGTGCAGGATGTGATATTGGGTACCACGTATCGACTTCAAGTAGTCATGATATTAGGCACGGTGTTTATATGGGGACTTGATTATTAATTGAAAATTTTGATTCTTTATATTAAATTTAATTTTTCTTTTCCTACTTTGATAGTTTCAGCTTCACATTCATTGATTTCCTACTTACTACTCAATCTACTACCTAAACCCTATTCGCCCTTAATCAATATGAACATATTAACGTACGGAATAGTCACTCTCAAGTCAAACTCGGGCTTTTTTCAGTTAGGATCCATGTTCCGCTGACTCGCACCGTGTTCATACATTATATTTCATATACTACATTGGATTCCTCGTAAATCCTGTTATAATCAATGTATCTTTGATTAACCTATACCCTACAACCCAAACGTGAACATTGCCGCTCCAAGGGCAACAAACACTGCAACAATACTCTCAACCTGTGATCTGTATGCTCCAGACAGCGAGCTCGAAGGGCTGGAGCTTCCGCTGCTGGACGAGCCACTGGACGTCTTCTTGGAGTTCTGCACAAATCCACCCGTGTACGAGGCGGTGGTACCTTCATCGGTGGTGCCTCCGTTGGTGGCGTCCTGACCAGGAACATTCACAGAAGTGGTACTGGCACTCTTGGTTTTCACAGAGGTCTTGGTCACCGCAGACGATGCAGACAGACTCACAATCTCGGTGGTTTCCAACAAGTCATCATCTTCGTTTTCAGGGTCGAATCCTGTAGCATCGCCGCTTCCCAACCACGTCTTCTTGTTAGTCAAGTAAACGTTCTCAAGGTTACCGGCAGTGGAGTTGTACAAAAATGCATTAAGGGAGCTGTTGCCCAGTTTTTGTACCGAGTCTGGCAAGTCGTGAGGAGTTACGGTCACGTTCTTCACGTAAGCATAGTAGTAACCAAAGTCCTGAATATCTTGAGAGTCCCAGTTGATAGCACCACCGGCCCATTCAATCGTACCCAAACCGTTCAAAGACGATCCACCAGGCCACAAGGAAAACTGAAGTCTGGCAGGAGTTTGAGGATAGTCGTATCGATCAGTGGTAGCATTGTACGTATCGTCTCTTTCCAAGGTACGCACTTCATTTCCGTCAATCAGCCACACAATTCTCTCCTCCTGCCAATCGATTTCGTAGTAGTGCCAGTCGCTAAATGTGTTGCTGACCGAAGAGTTTCTCAGGTTCGTGTAATTCAAAATACCTTTGGCGTAGTAATTAGTCTGTGGGTTGGTTAAATTATAACCGACGAATTCGTAGTCGATTTCATCCTGGACATCTGAGAAGGTGATGAAGGCAGTAATAACACCTCTGTCACGCGAAGATTTCATGGTGGCACCAACTTTTCCAAATAAAAAGTACTCGGTGGATGAAACAACTGTACCTGTGGATCCGTTGGGCATCTGCAACAAAAGAGCATCATCATGCGAGTCGATGTATCCGGTGTAAACCCAAGTGGCCTCAGAAGAGTTACCCAAGTACTCGGATTGGTTTTCGATATCGTCAATAGAGGCAAAGCTGTCCTTGATGCTAGACATTCTAGGCATAGGCATACATGCACTCAAGTTATAGGAATATCTGATATCACAACCTCCCAAACAGTAAGAACCGGTACCGCAAGTTCCATACTGCGAGCAGCAAGGAGAGTCTTCGGGACAATGGTTGGAGGAGTTACATGAAATGGCAGCCGAAACTAGCGATATGAAACAGGCAAAGAGCCCGAGAGAAACGAATGATCTCATGGTTCGTATAGCGAATGTGGGTTCCTAGAGAATCGAGATAAGTCAGAGCACGTAGCTGAAACACAAACGGTATCTAGTTCCCTAAATATAAGTCCACTTCGTGATGGATCTTTTTTTTTTTGGGTGGGGCGCACTTAAAGATTCACCACCGTGTATCTTCCTGCAGGACAGAGGGCCTCCTTCCCGCGTATTTTCAATTAGCTCAATCGGGCAAAAGCGAGAAAAGTGTCAAAAATATGGTGCACTGCCTCTCATGCATGGTTAATGGTTGAGTACTTGTTAATCCCTTCGTAATATCTCCTTCCAAAATGTGTCAACATCACTTAGTGGAGTACTGTAGCAATAGAATCAGCAACAAGTTTTGTTCTGGATCTATTTTTAGATCAGAAAAAGAACCGTTTGATACTCAACCCGCGGTGCCTAAGCCATGGCACTCAGCCTTGGCCCAGGAAGAAATTATACATGTTTGGCTGGTACGTTGACGGCTGGTCATAGATGAGCCCTGTAGGATTCTGTGAGTTGCTCGTGTTGCCTTGTGAATTCACGCTGCTGGACGTGTTTTGTCTAGAGGGAAGCGCATATTGACCCTGGTTAGGTGTATGATTTGCCAGGTTAGGGTGGTTGTCAAAATTTTGTGATGGTGCTTTCGGTGGTAAAGCTGGTGCACGCGAAAACTGCTGTTGGCTCAGTACCGCATATTGCAGCTGGACTTCTGGCTGATGAGGTTGACTCCTTTGGGGATACTGAGCAAAGTGACCAGGGTCTTGGCCATATTGTCCCCTACCCTGTCCATATTGTCCAGTAGTTTGTGCATACTGCCCAGGGGTTTGTCCATACTGTCCAGAATTCTGTCCATACTGACCTGTGCTCTGTCCATGTTGCCCAGAGTTCTGTTCTTGAAACCCATGGTTCTGGTTTGGTTGGAAAAATGACCCGGAGTTATATTGTCTAGACCCACCGGTGCTATTCTCTTGTAAGCTCAACCCACTCATTGACTCTGTGATAGAGCCCCGCTGCATCTCGTTCTGAATACTCCTTTTCAAGTTCTCTGAAAATTTCAAGAGCTGTGTGTAGAATTCCGTACCTTTGCTCAACCCATTCGTGTACTTCTTCCAGTTTTCGTTGTAGAATCTGTTGATTCTTTCTGTTTGCTGTTTGTACAACTCGTCATGGAAGGTCTTAGATTTTTGAACATCCTTCACCTTTGGATTGGAAACTAAATTGTTCCACTTCGCATTGAGTTCTCCAGACAAGTCCAGTTGCTGGGCGATCAACTTGTCCAATCCATGGCCATAAGCTTCGAACTTCTCGAGTTCCTTGGGGAAGATTACAGTCCTGATTTCATTGGTTGACTTCACCTTGCTGTTGAGCATCAAAATATCTGAAATATCATCGCTGTGGATTTCGTTCTTCAATTCAGCAACAAGCTTGGCCTTTTCGTTCTTATTCTTGTTGAGCTTGAGAAGTATGTCCTCAAGTTCGGTAATTTGATCATCGATAGAGCCTTCTCTGGGCTTCAATTGCGAATCGTCAATGTCCAACAAACTGATCTCCTCCACAGGTTTTGACTGTTTCTCAGTTCCGACCTCTTTCACTTTGAACAAGCTCTTGAACTGAGGAGAAGAAGGACCTTTACCTAGAATATGGTAAAGCTCGCTGTTCTCTGAATCAATAAGTGCAAAAAGTCGGGAATCCGAGTTAGCGGCATCATACAAAGACTTCTTCAACTTGATCAAATCTTCTCTATAACGACCTGCTGATACAGAATATTGGCCTGCCATCAATGACTCACTCTCAGTCACAGATTGGAAGATCCTCTGCCTAATCTCAGCAATGACTTTTCTGTTTTCAACGTCGATTGAAAAGCGAGAGGCGATCTCATCCGCCTCTGCCAAAACTTCAGGACTTATGGAATTCTCATCATTGTGGCCATCTGTTTCCAACTCCTTGTTGTGGTTGATGATCTCTTTAATGTTTATCAAGGCTTTCGGAAGCTTCAAATGCTCCAACAATGTAGATAACTCCTTGTTGGAGACATCCAATTCATCCAATTCATTACGCAAGAGCTGTGACTTTTCCTCCGAGTAATAACTCAATAACTCGTGAATATCTATGGGGACAACATTCTTCAAGAAATTGTGGTAGTTATACTCGTTTACCTCAGCGAAAAGATCAATCTTGCTCATAGGAAGTACTTTGGCACTGTCCATAGGCTTTGGCTCAGGGATGGTCACAATAGAAGGGATAATTTCGTTGTAGATAAGGTCATTGTCCTTCGTTAAATCCTTTAATTTAATCCCCAAAGCATCTTTCTGGTACTTGTAGTTATCCAACAAGTCGTATGCCTCTTCACCCCCAGCTTTGGAGATCACTTTCAAGATAGACGAGGGGATTTCGTTGATGTGATCGTGCGACTTGGTCAAGTACGCAATGGCATCTCCAAACTTACTAGTGGCCTCTAATTGCAAGCCTTGGAAGTAGTATGCCAACGACTCGTAGTACATCTGCTTAAACTGGATGGTGGCAATCCAAACTGGGTACAATCTTGCCGTCACATTCGAATCGGGCATACCTTGTTTATCTGGGTTGTACTCATCCAAATTTCCTTCATCATCATCTCCACTTCCAAGCGCAAGTTCGTCGTCATCCAAGCCTGCTTCAACAATGGAAAACGTAGATTGGTCACTGAGGGAACCAATACCTTCTGCAGTCAGCAAGTGGGCGCACACACTGAAGCACTCAGCATAGTGGTTGGCGGTTCCCTTACAGAGTTTGGAGATTAAGGAATTCTTCTTTTGTTCCAAGTCTCCGTCGATCACTTTCAAGGTGAAGATTTCCTGACTCTGAGACAAACACAAGTTAATGAGAAATTTTACAGTTGCCGGCTGCAAGTCACTGGAAGGTGCATGCAAAAAGTTTTCGGAAAGAAACTCAAAAACACCTGCTGCCTGTTGCAAGTACTGGATCGCTTCCTTGAAAGCTCCATCCTCGCCTGACGATGTCCTCTGCGACTCGTTATACTTGACAGATGCCACCTTGGACATCAAAGAGCCCAAATTAAACAAAACGCTAGCCTTTTCGAACGGCAAGGCGTGCTGGATGTGCAGCGAACCTGGCAGAAACGCATCGTACCAGTTGAAAATGAGCTTCTTGTGCTTATTGATGGTTGCCACAGGAACACGCAAGTCCAAAAGCTCCAATTGACTGAAATATGTGAGGTAGAGCTTGATGCCGGTTCTATCGGCACTTACACCTCGGATGTCTTGCCGAAGCTTGTTGAAATCCGCCAAATCCTTCTGGTAGTCGGAAGTATTGCCATAAATGGATAGTAGATAGTTATTCAACGGTTTGATCCAATTGGTATCCTCTGTTTTCTTTGTAGGGACAACCAAGAGTGCAGTTTTCATTTTTTATAATTTTATCTTTGTTAGAATGTATTTTCTCTGCTTCTGGTTATCTTAGTAAAGAGTCACTAGTTAGAAGAATATCTCACCCTTGGGTTGTGTGTAGGAGATAGACTAAATGAGTGGATTATGGGGGTAGGATCAACATACTTATAGTCATAATAAATTCATGAATGCAAATTGCACTTAAAGAAAACAATAAAGTCAATTGATTTGATTGGAGTTATTTAAACAGTTTGTGGTTCAATCTTTCATCTTTTTTGCTCAGTGAATCTTTTCTTAGAAAGTCCTCCATAATCAAACTACGTTAGGCAGAGACATTGAAGCCTGAATAGTTATTTTAAACATATATTTTTTCTAGCCTTTTTATAAGTAATGTGATACTGCGGAAACAAATCAGTCCTGTGACAAATAGGAAATCAATTCTCCTCCTTGAGATATCCACCCTCCTTGCACAAGGAATAGAAGATACCGTCGGTATTCTTAAGCAACTCCTCCGGGCTGTCAAACTCCTTTACCTGGCCCCTCTCTAAGACAAGCACTCGGTCACTGTCCATAATTGTGTCCAATCTATGTGCAATCGTCAAAATGGTCTTGTCCTTGAAATTGGACCGGATAGTCTCCTGGATGATCTTGTCCGTCTGGACATCGACAGCGGCCGTAGCCTCGTCAAGAACTAAAACCTTGGATGTTTTCAACAACGCTCTGGCAAGACAAAGCAATTGCTTCTGGCCAGATGAAAGGTTGGAGCCTCCCTCCAAAACACGAGCATTAAGTCCCACCTGTGGCTTAGCTGGCTCATCTCCCTTTTTCTTCTTTTTGTCATCCTGCTTCTTAGGCTCCGTCTTCATCTGTTCAACGTGCTCTTTCAAGTGCGCTAACTCAAGCACCTTCCACAATTCCTCGTCAGAATAGTGGCCAAATGGATCTAAGTTCTCTCTCACGGTACCTTCAAACGCTGCTGCATCCTGAGGGATGATATTGAGCTGGCTACGCAAGTCGAACAATCCGATGGAACTAGTGTCAAGGTCATCAATGTTGATGTGGCCTTCAGTAGCTTCAATGATCCTGAAAAGTGCCAATGTGAGCGAACTCTTACCTGCTCCAGTACGGCCCACAATTCCAATCTTTTCTGCTGGCTGGATGTCAAGATTGATATTCTTCAACACTGGGTCCAACCCTTCTCTGTATCTGGTCGTATAGTTTTTGAAATTGATGGTTCCCGTAGCAGGCCACGCTTTGGCAGGTCTATGACCTTCAATAATGGTTGGAGCTTCCGACTTTAAGTTTCCATATTCGATCAATCTTTCGATGGTAACGGATTTAGTCTCTGTTTCTGCCCATAATCTGATAATGGCATTCAAAGAACTGGTGGATGTGAACACGTTAGTCATAAGGAAACCCACCAATGCTGGATTAAGTCCCTTGTTAAACTTCACCGACAATAAAATCAACAAAGTAGAAGAAAGAACAACGATAGCAGCAATTGACTGTAATCTCATAGATAACCATCTGTTTGCACATTGAGTGGCCCAGTCGACCTTGGTGACATTGTCCACTTTTCTTCTGTTTGAGTGGATGAACCGGTCACTCTCACCATATGCTCGCAAGGTCTCTACTCCATTAACGGACTCCTGCAAGTGAGAGAACACTGGACTTCTTAAGGCAGACTTGAGTCTCTTGAGTTCTCTTGAGGCGGGAATAAATCTGTTTCTGAAGTAGTTGTAGAAGAGAACAAGAACTGCAATGATCACAACCATGAAGGGCAAGTTGTAAATGACAATGACAAGTCTGGTCAAGGTCTCGAGAGAAGTCTCGAAAAACATCATAAGAATCCACAACACTTGCTGGTCCAACGTTGAAATGTCGTCCGAGAAACGGTTCAAGATTCTTCCTATAGGTGTAGTGTCAAAGAACGACATTGGTGCTCTCAAAACACTGTTAGCCATATTGTCGTGGAAGTACTTGGAACTGCTGACAGCACTATAAGTCCAGATGATGTAAGCACCGAAGAATGTCAAGAAACCTGAAAAGACACCAGTAGATGCATAGATAGCCAAGTAGAAACCTGGATGCACATTGTAGCCACTTGAGAGGTTCTTTTCAGACCAATACTTGAGAAGGTAGTTTCCCAAGATGTTGCACCCAATGACACACCAATAGATCGAACACCAAATCACGACATAAATCCAGTTACATGCCTTGAAAAATTCCAAGTAAACACTCAATTTAACTCTTCCCTTAGTCTTGTTCTCTTTTTCTTCTTCCTGTTTCTTATGCTTGTCATCTTCGTCAAATTCGTACACATGGTCATATGAGACAATCGATGCCTGTCCGACAGTCAAGTGGGTTTCAACTCTAGCCAATTGCAAGTCTCCCAAATCTTCCACTTCTTGGATAAGCAATGGTTCAGGTTCGTAAGCTTTTGGTTTGTCGTCATCGGAACTCGAACTAGATTTAGCCAGCTGCAGATCTTCGTCGATGTCTTCATTCTCCTCGTCCTCTTTGGCAAACTCGGTAATCAACTTGGAAACTTCGCCCTTGGAAGCCATAAGCTCCTCAAACGTTCCACGCTCAATGATCAGCTGGTCCTTTAAGAATACGGTCTGCTGTGCAATCTTCAAAATCTTCACGGAGTTGGTTGCAAGAATCAAGGTCTTGGAGGCCAAAAGACCGCCTGGAGCCAAAACAGAGTTGGTGATCTTCTTTCCAACATGAGCATCCACAGCAGACAACACGTCGTCCAACAAGTACACATCTGCTCTCGAATAAATGGCACGGGCCAACGAAACTCTAGCCTTTTGTCCTCCAGAAAGGGAGATACCCTTCTCTCCAACCAAAGTAGCGTCTCCATTTGGCAACACTTCAAAGTCACTAAGAAGCTGACAAGCTTCAATTGTCTCATTGTAAAACTGCTTGTTATATCTTTTACCGAACAAAATATTCTCTCTGATAGAAGAGTTCAAAATCCATGGACTTTGAGCACAGTAAGCGACAGTTCCATTAACAGAAACCGACTGCTTTCCATCTTTGACAATAGGGATCTCTCCAATGATAGACTTCAAGAGGGTGGTTTTACCAGCACCAACTCTGCCCACAATACAGGTCAATTCTCCCTTGCGAGCAGTAAAGTTGATGTTCTTCAAAGCATATCTGGTCTCCTCTGGCTCCTCGGAAACAGGAGCATGCACACTCTTAGTTGTCCAAACGAACGATGCATCAGTCACCTTTACTGAGACATCGCCACGCTTCAAAGGCGTATTCGTACGTTTAACAATATCCAGTTCCATCTCATCCAAAACGAAAAACTTGCCCAATCTGTTGAGTGCAACCTTGGCTTCAGCAATACTGGAGAAGATGTTAGGAAGCATTAAAATTGGTTGGGCCAAAAGGTCAAACAACGACAATGCTGGGAAAATCACTGATGGAACCAAAGCTTTCTTGTTCACGATGGCATAAACAGTATAGACGGCACACGAAATGAAAAATGGAATGCATCCCCACAAGAAACTCGACGCAGCATTGTATAAACCCATCTTACGAGCATTGACCAATTCCTTCTTATTTCTGACTTCATCAAGCTTCTTCAACATTGGCTTCTCCCAAGAGTACAATTTGACACTTTTGATTGCATTGAGAATCTCGCTTGTCAATCTCGTTCTCTCATCCTTGTACTCCATCTGGACATTGTAGAGCGAGTAGATGGAGGTGCTGACGACGGAACTGATAGGCACCAAAACCAAAGCGGTGGCCAAACCGGCCCACATAGCATTACCAAGAAGTTTATACAATGCACCCAAGCACAAGAAAAGTCTCAATGGGATGGTGATCGCATCGGAAGAGTTCTCAATACTGGTCGAAACGTCCTTGACATCGACAGAAACGTGGTTGACGATGTCACCAGACGATTTCTCTTTTCTAGCCTCTGGGGACAACTTCATGGCTTTCTCGTAGACTAAAGCTGTCAATGAGGAGTTGATGCTGAAAGAGCACAAGAAAAACGTGATGAAGTACTGGTTGAAGGAGAAGTATCTAATGACAGAAGTCAAGTAGATACCAAATGCAAAGGCAAAACCCTTGATGAGTGGTGGTGAGCTAGAGCTGCTGTCAGACGAAGAAATCTCCGTAAAGTAGAGAATAAACTTTTGGAGTAAGAAAGGTGCAATGGTAAGACAAGCCATATCCATAAGCTCAAAGAAAATACCCTGAAGAATCGTTTTGTAGTATGCTCCGACCAAAACAAAGAAGATAGATGGTCTAAGCTCGTAGTCAGCCTCGGTTGGGTTCTTAGCACGTCTAACTCTTCTATCTCTCCACCACTTTGCTCTCTCCAACTCCTTTTTCCATCCCTTAGAAAATTTCTCAATAACAACCTCGCTCTTCAATTCGATGATGGTGTTTGGAACCTCGGATACTTCAATGTTGTCTGTTTCGTAAACCTGATCCAAAGTGGGCTGCAACCAATTGAAAGTCAATGTCGACACTAAGTTTCTAACGGTGGTGATATCCCAACCATTCAATTCAAAGTACTCCAGAAGCTCGACCGAGGGACGATAAAAGTATGCTTCCAATATGTAGGCAAAGAAGGAATTGATGACAACGGCGATCTCGATGGAGAACGCAGTCGCAGCAATGCTCTTGTCATGGTCTGGAACATATACTTTGTGTTCAGACAACGAGTCCAGCACCAACACAACCACAAAGAGAACCAAAGTAGCGAGCCAGTATATGATAACTGAGGCGTGGCCAACCGGAGAACGCGTAGTCTCGAGATATTGCAATGGAATGATGCCAAACACGGTTGTTGCGAACAGAGCCATGGCACTGGTAAGAATCACGCCGGAAGTTCCTCTGGACGTGAAGAATACCAAAGCGGCAAAAAGCACCGCCTGTAAGACGGCGGCATTGAGTCTGAGAAAGTGAAAAATGGAGACACTACGTGTGTTCCATGGTGAACCAAACGAATACTTAATTCTGTATGGACCATACGAATTACTCAACAAAAGCGAGCCAATCTGGTAAAGAGCAAAAAGTCCTGGTAAAACGTGGGCAATGAGAATTACAGACGCCACAAAACAAGTGTTTAAGGCGTTCCCATTAGGATCATATAGGGGAAATTTCAAAGCAGTGGGGAACTGGCACATCTCCAGATGAGGAGACGGACCTGGTTCCACAAAGTTCGTGAAATTCACCGCCATGGGGAACTGTACGTTCACGATATTCTCCATGATCTTGAAAAAGTAGGGAGGCGACAGATTCGAGGCTTGCTCCTGGTATAAATAGAAAGTTCACCAAACTTCGTTATCTGAATGCCGTATGTAGGTGCGGCGCACGGAGAAAGTGTCACACGGAGTTACTTCCCAATGGGGAAGGTGTCTAACCAGATTCCTGAGTCATCCTTACCAACTTGGCCAGATGACGAATGTGGCTTTGTATTTTTTGACATCGCAAAGCCTAAGGAGTGGATACGTGGGAGGTGTATGAGCTGGTGGAAGCGTGAATCAGAATGAAAAAACACCTATGTCTGGCGTGGTTGTAATGAAAGTTAGGTGAACAGTAATAAACACGATAAAGTTTAGACCCCTGAAGGATGTGGATCAATCGCGGTATCCCAATTGAAGGTGCTACTGTACTTTTCTTACTTTTCTATGCCTAAATTTATTTTATTTTTTATCATTCCTGTAATTTCCTCTGTTTGCCTTGAGCATGGCCATTCATCGTGTCATCAAACGATCGCCAAATTCTTTCTGTTGGTGACTGCCCAATAAGATATGAAGTTTGCTGAATGTTAAAAGACCTTCTTGAGAATTGGATATTCTTTGGTGAGTCCAATTAAAAAAATAAACACTTGGTCATCATCTCGTGTGATTTCATTGTCGATTCCAGCACTTCATTTGAATATTGCCACCAAGATTCCGTTTTCTCCTAATAATATTCTCCCCTCCATCTTATCAGAGCCGTACACGTCAACCTGCACGCTTCCCATCTCTTTATCTCCACAATTTCACTTGTCCTCCTGCACTTCTCAACCATGAACAGAAGTTCGGTGGATTTTACCAAGGTAGTGGAAACTTGCAACAGTTTGCATGGGCTAATATCCATTGGAACATTAAACTTCCATTCTCTACCTACAGAAATTTGTGCCCTTCAGGGTATTGCGGTGGATGACCAGAGGTGGAAATGGCTCGATCATGAATTCCTAAACCAATGCTACAGAGGTAATATTCACCCTGTTTTTAAGGCATTGACGTTCTTGATACGTCACAGGTACTTTACTGCAACCTTTAAAGTCTTCCAGGTTTCTGTTTGTGACCGCCTTCTGCCAATTGCTATTGCCAAGGTCAGAATCTATGCTGTTCCTCTAGATATAGAGGGTGCACGTTACATTCGACAATGGAGACAGAAATGGCTGGCTCAGTATTTGTCAAGGGAATTTAGGAGCAACTGGCTGGTACTAATGAAGGTGTTAGACTATTCTCCTCGGGGATGGCACGGATGTTCTCATCATTGCACCATTGATGACTTTGTCAATGATTCGGTACTAATACTTCCGTTGAACGGTTCAGACAAATACATAGATCCCTTTCTGTGTCCTTCATCATTCCATTTCACTCGCTGGCTGGACCAGCTTCAGTACTTTGTCCCCCAAAATCGTTCTGAAGAATCTCTAGACACTGTGGTACTGCGAATCTACAACAATGTGGCTGTTCCTGATATGTCTGGGTATAAGAATAGAGATTTCAAGAAGAAGCTGGGACTCGCAAGTTCTGGAGATCTTATAACTTCACTTATCAATGAATATCCTTACAATTCTGCTGTTTTACCTGGGGTCTTGTCCACTCTTTATCCTTTTCAGGTCAAATCGCTATGCAGAATGCTTGAAAAGGAGACATTGGTGCAAAACTTGCCGGTCCCCTACTTCAAGATGATTGTCTCCCCTTCGGGAAAAGTCTATTACTTCGACATGTTCGATCCGGGCTTCCATCTGAACCCTGAGCTCTATACCTCTCCTAGAGGCGGTATTCTTGCCGAGAATATGGGGTTGGGAAAGACACTAATATGTCTCAGTCTTATTTGCGCTACGAAGTTTGATATTTCGACTGTTCCTGACAATTTAATGCTCTACCACGACCAAAGTGTTCGAGGAAAAGAAAACACTCGCCGTCCAGGAATGAAATCGCTTGCAGATATTTGTCAGGACACAATTGGCCAGAACTCTCTCCCATGGAAATTTTTTCAAGACGATTTACCTCAATCGGTCATTGATAAGCTATCCAGGACTAACGGATTTTTCCGAATTGGACTCACTTACTCCGCCAATCAATACGGATTGCGAACAAAAGAGAAACGAATGGAAGAGGACGAGTATCAAACACTCTTCATGAGCAATTCGACATTGTTGGTTGTTCCTGAAAACTTGTTTCACCAATGGAACCACGAATTGAATAAGCATATTGAACCTTCATATTTGAGCAAATTATTTGTCTCTGATCGATTCAAACAGCCCATCCACAATTCTAATTCCACGTATACTGACAACATTCCAGAAAATGTCGATCAGCTTATAACTTATGATCTCGTGCTAATTACTGCTCCACTGTTTGCAAGGTTGAGTAAAAAGAAAAGCTGTACCCTCCGAGACCTATATTGGAAACGCTTGATCATTGATGAAGGGCACTCTATGAGTTCCAAGTCTTCTAACCTCAGCACCTTGTGCAATTCTATTTACGCTGAACGTCGCTGGGCTGTCACAGGTACTCCAACCTCTGGTTTGACTAATTTGTACATGGATGAGGAAGAACAAATCAAGGAACAAAGTGTTGAACAGAGTCCTTCAAAGAAAAAGAGAAAGTATGTTGTGAAAAGCAAGTTCAACGTTCGGGATGATTTGGTGAAGTTGGGCAACTTAGTTAGCTCATATTTCAAGGTTGAGCCATTCCATTCTCAACCAAAGCTCTGGAATTCTGCTATTGTCAAAAATCTTTCCGATAGTACATTTAGCACTGAGTCTAATCTCAAGAGCTTGCTTGATTCTCTTATGGTAAGACATAATTTGGCTGATGTGGAAAGCGACCTAAAGCTTCCACAACTACACCACGAAGCAGTCTTCATATCTCCGTCCTACCATAATAAGCTATCCATAAACCTTTTCACTGCAGTTCTAGCTGTTAATGCTGTCTCCTCGGAAAGGGAGGGGTCAGATTACATGTTTGACCCATCTAATAGACAGCAATTGCGGAGATTGGTCAATAATCTTCAGTTGTCGACTTTTTACTGGACTGGTTTCCAACTCGACGATGTTAAGACGCTTATAGGCATAGCAAAGCATTGTTTAAAGAAGACAAACCCTGCTGGAGATCCCTTCTTTGGGAATAGTGATCGTGAGCTACTCCAACGGTCATTATCAGCTGCATATGAGGCCATTCATAATCCCGGGTGGAGAACGGCAAGTATGCTTCACGAAATGCAATATTTCGTACGAGGACTTCCCTATCCGTTCATCAGGACATATGGATTGGGAGTGTTGGAAAGCTTGGGGTTGGGAGTGTTTGGAGCACCACATTTAGCTGCTATCCAGGAATTTTACTACAAGAACAGGTTTATGGACATGGATGACGAGGCGGCTTTGACAGCTAAGCTAGAAAGCGGATCGCAGAAATTCTGGGAGAATTACTGGAACGACTCCGCCCGGAAGGACAATTCCAAATTCAAGAAACAGGAGTCCACCCATGACTTTGATGTCCACGGACTCAAGGAAGCACTCGAGGATGATTTACGTCAAACAAGAGGTGATTTTAAAATTTCTCCGTCCAAGTCGTCTTCTGGATCTCAAGATTGGAATTCAACAAGAGATTCTCTTACCAATGAAGTTGGGGGAGGACTCAAAATTACTGGAGAAAAGAAGTTGGTTCACAATGTAGTCTCTGGGTCAGATGTCAAGAAGGCGACTATACTCGGAAGTGCATCAGCAAAACTCTCTTATTTGGCCAGTCGACTTGTAGACCACCAGCGTCAGGGAGTGAAGTCTATTGTATTTTTCGAGTTTGAAGACAGTGCCTACTACTTGACTGAACTATTGGACATTCTTGGTGTAAATTACATTCTATATGCAACATTCATCGGGGCTGGGCAGCGGTCCAACAATTTGGCGGATTTTGACAGCCACAACTCCGAGGCTCTCGGCGGGATCACACTCATCATGGACTTGAGGTTGGCATCACACGGTTTGACCATCATCTCTGCTACTCGAGTGTATTTTTTGAGTCCCGTATGGCAACGTTCGGTGGAAGCACAGGCGATCAAAAGAGCACATAGAATTGGGCAGACACACGAAGTATATGTGGAAACGTTGGTGTTGCGGGACACCTTAGAAGAAGAGATTTATAAGCGTCGAGAACGAAACGAGCCTCAACAAGAGAAGTCCGACACCGCACGTCAATATGTCATTGACGATACGGGAATGCAGCAGTTCATTTTGAAGCACAACTTTTTGCCCACAGAAGGTGGAGAGTCTGAATATGCATCGTTCACAGCGCTCGATTTGAACAGTGGGGAGAATGAGCAACCGGATGAAAACGTCGATTCTTTACTCAGCCATAAAAGTGTTCAACAGTTGCAAAACCACACATGGTATAAGAACTGGAGAATGTATTTATTCAATCCAGATAACCTCCAGAAGTTGAATGCAGCTAAGAAGCAAAAGGCTAGTCTTGAGCAGCTCAACTCCGAGTTGGTGGAGGGAAAACCGGAGATGGCGTCCAGAAAGATACCGCATAAGCAACGAAAGAGGGTTAGGTTCTGATTGGTGTACATATTCTATTTGCATCAATGCATTTCCCTTTCTAGTAGTCTCTCACAATGACCTCACCTTTAGAGCCACTTGATAAAAGAATCTTCTCGGACGGATGGAAATCCACGTCGATCACCGTTCCCTCATTTCCTGAAAACTTGTTCACCATTCTTCCTGAGGCTGTACCCCACATGATGGCCGTGGCATCGTCAGACCCCAGCCCAATATAGACATCGTCGTTTGTAAAGCTGATTCTAGCCAACACTTGCTGCAGACTTCCAGTAGCCCCAGCATATACCTGCTTGCTCATTCGAGGAATTCCTGGAGGCACAGCTGCTTTGGCACTTAATGTGCGGATGCTGCCGTCCATGGCCCTAGCAGATAGCATAGACCCATCTGAATTTAGACCGAGTGAGGTTACTGAATCTTGCATTCCTGAGCACTTCCATGCCGCCTCGTTCGTTCGAAGGTCAAATGCTTGGACTGTAGGGTCTATTCCACTCACGAAAACTGTATGGCCATCCTTGCTGGCGTTGCACGTAAGCAAAGGATACTTAGTATCGATTTTACTGACCTCATGCTTTTCTCTCTCATCCCACACTCGAATCGTGCCATCATCCCCTACGCTGACACAAACCCCATTATTGATACCGCTACATTCGTTCACCACACCCTCATGGCCAACTCCTTTGCGGAATCTTTCGCCTGTTTCTGCGTCCCAAAAGGCTATAGTACTATCAGCAGATGTGGAGAATATAGACGACTCCAGAAGCCACGTGAGGGATGTCACAGCGCTTTTGTGGCCAGTTAGTATGCCGTAGTTCGGTTTTGCTTCATTGGCCACCGTCGGGAGATGCCATAGAAGAATTGACTTATCATGTCCTCCAGATGCTATCGTTTGGCCCTGAGGGCTGAATTGTGCAGTGTAAACGGGACCTTCGTGGCCCGCAAGAACTACAGCTGAATCATAAAGAAGAGACTTGTTTGCTTTTGATAGCAGCGCTGAAGCTTGGCCCCTGCTGTGTGTAAGGGACATTATTCTCTTTGAACAGAAGATAAAGATGTGAAGAGGTCTTATGTATGGGTGCACGGGTGTGGCATCGCATAGTCTACATGGTAATTTTGCAGTACTTAGTAGATTTGGATAGAATCAAGCTAAATACTCATATGATTCACCCTCGCAACGCGCAATATACTCCTTGTCTAGCAAGTACTCAATTGCACGCTTGAGGTCTATTAGTTTGGCTCGGAACCTAGATTGAGCCTGGAGCAACACTTCGTTAACCAAGTCATTGTGCTTCATAGTCTTTCTGGCCTTCATGATTCTCACAATACTGGCTGTAAGGTAGTTCTTACGAGACTCATCAATTTCTCTGTTAGTGTCGTCCTCTTCTTGCTTCTGTTCACTCTTGATGGTGCTAACGAAATTAACCTTCAACTTCTTGGACTTGTACTCGTTAACAATCGTAAATGTAGTGGTAGGGTTGGAGAAACTTGCTGGAGTAGGCGGCTGTTGCTCAAGCAACTTAAACTTCACGAATGGTGTCAAGTGTGCATCAAACACATTCTTGCTCACGCCAACAGTCTCATGGAGCTGTTCGTATGTATAAGTGCCAGACTTGTTAAATGCCAACAAAATCATCAATTGCACGTTTGTGACAGTGAAAATGAATGGCGGTTTACCCTTTCTGGCGAGATTGGCCTTGACTTCACTCTTTCCATGGTTCCACAACCATTTCAATTCTCTTCCGTTATGTTTCTTAGTGTACTCAACCTCCACAATTTCAATGGTCCTCTGCAACTCAGGAGCAATCTTGAGGTTGTAGTCTTCGATGTGGACGAATGGCCACATGCTTTGTGCCAAGATCAACGGAGTGAAGTCACTTACCACAACATTAGAACCCATGATCTCACGAACTCTGATTTTCAAGTCCTCGGAAGACTTCATGTCCTGAAACATCTTGGTGATCTTGGAGGTAAACTCGAGCGAGTTGTTCTCCTGCAATTTCTGCAAGATACCCTCCTCCATCTCGTCAGACTTAGTGTTACCATTGATCAATCTCTTAGCGAGCAACCGGCGGTAATTGTTCTCAAAAACATCCTTGTTTTCAATGTACTTAAGCACAAGGATCAAGTTGTCAGCATTCATCTCGGAAATGTCGGCTTCCTTGCTAGTTGCCTTCAAGAATCCGTCTGCATATCTTGCCAACAATTCCGGGGTCTTGCTTGCTGATTTAGGAGTTGGCGTAGCAATCACATTAACATTGACAAAATGACGGCACGCAGTATCCAATGCCTTGATAAAAATAGGATCCTTCTTGAACGCTTTAAACACCACGTCGTTGAACTTAGAGTGAATCAGTACCAATGTATGAACGTAAGCTTTAGGGCTGATAGCACCTTGTGCGGATCTTCTAGTTGGCTTTTCTTCGACATTCTGAGCGTCTATAGACTCAGAAGTTGTCTTCAACTCCTCGATTGCCTTTGCGGCCTCGATCTTAATGTAGTTCTCTAGACTGTCGGCCAAAGCTTGTAATGTGGAAGGAACCTTGAACATTAATTTGAACATTCTAGTGATGTGCTCAATCTCGTTCTGCTCCAACAATTTCAAGAAACGGTCGTACATCTCCTGGGCGTGATTCTTGATCAACACGTTGTGCAACGAGTCTAGCAAGGGTCTCTTGCTTCGTTCTTCCAAGTAATTATTGGAACGAGAGATTTCTTCAGCCAATCTGTTCTCGCACTTGATCATGTAGTCCACTACCGAGTGCTGGGACAAGAACGCTTCACTCTCCCTGCGGTAGTACTCAGCAGTTTTCTCGATGTACTCCGACTCAAAACACTTGGCATAAACAAACATGTTCGGTTTCTTCAAGTCATTCGTGTCAATTCCCAAGTATACCATGGACTTGACAGCTACGGAGATCACATTTGTGTCGACGATCTCGTTGTTTCTTTGCCTTTCGATGAGATCCAAAATCTCAGCCATGATGAGCTTCAGGTTGTTGTCGAACATGTGGTACTTCCACTGGAGCAATGCTAAGGTATTGACGTCAAAGATGTCTTTTCGTCCGTCGGACCGCTCCTTCTGCACCCAGTACCGGTTCATGTAATCAAAGACATTATTTAAGTAGCCGGCACCGATGGTGAAACGTTTCCATTTTCTTACGTAAAACTCCAAGAACAGCTCATTGGGGGCAGCGTGCATAGACTTGATGAAATTGACCAAATACTCCTCAAGTTTGGTGTAGATCTCTGAGCCTGTGAGGGAGTAGGTGGTTTTCTCTAACCCGGGGTGGCTAGAGTTCTGGGCGTTGGTGTTTCTCGACTTATTCGTACAGTAATTATACACGGCAGTATAGACGTTCATGTACATTTTGGAGGTGACCACCAGTTCCTTTTCATCGCCCAAGATGTAGCCCAAGCCGGGCTCGATGAAGTTCCAGGTGTGGTCCAAATCACCAGCTATGGGGAGTTGTTGAGCTTGCATAGGGGATGAATGGGAGAGGTTTAATGTCGTGTGATTTGGATTCAATTCGGAAATAGATGAAAACTTAGAGGCTTTGCGATGGGCAGAGCCGGAGGCGAATGGACTTGTGGCTAGTTGTGAGTAATGGTAGGAGAATCCAGATGGGAATTGAGTGCCATGTGCACACCAAGACTGTGAGTCAAGAACAAAAAAGGTTGGATACATAAGAGATATGAAATAAAATTGAAAAAAGAAAGATGAGACTTATGCAATAGAAGGGGATTTGAATTGAAATTATCGTTTACTTTAGAATAAAAAAATTTCGAATTGAATAGGTGAAGTCATCTGAAAGTGGTAGCGAGGGAATGGTGGTTGGGACTTCATAGAGATCGCAACTTTTGTTCATAGTAGGAAACACGATTCAAACAGATCAGAATCATGTAGATCAAGTTCTCCTGGAACAGATTGACAGATTTTTCTTAAACCAGAATGACCACACTCGAAAACCATTAGCTTAGCTTTACATAGAATATCGTTTAGTTTCGTTCCGTCCCATCTTCAAAACCAAAATGTATATTAACCTTAAATTCTACGTGGACTAATGCTCACTCGGTCTACTACTCGGATGATCGAAACCGTAAACACCACCACCCAGAGACAAAGAACCAAAAAGAGGAACGAGGCCAACGCCCTCTGCCGCCGGCACAAGAAGTTCACTGTCGGGTAGTAAATGCCCAAAGCCTGAAGCGGTTCGGTGTTGTTGCTAGTGCATACCCATTCGTCGTCATACAAAGAATAGAAAGTTAGCGATAAGTTGGCAGACATGCAAATGATAAAAAGAAGGTCCAACATGATTAGTTTCATCTTGCCGAGTGGGTTACGTAAACCGAGCGGTTTTCCAGTATACTCGTCGTAAGCAATGTAAATCACATACACAATGGCACAGCATTGCACTACTATGGCAAAGATGGTGGACGGCTGTTGTGCCAAATCGGAGTCGTCGTATTTCCGCTTGGAATAGACATAGATGGACGCTGCCAATGCCAAAGCACATGAAGAAAACATCAAGATGAGGATTCTCATGAGCAATGGGAAGAGTGGACTATGCACCAAGATACGTCTAAGAGTTGGAGCCAAATCCTTCCGTTTTTCATCCAGCATCCAGTAGCCCGCCTTACTACGCACACGAGGCAGATCGTCTGGATGACGGGACCGCTTCGAAAACATTCGGGCCCAGAATCCGACGTTTCGGTCCGAGTCGGTGGAGTGATCGTATGCTGTTTGACCTACCAACGCCAGCCGTAGTCTCTCGTCACCACCCCACGGCGTATCGTAGCGGCCAGGCAATTCGATCTTCTCTAACTGATCTGGCGTGTACAGACATGGCTCTTTGACGGTCACCATCAAGTCTCGCCAGTTGTTGTTGATTGCTTTGATGAAGGTATCGTTGGAAAACGACGAGTACTGTTGCTCGTCAACTCGTTTAGTTGTGTGGGTGCGCAACGAGGCTCCAGTTTCGCTCTGGTTGACGTTGACATTGGAATTTTGTTGCAGTTCTTTGTAATGGGCTTCCAGAAGCCTGTCCAAGACGTACACGGGCACTAACGATGGAGTCTGTGCGTAGTAGCGAACGTTGACGTTTGCAAATGGGTTTTGAGGGTTCAAGTCGTCTTCCGTAGACCCATTGGCCAAGTCTTTGCGGGCCACAGGTTTGTCCGGTGGAGCCAGCATCGGAGTGTTGAATGAACGATGAGTTAGTGTTGGTTGCTACAATCAAGTGTGCATATGCCCATAGTGGAGGTGAGTTGCATTGATGGAGAAATGGCGAGAGGTTTGAAGGACTTGGATGAATCTGTAGAAAATCCGAGGAGTTTCGCTATTAACGAACTTCATTCTACGTTCAATTTATATTCTCTCCATTTTTCTTTTTTTATCTATTCGCTTCCTTCTTTTTTGCCTTGTCTAACTTGGATTCTTTTATCGCTTCTTCTCTACGCTGTCTACAGGTTAATTGTCTACAGGGCCCCAAGAAATGGACACCTTCTATCAGTCAAAGAAGTGACAAGTTTTCAAAATCTCAACTCATTGACCGATTATAAAATCCAAAAAGCCGCTATCCCTTTCCTTTTCCAATCGGTAGTCTACCATTTCATCTCTCTCCCATGGTCACCAGCCAATAGGTGGGAGACGATTATCTTGCCTGCACCTGCCTCCGATTGCTCCATATTCCATTGCCTTTGAATTATATCCGATTTCAAACCACGGTTGGAAAAGCATCTACAAATTTAAACGTCGCAAAAGTGAAAATTCAACTGTCTTCATTACCCATGTCGTTTGCCATACGAAGAAACACTGCATCCGTGCGGTCCATCTGGAAGCCAATGTATGGCCATTCTCAATACCAATTTCACCTGGGCCATATTCACCATGGCCAAATGGAACTTCTCCAGTGCTACTCCACTGCTCCAGTGAGAAAATCTCTCAATCTGAACTCGTTGTACGTGATTTCAATCCCCATTACCACTCACAAATCATACATTTATTGCAATCATAAGGTCAGTTTGCTTGATGCCAGCCAGAGGGAAACGGTGCCACAGATCGTTCGCGCAGAAAACAAGGTGGTCGGATTGGCCACCAAGGCTTGGAACAAGCTTCTGGCCTCGGAATTATCCATCAACAAGCTGGTGGTGAAGCTCGTGCGCAAGTTGCTCAACACCATTCCATACGATGAGAGCTTTCTCCGCAGTTTCCCTAGCAAGAAAACCATGATCCGTGAAATCAACCAAGAACACTACTCAGAGCTTCCTCGCACCATTCTCACCTCGGAGATCGAATCGGGAAATTACTCGTTGGACCAATTGAAGCCCATTCCTGTTATTCATCCGAGGTTCCAGGACCCCCAGGCCATTTTGGACCAATTGCATGGCGTCAGAGACAATTTGGGCGCTTTCCACCGTAAGTGGGCCCTCCTCTGTGGTATTGGCATTCCGCTTACCTTGCCATTGGCGTTGGTCCCTGTGGTGCCTAATGTTCCATGTTTTTACCTCACCTATAGGTTCTATTGCCATTTGAAGGCACTAATGGGCGTGCACAACTTGGGCTACTTACTTGAGAGCACCAAGGACGACTCTTCCGTGGAAAGCACTCCTCACCTCTCCTTCAAGGCCCTTGCTGAACTTGATGTTCCATACTTAGAAGATGCTACCTTTGCTAAAGTGAGAGCACAAGACAGTGACGAAAACGAGCATATCCTCGTGACGCCGGAAATTATCGACCGTATGGTGGAAACATTGGACTTACAGCACCTAAAGGATGATTTGCACAAGGCATTGACCCAGGAAACTGCCAGACTTGAACAAGGATTGGCTAGTGATCCAGTAGAGTAATTCACGTGTCGTGTCACGTGTGAGCCTGGAGCCCTGTATTCCTGTGTTTAGAAGGGGAAGTTGGGTAACGAAATTGGAGGAATCTGGCATTGAGGGCTAAAATATGTCACCTAACGTGACGGTTTGTCACGTGAAAACAGCAGTCACACCGCATTTTTTCGGCATGGCACGCCGTCATGCCTGCCATATATAGTGCGACCTCTCGCACATTTTTTCAACTTTCTTCTTCATCCTACACTAGTCACTATGAGAGATAAGTGGAGAAAAAAGAGAGTTAGAAGACTTAAGAGAAAGAGACGGAAGGTGAGAGCCAGATCCAAGTAATCGGACTCCGTTTGATTGTTGGACTTATTCCCTGAATTGGTCCGACTTCCTGACTGTTCGTACATAATACATACCTTTGGTATCAACTGAAATGTAGCGTAGTCGCCGTAAATTTGAATTGTATTGCTGGGATGGCATTGAGAGTTGAATGCCTCTGAGTTCGCTCTGATTATTCTATTACATTTTCTATAGCTTTTCCTTCAAATGCCCAAATCACTTCGATCGTCTGAAGCAATGATCATTGGACCTTGGAGGTACGGGTGTATATTTACACTACTTGTACACTGGTTGCAAAAAGCTAACTTTAACTAATTCTCCTCATTCTACATGGATACTTCTATTTCTCCACTCAAGAGAACGTTCTTATCCGTTCAATATCCACTGTTTCTTCGCATTGAAGAGAAACCACAACTGGCCCCTCCTCTAGAGTCTGAACTTATCATACGAAGTATTGATCAACCTTCACATGAACCCAGCCCACCGTATTCGTATCTGCCTTCACCTCCACTCCGTGTATCGACTATACCACGAAACCAAAACAATTCTTCTGGGGTACTGGACAGGGCTTCTTCTGTACCTGTGATGCGAGAAAGAAATGTGGACTCTGGACGTCTTATTCATAGTTGGAGTGATCTATCTCACCATCATGCACTAGCTGCTCGAACGGAACCCTCTGCTGGTGGCACGGGATACCAGCATCTGCAACAGATCAATGAGCTTTTTGCCCGTACTTGTCATTCAACGGAAACTTTCGATGACGACACCGTAAGCCCGGACCCATTAATGGGAATAGCTTTAGGACCTCACCATCCACCTTTTCCTATAGAACCTGTGTCAGTTCACCCTATTGAGCCGTCGTTCTTTCCTGATCCGCTTACGGAGTTTATGGAGGACCGAATTATTCTGTTTCGTCCCACCTGTTCTCAGAATAATGTCGAGAGTCTGTTGAACAATACCCATCCGTATCAAGCTCAGCCGGATGTAAAGAGGGTAGTAGAGGCAGAAGAGAGAAATGCGTGGTCTAGATGGCTCAATTCTCGGGCCGTAGTCAATTCTCCAGGTGTAGCTGCTTCCTTAGATGCTGCTGCTTCTAATGCTGCTGCTCCTATTGGTGTTGAAGCCCGTGGTGTTGGTGATCTTGCTGCTTCTTATCCTGGGGGTGTCCTCTCCACAAAGTTCATCTCCCAATCCTATGATCCAATCAATTCCGCCAACGCCCTTTCGGGTACTCCAGGGTCAGATGCACAAAGTTCTGTTTCTTTTCTTCCACGCAATCACTCGCTGGAACCCCCCGTATTAAACATGGATTATACACCTAGAGCTGCCCCTTTAGCAGATCTATCAAAAGACAGCCCCACTACAGAAGTTGGGTGTGTCTGGTGCTTGTAGTAAGTACTTTAATCTACGCTAGATACACATCATTAACTCTGTGGTTTTCAAGGTCTAAAAACAATAGTGGCTGGTGCCAGATTTTCAAGAATAAAAGAATTGGCAAGCTTACTCGGCAGCCTCGGCAAAACGTTCAGCAATCTTGGTCAACAACTCGTTGAATTGCTTACGGCCAGCTTCTTCACCTTCCAGTGGCTCAACAAACTTGGCACTCGACACAGCATGTTTCACATCACCAGTGGCCTCACCCAACTTGGACCAGGAGGCGCCATTGGCAATGGCCTTCTGGGCCTCGTCGTGGTAGGCAATGAAAGCACGCATCATGTCAAAGGTCTTCCAGATAGGACAGAACTGATCGTATGTGGAGTAACCGTTCTGCTGCAAGAAATCTTCCTTGAGCAAGGTAGCGACATCCAAGATAATCTTGTCCGAATCAGACAATGCAGACTTACCGACCAATTGGACAACCTGTTCCAACTCCTCAGCGTTGGACAAGATCTCCTTGATCTTGTTTCTCAAAGTCGAAAACTCTGGGAAATTCTTCTCGTAGTAGCCATCCAACACGTTGGTGTACTTAGAGTAGGAAATGGAAGTGTTCACCGATGGGAAATGCTTACGTTGAGCCAACTTCTTGTCCAAACCCCAGAAAACCTGAGTAATACCCAAGGTGGAAGTAGTGACTGGATCGGAGAAATCACCACCAGCTGGAGACACAGCAGCAACAATGGAAACGGAACCCACTCTGTCTGGAGAACCCAAAGCAACTGCCTTACCGGCACGCTCGTAAAAGGAAGCCAACTTTGCACCCAAGTATGCTGGGAAACCCTGGTCGGCAGGCATTTCTCCCAAACGACCAGAAATTTCTCTCAAAGCCTCGGCCCAACGAGAGGAAGAGTCGGCAATCATGGAAACGTTCTTACCCTGGTCACGGAAGTACTCAGCAATAGTGATACCAGTGTAAATGGAAGCCTCTCTGGCAGCGACAGGCATGTTAGAGGTGTTGGCAACCAAAGTAGTACGCTTCATAATTGGCTCCTTACGTCCCTTGATCTCGGTGAAAAGTTCTGGGAATTCCATCAACACCTCAGCCATCTCATTACCTCTCTCACCACAGTTGTGCACAAGTGCGGTGTTGGCCAACATAAACTGGTGGTCGGAGCCATCCTCGAGAGTAACTCCGTAATAGTCTGCCACTTCAGTCTTGTTGAGGTCAAAGTAATATGGTTCAGCCTCGCGTGCAACGGCTGACTCAGAAGCTCTGTTACGAGACAAGACACACTTGGAAAGAGCACCTGGCAAGGCGTTACCAGTCATAGAAACAACGTAAGTGTTGGCCTCTTTGATGTTGACAGAAGCACGGATACCAAGAGAACGGGCAACCTTGACAAGACCGTCACGAACGCTTGGGTAAATTGTCTTAATGGTGGCACTGTAAGCACCAGTTTGCTTGTTGTGGGAAACTTCACCATCAGAATCAACGAGACCGGCAATGAAATGCTCACGAACAGACAAGGCGTCAGCAGCCAACTGGCTAGGAACACTCTTGATTGCATCGGCAACCTGGTACTCCTGGACCATCTTCCAGAAGAGGTTCTCGTCGTTGACGTTCTTGCGACCCTTACCAAGGGTGACGCTACGAATGACAACCAGCATCTCAGTATTCTTGGTCTTCTCAGAAGGAGCGACTGGCTGAGAGAAGTAATCGGTGCCCTCAGTCAAGATGTTCTCACGACCTGGTGGAGTCATTGGAAGCTCTACACGAGCTCTCTTGTTTTGCTGAGTAGACTCAACCGTCATACCGAGCTTGTCGGCGTTCTCCTTCAATTGCTCAAGAGCCTCGGAGTCGACGGTAAGAACGGAACGGTCGGTAGATCCAGTACCAACCCACAGACCAAGCAAGTAAGCCATCTCGTCAACAGCCTCTGTGTTACCACCGTGCTTCTCAACAAGAGAAGCGAGAACAGGCTTCTCGACAAGAACTGGGTTGATGAGTTGCTGGGTGACCTTACGGACCTCCTTGTCCATCAAAACGACATCTCTGGCCTCGATGGTCCAGTTGATGGCGTCCTCGGACAATTCAGCAGCAAACTTCTCGGCAGACTCCAATGCAGAGTTCTGGAAGTATTTGGTGCATTCCTTGACCATCTCAACAGCACGTCCATCTGGAGTCAAGCAGTTAGCAAGTTGCAAGTAAGAAACGGAAATTTGAAGTCTGTCGCAAACCATGTCTTGAGAGGTTTTGATCAGCTGAGGAGTGACAACGACAAGTTGATGGTCAGAGTTACAAGTGTACTTAATGTTGCCGTGAGAAGATTCAGACTTCTGTACAACTTCGTACATCTGATCGGTACCTCTTGGCAAGTTGACAACCAATCTAGGCTTACCGTCTTTACCCAAGACTTGCTCGCCGATCTCAATCGACTCAATTGGCTTCTCAGAACCATCAGCCATGTAGACTTCGGTACCCTTGGCGAAGCATCCAACATAAGTAATGATGTCGGAGTTGGAGAATTTGGACAAGGCCTGGGAAATAACAGTCTTACCACATCCGAAAGCACCTGGAATACAGGTGGTACCACCCTGGACACATGGGAACAAAGAGTCCAACACACGCTGACCAGTCAACAATGGGTAGTCGGCGGTCAATCTCTCAGCCACAGGTCTTGGGACTCTGACAGGCCACGAGTGCATCATGGAGTAAGAGTGCTTCTTACCGTCAAACTCAACTTCCAAAACAGTGTCTGCAACCGTGTAGGAACCAGCCTCGGCGATGGAGGTGATGGTACCTCTAGCACGTGGAGGCAACAAGATTTTATGGTCATCCAACAACGAGTTCTCGAAGATGGAACCAAAGATATCACCACCAGTAATATGGTCGCCAACCTTCAAAGATGCAGGAGTGAAGTCGTACTTGGCTTCTCTGTTCAAGCAAGGAACGTCGATACCTCTTGGAATATAGATAGATTCCGAGGTTTCCTTAATGGCCTTCAATGGTCTCTGGATACCATCGTAAATGTTCTCCATCAAACCTGGACCCAATTCGACCGACAATGGCTTACCGGTTCTCAACACTGGGTCACCCACGGTGACACCAGCCGTCTCCTCGTAAACCTGGATGGTGGCCTTGTCTCCGTTAATACGAATGACTTCTCCAACCAAGTTGTCATGGCCAACCTTGACCAACTCGTACATGGCACAACCAATCATGTTCTCGGCCACAACGACAGGACCAGAGACAGAAAAGATTTGTCCATACTGGGACTCCGAAGTGTCCTCAAGAGAGAGACGCTTGATTTCTTTGCGGGCGTTATCTAAAGCACCAGCCTGTGGTGTTAGTTTGTGAAATTTAAACGATCAATGTCGATGCATTGACTGCTGTACGTACCATGTTCGATAGTGTTAGATAGTGATAAGTGGACAACCTCGAGTGCACTTTATCATTTGGACAGAGTCGTGCTGAGGCAAATTATCCCTGACGGCGTTACCCGATACAGTGCTGACTAACTTTCGACTAGAAGTTGCTGGGGAAATAGAAGAAAAAAATTAGTGTTGGTGATGGTTGGAGAGGTTCTTGATAGTTCAATTGGTCTGGTAGCTTTTTTGGGGTTGTCAATTAGATGTGCAATTACCTATCCACGGTGGTGAGCACTATTGAATGGAGGAGTGCACCACAATTCCATCGACGAGTGGTAATTCCATCGACAAGTATTTAAAAACTAGGACAGGATTGAATAAAGTAAATTAGGCATGTGTCTATGCATCGAAGTCATTTATGGGTCAATTGGCCAATTTCGGCGTACTTTTGATAGTTGAGATTTGCAGCAATTATGCACCCAAGCAGAATAGTCTAGAGTATTCATGCTTGAACATATACTCGGTTAAAATGTGCTGATAATTTTCATTTCCGCAAGTTCTTTTTGATTTATGATTTGTATACCATGGTTTTTCTAAGGATTTGTGAGTTTAGTCCTTTCATTCACTCTGGATTGGTTCTGAACCTTCCCAGAGCTCTATATGAGCGTGGAACTCTGCCATCAAATATAGTTTGAGTAGACTAGAAACATTTCTCCTATTGTGAATGCAGTGTTTATGTACCAATTGGTTCGAATTATAGAGTATGGTAAGTTTTCGAATTTTACGGTCGTGGTGAAGTTTTTCAGTCCTGTGACAAGGTTCCAAAAAACATGAAAACTTGTAAATTAACTATGCATGTTGCGAATTACCAGATCATGGCAAAATGAAAAATACATAGACTTACTTATAAATTAAAAATGTAAAATCGGAAATTCAAGATCCAGAAATTTAGAAACCAATATGTATTAGCCTAGCAGAAAGCCGTGAAGTAAAGTAACCTACTATCAGCAAATGATCAGAGAGACCCTTTACCGACTAACAAACTTGATAATTAAATTGATACTCTACCGTTTCACAACCTTGCTCCAAGTTTGGAAGCTCTGTCAAGTGCAATATCACACATGGCATTGAAAGCTTCAGCCTTTTCCTTCTGAACGTCGTTCCGTTCGATTCTTGCTTTCATATTAGCCATGATCACTTCTCGGGATCTACCATTGACAAACACAACATATCGAAGACCTGGAAAAGTTTCTTCGTATAGATCATTCAACTCAGTCAATTTGCGTGCTTCCTCCTCCGATCCAGCTAGAGACTTCTGCTCCGATGTTGAATGTGACGAAAGCTTATCTTTAGAGGGTCCAAGTCTTGGATGCGCAGACACGATTTTGTCGATTTTGGCAGAGTTACCAGGAATATCTTCTTCTGTGAGAAATTGTAGTAAAACGCTTCGACAAGCTTCAATGAAATCTCTATAAGTGGAGTAGGTGCCATTGACTCTGGCTAAGATGACTTCGGCAAGTGTCAGACATGGCTCGAACAAGTGGTCCAAAACCTCGACTTTCTTCGGGGTGGATAGTGACGAAAACAAGCTTGGAGGCGGTAATTGGAACATAATAAGGAAAAATCGGGGAATCTATGGTTTATATGGCAACCTTGGTTCTTATCAGATCGGAATATTCCGATGGGGTACGGATGTATGGATGTTCAAACATCATACTTAAGATCCTGAGCTTTCAAGGTCTTTCCATCTTTGAGACGATAGTAATGTTGATCTAAATCTTAGTCCAAAACCAGAAAATATAAAGAACATTTCAGATTTCGTTTTGGTTCTCATTCAAAATATACAAACGTGTCTACATCTCATTCCAATAACAATGCAATTAATCTACCTATGCAGAAAAGATAATTTATGTGAAGTGTTGCTGCTCACGCAATCTGTTCAACTCCTTCTTGGAAGGAGCACCCTGCTGAGCAATCAATGGATGTCTCCAGTGCTTCACATAGGTGAACAACACATCGGCCAAACGGTCCAAGTCTGTGATGCCCAAGTCAGCGAAAGTCTTGGCAGAAGGATCAATGGTTTGGTTAATCAAGTGTCTCTGCACCTGGTCCGGGTTGGTTTGCTTCCAGTACAAGTACTGCTTGATCTGAGCGACAAGTTTGGCCAACTGCAATGGGATCTCGTAGTCTGCAAAGTTGTATGAGAAGGGACCCACCTGCGAGAAGTCCTGGGTGATACCGTGAACCATCTTTCTGATCTCATGGAAGCTCAACTTCTCTGGACCGTACAACTCAAATGTCTGGCCCACAGTGGAGTCGTCAAAGCCGATTCTCTCCAATGCATGGGCCACATCGAGCACGTGCACAGGATAGATCTCCTTAGCATTTCTGTTAGGCGTCCACATCTTCAACTTAGGACCCAAGTAGTTCAACAAGTTGTCCTCACGACCATACATAGGAGATGGTCTCACAATGGTGGAATCTGGCAAAATATCCTTGACAACCTGCTCAGAAATACCCTTAGTGGCGTAGAAGATGGAGTCCGACGATGGGTTGGCGTTGTAAGACGACACGTAGACGTATCTTGGGTTTCCTGCGTCTTTAACGGCGTTGGTGATTCTTTCGGTGATACCAATGTTCACATCAGCCATAGAGAAGTTCTTGGTCCAGTAATCGGCACCAATACAGTTGAACACAACGTCGGAGTGGGCCACCGATTCAGCGATGGACTCCAAGTTTCTAGGGTCAAATTCCACAAAGTTGACCACACCCAAATCTCCAGTGACTTTCAAAAATCTTTTCTTCAAGTCGTCTCTGAAAGGCACGACCACGTTGGTACCGTGTCTGGCCAATTTAGAGGTCAAATAACGACCCAAGAAACCTGCGGCACCGAAAACAGTCACGGTGTATCCAGTTCTCGAAGAACGACCACCAGGACCAACAGCCAAGTTAACTTTTCCGTTTCTGGTGATATTGATATCATTGTCCAACACGGAGGTGTAGACGGATCTCGTCTGGAGGCCGGATGAGGCTCTCACCGAAGCTCTGACGGAGGCTCTCAACATGGTATTTGGTTTGTAATGAAGAGATTGACTTCTTTATCCTTCACATTGAGGTGACAAAAAGTCGGCTCTGGTTGGTTGACTTAACGGGGTTCGCACGACCTTAGAAAAGATTAATGGAGGGTGGGAATTGTATGGGAATTTTTTGAAATTTGCATGTAAGGGAGACTTAATAAGAGATGAAAGGTAAAATCAACCATAATTGAGAGATTTGGTGGTGGTTTAGTGGAGCTGACCCAGGTATTCGGAGGTGGAAACTAGCTAACTGCAGGATGTAAATTGTTTTGTATGAAGAGTTAGAATAAGCCTAGTAAGTTATTGAGAAGAACACTCCCCTTCCATCTTCTGAATACCAAATTGGCACATTCTCTTTGTCCGAGTAGGACTCTCATAGTTTTCTTCAATCTATTCTTGATTTCTTCTTCTTGTACATCTTTCAATACTATGTTTCCCTCTACAAATACCATATCGTCTTTACATTCATTGGATGCCTTACACTTCCTGATCTCTTTCAATGTCGTTGTGCCTTGGTTCTACCAGTCTTAATATTACAATCACATCGGAAATGTAAACCTTCTCTCCTTCACCTCCTCTCGATAGAAATTGAACGTAAAATCGTGTCAACTCAATGATGTTTATTGAAACCAGTACAGTCATCTATGCATCATCTTCTTCATCTATCAGCCCTACAAGAAGTAGTCTGGGGTCTTACGTGTCACCGTGGGTTCACCTGGTCTCACCGAAGGATCGTACTGTAAAAACTGTCTTTGATGGCTTTCGTCCACCTCCATGATAGCTGCTTGGTTACCACAACGGTAACAGTAGTTTGGCGCACTGAAAATGGTCACCACGCTTTCTTGATGTGACCACAGGTAACCCTCCATGACAAGCTGATGTGCACGGGCAATGAGACTCAAGTCGTTGGTGTGATTGAACTGTTCGGAGATATCTTGTCCAAAAGTGAAACCCGCACCTCGTGGAGAGATTCCCCATCCTCCTCTGTCGTCAGGGTCCGACCACAACAAGTCGCACATGGGACCCTCGTGAGGCACCTCCTGAATACGGTTCAACTCACGTACCTGATCTATGGTCTCGATCATTGGCAGCAATCCTCCGTGCAAACAGAATATCTTGTTGTCCACCAATGCGGTGATGGGGAAGTAGTCAAAGAGATCGGTGAACAACTTCCACACAGCTGCAGAGCCGTATTTTCTCAAACACTCGTCATAGAATCCATACACCTGGGTAATCTGCCTAGACTCGTGGTTGCCTCTTAAGATGGTGATACGGTTAGGGTACCGCACCTTCATGCAAACTAGATACGACACAGTTTCCACCGAGTAGTAGCCTCTGTCGACGTAGTCACCCATGAACAAATAGTTTGTGTCGGGACAAGGGCCTCCGATCTCAAAGAGCTCCATCAAGTCGTGGAACTGCCCGTGCACATCACCACAGATGGTCACGGGCACCTGGACAGGCTGGACGTTTTCTTCGAATTGCAAAACATCAATAGCCATGTCACACAATTTCTTCACGTCGGCCTCAGAGAGTGGCTCGCACTGAGCCAACTTGGCGATCCACTGGTCCAATTGGTTTATGGACGAGGTGGCAATGTCGGTCTTTTTACTTAGCTCCTGTTGGGGTGCCTTGGTTTGCACGTCTTCGACGTCCTCCATGGGAACATCGGTGTCCAAGTCCATGATTGATACGGGAAGGTTGGTTTCTGGCAATGTGGTCTTGTCGGCGACGAACAGACGGAAATTTGACGAGTCGGCGCGCTAACTGGCAATAGCTCACGGGTCGGTGCTCAATGCTTGGCGTATTTCCCTAGTCCCACAGTAGTTGGGTGTTCTCCAGGGATGGTAAGTGGTTATTAGCCGTCAGTACGGGGGTGCCAGGTTGGACGATTCAGGGATCGGACGTAAGTGGCAGCACAGCAGGCGGTTCCAAATAAAAAAGCGGCGAAAACAAATAAAGCGAGTCGGAACTGCGGATGTAGCGTTCAATGGCAGGCTGCAGACTAGATGGCTTTGTTGTTTGGACGCTAGCGTATGGATTTTTATTCTCCAGGAGGCTTTTTTTTGTTTGCCTGTTGGTCGCTGGTTCGTGGTGTATGGATGTAGTGGGGTGAGATAAGTTGCCAGATTCTCCGACTCTCGTGACCGAGAAAAGGGTATTAGTAATAATACTTATAAACTGGTTAAGTTCAGGAGTTGAGGGAGATGATGTATATGATTCTAGGTATTTTTTATCATTAATCCGCTTGGTTGTTTAGTTGAATGGTTGTTTGCTGGAGTAATCTTTTTTTTTTGTCCTGCCTGGAAGTCTGGTTCTTCTGTTGGTCTATGGTAATTGTGCGCTCTTGCCTATTTTTGGCATGTACAGTTCGGGCACTGTGACACCCTCCCCAAAAGGTCATTTTTCGCTACAACCCACCAATGAATTCTTGTTGCTGGGGATCGTTGAGCTGAGAAAACCAGTTGTGGAGAATGGGGTCGTTGAATTCGGATTTCTGGCCCAGAAAGTAAGAAATGCAGTGGGAAAGCTGTAGAAGCGACTCATAAGTATGGGTGTTCCACTGCTCACGAACCGTCACTTGAAGATATGCTTTCAATGCCTCAAGCATCTGAGGAACCACCCCTAAAACTACGATGAAGTTGTGTAGATAATGCCGTTGCAGGTTTACTATCACATTCACCTGACAGATTGCCTCAAATAACTCCAGCGCAACGTACTCTTGCGATAACTCTTTCAGGTAAACTTGTATGACCTTTAGCGAAAGCATGAAGTATAGAAACTGGGACAAAGTGCTGTAAGTGTGACCGCCTGTGCCGTAATTTTGCAAAAGTTCGTTCAATTTTGCTTTTGTTGATGCGTATGACAGACCCATTGGTGTGGCTGAGCCTAGGAATCTCCAGGAAAAAGGCTCAGCAACTACCTGCTGAAACAATAGCTGCTCGTCTAAAACATTGAGCATTAGGTAATAGGCATAGACGACACTCTGAGGTAGTGGACCTCGCTCCATCTCGGAGAGATTGACGAGAAGTGCAGAATGTCTGAAGGCTGGTTCTGGGGAGAAAAGAAGAGAATGCCTCTCCCAAACATACAATAACCGGCGCAAATCTATCGTGTAAATATCGGGCTTGCCGTAGTGAGCCTCAAGAATCTGTAGATGGCTGATAGCAGAGCGAATGTACACTAGTTCGAGTGAGTGGGAAGTGCCTCCCACTTTTATTAGCGCATACATGTGAAGATTGGCAAGAGAAAGATTGTAGTTCGCTTCGAAATCAGCCGTGTTCCCGTTTGGCAAAAACAGGTATCGTGCACAGTCAGAATAGAGCAACGAAATGTAGTTCTGAAGTTGTGGTTTCAAGTGTTGTTCATAGGACGGTTGCATGTCCGCACTGTCTAGACTTGATTCTGCTTTCAATGCTGCAAAAATTAAAGAAACATAACTGAGGGTAGCGAGTCGTTGCTGAGTGCCGAAAGGTTGGCCGTAGGCGTTGGTGCTCGGCCTAGCTCAGTCACGTTTTCGATGATTGTCGACGACACCGAGCTTGCAGTAAATGCTGAAACTATCTCCATGATCTCCGGGGGAATCGTTCGGAGATACTCAGCAACCTCAACAAAATCAATTGACTGTAAAATACTCGATTCCGAGCTTCTCATCGCCTCATCATGTTCAGGACTGTGACTGTTTGAGTCTTTTGAGATGGACTGGATGGAATCGATGGTTTTCTTGCGAAGATTCTTTGGGCCCGACTTCTTGCGTTCTCGGCGTTCCGTACAATTCAAATTGTTGTTGACACAATGTCGACATGGCCTTGAGTCATCACACTTAGTCTTTCTTACAGCACAGCCATCACAGGCCCTCGTCTTTCTCTTTTTCTTTTCGTTGATGGGCGGGAGCACGGTGGACAGCAGCGATGCCGCATCACCATTGGAATACTTTAAGGAGTAGGTAAAGTAAGATGATCTTTGGGACATAGCCGAAAAAAAATCTGTCAATAATGGATGGCGGGGCACTAGTGTATTATAATATGGGGGAGGGATGGATGCGCGCCAGGATAGTGTGGAGCAAAAAGGACGTTAACAAAGCACCGGGAAAATGACCGGGAAGAATGGGGTACTAATCTTAATAATAAGGTATCCAGCACAGGAAAGAAGAACGGCGATGTTGACGAAAATAGAGCGGGGCAAAGTGCTCAAGTTACGCAACACTCGCCGTAATTTCCCCATCTCAAATGATGCGAAATGACGGGTACACCAACTTATAGGTGCAAAATGCAACGATTGCAAATGCCAGGCAGGAACCTAAACGAAAAAGGGAAGCCGTCAATTTCGTAAAGGAACATTTTACCAGGTTTACAGATAAGAAGGTAAGAACACAGAGTGAAAAAGAAACATTTCGAAGTAGCTATAGTTCCATAATGCATCTTCATGCGGACTTTCGCCTTCTAGAATTTGGCAACAGATTTCGAAATGCAGATCCATGGTTCAATAAGCCTTCTGCCTTTCCTTCGCCTATTTCTCTTTGTCACAAGTTCATGACAGTTAGAGCTGGCTACATTGCCAGTGGCTCGTTTCCTTCCTTTAGGCCAGCGTCTGCTGTGGGTATACCTCACTCAATTTCTTTTTTCCTCTGTGTTCGGAATTCAACCTTGTTACCTCCCTAAATTAGACTCCCCTCTCTCGTCTGATTTCAGTAACCTTTGGGTTGCATTGGCGGCAGAATTTCTCAGCCTCAAATTCCATGCAGCGCTCAAGCTTCCGCCATGGCTGTACGAAATTCTGCCTGCCATTGAGCTAGCCTCTGCCAATATGCGTATTTAACTTTCAAAATACCAATGTCTCGAGGGTCGAGCGGTGTCGCTTCAACATGCTCAGTGTGAAGGGCGGGAGCCCGTAGAAGCTGGAGGTTATGGGACTTTTTCAATGCACTAGCCCCGGCAAATGCAACACCTTGCGCCCCTGCGTATTTGGCACTGGAACCAACCATCACCAGAGCATGCGTAAAGGCAAACTCGGAAAGCATTCGAATAAATCGCAGGTTGTGGGCCTGCGAGCCACAGACAATCACTGTGTCGAGGAGCGAGGTAGCATTTTGTAACATGTTGGCTAACTGGAAAGTTTGGAAAACCAAGTGCTCGAGGATTAAGTAGTATTTCACTACTAGACTGTCGAACGAATTGTCAGACAAGTCGCACGCCAATAAATCTTGAGAGGATGCTGTTGCAGCATTGACTCCGTCAACGAGAACGTCGCTCATCGCGAAATCGCCGTAAGGGCTGCGATTTCCATGCTTATCGCCATAGTACAAGTATTGGCGAGTGAGAACTGTGAGCAGGACGCCGAAGGATGCTTCCATAGTCTTTGCGCGGGCTTCCACAAGTCGAAATGGGTTTTGTTCACCGATAAGTGAAGGATGCGCAGCGAACAATTCATCGAACAAGAGGCCCGTGGCTGGTTGCCCAAACGAGTAGACGGTTCGAGGCGCAAGCTGACGGAAGGGGCCCCATAGACCAGAAACGGACAATGGGTGCGGGGAGAGAACATCAGCAATGAAACATGTCAGGGTTCCTGCCACCATGTAGAGTGCTGCCTTGATCGTAAGAGGATCTCTTTTGAGCATGGCGGGAACGGACATGGGGACCCGTGCGGGAACTGGTGCGGGAACTGGTGCGGGAACTGGTGCGGGTGAGGCAGAGGATTGCGCCTTGTGGATAGGAGCGAAGGTAGCGCAATTTGTAATTTTCGCACCCACTCCATACTGACAAGCATGGTCAAGTAGGTCAGATGAGGCAAACAAGGAATACTGATTGAACTGAATGGACCTTATGTTGTCTGAATCCGTGGTTTGAGCAGACACGACCCTAGTGAGCTCAAATGGGTTGGATTTTGCTTCCGATCTGGATAATACCTTGTTGGCGGCCCCGTCTTCATTGTTTGGACCGCCCTGATTGATTTCTTTGTTCTCGAAATGATGCGAGCACAGACATTGGCCGTGGAAACCTTTCCCGTGGCAATTGTTGCTCAGTTGGAGAGCGAGTCCGAGACCCTGAGCGAGATCTTGACTGAAAGTCAAAGACGGATCCAAAGTTAAAGCCAGACTTACGGTCAGTCCTTTTACTTGATTGCCCGCCCAACCTCCATAACAATCTATACATCCGTGGCAAACTATGTATCCGGCAACATTGGAGCCTGGGGGACAACGTGCCAATGGCGTGCCCACGTACTGGAAGCCCGAACCACATGTTGAAGGGCTTGTTGCCAGGTCCAACCCAGTGTTGACATCATCGCTTGCACCAGAGTGATCTCCTAAAAAGTTTGCAACCGTTTCCGAACGATAGTTGGTTTCCATCTCTAGGTGATGGTCCGTCCTTTTTGACAGTGTTTCACTTTCCAGTGGATCGTTTGCTCCTAGATTTTCTCCTCCTTCGTCACCCCTTCTGTTCTCTCCATGCCTTTTCTCTCCAATCGTGCTTTCTCCTTTGCTTCTTTGTCCTATTCTCTTAGGTACATACCCCACCTTCACCACTATACCCAAGTCTTTCATCAACTCGTCGCCCCACCCCTTCACTGACCCATCCATAGCCGTCAGCCCCGGAGGAAATGTTGCCAAATCTCCCTCCAAACACCGCACCAACCCGTCATGAATCCCGCCAGCAACGAAAAGGTATGAAATCCAGTCATATAACTCAAAAACAACAACGTCATGATGGCGGTTATTGACCCACATCATCTTGGCAACCCCCATCTCTGGCGTGACACTACCGCCTACCTGGGCCAAGGCTGATGGTGGTAGTAGGCGCGAAAGCTCGCGCGCCTCGCTGGAGGCACGACTGTCCATCCACACAAACACTTCTTGGCCCGGGACAAGCGCGCGGTAGTAGGAGGTGTTTTTGATTGTAGTCCTCTGCATGGCGACCATTGAGCAGGTTGCCGCCACGCAGATTGTATTTGACGAGGAAGAAGTTGAGGAGGTTGCTGTATTTGGTGAATTAGATGAACGTGAAAATGAATCTGAATTCAACTCTGCTGATTGCGAAATATTTGATGATCTGGGTGAGGTTCTCGCTCTATCCTGCAAACTTGAAGGATTTTCATATTCTGTTGTTGTTGTAGTATCTGTGCTCAGATAGGTGTTGATATTCCCATCTGGTTGGCGCGGTACGAAGCTATATACTTCTTCTCCGTCAATCCAGTCCCTTTCTTCAATCCGTCCCGCTGGGTAAATTTCACTATCCATTCGGCTCATCTGATTTTCAGTTTCATTTTTCTCCTCTTTCTCTCCCTCATTGTCCCTCGCTACTGCCATTTGACAAGCTTGCTCGACCATTGTGCAGATTGTGGTCCATAACTTCTCTCCACTCATTGTATGACACGGACCATCCACATTTCTGCTTAGTGGCTCCTCTAGAGTGATAGGTTCGAATTTGCTAACTCCACAAACTCGTACAGATTCTGTTCCTATATCAATACCTATGTGAACCATGAAATAAATGTGTTGCGATAATGAATTATCTACAGTGCAGAAACCACCCTGCCGTCTAGATGTCCGATCGACTGTTCATCTAAATCTACCCGTAAATGTTGCGAAGATCGGACTCATTCGTAATTGTGATTTTGTGCTCACGTTTCCTATCTATTACTGTGACTAGACATCCAATTAGGAAATGCTGATAAGAATTGCTAGGTACCTACTTCGTATTGAACGCACTTATTTATTTCCTATCTGCACGCTAAGTCAATCTAAATAAAACAAATTATAGAAGTATACAATCATCCCAAGGTAACAGTGGTACCGGAAGTGTTAATCCAGTCCTGAACGGTGTCAGAAGACAACACAGAATCGAAGGACTCGTCAACAGTCATGATATGGATTTCAGAGTCAGTGAAGATGACAGCAGCCTTCATGGTACCGCTGGTTGGTCTAGTGAAGTAGTCGGAAGAACCGGAACCGCTGCCACCCTGCTTGTCGTGCAAGTGAGTGATACATTTTTCGGAGCCAGTAGAAAGAATTTCAAACAAATCCAACTCACCACATCCGGTGTTCCAACACGAGCATGAAGCATCACCGTACTGCAAGGTTCTTGGGATCTTGGCATTCAACATCCAAATAGCTGGCATATCACCGTTGAAACCGGTGGCAGAAGAAGATGGCATCAGGAACTCGAAGACAAAGAGCTTGCTGGTACCGTCCCAGCCGTGGTAAGCTGGAGTACCGTCTCTGTAGTAGCCGCAGTCACCAGTCTCAGAGTCAGCACCACATTTAAGACCAGACATGACAACAAACTCAGTGTTGGATGAAATGGTAGTCTCGCTCAAAATTTGAGGCGACGAAGAGCCACCAGTGTTGTCGGAGTTGGCATAGGAAAGAGAGTTACCAAAGGCAGAAGACCACACACCAGAGCCAGAACCACCGTAGTAGTTCAAGAATGTGACGTTCTCAGCAGTGCCTGGAGTGTAGTAGGATGCTCTGACCCAGTCACCGGCAGCTGCACTCGAGGAGGAGCCTCCAGAAGTTGAAGACAGCGAGGAGGAAGAGGGAGAGCCCGAAGCAACGGCGGAGTAAACACCAGAAGAAACGCCCGATGGGGCACTGCCAGCAGAAGGAGCGCTGTTAGCAAGAATTGGAGCGGTGGTTGGAGTGGTGGTGGCTGTGGAGGTGACAGTGTTACCAAACTGGTCAACGAATACCGTTTGCGTGACCAAAGCTGTAGCACGTTTGACGTGTTTGTGGTGAAGGTGTCTAGTAGTGCAATCTTCCTCCGCGTCTCTCTTGGCGTTGGAGCCGGACGAAGGGTAGTAAACACCAAACTGAACCAACTGCAATGGACCACGGAAATGGAGAGACAACTCTTCGTCAAAAGGAGCCAAAGGACCCAGGAAAGACTTAACGTTGGAAGAACAGGTGCCGGAGGACTCGTCCATGTTGGTCACATCCAGGTAGGAGCCGGAAAAGCCAACATTCTCATAGATAATTTTGGATACTTCGTTACAGTAGTAGTTACCACCAACGTAATCACAGCCGGAGGCAGAAGCAGAAGCAATGGCGGTCGCCAAAGCTAACAAGGAGGAGTATCTCATTGGAAAGGAGTGACTGGAGTTAAAAAAAATGTAAAGGAATGTAAAGGTTAACGAAAGCGAAGAAGCAAAAAAAACAGCCGAAATAAAACAGCGACACCAGAATTATAATATACGGGAAAAAACACTGGGCAGTGCAGGAGTAGGTAGACGGGCCAGCGTGGAATGAGCCAAGCGGGACGGCAGATAGTTCAAGCATGAGCCGCATGCGCGAAAACAAAAACACTCGTAACGCCTCCAACGACAGGAAATAGTTGCTAGACACCGGGAAGGAGTCTGGCGGTAAAAATATCGCGAATAGATCGGAGGAACGAAGGAGAGCTAAAAAAAGGAGACAACTGGAGGAGGGGGAGGTTGTAAATACTGCAAAACAGGTACGGACATGATAGTAAAGGAGAAGAGCAAGTTAATTAAACAGGAGAGAAGGGGTTGGACAAAGAAGAGGAAAGTATAAGAAAAAAAGTGAGGGCTTGGGTGTAAAAAAGTGCGACCTAATGACAAAATAAGGGAAATAATCTAAGATCATCTAAGATCAATGAAGGTTGCCGATGTCGATGATCGTGACGAGATCCAAATAATCAGATGAAATGCAACTTGTGGTACGATTAATTGAAACTTTTGCAAATGGATCCATCAAGATGCTTAGCAATTTCAATCATATAGCAATCGTGTCTGCGTGTTTGGGTTTTGGTGCCAGAGCCAGCACTGCGAGATTGCCATGACCAACGCAACCGGACTAATAGGGAAAAGACATTTGAATTACAAGAGGAAATTTACATTAAAAGAAAGAAATCGAATTGCACGAATTTGAATTGAAAAAAATTACAAGAAATGAATCCAAGAAACTTTGATACTGGATGACAATAGTATTGAAAAAAACGCTCAATCATAAATCTTAGATTCACAATAGGCGTATCCTTAATTTACAATCATTGACAAATCATTGATGACTACCCTTCTCGCCATTCATTGACATCCCCATAATATGCTGGTACTTCTAGTCATGGAGTTGTCTTCTACTAAGCCGAAATCTATATGGCTTTCCCGATCGGGCCAAGACAACAAGGTCCTACACGGAATCCAAGAGTGAGGAAATCAGCCAGATTGGGATACAGAGTCATCACATCAACAAATCACATCATCAAATCAAATTATCAACCTGAACATAAAAGGAGAAGAAGGCGGCAATCCGCATGTCGAACATTTGGCTGCCAAATAATGAAGCAAAGATCCAGATCCACCCATGAATTCCATCCTGAGACCGTCGCTACGGCAAACGAGAACTCGTGTAAGTACATGCCAGCATCCTGCGTGTCGGCATTTGGTGCTCCAGCCAGCCACTAGATGGCCCAATAGGGGACAAGCCTTGCGACTGTTTACGCACAGGTTAGGCGACTGCTGTACGGTCGTCCATATCGGGTTTAATGACAGGACTAGATACTGGACCCGAACTACCAGGATGGGATACAACCCAGATCTTCTCGGTTGAAGATTTAGGACTGTCTAAATAGAGATCCAGCTCTGTTTCGCGATCTTGGAACTGTTGTCAAACTATTGTCAAAAATTTGCCACACCGTTGTCAAACTGAGTCAAACCTTACTCAAACTGTCGTCAGACTGTTGTCAAATTGTCGTCTACCTGTGATTCTATCCTTTTGTGATCTACCTTGACTTCCGGATAGGCACAGCGTTGGCTGTAATTGAAGGACTTGAAACCCCTGCACTTTGAAACCGGTATATCCGGGAGGTAAGGGATTAGGAAGTAGTTGCAAGGCAACAATTTCTGCATCTCCGGATTTGCATGATCGCTAGTGGTTGATGACTACGCAATGGAGCCGAACCTTTCGATGCCCACCACGTTTCTTGAATGTTTCACTTCTTTCCACTATTGGGCTCTGTTTGCTATTTTCTGTCTACAAATCTTGACCTTTCTATCTCATTTCACTTCACAGTGGGTGTTTCGTTGACTGTTCTTTCCTTCTTTCTCTTTCTCACTGATTTCATGCAGTCTCAACGGTTTTCTCATCACACACTCCGATGACTTCAACTCGGCCTGCATTTCTCTTCCAAGAAGTCTATTTCTCTGGTTTGGCATGGTCTAGCCTCGTCTAGCCTCCTACATCGTATATGTGCGCTGCTTGACCAATACTGTTTCCGGGTGCAACTGCGTTGAGATCAAGTCTCTGCATCTGCAGCAACGAGATGAACCTTCGATGTCGTAACTCGTAATCATCGCATCCGTCCTGTCAGCTTCTGTTGCCTTCTCGGACTTCATAAATTTCTAGCTATTGGCTATAGAGCTGGTCCTACTCAAGTTTTTTTTTTTTCTTTTTTCTTCATCTACATACACCATCGTGGCCAACTATACTTTGCCGAGTTCCTCATCCACCACGCGTCAAGTTTTGGTTACCTCGAGTACCTTTTGCGCTGCTTGACTTGCTCATGACTAACTTGTACCCTTTTCTTCCCCATGCCTTACCTTATCAGCACGTCATGTTTATTCATTTCCTGACGTGGACCTCTTGAAGCCGCACTTGGTTCTATTTTAGTGCCTTGTAGGGTCGTGTGCTAGACAGATCGAGGCACCTGATCATTTCAAACAACGAAATCGAACACCACCTTTACGAGAAAGCAAAAGGATGTCGATTTACAATCCTTGTGGTTCTTGGAAAAAAGAAATTCATTGTTGATGAATTTCTCCCCTTTTTCTCCAAGTCTATGTCCTCCTTCTACGTCATGTTCCTGACCACCCTGCAGGACCTCATATAATTAGTGTCTCACCAACACTATCTATAATTATCGAGGAAAACATTCTTTTATCTCCTGATCTGCTTGACATAATTCCCCTCCGTCCAGAACATTCGTTCTAATTGTTTTATAACTTTTGTCAGCTCATTGGAACCAATCAAGTCGCTCTTCAGCATGTCCAAACGAACCTCATATTCTGCTCGTCTGCCTGAGATCAATCATGGATATTTCAACCCATACGAGGCTAGACTGTCACCCACACAGCCCCAGGTAAAAACCATCATCAATGACAATCCAACGGTACCAGACTATCCGATGCTCCCCAATGTGACCAAGCGCTCATCCTACAACATGAAACTTGTTGTTGTTGGTGATGGAGGCTGTGGTAAAACATGCATGTTAGTGAGTTATGCCCAGGGCAAATTCCCCGAGATATACGTACCTACCATCTTTGAAAACTATGTGGCGTGCTTCCAGACACCAAATGGTAAGACCATCGAATTGGCGCTCTGGGATACTGCGGGCCAGGAAGAATACGATCGTTTGCGTCCTTTATCGTACCCGGACGCCGATCTTATTGCCATTTGCTTTGCTGTCGACAACTTGGTCTCGTTGCAGAATATCAAAGACATGTGGTACCCCGAAGTGAACCACTTTTGTCCTGGTGTCCCTGTGCTATTGGTAGGAACCAAGGCTGATCTTCAACTGGAAATTGATCCAGACTTGCCCATCCAGTTAGCCACAGAGATCAATGCCATTGGCTATATTCAGTGCCTGGCGAAGACAATGTTCAACGTGAAAACTGTTTTCAACTTTGCCTTGAATCATTTCCAGAAGGGAAAGGAATTCGAAGAGCAAGTGGAGAAGCTGCGCAACCGGATGTCACGAGTGATGGGGCTGGGACACAAGCGAAACAGCAGCTCCAAGAGCTTCAAGAAGGGTCATTTTCCCAACAAGAGCTCCGTAGGTTCGAGTGTGCTTCTTGACACTCCTTTGGTGGAGGATGACTATCTGCCCAACCCATACCAGAACGGTTATCGTCCACAGGGACGTTACAACGATGAAGAGTTCGCATTTACTCGGAAGACGAAAAGCTCGAGAAGGTGTACCATATTATAAGAGAGCAAGTGGTGAAGAACACGAAGAGGTGAAAGGTGATGACAATAAGGGAGCAATTAGGGTGTGGAGAAGAATGAGAATAGGAGACAGTAGAGAAGGGCCGAGTCATCGGAAAAGCAACGAATGATACAAGTGATAACTGAGCATTGTTTGTGAATATTGAGAATCATAATTGACATTGAGAAATGAAAATAGTGGGTTGCGGAAATTCCGGAGGTGGCTCACATACGTAGGATGTTTACCAACCACACTCCAAATTCGAGACACCACAAACTATAGGCAAAGGAACCAAAACCAGATACAAACCCGATATTTCAACACCAAACATGAACCTAATTATTTTCTTAGAGCAAGAGAAGAAAAAATCTTCCAAGCATACTCCCCTATATTCCATGTCTCATAACAAATTCCATCCATATCCAGGCGCACTAATAAACCTAATCTCTACTACTCTTCCTCGTGACTTCATTGATCCCCCATATCGGCAGCCAGCACAATGTCTGGCCCATCTATTCCGCTAGATTCGCCAATCGCCTCCCTGTTGCAAGATGCCCAGCCTCTCTCCCCACAGACCAGTGAAGGTGTGTTGAAAGAAAACAAAAATGACGCCGGAAACTTACCCAGCAACCATTACAAAGAACGACTTTCTCTGTTCCGGTTCAAACTCAGGCAGATGTGCCTCCCCATTGTCCGAAAGGAAACAGACCTTTTGGCCCGCTTGCAAGCACGCGTCAGAACTCCCGGGCGTGACCTTTACTTTGCATGGACCGCCAACTTGGCGTCCCACACATTTTATGTGTTGATGTTACCATTACCGCTCTGGTTTGGCGCATCCACATTGGCTCGTGATCTCATCTTTGTGTTGGGAATGGGAATTTACGTGACCGGATTCTTGAAAGACTTTCTCTGTTTGCCTAGACCGCGGTCTCCACCTTTGCACAGAATAACCATGCTGTCATATACGGCCCACGAGTATGGTTGGCCATCATCACATTCCGCCAATGCCACTGCAGTGACATTGGTGTTGCTAGCCACCTTTTACGACCAGCGTAGCTCATTTTCGTACTTGCAATTCGTGACTCTCATTGGACTATTGGCACTCTATTACTTGTCATTAATTTTGGGGCGCTTGTACTGTGGAATGCACGGATTCTTTGACATTCTAACCGGGATGTCCATTGGCACGGGAGTGTTTCTCTTCCGCTACTTCTACGGGGTGGCCTATGACCAGTTCCTCTTTTACTCATCGAGAAACAGTTCGTGGTTGGGTATTTTTGCCACCTTTTTTGTGATCATAGCCGGCCATATGTACTTGATCCACATTTATCCCGAGCCCGTGGATGACTGCCCTTGTTTTGACGATTCTGTGGCTTTTGTGGGTGTTCTCATCGGAATCGATATTGCTCACTACGTGTGTGTGCTCTCCAACAAATTCACCTTCACCAACACGTTACATGATGCACTCAGAATTCCGTTCCTGGCCGATCTCAGTATTCTAGTGATGCTTGCTAGAGTGGTGATTGGCATCGTTCTCGTGGTGATCTGGAAATCCATCCTGAAGCCTGTGCTCTTCAGTATTTTGCCTCCGCTCTACAAATTGATCGGCGTCAACTTGCCACGTGTGAACTACATCTCTACGGCACACTCAAAGACCGCCTCTCATCAGATCAGACGTCAGTCGCTCTCTAACATGAAGAACGAGCCCATGATCCCGATTGAGGATATCTTGAAGTCTGCAAGACAAGAAGTTGACGTAGTGGGCCCAGAGGATGATATTGACGCATACGAACTACTTGATTATCAGCTGAAACATCCTGAAGATAAGTCCGTCTCGGTGAAAATCAGTGGAGTATTCCGCCCTCGATACGATGTGGAGATTGTGGGAAGGACAATTGTCTACGCAGGGATCTCCATCACGTCAGTGTGGGGCTTTGCTTTTGCCACGCAAGCGATGGGGTTGACATAATATTTGAATAATTGATATATCATAAGGACACAAAGAGGAAAAAAGTGCAATGTCCGCCTCGTTATCGTTTTCGAGCCAATAGATAAAGCCCAAGAACACCTTACGTAACTACGCAGGCCTATCGCGATGAGGTCTCAATGTAAAAAAACTACGAGGTACATCACATCTAAATAGCATGACGCCTGCAGCAGACACGTGCAAGAGACAGCTAGTTGACACCACTGGCGATGAAGTTCCCAAGGTGGAAAATGTGAAGAAAGTGAAGCAGCCTAAAAAGTACAAAAGAAAGTATAAAGCTAAAGATGTGGACCCCACAGCTCCCATGGGCGTCTTACAATATGAAATCAAGCAGATTCTTGAAGAAAACAGCCTTTCCGAGGAACTGATTGCAAACGACATGAAGGAGTTGCTCAACGACAAAGAGGTGGAGCAAATCTATCACCGTACAGTGGAGAACGTCAAGGTGTTGAAACTCTCTTCAAATGGTGATGGACTTGGTTTGATTCCACATCCAGTGAATCCAGACGGTAAGCAGGTTGTTATCATTCCATTTGGTTTGCCAGGAGATGTAGTGGATATTCGTGTTTTCAAATCTCATCCTCTCTATGTTGAGTCAGACTTGCTCACAGTGAAGGAAGCTTCCAAGGACAGAGACGACTCACTCATCAACTGTCGATACTTTGGAAAGTGTTCGGGATGCCAATACCAGAACGTCGACTACGATACACAGCTCGAATTCAAGCGTCAGACCATCATCAACGCATACAAGCATTTTGCACCCAAATTGACTTCTGGAAGCTTGCCAGAGGTTGACAAGACACAATCGTCGCCATTGCATTATAGCTACAGAACGAAACTCACGCCCCATTTCAATGTGCCTAATAGGATTCCTCAGGATTACACGCGGCCTTCGCTAGGTTTTGGATCTAAAGGCAGACCCACCTGGAGACAGACAGATGGAGGTGACTACCTGATTTTGGATATCGAGGAGTGTGCTATCGGAACTCCCATTGTGATCCAAGGAATGAAGAATGAGCGTTCGAGATTCGAAAAGGAATTCACCAAGTATAAGAGAGGTGCTACCATTCTTTTACGTGAAAACACCATATTGCCAGAGGAGGATGGAGAGTTTGAGGTTACTGGCGGGTCCACGGATCCTGAGGGACAAATATCAAGGATCGAAGTGGAGGCAAACGACACCAAGCTCTTGAAGACTTGTGTTACAGAGTCACGTACAGTTGTGACGGAATTCGTAAACGGCTACACATTCGAGTTCAGTGCTGGTGAATTTTTCCAGAATAACAACCTGATCTTGCCTATTGTCACAGAGTACGTCAAGAACAACTTACAAATTCCTGGATCCGGAGAGAATGACGAGAACTTCCTCGTGGACGCATACTGCGGTTCTGGACTCTTCTCCATCACCTGTCTGAGTGGAGTCTCTCGAGTTATCGGTGTGGAGGTTAGCGCAGATAGTGTGAAGTTTGCAGAGAGAAATGCTAAAACCAACAAGATCCAGAATGCAAAGTTCATTGTGGGAAAAGCTGAGGAAATCTTTAAGAACATCGACACACCAGCTAGCCGCACGTCCGTCATTTTGGATCCTCCAAGAAAGGGCTGTGACGATGTATTCTTGAACCAACTTAGTGAGTATCACCCTGCAAAGATCGTTTACATCAGTTGTAATGTGCATTCACAGGCCAGAGATGTTGAATGGTTTATTCACAACACCAAGTTTGGTGGGGATTACAAGGTGGAGAGCGTACGTGGGTTTGATTTCTTTCCACAGACACATCATGTGGAATCGGTTGCGGTGTTGAGTTTGAAGTGAGGTGGTTTGAACGGTTAGATTAGCTTCATCATCCCAAGCATCTGTTAAGGACAGTAATACACGGAATGCATTATCATTTAATTAAATTCAAGTTGCACAGAATACTTGTTAGAACGAGCCAATAAAAACTGAGGTTAATGTGTCTGAGATGTGGATCTGTGATACTGTCAGTGCAATTAAGGTATTGTACACTAAAAGATTGTTATTTCGAAGAAGGGTTGGTGATTGATGATGCTTCTAATACACAGAAAAGCGAGAAGAGCAGTTAGACACGATGATATCGCTGCAGTGGTCATTAATTTAGAAAATGCTTTTTTATTTAAAGTTTCAGTAACATAGAAAGTACTAGCTGCGCTACAAAGTTCGGTGTGTGGCGAGTACTGTTATTGTGAGAAAAGGAACCACCGTTGACAGCAACGGAGATGGCAAATCTACTGTCCAGAGTGTCGAAAACAATTTCCCATTGAAAAAACTCATCAATCTTATTTTTTTTTTTAAGGAATAGATGAACTTTTAGAAACACAACAACCCTTTAACCTCCCATATATTACAATCTGTACCTGTTCGCAGCCACTCACATATAGGGCTTGTGCCCTAACTCTCAATCTTGTCCTACATACACTCCGCGACCCTCGTCGCACTAGTGGAAAAAAATTTAATTCAAAGAAATCTTTTCTTAACATCTCAGACAACATACAAAATGGAGAACGATAAGGGTCAATTAGTATGTACAGCCGACCTTTCACGAATATCAGCCTACTTCCAGACATGAAGAAATCGATAAATACCTACGTGGATCCACTTTTCCGTCACGTTTCATGAAAACTTCCATTTACCAATATTCCCATCATTTCATCACCTTGAGAGTCCTCCAAAATATCCTAAGATTTCCATCCATATTCATGTGGCAGAGCCTTAAAACATTTGAATCATTACTAACACTCAGGTCGAATTGTACGTGCCAAGAAAGTGTTCTGCTTCTAACAGAATCATCAAGGCCAAGGACCACGCTTCTGTCCAGATCAACATCGCTAACGTCGATGAGGAGGGTAGAGCTATTGCTGGTAGCAACACCACTTACGCTTTGTCCGGTTACATCAGAGCTAGAGGTGAGGCTGACGACTCCTTGAACAGATTGGCTCAGCAGGATGGTTTGTTGAAGAACGTCTGGTCTTACTCCCGTTAAGGATATGTATATCTATAATGTCATATAATCGCTGTGGAGGAAGTAGGTGTAGATTTGAGTAAAGTATTGGAGTTTCGGAAAGTTGAATGACTATCTGAAAGTCAAATACGGAGTGCAAGATGCTGGATGGAATCACAAAGACGGTAAACTTATCTCTCGGACTACTGCGAAAGGAACTGTTCGATGATGTTTGGACGAACGGCTTGGTCGAAATTTTGGTTAACGGAGAATAATGACGAAAGTCGTCTCGTGCTTGATTCTGGAACACTTTGTTTACAAGTTGTGGAGTGTTAGTACCCCGTACAACCTAGGAGGATGTAAGAAGTAAATACACACGTGAGAAGGACTGAGTCAGTTGTAGATTGCTCTTTTATCGAGGGTTCGCAATTTAGTTCTTCAGTTCCGTGATACATGGTGTTGTCAACCAGAAACTGCCTTATTGCCTCTGTAGAGTCAGCAAAACTTATTGGAGACTTTCAGAAAGAAAAATTCAAGTCTAAGGTAGATTCCCACCCTCAAAAAGGCAAAAAAGAAGGTCCTACTGGGGTTCGAACCCAGGTTACCAGAATCAGAATCTGAGGTGATACCACTACACTATAAGACCTTTTACGAGGGCTTAACGTCCTCTAAAAGTATCAGTCGCAACATGGAGAATAGTACTTGGACAAAATCATGGACGTTTTGCTGAATAACAATACAATTTTGGCTAAAAGAGTCTTAGTAGCTCACTCAATAGTTATTCACTCAATTCTATGGCATTTCTTGGGCCAAGTTCCAATAGTTTAGAAATCATATTCTCTCCACAGACGACGATAAACCTGATGGCAAGCTTTAGATTGTAAAGAAGACAGCATTGATGTATAGCGATTGAACAGAAAGATCCTCGAGACTTTCGAGAATTCTAAGAATTCAGTGTAGATGCTATTATCCTGCTTTCAAAAATGTATGTGTTCTGCCAAACTTTTATGCTGCTACAAGAACAAGACGTGTGTTATCACCAGGTTAGTCAATTCTAAAAAATTCACCACAATTCATCCAATTCCCTCACCACGAAACATTGATATGAGTTATGGCTTTCAATTTGGTCAAAGGCTAATTAGTAGCACTGGCACTCATCCACTTATTCTTCTCATCACAAACTGTTCTAATAACTTTTAAATCCCACCTCAATTTCAAAAATAGTATTGAGACAATATTTGATGGAAAAGAGAAGCAAAAAATTGTGGATGATGCGAGATGGATAAATGCAACGACTCCTGATTGTCTCAACCTGGAGCCCCATCGAAGCTCCCTTTGAAGTCTCGTAAATTTCGCAACATTTGATGATCCGTGGACAAAAGAACTTCAATTTTTCAATAAAAAAATATGTACGATAATGCTCCAAATTTCTAGAAAGCTCTAAAATAATCATGATTTCATTATTTTGGCTCTCAGTGTAAATAATGTATAAATCTCCTCAAAATACATTGGTTGGAGCTTCCTAGTTAACAATAAACCAAATCCTATAACGAAGATCCATTTCAGATTATGTGCAGGATACGAATATAAAGAACATGTCATTGCCTCTTGTCGATTTCACTCGTCACTATTCTCACAATGATTTTCGCTGATCAAGTTAAATTTGTTCTAATGATGTTTCTTTTGACTTCCACACCCTACTTGTTAATTTTGCGTTTATCATCTCCTTATAAGTGGATTGTTGCTTCTATTTATGGAGTATTGCATGCCTTCTTTATGCTGGCTGGACTCGTTAGACTCAGTGAAGGTTTTGCGTGAGAAACCATTGTTACTTAATGCTTGATCAAGTTGACGGCTTGCTTAGTGTTGTCTTTTGAACTTCGATTTATTGCGTTACGCCATATTATGCTATTTCATATCACACTATGTAATGCCATATTATGGCTTGGCTACTACATGCCCAGTAATGCTCATCAAAGACTAGCGAATAATCGATTTTATGGCCACTTGATAATTTCACTTGGCCCAATTATTAAATTCGAGACCTCAAATCGAGGAAAGTACGACCTGGGGAACCAAATCTTAACAGAGCAAATCTTCATAAACAGCATCTATATGAACACCTTTCAGAAAACTGGTTCATTGTTTTCAATGTTTCAATTCGTAGCTTCAGTAACCATCCTCAGTGACTACAACTCTTTAGTTGTGTTGTTTTTCAGTAATGAAGTACTCAAGAAATGCTAATTTCCTCCTTTCTAAAGTCACCATCTCCTCAGATACATGTCATGTCTAACCTGGGCTTTGATGTACATGAGCACTGAGAATGTGGTTATTCAGCGAAGTTTAGATATAAACAGGATTTCTCAAGTAAAATTATTACCGACAATCAACATTACTCTATTTCATCAACAAGAGAAGTAACCGAGCTTTCTTTGTGGGTTTTTGTTGGAGTTGTTCAGAATAACAAAAACCACCAAACCCCACCATTCTCCAGAATAAATGTACAATAAATCAAAATTCGGAAAATCACATAATCAACATTAAAAATCATACACTTCTCAATCATATGAATCATTTAATCCGAAGCACTACAGCTAATTCGTCACCATACATTTGCATCCGTCCGAATCATTACCTTCTCAGGTTCCAAACAGTGCACTGTACATGAAGAAAGCCCAACATTGGGGAAAAAATATGATATCAATCATCACTCAGCACAGGGTAGTAACATAGGAATAACCTAAAAACCTGAATATTCAATTTTTAATAAGTTTTTTTGACCTACGCATCAATATTACATTCTTAATCAATTCATCCATAGACTCTTTTTCCTTTTTCCTCATCCCCACCACTCATGTCCCCACCATTCATCCATCTGCACAATCACTTCTGCATCGTCTCCAGGGCCACATTCTTCTCTGCGCATACTTAATCCATCATCACCAGACCCTCCCAAATCCCAGATGGATCCAATCCCACTGCTAATCCCAAATCCACTCAAAAATTTGCCTATATTTCCAACAGCCCAAACGTCACCATCTTCATCATCTCGGCTCGGTCTCTCCCGGTGCCAGTGGCTCCTGCCTGCTCTCGTCCCGGTCAGCCCAGCTTGCCCTCGACTATATTTCGGTGCGGCGCCTGATTGTGCCGGCCAGGGCCACATTGGGTCTACTTCACACTTGAGAGTCGGAAATTATTACCCCTGTTATCGGAAAATCGACCCGGCGCCAACTTATAATCGAAAGTGTCATAAGTTTTGCCGGGAACTAAAGTTAATTTCTTATTGTCTCATTTCTCAATTCATTGCTGTGGGCAACATGGTTTCCATCCAATTCCCCCAAATTAGTTCGATGCGCAATACTCGCAATTAACGCCCCGAAGGCTCAAACCAGTCCCAATTGGGCACCCATAAATATTGTTCCAATATGCTGCCCTGCGCACACCACCATATTTTTAGGGCCTCCCACCCACAATCGTTTCCAATTTTGACATTAATCGACCCGGACCGACCACTTACCAAAACCTCGAATTAGGAATCGAAAAGTTCTCCTTCTGCTGTTTGCGTTTGTCATCGTGGTGCCTTATCCCTTTATCATTCCCAACCCTTTCTGCATTTCTGCCCCTCCACTTTCCCCACACTACTGTGCCAATTGCTCGCTACCAATTCGTACCGAGTTATCTACAACTACCTACTCCCCCAACCATCTCCCATCGAACTCCCTTCCCACAGCCATGAACGCTGTTGCAACTTTGCTCTACAACCCAGCTTACTTGCCTGGTGCCATTGTGTTGGGTTATTCGTTGCGGAAAATCGTCGACTCAAACACACGTTTGGTGGTGTTGGTAGACCTGTCATGTTTCACTCACCTCCAGCTCACACTCTTACGCCAGTTATGGGACGAATTGGTCGACGTCAACATGTTGGAGTCGCTGTTAACTTCCAAGTTGGTGCGGGACTTGAAGCGCCCTGAGTTGGCCAAAACCTTCCTGAAGGTCCATTTATGGTCTTTACCATACGAAAAGGTGTTGTATTTGGATGCTGATACACTTCCCCTCGTTGGAGATGGTGCAGTCACCGACTTGCTCAAGTTAGACTTCCCTAGAGGTAAAATAGTTGCTGCTCCCGACTCGGGATTCCCCGATATCTTCAACTCCGGAGTGTTTGCCTTGCGCCCCGACCAGAACGACTACCAAAACTTGGTTTCGCTCATTGGCAGCAAGAATGATATCTCTTTTGATGGTGCAGACCAAGGCTTGCTCAACCAGTACTTTAACAGCGATCCGGACTGGGTATCGCAGCTTCTTTCGTCCAAGTGGTCTAATGTGGACCTGGTGTCTGCTGTGCGGACATCCAATTGGATCCCCGTTCCCTTCTTGTACAACACCACTCCTACGGCGCAATACCAGTATTTGCCTGCGTTCAATTATTTTAGACCTGGAGGTCCGGGCCCCAGTAGTGCTCAAGACAACGGAGTGACTGGTTCCTCAAGAGACACAGGCGAATCTGGTCCAGAATCTGGTCCAGAATCTGACACCGTAGACGAGTCAATTCCGGCATTGCAAACATTGGACAACTACTTCGGCGCCGCCTCCGCTTACTTCTCCAGTGGAAACACTCGTTCGCTGGTTAAACTCTTACATTTCATTGGTCCACTTAAGCCTTGGAAGGGTACTAATGCAGGGCTTTTCAAGAAGTGGTGGGACGTCTGGTTTGAGTATTCCCAGGGTAAACTGATTGCCGACGTCTTATACCAGAACTTCTACAGGATTTCTGTCACTCAATTGCGTGCGCCAGGTGATGCTGCTTCTGAGGCGGAGGAGTCATTGGTAACGACAATCCTGGACTTGGAACCTGCTCCAGTTACTCCAAAAGACTTTACTCCTGCTGACTTGTGTGACCCCTTCAACTACCAGCTGTTCTCATCTCAGCCACAGGAGTCTGCTGTGGCCTGGGATGCTACAGTTGAGGAACCTCCAGCCACTCAACCTCAAGACTCCGGCTTCAATGATGATTTAAAAGCATTCAGTAGCCTGTGGGATACAAATGATGAAGTTTACAATTGTCCAGGAGAGATAGAATATGAAGTAAAGGAAGAAGTTGCTGAGGAAGTATTCGTTGATGAAGTTGAGCAAGAAGACGACGAGGAGTACTTGGAATTGATTGATGACATTCCAGATAGCACTAACGAAACTGATGATGCCGAGCTTGAGTATGGAGTTCACCCTGATCAGAAACCAGAGAGAGTCTTCTCAGAATCCTCAGACTATATGCCTCAGCATTATCTCTTAATGAGACTGGAGGTCGCCCAACTGGCAGATTCCGAAGAAGCAGAATCGGAGGAAACTAATGTGGCGGAACAGTTTGAAGAGCTCAGTGTTGCCGACGTCAATGACGACATCATTTTGGAGGAGACTGGCTACGAGGAAGAGGATGAGGCCGACGAGCCCTACGCCGATACTGGAGTGCCGAAGTTGTTTCCATGGGAATTCCGCGACGACAACTATCAGCCAGAGCGGGAGTTTTAATGAGCCGTGGACTCGACTTCTACCTTCTTGTTTTATTGACAATAATCTGCATAGATTGCATTTACAACTCTTAGAGATTATCAAATGGGAGGTAGATTGGGGCGATGAATCATCTGGCTTTGGTGATAACTATTTGGAATCGAGAGTATAACACTAGACGTTAACCATTATGATCATTTCAAGGAATAATCGTCGAAGCATTGATAAATACTGAAGGGATCACTCAAATTGTCTTGCTTAACTCTAAAAAGGTAACGATACAGAAAAGAAACAGTATTACTGATCACGTAGTCAATTATCTCAAACACACTAAAAAAAAGGAAAAATAAAACGAGTAGCGAAGAGATTTAATTCTTAGATAAAAAAAAATCAATCTCCTCCAGATTTTTACAACAATTGTCTTCCACCGTAGCAACATTCAAGATAGTCTTACTGTTTCGCAGTCGCGTTTGATATAGTAGGGACGGGGGATCTACTAATGAATGTCACGTGATACAGCCACACCAACACCTCCAAAAGCATGACCTACTGTCACATTTTCGCCTCTCCAGGACCCCAGCTACATCTACGGCACTTAACAGCTAAATCATGTAGCATTCCCCAACGCCACCCTCCATTCCCTGACCTTATTTAAGGGGTTACCCGACCATGAAAAATTTTAATAGATTCCACGCAGGAGCTTCGCAGTACCTAAGGAAGAGCCAAAAAAAAAATTGTCTTCCACCATTTTTCCCAGTAAAACCAATCCATTATGTCCAACGGGATCCAGGAAGTCGACGCCAACTTGATTGAATCGAACTACGACAATGTCGTCTACTCGTTCGATGACTTGAACTTGAAGCCAGAAATCGTTAGAGGTATCTTCGGTTACGGTTACGAATCCCCTTCTGCTATTCAGCAGAGAGCCATCTTGCCAATTACTGAGGGTAGAGATGTGTTGGCTCAGGCCCAGTCCGGTACCGGTAAGACCGCTACCTTCACCATCTCTGCTTTGCAGAACATCAACGTCAACGAGAAGGCCACCCAGGCTTTGATCTTGGCTCCAACCAGAGAGTTGGCTTTGCAGATCCAGAACGTCATCTCCCACATCGGTTTGTACTTGAACGTCACCGTCCACGCCTCTATTGGTGGTACCTCTTTGTCTGACGATATCGAGGCCTTCAGATCTGGTGTCCAGATTGTTGTTGGTACCCCAGGTAGAGTTTTCGACATGATCGACAGAAGATACTTCAAGACCCACAAGATCAAGATGTTCATCTTGGATGAGGCCGATGAGATGTTGTCTTCCGGTTTCAAGGAGCAGATCTACAACATCTTCAAGTTGTTGCCAGAGACCACCCAGGTCGTCCTTTTGTCTGCCACTATGCCTCAGGATGTCTTGGAGGTCACCACCAAGTTCATGAACAACCCAGTCCGTATCTTGGTTAAGAAGGATGAGTTGACCTTGGAGGGTATTAAGCAGTACTACATCAACGTCGAGGAGGAGGCCTTCAAGTTCGACTGTTTGTGCGACTTGTACGATTCCATCTCTGTCACCCAGGCTGTCATCTTCTGTAACACCAGATCCAAGGTCGAGACCTTGACCGCCAAGTTGAAGGCTAACAACTTCACTGTGTCTGCTATCCACGCCGACTTGCCACAGTCCGAGAGAGACACCATCATGAACGAGTTCAGATCTGGTTCTTCTAGAATCTTGATCTCCACTGACTTGTTGGCCAGAGGTATCGATGTCCAGCAGGTTTCCTTGGTCATCAACTACGACTTGCCAGCCAACAAGGAGAACTACATCCACAGAATCGGTAGAGGTGGTCGTTTCGGTAGGAAGGGTGTTGCTATCAACTTTGTCACCAGCCAGGATGTTGGTATGATGAGAGAGATTGAGAAGTTCTACTCCACCCAGATCGATGAGATGCCAGCTGACATCGGTTCTTTGTTCAGTTAAGCATATCCCTGCACTTCGTTTCTTTGTTTATTAGCTGAAGTAAACTTTCCAGATACTTCATTTTTACCTAATGTACAAACCGTTTGATAGAGAGTAGACGATGTCTATAGTAAGTTTAGGATCTACCGTAGAAAGAGATTCTCAACCCTTCCGTAGTAATCCACTGGCAAATGAAATCTAGAAACTGGGAGAAAACGACGAGCGAACAGAAGATGGTGCCAGCAAGGCATTCTATTGTTCTAATAATCAGGGTTTAATATCTAATGTAAATTATTAACTACAATAGCTCATGCAATCACATAATATTAATGATTCTTATTAATGAATTAAATAATGTACAGTGTTATCACTGGTAGTCTGGAATGTCCAAATGGAAGAATGGAGTGTTGGTGGAAATGGCGGCGAAGTAGGCATCATTGTTCTCTAAAGAGCCATCTTCGGCAGTGGCAATGTTCACATATGTTCTATCGCTCACCAAGTCCTTCTCACCATAAGTACCAAAGCCTGCTCTGATCAATGCTCTTCTAATCCATCCGGAGTGAATACCACTGAAGTGGAACTCCACCTCACGGTCGGCAAAAAGGTTTAAAGCTCTACGAACATCCACCAAAGCCTGGATAGCAGTGGCATCAACAGATGGCGCACAAGAGAAGTCAATGTGAACGATCTTCAACAAAGGTCTGTTGTCAACTTGGTGGGTTTCTTCGTTGCTTCCAAACTTGTTCTTCAAGAATGGCAATCTCCACTTCAAAGGTCCTGGGTCATTCCATGGTCTGCTACCCGAAGTGGAAGTGTCATATGGCTTTCCACGTCTGGTGAGTCTCTTGGCCTCATCACTAATACGGTCAACTTGGTCAGAGGCGTTAGGGTATACAAATGCTTCCAATGGTCTGAAGACAATGACACCTGGAGGAGGAGGAGTAACCGGAACATCTTCATTGAAGTTAGAGCTGTCAAGAGGAACCCATCTGGTGTGGAACTTAATGTTAGGGTTCTCATCGGCGAGCTGAGTAGCGGTAGGAACACTCTTCTCGAAAGCCTTGGCCTTCAACTTGCTAGAGTCGGCGCCATTGTAGGTGTCACGAGTCAAGACCTGCTGGATCTCCACATCGTTGTCGGAGGAGTCAAAGGAAGACTCATCGACAAACTTGATAGATGGGTTGACAACCTCACCAACGCGCACTCTACCCAAGAATTGGCCAGTAGGCTTAGCAACTCTGAACAAGAGAACAGCGGCGGAAGAAGCAATGGCGAAGTAGATACCGTTTTCAATGGAAGAGAAAACAGTAATAATAACAGCAATAATGAAGATTCCAAAGTCCAATGGGTTGACCTGGTACATGTTCCAAGAGACTCTCCATGGAGTAATCAAGTCGGACACAGCGTGGATGATGATAGCACTCAAAGTAGCCTTTGGAATGTAGAAGAAAGTATCAGTCAAGGCGTACAAGGCCAACAACACAACACCACCAGTGAAAATACCAGCCAATGGGGTTCTGACACCACACTTGGCCTTCAAGGCAGATCTAGAGAAAGAACCAGTAGCAGGGTAGGCGTTGAAAAAGGTACCAATCAAGTTGTTAACACCAATAGCAATCAACTCCTGGTCTGGAACAATTTTGTAATCGTTAATTCTTCCAAAAGACTTGGAGATGGCAATGTGCTCCAACAACAAAATGATGGTGGAGACAGGGATTTCCGAAGCCATCGAGGAGAGAATGCCATCAGGAATATTCATGACACCAACGTGCTTCAATCCAGAAGGAACGACACCAATAGTCTGAATCTTATACTTAAACTTCTTCTTTGGAACCTTCGAGTTCTTCACGTGAGGATACACAACACCCCAAGAGATTGCCGTGGCGACAATGATGACGATGGCGTTTCTCAAGGTCTGTAAGTAGAAGAACCACATCTTCTTCTTTGGGTATCTCTTACCCAAGAAGTCGCAAGAGAACTTCCAGGTGTAGAGAATAAACAAAGGCACAATACCAAAGGCTGCGTTGATATTGCCGTGCTTCAAGTTCTTCAAAGTATGAACAACGGTGTAAAAAGAGGATTTCTTGGTGTTGACCAACGAGTTGTAACCCAACAAACCTGGAACTTGACCGGTAATAATGTTGAAGGCAGAACCCGACATGAAACCCATGACAGCAGGCATGGAAATGAACTCCAAGATGAAACCGATTCTCAACAAACCAATAGCAGCAGAAATACCACCACAAATCAAAGACAAAAATGTGGCGATCTCGGGGCCACTATACTTATCTCCATACTTATCCTGGACTCTAGCCACAACCTTACCAACTTGCAAGGACATGACAGCAACAGGACCAATAGAGACATCTTTAGAAGTAGCAAAGAAAGAGTAGATGAACACACCGACGAAAGACGAGTACAAACCAAATTCGGGAGATAAACCGGCCAACTGGGCGTATGACATGGACTGGGGCACTAAAACGACACCGACAGTGATACCTGCAACCAAGTCACCGTACAACCATCTTCCATTGTAATGTAAAATCCACTTGGCAATAGGAAACAAGGAAACAAAGTAGTGACCTAATTTGTCGAGAGGATGAGACACCAAGTCCTTACCCCAGTCGAGCACGTTGGGCTCTTCCTGCAAGTATTCAGGCACAACAACATGTCTATGGACTGGATCATCAGTAGGTTGATGCTCTCTCTGGAACTCGTGAGAATACACTCTCTCAGCACGATGAGGGTCATATTCCTGGGGTTCAGGAACAAAAGAAACAGCCGAATGGGCAGAGTTTCTTCTCAGTTGAGCCATTATCTAGACTTAATTAATTAAAAAGTTGATGTTGATGGTGGAATGAGAAAACCTTTTATACTTTTAACTGTCGCAAATTTTGCCGATCCTTAAAGTAGAGAAGTCCTGCTGATACGGCTGATAGCTGCCTTAACCTGCTCACAGACGATTCAATAGAAGTTACCCGTGGTAAAGTGCAGAAAAAAAGTGGTTGTGGCTCCCAAAAGTCGTCCTTATTAGATTGAATTGCAAATTACAAAGCACATCCACAGTTTTTTTAACAGATTGTCACGTGCACAACAAAGCCTGTCAACTCTCAAGGACGCCACCACCTGTCAAAAGTGGCATATTGTGGCTCTCTATGACGGCCATGCATAGAAAACATGAAGGAAGAAGTATCTTTCTTTTTGCTGTGTTTGTTAACGTGTAACTGGCACCTACTGTTTAATCTCAATGATTAGGTCCTGAATGAGACAAGACAAGATCGAATTGCTGCGAAAAATGGGCTAAAGTCACGTGGTGTGTTGCAATCTTGCCTCTAACCAATGATTCCATGCAGACCTTGACATTTTCATTATTCCTTTTTATCTGCACGTCCTGGATGATGTCCAGTCTCCGAAGCTTCGCACCCTTCAAAGAGTTTGATGATCAATAGAATGTGTCCATCAAACGGCCAGTGATGATCACTAACTGACATAACATTGTTTGGTCTTTAGGCATAGTTTAACTTATCGAATCTACTCAGATTACCATATTTTCCATCGATTTACCTCCCCTTCATTCTGCGGGGCATATGCATCATCTTTCTTTTTTTACTCCATATTTCAAAGGCCCCTGCACTTTTAGATCAACTTATTTCCCCAGGCTCTAACACTTCTACCGCCCCAAACGCTTTTGGGTCACCTAACCCTAATTTACGACGCCCTACCCGCACGAGCGGAATCTTAATTTCAGGTAAGATTACGTATTTCGCCTTGTAATTTGTGTATTGTTTCTGTATCTGGTCGCTTGGACCACTGTAAACCTCGCCTGAAGTGGGCTTCTATGCGCCCTACTGCTTCTCGAGCTCGTCCACCAATTCTCTGTATTCTTGTTGCTTATAGCATTGCTCAAGGAAAATCTTGTACTTCACTGCCAATAATTTCCGGTCAGGATCATTGTCTCCACGAGGCAAAATGGCCTTACCTGGTCCCGTGAACTTCTCCATGGTCTGCCATAACTTATCTCCGGCGTGCTTGCTCTTGTTCTTCTTCTTGATACTGCCAGAGATACTGGTTAATGGCTTGAGATTCAACTTGTGCATCTTGTGCGACAAGTCCTTCTGGACATTCTGCGAAGTGTTCAGCTTGGAGCCGAACGACAACGTCTGATCGTCCTCGCTGTCACTGTCTGTCTCGGACTTAATGGACTTCTTTCTGCTGAGAGGTTGCTGGTTGAAGTAGTCTTGTCCCTCTTCTCCCACTGGTGTCATAGCTGAGGGGTGGTGAGGTCCAGCGTATCCAAATGCAATGTTGGAGCTAGAGGCTGTAGCAGAAGGCGCAGTGTAAGGAGAATGAGGAGGAGAAACACTCTTGGCGTGGGACATGGAGTTCAAGTCTGTCTGGGACTTCAAAATCGATGCTCTTCTTGAACGTCCCTTGGTGTTGATGTGCTCGTCCACAAGGTCCAGAGCAGCAACTGCTCCTAACAAGGCACTTCCAAACACAACAGCTGCGTCAATGTAACGTGGAATGATCACTGGTAATCCAGTACAGTCAGCAAGCAAGCGCATCAACAATCCATTACGGCACTGGCCACCACTCATGTACACACATTTAATTTTGTGACCACCTTTCTCCATGTGTTCGATGATTTGTCTGGTTTGCTGAGCAATAAACTCACAAGCACCGAAGTACTGCAAGGCCAAGTCCTTCACAGATGAATCCATAGATTGTCCGATGATAGAGGCCCTCATTCTAGGGTCAGCAATTGGCGATCTGTTACCGTGGAAGTCTCCATAGAAGAAAATGTGTTTGGCTAAAGCAACCACCGATCTGCTTTCTGTCTCGGTGACCATGTTTTCCAACACCAAGTTCAAGTAGTCAAACTTAGACAAGTTGGAAGCCTCTGACAACTGCACCAACTCTCCATGTGCTGGATGAATGGACAAGACGTGCGCCAAAAGTGCACCCGTACAAGACTGGCCACCTTCAGCCAACCAATAGCCTGGTCCCAAAACATCCTTGTATGGACCCCAAACTCCTTTGACGAAGCATGGGTCCTCGGTCATGGCAATGTGACAGGTAGAGGTTCCTGCTACGGCTGCTAAACGTCCACAAGCAGCTTGCACTGAGCCCTTGGATTCTTCAGACAACTCTGGATATGAAGGAAGGTCCACTTTACCGGCGACAGTACCAATCCAACCAGCGTAAGCGTCAATGACACCACTTCCAACCACACACTCAGTGGTCAAACCCAAGTCGTCAGCAGACTTCTGGGTGAGTTTTCCAACGTGGTCTCCAGCACTCAAAAACGTTCCGTTCTTGCCGGGAACTCCTCCCAACTTCTGAAAGTCGTTGGCCACCAACTCTGGCAATCCTACTTGCTCTAACAATTCCTTGGACCAACCAGTAGTCGAGCCATCCACGCCAATGGGCACAAAGCCCTGTTTACACACGGTAGAACAAAAGGATCTGGCTTCTGAGCCAGTAGCCTTGTGGGTCAAGTAGTCAGCCAAATCGTAGAACTTCAAGTCATCTAAACCTCCTGGTCTGTTGTGTTTCAACCATTTGATCTTGGGCAATTCCATTTCAATGGACATCTGGCCACCCACGTACTTTAAAGCCTTATCACCCGTGGCATTGATCTCATTAGTCTCGTCAACAGCACGGTGGTCCATCCACAAGATGATGTTCTCCTTCAGATCCAAGAAATCGGGACCAACTCCAACTGGCTGGTCCGTGGACTCCGAAATGGCCACCAACGAACATGTAGCATCAAAGCCAATTCCAAACACATCGGATGGATCCACTCCAGAGTCTCTCAAACACGACTTCACACAGAAACAAATAGCGTTCCAAATCTCAGTAGAGTTCTGAGTGATGAAGTTGGGACGCAACTGGTGGCGCGTAATGGGTCTTTCGGCAAGACCCAAGATAACACCGTTGGTGTCGATAACACAGGCTCTGGCAGAACCGGTACCAACATCTACACCGACAAAGTAGACATCTGGCTGAGGAGGGTGGGCCAACTGGTATGAGTTGAAGAAAGATGACTTTCTGGAGCCCAAGCTAGTATGAGATTTGTTGAGAACCATTGTTTTCAAGGTAGTGGGGGTATTTTCCATGTGGGGACGCTTGCTATTTATATGATATGGAGTCTATTGCGGTACATTGTGCAGGAGATAGACGATATAGTAAGGGGGTTGGGAACTTATAAAAATGAAGGTGGGAAAGCGACAGGAAAGGGGAAATGAGAAATATGGCCAATTGGAGCGCTCCAAAGCCTCAAGTTGAGTGTTTTAACATTTAGAACTGCTCTATGTTCATGGACATTTGGTAGCTAAAGAGAACACGAAGACAATGAGGCAGCGAGGCAGGCACATAGTTAAAAAGGCACATCGTCATGGAACCTTTCGACAGTGATAAGTGCCGTAGTGAAAAATGGGGGAACATATCTAAAAAAGGAAAATTTAATTATGATCATCCAATCTAAACCGTTCCGACTTGATCCGACTATTCCAGATCAAAAATCTTACTAATGTTGATCGAAACTTCTATTCAATTCTCGATCTATTCCTACCAGATTCTCCTCTCCACGTCATCTTACATAGTTGCTTCTACATCACACCCGTGCACCAACATTATCCCATTATCTATTATACATCTACTATACACTCTGTCCTAATTCTTTGCTGACAGATACTTCGACACCACGTCCACCAAAAAGTCAAACTGTTCGGTGTTTTCCACTGCCGTACGGATATGCTGCGCCGAGATTCGACGAACTCCGGCCTTCTTAGCTTCGTAAATGCCGGCCTCCACTAAATTGGCCATGAAAATCTCAAGTGCACGGCCCACCACCACCGGCGTGGCCTGTGCGACCTTTCCGATATCTTCGTCCAGTTGCATGATCTTCTTGATTCGAGCTGCTGGGAAGTGTGTCTTAATCTTCTCAAACGACAGTAGAATGGAGTCTTGGCTGACTTTGGCATCCTCAGTGTCGTTGGTGAAATCGTCATTGGTTTCTTCTTTCACCTCCTTCTTCTCTTTCTTGACGGCCTTTTCAGTGCGTGCCACGGCTTTCGGTACCACTATAGGCTTCTGTTCTACCTCGTCGGGAGGATTGATTAATGTACTGATATCGGCCATGAGAGATTGGAGTGCATAGACCGAGCACACCTGGTGCGGGTTATGGATGTCTTTATATAATGTTGGAGATCGCGCGTGTTACTTTTTTTCTCTTGCACTGCATATCACGCATGCCAGTAGAATGTCTGTACTACTAGATATGACTGAAAAGAGGCGATTTAATGGTTCTTTTTGAATGAAAAGATTCAAAAATGTGAAACTAACTTACCTCTTTGATTTTTATCTGAAATTTTTGCCCGGCCAGAATGCTGTATAGAAAGTTTGTTTCTGTCGGTCCTGTATGACAGGAGAAGTGATGTGACTGCCATGCCGGAATTGCGAGTTGTATGCACACTTGATGGCCGGGCGAATTACCAATTTGTTTGGCTTCAAGGTCTTTATCACGTTTGTCAACAAGAATCTAATGCTCTATATTCTTTTCTCTCTGTGCGTCAATTCTTTCACATACATTCTTCCTTAAATTGTACAGCTCTGCATTCTCAACTTATTATTCCTATTCTAATCTCTTGTCCGACTGGGCAGCCACCTTTTGCTGATCATCTCAGTAACCTTATACATACTTAATAACCGGACAAAATCTGTCTCCTCCATGTCATCCCTGTAAACCCTGTTGAATTGTTCCGCCAGCGGACTTTCAACAAAAACTAAAACCATTGTCTTCCGCACTCCTCCCACCACGCGGCTCACCGCCATGAAATCTTCCCATGACTTCCATTGTCCATCACTATTGATAACCATCACTCCATACTCTGCGTGCATAAACGGAGGACCTCTCTTGTATAGGAGGAAGTCACATCCAAATTTGATCCCGCTTCTTGTACACCAGCCCAAGCTTCGGAAATGATGGTAAACCACGTAATCGAGCATGAACTTGCTCTGAGGATGAGGTTGTCCGCAACATAGCGTGAGCATCTGTGAGAAGGTAAGCGATTTTTCCAGATCCTGAGTGTTGCTGTTGTTGGTCACCTTTACCACGCCCATCAACGAAAGAAATACAACTTCCACTTTCTGTAATTGCACAAACTCCAAGTTCTCTTTCAAACTTCCATTCTTCAACAACTGAGAATCTTCCTTCCGTATCTGTTCCTCCTCTAGAGCCTCCACCTTGAAGTCTTGCTTCCAATTCTTCATCTCCTCCAATTGAACCTTGATCTGCTCCCATTTAGTGCGATCTTCGTCTGCTAATTTATTCTGGCGCTCCATCATCTCATACTTCTGAGAAACACTACGAAGTTCCTTGAACTTCTTCCGCTCTTCTCGCCTAACTCGGGTCACTTCCTCATTGCTCACGTCCGAGTTGGTGCCACTGTCTAGTTTAAGCCTACGCAGTACTCGTTGTCTCCAAGATGGATCCGATCTAGAGAGAGTACCTTTACCGAAGAAACCCTCCTTCCAGAGCTTTTCCATGTCGGCTTCCTGTCGCACAGCAAACGTCACCATCCCTCCTGACCTATAAGTTTCCACTGGAATCATCGGAATTGACATTTGCTGAGGCTTTTGTACATAAATACGCGCCATTTGGCAGAGAAGATAAACCCACGAAAGTGGATTGTGGACAATCAAGGGGGGCAACTGTCCTTCCTCATCCACGGACAAAGATACGGGAAGAGGCTTACGGTATATTGACGCTAGCGATCGGCTTTTTCGTTTTTCCATAATTCTAAGATGTTAGTATGAAGGTTTTAGTAATTCTATACTGTTTTCTTCAGATACCGTTGTAGTCTATTTGTGGCTTACATTGAGTAATCTTCAAGCAACACGAATCAAGATTTCATCCCAAAAACAGAAGAGAAGTAACATACACTTTAGGAAGAGAATGTTGTATAAATTTTTTTTAGGTGAATAATAAGTCTGCGAAATGTATGATATGATAAGTGCGGGTAACCTTTAGGGCAGGACTGAGAGGAAATAAAAAAGATCGGTGACCTCAAAAAATATGCCGGTCCCAGGAATCGAACCTGGGTTTGTTCGGCCACAACGAACTGTACTAACCACTATACTAGGCCGGCGGTGATTATGAAGGATGCCTGCTTATAAACATTATATTCTCAAAATGTTAGTAAACCCCTGTACCTCTCAAAAACCCTAATATTATGTTAAAAAAAACTCCCCCACAGTTCGAATTTGCCATAGCAAATAGATAAATAAAACGTTCAATTCACTCAATATTGTGTGCTATTTTCAGTATTCTGTCCATTGATTACTATAATGTTGATCCATTGATTACTATAATGTTGATTTAGGACCAACAAATACCGGTTACACTTTCAAAATACGCAAGGCAAGATTTTAATTATTTTAATAGAACCTTCACGCCGGCATCTCAATATTCACAACTTTGAAAAGGTGCCAGCATTTCGAATTCACAAATAAGTCTCGAAAATTTCAATCAACTTCTCTACTTCTGTTCCACTCGAAATGGAATCGTTAACAATTCCATCGACACTCACAGTTGGAGTGACATGAATCCCCACTCCTCTCAAGTATCTAGTGAAATACTTGACATCAACCGTAGCATCGTTTCCTCCGTTAGAAGCCTCTGTGGGGTCTGACGCAGAGGAAATTTCCAACCTTTCCAAAACATCTTCTACTCTGAGGGGCAAATCCACAGTTTCAAACACAACGTCATTGATCTTCTTGTAGATATCGTTTCTACCCAAGTACACAGTGGCGGAGTCATAGAATTGTTCTTTGTTGTGAAACAATGCTTCGGAAACCGACCAAAATAATCCATTAGATCTCTCTGGATCGGTGGCTCTCAATAATTGTGCCACAACCAATGCGTATTCATGGAGCAATACCGAGTTTGGATGCCATGGCTGTACAACATTAACAAACACAAACTGGAACTCGCCGGGGTGCTTTTTCTGTAATTCAGGAATGACTTTCTCCAATTTGAAGTAAATTTTGGCTGAGAATGGACAGTTGTAGTCTAAATACAAGTTAACAACGTGTGGTGCAATAACCAGCTTAGCGGCGAGTGCCTTAGCGGAATGGTAGTAATGGGTCAATGAATACTTTGGAGAGATCATTTGCAGTGGAAACTAGTGCAATTGACTTTTTGGAGTTTGTATGGGAAATGTAGTAACAGATTAGAAATAGCGATTGCGGAGCACCACGTTATATACCTACTATGTACACGAAGTGTGGCCTTATTCGAAATTGATCTGACACTTTGAAATATCTGATAATTTTGTGAGTTTTAATTTTCCTAGAATTAACTAGCCCTAATTAGTACCCCGGTGCCTAGTATAATACAAGTAGATTGTAGAACCCAACTATTCCGAGTCAGCTTCATCAACAAAACCTACATAGACATTACCAGCTTTCTGGAACCGTTCTCGGATTTGCTCGGCCAATGTCTGAAGTGGAGCGGGCTTGTCCTCTTTTGAGAGTGGTATAAGCTTAATCTTCTGCACTTTTGGAGCATAAATCTTCGATGAAATAGGCAGGGCATTCAAAGTGAATGGTTCACGATTCTCTGTCTGCGTTCCACGACTTTTGCGAAGAGGCGTGGACGTCAGCTTATTGAACGAAGATCTGCTATTCAGTGAGCTGTTGATTGCCAAACCACTTGTATCGGCCAAATTCTGCGATTTTTCTGACATCGAATATGAAGAATTTGGAATGAGGATGTGATCTGAGGAATTGACTCCATGTGAGGATCGCAGTACTTGTGGGTCGGTGAAATTTGGTTCAGCCTGCGATAAATATTGTGTCAGAGTTGCCAATGGCGCCCCAAATGCTGCTCTAAGTGCATCGGCATTAAAAGTTCCGCCCATATGTGGTGGCGAAGAGTTCGGGACCTGAGTGCGTTGTATGGTTGGTGATTTTTCGGCAAGGATCTTCTCTGGTGGTGGAGAGCGAAGAGAATAAGATAGTGCTCTTGTGGCTGGACCTCTGCCATCGCCATTTCTGTTTGATATTACCTCTAGTGATGCTTGTTGAGTCTCTTGGATTATGCTCTCGCTCTTGACAGAAAGTGTTGTACCCTCAGGAGCAGCTGCACTGGAATCCTCAGATTTATCCGCTAATGCATGAACTTGAACTTTTTCAGGTGCTTCATCATCTTCTGGGACGAAAAGCTTTACCGTAGCAGGTTGAGGAGCAGCTGTATCCGTAGGCTGAAGTGTAAGCTGAGGTGTTCCATGCTCATTGCCGTACTGCTTGTTTCTTTGTTCACGAAATAGCTTTCTCGCGGTGCTCTTTCTCTTCTGGTTAATTTTGCGACGCTTGGAGTGATGCTTATTGATGAAAATATGCTCAACAGTCGATGCATCCACTGGCAATATATCCTCATTTTCATCAGAGTCGTTTGTAACTTGTTTTTCTTTAGTGTTTTCATCTTCCTGCAAAACAGCTTTGAGCAACACAGCTTCCTTTTCTTGCCCATCACAATCTCCTACTTCTCTTTGAACTTCATTTCCCTTCTCCTCTATGTCGACTGTTCCATCAGCATCCACCTCTTGATTGTCGTCTTCTTCATCGTCAATGTCGATTGGACGCTGAGCTTCAAGCAGTGTTTGGTCTCGCACGAGTTCTTCAATCATCAGCCTTTCCAAATTTGTATAATCAACACTTCCGTTCCCCACGAACTCCACCTTCTGTGAATCTGCCTCGCTTTCCAGCAGAGAGGAGAGGCTAGCTTCAGATTCGGAAGATGGGTTAATGATGACTCTGCGGTGAGACTTTTCATATCTTTTGAATCTCTTCTTTCGTTTATTCACAAATGCATCTGAATTGTAGCCATGGTTAGATTGAAGCGGGGTGGACGCTTTATTCCGAAGAGGGGCTTCTGTGTTTGAATCCTCGTACTCCTTCCCGTCTCTCAGTTCGGGTGCTTCTTGATTGACAATTTTTTTTGCTGTTACCTCCGTTCCCTTCTCGGTCAATAAGGATGCTACGTCCACTTGCTCTTTCTCCACTACCAAAAGTTGTCCCGTATTCTCTACTGTTGTCTCAATCGAGTCCTTTTCGTTTACAAGAAGACTGATTGGAATGCGCGGTAGACTCACAAAGGTTCTCTCCAGTTTCGCAAGCTCAAAGTTCAGGTTTTCTGCATTTTCATTCAGGGAAATGATACTCGATACTTCAGGCAATTTGACCCTGAGAAAAGATGCCTCGAACGATTCATTCTTATCCACTTCAGTAATGATTTTTTGAACTGCGATGTCTTTCTGAATTAGAGGATCTGTTTGACTTGGGCCTCCTTTTTTGCCTGGAGGACCATTCTGGCCCGGAGAATTCTTTTCGCTTGCTAGGCTCTTCTTCACGAACTTGTGACTTTCTAGATCTTCCTTGACTACTTCGTGAATCTCTTGAGATTTTCGTGTTGAGTGAGACTTACTCCTCTTGGTCCTAGCATTCAAAATTGAATCATCGAATATAATTCCATCCAAACTAGTGTTTTGTCTTGTCCGACGAATCCCAATCTCTCCCAAGGGAGCCCTAACTTTTCCAGGGTTCTGAAGTTTCATTTTACTTGATCTCCCAGCAAGTACTCTTTCAGAGTACTCCTCTTGTTCCACTTTCTTGAAATGATTGGTCCTACTCCTTTGTGACCTCCTCACTTCAGTTCTCGCGGGAGTCTTCTTCGGTAGGTGCTTGGTGAGAATTGAATCCTCATGTTTTACTTGCTCTAGTTCAAGTGGTGTGGTCTGCGATTGTTGCCCGATTCCGTTTGACTTGATCGGTAGGGATTTAATGATTTGACCTCTTGAACCTTTCGTCCTCTTGTTGGGTGATTCAACAACTTTTGCAGGTGATTCAGTTTTCACTACCTGTGACTTCGCCTTCAATTTACGGCGTCTTGTTCCTTTGGTAGCGTCTAGACCTGTACTCTCAGTTTCGTCCTTAGACTTAGGATGCGTAGATAAGGATTCTGATCCCGGTCGCAGGTTGAGTGCATTGATCAACTGCCACACTTTAGACGTAACTATACGATCAGAATCGGAATTAGTTGAGGTCAATGGTAGAGTCGGCTTTCTCGGTTTAGCCATGGAGCTCCTTATGTTGATGGCTGTGACTATATTGATTGTTATGTTACTGCACAGGTAACCGCGAAGATCTATTGAACTCCTGCCCAAATTATATATATAATACATACATAGAACCTTGGCTGTCCAAACACAGTTGTATCCAGCTAGATTGGATACCAACACCATGTGATGAGAATACCCGACAAAGATTCTTCTATTTTTTTTTTCTTTTTTTTTTTCTTTTTGTTGATGGTGAACTCCTGGTTGAACCTCAATTGGCCTAAGATTTACTAGATATTCTAGCCTCACCCAGACAAAATCACAACCTTACACTTATCATACAAGAGGCCATGGAACTTTGTGTCGTCATCAATCTCCAATGTGAAGAGTCTTTCTCGTAACTCAGGCGCAAGCACTTCTGATGTGGCATTATTGTTGTCCATGAACTCGTCATAGTCATGTTTGAGGAACAAGTAAACGGAACCATTTCCTTCCTCGGACTCAAGGCCAAGCCGACGTACCAATTTTGTCTTCAAGTCTTGGAGACGCAAGTTAACAGGAAGGAGCAACACAAATATGTCGTCTTCGTAGTAGAACTTGACCTTCACTTTCGCCAGCTTCTCTGGGGCAGTCTGGTGTAGCAAGTTGGTGGAAGAGGATGACGTAGATCTCTGCAAAGGAGAATCCAGCAGCGGTGGGGTAGAGGTACCTTGGCGAGCCATGTTGGAGTATTGTGAGAGTCTGTCCTGCTGAGAGTTCGACTGCTGCTTAATTGGCTTGGAAGAGCGGTCAGCCTTATTATCAGTGACTTCCTTATCAAAGCCGTTATTGATAACCTCAAATAATGCCAATACGTCTTCACAGCGCGAAATATGCAGCGGCAAGGCAATTAAGTTGCGCAAGTAGTAGTCCAACTTCTCTCTGCGCAATTTAGAAATTGAATCATTGACATTGATGAGAGGACCAGGAATAGATGGGATAATACGGCGGGAGTTCTCGATTTTTCCGGCCTCGTAGGGGAAGAGCTCGAGTAGCCTGACCTGCAAGTCGTAGAAGTCCTGGTAGAACCGATACAAGTAGCGAGTTTTTCCGTTGGAGAGCCTTGCCGTCACCAAGTATTGATAGCGGCCATGCTCCAAGTGGTAGGAGTCCACTGAAGCCTCCACAATGGTGGTACGAGTCAGCGTTAACAGTGAGCGGTTGGAGCCCAGCGTATCTTTCTGAAAGTATTGTGAATTTGAAGACATTACTGCGGTGGAAGAGTTGGATATGTGGCCCAATGGGATAGTCAGTGCTTGGTACTTTGCAGTCTGATCTTTCCATTCCTCGACGGTGGGAATCTTGAAGTGATTGATCACCGACACAACATCGTCATCCGGTTGTAGGTTACGAGAAGTCAGCATCATGTCGATGATCTTAACATACAGCGCAGGCACTAGGCCAGGACCACCTAAACGAGTGATTGGCTTGGCAATAAACCACTCGTAGTCATGGTGGGCGCAGATGACCAAATTCTCTCCAGGAACAATGTCCAACTCATCTTCACGTTCAGCCTTGAAGTCATACAATGTTACTCCATAAAGAGTTTGGTTGGATTGTTTGCCTCCAGCTGCCGCTACATGGTGTAACTTGGCGTTAATTGGATTACTCTGCTCGATGCTGTGACCAGGGTCTGGGTTGGCAGGCCTTGTACGGTTGAAAACCTCAAAGTGAGACATTGGAACCATTCCTCGTTGCTGAGTGGCTGGATTCGTGGCATCGTACCAGCCCTCACCTTCTGTTTCGGTCTCAACATCACCAAGAACATGGAAGAAGTCGCCTTTGTTGAAACGGAGCTCACCTGGACCCTGGGGCAGGTAGTCATATAATGCTTTGATGACCTTCTTGGGAGATTTCAACACCAGGTCCAACTCGTCGGTTGTGTACTGAGTTGAAGTCACACGTGAGATTGAGTGTTTGGAAGAATTCAGTGAGTTGGACAGCCGCTTGGATTTGCGGAATGTCTTCAACATGGTGGTAGGCTGCCTGGATCAAAGACCTCCTGAGGATTACTGAGGTTTTGCTTCTGCCAGAAGGGAGTGGACTCAGGGAGGAGGGGAAAAGTGTGGTGGTGTACGGGTGTTTGTAAAGAAATGGAAAAGGTGTAAAGTTCAGTTAATTGTTCGTGAACCTTCTCCTTGAATACCTATTTCGTGGGGTGTTGGTGATTCTTCGGAAAATCCTAGTGGGCTGGGCTTTTGGCTTTTCGCATCCGTACACCAATGAAAACCTATTTCAAGAATGCGACGAAGGTTACTTCTGTACAAGTGGGGTCCGGCAGGTGCTTTGTATAACTCAAGTACGAACTGATAAATTCTGGTTTAGGAATTGGTAGCTATAATATGTAGACGTTTGGTTTTTTGACCTCTCCAATTGGTCTTATGATCATTCAACACTCTCAGACGTTTCCGCTGGCCCAGTTCTGTGAAGACGGCCGCAACTATTCATATGCCGACATGTATGTCGCCAGCCTCGTTCGGCTTCATCTGAGGATTTTTCTTCCAATTAACAAAGGAGAAAGGGGCGCGTTAACGGTGCTTGCCGCATATGTCTTGCATGGTTGCCTCCAGTGCCTCGTCTCTTCGCAGGAAATGCCCGTTGAAGATCGGGCATCTAGATTCTCAAATGCATGCAGATCGTTTTCGAGCCACATTCCGTTTCTCAATCAGCTTTTTGGTGCTTTGGGTGCCTTAACCATGCGTCCATTCCTCTTAATATGAATGTGATATGTCTTGAAATTGAATGAAATTGACTGAAAGTGCGTATCGTATAACCATATGCATTAGGCACGGTCTGTCTATTTCGGAGAAAATCGATTAAGGCCAGACGGCGGTTTTTTTGAACTTTTACTCCACGTCAACTGGGCTGATTTGGCCAACGCCTGTGACACCACTTATTCCACTTATTCGGAGCGCTCACGCGGAATTGGCAAAGTTGAAGCCTTCGAAGTTAACATACGGTTCCTCTGGCGAATCTTCAAATTCAAAATTCTCCGTGCTCATCACCTCGCTATCACTCTCAGAATCGTACAATTGACCGGCCCTTGGCCTTCTTTTGCGGGAGCTCTGGCGTCTCTCGGCCTCCATTTGCTCAAACTCTCGATATTTCGCGAGGTAGATCTTCAATGTCTCGGCGTAGTGCTCGAACCCAAGAGTGAACATTGCCCATAGAATATCCTCTCCGTTTAGAGTTTTACGCTTCTCAAGTGTACATCTATCAATGGCTTGCGAGGTGATGAATGAAATGAATTCAGATACGCACTCTTGAACACATTCCTTCGACTCCTTTGATAATTTCGCTTGTTGGGGAAGTGCCAGTTTCATTACTCTTGCCACGTTCGCAATAGGCAAGTACCGATCTTGCTCCTTTATTTCATAATCGCAGTTACGTAGCTGTGATTCGCTGACGTTTTCACTCTTCATGGATCACGTATGTGCTAATCAGCAAGAATGGAATCTGCTCGCTACTTATGGTTTGTTGCAAAATGCGACTCTCGGTCTTTGCGCTGGTGCAGGTCAATCACACTAAAGGCTCTTGAGACACCTCTGAATGTACTCTCCATATATATGACAGTCCTTCCGTTCTTCTTTCCAGTAGTTGATAATAAGAAGTGTGTGTTCCAAAGATGCTTTCACAGCATCTCTACTGAACACATCACTGAGTGTCTCGAAAAGCTCCACTTGCTGCTTCAGTTGTGTTTCAGTCGCTGCAGCCATCATCTTCATGACACTCTCTTGGACTTTCTTGTAAAGTAAAAACTGAACCACCACTCCCAAAAAGAGGTTGCGGATATAGTACCACGAGCCGGCGTGTCTGTGCAGACCTATCTTGGGGATGTTGAGCTTTGGCAACGTAATAAAGTTTCGAACAAGAACACGAAGGATACGTTTGCGTGCTGCAGCCATATCAGTAATCCGAATGAAGTTCTTATCAAATTCATCACACCCTTCGGTGTACTCAATGAGATCACTGAAATCATCGTCTGGGAATTTCTTCAGGTACACATGTGACGCATTACTCATGTCAAAGTACGAAGTTTCTTCTCCCAAGAAGTTGGCGAAATTCGAGTTGTTTCTTGAAGAGGTGTCATGTGTATCGTTGTTTGCAGAAGACGATCCAGTTAAAGGAGAGTCCACTGGCTCCTGGAGAACCACCTGGTCAGTTTGAGATATTTGCATTCGAGGAAGCACAGCTGAAGCAGCCTCAACTATTTCGAGAAACAGTATTTTGTCTTCGAGAAACAAGTAGATAAGCGGCCTGAAAAGGGCAAGCTTTGACGTCACAATACGAGTCTTGATAAACATAACCGATTCAGACAGTGCCCTAAGCAATAAATCATCGTCGATTAAAAATTCATCCAAGTTTTCGAAGATGTCTTCCTCGACTCCATACTTATCCTGCCTCTTTCCAGCTCTCTTTTTCATGATCGAATAGATTTGCTCAACATTAACTTCCAGAAGCACAAATTTGCGAATATTTGGAGAAAGAGAGCTGATAATTCCGTTATACTGGTTCAAGTATTTAATCATCAAGTTCCACACTGTATTCTCGGCAAACTTTGGTTGATCCCAAAGTAAATCCTTCGCTGCATCCGCAGAATACATCTCGTCAAAGAGCTTGTTATCCACTTTTCTTACTGCAATCTCAGTCAAAAAATAAAACCAAGAGTACTGATCGTCATATTTGTTAGCAAGACGGATACATTCGGGTAAATGCTCATCTTCCAGAAGAGGGTCAGGAATTCTCATGAATGATGATGGGGGCACCATTTGTGTAATTCCAGAAAGAGGAACATGGGGACTCAATTCTGTCCGTAACTCACATTCGAGTTTCAAACATGTCCAAAAGAGACGGTCAACGACCAGTCGCTTTCCATTAAGAACGTATTCAGGCAGCTTCGAGCTGTCACCTCCTGCGGATTCTTTCTGTAGGAAATACATCATTTCAGTACTTGCGACAACAATTTCACGATGTGCCAGGAGAGGGTCCATTATATAATGGTAGTATTGACTGCAAAGAATGTGGTATTCCACAGAAACGATCGAATTGGGTCGAAGGGAGTTAGGGAAAATCAAGGATATCATTATTGCATAAGACACAAGCATCTGACTGAGCTGATATCTCTTGCGCGGGATATTTTCGTCTCCGGAGGATAGGTCAGAACAACCTATGCTGACATCGTTCTTCTCTTCGAGAGACAGGGCAAATGTTCCAATATTGTCCAAACGGATAGGCGTAGCTAGTGCCCCAATAGCACAAATGACCAAAAGTAATGGCACCGATTCACAGCATGTCCGGTACAGCCTTTGACGAATGCGGGAATCCTCGATGTTGAATTTGGAAATAGCAGCCTTATACGATTTGGACACTCTCTCTGTTGGTTTGAGCTGACTAAACTCCTCAAGCATGGAAATGAAAGTGAAATTCTCATCCGCACGTTTCATCAAGGTGTAAATCTCTGCCGATTCGATAAGTGTGATAATATCCACACAAGGCACTTTGGTATGGCAGTTAATGAGAAACGAGTTTGTGAAAGTTGAAAACTCCAGGTTTAGAAGTCGCTCTACTGAGTCACAAGCTTCGAAACGAGCATTTGGTGAAGTTGAGAAGGGAAATGAACGATCCGAGGCCTCGTAAGCCCTGATCAATCGTCCAGAATGAGCAATTGCATCATCCATTGAAGTTCCTAATACTTTCTGGAGGTACCCCCATTTTAAAACAGAGGTGAGAGACATATCCCATAAGCAGTGTTGAAAGTAGTGTACTCCTTTCGCTTGGCGACGTCGCTTTGTTGGGCGCGAAGTCAGGAGCTCTTCTTCTCCCTGCAATTGGCGAAGGATCACATCAAGCTTAGCCAAAATGTTGATAGATGCCGGGTCGTAACCCGAGTAGTCAGAACCTGGCTCATCAGTGCAGTAGCGACAATTCTGGTTGTTGTTCCGCTTACAGGCTCCACATAGCGGTCTCACATTGTCACACTTGATTTTCTTCTGTCTGCATGTGTCACAAGCAGTATGAGACCGTTTTCGTGGATACGACGCCGTCCTGATTGGCTTGATATAAGTCTCACTCAGTCCTGGTGTAAGTGACTGTGGTTTTGACTGAGTTGGAGCCTGACTCAATGGAGGTGGCTGCACTTGAGCCGGAGCCAGAGCCAGATGTGCGCTTCGATTTACAGGCGTGAGCATGACTCCTGGCGCTGGCCCGCTCCCATTGGGCCCAATCACGTTATTGTTCAGCAATGGTGTCGATTGCCCGCGCAGAACCGGCATTCCATGACCTTGCAGTGCTGCCAATTCATTGGCTTCCAGTAAACTGGACAGCGTACTATTCAGTGGGTGGTGTTGTTGGCCCGGAGAGGCCTGTCTGTAGCTTTGATATTTGAACCTTTCTTCGTACTGTCCTGGTGTAGGATAGGCCCCAGCGTTTTGGGGCTGATTATGTTGCTGTTGTTGTTGCTGCTGTTGTTGCTGTTGTTGTGTGGGCGCCGTTGGGTCTCTCGGGGTACCCTGGCCCATATTCTGGCCCATAGGCTGAACCGAATTCTGGCCCTGGAGAGGCATCATTTGCTGCACACCAGGGGGAAGCATTCCCGGCCTCATTATAGGGTAGTAGGCACCCTGCTGCATTTGGATAGGAGGATAGTATGGATATTGATCGTAGGGTGCCTGTGGAGGAGCCAGTGATGGAGTAGGAGCAGCATTTGAAGGAATTGGTCGCAGGTCTTGTCGCGAGTCGTGGTGAGCGTCCGGGCGCATATTGGAGTAATCCTGCGGCTCTTTCTTGATGTTGTTGTGATTGTTCATATCAGCATCAGTAGGATAAGAGATTTTAGACTGGGAAAAAGTTGTTGAGGTTGGAAGTTTGTCAGCGCTATAGAGGAAAAACTTGAGGAGATGGGGAACAGTGGCAGTTCTGAAAGTTGTGGTAAGTGCACTGCAAATTCAATACAAGCGAAGTTGATGAAAATCAATAGGCGCTGGCAGACAGCAGGTGATCAACGTCGAAGGGAAAAAAAGGCTAATGTTGTGGGAAGAAATACTGGATGTGCATGAGGTATTGATACAGTGGTGTTCGTTGCAGGACGGAAAAAGCATACAGGGTCCAGGACGGAAGTGATTCCAGAACGGGCAGGTTGAGTAATTAGTGGCAAGAGGGAAGGTGGAACTACTATGAAGCCCATGACATGAAGCACACACAGCGGAATTACAGTTTACGTGTTGAGAAAGCCTAATATGGTTTGTTTGGTTAGTTGGGATCCTGACCCAATTTGGTCCTTGTCAAATACGAGGCTGATCTCCTATGTACAGTGGACAGGGCAAGAAAGGGCCAATAATTTTGAGGGGAGAACGAAGGGTTGTGAATGCTGCCCCAGTTGGTGCGGGTGCCATAACCCGCGAGTCAGGGACGATGGTAAGTGAGCAGGGATCGTGACTTTTGACAGTAGTGAAAGAATTCTGCGTGGAAGAAAGGGTTAAACTTCTGCGAATAGGAGTGCAGTTGTATGTAGGCATTAGACTCTGTACCTAAATTGCGACAATAGAAGGGTTAGACAATAAAGTAATGACAGAACGAGGGGTATGGAATTGGTATGTAAATAGGTGGGAAATAACGTGGCCATATGGGGGTTGGTGTAAATGGATTTTCGTTGGTGTATTGGCAACTGAAATAGAGTCCTGGATAAGACGCACGTATGAATTTGTTTAGGTTCGGAGAAGTCCATCATGCATATTGAATTTCAGTGTAGGATGGTGGGTAGGATGAAAATTACACCATTGGCATAGTTAGCTGAGATTTCAAGGTTGATCGTTACAGGCTAGAGTTTGGATTTGAGTCAGTATCCTAGAAGAGTTTGTAAACAAAACTTCTGTCTTGTTTCATTTTTTCATGTTGTATAGATGAGTTTCTAGATCTTGAATTTCAGCCTTTTACACCTGGTTTTCCATTTAAAAATACATTGATACGGTATTCTCTCATATCTCTCTTCGCGTTTCCATTTCACTTTATATTTGCGCTCTCTTCTTTTTTACTTGTTCTCTAGTCTCTCTTCCACTCGTACTCTAGTCTCTCATCCACTCGTACTCTACACTCTCTCATAAACGTCTGTCTTAAAGTATTAACCAGGTGGCAATTGGGAAGCATCCACAATGTCGTTGGCATCAACAGCCTCATCCTCGCCGAGCGCATGGTCCAATGGAGTTCTAGGCAAAGCCATCATACCAGATCTGGCAATCTCCAAAATACCAAATGGTTGCAACAACTGAATGAACGACGAGATTCTCGAGGGTTTGGCACTCAACTCCACAACAACATTTCTGTCAGAAATATCCACGATCTTACCCCCGAAACGGTCAGTGATAGTCAGAATGTGCAGCAAGTGCATGTGCTTCTGTCTCAAGGCCTCAGATGGCACCAAATTGCTTGGGTGGAACTCACTCTCGGTGGCACTCAAGTCTGGGACAGCCGCGCCGTCGTTGGTGTGCAAGTTGTGGGCGGCAATCAACTCCTGGAAGTACTCGGGTCCCAACAAAGAGATACGGGCCAACAACAACTCTCTCTTGACGATCTCGGCGTTGGTGTAGTCCAAAACAGCGTACACAGGCACCAAGTCCTCGATTTGTCTTCTGGCCTGTTCAACAACGGCATCCTGGCCGCCCAACACAATGGTCATTCTGGACAAATCCTTCACTTCGGTGTTGCAAACCACAAGCGAGTCAATGTTGAAACCTCTGGCAGCTAATGTTCCAGACACGGACGACAACACACCGGGCTCGTTCTGCACCAAGCAGTTCAACACATGTTGCTTTCTTGGAGCCTTGGATGGGAATGGAGTCTCGTACAAGATGGAGGAGACGGCTGCATCAGCAGACCAGTTTGGAGTGTCGAATGTTGGCAATGGGGGTCTCTTTTGGTTTCTGTGCAAAGTCTTGTAGGCCAATGCCGAGGTGGAACTCGACGACACCTTATGTCTGACTTGGGAGAGTCTGCCACTTTGGCGAAGGGCAGCTTTCATGTTTATGGGGTACAAAGGTATGAATGTATCTGGAGAAGATGATTCATTTTTTCAGGTGAAGACACTACTGCCCGGATTAGCGGTACAAGCCCGGGAACGGGGTGTACGGGTGTGTGAAAGGAAGCCTATTTTGGAGGCGGGAAGAGGAGGGAAGGCTGAAGGTTTTAGTTGATTATGAGGTTAGAAAGGTTTGATATCCTGGAATGGTGTATCTACGTCATTGATTTTTTTTTTGTTGGTTGAGTTGCTTAGAGTGGATTTCCCCACACTCAGGGACAAGAAGCAAACTTAATGGTTGCAATAGAAGATTAGATGATAAAGAAGTATCGATTCTTGAAACTTTCCTGATATACAAACTTATCTATCTCATAGTCTTTTGTCTTTTCTTTAGCAGAGGCACTAATTGTTTGCTTGCACTTTCCATACTATTGCGCATTCAGTTTTCTTCTCCATCATTTCCTCTTTTTTATTTTTTTATGTCTTTTTTCTGTTCTGATTTTTCTATTGTAAATGGGAAAATGAGAGTATGGAGAAAATATCAAAACCTAGTAAGTTATGGCAACTAGCTTTGCTTGCAGTGGCATGTAAGTGTTCAAGTCTCAGGAGCATTAATTTGAATATGTGGCATAGTGAGGTTAGGACGAAACATCAATGGCTCTTAATGGTCCATTTTCTGGCCCATCATTAGAAGAAATTTGGATAATGAATATGTAGTGATGAAGCATATTTTCAAAGTACAGCCGTTGCTGATTGCTCACGATGTTTGAAATTTAGCAAAGGTACTGCTTAATTAATGGCAGTATCATCCTAGGACTTATCTTGTTTTTTTTTTTTTTTTAAGGTCAATGACAATTAACCTGGGCAGGGTTCTAAGAAGTCAAACCATCTTTTATTGTAAATTTCCATCGCTTTTTCACGCACTTAAATTAAATCTTCGTAACTTGGGTATTGAATCCAAAGTTAGATGAGCCGAATACTACAATTTTCAACTTTTGACAACAGAATATATTTTTTTCTATTCATTTAACATTCGCAAGAAACAAGCATCCTTAACCCATAAAGAACCAGCATTCTAAAGAAGTCCAACAATAACAACTCCTATAAGATATCCAGGATGAAGTATAGATGCTCCACTTGTGACATTTGTATTATTTCCTGCGTTGATAGCGCTTCCTCCATCATGGGCCAATTGGCCTGTCTGAGGATTATTGTAAGTATTTCCTGGAGCCTGAAGATCCAGACCATCAGTTTGTTTTATTGGGACCCTGATGGAATGGTCGAATCGGCTTCCAATATAGGTAGCTGAGACTGTAGAAAAGGTGGCTGCGGCTAAAAGTGTTGCAAAATGCATTGATGTAATTATAATAGTTAAGATTAGATCTAAGGGAGGGAATTGACCCTTTTTATACTTTCATGGTTTGCTATTTTCAGATTTATGTGGCAAATATTCTGCGCTGTACTCGATATCAATATTGGATTCGTGGTTTACTTCCATTGTGAGCCCTGTTCAAGTTTCGGCCGACGGCCTAGTTAGGACATCTCCGGGGGGAATAATGAGTCATGCTCCATCATTACCTGTCAAACACTCTATTATTAGCTAATTCTATATACATTGAATGGAGAGGCTGATTCGTCATACTATTTCATTAAGGAGGGACTGCAGAATGATAAGATGTTCCTTTGTAACTTTATTGCCGAATCTTCGATGAGACAACAATGAGATGTTAAAGGTGAATACACGTAAAATAATTGGTGAAAATGCCTGGATGACAATAGGGGTGGTGGCGACTGGGCCATGTCTAGCCGCATGTGTGTGGAGTACTGACTTAAAGTAAAGCGGGCTCGTATGCCAGAAGTCAAACGCCTGGAGGAGTTAGGACAGAATAGGAAGAGATGAGTGATAGAAATTGGGTCTAGATGACTACAATTCTGCACTATTCTTTGATACAAGGTGTCTTTTGGCATCGTTCATTGGTCTCTTTTGAACCTGTGACCATCTTCTGACATTTCATATGGTAAAGGTCTTCTTTGCTGACAAGACTAATTGATGCCATAATTGACAAACGTACAAAACATTAGTGGGGAGTTTCCAACTTCGCAACTTGTAGAGTATGAGAAATAGCCTGACCTTGAAATAAAAATACCCACGTTCCTTCGAAATGAGAATTGATATGGCTTCTAATTTAACGTTCCAACATATCGATGCTATCGTTTATCAATCTTCTATCAAAAGTTCATTACATTACTACCTCATAATACACATCTCCAGTTATGAAATGTAGCCATCATAGATTGCGCTGTAGTGGTACGTCACCAGAATACGAGCAGCACTAAAATTCTTCAATCAACACAATCAAACCATTCTACACCATTCAAACTGCTCCATTCATTAGCATTATGTACAAGACCACGCTCCCTGGCGTTCATGTCGTCATTATCAAGCCTTCATGGGCTCTTCGGGAAAAACTGGTCCCACAGTAGGCTGAGCCATCATTCTCTGCATCATCATTCCCACACCCTCGATAATTCCCAAGAAACAGGCACATGAGATGGCTGAGTTACGGGTGTGTTTCCAACCTCCTCTGATAGCCAAAGCACCACCAACGAAAAATCCAGCAATGATAGCGTTCCAGGCGTCCTCTCTCTTTCTAATAGCTTTCACAGAACAGTCAAATGTGGAGAATAATCCTCCCCAAACACCGAAGTTGCCTCCAACCACTGGCGCTCTGGCCTTAATGGCGGCAAGTGCTCCGATTCGTCTTTCTCCATAAGGCGAGTTACGGAAGCCTTTGATTCCGTGCCAAAAGAAACCACCGATGGCTCCCATGGAGAAAGCTCCTCCGAAATCATTCAAGATGACAATAGGACAAGGGTCCCTAGTGTGGTCAGCAGACATGATGAATATTGAAGATTCCTAGCTTTTTTTTCGCTTTCTTTTTGACTACTGGTCTTGTGTGCACTCGGCCGTATGCCGGAGGGGAGGAAGAGAATGGAACATGACACTAGTGAATGCCAATTGTGAGGATTAATGAGGATGGAGAGTTTATGGATTGTGTGAATATTTGATCGAGATGTTGTGTGAAGAATTTGGTGGTAATTGAGACAGGGGTGGATTTTTAGGTTAGGTCGGTGGTATTTCTTGATGGTCGTTTTTGCGGGTATTTGGTTAATATGTGAGAATTCGCAGCTACAGTAAGGTCAGAAAATATAAAAACCGGATAAAAAAAGAAAAGAACAGCTGACAAAAAAATTAATACCAATAGCTAAATTTAAAAAACCTCTTTCTTTGTTCACTATCCATCGTTACTTTTAAAGTTTATATTCTATAAATGCTAATTATCGTCTTGATCAAAGATTACATCAATCGACTGATTGGGCAGAAAGGCTGTGTGCTTGAATGCTGCTGTAGCTTTGGACAGTTCGCCTTTGTCAATTGTTCCCATTTCCGTAATATCATCGAAGTCATCAATTGCTTCAAAGTCATCAAAATCGTCCGAGTTATCCCACCCGTCATCGTCAAGATCGTCATTGAGATCATTATCAAGATCGTTATTGAGATCATCATCTGTCTGGACACTAGAATCGTCTTTCGGAATACCTGAATCCTTAATTTCTTCGAATTCATTTCCTCCGTTCAGCTCATTATCAGTTCCATCTTGCTTTACTTCATCTTCTTTATGACAAAAAACCTCCTTAACCGTTACCTCTTTATCAGTCACCTCCAGTTCAATGTCTGTACTCTTGCTCAGTGTTGCTTCCATTGTGCTCACTTCCTCCACTTCTAATCTTTCGCCCTCCTCTTGTTCGCCGCTCACTCCTTGGTAACCATTCTTCGTTGTCGAATGGGTGTCTTCTTCCTCACCAACAACGAAATTGTCCAATCTGCTATTCGCTTCCAAGTTATGGAGCTCAAGGTAATCAGTGTCAATGGGTGGACCAGTGAACACGTTTGCTCCCCAAGTTTTGTATCCCACAGCAGCAGTAAGAACCAACACAACAAACACAACACTTGCATAGTTCATGGTTTGCCACGTAAGGTTTTTAATAACTGGAGGCAGACATAAAATGAAGAAAGAGAGGAAAACCCATATGACAGAGATACCATTGATGAGCCATCCAAAGTACCGAAGACGGAACGCAGAACCCTTGATTTTCCTCCGCTTATTCAACATCAAACAGAAAATAGGAATACCATTTGCAAGCGCCAAAGAGATCACAGATGCCCCCATGAATGCTGCGAAAGCAGAAGGAGAGATCAATGCGAGGAGTGAGAACGCTCCACAGACTCCCATTGACAAAAATAAAGCATTCTTGGGCAAAACGGAATCTTCCACTGAACCAACTTCCACCCACAAATTCTTAAATGGCAAGCCTCCGTCACGAGCGAAAGCGTACGTACTTCTGGAGGCTGTAGTGAGTCCACCGATTGCTTGGAAAATGACAGTGCCAACCAAAAGCAATATCAAGAGGAACGACACAATATAAGACTGAGTTGCACTTTTGAAAACAATATCGATGGGCATAATCTCTGGGTTTGTGTCCAAAACAACTGAGAGTTCAGGAAGAATCACAAGAATTGACAAAATGAAAAAGAGTCCTTGAATCACACACATCACTACGGCACTGATGGCACCCTTGGGCATGTTTCGTTCTGGATTTTTGACCTCATCCGTCATGGAGAAGAGCATTCCATAACCGGTCAAAGTGAACGAGGAGCTCTGGAGGCCAATCATAAAAGCCAAAGGATCCGGCCATCCTGATCTTGTATTATCAAAGTCTGTCAAGATGTGGCCAATTGAATTCTTTCGTTTTGCGAAAAGCATCAAGAATGTGCCAATAAGCAACACGGAACCAATTGACCAGATAATGCACACCCTGTTGATATATTCCAAGTATCTGGAGAACTTGAAGTTAACAAAACCAACAAACGACAAGAGAATAAAGTAAACCCCTAAAACTAACATGATGTCCTCTTTATAATAGACATTTTTGAGCCCGAAAATGGAGAGTATAAATTGAGATCCCAGGAACATGATACTCACTGCGTATGTCCAATTTCCGATCAACAAGAACCAACCTGTAAACCATGAACTGACAAGTGAATATTTCTCATTGCTGAGAATAGCACTGAAATGATATACACCACCAGCAGTGGGGAATTTGGCAATGATTTCACATAAACTTAGAACGATGCAAATGCTGAAAAAGCCTACAATTAGCCAGCCATAAAGCATGGTAACATTCCCACCATCAACCAACAGAATCCACAAGGTTGAGGATAGCCCGAACGGAATTCCCATCAAGGTGAAGCCCAAGCCTATGATAGACGACACAGTCAACTTTCTATCCAAGTCTTGCTTATACTTGAAGTGTTCCACGTGCTCGATCTCGTCATCGTCAGCATCATGGAGAATATTGTTTAGTATGGTTGCCGGGGCCAGATCTCGAATCCGGCTGATGCCGCTAGCCACATACGAGTTCGTCGGGTTGTCAGGCTGCAGATATGACATGAATAGAAGACTGCGATGTGGATGAAAATGACCCGAATATTTAAAAGTGAATCGTGATGAGTTGAGCTAAGTGACTAGAGTAGTTGAATTGCGCACTTAGATGTAGGTGAGGAACGAAGGATGTAGGACTTGGGATAAGTGCTGGGAAGGAAAAAAAAATTCAAGAAAGGAATTCTAGATATGAATCGACATGGATAAAAAACGATTTAAGAGTGTATGTCTGTTTTACATATGCATTAGTCTAATTTTGTATCGCACTGGGCCATGGTTGCATTTAATTTTGATATGCCATCCATGAAGAGGAACTGAAGGTGCAGAGCTCATAGAAACAGAGAACTTTTAGGAACTGTTAAATTCACTCAAAGTTTGTGAACATCTCAGAGAGTGGTAATATAAGTCCCGAAAGTCATGGTCGAACCTCTAAAAGTCCAAGTCACTCATGTCACTTTCTTCGACATTCTCAACCTGCTTCTTCATTACCGGCATTGCCACACTATTACTCGTCTTGATGAGCACACTATGTAAATTTTCCACCTTTTGAAGAAGACCACCCACAGGACGGTATTTCTCGTCTGTTAGGTAGCTGATAACATCGTTGATGTTGGTCAAGAGCTCCGAGACTTTCCAGTCCAGGTACCCTACGACGATGTTGATGCAATTGCCTTTGGCTGGTGGAATAAACGATGTGTTCGCCATTATAGCCTTCACCTGTGCCCGAATGTACTTGGGATCACACGGTTGGCTCCGGGCCACAGACTTGTGTCCGGGTTTGACCATTTGAACCTTATATGGGACCTTCTTATTTTTGCTGTAGAACTGAGTTCCCAATGCCTCGGGCAACTTGCTGTAGATTCTGTTATCAGCTATCACTATGTCATTCTCCTTAAAAAGCTTGACGGACTTCTTGGCGCTGGCACCAATCAGCTTGATTTTCTGGAATGGAATGATCTGATGGAAGAGGTCCTCGGTTGGCAGATCTTTCTTTGTGAGCTCTTCGCGATATGACAGATCCCGCGTAATGAACAAAATCGCCTTCTCGTCTAAGTTGCGTAATTTGTGTGTCACAGGGATAATTCTAGGCGTGTAATCCTTTTCCTTGACTAGAAACGTCTTGGTGTTAAGTACAAGGTAGAGAGGTTCATGGTGCGAAGGTTCTTCACAGCTGGTCTGAACGTATCTAACTAGACCTTTTATAGAACGCTTGGCCTGCTCTCTGGCCTCGTCACCTAGGAGAAAGGACATGGTCTTTCCTTTTTTTCTTCAGTTTGATAACCTTGTCGTTTGAACTCATGAGACTAATGAATAGAGATGCACTCGATGAGCATACACGTGATGTATAATCATGTGACGAATTATACTTGGTTATTAGAGCACACCATGCAGTCCTTGAGTACCCCAGATCAGATAGCCCTGTCTATTACCATTTACTATTAGCATTTGCCATGCAAATTCTTCAGCAATTAGTGCTTGCGCTCTCATCAACAAGCGAGATGGCTTCATCTCGGTTACTTGCAGATGATAATGCCTTCTCTTCGCCCGCAGGTTCTACTTGGGGTCCGCCTGTTAACTACTCGAGACCTCCAGCCATAGTATTGTGGCACGGATTAGGTGACAACTACAACTCTTCGGGAATGCTTCGTATGGCAGAGATTATCAACCAGATAATGCCTACGGTATTTGTACATTCGGTTTATCTTGAAGAAAAGCCGCTGGATGATGAGAAACGGTCGTTATTTGGCGATGCTAATATAGAAGTAGACATAGCATGCAAGCAGCTTGCACAGATTCCGGAGTTGACGGAAGGTTTTGGCGCTATAGGGTTCTCTCAAGGTGGCTTATTCCTTAGAGCACTTATTGAAAGATGTCCAAATGTGACGGTGACAAAATTGGTGACGTTTGGATCTCCACACATGGGAGTCCTGGAGCTTCCACTCTGTGCCAGGGACGACGACTGGATCTGCAAGAAGAGAAACGCCTTGTTAAAGAAGCAGGTATGGAACTCATCTGTACAGAAATCTGTGATCCCGGCCCAGTATTTCCGGGATACATTACAATACTCCAACTATTTGGAGCACTCTAACTTCTTGTGTGATGTGAATAACGAAAATCCAGCCACATTCAGTGCTGACGCCAAGAAACGTTTCGAAAGACTTGAGAAGCTCGTTCTTATCAAATTTGATCAGGATACCACTCTCGTACCGAAAGAAAGTGCCTTCTTCCAGGAATTAAGTTCCTTGACAGGACAATTGGTTGGTTTTGAGAATACTCGTTTTTACAAACAGGACTTGATGGGGTTACAAAAGCTACACAAAGACAATAAGATCGACTTCTACAGCGTCAACGACCAGCATATGCATTTTCTGGACCAATTCTTTGTGGAGATTGTTGGCAAGTACTTTGGCTTCGGGCTATAGGTGTGGGGGGCACGGGTGTGCACCTTCGGGATTTGGAGTAGCACTTGAACTACTACCATGTCTCGAGTTTCTCGGCTCGCGGAGATTCGAAAGAGGCGAGATGCCAAAAGTGGGAATGACGGACTGAAAGAAGGTGGTGAAGTGAAGAATGCCGTTTCCAGTGAGTTAAATGCTGAGATTAAGCTGAGGGACACAGGCAGCAGAGATGAGGTAGCAGATAATGAGAAAGATGCTGCAGACCTAGTCCAGGAAACTGCCACTAGTCAGCAGATCCCCGATGCTTTGGCGTCGGATGATCAAGAGAGATTGTTTCGAGAAATCTACGATCAGACGGGGTTTTTTGAATCCGAAGGTGTCCAGACAGAGAAAGCTATCAGCTACAATAGCGACCTCAAGGAAGATCTTGCTCCACTCTATGAGCGGGCACACCACGGTACAGAGAGAGCCATCAATGCGATCATCCAGAAGAAGTACCAAGAGAGTGTGGGGCATTCTGAATAACTCGTGTGGATTAAATAGGCCAGGTTATAATTTGGATAATTCTAGGATAATTTGTAAATTCAAGTAAGATATACTCGTCTTACATATCAATTAAAACATAACATCATTTTCCCAACATGGTACTCTCAATCCTCATTTCACCTAATTACATTGTGACTCGATTTACATTACTATGATCTTCCAACCTTCGCACCTCCCGGGCACTGCACCATGCCCGTTTCGGCAGTCGAGCGTCCTCCAATAAAATTGCAGAATGGCTGCCGAATCTAGTGCGAACTTAAAACCGATTTTCAAAGAAAAATCTACCTATTCTTCACTACACAATGGCTATCGTCAACAGAATTGTCACCAGAGCCGCCCGTCCAGCCTTGTTGGCTGCTCGTTCTCCGTATGTTGAGGTCTTTTTATTTGTTTTCTGGCGCCAGTTTTGACTGGAGAATTCCGAATTGTTGGATGCACCTTCCATTTACCGACAACACCAACAAGTCCCACAAATTCAAGATTATTTCGAACCAATATTTTAGTGTTCATCAATTCCGATCAGTGAAAGGCGTGTGAGTTGATTTTCAGCTTCCCAGGTCTCCAAGAGCTTGAGTTAATCGTGGTCTTTTACCCATATATTAGTCTCCATCCCTGACAGTCAACGAAATCACTTAGAAACAATCTACAAGTCCAAATATCGTTCAAACTACCCCATGATCCCGCTTTTTTCAACGCAATTTACCCACATTCTCGCCAGACACCTCCAGACTTATACTAACAAATAGAATCGGTGTTCGTTTCTTGTCTACCCCAGTGGAGCCAAAGGAGAAGGCCAACTCCATCATTGATGCCTTGCCAGGTAACAACCTCATCTCCAAGACCGGAATCTTGGCTTCCTCCGCTGCTGCCGCCATTTACGGTATCTCCAATGAGTTGATTGTCCTCCACGACGAAACCATCTTGGTCATCACCTTCGCTACTTTCACTGCTTTGTGCGCCAAGTTTGTCGCTCCTTTGTACACTGAGTGGGCTGATGGTGAGGTCAAGAAGGTCAACGACCTCTTGAACGAGTCCAGATCCAAGCACGTGTCTGCCGTCAAGGAGAGAATCGACTCTGTTTCTCAGTTGAAGGACGTTGTCTCCACTACTAAGCAGTTGTTCGATGTCTCCAGAGAGACTGCCAAGTTGGAGGCCGAGTCTTTCGCTTTGAAGCAGCAAATTGCTGTTGCACACCTGGCCAAGGCCACCTTGGACTCTTGGGTCAGATTTGAGCAGCAACAGAGAGCTCAGGAGCAGGAGCAGTTGATCAAGTCTGTTTTGGACAAGGTTAACAAGGAGATTGGTAACGCCAAGTTCCAGGACAAGATTTTGGCCGAGTCTGTTGCTGAGGTTGAGAAGATCTTCTCTAAGGCCTAGATGGTAGAACGAGCTACGAATAAAAATCAGGAAACAATATATTCCCAGTGCATAAGCTGATGTAGATACAAAAGACCATGACTCGTTGTTATTTCATCCCAATCAGAGTAAATCTCAAGAGAGTAACATCAATCAGAGCACTTCTTAGTAGGAAACCGATATAACACCAGCAAGTACACCCAAGTTCGTCATTTATTACCTCTGATCTAATTAAAACTTATTTGAACTGTGTTAGCAAATGCAATGAAGGCTTCCACACATGCAAAGAATTGTCGTCTGCAACACTGGCAATCATCCAATCCTCATGAAGAGACCAATCAAAATCATTGACACCCAACATGTGGCCCTGATGATCGAATAATAGCTTATTGTCGCTGCTCATATCGTGCAACTTGACCAGTCGGTCGGCGGAGGATGTACCTACCACGCCATTGAATTTGGGATGCCATTTCACCTGTGTTACCGAGTCAAGATGGGGAACACAATCAAATACACTTCCATCTAGATTTCGAATATCGAGAATCCCGAGCCCACCGTTGCTATGGCCCGTAGCCACACAGAATGCATTACCAGGATTAACTGAAACACTGTTTACAGGGAACAGAGACTTATAGGCCAGCACCTTCTGTACTGAAGCACGAATGTCGTAAACACATACAGAACCATCGTCCTCAGCAGAGACAAACACAGAATCATGACCAGGAACCCATTCTAAATCATTGACTCCACATGTGCTTTTGTATGACCAGTAGTGGTTAACAATATTTCCTGTATTGGTCAGGAAAGCGGATTGGATGTCGTAGACATTGATGGAGCCGCTCATGGATCCACTGACAATGACGCCTTCCTTCTGTTTGTTCCAATCGAAGGCAAAAATGTCAGCCACTTGTGTCACGTCCAGATTCTGGTCCTCCAATCGTAGCTGTGGATCGTTGATGTCATTTTCCTCCATTAACTTCTTGATGTTCAGATGCTTTGTACGATTGTACACCAGCAAAGCCCCCACATTGTTGGAGCTTGCAATAATGTCTGGATTCTGAGGCATGTAGCGAAGCTTATTGACGTCGCCAGCATGGTTGATAGTCTGGACTACCCGGAGTTTTGTCTTCAGCACGGTGGAAAGTTCAAACTCCTCCTTTTCAGCGTTATAGTTCCATTGATCCATGTTTATACACTTGTTGAGGTTGCGGTAGTAAGGCATCTGGTGGATCGACATGTTGTCAACGGCCTGGCCCAAGGTAAAAGTACCTACTAGAAGTCTTTGAAACGCAAGCTGCGGCGACTTCCCATTGGTCTCTTGTTCCAAATCAGGGAAAAATTGCACTGTTAATGACGGCCATAGGAGCGAGTTAGTGGAAAGATAGTCGTAGAGGTACGGTGAGTTCTTCTTGAAGATGCGGTACCGAAGTTGGGTATCTTTGTCGATGGCCGATTCGTGGTCATCGACTTCAATATCCTGAGTCGCAGCTACATCTGTCATATTGTAGATGATGGTAGAAATTCAGGAGTGGATGTAGGTTGAGAAGTGGTTCCAGACGTTGGTGAAGATGTGGAGATGATCGCGACGCGGTATATGAAGAGATGGAAGAAACGTCCTATGTATGGGATAATTTAGTTGACAATAGTGATGATTGAAAATATGATACTCGGTAATTTCATAGTCGATCAATTAGGGTCAACAAGTTTGAATATCGCTCTTATGAAAATTATGCATTTGAGAATTAATAAATTGTATAATTAAGTTCTTAAGAGATTCGCAATGGCTATGTTTGAAGATGTGATTTCACTGTCATTCAATAACATAGATAAAAAGGTATTCAGTCGCAGCAGTTTGTACTGAACCACAGTGATTTGTACCCAATACCATTAAAATGATCCATGAATACTTATCAAGATGCAATGCCTCGAACACTGGCAACCGAATCGGCATCGTCCATGCCTCCTCTGATAGTTTCGGCTACCAGCTCAAAATCTTGGTTGAAGATCGTCCCCTCGCCAGCAAGAAACTCTGTGAGGTCTCCCAATACTTCGTTCACATACTGATCCGTCACCTTGGGCTTCTCCTCCATATTGAGTGGATTGGTCTTCGCTGAAGACACGTCGAGGTTGCTCAACACCTGGCTGAGCTTGATAAGCTCGTAGTAATTGTCATAAATAATGGATTTTTTCTCCACATCATGGTGGTTGAGTTTATTGGCGGCCTGGTTGCGCAACCTCAACATCTCCTCTATTCTGGCTGTCCTAATGTACTTCTCCAACTCCCCAGCATCTTTTAGACTTTCGATGTCCACTTCACTAATCTGTTCTTTCTCGCTGCCAGCTGGATCCTGTCCATCGGCAATATTTTGGTTTTTATTTCCAGGGATGACTTCACGTCCTCCTTCAGTATCTTCTGGCTCCGTGATAGTGATTCCTATTCCATGAAGCTCGGTCTCCGGTTGCTTCTGGCTCTCTGCCTCCTGCAACTTGTAGTACTCCTGCAAAGCCTTTCGACGGGATGAAACTTTTCTTGTCCCTCCTAATTTGGGCGTGGCTGCCAGTAGCGGCGTTCCTGGCGCTGATACTATAGGACTAGCCACAGCACTCGACAGTTGGGGCAGCTGGGGATAAGAGGCGGTATTCGAAGCTGTGGCACTAGAAGCCTTCAGCAGCGGCTTCTTATACGATAGAATGGGCACCGGCGTGGATTCCTTTGACATATTCAATGGCAATTGCTGGCGTAGGGTATAATATGTGGAGGTCTGTAGATACCTACAAGTAAGATGTAGTTCTAGGTGGTGCAGGAACACCATCTCTTCAAATATCATGAGTGAAGAAATCAGACTCAACGACTCCAAGTTGGGGACCCAGGAGTAGTATGTGGAAATTTGGGAGCTAATGACAGAGTCCTTAAGTTTTATTTCTGTTACTAACATTCAGCTGGAACAACTTCTACAAGAGAGAAATTGAGAACTTCATCGACAACGAAAACGATACTGGAGAGTGCTGGTTTGACGACTCCGATGCAGAACGCAAGGTAGTGGAGTTCTTCTGTGATGTTCTCCAAGATGGAGACATCGATAATAATTTGAAAGTGGTTGATCTCGGCACTGGAAATGGTCACTTCCTCTTTGAACTTCTCGATACCGTCAGCGAAGAGGTCCCTGAGGCTCAACTAGAATACCACGGTATCGACTACTCACCTGAGTCGATTGAGTTTGCTAAGCAGATTTCTATTAGGAAGTATCCTGACGAAAAGTTCATTTTCGAAGAGGTTGACTTCATCAATAAGGAATGTAGCTACTTGGTTGATAACGAAGCGAAATTCGATATAATTTTTGACAAGGGAACGCTTGACGCCATTGCATTGAACAACGACCCTGTAGAAGGTTTTGGCACAAAGATCGGTACGGAAGTGTACCCTTTCCAGGTGTCTAAGTTGATGCATAAGGACTCGCTTCTTATCATCACCTCGTGCAACTTTACCGAAGAAGAGCTCATTAAGGTGATCACCGGAGACGGATCCAACAGACTTTCCGTGTGGAAGAAAATCGATTACCCTTCGTTCCAGTTTGGCGGTGTCAAGGGATCTACCATTTGTAGCATAGCATTTCGTAAAGATTAGAACTAGTATACTATAAGTTAATTTTCGTCTCCTGTATCCTCGTCGGTGGCTTCCTGGGTGGATGGTGCCGAGGCACTGTTGTTGGTGTCCAGTCTCGTGTTGTTTTTAGCTGTTGCTGCTCTCACCTCATTCACCTTGTCCACCAACTCATTTCTAAGCGTCTCGTTCGAAAATTTGATAAGATATTGAACCGGTTTTCCTTCAGGAGAGACAGAGTTGAATCTTAAGTACTTTCCTGGCGCCAAACTGGCCTCCAATCCCTTAATGAGCACAGTAGTGGGGGTGATTCTGTAGTTCAAAATAACTCTTAAAAGTCCCTGCGAACGCATGACGATTCTTACTTGCGACACATCGTCAAGAGATTGATTCAAATGTAGTGGTCCCAAACCTCTTTCCTTCCAGCCCTCTTTGATCCTGGTCAAATCCAACTCAAAGAGTTTGGCAGTGGCAGAGTACAAACTGTGCTCGTTTTCCTCTCCTGTCTTGACCTCCTGAGCAACCAACTCCACCTGCTTGTATTGTTGCGTGGCCCTTGGTGTTTCTGGTGGAGACTTGGACTCTGTATTGTCGGTTTCAGGCTCATCAAGAAACGACTTCTTTTCTGTGGCTCTTTGGAGGGCATTGGCGAACTTTGAATTGGCTCCAAACAGGCCAAATGAGCTACCAAACGAGCTTCCAAATGAAGTTGCCGTTGCAGCTTTCTCTGGCGACTTCAGCGGTAATCCATCGAACACATTGGTCTTGGACTTCATCTTATCGAAAATGGATGCATTGCCAAAGGTGCTGGTGGCTCCAAAGACAGGCTTGGGAGATGGTTCTGTGCTATTCTTAGAAGAGGTATTGGTTGTCTCGTTATCTTTCTGAGTCTCTCCAGAGTCGTTAGCGGGGTCCTTCGACTCAATTCTAGGGTTCTCTACTTTGTTTGTGGATTCGGGAGTGATGTTTTCCTCGCCTGATTTGACAGCAGATCGGTCATCCAGACGCAACTTCTTGGCATCCGAGGCATCCTCAGGACCCTGCTTTCTCTTCAAGGTAGGTGCCTCCGACATGATGATGATGAATGGTTGAAGGTTGTGGAAGTTGATGGTAGTATCTCTGTGCACTACGTCTCCATAAAGTTGAAGGTAGCATGAACCACACAAAGTTGGAGATAGACTGTGAATGGAAAAGAAGAGTCGGAAATGATGTTTGAACGGAACAATTCCTCCGTTCAACTTCATATATTCATTTTTCTCAAGTTTTAGTGTTCTTGCTGGAGGCTGTCATTAGTTATATAAGATGTGATTCTCTCATACTGCACACCACAGTAAGCTTGCCAACTGTTTCTTATGGTATGTAATCGATTCAACAGACGTAGAAGTTGCTAACGATAAGTCTGAAAGGGAGATTGCCAGTCTTCAGAAGCTCCGAGCCACGCTCGAAATGGTAAGAGAGTCCACCGAGAGAATATATCATGATGTGGAGAGAGCAGTGGAGAACCATCAAAAGGTTCTGGCTGAGACAGCTAAGACCGTTGAGACATTAAAGAAGATTTAGGATAAGAATTCATGCAAGTGAATGGATATGTGTGAGGAAATAAAAGGATGATAATTATTATGTTAGTAGATAATAGTGAGAGATATCGGTGAATTGTAGGAGAGAGTTGTGTAGATGTAAGAATGGCTGAATTTGTTAATGCCAATTGAATGACTCGAATAAAGTCACAAATCGCAATCACTTACTCAAGTAAATAATTTAGGAACCTCATTTAACTGAAGGATTAAGGAATTTCATTCAAGTGAATGATCTAGGAACCTTTTGTCAGTCACTTATGTCAATCACTCATGTCAGCTCTTATCAGTAAGATAAGGCTAAACTTTCTTCAATTTGAGTTGACTAAACAGAGCCCGCACTAAAACATTCATTGACTGATATTGAGTTTATTTTAGCTAATCAATCACTGCAATCCATTTTCTGTCACCAGTTACCATGAACTTGCCATCTCCACCAATGTTGTGCACACAACCCCACATCATCAACCTTCATTAATCAACATCGAAATCTACCAACCAAACACCATGGTGGTTTCTTATGATGATAAGCGTATCTGGAAAAACATCGATACAGTTCTAAAAGATGAGCTCGTTCTAAGTATTATCTCCAATCTCGAGTGTCTGATTTGCTCGGAAGTTATGCATGTGCCTTATCTAGCACAATGTGGCCATTCGTTCTGCTACGGATGTCTCAATTCATGGTTCGAAACAAAAGTCAACTGTCCCACTTGCCGCACGGATATGGATCTGCAGCCTACTTTGAACATCCAACTTCGAGACGTGAGCAAAAGCATCACAGATCTAGTCATCGAATGTATGGAAGATGAGGTGCATCAGAAAGAGCTTAAAGAAGCTCGCACCAACGTCATCGAGGAGCATGAGGAGGATTTGCGGAAAAGAAGCTTATTTGGCGAAGCGTTCAATAATGCGCCGACATTGGTGGATAAATCCGATGGAGTACCACGTTGCGGAAACTGTCACTGGGAAGCACATGGAAGTGTCTGCCTACATTGTGGAGCCCGTTTCCGAATCTCGCGGTCGGATCTGTATTTCGACTCGGATGACGGAGACGCCTATAACGAAGATCAGGACGAGGTGGAACTTTATGGCATTGCCGATGATAATGCATACGACTCACAAGACAGCTTTCTCGACAATAGAGATGCAGTGGAAATTAGCAACGACCGCCATCATGCACTGGAAGATGACATCCTATCTTCGGGTGAGGAGAGCAACGAGCTGTGGAGTGGCTTCAGAAATGATCCAGATCAGCTCTCGCGAATATATGGAGATACCGAAGATAATGTCCATATGGTTGATAGTGAAGATGATCGAAACAGCTGGCAAGATTCCGATGGGGAAAGTTCGAATATGGAGAGTGCAATTGATCGCATCCATCGTCAGGATGTGGCCGAGTATGTTGATCTTAGCGCAGAGGAAGGAGATTCAGAGGACGAAGCGGTGACGAGTCATCGAAGGGCTGTGGTTGTTGATCTGGACTCTGATTGGTAGTGTTTTATTAGACGATGACTACGAGTTACGAATAAAGGATGTGTAGGTATCAGAATCAATGCCAAACTGTGGGATTTTAGAGCGGGAGATAATAGAATGGGAGATAGTAATGTATGGGAGATGCCTCTGATTAAAAGCTTAACTACTGGTGTACGGGTGTAATCTGATGACGACCTAACCCTACTTTGAAGAAAAGATGTTATCAAACTCAAAGACAAATTTGACTGTGATGACTGCTGAACTCGCTTTTTTGCTTCATCGTGCTATGGCAAACTCACGGTACTTGCCCAATCCAACGCTTCCACCAACATCATCCAGGTCGTGTGCGCACCATACCATTCGTGCCTGTTCTAATTGGCTGGAAAGTGCGCTGATGTTTTATCGTTTGATACTATTCAGTTCAATACTCCATTAGTTTTCGTTAGCCATGGACCCACAGAGAATTATCAGATTGCAAAAGTTGTACCAGCACTCCAACAAGGAGTTGTGGTTGAGAGGACCACGCTCTAAGGCTTTGGTGTACCCATTCTACGGTTTGTTCGCCGTTTCCACCGCTTGCAGTTTGTACTGGACTGGCAGAGCCATTGCCGGTTTGAAGGACGAGTAAATGTTGGCTCAGCGCTAGTTTGCTGTCTATAGACACCTGAATGCATTGATCAATGAATTATTGTAGGAATGGGGGAGAGGAGGAGAAGAGGAGAAAGACCAGTGGAGGCAGATGATGAGAAGAGGACAAAAGGGAGACGACAAGAAGAGGGCGAGGGTTTTAGAGGTATGACAGAAGGAGAGGGGGAAGGGATGAGAATACATGCGGGTGTGGCCCTTTCAGAAATCCAGATTTGTTTCGAGTCTGTCTGTTCCAGAGTTTTATCGTGTTTTTCTTACATTGACGATGAGGAAGGAAAAGTATTGTCCTGTTCATTGAGCAATGGATAAATGAATGGAAGACACCTTTACCATACATGTACAGTGACTGTGTGTTCGATGTGACCTTGTATAGGTTGCTTCAGATGCTAATCAAGATTGTATGAACAATCTTGTATATTCTCAAACTTGGACGTGTTGGACTTGATCATTGAATGTACATTCTGATTATCACTTCTCCGTTACAGATCCAGTTAACTCTGATCGTACTTCCTGTTGTTGGACATACTAACTTACAAGTAAAGTTCACTATGGTAAGTAACCCAGTTGAGTCAACTCAGGTATGTGACTCAGGTAGTGACTAAGGTGAATAACTGAGAAAAGTGAACCTCAAGGCGAAAATCTACAACCCACGACATCTTGTTCACTAGACAGAAACGATCTCATTCTAAGAATATCCTAGTCTTTATTACGTATTCACTCCACATTCCACTGGCCTCATAACCCACCACTTCCAACCGCCGGGAGAATATCCACAATTTCAAACCGCCGCCGATTTCCAGTCAATTTACTTTATCAAATTTTCAAAATTTCTATTTATCTCCAATTCCCAATTAATCTTGTTGTCTTGCCAATACCCCAAACTTGGTATTCTGCAGGAATTACTTGCACCCAACATCCACCAGCTAAATTCAGACCATCATCAGACCACTCGATATCAAAATGACAAGCTTGCTAGATTTTCCACAATCGGTGGTCAATGAAATCTTGTACTTTCTTCCTCAGAATCTTCTATTCAATTTGGCACTTACCAATTTTCAATTCTATGAGCCATGTCTACGTAAGCTCTACAAGAAGTTGGTAATCCAAATCGACCCAGTGTTGAAGAATACAAAAGAGCCAAATCCAAGGCAGCGTCTTGACCACTTGGAGCTGTGTATCACTACCATAAGCGGCTTTGCCTCTGTTGAATCCTCTCCAGAAGCCCACGCTAGAATGTTGGAAGCAAGATTGAAGACTATATGCTTGGCCATTCAGGTGAACCCCACCTTGGCCACTTACATTGAAGAAATTACCATTGCTGATTTTCATATGGCTGATCTGACTCTCACTGCCATCCAGGAGCTACTTTCCACCATTTCTTCGGTGCCAAATAACGTCCATAAGCTCTACATTGCGAATAAGGTCACCAGAAGAGATCTACTTAATGAGATATGTCCTAAAGGTCTTCTGGACTTGTCAGAGAAATTTCGTTTGAAATCTATCTGCATTGATAGTCTTGGCCAATTAAACCACTTACTGGATCATTTACCTGATTTAGAGGAGCTCATTATTGCTGATGTGTTCGTCGAACCTGAAACCCTAAACCCTTCTGCCATCCGTACTCTTGAGAAGCTCAAAGTTCTCTTGATTCGGGATGACCCTGAAGTCTTTGGACCAGTCAGCTCGGCGCTTTGGGATTTGTTCTGCACGTCCCCGTTTTGGATGCTGAATTTGAAGACGTTTAATGTGGTACATACTCATGAGAATTCCAGACACGGTTACCCATACATTAATTTCGACAAGATTGAGAATTTCCAAATTTCTTTGGGGTGCAATGTCCCCGATTGTGACCAGGAATGTTTGCTCCCTAGCTTGGCCCGGTTTGATTTCTCCAACCTCAAAAGACTTTCGGTGATCCAAAACAGCGATTACAAGTTGAATTCTCATCTGTATTGCGAAAAATGGGATCTCACGGTGTTTCAATTTGTTAAATCTATTGTGGATGAATCGGACACTTTATTCTACCTTTCCATTCGTCACAATGTTCCTCCTGATGGAATCATCAATGATGGTTACGAAGGAAACTATATGCGGAAGGTTAAGCTCTATACCATCCTCTTGCCAAACCTCTTGGCCACCATCCAGAGGCATGTGGTAAACCTAGTGCTCCCCAATTTGGTGGCCAGCATGGCCTGCTACGAACAGCCCATGAATACATTTCTCTGGAATGGTTGTAAATGTGCTCACTGTGAGAAATATCTTGAGCATTTGGACGATTATCTCCTTCATCACAGATATTTCAGCGGAGAGAAACATGTGTTCAAGGATATTCTTACTACGCAGTTGATGCGGTCATTGAGTGAGGTTTTGGTTGACCGGGTGGTGATGGATTCCAACTTGGGTGACTTGTACCAGCTTTTCGGGCCCATGAGGAATAGAACATGGAACTTCCATAACAACAAGTTCTCTATTCCGTTCCGGTGCTTACCTGTAAAAACATATGAGGTCGCTGAGTTTGAAGATGACAAAATGGACGATAAGCGAGGCCGTACTCTTGACTACGAGGGAGCAAGGAAGAAATGTAAGTACCTCCACAGCGAGAAGTTCTTTCCGAACTACCTGATTGTTGTGTCGCATTTCCTTAACGACATCATCCGTAAGATGATCAACTTGAACCGAGGCGACGCGGAAGATGTCAACATTGGTCTGGTGACCGACGAAAACGATGGATATACCAATTTGCGGATCAACAAAATGTTAGTGAATGGTATTGACTACAATTTTGACCACGAGATCAATGGAACGATCTTCTTCATGAATTCGTTCGACGGAACGGATGATGAATAGGAAAAAAAAAGTATGTAATTAATGAATTTAAGACAGTGAATTATATTAGTGTATATAGTTTTGAGGAAAGTACTGGTGCCATGAACTTGATCCCGCTTTTGGATGTATGTATTTTGGGCTATTTAGATAGAATATGGCTAACAACCTAGCTAGTGAAGGTTCCAAAGGCGAGAACAGAAATTCCTGTGTCGTCGATTTCTGGTCTGGTGGAGCTCATTAATCAGTATGGGGTGATACTATTTGATGAACTTCAACACAAGCAAAAGTTCTTCCAAAGATACAATGGAGACAGTATCATTATAATTGAATGTGGTGTGCCAACTATCAAGTCTATTGCACCGTTCTCTGGCTACATAGTAACGTGTAGGTCGCCTGATGAACTTATGGACATTTTACGTGGAATCCCCAACGATCAGGACGAAGAAATCAGCAAAAGGCATCTCAATACACTCGTTGTGGAGAACATATCGGCATTCTACTGGAATCTTGCGACACTTTCGTCGCAAGAGAAATTCTCATGGTACAAGGGTCTCAATAACGAATTGGCGCAAATACGTAAAAGATATGGATGCAATGTGTTGGTAACCGGATGGGATATTGATTTTGATAGAGGATTCAATGCTCGACGAGTAATTGAGAAAGCTCCGGTAGCGCTTCAAGATCTAACATATCTTCCTGGCGAGTTATTCTTAGGAGCCACTCGAATTATACATTATGGGGAAACAACTTTGCACTTTCGAGATAAGAAATGGCGTGCAATCGATGAATAAGAGCCGAGGAATAGGAAAAAGGGTTAATGGAATGAAAATAAACGAAAGAGTATGGAATAAAATAGAGGTAAAATAGAACAAAATGGGTTAAAAGTGATGGAAATAGATCGATAGATTGGGAACAGTGAAAACTCTACAACACACACGAATATTCTGTATTTGATGCTCTTTTTGTGAAGCTTACATGACAGTCAAGTCACCGAACTTCTCCTTGTAACCAGGAACCTCCCACTTACCGTGGTTGATCATGTAGTTGACCTTCTCGTCCAAGTCTGGTCTAGCCTTGGCAACATCGTCAACAGTCAACTGGTCGAATGGTCTGGCACCCTCAATGTCCTTCAAGGTAGCCTGCAACTGCTCGATCTCTTCCAAGACAGACTTCTCGGTCAACTTTGCGTTCTCCACAGCCTTCTGCTCGAAGATATCAATAGTGTTCAAGGTCTTGGACACATCGTAGGTGACAGGCTTGAAAGTAGAAACGGCCTTCTGGATCTCCTCGACGACCTTCTGGTTCTTCAACACACTCTTGTAGAATTCAAAGTCGACTTCGGTGGACTGGGAGTTCAAGTCCTGGAACTCCTTCTTAGCCTCGTCGTTTCTCTTCTTGAAAGCAGTCAAAGAAGATGCGGTGGATCCGGTCAAGCCCAACTTGGCAATGACCTGGGCCCAGTTCAACTTGGTGGCGGCACTCTTGGCAACAGCAGACATTGTGAATTGAGTATAGATGGTAGATATTGGACGGTTGGTGCTGTGAGTTTTTCGTGGGTCTGAGGTGTGGGCGTGCGCAGCACACTATCCATGGTTCGGGCTTCCCAATTGGCCAATGGGGGACACGTTGTGGATTGTCGCAAAACCTTATCGCTAACTTGACCTCTTCATTTTCGACATGCAACCAATTGTATGGAAAAATGCATTGTTGCGTCTCTCCTTTGCAGATAAGTGTTTACCACTAGCCATTTCATTGGCTATGACTCTCGGTATCCTCCTTTCGGAATATGTTCCATCTTCAAGATCTGCATTTGAAGGGTCTCAAGTCATTGGTGTCCCTGTGCCTTTGGCTATAGGTATGATAATCATGATGCTCCCTCCACTCTGTAAGGTCCGTTGGGAGAATTTCTTCCGATTTTTCTCACTGAATATGTACTTGCACCAGATTTTGGTGTCTGTTGTACTAAATTGGGTTCTAAGCCCACTCTTGATGTTTGGGCTCTCGTGGGCCACCCTTTTTGATAAACCAGAATATAGAAACGGTATCATAATGATTGGGTTGGCACGATGTATAGCTATGGTCTTGGTGTGGAACGATTTAGCTGGCGGAGACCTGGATTTGTGCGCTGTGATCGTTATTGTCAACAGTATGCTCCAGATAGTCATGTATGCTCCATACCAGATCTTGTTCTGCTACGCCATTACTGGGGACTACTCTAAAGCAGGAGCTAGTGGTGTTACATATTCTGTGGTTGCCAAAAGTGTTGTTTTCTTCCTTGGAATTCCTCTTGCTATCGGTCTCGTGGTGAGATTATTGGCCATATCCACCATAGGCATCAACCAGTATAACAGAAGAGTAATGCCTTTCATCTCGCCCTGGGCTCTCATCGGATTGATATATACGATTGTAGTGATTTTCATCGAGAGAGGTCACTACTTCATTCGGGATATCGGGTCTGGGATCAGGTGCTTTGTTCCTCTCACTCTCTATTTCTTCATCTCATGGTTTGGTGTGTTCTTTGGGATGAGATGGTACAGCGGCAGAACTAGAGTCATGGAAGCGAGTGGCGATGGGGCAGAAGAGACATTGCTTTGTGGGTGTGAAAAAAACACTGTTGAAAATGAGATCAGATGGAAATGGAGATGTGGAGCAAGTTATTCTGAGACTGTTACACAGACATTTACTAGTGCTTCTAATAATTTTGAATTGAGTCTTGCAATTGCTATCTCTTTGTATGGTTCAGGAAGTAAAGAGTCTATAGCGGCGACTTTTGGTCCACTTTTAGAAGTTCCAATCTTGTTGATTTTATGTTTTGTTGCACAGTACTACAGATTGAAGTTCTTGTGGAGAGACATTGATGGACAGGGCCATAAAGTCAACAACTGTTGAAATTAGTAAACAAACTCAAGATGAAATAATGTAGTTAAAAATTTTTAGGATTCTTTTCCTATGTTCTGAAGATCTTTTAATCTCGGACTCTTCAAACATGGTATCTACTACCTACATTCTCTCTATACAATACTATCAACAACTTCTCCAAATGGCTAAACCAAAAGATACGTCTGTGTGCCAATTATGTATACAGAATCCTCTAGACGAATCAGATGCTATCTCTTGGATCAGATGTGATATTTGCAGACAATGGCTTCATACCATTTGTGCCAATATTCCCACCTCCCAACTAGGAAAGATAGCATCGTACCACTGTGCTGAATGTGAGGCTGACCATGGACCTTCGCATTTGAAACGCCAACTGAAGCGTGCTAGGGTCAAGATTGACTACGTTGCACTTGATCAGGGTGAAGTGTTTGCTGTGGACAAGTCTGAACATCCTCATGTGTCAACTTTTCTAGCTTTCGAGCCTGAGGCTGATAGAAGCAAGAAACTGTCTTATATAGACATTGTGAGTGCAGAGGAGCTCACCAAACATTATGTGTTGAGCACAGAATTGCCCAAACCAGTGTTAGTTCCCAATGTTGACAATGGAGAGAGTGGAATGGAGCTACCGTGTGCTCGAGAGAATATAACGGTGGCCTACATCACTGAGAAGACCGGAAACAACGAGCCAGTGGAAGTCATGGATGTGTTGTCACAGCAGAGTGAATCGCCTGGTTGGAATTTGGGTCAATGGAGAAAATACTTCTATACCGATGCTCTGGATCGAGACAGAATACGAAATGTAATTTCCCTTGAGGTATCTGAGGTGGAGGATCTAGGCAAGTCGTTCTTGCGACCGGAAATGGTTCGCCAAATGGATCTCGTAGATAAGGTGTGGTGTGATAGTGATGGAAATAATCAAAAACGTCCAAAAGTGACAGTCTATTGTCTAATGTCCGTGGCAGGATCATACACGGACTTCCACATTGACTTTTCCGGAACGCCAGTATACTACACGGTCTGTCTGGGAACAAAGACTTTTCTCATGTACCCACCAACCGAAGATAATCTTCTACTATTTAAGTTATGGTGTCAGGAGCCACAGCAGAATTTCATGTGGTTCGGAGACTATTCGAAGCGAATCCGTGGAAAGAAGATGAAGCCTTCCAATGGGTTCAGGGTCAATCTACATAAAGGAGATCTTTTTATTATTCCTAGTGGCTGGATCCACTCTGTGCATACGCCAAAGGATGCTGTAATTATTGGGGGAAATTACCTTACTCTCAGAGATGTGCCTATGCATTTGAAGATTTACAACATCGAGAAGGAGACCAGAGTACCTGCCAAATACCGTTTTCCAATGTTCAATAAAGTTCTTTGGCTCACTAGTTGGTATTATTTCAATCACAAGGACGAATTTTTGGCCGATACTGGACTCAATCTGGGCAAACAAGAAACTACCCAATATCTGGACAATCAAGAAAGCAATCAATATCTGGTCATCCCAGGTGTAAAGCAGGAATACGCTATCAAAACTGAGCACGAAACCATTTATCCCGCTCAAGAAATTAATGACGATACTAAGAAGCTAGAGTCAACTTCTGATAACGACAAGAGACGAATGATTTTGGAGTCCATGATCGCGCACTTAAAAGAACACTACGAAACCAGCAAAACGAAGCCAGTTGCAAGGAAAAGTATTCCTTTTGCCTTGATCGGCAAAAACATACCTGAATATTTGGAAAAGTTGGAGAATTGGGCAAAAGAATACCAAACTATATAGGTCCATTATGTAATTACGGGAAACCTCTATTAGGGCAGCTTCATGTGTAATTACTTATCTAGTTCCGTCTCATTCCTTATCTTATCAAATTATTATATGCATCTACAACTCCAACTTGGCACCCTTCTCTCTAACAGCTTCACCAAACTTCTTGATTCTGATCGATTGCACAGCAATGAATCCAGAAGTGTCCTCTGGAGAGAAACCAGTCAATTCGTCCATAGAAGACTCAGTCTCGTCGTACAACTTCTCAGTCTCGGAGAATCTACCCAAGATGATCACGGAACCCTTGTAACATCTGGCTCTGACAGTACCGTTGACGGTCTTCTGGGATGGAGCAATCATGGCTCTGACATACTCACACTCTGGAGTGAAGTACATACCGTTGTACAACAACTTGGAGTAGGAGACGGTGACAAACTGGTCTCTCAAGGCTCTCACCTCTCTGTCCAAGGTCAAACCCTCCAAGTCAATGTGAGTGTTTCTCAAGATGGTCAAACCTGGAGTCTCGTAACAGCCTCTGGACTTGATACCAATGAATCTGTTCTCGACAATATCGATTCTGCCCACACCGTTTCTTCTGGCCAAAGCGTTGGCCTCAGTGAACAACTCAACTGGCTCGGTGACAACCTTCTTACCACCGTCCAAAACCAACTTGACGGGCAAACCCTTCTCGAAAACAACGGAGAAGTCCTCTGGAGTCTCAGGAGCATCCTGTGGGTCCACAGTCAACTTCCACATGTCCTTTGGTGGAGTGGTGTTTGGGTCCTCCAAGATACCAGCCTCAAAGGAGATGTGGGCCAAGTTCTCGTCAGTAGACCATGGCTTAGCCTTGGTCTGAGCCACTGGAATGTTCTTCGAAGCAGCGTAGTCCAACAAGTCCTTTCTACCAGCAAATCTGTTGAAGAACTCTGGGTCTCTCCATGGAGCAATGACAACAACGTCTGGCTTCAAGGCGTAGAAAGACAACTCGAAACGAACCTGGTCGTTACCCTTACCGGTACAGCCGTGAGAGACAGCGAAACATCCCTCCTGTTCGGCAACCTGGATCTGGGCTTGAGCAATCACTGGTCTAGCCAAAGAAGTACCCAAAAGGTAGACATTCTCATAGATAGCGTTGGTCTGGATGGCTGGGAAGCACACATCCTCGACGAATTGCTTTCTGACATCGACAACAACGAACTTGGTAGCACCAATGGCCAAAGCCTTCTTCTCAGCAGCCTCAAAGTCCTCTTCTTGACCAATGTTAGCCAAGAAGGCCACAACTTCGTAGCCCTCTTCAAGCAACCAGGCGAGAATGACAGAGGTGTCCAAACCACCGGAGTAGGCCAAGCAAACTTTTCCCTTAGACATGATAGATATTATTGTTAGAAAATAGTGAAAGAAAAATCCTATAAATGGGGCCAGGGTGGGTGGACTTTATACTGATTGTCCATCGCGGCAAAAATTTTCAATTACCGGATTGGGCACTTATCGACGTTATCTGCACTGCTGTGACTCACCATGGCATAAGTAACGCGGTCCTTTTCGGAGATTTTTCTTACCAATTGGAGATTTGATTGTCGAGAGGTCTGGATGTTTTCATTGCTTAATCTGTAGACCAATTCTATATTCCTTTTTAAATGTTCTTCACTAAGTGGCTCTCCTATTTAGTCCGATATGGATGTGGTGTTAGGCGCGGTCGTGTGTGTACCAATTTTGGCCCAATCATATCTCGTTGAATTACATGCAGTCTTCGCCAATGACTCGAAGCCTCTGCCTGTACGGCCCACGGTGACTTTGGGTCATTCCTGACTCCTGTACTGTGACTCCAAACCAGTTCTGTGACTTCAACGGTGCCCAAGGACTGCACAGTGACTACCGAGGCAAAAACGAAGAAGAAAATGCAAGCCAGAATTAGCCAATTTCGTCCGAAACAAGCTCATACTGATTCAAATATCGAAATTCACCGACACAACTCGTATGAAACCTTTAAATTTGATTGAGGACATTTGTTTCCTCGAGACTTTGTTGATGACTCCAAGTCATGAGTCAAGAGGTACGGGTGTGCGACCTATGACTCGTCGTGACCATGAATCACTAAATGACTAAAAACAATACAAGTAGTCTCCAGGTCTACAAATAGCATGTTTGATGTCCAGATGGCCGACGATAAGAAGCTAGGCGTCACCCACTCCATCCGGGAAAGACTAAATTTCCTCGATGAGCGTCTTTGGAAGCGGTTTCTGGCTCGCAGGCTCGAACTCATCGACACTATGGACTTGAGTCTGAAGAAGGCGAGCGAACAGGAGGACGAGATCAAGAAGGCGGCAGAGATCCTTCGCTTGGAGTTTCACTATGATCAGGACTACTTTCCGGACTTCGATAAGCTCGTTCGGGCTGCTGTACAGAGTGTGAGACGAAATCGGAAACGTTCAACGAAAACCCGTCGAACCAACATGAAGAAAAGACGACTTTCCAATGACCATGACACTCCTGAGTTGCATGTTAAAGATGAGAATTTGATGGACAGTGAAGGCAGTGACCGGTCGCAGTTTCTTCTGGAGATCGCAAGGCTCAATACTGTTGGTCAAGAGGTTTATGACATGAGCTACTCCAGAGCGAAGACTTTCACCAGCGACGACCATCTGAGAGCAGCAATTGACTCCATCATCCAACCTGTGAATTTGGAGAGTAGAGGGCCTCACTTGGGCGTACTACTTCCCCCACTCGCAGGAGGAACAGTAATTGGGCTGCTGCTGGCCACCAATGAAAAGGAGCTTCTGGCTATTCGGCTCTCGCTCTTGCTACTAATGAAAAGATCCAAACTGTGTCTTGAGCATACTAAAAAATCGGACTCCAACTACATGCGAGTGTTGGGTCAGTCGGCCATCATGTCCATTTCTGCCATGGTGTTTGACAAATCATTCTCTGGTCTTAGCGAAACATCTGTCGAGTACTTAAAGGAGAAGGTGACGCTGTCTTCGTTTTTGGCCCGTTTCTATCGCAGCCTCGAACCACAATCGGCAGTCACGGAAGCTCTAGACGACGACACCGCGGCATTGACATTTCAGACTCTCATAGGCTGCTGCATCAAGGATTTCGGCTACGACCGCATTCTTTTCCAGGTGGGCGAGGCCTTCTACCGTAGTATCTTGCTTGAGTATCCATTGGTGCTGAAATCATCTACACCCTTCCTTCGTTCTGAGATGGATGCCTCTCAGAAGAACGATGGTGACGAACACCAGAAGTTCCTGACGTCTCTCACGAATTTGGCCACAGTCGCCTCCGAACTTCGCAGCCATCTCCCCTCAGTATCCCCTGGAATGTCGTTCGAGCCTGAGGGAGACCATCTACAGAAGAAACTGGTGGTTCTCCGGTTCTTGCTGTCTTCATTGGAATTTACATATCCTATGAAAGGCTCGGCGCCTCCACGACTTGTTGAACTCATGGAGAACGCCAAACAAGCCTTCAAGCTCAATGACAACCAGATCTTTGCATTGCGCAACCAGAAAACGTCGGTGGTCATCAATTCAGATTTCGACTTGGAGAAGATCTTTGAGCAAGAGTCCAACATCGAGCTCGAGATCTTCCCTCAAAGATTCCAGGCCATTCCAATCTACGAATTGACGTCGGCAGTCACCTCTACAAAGTATAGCGACGACTCGCCCAAGATCATCCTACCTCCTCCTATCACTCACTCCAATTCACTGGTTCTTCCTGGTCCCATCAGCCGTCCACTGCTGAACGGGTACCCTCGGCCTCCTATGTTGCCAAAGTTCCAGCCATTATTGTGACGGATGAATCCAAGAATTGTTTGTCATATTGCATATTTCTCCCTACATTGTCTGCACAAGTGTTTAATTGTTCCACGCATAAATAAAAGCGTAACTAGAAAAAGTAGAGAGAGCATTTGCCGATTTGAAACGAGAAAAGCTACATTTCATTTTAAGTTCGGAATTTTGTTTTTCAATCTTTACTTTCTATTTCAATTTTTTGTCCTCTTTTTCGATTTCCACTTTAATTACTCCAACAACCTAGTCTCTCCATGTAGTGGTGCATACATGCCTGGAGTTAAATCATTCAACCGAATGGAATCATACACCAAGAATTCATATTCACCTACTATGGGTGATTCTGCCTCACTTCATGACAGACCGGTTGAAATTCTGGCAAGAAATCCGGCTCTTCCTAAAAACATTTCCATAGATTCTTCCCGAGAGCATTCGCAGGCACCTCCACAACATGAGCAGCTACAGACCATCCTGTTAGCTAGACCTAGCTACGTCCCCCCGCTAAATTTCTCGTTGGTCGAAGATGGAATCTACCGCAGTGGATTTCCAATGCCCATCAACTACCCATTCATGGAGCAGTTGAAGTTGAAAACTATAATCTACTTAGGAGACTTGGGACCGGAGGTTTCCAAGGACAAGATCAAGAAGGACAAGAAAGACAAGGATAAAGAAGAAAAGAAAGCGAAAAAACCAAAGAAGGATAAACATGGTACTGCCGAAATCTTCGAAAACTACACGGCATGGATCGAAACCACCGACATCACCTTCCACCATCTAGTGATGCACACTTCACAAGAACCTTTTATTCTGAACACACATGCTGAAACACAGGCGGCTCTCGTGAAGGCGCTTGAGCTCATGTTGGATAAACAGAACTTCCCCATGCTTATCCACTCTAACAAGGGCAAGCACCGCATCGGAGTGTTGGTAGGGCTTATGAGGAAGATTCTTCAGGGTTGGTGTATGAGTGGCATTTTTGAAGAATATGAGAAGTTTGCTATGGGTAAATCCGAGTTTGATTTGGAATTTATTGAGCTCTGGCAGCCTGAGCTAGCGTACGACGAGGCATACCTCCCGGGGTTTGTACGAATATAGATATTTTGCACCAGCCATATATTGAAGTTCTAGGGTCTTTCTCAACTGTACTTCTTATCTGTTCAACACCTTAACTATCCTAACTGTTGTTTTTCATTTGTCTCAACTTGGCCATCACCTCAAAACTGTCTGTCTCACCCGTGGCCTTCTGCACCTGCGGGTCGCTAAGTCTCATGAATGGATTGAACTCCAATTCGTCACCAATGGTGGACTTGCCGGCCGTGTACTCGTTGGCCTGTGCAAGCTTCTCAAGCGCAGCAATAGCAGGATTGCTGAGCACCGTTTTACTGAATTTGACATTGGATTTGGTGTACTCGTGTCCGCTGTACACCACAGTTTCCTTAGGCAACTTAGCCAAGATCTTATTCAATGCGGTATCCATTTGTTCCGCGCTTCCCTCAAAGAAACGACCACAGCCACTGACGAAGAGTGTATCTCCCGTGAAAACTGCCTTTTCACCGGTTTTGGAGTCCTTGACATAATAGCAAATGGAGTCCTGGGTGTGGCACGGAGTGTGGAGTGCAGTAATGGACACATTGTCGCCCAAATCAATAACTTCCTGGTGTGAAGGGGTGTAGGTGACTAGCTCAGAGTCCTTTCCGGCGATAATCGGCAAGTCCGGGAACTTCTTGTGGAAAGTTTTATTGCCTCCCGCGTGGTCCCAGTGGTGGTGAGTATTGACGATTGCTTTCAACTCAAATGTCTCCTTTTTCGTGTCGAGAAAGCTCAAGACGTCTTTGGGAAAGGCTGAGTCAATCAACCATGCGTTCTTGGTGGGCTCATCCACCAAAAGGTAGGCATAATTATTGGATTCACCCCAGCTCAGAGGAATTGGAGTGATATGCATTCTGCGGAGAAAATGGAGCGATTGAGATGGTCTAAGGAAAGCGGCGAATTGGATCGGGGACTGGAGCACACGGTTCATATACGTGGACGCGTTTAGTCGTAGCACAGTGCTGTAGAAGGTGGCAAATCCAGGTGTTAGACAAAGAACTATAAACTATGTATCTTGTGACTGAGCGTAATCAGCATATACCGGATTGGCCAGAGTATGGTGTACGGAAGCAACGAGAAGCAATTAGAGGTAAAGAGGAGGACGAGAGGTTTCAAAGGGGATCCAAGGGTTTGTTATGTCGAAGGTACTGTTCCAAGGACTTTTCTTAGAGTTTTGGTCGGGGATTGTAGAAATTTAAAGGACTTTATTGAGTGGTTGCTAGGTAGTGAGTATGAAATGTGGAGAAGCAAAGTGCTGCCAGTGTATATGATGATTTTGATTGCGAGGGTTTAGGGATAGGAAGTTTTAGAAATTTCATGTTGAGTTTGGAATTGAAGATGTAAATTGTGCAATTTTTATTGTTATGTTTGTAGGTTTATGTGAGTTGGGTGGGTTTATACGTATTTGAAATTATTTCGTTTCGCAGTCATATTGCCAAAGGAGAAAGAAGCCATAGAAAATCGAAAAGACAGAAAGATAAGAAATATGAAGGGGTTCAATTGTTTTAGATAATCATGAAGAGAGAGGCTGGTTACTTAATTTACTTTTTAAACACAAAGATACAGAATAATATCAGGTCAAGTTGTGGATTGTCATTGACCCATCCAGACATTGATTGGCAACGAATATATCATTGACACAAACATCTTCATTGAGAACATAATTCATTGCGGAGATTTTCTGAATAAGCATATAATTCTTGAAGAGTTGGTTTTCAACTTCCTTCCTTTTTATTTCGATTCTTCTCGTTTCAATATTCACTCTCAACTGATACATTCAATGTAATGAACCAGATAATCACCACATGCCACCACATAAATCACTACAATATTTCGTCTCATTTTCTGAGGGAACCTCGAAATCTTCACTTTTGTATCTCTAAGGAAGAAACTCTCAAAAGAAACTTCAAATGTTTCTACCTAGGAATCTTACGGTGCACTGTCTGCCACGTCTAATGTAACCCTGCACGAATATCTACTTTCCATCTTTCACCAGAAACTCCTATTCCCAACCATGAAGTACTCGTTACAGACACTCGTGGCGGTGCTTCTAGGCTTCGTGGCACTCGCAATAGCAGAACAGGTACAATTTGATTTGACCCAGCAGCCTCCTCTAGTCGACAACTCCACCGCAGCCCAGTATGACAGGTTATCACTGGATTCGCTCTTTTGGGGCCCCTACAGAAGCGGAAATTACCTTGGAATCCGTCCACGGCTTCCTTTTTCGCTCATGTCGGGGCTTCTCTGGTTCAATGTTGATGACCAGAGTGGGTTTGGTACTTTAAAGCATAAGTACGAGCAAGGCCACAACGTGACCAAGGCAAATTGGATCGAGTTTGATCCAAGATTTGGAGGCAGACAGGTGATTGCCGACGGAGACTGTCACATTGACATTACAATTGACTTTGTCAAAAGTGACAACGGAAAAAATTGGGCAGTAAAGATTAAGGCTGACCCTCATGAAGGTTTCGAGAACACTAGAACGTCTTTCGTTTGGTATTCGGGCCTTGAAGGAGAAATGTATGACGAGGCTCAGGGAATAAACGTCCCAGACGGGTTTATTACTTTCGATAACGAGCCTAGCTCCGTCGGATACACTGGAACGGTGGGACTTTCTGGCTTTTCCAAAGCTTTGGGCACTTTCGAGTTGAAAATCAATGATGGAGGTGAGCATACCAACAACAAACATCCAGAAGTTGACAACTTGATTATTCCGGAATTGGATCCAAAATATACTCACCATCTCAGTCTCCGCATCGCCGACGGAAACCTGTGGCGTGGAGACGAGATCTTCATCACCTTATTGCAACAGAGTATCCAGGACTTCACTGAGAAGTATCCTGTAGAGTCTAGAGGTTTCTCTGCTGCGCTGGGACTTTTGGTCAGAGATCTCAACGGATACGAAGGAAACTTTCACTTGATCCAGAAAGTCTACGAGGGAGCGTGTGAGTTCGACATAATCTATAACGATATGGCCTCACCACCGACGGAAAGATTTACTTTCGATGATCTCAACACACGTGTCGAGGCAACGATTAAGAAGTTCAACACAAACTTCGACAAGCACTTTCCACTCGCTGGTGCTACACCTGAGGAGAAGGTTTTTGGAAAAGAATTGCTCTCGGGCCTTTTGGGTGGCCTCTCGTATTTCTACGGAGACCATAAGGTCGATAGAACAACGCTGATTGAAGAAGAGGTGGAATTAAACGAGGAGGGTGATGAAGAAGTTCATCTTCCTAAATTCAAGGGCCAGTTCGAGGGTCCCTATGAGTTGCTTACATTGGTTCCTTCCAGACCTTTTTTCCCAAGAGGTTTCTACTGGGATGAAGGGTTCCATTTGCTCCCATTACTTGACTATGACACCGACTTGGCATTGGAAATCATCAAATCATGGTTCAACTTAATCGATAAGGAAGGATGGATTGCCAGAGAACAGATTTTGGGTATGGAGGCCAGAGCAAGGGTTCCTGCCGAGTTTATCGATCAGAGCACAGCGATAGTTAACCCACCAACTATTATGCTTGCATTTACATATTTGCTCGATAAAGCCAATCTCCAATCCGACAACAAACCAGTGGATTTGGATGCCATTGAGGGCGATATTTCCAGGGAAAATCTCGGTAATATTGTGGTGACTAATCCATCTTTGTTGGCCAACTACACCAGAGAAATATATCCAAAGTTGAAATTACATTTCGACAGTTTCAGAAAGTCCCAACAAGGGTACGTGGAGGAATTCGATAGAGGTGACAACACCGAGGCATATAGATGGCGTGGAAGAACGCTGACCCATTGTCTCGCCTCAGGTCTTGATGATTACCCTAGATATTTGCCCATTGACACTGCCGAATTGAACGTTGATCTTTTGTGTTGGATCGGAGTGATGACCAGATCGATCAAGAGGATCGCTGAGCTATTGGAGATCGATAATGACGTCAAGTTGTATACCAAGATTGAAAACGATATTTCTGAGAATATCGCCAAAATACATTGGTCCGAGGAAGAAAAATGTTACTGTGATGTGTCTCTCGACGAAAACGAAGAAGATGTTCATGCTTGCTACAAGGGCTACATTTCTCTCTTCCCATTCTTGACCAAGTTCATTCCTCCTCTGGATGTGCACAAACTCGAGAGTGTTGTTGATCTCATCTCTGACCCCGAGGAGCTTTGGAGTGACTACGGAATCAGATCTATCTCCAAATCAAGTGAGTTCTACCGCACTGGCGAGAACTACTGGAGATCACCTATCTGGATGAACATTAATTACTTGGTGCTCGACAATTTGCGGTACTACTATGATAATTCAAGGGAATTTTTGTCCCCAGAGCTCAAAGAGAAGATTGAGACCACTTACACGCAGCTTCGGCACAATATCATCTCCAATGTCAAGAGTGAGTGGGAGAGATCTGGATATGTTTGGGAAAGTTACGATGACAAAACCGGAACAGCTAAGGGAGCCAAGAACTTCCTTGGATGGTCTTCGTTGGTATTGTTAATGATGGAGATGCCAGAGGTGTTGGCGTAAAAGTATATAGAATCGAATCTACATGCATGGTTCTCATCCAGTAGATATGTCCCAAAGCTTCAGATTACACATCCTAAGCTTTCTTTTTTTTTTTTAAAATTAGAACATGCCTTACGTCGAATAATTAAAGCTTGCAATGTGAAGATTCATTTTTGATAAAGCCTTTCATAGTGATATTATCTACAGAATGTGGTCCATCTAATCTTTCCTCCATACTCCACATATCGCACTTCATAGTTTAAGCTCCAACTACTGATAGCATGAATCAAAGCACCACAATTGATCCTCCGGTCAATGGAGACCACCCAAGTGTCCTTGGAGAATCTCGACTGCAACCACATGACACTATTTCCAAACACAAAATCAACAAGCTCATCCTCAACTACTTCATCCAGGAAGGTTTCCAGAACGCTGCTTTGAGTTTTGCCAAAGAAACCGCGCTAAAACTCGACAACAAGCCAAAAGTGGAGTTCCCTAATCGGTCTGGAGCACTTCTGATTGTTTCAGCCGCCAACATGGAGCCTGTAGACTTTGTTCTGGCCGTTAAACGATACGCAGAGCTGAAGGCGCAGAATCATGGTGATTCGATGTCTTTCCAAACGGAATCGGCCTCTGAAATGGTGAAAGGATACTCGTCGATCGAGAAGAGAAAGAGAATTAAGTACCTTATCTTGAAGGGAGATATAACGCAGGCTATTCACATCATCAGTACCTATTTCCCCACAGTTCTAGACTCGAACAACCTTTTACTCTTCAAGTTGCTCCGGTTGAACTTGATAGAGATGATTCGTGAACACAAGTTCCAGACGGAGTCAGAGAAGTCTAGTGGTGCCGATTCAGAGCGCAAATTCTTGGAAGACATTCTCCTGTTTGTGAGGGAGAACTTGATTAGCAAAGTCACCCATTCCCATGAGCTATTGAAGGAGTTGGAAATGACTATGAGTCTCCTCTGTTTCAATTTCAATCCTAGAAAACCAATTGAAGAGTTGACAGATTTACCAGAGGAATTGCGTGTGTTGTTCGATCTTTCTTTGCGGAATGAATGCTACAGGGTGGTTAACAGGGTCATTTTACTGTTGGAATCTTCGGATCTGGATATCCAGAAGTACAAGGGACTCGCATACACCGACTTCAGTCCAGCAATGCTTCAAAAACTCCCACACGCATTACCTTTGCCGTCGCACGAGGATGTGGAGATGGCCGATGCTGCTCTCGGTGAATCGACAAAGAATATGGATAATATCGTGTCGTTTGTACATCCACTTCCCCAGAGACCCGAATCTGCAACGCCGAATGGAGAAGAAGCAGTCGTGGAGCAGACATTGGAATCTCATTTGGAGAGAATTGCTTTGCTTTGGATAGCCACTGAGCAGAGACTCGTAGAGAGAAAACTCATTCCCTCGAAGCGATACGGGCTCGAAAAAACAGATGGGGTAGAGAGGCTCTAAAGATTTTTAAGGATGTTTGATTTTTGATTTTGGTGCTAGTAAACAACAACGGCATCGATGACATTACCTGTTTCTATGTGGATCTTGCTCAAGTACACCTTGTCGCTTTCGTGGCCCACTTCAATGGTTTTATTATTGAGAAGAAAGACATCCTCCTTGGAGAAGATTTGTTTGTCCTTCTTGAATTCTGAATACACTGACGACTCGTGAATGGTGTCGAGAATCTTCTCTCTCAAGTGCTCGATTGTGGAGCCGAATTCAGGCTCGGGATTGTTCTCGAAGTCCTCTGGACTGAATTCGAAGTGGTACTTGACGAACTTCTGGAGCCCGAAAGTATCCTGGCCCAATTCATTGAGTCGTTTCCAGTTTAAGATGTTGTATGTGGAGTCATGCTTTAACTTATAGTACTGTTTGACCTTATCAAGGTCCGCCTTGCGAGCAAAGTTAATGCGAACATAGACATGAGCACAATGGACTGGCACCTCGGTGAAGATTTCTCTGGCGTGGTATTCCCACAAGCCCAAGTAGATGCCCGTCCAGTATATCGACTCGTATGTGAGTAGACAAACGAATAGGACAAAGAGAAACTCCGAAATTACCAGAGATACGGGATTTTGGATCAAATCATTGGTAAACCAATGAGAGGACATGATCTGAACAAAATGGGCATCGAAGCGTCGCACGTACGCCGTCACAACATCCACAAGAAGCATAATTCGTTTGAACTCGTGGAGACAAATGAACTGATAGTGAAAGTCCGATTCGGATACGTGCAGGACGTTGATGGGTTGGTGACGACTTGAAGTGGGGAGGAGGAAAGGGGAAATTTGAATTGAAAAGGGGATTAGAATTTGAAAGAATATAAGGCTTAAAGAAGATTTGACGTCGATTCACGGGTGTTTTTCTTCTTAGCTTTACGTGGATTACTCTAGTGGATAACTTAAATAGTACCACATTTGAAATGTCACTGACAACCGGTCACTAATTGTTACTTTCTCTTTGAAATACCGTTCTATTCTTTCTGTACTGTTAATTGTATTTATGCGGTGCTGGCGTGATTGAGTTGTCTAACTCAAAAAACCACATACAATGGGCCTGAGGGTTGAACAACGTCATATTTCTGGTCTTCAGCATCGAGACTCTTGACTGCCTTCAATATCTCCAATTTCTCGTCCACGCTCAGTAAATGCGGGTATTGTCTGTCTGCCACATCCAGGCCTGCTGGACCCACGCTAGGTGATTGGGCCACTGTATCGGCATCGTCTCCATCGTGCAATCTAGGAAGCAGGTACAGCGAGCCCGGATGTGAAAGAGTGTTAACAACTCCGCTGCTTGTGTTGCTGAGGAATGCCGACACGTCAATGAGGTGGTCGTTGAGGTCGTTGACGATGGTGTTGAGCTCGTTCTGACGTTGTTGCTGTTTCCATGCCTCTTCGTGTAGGTCTTCGTCGGAGTATATTTTGGCGCCGCCGAGCAATGATGTACGCTCATTGGCATCGGTTTCATCATGGCCCAAGCACGATAGACAGGCACCCATGACAAATGAAGGGGGATGAAAGGTTGGTTGGAAAGATTGCAGAAAGAAGGTTTGAGGTGAGCGGCACCACGTGACAAATCACGTGCATGGGCTTGGCGATAATACGAAAAATGTCTCGGAATTGCCTAAACAGATAGGAAGATACGGCAGAGTCACCAGATCACAGGAACGACCACAAAAAGAGCAAAAAAAGATAATCAAGAAAACGATCAAATGAAGCCAATTTGAAACGTCTTAATCTTTCAGTATTACTTCCTTACTTCTGCAAATAATTATCTGATATCATCCCCAATTTTTTGACACCCCAATGATTCTTTGATCGAAGCTGTCAAAATGTCTGGACTTTCACATGTAGTAAGGTTTCGTCATCGCAAAAAAAGAAATCAGCCACAGAACAATATATTCAGCAACATCACCCACGGCAGAGGTTGCTGATACCTATACATTTGGTGTTTCTCCACTTTTTCTCTAAATTTTGTTTGCTAATCTTTTATTTTTATTTTGTTCCTGGCTTTCTTCCTAAGAACCTTCTTGTGGTTGCCTTATCTCGTCCATTAGACACCCTGCGCATCCATCTCAGGTGCATATCACTGATATCCACATCCACAATTTGATTCACATGGAATCAGTATTTTTCAATCTTCCTCCCGAGCTCCAGCAGCTCACACTCCAGTTTCTACCCCTGTGGGATCTCGATCGTCTTTTTGACCTCCAGGCATTATCGCAGCCAAATGTCCCAGATCCTTATCTTATCGTGAGACATCAGGCGTTGGCTGCCAAATATATGTGGAAAAGCATCGTGGTCAGCAACGATCCAGACCTTGCCACCATTAGCTTGGACCAACTTGATTACTTGATGTTGCATCGGATTTATATCTCCCCTAAAGATGTCACGCTTGCTGTATTTGACTTCACAAATTACGCATCTTCGGTGGCCTTCATGCACAAGCTTTTCACCACATACTTGCCGGTATTACAGAACTATACACGGAATTTTCGTATTCGATTGATTCTAGTGGAAAACGTGCCTTTGGACAATTCTTTTCTCCGTCTGTTGTTTGAGCCTCTCTGCTCTCCCCAGCTCAATCTCAGCTGGTTCACTATCAAGTACCTGCCTGGCTTCAGCAAGTTACAAAGGAACCACGATAGCGAAACGAGCTTAATGAATCTTCTCACAAGTACCAACGAGATCGCCATCGAGAATTTGGAGCTCCATTTGTTTGACGCGTCCAATTTAGTCCAGCATTTGGTTGATAGTAATGGGTGCTTTCACTGTGAGAACTTACGCACATTGGACCTCTCATTCAACAATTTGACGGAGTGGAATCTTCGCAACCTCAAGTTTCCTTCTACCTTGGAACACTTGAATCTCTCCAACAACCAGTTGCGTGGCTTGACCAACAGCTCATTCCACCACCAGTCGTTAACCAACCTCAAGACGTTGGATCTCTCCAACAACAATCTCATGCGGATCGAGCTTCACAACTACCGAAATGGACCCAACGGGCCCTACGTGTTGGAGTCCGTCAACTTGTCAGGGAATATTTTGTCCGATTACAGTGGCATGTTCCACAGTGACTTGTTCCTGAACCTCAAGGCTATAGACTTGTCTCTCAATTTGATCCAGAAAGTGAGCAAATTCCCTTCGTCGTTAGTCAGCATCGATTTATCGGGAAACTATTTGTCGTTGAGTTTTGATTCTGTGAATACGATTTTTCCAGCCGGTCTTCGCAAGCTTTCTTTGGGTACCAATGGGTCATTGGCAACATGTGGAGCGGATTCGGCGAAGATGATGATTCAGGCTGCTGGTTTGCAGAATCTTCAGGAATTGGAATTATGTGGTAGCATGTACGATACTAGGTATGCACTTTATTAGAGTTTATAGATTTATATGTTTGGAATAGTTTATGAGAGATGTAGGGCATCTAGACTAATACCTTCAATGCGAAGTTCCAGCTATAATATCCTTCCAATATGAACTTTCTTTTTGGCTTCATTTTCTTCTCTATATAATTATTTCTTCTAGTATTAAATTCCCTTCAATTTTTTCAAGTTGCTTCTTAGTTTCCCACTTTTGTCCATATAATATGGCTTCCCAATATCGTCATATCCCATAGACAATCTACAGTCTATCTTGCTCACTAATCTTATACACCCCCATACCATATATATCGTTACATTTCTTCAACCATGGCCAAATCACTAGCCTACTGGGCATTTGAGACGTTAAACTCCAAACTCAACCCAAATTCCGCATCTATCGCCTTGAAAGACTACAACTCGTCATTGGGAGTATCGTCCTCGGATTACCCATCCAAGGCACCACTTTTTATTACTTGGAACAAGAATGGCAACTTACGTGGCTGCATTGGAACGTTTCTGAGCTCACCAACCGAGTCTGGAGTAGCCAATTATGCTCTAGTCAGCGCATTTGAAGACCCCCGATTTCCGGCCATCTCATCATCGGAGTTACCTCTGTTATCAGTTAGTGTGACCTTGCTAGACAACTTCGAGCCAATTGACGACCCTAACGACTGGGAAATTGGCGTTCATGGGCTTAAGGTTAAATTTAGTGCAAATGGCAGACATTACCTGGGCACTTTCTTGCCTGTTGTGGCAGAAGAACAAGAATGGGATAAGAAGGAGACTCTTTGGAATCTCCTCCGCAAGGCAGGGTACAGTGGAGTGTCTAGAGCAGGAACTCTTGACTTCTACAACAAGGGTATTACTGAGGGCTGGATGGATTTGACGAGATACGAAGGCTTGAAATGTGGCCTGGATTACAAGGAGTATGTTGCTGCACGGAAGGAATTAGAAGGATGAGAGCGACAGTACCAAGCTGTAATTAGAAGGCTCTGTTTGTATGTCTTTGGTTTTCACGGTTTGAGGTTGATCTAAATAGGTCCATTATTGTTCACAGAACTGACTGATCAGTAAAATGTAGTGAGAGTGAGGGAAGCAAGAGCTCCATGAGGGGAAAGTGCATGATAGTTCAAAGAAATTGAAGACAACAAGGACGTAAAACTTGCCTCTCATTTGTCATTTCCATCCACTAGATTTAAATTGCTTTGCCAATTGATATAGGTTTACTTGTCAGTTGTCAGTTTTCTCTTACACTTTAAAACTTTCAAAACTGACATGAACAATACAACCTTCAAGCAACAAAATGCAACCACAAAGTCCTGATTCAATCATCTTTTATCGATTCATCTTTTCAAACAATTTACTCTTCAGAATCTCTATCACTTCAACTTGATCATTAATAAGCCAATGAACGTTCCCCACATCCCATGCACATAACGGCTGCGAAAAATGATGACTCAACTCCATTTCTTATGGCTTCCCAAACCCAGATCCACGAAAATGTCCACGATATCAGGCTAGATGTGCACAATGATGGTGATCATGGCGGCGAAAACATCGAAATGGTATCTTTCGCCGTGCCGTCCTTTTCTCAGCCTTTGAAAGTATCTGGTGTTGAAGGTCTGCTGCAGACTCTTCACCGGAGAGCAGTAGCGGAATCAAGGCCAAAAAATGAAGATATCACGATGTATACTCTGGAAGCGAATCCAGATGATTTCCCAGATGGTGGTTTGCGTGCTTATCTTGTCTTGGCAGGGTCTTTTTGCGGACTTATTGCTGATTTCGGGATTCCAAACTCTTTAGGTCCACTTGAGGCTTACGTTTCCAATAACCAGCTTAGTGGAGCTAAGCAAAGTACTGTTTCATGGGTGTTTTCCTTGCATTTGGGTGTGATGTTCTTTTGCAGCATCTTTTCCGGTGGCTTGTTCGATAAGTATGGCTCTCGAAAGTTATTGATTGGAGGAACAATCTTCATGTGTGGAGGATTGCTTGCCACGGCAGAGCTGAAGACAATGTACCAATTTATTCTAGCATTCAGTATCGTCACGGCATTTGGCGCCTCTTTGGCCATGGCTCCGTTGATCGGAGTTCTTTCTCATTGGTTTCTTAGGAAGCGAGGCTTTGCATGCTCTTTGGCTACCATCGGCGGTCTTGTGGGCTCTGCTGCATTTGCTGTTATGCTTGAACGGCTCTATTCGGATATCGGCTACAAATGGGCCATGAGAGTGTTATCGCTCATCTGTTTGGGGTGCATGTCTATATCAATTCTTCTCATCAAGGACAGACATACAGTTCGGACTGTTGTGACCCAAACGTCAGAGTCCGAGGAGATCACGTCAGTCGTTGAGCCGGTAACGAAGTCTGGCTGGAAAGTCGATATGTCCAACTTCCTTGACCTTTCTCCACTCAGAAACATTCGATTTGTCTCCCTTGTCATCTCAGTGTTCTTGTCAGAGATGATTGCCATTTCAGTATTGATGTATATGGCTTCATATGCCTTGGCTAACGATATTTCCCAATCAAAGAGTTACTTGCTCATCACAGTCATCAACATTAGTGGTATTCCTGCTAGATTGGCCACAGGTATTCTCGCGGACAAGATTGGAAGGTTCAATGTGATGTTAATAACGTCTTTTTTCACGGCGATTTTTATTTTTGCTTTGCTTTTGCCTGCTCGTGGAAACATTACTGTGTTGTACGCATTTGGAGTTGTCTATGGATGTTCTAGCTCAGCAGCAGTGAGTCTTATTGCGGCATGTTTGGGCCAGATTACACCAGCAGCCACGTTTGGGAAACATTATGGAGTTCTTTACTTCTGCCTTGCATTTTTGATCATCATAGGTATTTTCTCTGCGTCGTTGACCATTCAAAATGGCACCAAAGCAGATTACCAGAACTGGGTAGTTTTTGAAGGATGTGTGGCTACGGCTGCTGTATTTTCGTGGTTGTGGGCACGTTATACTCATGTTCGGTTCCGTTTATGTAAATTTTGAAATAGACTTACTTAAATTCTGATTGATACTCTTTTGCACTAAATTGATTATCACCCCCTTGTAAATCAAACCCCGGGATCTATCATTTAAGAAAGGATACATTTCAAGGACATCTGGAACATCCTGCACACAAGTGTATATGTGTCTCAGCAAGCCTGTACCTACCGAGGTGGAAGATACTCAACAAGCGCGCAAGTGGTTTAGTGGTAAAATCCAACGTTGCCATCGTTGGGCCCCCGGTTCGATTCCGGGCTTGCGCATTCTTTTTTTGGAAATAATGATGTGATTTTTTACATTTCCTTTCGCATTTTGATTTTATTTATAGTATTAGTGGTCATAATTGGTGGTTATCATTAGAGGTTACATTCTGCTATGTGAAGGTAGTATTCCTTATTCGCATAACTACGGCGGAAAATATTCTCGCCGGGTCAGTCATAGGCAGTCTTGGCTTGGCACTAGAAGAATATAAAACTGGAGCAGATCCCTGGAGATATTAGTTTAAGATTAAAGATTGAATAAGTTCAATCAGATAAATTACACAATAGATCTCCTCTAGATATTGACTTGCCGAAGTTGGTATAATCTTTGCATAGTCAAATTGACGGATTTATAGTTCAAGAGCTGAAATCTGGGGAAACTGGAAAAACAGGAATTGCTAAATTATTGTGGAACTACAGAATTTTCTGCAAATACAGAGTACATTGTTAATTCAAAACATATAGATATTCTACCAATCGGAACCATACTGAATCTTCTTAAGCCATGAGGACCTGTGATACAAGCTCCAACTTCAATGGTCTGGGCATGAATGCCCGAATCGTATCGGTTTTTGTTTTGCTTGCAGTTTCGGCATTTGGGTCGTTCTTCCCACTCCTAGCAAATAAATGGAGATTTATAAGGCTCCCATCAAGGGTGCTTGCATTAATAAAGCAGTTCGGTACTGGTGTCATATTGGCTACCGCATACATTCATCTACTAGGCGAGGCCCAGACCAGTCTCACTAGTCCATGTCTAGGCGGCGTATGGGAAGATTACTCGTGGTCATCTGCCATTTGTCTAATGGGTACATTCACCATGTTTAGCATCGAGATATTTGTACAGCATCTCGTAAACCGAAAGCATCGGAAAGCTCTCGCAAAGGAAGACAGGACAGAAAATGATTTGCATGTATATTTTGACAACGACAGCAAAGAGGAATACCAAGTCCAACAAAGATCTCGGTCGGTGGGATCTGGAGCTCTAGCACGAGCAGTATCGCAGGTACCTTCAGTTCCATCTATTGCACAGGCATCAATTGTGCATGGATCTCTTGGTGTAGAAGAAGAGAGCAAGAGAGACGAGAGCAAGAAAGGCGAGGAAACACTCAAGAAACTCACCAGTCTTTTTCTTCTCGAATTTGGTATAGTCTTCCATTCAGTGTTTGTAGGGCTCTCATTGGCAATCGCAGGTGAAGAGTTCAATACCCTCTTCGTGGCCATTTCTTTCCACCAATTCTTCGAAGGTATAGGACTAGCTTCACGGTTTGCTACCACATCATGGCCACCAAACATGCGTATGGTACCATGGATCTTCTCGACGCTTTACAGTTTAACCACCCCTGTCGGCATAGCTGTGGGACTTGGAGTTCGTCATTTCTACCTGGACAACTCCACAGGTACCTTGATTGTGGTGGGAGTGTTTGACTCGTTTTGTGCTGGACTACTTATTTACAATTGTTTGGTAGAGTTGATGGCGCCGGACTTCTTGGTTGAAATGCAGCATAGTAGTGGAAAGACCCTTGTCACTTCTTATATGCTGTTGGTCACTGGAACTGCCGTGATGGCATTGATCGGTAAATGGGCCTAGAGCGTTTTTTTTTTCTCAAAGTCATAATAATATAATAAATCATTGTTGGGTGAACACTCTACGGATTTTCTTTCGCCATTAGTTTATGCAAGTATTTCTATTGATAAGTAGGTCCCTCAGGCAATTGTGTCCAAACTGCGCCTCAAACTTTGTCAGAACTTCATCATCAACCCTCGGCTATCAATCTCCAACCAAAAACCCAGTCACAATCCATTAATCCGCTCTGACTCAATTAAAAACTTCTCAATTCTCGTCCGAACCATTTCAACCAAATTCCATGCATCGTATGCAACAGTCTGGCATACAAATGTTCAGAAGTTTTGTTGATACGGAAAAGGAGACACCTCGAACGTCACGTGCCCCACCCAACTAAAAGGTGGGGTGTCTAACTAACAATTCAACCATCTTTATTACCAGGAAATCCTACTAACAACTGGTGAAAGCCACTAAAACTCAACCAATCACACCACCTGATTCTGCTGTGTACTATGACAAAGCCATATTCGGCCCCGCTAGCGTACGGCGATGGCTCTTACAAGATCTTTGGCATGGAGAACTTCGGCAATACCTGCTATTGTAATTCCATCCTCCAATGCTTGTACTACACCACCAGCTTCCGCAACGAGCTTTTAAAGTATAAAAGCGCTCCTCATGACCGCCGTACTACCATCACCGGCTCGAGTTACCACACTTTCACTGCCAAATACGAGCAATTGGTGGCCAAGCGCCTACGGGAGCAAGGAAAGACCCCAGTACCCGCTGCCGACTCCAATGGACTGGGGATACCTACCAAGCCGTCAATTCGAAACTCCTTGTTCGGGAAGTTCTCGTCATCGTCCACTCCACAAGTTAGTGCAGATGGTCCTACGGATTCTCCCTACAAGAAGCTTGGCTACATCCAACTGGCAGAGCTGTGTATGGCGCTTCTGACTGAGCAACGACTCATCATCAAAAAGAATCCGGAGTTTCACAACTTGCAGATGCTTGTGACCAGACCGACGACAGCAACAACAGAAAACAGAAATGATAACTCCCAGAGCTCTGCGGCTCTTCTCGACTCCGGAAACAACAACAATGGATCGGTTCAAAATGCTGAGGCTGACACAGAATCATCTCAATCGAGTTTTGTAGTTGTGGGAATCCCCAGTCCCGAAAAGAACTTGGTCAATCCAATAAACCCGTTCAATGCCAATCCCTCCGCAGATCAGCGCAAGCGACTGGCCCTTATCAATGGTCCAATTCTTAACTTGGACCACTCGTTGCAGATCCAAACCGAAAAATCGAGCGACACTGTACTCCTCTACGCATTGAAAGACATTTTCGAGGCTATGGTGGAGAACCAGTCCCAGATCGGGGTGGTCTCCCCAGTATACTTCGTGAACAAGTTGAAAGAGAAAAACTTTTTGTTCAGACAAGTCAACATGCACCAAGATGCTCATGAATTTTGCAACTACTTGATCAATGAGACAATTGAGAGTTTGAACCATGAGGTCGGTGCTCAGAACAACTGGTGCACAGACATTTTCCAGGGAACCATCACCAACGAAACGAAGTGCTTGTCTTGCGAAACCATCACTTCCAAAGATGAATCATTCTTGGACTTATCCATTGATATTCCCCCGGTGAGAGTGCTTACTCTTTAGTGTATTCGCTTAACAACTTTTCAAAGCTGGAGACGTTAAATCACCAGAACAAGTTCTACTGTAACACATGTCTGTCTTTACAGGAAGCCGTCAAGACCATCAAATTAAAGAAGACTCCAGAAGTGTTAGTGATAAATTTCAAGCGTTTCAAATACGACGAAAAGTTGGACCGTATGGTCAAACTCTTTGACTCTATTCTGTACCCCTTGAAGTTGCGTTTATTTAACACCACGACCCCAGACAATGATAAGAAAGCTCACCCTGGTTCTTCTGACGACTTCACACTCTACGGATTGTATGCTTTGGTTGTCCACATTGGTGGAGGTCCAATGCATGGACATTACGTTGCCCTTTGCAAGTGCAAAGCTGGCCTTTGGTTCTTCTTTGATGACGAGACTGTTGAACTTGTAGATGAACTGTTCGTGCTCCGATTTTTTGGAAATGGTCCCGGTCTCGCCAGTGCTTACATCTTGTTTTACGAGAAACTTGATACTAAATTGGATGACGATGGCTTGGACTTGGGGATCGACTTACATGGTATTTATAATGGAAGCGATTACTCAGTGGCAATGCAAAAACCTTCGACCTCCAGCATTCCGTTGAAGACTAGCGTTCCGTTAAAGACTGGCGTCGAGGAATCTGACTCCAACATTTCGGAAGACGAAGATGTAATTCAGGAATACCGTGAGCCGCTGTTGGAAACTAGCACAGGAAGTGTGGGACGGAGAACTTCGATCTTCAAGAAAACTTTTATGTTTGATAGCACTGCTCGAGACGGGAACGAAGAGCCTATCACAAAATCCGTCTCGAGATCCTCGTCGACAAAAGACACGGAGGGCCCACTTGCTCCTAAACTGGCTACTACTATGTTTGAAAAGAAATCCTGGGTGAATGGATTAAAGAGAAGAGAACTGAGGAATGAAATCGCGCCTGCCGATCGAAAGGCCTCAATGGGGAGTATCAAGACTACAAGCAGCAGCATTAAGTCAGAAAAAGAGCCGGAGAAAGAAAGACGCAGGAGCAGCATCTTCTCTTTCAAGAGAAAATCTAAAAACTAGTCACAAGCGAGCCTGTCAAACTGCACATCAAGGTTACTTACATTGTGGCTATACAGTCCGAACGTTGATTTAGACTGGGCCACATAGTTTTGCGTAACGTCACGTGCGCCATTGGGGCAAAGTTGGTGGGGTTAGTCATCAAGATCAACATTGTGTTGCTTCTTTCCAAAGGCTACTTCTTTTATTTTTATAATTGTCATGAGTGTCATTTCCCCAACAATTACTACAACGCTGACGTCAAAGTTGGTGACTGTTGCTGCCGGATGCTTTTGGGGTGTTGAACGAGTGTTCAGCAAATACTTCAAAGGCAAGGGATTAGTGGATGCCAAGGTGGGATATGCCAACGGGATTAAGTCTGTTGGACATGTTGATTACAAAAAGGTGTGTCTGGGGTCGACGAATTTCGCCGAAGCACTCCAGATCTCATATGAGCCTTCTCAGGTGTCATTGAAGGAACTCTTGGATATCTTTTTCAGAATCCACGACCCCACCACGGTCAATGCCCAAGGTCCTGACCATGGTACTCAATACAGAAGTGCAATTTTCGTTCACAATGACGAGGACTTGAAGATTGCCCAAGAAATCAAAGAGCAATTCCAAAAGGAATGGTACCCAAACCACAAGATAGCCACGCAGATCGAGCCAATTGAGATCTGGTACGACGCCGAAGACTACCATCAGAAGTACTTGGACAAGAATCCTGGTGGGTATGAGTGTCCCACACATTTCTTGAGAACCAAGCCTAAGGTTTGATTCTGTACATTATAGACTATGGGCTCGGAGTTGCATGCTCAAAGCACATTCACAGTATCAGCGAGAAAAATGTTTATAAGAATTTCGAAAGCTTGAACTTATAGAAGTATATTGAACGAATCTTAATGAGGGATGTAAAAGTTAAGTCCAACTTCTTAAATAATCACTAACTCATTGATCGTCAGTCTCTGCATGTATGGCATCTACAGTACTACGCGTAAGTACAATTCTTCACTAACCACTAATATGTCACTCTGGGTAGATAAATACAGACCAAAAAAACTCGAGAATCTCTCGTATCATGAAGGAATTACGAAGTCATTGGGTGCCTTGGCCAGCACTGGAGACTTTCCCCACTTGCTAGTGTATGGACCCAGTGGAGCAGGTAAAAAGACACGGATCTACTCGACATTGAACGAGTTGTTTGGTGCCCAAGTGGAGAAATTGAAGATTGATGTGAAGACCTTCACCACGTCATCCAATAGAAAACTTGAGTTCAACGTTTTGAGCTCGCCGTACCATTTGGAGATTACTCCATCGGATATGGGTAATAATGACCGTGTGGTGATCCAGGATTTGTTGAAGGACGTCGCTTCTACAGAGCAGGTGGACTTTTCCAACCAGGCAAAGCTGGCTACAAAGCACAGATTCAAGGTTGTGGTGATCAACGAGGCAGACTCGCTCACAAGAGATGCTCAGGCTGCCTTGAGAAGAACCATGGAAAAGTACCTGTCCAATATCCGGTTGATCATGGTGTGCAACACCATAGCCAATATTATTGCTCCCATCAAGTCAAGAACACTTTTGGTTAGGATTCCAGCTCCCACAGATGGCGAAATTGCCAGCATATTGCTGAACATCGCAGCCAAGGAAAATCTCAAGTTCTCGTCCATCAGTGAAGATGCCCAGGAGCAATATTTCCGTACTATAGCTCAGGCCAGCGACCGCAACTTACGCCGGGCGTTGTTGAGCTTCGAGACGATTAGCATGCAAAATGAAACCATTCCAGTAGACAAACCAGAGACAACCATCATCAATTTGGACTGGGAGGTGATTATCCGAAACATCGCCCGGTCAATGTCCAGAGAGAAGACGGTGGCCAACTTAGCCAAGTTAAGAGAGACCTTCTATGAGTTGTTATCGCACTGTATACCAGCCCGACTCATATTGAAGACTTTGGCATTGGAATTGATGAACGGAGTTGATCCTACTCGGGCCAGGGCCCTTATTGAAATTGCGGCGGTGTTCGACGAGCGCTTGAGTCTTGGGCAAAAACTGATTTTCCATTTGGAAGGTTTTGCTGCTAAGGCCATGGTGGCCATGTCTTAGATGATTGGAAAGTTCAGAAGAGTCTAAGCCTTCAATCATCATTGAGTGGAAAGATTGAGACCGAACAACGGTAGATGAGAACATAGTATTCTTAAGTCCTAGAAGTCGGTGTATCATTTCTAGATGATTCTTTAATGATTCTACGATAATCTTCAACGTATCCCTTCGTTGTGATGCTCGATGCGGTTTATTTCCAACCAATTGGCCATTACTAATCCACTAATAAAACATTGCACTATGACAGGAAATTGTATCCAAATAACAACTTTACCTAGAGATCATACTCTACACTTAACATAATGAACAAACTCTACAATTTTCTAAAAATCATATTCAATTCTCTGTATAACTCAATTTATCTTAAACTTGTACCTTGTTGTCACCACCGAACTTGGAGTCTACAGGAGCACGAGCTCCATTGCTGGATCCCTCCACTTCCTCGTAAGATGGAAGGTTGTCTGGAGTGTCCCTGTACAGAGACTGTGGAGCAGCCTTAGGAGCAGCATCCTTAGAACCGGAATCCTTAGGAGCAGCGGGAGCCTCGGCATCGTCACCAGCAACGGCGGTCTCACCATGTTCCAAATCGCCGTTGACTCTAATGTAGCCATCAGCACCTGAAGCGGCAAGGGCTTGTGGCAAACCAACACAAATGAAGTAAAGAGCGTAAAGGAAACCACCAAAAGGAACCAAAAGCGTCAACAAGAAACTAATTAAAAATTCCTTAGTTCTAATGGTGTAGTTTGGTCCTGTCAAGAGGTAAAAAGGCAATGGGGCAAGGAAAATGGCCAAAAGCACCAAAAGGAGCTTTTGGGTTTCGTTAGGAGGTTGGGAGTGCAAAAATGCTGGAGAAATAGGCATTGATAGAAAGATAAAGTAGGTGGAATTTGACGGCAATAAGGGAACAATTATTTTTAGATACCTCACGTCATGGGATGTACGGGTCTGGATATGGCTCAATGAGTAGACACAAATTTGCAGTGAAGGGTGGAAATGGCGATATTTGGGAAATTTGTAATTTTTTTAGACGACATGGAATAAAAAAAATACATGCAATAGAAGAGTATATTTAAAATCCCGGAAAACTTCTGGTGAGACCATCTTTTCTCTATTGACATTTAGTATACGTGACCTCAACCAATATATGTTTACCAAACTACTAAACACCTATCAATTTTCACATAATTGAAGATTGTATTGGGCCGTTATCGACTCGAAGTCTTCATCTCTCGCATTCTATTTTCTTTTCCGAGAGTTTACCTTCATTTTCTATCGTCCTTATCAACCGCTATTACACCCCATCAATAAACCCTTACACCAACAATCTATATCCATCTTATCTTCACCACATCTTGCCTACCACATTATGGATTACGTCAAGAAGGCCATTTGGGGCCCAGACCCTAAAGATCAAGTATGTTGATACGTATTTAACCATTTATTGGACGATTTCTAACCTGAAGATGAGAAAAATCAACCTGTTACTCCGTAAGAACAAAAGAGAACTTGATCGTTCACTCAACCAGCTTCAGCCGCTCAAAAAGAAGACTGAGGGACTTATTAAGAAGGCTGCCAAAGAAGGTGACTACAAAAACGCCAAGTTGTATGCTCGCGAGCTCATACATATCAATAATCAGTATAAGAAATTACACACTTCGAAAACCAGACTAGAATCCATTAACATGTCGGTGAATGAACAGTGGCAGATGCGGAAGTTGACACAGTCTCTCCAGGTGTCCACTGGTGTCATGAAGGAGGTCAACCAATTGACCAATTTGGGGGTAATGACTGCCACGTTTCAGGAATTGTCGAAGGAATTGATGAAGGCAGGAATCATCAACGAGATGATGGACGACATGGTTGATTTGGAATTTGACGAGGAGTTGGAGGACGAGTCGCAAGAGGAAGTGAACAAGATCATCCAGGGTCTCACCGAAGATAAGTTTGCCAAAATTGACCATGAGGTGCCAACTACGGAGATGCCTGAGGAGGAAATCGCTGCTCCACTTGAAGAGGAAGACCATGAGATGTTGGATGAGATGAGACAGCGGCTAAAGGCGCTCCAGGAGTAGACATGGTCAATTCTGGAGAAAATGGCCTACCAGTTAATGGAGAGAACACTTATCACAAACCCAAGAATATTCCATGCCACCAGTGATGCCAGCGAGTGGTGTCTGTAAGGAATATACGGAGGATAGTGGATTTTCGACAGCATGTTTCTTGGTGGCCAGTCTCTGGTAGTGGTAATGGTGAAATGTGAGCTGTGACGAGATTGAGAGTTCACACTGGTGTTTGAAGAATCGATAGGTTGTTCGAGATCAGGTGCTGGAAGGTTGATATTGATTGAAGACGAGTCAAGATTGAAATTGGAGGTTTTAGTGTGACGACCGGATGAGTCAGCTGAAGGTAATGATTTAGTTGGTTTGGCGGATTTTGATTCAGTTGGCTCTTTGGGCACGGACACTGATCCCAGCGAGTTCTCAATCACCTTCTCTTCGTAACCATTCTGCTGAGGGACACTGGAATAGAGATCTTTGCGGTTTGAATCCATGCGATTAACGAGAATGGTGGGCGAAACCAAAACGGGAGTAGTGGAGTTTCCATATCTGGCTTCCATCTCAACACTTGACGGAAGAAAGAAAAGGAGTTTCTTGAGTTTACTCTTCTTCTCCTCTTCCTCTTCTTCCTCTTCGCAGTCTTCATTGTCATCGTATTGACCTTTGTTGAGATCAAAGAAGAGCCCTGTTTCAACCCGGAAGTCTGCTTGTTGCACGGTGGATTGTTGGTCCGCTTGTTCAATTGGTGGCACGATGTTCGCTGCAACAGACTGCACTCCTACAAGTCGTAAAGGTTCAATGATCTGGTTCCCGTTATTCTGACTTTTGATCTGGGCTTGCGCTTTGCGAGATTCCTCAACGAACTTCACAACGTTTGCGAGGAATGAGTTATCTTTGAAAGCCGGCGTTCTGATACCTCCAGCGGCATCTGTGGCAACGATAAGTGTTGCTGTGAATGCACCGATTATAGTGTGTCTCAAGAGCATTTGTGGTAAAGGAATGGATAGCTGGTGTATGGTTACTGCGCACAAATATCAAATAATGTCAATTACATAGACAAGTCAAATTTATATTATTTCAGCATATTAAACATTATTTAGAGAAGTGCAATCACCGCAGCAAATAAAAGTGCACTGGAATGGATGAAATCATACGATCCTGATGACATCTTGTTTGGAAATACCGTTGAAGAATTGAATATAAGAGTTGAGTATTTCCACCCCAGAGAATTAGACGAGTTGTATCCCTTAGAAGATTGTGTAGCATTGACCGGCTTCCTATTACCTGATGCTTTGACAGGTAAACCATAAGCATCGTACCAGTAGTCTTCATTGCAGTCGTCATCGGAGTTCTCGTCGTCAATGTCGTCCTCATTTTCGGTGTCATTTTCGTAGTCATTTTCGTAGTCGCCATGAACGTACTCATCGTCAGAGTCCTTGTCGGAGTCTTGGTCATAATGGTTATCATAGTCTGATTCGGAATCAGTTTCCTCTTCTCTCAAAAGCTTGTCCAAAATCGAGGAGAAGAGTTTCATGGCTTCAAAAAATTCCTTCTGGTCAGCATAGACATCAGCCTTCATAGCATGTGGACGTGAACTGCCAGTGACCTGATCCAAAGTGACCAACCCCAGATCTTTTGACAGTACTTCTTTGCCTTTTCTTTGCACCTCTTTCTTAGTCTTTTTCTTGGACTTTTTCTTTTTGGGTTTGACTCCATTAAGACCTTCCATTTTCTTTACGAAACTGGTTGGGATCACAACATTGTTGGTGACCATTTGAAATATTGGCGCCTTTTTCAGTTTTTTAAAACCCAGTTTATTTGTGTAAGGTGTTGCTGTCAAGCCGGGAGAGTTTTTGGTACGTAGCACTGGTTTCACATTCTGGGTTTCTACCAACAGGGCTAACAGAAGCAACTTCTTCTTTGCACTATTGTTGAGCGACCCTAGTCCAGACAATATATCGGTGAAATTGGTACCTCTGAAAAGCCTTTTAGGCACAGATAGCACGTTTGTAACGTCCTGGTGTAGCTTTTCTGTGATATCTTCCTTTGATGAAGCAAGTACACTAATTGTAGACAACAAATCTGTAGAAGGAAACAAAATAGCGTTAGCAACAGAACTAAAAGCAATGGCAATAAGTGCTAGTTGTTTCATTTCTTTAGCTGGGTAATAGTAGGTGCAATTTGGTTACAAAGGCTGGATATGCTGAGCATTATGCAATGCATGATGTATGTCAGAAACAGGAGTTTAAAAAGGACGAATGTTCTTCCAAAGAATCTTTAGGAAATTTAAAATTTCTCACGTCCTCAGTTTTTGCTCCACTTCCTTCGACCACTGGTCAAGTTCCGTGGCGACTTCTTGAAGAGTTTCAACTTGTTTCTCTATGTGATCCAAGTCATTTACCAACAGCACCAATTCCTCCTCCAACGCCAGCAACTTTTTGGAGTCCAGCTCCAAGGAGTTAAGATGCTGTTCCAATTTAATGTAGTTGAGCGATTGGTTAGTGTTGAGGTTTCCCAAGAGGTTGACATCGATGGTGCTAACCTCTGTGTCTGATTCCACCAACTTAAGACTCTGGTTGAGAGCATGGCGGATGAGTCGTGTGGTGTCTGCCAGAGTAGACATGACAACAGATTTATGAACGATTGAGACTGAGAACCCGAAGAACGAAATATCGATCCAAGATTAGTTGTAGGTTACTCCAATACTTCATCTCACTCGAACATGCACACTAAAAACCCACAGTCCTAATACTCCACACCCCCAACCTCTCACCATCTAATTTAATTCTTACAGTTTATTAATATATACAAGTTGTTTAGCGTCCACGGTACAATCTATATTCAGGGAGCTTCGACTGCTGGATGTTGGTCCACTTCTTGGTAGGATTCTGGTTCATCACCTCCACGTAATCAACAGGCTCTGGCTTGTCAATCAAGGTGCTAGGACTAACTCTAACCTGAGAATTTCTATCGATGATCTCGAAAAGTCCAGGCAACTTCTCTGAGGCTTTTCTCAACGCCTCTCTGGCGACCTTTTCGTGGATCTTTCCTCTGATCTCAAATAAGACTTTTCCTGTAGGAACACGGCATGCCCAGTGGTCAAAGGCTCCCTTACCCTTACCCATTCTTGTCTGGTTACCCTTGATACACACGGGAGTGTTACAAGTGAATCTAGTGATCAAGTCTGCACCAGAAGGTCTAATTTCTCTGGCAATAACCTTGTCGGCTTCCTTGAGCTGTGTAGCGGTCATTCTGAGGCCGTTGGACTTCAATCTCAAGCCTATCTCGCCAAATTCCAACGAGTTACCCTTGATGGAGCCTCCGGTTCTGACGGTGACTCTACCTTTGAATGCCTTTCTGACTCTTTTGTATCTCGGAGCATACTCGTGCTTGTATCTCTTCAAGACGGTGTTGAGAAGCGACGAAAAGACAGGCTGCGTACTTGGACGCTGCTGGAACATTATGCCCGGTTTGAGCGAGCCAAACATCGATCTTCCCAAGGCCAACATGGTGGTTATAGATTGAGGTGAGTGCTTGAGGAAATTTTTAGGTGCACTGTGCGCATGCAGGTGGAGAATACGGGTATCTGTTTGGGTTATGGAAAGGATTATGGGGATTCGAAAATGTATATTTATTTCAGTCACTATTTCTATAATATTATAATGGTATCAACAAAACAAAATCATTAGAAAAAGAGAGAAGAAGACATGGAATGGCGAAAAAGTAGTTGTGTTGTCTTTATTCAAGTGAGATGCAATCTTAATGCCAGACTTAGTCTCTCATTCAAATTAGATTTAATGGTGTGATCTCAAACAGCTTGGTAAATCTGAAATGAAACTAAATGCTAATTATTTTTAATGTTAATTTTCGAATATTACAATTATGGTCTCTATAAAAATCAGTATTCGTGCTACTGTGCCACTCCTCTAAACTAAAAACATCAGAATACTTTCGCTATTTACATTCTATTTACATCAGCGGATCTCAACCTGAAAGTTTCCAACCAAGTCATCTTCCACCTTCTTGTGAATCTCGTTAATCTCCTCGTTCGTCAAGTTTCTCTCCATTGATTGGTAATGGATACGGTAGCACTGAGACTTGCGGCCTGTCTTAGGATGCACAAACTCGTCTACAATTACAACGCTTTCCACAAGATCGCCTCCATATTGACGCACGATTTCCATCACATCGTTGGTATGCAATGGTGAGTCATTTGCCAACCAGTAACTCACGTCTCTCTTAATACCTGGATACTTTGAGTATGGTTGGAACGTCGAAATAGTTCCTCTTTTAAATTGGCTGGCAAAACGTTCGTCCAAAGACCAGAAAAGACGAATGTCAGGGATACCAAAGAGGAGCATGGCAATTCTGTCCAAGCCAATACCAAAAGCCCATCCTAACTTGTCTTCAGAAAGTCCAGAGTTAAGCAAAACCTTCTGTTGAACTACTCCACATCCGCAACACTCAAGCCACTCACCTTTCCACCATACTTCAATCTCCCACGAAGGTGATGTCCATGGGAAGTATGCCTCGACCCATCTGATTTTAAGAGGCTCGTTCAAGTATTCCTCAGTTGAGCCAGCCTGGATTGCGGACTCTCTAGCACGTTCGAACACCAAATTGACCATATACTCAACGGTTTTCTTCAAATGAACAGCAATGAGACGAACTTCGTTGTCGTTCATGTATGGCTGTTTGGGATTTTCTGCATTGGCTGGGTTCTCTCTGAAAGGATCCTCAACAATGATCTCAGTTTGGGGAATGGCATCAATGTCTGCCTGAAGGACCCTCTCCAAGTCTGGGGTGTTCTTGGACCACAACCGAGCACCCTCCATCTGGTGGAATGCTGGGTAGTGGGTTCTATCGATTTCATCTCTACGGTAAACATCGGCGGTGATGAAATATCCAGGTGTCTTGCATGTCTGGAAACACTCGTGCTCGTGAGCAGAAGTATGAGTTCTCAACAAGTGGTCTTCGTTCAAGTAGTAGGTGTCCAGCTTGGATCTTCCTGGGTGGTCCTGGGGAAAGTCAAGAACATCGAAATTCTGGAACGTGGTAACTGTGGGACGGAAGTCGTTGTAGAACGTGTATCCGAGGTCCTTGAAGTTTGTCTCGATGAGGTCTCGGAGAATTCCGATGGGATGGTCGGGATTCTGGTGGAGCTGACGGTCTGTCAATGCTAGAATCAGTGGAGGAACGTTGGTCCAGGCATCTGTTTTGAAAGTCTTGCCATCAAGGACAATTTGATCCGGGTACTTTGAGGCGTATGTCCGGACAAGTGGAATGGCCGGTTTCCACTTCGACAATCTGGCAATTTTGAGCATGGTAGCGAGAATGTGGAGGTGCAAGGTCAATTTTTCTAATTGAGTATTTCGCACTCCAAATGGGGTAACGACCTTTAAATTGTTAGACGATACTATAGATGACTTTTGAAACTTTATATGAAAACTCTTTATTTTAATCTTTTTTCTTTGTCTTTGGTTTCTTTGCAATCTGGATCTCCAGTGGTTACTATGAATTTATACTCATGACCTGTTCTAAGTGTACTCTATATTACCATGTCTCTTGGATGTATTTGCCTTGGTTCTCCATGTTCAACAAAAACTGATCTGCATCAGGAACAAGCTCCTTGATTGCCTCCACAAGCGTGATTCTCACCTCCCGGGGCATTTTGCCACTAGATCCACACACAAAGACAATGGCATTCTGGTTAACCAAAAGATCAGCTACCAACTCTTTCTCAGCATGCAATTTGTCTTGGACGTACTTGTATTTAGACCCAGCATCTCTAGAAATAGCAGGGAACATCTTCAACTGTCCCTTTTGCTCGTATTGGGTCCATAAGTCGGCAAATAGGTAATCCTTCTCTCGGTAACGGCATCCGTAGAAAAGGTAAAGGTCCTGGGTTCCAGCAGATGACTCGATCAACGATTTCATAGGTGCCAATCCCGTTCCTGGAGCAATCATAAGAATTGGAGGTGCAGGTACTTGCGGAAGCAGGAACTTGATGTTGGACTTGTGAACCGAAAAGAGTAGTTTGTCTCCCTCTGCCAACTGCTTGATCCACTTCGTGCACAAGCCCCTCCTAATTCTTCGAAGCATGGTCTTATACTCCACGATTCCAACAAGAAGCAGCACACTCGTAGGTGAAGGTTTTGAAGCAATCAGAAAGAGTCTTACTTTAATGAGTGGGAACAAATCCAACACATACTCAATGGGAATATGCAAGTTTTTCTCGAACTCCATGATAGTCTCGAGAATCAGTCTTCTTGGACGGTTAGCATAGTTGTAGAGCTCCTCACTGTCCTCGAGATTACCGAATTCTTTCAACTTTTCCTTCTCTCTGCTTCCGTCTTCTGTAGAGTCATCGACAAAATGGAAAAGAAGCGAGAAGAATGATCGGCGAGGAATCGACATGATATCCAAGTGGTTCGCTATGAGTGTACGCAACGTAAGCAGACGCAACTCGACAAATCCTCCGTCAACATCGATCTTTCCTGGAACAGTCAAGGGCTTATCTGCGATTTCTAAGAGGTGAGGCTGCAGTTCCAAGAGAAGTTGGACACTTCGCTCGTCGTTGCATGGATACAAAGCCAACGTGTCTCCAGGAGCATAATCCAACACTTCAGTGTCTGTCTCTATGGTCAATAGTCGAATATCTTGGAAATGATCCGGAGCAGTCACACGAGCATTTGAAGTTACAGTTCCCGCCAATAAAGCTGGTGATTGGCGAGTCAAATGGAGGTTTTGCGGTGCCACAATATCTGCAGCACCTCTGTCGACCTCCACAGTATACTCTGGTGGAAGTAAGACGTTCTCATCAATGCTGAAAATGTTGGTGAACTTCTTCTTGAGAGCATCAATTAGAGTAGCTTCCCATTCTGCGTAATATCCGTCGATTCCTTCTGCCGCCATTTCATCACTCTCACATCTGGGACTTAATTCGGTACAGCCTAGCTGAAGAAGTCGCGTGTGGATCTTCTTGATGGCATAGTTGAACTTAGGGTACGACGAGTCTCCAAGACCAAAACTAGTCATGTGAATGTGATTCAAGAGGTCACCCGGAAGCTTTTTTTTCAATAAAAACTTCATAAAACCTTTCAGGTTGCGAGGAAGCTCACCCTGGCCCGTGGTAGAGCATATGACAATCAAGTATTTGGTGTCTGTAATGAGCTTCTTCAATGGATACGAGTCTAGACTGGCGACGGTGGGCTTTAACGAGTTGTATCGGAGCTTGCGGGCAAGATAATGGGCATAATCTTGAGCGTTTCCTGTTTCGCTCCCATAGAGAATGGTAACACTCGTCACAGGAGAGTCAGAAACCGCCATTTTGGGTATAGACTCTGGTCGGTGATCTGGAGGACGGTCAAGTAGTCGGATTTGGATAACATCCGTACACCAGTATAGGTCAAGAAGTTGGCCCACATAGATTCTATAGTCCAAAAGTTGATTTTCGAAGTTATTTATTTTACATCATTCCTGGGATCTATTGGGCTCTTATTTTAATTGTAATGTACTAGTTGGAGATGCGTTAGTAATCGAAGTGAGAAGACAAACTGATAGTATACAATAAGTGAGTGAATGAACTATGTAGAGATGAATTTCATGTCTTGAGAACATAAGAATTTAGCATTTTCGATTTTGCATCTTTCGACATTACTGACACTTTTCTTCATTTGAAAAATTGCCTCCAGGTTAAATCGCCTGGTTGTGGGGATGAAGTTATCAACTTTCCTACATCTGGAGTTATCAGGTATCTGCATTTGCCATTCGGATGATATCTTTCTATGAAACAATGATCTGTATCAAAGACTAGCACGAAAGTGAGATTGCGTTGTCGGAGTAGAGCATTTGCCAATAAAGGGAAAACTCCTATTAACTTGGTGACAGAGTGTTCGTCCAATAACTCATTTAGATCGAGGTTCGGCATTGGATTGATTGACCCCGAGGTGATAATTCTCGACTGAAATAATGTTGGATTCATATGGGAAACAGTTGCTTGGACGATGATTTACCAATTCCTAGTATCAATATCAAAACAACTTAGACACCTCTCATACCATTTCCTAATAGTATCTTCATCTGCTGCTTGCAAACTAGTTTGTCCATTATCTGTTTATCTGAACTATGGGTGCAGTCCCTAGTCCAGACTTGAGAAGAGCACCAGATATCAGTCCCTACTTCCCAAATCTTCTTACATTTTTCAATTACCTATAATGAAAGACGATAGTGAGTTGAAGGCGATCCTTCCAGAGCATAACTTGGACACCGATATCAAAGAACATGTGAGGTCTCGACAGGGTAAATCTAGAACGAAAGTTCGATTCATAACAGTTGACTCTGAGCAACGGCTTTGTAATGAGGACGCCGTCTTCATCTTCGTTGAAGATTATACTATCAGACAAGCTGCAGAGCACGCTGCTGCCCATTTTTCAAATTCAGGAACAACACCTTTTGATGATCTATTTGTTTATTTAGAGGATGAAAAGGGGAAGAAGCTTGCAGTCAAAGATCTCAATGTGAACGTACACAACATGTTTCAAAGTGACGATACGATGATAGTGGCAAACCATAATTTGTTTGAGAGAGAGAATTTGAAGTATTATTTTATGATGGTTATTGCTCTCTCATTTGGCATCATTATGATTGGTGCACTTGTCGTAGCAATTTTATACTTCGTTAAGTTTCTTTCTAGGTTGGCTCCTCTGTACTGAACCCAATCTTCTAATTTCTAATGCTTAGACCATGAGTTTGGGTCTGTTGCTATTCTCCACTTCTACTTTGGTAACTCTGGCAGTGTCCCTCAGCCAACGTTGCGTTTAGACGTTTGACGTTGATTGCGTAAAGAACGGGGGAATTTATTTATTTCTTTTGGTAGCAAAGGTAATCAATACAGACTATGTTTAACTTAAATTAAGAACATTCCTCTCATTCAGCTTGAATCAAGTTCATTCCACTTAAAGTATGAATGCAGTGAAGATGAAGGTTTGTATGGGAAACCATTGTAAGGACACCCATATTCTGAAGTTGTTTTGTTAGCGATCGGGATTACGTTTCCTAACAAGTTTTATCAAAATAACATCAACATCACTCAATCTTATGTCCCACTCTGCCATCATATACCCACTACAAACTGTATCAGTCTTTCCCTCTTTTTTATCTTTTGGTGCAGTTCCTCAGAGAATGGGTAAGGTTTCGGTATGCACTTAGGTTCCCTCCATCTCCTGTCTTTCCTTCTCAATAATCAACAATGAGAGACGATCATGAGATGCAATCTTCTTTCCAAGTCTAGCCTGGAGAATGAAATGGCAATGGCCGCAAACACTCGGCGAGGTAAGTTCAGGACGAAAGTCCAGTTCTTGACAGTTGACTCTAGGAAACATGTTAAGAAAGAGAATGTTGTTTTTGTTTTCAATGAAGATTTCACAATCAAACAGGCAGCTGATCATTCAGTTGGTCATTTTAAAGAATCGGCACCTACTTTCAATGATGTCTTCGTGTTCTTTCGAGACGCCAATGGGAAGAGAATATCCCAATTGCAGATGTCAATGTGAACGTCCACTCAATGTTTTCGAATGTCGATACGATGGTAGTTTCAAACGATCCGAATGTGTTCAAGATTCGATCAAAAGTAGAGGTCAAAAATACAGCTCTAATTGTCCTCGTTTCGTTTATCTTATCCTGGGTGTTGTCATTTGCTTTTATGTGGTCCATCAAACTTTTTGCTGAATTCATGGCTGCCCGTGATATTCAAAGGGCCCGATTCTGAAGCAGTTCACTCTTTTGAAAAGCTCTTTGAGTCTAAAAAGTTGTTCTTTATCCGATTCCACTTCTGGGTCTCTCAGATCCCTTTACAGTTCTAAGCGTCTATTCAAGTTACCCAAATTTGATTCTCTCTCATTTTATTGTTTCAATTCAATGCACAAATTTGGCCATAAGGTATCAGTACTCCTAATAAGATTTGCAAATCTGCTCATATTTATCTCCATTCTTCATCTGATTGTCCATAATTATCCCTAGTATGGTTATGGTGCGATGTGCGAATCTGTCAATGCCATTGACGTGAGGCTTTGAGATTCCTGCCCTTTACAAAACTCAACCACTAGATACGGAGATGCAATCAAATTTACCGAAATCCACCTTGGAGTCAGATTCCACGAATATGGCTGACACATCTGAACAAGAAAATTCTTCCAGAACACTAGTAGGGTACGTCACTAAGAGTACCAATCCCACATACTATAATCTTGTCTCCAAGAAGGAAGCTATGTTCATTTTTGATAGGAATTGCACCATTCGTCAAGCTGCAAAAATTGCCGCTTCTCATTATCCAAAATCTAGAATTCAATCAGCACCCGTCTTTGATGATGTGTGGGTCTTCTTTCCCAACTCAGATAGACCGGCTGTTACGGACCTCGAAGTGAACTTTTATTCAATGTTCGGAGACAGAAAGGCCATGATAGTGAGCAATGATCCTGATGTCATCGAATTTTCATATAAAGAGACTAACCGTATATTGTGCACGATTTTTGGAGTGATCTTCCTTCTTGTACTGGTTCTCACATTCATACTCAGTCCATGAAAGCCCCTCAGTGGTATATCATTTCCCGAATTAGAAAGATTCACTTTACTCTTTTTTCAACTCGTCATATTTTATACATATTAGATGCTGATTTATTATAGAAAATGCAAAATTGAAATTGTCAACATTCCCAGTCTGTATCCTTCAGAAAATGTTGAAGATGTCCGAGATTTCTACATCTCATGTAAGAAAACACAACCTTCTCCATCTATTTACTTCGTCAATGCATTATTGAGTAGAGTGACCCTAGATCAACAGAGAAGTCTACATCAACGATTTTGAATTACAATATTCGTACCATCCATTTCTTCTTCTGCATCCTGCACAAGGTCCCGTATTCAACCTCAGGTCTCAAAAATCAACAACTTGACCTACTTATCTCAATATACACTATGGGAAGGCCCAAAAGAGCAGCTGTTTCCGAAGCAGCACTGGCCAAAAAGCAGAAAACTGACCCAAATCAGGAATTTGGCGACATTCTCGCCCATCTCGAAACTCTACAAGATGAAGAGGAGTCCAGGGCCTACGTGACGGCATTTGTCAAATTACCTTCGAAAAAGTTGTACGCAGATTACTACACCTTGATTGAATCGCCTATTTCGTTAGCAGAAATCAATAAGAAAGTTAGCAAGAGCGCGTATGCCGATGCCAAGGAGTTTGTGCTGGACTTTCAGCTCATGTATGACAATGCGGTGAAATATAACGATCCAGACAGTTGGATTGTTCACGATGCTGAGAAGTTGTTGGAGAGCGTGGAAGAGCAAGTGCAGTCTATTGGATCTCTGGAGGACGTTACTGTGGCAGATTTGCGGAAAATGTGCCAGGAATTGTTGGATGAGGTCATTGAACACGAATTCTCCGACGATGGAATGCTTAGTGGTCCATTCATTGAAGATGTCAATCCAGAAGAGTATCCTGATTACTTTGCCGTGGTTGATGAGCCCATGTCTTTTAATACTGTGGGCAAAAGGCTCAAGGAGTCGTTGTTTTCTGAGGACGTGTCATTGACAGACAATTTGCAAGAGTTTTACGATTTGACCACGTTGATTTTCACTAATGCCCAATTGTATAATGATCCCTCCTCATTGATCCACGAGGACTCGAAGAAATTGCAGCAGTTATTTGAGGAAAAGTACCAAGAGTTGAGGAACAAAGTCATTCCCGACGAGAAATCGGGCATAAAGCTCAAAATCAAGGCACCAAAAGAACCGGTTAAACTCAAGCTCAACTTGAAGGCTAAAGCTGCTGCCGAGCCAGAGCCACCTAAGAAAAAGAGAGGTAGAAAGCCGAAGAAAGTGGTAGAGGAAGAGCGCAGGAAAGCAGCACTCGAGGCAGCTCTCCTCAAACAAGAGGGACTGGACATGGACGAAGATGGCGAACACGATGATTCTACCAGTAAGCTCAACGCAACAGAAACAAACATAATGGGTAAATCCTCCAAGATACCTCCTGAAGATGAGGTGTTCATCAGAAGGGTTGGATTCACTTCGTCTCAAACAAGCACCAACTCTATTGTTGGCTCCATCACAGCACAATCGCCACCTTCTTTGACTCCAGCACAGCTCACCAAGCAGGCTCTTTTCCCAGATGTCCCAGTGTATAACGCAGCATCATTCTTTGACTTCCAGTTTGAGCCTTTGGGATTCTCCACCAAGGCTTACTCCGTCACTCTACCCCCAGACTGCTCGCTGCTGGTAAGTTTCAAAGTGGCATTGCATGAATTCATTTACAATATCAAGAAAGATGACTTGATTGACGGGCAAGGCGTCCTCAAAGGAAGAACGGAGGAGGACTTTATGTGTGCATTGTATTTGAATGAGGAAGAAGTTTCTGGTGGTTTTGAAATGACCGAGGAAGTGGATACTAAGGACGACGCGATCAAACTTCTTGGACTTGGATATGAGCTCAAGTTAAATTATGGCCTCAATATCATTACATTTGAGTTGCGTCTTGCACCAAGTTTGGCTAAGAGCCTCAAGAAGGAAGCACCAGAAGCTGAAAGCAACGATGTGGGTGGACGTCATACGAGACACCAGTTACAACAAATCAAGCTTAATTGGGAGGTGGAGAAGTTCACCGTTTATGTTGTTTGTGGGTCGACATAAGATGTATAGAGAATTGTATATTATGAATAGAACAGTCTATTTGGAGTTCATTCATGTCTATTTACCAATGCAAAAAGAGGAAAACACTACGCCCAAGATCTCCTCAACACCAATAGCCTGGCCAGTGATCCTTCCTATTCCATCCACCGATTGTCTCAAGCATTCCGAGGCTAGCACTACATCCTCTGCATCTTTCCAAATTTTGAATTGATGAAGTCCATAAAGGACATCATTTTCCAAGAGGTCCTGAGCACGAGCAGAGAGAGTCACCGGATCAGACGAATCGGAGAGCGAAATCGTTTTGAACTGGGAAATGAGTCCAGATTTCAATTTGTTCATTCCGTCTTCTGTGACACAAGAAACCAAGAAGATACTCAGAGGAGGAATACTCAATTCAGAGGAGAATCTCATGACAGTATTATCGCTGTTTTCATCGAGAAGGTCAGATTTGTTGAGGATGACTGCAAAAGGACGTCCTGCTTGTTCAATTAACGCCAAGTGGCTCCTAATCTCAGGTGAAATCGGTTCATCGACAGGTAGAACTGCCAACACGAGATCACCCACCAAAGCTCGTTGTTTAGCTCTTTTAATGCCCTCCTTTTCAATCGTATCGGCATCCTCCAATGGCCGAATACCCGCTGTGTCGCCCACAACCACCTTATATCCTTCAATATCGAGAGGAATATCTAGCACATCTCTTGTAGTACCAGCAATTTCAGATACTATAGCAGAGTCGTTATTGGCCAAATAATTTAACAATGACAGCTTGCCAGCATTAGGAGGCCCCAAAAGACTTACCTTGATACCCTTGAGCAAGATTTCTGAACCCTTGACTTTCTGGAGATAACCAGTAATTTCACTAATGAGGCCATCGATGTTCTTCTCCACATCAGAGAATAGCTGCTCAGTCTCTTCCACATCGTGTTCTTCGCCAAAGTCAATTACAGTGGTCAATAAAGCAACATTGTTTACAATGTCGCCACGCCATTTTTCGAGGATTCGCTTGTTTCCTCCCGTCATGGATGCTAGAGCAGATCTTCTCTGTGACTCTGTTTCAGCATCAATCATTTCTCGGATTCCCTCTACTTCCGTCAAATCAAAACGGCCATTAAGAAATGCTCTCTGTGAGAACTCTCCATGATCGGCATAGCGGATGTTTATCTGTGAGCCTTCATCGTGAAGTTTTTTGATGGCTGCCAAAACTCCCTTCACAATGGCATTTCCTCCATGAACATGCAACTCGAGGATATCCTCACCTGTGAAAGTATTGGGACCTTTAAAAAACAATGTGAGCGCCTCGTCGAGCATCCCTTGCGACCCGTAGAGCTTCCGGACACTTGCACGTTGGGATATAGGTGACTTCTTGGTGTTGGTAAGTTGATTATAGACATACTGGGCCTGTGTGCCCAGAATTCGAATCACAGAGATTGCTGCACGTCCTGGTTTCGTTGATAGAGCGTAGATGGTAGGTCTATGGTAATTTCGAAGAAATTTCAACGTTGGATGGTTTCGAAGAAACATGGTATGAGTTGAAGTTGGAAGTTTGGTAAACGAAGGTGACGACCGAGGAATCTAATTATGGAGAAAAAAAATAAAAGTTAGAACGACTCAAATGTAAATTTTTCTCGGTTTCTTCCTCCTTGTTTCTTTCGATCTCGTGGTTGCTTGTCTTCGTGATCTACCCTCTGTCAATTCTTGATTCTCATGCAGACCTGAGATGATCTACTCCACACTATTTTCATTGCCAGCAACATACTCGGAAACACTCACAAGAGTTCAGTTGTATACATATACCTCATAAACATCATAAATAGATGACTGTTGCTCCTTCAATGCTTCGTGGCTGTCGCTTTATCCATACTTCCAGGGTCTCTTTCCATGAAAACCCTTTGGGCCTTCCGAAAGTTGGCAAGGCTCCAGAGATACCTCGCATGTCCCGGGGACTTCCGATCAAGCAGAAGATCCCTAATGTCAGGAAGGTTGTTCTTGTGTCTTCAGCCAAAGGTGGTGTGGGGAAATCCACTGTGTCAGTGAATACGGCACTTGCACTCCAGAAACTTGGGAGGTCCACGGGGATTCTCGATGTGGACATTTTCGGACCTTCAATTCCCAAACTTCTTCATCTTAGCGGTGAGCCTCGTCTCTCAAACAATGGAAAATTGCTTCCATTGGCTAATTTCGGCATACCGTCCATGTCTATGGGGTATCTCGTTCCACCAGAAAATGCTGTGGTTTGGCGTGGACTTATGGTGATGAAGGCGCTTCAGCAACTCCTTTTTGAGGTTGAGTGGCCCAATTTGGACTATTTGGTGGTGGATATGCCTCCTGGAACCGGTGACACGCAACTCACTATAAGTCAGCAGTTGAAAGTGGACGGTGCAGTGATTGTGTCGACTCCTCAGGACATAGCTCTAATTGATGCAGTGAAAGGAATTGCTATGTTTGAGAAGGTCAATGTGCCGCTTCTTGGACTTGTGGAGAACATGAGCTATTTCGTGTGCCCTAATTGTAGCCATGAAAGTCATATTTTCGGGTTTGATGGAGTGAGAAAGGAAGCCAAAAAGCATGGCCTAGAGGTTTTGGCATCCATTCCTTTGAATGCAAAGATCTGTGAGCAATCTGACTTGGGGAAGCCCGTGGTTCTTGCTGATGAAGTACTTGCAAAACCGTATTTGGAGGTAGCCACAAGTATAATTCGTCAACTTGAGTGATCTTTGAGATTATCTGCTCTGAGGTTTAGTTCTATTGTGAATCTACAAAAACATGGTTCTATTTTTAGAGAAGTGTTACAAAGATGGCAAAGATGACTGCTGCCACTATTGACGAGTATCCAACAAATGTCACTGCTACGTTTTCCATAGTTTTCTCGACGTGGAAAAAGGAGGCCTCTTTTCGGCGTTTCTCTCGTTCGGCATTGAACAAAAGGGGGAACTGGTCATAGTTGGCTTTCGAAAGTTTGGTGCGAGTCGTTAACAGGTATGTGTGGATGTTTTTGGTTGTAATTCGTGCTGTGCCGTTTGAGGGAAATACGACTGGACCATTGCTACCAATAGATTGATCTGTACTTGATACAAGTACAAATGAAATTGCTGAAACTTGAACTGTTGAATCGTTTAAAGATGCAGAGAGGTATGGAATGACAGTTCTTTGCGAATTGTCAGCATTGTTCAGTAGTGTCGAGTATTCTGATGATAAGTTAAGTTCGAGTTCTGACAGAACTATCGGAAACACTCTGCGGAAGTAATCCATTATGTCTTCATCGGGTTTTCTCTCGAGATTTGAGTACCTTGTAACGGATTCAGTGGTTGGCATTGAGGTGATCAGATAAGAATGAAAGAAAAAGGAGCTAGTAGTCGGACTTTGCGTTGTGACTTTGGGAGCATTCGGGCCATACCAGGCGACTTTTGGTTTTCCGTAGAGAATGCTTGATTGTGGTCTGTTGTTATTGTTGTGAAAATTGAACTGAGGAGAAATTTTAATTCGATTGGGAGGATTCTTCATTGTAAGGACACGATTACTGATTCTTCTCGTTATTTTTGGCTGTGCTGCAGTAAGCAGAGAGGTGAATGAGGGAATTTCGATTTGTTCAGCTTCTGTTATTGGGAGCACAACATGTCCGTGTAGCTTAGATTCATGTGGCTCAAACTTATAAGGTATTTCTTGCAATATGTTGCTATTCACCTCCGCTTCAGAAATTAACTCTGAATCATTCTGGATCGTCTCTGCTCTGGAAGACGATTCCTCGGATTCGAAAGTCTCCATATTCATGTCTAAATTTATTTCGGATGATTTGTGGCCCGTTGCTTCGGTTTCAAAAAGCAATGGAGTAGGCTCTTGTGAAAGCAGGTCTGAAGTTTTTGGTCCTATTTCTTCATACTTTGTCACTCGTGAAAAATCAAACTCCAATCTACCAGTTTGGAGAGGTTCAGAATCTTCGATTTTGTTCGTGTATGTCACTTCTTGTATGGTCGGTTGAATCGAGAGAATTTTATTCATACTTCCCTTCCTTGAATTCAACCCATCCATTATCAGATCTTCTCGTTGTCTGACGTTTTCCTCTGCCATTGTTCCAATGAGTATTTCCAAGAGCCTCTCCAACTTCTCTAGCCTGTCTAAGGTTGGATCAGGATATTTTTCATCAGCACTATCAAACTCAGGATTGTTAATATTTTCAGCAACTATTTTTTCGGTGTCGTCCTTCTCAACCTCCACTTCATCCGTTTCTTCATTGGTCAGAAAACTCTCATTTGTGGACACTGATTGAGGCAAACTAATTCCGGACATAGTCAATCCATAAGAAGCAATCGCATCCTCCACAGTATAAGATTCAACAGAGTTTGAATTAGACATTGCATATTCTGAAATCGGCAAAATCAGAAATTCTCCTCTGACTTTTGTAAGTGATTCTTGTAGTTCCATCATCTTGTGCGCCTCCATAGGAACGATCTCCTTTAATATTTGCAAATGGTCATGGAATCTGTCAACCAACACGCTGTGGTCACTCAGATGGCCAAACTTGAATAAGAATAAAATCACGATATTTCTTCTGTGAATCCGCATTAACAAACTTGGTGTACTCTTAAGCAATGGGTGCAAAATAAGGATACAATTGGACTTTTGTCGCGACAAAATATAACGTCTTCAATACACCCTACGAATCTCTATCAAATACTACAAAATCCACAGATGGAAATGCAAAAAAAAAAAATTTCAAGCAAATCTGCCGTAACATCCTCCCCACCCATCCCATGTCTCATTTTTGAATCATCTACATCTTCCTCCGTGTACAGCGGCAATAAACTTTAAGGAGTCATCGATTGGACCCCAGGTCACGTGTACAGCATGTGAATTCTCCTGATCCGAACCAAATAAATACTAACGTCAATGTCTATTCCCCAAACACCCACATCTCAGCGGATGCTGGCGACTGTCACGCCCGCGAGTCTCCGGAAGAGACTTGATGTGAATTCTAGCTACATCGAGGCTGAAGACGCTACCTATTCCATATCCGACTCCGAAGGTGAATCCGATGATGATGATTCCACTTTTGAAGGCGATGAGGTGCTCAAAGATGAAGATTTCGACTACCAGATAGTTGCGGATGGTGACAACTTTGTGGCCATTACAGATGATGAGCCAGCTAAGAACGAAAGCTCGACGTTTGTTCTGTTTTTGGTCCGCAATGAGATTCCCCGGAAAGTGTTCCACTCCCTCCACGGATTTGTGTCGCTTTGGTTTTATTGCCACGGGTATCAGCGGAGCCAGTTTGTGTGGGCATTGTGGCTGCTTTTTGTCGCCGTGTTCGCTAACGACATGCTCCGTCTAGCATCTCCCAAATACAACAAGTTCCTAGTCAAATGGGTGGCATTGTTCATCCGTGATAGTGAGGTGGATGGCATTAATGGGATTGTCTTCTACTTGGCAGGTTTGGCACTCGTGTTTACTTTTGGAACAAAAGACATCGCCATGATGAGCGTGATGCTCTTGAGTTGGGCCGACACTGCAGCCTCCACATTTGGAAGACAATTTGGCAAGTATACACCTAAAGTGGCACTGGGAAAGTCATTGGCTGGCTCGCTAGCCAGCGCATTTTCGGGTCTTGTCGTTTGCTATTTGTTCTACGGCTACTACGTGCCTGAGTATAGTCAGTTTAACCTGCCTGAGGACATCTACTGGACACCTGAGACCAGCAAGTTGTCTATCCATGCATTTGCGCTCGTGTGTGCATTTGCAGCCTCCGTTTCTGAGGCTATAGACGTTGCAGGCATCGACGATAACTTCACCATTCCAGTGTTGAGCTCGGTGTTGTTGTCTGGTGCTGTGTGGGCTTTCCACAAGTGAGCCGCAACCAATGAGCTTTAATTGCTGTAAGTAGCATTGTGATAATCTGATACCTTAATATATTTACCTGTGGAATGACTTATTTAGTTTACCATAAAATTGTGTACGGCTTGACTTGTTTCTAAAGGCAGATTTGATGGATTCTTATACAATCGTGATTTATTGTTCATTAGCAAACAATCCGGCGTATCCCTGGCCTGTCGACATGCACATCGACACAACTCCAAGCTCCTTACCCTGTGCTTTCAATCCATTCAACAACGTTGCAACAACTCTAGCTCCTGTGGCACCCAATGGGTGGCCCAAGGCAATAGCTCCACCGTATGGGTTGACCTTAGCGGTATCCAAGCCCAATTTGTTGATACAGTACAACGACTGAGAAGCGAAAGCTTCGTTCAACTCAAAGAGGTCAATGTCGTTGGTGGAAAGACCGAATCTCTCCAACAATTGGGGAATAGCGTATGCTGGTCCAACTCCCATGTAGGCGGCAGGAACACCAGCCACGGCCGATCCAAGAAACCGAGCAATTGGCTTGTATCCGTGCTTTTCAGCGTTTTCTCTGGTGGTCAAAATGACACACGATGCTCCATCAGAGATTTGACTCAGGTTACCTGCGGTGGTGGTTCCATCTTCCCTGAACACAGGCTTGAGAGTGGACAATTTCTCGTAAGTAGAAGAACCTCTGATTCCATCATCCTTGTCAATAGTGACTTCATTCAATGGCTCTCCCTCACCGTTAGTACGTGCTTTAATTGGGATGATCTCTTTGGCGAAATGTCCCAGTTCAGTAGCCTTGTGAGCTCTCAAGTGAGATTCAACAGCAAATCTGTCCTGATCTTCACGAGTAATGCCAAAATCCGAAGCGACGTTTTCACTGGTGATTCCCATGGGCATGAGGACTGCCTGAGCCTCTGCAGATGCCTTATCTTTCAATTCCTGGTAAATTCTGGTAGGAATACCACGATGTGGGAAGTAGTCGTGGGTCATAGACTCCACACCGGCGGCCACAGTGAACTTGTTTTCGCCAGTAAGCAAGGTTCCTGCCGAATAGGAAATGGCCTGAGCTGAAGAAGCACACTGTCTGTTGACTGTGTTTACGGTAGTTTTCACGGGGAAACCGAGCGACTTAATGGCCAATGCCGAGGCCTTCTGGCCACCCAAAGTCTGCAAGACAGCACCAACAAGCACATCATCTATGAGTTCTTTGTCGATGTTGGATTTCTCGAAAGTACCTCCAACCACTTGCTGAAGAAGCTCTTCTGGATAAAGTTTGGAGAGACCACCCTTAAGAGACTTGGTGACAGGGGTTCTTTGGGCAGCAAGGACGACGATGTCCGAGGCGGACTTTTTCAAAAGATTAGCACTCATTTGTTGGTGATTGGGACATTTTCTGGAGAATTGGGCACTTATATGCCCGGAAAAGCGAAAATCCGGAATATGGGGTAGCGGAAAATGGCCTAGGATTCGGAAAAAGTGTAGTGTTTCAAAATTAGTGGCACGTGATGATTAATCACTGATACCAAATTCACGAAATAGTCACGTGCATGATATCACGTTCCGAAAACTACTCATATGAAGGATGACAAAACATGACCGTTATCATGTGATCTTTCCGTCACGTGAGAGATGTGATTATTTTTAACCCCACCAATTTACGAAATCCGGCACATTTCTGAAAACAGAAATCTTCCGCCTTATATCCGTTTCCGCCTATAGAAGTTGAACAAATGTAACCAGCCTCGTCACGTGACAATTGTCTGCTGTTATCTCTCGCAATGTTCAACGAACATAGAAGTGACAGGTTGCCATATATGCAAACCTCAGATGTGAGTCAAAGTTCCCACACCGAAAAGATGATGCTGAAATTGGTTTCCTTCGATTAAATGGCACATGCGTCACGTCAGTCGATCCTTAAGTATTTATGTAATGCAGAATCCCGTCGGGGAAAGAACAACACCGCGACCAGTCAGTTTCCCCAACTCTCACGGAACTTACTATCCTCCGACCTCCGCTGACATTCGCCGCCTATAGAAATACTTCGCAGATTTACTGCAGATAACGACGCCATACGGATGTAGGGCATGCAAAGCGGAAAATTGCCGTAGCCCCATCCGTTGCGGTCGGACTTACCGTTACTTATAAACCCTTCAAAGACGATTGTGTAAATCAAGTTGAAAAATTCTAGTGATTTTTCTCCCGTCAAGATGTCAGAAAAACCTGCTCGGCACATTCTAACGCCGCTATTGCTGAAAAAAGTCCCACCAATACCTACCGATGACGAGAGAAGAGTTTACCCCAAGAAGATGAATCCATTCTCATGGATCTTCTTCTGGTGGATTAATCCTATCATGATGGCTGGTTATAAGAGGAAGTTGGCACCAGAAGATTTGTATAAGTTGAATGACGATATCCAGGTGAAAACCATGACCGATAACTTTTCGATGCATTTCCAGAAACAGGTTGCTAAAGCTGAACAGAAGCATCTCGCCGCCAAATTGAAGGCAAGAGGCGAGTCCAGCGTTAATCTGTCGAAGAGCTTGACCGAAGACTTGGAGGATTTCAAAGTTCCAAAGCTCATCGTCATCTGGACATTGATGCACACATTTGGATACCAGTACTTCAAGGCATGTTTCTTCTTGATGATGTCCCTGGTGGCCCAGACATGTAACCCCTTGCTTTCTAAAGAGTTGATTAAGTTTGTTCAGCTCAAGGCCATGGGATTGGACCCACACATGGGTAAAGGTGTTGGATATGCCATTGGTACTTCGTTTTTGGTGGTCACATCCGGTATTTTGATCAACCACGCCTTTCACAGCTCCATGCTTACGGGTGCTCAGGTGAAAGGTGTGCTTACGAAGGCCATGTTGGACAAATCTTTCCGTTTGAGTGATGGTTCCAAGCACAAGTTCCCCACATCTAAGATTACTTCCATGATGGGCACTGATCTTGCCCGTATTGACTTTGCCTTGGGTTTCCAGCCATTTTTGTTTACTTTCCCTATTCCAATCGCCATTTCCATTGGTATTTTGTGCCATAACATTGGTGCCTCTGCCATGGTGGGTGTGGGTCTTGTGTTCACCTACTTGATCAGTGTTATGATTCTCACAGGAAAGCTTTTCAAGTTTCGTCGTTCTGCCAACAAATACACCGATACTAGAGTCAACTACATCAAGGAGGTTCTCAACAACTTGAAGATGATTAAGTTCTACTCTTGGGAGACTCCATATAGCAAGATGATTGGCGAAAACAGATCCAAAGAGATGCACATTGTGTATTTGATGCAAGTGGGTCGTAACTTGATTACCTCTGGAGCCATGGTCTTAACACTTTTTGCCTCCATGGCTGCGTTCTTGACCTTGTATGCTGTCTCCAACAATACTAAGTCTCCTGCTGCGCTTTTCTCGTCCGTTTCATTGTTCAACTCGTTGGCTCAACAAGTTTTCATGCTTCCATTGGCCTTGGCTTCTGGTTCCGACGCAATTGTTGGAGTCATCAGAGCAGGTGAATTTTTAGCTGCTGAGGAGGTCGACAAGGCCGCTACTACCATCGACGCATCTCCAGAAATGAAGGAGGAAATGGACAAGAGAAATTTGGCTCTTAAAGTCGACCATGCCTCATTCAAATGGGAGACATTTGAGTCAGACAAGACATCGTTGAAAGAGGAGGCCCTTGATGAGAAGCACCCCAACGACAATAGCGAAGATGGTTCCAATCTCGAAAAAACAGCTGCAGAATTGGAATTGGAGTCGAAACTCGAGAGGAAAATGACCAACTACTCTTCTACATCAACTACGCTTGATGCCACTATCTTCAGCGGATTGGAGGATATTAATATTGAGGTCCAGAAGGGTGAGTTTTTGGTGATTACCGGCGTTATTGGCTCGGGAAAGACCTCACTCTTGAATGCCCTTTCTGGTTTCATGAAACGAACCGCTGGATCTGTGAGTATCAACGGATCCTTGTTACTTTGTGAGACTCCGTGGATCCAAAATGCAACTGTTAAGGAAAATATTTTGTTTGGCCTGCCTCTTGACGAAAAGAGATACAAGGAGGTCATTTACTCATGCTCCCTCGAGAGTGACTTGGAAATCTTGCCTGCCGGTGATCAGACGGAAATCGGAGAAAGAGGTATTACTTTGTCTGGAGGACAGAAAGCTCGTATTAACTTGGCCAGAGCTGTTTACGCTGGAAAGGATATTATCTTGCTCGATGATGTTTTGTCTGCCGTAGATGCCAGAGTCGGAAAGCATATCATGAACAACTGTATCATGGGTCTTTTGAAGGACAAGACTAGAATCTTGGCTACGCATCAGTTGTCTTTGATCGGATCTGCTAATAGAGTTATTTTCTTGAACGGAGACGGAACCATCGATGTGGGCAGCTTGCAAAGCTTGAAAGAGACTAACGAAGCATTTCAGCATTTGATGGCATTCAACTCTGAAGCCAAAGAGAAAGAAGAAGATGTTGAAGAAGAGACTGACGCTAATGAGGTCGCCGAGACTGAAAGAGAATTGATTGAACGTCAACTTACCAGACAATCCACCAAGGTTTCCAAAGCAGTTACAGAAGCAGATGAGGAGGCTATGCGTTACGAATATAATACCAACGAAGAAAAGGATGGACATTTGATGTCCAAAGAGAGAGCCGCTGAGAACAGTATTGCTTTCTCGGTCTATAAGCGTTACGTGAAGTATGGTTCTGGTATTTTCAAACACTATTCGATCCTTCCTTTGGTTGTGATCTTGACTGCGGTCTCTGTTTTCTGTCAATTGTTTACTAACACATGGTTGTCGTTCTGGTCCGAGCAGAAATTCCATGGAAAATCAAACGGCTTTTACATTGGTTTTTACGTCATGTTCACAATCTTGGCTCTTGTCTTTTTGTCTACCGAGTTTGTCATCTTAGCATACATGTGCAACAAGAGTGCAACAAATTTGAACTTAAAAGCCGTGGAGAAAATCTTGAGAGTGCCAATGGCATACATGGATACTACTCCCATGGGTAGAATTCTCAACAGATTCACCAAGGATACTGATACTTTGGATAACGAGATTGGAAACCAGGTGAGAATGGTAATTTTCTTCTTCTCCAATATTGTTGGTATTATCATCTTGTGTATTATCTACCTCCCATGGTTTGCAATTGCTGTTCCTTTCTTGGCTTTTGTGTTCGTTGCCATTGCTAACTTTTACCAATCATCCGGTAGAGAAATTAAGCGTTTAGAGGCTACTCAAAGATCTTTCGTTTACAACAACTTCAACGAGACCATGAGTGGAATGGATACCATCAAGGCATACAAAGCACAGGATAGGTTTATCACTATCAATGAAAACAATATTGACAACATGAACGAGGCTTACTATATCACCGTTGCTAACCAGCGTTGGTTGGCCATTCATTTGGATTTAGTTGCTACCGCTTTCGCCTTATTGATTTGTCTTCTTTGTGTCTTTAGAGTTTTCCAGATCAGTCCCGCATCTGTCGGTTTGTTATTGTCTAATGTTCTTCTGATTGCCGGACAATTGTCTTTGTTGGTCAGAACCTTCACCCAACTTGAGAACGAAATGAACTCCGTGGAAAGAATCTGTGAGTATGCCTTTGACTTGCCAGAAGAGGCTCCTTATATCATTCCAGAGACCACTCCTAGAGAGCTGTGGCCCGAGCAGGGAAGTATTCGCTTTGAGAATGTTTCTTTGGCATATAGACCAGGCTTACCTTTGGTGTTGAAAAACTTGAACTTGGACGTTGGATCGACTGAAAAAATCGGTATCTGTGGAAGAACCGGTGCTGGTAAGTCTTCCATCATGACTGCCTTGTACAGATTGTCAGAGCTAGATCGTGGAAAGATTGAGATCGACGGCATTGACATCGGCACCATTGGCCTCCACAACTTGAGATCCAAGTTGTCCATTATTCCCCAGGATCCAGTTTTGTTCCGTGGTACCATTAGAAAGAATTTAGATCCTTTCGGTGAGAGTTCAGACGAAAGATTGTGGGACTCATTGAGAAGGGCTGGCTTGATTGAAGAATCAAAGCTTTCGATTGTCAGACAGCAGAATGAGGATAGTGAAAACTTTCATAAATTCCACTTGAATAGAGAGGTTGAGGATGAGGGTTCTAACTTTTCTCTTGGAGAGAGACAATTGATTGCATTTGCAAGAGCTTTGGTAAGAGGGTCGAAGGTTTTGATCTTGGATGAAGCAACTTCTTCTGTTGACTATGAAACGGATAGCAAGATTCAAGCTACAATCGCCAGAGAATTCAAAGATTGCACCATTTTGTGCATTGCTCACAGATTGAGAACCATTTTGAACTACGACCGGATTTTAGTTCTTGACAAGGGAGAAATCAAGCAGTTTGACACTCCATGGAATCTTTTTAATTCCCGTGATGGCATTTTCCGCCAAATGTGTGAGCGTTCCAACATTACGCGGGAAGATTTTCAATAAACTAATTAATGATACACCAGTATATATACAAAAAATATTCGGATAATGCATAATATGACTAAATGACTATTTATTTCATCTTCTTCTTGTAGTCCGCAAAGGATAACTTTTTGACCACTGGAGGTGCAATCAGCTTAGTCTCAGCCACGGGAGATTCTGTCTTTGCAAGAAGTCCAGGAGAGGCTTCTTTCCGCGTTTGCTGGGATGGTTCAGCCTCTGCTCGAGGCTGCACAAGCTGGCTGGAATTTGCAACAATGTTGACATTACTAGATATCTTGGCCAACGGTTTCAACGTATTGTTCACAGCCTCCTTAATCGACACGATGATGTCTGAAACTAAGGGAACAGCAATAGTTTTGGGAACGTGGTTAGCATTGTCAATGGTAGCGTCACCACTATCAGTGATATACTTCCTTGTAGCATACTTTCTTCCATGCGAAATGAGTTGCTGCTTATAAGGCAATTTTTGTGTTTTTCTGTGATGTTCAGGTTCTTCTTCGTCTGGAGTAATCTGCGAGTCCATGACGCCCTCTTCCTCTTCTGCTGCTCCATATTGGCTTTCAATATTTGACTCACTATTATCATCCGTAGTAGACGTCGAAAAAATGGACATATGAAGTAGCTCATCTCTCTCAGTTAAGCGCTCTTTCCATGAAATATACTGCTTTGACTTTCTTGGCATCACAAGTTCATCCTTCGACTTATTGAAGGCAATATTGGTAAGACTAGAAGCTTTTCTCGTCGAACGAAGTAAATAAGAGGTCGCCTTCTTGATCTTGAAGATAGAGCATTGCAGGTTAATTGAAGTAGTGTTACAAGCACATTCAACAAAATTAAGTATAGTATCAACACCAGATACTAGCAAGACTTTCTCCTCATCGGTGAAATCTTCGAACTTCAAACCTTCCACACTATTTCCTTCTGGATTCAGTTCTATCATTTTATTGATTGGGTGGTTTTTGTCCCACTCCCATTTGAGTCTGAGTTCTTCTTCCAAATTCTCACCCTTCAATGTAATAGGTTTAGTGGTGTAAACGATATGTTTGAAAGTCCGCATCAGAGGGATATAGACCGATCTTATTTCACAGTTGGCAGTAGTTGCACAAGACTTTCTGATGAATCTGGCCTCATTACCAACAAATCGAGCATCGAGAACAATTGGAATTGGTTCAGCATTCTCTTGTAATTGCAAATTAACACGGGCAACTTGAGGTTTCACGGTTCCCCAAGTAGAGTATTGGTTTGCAAGGTTTGCCATGTACAGTTCAAGGAAATCTACTTCACCCAAGTATTCAATAACCGCTATTCCAGCTGGAATAACATCGCCATCGCTAGCGTCAGCTCTCTTTGTAATAAAGAGACCCATCTTCGAGATACCGATAAACTTCTGTTTGGGGTTGTCGCTGTACGCTTTCACTTGGATGGTAGTTTCATTGAAGCCCTTGCCCCGTCGAAGTTCGTTTCTGTCCTGTAAATACTTCTGGTAGTTAGGCAAGTTGACTTTGCTGAATTTAATTCCCTTGTAAGCAGTTGGCGTCATTATATCTATTCCAGAAAGACCCGATTGTTCGTATTCACGACCCCACTCTTCAAGCTGCTTCTTCACTTCTTTTGTTTTGTAGTCATAGTCCTTCAATTTGTAGTAAACACTTTGATACAGTTCGACGCTCACCCCCTCTTCTAGCAAAGGATTATCCTTGTTATTGATGTCAAACGTAGCAGAAGTTGGAGATGTCAGAGTTGGCATATTAGTCGCAGGAAGCGATGGCTTTCTCTTGTCAGCAACTAGCTTATCGGGCCCTCTTGCGTCCTTCTCGGACTTTCTTCTTTTCTTTTCCTCACCTCCAGAATTCAGAGTTTTACGTTTCGGAGGCGCTGGTTTGAATTGGGGCTCGTTCACTTTGTCCAAATCCAATCTGGCCAAAGTACTTGTTCGGCAAACGGCGGGATCGAATCTGTTCCACTTGGTCTCATCACAGTAGTAGCATTTGTAAACGTCTTCTGGGACCTCCTCATTAGTCTTGTAGCCCATACACGAACAATGTTGCCATCTGAAGCACACGTCACACTGGATCGTGAAGCCATCATCTTCTTCTATGCCACAAATGCAACCAATCATTCCAGAGTCGGGATCAACTTTGTACTCGCTAAGCGGTGGTGGTTGGAATGCGACTTTGGTATTCGGTCTGATGGCTTTTCCGGAGGCAGGCGATGCTATCACGCTGTTAGAAGGAGAATTTTGTGTCGTAGATGGATGCGAAGCAATGTTAGCGGAACCAGTAGTTTCCGCATGAGAACGTGAAGCTTTTTCAAGCTTTGGTTGTGGCGAATGGGGGGCTGATGTTTCAGCAGCAGCACGTGTGCCTATGTTCAAGCCGCCTGTTAGCTCTTCGGCAGCGTCCAGCATTGCCGTTCCACGAGACTCAGGCTCGTCCTCCGTGCGGTTTTCATCGTCCTCTGGCTCTGTCATTACGGAGTCTTCGGTCTTGACAATAGTGGCGCCTGATACCTGCAAAATACCCTTGGGATGAGATGCCTCATCTTTCTGCTGTTCATTCTTGCCAGCATTCTTAATTTCATCTTTGTTCTTTAAAGGGAATGGTACTTCTGCTGCAGCTGCCAACGCCGCTGCGGCAATCATCGCATTGTCATTGTTTCTCTTTCCTGTCTCCACGTTGATGCCTCTAGATAGCGTGACATTTGCTGGTCCGGGCGAAGCAGAAGGAGGAGTCACCTTGTCAATCATGCTTTCAGGCTGATGACCGGCAGAAACCGTCCTACGATGAGTCTGGAAGCTTCCTTGTACTGGCAAGTTGCCATGGTGCGGAAGGTGGAATGCCAGCTGCGCACGATCCGCTGGGGGGGTGTTTGCCGCCTTGGAAGTGTCGTGGAGATACATCTGCTGCACAGACGGCGAAATCTGGGGTGAAACCTTTTGCGACGGCACTTCTGACGAAGTCAGCATTACTGGAGGCGCATTATGGGCTGTAAACAGCATTGGGGCACCCAACAGCGGCGGTGGTCCGTGTGAGGGTGCCTGTGGATGCCCCAGTGGATGACCCAGAACATATCCATAGGGATAATAAGAGTAACCAGGGTGTCCGAGCCCGCCAGGATGTACCTGCTGGGCTGGACGGATGTGTACAAGGTGTGGTTTGGGCATGGGAGGTGATCCAGAGTCTGGATGGCTAGTGCCCGCTAGCTTTTGTGATGACACTGGCGGAAACGTTTGTGGAGGAGGGTTCATCGAAACCATGGGAGGAAGGTGGGTATTCTGACCAGAGAAAACGGGTGGAGGAACTGTTTGCGGTGGCAGCGACTTGTCAGCCGGTTTTGACGTCCCTCCAGACGGCGTGGATGTAGGAGGAGTTGTGGATTTGACGCTTGGGTCAGGTATTTTGGGCTGTGTAGAGGCATCTGGCGACCGTTGGCGAGCCGCAGTGTTGGCAAACATTAGAAGAGTGGAGGCATCAGCTAGAAGCTGCTCGTCCTCTTTCTCGGTCATGGCGAGAATAAAAGTGTGGAAATTTGATGGAGAAAATGTATGTTATGTATACCAGATATAGAAGAGATTGGATGGGCACGTGACCGGCTGGTTATACGAACTGCGACATACGAAGAAAGTGGGCTGGGGAAATATTGGGGGGAGAAAATATTGAATTAAGAAGTTTTGAAATAAAGTGATCATGTAAATTACAATCTTTCTTAAGTAGGTACATGTGGTGAAAAAGTTGCATTTGTGGCTTCCGGTAGCGCCGTTTGTCTGAGACAGCCTTCTTTGTTCTGAATGTATACGAAGCTCTCATAACCAATTTCAAAGGTCGTATAGACGTTGGTACGAAGGAAATGGAAATTGGGGGACCAGAACAAATTTGCAGGATGAAAGCATTTTGGAAATGAGACGCTTTGGGATAGTTTGGGGGTTCAAAAATGATCATAAATAGAGAACCATATTGCTATTGTCTTCTCATGGTCTAAATGTCAATGTCACACTCAAAATGTCACAGAGTAAAATGTCATAAACAATATTCAAAAGCTGGTTCGTCTACAATAGTCACATATCCCGTAATATTTATATACAAAGGTGTTGAAGGGGAGGCCAGGCCATTAACATGGAGACAGTGTTGAAATGCTGCCTGGAATGATTATGTCCAGAAACCTCCAACTAACCAATCTGCTCCACTTCATGGTTTTCCCCGCTTCACGTTCTTCAACTTTCTTCTCCCTCTCTCCTGCTTCTTTCTCCTTACTTATGCTCTCTTATCTTATCAATACCGTTAAAAACTTTCCCCTACGCCGCATCGCCGTCGCTCTTGCTCTCCTTCACGTTCTGTAAATACTCTAGCTCTTTCTTCAATGAATCCATCGCATAAAACACTTTCGATTGCAAGTAGAACGAATTACCCTTCTCCTTCGAGTTGACATCGAATAAGTACTCATACTTTTTGTCGATTTCTGCCATGGTCAAATCCTTTCTGTCAATGTCCAATATCTTCAATGCCTCATCCACTGGAATACCTCCAACAGACTTGGCCTTAGAAGCACCCGTGGCTGCCGCTGCAGCGCTTGTCTTGGCAGCTTGCTTGTATGCTTCGGTGAATGCACGGCCGAAAACCGCAGCACCTGTGATGACAACGTTAACCAATAATCTGTGAGCCATGATTGTGATTTGGAAGTGCCACTGATTTTTTTTTTTGAAGACTGGGTATTAGCGCGTGACTTTATGCACGTGATCAAATGGATAATCATAGTTACACCAATTTGACCATCAGGACAGTAAATGTTTCTGGTAGCTAGCTGAAATATCAGGTCGGTATCGTTTTGGGATATGGTGAATTCATCCGTTGGATGGGAAATAGAGTGATGTTACTCACTAGTCAGGACTGGGACTGTGGTAAACACTTTTAAAACATACCTTGGAGTACATTTTGACAGATGAATACAAAAGTGGTCAGAGGGGCAAAGATAGAGTAGAAAATAGGCGGGTTAGTTGTCAGGGTTCATATTAAACTAAAACAAGAGGGAGAATACGGAAATGTAGCATCAGGCCTTAATCTACCAGCAACAACCACAACAAGTGCAGCAACTGGTAGAACTATTCTAAAACCTTGAAAATGCCATAAAGATCTAAAAGACCGAAACGAAGTGCATCCTGTGGCCAATCTGTTGAAAAGGTCAGGGTACGCTTAGCTGAACGCTGAATCCAGGTCACACGAGCGCTTATGCGGTGTAGTTGGGAAACGGCTAAGGCCTCTATAGTAGTGTGTCTTACGACACGAAGTTATACTTATTATAGTTTAGTATAACCACTACTGATGGTTAATGAGTGAAAAATGGTGGGAGGAATCGCGGCGTATTTATAGTGTTAAAACTTTTTAGCCGGGTAACTCTTTTATGTGCAGGTAAATATGGTCAACCCGATGGAATCGATACAAGTTTAAGTAGAAGTATTGTTAGTTTTGTGAGAGAAGTTTTCAAGTTTATGATTGATCTATGCTTTACATTAATAATTGATAATTGGAATTAGTGTCAACATCCATTGCTCGGAAATGGAGGATTGCGAACTACAAAGCTATTTGACTTTGACCAAAAATAATTTAAGAATAACTGTTCACCAACGTATTTAAATTCAATCGTGATGATATGCTGTGTAGTAAATTAAGTTGCAACTATTTGTATTTTGAGTTCAACGAGCAAACCATAAGATTACCGTCAAGTCATCGCCTATGTCACGTGACCACGTCTCTGCAAAGTAATAGTCTTCGGATCAGATTCAAGTAAATGTCAGCCAAAGGAAAAGAATTAAAAAATTAGTATGAAACGTATTTCTGGATTGCACTATCCTCCTGTTTTCTCCTTTTTTGTAATCAGTTGGCATGATCACCATCAAACATCTCCTATCATGTGCAGGTTGAGATGACTGCCAAACCTCCAACAACTCTTTCTCTACATGTCAGCCACCAGCAATTCGAAATTGGCTGGAGTCCTTGAATGGCTTGAAAACAACAGTTTTTGGAACTCAGAGCTTTTAGAGGTTCGCGAGTCGCCTATTGGTGGTGTGGGTGTGTTCTGGAAGTTGGGACCCGATGCAGATGAAGAAAACGATAATCTTCTTCTCCGGATCCCCAAATCGGCCGTTCTCTCTCCAAAAAACTCGTTCATATATCCATTACTTATGGACTATGAGTGTGAGGAGCCTACAGTTGATTTGACCTACGGAATGCATGCTATAGTGATCACCTTCATTTACGAGTACTCGATGGGTAAGCTGTCTCCATGGTTTCAGTATTTGGACTCTTTTGACATTGAGTCTGACGAATCGGCGGTTCCTTTCTGCTTGTGGAATAAGGAGGACAACGCATGTTTGTATAACTCGGAGGTTGACCTCTTGAATATGCTTGATCTGGCTGAACTCATAGTATTCATGATGGAATGTGCCAGATTTGCTCACATGAACGCCCAGTACGTGAATATTCCGGATGTTTTGAAGTTAGATCCTGAGGCTGAATTGGAGGATATTCAAATAAAGTATGAAGATAAGTTGTTACAGTTTGGCCGTTGTGTTCAGGCTGTGATTTCCAGAGCATTCACGGTGGACAAATATCTCGGGCTCTCGTTGGTGCCTGGTGCAGATTTATTCAACCACCTTTCGCCAATTATTACTGACGATGCGCTCGAGGAGAGAGAAAATGTACACTTTGAGTGTGATGATGATGATGAATTATGTGAGGAATGTGGAGAAATTGGATGTGCTCATTTAGACGATGAAGATGAAGACGATGCAGAACTTGAGGAGCTTGATGAAATTGAGGAAGATGAAGTGGTTGAAGAGATCGAAGAGATCGAAGAAGGCGAGGAGGGAGAAGGTGAAAGTGAGGTGGAGGTGGAGGAAGAAGGCAATGGAGGCGAAGCAAATGTCACTTTGGATTTCCTCATGGAGTCAGACGTCGAGTTGGACGCATCTTCAGAGTCCCTGGATAGTGATGATGAAGAAGACGACTCATCATCTGTGACTGAAAGCATCGAAGACGAAGAAGTGGAAAAGAAGGAAGAAAAGACTACTATAACGATGGAAGATATTGAGGAGTTGGAGATGTCTGGTGCAGAAACAGAACACGATGACGAAGAGGTGTCTACATTGTCCCTAAGCGAGGATGAACGAGAAAATGAAAAGGAGGGCGGAGAAAGTGAAGAAGAGGAAGAGGAAGAGGAAGATGAGCAAGAACATGGTGATGGTGCTAATGCGGACTTGGTCCAAGAACTCTCTAATAGCTCCAAATGTTGCGATATCATACTTACTAGACCTCCATCAAAGGAATTCAACTATGAGCTTTTCAACACTTACGGCAACAACTTGGCTAACGCATACCTTCTTCAGAGATATGGATTTGTCTCTCCGAACAACCCCAACACGACATGCTTGTTGTCTGTACAGATGTTTTCATATCTCAAGAAGGAGAAGTTGAACAAGAAGAAGAGGGTTCAGCTTGACACCAAATTGGAATGGTATGAAGAAGTGGGCTTTGACGTTGTGAACGAATTGGTTCTGTCTGCATTATCTGCTGATCATGACCACGAACATGACCATGACCACGACCATGAAGGTGAAAATGAAAATTGTGATGATAAATGTGGTGACGAATGTGGAGATGGTTGCGGTGACGGTTGCGGTGATGGTTGTGGGGATGGTTGTGGGGATGGTTGTGGGGATGGAGACGAAGAAATTGAGACACCAGAATCCTGGCAATTGTCTCCTCGTATTTCCTACGATGGCACGCCGACCGAACAGACTATAGCACTTGTCCGTTTGCTCTTGATGCCATTCAAGGTGTTCTTCTACAAGTTGGCAGTGGCCTCCAGTGACAGAAAGCTCATCAGAAGGGTTTCGCATTACCTTTTGGAAGGAGACGTTACGAACGAGGAAAAGAAGATTTTGTCCGGGTGGGTCAAGGGAAGATTGGCTAGGTACAAAGAGTCCAATGCTACAGGAGAGAGGGCTCGTCTTGCACGGGAATTGGTAAAGGAGGAGAAAGGGGTTCTTCACCGAGCGCTAGAGGTGTTAGAGACGTAGAAAGATAATATTATATTCAATTTTCTATTACAGTCATGGTAATTTTTCATTCGTAGGTTCATCCGTTGTGTCTATGTCCTATCATTTCAATAATCAAGAATTGACTCATGTCATCTGCACGAACCATACCTATATCCATTTGACTCACTATGACTCATCTGCTTTGAAGATTCGACCGATTCAAAATCATGATAATAAATAACTCGCCTAATTTCTTTCACTCCCCTCAATTCTACTCTATTTTTTCCATCGTATCCTCAATAAGTTTTCTTTTTCTTTAATCCTTCTGTTCGTTACTATCTAGATCATACAGGATGTCAGACACCATTAGCTACGCCACTACAACTCAATACTGTAACCTGAGCACCACCTCTCTTTCCACTATGGATTCAGAATCAGACATAAGCTTCGATTATGAAGATGGCATTGATGACGACGTCTACTTCAGCGAAGGCGAGGTGCTGATCTCAGACACACCCTACGATCACGACGAGAAGACTTACCAGGATGAGTCGCTAATTCATTCGCCCAACCAACTCAGTGGGTTCTGGTTCCGCCCGCTCGGATTGGGTTGGTACATCCACGAACATTTTGTGTCTAGAGCCAACCAGCTCCAGAGTATACTTCCGAACTTCACTATCGATGAACTACTTGTGATGCTACAGTACAAGAAGTGGCTGGTGGATGAGGTTACAGGTGACTACTATGTGAATTGGCCCAAGCTACGTGAAGGTTGTGGACTCACAGACACTCGAGACGAGGATCATTCCATAGTTAGTGTGCTGGACTTTATGTGCTTTATTTGCTGTGAATCTGGGAACATGCCGGTGTTTCTGCTCTCGTGTAACCACCAGTACTGCGCTGATTGCTACTCCCAATACGTGAATTGCAGTATAGCGCAGGGTGGAATTATCCGGTGCATGCATTTGGATTGCAACTTGAGTTTACTTCCAAAGGACATTGAGATGTTGATGTCTCACAAGGCAGAAGTGGGCAAGAAGTTAGAGGCGGAACAAAAGAAGAAAGAAGAAGAAGAAGAACAGGAACAGGAACAGGAAGAGGACAATAGGGATTTTGAGGATAATAGCGATTTTGATGATGACACAGATACGGAGGAAGAATACGATCGGCAGTTCGAGAATGTCGATTTGTCCCAACGTTTTCTCGTGTTAGACAAAGAGGACAAGATCCTCACCAATAAGGCATTGATCAATGCGGCACGTGTAAGAATTGATATGCTACCCTCTCGCTATAGGTGGTGTCCTGCTCCAGACTGCAGCAGCTTTGCTGAGTTGGTGGTGAATGCGAGAACCTCCTCGTACGACAGAACCACATCGTGTGATCTCCTGTGCATACCCATCGTCACATGTGCCAGCTCCCATGAATTCTGTTTTGACTGTCTGTACGAGAATCATCTTCCATGTCCCTGTTGGTTGGTTACTGCCTGGGTAAAGAAATGTAAAGATGACTCTGAAACTGCTAATTGGATTGATGTCAACACACAGGCGTGTGTCAAGTGCTTTACGCTGATTGAGAAGAATGGTGGTTGTAACCACATGACATGTAGCAAGTGCAAGTATGAATTCTGCTGGATCTGTCTCGGTGACTGGGCGGAACACAACTCGTCATACTACAAGTGCAACCGTTACGTGAAACAGGATGAGGACGCGAAGAAGAAGAGGTCGGAAAAGGAAGACTCTCTCAATAGATATTTGCATTTCTACAAGCGTTTTACTGTTCATCAGAATTCAATGAATGGTGATCAGCATACTTTGAATAGTGTGCATCGCTACATGCTCATGTACATGAAGCAACAGAAGTTTAGTTCCAAGAAGATGGCTTCTTGGAATGATATTCAGTTTCTTTCAGATGCTATTCGAAGCTTGACGAGCGGGAGGAAAACGTTGATGTGGACATACGCCTTTGCATTTTATCTAAAAAAGTCGAATCTCTCTGAAATTTTCGAGAGGATGCAAGACTATTTAAACCTGACGGTGGAGGAATTGTCTGGACTTTTCGAGAAAATCGTAAGGAGGATAGGAGATGCTGTGGGCAACATTGCAAAGTACAAGAAGGATATTGTCAATTTGGCTGCACTTGTAAGTCGGAGGAAGCAATTGCTTATCGAGTGTGCCCATAGTGAGCTACAGCTGGGCTGTTTGCAGTTTTTCAATTAGTATTTTAACCTCATATAGCATATAACATAGATACGTCTTTGAAGCAATGGCTCAATGGAAGCCGCTAGTTATCGGTAGGCCTATCCAATGGGCTCATGCCCAAATGTATGCAACACTTGCAGGAATCCACGGCGTATTGGACTTGCATCTGCATACACGTAATGTCCGGCACTTACGTTATCTGCAAGCGCAAGATAAGAACACACTGGTGATTCTCTCTCTGATCTACCTGTTGCTGCGTCGGACACGGTTCTGAGTGCACATTCTTATATTTCAAAAATTTTCCTCTGCCATCCCTTTCATATCATCCCAACATACACCAATGCCGTCTTCCGAGGACAGGGGCCGAAGTTTAATTCGAGCCCGGTCCACAACATCCATTCATACTGAAAGAAACCACCAGCAAGTGCCTCTAAATCCTCAACGAGCGGCTTCCGTTCATCATTCAGGACAGACACCCAAAATCCGTGAAGGGTCGTCAGATTTACGTCATACTGCCATCCGGAATGGACTTCGAAGGACAGCTTCTGGAAATGTTGTGCCTTCCCTAGGTAATCAGGGCCAAATCAATCATCCTGGTCCAGTTCTCAATAAGAACATCCCAATGGTTCCTCACGAAGCTCGCCCAGCACGGAATTTGGGGAATCGATGGGCCAATTTTACTATAAACCAGCCTTTAGAATCTCAGGAGTTAGCGTCTGATCACCAGGACGGGGTTTCTGTTGTTCATGAAGTACCTGTTGTTCAAGACGTACATTTTGGTCATGATCTCACTACGGTGAAAGAAGTAGTTCCAACTTCTAAAGCTAGTATATCACCACTCACCTTTGTGAAAAATAGCACGGGCGAGTCGTATCCTACAGCGGCTACCACTGTGTTAACGACTCCTACGACCCCAACAACAGACAACAAGTTTGAAGATTTACATGTCGATGACAGTAAGCTGAGCGAGAGCAGGTCGACTCAGACGAGTCGATTCTACCACCGTATGAGTGCTATAATCAGCGACCGCAGAAGTGATCACAACTCCATGAGCTCGCTAGTTCCGGTGAGCAGGTACATTAGCGAGCTGGATACTAGTGATGAAGACGATGACGATGCTGATACAAAGAACAGTAAGGATGCAGATGATTCTCAGCACCAGGCGCTGACGATGGACCAGGGCGAGCCGGTTTCTGTGTTGGATATTATGAATGAGATAAATGACTTCCAGACGACATTGGTGGAGCGAAGATCCCCACAAAAGGAGAATTTCACATTGTCTCGAACTCAACAGAAACTTCTTGATCTAAAGGACTTGGCGACTTATGAACAGGGTCAGCAGGGCACTACTTTCAAGAATCTGCTTGATTACGCAGTCAAGATTCAGCATGAGGCTATACTTTCTGAATGGACTCAGCTCCGGCTTCGATTCCTGAGTCATGCCACGACGAAGTCAGAAACGAATGTATCCTGTCGTGCAGGTGTTCTAGGGTTCGTACATCGGTACAAGGATGTTCAAAGATCCGTCAGTCCGTCGTCCATTACGGAGGACGAGGTCTCTGACTACATTCAAGAATTGTGGGATGACGAGTTTATGAAATTAGTGGAAACCCCAGGTAGAATTGCGCTGCCCACTTACGACGAAGGTGTAGATATATATAAGGACAACTCGATGCTGATGTCATCGTTGGCACGGAGTGTGATGTTGTCAAGGGAGAGCACATAGTCGCATTGAGGAATAGCATAATAAAGGCATAATTAAAAATAGCGAGAAGTGAGCTAGAATGTTAAGAGATTTGAGCATAGATCTAGAAAGTCTAAATAGTTTTAGATCGTTTAGAACTGATCTACAACACTCTGGAAAACTCAGGGACATTGGACGTGCACTATAAGATCAAAATGTTCCTCTCAAATATTGAGAATACCCATACATATTCAGAACAGTAAAAACGAGACAAGAAAAAAAAAGACAAAGTTTTCAATCATTCAAAGAAAAAATCCAAATACTTCTCTAGTTACATTTCCATCCCCTTCTCCACTTCACCACCTCTTCTTCTTTTCTTCCCTCCAGATCTTCATCATGTCTACACCCGTGCCTCTGGCCAACTATACCATCAATTCTAAACCGTAACACTCGATCACCCAACACTCACACCATGAGCAAAAGAGCTAATTTGCCGTACACGTACCAGGACTTATTTCCTCAAGCAACTCTGTCGCCTCGAGATTTCCGTACCCCCGGCTCTGTATCAGGGGTGTCGTTCACGGAAACCGTCCGCAATGGATCGATAGCATTCACTCCAGCCAGAAACGCCGGCAGCGCCAGCGAGAGCCGTATAGCCAATTGGAAGACAATGTTCAAAAGACTTTTCAAGCCTCGCACGCTTGATTTTGAAACTGCCATATGGGAGATCTTCCATCTTATCGTCAACCCAAAGAAAATGTACCGGTCCAATTACATGTACAAGCAGCAGAACAACGGCAAGACCACCTATACACGAGACGATCCTTCGTTTCTTATCCTCGTGACTGCATTCCTCTGCATCAGTGCCATTGCGTGGGGCGCCACATACTCGCCCAATGTTTGGGACATTATAAAGTTGGTCATTAATATGGTGGTGTTTGACTTCTACGTGCTGGGCGTGTTCATCGCTACGTTACTGTGGGCTATCTCTAATAAACTCTTCAACCCACAGTTCCGCTTGCTGCAAGCGTTTTCTGCGGCCTCTCACTACTCGGTCAACTACATAGACTGGGGCTTTTGTTTCGATGTTCACTGTAACTCGTTTTTGATTATTTGGTGCATGCTCTACTTGTTGCAGTTCTTCTTGCTCCCGGTGCTCACCATCAAGACCTCGTTCTTATCGTTATTGTTGGGAAACACCTTGTATTTCACCGCCATTGGCTACTATTTCGTGGTAACATTCTATGGCTTCAACTCTTTGCCCTTTGTGGGAACTACCCACTACAACCGCAACCTGACCGGTACTAATCCAGGCAAAATCCTCCAGCTCACCATTTTGGCCGGTATCATGCCTCTTTTGGCCTTCTTGTGGCTCTTAAGTGTTGTGTTCCGCTTCAATGTGGCCTACACTATGGTGGATAACTACTTCAATTGAATGGATCATACAGAAATCATCAAACTTCACTTCTTAGCTGCTCTAGCCGCTCCGTGGCTGCCTTGATCCGCATACTGGTACGGTTACTCAATTCATAGTCGCCTTGATCGGAAACATTCTCGGCCTTTTCAAGCCATGTGACCGCCTCCAGAATAGCCAGGTGGGCATTACTTTGAACCTTCAACATCCAAGTGAACATGGCTCTCTCGTAGAGCGCCGTTGGATACAAGTATGGCGAGTACGTCATTTTAGTGAATTTGAAAGGAGCATTGGCGGAATCTTGAGTCACGTACTTGGAAATAACCTCTGAGTCCAAGAAAGTCACTCCTTCTGCGGGTTTTCCAAGCTGGCGAAGCGCTAAACTCTGGAAAAAGTGTCTGATCATGGCCTCATCTTGGGTCTCAGGAAACTTTGCGTATGGACTATTGGAGAATTCTAGCATCCGGTGCAGCAATTCTAAGTCCTCGGGTTTCATTCTGTTATATCCGTTCCAGAAATACACGAGCTCGTGAATCAACGAAGTACCAACACATTCGATGTACAGTAACTCTGGATACTTACGGTGACGTTCTTCAATATGTTTGGTTTTACGAAGAACAAATTTGTCGAATGGCATCTGCTTGTTGGATCCTCCGATTCCACCTCTTTTCTTTGATGCGTTGACACCGACGCCTGGAACATAGGTAGGTGCTAATTTCAAGTACTTATCAGCTTTTTCTGCCAGCTCCTCGAGGCTCTTGTTCCTGGTCGCATCGTCATCGAATGGGATTTCGCCCATCTGGATCATTCTCCATTTCTCGAGGAAACATGATCCTGCCATGAACAAATAAACTGCCTGAGACCATGAACTAATTTCAGTCATGCGAATAAAGTCTCTGGCTGCCTTGTCGTATTCGTGAATGAAGGCATACATGGTGGCTCTATCGTAAGTGAGCAACGCCTCCACCTGTTCCATATGTATAGTTGTGTCAGGATCGTCAGTAAAATTCTGCATGAGTGCAAGAGACTCGTGGATGTTACCTTGGGCTGCATGCATGCGTCCCTCTTGAAGTAACCATAATGCATTGTGTGGGAAAATTGATCTGGCCCTAGCTAAAAGCTGGGGTGTGTAGAGATTGGGATTTTTGATGATAACGGTGAGTTCGGAATCGGACACTGTGGATCTTCCAATCAAATTCAACGCGTTCTTAACATTGCTATCTTCGTGGCCTGGAAGTTGGAATCCAACATCGATGAACTGGACAGGGCCGTCGTAAAACACCAAAAGACATAATAATGCGAGGTCGCCGTGGATGTTTCTAGCAGTAATTGCGGTTCTCCAAAGCATTCGGAGTCCAATGTCTCTATTCCCTTTAAATCCCACAATAGACAAGACCTTTCCAATTGTTGGTGGAATTAACGACAAGACTACCTGTAAAATTCCAAAACACAATTGTACACCAGAGTGGATGAACTCGTCAATTGTCGAGACGTGTAAATGCGTGTCGTTTCCCGAGTTGAGAGAGCTGGAAGAGGTGGCTAAAGAGACAATCGACTCTGGATAATGGTGAAGACTTGGAGTTGCGGAGCCTGGGCGAGGCGGACGGTCAAACTGGGGAACCTGAATTCGAGGAATGCCAGAAGGTAAGTCGTCGCAAGCATCAGAGAAGTCATCATCGTCGCTCTCATCGCTCTCGTTCGAATTCTTTTCGTCGCTCTCATTCGAATTCTTTGCATCACTGCGATTTGACTTGACTGATACTTGCAAAAACGCTGCGTTGGACGAACTTTGCGGGTTAGGAGAGCTTGTTCTGCCCACAGGCGTCGAAATCCGCTCAATGAACGGTAAGCTTGTTTTTGAAGAAAGTGCAACCGACAGTGTGCTCTCAGACTTAAAAAGGTTAACCTGTGACGCATGTGGACCCAACGAAGTGCCTTCGACACGCTTCTTCCGCATTTGGTAGACCTGCTCCAAGTTCTTCATGAGCTGAATATCCTCAGGTAACGAAGTATTGGACTCTCCCACAGGAGGTATTGAGTAACCTGGCAAGTCCACTGAACTCACTGACGCATGAATGGCCTCCTTGCGAAACTTGGCCAAATTCCGATTGAAAAGACCTTCGGAATCCTTGATCTTTTTATACGTAGAATCTAAGATCTGGTAAGCTCTCCGCAACTTGAAAAGCGCTTTGGCCTGCTCCATCATACCGTTATCTTCTCTCAAGAGCATCACGAGAGCATTGAGCAACGTCAGCTCGGCGTAAGTCACCTGAAATTCAGTTCCCGGAGGGTAGATGTGACTGGTTGCTAGCAGATTCTTCTGGTTGAACTTCGAGTGTGCTAATGACGCCTCCTCTGCATCCGAGAGTGTTTTATGAGCTTTCGTCATCACCTCAGTCTCGAACCCTAGCGTGGCCTCAATGAATTCCATCAATCCAAGCGCCAACGAAAAGATCGCTGCCGGGTCTTTGGTGGACGCAAGACTATTTTTCTTCTCCCTCGTCAATAAATCGACACCCTCTTGGTTCCGATCATCTAGCAACAAATCCATGGCCTCAAGTGCGATCTCAAAGTCATGCACTTGCTTCAAAACTTTGGTATAGTTGGCCGACTTCTCGTTACTAGACGAAGCAGTCAGTCCAGTCGACGAGATCGAAAGGATCGACGCCTTTTTTCGGATTCCACGAAGCATTGGGAGTGGTGTTGGAGGTGGTGGTGGTTGCAGAAGATAACAGAGTGCGAAATTTGACACAAGTAGTGAATGATTGTGTGGAGAAGAGTGGACGTGAGAGAAGTTTCCACGGGCCAAGAATAATACTGCGCAGCGTTGGGAAGGAAAGTCTTCTTAACAAGATTTATTTGGTCGTTTGGCGTTCAGCTTGAGAACAGAGTGCTTTCTTGTGGAAATATACGTAATCTGATTTCGATACTCGTTGGTTGGGTCCCGGCTATGGTGGAGACTGTCAAACACGTGACTGGCTCACCAAAAAAATGCCTCAATCAGTTCGGCACATTCACTGATAGGGGAAGATGATAGATTCACGGTATTGAGCTAGTGCATGGGGTAGGGTTATGAAAAGGCTGTGCTTGAGAGATGTGACACAAGGTGTGGTTGTGGATCGAATTGTTGACAGGTTCCTTCAACCACTTATAATGCACTGCAAGTTGAAGAATGCGTTCTTGGACGCGGAGGTGGGCCCTGGCATGCAATGCCTAGCGCGGAACAACTGACCACTTTGGGATTTGCGTTACATGCAGATCGCAGCTTTTACGAACCATTTTCCTCGTACCATTACTTCTGTCTTTCCAATCGGGTTAACTCGAGGTGTTGATCTTCTTATTATGAGAGAATTGCTCTATGCATCTTCGAGACATCAAATATTATTTAGCGGACGCTCGGAGAAATATCTTGCCGTTGGGATTGTGCAATCCAGTTATTTTGCCCGTCAAGCAAGTGAAGGTCGTGCATTGACTTTTGTCAAGGCGGGGATATTAGGAAAGCAAGAGGGGAAACTTTAGGATAGTTTGAGGTCCTATTGTTCTGCCAATATTGTAAGAATTTAATGATATCATTTTATGGTGCGGCTCTGAAGAACTTTTATATATGTGCATGTTCATCAGTGGTCAATGCATGTTATAGATCAAGTTTCCGTCTCGATATGTGTCCATGCATGATCGGAGGAAGCCACATAAGATCCGGGACCTCGGTTCAATTTCGTTGTCATTTTTCAATTTGCCGTGTTCCCGAAGTTAGCCCTTCCAGGATGAAGAAGTTGATTTTGGATTAATTAACCTTTGTAACTATTGTATTGTCCACCATCAATTAACCCCGTTTCTTTTTTTGAAACGTGATTGTTGCAGTTTTTAATTTCTCCTTCTCCTTCTCCTTCATTAGTAAATGATTATGACGAACTTGTTGTTCTTATGCCTCCTTGTCCCTTCTCAGCAATACTACAGGAGTAGAATATGACCTTATGTTGCCAATATCGTGCCTTGGCAATTCAAACCCGTACACCCGCAATTTCACTCATAGATATTGAGAACATTGTAATGAAAACAAAAATACTCAGATTGATATAGAAACCAGATAGTAGAACAGCGGAAGATGCCACTTTGTCAAATAACTGAAGGATTCATTCAAAAGTGGTTTCACGTTTCGTCTGCTGTCTACTCTACTTGTGGAATACAATGAAATCATTTAAATTTCGCGTAGGGGGTGTGGATCTAAGTCATTCCTTTCATGGATGAAACTGGACATTACGTGCCGGAAGTCGGATAATACTAATACATTTCTGAAAGCGCTTCGCTTAGATTGAATATTTGTCATATTCGCCTGTGATTACCGTACATAGCATCGCAGGCTGGCAACGTCTGGCCTTTTCAGCTTTTTTTACTGGCGGTGATGGTGCCACTATGCGGTGGGTGGTGGTGCATGAAATCTTTGAGATCCATCTTGCAGTATGTGCTTCTTTTGGCGCGCTCTCTCTCAATTGGGACATGTCGCTTACATCCCCAGCACAATTGGAGAGCCAGAATAAGGACATCTCTAGAGCCAAAGAATGTCAATCCACTTAGTAGATATGCTTTCTGTACCGTAATCATCATGAGATCCTTTCATTGTGACGTTTATAGAGAAAAGAAAATAGAATGATGTGAAACAGATTCGCCGACTCCAGTAGATCTCAACGCACGATCTTCGGAGCGTAGAACAGCAAGATACTCGAGGAATGGCGAAGCGAGCACCCTTGTCATTCAAACTGCTTGTCTGCTTGCTTTGACATATTTCTTTTGCTCCATATTTGCATGCTTAAGTGCTGGCTGTTGATACTTTCTGTGTCATTTCCCCTTCCTTCTGACCCTCTTACCAGCACTAGTGGAGGTTGAGACTTGCCTCCTTCGGGATTTCTGTACAGGATCCATCTGACAACAATAAAATTTGCGCTGCAACACTGCCTGTTCCGCATATTCTGACCTGTGGGTAACAAGACCTCAATGCATGAATGCTTAGAACGTGCATAACATTACTAGCCCATATTCGGTGAACACCATATAAAACTGGGCGGTCGCCTTAATGGATATTGTGAGAGTTTTTGCTTACCCTGAGACGCTACCAATAATATGAAACTCTCGTTACCTATCCTTCTAGCCACCTCCGTGGCTATTGTGAAGGCTGCTACGGTCACTTCAACCGTTACTCGTAGCATTACAACATCCTACGCTCATGAGACCATTCTTGGTCCTCCACCAGCATCTACCGGAGAACCTACTACAGTCACTTCCTCTGAGGCCGAAAGCTCCGAAACTGTTGCTGTCTCTTCTGAGACTGTTGGTGCAGAGACCTCTGAGACTTCTGCTTCTACTGAAACCACTGTTGGTGAATCATCTTCTGTTAATGCTGTACTTTCCTCGTCTGCAGATGCTGAAACTTCTTCGTCTGCCGATTCTGAAGCTCCATCTTCTGATATTGCTGAAACTACATCCACTGTTGATGAAACTACATCTACTATAGAGGCTGCATCATCTTCTGCTGAAGCTGCTTCCTCCTCTGCTGAAGCTGCTTCCTCCTCTGCTGAAGCTGCTACCTCCTCTGCTGAAGCTGCATCACCTTCTGCTGAAGCTGCTACCTCCTCTGCTGAAGCTGCTTCCTCCTCTGCTGAAGCTGCTACCTCCTCTGCTGAAGCTGCTACCTCCTCTGCTGAAGCTGCTACCTCCTCTGCTGAAGCTGGTGTTTCACCAGATGCCGCACCTGAGGAATCCAGTCTGAGCTCCGAAAGTCCAATCCCTCCTGTCACCCTGTCTGCTACTTCCAGCGATAGCATTCCAAGTTCTAGTGACAGCTCAAGTACTACTACTGACCTCGTGTCATCCTCCGCTATCTACTCTGTTGTTTCCGATCTTAGCTCTTACTCATCGAGTTTAACTTCTGCCTACGCCAGCTCGAGTTCCAGCTCTGAGTTGTCTTCTGCATCCTCCTCTCCAACGGCAAGAGTTCTTAGCGCATTGGAGGCTGATCTCTTACAGGAGACCAATGCAAAGAGAGCCTTGCACGGTGCTCCATTAATGACTTGGAATTGGGAGTTGGCTGACTACGCTGCTAACTATGCCGCCAACAACTTTGATTGTAACAATGTTCAACTTATCCACTCTGGAGGACCTTACGGAGAAAACTTGGCTGCTGGTTACGTGGGAGGTTTCGAGCCTGTCGATGCATGGTACGACGAAATCAAGGACTATGACTATTCCAACCCGGGTTACTCTGGAGCAACTGGTCACTTCACCCAGCTTATTTGGAAGGCCTCGGTCGAGTTGGGGTGCGCTGTCGTCATGTGTAACAACGAATGGAGACAGTATACTATTTGTGAGTACAACCCTAGAGGTAACCTTGTGGGAACCACTCAGAGTCTTACTACTTACTTGTTTACCCAGAACGTGTTGCCATTGCTTCAGGGACAGGCTCCCTAGTTGAACGGCTCCAGTTCTCCAGTTGCATATAGTACTTTTAGAAGGTAAAATAATAATCACGAATGAAATTAGCCATTAGCAACTTTCAATTTAATCCCGATGCAAGCTGCATGCACCAGCATCCCGAAGGAGCGGAATTGTCTACTCTCTTGAACGGCATACATGCAGGGCATCGACATTGTGCATGGTTATGCGCTCACGATTGGGGGGACCATGGGACTAGAGCAATTAGTCCGATAGCTGAACCCAGCTCAAACACTCCGGAAGTAGTTACCTGCAAGTGTGTCTGGACTGGAATGAAGTTAAAATGCCTAGGCCTATTAAAAGGAGGATTTTATGGGTTCGAAAGTAGTTCTCGATATGTCTATAAAAATCTATGACTAGGCTCTGTCTGAAGATCGGCATCATACGGAACGAACAAATGTAAGCTAAGTCGACCCTTTCGCCCTTCTACGTGGTCCATTTTCCGATATTTCTCTTCTCACGTGTTGGAACGAGCACGCAAGTTTGATAACTCAGTTTAGAATTACTTCACAACTGTTTATGATATATTTACACCTCCAGAACCCAACTAAACATTTACAGCTTACAAATTCAATTTGAACAGTAATTCACTCATGTAATTCATATCAACACGATCTATTTATGCGGCTGAAATCAGCACGCTTACTGCTTCAAGACAGAGAGGAACTGACCCTTAGATGGCTTAGCACCCTTCTTGTCAACCTTGGTGGAACCCAACTTCAAGTCAGAGTAGGTCTTAGCGTAAGGGTTCAATCTCAACATAACCTGCTTGTTCTTCAATGGGTTCTTCTTCAAGACGTGAGGTCTCTTGGTAGAAGCCTCGTTGGATGGTCTGACAACAGCCTGGATCTCAGAAGAGTTGATCAAGGTCTTGTAGTCGGTGTTAGAGACAATGTTGGATGGCAAAGAGTAGCCAGCCTTGTTGTCGTAGACAGAGTCCAAAGACTCAATGGCAGCCTGGGTCCAGATAACGAATCTACCCAAGTGAGCACCTGGAGCCAACTGCAACAAACCCAAACGGGAAACGTGGGCAGTGTCGACACCTGGAACGTTTCTCAAGGCCTTGGCAATACCGTTGTCGTTAGCGTAGACAACCAATGGACCCTTCTTCTGGACGAATCTTCTGCCTCTCAACTTACCCTTACCAGCTCTCAACTTCTTGGACTTGATGACTCTGATGATGTCCTTGTGGGCACCAACAGCCTTCAAAGCGGCAACAGCCTCCTTGGTCTTGGAGATGGACTCGAACTCGTTAGCGAGAACCAATGGCAACTCCTGGACCTCCTCGACTCTGTGGCCTCTGGCCAAAACCAAAGAGGTGACAGCAGAAGCGGCAATAGCAGAAGCAGTAGCGTAACGCTTCTCGTTCTGGTTCACCTTGACGTGCCATCTTCTCCAAGTCTTGGTTGGAGCGAACATACGACCACCTCTACACATGTTACCGAAAGCACCCTGGCCGGCTCTGTGAGTACCGGAACCACCAACTCTTGGGATTCTGGCAACAGCACGACCGGTACCCCAAGACTCAGCAGAAGTCTGGTGACCAGCCTTCTCAGAAACAGCGTAAGCCTGTCTCTTGTTCTTGTTCACTCTGGTGAAAACGGAGTGGACAATGTCGGCTCTGACTGGAGCAGCGAAAACAGCTGGCAAAGGCAACTGGGTGGAGGTCTTTTGGCCCTGGGCCGAGATAACAGAAACTTGAGGACGAGACATGTCGAAAGAAAGTAGTACAGAAGAAGAAAAAAAGTTTTGGAGGATGAGAAAAAATTTTCAATAAGTTGTGAGTGTTTGTGTGCAGGGGCGAAGCTGGTTTTTTTTTTTCACCTTCTATTGTGCAGGTACTAAAATATGTAAAACGTGGATGGATTGAAGATTTGGGGTTTCTCTGAGGGAAAAAGAAATAGAAGTGGTGTATTAAGAAGTTGGATAGGTTTGGCTAGATTCACTTAAATGGAGTTTGGAGGATGTGTGGGTACTTTTGATGGAGGTTATTCAGTTGATGGGCTATTTATATGTCGTTGTTTGTGCAGGATGGTTGTAAAGTGTGGAACCTAAGACTAGCAATTAGGGTTTTGGGTGCAACTACAATTTGATGAAAAGAGGAACCTTGAAGGGAAGAAATATTATGATTTATGGGATTAGGAACAAGAGCAATTTATTGAATTTCTGAGGTGATTTTAATGCGCTCGAGAGTTTTGAATTTCCAAATTTAAGGGTCATTGTTAGAATAGTTTATTATTGAGTATGTTTTTTTGAGAGTTCATTGTGATTTTCTTGATTCTATACGTTATATTAATTTCGAATGATAGATTCATAGTATTACTTTCATAGTATTAATTTCATGATATTATTTTCACTGTGATTTTTTCTTGGAATCCTACATAATCTATTCATTAATCATCATTCTGTATCATAGTTATTTAGTTACATCTCAAGTCTACTCCAACAAAAATAGCATCACCAAATTCACCCTCCTTCAAATTCTTCCATATTTACAATGGCTCTATTTGGCTTGGTTATTTCCATACATCCTCCCTTCTATCCAAAGAACTTGGCATACTTGGCCCTTTCCTTCTTCTTCTCAGCGTCCATCAACTCCTCAGCCCTCTTCAACTCCTTTTCAATGCCAGCATCACTCACCACCTCTTTTGCGCTCTGTAAATATTTGACTGCTTCTCCATATTTCTTCAATGCAACGTGTGCACTGCCCATACGATAAAGTGTCTTTCCCTTTTCTCCAGGCAAAAGCTCCATGTCAAGCAAATACGTACAGTAATCCACACATTTGGCTAAATCTCCCACCTTAAGACATACCAATGACAAATTAAGGTAAAGTTTCTTCTTAAGCTCCACATACTTCGTGTAGAGCACCGGTTCCAGGTCCTCATCCGGTAGGTACTCCATTACATACCTCAACGACTTCTTATACTTAAGTGATGCCTCTCTAAGTTGACCCTTTTTGAAAAGCTCTCCTCCGCTGTTTTTAATTATGCTGGCTGCCTCGAATACGGACAGCGATGACTCTTTGTCAATATGCTCATCATCATCGGGGTGTTCTTCGTAGATATCTCCACCAATAGGATCGTAACATGCATTGAAAATGGGCACTTGATCACCTTCATTCCACTCTCCAGCACTTGTGATCACTGGAAGGGACGACTCCACGGGAACATTGGACTTAGTAGTCTGAACTTTCTCTATAGCTCTAACCACTGATTTGCCGTGTATGACCCGCCCAAACACAGTGTGCTTTCCGTCCAAATGAGGAGCAGGGTATGTCGTGATGAAAAACTGAGATGAATTCGTATTAGGCCCACTGTTAGCCATGCAGAGCTTGAAAGGTCCGTCGAGCTTCTCTGTCAAGTTCTCATCGGCAAATTCCGCCACAGCTCGGCCAGTTCCGACTCTTTCGTCATTATAGCTGCTGCTTTTACCGTACTCGACATCGCCACCCTGAATCATAAAGTTTTTGATCACACGGTGGAAGTATGTGCCTGGTAGCTTCAGTAAAAGCTTAAGAAAGTTGCTTGTAGCCAAAGGTGCCTTGTCCTGGTAAAGTTCCACCACTATGCGGCCACATGCTTCGTTTCCGATCGACACATCGAGGTATGCCATTGGCTGTACGATTTCAACCTTCATGTTAAGCTTGGTGGTAATGGAAAGATGAAGTCTTCACTTGTTGTAAGGTATTCTATACAAACTCGCGATGTCTCGATTGTAATTACTTATTCTTACATCCCATAGGAATCTCATAGCAATAATTGTTTTGAAGGCGATAAGAATTGAACAGCGTCGTTGCTTTCCTTTGCTAATTATACAGGGTTATACTGCTTCGTGAGCAATCTCACTGTTCTTCATCTCACTGTCCCATCATTGAGCAGACTCTCTCACCAAGCCTTAGAAAGAGATCTTTACTTTTGGAATATGTCTCGCATTATTAGCAGGAGACACTTCTCGCTGGCAAAAGCAAGTCTTCTGTCCTATCAGCAACAACTCCATAACTCAGTGGAGAATGTGTCTGCTTTATTGGAAGCAAACGATAGACTGTCGTACTTGCTAGCACAATATGTTCCTGAGCCAGCCAGAAACGCCTTTCTAGCCATACGTGCCTTTGGACTAGAGGTCAATAAGATTTCGGATGGTGGAAGCAACGTCGGATCACGAGCTTCGAAAGCTCTGAGTCAATTGTCTAGTTCCATGGGAATCTCTACCGCAGACATGAAATTCAAATTTTGGAGTGATCTCATTGGCAAAGCCTTTTCCGGCCACGGTGAAATTGGCGAGCCTACGGCTTTCTTGCTCAGAGATGCCTTGGATAATGGCTTAAATTTGGACATTGCTCATTTTCACCAGTTTCTTCAGACCAGAAGCTATTTCTTGAAAACAAACCAATTCAACACGGTGAATGACATCTGCTCGTACGGAGAAGGCACTTATTCGCAGCTCAATTATGCCACTCAGGGTTTGCTCTTGTCTCCGTCCATTTCTCCTTCAGTGATTCACATGTTAGAATTGTCTACTTCTCTCCAGACGAAAGTGGGAGACATCGCTGCGCACATTGGCCAGGCCACCGCTGTCAGCTCCATGATATTGGGGCTCCACTATTACTCCACTACTCGTAACCATGTGACTGTTCCTGTGGACCTCATGACGAAGTTTGAGCTTTCACAAGAGGCGGTGTTGCGTTTGACTCAGGGACATATGAGCGAGCCTGCTGAGGTTGCAGAGACCAAAGAAAAGTTGCAGAACGTTGTTTTCGAGACGGCTGTAACTGCCAACGACCATCTTTTGTCTGCACGGACAAAATTGGATCAGGTCAAGAGTGAGATTGCTGAGCTTGTTGGTTCGAGACCCAACGATGGTCTTCTTGGCCAGAAGAGCAAAAGGTGGCGCAAAGGATTACCGGATGTGGTGTTTGTGCCGTTCATGGTGTCCATTCCAACGTCGTTGTACTTGCAGAAGCTTGAGAAGTACGATTTTGATGTGTTGAGTCCCAAGCTTCAACAGAAGGAGTGGAGGTTGCCATGGAAGTCGTTTCTCAGTTACTACCAGCGGAAAATTTAAGCTTTTTGTACATAGAAATCAAGCATTATCAAACTTGGACGATACGACTAAATATCTGGGGTTGAGAAGATAAGAAATGTCAATGCACCAGTGAAATAGGTTCTCTGGCTAGGTTTTCCTTGTTTTCATTGTCTCTTCTAAGTTCCTAACTATCATGTTCTTTTGACTTCCAGATTTATAAAAATTTTCAAAAAAGTATCTGTATCAATATTTTCATTTTCATCCTCAAATAGACTGATAACTTCTTTTCGCAACTCAACTGTGTGCTCCAGACAAATGTAAAAACCGTCAAACAGTCACCAAAAATCACCACAATCAAACTGAAAATTACAAACACCATAAACCATACCAAAGAAGCTCAAACTCAGTAGGAAACGCCCCAAAATCAAAATTCAACCCCAGTTGCAAAATTTAATGTACACGTACTCCTGGATATCTGGCCGCACACGACCAACAAAGCACGTACATTTTTAAACGGAATCCAACCTAACCTTCCAACTCTCAAACGTGGTCACTCATAGAACTAGCTGACCGAGAAGTGATAATCCCTTCACTTCTTCATGATTTCAAAGTCACCAACTCCCATAAACCCCAGAAACATGGCATTTTCGGGTGGACCCAACATGTTTTCCTCCTCGACAAGGAAAGTGGCGGTTGATCCCATCACTCTCATGATCAACGAGTGTATGATAATTCTGCTGGCCATGTACAAAATGAAGCGGTGGTCGCAAAGCGGCGTAGCTGCCATTTTGGGCACTGGCGACATATTTGGCGAGGACGATGTCATGAATCTAGGATTGGGTGCTAAAGAAAGCGGAGCAAGAGCCAACGGGGCCGCCGTGGCGCCAAATAGCAACCCTTTGCACTCGAGCTTCTTGCAATTGCGTGTAATTTTGATGGAAACATCAGATATCTACGCCGTGGACAGCTTGACATTGCTCCAGCCATTCTTAATGGCTATTGAGTCAAGCACCACTTCCAGCCATGTCACCACATTGGCATTGAATGCCATCACAAAGTTCCTTGACTACGACATTCTTTCCCTGCGTCTGAAGAACTTGCAGAATCTGCTTGTGCAGTTGATACTGTCGTTGACACATTGCAGATTCGAGGCCTCGGACCAGAACACTGACGACTCAGTCTTGTTGAAGGTTTTGCGTCTTTTAGAAATGATTGTGGATTCTCCGCTCTCGCGCCTATTGCCTAATGCAGTGGTCTCAGAGGTGATTCAAACGTGTTTATCGCTTGCTTGCAACAAGAGAAGAAGCGAGGTGCTCAGAAGGGCTGCAGAGATGGCTATGGTATCTATGACCATCCGCGTGTTTCTGCGCCTTCGCGAGCTAGAGCCAGAACATGCCAATTCTGAGGAGATTTCTACTAATTACGCAGAATTGCCAGCTGATGTTATCGGAAGCACAGCTGTTGAAGACTCTGAAAGTGCACTTGAAGGAGAGGAAATCTCCGATAAATTAGCCAGGGAGCAATCTGCAAGGCTCAGAAGATTGTCAGGACCCTTGCAAGCCTCGCCAAAAAAGAACTCAGACGATGTTGCTGAGAAGCAATTTGACATTGTCTGCATCAACGAGTTCTTCGGCATACTAATATCCATGATATCACCCTCCAACCAGTACCAGCACATGGAGTCCACCAGAGTGTTTGCCTTATACTTAATTAACACTGTCATCGAGGTAGCAGGTGATGATATTCCTCGCCACACCTCCTTGATGGGTTTGGTTTCTGACCCAGTGTCTAAGGATGTTTTGCAGATAATCACCACAACAGACTCGCCGGCTTTGTTACTGGCAGCTCTCAGGTTATTCTGTACAATGGCAATAGTGCTCCACAATCAGCTCAAGTCACAGATCGAATTAACATTCAACTTATTGTTCAGATCCATTTTGCCTGCTGAGACTCAAGGCGAGGACTCCATTAAAGGTAACAAGACTGTTGTATCCAACAGAGTTTCCTCATCCAAGGAAATGATTGTGGAGTCTCTTTCCTTGCTTTGGACGAGATCTCCTCAGTTCTTCTCCCTGTTGTTTGTTGAGTTTGATTGCGATTTCGAGAGGACTGACTTGGCAACCTCGTTCGTTCATTTCTTATGCAAATTAGCCCTTCCGGAGTCAGCATTTATGGCCACAGACAATGTGCCTCCAATTTGCTTGGAGGGTGTTCTTTCCTTGATTGCTGGCATCAATGATAGAGTGAAGGGCTGTAATGTCGCCCAACAACTGCCTTCAGCATCTGAGCATAATTTAATTGTTGACAAGGAAAAGAAGACGTATTTTGTGAAGTGCACAGAACTATTCAACAAGAGTCCCAAAAAGGGCCTCGCTGCTCTCTGTGAGAAGGGCTTCATCAAAGATCCTGCTGATCCTAAAGAGGTCGCGGAGTTCTTCTTCCACAAGTCTACGAGACTTAACAAGAAGATGCTTGGTGAGTTCCTTGCAAAGCCAAGCAATATCGAGCTTTTGAAGCATTTTATGACGCTTTTTGAGTTTGATGGCCTTAGAGTCGACGAGGCTTTGAGATTGATGTTAAAAGCCTTCAGATTGCCTGGAGAATCCCAGCAAATTGAGAGAATTGTTGAGCTTTTCGCCGAAGCTTACGTGGGCTGCCAAAGTGACCTGACAAGTTTCTGCCCTCATGAGGAAGACCAGGAACCTGTGACTCCCGACAGAGATGCGGTTTTTGTGTTGTCCTATTCAATTATCTTACTTAATACCGATTTGCACAATCCGCAAGTGAAGAAGCAAATGGACTTGGACGCTTATAGGAGGAATCTTAAGGGTGTCAACAACGGCAAGGATTTCCCCGAGTGGTACTTGTCTAAGATTTACAGTTCCATCAGAGATCGTGAAATCATCATGCCAGAAGAACACCACGGTACTGATAAATGGTTTGATGATGTTTGGCACAACCTTATTTCTTCTCAATCTAGGTATGCCCGTGATCATGGAGTTTCAATCAATGATTTTGATTTACCTACTTTATGTCAGTTCGACAAACTTTTGTTTGAATCTATTGTGGACGAGACGGTTGATACTTTAATCAAGGTTTTCATGGAGGCTTCTGATGACCACATAATTACAAAGTTGATGTCCTCGATTGACAAGTGTGCAAATATTTGTATTTCTTACGGATTAACGGATTCTGTGGACATGTTGATCTCCAAATTGGCCAAGTTGACAACCCTCCCAGATAAGAGTTTCCTCAAAGTTAATCCTGATGAGAATGTTCGAATCGAGATTCCAATCACGCAGATTAATATCGAGAAGAAGAATGAGGCCATCTTCATTAGTGATATGGCTGTTCATTTTGGCAGGGATTTCAAGGCTCAGCTTTCCACAGTTGTACTCTTTAGATTGATCAAGAAGCCTGATTGTCGGGTCACTGCGTCATGGGACTCTGTTATTAAGATCATATTGACTCTCTTTGAATACTGCTTGATCAACCCCAATCTCTTCAGTGAATTCCAAAAGAAGCTCCAATTGTCTCCTTTGGAGAAAGTGAAGGCCAGATACACAATTCTGCGGGTGAAGCCACTCAAAGAATCTGGACTTATGTCCTCTTTTTCATCGTTCTTTAAAGGTTACTCAGATGACCCTCCAGAACCCAGTGATCAGGAAGTCGAATCCACTCTTTCCACCATTGACTGTGTGAGATCTGTAAATGTGCCAGGTATTTTCGATACTGTTTCAAAGGGAACTAGTGAAGAATTGGTGACGTTTATTGAAATGATTTTGGACACTTTGCCTGAATTTACACCAGAGAAGAAGCGCTTCTTTGAAACCGAAGTCTTGTTCTTGTTCGAAATTGCTGTATGCTTCTCGCTTATTGTTAATGACTCTAAGGTTACCAACAAGGTCATCGAACGATTGACCTACTATTTGAAGTCCGAGCGTGGCATCAACAAGGGGTACTGTAGACTTTCAGTTTATTTATTCTTGGTCGGGAGACAAAGCGATGGAACTCAAAGAGACTCAATTGTCGAAACTTTGAACCATTTGCACACCATCGACAAGGAAGCATTATCAGCGAACAGTGCTGCTTTGAATCAGACTTTGTTCTCTCTTGTGGATGACGAGTCTGGGTTGAAGAGCTTAATCGCGGAGGAGTCTTATTGGAAATTATTGAGGTTGACGGGATCCACACCAGAACGCGCAGAAGATGTTTTGATTTTCGTTGAATCTATCGTGAAGAATTCACCTGAGGAGATAAATCAACAAAATTATGTTTCTTTCCTAGGATTGCTCGACGAGATTTCCTCATTAGGTGTTGTTGCAGCACAATATGAACAAGCGAAGGAGAAAGGAAAGGCGCTTGATGCAACTGAAGAATCGGCATTGGTTAGAAAATCGGTTGAGCTCTCCAAAAGATCTGTCAGTTTAACAGGTGAGCTTGCAAGCACACAGCAATTTGTCTCGTATCCACTTATCCAAGCCTTGGCCCATCAATGTTTCAATCCATGCAGAGAGATAAGAGGACATGCTATTAAAGTTTTGCAGACAACGATTTTGTCTGGTACATTCAATTCTGATTACACTGCCGCTGGCATCTACGAATATGGTTTGTTCCCATTGTTAACAGAGTTGGAGAAAGACGAGGTGTTTCACACTGATGTGAATGGATTCCCCGACACTCACCAGCAAGTGTTAAACTTGGTCAGCAAAGTATATTTGCAGTTCCACAGCGAGCTTCCAAGCGATGAACAATCTAAAATCTGGCTTGGAATCTTGGACAATTTTGTAACGATCAACCAGTTGAATGCCAAATTCCAGAAAGAAGACGTTCGTGAATCCAGTTCTGAGATTATGAAGAATATGATTTTGGTGTTGCGCAATGAACTTCTTGTTCCAGAAAAAACAGAACTCTGGGACGCCACTTGGAAGACCCTTGATCCCATCTATCCTGGGATGAAAGATGAGCTTCCTAATTAATGAAGCTTGAAATTTAACACTATCAGGTTTTGGATGCGCACCGTGCAGGACTACTGTAGATACTGAAGATTCAAACATTTTCACTACTTCTCTCCACTTTCCAGCAAATATGGCAAACACATACACTCAAAGAGCCAAGACACATCCGTCACCAGTTGCTCAAAGACTCTTGAGACTCATGGAGTCTAAGAAGTCCAACTTGTGTGCTTCGGTCGACGTGAGCACTACCAAAGAGTTCTTGGAGCTCATCGACAAGCTTGGCCCTTCTATTTGTCTTGTCAAAACCCACATTGACATCATTGATGACTTTTCTTACGATGGAACTATTGTTCCATTATTGGAGCTTGCCAAAAAGCACAACTTCATGATCTTTGAAGACAGAAAGTTCGCAGATATTGGTAACACTGTTAAGAAGCAGTATTCAGGTGGTGTTTACCAAATTGCGAAGTGGGCAGACATCACAAACGCCCACGGAGTCACTGGTGCAGGCATCGTTCAAGGTTTGAAGGAGGCTGCACAAGAAACCACATCTGAGCCAAGAGGTTTACTTATGTTGGCCGAGCTCTCATCCAAGGGTGCTATCGCACATGGAAAGTACACGGAGGAGACTGTGGATATTGCCAGAACCGACAAGGATTTTGTGATCGGATTTATTGCACAGAGAGACATGGGTGGACAACTGGAAGGCTTTGACTGGTTGATCATGACGCCAGGTGTCGGACTAGATGACAAGGGAGACAGCTTGGGCCAGCAGTACAGAACAGTGAACGAGGTGATTTCTACAGGAACTGATATCATTATCGTGGGTCGTGGATTGTTTGGCAAGGGTAGAGACCCTACTGTGGAGGGAGAGCGTTATAGAAGTGCTGGATGGAATGCCTACTTGAAGGCTACCGGACAGAATTAGTATAGTTAATTAAATGACGATAAATAATGGGCCTCAAGGAAGGAATATGCACAAACTCCCATATGGGATATGAAGAGATGATCTAGATCGGGTGGATCTCCTCGAAATTTTCAGCCAACCGGGTTCTCATGATCTCAAACACCAATAGCCCAACGGATGTGGCAGGGATTGTCGAAAGGGCATTCCGAACAAAGCCCTTATATGCCACTTGAAACCATGTCTGTTTTGCTCGTTGCTTCATCTTGACCATCTGGTTGAAAGTGTCAATGTACGAGTTATAGTAAACTTTAATGAAGGGCCGTTTACTCACCCGCAAGTTAGATGAGTTGTAGATATCAAGAGCCTCAAGACGAGACAAATGGATTTTCTGGATTTTTGAGAGTGGATACTGGACTGCCAATAGCGAGAAAGCAGCAGATGCACCCGCTAAGAGAACAAATGTGGATTTGAGAATTTTGGTCAGGCGAGTTTGCTCAAGCCGTAACATGGCCTGGTCTGTCTCCAGGTTTTTCACCGTGAAGAAGGAGAACTTCTCCCTCAATGCGATTTTGAACCGTCGGTATGCGGAAATGACTCGGTATGTCAAATTGTAGCCTCTGGTCTTGACAAGCTCAAACGTGGAAAAGTAGAAGGCGAAACCAATACTTTCCTTGATGAATGAAAAACCATAACCAGCAAATACACCCACCAAACCAATCTCCTTGAGCTTTTTTGCTCCATATACCCACAAGTTCTGATGTTCTCCTCCAAGCATCTCAGCTGTGGTCAGACGGGTGTAGATTGCATCCAACGGAGCAGCTGCAAGTGATTGCATAGCACCTGCAATAAATCCTGCCTTCCATGTGTCTATGGGCGAATACCTATAGTCCATACCAGGACCCGTGTGGTCATTGGTGTCTAGGGCACCCAAAGATGCCAAATACGTACCATATAGGATGACTCCAGTGGCTGAGTTGGCTATTAGAGGTGGTAGCATCTGATCGGGAATGAATTTCCACCCTTCTTTCTTTAAGACACTGTAAAACATGCCCAAAGTAGAATGAGTATGAAACCTATAAGGTTTAGAGAGAATATTGTCATGTTTGTTGGCGAGCTCTCGCACGTAAATCATATAGTCAAAGCGAGAGGGCCGGAATAGCTTGACTGGTGTCCGTAGGTATAGGGCTTGGAGTTGATACACCAAGGCTCGCATACCAGCTGTGGATATTACCGTCTGAGATTGGGCACGGACATTGGCCAACTCTTCTTCTCTTCGTAGAGCGACTGACATGGGTAGGAAAGGAAGAGTGCTGGAAACACTCCGATGCTTGTATCAAAGGAATAAGACGGATGTGGGGGATCGGAGGAAGATGGAGGAGTTGGTAAAGTAGATCTATTTATGGCTGTGTACAGTCCAATTAGAGTAGATGGCGAAGGTGATTGGGGGAGGATGGCGAGGAGGTGGCGGACGCAGACTAAATGATGGCAAGAATGAGGTGATTAGATATGTAGGATGCTGAATGGGTTCCGAGATTGGTGTTGTTGTGGACGCAAGGAACTGGCAATGAAGTAGTATGGCCAAGTGAGCAGGTATAGGATATGAAGAAGTGAAAGGACGAAGCAACTAAAAATGACTGTATCAACACTTGGCAGGGCATATCGATGGATTGATGCCGATAGGGAAGTCTTGCATCAATTTTTGGCTTCAAATCCACGTCCGAGGAAAATATGATGTCAACCAGCTAAACACAAGTATTGATGTATAGTTATCTCCTGCTAAGAAATCTAAACCACCCCAAAATCCCATTCCAAGTGCCAATTAATGGTGTGTCATTCCAGCCATTCATGTATCAATTCCGGAGAGAGAGTCCAAATGGGCCGTTGTTTGTCTTCAGTTAAATCCTTATTCGTCTCGATATAAAATGATCTCGCTTTGCTTGAAGTACCTCCGGGCGTCCTCATCAATCAATACCAACGACAAGTAAGTACGCGTGGAAAACTTCTTGTTCACCTCCTTGTACGTGGGAGTAAGATTGTATCCTCCCAAGAATAAACGAATGGGTATACTCTCACCCTTCACTGGTGCTCCGTCCATGATTTCAAACTTGACCATGGTCTCGCTATCAACAACTTGATTGGGCGGAGATCCTACCGTCTCGCGGCGAATCAAAGAGAGCTCCATGTGCTTGATCTTAAGTCTAACCAATAAAAAGTATATCCGTCCCACAATCACCTCCTTGAGGGAGAACCGCGGCTTCAGGTACTCGAACTCAATATGTAAACAATGCTCGATACCCACATCCATCTTGACAGTGGTGCTAGCTGGTGCAACCACATCCAGTGGCGGTTGAGGCGTAGCATATTGATACACCCAAATCTCCTTCTCTCGGGTAATGTCAGACTTATTCTTACGAGACACCAGTACCCGGACGTAATAGCGCAAGCGCACATTCTTCCCTCTATAACTTTCGTACTGCTTCTCCACGTTTCGGAACTCAAAAGGGTACGATTCGGGGTGGGAAATCAACAGCGGAGCAGCCAATTCTGTTGCCAACGACAAGAAGTCCGACGATGATATGGTGTCGAGCGACGACTCTATGGAACCAAGCAATTGAACTTTGATACCGATGTGTTCTACCCGCTTACCCTCTCTGGTTCTCACGGTAACATTTCCTTTGACGGATTCACCGTCTTTGTAGAGAGGCAACGACTCAGTACGGCCCTGGACGGATTGGATATCCACATGCTTGCGGGATCCTTCATTATCTAGTCTAATCTCAATATCTAGAGGAGCTTTGAAGAAGAGAGACATGGTGGTAATTGGTTACTGTTGGAGATAAGTAGTTGAGATTTAGTATGGAGACGATTGTGTATGCAGGTGAATTGGAGTGTTCGGACTTGAGTGTACGAGACTTGTTCGTGGAGAGTTTAGAGTGGGTAATTCATTTGGGAAAATCGAGAAGGGAAAAATAGCCAATTCAGGAAATTCACATGCTAGTGAGCCGGATATCCCGCTAGAATGGACAGGCTTGAACTGGCGAACACGTGCCAAAATCGTCCATAGGAGTTTGTATGTATTTTTGGGAGTTTTAGCAGTGATTATTATCTTTTGCTTATTGCAATTGTTTTCTGCTATTTGAATACTGGCTGTAAATGGTCAGTGATAGAAAATAGTGCTAGATGGCCAGACAGTTGATTAGTGGTTTCGACTGAATGCCTGGAAATTAGTTGTTTGGAATGGAAGACTGGTCCTTCATTCTTTCCATGGGATATTCTGTACTAGATATGTGAAATTTTCTTGTTATAATGAAAATGTTTGAGTAAGAATTCAATGGGTATTGTGTTCTATCTGGACTTGAACATGACTTCAATTGACTTCTGGGCTTTTGTGATGATGTAAGTGAGAATAATATTCCCAACACTACGACAAGCCAGGTAGATAGGGTATCAGGAACATTTCTCGCCTAGGCCACTTCCTTTGAAATATATCGATAGATTTATTCTAGACACCTTGCAACGACTTTGCTACTTCTGTTGAGAAATTCTAAGTTTTTTTTGCTTTTCATATCATTGACTCTGATCAATTCTTATCCATTCTCGCTTATAACCCCAATGGTACTCTTTTCTTTCCTAAATTGGCGGACAAAACTCGCCATGTGATTGTTGATATCATTTATGGCATTAGAGACTCTAAATCTGTAACTACCATCAATTCCTTTAGCGTTACTATCTGAGAGGACACGTGCATGACTTGGCTGTTTCAATGCTCACTTTAACACTCTGACATTTTTTATTGTGAGGTTAGTAGAAGATTCAATAGTATGAAGTAGCTGTATTTTTTTTTTTTTTAAATCATTTATAAGGAAAGTTCAAAGAGACTTAGAATGATTTCTTTACCGACAGAATTGAAACCATCTACTACTCTTTTATGATCAAACATAAAAGATGTTAACAATGTGTAGAAAACTACCTCCAAGTAAAATCGTATCAGTGTATTGCTATAAACACTTATTTGGAAACGTACTCAACCAAGTCAACAACTCTGGTGGAGTAACCGTACTCGTTATCGTACCAAGCAACCAACTTGACGAACTTTGGAGACAACAAGATACCAGCCTTGGCGTCGAAGATAGACGAGTAGTTGGAAGTCAAGAAGTCGGAAGAGACAACAGCGTCCTCAGTGTAGCCCAAGACACCCTTCAACTTACCCTCAGAAGCCTTCTTGATGGCAGCACAGATCTCCTCGTAGGTGGTCTCAGTCTTCAACTTGACAGTCAAGTCGACAACGGAAACATCGACGGTTGGCACTCTGAAGGCCATACCGGTCAACTTACCGTTCAATTCTGGGATAACCTTACCAACGGCCTTGGCAGCACCAGTGGAAGATGGGATGATGTTACCAGAAGCAGTACGGCCTCCTCTCCAGTCCTTGTGGGATGGACCGTCAACGGTCTTCTGGGTGGCAGTGATGGAGTGGACGGTGGTCATCAAACCCTCGTCAATACCGAAGGTGTCGTTGACAACCTTGGCCAATGGAGCCAAACAGTTGGTGGTACAGGAAGCGTTGGAGACAATAGTCTGGCCATCGTACTTGTCCTCGTTGACACCAACGACGAACATTGGAGCATCAGCAGATGGGGCAGTGATCACCACCTTCTTGGCACCAGCGTCAATGTGCTTCTGGGCACCGTCGAGCTTGGTGAAAACACCGGTGGAGTCAACAACCAAGTCAACACCGTCCTTACCCCATGGAATGTTAGCAGGGTCTCTCTCCTGGTAAACAGTGATCTTCTTGCCGTCAATGACCAAGGAGTCGCCCTCACCAGTAACCTCACCCTTGTAAGGACCGTGGGTGGAGTCGTACTTGAACATGTAAGCAGCGTAGTCTGGAGCAATGAATGGATCGTTGATAGCCACGACCTTGATGTCAGGTCTGGTCAAGGCGATTCTCAAGACGAGACGACCGATTCTGCCGAAACCGTTAATACCGATAGTAACCATTGCTAATTGTTTTTTGTTGAGTGAAATGTGATAGTGATGAGAGAAATTACAGGAGGATTCGCTGGTCTTTTATAGGATTTTGCAATCATACCACTCAATAGGTTGTGCGGCTTATGCGCATGGTGGTGTGATGCACAGAAGGTCTGGGGTGAGAGACATAGGATTTAGGGTGAGAAAAGGAAAATTTCAAATTTGGAAATTGACTGAATAGTTCAATTTGGTGACATTGAGGGACGGGAAAAGTTGAAGTTGAAGTATATGGAATTGGAAATTACATGAAATAAAAAACAGCATTTGTCGATATTTCGCTGTCACCTATCTCCCTGGTCAATTCCACAGGATCCGAGTGTCCGGTCGGATTCCTCGACTCCGAAGTTAGTTATGCTGTTAGGGAGTCAGGTGCTAGACAGTGCATTGATGTATGTTTAGAGGATATTAGGTCAACGGATGTAAAGATATTTTGTGCTCTTTTTGAGAACAATTTCTATATTGTAATTGTGCTGTTCAATAAATCAATCTTTTATTTCATTATAATTTTCTTTTTTGTAATTGTGAATACTTATCTATTGGGGTAATTTTTTTGGGGGCACTCGCTACTTCCATGGTCTACTGCGGAGCTAGATACAATACATGGGCCCATAGCCTTCAGGGCACACCACACATGCGCTTAGCGGGCCGGTGTGAACTAAGAGTGAAGTTCCGAAGAAGGTGATCCATGTATGAAGACATGTTTCTGTCAATGCAGGTCTTTAGTTTGAGAGTTGGGTGGTTTGGGTGGTTTGGGTGGTTTGAGTTGTTTGGGTGGTTTGAGCTGATTGTGAGTTGGTCGTCAGGTGAAGCAAATATTGGGAACAGATTATTTATGGAGAAATGGAATAATAGCATGACTTATTAATTGAGAATGAATATCATCAGAGGGATTATTATTGATAGATGAGGATTATAGTAGATTGGTAGCCAGGATTTGTATGAAAGTTGGATAGAGAAGAGACAATTGGTATAAAGTAGGAAAGCTGTAGGAAGGTTGGGAGGTTGCGAGAATTAATTGATAGATAGGAGAAAAATGAGCTCCTAATTGCAATTGCATAGCCACTAGGGTATTTCTCAACCTCTAGTGTATTCCAGCCTCTAATATATTTGACAACCTTTAGGGTATGATACATATGAGACATCCTATAGGGTAACCATACATAATATGTGCCCCTAGGGTACAGTCTTGAGTGTGTAAAGTAATAGTTGCCTTTGAAGTCGACTTCACGTGACGAAATCACTAACCTTCAAGTTACCTTCTAAAGCATGATGGGAGCTGTAATGTATGCATTTGAATAGCTCTGAAGTCAAGCAAATGTTTCAAATTAACTTCTACATTGAGGAATTCGTGAAGGGTAAGTCTCGGTATCTCCGGAAGCGTCGGTATCTCCGGAACCAGACACTGGAAAAAAAGATGTGAGCATTTCAACTGTTTAGCAATCATAGTTAACAATTAAAGAACTTGAACTATATACTTTCGACTACAGTGTCTAGATTGGCTATATTGTTAGCTCCCAAAACCTCTGTTCTGATTGTATGAACTAGAACTTTGACGCACCTACTCAGGAATAGATAACCTACTCCGTTAGTATCATCAACACCAACGTCAACACCTACATCAACATCAATGCAATCTCAATCAGAGCGAATCGTTATCAGTCAAACAAATGAGGAATGAATTGGAGTATTTTCTTGAATCTCACAAACAAATCTCTGCACAGGGTCCTCTGTTACTTCCTCCATCTTCATAATTATAACACCATTCAAACTCCTATACTCTCCATAAATCCCTCGCTTGAATCCCCCTTCCCCTTGCTTAGGACTACCCGAAAAGGAAACTCTTTTTCAAGAATCAGGTATTTTCCAAACTTTTCGTCAAAACTTCTATACATTAATTCTTTGTCCTGCCTCATGCCTTAAATTGTATTGTCCTGCTTATCCTGCTTCTGTCGGCTATTTCTCTATTATCTTATGCAAATCGCTTTTATCTTTTAGGAAAGTTGCATAATTCACTTGTTTTGTGGGTATCTTTATTTGATTCATTCATGCACCAATTCCTCCGGAATTCTTTAAAGATCTACCATTCCTCATCTGCTTGTCTTGCCTACCATGTACAAGCCCTGTATGCTAAAGCTATCCCTCCAATTAGATTTTTGAACCATGTTCAAGATCACTATGTTCTAAATCGCCAAATTTTAAGAAAACCTCCCTTAATCTATTAATTCAATTTGCTCAATTAAAACTTCAGGCTATTTCCTTTCTTTCCCTCCCCTTTCATTTCCCTCAGTGCTGATTTGTCGTATCACTTCCCCAGAATTCGCACCCACGATAATTTTCTCACCATCTTTATTTATTTCCTCTTATAAATATCCTCTTTCCCAATTCTCGTCTTATCGTTACACAACCCCCCTTTTCTCCTCTTTTTCTTGTTCTTTCCTTCTTTTTTTTTCTTTCTCATTTTCTAATCCTTTCTCCTCGTCCTATCTTCCTGTTGCCTAAGCCTGTGTTCCCTTTGTTATTTCATGGTCCCATGTCACGGGCTCAAACCATATCTTAAGGCGGATACATTTCTTTTGCCATTGCAAATATAAAAACATCAAGATCTCCATCAGTTGTCATCTTCCTGACTGAAATAATATCCAAATTTACTCGATCGCTTTTGCCACCGCTTTTTTCTAGGCTATTCTTTTTCAGTCTCGTTCCCCCATCTACTACCCTTCGATCGTCCTGCACTTCCCTCGCACCCTGAACTTGACTGGTCAAGTCGCTCGTTTTCAGCCTTCCCTTCCCTTCCCTTCATCCATAAATTCCCATAACTGCAAGTATTTTCGCTTGTGCAAATTGCCTTCATCATCAGCAAGTCTCCGGCTACTTCTCGCCTCTTCGTTCCGCTCCCCGCAATTCCGCACTATTCCAACTGCTCGGCGATCTCCATTGACTGGTCCCCACCATTCACAAGTTACATTCACTAGATAATGTCTTACGACGACTTACCGCCCGATGCTGTGGCGCCCCTCGATACCGAATCAGTGGCTTCGCTTCACTCAACGCTCAAGTGCTTGGACACCGTCATTGCTCTCTATGATTTCCCAGGAACTCAACCTTCGCATCTACCTTTGGACTTGGGTGATACCATTTATGTATTGGCGAAGAACGAATCTGGTTGGTGGGATGGAGTACTCACTAATCGTGCCGGGGAAATGTGTCGAGGCTGGTTCCCTCACAACTACGTCCGGTCCGTAAACTACGTTCAGCCCGTACTAAATAAGCTTAAAAGCAACAAAGAGCTCGACTCCATCACCGCCGCCAATACTGCCGCCAACGTGTTGATTCCGCTGTTTGCATCTTTGCTCCAGAAGAACTTGAATGACTCTGGCCGCGATAGTCCGGCCAGCAATACCAGAAAAAACTCCGTAGTGAGTTTTGCGTCGCTGGATACCAGCGTCCACTCGGAACCGAAAACTCGTAAATACGACCCAAAATTATCCGAGAGCTCGAGCCAACAGTTTTCTGGTAGCTCGAACGCCCTGGGTCCATTCACGGCTTCCTTCTCTCAGGGAATCTCTCCATCGGAAAGTTCCGACTACGTTAAGTTCACGCCGGTAGAAGAGGCCGAAAGTCTCGTCAGTGAGGTTAAAAGGCTACAAGGTCGCAATGTCATTTGGATTCCAAGAATGACAGACACCGGTGACCTCGCATACTACTGCGAGGAGTTGGATATTTTCTGTGATTCGTTACCTTTAGTACTGTTGGATTTATCTGTGGATCTAGATGGGCGAATGAAAATCCCCTCGCAAGATGCTATCAGCGATCAGACGTTGGTATCGCGACTCAATATTGACTACCTCGATTCCGACTCTATTGGTCCCACCTCTCGCTCCAGTATGGGGAAGGCTTTCGATGCCAAGAGAGATTCCACTTCCAGCTCCATGTCTCAGAACAGTGCATCATCATATCACCATTTCGTTCATCCATTCTATTCAACGCCAGGCCTATTCTACAACCAGTATTCGGATATGACGTATTGGACCGAACTCAAGGAACAATTCAACTACCTTCTAGACTTGACTTACAAGGCACTTAAGAACTCCAACAAGCAGCTATTTAATATGCATCTCTCGAGGCTCACCAAAGTAATTGCTATTGTATTGTTTGCTGCGAGACTTGGTCAGGATGATTTTTTGGGCACCAAGTACGAGAATTCTGTGCGCAGAAAGTTGAAGAGACTCTCTGAAAGCTTTGCCCAAATGTATATCAATGGATTGTTGCATCTCAGTGTTATGCATTACTCTGGAGCTACCTCATCATCTGACTTATTTAGTCTCGACATTCGTGGACTCAACAAATCAACCAGCAATGCTTCAACAGCACAGAATAGTACATCATCACGTGGTCTGATGAGTACGGTATTTCAAATGGGGCCCCAGAAATCCCCTGAAGAGAACGACCAAGTCTCGGTTCCTCCACTGACGAATTCCGAGGATGCGATTGTAACATATTTGCAACAAATCGATCATGATGCTGAGACTGTGTCTGAAAGTATGAACGGTCTAGTCAAGATTTTCCTTCGCTTGTCCAAAGACAAGAAAGTATCACCTCGTGAGTATGATAATTCAGATGTTTCAGACACAGAGGGCGAAGACAGATACAATATCTTGCCGCAAGTTTATCCAAGATTTATCAGCGATGAATTCAATGGAGGAAACTGGTGCAATCCTTTCTTCCCAGGAGGACATTCTTACCTCAACTTGAGTGGAGATCAACTCAAAAACAGGTACCATTTAAAAGTCATCATCGACCAGGATGCTTACAATCTGGCTAAAAAATGGACTGACGAGATCACTAAATATGCCAAAGATGCACGTGAGTATCTTGATCCAAAGAAGCAAAGCCGTTACTATAATGAGGCCCTCAAGGATGACAGGAATGAGCAAGTTCTTCGAATAATGTACAAAGTTCTTCACCATTCGAGTTCACTCGTGGATCTCCTTGAGTCGTTTGATTTCACTGTCTTCTGTCTTATCAAAAGATATTCATCTGCCGACAGAGCGTTTCCTGTACTTTCTGATGAAGAGAAGGGTCCGTCTGTTCAACATCGTGAAGATCTGTTGGCAGAGGCTACTGACGAGACAAGTTTAACGGGTCCAACGAGTGAATCTGAGATTGCGCAAAGTAACCTCACTTTTGATTACCCAATGGTTCTTGAATTCTTTCAATACAAGCAGCAGCTTCACGATTTAATAGCTAAGATTGTGATTCATTCTCAAGCATTGACATTGGAAGACCCTGATGTGTTCATGGCAATGAAGGAAGATGATTCGGTCGTTTACAATCGTGACGTTTTGAAGAACCCACTTGAGCGTTCCTCTAGACTTCTTAGTAATATTCTCTTACTGCAAGGAAAGAGAAAAGAGGCCGGAAGAATCTGCGTTGATCATGATGAGTTCTTGATAGAGCTTCTTGAAGATGGAATTGAATCTTGTGATTCAATTTTGAAGATTATTAAACTGTTGATTGATGAAAGAGAAACCATTCTCAATTATGCAACCAGAGTTATGCATGATGACCTTAATGTGGAACTTCTTGTTATGGAAAGGAACAATACCGCTGCAGGAAGTAAATCCGAAGATGGCCATTATTACACTGGAAAGTCTAATAACGACAATACACCTTGGTATTTAGAGGGTGACGAAGAGTATGATCTCTTGTTGGACATTAACAGGAACATTAAGGGTGGTACCAAGGAGGCGCTAGTAGCACACTTAACCCATCACGAGGACTTTGATAGTTCTTTCAATAACTCGTTCTTGATATCGTTTGCAACAATTATGCCATTGGGAGAGTTAGTACAGCTCTTGATAAACCGTTTCAATGTCGAAGCACCAGAAGGTTTGAGTTACGAGGAGTATTTGACCTGGAGAACTCAAAAGCAGGAGAGAATTCGACTCAAAGTGCTTCTCATTATGAAGTTAATCCTTGAGAATCACTGGAGTAATTCGTATAACAATAAGACTGTTCTCCAGAAATGGATAGCATTCTTGAGACTGCCCTCAGTTGCTTCCTTTGGCATTACCAGCACTTTGATTGACGACATCAAATCAATTTTGGATGGAAAGAATTTGGTCGTGGAACCTGAAACTGTAATATCAGGCGATAAGGCCCCAGCTCCACTTTTGAAGACGTTTGCTTTACGCAAACTTAAACTCCTGGACGTGGAATATATTGAACTTGCCAGACAGCTCACCATTCGTGAGTTTGCATTATATTGCAAGATCTCGAAATTGTCGTGCATTCATAAAGTATGGGGTAAGAAGTCTGGTTTAACCGAATCTTACGAAACTATAACGAGATTTATCAAAGCTTCTAACCAATTGACTAATTTTGTGGCTTACATGATCTTGCGAAAGAACGAGCCAAGAAAGAGAGTTCAGACTATTAGGTATTTCGTCCAAGTTGCCGAGAAATGTCGCCAGTACAATAATTTTTCGTCCATGACGGCCATTATCTCAGCGCTTTACTCTTCACCAATCCATCGTTTGAAGAAGACATGGGCTTATGTTTCCAAAGATATCATGGCACAATTGCAGAGCATGAACAAACTTATGAATTCGAGCAGAAATTTTAACGAGTACAGAGACATGCTCAAATTCATTGGATCTGAACCATGTGTCCCTTTCTTTGGAGTGTACCTTAGTGATCTTACTTTCGTATACCATGGAAACCCAGACTATTTGTTGAATCGGAACAGAATGGTGAACTTCGCCAAAAGAGCTAAGACTGTGGACATTGTATTGGGGATTGACAGGTTTAAGCGTGTTGGATATAACTTTCAGACCGTGAACGAGATTCAGACGTTCCTTGATTTATGGTTTGATAAGTGTCCTACTATTGAAGAGCAATATCAGTTGTCTTTGAATCTTGAGCCCCGTGAGCCATCGGACAAGAAACAGGGCAAAGCACCGGCTACAAAGCCTCAGGCTCTGCAAACGTCACTTAAGCTCAAACAACATACTAACATTCTTGCCATTCGTTAAACAATAGGACGATTACATGTTTTACTTCCGTTAACAAGAAAAAAAAATTGACTACTTCGCACAATCTGCAAATGGCCAGATTAGCTGAACTTGAAGAATTACAATCAAAATAGCAATTCAGTTGCAATGGACATAAATTTAATATATCTAACCAATGTATGGAACCCACCATGTCCACCATGGTGACATTATGCAGTACTAAATACTCGTTAACCTTCAGATCGGAACACTTTAATATTTCAAGTATCAGCCAAACTTCTATCATTGAGAAATATTGATCGCGGGAACAGCAAAATGTTCAATAAGCTCAAGTCATTTTCGGAAGATGTGGCGAAAAGTTTCAACGAAATTCAGCAGGGAGATCCCATTCGAAGAAATGCTGAGACAATCAAACAGCTTAAAAATGGATCAGCCATTTTGAACACGAAAACGCCGGATTTGGGTGACTTAAAGCAGCCTGAAGACACGAGTTCCGTTTCTGGAGAGCCTGGTTCGGACGAAAAGGGCCCTGATGGAGTAAACTTTGCCAATAGTGAATCCAGCGAAACTCAACTGGCAATAGCGACCAGTGGGCCACTTAAAGACATTGATATGGACCAGTTACCGCAATTGGTCAGGGCTAAATTGAAGAAGTTCGCAAAATACGAGGATAAGTACCCAGTTTTGTTGGATGCCTATAAGACAGAGAAGAAGAAAGGTGAACTAGTCGTGGCCTTCGAAAAGGTCTTACGAGAATGTACTCCGGTGTCGTCAATTGCTGATGCGGGACTTCTACTTGATTTTTTAAAAGGTCTTTCAGACAAGTCGCAGTTGCTGGAGGTAGAGTTGAGAAAGGCTGTGGCGGAGACAAATAAGTTGACTGGAGAAAAGGCGGAGCTCATGAAGAAGTTGGCCGATTCCGAGAAAACCGTCAAGTATGCGGAGGAAAAAGTTGGCAAGCTCGTGAAGCTGGAGGAAGTGCTTCAGCTGGAGACTCAGGTCTTAAAGAAGCAAATACTGGCACTTGAAAATGATATTGGCAATAGCAAGCAGAAAGTGGGTGATCTCGAGGAGCGCTTGAGACAAGCCGAGGCTGCAGCTGCAGATGCTGATGCCGCTGTCAGTACTGGACCTGCCGAAACTGCTGAAACTGAAACAAATCCTGAAGGACTGGGAGATAAGGTTGAATCTGCCATTGACCCAGAACAAGGTAATGACAACAAGGAGGAACTTGAACTTTCAAAAAAGGACTTGGAAGTTACAAATTCTCATTTGGAAAGTACAAAATCCGACTTAGAACGGACGAAATCTGATTTGGAAAGCACCACTTCCGAATTAGACATCACTAAGAATGCCTTGGAGAACACAAGTTCTGAGTTGAAATCAGTAAAATCTGAGTTGAAAACTGCAAAGGAGAATCTAGAAATGAAAGAGCAGCTGTTCAAGGATCTCCAACAAAAACTTGATGGATCCAAGAATCTCGACCAGGAAATAATTGCATTAAAAACAGAATTGGAGAAGGCTCAGAGTGTGAAAGACCAGGCCGAGGCTGCAAATTCCAAAATTCAGACCGAATTGGAAACTGCTAGAAGTGAACTAAAAGGATTGCAAAATCTTCAATTAGAAGTAAAGCAGTTGAAGATGGCCGCCCAAGACGCAGTTCCCAGTGCGGATCACGACTTGTTGAAAGAGAAGTTGCAGACGTTGGAGACAGAAAGCAAGACTAAGAGCGCACAGATTGATAGGATCGCTGGCGAGAAAAATGCATTGGAAGCTATGGTTGAAAAGCAGAACATAGAGATCTCTGAATTGAAGAATGAGATTGGTAGAATGGAGAGAAGCCTCCTGGAACGAGAGAAACAGCTTGAAAGATTGCATACTGAGAAGATCTCTGCTCAGGATGAAGTTTCCACATCTGAAAAGGATACCCAAACAAAGGATGTGGTTCAAAAGGTCGTAGATTCAGAGGGTTCGCTTAAGGATAATATCAAAGCGGACATTCAAGATAAGAGCATTCCATCCCTTGCTTCCGATGAATGGAAGTCCAAATATGAAGTCGCGAGCGAACTGTTAGAAGCTCTCACTAAGGAAAGAGACGTGTTGTCAAAAGACCTCTCCGATTGCAAGAGAAAGCTTACCTCCAAGGAGGAGGAGATCGAACACTTGCGGGACCTGTTGTGCGATCTTGGAGACGACCTTGTCACAGCCAAAGACGACCTCAAGTCCATCAAAGAAAGAGCTTCTGCTGACGTGGCCGAAAAGGTTGCTACACTTGAGCAGAACGAGCTCAAACTTGTTGGGCAGTTGAAGCAAAAGGAAGACGAGCTTGTGTCTGTCCAAAGTCTGTTAAAGCAGGCTGAAGAGGAGTTGAAGTTAGCAAATGAGAACTTGACTTCTGCGACTGAAAGAGCTAAACAGAATGAAGAGGAAGCAATGAAAAATGCAGATAGAGCAACCAAATTTGCAGATGAGGCGAAGAAGAATTCGGATGAAGCAAGCAAGTATCGTGATGTGGTCAAAAAGAATACTGATCTTACCTCCCAATTGAAATCTGCTCAAGAGGAATTGATTTCAACCAAGGACAGTTTGCAGACCTCGCAGAAGGATGCCGCAACATTCAAGGCTTCCGTTGCAGAAATAAAGGCACAAAGCGCTAGGCTTGAAGGTGAGTTGAAAACTTCAGCAAAGGAGATTGCAAGTTTGAAGGCCGAGAAGCAGAAATTGAACGAAAGAGTGCATGAACTCACGAAATTCAAGAGTGTGGACTCATCTTTGAAGTTGGAGATTGCTTCTTTACAATCCTCTATTTCTCACAAGGATGAGCAGATCCGTGAGCTCAAGGATAGCATCGAAAAAAAAAATAAAGAGAGAGACGAGCTCAACAATACCATTTCGAGTCTCAAGACATCAAATGGAGATCTCATGAACGCTAATCGTGGACTAATTGCTGAGAAATCTGAACTAATCAACAAACAAGAAATTACATTTGAGAGAACCAATTCACTCAATGCCGAGCTATCAAAGCTCCAGGTGAGCAGGCAGAAAGTGGCAACCGAGCTTGACGCATTGAAATTGAAGTATGAGGCATTGACGAAAACTAGGGCCAGTTCGTCCGACGAAATCCAATCACTCAGACAGCTGTACGAGGAGCTCAACATGAAAGCACGCGACTCTCAATTGAAAATCGACAACCTTGAAGATGACTTATCCGAATCTAAGAATTTATTACAGGAGAGGACCAGAGAGTCATCGACGTTGAGAAGATTACTCATGGATGCGGAAGAACAAACAAACATTAAGACTTCCGAGTTGCGGAACGAAATCCGCACCATCAACGAGGAAAAGCAGGAATTGGAAAGCAACTTCTTGGCCTCCATGAAGAAGAGGCAGCGTGAGATCGATGAACTCAAGGCAGTTGGAGACGGCTACTTGGTGAAAGTGCGCGACTTGGAGAGGAAATGTGAAGATTTGAAGAAGCAATACGAGCCTTTCGCCAACTCATCTCCGGCACCATCGGCTGACTTCCAGGAGCGTGAAAAGTCCTTGGAGAATACCATTGAGGAATTACGGACGTCTTTGCAAGCATCTAGCAAGAAGGTGCAAGACTACGAAAACTTGAACCGCATTTTGAAGAAATTGAACGAGGAGCTGACCTTGAAGTTCGAAAGGTTATCAAAGAACTATAAACACATTACGCAGCAATATAGACAGATGCAGAGTCAAAATTCTGCTACTCCAAAGTCTGCTACGCCTTCGGCAAGAAATTCAGTTGAAGAAAAACGTCCTGATGAGATGAATGTGGCCTATTTGAAAAACGTGCTCTTGGGCTTTGTGGAGCACAAAGAGCAACGTGGACAGCTTTTGCCAGTGGTTAAGACATTATTCCATTTTGATGATGACGAGGAGCGGAAACTTGTCAATGCCTTGAAGTAAGGTGCCATATCGGTCAGGCAGATAAGGAGATGGGTTGAGAACATCACCAAAAACTCAGAATCAGACTCCACGAGTATTTGCATTGAATTATCCCACACAACCCATTATGGCCAAAACCTCTCCATTTGACCAGAAGAAGCACGCCATTCTACAAGAAATTGGTGTGACCTCTGAGGATGTTCCAGATGCCTCTCCAAAAGGAACCATCGATGAGCTTTGTCTACCGGTCATCAACTTGATCAATTCTCATCCGGATATGGTCACCACATCGCTGTGCTCAGGCAGAGTTTCGGTTTTCCTCGAGGGAAACAAGACGCAATCTCAGATCGGTGCCAAGGGTAATGAGGGAAGGTGGCTTTTCGTTACCCATGAACCAGAAAACCTCGAGAATTGGTACGATTCGTTGGACTTCAAATACCAAGAAGCCAAGGTCATAGATGGTACCACAAGATACATTCTTTTCAAATTTGAACCCCTCATTCTCCATGTGAAATGTCGAGACTTGAACACTGCCAACCTTCTCTTTTCTACTGCTATGGGATGCGGATTTCGAGAGACTGGAATCGGCAGCAATAACATCGTGGGAATCAGGATTCTGATCAAGCTAGATATCCCAATTGGCTATTTCGATGATGGGAAACTTGTGCTGTTTGTCTCGAAGAATTATCTTCAAGTTGTCACGAAACTTTCACTAGATAGATTCAATGAGAATTTCAGAAAGATGCACCAGCTTGAAGACGCGATCAAGGACATGGGTGTGGCTGGCATTGATGACATCGAAAGCAAGGAACAGAGACGGGAGAGAATGATCAAGGAAGGTTTGGAGAGAAGAGAGGCAGTCAGAGCCGAAAAAGAGAGAAAGAAGTTAGAAAAATTGAAGTTGGAAGGAAAACAGTAGTAATAAATAAACGATGCATTTTTCTATATACATATGCAACTAATAGACTCCAGACCGTAACCTTTCTAAACAAAACAAAACATGTAAAGATCATGTCAGCCAAATCCCAAACTATGCAAATATCATGAATAAAATATAGAACCGTGTTCTAGTTGTCCTCATTCGAACCGTTGCTTACGTCATTATTGTCGTTATCGACATGTGTGTTCGAACTTGAGGCGCTATCATTATTTTGGTCGTCAGTGGATTCAGTGCCGTTGTGGCCCGTCAAACTTGTGAAGTTGTGAAAATTCTCAATTGGGCTGAAGTGGTCAGATGTCACTGTTTCGACACCATCCGAGGTTCTTCTGCTCGAGACACCTGATGCAAAAAGAGATGTTCCTCCTGATGCATCGGCTTCCCTTTGTCTTCTGGCCCTGCCAAAGTAGTTGAGAATATTTTCGATTACGGGCGAAACAGCAGAGTTTCTTGAACGTCTTCTGTTGGTATTCGGAAGCAAAGGTGTTATACTCTCATCCTGCGAGGGAGCCAGTAGAGGGTTGAAGAGAACCAGAGTTGCTCTGTCGAGCAAGCCAGGACCGGACTCTTCTCGATTAGACTCTGCATTACCCGCTAGGTCAGTAGCGTCACTACTTGTACTGTCGTTTGCCAGGGCCGACAGCGGTGCAGTCAAATCATCCGTAGAGTTGTTCAAGCCTCCAAAGCGGATGTAACTGATAGGAGTCACCTGTGGCTGTTGCTGAGCGTCTGCAACAGAAACACGACACAAGGGACAGCTTGTGTTTGCCTTAAGCCAATGTGACAAACATGACTGGCCAAAAATATGGCCACATGGCATTTGCACAGGCAAATGGTTGTACTCCTCGTTGTGCTCGCACAAGTACTTGGGCCGCGACTCGTCGTTTTCGTTTGTAGAGCCAGATGTCGACGCGGTAGCTCCCAAATCGGATGCTACAGACTCCGTATCAGTTCCGGGCGTCTCTCCGGCCATGTTAGGTGATTCTGGAAGTCGGTCTGTGGAGCTTGTAGCCGATACACAGTGGGAGTTTATGCCTAACTTTCTCTTCTTCGAAGCAATGGTCTCGAGCGAGACTTTGGGGATCTCAGGCAACTCGACCGGGGTATCATATTCCTCAAAGCAGATGGAACATGTCGAGTCGGCCAAGTCTCTTGCATTCTTGATAACAAAAGAATTGAATTTATCCAACGTGACTCCAGGGTGTACTTTTGGCGCATTGGTCACTAATGCCGAATATGCCATGCGTGTAGCCAAAGAAATGAACAGCGAGATGATACGGGGTTCTCTGTTGGTTGCATTGTTGGGGAGTGTCACCACGAGCGATCCTGTTCTACCCGGATTGGTTTGGTCTCCTCCTTCCATGAACATGTAATTGACGGTGATGACAATGGCGCCAGAATTATCTGAAGTGTCTCCATTTTCTGGCTCTGGAGCTGGTGGTATTTCAATAGAGGCAGCCGTAGTGGTCTCCCCTGCAACGTTGGCTCCATCAGAACCAGTAGCATTACTGCTTCCAAGTCCTCCGCTACCATTGCTGCCATTGTTGCTGTTGTCGTCAGTGTTACCTGAAACAGTACTGTTGGGATCATTCGTACTTCTACCAATGTTCCCGGAACTTGGGTTGCCAAGCTGGCGCCCGAAGACAGCGTCCATGAGCTGGTACAAGCCAAACTCCGCTGCTGGAGGGGGTGCTCTATCTGCATTATTGCTACCGCTGTTGCCACTATTGCCGCTGTTGCCGCTGCTGCCGCTGGCGTTGCCGTCAGTGTTGCCTCCATGATGTTCAGCTTCATTATTTACATCCTGCGAAGTATACTCGGAGCCAGAAATTGCCACCGATACTGGATCAGTTGATGTAGCTTCCGAATGGCTTTCGGAATCGGGATTAGAATCGCGGCCGGGCGAGTCGCCAGGCCGACGAGGACGTTGTGACATGGACTTGTGTTGATGAGTCCTTTGGGACAGTAATAGGGGTATTCTGTTCTAAAAAAAAAGTGGTGTACAATTGATTACAAATTGCTACCGTTGAGGGTTTAGGCTATATGTGTCACGGGACGATTGGGTCTAGATCACGTGATCGATGACGGAATGTTCTGAGAACAAAAAAAACTTGATTCCAATTGTGTGGATGAACTAGCGCAATTTTGGGCAATTTATAACGGATGTGTCACGTGAGTTAAGGTCACGCGAATGATCACGTGGTGGTTACAGTTTTTAGTTTCCATTGTCTGCGAAGTATGATTTGCATCGCATAGATGTGAGTTCTTGCAGCCACCTGCATTCGCATCTTATGCACATGTGGCGTTGAATACTTGGAAAATTTGTCGATCTACTCAGTCTTCTTCTGTTTACGAGGCCACCCTAAAATTTTTGCATGAAATGGGGGGATGGGGCAGTGATAGAGCAGTTCCCCACTACAGGTTCGCTTTTATTAGTAAGTTACAATTAATTAGTAAAACATACGTTCATTAGTAAGATGTCGATGCATAGAACCTGGCTGTCATCCTTTTAGTAGTTTGACCATACCAAACCAACCATGAGATGTTGAGAAATGGTCGTGTAATCTTGAGTTTGTCGTGAATTTCATGTTATGCTTTGGCCAACTTATCCTTAAAAGCAGGCGACTGCTGTTTTCATGTCCAATCTTACATTTATTTTATGATACAATGTTCGAAAACAGTGGGCCAGCAATCTTTTTTTCGAAATTACCACCATATTCAACACTACCCCTCAATATAACTCAAAGCGATTAATGTTTAAAGATCGATTACCACCACTCTCAAAAGACTAATGAGTGGGAAGAATCAGAGGTAAACCAGATTTGAAGTCATCTGACACTAATCCTCGATGAGGTAAATCTCGGAAGTTGAGAGCACTATTCATGCCCAATCTTCACCGACAATGCAATAGTTTTCTCACGGTGCAACAACAACAGAATTGGTACTGAAATCTCGTAACCAGTACCATGACAGAACATGCTTGTGTGACGAAAATTCATCATTATCTTTTGAACATCTCAAGACTTCACATGCTCCGTCCTTTCCCTTGTCAAATTTATCTCCAAGATTTCATCGAATCCGTGAAATACTTTCAAGTACCCCCATTTCTCCCTTTATTTTTCTCACAAATTGCCGATAATTTGACCTTTACTTGCTTCGCTATGCCACATGTCTAAGCATGAAAACCTTTCATGCCACTTAAATGTAGGTATGGCCATCTACCACTACCACCATGTATTCGTTCACAACATCCTGGGTATACGCAAATGGAAGATATGAGGAGTCAAACTGGCGCAAAAATTCCGTGTTGAGTAGCAATGTGGATGTAATTGGAATTGGTTCATGCCCATGGGCATCCACATGGTCTCTCAAACGCCAAAGTTGTTTGAGGTGGTTCAGAAATGTTTCTGTATTTCCAAACACAAAATTGACAAAACTGGCAGCAATATCACCAGGCATATTGGCAAGCAATAGATCCATAAATTGCTCAGGCGACGATGCAATAAAATTAGGATCATTTGCCATATTGTAGAGAATGTCGATTGCTTGAATAGTCGAATTGATTACTAGGATGGAATTGAACGGTGTAGCAACTCGCATTTTCTCCACTGTCCTAGAGAGCGACTTCATCACCACATGGAATACATAGGCAAGATCAAGTGTCCGCATGTGAGAATCGGGCCGGACAAAGCACGAGAGGACAGCGGCAAAAATCGCTTGGTGACACAATGTGTTGTATACCTGGAGGATCAGGAATAAATTAGACCCACGCATAAGTGTATCCAACAAAGCCCCAGGTGGAAGGCAGAGCTTGTCATCAATGTCATTGAAACTGTTAAACATCGTCATCATTGTTGAAAGGTAGTATGCAAAGCGAAGAGAGGGAAAATGTGGAGAGTCGGCTTGGACGATACTGAGCCAACGAATCAGCAAGAACGATGAGATGATGCAGGTGATCAAATCTTCGCTATGCTGAGTTATGAGCGCCATGTCGATGTTGCCGCTCAACAAGTTAACGACGTTGTTGAGTGGAACCTGGAACTTCCGATGGACATTTCCATATAATGACAAATATAGGAAGATGACATCTCGAGGCAGCGTCGCTTGTTCAAACAAACGGAAAAACTCGAAAGACGCTATGAGTGCCACATTAAACGGCGTGTAGTCTGTTGCTGTTTGGGTAAAGTCCAAATTATATACCCTGCTTATGAGCAGTCTGTCTGGAACAATTGTGTTCACTAGTGAGGGAAACCTGTTCTGGAGCCCAGCCTTGGATTGAAGAATACTGACTTCACATTCTGTAATTTTTATGATGACCCATAATCTGGCACAGACAGTGAATTCTTCTGAATCTGGTCCGTTTTGCTCAGTGAGGCGTAGCTGGTTGACAAAGTCTTCACATAACAGCACCGCGGCCAAATACTGCTCAAACAACACAGCATATTCATGCATGGAGTTGAGAAGCACGTACGCTAGTTTGCTTTGGATGATCCACTGGGACAAAAAGATACAGTCTCCCAACAGAACAAATGGAGCCAACATATCCTTGATCTCTGAGGAAATAGCAAGCCACTGTCTTGCTCTCTCACTTGACCCTTCAAGAGCCTCTCCCTTCGATATAATAATACACACAAAAGACATCTGCTGGAGCAGATACTTGTCGACTGACCAATTGGAGTTGTCGTTAAGTGATGGAAACTGGTCCAAGATATTGTTGGCTACGGCCAGCATGGTATTTAAATCCATAACTTCGTGAACCCCGCCATCTTCTAAAAAGTAGTGTTTGCGGAAGAATAGTGCAAGCAGTTGCCTGCTAACACTAGTAACCACGCTTTTCCATCTCATGAGTGTTTGCACTGGCATGGGAATGGAGATGGACTTGCAAAAGGAAAAGTAGTCCCTGCAAAACTGATAGTGGTTAATGTTCACATTCATATGTTTCCTGGCGGGAACTTGATGTAGATGGTCTTCAGAGTAAAAACCTAGGTTGTGTTCGCTGTGCAGACTCATCAGCAGAGATCTGGATGAATTCTGCGAGGCTACCAGTGGATTTGATGGGCTGGTCAGTGCCGGGGTCAGAGATTGATTACTGACGTGATGCCTCGAATTCGAGCTTGTAATGGGTCCTGAATTGGGCACACTGAAGCTGGTTCCCGTAGATATTGAAGAGCTAGAGAGCCCCACACCATTTCCATCAGACATCAATGGGCCATGATTCATATCCAAGGACATCAGCCTGAGCTGTTTCTGCTGCTCCATCTCCTGTCTACGCAGATTCCGCAGCCTTCTTCTCGCTGTTCGGTTTTTTTCCTCCTCGGACGGAGGGTTTGGTGGCAGAAGGTGACATTCTTGCTCGCGTTTTGCTAGAACGCACAGTCGGCAGGGTAGTTCCATATTGCACTTCATTTTGAACCGCTTACACGGCCCACATGAGTAGGAGCGACGAGTACGTCTGCGCTCTTCCTGAATCGGCGATGTCGCCTTTGATTGTTTTCCCTCTTTCATCACAACTGGGGTATCCCACTGATGGACTGTAATGCGGGGACAGTAGGATTATAAACAATAAAATATGCTAGGGTATGTGTCAAGGCAGGATGGAGATTGGCCAGAAGTGAGATGAGATTTTGAGGAGGAGAACACTCCTTTAAGTAGCGGTGGCACTAGGGATATCCAAGGCCCGTTGAATACAAGTCTTTAATGGAAACAGGCTCCATGACTATATGCATCGATCGATTATGTGCAGGCTATTAACAAATTCTCATCCGAGTGCAACGAGCAAGAGGTGCAAGGAAGCGTGTTGTATGCCGGATGTTCGAATGTAGTAGTTTCACAGGACAACATGGAAACCACACTAACATACGTAATCCTGCAGGAAGTAATTTTCTACCTTTCCGCGACCTACTTCCAAGCAGGTGAACATGGTTGCATTCTGAAGCTGCATTCTTCTCCTGCAAATCACATTTTCATTGCGTCACGTAGTTGCAAGGAACTGCAATCACCGTTGGCGTAATTGTACCTTTGTTGTCGTTTGCTCTAATATCAACAGGTTACGATGGGTTTTTTGCTCATGTCTTCGGGTAGAATCTCACGCCTGGGTAGTTATTTACTACGGGCTCCAAATTTTATAAAAGTGCTGGGCAATCATGAAACTATTGAACAGATAATTGCAACGATAATGGCAATGGGTTCTTTCTCTTCATTTTGATTCTAGCAATCATATTTGACAGCAAAATTGGCATATTGTTTTGCCGAATTATCTCTGACTTTGGTTCGGTCCTGTAATTTCAAAGAAACACACCACTACAGGTCCAAACTCAATTCACCGTAAATATTTACTCAGCGACAGACGCCGAACAATAGACGGGTGCTTGCCACTATTTTTTTTTGATAATTTTCTTCACTACTAAAATTTATTCTATTTCGAAATTGAGCAGATTGCATTGTGACGCAACTCAATGAGCTCCAAGATTTGCGAGGAACCCTCTTAGACCTGTTGATCACATTGTAGACTCTCGTCAAACTTGCAGAATAGCAACATGTCAATTGCCGTCTCGCTGACCAGTTTCAGTCCACTGCAGTGCCCTGAATTTTGCTTTGGAGGCGGAGGGCGTCTCTTAGTCAATGCCAGATGGAAGATCGACAGTACTGCTACAGGTGCTTGTGCCTGCGCGAGAAAATTGTGCATGAGCATTGGACCTCTGCATAATCTTACTTTCAAATTGCCCCACGCTGCAACCAGTTCACCATGAATAGTGAGAATGATGAAAGTGTAATCGGCAAAGAATCTAGATTTGAAACAATGGTTTGAAATACCAATTGAGAATCAAATAAGGATTCTGCAAGTCTAATGCAGTAGTTCTGAGTGTTCATGAAGGGTCAGAATCCCACGTTGCAATCGCTCCTTAGATCTTTATTACTACGTCGTACTGGAAAATCGTATACACATTCTGTATCTATACTTTATCATGGTGACATCTGTGATGAAAGATTTAATGAGTTTGTGACAGTGCTTTGTTTTTTTCAACAAATTATTGTTTCTTGTTTTCCGTTCTGTGCTTGTAACCCAGATCAGTCAGCAGTTGAACTAGTGAAATGCCGTGTCTGTCAATTTATATGCATAGACCTCTGGCTGCGTAATTCGGCCAGGGCCGAAGGTTTTTGATGTGCGAAGATCGCGCGGTTTAAAATGCACTGCAAGGTTTCCTACAACTATCAGGAGTGACGTAGCCAACTTATGAATATTATTGGAAACCAAAAAAATTATGACTTTTTCCAAACAAGACCATAACATGAGTTGAGAAATTTAACGTGAGGAGCTTTTTTGCGTCTTGGACGATGCAAGCCTGTTTATTAACCCAGACAAATGGCTTGCAGAGCACAATATCATGCATAGTGACAATATTTTAAAGTACGTGGATGTTGCCGATTATCATGCCCCCAATAGGAAGGTGGTGGGCAATTTTCGAAAGCAGAAAAGTTAATGCTCTCGTTGAATAAACTTTACTAACCTGAATTCCGCGTTCAACCTCTGCATTCTCCATCAACATCATCTTTCATAATGGAATTTCACCTATTATTATGTTGAGTTTGAATTAATCTCCTGATTGTCCTGTATTGGGCAATTTCGGTGAAATGTTAGATACTTCAAACATTTCTCGTTGTAGAGAAATATTAAATAGACAGAGAGAGATAGGCAAGTCCTCGTAATGGGCGAAAAATATTACAGGCTTACCTATCTTGACATTTTTGCTATATGATACAACAAGCTTTCTTTGCGTGCATCGCTAGATTTGAGGGGGATGTTGAAGATCCTGGTGTCTTGAATCGGATGTTTTTTTGTTTTTTTTGAACTTTGGCATGAATTTTGACTTTCACTGCCATTGCATCTTTCATGGGAATTACTTCTTCGCCCTGTTATCACTTGTCAACGCAAAGGGTCGTCAAGAAACTTCCGAGTGTAGTATTTCTACCGTAACTTTATTTTCCCTCTATTGTTTCCCAGCTGTAAAATCCATTGTTCCCAATTCCACAACATTATTGCCGAACTGCGGAGTCAACTTCACTCGGAAATCCTTACCAGTATGGCATATTTCCGTTTATGCAAAACGCCCTACGACATTACTATTATCTGCGTGACGGCACAGTTACAATGAGTCCAATGGCATAATGGTCTTCAATGCCTTATTCAATGGCCCTCACTGGATGGCTACCTTGCATGAACTTCATGTATCATTCGTAGAGAGATGGAACAATGAAAAATACATCTCTAAAGGGTTGAACTCATGGAAGGTTAGCCAGTGATCGCAGCTTCAGGTAATTATTAAACAGCAAGAACCACCTGACCTAATAACAAAGGTACGAAAAAATAGAACAGGTGAAGAGAAATGAGGGCATTTTATTTTTTCAAGAGAGTTAAGCTCACGGGCAATTATCATTTTTTACCCTTCTTGTCCATTAAGGAATAGCAATTTGTAGTGGGTACTCCTAGTTGATGATCAGGTTTTTGGCACACAATAAAATGGTCTCCTCGGACTCATTTCAGATGCTTCAGCTGATACTATTCTCCAAGATTCTCTAAGAACCCCATGGAGAGGGTAATTGATACATTACCCTCATAATGGAATTCTAAGACGACCCGAATCTATTCGAATGGGGCCATCTTATAGGGGTTATAGCGAGTGAAGAAGTTCTGTAGTTGGCATCATCATAGCAACAAAAAAATTTTCACATCTTTCTTGCAAATCTGACAGCACAACGGAAGTATTTTCTTTGTGAATTAATTTTTTGTGCCATGTCACCACGCTCAATTCACCTCGAATCAATTAATTTCGGTCAAATATGCTTTGAGTATTGTGGTCAAAGAAGAGTCATGATACATAATCTTCAACAAATAACCAAGTTTTAATAAACATATTTTCGCTCTCCCTTCACTTCGTCCTCCAATTCACCCCTATAGCTTCAACACTTTCCCACATCACTTTTGATAAAGTCAAAGAGTGGAAAACAAAAAGTGTTTGTGTGAAATTTTGAAGCTGGAAGGAATGGAAGGTTCTATTTTCAATATTTTCACTAAGCTAGGGAACCTTTTAGCCTTAGAAAGGGAAGCAATTGTTCTTCCTCAAAAGGGTAAGCGTGGAGATAAAAATTATACCTCAGCCACTAGTGACTGCGAGTGTGAGATCTGGCCAGGAGAAATTGACGGAAAAGCCAACAATAACTTTAAAACACTTTTTGAGAGACTGAATTCAAGGTCACGCAAAGGTCGGAAATGCCCGTAAGCAGCCATAGGGGATTGTGTGACGTAATGATAGGATCGTACGGATCAGGTAATTGTTTGGCGAAATGATGGGAAAGTACCGAACTTTGAAAGGATGTAGGATTCCAACAGTAAAAAGTAATTGCGCTTTATAATTACTTAATGTAGCACAAGTTTTTCGTCCCCAAATTTATTCTGTTTTATATGGCCTACCATCCTATACAAGCTGAGCTTTGAAGTATGAGTCGTCATCAACTCTTCATGAAAGCCGTGCGAAGAATTTCAGAGCTCGTTTCTGGCCCTCGTTCCAAGTATTTGACTCTGCAGTGAACCACACTTGTTTTCAATCAATTTTGTGCTTAATTGTACCTCCATTCATTTATTCTCTTGGAGTCATTGGTGATTGAAGGCAGAATGCTTGGAAAGGATAGAGGTGTGTGGATTGTGAGCTATGAATAGTGAGAATTTCGATAAAGTACGTTGTGGTTGTGAAATATAGAGAGATCAGCATTATCAATATACTCACAGCCATTCCGTTAGTGTTCGAACTTAGTGACAATGGCAATCTTGCAACGAATTATTTAAATTAGGGGGATCGACTAAAAGAAGATTTCGTGAAGGCTGTCGAGAAAGAAGAGCAGAGAATTCAATGCGAGGAATGTGGGATGTCAAATTATCCTTTGAATGGACTACCTTTCAACGGAATATGATTTTCTAATGAATGGTGATGTATTCGGGAGGATAATGAGGTATTCAATGATTATGAACTGGACGTGGGCAATCAGACCTGTGGAAGGTGAAAGTAGTTACTATTTGAGTGCAATTAGTTGCAAAGATAGTAGTGGATTTTGTGAGAGTGGTGAATTATCTTAACTTGATTGAGTTGGTAACGATACTTCGCTGAAATAGCGATAATACTTGACTTGTCGAAAGAAGTGGGATCTGTGAATGGATGGAGTCAGCGGAGTTCATGGTGGCACAAGCGAGAGCGGCGTTGATGAATGTACGAATATTATCAAAAAAAAAAAGAAAAGAAAAAAAAAATTGACAAATTCCAGACCATTAAGAATTCGTCATCGTCTGCCCCATCCAAGCTGCAAGTTACCTGAAGTCCTCATTGGTGATTCTGTTGCACAAAAAAACTACAAAAACTACGAAGTTGGCAACAGCGAAATTTCCAACAAGACCACCGGAAGCAGAAAATGAAAGAATATGCGACGGTTCTTCTTACTTCACATCTCCCTATCTCAATTTCCATCCTCAATTTTCATTTCCTTCAAATCTCTCCAAACTCAGGGATGGAGAATCAATAATGAATGGAAACATCTATTAAGAACCTCTAGTACATGTATGTAATTAATACTAGTGTCTGCGATAACTTACAAGCAGTAGTCTCTTAAAAATACATGTGAAACCTCAGTGAAAGCATAATTTCAAACTCCTCAAGTACATACCTCTAACATGATAGTTACCTTCAGGTGACAGATCCTCTAATTCGCGTACCTTGCAATTACTTAGTAACAAGACCAAATTCCTCCAAAAAATTCTTGAATTGTAGAATAAGCTATGCTTGTAAACACTACACCCAAGAATTAAAATATTTGAATTACATTACTCCTTGGTATGGTCAAGCCTTCATTGCCTCTCAACTTACTCCATACTACTTTTAACCAGTCGCATTCTCCACCATTTCCCCTTCAGCTACTAATTTATCACCAAAATCCCAACACCACAAATTTCCCGTACTATACCTCCAAATCTCCATTAAAATGCCTCTAAATCACTGTATTTTTACCCTTCCTCCCCATTTTCTCGATCCTCCTCCATATTTCCCTTTCCACTTCATCCTTCTACTTTAATCTCCATCTACACCCGTGCACCAAGTGCTCCCACCAATCGAATCTACACAATTACATATCTGCACACCTAAAATTTCCAACTACAACCTCTTCTCATGTTGGCCAGCACCCAAGCCAGAATGGCCCGTACGGCCAGTGTGCGCCATGTCGCCGCCGCATTCATTGCGTCCAGAGCTTTTTCCCGTTCTATGCGCTTGAGAAATGAAGAAGAACCTTTGGTCAACTTGAACGACTTGCCCAGACAGTCTAAAATGCCCATCGAGGTGCCGTTGGTCAACCCGGCCGACAAGTACAAGGAAGTGTCGGAGGAGTTGCACAAGTTCGGAACATACGTGATGTCGTGTTTGCCCAAATACATCCAGCAGTTCTCTGTGTGGAAGGACGAGTTGACTGTTTACGTTGCGCCAACCGCCGTGAGACCAGTCATGGTGTTCTTGAAGAACCACACGCCTGCACAATTCAAGGCTTGTATGGACGTGACTGCCGCCGACTACCCTTCCAGAACTAACCGTTTTGATGTGGTTTACAACTTGTTGAGTGTTCGTCACAACTCCAGAATCAGAGTCAAGACATATGCCTCCGAGACCTCTTCCGTGCCTTCAGTGGTGCCTATCTTCCAGGGCGCCAACTGGTACGAGAGAGAGACATACGACTTGTTTGGTGTGTTCTTTGAGGGCCACCCAGACTTGAGAAGAATCATGACCGACTATGGATTCGAAGGTCATCCATTGAGAAAGGACTTCCCCACCACCGGATACACTGAAGTCAGATATGACGAGGAGAAGAAGCGTGTGGTTTACGAGCCTTTGGAGTTGACACAGGCCTGGAGAAACTTCACCGTAGGCTCCTCTGTGTGGGAGCAGGTTGGAGAGGGTAAGGACTTCACGCCTGAGTCTTTCAAGTTGCCAGTTCCAGAACCGGAGCCACAAGTCGACGAGGAGAAGAAGTAGGCGCATCTGCATTTATTACAGGACATAGTAGACATTTTTTTGTAGAATAATGTACTAGGTATGATGGATTAGATAGATCATAAGAGGTAAACCTGGAAGAACCAAGTATTACTATGGTAAAGCAATATTCGGTGAGATCGTCATAATCGAATTTACTATAGTATGGCAAATTGTAGTCGTTCATTATTTATCTAAGCAAGCTGAGCCTTCAACTGCGCCAACTCTTGCTCTTTGCTCACTAGAAACTCTTCCAATGTCTGCACCTGGGTCGAGATCAACTCAACGTCGTTCTTCACATCGGTCAAGTCCTTATCGCTATTAGGCACGCTCTGCATGGTCTTCAACTTGTCCTGTTTGTATTTCAATAACTGCTCAAACTCGAACTTCAACACCGCCAGCTCTCCATCGGCATTCTGGTTGCTTTCCGATTGTGCTTTATCCAACAAGCTCTCCAAGTTGGCCAATTCTCGTCTCAACCTTACCAATTCCCAGTCAGTGCCCTCTGTAACTGAGAAGTCTGTTCCTTTCTCCGGCTGGTGGCCCTGACCAATCTTGTTTAAGTAGTTGGTGCCAAATGCTTTTTTGTCGTTACTAGAAGGCTGCGAGATGTTCTTGGAAGTCGAGCTCAAATCGTAATTGGGTACCTCTTTGGAGAATGTAGCCCTCAACGACGCAGGTACTCCTCGTGGGATTCTCTTGCCATTTTCTCTCTGATTCAAGATATGAAGAAACACCAACACTTGGTCCTTGTCGATCGTCTCGAAGGATTTGGGGTTGACCAAGTTCCACGCAGACGAGATATCCGACCTTGGAACCTTCTTGAGTGTCAGATACAACCCCTCCAACGAATCAAACCGCACTCTTCCGTAGCTGTCGCTGTTTGAGTTGTAAATGGCCTCGTATGTTGACTTGTCCGTGGGCGAAATGTACCAGTCAAAATCGTCCGAGAGCATGTCGTCGTCGTCGTCACCCAACGGCCCACTGGAGTTGGAACCTGTGGCCACTGCCTTGTTGGCCAGGATCAAATGGGCTTTGGACAGCGGAACCAACCAGCTTGGCAATTCCGCCGGAATCTCGCTGATGTTGCCATTGACGGTGTCGAAAATCAACCGCAAAGTAATACAGAACTCCTCGAAGTCCAATTTGCCGTCAGCGTCAATGTCCGATAAGTCCCAAATCTGGGATAGCTGGCTATCTGGCAACCTTGAATTTTTCAACACCGGCGACACTTGTGCGCCTGTCAACTTGTTTCCTTCGGGCTTTAGGCCCTGGAAAATCTGCCAGTACTTCTTAATTTCCCACTCTTCCAAACGGGGCATTGTATTATCGGTGGGTTAATTTGATGGTGGAGTTTGTTACTTGACTTTGGAGAGACATCCGTGCACCCAGGCGAAGCCGATCTGGAGGTGACTAGTATAGGAGAATGATGGAAATTTGGAGATATTGGAGAAAGAATCAAAATACTGTATTTATTTTAATGATTTTATCTCCTTTAAAGAAATTCACTACTTTCGGGGATCACTGTTGTGGGATCAGCTCTATGCTGTAATATTACCAGGTGATCTCACCAACATCCATATTAGTACAGTAACGAACTTCACAACTATTGTACTTGAATATTTTTTTTGTTCTTTTTTCTAATTTCTTCATTATATTTTAAATTCCTTCTCCTCTTGTTTTCCTTTCATTTCTCTACAATCTATTTCTTCTTCTTGTATTTGCTTGGAGTTACCCTACTCCTATAGTGAAATGCAATATTATACAATCTACTCTTCCATCTCCTCCTCGTCATCCCCTTCCTCCTCTTCAGACTCAGAATCATTGTCCAATCTTCCGGCCTCAACAGTCATAACCGTCTCGGAACTGGCTCCCTGGTACTTTCTGGCGATTCTAGATGCACGGCCAACTCCACTAGCCTCCTCCCTGGCTCTCTTCTGCAAGTCTCTCAACTCATCCTTGAACGATGCACGAACAGATCTGTTAGACAAAATGTCCCACATCTTCAATGCTCCTGCCACTCCTCCCACTGTAAGGTTACCTGCAACCTCCACGTCTCCAGCGAACGAAGTAGTCAACACATTGCCCACACCGAAGTCTCTGGACAAAACCATGGATGGACCACCATTGGCCAATGGACACTTCCACAACTTGACAACCTTGTCGTTCATGGCAGAAGTCACCAACATGCCTGGAATGTTAGGGTTGACATCCAATGATGAAATACCAGAGTCATGTGCATGCAATGTCCACAACGGCTTATCCTGAACACGGATATCGAAACTGTAGATGTTACCGTTGTCGGTACCACAGTAGAAAACCTCAGGCTGGATGCCCCACTTGACGCTCTCGACTTCCTGTCCGCTTCCAACAAAGTACGACTTCGAAATCTCCTTCTCATCGGAGATTCTTACGTCCGACACGGCACATGCTCCGTTGTAGCCACCAGTCAATAAGATAGATGCCTCCTGGGAGTGCCACTGAGAGGAAGAAACTGTCTTTCCTTGGTGGATGGTGTTTAAAGATCTCACAGCGCTACCCAGAGATAAATCCCACAACTTGACGGTCTTGTCTGCAGAGGTCGAGGCCAAAACGTTTCTGTGGATTCTGTTGTGTGCTAAAGACAACACAGCGTCAGTGTGGTGTGTGGTCACATGAGAGTTTTTGCTCTTTTTGTTCTTCTTCTTCTTCTTAGAAGATAATGATGCATATGAATTCAGTTGAGGCTCGCCCAAAATCATGTCTGGGAACGCCTTGTCCACACAGTCCAAGTTCCAAATCTCAATCTGTGGGTCGAACGTTCCAATGGCGGCGAAGTTTCCGATGTTGGAGTCCTGTTCCGTAGCTGCAGAGCCAGGGCGGAAGTTAAGCCACTCCACGCAAAGGGGGAAAGCTGGCAACATCAAGTCATGGTGAACATACAAGTTAGACTCTCTGACCAAGCCCTTGGCCACGTCCGAGTCGAGCTTATCGGCCTCCTCTTCGGCACTACCTTCTGGAGCACCTGCACCATCATCGTAGACGTAAACATCCAAATATGAAATGTCGTCTTCCGTTCTGGTGGCCAACACCAAGTTGTCGGTAGGGTAAATTTGCATTTCCTGCTTGTCCTCCTGTTGGTCAATTTCGTTTGGAAGAGTGAGGTAGGCATCACCGTCGTTCTCGTTGAAGGTTGCATCAGTGGCAGCCAAGCCTGGAAACATGGTAATGGACTGGGCGTTTTCCTCATTCTCGTCATCATCATCATCATCGTAATGTTCCAAATCGTACTCCTTCAAGTCATCGTCAGCGTCACCTTGGTCCTGCAATTGGGACTTGTTCTGTTCTGCCTCAGCCAAATCTTCTCTGGCATCGTCCAATTCAAGCTTAGCCATCTGTGTAATTCTTTCCATTTCAGCATCATCAAGCTCATATTTCTCGGGGAACTCCGAGGCAAATCCTCTGGGAACCCAGCAACTTGAAGAGATCATTGTGATGGAGATGTTCTTCAAGTTTGAGATGGCATCCTGTAGCGAGTTAAAAATCTTTCTGGGTGTGCAGGTAGCATCGAGATGGGAACTTGGGTATGTTAGTGTAGAATTGACAATGGGACAGAAAAATGGACATTTTTATGTTTACATTGGATTTTCTGGAATTACGAAGTATCTCGACTTTCTATTTTTGGTTATGGTGTTTGGGTTCAATTTTGTGTAAGATGATCAGACTTTACAATGAGACAAATGTGAACATGAATGTGAAATGATGGAACCAACTGAAAGTCAAATTTCAAGGATCAGAAACTTAAAAGTGAAATTGAAATGCCTTAATCCACTGATAATTATATTTATCCAAGTAAATCGTCTAGAAAATCTTCGTCGACTTTTGAAGCCTTTCCATAATTATGAGTATCGATCTTTGAGTCTGGTTTATCTCCCTGAGTAGCCAGTGCCAATAAAGTGTCCAAATCCACATTTTGAGCCGAACTCTCAGTGTGGTGCTCACTGCTACCTCCAAGAAGCAAATTCAAATCGTCGTCCAATGTGATTTTCTCGTTGGTCTGCGTCAACTTCAGATTCAACACTTCCATCAGTCGCAGGTCTTGTGCGTTGAAGTTGTTGATCTCCAAAACCTTGCTTTTGGCAGTCGATTCGCCAAATTTCTTCTTCATTTGCTCGTAAAGTTTAGCACTCTCCAATTTTTTTGATCTCTCTGTATGTTCGAATTTTTCCTCTTCTGTCAAAGTCCGGATTGAGCTATCGGGAGAATTATCTGATTCACCAATTCGGAGCCCGTGTAACTGGTCTGCAGTGAGTCTGTCCACATTCTTTTCCTTTTTTGTGTCGTTGTAGTTGGTGTTGCTCACCGTGTCCTTGTAGCTGGATATACCATAATCTTCTAAGAGATTATCCAGAATCTTGTTCTTCAACAACTTCCTATTCTTGGATGGCTTGAGGTCTGTAATCACGAAATCAGCGAGTCTAGAATCTAGTTCTGGAAGCTCGATCTCCTCTTCAGGTTGTGTTCCCAAGTAAATTCCACCCATCTCGTCTTCCTGTTGTTCCTCGATGTTTTCTTCTTCGCCGTCGTTTTCCTGTTCCTCATTCATCTTCTCCCGAAGTCCATTGATGATCTGTCTCTTGATTTTCAACTTCTGATCTACCAGGATATTTTGCTCGGCGATTTCTGGGTAGAAATGATTGATCAATGCTTCATCTTCTGAGTCCCAATCGCTGTCATCGGAGTCGTCAAGGTTGAGTGTCCTTCTAGCCTCGGACGTCTTCTTGGATGACCACTTCGGAGTGATCTGAGGGGCCTGTTTGGGCCGAGTTAGTCCATGTTTCTTGAGGTAGGATATTTTTGCCTTGTGATCCCATTTGTTCTTGTGGAGCACCATATCGGTAGAAATTGACGTATGACGGTTGTGTTCGATGAATTATCTGTTTTGACGAAATAGGAAATAAAGCTCAGTTTACGTTATTTCAAAGTCCACGTATCTTTGAGAATTAACAAAGAGTTGTGAACAATTCTGACTTTTGACATATGGGTGCGAATACAGACACAAGTCGGAAAGCCGTATCCATCTACATCAAATCAGAAACACCATTGAAAACAATAAGAAGAAAACACACAATCAAATTTGGATGATCAAATCACTCTGGAAAATTCAAAATATTTCTTAACCTTCAGGAATACTAAAATCTCTTCATAGTTCCAATTATGTCTCTTCCCACCTCCAAATACACTCCCAGCCTGCACCAAACCTTGATAAAAGTCCTCCAAAGTCCCAACTTCCAAGTACTTAAAGTCCCAAAATGGCACAGGACAAACCCAAGCTGATCGAAGAGCTCTTGAAGCTCATCTCTATGGGCGAAGTACTCAATGAGACCCAGCAAAAACAGATGAAGGACTACAAGTTTTGGAAGACTCAGCCGGTTCCAAGTTTGGACGAGGTAGTGGACACCGACGGACCCATTGACGATACCAAAACGCCGCTGGACATTCCCGATGAGCCATTGCCGCTTTTGGGAGATTTTGAGTGGTCCACCATCGACGTGGAGAGCTCCGCAGAGTTGGACGAGGTGTATACTCTCTTGTACGAGCACTATGTGGAAGATCAGGACGCCACGTTCCGCTTCAAGTACTCGCACGAGTTCTTCAAATGGGCGTTGAAGCCTCCTGGATGGAGGAAAGAGTGGCACGTCGGTGTGCGTGTTAAGTCGACCAAGAAGTTGGTGGCGTTTATTGCTGCGGTGCCGGTAACATTGAAGCTCAACAAGACCCAAAAGTCGATCCCTAGTGTGGAGATCAACTTCTTGTGTATCCATAAGAAATTGCGGAGCAAGCGTTTGACTCCAGTTTTGATCAAGGAGATCACCCGCAGAGTCAACAAGCAAGACATCTGGCAAGCTCTTTACACCGCAGGAATCGTGCTTCCATCCCCAGTGGCTTCGTGCCGCTACACGCATCGTCCCATTAACTGGTCCAAGCTCCATGATGTCGGATTTTCTCACTTGCCTCCAGACAAGACCAAGGCCGGAATGGTGGCTCATTATGCGTTGCCAAATGCTACCAAGAACAAGGGACTTCGGCCTATGGAAGCCAAGGACTTGGACGCCGTCTACGATCTCTTGCATAAATTCCAGGAACGTTACGAGTTGGTGCAGGTGTTCGAGAAGGAAGAGTTGGGCCATTGGTTGTTGGGAGGAGAATATGGAGCGGAGGTGATCAAAACATATGTGGTAGAGAGCCCTGAAGATGGCAGAATCACCGACTTTTTCTCGTACTACTTGCTTCCATTCACAGTTTTGAACCACCCGACGCACAATGAGCTCGGTATTGCCTACCTCTACTACTATGCCTCTGAGAGCGCCGAGGGAGAGTCGGCAGATTACAAGAAGCGCTTGAATGCGTTGATCAACGATGCGCTTGTCACATCTAAGCAGTTTAATGTGGATGTTTTCAATGCATTGACCTGTCAGGATAACCCACTTTTCATCAAGGATGCCAAGTTTGGTCCTGGTGATGGACTCCTCAACTACTATCTTTTCAACTATAGAGTGAGACCCATCAATGGAGGCATTGATCCAGTGACCAAGCAGGTTGCAGACGACAAGGGCAGTGGTATTGGTGTAGTGTTGTTCTAAATTGCCTCAATGCCTTATACTTCTGTTGCAGATATCTGTTTTTGACCTGCAGTGTTGATGTCGTATGGCTTAATAGGTGGGTCAGTCTCACCGTGACAATTCCGCAATACAATATGACAGATTCACCTCTGAAATAGTAAATTAATACCTTAAAGATTCAAAGTTAGTATTCTCACAGTAATTCCCATTAAGCTGTTAATTTTCATCAGTATACCATCGTACCTTCTTCCCCACCGTTATCCTATCAGTAGTGGTGTGCACACGGAAGCCACCATATCTGATAAACCACACTTCATGAGCTCAGCTACAGTGGAAATGTCCGATTCAGGCCTTCTCGGCCAAGACCGGAAGGCTATGGAGCTCTTTGAATTGGCTATGGAAAAGGAACTGCACGGCCTCATGTCTGACGCCGTCAGATATTACAGAGAAGCATTCAAGATCAACGAAAGCATTGACAGACTCTACAGACAGCAGCATGTAAAAGAAGAACTGAAAAAGAAGCCGGTAAGGAAAATTGATGAGGAGAAGATGAAGAAAATCCGAGTTGATGAGCTCCTCGAATCTTTTGCTGACGTGGAGGCCACCGCTCCAGACCCCAATAATCCAGAACATTACGACGAAGCACATATGGCCATCAAGTTTGCTGGGATGGGATTAGATGGAGAAGATGTGATTGCAGACGTAAAGCCTGTTCTGCCACTCATGCTACTTCCCAATGAAGTTTGGACTCATATCCTAGATATTGCGTTGACTACGGAACCTCAGCTGTGGTTCAGGTTTGGCATGACATGCAAGAGAAATGCATATTTAGCATTTGCCTCCTCCATTCTCTGGAGACGATTGTGTTACTTGGTATATCCTAACCAGAACTATGAGGAGAATGTGGGGGTGACTACTGATGAGCTTCCAGTGCCCAAAGATCCGCTAAAGGTACTTCCACACTATGGAAATTCCTGGAAACGCATGGTTTGTGAGCGGCCATTCATTAAATTTTTGGGATGTTACATTAGTGTGGTTAACTACTACAGTGAGGGTGCAAGGCCTGAGTTTTCACTGAGCTGGACGAATCCAGTGAAAACAAACACTTATTACAGGTATATCCGATTTTATCCTAATGGAAAGTGTGTGATGGCCCTCACTACTCTCGAACCAACCCAGGTGATCAGTCAATTGCTGAAAGAAAACACCTTTAAATGTATCCTCTCTCAGGCGGATCTACGGGATCCTAGTCATATCGTGCCAGCCAAAGAGCTGCATAAAATTTACCACGGAACTTGGTCTATTTCCATTGACTCTATGGTTAGCATTCGAGTGGATCAAGGTTCTGTTCCCTATTACACGTTCCACTACTTCTTTAAGGTTCTGCTGATGGGAATAGGCAAGCATGCCAAACTCAAATGGGATAGATACTATGCGTTACGGAAACGAATGTCAGAAGACGATGAACGGGAGGGCGAGCAGGTGGACTTTTCATTGAAGAACGAGAAGCCGTTTAAGTTTCTGAGGGTCCGATCCTATGAATTAGACAACTAAGGAGATTATGACATACATAGCAGGTCATTAGAGAGTTCAAAGTTTAAACAAAACATGACATGGGTTTAGAGAATTTTATTAGTTCACATATATAAAAGTTTGGTTGGAAATTTAACTGGCAATTCACATTCGAAAAAGTTAGCCTCCTTGTCCTTGGTAATCATCGATTGATGAACCTTGGACAACACAGAGAAGCTCAGTATTTCACATACAACAATACCCCTATTTCACTTTTACAAACCTCCAAATACTCTCTTTCTTCCAATTTCAATATCATACACTTTACACTCTCATTATATTTGGTTTCACGTTTTGTTAACCTCTTCATTGCCAGACCTCATTCCATCGCATATTTATCTACAACAGACCACCACGCGTAAAACTTCACCAAAAACTCACCAAATTATTCCAAAATCTCCCAAATCACTACGCAAGCCATAAAAAAACCAATACCATTATCAAATTCTTCGAAATTCTTCCCAATTCTCCAATGGTCCATCCCTCCTCCACGCGTAACTCGTCGTCTCCCGGCGTAAATAACAGCACTAGTAAATTGCCAACTCTCTGCAGGGCCTGAAAATTTTGCCAGGAAAAACCCACCTTAAACCTACCCTTAACGTCAAGCCGCCAATCTCCCAGCCTAAATGTCGAGATTTTTCGCCTCCGGCTACAACTCCGACTCTTCGTCGGAAGAAGAAGACCTTTTGAGCACTTCCGAAGAGGAGTTGATATCCTCGTCGGAAGAATTCTCCACAGACAGTGAGTTTGACAATGATTCTGATGAGTCGAGCAGTGATGATGACGACTCCGACTATGATGCCAGAGGTCCTTCGTACTTCTTGAAGAAAGACTTTTTGAAGTCTGGTAAAGATGACCTGGACCTGGACTCCGACAACGAGGGCCGTAAAGTTGTCAAATCAGCCAAGGACAAATTGTTGGACGACATGAGAGAGTCTGTCGACTCCATTTACAACTCCAAGAACTTGGAGAACTGGGGCAGCGTGCTTACCGAGTCCGACCGTTTGGGCCGTTTGTTGGTGAGAGCCAACCAGCAGAATGTAGGTGTACCAAACTTCTACTATAAAATGTTGGGACAGTTGGAAGATGCCATTGCAGAGACTTCCAACGACAAGGACAAGAAGAAGTTGCCTGCTGACCAGAACCGTGCGTTCAACACCATGAAGCAGAGAATGAAGAAGCTCAGCAAGGAGTTTGCTGTGTACTTGGACTTGTACAGAGAGAAGCCAGAAGCTTTTGATACCGAGGAACCTTTGGACTTGGCCGTTGAGAGACCCGAGTCATCAGCCGTGGTTGGTACTGTCAGTGGTACCGCCAGAGTGGTGAGCCCAATCTTTGTGACTTTGAAACAAGTGGCTGAGACCAGAGGTAAGAAGAATATCGATAAGTTCGAGCAGTTGAGCATTTTGGAGAAGTTATTGGAGGAGGCCCTGGAGAAGGGCAGCATCTTCGAGCTCATTTGCGTGTATCAAATGTTGCTCAGTGTGCGTTTTGACGCCGCCTCCAACCAGACCTACATGCCTATTGACTTGTGGACCAACAGTGAAAAGGATATCAACAGCTTCTTGACCTTGTTGGAAAAGAATGCCAAGACGTACCAGGTGAGTGAAAAGGGCACTGCCACCGACGACTTGGACATAGAGCCTACTGCCAATGCTGATGGCGTCAAGGTCATCTTGGGCTCCGTCTCTGCTATTGTCGAGAGATTGGACGACGAGTTCACCAGATACTTGCAGAACACCGACCCACACTCCATCGAGTACATTGAGAGATTGAAGGACGAATCCAACCTTTACAAGTTGATTGTCCGTGCACAGGTTTACGTGGAATCCACCACCGGTTCTGGCGAGCATTTGGCCAGAGTTGTTCTCAGAAGATTGGACCACGTTTACTATAAGCCAGACCAATTGATTAAGGTCAACGAGGAGAAGGCTTGGCAGAACTCTTGGGCCGGCATTAGTCTCGAGCAGTCCACGCTAGTTACCAAGGGCGAGGAGCCAGCTAAGGTCATCAACGCCATGTACGAGTTCTTGTCCAAGCAGGAGTCTTCCATCTACGGAAAACACGCTTTGTTGGCTTCTACCTACTATTACGCTGTCAACAACAGATATGCCGAGGCCAGAGAGTTGTTCTTGGAATCTCAGATATATAACCAGATTGCCCTGGCTGACTCTTCCGTTCAAGTTTTGTACAACAGAGCATTGGTTCAGTTGGGTTTGAGTGCATTCAGAGCCGGCGAGATCGAGGAGTCACACCAGATTTTGAATGAGATCGCAAACTCTCAAAGACTCAAGGAGTTGTTGGGTCAAGGTTTCAACCTGAAGTACCCTAGTCAAGCAACCAGTGCCGAGAAGCAGAAGTTGTTGCCATTCCACATGCACATCAACTTGGAGTTGTTGGAGTGTGTTTTCATGACCGCCTCGTTGTTGATCGAGATCCCAGCATTGGCTGCTGCCTCCAACTCGTCCAAGGACTCCAAGCGTAAAGCCAGCATCAAGTCGTTCAAGAGCAAGTTGGAGTTCCACGACAGACAATACTTCACAGGTCCTCCAGAGAGCATCAAGGACCACTTGATCTATGCATCGAGGTACTTGCAGAAGGGTAACTGGGCCAAGTCCTACGAATTGTTGCTGTCGATCAAGATTTGGAAGTTGTTCCCAGACAACGATTCATTGTTGCTGATGTTGAAGCACCAGTTGCAAGTGGAAGGCTTGAGAACATACATTTTCACTTACAAAACCATTTTCACCAAGTTGTCAGTGGAGAAATTGGCCGAGATGTTCCAGCTCGACTTTGCCAGTGTCACTGACATCGTTGAAAAGATGCTTTCATCAGGTGACATTCAAGGTTCGATCGAGGACAAGTTCATCAACTTTGCCACTGACGAACCACAGAGATCTAAGTTGCAGGAGTTGGCCATCATCATGAACGAGAAGGTCGGCTTGTTGAACGAGAAGAACGAGAAGACCGCCGCCAATGGCCACGGAAGAAAGCAGGCTATTCAGCAGCAGCAGCAGCAGCAGAAGGAGCAGAAGGAGCAGAAGGAGATCTTGCAGGAGGAGAACAACAGGTTCAGATACGCCAACGTCAACACCAACAACGACGAGTTCCAGGTGACTGCTTAGATTGTAACATAGGGTTATCCATTACGTGCATATCGGCATGGGCCGTCGTGGTTGGCGACTCTTGTCTTAATAAACTACGTTGAAGAAGAGTGTAGGAGAAGGCTGGAGAAAGTAGGCTGAAGGAGATTGAAAGGAATGGAGCAAGAATACTAAGGATTGAACGAATTGAAAGAAGACTTGAATTTATATAAATCGAATAATTGAAAAAATTGAAAAAATCGTTAAACTTGTAGGTATTCCAGATAAAAAAATGGTCACCATCTACTCTGCACACCTCATCACAATTTCCACCATACACCCATTCTCGATTACACCTACTACAAATATGCTGGAGAAGAGAGAGAAACCAATCAAGACATCTGCTCTATGTCAGCTATGTCATGGGCGTAAAGCCGTGATGAAAAGACCCAAGAACCTCCACAAACTCTGCAAAGAATGCTTCTTCCTAGTGTTCGAGACTGAGATCCACAATACCATCATCTCAGCGGAGCTCTTCCATCCAGGAGAGAGAGTAGCCATAGGAGCTTCGGGTGGAAAGGATTCCACGGTGTTGGCTTCGATACTCAAGACCTTGAATGAAAGGTACAACTACGGCCTAGACTTGGTTCTTCTATCTATTGATGAAGGCATCAAAGGTTACCGAGATGACTCACTTGCCACCGTCAAGAGGAATCAGAAGCAATATGAAATGGACTTAGAGATTGTGTCGTACAAGGAGTTATACGACTGGCTGATGGACGAGATTGTGTCTTGTGCTGGAATCAGAAGTAGTTGCACGTACTGTGGAGTCTTGAGAAGACAAGCACTTGATCGTGGAGCTGCTAGGCTTGGAATACACCATGTTGTAACAGGCCACAATGCAGATGATATGGCAGAAACTGTTCTCATGAATTTACTTCGAGGAGACACTGCCAGACTTGAGAATTCATGTACTATTCTTACGCAGAGTTCTGGATCGCCTATCAAGAGATCCAAGCCATTCAAGTACATGTACCAAAAAGAGATTGTACTCTATGCACATTATAAGAAGCTAGACTACTTCAGCACAGAATGTACGTACGCCCCGGAGGCATTTCGAGGCACGGCTCGTGAATTGCTCAAGTCATTGGGAGCCATTCGACCATCTTGCATTATGGATATCATCTATTCAGGTGAACATTTGGTTTTGGCCAAAAGGAAGAAGAGAACTCCCAAGTACAAAAATCCTAGAAAGGGCGAGTTGCTCGACAAGAATAGGGAACAGGAGATCAATGGAGACGGTACAGTTTCGCTTGCAAAAAGCGGGAACACATGTGAGAAGTGTGGGTACATCACGTCGAATAAGATTTGTAAGGCATGTATTCTTCTAGCAGGGCTTGAGATGAATCGGGCAAAGGTGAGTGTGGAGAGTGGAGGAGATGGACCGGCGAAGTTAACCAAGACGTTAGAACAGTTGAGCTTTTAAATTAGAATTGAAGGTAGAAGAAAGGAAGGGATTAGAGTAGATTATTGATGTCGTCCAATACATTGAAGGTAGATTTAATTAGGATATTTTGAAATGTTCGAAATCTAATGATCTGTCTTTTATAATCTCCAACCGGCGTTGGTTGAGCTAGATGGATGCTACTTCTATAGTATTCAAGGTGTCATTTCAATGTCACCTTTTGTAAATGTTTTTGTTCTGCTAGGGCCTCAACTTTCGAATCTTTTCTAGTTCCATCAAAATTCGATATCCCAGGGTAAAAAAAATTTGGAATTGACTATCAGAATCTACATGCCCACAGCAGACCATCGAAAATGAACCTTGACTATAATTAACATAGACCACAATTAATTTGAAGCTATAAGTAAACTCAAAGACCTATATTTTGTCATTCTCTACTTTTCTGTAATCTGCTTTCCCTTTCCATTTACCAACCGGACTCCAATACCACTTCAACTTCTACTAACAACTTTTATTGAAAACGTTTAAACACTTTTCTTATAAACGTGAACCGCACCGGCCTGGTGACTGGGGAATACCAACGCCTCAGCCAAAACCGTGTTCTCCTTTCTTGAGACTCCAAACACAATGATCTCCGCAATATCCTCAGGTGTCAAAGGTTCTGTTCCCTCATACACCTTATCGGCAGCGGCCTTGTCGCCATGGAAACGCACCACACTGAACTCGGTCTCTACAGCACCAGGATCTACCTCCAACACACGGACTCTCGTAGAAATCAACTCCTTGCGCAATGCATGCGAGAAGGACTTGACTGCTGCTTTAGACGCACAATAGACACTTCCTCCCGGGTATGGCTCTCTTCCAGCAATGGAGCCGATGTTGACGATAGAGCCCGAGTTTCTGGCTTTCATACCTGGCAAAACTGCTTGGGTCACGTTGATCAATCCCAAAACATTTGTCTGCAACATTCCACTGATATCATCTAAGGAAATGTCGCCCACAACGTCCTTACCCAATGCCTTTCCAGCATTATTGATCAACACGTCAATGTCAGCAAATTCCGCAGGCAATGCGGAAATGAACGGCTTGATGGTAGCAGTATCACTGACATCGAGCTTGGCCGTATGAACACGAATGGCAGCATAAGTGGAGCTCAATTCTTTGGCCAATTCCGTCAACCGAGACTCTCTTCTAGCTGTAAGCACCAAACGAATGTTTCCATTCGCAGCCGAGGCAAATTCTCTTGCGGTAGCGGCACCAATTCCCGAAGAAGCGCCTGTAATCAACACGATTTTGTTGGCCAAACGTTCAGCAGCTTTGGATCCAAATGACATAATGTGGCTGGTAATGGGTGGTATTACTTGGCAGTGGCTGGATGTGACTAATAGAGATTATCGGTGTACATGCAGGCAGATATTGATCAATACAGTCCCACTGTGGAGAGAAATTGTGAACTATTCCCAGTGATCTGATTCATGTCAGGTGACCAGACCAACAGTTCGGAACTACCTGAAAAAAAAAGGGAGAGTAAGAGAGAGAAAGCACTTATGAGTTTTCGCAAGTGGCATATTTTATACAAGAGTGGAGACCGGGGAGATCGGGGAGATAGGGAAAAGTATGGAGAATGTGTGAATGTGGAAACGGGGAAATAAGATGTGGAGTTGTGTAAAGCTTGTGTAGAGAATTGTATAGGATAATATAGGGAGATGGTATAGGATAGTATAGGGAGATTGCATAGAAATGAAGATTGTATGGAAATACATTGAAGCTTGCATGAAGAATGTGAGAGATAAGAGTGTGGGGATTATGGATAAGAGAGGTGGGCCTGCCCGTTTAGACATATAAATGGCACCATGAAAGCCAAAATGGATATTTGTGCATCAAGATGATCAACGTGCTTAAATTATCCTTAAAGTTACGTAGGATTACTGAATATTTGACGTAGGACTAGAAAATAATGTGTGGACTGATATGAAGATCCGTGGGAAACTACGATAATCGAATGAGGATGGAAAAAATATTTGAGACATCGATACGGAGAGACAAGAAACGGTCCGGTCGGGAATTGAAAGAGGAGATTTATGGGGAGAGGTCGTAATGAAAAGTTTGGATATTATTTGGATATTATTCAGATACTATTTGGATGCATAGATTTAGTGCCAGTTTACAAAAGAGTTTAATTGTAGTACTTACCAATTCATGCTTTCTTCAATTATTCCTTCCTCGTAATCACTTCTCTCTCAATTATTTCTTGATCTTTCCACTTTACTTCAAACTACAAGTTATTATCAACTTAAATCAAGCGTTGAAGATATATAAATCTATAGAAATGCGAAGAATTGAATCAAATTCAAGCTGAAAGAAAACCGTGGGAATTTGCGCTTTGGCTCCCTATTGTACAGGTCCACCTCCTCAGATGTGAAAGCTGTCACTATTAGTTGAATGAGGTGGGAATGGCAGTCGGCATTGCCGACATGAAGTCCGAATTGAGCGACGAACTCGAGTTCGAACGCAGGTTGGCCAACGAGCCTGCTGCTGAGGACTCAGCTGAGGTGGAAGCTCCGTTGAAACAGTAGGTTTGCAACAACGTAGCATATGAGGTTGAGTTGAACTTGGAGTCCTGGAAACTGGCCACAGGCTTAACGTTGGGGGCACCAGATCCCAAAGCTAAGGGTGACCGAGTCTCGGGCACGGCTCCAGTGGACTTACCTGAGAGGTCCACTTTAGAGTCGATGTGCTTGGCCCGGAACGATTGCGAGTAGCGTGGCTTCAACGCTGGCAGTGATGCAGATGTATGCAATGCAGGCCTCGAAGAAACGGAGCCTGGAATGGACTGGGTGGACTGGGAAGACAAGCCAGAAGGTCTAGCAGTGTCACCCTTCGATACCAGAATGAGCTTGCTAATGAGTTCATCGTAGTTGTATGGTGGAGCAGATTTCTTCTCCAACGACACGGATGGGATCGTGTTGGATACCTGCTTTGGCATAGGCAGGAAAGTAGGAGTTTTGTAGGAGAACGAGTCCTGGACAGTAAAAGTGTCTGGCTTCTGAGGCACGTAGGATGACAACACCACGTTATAATTGCGGCTGCTGTTGTTATCCCAGTGGGTCTGGCCGTTCACGTCGTATTTGATGCAAAACTGGGCGCTAAGTGCGCTGGGGAGGTGTGCAAGTGGCACGACAAATTTGAACTGGTCAAAGTTGACCGAAGTGAAAGACTTCATGTATTGCGGGTTGTTGAAGATCAAGGTGCTCTGCCAGTTGTTCAAGGTGAGCTTCACCGATACTGATTTTTCGAAAGCCAAGTTTTGGCACATCACCAAGAGCACAATCAGCTTCTTGTCCGAGCCGAGTGACATCTGTTGAAGGTAGACAGGCGAACTCAGTCTGTCATAAATGTTTTTGGGTGCAGCAAAGTTCAGGGAACTGATCTTGTATAGCTTATCGCGGGTGTACTCGCGGAATGTGTCGGAGTCCTCAGAATCCGAGTCTGAGTTTTCGTCGAAGCCCAAGTCGGTAAAGTTACGGTGAGACGAGAAATAATCATCAAGATCAAAGTCGTGGAACTTTGGAGATCCGGTTGGGGTGTTTTGAAGCGACACTGTGGATGGGGAGTCTCTACCGTCAAACATCTTCACCTTCTCGAGGCGAGATGCAAAACGCACCAGCTTAGGCGAGAGGCTCAGCGTAGAGTACAGTTTGGTGAGGCTGGGCAACTTCAATGATGACTTCAATTTTTTCAATCCAGGGGCCTCAGAGCCGGCTCTGGGCGAGTTGGAAAGGTCGGACTTAGTGTCCTTTTTATTATCAGAAGGGATGGATGCAGAGCCAGGGACAAGAAATTCAGGAACTGGCTTAACTTCAACTGGTTGTTGTTTAATTTCAGTCAGTTGCTTGACACCAGTCAGTTGCTTAGAGACATCCGTCATTCCCGAATTTGTACGGGTTTCGGGCCACAGGCGAGGGGCAGCGTCAAGGCCAGTGATGCGCAAGTCGGTGGCTGACTTGGAATAAGTGTAAGCGCCCGTGTAGAGATGGGCTGGAACAGGTAAAGGTTTTGTGTCTGATTGAGTCACCAAAGGCGATACAGGGGCAGACACAGATGCAACCAGATCATGGGACAGACTTGAAGAAGATGGCAAGTCGGACGTCAAGTCAGACTTGAAATAGTCGTTAACAGCAAGCGTCAAAGTTGACATCAGGAGTTAAAGAACTATGAAAAAATTAGCACCAGGCTACAGTAATTAAGGGAAAAAAACAAGAAAACGCTAATCAGGAGCAGCACCATTTATAATAAGTGCGCAGTAAAAAAATTAGCAAATCTTGCATTTTGTTGAGCAGGAAAAAGAAAAATTTCTCCATGCGGAGAGGACGCATTTCCTGCAGCTCCTATGCAATTCTTGCATAGGGACCCTGGGGGCATCCTAAGATGGTGCTAGGGGTCGCCAACTGAAGGCAAAGAAGTAAGGGGCAACGGTGATGTAGCGCCACTAGTGGGTTGACGTTGATGCTCCGGGATACGGTAGAATTCGGAAAAAGCTTAGTTTCTTTTTCTTTTTTTTTCTGGGGTTGCTTCATCTCATTCCGGCAAACTTTTTTTATGATTTTCAAGCGTCTTCACCACTCTGCCACTCCTTAATAGGTTTCCTAGGTATATGCAGTACCATCCACGATTATTAAGCATTGGTACTGAATATCTGCAGGATGGAACACACCACCCCTCCCGACTCGCGTCGCTGGCGTCCTGATAAGGGAGACTCACCAGGTGCGTCAGGAAAGAAGCGAAATTTGTTCCTTCTAGAGTCATGGCTCAGACATCCAGCCTCAACGAGTCATCTCCATGTGTAGGTACCTACCTCTATACCCCTGTAGGTATATCGGCTAGTAGATAGCTAGTGTGGTTTGCAACGTCATGCATGTGGCTAATTTCTGCCATTAGCACATTCGGACTCGGACTGTTGGATGGGCTCTTTTTTGCTAGTATTGGTGGAAATGTGATTAACCATACATGAACTATATACAGGAAACCATCTCCCACTATATTGTTTTGGGGATAATGGGGTACGGATCTGGGGATGGAATGATCGGCTCATTTGAGGCTAATGCGTAGGAGGCTGGTGAGGTGCCCGTGGGTACTGAGTCCATAAGTCACTGCTGGCAATCTTCCCTTTCTGTTCCTCTTTTCTTTATTTATCTGGCGTTTTTCTGATGTGGAAGTGGGGCATTTTTTTTTTGTTAGAATCTCCCCCACTCCATGGGGGTTGCTAACCTTATTCTGTGTTTACACCGCCTTAGTCGCACATTTTTTCTTCTTCTAACCTCGCCTAAATATTCCATTTCACGTGACCACGGCGATTGTGCAGGAGATTCGCCAGTTCTGCAAGTGATTCATGGCCTCTGCAGGCGATGATTCCATCCATTTTAGCCATCCAACATTTAAACCCGCCTTAATACTTACCATATTTGTAGGCTACGTGATGTCATCTTAGTACATTTTTCACATACTCTGCAGCTTTCTCTTTTCTTTTGGTCCGGCTCCCCTTATTTTGCATTTGGTCCAAATGATCTGCATTAGGTAACTCTATTAACCAAAAATAGGATTCTACTTAGCTGCATCTTCCTTCAACGTCACAATTCTGTTCAAAATGACGTTCTCACCCTCACTATCCTTGTCCACGCAGAAATATCCGATTCTCAACGCTTGGAATCTCACGGTCTCTGCACCCTTCTTCTCTTTGATGTTGAACTCTGAACCCTCGACTCCAATATTCAATGGCGATCTCTTTTGGATGTCATCGAATCCGGCACTCTCAATAATTGAGCCCTTGACAACCTCCAATGAGTCCTCGTTGATGTCGCTCAAGAATCCATCCACATGTGCACTTGGGTTCTCGCTGTGGAATAATTGGTTGTAGATTCTCACCTCTTTCACTTGCTTGACATTCTTCTCCCCCACCCACTGGATGTACGTCTTAGGCTTCTTCTTAATATCCTTGTCGTAGTTGACAATGATCTTGGTGATGTTTCCGCTGGCGTCACGGATCACTTCCTTAACAGAGACATTGAATGGAACCTTCATCAATCCAACTGGCTGTCCTGGAGCCAAACGGAAGTACTCCTTGTCAACTTCATCTCTGTAATCGGATCTGTCGATGTAGAATCTTTTGGAGAATGTCAATTTTCTAACGCCAAACTTCTCATCTGAACCTGGCTTGTATGACATTTCCACCACCTCTTCGAAGTCGTCATCGACATTGTCAATCTCACACAAAACTGGCTCCAACAACACCATCAAACGTGGCGTGGTAACGTCCAAGTACTGCCTCACAGCAGACTCGAATCTAACGACCTGGATGTTGGTGGTGGATGTGGTGACACCCAATGTGTTGATGAATGACAAAATAGCTCCTGGAGGAACTCCACGACGCTTGATGGACTCCAAAGTGTACAATCTGGGATCATCCCAGCCACGGACGTAGCCCTCGTTCACCAACTTGGCAATTTTACGCTTAGACATGATAGTTCCGGTGATGTTGAGACGACCATACTCTCTCTGAGCTGGTCTGTATACATGCAAGGCATCACACAACCATTCGTACGACTCTCTACTCAAACGAAACTCTGTGGTACACAATGAGTGTGAGATGTTCTCGAAAGAATCAACCAAACAGTGGGTGAAATCATAGGTTGGATAGATCTTCCACTTGTCTCCCGTTCTATGATGAGGAGCATTCAACACTCTGTAGGCAACCAAGTCCCACATCTGAGGCGAAGGAGAGGTGATATCCTGCTTCATTCTCAACGTGGCTTCTCCTGGCTTGTATCCGCCATCTCTCATGCTTCTGAACTGGGTCAAGTTGTCCTCAACACTTCTGTCTCTGTGTGGACATGCAAATCTCTCTCCTCCGAGAGTTCCATCGGCCTTCATACCTCTCTGTGCCTTGACCTCTTCGGCAGTACAGTGACAGACATACGCCTTGCCCACCTCAATCAACTTCTCTGCCAATTCATACAAGCGGTCGAAATAGTCGGAAGAGTAGGTAATTTTCCATGGACCAAAGCCCAACCACTCCACCATGCTCTTAATGGAGTTGAAATACACCTCCTCCTCCGCTTCGGGATTGGTGTCGTCGTAACGCAAGTAGCAGTGACCGTCATGGAACTTGGCGTACCCAAAGTTCACCATGATAGCCTTGGAATGACCAATGTGCAAGAATCCATTGGGTTCAGGAGGAAATCTAGTGAACACTTTACCCTTTGTGAAGGCCAAATGCTCCTTCATCAACTCAGGATAGGCCTGAGGGTTTTCGCCAGGCTTGTGCAAATCTCCCAAGAATCCTTCCGAAAACATGGATCTCTCAGGTTCAGGTGTAGCAGCCACCTTGGCACCAGCAGCAGGTTTGGCGTCTTTCTTCTTCTTCTCCTTCTTGACAACATCACGTTCATCCTTTGGACCAAAAATTTCCAAGGCAAGCTCGTCAATAACTGGCTTGAATAACGAGGGGGCTGCCCATTTCAAACTTGGAAGTTTCTTGGTTTCTCCCAAAAGTGATGGCACTCCAGCATAACGCTTAGCCTCCACGGTTTCTCTATGTGCATCAATGTACTTTGAGATTTCTGCCTTAATATCGTCGCGGCTCAATTCAATACCGACACCAGCACTGGCGTCCATACCTTCAGCGGTACTGGAGGCTCCATTCTCCACGATGTACTTCATAGCTTCCGTTACCTGCAAGTTGGTCTTCAAGCGTCCGTCAAGAATGGCAGCTGTTGCTAATGAACGGCCCTCAATTGGTTCGTCACCGGCGTTTTTACTCTCCACGGCCAAAGCATGTAACAAAGTCAATTTCTTGTCATCCACCTCTGATGACTCAGTGATATTTCCTTCAGCCAAAATAGCCACAAAGCTTGAGGAAACTTTCTTGTTTTTGGCAATCTCTGCAGCTTTCTTATCGGCCAAGCCGATCTTGCTGAAGAGGGCCACGAGTTGTTCTTCGCTAGACATTAGTAATTGTCACGATGGGGAGTTTGATTATTGTATGCAAGTTTTTTGGATGGGGTGGTAGTGATAAGGACACGACCATCATCACATCGCCGACCTGAGTTCTAGACGATAAAAACCTACACATCTTTGTGTCTAAGTTACCTTACTCAAAAAAATGAAAATGCAATTTGAAAAAAAATAAGAATAGCATTTAACCATAATGCGTAAAGTTTTTGCAGCTGCTGCACTCGGCTGTGCACGAGCCTTCATTACATCAAACAACTTGCGTGTTGTATGTGAAAGAATAAAATTCTCTCGTGTATCGGCATAAGGCGCATTTCTGCATATAAAATACCTTGTAAGGTGCCCTGCTTTAAGATTAGAGGCTATGCTCAACTCGATCCGCCCAACATAATTCCTGACGTGCTTGAAACCTGAATTGTGGGGTTGGATCAGCGAATATCCGACTTGGGAAGACGTGCAAGATGAGGAGCAGTAAATCAATCCCGATGCATGCAGGCCACCCCACTTCGAGGTTGCATTTTGCTTCATCCATTGTTGATGTCGGGTTTGCTTCAGCTTTTGACACATTTGTGACGCGTCAATTCCGCATATGGAAATATCCAATTTCATTTCTTTGCCTATGTACTCTCTATAATTAAATTTATCGTCACTAGTAATTGTAAAATCTCCTCTTTGGATCCAAACTGTCCTTGTAAAGAAGCCTCTTCAGTTTCAATTCAGAAAATTCAAGAACTTAAACACAACATTGGCAAAATCCCTTGGATTGTCCAAGTATAAATGATGACCAGCATTCTTGAGTATACTGAAACTGGCAAGTTTCCCCTCACCCTGCTTCTTCGACAACAGATTGATCTCCTGGGTCATTTCAAGCCCTGCCTCCTCATTCATCCAGTCTTTGTCACCGTAAATCCACAAGGTGGGAAGTCCCATTTTGACAAACTTCTCAGGGCATCTATCTAGCAAGGGCAACCGGGCCAATGCTCCAAACTGAAGCACTCTGGTAATTGCGTACTCGCCTGATCCATATCCGTTGAACACCCGATAAAAGTAATCATGGATATTCTGGAAATGCTCCGGATTTGAATAATATATATGTGAGAACCGGTGAGTGGTCCATCTAGAGATCCATTTGGATCTTGCAGGGCCAGCACGACGAATGACGGCGAATGGCAGGGCATTTTTGTTCCAGAGCCACTTGACTAATTTGGTGCCGTTCAGTTCTGCCTTCTGTGGCATAACAAACTTCTTGTTATCTTCACTACCATTGCCGTGAACAATGGCCTCCTGGTCGGCATCTAATTCCTGAGAAATGGAAACCTCTGGATTCATAGCGTTCTCACGGTTGAACTCTGCCGTGGAGACCTGTGCACTCAGAGGAGGCGAATTGGCAAGTAAAGAGCCTTGGTGACGCTCAACACCCACCGGACTTACAAGGATCAACTTGTCGATCATGCGCTGAGAAACTCCTGTGGCTGCACTGACCAAGTTCTGGTTGTACTTAAGTGCATACGCACAGCTGAGATACCCTCCAAATGAGTGGCCAATGAGGACGAAACGCTCAATGCCACGGCGCTTACGCCACTCCTCAATGGAGTCAATGAACCAGTCTTCGATTTGGTAGATGTCGTCCTTTGTGTTGTTTGTAAAGCTTGGGAATTTTGGCCGCGAAGAAAGTCCAAACCCCAAAAGGTCAATAGCATGGATCCGGATACCCTTGACAGCGGAAATCAGGTCGAAATTCTCTACGAAAAGACCCAAAGAAGCCGCATATCCATGAACCAACACCACATCACGCACCTGATCCTTGGATACTGCGTCGGGTTTTTCGGTGTTTTCAATGAACAACTCATGGATGTAGTTTCCATTTCCGATGTCTGTGTCGATGATCTGCGCATTGCGCTTGCCGTCACTTTTGGGGAAAAATGGCAAGATGGAAAGAAGCCGAGCCTCGACTTGGGAGTCCAGGTAGTCGCTGCTGAACAAATGCTTGTACCAGTCCGAGAAGGATGATTTCCATTCGTAGACAGGCACCTTGCGTCCATCTTGAAATTCGTTAACCTTCTGACGCTTGGAACCCTGCGAAGATGCACTAGACTCAATAGTGTCTGCACTAGTCATGTCGTATGTGGATGTGTGATAAGTTTGGGAAGATGTTAGTGGTTGCGAAATGCGTGAAGATAAAGCATTGGTGACAGCAAGCCCACGTGATGCGGTGATAGGCCGAAACAGGTAAATCCGTAGAAGCAGAGTTGCCACTGTCGCGGCTTGATCGGTTGCAGCGTAGATGCCGGGAGCCGCAATGCGGAATAGCATGGAGATAAGCGATGAGGCGCAAGTGAAAAACTTTGAAACTGAAAGTGTCAAAGCTAGTAGGGGATGGCCAGAGCTCAATGCGAGATGCGAGTGAAGGTGATGATGCACGGAGAATGCAAGTGAGATGTGGAGGATGTTAGGAGGATGCGAGCGAATGACGCGAAGTCGATTGCAAAGATGGATTGGAGTGCAGCAACAGAAAGAGCAAAAAAAAAAATAAACGTTCGAAGATTCCGAAGAATATTTAGGAGATAATTCTTGCAACCATGGATGTGGCCTGCGTTATATGCTTGAAGTAGGTGGCGAGTAGTTTGGTCACGTGAGTAGAACCACCTAACGTTGGACAGATCTGGAGAGGTCTGCAGGTGATGAAGTGAGGTTGCAAGTAAAGATCAAGGTTTCTGATGTAGGTACCATTGGAGAGGGGAGCTAGGAATCGATTGACAAGGTGGGTCAGTCAGACTCAGAGTAGCCATTTAATTAGCAAGGTAAGAGAATCCATGGTGAGTTCCATGTTGAAGGTGAGTTAGCTGATGTTTGTTGGGTATATGGTGTTGGGGCTATACGAGAAGAATAAGAACCCAACCAGAGAACTGCCCCGATGTTTGGGGATTCGTGACTTCGAGAGTATATAAAACTGTACAAGCTAGATTTCTACTGGAGTTCAATTGAAGACCTATATGATGTCTCCTGAGAGCCTTGCTTTAAGTAGGAGGTGGCCCTCAATAAGTAGGAGCCTTATGATGAAGTAAATAATATCTGAGCTCACGATTCTATAAATCTAGCGAGATATCACGGTCTCAAGATTAATTTATTTGACTAGCACAAGATTTGTAAACTCGAATCTAGGAATCCAGCTCCATTATCGCATCAGATGTAGATGTATCTATCTAAGCCTGCAAAGATGTTACATGGCTGAGAAATTCAACAGATTTGGCGGGTCAACAACGGTGGAGAAACGGATACTTATGATAGAATGGGCCAGAAAATACATACATTCACAGGAGACAATTATGTACTTATTTATCCATAGGAAGTTGGAACCTCCTTTTCATTCCTTTTCATTCCTGGAAGTTTGGTTTATATGGCAGCTCCTGTTCCTTCAGATTGAACACATATAGTGGAGAACCGTCTAAGCCCTAAGTCCCAAGTACAAATGGAAACCAGAATGGTCAGTGATGGCAGAAACTACTATGAGCAATTGGTAATTAGGTCCCATCTTTCTCTGAATGGGCCCTGTTCCAAGAGGCGATCACGGAAATGTGAATCTTCGCCCACTTGAAAAGAATGCTCTCAACACCTAGCAAGGACCAGTAAGAAGAGCATCTTTCTAAAGGAGATGAACCCATAGTCAGTGGGGTAATAAATTGTATTGTTAGTTGATTGAAGCCAGGACTCCCTAGGTCGTTCTTCCAGAAAGAGTATGAAATATTTAGAAACAAGTAATCTACGATCTGCTTACAGTCGGATAGTATGAAATAGCCTTTATGTCCCGCATCTCCACACAATTTGCCCTTGGCTCTTGTATAAATTTAGAAATGACGTGATATCGAGAAATGATGCTGGCCATTTCAAAATGGGGAACACTCATACCTAGCTGCCGCTTATTGATTGTTCGTTGGGTGTACATTTTCGCAACCTGATAAGCTTAACAGATGTTGGTATTACCAGGTTTGCAAGTGTTTTATCTCTAGAAGGAGAAGAGCCATAAAAACTGTGACGATCAGTGAATGTGTGCTTACATGCAACACAAACTTCTGTTTCCATATACTTTTGTATTGGTATTGACCTATCACTGAGTCAATCTCGAACCTCTTGGATGTAAGAATCGAACAAAGGAGAGTTGCGAACTGTAACTCGGGAAGGACAACTTTACAGAATAATAAATTTGTTAATTGTTTAGCACAGTAAACCAATAGGAAGCTTAGTATTTGCCGAAAGATCTTTTCCTGTTAAGAATCGGCTTACTTGGCTGCTAAGTTAATGCACAGCAGTATAATCGAGGTTGAGGTTCGTGAGTGTATATAATCCAACAGATCGCATACACAACTATAACTGGTGATATAAATCCTCACGTGAAACTCCACGTGAATTCCTTACTCACGTGCAGAATACGTCTCAGCACGACCTTTTCTTCGCATCCGTCCCAGGACGTGTACTGCCCAATTCACTCACTATGCTCACTCGTTTTTTCAAAAATTTTTCTTTTACCAATCTTTTCTCTATCATACTTACAATCAAAAATGGTATGTTTTAAAAAGTTTTCATGTTGGCATATTACGTCCAACTGATACTCCTGCTATCCAACCTGTCACTCCAGACCTCGCATTTCACGTTTGATTCCGTCCATATTCCTGGTACCATTTGGTGAAACATTTGGTGGATGAGATTTTTGATCTTTCACCCATGAAAATCACATATATCACTTTATTCTAGCTCATTACGACTAGTAAAACACTTCGTTATTACTGGAATCGTACTATTTTGAGGGTCAGATAGCTAATGGAGTCAAATGATGAACACCTACTAACATCCAGGACACTAAGACTCCAGTTACTCTTGCTAAGGTTATCAAGGTTTTGGGCAGAACCGGCTCTAGAGGTGGTGTCACCCAGGTCAGAGTTGAGTTCTTGGAGGACTCCACCAGAACCATTGTCAGAAACGTCAAGGGTCCAGTCAGAGAGAACGACATCTTGTGCTTGATGGAGTCTGAGCGTGAGGCTAGAAGATTGCGTTAAGCTCCCTCTCATATCTGTACTACTAGTGTTGTGTGGTTTTGGCTACACTACCAGTGTTATTAGGTCATTAATATAACATTATCGTTAATATAGCGTAGAAAGCAGTCACAGTAGATCACGTGCGAGTTTTCATTAACATACAGGATCAATATAGTATGCTGTTAGGGCTTGCGAAAACGTATATGCAGGCGCACTTTGATGAGCACTCTAAATGAGGCTATAGATTCAACGAAAGGATAAAAACTCAAATCAAAACGAGTTTATAAGTAGTAGGTTGCCATTTTTAATTATTAATCAATTTTGTAGAACTAACTTCGATCAGAGCTTGGTTTACATATTGTGTGTGTAATTGTATGAATCAATCAAAATGCAAAATAAAACCAAGTGTACAAAAATGATATTCAGGTATAAAAAATCATTGTTATGTTCATGAGTGAATCAAAATTTGCTATACTGAGTCACAACTACACAATTACTGCACGCCACATGTTCTATTGACGATTTATGTGTAATATAACGCATATGCACCGTAAACCTAGGATTTACATACAAATGTACCCCTGCATCAGCAGAACTTCGTTTTGCAGAAAGTGCAGTACAAAGGAAAGCTACTATTACGCATGAGTGATTGTTATTCCTATATCCACTGAATGTGTGATTCGGCAATCCTTTACTCTCACTACGAGCCCATTAAATCTACTCCATCCTTTTTCAATCAGTAAACTTTATCACTTACTATAGGTATTCTATTGAAAACGCGATAATTCACTCCGGACCGTCTAAAACGTAGACCAAGTCCACAAGCGGCCACCAGGGTTGACCAACTCATCCTCGTTCTCAGAGAAGGAGACTCCCTTGTCCAAACCAGCAGCTGCCAAAACCTGCAAGTAGTAAAGGAGCTTTGAAAAATCGAAACCCTCAGCCCAAACTTGCTTAGCGTCAGCCAAAACCTTATCCAAAGGGACAAACTTCTCAGTGAACTTGATGTCGTGAGTTTCCTCGTATCTCTTCACAATATCACGCACACTAACTTCTCCAGCCTGAATCCTCACCTTATCTGGAAGCTCTGAAGTAGGCTTAGAGATAATGGAAGCAATTGAATTGGCAATATCGGTAAGACTGTTGTATGCCAACTTGGTATCTGGCGAACCAAAGTAAGTCACGGTCTTGGTCTTGACATCTGCTCCAACATGGCCAACCTCTTCATACAACCAGTAGTCCTGGGCAAAGAAAGCAGTGTAAATGTCTACCAGCTTGACACCGAACTTTCTCACATTGTCGGAGTGTTCGCTCTTGAGACCCATAAATCCAGGCAATACCTCGCCGGCCTTCTCCAATTCAACACCAAACTGTGTAGGAATAAAGATCTTAGGCTTAACTTGCTTGACAATACCCTCAATACCGGCGAACAACTCGGGCCCTGGGTGGACCAACTCCACAATGGCATCCACTCCCTTCAATTCCTTGGCCAAGGCGTCTTGACCAGAAATGTAGTCACCGGTGATGTACTTGACATACTCATCGGAAGAGTACTTGGAAGCATCACGAGTGACAGCCAAAACTGGGAATTGGAACTTGTCAGCGAACACTGGGCTCTTGATAGCTTCCAATGTAGGCTTACCCAAGGTACCATTGAGGCCGAAAATAGCAACTGAGACTTTAGACATATTTGAAGAGGATTGAGAAGTGTGTTAAAATGTAATTATAATGATGAGAAAGCATAGGGCGAATTCTTCAGCTTTATATGGTTGCAAACAAGTGATCCTCGGCATCTACTGAGTAATGCTCGGTAGCGCAGGAAGTGGTTTGTAAGCAATTTAAAGTTTGTAAGCAAATCCGAGTGGGACCAACACACGCGGGTGTGTTATAATATCCGTGTGTGTAAGCAACTTCACATTGAATGTGGGTAAGCACAGGAATGTTAAGGTGTGTGGTCGGGATGTGGAGGCTGGGAGAAGGGCCAACTAAGAATTGTGGGCCCTGATGGTTTGGTGTAGGGTATGGTGGATTTCGCGGTATGGTTGCAAAGGTGTAGAGGAACGAGCAAAGTGATAAGATAGTACTCGGGGAACCTATACCGATAAAATGGCAAAATACCTATATCGGAAACAAGCCTATTCTGGAGAACACTTCAATAATGCAAATAGGGGAAGAAGCTTTGAAGGCAAATTACCAATCATTGTTATTATCGTCGGAGAAGTGGTGTGCATTCAGACATTAGATGGATGAATTTAGAGTGGCCCGAAAGTGAACAAATAAGCTCTGGTGAAGAGTTAAAGATCCAGTAAGAACTTCTAGATCCCTTCAATAAACTATGTCGTTGAAGGCTCATATCAAAGTATATTCACTGTTCAATGATTCAAATTATTGAATCCTACATGGTTGGGGCATTCATCAATGGGTTGTACACAAGGAGGACGAGAGATAAGAAAACCTAGACATACAATTTGGATGGCAAGGCAACCCAAAGGTAAAACAGCAAAACAAGTGGCCGTATTTACTGATATCATGACATCCATTGTATTTTTGGTGTAGAAGTTTGTCTAGTATATTAGGAGGTCCTGTGCGCTCTGTAATGTACTCAACACTGTCAATTAATTCACCACCGATTGATACTTTCAATTCCAAACCTAAATCGAAAGGAAAAGACGTTTGTTCAGATGCTTTTAATTATATCCGCTCAACAATTTCAATCGATGCCTATACTTCATCGATTAGGGCTTCCACTATAAGATGTTTGTCAAGCTCTCAAAGATCTCCAAGCCTGCAATTATTTGAAACACCAGGAAGTAATGGCAATGCCACGGGCCATGAACAAGATTATTACTAGCGTCTAAACGTATAACGTCCTAGAGGGTATCTCTGAAACATTTATTCGACAGTAGTAAATACCCCCCTACTGTGAATTAAGAAAAATATGTGACTTTACCAACCCACAATACTATCAGCAGAATACGGAGCAAAACCAATATTATTTTTTCCATCCTGAAAATATATTGCTGTCTTGTGAATCAATTTTTGAAGCCATTCTAGCTGGTCATTTCGCATCACCTGGCTTCGAACGGTTGGCTCATCCAAATTTCCTCCCAAAAGAGGCCCATGGATTGGAGAGTACAGAACTTTGCAAGTCGATTCGGAAATATCCACTCGACATCCATACTGTTGCCTATAATGGTACTCTATGTTGAAACTTTCAATCTTGACATTTGCAAACTTCATGAGAGTCCGTCGATCGACCCAGGTATCGATTCTAACATGTAGAGACTCATCGCAAATATTGTCAGGGATCAAAAAGAATTCGGTAAGACGACCCAATTTTGACTGGTTTTCATAGCGGCAGGTTTTCATTCCCATTTGGTGATCTGGATAGTTCACTGGTTTAGTAACTTCTCGGACTATCAAGTCAGCCATTTCGTTTGGACTGGCGGTGGCAGTGAGCAGGATCTTGAAGTCCTTATTGTTGAACGAGAATGACAAGTCTTCTCGAATGCAAAGTTTCCAAGTGCGGTGCATAATGAGGTATTGCTCATAGTTAATTGCATACTTCATACAACCAGTATCTCTGGATACCTGCAACAGGCGGATGCTTTTTGGATTGGATAAAACTCTATAGAAAGCCTGGTAATTGGGCGGTTGGGTTATTCCACTAGACATAGAGAAATGTGTGGTAGGAAAATTGGGGAACTGAGGTGCAAATGTAACACCCATAATTTGCTTGTTGATCAATTAGAAATCGACTTCCATTTATGTTTAAGTATCTGCTTGGGAACCAGGTTGGAAGTCAGCTCATAGGAAATTAGCGAATATTCGAATATTCGAATTTCAAGCAAATGTGTGATTCACGGCACCCACCACTTAATCCAATACACAGATAGTCATATTCGCATGAAAATAGCTTGCATAAACGAACTTCTATGACTACTGTATGATGATCCTTTTCTAAAATCGCTTAACGAATCTACGTATTGTTTACGCACTTTCAGGAACTATGCATAACCGTGCATATTCTCGTCACAACCTAAGCAAGCAATCGCCAAAATACTCTTGATGAATAATACTATCTATGAATGAATTTTCCTTGAATGTTTTTTTTTTTAATCAGGAACTTGGCACGAAATAGACACCTGAGTCACTTATTTCTGCATGGACTTCGTATTGAACGGGATTAACAGGTTTGTGACACTGGTTGTGTGACCAAAACGCAACCTGCGTAGGTTCTAATCAAACCGTTGCTTATCATGATCTTAATTAATCGGAGTCGTACTGTGCTTCCATTAGTGGAATCAGGCAAATCCTCGTCGGTGTCATGGATTTCTCCGACGATAATCACATCTCTATGATTCAGGAGGATCTCCGAGAGATCTGAATGACAATTGCTTGTCAAAAAAAGATAGAGTCAGTGGTCAAACGTTCATCGAAAACTCAAGCATCAAAACACCGCATCTAAAAAGCCGTTAAGACTACGACTCATCAGAATGACTCTTAATACGTTTAGACCAATCCCCGAAGTTCATTTTCCACAAGATGCATCTTATCAGGCCGCGGTCATTCCGTCGGCACCTTGACTATGCCGCGGTACTCCCGAAGACTATCAATGCGGCATTTTGCCAATGCACAACTCTTCTATCAAGTCGGGGTCATTCCAGCTTGCGATCGCTACTGAGGCGCCTCCTTCCTGTTTGGTCAGTGCTTGCTGGTTTATCTGGTGTTTCGAAGACATGAATAGAGAAAGGGAGAGAAAGGGGGAGGATTTGGAGAAATTAGCAGTGATTGAGGTATTGGGAGGATAAACATACCAAAAAGACCACTACACCTTGGACCTTGAGGAAAGAACTAGAAAAGTGTAGACAATTGAGCTTTTTGACAATAGATGAATTGTCAGATTTAAAAAACAAGCTTCATTCATGACAAAGAGCCCATCAAATGATACAAGACCATAGAATCAATGTATATTTATACTCAAAAGATCCAGCTATGCCAATGGATGTGTTCTCCACCATTGAATACATCCATGAATTTGTAAAAGGAAGGACGTCTCAATACAACCAGAAAATCCTAACATGCGATTGACATTCAAAAACATCATCGCAATAATCAAATTCAGAGCTTTTTCTCTCTATTTAATGCCATTTTATCCTCCACTTTCATTATCCCATACATGTTAAACCCTTACACCAATAATTAACATTCCACCCCCACCATCCACTCTTTTGATAGCACACCCGTACATCCTTGAAATATCAACGGTTCAAACAATTTCGGATTATTGACACCAACCCATACAAATATGTCGGACTTAGAGGATGATTTGTTGGCTCTTGCAGGAGGAGACTCTGGGTCTGAGGCCGAGATGCTGGATGTGCCGTTGAAGCGCACCAGACCCGACGAATCTGGTCGGAAAAGAGCAAAAACTGCCAGCGACGAAGATGAAGAAGACGCCGGGGACGATGACGACGAAGAGGAGGAAGCAGACGAGGATTTTGCAGAATCAAACGACGTAGACATGGATGTTGATGATGAAGATGACGATGAGCAGGAGGAAGAGCTCAAGAACCCATATCCTTTGGAAGGTAAGTACAAGGACGAGGAAGACCGTCAATTGTTGCTTGACATGGACGAAATCGAAAGAGAACAGACTCTTTTCGAGCGTTCGCAGGAGATGGATAGGTACAACGAAAAGGCATATTTGCAGCAAAGATTGAAGCAGCAGAAACTACAAAATGTCGAGAAGAAAACTAGATCCAGCAGCAGAAAAACAGTGGCCACGGGCGCCAAGTCATCCAAGCTGGATAAGTTGAGCGAGTTGAGAAAGCAGAGAGAGCAGAAGAGCCGTCGAAGCGCTGCTGCTGACGATTATGAGGATGAAGAGGAAGAAGAAGAAGATGAGGACGAGGAAGAGGAACAGGACGACTTTGATGAAGGTTATGGTGACGACAACGAGGTCGTTTGGGGTAGCGGTAAGTCCCGGTTCAAGTCGCGGAGCCTAGAGAGAGCCACATGTAGTGACATCAACAAGGTTCGTGTTGGAAGAAGCTTTTTGAGTAAGTACCTTTACTACCGCAAATTTGAGGATGTGATTGTCAAGACTTTCGGTAAGATCAATGTGGGCGTTGACAGAAGAACCAGACGGCCCATGTATCGAGTTGTGCAGATCGAAGAAGCCATCAATAGACCCCAGAAGCAGTACAAACTTGGCGACACGAAAACTGATCTCTACTTGCTTGTCAGCCAGAACAAGAATCAGACAAAAGAGTTTCCAATATCTGTATTCAGTGACGGAGATATTTTGCCGGATGAATTCGATAGATATGTGCAAGAATTGGCAAAAACAAACGAAGACCTTCCTTACGCGGATGATGTCAACGACAAGGCACAGCAGCTCCACGAATTGATGAACAGCGGTCTCTCCAATCAGGATATTGACGAGATGGTTTCGAAAAAGAAACAAATGCTGAGCGGAATCCGCTCATACGACGCCGTGTACCAGAAGTCCAGAGTCAAGGACGAATTGAAAGTTGCCAAACAAGAGGGAGATGTGGCTCGGATCAAGGAATTGACCAACAGATTGCACAAATTGGAAGGCATTCTTCACAAGGACAATGAGCGGTCATCACATAGTTCGTTGAACGATATGTCGAAGGTGAACGAAAGAAATAGAAAGCTTAACCAAACTAACATCAGGAAGGCTGAGTTGAAGTCTTCACATTTGAAGAAGTCAACAGAAGCTGATGATGGAGATCCATTTTCGAGATTGAAGACCACCACCAGAATCTACTACGAGGAGTTGATTAACGAGGAAAACAAGAAGGCATTGCAGGATGCTCAGGCTAACTACGATAATATGATTGCCGAAAAGAACGAGCAGGAAGCCAAGATCGCCTCATCGACCTACAGAGTGTTGGGTAACTTCGATAAGCTTATTGCGCTGGTGGATGTGGACTACGTGCCGGTATTGTAATGATGCTCCAATGTATAATTAACCCAAATGTATGTACAAGAAATTTAACAAATGCCCAGTCTAATATAACTCCTTCATAATCTGGAGACGGAGCTCGTATCTCTCCTTTTCCTTATCATAGTCCTCCTCGATGTATTGGAGTGCTTTCTCATCGTAGTAGATTGAATTCTCGTAGTCGTAGTAAATCTCATTGGGGGCCAACTCCAGGTAGAATGACTGGATGGATTCGCAAGACGAAACACTCTCAACATCAGAGTTATACAAATTGAGTGGGTTCTCCAACATATAAGAGTCTTCCAGGCTCAAGGGCATACTGGTAAAATAAACCGAAGCATCCATCTTGACTGGGGCATCAACCATCTTCTGTTCAGCAGCAACAGGCTGAATAGACTTCTTGGCCATCTCCGAACGGTTTTCTGGAGATCTTGACCGGTGGAGCAGCAATTTGGAAGTTATGCGAGACAAGAAGTTGGGTCTTACTACATCGCAAGACTTCTTTGGATGTTGTGAGTTTTGTACCTCACATGGTAGGTCAAAGCTCACACTACCATCTTCGGTATTTTGGTAGTATACTTGGTTAAGTATAGAGTCGTATTTTGTTTGCCACATTGAAATTGTTAACTGATGATGGACTCAACAAGATGTTGCCATTCGGTGAGCTATATACCACTTGAGAACCACGGAGCCGTTTGTAAGCCACGGAGATTCGGAGACATCGCGACGGAAGTCATAGCATCCGAAAATGACCACGGAGCCGGTGAATTGTCTTGTCTGCAGTACGAAATGACATAGTGAGGTTCCGGTGAGCAAATACATCCGTAAGGAGCCGTAGTTCCGTATTCCAGAAAGCGGAAAATTCGTTGATTTTAGCGGGCTCTAGAAGAAAGTACGGGTGTAATATCAAAACTTGGTAGTCTTGAGCGGTTCAAAAGTCCGGGAGAGAATGCTAGTAATTGAAGAAAGAAAATGGATTTAAAGACGGCGGCAACAGACGCGGCTATAAAGAATGTTAATAAGCGATGAAAAATGTACGGGTGTATTATAGAAGCATGACAAATCGATTTAACGCCGCATTGCTTAGGAACAATTTTACTAGATGGACTGTATATAGATAGTTAGTCCCTGCATCAACAGAAAACCGAATAACGATAAAAATGTACCACCTGATTAACGATCACGTGGTTATTGATCATGTGATATTTCTCACATGATCTCCACTCTAGTGCACTCCTTGCCCAACTACCCAACTTCTTTACTCACTACTACTATTCATCATGGTTTCTGCCGAGTTCACCGCTAAAGTATGTTAATTGCACCTTTAAAGATGTTAATAGACCCACTAACCTACAGGCCGACACTGTTTCCAACTTGTCTAAGCGTCCATCCGACGACGAATTGTTGCAATTGTACGGATTGTACAAGCAAGCCACTGTTGGCGACAACGACACCGCTAAGCCTGGAGTGTTTGACTTGAAGGGCAAGTACAAGTGGCAAGCATGGGAGGATTTGAAGGGTACCACTCAGGAGGAGGCTGAGCAGAAGTACATTGCTTTGGCCACCGAGTTGATTGAGAAGTACAATTAGTTAGGAATGTATGAGAATACACCACGAGAAGATGATGTGAACTCCAGTATATGAGTAGATTGTGAGTAGAATATAGATGCATTATCACTAAATCATAAGCAAAATGGAATTGGCTTATTTGGAGTTCGTGTATTGGGTCTTTTGGATAATGTTGCTGTTGATGTTCATCACCAGGTGTCCATATGAATATGCGTACTGAGATTGCAAGAGAGAAAGTAATTGGAGACATTAAGCTAAACGAGATGAATACACTTAAAAAGATACATAGATTGGCTAAGTACGATTCTTCTTTTTTTGTATAAACGAAGAATTAATCTATACTTTGGAGGTATAATTCGTGGTGGCTGTTAAATGTTGCAATGTGTCCCTTAGTAGATTTGACTCAATGATCTAGCCAATTTATCAATCCAAAAGACGAAACAAATTAGAATTTATCAATCGAACATAATTGAACGGAATTGATTGACCAATTATCCCATTCCATTCTAAACTTCTCCTCTACCTACTCTCGTTTAGACTTCACCTGTTCTAACATTCTCATCACTCGCCATCCACAATCCACCATCATGAATAGCGGAATCACCAAATAAGGAACATAAAGAGCAAATAAATTCCATGTCTCCTCCACACTGAGCCCGTGCGCTTCGCCCTTATCGAGAACATACACCAAACACACCAAAGTTGTCAAGAACGCATTGAAGCCATATACCGTCATCACAACATAGATTTTGGAGCTATTGCGGGCTAAGGCTAGTGGAGCAACAAAGAAGATGGGCAATTGCACCAACATCTCGAACCAGCCAAACGTCTGGAGCCAGAGAGCAGGCTTTTCGAGAAGAAAGTCTTTGTTCATGTGCACATGGAAGTTGAACACAAGTTGTTGGACCCAGTACCTACTTTCCTGTGGGATTACAAGGCATGAGTCCACGAGGAGTGTGATAGGGATATGGACTAAAAAGTACCAGTAATAAAATGTGTCTCTTTTGTTCATTGTGGAGAAGACTGTATGAGTTGGAGGTGAGGTCAGTGTGATGTAGACAGGTAGCCATGAGATACGAAGTTTGACGAGGATTGGCTGGGATCAAAACAAAAAAAAAAAAAAAGAAGAGGAGTAAAGAGGAAATAGCATAAATCAGTTCTCAAAGAGCTGAATAGGTGATTGCAGAAATTATTCTGCAATTAATTTTTGATATCAAGTATTGAGATAGATAGTAATTAAATGGAAATCGAAAGAGAATTTAGGTGAGAAATGGACGAAAGGAATTCTATTAGAATGATAATTATATATGAAGAGGATGATGAATCATTTAAACCCCTCAAAGTTAATAACTTAATTAAAGGGTTACAGATTCAAGCACTGACGTCCCTCTAATCTCGAAAGTTATTGAGTTCGTCATATCTCCACATAGGGTCACATCTCCAAATAAGGTCGTACTCCAACGATAAGGTGGTCATGATAGCATAAATGACACCACTTGAAATGCCACAAGGAAATAGATATCGCCTTTATCCAGCCAATAGCAACGCTCTACATAGTCATTTACTTAGTAAACATAAAAATTTATTCCTAACCATTTGTATTTATGGCGTCCAGCACCATACCCAAAAATTTGATAAATAACATCCCAACTCTTAAGCTGCCTCATCTCCTTCGCAGATGACTGGCAAAAGAAGGTCGTAGATGTAGCGTGCACAAGAAAAGGAGTGCTCTTGAACACTGTCGGAGACGTTCTGACCTCCGTACTGGAAACAATACTTGCACTTGCACTGGCAGTAAGAACGACCAAAGAGTTCAGCAAACCGCTTAGCAGTCCTGAAAAGACAAGAAGTCGTTTGTACACCATCTGCTGCGGGTACAACTACACATTTTGCCCAGTAAATGGAGAAATCAGCATACTGTTTGAAGTTGCTCATGTGAGCACTCCAAACCAACCGAATATCCAAAGTGGGAACTCTCTGGTCATGTCCACCCTTGGACATCAACTCAAAGAAGTTCTTATATCTGATGATAGCTTCGTTCAAGCCCTTTTCCAAGCCGCCATGGAAGAGCCAGTTCAGGCTTTCAACCAACAGGGGTACCGAGTTGTGCAAAGCATGCGAAACCCAGTCGCCAGAAAGCTTAACACAATGAGGACCCACAGTAAGATGGACTAATGGCAGAGCGTTAAAAAACCCACTAGCAATGGTGAAAAGAGAGCCGGGTCCCGTGGATTCTTTCAAGTTCAGAAACTGGGGCAGCTCAGCAATCTTTTGTTTCTTGTTCCAGTCCGCCTTTGTCTGCAAGTGGGTCAAGCTAAAATGAGTAACAAAGGTATCGCCGCTAGCAAATCTCATATGTGGGCTCACAAACTGAGCTAACAGAACGGTGCCCAATTGGTTACCAGTGACAGGCGAAAAAACCGGATAAAAAATCGATGCGGGATTCAAGGGTAAAGGAATGTCGTAGTCAAGATCAAATCCAAAGCTGCGGACGATGGATGTGAAATTGTAAACACCCAAAGCATCTGGAGCGTAGGCAAACAGCTGATTGTCGATGCAATCACCAATACGGTCCAATGGAAACGGAACATCCAAGAATTGGATAAAACCATTGTGAGCAAAAGAAGCGTAGCATGCTGCGGGAGATTGCAAAAGCGAATGCCACACCCACAAAACATCGAGGGGAGGCATAACGTGAAGCACAAGACGAGAGTCCAAATGTGCTTGCAATGCAGATGCGAAAATAATAAAGCGGCGGAACGCATAGGTGACGAAACTTGGCCATTCCAAGGAATCAACGCTAGTGAGAAGGATTGACAAAGATTTCCAGAACTTCATCAAAGCAACAAGCTGATGAGGCAGCGGTACAGCAGGCATAACTGAATGGACCTTGAAGAGCAGTTCGAGTGGTCTGCCGTTAGAGATTGCAACGAAATCACGCAGCTGCATTGGGTGATGCATCGTTGATTGAGAGTTTGATGATTGGGTGCAAAATGTCAGAGGTGAAAAATGTGGAAAAGCTAAACCCTGAATTTGGAAAACAAGGTCGATAAGGAGTGAAGTGAACTTCACTTATGGAGGCAGATCAGTCCCTACTTATATAGCCCGAGATAAGTAGGTTTGCCCAATAACCACCGCAAATGGGCTTATCCATTAGCTCCACTTTAGCGATAGTTAGTGCCTGCAATCGAGCGTCATGTTCAGACATTATACCGGAGGCTCGGCTATAGGCGGCTGACGTTGCCGAAGCCACCTTTTTGGAGTAAATTTGATGACTGTTAACCGCAAGTGTCGCCGAACCAGGAAGACTGATAACGACTCGCCGTGGCTCTGCATGGAAACATCGGCGCAGGCCTGATGACTCTCTATTTTGAAGTGCCATGCGGCTGCACGCAGGGCTGGCCAGGGGCATGACTCGTCGCAAGCAGGACACACAGATTCAACCACCAAGCTTGGTCACTCCAAGCCTCGATTTCCTGTGCAATGGAAGGAGTGAAACCAAAAGTTGAAACACAATGCTAATCTGAATATGTCTGGTTAAGAGTGCCCAATTGAAATGGGTCATCCCCAGTTCCTGCGCAATGGGGGGTTTGTGATCACGAAAACGTATAACAAAATTAAACCCCATTTGATCACATCTGGCTAAAGTATCTAACCAATGAGATCACTTCAAAAATATGCACGTAATGTTTTCTCTCCAAATAGTAGACATAAATGGTGCCGCAAATTCTTCCGAATCTCGGGAACATCAGTGACCCAATTTCAATAACCATAATAAAAGTGGTGGTGGTCTGTAGGTGAGACAACCCACCTTTCTTTCTCGGTTTAATGGATATGCAATTCGTAGTTGAACTGCTGACCATCTAGATTTGCCCACGTGTTTCTCTAGCAGCCATAGGTTCTGATCAATACCCGTTGAGTGACCCCCATGAACACACTCATACTGCAGGTAATTACAGTATTTCGATACAGTCCGCGATGTCAATCATCTGCGATGCCTACTGGTTTTCTCCAATCATCAAAGCAATAGAACGCTCCCAAAGCAATGTTGCAATTTCTCACTTCACGTTTGTTTCGTAAGCCCTCTCCTCCAATCAAGTCTACTCCAGTCAAACGGAAGTTGCAGACAGCCATCTACAAACCTCTCGTATGGATTGACTGCGAGATGACTGGTCTTGACGTGTCCCAGGATCATATCATTGAGATCTGTTGCATGATCACAGACGGAAACTTAAATTTAATTGACGAGGTCGGTTATGAGAGCACGGTGTTCGTGCCTAAAAGGGTCTTGGACAATATGAACGAATGGTGCGTTAACCAACACGGAAAATCCGGCCTTACTGCAAAGGTTTTAGCTAACCCTCAGCAGACGTTGGCCAAGGTCCAGGAAGAGTTACTTGAGTACATCCAGTCGTACATTCCTGATCCCCGGACCTCGCTCTTGGCTGGTAACTCCGTCCACATGGACAAATTTTTCATGATGAAAGAGTTCCCCAAGGTCATTGACCATTTGCACTACCGTTTGGTGGATGTCTCTTCTATTATGGAGGTCGGCTACCGTCATAACCCTGCTCTCATGAAGTTGTTCCCAAAGAAGCAGGGCAGTCACACTGCCAAGTCTGACATATTAGAGAGCATCAACCAATTAAGATGGTACAGAGATCACTACTTGCGTAGCGATGTGCCAGATGGTTTGAAGCTTCCTGCTGATAGTAAGGCTCCTCGGGCCGATGAGTCGGAAGCCAAGCAACCACCAGCCAAGAAGCAGAAAAAGTCGCAAAATGTCTCAAGTGTCTCAGGTGTAGACAATGTTAGCTCGTATTCGCAAGTCGCTGAGAGTGTGTCCTCGCACAAGGTCACGGTCGCTGAAACAGTGGCAGAGACCATCACCGTCGGTGAGGACGGAATTACTGTGGTTGAGAAGATTAAAATTACGGAATCCAGCTAGTGTCTCCACTAACTGGATATACCAATTTTATATTTATTCGTACACAATCGTTCACAATTGTTCCCCTTGAATTACTCGTCGGGGTCAGACTCCACCGCCACGTCATTGGCCACATACTTGGCAATAACATTCGCAATCATCGTGCTATCAACAGGCTTTTCGAGAACATCGTGGAACACCCCCAGTTCGAGGGCCTCTTTTGCAAATCCAGTGATTGCAATCACTGGTGTGCTGCTATTAACACCGCTAGTGTTTTGAATCAATTTCACCGCATCAATTGCTTCTATCTTGGGTAATCTTAACGCAGTAAATATCAAATCAAAGCGTACCTGACTCGTGGCGCGCCTAATCAAACTATCTCCGTCACTGACTGCCACAACAATGCATCGGTTTTTCTCCAAGAGCTTGGCAACCGTGTGACGTACTATGGGGATGGGTTCACAGTACAACACATCCAAGTCAAAAGACTCACTTTTAGTAGAACTCAGTACAGACATGGGTATAGATGTACTTCCCGAGCTGTTAGTATGAAGCAAACTTCCTCTTCTCTTGTGTCTCATCAATGCAGTCGAATACTCTTCATTGTCTGAGCTTGGAGGTGATTGAATCTGCTCACTGAAACTCTTGTGAAGAACTTGTCTACTCAAGGAAGGAGCAATTAATCGCGGCCTTCCTTCAGTTCCCAAATCAAATGATCCCCTTTTCGAAAGTGTCTTTTCCTTGCTTGAGGGAGTCGAAGCGTTGGCCACTGGAGAGACAGGACGCTTGAATGGACTACCAGGATTCACAACAGTAGATGAAATAGACAGACCTCGAGACTTCGTGTAACCAATGGGGATGCTTTCCGATGATGAAGAAGAAAAACTGCCCCGGTGCTCCAAATGTTCAGACTTCAACCTATTAATTACATCCTTATTGGCCTTTTCCAACACATTCAAGTTTCGGAAATGGAACGACCCAAACTCGCTTGCATCAGCCAACTTGCTTCCTCTGCGTTCACGTTTCATCACTGTTGGAGTTGATGGCAATGACAAATTCTGAGTAGGGACATTGTTTCCAAAGTAGCTCTGCGTGGATTCCTCTTTGGCAGATTGAGGTACAATGATTTCCTCGTCAGAGTCGTCTTTCGGGAATTGTGAGATATCAGCACCTCTTGAATCAAAATAATCTGTGGACTCTGGATCGTCCACCATTGGAATGAACGAATCAGGAGCCTCATAATAAAGGGTATTCCAGTTGATGTCCTTAAAATATGGATGGCTCATGATTTCCTTAGCCCCTCCATAACCTAACCTATCTTCAAAATTTACTGTTAGAAGACCTTCAATCAAATCCTTGGCTTCAGGAGGACATATCTCGAGCTCTTCTTTCTCACTGAGTGGAGGCCAGTCAATCTCGCCCTTGAGAATGTTCTTGAATACCTTTTCCGGGGTGTCTGCGTGGAAAGGAGGATATCCGAACAAGAATTCGAACAAAATGCAACCAATTGACCACCAGTCAGAATATTCTCCTTGGACAGCTCCTGAGATGGTCTCAGGAGCCAAATAATCGGGTGTGCCAACAAACTTATTGGTTTCAGTATCCTCATTTGGATCATATAAAACAAAGTTATCTGCTTCTGTCATTGGCGAGTTCATGGAACAATCATCATCAACGATTGCGAATGATGATTCCGAGGAAGTTCTAGGTAAAGAGGGATGAAAACTAGGGGACTCGCTGCTGTTGGACTCAGATCTAGTATTCTTGGTAGTCCGTAATAGCGACCCTGACCGCTTCTTAATGGGAATACTAGACAGAGGAGATGAATCATAGGACGATATAGAACCCAGATAACCATGCGAAGTCTGACGGAACTGGTCCGCAGCAGGTGATAGCGAAAATGGAGTCACCGACAGCATTCGCTTGTGATGATAAGAAATAAGCTCCGGTGAATCCAAAGGTCCACTCGATCCCAAGACCAAAGGACTCTGTGCGTTATGAACGCTTTTTCTGAATAGTTCAATAGCATTTTCTGAGGTACTGCTCTTCCGGTGTCGACTTGTCTGTCGTCCAACAACTCCAACCTTTGAAAGACCGAAATCCGTCAATTTCAAGTGCCCAGCACTATCAATCAACAAGTTGTCTGGTTTCAAATCCCTGTGGATAATTCCACGGGAATGGAGATCCTCGACACCCACTATAACTTCTGCGATGTATCTTTTTGCCCATTTGTCACCCAAAGTTCCTAGCATTTTCACAAGGGTGGCACAATCGCCACCATTCAAGTACTCCATCACTAAGTAAAGATAATCTTTGGATTGAAAACTGCTGTAGAGTTGGGCAACATAAGGAGAGTCCGTTTGTCTCATCATTACAGCTCTCTCGGATCTGACATTAAGAACCTGGTTCTTGGCAATCATATCTCTCTTTCGTAAGCACTTGATTGCAACATAATCTCCTGTTATTCTCCTTTTTGCTAAGAACACGGAGCCAAATGCACCCTTACTGATTGCCTTTATTATTTCATAATCTTTGATACCACCGGTGGTAGATTTCTCCTTTGGTGTTTGAGACACAAGTAATGGAGACAACGGAGGCTTCATTGCAGTGAATGAGCTCCTGTTTGGCACAGTTGGTGTAATTACAGGGCTCTGGCATGATGCCATCATTGCATTTGCATTCTGAGCCGTCATGGGTGGTAATGAAAGATTGGTAGCAGAACCCTCTCTCTTCACGGAAGTAGGAGTCAATACCGTGGGACTCAACAGGTCATTCGATTCATAGACAGGAGCATTGGCAGGAGAACCTAATGGTGGCAGTTCGAGACGATTCTGATTCTTGACATTTCTTTGTAACGTTGAAAAACTTTGCTTTTCCACGTAAGGAGCAGGCGAAAGATGCCTTCTTGGAGAGGAAAATGAAGATCCTCGAGAATCCGACTTCTTTGAGAGATCCAAGTCATTCATTGAGTCTGCAACATCTTTTAAACGAGGATAAGACGAGTTCGGAGATAAAGACGACCCCAGTCGATTAAATTCTGCAGTACGCAATAGATCCCGTGGTGTGACCGATTGGATTGGAGATCGCCTATCCAAATCTTTATAAAGGCTATCATCAAGAACTTTGGAAGTTGGACTTCGGATTCGAGAGGGTTGCGGAGAGATCAATTTGCCTTGCTGGGCAAGCGGCAGGCTTATGGGTATCATAGAAGGAGGCGAGATCATCGACTGTGGAAGAAGTGGATCGGAACTTCTTGCACTTTGGTTCGAGCTCCTATCCACCGAAGAATTAGACCTTGATCTCAAATTGGAAAACCCACCTCTGAGTTTGCGGTCTGCATTGTTATCCATCTCAATTGTCTTCTCTCTGAGCCTGGCGACTGTTTCCTTAACAGATTGCAAAACATAATCATCCACCTCTTTCTTAATTTTGTCAGAATATTTGAGAATGGAGAGTAGTCGAGTGAGTATATCAACCTTATCTGTAACTAATTTCTGGCTGTCCTGGACCATTGCCCGGATTGCTGGATCAGAAGTTTCGAGTGGCCGCCAATTCATGACCAAATGGATAGCTCGCTCAGAATTAGGTGAGAACTGCAATTCTTCATTTTCATCCTGCTTATCTGCGGGGTTTATCAATAGGGCCTCGTCCAAAAATTCCAACAAACGATGGAGTATACCAAAGGGAAATTTCTTCGAGTTACGTATCGACAGTAATGAAGACATACTTTTTCCCATACTCGAATTCCCTCTAGGAGCATTCGTTGCTTCCGTGCTCATCGTCGGCAATGCAATTCCTTTGTATTCATTAAGACTTGGATATGAAGCCGTTGATGAAGAAGAAAGCGAGCTTGTACTGGATAATGGTGACGAAGATCCACTGGTGCTTTCAAATTGCTGACTCCAAAGATTCTCTGATATACGGACGATAAGATCGCGCTGGTCAGCAATCATGTCGTGACATAGTTGAAGTTCTTCCTCCACTTTATGCTCAAGCAAACACATTTCACTGTGCTTTTCTATGAACCAAGCGGGAAAACTTGTCTCGCAAATTCTACACAAGATAGTCTTCGGTTCAGGAACCGAACCTTCATCAATGATGCCCGCCTCTCTCAAATTTAATAGATAACCTTCAAATATTTCAGAGCCAAACCCTAGTAGATCAACTAGTGGGAGCGGAATGGTCAATTCTAAATCAATTCTCACAAATGGACGAATTGTCCAGATTGAATGAGTAGGTAGTCTCGTTTGGGGATCATGAATCATGATTCCCTGTGCTTCAAGCTCAATGACGTCTCCATTGTTGGAGACTTGAGAGCTGATTGAGGACAGCGTTTCATTAAGAGGCTCCAGAGCTGAATACTCCAAGGTATCGTAGCGCAGCGGGACAGGCATTCCAACATCGAGCTCGGTGTCAGCCAATGAAGGATTGGGAGAATGACGGCCAGAGGAGTCGCTCAAATCATCACAAATAACATCATTGGTGGCAGTGACGAATTTGATTTTATATGATGCATCGTCTTGGACCATTTGTGCCACAGCGTCATTGAAAACATGTAAGTCGGCATCCGTTGAGCCTATGAGAATGTTGGAGATTGGCTTATTCAAAATTTTCTTGATGGATGTACCTACGAGCGACTCCCAGTTCTTGCTAACATATCGGAGATTGCAATCCATGTCCAACTCGATCACCACAGTGGGGTTATTACTGGAAGCCTGGCGTAGGTCGAGCTGGTCACTAATTGAAGGGTTGACGGGAGTGTTGGTTTGCTCAAGAAGAGCAGGAATCTCACAAGGAGAGACAGAGCGTTCAAGCTCACGTATTTGGGCGTCCAGGATGGTAAACCCGGGGTTGTGGAACATGTCTGGGTGGGGGAGGTGGTTGTTCTCCATTGCGGAGTAAGATGATTGGAAGATACAGAAAAAGGGGAGCCCTTTACTGAACCAGACCGCAGATAAGGATGGACAGACAATAAAGACGGAAACCCCGACTAACCGCAGCAGTATGATTTGGCGGCAAATTCACTGAGATGAGAAATGGCACTTACGAGTTTCGGTGGTAAGAAAGTGGGATTGAATCAACAATCCTGGAGGATTCTGTATGCATTCCAGACCTGCCAACCATGCAGAGTGGGCCAGTGTTATCATGCATTGGGGAATGCTGCAATAAACTGCAAGCGGTCCCAAGCACGAAAATACGACAAGTGCTGGCGAATAAGAGGGGTGTGAGGTGGAAAGTATTTAAGGAGGCCCAAATCCAGTGGTCATAATTGCTCGCGAATGCTCTGGATATATAAGTTGTAGTTACTGGTATGAGAGGTGCGAACTTTGAAATGGAGAATATGCGTTGTGCGACTTGGGACAATGCACCTGTACGAACGGCGTGCTAAGTTTAGGGAACGAAGGTGTTCCGAGAAAGAATGGAAGTGGTTCCGAAGGAGAGTAAAAGCTTCTGGAAAACACGTTCTGGAAAAAGCACAAACGGGATTGAGACAGTTGCGCAGTAAGGATAAACTGGTTGGTAGCTGAAAAGCGCAGTAATAGAGATATCGGAGATAATGGTCGCCATCCACTGAGTCAGAAGGATGTAGTGGATCAAATGTTCAAAGTTGAAAAAAAAAGAAAAGACAAATTGGCAAGGCTTAGAAAATATCATCAGAAACTCTGCATTATAGATTTTCAGATATTCTCGGAGCTGACGGTGAAAAGAAAAAAGACCAGGAAAACTGGAGTACCATACAAGACAGTCACACCAATTGACTACAGATCGTTCAAAGAGAAAGAAAAAAAAAAAAAAGGAAGCGAGCCTGAGGAAGTAAGAAGCTGCTAAAAAAATACATTAGGAATGGTCTTGTGTGACTTCTCGTTGAAGGATCCGAAACGATTGCCATTGTTTGATATTCACAAGTATGGGCAAGTATGGGCAAGTAAGGGCAAGTGAGGGCAAGTATGGGCAAGCACTGGTAGACTCTTGAATGTATTGGCAAGCATTGGTAAAAATTAACGACACTTGTCAAGCATTGACATTCAATCACGATCCCTAGTCATTTCTCTATTGCACAATTAATTCACACAATGACAATTAGAATGACTCATAGTACTTAACGACTATGCCTCCAAATGCAATCGTCTAACTGCTACTCTGACACAACCTATGACGAGTCTACCAAAGTGTCCCTTCTTGACTACATCCTACTCTCCTTTGACCATCTGAACCAATGGTACCACCCCTCACCAATCACATACCTCCTCAGCACTCTCTCATAAGTACCTTCATTTCAACATACTGTTGCAATGCCTATTAATATACATGAATCAACCACAAGAATTAAACGTGTCTCGCCGGACACCCATTAGCTGGAGAACCGAGTTGGATCGGTCCCCCAGTGTCGTAACGTCGTTAAAAGTTGGATTTTAATCGATGCTAATGCTCTTCGCCTAGTTCGTGAACGTGAAGCTCGAACCGCCTAGAGAACGCTTCTTGATCGACTCAAGCAAGTTGCAGTTCTTCTCTTCGTTCTTCTGCAAAATCAACTGCTTGAGACACTTGTTCTCCATTTCCAACAGCTTCATCTTCTTTTCGAGGGTAGCCAACTTCTCCTGCAAGTCCCGAGCCTGCTGCTCCATCTGCTTCTCCTTCAACTTCTTCTTGATTCTGAACCGCGCGCTAGCAGCCGTGTTTCTCTTTCTCTTGATCTCCCCCAATTCTGCTTGCTTGACTTCGGTGACTTCTGGAGTGCCAGCAGCAAAGTCCTGGAACTCGGTCTTCTCAACATAAAGGCTTGGCTCCATGATTTCCTGCTTGACTTGAGGAACAACATTTTGTTGTTGCTGTTGTTGCTGGATCTCCGAGTTATGTTGCTGCTGCTTGGTTTCTGGAGCAAAGTCACTCAGGAACACATCTAAGTCAAAAAACTCCGACTGAGAGAACAAATCCAAATCATTGGTGTTCCCTTCTGGTGAGACGTTGGCGTCAAAGTCGAAGTTCAAGTTGGCCAAGTAGTCTGTGGCCTGAAAGTTCATGGTGTGACAAAGAAGTGTGGATCCAAAAGATGTGGTGGACTTGTGTGATTTGTAAGTAAAAATTTTTGCGCCGAAACCGGGGCTGCCCGCTTTCGGTAAGGAAATCCCCTAATAATTAGTCATCCTTTTGGGTATAGCACGACTTCGTGGCCCTTCTTCCTGTTTGTAGTAGCTCATAATTCCGTTAGTGCGCTACTGCGAGGTCAAATTTGGGGTTTTTTCTGGCAGATTACCAAATTTACCGGTACCTAGATTGGAACGGGCTCGAATAAAAGCTCTCTTCCGGTACAGTTACTAAGCTCTGATTTGCGCAGGGGACTTTATTGCCTACAAAAGCAATGCTAGTCGTCGTTCTGAAATGAAACTTATCCTTTGTCTCTTCTAGTTTATCCGATGCATTCTGGATGCTAAAGTGCCATATAACTTTGTCGAGTTCTGATTTTTTTCTTCTTTTCGATTTTTTCGTTTTCCCTGACTTCCGTCCCTGTCCCATATAACCCTTTGTATCTTTTTAGTTGCTGTAGCCAGTCTAATGGTTGAGAGTGTCAACCAACAGCTTCAAAACGAGAGATTCTCCACTGTCTTTCTTGCTGTTGGACTCCTCATCTATGCGTCCGTCCTGGTAGTGTCTTGGAACTACATGTTCGCGAAGATTATCATTGTGCAGCCGGTACACAGGCGATTCATGATATGATGACTGCCGTTCCATGAACCCTCCAGGGGCAATGTGGTTGTGAAGTTTGTTGCCCTGGTGGCTTGTAGTGATTGGTGAAATTTGCGTCATGCGCTGATTGCCGTTGCCTGTTCCATGTGGTGCACCTTCTTCTCCAGTTGCACTGTTGGAGTTGTTGCTGTTTACTCCATGGCCACTGCTATTCCCGGCCAGTCCATTTCTTCCATGGCTTCTCCCCAGGTTGGACCCTCTGGAACCTTTGCCTTTTTGGTGCTGTGGCACATATGGGATTCCATTTACAGCACACATCCAGATTCTTGTCTTGTAGATGCGGAATAACTCGCGAACAAGATCACGGAAGTCAATCCGCTTTGATGTAGAGTAGTAGAAAATGAGCTTCCGCCGATCGAACTGGTACTCAGCGTCAATTAGCTTGATCTGCATCAAGTCCGTCGACGTCATAGTGCTGGAGCTGTCGCCAGAGCTCAACATATTGGTGGTAGATGCAATCTTGGCCAAACACAACCGGCAGGCTTTCTCCTCATCTTGGTTCTTGTTAAGAATTTGCAAAATCTCGTTCGGTTGTGCCAAAGAAACAACGGACTTTGGGAAATGCAAAGTCGGAGGTGGATTTGCACCGTGGTGGCCGTGATGTCCACCTGTTTGAAGTGACCTCACCGAGATGTCATTCACATTAGAATTCTCACTTAGAGCAGCCTGCTGCTCCAAAAATTGTAAAAGCTTCAAAAGTCTAGCCTCATCAATGGAAATATTCATTTTAACCACTTTTCCCAAATCCCGACCGCGGTCTGCTTCTACTATCACTAAGTCACCAACTTTCACCAGCTTGAGTTCTTCCAGACTTTCAGCGATGTAGAATACATCAATACGACCAGCTTTGAACCCCACGAGTACCAACTGATAATTCCGCAACAGCGTTTCTACTGGAAACTTGGGAAGTTGGTACAGCTCCCCTAAGTATTTCTCCTCATCAAAGAAACGTTGTTCCAAATATTCCTTGGTTACCTTGACTCTTTCATGTGGATCTTCCGAAAAATATTGATAAACGGCTGAAAAAGCATCGGACTCTTCATGGCTCTCTGGTTGCTGTGGAGCCATATGGGGAGATTTGGTTGCAGGTTGATTTGGCTGATATGCCGGGATTGAACCCTGGTTGAGTTTCTGACTTCTAATTCCGAAATCATCGTTGTAGGAGTGCCGTCTAAAGGTTGCTGTGTACATAGTTTGGGGTGGTGAAGAATTCAAATTGACCCCATGCATGAAATTTGAACGTGAGCCGGGAGCAACATTGGAAACCGATAAGGGGGTGGCAGCAGACATTCTTCTTTGTCCATTGCCAGAATACATCCCCATGGGCATTCCATGCGCTTCCTGTGCTTCCTGAGCATATGAATTACGCCAGGGAGACTCGTTCCACAAATTCGGAATATTCGTAGGAGGTACAAATCCTCTGCCCTGATCCAGTGCTGAGAAGTAATTCAAGCCGGGCTCCATCAGAGATAAGTTGAATTCCCCAGATCCCAGCCGGGTGTGTTCTGAGCGGAGCATATTGTTTTGCATTCTTTGGGTGGGACTCCATTGCGAAGTTGGACTGGAACTCATACCACCAATATTCATATTTGGTCCGTTCAAATACTCTTGGTTTGGTTGTTGCATCATGTAGTCTCGATTTGCAATAGGAACATTGGACATGTGGCCAGCCATGTCATTTCGTCTGAAAGAAGCAGCATTCTCAGGTACCATGTTAAGATCCACAGGGGGATTACGGTCCGAAGGTGGAACAGGGGCCCATATGCTTGATTCGTACAACGAAAGACGGCGCCTGGAGAGTGGGTCATCGGTGGTATAGTTGTTCTGGAGGGATTTTTCAGGTGGAAACAGACCAAACATAATAATATATGAAAATTGGATGTTGCAATTTGGCAGGATCAAATCAGAATTATTGATGTGCTGGAAGCTTATAATGCTTTATATCTTTCAACTTTGGATGTGTAAAAATGATAAAGATTCAAATTTCCCAGCGATAATAAATAGGAAAATAAGGTGCCACTTTGAAACGAGTGTAGGATAAAATGATGTGACCCTCACCTGCATGAGCGCATGAGCAGCATATCCCCAGGTCCAGGATTATCATTCGACATATGGGGCAAGATCACAAGAGGTGTAGTGCGGGAGGGGAGAGGCGGAGGAGCTACCAATTAAGGGTTTGTGGTCAGACAATTCAGGAAGCAACATATCCACCAATCATCCTTGAGCTTTCCATGTTGGAGGCTAGTGCGGGTTAACCTTGAGGGGTTCGGGTCGATCGCTTTATTCGTTTCGTGCATGATCTTACTCCAAGTAATTGCTGCTCGAGGTGTTATGCAGGGTCTTAACCAGACATACGACACATATCTGCAGGCTCATGCAGTGATACTACATGTAACCAACAAGGGGAGATTCTAGTCGTTAACAGTTGGAACGTCGTTGAGGCCACTTAACAGACAAGCAGACGCTGAGGCGCGTTGAGGCATGGCAATAAGCACACTTGCAGAGTTTTCTGACAACGCTTGTTATTCCTTCTAGAAAGCTTGCTTTATTCACTTAATTGCCTAGTCGGCCAGAGAGTAGGTTGGAGTGGCCCAGTCTATTAGATACCAATGGCCAGACTCCAAAGTTTATATTGTGTACTTCAACTGTTTCTTTTTTTTCTTTTGTTCGCTCAATCCTCGATATTCCTTTGTATTTTCAGTTCCCCATAATTGCTCTTTAATTTTTCCAATGTAAATCTCAACAACCCTCTATTTCCTCAGTTTCCTGTTTTCAATTAGGCAACTTGGCTTGTTTTTTATTCTTGTTCCTTCCCTTTAGAATTCTTCCTTTTGTCGCGCACAATTTTCCTTTCTCCCTTTCACCAGAAAACCGTCATGTCCCGGAACTTTCTTTTTCCACCACTTTCCTTTTTCATTTCTCCAATGGCAATCTTGCTTGTTCACTTCCTCGTCCGCTCTGGCTACTTGATAATTGCCTAATTTCTGCCATTGTAATGTTGAGGCCTTACACTTCCTTGCTTAGAATAGTCCGTGGTACATTTCTACAAATTAAAGATTGGCAGGTACTTGAGAAAATACGCCATCATTTGGGGGGGACAGACTATTTATGGTTTCGCGCTTAATTGCTGCGTATTTGCAGCTTTCTACCGCCGCTCCAAGAATGCGCTTATTCTTAGTAGCTACCAGAACATCTTTCTGGATGATGCGATCTATTCTCTTTCGATAGTAAATCATCTTTTTTAATGCAACCTAATGAATGTCTTTGCAGAATCTGATTGTTGAACTTCGAAGAAGCTTAGTGTCGAGCGGAATATCTTGATTTGATGGGCGAGACTTCAACCTCCAGAGTAGTAAGCCATTCTATCCAAAAGGAAGACAACAAACATGAAAATAATTAAGGTTGACTATCATTAAATTTGGAATGGATGCTCGTCCGGTAGTATCTGAGACTTCGTGATGCATGTATTGTCACTGCCAAAAGGTTGGGACAATTATCATCACCAAACGGAATAGTCCTTCAATCTTTGCCAAAAAAAAATAACAACGATAGTAGGTATTCATTCATCAAACGCACTATTCATCTCCTTTTAATGTCCTCCAAAGATTGTCAAGCGATGTTTTTCTTGTTTGCTATTCTCCATTGCCTGGTTGTTGTACTTCTCTTCAAACTCACCGCGTCTACATCAATATTTTACATCATTTCAAACGTTGTTAAAACACAATTACTCGGCGAACTAAACTACTTCTGCTTCCATCACTGGTACTGTTGCTGGTTGGGCATGTTGCCATTGGGCATGTTACCAAAATACTGGTACGGGTCGTTATACCCGCCAGCCTGTGGCATGGGCAATCCCCCTTGGGGATGTCCCTGGCCCTGGTAAGGCATCCCGTGTGGCAAGTGAGCAGGAGGCAATTGTTGTTGCTGTTGTTGCTGATGCGCGGCTGTAGCAGCCTGGTGTTGGTGCTGAGGAACCTGTGCGTGTGGCACCTGCTGTTGCTGTTGTGGAGGTGCTGGGCTCTGGTCAGGCAGCTCCTGCGAGTTGCCATCACTCTGGTCTCCCTGGTCATCTCCCAAACCTTCCTCTGGTGCATTCAAGCACGCCTGGATTAAGTTCTTACCCTCAGACTTGGTCACCAATGGTTGCAACTTGGGCGTGGTGAAAGTGTACACAAGTCCAGTTTCACTAACAACTAACAACAAAACCTGAGTACCTGTCAACACAGACAACTCGTACGCCTTCTTCATAATACCTGCTTTTCTTTTCGAGAACGTAATATGTCTTCTAGACTTGTCTTGGATGAACTTAATCTCGATTTTTCTACGCTCCTTCTGTTGTTTACCCCCTGAAGGCTCGTCGTCGTCATCGTCGTCTGCTCCCACTCCGCTGACAGATCCCCTGTTAAATTGGGTGCCTGGGGCGCCAATCACTTCGTCATTCCCTTCCAACTTGGATGGATTCGTCACTTCAGACATGGCTAAACGTGTTAATAAAATTCTGCGTTGGTCCGCCGCCAGTACTCACAACAACACTGCTACCCCGCGGGATTAAAACTGCCATTGCTTGTTGGTTATTGCGTCCCTTGTCCACGAACTCGTTGGCTTCACGTAAGACACGACGAATATCAGTGCATCGTCCCTATTAGGAAGGTTGGCGTACCGAATTGGGTAACTGTCTCAAAAAAAACATCACCAACAAAGACGAAATAACCACCACGACATCTGGTCAATCCAACTGCCAAGACATTTGAATAATGTTTACCCAGTGGGAGATTGGGATTCAGTTCAAAATTAGAAGTCTATACATACTCGTTTGTGGTATTGTGAATGGCTTATCTTCTATACTATCAAAACAAGTTGGGGAAGGTTGAGAATTTAACTGTTTTTGGTGTTTTTGTGTGGTGCACGCTACTGTGCCGTGATTTACGCGTATCGGGACCGAAATTACCACCGTTTTTACTCAGTTACCCCCCATGCCACACATCATATTGCAGATGCATACACGAGTTGCATGTATTGGTGACTTACTGCCAGAATGCGGCGGAACTTAGCTTGCTGTAAACAAACATTCCTTATGTCTCTCGGTGAGGTGAATTCTAGGAGACAGTACCTTTTGACATATGTCAAAATTGAGACTCCGAGATTTTGTGTCAAACCTCCTCGCAGTATTTCGTCCTAATCCAGTAATTTGATTCTTGACTTAGTCATCTTCGGGCCTGATAGCAGCTAAACCTTCTTATGCAACTGTTCCCGCAATGTCTGTGTCATTACTTGCACTTTCAACACTCTCAACCGGATCTGAGACTTCTTCGATGTCATTGTTTATGACTTTCGGGTCCTCTTCTAATCTGAAGGTTGAGCCGTTGCCTTTCTGTTTCTCAGCTTCATCTCCTTCTTCTACTGCTCCTTCGTCGTTTCCATCAGCCTCTCCGGTCGTTTCGACTTTATCTTCATTCTTGATCTCTGGTGCTGGCGTCTCCTCGGGAGTTGGTACCACCAAATCTTCCAAAGTGAGTGAACAAGCAGTCAATGGCATAAGTTTGAGGATCTTATCGATTTCACCTCTCGCTACGCGGTAGGGAAAATTCTCCTGGGGCTTGTGAGCTGTCAATAATAGCACACGGAAAAGTCTAGATTTCGAGAACGCCACTTTAGGAACTTCACCCAGTTTGATGAGCTTCTCGACCTCTCGGAGCTCTGTTAATAACGTCTTCTCGTTCATTTCGACTTCATCAAGTAGCACAGGCGCTATTGTGCGATACTTACTTAGCAATTGTTTGTTGTAAAAGGTTAATGTGCTTGAGAGTTCTTTAGCCCTAGGGAACTCCGCCGAAAATTCTTTTTGCTGGTTTTCGTCGTCGAAAATGTAATCACCTGTTTCGAAGTCGAAGTCTTCTTCTCCGACACCCCAGTCAGAGTCATATTCAGGCTCAGAATCCATCGATGATTCATCCAACTCTCTCTCAAATTCTTCATAGTCAGCATATCCAGGATCATCGTCATCTGAAGTAGGCTTCTCCTTCGATTTGGCTGCTTTGGATTTTGTTGCTTTACTAGATGCTTTTGATTTGGCTGTGGCTTTCGACTTCGAAGTTGACTTTGCAGCCTTTGACTTAGCAGAAGCTTTCGAGGTTTTTGAATTTACCCCGCTCTTCTTTGGTTTCTTCTTCATAGAGATCTTGAGCTTTAATTTCTTTCTGGGAGGCTCATCTATGTCATCCTCGTCGACTTCGTCCTCTTCATTTTCATCCTCCATTTCCTCATCTTCTTCAAAGATATCTTCTGTCGTGTCTGGCACCTCTGGTGGTGGCCCCGCCGAGCCCCATCGGTTGAACTCAGCCATTTCCGGTGGATCTTGTGCCAACTTGTATGCATCGATCAACGTATCATGCTTTTTGGCGTTGGCTCGTTTGTCCAAGAACGTCTTGATTTCCTCCAGACTTAGTAGCTTCAAGTCGGCCGATTTAATCCAGATATATGTATCATCACTAAAAAAGCGCACAGGCACCACAATCACAGGTTGTTTCTGCTTCTTAGCTTGCTTAACAGACTTGGGTCTCATACTTTTTATGTTCTCGGGTAAAATCTCATATGCCAAAACCATTGCCGGCCATGCGCGGTACCCCTTTACTTTTGCTAAAACTATAGTCGTTGGAAGAAGTCCGAGCTGTTCTTGGAGCGTGTCAGGATCATCAGAATATTCGATAGATTTCAATGTTGGTTTGGATGGTGATTTCGACTTAGCAATTTCTTCGTTGGTCACGTCGGGCTTTTGCTGGTCATCAGCTTTCGGTTCCACGCCATTTTCGAAGTCATCTAGTGGGGATTCAGGGGCATCAGCATCTTTAAGCGATTTCTCCAGTGTCTCTTGGTCAGACATTATATACTTCGGACAATATTGTTGAATTTCGCGTTATAGAGACCTGGTCGTTGTGTGCAGCTCTAAAGGAACAAGAAATCATAGATAATACAGCCAACCTCCCATCAAGGAACGGAATAAAGATGATGAAAAAGCAATGGATTGGACAACGTGATGGAATTGAAGAGTTTGAAAAACTACATGAAATATGCCCGTTCATTTTCTATTGTCTACACTTGATCTATTCCACAATTTTGCAGCCTACCTCTCCTCAGTCCGCCTTCATTCCAAATCCACAAAAACAACATCACTTCCAGTGGAAGCAAAAAGATCATCTCCACTCCAACACACGGAGGCAACCAACCCTTCCCCGATTGTAATATCAGTTCGCAGCTCGTGTTTCCCATCATATTGAAACACATACACCACGCCGTTCTCACCTCCACATGCCACATCCACGCCTTTTGAAGTGGATACAACGTCACATTTGATTCGGTGGCTGAAACTTTCACCGGTATCAAATGAAAACTTATAGTCCGGCTCATACGAATCGACGCAACACACTCTTCCCGATTCAGTGGAGGCCACCACTCCTGATGTGGAGCCATAAGCCATCTTCAAATCCAAAATAGCATCCTTTCTCCACAATTGCCATGTTTCTTTCTTCTGGTTGCGGAGGTCCACCTTGTGTATGTCCCCGTCTGCTCCTCCACAGTACACGACCGATCCATCCACTACGAGGCCGTATAAGTTGTCGAGAGCTACTTTCTTTGACAAAATCGGAGACGAATGGTGGCTGCGGACATCAAATAGGCTCAACTCACATGCATTTCCGGCAACTGCTACCAAATTTGGTGTTACAAAGTCCGCACAGTTGGCAACATCCGTGGTTGCAAAGTGTCGGACTCTGCTGCGAGAAACCACATCCCAGAGCGACGCAGACGAGCCACTGGTGGCTAGAATGTTATTACCTGCAGCACATAGCGACGATACTGGAGAATGCGAGCATTTTCCTAGTGAAACAGATGAGGTCGGCTTATAGAGTGGAAACTTAGGCTTATCTAAACCCTGGATCTCCAGAGTGTGACTTCGCCCAAAACCACCCAACTTTGCTGCATCAATATCGAACTGACGAATATGTAAGCACGAGTCTGCATCGCCTGTAGCAACAAATCGAGGAGAGATCGCCACCAATGCGGTGACCATTTCACTCGTCATGTCTCGAAGGTCGTCTGGTGATGCTTTGCTGTCTGCAGGGATAAGGTGGCTGATAGGTAGGCCAAGGTGACAAGGGAGCACGGGCAGGCTAATCGGGGGAAAGGGGGTTAAGAATATGCAACGGATCCGAATTATCCATTTTGGCGCCTTATCGAGATTTCTAAGACTTGTGCTTTTCAAGTTCTTGGCCCGGGGCAATGCTCTTGATAGTATTAAACTTTCAGATACAGGGACCACTGAGGAAGTAAACACAGGCGCCACAGGATACTGAAAAAATAATAACCCCAAATGTATACGGACGATCTATAAGCGATCTACAGTAGTAGAGCCAGCCTCATGAAGGGGTGATAAATGCTTGGATTGGAATCGGAAACGTGGGAATAATTTGAGATGGAAATTTGGCAGCAATTTGAGAAGACATTGAGTCCAGATTTAAGAAGCAGGAATTAGAAATGAAATTGAAGAATGCATGTCGGACAAAACTGTGCCAGTTCAGAAGGACAAAGATACAATTTATGCCAATCGGAATATCCCGTTGGTGGCCCAATATTCGTTTCTCCTATCTTCACTAACGTGGATTTTTCCGTTGGTGCAGTTGGTGAGGTGGTGCAGCTGGGTTGGGTTCCATTTCGCCCCGGAACATCCCATTTCGGCCCTGCTGGCGCCAATTTGTTCGATCCCGCACCGTTCCATGCAGCGTTGGCCATGGGGTGCAGGTTCACTCTCCCCAACCCACTAATCCTCCCTTTGTTGAAAAGTTACGGACAACCTCACCATTGAGTCCCTTTGATCAATTGACTCGGATAAAAACATGTAAATCAATCATAGTGCCCTCCGGTGTTTCCAGCCTACCCGACACTCCGAAAATGTACAGCTAGGGATGTTATCAGCGAACTCCTTGTCCCGTCGCACTAAATTTATTGCCTGATGGCCATGCGTCAGGGCCAATACAGGAAATTTGGGGCCAGGGTGGAGCCGGGGATAGTTAATTATTCCGCAAGCAGCACTTCTGGAATCCATTAGCTTTTTTGTCTTAACTTCTTTTCTTCTTTTCCAATTCATCGCTGCTATCATAATGGGAGACTACTTGACACCCTCGGAGTTGCCTCATCCTAAATTGAAGAGAACCAACACCGGTTTCACACCCAACCAGATCATTGCCTATGACGCTCAGATTCCTGAGTCTGCTAAGAGCATTTGGAGCAAGTACTCCAAGTTGAAGAAGTTGGAGAACTTGTCGGAGCCGGGTCTGGCCACTATTGATAAAGATGATTTCGAGAAGAACTTTGTCAACCATGTGGAATTCTCTTTGGCTAGAAACATGTACAATTGCGACAACTTGGCTGCCTACCAGGCTGCTTCGGACTCTATTAGAGACGCCCTTTTGCTTGACTGGGCCAACACTCAGCAGAAACAGACCATCCACGACGGAAAGCGTGTTTACTACTTGTCGTTGGAGTTTTTGATGGGTAGAGCCATGGATAACGCATTGATCAACTTGGACTCGCGTGATGCTGCCAAGCTGGCCTTGACCGACTTGGGTTTCAACTTGGAGGACGTGTTGGAGCAGGAACCTGACGCAGGTTTAGGTAATGGAGGTTTGGGTAGATTGGCTGCGTGCTTTGTCGACTCCTTATCTTCTAAGAACTACTCCGGTTGGGGTTACGGTTTGAACTACCAGTACGGTATCTTCAAGCAGCTTATTATTGATGGTTACCAGGTTGAAACTCCAGACTACTGGTTGAAGTTCTCCAATCCTTGGGAGATTGACCGTCACGAGATCCAGATCCCTGTTGATTTCTACGGTTGGGTCGAAGTTGAAGTGGACCCAAACACCGGTGTAGGCAAGAAGGTCTGGAAGGGTGGTGAGAGAGTTTTGGCTGTCGCTTCTGACTTCCCAATTCCTGGTTTCAACACCTCTAACACAAACAACTTGAGATTTTGGAACGCCAAGCCAACCAACGAGTTTGACTTCAACAAGTTCAATTCTGGTGATTACAACTCGTCTGTGGCTGCTCAGCAGCGTGCCGAGTCCATCACTGCTGTGTTGTACCCTAATGACAACTTCTACAGCGGTAAGGAATTGCGTTTGAAACAGCAATACTTCTGGGTGGCTGCCTCCTTGCACGATATTGTTCGTAGATACAAGAAGAACCACCGTGATGATTGGTCCAAGTTCACTGACAAGGTTGCTATCCAATTGAACGACACCCACCCAACTTTGGCTGTGGTTGAGTTACAAAGAATTTTGGTTGACTTGGAGGGCCTTGCTTGGGACGATGCTTGGGATATCGTCACCAACACCTTCGCCTACACCAACCACACTGTCATGAGTGAAGCTTTGGAGAAGTGGCCTGTGCAGTTGATGGAGAACTTGTTGCCAAGACACTTGGAAATCATCTACGACATTAACTACTACTTCTTGAAGAAGGTGGAGCGTTTGTTCCCTGACGACAGAGAGTTGTTGGGCAAGGTGTCTATCATCGAGGAGAATGGTGTCAAGTCTGTTAGAATGGCTTACTTGGCTATTGTGGGTTCTCACAAGGTCAATGGTGTTGCTGAGTTGCATTCTGAGTTGATCAAAACCACCATCTTCAAGGACTTTGTTAAAGTGTTTGGCCCTGATAAGTTTACCAACGTCACCAATGGTGTCACTCCAAGAAGATGGTTGAAGCAGGCTAACCCGGAGTTGGCTGCTTTGATCGCTGAGGCCTTGAATGATCCAGAGTATGAGTACTTGACCAACTTGGGCCGTTTGAAGGAGTTGGAGAAGTTTGTTGACGACGACAAGTTTTTGACTCGTTGGGACAACATCAAATTCAACAACAAGAGAAGATTGGCTGCCTTGATCAAGTCTGAGACTGACATCGACGTTGACCCTAATGTGATGTTCGACGTGCAAGTCAAGCGTATTCACGAGTACAAGAGACAACAGTTGAACATCTTTGCTGTCATCTACAGATACTTGCGTATCAAGGAGTTGCAGGCTGAGGGTGTTTCCATTGAAGACATCAAGTTGAAGCACTACATCTCAAAGGCTTCTATCTTTGGTGGTAAGGCTGCCCCAGGATACTACATGGCTAAGACCATTATCCACTTGATCAACTCTGTTGGTAGTGTTGTTAACAACGATACTGAAATCGACAACTTGTTGAAGGTGGTGTTCGTTCCAGACTATAATGTGTCCAAGGCTGAAATTATCTGTCCAGGTTCCGATTTATCTAACCATATCTCCACCGCTGGTACTGAGGCTTCTGGTACTTCCAACATGAAGTTTGCATTGAACGGTGGTTTGATTATCGGTACTGTGGATGGTGCTAATGTAGAGATTACTAGAGAAATCGGTGAGGAGAATATTTTCTTGTTCGGTAACTTGGCTGAGTCAGTTGAGGAGCTCAGACACAACCACCTCTACTCTGGTGTTACTGTTCCAGAGAAGTTGCAGAAGGTGTTTGATGCCATCCTTTCGGGCCAATTCGGTGACCCTAATGAGTACAAGCCATTGATCGAGAGTATCACCAACCACGGTGACTACTACCTTGTCACTGATGACTTCGACTTGTTCTTGGAGTGCCAAGACAGATTGGAGAAGGTGTTTGGACACCATGGTGGAGATGCTTCTGACCTGGACCACTTGCACAAGTGGGTCAAGAAGTCCTTGTTGTCTGTTGCCAACATGGGATTCTTCAGTTCGGACAGATGTATCGACGAGTATGCCGAGAACATCTGGAATGTGGAGCCACTCAACCAGTGATTACACCATTAGATTGCTGTTAACGTTATTTGATTTCTGTTAAAGAGAGTGTAAGCAGAATCTGCAACGTAACTTTATCTTAACCTACTCAACCTACTTAATTCCAAACCTGTGAGTGTCCAGTTTGACGAATTTTTACCTTGACAACCTCTAAAATTTTACATTGACAACCTCTACAATTTTACAATGTCTACTTTTACTAAATTTTTGGTTTTCTGTTTCCAAAGCTTTACAATATCTGATTCTAAACCTCAAGTTCAACCTTTCCACTTCCACCCCACATGTGTATTCTCGCAATTCTGCATTTTGCACCCATTACTATTTTTGGAATTCTATGAAGATACTGACACTCAGGATGAAGAAAAACAAGACAACATAAAAGGAGCCTATCTCGGATTTTTCCTCCCGCTCACTCGTAAAACAATATTTTGAACATTTCGTATCGTTACAATTCGGCTCGATTTTTTGGCGCATTCCGGGAGGCAGTGTCAAATCCACTTCTCTGCAGAACCAACAGAACCGAGAATCAAACCTGCTACAAATACTAAGGAGTTGATTCATTGGATTCAGAGAATTCACACAGTGTGAACAATTTGGATATCATTCGACATGATATTCCGTTTTATTTCTTTTCTTCTCCTTGTGGAGCTTGTATTGGGAAACCCAATCAAGTTGGCCAAGTCGTCACTCTGGAATAGACGAGGCACCTCCAAAGACCAGTATTTGGTTACTAGTTTACCAGGTTTGACTGAGAACATTGCAGAAGAAGACCGTCCTATCATGTTTGCTGGTCAGTTGGAGCTTTACAAGGAGAACAACACCCACTACTTCTTCTGGAAGTTTGCTGATCAGAACAGAACTCCCGAGATTGAGAACAGAACAATTTTCTGGCTCAACGGAGGCCCCGGCTGCTCTTCGATGGATGGTGCATTGATGGAGGCTGGTCCACTTAGAATTAACAGCAATAATGAGGTGATTTACAATGAGGGCTCGTGGCACAAGAAGGGAGATATGGTGTTTGTTGATCAGCCTGGAGGAACCGGATTCAGTTATACCGGACAATATGACACCGAGTTGGACCAAATCCGCTTCGATTTCTTAACCTTTTTGGAGAAATATTTCGAGGTTTTCCCTGAAGATAAGCACAAGGAAATCACCTTGGCTGGAGAGAGTTATGCGGGCCAATATATTCCATACATTGCCCTGGGCATTCTTGAACGGAACAAACGTGTGAGCCCAGAGGAAAAGTACAATTTGAAGGGTCTTCTTATCGGAAATGGATGGATTTCTCCAAACCGTCAGAGTTTATCGTACTTGCCATTTGCTGTGAAGGCCGGTATGATCAGCACGTCCCACCCTAGCTGGCAAGACTTACTCGATCGTCATGTCAAGTGTCAAGATCTCGTTGCTGGTGTCAATGATGATGACACTTTCGGTGTCAGTAAAGTAGTAGATCGTGTGTGTGAAAGTGTTTTGAACTTACTTTTGCAAGTCACCAGAGACTATGCGTCACCAGGAAGTCAGCAGTGTTACAATATGTATGACTACACGTTAAAGGACTCCTACCCTTCATGTGGTATGAACTGGCCCCCCGATTTGCCAAATGTCAACCTGTTCTTGACAAATCCCGATGTCATGGATAACATCAACCTCGAACACAAGACCAAATGGCATGAATGTGACCAGGCAGTCAGCAATAATTTGAGGGCCAAGAATCTGCGCCCATCTATTGTATTGTTCCCATCCATTTTGCAGGAGGTGCCCATCGTGCTTTTCCATGGAAACAGAGACATTATTTGTAACTACATTGGAGGGGAAGACATGATTGCAGCGCTTAAATGGGGTGGCCAGCGAGGATTTTCAAAGGATATTTCCATCTATGACTGGGTATATGATGGAAAGGTGCTGGGCTACATTAAGAGCGAACGGAACTTGACGTTCGTTAATGTATTTGAGGCATCCCATATGGTGCCATTTGATATTCCCGAAACATCCCGTGCACTCGTGGATATTCTTTACGACAACTTGGAGGTTCGTCAAGAGGAAGGAAAGAAGCCCGAGATGGTGACTTACCCACTAGGATACTTGAAGTCAACCACCACGGAGGACCCCACAAAGATTGGCGTGGAGGAGCCACTTGTATCGGATGAAGCTTCCCAGGAATCCAGCTTGGCATCAGGCTTAAGTACCAGTTTGGAGTCCAGTGTACCTTCTGGAAATGCTACCACCAATGGAATGCAAGAAGAATCGCATACTAGTCGGATGGTCCGGGTGATTCAGCTTGCTGTCATTGTGGTGCTTGTATGGGGGATCTGTGCTCTCTACAACACTTACAAGTCCAAGCCAACATCGATTATAAAGACGAAGCCTTCCGGTCGCAAGAAAAATGTCCAGTGGGCTGACCAGCTAGAGGAAGAAGAGGAGCAGAAAATGCAGCCTGAGGGATTTATTCTGAAGGCTTTACACAAGCTCAAAGGCACGGAAGGATATGCCACAGTTCCTAATGAAGATATAGAATTGGGTAAAGTGAGTGTCGATGATGAATTCATTGTTGCTAGTGACGACGAGCTTGATCATACGCCTCTTGGGGCAACCTCGGGAGAGAGATCCCCTACTTCTCCTACATCGTGAGTAAGTTGTTCATCCTGCAAAAGATTAGTGGGAAGCAGCATAGTGACGAGATTCAATGAAGATGCGAAGAGGAATGATATAGTGTCAATGAGGAAAATAATAAGAAGTACAAAGGAATAATGAAACCAATGAGAGACCAAATAAAAATAGGAAAGATAAAAAAAACAAAAGTAAAAAAAAAAGAAATGATATGAAAGTAATATTCTAAGTTACAGTTACTTGTAATCTTGTATATTCGGCACGTGAGAAATCACGTGTACTTGATTCTCAACGAAAATTTGAACTCATAGGTAACATTAAACCACCATGTTTAAACAGAGTGTCAGAACACTCGCCACGAAAGAGCTTTCGGTGGGAATTCCCCCAAAGTATACATTGGCTTCCCTTCGGAGTTTTCCATCCTTGGAGCCTCACTCTTTCGCACCTTACCCAACCAAGTTCTTGGACTTACCCTTGAGAAGAGACTTCTTATGGAGTGCCGTGGTGTATGAAGCCGATAAGGCCCGTGTCGGCTCGGGATACGTGCCTACCAAAGGTGACAAGTGGTTTTCTAACCGTAAGTTGCACCCCCAGAAAGGTACCGGACGTGCAAGAGTGGGAGATGCCAACTCTCCAATCAGAGACAATGGATTGAAAGCCCACGGTATCAAGGCCCCACATGACTGGTCAACCAGATTGCCCCTGAAGATTTACAGTAGAGCCATCCGTACGGCGTTCAGTGAACAATACAGAAACGGTAAGCTTTTCGTGATTGGAGGTGAACAGGCTGGTGAGGGTGACGAATTAACCACGAATTTCAAGTACGAGTACCCTGAGCAGATTTCACAGTTTGTGGAAAAGCACCATTTGGAGCAGTTACATTTGCTTTTTATCACCGATGGCCAAAGAGACAACTTGTTGAGTGCCAGTGAAGCTTTGGGTAAGAAGTGCGATGTCTTGGTGAAGGAGGCAGTGGAGGTTAGAGACTTGTTGAAGGCCAACAGAATATATATTGAGGAGTCGGCGTTGAACTGGTTTGTGGGCAAGTACACCACGGACTAGGCATGTACATAGAAATGAAGAAATAGAGACCAGGTGTAAAGACGGAAATTGTATTTAAGAATGAAGTGAAAGACATGCTTATACAATTATTAAATCGAAGGATGATCTTTAGAAAACATTGATTTAAAAGCCAAGTGATTAGAGAGGCTTGGTTATTGAACATCTGAACTACTTATTTACTCAATTTACGATCAAGCTCACAAGACAATGTTGCATCTACTAGTGCTACACTTCTACTATCTCAAAATACTATTAAAGAACCTGTTTTCGATTCTGTTGAAAAGATGATGTGAAACTGAAATAGAACAATTTTTCAATTTGGCATCTTTGAGTATCTCTGTTCGAAGTCTTTGAGTATAGTCTGGCACTATTCGCAGCCATTTGGTTGATATTTAAAAATGGCATGAAAACACCCATGAATTCTCACAAATGACACGGTTAGCATTGACTTGATTCATTTCATCCAGGGTTCTCTTTGGAAAAGTTCGAATCTCGCAAAAAAAATTTGACTTCCTGATATGAATGTAGGTGTCTTGTAACTACCTTAAGTCATACCTTCAGTCATATCTTCTCCAACATTCTCCAATAGCGCCACAATTCAATCACACTGAGTATATCTCTGCTTTCTCTTGATTCTCTTTCTTATAAATCCAATCTGCTCATAATCTATGTGACTCTCTATTTACCATTTGTCTCTACAGAACCCTCTAATCGCCTCTCCATTTCAGTTACGTAATATCCGGTAATCCTATCAACTTTTCTGTCTCGCGATTCAGCCTTTATCTACATCTACAAATAGTCTCACCTCGCCATCTTTATAACCATGTTACAATCTAGTAGCTTAATTTTCATTTCGACATTGTCTAGTTCTCGATGAGAGTCGAGCCTGATCACGTCCTGGACACCCTCCATCCCACACCCAAACTTCTCCTTTCAAAAATTAACAACCAATGTCTTCATTATTCCTTAATGATCAACTGAATACACTTTTATCTCTCTAGACTTTCTTTTTCCAATTGAATTCTTATGATCTTCCATCTTTTAGGGCATATGCCCTAGACTCCTCAGATGCACGTGACAGGCTTCGCGACCTCTGCCCTGCACACTCTCCACCCACTCCAACCTCGCAAAAAAAAATTTCTAGCCTTCGAAATTCCTTCTTCTACTACACAATCCAAGTACCAAAATGTCTTTAGTCGTTCAAGAAGACGGTTCGTTCCAGCACATTTTGCGGTATGTGTTCTACAATTTCCAATCCAACCAAGCGTCCGGCAGTCATTATCCCTGAGTCCATGAATATAATCCAGAAGACCACGAAGAAACTGATGAAAATTGAAGATTCATGAATTTGATGAACAGAATTGAAGGATGATTTGAAACAGGTTAATTGTTTTAAGCTGATTTAATCATTATCTGCTTTTTCATCTACCGCTGGTTCATTTTCGTCTGCATTTCATGTACAATTTTCAAGTTCTTTTCATCCACTTTTTCATCTACATTTTCATTCATTTTAGCTTCACCTCCCTATCGCCGGAATCCTAAACCTATACTAACAGTCAGTTTGTTGAACACCAACATCGATGGTAGAATCAAGATCATGTACGCCTTGACCAAGATTAGAGGTGTCGGTAGAAGATACTCCAACTTGGTCTGCAAGAAGGCCGATGTGGACTTGAACAAGCGTGCCGGTGAGTTGACCCAGGAAGAGTTGGAGAGAGTCGTCACCATCATGCAGAACCCAACCCAATACAAGGTCCCAGCTTGGTTCTTGAACAGACAGAAGGATCAGGTTGACGGTAAGGACTACCACGTCTTGGCCAACAACTTGGAGTCTAAGTTGAGAGATGACTTGGAGAGATTGAAGAAGATCAGATCCCACAGAGGTATCAGACACTTCTGGGGTCTCAAGGTCAGAGGTCAGCACACCAAGACCACCTCGCGTGGTCGTTAAGCTTCCATTTGGGGGTGTTATACATTACACATGTAATTTAATTTACGTTACTATCAGCGAGTGTAGAGAGTGATATGAGCGTTTCTAGTAACTTTGTATTGTTTCAACTTCAATTTCAATTTCTGCCTCGGGTGGTGGGTTTGCTTTCCTGTTTTCTCTACCTCTGTTTTCATTTCATTAAAGAGATAGTCTAACATTTTTCCATGTATTTCATTCATGTCTAATGATTATCTTTACGACTAGTAATTTATCTTTCTTTTTATATATAAATCTGCGTTATCTATGACAATCTTTGGTGCTACCAATTCCTTTTCAAATTGTATATTCATCTCGGTCATAATGTGTCTGTATTCACTTTTCCATCATTGCTATGTCACTAATCTCCTTCACTTCAATCATAAAAAACGTTTTGATTATTTCTACTTCTCTACTTCTCTCCAAATTCATGTTATTCCGGAACATCTTTTTCTCTATTGGATCTACTATCTCTATGTCTACCGTTTTTAGTCATTTCTGTCAATTCAGTCACTTCAGTCTCTTCTTTCTCTTCTGTTTGATGACTCCAATGATTCCTTACATTTCCATAGCGTTCAAATTGTTTCTATAAATCGTTCTCACTCCCCAGCTATTTCAAGTTTTATACTTTTCACCTCACATCAAAATCTCATATTTTTCTTTGCCTTCATCTTCCCTCCTGGTCTTATCCTTTGTCAGCCTGTACAAATCAACGCATTTTGCAATCGATAAGATCACCTACTCATCTCTTCACGAATACCTCTAGTTTTTAAAAATATTGCATTGTTTGATTCATATTCCAAATGACGAATGATTCCTATCTCTCAGGAAGCGACGAATCTGCTGGTGGTGGCTTCATTGTTAACGACCCAGACAGATCTCGTAGAGGTCTGAGAAGAAAGGCTGGCACGGTGAAATCATACAAGGAAGAGTCGGAGGATGAGAACGGAGGCGTTGCAGCCACTAGTACTGCTCTGAAGTCAAAGGGAGCGCCTCGGAAAACGCCTCAGAGACGTGCTACACGCGTCAAAAGGAAGCTAGAGTCCGATAACGAGGACGAGTTCACTTTAAGTGGTGATGGAAAGAGTGATGATGACGACGACGACGACGCTTTCGAAGTCAAGGAACTCAAGGATGAAGATGAGGACGATGATATTGCTCTCATCAGCTATTCCCGCTCAAACGAGGGCCAGACACTGGAAAACCCTATAGACCTTGATGACGATGAAGAAGAGCAACTTCTCAGCGCGTCGCCACCTCCCAAGAAAGTTAGGGCAAAGAAGCTGACGACAACTACGAAGAAGCCACGGAAGAAGAAGGAGCCAAAGGTGAAGGTCCCTTACTTTACGCGTGCAACCAACAAATTGTATGAGCAACATCCAGAACTCAAAGATGTGTTCCCATATTTACAGTCTTTGGAGCGTATCAAGGTAGAGCGTGCGCCACAGCCCGGTGGAATGAATATCAAGTTGCTTCCTTTTCAGCTCGAGGGTCTCAATTGGCTCATCAAACAAGAGGATGGTGAGTTTGCTGGCGGAGTGTTAGCAGACGAGATGGGAATGGGAAAAACCATTCAAACCATTGCTCTCTTCATGCACGACTTGACCAAACGGCCCAACTTGGTGGTGGGGCCCACGGTGGCGCTCATGCAGTGGAAGAACGAGATCGAGGCCCACACTGAAGAGGGCAAGCTTAAGGTACTCTTGTTTCATGGTGCCAATCGTTCTACAGACATCGAGGAGCTTCTGAAATACGACGTCATTCTCACTTCCTATTCGGTGTTGGAAAGTGTCTACCGAAAGGAAAAGTACGGATTTAAGAGGAAAGATGGCTTGGTCAAGCAGAAATCTCCGCTACATGCTATCAAGTTTTACCGAGTCGTGTTGGATGAAGCACACAACATCAAGGACAGAACAAGTGGTACGGCCAAGTCCGCCAATGAGCTTCAGTGTGAGAAACGTTGGTGTCTTTCTGGTACGCCCTTGCAGAATCGTATCGGAGAGATGTACTCTTTGGTGCGGTTTATGAAGTTGGACCCGTTCTACAAATACTTCTGCACCAAATGTGAGTGTTCCTCATCTGAGTGGAAGTTCTCTGACTGGCGCCACTGTGATATATGTAATCACTCTCCCATGCTACACACCAACTTCTTCAATCACTTCATGCTCAAAAACATTCAGAAGCACGGTATAAGCGGGGATGGCCTTACATCATTCCAGCATATCCGTCTTCTTCTCAGCAACGTCATGTTGCGCAGAACAAAGCTTGAACGAGCGGACGATTTGGGACTTCCTCCTCGGATTGTGGAGATCAGGAAGGACCGATTCAATCCGGAAGAGAAAGATTTGTACACCTCACTTTACAGTGACTCTAAGCGTAAATTTAACGATTATGTGGCGGAGGGTGTGGTTTTGAATAACTATGCCAATATTTTTACGTTGATTACCAGAATGAGACAATTGGCAGACCATCCAGATTTGGTGTTGAAGCGAGTGGGCTCCAATGCTATCTCGCAGGAGGTTGATGGAGTCATCATGTGTCAGTTATGCGACGACGAGGCCGAAGAGCCTATTGAATCCAAGTGCCGGCACCGGTTCTGTCGAATGTGCATTCTGGAATATTGTGAGAGTTTCATGGGTGAACTGAAGAACTTAGCATGCCCTGTTTGTCACATTGGCTTATCTATTGACTTACAGCAGCCTGCTCTCGAAGTCGATGAAGAGTTATTCTCCAAGGCATCGATTGTCAACAGAATTAAATTGGGTACTCACGGTGGAGAATGGCGGTCATCAACGAAAATTGAGGCTCTTGTTGAGGAGCTCTATAAATTGAGATCAGATAGACATACAATTAAATCAATTGTGTTTTCGCAGTTCACTTCCATGCTAGACCTTATTGAATGGAGGCTAAAGCGAGCTGGATTTGAGACGGTTAAACTTCAAGGATCCATGTCCCCTCAACAAAGAGATAAAACCATTAAACATTTTATGGAGAACACACTGGTGGAGATATTCTTGGTATCATTGAAAGCCGGAGGAGTGGCATTGAACCTTTGTGAGGCATCTCAAGTGTTTTTGATGGATCCGTGGTGGAATCCGAGTGTGGAATGGCAGTCGATGGACAGAGTACATAGAATTGGTCAGAAACGGCCGATTCGAATCACCAGATTCTGTATCGAGGACAGCATCGAGCTGAAAATCATTGAATTACAAGAGAAGAAAGCTAACATGATCCATGCCACCATTAATCTGGACGACGGAGCGGTCAACCGGTTAACTCCAGATGATCTACAGTTCTTGTTCATGAACTAAAGAAACGAAATTGGGACAAAAACATTAAATTTTTGCAAGCTTTGCAGCCCTTGCGGGATTTTAATACCTTCCTATTTATCATTCTTCAACGATTTTTTTATTTTTCGAATCTACGGGACCTACTCACTAGGTCCATCTTTTACAATCATTGACACCTTAGGCTTATCTCCACGTGAGTCGCATGAGTCATATACTAAATGCCTTGGGAAAAAACCCTCCCACACAGGAAAACATGAACCCAATCCCCAGAAATTTACTATATGCACACTCACCTCATACATTTTTCATTCCGTTCTAGCAAATTTCCCCTTCAACCCATAACTTTTATCCAGATTTCCAATATGCTTGATTTCTGGTTGAATTACTTGGACAACCCGACATTGTCGGTGTTGCCGCACGACTTCTTGAGACCTTTGAGCGGAAAGTCCGTCGAAGGAACCAAGAAGTTCACCATACCAAACAGCTCGGATTTCACTACTGGCTTGGCTATTTTCGCTGCTTTAATCTACAGACTTACTGGAGATGAGGATGTCGTAATTGCCACTGATGCTGCTAGTGCCGGTGAGCCATTCATTGTGAGATTGAACATTGACGCATCCATGACTTTTGCTCAGTTGTTGGAGAAAGTGAGAGTTGAATTTAACGCCAACCAGAAGAAAGTTGAGTACCACAATTTGGGAGATATTGCCAATGCCATGAAGGACAGAAAGGGTCTTGATTCTCACCCTGAATTGTTTAAGGTTTCTTACCAGCATGCTAGAGATTCGCAGAAGTTAGAAACCGTGGTCAAGGGTTCAGTCAGAGACTTGGCCATTTTCACTGATAACAACGGCAACTTCTCAATCTACTACAATGCTTTATTATACACTCGTGAACGTATGGACATTTTGGCTGATCAAATTACTCACTTTTTCTCTGCTGTGACTTCGAGCCCTCAGGAGGTGATCACTAAGGTCAACTTGGTAACCGACTCTCAGAGATCGCATTTGCCAGACCCAACTTTGGACTTGGACTGGAGTGGTTTCCGTGGTGCCATTCAGGACATCTTCATGGAAAACGCAGCCAAATTTCCTGATAGGACTTGTGTGGTGGAGACCAAGTCATTCATGGATGCTAACTCTAAGACTAGAACCTTCACGTACAAGCAAATCAATCAAGCTTCTAATATCGTCGGAAACTATTTGAAGGAGACCGGAATCAAGAAGGGCGACATTGTCATGATCTATGCATACAGAGGTGTAGACTTGATGGTGGCAGTGATGGGTGTTTTGAAGGCTGGTGCTACTTTCTCGGTCATCGACCCAGCTTATCCTCCAGCCAGACAGAACATCTATCTTTCTGTTGCCAAGCCCCAGGGTTTGATCGGTTTGGAGAAGGCCGGTGTCTTGGACCAGCTTGTGGAGGAGTACATCTCCGACGAATTGAATGTCATCTCTAAGATCCCTCAATTGAAACTCCAAGACGATGGTTCAGTTTCTGGTGGTAACTTGCCTGAATCTTCTGACGATTGCTTGGCCGCTTATGTCCTGTTGAAGGATAAGCCTACTGGTGTCGTTGTGGGACCTGACAACAACCCAACCTTGTCTTTCACTTCCGGTTCAGAAGGTATTCCAAAAGGAGTTTTGGGTCGTCACTACTCGTTGGCCTATTACTTCCCATGGATGGCCAAGCGTTTCAACTTATCCTCTGAAGACAAGTTCACTATGTTGTCTGGTATCGCCCATGATCCTATCCAAAGAGATATGTTCACACCATTGTTCTTGGGAGCACAATTGTTGGTTCCAACCGCTGACGATATTGGAACCCCAGGTAAGTTGGCAGACTGGATGGCTGAGTATGGTGCCTCCGTAACTCACTTGACCCCTGCAATGGGTCAATTGTTGAGTGCTCAAGCCTCCACACCAATTCCAACTTTGCACCATGCCTTCTTCGTGGGAGATATTTTGACTAAGAGAGACTGTCTCAGATTGCAAACTTTGGCTGAGAATGTCTACATCGTCAATATGTATGGTACCACCGAGACTCAGAGAGCCGTGTCGTATTTCGAGATCGCCAGCAGAGCCTCAGACCCTAACTACTTGAAGAACTTGAAGGATGTCATGCCTGCCGGTACGGGAATGTACAATGTGCAGCTTTTGGTGGTGAACAGAAACGATAGATCTCAGACCTGCGGTGTTGGAGAAATCGGAGAAATTTACGTCAGAGCCGCTGGTTTAGCTGAGGGCTATAGGGGCTTGCCTGACTTGAACAAGGAAAAATTCGTCACGAATTGGTATGTTGACCCAGAGCAGTGGGTTGTTGCAGACGAAAAGAATAAGACCGAAGTTCAGAAGGCATGGAGAGAGGCCCTGTGGTTGGGACCAAGAGACCGTTTGTACAGAACTGGTGACTTGGGTCGTTACTTGCCAGACGGAAATGTGGAATGTTGCGGTAGAGCCGATGATCAGGTTAAGATCAGAGGTTTTAGAATCGAGTTGGGTGAAATCGACACTCACATGTCCCAGCATCCATTGGTGAGGGAAAACGTCACATTGGTGAGGAGAGATAAGAACGAGGAGCCAACCTTGATCTCTTACATTGTTCCAAAGGATTCCCCAGAGTTGAAGGAGTTGAAGGACGACGTCGAGAATCTGGACGACCCAATAGTCAATGGTTTGGCTGCCTACGGTCCATTGATCAGAGACATCAAGAAGTACTTGAAGTCCAGATTGGCCACATACGCCATCCCAACCATTATTGTTCCATTGGTTAAGTTGCCTCTTAATCCTAATGGTAAGGTCGACAAGCCTAAGTTGCCATTCCCAGACACTGCTCAGCTCGAGGCTGTGGCCAGGTTGACAGCTTCGCAAAAGGGTGTCAACGCTGACGAGGAGTCCTTCAATGAATTGGAGAAGACCATTCGTGACTTGTGGTTAGAAGTTTTGCCCAGCAGACCAGCAACCATCTCCAAGGATGACTCTTTCTTCGACTTGGGTGGTCACTCCATCTTGGGTACCCGTATGATTTTCGAGTTGAGAAAGAAGCTCAATGTGGATGTTCCTTTGGGTGCTATTTTCAAGAACCCTACCGTCGAGTCATTTGCTGACGAGGTGAGAAAGTTCATCAAAGGAGATAGTGCCCAGTTGGCAGATGGCACTGAGAGCCACGAGGTCGAGATCGACACTTCTGTTACCTACGCTGATGACGCCAAAGAGCTTATTCACTCTGCCTTGTTGAAAGAATATCCATCTTTGGAGGCCTTGGACTTCTCCAAGACCGTCAATGTCCTTGTGACTGGTGTGACTGGGTTCCTTGGTTCGTTCATTTTGAGAGACATTTTGACGGGTCGTCAAGGTTCGTTCAAGGTATACGCCCACGTCAGAGCTTCTTCCAAGGAGGCTGGTTTGGAGAGATTGCGTAAGACAGGAAAGACTTATGGAATTTGGAACGAGGAGTGGGCCAAGCACATCGAGATTGTGTTGGGTGACTTGTCGAAGCCAAAGTTTGGTTTGGACGATGCTGCCTGGAACGACTTGGCCAACACCATCGATGTCATTGTTCACAATGGAGCCTTGGTCCACTGGGTGTACCCATACTCCCAATTGAGAGAGGCCAACGTGATCAGTTCTATTAATGTGATGAAGTTAGCTGGTGAGGGTAAGGCTAAGTTCTTCTCGTTTGTGTCTTCTACTTCCGTTCTCGATACTGACTACTTTATTGATGACTCTGACGAATTGACCTCCAGAGGCTTTGCTGGAATTCCAGAGTCCGACGATTTGTCGGGATCTGCCACTGGTTTGGGCACCGGATACGGTCAATCTAAGTGGGTAGCTGAGTTTATTGCCAGAAAAGCTGGTGAGCGTGGATTGAAGGGATGTATCACTAGACCGGGTTACGTAACGGGATTCTCTTCTACAGGTTCGTCTAACACTGACGATTTCTTGTTGAGAATGTTGAAGGGATGTGCCGAGTTGGGTTCGTACCCAGACATTTCCAACAACGTGAACATGGTGCCTGTTGACCATGTTGCTAGAGTTGTCGTAGCTACTGCTTTACATCCACCTCAGGCGCACTACTTGTCTGTTGCTCAGGTGACTGGCCACCCAAGAGTCAAGTTTAACGAGTTCTTGGGTGCATTGAAGACGTACGGTTACGAAGTGCATTGTGAAGACTATCCAACATGGAGAAGTCAATTGGAGAAATACGTGGTGGAAGATTCCAAGGATTCGGCCTTGTTCCCATTGTTGCACTTCGTGTTGGACAACTTGCCTCAGGACACCAAAGCTCCAGAGTTGGACGATCAGAACGCAGTCAAGGCCTTGAAGGCAGACGTTGCGTTGACCAAGCAGGATGTCAGTGGAGGAAAGGGTGTGGAAGAAAAGCAGATCAGTATCTACATCAGTTACTTGGTGAAGATCGGATTCTTGCCAAAGCCTACTGGATCTGGGAAGTCGTTGCCTGAGGTTGAGTTAAGCGAGGAGACTTTGGCCCTCATTTCTGCTGGTGCCGGAGGCCGTGGTTCTGCCAATTAAAATTACGACTTGTGAATGTAAAGCATTGTGAATAAAAAAAAAATTAAAGAAACTATTTCTGGATTGTAGTGTATGGTCCACCTATCAACCTGGCTTAGGTGCACACTATCATCTACTGACAACCATTCATGATTTCATTATAAACCTTTATAAAAGCACCATTGATTCACAAAAAAGTCCCGGTTCAACTCTGAAAGCCGTCACATTAGGTCTATAAAAAGGTATTGATCCATCCAAATACAATCAAAAGATCATCTTGATCCGTTCCAAGCATAGAACCATCGATTAAATCGACATCCATATGTCCAAGGCGTTCCTAAGCGAGGTTAACACCAACTTGGGGTCAAGCAGCTCGTCCAATCAGAGCTCTATGGCATCCAGTCCTGTTTCTAGGCCGATATTTCGGGGTCTGCCCAAGTCACCTAGGCCATCTTTTATTCACTCCAGGCTGTCTAGTAAAGACAATGGAGGACTACCAGTAAAGACAAGATTGGTGGAACAATTTTACAATAGTGAGCCAGCACAGCCGCAAAGGTCCCATGGTGACTTGGCTGCCGTCTTCCGCAATGAAGTCCTCGGAAACCAGCAAAGTATGGGGCTAGATGTCTTCACCGAAGAAGCACTCAACGACGCCATTCAAAAGGGCAAGTTGTCGCATCGGTCAGTGGACCGTGAAATCGCAGACGTACATGACATTGCAGAGACTTTGATAAACATTGATCAGACTCTTTCGGCAAAAAATCTGAGAATCCAGAACATCGAAGAGGTGATCGAGGTTGTCAGTCGATCTGCACGAGAACTCGAGCGGGGGCTGGCTAGAAGCAAATTACACTTGTCAGGGTCATCTGTGCAGCAGTTGATGCATCTCAGCAGCTACTTAGAAGAGCTACAGACGTTGATTCGAAAGGTACAGAAGGAGTTGGCGTCCACCACTACCCAGCTCGAGGCGCAGTATCGCGAGGAGATGAAGGCGAGTATGGGGATGCTAGAGACGCTCGACCAGACACTATTCGTACTTAATGCACGGCTAGAACTGGCTAGGGCCTCTATGGGCAGAAATAAAGCCGTGTTGGGAGAAACAATGGGGGAGAAGGTTGCAGCTCTTGAGTACATTTCAGCCAAGTTCGCCGAGTACGACCAGCTCAACCGGTACCGTAAGGTTCGACAGCTGATCGTTGCGTTAGTGGTTGTTGTGACAATGGTCTGTGGTTACATGATTGTGAGCCACACACCGAATGTGAAGGCAACTCTAGTAAAGTGAGGTATGGCGGGAGAGTTTGTTAAAATTAGCAAGTCGGTTTGGAGAAAGCATAGCGGGAGAGTTTAATATCGAACTAAGTTAGGTTGGTGATTGGGTGGGGGGTATTGGAAATAAATGACCTGGGGAATATAGTGTAGAGCAATTTAGACATGGCAACCAATGATTTGGCGAGAATGCGAGGGTAGAGTCACAACCAGAGGCATGGAAGTTGTGTGATTAAATAATGCCCGGAGAATTTTTCACAAAGTCTCGGAGGTTCTACGTCAAATGTACTCTGAGTGGTCCAAGTCCAATTATTCCATGTTCGGCACACGATTAAAAGGTATAAAGAGCAACGCTAAAAAGTCAACAGATACGAGACGAGTCAGAGACACCAAAACCAGGGAATAGTTGCCTCGAGCGTCGAAAGTTGCGCATCGCAGTCAAAAGATGCCTTCGCAGTCAACTCCAACCACAGCAGCCAAGGTTATTTTTGCCCTGAGATTGCGCATATCACACAATTGGCGCAGAAACTCATGGCGTCACTTCCTGAACATGGAGCAAATCATAACGGCATCAAATGTCCAATCCCAGTTCCGAACTCCGAGATGCTAACTACTTGCCTCACGTGAAAATCCATCATGATTTGACTAAGCATTTAGTACAGAAAAATAATGGAATTTCCTTCATTTGCTGGCTCTGCAACGGCGATCTCAAAGTGAGAAAAGAAAATTTTTGACGTGGTGCCAAAAAACGCTCCTGTAAGGGTTCCTTGTGTGACCAATATTGTGCGTCGGAGATCAATACCCATCTCCAGAACACTACTCCTGTTAATCTTGATACCCCGGGCGCCATGATGTTTATTTTATAATGTAATCATCTGTCTAATTCTATTGTTCTACCCATTCAAAACTGCCAAGATGTTCAAAAAGAAATTGTCATTTGTCTATCTATCATAGCTCCACCTCCTCCATGTCTACAATTGGAGATTCGCAAGCGGAGCCGTGCGCCAAGCATTTTGGCACATTTGGAGAAGCGTTCTTTTCCTTACCTTTTTTTTTTTTTTTTCCGTTATTTTTCTGGCTCTCTGCATGTATTCCCAACTTCGCTGCCCGTCATCTCAAGTGATCTCCACGCATCTTGTCTGTTCTCCTGCAGATAGCCCGGGATGAAAATAGGCGGCACGTCTTTGAAATTGCTTTTTTCTGTGCGACCCCATGCACGTCCATTTATGCGACAATCACCTACTTCCTCAATCTCATTTCCTATCTTTCCTAACCTTTTAATTACCTCCCTTCTTCTTGTCCCAAACCCTGTGATTCTCGTTCCACGGACCCACTGTCCCTCATACACGTGTTCCTAGATACTACCTTCGTTGTTACGTATCTTCCACGTGCACCTTTCCCCCAGTTTCAGTTGTGGTTAGCCATCCCTCCCCCATTCTTCGTGCCATCTCTGCCGTTGCCCTTGCACCATCCCTAATGGCCGAAGTCTACGTGTTGGATCCGTCTCCTCCACGTGCACTCGGTGACATAGCAGCACACCGGGTCCACAATGTCGCTAGTTTGGCTGATCTCTTGGTTCTTTTGTTCCAGAAAGGCAACTGCGAAAAGGACACAAACCACGCCACGGTAGTGGTGTTGCTGGCTCTGCCACTGGGCCCCACGCCTCTAGATCGTGTGTCCAACGAAGATGCCGCACTTGTGCTCCGTTACTTCTTCAACCATTTGAATGTCCTTGTGTTGGAACCTTCCGAAGTTAACTCCGATAAAGTGGCTCAAATCAATGCAACTGTGGCCACCATCAACGCTTTGATCAGCAAGAGAATCTCCCGCGTGGCCACATGGACTGGCACGGGTGATAATATCAACGATTTCTTCTCCCATACTCTTGGTTCCAATGCTGATATCCAGTCTCTGAGTCTTGATGTCGCCGAGATTGTTTCCACCATGCTGTTCGTAGTAGATCACAATGCCAACAAGTCTCCAGCTATCGAGACGCGCATCCGTGGTCTCAATGCCGTCATCCTTGAGTCTGTGAACTTTAAATCCTTACTTGCAGACTCCTCGGATGAAAACTTGGCTAGGTTGTGTCATTGTGTGGGCCACTGGTCATTCCCTGCGCATGAGTTGACCAACGATGATCTCGTTTACTGTGTGTTCTTGATCTTGTCATATGCGCTAGCCAATATTCAGCCGCATGACGTGCCTGAAGACTTTGCTTTTCCTTCAGAAAACCAGTTGCTTGCATTTGTCTTCATGGTTAGAGACACTTACAAGAACGGTAATCCATTTCACAATTTCAGACACGCCGTCGATGTCTTGCAAGCATGCTTCCACTACCTTGTGCGTTTGCAGTGCTTGCCCCAGTTCGAACAGTTCGAAGTGGACCCTCGTGCTGACGAGTTGGCCATCTTCTCCGGCCAGAAAACTCTTTCAGCAAACACCCAGTTAGTTGCTGTGATGACGCCTCTTTTCACCACAAACACTAGCACCGTCCCTCATTTGAATGGTATCCAGGCACTTGGCTTGCTTATTGCAGCATTGGGTCATGACGTGGGACATCCTGGTGTAACCAATGCATTTTTGATCAAACACTACGCACCAACGTCGCAGCTATACAGCGAACGTTCTGTGTTGGAGCTGTACCATTCATCTGTTTTCATCAACAAGATATTGCGCATCAATTGGCCGTCGCTCTTAGAGCTTGAGACCGACCCGGAGAGCAAGTTGCCGTTGAAGAATCTCATAATCGGAAGCATTTTGGCAACCGACATGGCAGAGCATTTCGAGTATCTCCACAAGCTCAAGGAATTTGAGCTTCAGTCGAACCTGTTGGGAATCAAAGTGCGGTTGATTGCATCGCTTTTGATCAAATGTGCTGACATATCGAATGTCACGAGACCACTCCGAGTTTCTTCGCAATGGGCTCTGGTTCTCTCAAGAGAGTTTGAAGAGGTGGAGACGTTGGACACTAAGTTGACCAAACATGCAAATGTCAACCTTGATGTGGACTACCCCAAGTTAGCCACCACGCTTGACGAAGTGTTGCAAGTCAACCCGGACCTCCACAAGGGCCAGATCTTCTTCATCCAGACGTTTGCCGAAGGGTTGTTCAACAGCATTCTGGAGCTCTTACCCGAATTGAAGTACACGAGTGACATTGTCAAGGATAACAAGTCATTCTGGCTCGCCAGAGCTAAGGCATAGCATGCCACGCATTTGCATTGAGATTTATTGGGATCGGTTTTTTTTGGAGTTGGTCTACTGTTTTGAGTTTGAATTCAGATGGTCCGTACATGCCACTACGAGCTTGTTTCTGACAATTATATAGACACAATCAGATCTGGCAGACATGAATAAGCGTCCATAGTCAACTTTTTCAACTTAGGAGCCCTAGTTCGCAACTCTCTAACAAATGCGAGCCTATCACATAAATCTAGATTGATTTCCTGTACATAGTGAACAAATGTCCCACTAAATCTCACTTTATGGCACGCCAGCAAAGTGGTTGTTCCGGCACCCATGTGCCTTCGGTCACGTGGACACGGTGCACTTCCACGATGCCTTTCCTCTCCATTTTTTTCCAACCCCACCACCTTCTCCATCTAGAATTCTTCTTTTCGGCTGAAGCCTGTGAGCATTGACTGTTCATTATCTCTGGAATCCTTCCTCCTCCCTTATTGTCTGGCACTCTGCCCTCCTCCTCTCTCCTTCGCATCCACCCACAGTCTCCTCAACGAGACTATTGTCAAATTCATTCGAGTCAATCTCCATCCATCGGAATCGTCGCCAATATGGACAAAAATCAGGATTTTGTGTCACCGGAATATACCAGTAGACCTATTATCTTATCTCCGCCGCCAATGGAGCCGCTGACGTCGAGTTTCGGCGGTGATTCGTTGCGTTTAGGTCCTCAGAATTACCAAAGAAACCAAAGTGTGGGCTATAACTTGCAACAGGAGTTTGAAGCGCTCAAGGCTGACTTGGACTTGGACTTGAGTAACTCCAACGATGGCGTTAACGATGCGCCGGACCGTGACTCCTCGTCAGCGTCGAGTAACATCGCCCTCAATGCTGGAGCCCCAGGCTCGGCACATGGCCCCCAATCACAAGGCTCACAAGGCTCACACGGCTCTCACGGGCCTCATGGCTCCCATAACACCCATGGACAGTCTAGTAACTCTGCTTCTGGCTCTCGTGTGTTGTCCGGCGGGCCCAGTTTGCTCTCGCCCGTCAGCAATGCTAGCAACTCCAACTTTGGCTTGGGACCTTCCCTCTCGGACAATTTGATGAGAGATAGGGCCCTCTCACCAGGGGCAAGTAACTCAGGTGGTCTCCAAGCGTTGTTGAACAACAAGAGCACGGGGTTCTTGCCTAATTTGAACTCGGTGCCCAGTAGGCCGCAAAGTGTCAACGACTTCTCCAACTTGTTGCCGAGACTGTCGCAGCAGACATTCTCAAGAGTACACAACTCCTCGAACTTCTACCTGGACATGTTGTCGTTCACCGGCTGGATCGAAAACTTGTCGCCGCAGGACATGCTTATCATGCTCGACTATTGGTGTAACAACTTGCCATTTGACATCTTGCTCACCATGAGATCTAGGTTGGAGACTCATACCCATCTGGGCTCACAGCCTCCATCATTCTCCAACGTCTCCAATATGTCCTACCCTCAGTACGGTGCTGATTACATGCCCGAAATCGACTCTTTGTCTCTAGACGGCATGAGACACCAACAGACAATGTCGAATGTGAGTCTTGTCCAACCTAAACCTAAGGCCAACACTTTCCGTAGCCACTTGTTTGTTGACCCCAAGGTTCAGAGACCTAAGCTGGCTGATCCTACTGTGAAGCCACAAGCTGGTCAAGCACAATTTGATCGTGCCAGATCGCCTGCTTCCCACTTGTACGAGAAGACAAACTTCTTGCAATTGGCCGCAGCCAGCTCCAACTCGCCTCATTCGTACCCTCTGGGCCAACAGATGACCAACAGTTCAGAGGAAGGCTTGGACTTGTCTGCTACATCCAAATTGGGAGCTCTAGCAACCATCAACTCTCGAGTTGCGCTTGACTCCAACAGGAAAAACCACCAGGTTGGTCCTAACAGACACACTGCTCTTGCGTACGAAGAGCTGATCAACCGCACCGCTAACTCGTCTTCGGTGCCTGCGCCAACTACCCAGAAATACTCGACAGCTGCCATGGCAGGCATGGTTAAGAAAAAGGAGGTGGAGTCGCCTATTAAGGTCAGACCCAGTACTCCCGTGGGCAACTCTTCGATGCCCAATGAAATCGCCAGTGTGGAGTTGTTGAACAACATTCCTGCTTGGTTGAAGTTGCTCAGATTGCACAAGTACACCGACTGTCTCAAAGACATCTACTGGAAGGATTTGGTGGAGTTGAGCGACGAACAGTTGGAAGACAAGGGAGTCAAGGCTTTGGGAGCCAGAAGAAAGTTATTGAAGGCGTTTGACACCGTCAAACAGGCAAGAACTTAGAGTTCCCACTATGGCTCCTCCCTCTTCCCCCTAACCTATAGCTTGCAGGCTTGCTCAATGTCTTCAGTCGGTTTCTCGTCCGTTTGAACGCTGTCTCCTTCACCCTACACCCGCATTTGACATGGGGAGCCACTATAGACTTATTTGAATATCATTAATGGCGCTGAGCGCTGTATAAACACTACTACACAATAACACAGCAGGAGTTGGTCTTCTTGGCCTGCTTGTAGAACATTCTGGATGACGAAGACAACGCCTCTGACTTGTCCACCAACGAGTCCAACTTCTCACCTCTCTGCAACACCGACTCGATGGTTTTATGCAACACAATCTTGGTCTCGTCCAACTCCTGCTGCACACGCATGATGGAGTCAGCCTGGCTAGGATCCTGATACTTCTTCAAGTATGTTTCCAACTTGTCAAAGTTCAACGCCGGCGTGGTGGCGCTGATGTGGTTCCATTCGCTTGATGGATGCAACGAAAGGTACTCCTCCAACACCTTATTGATCAACGTGTAAGCAGGACGTACGGGGTACTCCTTGTCGGTAATGATCACACAAGACAAGCCCTCGGAGCGCGTGTAGGTGTGGCCCACGTAGCTGCCCTCTTCGATACTTTGTCTCTGGCCGGCGGCGGTTCTTTGGGACACGGTTTCCGAGAAGAACGTCATGAACTGCGATACGGATGACCGCTCAAAGAAAGAGAACTGGGCCAAGTCTCTGGCGCTACACAACTCCACGACAGGCTCGCCGATCTTCAAGATTCCGATGTAGTAGATTTTCATGGTGAAGTTAGATTGTTATCGGTGATGATTGCTGAGAGTTTGGCTGCTTTGTGGTCATGTGACTTGGGGTTGCAGGTGGGGCTAAATATATATTGGGGGCCGAAGGCTTCTCGAAGTCATGAAGTTTGTAGTGAGTAGACAAGTTTGATTTGGGAGTGAATATGCGATTTACTGGCTACTTTTTTTTCAGTTATTGGGTGAGGTTTTTGGTGATGTTGTAGAGTGAAGCCCTAAAAGGAGAAAGAGCTTTCTGCCGTACGAGATAAGGCTTTTCGCAGTCACCATGACCAGGGTTTTAGGGTTTATTGTCTATTGGTAAGTTTCTTAGAATTTGATGTTACATGTGATACAGTTTTGGATTTGATGGAGATTTGAATTTGAGAAAGTGGACTGGAGTGAGAATTTGATGAATACGAAGAGGTGTGGAAGTAGAGTTAAAGTAGTGTGACTGAACTGTGAGACTACTGTGGACCCATTGTGAAAGGAGATGAGAAGTATGAGGAGGGACGGTGACACTGTGACACTCAAGGAATTCTGATCAGTGCTGACTGGAGGAAGATACTAAGGAAATAAGAGTCTTTTATATCCTGGCTGTGAAGAATAGATATAGTTCTAGATCAAAATACTTCATAACCTAACTTCCTTCCATTATCTTGCCTCACTCTCATGGAAGGTCATTGATTCCATGTAATTAGAACCACAATACAAGCTACAAAGAATAAATCCAACTCATGCTCTACTTTCTATTCTCTAATTCTTTAGCTTCCTTTCGCTCATTGATTCCTTTGTCACCACATCAGTCTCTACATTTACATTTCCTGTGCGTTACACACTCTCAATATCTACAATCCTATCTAGAATTTTATTTCCCAGATGGTCCAAACACTCAAAGTGGTGCTCCTAGGAGACCTGGGAGTCGGGAAAACATGTCTACGTTCGCAGTTCGTCCATCATATATTCACAAATGCATATAAGGCAACAATCGGTGGAGATTACCTCACCACAACCGTCAAGATAGACGACAATCAAGACCCCCATCAAAAATACTCGGCATTAGACAGCGAAACAGACTCAGATGCTGGTCTACATCATCGCGCAAATAAGGTCAACCTCCAGATATGGGATACTGCCGGCCAAGAGAGATTCAATCTGATTTCAAAGGCATTTTATAGAGGAGCAGACGTGGTCGTACTCGTATACGACATTACCAATTATGAGTCTGTACTCAGTGTTCGGGATTGGTTTGGCAAGTTCTTAGAGCATTGTCATGTGGAACGGCCTGGAGTCGTCATCGTGGGAAACAAGTCGGACAAGGTTGCAGACAGATGCGTGGACCGAGATGAGATTCGAGATGTTCTCTGTCGTAACGGAACTATCCCGTTAGAAAAGTACGTGACTGACTGGGACACAGACCTCATTGAGGTGACATGCAAGCTGCTTGCCTCGGTTGAAGTGGTGTTCCAGCGGGTTGCTCAGATAGGTACATCATTGGCTTCGGATAATAATGTGACCCGCATTGTGGGGTTTGACAGCATAGACTTGGACCAGCTCCGAACCCAACTGACAAGATGTGCGTGTTAGAATGGCCTAGAGGGTCGTCACTATGATGGAAGACAAAGGCAATACTGTCATTAATAGGAAACAATAAAGTTAATATTATGTACATGGGTCAGTATTTACATTTAGGCCAGGTCGGCGGTGACGACCTCGATCACGCCAGGCTCCTTTTCGTCCGACTCACTCTCCACGTGGAAACGTTCATCGAATGTCAACTTGTGCTTAGCCTCAACTGGCTGGGCAGGCTCTGTCTCAATCTCTGCAACTTCTGTAACTGCAACGACCTCGGCAACAGGCTCCACGCTTGGAACTGACTCGTCATCATCCTCGTACAATTCCTCCTTGTAGTGCTCTGGGTGCTGCTTGAAGCATGTTCTCATGGCCTCAAACTTAGTGATACAATCAATGCCCTTAGGTTCAGTCTCAGAGTACACAAAGCAGGCAAATGCCTCCTTGAACTCCTCTCCACATGGTCCGTGGGCCATTCCACCCAAACATGGACAGTCCCAGTTGATCTCTCCGGTCTCTGGGTTAAAAGCAGCACTTTGCTGGCCCTCTTCACCTTCTGGAGTCTGTTCAGTGGCTTCGGATTCAGCGGTTTCGCTCTTTTCAGACTTCTCAGTAACCTCACTCTTCTCAGATTTGCCAATCTTTTCGGACTTAGCAGCCTCCTTATCCTTTGCCACCTTCTTCTTGTCAGCATCATTTTCCACGGCAGAAGATGGCAAGAGGAAGATGGAGGTAGCAACCAAAGAGGCCCCGATGGCTAATTTTGGAGCGATCGACGAGGCTCTTGGGGTGGTGGTCGACATGAATCTGGCTCTAGGAGCCTGGCGTAACGCACTTCTAAAAACAGATCTATACATTTTGCAACTTGAAAGAAGAGTGATAAGTCATGGAAACTTTTCGGCCTCGCGGTATTGCATACGCTGACTAAGCGTAGAGCCTGGAGAAGATGTCAGGTTGAGGTGAACGGAATGTATAGCTACAAAATGGCCTAAAAAAGGTATTCATAAAATCTGGGATAAATAAGTCTTTGTAGAGTATTGTGGTTTTTTTGTGTAAGAATCTAGCTATGAGATTTAAGTTTTCTTTTTCGTCGTGTTTGATGGAACCTTCTCTCTTGCTCATTGCTGCGAATGACTACTGATACGTCCCATTAGACATTGATGGGAAAATGAATTGAAATCATAAGGGAAATATGATTGATATAAGAATATGTTCACTGTTGATTTTATGGTGAATTTTTTTGAAATTGCATCCCTTTAGTGGATGCTGCCGAATCCACCTTAATCTGGTTTTTCCGGATTCTCACCATTCACTTACAAAATGTTCATGAAATACCTTCTCTTGTCATTGTTTGAAATTATAAAACACAACTTTAAAAATCATACGAACAGAAAGCATATGAAAGTGTACTACCTTCAAGAAACTCTAAAAAGAATGATTTAAACATTCTCACCTAATAACAACTCGGCCCTCTAACAATCTACTATCCTAGTTACACGTATTCTTGCCTTATCCATGTGACATTATCAACTATTTACAAGCTCAATGGAACCAGAAGAATCTCTCTCCACGTTATCTTAACATTCTTCCAATCAATCCTTTTACACCATCCGCTCAAATGTTTCTTTCGACCTGAAGTTTCTATCACGAACTTCTAACGTCTTTTGACAAAACAGGAATCTCCTCATAGGTCTCCTTAACCGGAGCAGAGAGAGTACTAGCCCAAAGGAGAGAGCATATGACAATAATGATTGAACCAGCTCCAATCTTTCGGATCACCTTAATGGTCTTTTGCGACTCTTTAGTATTCTCATCCCCGATCTTATCCATGAGTTTGTTGAACTTATTGGCTTGCTTCTTGACAGAATACGATCTGCTGCCAGAAATTAACACTCTTGAAAACCGTAATGAACTTCTAGCAATCATCGTGTTGTAGATCAGATCGTAGGAGGAAATAGTACGATGGAAGTGTTTTACTCGACCCACCATATTCTGTGCACACTATTTTGCACCCATAATAATTGACATAGTTCTTTTATTATAATAGAATATGCTAATATGCTGATTTATGCTAAATAGGGTCCCAACTGGTCAAGGCTGATTGGTTTAAGATTGTCTATGGCCGACCCAACCCAAAGGACATTGGAACGAATCTGACATTTGGTTTCCTTGGCTGTAATAGTATTCTTGATCACATAAGTTCTTGATACAGGCCCCTTTTTATCCGGAACAAGTAACAACTGATGCTCCAGACAATAATTCTCAACCACATCTTTGAAAGTGGCAACAAGCTTGTGAATTGGAATTCCATTTTCGTTTGCTTCCTTGGGAGAGTTGGGAGACAATAGTGAAATGATGGTTTCTTCCAGGAGTAGTTCGTTTCCCTTGAAAGAAGGTAACGTTACCGATCTCAACCCAGGCTCATTATTATGAATATTCTTAAACTCCTGCAATGCTGAGTTGATGTACCAGACAAAGATGGGTTCGAGCTGAGGGTAATCTTCCCTCTTCGAATAAAGGTAAGCTATAACATGCTGAAATGATTTTGAGACCCGTTCACGAGAATTTTTGGAAGAGCCAGTATCATCGAGGATTTCAAGATCCCGTGATAGACGCCGAATCCACGGATTGAATACCGAGAACTGAAGAAGTATTTCAAGCTGGTCTTCATTCAAAACATTAAGCTCAAAGGCAAGGTCAATGATAACATTGACTATACCCCTATCCTTCGCGAGTGGTTCCGAAGCCTTAGCGAGCACTTTGACAATAGAATGTAGTATTTCCTCATTGCATGTTGGATCAAAGGTGATATCAATATTAGCAAGCATATCTTTTGACTCACAGAGCAGTTTCAACACTAATCTTATATTAGTCACGTAATATTGCCAGATATCGTGTTGTGTTTGAAAATCTTGCCATGATTTCAGTAAGTAACCTCTGAAGCGTGAGCACAAGTCAACAACATAACGATCACCCTGAAAAGATTCCAAGTAGCCGAATATTTCTGAGTTCAAGCCACGTTTCAAATCATGGTTATTCACCAATTTTTGAAGCAACGGAGAGATAATGGACTCATCACAAGCCTGAGCCGCAAGATCAGAATTGATTATGATAGGAGAATCAAGCCAGAAGGAGAGAATTTCTCTATTTTTATCATGAGAGTGGGATTCTTCCAAAACACGCTCACGCAAAAGGTTGAGAATTGTGAGGTCCCACTTATTAAGCAGCAGATCCTCAGCAAAATCGACGATTCTCCTATAATAAAGAGCCCATGCACTCAATGTCAGAAACCCAGGCTCAGACTCTTCGGCTTTAAAGAAGAGCTTGCTTAAGTACTTCGATACTAATGTGATAAATATGTCTTCTATGCCCACATAGTTGGAAAACTGAATAGTGAGCTTTTCTAATATCAAGGTGGTATTCTCCAAGCTCTCTTTTCCCCTGAACTCATCTAGAAGTGCAATGATTGCTTCTGACTGACTAAGCTGCTCTGATTCTCGCTCGAGTCTTGCAGTACCACTTTCAATACCGTAATTTAGTGTTCTGATTTGTGAGTCTAACTTCTCAACTTCAGAGTTTGCTTCCGTCAACCTGAGAAACGTCCGTTCAAGATCCAACTTGCTGCTGTGCTGACTGTCTGCAATCTCCTTGTATCGTGTTGGCACATCTATGCCTTTACGTTCTAATTCATCAATGACTGAGAATAAGTCGTAGGTTGGTTTAGAAAACTCAACGGTACTTTTGGTCTCCACATCAAAATCATCTTCAGAGTCACTCGAAATAACTGCTTTCTCTCGAATGCCCCCAACACCAAGTCCTTGAGGCCGTAGCTTGGTTTCAATCGGATTGACTATTCCTTCTTGGTTGGCACCTAATCCTGTTCCCAGCTGATATCCCATCTGCATCATAAGCTTAGCGCCTATACCGTAACGCTGGACATTATGATCACTGCTTTCGTAGTGGTTTATGCTTGGTGTGGCTATACTTGGTAGTCCTTGATTGGGTCCAAATCCAACTTGTTTGAGAGCGTCATCCTCCGACTCCACATCAGAATACTCATTGTGGACTGCGCTCATCATGCCCATGGAAGGCGCCTTCTGACTTGCATTCTTACTGTCTCCAGAGTCACTACCAGTTGCCTTTGTAAAATTTAGCCCTCCAGAGAACCTCGACATGTGTAATTGAAAAGATTGGGTCTCTGTTCAACTGTTCATCTCGAGACTGCACAGTTTACAACAGACCTGGGTAGAAAACGATCAATATCTACATGGAGAATAACAGAAAATAAATACTATGGCCTAAGATTGTGCCTCTCGAAGAAGCTTAATTAGATCTAGCAAGCGAGTCTCGTCGATGGCGGCGGTGTCAGACTGGATATCGTCCAAACCTTCACTGATGACCTGCACCACCGAAGGCTGGTTGTATTCACCAGGCAAGACAAAATCCTTCGGGATGAAGTTTCCATACTTTTGAAGCCAATGGCGGCGTCTTTCACTCTCTTCCTCTTCTAAGCGAAGAAGGCTGCCATTAAGAAAATCATTGAGATGCTTCAAGAATCGCCGTGGGTAGACAAATTGCTCGTAGTGAAGCTCAGTCAAGTACTTTTGGTGGTAAATATCGTAGAATTGTGTGTAGTGGTAGGTCAATTGGTTGACAACGTCAGCGTAAAGCTCCGCTGTGTGCTTTCCAGAATCGGATTTAGCTTCTATTGAGTTGCTTCTGAAGATTTCCTCGCATCCAAGAACGAGAAGCACAAACAGGACAATATCTTCGTTTTTGAAGCGGGCATACGAGGAAATAAGCTCCTCACAGTTATTGATTACACTTTCAATATGAGGAAGCCTTTGGTCGACAAATTTTGCTGCACGGCTCTCGTTGGTCATGATGATATCGTGGATACTGCCAAACTCTTTTAGCACAGAAGGAAGCTCTTGAGCATCGTTCCGGAGAACATTGAAATCAACCTCATTTCCAGAAGATCCCTTTAAAATTGTAACTGCTAGTACACATTGATCGTAGTGATTCGTGAGCATCTCCAAAAGACTCACTAGTTCCTGTTCCAATGAAGCATTTTCCTTCAATATATTTCTTACAATGTTGGAGTTGCCCTGAGGCAGAGACGTCGACTGTGCATACCGCATAACCAATTGGACAGCAACTACCTGCGATTCGTACACTCGAGAACATCGTGAGTAGCGAGAATTGTTCTTCTGGGCAATATCAACCAATTTATCCAACTGGGCTTCCAACAATTGACGTCCTTTGTCGCAATTGCTTCGATAAATGGCAATGTTTCCTTTGAGCTTCTCAATGACATCGTAAGACACGAAATCACTGAGTTTGAACAGTGCAGAGGTGTTGGTGTCGTTGATGAGATACAGGGGAACAGAAGTAGCCTTGAGGTGATCCAATGCGGTATCTAGATCCGATAATGCCGGAACAAGTAATTCATTTATAGCCGTGGTATGAGGGCCAATTATTCCATTCACTACCTTGGACCGCAAGTGTTCCATGAGAGCAGTGACGTTAGCCTGATAGTTCTTGACTTTACTCATTAAAGATTCAGCTTGGTCAAGTCGTTTCGGTAGCTGATCCCTCAAGATGTGGTCTGTAGACTCAAGCACTGCCTGAGCCAGCGAAGAGAGCAGCTTGGCCTTTTCTAGCGTGCGGAACGCCTCGTCTGTCCATTGTCTTACCTCATCTACCAAAGACATGGTGATAAAGAAGTGTGGTATCGCACTGCACAAGAGCTGATGGAGAATGGTCCAGATAACGGTAGATCAAGTGAGAAGAGAGTGATACAGGACTTAGAACAAAAGAACAAATAATTGACTTATTATTAAAAGATTTAGAAATTTTATTGGATAGTTTAAATAAAATGGAGTCTACCAGAAAAATGTAGACTTTTCAGGACATAGAGTACTGTAGGTGAAGACAGCCAGTCTAAGTGAGCTTCAAATTAAGGTTATTTTAAAAAACAGAGACGATGAAATAGAAGCAGAACAAACTGTCTACCAAGAAAAAGTAGATTACCAATGTGAACGAAAATTGCAATGTTCTCCTACCAATATGAATTTTCCTAAACAATAATGGTAGAGGACAAGTCTTATTCACCGATAATTCCCCATCATGTTCGCCCATCGCAACTATCTCATAATCCGGGAATTCAAATTGAATGTTTCAGTTCAATTAAATAGTAATTATAATTCTTGGAACTTTGTCTACTTTTTTTTCAACGATTTCTATCGTTTGCAACCATAAGTAACATGTGCCTACCTTGACGTGCATACAGATATCTCACCCAAACCATCAAGTCGAAAAACCACATACTCAAACTCCAGACAAAATGGAGGCTTTAAGCAAGTTGCGAGAGGCCGTCACGACTGGCAAACCGTTGAATTTAGTCATAGTGTCGGACTCAGAGACCACCACCGAATCGGTCAAAGATGCAACCCATGTAAAGTTTGGCGACGATGCCAAACTTTACTCACTTGATGAAGTTACGAACTTTTACAACGAAGATGTTGCTCAGCCACTCCGTGCAGTGATCTTTTGCTGGTTGCATGACAAGTCTTCCATTGTGGACTACAAAAATGCATGTTTGGAGAACGGTATTCTGGACTTTAAGTTCTTGGTCAAGGCAGAGTTGACCACCTGGTTGAACGGAAGTTCCGACACTTGCCAGTTCATCAAAGATGACAAAAAGACAAACGAAAAGGCTAACGGGTCTGCTTCACTGGGGGAAGCTGCGAAAAAGCGCAAATTTGACGACCCACAATTGGATCGTATTTCCGAGCTCGAGATCGACTCAGTTGACCACAATGCTGCTTTGCGAGGCACCAAGAATGTCAATCTAAAAAACCTCATTTCCGACGCCAAGAGGTTCTCCTCGCAGTTGAAGAAGTCCAAATCTTCTAAATCTGCGCTTGTTGGCGCTCATAAGGCTGCCAAGAAGCAGCCTATTATCATCATATCTCCAGCCACCACCGCTCTACTTTCCTTGAGCAACATCAAAGAGTTTTTGGAGGAGGGTCGGTTTGTAGAGCCTTCCATGAAGAGATCTGATAATGGAGTGGTGATCGTCAATCACGAGTCCGAAAAGTTGATTCCAACAGCACAGTCTATAATGGTAGTGGATAATGTGGACTTGTTCACCAAGCCGGAGTACTGGGACAGAGTTGTGGCAGTGTTTACCACGGGCCATGCATGGCAGTTTGCCAAGTACAAGTACTCCAAACCAGAGATTCTTTTCCAGAAGTATCCAGGATTCTTCGTTTCCTATCATGGCGATGTAATTCCAAAGCAGATTTCCGACTGGAATGTTTCTGTGGTGCAGGTGGATAGAGGTGAGAAGAGATTTAGAGACAAGATGATTGTAAGGGACTTGTGGATTCAGTTGGAGAAGATCCTCGTGGCCAGGAACTACGGCACTGAGTAAAATGTAATATACAATAACCTATGTACAAGGGCCCGTATACGGGGCCTATTGGTAGTTTTTCTCTAACTCCACAAATTTTTTGTAGATTTCATTGACCGTCATATTCGACACCTTCCTCAGGTCTCTCGTTCTTACCGCTACTGTGCCATTTTCTATGTCTTTGTCACCCACCATCAAAATATACGAGTAGCCCTTGTGAATGGCATCTTTGATACGATTGCCGACGGTCTCGCTTCTGGTGTCAACATCGACGTAGAAATTATAGCCAGTCATAGGTGCTACACAGTCATCAGTGACAATGTCTCCAAGTAATTGTCTCCGGATACTCTCCGCAGCAGAATGATGTTTATCAGAGACAGGAATAACCACTGCTTGTCTTGGATTAATCCAGAATGGCCATTTACCCTGATAGTGATCCAACAAAATGGCAAAAAATCTTTCTAGAGAGCCGAAAACAGCTCTATGCACCATGATGGGCTGGTTGTCACGATCACCATTCTGGGAGATGTACTTCAACTGAAATCTTGTAGGAAGCTGGAAATCCAATTGAATAGTGCCCACCTGGTGCTTCTTACCGAACGCATCAGTAAGAAGCACATCAATCTTGGGGCCATAAAAAGCACCATCTCCCTCACGAATAGACCAGCCACCATCCCCAGTAGCTTTATCCAATACATCAGCCAATTGTTTCTCCGCCTCATCCCAGGTTTTAGATTCTCCCATATACTTCTCGGGCCTTGTACTAAGGAAGAAGTCAACATCCTTAACACTATCGATTCCAAAAACGTTGTAGGTGTCCTTGATGAGGTTAATGGTATTGGTGATTTCTTGGTTGATCTGGTGAAGTTCACAGAAAATATGGCCGTCGTCCTGATGAAATCTTCTCACTCTGGTCAACCCAGATAATGCTCCACTGGACTCATTTCTATGCAAAGAGGAAAAGTCGGATAAACGAATAGGCAACTCATTATAGGATCTCTCAAACTTTGAATAGATAAGGCAATGGCCGGGACAGTTCATTGGCTTCAATCCATATTCGTGAAGATGCTCGTCTTCTCCCTCCAATTCTTCTTTGGATAAGTCATTACCTACCACCTTGAACATATCCTCCTTATAATTGTCCCAATGACCGGATGTCTCCCATAACTTTGTCTTGTAGATTAGCGGAGTAATGACCTCCTGAAAACCGTACTTGAGCTGCTGGTTCTTCATGAACTGGACCAATTTGTTGAAGATTCTGGTACCATGAGGTAAGAAGAAGATAGAACCTGGCGTGACAGGGTCTGTGAGGTATAGAAGCTGCTTGTTGGAAATAGCATGGTTGGTTTGTGTTGAGGATTCTTTTGGAAGGTTCGTCGAGTACTGACGAAGTGCTCGAAGTGCCCAGCGACCTTGGACTTTAAACATCGATGGGTTCCAAACATGAAATTTATATGAAGGTGAGAATACTGGTTGGGTGGAAAATGAATGTCATTTTGACAAAGATAAAAATTTGTAGGAAATTTCGATAGAAGAAAAGAACGAAACTTAATAAAACGCATTTAATTGGATTCTCATCGATGATGTTAATATATTCATGTTTTGTGATTCGTGATTCTGCTCGACGGTATTAGTGGTTTATTAGTGGTTCACACTAAACGTCAAATACTCTTGTACTTTTCATTAATCTTCAACGCCTTCTATCCACGACTCTGACGTAATCTATTGATTTCAGAATCTAATTTGTAATCTTTTCATCTCCCTATTTCATAATTCTCACCGTCATTTCTCCCCTCATGTCAAGCACATTCACTTGCCAACCTGTCCCTATACCGTAACAGCAGTATCTACCGATGACTCCACGATATCTGAAACAGAGATCTTCCTTTCCGTTTTCACCTTTCCCTCGGGCTTCTGTTTCCACGCCTTCAACTTCACTTTGAATCCGCTGAACGTCTTGAATTGGCGTGTTGTCCGCACCCACTTCTTACATGGAGCACCTGACTTATCGAGCGTCTGGCTTACACTGTTGACGGTCAATCCAGCCGTCGACATCTCTTTTGGCCCCGTATTGATGCGGTGACTAGCAGGTTCTTCTGGAGCAGGCGACAGGCCCTTGGATGCGGCCACCGACGAATTTGCTGTAGACTTTTTCTCGTCTCCTGCCACTTTCTTGACTCGTTTAGCTTTTGGAACCGTGAACACTGGAAGTGTTCTAAGAAAGTCTGGCTGTAGGTGAAGTTTGACCAAATGCTTTTTAGGTGCCATTGTTCTGGGGACAGATATTTTGTGTTGGAGTTCAGAGATCTAACCTGATCTGGAATAGTAAGGTGCCTTGGTAAACTATGAAGTCAAGTAAACCAAAATTAAGACAGAAAGAGAAGAATTCTTTATCAGAGATCTGAAGGTAAAATGTTCAGTTGAGGTTTAGCTTCAAGACTATCTCCAGTCCCGTGCGCACACCCAATGGTCTCCACAGTACGAAGCATCCCCAACTCAGATAAACCTCCTTCAAACCTTCAACTTTTGCTTATTAATAAGTTCCACTTTTATTACCGCCTATTCAAAACCTTCAGATTTCCGTACATTGAAATGACAGAACGTATCCCTCCCATCTCTCGTCAGCAGTCCCGTCTAGATGATCTCAGTCTGGGTCTAAAACTTGACGTTAGAGCACATCAAAGGACATACGAAGGTGCATACACAAGAACAGCCATCTCATGCTTGTCATTTTCCATCGTGATTATCAAACTCTTCTCCAGAGAATTTTTGCCGGTGGGCACGGTTTACACCGCATACGGCTGTTTGCTATTCTTTATGGGGGTCATCAAGTCGGGCACCGTCGATACTTTCTACAACACCGAGAAGGACACTTTAGAGTTCAAAACCGCTGGCGATTCTGTACTCGTGCTCACAGCCATCAGTTTGGCTAGCTACGTGGCACTCCTAGTGCTCGTGTTACGGCTATAGCTTAATATATACAAGGCCATTCATAAAGTCATCAGTTAAGTTAAGGCTCCAAGCCCAAGAACAACAAGCTGCACAAGCAATTGCATCGACCAGAAGGCTACCTTCCGCATACGCATGAGCCGTGCCTCGTCGTCTGCAACGTAGTTGACAAATCCGTCATAAACCTCCTCCGAAATGTCGTCCATTAAAAGAGAGTCATAAACGGTCCACGACCCACTGAAGTCTTCAATGTTCTTCACCACCCGGCTCTTTATCTCAATAAATGCATTTCTCAGGTTGATGTAGGCCACAATGGGTCGGATCAATGCGTAATTCACATAGGAGAGCTCTGGGGCTTTGAAGGGGACCAGAGCCCTCACATTATTCAACCTAATTGTCAAGTCCAACACGAAGTACTTCAGAATATCGTGCGAGTCGATGGTGGCGTCAGTTACATCGGAATCCGCCGCTTTGGTTAAACGGGAAATATGGTCCTGCTTGGTAATGTTCACTTCCGGATTACGGTACCTGGTAGCCTCTTTGTGGATGGAATGGGTAATGATTTTGACAATCTCCGCAACGTTGAGGTCTTGAGATTCCTCAGGTACCATCACATCACCAATCATGTCAACCTTACCATCTGAGATCCACCCGAAGGGTCCTTCCAAGCCTCTATTCAAGTGGTCAAGATTCAATGAATCCACACGAAGTCTGTTAACTCGTTTCCATGGCAATGCGGCCGTCGAGTCGGTCACATCGAGAGGCATGGTGACATCATCGAAGTCATTGAGACGTTGGCGTTTGTGAATGGTAAATAGCGAATTATCATAAGAACCACTCATGATGTTGGCATTAAGGAAGTCGTAAAAGAGCCAATGTTTCCGGAGCTTCAGAAGCTCACAATTATAGATGGCTACATTAAAAGGACGGAAGTCGTTAGGTTGGAGCAAAGTGAACAATACATCCTCCATAGTGAACGAATTGAATTCAAAGTCTCCCACATGATGCACGTTCTTATAGTTTGTAGCATCATCATTAGGATCCCAATGAACGTGTGTTCTATCCACCACTCCTCGAATGCCCTTAATCTCCAACGTATCGACAATACCGGTTCCATTGACCCATTTCCAGAACGACAAGGTGATTATAACCTCTTCAATGGTCAAATCAAACTGCGTGTAATTTCCGTCATCTTCCGGTTCATTGTTAGAGGGTTCAAGACGATTGGCGTAAGCTTCAGCCTGCGAGCCCTTGAGAAACTTGGTGGTGGACTTCGGGCGTTTGCTAACGAAGCATTTTTTGAAAGAGATCTTGCCATCGGACCAGCCCGGCACAATCGCATGCTCGAAGGTGACGGTCAACTTGGAGTTCTTTGTGATGAACTCGCCTAGCTTCCTGGCCACAAATTCCTGAGCAAACACCGTGTTAAAAGTGAAGAGTACCAACAGCACAAATGTAGTGGTTCCCAAAATCAATACCAACACATTTCCAACCATCAACCATGAGAAAAGAGCCGAATAGTCGTCAGTGTTGAGTGGTCGATTCGATCTCTTCAAGAGCCACCGGAATCTCACGTTGAGTCGAGAAACAAAGTTATTGGCCCTACTCAAAAGAATTTCTTTGGTGATGGGAGTCTTTTCTGGCTTGGGTTTGGGCTCCTCTTTGGAGTTGGGAACAGGTTGTTGGTTGTGTGGGCTTTCTCCACCATTGAGAAGATGTGGAGTGGTTGAGAAGTAGGCACCAAGAGGTAGACGCCCAAGAGGTCGAATTGGACGATGAAGTGGCCGGCAGAGCGACAGAAAGAGGCGATTCTGGACTCCTATTGGCCGAATGACCGGTGGGGTTCTCCACACCGGCAGCCTTGCAAGAATCCTCCACGACATGGGAGGGAAGAGATGGTGTAGAGGCTAATTTAGACTGGTGCGAAAGCTATGTGCCCTGGAATTAGCACATATTAGTTGCTAGAAGATGACTAGAAATTGGTGAGAATACGATATAACAATGGAAGGTAAAATTTATGTGAGTTGGAGATGTTGAGTTGGGGATTGAATGCAAGATGTGGATGGAAATGTCAATTTGAGAATTAAGTATAGGTTCAGACGGCTTGGAGCTATTTGCCAGGACATACCTTGTAGACAAATGTGGAAGTAATAAATAGCAATAAACCAGGAGATTGAATAGTATTGATACTGAAACTGCAATTTCCACCCGGGTCGAAAATTCAAGAAATTTGCAAAATTCCGAAATTCCCCCTGGTGTCCAGTTTATCCCAATCTCAATCCTAGAACACATATATTCATGCCCAGAAGTGCGTCATTGACTGAGTCATAAGTCTCAAATGCAACGATTACAAATAATACGACAAGATTGTCGAATCACAATAGGGCCAATTCCATCTCGGAATCTTCCTCTGCTGCCCATATCTTATCACCGCCAAGTTTTTCATTGACTCACTCCAAAATGAGTCAGGCCTATCTATATAAAATCGCGACCTTCCATTATCTACCTCCACATCCAATCTAATCAAAATGTCATTCGGCCACGGTTTCAAGACGAAATACTTCCCCATCTCAGACAACTCCTACAATCCGGTCAATCACGGATCGTATGGATTGCCCCCTCAATGTGTCATCGACAAGTACTACAAAGAGTTTTGTGCTGATTTGGCCAGTCCTGATACCTATGCACTTACTATTCAGCCTGATTCGTATGCTGCATCGCTCAAGGCTGTTGCAAAATTCTTGAATTGCTCATACAAGAGATTGGCGTTTGTGGATAACGCTACAACTGGTGTGAATTGCGTGTTAAGATCGTATCCGTTTAAGAAAGGTGACAAGATCGTCATGCCATCCACCACCTACGGAGCCTGTGCCAACACGGTGCGCTTTTTGGAGCAGAAGATTGGAATTGAGGTGGTTGTGGTCGATCTCGTCTTCCCTCTTACCGATGCAGAAGTTGTTGCTGCGTTCAAGAAGGCATTTGACGAAAACACTGTCACCTTGGCACTCTTCGACACCGTGGTATCCATGCCAGGAGTGAAATTGCCTTTCAAGGAATTGGTGAAGTTGTGTAAGGAGTATGGTGTCTTGTCTTTGGTTGACGGAGCACACTCTATTGGATTGCTTCCAATGGACTTCGCTGATTTCGAGCCAGACTATTACGTTTCCAACCTTCACAAGTGGCTTGGACTCCCTCGTGGTAATGCCGTGTTGTACGTGGATCCCAAGCACTTCCGGACCATCCAAACGATGCCTATCAGCCACTCATACGTGAGCACAGATGCTGAACTTACTGCTGAAGAATTGGACAATCTTCTTGTCACCAAATTCACCTTCACTGGATCTAAATGCTACGCCTCGGTTGCCGCCATTGAAGAGGCGATTCGGTTCCGTGCTGAAGAGTGTGGAGGAGAGGATGCTATCCGTAAATACTGCTTCGGGCTTGCTCGTGAGGTTGGCGAGATGGCCGAGAAAAAGTGGCCTGGATTGAAGATTATCGAGAACGAGGAAAAGTCCTTGGCCACTGCTATGATCACGGCTTACGTTCCGATGGAAGACTACTCCAAGTCGTTCGATGCATCGAACCTTGTCGCCGCCAAAGCGTTCATCAAATTTGCTCCGCAGTACCAGATCAAGAATTACAAGTCTTACTTGCCATTCGCTGTACACGGTGGAAAGATTGTGGTTAGATTCTCTTGCCAGGTCTATAACGAGCTTTCTGACTATGAGTATGCCATTGAGGTTGTGCAGAAGACTATTGAGGCGTTCTTTTTGTCTGAGTTTGACAAACTTTCGTTGTAGAGAACTATGGAGATTAGAACGAGGAATAACCATCTTCCGAAGGTGAAAAATGACTGTGAAGATAGAACATCTGATTGATGAAACATCCAAATTGAACCTTAAAGATCACAACCTTTAAGGTGACTTCAAGATGTCAACCTTTAAGATGACAACCTTTCCATATTAGAAACTTACTTAAATTAGAATTACCACCACTTTATAAGTTTTAGTTCAAAACATTCTAACGACTAGAAACACATGTAGATACAAGCATTATTTACTGCGAATTCGATGGCCTCAGAAATAGGGACTATCTTACTAATTCAATAAACCCGAGGATATTCAAATCTGGCCGGGCAAAAAATATCGGAAAAATAGTGAAAGAGCCGTTGTACGGAATAATACACAACTAACAAAAAATAACCGGCGTAAATAAACATACACGGTGATTTGAAAAAAAATACGCTTCAAATCATCACATAGATTTACTGGTCGCGTATCCCTCTTCCAAACACTCGTAACCAACTATTTTTCAATTAACCTCCATGCATACCCACTGGTAACATGGGTAGTTGCTTCAATTGATTATATCCACGCTATCGCACTTTAGTGATTCATGGAATGGAAGTTGTCGCAAGATTATGGTGCAGGTATCTACCCCCATGATGTAATGAAGATCATACCCTCCACATCGGGCAGGTAGCCAGCCAGCCAATCAGCCAGCATACCATAGAACATTAGCCCTGAGTCCAGGCACCAGTGTCGTTTTATGTCGGGCGCCAACCTGATCTAGGCTTCATAATGTTTCTCCGCAAATAAGCAGCGATGCATGCACTTGCAGTCTCGTACATGAAATTACCTTAACACCACACAGCTTTACAAGCTACAAATTTATTTACCTTGAGTAGTAATGTATTAATGGAAGAATAAAATAATGGTGCGTGAAGAAACATGGTACAATCTAAAAGAAAATCAAGTTTTGATGTGAGAGTCGAAACCCTCTGTTGCAAAGTTGGATCCAGCCACTTCATGTAGCAACTAGAATCCACACTGGTTAGGGTACTGTCTGTCGTTCAATGGCTGTGGGAAAACTCCAGCATCAATCAACTTGCTCAAGTCCCAGTCAATAGCGTCCTCACACTTCCAGTTCCAGAAGATCCATCCGGCAGTCTGCTCAAATGCATCAAGCTGTGCCTCCAAGTACTTACGAACGTCGGACTTATGGGAGTCAGTCCACAGGTCCACGCTCACGTAGCTGTCACACAGTCCGTGATAAGAAGACCCGTCGTAGTTGCCCTCCCAACGGGCGCCACGGTTAACACCGTTCAACCAGTAGGCACAGTCAGTAAGGGCAGCAGAGAACTCACCAGCAACGTTCCAGTGGTATTCGGACTTGGCACCGGTACCCCAGGAGCAAGCAACGGAGATGTGGTCGTCGATAGATCTAGACAACTCTCCCGAGCTAAACACTTGGTAGTGGTGGTGGTCCAAAATCACATCCCAGTAGCCTCCGTTTGAAGTCAATTCTTTGTCCCAGTAGTTGTAAGGCATGAAAGCATCGTGAATAATGACATTGTTCACAGACACAGAACGCATGTTCTTGTAACCCCACTGGTAGAAATTCTTGAGCTGGTTCAAATCGGCAGATGGACCCAAAGGCTCGTTCAAGAGCTCAATTCCCGTGATGACATCCTCATAATCCCAACCTCCGTACTTGTCGAAAATATCCTGCAAGGCAGTCAACGTGACTTCGATATTATTGCTGGATTGGAAACCAATCTCGTCTCTCAAGCCCGAGTTGTCAAAACCATTCTGGGAGCCTGGAGCACCGTGCAAGTCCACCCAGACCTTAAGGTCATTGTTTCTGGCCCACTCAATGGCCTGGTCCAAGTATTCCACCTGGCCCTGAACATATGGATCGTCATCCAAGAGTCTGAATGCCCAGTATCCGATAGGGATACGCACGTGGTTGAGACCAGCTTGTTTGATAGCTTTGAAGTCATCCTCAGTGTACCACGACAGCCAGTGGTTTTGCAAAACCTTCAAGGCTTGATCTTTACCTAAAGCCTGAGTGAAGTGGTACTCATCAACAGGAACTTCATCGAACTTTTCAAAAAGTGAAGGAGTAATGTAAGGCTCCAAAACAAACCAACCTCCAAGGTTGACACCTTGTACCTTGTCGTTTGCGTAGTCCCACAGCGTGGAACGCTTCTTGGGAAGTGAAAGGCCTAGAGCCGCAGTGGCCAATGTAAGGAATGAAAGATATCTCATGGCGAGCACAAAGATGGCGTGAAAACAAAAAAAATCAATGGATTGGAGGAAAAGCCGATGCGGTATACTTTATAGCAAACGCAAAGGTGCAATCCATGCGCCACAAACGAGGCATTCCATGCGACTGAATTTGAATAGCCAGCGCGATAATGCGTGTGGATTATGCGAAGGAACGGGAGTATTGGATGCGACGCGGGCATTCCGAGATGGGGGCCGAATTATTAATAGTTGACCGGAGTCCATAATTGAAAAACAAAGTACAACGGGCTACTCGGAATGCTTGGAGTTCTATACTTGTGCCACTGGTTATACACTGGCTGATGACTACTATTAGATGGTGCTGGCTAGGGGGACATTGCTGCCAAACTTGCCTGAGGGTATTTTTTCGTTTGAGAGGTTTTTCCCTATCCTGTCTGTGTTATCGTATATTAGTCGCAGTTTCACCTCCTGTCAGGAGGCCCCGTGCGGCCACCGATTGGCCCCCCAGAAGCACAAGAAAAGTTACATTTCTGGGTTCTTAGAGGTTGCTGGACAAGCCCTGACGACCCCTCGACTTGCTGTTTTAATAAATATCCAGTGACTTGCCACGAGGGGAAGGAAAAAAAAGACTGATGGGTTGGGCCACATGTGTAAGGAAAGGCAATAAATCAGTCAACTGCGAGAGGTGAATTATTTTCTCACTACGCGAACAACTTCGTAGTTGAAAAGTCAACAATGAAGATCCTTATTATGGTTGACAAGCTTGCCGCTATTTATTTTATTTTATTTTTACTTTTGTTTTTTTTCATCAGATCTTCAATACATGTTGGCATTCTTGCATGATTGGTGATTGCCATACTGTTACATTATTGTCACGCTTGTGCTGGTGTTCTCTTACTGTATTGTTATTGTTCTATTTCTGTCACTGTACCAGATGAATCTATTGCTTTTGTTCTTACTGTCAGTCAATTGTATTGATGTTCTATTGCTGTTGCTCCTGTAGTTGCCTTGATGCTGTTATTCCAAGGTCATTCTCATAACTATCTCATAACTATCTCCATTACTACCTCATCTCTCATAACTGTCATTACTGGCCCCTGCTGCTTGTTAATTGACACCGCAGAGTCGCACTGGTTTCCATGCACGGCCACATGACAAATAAAAATGGTGGAGGTTCCCGTGAGACTTGAAATGTTTCGTTCCGGCTCTTCGACCAGTATGTTTCATCCTGGCAGTTAGAGGCTTCGAGGTCTACCTCTGACGGTGTCTTCACACCGGAATTTGCCGCCACATGAACACCAAAAGGGGCTCTTCACACAGGACTTACGTAATGTGCCAAGGACTGCACCGAATCACCACGGTTCCAAATCATATACGAACAGGGTTTAGAATGGAGAGAGAGAATGGAGGAGTAGACTACTGTGAAAAGTGGAGACGTCACATAATGGGGTGTGAGAGTTCCAAGAACATGATATGTAAAAAAAAAATTGTCAAAATGTTCAGAAAAGTAAACTATAATACGCAGTCAAAATTTAAAACTGTCCAATCAATACATGTTCCACTCTAAAAAATATTGTCGTTTATCTCACGGGACCAAAGATCGTACAGCCCAAAACATCAAGATAACACAAGAGTATCGACATACCCAAAGTTGATTTGGAGCACACATTTCAACCGTTTTCTTTCTCTCGCCTATGGTCACACTATCCTTCACCACTACTCCACCTGCTCCACTATTGCGTCCTTCATTTTGACATTCCCCACCGTCAAGGTTTTTTTTTACCCCCACCTGATTTCCTCCACCTGAATTTACTCCTCTCCAATTCCGCTCCACTTGTCACATTCACCTCACCCTTTCTCATTCAGGTTGTCACTTTCACCTCCACCCGATAATTTCAATTCTCTTTTTAATTTTCATGAAAGTTATGTTTGGACTTGATTTTAACTTAGAAATCCACCACTCTGAACTTCTGTTTCTGCTGCTCACTCAAGCCTTATCTACGCACGGAATCTTTCACTGTTCGGTCTCACAAGCATAAAACTTTCTTACAGTAAAAATTCTGAACAGTCTATATCACGTATCCATGTAAACCTGAACTTCTCTAATAAACCAAATCTACCCTAGCTAACCAGAACTGTTCTTTCTAGTACTGTACTTCACAGAACTGTACTTCCCAGAACTACTTTCAGAGCTCTTTTCTACGCATCCATGCTTTTCAGATATATGCTGATAAGCTTTTCAGATCTATGCTTGTATGCTTTATTCATGCAAGTTCCTTCCAAAGCCACATCCATCTAACCTCCATTGCCCGAACGTTGATTACGTCAGAGAAGAAAGTTTGACCTCCCGTTGCCCGCACCTACCATCCCCCAGGCATAACTCTTTCCCTATTGGATTTCTTTTTCAGCAACATCTTCATACAAACTACCAAAAACTACTCATCTACCATGAAAAAACAAATGCAACCTATCCCACAGCCCACAAGCCGAATGTCCGCCTATCTCTACCTATTCCATCCCGCTAAAACCGCGGATTGGTCTCCGATCTTCGTTCATAGCGGGATATGTCATCTCCACCTTATCGACACCTCAGACCCTGCAGGACTGTGTCGAGAGGAGTTTTCTGTTCTGTAATTTGACATCGAAGAAAACTCTAGTCTTGGCGGCCCTCGACCCAGCTGTCAACTTTGACGGATCTCAGTATGTTTACCCAAAGCCCTACTCCACGAACGGAAAAACTCATTTTGAAGCCGAACCTGGGGTAAACCTGCTTATGTTCCCAACTCAGAGCCGCATGCCCGTCAATCTTTCAAATGCGGCAATTCGAACCTTGTTCTACTTGTTATCGCAAAATGCGATAAGTGCTGCTGCCTTATAATACGCACTTCGTCTCCACTTGGGTCATACCCCGACATCTACAAGGAGCTTGTCTTTAGGCATTTTCTGCTCGAATACTTCCTTGGTTTTCTATCGGCCCAACTTTTAAAGGCCAGCTTTCTATTCGAGAGTTTTTTTTACTCGAGTTTTTTCCCATATTTTTCCATCGTTGCTCGACAAAATGTCGGAAGGCATCATGTCAGATGGTGTCAAGTTGGAAAACGTCAAGTCAGACGCCATCTTTTCCATCAACTCAAAATCCAACGATGACTTCATTCCGGGAACCATAAATATTTATTCCTTCAGTGCCCAAGAAGGTGAAACCGACTTGCAGGTGACAGATGATCACATCATTCTCTTACCTCAACCTACCCAGTCGGTCAACGACCCTCTCAACTGGACCAAGAGCAAGAAGTTGTGGAACTTTTTTGTTTTGGCCTTCATTACGGGTTTCACTGCTGCTACGTCCAACGATGCTGGCTCCATTCAGGACTCGCTTAACGAGATTTACGGAATCTCTTACGATGCCATGAACACAGGTGCCGGTGTCTTGTTTATTGCTATCGGATGGGCAACTTTCCTATTCACTCCATTTGCCAGTTTGTACGGAAGAAAAATCACCTATTTCATCTGTATCTTCCTTGGTCTTGGAGGTGCCGTGTGGTTCTCCCAGTGTAGAACCACCTCCGACAGTATTTGGTCCCAGTTGTTTGTGGGAGCTTCTGAGGCTTGTGCCGAAGCACATGTGCAACAGTCACTTACCGATATGTATTTCCAGCATCAACTTGGTTCCGTTTTGACCGTCTATATTACTGCTACCTCCGTGGGTACTTACTTGGGTCCATTGATTGGAGGCTTTATTGTTCAGTACGTTGGTTTCAGATGGGTGGGATGGATTGCTGTTTTCATCTCCGCTGCCTTGTTGATCGTCATTGTCTTCGCCATGCACGAGACCTACTTCGACAGAAGACTCTATCATGGTGTCATTCTGACGGGACTTCCGGGAACTGAGGCTCGCAATGAGAAAAAGGTTTTGGAGAAGAAGACCATCGTAGACTCCAAGAACTCTGACTCCAACTCGGTGAACTCCAACTTGTCGAAACATGATAACGATTTGGAATTGGCCAGAACAGCTAACAATGGAGCCTCAGAACCCAAGAACAGCTACTGGAAGTCTGTGGCCATGATCACTCCCTCTACCAACATGATTGGTACTGGTTTCAAGCAGTATTGTAAGCGTCTCATTTTGCTTTTCAGAGTGTTCCTCTTCCCTCCATGTATTTTCTCCGGTTTGGTGTGGGGAATGCAAGATGCCTTGTTGACTTTCTACTTGACTGTGGAAGATGACCAATACTACGACCCACCATACAACTACAGCAACACTGGTGTTGCGCTCATGAACGTTCCATGTTTGATTGGTTCCATCATTGGATGTATCTACGCCGGTGTTGTCTCCGATTGGTTCACCATCTGGATGGCCAAGCGTAACAATGGTATCCAAGAAGCTGAGTTCAGACTCTATTTCCTTATTATACCAGCCGTGTTGTGTCCTGTTGGATTGATCCTTTTTGCCGTGGGAACTGACCAGCAATGGCATTGGTTCCCCACCTATTTCGGTTTGGGACTTGTGGGTCTTGGATTTGGTTCTTCTGGTGACGTTGCCATGGGTTATTTAATGGATGCATACCCTGAGATGGTCATTGAAATGATGGCCGGAGTGTCTGTGATCAACAACATGTTTGGATGTATTTTTACCTTTGCTTGCTCGCCATGGTTGAATGCTATGGGAAACACCAAGACGTTTATTATTTTGGCAGTGATCACCTGTGTGATTATGGGCAGTAGTATTCCATTCATTTATTTTGGTAAGAGAATTCGCTTGTGGACCAAGCCTTGGTACCTTGATTTCTGTGAAAGAAGAGACAGAATGGAAGGATAGATTAGTAATTGATTTAATAAGAGAATAACAGAGAATTACAGAGAATAACAGAGCATGGCTGATAGTAATAGAGAGTAACTGGACTATATGGAGTAATTGGCTGCGAAAGTGTTGTAATGAAGGGGTATACCATTTTCCATGCACAAACAACTTACGTATACGAGAAAAAAAGGACTAAGATACTGGCAAGTACAAGTTGCATCCCCAATTCCTAAACCAATTGATTTTCATGTTTTCAAGTTAACCAACCAAATATTTTATAGATGATACAATCCTACACACAGTTAGAATATCATCGGGGCACCAACCCTAAGCTTAAGCACGTGACTCAAAGTGTCCCCACGCACTGATAAAAAATTTGATGTGAAAATCCACCTCTCTCTTACTCATCTGTCAAAACTAAGACATAGTCTGCCTATTGCTTAAATTGATTATCTCTAGTTCAAAATGTCTACTGAATCTGCTTTGTCCTACGCCGCCTTGATCTTGGCCGATGCTGATGTCGAAATCACCGCCGACAAGTTGAACACCTTGGTTTCCAAGGCCAACGTTGAAGTCGAGGGTATCTGGGCTGATCTTTTCGCCAAGGCTCTTGAGGGCAAGGACTTGAAGGAGTTCTTCTTCAACTTCTCCTCTGCTCCAGCTGCTGCTGCTTCTGGTGCTGCTGGTGCCTCTACTGGTGCTGCTGCTGAGGAGGCTGCTGAGGAGAAGGAGGAAGAGGCCAAGGAGGAGTCCGACGACGACATGGGTTTCGGTTTGTTCGATTAAACGTGTTGTAATATATGGTTAATAAATCTTCATCCTTTAACAAGTGTAGAATTGTAGGTGAGAACTGAATGGAGAATATGTGTATCGATAGAATCGTGTCTATAGAGATGCACTTAACGAAACATATGAAGATATGTTAGAAGGTGCACTTAAAGATATACACATAAGAAATAAGGAAGTAATGATAGAGACAGTTAATCACTTTAGTGAATATTCATATGCTCATAAAATACATATACGTTACTCGTACATATACATACATTCAACTACTACAAGTACATCATCCATACATCGCTAATGTTTAAGTACACATCAACAAAGTGAAGTGTCCCTGTCAAGTCATTCCATTCCATCTCTTTCATATCTACCTACTCCAAATTCTACACCGATCATTCTCTGACGTGGACCGTTTCAGTATTATTAACCAAGTATGTAACATTTACTTCTTCTTCTTGTCAGCCTCGGCCTCGGCCTTCTCCTTGGCTCTCTTCTCTCTGATGCCCTTGTATCTCTTCTCGTCTCTGGCCTCTCTCAAGGTTCTGTAAGCAGTCTTCTCTGGGACAACAACAGCTCTTGGGGCAGACTCTGGAGCAGACTGCTCAACTGGGAAAGTGGCAGCAGCAGAAACCTGAACACCCTCAGCAGCAGACTTCTTGGAGAAGATGACCAACTTAGACTGGTACTCGTTCAATCTAGCAACGTTGGCGTCGAAGGTCTCCTGGGACTTGTTCTGTCTTCTGTGGTCAACAGCAATGCCAATAGTTCTAGCGTACTTAGCAGACAAGCCAGCAGCCTTAACCTCAGCCAAGGTGAAACCTCTACCGGCTCTAACCTTTCTGTTGTACTTGACGGTTGGGCATCTAACAATTGGTCTCAAAGAGTCCACTGGCTTTGGGGCAACCTTAGCAGCCTTGGCCAATCTAGATTGTCTTCTAGAGTACTTCTGGCCAGCCTGGTTAAAGTGGACCTTGACACGCTCTTGCCAGTGCTTTCTGAAGTGGTTCTTCAACAATGGTAAGTTCTTGGAGATAGCCATTTTTACTGTTAGTGAATAAAGAACTGGGAGAAGAATTTTTTTTTCGCGCTGCCAGTGGATAGTATGGAGTGCCCGTAGGATGGGAAATGGCCCGCCTGCATAATATATGGTGAAGCGAACCTATTGGGGGAACTTTGGATTTTCGCAGTCACACGGCACGTGATACACGCGAAATTCGCCCTCTTTTCTAGCGTACATTTGGGCATGATTTGAACATATGCAGGTAGTATATCATTTCCATACTGCACACAACCAGACAATCCTAAGGCCTCACTACTGCCCATAGTTAACCATAGATTCATAAAAGGCTTGAAATCCAAAATTTACCCAGTGCACCCGTACATCCCGCACTCATACACTCCCACTATCCAGAAAAACTTTTCTCTCCAATCCTTTTTTCACTCCTAATACCTATCATTCTAAATCAAGATGTCCACTCCATCTGTCCAGGTATGTTTTAACTTGGAGCGTTATGGCTAGTTTTGACCGCCAACCACCAATCATGACTATTGAATCCGCATGAAATGAAAATTATTTCCATCGCATCTATTCGTCCCAACCAAACTTTCATGATCAAATTCACCATCAAATTCACAGAATACTAACCTCTCCAGACTTTTGGTAAGAAGAAGACCGCTACTGCCGTTGCCCACGTTAAGGCCGGTAAGGGTTTGATCAAGATTAACGGTTCTCCAATCACCTTGGTGCAGCCAGAGATCTTGCGTTTCAAGGTTTACGAGCCATTGACTTTGGCTGGCTTGGACAAGTTCCAGAACATCGACATCAGAGTCAAGGTCACCGGTGGTGGTCACGTCTCTCAGGTGTACGCTATCAGACAGGCTATTGCTAAGGGTTTGGTTGCTTACCACCAGAAGTACGTTGACGAGGCTTCCAAGAACGAGCTCAAGAAGATCTTCGCTTCTTACGACAAGACCTTGTTGGTTGCTGACTCTAGAAGAATGGAGCCAAAGAAGTTTGGTGGTCGTGGTGCCAGAGCCAGATTCCAGAAGTCTTACCGTTAAGAGTGGTTGTTGTATTGTGGAAGGCATAATATCTTTTATCTCATTACACCGCCTCTTTTATCTAATGTATAAATAAAAGCACGTATCATTGGTGAATTCAGTGTAGCTTGTTGTTTGCATTGTGTAGATGGGTTTATGTTTAATGCTCCGGAGATGATCCAGGTTTGGATAGTCGATCCATAAGGTTATGTATTTGTTCTTTGCTTTGTATAATGATAAAATTCAGTCAAGCTCATCTTCATGGAATGTTCAATGTGGTTCTAAGTTAGATATTTACTTTATTCTACATCTTCCGAAAGCATTATTCATACTGGACATTCCCTCGCCCATGCTTGGCACTCATAACATTGTTGCTTTTTGAAATTAGTTCTAAGCTGACATCTCTGTTCGGTTCAGTTCTTCACAGTTTTCGTTTTAAAATTTCCCCTTTCATTTCCCGTTGTAGAATCCATCTTTTCTCTCCTTCTATAATTTTCTGTTTCTTTTATTTTTTCCTTCATTCCTTTTACTTACTCTTCCTCCATCTCTCTCTTATCACCTTCAATTTCTACTTTCGCATTCAATTCTCGTCGAATCCTCAATAATCACATCTCTCATTAATGCCGATAAAACGAACATCTTAACATATTATCGCAGACAAAACCATCCACTTACACTTTTCAGACATTAAAACCCTTTATCTAGATGAAAGGGCCACATATTCATTTTTTCCCCATATCTCGTCTCCAACTCCACCTCTGATCTCACTATCTACACTACCTACTACTTGTGACCACATAAATCATTCATGGCTTGGGTCAATTCATGCGCCACCTTTCTGATCCCGCTACTGCTATCTCCTCCGATAGTGGCAATAACTCCCATCCCACAGACTCCACTTTTAGCCGTGGTAACCTCATCTACCGTCGCCATCTATGAGTCTTCTTCACTATTACCTTTAGCCATTCATAAACGTGCAAATGAATGTTTGACGAACCACAAGCAGTCTGTTTCTGCCCGAATCAGACACGTGTCGGTGGACACATCCAAACTAGGCCACATGCACTCGGTCAATCTCTATATCCAGACTGCTGCAGACTATATCTTGATCTACCATCTTTTCGTCAACTACTCTCGGTCTTTGTATGAGGTGACCGACGTTAACAATGGCGAGCGCTTACTTCAGAACTCTAAGCCTTTGGCTTCGGATAACTCTCGGTTCAACTTGGCCAACTTCATCAAAACGGCTACGAAATCCATCATTCAAGGTGGCTCCGCAGATACCAACTTGACCAACATGGAACACTTCAATAATGCAGCCGTGGATGACGACCAGCGTAACGAGAACATTCCTTTGGTGAAATTGACCATGATAAAAATCCTTCGAATGAACGCAGGCATCACAGGATTCTGGTGTAAACTGAATTCCCAGAACTTGATATTCACCAATGATTGCGACGAGATCCAGATCCTCAACCTCAAGACGTTCAACAACGAGATTATCAAGCTTGCGGACAGTAAGTGGTATTATGATACTACATTGATTGAGTACAACTTGAACGATAACTACTTTTTACACTTGAGTTCCACTGGAGAGTTGGGAGTTCTTCAGTTCAACCAGTCCAAATCTTCAGTGGCCGTGGACTACACTCTTCTCACCAAGCTTGATTTTGAATGTCGCCATATTCTTATAAATCCGCAGTACAATTTGGTCATTCTCCAGTCAGACACGGACTTGAAGATTTACAAGGTGACTCTTGGCGCTAAGACATCCACACTCTGTTTTATTAAGACTTTGTATGAGTTCACCAATTCCAGCCAGTTATCGTGCAAATGGTCTCCATGCGGATCTTTTCTTATTGTGTGGAATATGCAAACAAACTACTGGAAGATGATATCCAAGTTTGGCTTCATCCTCTTTGATTCAAAAGCATTGTCTGAAGAGATCGCTGCCGCAGATATAGATTCAGAAAACTTACTGAGAGTTAATGACTTCTGTTTTGTCTCGGATTGTGCCATTGCCCTCAACTCCCAGACGCTCTACATCTTGAACAAGGATTCGTCCAAGATATACCACCTTGATCTCCTAAGGTTGCTGGAACGGTTCTCCAACATGTCCATATTTCACGATGAAAACTATATCAGCGTTCCAGTTTCGGAGTCCAATTCCTTTGCTCGATTCCCCATTCTCCCCACGTTCCAAAAGGTGTTGTCTCATTTCCAGTATGTGAACGGTACAGCGTTGGCATCCTCTCACCGTAAGCCTACCGGTTATTTTACTATTCGTGTCAGCGAGTCTCTGCAACTTTCTATGTCATATGGGCCGCATCTTGCAATTTCGACTCCTATCAAATTAGGTTCCGATTTCTCCCATCCACTCTGGTATGTTTTCTACAACCACTTTGTTGAGCCCTTGAACATCGTTAACCATTTCTGGGTCAAAGACAACTTGATTCTAATCAATAGATACGCCAGGGATGATGTGGACCCAGAGGAATTTCCTGACATGATGATTGACGAATTAATGATTCTCAATACTGCTGCATCCAAGTATGGTGCCGGAGGTGCCAATTTCAAGTTCGATAGCGACTCATTGGTATGGAGACATTCCTTTCGCAATAGAATAGTCACCTTTGAATTGATCGACCTGGTAGATGGTATGAAAACATTGGTATTGATCACAAATGACATGCGTATCATCTTGATGGAGCTTTCAAAGGGGGAACGGTCTGAAAAGCCAGGAGCTATGAAAATATCAATTCGTGTTCGCAGAACTATTCATTTGTCTAGCATCAAGCATAAGTTACCCATTACACTCATCCAGCAAATGACAATGGTGGATGGGAAGCACTTCTTCTTCCTTTTGAACAATGGTGATTTATATTTGTTGAAGAACCAGATCACTAGTCCAGAGGATGAAGTTGCAAATCAGAGGGGCACCACTCAAGTGAACAACATGTATGATTTGATTAAAATCAGTTCCGCGGTCGAATCTTTCCAGGTGAGTGAGATCAATTTCAACCAACAGCGTCACAATCGGTATATCACCTTCTTCAACGGCGGTGAAGTCTTGGTTTATAATATGGGAGAGCTCGTTGAACGCATTTACGAGTTTGAAGGAGTTGAGCATTCCAGTGAGGTAGATGTAGAGAAACCACTCCGGCCCATCAAGATCAAGATCGCCAGTTTCATGCCCCTCAGAATTTACCAGTCAAATGGGTCCATCGAAGTTGCGGGCTTTGAGTATCAAGCTATGGTTAAAAGCGATTTTCTTATTTTGAAGCACCGGCCAAGCAGGCAACTCATTTTGAACAAGTTCATTCAGCACGATTTGTTCGAGTCCAATCTACTGACCATGGAAATCACACGAAAATTCTCCAATTTCGGCAACTACGACTACTGCTTGGAACTTTTGCTTTTCGAGAATTTGTACGAGAGTGATGAAGCGAACCGGCTCCGTAAAGTGTGTCAGTTGGTGGATGCAACTGCCAACTCTGACTCCATCTACATCAACTTCTTGCGCAAGATCGAGGTGAAGTACTGGGACCAATTCTTCAAGTTGCTCGACCAGACGCCAGTGGGATTTATGAACAGGCTCCGAGAATCCAATAACGTGGAGCTCTGTTACAATTACCTCAACATCTACCTCAATTTCAAGCGAGAATTCGAGAGTTCTGTTACCCCCTTCGAAACCGAAGAAAAGGGATCAATTCTAGACGCAAAGGACTGTGAACTTATCAAGCAGATCATCAAGATGCTTCTTGAAGCACAGAAATGGGATGAATGTTTTGAATTGTGCAGATATATCAAACTCTTGCAACCATCAGGAAATATTCTCCGCGAAATCCGCCAATCCATCTGAGGCATTATGGTTTGCACACGCCGCGCATTTTGACCAACCAAAAACTTTCAATTATCAACTACACACTCTGAGAACGTTTGCAAGACAACCTTTCTGAAACATGACTCTCGCCACAGAATTCGCCGAGACCACTCGTCGCTCGCTCACCCATGCTGAAATGAGAACCAGAGTGCTCCACTTGTACCGCAAATACATCAGAAACGCAAAGGAATTTAGTGACTTGTACGAGTTGGACATGCCAGTTTCCAACGTTAAAACCAAGATCAGACAGGAGTTTGAGAGACAGAGATTCGTCAACGATTTGGCAGTTACCAACGTTCTCTACGCCAAGGGTCAAATGGAGTTCCAAGAGTTGATCAACTTCTGGAAGCAGCAGTGCCATGTCTTGAGATACTTTGAAGACCAGCACGACTACAATGTAGTCGACAAGGATGATTTCGTCAAGAACTTCTTGAGAGGAAACAACTGATAGAACTACTGCCTGAAAAGGAATGCATAGGCTAACACGAGCCAAAATATACTGTCTGGGCCAGAAACTCAGTGTCTCGGATTAGTGCCTGGACACATGTGCTATAGTCACCAATAGGATCATTATCAATAAATAAGAACAGATTATGTTCAACTTGTAGGAGTAGAAAGCATTATTGAGAGTTATCTACGATTCTTATACCATAGGATTTGCACTCAGATATTATTAAACTTAAAATGAAAGATAGCCGACAAAGAGAAGAAAGATAAAAAAACTATAGAAGAGATGGGGGTATTAACGATCTATCCGACTGCATCACATTAATCATTGGACTGTTTAGTCCATGTTGTCAGCCAATGGGACTTCCTCGGCGCCGTAATCCAATTCTTCATCATCCTCTACACCTGCCTCTTGGTACTGCTGGTATTCACTCACCAAGTCGTTCATGTTGGACTCAGCCTCAGTGAACTCCATCTCGTCCATACCTTCTGATGTGTACCAATGTAAGAAAGCCTTTCTTCTGAACATAGCACTGAATTGGTCTCCAACTCTCTTGAACAATTCCTGAATGGAGGTGGAGTTACCAATGAAAGTGGCTGACATGTCCAAGTCTCTTGGTGGAACAGAACAAACGGCAGTCTGCACGTTGTTTGGAATCCACTCAACGAAGTAGTCTGCATTTCTGGTTTGGACCTTAAGCATCTCGTCATCAACCTCCTTGACTGAGACGTTACCTCTGAAGAAAGCAGCAACAGTCAAGTAACGACCGTTTCTTGGATCGGAAGCAGCCATCATGTTCTTGGCATCGAACATTTGCTGGGTCAACTCTGGAACAGTCAAAGATCTGAAGGACTTGGAACCGATTGAGGTCAATGGAGCATAACCAACCATGAAGAAGTGCAATCTTGGGAAAGGAACTAAGTTAACGGCCAATTTTCTCAAATCGGAGTTCAACTGGCCAGGGTAACGCAACGAGGTGGTAACACCGGACATAACGCTGGACACCAAGTTATTTAATTGGTCGTAGTTTGGCTGAGGCAACTTCAAGGTCTTCTGACAAATGTTGTACAAGGCCTCGTTATCGATACAGAAGGTCTCATCGGAGTTCTCAACCAACTGGTGGACAGACAAGGTTGCGTTATAAGGCTCGATGACGGTATCGGACACCTTTGGCGAAGGGACCACAGAGAAAGTGGCCATCATTCTGTCAGGAAACTCCTCTCTGATTCTGGAAATCAACAAAGTACCCATACCGGAACCAGTACCTCCACCTAAGGAGTGAGTGATCTGGAAACCTTGCAAAGAGTCACAGCCTTCGGCCTCTCTTCTGACCACTTCCATGACGGAGTCGACCAATTCAGCACCCTCAGTGTAATGTCCCTTGGCCCAAACATTTCCGGCGGACGATTGACCGAAAATATAGTTGTCTGGACGGAACAAGTTTCCGATACGCGAGGCCTTGACGCTGTCGATAGTTCCAGGCTCCAAGTCTACAAGAACCGCACGTGGAACGTATTTGCCCGAGGAGGCTTCGTTGAAGTACACGTCCAACTTTGCCTTTTGGATTCCGTCGTCTCCATGGTAGTTTCCGTTGTTGTCTAATCCGTGCTCGCCACAAATGGTTTCCCAGAAGGCGGCACCCTATGAGTTAGTATGATGATCTGGAAAAAAGTGATTTGGATATGGAAGATTTGAATGCTTTGAACATGGAACACGCTTATAATATATGGCGAATCAGCCACAAAAAGGACGAGAATTCTCCACTTTTGAACATGTCAAGCCCTCGAAAAAACGCTTTAACATACAATTTGGTTACCACATTGACCGGTGGACAAATGAATCTAGACGGTGTTAGTAAATGAAGATAATGAGTTGGAGAGATGGCACTAGGAAAATGGATGAGATTTCCGGGAGGTTCAACAGTGCCAACAATGATGCATTTTATAAACTTGGATACACATACAATCTCTCTCATGTTTGTTGCTTGGCTAGAGAGTCGACGTTGGTGATTTAAGCGGTAGTATTTTGTTTTTGTTTTCTAGTAGGAGATTTCGGGTTGCGCACGCCGCGGATGTTTAGATTTTTCCCTTTTGGGGAAGGGTGGATTGATTCGAGTTTGGCGTGATTGAACGGACGAGACGTGTTTGGGGAAAATTTGGAGAAACTGCGAGCAGATATAGAGGAGCATGGTTTCAGAGAAAATTTTGGTGTTGGTTTGGAGGAATTTGGGGTAGGTTTAAAGTTTCGCATATGAAACCATTTAGGTAAGGCAAGTTAAGTGAGGCAAGTTAAGTGAGGCAAGTTATGTGAGGCAAGTTGAATGAGGGTGAACTAGGTAAGATGAACTAGGTGAATTAGGGAAAAAAATGGATATTATGATTTATTTTCGATACTTTCTGAAATAAAGGAGGAGAAAGGAGATGGAAATTGTGAATTTGAAATTTTGTTGTGGATTTTGTTTGGCTAAAATGGGCCGTTAGGACCAGTGATGAGAATTCGTAGAATCTTGATGTCTGGTGGAATTATCATCAAAAAGGTTTGAGATGATATCTTGATGAAAAATTTGGCTGAAGGATGGGAGTATTCAAGAGACTCATTGACATCTACGCTTTAAGAAGTAGAATTATGTAAGATCGCTATTGTAGCTTTGTCCTGTCAATTAGGATTCTATGCGCATAGTAACTTCCGTCTGGTGAACGAGCATTAAAGCCTATAATCTTGCAAAATAAGAGACTACCGAGAAATGTAGAAAACTTCAAAGAATAAAACTTAGAGATGAACAAAACGATGATCGAGAAGGAATTTAAAGATTCAAGTCAAATGAACGATAAAAGTTATAAAATGAATTAAAAACCTCATATTGATTCTAACTAACTTTACTGTTTATCAGTCCACATTCAGGCACAGTCTGCCAGCCCAATTATAATCCATATTTCTTCAATCCCGTCAATTTTATCATCGATTCACCAAAATTGTCCCTCCTCATCTAATTCTCACTAATAAAATCAACAAAAAAAATTAAAATCATTAATTGAATCCAATCAATTCTATCATTTATGTTCATTAATCATTACATGATCTCTCCTTATTAGTCATATCGCACTCACAATCTCACCATCTCCAGTTTTTCTTCATACACACCACTCTCTTTATGAAGAAAGTATCTTGGGAAGACATCTCGCAATCGGGAAACAGCCTTCTTTCGCCAGCCTGGAAGCTGAACGGCCACGTATTCACTTCCGGATGCTTGGGCACTGACGCTTCAGGAAACTTGCCTGAATCTGTTGAACAGCAGACGGAAAATGCCATCAAGAACTTGGAGGCCGTGCTCAAGTTCTCTGGCCTGGACCTCAACCGTGTATTGAAGGTATTGCTTTTCATTTCCAATGGTGACGATGCTGCTGTGGTTAACAAGGTATACGCCAAATACTTTCTTAACAAGCCAGCACGGTCATGTGTGATTTTGCAATTCCCCAACCCTAATGTCAAGGTTGAATTGGAGTGTGTTGCTGAGTACATCGATTACGAGGCTCCTAAGCTTTAGAAACTTTAGTCAAGGTGCTAGGTACTATGGATCAAGTCGCTGTGGATATACATAGGTGTTAGACAGCAGATCTATAGGGTCATGGAACTACAGATATTACTTCAAATGTCAGTTATCAGTTTTAATTGCCAGTTATAGAATATAGACAAAGCTGTGATAAGGTATTGTAGAAATGTAAACGACCGATAACTATCTAGCTTATTCTATATTGTGCTGGTAGATTTACATTGAGCGAAATATTTATGATGCATAGCCCTAAACCTCCAAGAAAACATAAAGATCCCGAAGAAGTCAACGTTGAAATCGAGGTTGAAATTAAATGAAATAACAATAAATACTTTATCCACCCTATCTTCTTCACCACGATTAACTATCCTTCACATAAGATTTCACCACTAGTAAACCACAGCCATTTACTCCTCTTAAAGCAATGCACCAAAAATGGCTCTAAACAGCCATAACCCCTCTAAATCACATACTATAATCAGCAATTAATTTTCAGAATCCCTTGAAGCTTTCCAAATGTCCTCTCCGCTCAAATATCGCCACCATCGTCCATGGAGCCAAACCCAACCTGCAGGCTAACCAGCCACTCGAAATAACACGAATATCTCTAAACTACATCTCTTCTCAAATGTCGGCGGCTATCCAGAATCGAACGTTCGAGTTCCAACAGTGTGTCGCGTCCTTCGACAAGATCAACAAAAAGCAGAATGTTCCACAGCGGCAAGTTAACGCGCCCGTCAAAAAGTCCAAATTCAGCCACCAAGCCAGTATCATTGCCAAAGACATAGCACACACCACAGAGTTGTTGCTGAAGCTAGCGTTGTTGGCTCGACGCAAACCGCTCTTTGATGACCGGCCTGTGGAAATCGGCGAGTTGACCTACGTGATCAAACAGGATATCTTCAAGATCGAGCAAAGTATTCAGAACTTGCAGAAATACGCTAAAGGCGACTCGTCCATCCAGGTGGACTCACAAGTGACACAATACCTGAAGAACGTATTGAACTTGTTGAATCTGAAAATGAAGAATGTGAGTGGCGAATTCAAGAACGTGTTGGAGTTGAGACAAAAGAACGAGCTCTTGAACAAACTGAGAAAGGAGAATTTCCTTCTGGCCACCAACAGACAGAACGCGCTGTCTCCACTCAATGGCGATAACGGCGCCTTGTCCAATTTGGGCGAGAATCCGTATTTGCTTGCGGACAGCGCCACACCCGACTTTGAAAGTGCTAATGGGGGTGGCCTTTTGTCGATTCCAGATCAGACCAGGCAATTGCTTCTCATGGAAGAGCAGAGCAGTGAGTATTTACAGCAGAGAAATTCGGCAGTTGAGACTATCGAGGCTACCATCAATGAGGTGGGAAATTTGTTCCAGCAGTTAGCCACCATGGTTACTGAACAGGGAGAGACCATTCAGAGAATCGATCAAAACGTCGAGGACATTGATATGAACATTATGGGTGCCCAACGGGAGTTGCTTAAGTATTATGCACATATCCTGAACAATCGGTGGTTCTTTTTGAAGATTTTTGGAGTGTTGTTGTTCTTTTTCTTCCTCTGGGTTCTTGTTAGTTAGAGAGGCTATATTTGAGAGAGGTCGAAGAAGAAATTATGATACAAGAGAGCAGAGACAAAGAAAACGATAGAAATGATAAGGAGATCATACGGTACAGAGACACCGCAAATGTGTAAGGAGAAAGGTATATCAGAGAAGAAAGTGTATACTTGTGAGGAAGATATACAAGGGAGGATGAGAGTCAAGAGAAGCACAGATCCAACTCAAGTTCATATTCGCTTGAATTGAGTTCGGCAAACTAATGTGTCTGACGTTCAGTCAATGACACCACGCATAACAATAAATACCTATACCCAGAGAACATTCACCTCTACACCAAATCAAAAATCACAAAACTTGAAACAAGAATTAATAAAAAAGCACAAGAAAAAATTACAAGGCAAAATTCGTAGACTTCCAAGTCTCAAGTAATCCGCCAATTCCTACCTCACTTGATCATTATCATTATCCTATGGTCGTGCGCGAACAAAGGACCTCAGTCTGCTCCCGCCTTCACACAATCTTATCAGCAACACCAGCTCCTACAACCAGGCGCTCTGCATAACACATTCTATCACTTCATTCCCAGAAACATAATAAAGCACCTATCACAATGTGGAACTATTTGTTTGGAGGCAATAAGCAGCAAAAGAAGGAGTTGCCGAAGAAGGCTATTGTGGAGTTGAGAGAACACATTCAGATGCTCAACAAGAAACGGACCCATCTAGAACTGCAAATCAATGACCAGGACCAGTTGGCCAGAAAGCATCTTGCCACCAATAAGGCCATGGCCAGAAATGCGTTGAAGCGCAAGAAGGGCTATGAGGCCAATTTGATGAAGATCGAGAACCAGATTGATTCCTTGGAGACGCAGTTGACAGCCATCGAGGGCGCCAACTTGAATTTGGAGACCATGAAGGCAATGAAGCAAGGTGCTCTGGCCATGAAGCAGATACATGGCGAGTACGACGTGGACAAGGTAGAGAACACCATGGATGATATCCGCGAGCAGGTGGAGTTGGCCGAAGAGATCTCCGAGGCGATTTCGCGTCCTGTGGGTGGAGAGTACGTGGACGAAGACGAGTTGGACGAGGAGTTGGCGGCTTTGCAGGCGGAGGCTGCCGAGACGAACGAGGCACAGAAGCAGCCTGCTACGAAGGTGGCGTCACCTCAGTTGCCTGACTTCCCTACCGTAGCGAAGAACAAGCCACAAGCAGCTGCGGAGGAGGACGAGGATGAGGAGGCCTTGAAGGCGTTGCAGGCGGAGATGGGGTTGTAATTGAGCCGTGGAATGGTTTAGGCGTTAGTGTGGGATGTTCAGTTCCTATAGACATCAATCAATGTAATTAACGAATGAGTAGAGGAGTGTAGGAGGTGTACTGGAATGGGGTGTACAAAGAGTTACTGAATTATGGAAGAGGTTATAGAAGTATAGAACAGAGTACTGAATTATGGAACAGAAGATATTAGCATGGGGTAAACCATAACCAGACATTTAAGTAAAGTGTGAAGGCATGGAGGAAGGACGATACTAGAAAGTTTCGAAGGTTCGAAATACATCAGGTTGATCTCACCGTAAATGTCCTTCTTCAAAGTCTTCATATAAGTAAACTATCTAATAAAGACATGAGAGAATGCACACCCACGAGATAGACATTGGCTGCGAGATTATATAGTAGGTTCTAACAAAAATACTCACCTAAACCACAATAATTCCCGTTTGACCACCATTTCAAAAGTATTTTCTCAAGTATTTTCCCCTTTTCTACCCCACTAGATTTCTTACCAATTCAAACTTTTTTGTATGGCCATCTTCCCTTTCATCCTACTCCCACACTGTGGGGAGATGTACTGAGGTGATGTGATGGCAGAAAAATTTAGTACCGTACAGGCACTCCACCATCTTTTCATCTTGTGGAAACCAAACAGGCAAATGAAACCAGCCCAAAAGTATCTTTTGCACACTTTGTGCAAACGATATCACTCCACAAAGTTGGGCACTCGCCACCTGGCTATTTCCGCCATTTCCCGCAGCTCATCGACTTCAGAACCTTTCAGTCTCCAAAATGACATGAAGATCTATGCTTCACTCGTAGATGAGCTCAGGAAGCCTCAAAAGGATTCCAAATCGCAGGTCAGTCTTTCCGGAAAAGCGTTCAACGAAATCAAACCCATAGGCGACAAAATTGCCGAATCTGATCGCCGAGAAGTCAGCTGGTCATCGAACTACGACCCTGTTACCAGATCTCCATTTGCAAAGGATGTGGTGCATTTGCTGTCGTTGCTCGACGCTCTTTTATCGTCAAAAAACTTTGCCAGAGCAGAAAACATCTTGGTGGCCATCCATCCATTGTTAGACCAACCTGAAGGGTTTGTCTCATTCATGAATAAGTACTTAGAGGCTTACGCTATGGAGGAGTCTTCTACCATTGAGGAACTTGAATCATTTCTTGCAAAGATGCAGAAAGAATTCCGGGCATATCCGAACGACAGAACATACGCCATCATGATTGCAAAGTCCATCGATGATAAAGATACATGCAAGACATACATCAGCAAAGCAAAGACATCCAGACGTTTGATCAGACGTACATTGAATCACTTAGACATTCTCACTGTGGAGGACCTCACACGTCTTTTTGAGGAGCCTTCATTGGAGGAATGCCATATTCCAACTGATCTCATACCACTCTTTCAAGATGTAAGAACCGGACAGAATCCAGAGGTTTCCGAAGAAGAGGTTCCTGAATATTTCAAGGTCGACGGTAAGGAGGCACCCATGATCGAGAAGGATGCTGCAGAGTTGCGTGCAGTGGATTCGTTTGGCTTGAAAGTCATCAGACACACGCTTTTGGGATTGGAGAGCAAGACTGAAATCGATTTGGACAAGCTCTTCAACGATCTCGACGAAGACCTCAAGCAGCACATTTTGCATAACTCCCGTTCAAACAAGAAGAGAAATTATCACGAAATCTATAAGACACTCAAGACTCCCGAAGACAAAAGGAAATTTGACGAGGCTTTAGATGTGTTCAACGAATCCAGACAGAGAGAACTTGAAAGTAAAGGTATTGACGCTGCGCGTGAAAAATGGAAACACGAATTTGAAGATTTGCAACTGAGAGGAGGTCTCCCTATTAATAAGAACTTAAATGTCCAACTTTACCAGTGGTATTTGGACATGCTTCCATTTGTCCAAGAAGAGGTAGATCTTTGCAGGAAGCTCTTGAGCAACGAAATTATGCTTTCATCTTTGTCTGGTGACGAAAAAAAGCAAATGAAGGACCGATCCTTCTACGCCCCATACCTTGTGTTGATTCCCCCCAAGAAGTTGACGGTAATTACCATTTTGGAGTTACTCAAATTGAACTCCACCGGAGGCATTGTGGACGGTATGCGTACAGCTAGGGCAGTGATTTCCGTGGGAAAAGCCATCGAACTTGAGTACAAATCGCAAAGCTTGGTAGCAGCCGAGAAGAGATTCTTGACTCGTAAGTCCAAGAACTCCAACAGACTTAGGAAACTTCTTCGTTCCAGAAAGCCAACGGTGGAAGATGCTCTGAACACTGAGTGGGACTACCCTGTTTATGCCAAATTAGGCTCGGTTTTGACCAGTCTTTTACTTCATGTGGCTAAGGTTCAGGTTACTGGTACTGATCCCTCCACTGGAAAGGCAGTCAAGGGTAAGCAGCCAGCTTTTCACCACACATACCAATTTGTCAACGGACAGAGACTTGGAATAATCAGGTTGCATAAGAATTTGGTTCGCCAATTGGCTAGCAACACTCTCATCAATTCTGTTCAGCCTCAATTTCTTCCCATGTTGCTTCCTCCTACGGACTGGTCTTCACACAACAATGGAGGCTATAAATTCACACCCAGCACCTTAGTCAGAATCAAAGACTCCGCAGAAACTGTTGCTTACGTGAAGGCTGCAGCAGAAGCTAATAATTTGGATGACGTTTATGCTGGTTTGAATGTTTTAGGACGTACTCCATGGACTGTCAACGCCAAAGTGTTGGAGGTGGTGTCACAGTGCTGGAATACTGGAGAGGCATTCTTGGACATACCTCCTATTGTAGACGAACCCGAATTGCCTGCTCCACTCCCATTTAACGCAGAGCCTTTGGAGAAGGTCGAGTACCAAAAGAAGGTGCGTCACATTCTCAACGAGGCTGCAGCATTCAGATCTCAAAGATGTGATACCAACTACAAGCTTGAAATTGCTAGAGCATTTGTTGGTGAGAAAATGTACTTCCCTCACAATGTCGATTTCCGTGGCAGAGCATACCCATTAGCCCCACATCTTAACCATTTGGGTAATGACTTGACCAGATCGCTTTTCTTGTTCTGGGAAGGCAGAGAGTTGGGAGAGAGAGGCTTGGAGTGGTTGAAGATTCATTTGGCCAATGTCTACGGTATGGATAAGGCACCATTAAAGCAGAGAGCAGAGTTTGTTGAGGCTAACTTAGAAAACGTGTTCGATTCTGCTCGTGATCCTCTTGGAGGTAACAGATGGTGGACAAAGGGTGACAAGCCATGGCAAATTTTGGGAGTATGTTTCGAACTAGCAGAGGCCTATAAGTTGACCGACCCGACCAAGTACGTTTCGCATTGTCCAGTGCACCAAGACGGTACCTGTAACGGACTTCAGCATTACGCTGCCTTGGGAGGAGACGTCGAAGGTGCCAAGCAAGTCAACTTGGTTCCTGCTGACAGACCACAAGATGTCTACAAGTTCGTTGCCGGATTGGTTGAGAAGAGGTTGGAATCTGAAGCTGAAGCAGGTAACAAATATGCCATTTTCTTGAAGAATAAGATCTCGCGTAAGGTTGTCAAGCAAACTGTCATGACAAATGTTTACGGAGTCACATTCGTGGGAGCCGTTGCTCAGATCGAGAAACAACTCACCCATCTCTTTGAGAAGGACGACTTTGACTCGGTCACATTGTACGCTAGGTACTTGACGTCATTAGTTTTCGCATCCATGAGGGAGTTGTTCGAGGGTGCCCATTTGATTCAAGATTGGTTGGGAGAGTCTGCTAAGAGAATCTCCAAGTCTGTTCGTATCGACTATGAGGAGAAGAGTGCCAAGAACGCAAACAAGCCCAGTCACTTGTCTTCAGTGATCTGGACGACTCCGCTTGGCTTGCCATGTGTTCAACCATACAGAGCCACCAAAAGACAGATTGTTTCCACCAACTTGCAAGATATTACAATTTCCGATCCATTTGGAGCCACACAAGTGGACTCCAGAAAGCAACTGACAGCTTTTCCTCCAAATTTTATTCACTCGTTAGATGCCACACACATGTTGATGACGGCTGCTGCTTGTGGTGAACAAGGTTTACACTTTGCATCTGTTCACGACTCTTATTGGACTCATGCTGCCAATGTGGACGTAATGAGTGCTAATATTAGAGACCAGTTTGTGCGCTTACATGAGGAAAATTTGATTGTGAAGTTGCGGGATGAGTTCGAGAGACGTTACAAGGGCTTTTTGCAAGTGATGAGTATTCCGGGTGACCATGAGGTTGCCTTGAAGATCAAGGCTGTTAGAAGAAAGATTGTTAAAGACTTGGGCCGTGCATTGACGGTGGCAGACGAAATTTACATTGAAAAGAAGAGACAGGAGTTACTTGAGTCTCCTGATGCTAGAGAAGTTCAGATGGGAAAAGAAATGGTAAGCACTGTGAGTGTCACTGAAGGCTATGACTTGAATGAAATCGCTGTGAGTGCCTCTAGCAGCAAGGCGTTGCAGATCTTGGCGCCTTTGACGTTCCCTGAGATTCCTACTCGTGGTTCGTTGGACGTTGGTGTGGTCAAAGAATCACCATACTTTTTCTCTTAATTGCATGATTCTTGCGAGGCAAGAACACATATTGTTTATAATTCCATTCAGCATGTACATAATTGGATAAGGAGGGAACAGAAATGTGTAGATTCGTATTGTTTGGGCAAAACTTTCATATAATGGATAGTTCTTAGAAATATCTTCTTGTTTATCTATAATTGGTACATCCATTGAACCGTAAAGTTTATTTTCTTTCATTCACCAAATATTTAATCTCTCCTTCCCCCTACTTTTGAATCTAGATGATCTTACCTTGCTGTTCAAGGTTCTCTATCAACGGTAGCAAAGGCGCCATTTCTTTGCGGTCTAGCAAGTTGAACTCCTTACAAAATGAGACATAATGCGCAAAAAACGAGTTCCAGTGTGCCTCCAACGACAAATGAACAAGTTTGTCGAAGTGGTTATGGTACATGTGGGCAAAGATTCGGAACATCTGCCGCACAATGTTCTTACAGTCCTTGATGAAGTTTGGAGGGAATGCTCCGCCCGTTTTCGTCGGAAATACCGTCTGATCGTTGATCTTGTTGGATATCCACGTCAACACATACTCGATATACTGACAAGCTGGCAAGTTGATAGCCTGTCCACTAGTATCTTTCCAGAGATAATTGGTGTTGGGCCCTGCCCTCATGGTTGGGTACTGTTCAGGCGTCACGTACTCGGAGATGACACCATAGAACAGATTCAAATGGCCATACATCTCAAAGATATTAAGCGAAAGCCACTCGCCATAATCCACGTATTTAGGCAATTGAACAATCGTTTTGAACGATCCTTTGACCAATGCCGTCTTTACGAAAGGCTCAGACAAAAATAGCTGAGGCTCATTCAGTGAACTTTCACCAGACGTCATCACATCCCGTTGAGGCAGCCGAGATCGGTTCATTCTGGGTCTTCTGGTTGGTGACAGCGGAGTAAATTGGATCTGGCTTGATCTCTGCTTTCCGGGTGAGATTTTGCCCGGCAGTTGCGAGCGGCGGAGTGGAGACGTCGAACCATTTGTATGTGAATAGAGCACTCCTTGCGGTTCATATTCTTTCTTGGTTTTTTTGGTACTTCTTCCAAAACCTCGGATGGTGTTTAAGAAGGACATCTTGAAGGGTGAAACAGGAGGGGAAACGCGCCGGAATCTATGGTTGGTGTCAAAAAGGAGGATTCAGTCAACGTGTCGTTTTAATCACGAGCGGGTATACTTTGTGGATTACTTGCTTTATATAATAGACGATGTCGATGGGAGAGTTCTTCGTCAAGATTTGGCGCGCTGAATACAGGAGATGCTGCTGGGAGGCCTGGCGCGCCTACAACAAGCTTAAGTTCAGGCCCAGGCAGTAAGGTGGAGCCCTTTCTTAGATTCGCACATTGTAGCCCTCAGACATTATAGCTGTCAAATGTGAATCCCAGTTGCTTAGTTGAAGCGTCCTAGAGACTCTCCCATCTTGATCTTCTGGCCAACATTGAGGTCAAACTGGAAATTATCAGGTGCCTCAAATACCAACACCACTGTAGACCCCAACTTGAAGCCTCCAACCTCTTCACCTTTACTCAATGGGAAACCACCTAGAAGTGCACTAGCCCCAGTATATGTAGCCTCGTAAACGGTATTCTTCTTCAATTTCTTTGGTTTGCTGCTCACACTCGTTGTGCTTGTGACATCCAGCTTCTCCAACAATGGTGTCAACTCATCAGTGGAGCTTGAATTCGAGTGAACAGAACTTTCTGAATTTCTCAGGTACACTTCATGCTCATACACATCGTTGGTCTTCAAGTCCTTGTCAAAATTCACCACAATACTTCCCACATTGGTGGCACCAACAGGAATCATTGAGAAGAAACCGTACTTCCAGTAACCCAAAAGTGCAACTCTCTCATTCAATACAAAGAGACCTTGCAATGTCTTCTGGAAGAAAGGAGCCACCGAGAAGAGCTCACCAATGAAATGACGTCTCAACGTAGTCACCCAGTTGGTAGGAGAATGGTATCTGTGGTAATCTCCTGGAGCCAAGTAGATAACAGCAAAATACAAATTACTATGCGAACTCTGGTGGAGCATCTCAAATGGAGTGGGCGCCAAATTCTGTGCAACGGACAAGTCCTTGCCTACCGATGGTTTCAGGCCTTTGGCAGTTCCATCACCCTCATCTTCGTACTCCAATTGGTTCAAATGGAAAGTTTCGTCACCTTCTCCACCCAACATGTCATCCAAAGAGTACGAAATTCCATTGACCTTGGCAAACTCTTCATCTCTTTTGATAACAGCTTCATTTTTGGCGTCATGGTCGAACTCCAATGAGTGGGTTGGTGCAGCCAAACGCTTAGCACTCAAACCAAGTAAAGCATCGATGGAGTAGGTCATACCCTTTACCTGCTCGATTTCACCATCCTCAATGACTCCAAACTTGAGAACTTTTCCGTCCGAAGGAGACACTAAGTCGTCGTCAGAAATTGGTCTGACACCAGGTTTCAATTTACGGTAGAAAAACTCGGACAAGTTATGGTAGGTAGTCAAATCAGGTTCCTCCATTTCAGTCAAATTGACACCAAATAGAGCTGAGTATAGCTTGTAAGAAGGGCTCCGCATCCATACTGGTAAGTTGATGGAGTTGACCTGGCCCCACAACCGCGAGATGGTCTTCAATGGGAGCGTCGAGTACGCATACAAATGCCACGACTGAGGCTTGATGGTGTAGTCACTGAACGGCTGGTAGTCCTCATCATCATCTTCACCACGCTCGTATCTGATTTTGGCAGCCACACCTCCCAAAACAACCGCGATGGACGTCAACGTCCACCATCTCACAAACCTTCTTTTCTCCTTTCTTCTTCGACGTGCTTCGGCGGAGAAAAACCGGCGCTGGAGCCTCTGATGGAAGTTCTGCGTCTTATTTCTGATCTTGGAAGGTGCCGAAGAAAACGGTCTTTTCGATAGCGCCAACCCTGGAATTTTCAATCTTTGACCATTTTTTGTCCAGGTCGAGTAGTAAAAAGCAGACTTCTTGGGTTTGGGAATCCGCGGAAACATGTAACGTGAATAGCCAGACTTGGGGGTCACTGGCTGGTCATGGTAAGTTCTCAGAATATTCACCTCCGCCACATTGGTGGCTCTGGAAAGTGGCTGGGAGATGTTCATGGCATTGGGTCCATGGATGAACGATGTATGTGGATATGCCTTTCTTTTCAATACAAACAGCTCAGCATTGAAAAGCGCCGGGCGGTAAACCATAATGAGGGGATGGTTGGGACGGAAGGGTTTCGGAAAGAAATTTAGCCAGTATCCACAAACAATCGGCTAAAAAAACGTATTTAGCTTAAACGAGTGTGTAGTCGCGAATCCACTAGGGTCAAAAAAATCACTCTCAAGTGGTCCGCGTTATACTCACGCCCCGCATTCGGCCAGGAAATACCCATTGTAGAAATTGGCCAGACTCTAGAGGTTATATGGCACAGAATATCACATGATGGAAATTGCCCTTGAAGGAAGTTCAAAATGTGGAGTATGGTGTTTTGGGACCAGGCGGAGAAATAGAGAAAGGCAGAAATAGGTAAGACGGCCGAATGGAACATCTCAAAAGTATAATTATTCATGAAGTTGATTTATTTTTCAGTTTGACTTTTGGGGATTGATGGATTCAGATTGACTTCAAGTGAATTGTAGAGTTTCGAATGACCATAGTTTCATGGCTCTTGGTCAAGTGGCCAAGTCGAATAGCGTTTCACCACCCTCGTAAACTGTCACCTTAGACATTTTGTGCCTAGCCATCATTCATTGTTCTTGCTTTCTGGTGAGCTCCCAAAGCGATTGCTTGAGTCTCTCGATGAAGTCATGACTGAGGTAATGCAGTTGGCTGCCAACATGGCGGTCGCTATATGCAAAGAGAAGCTTCAAGTTTCGTAAATCGTCAACCGTCTGTGGTCTTGCTGCCATCATGCTGAGCTCGATCTTCGTATCTATAATGTTGAAGACGGAAAGTCCCAGGTTGATTTCGTCGGAGTCGTGTGTCTGAATGCTTTCATGGAGATAGACCTGCTTTTCAAACGTAGTGAGAGGTTTTGCAAGTTCAAGCAGTAGCAACGCCTTGATGTCTCGTCCTATCTCGCTCTTGCTTCCTACTTTTTCTAGTGTTCGACTCTCACTTTGTAAGAGAGACGACACCGATGCCTTAAGAAGCTCGTAGTTCAGCTTCTTGAGTACAAATATTGTCATCGACTTCTTGAACTGCTCCAAGTATCCAGACTGAACCAGAAAATCGATTTTAACCTTGAAATGGTCCTCAGAGACCACCTCAATCGACGCAATTCGTTTCATATCGGCAATAAGGTGTGGGGCGTTGGTTTGTTCCAGAATGCCATTTCGGTAATTGACTCTCAAAGGTACCTTGATTGGGTTTCCATTCTTAACGTCTCGAACAACAAGACATCTTGGTTGCACAGCAAGAGCCCAGAAGTGTCTTAGTACCTGAAGATGTACTTCATGCTCATTTTCCTCACTTGGAAACACAGGGTAAAGGGAAATTATGAGTGCAGCAATCGAAAAGTTGGAATCGTCGAAGGCATACTGACTACCTCCCAAAAATAATATTCCAAGTGCCATGTTGATAGCCATGTGGTTGCCATAGTGAATGCTACTGTTAATGCGTCCGTGGATTACACGCAAGCGTCTGAACACCTCCAAATCTCCACTTCCTGCCATAACCACAGATAAACACAACGCAAGCAAGTTTTGGATCTGAGAGGCGCTATTATAGGCGATTTTTTGGTCATAATTGACAGCTGTCATTGTGGAAATATCCATCAACAAGTCCAAGTAATGGAGTAATGTGCGCCTTGCTTTTAAGTTTTGACTTGAGGCATGCTTAATGGCAATAGATAAACATGCTCCTCCTAAGATATTGAAGTAAGAAATTTGCTCACTATCTAGAGAAATGAGCTTGCTGATGTTGTACTTCTTCCTCAACACCTCAGGGATCTCGGATTCCACCCAATGAGTGGAATTTCCAATCAGCCTCCACATGATCAAATTCTTCGCTAAACATCTCAACAACAATAGATCTGGTCGAATATAGTCAAGAAGTTGCTCCGATTCGGGAATCAGAAGCTTGGCTGCCATTGTAGTGTTCTCAAGTTTCAAATAGATGAATCCCAATGCTAGAATAGCCCCAGAGCCCGATTTGTCCGATTCAAAGATTGGATGTGAATCTCTCATCGAGGTAGCGAAGGCAAGTAATCTATCAACAACATGAGTGTCATTTAGTCCTCTGAGGTCGTTTCCCTTACCGAGATTAATCAATCCAAGAGAAATACCTGCCGCTTGTCTGTATCCTTCTTGTTCTTCTTCATTTTCGATGTGAGAAGAACTTCCTCCAATCTGAGACAAGAGAATTTCACTCATTCTTCTATGCTGGGTCTCGAGATACAAGAGCCCAATACCTATGAGACCAGCCGTCTGAACCATTATAGGAACATTGAGGTCGTTTGCTCCTTGAGGAAGGAGAGCCACCGCATGGACTGAGAGAACTTTGGTGAGCTTTATATCCATTGATCCCTTCAAACTGGCCGCCATTCCAATCAAAAGACCGACACTTGTGAGTGGGTGTTTTGGTCCAAGATAATTATAAATGTGCCATTCTTCAAGTTTCTTCAAATGCCCATTCAAACCAAGACCCAAAAGAAAACCAGCATGTTGAGCGTTGTTTTCAGCTGGCTTGTTGAAAATAACCCAGCTTCCTGAGATTCCCTTGGATGTCGGGCTGATACTGAGGCCCGAAGACACTCCATTATGGAAATGACCCCACTCCATAACTTTCAGAGAAACAGCGCCTTCAGATAAGACTATTGTAGTCATAGAAGGTGCAATGAGGGTATTTAGGTTGAATTTAGGAATGGGGAACTTTTCTGTTAGAAGAGGGATCCTGCCAGCATAAAATAATGCAGCACGACCAACCGGAATCATGAGAGTTCTCAATGCGACAAGAGCTGCTAATTGTCTCTTCATCAATGTAGAATCATATTCGCTCGTTCCTTCTTCAACGTGTAAGGTGACATTCTGAGTTTTTGACTGATGAAGCAAACTGGTAATTTCATAGTAACGCCTGTCTTGATCAAAAATCAACTTTGTAATCCGAATGAGATCAGCTTCAGATTCGCCATCCCAAGCAACGAGACTATCGCCTTTGTTGAATATGCTAGAAATGATGGAGTTGGCATCCCGGACTGTCGGTGAAACTTCGAGGTCTAGCTCATAGTTCTTGAGGCCCAACCTAGAGTCTGGTTGAAGCAAAAGCTTTAAGTCCTTTCTTCCAACTAGCTCGAGATGATTTTCATTCCACTCAAAAGTTGGATTCTCCTGGCAAGCCAGTAAGCACTCTTTGAGAGGTAGGATAACCCCAGCGGGGTACGAATCAAGATCTGCGGCAGTCAAACCAAATTCTGACATTGCATTGACGACTTGAGTAGGCGTCGAATGTGGAGAAGATAAAAGCTCAAATAGGTGGTAGACAACATGTGACCTGGGAGTCACTATCAAGTTGACTTCATCACTTTCTTCAACCAACTGGGAGAATTTCAAGTACCGTGCACGTTTTCCCTCTGCCAAAGAGATGAGTGAGTCGTAAAGACTAGGCGGCACGTAAAGAAGCACCACCAGCAAGAGGCGAACACTCTTATCAATGCATTTATGGTCAATCAGATAAAAGGTTGTCCACTGCTCCAGCCAGCCCATCCACACAGTCAATTGAGTAAGCAAAGTTCCAAGCTTATTGAGAGACAGTTTGTTCAAGATGTCAAATTTTATCTCCTCATAGATTAAATGCATGGAGACCACAATATATGGCAAGAGGTCCTGAAAGGAGTAGTCAATACTGAAGTAGTCACGGACCTGTTCTGCCTTAGTCAACAACTGGGTGATCTCGTTATCAGCATATTGAGAGCCTTTGAATTCATTGAAAGGGTAGATCATGGCTAGAAGGGTGATAACAAATGCATTCCACTCATCCTTCACAGGATCTAGCATAAGAGCAGACCGCCACGCTACCCACATGTGCTCGTTGATTTTGGATCCTGATAAGTACTTCCAGGATTTGAGACATGTGCTTACAAGTGGAGTCTGAGGCTCTAGCACAAGAGATATGAGGTGAGATTTGAACATGTCAGAGGAATCTCGAATAGCCACGATATTATCACATGTGCTGGAAATGTAGGTGATAGCTGGAAACCTTGAATCCAACGGAATAGGGGGAGCCTTGAGGTCCAAGAAAGGATTAAATAGGTAGAGTGATTTCTCATCAGCAAGCACCAACAACCAGCCTGGGAACGCGGGATGCTCTAACGGTACCGCATGTAGACATTTCACTGAGCAAGACGACTCAAATTGCGGTATCTGATTGACCAGTTGCTTGTAAATGTACACCTGAGCCTCTTTGGTTGCACGGTCACTGATGACTATGGCTTGTTTGTCTTCATGATGGAGACCGTTCACAGCCAAATGCAGTTTCCTGGCCTTAGTGGAGAGGGTATCGATTTTGGTCAAAATCATGTCTTTGCGTAAAGCGCCTAGTTCCAAGGCTGCGAGAGCCAGAGTGGATTTACCTAGTTCACTGACACTGGCTTCTGAACCCACTCTGGCAACAGATGAAATTCCCGAAAGTAACGTGCTGGTTCTTTTTTTTTCCATATTCATCGAGAACGAGTGAGAGTTGGAAGAATGGAACGAAGGAACCGGACCCAAATCGAGAAAGTCTTCGTCCAAGATCTTCGATGGATTAGGTGTGGATACTGAAGCGTTTCTGCGCTTTCTGACATTGCTATTCATGATGTTCTTTCTCGTGGAAGCCTTGACATGGTAAATTCCAATGGTTCTCTGGCGGGAATTGTACGTTACTGTGAGCGATCTGGTCTTGTTAAGGCCCTTGGAAGGGAAATACACAAGGATTTCTTGAGCATTCACCACCGAGGTGGATGAGGTGGTCACCACACGTAAATCACCAATTGGATCCACTAATGTCAAGAAGCGGTAATTGGTAATGGCCGTACCTCTGCCAGGCACAGTTTCCAGGTCTCTTTCTAACAATAAACCCGAATCAAATGGAAATGCATTTCTCAACACGAACGGGAAGCTCACCACGTACGAGTCTCCATCGGGGTAGTAGATGTGAGCAGCGTTTTGCAAGCACACAACAAGAGCCTCGGAAGCATCCAAAGTGGAATTTCGGACAAACTTTGTGTATGTAGCGGTGACAACTGTCTCATCGTAGACTAGCTTACGAGAGATCACAGCACCATGAATCACCACTACCTGACGCGAAGATATGAGGAGCGAGCGGCCATTGGAATAGAGAAATGGCCTATGTTTGGGAAAATATGGGAAAGTGAATTCCCCAGAGAGGTCTAGCGACGGCAGAATCAACATGGCTTTGGAGATTCTGTTAGTGCGATATGTACAAGACATGGTAGTATCAACATTATTATCGTTTCAATTTGGACAGCGAGTATTGCAGCTACAATATTTTATATCTTGAATCTGAAGGTTGAAATATTTTCGTTTTAATTAAAGTTACGTCTTTGAAATTTCAGTAAGGTGTTCTAACGTTGTAAGATCATGCCTCGTTCAGTTCCATGGACAACGTTGTACTTGTATAAATATCAATAAAGTTTATTCAGTATCAATAGTGTAGAATTGTCATCCAACAATGACAATTACTGTACAAGAAAACATCTCAAGCTATTTACAACATCGAGCGTCGAGCTTACTCGATGATTCTGGTCACCAAACCAGTTCCAACGGTCTTACCACCCTCTCTGATGTTGAAACGCTGGTTGACTTCCAAAGGAGTCTTTCTAACCAACTCAATCTCCATCTCGATGTTGTCACCTGGAGAAACCATGGCAGAGTGGTCCACATCTGGGCCCTCTGGGAATCTCAAAGTACCAGTAACATCGGTGGTTCTCAAGAACAACTGAGGCTTGTAGTTCTCACCAAATGGAGAGTGACGTCCACCCTCTTCATTGGACAAGATATACAAAGAAGCCAAAACCTTCTTGTGCGAGGTGACGGTACCTGGCTTGGCCATGACCATACCACGGGAAACCTCATCTCTCTTGACACCTCTCAACAAGATACCAGCGTTGTCACCAGCCATGGCAGCGTCCAACTCCTTCTTGAACATCTCAATACCGGTAACGGTGGTCTTGAAAGGCTTGTCGAAAGCACCAACAATCTCAATCTCCTCACCCTTCTTCAAGGAACCTCTCTCGACTCTACCAGTGACAACGGTACCTCTACCGGAGATAGAGAACACATCCTCAACAGGCATCAAGAATGGCTGCTCCAAGTCACGCTGTGGGGTTGGAATGTACTCGTCAACGGCGTCCAATAACTTCATGATGGCCTGCTCACCAATCTCTGGCTGCTTACCCTCCAAAGCACACAAAGCGGAACCCATAACAACAGGAGTTTCATCACCGTCGAAACCGTACTGAGTCAACAACTCTCTCATCTCCATCTCGACCAACTCTAACATCTCTGGGTCGTCGATGGTGTCGACCTTGTTAACAAAAACAACCAACTGCTGGACACCAACCTGTCTGGCCAACAACAAGTGCTCTCTGGTCTGAGGCATTTGACCGTCAGTGGCGGCGACAACAATGATGGCACCGTCCATCTGGGCGGCACCAGTAATCATGTTCTTGATGTAATCAGCGTGACCTGGACAGTCGACGTGGGCGTAGTGTCTCTTCTCAGTCTCGTACTCCACGTGGGCGGTGGAGATGGTGATACCTCTTGCTCTTTCTTCTGGAGCCTTGTCAATGGCACCGTAGTCCAAGAAGTTGGCACCACCCTTGTCGGCCAACACCTTGGTGATAGCGGCAGTCAAGGTGGTTTTACCGTGGTCAACATGGCCAATGGTACCGATGTTGACGTGAGGCTTGGAACGGTCAAACACGGCATAGGCTCTGGTGAGACTAGGACGCGTCTTGGCCAACACTCTGGCTCCGACACGGAAGCTGGATGCTACGGATCTGAACATGAGGAAGAATGGGGTTGAGAAAATTTTTTGAGCCAGGTATTTTTTTTCCATAGGGCCATTTTTCGCGGAATGCACAGAATCCGGGGGAACTATTGGTAGGTTACTCTTTCTAGAATTTAAAAGGGAGGATAAGGAGGAGAGATTGGGATTAATTAGGAGAAAATTGATGAAGGAAGTTCTTTTTCATTAGAGATTGTTTTTGCTGTCTTTTATATATTAAAATTTCATGCTATTGTTTTGTCTTTCATATCAGTAAATTTCTTTCTGCTGTCACTTCTAGCATATACAGGCCGCAACGCTTGCTATATAGCATACTCTACTGACTTATAACTATACCGTTTAATACTATTCTGTAAGTATATAATTTTCTTAGTTGGCCAATGGAGAAGTCTCTGCCTGTGCTCTGTCATGTGCATCTCGAGTGTTCTCTTCGATGATCCGCTCCAATTGCTGCCGTTCGAGGTCCTTGTAGCCACTGAAGTGCTCATAGTAAATACAGAGAAGTAACAACGATCCCTGTAACATGGCTGCCACGAAATACGATACCCATGAGCTCCAGTGCAGCCCCTTGGTGAAGAAGAGCGTTGCCGTAAACACAAACCCGCCCGGGGTCTGGATACACATCATTCCAATCGACAAGGTGCCTGGATGTTTCAACTTGTATGTGGTGATGATTTGTGGGACGTACTTGATGATGGTGAGCAACGTCGACATCAAGCCATTGAATTGTGCCAACGCAAGTAGAACCTGTCTGTTGGTGGCAAACGCCACGACTATCTGGATAAGGGAAACCACCCCGTGAAACATCACCAACCGCCCGACATTCACAATCCGGGCGTACTCCTCCTTATCCTGGAGCACTGAACCCCTTGTGAAACTAAGAACAAGCACCAAAATCATAATGGCACACGTGCACTGGAGTCCAATCTGGAGCAAGTTGAGTTGCGAATTGAGACAGTTAAACAAGGTCAATGCACCCACCCGACAGCAGTAACGGGCACGGGAGCTGATCATGATGATGTTGGTAAAGGTGAAAATTGATGAACATGACCCGAGAAACAAGAAGTTGACTGAGAGTCCTTCGGAGGTCTTCTTCTTGTATATCCGGAAATATTGTGGCAAATAACTGACAAAAATGCCCAACGTGATTAGAAGCGAGAATATGAAGTTGACCACTGAGGCACCGTCATAAACGGAGCAGAAGTCCTCCAGCTCAAATGTCTGGAATTGGTTGGTCATGCTGGTTGTAGACGGTGGTTACAACTCGGTAAGTAATGAAGTGCGGAGTAGGTGCAGGGTGATAATAGTTGCTGGGTGTACTACTACAAGTGGGTAGAAATACTTTTTCAATTTTTTTTTTGTTTATTCTGCTTTTGACTACTTCAGTTTCAGTGGTAATTTTTTCGATTCATTATTCATCATGCTAACATATTTTTGATTTCAACCGCCACTTTGATTGCCAATGGGTCACCAGTCACAAACTTCACGTACACAGTAATATAGTAGAAGCGACTTACAATGCAACTCTGGAACGAGGGAACTAGACAAACTGGTTGGGCCAGAACATCCTCCAGCAGGCCCCTATCTTTTGCGAATAAACTTTTGATGTCAACCTCCACGACGATCTCCTTGTAGTAACTTCCTGCAGTGTCCTTGGATTCATTCCAACGGCCAAGTTTCCCATCACTCTTCGCAACCACATCGTCGATCCTGAGATTGTTATACTTGACTCCCAAATGTGCAAGCGACTTGATATCCATAATTGTTTGGTTGCTCATGTCAAACCTTACGGGATCCATTTTCTGGCTGAGCGAGAGCACTTCCTTGAGTTGCTTGGTGAATGGTTGGATCACATTCTTCTCGAACCCATCGTTGCTTCCGCCGCTACCCACAACAACACTGGTTGGAAATTCAACTGGAATTGGATACTTTTTGGACCGGATCGTACATGCTACGATATCGGCACCCACGCCTTTGATTTCTGGAGGCTTCCCGTTCTTGACGTCACTTGAAGAATAGCGGACTGTAACTGGAATCCTCAACTTCGTATTTTTGTTTCGTGCTAGCGAGGACATAGTGCTCATAGTGGTTAATGGTGAGTACAGTAAGACGTAGTCTGCTTTAGGAGTAGATGCAGAGAGCATGCCCAACACCTTAGGGGCCTGTGCTAAAAGCTTCTTCTTGTAAGGTAAGAATGACTCCGTCACTTGTGAACCACTTGACAGAGACTGATGAGGCACCGGAGTGTAGAGTTGGCCATTCTTGGCCACGGAACCCCGTCGGGCCAATGCCAGTGGATCCACCCCCAGTTCAAGCTGCTTGCCCAAGGCAATGCAGTTCTGGATGTTATGAACGAATTTTTCGTAAAAGTCCTCTACTGCTTCGGTTTCAATTGCTGCCAAAGTTCTTGGAATCATGCGGACAGGTGCATTGCTCTCCTTGACCATGATATATTCATCTTTGGATGAGTCCGGCGACCCTCCGTAGTCAGACAATTTGCCCACCACTCTAGCCTCTACACAGTAGCTGATTGCTGTGTCCGGGAAGCAGAAGTCTCTAAATCTTATGCTTTGAGTGGGACCCCTTTTCAGTCTGAGTGGTTTTGGTTCAGTCGGAGGGCCAATGCCGAAAGTTGCACCTTGGGGCTTGGTGGGCTTTTCTCTAAGTTTTCTCAATCTCTGTAGGAATTGCTCCTTGTCCAAACCAACTGAGGGCAACAACTTGCAGTGCTGATCGAGCTCATGGACCTCACAAGCACAATCCAAGAGTTTGTCTGGGATGGTGAAGTTGAAGAATTTCTTATACTTGACTCCCGGAGCAAAGAGCTTTTCGGTAGGAAACATCAAAGAGGTTCCATCGGTAGGATCTATGGCGTCCAGGTCGGAAATGGTGTCGTCCAAATAGGCCGGAGTCCAAGAAGCACGGAAATCAAACATATTCAAGAACTTATAGAACACTATAGGTTTCTTAGACTCGCCTTCCTCGCCATTGACGGTGACACGGCCCTCAAATACCACAGAAAACATATCAAATGGAAGTGGTTGGCTCGATACATTGATGATGGTGACATATCCGTGGATCAGGTCACCTTGCAGAAACTCGTAATCCTGGCCATCGTAGAGGGTCGGGCTTACTCCGCGGCGGCCAGGAGACGTGGTAAGAAAGACATCCACCTTCAACAGGTCAGCAAGCAGCGATGCAAACGACGACAATTGCTTTAACCGATGAGTGTTGGCCAATATGCTATTTTCCCATCGATTAGGAGCAGACGGTTGAGAAAAGTAGTCGTGGGGCCCAGAACCGGGAGTACTTGGCGGTGAGGTGGCCTCATATAATGGAGGAGCACCATGTAGGTCTTCACTCAGCGGATCGATGTTCTTGGAGAACGTCGATTCATAGAGTTGGTACGATGGAAGGATATTCCACATGGGCACATCTTCATAGGCAGGAGATGCTAGTGGGCGCAAGGAGTCGGAGTCAGAGGGAAGTTCAGACGAGTGTGACAGCCTGGCCATGTCTAAACGGAACCCCGGGTTTGCTCCCAGGCGGAAAAGGCCCATCCAAGCGCAAGAAAATAGTGGTGATTTATGGTTCGCAACAGGTTATGAGTTGAGATGCGGCTAGGTCAGGCAGGCTGGGTAGTGCAGAGAGTGGGGGAAATGAGGATTGAAAGGAAAGGAGGGTTTAGGTTTATGAGAGGCATTATATCAAGAAAATTGATGAAGGATTGTTATTAGTTGAATTCGGAAGGATTTTTTTGTTTTATGATTGTATCTTTTCGAAATTTGGTGGGGAGTGAGAGTAGTGAAGGGTTGGCAAGTAAAGACGGAATCTGTTAGGTTTAGTACAGGATGCTGTCACTTTTATTGTGTGGAGAAACGTAACATTGGACTTGGGTCGGTGCGCCTAGTCCCTTGGATCAGGATGGTGGGGATAGATTGTAAAGTGGAGTAGAATAGGTGGGTGCATTGTTATCTGTTCATACAAGAGAATTTGTGGGATTCGATGGATCTCATTTAGTGTAATCTAACTGGAGCATATACTATGCTAACTAGATGTTAAAGATAGGAACAGAGAATGGGAAGTTCTAGTTTGTTTTACCTTAGTATGTCGTATTTGTATGGCATGTATGCTGTTGATGCCGTTTTTACCGTTTTAGGATGCCACTTTAACATGACCATTGCTTTTCGTTGATAATTTTCGCAGCAATATCGTCTCTGGTTTCGGTGACTTGCTACTGATGTACTTGCCATGTTTCTACAGTTTTCAACTTCATTAGTTTATGTTAGATGAGTTTGGCTGTATCTAAGCTTGCTTTCATTGTCGTCAGCAAGGCCCTGCCTTGAGAAAACTGCTCACTATTAATCTCGCTTCATTGGGAGACAAATTATCACCTCTCCCTGCCACTCTCCATTATCCGTAAACCACAAGTTGCTGGCTAAAATTCCGTCTTCCTTTCAGGAGATATCCGTATACTCCTCTCATTATTCACTAAGTATCCATCACACCCTTACTAAATACCCTCGACATTCTTACTCTCACTATATAGTCTGCCTTTTACTCTAATTTCAAGCCCACTCTCACTATTCTCTTTATCACACTATTCTCATTTCCTTCTCAATTCTTACTTGATATATTCAAATAATAATCTTCCGACTAAGTCTCCAAATCCTCCTCATTTATCTGCTGGGCTTTCTCATCTGCATCTCCATGCACACATATCCTACTACCTCATCTTTCTCACTCCTACATAGTACTTTATCAACTACATTAACACCAGCCGCTGGCAAATCAGCCATGAGCTCCACTCTATGGGCCATCGAGGCGGCAAAGAAAAACAGGAAAAATGATGTGGTGCCAGGCTCCTCCAAATTCATCACCGCAGAAATGAAAACTAACGTGGACATCGCAAAAGCTGGTATCTCCACCTTTAACGAAAGTCTCCAGACGTGTGTGCATCTGCTCAACGACATCATTGACGACATCAACAATGGAGCGCCTGCTCTGCTACTCCAGAAGGTGACGCAGCTTTCCTTGGCCAATCTCGACGTCAAAGATGAAGATTCCATCTTGTCCAGAACATACTCTAGATACTCAAGAACTGATCGCTCAATCACAGAGGAGATTTCTCGCCCAGAGTTGAAAATAGAGTTGAGCGAGAAAATAATTCGACTGGCTGAACCTCCCATACTTTCACCGGACCGCCTTACATTTGCTGAGCCAATTCTACCGTCAGTACTCAAATCAGATCCTAAAGAACAACCAAGTGTCCCATCGGCAAAACCAAGTTTTCTGCAGACGCCAGCTTCTGCACCGAAAGAAGTTAGAATTCCTTCGTCGTTGGAATTAACTACGACTAAAACAGAAAATATCTTGCCTTCTGAGCCTTATGAGCAAGATGAGATTCGTCTGGAACTGCCATCTTCATCTCCAGCCATTTCCAAGCTGGAGAGCGGCAAAATCGAAGACATCAATACGGCCTTGTCACCTATACATATCCCACGCAATACGGTTGCCCTAATGTCTCCCAATGTTGACTTGTCCTTCATTCCAATTGCCAACAGCATCAATCCTCTGAAGTTTGATAATGCTCCGAATCTCAAATCAGAACTCCTGGAAGAAAGCGACACCTCTTTTCAGGCAATAAGCACTGCAATTAGGAAGAGTTTTGCGGGGAAATTGTCCATGGGCCAGTTTGCTGGCTCTCTTCCACTTTACTCCGATTACAAAGATGATACTGATGCGAGACTAAATTCTCAGGATATTCCTTCCAAGAGACCAGAAACACATGCGCAAGACTCTAAGGCTGTCTCTGTCAATTCTCACCAAAGTCGCAGAGAAAAATCGATCTACACGAAGCGAACGTCTGTTTTTGTTGCGCTCCCTGATAGGGAACCAATAGCGTATCTGAATTCGACCAGGCAATCGATTAAAGTTAAAGCTGAGGAAGCAGAATCAAGGGTGAGAAGCCTGGTATATCAGGGTGATATTACCTCAAATAATGATAACTCAAATTTGCACCGATACAACACCACTTCATATAAGAATAGCACGATCTCACATCGTGAAACCAATGCGTCTAAAGTTGGTCATAACGTGGCATCCAAGCTGGTGAACTTAGCCAGAAACTTGGATTTACGTTTTCCTGGCAAAACTAGGGCAGTTCAATCTCCCACAGAACGCCGGCTGCCTGTTGAGCGCCGGTCTCCCCTCGGTCGAAGATCCCCCACTCAGCCAAGAGAAAAGAAGAGACTAAATCAAAGTGCTTCGAGTGGTAATTTGCAGTCAGGCAGTATACCCCGAATCAGTCCAACTAGGGGAAGAACTCAGAGCAGATCACCTCGTGCTCCTCCTGGACGTGTCAGGCCCTCAGCTCAATTACAGAAAAGTTTTTCAACGCGGACAACGGATTCTGGTTCTCCTAGTCGAAAAAGTCGACAATCCCATGGTCCATTTTTGTCTACTGCGTCGAACGCTGGAAGTAAGTTTTCGCTCGCAACTGACGATGCCTCAAGCACTCAGAATTCCCGCTCTCCAACGAAATATAACAATCGGACGGATAATGAAAGCATCAGAGATTCTCATACCGATTACGATTCTGTGACCCCGTTGATCAAAAGGGATCCCGATATTCTTCAACGGTTGACGCTACCAACGAGTGCGAGCATACTGAAGGCAACAAAGTCATTTACTACCAAAGAAACGAAAGAGCCGCAGATGACGAATCGCTTCCTAACTACAACTCTCAATCCAGAGAATCCACCTCATTTTGCACCCAAGCCTCAAATGAAGAGGCCATCACCCACCAAAAAAGATCTTTCCAGGGGAGAGAAAAATAAGGTGGCTCGAAAAATTCCGCCATTGAAGTTTGAACCTAGTTCAAGGCCAAAGCAAAAAATCAATTTAGCTATTTCCCACAAACAAGATTTCCGGGAAAGTACACTGAAAACTGATAACCCTCCTACAGAGAGACTTGTGACGAGTCCAAAGAAAAAGGAGCGGGTCACCAATGGGAAGCAAGAATACCCGCAAAGAAAGAGTATCAAACGAGCATTAGAGCCATTGGATATTCATGTGGCGCCCAGAAAGAGAGCAGTAGGAAATGCTGTTCCTCTTCCAGATGCTGCTAGAGGAATCTTCAAAGGAGAACAGAGCAAGGAAAAACGCAAGACTCAGAAAGCATTAACAACTCCCCTTAGACATAGAGCCAAGTCACTAACCGACATTGGGACCGCAGATAGTCCAGGAGTTGGACCAGATGCGTTGCCTGAAATTCCATCGGATGATGAGGCCCTTAGAAAGAAGAAATACTTGAAGAGCTGGGCGGAAACACCCGAATTGCTAAAGGTGATGAAGGAAACCAAGGATTTGGACCCCGTCGCTGTATTTGGAGACGTTCCCGTTCTAAGAATGGACGATGTGTTCGAGTCAGCAGCATCCCGTCAGCGAGGAATGGCATCGCCAAATATGATGTCTTAAGAATATGTATGATACAGGTTATATTTAAAGTATATGGACATCAGGCCTGGCGCTTCGAAAGTGCCACCTCTTTGTTCCATTTGGACAACCACTCTGGAGAATCCTGTTTTGGTACCACGTAGAGTCTCAAAGCGTTGTCGAATAAAGGAGCTTTGGCTTTGTCAGACATCAAAGCCTTGTTGATTGGCACTTTTTTACCCACCTTGATCAAACCTCCCGTAATAGTCTCCATGTAACATTCAAGAGATTTGACAGTGAAATTCTTGTGCTTTGGATCCTCAAACCACGATTGCGGTCTATCAAGAACCATCTCCAAGAGCTCTAGAGGGGTGGTTAGCTCACTAATTTCGGCAACAAAATCAAATTCGTCCGTTGTAGGGTAAAGAACCACCGCAGGGAAGATAAGCTGTGATTCATAGTCTGCTGGATCTTCCAACCTAAGCTTAGCATCCTCAAGGTAATCAGCTGGACGAGGTGTCTTTACAGTCTCAAAGTGTCTCAACTTGACAGCGTTCGTGAGGAGCTCTTTCCTTAAACGTTCTTGGTGTTCCTCTCTCTCCTTCTTCAATCTCTTCTCTTCGATCTGCTTCTCCTTCTCTTCTACTTTCCGGAGAGTCTCTTGGATCGCTTTGTTCTCTGGATCTTTGGTAAGACCATATTGCAACACCTGCTTTGCTTCGTCATATCTTTCCACTGCTAGAAAGGCTCTTCCTGCTCTGTAACATGCCTTGACGTTGTCCTCATCTATAAGGAGAGCTTTCTTGCAATCTTCAATGCACCGTCTGTAATTTTTCAACTCCAAGTTGCACGCAGCCCTGTTAACATACAAAGCAACATTGATTGCGTCCACCTTACATTCCACTTCGAGGCCCTGAGTGTAGTACTCTACAGCATTCTTGTACTGCTTGAACTTGAAGCAGTTATTGCCCTGATTTTTGAAGTTTGTGGCGATTTCGTCAGGCTCACCATCATATGCCAAACTCTTCAACGCCTCAAGTCCCACATTTTCTCCTCCCTCGCCATCCGTCTCGTCTAGCTGGCTCATGAACAAGGGTAATCTGTTGAGTTCTGTCATTACTTCTTCCGGAGTCTTCTGCACCAAGTCCGAGAGCTGCGGAGGTAACGCAGGCTCACCAGGCTTGGGAACATATCTTTTACTTTCCCACGCCGAGATCAACTCGTCTTCGAAATCTCTTTCTTTTGTCACCATCGAAGGTAAGTGTTGGTTATAGATTCGATGAGATGAGTTATGTGCCGTCAGTTGAGGATCTGATGAATTACCTACAGACTGTAAATAGAAATTCTACAAATTCATGTAAAAACTTTAAAAGCGTCATTTCCTTTGTCATTAATCTATATACTGGTTTTATTATTCTATTGTAACGGGAACGTGTACCACTTGGGACGCTCCGTTTTTATGCTTCACTGTGATGCGCACATAATAAAGTCTGACCAAGAGACATGTCTGGAAATCTGGCACTAAGCAGATAGTGTCAAAAGCAGATTTTCCTGCAAGTGGTGTGGTTCCCTTCAAGTGGCAAGTGTCTAAGTCAAGATGAAGTTTCACTTTCTTGGTAAAGATTTTGCAGTTGGCGTTGGTTGTAGCCTGCGTTTCACTCCATGGAATGGCAGCCAAGTTCTTGTAGTATCCCATACTGGAATCCGATGAGCTTTCGATGCGAACATCCTCAATTGCCAAATTGATATGTTTGGTCTGTAGCGTGGCCAAACTTTTGATATCTTTGAAGAGTTGAGTTTCGACCCTGAACGCGTCGTCATTGAATCCAACTCTCTTCATGATTGAAGTGAGTCTGTGCAAGTAGTCGTGGTAAGGTTTAATTACAATTGAGTCGAAATTAGGATAGTCTTCGCCAGTCTTCTTCGTAGCGAAATCATCCACGACGTAATCAAGGAAGCACATATCATGGTTGAACTCAAGTGGAATCAAATGCTTCTTTGATCTAGCTGTCATGACAATCAATTCACATGATACGCTTTTGGGTTCTGGAGGAGTCTGGTTATCACCCTCATACTCGTAAGAATAAGAGATATCAATCGGGATCTCTAACTGTGTGTTGTACCTCTGTAGAGGGTTCCGGTATTGCAACGGAGGGATGTATGGGAAAGAGTATTTTATCTTTGGTGTGGAGAGTGAGAAGACTCCGAGAACCTTGGAGAAGCCTGTTAACTTCTGCTTTCGGTACGACGTCAAGTTCTGGTAGAGTGGCAGCTCCTCACTCTTGTTGTTCTTGCTGGATGTTGAAGGCACATTATAGAGGTGTCTCAACTTTTCGCTGGTCAGTCCACGAGAAGTCAGTGGAGAGAGCTGGGAGACCATACTCGTGAGTGAAAGCACAGAGCCTGAGTTCTTGCTCAGGAGTACCAAAGTACCCTCATCAATCTTCTGCTCAACCGTATCCTTTAATGCCTTAAAGCTAGCAAGCACTTTCTTAGCCCAGTAGTCTGGGTATTCTGGCTGAATGGTGAACGGCAATACTCGGATTGGAACACTCACCTCCTTTGTCAACACAAATTTGTCCTTCGGAACCTTATGGTTGTACTGAGAGGCCTTCCCGATGATCTTGGTAGACACGGAGTAGCTGATGAAGGTGTCCATGAACGAAAAGTCCTTGATCTTCTTCTCAGTGAAATCATGAAACCTTCGGGAGGAAGTAATGCTCACGGGGTTCCCCAACGTTGGCAACATCGTGCAATGTCCGTCCAAATTGTGCACATCACAATTGTCGTCCAAGAGCCTGTCTGGAATACGGAAAGAAAAGAATCGCTTGTATGTCACACCAGGCTGGAAAAGACGCTTGGCATCGATGGAAAGAACGGTGTCATCATAAGGATCTTTTTCCCCAACACACCAGTCGTGAGGATTTCCTTCATCTGTGGCTAAACGGTCGATGTTGGCGTAAGTCCATGATGCAAATAGGTCAGGCATGTTTAGGAACTTGAAAACAGTGGGAGGATGAGTATGGTCCTTGGGGCCGTTAGAGCTTTGAACCACCACTAAGCTGCCTTCAAATATTACGTAAACGATATCAAAAGGAATGGGCTCTGTAAACCTATTCGTCATTGTGACATAGCCATGGAGGTACTCTTCTTGTCGATACTCGCGATTGGACACATCAATGATGTTGGGCTTGACACCTTTCTGACACACCGAATCAGTGAAAGTGATCTCAACGTCTAAATGGCTGGCCATAGAGTTGGAGGTGTCCATCAAGTTGTCGAGCTTGTGCACATTCGCCAAGATGGTCTTCTCGAACAATTGCGCAGAGTTCTGGGTGAAGTCTTCTGAGTCGTCTTCGGGATTCAGATTTGGATTTGGATTTGGGAAGGGAAATTCCGACAAATCAAACATCGCCAGAGGAGACATTGTAGCAGCAGATGCCACAGGAGTGACAGCGCCCGAGTTGAGCGGAGACATCTCGTATCTGGGAGGATCAACCTTATAGTTCTCATCATTGGGGACGAGACGCTTGGAGATAGTGGATTGGAACATGTGATAAGATGGCAAGATGGAGTTTATGAGTTCATCGTCCAGGCTCTTGGCAGAGACCTGAGGGCGGACCTCGTTGAAATCTTCATTCATTAAACTCGTAAGAGAAGAAATTCCTGTACTTCCATTGGAGTATAGAGATGGATTGGCCTACAGACAGGAAGATCTGGGGAGAGTTAGACAAACTGTGGGACTTGGAATATGAATGATTAGTTAGAATGAGGAAAAGTTTTAGGGAAAAACAATGTGAGTTGAAAGGAATTATTTGGATTTTGGAATAGGGAGAGGTCTGGGGGAAACTGGCAAGTTTTATGAATGAAGCAATGGTGTGGCTTACGAGAAGTCGTGCTAGACCTGTTGTATTCTTGTTTTGATCAAAGACACTAGAAAATTGGATAATACCAGTATTATGAGAGTTTGTTAAAACGTTTTAGAACGCCGGGATGTCGACTGTTATGATCGAATAAGTGGGTGCAAAATAGGAATACATTCCATTGCACTCAATATACGAGAGTAACAAAATAAAGAAGTCAAGTGCGAGGGAAGAATACGTGTTCAGGGTCCTCCTCGCTTGATAAATTCTAAATGCGTGATTTTAGGAAAACCATCAGTTAGCATACTCCACTCTACCAGCGAAGAAAGTATGGAAGACAAATATCTAACAGAAAAATATTTTGACAGACAATTTCTTTAACAGACATTTACTCCAACAACCCAGATAAAATCAATGAACTCAAATACTCATACCTAAATTTGTTTATGATTCCATCATACTTTTCCCCGCAATGATTCTCTTTTTTCCATCATCGCTTCTCTCTCCATACTTTCGAACTTCCCAGCTTTCTCAACATGTTGCCAAACTCTGTCGTCATTTTACAACAGTTCCTGTCCTGCGCGACTCATTCCTGTCGCAACGTCTTCCATTGCTTTTCAACAATGGCTTGCCTTTTTCCCAAATGCCCGAAATGCCAATCTCCACAATTTTTCAGAGTCTCCAGATACTGTGTATTCACATCGTTTTCTCGCAAATTCAATCTCAATGTCTCCGTCATGGCTTCGTTCACACTTCCCTCAACAGGTTAGTTGTCAAGCGACCTTCCTGTACTGAGTCTTATCTTTGAAGCTTCGCTACGTCAGGCATCGACGCCACAATAGACATCCACATCCAACACATTTTTTTTTTGGTTTCTTCATTGCATCTCTCATGATTTCAGAGAAGAGGATTATTCCGGCCCCGGTGTCGCCGCTTTCGCGATCAATTCGGGCCGCTATTGTAATGCTCTTAATTTTGCTTGCTATCACCAACTTCGTTCCTGTCACCGATAACGATCATTTGCTCAGCTATTTGTCCCATGTGAGTTACCAGCGTATAGCTTCTGGAAATGATCCTGTGGGAGACAAAATTGGTCAACCCTCTTTGAATCCGCCTGCTGAGTTTCTTCGGTATGGTTCTAAAGCCATGGTCAGCTCGGATGTTCCTCTATGCTCAACCATGGGAAAGGAAATCTTGCTCAAAGGCGGAAACGCCGCGGATGCTGCCGTCACTGTTGCTCTCTGTATCGGTTCAGTTAATCTGCATTCGTCTGGTATTGGCGGTGGTGGGTTTATTGTCACCACCAAAGATAACCAGACCTTGAGTATCGATGCACGCGAAATGGCACCTTCGTTGGCCCATAAACATATGTACGACGGTATTCCACTTTTAGCTCAGTTTGGTGGTCTTGCAGTGGCTGTTCCAGGCGAGTTGGCTGGACTTCACCTGTTGTATGAGAATCATGGATCTGGAAAATTGACGTGGGCCCAATTGTTCGAGCCAGTTATAGAGCTCAACAGAAAAGGATGGAAGGCTCCTTTGATCTGGGTTCGAGCTGCACAGAAGATTGATGAGCTCTTACTCTCCCGTGTACCTCCATTACGTGAAACCTGGGACTTTATCTATAAGAAAGACACCAGGAAATTGGTGGAGGTGGGAGACATCATCACTAGACCCAACTATGCCGATACCCTTGAGAAGATTGCTAGAAATGGTAGTGCAAGCGTTTTTTATGATCCTAATGGACCTATTGCCCCCAAACTTGCAAGCCTGGCCCAAGGTTTGGGAGGCATCTTGACAGCTCAAGATTTCGCCAACTACAAGGCTAAAGTGTCAGAAGCACTTAGCTTCAACTTCTCTTTGGGCTCCGACAATTATGAATTATCAACCACTGGTGGTGTATCGTCTGGATTGGCTCTTATTGCAGGTCTCAACTTCTACACAGCTTTGGCTCAGCAAAGTCCCGTGGACAAAGATGAAGCACTCAAGACGCATAGGCTTTTAGAGGCCATGAAGTGGACAGCACTGGCACGCTCGCACTTGGGAGATGTCAACGAAACTTACTGGAATGCCATTGTGGCTAACTACTCATCTCCAGATTGGTCTCGAGGCTTATTGGATGATGGCATGTACTCGGACAACACCACATTCCCTTGGGAGCACTACGGTCCATTGTACAAGTTGACCGAACCGCATGGAACCTCGCATTTCTCCGTTGTTGATGAACATGGCGGAGCAGTGGGCATGACCACCACCGTCAACTTACTATTTGGATCTCTGGTTTACGACAAGGATACCGGTGTGGTGTTGAACGATGAAATGGATGACTTCTCGATGCCCGACTACAGCAATGCGTTCAATTTAACCCCTTCGGCGCACAACTTCATCCGTCCGTTCACACGCCCACTCTCGCTGACTACACCCACCATCATCAGAAAGAATGGTCAGTTACACTTCCTTATAGGTGCAGCTGGAGGGTCGCGGATCGTCACTGCGGTTCTACAGGCCATCGTTCGGACCATCCACGACAACATGCTGCTTCTTCACACCATTGCATACCCACGGCTCCATCATCAGCTCATCCCACAGTTTGCCATGGTGGAAAACATCACTATGTTCAACTCCGAATTCCGTGACACTTTGGACTGTATCCAATGCCAGCTCGAGACATTGAACCACACATTTGTGGAAACCGGCGCTTTGACAGCTATGAACGGAATTAAGAGAGCCGCAGATGGCGGATGGGAGGGAGTTAGTGACTACTGGCGTAAGCGAGGAATTGCTGACGGATATTGAGTTGAATATTCGCAGCTTCCGTTACTCCGGTGTATCTGCATTCCACGGATCCACTGGATTGAGGATGCGCGATAAGCAACTAGAGAAAGGATTTCTTGACAACTGTATGAGTTGAATTAGTGTCCCCCCACTTCACTTTGGTGAACGGAGTAGGTCTTCAGATCCAAGTCCTTTGTTCTTGGCCGGTTCATTGGTGCAGGGCTCAAACTTTGAAGAGAAGTTAAAAATTCCAGTGGATGGTTGGAATTGCTAAGGGATGGAGGTGCAAAATATGAAATTTGTAATACTAGTGAATGATGTCTGGTTCCATGACTTCCGCACCCATAGATTTTGTCCCCGTGATTACAGCATTCCCATTTGTGGCATAGCACACCTCCGTACGCAGATACGGAGTAATATACTAGAAAATATCAGTTTTTACTTTGAAAAGTGTCAAACTTCCAGCTCCGAGCCGTTACTCCGGAGACATTCCAGGGATAACATGAAGAATCAGATAACGCATACAGGCACATACATGGGACCACAGCCATGGTCCCACAACTTTCTCGGGATTTATGATTGGCCTGTTCTGATTGATTTTGTGGGGCTGCCTCTTCCTGCAGACACCCACCACCACCACTAGGCATCACTTTGTGGGGTCGCCCCCCACTACTGCAGAAACACAGCCGTCCATGGTGTATTCGATGGTGTTGATCGCATCTAAAACATCCCCAAGAGTCCATCGTAGCGAAGTATTATAATGTTTTGGATGTTCTCCGGATAACAGGAGCGTCACCAATGGGTGCCAAACTCCGAAACAGAATTGTGTGTTTGTCTGCAGGTGCATGCGTGTCCGCCAAAGGTTGACCGCTAAAGTGAGGTCATTTTCCCCAGATTTCGTGGTGGACTTATACTCCGGAGTGGCCTATATAATGCATTGCGATTCCCATCTTATGTAGGCTGATTTTCGATTTTTCTTTTGTTAACCACCCTTATTTATTCTCGTCCATCTCCCCACTATTGCAACCACATGTCCACTTACTCTTACCAGGACCAATTAAAGAAATTGCCCATTCCAGATTTGGAAGAAACGTGCAAGAACTACTTGAGCGTATTAAGACCCCTTCAGACCGAAAAGGAATATGAGAGAACCGTGGAGGCGGTATCCAAGTTCTTGAAGGATGGAACGGGCAGCTACTTGGACTCGGAGTTGAGAACCTACGCGGAGACTAGAAACTCTTATATCGAGCAATTCTGGTACGATGCCTACTTGAACTACGATTCGCCTGTGGTGTTGAACTTGAATCCATTCTTTCTTTTGGAAGATGACCCTTTCTACAACGAGTCTACTTGTGTCAATCCTCAGGTCAAGAGAGCAGTGACTTTGACTGTTTCGTCGTTGAAATTCATCCAGGCTTTGAAGAACGAGACTTTGCCTGTGGATTTCCAGAGAAATGGCAAGCCCCTTTGTATGTACCAGTACTCCAAATTGTTTGGTGCGTCTAGAATCCCTAATGAGGACGGATGTGTCATGCAATCAGACCCCAACTCCAACCACATCATTGTTATGTCAAAATCCCAGTTTTATTGGTTTGATGTGTTGGATAAGAACAACAATTTGATCATGCTGGAGCAGGACTTGATCATTAACTTCACTTCCATCATCCAGGACTCACTTAAGACCCCTAGAAACGAAATCGCAAAGTCTTCGTTTGGTGTGTTAACCACAGAAAACAGAAGAATCTGGGCCAAGATCAGAAGCTCGTCCACCATTGTTGACAACCCCAACAATAGCGAGATTTTGTCCATCATCGACTCCGCTCTTTTTGTAATTTGCTTGGACGACCTCGTGTTGAACGATTTGAGTGACCTTTCTAAGAATATGTTGTGCGGTTTGTCTATTCTTGACAAGGGTGTCCAGGTGGGAACTTGTACTAACAGATGGTACGATAAGTTGCAGATCATCATCACTCAAAATGGAAAGGCTGGTATCAATTTCGAGCACACTGGTGTCGACGGCCACACGGTGTTGAGATATGTCAGTGACGTTTACACCGACTCTATTCTTTCATTTGCACAGACCATTAACTCAAACGCTCCAACTTTGTGGAAGGATGGCTCGACCAAAGGTGTCAATGAGGTCCAAAGTGATCTTGTAACCATTCCTAGAAAGTTGGAATGGGACTTAACTCCAGACTTGTCGCTTGCTTTAAGATTTGGTGAGACCAGATTGTCTGACTTGATCAACCAAAACGAGTTTAAGCACTTGGAATTCAAGAGCTACGGTTCTTCCACGATCAAGAAAATGAAGTTTAGTCCTGATGCGTTTGTCCAAATGGCCTTCCAGGCCACCTACTACGCACTTTATGGTAAGGTCGAATGTACTTACGAGCCAGCCATGACCAAGAACTTCTTCCACGGAAGAACTGAGGCCATCCGTACTGTGAGTCAAGAATCCAACTTATTCGTTCGTAAGTTCTTTGACCCCACCATGCCTGCCAACGAGAAGTTAAAGTATCTCTCGGACGCTTGCGTGAAGCATTCTGAGCAGACCAGAAGATGCTCCAATGGTCAGGGTGTGGACAGACACTTGTATGCTTTGTTCTGTATCTGGAAAAGATATGTTGCAGAGTTTGAAGACAACTATGAGGCTCCAGAAATGAAGAACGATGACACCATCACCAACCACGAAATTTCGAGCAGCTCCTCTGACAGCACTGTCGGCGGTAACAATCAACTGAACTTAAAGTTCGAGTTGAAGCACTTGCCTGAAATCTTTGCTGATGCTGGATGGGACAAGTTGAATAACACAATTATCTCCACCTCCAACTGTGGTAATCCCTCGTTGAGACTTTTTGGTTTTGGTCCAGTTAGTGCCAACGGGTTTGGTATTGGATACATTATCAAAGACGACTCCATCTCTATTTGTGCATCTTCTAAGCACAGACAGACGAGCAGATTTCTTGTGACTTTGGAGTCTTACTTCAACGAGGTTTACAGAATCTTCAAGGAAGTCAACGACGTTCAGGAACCACATGCTCCTATTGACACCAAGATCAGAGACAACGGCTACTCTAACGTCAAGCCAAATGTTCTTGTGAAGCCTGTCCCTGTCAAGAGCGACACCTTGAACACCTTGTTGGGTGGTTATGGCTACTTTGACATGGGAGATGACCAGATCAAGTCAAGGGGCCAGTCGCCAGAACTTCCATTCATGCCTCGTTTGGACAGCACATTCTCCCTCAGAGACATCGAGAAGAAATTGAGATTGTCTGAATACTAAATTATTCATACTTATTTATTTTATTTATTATATTTATTCTATTTATTTCCCTGATGCCTTAAATACCAAATTCACCACCCTGTAACGCTGCTCGCATACTGGCCTTGTTGGTCTTGGTGTTCTTATTAAACTTTCCACTCGGAGGCATACCTCTCATAGCAAGGTCGCTCGCGGTCGGCCTTGGTTTTGCCTTCTGTTGAGGAGGAGGGTAATATCCTTGTGGTGGAGGATAGTACATTGGATATCCATAACCTTGCGGAGGTGGGTAATAGCCTTGTGGAGGTGGAGGATAATAATACTGTGGTGCCGGGGCACCAGGTGCCACTTGATACGGCTGTTGACCTTGAATCGGACCTGGCGGCATCTGCCCTTGTGATGCTTGTACCGGCATTTGCCCTGGAGGAATTTGCCCTTGCTGGTGGTTGGGTGGCTGGCCATATGGAGCATGATGTACTGGGTATTGTGACATCTGAGCAGTAGGTACCTGAGGTGGTGTGTGATGATGAGGGATTGCCTGGTTCTGCTGACCTCCACTTTGTTGATGATTCATATGCTGTGTAGGCACCTGATGTTGAGTGTGAGCTGTAGGTGCACTAATTGCTTGAGTTGTTGGGTGAGACATCATTTGATGGTGTTGATCTTGAGAGTGAGCCATTGGTCGTTGTTGAGCATGGCGGTTTGGCAGGCCAACTGTGAATTGTGAGTCAGACTGAGGTTGTAATTGCTGTGTCGGGGGTATTGGTTGAGCAGAGCCTATTGCAGGTGTAGGAGACTTCGTCATGGGGACCTGAGATTGATTGCCCGTTGGAGTGTAATACTGTGAATTGGTTGGGGAGTTTCCCGTTGGGGTGTGGTAGTACGATGACACCAACAGTGGGTCACTGCTATCTTGATGAGCTCCAAACATGTTCGGATTCAAATGCATCTTGTTAGGCAGTGCTGAACCTGACACAATTCTTGGTTGTACTTGAGGTGAAAGATGACTACTCACCTGAGCCTGCGGTGGACGCATTGACTGGTATTCATTATACCTTGCATCAACATTGTTTGCGGAATAGCCATTGTAACTCAGATCCTGACTTTGTTGAGCAATCTGTTGGTCGGATGAGTACTGGCTCTCGCCAGGTATAGATGTATCTGTCTTTGAAGGTACTGGTGGAGGATGGCCATTATTATTCACGGGAGGCAAAGGTGGAGGAGGTCCATTGGGAATTTCATCCATTGAAGGCAAAGGTGGGGGAGGTCCGTTCGGGATTCCCTCCATAGGGAAGTAATCCACTGGCTTCTTAGAGCGCTTCTTTTTCTTCTTTTTCTTCTTCTCTTCGACCTCTCCAGATCCAAATTCCAGACGGTATTCAAGTTGGATTTCCGGCTGGACAAACTGATCTTCCAGCTGGTAATGAGAATGATTCTCCGTCTGAAATTCTGCTTCGGAATTCGAAAGATGTGGAGGAAGAGCTTCATTTTTGTGATGACCAAGATCAGAGGTTCTGGCTTGTGATGGTTCATCCGTATGTTTTGGATTGACGAAGGCAAACTCGCTTTGACCTTGCATCTTGTTTCTGTTCGTTCCATTTGAAGCGATATAGGGGTTCTTCACGTAGTTTGCCTCGTGAACGTCATGGTGAGACCGATTTTGAGAATCGTAATCATTATCGTACCCGTACACATCATTCAGGCTAAACTTCTCTTCTCGTGGTAGTTGAGAAACATAATGCGTCTCGTGACCTGGTTTCTCAAGATATTGCTGCTCATGTGGTGATTGTGTTGTATGTGAGTTCTCCTGAGGTTGTTGATAGTTTTGGGAATTCGCTGGATATCTGTTAGGAGAATGATCTCTGCTAGTAGCCAAATTCCGACTCTGACCTGGAATGTAGTAGTCATCATAAGGTTCTGTGTCAACTCTGCCGTCTGGCTGATCGAATGGAGTTTTGTATGTCTCAAAAGGTTCTTGGATCTCCACACGCTCTCTGGAATGGTAAACTTCTGGATCCTTTTGCGCATAAGCACGATAAGTCTGGAATTCTGGATGCTCTTGTTCGGTATAGCGATCAGGCGACCTTCTGGGTATCACGGGCTCCAGGATTTGCAAGTTTTGAAGATCAACCTCATTAGCATGATCATCGTCGAGTGGTGGTGGACGGGGCCTCTGCGAAAACTTGGGCTTCTGAGCCTGAATTTTCTTAGTGGCTTCGTTAGCAATACTTCGCTCTTCGTCAAGACTGGCCATATACTTTTGGTAACCCAGGCTACTCTCAGATAAACCATCCACACTAAATTGATCATCTCTAAATGATACATCCGGAAGAAGCGAACTTTTTGGTAGAGGGTGGCCTGCTCGTTCCGCAGATGATGGCGGTGGTGGCAATGACTTCTCTTGAGGGATGGGAGAACGGGCCATTAATCTCGGCGAGTGCTCGAAGTCCTTGAAATTAGTCAAATAATCATCTTCACTCATCGTCACTTCCGATAAAATGAGCCATTTCTGGAATCCACGCAATCCAGCTTCAACCACTATGGAGCGACCAAACAATGATTTCAATGCATCCGACTGGTCAGATCCTAACGAGGAAAGCCAGGTCCATATATAGTAATCCTGCAAGGACACATTTGAAATGGTGACTTCAGTGTACATAGGAATATTTGGATCCTGTGGTGCCGACGTGTTTGCCCAGCCGGGGTATATACCAAAATCCGAATGGATGGGAGTGGCAGTCAACCGCGAAAGAACACGTCTCGACTCCTCCGTTAATGTAGATACAATCTCATTAGTAGAGTCCTTTTGGAAAATATTTTTGAGGATAGTATAATTTTCGATGGAGATGAACTTGTCTTTCTTGTCGAAGCGAAGGTTCTGTCTGACCTTGCTAATAAGCTCGTATGGATCAGCACATCTCTTAGTGGAGCGGATCTGGACACACGGAATGGTGATCACAGACTTCATAGACGGCAGTTTATCTGGTGGTGGGTATGAGTTGGTGACAAGAAGAGACTGCAAAGTCTTTGGAAGTTTGAGGGTATCACTTTCAGTGTCTGGAAGCATAGCACGCAAGAACGCTAGAAGCAAGTGAAATAAGCCATTGCACGTCAGCTCCCAGGTGCTAAGACCGTCCATGAAGCTGTTTTCACGGGTGGCAGTGGCATCGTAAAAAGCCGAAGAAGAATGAGGCGTGCTATTGAAAGCCCAGACACTGGCCATTTTGGCGATCTTACGGCCACTCAAATGATTGTACTGAGAATTCGTAGCGATTCCAATCATAAGGTCAAGGAAGTCATAAACAATGGATGCATGGGAGGAAGAAGAGAGACATTTGGGCATGAGAGTGAGAAATGCATCTTTTGGATAGCCAGCATCACGCTCTCGTCTCTTAAACTCCAAATACACGTTCCACCCAACGACCTCATTGTTCGGAAGACGGCACCACAAATATTTGAGGCCACAGATAAGGGTGAATTCGTCGAAAGATTTCAAAAGAAGTTTGACCAGCGACGTTTTGGCCATATCAATCAACTTTCCACCGGGAAAGACGGACTGCAAGAACTGCTCGAGTTTTGAGTCATCTACTCGCGATCTGAAAGGAAGAAACACATGAGGGGTCTTCGTTCCTCGAGTCTTGAGGTCGGCTGTGATGAGGTGGAGTAATACCTGGAGTTTCTTTCTTGTAAGTTGATCCGCAGCGATCCCAAAGTGTTGATGGTGGTTTCGATTGGATGCTGGAAGCTTCGGAAGTGCAAACTGATCCTGGCCCATGGCGCCAAGTATACAAAGCAAGTTGTTTCAGTGGACCGAGAGAATATTGCTGCTGGCTAAACTGGAAGAGTCAGGCTTTTTAACGTTTGGTTACCAAGGCAGTGTTTTTTTTTTCTGTGCCTTGTTGCGCGAAGTTTGATCACAACCCCAGATTTCGCTTACAATCGATAGTTGAAAACCTTGCAGATCCAGGGAATGGCCGTGGTGGTATGATGGATATGGACTTTTGTTCGTGTTGGTGGATATGATATATGTTAAATTTGTCGATATCAGGGAGCTTTTCGAATTTTAATTGGTGTATTTGTGATTGGCGAGGTACTTTTGTTCTTTACATAGAACACTTTCAAAATGGCTCGTCTGCGCAGAATGTGTAAATATGGGGCCAAAGAAATTCGTAGATTCTCGGCAAGTAATTCAGAAAAAAGGATGGCAAAAGTGATTTGATTACCGATAGTTGTCAAAAATTAGATTTTTACTTTTGTTTCCTTGAACTGAAATTTCGGCTGGACAGAACTTTAAGATACATTAGATATTTTGCCTACCTCAGATTAGCAAGGTGAGTTTGCTTTGACAATTTCCATCATATGAAAGTATACACGAGAGTGCCGGAAGGACAATGAATTATCCGGACTAGATTTTCCCATACGGCAATAATTTTGAGAGGAACTATTGGGCTCCGGTCGGATCTTTGTTTATACCCAATGAGGCAATGTGTTGTAAGGTACACATTACCCAACCACTGAATTGACACTAACCTTATGTCAAAAATTGCAACAATCATGAGAAAAATGTTAAAATTAATACTACACTGTGGAAATCGAACAACTATTCAGAAACATCGCCTGTGATCCCATTAATTCATACCAACTTCTTCTGTGAAAAAACATGATCTTCATACTTCCCACTCCAATCCTACAGTCTGCTATATTTCATCCATAAGTTCTATCCCTTCTATCTCATACTTCAAAGTGTTTGATCACATTCTGCTGAGCAACATTCTGCAAATCAGCCATACTGGCCACAGGACGAAGTCCGTATGAATCATTTCTAAGTTTATCGTTTTGTAAGTTGGACGCACTGTTAATGGAGCGGAGAGGACCTCCTTGGTCGTTCAATCCATTTTGAGAAATATCCCCTTGGTAACCTGTCTCCACATCACCCTGGTAACCATTCAAGTTAGGAACCTGAGTAGGAGGCGCTCTCACTCCTCCAATTTCTCCCACCTGTCCATTTAATTGTCCATTGACATGATTCATGTCTGGCATCGGGTGCACATCAACATTAGTCACCCCGCCGTTGACAGGTGACTCAGTTTTCACAGGCTGTGAATTCAACGTGGTAGGGATTGTGGTAGGAATCGAAGTGTAATTAGGCTGAGCATTAGCAGCTACCTGTGCAATATAATCTGTTTGGCCAAGAACATTTTGCATTTGCTGGTATCCACCAACCGAGTTGACGAGTCCCGGACAATCGCGATGATTGATCAATATACCTTTTAGCTGCAATAGTTGTTCTCGAAGCTGAGTCACTTGTGCTGACAACTCACGGTAACCATTGGAATAGTAAGACAACTCTGATTCCATTTTGCTGAAGAGCTGTTTCTTCCTTTGACGACACTTCGATGCAGCAACTCTATTTCTCTCCAAAAACTGCTTCCTCTTCTCGTCTTCCGAGTTTACCTTAGCCAACTTTTTCAGTTCCTCTTTCTTTTTGGTGGCTCTGCCCTTGGGAGCAGCTTTGGCTCGTTTGGTACCTCTGCCATTTTCTGACACTGAGCGCTTCACAGTTCCCAGTTGCTCTTTCTTGACTACCGCTTCATCTCCAGAATCGTCACTGGCCTCTTCTTCCTGAATAGGCTGGTCCGGTTTTGGCTCATTGACCTTTGGAACCGTGGCCGCAGGAAGTGGATGCTCGGGATATACTGGTGCAGCCAGATTGGCTGGAACATCAGTAGGTGCACTGGACGTGAGACCTAGCAAGTTCAGCAAGCCCGGTGTCATCTGGCCATGAGGAAATCCTCCAGGAGTGTTAAGATTGAAGTTGAAGCCCTGTTGGGCCATGATGCTGGGGGTGAGACCCGATCGAAGATTTGACTCGTTAGGTGTAAGTCCCAGCTTCCTTAACATACTTGCGAACTGTGGGTTGGCCTCGGACCCGGTGTGAGACCCGTTGGTTGCACTGAGTAGACTGCTCCACATGTGTCCTGGAGTTCCTGGGCTGCCGAGAGCAGCACCAGGAGAAAACTGGATCGGAGGAAGTCTACGGCCGCCTGGCGTGAAGATTGGGGGTGTAAGGCCTGGAAGTCTCTCTGTGTCCAAGCTCAGGAAATTCAGAATTCGGAGATTATGTCTGTTGCTGGTTCCATTAGCAACACCAGAGGTGGCAGAGACCGGTGCTGCGGAGTCTTTTACAACGGAAGCAGCAGCATTAGCAGCATTAGCAGTTTTGGATTCGGGCTCAACAGCTGTTGTTGATGATTTATCCCCGCCAGATGTCAACAGTTGCTCATTATTGGTATGAAGCGATTGAGTCGAGGTGCCCGAGGCAGAAGCCGAGTCAGGAAAAGTGTGGGTGCGAGGCTGCAGCAGCGGCAAGAGATCCTTTTTCGCAAATGAGTTTTCAAATGGGTTTAACTCCAAGTCAAATGAAGTTTTCAGCTATAGATGGTTAGTGACGTAAGCATGAATAGGCCATACTGCGATGGTTCCAAATGGGGTGGAATGTGGCAGTCCAGACCCAAGATCTATACACCGGAAAGCGCAGAAAGTGTGATACATACGTCGCTCGACATGCTTGTTCCGAAGACGTGAACGTTCAGCTAAGTTGTTGAGATTGTGTTCTTTGGCAAACTAAACAGAAGATGAGTGGTACTTTTAGTTACGTCATGGCGAATTTTATACTGTCTGCAGGATTTGCGAGCGTTTCCAACAACATAGTCCAAACCACACTAAAAAATAATATGCACGACTATTGTTTTTATAATACTAATCACTGCAACACTTGATAGCATGCTTAAATTTGTGCATGTAACTACTATTTATCTTCCTTCTTGTTCTTCTCTTCCTCCTTGCTCAACTCTTTAAGCGCCTCTTCGACCTTTTTTCTCGTGTTCTCCTCTTCATTCTTGATCAGCGGATCCTTCTTTACCTCTTCCTGAAGTTGCTCGTCCACCTTCTTTGCAACTGGAACCGCCTTGGGCATCTTCTTCTTGTCGATCTTGGGCTGCTCTTTCATTTGCTGCTCTCCCACCTTGGCTGCATTCTCCACTTCTCTGGGATCATCGCTCAGCCTTTCCCATCCGGTCTTGAACAATGGCTCCAAGTCAAATCTTGGGAAAGGATGAGCCTCGGTGTTGAAGACATATTTATCCAATGGAATAAGGTCCTCATCGTCAAACAAGAGATACAAGTACTTCAAAGTCTCAGCAAGCCAAAACGACTCCATGTTATTTTTGAACTTGGGCTCTTTGCTAGTCACATCATGTAACGACGAATATGACACCATTCCAGATGCTGTGGTAACCTTGGTGTGCTTGACGAAGTTCTGGAAGATTTCGTAACCCCACTTTCTGTACTTCTCGTCTCCAGTTAACTTATACAAGTAATAAAGAGACTCCACTGTTTCTGGACGCTGCAAGTTATGGGTGTCTAAAGGCTTGATGATGAAGTCAGCACTCTTCAGCGAATCCAGGTTGAACACCACAATTTCAGGAGACAATCCCGTAGGTTGAACGTCATGGTACATTTTGTAGCATGAGTAAGTTAACTCCTCACCAAGCTTGAAGTCGCTCTCTTGCTCTTCTCCCCAAGTAGGAAGCTTACGGGCTTCTGCCAAGGTCAAACCACCAGTAGCTCCGAGTGCAAGAAGGCCACCATAGAAGCACACCAAGTGGTCCATCTTAGGCGACAAGCCCCCACCAATGCCTCTATCGAGTTCACCAACATATGTCAAACCACTTGGCTTGGACTCACCCAACATGTGCTTCTTGACACCTTCAACAGATTCTCTGTACATTTTCCAGTAGATTGGTTCCTTTTTGTTTGTTTGTAAGTACAGCTTCAACAAATACTCGTAATAGGAATCACCTCTGGAACCAAGACGAATCAATTTGCCCTGGTATTTTCCGGAATCTGGCTGGACGTAAATTGGTACCAAGCCATCCAAAGGCTGGTTCTTGTCCAACTCCAGCATAACTTTTTCAGCTGCTTTCCAGTACAAGTCTTCACCAGTCAATTTAGACAAATACTTGAACTCCAACTGCAAGGTGGCCACCTCAGCGGTGGACGAAGCCCCACCATCTACATGATTTCTGATTCCCTCACCAGTTTTAAGGTTAACAGAAGAATATGGAATTCCTGTCTTGGATTGGAAACCTCCCATCAATGCATTGGCCAAGTCTGCGGCTTTATCCAATAGGACATCGTCATTGGACAAATGGAATGCTGACAAGAGGCCACCCAACATTCTGATGGTGGTCTCAAACAAGTTGACGCTATAGTCAAAGTGGTAGTTCAAGTCGGTTTGAACCCACTTTTTTGCTCTGGTGAACTCTTCCTTGCAGTCCATGATCAACAAGGTATCTAAGGAATCGACAATCATCCAGCCCAATGGCTTGGGGCCCATGTTTTCACCCTTACTAGTCACGGGATGGTAAATGTCTTTGCCCCATGCATCGTGTTCGTAGGAGTTCCACGATTCAAGGAACACATCTTTAACCTGCTGCTTGGCTTGTGGCCACGACGAGGCCCGGGCGTTGGAATTGGAGCGATATGAGTACGACGAGTTAAACGCCAAGTAGTAGATGGAGTAGAGGGCCAACGTCAGGAAGAATACGCGAGTCAACATGACTTTCTTTGATATTCTGGAACCACGGATGGGAGCAAATGCAGACGACGACGACGACGACGAGGGTTTGTCTTTATATAGAGGTAAAGAGTGTTTGTTTGACGAGTACCCGGGAAACGACGACGACTTTTCTTTGAAAGACATGGGTAAATGGAAACAAGTAGTATTGTTGAGAACACTAGACACTTGGCCTGTGTGCGGGAATCAAGCGGGGGCACATGCAGTGGAAGGTATGTGAAGTAAAGAAGAAACCAGGGAGGAGAAATGAAAAGTGTAGAATTAGTGAAATGAATAGTAGGAGATGATTGAATAAGTTGGGTTGGGAGAAGTGAATTAGTAACAGATAATGCATGATTTTGAGATGAAGTTTGGGGTTATATTTTAGTATGTTCTGGTCCCCATATTTTCCTGCGATAGGTCCGAAAGTGAAGGTCCACAGGTCCCGCAGCGGAGATGCGAAAGTTGAAGCGCCAGACAGGATGAATCAATGACAATTTAGGATAGATAGGAAGAGCAAAGATGTAAAAACTCAAACTCAAATGAGCAGTTAAACGAAATCAATTTCATGAACGATCAGCAACACGAACAGAATCGAAACCACAATTAGCATCGAAAATTCACAATAACTTGCAATTTGTCTCCAGTGATGAATCTGATTACTTTGCCAAGTCGCACCCATCGCGATAATTCTATGGTCTTCAACAATGATCGGAATTTCTCGAGAAAATCCGTCCAATAATTACACTCATTTCAACACCACAACATACGCATTGACCGCCCACCAGAGAAACAGTCAAGTATTTCAAATGGTCCCACCTTCCAAACATCATCCGTCTATTTCTAGGAAGCCGACCCTCTGTAGTCATGGCCCCAGCCGTATCTTTTATTGCTTCCTATTCCTGTGTGTGCGCCCCCACCTGTCAACTGCCACATTTATCATCTTTTCTCGCCGGAAAACTACATTATCAGCCAATACCTTTCATAAGTTCTAATCTACACTCATCCTCCCCTTCTCCGTAAATTCCGAGATTCCGTCACTTCTCGACCATGACCTTCGCCGTCAGTTCGGGCGTTGGATCGGCACTGCTTTTCACCATGCCGAACTTTCCGCACGGCAGAAAAAAAAACCGTCTTAACCGATTCATCTCTGACTTTTACTCCACACATTCTTTCACTTCAACCCCGCCATGTCTGTAGCTGAAGAGACGGAGTCAGTCACTTCCGAGAGCGCCTCATCTCCGCACAAGTCCACGCGTATCCGCCGTATGAAGGCTTGCAAACAGTGCCACAGTCTTAAAGTCAGATGTACCCCAGTCAATGCAAGTGACCCATACCTGCCATGTGTCCGGTGCTTAAATTCCAACAAAGTTTGTGAAATCGATATGGATCAGCCTCGCAAAAGGCGGAAGCGGGCTACCAAGAAAGAGTATGAGTCCATCGCTGAGCTCCACGAACAGATCGCAGACCTACAAGAACAACTTCAGGCTGCTAGACGTTCAAATAAAGATTCCAGGTCCGAATCCCTGGTACCAGAACGACCCACTCCAGAACATATCCCTGCTGGTCCCACAGTCTCAGACAAGCAGTCTCCCCCTTTCATCTCCAAGGTGGACCTCGAAGAAGAGATGTCTAATCTATGTGAGGAGAACATCAACTTCGCTGAAATCTTCGAGGAGATCCGAGTGGTCTCTTCCAAACGCCAGCAATTGTTGCAAAAAGACCGCATGAAAGATGCAATCTCGGCAGGGATCATCAGCGTTGACGCAGCGAGACAACGTCTCCAACTCTACCGTGAAAAGCTTTATCCTGCCCACCCGCTAGTGGAAATAGAAGACTCCGTAACTGTGGAGATGTTGATACGAGACCAGCCGTTCTTGTTCAACGCTATAATGACCACTACAACAATATTGGTTGAGGACGCACGCGACCAAGATATGTCTTTGACATTGGAGAACCATGCTATGGAAGGCATCGTGAATGAGGTCATGGTGGCAGGAACAAAATCTGTGGAACTCTTGAAGGCACTCATTCTCCTATCGCTCTGGTATAACAGCCCAGAATTCTTCAAGCTGAGACGTTATCACATTTTCAACTGTGTGGCTGTCACCTTGCTCCACGATCTCGGTATTTTTAACAGATCTTCGGTCACCTTCAGCAGTGATGCTAAGCTCATACACAAGAACGATGAGAACTACAAAAGTTTAGAGTATCGTTCCCTCATCTTAATACTTTATTTCAGCACGGTGAGCATCTGTTTGATTCTTCGACGGACTGTTTTCGTTCGGTGGACGCCGTACGTTAATGAGAGCTGTGAGGTCCTTGAACAGATGGGTGAGCAGAAATATAGAACGCTTGCAATGTTCCTGCGGCTTAATCACCAGTTGGAGAGGATGCATAACCTTATTCACTCTCATGAGTATGCGGAGAAACCTAGATTGTCGAAGTACATCCGAGCAGAGTTCCAGACAAATTTGGCCATCATCAAGGCTAGAATGAGCCCCGATGACCATCGTCACCTTGCATATTACTACTCTGTAGAGGCGTATTTGTATCAACCAGCACTTCCAGATGTGCAGTGGGCAGGTACAAATGTTGGCAACTTTCCGAAGCTTGACTCGGGTACATTGAGTGCTATTGCTCATTGCACTGCCTCGTGCTTATTTGCATTAGATGAGTTTGCAAAGCTTCTGGCCACGGAGATTGCTGGACTTCCCTTGTTTTACTCATCTCGAATCATTTACACCGCAGGTATTCTTTTGAGACTCCGATACCTAATTTTATCCCTTCCATCTCATATCGAGAAAGAAATGGTGCCCAAGTACGCAATTTTGACAATCCAAAAGCTCAGCAAACAATTCAGAGAAGCGCAAAGTAAGTTCCCATGCAATTTCTTCCTCAAGAAAATGGGTATCATTTTACAATTGTTCATCCAGACCTATGTGACTCAAGTAATGGACTTGCTAAAGAAAAATGAAGGTTATACTTCCACCAGCTTCAAGTCTCCTCCAATTTCCATTGCTGATAGAGATGATTTGGTACATGTGGCTACTACCCTTCAGGGCGTAACAGGTAATCTGATTACTGACCCACAGGGACCAAGTGCCACGACACTTCCGCTAGATCTTCTTTCGTTTGCAGCTGCTGCATTCCGTAATAATAGCGAACAAAAGGAGCCTAGTAAGCCGGAAGAGAAAAAGGAAGTACAACATCCGCTATCAAATGGTTTCCCTCCCGATCGTCCTGGCACTGCTCCCAATTTGCCAGTGCCTATGCATTTTCCACAACAAACACCAGCTCCTCCATGGTATGGAAGTGGTAGTTTCCATGGGGGTGTTCCAAGCCCTATTTCCCGGAATGACGATAGGCGCAAGGTTCCGCTTGTGAATCCCAACGTATCTTCTACATCTGTTCTTACCGGCCCTACGCTAGAGGGATACCTCGTTGGACCTCACAATAGCGTAAATGAGGCCATGAACTCAATGGAACCAGAATTGACTTCGCAAGGCAATTCCTTCTTCAATATCGATGACGAGTTCTGGTCCAATTTGCTCAGCACAGACTCCAATAAGTTTCATTTCGCCCAGAGCGAGCCTCTGCACACCGACAATGTCTTATACCAGAACGCAATCTAGCATTCTTTTCCAATAATGACATTCCTTAATAGTAATCTATGAACTCGTCTACCATTTCATGATTCTTGATTATTGACTGTAATACCCTAAAATTTTTCAGTTATAAGAACTTTTTCGTTTAGGATAGTTACCATCACCTTCTAACTTGATCCTACATCGTATACGCGAATGAGAAGCCATCTGATGACTACTACATCAATGGACAAGACAGAAGACGCTCGAGATTCTTTCACTCTTGTCGACATTTTACGGTTTATTAGTGGGCTCCTACTTCTAAATGCATTTGCATCGTGGTGGTTCACCTCTTCGTCGACCTGGGGATATAATGGTAAATGGATAAATCCTCGCTACCTATCTCACATAGTAACAGGCAATATGGTCAATTTGACACTCGACGAATTGGCATCCTACAAAGGCGAGGATCCCAATCTTCCAATATACATTGCAATCAACGGATCGGTATACGACGTGACATGTGCACCCGAGATTTATGGCCCAAAAGGTCCATACAGATTCTTCAGTGGAAGAGATTCAGCGAGAGCTTTCGTTACTGGATGTTTCCAGAACCCCGAAGAATTCACGTATGATCTTCGTGGCCTAGACCTGGAAGAGGCTGCTACAGATATCCGGAATTGGCAACGATACTTCGAAAAGAGTAGCAGATACTGGTATGTCGGAAGCGTTGAACACGAACCACTCACAGGAGAACCTCCAGCACCATGCAAGCATAACAAATACCCTAATCATCAATGAATAACGATAACATAAGTTTACAAATCTTCATGTATTTCTTGTATTGTATCATTTTGTATGAATTGTGCCATTTGTATGACTTGTATCATTTGTATGACTTGTATAAAGTGGATGACTTATCATTTGTGTATCATTTTGCAAGTATTATATCATTTGCAGGCATCAAGGCTGCTCTGCAAAACTTCAAGCAATTCGTCCAGGTCTTCAAGACCCACACTGATTCTAATCAAGTTTCTGTCTACTCCCCACTTCTCCACCTCATCTAATTCCTGATAGTGGGCAAGAATGGTGTATGGACATGCCAAAGTGAAGTTTGTTCCCAATGAAGGGCCCTTATGCAAGTTAATGGCATTGAAGAAGGTGATGGCATCCTGTGGTTTCTTGAGCAAGAATGAAATCAACCCTCCGTAGCCTCCGTCCGGAGTCTTAACTGCATCATAGTACTTCTTGCTCTCCACGAGACTAGGGTAATACACCTCCGAGATGAGAGGACTAGAAACCAACAAATCCACAACTTTGATGGCGTTCTCGTTAATTCTTTTGGAGCGGTCCACAAAGTCTCTGGAGTTTCTCTCAAGGTACAACGCATCCTCAGCCCAGTAGGTATCCTCATAATTTTCGTCAAAATATTTCTTCAACAGTGTGTACATGGGGGTCAATGGGTTCAAAATCAACGATCCACCCATCACATTGGAGTCTCCAGAAAACACCTTTGTCAAAGACGAGACAACCATGTCTGCGTATTGCATCACCGAGATGTTCAAGAGATTTCCGACTGTCTCGTCCACGACCACGGCGAACTTGTGCTTGTTAGCCAATTCTCTGATTCTCTTCAAGTTAGGAGTCTTCAACAATGGATTGGATGGACACTCGCAGAATAAGCCCATGATCTCGATTTCTCCGCTTTCCAACGCCTTCTCCATTTGATCGAGCGACTCATCGTCTCCAAATCCGTAGAAGACGCACCCCGGACCAAACTTTCTAAGGATGTTCAACGTATCAACATAGGGGAAGCCAAAACAAACGGACTTTAACGGATTCTCCACTGTCCCGAGAAGTGCTTGATGCGCATGGAAAATGGATGCCATTCCCGTAGGATATAAGTAAACCTCGGACTCTCTGAGCACAATGCCTCTCTTGGAGTCCTCAGAATTCCCCGTAACCTTCTCACTCTTCTCAGCTTCTCCACTGATCCGTCTACGCAAGGCCACCTTGGCCTCCTCTGCAAACTTTAAGTCCAAAACACGACCATATTTTTGCTCAATGAAGGTGTTGAAATCTCTATCCACCTCTTCGTTGTGCGACATAGAACTTGCTCTCATGGAAGCAGATATTGATGGGGATTTTCTCTGAATGGACTGGGCTTGGAGCTCCTGCTTACTGCGTCCAAGCAACCGGCTCTGGTCTTTCACCTCAAACAACTCCTTCAAAACATACTCTGCCATTCGGGACGAAATACCTTCTCCAGAATGTTGCCAGTACTGCTTAGCCAACGGGAACTCATTTGCAGGGAAAAACACGATTCCAACAGTCAGCTCGATTCTTGATGACTTTTCGAAGTCTGTAGCTGGAGGAGGTGTGCTCAACTGCAAAACTCTTCTGGCCAACTGAGGGTTTTCTGATTTGGCTTTGATGAACTCTCTACACCTCTTAGCAGCATTGTACGAGGGGAAAATCATGCACCGCTCGCCGTTCCGCGAGTACTTTTCCTCGATCTTGGTCTCCAATTCTTTGATGATACCATGGATGAAGAATCTGGGGTATCCAGATTTCATTTTACTAACCACCCAATCTTCACCTTCTTCGTACCCCACCGTGGCTTCCCAAGTAGGTAAGGTTACGGAAATCGCATGGGCGGTATTATTGGGAATAGAGGCTCCAATGGCCTGAGAAGGGCTCAGCTGTGCCATTTTTTTTTGTACGAATTCGTAGTGTAGACTGGAGTTTTAAAATTCTCGTTGATCTCGACCGGCACTCAATGACTCAGAGGAGTGTACCCAGCGATTGCGAAAAAGTATGTGTATTGAATGCAATTAGGTGAGGATAGATTACAATATATTGCTGATAGCCATGGAGTCATGAGAAGCTCAGTAATACCTCTTTTTTTTAATAGAAGAAAAAAGATGAAAAAGGTGACTTTTATGTCACTTTCCCTTCCGTTGTTTTTGATTTTGACTTGCAGTTTTCACCTAAGACTTGATGCAGTTGACAGATCCTTCAGTGAGGCGTTGCACTTCCTTCTCAGCAGGTGCAGCAGGTGCGACAGCTGGAGCAGCTCCCTTACGGTTATGTTGCATGTGTGATTGAACCAAATGGCCAGCAGCCAAAGCAGAACAAAGCGAAAGCTCGGCTGCCAACACCGCCGAAGCCACAATGCAGGCAAGACGACGAGAGTTATCACCTGGGCTAGTAGGATGTGGACCACGCACTCCCAACAAGTCCAACATAGCACCCTGTGGCTCTAAAATGGTTCCTCCTCCGATAGTACCGACCTCGATGGATGGCATCGATACAGAGATCTGCAAATCTCCTCCATCAATCTTGTTCATGAGAGTAATACAGTTAGAAGACTCCACATTCTGGGCAGGATCTTGACCACAAGCCAAGAAGACAGCAGTGACCAAGTTAGCAGCATGCGCGTTGAAACCTCCGACAGATCCAGCCATAGCCGAACCAATCAAGTTCTTACTGATGTTCAACTCGACCAATGCATCAACATCGGACTTCAACACCAGCTTCACTACATCAGCAGGAATTCTGGCCTCGGCAACAACGGACTTACCTCTACCCTCGATCCAGTTGATAGCAGCTGGTTTCTTATCAGTACAGTAATTACCAGAGACGGCGATTACAGACATGTCATCCCAACCACATTCCTCAGTCATGTACTTCAAAGAGTGCTCGACACCTTTCGAAATCATGTTCATTCCCATGGCATCACCAGTGGTGGTCTTGAAACGAATAAACAACAAAGTTCCAGCCATAGCAGTCTTGATGTGCTGCAATCTGGCAAATCTGGATGTCGAATTGAAAGCTTTCTTAACAGTCTTCTGTCCCTCCTCAGAATCCAACCAAATCTTACAAGCACCAGCTCTAGCCAAAGTTGGGAAGGAAACACAAGGTCCTCTAGTCATACCGTCCTGAGTCAAAATTGTCAGAACACCTCCACCAGCATTGATAGCTTTACAACCACGCATGGCAGAAGCAACCAAGCAACCTTCAGTTGTAGCCATTGGGATATGGTAAGGAGTACCATCAATAATCAAAGGACCTGCAACACCAACAGGCAAAGGCAAGTATCCAATAACATTCTCACAACATGCACCGAAAACACGGTCGTAATCATAATGAGCGTATGGCAATTTGTCAGTATCAAGAATAGGTGCGTTAGCCAACTTTGCAATGGCTTTACGACGAACAACGACGGCTCTAGTGTTGCTTTCCAACTTCTTCTCCAAAGCATACAAAGGTAACTTTCCGGCGACGACCAATGAGGCGATCTCATTATTGTTCAATTCCTTGACCTGACCATCTTTCATTTTGGCAACACATTCATCAACAGTAAGATTCTTAATATGAGCGTTGAAGTTGATGGTGCCCTCAGTGGAGGAAGATTCTGCGTCTTCAGTCTCGCTCTCGAAGGATTCTGTAACCTTGATCTTTTGGTCAGCCTCCTTGTGCTTTGGTCTAGAGATCTCCTTTTGGATCAACTTATTGGTGGCAGTACGCTGGTCTCTGGTAGCGTTGAGGAAGTAGACATTGATGGAAATAGAGATTGCGAACACAAACAACAAGAACTTGGAAAGCATGTTATCTTTAATAGCATCAGAGATGGTCAGGAAAATGGCGACAACAAAGTCTTCGATCAATACGATAGCTCCAAATGGAACGTATCTCTTCGGAGCCAAGAGGTGCACAATGGTACCGTTGGAGCCCACAGCCACATGCTCGGCAGCAACTAGTGACAAAGTCTGAGTTTCCGACACAATATCAATAGTAGGAGTACCATACAACCAAGAGCTTCCAAGCCAAAAGGCATGAGCAGCTACAAAAATTCCCAGAAGAGCAATCTTAAAGGAAACGACGGTAGAATTGAAATGAGCATCCTCTGGGTAGTCGTCCTCAGATGCACTGTTTGCAATGGTTTCAGCGACAAGAGAGGAAACTCCCTCTTCTTCCAAAGCGGACTTCAATTCATGAGTTCTACGGGCTCTGTTGACTTCTACCTTCAAAGCCAAGACACCGGCGAAGAAAGTGTAGACAAGCAACAAGTCGTAAGCAAGAATTATAGTGGCCAACACACAGAAGTTTCTTAAACCTGTCATGTCACCCGAGTAGATGGTGGCAGCGGCCAAAGCGCTGATAGCGATGACATAGTCTCTCAACAAACTAAGGGAGTGGTTGGCAATGGCGGAGGAAACAATGGTTCTGACATCGGTGTGGGTGCTTCTGGCCTTCATGACGGCCTTGGCAACAGATATCTTATGTTTGAAGCCAATGATGGCAGTCAAGAAGGGAATTCCTTCGGACATGCTGATCAATGACACCTTGATGTCCAAGAGCTTGGTGGTAGTAGCCAAAGCAAAGATGAAGGCAAAAGCAGAGGAGACAATGGTGGAGAATGCGAGCCAGAAGTTGGAGCCTCCCTGCTTGATGTCGATGAAAACTTTGATGATGGTGTAGAGCATGGCGAAGTAGGCCACTACAATCAAGGCAATGTCGAAGCTCTCGGCCATCTGGATCAACGAGTAAAGCTTGAAAGCTGCTTGCTTAGCGTATCCGTAGTAGCGGCCTAACAAATTGTTAGATCTGGCTTTCCAAGTGACACCATCGTAAGTGATTTTGTTCAAGGCAGCGAGGGTAGCCTCAGTTTCTGGAGTAGTAACCACCAACACTCTCTCATTGGCAGCCTCATCAAAGGCGTTGGCAATCTCAGGAATCTCGTGGTGGAAGTTACTATTGAAAACCAAGGGCACTAATGTTAGCTGGTCAGCATCAGGGTAGATTGAAGCATCGTCAATTTGCACCCATTTATCATAAGCATTTGAGCCTGGCGGGTGATAAAAAACCACTTCTGACGCGTCAAATGACTCAGGAATGTATTCATCAACCACAGCCAAGTATGCCATGGACGCCAACAACGACGTGACGATGGTGAAGTGGATTGGTTTATGAGCAGAGACTCTAGCCACAGTGGCTGAGAGCCTGGTGATGGTATTGAGCATGGCAAGAGGAGTTAGATCCAGGAGTCACGAGCTCAGAATAATTGGAGAGGGTCAGTATAAAATCAGACGAGATGGCACCACTAGGTGAACATGCACAGGTTAAATTAGTGACGTTCAATAGTGAAAGACAAATCAATTTTTTTCTACGAGTTATACGACCGTCGCGACACGTTTGGCAGAGGAGGCACGGATGTTTTCCATGAGATGTTGGGTTGCGTCAGGTGGGTGCATGGTTAGGAGAAGGAATAGGGCATAGGAGGTTTACCATGGATGAGACTTGAGGGGAGGCGATATTTGAGGAAGATGTGATAAATAGAGGGAGGTTAGGGAGTTTGTATGGAGCAAACATTAATAGGGGATGGTCAATGGGAAGTTATATATAGGGATTAGTTGCCAGCGAATAGTCAGTTGAGATTAGTAATTTGGAAGATGCATTACTGAGGGTAGCAAGGCTAAGCTGATCGAAAAAAAAGGTAATAATGAGACGCGAGAAGATTACTTAACGAGTAAGAGTGGAACGTGTAAAGAGATTTTCAATGGAAGATGATTTTACTTCATGAAAGAAATGGAAAAAGCTTGTTCATCAGAGTGGAGAATAGGAGGTGAATTATATGAGATGTATAGAAAAGATGCGAAGATAAGAGAGACATAGAAAGTAATACAAAAAAGAGGTCGAGAAAAAATTAATAAGAAGGAAAACTAAATGAAGGAAGGTGTTTTGATGTTAAAGAGATTCAGTTCTTTTACAAAATCAAAATCTCATTGTTAGTACATGGGAACACTGTTTTAATGCTATTGTTGATTGAAATCTCACCCACCGAGGAGATTCTAAGGAGAAAATATCAATTGGTGATAGTTAACGTCGAAGGCAAGTAGAAGTTGTATAATTTAGCAATCTTTCAATAAAATGCATGAAAAATAGAGAAACTTATCAACTGGAAAGTATGTTGGTACACTCCCTCATAATTAAATCACTACTGAAAATAGGATGAGCCCTTGGAATAAGCTTTGACGTTCATTACTAAGAATCCACTTCAAGATGAATACAATTGGCATACCAAACCTCTAGAAATGATAGGCTCTCTGGTCAATATCCGTACTTAATGTTATCTCTGTTTCGGTAAACTGCCCAATCTGACTTTCGCTTAATATTCAACTACATTCCTATTTTGGAAGTCGCATTTTTAACAATATAGAATATGTTCCATAAGTTCTCACATTCCAGAAACAATTCAATACAAAAAACTGCTCGGTAAGAATCATCTGAATTCTAACATCAATTGTCACGAAATTCCTGATTTCTTCTTCATTTCCAATTTTATACTTCCTTAATTCGTTTTTAATTTCTCTACTCATACTCCTCCTTGATTGCCTATCACTTTCTCCATCGCTTTCTCTCCACCACTTTCCTCTCACCTAATCTAACCTCCCAACTGATTCTTCTTCCCCTTCTAGTCCTTTCGACGCTCATGGCTCCTCATGGCTCCCAAAATTCCGCGGTAGACGACGCCCGTATTGGAGGAAACTACTACATAATCTAGACCAGGCACTGGGTTTTGCCCAAATTGAGGCTCCAGTCTTCATGTACACACCATTCAACAGTATAGAAAGAAGTCCTTCTATTAAAAGAATAGTCGCACAACCAATTATCTCCTAGTTGGGAATAGTTGTAAGAATTTCCTAAACGCTTCACTGTTTGTAGCCCCAAGAAGCCTCCAATTCACGAAATACTTCCTGCAGATAGATACTGCTCTTCCAAGTACATTTCCTATTTGGGAAATAATTTGCAACCACTCGACCATCCATTTAACTGTACTGGGAAAGAATGCGTCACATACTGGACTACTCGAGGAACTCATTTACATCCATTTGCTGTAAACTGCAATTACCCAAAACAGAACTATACTGAAAGCAGCAATGGGCCCCTCCCATCTGGGATAACCCGCATACGATCGACATATATATCTTGGTGGATGGCTAAACTCCCAGGTCCTTCTATTTTTTTTATTCCCAACTGCTTCTCCAGGCTTACTCTCCATAATAATCAAGTGACAATGAAGGTTTCCACAGTCTCCGCCACCTTCGCTTTGGCCATGACCACCAGCGTTTACGCTGCCCCAACTGCCGTTGGTACCCAGGACTCCTCGCTTTCCAAGAGAGAGCAAGACCAGATTAACGATCTCATTGCCACTTTGAACTCTTACTCAGTCAAGAGAAGTTTAATCACTGATCCTGTTGAGATCCAGGCTAGAGAATACGCCATTGTCACACAGATCTTGGCTGCTATTGACTCTACTGACTTGGCCCCACAGATTATCCAGGGTTTGGTTGACAACCCAAACTTGCAGCCTTACGTCACCAAAGCCACCATTGCTATCATCAAGAGTGGTCTCATTTCATTGGACACATTGTTCACTGCTTTGAACGATTCTGGCTTGGCTGTCAAGGTCATCAACGACTTGATCCATGACTGTACCTTGTACCAAGACATTTATAAGTTAGCCTTGGAGAAGATCTCTGACTTGACGTCCAAAATCCTCTCCAAGCTTGCTGGAAACAATGTCTCCGTCAGAGAGTTCCCAGAGGGTGCCCTCGAGGAGATGATCGTGGCTCCATCCAAGAGATACAACCCAGACGGTGTTGTCAACAACTTGTTGGAGTCTTTGGCAAACTCTGGTTTGGCCACCTCCGTCGTCAGAGTCTTGCTTGTCGATCCTAAGTTCTTGTCTTACGGTGCTTCTTTGTTCAAGCAGTTGTACGACCAGGACCTCATTAACTGGTCTGGTTTGATCTCCGCCATTGCTGACTCTGGTTTGGTAACCTCCTTGTTCGATGCGTTCTTCAACGTTGCCACCTTGAAGACAGTCATCTTCAACGCATTGGCTGCTGCATTCGACAACTGTGGTGGTTCCACCATCTCCGGTACACCAACAGGTCTTACCACCCAATCTACCAGTACGACATCCATTGGCAGCTTTACAGCCACCGGTACCTCAGTTCCTAGTGGAAGTTGTAAGAAGAGAAGAAGAAAGAGATCTTACAACTACTAGACCTCCCTTCCTCATATGCTTTCTACGTCCGTCACTTGTTTCTTATGCTCTGCTAAGGTATCTTGCCTAATAGGATAGAAGCTGCTGGTTTAAATGACCCTCAGCATATACCACACTCTGTGAGTGACTATTTTTTTAACTTTTCTTCTCTATACGGCCATGCCGTTTCTTCATTGTAAACTATCTTCTGGACTTCTGTCCTGTTAGACGTTTGCCTTAGCAATAAAAATTTGATTATCGAAAACGTGAATGTAGAGAAAACTTTTGGAGTAAATAATCACCGTAAAATATAATTGACTCAGTAGAGCAAAATTGACTTGAAGAGGAAATTTTCCGGAAGCGGAATCGTTAGGTTATGTGAACTATTGATGGAAGCTCAAGCAATTGCAATTTCCTAATTCAGTATTTAGTTGAACTTTTACCAAGACAGCATCAATACTGAGTCTAGTTGGTACTACCCACTTCATAAATCCGGCCGGAAACTTTCAGATCCAAGCTGATTAGATGCTTAAGACATTTAGTATTCTGAAAAACTTCATCGAACAAGACCAAATTCCTAGTTTATATTATTATCCTGCACATACACCATAAACTCATATATCTTGTATATAATTCAGTATTTATTTTTCATCATTGGGCGTGTGGCGTAGTTGGTAGCGCGTCTGCCTTGCAAGCAGAAGGTCACTGGTTCGATTCCTGTCATGTCCAATATATTTTTTTTCGCTCTTCGTACTTAAAACTCAGGTTTGAGAACTCTCCTCATCGCGTCCGCTTACAACATGAATCCCCCCATACATTTATGTGTATACTGCAGGTAACACCAACACATAACAAACCAAAAACAAACACAGACTTTCTTATCATCAGATATTATGCCTGGGTATGTTAAATCATTACAAAATTTTTCTTTAACTTTCTCCTTTACTAATTCTATAGAGAAGTTGTAACCTTGCAATCGGGCCAATGTGGAAACCAAGTTGGACTTCAATACTGGAGCCAACTTGTAGCAGAACATGGCCTTTTGCCTGATGGAACACCACAACCATATGAAAACTCTGACCTCTCCTTCCAGAGTAATGACTCCAGATATGGATCTGATGATACTTTAAAAAGCCACAGAACAGATAATCCCAATGCATTTTTCAGTGTTAGTGACCACAACAAATATACTCCCAGATCTATACTTATAGACTTGGAGCCGTCTGTGATTCAAAAAGCAACCAATACATTGCCCATGTTCAACCCTCGAAATGTTCATTTGAGTGAAAACGGAACTGGTGCTGCAAACAACTGGCAGCATGGCTACTCCTATGGTAGAAATCATGAAGAAGAGCTTCTAAATTTAATTGATCGTGAAGTTGACAAGTGTGATAACCTCTCTGCATTTCAATTGTTTCACAGTGTAGCTGGAGGAACAGGTTCGGGGGTTGGCAGTTTGCTTCTACAGTTACTCAATGACAGATACGGCAGTAAGAAGGTAATAAGTACCTTCCTGATTTTTCCATCCAATGAGAAAACATCCGATGTGGTGGTTCAACCGTACAACACGGTTTTGACCCTCAAACGTCTTATCGAGTATAGTGATGCTTCATTTGTTTTTGATAACGACTCTTTGAATGCTTTAGAGTCAATAATGTTGGGTGGAACGGGAGAACGTGGACTATCATCAACCATGGCTTTTGAAGGTACAAATAAGTTGATTGCCTCTATTGTGGCGGGTGTAACCAATACTGTGCGGTTCCCAAGTTACATGTACAGCTCATACGAGTCGATTGTGTCTAGTTTGGTACCTACGCCGACGCTCAAGTTTCTTTCTTCTTCGATCGCTCCATACTCTTACATTCCCGGTGTCCCTCAGCGTGCAAACTATGTCAGCTTAAATGAGTACGATATCATCTTGGAGTTGCTCAATGATAAGTATAAGATGAACTATGTACGTGAGACTCCAAACTACATATCAGTCCTTGACTATGTGGTGGGCAACCTGTTGAACCAGCAAGATATCCGAAAGGGAGTCATACGAGCACAGCAGCGATTACAATTCGTCCCCTGGACTTCGCTGTCAATCCATGTAGTCAATGGACGCCAGCTGCCATTTGTTCCACACAAGGGCTTGAGCGGCTACCAGGTCTCCAACAATACCTCCATTATTGCTATGTTCACAAAGATCGTGAAGCAGTACGATCTTCTAGCCAAACGGTCCGCATACATCAACTTCTACACAGAAACAAATGACCCATCTGAACGTTTACAAGTGTTGGACTCCTTTAATGAATGTAAGGAGAGTGTTCTTAGTGTCATTGACGAGTATAAGGCATGTGGATTAATGAACTACCTTGAAGACGATATTCTAGATGAGGACATGATGTCATAATGAATAATTTTGGTTCATCTAGTTCTTGTTCATCTTAAGTTTCTACTGGAGGTATGTCTGCTCCCTTTCAACTTTAGGTGCTAAGAATTGCAAATCATGAAGTCCTTCTGAGTGCAAATGCTGATTAGCAAATGCTGATTACTAATAATCTTGTCTTTTCTTAGAAAAGCTTGGAATCATCATCTTGAAGAATAGCTTAACCCCGCAATTGGTCTAAATGACGTTCTTTATTCGTTTGGCATTTCTGTCAACCACCACAGTTGTGCTCTCTGCAGTCCGCTTAGGCAGTCCTCTCCACATTACCCATAATTGAGAGACAGGAATGTCTGGAAAATTACTTCGTCTAAGAGCCTAGCACACGAAGTGAAAAAGAGCAATTATGGAAGAAGCTAACTTAGCATGTGGAAGGGTGGTTGCACCAGATAGCTTCTCTTATCTGGACCATATATCCCAACTTGGTAGTCGCCGAGGTACAGGCACAACAACAAGGTGCAACCTGTGCCATTTAATGCCATACCGCATCGATCTCGGTATCAAGTGCAATTTCCGAATAATTCTATCTCAAAAGCATCAGTTAATGCAAAGCAATGATTCATGACCGAACCCTACGAATACTGAACCCGAAACCAAGACCGAAACCGAATTCTCTAATGCATCTTCAAGGAAACCCGAACTTTCAAGCCCATTTTCAATCACTGTGTATTAAGATGGTTATGTGAAGCCGTGTCAATTATGGCAACATGACACTCCTAATCGGCGTCGGAGAAAGAATTCCTGCCCTGTGTGCATTGTGGATCATACCAATTGTGTGGATCCCGGTCGCCACAGGCCAAAGTTCCGTTATCACTTATCTGCACAGGATCTTATCAACGCTATTTGAGTTGACTAATCCCAGAAATCAGAATTCTTTTGCCAGTCTTTTTTCATCACTGTGGAAAACTTTTTCCTGCTTCCAAATCTATTCAAAATGTCTCATTTAATTTCCAACAGAGCAAAATCTCGTTCGAGAACGCATTTTGCCTTGGTCAACTTGAAAGATGCTCCAGAAGGCTTTGTTCCTCATGAAAACCCGCTTGTTTTGGACGGAGGAATGCCAAATGCTGGTTTCTTTCCACTTGAGTCGATTCAGCTCAATGTGGTGGACTACCCATTCCAGAAGTCCTTACAATTGCCAGTGGGAAACACCTCATTGGAAAACTTGTCTATTTCCAACGGATCAAATGGAACTTTGGTGGATGAGTGGCTGAAGGTCGCTGGCGACAATCCGTCAAAGAACCGCGTGATAATTCCAAAGAAACTGGACAATCCCAATGTCATTGACTTATCTCGTGGCTTGCAATATTCAGAAGTCGAAGGTATTCCACAGTTGCTCAAGTTCACCAGAGACCTTATCAAGAGAGCTCACGCGCCACAATACGATGAATGGACCACCGTTCTTTCTGGAGGTGCAGGTGACGGTTTGAACAAGGCAGCAGACGCGTTCTTGGACGAAGGTGACGTGATCTTGATTGAAGAGTTCACATTCACTCCATTCTTGCAGAATGTCAACAATAGCGGAGCCATTCCAGTTCCAATCAAGTTAGACCTTGACCCTACCCCAGGCAAGAGTAAGGGTATTGATTTGGAGTACTTGACCGACTTGTTGGAGAATTGGGATGAACGCAAGCCAGAATTGAAGGGAAAGAAGCCAAAAGCTTTATACACTATTGCGTCGGGCCAAAACCCTACAGGATTCACCCAGGATTTGGAGTTCAGAAAAAAGGTTTATGCCTTGGCAGAGAAGCATGACTTTGCTATTATTGAAGATGATCCATATGGTTACTTGACCCTTCCTCCATATGTCAAGCCTGAGGGACTCCATAAGTTGAACGACTTCTTGACCATCGAAGATTATCTCAAAGATCATTTAGTTCCCTCTTACCTTACAGTCGATACTTCTGGAAGAGTTCTTCGTATCGAGACGTTCTCCAAGCTCTTTGCTCCAGGTTTGAGATTAGGATTCTTGGTGGGTCACAAGGATGTCATTGGTGCCGTTGCCAACTACGCCAATGTGGTGACCAGATCATCGTCTGGAACTTCGCAATTGATTGTGAATAATGTCATCGAGCAGAGTTTCGGAGGCGTGGATGGTTGGTTGAACTGGGTATTAAAGATGAGACTTACCTACACCAACCGGAGAAACGTGTTGCTCCATGGGTTGTATACCCTGAAGGCATACGAAGCTGGATACATTGACCTTATTGATCCTCGCGCAGGAATGTTCGTTAGTGTGATTGTGAACTTCCCAGGCACCGATGTCTTGAAGAAGATTGACTTGTTGCAGTGGAAGTTCCGTGCTTATGGAGTGCGTGTTGTTTCTGGTATTAAGATGGCCATTGATAAGGACTTCAGTCTTGAAAGAGGAAACTTTTATAGATTGACATTTGCACCTGCCAGCAACGACGAAGAATTGGCTGAGGGAGCCAAGCGTTTTGCTGATGCTGTCTACGATTTCTTCCAGAAGGGATTGGAGTATTGATTATTGGCCATGAAAACATTGGCGGATCACACAGCAGCACTTGAAAAACCTGAAAGCTATCCTGCCAAGTACGGACTGAAATTTTACCCAAACATAACATTCAAGGGTCCTGGAACTTATTTAAGCTAAGAATAATTAACTGATATTCCAGTGTCTAGTAGTACTATCCGCAGGGAAAATAACATAACCAATAGTTGACATATGATCGTGCGCACAGCCTGTCATTACTGCTACTAACCATTGATGTTGTGATAATAAACTGAGCCTAAAATCGAAAAACTTCTACAAAACCCATATCTCTATAACTCGGCAAATTATTTAATTCCCATCATTTTTTATATCGGTACCCAAATGACCCAAGTACAAAATATAATCCTGGCAATCTAAGGGCCCATCCAATCGTACTGCACCCACGTACTCCACCACCGCACCCATACTTAGCCTCGCGAATACCCAGGGGCTGACCACCTATTCTTCACAATGTCTTTCAACTTCGCCAAATTCACCGACAACTTGAAGAACATCGGAGACCGTGTGACCACGGAATTCAATAAGGAGGTTTTGCCATTTGCCCAGCGTACTACGCGCATGGTTCAGGAGAAAATCGGCAAGGTCAATGTAGATGAAATCAGCCAGTTGCCCTCTGAGTACACGGAATTAGCCGACAAGTGCAACAACGTGGAAAAATTGTACAAGAACGTGTTGAAGGTTACCCAGAACTATGAATCCGAGGGCTACGACTACCCCACCAACTTGCAGGAGTCCTTCACTGAATTTGGCAAGAACATTTCTGACAGGGTCCAGAACTTGTCGAAGGCCACGTCTCCTGCTGAGGCTCAGGCAGCATTGATAAACCCCACAGCCGGTGATTTTAAACCACCCAAGACGTTGTACCATGCACTTTCTCGCGCTACGGACGGATCTATCTTGACCACTCTGGAGAACTCCCAGGACCCATTGATCAAGGCATTGGATTTGTATTCGTCCAACTTAAATAAGATCGCCAACGCACGTTTAGGCCAGGACCAGTTGATCAAGACCAAGTTCAACCAGCCGTTGTTGACCACTCTTCGGTCATTGCTTTCTCAAAGCACCAGTATCCAGAAGAAGGTGGAGCAGAAGAGAATAGACTACGACTTGGCTAGACAGGCATTGACCAACTGTACTAACCCTACTAAGGAGCCTCAACTTCGTGTCGCCATGGAGAACGCCGAAGATGAGTTTGCAAACTCGGTAGAGGATGCACTCTCTGTGATGCAGAATGTGTTGCAACAGGCCAAGCCCCTCAACGAGTTCTTGGAGTTGATCAGGGCGCAGTTGGCATACCACAAGTTGGCAGCCGAGTTGTTGTCCAACATGGTTGGCGAGTTCGAGAGCCTCATTGATGAGAACTCTAACTTGGCAGCTTCCAAGCTGGGTGCAAACACACTGGAGCTGGGTGACTTTGATATTTAGTGTATTGTGTATCTATGTGCTAATTACCGAGTTTGAGTGCTTGTAGACGGATATCCGTGGCAGACTGCTGAGGATCGAAACCGAAGTTTCCTTCCAACAATTCGGCGTGGATAGACTTCAATGCTCTCAAGGTGTCCTTGGCGTTGATCACGGCAGAGATGTTGATCTCGTTGGCTCCTTGACTGATCATTTCAATGTTGATTCTCTCATCAGCCAAGATCTTGAACATGTTGCCTGCAATTCCAATAAAGTTGACCATCTGCTTTCCGACCAACGAAATGATGGTCATTTCTCTGGTAACGTCCACGCTACCCATTTTTCTCAACTCTTTTAAAGCGTTCTTCAAGTTCACCTCCTGATCTTGCAGAACTTGCATGGCCATTGAGACGTGAACCTCAGAGGTGGAGATCAAGTCAACCACGAGCTTGAACTTATCCAAGGTGGTGAACAAATGAGCCAAAAAGCCATGCGATAATGTCTTCTTGTTGGAGTGGACGTTAATCACCACAATATCCTGCTTGGCGGTGATGGCAGTGGCAGATCTCCTCTTCTGAGACTGGATGTAGCTGTTGGATAACGTCTCGTATGCAGCAGGAGGATGTGGAGGGGTATCTTCGCCTCTTCTGCCGATATTGTCTGGGTAGATCACAGTGCCTTTTCCAGTTGGGTTGTCAACATTCTTGATACGGATAGGAATCTTGGCCTTGATTACCTGCTCCATGGTAAATGGATGAATAACTTCAGAACCATAGTAGGTCAATTCAGCGGCCTCGTCAGGGGTCACAGACTCCAACAAACGAGCATTTGGCACCTTTCTGGGGTCTGCAGTGAAAATACCATCGACCTCCTTCCAGATCTGCAACTCATCAGCCTGAACGCCCACGGCAATCAAGGCTGCGCACAAGTCAGTGTAACCACGGCCAACACCATTAAGTAAACCACCTGGGACAGTACCGAAGTAGCCAGTGAAAACAGGAATGACATCAGGAGACAATTCGAGAGACTTCTTGCCCAATTCAACGCTCAAGAATTTGTAAAAGCTATCATCAAAGCCTTTGGTGAAGTCATAGTCCAATGGAATGATATCAGATAAGTCCACATATACAGATTTCAAACCACGATCGTTCATCAAGGCAGACATGAATAGACACGACAACTTTTCACCCACGGACATGATGCTGTCCAAAGTTCTGGGGCTGATTTCTCCAATGACCTTGGAGGCATGCAACAACTCGTGAGCTCTGTGCAATTCATGTTTGGACTTTGCAACCAAGTCGTCCTGAATGTCACGGGACGAGATCTTGTCTTTAGCATTCTGCACGTGGTCGTCTTCGATGACCTTTAATAGCGTGGTAAAATCGCCGTTCTCTGAGGCAATATCTGCAGCTCTAAGCAATCTGGAAGTAGTGCCTTCACTTTTGGTGTTGGATGATCTGGCAGAACACACCACGGCCACACGGTTCTGTTTACTGAACTCCTTGACAATGTTATCGACGATGTTCTCAGGGAATTTTCCCACGGAAGTTCCTCCGAATTTTTGTACAACCCAACCCTGTTGGGAGAGAGCTTTGAAATCAAGCACGGAATTATATGAGGCTGCGCTCAAGGCCGGAGACGGAGAAGACATGGTTGTTTGGAAATTCTAAAGGTTGCAAGTGGGGTAGTTTCACTTTTTGTATCGGATCGAGGATTCGAAAAGAATGTTCTCGCAAAATATAGTAAACAGTATCTAGAGTCTGAATCACCGTAGGCCGAAAATTTATTAGAATGAGTCAACTGGACATAAGTTTACTGCAGATAAGATAAAGAGCTTGATCACCATGAGTCACGTGGAGACATTCGCGAGTCAGATGGTTGTAAAGGAAAAAGAAATCAGCCGATCGTAGTGCAGATGGAGCGATGGATGCGATGGAAGTATTCACCAATTGAACTAGTGTACTTATAGACAAAATGACGAAAAGGGAAAGTGAGATTGAGTCGGCTTCGGCTCCACAATCTAAGAAGTTAGATACGACGTTTACTCACGATCAGATCACCAGTTTCGTCAATCCCAAAATCTTTGACCAAGATTTCCAGACCACTTTACGTCAGGAAATCAAAGACAGTCAGCCTTACAGATGGGGAACTGTGAAAGAGCTCATGGACGATACCTTGTTGAGAAATGTCCGCAAGGAGGTGTTGTCTGAGATTGCATTCACCAAGAAAGAAACTGATATTTACAAGGTGTTCCAGTCTGGAGACTTGGCCAATCTCTCTGGGCTCGATTGGGACGATCTCTCGAGGTTACCTTCATTGTATAAGTTGCGTGCTGCTATCTACTCCGAGGAGTTTCGTGATTTCATCTCCAATGTTACAGGCTGTGGAAAGTTGAGTGGAGTCAAGACTGACATGTCTATCAACACTTACACCAAAGGCTGTCACTTGTTGACCCATGACGATGTTATTGGTTCACGTAGAGTGAGTTTTATTCTCTACTTGCCGGACCCGGAATTTACTTGGAAGCCCCATTATGGCGGTGGCTTGAGGCTCTTCCCTGCGGTGGTTCCCAATGTCCCAGAGACAGACTTCAGTGCCAAGTTAGTTCCCCAATTCAATCAGATTGCATTCTTCACGGTGCAACCAGGATTGTCATTCCATGACGTCGAGGAGGTCCGTGTGGATAAGCAAAGATTGTCCATCCAGGGATGGTTTCATATTCCTCAACCTGGCGAGGATGGCTTTATACCTGGAGAACAGGAGGAGACAGAAGCCAAGAGTACTTTGCAGCAATTGCAGACCAAGGAACTCCAGGAGTATGACTTCCCAAAGCCTATAAGGAACGATATTGCAGTGAATGAGATCAAATTGTATGAGAACTTGGACCTTGAGAGAATGATCTTTTCCGATAATGAGAAGCTGTACTTGGCCACGTACATCAACCCCTTCTACTTGACCCAGAGTGCTGTCCAGCAGTTGAATGCCACCTTCCTTGAACAGTCTGTTGTAGAGATTTCCGAGTTCTTACAGAAGGAATACGCTGAAGTTCTCCAGACCACACTCAGAAAGACCGAGTTGGAGAACAAAACCCCATCCACTGCTGCCGAGATTACTAGTCCATGGAAATGCGCCGTGCCGCCTCACAAGCAGAGATTTATGTATATAGATGGCAAAAGCAGTTTCGGGCTTAGTGAAAAGGAGACGGAATTCGTCAACCATATTGGACCTCAGGAAATGCCCAATTTTGCATTGACCCGGCAATTGGCTCCCCATGACACTGAAAAAATGCTTTTGGAGGTGATGAGCTTCATGAAATCGATTGCCTTCAGAAAGTGGATGGCACTTGTAACTGGGCTCATTCCTACTAGCGACCAGATCTTGGCCCGGAAGTTCAGACCTGGACAAGACTTCATCTTGGCCACTACTACCGACAAGAAGTTGGCTCGTGACCACTTGAACGAGCTCAACGTGCTTCTCGAAGCGACCTTGGGCATCACACCTACGGCTACCAACCCCAAAAACTGGGAGTCGGGTGAGTTTGGAGGCTACGAATTATGTATGGCTCTCAATCTGGGGGACAGTGACGATGAGTTTGAAGATGACGATCCTGCTATTTACAAGGCCAGTGATCCAAATGACGATTCTGTGTTGTTCACCAGTCAATGTAAGTGGAACTCGCTCTGTCTCATGTTGAGGGACCCATCGGTGTTGAAGTTCGTCAAGTACGTGAGTATCAATGCGAAGGGTTCTCGGTGGGACATCAGTGCACAATGGAACGTGAAGAGCCTTGGAGAGGAAGAAGACGATGAAGAGAACTAAAAATTAGACTAACGAGAATAAACGAAATTTGATGGCTTGAGTTGATTGTAGGTAAAGGTCAGAAATTCACTGCTTTGTCGTTAGGTACTGCCAAAATTTTAAGACAATTGACATAAGAATTGATGAAATGATGTGAATTGATATGAAATAAATGGAATGGATTAAAATCGATGTCCATTCGAATTTGATATGAGTTGATAATAATTGAAGTTATTCCAATAAACTTGAATAACTTTGATGAGAATTCTAAATTGATTTTCTTCTATGCTGTGAAGAGAGAAGTTCGAAAGGTAAATATTCAATTCAAATGTCAATTTGTCTTGACCAAATATATGATAAATGGAATTGGTGACTACGACATTTTTGGGTTTGGAGACAAAAGGCAACTTTCTCTTGACCAGAGGAAGCTTAGTAAGCACTTTATCATACCTCGATCGACATGCATTAATTGGAATCAAAATACATCAATTGATTTCTAGGCAGTTCTTCCATTACTTGAGAACACAATTACCAATTACAGTCAGCAATTGTGTTTTCAATTTTCCACTTAGCCAGGCTACTATCGGGTTTAAGCCCCTCATTATATGTACTCACATATTATTAGCCTTGGTAAGTAAAAAGCTTATAGTCAATTGCATGTTACCAACCTCAATAATTGAAACTGAAAGCCACACAAATACCATGACACTAGCCTCGATGAGTAACTAATAAACGCATAACTATCTAATCGTTACCTTTTTCATGGGTCATCAAACAATCCCACATGCAAACATGAGATAATTATTTTCAATCCCCCCTCACCGTTATTCGGGTATCTGAATTGGTTCTCACTCCTCAACAGCTAGTGTGGGGTATGCAGACCAGACTCGGTACCACATTGTTCCTATTGTTCCTATTGTACTAAATACTATATAAACACTTCCATTTCACTCTCATTTGAACCTCCATCTCAATCATGGCCTTCGATACCCCCGAACAGAAATCAATTTTGCAAAAGAGCCTCGATCAGGTTCTCCCCACCACAACAGATGAAACCAACCCAAATTTTGCACCCGGCGTAGTGTTTGGAGTGACCAATTCCAAAGAGACGGTTTACCTCGAGGCTTCAGGTGTTGCCAATTTGGAAACAAAAGAGCCAATCTCCATCGACAGTATTTTCTCTATCTTCTCTTGCACTAAGGCCATCACTGCCTTGGCTGTGTTACAATTAGTGGAGAAAGGTCTCGTGGACTTGGATGCTCCAGCAAGCAACTACTTGCCAAAGTTGGAGAAGTTGAAGGTTTATAAAGGTAAGGACGACAAAGGAGAATCGATCTGGGAGGAGGCCAAAACGGCAATCACCACCAGAATGCTTCTCACCCATACAGCAGGATTCAGCTACAGTTTCTTCCATGAAGAGTATGCCAGAATCAGAAAGGAAAATGGAGATCTCTGTATCTTCGACATAAGAGATAATCTCTTTGACGAGGCGTTTTTGGTGAATCAGCCAGGTGAAAAATGGCATTATGGTTTGAACCTTGACTTCGTAGGTAAAATCGTGGAGGCAGTATCCAAGCAGTCACTAGGTGAGTATATGAAGAAGAACATCTTCGAGCCTGCTGAATTGGACTCGTTCACCTTCCATTTGAAGCCTGATCAGAAGCTGGTGACCATCCACTACAGGGAGGGAGATAAGGTTGTGTTGAATAGCTTCCAGGCCATTAAGGACCCTTTGCACGATCTTGGGGGATCTGGGGTATTTGGCCAGGTGAATGACTACTTGAAATTCATCAGGATTTGGCTTAACAAGGGTGTGGCAGACAATGGAAATCGGTTGTTGAAGGAGGAAACCGTGAAATTGGCCTTGCTGGCTCAATGGACTGAAGGAGTTGGTATTCTCGAAAGCTTTGAGCCAGAAATCCTGAACTCTTTGCCGGACAAAGGAGTCGTAACGGACTGGTGGAGCTTACCATTCAGTATCAATGCAATTGACTTTCCTACTGGACGGCCCAAAGGGTCTTTCCACTGGGCAGGAATTGCCAATTTATACTATTGGATCGATACAGAGAATGGAATTGGGGGATTCTACGCTTCGCAGATTCTTCCATTCATGGAACGTTCCGTGGAGAACCTAGTGAAGTTAGAGTCTACTGTTTATGCCAATTTGAAATAAGTGCGAATATATGGTGAAATATGAAAGGAAAGTAAGTGATTAGAGGGCTGTAGGGAGAAGTGAGATTGGAATTAAGGCTGCAAAGAAGGTGAAGAGAGAAATGGTACATAAATTTAACTTTTCAATTGCTATATATACCTTTATTGTATGAATTCTCGAGATACAGCGACTTTTCGATTTGACGATCTTGATAGTTAACTCAGCAGCACCTATAGAGCCACTCCACATAAACATTCTATCAAAAAAAAAAAAAAAAAAAAGAAAAAAAGGAGGAAATATTCAGAATGTTATTAGAATTTGGGAATAATGTAAACAATACCAATGCAATAAACGAAAATAATTAAAAGAATAATCACAAGAATTCTTCCATTGCCTCAGCCCTAATCTAAAGTGTCCGACATAGAGACTGGGTATTTCGTTGGGTCAAAGGAAACATACTGTTGATATATAAACCAAAACCATTCAATAGAAAAAAATAGTTCACTCAACTCTGTATCTCTAGAATCCCATAAAAATTTCCACAGTTCCCTCATCAACCTTTTCCTAAATTCATCTATCATTCATGTCCACTTTCGTGCTCTTCTGCATTCTCAGTCTCATGCTCTTAATGGCCGCACCGTTAAACCGAAAATAGGAAACGATCTCCAAATCTCAACAAAATTCTTAAATTTAACATGCTGTCAATTCACTTAACCATTCGCCCCAACCTTCTTTCCATTTTTTATTTATCCATATTCTACTATAATCTCCATGTAAATGTATATACCCCTCCAAACTTCCTGATCCGTGTCTTGTTTCCAGCCCTCAGGATCTTCTTACCATATCAGGTGCTAACGAGCGTCGGCCGGGTAAGATGCACACCCACCCAATATTTTCATATATATAGTGCGAACGTTACCTCTGGCCACCTGAACGTGAATCGTCTACCAACTATTCCAATGGCAGACTCCGAAGCAAACCCTTTGGTCGTGTTGGCCACTATCGCCTCGCTTATTGCATCGGTGGTAGCATACTACTTTGTCCAGAAGAACAAGACTCAGCAGCCTGTGTTGCATCCCACTGAGTACAGAAAGTTTCCCTTGATTGAGAAGACCCGTGTGTCTCACAACTCGTGCATTTACAGATTTGGTTTGCCAAACTCGACCGACAGATTGGGCTTGCCAATTGGTCAGCACATCTCCATCAGTGCCAACATCAACGGCAAGGAGGTTGTCAGATCGTACACTCCAATTTCCAACGACGACCAGTTGGGATCTTTCGACTTGTTGATCAAGACCTATGCTGAGGGTAACATCTCGAGGCACGTGGAGTCTAAGATGATCGGCGAGCACATTGAAGTGAGGGGCCCAAAGGGTTTCTACAACTACACTCCTAACATGAAGAAATCGTTGGGTATGGTCGCTGGAGGTACTGGTATTGCTCCAATGTATCAGGTGTTGACTGCCATTTTGGACAACCCAGAGGACAAGACCAAGATCTACTTGGTTTACGCCAATGTATCTGAAAACGACATTTTGTTGAAAGCTGAGTTGGAGGACTTGAGAAAGAAGCACCCAGACCAGTTCTTTATTCACTACGTGTTGAACAACCCACCTGAAGGCTGGGATGGTTCAGTTGGTTTTGTGACTCCAGAGATCATGGACACCCACTTGCCTCAGTACAGTGACGACACCACCTTATTGATCTGTGGTCCACCATTGATGGTTTCTGCCATCAAGAAGGCTGCACAGACCTTGGGCTACCCTAAGGCCAAGCCAGTGTCGAAGTTGGGCGATGCCGTTTTTGTATTCTAGATTAATAGATGCAGTCAGAGATATCGATAGAAAGGAGAAGAACATTTAGAGAATAGTAAACGATATAGGCTATACGAGAGGTAAACATGTCAACAAGAATTTCCAAGCGCATACGAGGTGGGGAGTGAGATCATCAATTAGAGACACAACCATAAAAGGAGATAAAAACCTTCAGGAAATCAGAACCGAAGACGGAGAAAAAAATCCTAAATGGAGATATAACCATAGAAGGAGCGTGATCATAAATGAGGACATTAGACATAACTCTTGCGAAGATAAATGGCATACGGAAAACAAAAGCCCTAAGGACCACAAAGGTCTTTAAAAGTAAACACGATTAGAGTTCCATAGTGAAAATAAACGAGAGAAGTCCTCTATATTGGCCAGAAATTATGGTGATTAGCTGACGCCCCTCCTCTCCGCTATACATACATGAGAAAGGGTCTGAGATACCTGCGTAGAACTTATGTATTCAAGATAGTATACTTTAAGAACAAAAATCAAGAAAGAGAAATCAATAATTTTCAAATCAATTCATAGATAAACAAAAGAAATTTCTAATTCTAAATGTCTACATCCATACTTTCTATGCTTTGGAACTTGTTCGGAATTTCGGACGAGGTCGGTTCGGCAGTTCATTCTGCACATTGCTGGCATGACCTTTCGGTGCATATGGGTCAAATGACGTACTTGCATTGCCCTAGCAACTACTTTCTTATCAACATTTGTAAGAAATGGTAAAATCCATTTTCACGGCGCTTCTATTGGCGTCCACTGCTACGGCGTTCGCACTACCTAGATGGGAAATGTCAGATAGTTACATTATCAACGCCATCTCCAACGAGAAGATCGAGGTGGAGAATGTCTTGAAGTCCCCTATTGACTCTAAGAAGTATCCGCCCATCCTCAAGCAGCCCAAGGCGCACGAGAGGACATTGAAAGATGGTGAGATTCCCAAATACGTTCTTGATTTCGCACCTTTCGTTCACCTTTACTCGGAGGAGAGATACTGGCCCTACGACATCAGCAAGTTTGTAACCAACTTCCATGTCACATACTCAAATGGAACCGTTCTCAACGGCACAGACCAAGGCCTTAACATCTCCATGCTTGGCGATTTGCCTACTAAGCCCAACATTTACTTGACGGCCAACGAGGATTTCGATACCGATCCCGAATGGATCACAGGTTACAAGAACAAACCTTCATTGGTCAACGGCGAAATCAAAGATGCCCCTGCCACGCTTATAGTCGTTGATAAGGGAAACGGCTGGGTGGACTCGTTTTGGTTCTACTTCTATTCGTTCAATCTAGGACCATTTGTCATGGGTTCGGGACCCTATGGCAACCACGTGGGAGACTGGGAGCACTCGCTCGTTCGCTTCTACAAGGGCTCTCCTGTAATCGTCTGGATGTCTGCCCACGGCGGAGGCGGCGCCTATTACTATCACAACTTGGAAAAGGACGAACTTGATCCGAACCATCCGATCATCTTTTCCGCTAGGGGCACCCACGCCAACTACGTCTCTGTGGGCACTCACCCCCACGACTTGCCATACGAGATTCTCTGCGATTTCACAGATAGAGGCCCATTGTGGGACCCCACCAGAAACTACTTGGGATACACATACGATGGCAAATTTGTGTGTCCGGCAGAAACAAACTCTAATCCCAAGCATGTGGGCAGAGAGATTAGCTACGGCAATTGGCTCACATTCACTGGTCACTGGGGCGATAAAAAGTTGAAGGACGACGATCCTAGACAGAAATACAACTTTATCGGTGGGTATAAGTACATCGACGGACCCCGTGGCCCCTTGAAGAAGAATTTGTTGAGGATCATTCCGTGCGAGAGACACAAATGGTGGAACTTTTGGAATGGCTGCAATGTTAGAGAGAATATCAAATGGGGTATCGGTGTTGAAAGCGAGGGCTACAATTGTGGCAATATGTTTGTCAATATCAAGCCCCGTTGGCTCCGCAAACTTTTGCAGAAAATTACTTGGGGAGGCTGGTTTTGCTTTGTGGTGGATTTAATTTATGGTTAGACTGTCGGTTCATGGATCTAATAATTTTCACATCTATCCTTGAAACCGAATACAACACTCAGTCATGGGATTTAGCGACATCGTTTTGGTTGGCAGAACATGCGCCCTAAATGCAGGGCCGTCCATTTGCCGTATCGGGTTAGTCACGATGCCATGATCTCTGAGTAGTGTTAGAAATGAAAAAAAATTGACAAAAATCAAAAATAAATGTTACGGTATTATGCATAGACGCATTGTGTAGTGGTGACTATTCGCTTTAGTTTGGCAATGATTTCGGGTTACTTTTTCGATGCGGGAGAAGGATGTGTCATAATTGCTTTTCTCTCAGCAAAAATACGGCATTTGCAACCAACTGATGACATTTTCTTTTCTTTTTTTTTTTTTTTTTTTAACCATATTTTAGTTTATATTTGGATTGGTTTCCTGTCCAGTACAATCCTCTAAGTACTTCCTTCTTAAGAATGACACAACCTTCATCGTATCAAGAGAAGTTCTCAGAAACAAATGCCTATGACAATGAGGTAGAGCAGCTGAGATGGCAGGACTTCAAGGATTCGTTTAAGCGAGTATCTGTTGACGAAAATGATAGTGAGCTCAGCTCCTTGGATGACATTGAGAGAGCCAATTTGTTAACGTCCAAGTCTCCCCTCCAAAGAAAATTGAAGTCGAGAAACATCGCCATGATTGCCATTGGTTCATCCATCGGAAGTGCCTTGTTTGTTGGCTCTGGCTCGGCCTTGAGTACCGGTGGTCCAGCCGGTATCTTAATTGCATGGTCCATCACCGGTTTTGCTATTTTCACCACCATGCAAAGTTTGGGAGAGCTTTCCGTTGCTTTCCCTGTCAGTGGAGGCTTCAACCTCTATGCCAGTCGTTTCATTGACCCTTCGGTGGGATTTTCTGTAGCATGGAACTACTTCATCCAGTTCTTGGTGTTGCTTCCCCTTGAACTTGTCAGTAGCTCCATCACCATGCAATTCTGGAACAGTAGCATCAACCCAGACATCTGGGTATTGATTTTCTACGTGGTGGTGTGTTCCATCAACATGTTCGGTGTGCGTGCCTACGGAGAGGCCGAGTTTGTCTTCTCTGTTATCAAAGTGGTTGCTGTGGTGGGTTTCATCATTGTCAGCATTGTGTTGGTTTCTGGTGGTGGCCCTTCGGGAGATCACCATGGTGCCGAATACTGGCACAACCCAGGTGCCTTTGCCAACGGTTTCAAGGGTGTCGTGTCTGTGTTTGTTACTGCAGCTTTTGCTTACGCTGGTGTTGAACTCTGTGGTCTTGCTGCTGCCGAGTCTGAAAACCCTCGTAAGGCGTTGCCTAGAGCTATTAAACAGGTGTTTTGGAGAATCTTGATGTTCTACTTGGTTTCGTTAACCTTAATCTGCTTCTTGGTTCCTTACAACTCCGAGAGATTACTCGGTGCCTCATCTGTGGACGTCACGGCATCTCCATTTGTCATTGCTATTGAACTGGGAGGTATTAAGGGCCTTCCACATGTGATGAATGCCGTAATCTTGGTTTCTGTCATTTCTGTTGCTTCCACATCCGTATACGCTTCTTCCAGAACGTTGACATCTTTGGCCGAACAGGGTTTGGCTCCAAAGATCTGTGCTTATGTGGACAGAGCAGGTAGACCATTGGTAGCAATTTTGATCTCCAACGTGTTCGCTTTGTTGGCATTCATTGCTGCCAGTGGTAAGGAAAGTGAAGTGTTCACATGGCTTTTGTCAATTTCTGCTTTGAGTTCCATTGCTCTGTGGATCAGCATCAATTGGGCACACATTAGATTCAGAAGAGGCTTGAAGGCACAGGGTAGAAGCACCAACGAGTTGACGTTTGTTGCCCAGACTGGTGTTATTGGCTCTTACATCGGAGGTTTCATCTTCATACTCGTGTTGATTGCCCAGTTCTGGATCGCCTTGTACCCTATCGGAAGCGAGCCAAGTGCTTATGGATTCTTCCTGTCTTACTTGGGAGGTGTCATTTTAGTGGTGTTTTACTTGGGCCACAAGGTCTGGAAAAAGAATTGGATCTTCCAGATTCCTGCTAAGGACCTTGATCTTGACTCTGGCCGCAGGGAAACCGATCTTGAGCTTTTGAGAGAGCAGATACGTCATGAGAAGGCCGTCATGGGTGCAAGACCATGGTACATCAGATTCTACCACCTTTGGTGTTAATTCTTGCATGATTGCAAGAATAAAAATATTAACATATGCATATCATATAGACCTTTCATTTCATTGAGCATTGAGAATTTTTAAAAGTTATAGAGAATTTGCAAACTGTAGAAAATTTAGAAAGTTCAGAAATTTAACTCGTTTGTCTTTATAGTCGCACATCATGGTTCTCGTATATTGCTGGTACTACATCTTCGCACTAGATATCATACTTGTATATAACATTTCTTCGACCAGTTTTTACCCCATACTTTCATGTCTCGAAAATCTCCAACAGTCCCGAGAAGCTCGGGCTTGGGTGGGGTTCTCAAGTCTTTAACCAAATCGCTTAAACCCGCCTCGGGGAATGTCCCCGTGGTCATCAACCCGAAAGTGGTGGGTGGTGGTAAAGACATGCAAAGACTACTTCTACTGTTACAACATGGCACTCTACCTTCACGAGCGTCGGCTGCCCAAGAAGTGACCGAGCAATTAGAAAAATATGCAATCTCTTCAATCCCTGAGGTGTGGTACTTGGCTCGAGATCTCTGCGATTACAAGTTACAATCTTCGATACGCAGAGTGGTGCTCAAACTCATGATCCAGTGTATTAAGCAAGACGAGGATGCTGTGAGCAACAAGCTCATGTTTTTCCGTGACATTGTATTGTATTGCAAAGTCAGCGACCACCTGCTAGATCCGGAATTCGATCTTTTCTTGAAGGCTCTTCGCAGCTTGACAAACGATGGCAGAGAGATCCATGATTTGTATATTTATGAGCTGGATGATAGCTGGGGAGTGTTCGTGATTCGATGCTTAACTGCCGCATCTAGGCATGCCAAAGATTATTCAGGTATTGAATCGACGAATGATCGGAACTTCTACAACTTGATCAAACTCCTCGACTACTTGACTAATTGCTTAAAATTCAACTCCAGTCTCATGGAAGAACACATGTTGGATTCATTGTTGTCACTTTGCTTGAGGATTACTTCACAGACTAATAATTCCGAGATTCTCATCCATTGCATTGAATTCATTAAGGCATGTATAAACTACGGATATATACCGACTCATCTTATGGAGAAAACCGTCGAGTTTCTTTGCTGGTCAAGTACCATGTCCGAAAATTTAGATGACCTTTCATGGGCAGCACTTAGAACGTTGTGCTTGGAGTACCCATCGCCAGTCGTCAATGCAATCTGCTCAGTACTTCATGACCCTTCCTTGCAACAGGGACTGTCACGCCATGCATCTGTACTTGAAGAAAAGCAGATTAACGAGAATTTTAATTCTCCGCTAGCTTCTGCTATCGGTGCTATTGCAATGTTGGAAAGGGTTTTCGTATGCATTCGATCCGACAAACAATGCCAGGAATATTTTGGAGACGATTTACTAGAAGCATTACAACGATGTCTCGATTTGAATCATCCAATTGTCAATAGTGGATTTCTACGTATGTTTGACAAATTATTTGACTCCCAAAATTATGAGAATTACGACGTGAAGGATACTCTGTTCTCCGTCCTCTTCCCATTTCTGTTTTGGTACTCATCGTCCACATCAATGTTTCAGATCTTATCTGCAATGAAACTTAGTTCTGACCAAGATGCTAGCTACTGGACGTCAATCTGCCTGTCGTTGTTCAAGCATTACAAGAATTTTGAGCTCGTGGCTCCAAAAGAGCGTTTGGTTCTGATATTCATGAAACATCCGCGTAGTATCTCACAGGATATTATTGATTTTATCTTGTTGTTTTACAAAGAGGATCAGTCCTGTTCTGTTTTAGATACACTTTGGAAAGCGAACTGTCGAAAGTTGCTCAATAGCTTTTACTATGGTAGTACAAGTGATGCATCAATTTTGGTTCGCAAGGAATGCCTCAGAACCATTAAAAGTGGTTTCGAGGTGTCAATGTCGTTATCTGATGACTATAATGTGAGTAAGGAGATTATTTTGGAAATAATTCTGAAATCAGTCACAGAGAGCGACCAAGAGATGGTCGATTTCATTATGGAGGAGTTTATTTTCCATTTCTTGAAGGCCTCCTCCATCGTCTTCACGAGAGCTATTTTGACCACAATAACTCCATTTTTTCATGTCAAACAAAAGAAAGAGAGAATCAAAAGTATTGTTTCTCTCGGTTCGTTTGGCTCCGGGTCGCAATTGCCAAGGTTGGCGGGCTCTATTCATAGTACCTCCGACTCCTCCGAAGTAGTTCCGGTTGCAAATACTGAATATCTTAATGCATTGGCAATGGCGCTCTCCAAGGCAGTGGTAACTGTTTACTCAAAGGATGCGGCAAAAGCCAACGAAATTTACCAATTTATTATCGAGATGGTTCAATTCTGCTTGAAGCTGGAACATAATCAGACAGTTTTGATTCTATTGAGACTTTTAGTAAGGTTGAGATCTACATCAGAAGGCTTTATTTATTTTGTGGATCCAAAAGATGTTGAAGGTCTCGCCACCACTTTCAAGAGGAATAAGCTAGATAAGACTTTTGAGGGTAAAGATGCATGGTGGAGCTACCCAGAACAATTGGACTATATTCCCTCTGAGAATTTTAACCAAGCCAGTCGAGGGTGGCATGTTTTCAATCTGGAAGATTCTAAATTGTCAGTCGGTGCTATTACTAGCCTTGATATTTCTTCATGGTTCGATATTGTTGTGACCATCCTCGAAGACTATTACCATTGGGAACTCTACACTTACACTTGGACCCACTTCTGCTCTCAACTTTCGAACATGAGATTATTCGAAGGACAAACCACTCATATACGGCGCTACCAAAAGCTCTTATGTGATCAGCTTACATTGAATTTGCCTAGGCTATTGCTGATTTCCAAGACGTTACCCATTACGAAGGCAGATATGCAAGTAGCATATATTCGGAATATTTCATCTCTCATTGGATACCACGAACTGTTCAGAAAGAACGAGGAAGATCAAATTGTTAGCTCTCTACTCTTCGCCCTTGACTCATGGGAGAGGACAGCAATTCCTTGTATTCACATGTTGACTGTTTGCTGTTACGAAATTCCAATATCATTGAAGAAATATCTCACTGCAATTTTGACAAGATTGCAAACCGGAGTAACCAGTGCATTCGCCAGCTCTCCTTCGTTGGAGTTTCTTATGTCACTTATCCAGGTGCCAAGTTTGACTTCCAATTTCACTATGGATGAGTTCAAGCGTGTCTTTGCCATTGCATTCAAATACATTCAATATGCTTCAGATGTTAAGTTTCGAAGGACAGCCAATTCGAACGAACAACAGTCATTGCTTTTAGGGCATGGCGTGGATGCAGAGGTTGATCGCCAAGCGTCAACCCAAGCCACCGAAATCACTCCCATTGTGAATGAGTATCTATTAGCTGTGTCTTACTTGGTCATCTCAAAGTGGTTTTTGAAAATTAATGTGACAGATCGTCGCCAGGTCAGTGGATTTTTAATTAAGAACATCGTCTTGAGTAGCACCAACGATGGAAAGGCTTTGGATGATCGTGCAATTGCATTTCTTGACTTGGTGGCTAGATTCACGTTTTGTGATATTCCACTTCAAATCACTGCCGTTGCCAAGCAAACAGTTCAGTCACCTCATTCGATGTTGAACAGATGGATTGTAGGGCACTCAATTGTTTCAATCGAAACAGATACCATCACTGGACATTCCATCGTTAGTCTTCGTCGGCCTACCGGAACATCAATTTTCCAGGTGACGTTGGACCCAGCGATGTTGCCCACAGCTTTCTCTACTAGCGATTTGCAACCAAAGGTAATGAGCAGTTATTTCCTTCTTCAGCTTCTCCTGCCATTGAATGAAAATAACAAATCCAAGCCCATAGCGTTGTTCGATGACACTGCAGTGGAGAGAGCCATAAGCACGTTTGATAGAATTCCTGTCGTTTCACACCATAAGGCTGGAATACTTTATATTGGACCGAACCAAAAGACTGAAGTTGAAATCTTGGGCAATACCGTTGGATCCCCGGCGTACCATAAGTTTCTAGACGGAATTGGCGAACTAGTGAGGCTAAATGACAACCTCTCTTACGCTGGTGGCCTTGATAAAGAAAGTGGGACCGATGGAGAGTTTGCCTATGTGTGGAGCGACCAGCTCACCCAATTGGTGTACCATACTACAACTCTCATGCCCAATACAGTAAACGACAGGCTTTACGCAATGAAGAAGAGACATATTGGAAATAATCATATCAATGTGTTTTTTGACGAGTCAGGACTTCTGTTCAACTTCAATGTTATCAAGTCACAGTTCAACTTTATCAACATTGTCATTTGCCCACATTCTGTCAAGGTCACACCTGAAAGATCGCAGCCCGCTGAATTTTATAAGGTCAGAACATACAGAAGAAGCGGAGTTCCTGGTATTTTCTCATCTACCCACTTTAAGTTGATTTCTCTTGACCAGCTTCTGGACTACATCCGCACAATGGTTCTAATGGCTGATAGGTTTGCCCATGTATGGCATTACACTATTGATGGAAACTACACTGGCAATTGGGCACTTCGAGTCAAGCACATATCTACACTCAAGCAAAAGACGTTGGAGTCTCACTGCAATCTCCAGGCTGAGCAAGAAAGGCAAGAGATAAGCAAGCCAACTGGCGCAGGAGAAGCAAGCGGAGCATACATGACTCAGTCATTCTTGCAACAATTACAAGCACCCAGTGCAGCTCCAACAGCCGTTTCAATGGGCACGTCCAAGTATGATTACATCTCACCAACAGAAAACGAACTTTACTCGCTTTTGGAATTCAATTCGTTTGCATAAAATTAGAATTATGGACATAGGTGCTTGAGCACTTAATTGGCTTGGACAAAAGGCTGAGTAATGCGAAAAAAAAACGTTTTGACCGATAAGCACTGTGCGGAATCTATAAGGTAACGAAAACGTGTTCACAATCCAAACGCCAAAGCCGAAGTTTCGCTGGCCTCCAGATTCCTTTACATCGTCATGATAATCGGCGTTTGTGGATGCTTACTAATATTGGTGGAATAGATCCATGTCGCAATTTTGGGCTGGATTCCTTCTATCATTCCACTGTGTGGCGCTCATAGGCACTGCATAAATCGCAAGCCTTCACCGAAACGGATTTAACATACGGACCCGACATTCATATCAAATCAATAGATGAGGGTGGGTAATAGACCACCGAATCCACGGGCACTTAATATTGCCACCGCGGCTCTCCCTATTATGTAAAGTGTGATTGTTACTGCCTACCCCAATGAGGTCATTGAGGTGATTTTTGAAGTTGCGGGCCTGTATAAAGGTTTTTTTTTTGCTTTTTTTCTTGTGACTTCCTGCCAATAGTCTGTCTTTTAGCAGCCAAATGTCGGACATTGCATTATTACCACAGCGGAGCATTGTGTTTCTTTCCGTGTTTTAATAGTGCTCAAATTTCTCTGGCAGAATTCTTCTCTGCTCTGTCACCATGTCTCTTGATTCCCACAAATTAGCTGCTACGGCCCTTCACTCGGTGAATTCGACCTTGGAAAACGAAAGTGAGGCGGTTCAAAACCTTGCTCTTCAGTATCAGGAGGATTCCGACTCACAAACTGAGTTGATCAATGCGCTCCGGATCTTCTATGAAACCAATGCTAGAGGCGGCAAGATTGTAGCCTGTGGCATTGGAAAGTCATACAAGATAGCTACGAAGACGGTGGCCACGTTCAAGTCGCTTTCTATTGGCTCTGACATTCTCCATCCATCGGAGGCCTTGCACGGAGACCTTGGGCTTCTTAACGACAGGGACTGTCTTTTGTTCTTCACCGCCAGCGGAAACACACCCGAGCTTCTTCAGTTACTTCCCCATATTTCACTGCAGATCCCTATCGTGCTTCTCACGTGCAACAAGGTCTCACAACTTTCTGTCCAGAACCAGGTCAGATGTTTGCTTTATGCTGATTTGCCTGAACACTTGAAAGAAACAAATGTGCACGGTATCCCAGCACCAACTATCTCCACAACGTTGTCGCTTGCGTTGGCAGATGCTGTTGCGTTGGCTTTGGCAGAAATGATCACGTCTGACCATTTGAAGCGGAAGAAGATGTTCTCCATGAAACATCCTGGAGGCTCAATCGGCTCAGACTTGAGCCACTTGAACGACAATTACTTGCGTATGGAGCTTCTGACTAGTGGTAAGGGCGAGCTTACAGATGCTAGCCATGATAGCTACTCGTCGCTTTTGTCTTTGAGTCAGTTACGCACTAGCTTATGCACTATGAATGGCAGGGCCAATTCCAATGGGTCGTCACTTCTGAATTCCGATAGTGAAGAGCTGCAGCACTCGAAACCCGACGCCAGGTTGTCAAGTAAGCTTCGAAGCGCTAAACCTGATCAGGTCCATTCGGTCGAAAAGGAGACTTTGACCAATTGGGATGAGTTGGATTTGCTAAGGGCCATCTCTTCTTACGATTACGTTTCCTTCAGACATGCAAAGAAGACATTTGCCGCAGAAAGCTTGAAGATTCGCTCTTGGTATAAACTGGGAAACTATGGTTCATGTGACAATATTGGGGAACTCGTTTCTGAGCAGTTCCACTTAGTTGATCTCCAGTAATCAAGCTACAGATCACAAATTCTCTTAAATAACATCGGGTCAAAACGATTTGACAAGAATATTTCAAGGACAACCAAAAGGACTTTTCTTATTACTCTAGGAAAGGCAAGATGTGCAGGCAACATCTTTAATAAAGCTTGAATGGCACAATTAGTGAGAGTTTATAGAAGGAATATCTTGTGATAAAAAAGGTCATGAATAATCAATTGAACAAATATATACAACAAAAACTGAAAACTTTCCGCATTGACGTTCACCGACTTTTTGGCTCTGGAGTTCCGTTGACAACATGCAACGGGCTTTTTACAGGATATGGAGCAGGAAGGCTCACTTATGTACATAATTTCTCATCATGGCCATTTAAACACGATCGGCTTCAACCAATGCAGTTTCCGCAACGACAATCATCTTCTCAACGGAAGCCAAATGCTTCCCATAGTTATTTTTCATCGAGAGTTGCTTTAAGTATTGTCTTAACTTAACAACCAAACTCTTCTTTTCTGAACTTTTAGCATCGAATCCTTCGACCAACTTTTGAATCACATAGTTAGCATATTGGTCCTTCATCATCAATGCCAATGGAGAATCATCGTCAACAGTCTCCTTCTCCAAATCTTCATTCTCAAGCATCACTTCATGTAAGATCCGTCTTCTCTGCTCAGTACTTCCGTACTTGATACACTTCTCAATAACATTCGAGGCAAACTTGTGCTTTGAGAAGTTAACCACAGATCCAAGAGCAACTTTAAGAACCTCTTCCCTATCTTCAGGGTTTCCGCGCTCCAAAATGTGCTGGATAACATAGTTACCATATTGGTCCTGAATCAAGTAGAAGATGAATCTATTCAATTCACCCATAATCTCTTTTTGGTCTTCAATGTCGGAATATTCCAAGAGACGCTGAATCACACGACAGCCATATGGGTGAGTAGACAAATGGTAGATGTGGTTTCTCAAACTGTCCAAGATGAATCTAATGTTCTCAAACGGAATTCTTTCGATAGACTTTTGGATCACATGGTTTCCATTCTGATCCTTTGCTGAAACTAAGATATGGTCTCTCAACTCATCAACCACTTGAAGCTGTCCTTCTAATGGGAGGGATTCCAATGCACGCTGAACAACCCTGCATCCGTACATTTGCAAGGACAAGTCGTAGATGTTCGTCTTCATGCACTCAAGAAGTACCACCTTTTGAGTGGTGGAGCCGTGTTCGAAAAACTTCTGGATCACGTAATTTCCGAAAACATCGGTCATCAATTCGTACGAAATGTCGCGAATCTCGTTGAAGACAACCTCCTTCTCTTCATCTGACGCAGAGGGCAACCTCTGCTGGATGAAACGAGAGCCATGCTGGTCTTTAGTAAACTCAACCACATGACCGTAAATATCCTTCAAGTAGTACTCCTTACCCTTTGAATTGGAGCGAATTTCTTCGAGTAATGGAGATCTGTAAATGTGGTGCCCCCCTTTTCCTCCTCCGTTACCTCTTCCAGCCTTGGACTTCTTACCCTGTCCAGAATTAGGTGGAATGGATTGATTAACAGAACGATTTCCGGCAGGAGGAGGCATCATAGATGCATCAAAAGCCACGGGTGGTATTGGCACGGCTACACCATGTGAATCCTCGGGAATGTCTGTTTGTGGAACGGGTGGTGAAGTAGGAGTAGCACCCTGAGGATAGACTCCATAAGGATTGAACGGATGGAACATGAAACCTCCAGAAGCAGGATGCATCTGTCTGTTCATTAGTCCAATACCAGGGAGCCCTCCTGTTTTCTGGGGCAGTTTCAGGCCCGCCGTTTGAGAGTCCAGAGCACTGGATTCTCCAGTTTCAACAGTCTCGGCCAATGCTTCACCCTCAGGATTCATATTGGCCTCCGCTTGCCCTGGGTAGCCCATGAATCCATACATTCCTCCATCCATAAACGGTGGATTTCCCATCATGAAAGGAGGAGGACTGATGGGAGGCATAACCGGCTGCTGGCGAGCATATGGGTTGGGAGGAACGGGGCTTCCAGAGAATGGAAATGCCGGGTTCTCGAGAAAGTAGCTGAAAGTCTGGTTCGGCGTAAAGGATGCAGCAGTGGCCGGGTTCCAGAAACCATGGGGATGGCCGTGAGCAGGAGCAGAAACGTCTGCAGCACCTTGATGGCCTGAATTCGAATTCAAATCGGACGAGATAGACAATGCTGCACTTGCCTGGATGGGAGAATTACTGTTGTAGTTGTCGATCTTCTCGCTGATCGATTGGTGTCTAGAGTTTCTAGGAGCAGGCATGTTCAAGTTCTCGTTCATTGAGCCGTGTGGGGACACATTAAAAGGCTTCATACCCTGGTCATTGTTGAAACTCGAGCGACGTGTATTGCCGTCCAAGGACAATGTGCCCAACGTGTTGGACAACTCGATATCTCTTGTCGCATCTGCAACAGAGGAAAACTTGTGGAGAAAGCTGTCCTGTGGCGGGTGCCTGCTGGTGATTCCGCCACTGATGGATGCTGTACCAAGCTGGAATGGAGGGGTCTTCGAGGGAACCATTCCTGGAGCATGAGGACCACCCGTACTGGCAGCATATGACACCTGAGCTAAACTGGCTTTGAAGTCAAAGAGATTAGATTCGATCTCGCCACTATCATGGAAAGAAAAACGACGGCCCTCTATTGGGGCGTTGGAAGCCAACATTTTGGCGACATCTGGGTCCACCAGATCGAGAACCGAACGATATTTGGATAGGTGGGGGCTTGTCGGGTCAGAGTTAGACCAGATGGTTTCTGACGGCATTAGCAGATGAGTTGAACAGACAGAACACTATCGGAGAGTCGTGCAAGTAGAATATATGAATTGTATTCGATACCAACAAGAAAAATGTGGAGAGTGTGGAGTCAGTAGTTTGTTGGAGAACTCCTGATGATAAAAAAAGATATGCCACCGCCACCGCACGTGCAGGACAACGGTGGAGTTATAGGGCAGAGAACAAAGGGAATGGTTATTGGGTTATTGTAGTGGATGTGGGGGGATATGGGAGACGGAGGAGAATTTAGATATACGGAATAAGAGGAGGATTGAATGAATTACTGAGTTGGGGTTGTTCTTGTTAACTTGTATTGTAATTGGGGTAGCTAGAAAGAATTCCGAGATTGGAGATTTTGATGCGAGAATTGTGAGACCATTGAGTCTAGTCAGAGTGGTGAGCATAGTGAATATAAGGAGAATCATGTCAGTTCAAGCGATAACAAATTTGATTAATCATATATTTGGTCGATGGACCGTGGGTGGCGATTTGATTTGCCAATTACGAATATTTGAAGCAGATTAGAAAGGCCATAGTATTGTTTGAGTTTCCCCAATCTGATGGATGCTAAGTTAAAAATTAACAATTCTTTTTGTTCTCGTGGCTTTATATTTTATTTCTTAAGAAATGAATATTTCCTAGTATCTTATACGTTATTTTTTCTTTAGTACATGATTGACTTTAGTGGTGACTTTGAAAGATGACAGTAGTTCACAAGTGACATATCGATGACAGGAAAGTGTCATCAAAATACAGAGTATCTAGATCAGAAACATCAATGACTATTGGAATTAAAAAAATGAATATTAAATCAATTTTTACTTCAAACTTTATTGAGTTCCTCAATTTTGTTTTTATCACTTCACCACTAACATTAGTTATTCCAATATGTCAACTCAAATACGTAATACGCACTCTCGAATCTTTCTCCACAACCATGCCTCGACTACCCAAAGGTGCCTATAACAGGCTCCTCGGCCTTCTACACAAGAAGACCGCCGTGGAGATAAACACAAAAGTGCCCATGGTCCAGAAAATCTTGTATGACCTGGATTTGAGCGAAGACAGCAACAAATCAGCACTAGATGAGTTGCTTGAGAACAATTGGAGACAGAAACCTATGAACTCAGCAGTGGATGACGTCCGATCCCACATACAAGCCCCTGTGTCAAATCTCCTTCGCTTCTCGTGCAAGAATGCCTTTGTAGGGGACCTGGACATGGAAAATATCTTCCCAATCAACAGAGAACGTTCATACTTCTTGGACCTGGAATTACGAAAGGGTCTACTGTTTCTCACCATCAAGGCCCGCAATCCAATTAATCTTAGCTTTACAGGAGCCTACTATTTGATCTTTCCAAACACAGCTCAGGCATGTGTCTACTACATGGAAACGAGATCGAAGCTCATCAACGGAATGAGCTTGGACTTGGAGTTTGTTCAGCCCCAGGAGCAGCACTTGAAGAAAATGGCATCTCCACTTCTCGATCGTGACATCAATCGCACTCTCCGGGATCATAAACTTGGTGTTGATAGTGACAAGGTGGGCGTGACTCCCATCGAAGATATCTTTGCATGCTCTCAGTTTAAGCTTCGCATCATCAACCAGCTTAAGCATCTCGACGAAGATCGAACTCGCATTTCTGGCCATCTGGTAGATCCACTCTTTGACTTGCTTTCGTTTTTTGTTGATGCTGACATCCGTAAGAGGCTGGTGTTGGTCAGAAACCTTCCTTTCGGAGTGTCAGAGCCAGCATTGGAGAATCTTCTCTGGGATTACGAATTGGATTCCCAAGATGATCCTCAGTCTTCCATCACTCGCATAGAAACAGATCCAGTGAGACAATCGTCACGCACACTCATCAAATTCAATGATGTAGTCGATGCCACGAGGTTTGTCCGTAACTTCCATGGTCGGAAGTGGGAGAAGATGCTGAGTAGAAAAGACAAGGCACTTTATGAGCCATTGCTCTGTGAGATTGTCAATTAGATATTCATTATATGGTTATGTATAAGTCATGTTCACTCCAGCAAGCTTTCCAAGCTCTTCCAACTGTACCGTACTATTTCGTAATTATGAGTTTTATCGGGGAAAACAGAGTCTACAATCACATACCGTTCCCATATCTTCTTCTGTTTCCAAATGATTACCACGCTATCATTTCCTGACCAACCAATCACCCCGACATCGTGAGAGTTTTCTGGTGCCCCATCCATGTCAGTGTGGTATTTGTTGGTATTGACTGAGCAGAACGACCACGTAGAATTAAAATAGTTTGGAATGGGGATTGTAAGCAGAAACCGCTTGAGGATGTGCTGTCGGTTAGTAGGAGTATTGTGATCGTTCCCTCCGTCATTGAAATTATCAGACAGCGTGCGATCCATTGACGGAGCGATGTTGAAAACATGCAAGGTGTTCTTATCGGACAAAACTGCAAGTTTTGAGTCGTCTGGGGAAAACTCCATGGAGGTTACCACTGCACGATCGAGTCCTCTTCGAAACTCGTACAATAGTGCTGTGGTATGCGTGGAATGAATGCGAATGAGAGTGCCGGTTTCACTGGCAGATGCTATCAACGTGCCCAATCTATTCAATGAAATGCATCTGATGCGACTTTTGTGGGCCTTGATGATGCTAACGGAGTTCTTTTCTTGTCCTTCTGGCGAGACATCCACTAACTGGATTTGGCCAGTTGTTCTGCCTGGAAATGCGAGAATTTGGTATTTTGGAGAGTCATGCAAATGGCTCATCTCCGATCCTGAACCCAGAAGGTCTCCCCCTGGAAAGGAGAGTGATGCCGAATGGACCGAGAGGTCCGCTATGCCATTTTCGTTGTCACTAGTCTCGTAGGTAGCAAACTTCTTTGGAGGGGCTGAAAACTCGTAAACAACCACCAGGTTTAACAACACCACAACAATCCGTATACGTGACAAAAGTACATTGAGCACGGGGCTCATGAAACTCAAGCTCAAGCTTGTTTTTCTCTTCAAGTCGTCCCAAATGATTACCTTGTTATTGGGAAACTTGGGGTTTTTTCCACCGCCAACCAACGCCAAGTAGTTGGTTCTATGAAGCATGCAAATGTGACCGATCCCTGATCCAGACCCATTGCTAGAGGTAAACTGACGCTTGACTCTTAAGTCAATAGGGTTGGAATTGTACACTAAGAAACCTTTCTCGTGTGCAATGGAGAAACAGCCTTGGTCCTGGTTGAAGGTCACGTCTAGGATATGCATATCTTTGCCGGATGTTCCACTCAATGCATTGTGGATGTTCATGACGATATATGAGAGCAGAGGATGAGGCTCACGATGCAAGGGATCAAGGGAGGAATAGTAGGTGATGAGGCAAGATGGTGAAAAACAAAAAAAGGAAAAGATTTGGGAATCGGAAAAGGTATCCAATTTGAGTAATAGCACTTAGACGGCGCACTGAGATGGGATAAGTTTGGCTCGTATAAATAGTATTGGTTACATCCCACTTCACTGGCGTGTTTTTGTCTTGACTGATTGAGACTGACAATGCGCAGGACTGATCCTTACCGTCTCCCTGACAACTCCACATCAATTTGAATGCGACCAACGTTCACGGGAGTAAATTTCCAAAAACGTCGAAAACCCCCAATTCGGAGTCTAAGAAACACTCATGCCTTCACCATAATAACTCGATTTTTAAGCTAGGTTCATATGCTTGGAAAAACACTGTATGTAATTAGGCGCATCGCATCCAGGGTTGGTCTCGCTGTCGAAGCCGTTATCTCAGGCATGCGCATTTCTCCACTATACGTCATTTTGAGGTACAACAGTGCGGTCAGACAATAAAGTTCAGAACTCGCAACGCTTGAATTACCAGCACAACCTGGCTCGGTAAATCGATACTTACAGCAATTCAATAATCCCTCTTGACCAATGAGCCCATTTTGTAGGGGAAAAAATAGCTCTGACAACCTTTACCCCAAAAGTCAAGTTCGAACACTTTTCTAGTCACTTTCTATTTCCATCACTTCTTCGTCACTCGAAATTTCTCCTCTCTTTAAATCCGCTGCCAAAGCATCCAAGTCTGTCTCTTGAGCACTATTGGTACGTGATCTGGAAGGACGCTCAAGAACATTTCTCGTCTTGTTTCCAAGTGGAGTTGCAAATTTATTGTTGGTAGTTGTGATGTCCATGAGATGCTGGGACTTTCTTCTACCGAACTCTTTCATTTTAAACCTCGTAGATGATATCAGAACATCGGATAATTTGGAATCCATTTCCAGAAGAAAAATTGACGAGTTGCTCTTGTTGAGCTCGAGAGCCCGCTTCAACAAGTCCGATGCCACAGGATCAGACGGAGTTATAGCCAATGCGTCATGGAGTGCAATGATTGCATCATCCTGGTTTCCTAGCTTTAAATGCACAAGTCCGATTGAAGAAAGGATGTTGCTGTTGTTTCTGTGGCTCAATTTCAATGCTTGCGTAAAGCAATCCAAAGCCTTGTACGGCTGATTTGCACGTCTGTAGACGTGGCCGAGGTTTAAATGGACGGATATCCATGTCTTAGAGTCAGAATTGAGATACTTGGCAGCCCCAAGCGCCTCCTGGAAGAACGCTTCCGCAGTCTGCAAGGAATTTTTATGGTAGTTGATAACTCCCAACTCGTTTAGTAAGACCGGATCGGTGTTGCAAATTTGGTAGGATGCCAGCAAATACTCTTCAGCAAGACTGACGTTATTCATTTGCAAATGTTGCATTCCCAAGAACAAATTAGGGATATGAGTTCCCGGAAATAATCTGGCAGCAAAAGCGTATGCACTGATGGCTTGCTCGTGTTCACCTTCCATTGCAAAAGTGTGTGCAAAGCCTATCCAAGCCTGACCACTATTTGGGTTGAGCATTGTAGCTTTGCTAAAGTATTTTCTTGCCTCAATAACCTTGTTGATCGAGAGATAGTAAATTCCAATGGCCAGCCATGTTAGAGGATTCGTAGGATGAGTTTCGGCAAGCTGGTGAGCCTTGAGAAATAGCTTGTTTCTACCTCCTAGTTCATATAAACAGCTCAAATAGTTCGGGAGCAAGCTGAAATTGAAAGGGTCCTTGTCCAATATCAGTTCACACACATTCAAACATTCATCAAAATTGCACTGAACATACAAGTAGTCTGCCCTACTTTGAAGCAAGTCCGTGTTTCCTCCAAGACGATACTCGTCGCGGAGAATCGACTCAGCCTCTGTGAACTTGGACACATTCATGTACTTGCTCAATCGAGAGGTGTAGAGGAGTTTTATAAGCTCGTCGTTGTCGTCTGCATCCGCGTAGTTTAGTTGATTAATGAAGCTCCACTGCTCACTAGGAGAGAGAAACGAGTTGCTGACGAGCTCGTTGAAGGCCTCATAACACTTCACGTCCACAATCACCGCCTCCTTATATGCTTCCTTGGCCCGTTCGAAGTTGTTCTGGCTAGCAAACACTAGGCCCCGGAGATAACACATTGAAGCCTCAAGGCGGATTCCACCATCAGTATTCCGAACCTTGTAGTTGTTGTCTTTAAACGGATTGGTTTCGCCGAGCAAATCAAGCGCCTCGTCCCATTGCTCCAATCTAATCAAGGAGTACGCACAAAGATAGCGACAACTGAGCGACTGCTCGAACTCCGGCTTACTGGTGAGTAGCTGGTGAGCACGAACATAATTTTCTCTGTTGAAATAAACCTGCGCAAGCCAAAAGGCATCGTTGGGATCGTTGGTAAGTGAAAGCACCTTATCTCCAATATACTCTGCGGTTTCATAGTGGTGCTGCAGCAAGGCATCATGGCGCCACAATCGAAGCTTCTCTGCTCTTGAGAGGGGCTCCTGAGCTGGCTGATCGGGCGCAGCGGCGTTGTTTCGAAGATTTCCGCTGACGTTCTCGGTGTTGTAGAACAGTGACAGCAGAGACCCTGGCGACTCGAACAAGTTGTTCTGGGGGTTCGGCGGGGTTATGAAGATATTCTGGCGCCGCTCCATAATTTGCGGCGAAATGAACAATGTGGAGTTGTGTTGCAGAGGAGTCTTCTGATTTTGGACCATGATGGGTAGGTTTGGATGTGGGTGCGAAACGAGAGGTAAATAGACTTATACTATGTAGTTGTAATATGTAGTATTTTCTACATAATGGAGGTTGGTTTGGTTGAATTTTTCATGCCACGATGGGATGAGTAATGTCAATTGGGAAATTTCGATTGAATGGCAAGTAGAGAATCCACAAAAGGAAAATGCTGAAGAAATCAATTAGAAAATTTTTACCGTATAAGTAAACCACTAGATATAGCAACTAGATCATAACGCCTCAAAATCAGCCAAATCAATGAAAAGACACATTTAACTCAAAATTCGATAATCATCAACTCATGTTTTACTTGTAATTCGAAAATGATTTAAAATTCTGTTTCCATCCTGATAAACTTATCTTCGAGTTGTTTCTCTCAGTTAAGCACCATCGCTCATCTCTTCCTCCATAATAGTCGCACATATTCGATGAGCAGACTACGTTTTTCATACCCCAACCATGTCAAATCCTAGACCTTTCACCCAGTTTAGAATCATGGTGGGCTCATACGAACATAACTTGTTGTGTTTGTCGCTCACCATCAAAGGCAAAAACGAGCCTGTGTTCACCCCGATCTTCCATTTCCAGGCGCATGCATTATCGATCAAGTCCATCGACATCGCCAAAAGATACTTGGTCACAGGCTCTAACGACGAGCACATCCGTATCTACGATTTGCAGAAGAGAAAGGAGCTTGGCACTTTGTTGAGTCACCAAGGTACCGTGACGACATTACGTTTCTCTTCGGAAACTACTGAAGACAACCATAGTGAAAAGTCAGGTAAATGGCTCTTATCGGGGTCTGAAGATGGCAAAATCATCATCTGGCGCACAAAAGACTGGGAGATGTTCGGCACCTTGAAGGGTCACCAGGGTCGTATCAACGACTTGGATATCCATCCCTCCGGTAGAGTTGCAATCTCTGTTTCCACAGACAAGACTGTGAGATTGTGGAACTTGATGACGGCAAAAAAGGCTGCAGTATTGAAAATCAAGGGGCGTGATCATTTGGGTCAATCCGGTGAGTTCGTTCGGTGGTCTACCTCTGGAAAGCATTTTGTTGTGGGGTTGATGACGCAACTCTTCATTTATGCGCTTGGAGAAGAAGCTGAATTGCTAAGAAAGATCCAGTTCAAGACAACCTTGATGTGTTTGGAGGTGTTGGACATTCAGGGAACTGAATACTTGGTCACGGGCCATAGTAACGGAACCGTTGAGTTCTTGAAGTTTAACAAGGCATTAGAAGAGGAGAACCCCGAGCCAGAGTTCGTTTTGAGGGGCCATTCCAACCGTGTCAAGGGTTTGGCCTATTTCTGCAACGCAGAGACTTCCGGCATTCCATACTTGGTTTCTGTTTCAAGTGACGGTAAGATTGTTGTGTGGGATGTAAGTGAGTCTGTACGTGACCAGGTGGCCGTGTATGACAGTGGAGAGAGATTAAACTGTATTGCCGTGTGTGCCGAGACGGTGGAGAAGGCAGACACCATGAAGAGAAGATACAATGAGCTTGAGGGTAATGAGCCCAGTGAATCCGAATACGAGACTGACGGAGAAGAGGTAAGAAAACTCATGTTGGACACTGGTAAGAAAAAGAAGGGAAAGAAGGCCAAGAAGGCCAAGAGCAAGGTGACTGTCACCTTGGAGTAATACTAGCATATAGAATGTTCACAGATCACGGTATATTTGTATAAAATTTGATGTGGTTCCATTGGCCTTAGTCAATTAGTCCAATCTGGCAACATGGTGGTCAAACAACTTCTTGGCTCTCACCCACACTGGCGATGTGTGCCTGTTTGGCAACTCCAACAACGATGGCATCAAGTCCTTGGCAAAGAACTCGGAGGCTTCTCTTGGCAACAAGGATGGCAAGTGGTCAATGGAGCACACAGACAACTTTGGACCTTCAGTAGTGTCAACTGGCACGGTTGGGTCGTTGAATACAGTAGCAATAGTGTAAACAGGAATTGGGTTGTGTGGGTTGGTTGTGTCAGCAGAGACATCCACAATGGATCTCAACTTTCTGTCCTTCTTGTTCAACAATTCAGCGTTGATGAACGGAGGAATTGGCTTCGACAAGTAGATACAGTTGACAAAAATGTCCGAGTCGGCAATCTCCTGGAATGGACCTCCCTTGGCAGTTTCAGCCATGTCCCACTTCAACAATTGGTCCTCTGGAATACCAACCTTTCTGAAAAGCTCAAGAGCACCAGATCCACATCTGCCCAATGCTCCAATGACAAGACACTGAGGGTACTTACCACCAGTGACCTTCAAAGCAGCAGCCAACTCCTGCTTGACGTAGTCGACCAAAGCATCCTCGTTAGGATATGGAGTGACACCAGGCAAGTTCTCTGAGTCATCGTGAGTCTGCTTGAAAGCCCAGTCCAATACACCAATAGCAGCACCGGCAAAACCAGCGTAAAAGCCGAAAGCGGCCACTCTTCTGCCCTGGTCATTTTCCAAGAACTCCAAATCGTACAAGGTTCCCTTTCCAGCAGGGAATCTCTTCAACACGTCCTTCCAGCCAGCTTGGTCCTTGTAACAGTGAGCAAACTGGATGTGATCGTGAATGAGAGGGAAAGTCTCGTTTTCGGGCAATTCCTTCAAACCGAAGATGATTCTATTGGAAGGTGCAGACTTCCAAGAGCCAGCAGGCACGATGGTTGCGCCCACAGCAGCGTACTCCTCGGCCTTGAAGATGGATTGTTCGCTATCTTCAACATACACCTGGAAACCAGCATCCAACAACTGCTTGGTGGTGGATGGGGTCAATGCGGCTCTTGCCTCTAAGGGCTTGGTCTCTGCTCTGAGGTGTAAGATGACTGGCTCAGACATAATTGGAATAATTTAGTGGTACTGAGAAGATGGAAATTTTCCAGCTGGATATAGGTTAGGTAACCGTCCTGCATTGGAGATGTTGAATTAGGCATTTGGAGTGGTGACTCATGACTGTGTGCAGGCTATCTAGCCAGTTAGATTACTCATTCATGGAGAACCTAGGAATTATAGAGTAGACTAGTGGAGGTGTTTATATTTTGTACTGTATTGCTATTTTTCGGCCTTTTTTTTTTGCCATTTTTCTTGACAATCTTCCAACTCTTTTCTAGTTCATTTCATTTCATTTCTACTTCTTCTTCATTTCCTCATCTCTATCATACTCACATAGACTTGATGTTGGCAAGAACATACTCCAGCAAAATTGGCTTTGCCTTCTCCCAAGAATCTTCCTCAAATGCTTGTCCGTAGACCTTAAGCACGCTTTTCAAGGCAGGAATTTCTTCCTCGTTAACTATTCCCGCAGTCACGGCTTTCTCAAATAATAGTTGAGCAAACTCTCGATCGTTCTCATAAACACTAGCAATCATCATAGCCTGTGTGAGCTTTCCAGCAGCTGATATTTGAGTATCAGGATTGAGCTTTTTTGACACCTGACCGATGTAGTCGTTGTAGATTTGGAGCGAACGTTCACCGTCAAACTGGCTGGATGCAAGGATAAGTTGACAGATTGTTGACACCGGAAGCTCGTCTGCTACAATCAATGTCTCGGCAATTTTGTAAGACATCTCATCAAAGTGTTTGAATGACTGGTAGCAGAATGCTTGAACGAGTCTGCTCTGTACGAGCTCAATTCCAAACTTCTCGAGTGACTGATACGTGTGGAACTTCTCAAGTGCTTTCTGAATGTTGTTCTGATCGATACCGTAAGTGGTGATGAGCTGCATCCTCAAAAGCAACGCCTCTGCATCCTTCTTATCCAAATCAAGGTGTCCGCTTTCAATGTAATTCAACACATCCTCGGAAAATTGCTTCATTTGCTGAACATTCTCATGGAGTTTGTCTTTCGAGAATCCAAGACGTGTAAGAATACCAATCGCTTTCGTTTCATGCTCAAACGTCTTTACTTCTGCACTGAACCCCAAAATCTTGCTCAACGTCTCCTTGGATAGTAGCTGAGGATTGGCATCAAAGACGATTCTGGCAACATGCAAAAATGCTGCCTTGTCCGATACCGATGCAAGCTTCTGGTGATTCAACCACTCCACCACACCCTCAAGCTCCAAAAGACTCAAACCGGCTGCTGCATTGTTGGAAACAAGAAAGTCAAAAATCGTGTCCATGAACTCCTCGTTGGACCAGACACCATCGAGCTCATTGAGGATTCCGATGGCCTTGGTGATGTTCTCTTCATCGAGGACAAACTCACCATCTCTCAACTCCACCTTCTCACCATATAACAATTTTTTGAGGATAGCCTGTCGTATAGCATGGCTCACTGATCCGTTCGAATGCTTCTTTGCTAGCTCCAACAGCGTGCTGACTCTTCCCGGATTGCTTTCTATAAGTGAAAGAAGAGCTTGATCATTCCACGGGTGTGATTTTTCAAGCTTGGAAAGGGTATGATAGAGAGAGAAATCTTGAGGCAAACCATAACGCAAGACTTCGTTGGCCACTTCTGAAGACACGTCGGATTTTAAGATCTTGTGGAGGTCCGCAAGCTCCACATCTGAGAAGATTTTGTTCTTGAGAAGTTCATCAATAACTTGAGAGTTTACTGGTCCTTGCTGTAGAGCACTAAAAACCGAGGAGGAGGATCTTCGAATTTGATAATACTGTGTCAAAGATCTGACTCCAGAAACTGGGAATAATTTCATCTTTAGTGGGGAAAAAGATGTTGGTTGAATTGGTGAAAGAAGTTAGTCACCTACTATATGCACATTTTTCAGTGACTTCGGTACAGAATGTTTGATTCATGGGACTAGATGAAAACCATAGGTTTTGAACAAGATGTGTATAATTCAACTTATCTACTATTCTATCGTATCTAATCGTGTTTAAGCTGTTGCTCCATAGATGCCAAAAGACCCATAGCAGGGAAATAATTGGCCCATTCATCATCGACTTGGAACTTGTCAACCTCACCGAAGTCAAAATCCTCCTGAAGATACTCGTTAAAATCAATCCATTGCCCACGCTTTTCACAGCTGTGACTCCAGCTGGCCTTATATGCTCCACCCAATGCACATGCATTTGGAATCTCGACTTGGTAATTGCCCTCTGTGGCACCGAAAATAGAACCCATCTTTCGAATAATACTAGTGTTTCTGGAAGCACCACCAACGAAGTATACCTTGCGAGGCTTTGAAGTCAAGGAAGCAAAGTTCTGTTTCTTTCCATCGGTGTATATATCACCGAACTGCGAGTGCAACTGATGATAGAGCTCTTTCAATTCTTCATCTTCTGCGGGGGGTGTTGCAGTGGAAGCGCCTCCCGAGCTGCTCAACATTGGACCTGCTCTCATTCTGCAACTAATGGTTTGCGACTCCACAATGGAGCTCACATCATTCTCCACGTCCCATTGGTCAACCTGTTCCACTTCTCCGTTCTCCTCAAGTTTACATCTCTTGAATTGGGCCGATGCGTTAGGAACGATTTCTCCTAATGGAAAGTAAATTCCAAGCCTGCGGTCAAAGCCATGGGTAGCGTCCAAGATCTCGTTAAATTTGTCCCATGAATCCTTCTCGACATTGTACTTTTCATTCAACTGGTTGCGTACCTTCTCTCTAGCTAATGCTCCATTGCAGTAGCAAATCATACCCATGTATGCATTTTTCAAAGTCGGATGTTTGAATAAGTGGTATTGTGATGATGGGTTGTATTGCTCAGTAACGAGAAGAACTGTGGTGGATGTACCTAACGAGATCAAAATGTCGTTCTGCTGCAAAGGCAATGAAATAATGGTGGCAAGGTTATCTCCCGTAAAAGAGTAAATCTGAGCTTCCAGCGAGAATCCGTACTTCTTGACAAAGTAAGACGAGATCGAACCCAAGGATTCGTAGGTCACAGGAACGATAGAACCGAGCTTTCTCTTCAACTCAGCCACGCCTTCTTCAGTCTCCTTCTCGCTAGCTTTATCCAACTTTGGATGGACACCTGCGGCCAAAGCCACCAACTCGTCATCGTAAGCAGATTTAGCCACGTTGTAGATGTTCATTCCACAGGCATCAGCCTCTTCAACAGGAGTGAACTTACCAAGCAACACGGATGCAACGAAACTCGACACCAAGGAGATCTTGTCCGTGTTTTTGTACACTTCCGGTGCGGTTCTGACGGCCAATTTTCTGATCTGCAAGCCAGTGAATCTGTAGTGGGCCCTAGAACCTGTTCTTTGGGCAAGCTCGTCAGGACCACCAGCCACTTCCTCGAAGTCCGCGATCTCCTTGCCTGTGGAGTGATCCTGCCAGTTTGGAGAGTTTTCCGTAGCAAAAGCACCTTTCAAGGCCTCAGACAAGTTAGAATGCTTGTTCATGTTTGCAAGAAGCTCTGCAGAATCTTTGGACCAAAATACGGAGCCATGCTGCATTCCCGAACCACTGAGACCACGCACCTTTTCGAAAGGGAAGCCATCTTTCTTCATCAAGCCAAAAACATAGTCAATGGCATCGAGCCACATTGAAACCGGGGAAATGATCTCGCCGGTTTCATCATTGGCAATCACACCTTTCTTGATGCCATATTTATCCTTGTATTGCGCGTCAAACTCCACATGATACGTGTCTAAAGCCTTAAGCGATTCGTTGGTGACAATAATCTTCAATTGTTGGGTAGACAAGTCAAACCCCAAAAACAAGTCGCCAGTTTCTTCCTTATAAGTCATATTTGACCTGGAGCCACGTGGATGGATTCTTGTTATAGGCTGGCCACGAGGGCAATACAATGACAAAAGTCACTAAAATACAAGCGGCAAATGCAATAAGTGCCGATACAATGTTGTCGGTGACGAGTCCAGCGAAAACACTAATTGGAATGGCCAGGTAGACGGAGTACTTGACGTATTTGTCGACTTTTTTCTGACCTGCGAAGTCGATTGGAAACTCGATGAGCGAATTAATTTGGTCGGCGATGTTTTCCATTGGAGTCCAAGAAGATGGGGTTATATATATGGGAAACGTAGCCAGTGTGGTAATGTTGCGCCAGTGAGGAGCGCACGACTTGTTTAAGATTTCCGGGTGAAGGTTTCCTAATGAGATCGTGCCTACTGTGAAGGTTTCCTAATGGGGAGTGGGAAATTGGACGACTATTCTCAGTGGGACACTAACCGCTAGACAGTACTACAGATGAAGTTGGGCATTAATCTCATAACTTAAATAAATAATCACCGGCAACACTTGTGTTTGGCAGAAGTTTTTTTGTCGTTGTCGTCGTAGACACCACACATTGTGAACAATTCTGGATCAACTAATGTGGGGCCTATTTCTGGCATTTCCTGTATTGGAGCAGCCATTCACCATTGAGCGTAGGTTGATTCTCGACTGAATGAGGGAATCAGGAATAAATCGAATATCTGGAATAAATTTTGGAACAAATTTGGAATGGTTAGAAATTCTGGAAATATCAAAAATCTCGGGAATCTCAAATCAATCCAGCGTTTAAACGGTCTAGAGGGCTTTCTCCACATAGTACTGGACATCATTGCTCATGAGCTTTTCCTCGAGAAAATCGGCAACCTGATTGTAATGGTCTTCCTCAATCACAGACATCATCTTGTCATGTGGATCGATTTTTTCAAAGGAAAACCCGTAGTTGTCCTCGGAATACGAGGGCAAATCGTAAAATTTGATTGGTTTGCGGTCAAATGTCGAGTTATTGGTGGACACCGTGGTGGAGCGAGTGAGCGACGCCATGAGCAGATTCTCATCGGTGTCGGACGCAGAGGGTGAGATTGAGCGACTAAGCGACCGCGAGTCAAGGTCATCGTCCATTTCGCCGAGTTGTGTTCTATGGTCGTCGTCCAAATCGTCGAAATCACTGTCGAGATTGACAAAGTCAAACAACTCTGGCTCCATGATGTCCATGGCTGGTTCAAGCGGCGTGGTCAACGGATCCGAGTCCAAATAACCACCCGTAGGACTGGTATGCGAGAGCTCGTTCATGTTGACTATGAGTTCACTCATGGGATCTCCCCCTACGTCACCCATCTCAGTATAGAGACGTTTTCTGGCGGTGGTCGCTAAGTCGTAGAGATCTGGAGTAGGGGAGCCGTCAACGGCAGCACGGAGCACCAGCGCCCGCAAAGACTTGTAGTCGTGGATCAAAGAGAGCAAGCGAGTCTTAAGCTGGTAGTTCTCGCGATCGATAGCTTTTATGCTTGAGTGAAGGTCGTCCACGGATTCCAGTCCGCATTGTGAAGGGCCACCAATGGATGGACGCAGCGTCGTAGCGATCAGTTTTGAAGGCTGTTGCTTCGGAATTTGATGAGGACGCAGCTGTGGAGCCATTTTTGGAGTGGCCAGCTTTGGAGCCACTTTGGGAACAGCAATTGCAGGCGTCGACTTCTTCTTCTTGTCAGGCACCTTCTTGCGGGCATTCTTAGGCCGTGGAGGTAGCACCCAGTTTTTCAGAGTCGTAATGGTCAAGATGGGTTGCAGCGGACGGCTCGGAGCAGGAGCGGCAGCAGCATTGAGGGAGGTCATGGTTCGGGGCTATATGGACATGGATAGAATGCAATGAGGAAGCCAATGGAGGAAGGAATGTTTGATAGGCACGAGAAATGAAATTAACAGTGGGGGAAAGTGGCCAGTAGGTAATGTGAAGGCAGGAGAGATAAGCGGGGCTCGATGACGAGGAAAAGAAAAATAGCGGAATAGAGAGCAATTACTAACGGTTGTCAGCAATCAGACCCATGGGGTTGAAAGCAAAGAAGCAGCCTATGCAATATATATAAAAATTAGGGACAAAAAATTTTCTGTGCATTCTTGACCCAAGGTTCGGCACGGACGAATTCGGGTGCGGTCTTTTTTTTGGTTTATTTTTTTTTTTTTTTTCGACTGCAACTACTCAAATATCTAAAATGTACTTTCGGAAGGGATTCGGCTAATTTGACGTTTTTGCAAGTAACCACTGAGAAGCTTCGCGAATTGAAGCCTTAATTTGATGAATGATGCATACTCAAGACGACGGGAATCGCGTGGTACTGATGTGTCTCACTAGGTGATTTTTATCCAGTCGGGTGTCATCAAATTCACTTAACACCGATGTAACTAAGGAACCATTGGGCCGGAGTATTATTGGCCTTAAGTCACGTGCATAAGAATGGGGTGAGTTTGACCCCGGGTTTGGGCTACCGACAGGTTGGTTGTGGGGATGGAAACCGGGGCAGTGGTGATGATCGGAGAAGGTGGTTGGTGTAATTTGTTGACCTGCTAGTGGCTGTTTGTGTTTAGGTACGAAAACCATTATGGTATACGTACATGGAAGCCCGGAAGCCAGCCTCGTGCGAAGTTACAAAAAGAACTACATGGTGATCGCACTATAAACTTTTAAGGCCTTACAAGTCCGGCAAATAGTAATCATATAAGCGGAGCCGTCGGCAGTTGCCGGTGGTTGCGGGTTTTTTTAGGACGCATCAGCAAAGGGTTGGACACGATTCTTGCACTAACGGCGAGCTTTTGTCGAGGTTTTTCTTTTTTGTCGTCACGGCAAGAAATCCACCCTTCCGCTTATATTTTCTATTGCTGGGGTTATCCACGGTTACATGTACAGGCCAGTAAGCGACTTTACTGTATCCCATACCAAATTGGGCCAGGGGTTCTGCATAGGCCCCGTCGGGTATACTATAAAAAAATCCGTGGAAATGGCCTCTATTGACAAAAATGGCGTACATCGGTGTTTCGGGTATTGAAAATTGGTCGCTGGATATTGTCTTGTGACTTGAAGTGGATTATTTGCAAACTTAGCCATGGAATTTAACTTGACCTGGAAAGGAGGTGCGGACACGCAGGAGTTAAACTCCAGGTTTTTCTGCATGGCGCACTTTGTCTTTTTCCCTATAAACTGGTGCAATATTATCTTAGTGATCTACTGTCCCGGTGATGACTCCTGGACATGACTCGTTCCACATACCATGTGCAAAACAATGGAATTCTGGGGATTTCGTGACATCGTTATGATTTGTACGATGATTCCAACTTAAACTTCTTTTTTTTTGTCTTGTTTTGTGGCTGCTTTATATTGGTAGTCAAAGACACGCTTTTTCACTTGTCTTTTTTTGTTTTGTTTTGTCTTGGTCGTGATGAACTACTTATGTTTTTGATTTCTGGTTGTAAATTACTCGATATTCTGTGTTGCTGGTTTATATTGGTTGTAATTACTTTGATTCCTCTTTTTTTGGTCCTGCCTCTTTCCCCTAATTCTGAATTGGCATCGATGTGGATGGCTTCAAAATCTCGTCAACATTGCTGGTTCTCCAGTACGAGGTGATGGTCTTGGGCTGGGTCAAAAACGTCACTCCGGCCTTACCGTAGAAGTTCAAGTCTCCCAAGAAAGAACCCTTATTACCCGTGAAAGAGAACATTGGCAATGGCACAGGAATTGGAACATTCACACCAACTTGTCCACATGCAATGTTCTTGGTGAACTTCTGTGCAGCTGCTCCAGATTGCGTGAACAATGCCACTCCGTTACCGTATCTGTTGGAGTTGACTAACTCGATAGCCTCGTCAAACGTCTCAACATTCACCACAGACAACACTGGGGCAAAAATCTCCTCGTCGTAAGCTCTCATGCCTGGCTTGACTCCCGTCAAGATGGTAGGACCCAAGAAGTTACCCTTGGCAAACTTGTCATCTGCTGGGCTGAACTTTCTACCGTCGAGTAAAACGGTAGCCCCGGCCTTCTCGGAGTCATCAATGATCTCTCTGGCTCTAGTCAACGATTCGGGGTTGATCAATGGACCCAAGTCGGACTTGGAATCGAAACCTGACCCCACAATCAACTGAGAGGCATCCTTGGCCACCTCCTCGACCCACAGTTGGGTCTTGGGTCCCACGGTGACAAGTACTGAGATGGCCATACAACGCTGGCCTGCAGCTCCGAATGCAGCTCCGTTAACTGCGTTGATGAAGTGGTTCTTGTCTGCGTCTGGCAACACAATCAAGTGGTTTTTGGCTCCAAGGTTGGCCTGTACTCTCTTACCCAAAGCAGAAGCCTTCTCGTGGATGTACTTACCGGCCTTGTCACCTCCAACGAAAGTTATAGCTTTGATACGTGGATCCTCGATGATCTTGTTGACGGTATCGTGCTTTCCGTGAACGATGTTCAACACTCCAGGAGGAACACCAGCCTCAGCTGCCAACTCGGCAATGATCATGGCTGCACCTGGCACTCTCTCGGAGGGCTTGAGGACACAGGTGTTACCGGTGACCAAGATAAGAGGCAAACTCCACAATGGCACCATGGCTGGGAAGTTGAAAGGACAAATGGAACCCACAACACCGAGTGGCTCACGAACCATCTTGGTCTCCATGTCGGCAGAAACCTCCAATGACGAAGCCATCAAGTCGTTGGGAGCATTGCAGGCAGCCTCCGCCACTTGCAAACCACGCAAAACGTCACCTTTGGCGTCTGGGAAGGTCTTACCCTGCTCCAAAACGATCATGGCGGCAAGTCTGTCATGGTTCTTCTTCAACAACTCTACAAACTTAAATGCAATGCCCTGTCTCTTGATGATGGAGTAGTTCTTCCAAGTGTGGAATGCCTCGTCAGCAGCAGTGACGGCGTCCTCCAACTCCTGCGCTGTAGACTGTGGCACCTTGGCGATCACCTGATTAGTGGCAGGATCATGGATGTCAAACCATGTGGTGGACTCAGATTTGACCAACTGACCATTGTAGAACGATGGAGTCAAGTATGGCTCACTACCAGCCTCAACGTGATTTGTGGGGTAAGACTCCAACGACGAATTAAGTCCGATGGTGGTGAGTGCTCTCACGGAGCAGGATGGGCCAGCACGGGCCACTCGCATCGATCTAGACAAGTTTCTCAACATGTTGGTGATATCGTTAGTGAAGGATAGATGTAGAAGGGCATGGGTGACTTATATATGGAGAATCTGGAGAATCTGCGGCTGGCGCGCTCCGATAAATTTTGGTGCCATATGAAGGTCTTGGGGCCTTAAGCAAGTGCAAATGGGTTTAGGTTCCGTGGCTAAAGGTTCCCCACCTCGGGAGAAAACCCATATCTATTCGGATAATGGAAGATCGAGATGTGGAGGTTGGTGGGGGTGTTTTGGGGTTAGGTAGAGGTTTCAAATTTGAGTTTTGGATGATTTTTTCGATGTATGGCTTGGGTGGAAATTGATGGTGGGACGCCGGAATTGTTAAAGCGAAACGGAAGCGCCTGCCTATCTGGGAAGGTTGATTCCTTTCGGCCTGCATCTTACACCCTAGAAGCCTCTGATGGAAGCCTGTATGAGCCTCTGATATTGATCACTACATGTGAGAATATGATTGAACTGTACGAATTGTTTGTTTAAGATATATATATGAGGTATTGGTGAAGTTTTAGAACGATCGAAACTCCCGATTTTCATCTGCTATATCATTCGACATAAAATTACCCTCAATTTTTCTTCCATTTACTCGTCCATTTAGCTTACCATTTACTCTAAACTTATCCTTCATTTACTCTATAGAAATCAAGCATACGCTTTGGCATTCCAAAGATCGTAATACAAATCTAACAAGCACGATGTACTCCATGCTTGTGTGGGACTCGAATCGTGACACAACGCTCCATCCTTGTTGGTCAACTCAGTTATGCCCGCCCATGGACTCTCGCGGATCCACTTGATGTGGCCCTTAATTCTCTCATTGAGCGCAGTCAAAACTTCAATCGACGGCTTCTGGTTCTTGCCTGACTTGTCGGCATAATGGTGGAAGTACAAGAAGGCACGAATAAAGTATCCAAAACACCACACCCACTCCGGACCCTGGTGGTAGTTCCGGCCCTTCGAAGTTGCGAAATCGTCACTGTCCTCCGAATTATTGTAGTCAGGTCGGTAGTTCCAGTCCGATGGATCCAACGTTCTCATTCCTACTGGGCCCCGGAGAATCGTATCAGCCCTGTCGATAGCTGTCAACGCATATTCGGGCGTGAAAAGCTCCGGCGCAACACACATGGCAATTGGGAAATTGGCTCTCAACTGGTAGTCCTCATACTCCTTTCCACTGCGGAAAAGATCCTTGTAAATTCCTCTGCGGTTGACAACGTTTCCATTAACAACATGCTCACCGTCCTTGGATGGATCTTCCGGAATGTAGAAACATCTCTCGAAGTTGTCTTGGATCAATTGCTCCCATTGGCGCAAACTGATCTTGGAACCATCATTCTTCTCCACTTCAGTGTACTCGAACAATCCACGTTTGTTCAACTGGTTTACAAATCTCAAAGTACTCTTCAAGAGACCTTGTAATTCAACAGCTGCACCATCTCTTGGAGTACCCGGGTAGCCCTTGTTGCCGGCCCTGACACTCTCACCCATCTTATCCATCCATGTTCCACAGTTCCATTGCGAACCACCATGGACAAGACCAGTTTCCCAGTCAATATTGACACTCACATTGAACCCTTCGTCAGTCATCTGCGAGTCCAAGTTTGGCCCAGCATTGGCCTCTCTATAGCTGATGCCTTTGGCGTGTCTTGATAAAATCTCATACAAGATGTCTCTAATTGAAGTTTCGTAGCTGAATGCTCTCTCGTCTTCCCATGTGATGTAGGTGTCATCCAATGGGAACCTTCTAGAAACCTTCTCATCTAAGATTGCTTCACCATTAGGTGCATGCGTGACATACTCCTGGACAGCTTGCGCAAAGAACCAAGCGGCGTCCCTAGCATTATAACGTGGATTTCTTCCAGCGTCCAACAAGTTTGGAATCAAACCATGTTTCAACGTCTTAGCAAATCCGAAAATGTGTTGCTTAGCTTCCTCAAATCGGCCTGGAACAATCAACAAGCCTCTGAACGAGATGAATACATCTCTACCCCAACATCTCATGTAGTCATTACTGAAATGAGGAAGTCCAGCAGCCAAGCATGGAACCTTCGTATCTGGAAGCAAGGAAGTATTGTTCATGTATCCACACATTTGCACAGAAGTCAATGCCAAACTTTGCACAAAGTTGGTGGAGGTCTTTATGTTGTCATCCATCTGTGTCAAGACTCTGAAACGAGCAGCCTCATAAGCCACACCAACAATTAAAGCAAAGTAATGTGGTCTCAAGAAGTATGGTACATGTCTGATGGCGTCGATACGAGATCTGAGCCAGTCCTGGAATTTGCCCAACGATTTTGACTCTTTGGCATACTTGTCCAATCTGTTCACAATGTAGTCGGCAGCCCATAAGCCCTCACGCAAGTGATTGCAAATGGGATGCGCCAATTCATTTCTCCAGATGACATCCTTCAAAACTGCAATCCATCCTTCCAATCCAGCATAAACCAAATTGCCGTAGCCTGGAATGTTGTATGTACCTTCAAGTCCAGAACTAGCATCCCTTTCTTCAGGTTCACATTTGTACAAGATAGCATTCAAATCGAACAAGTTCAAACCTAAAGATGCTTCAATGGCACCCTCCTTCACGAACTTGTCAAGCTTAGCACTTGCAGTTGGGATCTTGGTGGAGAAAACAGCAATAGAACCTGGGGCAAAAGAGTCGTGCACTCTAATTACCGAATCGCTACCGTTGAAGTCGATGGTGGTGGCATCAAGATGATCAAGCTTAGTGGGGATACCAGTCAATGTCTTGTCATTCTCGACGTATTCTCCAGCCTTCCGCAACGTGTAACTGAACTCTGATTTCACTTGAGTACCCTTCAAATCAACTGGAGACAACACTTGGTGGCCCTGGTGCTGCTCAAATTTGGATCTGGCAATCAAAAACCAACCTTCACCAGTGATTGTGTTGTATCTCTGGATGGTGATGTATTGACCCTCGTGATGGATGTACATCTCCTGGTCGTTGTAGGAATCTTCACTCTCGCTAGCAAGAGACTTTCTAATAGCATTCAACTGCAGCTTGACCTTTCCAATACCGGAGTTGTAATCATAGCCATATTCTCTAGTTTCACCCACAACGTCCAAAAGGGCTGGATAAGTCTCATCGTAGCCGAAAGTAGTTCCAACCGCAGAAGAGCAGAATGCAACCAAAGCTGCTGTTGGCAAAGTATCTTCCACAGTTCTAATTTGTGCGGGGGTTTGGTTGTCATGAGTACAATCCATGAACAAAGCATGTGGAGCCTGGTTAGAGAGAACTTTTGGAATCTCCAACTCAGAATTACACTCACTATACTTGCCAGGAATTGGCTCCTTATCAGCTGGGTAAGAGAACTCGTCCAATGGCAACCAAGAAAGAGAACCAATGGGTCTTCCTCCATGTTTGTGCACAAGTCTAGACAATTCTTCCACGTTCCATGCTTGCATGGCTTCTCTAATCAAAGAATTGATACCCAACCTTTCCACGAAGATCTTGTCCATTTCTTCAGATCCAGAAAACAATTCTGCTACCACATAAAGATTGGGGTTGACTGATCTAGCACAATCTAACAACGCCTCACCCACGTGCAATGGAGTTGAGTGGCAGTTATCAAGTCTGAAAGCATCAAATGCTTCGGCACATTGTTTGGTGTACTCGAACATTCTGTCCCACAAGTGAGGGGAGTCCTCATACTTGGTACCATATCTCAACTTGACACAGTCACTCCAGACAATAACCTCTCTTCTGAGGTAAGCCTTGGAGCTAGAAGAGGCAAAGTCGACGAGTGGGTTACCACCCCAAATCCAACCATTGTTGGCCAAGGCCCACTTCTTGCCGTTCTTGTCTTCGAAAGTAGTGAAGTATGCCTCTGTGAGTTTGTTCTCCTTAGTGATAGGGCCAAGCTTGGGACCGTTGTCAGCCAATCTCAAGAATTTAATTCTATCCTTGAGCTGATTTTTCACAGACAGCATATCGTCATTGAAAGTAGCGTACAAGTCAACATTGATCTCGTCGACAATCTCGCCCGCCTTCTGAGATATCTGGTCGAATCTCACTTCCAGTTTATCCACGAGCGACAACAAAATGCCCAAGAACTTGGAGGTGTCTAATCTGTTGGAGAAACGATCTTCCAAAATGACAGAGTGGTTGACATTGGCAGCCTCGAGCACAAAGGCAGCCAACTGGCTCAAGTTGGAGACGTCAATGTGTTCAGGGATCTGCAAAGGCTCAGTGCTGTCTCTCCTGTAGAGGTCTTGCAAGCTCAGGATGGTTTCCTTGGTGTCAAACACGTAGTATTGCCATAACGCAAGTGGGTCCAAAACGTGCTTCTGGATTCCTTCAATGGCCACATCCAAATCGTGCTCGGATTTGATTTCAGTGGGCAAACCGAGCTCACCCATCTTGTCGGAGAAGTCCTTAAGTGCCTGGTCCAACTCAATGGCTGCACGCAAGTGTGGAGCAGTCTCTGCATTGTAACCAGCGTCGGGAGCATCACGGAGCCAAGCTGAGTTGTCAGCAGTATGGTTCCAAACCACATCGGTCATGGCCAAAAGCCCGTTGCTGCCTAAGGTCTTCTTGATGAACAGAACAGCCTGCCCGTTACTAGAAAACAACTTAGGGTCGAACTTGGTCTGGTCGTAGATGGAGTATGGCGAGTCCGACGAGCCTCTCTCTTGCAAGGGAGTAAAGTGGATCATGTTGTAGCCCTTTTTGGCAATGTAGCCAAACAATGCCTCCCAATCGTCCAATGGACCGGCCCATTTCGAAACCACCGACTGAATGTTGATGGAGTTGAATGGCACATACTTATTGTCGATGAACAATTGGGGAGGTACCGTGAAGTAGTACTTGGCAGTGTGCGTGGGCCCCTCGTTGCTGTCGTAGCGGATATAGTAGCAGAATGGACCGGGTCTGTAGATGGGCACATCGATGGAGATATCCTGGTGGAAAGAGCTCTCAATTGGGAACTCCTGGAATTCGTCTCTGTCCACAATCGACAGAGCATCCGTAGGGAGATTCGTCAAGAAGGTTCCGTTTCTTGAAACCTGTGACGCAGCATTGAGACGAACCACCAAGGTGAACAATGGAGCACCTGGCTTGTGGTCTTTGGCGGGAGCCAATGCTGGTAGAAGCAACACTCCATTGTGCACGGCCTCAGTGTTGAGAGGCTCGCCGGAGTCCGAGAGTCTTAGAAGAATAGACCTGGGCATAAGCGATGGAGAGAGAGAAACTGAAAGTTTGAGAGATGGAAAAGGGAAATTGAACAGAAGAAGGTCAAACAGTCAAGAAGGAAGAAGTGATGGTGTTAGACCTTTGTGGGTGTAATTTTGCTAATTTGCTGGACAAAATGCGAAGTACCTTATGCACCGCAACTAAAGATGATATTGGCATTGCGCGGTGGGGCCGGATGACTGTCTACCTATAGACACATTTCCGGGAAGCACGGGACGAGAATAATACAATGGGGTTTGTGAATATATGGGAGATTTACCGATTGGTGGAGGGGTATTAAAAGGAAAATATCATACCCAAACTACGGGGTTCGTGGAAATATGGCCATTAATCACCCCCAATCTAATGGGTTAGTCAATGTGCAAGTCAGGACTCAAAGAACAAATTACGACGCACCCCAAATTTTTCCGACGGGGAAGTATCCATGTGAACAGGCCACCATGACGGAAGGGGAAAGGACGCAGGGATATTTGCGATCAGAGAGAACCCCTTCAGAAGGAAGAAAACGCAAAAAAAGAGCTTCCCCACCAGGAGTCGAACCTGGAATCTTCTGGTTCCAACCGAGAAGTGGTTACGAAATCGTAGCCAGACGCCTTGACCATTGGGCCATGAGGAACGAAGCTGATAAGATTTTTTGTAAGTTTGATATACTGGTGTTTGTTATTGATTTTCAAATTTTTCCAACTTTTTCAATTTTGACAAAAGATATACACCATTTTAGGTAAGAATTGACCAAAAATTCTCATTTTATCGCACTTTCCTTTTCTTGAGGTCAGAAATCTGACTCATTACCTCAACCACTGTCCGCCGCCATTATGCAGTATTCGTTGTTACTATTTCCATGAAAATCAGAGACAAAATCCACTTACAACCGGTTATGTCAAAAGACCTGCTGCTTTTCCAGTATCTATCCGATCAGGTGATTCTGGAGATCCAGGGTTCCGGGTCCGAGTCCCTCCTCAACGTGTTGCTGACTCCGGATATCTCCGTGGAAGAATCTAATGACATCTCCAGTGTGGTTTTCACAGAAGTACTCATGGCCTTTGAAGAAGGGAAGGTAGACGCTGATCATATCATCTCCTTCTTGCAGCTTGCCATCACCGATGATGAAAAGGCTGCAGTGTTTGCCCAGGTCTTTGATGTATTTCCCTTGACTGAGCCATTGGGCCAACTTCTATCTAAGATCTCAGAAACTAACACCATCCAGCCCACCACCTATGCCCAATACATTGATCTGGAGTCATTGATCCTGGCGGGTATAGTTCCTAAAGACTCGCTCTTTAAGCAGTTGAATATGCATAAAAGAGATGAATTCTACACTCAGAAAAAGTTCAATTTAATACATGAGGAGTTTGAAGGTTTCTCCAAGTTGGTGAACGAGTTTTACTTCATCATGAAAAACCCTCATAATGAGTTGGAGATCGACTATGCTGTCAATGTTGTGGAGCTGATGATTGGACACTACCAGTTGGATCCCACTCGAGTGCTTGATGTTCTCTTGGACATCTTCAGCAACAGCATAGTGGGAAACCACCGCTTCATGATCAGCTTCTTGAAATCGTCCAGGTGGTGGCCCTCTACTACCGCTGATTGCATCTCTGGTATGGACTCCTTGAGTGTTGGTGGCAGTGATCTGGCGTCGAAGCTATTAGCACTCAAGCTTGTCAAGTACCCGAACGATCGTGAGTTTTCCGAGACTTTTAAAATCATGCTTTCAATTCTAATCAAGGAAGGTTTTGTAAGCTTTGGATCACTCTACAAGTATCTTACGCGACCTGGCTATTCGATGGAAGAGTTGGAGAAGAAATACAAGGCAGAGTTGGAACTCCAGGTGTTTCGTGCTAGTGCAAGTGCCTTGGCTTTAGCTGCCCCACTTGTGGATGACGAAGTTGAAAATGGTACGTCCACAAGCGCTTCAACTTCTGAAAAAAGCAAGGCTGCTCCTGTCACTCTAGACTCGATGCTAAAGAATAACCTTGAATATCAGCTCTTAAAGGCATTCTTGGGTAACGGTCTTTACTGGCCAGCCATCTATATCCTTTCCATTCACCCATTCCTCGCATATGTGGAGGATGAAGTTCAGGAACTCATGACTCGTTTGTTGGGAGCCATCCTTGATCCCTTCTACAAACAGATTTCGCCTTTCTCCGCCTCAGAATTCGCTGCATTCCAACAGGAGAAGCAAATAGCATTCTCTCGCCCTCTTAACAAAGTTGGTTTGGAGGAGCCTGCAAGCTCGCGGTTGTATTGTTTCAAGCCGACAGCTAGAGCCTTCAGCAATAAGAAATTGACGTACTGTTATACAGAATGGGACTCTGAGATCCCGGTTGTTAAGAACACTGATAACTTGATATCCATCTCTCAGCAGTTCCTCAAGTTCCTAGGTGTCTATATTGCCAGCAATCTTGAGGTCTTTCAAAAGATCTGTGAGATTGTGGTCTTTGCATTGAAGTCAGATCACAGTAACGACAATAAGCAAAAGTGGTTCAACTATTACAGAAATTACTTGCTCCCAGCAGTCTGTGCTATTGATGACAACCCGATTCCAATCCACAAAGCATACGAAATTCTCAAGTTTTTTGATGTTGAGGATCGCTACAACCTATATGGAGAGCTCTACCAAGTGCTCTCCAAGAATAATCCCCATGTCAAAATATACTGTGGCAAGGCTGAGAAAGCAACCAAGGATATGCTCAAGAGACTTTCAAAGGAGAATGTGAAGCAGATCATGCGTAAATTGGCTAAGATCAGTTTTGCCAACCCACTTCCGTGTTTCTTGACTATTTTGCAACAAATCGAAAGTTATGACAACCTCAATTCTCTTGTTGTGGAGACGGCTAGTTTCTTCAATGAATATGGCTGGGATAACTTGACCTTGGCAATTCTTATGAGACTTACTGCATCGGGCAGATCGAATATTCAGGCTGATGGCTTGAACGAACGACAATGGATTCAATCTCTAGCATCTTTCATTGGAAAGATCTGCCTGAGATATCCAGAACATGTTGATTTGTCGACTCTTTTACTGTATTTGCTTAAGTCATTCCATTCGAATGAAATTGCTGGTTTGATTGTCTTGAAGGAAGTTTTGAGCTCCATGGGAGGTATTCAGGCCATCACTAACTTGACGCCGCTTCAAATCAATATGATAAACTGTGGATCATCGATGGAGAAAATTGTTTATTCAACAATTGGCGACGAGAGATATGAGAAAGGTAAATCAGGTTCAACGTTATGCCAAAATCTTTACAGTATAGATGCAGTGAATGAGTTTCTTGTATTGCTTTGTCGGGCTAACAGAAACATCATCTCTGGTGATGACTTTTCGCATTTGAAGGTATTGGCAAACAAAAATGATGAAATCGATGCTGTTAGTCATTTGTTGTGTACTTTAGTGAGTTTTTTCGGGGATAAGAACTCCTCCAGTCACTTGCTACCACTTGGATCGTTGGTCGGCAAGTACAAAGTTCCTATTCCCTGGGCATTCGAATTATGGAGGGAGTACTTGGATCAAAACCAGCTCTCACAAGTTGAGGGTTCTTTGCTGGAATCCTTACCTGGTTTTTTCACTGAACTAACCTCAAACTTGTTTGCAACTTTCTGGAAATTGAAGTTGTATGACCTCAATTACTCTAGTTCGTTGTATGACTCGGAACTTGAAAAGTTGCAAGCAAAGGTAGCAAGCTTAAAAGAAAATATCTCCTTCTCGAGAAGAGACAAAGATGTTACTAAAGAAGTCATTGAGCGTTTGAAGAGCGACCTCCTGAGAACGGAAAAGCTTATCAAGGATATACCTGGACAGAAGACCGTGCACATAGAACATGAGAAGAGAATTATTGAAGAAGTTTCTGGTGTTTCTAAAAGCTGGATTAAGAGAGAAAGTTCGCCCTTGGCCACAAGAAAATTGGTTGAAGCATGTGTTTTGCCTAGAGCCGTTCATTCCTCATTCGACGCATTGTTCAGTGCTAGATTCTTATTTTTTTTGCGAGAGTTGCGTACTCCTAATTATTCTGTTATTGGTGCTTTATCCATCATCTTTAGCAAAAGACTATTGTTTGGAACTCTTTTCACTTGCACACCTACCGAAGCTGAAAATTTGGGATTATTTGTGTCGGAAATTCTCAAGGTATTGAACTCTTGGACAGATGAAGATACCTTCAAGAAACAAGTTGAAGTTTCTCCCCTTGTTGATGACAATTTGGAAACGATAAACTTCTCCTCTTTCCGCAGCTATGTCTACAATTTCCATGGTAGCATTCTTGAAGATATTTCAGAAGCATTACATGTCACTGAGTACATGTCCAGAAGAAATGCTATTACCTTCTTGAAAAACTTGTTAGGAATCTACCCTACTGTGGAAGATCACTGTGAAGCTGTCATTGAATTGATTACAAATATATCCCAAAGAGAAAAACGTGATGACTTGAAGCTCTCTTCCAGCGCTTTGATTGGTCATGTCAAGTCACGTTCAAGCACTTGGGTCCATGTCTGGGATTTCATTGACTTACCAGAGAAAGAGAAGGCTGAACACATTGCTCGCCGTGAGAAGATTGATCAACTGCGACACAAGGCTGCAGAAGCTGCCAAGCAGGCCGCACTAAAGAGACAAGAAGAAGAAAGAAGAATGCAACAGGAAGAAAGAAGACAGCAGGAGGAAGCTGAGAGGAAGAAAGAACAAGAGAGAATCGCAAAGCTCGAAAAGGAACGAGTTGCTCAGCATCAGCAAGCTTCGGCCAATGCCTTGAATTACAGCGAATCTTCTGTTAAATCTGATAGGTCGTCAGTTCGTGGACTGGAGTCAAGCACTCGTGGCAGATACGATCAGTATTCCCAGAAGGGGCCAGCAAAGGAGCAGCTCAAACCCCTGAGTTCCTCACTGAAAGATTTTAAACCTCCCACTGCACCAAGAAGTGGCACAACCTCTACTACACCAACGCCAGCTCCTTCCAAGGGCCCAGATGCTTCTCGCAAGCCCGCTGAACCTGCTAACCAAAAGCAGGCAACGACACGAGCTGAAAGCTCAAAGATTGTCAACACTAATGCTTTAAAAGCGAAGCTCCAAGAAGCGAAACAGGCGAGTGGTAGAGGTACTCCTTCAGCACCCTCAGTTCCGCATGGCCCTTCTGGATCGTCTACTCCATCGAGTCATTCGAGACCTGCTACTCCTTCGAATACTTCTGCCAGAAATACAGGACCGAGTGGCCCAAGAGTTACTGGCCCAGCAGGGTCAGGAATCCCAAGGCCAACTACTCCATCTGGACAGAAGAATACGACGCGCCCCGTTGAAAATGCTAGAACCAGAGCTGCTTCCACAACTACTTCGTCATCTTCTGCCTCAGCTCCTTTAGCACCATCGGCACCAGCAGCATCTAGGTCACAAGCAGCAAATGCAAGACGGGCTCCATTACCACCTCAGCAAGCTCCGCGAGACGCAAGATCCAATTTTAAAAGTGATCATGGACGTTACAATACCTACCGGGGAAACCATAGTTCTGGACCCCTGGTCCCAGCCTCATCTGCTCCGTTGCCTCCACCCAAATTACCTCCTCCAGTCCCACCTCCATCTGGCCCACCTCCTAAAAGTGATAATGGACCTCGTGACGCAAAACGAAGATACAACCAACCACGGGGACGTGAGTACGATAAGAGACAGAGATATTAAGTATCAAATAAATATACATAGGCCTATTCATCGGGAATCAGGTCCAACTTTTCAAGCTCCATAGATAAGAGATCATCCAACTCCAATTGCTTCTTGGCCAATTCTTCGGTGCCTGGAGATAAATCCTTTTCGAGAAATATATTGCTGGAGACGCTTTCTGATGTGGTCTCTGAAGTTTCCTGAGAATTTACGCTTGGAACGTCTCTTGAGACAATATTGGGGGAGGTATCTGGTTCTTCCACATCTTCCAAATTTGTGTCTTCCGCCAACTCTATTGCCTCCTCAACATTTGTATCCTCCTCTTTGGTATCCATCACGCTTGCGTTCTCCTCATTTTCGTCTTCCACATCATTGTTCTCCACACTCGCTCCCTTTTCAGCTCTGTTCTCTTCGTTTGTATCTTCGTCCATACCAGGCATAGTCATTCTTGCATCCTGGAACATGTCTTCAGAGTCCGAATAGTCCGTGAAGTTATCCAGCTCAGAAAGATATTCATCATCATTCTCTTCTAGGCTTTTCAAATACGCTTCAGCTTTTTGCACTTGTACTTTATGCCACTTGAGATGCTTCAAGTAGGCATGGTGTCTAACAAATTTTCGCTTGCATCTCTCTCTGGGACACACATAGGTTTTTGTCACATTCCCCAGCACAATATCAATGACCGATCCCAATGAGTCGAATGAGACTTCGGACGGTTCTTTTGCGGACTTCGGTCTTCCACGAACAGGTTTTTGCATATCCTCCTCGTCCACGTCAGCATTGAAGTCTGGATCCCGCAACATGCTTTTAAGAGAAGACGGCTTAACTGTTGACACGTCCAAATCACCGTTTGCAATATTTTCTGCATTGGCATCCTTATGGACCTCGGTTTGGTGCCTGACTAAATCATCATGGCTTACGAATCCTCCATCACACAAGTCGCATTTTTCCAAGGTTGTCGCCTTGTCACCATGAATAATTCTATGAGTTTTCATGGCCTTTTCACCCACACATATCTCTCCACATTCATCACACTTCAACTTAGGGTGTTCCTTTCTCTTATGCTCAGCCAACTTTGCCAACGACTTAAACGTCAGAAAGCAGCCCGGAAAATCACACTGTTCAACCTCCATTGTCTCGCCATGATGCTTTGCTTTGTGCTCAGCAAGTAGCACCGGCCTCTGGAATCGCCTGTTGCACTTATCACACGTGAGGATCTGTTTATGATCAATATCGACATGATGTTTGAGAGACTGGTAATGGTAAAATGCTTGAGAGCAATCCTCGTAGTCACATTTGTACTTCTTTGTGTGTGTGAGCTCATGCCGCTGGAGTAGCTGAGGCGATATGGCACCTTTCCCACATATCAGACATTTGAATGGCTTCTCGTCATCATCCTGATGGGAATGCTGGTGAACTTTGAGATGTGACTTCCGGAAAAAGGACTTGTCGCATCCATCAACCAGACACTTGAATGGTCTGTCATTGGTGTGTGTTCTCTCGTGTTGTCGTAGGAGTGCCGGGCGATTGTACGCTTTGTCACACCCTTCAAAAGAGCATAGGTATTTCTTGGGACGACTGACCATGGTTGGTCATAGCAGAGTCATCAAGCTATAAAGTGTTTTTATCGGAGAAACCTGAGATCGTTGCGATGAAATAAACACTTACAAACTTGTGAGATTCACTCTTTCTAGCGAGAATGCTATAAAATATTGTAGATAATATGATTGAATCTACCTACAGTTTATTTACTATGAACTTGTGTGCGCGACAGTCCAGAGTAAGATATGATGACGTGATAATACGACCGAAAAGTCTCTTCAAGTCAGGTTCAGATAAAGAATTCAGGTAACAGGGAATAAAAAAGCAATTTTAATAACCATAATCGAAGTTTCTGTATGGAATATGTTAACAAAACAAAAGAGATCACTTTAATGGCTGTCGTGTCTCAACCAATCGTTTGTTTGTCCAACATATACGTCACGGAAAAACTTCCTTCAGAAACATCCGAGATAGTTTAGTGGCTAGAATTACCGCTTGTCGCGTGGTAGACCGGGGTTCAATTCCCCGTCTCGGAGCATTCTTCGCGCAAGTGGTTTAGTGGTAAAATCCAACGTTGCCATCGTTGGGCCCCCGGTTCGATTCCGGGCTTGCGCATTTTTTTTGTTTCCAATTGTGTTTTTTCGGGCAGTGTTTATTTTAAGATCATTACCTAAAAAAAAAAATCACCTCCTGTCGCAGAACAAAATTACATCCACCTTACCCTTTTCTTCTCCGTCCATACTTTTTTTCCCTTTTTACATTGAATTCATAGTCAACTGATCTCTCCGGATCTCCTGACTATTTTCATTCCACAAAAAAATTCATCCTAGCATCCATGTCTGAAAACACATCCTTGTTATCGGCAACGATAACTTTCATCCAAAGGGCAGACATGCCATCGGCTACCACGTCCGCAACGGCGATGCCCAAGATCTCCAGCACTGCGGAAACTTACACGACACCCTCGGTGACGGTTCCGCCCAGCAGCAACAATCCATACATTCTGAAGACGAATGGGCCGCTGGGAGTGGTATTCATTGCAGTGGGAAGTGTGGTCGGAGCCATCTTGGTGGCATTTGCATTGTACCACTTGTACAAGTCACTCAGCTCGTCCAGAATGGCTAAGCGCACCATGAACAACGAGAAGTTTGCCTACCAGAAGTACCAAGGAGCATTCAGCAGCAATATTACTCCGCTGCTGACTCAGGGATACCTCCATCCCGAAAACAACTCGGTGGCCAAGTTGCCACTCTTGAACTCCAACAAGTCGTTTGCAGGCGGCTCGCAGGTCGGCGAAAGCTCTACCATCTTCACCTACGAAGGAAGCAACCCAACTACTCACCACGACTTGACACAGATGTTTGTATCGCCCACAAAGGACGTCATGACCCATAACAGAACACGTTCGCAGTACCTTACGGGATCGGTAACCAACTTGTCCTTGTACGGAGGTTCTAAGACCAATTTGAACAGTCCCTCGCCAGCCACCAACAGGCACTCACAGGTGATGCCTAACTTGTATATCAATGAGGAGGCCAACAACAGTGACTACTCGGTCGTGCCTTCAATGGTCCAGGAGAGAAAACCCAATGAAGATGGCCGCATGCCTAGAGAGGGAAAGAAGACGCTTCCAAGTATGTATTTGGATGACTTAATCGATAGGTAAGCTACGCTTTGCTAATTCTGGCAATCTCTCAAATTGAGTGAGGGTTAATAAAACTATAATGATTACATTGTTTGTAGGTATGAATTGTATCTAGATTGGGATTTTCTACTTTCAGGTGATTTTCTTCACTCGTACATGGTTGTTCTCGCACATCTAAAATCTACATTCATTGATATTCATGGTCATCTGCACTACCATCAACACCATGTTTGGACACTTCAGGCTCAAGAGTATACCGAAACGTCTGTTTCATAGCACGGCACCTCTTCGACTGGAATTACCAAAGGAATATGAGTCGCTAAAACTCTCGCAGGTACCAGATCTCCCCGTCCATAAGACAGTCCCGTTGTCCAGCCAAAGCTTCAAAGGTAAGACCACAATAGACCCAGAAAAGTCGCCATTGGTTCTTCTCCATGGACTTTTTGGAGCAAAACAGAACTACAGCTCTGTCGGAAGACATATTTGTGCAGCCACAGCCAGAAACGTCATCGGTATCGACTTGAGAAACCACGGCTCCACCATTCATGCTGCCCCACATGATTACTTACACATGACGAACGATACCATCAAGCATATCGAGGATATGGGCACCTCGGTGGTGTTGGCAGGCCATCTGATGGGTGCAAAGGTGGCTATGTTGGTGAGTTTGTTGCGGCCCGAATTGGTGGAGAAGTTGGTGGTAATTGATAACAGTCCTGCCAGCCAGAATCTCGGGAGCCAGTTCACAAAGGACTTGCTAGGGATGTGTCATGTCGAGAGAGACCGGTCACTTCGAGATTTGCCTCAGGCGGCCAAATTGCTGAAAATAGATAAACTTCTCTTCAAGTATGAGAAGAGCTCCTTAGTTCGTCTCTTTTTGATGTCCAATCTTCATCGGAGGGCATCGAAGCATGATAACCTGCCAGTAAAGTTCCGAGTACCGGTTCTCAACTTTTTGAAGATGAAAACTTTGGATGCCATGGGCCAATGGCCTGATTCGGTGGAGAAGTTGAAGTATCATGGACCAGTGAAGGTAATGCGGGGCACACAGTCAGACTTTGTTAAGGACATTGAGGTTTTTTCCAAGCATTTCACAGATGTTCTGGTGACAGATTTTGATTCTGGCCACTGGCTAGTAAGTGAAAGGCCGAACCAATTTGTAGAGGAAATGGTTGCATTTACTGAGTCATCTTAAATTAATGAACTTAAGTATGCGTCAACAGATGTAGGTTTTCTTTGAGCCTTTTTATTCTTATTTTTATTTTTATTTTTCTGTTTTCTTTTATTTTCTATTCTTTCTAACTTCCTCTTTTGCTGTCAATTCTTTCTATCTATGATTTTGCTCTGATTATGCCCTTTTCTGATGTTCCCTTGTCCCTTCACAATACCTTCGACTTCTCACCTTACAGACAATACTTCTCAATATTCGCAACAAGCAGATTTACGAGCCCAAGACACATTATTTTCGGGATTTCTAAATTCCGAGCTTCCTCGTGACAATACAACCATTTTCAACCGAAGAAAATTGATGCCAACTACTGAATCTTCACCTTATCACTATTTTTTTCTTCACAACCTCCAATTTTAACTTAACTCCTCCTCATCCCCATGTGGTGCCTGGCTCATCTCATGTGCTCGCTTACATAAGCGGTCCATAGGAGTGGCCACTATATAAATACCAGGTTCCCGCACACCATTAAGACATCACCAAATTCACATTTATACATTCAACTCTGCCACATTTACGTCAGCATGTCGGACTTTGGCCCCTCTTCCGCCGCATCTGGTGAGGACTTGTCCTTGCCCAAGGCTACCGTACAGAAAATTATTGGCGAGGTATTGCCCAAAGATATTGCCATCTCCAAAGAAGCTCGTGAAGCCATCACCGAGTGTAGCATAGAATTCATCATGATCTTGTCCACACAGCTGAATGATATTGCAGAGAAAGAGGCCAAGAAGACCATAGCGTCGGACCATGTGATCAAGGCGTTGGACGAGCTTGGATTTCACAACTACTTGGATATCATCAACAAGGTGTTGGATGAGCATAAGGAGCTCTTGAAAGGAAAGGAAAAGAAGAATAACAAGTTTCTTAATTCTGGTTTGAGCGAGGAGGAGTTGTTGAGACAACAGGAGGAGTTGTTTAAGAAATCGCGTGCCCGTTTGCAGAGCAGTGGGTCACCTACTTCTGAGATCAAGCAGGAAATCTAGCACCCTTTCCAATGAGTAGAGCGGCCCTCAAATGGGTATATCACCACCCAAATGGGTAATCTCTCAAATTCCATGTATACTAGAAGGCGGCATATATGTATGCGACGTGGCAACATTGCTCGACCATGTATAATTGTACAATAGCATTTAACGAATACGGTAATTCCATGTATATTACAATTTTTTTCTATTAGCCCAAGATCAACTCGTATAAGATGATCAAAATGTTAACCACAATCAATGGTAACCTCAATAACGTTCTAATGGCACTGATGAGAGCAACCATTCTCGACTTAACACCAGCGTCGTTGGAGGTTGCCAGCATTCCATACTGGTTTTGGAACTGGTTAACCGGTTGTGGAGACAGCGACCCCCAGCCCACACGATTAAGGAATCTGTCCTCGCTTAGAACGGCGATTCCGTTTACACTGAGAACTATCACGTAGAGAAGTCTTCCCAATCCAAACATCCTTGAGGCTAGTAGTATTTTGTGTGGTGAGATACCTGGAAGAGGGTGGGTGTTATACACCCGTACACCAATGTATAAGTATAAAAGCAACGAATTGGGTAGTAATATCGGTTTAATAAATTGAGGGAAAGGTAGTTGAATATTATTTTATAATGTTATAAGGTATTGGTTTTGTTTATGTGAATTTTTCTTTGCATATTTCATAGTTGGTTATTTTTAATTTTGCATGTATTACTTTCGACTTTTGCAGATCAGGCCCGTTACGGATAAATAATGCGAATAATATTCTGGTTGAAAGCATTCCGAGATAGGACTACAATGAAATTGAAAATAAACAAAAAAAAAAAACGAATCAAAAAAGAAAAGAATAAAGCTGAAGTACGAAAACTTACCACGAAATAGTCACTCAGCTCAAAACCGGGAGAACCTTTATAGTTTGGAGGTTATACTTCAGGGCATGGTTAGTACTACCACCTAGTGCATGGTTGCAAACCGATACATCAAGTCAAGCAATGAACAAACAGAGAAAAGCTCGAAAAATTCAACATTTTCAACAGGATCAAGCACCAAAACAATGTAACTAGAAATTTGCACCCTTATACCAGATAAGTTCCACAATGGTTATACAAATATTCAGCCTGGAATTATGGTTGGCGCACGCCCAAATAAGCTATTTTTTTAGTTCAACCGATGGGTTACACTCCCTCCATTAATCGCCAGCATGGATAAGGACACTCTTCTCAAGTCGTTGTCAGGCACGCTAGATGCCAACTATGCCACTCGAAAACAAAGTGAGGAGCAGTTGCGCTACTTTGAGAAGATTCCGGGATTCACCAACTATTTGCTCGAATTGATCACCGATCCCACTGTCAACTTCGGTGTCCAGGTCTCAGCCGCCATCTTTTTCAAAAACAGAGTACACAACTATTGGAATGTGCCTGAGCTCAGACAGGCCACTGACCGCTACATCAAGCCAGAGGAAAAGGCGGCCATTAAGGGCAATCTTGTGGAGGTTTTGAGCAAGACCTATAAGAACCCACAATTAAGAAAGCAGTTATCCACAGCATTGAGCAGTATATTGGACCACGACAAATGGGACGAGCTCGTGGACATGATCCCTAAACTTATCAACGATGTGTCGAACGTGGACCACGTATACACTGGGTTGATTTGCTTGTATGAATACACAAAGAACTATAGATATGCTGGAATCGACAATGCCAACTCGAAGAACATTGTGTTGGAAGGAGTGGCTGATTCGCTTTTCCCAGTCTTGGAAGATTTGGCCTCCAAGTTGATGAGCAGCCCATCTGAAGTGTCCGATGAGATGATCTATTTAATCACCAAAATCTTCAAGTTCACCACCTACTCTACTTTACCCACTTACTTACAGCAGCAGGGAAACTTGGGTACTTGGTGCCATCTTCACCTTAGTATTATAAACTTGCCATTGCCTGAGTCAGTGTTGAAGGCCGACTCTCAAGAAGAGAGAGCACTCAATCCTAGAGTCAAGGCTGTAAAGTGGTGTTTCGCTAACATGCATAGACTTTTGTTGCGTCACGGTGGAGGGTTGAACACAAAGGACAAGAATGGCCCCTTTGCCAAAATGTTCATGTCCACATTTGTTCCAGAGATCTTAAACGCTTATTGGACGATCATTGAGGGCTGGTCAACGAAGCAGATCTGGTTGTCCGAGGCTTCGCTCTACCACTTAATTTCATTCTTGGAACAGATAGTGGAAACTCCTTCATATCCATTGATTGAGGAAAAATTGGAGGCCATCATCAAGCATGTCCTTCTCCCTACCTTGAATGCAACTCAAGAAACTATTGAGTTGTACGAGGATGAACCAGATGAATACATCAGAAGGTTCTTTGATACTTCCAGAGATAACAGTACTGCTGATACTGCATCCATCAACTTTTTGTTCAGATTGTCGTCTACCAAGTTCTCCAGTTGTGGAACTGTTTTGCTTTCAATCATCAACGACATTTTCCAGCGCAGAGCTGCTGATAGAGCCAGCTTGCAACTTGCAATTGAAACTGAGGGTGCTCTCCGTGTGCTCGCCACCATCTCCTACAAACTTGACAAAAAGAATAGCCCGGTTAAGGGCCAGATGGATCAGCTCTTGTATACTGTTGTCTACCCTGAACTCTCGCAAGAAGTTATTGCAAAGACACCATGGCTTGCAGCCAGAGCATGTGACACCATTGCCATGCTAGTGCACAAGTTTTCTGATGATGCCATATTGCAGAATATTTTCCATGGAGTTGTATTTTGTTTCCAACAGCAAGACCACTTCCCAATCCAATTGACCGCTATTGATGCTTTGCGTACTTTGGTTGAAGAAGACACCGTTGCTGCGCAGGTTGCGGAGCAGGCTCCACAATTAATGGGGACTTTACTCGACATGTCCAAGAACTTTGAAAGTGACATTTTGACTACTGTTATGGACGTTTTTGTCGAGAAATTCGCTGTGAACTTGGAGCCTTATGCCAACGAGCTTTCCGTTCGTTTGGTTGAGCAGTTCATGAAGTTGGCAAACGAGATCTTGGAACAGACTTCGCAGAACGGTACCCCAGACATTGACAAAGAGTATCAGGCAGCTGGAATCATTAATACCTTGACGTCTTTGGTTATTGCCATGAATGCATCTCCTCAAGTTTCAGAAAACTTGGAAGTACTTCTTAAAGACATGATCAAGTTTGTCTTGGAAAACTCCATGGCGCTGTTCTTGACCGAAGTGTTGGAAATGTTGGAGTCTATTGTGTTCAGCACCAACAAGATGTCTCCTATTATGTGGGAACTCTTCCAGACATGTGTTGAGTGTTTCGACACATTCGCACAAGACTACTTCGATACTTTCCAGCCATTTTTTGAAGCAATCATTCAGTGTTCTTTTGCCAACGATGACATAACAGTCGAAGATCCTAGAGTGCAATCTATGTTCAAGATTTGTTTCCAGACCTTGTCTGGTGATGTTGTCGACCCTGTTTTTGCACATCAAGCATTTGAGCTCATCGAGTTTTCCATTTTGAGTTTGAACAAGAAATTTACGCCCTTCTTGCCACAATTCTTGCCAGAAATCTTCAATATTTTTTCCTCATTGGAAGCACAGGATGCGTTTGATGGATACATGTTGCATCATTTATCGATCTTGAAGATTTTCTTCGCATGCTTGTACGTGGATGCTGGCTCCACCTTACAATTTTTGAGCGACAAACAATTCACTAACACATTCTTCAAATTGTGGGTTAAGTACAGTGGAGACTTCCAGAGTGTGTACGGCTGTAAGCTTCAAATTTTGGCTTCGACAGCGATCGCATGCGAAGCTCCATTGAACTTACTTCCACTGGAGGACATCGTTGGGGAGACCGTGGACCTTCTCATTTCCAACATGGAGGTGTTGCCACATGCCATCAAGGCACGTCAAGAGATCATTGACAAGGAGAATGGAGCAAAGGCCAGCTCCAAGGACTACAACGCCGATGGGGAAGAAGACGATGAATTTGGAGAGGACTACTATGATGACGATTTCGAGGCTGACGAAGCCGAGCTCGAAGCCTTGAAGCAGACCCCAATTGACCCGATCAACGTCTACTACGTGTTTACCGAGAGGGTCTCGTTGTTGCAGCAGCAAGATTCTTCACGTTACGAGGCCATTTTTGGTAGCTTGGACGAGTCGCAGAAGGAAATTGCCAACCGCATCATCAATATTGTGCACCAACTGAGGTAAGTACTGTATGTAAATAAAGGCACCAAAGGCAAGTTCGCCTCGACTTTAATTCCATTGTACCATTCTATATATTTCACCATGTTCTCTGGATTTGGCTCCAATTTTTTCGGCAGTTCGCCGTTCGCTACAAACAATAAATTTGAGGATTACTTCCGTTGTTACCCTGTGGCTATGATGCCAGATAATGTCAGAAAAGATGATGCCAACTTTGGAGGCAAGATCTTTCTCCCTCCTTCAGCCTTGAATAAGTTGACCATGCTCCATATACGTTACCCCATGCTCTTTGAATTGACCAATGAGCTTTCAACCGCTAAGACACACAGTGGAGTGCTTGAGTTTGTTGCTGAAGAAGGCAGAGTGTATATTCCTCAATGGATGATGGAAACACTCAGCTTGGAGCCTGGTATGTTGGTGAAGATCGCCAGTTGCGACTTGCCAAATGGCCAGTTTGTCAAGATTGAACCACAATCAGTGGACTTTCTTGACATTTCTGACCCTAAAGCAGTGTTAGAGAATGCTTTAAGAAAGTTCTCGACGTTGACCGTTGGTGATATCATCCAGATTGATTACAACGACACCAAGTTTGGAATCAAGGTGTTGGAGGTGAAGCCTGAGAGCTCCAATAGTGGCATATGTGTGGTCGAGACCGATCTAGAAACCGATTTCGCCCCTCCTGTGGGATATGTGGAACCTGAGTATAAACCAAAGTCTATCACCCCTTCGACAACCCCCATTGATCCTTCCAAAGTGAGCCGTAGTGCTGGTGCAGGTACCATGGCTCGTTCAATTGATTACGCCAACATCGTAGCCAATAGTGGCAAGACAACAGTATTTAAAGGAGAGGGCCAGAAATTGTCAGGAAAGCCTACATCGAAGGAAGCCACGCCCAGCAGAGTGACCATTGATGACTTGGATCCCAACGCTGAACCAGTGCCTTTGAACTTGCCTCCAACACAAATCTTCTTGGGATGGCCCGTGGTTCTTCCAACTCCAGAGGAGTCTGAGGGTGAAGCTCCTAGCACAGGATTCTCCGGGGAAGGCAAGTCATTGAGACAGAGCAAGAAGCGGGCCAGCAAAGAAGCACATGCTCCGTTGAAGAACCACACCCGCAGCCCAGATCAGATTGAGATCGATGATTAAGTTGGGCATTTGGGAAGTAATGAGGATCAAAATTAACGCTGCATAGGAATCTAATAAACGAACTAACTACAACATTTAGGTAGCAGCAAAACTCGGTACAAAAAGTCTATTCGGTGGTGGATGGAAGGAACACATCGTTGCCCTGCTCCATGGCCCTCTTGGTATGGTAGACAATATCAGCAGACTCCCATGGGTATGCAATCCAGACATCAGGCACCGTTCTGGCAGCAAAGTAGTTACCAGTGGTCATGATGTCAGCAGGCAAATCAGCCTTCTTTGGTTTGGCCTTGTCGTGAAGAACAAAGATACCGAACTTGGTGGCACTGGCATCAACACCCTGAGCAGCAGCCTGTTCAGCCACATCCTTCTTCAACTCAGAAACGGCATAGTGCAAAGTGGTTCTGGTGTCATCAACCTCGTCAATGATCAAAATGTTCTTGTTCACCAAATCAACCTTGGATTGAGCGTAGTCAATCCACTGAGTTCTAACCACCTCAGTGCCAGCCTGCTCGACCTGTGAGCCCACGGTGTTAACGTGCTCGTACAAAGACAAGATAATGGCCATGATTCTGATGTTTGGCTGACCAGGCTCCTTCAAGAAAGTACGCAACATTCTTGCTGGAATGAAACCTCCTCCACCAATAGCAATGATCAAGTCAGGCTTGAAAGCCTTGATCTTTTCAGATGTTTCCTGACACAACTGGTGGATGTTGTTGTAGGTGATGTACATCTTGGAGGCTTCGACGTCTGCGGAATCCATGTCTGGCGATTTCGTGTGGGTGCTACCAGATGAGATGGATGGAGGATTCGCAGTGATTATATATCTTCGCACTGAGCTTTTTTTTTTCTCTCCAGGACCACCCAGTATTTGGACAATTAAAAGCGGTGGGAACTAACGGAAAACGGGAGAGAACAAATGAATAGGATATTGGTGCCAATTATATTTCGACTAGAGTGTTTCCAGCTTTTAGACCGCCTCGTTCAAACTTCTGGCTGAGTCATGGTTACAAGGTCATCGGATGTGCCGCGGCATCGCCGATCCTGCACTACCATTTGTCCATTTACCAAAGCAATAATGGGATACTGGTGCTTCTGAGATTAGACAGAATCTGTGTAGTGGGAAAGAAAATTTACTGAACGAGATTAAAATCATTTTCTTTTTATTTTCCTGTTTTTCTCTCTGTATTCGTTTTTATTATTTTGTCTCTCTCTAGCTTTTTTTCTCTTCGCTTTTGAATCCTTGCAATGGTGACTTCCATACTTTCAGAAACCTTCCATACGTCATCAATGACTATGGAACATACTACCATCGATGGTTTCTTCTTCACTAGCCCTACTTTTTTGTAATTTTTTTGTCATCCTCTTTTAATTGTCATCTATCGCTTTACAATCCAACCCTAGCACAATGAAAGGTTACGAGCCAGTCATATGTTTCTACACCTTTCTGCACATGGTCCATTACTTCGACAATTACTTCGTTTGGTAATGGCTGCGAACAGGTGAAATGAAGTAGATGACGAAAATCTACCCAGAAATTAAGTTTAAAGGGAGTAAAACCACATAAAGCTCTTCTCAAATCTTTTGTTAGCCGCCATCAATCCCTCGTTCTTCAATATTTTCCCCATATCACCATCGTTTTCAACCACAATCCCACCCCGCTTCTGGACACTGTGTTCATACTGCACACACGCCAGAACCATGGTCAAAGGTCCACCCACTGTGAAAAACTACTTGCTACAACTCTTCACCAGTCGCTCATTATGAGAATATTAAGCTTACTCTGCTTCCTTGCAGCAGTATCTGCTGCAATTGTGGGTGTTGATCTCGGTCACCAGAACACAAAAGCCATCATGGCTGCGCCAGGTATTTCGTTTGAGATCGTCTTTACTGACGAAGGCAAAAGAAAGGACTTCTCTGCCATTTCCTTGAAACCGAAGATCAAGGATGGAGTATTGGATAATGCAGAAAGAGTTTACGGCTCGCAGATAGGGTCGCTCTGCTCTAGATTCCCAGAATCTTGTGCTGCCAACATAAAGGCTCTCTTGGGTAAAACCATTGACGATCCTGCCGTGAGAGACTACTACGCCAGCCACTTTGGCGTGTCATTGGCGGGTGACTCCGACAGAAAGAGCTCTGTCGTGTTTGAATTCGGTTCTGACTCGGACAAGTCATCATTTTCTGTCGAGGAGCTTACCGCAATGTACTTGAACCACTTGAAGGAGCGTGTGCTCAAGGTGTTGTCCAATCAACGTCGTGCTAAGGTAATTGCCGAGGATATCACCGTTTCCATAGGTCCATACGCATCCCAGCACGTCAGACTTGCGTACTTGGAGGCCCTTCAATTGTCTAACTTCTCGTCTGTATTAGGCTTGGTAGATGAAGGTACTGCGGTGGCTTTGAGTTACCTCACGGACAAGAAGCTTACCGAGGAGGAATACGACGGCAACACCATTTACGAGGTTATTTATGATGTTGGTGCTGGATCCACCACTGCCACCTTGTTCTCGTACACCCCACAAAAGAATGGCCGGACTGTGTTAGATATTCAGTCTGTGGGCTTTGACGAAGGCTTTGGTGGTGAATTCTTGACTCGCTCTGTTTACGATATTCTCTACGCCAAGTTTGCTCAACAATTTGGCGTGGATGATGAATTCCAATTGCCTCCTAAGTTGGCTACCAGATTGCTCGCTACAGCGGAGAAGGCTAAGACCATTTTGTCGGCCAATTCAGACTACAGAGTATCATTGGAGTCATTTTACAACGACGAGGATTTCAAGGCTTCGATTACCAGGGAAGAATTTGAATCTTACAACTTTGACGTGGTCGAGCGTGCCATAAAGCCAATTCTCGACGCCTTGGAAAACGCCCATGATGGTCCAAAGACTGTCGCCGATATCAAGTCTGTGATTTTAAACGGTGGAGCTACCAGAACTCCATTCATCCAGAAGCAATTGGTGGCATTGTTAGGCAGTGAGGAGAAGATTGCCAAGGTCGTCAACACCGACGAGGCCTGTGCTTTGGGAACGTCCTTCAGAGCTTACCAATTAAAGGCTATCAACTCTGAAAGTGAGGTTATGGTCAAGGACCGTATTTTCAGCAACTTCGAAGTTGGTGTCAACGACCCTGATACTCCTACCGTTATATTCCCCAAGGGTTCTGTTGCCGCAAATGAAACCGAGATTTCGTTGGGTCCAATCACTGAGGACTCCATTGAGATCGGTTTGTACGAGAATGGTGTTTTGTTCAAATCTTTCCCTATTTCTGGTCTCACCAAGAAGGCCCTGTCATTGAAGTGTGCCAAGAATGAGTCCGAACTCTTCGCTACTTTCTCCGTTGATCACAGTAAGGTGTTCCACTTGGATAACTTGGCTGTCAAGTGTACTGAGAGTGAATCTTCTGGGGAATCAGAGGAGAGCACATCTTCAGCTTCTAACTCCACGGCCAAGAAGACCAAGGCCAAATTGCCTGCCAGGGTCCCAATTCCTTCTGCTAAGTACGCTTCCATCAGACCTTTCACCTCCCCAGAAAGACAGACTATAATCAAGAAGTTGGACTTGTTGAAGCAGAGAGATAATGAGAAAGTAGTATTTGAAGAGCACAAGAATCAATTGGAAAGCGAGTGTTACCAGTTACGTTCATACATCGAGGACAACCTTGAAACCCTTCTCTCCGAGCTTCAGGAGGAAAATGTTGAGGCTATTAAGGAACTTGCATCTGAAACTGTGGAATGGTTGGAATACGACTCTGATGCATCTTTGCTTGACGAGGTTAAAGAAAAGCATGCCTCAATTAAGAAACACAAGAAGGATATGGAAAATGTGATCAAGATGCTTGAGGCCGACTTGTCTTTGCCAGCACTTGAAGGATTGCTCGACGAAGGTAATGAGGTTGCCAATACCATCCAGGATTACTTGTTAGAGTATGGTAAGCAAATCAGCTTGTTGAGAGACAAGTATAAAGAAGATGGCTTCGACTTTGACAAGGAGAATGAGAAGATCATGAAGCAGATTTATGGATCTCAGAAGTCGGAGGCATTCAAGTTGGATGCACATTTCTCGACTTTTAAGGAGGGATTGAAGAATCTCTCGGAATTGGTCGCCATTCCAAAGTCCAAGTTCGAAAAGATCCCACGAAATGATGTGTTTGCTACCTCTAATATCATCAGTACGTTGTTGATGGAAATGATGGAGGATATTGTCACATTACAGGCCAACCACGAAAAGAGGGTCAACTATTTGTTGGACCAACATGAGAAATTGCTGGTGAGAAGAAACCAGAGGGAAGCCAGAAAAAAGATGAAAGAGGCCGAAAAGGCTGAGGCTGAGAAAGCCAGGGCCGAGGCTGAGAAAGAGAAAGCCGAGAAGGATGTCGAGTCTGAAACCCCAGAGGCACCAGTTGTTGAGGACATTCCAAGTGAGTCTTCCTTCGCTGAGACCGTGGAACTGAGCTCTACGCCTTCTGGCGAGTCAAGCACTTCTGAGGAGGTTGCTCACGATGAATTGTAACGAATATTGGTCCATAAAATAAGCTTATCAGTTCCGAGTTAGGGCTGCTAATATAACTAGATTATTAATTTCACTGTAATCATTTGAGTTCTCAGGATTGGAAATGGAGGTGCGAAAGTGCACCTAAGAGTATAGAGCGAAAAGCATCGCAAGTATCATCATTTCTCCACAAATTCATGAGTTACAATCGAGATTCTTATGGGCAATCCCGAGGAGACGATCCTTACTCCGGCAATTATGTTGCCAGGTCTGGTAGATACGAAGCACGAGACGGAGATCCCAGAGATCGAAACCCAAGAGTAAGAGACCAAAGAGTAAGAGACCAAAGAGTAAGAGACTCCAGAGACAGAGATCCTCGAGACAGAGATCCTCGAGACAGGGCAAGAGATACAAGAGGGCCAGATCCAAGGGCCAGAAGAGACAACAGATACGACGGTTATAGAGATGGATATGACAGCAGAGAAAATAAGGGACGGTACAATGGATCTAGAGCCCGCTATGATGATAGAAGCTCGTATAACCGAGCTGACCATGGACGAGAGCGAAGACCCAAGACTCAAGAAGCGCCAGTGGATCCAGATGCTGGTCTTTCTAAGGATGAAATAATCACCAAGTACGAGAACAGACTTATAGGGCTTCTAAAATATCCTGCCATCGAAGTGTTTCCTGTGGCCAGCTCTCAGTGGGGTAGTAAGCCGAAAGGCTTTGAAACTGTTACAGCTCAAAGAGCCAAGTTGTCGGGATTGTTCCCATTGCCTGGAGCTCCACGACCCATCGACTTAACTAAAGTCGAGGGATCTCTACAGGATGGAATGACAGAGACGGGCGTTCTTCTAGGGGCGTCCAAGATAGACCCTGCCGACTCGAGAAACTCATGCATTATCATTGCAAAAGATATTGATTTTCTGCAAGTAGATCACATGAAGGTGGCCGAATACTTCAATAGATTTCTCTGTTCGGTGGATCTCAAGGGAACTGCACTAGACAACAACATCGAGAAAAAAAGAAAGAACAGAGACAACCAAAATATGATCATTGAGTTCAAGAACAATACTTGTGCAACATTGGCATTGGCATTGGACGGCAAGAAAATATCTGGTGCAGAAGTTTGTATCAATGAGGGAAGTGTACCCGAAGATATCACGTTGAAGTTAGAGAGACCTGGCGAATACGTGGTACAATGTCTTCCACCATACGACTCCGAATCTGATGTACTCGACGAAGTCAAAGATAGCCCAAGAAAGATCACGATTTTCGTCGATAAATCTGCCACTGAAACTGCATTGACTGATGCACTCTCTTCAGTAGCCAAGTTAAGAGCGTTTCAATTATTGAGAGAAGTCGGCACAAAAGATCTGACAGGCATCGCATATGTTGAGTACTTTGTTGACCCCAAGCGATACCCAAACACAAAAAGTGCGTTGAAATTGATTTCAGACTACGTGGATGAAACGAAGGAATTGGAGTTGGTCAAGGACGTCAGGTTCTCCTGTGTGAAGATCTCCTCCGACAAGGGTATCGAAACCAGCATCCAAGACTGTCCAATTGACTTCAAGACCCTTCGAGCACTTGTCAGGAACGAGTATGTTCCCTTCCATCCAAAGCTGAGAGTGATCCAACTAATCAATGCTGTCACCGCTACAGACTTGAGCAACGACGAAACATACAATTTCGTGAAACAGGATATCCTTGAGGAAGCCAAGGAGTTTGGAGCTGTGGTGTCGTGGAAAATGCCTAAGCCTCCTAAAGATTTTGTTCCTGGGTTGCAACAGTTTAACCAGCCAGGACTAGGGAAGGTTTATCTTGAATTTGAAGATGAGAAGATTGCCCTCAGTGCTCTCATGGGACTAGCGGGCCGTTCCTACAATGATCGAACCGTTCTTTGTGCATTCTACAGCCGTGACGATTACTTACAAGGATTGTTATGATCAGAGATTGTTTTGAGTAAGGAACTGCTTCAATTGGGAATCGACGTTCCTGTCATAACCATGTCTGACAATGAGATCATAGAGCTGCTTCGGTAGTTCAGGGATAAAACTGAGACTGAGCTTAATGATGTCGTTCTCCTCCAAGTCTGGGAAGTTTCTCAATAGCTTCATTGGTTGTGGTGAATTTAAAAGAGTCGACCTGTTGATGATCAATTGGGCCACAATGAACAAGATGTTCATATGTGTGCCATATGCAAATAGGAAATCCCATAGCTTCAACAACGATTTCAATGGCGGCGTACATGCGGACAATGTCAACACTGAAGGAAACGCATAGATTTCAGCCTTCAAAAACTTTGAGTCAAGATACGAACTGAGAACTGGATCGATGATCTTCAATACAATATCCACAAGACTTAGCCCTGTATGGACGCCGTCCAAGTTCGGGGTTATATAGAGAGGAATCTGGTGGGTAACGATGTGGTGAAGTAGTGCAAAGGCTTGGGGCTCACTCTTATGGCACACATACGCGATTGGTGCCAAAAGAACGTTCATTCCCTGAACATATCCGACCTTGTTTTTCGTAGATACAGCCACGGCAGCAAGGATTCTCATCAACGCTTGTTCGCTGACTTTGGAGTGGAACTGTCTATCGTTCATGAGTGTTCTGAAGGTATCGTTCTTAATCTTCTGGTACAACTCTGGAGCAAGCGAGCCAGTCGCATTGGAGATGATCTTGTTGTATTTGTGAACAGGAAATACCGGGACCTTGCACAAGATGGACCATACGTATGATCTATATGGACACTGTTCGTAGCCGTCTGGAGTGGAAAGACCCTCGATGAGAATCATGTAACGCAACTGCGAGAGGCCATTTTCGACAATAATCTGAGGCAGCTCGATGAACTGCTCGATGGAGTCTTTTTTTCTGCCTTTGGCGTCCATTGTGGAGAAAAGTGTCAGATCAAAACAGCTTACCTGTATGTGTGTTGACCTTACCACGATAATATAGACAAAAAGGGAAAAGTGGAAGGAACGGGAAAACTTGAAAAAAATGAAACATCGAAACTGAAAATAAAAAATATAGGACAAGAATAAAAGTAGAGCCAGTGGTCTCTAGAGTTTTTTTACTACACCAATCAAATGATTCTTCCCTTCAGTCCAGTCCATTCACTACCGCCTATCAACTGGGCCTGCACTCTACTCTCACCATCTCATCAATCACCAATTTTCCCATTTTTCTCTACTCCTCCACCATGGCCCCCACGGAAATTAAGGGCTTTCATGTCCTCAAAGTGAGGCTACCGGAGAGTAACGGTTCACATTATGTGTACTTTCGCAAGCACGAGGTCAAGCCGGGCCAAACTCCTGCTGCACTTAACTTGTCTGGCAGACTGATGTTCTTATTCAATATCCCCATCGAAACAGACTTCGCCACTTTGAAAAAATACTTCCAGCAAGTTGCTATTGGTGCCACCATGGAGGGTTATATTCCTAGTGCGCTCACAGACTCTGAGGAAGACGCCTATGTGGACCTTACCAAGTTGACGTCTGACTTGGAGTATCTGAGCGATGCGAATGTGATGGAGGTGGCACTGAAGTTGCCCAAGTTGTGTGGCATCGTCACTTTTGTTGACAAGGCTGCATTGCAACTTGCATTCAATTCATTGAAGAAGTTGTCAGGCGATTCCAAGAGTACCAACTGGCCACTCCAGACTCTTGGAACTACGTTCTTGCGCAACAAATACAGGGAACAGATTTACGACACCAAGAAGTTTTCGGACTCAGTGGCTGCCGCCCTTGCAGATTTTAACAGAGCGGAGCAGGAGTCCAAGGAAGAATTACAGAAACTGACGCAAATTGTCGATGAGGATGGTTTCACCTTGGTTGTTGGATCTCATAGAAAGACAAAGGCAGGTATTTTAGGTAAACAGAAGTTTGCTGCAACTGTCGAAAGCGAGAAGGCTGCTAAGAAGATGAAGAAGAAGGAGAAGGAGGATTTCTACCGCTTCCAGTTGAGAGAAAAGAAGAAGGCCGAGATGAACGACTTATTACGCAAGTTCAAGCATGACCAGGAGAGAGTGCGTATCATGAAGGAGAAGAAGAGATTCAGACCTTACTAGGTTGTATTATAGAAGCATAATTAACGGTAATCAGTATAGCAAAGTAGGGTGGTAATATCCTGTATAGTCTAACTCACATACAACCACTTTAAAGTGTGATTATTCCATAAATACCTTCATCATATGACTTCTATATCCAATGTTACCTACGACATGTTCGTAGATCGAACAGGAACTAGGGATCAGTTTGAAATTGACCCAGATGCTTTCGAGATCTTATCGACTGTCAGATATGACCCTGGTCTCACTAAAGAGTCACCTACATCTATCGATAAGGTGACCAAGCAGAACTTCTTCCTTCTCCCCGAGCATGTGGAGAGATTGAAATACTCGGCCAGCTTCTTTATTGAAGCAGCCAAACTGAATAATCCTCATTTTGAGCATTCTGTGTTCGATATCAATGAAACTTTCATATACAAGAAGATCCTCCAGGCACTCGAGGAATCAGGCATCTCGTTGGATCAGCCGCTCAAAATCAGACTTCTTTTGTCTCTTAACGGGGAGATGAAGGTGGAATTGTACCTGACGCCTGCTCGAAATGATCTATTGGATGGGTTATCTGATGAGTATCCAGAAAGCGAGAAATACGACGTCTACGTGGACAAGACACCAGTGTTGCCTTCTCCATTCACGTCTTTTAAAACGACTTCCAGAAAGGTATATTCGGACGCTCGTAGTCGGGCTTTACCAGGAAAGCTGGCCAAGGAAGAAGTGATTCTCGTTAATACTTTAGGAGAAGTCACTGAAGGGTCCGTCACAAATATTGCTGTCTTAGATAAGGAAGGCACATGGGTGACTCCGCAACTCACATCAGGATGTTTGTGTGGAGTGACTCGCTACATGCTCTTGAAAAAGAACCTAATGAAGGAAGGTAAGGTCTCTCTAGACGATCTCATAGAGGGTCAGGATGTATTACTACTGAACGGCATCTTGGGAGTTGTGAGAGGAACTATTAAAGGGTTTGTAAACTAAATTTCGATGAACAGTGAGAGATTCTAAATTATTATGTAAACACTTCTAAACGTAGCAGAATATTCAGCCAGCTAGCGGAGAAGAGCATTGATCTGGCTGTCACTGTAGCCCATAATGTACAAGATATCCTGCAAGGATGTGGTGTTCAAGCAGCATGGGGCCTCTTTCTGAACCTTTGGCTTAGCGTTCCATGCCACACCCCAGCCTCCGGTGCTCATCATCTTCAAGTCGTTGGCACCGTCGCCCACGGCCACCGCATCCTGTGGGTCGATGCCATGCTTTGCAGCGATTTCAAGCAAAAGCTCGGCCTTCTTCTCTCCATTCACAATGTAACCAATGGTGGTTCCATCAAGCTTGTTCTCGCTGTCGACACCCAAAGTATTAGCATAAGCGTAGTCGAGACCAAGCACATCCTTCACATGTGAAGCCAAAGGAATGAAACCTCCAGAGCAGACACCCATCACGACATCCAACTTCTTCAAAACTTTGCAGAGCTCCTTGGCTCCATTGGTGATTTGGATCTTCTCTTTCAATTCGTCCCAGAGCGTAGTAGCATCGATACCCTTCAACAAAAGCACACGCTCACGCAAAGACGCATTGAAGTCCAACTCCCCGTTCATGGCTCTCTCGGTGATCTCTGCAACTTTATCCTCGATGTCTGCGTAAGCTGCAATCAACTCGATCACTTCCTGGTATATGAGCGTTGAGTCCATGTCGAAGATGAACAACTTTTTGCTCTTTCTCAGCCGCAACTCTTGGAAAATGACATCGTAAGGAGGGTTAGAAGCTTCCTTTTCTTTTTGGATTAAAGACTTGACGACGTCAGGAACATCGGTGCTAACAGTGAAGTCGATGACTCTGTTGGGCGAGAGTTCAGACTTGGAGATGACTTCCAAGGTGAGTCTGGAAGCCACAAAACGGTCGATAGTGTTCTGGTTGTCAGCACTCAACGAGTCGCCATGAGCGATAAAGGTCAACGAGTATTCTGCCATCGGAGGATATCGTAAGTGGGCTGGTGGTAATGAGTCAATAGATGCGCACTTGACTCGTGCACTAAGATAGTGGAAATTAGAAAATTGGGTAACAACAGCTTTAGACGTGAAGATGATAAAAATAAATATTCATTCTTATTCTATTACTCTCAAGACTGACATCATTGAATGTCATAATTGTAGTGTTCTATTTTCATAAGTATATATGGATACCATATGTCAATGAAATGTAGTATGCTGATTATCTATACTATGTGGAGTCTCTTCAAATCATATTCACTCAACCCAATTTCCTTACCTAACCTCTCGAAATTCGCATAGAATACTTCCAGCTTCTTTTCGGCCAACTCGTTCATGGACTTCCAGTACACATCGTGCACGTACTCAAAGTCTAACATGCCATTGAACTCCTTGTCAAGCTGTTCCTTAGGAACAAAATTCTCGAATGGTTGGTCGTAGATAGTTTTCAGACGCGTGTAAGGGTCAATGAATGGGCCCACAACCTTGAAAAAAGTGTAGCCAATCCACGGAATATTGGTGAACAAGCCTCTACCCAATCTCTCCGGATAATGGTTCTGTAAAATGTGTAGGACTTGCTTGGAGATACTGAGCGAGGGAAACTTTGAAGATAGATTCATACTGGCGGGCGCAGCCTTGAAGTCGATCAATAACGCAAGCGTATCCTGGCCCGGAGGCATGTATTGGATGACTCTCTCGAGCATGAAGACCAAATGCTGCACCTGTCTGATGGAGGCCGATGTGTTTTGGTAGCCGTTTCTCAAATATAAACAAGGTCTGTTGTCGTTGTCGTATCCAACAATTAAGTTCTTTCCCGTGACATTCTCGGGCTCCACGAGGTCTGCCGTGACCTTCTTCTTTGGATCTGTGTGTCCCGGGATTTCAATCACACCGAACGTCCGTCTCCACACTATCGTCTCCTCAATACGCTTTATGGCAGCTTCAACCTTCCACTTGGTGGCTCTCAAGTAGCGCAAAAAGCACTCTTTGGTCATCCAGGCCTTCTCCTCATCGGTAATGGGATGTGTGGGAGCGTTATGCGAGTCATTGACTGGAATCTCGTTTAGAATATACTGTTGGAAGTGCTTCAACACCTGCTGATATTTGGCCTCCTGCTCCTCAGACAAGTCGAAGTCTGGCTCTTTAATAGGGTTGACTGGGTGTTCAAAAGGTGTTTGTCTCTTGATTAGACCCTTCTTGGAACTGCTCATGGACATCGCCGTGGACTTCGACGAGAGCGACTCAGTGTCCACGTCGGTGGTTGCTTCCGATTCGGGTTTTCTTTTGAAAATAGCCATAACGATTTCAAATGCGAGAGAAGCAGCGAAGCACTGAAGAAGAGAAGAAAACAAGAGAAATGTGTACAGGTAGAATACCGGAAGTACTTCGTGCCGAACCGACATGTTGAATAAGTCAGCAAGCCAAATGATAAGGAAAAAAAAAAAATCCAAGACAGAAAGTTACAACAACATTCCGGAAAATATTTCTGGTTGGAAGAATGTCATTATCGTCAACGAAAGTGTAATCATCAGGTCATTTTCAGGGTTGTTCCCACTCACTGTTCGCGTTGGCGCAGATAAGCAATGGAGATAAACAACTACGTGTTTTTCTCGACAAATCTAGTAAATGACCTTGAAAATGTTTTGACACGACGTAGTTTGATCTATGGTTGGATTTTGTTTTTCTTTCTTCTCGTCGTTTTTCTCCTCTTTCGTCTCTCTTCAAAAACCAGGTGTCTAACACCCACTTCTTTACCTGCACTCACAGTCAGTCAAATCCACTTACTCCATTTAGTAAAATGACAGTGGAGTTGCAGACCTCCTCCGCCAAGGAGTCTCCGGTGAACATTGACAGCTTGCAGAAGCTCATAAGTGAGGAGCTGGCAAAGTTGGATGAGCCAAAAACCTTCATTGAAGACGTGGCTGCTGCATTACAAACCAAGAGCTCCAAGCACAAGTTCATAGTGCTGGTAACAGAAGTCCATGCCAACGAGTCAATCAATGAGAACTTGAAGATCAAGGTATCGGTAGGAACAGTGTGGGATGGCGATAAGGACGGCTACCACCACTTTAAGGTGGCTGCGGCCTCCACTTTCATGGTCACAGTGTACTGGGTATACGTTGGTTAATGCTTGTTGCTTTTGAGCTTGCCGGAATTAAGCTTGGAATAAATGGAATCCAATTGATCACAGAGATCAAGTAATTTCTTCGTTGGCACATTGCTGGCGTTGATTTGCCGATCGAGGTCCTGTAGAATCTGTAGCACATCAGAATCAGTATTCGGATTGAAGCTCTTATTCAGAGTCAGAGAAGGTTTGTTCAGAAACGAAATGTCTTCCAATGGAGCGCCAGAAGCCTCTAAGTGTAACTCGGCCATTTTAGCCTGTTTTTCCTGTGCATGTTCTGCTTGAAGTGCCGAGGTGCTCTTCTTGAAGTCCTGGAGGTACTTGGCATCCAGCTCGTACATTGCCTTGAGATTTTTATGAAAAGTCTCGAGACTTTTGAGCTGTTCCAATTCGGCCAGCAAATATGACTCGCTGACCTTCTTCTGTCGAATCACCAGGTCAATATTGAGAGAATCCTGGCTGTTGGTCTTGACTCCTTTCATGCGAACTTGCAATGACTTGAGTGGAGGCAATTTGGTCATCTGTAGACGAGCCAAGAACGACCTTGGATGCCGAGTGCTAAGCCAACTATTCAGGATCACTCGTTGTGTCTCTTCAACCTTGGTGTGAGGATTAGCCAACCCATCGTACCTCTCAAGGACCTTGTTAAGCGAGATATTACATAGGTTTTCAAACGAGTGGAAAGCTTCATTATCCAACGGCATCCAGAACTTGTCAATCACCTTAGCTGCTACTCTTCGACGAATTTTCTCTTCCTTCACTCCAGCAGGATTTTCTGGGTCATAGCTAGGACTTTTCGACATTTGAACACCAGAAGTTTCACTCACAAGTTCAGTATGATTATTTGTCCTCTTTACAGCTCTATTAGTATCTAAGAGCCCGCCAGCTGGTCGTTTATGTGTCTCTTCTGGTTGTGGAGTGCCCTGCGCCAGTTCAGAGTATGTCGATGCGGCTTCATCGTCATAGAAGTCGGTATCTGGAGTCTGCTCACGTGAAAGGGTAAGGTCTGGGATATTTTGTTGGTCTAGGGCAATCTCCGATCTGATCTCGAGGCCTGGCAATGGACTTTCTGAATATTCCAAATCATCGAGGTCTGCATTCTGCTCTTTTGAGTCATTTAGTAGGTCATTCGATCTTTCCTCGTGGTGAGGTGGTGATTGATCATTCATTTCAGGATTTATAGTATCCGCATTTAGTTTTTTGGTCTCCTTATTGAGATCCTCTACTGATTTATCCCCATCCAGCATGTTTATGTTAGTACTAAATCGCGTACACTGTGGTATATAGAGTATCACCAAAATTCAGCCAAAATAGATCCTACTTAAACTTTTGCACTAACCGAAAAAGAGAAGTTGTATAAAATTACACAATGTCTGTCTATAAGTATTCCATTATCCCTAGATGAGCTCGTCGGTTTTAATAAGCTGCAACAATTGGCTTTCTGCCATATCCACCATCTCCTCAAATGTGCGTGTCTTCAAACCATACCTAACACAGAAGTAGTGACTGAGATGGGTTTCCATCAACGACACGTGCGAGAGATCCAAGTCGTTGAACACCCGTTTAAACGGAGGTTTGGCTGTGTCTGACCGTTTTGGGATCTCCATCGGGATCTCCTCGGATGGTTTGTTAATCAAGGCTTCCTTCTTAAGTGCGAAGATCTTGAAAAGCCTACTCTCCATCGGAGACACATTTTCCAAATCCTCCTCATGTTTTCCAGTCAACAAGTTGTCGTAGATCCAGTTACAGTATTCATCCGTCTGCTCGTCTGAAAGATCCAAAAGCGTCTTCGGGTCCATGCAGTGGTTACGGTCTTCGAAACATGGAAGTCTGGCACCTTGATTCTGGAGCCACGAGAGCCACAGGTCGAAGTCCACCACTGTGGGTGAGCCTACAAAGTAGATCTTGATGATCAAATACATCATGCCAAGGTACTTTCCATCGGGTAGTCCCGAAGGGCCCGATATTTTTAGAGCCAGAAGGGTAGGAGAGGTTCTGGACACAATCCTATGGAATACTACCATGAGCTTTGGAGCATCGAGTTCTAAATCGGCAAAAAGCGAAAAGACATTTGGATAGAAATATTCCACGGAGATATTCCAGAACTTCGCAGGTGCAACCATGGTAGCCATCTTGGCAACGTATTTGTAAAACGCATCATCTAGTGGAATAGCACTATTGGTGAGCAGGGCCATAGTCGCCAGCGACAAGAGCAACTGCATGTCTTTTGGAAGCATCTGCAAGGCATTGATGTACGGGACCTTGTTTTCTCTCAAGATTACTAACATATCGTCCACGTAAACGGGGTAAGTGTTTAACAGCCTGATGGCCAAGAAGATAAGAGGATATAAGTCTGCCAAACGGACTCCAGCACCAGCAAGCACTTTTTCCATACAACGCACCCACATTAACTTGACTACAACCGTCAAATCTCTTTTAAATTTGTCCTTTCGACGTTGCTCCATATCTGGATAGAGGAGGTCTACGACCTTAGGTGTAACAGTCTTCAAGACATACTGAAGACACCGCAAAAGATGGATCTTGCCTGAGCGACCATAGAGACGTTTTGTGTTCGTGGATCTTGCCTTTTCAGTGGCTTGTGATGCGCTGGCACCAAACCCAGTGTCTGTCAACAGAATGTTGAGACGTCTAGTTTGAACGTATTGTTCACCGTCATCATCATCGAACTCGAAGTTTCCCTCCATGACATGGCCAAATTGGCAGAACTTGCGGCCGGCGCTCAGACGGTATAGCCTGGACCGGCAGTTATCCACGCCACAGACGGGACCTCGTAGCCAAGTTTGAGACATGAAGAAGAGGTGAAGAGGTGAAGAGGTGAAGAGTATGAAGAGGTGTGCAGGCGAAAGAGCAGTGAGAATAGCGAAAAGCGATAGTTAGGAAGGTGGTGAGAGGATAAATAAAAATCAGAATGTTTAAATAAAGATAAAAATAAGAGGAGGAAACGGAGAAAGTAGTGGATAAGGCGGCGGTTGAGACAAACGTAATGGAAATTGATAATCTTCTCGATTCTCATAATCTCTCAAATTTTGTATGAAACCACCATAGAATAGAAATGACATGATCCATTATCATTTGATAAAAAAGAAAATATAAACTGAAACGGAAAAAAAAATACATTAACTTGGCTTAGAAATTATGATAATCTCTCGTTCATTGAGCAAAAGGCTACCAATGGAGCTTTTAGAAAGTATGAAATATTCTAATGACAATACTCTAGTCATCGCAATATGAATGCATAAGGAACCTTCATTGGCATTGTCAATATCCACTACTCAACCACTCAATATCCACAACCCAATATCTAGTATCCACTACCCAATATCCATATCCAGTAACCATATCCAGAACCCCCAATTGCCAACGGTGAAATTCCCAATCGGGCCCCCCTGAGTCAGATCAGACCCGGAATGTCCCTCGGAGACACCGATTAAACATAGATATGGAATCCGACCTCGGTGACCCCACAATGCGGTCATGTCCGACTTCCATACACGAACAGAAAAAAATAACTGTCAAGGAAGTATTTTATGTACAATGGTGGAAGATAAAAAAAAGAACCACCTTATGATTTCTCATCACTCAAATCCGTTCTCTAATCACCTAGATCACTGTCCATCTATCATATCGTCATTTCTTTTTTCACCCTCTTTCCCTGGATCCGAATGTTCCCTTCGTCGAATTTCAATTTCTCTATTAACTCCGGCATCTAGACGGCACCCAGGCATGGGCCGTTGGGGCAAACTCCGGTGGAGCTGGTGGAGTCGGTGCGGGTCAGCCTCTGTGTAGAGAGGTGGTCTAAAACTGCGTAGTGGCCGTCCTACGTGGAGGTTCGCTGTGCCAACATGCCTCGGCGATAGTACCCAATGAAACCCATCAGCGATAGGGGCAGGCTTGGGGTTAACAGGCATTTGGTTGGGGTTAGGGCTTAGGTTATGATTGTTTGGCGGATTATATTTTTTTCTTATTGTTTTGGTTTTCATGAGTAAATCGTGTCAGATGTTTGGATTGACATTATTGGCCTAAAATTTTAATCTGACTAAGCATTCTGACATCATAGAACAAACACTATAGACATTGCTGGGTCCGCGTTAATGTTGTCGCGGGGGCACCAAACCAACTAATCAACCGCAACCCTGACGCCGAACTCCGAAACATCCGTTTGACAATCCTTCAAAATCATTAAGTCATTCACCGCCAAAAAGTTTATCAAAATCATCCCACCGCCCCAACTATCACCGTTCCGGTCTCCCATTCTCGACTACCCCAAACCTTCCTGACTAACACTCGGTCTTAGGTTCCGATGATGTTATCCTGCATTCAGTCGAGTACTTCACTAGGAGGGGTTAAGCGCAACTTCCCCACAAGACGAAATTTGCCTATAAATATGGCCTCAATTCCCCCTCTATCTGGTAGTTCAACACTGCTCTTGCACATCCAACCATGCTTAGATCCAAGATTTTCACCAGAGCACCAGTTGCCAGATCAATGGCTCCTGCCATGATCAGATTGTACTCGAACTTGCCATTGACAGTGCCAATCACCTTGCCTAACGGTACCACCTACGATCAACCAACTGGTTTGTTCATCAACAACGAGTTTGTGTTGCCAAAGCAGAAGAAGACCTTTGAGGTTATCTCTCCATCCACTGAGGAGGAGATTACCCACGTCTACGAAGCCAGAGAGGAGGATGTCGACACTGCCGTCCAGGCTGCTCAGGCTGCTTTCGATGGTGGCTGGCAGACTGCTGACCCAGCCGTCAGAGTGGCTGCTTTGAATAAGTTGGCTGACTTGGTCGAGGCTAACGCTGAAACCTTTGCCCACATTGAGGCTTTGGACAACGGTAAGTCCTTGCAAAACTCCAGAGGTGATGTTGCTCTCTCTGTTGCATGCTTCAGAAACGCCGCTGGTTGGGCTGACAAGATCATGGGCTCAGTCATTGAGACTGGAGATTCTCACTTCTCTTTCACCAGAAGAGAGCCTTTGGGTGTTTGTGGACAGATCATCCCATGGAACTTCCCATTGTTGATGTTCACTTGGAAGGTTGGTCCTGCTATTGCTACCAACAACACCATTGTTTTGAAGACCTCTGAGACCACCCCATTGTCTGCTTTGTTCCTTTGTAAGTTGATCCAGGAGAACAACGCTCTCCCACCAGGAGTGTTGAACGTCATTAACGGTTTCGGTAAGATCACTGGTAACGCCATCACTGAGCACCCAAGCATCAAGAAGGTTGCCTTCACTGGTTCCACTGCCACTGGTAAGCACATTATGTCTAAGTGTGCTGGTACTTTGAAGAAGGTCACTTTGGAATTGGGTGGAAAGTCTCCACACATTATTTTCAACGATGCTAACCTCGATGTTGCTGTCCAGAACGTTATCACCGGTATCTTCTACAACTCTGGTGAGGTCTGCTGCGCTGGTTCCCGTTTGTACGTCCAAGAGGAGATCTACGATGACTTTGTTGCCAAGTTTGTTTCTGCTGCTGGCCAGGTTAAGGTTGGTAACCCATTCGAGGAGGACACTATGCAAGGTGCTCAAAACTCTTGGAACCAGATGTCTAAGATTTTGGACTTCATTGAGTCTGGTAAGAAGGAGGGTGCTACTTTGTTGACTGGTGGTGAGAGACCAGATGGTAAGGGTTTCTTCATCAAGCCAACTGTGTTTGGTGATGTTACTGAGGATATGAGAATTGTCAAGGAGGAGATCTTCGGTCCAGTCATTACAGTTCACAAGTTCAAGACTGTTGACGATGCTGTCAAGTTGGCTAACGACTCCCAGTACGGTTTGGCTGCTGGTATCCAATCTTCTAACGTGAACACCTGTATTGATGTTTCCAGAAGACTCAAGGCTGGTACCATTTGGGTCAACACTTACAACGACTTCCACGCACAGGTTCCATTCGGAGGTTTCGGTGCTTCCGGTATGGGCAGAGAGATGGGTAAGGAGGTTTTGGACAACTACACCCAGACCAAGGCTGTCAGAATGGCCATTCTCAAGTAAACCAAAAGCTACGATTATGAATAAAATCTATGGTTCTGAACAGATGAGTAGAAGCAGTAGATAATGTTCGAGATTTTGAATCCCACTTTTTAAGCCTTATGGAATCGTACAATAGAATTGAGCAGACCGGTTTGTTAGTTAAGGCATAGGAATAAGAGGTGCGCTCTAGTTGTTTTCCTGTACATAGTGCCACATTTCCAACATCTCCATTACCACAACCGATAAAGCAAATAACAACAATTTTCGAAGTCAAAATAATATTAAAAGTACAAGGCAATAAGTTTAATCATTCAAACCCCATTGAATTCATAATTGTATCATTCTGCATAGAACCACCAATCCTTCCTACTCTCCATTATTGTCCACGTGACTCTGTGACTGCTTTTATCGTGGCCGCACACACCACCCGCCTGCAGGTAAACCCATTCCTCCCACCAGGAAACCAAAAAAGTTTTGAGAATTTTTTCATCACCTCGTCCTAATAACTTTCACCTATAATTACAAGATGGTATGTGTCCACCAACTTCCACAAAACATGAGCCATAGATACTCCGAATATCCCACTACAATCCCTGAATCTTTTTTTCCCCATCAAAATCACCCTTGGTGAAGATTTCCTTAATTTTGTTTTTCTACATATCCCATAGTTTAGGAATATTCGCCCATGTTCCATTGGCATATATACTAACTTATCAGAGTGACGCCGTTACTATCAGAACTAGAAAGGTTATCACCAACCCATTGTTGGCTAGAAGACAGTTTGTCGTTGACGTCTTGCACCCAAACAGAGCTAACGTCTCCAAGGATGAGTTGAGAGAGAAGTTGGCTGAGTTGTACAAGGCCGACAAGGACGCTGTTTCCGTTTTCGGTTTCAGAACCCAGTTCGGTGGAGGAAAGTCTACCGGTTTCGGTTTGGTTTACCAGTCCGTTGCTGACGCCAAGAAGTTCGAGCCAGCTTACAGATTGGTGAGATACGGTTTGGCTGAGAAGGTCGAGAAGGCTTCCAGACAGCAGAGAAAGCAGAAGAAGAACAGAGACAAGAAGATCTTCGGTACCCAGGCATCCCACGCCAAGAAGGTTGCCAAGAGAAACGCTGATTAGGCTCCTTAATCTTGATGACCCAAAAAGAATATTGTCGCTCGATAGTAATCCTGTGATTGTTGCGTATTATAGTATCATTGTGGTGTATTATTTCTTTTGGGATGCATACTATTTACCAATAAACATCAACCAATGTAAAGGCTGTAGATAATAGATATTATCGAGGTGACAAATGATTGACTAATGAGGTTCCATTATGAATGAGGTACCATAAAATAAATCAATTAAGTATAATATAGATCAACGATATACATGAATGAGTTCCGAAATGGTCCTCTTTTCATTAAAATGTTGTGTATGCTAATATGTATGGGTCAGATTGCTCTGTAATGCTAGTCTGAGATGCCTGTCTCATCGTCATTGATGTCATAGTGTTTGTCAAATGGATCCTGGCCCTGATCTGCTTGTGTCGATTCCTCATGTACTTCGTCACCTTCGTCGTTGTCCTCAGCATATGCGCCAATCCAGTAGCATGCCTCTGCCAACTCTTCCTTATTGTTTTCAACATATTCACTCACATCGGTCAAAGCGTCAAAATCTTGTCCGGTGATGATCTGGAATATATCCTTGAAGTACCGAATCAACGACTTGAGTCCACGGAGGTACCCCATATCTGGCAATTCTGGGTACTTGGGTGGTCGCGAGTAGTGAGAGTTGGATGCGTCCTCTCCGATCACGCTTTGTGCAAAGTCAATGATGTGGACACTGATGCCTCTGTCCTGCGACTGGTTGGCACCATCGTACATCAAAAGCACGGACGATCCGTACATTCGATACCCATTCAATTTTTCAAACGCACCGTAAAGTTCACGTAATTGCTTGATGATACTTGGAATCTTCACAACCACCGAGTATGCACTTGTGCCATCGTAGAGAAACTTTGCCAAAATTTTGGCAAACGGCATGCCGCTCCGCAAGCGTCTTCCGAAGTACTTATCACGCATGTAGTATCTTTGGTGTTTTTCGTCCCAAACCTGGAGTCCACACACACGGACTCCAAGTTCTCTGCTAGTGGTCTGCAGACATTTCTTCCTCTGGGAAGCCTGTTTACGATCATTAGCCTCAACTCCATATTGACGCGTGCCCATCTTTAAGTCCAAAGCACATGGTCTTTGCATGTCTGCTGTCAAGTCTTCGAGAAGTATGAAGCGTTCAAATCGGGTATGTTTGCGGAGAACAGGGGAGAGTTTTCCAGCGTGACAATCTTCGTGACCACGTTCTGTTTCTGTGGTCTCGTCACTGCCGGACCCTCTAATTGCCTCTTCATCATCCATTTCGAATATGTCATCAGACTTGCGGCCCTGTGGAACGAACACTTCTTGGATCACTTGGGCTTGCAAATCGGTGTTGACCGAAGTAGAGCCGATACTGAAATCATCATATTCGGCACTTTCGGTGTTTTGATCAGTGAGGTGCTTTGGAGACGAGCCCGAGAAATCTTCAAGGGCACTTGAGTTGGGTGCACTGTTGGAGTACTGCTTCCAAAGAAGATCAGGAATAATATGGCGATTGTCATCTAAGGAGACTTCAGGAGGACGGCCATCCTCAGGAAGACGGACCCTACTATGAGGTTTGTTGTAATCTGGGAGTGATGGTCTGCGAGTGATTGTCAGCTTTTTATCGAATGCATCGGACGTTGGACCTAAGTTGGGAGACAAGGATTCCTCCGACACCAAAGACGAGTAGCGAACGTTTAACACGCCGATATACTTGGGCATGAACTTAATGAGTTCTAAATGCTTACGTTCCACAGCCTCGTACCAGTGATTTTCTCTGTTCATCAATGCTTTGCAAACAGCCTTTTTGCTAAAACGGAAAATGGCGGTGTGTCCGCCCACCTTGTTCTTGAATGGCCGAAGTTCTACGGTTAACGGATATGCTTCGTTGGCCACGGAATCAGCGGTTGGAGCTGGTTGGGTGTGGAATGTCACATGGCTGTTTTCAGGCTTTGCCTCGTCCTTATGCATTTTGATTTTAGTGATGCCACCATGGGAGCTATGGTCAAATTCCAAGTCGGCCATGAGGTGCTGGAGCGTTGTATCTGTGTTGTCATCTACGACGGTTGGATGATCGTCTTTAACAGGAGTATGGGGAAAGTAAGTGGCCAGCGACACAGGCTCGAGCATAGGACGATGTGCGTCTGCTCTTTCGCTATCTGGTGTCGAGACCGAAGACAGACGGTCGGTGATAGCAGAAATGGCGGCGGCGGCCATGGGCAGCACGCTATTCTTCACAGATGGCGATGTTTTGAGCGGAGCCAATTCTCTAGCGGCCGCAGCGACGGAGTCGTCGGCAGACGTCTTATTCACATCATCCTGACCATCAAGATCCACAAGCGGATCCAGCGATCTGGCGTCGCCTCGGAAGAGACGAAGAGACCTGGCAGCTTTTCGACCAGTGACCTTTGGCACATCGGCATCTAGAGGGGTGTTGTTTACATGCTCCATGGTGCAAGTAAGTCAGAAAGGTAGAAAGAGAGTGGCATAAGATGGACCAAACGGGGCGGAGCTGTCGTGTGTACCGATATTGGGGGGTGGGGAGCAGTAGTTCGGTGAGTTGGATGGAATCTCCAAGTGGAGGTTTTCGTTTTCGTAGAGGAGCGATGGATTGTGCACAGGCTCAGGTTCAATAGTGATGAAGAGGACCACGATGGAGAAGGGAAATCTAATAAAAAAAAAAAAGTAATCCGTTTGACAAGGACGATGAAATGAAGTAGAATCGGTGAAAGGTAGAAATCTCGTCTTTTGTTTTTTTCCTCAAGTTCTGGTTGCTCTGGCACGTTTATCCGGAACGTGGGCCATGTGGGCACGGACAAGGTTGCGGACAGTGAGAGAAAATATGGGGAGAGGCAGAATTAGATAGGAAATTCGGAGAGTATTTGGAATGTCTTGGCCATTGTAGGATTCATTGAATATGAGAAATTTGAACATGTCGAATAATTATAATTCAAAGACTTTGACCTTTTACATTTGGAATTTTCACCCATTTTTCAAAATGTATGGTCCCCCACTGTCTAGCAGTCCTCTTATCGTGCACATCGCAACCTACATATGGCTTTTCTGATGTTATCTACATGATGAAGTGGTATCTCGTGGGGCAGCTGTGGTGGCTAGTGTGGAGTCTAGTATGGGGTATCGTGGCATGTCAAGAATCCCACTTTGTCAATGGGTCTGTTTTTATGTGGGACTGGAGTGTTCTGCAGCATGACACTATTGCACTTCTCGCATTGTTCGTGGAAGACCAAACTCGTCAGGCTGAGGAGTCTAACACGGAATTCATGGTGGTGGTGGATAAGCGAGACGAAAAAGTGGAATCTTCAAACGAGAATGCCACGTTCTTGGTCTTGTGCCGCAACAATGAAGTCTACGACCTCTTGGAAACCATCCAGAGCATCCAAGACAGGTACAACCATCAATACCATCACGATTGGGTGTTTCTAAACGACAAAACGTTCCTGGACCAGTTGGTGGTATTAGTGAGTCTGTACATTCCATATGGCCGGCTCAGCTTTGGCCAAGTGCCGAAAAACCATTGGCTGTATCCACCATTCATAGACCAGCGAGTCGCAAGTGCGAAAAGGGAAGAGTTCCGAAGTAAAGACGTCTACAATGGTGACAGCGAGTCCTATAGGCACATGTGCCGGTTTTATCTGGGATATTTCCATCTCCATCCCTTAGTGGCCTCCTACGACTACTACTGGCGTGTGGAGCCTGGAGTACGCTTCTACTGCGATGTAGACTATGATGTCTTTCAGTTTATGCGCGAGAACAGTAAACAATATGGATTTGTTCTCTCCATGTTCGAGTATCGCGATACTATTCCGCTGCTTTGGGAGACGGCGGTGGAATTTTTCGAATCCATCGAGCTTCCCAAATCCAATCTTGTAGATTTTGTGCGGAACCCCGATGGGTCCTATAACTTATGCCATTTCTGGCTGAATTTTGAGGTTGCGGCCACTGGGTTTTTCAAGTCGCACATTTATAACCTGTACTTTGAGCACTTGGACAGAACTGGAGGGTTTTTCTACGAAAGATGGGGTGATGCTCCCGTACATACTTTGGCAGTGGCACATTTACTTAATTGGAACGAGGTGTGGTGGTTTGAGGATATTGGTTACTACCATTCGCCCTACCTCCATTGTCCAGTGGGCCCCTCCTATTTGGAACATCGATGTACATGCGACCAAACTATGGATTTTAGTGGCAGCGAATTGAGCTGCACACCGTTAATGGTGCATCTCCAGACAAATGGAGGGAAGTTGGATTGGCTGTAGATGGGTAAATAGTAAATTAATAGATATAAATGAACATTACTGGATTTTTTATATTCACTTCAGTATCTGGTTCTTTCCTATTCGTTTTTCCTATTTTTTTTTTTTTTTACATTTTCTACTATTTCCCGCTTATCTCCACGTACACCTCTGTGCAAAACTTTCATTAAGTGTCCATAGTCAAGCGTCCATCCAAAATAGACATTTCAACTGATAAAAAGGATGGAAAAAAAAAAACGGAACAAAATGAAGAAAACGAAAAAATAAATTACGACTTAGAGAACCTCCACTCTCCCTACATTTCCCTCTCCGTTCAGTTGGTGAAATGACTTGTCTTCATCTTTGTAGATCGACTGTATGCGCGTACATTTTTTGTAAGGCTTCCAACCACATCTCCATTACCTCTAGGGCGCATGAAGTACCTTACCCAGTTGATGGTTCGGATGCGCTTGCATCGTCGTCGCTCGCGTCACTTGGCGATAGTGGCCACCGTTGCAGCTTCCTTGTTGGTGCTCTTGTTCTTTCTCTTTAGTCCTCACGAGTCGACTGGCGGACTAGTCTCCAACCCAGAGCATGATTGTGGGTGGCTCCCTTCATTCTTCTGCTCACCAGTCCGCTGGTTCTCGCCTAAGCCTGTCAGTGAAAGGCCAGTTGTGCCTTACAAGGCTGTCAATTCGGGCTCTTCTTCGACACCTCTTCCTAATCCTCACCAAGACAAAATCGACTTCATTCAAAGCACTTACAACGGAGCACGGGCTAAAAGATTGCTGCTAGGTCACGCATACTACGACAAGATCATGAAAGTCATCGTTGAGGCTAAGCCCATGTGCAAGAAGTTGGAAAAGTATAAGGACGGCCACATACTGGCCATTCGTATGGAATATCCGAACTCGGGCAATGTCTTCACGGAAAAGTATCTCTCGCAGTATTTGCAGTTGGACGAATCTGAGCTCAGCCTGATGGTTGACTCTCACAAGTTCGCCCACGATAACCTCCCTGACTCCTACCCGGAGGGACTTTATCGTGGTGATGGTATTGTCTACGTTGGAGGTGGGCGTTTCAACTGGTTGGCGCTTCTTTCCGTTAGATCCTTGAGAGCTCAAGGCTGCCAGTTACCTGTGGAGGTGTTTGTCCCCACTTTGGAGGAATTCGAGCTCGAACTCTGTTCACGGATCTTCCCAGTGATGAACGTAAGATGTGTGCTCTTGCCTACTGCACTTTTCGGCGAGAACCTGCCTTACTCCAAACAGTTCAAGTTCCTGGGCTACCAGTACAAGTCCTTGGCTATCATGCTTTCCAGTTTCGAGAACGTTCTCTTGTTGGACAGTGACAATGTGCCAACATACTCTCCTGACCATCTCTTCACAAAAGAACCATTTATCTCCACGGGACTCATTGTGTGGCCCGACTTTTGGCACCGCACAACCTCTCCTGACTACTACACTATTGCTGGATGTCTGGTTAGCAAGACCAAGTTGCATCCAGCATATAACGAGCGTGCTGGAGAGTTTATTGAGAGGGAAACTACTGGCGACGTCGATTGGGAAAATATTCTGTTCCACGACCGTCTCGGAACGATACCGGACCCCTCTTCGGAGTCTGGTCAGTTGATGATCTCTAAAAAGACACACATGAGGGCACTTCTTCTTGCTCTTTATTACAATATGTATGGACCGGGTTACTACTACCCACTCTTCTCCCAGGGAGCGCACGGAGAAGGTGACAAAGAAACATTCTTGGCCGCTACCATCTCCACCAACAAACCATACTACCAGGTTGCGAAGTTCTTGGATGCATTGGGAAATATTAAAGACGGCAATTTCAACGGAAACGGTATGGGCCAGTATGATCCAGTGATGGACTACGAATGGAACCTTGAGAAAGACAAGCTACGCAAAAAGCTTTCTGGTCAGGAGTACGAAGATGCTGTGGCCAAGCTTACGAGCCCCAAGATTCTATTCGTGCATGCCAACTTTCCCAAGCTCGACCCTTGGAAGTTGTTCTTGGATCAAGATACGGTCAATGAAAAAGGCGAGAGATACCGGTTATATGGACTCGGAATGAAAGTAAGGGCAGGAACAGACTTTGAGCAAGATCAATGGAACTACATGTACCTTCTCCTATGTGATTTGGAGCTCAAAATCGAGCATTTTAAAAGTATTGACCGCAAAGCACTTTGTCTGGAGATAAAGGCGCACAGGGACTGGCTTGTATCGACAGAAGACAGTCTAGAGAAGACTCAATAGCATATTACTAGTATCGGATGATATTATTAAATGGAAAAGATACAATAGAAAAAATAATGTATTAGAGTAGAAATTAGGAATAATTCCAAGGTTATATAGACAGACTATTACTATCGCGACCAAGTACAACCTGCGCACAGCTTCAACAAAACTGAACACCGGTAACATACTTCTCATATCAAATCACCACCAGCCATGGCAATCCATTTCACGCTCTTGTTGTCTCGACAAGGCAAAGTGAGATTGTGCAAATGGTACCACACGAATAGTCAAAAGGAGAAGGCCAAGATCACCAGGGAGTTGACCACTATCATTATGGCCAGGAGAGCCAAAATGTGCAACATCTTAGAGTACAAAGACATGAAGATTGTGTACCGTCGATATGCATCGTTATTCTTTGTCATGGGCATTGACTCTCTGGACAACGGTTTGTTGGCTCTTGAGGTGATCCACCGTTATGTTGAGCAAATGGACAAACTATATGGAAATGTGTGTGAATTGGACATTATTTTCGGGTTTGCTAAGGCCTACCATATATTGGACGAGTTATTGCTAGATGGCTATGTTCTGGAATCGTCCAAGAAAGAAGTGGTCAAAAAGGTATCCCAGCAGGACGAGTTGGAGAATATGGATGAGTTCGAGAACATATTGGCATAGGGTATAAACATGGGATTTCTTGGTTGACTTTGGGAGCGTCTGAATATATACCCCTACTATTCACGGGTCGAAGACCTGTTACAGAATATACGAGTGATAGAATGAAGTGTATGATACATCCGTAGACAATTCGATCCGATAACTCTCCTATTTTGCAAGTATAATCCAGCAGTGTACTTAGAAAGAACTGCAATTCTCGCTCGTTTTACTGTTCTTGTTAAGTCTCCTATTTTTTTTCTTTTTGTTCCTTTGCTCATTTTCAATTCTTTTCATTAATTTCAGTACTTGACATTCTCCATATCTAGTAGGCAGTTGCACCCGTACACCACCACTTATCCTACATCAGTTTTGCGATGCTCTTCTCATCCCAAAATTAACCATGTCTGACGACGAAGACTACGATATTGCAGGTTCTTTGGCCCTCACGGGTAAAGACTTCGACTCTGACTCTGACTCCGACTCTGGGTTTGGGTCTGGTGGTTTCGACAGCGACAATGATGATCCCAAAGACATAGTCAGCGATGATGAAGATGAAAAACCAGCCAAGAAGAAGCTCAAAGCCACCAAGGCAGCCAAGGCTGCTAAACCGCAAGATGCAGCATTTCCTAGTCTTGAGCTTTCAGATGATGAAGAAAACGCCGACTCCAAGGATATTGCATCGTATTTTGCTGTGAACAACCCTAATGCTAAGAAGGCCAAGGCAGGAACATTTGCATCATTCGGTCTCTCCAAGTACATCTTGGGTAACATCAACAAAAAGGGTTTCAGACAGCCAACTCCAATCCAAAGAAAAACCATTCCGTTGATCATGGAGAACCGTGATGTGGTGGGTATGGCCAGAACCGGTTCCGGTAAGACTGCAGCCTTCACTCTTCCCGTTATTGAGAAGTTGAAGTCACACAGTGCTAAAGTAGGTGCTAGGGCGGTAATCTTGTCGCCATCGAGAGAGTTGGCCTTGCAAACATTCAAGCAGGTGAAAGAGTTCAGTCGTGGAACAGACTTGAGATCCATTGTGCTTATAGGTGGTGACTCTTTGGAAGAGCAGTTCTCCTCTATGATGAGCAATCCCGACATTATCATTGCTACTCCAGGTAGATTTTTGCATTTGAAAGTGGAGATGCAATTGGATTTGAGCACTGTCGAGTACATTGTATTCGATGAGGCTGACAGATTATTCGAAATGGGTTTCGCAGAACAGTTGAACGAATTGTTGGCTGCTTTGCCATCCTCTAGACAATCCTTGTTGTTTTCTGCCACCTTGCCTAGATCTCTTATTGACTTTGCCAAGGCCGGTTTGACCAATCCCGTTTTGGTGCGCTTGGATGCCGAAAGTAAGATCTCTGATCTTTTGCAAATGGCATTCTTTTCTACCAAGAAAACAGAAAGAGATGCTGCACTTTTGCACACCCTTCTGGAAGTGATTAAGATGCCTACGGCTACTCAAGAAGAATTGGCAAAGATCAAGAGAGAGAGCAAGAAGGCCGATGAACTTTCCGAAGATGAAGGGGACGATTCTGCAAAGAATGGTAAGAGAAAGAGATTCAAGAAGGAGCGTTTGCCTCCCGCTAATGAGCTTCCTTCACCATTTTCAACTATTGTCTTTGTTCCAACAAAGCATCACGTTGAGTACGTGACAGGATTGTTGAGAGATGCCGGTTTCCTTGTCTCTTACATTTATGGTTCATTGGACCAGCGTGCTAGAAAGGAACAGTTGTACAGATTTAGAATCGGACTTACTAGTATTTTGGTCGTCACCGATGTGGCTGCTCGTGGTATCGATATTCCAATTTTGGCCAATGTTATCAATTACACCTTGCCTGGCTCTTCCAAGATCTTCATTCATAGAGTGGGTAGAACTGCCAGAGCTGGAAACAAAGGTTGGGCATACTCTATCGTAAGCGAAAACGAACTTCCATATTTGCTAGACTTGGAGCTCTTCCTTGGAAGGAAAATCTTGCTCACCACAATGCATGAGCAGAAGTGTGAGTTGCTCAAGGCTTCCAAGGGAACTGATTTCGTGGAGCCCAAGGTTTCCTATACCGACAGAATGGTTTTGGGAGCCATTCCACGTATCCAGCTAGAGACCTCCCAAGAAATGACTGAGAACCTCTTGCGTAATAATTACGACTTGAGGGGTCTCAAAGAAGTTGCTGCCAAAGGTGAGAAATTGTATCATCGTACTAGGCAAGCTGCCTCCACTGAATCTGTGAAGAGAAGTAAGGAAATCATGGATACTGGCGCTTGGGATGAGCAACACTTGCTCTTTGGACCTAATTTGGAGAAGGAGAAGGAGAAGTTCCTTGCAAAGTTGAACAATAGAAACATTAAGGAAACCGTCTTCGAGTTCAGCAAAAAGGGCAGAGAAAAGGAAGAGGACTCTCTTGTCACTTTGATGAAGAGAAGAAGAAGACAGATTGCTCCACTCCAGCGCAGAGCAAAAGAAAGAAAGGAGTTGCTTGAAAAAGAGCGTGCTGCCGGTTTGAGTCACACTATTCAAGATGAGATCTTGAAGGGAGATGCCGGTGAAGTCGGCTACCACGTTACCAGTATTGAAGCTGACGATGCGGAGTTGGAAGAGGCATTTGAAGACGCAGACCAATTGATTCAAAAGAAGAAAGAGAAGAAGAAGTCGTTCAAGGATCCACAGTTCTACATGAGCCACCATCAGTCTGCTGATGTCATCCAGGACCAGCAGTTGTCGTTGAATTCTTCGTTTGCTAATGATGCTGCCAAAGCCACATTTGACTTGGATAACGATGACAAGTTGCAGAAAAACAGTCAGGTCATGCGTTGGGACAAGAAGAAGGGTAAGTACATCAACAGCCAATCTGTTGAAGGTAAGAAGTATATTATCGGCGAGAGTGGACAGCGTATCCCTGCTACTTTCAGATCCGGTAAGTTCGACGAGTGGAAGAAGCTGAGAAGAATTCTGTCGATGTCTTCCGCCATGGCCGAATCTACCGAGAACAAGGAAGATAACAAGAGGTATAAGCATAAGAAGGTCACTGCGCCTAGAGCTCCAGATAAGTTCCGTGATGATTTCCACAAACAGAAGAAGAAGGTGAACAAGGCTGTTGAGTCAGGAGTTAATGTCAAGGGATTTAATAGACCAGGTCAGAAACAGGAGTTGAAGTCCACGGCAGAGATTAGAAAGGCAAGAAACTTGAAGGAGCAGAGAAGAGCCAAGAATGGTCGTCCCAGCAAGAGGCGTTAGTATATTTACATAGTAAGAGCATGGACATGTATAATTATTTATGGGCAAGATTTGTAACTATTTGAACTACAAGAATCAAGCGACTACCTGAATTCCCAAAAACCTTTCTTTTTTTTCTTTGATCCTTCGAAGCTAACTATCTTCTTCCACCTCTACTATATGGATGGTAGCCTCTACTTCTGTAGCCACCTCTACCTCTTCCGCCTCCGCTTCCATTTCCGTTTCCTCCTCCATTTGCTGGACCTGAAGGTGGAGCTCGCCTTGGACCCTTAGGCAAATTCATTTTACGGGCATTCGGACCTGCTCCACGATCATTTCCGCGGTCGCTTCCACGATCGTTTCCACGGTCGCTTCCACGGTCATTACGATCTCTAAATCTGTCACGGGCATTACGAGGGCCACCTGGTGGAGTTGGCATCTTCTGTCCACTTGGTCCCAGAGGAGGCTCAGATCCCTGCTGTTGAGGATTCAATGGCTGTTGTTCAGGCTGTTCGTTACCCTGTCCCTCACCATCCTCACCAGCAGCTTGCTGTTGCATCATGTACCACTGCTGCATTCTTTGCCAGTACTCTTGCATCATCTCAGGAGTTGCACCTTGGAAGTTGGGCATATTTTGAGCGTATTGCATTTGCATCTGACCGAATGCATTGGCATATTGATTATACTGTTGTTGCTGTTGTTGTTGCTGTTGTGGTTGGTGGTGCAGGCTTTGTTGGTGCAGACCTCTTGGTTCAGCCCGCTTGACTTCCATAGACTTTCCTTTTAACTTTAAGTACTTGTTGACACAAACTCTATCTACTGCCTCGGGGGTGTCGAAGGTGATGAATCCGAATCCTCGTGATCTACCGGTGTCTTTGTCAATCATGAGCTGAGCATCGATAATGTGACCAAACTGCGAAAAGAAATCGTTGAAGTCTTTCTCATTGACCATTGGGTCAATTCCTCCCACGAAAATCTTTCCAACTTTGTCTTGTTCATCTCTAGCAATGGCTCTCTTTGGGTCAATCAATTTTCCATCCAAGATGTGATCCTTTTTGATCACTTCATCAACAGCTCTGGGGTCCTTGAATGTCAAGAAACCAAATCCACGAGATCTGCCTGTGCTTGCGTCCTTCATGATGGTATGGTCCAAGATCTCTCCAAATTGAGAGAAGTATTCAACCAAAGCATCCCCCGTGGTGTCCCAGTTGAGCCCACCAATGAACATCTTTCCACTGTCACGTCCCAAATTGGAAGGGGCCATTCTCCTGTCCTGGCCCTGGTTCTGCTGCTGACCATACTGTTGCTGCTGGCCATATTGCTGTTGACCATATTGTTGCTGGCCAAATTCTTGCTGACCATATTGTTGTTGGCCAGTCTGTTGTTGTCCGAAACTCTGGCTAATTGAGGATTCAGATTCAGGTGCAGAGATAGGTGGAGGGACTGCTGCTTGAGTTGCTGAGTTTGGGGTAGCAGCTGCTGGCTGTTCAGGTGTAGGTTGTGCTTCTGAGGCAGCTACTACCTGCTGAGTCTCAGCTGTTTCGGGAGCCTTCGCAGACTGATCTTCTTCTTTAGGTGGCTCGCTGACTTCAGTGGCACCAGTGGTGCTCAGTTCGTCCTTGCTTACTCCAGAATCTTTGGAAACATCATCATCGTAGATGTCCTCGAAAAGGGCTTCATCGTCGTCGAAAGAAGACATGACACAATTAGTACAATAAGAGAGGGGCCTTTATTGATATGTATAGTACAAAACTAACAGATGATAACTTGGATACCCGTACGATAGCGTAGTATGATTGAAAATCTGGAACGGAATGGAGGGAAATATTCTGGTTAGGTCGTGCGATGGTGGCAGTCACGTGATCTCATGGACCACCCCAATTTTCGATGATGTTTAAAGATGGAGTGGAAACGCGAGACAAAAAAAAAAAAAGAGAGAGCAAGTTGAGAAAAACAGGGTAATTGAAGTTGCCAAAAAGAAAAAAGAATGGACGAGTCCGGAGTCGAACCGGAGACCTTTCGCATGCTAAGCGAACGCGCTACCAACTACGCCACACGCCCTGGAAGTAATGGTCCCTAGCAGGATCGAACTGCTGATCTTGGCGTTATTAGCACCACGCCTTAACCAACTGGGCCAAGGGACCATTATTGAATGAAGAATTTGGAGGATGGGTATATCAGTAATGTATTTGTTAGAACTTTGAGTTTACAACTGCTATTGACTGTCCAATTGTTGTGAAACTAAGTTAGGCATAAGTGAGTTTTGAAAAGTTTCTGAAAATTATGTTGATTGTGTCAATACATGCATTTGGAGTTCTTATGGGTTTTAACTGTCATGATAATGGAAGTTACTTTTGGGCTTCTCAAGCAGGTCTTACAATTATATATTTGAAAATGGACTTGTTTTATCTTAGAGTTACAACTGTTGTATTTTTTATCACGCTCAGATATAACAACAAGTTAAAAAAGATTCATCTTTACCGTGGCCTGTGCAAAGTTACGTTTAATTCACCAATTCCAACCGAGCTAGGTTTAGAAATGCAACGAAAAAATGCAATCGATAACTTTCAAAATGTATGTCATATGTGATAAACTTTTATAAATGGTTTGAAGATAGTGACATATAAATTCTTGATTGGTATCAGTATGTGGGTAAAGTCGACTACTTCATATTAAATGAGTAGAATAGCATAGATTTAGTGAAATTTGAAATGGGAACCAAAAAATGGAGAAACGACAGAAACACTATAAAACCAATGCCCTACATTACTACAATATACGAAAACACTTACCAATCGAAGAATACGTGAAGTTTCTTCCTCTTCTGTGATTTTCAGATGGAAGAGGATTTTGCACCCAAACTAATTGAAATCTCACACAGTCTTTTTTCAATCTCATCTCATCAAGTCAACATCTCTGGGGAAAATCTACCATGAAAAAATACATTATCAGTTTTGCACACTCATTTCCCAACTTCAGAGTCGCTGAACTCGAATCGTTGGCAGATTTGTTTAATGTGACTGTCGATCTAAGCCATCTTGACGAGAAGCATCCATTCCTAATAGTTGAGTTGGAGAATGATCAACAAGCAAGAAATTTAGTCAAGAGATCCATCTTGGCCAAGGGTATCTACGAACTATGGGGTCAGGGAGAGACTTTGGAAAAATTGCACGAAGACATCAAATCCAAATCCACAGAAAACTTTGCATTATTTAAGCACAACACGTTCAAGTTCGATTTCGTGAGTTTCATGGGAGCAAAGACTACTGAGCAGAAAATCAAAATCATCGAAACATTCAAGTACATGGGATTCGAGGGAAAGATCCGCTTGAAGAACCCAGAGGTTGTGTTTGCTATCTTGGAAGAATACTATGTGTGTGGACAAGAGAAGGCTGATGCACCTAACTTTATGTGGTTCGGAAGAGAGGTTCAATTGAGTGCCAGATCAGCAGGCGTGGTGGAGAAGTATGACTTGAAGCGTAGAAAGTATATTGGCACCACCTCGTTTGAAGCCGAGCTTTCGTTGATTAGTTGCAACATTGGCCAGGTTCAGCCAGGCAAGATCATCTATGATCCTTTCACGGGAACTGGATCTTTTCTCGTAGCTGGTGCATACTTTGGGGCATTACCACTAGGTTCAGATATTGATGTCAGATCGATCCGAGGCAAAGGTCCGCAATGCAACCTTAGGGCCAATTTCAAACAGTATGGAACCTTATCGCAGTTCATGGATACTTTGGTGATGGACTTCACCAATAATGCATTCAGAGAGAGTCTTGTTATTGATTCTATCGTCTGCGATCCCCCGTATGGAGTAAGGGAGGGATTGAAAGTTTGTGGAGCCAAGAACCCCGTGAAAGCTGCTGGCAGAGAGAATAATGTCGTGGAAGGAGAGTTGGGATACTTACGCAAGGACTTTATTGCTCCAAAGAAGCCATACGAACTTGCAAACTTGCTTCAGGATTTGCTTGAGTTTGCTGCGCAGAGATTGCCTGTGGGAGGAAGATTGGCTTTCTGGATGCCTACTGCTAACGACGAGTTCGTTGAGCATCACATTCCCCAACACGAAAGATTGGAGCTACTTTATGCACTCGAACAGGAATTTAACAAATGGTCTAGACGGTTGGTAGTTTACGTGAAGAGAGAAGAGGGATACAAGGGACTCACCACCAATGGAATGATCAAGGACAACGTCACCAGTTTCAGAGTGAGATACTTCAAAAGTTTCAACGAGAAGAGTAAGAGTCCTAGCGCCTGATATTGGTGCTTCGGGAGCGATGCTGCTTTAATAGACAAGATGGAGTCTCGGAACGCTGGTAGAGGATATATAGGCAGAAGATAGACAAAAGAGAATATTATTGTAGCAGAGGAGCGGGTTTGGAGCGTGACTCATAAGTACACAGACCCATGATCTGACATCTAAATGCAAATTGAAGCAAATCAGTAAAAAAATTTCAAACAATGGAACTTAATCTTCCTTATCATCACTAGGTTCAATCATTTCCCTCATATGTAATCTCAGACTCTACATCCAGAAGACTTGGTCCTGCAGAGTCCCATACTACTTGCAAAAAATGAAGCGCACCTAAAAACTCAAACGTTAACTATGGTCACTGTGGATAGCCTGGCATCCGACGACTCGGAGAATTTCAAATTCTTCGGTTTGGGAGGATGTAACGAAGTTGGGAGATCATGTCACATTATCGAGTACAAAAATAAGGTGATCATGTTGGACTCGGGTGTTCATCCAGGACTTAGTGGAATGAATTCATTGCCATTTTTCGACGACTACGACTTATCCAAGGTGGATATTCTCTTGATCAGTCACTTCCATTTGGACCATGCCGCTTCTTTACCATATGTGATGCAGCAGACCTCTTTCCGTGGACGTGTGTTCATGACCCATGCCACTAAGGCAATTTACAGATGGTTACTCACCGATTTCGTGAAGGTCACGTCCATTGCTGGAAGTGGAGACGATGCACGGTCTGTAGACAACCAGCAAAATAGTGGAGGCTCTGCAAACTTGTACACTGACGACGACTTGATGAGTTCTTTTGACAAGATTGAAACTATCGACTACCACTCTACTATCGAGGTGGAAGGTATCCGATTCACAGCATATCACGCCGGCCACGTTTTGGGTGCGTGTATGTACTTGGTGGAGATTGGAGGCTTGAAGGTGTTGTTCACTGGAGACTACTCTCGAGAGGAGGATCGTCACTTGAAAGTGGCTGAAGTGCCTCCCGTGAGACCAGATATTTTGATCACTGAATCCACGTTCGGTACAGCAACACATGAGCCACGTCTCGAGAAAGAATCTAGAATGATGAAGAATATCCACTCAACCATTCTAAAAGGTGGGCGTGTATTGATGCCTGTGTTCGCTTTGGGAAGAGCTCAAGAGCTTCTATTGATTTTGGAAGAATATTGGTCACTCAACGACGACATTAAAAACATTAGTATATACTACGCCTCCAACCTTGCTCGGAAATGTATGGCCGTTTATCAGACGTATACCAGCATTATGAACGAAAAGATTCGGCTTGGCTCGTCTTCATCCGAGAAGACAAACCCCTTCCAGTTCAAATACATCAAGTCCATCAAGAGCATAGACAAGGTCCACGACATGGGCCCATGTGTGGTTGTTGCTTCGCCGGGTATGTTGCAGAACGGTGTTTCTCGTCAATTGCTTGAGAGGTGGGCTCCAGACCCCAAAAACGCTGTCATTTTAACAGGTTATTCCGTTGAAGGTACAATGGCCAAGGAGTTGCTCGCAGAACCACATGCTATTCCCTCTATAGCCAATCCAGAAGTTGCAATCCCTCGTCGTCTCTCAATAGACGAGATTTCCTTCGCTGCTCATGTTGACTTCCAGCAGAATGCTGGTTTTATAGAGGAAGTCAGCCCCCGCAAAATTATTCTTGTTCACGGTGACAGCAATCCAATGGGAAGATTGAAGTCTGCCTTGTTGAGTAGATATTCGTCGAGAAAGGGAACTGATGAAGAGGTGAAGGTGTTCAACCCTAGAAACTGTGAGGAGCTTCTTATAGGTATCAAAGGAGCAAAGATTGCCAAGGTGGTGGGTGCATTGGCAGAAGCAGAGATTCAGCTTGTGAGAGAGGCTATGGAGAAGCAATTGGCAGAAAAAAAGATCGAGCTTCTCGAAGATGACATGAATGTGGAAGTAGAAACTGAAGAGAAAGACACAATCAAAGGAGAAGAGAAAAAAGACGCAACCAACGAACAGCCTAAGAAGGATGACATTAAGCAAGATCATTCTAAGAAAGATGAATCCAAGAATGAGGAAGAGCAGAAGGACCAGTATATCAACACGGGAGTTGTCTTATCTGGAGTGTTAATCTCCAAAGATTTTGATCTAAACTTGTTGCAACTTGAAGATCTCCAGGAGTTTACCCAATTGTCCACTACAGTAGTGAAATCCAATATGAAATTGAAGATCCAGGCTACCGTCTCTTTAATCCAGTGGCATCTTGAGCAGATGTTTGGTTCGATCGAGATTCTTCAGGACAATGAACTGTCCTGGGAGTGTCTTATTATGGACATGGTCTACATCATCGTCGATAGAGCACTGTCGTCCGATGGTTTGAACATCACGGTGGAATGGGTGAACTTCAACAACATGGCTGATTCCATGGCTGATAGTGTTGTGGCCATTTTATACTCCGTGGATTCATCCCCAGTTTCAGTGAAGCTCACGTCGAAGTCGCACTCTCACAGTCACATCAAAGAGGAACCAAGCGACGGAGAAGTGAGCAAAGAGAAGGTGAAAAGGAGTGCTCACACAGTAAGCGATATCGGCAGCCGGATCCACCGGATTTCATCATTGTTGAAATCTCAATTTGGAGATGCCATCACCTCTATTGATTCAAAGGGTGCGAAAATCGTCATTGGAAAGGCTGAGGCTACAATCGATTTCCAGACGCTTGAGGTTGCATGCGGATCTCGAGTTTTAAAGGATAGAATCGAAAATGTCATAAAAAGAGGATGCAGATTGGCAGCCCCTCTCTGCTACCAGCAGAAATCTGGATAATGATAAGTAATGAAATAGTGGTTGGGATGAGATTTTCGTGTAGTACCCGATAATATGCGACATAATTAACAGAGCGAAACCAATACATATAATAATCATTCGATGGCGTATGTTACCCCCAGGATTCTGCAAAATAATGGTATAATTACTAACAAAAATAGTGACCTTATAGATCGTCCCCGCTCCGAGTTGACGGAAGTGGAACTTCAACAGCTAGAGGAGTTCGAATTCAACCATGGTCCCATGTCGTTAATCCAGACCTCCATGAAGAATGGCACACCTGTGGTCATTTACTGTCGAAATAACCACAAGCTTATTGCAAAAGTCAAGGCATTTGACAGACACTGTAACTTGATTCTCGAGGACGTGAAAGAGTTGTGGACAGAGACTCTCAAGAATTCCAAAGGCAAGGTAATCAAGACCACGTCGAAGGAGAGATTCATTGCTAAACTTTTCTTGCGTGGAGACTCTGTCATTATAGTTTTGAAGGTTTAGATGAATTTCGATGGAATGAATAGTACCCAGTCATCTGAATGAGGCGACTCGACCAGCTTTGAATCTCCAAGACACAGCCAGAAGGGACATATTGGCTGAACCATGGATCTTGATATTAAAATGCATCTAGTTGTTAAACTCCGGGGGTTAAGATTATAAATCTAGTGGCTACTAATCACTCTATGGTCTTTCTGATGCTATTAGAAAGCATAAGTCTAGCATGTTTTCGAACATAGTCCAAAACTTCTCGCATATGATATAGGGATAGCAATTGTAATATATAACACGAATTCGATGATAACTTGTAGATTGTTTTTAATTTAAGGATGCCTGACGAAAGTTTTACCCTATGGTGCATTAAGATAAGCTCAAACGCGTAGTACATTATCAACTACTCCCTTCTCCTCCATTTTTCCAACCATGAAGCTTAAGCTACGAACACAAAGTACAGAAACGTTGAAAACATGTCTATCTCAGATTAGTAATGTCCGCAAGTTCGTGGTTCTCAGATTCAGTCCAGAACAATTACTTGCCATTCTGATAAATGGGTCTTCGATTAACCAAGAGCCTCAAGTATGGTGCAAACTTCGAATGCTGTCGATATTCAGCGAAATTGAGATCCAAAGCTTAAGAGACAACGTGATTCTTCTCGAGATCAACATTGAATTGCTTCTCCAGACACTAAGAAACTTTGATAAAGCAAATAGTCATGATCTCAGCATCCGTCTACAAAGAAAGGAGAGTTCTGGAGGTACAACTGGAGGAGGCAGTCGAACAGCATCATTAGCACTTTATTACTCAGATGTGACCGTAAACGGTTCCACAATTAACCACACATTCCGGATTCCCGTCAAGATTTTAAAAGGAAACAGTGAAATGCTACAAGAGCCCGAATTGCCTCGAGTAGACCTCATGATGAGGCTCCCGAACGAGTTTTCTGCAACATACAAACGTCTCGACAAGTTCAAGAAGTCATTGCCGGGCGATTTGGTAACCATTCAGGCCAGTAGAAGGCACGGAGGGTACCTTGGATTTGTTCTTCAAGAAGACGGAAAGTTTAAAGTAACAATTCGTTGGAACGACAAATTAGATGTCCAGAAGCCTCAAGCAGGTTTAGATAGCGACAGTCTACGAGCTGCAGCACTCAACGATAGCACAGATGAGGTTGATGAAAGCGATGAATCAGAGGACAAAGAGATCACCGTGAGATTAAAAGATTGGAAGATGGCCGCCAAAATCGTCAGCACGTGTAAAACAATAATCTTTCTTATGTGTCACAATGAAGCATGTGTCATTCACTGTCTTCTAGACGACTCTGACGATGTGGAGATGATTTACTACATTGGAGGAGTGAGGATTCGAGAAGGTGACGAGTATTGAGAACTCACAAAAAAAATTTGATAAAAGGTGGAACATGAGCTCAAGAAAATGATAAATGAGAGAGGTCCAAAACCATAAAACATATAAATTTTCTCCAATCATTCATAAATGTCATTGAATACCAAGAGTTAACAAAAGTGCATCACGTGGAAATTCTTGAGGTGACTCAATTGACTCCATCGGTGCGAAAGTATTATTATCAATAATTTTGTCAATTTATTGATTGTCACATTATTCCCAATCATGAGTGTTATCGATCGTGAAGAGCCCAATTACTTCGGTGCCGGTCCGGCATTGTTGCCCACTGATGTCTTGCAAAAAGCGGCTGTCGACTTGATTAACTACAATAGTGAAGGTTTGGGTATTGGTGAAATTTCCCACCGTTCCAAGCCTGCTATCAAGGTCATCGACGACACCAAGGCTGCATTCACCCAGTTGTTGAACATTCCTGACACTCATGAAGTGTTCTTCATGCAAGGTGGAGGAACCACCGGTTTTTCATCTATCGTGTACAACTTGATGGCCTGGTACACCAAGAAGACTGGCAAAAAAGGTAAGGCTGCCTATGCCGTGACCGGTGGCTGGTCCCAGAAGTCTGCCCAAGAGGCACAGAGATTGGGGTTTGACGTCGACATTGTGGTCAATACCAAAGACTCCAAATACACTAAGATCCCCCCATACTCTGAGTGGAAACCTATCGACAAAGATAACACCGCGTACTTATACGTGTGTGACAATGAAACTGTGCACGGTAACGAGTTCAAGAATGTTCCGGGCTCAGACTACTTGCCAGAAGGTGTCGAGTTGGTGGCCGACATGTCGTCGAATATCTTGTCTAAAGAGATTGATGTCAGCAAGTACGGATTGATCATGGCAGGTGCCCAGAAGAATGTTGGATTGGCTGGTTTGACTATCTACATCATCAAGAAGTCCTTGCTTGAGCAGGCCAGTGACGAAGAATTGAGAAGCGCCGGTATTCCTTTGGTACCCATTGCATTCCACTACCCAACTGTTGTTGCCAACAACTCTGCTTACAACACCATTCCTATTTTTACATGTCACATCTTGAAGTTGGTTTGCGAGAAGTTGTTGGCTGAGGGAGGTATCGCCAACATGCAAAAGAAGAACGAATACAAGGCCAAGATCTTGTATGATGTGTTGGAGAAGTACCCATCGTTGTTCGTGTTACCCGTTACCGACGAGGGGAGCCGTTCCAACATGAACGTTGTATTCACTTTGAGCAGTCCTGAATTGGAGGAAAAGTTTATCAAGGGTGCAGCTGAAAGAAACTTGACTGGATTGAAGGGTCACCGGTCTGTGGGAGGTATGAGGGCATCCATCTACAATGCAGTTAGTGTGAAGAGCGTCGAGTTGTTGGTGGAATACATCGAGGAGTTCGCTAAGGAGAACTCCAACTAATTACGTAAATTCTCTAATATATTTCGAATTTTTAATAGAGTTAAATCTTTGGTTCGTGGGTGCAAAATGAATCTCCAGGTATAGGTGCAAAATATTGTGCGCATTTCTTCATCTTCAAGATTTAAATTATCTTCAACCTCCAAATGCTACCGTCGCCAGCCACACTTCGGCTATGGAGAAGCAGCATAGCATGTCGAAATAACCACTTACTTCCAATGTTGCTAAGGAGAGGTGTCAAAACTGTCGCTGTCCAGGATAAGAGAGTTTCACTCGACCGAGACAACCACATCAGAAAGGTCCAGGAAAGAATTGAGAAAATACCCATCGAAAACTACAGAAACTTCAGCATTGTTGCCCATGTGGATCATGGAAAGTCCACCCTTTCCGACAGACTCTTGGAGCTCACAGGTGTCATCCAACCAGGTGATGCCAACAAACAGGTTCTAGATAAGTTAGATGTGGAGAGAGAACGAGGCATCACCGTGAAAGCGCAAACTTGTACTATGTTTTACCAGGATCCAAAGACGAAAGAGGATTACCTTCTTCACTTGGTGGACACTCCTGGCCACGTGGACTTCCGTGCAGAAGTTTCTCGTTCATATGCTTCCTGTGGAGGTGCTCTACTTTTGGTGGATGCTTCACAAGGTGTTCAGGCGCAGACTGTGGCCAATTTTTACCTCGCATACAGCATGGGGCTCAAGTTAATTCCAATCATCAATAAAATTGACTTGGATGCTGCAGATATCCCACGGGCTATGGATCAAGTGGAGTCCACATTCGAATTGGACAGAGAGGATTGTATTCCTGTCAGTGCTAAGACTGGATTGAATGTAGAGAACATTATACCCAAGATCATAAGTAATATCCCTGCGCCACAGGGCGACCTCAACAAGCCGTTGAAAGCGTTGCTCGTAGACTCGTGGCATGATCCATACGTTGGAGTGGTGATGCTTGTGTTTGTCGTTGATGGAAAAATCAAGAAGGGTATGAAATTACTTTCAGCACACACAAACAAGAAATATGACGTGAAAGAGGTTGGGGTTATGTATCCAGATAAAACGCCCATGGATCAAGTCAGAGCAGGTCAAGTTGCATACATTATTCCTGGCATGAGAAATCCCAGGGAGGCCATGATTGGAGATACTTTCTTCCAGAGTGGTCACCACGAGGGCTTGGAAGCCCTTCCTGGATTTGAGGAGCCCAAGCCCATGGTGTTTGTGGGAGCTTTCCCTGCCGATGGTGGAGAGTTCAAAGTGATGAATGATCATATGGAGAATTTGGTTCTCAATGACCGTTCAGTCACTTTGGAAAAGGAAACATCCAGTGCGTTGGGATTAGGATGGAGATTGGGATTCTTGGGCTCTTTGCATGCTTCAGTGTTTAAAGAACGTTTGGAAAAAGAGTATGGCGCCAAGATCATCTTGACGGCCCCAACCGTCCCATATAAAATTGTTTACAAGGATGGAACAGAGAAAGTCATCACAAACCCAGACGAGTTTCCAGGAGCTGACCAGAGATCTCATAATATTCTTCAATTGATGGAGCCGTACGTGAATGCTATCATGACGATTCCAGAAGAGTACGTGGGAGTTGTAATGACACTTTGTGAGGCCAACAGAGGCATCCAGACCGAATTGGAGTATCTCAATACTGGCCAGGTGCTATTGAAGTACGAGCTTCCCTTGGCTCAATTGGTGGAAGATTTCTTTGGCAAATTAAAGGGCTCTACGAAAGGTTATGCATCCTTGGACTACGAGGACTCAGGCTACAAGAAATCTGACATTGTGAAGATGGAGCTATGTGTGAGTGGGGAAGCACAGGATGCATTGTCCCAAGTTATGCATCGGTCTCAGGTCCAGTCGAGAGGTAAAGAGTATGTGACCAGGTTCAGAGAGTATCTCAAGTCACAGCTTTTTGAAGTGGCCATTCAGGCCAAAGTCAACAATAAGGTGATTGCTAGAGAAACCATCAAAGCGAAAAGAAAGGATGTGACCCAACGGTTGCACGCAGCCGATATTTCTAGAAGGAAGAAGTTGTTGGAGAGACAGAAGGAGGGAAAGAAGCAAATGAAGGCGTCTGGACGAATCCATATCAACCATGAAGCATACCAAGCATTCTTACGTCGTTCTGATTAATACTTGTATATATACAATAGAATAATTTATTCTTCCGGATCATGGCTTCAAGAACTTGCTATAAACCACATTGTCGGACTCGTCCACGTACTTGTAGCCCAACTTATTCAACACAGCGAAGAACTCTTCTTCGCAGGTGTCCTCAGGAAGAACAAATGCACACAACACCTTACCCATGTCGTTTCCATGGTTTCTGTAATGGAATAACGTAATATCCCAATTGTTCTTCATGGCCTGCAAAAACTTTGTCAAAGCGCCAGGTCTTTCTGGGAATTCGAACTGGAAGAGTCTCTCGACATTAGTCTTCTCAGAAGCAGAACGCTTACCACCCACCAAATAACGACCGTGAGTCTTTGCCAACTCGTTCTGGGAAATATCCACAACCTCGTAGCCGTGGTCCTCGTTCGTCATGGTCTCAATGATGGTTTCCACGTCACTCTTGTTCTGGACATTGAAACTCACGTAGATGTTGGCACTGTCGCTGTTACCGTATCTGTAGGAGAACTCGGTGATAGCTCTTGGGTGAATGATCAGCTGAAGCTTAGCAAACTCTCCGTGTCTCTCTGGGATAGTAACCACAAGCGAAACCTCTTTACCTTCTCCAAGAACTGCACGCTCACTGACAAATCTCAATCTGTCGAAGTTCATGTTGGCTCCAGACAACACAGGGATATACGTCTTGCTCAGGTGGTCGATCTTTCCAGTAGTCTGCTGGATGTACTTCTTCATACCAGCCACTCCGAGGGCTCCAGAAGGCTCCACGATGGATCTGGTATCTTCAAAGATATCCTTGATGGCTGCACAGGTCTCGTCAGTGTTGACTCTCACAACCTCGTCCACGTACTTGTGGCAGAGTCTCCAAGTTTCGTCTCCAACAATTTTGACGGCAGTGCCATCGGCGAAAACACCCACCAGATCAAGTCTGACCTGCTCATGGTTATTGAGGGAACGGTACAAGGCATCAGCATCGTACGTCTCAACACCAATGATTTTGACATGAGGAGCAACCTTCTTCAAGTAAGTTGCAATACCGGCAATCAAGCCTCCTCCTCCTACGGGGACGAAGACGGCATCCAATTCATCCAAGATGATCTGTCTGGTCAACTCCAATGCAACGGTACCCTGACCAGCGATGACGTATGGATGATCAAATGGAGGAATGTCAGTCAAGTTGTTCAAGGCACCCAATCTGGCACATTCTTGTTTGGCTGCATCAAAGTCATCTCCGTACAACACAACCTGTGATCCAAGTCTAGACACATTGGTATATTTGATAGAGGGAGTAGCTGTAGGCATGACAATGGTCGAAGGAATCTTCAATCTAGCAGCAGAGTACGCAACACCTTGAGCGTGGTTACCAGCAGAACATGCGATGACACCGTTCAAGGGCGTCTTGGAGTTCAATTTGGCAATCATGTTGTAGGCACCTCTCAACTTGAATGAGAAAACTGGCAATAAGTCCTCTCTTTTTAAGTGGACTCTGGTGTTGCATTTGTGAGATAGATTAACGGCATGATTCAATGGAGAGCCGGCGTTGTCGACCACATCATACACTCTGGAAGTCAAGATTAATTTCAAGTAGTCAGGCTCGCCGGTTTCGGTGTAGTCGGAGGGAGAAAGCTCAGGGTATTTTTTCGTTGTTGACGAACATCTATATTGATTGATAGCACATCGGTAGACCGACAGTGCCCTATAAACACAACCACTAAATCGAGCGGAAACAAGCATTATGGCTGATGGTGTAGGTGGAACCTTGTGATTGAAACAGGCAATTTTCCACTGGTGACTCAAACCGCGGAGGCACTGGTGTGTAGTGGGGTCTTCGCGATTAGCCAAGTGCAGCACCAACAATAGAAGAGGCATAATAGTAAAACATGAATAGAAGCAGGACGAGCACCCGGAGTGCTGTCATTGTGGAAGAGTGTAATACAGATGGCAAGGTGAAATGGTAGCAGCAACAGTTCACAGAATTGAATGGTTAGGGTCAATTGAACGAATTGTCCACCTTTCAACTTCTCCACTTAGAATGAAACGTCTATGTCAAGTTGCTGATTTCATACAAGAAGTCCAGGTAGTTGATGGTGGCCACACCAGACTTGTCGTTATCATACTGTTTGAATATATCCGTAAGCTTACGGAGGTACACCAAGAGTTCGATGAAGGAATCAAACTTGAGCTTGGAAATAATCACCGGCTCCTGGGCCACATAGTCCTTATTAGCGAACTTCTGAAATAAGTGGAGCACCAAGTCAACGTTCAACTTGTAGCCGATCTGCTCAATGATGCGCTGGAACTCGCCAAATGAAATGTCACCCAGTTTATTAACATCGGCAGCAACGAACAATTTCTTATATGCTGTCAAGTACTTCCACAACGAGACAAACTGCTCGTAGTTCAATGATGACGACGACTCATTAGTAAACAATTTGATCATCAAGCGCACGGTGGACTCCTGAAATCGAGTATTGTCGAAGTTGGTCAAAGCCAGACTCAACTCGCGACCAGAAATCCGTCCTGACCTGTTGGTGTCAACTCGATCGAAGGTAGCACGCAATTCGGTTTCCAATCGCTGCTTGTTAGACTTCTTGGGCACATCCACCGGCGGCGGCGGTCTGTTGGTGACTTGGGTGATCGGAGATTGAGCTGGAGGAGACAGCGAATACTGTGATACGGATGCCAGCAGGTTGTTCTGGTACTGCGGTACTGGAGCTTGATACTGCTGATATTGGGGAGCTAGCGGAGGGGAAGCCAGGTAAAACTGTTGCTGGTGATGCAGTTGTTGCTGGACGTGTTGAGGCTGTGGCTGATGTTGTTGTTGTTGCTGCTGCTGCTGCTGCTGCTGATGTTGTTGTTGCACAGGCAGATACTGCAGTGGCGTGGATTGGTACAGGTGGTTCATCTGCTGCTGAGGACGGTAAGGCTGTGGCTGTTGTTGCTGTGGCTGCTGTTGGTAGTGGATGTTCTGATTCAGAAGATTCTGGGTCTGAGTAGGGCGGGGTTGCGTCTGAGTCTGGTTCGGATGGTTCTGGCGGGTCGGAGCCGGTTGCTGCCCGGAATGCTGATAATTCTGGTAGCTAGCCTGGCTATTCATGTAGGTCCTTGTGGTGGGCATGTCCGGTAGATTTGACCCCTGGGCTTGTTGATTGTACGGGTGACCACCTTGCCCTGCGTGGGGTCTGTTGGAGGTGCGGCGAGTCTGGGCTTGTTGGCCGTTAGCTCCAAAGGCAGCCTGCTGGGGTGTCGGATACACTGGCAAATCGTTGGAGGCCATTGGGAGATTTGGGGAAGAAAGATGGAGAGTATATGTGAGTGAGTCGTGACAGGTAGACATGGAATCCTTCGTTCTCTGCAGGATAAAACGTGAGAGGCGAGGCCGGATGACAATAGACGGAGGTTCAACTGGGTGAGGGATACTGATGTTGGGAGTAGTGGAACGGCGAATAAGATTTGGATCACTTTAAGTAGGAATGAGGTAGGGCGTGAAGGGGAGTAATACGAAGATGGGGGTGGTTTAGGAAGAGTAAGTGTCTGTTTCCTAACTAGGGCAAGATTTGGGGCATGCGGGCTAAATACGAACGGTTAGGAGGGGGACAACCTATTAAAAACTTGAGGAGAAAAAAGTGTGAGAGCTTGTGAGAGAAATGGTAGGAATTTGGGATTAAAAAAAACTAGAGGAAATTATGAAGGAAGAGAGGGAAAACGTTGGCGAAAGGAGAAGATTAGATTGGAAACGTTGGTGCTTCATGAAGGAATCCAAAAGTATGGAATTGAGAAACTGTGGGAGATATATGAGAAAAGTATATGGAGAACAATGACCGGGGAAAGTAGAAAGAAAATAAATAGAAGGAAAAATAGTAGAAAGAAGATTAGTACAAATGGAAAAGGATCGATAGAAGGAGAAGTAGTCATGGACTCAGTACCTAAGTACTAAGAGCCTCAAGAATAACAATAAATCTGAAGAAGTTGTTTATTCGAATAATATTCGAAAACAAAACTTGTAAAATAACAGATGTTTAAGTCATGAAAAGCATCACAGAAAAGCAAAATCTATATAAAACTCTACAATCAGTTCTCAGACATGTTCAACACTCTTAAGTGTCTACTTCACATCAAACTTACACCGTCTCAATTTGATCTTTATTTGCAGATTAGATTATACATAGAAATTAAACCAGCATGAGCATGGGACATAGCTTAATCTCTGGCTCTCTTTCTGTAAGAGTCACCACCCAATCTTCTCTGAGGACCTCTGGAAACTGGTCTTGGTCTAGAGGCTGGAGCACCCTTCAATCTGGTCAATGGCAAGATACCCTCTGGAATGTTCAACTCGGCTCTGAGGAAGTCCACACCCTCGTCAGTCAAGGTGTAGTAGTAGTATTGCCACGAGAACTGAGTCTTGACGAAACCCTTGGAGGTCAAGGACTGCAAGGCCTTGATCACATACAAGTTTCTGGTGTCAATCTCCTCGTGCTTTGGCTGGTCAAAGTCCTTCTTAGCGACGACAACACCCTCCTGGAAGAGGTATTGGTGGATCTTCTTTCTGTCTTCCTTTGGAATCAACATGGTGAATTCTTACGATTTGACGTCGAACAGTGGCTATCTAGAAATAAGAGAGTCAAAAATTTTCAGGGTAAGCCTAGGAAGTTTTTTCGCGGAGCTGTCTGCAGGGCGCGAAGTGAGAGGTAAGGGTGTGATTGAGAGGGGAGGTTTTTTGGCACTTTGTTAGAGGATGTACGGGTGTGTACTTGTATGGAGTCACGTGTTAATAATGAGAGTTAGGGTTTCTGCCCTGAAGGTTTCCTTGCACTAATTAAAGATGTTATAGTTGATTCTATCAATAAATGAAGTGTGGACGAATAGGGATAGTTTTCTTTTCCACGTCAATATAAATGAATTGACTTGACACATGAAGCCTTTAACTCCCGTGCTATGTATCTTGAAATGTATTCTTAGAATGTATCGAACTACTTATATTATGTGGTGAAGCTTTTCTATTAATGTACCGTAGCATACTAAATAGTTATATTATATGTCTACACTGTAATCTCCCTAGTATATCCGTACTATACCTCTTATGTACTCACCATCACTTTCAATTCAATAATATACACCTTATACCCAAAACCTATATACCCTATACGTTTTCTTGTAATGATTGACCATACCTAAAATCTCGTCCTGGTATTACCCAGGCAACTCCTGCCTGACTCCTTCACTAATAACTGAGACACGCACCATTACATAACCATCCACCTAAAATACCCAAAAATAACCAAAATATCCAAAAGACATCAAGACCAATCAAAGTATCCCATTTTCACAATTATCCGAAACTTCTCCTTTAACAGTTACCCCAAATCTCTCTCCTTCACCTATTGTTATCTTATCGCTTCATACTTATAGATCGCTCCGCGATAACTCAATACACTCCTACTAAATCATCCATCAATCACCCTGTGAAATATACCATTGGCCCTCGAGTCTCCATGCCATGCGTTCACTCATCAAGTCCCACCGGCGTAGTGACTCATCCACTTCTGATGGGCCGAGCGATTTACCCAGACCACGGGCCTCAAAGACTACTCCATTGACTTCTCCACTGATACCTCAACATGCTTCCAACCTCACGCCTCCCCTGACGCTCTCAGGCTCGCTGACAACCACCATGAGTTCCCCCAAGAAACTTTTGACTCCCATCAAGAAGATGTTTGGCCATCACTCAAGATCCAACACTTCTAACCTCTCGCCCGGCGTATTGGCTACTGGCGATTCACTCAATGCTGCTGTGTCAAGTTCCTTCGAGCCACCGAAGGGCCGCAAGAAGCAAATGAAGTTTGCAAGCTCTGCCAGCTTGTCCGAACTCCAGCAGCTGCATACCACTGCCTCATCCAAGAAACAGCTCGCGTCTTCGGCGCTGATGGAGATCATCCATGACTCGCTCTCGGAGTCACTCCGTCTACCGCCTCCTAAGTTTGTGGCTCTTTCAACGTATTCGGATAGTTCTGTTGAAACTAAGCCTTCTGAGGTGATGCCTATAGTATTCGACAAAGGCTTGGGACTACTGTTGGATAATGAGGCTGATTCGGTTATATCTATCGTCAACTCCGAGGGTAATTTTCAGGCAAAGCAGGCTTTGTCGCAGGAGCTTTTGGGCGAAGCTTCCAGCAGGGGTGATACCGAAGCATATTATGAAGATGACGACGAACTGAGAGATTCTGATGCTTCGTCACAATTTTCCTTCGTTAAAGACATGCGAGGAGGACGTAACACCTCGGTCAAATATTACAAGACAAAGACTTCTGGAAGGACTGTAGGAGGATCTAAACCGGGGTTCTTTCAGGTCGACGATATGGGTTACGAGGATGAGGCTGCATTGTCCGACTATGACTTTGAAAACAATGGAATGGACGATGACGATGGCCTAGAAGATCGAGATTTTGATGACTTCGAAGGAACCAACCGCTACGACGATTTCTTGGATGATAATGAGACCTCCCGTGTATCTGGTTTGGTCGAGACAGACGATCCCCGGGACGACCACACTAATGAACTTGATGAGTATGAGGGGAATCCCAACGAAAATGAATTCGACAATTACGAGGACCAGCTCGGAGAGTATGATGAACAACTTGACGATTATGAGAATGAAGGATTTGATTTCGATGGGCTAGACGATTATAATGAAATCGTTCACGATGTCGATGAGGAAATGGAGGTCCCAGGGCACCTAGAAGCATCTCAACAATTGTCTGACTCAGCATCAGCATCTGGCCCTGATCCTCCACTGTTCTCGTTTGCTCATAGCAGAGAGCAGACCCCTGAATTAAGAATTGGCCTGCCAGAAGGTTTTGCATCTCCAGGCGATGGCTTGACTGAGGAACTTTTGGATAGTTATCTTCAAAACTTCGAAACACCATCAACAGTCGGAGCCCTTGCAAGATCGCCGTTTGATCTGCTTGGAAACGACTCACCATCGCCATTAATCAATGGTGTTACTTTTGGATCTGAACAAAAATTTAGATCGCATAGAATCTCTAGAAACATGGCTCTGAATCGATCCAAGAATGATATTTCTGAGGAACCAGAAATTCTCGCCAATGATTCCTCACTTGGGTTGGGAATCACTCCGGCCGAAAACAAGAGACAGTCCATTGTAAACATGATGGATTTGCTCGGCTCGTTGGAAGAGGCGGCATCGAAAGATCAAGGACAAAAGGATTTAGAAGAGATGAGAACACTTTTTGAGGAATTGGACAAGCAGAACACATCCGAAAAACCAGCTAAACGGAGCCTGGTTGTCAATATGATGAACACGTTGGCCAACCTAGAACATGCTCTCAATGTGCCCACGGAGACTCTGAAAAAGAAGGCAAGAAACTCGATTGCAGACATGATGAAAACTTTAGCTGCTCTTGAAATTCAGAACGAAGAAAAGACGACTTCATCGCAAGAAACTGTCGTTGCACTGTTGCCTAATACTTCTTCAAGCATCAGTTCAGGAGAAAAGAAAAGATACTCGTGGCTTAGCAATGGAGAACAATCAAAAGGTAGACTTGATGAACTCACTCAAGGTAATAATCAATTTGATGAAGATCTACTAGATGAGATCAATCAACTCCCCGAGGACTTTGATTTTGAAGACCAAGAGACACGTTATGAAACAAACGAGGTTCCGAATTTCTACAGGTCAAACTCTTACAATAAGAAGCCTTCGAAAGCGGTGGTTGATAATTCATATCAAAAGAACAAGATCGAAACGTCTCTTAAAACCGTGACATTCTACCGATCAGGGAGTCTCAGAGCCACAGATAACTTGAGCAGGACTGGCTCAGTCATTTCATCGACATCCTTTCACTCCTTTAATGAAGACGAAGAAGAATTTGAATCAGAGAAATCACCTGGTCTTCCTAAACAGTCTCCGCTTGGCATTCATCATAACTCTCATCTTTTCGAGTTGTCAAATGATTCTTCCAGCCACAAGTCGTTCGTTCTCGAACCTATTACGGAATCGGAAAGTCCTGTTATAAAGTAACAATGCCGCATTTATATTAATCATTTACTGCTTTTCATTATATATTAGTTGGCTTCCGAAATAGCCCTCTTCTCCATGAATGTTTTGAAATCGTAATTTTCTCCAGCAGAGTAATCGTAGTAGTTGCTTTCCCGCAGCTCAATTCTTGGTTTTGTCTTTGTTACCACAGAATTTACTGGCAAGCGTTTACCTTGGGGTGCCTCCACATTCTTGGCCAGATTTCTTCCTGCCAACGCAGCCCGAGCTCCCCGAAGTGATATTGGCTCCCGTTCACGTCTAGTTGCTATCACAGACTTCACGTGAAAGTTTGTTTCTGTAGGTGTCCAACTTGAGGTTGTCATGTCACTAGCCTCCGATGCAGATGAAAGCATTGAGTCTGATCTCTTAAAATCGGCCCTGGCTAAATCTGAGCGCTTGAAATCAGATCGAACAACCCAATCGTTCATATAATGAGAATAAATGCTCAGCAAATCATCTCTATCAATATCATTTCCCAAGTCCATGTTATTTGTGTCGTCATCTTCATCGACAAGTACAACCTCCACATCCTTTCCATCTTTGGTCTTCTCAATAACTGACTTGTAGGATAGCTGCGAGTCTTTACGGGTGATCATGCAAAGGTTGTAACTATCTTTAGTAAGATCAATGAGAACACTATTGTTATCAGTAGGTGCTGTTGACATGGTTTCTCTAGCAGTTCTACTGGACTGATAACTGGATGCAATGTCAGAGCCTCCGGCAGTGAGATACTCTGAGTGTGATGATCTGTTTGTAGCAGATAAACTGGAGCCCTGGTAGTAATTAAGTGGAGCCTTGATGTGGAACATATCCTCCTTTTGTGGAACCTTGGTAGCAGTTTTGAAATCCACCGCATATTGGACCTTTTTAGGAGGTTCGGCAACAACAATTTTTGGACTAGATCCTAAAATCTCATCATTTGCAAGATTCATACGGGTCTGTGGAGTAGGAGGAAGCTCTTTGGAAACAATGGAAACATCTGCTGTAGATCTTGATCTGCTGTGCTTGCGTATTGGAGAGGCTTCGCTATTGAAGCCTTCAAAGTCAATATTGTACATGGATCGTTGTCTAGCATGACGAACTGGTGATTTGGCTGGAGATGCTTGAAGAACAGGCGTGGACACAGATTCTTCAATGGGGGAGAGCTTCGAAGATCTCTTTTTGTTCAACTTAGTGAATTGAGAATTGAAGGAAGAATCGCTATCAGAATCTGACGAATGTTCTCCATAGATCGATTTAAAGTGATCCCTTGCTGCTCGAGAGGGCATCCCAATGGGCTCGATGATATCTGAAGCCGATTCTGTACCAGAAGAAATGCTGCCATTGACTCTGACAGTTTGCGAATACTTTTCTTGGATGCTCAAATCATCCAAGTCAGGAATCTCAATCTGGCCAGTCGATGACATAAGACTATAAGCAGAATGGCTATTCTTAAAAGAGTTTGGAGCCTTTTTCTTCGAGGCCGTGTTAGTGATATTCGACTCGTTGTTTGGGAAATTGAAGCTTCTTCCAGCACCATTATTGCTGGCGTCGACTTCGGGTTTCTCCAAGGACTCTTGCCCACTCTTTACAATATTAAGAGGGAGAATCTCTATCTCCATTGTCTCGTCAACTTCCAGTGGAGTCAGCACAACCTGGTTAAGAGTGGTGTCTTCAATATCGGATGTATTAGACAAACTTTCTTTCAAGGTGAGGTCAAGACTCTTCTGAAGAGAATTCCATGACGAGTGAGAGCCCTCACTGGATTCAGATGTATATGACTTGGTCGATACATTTCGGGAGAGATCAACCTGTGGAGGTGGGATGAGTGATTGGCGTGATTGAACTGGCTGTTGTTTGGATATTGCCAGAACTGCCTGTATTCTCTGAGTCTGTGGGACAGGCTGGTTCCTTTGAGCCAGATGTAGCAGAGAATCTCTGAAGTCAGCTCTGGGGCTATAGTTGAACGGATAGGTGTTGAAATAATCACCAACAGAACTGAAAGAGCTGACAGAAGAAACGTGAGATTCATCTGAAAAGGTCCGCTTGTCGATTCGAAGCTCAGTTGTAGTGTTGTTAAGGTTATGATGGAATGCAGTGGTGTGACTAAGACCCAAGCGAGCATCATGACGTTCAGCAACCAATGGAGGCGCCAATTCTTCTTCAGGAGAACCAGATGCTGAGGATTTAGAATATTCGTGAACTCTCGAAGTTCCCAGAAGTCTCATAATTTCCACAATTTCGTTCGTCTCTGGCTGTATTGATGTCTTGGTGAGCTCGAACGCAGACTCAACAGGTGAAGGTTGAGCGCTGAGAACAGAGCTCCCAGCGGAGTCAGCAAGCAATTTTGCATTAATTGAATTGGAATTGACACCAGAAATCACCCTATTCGCCACTGGAGCCTCCAAAACAGGCTCCATATCTGGAGGTGGTTTTCTCAGTAGACGTCTAGATAGCGAGTGACTGGAAGGCAGTGGAGATACGGGGAGCAGCGTTAGAGCTTTCGATTTAACACTGTTTGCTCTTGTGGATGCTTCCTCGATCATACTGAGTTGGTCAAGGGGAATTGAGTTTGTTTTCTGGACGAATTTAGCCACCTTCTTGCGGCTGGCTGTCACTGACGGAGGTTTGGCGATAGAAGGTGAACCGGGGTTGCTTCTAGGTCCCGAATAACTGACATCTGCAGAGTCAACTTCGTCGAATTCCATGGCCTCATATGAGCTGCCGTTGAACACCAATTTGGATGGAGTCGACTTTGGAGACAGTTGAGGTGACGTTGAAGTCCTTGGAGTGGTTGGAAGCGATTTAGACAACTTGGGAGGCAATTGCAAGGTGAATGGGATGGGAATGGCAAGGTCAGCCCTTGAGATGTGCAATTTTTTGGAGATGGGTGACCGACTCAACTCTCGAAAGTTAGTCGAGATGGAGCTATTGACTGAGAATGTCGACAAGAGATCGTCATTGGAATCCGCCAGGTGTCGGGAGGGAAGTGGAGGCATCGAGAGCCTGTTCATGCTCTTCACAGGCGATGAAGACCGGGCCCTCCTTGTGGGCGAGGCAAGCGAGAGGTTGACAGATCCCACATCTAAGTCGTCCACAGACTTGTGTTTGTTGAGCGCTACCATTTGAGGTTGTAGCAGGGGAAGTTTGGAAACGAGAGGATGTCAGAAAGAAGGTTGATAAAAAAACTAACTAATGCAGTGTTTCGGTCAAATAATTGGGCTTGTAATTAGCGACCTTAATTGAACATGGGCACTGGCATCCAGGTGGAATATTTACCTCTGGGCCCAATTAGGCAGGTATCCGATGGGGGAAGCATGATTTGCTGTGGGCAAAAGGACCCAATGAATGCATGCAAGCCGGAATGCTGTTGAGATACCATGTCTAATTTGAGGCTTGAGCCACATTCTTTCTTGTTACTGTCGTCTCTGGAAGCGATCACGCAACCGATATAGCTTAGATATAACAAAGTCTTCTACATACTGCACAGTTAAATTGATCGCCATATTGACAGGTATTTTGTGCGAGAGGTTGAAGTGAGGGCGGGGGGTGATGGGAGAGCCACATGCGGCAGTATTTCTTATTTTCGAGATTTTTTATTTCCGTTATTTTTTTAATAACTTTCTTGCAAGTGCTGCTTACAAGCAACCGTTACATTCAGGGCCTGCAACATTGGCCGTATATTTGCGAGGTGGATTGGTGACTTTTCTGCAGTGCGCTTCCGTAGATCTGTGAGTACACTGTATAGAAAATAGAGTAGTGAGTAAAGCCTAAAGTAGGTAATCGAAGCACTCAGCCAACGTCCGAGGCAGACCCAGTACACATAAAATTCCCAGTCTTTGTCAGCATGAAGGTGTTCGACGGTATCAAATTCCTCATAGTGGATACCCACGATGAAGTTTACCTGGTACAATGGATGCAGAAGCTCATTAGTACCAATGGTGGAACACACATTACGAAATCGCCTGAAAACACCAAGGGAATCATAGAAAGGGACTCCATTTCCCACATAGTCAGTAGTACCAGTGACTTTGCCGAGTTTGGACGCGCGTCTGAGCTCATGGTGCCAGTGACAAGACCCGAATGGTTACAAGAGTCTCACCAAGCTAACCAGAGACGAAACTACAGACTCTTTGCACCCCTGCCACTTCCATTCATGGACAAGGTGGTGCTTTGCATCGCAGACAATCTTCCTGAGGGCGACCGTGACGTGATCTACACGGCTGTTCGAGTGTTTGGCGGCCAATACTTAGACGCGTTGTCTCGATATACCACGCATTTGGTGGCCGTGGACCTTTCCAACAATAAGAGCGTGGTGGCAGCCAACATTAAGAAGAAGGAAGGTTTGGAGATCAAGATCGTACTTCCACATTGGATCGATGATTGCTTGAAGCAGCAGAAACACGTCGATGAAACGCCTTATCTTCTATCAGACCCAGTGGTACTCCAGTCTGGAAAACCCAACTTTGCCACAGACCAAGAAGACGACGATTTGGAACTCTCTGGCCCGTGTGACATTTTGAAGGGCAAAACTCTTTACTTGGATGGTGACTACAAACTAAGTGAGCACTTGGTGGACGCCGTTTCCTTGCTTGTGAAGAAATGTGGAGGAACCTTGACCACCGAATTCGAAATTGAGAACATCGACATTTACCTTGGAAAATACAGGCAAGGCGACGAATTCCGCCAGTGCTTCAACAATTCTAACATCGAAGTGGGAACCTTCCTGTGGCTCTGTTACATCATTCTGAGGAAAGAGTATATTTTGCCTCTAAAGTCTAACCTTCTACATTTCCCTCTTCCAGATCCAATCATTCCAGAATTCCAGAATCTTCGCATCAGTGTCACTGGGTATAGTGGAGACGCCAGGTACTACTTGTCGCAGCTTATAGTGGCGATGGGTGCAACATTTACGAAAACGCTCGATAGTCACAATGACTTCTTGGTGAGTGCTAAGTCTAGTGGGGAAAAGTATGACGCAGTGAAGAACAAGTGGCCCAAAATCTCCCTTGTCAATCACATATGGGTAGAGGAATGTTTCGCCAAATGGAAGTACTTGAATCCAATGAGCAAGAAGTACTCCGGTGTTGATTTTGGATCCCCCTACCTTGGAAAAACCCGTCTACTGAAGCATGATCTAATTAAATGGACTAGTGATGGTAGCGAGGCGCTGGATGTTGAAGATAGCCTGAACGAGGATGCCCACAACGACGAGGATATCTCTGACCACCAGGCCGTTGCCTCTGAGCAAGCAAGCGGAATTACTAAAGAGTCTGCTTCTGCGACCTTATCTCCCACACCAGCTCACAGCGACGAGAAGCAAAGTATCGAAACGCCTAGTAAACAGGATGAGGGGGATATAGTGGAAGTTCATGAAGTTATAAATGTACCCACCCAGGTGCCAGAAAGAGCTGGTAGATCAGCAAAGAAGAAGGCAGAGATGAAGCTCCATTCAGATATGGAAGATTTGAATGAGTATCTCTCGATGTCGAAGTCGCTGAGAAAGATGAAGACTTACATGGAAGAGCTTGACAAGTCAGTCGGAACACCGACCAAGAAGCGTGTAAGTGATGACTTTAAATCTGATGAACAGGATACCCCGGCTAAGAGAGCCAAAACTGAGTCACCAAAGGCCAAGAAGAAGATTGAAAAGCCCGTGCATATGGTTGCCATAATGACGGGATGTGAACAAGAGTTGGTCTTGAACCGAGCTGAGATTGTCAAGCTTTCTAAGGTTGGAATTCATGTTGTCAATGACACCAATAGCAAAAAGCACATAGATACCATTATTGCCCCAAGAGTGCTCCGGACAGAGAAGTTTCTCATCAGCTTAAGTAAAGCTTCTCAAATTGTTCACCCCAGCTATTTAGCGGATGTCTTGAAGAGAATAACGAATTCAGAGACTACATGGGAAGAAATATCCAAGGAATTTAATATTAAGGACTATTATCTTGATAAGGTGGTGCCCGTGAAACAAATCAACGACGAACTAGGCATCAATGGAGTTACTAGCGGCTTAATTAGCTTGCTTAAACATGAAAACGGATTAGTATTTAACAGCTTGCAGTTGAACTTATCAACGAATTTGAACGGCGGAGCAACGCTCATTGCGGGCATTCTTGAAGCACATGGCTTGGCCAAATCTAAACAAATTAAGCTTTCTTCATCAACATCGAAGTCTCAATTATTGCTGAACGAAGATGGGAGATGTATCTTGATTGCCCACAAAGTGAAAGACAAGAAGATTGTGGCCAGCCTCCAAGATGTCATAGCAGTGGACTGGGACTGGTGTGTTAAAAGCATCTTTCATGGGAAGCTCGACAACTACAGCAAATATAGTGTTGGGAAATAATACAGATCTATTGCTATTCTTTTAGACTTGAATTCTTAGCTCAAATGTCAATCAAGCTTGGTTCATCTTTAGAGTTACCAAAACCGTAGCCTGTGGCAGCAGGCTCCATTCTGCCATGACCAGCCAAATTTCCAGATGTGGCAGTGTTTCCAATGCCAGTATTCAAAAAGGGATTACCTGTAGCATTGGAGCTCAACCGTACATTGCTCGTCTCCTGGCGGTAACCTGTACCCTGGGAATTGATGAAGGTTCCGGTTTTTGTGTGCTGGTGAGGAATACGTGTAGCACCTGTATTACCAAATGTGTCAATGCCCGTGCCCGTAGCCAAAAGCGCGTTAAGTTCGTGACTATCATTAAATCTAGACGACTGTGTCTGCTGTCTTGCAGGCGATGTTGGAGCTTGAGGCTGGGTGAAGAAGGCTGGTTGCTGCTGCTGTTGATTCTGTTGCTGTTGCTGAGCCAAGTTATTCAAGGACTGTTGCTGTGGCTGCAGTTGCTGTGGTCTTGAGTCTTGTAGAGCAAATGGATTGTTAGATCCAGTTTTCAAAGGCTCCAACCTGTCTGGTGAATTGAGTCCGTTGTTAAACCCTGTGTACTGCGGGATCTGGGGCTGAGTGTATTGTGGCTGCTGGAATTGGCCATATTGACCTTGTTGGTAGTATCCAGTGGGTTGGATAGGGTTTCCGAACATGTCGTACTGTTGCTGAGGCTGTGCGTAGAACGTTTGCTGAGGCTGGAAGTATTGAACTGGCTGAACGTAAGCGTACTGTGGCTGGTACTGTTGTGGGGTGTCGTCCAAGTCCAACAAGTTTTCGTTCTGTCGTTCACGTTTGCGCATTTCCTCCTCCTCAAGAGAGAGCTTGAGTGCAGCCTGAAGTTCTGGATCGTCTTCATCTTGGTTAACCGGGCGCCGGCTCTCCTGCTCCGCGGTTTCTCTGGAGAGCTCCAATGCACGTTGCAAGTCTGCATCGTATGGTTCCGACAGTCTCTCCTGTCTGCGTCTGTTGCGGCTGTTGTTAGTGGAAGATTTGGCATTCAGTCTCTCTCTGGCAAGACGCTCGTCGTCTCTCAAAAGGGCCACCAACTCCTTGGCCTTGACACGGATAAGAGCACCCTGGTCGTTGTTGGCCTCGTCGAAGTGTACAAATTCCCGCAATGTCTTGATGATGTAGAGGTTATCCTTGGCCCAGAGCACACACTTCTCGGAACCAAAGCGGACCAAGTAATCCAACACAGTCAAAGATTTGGCAACATGGCGCCAGTTCTTTCCCTTATCGTTCAATCTGCGGTCAAGCATGTCCATAATCTCCAAGAACTCAGTTTGTGAGTTATAACTAGAGGCCGAGATCTCTTCCATGTCGTAGGTAGTGGGGCCCGACGGATCATTGGATGTTGCTTTTCTGACCAAGATCTGTGTGGATGAGTAGCCATTGGCCACATTTTTGATGGAGCGGACGATTTTGGACATGTCGCTATGAGTAAGTGGGGGAGAATCTGTAGATCGAAATTGATAGGGGCGGAGGTGGGTGAGAGAAACCCGTACACCACACACCTAAAATGAAGAGACTATTAGTAGAGGATAGGTGGAATATGGAGGTATTAGGAAGTTTATGAAGATGGAGAGGGAGGTCTGAAGCAGATTTCTAAAAGTTTTAGATGTGGATGGATTGGTGGTGGGGAGATGGTGGGAGATGGGGCATTAAGGAATTAATTGGACTGCGAAGTAGCAAGAGTGGATAGAGCGAGTCGGAGGGAGCAACGGGACCAAGGAAAAAGCGAAGAGAAATGAAGTTTTGGATTTGTAGATTTTTGGATGCAGTTGAGTTTTGCTGATTTTAATGGCGACCTCATATTCATTTGATCTTGTTGAGGTTTTTATTGTGGAGGCATGGCAACCATTGTTCATGATATTGTGCGTCAGTTGAGAATCCAGGAACAGATTTCTATTGATTTAACGAAGGGAGTGTTTAGCCAATTCTCCCAAACAAATGATTTTTCATCTTCCAGACGTATTTATGGCAATTCCAATTGATTTGAAGTTTCTTCTTCTGAAAAAGTCTCTAATGAAATCTTATATATTCAATTACCTCACTTGCAGTCTCTCCCTTCAAGAATCTCAACCCAGAGAAATGTACTTTTGGACAAACAAAACTTGAAGTAGAGAAACACCTTCCTAAGTTCTCTAAATTTCAAGAAAAGAAAACAAATAAAAAAGTTTTTACAAAAGTTGCCTTGCTTCATCTTGGCTCTCAAGATTTTCAGTTTCTGACGAATTTCGCAATGCCTCAACTCACTACCAACCTACAAGCATCCACAAAAAATCACCATTTAGGCTAAAAACCATGAAAACTATACAACAATCCAAATTTTTAGAACTTCTATTCAACAATCCATTTCACTAAATCTAATTTTTGTCTAATTTTATTGATTTCTACAACCTCAGCCCACGGTATTTCACTTTGGCGGCCAAATTTCGCGCACAGCTCTTACTAAGATTTTACCCATATTTCGCACACATTTTCACTCACATTTCACCCATATTTTGCACCCAATTCGCATCTCGCACCGCGACCACATCGTTTCCTGCACTAGCATCATTTCCAGGTGATGCCCCATCTCTTCCCATTGAAAACTATATGAAATCATCTCCAATTTTCACCCCATTATATATCTCCATGTACACACCCTTACCTCCTTACAAATGCTTGTCTTGCCACCGACCTGCAAATAGACCCCATCCCTATCATCTGTGTGCCCCACCGCCTATGCGTGTCCTGCCCAATATCTCCCATCATAATGAACTTTTTTCTAAACATCTGAACCTGTCGAATTCACACATACCTCTCCTCTCAAAATGATGCTCTACGAAGGTGACGTAAGAAGATGTCGGCGCTGCAAGCGTAGAAGAATGGACGACGAACCTCCTGAAGTTCAACAGTACAAAACTTGTGCAAAGTGTCGAATCATTGAACGCACTAAGAAGAAGCTGAGAAAGCCTTTGGCCGAGGAGACCATGCGTTACGGCATGCGCCAGTTCCAGGAACAGAACCAGAACGCAAACTTCATCCATGACGATATCTTTTCCAATGATCAACTTCTCACCGACTTACAGTCTAATAGAGACGTGGTTCCTAACCCACTGAAACAGCTGTACAACACCCAGTTTGCCATTTACAAGCAACCAGCGCTGCTGTATGCGTCGCAGGATGCCACTCCAACCAATGGCTCCAACTACAACTACTCCTACCAGGCTGGTGCAGCTAACTACCCTGGTCAGGGCATGAGGTCAACTCCAGGCCAGACTGGCGTGGGTCTGAGCGGCCTGTCGGCATTCCATCTGCCTCAGTTAGGTCTGAGCACCCCTTTCGGCGGCATGGGCACCCGTTCAACCGCTCCAGGCGCTCCTTCATTGACTGCAACCGCCACAGCCATTGCTGCCGCTGCCATTAACAGAAACGACCTACAATTGGGTACTGTCGGCGGAACGGGTCTGCACCAGTACAAGGCGTACCCAAAAGGACATGGAGACCGTAGTCGTCTTGTAGCTCCAACCAATTGCGAGCTTTGTGCTTCCAAGTTGGACCCGGAGGATACCATGAGTGCTATGTACAGATTGTGCAAACAATGTTACTCGGATCCTTACTCGCGTAAGGCGGTGTACAGCGACTTCAACGATTTCTTGTTGGAGGTGGTCAACAACAAGGACTCCAGCACAATGACTTACATCTCTGAGTTGGCTCCATACTTAGTGGAACTGCTTAACACGAACCGTTCCATCTCATCAGAAGAGCAGTTCCGTAAGGTTATGTTGGACTCTTTTGGTCTGATATACGTGGATCCCTTAGTGGCGCTGTTGTCTCCTACCAAATTCACTCGTGTGCTGCACAACATTGCTGAAGTCAACCACACTTCGCCAGTCATGTCCAAAGTGAGCCACCAGTACCACTACACATTGACTCCACCGCTCAGAGCGTCGTACTTGGGCAGCAATGACGCCGTCACGGTATCTTTAGATTTATTTTTTGTCACAGAAACAAATTTGATTGTCATTAAGAAGGTCTCGAAGAAGACCGCTACCGACTACACCGTTGCGTTCTTGAAGTCACTCGACGATCAAATGAAAGCCAAGGGCCTTAATTTTAATGATGATCCTCTTAAGGTTTATGCGACACTCAAACTCGAGAGTGTACCAGCCAACCAATTTGTTAAGGATTTCGTGACCTTGCAGACACAGATTGCCAACATCCGTAAAAATGAAGCATCTGCTGGAGACTTGAATGGCAGCCTGTCTACTGCTCAGAATGGTGCTGGTACGTCCAACCATGAAGCAGAGCATAACGACTCGCTAGTTGAAGCAAGCAAGAAGGAAGACGAGGATGACGAGGAAGAGGAGGAAGAGGAGGAGGGAGAAGAAGAAGAAGACGCAGAAGAAGACGACGAAGACGAAGATGAGGATGACGAAGACGACGAGGATTCAGGAGACGGAGATCCCGATGACTTGGATCCCATGTTCGCACCTTAGCCAAGTCGCACCATTAAGAAGTAAGAAAAAAGACCAGAAAAAGAGAGTTGAAATTCGAATGGAAGCTTTCGCTAAAAAAAAAAAAATTACAGATGGATACTCCGAAGTAGTGGTGCTCGTGGATCCACCAACCGCGGTTTGAAGTACCGCGTTACAGTTATTGTATAGTATAGCCACACAGTTCCCTCATTGCCAGACATCGGACACCAGACACGGTGAGAACAGAATGCATAGAAGCTAGCATGATTTCTAGCCAGGAGGTACATCAGATCTAAAAAATTCACAAATACCAACGTCGATAATCCCAAGCCCTTACACTGAAATTAGGGATATCGCCGATTCTACGCCTCGATCTCTCGTTTCTAACTCGCCATGAAATTTTCACTCGTTGCGCTAGCGCTTTCGCTCTTGACTGCGGTCCAGGCTGTGTGGCTAGATACCAATAATGTCACCACCATTAAAGAGGCCACCGCCCTCGTTGCAGAGGGTCTTCTCAACTATTATGAAGGTAACACCTACGGAGGTGTGGTTGGAATGTTCACTTGGCCATATTATTGGTGGGAAGCTGGTGGAGCATGGGGCTCACTTCTTGACTACACCTTCTACATGGAAGATGATAAGTATTCCGATCTTATTATGACAGCACTCACGTATCAGGTGGGTGATGACTACAACTACATTCCTCTCAATCAGTCGACCACGGAAGGTAACGATGACCAGGCCTTCTGGGGTATTGCGGTGATGTCTGCAGCTGAGAGAAATTTTACCAATCCAACAGATGACCGCTTGGCGTGGTTAACCTTGACACAGGCCGTATTTAACACCATGAGTTCGCGTTGGGACAACCTGGAGTGTAATGGAGGTTTGCGTTGGCAGATTTTCCAGTGGAACTCTGGTTACGATTACAAGAACTCTGTTTCCAATGGTGCTTTGTTCCACTTGAGTGCCAGATTAGCCAGATACACTGCTAATGACACCTATGTGGACTGGGCCGAGAAGGTCTTTGACTGGATGTACGGCGTGGGCTTATTGACTGAGGGCAACTGGTGGTTTGTGTATGATGGAGTCAAGGTCGCTAACAACTGCTCCAACATCACCAAGTTGCAGTGGACTTACAACCAGGGTCTTATGTTGGCAGGATGTGCTTACTTGTACAACTATACTCTCGACGAGAAGTGGTACAACCGTACGATGAGTCTCTTGCATGCTGCGCAAGTGTTTTTCTACAACAAATCTTCCGATGCCGTGATTATGTACGAGGCTGCATGTCAGTCACCAACATCGGCTGCATTCTCATGTAACAACGACCAGCGGTCGTTCAAGGCATACTTTTCGAGATTCTTGGGTTTGACCTCCATTCTCGTGCCTGACACCTACGACACTATCCGGAAGTGGCTTGTGGACTCAGCTAATGCGGCTGCCTGGTCATGTGTTGGAGGCACTGACGGCCATACATGTGGACTTTCTTGGACAAACGGTACGTGGGACGGAACCTGGGGTCTTGGAGAACAGATGTGTGCTTTGGAAGTGATGCAAAACTTGCGTGTTCGAGACTTCCCTGGTCCACTCACTGCCAGTACCGGAGGATCCTCCGTGGGAAACCCTGCTGCCGGATACTCACAGACGGCCACCGATGCTGTGCCTCTCAAATTGGGAACTGGTGACAAGGCTGGAGCCAGTATTATCACTGCTGTGATTGGAGCTGCTGTGGTTGGAGCTGGAGTGTGGTTAGTGATTTGACCAGACAATTGTTTAAAAATTTAACATATTATGAAAACGTGTAGAGCATTCATGCAGCTATGTAGTTCAATTTGGGTCAGGTCTATTCTCAAGTTCATACTATGTTCGCACATTCCGAATCCCCATTACTTGTCGACAATACAATACAACCTTGATGATTGAAATAAAATAAAGTAGCTACCTATAAACATCAAATACTATAAATCAGCTCTTACTTCATCAATTTTCAATGTTTCAACTTTTTAACAATATCTGAACGATATCCATCCATCCTATAACTACTTCCCCAGTCGTGCGCAGTCCACTGATAAGTACCTGGAGCATCCACAACTTCCTATCAACTACGGGAGTTAGAAACCATGAGCTCCGAAGACGCATTTTCGTCCATCCAATGGGATAGAGAAGACAAACCAGAGCCGCCAACTGCTGTTGAGGATGCGATCATTGAAGAGGCCAGCCCCTCCAACTCATTGCTTCTCGCCACAGAACCTCCCATTGAAACCTCCAGTTTGAACATGAATCAGCCCACAGACGAGGTCGAAAAGGGGCCTGAAGTCGATAACGAAGAAGCTGCCGCAGCATCTGAACCTGAGCCATCTCAGCAGACCGAAATCTCCCAGAATGTGACAGAAGCATCTGTGGCGGACGTTTCTGGCCAACAAACCACCCTTGACGAGCCTCCAGCACCGGTGGTGACCGAACCATCCAAATCAGACATCGAGCAGCGCAGAATGGAGGAGCAGTTTCAGAAATACTTCATCACGCTGCATGTGAGCCATCCTATCAGCGACCGAGATGGCAACTCCAAGTCGTTCATCTCTTACTTGGTGACAACATCTACGGACCACCCAGACATCAAGAAGCTTTCCTCAAACAAGCCAGAGGCATCCGAGAATGATAAAGGGGTTATCACTGTTAAGGTGCGCCGGCGGTACGGTGATTTCCGCTTCTTACATGACTGTTTGATCAATGACTTCCCCCAGCTTTTGGTGCCTCCGCTTCCTCCCAAGCTGAACTTCAAATACTTGACTGGTGATACATTCAGCACACTGTTTGTACACAAGCGGTTGCACTCACTCGACCGCTTCTTAGAGTTTATCTCTCTGCACAAATTGTTGTCGCAACTGGCCATATTCCACTACTTCATCAGTGAATCGGCCGAGTGGGCGTCATTTACTAAGAACTTGAAGATTGCGAAAGGAGGAGAAGACCACGAGCAGCTGATTGTTGGCAAGGTGGTTAACGAAGACTTGTTGACGGAAACAGTGATGAATTTCTTCACATCTTCAAAGCATAAGCGCGAGACAAACAAGGACATCTTGGAGATCAGCGACAAGTTGAAGAAACTATATGAGAACTTAATCAAGCTCGATAAGATCTTCAGCAAACTCAACAAGAAAAACAGTGACTTGAAGGTAGATTACGAACAGTTTCTGGAGCAGATCGACAAGTTGGCGGCCGTGCAGAACGCTACCAACGTCGCAAACGAGCTGGGTCAGGTTGATGCTAATAGATCCATTGCATCAGTTTCAGATGGCCAAAGTGCTGTCAACAACTTCAAGGTGTTCTCAGAATCTCTCCGCTTCTTCCTGGAGCGCTGGGGCGACTTGCATCGATACATTGACGAGTCGTTCTTAGTATCTTTGAAGGACTGTGCCAAGTATATTGTGCGGTTTACGGACTTAATCGAATTGCAACATAACAAGAAGATTGATTTGAAGGTTTTGGAGGACTATTTATTGAAGGTTCAAACCGATCTAGCCAACATGGGTGGAGGTCCCGCCGGAGGTGGACACCAGCCTCCTCCAAACCCTGTCTTAATTGGACAACAAAATGGAGGAATTGTTAACAGTACCACCCAGCTAATTAAGGATACATTGTCAACGTCGGCTACTTCGCACATTGGCTCTACCAATGCAGACAATAAGAAGTTCAAGCTTAGGCAGAAGATCCAGCAGCTTGAGCAGGAGATCAAGATGCAGACAGAGGTGGTAAATGACTTGACCTCTCGGATCATCAACGAGGAGTATCCGAATTGGGACAAGTTTAACAAGAATCAGTTGAAACAGTCGATGGTGGGGCTCTGCGACCAGGAAATTACGTTCTACAGGGGTTTGGTTGACAACTGGAGTGAGGTGGAGCTTAAGCTCATGAAACGAATTGATGAACTCAGTTAAGGGGTAGGTTTTCTGCGAGAATTGGTGAGAATAATACCTAGTGCTATATTTCGAATAGGCGCAATACAATTTTCGAAGGGTACAACACCATTGATTACCACTAATCACAAAGAAGAATAATTTATACAATTCACTGGAACATCTCACTCGCAGGTAATTCGTTTCATATTATTTTTATTTTTATTTTTATTTTTTCTCTATTATTATTTACTCCATAGTCCATCAATTGCCCCAATAGTCACGTCCTCAGCCCTTACACGTGCAGAACATCACGTGCAATAATAGCCTTGATATCCGGCCCAAACTTGGCAAGGTTACAACCATAACCTCCATGCGTTTTCTAACAACCGCATTGGCACTTGCTGGTGTCGTAGCTGCCAATAAGGTAGCAATAGACAATGATGTCAATAGTCAGATCTGTGAGGGTATGTATTCCAAACACGATTGGGGAGGATCAATCACTCCTCATATAGGTATCTGGCTCGACAAGTTTGGCAAAGATAAGTTTAACCCGAAGAAGCCCGACGCCGAGCCGCTGGAGAAAATTGAGGTCAGCTACGTTATATTCGAGTACAAGGATCTCAGCCACTTGGGAAAGGTCGACCCTAATACGGGAGTGAGGGTGTACATTTGCTCAGAGAAGGCAATTGAGGCTGGTCTCTGTGAAGAGAAGCTGTTGGGTAACTTCTTGGTGGATGCCGATATTACCAACACGACGGTGTATACCGCAAAGTTGACGCACTTGGGCCAGGCGAACATCACGTATCTCGTAGAGAAAACCGGCTACTATTGTGTGTCTACATACATCTCCGACAGTACAAAGTACCTGGGCTCCGTGAACTTCCAGAATGCTTTCGGCCAGTTAAGTGCATCAGAGATTCCTAAGTTGCCAGCATACGGCATCTTGACGCTTTGTTATGCGGTCACCATGGCATTGTATGGATTCCAATTCTTCAAGAAGCGGAAGCAGAACCAGATCTTGCCTTTGCAGAGATACTTGTTGGCCATGTTGGCGTTTTTGACCTTCGACACCCTTGTGCTCTGGTCCTATTTTGACTTAGTCAACAGAACACGTAGTCAGAACTGGTTCACCAAGTTCTACATGGTGTTCTTGTCGATTATGAATTCAGCTAAGATGACGTTCTCGTTCTTCTTATTGCTCCTCATTGGTCTTGGATACGGTGTGGTGGTGTTGAAATTGCCTAAGAAGATTATGTTCCGCTGTAAGATTCTTGCCGGATGTCACTTTGCTGCCTCCATGATCTACCTCATTGGCAGTTACCACAATGCTGCCAACGGCTCGTCCACATCTTCAAGCGACATCTCTTCGCAAGGTGTGGGCGCAAGCCTTTGGGTTCTTTTACCTCTTATACCCGTGACCATCACATTGACCTTGTACTACGTGCTTATCTTGTCGTCCATCAGAACAACTACCGCCAACTTGCACAAACAAAGGCAGGTGATCAAGTTGCAATTGTACGAGAACTTGTTCCGTATCATCTCATTATCAGTGATTTTCACCATCGGAGGCTTGGTATTGTCCAGTTTCATCTTCTTGAGTTTGTCAACTACTGAGGTGATTGAGCTGCATTGGAAGGGCTCATTCTTCATCTTCGACTTCTGGCCCAGTGTGATCTTTTTCTTCGTATTCTTGGGTGTTTCGTGGTTGTGGCGTCCAACCGAGACAAGTTACATGTTGGCAGTCTCGCAGCAGGTCTCTACTAGTGAGGGCCCTGAAGAAGGTGAACAAGGCGAGAATGGAGGTTACCAACATGGTCACGAGTTTGAATTGGATGACTTGTCGGTGATGAGCCACAGCGACGAGGAAACTGGTCCAAGAGACAGCTTTGAATTGAACAATCAAGGCATCCCTCGGGACGAGCCTCCAAAATACGAGTTGAGCACCTCGAAAGAGTCGGTACCAGAGGCTAGCAACACGCTATTTGAACTTGGAGACGACGATCATGATGATGAACACGAACAGAATTCGTCGGATAACCGGTTGAAGAAAAATGACTAGATACTATTAAGGTATTGTGAATAGAACATCAAAGATTCATTTGTATATTAGAATTACACGCCAGCCCACACAGTGCCACCATTGGAGTGCACCTTCTCAGCCAAGCTGCCCACCTTGTTGTCCCAGTCAACCAAGTGGTCATACAAGGTCTTGACCTGGTCCAAGTTCAAGATTCTGGGCTGCAACCATGTCACCACCAACACCTGGTCGAGTTGATTGATGAAACCCTTAATAAGGTTCAATGAGAAACACTTGATGATCAAGTGCTCTACCTCATCCTCAGGTGTACCTGTCACCGAGCTGATTTCCTTGAAGTTGATTCTTTTATTGGTTGTCAGCTTCAATGAGATTAACTCCAACAACGACATGATCACGATCTTCTGGTGCAAAAATGCCTGGTGATGAGCAAGCACAGGCGACTTCTGCGAGGCGATGGCCAACCACTCGTTGAATTTAGGCAAATTGCCAGCGTTCAACTGGTGAATGAGGTTGTACAACCAGAAGTACTGGCCCTCGGGCTCGCTGATGGAATTCAAGATATCGTGAAGGATCAACTCTCCAAAGTTGTAAATCTTGTCACCCAACAAGGCTGCCATGCAAATGTCGTAACAGAACAGCACCTTTTCGTCGTATGACAACGGAGTTTCTATGGAAGACAAGTACAACAAGCCGTTGGTGTAGAAAAGATTGTAGTTCTCGTGGATCTTGTAGTACTGGCACTTGGTCAAGTAGAATGCACCATTGATCTTGGAACTGAATTCGTTCTGTAAGGTGGACTCGAACTTGTCGCTCAAAGTGTCCAAAATGTCTTCAGCTTCCGTCAATTCACCTAATTGCAAGGTGTAGCGAGCAATTTGCAAGTTGACATAGATGACGGCCTCGTCGTTACTGATAAGATCATCCAAGTCGTCAACTTTTCTTGACGAGAGCTTCTTGGTCAACTCCACCACAATCAGATCTTTCAATTCCTTCAACTTATCCAAAGTGTCGCTGGGCGAGTCAAATGATTGCAACAAGAAATCCACAAGTTTGATGGGATTGAGTTTGTTCTGAAATTGCGACAAAAACATATTGAACAACTTTACTCTTAAAGAGCCCTCCTTGCTTTCTGGAAGACTGTAGAGCTGTTCCATAGCCAACGTCAACTGGTTCCATAACTTTCTTTCGTAGAAATCTTCCAACTGGTAGAGAAATTGCACAAGTTCTGGCGACTCCAACTCCAGTCTTATTGTGGCCAACACCGTGGAGATGTCGCTGTCAATATCCATAGCCGACATTACGTTATAAATGAAATAGATGTAACTTATTGATTCCTGTAATACTGAGCGTTGACTATGTGGCGAATCGTGCGAAGCCCAAATCGCTTACAAGAATCCACCATTGGAAACCAGAATTGCTAAAAAAAAACCTATATATACGAATCATGCTCACACAGAGCCATGCTCGTTCTCCGTGGTTTCGTCAATGAAAGTTCTTAGTTCGTTCCAAGAGACTAAACTCTCGTTGAACAACTGCTTTCCTGCACGGATGAAGTCTAACATGGCTGTCAACCACTTCTTCTCCATTGTCACTAAGTACTCGTCAAAGTTGATCTGCAAGTTCTTAGTGAGCTCAATAACATCTCCGTTGAATAACTCAATGAGCTGGTCGAGCTTGAGGAGTTCCTTCTCGATATGCTGTATTTTGTGCTGGTAGTGGCTGCTAAGATCTACCGGCTGCTCGTAATTGACCCCATTCTGTCTATAATTATTCTCTTCCGGTAGTGAAAAGGTGGTTTTGTTTCCTCCAAAAAGTCCGTACCATGATTTCTTCGTGTGCAAGTTGCCTCCCCGCCGTTGTTTTGTCTCTATCTTCCTAATTGCAGACTTAATGGACGGACTGTCGATATTTAGATCCTTCAAATGCTTTACCGAGTGGTGGGTGTTAGTGTAATTAGCAAGCTCCTGTGCTTTGTTGAATTTGAGCTTGTAAAGGAGTTTAAATTGCACGAGTTTGTACTTGTAGAACTTAATCAACTGCAATGCTGAGTAGTAGTACTGGACAAACTGGTCAATGGGTTCTTGCCAGTCAGGAATAACGTGCTTGTACAAGAAGTGTTCGAAGTTGAGGAAGCTAGAGTCCATGGTCAGGCCAAACCTCTCGATGGTCAATGAGAGCAGATTTGCATCCAGACTGTTCAACTCATGGATTTGCAAGGAGAAATTATTCATGTTGGCGCCCAATTCCACCAACACATTTACCATATGCTTCAAGTTCCTCACCGACCGATTGTTGAGCTTGTGGAGATCATGTAATACCTTGATGTTCTGGTGGAAGTTTATCTCGTAGTTAATCAATTCTACAGGGATTTCACCAAAAGCCATCTTGTTATCCTTCAACTCCGGCAGGTTGGACTCCTTGAGATCGAAAAGGTTGATTTCATTGTGTAACCTGTGCAAGTCATCGTTTAGCTTTTTGAGGCCAGGCAAGTTGTCAGTAGAGTCCAAATCGAAGCCGTTGACGGACGGCAAAAGCATGTACAAGCCATTCTGGTCTGTGGGATCATTCGGGTTCGAGAGCAAGAGATTCTGCGGGAGCATGCTGACGGGAGGCTCATTGATGGCGTTTTCCCAGCATAACTCATAGTTAGGATCCAAAAACTTGTGAAGCAACGGACAATTGCGCAACAGCGGATTCAGGTCAAACACTACGTCACGCAAGAAGTTGCGAAAGTAGCGTTTTCTCACCTCGATGACCAGAATCTCTTTGCTATTGTCAATGGAGTTGATCAAGTAGGTGATAAGTGTGTGCTTTTCCGGAATGGGCGGAATTATGGTGGTCGGGAACAATTTGACCAAGTTATCTCTGAGGGACTTGAATTCCGAGTAACGTCTCTTGACGATGATGGCGTCCTCTTGCTTGTCAAGGCGTAGTTCAATTAAGTACACAATGACGTTGGAGTTGACTAAGCGTTCAGTCAGAATAACATCAATGCGAAGTTTGGTATTGTTCAACATCTTCTTGATCTTCTGTGAGAGCCCAAGCGACGAGTTGACCAACGCGGTGGAGCTGAAGTCCATGTGGGGGTTGGCACCAGAAGTCTGGGGCTGCCGTGGCAGAGAGGGGCCGTCATGCAGCAAATTGTAAGGGTTGGCAAAAGTAGACGAGCTGTAGAACAGCGGATTGTTATCCTGTTCGATTTCGCCGAAGAGGCCGTCGTCGTCCATGATGGCGGTAGAAGAACAGTTATCGATAGTTTGAGGAGAGGTGTGCAGGAGATAGGTAGGGGTGATAAGGTGGGGACAGGCGGAAGGAGGACGAGATGGAGGATAGAAATGGCAGAGGAAAGTAGAGGTCTAGATGAATTTAATACTGAATTGGTTTGCCGTGGATGTTGGATTTCTGTTGGTTTTTTTATGGTGGTGTTATTTAGTGTAGGTAGAAGTCAATGACTATGGGCAGGTTTGGTTGCGGTGGGAAGAAGAGAGAAGAGGAGGAGGATGAGATGAGGATGGGTGGTGAGAATATGTATAGAAGAATGAATGTATATTTAAGGGAAATTTGGTAGGTTTATGAAGAAAGGGAAAGTTCTGAGTAGGTAAGATGATGAACCAGGCAGCAATTAAGGTGATTGAGAGGTATTAGTTGAGAGACATAAGGAAAGATGGTGATGACGAAAATATTGCGGGACCTTTGAAGAATTAACTACAAAGTAAGCTCAATTTATTAGCTTCCAGATTATGTTACTCTAGTATTCAAATACACTCAATTCATGTCGGTAGTTCAACTTGTTTTGAATCCTCAATTCACTTATTTGATCATTTCAACTCCTCCATATGATTAATAGTAATCTTCAATTACTTAAATCCACTTGAAGAATTCATAAACTGTTCTTAATATTCATAATGGCATTGAATGTTTGGATCTTGGTATTGTGCCACTTTGACTTCTCCCCATTTAATTCCATATTCTACACCTTGCACCACTCCAGTCAATTCTTTTCCGCCTTCACTCCATCAACTCGCTTAATTTTACATCTATGATTATACCCACCATGCCCTGTAGAACCTTCCACACTCACATCGGTTCTGCAGTAAGTACATTCCAAGAAAGGTAAAAGAACCACTGGACTCTCCAAATATTGGCAACACCGCCATTTTTCTTTAGATCTTAATCCGATCACATTTCTCTGGAAAAGTAGTCATCATCACCTAATCAATGTAGGAAGCGAGTGAGCCATTATCTCTAATCTGCCTGCGAATATTAAATTCAATGTCGAATTCGGATCTGGATTCTGATATTCCGATCTTAAATTCCGATCACAATTCCAACCTTCCATTCCCAATATATATCCAAACTACATATCCCATTTTTCCTCTTCCACCCATGTATTCCATTTTTCCATCGCCATTCTATCTGCCCCTCTTCACTTCCTTCGTCCTCTCCTCGTAATTGTAGACAGCCCGTTTCGGGCACGGCTGCCCTCCTTGCACAGTACATAAACGCGAATCCTTCCTCAATGCCAAAGATAGATAGATAATATCCATTAATTTAATGATAATGTCAAAGGACAAAAACCAGCAAAATATGCCAAATTTCTAACCTTCACGAAAATCTCATTCAAATACTCAAAGTACTAACTCCAATAACCTAAAACTGTCACTTTTTTACGTACCTTTCCATCGATTTCTCGAACCCACATAAATCGGTGGCTTGTTCTTCCTCACAATGCCTTCTGCACCTCTCATCCAATGTCGTACCTGCGCACATTGAATCAAGTCTACCAACCAGTTCTTTTTTTACCATCTTCTTGTTCCCATACGCCAAATTGGCCATGTCTTCTACAGCCAACCTGAAGAACTTGCGAGTTCTTCTCACCGCATGCCTCGTGCTTGTGGTGTTCAACATCATTTATTTCTTCCATGTTGAGGGAAGCGTTTCGGAATCAGTCGTGGAAAGCACCTTCAAGGACCACGCTGTCGCTCACGCAATGGCCAATCAAGATAATCAGAAACCCGAGCCTACCAATGAGCAGCCTAGAACTATTCTCAGGAAGTACTTCGACGACAGGGACCACGGCTTGGTGGTTATTTCTTCTGTTCACGGTGAAGTGGAAGACGACGATTTCGAGACAAGGGAGTTGGAGCAGATGATTGTCAAACACAAATATGCCGAAGACGAAAAGTTTGAAATAATCACCATCAATGCATACGACTACTCGTCGCTCTCCCAGGTGACTCCTGACACTCTGTTGGATGGAGCCCGAAAATTGGCTAAGTTCAAGGAGGAGTTCATGACTTTCATGTCGAACTTGATGAAGACAATCACAGCAGCTGAACCCGCATGCTCCAAAATCAACAACGACGCCCATTACCTGGCTGCCAAGAAGGAAAAGAAGTTCCCTAATAGGGAAGGCAGAATCCCTGTTTATGGTGGTCACTGGAGAGAGTCATATAAGAAGGAGCCTGTCAGAAACGAAGAGTACTTACTGTATTTTTTCCGTCCAACCGAGACTGAAATCCAGGCGCTTACCGATTCTCACCTGAAATTCGTCGCCGAGATGCCTGAGAGTTTCCCAGCCGAATTGAAAGAGATGGGCCAGGACGAGTCATTCATGCGTGGTGACGGTATCGTGTATTTGGGTGGTGGCAGATACAACCAGCTCGTGTTAATTTCCATCTCCATGTTGCGTGCATTAGGCTCCAAGTTGCCCGTGGAGGTTATCATTCCGAAACGTTCTGACCACGACATCGATCTCTGCTCTACAATCTTGCCAGCCTACAATGGTAAGTGTAAGATCATGGAGGATTACCTTCCAGAGCTGCTTACTAAGAATTTGGGAGGATTTCAGTTGAAAAACGCCGCTCTCTTGGTCTCTTCCTTCAAGAATATTCTTTACTTGGATGCCGATAACATTCCCACCGCAAATCCCGACTATCTCTTTGTCAACGAGCCCTTCCTTTCTAAGAGAATGATCATGTGGCCAGATTTGTGGCGGAGATCTACTTCCCCATCATTCTATCGCGTGGCAGGAATTACCTACAATGCTCAACATCGGGTTCGTAACAGCTTCTTCAAGACAGACCCAAAACTAACTAGTCCAGACGGCCCCTCCTTCCATGACTGTCTTGGAACTGTTGCAGATGCGTCCAGTGAAACAGGACAGATGATGATTGATAAGGAAGCGCATTTTTCATCTCTTATCTTGTCCATGTACTACAATTACTACGGCCCAGACTATTACTACCCATTATTAAGCCAGGGTGCCGCAGGTGAGGGTGACAAAGAGACTTTCATTATGGCGGCCCATAAACTCGGCCATTCATACTACCAAGTCAATGAATTTAACCGTGAGTTCGGGCCTGTGAATTCCAAAAAGAAGCACGAGTTTTTCGGAATGGGACAATATAATGCGATCATCGATTACATTGAGTCTGAACGTAAACAGGATAACGCACCAGAACACTACCCTGAGGATGAAAATGATGTCGACACAAACAACTACGAATTCCACTACCATCCATCTTATGCACTAATGTTTTTGCATGCCAACTGGCCCAAATACTACATCTCTGAAATGTTCTTACACAATGGTCTTGGCCGTGGACATAAAGATGATGAAGGAAAAAGAAGAAGATTGTATACCGACTACTTGAAATCTCAGACTGATCTGATTGATATCGAGGTGGAAATCATGAGACATATTAAATATTGGTTCTGTAACAGAAAAGTGCAGTTGCAGGATGTTCCAGGGCCGGATACAGAAGACAGAGAGAAAATCTGCAAAAATGTACTTGAACAGATTCAATACTTACAAGGATAGTCCTTCTGCATGGCATCGATATGCTTACAACGCTTAATGCAACGACAATCAAAGCAACCATCGAAGTTGCAAAACTTCTTCTAGAGTTCCACCCGCCTCGGCATATATTAGGCAATAGTGTTGGAGAAGAAGCCGGATTTCCTCAATCTCATCGATCATCTCAAGTCTTGATACTCGGGCGTGTTCTTTGGCATCGATCCACGAAGACCCCACATCAGAGTATCCTCCCATCAGAGCCATATCCGTCAACTTCACAGTGAAACCCAACGAGCTGTAATGCTGTTGCCGTGACTTGAGGTCTGGATACTTATGAAAAGTCTGCAAGTCGATACCTCTGTTTAATAGATTCAGCGCCATAGTTTCACCAAATGCATCTCCCAATCCCATCGGCTCATACACTAGAATAGAAACCCTCGCCAAGTACTCCTTCCAGAACTTCAACACCATCTCATTGTCTTCTGGAGTCAAGTAGCAGAGCACACACTCGCTGATTACTAGAGTGGGAACGGTTCTGTCCAAGAAGTCTAGCTTTTTCTCGCCTAGAACACTCAAACCCCGCAAGTCAAACCCTAAGAGGTGGTATCTGTCTGTATGTAAATCGGAATCCATATTTGCTAATTGCTCTTTGGACTCGACGATGAGCGGATCCAACTGAGATCCCACTATCTTTTGAAGAACGGGATTCTGACTGATAGCCAACTTTTTGATCTTAACAGACTCTGGGAAGTCGATCTCCACATATTTGACGTTTTGGTATTTCTCTAACACCCGGAAACATCTAGTATCTGAGCCCCCACCTAATGAGACGATCTGAACCGAAGGGTAACCACCAACGAACTCGTCCACAACACGATTGATGGCCACTGTACGGAAATAAGTGCCTCTGTTAATCAACGGAAACTTTCCATCTCTGAATGACGCTCGGAGTGTCCGGCCAGCAGATAATTGGGTGTAACCTTCTCCATAGGTGAGATTCCGGTCATAAGACTTGATAAGATCGGAGATGAACACATCTCGAGGCAGAAAGTAGCCCTTCTGTTCAGCACTGTATCTACAGCTCAAAGCATCGAGGTCTGTGGCACGCACCACCTTGTCCTGCTTTGCTTTATGGGAGAGCATGTTGAGATATAGAGTTGATCTTGGTTATAAACCCATACAGGTAGGTGGACAACTTGAGGGAAATTCGAGTGGATAACACGGAAGGAACAAATAGGATCGAGGAACGTATAGTAATTTGTAATAATGACAATATCTAAATTAAAATTAAAAAAATGCTATCAATGAATTTATTCATTTTACTTGTCTATTAATCAGCCTACACCCTTTCCACGATGGCCCACCAGTTATCCTTCTCATATCCAGAATCTACCACTTTTCCACCGGCTCTCACTGCGTTCTCAATCAATTCTCCCTTTCTATAGAGATGATAATATCTGTATTTCGTCTGAGGCTCTTCTTCCTTCTCTTCATTCTCGTTCTCCGCCTCATTTTCACTCGCCTTGTCCTTCTTGCTCTTCTTTCCCTTTTTCTGTAGAACCCAAGGAATTAAGATGTCCTGGTCATCTCCTTCCTTGTAACCTCTGCGTGACTTCTCTTGTTCCAAGGCCCAACAATATACAAGAAATTTTCCTCCAACCTTAAGTTTCAGAAGAATGTGTTTGATAGCCTCGATACGCCGTTCTTCTGTAGCAAAATGGTGGATTACTGCGATTGATATGGCAAAATCAAACCGATCATTTTCATGAGGAAGATGCAAACCATCGGCCACACAGAGTGAGTACTTTCCTTTGCTGATTTCCTGGGCACATCCCACCAATCCATCTGATCTGTCTGATCCAAGGATCTCCAACTTTTTGTTGACCCCCATGTATTTGCCGTTTCCACAACCCACATCGATTCCTATACTATAGTCCGGTTGGCTCATGAGGAACTTTTCCACTATGGGCCATGGCTTGTATCTTGTCTGAGAGAAGTGACTGGCAATTTCATTATAAACTTCGTGAACGTACTGCTCCTCTTGTGCTTGGGGCACTGCTTGTGTTTCTATAGGAATAGAAGGTACACTCATGATGATAATATTATTCAAAGTATTAATTAAGGAAGAGTGTCACTAAACTTCTTTCAAATAATGGGGCATTTAGATGTCAATGTATAGAAGCATCGATGCCTGCGCACGCTGCATGTCGATGTCCAGGTAACCAGAAAGATCCACCTCGTTGTGGAATATTGAATCTCTCGAGAATTCAGCCACTTTAGAAATTTGATCTCGTCAATCATCCGGGAGTTCTACATTGATTTGCATCGATACACTTCTAATTGACACAAGTACGGAATTTGTTACTGTGGATTATTCGACTTTTTTTGTTTAAAACCACTTGTCGCCATGCTCTTTCCAATTACAGTGGCTGCACTTTCTATCTGGTTGGCGCTTGCATATTTCAATTCTTGGGACCGAAAACTTGCCGAGGACTTACTTGGATATGTCACTTCCAGCTTTGCTGTTCGTCAAGACATCCATATCAGAGTAGGCGATCTTGGTCTACGATTCCCAGACTTGGTTGACGCTGCCCAAGCGCAATTGAACCACCGTTTGAAGGGGGCAAAGATCCCTTACGTGTATAATTTGGTGGATGAGATCCCCAAGTATGTGGTCAGACCTCGCAACATCGACTTTGAGCCCGAGGAAGTGATCCTCACACCAGTAGTCATCGAGACTGAAGTTCAAGATACAGAAACTAGAGCAGAAACGAAAACAGAAACAGAAATAGAGACTACTGCCATTGCTAAGTCTCCAAAGTCTTTCAATGCCAACTCGACTCTAAGGAAGGTTCCAGAATACTATATCGAGTTAGTTCTAGCAGATAAGGTTGCAATCTGGCTGGATATCCACGAATTGAAGGTCACGTTGACGTACAGTCTTGATTCCTGTCATCAGAATGACGTGCCGTTCTTCTTAACCCAGGTAATCCACGATCATCTATTAAAACCGGATCTTAGCATGTTCGACAATACTCTTGACTTCAATCTGTACATTCCCAAGTTAAAAGTGAATTTCATCGCTGCAGAGGAACTTGGAGAAACACCCGAAAGTCTCAAGAGCAATATCAGAGCCAGCATGGAGCTTCTTGCTGCTCAAATATCTCCATACGTGGAAACATGCGTTGAGTTTCATGTTATAGATGTCACCAAAAAGAGGGCACCTTCTGCTCTCTTGTCCAACACCACGTCCACGTTGAACTTTTTCTACCTGACATCTTTGGCTGGAATTACCAACAAAATCCAAGGCGTGGACTTGTACCATATTCACCCAGAGGAACTTGAAGCTTTTGCGGAGGATCCATATGGAACAGCTCACAGCGAGCATTTGAAAAGAGAAGCTTTAAGGGGTTACGAGAGTAAAGCATTTGTGAAAGATGCAGCGCTGGCAGTCAAGGCAGCCGTCGGACTTCCTGACATGGGCATCGACAACGTGAACTTATTGGTTGAAAGCATGATGAAACATTTCACCATCAGTGGGCTTACTGCGCTTTTGAGAGATTTGTTAGAGGCTGAGACTTTTGATTCTGACAAATTAAACAAGGTTGCTAAGCTCATCGACACGATAATCGCCGAAAACAAAAACGATTGGTCGAAACACTTAAAGTGCGTTTATGAGTTGCACAAATCAAGTGTATAAGGAGGAGCGGGTTTGAAAGGCAAAATGGCTCAAGAGCAGAAAAGAAGAGAACAAGAAGACTGAAGGAGATAAGATTTGAAGATTCATTGAGTTAAAAATTCAAAGTAATCAGAATCGCATTTAAGTAGTAGTTAATTACTATAGTCAACTACTTCGACATATGGAGCGAAATTGTAGAAAAGAAGAACCTTCATGACGAGCCAAGTCAGCAACAAACAGCAGTACTTATTTCGAAAAGTAACCAATGAAACAGAAGTAGAGAATTCACTAAAACAAGAAAAATAAAATGTAAGATACTTAAATTCTCACCCATCCAACCCTCATAACTTCCTGCACTTCAAGCATCAACCTACTCCATCTCTTAACTATGAGTGAATCAGATGGATACCAGAGCGACGTCTCCCTTGATGAAGATGACGAGGAGCTCATTTGGAGAGTCTTCTACAGTCCACTAGAAGAAAAATCTAAAGGCACCGATACCTACCATGACGAGGAGGAAGATATCTCGGACTTGTCAGATATCGACGACCAGGAGCTTGTGGCTAGATACAAGGAGCTCAAAAGCCAGGAAAATGCACCAATCAGCGAAGACGAAAAGCGTCGTTTACTCATTACGTCGTTTACGGAGGACCAAATGGAGCGATTTGAAGCCTACAGACGTATGGCTGTCAATAAGCCTGGAGTGAAGAAGATCTGTAACAGTATCTTGGGACACTCCATCCCGCAAAATATTGCAATTGTCATGGCTGGTCTCTCCAAGCTGTTGTTGGGTGACATCATCACCAAAGCTTTCGAGGTTCAGGAGAGAGAGTACAAGGCACAGCTAATAATTGATATCGAGGCCAAGAAGAAGCAGAAACGCGAGACATTGAAAAGATTGGCAGCAGGCGAAGACTGTTTCGAGGCTCCTAGCAAGAAGTTGGAATATTTGGGTGACCAGCGCATGCCTCTACAGCCAGAACACATCAGAGAAGCTTGGAGACTTTATAGACTCGAGAGCAGTGGAGCATTTCTGTCGAAGTGGCGGACCCAAGGAGAGGGAGATGGCAAGATGTTCCGATAATCCAAGAAGAAATTATGGGATTGACAATTTAATGTTAGCTCTGATGATGTGGTTAGCTCTGATGATGTGATATGGCTGTTTATTCGGAATATATAGGTACAGATTCTATCTCAAATTTTCAAGCTGCTCATACGACGACGTTGCGAAGGAATGGCACTCTTGGGCTCTGTTGCCTTGGTACACACCCACGTGGAAGCATACATGTTGATTCTGTCAATGGAATCGCCAGCATGTCTTATGGCAGCAGGCTTACAAGTGAAGCCACAAGCCTCAAACGTCTTGATATACCAAGGGAACTGAGCTGCCGAGCGGAGCATCACACGTCCTCCAGGGACAAGACAGTGCTTGACAGCCATGATCTCTGCCTTGGCGTCTTCCTTCTTGGGGTCGAACCAATCCATGTGATCCATGATAATGGCGATGGTGATGGACTTCTGCGAAAGACGTTCAAACACATCGTTCAAGGTGTCGGTGTGAAGTCGGATGTTGTCGATTGGGGCGGTGCCGTCACGACGTGGAGTGGTGAGGTTCTTGTATCCCTTGTCAGTCAAGTAATCTGGACAGTTGTTACGAGCATACTTGCCTTTCAATGTCAAGTAGTAGAAGTAGTTGTCGGTGGAGATCAACGAGCGACTAATCACTGGGTCCAAGGTGTCCACGACATACTTCAACACAGAGTCACCGATCAACTCTGCCTGGTTGGCTGGAACGCCGAGCGCTTTCCATAAGAAGATTGGGTTTCCGACAAGAAGAGTGGCAACAAACGGATTGAAAAGGGTTGGCTTGACCTTGGAGTTCCAGATCTTGATTTGTTCCTTCAAATTGGTACAATTGCAGAGCTCGTCAATAGAATCATGGATACCAAAGAACGAGAATACGGCACTGGCCAAACGCAACGCCCACCTGGTGGATCCGGTGTCATATAAACCTTTGCCCTTGAAAGTTTTCTCTCCCTTGTCGTTCCAGTACTGGAAGGCGTTGGACGACAAGTTGGACGACAAGTGGGAAAGGAGAAGCTTGCGGAAGTTCTTGATACGGCCCTCACCAAACATTTGCCAAATTTGGTCCTTAGACAAGCTCTTGAAAGCAGCCAACTTCAACTCTAAGAGATGGTTTTGGCATGGGTTCAAGTCAACGGCATGAATCTTCCGTGGGGGATCTGGCAAACAGGCGTAGGCCAATATGTTGTCTCCGGCAGAGGTGATGGCCAACACGGTGTCTTGACTCGAGAACTTCAAGATGTTGTGATCTTCACGAGGATCCTCCCAGGTAAAAGCATAGATATATTGGTTCTTGAACTGGTGGTATTGGTCGTTGATCTCGTCAAAGTACACTCTCCATGGCTGTTTCTGGTAGTAGATAGAAGGGAAGGGCAACTTTTTGCGGAAGTTAGCTAATGCAGCCTCGTGGCCCTTAGAAACTGGAGCATCATACTCAATCCGCTGAGTCTCATCGGACGGAGCAAGGTATGGCGACTCGGTAGCAAGGCAGTTGATTCTGTGAAGCAACAGGTGGGAGCGAGATTTGTCACAGCCAATCCAGATATAGTAAGGAATTCTACCCAAGGTGTTGTTGTAGCAGTTGAGCGACTTGAGGGTTCCAAACTTGTACTCCAAGTAGTTTCTTCTGGCCGAATCCAAGAAAACCTTGTCAGCCTCGAACCACGTTCTCCAGAAGTTTCTAAGTACCCACGGAATATCTCTATTGACAAGGCCACCAACGGTGTTGATTCTACCCACGGAAGTGTCTCTGCTCTGGATTCCAAAATCAACTGAGGCGATAATACCCGAGTCTTTCTCCAAGAGGTCCACTGCATGGTCAATAACTGAATTGAAGGTAGGTATCATCAGTAAAGAGTACGAGAACGTGATCAAATCGACCACTTCGTAGTCAATGGTGAAGTCGCACGCATCTGCCACCATTACCTTGACCAAATGGGCCCAGGGTTTGCCAGCAAACCGTTGGCGAGCAATAGCACAGAGTGATGGAGACAAGTCCACCAAGTACACCGCCTTGAAGTTGTCAGCCAAGGGCAAGATATCGTTCATCATTTCAATGTTTTTACCGGTACCGCCTCCAATATCCACCCACACCATGTTCTTCTTCTGAGGCAAATGAGCAGCAGCTAATTGCAAGCAATCCTCTCTTCCTTTCAACAAGAATCGACGGGTGGAGTCGTAAACGTGGGCCTGATTCTCGTAGAACTGCTCGAGCGCCTGTTGTTGTTCACGTGGTTTCGATCTTGGTTTGGTCAAAAGTGGTTTCACAAAACATGCCCAGGCAAATACCAACAACGACCGGATGGCTCTGTTGATTCTGGTCGAAAGCACCATTAGGGCCACCACGGTGACGGACCCGCCCACAAAGAGTTTGGTCAGACCAATTTCGTAAAACACGTCTGTCATATGTGAGAATATATTCTTTACTAGAGAAATGGGGACGGGAATGGATAAAGTCGCTAATCGGGCACGTTTATATATTTGGGTGCAAATGGTATGCATAGCGATTTGTCCTGCAGAAACAACCCAGAAACGTGTGCAACCACATGGTATCAACAGTTTAAATTGTGACAGTCCCCACGTGAGATGGGGACGTGTTTGGGGAATTGATTATTTTTTTCTTAAATGAGAAGAAATAATTGAGAGAGTTGTGGGAATTCTATTCTATGAGACATCAATTAAAATGGAAAAAGAAGTCGTTGATTTGGGTGATGTCGTGAAACATTGGATGTTAAAGTAATCAAAAACTAAAGATGAAAGTTGCAGTAATCGGGAAAAAACGGTTTTCAGAAAGTAATCAAATGACAGAAATTTCAGAAAACAGGTCTTGGATGCACTTCGTTAGCATGTGGAAGTTATCGAGGTAATCAGGCGTAATCGCAAGGACATTTTGGGGAATGTATGAGAAATTGTATCGTATTTATGTGTCTTACTATGGTTGGTTTTCTGAGTATGGTGAATTTATGTCAATTCCAGAATGATTTGAATGAATGAGTGTGACTAGATTATCCGCAGAATTCTTATCTTCATAATGGCATGCCAATACCTTTATAGTCTAATTTGTAGGCGATCGCGAATGTGCCAACTATTATGGACAATGGATACGCTATTTTTCTTTTCAGTGTATTTACTCCTATCGAACATATTTACATCCACAACTAATGTCACTTCTACTGAACTAATACTGTCTAATATTTAGTGAAACAAAATGCTGTAGCACCTACTACACTAATTTGCTCGAGTCCATACTAAAACAATATGCTCTCATACTTACACGTTATCATTTAATACCGATCGAATTGTATAAAGCATTGGCAAATCCCAATGCAAACCTCTCGAGTTTAATCTAAACTACCTCACATCCTCCCACACGAGATTCATTAACTTCGAAACTTTCCACTTGTCTCAACATCCATTAATACAGTCACATCATGATCTATTCATCTTCTAATCTTCTCAACAAGTAGTCCACCTCTACCTTCTTAGTGAGTGGAATCACATACTCCTTGTACAACCTAACAATCAAATCCGCCTTCACCTTCAGCTGCTCCAACTGAGAGTACTTCAAGCTTGGATCAGTTCCGTACGCCTCAGACTTCTCCTTCAACCTCTCCAAAATCTTGGCCTCCACAGCACTATTGGTGATGCTGGCCTCAATTCCCTCTACATCCTTGGCCTCGATAAGCTTCTTGTAAAGCTCGGGGTCGGCCCTGTACTTGGCCTCGGCCACAAACTTTCCAAAATGAATTCTTCTCGAAAGTGCTTGCAAACACTCTACGTCGCACACGGAAACAGATCCTGAGTTTTCCTGTTGGTCTCCACTACCGCATGACACTTCTGGAACAATTTTCTCCACGTAGAACTTCAAGATTTCGTCGTTGACGTTGATTTCGTCACTGTAGGACGCCAAAACCTTGGGATACTCAATTGAGGGCAACAAAGGCTGGAGCAACTGATCGGCGAAGAACGGCGTCTCATCAGGAGCCTCATATCTTCTGACTTGCGAATGTGTTTTCTCCGTTTGCAAAAGAAGCCATTCTAGGAACAGACCGCTGAAGTCTGGAATCTTGTATTTATCTTTCTCGTACACAGAGGGAGAAGAGAAAAATTGCAGTCTTTCGATGAAGTCGAACACAATTGTGTCTTCCATACGAACAAGACTGGTTCTGATGTTGTTCAAGTCTAGAACGGTTTCTGGTTTCATGAAATCCATAGTGAATGAATTGTGGAGAAGTGAAGGTTGGACGCTGAACATTTACATAGAACGCGCACGTGACCATGAGTCATGGAAGCCCCGATTAGCTTACATGACTAGAGAAATTGACAAGCAAAGATGAATCAGAAAGAACCCAAGCATTAAATATATCAATCGCTTTCGTTAAATATGCACTATAAGGAATAGCAGATCGGTTGGAAGGTCATTGGTTGTCATTAGGAGTTTGGACAGCTATGTGCAGAAAGCAGTTGAGTCAGAAAGAAAAGATAATGTAGAAACATAATTAACATACTATATATCTTGATTGTAGTTGGATTTTTGATTTTTATCATATATAGTGTGGTTCTGAATGCGCTTGAGATACTTTAATTGAAAGTTACAGGTCAATCATAAGTTCTTCAATTGGCTGCAACTCATCTAAGCCTATTCTTTAATATTTCTGGTTGAAATCTGAGCATGGATTTCAATCAAACTTGTACTTGGCATTTCTCTCATTGGTTCAAATATGTTAGTTTAGACGGATCTGAATTATGGCATTTCTCAATTTCAAGTGGCGCAAATCCTTTGATAAACACTTTCACTACCTTGGTATTGTACTTGGAAACTGAGAAGTCTCCGTACTACAACTTCTTGACCAATAAAATCATGAACTCACTAACGACAAACAGCTAAAAACAGGTCTCTTGGTGCATCACAATAGAAAGGAACTCGACTCGTAACTGGTGCATTGTTGACCTACACAGCACTCTACCATGAAGTCACTAGATTGACATTAATGGATGCTGGTTCCTTCAGATAGATCTTGACAATCATTGTATATTTGAAGAATGTAAAAGGGAAAAGAAAGGAAGAAGAGCTGGACTTACAGGATGAGGATTCAACCTGATATAAAATACGGATCAGGCATCACTGTTAGAGGATGGATTCAGCACTCGATTGTTCTAACACAATTAACGGCGCATAATATACATTGAAGGATAAGTGATGGCTTGATAATAACCACCTTACAACGTCTTGATTCATGCAAAATAGCATCAACACCATTCCCAACTAACTAGTCCAATTTTGACACCCGCTGCTTCGCATAGTTTGTCAACATGTCTGATTCCTCCTGTCTGAGTTCCTGGTCGTCTCTAGACTCCAAGGCCAGTCGTCTATACAACAAGAACCTCCGAATCCGTTGGAACTGACTGCGGCTCTCACCATAATTATCATATGCGTCCGCGAGATCGGCGTTTGCTCTCAAATTCATTAGGCGAGTTTGCCTGTTGAACTCATGTGTTCTTTCGAGTGCCAACATTATCTGTAACACTACAACCACAGAAGCTACCGCTAGAACCTTCCACAATATATTCCATTTGTTCTTTTCCCACTCCTCACGTGTTGGAGCAGCCCGACCGTACCGCATCTGGTAATAATCCTCCCAGGTTGCTGCGTGCCAAAACTTGGGGTCATTCTCATAGGCATATTTCTTTCTGTGGGCGTTGGCCATGCGGTACGCGTCAAAAGAGCCAGTTTTACCGCGCTGGTAGTCATCCCATGATGTTGTCTGGTACTTTCTGTAGGCACTACTCTTGCTGGGATCCCTCAAGATCTCATATGCGTTCTGGATATCATCAAACCTCTGTCTTTTCTGTTCCACCAGCAACGAATGTCCGCGTTCCACCACATCGTGGTTAGAGCACACATCCGGATGGTACACTTTCACGAATTTCTGGTAGGTGGATTTAACGGATTTCTCGTATTCCTGGCGGTTAGCAAAATCTCCCTCACCACCTAGAATGTTGAATATTTCGTGCGGAGACGGCTTTTTGGCCCTTGGCCAAGCATGAAGATCGTAATGGGAGTGCTCAACGACTCTTCTGGACGATGTTGAAGCAAATCGTTTTGCAAACAAGCCGGTTGTGGAATTGATGATGCTACTCCGATTCGGACATAGTTGAGGAGCACATAAGCGGTGAAATGCAATAGACATCGGGGTCAGTGATGATTTGAGATGGTCTGAATAGAAAGAATAGACTGGGAGGGTAAAAAATTGAAAATTGACCAATAGATGGAAAGAAACGGAGTATGTCTTTTATACCGTTTTAGTGTGGGTTATATGAGCATTCCCAATCGCCAGATTGGGTAAGTGCCGGTCGGCCGGTCGGGGCCGATCGTGATAAGAGGAGAATGGAAGGGTTGAAAATTGTGGAGGAGTTGAGTAATAATCAGCTGAGTGAAAGAGTAGTAGATTGAAGAAATAGTGGGGTAAAGCATGGTTTTTGATGATTTGGGATGGTAGAATGTATGGTACGAATAAGGGTGAAATCTATAATTATGTTAAAAGGCTAGGATTCATTTTTCGCAATCATGGTTGATAGTTGTGGAATTTTGAAGATTTTTTACAAATTTTTGCTCCAGTTGAATATTTAGTATGAATAATGAGGATGATCAGAGTTGAACTCTGTTACTTTGATAAAATTCTGCCCCTTTCACTAAGTTAAAGTTACATACCAATGGTATCACCAATTACATCAGCAAGTACTCATAAAATTTCAAACTATTCATCATACTTCAACCCTTGGCTCCAGTACATCTCATTTCACATATATCCATTGTCAAAATTATATAAATATCTTACAAAGATGCACTGAGACGAGTCTCGGATCTCACAGGAACTCCCAACTTAAACACTTGTTCGACATTTCCTTCGTTATCCAAAATAACTAAGTCAGCATCACATCCAACATTCAAGTAGCCCTTGTGTTTGATGCGCAAAGAGTCGGCTGCATTGTTTGTCACCGTCTGAACTGCCTGAGCCAACGAGATATTGGCCCACTTGACCAAATTCTGAACACATACCGACAAATCGGTGGCTGCACCAGCTAATGTGGTTGTTCCTTCCAAGTAGAGCGAGGCTCCTGTCTTAACAATCTTCTGTTTATCCCATTGGTATGTTCCATCTGGCAATCCAATCAAGTGCATGGCATCAGTAGTGAGTATACACTTGTCTGGACTAGCACGGTAGGCCAAGACACACATAGATGGAGCCACATGGACTCCGTCACATATAAGTCCAAAATATGGAGTGTGAGTGCCTGCTTGTGGCGAAGTAACCAAGCCCACCACTCCGATATCACGATGGTGTGGCTGGGGCATGGCGTTGTACAAGTGAGTCACCATCGATGCACCGTTTTGGACGGCCTTCAAACCTGTGGCGTAGTCCGTAGAAGTGTGACCAATGGAAAACACCACGTCAGTAGATTCTAGAAGTTCGGGGATCAGATCAAGCACTCCGGGAATCTCAGGTGCTGCTGTGACAATGGCCACATTTTCAACCAAGTTAGCTGCACCGTAAATCTCAGAGAGCTCGTGCTTCTCTGCATCCACAAACGTCTCCACAGGATGACATCCCTTCTTGGCCTTGCTAATGAAGGGCCCCTCTAAATGTGCACCCAAAGAGTCGCTCATGGCGGAAGATCTGCTTCTCTTATAGATAGGAAGCACCTTCTGGTACACCTCCGGGAAGTTGGAGGTGACGGTTGGACACAAGGATGTAACTCCAGTTTTCAAAAACTTGGCCATCACATCTTTGTAAAAAGCCCGGAACTCGGCAATGTCGGCTTCCGTGGAAGTTTCGTTCAATGCACTGAAATTCAATCCGTAGATTCCGTTGTTCTGGATGTCAATGTAGCCTGGAGCCACGATCTTGCCCTTGAGATCAATGGTTCTGACATTAGAACTGGACTTTGGAGCATCCACAATCGTTCCCAGCTTTGTGTCGATGTAGAGGTCAGCATTATGGACAATGGTGCCCTTATCGCAGAGATGGCAATTGGTGAGTCTGAGCATAGATAAGAGAAGTTAAGAATTGAAGAAAGTGGTTTGGTGGAAAAAAAAAAAATTCAAACCAGGAGATGAAACGCTATGCTTATATGGGAAAGACGAAGACAAAGAGTTTCAAATACAACCCAAGGGTGGAGATGTCCATGTTACTGACCAATCGATGGTGCATGTAGTAGAAATTAATGTTACAGTTGCAACCTCTAATACAATCAGTTCTTAGACTAGATGCAGGATCACACTATCCTCAATGGTACATTGCAACGTTGCATTGAGTCACTCGATAACCCCCACATTGTAATACAACGTTACTTCTCATCACCAAGCATTCAAGTAATTCCACCAGAATAGCTAGCATTTTTCCATATAAGATTGCCGCATCTGCTGCTGTTTGTGTCTCAGCTACACCGAACACACATTAATATGAAACAAGCCATTTTCTCTTCGCCTGACGACGCATCGTCTTATCTTGCCAACTACATCATCTCCAAGATCAATGACTTTGCTCCAACTCCATCCAAGCCATTTGTTTTGGGACTTCCTACGGGATCGTCACCTGAAGGAATCTACGCACGTCTTGTCAAGGCCTATAAGAGCGGAAAAGTGTCGTTTGCCAACGTGGTGACCTTCAATATGGATGAGTACTTGGGTCTTCAGCCCACTCATCCCCAGCTGTACCATTACTTCATGTACGACAAATTGTTCAACCACGTGGACATTCCAAAGGAGAACATCAACATTTTGAACGGTCTTGCCGCCGATGTCGACAAGGAATGTGCAGCCTATGAGGCCAAGATCAAGAAATATGGCCGTATTCACCTTTTCTTGGGAGGATTGGGACCTGAGGGCCATTTGGCTTTCAATGAGGCCGGATCTCTGAGAGAGTCCAAAACTAGAAGAGTTGATCTCGTTCAAAGTACAATGGAGGCCAACAGCCGCTTTTTTGATAACGATCCAGCTAAGGTGCCCAAGCATGCTTTGTCTGTAGGAATCTCCACCATTTTGGACAATTCAGACGAGATTGCCATCATTGTGTTGGGTGCAAACAAGAAGTATGCGCTCCAGAAGACGTTGTTCGGTAAGGCCAACGATGCCCAGTTCCCATCTTCGTACTTGAGAGACCATAAGAATGTACTTGTTGTATGTGACCATGCAGCAGCCGGATTGAATGCCAAATTGTGATATAGGATAATATAAGGATAGAGGTCTGATATATTAGGATTAAGTCATTTAGGTCATAATTTTGAGATAGCATTCCACATGCTGGTGTAATCAGGATCCATGGACATTTGCTAGAATCCATTGTGATACTTGAACAAAAAACTCAACTTAAGATTATGCTAGGGATACGAGAGAATCTTGTTTGAGAAGCGAACTCTATCAATGTACATTCAAAGAAGCAATCTCTCAACTGTCCTTAGCTTTCCTTAACTTTCTTTAACTTTAAAACTAAAATGTATTAGACTCTACCAGACCGTGAGCAATTGCTCTACATTACCCATGCTATTCTATAACCCATGCTTATTTTGTATGGCAGGCAGCTCCAATGGCTGCTCCAACAACAGAACTCTCGTGTACCTCCTGAAGATCCACATGAATCCCCAAATCCTGAGTGAACGAGCACTCATTCACGTAGTCTTTGATCATTTCACGCATGCGATTGAAGTATGCCATAACAGAGCCAACGTATCCAATGGTAATCACCTCATCACGCAACTCACCGTTGTGAAGGGCCAACAACTTGATGTATGCAACGATGGAGATGGCCACAATAAACGCAGCCCGGCGAATCACAGCCTCCACCAAAAGCTTCAACGACACCACATCGCTTACGAGCACCAGACCCGCAGTCCATCCGTAGAATGTCTCGATTTTCGCAGCCACTTGGTCATAGTCGTCACACTCGTTGATAAAACACACCAATTCACCCGTGACGCCCTCGTACTCCTTAAGGAGGAGAGCCACCTTTTTCTGTGAGGCAAAGATCTCATTCTTTTGCATCATCTCTAATAACACCAACCGCACCAACTCAGGCAAGTACCTACCAGAGGCCAAGAGCTCTGAGGGTTGGAAGATGTCGTTCGAGATAGGATCTAACGTCATGTGGGGAGCGAATTCGGGCACCGACAGAAACCGTGGGTCGATAATGGAGTCATACTTATTGGCAAATGGCAAAATCAACTCACGGCCAAATAACGATGTTTCTGAGTTGAATAGACACCTTTCCTCGGCTGCTAAGTGCTTCAGGTCATGGATCCGTGACAGTGTTGCCAACAGACAGCATACATTGAGGCCCGTACCCAATACGAGGGCCAACTTGGTCTTGGAATCGATGAAACAGCCCGCAGCATACACAGCGAGGGAATCATTGATGATAGATTCCACATTGATTCGGATTCCATGATGCTGCAATACACTGGTCTCAAGCAAGTGTTTCAAGTTGCGGCCAAATACCGCTTCATCCACCTCGTAGCCCTTGCCCATGTAGAGAACGTTGGCAGAGTTGTAGGAGGTGGATTCACATGGAAATGACCAGGTGACTCCTGTGTTAATTACCGAGTCTAGCAGAAGCACTGACTGCGAATCGAGGGTCTCCTTGATATTGGCACCTATCCAGGCGAAAAACTGCTCATCCACATGTTTGTTGGAGTTCTCCACTTGCCATTTTCTCGAGGTGACCAACAGAATCCTGTCCTGACGACTTTTACCTTCCTGTGGTGCACTGATGGAGATCACCGCCACTCTAAGCGTCGATCCGCCCAAGTCGATCACCAAAAAGTCTCCTTGCTCGGAGCCGGTGGGATCTATGATATAGTTTGGAAGCATGGTGAGCACGGAACCATCCACCAAGGCTTCGTTGAATGACTCGGCCATCTTAGAGGCATGTGTGTCCAAATCGGCGGGCCTGACCGATCTGGTGAAGAGATTGAGCGACTGAGTCAACACTGTGGCAGAGTCTGAGTCAGAAAGCGAGGTGCTGGGACTCAGTTGGGCCAGAAGGGTGGTTGAATCCATAGTGAACATTGACAGAGTCTCGTAAAGTGTGATATGCAAGCAGAAACTGGTTGAAGATGGGCCACGAGTGGAGTAAAACTGAAACGATAAAAATGTTTCGAGAATGAAGAAATAACAAGCAATAAGTACTCGAGGCTCGGGGTTCAGGATTAACAAATAAGCTTGGTTCACAATCCCGACGGTGTTGTAGTTTCATTCTGTGGAATCCGAGGTTGCAATATTATTATGCGGGTGGGTAGTATGAGGGAAGTGTCCCACTACCTGCAGGACATTTTGTGGTTGCATTGCGGTCCATGTTGCAATTTATGTGGGGTTGGGGGTTGGTGGATAAAGGGGGTTCTTTTTATTTTATTTTTCCAAAATGATCTTGGCTGGAGATTCTTTTTCTAAGGGTTTGATGTGCCGTGGCTACTTTAGACTGGTCGTGTTGTGGCAGAATTGGCCAGATCAGGCTGGGTCACTTATCGTTGCACGCGCCACAATAGAGATGAAATCTTAGGGTAACGTTGCAGTGGACGCACCCAAATGTCCGGGTTGTATTTGTTGCCTATTGCTACAAGTTTATCCATTGTACTTTTCTGGGGTAGAAGTTGCCCTCACGGAATTCTTACCATTATCTCCTATGACGAAATTTTTTCATACGATCATTCCCGTAGTAACTAGAATCAAACATATGCTAACTAGAATCTTCTGCGGGTGATAAGTCGTCAAGCTCAATGTCCGTCGCCTCAGAACCTGGTGCCGATGCTGTATTACCGGCCATTCTAGCCATGTTGCGGCCGTGCTGTTGATGATCGTCAATAAGAAACTCACGGAGCTTCTCCTTACCTACTACAACAGCTCCATCCACAAGTTGCTGCACCACCGCATATGCTGGAGTAAGTAAGTTCATCAGGTACAACACATACAAACCTGCTCCGACCATAAGCAAGAGAGTGAAGAAGATGGGATTACGCAACACGGCCATGAACTCGTTCCACCCCAAAACCAAAATTACCAAATAGATGTAGTATGGGATTTGAGTCACATGTTGGATAATGGAACGTTTGGTTTCGACAAATTTGGCATCGATTTCCTTCTTAAACTTAGTCAAAACATCGGCTTTATCCTTTTCTGAAATGATCTCTGCAAAACGCTTGTCTGAATCGTCGTCATCGCTGTCGTCCTCGCTTTCATCCTGTTCCTCAATTTGAGCTCCAAAATCCACACTTTGGTACTTGCGCTTCAAAGCCTTGTTGTGGACGTCAAAGGGTGGTTTGAGCTCGGTACCATTGGACAACTTGGCAAGTGTCAAAATTGGGAATGCCTTCATTGCATGAGACTTGGCATCCCCAAAACTGGCCTCCAATTCATGTGCGTTCTGGTACAACTTAGGAACCCCATTATCATCGTAGCGGAACTTATCATCAAATCTGTCCTTCAAGATGTTCAAGAGATTTTCCTTGGAGATATACTTGTGAATCAAAGAATCAAACAATTCCCAAGATTTGAAGGTGAACGTACGTACTGCTATTTCGTTCACTTGTGCATCAGTACCCAAACTGAAGTCATGATCTCCATTTTCAGTCTCATATCTGGCCAAAGCATTTCTTCTGAGGGATTCGAAACTCTCGGTGATTCTGTCCCAGGTCTGTTCAGTGGGATTGGAGATCTCATCAAGAATGGTGGTGCTCAATGCATTATTAAGTCTCTTCAACGCCTTAGAAATTACCCCGTTCAACTCCACAACCTGCTGCTTCGTAACCCACTTAGCCACCTCCTCTTGCAAAGCTTTAATATGTGGCTGGATGTCCAATTGTCCGTCTAAGGAAAGTAGAGCAAGTGACTCAGTGTACTCATTGGTGATGGACACAGTCAACTTCTCCACCGTCTGGACAAACGTTCCACTTCTAGATTTCTTGCTCAACCCAGATGAAAAAGCCTTGACAGAAGTGGACAACAATTGGTTGGCAAAAATGGTAAAAAGATCATGTATCTTAACATTGATTCTGTCGCCCAAAGCCAATCTCTTCTGGTTGTAGACAGACTTATTGTACTTGGCAGCAGACAAATCGTAATTCTCCAAAGCTGTATCTTTCATGTCAGCAAAAGTTAAGCCGACATCTTTGTAATCGTGAGTGGTGGAGGCATCCACGGTCGATTTCTCATACTCTGAGAAAACTGTCAAGAACTCATCGTAGCACTGCGACGCAATCTCGTCACACTTGAACTTGGCCACCAAGATTTGTTGTGTTGGCAAGTCCAAGTCCTTGTTGTTATCGATCTGCTCCCAACAGTTTTCAGCATACATGGTCCAGCCTTCGATTGGAATGTCGTGGTGATAGAAAGGCTTGAATAAAAACCCCTCGTCGGTTGGATCCACAAACCTGTTACCGAGCAAACGAATGTCTGCCAAGAACTTATCGTTCTGCAACACCTTGTGGCTCAAAGTGTGGAAGGCCAAATCGAAAAAGTCACTGAATGCCAAATGGGCCACATCAGCAGGTTTGTTCAAATTGTCCCAGATTTTCAACAAGTCCTGGGTGATTGTTGCCGAAAGAGATGCCAAGGGAGTAACTCCAATGTGATCTCTGATCACAAAAAGCAAGAGGACTTTATGGTCGTTGTTGTGAAGCTTGGCTTTGCCAAAGAGTGATAAATTCACCTCAAACACAGTCTTCAACAAGCCCATGTTAGCACCCTGGTACAATCCCACCTGTGTTTCCCACAAGTTGACGATCAATACCTCACTAGTGGATAAGGCGAAAAGAGCTGCTTTCCTCTCGAAGTCCTGGTCTTCCCCTCGTTCTCTTCCGTCTGTTCCTTCCACATCCATCACCAACACGTTGTTCAGAGAAATATTTGTACCAGAAGGAACCAGGTTGTTGACTCCGGGACTGATAGCCAACCAGATACCCTTAGTGGTCTGTTGACGGTTGACCTCGTCCATGACATCGAAGTTTGTATTGAACAAATGGTTGAGAAGCGTCGATTTTCCGGTGGATTGTGAACCAAACACAGAAATGATACGGTGGTCAGCCAGCAGCCGAGATGTCAACGTGATATAATCCAAGATATTGTGGTTAAACTGCTTATTCTCGTCAATTATCTGGATGGCATCCTGGACCGAGTCAATTGGGACAAATGACGAGGATGACGAGGTGGTTCCCTCCTCCAGGACTGCAGTTTCCGCCGAAACAACATGAGTGATATGCTCAGGCACCTGTAAGTCCGACATTGCTAGGTTGAGGTGATTAGTGTGATCTGGTAAGATTAGGTGGAGTAGCGGTGAGGGCACGCCCGTCACATGAATATTGGCTTGCGAATGGCTGCGAAACTGAGAGAGAAACAATTGATCATAGAGATTGTATTTGAGGTAGAAAGACTCAATATCAGGTTAGCAATTGATAAAAGTCTGTTTTGGGGTTTAAAGGGGATTTTACGAAGGATCTTTGGTTACCATTAGAGACGGGATCCGTGGGTCTTTGTGGTGAAGATGAAAAGGTTTGACCAGAGAATGGGACAACTCTATTGGGGGAATCTTCTTCAAGAAAGATAGGTGTACAATTAATTTGGGTGTATTATAATAATTCATTGTTTAACTTGATTGAAACTCATAGAAGCATTTCATCATTAGAAGAGGTTTACTGAGTACCTCTGTAAGCAAGCCCTCACAGTTGACATGCTCAGTGATCGCACTTTCTACTTGGTGATATATATAATAATACTTCATAATTATTTGTTCGTAGCAGAAAGGTTACGGGAAGTTTTGTACGCATAGATTTTGTTTGAAAGTTTCAGATTGACTTAGAAGGAAATCCTATTCTGAGTGCATGCTAATGGAGCAATCAAACTAGGAATTGGTATTAAACGATAATTTGACACTTAATGAGACTAGTGAAGCTAAAACAGTAAACATTCTTGAGTGTGAACTAATCAATAGATGTGTGATGTTTCATTTACAAAATAGCTCGTAAAAGGTCGTGACGGTTCACATGTTAAGATTCAATAATGAATAGGTGTGCTGAGAGAATGAAATGAAAGATAATGATAGAAGAACCAAAAAAAAAAGGGAGATACTAAATAATGTCAACACCCTCAAGAGTGAAATTTACTGAATTCGTCTTTGACGATCAAGTGTCCACTAAAACTATGATTCGTTTAATTCAAATGTTCATACAACTTTCTAGTTGACAAATACCAAGTTACACCCAGGGAACATCAGCAACAATGGTGACTACTCAGATTACCACTTCAACCTCCCATCAACTTGTATTGATCATCCTATGTACATTATAAAAACGTAAACTCGTTCTTAATTGACGAGAGCCTGGCCTTCACGGCCCGTCTCATGCCCTGGTATTGCATGTCAAACATGCCTCTTCCTTGTGTAATCGACCTCAACCGTGAAAGATATCCGATCATTTCTTTCAACGGGGTCTCAGCCACAACCGTTTTTTTGTTCTTGATCTCTCGGTCCATGTTTTTCATGGTGTAGTCGTCTGGCAAGAAAATTTTCTCGGCCTCGTCCTGGGCCCAACTCTGAGTGTCCAACGAGTCGGAGGCCTCGTCATCAATAGACAAAATGGTGGCCTGGCATCGGTTGTTCAAGTCATGAACCACTTCTCCCAACACATCTGAATCCACATAAACACTGGTATTCATAAGTGGCTCCAAAACACAGAAATTTTCTCCTGGTTTCTCATCTAGTGCTCCAACAGCCTTAGTAATTGCTCTTCTTCCAACATCAAGAAGTGCTGCTGGAGCAACGCTCTTGTCTTCCACAGGGAAGTTCCACTTCGTAATTCTGATCACACACGAATGGAGAGGGAGTCCAAACATGGGTCCCCCAATGTGGAGCCCAGTTGCACAGCCCTGAATAAGTGTATCTTGAAGCTCTTCCAACGACTGCTCTGCTTTCCACCTTCTTTCTTCCACAGCTTTAATCATATGTTCTGGAGTAGCGTTGGAATCCAAAATGATGATGTTGTTGTCCAGATCTAAAAGTACTGCTCCATCCTCTTCAGCGAACGCCGATTCCCCTGCTTCGCCTTCAAAGGAGTCGAGAGTAACGGAAACAGACACATCAGGATTCTCTGCCGATGTGACGGTGACAATGCTTCCATCTGGTTTGGATACTGTTTCCTTATACGAGACAGCAACATCACGAAGTCGAACCTTGGCCTTCATATCGTTGACCAATCTGTCCCTAATAATCTCTAGATGTAACTCTCCCATTCCACTCAACACGGTTTGTCCCAAATCTTCGTCCATATGAACTTGCAATGAGGGATCTTCACGCAAAAGTGTCTTGATACATTCGTTCATATACCGTTCGTCTCCAGCAGTTGCAGGTTCAATACCTGAATTAAAAAGCGGCGGAGGAATAACAATTGGTAGCAATGTGAGGTTTTTCTCTGTCTCGTTGAATGACTTGGAGTGCGTTACCCCCTGAGAAACAAACGTGTCTCCAGTAACTATATCGTCATCGGTTCCTGCAACCACACCAATGTTACCTGCTGAAATGGTCAGAACTTCTTCAGGAGCGTCTCCGTGCATAAGCATGAGTTTTCTCAAGTGGATCTTCTTTCCAGTTCTTGTGTTCATCACCGTAGAGTTGGAGGCCAACTTTCCACTGTACACACGGAAAAATGTCATGACACCCCGTGCTGGATGGGTGGTAACCTTAAAGGCAAGACCAACGGTCAAGTTGCCATTTTTGTTGATGATCAAGCCTTTGTTTTTGTCCATTTCCACTGGCACTTCAATCGATTCTGAGACAGTGCTTCTCTTCTTTTTCTTACCCACTCTTTTCGAAGATGAAGACGTTATTTCGGGAAGTGAAGTTTGCAAAGGTGATGGCAAGTAGCTGACAACAGCATCCATAAGAGGCTGGACGCCGATGTTTCTAAAACTTGATCCACACAACACAGGAGTTACTTGGTTGTTAATGGTGGCGTTCCTAATGGCTTCCTGAAGGATAGCAGAAGGAACTTTCATATAGTCTTCGTGTTCAAAGAAAGATTCGATCACCTTTTCGTCGAATTCACCAAGGGTCTCCACCATAGATTCTCTACTCTTGGCCACCACGTCAAACAATGGAGCCAAATCAGGATTTTGAGGATCCAAGTCAATTGCACGAACGGATTTCCCACTGGAGTCGGTCATGGGATCCCACACCAAGAGCTTACCGTAGATTACGTCGAGCACTCCAGTGAAAACCGGGTCCGAGTTGCCAGTCTGCTTGAAGTATGGAAGATTGACACAGACGGCTCTGGTTTGAAGTTTTGATACAATCTCTTTAACTGTTCGACTGAAACCAGCTCCTGGTCTATCCATCTTGTTGACATAGGCGATTCTGGGAATACCTAAACTACCAGCCTGTTTCCACACCTTTTCGGTCTGTGCTTCTACACCAGCCACGGCATCCAAAATAGTGACAGCTCCATCAAGAACACGAAGTGATCTGGTTACCTCAAATGTAAAATCAGCATGTCCTGGTGTGTCGATGATGTTAATTTTATGATTGTTCCATGGAATTGAGATGGCTGCCAGTTGAATGGTGATTCCACGTTCTCGTTCCGAGGGGAGGTAGTCGGTGACAGTATCACCTTCGTCGACGTTTCCAATTCTTTGAGTTTTTCCACTGTAGAAGAGCATGCGCTCGGTGGTAGTAGTTTTTCCAGCATCGATGTGAGCAATGATTCCTATGTTTCTGGTTTTATCGATCGGAACCGAATTAAGTTTTGGCTCGTTCAAGACCAACGACCCATGGAGGTTGTTTTTGAACACCACTCGCAGAATACATCCCACTACCGGCTTTCTGGTTGCCGGTTTAAACATGGGAGAAGAATCTGGCGAAGTTGGAGTTCAAAAGCCTGCACACACATACAACATACCTAGGTGTTGGTTAACTGGTTTTTATTAAATTATTACATTATAGTTGTAGTATCGTTAATAAATGGAATGCTGTAAATTCGAGTTCTAGATTTATTGTCTAGTCGACTTTGGGCTTACGCTGGAGAGTGGCTATACTATATAGAACTGTACCCACCACCAAAATTCCAGCACCCAAGTAACCTTGCTTATTGAAGTGATTCCCAAAGACGTAGGCACTAAGGGCAAGACTCACGAACTTTCTCCCCAACAACACTATGGTGACAGTGAGTGAGGAGGCAATTCCACAGAGATAATTGACTCCTCGAGCACATATCACCTGAGATACACAATTAAGTAAGAGATATGCCATCAGCTCCAGAATTGTCAACGAGAAGTTTTTGGAAAGCACTATCCTGGATCCTGCGGACCATAAGGTCTTTATATCGTGGAATATGGAGCTTCCGAGAATACCAAAAAGCGGAATCCCTAGAAGATGTGTGTAAAATAGCATTTCTTGCCAATGGTTGCCGTATCTGGCGTAGATGTTCTCTGTGTAGATACCCAAAAATGCTCCTAGTACTGAGGCAGTGGAGAGAACAAGGATTCCAAAAGCAAATCGCCAGTCCACGTTATCAATCAGCCATTCAAGACGGTCCGTATTTCGCAGGGAAATAGCCAATATTGCACCCACACTGACCAAAATCGAAGAAAGTACTTGGATCCGACTATAGTGCTTTCCTCCAAAAAAGTAACCTACTGTCATGGTGATCACCGTGCTGCTGGATCTAAACATAATATGAATTGGAACACTAAGACCAAATCTCCATACTGAATTATTGAGCACCGAAACCACAAAGAACAAAGAAACCATCCAAGTTAGTTTGGCTATAGGAATGTGAGTCTGTCGGAGATATAGACGCCTCCATGATGAGTGTTGGGAGTCAATAAGTGGATATGCTGAAACCAACGCTACCAGAACAAATTGGCAAAAAGTAACCAATGAGCCTATATCGGGAGAATCCGGAAATTCTTTAGCATCGTTAAGAAGCTTTTCAAACAGGAAAACATTAGAGCAGCAGCCGCCCAACACTTGGGTCAGTGATAAGACCCAATCCATCAATGTTCACTTGATTGTTATAGTGGTATGAGATGCACGGGTGTAGAACCGTGACTTCGGATGGTGGAATGATCCACCATGATAAAGAAACTGTGGAGAGAGGTAGAGATTTTTGATGAATTGATTGACTTGGGTTGTGTGATTTCAAATAAATCCACAGGATAGTTCTGATAACGCAGATTGAATTATTAATTTGTCACTCTCCAGCCCAGAAAGACTTCATTAATATATTATTATTTTTCATTAGGAACACATTTAAAGGCAAAACTTCTAGAGGTTAAAGAAAGTCCCCTTTCCATGCTTGATGAATTGTAATTTAACTACATTGCACAAAATCAAGCCGATTCGTCAATTGATTCCAAGGAGATATTCGTGACAAGTCAACTTGATTAGAAGCAACAGTTAACCAAAATCCACAAACAATGGGACTCGAGTCCACGAGCCATATTTCATAAGATTGAAAACTTAGCTATACAAAATGAAAATACTTGTATTGAGAGATCCTAGTAGACCCATAGTATTGCAACACCAAGAAAGTCTTATTCAGCGTGTCTTACTGACCATGAAAAAAAGATACTCAACTATACTCTACGATTGTGTGGATTAAAAATGGAATAACACCTATCCATAGGATTAAGTAGATAAAACTAGACTTGAAAGGCACACACGGAAGCCCCTACCACTCAAGGTGAAAACACAAACTTACCTCAGCAACCATTGGGCCGAGTTCTATACAGCGTAACAATCAGAATCATTTTAAGATTTACGATGTGACTTACGGATCGACGGAGTCAACCATGATATGTCCGAGCACGACCAATAAAACTGTGGCAATTGAAGAAACGGCTATATAAGGCAACAAAAGCCACAGTCGGGAAAACTAATTTGGGTAAGCGACGGGTTTAATTTTAGCGCCTTGAACCTTGACCGTTTTGCGAAAATGGCAATGGTTAGAAAATTTTCAAGAGTTACAGCAGACTAATGTGATAAATTACTCCTGACTAGGAATCAAAATTAGACTACTAGAAAAAAATCTGATCCACCATCTTATGTAGAAGTTATCTCAGGCACGGCATAGATAAGGCTGTGATTATTAAAGTTGGTCGGCCCAAAGGGATCGACTCAACTAAAAATTGACATCTCGGGCTTTGCAACCAGAATAGTCATAAACTCATCGCCTTAGTCGTCTGCGGAAATGGAATACCTATTTGAGCCGTGGAAATTGACTTCCAAATCGATTTTCTCGCAGGATTTCCGGATTAGGAAATTGAATGCCGCTAGCAATCTTCCAACTTCTTTTTTGATGCTTTTACACCTCCCCACCTCCCCCCCTTTAAAAAAAGCTTTATGATACTTGGTATTGCGAGGATAAACATTTGAACCGTTCTCCCTGAGGTTTCATCTACTATGATAATGTACCATAAGTGAATGCTCAATATACAGAATATCCAGTCAAAAGCATGTGTACCTCGTAATTCTCGATTCGGTGTTAGCATCATACTATGCACACAGGTTGCGACAAATGTCATCACTTCATCGAAAATTCACAGTTTTGTAAGATGTTTTCGTAGGTTCTGACCTCTGGAGGCTTTCTGCCATTCGTTCTCGTTAAATGAATCCACCAGAACCCCCGGATTCCTATGTATGTTCCTACAGACGCAAATCCTAAGAAAGTTGACAGCTTTGACAGCTCCACCCAGTTTTGTCTGGTTAGGAATCCCGTGCAATCCCGTGCTGATAAACCATATTCACCCAGGTGTGGCTGATCATACAGAGTTGATCTATTTAAACAGCCCGACCCCAGGTATTCTTAGAACAACAATCATGACGGAAGAAAAGATTTGGCACGAAAAGGATACCCCGGTTTCCACTGATACTGCCAGTGGAGGAGCCTCTGCACATGGCTTGGTGGTTAACATCCATGATGCTGACGATACATTAAAGTTCTTCTTGGAGAACGATGCTTCAGTTCCTGAGATCACTCCAGAACAAGACAAGAAATTGTCCCGCAAAGTCATGTTCCATGTGCTTGGACTCACCTTCTTGGTTAACATGATCATGTACATGGACAAAGCCACCTTGTCTTACTCATCGATCTTAGGACTTTGGGAAGAAACTAATATTCACCAGAACCAATATAACAACATCAACACTTTGTTTTATGTTGGTTTCTTTGTTGGACAATTTCCTGGAACGTTCATTCTCCAGAGATTTCCACTTTCCAAGGTTCTTTTTGGTATCACCGTTGTATGGTCGGTCCTTATCTTCTTGGTATGTGCAGCTTACAACTATCCGGGCCTAATGATGCTTCGGTTCTTCTTGGGTTTCACTGAAGCTCTGGCTATTCCACTTTTGACAACAACTAATGGTATGTTCATGACCAAAAACGAAAGAGCAAACACTCAGCCTGTCTTCTATGCTTCATGCATGGCCTCTCCAATTCCTATTGGATTCATTGCCTACGGTTGCATTTACGCAAACTCCTCTATCAAGAGTTATAGAATTTTGAACATCATCATTGGTGGCTTGACTCTCTTGTTGAGTGTATTTATCTGGTTCTATTACCCAGACAACCCAGCTACTGCTAAATTCTTGTCTACCGAAGAAAAAGTGTGGGTAATTAGAAGAGTTCAAAGAACACAGCTCAACTCTATTGAACAGAAGGTTTTCAAGAAGCACCATGCAGTGGAGGCCTTGAGGGACCCTGTTTCGTGGCTCATTACTGGCTTCTTTCTCCTTCAACAGTTGGCAAACAATTTACCTTACCAACAAACAATTTTGTACGAGGAAATGGGAGGAATCTCTAATTTGAACTCAACTTTGGTCACAGTTGCAGGTGCTGGTTACTCTGTTATCTGGGCATTCTTTGCTACCTTCATCATGTGGGTATTCCCTAATACCTCTTGCTTCTGTGTTCTTTGGTCTACTATTCCTGCCTGGGTGGGGTCAGTAGTTGCTGTTTCGCTCGATATTCATAATTCGATCGGTGTTCTTGCTGCTATCTGCTTGGCCTCCCAGTCCTTCGGTGTACCATGGATTTGTGCGTTTGGTTTAGCTGCCTCTACTGCTGGAGCTTCGTATTCCAAGAGACTTACAAGAAATGCAATGGTAATGTGTGCATATTCGATTGCAAATATCATTTCGCCCCAACTTTGGCAAGAACGTGATGCTCCTCGTTACGTGCCAGCATGGATCGTGCAAATTGTTCTCAGTTTCACCATTGCACCTTCATTGATTGGTGTTGTTTGGTTCATCTTGAAGAGAAGAAACACTGAAAGATTGGCGGCGTTGACGGAAGGTGACAGAATTGGATACGTTGAGGACGAATCTGGCCAGAAGGTGGAAGTTGATGTTGCTACTTTGGATTTAACAGACTTGGAGGATAAGACGTTCATCTATCCTTTGTGATTAATACGGAAACGAGTAATTGAACTTATTTTAATTATCATAACGATCTAACAACCAGCTAATTGATTCTAAGTAATCAAAAAAGAAAAGAAAAAAAAGAAGCCCCAGTTATCTGCGAGCGAAGTCCAGTGACAGAATCTTAGACTTTTCGCACATTTGACGGAAGATACTTTTTCTAGAATTGAATAAGTTCCACGGAGTGTCAAACTCCTTGATTTCTCCATAGTCCATCACTAAAATTCTATCGTAATTCAAAATCGTCTTCAATCTGTGAGCAATACACATGATAGTACAGTCCGCAAATTCTTTGACAATAGCCTCTTGGATTTTGCTGTCTGTTGCGTAGTCAACACTCGAAGTAGCTTCATCCAAAATCAAAATTTTGGATCCTCTAACCAAGGCTCTTGCAAAAGCAATCAATTGTCTTTCACCCAAAGAAAAGTTGCCTCCATCGTCCTCAACTTCTCTATCCAAATGGAACTTGTGCAAATCGTTGCTATCTTTTGACTGAAGTTTGACAAATTCGATTTCCGATTGTTCAATAATTCTTGTTCTGGTCAAGATATCCCAAAGCTCATCATCCGTACGTTCATCAAAGGGGTCCAAGTTGCTTCTGATACTTCCACGGAAAAGGACTGGATCTTGTGGAATGATCGAAAGTTTGGATCTTAAGTTGTTTAAGCCCAAAGTCTTGATGTCGATTCCGTCGATTTCAATTTTTCCTCCGCTTAACTCCACAATACGATAAAGTGCGACCATAATTGAGGTTTTGCCTGCTCCCGTACGACCACAAATTCCAATCTTTTCGTGCGGCTTGATGTCAGCATTAAAGTTCTTGAGAACAAGTGGTAGACCAGGACGGTAGGCCAAACTAGCGTTTTCAAAATGAATTTGCCCCTCCTGGGGCCACAGAGGAGGCGGACAAGTTTCAGAAATAATGTAGGAAGCCTCTTGTGGAGCATGGTACGCGTACTCTATTATTCTCTCAGCTGAGTTCATCTCTTGTTCAACCTCAGTAAACACAACAACCAACATAGACACCATTCCAGCAATGTCAAGTACATAAGATAACAACAATCCAACTGAGGCTGGACTGATCTTGAAAACTCTGAAAACACACAAGAATGCAATAAGGAGAGCGAATGCAGTGCCCAAGAACGTGAGATTAACATCAAGCCATCTCTGATTTGCAACCGTGATGTAATAAGCCTCGTTCATTCTGTCAATAAGATGGACATTTTTATTGAGAAATACCAGACTTTTATCGTACCCCTTGATAGTGTCCATACCCGTAAGAGTCTCGTTGAAGTTGTTGTAAACGTGAGAACGTTGAATAGCTTCTACTCTTTTGATTTCTCTTCCTGAAGCTTGATAAAAATTCACAACGGCTGCAAATATGAATACAATGAACGGAATTGCAATTGCAAACCAAGGAAAATAAATGATGCAAAGAATTAAAATGCCGCAAATGGAACAAAAGAAGTAGGTGATCATCGCGATTTTATCTCCCATCTCATTGTCCAAGGCATCTGTATCTTTCGTGAAACGATTGATTATTCTGCCCATTGGCGTGACATCCATGTAAGACATAGGCACATGCAAAATCTTCTCTGCTGCACGAATATTCAAAATTCTGGCCGCACGATTCATGATGTAGATGAGCCCTGAGAACTGAGCCACCATCGAAACAACTGCCAAAAATGTCAAAACAGCATAAATGGCAATGTAAAATCCATCTCCACGACCTTTGAACTTGTACTCAACCCAAAACGACAACCAGGTATTGGTGAAGATGTTCAAAAAAACTGAAAGAATTGTTCCCATCAAAGCTACAGGAATGTTCCAAGCGAATTTATAGCCAGTTGCTCCAGCTCCAAAATATTGGCGATGGGTTTCCCATCCAATAGCGTTGACATTTTTAAACTCTTCTGTAATCAATTTACCACTGTTGGGATCAGATAGTGACTTTTCCGAGAAAGCACTACGTGTAGTTAGTTCGCGAGCCAATGGGTCTTGTTCTTCTTCTTCTTCCTTTTCCTCTTCATCCATTGCCTTACGTTGGCCAAACTCCATAAGTTCTTTGAAGCCAGAATTTGTACCCCGGAGCGACTCCATCGTGCCAATTGAAATGGAGTTGTCACTGTTGAAGTACATAACTCTATTGGCAGATCCAATAAGGGAGAGCTGATGAGTGGCCAAGATTCGGGTCTTGTCTTTCAAAATTCCGAGAACACATTCGTCGATAATATGTTTTCCAACTTTCGAGTCCACAGCGGAAAGAACGTCATCGAGCAATATGATATCTGTGTTGGCATATACTGCCCTCGCCAAACTGACCCGCGCCTTCTGGCCACCCGAAAGAGTGATACCTCTTTCACCAATTTCAGTCCTGTCTCCAGCTGGCAACATGTCTATGTCACTTTGTAGGCAGCAAGCATAGACAACTTTCTTGTACCAAGCTTCGTCATAAGGGGCATTGAAAAGGATGTTGTCTCTTAGAGTGGAGTTCTGAATCCATGGAACTCCGCACATAACGAAAGATCCATTGATCTTCACAGAACCGGAATTTCTCTTCATCAAACCCTCTATCGCCAATAATAGCGAAGTTTTTCCACAGCCAATAGATCCAGTGATAGCCACGAACTCTCCCTGTCTTATGGCGAAATCAACTTCTTTGAGCTCGAAAGCAGCAAGCTTCTCAACAGGTTCCTCCTTGAGCAATCCTTGTCTCTTCAATTTTGCTCTCTTCTTTCTGGCCTTAGTTTCTTTCTTTTTCTCCTTCTTCTCCTCTTTGGATAGATCCTTCTTTAAGTCTTTCTCGTCTTCTTCTACCTCCAAATCAAAGACTTCCCACTCAAAGCTAGCATTCTTCACCTCAAGGGCAAGCTTACGATCTTGCAACAGCAACTGTTCTTCCAAGGTTGTCTCACGTTCAAGGTCAGGCTCAAATTCTTCTGCTGCTAATAGAGAGCCCACTCTCACCATGCCAAGAAATGCATCTGTTGCACCAGCTATCGATAAAGGCAACACGATGAACGCCAGAGCCAATAAGTTGAAAAGAGCCACCGAAGAGAAAATCGCTGCAGGGTTTCTCTTAGATGGGGATGCAGTGGCATAAAGAACCATAAATGCTGCGAATGAAGAAATCAAAGTTAAAGAAGATGCAACAGAGATAATGACACTCCTAGTTACCTCCATCTTCAATAAATAATTCATTTCTCTCTTTCTGGTCTTTTTGATCTTTCCGAAGTATGGAATCTCCCACGAGTAAAACTTGATCATCTTCAAATTGGTCAACACTTCCTTCATGTATCCGACACGAATATCGGTCAGTTTGGTCGCTTCGGTTCTGAATACGAACAACATCATTCCCAACCCAGCCGCGAAAAACAAGAAAGCAAACATTATACCCACACCAACCATGGCTGGAGCCTTTAAATTGTGTACCAAAATACCAATGGAGATAGCCACTGGAACAGGGAAAACAAACAACCAAGGGGAGAATCCGACACCGAGATCAATTCTAGACACATCCGTACTCATAATGGAGGTTATTTTCGACGGAGGAAACTGTTTTCTTCCCTTAGCACTGAGCTTGAACGACTTGTCCATCAACACTTTGGTGCACACACCTCTGATATGAGCACCTGTAATCATAGACAAATAGAAACCCTGGTTGGCAAGAAGACCTCCCACGAGCACCATTGCAGATACACCAAGTGCATATCCCACACCCTTACCAGCAGGCAAATCATAGATAATTGCTTTCTCCTGAACATATTGAATCAAATGCTTGGATAGGAGTGGATTACATGTGCTAACAGCTAATGCTAGGGCCATGCATATACAGCTAAAAGTATACTGGTTTCGGAAGGTAGCAAAGAATGCTCTGAAGCAAAGTGTGCTGGAAGGTGTATACTCCCATAATTCCACTTCTCTAGGCACCGAGGATGTTGCTAATGTTTCCCCACGGTTTTTAATTCTTTGGTTGAGGAAATCCTCCTTGTCTTCAGCCAATTTGATCGCAAAGATTCGCTGGAAGCGGTCTGCCATTGTCTGTACTTGGTTGTCTTCGTTCAATTTGTAGAAGTCGTTGGGCTCCAAGGTTCTCTTGTAGCCAACTCTCAACAAGGGCCAGAGCCACGTAAAGAACGTCCACACATAAGGATTCAAGTAACGAGGAAATTCTTTCCTTTCATCATCCGTGGGCACAGGCGGTACTTTCTTCAGCAACAACGGTGTAAGTAGTCTTCTTTGAAGTTTGGGAGTCGAGGCAGACTCACTGGAGACTGAATGACTTGCTATGTCATTATGTCTTGGTTTATGAAAATCTATGTCTGGTGACACGTCTTGGGAAGACTTATCTTCATATTTTCTAGGCTGATTGTCCAAATCGCTCGAAGATTCGAGCTTCTCTGAATTATGCATGTGTTAACAGGTAATTAATTGGTACTTCAAGCGTATCTTATATGATGTGTGGTTTACGGTATTGCGCGAAAGATTTACACAGGTAGACGGCGCCGAATCCCAAATATTTTGCCATCGAAGGATATAAGAATTCCAGAGTTCGGACATTAGGTTTGGAGACCCCATTATGCTGATTCACATCTTTTTAATCTTTGCTTATTAGTGAGGTCGCTATTGGCTATAGAAACCAGTACAGGATTAAGTGGAGTATGCGAAGGCTCGTAGAATTACACCAACAGAAGCAATTGTAACAATTGACTGAAAATACCATCTAATTGACACAATCGATGGAGCCATACAAGAAATGCTTATGCCGTGCGCCGATGCTGGTACTCTTTGCCATTCATTGTTTTGGAAGAGATTATCGCAACGACTTAATTTGGAATTTTGCCGCCATACATTAGCAAACGGGCAGATGAAGTTCGAATCTTCCGCATCACCATTCTATGGGTGACTTTTTTGGTGAGTATCAATCTTCTTTATAGCTACTATCGTTATTCTTGCTGCACTTTCATGCTTCCATGCCTCTCATGCTTCAGAATGTTCCATACACAAGAGATAACTCCGTCAATAGGAGAGATTTCGTATATCTGCTGAGGGTTTCCGTTTTAGTCCCACGGCTCCGAGCACAGGGATCATATCCAGGCTGGGGATGCGATTATGATACGCCATGCCGTCATCTCTTGCATGAGACGTATCGCGCGGCGGCGTGATCATCTCACGGATTTAGAATCATTTTCTAACAAAATCCAAGCCCAAACTTCGATTAGAGATTCTGGTGGCAAAAATTGTTGATTACACGTTGAATGAGATCAACGGAGTTGGATTCAATGCAGTGAAATTTTTTAAGGTGGTACTTTGTGCTTGAATTGGAGTCATTTCGTTCTATGTTTGTAATGAATGATTATTCGTAGCAAGAGACTTGTTACTATGTCCCATTACGGAAGTGTTAAGCTAACGATGGCTGTAACCGCTTCTCTCTCTTTAGCTCTCTAAGAAATTGAAACTGGATTAAAATCAGGCTGGCAAGGAACATCATAATCAAATAATTGCTAAGTGTCAGAGTATAGTCAATGAGTGTTAAGTTATTGGCATTCACGTATTCTAATGGAGGTAGCATTTGGCAATAACATTGCTACATAGCTATTACCTTCCGCCTTATTTCCCTGCAGTTGATATCATTCCGTCTAATACCTTATCTCCTGTTCAGATTGCCTCAGAAGAATGGTGTATGCGAATGTATACCATTTCAAATAAAATTTCAATCATTGAGATGCTATGGAGAAGATCCTGCAAGACTTGCAGTTGATGATCTTCTAACATAGGACAATATAATACAGAGCCCCGGAAGATATAAACTAATGGAAGGAGGCAGAATCGTCGAGGAGAGATAGAATTGTGGTAGAAACAAGAAAAAGTGTCGAAACAAAGATATAGAGCGGTAACGGTGTTTTTGAACACCGATTTGGAACTAGAGAACTAGATGACCTCATAAGGCAGCGTTAGGCTTTCAACCGAAGAATAAGAAATTTTCACAATTAAGTTCCTAGAAGAAATAAAAAAAAAATTTCGAAGAGAGATTAGTAAATGTCGGATGAAAGAGAAGTTCAGAAACCTCCCGAATTGTTTGTTCTCCACGGATTCACACATTATTGGAATTAGAAGAACCGAGGAAGCAGCTGTAGAATCATAAATATTGTGAAGAACGTATTTCAAATCATCTTCTCCAAGCAACATCTCTTGGTTAAAATAGTTGAAACTTTATACCATTCTCGCTTGGAAGTCACCTGGAGACTCAATCAGAAAATTAATAACCAATACTCCTGCTTGAAGTATTCTTTGAGATCTAGATGTCCTTAAAGATAGACTAGTTCCACTTAAAGCTCGGAAACAGATTAGTACAAATAGATAAGTCTCATTTGATAGACATTCATGCATACAGAATACTTTCTTGAAGGGAGGTAGAGCTTTTTCTTGGGTATCAACTATTAATTTTGAGAAATGAGGGTCCCGATTAGTTGAGTTTGAAGTAATAAAGTCTTTGAAAGAATAGAAGAACTTGCATTAGCGGCATTTCCGAAATTCACGCAAAATCCACTGGGATATTATTTTGTGAAAGAATTCTTTCAACAACATCCGATATAGTGTAACGGCTATCACGGTTCGCTTTCACCGAGCAGACCCGGGTTCGACTCCCGGTATCGGAGCACTTTTCTTTTTGTGGTGTGACGTTTTACCAGTCACACATTTTGGGTTTTATTTTTTCGTCCCTGCGTTACGTACCAGTTTTCTTTTAGCGTTAGAAGTTTCTGCATTGAGGATTGCCTCCACTCCCACTTTTCTTTTCTTTCTCAAGAAACCTTATTCCGTCTCAATCTTAGTTTGCTTTTTCCATAAATCTCTCACCACCTTTATATCGTTATCAAACCCGAATCTAGTAACTTGGATCTGTGACCTTCATAAAATCACACTCCGGTAACGGTTTTTTTCGCTTTGACATATTGCCAAGAGGTGTCAAAAATCGGAATACTCCTCACCTCTCCGCTTAAAATGCCGTGGCAGTCAACCAGAAACTAACCAAATATGACATGTTCCCAGCACCATGTCATCGCATGGCTTCAAAAATGCCGTTGAAAATAGCTCGGAACGAACCCATTGTGCATTTGTGAGCGGCATTACATAGGTTGCATCGCATCACCTGCCGTCCTACGGCATACGACACTGTCAACTATTTTGCAACCTCTCTTTTTGCCGTAGCCGATTCTACAAACCGTTTCTTTTACTGGTCCGCTTGGGCACCTGATAGCGCAACTGATATAAAGTTCAAGGTTTTATAATCTGTCCCGTAGAAGCTTTTTCTCCACCTTAGTATTTTTTCTTCAATGTCTGACCCTGTTGTTGAGAAGACCCCAGTCGAAAAGACTTCAGTCGAAAAGACTCCAGTCGACGTGCAAAACTATGACAACTCGGAAAAAACCGTCGAGTCTTTGTCTAAAGAATCGGAAAATGTTTACGACTTAGAATCTGCTGATTCAGATGAGGGCAGAGAGCCCACCCCAGAGGAAATGAAGAAGTTGAGACACGTTTCCGAGAAGATCCCAATTAGTTGTTGGCTTGTGGCCATCGTCGAATTGGCAGAGAGATTCTCATACTACGGATTATCTGTTCCTTTTCAAAACTACATGCAAAATTCCGCCCTGGACACTCCAAAAGGTGTGTTGAACTTGAAGAACCAGGGTGCCACCGCATTGTCCTACTTCTGGCAGTTCTGGTGTTACGTCACTCCAGTTTTCGGTGCTTGGGTTGCTGACACCTACTTGGGTAAGTTCAATACCATCTGTGTATTCTGTGGTGTTTACGTAGTGGGTATCTTCATTTTGTTCATTACCTCGTTGCCTTCTATTGCCAGCCACAACGTCTCTTTGGGAGGTTTCATTGCTGCCGTCATTGTCATTGGTCTCGGTACTGGAGGTGTGAAGTCCAATGTTTCTCCTTTGATTGCCGACCAGATCCCAAAGACAAAGCCTGTCATCAAAGTGTTGAAGTCTGGTGAGAGAGTTGTTCAGGACCCTAACATCACCATTCAGAATGTGTTCATGTTTTTCTACCTCATGATCAACATTGGATCTTTGTCTGTCATTGCTACCACCGAATTGGAGGCTCATGTCGACTTTTGGGCCGCATACTTGTTGCCTCTCTGTTTCTTCGTCATTGCACTTGTTGCCTTGTACGTGGGTAGAAACCAGTACGTCAAGGTTCCTGTCAAGGACAAGATCATCTCCAAATCGTTCAAGGTGTCGTGGATTGCTCTCAGAAACAAGTTCAACTTCGATGCTGCTAAGCCATCCTTCAACTCCACTGCCGGTTACCAATGGTCTGACAAGTTTGTCGAGGAAGTCCGCAGAGCTTTCTACGCTTGTAAAGTGTTTGTCTTCTTCCCAATCTATTGGGTTGTTTACGGCCAGATGCTGAACAACTTCATCTCTCAAGCTGGTCAAATGGAGTTGCACGGCTTGCCAAATGACTTCTTGCAATGTTTCGACTCCATCACTATCATTGTGTTCATTCCAATCTTTGAGCGTTTCCTCTACCCATTCATCAGAAGATTCACTCCCTTCAAGGCTATCACCAAGATTACTTGGGGTTTCTTCTTTGGTGCTGCTTGCATGGTTTACGCTGCTGTGTTGCAACACTACATTTACAAGTCTGGTCCATGTTACTACTACCCTAAGGCATGTGCTCCAGAGTACTCTAGCGTTCCAAACCATGTGCACATTGCTCTCCAGACTCCAGCATACTTCTTGCTCGCTATCTCGGAGATCTTGGCCTCCATCACCGGTTTAGAGTATGCTTACACTAAGGCTCCAGTCAACATGAAGTCTTTCATTATGTCGTTGTTCTTACTTACCAATGCTATTGGTTCTGCTCTTGGTATTGCTCTTTCCCCAACTGCTGAGAATCCAAAGTTCGTGTGGACATACTCCGGTTTGGGTGTGTCTTGTTTCATTGCTGGAGTTCTTTTCTGGATCTGCTTCAGACACTACAACTATAAGGAGGATGAGTTGAACAACTTGGACTACATCAACGATGCTGAGTACGTGGAGGAGACAGGACTTGCACCTGTTGCATCTCTTCAGCAGTCTTTGAGGGAATTGCGTTAAGGCAAATAATGATTATGAAAGTTAACTAGACTATTCAGCTAATGTTTAGAACGAATTAGAATGATTGAACGGTGTAGTTGTAAAGGAGTGGAATGGCATAAAAACAGAAGGCTTGGAACAATATCTTTTCATAAGAAGTTAGTACATCAACTTCTCACAAAGTTCTCAAAATTAACGGATTTGCTGACGATTTACATTAGAATATAAAAATATACTAAGTGACATTCTAGAATTATTTTAGTGTCAAAAAATGCGACTTACCGTCTACACAGCCAAACCTCAAATTATCGACCTCCAATATATTCGGTCTACACTAACAAACTCGTGAAAACTTAATAAAAAAAAGTTACTCATATAGCTCCAAAAAATACATTTTGATCATAAAAATTCAATTTACTCTTCGCAATCATTTTCAACATCAACCCTTCCTTTTCCTTCCTCTTACTGCACATTAGCCACACGCGTTGACAAACCAACCTCTGCTTCTTCTACTGAACAATATCCTATCGGCGTGAAATCCCTCCTAATGGAGCCGACTCAGCCTACTCAGACTCAGCCGACCCAAAAGTCTCCTCCTACTCAGGAAGAGACTCAGGATTCAAACCATGTGTGCCGGTTGATTTGTACATCGGGTCAATATCAGTACTTTGACTTGAACAAGGCCAAACCTACGCGAACCGCTGGCCTGGCGACGAAGAAAACGTGGATTTTTGGTCGTAATAGTGAATGTGACTTTGTGTTGAGCACATGTACACGGCTCTCGAATAAGCATTTCAAGCTCTGGCTCAATTTATCCGATAATACTCTCTGGATCCAAGACACTTCCACCAATGGAACTCACCTCAATGGTAATCGCTTGGTCAAGGGGTCCAACTACATTGTCAACCAGGGAGACGAAATCTCTGTGGGAATCGGCGTGCCTCTGGATGTGATTCGATTTGTGGTGCTTTTTTCCGACAAGTACAATCCATCCAACTCAGAAAACAGCTCCGTTATAAAAGACGAAGGCATCTACAAGGAGTTCATTATCAAAAACGAAACCATTGGCCAGGGTGCATTTGCTACCGTCAAAAAGGTCATCGAGCGTTCCACCGGCGACTCGTATGCGGTGAAAATCATCAACCGAAGACGTGCTATTCATGCGGGTGGAAAGGGTGCCATGCTTGGAGTCAATCGGGAATTGGAGATTCTACGCAAGCTTAATCATCCTAACATTGTTCGTTTGAAATCATTTTACGAGGATGTCGAGAACTACTATTTGGTTATGGAATTGGTTCCAGGAGGAGACCTAATGGATTTTGTGGCTGCCAATGGAGCCATTGGCGAAGATGCAACCCAAGTCATCACCAAACAGATCTTGGATGGTATTGCCTATGTGCATCGCATGGGCATTTCTCATAGAGACTTGAAGCCGGACAATATATTGATCATGCAAGATGACCCTATCTTGGTGAAAATCACCGACTTTGGACTTGCTAAAATCAGTGACAATGCCACGTTTATGAAGACTTTCTGTGGCACACTCGCATATGTTGCGCCAGAAGTCATTACCGGAAAGTATGATCTGCAACAATCGCAGGATTCCCCTGTCAATTATAGTAACCTTGTGGATATTTGGTCTTTAGGATGTTTAGTGTATGTTCTCTTGACTTCACATCTTCCATTCAATGGCAGGACACAGACGCAGATGTTTCAAAAAATCAAGAGCGGTGAGTTCCATGAATCTCCTCTCAACTCATATAAAGTTTCCGAAGAGGGCAGAGATTTCTTGAAGTGCTGTCTTCAGGTGGACCCACGCCTGCGAATGACTGCTGAGGAGGCTCTCAAGCATCCCTGGCTATCTGAAGTGGAATCATACACTCAGGAATCTCAGCCATCCCAGAAGGTCACCAGTCTTTCTCAATCGACATCCCAACAATCACGAAAAATCGAGAACGGTATTCACATCAATTCATCCATGAGTAAATTAGACGACAACATCATGATGCGTCCATTGGATGGAGATCGCAACAAGAAACATGCTAAGGATTCAAATGCGGAGTTCAAGAAGCCAAAGAGAGTGGTTCCGCTACCCCAATCGCAACCTTATTCCAATTCACAAAAGCTTGGAGAGCTACTGTTTCTGCCGAAAAGAATTCTCCTGGATGAGCGGGGAATTAAACGGAGCTCAATCGAAGATCCCAATAACCTGAAGAGGGCAAAGGTAGATTCCAATTCTTTCGCTAACATGAGCATTGGCCCGGCGCCCTCTGCTCAATCTGAAGAGTCCACTAAGGCTCCTCGTGACACATTCATTATTCTCAAGCCCCTACCAGATTCGATCATCAACAATCCAATTTACATAAGACAAGGTGTGAACCCTTATGCTATCGGCAGAAATGAGACATGTGACACCTTCATCAATGACGACAGAATGTCCAAAATCCACTGCTTATTCAGCAAAAAGAGACATCCGATTGCTGAGGCATCAATCATAGAGAGTCCAGCGCATTGCCTCGATGACATTTGGCTTTTGGATTTCAGCACAAACTCTTGCTACGTGAACACCGTGAAGTTGGGCAAAGGGAAGAAAACTCAATTGTTCCATGGTGATAGAGTGGATTTCTTTGTAGACGATAAAGAATTCTTGGGCTTTGAAGTGGATATTAATGATAGCACGGGATTATTTAATGGTGGAGCAAAATTAGACAATGTTTTTGTCAACGTGATTCCTTTTGATGCTAACGACATGAAGTTGAGACCACCAGTTGTTGCGGAAAGTGGTGGAGTATCCAGCAGGTCGAGTTCAGTTGCAGTTCCCAGTCAGGAATTTGGAGGTGGTGTAACTGGAGGAAATGGAGGAAATTTCAATTCTCTGCTCAGAGTACAAAGGAAAATCTATGATAATTCAAGGAGTCCCCTGAGCACCTCAAAACGTGCTAGTCTTCAAAGCGGCCAAGAGAGACCAGCAAACTCTTGGGCATGATATTAGGGTTTCTATAGAACAATATGCAACTTAATGAACGGCAGATTAACTTCATCATCCCCAGCGGCTGTTTCTTTTAGGACTTAAGTTAAATTCCCGAATTTCCTGGAACACGTTCTCTTTATCTGAGCCAAGCAGCAGCGAGACATTCAAAGACGTGATGCTGGGACGCTTGCCTGAATCCGAAATGGTTCCCAGCGTATTTGAATCAACGAGTCTTCTCAATTTAGAAGTCTTGGTGAGCCCATGAATGATGTGGTCCTTGTCTTTAATTGTTTCCTTTAATTGCCAAATTTCCTCTTCCTGATCTTTCAACATCTCCTCGTAGTGCTTTTCAGAGAACAGCTTTGCTGATGAACGTGACGTTATCGGTCCTTGAAGAGAAAGTTTCTGGTTAGCAAGGCGAAGTTGGTCCTCCAAACGTACCACATACGATTTATACTCGTCCATCTCGTAGTTCACACGTTTGTAAAATTCCTCCAAATTGGACATCATCATTTGCAGAGACGCTTTATCCACATCAATCCCAAGTATATCATTAAGAGCGTCATTTCGTAATAACACAGTCTCAGTCTTCTGCAAGTCAGTGAGCCTAGTTAAATGCTCCACTTTTTCTTGTAAGACTCGAGTTTCTGCTTCAAGTTCAAGTTCCGCAATACGACGGGTATTGTCTGTTTGAAGCAGCCCGCCACTAAGCGTTCTTGTGTTTGCTTGTAATTTGAGTAACTGGATCTCATTCTTTTGACTTTCAACAGTCTTTTTCAACTCTTGTATAATTTTCTGCGCTTCTCCATCTCCAAGAGTTTGCTTTTTGTTTGTATTAACAGTCATCACAATGTCTTTGGCTCTGGCAGCAAACCTCAAGGTGTTATACGTCTCAGAAACAAATTGCTGGTTCACTGTTAGTTGGCTGGACCCAAGATGAACAGTGCAAAGGATCAGGATCAAGGAAGATCCCGAAAGAGCTGGTTGTAGCAATCTCGTGAGTTTGGAGTCTCTGTATGGAATATGCTCAATACCGGTGTTATAAGTTGCTGTGGACACTAATGAAAGTTTGTTAATGACAGTTGAAAGAGCCAAGAGGGATTTGTTAATAAATGCACCCTCCTTTCTTCTCTCCGCACTAGATGTGGCTCTCTCAGAACCTGCAAGATCACACAAGGAGAGAGTGCAGCGAAGCTCCGTATTGCTCATGGGGTCAAGAGTATGTAAACGAATCTGCAAAATGGAATGAGAACGCGAAGAACGGGCGTTGTAATCAGTAGCACTCGTCTTTCTTTTTGCGTCACCAGTACGTATAAGTTGGAGCAAGTGCTCCTTGGACAGAACAGCAGGTGAGGAGACGCCGACAATTTTCGTACCGAACTCCGGGTCGTCTCTGATCTTCAAATCTGTGCTGGTCGAACCAGTCAGCAAAAGATCAATAATCTTTTCGTTGTAAATTTCCAAATATGAGGCATTCAACTCATATTTTTTCGACGAGTCCAGATCGATTTTCTGGAAGATCTCATCGATGGCTAATCGCACAAACCCAGGGTCGTGGTCTTCTCCTCGCATGGAGTACGTCTTTCCTGAACCAGTCATTCCGTACGCAAACAACGTGCTGTTGTAGCCCTCATGCAAAAAACTCTTCACTATATGTGAGCACGAACGGTCATAAACCTCTCGGTTTGATACCGAAGTAGCTGCTGGAAACACGTTATCAAAACTGAATGACGAGCTATCTGCTAAATTAACGATGGTATTGGAGTGTTCCTCGATGTGCCAGTTTTTCATGTTGGCAGTGTCTGTAAAAGGATTTGGTCGTATACTCACCGTGATACTTCCACTGTATGGCTCAGCACGGAAAGATGGCGTTGATGGTCTGCTTCCCAATGAAGAACCAGGACGAGATCGTGGAATCGTTGGTGTAGCACGTGGAGAGTGTGGCCTATACCCTCTGGCGGACGCAGGTCTCTTCAAATCCGACGAACTTGACCTTCCATTAAGTGACATAGGAGTATTTCTTCCCGACAGAGAAGATATTGACGATGGGGGACGCATTAGTTATGGTGTTAATATGTGGAGATTTGCAGTGGTAAAGGAAACGAAAAAATTAGAAAGTCGGTCAAAGTGATGGCTGAATTGAGTATCTGTCACAGTTACAGATCTGATCTCGTACAGTATGTGCTATTCCTCACGATTAAGAGATGTTATTGTATGAGAAAAATTTAGACGATAAGAGTGAGGATTGTTGACAAAAGTCCTTGAAGTGGGAATGTTTATCTGCAGGATGGTTGCAAGGTAACATGTTCGGTAGAGGTGAAGATTTGAGAGTTGTCGAGAAGGAAGTCGTGGACAGTCGTGTGATTCTGGAGGTCGGTTTTGTGATTCGGTTGTTTTAGCTACTTTTTTTTGGTTTTTCTTTTGGTTTTTTCTGACCACCCGCGTGTTTCATGACAGAAAGTACCTAGTTTGCAATAATTTGAAGGATCAGGCTGAAGGTGGTAATATGTGCTACATATGTCATACCAATAAATTTTGCGAATTGAGGCAACTAAGAAATATTCATATCGCTTCTTAAACTAAAGTTCTAATATTGTACAGCTTTAGTTCTTTCCGTACCCTCACACAGCATAGCATGGCCGTTGGGCTGGATCTTTCCCATATTGCAAAGACCAGTGTGAATACTTGGATCTAAGAGTGGAATTCCTCTGTTTCATAGACCGCATAGCCAATAGCGAACTTCGAATATCTGTAAATTGAATGGATACACTCAATTTCAGAGAAATCATAGGTGAAACTTCAACAATCCCTCCAAAGGCTATAAAGTCCCACTTTACGGCCTCAATGCCAAATTCTTCTGAGAAGTTGGCTCGAGGATTGGGATAAACCCTTTTGGAACTTGTCTCTTCACTTTTTCCAGGAATAGTCTTGGATAAGATTAGCACTCTCGAAGCCTTTGACAGTTCAATCTCTTCGATCATGTGGTTGGGGAGTGGTGTAGATTCACATGTTCTTGCCTCCAAGGAGGTGCTCCATTCTACCACCAACGGCATGCCATTGACTACAAATAGGCCGGTATCTCTAGAATAATTCAAAAATTGGGTGGCGCGGACGGTTGAGAGAAAGTATACCTCGAGCCAGTTCTCTTTTTCATGGTAAATGATCTTCTCCAAACCTCCTCCACTCAATTGTGCCACGATCGACGGTACGCACATACCTTTACAGATACCTGAGATGCGAATCACTTTCTTTCCAATAATTAGAAGTTCGGAATCCACTGTTATTCTTGATTTGCTAGACTTGGCAGAATCAGCATTTGTGGCTCGCGACGGAAGAGACACCCTGGACGAATTCCGAAAGAAGTAGCTGGTATCATCACAAAAAGAGTCATTCGTGTTTGGTTGCTTCACATTATTGTAGACTCCGTCCTTTACATCTATCCTTGGCTTCTTGTCGGCAAAAAACGTTCTAAAAGCCCGATTTCCAATAGTTGCATTGGCATTGTACTGGGATCTGTATCTCGTCTTGACTCTTTCAAGTAACCGGACGCTTTTCAGTTGCTTGTCCCACCAATCTGTTCTTTCTAACCTTGATGTGGATGTTGGCCACATTACAAGCGAATTGATAGCAAAAGAGCAAAGTATTTGTGGGGAGTGTAAATGGGTGCAAAAATGCACTTTATTCTACTGCGAGTACATCCAAGAACACTGAACAACAAATGCAGAGAAAAACAAGAAGCCAAAGAAAGAAAGCAAGTCAAAAGCTGAACTAAATCTTTCTCGAAAATAACATTCTTGCTTCTACAATTCATAATAAATTTTAGATTTCCATCTATCATGGCTCTAGAGGCTGGTCCTACACCTGGCTGCGATGAGCACACCCATCTTGAAAATATCTATACTTTATGTATAAGGCTTGACTTGCAAATATCTTGTCCAGATTCCAATATCCAGCCATACGATTGAGGAGTAAAATGGAACAAGTTACAGAAAGCGTGAAAAGAGGGGCCGAGGAGCTCGAGGCTACTAATAAAAGAGCCCAACCACCAAAAACATTCAAAGTAGTTCAGGAATCGGATGTGGGAATCACCCAGTACATCAACGAGTCCTACAAGAACGGAGGAGGATTTTTCGGCACTATCAAGCAGAGATACTCTGATTTCCAGGTCAACGAAATTGACCTCAAGGGAAATGTGGTCCATTTAGTCGACCAAGGCATTGATTTGGGTTTGTCCAAGAAAGAGAAGAGATTCGAGCAGAGAAGAGCAGACAGAGTTGATCTTCAAGGTAAAACTCCAGAAGAAGTGGAAAAAATTAAGGAAGAGAAGGCTGAAAGCGAGCAAAATGCGCTTACGGAGGGTGAAAATCAGCCCAAGTACGAGCTATCTGACGAGAATAGAAGTCGTCTCTTGGAATTGATCACACCAGAGGAACTCCAGCAGATCGAAGACCTCTTCGGAAACGGTGGTAATATGGAGACAAAGTCTTCTTTTGCAGAAAAAGAGAAGAGAACCCAGTTGCATCAATTGCTCAGAATGGCCTTCCAGGGGAAATTGGAAAGTATCACCTCACCCGAAAACACTTTCAAAATTGCATTATCGAAAGGCACTGGCCAACTGAGAAGAAATAACAACATCAATCACGTTGACGAGAATGGTGTGGTCAACTATGGCTTGGGTGCATTTAAGAACTACTTGCATTTCACTGTCTATAAGGAAAATAGAGAAACTATGGAGGTTGCATCCACAATTACCAAATTCTTGAGAATTCCAAACAAGAGCGTCAAGTATGCTGGAACCAAAGACCGTCGTGGAGTTACCTGTCAGAAATTCTCGATTCACAAGGGAAAAGTTGCACGTGTTTCATCCTTGAACAAGGGCTTGAAAGGTGCTGTTCTTGGGGGATTTTCTTATGAGGACAGATCTTTGGATTTGGGAGACCTTCAAGGTAATGAGTTTACCATTGCTATCAGAGATGTTAACCCATACGATCAAGAAGAGGACATCCAAAAAATTGTCAAGACATCTTTTGACTCGCTTAAGGAAAAAGGTTACATCAACTACTTTGGATTGCAAAGATTCGGTACTTTTTCCATCTCCACTCACGTTTTGGGCATAATTCTTTTGAAAGACGACTGGAGAGGAGCTGTAGAGCTCATCTTGGCGGAACAAGAGAGAGTTGTTCCAGACTCTGTGGAATCCCGAAGAGTCTGGGCTGAGACTGGAGATGCTGCAGCTGCCGCTAAGTTGATGCCTCGAAGATGTTCCGCTGAACACTCAGTGTTGACTGCTTTGGCAAAAGAAAAGAAGGGGGAAGATGGATATGCCAAGCAGGCTTACTTTAAAGCTATTATGCAAATTCCTCGTAACTTGAGACTTATCTACGTCCATGCATACCAATCGTATGTTTGGAATCTTGTTGCATCCAAGAGAATTGAACTTTTTGGCTTGGAGATTCAGGAGGGTGATTTGGTTATGATCGAAGAAAAGTCTGCCGACAGTAAAATTGTAACTGAAATCGTTGACGGTGAAGATTTCGCGGAAGATGTTGCAGGGACAACCACGGATAAGGTTAGACCATTAACCAAGGAGGATATTTCCTCTGGTAAATACACCATCTACGACGTGGTCTTGCCATCTCCAGGTTATGACGTCGTCTACCCAACAAATTCACAGCTCATGGAGGTTTACGAGAATGCTATGGCCAAAGATGGCCTTGATCCTCGTAACATGGGTAGAAGAGTTAAGGAATTCTCCTTGTCTGGCTCTTACCGTCCTCTTATGGGTAGAGCAACTGATCTTTCGTTCCAGATCGTCAAATACCAGGAGCCAACAGATGCGTTGATCCGTACAGATTTGGAAATCATCAAAGAAAAAGAAGCTACCGGCACTGAATTGGCTAGAATTGTTGAGAATGACTCACCAGAAGCGCAGCGTATGGCTGTTATTTTGAAGATGAAGTTGGGTGTGAGTAGTTATGCCACAATGGCCTTGAGAGAGTTCATGAAGGCAGACACGAGCAGATTGAGTGCAAACTTTGATGTCAAAGCGTAAATAGCTACGAGAATAGATGGATTTATAAAGGTGATATATGGCAGTGATGTAACTGAACATTTTAGTGTCTATGAAGATGTAGCCTGGATTTGTACAAAAAAGTAATAATTTGAACCACATTGAAGTCATAACCGTAGCCGGAATTGTCTTCTATGCCCAAAACTGTCGAATCTGGAACAGCCAGAGGCTTCAAACGATGTAAGACTCTATCCCACTTGTGAGCAACCGAAATCTTGCCAATAGTTGCACTGGATGTGAAATCCAAGAGGTGTTGCCCAATAAACGTACCATTGAGTTCCATCTGGTTGAGAATTTGGAACCCAATTTTCTTCTTTTGCCATCATGCCTTCTATGTTCCAGTTGGGAAACCACTCTGTCACTGCTGGGTTTATCTCCTCTATGAATGTAACTGAATCCTTAATATCGCATAGGCAGCCTTATGTTTTGCTATTCGTCAAAGCTTTTGCATGGTGTCTGCAACAAAAAAGTGTATGTGTTGCAACCAAATTGGTGGCTGTGATCATGAAATAGGCAACTATTATATTGGAGTTCGAAATATACAGCCCTTCCGGAGGTCGGGCTTGGACGCATGTATTAGCTCTAGAATTGCCAGGAGTATGCCAATTATCTTATTGATGGAAGCAGAGAGCCAATGTTTTATCTCCAATGCTCTGAATAATTCAAATGACAGAGCCTCATTGTAAGCTAAGAATTGGAACAAAACAAGGCTCATAGTGCAGTTACAAAGTCTACTGTCCATCTTGAAAGAATCCAGCTGAACATAGCCAGCTAGCTTTATCCTGACACATATCATATTTACAACATAAGAATCGGGAAACCACCCATTACTGCACCCAAAAACATAAAAGGTTTGATAGATTTCGCCGCAGCAGTGCTGGATGAAGTAGCACTTGTCTTTTCAGAAGCCTCGCCTTGAGTGCTGGAACTATCAGAGGATCCATTCAAAGTATCAGAGCCAACTTTGGAAATGGATCCGGAGGAGACTTCAGGGATGGAAGTCGTACTCTCAGATAGCATGAAGCTGGAAGTCTCATTTGCAAAGTTACCTGAAGATCTTGGATTGGACGGGCTGGCAGACTTGCTCGAACCTAAAGTATTTGAGTACTGATCTCCTGAAGATTCAGAATTCGAGTAAACAATCCAAGGGGATGAAATGTACGAGAATTCAACTGACAAGATATCGTAGTTCAGTTCGCCCATATCCTGATAGATAGAATTCAACTCAGTCTGGAACTTTGAGAAGAATGAAATCCGCAATGACGTATACTCAGAATATCCAGCATTTTCTACTACTGAAAATTCACTGGAGACATCACTACGAGCATAGAACAGATTGAGCAAGTCTCGCAAAGTATACAGCCCCTCGCTATTGTATAACCTCGAGGAGAATGACTTCATGAACTCACTGTATTCGCTCTGTCCAGATGAATCAAATGTAAGCGAGTAGAAGTATTCCAGTTGTAGTGGCGTGGTCGCAAGTATAGCAATGGACAAAGTTAGAATTATAGTCAAGGTTAAAAATTGCATACTGTGATTTTACGAATGAGAGGAGGAGTCCATCCTAATATGCTTGATTTCTATTCTTCTCTGTCAATGCATAGAGATAACCGAAAATTCTGCATAGACTACGCAAAAGCCACATGTATACAGAACAATTGATGACTGTGGGATATTTACGAATTATTGTCATTTGTAGTTGAAGTCCTCGCGTGCTGACTCTCGGATATTCGAGGCCCAGGTGCCCATAGTTTCGTGATTGGAAGGAGTCCCCGCATTTTTTTCAGCCATTTAGCAATTCATCAAGACAGCCTTTGATTTCCTTAAGAGTAATGGTCTCTCTTCTCTTCTGCCCATGAAGGGCACAGGAAGCTCTCATTGTGGCGAAATTGTTCAGGAATTATCAAAATTGATTTAGCCATAGATACGAAGAATTCGGGAAACTCTGTGCTCGTATTTTGTTTGACGAACCCATGTGTTTGGCAAGGAGTAAAATTTTGGAGGTAATATACGGGAAAGGGCCATGAGGCGTGTTGAATTGCCCGAATGGAGCAAGCTGTGAGCATGAATAGTTGAATTGATAGCATTACTCTTAGATAAATTATATAGATATTAACCAACAATGGAATACTCGCAAAGACTATCACCCAACAAGAACTGACTAAGTATATCCTAACTTACGCAATTATCAAGGAGCAATCTTAGATCTTATTGCTACTTGTCTGTAGAAACTTTTTAATAAACAGTGTCATATCTACCCAACTTAGACATCGCGCATTATATATTAGTGATTCTGTTAAAGATTGCGAGTCCTTGAGATTGGTTTTAAGAGTCGATCAGTAATTATGAACTTGTCACAGGAAAAAAAAAACTTCTTAGATCAAGTAATTTATTCAAAACATAAAAAATGAGAAACTATACAAGAAAGTACCTATGACCAAGTATTGTCTCAGTAAGCCTGCAGCACCACCAGTGTTTGTAGGAGTCAGTTGTGGCTGGTTTCCCGATGGTTTGGCCCCACTAGGGGAGGGCTTAACTTGTGTGGTGGTCACACTTTGAGCCGAAGTGCCACTGGTAGCAACAGCCAGAGTAGGAGTGCTGGCAGGAACAACCGGTGTAGGAGTACTGGTAGGAGATCCACTCAGATTTGCAGCCGAACTAGCAGAAGTTGAGACTGGCATAACAGCAGAAGGCTTCACAGTAGTAAGTAACTCAGATCTAGACGTCGAAACTTCCGTAGAGTCCGGAGTATAATGTATTGACTCAATATCTGTGTTGTAAGATGGTGTTTCGTAGCCTTCAGTGTACTCGTTAAAGGCAGAAATATCAGTGTAGATACCATCATCTGTGTAGAGTCCGTCATGTGTGCCGTAATCTGTGTAGAAACCGTCATCTGTGTAGAAACCGTCATCTGTGTAGAAACCGTCATCTGTGTAGAAATCGTAATCTGTGTAGAATTGGTCAATATCGGTGTACCCATCGTAGGGATCGGTAGTATATTCGTAGTCATCACCGCCGTCACCGTCGTCATCATAATCATCACGATTCTTAAGGGAGAGATTTGAACGTTTTGCAGCCAAGGCTGCCCACTTTGGAGCTGGTGTAGCGGAGACCGCAATAAGCAATGCTGTGAATGTGAATAATGATGAGAAGCGCATAGTGGTTTTTGTTACGATTGAGAACAAATGGTTCACCTTAAATAGTTCGAGATTTCAATTTATTACAATCTATGCATATGTATGTAATAGAGCATAAATAGACACTGGTTAACAACTTGCAGGATCAGAGCTCGTAGTTAAAATAGATGGCACAATTTGTAAAAAGGAGATCAATCTTTTCAAATCGTTTGGAATGTAAATTTTGTTTCCCTATGACTAGATTATCACATCAGCCATCCTCCGACGACTTTGTGATTTGAAGTCTCACTGTCTTCTGTTAGTATGAAGCCAATAGTCCCTGCCCACTCTTGCCCGAAATCTTACTCTGGTTGTGGGGAAGTACGAATCGTACCTCGAGAATACAATAACGAAGACGACTTCGTAACGAAAACTCGTAAAGAAAGAATGACTTGCCTAGATGATCAGCTTCCCATTTGTGCGATAAATGTCTTTATTTTCCATTTCCTGTCGTTTGGTTAATCCAATCGTCAATGCCCCTGCTCGTATTTTTATGGCAGGGTAGTTGATTTGAAAAGTCTTGGCAGTTGACATACTCCAGAGTTCATAGCTAGCGGAGAAAATATACAAGCATCTTTCTCGAAATAGAGCATGATATCTGGAATAATTCGTGGAAAGATAAGCGCAAGGTACTGACATACAAGGGGGCACTGTTAACAATTCCTCTGGAATATAGATGAATATAAGATTTTTGAGGGTTGAAAAGGAAGTGGATGTTCGTTGCGTTGTGCTATTTTTCGTGAGTAATTGTTTTGATTATTCTTTGTTGTTTCTTACTATACATCAATCCCGCATGTGTAACAATATCATGGATGCGGGAACCAGACACCAATGCATTTGTGCGTGATAGCACCTATGTGAGCACAGGTAAAAACATGTACCTTAAGTGTGACCTATGGTCCCATCTGCAAACTCCAAGCACCACCAATTGGCCACACATTCAAACAACTAGTGTTCGCTAGATGAATTCAATTTATCTAGAACATTAGGAAAGGCAAACCGCCAACGACCGCACCTAAAACCAAATATGGTCGAGTTGAATCTGCAACTGCGGTGCTGGATGAGCTAACATCTGATGAAGACTCCCCAGAAGATCCTCCAGAAGATCCTCCCAGGGTGACGGAGCCATCCGAATTTTCGCCAAGGGAGCTACTCGAGGAACCACCAACGACTGTGGATCTGTCAGATGATTCACTGAGAATGGAGTTGCCAGAGGATTTACTTGAAGCATCGGATGAGGCATCAGAACTGGGGCCGGAAGCGGAGACAGAAGAAGATTTCGAAGAAATGGAAGTTGGAGCAGAATGTTTAGACCTGGACGAAGAACTTGCAAAGCCACTAGAAGATCTTGCATCTGATGGGCTTGGTGAAGGACCCGCAGAGCCAGCTGAGTAATTTGAGAAGGAGCCACTTGAAGATTCTGTAAGAAAGTCATCTGAACTATACAGATCCACGTAGGCATCCACTATATTCGATACATACGAGCGCACCTCTGACATGATATCGGGGCTTACCTCTCCCCCGGCCAGTGCTATGGAATTGAACTCAGACAGATACCTAGAGTAGAATGAGTAATCCCGGGACACCCACGAAGAAAATTGCACCCGCAATGAAGCGCTTGTTGGGAATTGGTCATAAAGTGCCGACCTCTCACTTACAATCTCACTTCTTGTAAAAAAAAACTCCGCTGTGACAGTAGAAACGCCAAAGGAGTTAGTCAACTTAGGTGCTGTATCAATTGATGTTTCCGGTTGATCCAATGTATATTGCTCGGTAGTAGTCGGGCTAGGATAGGCACAAATATAGTCTGGGGCGCTCCTAACAACCGTGCCAATAACGTTGCCCGTACTACCGTGCTGAATTCTCGAAATAAACGCCAGATTCTTTGACACCACATCACCACTAATTCCCATTTCCGAATAAATCAGATTAAGCTCCGTGCGCCATCTTGAGAAGAAACTGGGAGCCAACCTTGTGTAATCTGTCCACAGGGCGTACATCAAAACAAGATTGTCGTAAGAAACATCACTTCTGTTATCGAACAGATTAATTAAAGAAAAGTCAGTGGGATAAAACTCGCTTGTGGGGCGAGATTGAAGAACATAAGGCGAAGTTGTCAGAGTAGGCAGTGGTGGTGGGGTATACACCACGCTTTCAGTGGGTGCAATTGTCGAGTACGCTGGGTCAGTTAGTGGGGTGGTAGCATGGCATATGCTTACCAAAAAAGTATAGAAAAGTGAATATAACAAACGCATCATGAGATATGCCCTGAAAGAGGCTTATCAAATATCCTTATATGGCTTCGTAAACGGTGCATAGCAAGTGATAAAAGTAGATGACAGTTCTGTGACTCCACTTAATAGTTCCAAAAATTTATACCAACAGGACTTCATAACCTCAAAGAGTAATGGAGAGCAACTCGTTTTTTGTGACTGCCAAATTTCCAATTTTGCTCTATTTTCTCTCAACTCAAGGTTATCCAAAATGATTAGTGAGGGCCTTTGAGGTCACACTGTCAAATTTAACCAATACATTATATTTGACACAAATTGAAAATGGACCCTGATGTTACTCAGAAACAGGGCTCGAGAACCTTTTATTAATAGATGATCTGATTTGGAATTGCACTTTATTATTAGACGCGAGGAAACGATAAAACAGGGCTCGTTACTCGGTCATCAGGGAACCAGTATATACTGCTTTGCAAGATTTATTGGAATTATGAGTCACATTCTCAACTATTCATGAATAGATCCTTGGCTTGAAAGAACAACAAGTCCAGAGGTTCTAAGAAAGATAAGGAATCAGGAAAGCATGGAAATATTCTAATTCTTGGAGTTACCCCACATTGTATTAGATGACTAGCGCCACAAGCAAAGGAACGTTGGAAAAGCTATCACGAAATGTCAATTCTGGCAGGAACTTAGAAAGTTTGACTGCGTAATTAAAAACTGTGGTGCTGCAGTGTATAAAACATAAGAATATGTTTGTTTCATCAAGTCTGGATTTGAAAGCAAGTTAGTCCGGTAAATCGTCTGGCTCAAAATACTCAAACTTGAGATGACATTGGATTTCAACAAACATATCAGCTCTTGTTCCTAATTCTGTGGAAGTCTAAGTCTCCTTTCCCTCTACCCGTAGGCAACAGTGTATATGTTGAAGTAAATCTGTTCAAGAAAGAAAAATGTAATATCGTTTGTCTGGAATAAGGAAAGAGTTTCTGCTTTTGAAAACCTGGATCAGGTTAGATGACTTAGCCAGACTCGATGAAACCCCGCGTAATCCTTTGGTATACATTTTCTACTTGAAAGGCAGCTTTTCTTAGTTCTCTCGATCAGCCTTTGTTCAATAAATTGACTAACACAACACTCTCACGGTATTAGAAGTTGATGTATTTGCACGAGTATAATGATTGATCCATACTTTTAAGCTTTGAAATTCTCCAGTCGGCAAATATCCCTCTATAGATTTCCAACATAACATTCCCTTTCTTGAAATTGGTGCTGGTATCCGTCCTTTTCTCTACCATCCTCAGATTCAACACAAATTTCACGACCCCTTCTACTCAAATTCCTCAAGACATAGTTGATGATATATAAATCGAGTTATTTTATATAATTAGGAATGGTAGACTGCCTATCACAGCACCCAAAATCAAATAAGGTTTTGTCGTGTCTGCTATAGCACTGCTAGAAGTGCTCGAAGTGGTAGCGCTTGATGCAGAGCTACCAGAAGAGACACCAACGGCCGTGGACAGGCCAGATGAACCACTCAGAGCACCCGACCCCTCACCAGAACTGGATTCTGTGGATGAACCAGAAGCTGGACCAAATGATATACCAGATAATGAAGATGACGAAGCTGATAGAGATGAATCAACACTGGAGTCCAAAGAAGAAAAAGAAGAAGTAGAGGACGACGAAGACGCACCAGACTGGTTGGATCCTGAAGTAGAACTTGCAAATGCACCAGAAGATTCCGCATCGGATGGGCTAGGAGAGACACCCGAATAGCCGATTGAGTCGTTCGATTCAGTGATATAGGTTTCAATATAACCATAATCGTCTGAGCTGTAGCCATCCATATAGTCTTCGGCATAAAGCGATAACTGTGAGCGCTGTTCTGCCATGACATCAGGACTTACAAAGCCTAAACTCAGTTCGAAGAAGTTAAACTCAGACAGGTACCTTGAGTAGAATGAGAGGTACAGAGAAGCGTAATCAGACCATGGCATCCTCAATGAAGTATATCTGGGAACTTGATAAAACACTGAATACTGACTAGAAATATCGCTTCTTGCAATGAACAGTTGGTATCCGTCGGGGACGTAAGGTGTAGTAGTGTCCGAAGTGACAGTAGAAATGCCAAAGGAGTTCGTCAACCTAGGTTCCGTGTCCATTGATGTGTCCGATGTGACAGTAGAAACGCCAAAGGAGTTGGTTAACCTAGGTTCTGTGTCCATTGATGTGTTTACTTCATCCATGGAGTCGGTGGTAGATGTAGTCGCTATTGTAGTGTCATAATCATCCCCACTCCTAATAACTGTACCGATGATGTACGCATCAGATGTACTACCGTGCTGAACTCTAGATATATAGGCCATATATGTCGAGTAAACATCATAACTCACATATCCCATTGCCAGATAAATCAGATTAAGCTCTGTGCTCCATTTTGAGTAGAAACTGGGAGCCAACCTTGTGTAATCAGTCCACAGGGCGTACATCAAAACAAGATTGTCGTGAGAAACATCACTTCTGCTTTCGAACAGATTAAGTAATGAAAAGTCAGTGGGATAAAACTCGCTTGTGGGGCGAGATTGAAGAACATAAGGCGAAGTTGTCAGAGTAGGCAGTGGTGGTGGGGTATACACCACGCTTTCAGTGGGTGCAATTGTCGAGTACGCTGGGCCAGTTAATGGGGTGGTAGCTTGGCACACAATTACCAAAAACGTATATATCAATACATTTAAACAATCCATGATGAAATAAACTTCGAAAGAGGCTTATCAACTGACTTTATATATTACAAGGAAGCATATGCACCTAGTCGCCGCAAGCGAAGAAAGTGACAGTGGTTCTGTGACTCCGCTTAGACACAGCAAAGAATGCATTGAAACGGCATGTGCCAGGCGTTGCAGCAATAGAGAGTTTAACAACTTGAAGCAGTAATTTTGCAGAAAGGAGTTCATAACTTTGTAGACTGATACTCTCCAATTTCATAAAAAAAAAAAATAACCGGGCTCTCCAATCAAATTTTTGTGATACCTAACATATCAAGATAAAAAATACCTGGATGATAATGAGGAATGTCAAAAACAGGGCTCGAGATCCAGCTATTAATAGGCGAAAGAGACTGTTCGGAAAGTGAATTGCGAATTATTAGTCGTAGGATATGTCGAGAAACAGGGCTCACTAGTAGGTCATTAGGAATGCGAGAAAATGTTTGTAAGTAGTTGACCATATCTTAGGACTCCCGATTTTCATTTTCTCATCTACTGTGAGTGAGTTTACCATACCTAGTTCTTCTCGAAACAAGCAATGATGAAACTTATTAGAAGATGACATTCTGGGATAGCATCTTATGGCCCCAAATCTCAAGCATACCATGATCAAATGGTTCTGTTGTGGAGGTATGCTTTCAAAAAAATATTGTCATGGGCACTTTTAAATTCTTGAGATGAAGTGAACCTTATTGGTCCTCGATGGTACAATAGAAGATCAAGAATTGGCCACTCTTAGTTATCTACCATTAGAGTCAATCAAAAGTATCGTAACATAGATAGAATCTTCCATCCAATTCATCCTAATGCATTTTGTTCTACTTTGTTTTTTAAACTTTTGGTAAGTGAACAATAAACACTCTAGATAACTCCATTGAGAATCCCAATGAGTATCTATATTGCAAAGTATCTCCTCTTGAATATCACCATTAAGCACTTTAGTAATATAAAACAAGCAACTTATTAACGTGAGACAAGTCTAGACCATAATAAATACTCCCAATTAGTGGCTTGTTGATAAATCCAGAATTTCAACAATGGTGTACTATGTAGCTTGATTGATAAACACATGGAGAAAAGATAAGCCCAAAAACGCTCTGAAAACATCATCTCTACACTTCCAGTCTTCAAAATGCAAATCCCGGTGATTTCATACTTGGCCCACTCAACTGTCTTTTCATCTACCCTTACCTTTTTTTACGACTCAACAAAACTTCCGTTAGCCCTATCTACCAGAAGTGGACTGAGTCCTTCATATGTGTTGTATGGTGCGAGAGTTGACCCACAAATTAATAGTCTCCAAAAAATCTCATCAACGACGCCAGTGATTGAGAACATTCGGGGTAAATTTACTCCCGCTAAATAATAAAATTACACTTTGCTGGTATTGATGCCTATTTACATCTCCAACATAGATATTCAATTCCCAACACCCAACTGTGGGACCCCGATATAGCACGTGACCCTGATTCACCCAATTATATATACCGGCAACTTCCCCAGATTCCCAATCTTAGATTCCCTCTCCCAACTGCTACCATGCATTTCCCCAAGGTTCGTATTGTGTCGCCTGTCACTGCGTCAAAGCTCCTTGCGAGCCCAGCCCGTGTAGTCCCCATTGATTCCACGTGGTACATGCCCAATTCACCAATTGCTGCTAGATATCAGTTTAACAGAGATGATCGGATTCCGGGGTCGGTGTTTTTTGATTTGGATGCTGTGTGTTGTCCAGTATCTAAATATCCCCACATGTTGCCTCCACACCGCTTATTCGACTCTTCAGTGGGAACTTTGGGTATCAACAAGTCCGACTCGGTGCTTGTGTACGATCGCCAAGGTATCTTTTCTGGTCCTCGGGCTGCTTGGACTTTTGCCTTATTCGGCCATGATAACGTGTTTTTGTTGGACAACTATGCCGAGTTCAAAAAGGACAATGAGGTAGAGGTTGGAGTGAGCTCGTTTCTGCCCACCCCAACCGAATACGAAGGCATTGATAATGAGCATTTCTTGGTCAATTACCGTAAACAAGTCATTGAGTTCGACGAGTTGGTGGACTTGGTAGAGAACGAAGGATTGAAGGAAGATTATGTTTTGTTTGATGCCAGATCAGCCGATCGTTTCTCTGGTAAGGCTCCCGAGCCCAGACCCGGACTTTCGTCAGGTCATGTTCCAGGAGCATTGTCGTTGCCATTTTCCGAGGTTTTGGACGCACAGGGCCATTATAAGTCTAAGGAAGAGTTGCTTGAGCTTTTCAAAACGAAATTTGGTTTGGATTTCTCTGTCCCGTTCGACAAGAAGGGCGTGATCGTCATGTGTGGCACTGGTGTCACCGCGGTGATTCTTCGTTTGGCAATTGAAAAGGTGGCTGACGTTCCCATCCAGGTCTATGACGGCTCATGGACTGAGTGGGCCCAGAGAGCTCCTAACTTGATCCAAAAAGATGTCTGAGAGGTGAAGTGAAGGAAAAGTTGAAAAAGTAACTCTCATGCTCGTATCCCCATCACTTGTATCTTCATTAATTTTTATTCTTTCAGCTTGTTTGTAGAAGCCTTTCAACCCCATAGTCGCACACTGTTATCTGTGCCTCCACTGACAAATAGACATCTCATGCTCTTTTGTATGGCTGTTATGAGGTTTTCCCTTGTGTCTTCCTTGTTGCCGGACTTGTCGAGTTCAAATTTGGCGAAATGGACACTATTGACGAAACCCTCGTGGCCCGAAAGCAGTTTCATAACGGAAATCTTGCCTGTATCTGTCAAGCTCTTAAGGTCCCAGATGTTGATTGTCTTGTCATCCGCACCACTAATAAGAAAACGGCCGTTCGGATGGATATCGAGCGATTTCACCCACGAAAGGTGACCCACCAAATCTGCAATGTGCCAGCCCTGTGAATTGTTCTGTGTGGCCGGCGTGGGCGGTCTATGAGGCCGAAGCGTAGGTGGAGGAAGTAGCCAGAGCTTGATAAGGTTGTCACGGCCCGCAGAGACGCAGTACTTGAAGCCCAAAGACTCTCTGTAAATTGGATCATTAATCAACTCTTCCAGCAAGGAGGGGAAGCGGTCCATATTCTTTAAAATAAATTTGTCCAAGTACTTATTGGAGTACATGGGCAAAAAGCGCACGGTTTCAATTACATGAGAATGGCCCAAGAGTAGAGCCAAGCCTGTTCCAGACTCATGGGAAATTCTTACGGACTGATCATTGGAACAAGTAACGATGAAGTCACCCAAACTCGATTTCTTCATTTCGGAAAGCAGCATGGACGAGTTCACCAGAGCCACATCCAAGTCTCGCACCCAATCGCTATGGCCCACATACGTTTTCACGCAATATCCATTGACAAGGTCCCAGACTTTCACTGACTTATCCCGCGATACAGAGTATAACATTGTGGGGTTTGTGGGCGAGAATGCTACCCCGGAAACCGTATGTTCGTGGCCTGTAAGTGTACGCACATGTTTGAACGAGTCACCCTCCCAGATCTTGATGGAGAGATCAGATGAGCACAGAGCAAGAACATACAGTTTCATTTTGGAATTTGCGAGGTCCACGGGCTCCAGTGACCATTTGATGCGGTTGATTCCTCGAGTGTGGCCATTCCACTGCTTCTGAGGTATCAGCGTGTCCTCAGCCGCTAGTGACCAAGCCAACAACGTTCCATCGGAGCACCCAGCAACAACCAACGGTAGCGTCGGGTGCAATGTCACACTGGACACAAGCTGAGAGCTCTGGGTGGGAAACTTCTTAGTGGGTGCACTGGGAAGCCAGTTGATTTTGTCTTTAGCGACGAGGCCGTCGGTGCCATGTGGCCGAGAGTCAAGAAGCGACTTGTAACTATTGACTTCGTTCTCGAGATCGAGGATCCGCTTTTGCAATCGAAGAACTGTAGACCATTTCTTCTCAAGGTAGTTGGGCACAGTTGCATCGTCGTTTTCGACGTTGAGAACGCTCGCCAATTGCTTGAAAACCAGTTGACTATCCTCCAAGAGCGGTTCTAGGTACTGTAGAATGGCTTTGTGGAGCTCCAGCGTCTGCCTGGATGTTAGAATGGAGCTCATTGGTGATGTTTACGAAGAGAAGAGGTGTGTGTAGTATGAGCGCAGTCAACATAGAGTAGGATACGAGTGTGGAGGAGATATGGGTATAAAATTGAGAAATGGGGCGGAAAATGATGAATGAATAAGTACCAGAAATAGAAATGAACAGATTGAAACTTAATAAAAGTTTATATATGAAAGAAGTAGCTATAGTAGATGTACATACAATATTCAGAACAGATGTCCGTTGTATTTGGTGCAAAAGATATCCTGTTCGCAGCCATTCTAATCAATTGAATCAGACAATCTCAGGTTCGTAGATGGACACAATCTTTGTTTTGTTGATATCCAAATCAGGAATTAGAGCCAGAAATCCGATTTTTTTTTTTTATCATAATGTCTATTTTGAATACTCTTTTTCCACTTTCCTCCTCCTCTCTACTCTCTCTTTACCTCTTCAACGCAGCGAATCTGGCCCGAAGATCATCGAAATCCTGCTGCTCTTTCTTCTGCAGAGACACCGGCTTCTTCACCACACTCGGTTTGGCTGCAATCTCCTCGGCTATTGGCTCCTCAAGAGATTCTTTAATACCTCCATCTCCTTCGTCATCGTCATCTTCATCTTCATCCTCCTCTTCTTTCTCCGTTTCAAACTTTGAAAGCCCCGAATATGGAACCTCGTAGGCTCTCGCAATCTCTGTCAAGTAAAGATCCACCAAAACCTCGCTAGGTGGCTCAATCCCGCATCTCTTAACGATTTTCTCAGGCACATACTCATTGTTCTCATTAGCCATCACATGCGACGCAAACTCGTGCCCATACTTGACTCTCAACATATCACCCAACGAGATTAACTCTTTGATTTCCGTGTGATGTGACGAGTATATAACCAGCAGAATTGCCTCCTTGAGTCCAGGATCCACAGTTGGACGATGGACGTCTAGAATGATCAGAATTCGGGCCAAAAGAAGCTCACAGTACAACTCACAATACTCTAGAAGCTCAATATAGATATCATCACGAATAATGTTCTCCACCCTGATCTTGGCGCTGGATTCTTTGCCTGCTCCCAAGAGATCTGCCAATTGCCTTCTCTGTTGTTTAGTGAGAGCGGTTTTCTTCTCCTGAAGAAACTTGAGCTTGGAAATTGCCATTTTAAGCGTGGTTTTCATCCTGGTAGGATTGAGAGCTGGCGGAGTAGGCGAAGGTGGCATTTTGAGATTGAATATTTGATTAGATTTGATAAGATCTGGTGGAGATAGGCTGGTTGCAAAACACCCGTGCCTCTGGAGTTACCATTACACCCCAACACACCTACTATTACTTTCAAGCTTTCACAATGCTATAGAATTAAAGTGTTACCTATTTAGCTTCCTGTGGGTTCTCTTCCATCACAATGGTATGTTCGTGCTTTGGTTCACCCTTCACAAGAACAACATCCTCCTCCTCGATGTTCTCAACTGACACTTGCTTGCTTGGCTTCAAAGTGCAACACTCAATGCTCTGAATCCATTCGTCATTCATAATGTCCTCAATGGTGGCACGCCTCAGTGGGGAAATTTGTAACATCTTCAGGATAATTGGACGCGAAGCGTGTGGCAATAATCTCATCAAACGGTATGGTCCATGGATTTGCTTGTGCGTTCTGCTTCTCTTGACTCCATCGCCAGCTTCCTTGGCTGCCTCACGCTGCTCATCTTCGGCATTTCCACGAGGAGGATGCGCTTGAGCAAATTTCACTTTCATTTCACTCTTGATCTTCTCAAACTCTTCAAGCTTCTCATCAATCGTCTTCAATTCTTCCATCACTTCATGCGCTTGTTCATCACTAAGCACTTCCACAGAGGACAAACCACGTAATTTGTCTTCTATATCCTCTTTCTGTTCATTAGTTTCATCCTCGTTTTCTCCTTGAGCCTCGGGCACTGCCTCTGCACTCTCTTCAGTTTGGTCGCCTTCTTCTTGTTTTTGAATAAGCTTCTTTTTCTTGTTCAGTCTCACAATCATGTTCTTCAACTGGCGTTGTCTCAATAGCAACTTGTGGCATTCATTGGATAGGTTGTAGTCATGCCAGTTGTCATCTTCCATGGCGTACAATTTGAAACTGTTGTCCTTCTCTGGGCTAGGAATCTTCCATGGGAAACGCTTTAATGTCATGCAGCAGTAGATTATGGCAATTGACCATAAGTCTACAGGCAGCGGATTGTAAGAATTCAGGCTTGACAAAACCTCTGGAGCGAGATATGGATCGGAACCAACCACACCATGGCAGTAGTGGACTGATTCCTCCTGTCTGGATCCATACTGGTCGTATGGGTACTTGAAGATGACGGCACTACCGAAGTCAATGATCTTGAGAATTCCATCTGTGGTGAGCACACAATTATCTAGCTTCAAGTCACGGTGGGCTAGACCCAACAGATGCAAGTAACTGACACCTTCGATAATCTGCTTCAAGCAGCAATTGATTTCCTGGCGCGACATTTCACCGCTCATTACCACGGCAAAAAAGTCGATTGGTGCATATTCCATGACTTCGTAGTATCTGTTGTTTTCATGGATTATATCGATAGTTTTGATGATGTTTGGGTGTTTCAATGTTGATCCAATACAGTACTCGGCTGTGCACTTACGCGTGTAGTCCTTGAATGATTCGGTATTTCTGCGAGGTCTGAACTCCTTGACGGCAAATGTCTTGCCGTCGGATGGTCGAATGATCAACCGAACAGAACCTCCCGCACCTGAACCGAGCTCCTTTTCGACCTTACCATACTTCTTGACCAAAGGTGACTCGTCCTGTGTGAATGGCTCCTGTTGAGGTCCGTCCTTGCGTTTGTGCTGTTGTTGGTTGAGGAGTTGCAGAGATGTCTGGTTGATAAGTGTTGCTAGGGACGTTGACAGCGGCTCGCGACTATGGAGAGCCGAGTTAGGACCCGTATTTGTGCCTAGCTGGGCTCCACCAGAAGGCACGCCCGGCGAGCCCTGGGTCTTGGAGCTCTTTCGAGCAGGCTTGAAGAGCCGTTTCAACTCTCCCATGCTGTGGGTTTTATTGAAGGCATTTTCATCAGCCGCAGCAGGCTGGACACCAATATTTTGGGCGAGTATTCCCGGCGAATGTACTTTGACGCCCGCAGCCTGTGCTGGCGCCTGTGGCGACGAGTGATGCTGGTGATCAGATGAGTTTGTCAAAGTCGGCGATGCAAGTGAGTCCTGCGAGTCGTGGCGACCAATATGGAAGCCTAAGAACTTCCGGCCCGATTGCAGCGTATTGGACGTGGACGTGTTGAGCTGGTCATCTGGCGGAGGAGCCGCCGAAGGAGACGTTGGCTTGAAATGGGAGAAAAGCTTCAACTTATGTCTGTCAGGCATTGCGAGCGACGGTTACAACGGACAGTGAAAATATGGCAAGTTGCGCCTTTTGAATTAATGTAGGCACAATTGGTTACCACAGGTTTTGAAGTGGAATATTGTGCAACAAAACCGTCTAGTTGTCTATCAATAGAGATAGGCGGAGCAGAATATCGTGGGAAAGCGACACACAGAGAGGTTTGTAAGCAGGTCGGTCACGAGACACGGCGGAACAGCGGGAAGTAAAGCCAATCAATGTGAATCAGCAGTCTAGCGAGTCTGGAGATGTGCCGGTGGTTCCGTGGGCTTTCGACTTGGATTCACTTCGTATGTATGGGATTTTATGGGGAGAGGTACGGGTGTGGTGTCTTGTGACCTTGCTGTTGGGAGACTTTTATTGGATAGGGAAAGGATGTGGGTTTAGAAGTGAAGGGGTTCTCGAGGTCTTCATGAGTTCTTGAATGGAGTGTAAGATTTGAATGTTTCAATAGAAGATTTTTGAGGGGTTTCTGGTTGTTGGTTTGAGTTACATTTGGTTTGGGCCAGTGGTTTTGTTTGCTCGTTCCTGGTGTCTGATTGGATCCGTTATTTAACCTATAGGCGCATTATTTGGATTGTCACGTGTAATGAAGGTTTCTGGTTGTGTGCCCGGGTGCTGTCATCCGAATAGTTCTACATGTCAGCTGATGAAAGATTAATATAGATTGAATGATCAGGAGGGGTTTGATGAAGGAAAGATCTTGTGATTTGACCACGATAGTTAGGTTGAAGATCTGCTTTGAAAGATTTAGTGTAAATGGAATAACAATCCGTAGTTTTCCATGTGTATCTGTTCTAGGTTACTTCTTATGCTTTTGGATTACTACTAAGTTACTTCTGTTACTTTTTAGTTAATTCGAGGGTACATCTTAGTTTAATTCATTTCAGGTCTCTAGTTTTCTTTTTCCCTTAGTTCATTTGCTGTCTCTCCAACTTCGGGTGTCGTGTTTTATTCTATATACCTCATCGTTCAAACCGAATCATCGATACTTTGTTTACTCTAATTATCTCTCGGTCTTATTTACTGAATTCGACGACTGTATCCAGACAATTGATACAGAATTTCAATAGTTCAATTGACAGTTGGCAGAATGAACTAATCTCCGCTTCAAAAGAACCTTGCATGGGCATTGAAGGTTGTAGACTCCAATTATATACTTTATTTGAGCCATTGAACCATGAATTTCAGTTAAAAGTCCTTTTAAACTGATTCCAATTCTCTTTCAAACTTATCGACACTGCAGATTTCCCATTTCTCCGAATTTCTTCACAATGCATGTATTAATTCTCTCGTTACAGTCCTCCAATTACTCCTCTCTGATGGCTGTACCACGGATGTGCTTCTTTCTCTCGGGAATCCGTGGCTTACTACCCTCTTTACTGTGTCTTCTGTCGTTGTCCTCTCTTCTTTGTAACGATTCAATCTCCACTCTCTTGATCTGTTGTGCCTTCTTCACCACTCCCGGCAAGTGTCTATGTCTCGAGATACGTCTGATCTCAGGCATGAATTTGTATCTGTCCTTCAACTTCTGGTCATAGTCGAGCTTGGCGCGCTCCTTTGCTGACTTGATGTTGGATCTCTCTGAAGCCTTAGCTCTCCATAATCTCACATTAGCATCGTCCGATCCACTAAGAATGTACCGTGAATCGGTGGTGAAACACACAGAGAAAATGTGTTGCATACGCTTGGTATGATACACATCTCTAGAGTGACCATCGCGAGCTCTGAAGATACGAATTGTCTTATCGTAAGATCCAGTCACCAACTCCTGGCCAGTAGGACTGAAGTCCAAGTCGGTGATGGCACTCACATGGTCCTTGTAAACATTGAGCGACTTTGTCAAGTCACGCATGTCCCACAAGTAGGCATTGTGATCCTCGTGGCCCGAGGCAAAATGGTATGCCTCCATGGGATTCCATGAAATGGCGTTGGCACGCAATGCCGTCACGACCTTTTGCACTGGCGAGTTGGTTCGAATATCATACAACACAATGGAATTGTCTGATCCACACGATGCAAGCACATTGGTCTCTGTACGGTTAAACTTGACACTGTTGATGTTGTCTGCACCCCAAGACATGTTCAGCACGTAGTTGGATCTGGCCATATTCCAGAGCTGGATGGACGCACCTCCAGTAGCAAAAATGTCATCTGTGAAGTGATGGTCGAGGCCCTTGAATGCGTGCTCGCCTGCAAATGTCTTAATGAGTCCCGACTCGTTGTTGGACGACCGGTACACATCCAAGTCGTCCACCTCGTCACCGAAGTCCGAACTCTCCAACGACCAAAGTTTAATGGCCTTATCTTCACCACAACTGAGCAATCCTCTTCTGGGCGTTATGCTGAGACCTGTGACCATGCCGTAGTGCGCTCTGAAACTGAGTGCCTCTTCTCTGGATGTCATGTTCCAGTATTTCACCACTCCATCTCCGGAAGCAGATGCAACCTGGTTAGTGGTATTAAAGTTCCGTGCGATTTGATAGATTCCGTCTCGATGTCCATCACCCAACTGGCCCACAAAAGGCTTTGCAAACATTCTTTCAAGCTTAGTAGCTGTGACTGCTCTTGTGTATTCTCTGGCTCTTTCAAACGGATGAAGGGCAGGGTTCAAGTTTCTGGGCAAAGCAGACTCCTGAGTGTTTCTAGCTGGCACATATGTGTCTGCAGATCTGGCGATGGTCTTGACTTTCATGGTGGGAAAAGAATTATGGTGACTGAGATGAGATGTATGAAGGTAGGAAAAATATGCGGATTAGACCAGAAATTTTTGGCTGTTTTTTGACTGATCAATTATTCAGACTGGTTGAAATGCAAATAATAAATAAGCAGAGATCCACAGGTTTTTTCGGAGGTTTTTTTCTTTGTGAGTTGTAGTAGCTATAAATTCTTTCTCAGATGAGATGCGCACTATACACAACGCAGTAATTAGTGTGTTTTATTATATCTAACAAGTCATCTATTAATGTATTAGTTATACAAGCATGGAGGCCAAGCAATGAGCTCTCCCAGTGCATCAGCCACATAAGTCCTGCTTATGCAATCTTTTCATATGGTCATATCGAGCACCAACCCGACATCGTCCACGTTGGGCTTAGATATGTCCTCTAAGAACGGAAGCAAGTCCAACAACTCGTTGTCGTGAGTGTCACTAAACCAACTGGAGATAGGGATCGAATGCTGTGGGTGGAAGATGTACGATGCTGGTGAGTTGTCGATAATGATGGAGTCTGCTAACGGACGGCCAATCTGCGATAAATTCTTGATGAAGTTTCCTTGGTAGTTGTAGCATGAGTCTCTGAAAAGACGGTGATGTACCAGGTTGTAGATGTCCAATTTGTCTAACAAAGGGTCTCCGTACTTGGACACCGAGGCGGTGAAGACAACAACCTCGAACCATTTACCAACCTTCCTCAAAAACTCATCGACGCCAGGTCTTTTGATCACGTAGACATGGTGGACCTGGTTGTCAATTTCGACGGGGATGACAAAGTCCGCAGTTCGCAAGTACTTGAACGATGAGTGCACAAGCGTCTCGTCCAAGTCCAAAATAAGACACTTCTTGCTGCCATACTTTGCATCCTTATGACCCAAAAGCATGCCAGTTTGCGGGTTAAACGATTGGCCATCTTGTATTTTTGTCAAGTCGAAAATCAGACTCAGTTCGTCATCCATTTTGTCGACGTCTAATTTCTCCGAGCTAGGTTCGTCTTGTTCTTCCAATGGATCTTCGGCAGTGTTGGTCTTGCCGGTAGCGTTAGCTGAAGTAGCGGTGGTGGCAGTGGTTGCAGCGGTTCCGTTGTTGCCGTTGGCTTGCACAGGAGCAGTAGATTCCTCGTTGGTATTGGTGATGGTATCTGTCTCGTTGACGGAGTTATCGTCGTCTAACAAATCCTTCTTCGACTTGGCCTTGACACTGGCGGGAGCAGCAACGTCTTTGGTAACAGCAGGCTTCTGCTTGTCGGCGTCGTCGTCTTGGACGGACTTCTTGGCGGACGAAGGCGAATTCTTCGTGGGCTGACGGCTGTGCGTGGAGTTTACACGGGCCGTTGGTTGTCTGTGATACTTATCTTCAGAGTCGTCCTTAGCGTCTACACCACAGCAGAGTAAAGACGTAAACAGACCCATTCTGAAGCAGGGATGCAGCAAGGCGGCCTGGAGGCACTAGGTGGAGAGTATCTCGGGGCGTAGGAGCCAATAATGCTGCCGAAAGCGAAAATAGAGGGCACAAAACTTGCTCGAGCTTAGGCAAGATTGACTTTGTTGGCGCGCGGCTTCAACGTCGATATCGGCGTCGGGATGGAAGCGGTGGGGAACGGCGTCGGCTAGCGGAAGGACAAATAGGTCAGGCGGCTAGTAAAAGCACCCACTCGAAATATCAACGACTCGTGATGAAAGAGAGCGGCTGGAGCGATGAACGTCCGACGATGTTTAGAAGTGGACGAGTTAAACAGTATCGAGGCACGAGTGAGTCACTATGGAATCAATAAAAACGTGCGATGCAATTGGACACAGGGACAGCAGAGACCCGTGGTGGCGGAATTTCGTGGAGGATGGTCGGCAACTACGGGCTTTTTTAAAGGTAGTGAAAGAAAAGCAGTAAGCGGTACGAGCAAGGTGGATTTTTCTTTGTGGATAGCTGGTTGGCACGACATTTTTCCCGCGACATTCCTCATTTGGGAGGCGCGACATTCTTGGGGGTCAAAGATAACCGAGGTGGGATAGGATGGAGGACCTTTGGGGGAGATTTCATGAGAATTTCGTAGAGGATGTTTAAATTTGTTTGGTATATTTAACGTGGATTTTGCAGTGATAATTTGCAGGGTGGGCTCAGGTGAGGTCTGTGTAAACGGAATTTCGGGGGTGTATGTTGGGGTCTTGGGCCCAGTGCTGGTGGATAGAAGAAATGGGAATGATGCGAGTGGGAAAAGGAATTGCCGACGAGAAAACGGAAAGCGACATTGGCCCGATAAGTGAGAGGCTTAATAGATAAAGAAGAGATGAAACGAGCGAAAAAATATGAATTTTTACACTTTATAGAAAATGACCTAAAGTTAATCATAATTATTGTTTCTCCAGCATCGTATATGTTTAATTATTTGCGCTTTTGTATTGATTGTATTGATTAAAAAATCTTCGTTGCGTTTTCTATTGTTACTCAAGGTTGCTCTATTGTAAAGAAAATGACCAATTGAGTTTGCTACTCCCTTTTAGAAATTTCTTTGTTCTGATGGAATGACGTGTTGATTTTGTGAAATTATGTTAGATACTGTAAGTTTGAGTTTCATAATGTTGATTTCTCCCCTCTGGTTGTCGATCGTTCTTCCTGTCTACACCACAGCAAGCATGGCTCTTGAATAGAAAATGCACCTTTTCTTTTTTGAATCTCGTATCGAGTGTCTTACAGAATGAGCCTCATTAATGCTCATTGATGTGGTTTTATGATGCTTAGATGGTGGTCTTGTGGGGTGTGCTTGTAGACACGTAGCTTGAAGTCTCAGGTGGTAGGAAAATATCGAATCTTTGAGTTTTTGAATTATGGCCTGTTTATCTATTGCTTCTTGATAATATGACGATCGTTTTTGGTGGGTCTTGGAATTTGCTCTGTTCAATCACGGCATTATATTCATTCTGTATCTTCCTCATTGTGTATCGTTCTGTCATTGTCTCTTTGTATATCCTTTCTATCTCTTATACTATCTCCAAAAAGCCTTATACAATGTAAATGGACAAGTGCCCGTCAATAGTTCATTTGACTCTGAGTGAATTTCACCATGTAACTATTGCTGTAGAATCTTGAATGGTAAGATGTCCTCAAAAATAAGAATCTGAACTGATTGAATTTTTCCGTTTTTTTTTTTGCCTTCCGAGATAAAGCCGTGGTGACCAAGTTGTCAAAGACTCAAGACATTTGAACAGGCCCAGCCAGTTTTGCTGGCAAAAGTGTAAGCTCGGGCAATTCAAATATACTGAGTGATTGAATTAAACATAGATTGCCTTTAAACCACCACTTGGTATTGCTCTCTCTGTGCCTGTTGGTCCATTGTTTGCTCAGACTACAAATCATTCATACTCAGACTGTCCTTTTATCACTAAGACTGTTCTTTAGTCACATATCTGTCAAATAAACACTTTCTACTTGACATACCTACTAAGCATCTCATAACACAAACCTCATGAAAATCTCTTTTATCTGACTTTTCTTTTAATCTATCACTCAATCACTGCTTTAGCATTCCACCATCAGAATCACTTCCCATTACTTATCTCAACTGAATATAACCATACCGAATAAAGTCAGGTAGATTCATCTTGCATTCTCTTCAAGACATTTCCTCATCACTTTGCTGTCCTTTACAACACTCTAATCAAATCTTATTAATACCAGTGGCTCTGTTATCACCTCGGATCATCGTCTGGTTTGGCTGCGAATGCGAATCCCATCTAAAGTGATTTTATCCTATTCGATATTATTCATACATCCTTCTCAAGTTATTGCCTTTTTCCTAATATATTTCATCCCCTTATCATCTCTAGTATTCCATCATTCTATTTATTGCAAGTTTCATGTCATTATTACATCTCTTAAATTATTAATCAATTGCCTTATCAACTCTTCCACGTCTCATCCTATTAATGTACACTGTCAACTTCACAATCTATTCTCTTCCATTAATACTCTACAACAATCTCACTCAATACTCAATTCACTCCTCTTGTAATCGTACCCCCCTATTTAATTCATTCTATCTAATCCACTGTTTCCTTCCCCCCAATTTTTACTCTTTTTTATCCTTCATTTCTTTTCTTGTACTTATTCCATTCCTGCCGAAAATATATGAATTGTACGCGTGCGCGCAGCCAGCCACCCACAACTTGCTGGTTATTCCTTCTGGCTGTTTTTTGATCTCCAAATCAAAAACTTCCCCTTTGGTGTCCTTTTTTCTTTCGGTATCATCGCCTTATCAGTCAATCTTCTTGACTTGTCCTAATTCAAGACCACTCACGTCTACATCCTTTCACACATCCTTTAACACATTCATTCAATTAACTACGAACCAATGCTGGACATTCCCCATACTCCACCGTCAGCGTCACAGGCCAGAAACCAGAACCGTACAGCCCAAGGGCCCATTCCTCACTTCCAGCTCCCGAAACCACCCAAGACACCTGCCAAAACTCCCGCCAAGAAAGGGATTCGGACTCCATCATCTAAATCACACAACAGCCAGTTGAAAACTCCCAATACGGGCAAACTGAACAAGGTTCTCTTTGGAGAAAAGTCTTCGATGCTTTTCCCTCCAACTCCAGACTTTACGCCGCATAGATCGCCCCGCTCGGTCCGCAAAAAGAGACCAAACTTCGATGACTTGTTTGCTCTGTCAACCCACATGGAAATGGGGATGTTTCTTCCCAACCATGCATCGGTGGGGAGCGGACGCAAACTGGCGAGCCCAATGAAGTCGCTAAAAGCGCCTCTCGCGCTTGATTTGTCGGAATTGTCACAAATCAACGAAAACCTCACTTTCGAGGAGGATCCCTACGATGACTCTATCATGCTGAGCCCAACAAAACTTCCTAGACGCAAGAAGCAGGCCTTGCTCAATACTCCTGGTGGACAACTCATCACCGATGAGAAGGTCAAGATGTGGCACGGCGATTCGTACCATTCTGGCTTCTCATCGGATGAAGAGTCGGAATTTGGAGCGCCTGGGCCCAAATTGATTAACCCATTTGTCACTTCTACTGAACCACCCGCCAAGAAAGTTAAAAATCCATTTAACAATACTACTGAGATCGATTATTCCACCCATAATGAGTTCATCAATCATCGCACTGGAGAACGTAAAGTGGAGGCGCTTCTGGAGAGCCAGCGCAAGTTCAAGCCGAAGAAAATTGATTTCTCGGGAATTTGAGAGTCAAGGCTGGTCCTTCAATTGCATAATACATAGGTTTCGAGCTTCTTGATGTCCAAATTCTTCTGTAGATTCATTCTCTGTATTTTGCAACCATGTACTGCATCCACCTCATAAACCTCTCTCTCCATCACCAACTTTCAATCTATATATTCTCCTACAAATTCCTCACACAATGTCCATTCCTGGCTTCATGAACGGCTTTGACGCCGATAATGTCTCAAAGCTAGTGGAAGTCGAAATTCCTGCCCGCGCAGAATGGCGTTTCGAGGTGCCTTTCAAGACAATAATGAAGTTAAAGGTTCTTGAAGGTGTAGGCGAGATTTTCGGTACAGAGCTCCCCAATGAGGTAGATATTCGTCTCACAGGATGTAAGTATGCAATTTATGCTCCCTTGCCTTCAGGCTGCCGCTTGCAGTACGAAACGGCGCCAAACAAGGTCAACGTCAACATCTCCAATGAAGACAGTAACGTCAGTGAATACATTAGTGACGAGTCCATGATGCCGCAGTATACCAATATGCACTTTGCCTTGGAGGTTTTGCGTGAGGAGGCTGTATCGAATGCTCAGAAAAAGGGCCCCAAAGTGTTGGTGGTTGGCAACTCTGAATCTGGAAAATCCGCTTTGGTCAAGGTTCTTGCGTCTTATGCACTGAAAATGGATCGTGTTCCGCTAGTGGTCAACTTGGACCCCAAAGAAGGTGTTTTTTCTGTTCCTGGATCTCTCACAGCTACGCCCATTAGTGATATCTTGGATATTGAAAGTATAGGCGGATGGGGTGGATCTACCACTCTGGGAGCCACATTTCACAACCCAAAACAGCCTCTCGTCAAGAGCTACGGTTTCTACAGCATCGGAGAGAACGTCGAGTTATACAAGCACCAGGTGTCGCAGCTAGGTGTGGCAGCACTTACTAGAATGGCAGATGATAATGCGGTGAGAACCGGTGGATTCATTATTGACACTCCTCCATTGGGAATGAAGGACTACAACGTAATCGAAAGTATCGTTTCAGACTTTGAGGTGGATATTGTGATTGTCATGGGCAATGACAGACTCACCATGGATCTCAAGAGAAAGTTCAGCCACAAGATCTCCAAGGGCCTGATCAATATTATTAAGGTAACCAAGAGTGGCGGTGTTACAGAGTTGGAGGATTCTTTCATTAGAAAGCAGCAAGAGGATGCCATCACTGAATACTTCAACGGAAACTACAAGACGACGTTGTCGCCTTACAAAATGGATTTAGACGTCAAATCAGTGGTTATATATAAACCGGTCAAGCTTCTGGAGTACACATCCCAGCTCGCTTTCTTGCCTTCTGGAGATTCATACACTGCTGAGGATGGCACCGAGCATGAAGAAAAGAAGGACGAAAACTCCATGGATAAGTTTTTTCTGTTACTTGAAGAGCCTAATAGTTCCAACCTTGAAAACTCCATCATTGCCATCACTCAAATTCCTGCTTCTGGAAAGATTCTGCCTCGAGATCTCCTCAACTCTAGTGTTTTAGGCTATGCGCATGTTTCCAAGGTTGACGATGCTAAGCAGAAGATGACGTTGTTGGTTCCATTTCCAGGTCAGCTTCCTCGCAATGTCCTCATAGCTACCAACATCGGATACACCGAGTAATTGGCAAATCAAACCAGAATGAGCCTAATCAAAGGGAATAGGACGCGTGTTGGCCTCCAAGCTCTGAGATGCAGCAATTGCACTTGGAATCTTTATTCCACAGCAATCTCCCCAGGTGTTGAGGGTGTCATCGTGGATGTGACCACATTCATCCACTTCTTCCTCGGAGTGTTCAGGAATATCGGGTGGAACAGGTATGAGCTCTCCGAACATCATATGCTGGATGATGGGAAGTTTTCCAAGCACCTCTGCTTTGTACATCTTGATCATTCCTTCCTGGATCTTGCTCCACGATTTGGCAGACAGAATATCGTCCAACATGGGGGAATGCCACCGAAGACTCACTTGGCTGCCGTGGTTGCCAGGCACCGTCTTGATGGAGTTGATGAAGTGGATGCACTCGAGATACATATACTGCTTCCAATAAGTCTCGACGAGTTCCTTGTTATGGATCAGCTTGGGCTTCATATGTGGATGAGTTGCCAACTGTGCTGCTCCAAACAAAAATGGCAAGAAATGATAGTCGTCCAATCCCCATACACCATGAGAGCCTGCTGGCTCTAACCAGTAAGTTTTCTGGAGTTGGCGCATCACTCCAATATACGTGTTGAACACCTTCAAGATCAATGCCTTGTAGTCGTCCGGGCCAACTGCGCCGGTTTTGTTCAAACCATACAAGAAACATAAGAAGTTGAGCTCGTGGCCAGAACCGTAGTCAATTCTCTGTCTATCTCCCCAACTCTCTCCGAAGTAGCACGACAACTCCTCGCAGTATTTGTCATTCTCACCATTAAGCAATTTAGCCATCAATCCCGGACCTTCCGCTGACACCTGATCGTAGAAGTCCCGGAACTCTACCTTTCCAAACCTCGAAATGTCTTTTTCGTGAACAACAGGGTTCTCGGCAATGATCTCCGACACTCTGGAAAGCGCATTCAACACATGATTAACTACTGGTGAGACTGGAACTTCCACATTATTGGACTGTCCAGCCACAGAAGTTTGTAATGCAATCACAAAGTCTAAGAGTGACAGATATGTTTCTGAGTTGGTCCATATTTCTAGATCGGTCTTCAGCACTATCCGTTTAGTTGGTTTCATAGTTAGTAATTGTAGTTAGAATGGTGTGCAGATGAGAAGATGGAGATCCAAGTATTTCATTCACACTACTCCAGATACTTTCGTTGTCAAAAATAGACAATATCTGGAAGTGAATATTTCCCATCATGGCCAATCTCTCTACATCGCAGTTGTTTTTATGGGGGCTGAAAAAGGCGTTTACTAGCCAGTTGTCTAAGTCTCAGATCTTGAAGTCTCTCTGGAAAAAGTCTACTGCAACTTCTGTCAATTCTCCGAACACATTGCCGCTCGATATTCCGTCCAAGGAGGACATCTATGCTAATATTGCCAAGGAGCAGGCAGCGAAGGGTACCAAAAGTCCGTTTCTCAAGATGAACCAAGGCTTCTCGTATGCCAAACAGCTCATCAGCTTCTACAGACATGGAGTGTCTGTGGTGTGGCAGAACAATAAGAAAATGAAGGAAATTCGGAAAAGAAAGTACAAATTGGAAGATCAGTTGGATCGGGCCGGCGTGGAGACCGATGTGGTGCTTCCACGCTTCACACCTCTAGCAAATACCATGGCTCAGGTGTTGTACATGAATCTCGTGGAAAACCGAAGTAAGAACGAGAACACATCAAGCGACGTCATAAGAACAGATAAGGCTGTGGCCACAACGGTAGACGAAGGTCTATTTCTGCTTACCAGAGCGGAATTCCAACTATTGAAGAGAACCCCATCTGATTTTGCTAAGATCCCGATGTTTGCTGTGCTCGTAGCGATTTTCATGGAGATGACGCCAGTGCTCTGCTATACATTCCCGGAGGTGACACCATCGACTTGTGTGCTTCCGTCAATTCTTCCTCGGATTTGGAACTCCAAAACCGGCAAGAATCTTCGAGAGTCAATTACCGCAGAGACTGCTGCTCCTTTGGACGATTATGCCATGAAAACAGCATACAACATGCCCTTAGAACATGTGCACTTGTTAACGGGTGCCTTGAGGTTGAAGAGCAAGTACATCCCACTGGCTATGTATCCTAAGAGTGTCCTCCGTGCAAGACTCCAGAACTACTACAATTATTTGACGGTGGACAACTATTACCTCAGTGGCTTGAATGGTGGAGGCAATTTGTGGGGGTTGGACATTTCTGAGCTCGTGTTAGCTTGTTTGGAGAGAAACTTAGTGGACGATATCGATGCTTTGGTTAAGATCCAAAGCCTGGGAACGTTGGAGGAGAAGAAGGCAGAGATCGAAAGTCTCCAAATGAAGTTGTTCCAGTCTATCGCAAATCTCCAGAATTGCAACATTGGATACTTGGCTATTGGGCATTTGTTGCCAAAGCCAGATACTGGGGTGGAGAAGTGGAGAAACACCATGTAAATAGGTTGGGAAATAAAACATGTGAAGAAGGTAACAGGAATTAGTACATGGGAACGTGGATAGAATGTAACCAATGAAGCAAGAAGACTAGAACAGAATAATAGCCTTTTAAATATAAAAACTTATCCAGATAAATGCAGCGAATAATAAAAATAATCGATAATAGTGACAAAACAAGTACATTAATTTATCTACTCTTGTTCCTACACATCCACTATGGAACCTTCCCTGCACATGCTCCAAGAATCATCAACAACCTACTACTTGTATTAGTCATGTCCAACGAAGACGAATCCCCGGTGCCGGACGCAAAGACGCCTATCCAGATTAAAGATGAAGGCACGGATATCAAGTTCGATGTGGACGATATCGTCTCGGGATGCAAGGTGTACGTGTTCAAGGAAGATGGTAAGAGACTAGCGGAAATTCTTCAAATGCATTTCAAAAAGGGTAAGAAGCGTTTCTACGTGCACTACCAAGACTACAACAAACGTCTAGATGAGTGGATCACTCCAGACAGGGTGGATTACACTCGACTGATGATCATGCCAGAAGAAGATAAGGAAGAGAAGAAACCGCAGAAACTGAAGCTGCTGAAAACCAGCAAATCACAGAAAGGCAGCGCCAAAGCAACGCCACAGCCAGCAGAGTCGACTCCACTAAGTACAGACGAAATGGATCTTGATAACTTGAATGTTCAGGGCTTGAAAAGACCCGGAGAAGAGGTCAGTAGGGAAGACGAGCTCAAGAAGCTCCGAACGTCTGGTTCCATGATCCAGAACCATTCTGAGGTTGCCCGTGTGCGTAACTTGTCAAGTGTCATTCTTGGAGAACATATAATTGAGCCATGGTACTTTTCTCCATATCCAGTTGAACTTACAGAAGAAGACGAGATCTACATCTGTGACTTTACACTCTCATATTTTGGATCCAGAAAACAGTTTGAAAGACACAGAGCTAAATGTTCGATGAAGCATCCGCCCGGAAACGAGATCTATCGAGACGAGAAAGTGAGTTTCTGGGAGATCGACGGCAGAAGACAGAGAACTTGGTGCAGAAACTTGTGTCTTCTCTCCAAATTGTTCTTGGACCACAAGACACTCTACTACGACGTGGATCCATTCTTATTCTACATCATGACGAAGAGGTCAGACCAGGGGCATCATGTGGTTGGGTACTTCTCCAAAGAGAAGGAAAGTGCTGATGGATATAATGTTGCGTGTATTTTGACACTACCGTGTTATCAAAAAATGGGTTTCGGTAAGATTTTGATCCAGTTTTCTTACATGCTTACCAACGTGGAAAACAAGGTGGGGTCCCCGGAGAAACCACTTTCAGATTTGGGTCTTCTTTCATACAGAGCCTTCTGGACAGATGTTTTGGTCAAGTTACTCGTGGAAAGATGCAATCCACATCTTTATAAGAAAAACAATCCAATCAAGGGCGATGATAAGGATTCAGACACCCCACCTCCACGTAATGCGGGGCCACCAGAGATCACCATTGAAGAGATCTCTTCTATTACATGCATGACCACCACCGACATTCTCCATACGCTCTCGACGCTCCAGATCATTAAATACCACAAGGGTCAACACATTATTGTGATCACAGACCAGATCATGGTTTTGTACGAAAAACTCGTGAAAAAGGTTAAGGAAAAGAAGAAACATGAGTTGGAGCCCGAAAGACTTCAATGGACTCCACCGTCGTTTACCGCCAACCAGTTGAGATTCGGATGGTAGTTACACACTCCAAATCTTGATGCTCTTATCGCTCTCTGCAGTGAGTAATCGCATACCCAGCATATCAAATGTCGATGCGTAGATGGTCGAGGAGGATGAGCCCGGTGCTGGTGTGGAATGCACCGCTTGCGTCATTTTTCCCGATTTGTAGTCGTAGAACTTCATTCTGCCGTCACTATAACCTGCGAACAACTCATCTGTTCCCGGATTTATAGCCAAAGTATTGATGATATTCGCATCAGATGAATCGTCGATTTCGCCAAATGAATCGAGGAGTTGTCCGCCTGGGAGAACCCATTCCTTGATATTTCCACTAGAATCCGCCGTCGCCATGGTCATCTCGTTTGGATGCATCGCAAGCAGCCGCACAGATTTGGTGTGGTGAGTGAGTGTAAGCTGGGTAGTTTGTTTTCTCAAATCCCAAAGACGTACCGTGGAATCCATAGATGACGATACCACCTGCGGGTCACCAATCTGTGCCGCTAGCCCCGTGACGTCGCTTCTATGTCCTGTCAACACCATCACTTGGTGGCGAGTCCGGATGTCCCAAACTCGAATGGCAGAGTCTCTTCCTGCGGTGAATAGTAGATCGAGCTCTGGATGGAGAGCCATGGCGTAAACTCCACCGACATGTCCATGGTAGTTTCTGATCTGACAGCCAGATGCCAGATTGGTTCGTTCCAAGTCCCAGCATCTGACTGTTTTGTCTTCTGAACCAGAAAAAAGGTATGGATACTTATTGGATACGGCCAATGCTCGAACACCCATAATATGGCCAGAAATCGATGCCCGAACTTCACCAGAAACCAAGTCCCACACTTTGATGAGGCCATCAGCCAGTCCTGACACAAACCACTCGTTTGTAACTTGATCAACAGCCAAACTGCGCACCCAGCCCAGATGTGCTCCAGCAAGTACTTGTTTCAACTTCCACTGAGAAGTTATTGAAGGTTTGCCGGAATTTCTGGCAAATTCACCCGAAGAGCTGGCCATATGCTCTGATTTAGTCCGTTCTAGCGTATCGTAGTCTTCCACAATGTCTACCTTGTCTGCACTTGATGTTGGCTGTCCATCTTGAGCATATAGATGAGCTATGGAGTCCTGGTGAGTATGCTCAGATATTTCTGGAAGAAGCGAATCGAGCTTAATGTTCGCGTACATGGCCCCGCTTAGATCATCCAGTGGCGTCACCAGAGCATCTTGGCGCAATCTAGATGGCGTCATCAGTCAAGTAATCGAAGTTACTTCCTCTAATCCTAGATGAGGTGTGTATATACATTCTGTGCCCAGCCAGAACCAGTAACTATCTGGTCTGCTTTGTACTCCAATTGCGTCACCAGTAGATGTATGGAGCAGTTCAGGTCCATGTCGTTTCCGCTTACCCAAAGTGTCTTTTCCACGGTTGTATCCACCAAATGCCTGCTATCCACGCTCCAGTTCATGCCTGAAGGTGATGTGATAGTGACTAGTGAAGATGGAGATACTTGCGAGGTGGGATTCTCGAAAAAAACGTATTTAGCCACGTTTCTAGAAGGTCACCGCTACTATGAGCAGAATTCGTATCGACTGGAGCCATTGACGACGTTTCTGGACGTCCAATTGGACGCAATGTACATGGCCAACATTAGCATACTCACTACTACCAATGAACATTCCACGGTCTGGACGCTCCACGAGGAAATAGTTGGAGAATTATATTCCCGACGAGGTCGGGACCCAGTTATTGACGACTTCAAGTTCTTTTCGGCCCTTGCCACGTCCAGGTTACCACGAATTAATAAGAGTTCTTCACTTTGGTTGTGGATTCGCAAGCTTTCGGTTCTTGTGATCTTTAATTGGAATATGATGGCGCCGATTCAGCTTATCCGCCAGATATTACGGTCCATGGAGCTCCATTTGGCCAATTATTGTGCCAGTTACACTTTAGCATGGTTGGTGGATGTGGCAAGTGCTCGCTCGGTGGATTTGCAAGACATCGTGCAGCTAGTTCGACAGCAGTGTCGGCGCAATCTCGGAGACATTTCACTCTGGACGGCCTTACGGCGTCTTCTTGAGGGTAAGCATGAATGGTACTCCTTGGAGCATTATAATGATCTTTGCAAACACTTACAATTGGTGATGAGAGTGGCGAGATTAGAAAAGCTTTTGATTCCATTGATTCTGGGTTCGAGCAATACAGGGAGTGGAAGAATAAGTGAAAGTTCCTTTACTACTTCTAATGAAGGTCAAGGTATCAAATCAGATCGAGCCATAGAAGATACGTTGGATCACCTAGCAAAAGATGATACCTCAGATCCCCCGAACGTCGACGCTCCGACTGCATCGTCTCTGCAAAGGCTCAAACGCAAGATAGGTCTAGATGACCTTGAGTGGTTGTTAGCGGTCGATTGCACGATACTAAGTCCATATTTGTGTGTGATAACAAACGAGAATAGGGAAGAGGCGACTGAAATGATGAGAAGATCAAGACAAGTGAAAGGCGGCGAAGGAAACGGCGCTGTGCGCCAAGATATTGAGGTTTTGAACATGGTGATATCCAAAATTGCTACACTATGATCGTAATTAATTGTAGGGCTCTATCGGAGATGGATACCTTCACCATTGATGTAGATAGGATTTCTACTCGAACCGTCCCCTAATTACCCGCACATTATTGAACAATGGCCAATGTGCATAGCATGTTTAGCAGAACAAAACAAAAAAATGGTTTTAATCAGTGGTTAATACATGTAGAGTTTATTTGTTCTCATCAAAAATGTAGAGAGAATGCCTTAGCCTTCTCACTACTAGAAATAGCACCCAATCGTTATCATCGCCACACCCGTACACCACATCACAAGATTTTACAAATCGTGGACTGCCCCACTATTACGCCATCAGTTCTAATGGTATGTTAATCGCTAGGTCTCCAAATCTGCCCATACTAACGTAGCAGCTCAAAATCAAACAGCTCCAGAAACAGAAACAGGAACAAAAGCTGGCAGGGGCCACTTCCACAACACACACTAAGGTGAGTGCAGCTCACATTAGACTACAAAAGGACATTACAGAGCTCGAGTTGCCACAAACAATCAAGATCGATTTCCCCAACCCTGCCAACTTGTTCCAGTTCAATATCGCCATCCGGCCATCGGAGGGCTACTACAAGTCAGGAACATTCCGTTTTACAGTGGACATTGGTGAGAACTTCCCTATTGATCCACCACGTATCAAATGCACCCAGAAAATTTACCATCCAAATATAGATTTGGAGGGCAATGTGTGTCTCAATATCTTGCGGGAGGATTGGTCTCCTGTTTTGTCGCTCAACTCTGTGTTGCTTGGATTGAACTTTCTTTTCTTGGAGCCCAACCCCAATGATCCTTTGAACAAAGATGCTGCCAATATGCTCGTGAAGAACAATCCTGTATTCACACGTAATGTCCGTCTGGCCATGAAGGGACTATATTTTGACGGAGAGCAGTACGATCGTGTTGTGTAAATTGATGTGTTTACAAAGTGAGTGGGCCATCTCTCAAATTATTATGGATTTTTGGCCACTCAATTTCGTTTCAACCTCTTGTGATTAATTTGGAAGTATCTTGGGTCACGCAGCTCAATGCTGCCTGTAATTGGGAACAGAATAACGAAGAATAGAATCTTGCTAGGGGCACTGGGATGATCAAATGCCGAGATGCAGGGGTGCAGACGAATTCTGCAAGGTATGGAATATGTACATAAATTTCATAGAAAAGTGTCTGGGCGTGGTTAATCGTCCAGAACGTAAACCAAATGATTAGTTGCAATATTCGTCCATTTATTTTATAGCTCTTCTTCTCTCAATATAGTTTCTCTGTCAAAATTCTTATTTCGCTACCTACTGTTCTCAACTGATACGCTTTTCAAATTCAGTGACCTCTCTTCGTTAACATCAGCAAACAAAGATTCCAAAGAATCTCCAAAACTCGATGTGTAGGTTGCTTGCTCCTGGCTCTTTCTGGATCTTTTCCTACTGAGATGAAACATTCCTATTTTTGATTTCAGCGGAAGGTTTCATTTCCTGGAACTTCAACAGTTTTTAGCATTCAACTCCCAACCTTCCAAAGCTAAGGTAATTGCGCTGGTACTTCCAGATTTCACTCAAATCATAACCTAGTAAAGATAATGAGAATGGAGATATCAGGAGAAGCCAGAGCAACTGCACCCTCTAGTACTGAGGACGATCAATTGACACATAATTATCGATCAATGTATCTCTAAGATTCCAGGTAAAATCCAATACTCTTGAAATTGTATTTCTCTAGCAGCACTTGATGGACGATTTATATCGGATGTCTGCTGTTTGCTGCACCGGCACCAAATGCAGTCAATTAGCACTTCACAGTTTCAAACCTATTTGACCCAGTCAACAAATTAGTGAGGTGGCAAATCAAAAGCCGAACCCCGATCCCCCAAATCCTGATCCACCGAATCCTGATCCACCGAATCCTGATCCACCGAATCCTGATCCACCGAATCCTGGTCCACCAGTTCCGCCTGGCCCAAATCCAGGGTTGTCTCCGAAGTCTCCAAACCCTGGTCCTCCACGTCTGCCTCCTCTGCCTCCTCCATGACGTAAATTTCCGGGTAGCCCCATTCCCATATCTTCCAAGTTATCTTCACCATAAGGATCATCGAATCTTGCACCTGGGGGCACGCCCCTACGTGATGTATTTCCCTCTCTTTGACCAAAAATTGGATGATCACTACTAGGATACATTCCTCCCTCTGGATTGTGCGCTAATGGATCCCAATATGGCTTCATCAACGGATCCCTAGGTAATCCTGGAGGATTCAAGTCTCGGTCACCAATTGGAGTTACTCCTGGTGGTCCACCTGATGATCCTCCTAAACTTCCTCCACCTAAGGTGGCACGGTCTTTAATTTCGTATTCATCGTCAAAATCAGGCATGTCTGCTGGTCTTCTTTGTGATTTTGCCAGTACTTCCACTCCTTGTGAGGTTGCAGAAGGCAATGTTGGGATTTTTGGTTCATTCGTGGTGTCTTTGTCATCCTTGTCACGCTGAGTAGGCAATTTGCCACTTCGATTCAATTTGATGTCCATATAAGCATCAAACGAGGCCTGGAGCTCAGAATTGGGTTTGTCTTGTGGAGATATATCAAATTTAGACCAGTCTACAGTGACTGATTCTGTGTTTTCTCCCTCAACGAAGGAGATTAGGGTCTTGGAAGGTGAAAGTTCGCTAATAGTGACTATCAATTGCGCCACCAGCCATTGCTCATGTTTTTCCGTGGACAAGACGGTGGTAATATTCGTATCAATGGATGTTGTTAAATATGCTTTGGTAAGCACTAGGGCTATTTTAAAATAGGACATGGTAAGTGTAACAAAATCAAATTAATTAGGCAACCGTTTGATAGTCTGGGGTTGCGGTGTACGGGTGTTTTTAAGGAGAGATGGTGATAGCGTCTGGACGATAAGAAGAAAGAATGAAGTCAGCGTATAAAATAGTAAAACGGTATTTATTATAGAAAGGAGCTATTAGAGGAGGAAAGGATAAGATGAAATTCAACCTTGACACAATGGTAGGCATTAGAAGTTTATAGAGGTTCTTTAATTTCACAATTCACGATTATTTGAGACATCATGATTAATCATCTCAATTCCTGGTCAATTTTGCGAGAATTCTTTCTACATGAATGATTACGTTTGATCTTCATCAACATTTCGGAAACCGTGGTTTATTTCCTCTTATTTCGATTTCTGTATTGCTCTACGCCATTTAGATTATCTATTTCAATCATCGCTGCATTAGTAAACTGGTTTGTATATTCTACATTCAGACAGCAACAATAGAGAAATACGGCAAGCCGCAACTTGCACTAGTAGGGTACAATCCAATCTGCCCCTGTCGTCTCAATGCACAGTGTCTTAAATGGACCGTTTGAAGGAGCTTATCGCCCAAGTCCGCAAGTAACTACGAGTCTAGAACAAGGCAGAGTCGATGATTCAGTGTTGCTATTGGACCATCGGGAATATTTTACAACATTTGAAACTTTTACATTTTGAGTATTGCTGGAACACGGAACAATTTGACATCCAGAATCAATTTGGTGTCTACAGTGGTTCATGTCCAGAAACTTGTAATAAGGTCATAATGGCCGCAAAATGCGGAAATTTTATCCGAGACAAATCAGTCGCCGATTCGGAATTGCAAACCATGTCACTCTACGCTTAAAAGAGAATTGAATAGAATTATCACCCCACAAATTTAACATTCTTAAGTTCGAAACCATTGACAACTGATTTATACTAGTTAATTGGTTCCGGATATCTATTTCTCCGGTAGTGTAGAAACCAAACTTAGCTAAGGTCCTGCACATTTCATGTTTATTGCGCCCGGGGCAGGCTACAATTGGCGACCATGAGAGAGGCAAAAACATTGTCCTGGAGGTGGAAAAAACAGGGTGTGCCACAAAGCTGGCCACCTAATCCAAGACTTTGAGGTGGCTAATTCAGCCTGCCCAATTCCGGCTTCTTCCGACAATTTTCTTTGTTATCCTTTCGGTCACACCTATTAGAATGACGTTGCGATAGCAAACTTAGATACTCCATATTTTGTACTGCATAATGTCCCCGCGGCTCCAACCTCCAGGTGCACGGGTGTTAAATGCCCCAATTGGCACAACTTACTGATCCGTCAGAAATATCCAAATGTGAACCTCGAAGATTAGAACGAAATCTAGCCAATGGGGGACTAATTACATGAAGGGTAATTGGAAAAAGCCCACATTTAAAACCCCGGGGAAGAACTAGAGTTGTCTGCACCAGGGGCTTTCTTTACTTTCCCTCTCACGTGACAAATCACCTTCTTATTCACGTGACCTAAAATCCAATCTTAAGGTCGAGGAAACCCTCAGAATTCCAATCAACAACCGACTCCCTAACAAAAAATCTTTGTCTTCTGACACTTATTGATCAAGTAATTCACTCGTTGACATTCTATTGCCGTCAATTTTACTGTCACGTGATATCCGTTCATCATTTCACGCCCTGAAAACCTCCATTCATCGCAATAGCTGTTATCAAATCCGCCCAACGACATCCGACAATATCAAATGACAACCACCGTGCCCTTGATATACTCGTTCCCCGAGTTTGAAGGCGTGGCCGAGGCAGTGGCCGATCACATCATTTCTGCTCAGAATATGACCTTGTACAACACTTTGGACCATGCCCTTATCGAGAAGTTGAGAATTGCCGCTTCCAGACCACCTTTGGTCGATGCCCCTTCGTCCAGCTCGCTCCTGGTTGCCTCAGCCATGGGCCATAGCAGAAGCAGCAGTGCTAGCAATAACAATAGCGGGTCCAACATACATGGCGAAGGCTCGCGCCGGACACTGAAGTCCAAGAAGAAAGGGGAAGTACGCTTCAAGATTGCGATTTCCGGAGGTTCTTTGATCAAGATTTTGCACCAGGGCTTGCTTTCCAGACATAGTGAGATTGCGTGGGACAAATGGGATATCTACTTTGCAGATGAGCGGTTGGTACCGTTCGAAAGTCCCGACTCCAACTATGGACTGGCAAAGCGCCAGATTTTCGACTTGATTGAAGGCGACAAGAAGCCCAATGTGTTCCACATCGAAGAACTGTTGATCGAAGACCCACAAGAATGTGCGGACAGCTACGAAAAGTTGCTAATCGACAACTTTGCCCGCAAGGACAGTGTCAAGTTGCCAATGTTTGACCTTCTACTTCTCGGATGTGCCCCAGACGGCCATATTGCGCTGTTGTTCCCCAATCATGGCGAACAGTTACGTGAGAAGTTGGCTTGGTGTATGCCTGTGCTGAAGGCACCACTGGGTCCTGAAAACAGAATCACTTTATCCATCCCCGTCATCTGTCACGCTCAACAAGTGACATTTGTGGTGGAGGGATTAACAAAGGCGCCAGTGATGCGCATCATTATGGAGAGACCGGAGAAGGGCTTGCCTAGCTCCATTGTTAACGAAGGCGCCATGGGCAGAGTGGCTTGGTTTGTGGATGATGCAGCCTTAAAGGATTGTTACGACATCACAAAGAAGAAGTACAAGTTTTTGAGCATTCCCGAACCTTCTTCTACATAAGCGGTTCTGGGCGTTCGCAGGTGCTCCCCCAATGGAGTAAGTGCTCTCCTGGCTACTGCCCAGGGAGTCGCATTATCTAAGCGATGGTCGGCTGCCTATTTATTATGTAGTGGTTCCCCATGACAGGCTGTTTGTCACTCTGCACAAGGGGTTTTGTAGAGGACCTTATTTAGCATGTTGTAATGCAAGTCCGCCATTGAAGTCATCGGAGATGGCCCAAGTAGGAGATTGATAGTTCGGCATTTGAATTGTTCCTGTTTCTGCGCCAATCGGGAAAAGTACTTCTCGGATTCCCTGTCACAATTCTACCTCCACGCGACAAATTACCCTTGTCGTCCTCTGACCAAAAAAAACACCATTTTTTCTGACATCAATTTCGGAATAGATGAACAACGTCATCAGCTTCTGGACTAGACACTAAATCCAAAATCTTCTTTGAAATAAGCTAGCGAACTTTAAATTTGAAGAGTGCAAATCTTTACCTCCTTCACCGTCTATTCATAATTGTATGCAGGGACAAATCATGGAAGAAAACCCCACCGCTCATAATTCCAAAAAAAGGAAATTTCTCCTGTATGTGGTCGGGCATCACATACCAATTGGGATATTTTTCCTGCAGATGTCGGCAGCAGGAAGCGGAGTAAACATCAAAACTACCTGATACAGTATATGACATGCATGCGACGGAGGAGGAGGAGGAGATGGAGAGGTGTTTGCATAAACCGCTTCTGGTTAAAGCTTCACCAACGGTACGAGCCGTATAAAACTCCTGAATACCGCTTCTTTTGCTAGGGTGTAAAATTCTGGTTGACTTTTTGCCTTTCTGTCGTTTCTTATTTTCTCCCCTTTCTAACTCACATCTTTTGTGACTTCGCTTGCATATCCTTGCACTATTGCTACCTCGTTTTCACCATGACAGGTCCAGCATCAAATAACGACTACTATACCCACGTCCAGAATAACCCATACTCAAGGAACACACAACAAAGTCCCAACTTTGTGTCCACCCCCTCATACCACCACTACGTCGAGCAGCAGCGTGCTCGTGAGAGCCACTTGCAACCAGTGATTTCCGAACAATCCGACACAACAAACACCTGTGTCGAGTACAACTCTGACGACTCATCTATGGATGGCTTTGAGACGGCTCCACGCAAGTCAAAGAAGGTTCGGGACCAGAAGAAATCCATGAGACACCTGCAAAAAAGACAAGTGGTGCAAGTCGAGCGCTTGTCCAGTGTTGGTTCAAATGGATCCACTGATTCCACCGAAGAGTTGAAGAATGAAAAGCGTATGTTCAGCTTCCTTTTCAGTCGTAACGTTCCTCCTGTGCCTTCCGAGGACGAGAGGAAATATTACCCATGGAAGACCACAAACTTAATCAACAGAGGTGTTTTCTACTGGCTTTGGCCCATCTTGGTCAAAGGGTACAAGAGAACATTGAAGCCTGCGGACTTGTGGCGTTTGCCCGAGAACTTGACCGTGGAAGACATGCACAAAAAATATAGAGCACATCTTGACAAAATCTTGAACAAGAGGAGGTCCAAATACTTGAAGAAACATCCTAATCTTGAAGGTTTCCAATGGCCCATGTGGGCTGTGCCCTTGGCATTGTTCTACACGTTCAAGTTGCAATACAGTATGTCATGCTTCTTTTTGGCTCTCTCTTTCGTGTGCCAGGCATGCTCTCCATTGATTACCAAAAAATTAATCGATTTCGTTCAGTCGAGTTACGAGGACAGATTCTTTGGATTAGATGTATCGTACAATACCGGTATTGGATACACCGTGGGAGCTGTGGTTCTTATTTTCATCAACGGTTTATTGTTAAACCATTTCTTCCACAACGCTATGGTGGCTGGTGCAGCCGTTAAGCTGATCTTGACCAAGGATATCTTGTTAAAAAGTTTTACCATGCTGGCCAAGGAGAAACACAAGTTCTCCGTGGGCCGTGTCACCTCATTGATGAGCACAGATTTGCTGAGAATCGACTTGGCGGTGGGTTTCCAGCCCTTGGTGATCTGCTTTCCTATTCCCGTGGTGATTGCCATCGTCTTATTATTGCATAACATTGGTGTCACCTCGTTGGCTGGAATTGGCTTGTTTGTCGTTTCGCTTATTGTCTGTGTACTCTTGACCTCCAAGTTGTTCTTTACCAGAGAAACCGTGGTCAAATTTACCGACAAGAGAATTAGTCTTATGAGAGAGGTGCTCAACAACTTGAAAGTCATCAAGTTCTACGCCTGGGAGATGGCTTACAAGGCCAACATCACCAAGGTTAGAGAACGTGAAATGAGATACTTGTTCACCATTAAGGTGTTGAGAAACTTCATCACTGCCTACGCTGTCACCTTGCCAACCTTGACTTCCATGGTGTCTTTCGTGACCATGTGGTCCACCAACAATATGAAGGCTCCTAGCGAAGTGTTTTCTTCCTTGTCTTTGTTCTCGATTTTGGCTCAGGCCATTATGCTTTTGCCTATTGCTTTGGCTACTGGAGCAGATGCTATGATCGGCTTCAGAAGACTCAAGGACTTCTTGGGATCCGCGGAGTACGATGAAGAATTGGACAGAAAATTGGCCAAGGGCGAGTTGTACATTGGTGGAGAGGAACTGCTGGTTGATTTTGAGTTCACTAACTACGACACCATGTCCATGAACAGCGACACTTACATTTCCAGAGAAAAATATGCTCTGTCTGTTGTTGTGGAGGTTTCCCACGCTGACTTCATGTGGGAACAATTTCATGACGACCAGGACGATGAGAACTCCATTTGGGAAGATACAGCTAGCATGAAAGCCACTAAGCTGGTTGAGAAGAATAGGAACTCCGAAGCCTATACTCCCAAGATCTCTTTTGAATCCACTTCCTCTATGAAGCAGACCGCATTCCCCGGTCTTCTTGACATCAACTTGACAGTCAACGCTGGAGAGTTCGTGGTAATTACAGGAGTAATTGGCTCCGGTAAGTCCTCGTTACTTAATGCCCTTGCTGGGTTCATGAAGATGACAAACCCAGAAGTGGGACGCTTGCAGGTTAACTGTGACTTGTTGCTCTGTGGTCAGCCATGGATTCAGAACACCACGGTTCGTGAAAACATTTTGTTTGGCAAACCTATGGATAGAAGTCGCTACGACATGATCTTAAGAGCATGCTCCTTGGTGGATGACTTGAACGAATTGACCTACGGCGACCAGACCGAAATTGGTGAGAGAGGTATCACTCTTTCAGGAGGCCAGAAGGCCAGAATCAATTTGGCCCGTGCCGTCTACAATGGTGCAGACTGTTTGCTCTTCGACGATGTCCTCTCTGCTGTGGACGCCAGAGTTGGTAAGCACATCACTACCTACTTGTTCCAAGGTCTTTTGAGAAACCACACTAGAATTTTGGCCACTCACCAGCTCTCATTGGTTCAGTCAGCTGACAAGATTGTTTTCTTGAACGGTGATGGATCCATTGACGTTGGTTCGTTGTCTGAACTCGCTAGCAGAAACGCGGGCTTCAGAAAGTTAATTGAGTTCAGCCACGAGTCTACCAAACAGCAAGAAGAGGAGGAGATCAAGGCTTCTTCCATTAACTATTCTAACGATGACATCAAGTCCAACAATGTTTGTCTCTTGCCAACTTCTGGAAACATGTCTCCTAATGATGACCCATATGATGAAGAGAAGAAGTTGATGAGACAGCAGTCTGTTCTTCCAGAGAACAGTGCTTCTGGCGATTTAATTGGTAAGACCATCGAGGAGGAATCAATGGGTGTCAACCGCATCTCTTGGAATGTCTACAAGAACTATATCAACCTTGGATCAGGTATCTTCGGTATCACTGTTGGCCCAGTGTTCTTGCTTCTTGTTGCATTGGCTACCTTCTGCCAATTGTTCACCAACACCTGGTTGTCCTTCTGGATGGAGAAGAAGTTCAAGCACTTGCTGGACAGATTTTATGTCGCCTTCTATGTTATGTTCGCTGTGTTGACCGTGTTCTTCACTGGTATTCAGTTCACCATGTTGGCATACATGAACAACCGTTCTGCTGAGATCTTGAACCTTAAGGCCGTTGACAAAGTGTTACATGCACCTATGAGTTTCATGGATACCAACCCATTGGGTAGAGTACTCAACCGTTTCACTAAAGACACCGACTCATTGGACAATGAGATTGGTGAGCAATTGAGATTGTTCATCTTTCCTCTTGCCACTATCATCGGTATCAACATCTTGTGTATTTGCTACTTGCCCTGGTTTGCTATTGCCGTGCCATTTTTGGGAGGTGTGTTCATATTCTTGTCGGATATTTACTCAGGTTCGTCTCGTGAAATCAAGCGTCTTGAGGCTGTCCAGAGATCTGTTGTGTACAACAACTTCAACGAAACTTTGACTGGTATGAGCACCATCAAAGCCTACAAGTCCGAGCAGAAATTCATGGAGAAGAATGACTACTTGTTGAACAGAATGAATGAGGCTTACTTCCTCTCCATTGCAACCCAGAGATGGTTGTGTGTTCACTTGGACATGATCGCTTCTATCTTCGCTCTCATCATTTGCTTGTTGTGTATCACTAACCAATTCAACATTTCGGCCTCTTCTACCGGTCTTTTGTTGAATTACGTGATTCAGATTGTCGGTTTGTTGTCTTTGACTGTCCGTGCCATGACTCAGGTAGAGAATGAAATGAACTCCGTGGAGAGATTGCACTCTTACGCTTTTGACTTGCCTCAAGAGGCTGCTTACGAAAAGTCTGAGTTCAAGCCTCCTCCAGAATGGCCAATGGCTGGCTACATCCAGTTCAACGATGTTTCCATGCGCTACAGACAGAGCTTGCCTTTGGTGTTGAAGAACTTGGACTTCGGTGTATACCCAGGTGAAAAGGTTGGAATCTGTGGCCGTACCGGTGCTGGTAAGTCATCCATCATGACTGGCTTGTACCGTTTGAGCGAAGTTGAGTCTGGCTCAATCACCATTGATGGACTCGACATCAGCCAAATGGGATTGCGTGATTTGAGATCAAAGTTGCTGATTATTCCTCAAGACCCAGTCCTTTTCCAGGGTACCATCAGAAAGAACTTGGACCCATTTAGCCAATTTACCGATGAAGTGTTGTGGGACTCTTTGAGACGTTCTGGTCTTATTGACGAAGAAGTTTTGGAAAGAGTTAAACTTACCAAGTTGACTGACAACAATTACGACATGCTCCACAAGTATCACTTGGATCAGAGCGTGGAAGATGACGGATGCAACTTCTCTTTGGGAGAAAAACAGCTAATTGCATTGGCCAGATCGTTGGTGCGCAATTCCAAGATTTTGATTTTGGATGAAGCCACCTCGTCTGTTGACTACGAAACTGACGCTAAAATTCAAGAAACCATCATTCGTGAGTTCAACCAGTGCACAATCTTGTGCATTGCTCACCGTTTAAAAACCATTTTAAGTTATGACCGAATCTTGGTGATGGACCAGGGAAGAATTGTCGAAAAAGGCACTCCTTGGACATTGTTCAGACAGAACGGTGTGTTCAAGCAAATGTGTGATAAAGCTCACATCACTGCTCAGGACTTCCATCAGTGATTCATGTAATATAGAAATAAAGATACCCATATGAACCATCGTTTAGAAACTTGAGTGATTAGTGGATTATAAATGATTTATTATGACCTAGATGTTGTGTGCTATATAGAAGAGAAGGTAGGCCTTAGTAGCCTTCACCTCATCGTGTGAAACGTGAGAGATAACACTGTCATCAAACTTAAACCATTGGCCCGTGCTGTTCTTAATGAGCGCAATGTAGTGGCCGGTGTTGACCAGCCCTGTGTGGTTGATCACAGCAAAGAGTTCGTAGACTTTGTTGGAGTCGATAGGATCCAGCGACTCCTCATTGAAGTCCGATGCATATTTGGTAAGATTCAAGAAGAACGGAGCATCCACGTCCACGTCAATCTTTGATGCAGTGTCGTTGGCAAAGTTATGCTTGAATCTCTTGAGCTGGATGCTGAGCACCGGAGGAATCTTCTTGAGTCGGAGTGACCTGTGTGCCTTGGTCTCCTCCAGACATGATTGGCACTTGTACTTAACGTCCAAGGCTTCGTTGTGAGTAAACTGGTCCAAACAGTCGTAGATGGACCTGTTGTTCAGGTTATGCACCTCTAGCGACAAGTCCACGAGCGGATCGACAGTCTTTGTGACTGCTCCACAATTTCCACATGCTACTGAACTCTCTAATTGACCTGAAAAGGTGGCATGAGCCACGCATTTACATGGCTCGGTGGCCACGCCCGCTTTTCGAGCCACTCTCTCGTAGTCACTGTGGAATTCGTTAAGCAAAAACTGCCAGAACTCATGTGCATCCTGCTCTTGGAATCCAGCAAGCAGCTGGTTCTTGTACCATGCGGTCATGAGTAGATTGGTAATTCCGGCGCCCTCGTGGGATGTGGAAGTGAAAAATTCCTTGAAAATAGTGTCCATCAGGCAAGTGATGCACGCCGACGATTCGTCGATCTGGTCATCACCCGAGTGGTAGTGGCTCTGTGACGCACAATTGAAGTAGTGCAAGTCGTTGTTGAAGAACTGAAACCGTACCAACGGATTATGTAGCATGGTCTGCAAAATGCTGCTCATGTAGCAAGTGGAGCCCAAGTTGACGATTCCTTTTAAGCCCTGTACCGCATGCGACGACGGTTTGACATAGTTAGCAGCTACAGATTCAGCATCTTCGCCCTCAGTCTCTGGAGGACTGTCTGTGCCCACACAGTTGGCGACTGCTCCGAGTCGGATGCGATTGAGTGTTGCGTGATTGATGTAGTCACCACACTGGAAGCAGAAGAGAAGCCCATTATGGGAATCGATAGCAAACATGTGATTGTGATCCTTCGCATGTTTCAGTGCATGTTCATGGTAGCATCCCACATGGGGGCATTGCAAGCAGATGAACACCAGGTAGAAGTTGCACAATTGACATTCTCCACACAAAAGCATCTGTGATTTGTATTCTGACAACTTGGCCTGCGGTACTAACAGGCCGTCTTTCTTCAGTGTATACACCACATGTTTCAGAAGTAACGGATTGATAGCTATGGACACCGCCACGGCCTGACGATAGGTGGCCATCACCGTATCGTGAGCTTTCGTCTCGAGAACGGACGTAAGATGTGTACATGGTTGGATATGACCAAAATTGTCAGGTGGCGGAGTTCTCTGTTGTGGGTTGTAGGTTGTCGCCAACTTTGGAAGTCCCGAACCGATTCTGGCATCGCCTGGGACCGTTTTGGTGGTTGTCGATGCTCTAGACGACATTGACTGGAAATATGTGGAACGGCAGCGCTGGAAAGCCACGGAAAAAAAGGAAACGAGTCAAAGACAGAGAGAAAATATGTCTGGTACTCTGGGACGGATCCTCGGTGTTTATATACTTTTTGGCTGGATGGTTTTGTGGTTGGTACCTGGCAGTCTCGTGCGTCTGATCACAATGAGACGTGCACAGGTCTTGATGATGGTAGGATTATTAAGGCGATAACAAAAAAAAGTATTTAATTTTAGGTGAAAAGCTCAAGTCATGGATATTTGTGTATTTTTGATTTCAATAAGCATATATTTATTATCAATTTGATGACGGACTAGCTATGGTTGACGAATCAGATGGTCAAATGGAAAGAGTGTGGAGTTACGGCCGGCAGGGTCAGAAATACGATGGATCTGGGAATGCAAAGGTGGGAAATTATTGTATTGTTTTCACAATATGGAAGATAGGAATTTCTCACTTCAATGAGTGCAAGGATCAATATTGGAGTAGATATTTGGATTGGATCTATTGTGGTTTTGGGGATATCTCCTACCCGGACATAAGAGGTGAAGTAATTTGATGGATGTCTACAAATTTTCATGTAGAGGACAAATTGATCATGAAATTTGATATGGTCACGTATTTTATTATTGATTTGATTTTGTTTGTCTCGCATAAGCTGATGGCATTGAAATTTGAAGGTTTTGATGGATGGTACTGATATCATTCAATGATCTTGTTTTTATTATTACGATTATTGGGATCAATCAACTTCCCCTTCCATAGTTAACACTCGCAGTCTCATTCCACCACTTTGACCATATATTGGGATCGATCTTAAAATGGCTCGAGTTAACATGACTTGACCTGACCTGATCCAAGAAGGTTTCTCTATAACTAATCGTAAAAGTCGTCATCATCATCCTCCATTCTTCCCCGGATGGACTTCTTCACAAATCTCGTTTTCCGTGCCTCCTCCAAATCCTCATCTAGCTGGTTAATCTCAAGCCTCTCGTCTGCATGCTTCACGGCATCAACGTCCACCAAAACTTTCTCCAAATCTGTGATTTTGCAGTCGCTGCCTCCCAACTCGGTTAGCGTAACATACTGTTTGACGATATTCTTCTTGTGATAGATAATAAGAGTGGGACAGTTTGCTTCTGGATAGTTCTCCACGCATCTGTTTGCTGGGATCTCTACGAACTTAATCTCGGGGAATTTGCCAGCCAACGTCACCAAAAGCAGCCCCAAGAGCCTACTTTGTACTGCCAGCTGCAATGACATATGCACGAACACATAGGACGACTCCGAGGCCTTGGTGACTTCGTCTTCGTATTCTGGCTTGGTGATGTGTAGAACCGAGCCAAACTTGGATTTCTGCTGCAACTGTTGAAGTTCTTGGAATCTCTTCATCTTATAGTCGTTGAGAAAATCCTCATCTTCATCGTCCTCCAATTCGTCGAGTTCTCCTAAGGTCTTGTTCTCTAGACGATTTTCATGCTGCTTTCTGACTGCCTGGTCGAGAGCCTCCTCCAACTCTTGGGTGGGCGACTTTGGCCTTTCTGGAATGATTCCATGTGCACGTAGAATATCGTTCCATTCGGTATCTTCGTCGGGATTAACCTCCACGGGCACTTTTATATCTTGAAGACTCATGAAGAAGATGTATATGTGGAGGTTATGTGAAGGAGAGAAAACGAGTAGGTGGGTGAATATCACCAACTACGCTTGTTTCAATAAAGAAGTCATTGAATATGAATTTGAAGTAAATCGGGAGGAATCTTGGATCATGATACAAATTTTGATTTGTTGGTGGGGAGTTTGACTGAAGGTTTTCAAGAATACGATAGTGAACTATTGGGATAGTGATGTGATAGATTAGATGTATCATTCACTTGAAACCAAGAAGTGAAAAAAAGAAAAACCTTAAATCGAAGAATCTGTTTTAGTTGGGACCCCCAACTTATATTGATATTGTCTTTCTCTGGGTTCTGCTCTGGTCCGCTCTGTTCTACGTATTCACTTCTCAAGTTTACTTTATTATCATTCTACATCAGTCTGGAAGTTATCCTCTTCTGTTCAACCCTGTCTTAGTTTTCTAAAAATATCATTAAGAAGCGCATAAATCGTCGAAACATCACTGCAAAGTCTATACATATGAAAAGTGGAAGGTCTTTGAGGCAAAAGTCACGTTTAGATAAAGCTTCTGAATTTACACCAAAAATGAAAAAACTCTAACAAAATAACGGATCTACAGGTTCTAAAAGAGTTAATTTCCGCTTATCAGAATAAAAAGAGACCATCTCCCTCAAGGTTCATTTTAACATGTCAAGTCAATTGTTGCAAGTGCGAGGTTACGATTACGACGAGCTCTGAACTTAGCATAAGAAATTCTCAAAAAAAAAAAAAAAAAACATTTAATTCATAAAAAAGAAACAGCAGCCGATCCTGCTTCTCTTTCCTGGTCTATTTTGTCTATTGTCAACTACACCACCAATATATACATCTTAACACCTCATATCTCCACACAAGCATCCACTATCTCGGACCTACACCCAGACACCATAAACTCATCATGTTGAAATCACCAAGCGAACCTCACCACACGGACCTCACCATCTACACTTTCTAAACGTTTCAAAATGGTCAAATTCTTCCTAAAAGCAAAAGCTGAGCTCGTTAATGTCACCGACTTAGAACCAGTCGACTCTCCCCAAAATCCCTACGAGTATACCTTTACCATCGAATGCACCAAGTGCAGAGAGGTCCATGACAAACCCGTGACCATCAACACTTTTGAACAGCATGAAATCACAGGATCTCGTGGAGAGGCTAGTTTTGTTTTCCGTTGCAAAAACTGTAAGAGCGAACACCTGGCACAAGTGGAGCGTACCAAACAGAAATTGACCATTGACGATAATGGGAAATGGGTGAAACTTCTTGAAATTGACGCTCGTGGGTTGGATTTTGTCAAGTTCGAGGCGTTGGGTCAGTGGCAATGTCACGGTTCCAACTCTGTCACTCAATTTCCCGAGGTTGATCTCGAGGATGGCGAGTGGTACGATTATGATGATAATACTGGTGAAGAGGTGAGTGTGACCGAGGTTTCTTTTGATATTGCACGGTCATAGGTATATAGAGAAGTTGCCATAGGTATTTACGAAGTTGCATAGGGAAATAGATACATGGAGATGAATAAGCTAAATTTAATCCTGTTGAAATTCTGATAAGAATTAAAGTCATGGTTGTCAGGTATAACTGAGCAAATATAGAATAGTCAGAATTTGGCAACTAAAGAACACGATAAAAACGTATCTTCGCTATCCTCCAGCCCATTTCAAGAAACAAAATGAACAAACAAAGACATGAACAAATAGATGACCAAACAATTCTATGAGCTACTTCTAGCACACGATCCACATCCTTTGGAATAAACTAATGTATGCCCAATCAAACAACAATCACATCTTCTTCACACATTCTCAACGTATTCTCACACCGCTTCTTTTCTACATTTTTCTTTCTTCATAAACATTTATCAGTTATATACAGAGGTGTCTAAGCATGCCGATTACTTGGTGGCGCTAACCAAGTAGGTAATCAAGTCGTTTCTGTCCTTTGGCTTCTTCAAACCACCGAATGCCATCTTGGTACCTGGAATGTACTTCTTTGGGTTCTCCAAGTAGTCAGACATGGTCTGCTCACTCCACACAACACCCTTCTTCTTGTTGGCGTCAGTGTAAGAGAAACCGGCAGCCTCACCAGACTTTCTACCGAAAACACCGTTCAAGTTTGGTCCAACCTTGTTTGGTCCACCAGCCTCAACGGTGTGACACTGCAAACATCTGGTCTTGAAGAGGTTGGCACCCTTCTTCTCACTTCCTTTCTCAAATGGAGCTGGCATGGTAATAAATAAGACTTTTTGGAAAAAAAAACTGAAGGTTGAATTTCCTCGCTCTGACTGGTTATATATAGGGTTGGTGACTTATTCGATGCGCACGCCAATAGACACGCCGCTGAACATAATGACACCTGCTATTGGCTGGATGGATGGGTTGGTGCGCGCCATTTAGGCATGGTAGACCCCTGATCACGTGACCCAAAGAAAACAAGCGCAATGACTTTTCGGGTTTACGACCTAGCGGTTTGGTGCCACCCGCGAGAGAAGAAAAGAAAAGAAAAAAAGTCTTGAATTGCATCAATTTGGTCATTGGGGATAGAAAAGCCGCAGCTAGTCATGCGGGTTTATGCGAGGGTTCCCCATCACAAGGTTCCATACATTTGGATATGGCGGTATGGAATTTCTGATTTTCGAGCAAACGTACCATACCGCAATACTCACAAAATGCCGATATGTCCGATACAGCCCAGCTGTGCATCGGGTCGTGGTGCACGGGTGTACAATATAAGATGATCTATTCTAGAGTGGATAGGTATGACCAGCAAGCCGGAGATAAGACGAATAATTGGTCATTCAAAAATGATCAGTTTCGTAGATGATTGACCGAAGATTGATTGAATCGATAAACAGTACATACTTCTGCTTAGTAGTGTCTTCTGGCCGTGGCGAATGATGCCGGTATACGCCGCAAGAGGCTTCATTTAACAGTGTCAACAATAAGTGCAATTTTAGGTCCTGAAACTTTGATATGGTGGCAGACATGTTAGCTGGCCTATTCTATTGAGTGACGGCGCGAGGAGCCTCAACTCTTAAGGCTATTAAAGAGATACCCTCACATACTCAATCCCTGATGTTTTTGTTTATCTTTGTATGGCTCCGGTCTCACCCGATGGTTGCGAAAAACAGAACCCAACTGGAGGCGAATATGCAGACTTCATGAACCTTCAGTTGTTATAGACACCTAAGCAGTGGCATAGATGACGTGATGATAAGGAATGAATGGGAATGATGAGATACCAAATGTCACCCCAGTTATGAAATATTGACAATTTGTAGTTTCCTTCTTCAGTCTCTACCATTAGCAGGTATGGACCTCGAAGGGGACCTAGAGAACGACCTTGATCTTGATCGTGATTCTGATGGTGACCTTGAACGAGCAGGTGAGCTTGATCTAGTTGGAGACCTTGATCTTGAGAAACTTCCAGAACGTGATCTAGAGTAGCTTCCAGAACGTGATCTTGAGTAACTTCCACTAGAATAACTTCCAGAACGTGATCTTGAGTAGGATCCTGAGCCAGATCTTGACCTAGAGTTTGACCGGCTCCGTTTTCGTCCTCGTGGCTCTGGAAGATTCTCCAACACCTCTCTCATCTCACGCGTCAAAACTCCCAATCCAATCGCAGTAAAGTAATTGATTGCAAAATTAAGATGGTCTCGATCTCTATCATCAACATCCACCACAGGAAACATACCTCGAATACCTACACGTAACTCTGTGTCCTGAACCATCTGTTGCACTTCTTCAATTCCTAACTCCTCCACTAAGGCCTTGAATAGAAACATCACGAAAACTCGTCCCGCGCTTGTGGATGCCTCTTCAGTAAGTGTAATGCATCCCAACGTCTCCTTGGGGTCCAAAGTATCAGATGCAATCAAATGGCCGAAAAACTTTCCCATATTTCGGAGCTGCAGCCCCTCGTACTGATATATGGTGGAATACTTCTCTTGAAATTGCTGAACAAATGTATCGTGCCAATGACGGTTCATTCCACAAAGCTTCTCTCCAATCACTCCAAAGTACTTTGAGTACGTCTTTTCTTGTGCACAGCACTTGATAATCATATCCACAAGTACTCCATTCTCCATCTTCTGGGTTCTCTTGAGTCGTAAGAGCTTGTGCACCCCCTCATCAGCTGACATGCTAGACATGATAGTGAGATAGATATTTTTCTGCATCTTCTGCAACTCCGAATCTGTGAAATCCATCACTTTCTCCTGTGCCTTAACAATTTGTGTTTCTGACTCCTCCTCTTCAACTTCGGGTAGAATCTGTTTCTTCATTTCCTCATATTCGGCCTCTGCAGCCTCGTAATCATTATCTTGCCGGAAATAGCTGAGCTCCAACTCTGGATCTTGCTTCTCCGACAAATCCACAAATTGCGTCTGCTTATCTTCTCCTGGAACCAAATCAAGGTCTATGTCGACTTTCAGCCTTAATCCATTGCGTCGAAGCCTCATAAGCTCGGTGATTCTCTTTTGAGAAACGTTCAGTAGTCTGCCTTCCTGGAGCAAAGCCCGAAGTCGATCAAACACCATTTGCATCGCTGGAGCCAGGTTCTGTTCGAGAAATCCTCCTGCCCGCACAAGAATGTCAATGGCGGTACGGATCGAGTCGTCCGTGGGCTCCTTGTTTAACAACACCTGAAGAACCTGCAATATCACCACATCCTCCACTACTGCTTGAAGAACAAGCTCGCAAAGAAATTGTAAAGTCGTGTCCACCATCTCTCTGTTGTTTTCCACGTATCCACGCTTATATAAGACCACCACTCTGGCCACCAAAGTCTCGCCGACTTCTGGAAGTTTGGAGTTGATGATACTTGTCAAAGATGCCAATATTGGCGCAGTAGAAGGCTCCGATAGAAGCGTCTTAATAATAGCTCGACATAATAGGCCTCTTCCCCGAAGAATATTGACATTAAAGAGCGCCAAACTGGTGTCTGCTACATTCTTTCTGGTTAAACCATTCAATGATGTGTTGATGGAGTTTCGTAAGTCAATCCACAGTTGCCGCTGGTCCATTTTCGTGAATTTGAAGATTTTGTAATGAATCTCTCCTCTTTCTCAACTTGTACTTTCCTGTGACAGCTCAATATCAGAAGATAGTCTATGAAAGTCTACTACCAGTTCTCACTGTATACATGCCTTGCGAAGAGCATCTCCACGACTTGTGGAGGAAAAACTTAGTAGAGTAGTGCTTAGAGTAGACGGAAAATACTCAAAAAAAATAGCATTCTTAGGTGATTTTCGGCATTTTTCTTTATGCTTTCACCGTGGATCCGAAAATATGTCACGGCCCGGCCAGCACGGCAAGCCAAGTCTCATATCAAGACTAAACTTGACCATTTTGTCGAAACCGGAGAAGTTCGCCGCCTAACACCGACTCAGGAGGAGAGGAAGGGACGCTTTCGGGCACAAAATATAAAGCGTTTGGCAGCCAAGTCGAGACCATCTGCTTCAAAAGTGCTTCTTTTACTTAAGGCAAAGTATGATAATACTCTACTTACCAGTAAGAACACTGATATTGATCTTCAGAAGCTAAAGCCCCAAGACTTGTATGTCGACTCCACAAAGCTGCTTGATATCTTTCAGTCGTTGATGGAAGTAAAGAAAGTCACCAGGAAACCCATCGATGAGAAGATCATGCTTACACTTCTTGGATCGTCTCCCGAACAACTCAAAGACCCATTTTTGGTTACAAAGGATGTGTTGAAGTTGCTAGAAAGAGACAACGATACTGCCCGGGCTATGCAGTTATGTCTTATGGCCAAAGAAAACGGAGAGGTGGGTATGAATGCCATTTTACAGTGGAGTTTAGACCGAGGAGACGTTGAACAAGCTACAAAGTCGTTGATGAGACGGAAAAAATGGGGAATTCCCGCCAACGAACACACCTACATCCACTATTTCAGTGGGTTGGCCAAGTGCCATGAATGGGGAAATGTTCCTGATGACCTTGCTGATAAATGTGAAGACATGTTCACCAAAATCGATTTCAAACCTAGCGTGGAGATCTTCAACGCCTGTCTCTCTTTGCTCGTGAAGAACTTCTCACAGAATCAGAAACGTGCGTGGGACTTCTTTAACCAGCTTGAAACGCTCCGCATCCCTCCCACTTGTCAAACTTATACTATTTTCCTTAATGGGTGCAAAAAGTACCATCAGAGCGAATGCCTGCTGATCCGCAAGGATATGTCGATAAATGCCTCGCAGAGAACAACCCAACTTTTCCAATCCCAGGCTGAATTGATTTCGACTGCCAAAATGGTGTTGGAGAGATTGAAGAAGGCTGCCATTCCCCCAGTTCCACCTACCAGGGAAGAGGCCGATGCCAATCCGAAGTTGCTTGAGAATTACAGAAAGAAAATCCGTCAAACACTTATGGATATTGATCCAGTGTTTGCAGCAACGTTTGTTCTGTGCTACATCAACAACTATGCTGGAACAACATATAGTGCTTCTCAAGGCTCACATTACGTTTATCTTCAACAGGGATTAGCGTATCTTCAAATGTGGTGTCCTGAAGTTGAGTCAATGCTTTATTTTGTTCTGAAACTGGTTAATTCTAAGTACGACTCGGATTCTTCTGTTTATTTCACCTCTGATGTTTCATCAGAGGTGCAGAGACGGACTGAGGCTAGATTGGAACATGCCCATTTGCAGCCGGAATCTAATCCTCTTTCCCTCTGTGCTCCATTGCTGAAGGACCAGGTTAATCCTTTGGTCATTTTCCCCCCTCCAGCTTTCTCTTCAAAGAAAACCAAAGCTATTTTCTCTGGAAAGCAGAAACGCTTAGTAGACTTTGGAAGACCTACGTTTGCCGATATTGAGAAGCTAGTGGCACATCGGAACTATGTCAGCTCCAAGGGGAAGTACGGAAAGAAACTTCCAGCCCTGAAGCCAATTTCTTTGGATCGCAAGTCTACCATCAATAAGTTCTTACTTCAGTTAGCTCTTGATGCATTGATCAAGTTAGGACTTCATAAGGAATTCTATTTGGCTATGTGGTATGCGCTCACCAAATGGGGTGGTCTTTATTTGAGTCGTACTGGTCTCCTGGAGAAAACTAGGGATAAACTCACATGTGGAGCACTTCCTCCTTCTGAGTATCCTGTTATGACGAAACCAGAACAGCCAGAGGAGAGAATAACTGGAAAGAAAAATGTGGTGGAATCTGTAGAGCCAGAGCAGGAAAAGATAGAGAAAACTGATTCAACAGAGCAAACTGACGTGGAACAAGCAACCTTATCTTTCCACGAGAAGCTCAGACTCACCCCCACCCATGACGAGAAGATCATCGACGCTTTATTGGTGGAAAACTTCATTTACAAGATTGAAGAGAACTTTAATCATTCTGATGTTCCTGTTCGTTATGCTGTTGAGCTCGTCGCTGCCATGGTTAGTGAAACCACCAATATCTCTAAAACTCTTGTTCCTCGAGACAAGACCTTTGACTACATTTTCTCCATTCTCAACAGAGATGTACATCTCTACAATGATAAGAATGTGCACAAGGGGGCTGTAGCCAACCGCAGAAAAGGAATACGAGACAATACCGCTAAAAGATCACTAACTGCTCAGCAATTGCGTGATCTTTTGGATCCACTCCTGGTTCTCATAGACTCTATCATGGTCCATGAGGGCCGAGTGTATTCCAAGTCTCAGAACAGAAAATCACTCATGCTGAACCGATTCGTGGAGTCATACAACTCGCTCATCAAAAACCTTTACGGCATTACTTGGAGCGATGCTCCCGAGAACGGCGCAATTGCTGTGGAGTTGCACAAGAAGATTCTCCACTCTGGAATTCTATTTTACAGACCCAAGACATTGATCGATCCTCGCGACAAGATTGTCCATACTGAGATTGTTGAGCACTCTATGGAATATGTCTACAAGCATCTCAAAGCCAACTCCCAGCTAGATTCTAAGGATAAGAAACTCATGCTTACACTCCGGTCATTATTCCAGCTCGATGCATCGTCTTCCGAAGCTCTTGAATTGCTTAATTCACTTCAGTGGAAAATTTACCACCTTTCCACCTAATCACTTATATAGTCCCAATACACTCTTGTATATAGAGCCTTCCCCAGATTCCTATTAACTAAATCTACATCGTCTCACCACATGTCTTTCCCGCTTATTTACATTCAGAGTCCTGAAAGCAAGGACTATGAGAAGTTTTTCAATGAGGTTCTAAAAAGACTTTCTGGTGATGTTTCTGGTATAGATGTGTTGGTGGGAGATACCATCGAGAGCACTGGCGAGTTGAATGAGGTTTTGCTGCATCTCTATCCCCAATTGAGAAGGATATCGGCTGAAAAGGGCTTTACGTACCGCTTTGACATTGATGTTTTGATAAATGTGCCAGTTCCCTCCAAAGGTGGCAAAGCTTTCTGTCCTGAAGATGAGAAGGTTGATATGACCAACGTAGAGTATATTCCTGCTCCAGTCCCTGCCAGGCAAAGTGAGGATAACTATGATTGGGGTTTAGCTTATAAAGAAGTCGAAACAAGTGCGGTAGGTGGCACTTTTGACCATATTCATGATGGACACAAGATTTTGCTCTTGATGACAGCATTTGCTGCCAAGAGAAAGATTATTGTGGGAGTAACGGGCCCCAAACTACTTGTCAAGAAGAAATTTGCGGAGTTCATGGAGCCGTTGAGTACAAGGGTGCTGAAGGTTTGCAAATTTCTACAAAAGGTGGCCTCGCCCGGAGTTTCCTTCCATATATATCAGATCAATGATATTTGTGGACCCACAGGCTTTTTAAGGGCAATTGATGCATTGATTATCAGTCAGGAGACTGTCAAAGGAGGAGAATTTGTCAATAACTACCGAAAGGAGAGGGACTATCCTGCGATTGAGATCGTGGTTGTTAAGGTAATTGGCGGTGATGGAAGTGGAGATGAAACCAACAACTGGAAGGGAAAATTGAGCTCCACGGACATTCGCGAAGAAGAGTATAAAACACTACATTGACTAATAAAAATTGAAAAAGAGTACGCGGCAAATGAAGGGACATGATGGATTTCAGGCTGATTACCTACCAAGAAAGCAAACTATATACGAGGTTGCAAATATCAACGGATGGAAATACCCTTGTCAAATGGATTGGCACGACGGGGGTTTCTATCTGGGTGGTCTAACGCAAGTGACACATGTGCGTCGAACTTGGTCACCTCCTCGAACAAACTCACCCCTGGTTTCTCAAAATCAAGGTACCTGCCCTTATCATTCATATCAGCTAATGCAATCTTTATCTTGTCAAAGGCTTGCAATCCAAGGCCTAACTTTTTTCTCAATCTTTCTTTAGTCTCCTGTGTTGACTCATCTGGGTACACTGCAAACACGAACGGCTTACTGTGGACATATGAAGTAGTCTTGTAGAAGTGAAAAACAGGAATAATGTTCAACAGCTTGGAGTATTGCTGCGCCTTCTCAAACTCCTTCCTCAATACTTCATCCTCGATATCACTAGCCGAGATGTAGTTCTCGTCGAATCTTTTAAAGATGTCGTGGCTGGATAAGATCTCGACTTCAGCTGGGAAATATCCACAATAAATTTCGTACTGGTCATTAATTTCATCAATGGGCTTATCAAACTTGATAAGGTCAGCATATTTGTTCTCTTGGCCTGCCCATACAAGCAAGTTACTCCAGTGTTCCTTGGGAACTTCGAGTTTGTGAATCAACTTCTTGATAACTTCCGCAACGGTACTCGATTTTGGAACCAACAAGTCAAGCAAATGTGACTGGAGAATACTGTTGAGCCAGTAGATTTTGATGGACTTCATATTCTCGTACTCTTTCAAAGTAATATTGAGAATCTCGTACTCGAATTGAGTAATAGAAGACACCGCCACTTGCTTCGTAAAAACCTGTGACAAATTCAGGGTGGATGACAAGGGGAATCTGGTTCCATGTGAGTTAACGACAAAAAGACGCAAATATGCTGGATTGGTATCATCACCCAATTTTTGAGCAATTTCATTTGCTAATTCTTGGTAAGAATAATCAGTTGAAACCCATAAATCGAAAGATCTGCTCATCTCCTTAGCAAGCTCAATTTCTTTTTCCTCTGTTGCTTCAGGATTCGCGTTTTCCACGTTGTTAACAGAGTCGGCCTTTTCTTCTTTGACAAAATCACTATCTTCTTCGTCGTCTTTCGTCTTGCAAGGTTTAACATGAATATGCAACCTAGTGAGTAAAAACTTGTAGAAGTCATTTGCGTTACCAAACTTCTTGCCAAAAGCGGCAGATTCCACTTCAGCGAGTTGGACAGTCAAGATATCCCCCGAACTGAGCTCATTCTTTTCAAGTGTTAACTCTGGATCCACTGGTTCGATTCTAGATTGTGAAACTTCCTCGAAGAATTCAAGAGGAGTTTTAGGATCAAACTGAAGCAACTGGTTGATTGGTGCCAGAAGATTAGAGACAACCGTATCTTTTGGAACTGCAAAATAAGTAAGACCTCTCACTTCATCGGTGACAGGATCAAAGTACTTGATAAACAAGTGTATATTATTCTCATTGAAATCAGCAGGAGTGAATTCGATAGAATTTGAAGTGATTCTATCGGCCGTTGCGTCAAAATCGAATGACTCTGGGGCCGATATGTTACCAGAAGAGGCAATATGGGACAATTCTTTCCTGGGCTCTTCAACAAAGAACACCATCTCGTCGTACTTTCTCTTAAAGCATTTAGTGTAGACTTGGGTAATGGAGGAAGCGGCCAAATCATTAGGAACTGCAATGTCCGGCCTATTTGTCTTATTGTTGCGATGTTTGACTGGGACCAACTTAAAAGGATAATGCGAAAGATCATCCTCCTCGTCTACCGTAGCAGATTCCTCTTCCTGTTTATCCTTGACTTCTTCAATACTCAAGTCCTCGATTTTCTCTTCTTCAAAGTCGCCTTCAATATATCCCAATTTCTTGGCCACAAGCTTGTACAAAGTGGAGAATTTGGCTTCCTTCCTAACAATCACGCTTGTAGGGTAAGCTCTCTTGTCGAAGACGTTCGCGTCATACATTTTTGGCTTTGAAGGGTCTGGATAAATATCAAAGCCATTGTAGTAGGCAAAGTTATCGACAGTAAAAATCTTAACATTCATGTAGAACAAAGCCTCCCGTTTCATCCTCTCCCAGTTTGCAAGTTCCTCGCGCTCCTTGTCAATTTGCTCTGCGACATGACTTGGAATAGGAGCTAAATCAGTGGGAAGAACTTGAGGTAACTCAGTTTCACGGTAGTACACCAACATATAGGCTGAAGTTGCTCTTCTCAAGAAGTATTCGTTCTGCTCCAAACGAGTGAGCTGTCTCAATTGGATAGGAGACAATTCGGCTGCTCCAAAGTTCTCTTGGAAGACTTGTGTAGGTGTAGCCTTCCAGACCTTGTCATCATCGAATCTTAACCAAGTTGAGCTTTCGGCTTCAGGTTTGATCATTGCATAGTAGTGACCGTTAGAAATGCTACCCTGGTGTACCAAAACGCCGTGAAGCTTGTAGTTCCAATTCTCATTCTTAACTTCTGGTGGCAAATCGTCATCCAAATATGGGCTGAGATCGATCTTGTCAGGAAACTCATACAAGTCGTCGATCTTCACAAGATCGTCCTCCATGAAATCATACTCGAATCTCTTCAACTGCAAATGCAAGACAGGTGGAAAAGACTCGAAAACCACACCTTTCTTGGCGTCTTGATATCCATACAGCTCACCAGCTTGGTACTTGTTTTCACCATCAAGCATTTCCACTTCAATGTAGTTCTCAAAAGACTCTTGCAAGTTTTTGAAGCCCTTAACATTCAACTGAATGTCCCAGAACTCTTCTTCTCTTGAAGATTCGTAAGGGACATTCACACACTTGATGTAAGACTTCATCTTTCCCACAAACACGTCATTGAGTTTCTTCTCGATTTTGGTGCCTTTCATAGCCAGTTCCAATCTGTCCATGAGTACACGATTCAACTCCTGGACATCGTGTTGAGTAAAAGCGTCACTGGAGTCCCAGCCAAATGACTTTGTTAATTCTAACGTTCCCACAGGCTCCTTCGACAGCTGCAAATGGTAAAATATTCTTTGCAAAGCCAATGCCACAGCTTTGTTGTTTGCAGACTTATCTCCCAGAGTATCGGTAGGGATCTGGCAAACAAGATCACGGAAGACTCTGGTAGTGTAGTATGACTGCAACAATGAGTTGAGATAGCAGGTGGCACCTTGGTTGTTCAAGCCCACGTAGCTTGTATTGGCCTTGGAGTCGTAGTCCACAAAATTGTGCCACAACACTCCAGTGGAAGAGTCATCAATGACACGTACGTAGCCCGTGATATTGAGTTTGTTGTTCTCTAAAATGGGATGTGGAAGGTTCACCTTCGTGTGACTAGCAAGGTCTCTGGAGGTAATAAATGAGGAAAAGCCCCAATCTGTCTCGCTCTTGTTGAAACGGTGGCTCAGGCCACTGGGGTAATGTGATTCTGGATGCTGTGGGTTCCAGATATCTAGTGCAAACTGTGCACACACATACCAGGCGGGATCAGGCGTCCCATCTGCCTCCACAATTGGGTGAGGTTCCATATACACAGAGACCGTATCGTTGCTTCCTCTGGGAAACAAAAGAACATTCCAGCGGAATCCTCCGCACTCAAACTGGGGACCCCGAACCTTTTCCTCGCGTCTAATGGCGTTCCAGTCGGTGATCTCCCATGTATAATGCGCCTCATCTTTGACAGGATAATCTAGGAGAGGTTTCATCAATCGTTTGGCAAGATGCACGTGGTCGTTGGCCAAAGGGTATTTCTCATTGCCAACGGGCTTCAGTGGGTCAGGGAAAGGACCTTGGTTGTGTGGGGCAGCACCATTTTCATCTACATCTTCCACTTCCATATCGTCCACTACCTCCACGTCGGACTCGTCGGAATTCTCAATATCCGAGCCGTCTACAACGATGGCGTTAGCGGGGTTTTTTTCCATGCCATCCGTGTCGCTGGCAATCTCGATGATCTCGTCTTTAGCCGCTGGTTCATGCGGGACACCTTTATCAATCATAGTAGCAACAGGCTTTGGGTATGCACCAGCCTCGATTTGCTGCTTTTTATTGGTGCCTGTCCTTTTGTAGAAACGCAATGTTGCGGGGATGGTGGCGGATTGTTCACGGTGCCGTTACTTTAGGAAAGTTGGCAGAGCAAGTTAAATTAGAGTGAAGATGACGAGTTTTAGTCGGCAATTGGCGAGGATTGGCGGTTCAAAATAGGGTAATTGTTGCAGCCACTGGATGACGAAGACTTCAGGGGGAGTGATTGACGAATCACTAGGGGAAAACCAAAGGAAAACTGATGAAATCACACTAAGGTTGTATGGGTCAGGGATTGGGATTTCGTGATCTTGGTTCGGTCACGTGGCCAGTGTATACAGTAAGTGATGTGTGGCGAATGTTGTATGATATGGAGGATTATTTGGATGGGAATTTAGGGTGAACCTTTGGAGTGAAATGGAGACAATTTGGAGTTTGATGATTAAGTAGGATTTTTTGGCGTTGAAGCTTGAAAGTTTTGGTGTTTTCTTTTGTAGGTGTTGATATGTATAGAAGGTTGCGAAATGGAGGGAAGAAAAGGAAGAGAGTGTAGAGAATGTAAAGATGTTGACAAGGAAGAGGATGGTAATAATGAGAAAATTAGAAGGCAATGAGGTGAACTTAGCTAAAAAATAAGAAATTCGATTCTAATTGGAAAATTATGAACTAGAGATATCAAATGAAGAAGTAGAGTTCAATTTGTAAAGGAGTACTTAGGTCTTCAATATTGGAGAACAGCATAGTATAGTGAAGTGGTACAAATTTTTCGAGTGACAGTTCGAGACAGTTGATATCTATCGTATGTAGTCTCTGTCAACCACTGTCTCTGTCAACAATTGTCTATGTCAACCACTGTACTTCTTACTACGGTTATTTTCATTGAATTGTACTATTCATACGCTTCGGAACCACACAAGATGCTCTGCTGAAATCTATGGAGCACAATAATACTAGCTGTAGACGAGACAATGAAAATCGCACTTGATGGTTGATACAATCAGACAAACTTCTCTCATTCATCGCAGACAGTAAACAAGATCACCAAAGATTCAATACTATTGTAAAATTTAACACTTTCACTTCATTGTAGAATATAAGACATTTACTTCATTGTAGAATATAAACCGGTTGCAGACATTTCCATCTACTAACTTCATGCTATACCTTTTAAATGTACTTTTCAGTGCACTACTCAGACCCATACTATGGAACATTATACTATGCAAACAAACCACAACAATTCTTCGACTTCCATGCATGTTGTGCTTTCCATTCTAAATTTTAAATCAACACAAGAACTTTCCGTAATTACCTTCTCTCTCATACATTGTCACTTTCACTTTATATCATCGGGAGAATTGATCATTGCAACCAAATTTCACATTAGACATGCTGAATCTCAAAATACAGATACCTAATAATTGTGTCTACTCCATATTCTAGACTCTTACTCTCCTAATGCCACCTCATAACTTCTCCTATTCCGGAAGAATAGAAATCGGACACTCCGGAATGTTGGCCGACAAGAGCATATCATATCAGGAGTTTTCTAGATAAAGGATATGCATGAAATGTGGAAATTCACAATTGCGAATTACAATTGAGATTTGGCAATCACGACTTGGGAAAACAAGAAGACTTGAAAAATTAATGAATGGGAAACAAGATATTCATGTAGACTATGTGAAGATCCTCAAAATATTCCATAGAGAGTAAAAAGTTTTGAGAACAAACCTTAATACAAACCATAAACAAGATAAAAGAAACCTCAGATTTGACCTAAGTGAATGGATCAGCAGAAAGAAATAATGGAATTACGGGAACAAGAAAATATCAAGATGCACTCCGATTATGTGTGAACTTACGAAGAAGGGCTGAGATCTGGAGATGGTGCAGAGGAGTTAGGAAAATGAAGGTTTAAACAATTCAAGTACAACGCGGGTTTACATGTGCCGAAGTCTAATTCTTCAAACTGTTCACAATCGAATACAGATTCACTGTTCACTCCATTGACTTTATACTCCTTATCACATTTGTCACAATCAACTTCTTATTTTTACTTACTGTGTTCAGAACATTCACACATCAAAATCCTATCACATCAAAACTCTTTCGCATCATAATAATTAACCCGACGTCAATACGTCATCATATGGCTGCATCGCTCCGATTACACTCTCACTCCTACAGGCCCTTCCCGTTGTCGTTACGACGAAGGAGTTACAGGAGTCGTAAGTTGACATGCAGAATAAATCTTTAGGTTTCAGATGAGATTCAGTTAAACAGATGGTGGGAAATTTCGAAATGACAACAGCCCGTTGAACTCGGAAATTGTATAATTGAAAAATTTTCTCACTTTGTTCTAAATTCTCTCATATCTACTGTACCTGGTGTTAAGTTCAAGGTCAAAGTTCGTGGGTTGGCTGGAAATATCGGTGAATTTCCGTTTTCATCACTCTCAAACTCAAACTGTAGTTGTCTAGACCGCATGGTTTGCAGGACCCATGCACCTCATTAAGCCCGATCCGGCCAACGTATAAATCTGACCAACAGTGAAACGAGAGGGAATAAAGAAAGAAAACCATAAGAAAATATAGAGAAATTTTGATATTAATTTGAAGTTTGTGAAGTTTTTTTTGGATAGTCATTTTCATATTTATTAATTACAAATTGTGACTTAGTACATTCTTTTAATGTGGAATGTAAACCTCACCCTATTTGAGTGCGCACGTGATGCCGGGGTCCACCCAATTGCGGCCAGGATAACCTAAAGTGCCTCAATCGAAAACATCCTGTGTTAGAAAATGAAACAAGGCTAAAGTAGCAATTGAACCATAAAACAATGGTCCCCGTCGCAAATTACAATGCAAAACACAAACGCAAGAAACGTTTACAAATACATTTGCAACCAACAATTCCACAATCCAAAACACTTTTCATTTCAATCTCTTTAATGAAAACAAATCATAAAATTCAAGTCAGCTTGCCAATCAAATGTCTCATAACGACTATTCCCACCCCTCGGTCCCACCCTCGGATCTGTCAAATTCTCGGCACACTCCTCCAATGCCTGTATTGTATATAACTCACCATACGATTCGCGGTCTGGACGCACAGCTCCTGTTCCTGCACCGGCACACCCGTCCTCACCGTCCCATATATTTGTTGTCCACATCCGCCTTTCTATTACTTTTTTTCCCTCAAGGTTCATCTTCTACAGTCATTCCTTTCACTCCCTAGAGACAAAACCTTGCAGTTCCATTCATTATGTTGTTCAAGTCCCTTGTCAAGGCCGCCATGGTTGCCTCTGCCATCGCTTCGCCAGTCCAGCACCATCAACACCACCAACACGAGAAGAAGGCCGTGGTTACCCACACTGTGGTTGTCACTGTAGGCGCCGGAGACGACGCCGTTGTGTCTACCTTGCCTGTGGTTTCCATCGCTACTCCATCCTCCGTGACGGTGTCCTCGCAGACTGTCGCTAACGGCGCCATTCCTTCTACTGTGACTTCTGCCTCGGCTTCTAAGGCTACCTCTGCCTCTTCCTCTCCATCCTCTTCCTCTGGTTCCTTCTCTGGTGCCGCCAAGGGTATCACCTACTCTCCTTACAACGCTGACGGCTCTTGTAAGTCTTCCTCTGACGTTGCCTCGGACATTGCTAAGCTCCTGGAGTTTGAGGTCATCAGACTTTACGGTGTCGACTGTAACCAGGTTGAGAACGTTTTGCCTGCTTTGGGTGACACCCAGAAGCTTTTCGCTGGTATCTACTTCGTCAACGACATCTCTGGTGGTGTCTCTACTTTGGCTGCCGCCGTTAAGGCTAACGGTGGTTGGGACCGTGTCCACACTGTCTCCATTGGTAACGAATTGGTCAACAACGGTGAGGCTACCGTCTCCCAGATCAAGTCTTACGTTGCCCAGGGTAGATCTGCTTTGACTGCTGCTGGTTACACTGGTCCAGTTGTCTCTGTCGACACTTTCATTGCTGTTATTAACAACCCAGAGTTGTGTGAGTACTCCGACTACATGGCTGTCAACGCACACGCTTTCTTCGATGGTTACGTTGCCGCCGAGGATGCTGGTGACTGGGTTTTGTTGCAGATTGAGAGAGTTGCTACTGCTTGTTCTTCTAAGTCTGTCTTCATCACTGAGACCGGTTGGCCAACCAGAGGTGACTCCAACGGTGTCGCCGTTCCTTCTTCCGAAAACCAGCTGGCTGCTCTCGCTTCTATTTCTGAGAAGTGTGGCAACGACGTCACCTTCTTCAACGCCTACAACGACTTGTGGAAGGCCGACGGTGCTTACAATGCCGAGAAGTACTGGGGTATCTACTCTAACTAAGAGGGTTACACGTCTCTTCTTTTGTTTGTCATTCGTTCGATTCTGTTAGCGGGGACTTTCTGCCAATAGAGATTGTTTTTGTTTGTATACCAATGTTTTAAGTCGATTCGACTCACACGTTTTGGCTGTAGGGTAATCAATTAAATGGGGTCCTGGTCTTGGCCAGCAAATTTGTTTACTATTCCCCTTTGGGCATAGTGCGTTCCCATTTGGTTGGTTTTCGGTATATACACGACTTCCTGTGAAATTTTCCTCGGAAAAATTTTCACCTCCTGTTGTGCCCTCGGAAAATGGAGAAGTGTGTACCCTCGGATTTCGTGTGCGAAATGCCCGAAACCTTCTCTTACCGATACTTACTGCATTTAACATTATACGATTGAAGCCTAATGCTCCTAATATACAAACAAATAAACAGTCAGTTCCCACCCGTCAGCATCATCGCTTCCACATCAGATTTACCTACTCGTCGAGTCCGAGGAATGCTCGTCTCTCCCGTAAACTCTCCTCATCCTGAAACTGTAATTTTTGATACTTGCCCTTGCGCAAGTACAAGTCATACTCTTGGATCCAGAACCCGTTCTGGTTGCGAGGAAACAATAGATCCGCTAAGTTCATCTGCTTATGTTCCAACATGTTTTGTGGGTTCAACAGCTTGTCGAAGCCCTGGAAAAGCTGCACCAAGAAATCGTGGATGCTCTTGGCGTTGGCACTTGTCACTTTAAGTATATGTGCTGTGAATGCACGAGACAAGCCAAGTCTCTCAAACTCTTTGAACACCGTGTCGATGTCTGTGGGGCCCAATGGCCTCAAAATCTCTCCCACCATGTCCAAAATATCCTTAGAATCGTTCATGTAGAAGTGCTTGTTGAACATATCGTCGATGGTGGTGTTGCGAGGCATGTATACGGCATCTCCATTCAATGAGTCTTGCGATTCCTCCTCCAACTTCATGGCCAACTCAAAATCGTCGCCATCGGAATCCTCGGGATTACCAGAAAGACTTGGGTGAATGGCGCTATGGTCGGCAAGCGCACGTACACCAGAGTGGACAATGTCGTCGTCGATGTTAACTCTGCCAGCCTCAGCACCAACGTTTCTGAGTGCCTCGTGGATGTTGGAGTTCTTGACCTCACCAATTTCCTCATCCAATGCAGATGCCTCGCGGGCCGAAACTGCCAAGTTGGCTACGGCAGCAGCTGCATTGGCATCCATTTGAGTATGAGGAAGTTGCAGAACATGGTCTGGGTGGCCCAAAAGATGACCATTATTGGCCACAGCAGCCACAGCAGCAGCAGCGGCCACCTCTGCATCGTCATGGGCCTTCTTCATCCTACGCACGTTGTTTTCAATCTTCTTCTTCTCCTTCAGTGCACGCGAAGTTAAGTTCTTCATGGGCTGGGGACCATCCTTACTCTTCAACTCACGCAAGTAGTAGTCTCTGTACTTTTGCAAGCCGTACACGCGAGCAAACTTTCTGTAGCGGTCTCTCCAACTCAGCGACGAGTGCTGTGGGTTGTGGCGGGCGTAATCGTCGAAAAATGATATCAGCACACTGAATTTGTTCTCGTTCAAGTATCCGTCCTTGTACTGGCCATCAGCAAACTTCAACAGGTCTGGGTCCTGAGTGTTCAACACGTGGTTAATGATATCGTCACACAAGTGGAAGTCATCATCAGCAGAGAATCTGTTCTTAATGGTTTTGGCCAGATTGACTGGAATGGCGATTCTATTTCCTTCCTCATCAAGAATCAAGTTGTCAAAGTCGTCTGTCTTGAACACATACTGCAACTTGTGCTCCAAGTGGGCTCTGAATCTACTTCTTACTGAGTTACCAGTGTGACCCTCCAAAAGTGAGTGGTGAGCCAATTCTTCAAAGAACTTGTGCGATGTTCTGAAGCGTGGCTTCATTCTCACCTGCTCCAAGATGTAAGCATCAGATTCAGCATCAAACTTTTTTGTTGTTTTGCCCATCTTCAGCTTTTTAGCCAACGCCTGAGCAACTGCATTAGCAGCATCCAAGTTGTCGTCATAGTGGAGCGGGCCCTTCTTGGCCAATGCTGCATCCAAACGATAATCATCAATATAAACCATCAGACCCTTCTTAAGCAGCTGGTCAATGAAGGAAAAGGCAATGGTGGTACGGTCTGGCCACGGATAAGTACTCAACTGGGCCACATCATTGCGTTGCAACATACGTTCATCGGTTTCAACCACTCCGCCATGCGTATGGATCAATTTTTGGTATTTCTCCCTATTAGGATCCATCGGGTCGATGTAGAACACCACGGGCTGGCCGGTGGCATCGGTGAATGTAGACAGAAGCACGCCAGGTGGTTGCAATACTTGGTTGGGTTCCGTCATGGTGTGTGGATGTTTTTGGAATGTTTGGGTGTTTGTTATGGAGGAGTTGGAGTATTTAGGATGCTTGGGGGTGATGATGGCGCGGTTGGAGAAGTGCGCAGCTGATGCGTAAATTTGGGCATGATGTAAGAGTGATTTGAAGTAACCGAAAGTGATTCAAACCATGAAATTGATAGATTTAATTTAGTATTGAAACTTATTCGAAATTATTAGGATTTTATGGGTTTTATTGAATTTGAGTTGTGTTTTGATAATCATGGCTATCAATGATGGATCAGCTATGCGACTACGACGTTTCGCAACTATGACCATGAATGGATTTTCGGTGCTTTTCATGACTTTGTAGTAATTAACGTATTTAGATGGCTTCTTGGTATTTCGCCCATACTTACAGATTCACATTACTAAGACTTAATTCGAACGTAATTTGTTAGCTTTGTAGTATGATTTTCAGATGATTTAGCCATAGTTGACAACTTCCAACCAAGTCCACTAACTAACCTTTTTTATTCTTTCCACTTGTTTCATCCTTAGTTCCTCCTTAAGTTTTCCATTATTAATACAATCAGCGTTATAAATACCATTATGGATTTCATTTCTCCCATATCCTAATTTAAATATGTACCTTTTAATTAACAACTTACTCTCACAGATTGCTCCTTGTACAAAACTCCCCTCTTCGTCTCCTCTTGCCACAACACCATTGCAGCTAGGTAGTCACCACGAACACATCCATTATCCAAACCTTTGGCCCATTTCTTCAAATTGAGTCCGCGGTGGGCATCATGTCCATAGTACACCACATATTGGTGGTCCACAGTCTTGTTCTTGTTCACTGCGTTCCATACCTTCGACCATGAAACTGCCCTTTCTGCACGTGGATCGTCGGTCGTCTCATTGTAGAATGGTTCCAAGTAAGATCTCATCTCCAAACAGTCGTTGGGGTCTTGCTCATTAAGATCAGCTGTCAAATCCCATCTTAAGCCAGCATGGACAGCCAATCCTGAAGCAAAATTGCGACCGCCATCATTCTTGGATGCATGCAAAGGAACCTTGCCTAACTTCTTGATCACTCCACACAGATTGATATACTCGATGTGGTGTGGCTGCAACTTCTTGGCCAAAAGGTATTCTGGGTCTTCATTGAACCCACTGTTCGACATCTGCGAGCTCTTACTCGATAAGTCGGGGTTTCGGAGTGCATTGGAGGAGTTCTGTGCAACAAAGTACGGACTCTGCAATCCATGGAACTGAGCGTAGTTCTGCAATGCGTAGTATTCATGATTACCCAAAATACAATCCATTTGGTTCTCGATAAGGTATTCAAGGACCTTCATGGAGTCTGGACCCTTAGCTATGAAGTCTCCCAATACAAGAACATGGTCTGTCTTCTTGTTGAATCCCACCTTTCTGAGCAATTTGCGTAATTGAATATATTGGCCATGGATATCTCCAATAATGATCAATCTCTGTTTCACTGTCTTCTTGGAGTCAGCAAACATTTCATCAGAGAGTTCTGAAGTTTCCTGCTCTGTTTGTTCTGTTTGTTCTGTTTGTTCTGTTTGTTCTGTTTGTTCCTCCTCGTCATATTCCAAATTATCCCATGCTCCAACATTCCAAGTTTCCACAACGTCCAGAGACACAGGAATCAAGCTTACCGCCAAATCCTGGACCTTGCTGATTCCCACAAGGTTTACCAGCTTGGGGATAAACATATTGGGCAAAATGAAGCAAAATAAGTATATGATGGCTACACTAAGCACGACACCACATGCGATAAGCAACTTTTTGGTAGTTCGTGATATGTTCCACTCTTCGTCCTCGTAGAAGTACTCGGCCTCCTCATTTTCAGTGGCCTTATAGCCAGTTCTGTCGTTCGGATTGAGAAGGGTGGACATTCCTGAAGGAAAAAAAGGCTCTGGCTCGGGATTCTTTCGCCTAAATATATCAGATGCACTAGTTGCTAGAAGTAGTTAGATTCGAGGAATGTCGCACCTGTGCTATCCGGATACCAATTTGACGGCTCCTTCCGACAATCGTTCTTGTAGTGGTTATTGTAATATTTTTTTTTTCTTAAATGGAGGAATGTCTGCTATGCGGTGGTTATTTTCTGAATTATCCAATTTGTTTGTTTAGAGCATTGATATCTTATTAAGGTTCACGTTATCACATAGGTCTGATTACATGCCTGAGAAGGAATTCTAACTAATCTTTATGCCCAGATGTCCAATCCAATGATTGTTCCCACGATACAGACTACCTCTGTAGTTCCAGCATTTGCAAGTCTCACCGTGTAATTCTCAATATATTTGTCTCATCCTCTCGGTGAATGCCGTTGACGATTGTTGGTCATCGCGACTTGCTGATCTCCGCTTATGGCAGGTCTGCAGGTCAGAGACATATCTTGATTAGACTTACTTTAACGAATGGCTGGCCATCGTCAATCAATTAGAAAAATAATCACGTAGAACCAATTTCGCAAATGTGGCATTCAGATTTGTCTCGACTGAAATGCCATTGTTCATGCTTTCACGCTTTTTTTTTTTTTTTTTTTTTTTTTTTTTATGTAATGTACTTACCACGAGGCTAATTAAGAGAAAATTACTTACTTCAAGCATGGCAATGTGCAAGCTCAAAAAACTAGAGTCACTTCCAATATAAAACCTAAAAACCGAAATCCTCAACCTCCCCCAACTCCTTCAGGTCTCTCTACCTCCTTCTGTATAACCATCTTTTTGGATAGCAACTCACGCAAGTCGGGGTTCACCTGAGCCTCGTATAATTCACCTCGTTGCCTCTTGATCAGATTCTCGCGATCAATGAGATCCACCATTCTGCGGAAACGCAAGAAAAGTAGCTCCGCTCTCACCAAGAGATCATGAAGATTCATCTTACCCAGTAAGTCGTTCATATACTTCAACACTTCGTCGAAGCGCAGTAAATTCTGGATAATGATACGTTCGTTATCTGATAACACCGCCAAAGCGACAAAGAGATGGTACTGACTCGAGTAAAAGTCTGTCCAGAGTACCTCCCAAAGGGTGTTGACTTGCTCCCATTCAAACTCGCGCTTGTACCAAACCAAAAGCATTCTGAAGAAGAAAAAGAGATCGGTTGACTCACATTTTTCGAGGTGACGGAACAAGTTCGGAAGCATAAACTGAACCAACTCATTGAGAACAAGCATTTGTCTTTTCATGCCGCTCTGGTCTCTCACAAAATTTCTTTCCATTCTCTCCATGAACCCAGCGAATGCCCAAAAGGCCATGGTTTCACTCTGAAACACAACATAAATGGGTGAAAGCAAATCGGTCATCCCTTGCACATAACCTAAGTTCACATTGTACTCGTTGTAAGTCAAGAGAATCTCTCTCATACTAAACAAATGCCTATTGGTGATGTGAGACAAATTCCAGTCTTCGTCTTCATCAGGAGTTTCAGGCGATGATTCTCTTTCATTTGAGGCGGTTTGATTTGCAGATGACCCGCCTTGGCTAGAAGTGCTGTCTTTCCTCTTGTTGTCTTTAAAAATTTCCAAATTGCGGTCGTTGCGGTGAATGTCCTTTTCAATACGAACTTTCTGATCTTTCCAAAATTCCGTCTGGCGTTTTTCTTCGTCGTCAACCCACCTTCTCTTATAATCACTGTAGCCATATTGCAAACTCTGAAAAATAGTCGCACGCTCTTTGGACAGTGAGTCCCATGGGAAAACACCAAGCAAGAAGGGCCAGGCTTCCTTTCTGACATCGTCCGCAAGACCTCCATGGAATATTCTGCTCTTGACTTCTTCAACCGTCACAGTGAGACGTCCACTCTCATCGAAGAGGCCGTCCCACTCTACTTTTGACACAGGCTTTCTTCTGGATGCATTGCTGATTTCTTCTGGAGTCAAAAGCTCTTTGTCAGTACCCAACTCCTGATTGATTCTAGCGTATACAGCATCTTCAAGCATGAATTTCCGTTGAGACTGCTCGGCCTCTTCTTTAACTTGAGCTGCCCATTTGGCTAAGTACACTCGTGCACTGTCGAAATCGTTCCCGATCTTCTGCACCTCGGGCTTATTGATTAGCTGTTTCACCACCACTTGCGGAACATGCTCGTCAACTAAGTCTATCACCTGGTTCTTTGTGCGCAGACCAAATGTAGCCACTGTCTCTAAAACCCTCCATTTAGCCGTAGCAAAGAGCTTGTTGACGTCTGGCAACTTGAACGGTTCAGTCTTAGCCTTCGAAGTAGTAGCCAGCTTTCCTACACTGCTACCTTCTTTGAAAGGTGAGAAATTGCGCAAATCTGCCAGAGACGGATCCACCAAGTACACGGAGGGCTCCACTGTGGATCTGTCCACATTGATCAAAAGACTGAGTGCCTGTAGGAAATCCTGGCCTCCCCAGTACATCAGACCGTCCTCACCAAATGGATCAAAGCGCTGATTTTTTACCTTCTGTCTTTGGAGCGTCAGCGGTGACTCGTCGTCGTGGAAAAACACCACAGGCAACTTTTCTCCCGACTTGGTGTGGAGCACAATAGATCCATACCACCATCCTAATGACGGAGTCCGGAACTGGATCAGGTAGATGTAAGACAAGCTCACAGAAAATGCGTAGCCAGCACTGAACAGAGGAGGCTTGTTCACAATTGGCAATTTGGGCTTCTTGGTACGTTTATTGCCTGAAAACAGCAACGCCAGCAATTCCAGAGCCAATTCCTCCGAAATGTCCGCATCTTCATAGATCTTCAACTCCTCCTTGGAGAGGGTTGACTCCGGAGTGAATGAAAGCAAAATATCCTTATTAGTGGATGGGCCACCGGGTTTTGCTAGCGACAAGTACCCCACAACGTTATCCTTCTTGGACGTAGTGGGATGTAGATATACCTTGGACTTGACATAGACAAGTTCTGCTTGTGACAGTGACACTGACTGCCTGCGGTCCATACTCTGCTAATTAGAGAAAATAAGTTTTAGCGATTTGGCCTTCTTTGATCACCTTATAGCAATGGGATTGTCTCCACAGACAGGATCAATCGATATGGTGGGTCATCTTGCACATGACCATCGCAGTAGACAGTCTGAGGCTGAGGATGGCTATAGCATGACAGGTGATAATCTATTTTACTATTTCTATTGTTCTTACTTCCTTGAACTTCATCGTATTTTTTTTTTTTGAATTTTTTCCATTGAATAAATTGGGTAACGTCATTTCAAACTAGTCCTTGGGACTATTTGATTCTATTTGATTCTACTTCCTCGATTCCTCTTATCTTATCTCTATTTCGTATATATTCTACAAGTACAACGACCCAGCAGAAACAATGTCTCTGTGCACCAACTCGGCAGCCTTCTCCATCTTCTCTTCCAAAGCAACATTACCAATTGTCTTTGCTGCTGTGACCATTTGGCGAATCATCTCTTCCAATCTCTTAAACATTCTGATAAGAGATCCTTCATACACATCAGTCATTTTACAGATCTGAGTAAACGATGCTCCCTTGCACCAAGCATATGTGACTTCCATAAGCTCGGGACGGAATTGCTCAACGTAGTCCTTCTCGACAATCTCGATCTTGCACTCTCTATAGGTCTTAGCCAATCTGGTGGCCATATCTTGCATTGCCTTCAAAGGTTCTGCCAACTCGGGCTTGAGACGTGGAACTTCCTTGGCTCTTTCCTGGAACACAAAACATGAGAGCAAAGCAGCACATTGTTCCGATGTTAAATCATTGAATGTACCGTTGAAGATCAATTCGGTGAGAAGAAGTTCGTCTCCAGTAGAGATCTCGCAAGCAACACGGCCCTTCAACTCTATGATATCGTTTTGGGTTGTGAATCCTAGCTTTCTCAATACTCTTTTTCTGTGCTTCAAATCGTCAAGCTGAATGACTGCCTGTGCTTCAAGAATCTTCTCCTTGATCTCTTTGATCTTGGTATCAATGTCCATCTTCTGAGAAAACTTGCTGTATAACTCGGTGATTCTGTCTGAATCATGCAATGGGTTGGTGGCCAACTTACCCTCCAAAACATCGATCTTTCTCACCAACATCTTGAAATCAGTATCGTCGATCTTCATACTTTGAATTGGATCCATCAACGGAATTCCATCTGGAAGCTTTTTTGGCAAGTCTTTCAATGTACGGACCATGTTGCGCTTAGCAGTTGAGCTCTTGAAATCCTCAGGAACTTTTAAGCGAACACTCGAAATGGCTTCAATGGAGTCCAATGTGATCGGAAGGTATTCCGCTCTCGATTTCTCTTCACCGGTAGCTGGACGGATTCCTTCAGGGAGAAGTGGGTTAAATGGCTTGATCAAATTGACTGGAGCATCAACAAACATTGTACACACAAACACAGACACAATGTACGACTCGTGGTCTGTGAACACTTGAGATGGGTTTCTCTTGTTCGATCTCTTGCTAAAAGATGCCACCATACCCCAGCCATACTCCTGATCTCCAACTTTCACCTTAATAACTCTTCCAGGTTGCAAGAATGGCAAAATGTGGCCTGGGTGTGTGATAACACGACGAAGATCATTTTGGTAAGTTTCCAATTGCTTCTTCAAGTCGTAGTATTCCTTAACCAAAAATTCATCCTCGACATTAGTGCTGTTATACTCCAAAGTCAACTTTTGCAATTCATTTTCCATAACAGGGACAGAGGCTGCATTTTGAAATTGGTAGAAAGAGCTCTCCAACATGAATTCAGGTGAAATTCCTTCCACGCGCATCAAATTCAAGATCATATTATAACCCAAGTGAAATGCAGAATCCAATCTGTCTGCTTGACCCTTGACCATTCCTTTGGCCACCTGGGGCTCCATTTTCTCGTCAATCATCATGATAACAATACCTCTATCATCCAAACCTCTTCTACCAGCTCTACCAGACATCTGGATGTATTCACCACCAGAAACCCAACGGAATCCCTTACCATCCCATTTTCTGACGGAAGTGAAAACCACAGTCTTTGCAGGCATGTTAAGTCCAATGGAAAAGGTTTCGGTAGCGAAAAGAACTTTAAGAAGTCCTTCCTGGAACAAAATTTCGATGATTTCTTTAAGAATAGGCAACAATCCGGAGTGGTGGATACCAATTCCTCTCTTTAAAAGAGGTAAAATGTTTTTGATTTGAGGAAGTTCTTTATCAGCATCAGGTAACAAGCTGATAGCATTGTCGAAGATCTTCGAAAGTGCCTGTCTCTCTTCGTCGTTGTTAAAGTCCAACTTCGACATCTTAAGTGCAAGCGACTCACAATCTCTCTTTGAGAAAGAAAAGACAATTACAGGGTTGTATCTTTTCATGTAAATCATCTTGACGATCTTGTAGATATCACTCTTACCATCCTTATTTCCACCCTTGTATGTCTGGCCACTCTTCTTTCCTTTCGACTCTGCAGATGCTGGATCATCACCAATGTTATTAGAGATAGACGACATGGCCTTCTGGAAATTCTCTTCACGGAAAGTTCCCTTCTCATCGACCACCAAATGGATTCCGTCTCCAGCAGCAGGAAACAAGTAATGTTGTAAAGGAGTAGGACGGAAATCGGTGTAAACCACATGACAAGGCTGGTTGTGGGTCTTCACAACCCACTCAGCAAACTCCATGGCGTTTGGAATAGTGGCAGAAAGGAAAACATGGTGCACCTTATCTGGAAGCAAAATGATGGTTTCTTCCCACACGACACCTCTAGACTTATCTCTCATGTAGTGCACCTCATCGAAAATGACCCATGCAACTTCTCTCATGACCTCGGAACCACGGTACAACATGCTTCGTAAAATTTCGGTGGTCATCACTAGACATCCAGCATCTGGGTTGATGGTCACATCACCAGTCATCAAACCTACATCTCCAAACTCAGCAAGAAGCTCTCTATACTTTTGGTTACTCAATGCCTTAATTGGAGATGTGTAAATAACTCTCTGCTTGTCTCTGAGTGACTGGGCAATGGCATACTCTGCCACCACCGTTTTACCAGCAGAGGTATGCGCAGACACCAACACAGACTCATCTCTGTCGATACATGAAATAGCGGTGTCCTGGAAAGGATCCAACGTGAACGGATATGTTCTTGCTTCATTCTGACGAACGTGCTCTCCAATAGGAACGTAGGGGTAGTCTGGAGGAATGGCAACCTGATGTCTGACTTGATGCTTTAACTTGAGTCCAGACTTTTCTTCTGGTTCAGTAGAGCTTGGAGCTAGCAAGCCAGCGGATGGTGCTACTTCACGGGAAGCCTCGATTTCCAAGGCATCACTCACTACTGGGTTGACCTTCTTGGGTTCCACAGACTTGTCCTGTTTCTTGTGGGTATCTTGGATAGGTTCTGGAGATGCTGATCTCTTTTTCAGGTTTTTGGATTCCTCTTTGGGTTCTTCCTTGGGTTTTTGTGGAACCTTTTCCGGAACTGCCGAAGGAACCTCGGAGAAGACGTCGAAAAGATCGTCGCCGTCCATTGCAGTGAATTTTGTAGTTGAATCGGAGCTGGTAATTTTTTTAGGAAGAGGTAGATGAGATGACACCCGTACATCCTACGATTACTGTTTAAGTTCATGACAGAAGACAAAATATTTATAATTCAGTACGAATTCAGATTGAGATATATGGCGGATCCAATTGGTTACTTTTTGACTGCTTTGGGTGTTGTATGTTGTTGTTGTTGTTGTTTTTCGTTTTGTTTCTGTTCGTAGTCTCTGTTTCCATGCTCACGACTGAAAAGTTTTGCAACCATCGATAAAATAGCTGGAAAGGCAGTACAAAAGAGTTGTAAATTAGATTATATATGTTTATCGGATTGAGTATTGCTTTTAGTAGTGTTTGAGTGGCTATGTAGAGATTAAGAGAAGGATTGGTTTTTTTAAGTGACTATGTTGGTTTTTAATTGTGTTGACGATTTGAAATCTTGTGTGAATCTCAAAAATATTCTTTGACGGTCTACTATAACTGGTTAGAAATCTTCTCCAACGAGGTTTAACCAATTATCATCAAAAATTATCTAGAAATATTGTAGAACTCTATGATCAAAAGCAAATCATACTTTAATTTAATCATGGTAATTTGTCAGTTTTTACCGACCTCAGTAGATTATATAGTCAAGGGATCTCTCCATAATGATCTTAAAAAAGAGACAAGATTTATAAGCAGGTACTCTTGATCTAGTGCTTGCAAGAACCGTCGCTATTTTATTTGCTCTCATTCAACTACGGATGAGCAGATCTCTCAGACTTCAAAAAAAAATTCTCTTGTTTAGTACCCATTCAGCAAGACATCCTGGTCTACAATATCATTCAATGCTAATTTTTTCCAAATGTTCGTAATAAAATAAATTTAAATGCTTCTGCCATCCATATTATCTTCTGCTTGACGTTTAAGTTCCTTGAGCGTTCTCCATTTTTCTTTGTCATATTCCCCAATAACAGCACTAGGGATGCTGCTGACTCTGGAACTTTCGGAATGTTCCAATGTTTCTGCATCCCAGTTTTGAGATGCCAGAAAGCCAGGAAGCAATTTGAAATTCAGTGACATCGACTGATGATGAACTAATCTGTGAATTTGCTGTGGACCAGAAGGGTACACTAAGCGTTGTGGAGGAGCATGATCGTAGATTGGAGAACGGGTGAAGAGCGACTTGATGGACTTGCGTGGTGAATTGGACCTTGTTGACTTTCCAGAAGCCACTGAGGCCAGGAAGGATGCCAAAGAGTTGGCCACTGACGTAGTATGTCTGTGGTTACCATTGTGGGCCGTATTGGGAGATTTTGGCACAGTATAGTCAGTTGTAGAGTCTCTTCTCTTGAAGATGCCGATCATCTTCTTAATTGGAGAGGTGCCCTCTTCTTCCTGTTGCACAAAGCGAGATGGGGTCACGACAGGCGTGATGGGATGAGCAGAAGTGATGTCCAGCATTTGCAAATCTTCAGAGGTGCTGGTGCTCTTCTGAGAGATCTGTCTGTAGGTATGAAGAGATGGAGCACTCATGGACCTCGACAGTGCGCCAGAACTGGCAATGGCATACAAAATAGGTTTGCCAGAATGGCTCTGAGACAACCAAGCCAACTTGTTGGCCTCCCATTCTTCGAGAGAAACGTTGCGAATGCCTCTGTGCGTTGTGGAATGGGGAGGAGTATTTTCTGTATGCTGATATTCATTCCATAGTGGTGCGGGACGAGGAATATCTTCGAGACCATCCATAATTCCTGAAAGACGATATGGGGTACTATTTCCTCTGTCTCCACTCTCACCAGTCTCAAACTCAGGAAAGATGGGCGAGCATGGTGACTCGACTTCAGGCACAGACTTGGGGTTAGCTTTTTCAGCATGAAGTCTTTGAGCCAATGCAGTGGCCGTAGCGGCCTTGTTGATGTTGTTTTTGAAGCCTGTAAGTGAACTTGATGAGATGGACCCGATGTGTGAAGGTTTGAGTGGAGAGCTAATTCTTTCCTGTGAAGCTTCATCGACACTCTGCAAACGTTCGATGCTGGGGCGAGTCATCAGACGCTGTTTCTTGACACGCAACTGGCCAGTGCTGTGACTCCGAGCCAAGGTGTTTTCGTCACTATCGCTCCGATGTCGCCATGTACTGCCTCCACTAGAGTCAGTATTGGACGATATCAGCGAGCGAGGCTTGTTGAGGTAAGGTGCCAGGTATGAAATAGGCATGGTGTTCATCCAGTTGGCCGAGCCACTATCGTACAAAGCAGTATCTGCGAGAGATGCCTTGTATATGAAATTGAGGGTCGAGTCATCGTCTACAGAGTCAGGCATGGCGATCAACGTGCACTGAGACTCCTTGTTGTGGAGAGCAGCCAGTGCTCTACGGTTTTTGCGGATGCTTTCAGCAAGTTCCATGGTTGCTAATGGAGAGATGGAAGGAGTTACCGACTGAGAGTCCTGGACGTCTCCCTTGGCTTTTTCTGACTGAATGGCTGTTTTCATGGACTCAGTATCTGACACTTCTTGTTGGTGATGAGCCACACCCACCCATGCAAGTGTGACTAAGGAAGCCTCCAAGATGATGGTGACTATTGCTAGAACAGATTGAATGGTGGTGAAGTGGCTGGGATACACTATATGTACTGAGGGAGCAAACATTACCACTCCCACCCAGATGGACACTCCAACGTAGCCAGCACAAAGGATAGAGACGGTCAGGGCCATTATGAAAGGACGATTTCTTGCCAAAATGAGGCCTAGGACCTGAGCAAGTGCTACTATAAGGCACATGATTGCATGGACCAAGAGGCAACGATGCTTTTGTCTGGAATGTGATAGTAGTGATAAGACAGTCTGTGCGATGGTGAGGCCCAGGACAATGGGCACAAGCACCCAGTGCACGACGGACATGGGACTGGAGGTTGCAGAAAGATGAAAATTTCAGAAGATATCCACAGGTTTAAACCTATCAACAGTGATGCATAATGGGCAGCCCCATGGTTGCGTCAGCAAAATGTTCTGGGTGATAGTTGTTGTTTATGGAATGGCCAGATTAGGCAAAATGGGTGCAAAATTGCGAGCACTTGTTGTTGTTCTCTCTTATATGCAATCCAAGCTATGGAATATGGTCACCAGGGAGAGGCTTGTGATTGATTGCGAAGATGAAGATTCTGAAAGCGATCATACTTGTCTATTCGCTGGTAATGAATTCCAGTTAAACTTAGTCGAGGAACGTCAGACAGTCAAGATGCAGGTTTTTTCAAATGTTTAGTGACTTTTTGTTGGGTTGTTCCTTGTTGTTCGTCTGTGTAGTCAATTGCGACTGTGATGATCGCTTTCACTAACTAAGCACAATTAGCATGAGATGCTTTGCGCTGATACAGCGAGCATATATATATTTTGGGTATTTTTGGGTTCCTTTTTGCAATCCTGAACTATCATATTGTGTGTCCAATCACTTTGAATCATGAGTGGAATTGATGTTAATTTTTTCACTCAAAAGTGCTACGATCTTCGATCTCTCTCTTTACTCTTTTCGATACCGAAATCGCGAATCTCTCGTTTCACTCTTCACAGCAATTTCAAAGGGTCAAAAGGTTCTATCTTACGGACTACAATAATCCTCAAGAGGCAAATTTCTCATTTTTCTCACAACGATAAAAACGACAACTTTCACTTCGTCTAGTTGTAGGCAAAGTCTCCACTCACCCATCTGTTGACCATCTCCAATGCGTTCTCAGGCTGGTCATATGGAACCATGTGACCACCACCGAACACACGCAAAAATGTGAAGTGCTTGTAGTTCTTCACCTCTCCGGCAGCCTCCTTATTGACAGTCCAGGTTCTAATTGGCTCTGCCTCGAACTTCTTATGGCCAGACCATGGCAATCTGTCGGCCCATGCCTGGTTACCCAACCAGTTGCAAATGAAGTCCTTGTCTCCAGCGTAGATAAGAACTGGAACACCGGCTTCCAAAATGTCAATCACGTTCTTGTGGTATGGCTTCATCCAGTCTCCAGCAAACATAAAGTTTCTGTTGACATCGAAGTTACAAGACTGGTACTCTTCCACTTCGACTCCCAACTTAGCCTTAACTTCTGGCAAGTTCAAGTAGTCGTCAATGTACAGCAACTCCTTGTAGCACAAAGAAGAGCCTTCGCACATCGTTCTGATGTCGTAAACGTTTCTTCCAGTCTTTTGGTATGGTCCCATCTGAGCGTTGTTACAGTAGATAGTGGCTGGCACACACGACCAAACCGAACCAGAGTTGTAACAAGACTCAATCAATGACAAACATCTTGGAATGGAGTCAGCCATGTTGTCACACTCCTCCGGCTCCAAAACGGAAGGCTCACCACCTTCTCCACAAGCCATTGGCTGGTAATATTCATACTGGGTCAATGGATCAGTCAAACCGTTACCAATCAAGACGGAGGTCAAGTTGAACGAACGCTCTGGGTGACTCAAAATCTCAGAGGAGAACACTGGGATGTAGTGACCTCCGTAAGACTCACCAGCAATGTGGAAGTCCTGCTTCTTGTACTCTGGGAACTGCTTAAAAAACAATTCCAAGAAGGCGTAAACATCCTGGCCAGCAGCCACAGTGTTAGTTACTGATCCAGAGGAGTAGGAGAAACCGACATTGACTGGCTGGTCCAAGAAAATGACGTTTGCATTGCTGTTCCAAGAGGATGGGTTGTACACTGGCTTCAAGCTTTTGTTGATCGAGGAAGGACCCAACTCAAAGAATAAACCAGTCAAAGACGAGCAACCTGGACCACCGTTCAACCACAAGATCACTGGGTCCTTCTTTGGATCGCCTCTGGACTCAAAGAACCAGTAGAAGAAGTGCTTATCTTCATCCTCAACATCCAAGTAGCCAGTGTACTGCTTCACCTTGTCAATTCCCAAGTCTTCAGGAGTCGCCTTGACCCTCAACTTGTGGTTTGGCAACTTGGCGTCAGTCACATGGAAGTCGAAAGTGGCCTTGTTCTTAGTGGCCTTTTTAGGATTGGACTTGAAATTCATAGCTGCAATGGTGTCTGGGAAGGAGGTGAACATGTCCAACCACACGTTCTTGGTCTCCTTGGAGATATTCTCAAGTGGCTCATTAAAGTACTGAGCGATCTTGGCCAAAACGTCTCCCTTCTTGCTCTCCAAAGCCTGAACAATCTGAGAGTACTGGGACGACACTACGTCGACCTTATCGGACAAAATTTGTTGAACACCTTGCAAATTGTGTCCAAAGCTAGGGATTGTAAGCGCATTGGCGCTGGAAGCAGCACAGGCGATTGTGGCCACGGTAGTTAATCTCATGGCACAAAGTTATGTGGGGGAAGGAAGCCTGGGGGGACGAAACGATCCAATTAAGATTCTAGATACACCAATCGATTCGTAAGCAACTGAAACGATCGAAAAAGTCTAAGAAAATGGAAATAGCAGGTTCGAACAGCAAAGGGATCCTATAGATGATAGGGGCAAAAGGTTGGAGGGCAATGAGGGTCTTTATATATTCGTCTTGGGTGCAGGATGGGAACCAGCCATTCGATGATAAGAGAGGACCATTTACCGAATTGGTGCGAGATTGCTCTGTATTGAGCGTCATACATTTTCATTCTTGCGTGGGATGTACGGATGTAACATGGGTGCCATTCTCATAAGCGGCACTATGTAAACCCGATCGAGAGTGTTGAGCATTGTTGAAAACAGCGTGGATGAATGTTGATTGAGAGTACAAAGTGGAACTTAAGAGAATATTGTTGAATGAAGGACCCTTGTGATTTGTTGACTTGGAAACGATAATTTAATCTCCAAAGTTTTTGCTATAGCCTCCACAAGTTCGTTGGTTGAGGTCTTGAAGGTAGCATAATGGGCCTCTTCAAGTCATGCAAGTCAACACTAATAGGCGAAGGTGTCTCGGGCACAGTAAGTCTTTGCGAACGGAACGACCAGCAATACGTGGTGAAAAAATACCATAGCAAGGAAAACTACGAGACTCGCAAAGAGTACCGTGATCGAGTCCTATTGGAGTACCATACCCTCAAGCTGCTCCATCATGAGAACTTCATCTCCGTGATCAAATACAAGGTGCTGATAGATGGCTTGACCATCAAGATGTTTATGGATGCTGGAACATCAAATCTAGCGCAATTGTGCAAGAAGGTGCCTGTATCGCTGGTGTCCATTTCCGAGATACTATGTCTCTGGAAACAACTATGCAATGGAGTACGTTACTTGCATTCGCAGGGTCTCTGCCATCGCGACTTAAAGCTTGAAAACTTGGTCATGGACCGAGCCGGTCCTACGCTCAAAATAATAGACTTGGCCACGGTATGTAAATGTGGGAATGGCCAGAAGGCAGTGGGAATCGTTGGGTCGAGGTTGTACATGGCTCCAGAGACGTTTTCTCAGATCGAATATGACGGAAAAAGTGCTGATGTATGGTCAGTAGGCATTGTGCTTCTCTACTTGGCCAATAGGAGCTTTCCTTGGGGAAGTGCAGTGTGGAACGATGGACGTTTTGCTGAGTATTCAAAGATCGAGTCTGCTCAAGCCGACCAATTTGGAGCAGCGAGTTCAAATCCTCTTTTTAGCAATTTACCTACTCAAATCGCAGATTTGGATCACCATTTACTTGCCATTGACCCTCTTCTACGATATGACATGGAAACCATTCACACTTCTTCTTCTCAAGTCCCGTACTGTGGAAGTGGTTCCACATGTGGTACAGTTCACTTACTACGGTGAAGATTGCATAATCGCTTCGTGACTCACCATAGAAAAAGAAAGCGTACTTTCTGAGTCACCTTCTGGCACCACCAGAGTCATTTTCGACAACGCCCGAGTCATCGGAGTCTATCTAGTCGTTGCTTTATGGACCTTGTGGACCTTTATGCTGGTCGTGGGTTACACACGTGATCTGGGTTTCCATTGGGTGCAAAAGTGGTAGGTACCGGTTTCCTTTTTCGGATTGGACGACTGGCCAATCGGAATGCAGGCTCGACCAACGCCCTATGAGTCATTCATCTAACGCAACGAGAATTGAGAGTAAGACCAGACTTAAACTACCAGAGAAACTCCTGAGCCCCGCAGGAGCCAAATACCACTCAGTATGACATATCAATGGAGTCGGAGATGTGGAGACACGCCAGATAAGACCGCATGAAGGGTGACTCGGACAAAGGTGACTCGGATAGCCCGAGGGCTGACTCTCTCAGTACACCCTCGGAAATCCTTCAGATTTTTATGATTCAGTCACGTGGCACACAGTTAACTTACCCCCGGCACCTTTCCCCTCGCCGGGGTCTCTGGCTGAAAAAAAACCATATATCAACCTAACCTGTCCTCAGAACTTCCATCATTGTTCACATCCTAAAAGATGCTTTCTCGTTCTGTCCGTGCATTGAGGCACGTTCCAACTCCAGTTCTCTCCAGATCTTATGCTCTTTCCTCTAGGGCCCAGGCCCTCATCTCCAAGCCTGTCAGTGAGGTTGACCCAGAGATGGCTCAGATCTTGCAAGAGGAAAAGGACAGACAAAGAAACTCCATCACTTTAATTCCTTCCGAGAACTTCACTTCGAAGGCTGTCATGGACTTGTTGGGTTCCGAGATGCAGAACAAATACTCTGAGGGTTACCCAGGTGAGAGATACTACGGTGGTAACGAAGTGATCGACAAGGCTGAATCTCTTTGCAGAAAGAGAGCTTTAGAGGCCTTCAACTTGGACCCGGAGCAGTGGGGTGTCAATGTGCAACCATTGTCCGGTGCTCCAGCCAACTTGTACGCTTACTCCGCTATTTTGGAGGTTGGTGACAGAATCATGGGTTTGGACTTGCCTCACGGTGGTCACTTGTCCCACGGTTATCAAACCCCAACTGCTAAGATCTCTTACATCTCCAAGTACTTCCAGACCATGCCTTACCGTTTGAACGAGGAGACTGGTTTGATCGACTACGACACCTTGGAGAAGAACGCCATTTTGTTCAGACCAAAAGTGATCGTTGCCGGTGCCTCTGCATACTCTAGAGTCATTGACTACAAGAGAATGCGTGCTATTGCAGACAAGGTTGATGCTTACCTTTTGTCGGATATGGCCCATATCTCCGGTTTGGTTTCTGCCGGTGTCACCGACTCTCCATTCCCATACTCTGATATCGTCACTACTACCACCCACAAGTCTTTGAGAGGTCCACGTGGTGCCATGATTTTCTTCAGAAAGGGTATCAGAAAAGTCACCAAGAAGGGTAAGGAGATCCCATACGACTTGGAGAGAAAGATCAACTTCTCCGTGTTCCCAGCCCACCAAGGTGGTCCTCACAACCACACCATCTCTGCTTTGGCTGTCGCTTTGAAGCAGTGTACCTTCCCTGAGTACAAGCAATATCAGCAAGAGGTTGTTGACAATGCTAAGGCATTTGCTGATGCCTTGAAGCTGAAGGGATTTAACTTGGTTTCCGACGGAACTGACACTCACTTGATTCTCGTGGACTTGCGCTCCAAGGGTATCGATGGTGCCCGTGTGGAGGCTGTCTTGGAGAGAGCTAACATTGCTGCTAACAAGAACACTGTGCCAGGTGACAAGTCCGCCTTGTTCCCAAGTGGATTGAGAGTTGGTACTCCAGCCATGACCACCAGAGGTTTTGGACCAGAGGAATTCGCCAAGGTTGCTGAGTACTTCCAGAGAGCCGTGGACATCTCCATTGCTTTGAAGGCACAGGAGCAGGGTACCGTTGCCAAGGAGTTATTGGCCAGCTTCAAGAAATTGGCCGACGAAAGTGCTGATGTCAAGGCCTTGGATGACGAGGTGAAGCAATGGGCTGCACAGTACCCAGTTCCAGGCGACCTTTAATATATATAGTAGGAGTACTGATGACTTGAATAGCACTTCATGTAGCAACAGATCAAGATAGTGACTGGAGACATGAAAGTTTTCCATGGTTATTCCCATAACTTGTCACATTGGTGCATTGAAAATCAACAGTATAATAAGACATCAAATAATAAAAACATAATTACTAACATAAAAACAACAAACTAAAATCAATTACAGTAGAAATTCTCTAAATCGTATTTATTCAACATTATTCGTCGTCAATTTCCTTTCATAGAACTCCACCCCCAGACCATGGCGTGCACACAGACCTTCCAATAAACCTGGAATCACCATTGGCATATTTTATCAAACCTTCACACGATGCCGGCAGCCAATGAATATCCCCAGGATTCTGTTCTACCGCAGTCTCATTACTCATGGGGGACGCAAAACGCCATTTCGTGGTCCAAACATGGCTTCGTCACTTATGCTATGCCACCTGCTACTTCAGGGTTCAATTTGTACATGACATATTTGGAAAATGTGGACGGCAAGGACTGGCAATTGGCTCGGCCACAGGGATTGACTATAAAGCCACTGGAGGACAGTGGAGTGCCTGAGCTCTCTATGGTGCAATGGAGCAACTTGCTGACTGATTTGGCAGTGTTTGATGAGCAAGGGAACTTCTACATTCTTTTGGCTGGTGTTGGGCTCCTCAGTAGCAAAGGAAAGGGAAATGGATCGCTGAATGGAAACGGTACATCGATTGGTGCCTCTAATGGACATAACAACGGAAGTTCCAACGGAAATGGTCACATCAGCGGAAACTCCAATGGAACTGCAGTTAATGGAAGTCAAAATGGGGCCAGCAAGCCCAATCCAGACGATCTGGAAGGTCCTTCGTACGAATTGACTTCATATAACCATACGGAAATGATTTTCCGAGACATTTCGCCAACGAATGGTCCACCGCACAGCAGATGCGTTGCATTTAAGTGGCTTGGGATCGAAAAGCCGCAGATCATCAATAAGGCAGCTGAGTTGGCGCTGGATGGCCGTAATTACTCATATGGAGTCCACCAGCACCAGATTCCGAAGCTTGCTCATCCGATTGCAACCAAGCAGGCATGTGTTGCGCTCAGACAAAACGGTATTTTCAACCTCTACTACCAGGGAGAACACAAGGTGGAATACCACAAATTGTCGGCGAATTTGGCAGCTGACGGCTCCGAAGGATATATTTACTTCTCCCATGCTTCCATAGGGTTTTCAGCCGACCGTAAGATCATTGTCGTGGCATATGAGGCTGGATCGAAAATGGTCTATACCTACTCCATTTCTGTTGATTGGGGATTCTTGGTGGACTCGGCGGTGAAACAGAAGACCGATCCACACTATCACACACCGAAGGAGGGCCAGAAACTTCCCCGAATGACCGCACAACTTCTTCACCAAATGGCTCCCGTTCCTAATGCTACTGGTGAATTATCTGCCCAGCTGATGAAGCCATCGATTGAGGTAAGTCGGTTGAAGCTGATTGACGTTGTCTCGCCATACTATAACGTTGGGTCTGATTTAGAGATTCTTCTAAGCTACGATGTTATATCTGGCAACGCGTACTCGAGCACAATATTTCGCTACCACTTGAAAGACTGTGCCGATTCCATGGAAGATGTGTTTGCAAACATAGCAGGAGACGATCCCGTGGAGAAGGGCAAGGTTTACTCACTAGTCATCCAGGATAAGATGACGGTGGGAAAACGCTTACAACAGATCAATACCTTCGTGGCAGATTCGCTCATTCTCATAATCTATGAGGACGGAACTATTGATGCGGTGGATAGATCCACATGGGCTGTCATGGGTGCTACTGAAACTCCTGTCAAAGATGAAGACATGGATATTAAGGGCCTGTCTTATCCACAGCAATTGAAGACAATTCTTGACTGTGGTTTCAGATTCCCAAGATTCAGGGAAGATTCGGCAGTATCGGGCCCCTTGATGGTCTCAATTTCACCAAACATGACTTGCATGGCTGTTCAGAGATTTGGAGGTGATACTTCTCTTGAATTGAAAGTGATGAATCATCCACATGAAGCACACGACACTCACCTTACAGCCATTGGAGTCGCATACTCTCACGCCCATGCATGCTACGCTAACACAAGCTCCGACGATATAATAGTATTGATTCGAGAAGAGTTAGAAAGACTCTCTGATCCGACTTTGAGTAATAAGCTTGTCGAGCAATTAATCATTGAATCGCACAGAGCTATCAACTTCCAATTAAACTCTTTCAGCAAAGAGTCCGTCGATAAACTTCTTTCAAATCCGCCAATGCAGAAGCTACTTTCTTTGCAGCTTGCAGTTAGTGAACACCATACTCTGAACCGTGCCATTCGTGATTTGGCATGGGTGGTATTGAACTTGAGATCGACCAGTTTTGGAATTATGTTTTCCTTGTCTAGCATTTACCGTCAGATTTCCAAGAAAAAGCCCGTGGAAGACAGTTTGGAGGACTCCATTAGTCGAGCCGAATGTATCATTCTGTTAGTTGGTAATGTCAAGTGGCTCATTGACCTAATTGTGTATCTCAACCAAGAATTACTTCAGTTGGCCCTTACAAGATCCAGACCGGAGGGGTCGTTGATCAATATCCATAACTCTGTGGCACTTCCAATCATCATGAGCAAGGTTCCTCGGTTGTTCCTCATGTACGCTCTCTCTTCAATCGGCAAAACACACGAGATTTTGAAAAAGCTCCAAAAAGATCTTAGCGAGAGCAACAAACTCTTCACGCCGATGAAAGAGGCATTGAACAGATTCTTTGGAGCTTGCAACTCCCTGCCTTTGAACTTGAGTATTTTCGAAAGTTTCTTGCGTGAGGTGGAGATCTTAGTGAGCAAAGAAGTGGCTACCCGTGCTCAACTGGACAGTTCCATTCCACTCAAGTTGGAGCAGCACCTCTTCTGCCTTGGTGTTATCCCTGATGGTATTCGAAATATAGCTAATATGACCATTGAGAGACATGCTGCTAGCATTAACCGAGACATGAAATTGTCCGAATTATATTTCTACGATTCGAGCTGGATTGATGTTGGAATTGCAACTCGGGAGTTTCCCAAGGACGAAAGAGTAAAGGAGGTGTTTAAACCAACGCAAATCAGACTACAATACTCTCCACATGAGTCTGTGGATGCTTTGCGAAAGGTGATCATTTCTGCCTCATCACCAATCACCAGTGGCGGAGTGTCCGTTATGGGAAGAGGTTATGATTCCTCTAATAAGGTTAGAAAGTGTACGAGATGTCGATCAGTTTCTTTGGTTGCAGACCCACTAGTATTTGATGCACCCAGTACTATTGGTCTATGGACCATGGTGTTTCAACGTACATGTATTTGTGGAAGCACATGGGTGAATTGCTCTTGAGAATAAAAAGATTTTTATGTTAAATACGCGGTGAAAAGAGTCGATGTCCACCTTAGGAGCTTGAAGATGTCGTTCTTGATTTGTACAAGCTCAACTTGTGATCGACACGTTGCACTAATAAAAGGCACTAATTGTGGACATTAATACTAAAGGAAATCCAACTTCGTGACTGAGCTTCAAGCATGGAGAAATAGGGGTTTACTTTACTAATAAGAAAATTTGTCGAGAACAAATGATTGAATGAATCTTACAATATTCACTGGTGGTCTACATTTCTATTTCCACACATCGACAACGGTGAACCAAAAACCTCAATGGAGAAGAAAAGAGAGGACATGCTATAAACAGAAAATTGATTACACTTAATCTAACAAGCACATAAATTAAAAATTAAGCCAATAGCATACAACTGCAAAGCACCTCCCATACCACCTCTATTGTATCTCCGGAGGCACGGGTGTCGGACATGAAGAAAAGAAAAAATGTTAACATCTCCACCACTACATATCACCATCGAAAATGTCATACTTTCTTGGAAATACAAGCCAGTATAGCTACGTGGAGGTCAACCCAGAGAAAGTCAAACTAGCTGATGTTCAGTTCACGGTAGTGGCATCCACCTTCAACAGGTTGTTGGCTCGGTGTCTGGAAAAATGCATAGCTCATGAATATGGTGAGAGTGAGTTGAACACGGGAGAGGCGTCTTGTGTGGACAGATGTGTTGCCAAATATGTGAAGGCCAATGCTTTAATCGGTCAGCAGGTCCAGTATGCCATGAGACCAGATACGATGCCAGAGTACCAGAAGGTTGCGTCGATGCTTCCGCCTAAATGATCATGTTAAATGAGCATTCTATGGGTAATGATAACGAGACTTTAGAGCAGGAAGGTTTCATTTGGTATAAGTTTCTAGAATAATCAGTTGCTGGTCGGAGAAAGTAAACTGTTTATGGAGGTTTGATGACAGCCTAATGACAACTCCACTCGTATGCTAGCCTGTGATGTCAGCCAGTACATTCATAAACAGGAATCTTTATGATTATTGATATCTTGCCATGGTCTTCTATATGTTGACATTATTATTGGATCGCTTGGAGCTACAGTGATGGGTCATATGCATTGGAAGTCCATCAAATCACCAGCCTGCACATTTGTATATAGCATAAGAACCAGATTCTCCAAGTAATTTTACCATTTGTATGATGTAGAATATCATCTATAGACCCATGAATTGATCAATTATTCCCTTAAGAGTTGTTAATATGCACTTTTTTCTAGTAAATCCAATTCTTTTGACATATAACATAAACCTAATCTTCTCTCAATCAATCTAGTTTTATTCGGGATATTCACTAACAAGACTTCTTAGACCTACATCATCCCAAGTTCATTCTTCTACTAATTCCAATACTTAGTACGTTGCATTTACACATTATGGATTGGCTAATGACTATCTAAATCACAACTGGCCCTTAGTGTGGAAGATGGACAAGGCCTCGGCAATTCTGGCGCTCATGGTCTTCTCACCCTCTCTGACCCACACTCTTGGGTCGAAGTACTTCTTGTTTGGCTTGTCCTCACCCTCTGGGTTACCAACTTGAGTCAACAAGTAGTCCTTCTTGTTCAAGACGTAGTCACGGATACCGGCAAGGTAAGCGTACTGACAGTCAGTGTCCAAGTTGACCTTGACAACACCATTCTTGATGGCAGTGTCAAACTCCTGCTGGGTAGAACCAGAACCACCGTGGAACACCAAGAACAATGGGTGCTTAGAATCGCTAGAGATCTCCTTCTTGGCGTAAGACTGGTGCTCACCCAAAATCTCTGGTCTCAAAACAACGTTACCTGGCTTGTAAACACCGTGCACGTTACCGAAGGCAGCGGCAATGGAGAAGTTTGGAGAGATTGGAGACAAAGCCTTGTAGACGGCGAAAACAGTCTCTGGCTGAGTGTACAAGGACTCCTTGTCAACGTTCTCGTTGTTGACACCATCCTCCTCACCACCGGTGATACCAATTTCCATCTCGAGCCACTGGTTCAACTTGGCCATTCTCTTGAAGTACTTGACACAAGTAGCGATGTTCTCGTCATCGGTCTCCTCAGACAAGTCCAACATGTGGGAAGAGAACAATGGGGTCCCGTTGGCAGCGAAGAACTCCTCGTCAGCCTTCAACATACCGTCGAACCATGGCAACAACTTCTTAGCACAGTGGTCAGTGTGCAAAATGACTGGGATACCGTAGGCTGGAGCAATGGATCTGATGTAGTGAGCAGCAGCAATGGAACCAGCGATGGAGGCATTCTGGTCAGTGTTAGACACACCCTTACCGGCAAAGTAAGCAGCACCACCCTGAGAGGTCTGCAAAATGATTGGCGACTTGTTGTCTCTGGCAGCCTCCAAGGAAGCAACAACAGTGGAGGAAGAAGTCACATTGATAGCTGGGATAGCAAAGCCCTTCTCCTGGGCGTAGAGGAACAAGTTTCTAACGTCGTCACCGTAGATGACACCGGACTTTTTCAAAACTTCAGCCATTGTGATTTAATTGTTGGGAATTATATGGAATGAAGAAATAAGAATATCGACGAGGAATTGGCCGGTATTTATATGGGGGAGCACTCCGCTCCGGGACTCAGGTGACGGGCGCGACATGCGACACGCGACATGCGGGAGGGACCTTTGGATTATTGAGAGGGGAGTGAACAAATGGGGATATTTTTTTAAGATTTTGAGTTGAAACTTGGAATCTTGATATTTTATGGAGATTTCAGTTGATCGTGAAATTTTGGAAGTTTTTCAACCGCTTTTGGCTAGAATTTTCTAAGGGATTGTAAGAACTAAGATTATGGTGGGTTCTATTTGCGTGCAGGACAAACCACCGGAGAAATACTGTCCAGAATGTAATAGCACGTCGACTGTTGGTTCATAGCCTGACAATGCAGGATTGCTGAATCACCAGAGTTGAGCCATGGGAATCCGAAGGTTCTAGAAGTGGCCAAACTTACACAAGCTATTATTATCAATGATTTTGCAGCTATTATTGCTTGTTTCTTCAGGTCTTGAAGTGGAGTTTAGATCAGGTCTCAGGCGTGAGTCTGGACCTGTATCCGCATATCTATATGTGAACAGGTAAGCGCATCTCCATTGCGTTTAGAAAGTCCTCACGTGCCAAACTGGTGATCCATGGTCAGATGGGGATGAGCATATGCGCTTAGTGAGATGGGCCGATTTAGGGGGATTTGAGTGAGTTGATACAGGCAGGGTGGTGAGTTTCAGGGATTGGACAATTCAATTTGATTATGGATCAGAAATTGATTTTGGTTTCGATGTTTCCTTTTCGCTTACCACCGAGGGACACTATACACGTGACCCGGACGAGCGCCCGAGTTGGCTAATATAAATTCCGGGATAAGGCGAATTACCACCGGGAGATTATTGCTGAATGAAATGAAAATTGTGAATATGAGAATGGCGAGATATCTGGAAATGTACTGATTGCTTTGGAATTGAAAAGACAAGTTTCTTGAAATGCAGTTTTTGTATGGAAGATAGTGAAAAAAGACCATCCCGGACTTTGTTCCCCACGTTTCGGATATCCCGTTCTTCGCCGATGGGCACATGCTACCCCGGACTTAGGTGGGCCAGTGGAAACCTCAAGATCAGCGAGGAAATCTGAGGAAACAATAACTGGAACAAAGGCGGAGAAGAGAAATGAATGGATATGTGAAGTGAATCGGAAATTGCGAGTAATGCGGAACCAGCACAGTCCTGAAGGGACACGAAAAGTGTAAGAAAAGTAAGCGAAGGTGTAGAAGATGATAGGGTGATAAAATTCTTGGGATGAAGATTATAAATTACTGCCATTTACCGAAAAGTGACAGAATCGAATAGGATAGTGAACTCAAAACCTCACCTCTCGAAGCCCCATCGGAGCTTTCCATTTCGGACTTCACAATACTTGGATGTTCCACGCATTGCGACGTCAACACCACGTCACGCTACGTCACTAAACGTCACAACATCAATGGTTGCTAAAAATTTTCCTAAATTCATAATCCACAACGATTCTGGATATTAAAAGTTTAGTTTTGCAGAATTCTGGGACATTTGGGCCAATGAGCTGCACAAAACTATACGTCCTATTAATGCAGTTCTCATAAGACAATTCATCTGTCAGTGAATTTCATTTGCAATTTCTATCATTTCTCAATTTTTCTGATTCATTTCCAATATTTTGCAAAATCGTACCTGTTGATACCCTTGTTGATATAGTTTTGTTCTCACGCTTTCCAAATTCCTATCGTCTTACTCAACGTCCTGCTCGGAGTCCTGCCTTGATGGACCGATCCACATCTCGCCTGCATCGCAACGATGATTCATAAAGCCACTCTTTTCAACAAACATCGCTGATTCTTCCCTCAAAATGCTGGATGTGGTTTCAAACCAAAATCAAAAGGAAGAATCCGTAGTCCAAACTACTCGAGAATCTCACGATCCAAAATATGATCGGTTTTCGCCCATCAGAAAACGATCATTTGTCATGGTCGCATCATTATCATGTCTCTTGTCACCACTAAGTTCATTGGCATTTCTTCCTGCTGTTTCGGAAATCGCCGAAGAATTCAAAACTAATGGTACCGTTATCAACGTTTCCAATGCCGTCTATTTAATCGTTCTGGCAGTTTCTCCATGTATCATGGGTCCATGTGGAGATATCTATGGCCGCAAAATCATCTTTATCTTGTGCTTGCTGCTTTTCTCAGCTACGACGCTCCTCACTGGGTTGGCTCAGAACTTGGCCATGTTTTACGTATTTCGCTCTCTAGCGGCGCTTTTTGGCACTGCTTTCTTTTCCACGGCTGGCTCCGTGGTTGGCGATATCTATCCTCCTCAACAAAGAGGATCTGCCATGGGGTGGTTGCTTCTTGGAACTCAAGTGGGACCTGCTTTCGGGCCTTGTATCGGAGGAATCATTGTAACCTATACGTCCTGGCGGGTAATTTTCTATTTCTTAGCGGGTTTTGGTGGCCTCGTTCTAGCATTGGTGGTAGTGCTCTTGAAGGAGACAAGCGTCTCCACCAAATATAAGGAGATTCGTGCCGAAACTGGAAAACGTCTTATAATTGTTCCATTCAACCCTTTCAGGGTCATTTTGGCCTTGAAGCACCACAATCTACTCCTCGCAGGCTTCATGAGTGTATCGCTCCACTATAACATGTACGTGCTACTTACACCCATTCGGTACGTCATGAACCCGCGTTTCAATTTGGAGAAACCGATCTATGCTGGCTTGTTCTACTTGTGTCCCGGAATGGGTTACCTTGTGGGGTCCTACTTCGGAGGTCGCTGGGCGGATCGCTACGTGAGAAGGTATATCAACAAGAGAGGCCGTCGGGTGTCGGAGGATAGACTACGGTCTGAATTGTGGGCACATGGACTCGTTCTTCCAGCCACAATTTTGGTATATGGATGGTGCTTGAAGGAGAAAAAAGGAGGCATTCCTGTTCCTGCTATCATGATGTTCATCAATGGATTTGCGCAAACAATTTGCTTCCCCAGCTTGAACACCTACTGTGTGGACTCTATGCCACTGTTGAAGGGTGACGCTATAGCCAGCAACTACATGATTCGATTTTTGGCAGGAGCGGTGGGTACAGCCTCAGTTTTGAAGCAGATCCATTCCATCGGAGTTGGGTGGACATGCACAATCTCTGCGGTGGTTCTTTTTGGAGGGTTTTTACTGTCACTTACCTTGGTGATTTCTGGAGAGAAGATGCGCATGAAATAGCGACATCTATCAATGGATTATAAGGCATTAAGTCGAAGATGGAGTGAATGAGGTTGCTTGTACAGTAGATGTCAGCACTCCATACTTCAAACAGTTATTCCACAACTTAGATTTTATAATTTATAGACATTTTCAAAATTGTGACTAAGGTTTCTCCTTTTTTTTTTCTCTCTGCATTCGATCCCTCGATTTCTTTTCTTCTCTGCCATATCCTCCTCCATTTTCAATGTACTTCACATATCGCGAATTATCACCAACTCATCTATCAATGCATACCATAGATATTGCTGAGGACGGCTATCGATACTACTCGTTCGATCCGTCGTCGCAGTCACAATTCTCGGAGATCCTGACGCTCATCGCCTCCAACCTCTCTGAACCCTATTCCATTTACGTCTACTGGTACTTCTTTCACCAATGGCCTCAGTACTGTTTCCTCATAAGCAAGGAAGACGATGACAAGATCATCGGTGTGATCATCACGAAAGTGGAGCTCCACCGAGAAGTCCGCATGCGTGGATACATAGGCATGTTGGTGATCGACCCGGCGTATCGAGGGAAAGGATTGGCAAAGAGACTAGTCAAGTTGAGCATTCGAAAGATGATCGACTGGGGCAAGGCAGACGAGATTATGCTTGAGACGGAGGTCACCAATACGGCTGCATTGCACTTATATGAGCTGCTTGGGTTTATGAGAACGAAAAGAATGCATCGGTACTACTTGAATACTCACGATGCATTTCGGTTGATTCTCCCAGTTCTGGAGACTCTGGCGGTGAGAGTGGCCTTTTTGCCGCTGCAGAGTGTGGATGCTGTCGGGGTAGCCAATGGTGTAGAAGCCATCGAGTTGTAGTGGAATTGTGGAGGTAACGCTGTGGAGCTTTGGCCAACGAGGTGGACCCAATAAGGTTAACAGTGAGCTATACGTATATAGAGGTGTATTGACTACATGTGCATAATATAGACATATCAAGTGCAATTATTCTGACTTCTTAAGATTATGATCTTTGATCAAATGGTTACAATGCTGGAATGTATGAGTCCATCATTTTCCAACCTGGTGCTTAGTTTGTCTACTAGAAACATGCATGAGAGGGAAAATTGGCATAACATCCCAAATAATAAAAAGCAGAGGAAAAAAACTCTAAACTAGAACACCTTTTAACTCAATCGTTTTTTTTTCAATCTTTCGAAACTGATAACTGCTTTTTTTTTACTTACCTCCGACTACCTCCTCCACTTCCTCCACTTCCATCTCCTGTACACACCTCAAGTTATCGAAATTCAATATACTACAAGACAAAATCCAACATGCTAGATAGTAGGTCCCTCGACGTCATCTCCAAATTCAAACTGGCTATTCTCACACGGGCCCAGCAAAAGGCGGAACCCGCCCCCTCGTTGCCAAAGTCCAACCGAGGTAAGAAACTCCCCCAAATGGGAGCATCTTCCCATGCCCTTACATCCAAGGTGGTGGAATACGGAGGCTCAAACCATCTAGTGCTCACCAACGACGTCATTGAACGCACCAACTACCGTAACAAACGCCGGTGGCTGGACTTCTACCTGAGCCAGAATGGAAAGATTGAAGAATCCTCCTCAGATAGCGAAAACGACCATGGCATCGACGATGAAGGCGCCGACGATGGCAACGATGATGACGAGTACAACGAGAGTCCGTTGAAGAAAATACGCTTGAGTGAGATTCTTGCCCCTTTGGCCCATCCTTCCGAGCTCGTCACCCACCCAGCCATCTCCAAAACATTCAAACTGACATGCCTCCAGACGTTGGCGCTGGAACTCATAGACTTGATCGAGGTGGAACAGGGCACGCTCAACCACCTCAACAAACTCTTACAGGTGTTGGATGGTGAGGATTGGTACTACTTGCTTGAGGAGAACATGGGACTTCCTGTCTACGATCATGGGCTTGATGATACCATCACTGCTCAACAGAAAGAGAAAAAGGAGAGCGAGGAGGCAGAGCAGGCCGAGAAAGCGAAACTTGCCAAAACTGAGCCTGATTCTGTAGCAGTCGCTGCCGATTCTGACGACAATAAGAGAATCACCAGATTGTCCACCGCAGCTCCAGACGGTCAAGTTCAAGTCACGGACCCGTTCTTTGCTCTCCCAGAAACGCTCGCCATGTACGAAGCCATTCAGCAAAAGCAAATGGAGGAGACCGAGGAAGATGGAGACGAACTTGAGTCGTTGCAGCAAGATCTAGTCAGCTACTTGCAAGTGAGCATACAGAGACAGTTTGAATACATCAAAAATCTCACGACGCTTAGAAATGGTATTGTCAAGGTCGACCGCTATAAGAGTGATTTGTACAAATGGGGAAAGGAGATGAACGAAAAGAAGAATTAAAGGCAGTTGGAGAGTTTAAGTTCTGCTAGCTAACTGGCACTCTATATGATTGGCGAGATTGATTAAGCTGGTTGAGCTGAAGAAGCTGGGAAGACTGGGAAACGAGAGAAACTGGCTGTACATGGTTATCTTGTTCACTTGTACCCGATTGAACTGACCTTGCTTTCTAATTGAGTACAATCTACCTGAATGTGAATCCTTTAATGAAGCTGGTTACATGTTGCATGTCGCATACTACGTGTTGCATATAGACTTCTCGTGATGTTGTACACGTGATTCAAACCATGTGCACTCTTCCGCGTCGCCCACCCACGACGCGAATTCCAACGCGCCATCCACATCTTCTTTCTTCATCTCTTTCCAATTAATTATGCTTGAAGGTAAATTTGACGAAGCCAGTCTTCTCAAGAAGATTGTGGACTCCATTAAAGATTGTGTGAAATTGTGCAATTTCAACTGTACGGAACATGGAATCACAGTGCAAGCTGTTGACGATTCTAGAGTGCTTTTAGTGTCTTTGCTCGTGGGTCTGTCGGCTTTCTCAGAGTACAGATGCGACCGTGATATCACATTGGGAATTGACTTGGACTCATTTTCCAAGATCATCAAGTGTGGTAACAACGAAGACTACTTGACCTTGTTGGCTGAGGATTCGCCAGACAACGTCATGACCATCTTCGAAGACAAGAAGAAGGAAAGAGTTTCGGAGTACTCATTGAAATTGATGGACATTGACTCTGAGTTCTTGAGAATTGACGACATGCAATACGACTCTGTGATCAACATGCCCAGTACCGAGTTCTCCAAGATTGTGAGAGATTTGAAGAATCTTAGTGAGTCGCTCAACATCACCGTCACCAAGGACTCTGTCAAATTCAGCGCCGAGGGTGAGTCTGGTACTGGTTCGGTCGTTTTGAAGCCTTACACGGATATGGACCACCCGGAGGAGTCAGTGTCTGTCAACTTAGAGAACCCAGTGGACTTGACTTTCGGCTTGAAGTACTTGAACGACATCATCAAGGCCACCGCATTGTCTAGTACCATCACCATCAAGTTGGCCGACAAGACGCCTGCATTGTTTGAGTATAAGTTGGATGCTGGAGGATACTTGAGATTCTACTTGGCTCCAAAGTTCGATGAGGATGATTAATGTAAATTATTGAGGAGTGTGTATTGTGTATGATAACCCACAGATGGATATTTTTTATTTGTAGACAAGATAGTGATTGCAATTCGATGATTGGACATACTCAGGCTGCTTTGAGACTCTTCTTTGTTGGTCTGAATGCTTTGGTGCTCTGAATGCTTTAGTGCTCTGGATGCTTTGGTACTCAGGCTGATTAGAATGATGTGCCTAATATACTTGATGATCTTCGTGATCTGCCATTATGGACGCATTCCTCCATTATGAACCATGATGAATGATCAGCTCTTCTGGAACCGCGTATCGTACTATCTTCCAAGAGACTTGACAATCGACCCCCCATCACTACAATACCAAAATCTCCTCCTCTCCACTTCCAATCTACAGGCAGATAAGGCAACCAGACAACTGGTCCAAAACCACAGGTTCTGCAATTGAATTGCTTGCATCAATGTCTCCACTTCTTGATATCACGTCGCTGTCGCACCTTCTATATCTAAAGCTAATCAACATGGCAGGGCAATTCTCGAAACCAAGCTTCTGTGCACTTACATGGTCGCCGGTAGTGTTCTCCTTCATAGATTCCTCACAACCAGTTGTCAGGACATCACTTCTCGACGCAACTCTCACAACCACAAGGTGGGTTCTAAATGTTCTCCTAACCCAAAATTGTAATTATTTGTTGTTCAGGTGGAATGCTCAGCGTTGGTGATGGCCCCATTTTATTGTTCGCACAATAGAATTGTTCCATTATTATTTTCGCTTATATCAAGGTTAATGCTCATGAAATGGTCAATGCTCACTATTGGACCTGCTCACTATTCAGGCAATGGTCGTTAAACGTCACTTGGTGTGAGTCAATGCTCGCCATTAAAGTAACAAAAATCTACATATTATCATTCTATAACGTCTAAAATTGATTATTCAAGCACTTTTCAACCTCGTATTATCTAGCACCGCCACTTTCTATTTCCTCCTTAGCTTCTCTCGATGATTCCGGGTTCTCAACTCCGCGGTTCCATGCCTATGCCGTCATGCATGGCGGTAGTCCACTATCTTTACCCTCATAGAAATGCAATCACGGCAATTGCCCAATATCGCATGGCATCTGGCGGCGACGGGGTGCATTAAGGAAGTCTTAAGCGGTCCGGGGGATCTAACAGGGAAGAAATGAGAAGGGAAATAGGTAAACAGCTTAGAAATTGACTCAATGTTTCAGCCTGGAGGGTTCATGTTTCACACTTGGCCCAATACACCCGTCGCAAAGTCGTCAATGGATGGAACCCAGCGTCGCGGCTTAAGTAGGCAACTGAGCAACTTGGCATGCTACCCTTGCTAAAGCCGGTCACACCTACGGACAATTTGAAATCTTCGTGGCAACTTTAGCCGTGCTGTGATGTCTCCGGTCCATACTACGGGAGAATTAATGGGAGATGGTCGAATTGCGAGTCCCAATTCCAGAATTCATGGTTGTACACTTGATCAATGACTATTTGAGCCCAAATTTGTACATTGTGAGTTTAGGACCGTATGGAAAGCCCAAATTGGTGTAGATTGGTTTGGGTGCCAAATAAAAAGTCTGCACAATTGTCTTAAGGACCCCAAAAAATGGCACTAAAATGCTGCGACTAAGTAACTAAATTCAAGCATAGGCACAATGCACCTGGGTGCGCAATCTAAGCGTCCCGCAAATTGCTTACGAATCACCGGAAAAATAAAAATCTGGCAGAGAATACGAACAGAAGGATGATCGAAAAATCATGTCCTGGATATCGTCCTTCAAAGAAGACGCTCGACAGCACGCAACCCACTCGATGCGGAGCTTCGGATATGGCATCATAGCCAATGGGAAGTAACTATGGCAGAATATTTCCTAAATGCGTTGGTGTACCTTGATCCTGTGTGAGTGGTGTACCTGATCCTGTTCGTGAGTCGCACAACGACCAGTGCAACGCTTCAAGGAAAATATTTGGCGCCAGCTACTCCATGGTATTCTCACCAGGATGGATACATTGCCTGAAATATCATTCCCAATCTGTGACATCGGAAACCTTGCCATCATTTGTATACCCGATTAGGAACTAACGTTGCTGTAAGTTTGGGTGCTTAGCCTCGCCAAATAGACGGGAGATGGTGTTTATGTTTATGTTTGGAGCCTATAAAGTGACTGCATTGCGGCAGAAAAGCTGAGGGTCCTGTTCAGAAGGTCGGGATAAATTGGTCGCAGCAAAAATCGGGGAGACGGGTGCGATTATGAACAAAAAAATCAACCAGTTCCGGTGGAGCCACAGGCGGTTACACTCACATAAAACACTGCAATGATTCGATTTACACAGTACAGATTGCATCCCATACTCTAAAGCCCAGTCCCAGTTGCTAGTGAAGACATCCTCCGGACAGGCTCCCCATGGAGTCATCCACTAAGTAATCGCTTGATGCGAATCTCATACACCGGCCCTACGCGACCATCGCGTGCCCTGAACCACCTTGCATAATTATATACAAGATCACATGGTCCCACAGCTTCCATGGCCGCGTCCTACTCCTTCCAACAATTGGCAAATCTGTACAACGTCACCTCCGTCTCAGTATCAAGGTGTCACAATGCGATTTCCTACATTATCTTAACGCAATATTCTACCACCCACACAATGCCAGCCTGCGCCCCTGGATCAGAACTGTTCCGCTTTGGGTGACTGTGCAGGACGGTGCCGAAGGTGCTAACCGTGCTGGAGTTACCTGTCAAGTAAGATAGACGAACCTCCACCACTGCTGTTTTGGGCACTAATTGCTGACATTGTTGTCGCTTTCGTCATCCGTGCTTCTGCGGCTAGCAACTATATTACTTTTTCTGCTTCTTCTTGTTTCATCTTGCTCCACCACATTCTATCTGTTGCAACATCGCCTGTCTGTTACAAAAAGGGTGCTGTATCCGTCTACATTTCCCTCCACCCTCTTACCAGCCTCCCCCCGCCACAACTACAATTCAAATTGTCTGCTACCGCTCCCGTCCCGCAATGCCCTGCCTCCCCTGAGCTCCTTTGTCCACTTGCCCCATCCTCTCTGACATGTCCAACAACAACAGACACAAGCGACAGAGATCATCAGCTAATCCCCAACAGTTCCACCTTGAAAATAACCATCCTTACCTTTCCCAAGATGACAGGCCTCCGCCTCCTCCCCTTCAGTCCAGACCCGCCCTGCAGCTGCTTCATGACTCGGCTCGTTACCCTTCCATTAATGCATCTATGCCCGCATCGTCCCACAACCTTCATGGCAGTTACTCGGTGCCCGCCAACCTCCAGGCCTCGTCGTCTTCATTTCTTGACCACCTGGTCCCATCCACCACCCACCTGGCCCCACAGCTGTCGGTGATACCCCATCATCCGCCGCCAATCACCGACTTTAATGCTATACCACTGGTGTTTTCTTATACAGGCAACTTTGAAGAGCCTCTGGACCTTTCGACTCTGGGTGACCATTTTTTAGCCCAGCATGACTATACATCCCATCAACCTCCACGTCCACAAACTTCCTCATGGGTCTCCGCCCCGGATGTGTTCAGTCACAACAAGAACATCTCCATTTCTTCGCATTTCGACATGTTCACCTTAAACGAACACCATTATGAATCGCCAACGGCACGTCAGGTGCCTTCTCTGTCTCAACTCCAGATCTCTCACCTGATTCTGGAGCCGAACAGGCTGCCATACCTTCTGCTGTTGCGTATGGCCAATGCCCCAACAGACCATCAGCCACAACTTCAGCATGCGCTGATTCTTCACGATGCTCCTCGAGCCCCCAACCTTTATGACCACGAGAGGTCATCACAGATCAATTCGGATGATAGCTCGACCCAGACGAGATTGCTTCGCAACATTGTCAAAATTGACGCCTTCAATCTTAATTCCTACTTACTCAGCATATTGAATGAGCTTGGTACACCTCCATCTTTGGATGACTTCTATAACATCCTTTACAATAATGAGACATTTACTTCATATATTCAGCAGAATGAGATGCTGCCGAAAATCGACAAGTCGAATCTGTTGCCAACGTCAGAGTCCATGGATTTGCTTCATCTGATTCTCGACGTATTCCGCGACCCACAGTCGCTCATCGAATACTTCCCCAGTCTCGATATGAGCGGGAATAAGCTCGCCAGTGTGAATTTCCATGAACTTCTACGGTCGTTCTTGGCATTAAAGATTCTCTTCGACTCACTTGTTGAAGTGAAGGAGAGTTCAAACTCTCTGGATTTACCAACTCTCCCTCGTCTTTCCATCTACAAGGTGTACTATATTTTGTGTCAAAAGCTCATTTTGAAGTACCCTACGAAGTCCAATAGCACCAGTTTACAGCAGAAGTTGATTTTAGGTCAGTCCAAACTTGGTAAATTAATCAAGTTGGTGTATCCTAATTTACTCTCCAAACGGTTGGGTCGTCGAGGTGAATCAAAGTACAATTATTTGGGGGTCAAATGGAATCCTAATATTGTGGACGATGAAATAACCGAGTTGTGTGAAGAAGATATCACAAAACTTGCAGAAATCTTCAAGAATGAAAAGAAAATGATGGACATCCGCCGAAAACGAACTCTGCCATCTCGTCATCTGGCCCTGTCACATCGCAGGCCCAGTATCCATCGCAGACAAAGCATTATCAGCACCAATTTGTCACTGATGCCTCTAAATGAGGGCCGGATTCGTCCTCTGATCACATTTGTTCACAGCAATACCAAATTTCCACTTCAAGGATTTTCACCTTTATCTTTAGTGTCAAATCCTGAAAACGTTGATCCACGTACCAGCTGGCTAGGTGCTGCCAGGCACCATTCCCTTATGGCACTTCAAGACTATAATATCGATTTGCTGACAATCCGCAATGTTTTACTAAACGAGGCAAATTTAGCTTCTGATGAAAATTGGCTCTTCAATGAACTTTCGGCGAGAACAGAGATGATCATTTCATCCGCCTTTAGAGAAGACAAAGATTATCTCCACCTTTTTTTGGCCGTGGCCATTGATATCTTACCTTCGATTCTTGTGCATGATTCGGTCAAGAATCCAAACATGAAAAATAATCTCCGGCTGCTAGCTAAAAAGTTTGGACTGCGATTCAGTCAAACCACTCCCATCATTGATTCCTCTGACATCAATGCATTTGTCGGGATTATCAAACGCATGGTCCACCTTACCGAGTTGCTTGGCTCTCTATGTCTGTCGATCCTGGATTCGACATTGCTTGAGGACATGCGTGGTGATTTGGATAGATTAGCGATGACTTCCCAAGATTACTACATTGAAGAAGAGACACCTTTATCTCGACTTCGAGTAATCATCACTCAGGGAATCTTACGAACACTTAACTCTTATCAATTTCTCCAAGACGAGGATGGCAACCACTTATCTACGGAACGAGTCATTGAACTTGTGCAGCGAGATGCCCGATCACTTCTGAACTCCATACTTGAATCACTATCGCGATTCATCCAGAACACATCCACTAAGATTCACGACACTAGCGTCAGTTCCGCACTGGAATTAAGCACCACGGTGTCCACTCACTTGGTGGATCTTCTCCATTCAGAGTTGGTCACCGACAGCTTGACAAAACGCTACCCGATCGTGGTGGTCAAGGACATGGTAACGTACATTTCCAACCAGGTGCTCACGTCAGTTTACAATGAAAACCTTAATCTCAACCAGGGAGGCACAGGGTCGTTGAATCCGACGTTCCGCCATTGGTGGATTCTCGCTACGTTAATCCAAGAATACTTGGGGCTCTTGAGTGAACTAGTTGGGCTCTACGAAACCTTGTCATAACGTTCCCTACAGGCCCATTCTCGCATTTAATATTAATTCAATTCTGCTTTCCTCGCGTTGTAGTGGTTCATTGAGCTGGCCATCCAAACCCATCTGGCTCCATGTGACCCATATAACCCCACTTTGCCTAATTTAAATCCATCTGGCGCCATCTGGCCCCATGTTGCCTGCACCATAACCGTTGGGCCTGTCAAACGATGATGTCGATAACCTAACCTACACGCATCCACTTTCCGCATTGAGAGATTTCGCGACCTCATTTCCGTCGTAGGTTACCAAACCTCCGATACTTTATACCTCAGCTCCCCGCCATGACCAACTAGAGGCACATTCTCTAAATCAATTCTTAAAATCATGAAACAACAGAAAGTTATCATCATCGGCGCAGGAATGGCAGGCGTGAAGACCGCCTTGGATCTCTACAAGGCTGGAGTTCTTGACACCATTATACTTGAAGCTAGAGATCGGGTTGGAGGCCGGTTGGTGTCCCACAAGTCTACCAAGAATGCCAAATTGAAGTACGATTTCGGTGCATCGTGGTTCCACGACGCATTGAAGAATCCACTTTTCGAGAAGGCCCAGAAGTTGGGCAATATCGACTACTATTTCGACGATAGGAAGCATGTCTATGTTGGTAAAGATAGTCGAGAGATTCCGCTGTGGAAATTCGAAAGCATTGTGGAAGAAATTGGTGACTATGCCAATCTCGTTTTCGAGGAAAACCCCTCCAAAAAAGACATTTCACTCCGGGAGATTTGCGATGAGTATTTAGCCAAATACGATAAGCATTTGAATGATGATGAGAAGAGATACGCCAAACAAGTTGTCCGCTTGTGGTCAGAACTTTGGGATGGAATCTCCTGGGAGGACATGTCTGCCAAGCAGTCAAGTTACCAATCGGGCCACTATGGCCGCAATGCGTTCGTGACCAATGGTTTTGTCAATGTCTTCAACAACGAATTGAATGAATTGCCTAAGTGGTACCTAGAACACAACATCAAGCTCAACACGCATGTCAGAAGCATTGACTACTCCAACCCAAAGATGGTCACCGTCACCACTGCGTCTGGCGAGGTCTACACTGCAGACTACTTGGTGTCCACCATTCCGCCCAGTCTTTTGAGCTTGAACGATCCAGTAGACAAATGCTACGTGTCATGGAACCCACCATTACCTCAGAGATTTGTCGATATTTGGCCCGACTGTTCATTCGGCTCTTTGGGCAAGGTCGTGTTTGAATTTGACCAGAGCTTCTGGCCGAAGGACATCGAGAGATTCTACGTTTTGGCTGATGAGGTTGATTCATCTGGATCCGTTAGACCATGGCAGTATCCCACGCTTATCGTCAACTACTATGCGCTTACTGGAACACCTTCGTTGGTTTGTTTGACCCAAGAACCAGTTTCTAGACAGATCGAGAAGATGTCAAAGGAAGACATTTGGAAGCTTTTCGAGCCTGTCATCACTCAGATTGCAAATGGTCCCGTCCGCAAGCCATTCCAGATCTACAACACCCCATGGAATGGTGACGAGTACACTCGTGGCTCTTACTCGGCATCCAGATGCGGTAGTGTTGATAACTCTGTGATTTGTGATACCTTGGCTGGAGGCGTGAATGATCGGGTGCGTTTTGCAGGAGCTGAGACTATTGATGGAGCATCCAATGGGTGTGCCCACGGAGCTTGGTTTAGTGGAGAAAGAGAAGCACGGCATATTCTTAGACACTCCAAGGCTTTGTCTAAATTGTAATGGGTAAACGGTAATTTGAAAGGATAAACTCTTCCACCTGGTTCGTCTCCACGGATAAGAATCAGTGTTATAAAGAATTCGTAATCAAAAGGGGGTCACAAATCATTGGTGACAAGTATTTAGCTATCAGAAAATTTATTCTACAAAATTTCTTGGGTAAAAGATAAATCATGTATATATAGTGTCAGGCTCATGGTGGTTCTACATGTGCTCAACACAGTAGATAGTGCGATCTTCTCATGTTCACAGCAAAGCCATGAAAGATGTGTCCTCAGCTGTACACCGCACAATTAATAACTATCAACTAACTTCACAATCCAAGCTGCTCAAAAGACTCAATCAAAAAAATGAAGCCCGCATAGTCGCCAACTTGCATAAGAGACATCAGGATAGACACTTGATGGAGCTTATCCAGAAACGAGACTACTACACCAATAAGATCCACGAGCTACTAAATGGTGCAGGAGAACAACCGAACCCAGCACTCATCGTTGATGACTATGAAGCAGACTATTACTTGGCCAAACGATTTGTCAAAGTTCCTGAGAACGTGGACCAGGTGAGAGCCATCATTGCCAAACACAAGCAGTTTCAAGATGAAATGGCCGAGGAACATACACGGATTCTTCGTGAGTACGAGCTGAAGGGTCTGAAATTGAATGGGTTGGCAAAATTGAAGGCACACAACGCATCTAGTGAAGCGAAGAGGGAAAATGGCCGAAACTTGGCTTTGGATGGCTTGTATCAGAGAATAGCAACTAGACAACGGAAACTCTCTGAAGAGTCAGAGGCCATGTTACGGGAACTCAAGGTGCCCTTCTTTTGTATAGATGAATCCATTAGCATGGACGTCGAGAGTTTGCTCAAAAACAAGAAGTACGTGCTCAACACGCTCTACAAACTAGTACAATCACAAAGGTAAGGGTATAATAATGCATTTCAAGAACACTCCTTAACCACCAAATACTACAAGAAGGTCCTCTCTACTTGGTTCTCACCGTGTAGTCGTCTCCAGACTGAGTAATGTAGCGCACCCATGGATACGACTGGTACTGTAGCTTGGGCTCATTGATTCTCAAGTAACGAACCTGAATGCCCGATGTGGTGAAGTATGGAATGGAGAAATTGACCTTGATGGGTTTCTTCAGCACCATATCCTCTTTGTCAATCACTGCGGGCAAGCCCAACTCTGCCTTCATGTGGAATTGTTTACCTCCTTGGAACGTCTTCAACTTCCAGATCAAACAGGACTTCTCTGGAATCCACTTGACACTTCCATACTCAGTTGTGAATTTAGGGGTATCTGCATCCTCTGGGATAGGAATAATGACTTCCACATTGTTGGCAGTGGATTTCTTCTTGATCTGAGCACGAGCTGAACATAAAATCTCGATACGAGAGTGCTTGTGGACCACAGTCTTGCAATTGATCAAAATAAGAGGTTTCATCAAGAATTGTGCAGACAGCAACCGGTATGACATCACAGTAAACTCGCCATCGGGTGGGATGAAGGTAATGATGCGCTCATTCTCGAACTTGGACAACCTCACACACTGATGGAACTTGATATCCTCCATCTCGATTTTCTTGGAGCCCAGTGCCGACTCTGAGGCTGTGTCGTCGTCGATGCTGCTGGTGAAGATTCCTTTATCGTTGAGGCCCAAGCGAAGATCAGGCATACCACTCAACTTGGACTTCATTTTAATTTCTCCTAAGATCTCGCTATTCAACACCTGTCCATTGGCATTGATCAACATGTTAATGGACTCCACCACATCCAAGAACGCCTCGTTTTTCTTGTATGTTATGCCCTCCTTTCTCCAGCTGACGGCGTTGGTGACGGCATTAGGAGGCTGGACAAGTCTGGATGGGGTGTTTCTGATCAACTTGTAGTAATCCTGGGTGATATATTCCTTCAAGATCTTTGTGTCGGTGGTCTGTGGCACACCAAAGTCCATCATCTCGTCCAACAACTCGTAGGTGATGACAAAATTGTCCCTTATAGATTCCTCCTCTAAGCTCTTGAAATATTGGGTTAGCACCTCGACCAATTTGGAGAGAAACACCACGATGGCCATGACATTCTCATTTTTTCGAGTCAACGCACACACATACAAGTTGTTGTGATTAATGTAGATGTAGTTGATTCCGTTGCTGTTGATGTAAGGTCTATATAACGCTTCATCCTCTTGGTTCTCCAATTCCAAGAGAAGGAGCGGGAACGTCTCGATGGCATTGGATGGGATGTCGCCTTTATAGTCTCTTGAGAGAAGAGGCTTCCCTTTTATATCGAGAAAGTGAATTTGAGACGCCATGGCGGTGAAGATTAATGCAATACGTTGTTTTCTGAGGTTTGGGCCATGGCTATACACCCGTACACCAGAATTCGAGTAAGAGAGTTAGAAGGAAGATGAATTGATTCAGTTTAGATGATGGTTCTCGAAAAAAGTTTGAATTATGGACCTTAATAAACGGTTTATGTAATTACTCATAATCTTTGGGTGTGGTGACTTCAAAGAACTTGGCTGGTGGTCTCCACTATTAAAGATGCGAGCAGTATCACCCGTTCCTCGTTACCTTTTATAGTAAACTGATCATGAATTCAAGTTAAAAACAAAAAGGATAAAAAATTAAGAGGTGGAACCACCAATAATTCCTAAAACTAATTGAGGGTATGTGGATGAGCTTCTGGAGATGCTCGCATGGAATTCCATATTTTGACACTTCCACCCCCTCCATAATCTGTCAATGTCAAGTGCGAGGTGTCATAAATCAACCAATGGACACAATAAACTCCACAGCCTCTTTGAAAAAACATGATAAAGACAAGACATAATTCTCAAACTTGGCAATATGGCCACGTGGAAACATTTGCAACTTCTTTAAAAGTGGATTTATGGTGGCCCTCTAGGCATCTGGCATGATAGAACGCGGGCGGAATTTGTGATAATTTGCTATTCTTGCACGCTACCTTCAGAATAAGCAATGTTCAATCAATGTAAAGAAATGGAATTCGATCCCCCAAAATTCACCCTCATACCATTATCTGTTCTCTATTGAAATATTTTGAATCACTTTTCATTTTTCATTTCTTCATAATTTCTTTCCACTATTCTCCTTTTCCGTCGCCAAGTCTCGATTTGACTCAGCCATCAAGATTCTTGTCGTCAAGGGTATTTCTTAACTATGGGCTTGGCACACAAGTTGCTCACCAAACAGTAACAAATTTATCGTTCACCGCCTGCAGTTAAGATAATGGCTTGTTTACAATATGCTTCTGCAGCCCGCAAAATGACCCAAATTCCTGCAGATACAGCCAAAGATGCGCAAGGTAAAGAGGCTCAACCTATCTATATGCATTCTGAACAAATCGAATAAGTAATTAGCTTTTTCTTGTTTTCCGTTGCAAATACATTTTTTTTTATATATTTTCATCCTTGAGCGTCATATTTGACTTCCGCATCATCTTTCACTCGTTATTTACCTCCTAGTGATTCTCTCGCTAAATGCTTTTCGCACTCGCTGCTCTTTTACTTCCGCTTCTTGCAGTGGCTATTCAGCCCATTGAAGTCAAGGGTAATGCCTTTTTTGTTAAGGACTCGTCCGAGCGTTTTTACATTCGTGGACTCGACTACCAGCCAGGAGGCGCATCGAAGTTGTTCGATCCGTTGTCTGATCCAGAAATCTGTGAGCGTGACATCAAGTACTTCAAGGAGCTCGGAATCAACACCATCCGTATCTATTCCATCGATAACACCGGAGACCATAAGGAATGTATGCAGCAGTTGGCTGACGCAGGAATTTATGTGATTTTGGATGTTAACATCCCCAAGGCGCTGATTGCCCGTGATGACGGTGCTGAGTGTTCTTACAATACTATGTACTTGAATGAGGTGTTGGCTACTGTTAGAATCATGTCGCAATACAACAACACTTTGGGATTTTTCGCTGGAAACGAAGTTATCAATGACGTGGACACCACTCCTGCTGCCGCTTATGTCAAAGCCGTAGTGCGTGACATGAAGACCTTCCAGAGAAACACCGGATTGCGTCTTATCCCTGTTGGCTACTCGGCTGCTGATGTGGAAGAGAACCGTATTCAATCAGCCCACTACTTTAACTGTGGTGACGATGAGATGGCAAGAGTTGACATGTTTGGCTTCAACGACTACTCTTGGTGTGGACGTTCGTCTTTCACTACTTCTGGTTACGATAAGAAGGTTGAGGCCTACTCAAATTATTCAGTTCCTTTATTCCTCTCTGAGTTTGGTTGTAACAAGCAGAGACCTAGACCTTTCACGGAAGTCCAGTCCATCTACTCCGACGACATGTCGCCTGTCTTCTCCGGTGGTTTGGTCTACGAATACACAGAGGAGGACAACGACTACGGTTTGGTTTCTGTTTCTTCGGACAACAAGACTGTCTCTACCAACAGTGACTTCGACAATCTTAAGGCCCAGTTCTCCTCTGCCACCAATCCAAGCGGTGATGGTGGTTACCACACCGGATTGCCTCACTCCAACTGTCCTCCACAATCCAACGACTGGGAGGCTAGTGACACTGTCCCAGACACTCCAAAGGGTGCTTTGAAGTACATTCGTGGTTTGGTTGATCCAAAGGGTAATGGTTTCAAAGCAGACACACAGTGGGCTTGTGTTGCAGGTGGAAATGACGACGATGACACTGGTGACTACTCATCTACCATCTCCAGAAGTACTACGTACTCTTCGTCGCTGACTGCTGGTAGCTCTGGTTCCACTGGCTCCAGCAGTGGCAGTGACAGTAGCAGTAGTAGTTCTAAAAAGAGTGGAGCCTCCTACATGTGTGCCACCTCCATCTGGGGCTCGTTGCTTGGTGCTGTTTTCATGGTACTCATGTGATGGACTTACATATAGTTTTTTCTCTAATAATTAGAATTGTGTGTTCGTGAACGATCATCTACCTACCTGGTTGTAAACATCTCACAGCTTCTGCTTGATACCGTACATCATTTTCTCCTTGTTAATCAAGTGGCCGATGCTATCAACCTCCTCCAACAACTTATCCACATCATAGATCCAGTTATCCAATAACTCGTTGATGTTTTCGCTGTTACTAGACACGTTCAAGGCACCAGCTGCGGTTCCATGTTGCAACTTCTCAAATTTGATGATCCCCTGAGGTCTGTTGATCTTGGCGCTCACCATGCCCTTATTGACCATTTCACTCACGTAGGTCTCTGCTTCCTGAGGCTCCACCTGCAACAAAAACGCTAAGCGGTCTAATTTGATGAACGAATAGTACTTGTTGATGATACGCAAGTTGTGCTCGATGATACGCTTCTGCAAGTTCTTAGAGTTTTCCTCGTTGTTAGAAAATACGTCAGACTGGCTGAAATATTTTGCACGATACTGATTTTCGATTGACTCCGACTGGATGAGCTCGTTGGTGGTGAAGATTTCCAACAAGTTGAAGATCTTAGGGTCCACATTCTTGGAGAACACAGTGTTGCTCTTGATTTTGTTGATCAAATCAGACTGGAAATTGTCGTAAGGCGACAAGATGATGTAGTACACTATGGAAACCAACAAATTCTTAAAACCTTCAGATTCTTTGACTAGAGGGATCTCAATCAAAAGAAGCGAGTTCTTCACAATCATGATATAATCGTTCTCAAACTTATTGATCTCCAACAAGTAGCCCAAGTAGGTAGCCTTGTACTCATCAGCCTTTTCGAAGTTCTTCAAGGTCTTCAAGAGAATTTTCCTACTCAAAACCTTGGCCTGAGCGTAATCCTTCTTCTGCAATGTCAACTTGATCTGATCCAAAATGTACTCAATTTTGGTGTCAAACAGCATCAACGAGTAAGTTTCCACCTGTAAATCACACAAGATCTCTGCCGCCTTGTCCAAGTCATTCTTCTTGGTCAAATATATTTCTGACAAAAGTTTGGACACTTCGGCACGCTCAACTTCCACAAAAATCTTCTTATCGGTGACCGTACGAATAGTTTCAATGACCATCATTTTTGTGGCTAACTCGTCCAGCTTGTCGTTGTCCAATTTGGACAAGTTCTCAATAACATGTTGGATCATGGTCTGGATGGAGGTCTTCAACTGGCCATGTTTCTTGGACAAAACCGTGATCAACTCATTCAAATAGTTCCAATCGTTATGTTCTACCAACGTGTTGACGATCTTGGTAAGGACCCGCTTACTCAGAGCCAAGTCTGACGATTGACGAATCTGCTTTTCCAACACCAAATACTTGTCGACTGCCTGTTTGTAGTCGGACAATTCTTCGATTATGGGAATCTGCTCATTTAATGTGGCAGAGAAATCCTTCTCTGCTTTCAAGGGGTCTTCTCTAGACATAATTGGATGGTTGATAATGTTGGAGGTAAGTTTTAGGTGAGGTATTGCCACAAGGGTGTGCGCCACTCAGAACCGAACCTAATAAAGGATTCTATATGACTACACAATTTTGAATAAATGATACTAACTAGATAATTTTAAATATAGGATTTCGAATAGACATTTAGAACTATATGCTCCTAACTTGGAGATGCTGAGTGGATACGCTCAACTTGATGATCTGAATAATTCTCATCGAGATCTTGTCTATGGACTCTTGAAGCCATGGAGATTTCTATACTCCATCAATAATGGCATTGTCCTCTATCAACTATAGATCACTCTATTACTAAACTCTACAGTTGTTGATCTCAAACACCAAAATGTCAGAAGCTCCAGCCCTCTTCAAATCGTCCATAGCATTACTGATCTTTGCTTTCTCAACCATGGATGAAATAGCCACCCAGGGCTCAGAGTCCTCCTCAGCCTGCTCCAATGCAGAAACGGTGGCAGCTCTTCTGCCTGGAGTTATCTTCAACACTTCGCTGACAATTCTGCGTGGTGCGTTGTAGTTACACAAAACGTATTTCTGTGCAGCCATGATACCTTCGAATCTCTGGTGGATGGTCTTGACCAACTCAGGGAAACGTGGGTTCTTGGACGAAATCAAGTGAGCGGAAGTGGTCAAAACGGTGGAAATGGCCTTCAATCCAGCAGCCTTCATGGTCTCACCACTCTCCACCAAGTCAACAATAGCATCTCCGACACCCAAGGCACACGATGCCTCCACAGAACCTCCCACGTACTTGATCTTAGTGCTGCCTTCAGTCTTGGCCTCGGCAACTTCCAACGATCTGAAATAGTCCGAGGTCAATTTGGTGAAGGATGAAACAATTTTCTTTCCGATCAACTGCTCGGGCTTCTCAATGTCACCGTTGGCTGGTACCTGAACTTGCAACTTGCACTTGCCAAATTGCAAGTCCAACAAATCTTCAACGTATTCGAACATGTCGGCCTCTTTCACCTGGTCCAAACCAGTGATACCCAAGTCACACTTACCTTCACCGACGAAAGTAGGAATGTCTGAAGCAGGTAAGAAGATAAGAGCAACACTCATGTTTGTGGAGAGGGCAATATCCAATCGGCTAGAACGTCCGAACTGGATGTCTGCCCCAGCAAGCAAACGGGTGCATTTTTCATACAACCGACCCTCTGTGTGTTAGTAGAAGAAAGTGAATAATGGAAGTTGAAATGAAGGATGAGTGAAAATTTCAATCCGGACGAAATTAGTTGAGATTTGCATTATCATATCCACCAATGTTCATTGGCTTCATTCAATAGATTGCAATTTCAGTCTAACTCTTGTCTAAATCGCTAGAGCGGCTTCTATGCACTTTTAAAATTCACATGCACTTGAGAATTTACATACTCTTGGGAACGGCAAACAATAGACGGTCCGGGAGGTGGTTAACTAAATCCATGGTGGTTGTCAGATGAAGTCGTTGAATGATAATTTCTCACTATGAGTCAACTAGCGCACGCAGGAACAAGAGATAGATAGTGCCTGCACGGCATGGACAAATTTCCATTAGATAAAGGCTGGATATTGAGATTGCAGAATTTCTAGTTTCGGATTCGTGCTACAAAATTTTTTTTGTTTCGAGATGACTGTGTGTTAGAAAATTGTAGGCTCTGAATGATTAATACAAAATATCATTTTTCTGAGTGAATGTCGTCATTAGCATATGAAATTGGCTGCGAACCAATGGGTTTTCATCGATCTTTTGTTCCCACCTCTTCCGTCAACCCCTTCCTTTTTCGATCCATGGGTCATTGATTTATTCCGTTATCCCCTTACTTCTCCCGTTCCTTTTCCGGCAGACTCACAGATGTCACTGTGTCTGCCTTATCGGACCTTGAGTCACTATCACTGTCCATAGCATAACGTTCGTAAGCTGTCAGAGACCCAGGTTCAGATGATTGAATCCGCTCAATGGACCCCTCCACTCTTTTGACCTCTGCCCGACCCACCTTTTCCATAGTCTGACCGGACCCAGCCCCATACCAGTATGTATTGAAACTCCAGTTGAGAAGTATACGAGTCATGTCCCATGTTGAAAACTCCGGCCACATCTTGTCACTGAATACTATGGCACACGTAGAAGGTACCAGCTGCCACAACAAGAAGTCCAGAAGTCTGTAAGTGCCACTAGTTCGAATTAGAATGTCAACTGGTGGAGAGTCCGCCGTATATAAGTGGCGGTCAATGGTAGACTCGTCAATGACAACTGAAGCATCCTGAGACGCCTCTTCAACAACACTTTTCACCGAGTGAGCAATCTCGTCTCTCAGGGTATATGGGAAGCAGACATTGAGCACTGCTTTCGTGTTGTGCTTCGTCATTTCCTCAGTTTCTCTTAAGATCTTACGCACATCACTCGGGAGCAACAGTGTGTTGCCTAATATGCGAATGCGGATTCCGTACTGGTCACAGAGATCTCCATGCTGGCTGATTTGACGAAGCTTCGATTTGGCCAAATCCATGAGCCACTCCACCTCGTACTTCAGCCTTTTGAAGTTCTCGATGGAGAAAGCATAAACGGTGGCACATTCCACTCCAGACTCGTACAATAGCTCCAAGATGGATGCCATGGTGTCGAAGCCCAGATTGTGGCCTTCCTTCAACTCGATCTTGTGCGTTCTAGCGTACCTTCTATTTCCATCCATGATGACTCCAACATGCCGAGGGATGGGGCCAGTGCAAATGATTCCACCCAAGATTTTCTTGAGGCGTCTAACTAGTTGCGAGTAGCCGGGGAACGAGGAGATCCACTCGGGCATTATGAAGAAGAGTAGTTGCGTGGCTACGGACTGCACGAAGGTGAAAGAAGTACGTGGAGGTGATGATGACATCTACGAGAATTGGAATTGGATGGACTCAACATCTCATTCTCGATTTAATTTCATTGCTCGTATCAGATCAATTTGTAAAATTTTGATTCAAACTTTGTTCATGATTAGCACAAACTGCTGTAAAATTCGTACATAGTGGACACTTCTCGCTAATGGTAGGTTGCGAAATGTGGGAACATGATATAAAACGAGAATTGGATAGGGACGACGAGTTAAGGGAAAGAAAAAAGGGTCCAGGAAAATCTTAGAAACCATCTGAAAAGCAGACAATCTCTGTGCTTGGAGCAACCTTTCAAATTGATCTATAGTATCTGGTGAGCTCAGGAATCTTTCTAATTGGCAAGTGTATGAAGACTAAACCTACATTTTTATTAATACTTACTTATATTTCAAACACAAGTCGAACTATTCAAGATAATCATTCAAGCACACTATTCGGATTCTCGAAAACTAATTCAAGCCTCCGTAGCACTGCTCGTTCTGCTTCTTTCTCACATCAATCACGTTCATCACAGACTCAGCAGCCTTGACTCCCGAAAGTGCCATGGCTCCGAAAGTGGGTCCCATTCTGTTGGAACCATCAACCTCAGCCAACTCCATACCGGCAATCACCAAGCCTGGAGCAACCTCCCTGGTACCCTTGACAATGGCATCCTCAGCCTTGTTCATATCAAGACCTCTCATTCCACCCAAAGCAAAGGCGTCATCTCCTCTAGGTCTCAAGGTTTCCAATCTCTTGGCAGAGAATGCACCGAAAGGACCATCGTGGCCAGTAGTAGAAAGAACAACATTACAGTTGATGGTGTTTGGGTCCATGCACGATTGGGTGTCATGGTTCAATGCAACCAAAGTCCAGTTGGTCACCACACCAGCAATTCTCAACTCGCCAGTGGTTTCATCACGACGAGTGATCAAGTCCTCCACCGCAGTAGCGTTGAACAATTTGACGTTAGGGAACTGCAACACCTTTGACATCAAAGTTGACATGAACAAGGCTGCGTGCTTGACCACCACGTAGTCTCCCTCATCTTCATATGCTACCTCAATCTCATCCAAGAAGAGCTGAGCAGGCTTTCTCAAAACCATGGCAGAGAACAATTGTCCTCCCAACCAGCATCCTCCACCTGGAGAAACACTGGCCTCAATTATAGCAATCTTGAGGTTTGGTCTGTTTTTAGCCAAAGTGTAGGCTGCCGACAATCCGGCACTTCCAGCACCAACGATCACGACATCGGACTCAGTGTACTTGTCCAAGTCAGCGAAGTAACGCTTGGTCATTGCTCTGGATACAGTGGACTCCCTAATTGGAGCAAATTGAAATTTCTCCCAGTCTGCGAATCTCACTTCTCCCTTACCAGCGTGGAGGTGGATCACTTGGTCCACCTTTTGGGTGATCGGAGTAGAGGTTTGAACAGCAGTAGATGGAGCCATTTTCGTTAGAGAAGATAGAGTAAAAATTGATAATGAGGGAAATGGAGCCAAAAATGCCATCCTTTTATACTTTTCAGATATCCGGAACCGCCTCAACATATTCTATTGTTGGTATAATCCTTAGTCAAAGATCCCGCAAAGGTGTGCTTTGTATGCGCATACCCTTGGCTGCGAAATTGTAATTACTCGCAAAGTCCAGCCGCATAAACGCATATCTACCGCATTGTATTACTGTGAAGATCCAGACTCCCGAATAGAGTGTGGAACTCCGAGTAAATGTCGTTGAGGAGATTATTGATTGTGGTATATTGAGATCGATGGGAGATGAGGGGAAGAGGCACTAGGTGTGAGCGCTGACAGCTTTGTTTTTTGGGAGCAATTGGAAGGCAAGCTCTGTGATTTGCAGGTGTGGTGTATAATTATTAACGGGCCGGTGTGAAATGCAAGTGGTACGATCATTGAGAGTTGTTGAAGGTTAAAGTTTGGAAGTTGAAAGTTGAAGGTTAAAGTTGTGATTCGAAAGTTGAAGGTTAAAGTTGAAAGTCCGACGTTAAGATTTGAGAGTGCCAGGGAAACCGACAATAAAAGAAAGGTGTTTTGAGAATCTTGGAACTAGAGCATGCAGTGGCTCTCATTGTCAGTACCCCTAGTCGAAAAATCGAGACCGCAATTTTGAAGAAAAGAAATGCGAGGAGGAGAAGTCAATGAGTGGTTCCCGATGGACATTATCCATTTCTTTTAGCTTAAGCATCGATATTGAGAATATAGATCCAAGCCAATGCCTGAGTCAAATAGTCCGGATCTACAGACCTCTTGGAGCCGAAACTAACTTCTAATTTCTAGTGGTGAACCCACCCACTAATATCACCCCCAAATCGTCTCATATAACCACTCCATGGAGAATAAGCGAAACAGGAAGACACGTCTTGATCCAAAACCGGAATAGTTATTACTGGCGCACAGTGCTTCACACAATTGATTGAAGTTGGAATTTGGAGTCCAGGCTCGCGATACTTTGCTGTGTAGACAATCATCTAACCAACACGTCTGTTCACCGTTCTCATTACAAGTGTAAAGACCATGCGGTAACAATTAACAACGATTTATTATCTGTCCACTCAAGTTGAGTTTTGACGATTTTAACATCTCATCGTCTCACCCGTCCACCGTCATTAGTTAATCGTCTAAATCCACTCTGTTCAGGCATAAATTGAGCAGGAATTCGGGTTATCACACCAGTCGGATTTCAGGAAATTCCTGGTGTTCTGAAATCCGGCTAGGGGGTGCTCCACTTTGCTACAATCAACCAATCGACAATCTAGCGGCCATTTTTTGTTGTAACATTTACCATCATTGATGAGCTCCAACTAATCAGGCACAAATTGTTCTAATTCCCCCAGTCGCATTAAGCCATTGTGCCTCGAATAGAAACCACCGCGCTACCTCCGTACAGAGACCACATTCAGAACGGCTTACACGTCTCAAGTCCCGAAATGGATGGGTCTCTGTCGGAACAGGCATCTACCCCCCGGAATCCACCATGAGGGCCACTGCACGGTTGTTTCAAGCGAGCATCAGTTCCGAGGGATAACCGGGGTTGTGACATAGACAGATGAAACCGTGCCAGACCTCGGAATCCAACGGTCCATATTAATGTGACTGTTTCAAAAAGGGGTATCCATTAAGAACATGTGGTAAGCAAGATCTGCAGCAAACGGGACGGCCGACCTCCTTTGAGAGTTCAAGTCTCAATTAAATTGGCGGTCAATGGTCAAAGTAGTGAATTGAGAAGAGAGTAAAAATTGATTATAGCTAGCAAATCAAAGTAGTGTGACTATCAAGGTCGTTTGTATTATACAAGTAGCAATAGAGTTCGAGACGTTTTTACCGGAACGAACTACAATTAATGGTAACAGAGATTACCTAAAATCCGGCCAGCATAACAGATCAAATGGAGTGCCTCGCACACATACTTTACTAATATCAGTTCACACAAGTTGTATACCTTACAGTATGGATGGTTCTAATTATTTACACCATACCTGTTCTTTTCTACAGGCACTGATTCCAGATTATTTCAGAGTCACTAGCTCTTTGAATATTGACCAGAATAGTGACGTGAATCTTTCCTTTTTTTTTTTTTGATCTTGATGACAATCCAACCATAAAATTCCCTGTTACTTATTCCAGCCCTACCTACAGACTCACCCTCGGAAATACCCTCGGAACATCACACAACTGACTGAGGTTCGCGTGCCTGCGACACGCGTGTCCAAAAGGGAAAAATCCATTCTCGTTTTGACTTATACCTCAGCCACTTTACCCTCTTGTTTTCTTCATCGATTACACCTTCATTTATTTTCAAATTTTCACTCGGTTTTCTCAACCACCCCCCTTACATCACGAGTCGGTTCCTCTACCGTTTACGTTAATATTATCTCCGCCACTCGCTTCTTATCCATCCACACATTATGATCTCAAGACAAGGTTCGATATTGTCAACCATGTCGGCATCTCATAGCCATCCTCAGAAAATTGGGCCCTGGAAACTCGGAAAGACCTTGGGTCGCGGCGCTACAGGCCGTGTGCTCTTGGGTGTCCACCAACAAACTGGCCAGAAGGCCGCCGTCAAGGTTGTCCTGAAACTGGAACTCAATGAAGATTATGACAGACCCCAGGACAGAAAGGGCGGCCTCCCTTACGGCATCGAGCGTGAAATCATCATCATGAAACTCTTAACACACCCAAATGTCTTGCGCTTGTACGACGTCTGGGAAACTTCCAAGGCTTTGTACTTAGTGTTGGAATATGTCGAAGGAGGTGAGCTTTTCGATTTGTTGGTCGAAAGGGGCCCTTTGCAGGAACAGGAGGCAATCAAATACTTTCGTCAGATCATATTAGGTACCGCATACTGCCATGCATTGGGTATCTGCCACCGTGACTTGAAGCCCGAGAACTTGTTGCTTGACGCTTCGCTTAATGTCAAGCTTGCTGATTTTGGCATGGCTGCATTGGAGAGTAACGGCAAATTGCTTGAAACTTCATGTGGATCTCCCCACTACGCTGCCCCAGAAATCGTTTCTGGATTGAAATACCACGGTGCTGCTTCCGACGTTTGGTCTTGTGGTGTCATTCTCTTCGCCTTGCTCACAGGTAGACTTCCCTTTGATGATGAAAACATCCGTAACCTCTTGTTGAAGGTGCAAGCTGGCTCCTTCGATATGCCTGAGGAAATCAGCGACGAGGCCCTGGACTTAATCTGGCAAATGTTGACCGTTGACCCAATGCAGAGAATTTCCACCGCTGAGGTTTTGAACCATCCATTGCTTAATAAGTATCCTATTCCTAATGAGGATCTCATAAGTGTCAAATCTTTGCCTCATCCTGAAACTGCCTACAAGTCTTTGGGCTCCGTCAAGAACATTGACAAGCAGATCTTGCAGAACTTGTCCACTTTATGGCATGACAGACCGGAAAACGAAATCGTCACATGTCTTTTAAAGGAGGGCCCCAATGCTGAGAAGACGTTCTACGCTTTGTTACTCAGATATAGACACACCCAAGATGAGGCACAGGCAACAATTCCAGGCTCTCCCAACAAGCGTATTCCAAGATCGACTCTGAGTCTTTCCAACAGAGCTACTCCCAGAGGTAACCGGGTCAGTCAAATCAGTGCTTCGAACTCCAGAACACGTCCTGTGTCTTTCCAGCGTCGTTACGGTGCCAGAAATTCAGTCGTTGGAGGCAGAACGTCAGCAGCTTCTAGCGTGAACAATTCCCCCTTCAAATCACCAAGAGGTAGTCATCTCGCCAGCAGATCTCCATCCAAGTCTCCGAAAAAGCACCACAGTTATCAGGTACCACCTGGGCCACTTCCGAGAAACATTTACAATGAGATAATGTCAGTGAATGCTCCACACACCAACTCGGTCGGTTCTCTTCCACCAACTTTACCATCTAAAGACTCTATTTATGCTCACACCGAGAGCACACCAGCTACAACGACGGCCGAGAGAATGGAAAAATTCGCCCCTGCTTTGGAGGCTGCTCCTAAGTTGGCCCCCGCACAGACAGTATCTACGAACAAGAGGAACTCAGTGATCAAAAATTCAGGATCCAGAGTGAGCCGTCGGAAGTCTATTCGCCAGTCGTTAACAACAGGATTGAAACGTAATTCAATTACAGTGAAATTGCTTTCCACGTATGCCAAATTGTCGAACGAATCTGATTGGGAGTACATGGATAAGCAAACAAAGAGAACATCTGCAACATTTGCCACATTGTGTGATAAAATCTTTAACCAAGAAGAGTATGACAAGGACGACGAGATGCTCATTGACGAGGAAGAGAAGAGGGCCAAGGAGTACGAGAAACTCATGGAGATTGAGCGCAAGAAGCACGAAGCAGAGCTCAAGGCCAGACGTGAGTTGGCTAAGCAAAAAAGAAGGCTGAAGAGACGCTCTCTTCTCTCAACAAAGAAGTTGCACATCACTGTCACTGAGGATAAAGGTGGCGAAAATAATAGTGAAAATGATATAGTGCCCGAGAATACCATCCAGCAGCCAAAGAGACAGTCCAAAGCACCCCCGGCTTTACGCTCCATCTCTGAGGGTAATGGAGCGGAGAACAGTGACGAATTGACTTCTGCTGATCTCGAAGTTATCAAGAGACGCTCGGCTACCCAGCCAATTCCGAAAAGAAGACTTACACCTATTTTGTCGAGGCGCCCAGTTTCTCGTTTGGACCCCTTATGGACCGCCTTCGAGAACGAGGAGCTTGATAGAGCTCAAGATGCATTACAGGAAGAGTTCAAGGATTTACAAAAGAGCAGAAAGAAGGCTAACCGTGAATCGATGATTTCCGTCTTGAATGACGACGAGATTGACCGGCTTTCGAAAAATTCTGACTATGATACCCACCACCAATTCAAGCTCCCCGAGCACGAGAAAGAAGATCTTGATTTGAGCGCCGAATATATGTCTGAGATCAGGAAGTCTAAACTTCTTAATTCTCAGCTTAATATTCATGGTCATCTAAAAGACACTGAAGCTGGAACGAGAAATAGCTCCAGTGCGAAGAAGGCCGAAGAACGCAAGACTCTTATTGGCAGCGTAAATATTCCTAAGGTTACAAGAAAGTCAAGCCACTTCTCAGCATCGAACAAAAGGTTGTCAATCCTCACGATCAGATCCACAAAGGAGTCATACCACGATTTGAACAGTATTTTGGATGCTCATAATGAGGACTTGAAAGATGAAGATTTTGTTGAGGAAGAGCAGTTGGCCAGTGGAATGCCTCGTTTGAGAACCAGTTTCGCTGACAGGTTGGACCAAGCCAATCTTATTGATGAAATTGAAGAAGAACCGTTGGACTCTGGTTCCATCATGGACTTTGACGAACACTTGGCCAAGAAGCGTTCTTCCTACTACGCTGGCGCCAGACCAAAACGTGACTCAATGCTTTCTCCAGTTGTCAGGACAGGAGAATTGGATGATGATGAAGTAACGTTGAAGGGTCAAAGAAACAGTGGCGACAAAGAAGCAGATTACACCTTTAATGATGAAGAAATGAAGCCATTGCTGTCGAAGCAAGATGTATTCGACAACATCAAGTTGCCTGAGAAGGAGATCAACAAGACTAAGCGTGTTACTAGCTCTCAACCACCAGCTTCTAGTATGCTACTACCAGACTTGAATAAGGTAGGTCAGCAGAAGGACGTTCCAAGAACGAAACCTTATGGCCAGATTAGCAAGGAGAAGGAACAACGGCTGTCAGCTAAGAATGGCAAGCAGCCATTGTTGGACTCTACGAACTTGAAGACGAATGCTCAGGAGCCCACTCAAAAGCGTAATAAGTCGTTCTTCCGCAAATTATCATGGGGTTCGAAGAAATCTTTGGAAGATGAGCCTCGGCAATTGCCTTCCCCCGCCGATTCCAGAGCCAATTCTGTTGAGGAAAAGAAGGGAGGCTCGTTTCTCAGGTGGTTCTCAGGTTCACACTCTTCACCAAGTGACGTCAAAAGATACAAAACAATTTTACCTAAGCATGAGATGATGACAGCGTTATTTGCATTGTTGAACTCGTGGTCTAATTTTGGATTGAAGAACTTGCGTAGAGATAATGTGGGCTTCAACATCACAGGAGCTATTTCGAGCAACAACTCGTTCAACATGAAGAGTTGCAAGTTCAGAATAAAAATTAACCAGAGAGATAATGACCAAAAGTCAGAATTGATCTGTGCCAACATCAAGGGTTCCCTGGCAACTGCCGACATCTTGTTCAAGGAGATCCAGAGAGTGTTGGAGAAGGAAGGTGTTTTGGACAATTAGCCCCCATATTTATAGAATGTAAACGGAATATGTTAATTATTGTATTGCTATAGACAATGCCACAAAGAAGAGAAGAGCTCTTACGTAGACAACGCCTTGATCCTCTTCTTTAGAAGCTTTCCAGGATTCAATGCAAAGAAACACTTCTCGTCGATCTTGATACTCTCTTCTCTAGAAGTCTCTAGTTTTGTTTTGGCCACCACTATGCACTTTTTAATCGTTTTGACTAGTGTCTCGTATTGTTCCCTCTCTGGATCCACTGCTTTCGGTGTATCCACATCCTCTTGCTTGACATTGATATTTTCCTCTTGTTTAACGTCGCTATTTTCTTGGGATTTAACGACATCTGACATTTCAAGATCCTCGTTCGCCTTTCTAAGTTCTTCTTCTTCCAACTTTACTTGGATTTCCGGACTTTCCTTCACCAAACCATCATCTTCCTGCTTGATCTGGCTTCTTTTAAGCTCCTCTCTTTTCATCCTCTCCTCCTTCTTTCTTTCCTCTCTTCGCTCCTCCTTGATGGAGTCTAGTGTCGATTGCTTCAAGAACTTCCGCTTAAGATAGTTTTCTGTGATTTTCTTATCCACGTCATACATAGCTGCTAGAGCAATCTGAGGAGGAGTGTAAAGAAAGGAAACTTCGCTCAACAAAGCATCATCATTGAGCCATTTCTTCGCATTGTCATAGAGTGCACCGATCTTGTCGATGGTCAAGTCCCGTAAAACCGGTTCCGGATGTAAAAGCACCAGCTGGAAATCTAGGAAGAATCCATAAAGCGGACGATACGGATGGTGGACCAAAAGAGTAAATTTGAGAGACAGCAACACAATAAACTCCAAGTCCAAGATGTCGCTGGGCTTTGTTTTAGGTAAGCGAGTACAGAACGACTCGATTGACACAAAGTAGTTCTCCAGCTTGGCAGCTAAGAACACGATGGTATATAGCACGTTCTTTGGTCGATGTTCCATAACAGAATTAACCAAGTAGAAGCGCTTGAAGAATGCCATCGCCGTGGCCTTAACCTGCGTCGGCATATTGAAATGGCTACAGATCTGGATGATTTGCTGACTGAAGTAATAGAGATACTTCTGTTCCTCGTCAAACGAGACCAAGCCTGCGATCTCTGCGGTCAATTCGGCGCCATGGACAGCAAACACCTCGGGCTTCTCTGTCTCTAATGCAGATCTAGCACTTTGGAACTTTTCCAACGCCACCAGCCGGCCCTTTTCGTTGGTCTGCATCTTCAACTCCTCGAGCTCATGCTCTGTGTATGACCACACACGGTATTGTGATGATCTCCGGTAAAGTTCGTCTGCAGAGACGTACTTCTTGGGAGGAGTATCCTGCTCCTCTGACTTCACCTCTGGTTCTGTCATATGTGGTGACGATGAGTTGATGATGCTAGTTAAGATGTAGAAGTCCAGTGCAGGACGAGGACGACAGGAACTGTTAGACTATTCCTGTAAAGCAGCTGAGCAGAACGCTAGATAAGCATATGAATATGGCGAAAAGGACCAGATAGAAACAAAGATACAAAGAAATCAAATTTTGACGTGGAAACTTATTCAAAGAAAATTAATTCCTTGGAATTACGTGCTTCCCTATTGCGAGAGCCTATAAATCTAACACACTAATAAAACCTACAGGTCATCACTTGATGTTATGCAATTGGACTTGGTCCACTATCGTACATATACGTTCCTGACCGCTTCAGTAACATTAGACACCCGTCTATCCTCTTTACATGATTCCCCACACATCCTCACATCCGTGGCAGAACTTCGAGCACGCAACAGATGCAGACAATGGATAGTTGGAAAGTCCGATTTTCTCATCCACATACTCGTCAGCAAAGTTATCCTGGCCTCTGGCCATGGCACCCACAAACACACATATGCTCTCATCTTCATCCAAAGTCTCCACGTAGTCTTGCACTCTACGGATTTCTGCGTCGAAACTCAAGGTAATCTTACGACATTTGGTAGGAAGGTGGTCGGTGATTGGGTTCTTGATGACTTTCAACAACTTTTCCTCAGAGTTGACTGACCGGATGGAAAGCTTGTGCAAAAGTTGCACCATCAATCCAGAAAAACGCTTGAATGTACGGGGGATTCTCACTGAAGGGTTCACCTCGATCAAAACTCCACGTGCAGTGTGGATGAACACTTGCAATTTGCCGGCCTTGTTGATTGGCGAATCCAATAAAGTTAAAAGACATTGATGGGTGATATCTGGTCTAGCCTCAGCGATATCTCTGCCCATTTTACGCAACAAGCCCTGATGGTCGTCACAGTTCAATAGAGCATACTTATCACCTCCCTGCGAGCCTGTGGAGATCTTGTGGGTCTCCAAGCATGCCTGGGACAAGACAACCACAAGACGACGAGTGTCTTTGTCTTTTGAGGTCAAAGCTGCTGGTCTGGAGGGGACAAATGATGCAGGTGGCACGGAGGCAGCCTTCTTTCCGTCATCGCTGGCATCTGGTTGTGACTTCTTTGTGTCGGTCATTTTTGGAGGAGAAGAATTTCTTGAAAAGGTTAGTTAGAAATTCTTAGGAGATGGAGGTCCATATATGCACGTGACAGTATGGAGGTGGGGGTTGTGAGATGGAAAATTTTTAGCACTACCGGCATCACCCTCGGAAATGAGAAGATTAGTACACTTGCGGCACGTGATGAGATGAGTTACCAAGGTGTTGAAGCTGTTAATCCAGTTGTACGTTCCGGGTGTACATGGGTGAATTTCGGGGTAAGAAATTTGTCATTGGAGACTGGTTGAAATTTTTGGATATTTCAAAAGGAAAATTGAATTGATAGTGTCGTAAGCCCAAATTATACTGCTCCTTTTCAAGATTTTTTACCCTTTCTAATCCCTAGTCAATTCGTTTTCGTATAGACCTTCGAATGGGTCTGTTTTACTATGTACTTATCGCATACAGTACAATATGCTTCGTGATAAGATCACGTCTGGAAGGACACCAACCAGGCATCCAGCAGGTATTCAGAGTGTTCAACATTGCTTTGGGACGCGTCCTGGCCATACATCTATTTGTTTGCAAGCATTCACCTCACTTTGTGGGGCAATTCACATTTCCATTGTCACTATAAGTTGATCTACTTGGTTTGTCATGTCTGAGTCCAGCTTTGACGATGACGATGAAGAGCTCATGGCGCTCATCAGAGCTACACAGGCTCCAGCAGCTATAGCAAATTTAGGTCCTCATCCAACTGGAAATTCAGCAAATCCAACAAATTCAGGAAACCCAGAAAGCTCAGGAATCACAGGAAACACCATGAATGGTAATAATTCAGGTCAGATCCTACCAAATATGTCGGGTGACCTCATACGAGCACAAGGAGAGATCTCCATTCTACGAGCACAATTGGAGTCGTTGCAAAGTCTGAAAAACGAGGAAATTCGCCGGCTAAATCGAGAGTATGAGAACGCTCAGAGCCTGGCCCAAAGCCATATCTCAGCGTTGAAGCAACTGGTGGATAAGCTTGAAGATGAGAAGAAGTTTCTAGGCAATGAGATTCGCTCACTTTCGGCTGCCAAGAGACGTAAAGTTGCGACTCCTTCTGGTCTGATTGTTGAGGTGGACACGGACAGACATGACGACATAGAAGTATCAGGTCCGGAACCTGAAGTACTGAAGCCATTAAAGGCGATTTCTGGCCCTATCAAACAAAAAATTCAGCCCATAATCTCCATTCAAGATGACTGGTCGCTGTTTTGTCTGCACATTTGGAATTACACCATTAACGGCAGCAGTCGGTCCAGTGTCGAGATACTATCCAGAATTTGCACAGATAGAGATGTCCATATCAGTCCTGAGTTGCAGATTGACGCTTGGACACCCATTCTGGCAGCGATTTGGAACTATCTCATGTTGAAAAAGGACTTAAGGCTAGATAAATTGGTTCGCCAGTTCTCGGAGCAGATGGTTATGCTAATAAAAAGCCAAATTTCTGAAAACAAAAACAGACGCAGCATTGTTGCTGTGCCTTTCATTACTTCGCTTCTCCATGCGTGTGTAAATTTCAAGGTGTCTGCCGTGGACGAGCACTTGGTGGTTTACCTTGTGCAAGAAATGTGTGGTATTCTGGCCAAGTTTGTGTTTTTGCTCCAGCTGGAAGACGAGGAGGAGTCATTCTTGGATCACCATAACGTCACCTACCAGCATAGGCTCCTCGAAAACTTCACCCTCGTTCTGTGCTTTGATATCTTGGAAGACGCAGTGTCGATAGCGACACAATTTGGCCCAAAGTTCGTGTCGAGAATCTGGGAAAATACCATTGATACCCAATTACTTCTGAAAATCTTGCCAGAAAACAGTGAGAGATTCAAGTCGGTGGCCCAGATCAACCTTGTGTACAACTACGTGGAGATGCTTTCAGCCTCGCTCAGTTCTGGAGGTTTCGCAGCCAATAAAGACCACTTTAACAAGCTGCTCGTTGCGTCCTTGATCAAAGTTTTCCTCATAGATATCTCCATCAAGGAGGATTTCATGTTCTTCGGCCTAAATCGAGCCTTGGGCAACAATGAAGATTTTGAGCGTATAAGTGCTTCCATTCCCACAAAAGCTGACTCCATCTTCAGTCACTCGCTCATTGCCACTGCATTACCGGTTAATCCACCCAAATCAGAAGAACTTCAAGGCTACCATGTGGTTACTAAGCATCAGTTCCACTTGCTCAGTCTCCGAATCCGCATTGTTAATACGCTTGAGTCATTGGTGATTTCTGGATCAATGCATCTTTTGAACGAGAAGGAGAACCTCAAGTCGATCGTGAGAATCATTGCGTTTGAGCAGAATGCCATGATGCACCAGCCACGGTCTCAGTTCATCCACATGAGGTTGACCATAGTGGCAGTCCTTGTTCGAATCTTGTATTACATCACTGATGAACACAAGAACATTAATACGCTCATTTATCCAGAAACGCTCTACGAGATTTTCGTGATACTTATGCGGGTGGCATTTGGATCGGATTCGCTCTCTCTGGGTGCACTTAAGTTACTTTCAGAGATCCGAGCTCGAGGCTTCACTGATGTTGGAGTCTTCAACAGGTGGTGCGAACAGCGTAGTCGGGACATCAGTCACATTAACCTACATGAGGCCAGTGGAGGCAAGTTTGGAATGCTCAGCGATGCAGAGTGTAATTTTGGCAATGGGCTCGAGTTCCCGTACGAGCTGGAAACTATAGAGATAGCCAGAGAGATCTTGGGGGTCTGTGTGAACCACGATGAGGCAGACAACTTGTATTATAACATGAATGAGGTCTAGAGTACAATTAAGGTTGATAAGGAAAAGAAAAGAAAATTGTTGTTGAGAAATTTTTGGTTCTTTTGGTGGGAAGTGTCATGAAAGATTTATGATTGCCATGTTTGCAGCGAAATGATCCGTTGTAGCAATTGAGTATAAGCCCAGTGGTAGAGGAACGCCGAGACCTTGATGTATATAAGGAAATTCACTCGATGAATACATTTTCTATGTTTTTATTCCAAATCAAAAACGCTCATACACATCCTTCCAGACTACTCCATTACAATCTTTAGCATGTTGTTTTGTATTAGTTACACATTGAAGTTCGTGACTTAAGCAGACTCAGCCTTGATGGAGGTCTGGAAACCGTTGTTGAATCTTCTGGTGACGTGCTTCAAGTAGGCCATTCTACCGGTACCGGTGGTTCTTCTTCTCTTAGCCTTCAAAGCCCAGTTGTGAGATCTGATCTTGGCAGCTGGGTAGCCACAAGAAGCACAGGTCTTCTTCTGAGCGTGGAAAGAACGACGACCGCATCTCTTACACAAAACGTGAGACTTGTTGTGTCTCTTACCCATAGATGGAGTACCCTCTGAAATAGTTAGTATATGGACATGATAATCTCTAGAAACAATGGAAAAAAATCGGGACAAAAACTGACAGGGACCATGGAGAAGACCCACTAAGCAAGAAGTTGATGCCGCTAGTGGATAATTCTCGCCAGTAGTTTGTGATTCTTTTTCATGGGATTCAACGAATTCAGAATCTTCAATGATATGGGATGGAAACTCAAAACATGAAACATTCGGAAACACTGGAACAGAACCATGGCGAAGACTCGCATCTCATTGTATCTTTAACACGAAAGGGTTTTTACATACTACCCATGTTGACTGATGATTATAGATGAAGATTGAGAAGACTTGAAATTTTCTTTTGAGAAGTGAGAGCGTGAGTGGGAAAATTTTGCTGGGGAGTGCAGACAGTGCTCAGAAAGCGAACACGTGAGAGGACGATATATTGCGAGGGCTTGTGCCCTAGAGATATGGAGTTCGTAATAGAGGGAATTGGATAGTCATAAAATGATAAAAAATAACATTATCGTGAATGATAATTTGGAGTTTTACCTGTAGGTGTATGAGCATAATGGATTTCGAAGCTGCTTGAGTATTTTGGTGGGTCTTTGGTGACATTAAATGTAAGTAGATAAAATGTTTAGGAGCATTGGTTAGACTATCAACTTAGAGTGGTGGGAATTACTGGGAACTAGAGAGATGAAGATATAAGAGAAGATGAGTATATGATGAAATATTTCAGTGTATTGAGAAAGTCCAAGAGTTTTTCGCTCATTCTGACAACCTCAGTACTCAGTTGAATACTGATTTAAACGTGAGAGTATATTAAAGAGGCCAAAAGAAATATTGCCAACGACTAGACTTGTCTAGTGTGACATGAAAGCGTCGGTTTCTTGAAATACCGATTTAATCATGTAATCAATATTCTCGACCCTCTTTGCTTATTTTTGCTGTTTGTAACGATGATGATTAAATGTTCGGATCTCGAATTGTTTACCATGTACGAAATCTCCATAGAAACATAAACTGTCAATATGATAAGAATTACGGTACGACTCAAAAATCAAAACATTCATTTGAAAAGATAAAAATAGAAACCAAATACCATTGATACTTTCTTGATTAAGATCAATTGAAACGTCTCCCTTGCTCACCATGCTAAGTTCAATCACTCACTTACAACTCCCACTCACCTGTCCCAACTACTACATCCACTGGTATCACTTAGGTGAATATAGCTTTACAAAAAAATGAAAAAGAATGCGCAAGCCCGGAATCGAACCGGGGGCCCAACGATGGCAACGTTGGATTTTACCACTAAACCACTTGCGCTGTTCTATATGCCTTCTTCTAAACTGGTTTTACTAGTTCAGTTCAACAAAAGGAAATATCTCAAAATTCTCATTTTTAACGCTCTGCTCAACAATATTGACTGGTAAAAATTCGCTCAAATATTTTTAATTGAATCGTTATCACCTGTCACTAAATTACATCCTTTTTAAATCTATCAATCTTTTCTCGCATTGGTATCAGCCCTAGAGTCACGTGTTATAAATACACCGTGCCCGCGTCTGTTTGTTTGTCTAACATTCGCGCTATACGTGCTTACCATCTATATCACCTACTACCACTTTAAAAAAACCACCATACTCTTCTAACAAATCTATCCTCGGAAATATTATGTCCGACTACCAATTCCCTCCCTCGTCGCCCGTGCTAAACGCCGCTGACTCGGACTTCGACCCCTTTGCCAGACCGAAAGACTCTGTCAGGGGAAGATGTGAGTATCCTACTCCAAACCCATCTTCTACGGCAGGAAGATCCTCTTCTCCGGCCAGACATGAGAATGATCTCGCAGATGAAGAAACTAATGCCATTTCTCCGGTGAAAATGCCGTTTTCTGGCAAGTTTAGACAGACTGTTGATGTTCCTATTGCCACCAGAGAACGCCGCCCCACAGTGTCTATCAACAGAGATTTCAACATCTTGAACCCCGACGCGTCAGTAATGCGCATTCCGCTTGTTTCCGGCCAATCGCAGCTTCTTGTGGGAAGAAGTTCTAAGTCCTGTGACTTCCACATGAAGACCAGCGATAAAACCATCAGTAGAGCACATGTTCTGATCAGCTACGATACGGAGTCCTTAACAATTACATGCTTGGGCTACAATGGGCTCGGAATGATTGTTCCACGTGTTTGCCAAGTCTCCGAGACCGGTGAGAAGGCGTATGAATTGCGTGAAACTGGCAAGCCATTGCAGGCTACAAATCTCTCTAAAACTATTCACTTGGACTACCAGCACACCGAGTTTCACGTCAACAGAGGTGAGAAGGTGCGGATGCCCCGCTTCTCAAACGTTTTGTTGCAGATCAGAGACTTGGTTCTTCTTGTCAATCCTGACGACTACGACGAGGAGGTCACTGACGATGAGGAGATTGAGTTGGTAAAGCCAGTGCTTCAGACGTTGCCACCTCCATTGCAGGCCATTCTGAAGCATCAGCCACCAGCTGTGACAAAGCCTCAGCAGGAATACGTCCAACAAACACCTCAAATGGCATCTAAGAAAACACCAATGGCAGCACCAACGGCGGCTCCAATGGCAGCTCCAACGGCAATACCACTTGCTTCTCCTATGAAGAAAAAGACTGCTTTCACAACTACGTCTGTTCTCACTCCCACAAATATTTCTGCTGAAACCCCAAAGACTCCACGGAAGCCTTTGGTGCACATTCCTACTATGGATGAGTCTACACCTTCAAAATCCAGCAAGGAGCCTATAGTCATTTTCCAGGATGCGCAAGAGCCCAAGGTACAACCTCCCAAGAGATCGATGACTCCATTGTCAAATAAATCTACCAATTTGCTTCACACTCCTCCAGCAAAAAGAAGAGCTGCCAGTGAAGAGCCTAGTGGCAAGAGAGTCAAACACGAGCCAAAGCAGGAACTTGAAAAGAAAACCGAGCCCAAGAGGGATGCAGAGGGTAAGCTTATCATTGACGGAAAGTGCATTCAGAATATCTCGAACCTCAGCGAAATCGAAAACATTCTCATCAACCATTTAGCATTCTCAAGACTTTCGTCTACACCGGCATCTTTCTTGAACACAATTCTGGCGGCAGTGTCGAAGCTTTCGCTTGAACAACTTCGGTCGGTTCTTCATGCTGTTGAATGCATTGGTGTCATTTACAGACAAGGTAAGGATGCCGCTGGAAAGCCATTGGAGGAAGAGTACTACTACGTGCCTGAAAAAGACCATGACCCAGAGAGAAACAAATTGGTGTCGCTGATTAAGGGTCATGGTGGATTGAGAGCATGCAGAAGAACTCACAAGCAGTACTACTGGAAGAAGCCAGCCCCAATCAAGAAATAAGCTTGAGTGTGTAATATAATCGGAAAACTATTGGACTCATAATACTTAAGCTTCTGTTTTGATCTTTTTAACCACCATGTCTGTTTTAATCTTTCTTTTACCTGAGACCCTTTCAACCTGTTCAACTTTCACAACCTGTTCAACCTTGCCCACGTAACTCTCTTGCTTAACTTCAACTTTCATATCAGCTACCTCGTGCTTGATTGCTTGGCCATCAACCTGATTAATACCATTATTTAAATCAGAAAGGTCTGCAGCAAACATAACCAGCTGGGCCCAACCAGCATACTCGCCAAACAAGTCACGCAAATGCTGTTTGACTTGATTGTATGCGATTTTGTTCATCGTCTTTGGGCCCTTGAACTTATAATCTCTCACAGCTATTTGCAAGACGTGAGTGTCCACAGGAACAACGTCATGGTTGTCAAGACACATGAGACTGATGCAGTCAGCCACTTTGGGCCCAACACCGCAGAGTTCAATCAAGTACTCGTGGGCCTCCTCGCTCGTCTTTGAGCGAAGTTCCCAAAGCGAATCTAAGGTAATGTGAGGGTAATTTTCATTATCCATAAACATGCTAGCAGTTCTTTGAATGTATTTTGCTCTATAGCCAAAACCCAACTCACGAAGTCGGTCTTCAACCTCGGGTTTTGCTAAAAGTTCGGGTTGTGGGAATGCGTAGTAGTTGACTCCATCATGCTCGTTAATGAAGGTTCCATATTCGTGGCACAATGAATGGCACATTTTGGAGATTCTCTTCACATTATTGTTGGAAGAGCAGATAAACAGCACTACAGTTTCCCACGGATCTTGTCTGAGCATACGGATTCCAGGAAATCCAGCAAACGAAGTGGTTTTGGAGCCAGGTCTGCATTTCTTCTCAACCTGTGACCACTGTTCGTACAAATCTGCCAACTTCACGTCAAGATTGAAGTAATCAGCGATGAACAGAAGTGTTGATTCGGGGCCGTTTCTATCTTTGGAGCTTTCTGCCAATATATAAGCGTAGTGCAAGTTCTGGTCATCTTGTTTGAGAAGAATGATTCTGTCTTTAGTGGAAAAGCTCCACACGGAGTTGACATTGTTCCAACGAAAAGCTTGGCCGCATCGTAATACTCGAGACAAGGAGAGTTCTTTTGTGGAAAGTGGAAGCGATCTCCAAACAAGATCAACTGTCATTAGGAAGATGGAGAATGAAAAAAGACAGGTCCTATCGCGTCTTATCGCACTAATCGGGTAAATAGGTTGCAGGTGCGATGCTGATCAGTAAGAGAAGAGATGCTTGCCGGAAGGATTCCACGCATTGACAAGAGAACACGGGCGACTTAGTAATGAAAGTAAACTAAGGGGAATGAAACGTTCAAATGTTGGAGTTACAAGATAATTTTCACTTCGAAATGATGAAGAGTTGAAAAATGAGAAGAATTTTTGGAGAGAAGCAACTTCCACCCTCGAAGAAAAAAAGAAAAAAAGAAAAAAAGAAAAAAGAATTACGAGAGGATAGTTTTCAGAATTAATTGACCGGGTGTTCGAATTAGTACGATCATGGCTGTCACTTCCTGGTTCACCAGACCTAATAATTATAGAGGACTGCAGGCACACGTCCTAAGATTATCTGTTAGTCAGCTATTGATCCGACAATATCTAGAAATCCTAAGGAAGAGACTTCCGAGTTCCTTTGAGATCCCCTGATTACAATTTGTGGCGTGAATGGAGGAGAGTTGTCCAATATGCTTCAAGGCGTTCCCAGTGAAGTTCCTAGAGCGGCACGTCAACTCATGTCTTGACACTGTGGAAAGTCTGCCAAGTGCCGAGCCCCCGAGACTGGAGAGTGCTCTGGATGGAGTGGAAGAGTTATCAATCGCTAAGACTACCGATAAGGTCAATGCTTTCGCTGCTTTAGGTCTAAAGGCTGATTCCAAAAAGTCAGATAAAGGAACCAAAAAGGATGGAGCCAAACTTACTAGTATTTTGATCGCGGAGCGTAAACTAAAAAGAAAACAAGAAGAATTGGAGAGATCAATCAAGAGGAAAGCTTTGGAATTGCAATCCCTGAAATCGCCCGCAAAAGAGTTAGCCAATGTGATTGTCACTGAAACGCAATCCTCAGGACCTACACAATCCAGGAACTTGCAACAAACGGTCCCTTCAAGTCCAAAGGAGTCTCAGGAGATTCCAAATACTCAAAGTTCTCCAATTTCATCTACACAGAAGTCTGAGGCACTCCGACGCAGTCAGGAACTCATGCAGTTTAAACGAGAAGCAGAGCTTCCCTTGGCTCAAAGACTACGACCAAAGACGCTCGATGATTTCTACGGACAAGAGAAGCTAGTTGGTCCAGATGGGATCTTGACAAACATTATGCACGCAGAGCAAATGCCATCGTTCATATTATGGGGAGTTCCTGGGGTTGGCAAGACTTCTCTTGCCAGAATTATAGCATCTTCGTCAAACTACCGGTTCGTCGAGCTTTCTGGATCAGAGAGCAACACAAAGAAGTTGAAGGAGGAGTTTGCCAATGCTATCAATGAAAAGAATCTATCAGGGAATAAGACTCTCTTGTTCTTAGACGAGATTCACAGGTATAACAAAGCCGTTCAAGACTTATTACTTCCTGTTATAGAAAAGGGCGTGGTGACTGTTATTGGTGCCACCACAGAGAATCCATCATTCACCTTGAATAACGCGTTACTTTCTAGAATGCATACCTTTGTCATGGAGCCATTATCCCAAGATGCGCTCGTCAAGATTCTTAACAAAGGATTGTTACTTGTGAACAAGACAAGAAAGTTTCTCCATCGTTTGCATCTTATTGCAATGAACAAGGAGGCTATTGATTATATCGCCAAATTGAGCACTGGAGACTCGAGGGTTGCACTAAATATATTAGAGTCTGTGAATGCTTACTTGTCTGGATTGAGGTTCAGAGCATTTTCCGATAAAGAACCGGAAAAAGAGACAATAGAATTACCAGCGAAAACAGGTATCATCAAGATTAACTTAGAAAACTTGAAACCTTTGTTGAGCACGAGAAACTTTCACCAGATGTACGACAAGGTGGGCGAGAATCATTACGATACCATAAGCGCGTTTCACAAGTCAGTCAGAGGATCCAATGCAGACGCTGCTGTGTTTTATTTGGTCAAGATGCTCAGTGGAGGAGAGGACCCACTCTTCATCGCACGAAGAATGATTGTAATTGCCAGTGAAGATGTGGGACTTCGTGATTCCTCGTGTCTTCCTTTTGCTATCTCGGCTATGGAAGCAATTCAATTTGTGGGAATGCCAGAAGGTGAAATCATTCTAGCGCATTGTGCTGTGAAATTGGCAAGAGCTCCTAAGTCAACCAAGTCATACCGTGCATTGCGAAATGCCCAGAGCCTTTTGAAAGAAAACCCAGATTTTCGGAAGCTTCCAATTCCTCTCCACTTGAGAAACGCTCCCACACAATTAATGAAAGAACTTGGTTACGGTGACACTTACAAGTATAATCCAACATTCAAGCATGGACTTATTAATCAAACCTTCATGCCCGCAGAGGTGAATGACATTAAATTCGTTGAAGATACACACTTGGGAAGTGTCATTGATGATGAGGTCAAGCAAGATAAATATGACAAGGCAGATGAGGTTGTCAAAGATTACAAGGACTTCAAGGTATTCCAAAGAGATCAAATTAGACAGGAGAGTGCAAAACGGAGGAAGGTGTCTCTCCAGAAGACCAGACAGCTCATTGATCATTCCAACAATGACGTGGAAAGGATGTCTAGCTACGATGAAAACCTTCCGAAGGACTACCAACCTGATTACTTCGATGGTAGCGAACGAGATAAGTATTCGGACGAATCGGATAGTAACAATAATTTCGAGTGCTCTTACGATGAGTTTATGAGTGAATCTTACATTGGACCTGATGAGGCGGATTACCCTATCAATAACTGATTCTAAGATTCTAAACGTGGGTATATCTGCTTGAGGCAGTTAGGTCAAATGGGTCATGGTAAGGAAACCTTAGTGCCTCCCGCTGTGTGTGACTCAACTGCCTGGGTACTCCAATAGCCTGAGGCTGAATATCTGGCTCGGTAATGTGTCCGTATATGAGAATACAGATACCGATTGCAAGCATGAGAAGCCAGACGCCAATGAAAGAGCTGGAAGTCAAAAGTTCTACTTCGAGGACTTTCCTGTATTGTTTTATCAAGTATCCAACCGTGTTCAGCTTTCCGAGGTCGGATATTGAATCATAAACCGAGTCCACAGATGTTGTGCTGATTCTATGGAGATTCTTATCGGAAAACGAGGTTAACTTCAACTGAGTGTTGGAAATAAGCCAACCCAATCCACTTTCGATGCTGTCTAGCTTTCGGCCAATGGTACAATAGATCACGGTTTGGAGTGGAGCAGCGAACGGTGTAGATCGAAATACTGAATCCACGGTATTGTTAATAGCAGTCTCAGCATCAAGAATAGTACTGTAGATACTTGTGGTGACGCCTTGGATGGGATGCAATAACCCTGTATTAATTTCGTCCTGTGTTTCGTTAACATATACTTGTGTTTCGTTGATCGATCTTGCAACCAGATGCGCAAGTACAGACCTGGTCTCGTCCATGTTGATACTTTGCATAAAAGGTTCTAAGTTTGTCTCAATGTAGTTCAAAAGGATACTCTGGAGTCCATAGGCCAAAAATCCACAAGATCCAATCAAAAAACACCTTCTAACTGTAGGCGTACTCATGTAGCACACTAGCCACTGAAGACGAGGGTCCCAGTTCTTGATTAGCCTGTGAAGTAAGATATTCTCATGTTCGAAAATCAAATTCCCAACTTGCACTTGCTTTTGTTCACAGGCTAAAAGCTTAAGCAAAACGTCTTTCCGTTGCCAGTTGCGGTGTGCTATCCATATGGAGATGCACACACTAAGGAAAACACCAACAGCAAGACCTATGAGGATGTAATCGGAACATTTCCGAGTCCTTGAGATGACATTCTGGAATGACGCCTCTATTTCTAAGCAAGTATTTTTCAAAACATCAAATGTTTGGACACCGTTGCTCGAAAGTTCAAATGTGGTGTTCACTGAAAGTTGTTTGACATGGTTGTTCAACAAATCCAACGGTTGAGTGACCATACTGGTCAAATTCGACAACACAGTCTCAAAGTCTGGAATATCGTCTGTCAAATTCCTCAAAGTATCGACAAAAGTGGTTGGAATGGTGATGTTGCTCAAAGAACGAACGTTCAAAGAGACAATATTTATAGCATCGGTAACGGAACTAGAATCGTCCAGTGAGAACAATGACTTTATAGCAGTCAAAGAGGCACTGAAGCCGTTTATTAGTATGGATAATCTTTCAAGAGCAGTGTTGATCCCCTTAGTTGCCAAATTGATGGCATCTTCAACGGTTTCTGTGATGGCACTGACTGTGTCAGTGATGATTTCAAGAGTACCATGGACGAAAGCCGTGCACAAGCAGGCCAAAGTGCCTAGATATAATTCTATTAGCAACAGAATGACCCCCTTAACTACCGTGATGCTCATGGTGAGAAGTAGCTTGATAATTTGCACATTGGAGTTCATGGCATACTCCACAGCTTCTCGTGTAACATTGTTGACTTGCGACTGAGTATTTAGGACCATATCCAGCATATCATTCATCTTCCAGCAGCCATATATTGTTGCCTTCTCTGTCGATGCAATAGCAGCCAAAAGTGTTTGCGTGAATAAATATACTTTCACCATGAGAAGTGCCATGGCCACCACTAAGTCTGATAGCCATGTCTGAGTAAGACTCTCATTGAACGTGAGATATTTTCTCATGATAATGGTGGGTTATTTGGAGATAAGTTTGAATTTAAAGCAATGAAATGTATCACATATGTGTGAAACAGTGGCTAAAGTAATACTGGCATGGTGGTGTAGAATCATATGATGAAACAGTCATGAAGTAGACATGGACAAAAGGAGTGAGGAAATTTTGAAACGAGACAGAAAACATGATTATTTTATGTCTAATTGTGAAATCACATATACAAAATTACAATTTCCTTATCACTTTTTTCGAGTTGATAATGATTTTGGATTTCTCCTTTCGTTGCAACCACTTTATTCGCACTGAAACTCACTGGCCCTATAAAGCAACAATACAAGCGTATTGAAACAGATACTTCAGAGTTGGAAAAAAGTCAAAAAAAAATCGTAAACGAGATCATCCATTTATCAGTCAAATTTCTCAGATTTTGATGTGTTTTATTTTTTTCCTCACCTTCAACATCCCCCACATCCACCTTCCGATATCTTCTCCTGTACACAATTCACGACCTATTCATCAGCAATATCAAAACAAAAATTCTAACTTCATCTACTAGCTATGTCCGAACAGCCAAAAGAAGAAAAACCAGACAGCACCCACATCAACTTAAAAGTCAGCGATGGAACTGCTGAGATCTTTTTCAAGATCAAGAAGACTACTCCTATGAAGAGATTGATGGAGGCGTTCTGTAAGAGACAGGGTAAGTCCATGGAGTCGTTGAGATTCTTGATTGATGGTACCCGTGTGTCACCAGACAACACGCCCGAGGACTTGGACTTGGAAGATGGAGATGTCATCGAGGCTCACAGAGAGCAGGTCGGAGGTGCATTGTGAATAGAAGAATGGAAGTCTGTTTAGGACGTCTGTAGGGAGTAGCGACCGTGAGAGGCAAATGATTATCCTCATTATTGTTATTACTTGTGCCATTGGTTCTCTAGATATTTTTGATAACGAATGCTGTAGGTGTTTTATTAGCATAATTTACACTTGTTTTGGTTTCTGAGTTGTAGACATGGATATCACGTTATGCTATAATCTTCATGACCTCCGATTCTTCGGATTCAGTCACTAAGTGGGGGAAAAAGTGGTGATCTGTCGTGGAATTGGAATATTTTGGTTGTGAAGTGGTCGTTATTTGACACGGAGGCGGAGTCCTGAACATCAAAGTGACGAAGTGAATGTAGAGTCTTCTTAGAAGCTTGACGCAACCATATCAGGTGCTACGGAATTTTCCGTTTTGTTCCCTCTATGAATCAGCCCGTTTTGAATGTCTTCCTAACTAAGATTCGGTGATTAGTGGTGGCTTTTCGAATCGTGACACGAAGCAAAAGTAGCTTATTCAGCGATATTGATACTAACAATAGAAATCATAAATCTGTGGATTTGAGATGATGCACTCCGACTCTTCTTTTTCGAATGGATAATAAATTTAAAATCCACGTGGTTCAATCGATCATTTTCATAGGAGTTAAAGTGATGGAACCCAGAAATCATGTATTCCACATTCTAGAATTTTCTGATAATTGTAATCAGCTCCCAGCTGAAATTCTATTTCCAACATTCTGATTAAAACGAGGTTGAAAGCATTTGTTAATGATGTTAGAAGGGTTCGGCGGCCTGATCTAGAAACTGATAACTTATTCTGCCTTCTGATTCATTCACCTCATTCACCTCTTTATCTGTTCCAGTCTGAATCTCTATGTAAAACGTTCTTAGCTTAGAATTGGAAGTTGAAAAAATCAATGAAACTAGGACTTCAGGCGAGAGCTCTGACAATGTCTGGCCTAATAATGACATCGAATCCAAAGTAGCTTCCAGTTCATCTCCCTTGCAATTAATAAAGTTCCACAAGTACAAGTAGTCACCAAAGACATGGTTCTCCTTGGCATACTCTAACAACTCTACTGCGTTTGCCAAATTGTCAAAGTTATCGTCGGTATAATAATTGATATGCGGTAAATTCATCCATTCAAAGGCGGCAGGAAACGAGTATCGGTCGATGTTTATGCTACCACTATTCCCTGTTTTGACTAATTCACCATCCAAGAAACTTTGCAATCTGCTTCCGTAACCAAGGTGACTTCCAAGGCAAACAACACTATTAATAAGAAAACTAAGCTTCATTGGGTACGAGAGCCAACAATGGAGAAGAGTGACGAAAGTACAGCCCAAATCCAAAAGAAACAAAAGAGCACGAAAGATAGTAAAGAGCACAAAAGGAAAAGAAGAACACGAAAGATTCAAAAGAGCACGAAAGGGAAAATTAAAGTATATGCGAATGCAGACTTCGTATTTCGAACTTTCCGAATGCAAGGACATAGCCACGCACAATAATGAAGTTGCGATGAGATCGTATCATCTATAGTACTTTGGTTTCAGAGTAGATTTGGACTCCAAGTCTATATATATTTTTCCATGGAGTATTAATTGGGCACTTAAAGGCAGTTGCATTCACATTCATAGAAGGTATATTATGGTGGAGAACTGTCAAGAATAATCCTCTCATGGAACTTAAACCGTTAGTATCCTGCATGTCAATGCAGGCTTGCCCGATGCATGGCAACGTGTGGTGTGGGTATAAAAAGAAAATCATCTCGGCCAAAACTGACCTTATTGATTCTCACTAGCATTAAAGTTTAGTCTTTATTTTTTTTCTCTTGACTCTTTAATGGTCTCTCAATTCTGAAGAAAGTGCACTCGGAGACCCTCAACGATTTACATGCACCAATCTGTAAAACGTGATGGTAATGTACATTAGATGAAGCGTGGCTACATCTTACGTATACGGAATGCGCTAAATATCAGTGGCTGGCGATTACGAGATGAAGTACATTCGGAGTTAGCCATGGCAAAAGATGCATAACATTTCAGCGTTGCCCGGGGCTCTCGATCTGTCAATATAATTAAAGAGTTGTAAGATTGGATCTTTCAAATGACTTCACAATATAAAATCATTCATATGAAAATAAGTGTACTTTGAAGCCGCTTTAGATGATTTGATTGCATGTAGATGAGCTGGTAATCCACTTCAATGTTGATGTATTGAAAGTTTGTGCAATTGGTCTTATTGCAACACCCTTCAAGTGCTGACTTAACAGATAATTTGCCGGCATGGTGGTTTTTCGTCAACACCATCGCGACCATTACCAGTACGTTTTACGAAGTTGTCCTGTTCAGACTGCACTCTTACCACCATTTGGGCTGTAGTTCTGGATGTGGCTCTTGTTGCTTCATGTGTAAAATTTTTCCGTTTGCTTACCTCCGGTTCACTTTTACCATTTTCGTATGATTATGTAGTGAGCCGTGCATTAGTGCTCAACCTTTTAGTCTTTGGGTCGAGGCTTTGACAGAACAATTAAAAAATAATTTCAGCTTATGATTGAGCGTTATTCTTACCTTCAATAAATGAAGTTCAGTATATGATAAAATAATCTTGTTCTAAATGAGGCTGTGTTAGATACAAACCATCGGGTAACCAAAAGGAGTCTTAATTTCTTTCAAAAGAGCACATGGTTTTAATTGCGTCTCGACATTTCGATTTCCCCCCGTAAAAAGTGAACTCTACTTGTTTTAACAAGGTGGTTTGGGTAAACGGACTGTGGATATCAAGACTTCCTCCATCATAAGCATCGACTGCCATATTCCACATTGATAGTTGTGCTTCTGTGCTTATTCTAAGCCATTGCTAAATGTCCAGTTTCACTATGCAAATGTTAGACCACACCTCACTTGGTATCAGGAATATTGTATATTTCTTGCTACTGACTGGCGTGCTGCGCTAACTCTATCTGCTCTGATGATAGCTGGGTAAAAGTTTCGAATATCCATTTGATACAATAATGACAAGGGGTTCCTTCAGCGTGCTTCTCTCCCTTTTTTCCAAGAGAATTCATGGATTTGTTGTCTACGTACTCATTCGTAGACTTTCTAGAGCACATACACATCATTGAATAATTCATCTTCGTATTCATAACCCGACTTGGATTACACATATTGTCTCGTCTAAGAAAGATTCTCTCAATCTACAAGGTTGTATGCTAGGTATTTGTAAGCCATCATTACATTTCTGGATAGTGAATGTTATTTCGGCTAAAGTAAAATCGATTAGGAAATAAGGAACGTGGCTATGATTCATTCGCTTATTTATTTGCTGGTTCTTGTATGCTACTGTGGCCCTTCTCATATTTTCAATACTTTCATCACAACTCTAGTCTTACCAGCGACTTCAGTTGCTATAAGCTCGCTTGTATTATCAAATCCTGTTTTTTTCCTTCCGCCAATCCTGGTGATCATAAAATCATCTCTTTTCCGATCGTTCAGTGTAATTGAAAGGAGTTCATCAGTTGCTCGGAGCCCGAGCTAGCTTTGCAGCAAAAATTTTGCTTGATGTCTGAACAGAAGAATTTCGTTGAGTTCAATCGTTGAAACGGCTAACAATACCGTATCATCATTTCTTGCTCTCTCTGTTATTCTTTACAGGCAATCCTCTTGTTTACGCCGCTCAGTTAGTCTGACCTAGCGTGATCACTCCTGTTTTCAGAACTGAGACATCAAGCTTGTTCAATTCTACTATGCTCATGGAGTTTTTTCAATACAGCTTCCTCCCTTGAAAGACAGTTTTTTGAACCGACATAATTCCAGTTCCAGTCTTCTTGAAAAAATAATTGGTGTTCAATGCCTGATACTCCTTCATCATGATTATTGCCAACTCCATACCCGTTCCGATTGTCCTGCTCTACAATCATATTCACGACTGCACTATAGTATTGTTTTAGCTTCGCGTTAGAAGTAGAGTTAAGCAATGTGGGCAAAAAGCTAGGAGATAAGAGTGTCACCATTACAGCCAATTCAGACATCAAGTCTAAGTCACCACCTTCACTTCTACTCGTGAACTTCAAATAATTCCACAAGAACAAGTAATCACCGTACGCCTTGCTCTCCTTGGCGAGCTTCATTAACTCAATAGCTTCTGCAGGGTCGCCAGGGATGTCGAGTCGCTGTAAAATTTGGTGTATTTTCAACACACGGAGAAAATAGTGGCCCTCAGCGCTATATTCCTCTGGTCTGGATAAGTCTTGTTCAATAAGGCGTTGTAATCGGTGGCTATAGTTGTTGTGGATACCGAGGCAAACAGTCACGGCAAACAAGCAAGCAATTCTCATTTTCAAGAGATAATTGTGGATATTGGTTACCCAGTCCAATGGTAGGCGAATGAATGTCAAATGATGGACGAAGAATTAATTGAAAACGACGCTCCCAATGGCGTTCATAAGTGTGATCGGGTGCTCTGGAATGGTCGACGAATGAGGGACAAACGATAAATGCTGAAGGAGCGACAAATTAAACGAAATAGATGAGTGGCAGTAAAGTCTCAGCGGTACCAAGTATATATAGAGTAGGGAGATCAATTTATTAATAGTCCGGAACTCTGGCCCATCAGTGCATGGTGTTGGCTATGCCCCGCGCATACTCACGCTGATCACACGTATTTACACTTTCGTATACTCCCACTCTTCTTGAAATGCTCAAAAGAATGAGCACTATGAAATACATTCTAGTGGTGGTAGCGACGTGGCATTATTGGCATTGGTTGTTCTCAGAAACGAGAACGGTCCTCGGCTCCAAGGAAGATCTTTGAACATGACTAAGGAGGGCTGGAGCTGCTAACCATTGCAGACGTCAAATCATTTGACCAATCAGAATAGCAAATGGAAGACGAGTCTTGGGGTTCAGTTTGGATTTGGTGAAGCTAATGGCTGTAGCTTCAGCTATTGATTAGGTACTAATCTGAATCTTTAGGTAAATTGGACATAGATTGTGCTTACTACTGCGTATCTGTTCACATTTGTTAACTCTCATCAACCCCAAACGGCTCTAGAGATGGCTAACCAATTGGACTCACAGAAAAAGTGACAAACCACATAGGGTATGGTTGCAGAGGCGAATTTCAAATTCTGCATCCTAAAATGGAATGCTTGAGAGAGTAAGGCTGTGTGCACAAAGAAGACGCGTGTCTTGAAGGTTGAAGAAGTGTAGGCTGATGAGAGGTTGTTGATCCATGTGACAAGGATCAAATGTGAGTGCTACGAAATTTCACGTCGCTTAAATACTCTTTACCTACCTTTGCTGAATTCTCCAATATTCTTTCAGTCACTTCACCTTCTGTGCTATTTTTAGGTTGTAGTCGACTGCGCCTTCAGAGTCTGCTAGGGCTACCTCTACGACGTAAATTTGCTTTTGCACTGTAGAATAATGCAAGTAGCGTCGTATTATAGGAAGTCAAGACGTTGAAGTTTCTTGTCTTTTTTTTTTTCTGCTAGTATGGTCGGGGCTCAGCCATCGTACATCCTGCAAAAAGCTACATGATGACATTAAATAAGCCTCCTTATGAATACTAAGAATACACTACGTCATTGACCTGGTACCATCTCCACACTCAACAATTTAGTCCACTTTGTCTGCCCATTTCAATTAGATTTCAACACAGTAAGCCGGGGGAATGAGGAAACTAACCGTTATGAATTTCACTTTTAGTCTTTGAGATGCACCTTTCATGATTTAGGATATTTTCCCAGAGAAGGTAGTTCATGCATGTAGATCTTCCAAGTCAGTGAAGTCCCCATCTTCATTACTGTTCTGTCGTAGGTATCTTGCCAGGTCAGCAAAGTTTAAAGGAATAGATCAAAGAGAAACTTGTATTGTATCAGTAACACAGCCAGTTATGCTAAACTGAAATGACCACCTAGAGAACAAAATTATCGGAATGCTACCTCTGCTGAAATTCCTCTAAAGAAAACTCACCTACGTTTTCTTGTAGGTACATCTCAACCTTTTCTAATATCTATGTATTTTTATAGTTCTTCAACTGGTTTGTGCCTCGAATACTGTATCCGCAACCTTGATACTCCATTCCCAAATGGGATCATTGATATATTGCACAGATCCGTCAGAATTGAAATATCTCAACTTGTGGATTTCAGTGGCATCCCACTCAATATCCTTTTTGAAAGCCAAAAAGTCAATATATGGTTTCAACCACTTGTTAACTATAACTCTTTCTTCCTCAGTATACCCTTCTCTCATAGCATAAAACCACACTGTGAAATCAAGAGCATGCGGAACCTTGTACTTGATATCAAGATGTTGGTCTAGCCATTTTGCTCTGTATCCCACTCTGTAACGGAAAATGTTTTCAACAGGAAATCCGTGCTTGACGAGCTGGTTAAGAAATCCACGAGATGAAGCATAAACTTGGCCATCTGAGATGATTCGACCATACAAAATGCGAAGGTTCTCTTGAAATCCATCATCATTCTCGTCCAAAGGCTCAGGCATGTATAAGTCAAGAAGTGGCTGTACTACCTTGGCTGGATAGTAATTGTGGATCTGAGTCCTCAATTCCTTCAAGCTGTTTGGAGTGTTAAGAAGCGAGTACTTAAGTGGCTCGTTGTCAACCTCTCCAGAGATGAACCGGATATTCTTGGCTGTGAGCTTCTCTGCCAATTTTCCTGAAACGAGATCGTCTATGATACCCTCAGGAACAAAAACATTGTCTGTTACTGCTCTGAAAGTGTGAAGCTCCAAGGTTGGAATGAAATCTTCAATGTATCCAGCATCAAGTTTTCTAAGTGCCTCTAATTTTTCAGCACCTGAAGCATTCTTGTCAATCCCAAGCTTGCTAACTATTTCGTCAAACTGCTCCTGACACTCATCAATTTCCTTTGGTTGTGAGTATGGCGTGTTGGATTGGAATACGATCTGCTTGATGACCTGGATAGCATCAGGGTGGTAAAGCTCATACGTGAGCTGGAAAAAGGCAGAATATGCACCAGCAGAGATTCCTCCCACGGTGATGAAATCCTCATTTCCTCCAAAGTACTTGATATACTTGAAAACCCACTCAATGGCCATTCTTTGGTCCCAGAATCCAAAGTTGGAGGAGTCATTGCTCTCCTCTAAGAGCTCCTTGCAAGACATGAAACCAAACATGTTGACTCTGTAGCCAGGAATAACAATGATGAACTTCTCATGGAATTCCTGGTCATCGAACATCTCGTTAGTGTTGAAAGTTGGCAAACTTGGAGATCCGTACTGTAACCAGCCCCCATGGATATAAACTATTACTGGCCATCCTGAAGCAGGCTTATATTTGTCTGAAGAAGGCACCCAGATGTTCAAATGTTGAATGTGTTCATCACTAGGAGACTTCACATATTTGAAAGCTGGATTAGGCACAGCTGGTTGTGGGCACTTCAATCCAGGTTCAAAATATTCTCCGGTGTAGTCATAGTCCTCAGGAATTGGAAGAGCCTTTTTGAAGCGATCCTGGGGTCCCACAGGAAGAGCATAAGGTACCTTTCCAAATCTAATGGAGGATATAGTGTTTGTAGTGGATGATCTCAACCCGTAACCTGTCAAGATGCCTTGGCCCGGGATGGTAACCTGTGATGTAGTTGATCTCTCTGCTGAGACTGCTTGACCCATAGTTATGTTTTTATGATAAGAAGTTTCGTTAGCATTGTAAGCAATAGATATATATCCACCTTCCGGAAATCATTCACCGGACAATTATGCCACTATGGACTAAGACAGGGAGAAAACCATGCAGAAAGCCGTCAAATCCGGCATTTGACATTTGACAGAGAAGTTTGATGTAATTGAAGACGTTTGGACAAGAAATTTTTGACGAGGGGTTCAAGTAGAAGAAGAAAGAATATCGGGATTGAAGGAGGATATTACTTTTCTGTGGTTTTTCAATAATGGCAGAATTTTGATTTTGGATGTATAGGTTCACAATCTCTATCTATTCGGAAATCATAATCCGGTGCAGTGATACGAAAGATACAGATAAAATGTAACATTCACACACTTGTGAATTTCATGGCCCTCCAAGCACTCTTTTGTTGAACTTTTTTCACATTAATTCATTTTGTTGGATACATTTCGACGCTGAACGGTCTTTGGGTAATCCTGATCCCATTGAGTTATCCCGTTGAGTTATCCCATTGAGTTATCTCAACGTTCCCATAGAAAACTTCAAGCTTAAATCGATAATAACCTTTTTTTTCTCCTGATTAATTCAATATCTTTCATCCTGGTCCAATTCAACACACCATTGACTGCAGTCATCTTCGGAACTGTTGAAATTTCAAATTAGCTCCTCCAAGCTCCTCGGCAAATTCCATGTGTCTTATCAGTCCCTATCGGTCCCCTCTTATCTGTCTCTCCATGTCCTGTCTCCATGACCTATCTCCACTAGGGATCCTTGTCCCCAGGTATTCAAACTTGAGCAGCGCACATCCTCGGGTGAAATCGGGGCAACATGAGCTAATCCGATGGAGCGACTTGTGACTTGTGGGGGACAGTTCATAGTTGAGCCAGGAATGCCCGGATGTGGCCAGAACTCGCCAGTCTCTTGAGTGCGCAATTATGTGTGAAGAAGTAGCCAAACTGGCAAGTGCTCGCTTACATGGAAACACCAAAGGAAATACAACTCCGAGCCAGTTTTTGTGTCCAAGATGGATAAAATAAAACAAAATTATGGAATATTTGTCCCGTGAACAAATTGATTGAACCAAATTCCCAATCCCCAAGAATGTTAACCAATTGCTGTCCTAAACTTCCGGGAGAGTTTTATCTTCGATAAGGCACAGGATGCATATGGCCAGTTTGGGAAGACCGCATCAGGTCACGAAACGGAAACATATAAAAGGCGGGCATTCGCTGGGTCTCACCACACAAAAGCTTTTTTCAAATAATTGTGAATATCATGTGTATGACTGCTATCTGTGGAATCTGCCATAAAAAGTCGTGGACGGGTTGTGGCGCTCACGTTGCCAGTGTAATGGACGTAACTCCTCAGGAAAATTGGTGCACCTGTTCTCCAATTGACGAAACTGAAAGTACTAAATACCCACCTCGAGCTGGCACCGGTTTCGCAAGGTCACTGCCTCCTAAGTAGGTAATTGGCGAAGCTTAATATGTCCTGGGGATGAATTGGCTATGGGAATGGAGTAGGAACGGAGTAGGAAGGGATGGAATGGTATTTGATTTATGGACATATAAATCGAAAATGACATGCAGATAATGTATGCAACATGTATACGCCAATGGTTTTGACCAGAGAATCTGGTGAGAGGTTTGGCAATTGTTTATAAGAGAAACTCAATGTATAAAGTGAAGAAAATTGAATGTTTAATAAGAAAAATAAGGATGGGATATATCAAACCCTTATTTCAGCAATGAAACCAGTGAGTGTGGGTCGTCGTAGTTTTGAATACCGACGACCTGTACCATGAATGATAATAGAAACTTAAACTCCCCAGACCAATTGACAATCTCGATTCACAAGCCGCATAGATTCCCCTCCAAGCCCTGCAGTCTGATCATTCAAATTCATCAAATTCAATTCATCCACTCACATGCCTAGGTCTGAGGGTGGACGATAGAATGTTTACACCCGTGCACCAGGCATTCAAGTGGCAATAGCATGAGGGAACCTATAAACTGAAGGAATTGGATCCATCGAGTAAGTCGATGGAGATGCTCCAACAGTCCACTGGTAATCGACCAAAATTCAGTAAACATCCGTACATCCTTACCCATAATTAGCCCTTTTACACTCCACCTTCCTTTTCTTACTCCACTAATATTCCATTTCCATTCCTCTCGTCTCCACACCCGTACACCGAGAAAAAAAACCCCAAATCCCACTTTTCGTCTCCAGATCTATGAGGTAAGTGGTCCCCAGCTTTTTCGCACACACGCCCTCCGCTATGTGCAGTCCCGTCATTGCATTGCTTTCAACTCGTGTTACCTGGATATTTAGGTCACTTAGACATTAGGGTTTACATCAAATAGAGCCCTTCGATTACATCACTTTAATCTCAAATAGAAGAAAAGATATATCCACTTATCACGTGGCTTTTAATTCTCAGCGATTCTATCATTCGATGAGTTTGAATGTCCCTGACTTCCTTGGCCCGCCGCCAGGTTCCAACCAAAATCATAAGTCTAACTCCTCGTCTTCCCAGAATCCTTACAAGGAATCTTCACCTGCCAGCAGCGGATTCCCCAACTACCAGGTACCGTTCGGCTCGCGTGACGGGCTGCGGCCCGAGTTTGACGATCTCTTGAGGTCCAAACTATCCACATTAGAGAATGACTTGGGCTCGCCCCAGTCCAGGCCTTACACGGGACTGCCGCTCTCAACAGGGAATACTAATGGTGGCAATATGTCTGGCGGCAACGGCGGTGTGTTCTCGCAGCACAATGCACCGCCATATGGAGGGTTTGGTGCCTACAACCACCAACAGTTCGATGCGTTCAACCTTCCCACCGAGTTACAGGGTGGAATCGGCACTATTTCGTCGCGGCGCCCATCTTTTGCTGCAGAGTCGTTTACGCGAAGTCATTCGGCTAATGTAAACAACGCTGGCAACTCAGGCTCTGGAGTTGGAGGAGGAATAGGCAGTGGAGTAGGCGTAGGCGGAGCCAACAACTCGTCGCTGTCGAAAGGTTCATTGGCCACGTTTGCTGCCGCAAACAACTACTCCATGAATGCTTCGCGCCAAGGTGTGTTTGGCTATGACCAATTGGCCGACCTGTTTCAGAACTTCTCGTTAAATGCCAACTTGTCTGACTTCCAGGCTCGCCGCCCGCTGCAGTTGGCGGATCACCCACTGGTACCGCTGCACGCGTACAACACGCTTCCACAGTTCAACCACTACACGTATCCACAGCAGCTCCAGAACTACTCACAGCCCCAGCTGTTTCTGACTCCGCCTCGAAATGGTCCACTGGAGTTCTCCAATCCAGTGAACAACGTCTCGCCGCTTTCTAAGGCCGCTGCAGGTCCTCCTGTGCTACCATTCAATAGCCAGAACATGAGTCTGGGTCAGACTATGAAGCTCGACAATGGCCTCTTGTTAAAGGACCAGTACATTATGGCCTCGGCTGATTTGAAAATCATGTACTCCTCAGTGCTGCGTTACTTTCAAGACACGAGCGTTAGTAAGGAAATTATGGAGAAGTTGCAGCGCTTGCTAGAGAACGAGGTGGTGGTGAAATTGATCACCTTCATAAAGAACTTGAACAATTTAACCTTCAATCACAAAATGCTTTGCTTGGTCATCAACAAAAACGGAAAGTTGGATTTGTTGTCTTATCCCAGTAATTCTAACATCTTCCTCCAAGAAGAAGACTTGGTGATTGTGGACGGGGACCGTGGTAAGGATTTGGTGATGATTCTTGCGCCCTTAGTATCACTAAACATGGCGATATTGTTCAACTTCTTGAAGAAGATTGAACATTTGAAGTCGCTTACCATCACAGACAATAGTGGAGGTACATCCGTCAAGAACAATCACTGTGGAGGTACACACTCCACATCTTTGAAGGCGTCTTCCATCATCAATAATCACTCCAATGAAGACAATGAGTTCATTATCACTCTTCCAACCAAGCAGGTGTTGCGTTTTGCAACCCCCAAAGAGGTGCTGAAGTTGAGCGGCAAGTTTTTGGAGGAGAAAAAGGCTTTCATCACTTGTTTCAACAAGATCAAGGAGCTCGGGTTAAACAATGACTTGACCTTGATTAATGTGGAGTATCAATGCGATTTTAAGAAGTTGATCTTCTACTATTTCGCGAACTTCAAGAGAATTGACTTCAGAGGGTTAATTAAAGAATTGTTCAAAATCTACAAAACACGCATCTGGCTTTGTGCGGTGTTGCCATATGACCGGCCAGACTTGTACACCAGTAATGGGATCGAGAGTCCAAAAACCACTGCACGGGGTGAGATTCCACGCGAGTATGATTTGAGCAATGAGCAAATTATGAACTTCTCGGTTGCTGAGTTCGAAAACTTATCGCTGCCCAGCTATTTCCACCTGAAGAATATGCTCAACTTGATTGACTACTTGGGAGTTGAGGTGAAAGGAAACTTCTATGGATTTAATGTGGAGAATGACGGTAAAGCTAGATCATTTGATCCATTTGGTGATGAGAAAAGAAAACACTAATGACGACCTTCTTAGGTAATTTATAGATCAATTATGATAGACATTTCACTACTGAGGTCAAGTTAATGATTATAGAATGAAAAAAAAAAAAAAAAAAAAAAAATATTTTAAATTCATTCCAAAATCAAAAGACTGTATATCTCTGGACACGTAACCTTGTACTGCGAGAAAATGGTCACACGAGCATGTCACGATTTCATATGCTGGCAACTTAGCACATAAGACGATGTACGTCACTCCATTTCTAGATCTCATTTTATCTTTTGCCTCTTTATCCCTCTTCTGATCCTCAACAATTTCCCATCCTTCTATTATCTAGCATCCCCCACATCTTCCTGCACCCATGTCGTACTCCAACCTCTCTCCAATATCAACACTGTCCAGTCTCTGTATATCAGACCCTCCAACCATGACTCTAACCACGTACCTCAGACTGGAGAAGTTTCGGCGCTACATTCCTGACTGGCTCTGTGTGGGTGTTCTCTTCGTGTTTTTTTTTCTTGTTGCTGAACGGTCCAGACCTTTCAATCGTCAGTTCAAATTGAGTGACCCAACCATTCAGCATCCGTTTGCGGTGGTGGAAAGGGTCTCTGGGCCGATGTGTCTTATCTTGGCGGCCACGGTGCCATTGGTGGTGATGACAGTGGTGACTTTCGTCAAGCACAGAAACCAGAAGGATCATGCATGGCATGTTCTCCAGGTGTCGCTTTTGGGGTCGTTTTTGACAGTTTGCATCGATGGAGTTGTGACTGATATCTTGAAGAATTGGGTGGGACGTCCTCGGCCCGATTTCTTGGCTCGCTGTGGGCCCATTGCAACAACTCCACTTGATACCTTTGTGGGCATTAACGTATGCACTGCACCATTGGGAGATCGGGCACTTGTGGATGGAATGCGGTCTACTCCCTCGGGTCACCTGTCCATTTCTTTTTCGGCATTCTTGTTCTTGTCCATGTGGCTTTTCGGTCAGTTTCAGCTTCTGCGTAACGTCTCGACTAACCCGGTCTATTGGTACTTGTTCGCATTCACTCCGCTCCTTTTGGCATTCTACGTGGCTTTGTCTAGGGTTCAGGACTACAGACATCACTTTGTGGATATTATCCTGGGAGGCATGTTGGGATGTACGATCGCTGTGGTGGTGTACCGTAAGTTCTTCAATTCGATCACTGGGCCCAAAAGTCACGAGATTGTTGGCGAGGAGGAGCTGCCTATGCTTCCTATATAGACGTTCATTGGATGATATGGATATTAGTGTGGGTGAGATTTTGACTATCTTTTCTGTTGAATGTTTTTTTCTGTTTTGTTGAATGTTGCAGATATTGCATTCATCTCCATGTTCCATGCGTGCGATTCGCAGCTATTGAACCCTTCAATGTATCTCTGGACAATTGGAACATTAAGGATTTGAACTGGATACGGTTTTGTTGATATATGGTTTCGAAGTTGAAACCACATCAAGCTTGAAACGTTCTGCATGTCGACCTTCGTATGTTTAGTCAAACCTGAAACGTTCTGACAACTTTGATACATTTTGTCAACTTTGAAACAGTTTGTCAACCTTCAACGTTCTGTCAATAGTGAAACATTGTCAGCACTCAAGCATCACCAGTCAACAATGAAACAGATCATTTTGCCTATTCGACCTGCCTACTTAAGCAGAGGCTTCTCCTCTATAGATACACCAATGGCTCCTGTTGACACTATTGTTCTCGTGGTGACTACCACCCAGACAGTTGCTCCCACTATTTCTCTGGACACCACAACAACTCAATATGTGTACCGTACGGTGGTAGCTTCTCAAAGTGGAACTTCAGCATCGGCTCAAACCGCCATCGCCTTAACAACCACATCTACATCTACATCAAAATACATATCTGCTGCTTCTGGTACCAAGTCTGCCTCTTTTTCTGCTACCTCTCCTGTTTCCAAGTCCATGGCTGCGATGCTGATGGCCTCCGTTTCCTCTACTCCAACACTTCCTGTCAATGTCAGCACATTCTCAGAGTCTAGAACTTCTAGCAGCAAACTCGGCATGGCCATAGGCATTCCTATGGCTGTTCTATCCTTGTGCATCGTTGCTGCTGTTGCATGGTCTTTCTATCATAAGAAAGCAGCCCAATCAGGTAGCTTCATGACAAGTAATCGTAAAGAGCCTGAACTTGTTGCTACTATACCCCAGAGTTGGTCCGATACTCCACAGCTTCAAATCCCAGAACGCAAATCCGGACTTTTGAATAGGTTGAGTAGGAAGATCAATTTTTCCGAATGGCCCGGTTCACCTAGAGAATTCAAATCTCCGTTGTTCTTGAGAAGGTTCCACTTGCTGAACGAAAAAAATCGGGCATCCGAGCCTGAAAAGGTGTTGCCAACTCTTCCAAACTTATCACTTAATAAGGTTGATCCTCTAGTTGAAGTTCCACAAATGAGTCTTGTTGGAAAGAAATTCATTGCTGTCAAACCATATGCTAGACGACTAGGTGATGAGCTTTCCCTCTGTGCTGGAGAGGAGGTTACTGTAGAGAAAGTTCATGGTGATGGATGGGTTTCTGTAAAAGTTGGTACCAGTCTGGGTTTAGTGCCCATGATTTGCCTAAAGAAAGTTTAAATAAACGTATATTACATAATTGTTACAGATTTTCGTCATTTCGAGAAACGTGCTATGAATTTCAAGTCGTTGTCACATTCGAATTTGATCATAGAAGTACCTCCTGGTATTCACTGGCGTACTTCTTAGTACTTACGCATGTACCCTTGATTAGGGTTCAGAATATACTTTGTTTCACTGTTGCCTTGCTGCTGATATTGCTGGCCGTTCAGCTGCGGTTGCTGGCCATATTGCTGTTGGCCGTACTGTTGTTGGCCATACTGCTGTTGGCTGTATTGCTGTTGGCTGTATTGCTGTTGACCATATTGGTTCTGTGGAGGATATTGTTGGCGAGAAGAGAAGTTGGGCTGCACCTGTGAGTGGTAGATCTGTCCGGAGTTGTCGTAGGAACGAATACTTGGTGAACTGTTCTGTGCACTGACTTTAGGTCTTGGAGGCATGGTGTGTTGTTGACCAACAACTTGAGGTGGCTGTTGTTGTCTTTGACCTCCACTGTATCCATTGGGTTGAATCTGCTGGGATGTCGACTGATATTGTCCGTGATGGCCCTGTTGAGAGCCTTGCCCCTGATCCACTCTCTGATAATACGGATGTCTAGATTGTGGATGTTGCGGCTGTTGCGGCTGTTGTGGCAGAACTTGGTTCTGCGCTCTTTGCAGACTTTGCTGTGCTTGATGTGGAGGCACCTGAGGATGTACTCTGAATGCCGATGTTGGAGCTACCGTTGGCGAAGAATTCAGCGGCTTGCGCTCTCCAGGATACTCTGCCTTGGCGGGACGTTGCGATTGTGTGTGGTAATAGCCCTGTTGAGGTACCTGCTTAGGTGCCTGTTGAGGTGTCTGCTTAGGTGCCTGCTGAGACTGTGGATATGGCACCTGTTCATGTGAGTATGCCAGTGGTCCCAGTGGAGATGGAAGCTGGCCCAGTGAAACAGGCTGTTTCGTCTCGAATCTTGGCAATTGGTTTTGAGAGCTGTTAGGGGACGAGATGTACCGTGGCTTATTGGAAGATGGTGGATTGTTGAGCGTAAGATTCAAGTCAGTATTGGCACGAGACTTTTGCACATTCGAGGGCTTGGAGTTCTGTTGCTGGTACAATTGATTTTGCAACGTTTGTTGGGCTTCTCTGTAGAGTGGTGCAGAGACTTGATTCCCTTGTGATGTCTGACGCTGCTCCGTCTGCCCTTGCCCTTGCAACAGCAATTGCAGAATCTGCGGAAGCGGCGTGGCAGCACTCGACTCTTTATCATATGCACCATGAGCAGGAACCGGAGGAGGAGATTGCGAGTCAGAGAAATCAGAATCATCGCTGTTATCACCATACCTAGCGTTGTGCAAATCAGGTCTTCCTGGCTGCTCGACTGCTTTGGAGAATTGCTGACTGAACTCATTATATTGTGTCAATGGAGATTGCACTGATGAGTAGCTGGAATTTCTCTGGTCATACCCAGGAACCTTTAGTGTTCCAGCATTGAGAGGACCCTCCAGTTGATAAATACTGTCACTCGAACCATCATCGTCCTCGTCTTCACTGTCACTACTATCAATCAAGTGATCTTCACTGTTTGGATAAATTCCGCCCCGCATCAAAGATTTCTTTCTAATCAAGGATGGCAACACATTCTCGTCAATCTCCTCCGCACTTCCATTCAAAATTTTATTACGATCATCGAACTTATCAGAGGGAGTTTGAATCTTGGAATATTTGTGGTAGATATCTGCCAATTGAATAGATTTGCGAGGGTCGTCCGCAGTGTTGATTTCCAAATTGTTGACATTCTTGTTTGCTCCTGGATTCGAAACTTCTTTCAAGCCTTCGCCAGGAGGTAACCGGTACGATGGCGTGCCAATAACAGCGCTCTGTGCTTCTTGGCCGACTTTTGGGAGAGGTTTTCCAAAAGGATCTGGCTTTCTCGAATTGTCGGCCAGTGCAATACGATGGGTTTCGGGATGTTGCAATGGTTGAGAGAGCTTGGGGAGAGGACCAGAAACCAGTCTGAGGGCACGGTTCTCAAATTCTGGGGACATTGGTCTGTTTGCAGACATTGGGCTGCCAATACGAGGGCTGTTCAAGGAGCTTAGAGCACCCAGGAAACCTCTCGAGCTACCACAACCATCGTAGCCCTGTGCTAACTTCAGCAGCAAAACTTTCTTGAATGCAGCTTTCCAGGTGGCTGAGTCCCAAGTTAAATATTGCTGAGAGCCAACCAAAGCATTTAAATCAGACATGTTGAGGTAATGAACGTAAGGCAAGGTAGGCAAGCCAAACACAAGGGACTCTGGATCCATTCTGTCGGCCTTCAATCTCTTTGGGCGTCCATATAAGCCAAAAGCATCAAAAAGCGGTACCAAGAAACGGATCAATGTGTCAAATCCTGGAACTGATGAATGCTGCTCTGGCATAATGAAGATAGAGGTTTCCAGAGCGTCAGCCAGACTCTTCTTTCCGTTCTTGACTGAAGGCAGCTTGAAATTGACTGAACCCTCCAACTTCATGATGGTACTCTTGTCTATGAAAAAGTGCAGCTGAGGATACACGGCAGTGACCAGTGTAGCATCGGTAATGACACCTAGCAAGTTTTTCTTCTTGATGTTCTCAGATTCGTAAAGAAGCATCCGACCCGGAGTGAACACCTTCCTCTTGAAGGTGGAAGGCTCAATGACAGCATAACAGCGCTTCCAGGCCATACCGGAGCCATAGCGGATTTTTACCCAGTCCTCATGATTGAAGCGTTTTTCAGCTAAAATAGTCCTGATGTCAGACAACCTCAGACCTCGCGCAGACAACAACGCGCCAGTATAAGCTTCCTGGAGCTGCAGGTATTCAAAGGTTGCCAACCTAAGAGCCAAGTACCACTCCTTGAGCAGGTCGTACGACCGCAATTGGATGATATAACGATTCTTTAAGGTTGTCAGCACAATAATGACATTTTCAAGCTGCTGCTTGGCAGCCGGAAGCACCGCCATGGCATTGAATACCGCATCGGTGAAGTTAAGGTAGTTTGGCTTGTTGGAAGCCTCCAATAACTTATCTTGTTGGTCTTTGAACTTGGCCAAATTGGAAGCGTCCAAGTACGCCAACTGGTTTCCGGTCAATATTCCGTACACCTCCTGCCACTTGCGGTCGGCGGGCTTGCCGTCGCCGTTGAGGTCGTAATAGAGCATGAAGATGCCTTCATAATATCTTCTGTGGTTCTGGGCCGAGAGAAGCGTGACGATAGGTACAAGTTCTGGGGACACCTCGTTAGGATCTTCTCTGGTGGGCGACGGGTCGCGCACAGGCAGTCTGCTTGCTTTTTTGGGGGATAGAGCTCCGAATCTCATGGTTTTTGGTGTGATTTGGCGAATGAGCGACTGTGGTGGGAAGATCGGAAGTAGTAAGAAGTTTGTTTAAAGGTCAACTGGTCACGAGTCGGACAAAGGATGAAACGAGACGGACGATGTTCTGAAGAAAGCAGGATTCAATGTGCTTAGGAGAAGGAATTGGGTGTTTGATGACCAAGTTGTGTGGATTCCAAACCAATATTCAAGTAGAAAAAAGTGTAGATGGTATAAAGAGGTTCCAGATCGGGGTAACAATAGATCAGCCACCTAGTGCAATGCACGGATATGTGTGCACGACTGCAAGCACCAGTGACCACCAAACAGGCAAAAAACTCAAGGCGAGAGTGTACGGGGGGAGGTGACCTGCCGGTGGGGCCGAGCAAGCGTGGACAGTGGAAGAAAAAATAATGCTGGTGAGATATGTAAGAAGATAGGAGAGACAATCGGGATTTGAAAGAAGTTAAGATTTCAAGAATTTTATATTGGGCATGATGGTAATTTATTTTAATTAATAGCAGATTGTGTGAGATTTGAGAATTGGGATATGGTAATTGAGATGTGGGCATGAATTAATCCAGGACGTGAAAATGTCAAATGTTGAATGCACATGGCAGATCGGGATAGTGATTGGGAAAATAGTGGTGAGGCGGCATGCGGATGGGTCCAATGGGGGGTTTTAGTGGGATCGTCCACTGTGCGAAAAATGGCAAGAGAAATGGGAGGAAAATGCCACGAAATCGCGAAAAGATTCGAGGAGCCAGCTTGCAAATCTGGATCTTGTTTATCCGAGGATTTACAATCTTTTTGGTTTCCATTAATACTCAGTAATTTGTTGTATTTGATATTCTCTCTCTTCAACTTTTTCAATTTTACTTCTTTTCTTCTTTTCTTCTTCCTTCTGTTTCTTAATTCCTTGATTTCTTTCTCTGTTTCTTGTGTCTTTCTTTTCTTGTCCATCTCCTTTCCATTCTTTTTTTTTTTTTTTTTCTCATTTTCTTTTTTGTCTTGGTAAGAGTTAAGTGTTTTCTGACAAGTGGTCCGCCATCTCGGCTAAATCTGCACTCCAGACATTCAACGCCTGGATAGGTTATTGGAGATCAACGTGGGTGAGCGCTTATTGCGCTTCAATGATTTACTCGTTGATGATTTGTGTTTCAATTTGTTTGGGAAATCGTTGAAATCTCTCTCACTCGCGTGATTCAAAATGCGCTTTGGATCTTGACATTTAACGGTCGTAGTCCATGTCCTTTATTCTGTGGATCCGGATACCTCGAAACCGTCCATTTTTTGCATAATTAATTTCTTGGTGATGTTTGGAGCATTGTGAACCATTGGGGATAGTGGAAGCTGTAAGCATCAGTAACTGTTTGCAAGCACTTGCACGTTTATCCAAGGCAGTAAGTTTCATTTGTAATTGCTTCATCCCTCTCCTTTGTTCATCACTACACACTACATCGGTAACCAAATCTATTAAACTTTGCGTTTGAATTCATTTGAAATAGCAGCCAGTCCTTGTTCCTACCACTCAATCTCGAATTCTACTAAAAGTCAATTCTAGATATGTAAGTTCGCTCATAAACATGCTTTAGTTGGGAAACTCGCTAATCTTCAATGCAATGGTATCCAAGCGCTCCACATTAGTACATACTTCTATAATATCATCATCGATTGGTTGCATAAGTTCCAGTTTGACTTGACTCTGTGATTTAATCATAAATAAAAACTTAGATTCACACGTGGAATCACTACAGTCACATATCCTAATCCTTTCTTACTCCATAGAATCTACATAAACCCACTTGTGGTCAACCTTATCCACAACAACCCGTCCATTGCACCAAACCTTCACACAGTTGCGGTCGTCACCAGAAAATACCCACCTATGGATCATCTGGAGCACCTTTCTCTCATGCTCAGGGTCTTGGTCGCCATGCACAGACTTTGAAGGTTTCTGGAACTCAAACATATCCACATTGGAACCATGCGAGTCCAAATCAATAAGCTGCACGTCAAATTTCTTTCCCACAGCAAAAGTACCCACCTCTTCTTCTAATCTGCAAGCACGGGCTCCTCCAGCGGTAGCCATGTACAATGCATCTGCCACCGTCACTCTAGGATCGTAGTCCTTGGTGTCCATGGCCAAGTGATGGCTCACCATAATGGAGCTACGGGCCACTCCCAAGATAGACTGTTCGTACCCACCAGAGATATCTGTGCCCAAGGACACATTGAGCTTCTCCTCGTACAAGTATTTCTTCACGGGAGCCTCTCCGCTGGTGATAAATGTGTTGGACAGCGGACAATGACTGATGGAGCAGTTCTTCTCCCTGATGATCTGGCACTCTTCTTTGTCCAAATGGATGGCATGTGCGAGAATTGTGCTGGGGCCCAAAAGGTCGTGGTCATTATACACGGAAGCGTAGTTGTCGGAGTCGGGGAACATGTCATTGACCAACTCGACCTCATCCTTGTTCTCGGAGATGTGTGTCTGAACTGGTAAGTGGTGTTTCTTGGCCATGGCACCCAACTTTTTCAAGAGCTTGCTGGTGCAAACTGGTGCAAAACGAGGAGTGACGATGGGCTTGACCATCATGGTGTCATTTTCACCAGTGCACTTCGAGTTCAAGCCGTTACAGTGACGAATCACCGAGTCCATGGACTTAATGCACTCATCGTACAGCTCTTCATAAACAGGGAAAGCTGGGTTGCAATCCATGCATACTTTTCCAACAAAACCACGCTGTCCGTTCTTGACGAGCAAATCAGCAAATAAGTTAGTAGTTTCAGCATCGATGGTGGTGAAATACGATGCACAAGTGGTACCATTGGCCAACGTCTTGGAAATGACCTTCTGGTACACCTCCTTTGCGAATGCAAGCTTATCTTTGGAGTTGCTTGTGAATTTGTTTTCCAATGCAAAAGTGTAGTCCTTGAGCCAATCAAGCAAGGGCAACTCGGAGCCGATACCTACGTTAGGGTATTGTGATGCATGAATGTGGGTGTCGATAAATCCTGGAACAAGAAACAGACATGGGAGTCTCAGGAGATCTACAAAGCGAAAGTGGTTGTAGTCGACAGAGATGTTATCCTTTGAAGCTTCACTCTTGAAGAACTCTGTTGGAGATGCCGAGCCGTCTTTGTATGGCCGAAGGAAGTCGATGATGCCTTTCTCGTTGACACCAACAAGATAATCCACCAACACCTCGATTTCACCCAACTTGGGCGTATGTACGAGAGTTGCGTGGTACAAAGTGTAAGGCACAGGTCTTGATGTGATGGTCGGAGGGGATCTGAACAACATGATGTGGAGTATTGGTGGTGGGATTGGTAGTATAGCAATCGAGTATCAATCAATTCAGTGATAATCTATCCAATATTAATGAATCCAGGAAGAATCCAGTAGTTATGTCTATATTAATGACCTCAGTAACGTCAGAGCACAAAAATCCAAATTATTGGACCGGACCAGGTGAAACAGGCTTCTATTTATGTACGCCAGAACGGGTTAGTCCGATTCTATGAAGATAAGAAACCCACGGCACACCGCCGGTGGCTGCGACTTTATCTGCACAGGCAGCAATCTCCAGAAGTACCCCAGTGCCTTCACTGCGTTATCTGTATACACAGGTGCTGTCAACCACGGGTTCATCCCCACTTGATCTGCCACGGGAAGATTGTATATCTGTCGACGGGAAGTTTTTGCAATGAAAGTTGGCGCCGACACTTGGAATACAAATGATGTTTCCTGTTGAATGAAACGCTTACCGTTGTCGGGCCGCCGATGGTAGCAACCTTCCCCACGGAATTGTCACCAGGAACATGACTCAAGTGTCCCAAAAACCGCGCGAATGTGTCCCAAAGACAGGCCGAAGTGTCCCAAAGTCGCAGCAATGTATCCCAAAGCCAGAGCAAAGTATCCCAAACGTGAATATAAGTATCCCAAAGGCTGGAGGAAGTATCCCAAAGGCGAGTGAAAATTTTTCATGGCGGCTATTGTATGTTGTCTTTATGTTCAATGTGAAAAATTATTTCCTCAGTCAATTAATTATTTGACTGCTGTAACCAGTCAACTGTAACCAGTCAAGAGTATTTGAATGATAACTCTATTATTCATTGAAAGTGACTGATGACTCTATTATTCATTGAAGTCACTATACGAGTGGTCTGCTTTTGAAGGCTGATAAGGTAGTTCGTGGATGGATTCAGATTATCGACGGGAGGTTCATATTACATTCTGTCAACTTCATATTCCAGTGTATATTTTCTGGTGTACTCTGTAATTTCTGTTATATTCTCTCACTGGTGTTACATTCTCTCACTGGTGTTATATTCTGAAACTTCTGTTCTATACTGTGAGTTTCTGTCGGTTGTAGTGTCTCTTTCCTCCATTTCACAGTATCACTTCCTGTTGTTTCTTGATCTCCAAATGATTGTGTTCACAGTCACTTCCTAGTAAACTTTCAACATTGACTACCCTCTCAACTTAGACATTTCCACCGAACCATTTTACCATTCTCCCTCTTCACACGTCTGCTTATTCTTCCCTTCTCTTCATTCTACTATTATTCACGTGAAAATCAACACTTACACTAACCTAATTAACTTTATTTAATTGCATTGTAAAACTATTCAACAGTTTTGGGTATTACATCAAGGCTCCGATAACACCAACAACTGCGGCACCGAAAGAGGCTCCGGCCTTGAAGGCTCCACCAGTTGGCACAACGCTGGCTGGTGCAGAAGAGCTAGCCTGGGTGCTGCTGGTGACAACAGTGGTGGCAGGCGAAGATACAGCGGCAGAGCTGGTAGCCTGCTCGGAAGAAGCGGCAGCCTGAGTAGATGATGCAACCTCGGTGGAAGAGGCAACAGAAGAAACGACAGCAGAAGAGGAAGCGACGGCAGATGAGGAAGCAACTGCGGAAGACGAAGCAGCAGCCGAAGAGGAAGCAGCAGCCGAAGAGGAGGAGGAGGAGGAGGACGCAGCGGAAGACGAAGCAGCGGAGGAGGAGGAAGCAGCCAGGCTAGACGACGAAACCTCAGAAGATGACGACTCGGCGGAGCTAGAGAAAACAGAGTAGCCGGAACAAGAAGACTCAAAAGCAGAGATAGCAGTCTTAGCATCGTCGTTTGGACAGATGTCGTTCAAACACTTCTCAACAGCAGAAGACTCATCAGAACAAATGCATGACAAGTCGCTCAAGCTGCTACAGTCGGAACCCTTCTGGACCTGAGCAACACAGGCCAACAAACAAGCTGGAGGGGTGGCCACGACCTGAGGAATGGCAATAGCCAAAGCAACCAATGCAGAAACTTTCAAACCGTACATAATCAGAGCGAGTGGATGTGATGAAGAAAGCACTTGTCAGAGAGAAAAAAGTTGAGAGTGCACTTTCTTTTAGGAGTCGAATTGTGCCTCCCACGCCGGAATTGGCTATAATTAGCCAAATCCAGTAAACAAACATCACGTGCACCACCCACTCCAGCGCTACCCCTGCCGCATTCGGGACTTCTTCCTGGACACAAGCTGGTTATGTGGTTATGTAGGGGCCTAGCCGGAGCTAGTGGGCTGAGATATTTGCCCAGATGATTGCAAAGAAGCATCGTTGCAATCTGCTTTGAGTCAACTTCCAGTTCGTTTTGTGAACAGATAAGCTGAATGTTGTGGCAACTCTACTATGTTAATGAGCTGTCAAATTTCACTAACATCTTCTGTTTGTACACTAGACGAGAAGCTGTAGGCAAAAATATTGATTCGCACCAAGATTCCTGTAAGAAAACGAGATAAACAAAACATTTCAAGATCAGTAAGATAGAATCTCAAATAGTATGTTACCTCAAACAGTATGGAGGCAATACTGAGACAGCAAATTAAGTTTCAATAACAACGCAAATCCGAGAATTTCTTCGCACTGTCTATAGCTTAATAGTGGCACTTAGCCCACTTCCATGATATAATAGTTGCATGGAAAACTTATCAATGCGAACCCCAAGATCAGCAGTAACTTCCACAAATAAATTTCCATTCATGGCCCGACGAAGTATATCCGATCCGATTCCTTGCGAAATCTTAATAGGAATACGAGGACTTTTGTATATTCCTGGAGGAATAAGCATCAATTCAGATCGGTCAATGTACGCCAACATCTCTCCCTTGTAGGATGCCTGGCATTTTAAAATTTCGGCCATGATTTCGACATTCGCCAATGGATTGAACACTGTTATCTCTATTTCCGAAGTCAAAACATGAATAGTAGCATCAATGAGAAAGGGACTTTTCCGAGGTTGTCCGTCTTCGGAATCATCTGATCTTCTACCAACGTCGTCGTCATCATCATCATTATCATCTCCAAACCTGATCACAGGAACCCTTAATTCGTCAAGCTTAATCTGCTCAAGTAATGTGCTCAAAAATGGGTTATTCTTGGATGCTGGCCTATGTCCACTGACACTTAATCGAGTGCCATCAGCAGCAGAAATCACCTTACTGATAAATTCCTCAGCGAAGATTCGCTGCTTTGTATCCTGGCATGAAATTGACATCCAAACGCTCATATCGTAGTCTTTCGCACCTGAAAGAATGGAAACATCACGAACCGCAACTGTCCCTATGGAAGTTCCATTATAAAAATAGTCGAATCTGAGTATGTCATCAGGAACCCTCAACAGAAAATTAAAGGGATTTGTGACTTTGAAGTCCACAAGCAAGTCAATGTGAGTCTTATTCGAGTTCACGTAGAGGATTTCGTCAATACGGAGATCGATCGCCCTAATAAGCCAATCGAGGTAATCTTCACCGTCGTTGTTCATTGAGTTGAACTTAATGTTACGGTGCGTCAACTTTAAATGGCGAATGGTGGTCGAAACAATGGGCAGGTTCAACAAAGCCAGTTCAAGATTCAAATTCCACAGTGGCACGTCAACGTTCAAGTTGTTGAGAATGTCATTGAGCAAACCTCCAACCTCCTCTGGACTCAATACTTGCAATTCAACATTGCTAGCATTAATCGTAACTGTGCCGTTTAGTGAGTTGTCAGGATAATGCAAATCAAAATGATTATTTCCTTCAATCATAACTTCAAGAGTTTCATCGGAATCATCCAAAATGTCAAGTGTTGCCACAACTTCTGAAATTGAAGCGTTGATGTTTGTGGCTTTGAAAGGTAGCTGTAGATCAACAGTCATGTTTGCTGCCATTTGAGCGGAGAGTCCCCTTTTTTTGCTTGGTACTACTATTGAGACTCCATCCACCGTATAGTTCAAGACCAAGTTCGAATAATCAATATCCGATGTTGGGACTGGAGTATCGAGAGGATAAAATGTTGAGGAAAGAATATTATAGAGCCAGGGAGGCAAAGCCTCTTCGTTGGCCCTAGACTTCCGGACCTTTGCTAGAACGCTCAATGTATTTTCTCCAATCAATTTGTTGGTGAACTTGTTGAATGGCGAGAGTCCATCCAGGCAAACTTCAAGCAATGGTTTAGGAACTTCTTTCACATTACCATGAACCAGAAAAACTGTGCGCTCATTCGGTAGAAACTCAACAGCATCTGAGATCCACTCGCCTAGTATTTTTGGCTCTTTCTGGCAATTTGGAAGTGCGATATCCCATTCGATGCTGTTGATCTCAAATTTAAGTGGAAGCACCTTCACTGTAGAAGCGACCACCTCTAATGACACGGATGATTTTCCCATGTTCACATCTAAATCATCGATTTGGATGGGAATTTCCATGTCACCTGGCAGCAACTCAATATGTTGATAAATGCTCATCGGTTGGGTATTATAGTGAAAAAACTTGGAAATGATTCTCGAGTCCACCACCACTTCAATATCTAGTGGCAAGGGCTCCAGGCGGTTAATCAGTGTAAGTGACCGTGCAAATTCTATAATTTCATGCTGCATGAACTCGGCTTCACTGATGAAGTCAATTTCAGTGATTCGGCGGTCTATAAGATCCACGGACAATTCGGGAGGAAAGATATCAAGAACGTGCTTGTTAGGGAGCCCATTAGTGCTGACAAACACCAGGCATTCTCGCTTTGGTACCACGGTCACTCCTCCGATGAGGAGGCCAGCAAGCTTTAGAGTGTTCCTATAGAAATAGTTAGAAATTTGCTCATATTCCACATAGATGGATCCAATGACGTGGACAGACATCCCTGAGTCGGTTACATCAAGTACAGAAACGCTCTGTAGATCTGGCAGCACTGCCTGATTTAATAACGTTTCGATCTGTGAAATTGTGCTTACTGTTATCACACATAATAACACTAATAGAAACACAATTGAAAAAGTGGACCATGGATTCTTCCGGAATAAGTAGTCGTAAATTTGACCTAATACGCTGTTTCTGTTGTGGAAAGTCTCTCCGTCGTCACGCCCACCCCAATTCTCGAGGTCTGTGTAGCCTGCTACACTGTTGGACAAAAGAGGCGAGTGTTCGGAAGGTGGAAGGTCGGAATTGATGGAAACATGAGAATCAGAGTCATTCACATATGCCCCTTGGGTTTCCTGGAGAGGTGTAGAGCTTGCTTGGATGAGATGTGGAGCAATCTTGATTTGTGATGAGACCTCAGGAGCCGTGGTTCCGTCAAGTTGCGCAGAAGGATCTGAGAGCGTAGTGGCCACTATTGGGGCCTGTAAGTCATGGGTCTCGTTCGTTGTGTGTTCCATTCGGTTGTCTTTGTACTTCTGGATTCTCTCGTTATCAGAAACCTCATGATTGAATTCCTGACTACTCTTGCTCTGGCCAATTGACCCATTCTGCTGGGATTTTTGAGTATGTTTCAGTGACCCTTCATAAACAACTGCGTTTCCTGTTGTGATAGGCGCCAGTGCCTCTGTCTCTGCCCTTTCTGGTGGGATTGCTGTCTGCTTGCCTGCCTCATGTGGTTCCTTAGTTCCAACGTCATTTGAGGCTTCATCAGTCGTTGTGTCCACAGCTGTAGCATCTGCAGCGGCTGCTTCTACCTTTTGCGGTCTGAAACCAGGCGACAGGGCTACTTCGGAGTCCGGTCTCGAGTCAGTGCTCTTTATATCGAATCTGTTCTCACCCCCTGAGGATCTCCTCTTGTCTTTCCTGGAAAGCGTACGTGAAAGCGACGATCGAAGTGAATTGGTGCGTGACAACCTCTCGTCGTTTTCCGAGTTGCTGGTCAACTTTTCCTTGACCTTGCTGTAGAGAGAAGGCATTGTAGTGATAGTCAGTCTTGTACCCCAGACCGCGATAAGATGCCTGTGGGCAGAGATGAGAACTTGACGGCGGGAGATCCAGATTTAGCGAGCACGAGCAACAAAAAAAAGGAACTCAATAGGAGTTTGTGAGGATTTAAGGATCAAACAAAAGGTACTGCTGGGTTTTGTCTATGATTTGAAGTTTCAGTGGTAGATTAGTAGCATTGGAGAGATGAGGTAGATGACACCATTGGAGCATACCAGTTATCGCAGAGTATGAACCTCTGAATGAGGTTCAAGTATAAGCATGGGAGAGTAGAGGTAAATATTAGTCGGATGTCATCGGTGGAGGCAAAATGCCAAAAAATTAAAGACGGGGAGAGGTAAATTGAGGTGAAGGTAGAACACTGTGTAGACACTTCCAATCCTTCTCCAGTAAGAGTATCTTTGCAATGATAAACTCCCTAATAATCTTGTACGAGAATTTTTCACCGTGTACCTCTTTATAGTGTAGCAAACCTGCTAGAAATGTAGTCAGTCTGAACCAGGGGCCCAACTTTCTCCAAAATAGTCACAATAGTTCTCACTGATACTTGAGCATGGTCACTAAATTACATACCTCTAGAGAAAATTTCAATGAAATGCTCCATCTTCATCAACCTATCAATGTGGTATGAAATAACCACCACTTCCCAATCGTACTTTGAGGGCATAATGTCTCAAATCAAAGAATACAAGATATGACGGTAGAATACTCAATTCCAAACGTACAAAAGCTTTATACTCACCGTCAATTAGGTATTTCGCTGCTGCAATAATAGCCAAAGCCTGTAAGAGTGTTGTGCCCTCGTCTAAATTCCAACGAACACTTAACTCATAATGCAGGCAACTAGCCGAAGTTCAACTCTTCCTTCAACCTCCAGGACTCAAGCGCAATATCCTGTATCTCTCAAGTAGAATCGGATGAGATGACTCCTCAACTTAGGTGTCTATGCATTGATCATCACTTACCTCAAGTAAATATAAGTATGTTGGCGTTCGTTGTTACATCAACGATTGACAACTCTCTGTCGCTAATGACCCAGGAGTTTCTAGGTAAGCTATAACAATCTGCTTCTCATTGGAACCAACGGATTACATTATCGTGAATATTCTTAACAGAGAGTCGAGTGGGGGCCAATTGATGACGAATGGAATTTTGTGCTAAGGCATCCAACCAAGATGGACTCCAGATGGGGAAGATGACTAGGTTGCATATTTTATCTTTCGTTTCGAACTTCAATCCAAACTACTTGAAACATAGCAACAACTAAGTTTTCTGACTTGATTCAGATACTATTCTGTGGGAGGCTGATGCCACCTTAAAAAGGATGTTTATTGATAATCATACAAAAACAGAACAATTAACTGGATACACAAAAAATAACAAAACAATAAAAAAAATCACCAGCGAATATTGCCCCTCAACAACTAAGGGCAATGAAATATGGTACACAGAAGTCTCTTTGTCTCCACTTAGACATGACCGTGAGCATGGTCATGCTGCTGGACACTTGGGTCAACGTTTGGGTCCACGCTTGGGTCAATGCTTGGGTCCACTGGCGGGTTCAGCAATCCTGGATTACCTGGAGCAGCCTCCATGGCAGCAATAACAGCAACATCTTGTACAGATGGGTGGGAACCATCATCGTGGTGGTGCTGCTGGTGGTGGTGCGGCTGATGATGAAGGTGAGGGTGGTGAAGCTGAGGCTGCTGCTGGAGGTGTTGGTACTGCTGCTGGTGCATGTGGTGGTGGTCCATAAGCTCAGGCTGGTAACCAACAGCAACTGCAGCGGCAGCGGCGGCTGCAGCTCCACCATTGCGGTGCAATGGCTTCTCCACCAAAGTTCTGGTGTACTTAGCTCTCTTCTTCTTACCACCAACCATGGCGAAGTTTGGCTCAGGAGGATGGTTGTGAGCTGGGTGGATCATTCTCAAGATCCACATCTCAGAATCCTTCTTGTCATCCTCGTGGTACGAGCCGTCGAATTCATTTGGCTCTTTCTTCATCTTCTTGGCCTTATCCTTCTCTGGAGGGTACAAGTTGGCAACCAATCTGTATCCACACTTGGATCTCTTGGTGTAAGCAACTCTCTGTCTCTTGGTAGCATCCTTGACGGTGGTTCTGAAAGAACCCGATCTCTCACACTGGAAGTAGACGGCCTTCGGCTTGGAGGAGTTGATGACAATCTTACATTGTTCCTCCTCGTTGAGCACGGTCTTGACATACTTCACCAACTCCTGCTTGCTGGTGAAAGTCTTGATGATGTCACCCTCGCCGTGTCTAGACACGAGGTAACCACCATTCTCGTAGTCAATTCCAGCAGTAGGAAGACCCAACGTGTGCTGGTGCTGAGGCATCTGCTGCTGGTGCAACTGCTGGTGCTGCAATTGCTGGTGCAAGTGGTGCTGCTGCAATGGGTGCTGCTGCAAGTGCTGATGTTGCAAGTGCTGGTGTTGCATGTGCAATTGCTGCTGTTGCATTTGTTGTTGTTGCATTTGAGCAGCGGCGGCGCTCATGTGAACGCCACGGTGATACTGACTCTCGTCGTCATGGTGTCCCATCACGGCAGCAGGGTTCTGGAACTCATGGTTGGCCAATGCAATGGCAGCAGCGGCAGTGTGGTCCATCTGTTGATGGTGAAGGTGTTGTTGTTGAAGGTGCTGGTGTTGGGGAGCAAGGCCCTGACCAGTGGATCTCTCGTTGGAGGTAGAGGGACCGGACATGGTTGTTGTTGTTGTTGTTGTTGTTGTTGTTGTTGGTTGGAAAATTCAAAACACGTGTACGTGTTGGTCGGTGGGTGGACGCCAGGGGGTAAAGTGGGTATCCAGAGAACGGGGAACGAATGGCCAAAGCGAGATGAGCCACGAACTGAAGAAGCTAACGAGGTAGTTGGAGTCTTAACTAAACACTGGGTGTGGATATAATGTATGTCCTGCACAGCTGGGAGGTTTGTTCTGACAGTCAAGTCCTGGACATAAAAGTAGTAGGTGTGTGTGAAGGAGGAAACTGTTGATGTTGCGAGGAGGAGGAACAAATTGTTCGTGCGAATACCAATAAGGTCTATGTGCCGGTATTTTGGAGGTTGACCAATCAAACCATTTGCCACTGGATTTCGCGACGGACCACGCTCAGGTTGTTGTTGTTTCTCTCGCGCCTGGTTGCTTTGGGACATGCCACTGCAGTTTTCGGGACGGTGCATGGGAGGTTGCATGTGTCAAACACCATCGGGGATTCGTGGGAAGTTTCTCCCGATTACTCTTTGGTGGGGGAGAATGAAAGGTAGAATCACCAGGCGAGGTAGCCAGGAATTAACCGCACTCTACCTTAGAAAAGACAGAATAGCCAGGACATGGTCATGGGCGTGTGGTGGGCGGGCACAAACATACGCACGACCAGAAAACAGGCTACTAGCAAATTCGTAATCCACTCGTAAATAGGATTCTGAGTGGAAATCTACAATCGATTCCTGGGTCATAGGTTCTTGTCCATAAGTTCTTGTTCTTTGCTTCCTGTTCTTTATTTCTTGGCCCCCTGCTTAAACAATAGATCAGTGGCATGCCGCCTTTTTCGTGAAAGGTTTCACCACGCATAACAGTTGGAAGATTGGACGCACGCCTCAGAGACTTTGGAGGCTTTTGTTGTTTATCTGCAGGTGGTGCTCGCTTACCTGTCTGCTAAATAGTACTCTAGCATATGGCATGCATTGACGACACCTATCATACCGCTAACGGTTCGACTTACTCGCTCAACATGGGGCCATCTTCTTTGTATATTGCCTCGTAAACACGAAAGAAAAGCCTTGGCCATCGTTCTATCCTATCGGAGCCAGATGTGCGTGTGTTCCTTTTGACGCGGTTATAACGAAATGGTTGTTGATGGAGATATTTTAAATCCTTTCTGAGGTTAAAAAGTCTCTCGCGCAGTATACATGTGCTAAAAGTTCGATTTGTTTTGCTATTGCGTTATTGTGTAAATTGTAAACGGAGTCTGTTAAGGTGCTTTGGGAGCTACTGTGCGTCAAAATTATTCTTAGGTACAAAAATACATCACCACGTCGAAGAGTTAATAATAGGAGATCGATCGCTGCTTTCCCGGTTCCAGTGCAAAATGTGTCATCGACTCACTTGATTCATAGCCGTAATAACAACAAAAAATTACGGGAATGGTAAAAAAGTCATCATACTCCAGTCGGCTATGCACGAGCCATGCTCACAGATATGCACAGTTCAGGTCCATATATGCGTGACCTGCATCCAAAAAGAGATTACGGACAACTGTCTGTAGTTTTGCAACCATTGCTGCATAAACCCACCTTCCACAACTTAAGCTCCTTATGGAGTTGCCTAAATCGGCATTTAGCACTACGAATACAGCTGCATAATTAAACCCTACTAAGGGATCCCGTAGAACCACTCCGATCGTTCGATCCCTATAAATACATCGCACAATCTCCCCGCTATTTTCCTCCTCTAGTCTTTGCCCTAATGAGAGCTACAATCTTGTGGTTTTGGCTCCTACTACTAGTCTCTGCAAAGGATGTGCCCTTCAATTTCTGGGGTAGCCTGAAGGCAACCATGCTTGGGTGTGCTGTCTACGTGTCCGAAATCGATGGTCTCTGTCCAAAGGAAGGTCTTAGTCTGTGCCTATGCGTGAATTCTTACGCCTACTTGACGATGGCGGGATGTCTAGGTGACAGCAGTTCAGAACCAAATGCTACCATGGCCGCCTTCATTGATTACTGTGGTTCCCATGGTAGAGACCTAAACATGGATACCCTCTACTCTGCATACGCACAATATACTCGCCTTGCAACTCCAGTGGCTGCGAACCAGTCACTTTCGGCGCCTGTCAGGCTTAACAAGACCGAGATTGCATTGTACAGACAGGCGTATGAAGTCTTGTACTGCAACAAGGACAAGTCAATATATTATGGATTAGTGCTCGTGGCATATTGGCTAGCTGTCTTTTTCGTTGCTGGTGCTTGCAACTTATTTGTGGCACTTTTTCCGTCGTCAAGGCTTTGGTTCAATGGGAAGGTATCTCTAGCAATTCGTCGCTATTTTACATTACCTCCGATCCACAAGAGTCGCCTACTTTCCAAGAAGTCCCTTGGGTTCATCCACTATTATACCCCCTCGAGATTAGAGTCATTTATCTTGATAGGATTCGTGGGCCTCACTACTGGTCTATGCTTTGTTGGCTACAGGTGCGTGGAAGGCGATCCTCTTCATCTCACAGATAGTATTGCCATGGCCCATTATGCCGCTAATAGAACTGGAATCATGTCTGCGGTCTTGGTTCCATTGGTTGTTCTCCTCGCCGAACGAAACTCGTTGCTACAAATGATCACCAAGTGGAACCATGCGACTTTCTTGCTTTATCATCGCTGGATAGCCAGAGTTACTTTGATCCTCGTGGTGGCACATACAGCTTTAGCCATTGTTAAGGTCTCCCTTTCAGGTGTATTCCTTGAGTCCATTTGCCAGACGTACTTGATTTGGGGTACTGTTGGGACAGTGGTAGGATTCTTCCTTTTCATCCACAGTCTCTTATGGCTCCGCAGGAAATGGTATGAATTGTTCTACACATTACACGTTGTCTTCGGAGTCATTTTCCTTGTGTCCTCTTGGGTGCACTTGGCCAAGTTGGGTTATCTGTTCTTAATGCTCATTGCAATTGTCATCTGGATCGTTGAAAGATTCATCAGATGGGTGAGAATTCTTTCCTTCGGATTCCCCATTGCAACCGTGACACTCTGCGCCGATGAAACTCTCCGTGTGGAAATCCCAAGGCCAAAATACTGGAAACCTATTTCCGGTGGACATGGGTGGCTAACGTTTGGCAGCCATTTCTGGCAGTCGCACCCATTCACTCTCTTTGAGTCAGTTAATAAAGAAGACACCATCGTGTTCCTAACTGCGGTCAAGCTGGGAATCACTAAGAAAATGGCAGAAAAAATCAAAGCAGCAAATGGAGAAAGTATGAGAATGAGAGTTACTGTGGAGGGTCCATACGGTGAATCTACTCCCAGCAAATATCATGACAGCGCAGTCTTCATCGCAGGAGGAAACGGATTCCCTGGTATTTTCTCCGAGGTTTATGATTTAGCAAAGAAGACACAGCACTCTCTGCAGAAGTTGAAGTTCTACTGGATAATAAGAGATTTGAAGTCTCTTTCATGGACACATAACGAGTTAAAAGCTCTTGCAAAAACAAAAATCGATGCAACTATCTACGTGACCCGGCCAGTGAACTTTGCAAAAGAAGCTGATTCAGATTCAGATGAGCTCAGTGATGAGAAAAGTGTTGGACCCGACATTTGGACTATCATCTGTCAATCCTTTCCTCACATACAGTTTAAACAAGGAAGAGCTAGTATCCATCAATTGGTGGATAGAGAGGTGGAAGAATGCATGAACAGCATTGCATTCATCAGTTGCGGTCACCCTGGAATGGTCGACGAGCTTCGCCGTGCTGTGGTGAAGAAGTTGGGTAATACGGATAAAAGAGTTGACTGCTTTGAGCAGTTGCAGTCATGGGCATGAAGCCCGGAAGTTTATAGAATTAATGTCACTAAATACGACATGTAGCTTTGGACCCTGTGCGTGATAAAGCTGTTTCAGTGATAAATTAGACTATTTAGGTAATCCAAGTAGTCTATAACGAGAGATGTTGTTTGAGGATGGTATGCTTTGATTTGTTTCTCAAAAGGAAACCCAATTCATGCGCCCGTTCAATCAAGGCTCAAAATTGGTCGTATACCTGGTGTCAATGTAACCACCGTCATGTTGCCCTTATGTTGCTAAATATGTAATGATATTTATAGATATTGGTCATTCCTTTCCTGATTATGAACAGATCAGCAGCATACACCTCTTCAGGTATTCGATTATTGTATTGTTGGGGATATTAATCACCGTCCCGACTATGGCAATCTCCAGCAAGAAAACTATGTGAATGTATAAGTAATTCAAGTCTTTAGGTATGTGTGAATATAAGTGCAGTCAGAATCATGTCAATCCTCCTTGACATAGCAGGGGTTCAACAAAACGAATGAAGACGTTTTCATTCCATTGTGCTACATGCCCTGTCGGATACTCACTATAATTCTTCACTTAGGTATTCTAATGCATTCATTTATAACGCCTGAGTGCATTATTGTACATTTTCTGCTGGAGAAGATGTGTCTGAAATCCATTTTTGGAAATATTGATGCATTGACTTAAGGAAAGAATTCTCGAGATTGAGTTCCTTCAAATTGAGCTTCACAAGTGAACTCCAGGCTCATTTTTTCATCATCCAAATATTAAACAACATAAGTGTAATCTACTTATGTCATTTTTTCTTATTAACTATCAAATTCTGATTTTTGGTGTTGTCATTTACGTTTTTGTTATAGGTGGTCAGTTCGCACAATAATTAATAACCTTCAGATTGTTGGCAAATACAAATCGATGTCAGAAGTGGCGACCATAAGTCGATGCAAAATATTACCTCAATACGAAAATATTACCTACCACTATCCCGAAAGTCATCCATAAAATCACTAAAAGTCTTTATTAAGAATTCGCCTCTTCAGCTTATGATCCACTATTACACCCCTACCCATTCTCCACATATCACCAGATCCTGCATTATCTCATACCGATATCTTAGCTTCCCTTTTCATAACCAAGACTCCTGCTATGGCCACTATAAAGGAGCTCAAGAACTCATCGCTTGATCGCGAACTCCATTGGCTCCTCGAGCATATCGTGAAACCTGAACTTCCTCAGGTGATTGAAGCTCTTCAAATATGTTCCAATCTCATACTATACAACAGTCCTCAGCATCCTGATCCGGAAAATCATATCGAAAGGGGCCCCAGTATCACGCTCCCCGTTTCCTCAGGAAAGCTGGAAGCTCTCAAGGGCATTGTCGTTCGAGACGGGGCGTATATCAAGAAATTGTCTGTGGTTTTAAAAGACCGTAACTTTAATAAGGTCATCAATCGTATCTACCTTACGAAGCCTATTTTGCTTCCCCAGATAATAACTGCCAAAAAGTCCATTGATGCTGCTATCACATTAATGGTACAGGCTGACTCGTTGTTCGATGGTGTACCTGCTGATGGTAACAACTCGTCCACACATCTTCAGCATCATGTGGAGCTCATTTCCGTGTTCAACGAGTTGCTCCGTGAGCTTCTGACTGCCAAAAATTGCCTACAGCTTCCCACAGAGCCTGAGTTAGTGTTCCCCATGCATGTAGTTGCATCTCAGAATTTTGACCCCCAACTACCTACTCTGCTATCTCTAGATGCCTACATCAGTCAAGCCGAAATCTGCCTCGATTTGAAAGACCTCCATCGGGTTACGGAAAAGCCATGGTGTGAAATAGATGAGACTACAGGCAAGTCATATGTGGATAAGATTCGTGACAATATGTCCAACGGGAAAAATGAAACTCCTGTTATGGTGGATACAGAGGATAGTGGAGTGTTGGGAAATGTTTTCAGCCACTTGCTGTTGCGCCACAAGTACGAACCCCAGGACTATATCACTCGCTGTGTGACCTACAATAATTCAGTAGTGATGGTCAACAAGAAGATCGAGGTGCTGAGCGCAGATCCTATTCTTGTGAGTGCATTCACAAAATTGGATTCCGTGGAGTACCTTGTGAGCAGCTTCATGGAGAATATAAAGAAGATGCTGTAAGGCGTATCTAGGGTAAATAAAAAATGTGATTACCGAAGAAATTAACTCCTGGACTATCTAATACAATTGACAGTTTGGATTATTTTGATTGTAAGTGAGAACGATAACCATTAGGGTGGCTCAAATAGACGAGAATTCAGATTAAGGGGGTACCAAATCGTGTATTCAAAATTGAGTTTCCTAGGACTACTCTTAAGCAAAGCCGACAATTCTCATTTTTATTTCAGTAGTATCTTTGAACCTTCATATCACGCATGTATTACCAGCCATTGGTGTACAAACAAACTTTCTAGGCAGTTCAACAGTTCTCGCAGCCAAGTCGCAGCCAAATCGCAGCCAAATCGCAGCCAAATAAAACAATCAACCCACACAAGGAGGTTCCTCAATAAACATAAAACAATTAACAAAAATCCCAAATTAACAAAGAAAACTTATTATTGTTGTAGTCCATTTTTCCTTTTAGCACCAAAAAAGCCCAACATCCAATTTCGAACGTCTCCACACTCCATTCAGGCATATGAAATCTCAGTGTTGGTTCCTCCAATCTTGGATCGTGGCAACTCTATGCTAAAAAGTGCCATCTCCAGACGTATTTTTCCTACACTCTTTAACAAACACAAAGTATCAACTATGAAACACGCTTATACCATTTTGGCCGATGATGCAGCTATTGAAAAGCCGTTGTTGGATGACAGATCTTATCGATTCCTCAAGTTGGAAGCCAACAACTTACACGTTTTGGTTATCAATGACCCAACCACAGACCGTTCAGCCGCTTCGCTAGATGTCAATGTTGGTTCTTTTGCTGATAAGAAATACACTGTGCCGGGCTTAGCTCATTTCTGTGAACACTTGCTTTTCATGGGAACGGCAAAGTATCCCGAGGAGAATGAGTACTCGAGCTACTTATCGAAGCACTCAGGCTACTCCAATGCATACACGGCAGCAGAACATACCAACTACTACTTTGAGGTCAGTTCTGACTACTTGGAGGGAGCATTGGACCGCTTTGCCCAGTTCTTTATCTCGCCATTGTTCAGCAAGAGTTGCAAGGATAGAGAGATCAAGGCTGTTGACTCCGAAAACAAGAAGAACTTGCAAAATGATCACTGGAGAATGTATCAGCTTGATAAACTGACAAGTAACACTGACCATCCCTACAATGGGTTCTCCACTGGAAACTATCAGACTTTGCATGAAGAGCCTGAGTCACGGGGTCTTAATGTACGTGATGTATTGCTTGAATTTTATAAGGAGCAGTACTCGTCCAACCTCATGAGTTTGGTTGTTCTCGGGAAGGAGTCTTTAGACGATCTAACCCAGTGGTCGATCACAAAGTTCTCGGATATTCCAAATACCGAGCTTTCAAGACCATCATACAAAGGGGAGCTCATCTATAAGCCAGCACAATTGGGTAAACTTACGAAAGCAATTCCTATTATGGACTCGCACAAGTTGGAGTTGTCGTTCTTGATTCCTGACGACCAAGAGCGCAATTGGGATTGTAAGCCAAGTGGATACTACTCCCACCTTTTGGGCCATGAAACGAAGGGTTCTATTTTGCACTATTTGAAGCAGAAGAATTGGGTCAACGAGCTTTCTGCTGGTGGAATGAAGGTCTGCCAGGGAAATTCATTGTTCATGATCGAATTTGAACTCACTCCCCAGGGTTTGGAAAACTGGGAAGAAATCGTGGTACATGTATTTGAGTACTTGGCAATGTTGAAGTCCCAAGGCCCACAAGAATGGGTATGGAAGGAAAATAGTGACATGTCTAAGATAAACTTTCGCTTCAAGCAAAAACTGGGAACCTCTTCCACAGTATCGAAGATGAGCAATAAGTTGTACCAGTTCACCGAGGATGCCTACATTCCTCCAGAGAACTTGCTCAATTCTTCTGTGGTTAGGGAGTTTAACGCTGATGAAATCACAAAGTATGGGTCCTATTTAAGCCCAGACAACTTGAGAATTAGCTTGACATCTCAGAATCTCAAGGACTTAGCGGAAACAGAAAGATGGTATGGTACTGAGTACTCATACGATGATATACCCAGTGAACTTTTGGAAAAATCTAGGTTGGCTTCAGTGAATGCCGACCTTCACCTCCCACTTCCAAACAAGTTTATTCCTCAGGATTTCAATGTGAAGGGAGAGAAGGCCGATAAATCTCTCGGCCACCCTTACTTGATCACCAACACAAACAAATTTGAGACCTGGTTCAAACAAGATGACCAATTTAGGGTGCCTAAGGGTCATATCAATCTCACTATTCATGCTCCGACTCTCAGCAAGTCGATTTCCTCAGTGGTCCAAGGCAGCTTGTTGAGTGAGTTGATTGAAGATGAATTGAATGAGATTAAGTACTATGCAAGTATGGTCGGTTTGTCACTTCAAATTCACCAGTTCAGAGACGGATTCTCCTTGAAGGTTGGTGGATACAATGATAAACTTCCTGAGTTCCTTAGACAAATTCTCGAAGTTTTGACTTCTTTCAAGCCAAAACCAGAGAGATTTGAGTCCATCAAGTATAAGGTTACTCAAGAACTTAAGAACTTCGGATACGAGATTCCATATTCTCAAATTGGTACTCATTTCTTGCAGTTGGTTAATGAGCGTACCTACACCGATATTGACAAATTGGAGGTAATCAAGGACATAACATTTGAAGACCTCTCAAAGTTTGCCGAGAATTTCTGGGACGAAGGTACTTATGTCCAGACCCTTGTTCTTGGTAACTTTGACCACTCAAATGCTCTTGAGGTGGACAAATTGGTGAAGGAATCATTCAAGGAGTACAAAGAACTCAATGTGTCAGTTGACGCAGTGAGGGAGGCAATTGGATTTCAAAGTTTTACATTGGAAGTTGGTGAACATGCAAGGTACGAATTGCTGCTTCAAGATGCTAAAAACGTGAACTCCTGTTTGGAATACTTTGTTGAAGTTGGTCGCTTGGAACCTAGTAATAACAGGTTACGTCTTCTTACCGACTTATTGGCTACGACTATCCATGAGCCTTGCTTCAACCAGTTGAGAACAAAGGAGCAATTAGGGTATGTGGTATTCTCTGGTTATAGGCTGTCGAGATCATACTTTGGATTGAGATTCTTAGTTCAATCAGAGAGGCCATGCGATTATCTTGAATTCAGAGTCGAGGAATTTTTGAAGAAATTCAAGAAGAAGAATCTTGGAGAGGAGCTTAGCGACGAGGCGTTTGCTAAATTCAAACAATCTTTGAAGAACAAAAAACTCACCAAGCTTAAAAACTTGAACGAGGAGTGTGCCAGATTTTGGAATTCTATCAATGATGGATACTATGACTTCGAACAGAAAGTCAACGATGCCGAAGAATTGGATTCGATTACCAAGGAAGAGTTTTTACAGTTCTTCAATGACTACTTTGATGTTGACAACGCCTCGAAGTCTGGAAAATTGAGTGTTTACTTGAAGTCCCAGAAGACCCCAGAAGCAGACGAGAAGAAATTATTCTCTTCCGCAGTCCACAATTATGCTACGAAGTACGATTTGCCTATCACCCTGGAGGCTATCGACTCCATTATTGAAGCCAAAGAGTCTAACACCGAGTCTGTTGCAGATGAGATTGCTACCAGATTGGGAGAGAAACTTCCAACTAATTTTAGCACTCAGTTTGTTTTAGAGGTCTCGGATAGAACTACATCACCAACTCCTTCTGAATTCCCTAAAGGTGAGCTCTTCACGCTGAGCGACAAGTTTAAAGAGCTTCATGCCAAAGGAGGACGGCCCCAGCCAGTGAACCCATTGCCAACTTTCTACTATTCAAAGGGTGAGCCTCGGTTATAACCAATCGCGACCGACCCCGGATCTATGATGTAAATCAGAATGTTGCTAGCAATGCTTCCCTTACAATATAGAATTTAGAGTACATCTAATACAAGATAATATAGTGAAAGCATTACTGTATCAGATTCCAAAACCAGGGCCAAGAATCAGAATGTACGGGTGCGACTATTAGTGAATCGCAATGAACAGCTTCAAATCAACCACTCAACCAATATGACCACATTAAGTCTCAACAAGGTAAATCTGGTTTATTTCGATAAGCTTTTTGTCGACAAGAATAACACTGCACTATCAGCTGCCATAAAGGCGAAGGTGCTCCTTGTGGACCACCATACAATGCCTATAATATCTATGAGCCATACCCAATCCCAGCTTCTTCAGCATGATGTGATTCTCATTGAAATGCTCGAAAACAATCACAATTTGACCACCATGAAACATTTGAATTGTATCGTCTACATAAAGCCTATCAGGGAGTCGATTGCCATGCTCTGCCAAGAGTTGAGCTCACCACATTATCATCATTACCAGATATTCTTTAGTAACACAGTCTCCAAGAGTGATCTAGAGAAGATGGCACAAGCAGACGAATTTGAAGTGATCAATCAGGTTATGGAGATCTTTCTGGATTATTCGATAGTGAACGACAACCTTTTCACCATCTCTTTGTCGAATGACATTACCTCTCCCAAACACACTGCAACCATCCTGGAGTCAAACAGTCTTCTGAGCCTACTTTTGTCGTTGAAAAAAACTCCTGTCATCAAGTACGAAACGACATCGATTGAGTCCAAGAAGTTGGCATCGGAGATTCTCTATTACATCAATTCGAATTCCAATAATAATTTATTTGACGACTTGAACAGAAAGAGTGATATGCCTCCAGTTTTGCTTCTTCTCGACAGAAAAAGTGATCCTCTTACGCCTTTAGTTACTCCTTGGACTTATCAGTCGATGATTCACGAGCTTATCGGAATCGACAGGAATATAGTGAACTTGAAGGATTCAAGCGAGCAGCTCACCTTATCCGAAACTATGGACGTATTCTACCTGGAGTCCATGTATTTGAACTATGGAGATTTGACGGACAAGTTCCAGAAATACGTGGATGAGTACAAGAAACAAACGAAACAGAGCTCTATCGAGAACCTCAAAACACAGGACTTGTCTGAGTTGAAGAAGATTTTAACGAAGTTCCCCGAGTTTAAGAAGCTTTCCAACAACATTTTAAAGCACTTGAATATCATCAGTGAGATTGATAAGCAGATCTCGTCCCAGAACCTATGGGCAGTGGGAGAACTTCAACAAACAATCGTTTGTGAGTTGGAGAGCCATCAAAGCATTAAAACGAAGTTGATGGATTTGATTGCAGATCCACACATTTCAACCGAGAACAAGGTGAAGGTGCTCATTCTTTATGTCGCAAAGTTTCCAAACAATCATTCTGATTTGAGTGCACTTCTTGCTAAGCTCAACGATCCGATCACCACCACTCCACCTCCCACTATTTCACAGCAATCGCTCATAAGGAACTTCGGAAAGTACTTCGGACGGGCTAAAAAGGTTCAAGCGCCAGTTAACAATAACGATACTAATATTGGTAAAATGTTCAATACGAATCGCATTAAGATCCAACAACTTTTCAACACCAACTCAAATGCTCATGGCAACAACATGCCCAAGACTGACAATATTTTCATGCAATACATTCCAAGGCTCAATGATATTTTGACACTGATCACCACCAACCCTCTGCAATCACAGCAGAATTCGTCCCCTTCAAATGACATTGCAACCTTGGTTCCAGACGTTGTGTCCAATCAATACGGTAAGACCAATGGCATACCCGCTCAAGAAGTTATTATATACTTCAAGGGCGGAGCCACATATGAGGAGGCACGTCTTATACATGATCTCAGTGTGATGAATCCAAGAGTGAAATATATTATTGGAGGAGACGGGGTTTTGAATAGCAAGCAATGGTTGGAGAATATGTGTGATATCGTTAATGGGGCTACAGAAGGTGACTCTCTCCAGACGGACCGCAGAGCGCAGCTCCGGGAGATTCTTTAGATAAGATTACTTCGACCGAAATGAATGCATTAGAGTATCATAAACCGTAAAAGCAGCATGCGACACCGACTTAGAAAAATAACCGAAAAACGTAGTGTCACTCACGGAGCGTACTTACCAAACTTCTGCTCCCACGATAGAATCTTTTCTGTCAAATTTTCCATGAGTTTGAGGTTCTCATCAAACAGTGTGACTGGGCCAGCAGAGCTTGTGTTTACGTCAGAGAACTGACTTGTTTTCGCATCTCTTTCTTCCTCCAACTCCATCTGAGTACGCCCGAGCCACTCAAGAATAGCCCCGGTGCGCTTCCGCAACTCGTATATGCTAGACTTGTCATTGACAAACCTGGGCCTGGACAGTTGACTTAAAAGCTCGTCTTTCGATAAGGCGGCTGAGTTATCATTCTTCGGGGTTGAGGCCCGACCCTTAGCTGCGGGAGCTCGCGGCTTGGGCTTAGCTCGAGGTTTCGGACGTGCTCGCAGCTCTCTTTTAGCCACTGTGGCCTCGGATTCCTCATCGACATTGGACTCCTCCACGTCGTGCTCCAGTTCCTCGGAATGTGTTTTCTTTTCGACAGATCCTGGAGTAGGCTCGCCAGCACGCTTCCGGTCACTTGCCCCTGCGCTGGATGCCCTGGCACTCTCACGCATGGCGCGTTGTAGCTGTGCATCGTAGCTGTCGTCGCCGTGGCGGCGATCTTTTCGTTCCTGTCGGTTGTAGGGCCCAGAGGAGCCTGAATCCAGCCCATTGGCCTCGGGTGTATCCTTGGGGCTTCTCCTGCTACGCAGCCTGGTGGACTTCTCTGTTTTAGCCTCAGATTTTTCGGACTGTTCTCCATCACTGGCCCCCGCCGTGACAGATGCCACAAGCTTTTGTCTATCGTCATTCACAGATCGGTACAACGTGTGTGTAAGGTGCCCATCCTCGCCATACACGAATCGGTGGAGGTCAGGCTTGCATTCCTCACACCAGTATTTATCAGGTACATCCTCATTGATGAAGAGGCCCACACAATAGCCATGCTGCCACACCAGGCACTTCTCGCACTGAATAAAGAGACCGGTATCGATTTTGATGTGGTACTCTTGCTGAAGGAGTGTGGACATGCCAGCGTCTATGGTGGTCAATTCATCATTTCCACAAATACATCGAGTGACTTCCTCAGCATCGTCGATTTCGGAGCTCTGATCATCAGATGCTTTGGAACCGTTTTCATCTAGGGGTAAAGGTCTGGAACGGCCCGAACGTCGAGACATGGTAATTCAATGTTGAAGAGTATATGTTGAATATCAACCGAGATTATCGTTGTTGGAGTGCGCAACTCATAAGATGGGGCTCCGCGGTTCTATCCATGGAGCCAATTTTCTACTGCCTGTTGGTGATCGCACGCAATACATTTTCTATAATCTTTCTCCAAGTTTTGAATATCCAAGCCATGCTCTCTATATCTTCTCGTATGCTCCGTTTGAGAGTTCCAGCAAGACTTCTCTCGTCTTCTGCATTTACTCTCAACCAAGCCAAATCGTCTGTTCCAGCAGGCACCGTGTTGAACCTCAAGATCAGAAAAAATGGTGATGAACCAGTGGCTTTGGAAGACAGCGAATATCCCGAGTGGCTCTGGGACACCCTCGACAAAGAGAAGTTGGACGCCAAATTAAAGGAGGAGAACCTTATGAAGTGGAGAAAAAAACAGATCAACAAGGCCAACACTGCCAAGATCAAGAACAACAACTTCATCTCTCAGATGTGAAGCTTCTGAATATTACATGTACATAGCCGTCTATTGATGCTCCAATATAATTACTACCATGGATTTGAATCGATATCCTCTTGTCCCCAATTTTTGTGTGCCAACGACAGGGGTGGCTGCATTTGCTTGAAGAGTTCGTCTCCCTTGAACGTTTTCTTTACCGGCTCCCGCTGCCCTGAATCTTCTTCTCTAACTTCATCTTCGGACTCGGTACCCTTGTCTGATTCCGCACTGTGCTCCTCCTCGTAATCGTATGTATCGTTGATGTTGGAGTTTCTGTTCGCTGCCAAAATCTCCTCCACGTCGTCCATCACCGAAATGGGAAGTGAAGGCTGGTACTTTTTGGATCTCATAACCTTGACTCCTCCAATTCCCGAACCGTAGTTCACAATGAGCTCATTCAAGTTGGGAAGTGCAATGGCGAATACGTAGTTTGGATTCAAGTAGATGTACTCCTCCTTCAGGAGAAAGTTGGTCTGTGTCATATAATGCAAGTGGTTATTCGACACCTGTTTTTCTCCTTGTTCTGCCATCAATCTCCTCAAGTATTGCACTAAAGGCTTGGCGATTTTCTTTTCCTCCACCTCATACCTGTACAATTTGTTCGTAAGCTTGAAGATTTGATAGTAGTTGAGGGCATCGAACAGGTTGATGGTATTGATCAAAGATTCTTCATCTTGGAGCCCAGACATCACCTGTAGCCATTGAAGTAGCTCTATCGTTGGAAGCAAATGCTCTTTGCCAATATGGTATAATGACTTGTAGTAGAACGAAAGGGAGTGTGGATTCTTATCATCCTTGGTATCGTCCAATAGATTCTTGAGAACGAATGAGTCCTTTTGTTCTCCGAGAAGAGAACTCAACCCTCCAAGATTATCTGGTTTGTATATGCGGTAGTTATGGGATCGAAGCCAATCCTCTAGCGTAGAAATATTGAGACGAATTTGGATGGCTTTGGCCCTGGAACAATTCTTTGAAGTTGAAATGAGCCGGTTAAAAATAGTCGCATTAATGTAATAAAAGACTTGCGAAAATGTTTGGAAGCGAAGTAATGGATCCACAGCGTGCAACTTGAGCACATAATCCAACGCGCCCAAAACCTGGACGTACCTGAGTGGTGAGGGCCTCATTAATTCCGCTTGATTAGGCGGGAATAACATCTGGAGAATGTCATCGTATGAACTTGGGTGCATCTTGTTTTTATTCTTGAACAAATTCCAGTCTTTGGCGTAAAGAACACTGGAGACATCCACCAAGTTAGTGAAATTAATCAAACAATCATCCACTAATCCATTGAGTCTTGAATTAAGGGAAAACGAAAGTGTAGCCACCAAGGATTGCGTCAAATTGATAAGTTCCTGTAGAAATTTGGGGTACACAGCGTATAGATTGCTCTTGACAAAGTAGAAATGCAAAAACTGAATCACAGAGAGCCAATAACTCAACAAGACGATATCTCCAGCGCCTCCTGCCAAGCCTCCCGCTTTGTCACCGTCTACTGCCAAAATTGACATATTAAAAACACCAGACTTGGTGTTGGTGACTGAGCGCAACCTCGTGACAAAACATTCAAACAAAAATTCCGACAAGTCCTGACTATCGACCTTAAAATGAGAATAACGGATCAATTGGAACACTATGGCAGCAGGTACCTTGGTGGCATGCTGGTAGGTCGTCAGTGAGGAACGTAAGCCAAATATATAGTCAAGGAGCGAAGGGATATCTGAATCGGAAAACTTAATGAACTGTTCTGGAAGCAATTTTTTGTAGTCGTATTCGGGAGTTTGCACCAATTCAGCATCAGCAGACAACTCTGCCTCCTCGTCCAAGTGAGCTTCCTCGAGAGAATCACTGCTGACATTATTTCCAAGTGTTTGCATGCGAATTTGGTAACTAATGTCATCCACGGATTCGTCGGGGCCAAATGTGTTCGTATGGAACACGTCACCCTCGTCTATGGCCAGAACCCGAAAAAGATTGTGGCTTTTGAAAAAATCGTACATCTGAAGATTACTCTGCGAGACCATCAGAACAGCATCGTGGTCATCTTGCTTTGGAGACAAGTATGGATCAGCTTGGTAATCCAAGAGCAACTTTACCATATCCAAATAATTCAAATGAACTGCCCACATAAGTGGGGTATATAGGGGACCAGCTGTATCGTTTTCGTCGGGGTCAGCCCCATGATTTGCCAATAGTGATTCGGCGATTTGGAAGTGATTCAACACAACAGCCATTATGAGACAAGTGACACCACTAGACTCACTTGGATAATACGAAGAAACAATTGACGGATTTGATCTTACAGCGGACTCAAATGAGACGAGATCGCCCTCGCAAACAGCTAGGAGAGCCTCCACTAGTTCGTTGTCGGTGGTTGATTCAGATGCCGATGCCAGATCAGGTCCCAGCTGCACGGTTTTTTTGATGGTTAGCAATGGAGCCATAATCGGATCGGAGTAATTGATCAACGGGCTCAGCACGACGCTGGCATCGAAGCCAGATTCTGCCCAGGCATTCATGGTTGTATTAGTAGGAGGTAAAGGCTGGGACTTGCTGTGAGCCGGTTAATGACGAAGCACGTGATTGATCACGTGTATACCACCAAAATTTAATATATCTGGCCTTAACGTGATCGAAACAACACTGTTCCGGAGGTAAGTGCAATGATTCCTAATGGAAGATGAAAATAAACGCGAGAATAAGAAGTTGAAAAATTGATGAGGTTTTTTGATGGGTGGAGTTGAGGCGAGAATGAAGGTGAGAACGCGATTGGGGACTACAGTCATTAAGGAGAGTGACGAAGAAACCGCTAAAGAAAATGTAATAAAATGGCTTGTGCAATTACAGTTGTATATATATAATACTTCTTGGAAGTCTTTATTATTGATAACAATAGAAGGTTTCAAGTATTCGTTGAAGCTGAGCTATATCAATAGCCATACACTATCCTATCAGCAACCAGCGAAAGCAGCACCAGAAAAAAACGGCAAAAACGCCGAAAAACCAAAAATAAAAAATTCAATCAAATTCAATTATCTATCTTAAATTACTTTAAGCTTTATATACCTGTCCAATCACGTAAATTCAATCATATCGCTCTCGATCCATTTTGCCTTCTTATGTATGTCGCATATCTTTTTTCGATGGGCATGCAGTTTGTCGCTTAAGGCAGAAACATCATCATCTGGATATCCTACAAACTTATCAGCTGGAGGTTCTCGATAAGAAAGAGCCCAATTAATACACGTCCCAGCATCTTGTTTTCATATCATGGTTTCCAGATCAGGAAAGAGGCTCTTGTTAATGGCCGTTCTTGCCCTCCTAGTGGTGGTGCTTCTCCTCGTTGAGCAACGACAACAAAAGGAAACCCAGCACAACGATCTCCTTACACATATCCATGACTTGATGGCAAAGCCTGACCAAAGCAGTGATGAGAGTGCGAAACAACAAAATCCAGCACAAAAAGTGCCATCTCCAGTGGAGAAAGAACACAAGGAACCAGCTCTTGATCCATGTACTGCTTTCAGCCCTCATAAGGGTTTCATAGACTTGGGAGGGCTCTCCAACGTTGCCAACGAAGGCAAAGCAGTAGCATGGTCTACAAGAGGCTTTGATTCGGGTCACAACTACTCTATTGGAGTGTGTCTGAGTCCAATCAAAAAGCTCCAGGATGTTCGTATTAGAGACGATCTAAATTCCTCGCAAGTTGGCGCATTCTACATTGATCCTGAATCTGGCGAGTACGTGCTGATGGGTGAGTACTCAGTTGCTCCCGAGATTCGTGGTAACAAGTTGACTCTTACTTATGCAAATGGTTCATTCTGTGAGAAGGTCAAATACAGCAACGGTGAACGCTTGCGGAGAAAGACTATCTTGACTTTCACATGCGACCGTGAGATGTTGACTAAAGCCCACGTTTCGTACGTGGCGGCCGTGGATGATTGTACCTACTTATTTGAGATCCGCTCCCATTTTGCGTGTCCGACGGCTGCTAAAGCAGACAACTTGGCAGTCATTTGGATTTTTCTCCTAATCTGCATGGCAGCTTTGTTGGTGTACTTTTCAGGAGGCTTTTTGTACCGTCATTTGAAGAGATAGAGCCTCTGACAGCGCCAGCATTGGAGATTAACTTATAGCATATCATCTAGAAACATTTTTAAAATTGCATGAATTGATGTTAAATGAAATAAATTTTGAATCCTCTACACGGCTCCGTTAGCAACCACTGGTGCGAAGCCTTCGGTTTCGCATCTCACCTGCAACTTGGCAACAACTTTGCCTCCAGTGATGGCCAATCTCACCAATGCTCCCACCTTTCCGTTCCACAAATCCTTACCCAACAACTTCAACACGTGCGAAGTAGAGTCGGCAGGAACGTAATCGGAACCGTCCAATGCCATGGCATTCAACGACTTGGTGAGCACATTCACAGCTCCCTCCAAGTTGGTGGCACCTGTAATCGTCACAACACTACTTTCCTCGTTTGGCAACTGTTCAAAAATGTTGGAAAAGTTGGAGTTGTACAAAGGAGTAATGAAATCGCCGGCATTGATTTCCAAATCCTCGATCTGATACTCGTCCTCCATACCTTCATCAGCAGGATCGATTCCTCCTTCGTCGTCAATAATGTCTTTACTTGTATAGGTGATGGTGTTACCAAAAGCAGCCAAGATGTCCTCGTCTCCGATAGTTGGAGCGGTGTAAGAGACGAAAACGCTACCGGTCTCTTCTGGTCTCAATTCGGCCAATGGAATAACAAAGTCTTCTTCGTACAATTCGTTATCAGCCTGAGTGAGAACAGAAACATCTTGTAACACCAAAGAAGGCAAGGTATTCGTGATGTCGTATTGCAAAACCAACTTTTGTGTTTCCGTGAAAAAGTGCTTCACGACTGTAACAACGAACTCGTTCTCCTTGTCGGTCAAGTAGATTGGAGAAGATGAAGACTTTGTCAACTTGCCATAATCAGCCAAGTCTGGAATAGAAGCCAACTTAACGGCGTACTCCTGTTGCTGCAAGTAATCATTTGCACCAGCACTCTCAGTCTCAGCGGCTCTCTTATCATTAGCAGAAGAAGAAGCCGTCTGCTCGGCAGCAGGAGTGCCTTCGGCACCACTTTCCAACTTCTTGATCTTGGTGTTGTATTCCAAAGACTTGACTTCCTCCTTTGTGAGAAGTGGCACCTCGGCAATATTGAATTGATGAGCAAAGTTGGACTCGTCATTCAAGTAGTGAGTCAACCTACTCTCCAATGCAGCCAAATTAAACTTAGAGTCATTGACAACCAACTTCGGCTGTTTGCTGTTGATGAATCTCAAAGACAAGGATGCTCTATCTCTCACTTCATCGTCCACATCGTTGAGACATCTAGTCAACAAAATTTTAACGTTGGAAGACAACTCTTCATCACAAACGGCAGCGAACTTTGCCAAAGCGATTACAGCGGAAGATCTCACAATAGAGTTCTCCAAAACCAATCTGTTGTAGATGTGTCTGATATAGTACGATGGGTTCAGGGTTGATGGGCCCTCGTCACCCAACAAGTGCAAAATACGCACGGACAACTCGGTGAACTCACAGTCTTCAATAAATTCACACAAGTTCATCAAGATGAGTTGCTTGGCGCTTTCATCAGGCAAGAACTTAATCAAGTCAAACAATGCTTCAACAATGCTGGACTTCAACTGCAAGGTTCCGTCGTCACGTAACAAGTCAGAGAGGAATGCGACCAACTTTTTGTGCTTAGATGGGAATTTTAAAGCCAAGTTCTCAATGGCTTCGATAATAACAACCTTGAAGTCCTCGGTGATCTCATCCATCAAAGAGGTCATCTTGGAAATCAATCTGTCCACACTTTCTGAGCTGGTGGACTCGATGGTGCCAACACCCAACGTTTTCAATAGCGTGGTGATAGCCAAGGTAGAAATCAGTCTGTTCGAGTCATTGATCAAAGTCTCCAATTCCAAGTTGACCACCATAATCTTTTCTGGGTGCTTCAAGGAGATCTTGTTGATCAAACGGATGGCAGCAAAACGGGTGGCCGTTCTAGGAACACTCAACAACTTCTGCAAAGTAAGGATGATGGACATAAACTCTTCCTCCTTGAGCAAATGCTGCAAGCTGACCAAAGTCTTGCAAGCTTCCAACTCCACCATATCAGACTTGTGCTTCAAGAAACCAGACAAGATAGGATACAAGTGAGGCATCAAAGTCTGATCGTCCACCAAGACCTTGTTGATGTAACGAATGAGCTGGATGATGGACAACGAGTTCTTAAGGGCCGAACCTTCAGATAAAGACGTGATGAGCTTCATCAACGACATCTTGTCGTGGTTTCTCAACTGGTACAACAAACCCAATGCATGGTACTGGTACATATAGGAGTTGGAAGGCAAGTTTGTAGTGGAACCTCCGTAGTACTCGTGTAACTGAAACTGGTTTGGAGGGAACAGCTTGTAGGACTGGATGGTCTCCAAAGTCTCGTTGGTGAAACGCTTCACCACGTCCTTGGCAATTGGAAGCAAGTTGTAAGAGGAGATCAACGCAGCAGAAGACACAATAGGATTCTTATCAACAAGACAATTCTTAAACAATCTCTCGGATGCAGACACCGTGGTAGGATCCAAGACCTTGGCCAAAGTTCTAATAGCGTTGGGCTTGTAAATAACATCACCAGATTGGATATCTTTCATAATGGACGAGGTGACCATCAAGATATCGGACAGAGTCAGCGAAAGCTCCTTGATAGTCAAATAGACCAACTGACGCAAGGACGAATCCTTGTGCTGGAACAACTTGGAAATGGAGAAAAACAACTTGGTGGCCTCCTTTGGTGGAAACAGTTCACCTTGGTATATCAACCTCAACAACTTGGCCAAAAGTTGACGGCACTTTTTGGCATTGACCGGCAGCGCGTTGAATTGCTGCAAGCACTCCTGGAAGACCGCCATTTTGTCAGGCATGGAGCCCGAATAGGCGTCCAGCGCTTTGTAGGTTTGGGTGGACATGATGGTGGAGGGTTATGGTGGATGTTTTTTCGAGTCTACGTGTACTGGAATAATGGGTTGCGCACGACCTGGGTGAATCTGGTAGTGGATCTGGAGATGAGAGTGATTTGTGTATTTTGTGTATTTCGATTATTTTTGATAGTTTTTACTGGGATGACAGCAAGCTTTAAGTGAAGATATTGACTTTTATGGGTGGTGGACTTGAAAATTGATTGTAAGGGCTTCAAATTAAGTTAGTATGGTGAAGTAGACAGATCAGTGCGATACCAGAGATCGGGCAATAGTATAGGCACACAAAAAAGTGAGAAGTGAATGAACAGAGACAGAAGTTTGATAGTAAAGAAAAATTATTGAAATTTCAACATTTGCACGTTCCGATTGTGCTTCAGATCCACTGGATTGTTTCTTTTGTTCAAATCTACTCTTTTATGGGAGTACTTGATTGGTGCCATTACCTCTTGATTGAGGAGTACATTGTACAAGCATCAAGAAAATGAAGGTTGAAGATACAAAACAGAAGAGATTATGAAAAGGAGGCAAAGAGCATTGAACAAGTGATGAGTTAGCCATCGAGTTATGTAATCCATTCGAATTTTAGGGGGGTGGGCATGAAGGGTTGGTAATATTGATGACAATTTTCTATCAACCAAATCCGCTTCGTGTAAGAACACGCGGAATCTCAAACCCACCAACACACATTTTCACCATTTCTCTATGCAGCTGATGATGTTGCAAACCTTTACTGGGATCTATCGTGTTTAACTTCAAACACACATCTAAATATATCGATTGTACTCCATGTAACTCGCTTACTTGACAGGTTGATATAGTCTTGGCCAAGTACTTAGAAGTGGACATGGACGCTTTACATTATACTTGGAACTCGCAATGTTGATTCTGACTTTTCTCTTTACATTGGCTAATGCCTATATGAGTTTTGATCTTATTCCGGTGAAAGAGGACGGATCTTTGGAGAAGCGCGATGATGCTGTAGTGACAAACGACTTCAATCAGAAAGTGAACTCCACTGTCCAATTTCAGGTCGGCTCGAACAAGCAAAATATTAGCGTTAGGATTGATACTCGTGGGGGTCTATTGTGATTTCCCACAACTGGAGGAGATTTCGAAAATGACTACTTATGCAACTTCTTTGGGACGTACTCCCCTGAGGACCCGATACTTTTCGCAACAAAACTTGATATGTTTCCGCTAATTATAGCGGAGAAGTAATTTCGGTCTATTATGCAAATGATATGGTCACCCTTGGGTGTGTGGGTGAGAGGATTAATATGTCTTTTTGTGCAGCAACCAGATCCCGTTGCATTGGGGTTCTCAGGGTAGGGTCCCGTATTAATATGTATACGGAGGTGAGTACGAGTATAACAAAAGTTCTCTCGGATTACTTGTTCTTTAAGGTAAAATATATTCTCATGGATATTGTATTTATCTTGGGCCCAACAACGCAGGTAAAGAGGGACTCTTCTTAGGAGCAATCGATCATGGCAAGGTCTACGTCAGACTATGGGCGATAGGAATGGTGGACCCATAAGCCGGCGCACTGGTAGATCTTTTGATTATTTTGGATGGTATGCTGGGGAAAGGATTCAAGCGCCTGTGACTATCATTTTGGCTGCGCCACATCTGCTGTTACCATATGAAGATGTGAAGAGGCTCGGTGAACATCTCGGAGCAGTGGAAGACTCCAAATATTCTCACCGCTTAGACTGTAAATTGTTGAATCTGACAAGTCTGGATTTGTTCTATTTCACCGGAGCTGAGATTCAGGTTCCCGTACGAGACTTATTCAGGCAGAAGAACGGACAGTGCCACCTATCGCTTAATGTTGCTGATACCCCCAGTGAATTGGGTTTAGATATACTCAAAAGTGTGTATTTGGTGGTAGATTTGTTACAACTTGTTGTTGGAATGGGCGAAGTTGCCGTTTCGCCCAGGAAGTGCACTATCGAGGAAATGAAACTTACCTTTCCAATATCTACTCCTACGTACTTGCAATACACTTGCCGCAGTGAGATATTCCATTTTAGGATGGGTATGGGCAACTCATTCCCGTGATGCTTTCTTCTTACAGTTATCTGGCCAACACCGGCAACAGAACTACGGATCTTGGTGGTGTGGTGGATCTGTTTACGCAGGAGGTTGAAATAACTTCAACAGAAATTGAAAAGAAAAAAAAGTTACAGAAGGGATTACTGTAATCGAGAGCTCGACTAATGGGTTAGGCGAAAGCAACCTGGGTGGAGCTACGATAACTTCTGGAATGTTGAGGGTTTTCATTATGTTCATTATGACAATCGTGCAATTAGTTCATCAAGGGAAAACCGTGGAAAGTTATTTGAAGTATTTCTCAGATATACGCAATTGAATTATCAACAATTTAGTTCCTTCATTCTTGCGATTATTATTTCTACCCTTCACCAAAGAGATTTTTGTCTTGCAAGGCAAATTTTGTAATTGGGGTGGTTTCTACATTCTGGCTTTGCACAAAGCTGAAGTTAATCATACTAAATGAATTGGTAAATGAATTCTTACTATAGCCTGTTCTGGCTGCCATGATGGAAATTGGCCACTGAGGGTTCTGTATTCATTTCCACCTCGCAGTAACTTTTAATAAGCGTCGCAGAAGCAAGGGAGTCAAGCTAATCTACGCGTGTTACAAACTTGAAATCATTTTGAGCTCAAGCCTTTCACTTTATTCTTTTACTCATTCTCTCCTCTTTCAGGTAGCTGTTATTATGTATCGATCCATGTTGTCACCGTCATTGAACCTCGTAATCCGAACAAACTGATGGAGGTGGTTCTATAGGACGAAAAATTCAAGCAACAAGAATTTCCAGGTAATTGCTCTGCATCAAAATGCTCCAAAGGAAACTGAACTAGCGTCCTGTGAATTCATTTACTGTCTCACAACTCCTTTAACTAGAAGTTAACTAACCAAGACTTCTATCAAAAACGTTGTACTATTTCAATATTACTTTTCTCATATTTTTTAGCTGGCTAGCGTCCATCACCTATCCCGTTTTGTGCAATTCTCTCGTTGAAAACGTTCAGGACCTCTAGAATTTTCTTTTCATCGGCGACTCAATCCAATCCAAATCTCTTAAACTTCCTGTGTGTCGCAAGTATAAGGTTTCTCATGTAGGAGAATATAGGAGCCCAGTTAAGTATTTGTCGGCAGAAATGTTTCCCCACTCATTTCCAAGTGTGTTATTATACTCTGGAGTCTGTGCTTAACGTATTCCCCGGCATCTTACTCTAGTGTATTCAGCTTTATGAATCGCTATTCAATTTAAATTTTCGGAACCATATCATCCCATTTCTTGACAAGGCCATATACGAAGTGCCAGCTGTTTCATAGTTCCCAACCAGAACTGCATCGCACAAATCGTGAGCAAATCCTTCCAGAAGACAAAATCCCCAGAGAACAATGCTCAACTAGACAATAGCCTTAGGAAACTTATAAACTAATAAGAAAAACCTCTCTTCACAGCCTTGTTGTTTGTTGTTCTCTGACCCGCCATTTACCGTTAATCCACCTCAAAACATTCTGTGCAATAAGAATTCATGCTATCCATGGCTGGGTCGGGCCACAACACGGGGTCCACCAGTGCTACTCAACTACAAGAGAATACCCCTGCATTCAGATCAGTAGATACCGAGCGTTGCCGGTGATTCAAATCAAGAAAAAGAGGTCGAAATATCCAGGATACTGAAGTAAAACTTGAGAAAAAGTTGACAACTTAGTAGGTGACATCTATATCACAAAAATAAGGTAGAGCTATCGTTACCAAATCAAAGCTTATGTCCCCTATAATTCATGTAACTTACTCAGAGGAGAATGACAGGAAATGTCGCAACGTCAAAGTTGATGGAGAGAAACCTGCACTTCATACTCCAAGCAAGGCTCAGTTGCCTACTATGGTCCACTATTAAATAGAGCCATAAGTTCCCACAGGTGCTGAATTTGGTGTTTTTTTCTAGTTTATCATCATATCTCCCATTTATTATATACCAACACTTGCCACGCTTGGACTTCCACGCACACAATGGCCAAACTTCACAAAAGAGTGGTAGTACTACTTATCGCCATTCTCGTGTTTGCCTTGGGTGGATTCCAGGTCCACCGCTACCGTACCAGCCGAAACCCGGCCTTTCTCTCTCTGATGGCCGAGGAAGACTTGGCCTTGCGTGAGACATTCCACTATCCAAACTTCTCTTATACTTTGGCTGACAAGTTCAGTGCGACCTTCAAAGGTAACTGGCAAGCCTTCTCCAGTGAATCGAAAGCCAACAAATGCTTGAAATTCTTTGAATTCCTCGATTCAGCAGACCCCCACTGGGAGTTGAGGAAGAATCTAGGGAGTGGTTATGATAAGAACATTGTCCGGAAGCTGAACTTTATGAGCAATGAATTCAAGAAGCTTGCCCAGCAAAGGACAAATGAGGGCCACTCGGATCCGTACAAGATCACTCGCGAAGACCAGGACAATGCTTCCCGCTTGTTTGAGGAGAAATTGGCCAAAAGTATGGCCATGGAACAGAACATGGCTGACTCAACGACTGTGTTGAGAATATTTGGGCACTGCTTTTACGGTAAAGAGAGGTTGGAGATGGATGACAAATTAAGGGATATCTACAAGCGCTACAACAAGAAAATATGTCCGTTCGCAGATTCTGATGTTGCACACTTCGAGGTTGGCAACAGTCTGTTTACTCATAATCCATCAGATCCAAATTTCCACAATGGTGATGATGTCCTCGATTACAGCTATAGAAACTTGAAAGGCTCGGGAATTGTGATCTCGGCTGCTTCCAGATATAGTAGGGATATTGTGAAGTTTATTCATCTTCTCCGTGCCTTGGGAAACAAGCTTCCCATTCAGCTCGTTTACCGATCTGATTTACTGGCTAAAGCCAGGAAGTCCCTTATGTCCGCGGCCTACAGTACAAAAGAAGAGTTGCTCGGGGAGCAGCTCTCGAGCCATAAAGTACTCAAACAGTTGTTCCCAAATTTGGACATCACTACTGCGGAGTTCAAGGACCGTGAATTCCCCATTCAAGATATCACCTTCATCAACGCACATCCAGCAATCTCGGGCAAAAGCGACTTCACACATTATAGCAGTAAGATCATTGCACTTTTCTTCAGCACTTTCGAGAATGTGCTTCTTTTTGACGCTGATACGGTGCCTTTAGTTCCGCCCCAGACTTTTCTTGAGATGAAAGAGTTTACGGATACTGGTGCATACTTTTTCAGGGACAGGTCTCTCCGTGATAGCAACGATTGGGTTGAAACCAACTTTTTCTCTAAGCTTATGCCGCACAATTCATCGCCTTTAGATATGGCGATGGGTGTGAAGCCTGTCACTGACCATACCATGGGCAACACCTACATGACTGGATGGAGGCATCACCAGGAGGCTGGATTGGTTGTAATTGACAAAAAGCGCCATTTTTCTTCCCTTTTTGGCCTATTTGCACTTGCACTTTGGGGTGAGCCTATCAAGTCCCTGATATGGGGAGACAAGGAAATGTACTGGCTTGCTATGTCAATGATGGGAGATGAAGACTACACGTTCAACAAGTACTCGGCTGCATCCGTTGGTGACGTCTCGGAGATCCAAAATAAGCTTTACAACAACACTAAAGCTGTGGAAGTTTGTTCATCTCATCCTGGACATGTTTCAAAAGACGGAGTATTACTTTGGATCAATTCTGGTTTTTCCTTTTGCAAGAAAAATAGTTTTGTCAGAGATCAGAAGCATTTTCCATTCAGCACTTTTCTGAGAGAGGTATTGGAGAAGATGTATGACGAGCCTTTGCATATTCGTCTGGCAGTTGTTCCTCCTGACTTGCCTGTTCTCAGACCAGTGACTTCTCCACCTGACCAAACTGTGGAATTGAGTACATTGCTACAATTCAAGAAGCGAAGAAAAGACATTGACGAGCAGGATGAATTACGTCAGATCAGTACCTTCAATCCTCAGAAAGGTTGGATTAAACAACCTGGTTGCCTGGCCTATTATTATTGCGCATATGATGCAGTGGAATCTTATAGTAGAGCTGGCGACCTTGACACCTCGGGATCTCTATTCACATTTACTGACCAGCAACGAAGAGAATACGATTTTCTTGGAGTCATCTGGAGCAGTGGTGTTAAACAAGTGATAGATTTCAAATATCCTGATCTGAACTTGGGAACTTCCTCCCCCGTGCTTCACTCCAAGAACCAAGAACCAACTAAAGTTTCTGATGCGAATTCAAAGGAAAGTGATCAGAAATTAAAACTGTACTTGAACATTTTCAAGAGTGAAGAAGATGAAAAGGGAGCAGAAGTAAACGAAGATAATACTCAGCTTATCTCGCTCAAGGGAGAGCTTCTTGCGGGACCTGAAACGTCAGACAATAAAGAATCGAATAACCAGTACAAAGTACGAAAGGGAGCCAAGTATGAGGACGAAGATAACGAATTCGAAAAGGAAAAGGTAAGAGAGAGGCCGGAACATTTGAAAAACAACATGAACGAATTTATCAACAAGTTTTTTGGACTGCAACCAACAGCTTCCCGCTTAGAATAGCTACGGGAGTATATCTATCATGTATATTATCATTATTATAAATAGTCGTTCATCGTACTTTATATGGTCTGAACCAGGAAGTACTCGTCATAAATAATTCAAGCCAAACCTGCTTCGTACTCAGCAATCATTTCAGCGTTGACATCGTCTCCAACCTCTAAAAGTGCGGACTTGAACGCGTTCAAAAGGAGTGAGGCTTCTTGAGGGCCCTCAATTTTCACTTGCAAAAAGTAAATGTTGACAAATGGCGACAACTTTTTTCCATTTACGAACTTGTTAACAAGAATGTTCAATAAACCCTTTGCGTTTGTAAGTGCTAAAAGCTTGATTATATTAATCAAGCTGGGGACACTTATTTCATTCAAACGCATCACTTTGCACAACTTAATGATAGATTCAAACCTGTTGTTGATCTGAGAAGAGTGTAATTCACCAGACAATAATGATGCCTTGGACAAGCACATTATTAAAAAGTTGAAAAATTGCTCTTTATCACTAATGAGCAGTTGGTTTTTCTGGAAAATGTCCCTCATCAGGAAGACATCCCTCTCATTCAAAATAGCAAGACCCACTGTGTTAGAGTCAGCATAGTTATTGATCTTAGAATGGTTTTCGGTTTTACTTAAACCACACATCAACTGTGCAAACTGAATTAATTGTTTAATGCCAGAGGATCTTTCCTGAAGGGGACCAAATTTGGTCACAACATCTTCGTATGCGCCCATAGCAATATAGTGGTTGAGAAGGCACTCTAACAATTTATCAGACTTCAACAACAAAGTGTTGCCTTCTTCACCATCAAAATAGTACTTGAAGATCTGATTGATTTCTTCGCTTTTGCCAAGAGCCAACAATGCCATTAACTCAACTTTCAAAAGCTCCTCTTCATTGGGATTTGTAAGGTCAAGCCCGAAGATAAGTTTCTGCTTATTCAACTCCATCAAAATTGAGATCTTCTCAGCGTGTCCAGAATTGTTCAACTTACTGAACAACTTCGCGAGCCACGAAGAATTGGAATTTCTTGAGAGAACAATCTCCAAGTTGTTAACTAGGAGATCCAAGAAGTATTTGTTCTCAGAAACGTTAGAGAAATCCACAAGGGAAGACATGACTTTTTCTGTCGACAACAAGTCGATGTGGTCCTTAATTAGAAACTTGAGGATTTCAATATTGGTTCTTTCGCTGTTCAATCTGATCAAATCAGAAACTATGTCGACCTCAGCATTCACACCAAGATTCAGATCCACAATCCTTTGGACAAATTCAGAAATGCTGAAGTATTTTTCCCTTTCCAAAACGTCGTATACGAAGTTCATATTGATTACAGAATTCCACGTTGACTCGTTGAAGCTGCAACCAAGCTTGAAAGTTTCTAAAAATTCAGTAACAGCAACGGAGTGGTTAACAGTGAACAAAGCAGACAAGTCTCTCTTGAAATCCTTCTCGACAACATTTTCCATGGACAGGCCATCAGTAACCAAGTCCAATTCCAATGCTCGACATGCATCACTGATATCGCAAGATAAACGCATGTTAGGCGTAGATGAATACAAGAAGGCAAACAGCTCGGCCAATGCCCTCTTCAACTGAACAAGTTCAGGTGAAAGTTGCAAATAGTGATTTTCAGAGTCCTCGAATTCATTGATTAGGCAGGCCTCGAATTGCATCAACTTAAAAGCTTGAGCAGACAGTGCCTCTGATGGATATTGATGCATTAAAAAAGTTGCAATTGACATAACACCGTAGATGTTGTCATCTCTGAGACTAAACTTGCTGAAGGCATTGTACACCATGTGCGAATCCAAAATTCTGTTGAAGTTTTCAGAGTTCTCGAACAAAAGGAAGCTGACGTGCTCACTCAAGAAGCTGTTCAAAACTTTGGAGTTTCTGAAGTAGTTGCTGGCCTGTTGTTCTACGAAATTCCACAAGAGATCGAAGTAGTATGTGTTTCCGTATGCCGAAATCCCGTTGTAGAAGTAAAGACACAACTTCTTGCTGACATTCCAATCTTTGATGGCATGGTTCTTGAGCATGATTTCCTTCAACAAACGAGTCACTTGAGAATGGTCGCCCAAGTCCAAGCTAAGAGAAAGCAAGAATTCTCTGCAGTTAATGTTCAGCCCAAAATCAGGCAATCCGTTGTTTTCAACAAGCACATTCTGGAAATCTTTTCTGATAGCTACGCGGTCATAGAGTTCCCAGATTTTGGTATAGAGAATTCTCTGACTCGAAGCCACGTCAACTCCTTGGGACCTGTTAATCTCAGAGAGTGTGTACTCGTTGATGAACCTGTTAATTATGTCATTGTAAAATTGCACAGAAAGCTCAGGAATATAAGGAACTTCAAGAAATTTTTGAAGCATGTTGTAGGACTTGTTCAAGTCTTCTCTTTTACCAGAAGCCATGAGTGCCTGAAGATAAGTGGAAATCAATTCCGACACATTGAGTTTGTGGTTCTTAAGCAGCTTGTCCGAAATAGAGCTCATAGATTCCTTGAAATCAACTAGGATGTCGTCCAAGAACTTTGTTGCCATAGACAAATTACCGTTATAAACCAACGATTGGATCAATGCCGAATAAACATCATACTCAACCTGGACAAGACAGGGTTCGATTTGAGCCTGTGCCTTGTACTGTTCAAAAATGGAAGTGATGTACTCGTACACCTTCGCGTTTGACTCCAAGACATTGAGGCACTTCAAGTACTTGGACAACTGGAAAAGTCCTACGTAGTAGGAACCATCGGCAGTGCAGATTTTGCAGATTTCAATTAAGTCGGAAATCAACTTCTTGTACAACAAGTTTGGATGCATGTTGAGTGTGGCGATCAAGTTTGGCAAAATAGACTTCAAGTCGAGCTCATTCTGATCCTTTACGGACATGAAAAGCTTGATACCAACTTGACAGAACTCCTCAGACTTACGCATTGCTGTCTGGTAGTAGTCATTGGCAATGCTGATGTTTGAATCTGACCTGATACTTCTCACGGCACCATCAAAGATGCCATCAAGAACAATATTGAAAGTTTCATAGTTGGGCTTGCACTCAGGGTTTTGAGAGCAAGCAGCAAGAATATCCTGGTAAACTGTCAATAAGCAAGTAAGTCTGGACTCGGTAGTTTCCAAAGTGTGTTCACTATCAAGTGATCTCATTGCAATAGACTTCAACACAATGTTGTATTCGTAGATGGAAGAAAGAGCTATTCCATTTCTCTTCAAAGATTGGTAGAGTGGGTAGATTATGTTCAAATCGTCGGATGAAGTGTGTGCAGCGAACACGGAGACAATCTTATTCTCCTGGGATCTCTTGAATGAGGATTCGAAGGGCTCTTCCACTGGCTCCTGAGCAGTTTCAGGAAGTTCCTCTACTTTTAAGATATGTTCGGCGGCATTTGGCTCCTCCACTTCGTCAACAGGTAGATGCTGTGGCTCTGGTGGTTGTTTGGAGTTATCTCGATCTAGGATTCTTGCGGACGTGCGGAAGCCTCTCCTAGACATCAAAAACTGGCCCAAATAGCGCCTTGGATTTAAAAGTGACGTTGTTGATAGCAAGTACTGCGATACAGACTTCAACTCGGTGATGTCGTTGTGAATATCTTGGTTGGCCCTGGAAATGAAGAAATCGGGCATGAAGAGAGGCAGTGGGCTGGAAGGCACCACCAATACAATGAGTGGGTTGGTGTTTTCCACCATGCCACTACGCTCTTCTCTCCTGAGCTCGTGGTTGAAGATTGTGAAATAGATTCCATAATGGCCATTGGCCAAAGTCAAGATGCGGTGGTTGGAAGGATGTGGTTCCTCCTGCGACCACTTGCGAGCATTTCCAGACTTGCGGAGTGCAACAGCATTGCTGTTTAAGTATGGGATCGAGCTCTGGAAGAATCTGACTCTTTCAGCTTTGGGGCCTCTAATGAAGTTGAAATGCATTGTCGATATGTGGATGGCCTAGAGGGCCAGAGATGGAGCAGAAGCGATAGACTGTCCAAGCTGCTCAAAAGCACAAGCAATAAAATGAGAGGTAAGATGAAATATGAAAAAAAAAGGTGTTTACACCAAATAGAAATAGACGGAGGTTATTTGCCATTTTTTTGTCCGGAGCGGTGATAGGCACTTCACACCGGAACTTTACGGGTCCTCCACGGGGAAGCGGAGGGACGGTCATGTTTTGGCAACTCATGAGGGATATTTCACAACCCCGATGAATTAATCCATTAATACGCATCATTTGCAACATACCTGAAATCATTTGAAATAGTATCAATGGTATAAAATAGATGTTTGAAAGTGTCTTTAGACCTTCCAGTGCCCAGGTCACGTGGTCAAAATCCGGGTATTTCTTCCTTTGCCATCTCTGTCTGCAAGATGCAACTTCAGATGCAGTAAAGAAATCATGCAATGTCGCTTTTTAACACGTATGATTGGGTATGTTAAAAAACACGTAAACCTTGTCAAATTTAATGTTCTATGAGCAGAAGTTCTAATACTCGTCTCAAGACTTCTTCATCTGATTCGTAAGTTTCGGAGTTCCCAACCTGTATTTCTGAGTCTCCGTACCCACTCTGCTCCTGTCTATTGTGCTCCTGTTCATTTCTCTGGATCTGTCCATTTGCACGACTTTGACTCACATTAGCCCCAGAATGACTACCAACGTGTTCAGGGCTCTCAACCCCACTGTTTAGTACGTTGAAACTCTCTTGTTTAGAGATTGCCAACGCCAACTTTAGATCTTCATCCACAGCATCTTCCAGAACATTAGAAACATCTGTTTGCAGAAGTTCAATCACTCTCTCCAATTCATCTAAACTTTCCTCATTGTTTGCGTAGCTTGCGCTTAATGCAAGAGCAACTCTCCACTCTTCTTGTTCAGAATCAAATCGAGTGCCATTATACTTGTCAGCCATGCGTTCCAGCTCAAACTCCGAATGTTGTAGCGAGTCGTAGTCATCAATTTGTGCTTGAATGTGTCGATGCATTTCCCGTCTAGACGAGGCATCGGCTACTAGTGGCGCATTGGGCTTCTTTTTGGGTTTCGCCTCTTCGCCAAACCGAAAGTATTGAACAACATCTCCGCACACGATGATGCCGCAGGCGCCGTTGGGTCCAAACTCAATTTTCAGTATCGGTGCTACACCATTCCGTGTGAATTTCCGTGAAACCTTAGCACCTTCTCGAAGATATTCGCCGGAATGTGCATCATAAATATGGATCCAATCTGCTAATGCTCCGATGGCCACCACACTGCTATTGAGTGCCACTTTTGTATATTGGGCGATTCCGGTTGGGGACCTTGAGTCTGCAAACGGCAAGATTCGAACGGGGAACTTCAAATGGGAGGGCGCATCTCGAATATTAAACACGCACACACTGCCATCTGAAAGTGTGATGGCATAGAGAAGCCCATCACCCCCAACGATGTTCTTATTTCTGACTGCTGATGATGTCTGCATGGTGCCGTCAATTATGGTCATTTCTGTGGGCACATTGCCCTCCAGAACAGAAAAGCTTGAATCTGCGTAGTGGAACACTCTCACGCATGTTTCGTCGCATATAACGACATTAAGATCTCCAAAATCAACGTTTACCGCAACTGGAGTTTCGGAAAATGTCCATCCATGCTCAAATTTAGATAATAACTCGTGGGTGTTGAAATCAACCAAGGTGATGAAATGCGAAGACACAACCACGATATATTTCTTAAAGTTCGTGTCGAGGAAGAATGCAGAGTCGTTAAGATCTAACGAGGATATTTCTTTACCCAGCAATGACCAAAACTGTACGAGACCCATGGTGTTCATGGACACAATGTCCACCTTTGCCTTATGCTTATCGGGTTCTCGATTGAGTTTGACAATCGAGATCGGAAGCTCAGACTCTGAAGAGGTAGTATTAACGCTTCTAATCTTGGTGAGCGACAGACGGTTTGATCCTGAGGCAGTGGATGTCGCTAGGTTTTTCAAGTATATTTCTCCAGTTGTTCTGCCCCAACATAAATATGTCCATGTAGCGTCGTAAGCCAGAATTCGAGAGAACAGTGGATCATCAGGAATAAACACCTGGTTCTTTCCCAGACTCAATGTACAATAAGACACTGCTCCAGAGACACCAGCAAACATTAAAAAGCGATCATGAATGAAATCAGTTTCAATGTGATCAACTATTCCGTACTGATTATTGATTAATCGGTACAGCTGAGCAGTAGCTTTTGCTTTGGCCCATTTCTTTGTGGCAGAGATACGTCCAAAATACTCCAGTAGCCACATTTGAGACCTTGTTACTGAGGCAAACGTGGGTCCGGTGCCAAACCTGTTTCCAAACGCTTTGGCCCACACTGCCCGATCCGAAAGAACGAAGTTCCATTTTCGGCAGACTAGACGAAGATTCTTGAATTCCACTGGCGAGAGGTTTGCAAAGATGCCAATTAGAACCTCCACGGGAAGATCGTTGATGGTCACCTGAGGTAGCACCTGAGGAGTTTCCTGTTCATAGGTATTACCCAAGGAGTCTTGATTCATGAGGAACTTAGATATTCACAGTATCTTCGAACTTGGATATTATCTCTTCCTTCGAACTTGGATCTCGAAGCTAACTTTGTGTATCTCTTCTGGGAAAAATAGCAGTATGAACTTATCTAACTCTGTAATTGCTATTGCTGGAATGGGACGGCGTGAGGAAATGAGGTCGAGAGTAGCCAATGGAAATTTTTACAGAATTTATGGGTATCACAGCACTATAAACAAGTTCCAAAGTCACGACCACTGTTATGGCTTTATTAGAGCCAGTTGATGGCGATGGATGGGTAAATGAACCTGGATTGTGTGCACCACTATGAGTAATGATTCGTAAACGGACTCACGTAACTTGAACTAAAAAATTGAAACACGAAAAAAAAGGGTGAAAAAGAGAAATAAAAAGGTCGAAAGTTTTCCTTAGCCCATTCTCTCCTCTCTCTTTTATTTCTTTTCATTAGCACTAGAATTTAGTCACCGAACCTCGAACATTCGCATCCATTCAGTCGGTGAAATGCTCCCCATAATCCTATTCCCCGACACTATAAAAAAAAGTGGACTGGAAAGAGATAGCACTTTTCACTTTGATATCAAACTCAACTAACCCTTTCTCAAATACAAAAAGCCATCGTCCCCATACTTCCAGCGATCTGCCGGGAACCATGCAACCTGCACTCCAAGTTCTCCACTATTCGAAAATTTTCAGCCAAACTCCAATATCCAATTTTCACTAATGGCCGAATCTACACCTCCGCCAGAGTTGAAGCTCAGGATCCTGCTCCCAGCCTGCTTGCGGACCAAGATCGAGTTTGTTGAGACCCATCACACATTGCAGGAAACCATCTCTGATGTCAAGGAAGCTTTAGCAGCCACTTCAGTGTTGAACAGTTTGACCAACTACTCGCTTGTGTACCAAGGTGTCAGAATCACTGATAACTTCGATGATTTTTCTACCTTGGGTGATGCATTAGGCGAGGTTTCCGGTGATGTGAAGCTTGAATTGGTCGAAAGACCATACACTTTGAAGGATGTTTATGAGCACTTGGTTCGCTTCAGAGAGAACATTGGCATGAACTTCTTTGACCACGCTGCCCGCTCCGAGGGTGTTGCTGCTGGAGGTTCTAAGTTGAACTCTTTGGGTTTGAGGAACATTGAAGCCACTTCTGCATCCGAAGATGGCGAAGAATCCGACGAAAAGAAGGAGGAAGAGAAGAAGGATGACAAGGAACAGAAGGAGAAGACTCCAGAAATTGCTGATGAAGATAAGTCGGCCATCAGGGATGTCGCCAAGGTGCTCATTGAGCCTTCTTCCTTGAATTTGGTAGCCCACGCTTCCGCAGACTCTGTCTTGTCCACTTGGAAGCTTCCCATCAAGTTGCTTTCCTTGTCGCAATGGAACCCAGTTCCTCAGCAGCAACGTCTCAAGGGTGACTTGTTGTACCTTACGTTGACCACCTTGGAAAGTGAGACCTTCTCCATCACTTGTCATGCTTCAGGTTTTTTCGTCAGCAGATTATCCAACGCTTATTTCAACCCAGCTCTCAAGATCAACGAGAAGGGTGTCTTCCATCGCGAGTACTTGTTGTTAAACTTGGTAAGTGAGTTATCTGCTCAATTCTCTGCTACCATTGAGAGTAACAAGCAAGCTTTGGCCAACCACTCTCAGTTTTCGGAGTCCTACTTGATTCCTTCTCAGGCTCCAGCATCTTACCCATGGTTGGTTTCTGAGCAGGAACTCAAAGAACAGACTGTTCCCGATATTTCCAGATCGCAGGTTCCATTGCTTTCGAACGGTGTGGATGGTGCAGAGTTAGTCAAAGACTGGAACGATGAGTTTCAAGGAATCAAGGAGTTCCCTCGTGAATCTTTCAACGAGAGATTGCTTCGTGACAAGTTGCTCAACAAGTACATCCAGGAGTTCAACCAGACCGCTGTTTCCACTGCCGTTGACATCCTTAAGGGTAACTTAGTTCCTTTGAACCCAGCAGAGTCTCGCGATAAGCATATTTTCTTGAGAAACAACATCTTCTACAGTTTCGGTGTCAATGCCACGGGCGCACACGACAACACTGGAGGAGATGAGGCTGCTCGTTACTGTTTTGCTAAGGACTTGGCTACCGTCAAGCTTTTAAACAGAGTGGATGTTTCCGGTGTGTTCAACTTGCTCACATGTATCGTTGACTACTTGGGCGAACGTATAATCTGTCAAGCTCCAGTTCCAGGTGTGTTCTCAGACTCGACTGACGAGAATGGTGAGCCAATCGATAAGGTTGCCTACGGATACTCTTTGGAGGCTAACCAGATCAAGTCATCTGCTGAATTTGATGAGGTGTTGAAGCCATTCGCTGAGGCTTTCTACTTGAAAAAACACAACGTGAAGTTGGCTGACGGTGCATCTGGAAATGACTTGGTTGTATCTAAGGATACCAAGGGTATTATTGGCACTGATAACAGAAAGTACATCATCGATTTGTACAGATCCACCCCTCTTGATATTGAGTTTTTGGATGCTCATTACAACGGTTCTGAGACCTCATACCCACACAAAGAAGCTTCGGTTAGACACGAGGCAGTTGCCGAATGGTACAAGCGCAAGGCTGCTGCTATCTTTAAGGTGGAGACTGAGCGTATGGAGAAGGAAGGAGAATTTGACAAGGAAGAAAAACCCCAAGTTGCCATTCCCCATGATCAGATTACCTTGAACCCAGATGCCTTCACCGGAGTTGAAGATTCTGAGGAAGATAAGAATTCTGTAAGGGAGGTGTCTAAGTTCGTCAGAGAGCACTTGATTCCAGAGTTTTTGGATGACGTGGCCAAGAATGCTGTTCCATTCGACGGTGCTCAGTTGAGTGATTACTTACACAAGATCGGTATCAACTTGAGATATTTGGGAGAAATTGCCTCTGCATCATTGACCAAACTCGAGCAACACAATGCTGAACTTGCCGACATCATTAAGGCTAACGAGAACTTGATTGCCCAAAGAGCTTCGGAAGAGAAGGCCAGGAAGGAAGCTGGTGAGGAAAAGAAGGAAGAGGAGAATAAGAAGGACGACAAGGACGACAAAGAACCTTCTGCTGCCAAATTGGTGCCAGTTGTTGCTAACATGAACGCTTTGCACAGACTTGCTGTTCAGGAGATGATTGCTAGAGCTTCCAAGCACGTCTTGCGTAAGGAGGGCCAGGCTGTTCCAGCTCTCTTGAAGCCATACTTTGTTGCTCACTTCCACAACTGTTTGTTAGGAAGCGCTGTCAACGAGGTTCCAGAGGTTATTGTGGATGAGGCTATCAAGCCATTGTTCTCTGAGAAGGAATTGGAATTCTCCAAGATCACTCCAGCAAACATTGCTGACTTGGTGTCCAAGGAAGTTTACATTCGTTACAGATACACTTTGCCTACTGACTGGGTCAGCAACATTAAGCCATTGCCATTGCTCAGAGAGATCGCTCTCAAGTTCGGTATTCAGTGGAGAGCTCAGGAGTATTATTTTACCAAGGAAGAGTTTGATGCTGCTCAGCAGAAGGTTGACACCGATGCCAAAGAGCCTGTGGTTGAAACTTCTCATAAGAAGAAGGGCAAGAAGAAGCAACAGCCTGTGGCTGCTGAGTCTGCAAAGAAGACTACTGTGTTTGTCGCCGATGACATCATCAATTTTGTTCCTGTGGTCAGAGATTCGACCTTCAGATGTTCTTTTGTCGATGAGATCTTCGAGACTGCTAGACACCAGATCAAAAATGGTGAGAAAGATGTCGGTTTGGCTCTCTTGTCCGAATTGGTTTCTTTCTACCAGCAGATCTATGGTAGTGTGCACCTTGAAACCACTGCTTTCTACTCCACTTTGGCCCAGATCTATACAGAGTGCAACATGAATGTTGAAGCTTCCATTGTTGCTCGCAAGGCTGCCATTTTGTATGAGAGACTCACCGGTGTCGACAGCTACGAAACCATCAACTCGTACTCAAAGGCCTCTTTTTACGACAGCATGAACAAAGACCACTTGAGTGCCATCAAGTTGAACACCAGAGCTTTCGAGAACTGGAGCGTCGTGTATGGAGAGGACCACCCCAACACCGTTAACACCTTGTCTAACTTCGGTAACATCTTGCAAGAGTTGAACCTCATTGGGGATGCTAAGAAGTTCTTTGAGAAGGCCATCGAAATTTCCGTTGCTTTGAATGGAGAAGTGTGCGATATCACTGGTATTATCAGGCATCGTTACGGTGTTTCTCTCGTCCAAGCTGAGAACTATAAGGGAGCTTTGGAGCAATTCAACAAGGCAACTGACATCTTCAACAAGGTTGTAGGCCCAGACGATGTGATCACCAAAGAATGTGCAACTTTCGCTTCCAACATCTCCGGATACTTGGCTTACAGTGAGCACCAGCTTGCTGAAAAGAAGAAACAGTTGGCTCAGCAAGCCAAAAACGCTAAGAGTGCTTCCAAGGCCGCTCCTAAGGCTGCACCTGCCCAGACTAAGGGAAAGAAGGGTAAGAAGCAGAATGTTGACCCAGATATTGCTTCAAAATCCGTGGATGAGATTTTGAGCTTCATTGAGGGAAAGCTGTCTAGCAAGAAAAAGAACAAAAAATAGATGCTACAAGAGTAGTTTTTTAACCTGTCCATAGTCTAATAAGAATCGTGTTCTCAATTCAATCCTCAGATTTAAGCTTGTCTAAATCTAAGCATCTGTCTTGGCGCTGGACGACTTGAAATCCTTCTGAAGTTCATACTGAACGAAAACTCTGCCGAGGTGGCGGTCTTTTGATCTGAGCAGCGATAACAAATCAAACTCCAATTTATTCATGGTTTCGAGCGAAAGATTCTGTGGTGTGCTCAACTTGACCACTACATTTGATCTGGCACCCGCATTCAATACAGAAAGATCCACCACTAGCAATTGGTTACCAGTGACATTGGCCACATTTTCCATTTCTTCCTCGATCATCAGTTTGACATTTGCGTATTGTTCCGCCTTCTCCGGGACACCTCTGTCTACTAACTCGAACCATGCATCCTTGAATGTGCCAAAGCCAGCATGAATGATCAACATCGAAACAAGCAATCCTCCAACAGCATCAAGCCATACTACTCCGAAAAGATAGCCACTTGTGACCGTGAGGAAAGCCACAGCTGCAGTCAACGAGTCCACACGATGATGCCATGCGTTTGCCACTAGAACCTTAGAATGAGTAGCCAAAGCAACCTTCATGGTCTGTTTATATAAGAGTTCCTTCACACCAATGGAGGCCAAAGCAAGCCATGCAGCGTTGATGTTAGGAGGCTGCTTGGTTACTTGGACGTCAGCCTCAGCTACCGGAGCGTGGGAGTGTGAATGAGAATGGTTAGTGTGAGCCTCGGCACCAAAGCTGTGGGAATGTGAGTGGACTTGGAGAACCAGCAAGTAGTCGTATATGTGGGAAGGCAAGACATACTCGAAAATCTGGAGAAGTGAGGACCAACCCACGGTAAAGCCAGCGAATAGCAACACCCCGCTGACAAGGAAGGTTCCCACCGACTCAATTTTGCCGTATCCCAAGGGGAATCTGGTAGGTGAGCCCTCCTTCAGCGAGACGTTGACTGTCGCCAATGTCAAGAAATCAGCAATCATATCTGAAAGCGAGTGGATGGCATCTGCAATTAACGCCTGGGAGTGGAAGTATACACCTCCTACTGCCTTAGTTCCTGCCATGCCAACATTCACTAAGAGTCCTATCCAGGTGATTCTCACTGCTGGATTGGTGGTGAAACCTTTACTCAAAAGCTCATTGGGCCCATGAGAGTGAGAGTGGAGTAGAGAGTGAGTATGAGCGTGATCGTCACTATGAGAATGCGAGTGTGCTTGAGCATGCGAATGCGAGTGGCTGTTATGGTCGTTGTGGTTGATCTGATCATTGGTGTTGACTTGTTCATTCGAGTTGTGTGAGATAGTCCCACCATGGGAATGTGAATGGGGTTCGTCCATTTTCAAATTCTGACCGGATATATGATCTAAATTATGTGAACTAGGTATATCCTTGGTAGTTTCCGTGACTTTGCTAGTGGATAGGCTCGACGACAGGTGGAGGTTTTTCTGGCCAGTAGTGTACTTCTTAGCGTGAGATTTCAAATCACACAGGCCAGACATCCAATGAAGGCTTCGGCGCAAAATCGGCGAACCGGCTGAGCGAACGTTATCCAACCGGGATGTTTGCGGTAGTTTACAAGTTTTCACTTCCTTAAATGACAAAACCCTGCCGTTCCGCAATCCAATGCCTCCGCTACTACCTCTGATTAGGGCATCTGTGTGGAGAGACCGTAGAGATCCCATGAGATCGCAACCTAACAATATGGGCACCGATTGACGGTATAATAGTGACAGCATGAATGCCATGAAAAGACTTGGGAAGGTCCGGCTAACTTTGGAGGTCCTGGAAGAAGACGGGTGGGATGATCGGAATCTCGAATGGTGCGGTACTGGGGAACTGTATGGTCAAGTAGGCTGCATGTGCACGTCCTGGGTTAAGAAGAAAGGCAAAATCTGGGGAATGGGAATCAAGACAAAGTTTCATTTTTTTATAAGTGGGCACTGATTGGCTATTTTTGAGGCTAATTGAGTCTAAATTTCTGTGTAGGTTTCTAATTTTTTGCTTGATAGGCCCTTCAACGCTTGATATCTTGCACCCATAAGGTTTATCAGTGAGCGATGGATCCAATCACCAATCCGATTCTACAAATGTTGATTAAAGAAAAAACTTTGTACATTTTCGAGTCGATAGATTTAAGAGTCGGCGATCGTGCTGGACGATCTTGATGCTGGGATGACAAATATTTTGGCCATGTAGATTGCGCTTCGCAAGAATGTCTGGCTCACCATTTGCTGGAATCTGACGTTGGTGCGATAAGCCAGTTGTCAGGTGAAAACAAGTAATGAGGCAGTGTTTGAGCCACATGGAAGGTTACCAAAGACAAGTTAGTGTCCACTGGTTGGCTGGTTCAGATCAAGTCTGGGATTACTATCACGAACATGTGATATAAACGAAAACCACTCGAAATATAGGTAGGGAAGTTGATGCATACCCACACAAAACTCCTCATTGATATTCATGATAGATTCGACCAATAAGATAGTAAGTTATGATATGGATAGAACCTCAACGTCGATTGTATCTCCACATGAATCGAATCTCCATATGTCAACCCGGTTGCAAAAGCATTATAAATCGTCATATCAATTCTCAGACCAAAGTCAATGCTTCGCAATCACGCAAACAACTTGGCCACCGCCTCTGTGGTAGTAGTGGTAGCAACTTCATCATCGCTCTCATCTTTCTTCTCGTCTTCCTGCTTCTCAGTCTTCTCTTCTTTCTTCGTTCTTCTATACTCTTGAGTAGTGGCAGCCTCCCATTCTCTTCCCCACTCGGGATCGCCAAACGCCTCTCGGAGATGATGCAACGCCACCAGCTTCTCCTGTGCATTCATCAACTTCTTCTTGAGCTCAGTGGAGGGCTTTCTAACATGCATAAAGTTGCAATGGTCACCTCGAGTACATGTGTTGGTATCATGGGCTCTGCAATTTGCTTCATGGAAACTGGACACTGGCGACAACTCACAATACACCGGTTTACTGTCGTACCATTCCAGGTTGAGTGACATTACTGCTTTGGCGGCGGCATCGGTGGTAGTGAACCGAACGTAGACGTTTCCACTGAGATGGAAGTTTTCATTTTCACACACCACCACCAGGTCGATCGTGCCCTCTTTCGCTAGACGACGGAAAATGTCTGCGTAGAAGTGGTCAAAGGTGTTGTTTGTTTGGGTTTCTGGGCCATCATCGCCATCGTTTTGAACCTTTGGGTTCTGGTAGAGATTGGCTAGAAGCACGGTTTTCGATTCCGACGGACGGATGTGTTTTCTGGAACACTTCTCGCCATGTCGACAGGCGCCTATTTTCTGGTAGAAGCTGCAGATCGATTTGTCTTCGATCATGGCTGGGTCTATGGCAGTTAGTAAGTAGTGATGACTTTTGGTATGTGTAGGTCTGGGGAAGAGGTTGATTATGGAAGTAGATGAGGTAAATGAGGTAGATGAAAGATAGTCGACAAAAGTTAAAGGAACTTGTGGGGGTTGCCAAATGAGTTAAGCTCGATTGGGTTTCAGAAAGTTATATCTGATCAACCTTTTTTATTACATATGAACATTGAACCTGGTAGCCATGAGAGAGAGTTCTGACTATTTCCATTATAATGCATCTGGGCTGAGAAGCAAGAATTGAACTTTCTGCCTTTAAAAATCAGAATAGCAAGCAAATTCAATTGGTATACAATGATCGAGTTCGCTGGACCTCCAATCGTATAACTTCGAAATTGTCGACCAAAAGAAACAACTCTCGCTTGCAACAAGTAGAATCTCCATGGATTGGCAAATTCTCCCACCTAAGCTCTCCTATAAATTGGAAATGCAACACTACACGTATTCACTGATTCGCTTAAGTCTATTAATCAACTACGACACCGGGTTTCCTTAAAACTGCACAACACACACTCAAAAACAGAACACCTGATCAGAGGCAGCAGACTTCATGGTAGTCTTCTCCCAGCCCAACTCAGACGAAATCTCAATAAGACTTCTCTTCATCTCTGGAGGTCCACAGATAAACAAACGGTTGTCAGCAGAAGGCTTAGGCATGTAACGCTCTACCAAGTCCTTCTTAACATACCCCACAGAGCCAGTCCAGTTGGTTGGCGGAGTGGTCAACGTGTAGTGGACAGAGAAGTTAGGGTACTTCTTGGCCATCTCATCCAACTCATTCTTCAACAAAATATCGTTTTCTGTCTCGTTGGCATAGATCAAGCTAATCTTCGTAGTGTCCTCTGGTGTGGTGATGATTTTGGTGATCACCTGCAAAATCGGCGTGATACCAGAACCACCAGCAATAAGTCCAATCTCCTTAGCCATGTTGGTCTTGTACTCCAATCTGCCGACAGTACCTCTGAACTTGACCGTCTGGCCCTCCTTCAACATGGCAAATCTCTTGGAAACCTTACCCTGAGGGTATGACTTGACCAAAATGTCAAAAAAGCCCGTATCAAACTCGTTCGAGATTGGCGAGTAATATCTGATCTCGTCCTTGCCATCAATGCTGAAGCAACATGCTACATGGTGTCCGGTTGGAACCTTCAACACCTCATCTTCATTGTTCAACTTAAATCTGTAGATGGCGGTGTTCTTGGAAATGACCGTCTTGTCAATTAACTCCAAGTCGTTCCACTTGATTGGATCCACGCTGTGTCTTCTCTTCCATGCATCCATGAAGTTGATAGTACACATAATGGCCACGAAAGACAAGGTGTATGGCAAGTAGTGATAGTCGATGATGCAAGTGCCCACGATGATGAGGGCAATCGGGATATAAATCCCATGGAGCGGTTGCTTCAACAACTCTCTCTTATCCTTGAAATCTGACATGTTACGGTAGAAGAAACGTGTGAGCGGGACTTAGTTTATCGTATACTTCTAGTTTTTTCTTCACACCCGGACATTCCGATCACTATACCCAAACATTAGGATATCGACTCGTCAATAAATTAACACAGTTTGGTCAAAATAATAATCTTGAAATTTGTTTCATCGCTTGACAATTCTCCAATACAAGTTCTCACGGGTATATATTAGTGGCCCTATGCCAAGTAAACATCGCTAAATAAAAAGAGTAAATTCGAAGCAAAAACGAGATGGGTATTATGTGGTCGTCATCAGAAGTAGAACTAGTACTCCTCTTCTTCCTCTGGGAACGAGTCGGTACCAACCTCCTCGTAGTCTCTCTCCAAAGCAGCCAAATCCTCTCTAGCCTCAGTGAACTCTCCCTCTTCCATACCTTCTCCAACGTACCAGTGCACGAAAGCTCTCTTTGAGTACATCAAGTCGAACTTCTTGTCAATTCTCTTCCAAGCCTCAGCAATAGCAGTGGTGTTGGACAACATGCACACAGCTCTCTTGGCAGAGGCCAATTCAGAGCCCTCAATGGCAGTTGGAGGCTGGTAGCAGATACCGATCTTGAATCCAGTAGGACACCAGTCCACCAACTGAACAGTCTTCTTGGACTTGATCTGGGCAACAGAGTTCTGCACGTCTCTGGTGACAACATCACCACGGTACAACAAGCAAGTGGCCATGTACTTACCCAATCTTGGGTCACACTTGACCAATTGGTTACCTGGCTCGAAACAAGAGGCAGTGATTTCAGAAACAGAATTGGACTCGTGGTTGGCTCTGGCTTTAGAGAACACTGGAGCGTAAGATACCAATGGGAAATGGATTCTTGGGTATGGAACCAAGTTGGTCTGGAATTCGTTCAAGTCGACGTTCAAAGAACCATCAAATCTCAAGGAAGCAGTAACAGAGGACACAACTTGGGCAATCAAGCTGTTCAAAGAGTTGAAGCTTGGTCTAGCAATGTCCAAGTTTCTACGGCACATATCGTAGATAGCCTCGTTGTCAACCATGAAGGTACAGTCAGCGTGCTCCAAGGTGGTGTGAGTAGTCAAAACAGTGTTATATGGCTCCACAACGGAAGTAGACACCTGAGGGGCTGGGTAGACGGCAAACTCCAACTTGGACTTCTTACCGTAGTCGATGGACAACTGCTCCAAGAGCAAAGAGCCCAAACCAGAACCGGTACCTCCACCCAAGGAGTGAGTGAAGAGGAAACCCTGCAAACCATCACATTGGTCAGACATTCTTCTAACTCTGTCAAGAACATCGTCTAAGATTTCTCTTCCTACGGTGTAATGACCTCTAGCGTAGTTGTTAGCAGCGTCCTCCTTACCGGCAATCAACTGCTCTGGGTGGAACAAGTCCTTGTAGGCACCAGTACGGACCTCGTCGATCACATTGGGCTCCAAGTCCACGTATAAGGCTCTTGGAACGTATTTACCCGAGCCAGTCTCAGAAAAGAAGGTAGAGAATCCTTCCTCACCACCCTTTGGTCTGGTCAATCCCTCTTGCAAGTAACCATCAGGTCTGATTCCATGCTCTTGGGAGTAAAGCTCCCAACATGCGTTACCAATCTGGCAACCGGCTTGTCCGACTGTTATGTTAGTATTCGTAGGCGTTGAAGTATTACACGTCAAAAGGGCAGTTTACGCGGATACCCAAGTATGGAAATAAGATGAAAACTCTCGAGCAGTCAAAATAAACGGTTTCAAATCCTCAAGGATTCCCTCTAAAGCATCAAGTTTCGAGATCAAGGGGCATTAGGAGGGCGATTTGATGGTGTAGTCAAGATATTGGATAAATTGGAAAGGAGTGAGCAGAAAATGACAGGATAAGCGCGAAATATGGTAGTTCAATAGATTGGATTCACATACCGTTGATACTGATGACTTCTCTCATGGTGAAACAGCTCTTTCGTATGAGTTAATATCGTGTATTGAGCGGCTAGTCGTGAAAGTTTGAGATTTGTGTTTACTTAATGGGCCACACACGACCATAGGTACCATTGCATTTCCAGGTTCAGCGAAAACCCAAATACTGGCTCTGGTGACACCTGTACCTCCTAGCCTTGGTGAATACTACAAGAGCTCAATAATAGATTACATTCTTATGGCTTACAATTATTTCCGATGCAATAAATACATTAGTGTGGGAGTAATCTAAAGTTCTACTTCTTGACCTCGTAAGCTCTCTGGAATTTGTCGTTGATGTCAACCAAGTAGTAGGCACCAGAAGCAATGTCGTCGACAGAACCAGAAGGTTTGAAGCTCTTCTGCAAGTGAGCCTTCTCTCTCAACTCAATGGCCTCAACATACTCCTGGGGAGTTCTCTGCTTTCTACCCTCGCCCAACTTGAAGTCCAAGTCCAACACTTTGGTGATGGCAGAGATGTCGCCAACCACGTTCAATGACAAGAAAGTGGAAGCAAGACCAGAACCGTAAGAGAACACGGAAATCTTCTTACCTTGCAAGGCTTCGCTGCCAACAAAGTACAACACAGAAGCCAAAGACGACCAACACGAGGCAGTGTACATGTTACCAGTGTTGGTGGCCACCTTCAAAGCTGGGGTGACTCTCTTTGCACTCTCAGCCTTAGCAAGACCCAAGAACACCTTCTCGACATTTCTGTCGGTTAAGGACTGCTCGTAGGACAAAGCAGACACCTGCTCAAAGACCTCTGGCTCGAGTTTCTCCTTGAATGCTTCAGGGTTGGACAAGAAGTCGTTGTACAACAATCTGGCGAAAGACTTGGTCACCAACTTACAGGTTGGAACGTGGAAAGCAGAGTAGTCGAAGTGGTCCAAGATACCAACGGTCTTGCCGGCTTCCTTAGTGATCTTCTTGGAGTAGTTCTGGTACGCGTGGTCCAAGGACTTGGTGTAGCAGGTAAGAGAGAAGTGGCCATCCACCACTGGGTATTCGGAAGTAAAGTCTGGCTTGTAGAAGTCGTAGGCGTGCTCCATGTGCGAGCCTCTCACAGAGTCAAACACAAGAGGTGCGTCAGGACCAATAAGCAAGGCCACAGAACCCACACCACCAGTTGGTCTGGCGGCTCCCTGAGAGTAGATGGCAATGTCTCCAGCCACGACGATGGCGTTTCTGCCGTCCCAAGACGACGACTCAATCCAGTTGACGGCGTTAATGACGGCAGAAGTACCACCGTAACAGGCGTTGATGGTGTCCACACCCTCGATGTCGTCGTTGTCGCCAAAAAGCTGCATCAACACCGACTTGACAGACTTGGACTTGTCCAACAAGGTCTCAGTGCCCACTTCCAATCTACCAATGGAGTTTGGGTCGATATTGTAGTTCTTCAACAATCTGGAAGTTGCGGTCAATGCAATCGAGTAGATGTCCTCCCTGTCGGAAACGAACGCCATGTTGGTCTGGCCCAATCCAATGGTGTACTTACCAGCTGGGATACCGTCGAACTTCTCCAACTCAGCCTGGTTGACGTAGTTGGTGGGAATGTAGACCTCCATGGCCTTGATACCGATGTTTTTAGGCGCCATTGTTAATATAAATTTCCGTGGATAATGATACTGAGAATATTCCACTGCTTTATAGCGAAAATTTCCGTAAACGAGCATACGAGTCTTCCTGCAGCGAGTCGGGAGACTGCTATAGTGGTATCATGCGAGAGCCAATCAAGCCTTCAACAATGAGGGGGCTAAACATGTTTTCATAAAAAATTTAGATACTTTCTTTACAATGCAATGAGCCCCTTTTTATTTTTGCTACCGTCCTTCGCAGTTTTTGTGTTAGCTGGTATAAATAGGAGAGCCCCTGACTGTCGAATGATGGTGCGCGTAAAGCCGCGCCTGGGATGTAAAAGTGTCACAATGATCCTTCTTTGGCGACATTGCGACACACTTGCACCAATTTGGTAACTACCTGATCTAACTTGGTCAATTGGCCTTTAAGTGGTCCAACTTGTCTAATTAGTCTAATTGGTCAAAAGTAGTCGATCTAGCCAAATTCCCTCTGACAACATTCATAGGTTACAATTAATAATTTCCAAATATTGAGCACGTATGTCCTTTCGGCACTGCCACTACAGTATGGCTGCCTAATTCCTCAACCTTTTCTTTTTCGCTAGTTTCTCAACACAAGCGTCCCATTACGGTCATAAATACCGGGGTTGCGAACATACGGATCCAAAGCAATGTAGTTATCGGAAATTTGATAACTCAAGTAGATTTTGTCCTTCAAGTACTGTGAGCTCACCTCGCTGTTAGTGGACTCAACCCATTTCTTTGTTGTCTCCAAAAACTTCATCTGGAGCTCGTGTCTCTGTTTTCTCAACTCTCTATACTTTGCATCTTTGGCCCTTGCAGGCCTCGTATGTTTGACTGAAGGATGAACGTATGTGTTATCGGCGTCATCATCACCTCCCAACTCTGAGGGAATGAATTTGGGGTCGACTAACTCGTTCAATTCCTCGTACCCTTTGGTGAAGTGAATCTTGCTCACAACCACTGGGTCAAGCCAATTCTTGATGATGTTCCACACAGTAGAAAAGATCCACGGAGCATTGTGAATAATAACAATTCCCAAGCTCTCGGGATAATGTGCCTCAAACATAGACGTCAAAAACTTGATGGGAGCATTGTCAGCATTCTTCATTGAAAATCCCGTCAAGTCAAACATTACCGTGCATGTGTCGACGGACTCATTAACTTCTCTCAAAAACAACCTACACCACTCGATTATAAGCAATGCAAATCGTTCTGTCTCCTCGAGGGGAGAGTCCGAAGCGAAATGCTTGCGCGATTGGAAAATAAAGAGTGGGTTCTTGTTCTTATCATGGCCCCGGATTATCGACTTACTCACGGTGAAATTCTTGACAAAACCCTTGTGTGTTCCATTAACGTAGGCTGGAGCATCACCTTCCTCCACCAACTCGTTGGCTTTGTAACCCTTTGTCTTCCAGTCCAAACTATTGGCAAACATCTTGATGGCATCAGGAACCACATACTTTCGAGCACGAATGTAACGCAACAACACATTATCAAACAAGTCGTTACGGCAGAATGACATCATCGAGTTATGAAGTACCTTGGGATTGTACTGCTTCATAAATGGGTAAATGTCTTTGTTAGTCTTCACGGTTGGCCCAGTAAACTGACTCGAAGTCGACTTAGTCGTAGATTGTTTCCTAAGAGACGATTCGCTAGCCGAAATCGAAATTCTAGGTGGTTTGGAAGGAACTTGTATAGAGCTTGGTACAACTTCTCCACCAGATACATCCAAAGTGCTCATTGCCGAATAGAATGTCTCAATAGACTCCACATCAGAGTCTTCGCTGTCCTCAAAATCATCCCCGTCATCTTCACTGTCCGTAATCTCCCCATAATGCTCAATATATAGGTAGCTTATATGATCTGAGACCTCATCCACTTTCGTATACCTCTCCAAGTGACTGTTTTTCAACTTGTTAGTGCGTTCATCACTGATAACACTCTGATCGTCCACGTCAGCCCTCTTGCGGCCAAAAAACGACTTCTTCTTCTTCAAACTAGCAGTGGAGACAGAAGCATTAGTGGAAACCCTCGTGAGTTCTTGAGTCACGCTGGATGCCACAAACGCTCGTTTACTGTGAATGTCTTTGGTGGAAATTTCCACACCATAGCCCCAATACTTGAGGAGAGCAGCCCACGACTGTTTCAAGGCAATTTCCTGGTCAGCACTAAGTGTCTGGATTCTCCCTGGTCTGTATTTGATCTCCGACGGATAAACGGAAGGGTATTGTGACATTCCAGGCAGATAAAGTGATCCGTTGATCTTGTTCGAATAATTCTCGTACCGCGCATTCGGATCAACAGAGCATAGCACTGTTCCGCTTTACGACAAATTGTACGATATGGAATAGCAATAGGATGAGAGAGGGTGTGAAAAATTTAAACAGGCGAATAACATGGGGCTTCAAGTGAACTTGTAGTATTTAGTTAAAAATGGAGAATGCATGAGATATATGTATAGCAACACGTATGATAATGTATGAAAAGGCTCTTGATTGAAACCTCTAGAATCTCTTTCTTGGGCGCATCTGGGCAATCTTACGACCTTGCTTAGCAAGTGGCGGCGTGAATGGTTGACCAGGTACCTGTCCAATTGCAGGGTTTCCCCCGAAAACTGGAGGAGTGTTTTCTCTGCTGGCCAGTCCGAAGCTACCTGGTGCACTATTGAAGTTTCCAGAGGAAAACGAGAAACCTGGGGTTTGACCAGCATTGCCCCCTCCGAAAACTGATGCTGGGTTAGGCATTTGTGAGTTTTGGCCAAATCCGGGTGTGGGCGTGGCGCTGATGCCATTGGCTCCGCCGAAAGCTCCACCGAAAGGTACAGACTGTGGAGTTGGAGCAGCAAGTGCATTGGAATTGCCAAAACTGAATGGAGTGGTGGGAGCAGCGCCAAAGCTTGTAGAAGAATTTCCAAATGCAGATTCTCCAGGCTTGGTAGCTGGAGCAGAAAAGTTGAATCCTGGTGCCTGTGCCCCTCCCCCAAAAATCAGGGCTGGATCAGCAGTGGCAGAGCTTCCGAATGAAAATGACGGTTTCATTGCTTGTGCTGGCTGGCTAGCACTAGGTTTTCCAAAGGAATTTTGAGCCGAACTACTGCTAGCAGGCGCATTGCCAAACGAAAAAGCTGGCTTTGATTCAGTTTGAGGCTTGGGAGTAGTTTCCTTTGAAGAGAATGAGAATACAGAGGCAGTTTCTTTAGCAACATCGCCACCCTTCTGACCAAAGTTGAATGAAGGCGCTTCCTTGTTTCCAAACGAGAATGCCGGAGTGTTAGTTTCCGATTTGTTTCCAACGGTCTGTCCGAATGAGAAATTAGGAGGCTCCGAATTATCTTTCTTACCATCCACGGAATTGAATGACAAACCGGATGGCACAGCAGCGCCTGTGGTACTAAACAGGAACTTTGGAATTTCTGTTGTACTCTTTGAACCGAATGTGGAGCTTGCTCCTGGTCTTGTTCTCTTTGTATTTGGTTCGTCATTATGACCACGTTTCAGACCAAGCTGGACATTCTGTTCACTGGCTGGAGCCGAAAAGCCGAAACTTACAGAAGTAGCCGGTGTTTTTGGTCCCTCGGAGTCCTTCGTGTTTGCAGTTGTGACAGAGCCCTCTTCGCTTGTAGGTCCTTTTGTTTCAGGTTTGCTACCAAAATTGAAAGCTGGAGTGTCTGGCTTTTTGTCACCGAACGAAAATGATGGAGTAGAGGGAGCTGAATCAACTTTTCCGAAAGATATAGATGGTATGTCTTTCTTTTCTCCACTAGGAAGCTTTGTTTCGTCTGTTTTCTTTCCAAAAGAGAATGTAGGTGCTTCATTTTTATCACCGAAAGAAAATTTGGGCCCTTCTTTCTCTCCCGACAACTTGGGCTCTTCTTTCTTCTCTCCAAGCGAGAATTTAGGAGCTTCTTTCTTTTCTCCAAATGAAAACTTAGATGTATCCTTCTTTTCTCCAAAAGAGAATTTTGGACCTTCACTATTGTCTTGTGGTTCGCTCTTCTCTGAAGGCTTAGATCCAAAGATTCCACTACCTGGAGGTGTAGATACACTAACACCAGCACCAAAACTTGGAATTTTACTTTGTTCACTCAGACTTGAAGAAGCTTGCTTGCCGAAAGAAAAGCTGGGTTTTGGGGCATCAGAATCAACAGGTTTGGAACCAAAAGAGAACTGCAGTTTTTCTGCCAGAGGTTTCTTTTCCACCTCTGTGGGTCTTGACCTAAGATTGAATGCACCTTGGGAGGTATCAGTATTAGAGGCGCCGAAAAGTGGCTTGCTTGCTGCATTATCCAGCTTCGTCTCCGGAATTTTCTCTTGATCTGTAGATCTCGATATGTTGAGAGAAAAGGCTGGTTTCGGTGCCTTTGATTCCTCCTTCGAGAAGGAAGTCAACTTCAGAGCTCCACCAAAAAGTGGTGTCTTCTCACTACTGACCAGAGATTTGGTAGTACCAGATTGAGGCGCTGAGAATAATTGTTTTGAGGATCCTGGCAAAATTGGAGTTGAGCTCTTCTGTACGAGCTCTTCATCGTCCTTGCGAGTCTGCAAAATGGACCCGAAATCTTTCTTACTAATTTCAAAATTGAAGCCTGATCCCGGTCCAACTGTTGCCTTTTTCAATAAAGCTGGCTGGTCCTTGAGCTTAATGATGTTAGAGATTTTCTCTGTCTTTTTCACATAATCATCATCCAAAACTGCATCCTTTGCCTGACCTGTTCTAATGGACTCTTCTAGACCCGCACGTTGGCTCGTTGATTTCTGTCTATTAGTAGACTCCTTAGACGAGTCATCATCGGGGAATGGTTTGGGTCCACTATTAGTGGGTGCGCTCTTGAAAGCAGGCAGACTGAGCTTGCCCAAATACCCATTAAGCTTAGACTCAGCAACCTCCGCTTGTGGAGTGGACTTTGGTTCGATTGGTTCATAGTAGAATTCTCCACTGAACATTCCACATCCTCGTTTGGTTCTCTTGTTCTTTCTGTTAGTCAATGCCAACTTAGTGCGTACAGCATTGAAACGTAGAGAACGGTCCAAGAAGTCCTTATTATACGTCTGTGTTGAAGATTCCACCTTGTTGTTTGGTTTAATGACGGAGGTGGTCTCATCTGGGTCAATCATGTACTTAAGTCTGTTTTGTAAGAATTCAGAGGCTTCGATGGACTTCTTCAATTGGAGTAAGTGATAACGCTCTCTAGGATCCAAATTAATGAATGGCGGCCGAACTAAGTTCCCTTCGGCATCTTTGTACAGAGGGGCAAACTCATGTTCAATGACAAGCGGAAGACCGGCATCCTCCTCCAACACCATCTCATTTAAGTTAGTCGGTAGGATCTGATTTCTAGGCACAATATTGAATGTCGGCGACTGCTCTTTCATCAAAACATCTTCCTCAACACCCACCATGCTCATTCGCCTCTGTTCCAGGTCGCCTGAAATGGCTTCCTTCTCAGATTGGAGGCTGTTTCTGAGTGTTTGGTATGTTGCCAAACCAACAATGGAAGAAGATCTGGGAACGTGCTGAGACATGGACTTCAATTCTTCAATAACCGATTCCCTTCTCTTACGGGATGTGAAGTCTCTTGGGAATACATCTTGGTCAATGAAGTTATTAGTTTCACTGGACTTTTCTTGTTTCTCAGTGATTCCTGAAAATGCTCTTTTCAAAGTCGAGAAAAATCCAAAACCTTTGCGCTTCTTGGTCGGAGAATCATTCTCCAGCACAGTTTGAGGACTGACCGAGCGCTTCATGGCTGGATGAAAAAATATTGAGTAAATATCTCCGACTTGGAGCAACACATCTCAATCTCGATACGTTGGATATTACACCCGTACACCATGAGCGATCTCATCAGTTATTAGTGTGTGTGACATTAAATTTGATATTATCTATTAGGCTTTTGAATTACTCTTCACTTTCGTGGCTGGCCATCTCAAACATTGCCTTGTGGCCATAAGGCTCGTCTCCGGCGTTCAAGTGAAGCGGTGGGCCGTCCTCGTCAAAGACATTCTCTACCACATTATCGTAGTAAGACTGTGCAGGGTTTCGAAGACCAGTAATTGGATTGTCCCTTGCAACCTCATCGATTTCCTTGATGAGTTTTATCATGGAACTTTCTCCATAGTTGACACCGTATTGTACCGCAAGTGGAATGACACCTTGCGCCCACGCATCCACGATTCTTGTCCTCTGCTTCGTTCCCAACCGCGAGATTGGGAATTCGCCCTTTTTGATGAATGAGACAATATCAACAACAAGATGATGCTTACTATAGATAGTGTTCACAATAAGCGGCACAAGCGATGCAAAGTTTCGTGTTCTCTTAGTCTCGCACACAATGACAGTATACTCGGAACATTTGAATATACATGAACCATTCTTGTACATATCAGGATGGCATGATTCAATTGTCGCCTCAATATCAATTGGGAAGTGGTGGAGTCCTAAAATTTCGAATGTATCGGAAATTTTTCCGAGCACGAAAAGTGGCTGAAATGATGTAATTTGTTGTGCGTCTTTGCCCACATTGGAATTTCTTGAAATCGATATGTGATGGAGGAATCCCAAATCACCCGTACGTAAGTATGTCATCTCTGGATTTCCATCCACAATCTTTCCAAAGAACTGTTTCTGACAGAAGTTGTCAGGAGGACCTTTGGGTCCATTCGTGAAACCGGCCAAATTTGCTTCAGAGCAAACCCAGATCTCCCCAAACTCTCCCTCTCTGCAAACTTTGCGTGTTTCTGGGTTAACAATTGCAATTTCTGTACAAACAGGCACCATTCCAGAATCTTGGATTCTCAAGGCATTTGGATACTCAGCTTGGTTAACAATTGAAACGTATCCTTGTCTCAAAGCAATAGGATCCAAGTAAAGGTCGACTGGCGCAACAGACATGTAAGACCTCGTAGAAACAATTGGGTTGAAGCAATTGTAATACACAGCAGACATAGATGCGGCGCTCAACTTTGTAGGCTGGAAGTTTGAAGCAATTCTCCTTAGAAGGTCAACTTCCACACGATTTTCTGTACTGATCATCATGTTCTTTAGGCTTGCCAAGTTGAAGCCCTTGGGCGTGAATTTGGATAAGGCGTATTTTAGCATCTGCTCTGTGACGAAAACATCCTTCACTTTATAACGTGATAAAGCTAAGAAAAATGCGAGGGGATTCTCCGCAAAATTCACTGGCGAACTGAGATATGTTGTGGTTCCAAGGAAAACACCTAGTAATGCACTTTGGATGAAACCAATTCCTGAAGCATGACGAACACAACCAACGATGGCGGATTTGGAGGAGAGGTTGCAAGTTTCCTTGAAAACTTTGCAAACATGGATGATGTTGCTATGAGTGAGCGTTGCCCCTACTCTGTAATGGTCTGAAGTGAAATTGCACCAAGTCAAGGCGATCGTATTCTCGTCTCTGTATTTTGCCTCAGCCTGGTATTTGGCAATCTTTGAGTTCAAACTAGCAACATTTGAAACCTTAGTGATTTTGGATGTATTCTTCATACGCAAGGGCTTCATATGATTCAATCTTTTCAATGCGTCAGCCACTGGTCCGTTCTTCATGAACTTCTCAACCTCGTCGTTTACAAAAACTTCTCGAACATCAAAATCCTTGACAACACCTGCAAAGGCTGGAAAATCTTCTCCTACTCGATTGGAATCGAAAGGAAGTATTGGAATGGGAATTATTCCGCACATAAGACAAGCATACAATGCAATGATGAACTCCTCAGAAAGGGAGTACATTAATATCACATATTGGCCTGCTCTGACAGAAGTCTTTTCGATCAAGTATTGACAAACAGCGTAGATTCTTATTTCAAACTTTTTCCAAGTCAATGGCTTAGAGCTGCTCTTGCCATTTGTGTCAATATTTTGAAATGCAATTGAATCTGCTGAATTGGCAACACGAAACTTCAAGATGTCAATGATACTCTTGAAATCAGTTAATGGTGCTTTAGTTCTATCATCGTAGGTTTTTTCTCTGTAGTCTATGGTTGAAAACTGAGCAGGAAAGCGTTGCAATGAAGAATTTCTCAACTGGGAAGCAAAAGGAGACCAAATACCTCCAAGCAAATCTTCACCATGAGGAATCATACTAATCGATTGTCTAACAAAGAATTTGACAAAATCAGACTTCAATGAGCCTTCTAAAAACTTCTTCTTGCAGAGCATATTCGCGATTTCCACGCCTCCACTTCTCAAGATCTTTGGCAAAGTGTCACAATCGACAACAACGACGCAAAACAAACGAAGCTGGTGTCTCTTGTGCAAGGTATCGAAACATTTTTGTGCAATTGCATTCAAGACCAGCTCGTTAAGTGGACTAGTACTGTAGTCGTACTTGTCTTTTGACTTGACACCTCCAGGATTATTAGTATCTGGCTCGTCTAGAACCTTTCTGATCACTTCAGCCTCCACAATAGCAACCGGTAAGTATTCGTTGCCAATGAAGATATCGAATATGGTACAATCATACACCTCCTTCACTTCATTAGCCAATGTGGCCAATAAATGAGAGGAGTAATGGTACCTTCTTCCCGAGTCAACCACAAACTCCTTATTGAGACTCTTGAAATGTTTCTGATCCATCCAACTGACTCTTTGGCGGATTCTGTCTTCATAAAGACCAAGAATATACACCTTTCCATTAAAAGTGAATCCTAAAAGACCAGTCCGCAAAAAATCTTGTTCGAGGATTCCATTTGCGTCTCGGCATTTGGCATGAAAAATCAGTTTTGACTCTTTCTTGAGGCCATAAAATCCTCCTGATAAGCAAGGACTGTCAATCCAGATTTCTCCAAGCTCACCCTTGAATACCAAAGTGGACAGCTCTGGGTTGACCACGGCCAATGTAGCATCTGGTAAAGGGTAACCAAACGCATCAACTCGTAAGGTATCTGAGCCATGGTCATCGGACTCAACAGGGTTGGTTTCCACAACTCTTACAATATTACGCGAAAGTGCCTCTTTGTCAATGATAACGGAAGATAATTCATCGTTATACTTCATGGATGCGTCAAGACCCAAGTTTTCAGTGCCACCAAGCCAGTCTCTCGTTGAGATTACCATGCCACCATACTCGCTAAGTGTGAGGATAGGGTTAATAGCATTCCGTGCGTGCTGACAACCTAAAGGTTTCAAGTATCGTTCAGTCATGACATCGATAAATTCACCATCCACGGTGAGTGCATTAATGAGAACCCATTTAATTGTACTGAAATCCACTCTCTGAGTTTTCAGGTAGTATCTTGTCAAATTCGGGTTCTGCTGATAATCATAAGTTACTCTTTTCAAGCCTAAGAAGTCGGCAAGTAGAAGGTTGGCTCGACATCTGGAGACAATATTGGCATAAAGTCCGGAGACATCCATTACCTTTGGAGGCGCCCAGACTAGCATATTTCCCGAGTATATCGTGAACATGATACCCATGATTAAACCAATAGAGATTCGAATATCGATAGTGGCCAAAAATACTCGTCGAGATCTTCTAGCAGACCCAACTGGTTGTTTGAGAGGATCACCAGCATTTGGCAAACTCAGCAATGACATATCCAAGCAATTCATCTGATGCAAGATGGTTCTGTGGGAGAGTGCAATTCCACGTAATTCCCCCACCGGGCTCCGTGAAAATTCCACGTACGCCAAGTCATTTTTGATGTCTATATCCTTCTTGTTGCGTCCAAAAACGTTCTCCTGCTCGGACTTACGAGCAGAACCCAAATCAGTGGTTCGAAGACGGGAAACCTTAGATGGCCAGGTGATCTGGTTTACTGCACTGAGTTTCTCGAATTCTTTGTAAATGGAGTCAGACATTAACACAAGTGAGGAACCAGTTGACTTGATGATGTCAAACATCTCCGTCAAGGTAATATCCTGGTGGATGGGAATTGCAGTCAAGTTGGCCATGAAACATCCAAAGAGAGCAACTGTAAACTCACAAACGTCCAGGTCCTTATAGAAAAGAACTACAGGATCGTTGGGACTGAGGTGAGGTCGATGCTTCAACTCGTTAGCGACCTTGACAGACTTCAAGTATAGCTTTTCCCACGAGATGGTGTGCAGCTCCTTGCCACGAGAGTCAAGCACCAAGAAGGCCATTTCAGTCTTATAAGCAGCGGCTCTCTCCCTCAAGATAGACATGAGAGACTGCTTAGCAAAAGTATTAAAATCCAGCAGCTTTCTGGGGAGCAAGATGTCCTCAAGTTGTTCTGGCTGCAATTGGATGTTATTCTTTTTCTCTTTGAGCCGATTGACCAGTTTTATGATCTCTTCACGTCGGTTAATGTAGCTCCATTGATCGATGGTTTTATTGGCAAAGTCCTCCTCGAGCTTCTGAAGCAATATGATCATATCAGGTGGATAATCCTGATTTCCGTAAGCAGGAGCCACAGGAAATCCCATGGGCTCGGCCGCTTTCACTTGCTGCTGGCCTGTGCCGATGTTCATGAGGAGTAGTTGAAGCTTAAAATAGGTTCGCGATTTGATGTGACAATAGACAGTAGACAAAGGACTTCGGTACTTTAGACGGCAGAGGTTTCATTTATTTTTCTCGTACTAGTGGAGAGACAAAAACGGGGGAGTAGCTGTATGTTCATTAATTGGGGAAAACAAATTTTGGGCAGTTTTGTGGGTTTCGTTAGAGAGGTGGAATGTATGATCAAGGTAGATTCTAGAATGAGTGTGAGACTATGATACCCAGAGTGAAATCGGGGAGCAAATTTCCTTCTAGAGTGAAGATATATGGCAAGCAAGAAAACAATGAATCAGATCAGTTTTACTAATCTGAGATTGAGTAAACCAAGATTTTGTCATTCCCTGCTTTTAGTACTGGCTTTTCTCTACTACGACTCGTTCTGAGTCAGCAGTGAGAAGACCTCAGTATTGAAACAAGAATGTCGGTTGCAAATACGTCGAATAATCAAAAAATGATATGGTTATGTGACTTATAAAATAAAATATCAAGATCTTTCTTCACATTCACCTGCTTTACCCATTATTCCAACTATTGCTGGTATCCTCTCTTCCAATACTAGCCTCATCACTTGTACTACAACATGGACAAGAATTACAAGCATAATTATACATTAAAATACAAAAAGAAGAACCTACTCATTTGCAACACCAGGACCCTTGTATACGAGCTCGTTTGGTACCGGTATACCCTTCATCTGACACAACTCTATCAATTTCTGGTTTTCATCCTTCAAGTAATCAATATAGTTGGCAGACTTGGTAAGAATACTAAGTTCAGATCGACTTTCCTGCTCGGAAAGTGTTGGGGTGAGTCTGACAATATGGTCAAACTCTGCTCTTATGTTCTCCCTTCTTTTTTGCTCAGATGCAATGTGGTGGGCCTGATAGTTAGTCTCTGGTGGCAGTACAAGAATTAACAGACAGCACACCTCAAAAAATCGGGTGGTTATTGGTTCTATTCTCTTAGTTTTTCAGCCACATACCTTCTTTTGTTCTTCGGTAAGATTCGAGTTCAGCATGATATATCTTGGGGTAATTTGAAGTTGACTTACAAGACTGTGATTTTGCGGGGTGGAATGAGTAGTGCACGACTCGCTATACTTTCGTTTAACGTGTCAATTGCAACATATACTGAGAAGGGTCCTTATCCAAAATGGGTAGACAAAGCTTATCGGAACATGGGAATCACAAAAATGAAGTTCAAAAAAGAATTCTCCCGGGGGTGAGTCGAACACCCGATCTCAAGATTACAATGCAATTACAGTCTCGCGCCTTAGCCAGCTTGGCCACCGAGAGGAATCTATATGAAGAACAAACATCAACTTAACTATATCAGGCATTTCAGTTGTTCATATGCAGTCTGTAAAAGTTGAATTTATCAAGTTTCCACTATCCGGTGTAATATGTCTCATATATGGAACCTGGCATGAAAGTGGAAGGACACTTTGCAATCCTTGGGTGATCAAATTGATTATGGAGCTTCAGGATACTTCCACTATGATTGCTCAACAATCAACCCAAAGTCTGCTTACACCCAAGCAAGTCCTTACGAGCATGAGCAACCAATCAAAGCTTACATTCACTAAAACTTATAATCAGCATATTCCTATTGCTCTAATTTTCATTTTCATTTACATATAATAATCTCTTCATAGTCCTCATTGATAACATACCCAGGTTTACTCAAGAGAACATCTCAAGAGGTCGGGATCTGTCACACAGGCAATCTGTTCCGCAACCTGGAAGACAGAATTCTCTGGATCTATTTCCTCCCATTCCGAAAACTTGATGTTCTTCCAGAAACCTGTCAATTCGACTTTCCTTTGCTTCAAGCTATCCATCCGCACACTTGTAGTTTTATGATGGATCTGAAGTGTTTGGCCTGGTTCAATGTCACAGTATAGCTTTTCTGCTGTCAGATGGAGAAACGATCCAGATAGTGTGAGTGTTGCACTGGATCCCAACAACTTGAAGAATACTCTAGGACCGAATGCATCACCAAGATTGACGGTACTTGTTCTAGTTATGGTTGTGACAGTGTCAGATAATGAATTGTCAACACATCCTTCCATAGGTTCCCACTCCGATTCCACAATTCGCGAGTTGGATGTGGGAAGATTGGTTTGAATATACTTGTGCTTGCGTAAATCGTCCAGTAGGTTCTGGCTCTCGAAATCAACTAAGCTCTGAGAGTTGGAATTTCCCACTAAATCCAACAAATATTGAGATGCAATGACTGAATTGTCGTGCACCACTCTGATCAACGGGTATTTGGAAAGAATCTTCGGTGTGAGCATGGAGATGTTGGCGATCTCATATTCACCAATTTGGTTGATCAATGCAAGAAGGGAATTCCCACAAACAATACCAAAAAGGGAGGAAAGAAAGAGGGTGACCTTCATGATTACCTAAAAGAAGAAGAAAGAAATAATTGTTTAGGAGAATTTTAGGAGAAGTTGACCATTGGGTTGGAAGACCCCATTTATTAACTTTTCGCAGCCAGATCACATTCATGGAAAAAAGAGTTTCGTCATGTTAAAAATCAGATATGCAAGAAATGTAAAAAATACTTACAAATTGAACTCTCAAAGCAGAGTGAAATGTTTGCCAAACGCCAAACGAACACATATGCTATAGGGTAGAAGCTTTTTGTTTGGCATACCAAAACTTGGCGTTCATGGGGACTCCCTTGATGATCATTCACCGACGCCTTTAAGCGAAACAGCTTCTGAAAGCTGTCATATTTACATCGTGTTATCTTTTGATTTATACATGGCTAGGACTTTTATTAATTTGAGAGGTAACTTAGTAGGTATATCAAAGAATCGTTAGGTGGCCTACTGCTTTCATCCAGAGGTACGGATGTGCAAATGAGAAGAAAAGTTTGCGAGTCACCACGGACTTATCAACTTAGCCAACCATGCCATTCAGATTCCCGGTCAAGTTCGAGCTCCCCAAACACAGCTACCTCAACAGTAGAGTGATTAAGGACCAATTTAAGAGATTGCAGTTTGCCGAGCATGAGGTAACCAGAAAGGCATTGAAGTATATTGCCAGAAACACTGAGCTTCCCGCCAGAGCCAGATTGGAGGCCCAGTTGCAGCTTACGGCTATGCCCAAGTACACGTCGTCCACTCAAATCAAGGAGAGATGTGTTGCTTCCGGCCACGGACGGTCTGTCATCACCGACTTCAAGTTGAACAGAACCGCATTTAGAGAGAGGGCCCGTGCTGGTCAGATTCCGGGGGTGAAAAAGGCATCGTGGTAACTTGTATATAGAAATGAACACACGACGAAGGAGACGTAGAAGAGAAGAGAGGAGGGTGGAGGTTAGAGAGGATGATTGGAGGGTTAGAGAGGGTTGGAGGAGAGAGAAAAGCCATGCTGATGGGTAAGTCGAATAAGTGGGACGAAGTGCCAATAGTGGAACCTGGACATACGTGAAGCTCTACTTTAAAAATTTGTCTGAGAAAGAGGGTAGGAATTCTGGGTTGTTTCGTGTCAAATGAAGTTACCATTACCTACTTTCAAACAACACTCAAAAATGGTGCTGGAAGACCCAGAAAACAGCTCAAATAAACGTCAACAAAGTAATCAAAACATAAAGAATTTCTGAGGAAAAGCGTGTGGTCAATTTTCGGCAATGTCTCTCAATTTTGGATGGACCACTGAGATTATAGCAAAGGTGATTCAATTGCTCAATAAGAGTCGAGTAGTCACTAATGGCCATAGTAATGTGGCTGAAAGTGGGCCATCAGTATCAACACCCAATTTTGAGGCTCAGGATGTTAGAGTAGAAACTCTGTCCAGTCTTAATGAGCCAAATATTATTCAATTAAATGCTTAAGAACCAACCTTGTCCTTAAAGATGATTCAGACCGTTCATCAACTGAAACTTATCCATTCCTTTCCAAGTGAAAACTTCAGTATCTCTCCATACTGCCACTACTGTATTAACGCTACATCTCGGCATCTTTTCTCACCATAGTCTCACCAATACTTGCACTGCCAACCTTGGCACGATCTTAGGTACTGTGTATGTGAGTAAACGGTTGCACAGTTCCACCGCCACCACCACAACGTCTATGATATCAACATATGGAATGCACCATTACCACAAATCTCCTAAGTACAAGAATAATCGGGATCATACATAAAACAAATGGCAAACCTCATCGTCAACCGAATGACACCTACAAGGCACAGTGTTGCGATATTGCTCCACAACACTTTCGCACTGATCGTCTTCGGCTCCGCTGCAACCACTCCCGCCAATCTCCGCACCGCAACTCTACGTCATGGGCCGTCAAAGTACGCATATTTGGCCCTCGTCCGCAACCAACACTAAAAGTATGAAGGTTGCATTTCTGAGGACTAATCCGTGACAGTTAATAGGCAGATAAGCACACAGACAGATAGGTAGATAGCTTAATAGGCAGATAAGGTAGATAGGCAAGTACTGATTAAACAATGAGGGCGGCCGACTGTGAGGAGCGATGGGCGATCTACAAAGTTGAAAAAAAAAATACCCCCGTCTCAATCTCTAGTGGTTGGTCTCTCTCCTCTTAAGATCTCGGCAACGGCAGGACGAATGCCGGCCCGACAGAAATCACCCCCAACATTTGATTACCCCATTGATGGGGACCGGTTCCATTCACCTCATCGGACCTACTACCTGTGCCGTATAAGGTAGCCAGTGGGGAGTCCACAATAGGTATTTCATCGCTATACAGGCAAGATTCTACCCATTCTGCATGGAGGCGGACGATCACGAAGTAGGGAGAGCGGAATAAACGGAGTTGGATTTTTTGACCAAGGTGCGTAGCAAGAAGCAAAAGAAAAAAGAACACGAGTGAACAAACGGACAAAAATGCCCGGAAAAACTCGACCAACGATTCCATCCTTCATCGATCTCGGCCCTCATGGTCGGTATAATCATTACCTTGTCAAGAAAATACGGCATTGTTAAAAAATGGAGGGCCACATCTGCACACAGCTAATGTGCTTTGCCCAATATTTTTGTTCTCCACGGATATTGCTCCTGCAGACGCCTAAATTAGCCTGGGGCACTTGACACAATTAATTACTGACAAAAAGAAAGTGGTGGAATCCAATCCACAATTTGCTAATCTCTATTTGTCTTCTTATTTTCTTTTCGTCTTCCTTCCAAGAGCCATTAGCTTTTATCTGTGACGACTTTCTACCGCATTATTGCCGAATCATCCTCCCACGTTTGCTAGGCTGCTCATTAATACAACAAAATTTAACTCCGTGCCTGATTTACTCATCCACAACGTCTTATCATTTTATCTGATCTTTGTATCTATGATTTGTCATGATGATTATGAACTGGAAAAATGATCCGGTCAAGCCCAAGCCAACACGCTTTAACTTGGGCGGCCTTATCAAGAAGAAGATCACCTGGCGCCGTTCTATCGACTCGTTGGCCACTTCCATTGACCAATTACAACTTGATTTGACACCAGAAGCAAACTCCTCCGCCTACTTGTCTTCCACAAACCAACACGAGCTTTCTCTGCCCGAATCAACTGTCCACGGCGACTCCTCCGACGGGGGTTTCTCGCAGCCGCTGTCTGCGGCCACATCCACCTCGTCGTATCCTCCAGCAAAGAATTATACCCATGTTTACCACACCGAGGAACGCTACACATCATTCACAACGGAATGCATCTCACTACTGAACAGTGACATGACGCTGCACATGGACTATGGCGAAGACGCCGACGCTGATGACGATGAAGACAATGTTGACAACGGACTCTCAGGACTTGCTCCGTACCGGACAAAGTCCATAGATTATACTGACAGTATCGTATATGATCCTAAAGCTGAAGAATGCATTTCGGATTATCGTTCCGGCGGTTATCATATGGTCAGAATAGGCGATCAGTACACGTCAGCCCTGTCAAAGTACCAAGTGCTTCGGAAGCTCGGGTGGGGCCATTTCTCCACGGTCTGGCTCTGTAGCGAGCTTGGAACCGGTCGTTTTGTGGCCCTCAAGATTGTCAAGCTGGGCCGCAACTATTCCGAAGCTGCTAAAGACGAAATCGCCATTCTCAATGGCCTTCAAGGCGAGAATTGCGAATACAATGACTGCCAGAGCCTACATGACAAGGCGTTGGCAGATGGGCACATGGTTAAGTTGCTTGATGATTTCGTCATCAAAGGAGTTAATGGAGTTCACACTGCTATGGTATTCGAGCTCATGGGCGAGAGCATGTTGCATTTGATGTACAAGTACAAGGCAAGCAGGCACACCAATCGCTCGCTAAAGAACAAGGGCCCTCAGCACTTGCTCAAACTCGACATGGTGCGTCTGATTGCACAACAACTTCTCGTTCTGATGGACTTCATGCATCGCAAGGGTATTGTCCACACTGACTTGAAGCCCGAGAACATTCTCATGACCTACGACCGCAAGATACCGGAGTCCCTCCACCAAAAGATCAGAGCGCCTCTGCGGTTCCAAGTTCTTCCCTCCCAGCCCTTAGTTACCTCTCTCGAAGATATTGAGGCATCCCCATTGACGGTCAAAGTGGCAGACTTAGGAAACGCAACATACTCCAACCTTCATTTCACCAACCACATTCAGACACGCCAGTATCGTGCACCTGAAATAATTCTTAAGCACTGCAACTGGGGTGCACTGGCAGATGTGTGGTCTGTTGGCTGTCTCATCTTTGAACTCATGACTGGCGACTACCTCTTTGATCCGCAAGAGGGCCTGACCTTCACGAAGGACGAAGACCACTTGGCCCAGATCATCGAGCTACTAGGCGAGTTCCCAACGGAAGAGTACCTTAGTGAATGCGAACTCGCATCTGCATACTTCCGTGATACTGAGACGTTGGAGAGCATTCCATCATTGAAGTTCTGGTCACTCAAAAAGGTGTTCATCGAAAAGTACAAGTACAACTTCGACGACGATAACGTCAAGTTAGCTTGTGATCTCATTCTCAAATGCTTGAAATTTGATCTGGCGGAACGTTACGATTGTGGCTCACTTTTGAAACATCCGTGGTTTAAGTCAAACGCAAAGTATGTCCAGCACGAAGTGGACATGCTCCCCAACAACAACACAGAAATCCGTGGGTTCAACTGTGAAGAGTGACCGTGCATGATTACTCATTTTACTTCACTTCTCTATTAGGTATATAAAGGTAAATTTGGATAGACTTTTTGAATTAGCGACACTCGTAGCGATGGTTTTGGAGCTGGGAGTAATGGACAGTATCTTTCCAAACATCTAGAACCGGATCATGGGGATCCACGCTGGGGTCTCGTTTGGGTTCCGTGTCTTCATCAGAGCTTTCAGTGGATCCAGAATCTGAACCAACAGAGCTCTCATCGGATTCTGCGCCTGAGTCAACAGGTTCGACATCGCCGTCGATTTCATCCTTAGAATTGCTCTGATGTTGATCATGTGTGTTGACATCTTGGGTATCATCGACGGCCCTATTTTGATCTCTCACATTCAGTTCATTCTTGTCGTTCTCTTTCTTCGTAGAATCTACAACCTTATCATCCTTAATTGTCTCCTCAACTTTATCATCCCCATGTGTCCCATCAGCCTTAGCATCCTTAAATGTCTTAACATCTCCCCTGATATTCTTTTTCTTCTTCTCCTCCTCTGTTCCCTTCCCCGTACCAGTTTTTAGCAACTCGTGCGCAGACCTCATGACAAACCCGTTATCCTCATCCTCATCTTCGTCATCTTCATACGATAGTTTCACGGTAGTCTTTGCCTTTTTACGTTTTGGCTCTTGCACTGAGATATTTTCTTTCGTCATCTTCAAATCATCAAAGTATGGCTGCAACACCTCAACTCCATTAATACTCACCGCGTACTTTGGAGTCACTCCATCCTCTTTCTTCTCTCCCTCCAGAATCTTCAAAACATTATATATCAGATCACTTACCACTTTGCCAATCACAACAAATCTACCGTTGAATTCAGCCATCGGTTTCATGGTGATAAAGAACCCATCAGGACAAGCCATAGATGAATCCTCCACGTTGAGAAGTGCAACGTTTCCACGGGACGAAAACTTGACCCGCGAGTGGAATTCCCGTCGTATTTTGGTGGTCAACTCCTTGGGAGTCACCTCCACATGCAGATTTTCGATTTTGTCAAAGTTTAGTCCAATATACTTCTTATCCATACAATTCTGGAGAAATGCCCTGCATGAAACAGGAAGTTCGTGGGCATAGAGCTCCACGTCGATATTCCCTTTGGAAGTGGTGAAACGTACTTTGGCAGTAGTAGCAATATCCATGGGGGTACAATGTCAACTATGAATATTTAAATCAATTCTGATGGAATGTTTGCAAGATTTAAGTGCCAGACATTTAATGCAGAAATTGAATTTGAGAATACACCCGTACACCATAATTTGCTCGACCACCAAAATATCCACGCCTACTAAATCACCTTAATCACAAGCTTAGCAGGTGTTAAAATGGGGTCATTGAAGCTGTTTGTGAAAGCTGTACGTAAAGCAAAGACGATTGCTGATGAGCGAACGGTAGTTCGGAAAGAATCTGCGGCCATTCGTACATCTTTTAGAGACCCAAACTTGGACCAGACAACTAGACGAATAAACATCTCCAAGTTGTTGTACCTCTATATTTTGGGCGAGAAAACACATTTTGGTCAAGTGGAGTGCTTGAAGTTGTTGGCATCTCCTCGTTTTGCTGATAAAAGGTTAGGCTATTTGGCCACCATGCTTCTTTTGGATGAAAATCAAGAGGTGTTGACGCTTTTGACCAACTCGTTGGATAACGACATGCAACACCCCAACACCTTCATTGTGGGACTTGCATTGTGCTGCTTGGGTAACATTGCCTCACCAGAATTGGCCCGCGACTTGTATGCCAACGTGGAGAAGATCATGACACTGACCAACTCCGTATACTTGAAGAAGAAGACATGTATTGTTGCTGCAAAATTGGTGGAGAAAGATCCCGATTTGGCCGAGGTGTTCATGCCAAAGATCAGTGTATTGCTCACCGATAAAACGCCGCTGGTGTTATTGGGAACATGTCGTATGATTCTGGCTGTCTATGACAACTGTCCCGATGAGCGTGAGGCTCTCATCAAGTTTTTACCTAAATTGATCTCTCATTTGAAGAGAATCATCACCAGTGGTTACATGCCAGACTACGATGTCAATGGTATTACTGATCCATTCTCGCAGGTGACCCTTCTCTCGGTGATGAGAACACTTGCCACTGATGAAAGCTGTTCCGCTAAGTATCTCGAGGAGATGAACGATATCTTGACTCAGGTGGCACTGAACTTAGACAGCGGAAAGAATGCTGCACATGCCATATTGTATGAGTGTATCAAAACAATTTTCGCCATCAAATCAGACCAGTCTTTGAAGGTATTGGGTGTGAACTTGTTGGGTAAGTTCTTGCTGACTAAGGACAACAATACAAGGTATGTGGCACTTGAGATGTTGCTTACTGTGATTAACTTTGAGCCAATGGCTGTTCAGCGGCACAGATCTACCATTGTGAGCTGTTTGTCCGATGGTGATATCTCTATTAGGAGAAGAGCTTTGGAATTGGTGTTTGCCATTCTCAATGAGCAAAACATCCGTGTTCTCATCCGTGAGATTTTAACCTTCTTGGAAAATTGCACCGATAACGAACTCAAACCTTTCATTACTTCTCAATTGGTCAACGCATCGTCTAAATATGCGCCTAATGAGAAGTGGCACTTTGACACTTTGGTGCGCATGTTGAAGGTGTCTGGCAACTATATTACCCTGGACATTGTTTCAAGTATTTTGGCTTTGGTAATGAGATGTAATGATGGGGAATTGAAGAAGCACGTGGTAGGTAAGTTGCTACTGTCAAGTTTGGAGGACCCTACCCAGTATGGATTAGCATTGATTACCGTATGGAGTCTTGGTGAGTATGCGGATCTCATCTTGAATAGCACTATTGAGGTTAATGGCAAGTCCGAAAATGTCTCAGAACTGTCCATTTTGAATTTGATTGAGAACCTTATTAACAATTCCAATTATTCCCAGACCGAGACAATCCAACTCGTGACATTCATCTTGACTGCAGTGATCAAATTGTCAGTGAAGATGACAAACCCAAAGAGCATCGAGCAATTGCGCATGATCTTGAACTCCAGAAGCTACGACGACAATTTGGAGATCCAAACTCGTGCAATCGAATACCAGCAGATATTTGGTCAAGATGAACGCTTGAAACATGGCCTTTTGGCCAGAATGCCTCCACCTCCACTCAAGGAGAGACAGACGCTCAGCTTGCAGAATGATGGCAAGAGCAAACAACAACAAAAGGGTCCCACAGCTGCTTCCAATGCCACTGATGACTTGCTCAACCTTCTTGATGATGTTCCTGGTCCAATCAAACAAGATTCACAGGCTCAACAAACAAGTAACGATCTTTTGTCGGACATTTTTGGTTCCCAGCCGACTCCAAGCGGACCAGCTTCTAGTGGAATGGCCGACATTTTTGGCAGCCTGCCATCGGCACCAGCTAATGATAACGCTATCGAAGCATTTGCCAATGGTCACTTGCGCATCACATTTAGCCCTGCATCTTTTCTGGCTGGCCAAGCCGTTGTCAATGCAGACATCACGTCTATGGCGCCCCAAAGTAAGATTGAACATGTGCAGCTACTCATTGCGGTACCAAAGACACAAAAGCTTACAATGTCTACTACCGCAGGCAGTGATTCTTTGGTCACCGGTAATGTCATCAAACAGGTGTTGAAAATTTCAGGAAAGGAAGGGTCTAAAATCAAGTTGAGGGTCAAGGTCAAGTATAATTTAGATGGTGCGACTACAGAGGACCAGTTTGACTTTGCTGGATTCACGCATACATTGTGAGGCTATTGATCTACAATACAAAGCAAAACACACGAAGTATCAAGACTTAGATCTCCACAGAGGTCGAAACACCCTCAGCAGCCTCACTAACCTTCTCGGAGGCGCTCTTCTTGATGTACTTGTCAGTCACAGGCTTGATGATGTTGACGTACACCACCTTGGAGCCACCGAATGGAGGAATACCAGCCCACAACAAGAAAATTGTCTTGAACAAGAAGTAGAAAGGAATCCAGTACAAGATAGCACGGGACCAGAACTCGATGACGTTCAAGAAGGCGAACACAACCCAGTAGGTCAACAACTCAGTGTCGTCGGCCTTGGAGACTGTGTCCAAGGCGATCAATGAATAGTAACCTGGAATGACGAATCCGGCAATGTTGGACAACAATTGACCCATTCCCCCAATGTTTAAGAATACCAAGGCCAAATAAACACCGCTGCCGGACAATACGGCGTAAGATCTGGGCAATCCGGTTTGCTGTTCGAAGAAACTCAAGGGAGTGATACCCGAGGTAGACTAAAAGTTAGACATTGAGTGAAAAAACTGCAATTGTGATACTTACTCTGTCGATATGGCTCAAATAACCCTTTGCGATGTCAAGTACAGCTGCCATTTTGGAAAAAGATGTTGATGGAAGTTGACGAGAACGAAGGATTGCTTCTTGACCTGAACTGTGTGCAGTCGAGCATTTCAATTTTCAGAAGATAATGGAGATTGATACAGAAGCTTGAGGAAAGCATTCAGAAGTGTTAGCAGATAATTGGAGAAGAAGAAGGAGTTTTTTTCTTTTATCTGTAATATCAATGAATAAAACACATAGATTATACGAAGTGGACTTTTCTATTCTCTCTACATGGATCCCGAGAACGTAACTCATGCTATACTATACAAGGTGATAATCAGCTTCCTCAATTACTGCTTCAGCTTTTTCGATTTGGCACTCCCCTCAAAACCGGCTCTCTTCTTGCCGTCCTTGCCCTTCCCTTTCTTCACAACCCCACTAAACTTCTTCAACCGCGGCTGGTTCTTGCCCTTCTTGCCTTTATTGTCTCTTCTTGCCTTTAAGTTGGCCTCTCTTCTCTTCAGTCTGGCTGCAATGGTGTCCTTAACCACCTGCTTACGCTCCTTCCATTCGATCTCACTCTTGAGCTTCTGCTTCTCCTTTCTCTTCAATGCCTTCTTTAATAGCTTCTCGTCGTTCTTCACCTTGACACCTTCAGCCTGTGCCATGAGTCCCAGCCACTGGTCCTTCTCCTGCTGCTTGGCACGCTGCTCGGGAGTCATCTGGTCCAACTTTCTCTTCTTGGCCTCGATTTTCATGAGGTGGCCCTTGATATCGTTGTTGGATGGTCCCTTCTTTTTCTTGTGGTCAACTCCATTTCTGAGCTTGGTTAAGTCCGAAGTCACTCGGCTTCCATCCTTAAACACAATGTTACCAAAGAGAACGTTCAGCTCACTCTCACGCTCCTCATCGTCTTCATCCTCATCTTCGTCGTCGTTGTCGGACTTTTCCTCGTCACTTTCCTCCATCTCTCGTTTTCTTTTAAGAAGCTGTCTCTTGTATTCTTCCTTGCTCTTACGCTCAGCCAACATCTCTTCACGAGACTTAACGGGTCTTCCGTTCTTAGTACCTGGAGCTTTTCTTTTCTCCCTCAAAAGCGAGATCTTGTTGGCCAACTTAGCCTTCAACTCAGCTCTTCGCTGTTCGCGAGCCTGAACTTGTTCTGGTGCAAGCTCTTTTTTACCCTGCTTGCGCTTTGGCTTTTCGCTCTCATCCAACTCATTTCCCTCGTCGTCAAATTCCATGACAGGGCCTTCGTCTTCAGGAATAAGCGATTCAGCCGTACGTTGCTCAGTTTCTTGTTCTTTATCATCAGAAGTGGAAGAGTGCTTCACACTTCCGGGAAGAGCTACCTTCTTTGCCGTTTTGGCACGGTTCTCCATGACATCTTTGGCGGAAGCGCCACCGTTGTTGTAAGAATCGGCGCTAGCGGCGTTCTCAGGATCCAACTTGGCTCTCTTGTCTCGGGAGGTTTCCAGCTTCAGTTTTTTCTTCTGTTGCCACTGGTCTTGAGTAGCATCATCGTAGTAATATTTGGCGGGGATCAACGACAACAAGCCGTCGAATGCCGTTGAATGCGTTTTTAGACGTTCCTAGCATGGTTAGTATGGGTTTGTGGAGGATGGGGGCCATTAAGCTGAGCAGCGAGAAAACGCGGGGAAAAGGGCCAGAAAGCCAACAACAGTGCTGATCGGCCATTATCAGCGGTATTCAAACAAATTCCACATACCTCAAGTGAATTCGTCATGGGTGAAGTTAAAATGAAGAGGTGAAAGACCTAAAAAAATGTTCTAGTGGCATCGCAATAGGTGTGCAGGAGGGATGGACACCAAAATGGAGTAGAAGATGGAGGTGGATAGGGTTGAAAAAAAAAGAATAGGCGGTGGTGGGAAAAGAAGGAGGAAAGAGATAAGATTTTGGAGATTTTGAATTGATGGAATGTATGAATTTGATTAGGTTTGTATTTGTTGCGAGCAAAACGAGGGAACGAAAGGTCACTGAATAGATATTGGTTACTATGGCACTTGAGAAACATGACCAGATGAATTGGAGGAAATCCGAAAGAGAAATGAAATTAATAAAGAGCATTGAAGTGGAAGATCTTGGTTGAGGTGAAAAAACGGAGAGAAAAAAATGAAAAGAGTTAAGAAGCTAGTAGATTGGTTGTGAGATTATAATACTATGGAAGCAAGTAATTAATGCGCGTAATTATACAATCCATGTCTGTTATTATTCACAACGTCAGCAAAATTCACCACCTTTCGATTATTCCGTTTAGTATCATACTCAATCAAGATCACATCGATTTTACTATTCTCATGTGCTTTCTGAACTAGACTCACTCTATCCATCTCTTCTTCTCACTTCTCAACTTACTCTTTTAACTTCACTATATCCACTAAGCAAGAACGTACTGATATACCATAAAAACCTCACACAAGTACCATAGAAAACCACCGGAAATAAACTTCTTAATACCGATTATTTTCAAAAACTCATCTTTCAACCCAATTAACTCTAAATCTCTAACCAATCCCCCATCTGTATCCATCCACTAAATTCTCGTTGATCTCCGGAGGTCGACACCCGTACACCACCTATCTATCATCCACAACCTCTGTCCAATTTACCCAACTACTCTAACCGACAATCCCACCATCCACCATGGAGTCGACACAGTATCTTGTCGTGTCGTTGCCGCAATCGGCCAATGCGTATCCCTTCTTGGAGCGTCAGTTGAACCTGGGCAAGCAGCCATTGGCTGAGTTCAAGTTGCCTGACTTTCAGATTAAAACCTTGGACTCGTTGGTGCAACTCTCTGAGGAAATTGCCAAATTGGACTCCACATTGGCCGCCTCAGTGACTAAGGTTGTTGATGTTGTCCAGACTGTGGAGCCAAACAAGCTGTTCAACGAAACCCGTGTTGTCAACCTGAAGCCAGCCACCTGGTTCGTGGAGCACTTTACTTGGAACACTTCCAAGTACCGTTTGGACAAGCCCATCAAGGACTTGGTACAACTCATCAGCAGCGAGGCTCTCTCATTGGATAATGACGTGAGACTGGCATACCAGCAGTACCAAGGTGCCAAGTCGAACTTCTTGGCTGCTGACAGAAAGAAGAATGGTGACTTGTCTATCAAGTCGTTGCACGAGATTGTTAGACCAGAGCACTTTGTTTTGGACTCAGATCATTTGACTACCGTGTTGGTGGCAGTGCCCAAGTCTCTTGTAAGCGACTTTGAGAAGTCTTACGAGTCTTTGAACGAGTGGGTCATTCCCAGATCCGCCCAGGAAATCTCCAGAGATAGCGAGTACGTCTTGTATGCCGTTGCTGTGTTCACGAAATACCAGAACGACTTTGTTTCTGCCACTAGAGAACACAAATGGCACCCTAGAACAGACTTTGTCTACCTGGAGGAGAACTTGAACGAATTGCGTAAGGAATTCGATTTGACCAAGGCAACGGAGACCAAATCTAAAAACGATTTGATCCGCTTGTCAAAGACCGCATACTCGGAGATCTTCTCTGCGTGGTTCCACATTAAAGCTATCCGCATATACATTGAATCTGTTTTGAGATATGGATTGCCTCCTCAATTCGATGCCTACGCCATCAAGTTCGAAGGTAAGAATGCCAGTAACGTCGATAAGGCCAAGAAGGAATTAATTGCCAAATTCGGTTACTTAGGTGGTGACGGTTTCTCGGAGCTGAGTAATTTGCACGAGTATGCTTCGTTAGTAGACTCCGACTACGAACCTTTTGTCTTGTACCAAGTTGAGATTGTTTAGTGGTGCTATGTTTGCTGTTGAGCAGTATGGAGGACTTCAAGACTTTCTTGCTACTTAGGGGAATTAGATTCTTGATTGAATATTTGTAGTGATGTAAATGTCTTACTCAGAGTAGCACATAGAGGAGGGATCTTTGAATGGACCTTCGCAGAAAAAATCCAAGCATTGCGAAAGACTTGAAATTTTAGATCTATTGAAACAATTGATAAAAATAAAAGCCACTGAAGATAGTCGTATTAAGAAAAAAAGAAAGCTCGCACTCAGGTTCGAACTAAGGACCAACAGATTTGCAATCTGCTGCGCTACCACTGCGCCATACGAGCAATCTGTATGTCCATTTTGGATAAAATGATCATGAAGGAAACGCCGCAACACAACATGCAGGTCACTAAGAAATGTAGTATGTAAATAGTCCCAATTTTGAATCTTATTGATGTCTTTTAAAGATGCAAAGAGGCTGAAATCACACTAACTTGTGGTGATTATTTTATTTGAAAACTAGAATTAGCCTGTTTCTGTTCTTGTTTTTGATAATCGTTCATTCTTTATTTTCGCTCATGGAAGATTATCTTTTCATATTGCAAAGAATTATCATCCCGAGTTTATGAATTTGAACCCAATATTTAGATTGGACCCAGTATGTAAAAAAATTATCCTCATCATATATGTGCTTGAGTGACAAATACTTCGAAGAACCCTGAAAGACACCCGGTTAGAACTCTACCTTTCATCAATATAAGGAGATGATTACCACCACATGGCACTTACAGTGATAAAGTTTTAACTATAAGGCTTGGAAGAGATGAATGATTTCATCAATATTATATAAATTATGATTTCCCTAAGTACCAATAAATAAAGACTATGCCCAAACTTGCAATTGCTCAAAGAAGTCTACCCTCTTGGAGTTCTTTCCAAGAACTTGGACAACCTCGTGCCGTAAATCATCCACCATTATTGGATGACCGCATGTGACAAATGCCACCGATCCAGGCGACTCCTTCACTGCCTGATTTACTATTCCCGGAATATCGGGCCGTCCCTCTTTGAACTCTACATGCTCCAAATCCTTCTTAAGCTGTTTGACAGGGTCATCAACATCCGAAGAGGACAGGTAAAGTTCATGGGTATATGTGTTGTGCAATAGGGCCATTGCTTCTCCCTTTCCAGGCGGATTTAATCTGTTTGTTGGTCTGGTAACATAGATCTCCACCTCCACCGCTGAGTCCTTCAAGGATAATAACTCGTGGTAAAACCAAAGAAGTGAATGGTACTCTCTTACGACCCAGATAAGTTTTACTTTTCGTGTAGAGTCATGTTCAAGTGTCTCAGCGGCTTCGATTGCCTCTGCGAAAATTCCTGGGATACCATTTCCTCCGGCGATGTATACACCTGAGTCGTATCTTGAGGCCGGCGTGGCTTCCCCATAAGAGCCCTCAACCGCTACTCTGATGTGAGCAGTCTTTTTCGGGTTGGACTCAAGGAATTTTTCTAAGGTCAGCGTGACGCCCTCCTTCACTTTCACGTAAAACACGATGTCATCACCAACAACCGTATAAGTGAAAGGATGAGATTGCCAAAAACAGTGCCACTGTAAGAAATGAAGGAAACAATGGCCACCCCCTTCTGCCTCAAAACCTTCAGGCTTCTTAACAGATACCTTAAGCGTACGGTCTTCAAATAGTTCCACCTCAGCAATTGGAAAGCCAAATGTGCCAAGGCGATATAATCTGATAATACGATCGGAAAACCAGAGCCACGCAGAGCAGTAAAAGAACCAGAGGAAGTACAAGTCTCTCACATGAATCCACGATCCAACGACGTAACCAAGAGCCAACAAAATATGCAAAACTAAGAAAGCCTCATACCATCTGCGGCGAAGTACCAAAAGCGCTTGAATGAGGATGATTATGCCACAATAAGTTCCGAATACTCCCCATAATACAAAAGGTTCTCTCAATTTCTTGCTCATTTTACCATGCAACATGACCGCATAATTGTTGGAGTGGATTAAGATTAGAGTCACCATTATACGCGAGATCCAACGATGAAAAGTCACGAAGGTAGCATACTCCCATCGAGTAATCCACTGGAGAATATTATTTCTTCCAGCGAATAGGACCGAAAATGGGAGAAGGTAGCTGCCCAAGATGCCTGTGCGAATAGCATAGTACCGAAGCAATGCCATCTTCTTATTGTAAAATGGATCGCCTTCAACGTAGTGAATCTTGTGGAAAGTCAAGAAGATCACCAAAATGGAGAATGCAACCAAGATGAGGGTCTCAGCTCTTGTAGGGACAAGCAAATCAAAAATCTTCAAGAAAGGCTTCTCGTTTGTCTTGTAGCGACCAAAAAGCGCAGGCAAGGTGATTTTCTTTCTGATCCAGGCACTTCGGCGGCCAGTGAATCTGTTACAGAACTTTGGAAACAAAATCTTTGTCCAGTTGCCCATGGCAGCCATAGCTAGCACCACAGTCCAGAATAGAGACAAGTAGAAGCCATAGACTATGGAACGGTTGTAGTTTCCCAAAAACATATCGTACATCTCTCTGTAAACGAAAACCTTGGTGTCATTAAGCTTCAACGGATGGTCTATGAAGATTGGAGGAGCATTTGGGGGACCCTGAGGCTTAGGTTCTAGTTTGGCGTGGTCATTATAAAAGTTCACCGCATCATCGAATTGTGATCTCGTCAACTGCACGTCATATTTCAGGTTGCACATGGATATAAAGTTGTGGATCTGATCTGGATAGGCATCTAGGTAGCAATGGGCAGCGGTAGCCAATGCGTTCTCATTGGTGCATAGACATTTTGTCTGGATGAACTTGTCATCCTCGATCTCTTGACAGAAGGAAAACCCGATCAAGTGGATTCCGCAACTGTTAAGGGCGATTTCCAGCTGCTCGAATCTTGCAAAGGGAGCTCCCTTTGCTGCTAACTCAGGCGTGAATGCAAAGAAACATGTCACTAGACATAGAAGAAGGAGCACATACTTCAACCTTGCTATGGAGAACTTTGAGTGAGATGAGGTAACATCAGCTTGCAGAGAACTCATGCTGGGTATCAGAGGATAAGCAAGGTATGTGAATCAGCCAAGGCGCACCGAAACTGAGAAGAACTTGGCCAATATTTAGTGATATGAAGAGTCAACCTGGTTTAAAAAAGATTTATCTTTTTGATCAGGAGACTTCCGAGGGTGTCGCTACATGCAATATTCCGACGTCGGGATGCGCAGAATGTGGTAATTTGGATGATCTGACAGTACTAATTGTGGAGTTCGGAGTCTATGGTAGTTGGAAAAATGAGATATGTCCGAGAGTTTTCGGCTTTAATGGAAGGTTTAATTCGGTATTCATTGGATTCCTTCAAATTTTTAGATTCGGTGCTCACTCACGGTGCTCACTGAGTCCCGGTGTCCTGGTGCCCTGGTGGCCTTATTCATTGCCAAGTAGTGACGACTCCTGTCTTTGTTCCTATTATCCAGTACTGTGCAAAAAACGGCCATTACTATTATCTCCGTATTTCCGAATGGTGCAATGTGCAATATATTGGTATTCAATTAACTGACGAAAGCTTATTGATTGTTAGAAGATAAAGATTTGAGACTTGCTTCCAAGGTTCAGAAATTCATCACATGGGTGATCCTTGGTCATTTTTGTAGCATGTCAATTATGTAGCTAATAGGTGAATTTTTCAAAATTATTTGTAACTTCTTCTTGACTCGTGATTTTATTTTTTAGAAAGTTTTTTATTTTGTGCCAATTTATATTAGTAGTTGCTACTTGGCGCCACCACCTTACCATCTGGGAAAGCCTGCGAATTCTTCTTCTCGGGCATATATGGAACAAACCTCACTGGCCCAATAATACCGTCTGCTCGCTTACCCTTAGTCACTGGCCGGAATAAAAAATATCCACCATATACTCTGGCCATATGCAATCCGGCATGTCTTAGGATTTTTATATGTCTTGGTTCGTCATCGTGTCTTCTCACTATTGGTTTAAAGCACACTTACGTGCGATACCCTATTATTAATGTGCCAGAGTAAACATCATGTACCAGACTTCCATCAATTATTAATGTACTGCAGCCAGACAACCTGGACTTTCTGGCTTAGAAATTAGCAACCAACATTTATACCGTTCTGACCCAGCAGTAGGTGTCTATAGGAAAAAAATGTCTCTTCAATCAACTAACTTGAAGGAGGAGTATGTACCGCTCTCTGAGATAAGAAGACCCATTCCTCCTGTGCTAGATCACCAGAAAATCGACGCGATGGTGTCGACATTGAATGGTATTCCGATGGCATCTGCTACTTGTAGCATTGAGGACATCCAGCCCGGAGTATTGCCTCCAATTGATGTGTTTTTGGTTATAGAAAAGGGTAAACGCTATTACTTTGCGTTTGGTGGATGTCATAGATTCCAGGCTTACGACCAATTGGCTACTTATGGACAAGAACCTGAAGTGAGGTGCAAGATTCTTCCTGCTACAAGAAAGACCTTGAAAGTATACTTGGGATCTTCCGTTGACGAGATGTTTAATTAGACGATTAATGATATAGATAATAGAAGGTATGTTTTTTTCTCAGTATCTTTTTTTTTTGAACCGATCCTAGACAATATTAGTCATATTTATATCCTAAGCGGCGTTGAAGAATTGACCGAGTCCGTGCTGGGTCTTGAATCCGTTGGAACCGCAAGGAATGCCCTTTTTTTGATGCGTTTTTGCTGCCACAGTACTGGAATCAATGGCAACACACCCTTCTTCTCCTCATAATACAAAGCTCCAAACATTGATATCACCACAATCCAGTAAACATTATAGCTGATAACACTGCCGTAGGTGGCACTGTTGGTCCATCCAAACACGGCTGTGAATAACATCCACCACACACCGTCTTCTTGCATTTCTCCATTACAGCAGTTCACGTGCCAAACGCTTATACTAATGTCGTAAGAGCCAGGTCCGTGTCCTGTTTCGCTCACATCCATTCCGTCGCAGCGATCAATGAAACGTTGAAGCTCAAAGTTCCATACTCCTTTGGAGAAAAGTCCCGCAGCAACGAGATAGAGAAAACACGAGGAAATGATCATGAACATCTGAACGGATAAAGTGTTTCCTGACCTATACAAGGCAACACCAATTATGGACCCGATTGCCACTGCCAATATCACCGAATTGACAATAGAAGCCACCGAGGTGTTCTCGTTGATCCCTATGCCGCCAACAAACACAATGGCCTCCAAACCCTCACGTAGGGTGGTGATGAAAGGAAGAATGAACATGGCATTCTTTTCAGACCACGTCGATTTGTCATTGGCGACGTCTAAATAATTATAATCCTTGATAATTGAGCCAAGCTTATGTTTCCACTTCTGTTGCATTCTATTCACACGAAGCATCTTGATTCCCATGACAGAAATGATAATACTGGCAAGAATTGAGAAAGAACCTTCCCAGTAGTGTTCAGTGGTGGCCCACAAGTCACTTCCAACCACATAGAACACCGTAAGTATGACAGCACCAACCACCAAACACGCCAAAAATCCACAGAGTCCACCTACCCAAATATGCACTTTCAACATATGGATTTGGGACTTCTGAAAGTCCTCTTGTGATTCTTCACCACTCGATACTGGAGAAGCATCAGATTGGTTGTCAATGCTCTTGTACTGCCCAGATGGTTCATTGTTCAGAATGCTCTGGTTGACAAATGCTAGTAGGACAGAGATGATGATTGCCAGCTCCAAAGTTTCTCTAAGCACGATGAAAAACACCTGCACTGAGAAGTAATCATCGAGCGACGCCATGAAGTTATTGTGAAGAAGGAGGAATCATGAAATAGGAGAATCAGCGGAATTATAAAGCAGACGTAATCCGAAGGCGGCCCGATCGTAGCCGAGGGCTCAACACCCTAGTGAACGTCAATTCCGAGGGCACAGACTGGTTGTATTCAGGTGTCACTAGAGCCGCACAACCTCGCGGATTTTATCTATAAAATCGCCGCGCACATTTCGGACGTGGGGATAGGTACCATGCAACGTGATGAAAGATGGTTGGCAATCCAAGAAGAATAGACACAGTACTAGGAGTGTGATTCAAGAATGGGAGGAGAGACGTTGAAGATGCATTTCAAATGATTATAAAGATCAACTGTTTGAGAAATGATCTCTCCAGATGAAACATGGAATGACATAAGAAGTAGCTGCCAGAAGAATTCCACCGTAGATTCAAAACTCTGGATAAATTAAAGGGGATAATGCACAAGTAGATGACCACAAAACCTTATTTGCATAGCACGTGGATTCCAGATCTGAAGCCCTATTGTTTTCAACCACTTACTCCAAGTAGTCTAAATAGTGAACTTACAGGTAGTTGGGACGGTTGGGTAAGCCAACATCTCTTCCATTTCGCTCGCCTCGAATGTTCAGAACAGACCTCTTGGACCTGTCGTTAGATTCTACTCTGGGTCTCTTTGGTGGATTATCTGGAGGTGCACTGCCAGTTCTGATCCGCTTGAAGCGCTCCCTGTCGATCTCGTGACTCTCTTCATACTTTGGAAGCTGTTGAGGTTGCAATGGCAAGGGCTCGCTAGAAAAGTAGCTATGTTCCAAAGCATCAAGTGCGTTGAATCTTTTCTTCGGATCTAACGTGAGCAACTTGCTAAGAAGATCAGCACCCTTTTCTCCCATTATAGGCTTGAACCTGGCCTCCAACGTCCTCTTACACGTTAATCCAATGTTCAAATCCAGTTTGTTCGGTAAGAGCGTAGCCTCGGGCCAGTTCTCGCGAGACGGAGGTCCCACAAGGTCGAAAATGATCTGGGCCTGATTGGAGTCCGAATGTCCCACCAAAATCGGCTTCTTGGTGAATAATTCAGCAAACACACACCCAACACCCCACATGTCCACCGCAGTGGTGTATTTACGCTCTCCAAGAAGCAACTCCGGAGGTCTATACCATCTGGTCACGACCAATGCAGTATATGCTCTTTCACCTCCACCTGGTCCGTTTCCTCTGGAGGGGGTTTTTCCGTGGTAGATTCTTGCTAATCCAAAATCAGCAATTTTGAGCACGCCATTGGGATCTAGGAGAATGTTGGCGGCCTTGATATCTCTATGCAAGTAATGTTGTTGGTGGATATAGTCCACTCCACTAAGAAGTTGTAACATGATGCACTTTATAGTAGGAACCTCGATATGAGTGGCGGGGTTCTCTAAGAGCCCCACCAAATCCACACTCATGTAAGGAGAAACAGTATGGAAACATCCACGTTGACGAATGGCGTCTTCCTTAGATGTCACTTGAGGATCCTGGTATATCATTCCTGTAATCTTCAACACATTTTTATGATTTAATTTCTTCAAGATTGTGATTTCTCGAAGTGCCGTAATGGGAAATCCTTCCTTTGCCGAGTGGTTGATGAGTTGCTTGAGGGCAACAAGATTTCCAGTCTTTTTGTCTTTAGCTTTCTGCACCACACCAAATGTTCCCTGACCGATCTTCTTGATGACCTCATAACGAGAGATTTTATCCATCAGCTCGAACCGGTTGATTGGCTGAAGCATCCTTCTATGCGTAGTACCTGTTTCAGAAACCATGTAGATAATATTGGTCTGAAATGATGTAGGTTTTAGATGAGTGTATACACAGGAAGATTGTATGGCAATGGTGAATGGTGGTGATGAGTATAAAAGTTAGATATGGAGATATGAAATAATTTGGATTAACTTAGTTTCATCACTTCTTTTTCTTTTGCATTTACTTTAGACTTTTGTGCTTTATTTTTTTATGGGTTGGGAAGGGTATATAAGTTGATGTAATATGTGGATCAAATGGGCTAGAGAAGGCATACTATTATTTCAGAAACAACCGAGATTGATTATCTTAGTTAATTGAAGCTTTAAGAAAGTTTATAGGTTTTCAATAATATTTGAATTCATACCGCTGGCATCATTCTGGTCATCTATAGTTGTTAGTAAATTATTCCTTGAGTCACTAGAGCATGTATACTTTCTCACCTCAGCATTCGAGAAGTATGAAGTGCTAGTACAACTTTTTATTTTCGGGATTGGAATCCTAAAGCTCTAGTAGTTGAGACTTGCTGAAAGTTTGCACCCAATATTTCCTCAAGGAATTATTTTTCAGCAAGCAGCCAGTATCGACAAAGAGACCACTGCAAATTAAGCCATAACTTTCACAACCACCTCCAATACATCAACCTTTGTATTCCAAAAAAACAGGCAAAGACCTGTTTTATTATCATCATAGATTGTCGATTATTCATCCTATTCCAATAGACTACCTTAATTGACTGCTCCAAAACATCCAAAACCATGGCCAAATATTAGTTTCATTTCCCCTACAATTCCGAAATGTCGCCTTTCTTAATCTTAATTGCATTTCTATCTATCTAAGAACAATTATCTGACAACATCCAACTCTTTTCTTCTTCCCCCAACCAATGCCCTGCACATGTATCTCTCCACAAATTCCCCACGTCAACTACTTCAAACCATCATGAAAGGTGTACCCCCAGAGATCGTGGAAAATATTCTCCAGTATATTCAATTGCCCATCTTAAAGAACATTTATGATAATTCACCTAACGACCACCTCAAATTTTTAATCGCGACCAGGTTGTATAGGAAAATCCATTATGGACTGTATCACTCCTTCGGCCCGTTTTATTACTCCTGTGAAGACTACTGTATTTCAATTGAAGAGCTTTATATACTAGCAGATGGAAACATATCTGCGAGTGTTCAAAGTTTGACTATTGCCGATGACGAACCTTATTATAATGAATTTCTTTCGTTCTCCAAAGCGAACCCTACATTTATTTCCACGATTGCAAAAGTCAAGTACTTAGGAACCGGTAGGAAGTTTATGGAATATGCGGCCCAATTTCCAGTGGCGAATTTTGTGGAGTTAGATTTGAAAAATGCAGAACAAATAAGGGTAGCAAATCTTCCGTCAAACGTTCATAAGTTGAGTCTCACATTCTCGAGCCCAATCAATTCCGTTCTTATGGGATGGCCAGCATCATTGAAAACTTTGAAAATAGATTGGCAAAATAGTACGGCCAGCCTCAAACTCCCTTCTGGACTCGAGGAGTTTGAATGTCGTGGGTGGGACAACGAGGGAATCATCGAGTTTCCACAGGGCCTAAAAAGGCTAAAATTGAAAGGTGCAAATATATCAGTTGACGAGTGGCAGCTTCCAACTTTACTTGAGGAGCTAGAACTTTCAAATTGTGGTATTAGGGATATAGAAACACCCGCGTTTCTGTTACCATCCACATTGAAAAAGTTGAGCTTGACTAATAATCCAATAACATCATTGGCCAACGTGCTATTTCCGAAAGACCTTCAATTCCTAAATGTTCTGTATTGTGAATTAACGACCCTTGAAGGTGTCAGTTTTCCTCTGCTGCTTCAGGAATTACGAGTTGATCATAACAGTATTCCGACTTTCGAGAATGTTGACCTTGGCTCATTGAAACTACTTGACAACTCTGGCTATTCGAGCCAAAATCCAAACTATATGAAACATTTGTCAAAGACAACTTTTCCTGATACACTTGAAACATTAATTTTAGGGGACCTCCCAATAAAAGATTGGCCCCAAGCAGTTCTTCCCAACACTTTAAAGCAATTGACTCTCTATTGCACTGACGACCCCAAGACTTTAACCTTTCCTCCAGCTTTGGAGATTCTTGAGTTGCAGTTTCCCTACAAATCTGATTACAAATATTCCGATCTTAATCTCCCTCTGTCGCTTCAAAAGTTAGAATTGATTTTCGGCAATTCAAGTGAGTTTGATTGGAATCTCCCAAATCTCAAGTGTATGACATTGATAAACTTCGAGGGCGCAATCACCATTCCCAAGACAGTAATGATGCTCTCAATTATCACGAATAACAAGAAGGTGTTCGACGCTCTAGAAATCCCGTTTGGTGCCGAGAAAGTGACATTGTCTTTTCAGGCGAAGTTACCCAATAGTGTGATAGACTTGGAAATATTGAACTTTGATTCTGGTACGCAATATGTTCTCCCACAGAAATTGGCCAGTGCTCGACTTTTCAGCGGCCAATTTGAGGGTCCTGTCAAGAGAGGGCTGCTTTTACTTCCGGAAACATTGCAATATATTGACGGATATGTAGACCCTACACTTGCTGAAGAAGTGAACCTCAAGAGATGCATGAAATGAATATTATTTCAAGGATTTAGAATTAATATTCAATAGCGATGATTAAATGAAAGAGTGGAACATAGAATACGAATTATTCGTACACTCTGATATAGGCATCTTTAGCTAGGTCAAGTCATGAATATTTTATAAAAGGTATTTCTAAACGTTTTCGTTATCGTTGTTGAGATACTTAGAGATCTTTCTTCTCTCTCTCGACAACTCAGATGCAGCCTTCACATTGAAGCCGTCTTCCAATAAATTGGAGGTCTCCTCCAACTCCAAGCCTGAAACTTCTGGAAGCAAGAAGTAAACAAACAAAAACGAAATAAAGCAAAGGGCTGCAAAGAATGCAAAGGTGCCTGGTGGAGTGATTTTCTCCAACATAGTCAAGAATGTCGATGAAATGACCAAAGAACCACTCCAGTTGGTTGCTGCCGCGTACATACCACCCACAGATCTAACATTAACATCAGAGAACAACTCGACCCCAGTCCATGCACTGTTACCAATACCAATGGCGTAAGTTGCAACGAACATCACCATTCCAATGATGATGACGATACCCCAACCGGAAATTCCGGTCTTTTGAATAACCACTTCAGAGCTGGAGCCGAATTTTACGCCCAAGTAGTGGAATGCAATAGCACACACAATCAAAGAGATGCACATACCTGGAATGGCCCACAATAAAATACGACGACGTCCAACTTTGTCGATAATGCAAAGAGCAACACCTGTGAAAACGAAGTTGGTGGCAGCAACAATGATAGAAACAGCAGTGGCATTGTGGAAGCCAATGGTTTCGAAAATGGTGGCAGAAAAGTACATTAACGAGTTGAAACCGGTGAACTGTTGGATACCTTGCAAACCACAAGCCAAGATCAAAGCTCTTAAATTGGCAGGGTTTCTGTGGATAAGCTTAATGGAGTTCCAAATTTGGGTGAGTGGAGAGCCAGGAACGGTGGAGTTTGATGCAACCATGTCCTTGATAACTACATCGGCATACTGATCAGTGCAGTCCCGGTTTGTCTTCAAGAAAACTTCCTTAGCTCTCTCATAGTTACCTTTGATGACGTAGTATCTTGGAGTGTCAGGCAAGAAAACGAAAATGATCAGCTGGATGACGGCAGGAACCATGCACAATCCAACAGAGACTCTCCAGCCATGGGCCATGTTAGTCAAGCCCCAGTTGATGAAGTAGGCCACCAACTGACCACCTGTGATGAACATGCAATTCGTGACAATAAGACGGCCTCTATACTTTGAAGGAGCCAACTCACTCAACATGAGCGGAGCAATAAGTGATGCAGCTCCCACACCCCAACCAAGGACAAATCTTCCGGCGATCATAGTCCACACGGTTTTGGCGACAAGCTGGATGATGGTGCCCACAACGAACACAACGTTCAGGCCCATAAGAACACGCTTTCTTCCACACAAGTTGGCCAACACACCACCAAGAACAGCACCCAAAAGGGCACCAAGCGATGTGGCCGAAGTAATCAATTCCTTCTCGCCCGAGGTCAAGATTTTGTTGGACAAGTCGGTGCCGACCATCACCAACGCAGCAGAAATGTAGCCGGTATCGTAACCGAACATGAATCCCGAAATCGAAGATGCTAGGGTGAGCATCATGACGAGAAATGTGGGGTGTGTTTCTTTCCCTTTATGGTCTTTGGCGAGCGTGCTGCTAGAATCAACGCCATCCTCTGTTATTTGATGAGTGGCTGTGCTGTTTTTGTTGTTGGCGAGCAAGTCGTCGCTGGAGCTTTCGGATGAGCCTGATGGTGAACGGCGAATACTCGTTGACATGTTCGCTAGTTTGAGTGATGTCAGATAAAATCGAATAGAAGTGATGGATGAGATGCTCGGGAAGTAGAGCGAAAATTATTGTATGAATGCAATGAGAGTTGACGAATCTGTCAAGAAAAAGTTGTGGTGGGGAAATATTCCGGGAATGTGTTGAACTTTATACCAGAGAGGGGGGGGAAAAAATGCCAAGTGGGGCCATAGAAGCAAGGCTAGAGATTGTTTTGCCTGCACATAGTGCGCGAATTTCGGCGGATGTTGCATCGATCCCGGCCAATAAGAGGCCTATACATTGACAGGAAAGGAAAAGAGTTGGAAATTCGGCGAAAATGTTGCGAGCTGGCTGCAGGACGCGACCTTCATTAGTATTGATTCATCCTAAATAATAGTTGAGGCGGATTAACCCGGAGATTTTTTTATCATCGAACTTTGCATCGATGTAAATCTTCTGTTGGGGAGATTCAAATTTTCATTTGGGAATCGAGAAGTATGAATTTCGAGAGAAGGTTTTCAGGTTTAGGTAAGTGTTATTTCATGGAATAGGAAATTGTGGATTGTAGATTCGATATAGAAAATGCGTGGAACTCTCTAGATGGTCAATATGGACAGGAAAGTACGCAAGATGAACTGAAGGGATGCTTGATTAAATACCTCAATGGAAGAAAAGATTAGGTACAAACACTAGTAATAATCGAGGGATGGGACTTATTGCTCGAAATGCACAATGGTCGATAGTGGTAACAATTAGATGGATGAGAACGCTAGTAGATTTGCCAGCAATGAATAAATCCTGAGAACAAGCATTTGTGCTCAATTGAAAGGCATTACAGGAATACATGAGCAACATTACAGGAATACATAAACATGACTTGAACAGGGAGATCTAGACTCACAATTGTACATCCAATCAATTTTAGGATCAATCGAACAGGCAGAACTCTATGACATAATCATCCCACTTTCTCGAGCACTCTACATGGTCTAACTGTTATTATATTGTTATGGATTCAATGCCTCACTATGTCTACTTTTTACAGTTGGTGCCTCGTAGCTGGTACGCGGCCGACTAGTGCTTTTTTGGTGGGTTGTAAGTGATCTTTCTGTTCTTGATTGGTTGCCACTTGAACTTCTTGACCCACACAGACAACAAGTACAAGGAAGAGACCACAATAAGAGCCTTCAAACCCCATCTCTTTCTGTCGTCATGCTCAGGCTCAGAGGTCCAGTTCAAGAAAGTGGTAACATCCTTGGCCATCTGAGAGGTAGTGGCAGGAGTACCATCTTCATACTCAACCAAGTCATCGAACAACACTCTACCCATGGCAATGGATCCACCAGGGAAGTATGGGTTGTAGTTGGAGCCAGGAGGCAACACAACACCTGCTGGAGGGTCGTCTGGGTAACCAGTCAAAAGCGAGAAGATGTAGTCACAACCACCGTGTCTAGCCTTGACAATCAAAGACAAGTCAGGAGGCAAAGCACCCTGGTTACCGGCTCTGGCAGCCTGCTCGTTAGGGTAAGGACCTGGAATGTAGTCAGCCAACTTACCTGGTCTCTTTCTTGGGTTACCCTCATCATCAGGCTCATCATCGTACTCGCACTCCTCAGCCATAGCCTTAGCCTCACTGGAAGTGTGAGAGACAGCCACCAAGTTTCTCCAAGCAATTCTGTCTAAAGAGTGGCATGCAGCACAAACCTCTCTGTACACCTGGAAACCTCTTCTAATGGAAGCGTGGTCGAACGTCGAGAACATACCGTTGTGGGACCAGCCAAATGCTGGAGCATGCAAGCCGTGTTCGGCAGCGGTCATGGCGCTGGCGGTTACCGAGTCCTGGTACAACACATACGAGGCGGACAAGCCAGCGGCAGCAACCGTAGCAGTGACGAATTTGTTGGTCAATGGCGACGCCAACTTGGATGCAGATTTAAACATGTGAATCCGGAAAGCGAAGATGGAGTAAAGGATCGCTGGGAAGAAGCGCAGACAATGTAGGATGTTTTTTCAGTGAGAGTTAATTGAGAAAAGGAAGGGTGCGATTGGCTGAGGGATTGGGTCGCGGACGACCTAAGAAAGTTAGTGTATTTAGGAGGTACGGGTGTACAAATAAGGGAGTGCATGAATGCGTTGGATGGTGAAGTTGCAGATTGGAAAGGTATGGGGAAATTGGGGTAGAAGTTCAAATTTGTGGTTTAAATTGCAATTAAGGTAATGATAGTTAAGTGTGGTTCGATAAATGTTATTTTGTGGTTCTTTTTAGGGTGTTCTCTGTGATTTCAATGGGGGTTTGTGTGGAGTAAATTGGTATTGGGGTCTGGCGTATGGGTCGATTGTGCGAAAAAGCTTACAGGGAGATCGGACGGCTGTGAGTGGTAGAAATGGATGGGCAAATTTGGAGGACGGTTTGGCTTATAGAAAACCGGGGAATATTTGATGGGGTATATAAGAAGATTTGTGATTATTTTTGGCCTTTTTTCGTGTTTTTGCTTTTTCTGCACTATTCAACTCTGGGTCAGTGTGCCATTTGTTGCTGTAATTAACTCTGTATATTTAACCTTGTGTTGTGCATAATGTAATGACTGCGAGAGTGCTTTGAGTCAGTCAGAGAAGTGATCTGCAAATAGGGCACAACAAAAGCTACTGTCTATAGATAATATTCTGTAAGACCGAAGATTCAATCTAAATAACGACAAATCTGACACTTAGTACCTAGCTGGTTTGAGGAGAAGCAAAGCGTACCACCATACCAAAGAGAGAAGTACTGGAGTTCCCCAGTAGCCATAGTAAAGTACCGGATTAGAGAAATAATCTCTATTAAGATACCAATTGTACTCAATAAGCAATAGAACCATTTGCAATACTACCACAATCCATTCATTCTGGTTTGAAATTTGAAAGCCGTATAAGAGCATTTTTCCAATTCCAATCAATCAAACTGTACAGACTGAATTGGGAATATGTGTTTATTGGTCCACCTCTGGTTTACAGAACAGAGGTAGCCTTCTGAGCTAATTTCAAAGGTAACTTTTTCTTTATTCAACAATTTTAGGGCTATAGATTGGATCTTTGACCAACTATATGTCATGAACCTAATCTTCCAGCTCAAAAACGAGCACGCCAACAACTCTCGTGCAGAGTTGATGATTCTTAACTTGTGATGTTGGTAAAATCCAGAGAATCTGGGCTCGAAGAGCCTAATTGTTGATTCGTGGAGTCTGGCGAATTAGTAAAGTTCAAGAAAGAATAAGAAGTTATTCGTTTGAATAAAGAGAATGAGTCGCTAACTAATTGACATAGCTTCTTCAGGAAAGGCTACCTAGGCGGTCCTCAGCAAATGTGAAGGCTCAAACTAACGAAAAGGTCCCGAATTACCCTGCTTACCGAGGTAACAATCTGGAACTATTGAAGCAATGCTAAGCAAATACTGATCAACAGAAAGAGTTAGAATATCAAAATATGGGAAACATAAAACAATCCCATTATTTCAGAAGGAGCAACATCCATTATCACAATGTTGAATCAATATGAGACAAAGCATATGGTTTTGTCAGTTGCAAACTGTGCTCGAAATCAATGCACTCTTATTCATAAGAGGTCCAGGTGATTACAGAGGCACCATCATGTAATCTATGTCAGCATTGTTTGGATCTCCTTATGTTCACTTCATCAAATCTTATCATTGCATACATGATTTTGGCTCCATACCGATCTGATCTTCGCAAAATCTTGACACCATTTCCTCTCCAGGAATGGAACCTACAAATAACCACTCAACTACTTTTTTTTTCCTCTTTTAAGTTCTACTTTATCGTTTTCAGACTTCAGTGAACAAAATCTCCACTATCACAAACTTCTCATGAACTTTGATCCCTAACAATTAGAATACTACATTTTCTCCGTCCATATTAAATTTCTATATCCTCTAGACCTTGGCCAAAGCCTGCTCAATGTCAGCCAACAAATCGTCAGTCTCCTCAATACCAACGGAGACTCTGACCAAATCGTCGTAAACACCATTGGCTTCTCTCTCTGCCTTTGGAATACCTCCGTGGGTCATGATGGCAGGAACCTCAATCAAAGACTCAATGCCTCCCAAGGACTCAGCCAATGTGAACAATTGAGTAGAAGATGTGAATACAGAAGCTCCGTGGGCACCGCCCTTGATACGGAAAGAGATCATTCCTCCTCCCAAGCCGTCTCTGTGCTGCTTCAACACAACACCGTGGTTGGCGTGGGTCTTGAGACCAGGGTAGTTCACCTTGACAACCTTCTCATGCTGAGCCAAGTATTCGGCGATCTTCTGGGCAGAGTAGGCAGCCTGGCGCACTCTCAAGTGCAAGGTCTTCAAACCTCTGTGAGCCAACCACGAGTCGAATGGCGAAGGAACAGAACCAATGGCGTTCTGCAAGAAACGGAATTGCTCGTGCAACTTATCGGAGTTGGTGGCCAAAACACCGCCAACAACATCTGAGTGACCGTTGATGTACTTGGTGATAGAGTGAACAACCACATCAGCGCCGTGGACCAATGGGTTGGAAATGTATGGCGACAAGAAGGTATTGTCAACAGCCAAGATGACGTTGTTGCCGGTCTGGGCGTTGTGCTCCTTGATAATGGCAGCCACAGCAGAAATGTCAGTGACAGACAAGGTAGGGTTCAGCGGAGTCTCCAACCAAACCAATTTGGTCTCTGGACGCAAGGCAGACTGCAAGTCACGAGCCAAGTCGCCGACAAAAGTGGTCTCCACACCGTGAGTGACACCCACTTTGGTGAAGTAACGGTGAGTACCTCCGTAGACATCACCACCACTGACAATGTGGGATCCAATAGGCAAAGATTGAACGATCAAGGCGGTGGTAGCAGAACCAGAGCCCAAGGCAATGGCATATCTTGCCTTCTCCAAAGTGGCCACAGCAAGTTCGAAGTTGTCTCTGTTTGGGTTGGCACTTCTCGAGTACTCGTAGATTCCAATTGGCTTGGAAGGTTCAGACTGAGCGAAAGTGGTGGAAAGAGAGATGGGCTCGATGACAGCACCGGTGTGAGGGTCGGTGGGGGCACCAGCATGGATGGCGTGAGTGCCGAATCCGTAGTTCTTAGAGTTATCAATAGTCATAAAGAAAAATGTTGGTTTTTTTTCTACGTTTTTAAAAATACTACATGCTGTCTAGTTTTAAACACTGTGATGGGCTTACTAACGGTTGGGATGCCATTCCTGTACAGTGGCAGAGAGAAAACGCCACACTTGGGTGCCGTTCAGGAATGTCTTGGGCGGTTAGTGAATCTTGGACGGATTGGGATAAGAATGAGATGAGAGCACGGGACATGAGGAATGAGTAGGAAGAGAAATGGGGTGAATGTATGTTGAGATTGGGTGGTGTGATGGAATAAACCCGTACCCAATTGGGGAAATAAAAAACGGTACAAAGAAATAACCTTGTGATGCGATCACGTGGTTATTATCATGTGACTATAGAAGGATTATAAATTGAGGTGGGAAAAAAGCAATTTTTGAACTATTGGCGCATGTATAGTTGCGCGTCACGCCACGCCACAGTTTTTTTTTCTGCCTTCCTTTTTTTTCTCTCAAGTTTAATAATCATGTGCACTGTTACACGTGAAATTGATCACGTTGTATCCTCCGCGTGATAATCACGCACGTGATTAATAGCTGCACATAGCACGGCACCCTTTCCTTTCCTTCAAAGCCGCTTAACTAACTGGAGCAAGAGGCGCAGCAGTCTTGGCATATTTCCATGCAGATAGACAACATTCCGAATCCTGCCAATTAATTGAAGGATGTGAAATGATGAACAGAAGAGTATCCAGCTAGGTGAGGAAAACTCAAAGTAAGCACCTCCAGTCACCATGTGGAATTGAAGGCACATCCCGATACAGGGTCACGATTCACAAGCCACAGCGTCACCCCCTCCCCCAAAACTACCCTGCCTCTGATCATTCACTCTAATGTTCGCACCCACTAAAGCTTTCGCACTAATGAAGTTTCGCATCTCTTCCCCCAAACTCGGCGCTTGTCACCTGCGGCCACTCACTGTCTGCGGCACACCCACAGTAAATCCACTATCGCCAAATTCCCTAATCTCGTCAATCTCCGGCCCCATTTAGGATACTCAAAGCTCCCCGAAAAGCCAAGCATCAATCCATGAGGGCTCCCCACTGCGCCAGCAATCAATTTTACCGGATTAAACTAGTGGTCGCAACTTTCTCGCAACTGGAGGTAAGCCCTGCGCCCCCAAATCTCTGACCTCACTACCACCCTCTCAATTAATTGACCATGCCAGCTCTTGGCAGGTCAACACATTTTTGATACAACCCAAATTATTGCACTCTAATTAACTGTGACCGTAACCAATGATGTCAACACACACCCCAATATCCCTATATTAACTCAGCCTCGTGCGGAATAGTGGGTTAAGGCGGAAGTAATCTGATTCAGCAATATCCTCTATATGAACGGCTGCGAAAATCGAGGCTGTGCAATTGGCCATCAGTGCAAACCCATTATCGAAACCAAGCGCACTAGCTCATTATCAAATACCTTGCTGTGCCATTCGGGATTTGGTTGCATATATCATTCATCCTTTTGACCTAATCTTTTATATTTTGGATTTTTTCCTCGATTATCTTCTCGTCATATTCGCATTTGCTTCTGCACGCTGCGCAGTTTAAGTTATCTGATTTCATTGTCAAGCATTACCAATCTCAATTGCTATGAGCTTGCCTGTTACCAGAGACGACGTGTCGGTGGCTCTGGACTCTCCACTTAAGCCATCGGCATTCTCTATCGCTCCAGAACTGCTTACCAAGCTTCACGACCCAAAATCGTTGGCTGCTCTCCATGAACTTGGTGGTCTTGATGGTCTTGCCCATCAGTTACAACTGGAGGTCAACCACGGTTTGAATGAGCCTTCTCATGACGAGCGTATTCATGCGTTTGGCCGCAATGTGCTCCCGATGAAGGTGGCCAAGTCCTTTTTCCGCCTCTGTCTCGATGCCATGAAAGACAAGGTTTTGATTCTTTTGACAGTTGCTGCTGCCATCTCGTTGGCTTTGGGTCTCTACGAGACATTTGGCCAGGGTACCCAGTATGACGACGAAAATAAGCCCATGCCCAAGGTTGACTGGGTAGAAGGTGTGGCCATCATTACTGCCGTGATCATTGTCGTGGTGGTGGGTGCTGCCAATGACTATCAGAAAGAGAGACAGTTCGCCAAGTTAAACGCCAAAAAGGAGGACCGTGAAATTGTGGTGATCCGTGGCGGCGAAAAATCAATGATTTCCATCTACGATTTGCTTGTCGGTGATATCGTCTGTTTGGAAACTGGAGACGTGGTGCCTGCTGACTCGGTGTTAATCTCGGGTGAGGTAGAATGTGATGAGTCTGCGCTCACCGGTGAGTCCAATACTATTAAGAAGAAGCCTGCGGACCTTGCCATGGCTTTCTACGAAGAGAACCTCGATAAAAAGGAGGATTTGGGCTCAACATCTATCAAGTTTAAGGACCCATTTCTCATCTCGGGTGCCAAAGTGTTATCTGGTGTTGGAACGGCTCTTGTTACTGCAGTTGGTGTCAACTCCATCCACGGTAGAACTATGCTCTCTTTGAGTCACGAGAATGAGGTTACTCCTTTGCAAGCTCGTTTGGATAACTTGGCTGAAGGTATCTCTAAGTATGGTTTTTTGGCTGCTCTTGTTTTGTTTGTCGTTTTGCTTATACGTTTCTGCATTAATGTTACCCCCGGTGGAAACTACTACGACCACAAGCCTGCTGAAAAGGGTAAGAAATTTGTGGATATCTTGATTGTGGCTGTGACCATTGTGGTGGTGGCCGTTCCTGAAGGTTTGCCTTTGGCTGTCACTTTGGCTTTAGCATTCGCAACCACTAGAATGGCCCAGAATGGTAACTTGGTCCGTGTTTTGCGCTCTTGTGAAACCATGGGTGGAGCAACTGCAATCTGCTCTGACAAGACAGGTACCCTTACTGAGAACAGAATGAGAATTGTCCGTGGTTACGTCAACGAAAAGTTGCACTTCGATGATTCGGTAAATTCCGGCAATATCAATGATGCACCGAAGTCCGTGGATATCGTGGACTCTATTCCTCATGACAACTTGGTCTTCATCTCGTCCAACATCACTCTTAACTCTACCGCTTTCGAGAACCCTGACTACGATGAAGAAAAAGCTGTGAGGGCCAGACAGAAGCCTCAGAAGAGATCCTTCTTTTACCACTTGTTTCACAGTAACCAGGGAGACCGCCAAAAGGAAATTCAGGAGTTCAATGTTGTTTCTGAACCTTACTTGGGTAACAAAACTGAGTCTGCATTGTTGATCTTTGCTAAGGGCCGTTTCAACCAATTCTCGTCCGAGTCTTTGGAAAAACAACGTCAAACAGGAAAGAAGGAGATTGTCCAAGTCATTCCATTCGAGAGTTCAAGAAAATGGGCTGGTATTGTCATGAAAATCGACAATGGCTATCGTTTCTATGTGAAAGGAGCTGCTGAGATTATTTTCAAGAATTGTTCTTTTGGATATGACGATTCCAACAAATTGGTTTCCTTGGACAGAACCCAGAGAGATGATGTTTTAACTAAGATCGACGAATATGCCAATGACGCTTTACGTGCCATTATGTTGGGTCACAAAGATTTTGTTGGAATCGAGCTGTGGCCACCTGCTAACCTCGAAGACCCACACAGATCTGGCCAGGCTGATCCAGACTTGTTGGTGAACGTTAAAAACTCTACCCACGAGATCGACACCAACCTTACTATGGACTTCCTTGTTGGACTCCAGGATCCCTTGAAGGAGGGTGTTCCAGAAGCCGTCATGCAATGCAAAATGGCTGGCGTCACTGTTAGAATGGTTACTGGTGACAACTTGGTCACGGCTAAGGCTATTTCTAGAGGCTGTAACATCTTGACTCCTGATGATTCGTCGAATGAATATGCGTACATGGAAGGACCAACCTTTAGAGACTTGAGTGATGAGGATCGTACACGTATTGTTCCTCAGTTGAAGGTTTTGGCAAGATCCTCTCCAGAGGACAAGAGAATTTTGGTCGATACTTTGAGAAGGGCTGGCGAAGTTGTCGCTGTGACTGGTGACGGTACTAATGATGCTCCAGCTTTGAAGTTGGCTGATGTCGGATTTTCTATGGGTATCAGTGGTACTGAAGTCGCTAGAGAAGCTTCTGACATTATCTTGATGACTGACGATTTCACTGACATTGTGCAAGCGATCAAGTGGGGTAGAACCGTTGCGGAATCCATCAAAAAGTTCATCCAGTTCCAGTTGACCGTCAATATCACTGCTTGTGTGTTGACATTTGTATCTGCTGTTGCTTCGTCTCACGGTCAATCTGTCTTGACCGCTGTCCAATTGTTGTGGGTCAACTTGATTATGGACACTTTGGCAGCTTTGGCATTGGCCACCGATAAGCCAGATGACGCATTGTTGAACAGAAAGCCTGCTGGTAGAACTGCTCCTTTAATCAGTGTTTCCATGTGGAAGATGATCATTGGTCAGTCGATTAACCAGTTGATCATTACGTTTGTTTTGCACTTCGCTGGCCGTCAGATATTCTTTGGTGGAGGTGATATCTCTAACCACGAGAACAAGCAGTTGGATGCCATGACTTTCAACACATTCGTGTGGTTGCAGTTCTGGAAGTTGTTTGTTACCAGAAAGTTAGATGAATGTGCTGACGTTAGAACCGTTAGAGAGCGTATTTCGTGGGAGAATTTGAACTTCTTTGCTCATTTGTTCAGAAACTGGTATTTTATCTTCATCGCTGTTCTCATTGGTGCTATGCAAGTGTTGATTATGTTTGTCGGTGGTGCAGCATTCACTGTTGCAAGACAAACTCCGGCCATGTGGGCTACTGCCATCATTTGTGGTTTGGTCTCGCTTCCAGTGGGAGCCATAATCAGAATCATTCCTAACTGGTGGATTGTTGCAATTTTCCCAACAAAGGCTTTCAACACTTTCCTCTACTACGCTGGCTTCAGCTTCTTAAGCAAGAAGAGTAGGGCCAAGCGTGCTGGCAAGGATTTGGAAAAGAATGAGAACCAGGGCTCAGACTCGCCAGAGTCTACGGAGGTCAGTGAAACCAAGTAATGACACTTTTAAACGATATGTATAATATTTATTGATGACGATTAAAATGCGAGGTACTCAACCTGTAAGAAACAAGCTTCAATTCTTAAGTTCTGCCTCAAGTTTCATGATGAATTTGAAGTAAACTGGTCCAAACTGGGTGAACTGCTGAAACATGGGGCTCCATGACTTCATTTCTTCGAGTGTCTGGATCAATTCTTTTCTATCAGAGTCTGTTCCCTCCTTGGCCTGAGTCCTTATGGTATCATGCAAAATATTCAAAGCCTCCTGGAAATCATCTACACCCGTTGATTGGTTCTCGGACCCGCCTACCATCTTTCTGGCGTTCTGAAGCACTTGCAACACTTTTCCAATATTAATCCTGACCTTTTTGAGTTGGATCAACACTTCCACTGGATCAGTATCGGGCAGGATTTCTTGTGGATCAAGCTGCTTTCTCGCCTGTTCAAGATCACCTTGTAACGCTTCGACCGAATTCTTCAAACTGTCAACATAGTATTTGAGTCTTGTGGTTTCATCCACAGTGGAATCTGCATCGATTCCGGCGCCTGAAATCACCGACACCGACAGTTTTTTCAAGCTCAAGATCTTGTCTGCAATTTCCTTGGACATTTCACCCGTGTGGTAGTCTAAATGTGCCATGAGATCCAGCAGTCTTGTGGACAACTTGGCTAGATTGGCTCTGGTGTACTTATCGGACGAGCCAGTAATGGACTGGAAAAGTGCATCGACATAAGTCACCGCGCTGAAGTCCTCGTCAAAGAACATGGCGAGAGACTCATTTTCGAGCACGGAACTCATGTTGTACTTTGGAGAGTTGGTATTATATACTCGTTTGGGTCTGAGTAGTTATGTGTTGTCTGCAGTCGGAATTATAGTGAATGTTAATCAAGGTGGGAAGTTGACCAAGTAAATAAGTAGTATTACCATTTAATCAGGTTCAATAGAGGGCAAATTACTCTTCCTTTTTTTATTTCGGAAGTATGCTCCATTCGTAAAACAAAAAACATCAAATTGTTCTTGAAGTTTGCACGTGACTACTCTGTTAACTATGGGCCATTAGGATATTCTATTAAGTCACTTAAACTTGAACTTCAAACCACAGAGCTTACCCTCAATTCTTATTCTTCGAGTTATTCAGTCATGATAATCGTTCCAACCGCCGATATGGCTATTGTAAATATCCAGGACTCTTTCGAAGATGTGATTTCCGATGTGGAGTCCAAGACCATCCAGTCTGAGTCCATTTGGATAGCTAGACGGTTTTCCAGTGACGAGGACCACCAGGAGTTTTTCCTGGTAAATGTATCACTCGATTCTAAAGGAAAAATTAAGTTTGATTCGCCAGATGTTACGTTTTCTCGGCTGGAATCTCATAAGTACACTGTAAGTATCAAGGGTGATACTTACGAGTTGGTGGCACCAGCGTTCAAGATTGATACAGCGAAAGAGGGCGTGAGCGCAGTCGCCATGACTAAAAATGGACAATCTTTAATTGTGGGAAATGAGAAATGCGACATTGTCCACTACGATACCGAGACCAAGGACAAAATATGGGAAGTCAACCAAGCACATTTTGGAGGCATTCTGAAGCTTGTAGTATTTCCCTCGGACAGAGTTCTACTAAGCGTAGGAATGGATTTCCAAACCAAGCTTTGGTCACTTGACACCACCACCACGGCAGCTACACGCACGTTTGTGGATCAAAAGAAGGAAATCACAGATGCTGCACTCATTGGAAATGGTCGCAACTTCATGACCGCTTCGCGAGATGGATCGGTCAATCTCTGGGAATGTAGCACGGGAAGCGTCGTTTCCAAATTCCAACGAATTGACAATATGGCCGATCCATGTACAAGTTTGACAATTTCTACTTCCAGCGAGAAAGTGGCTCTTTCGGATCTTGTAGGTGGAGACATGATCTTCGAAAGCGAAGACAAAGTGGTTTATGTGGGGTACGCATCGGGCACTATTCAGCAATACAGTGTAGGTGGCCATTACCAGACACCAGTGAAATATCACTATGACGCCGGTGTTTCGTGTTTGGCCACGTTTGGGGACCATGTTGTTGCAGGCTACGATAATGGCCGGGTGGTTGTGTGGAGAGAAATGGGCAGCTACTTGTTGGAATTGAATGAACACTACAGTGTGCGAAACATTCAGGTAGAAAAATGGGATGGAGTGCGGGCATCCATGGTGGTGAGCAACGGACCAGATTTACTCTTGCGCATAACCTTTGATAGCTCCGATGGGACGTTTCGTTATAAGTTTATGGTGGGACTTGGCGAGCTGTTTCGTGTATCGCTGATAACTGGAGGGAAAGGTGTTGTAGTGGCCACGCACGACGAGATAGTGGGGTACAAGTGAGATGAGATGAGGAAATGTGGAGGATGAAAATAATTCATTTGAATTGATAATGAAATGAAACGAAAGATTCCAAATATTTCTGAATCGAACTAGTCAATAACAAGAGTCAGAAATAAATATAATAATTACTGATCTACACTTTTTCTCTTCACGATATGTATTCATAGTAGCAGTGTCAAACCGCACACCTTACAACTTGGCTCTGTGGCCCTCGAGCTGCTTGAAAACAGACTCAATGGCAGTGGCCTTCATCATGTTACCCTTGACCTTCAACTTACCACCCATGAACAACTTCTGGCCGTTGGCCTTACCGTTGGCCAACTTGACAAAGTCAGCATCCTTCAAGCTCAACTGCACATCATTCTTTGGTGGCTTGTCGGCCTTGGTGATAGTACCCTCGTTCTTCAAATCCAACACCCACGACTGGTCCTTACCCTCCTTGTTCTTCAAAGTAATGACAATGACGGCCTTGACACCGGAGATGGCCTTTTTCTTGACATCCTCATCCTTCAAACCCTGTTGCAATTGCTCGAAAAGTTCGGAAGCGTTGAAACCGTCAGCAGATACAGACATAGTGATAATAAAATTTAATGGTGACTAGAAATATAACGGGTCATTGGCGAAATTTATATAGAGGTAGGGTCCTATTCACATGGAAGAAAGAACCTCGGTTGCTATGTGCACTTTCAGCTTCTCCACATACAAAGTCACTGGCCATTCATCATGCCAGTGCGGAGGAGGGGACCGGAATAGGAAATATGTTACGAATTTATCACAAGGACCACTAATGCTTACAATGTGAGCCTACGACATTTGCGAATTGGCATAATCATCTGAAATGTGGAAATTTTGGGTTTTAATTATAACTTCCGGAATAATGGTATTTGCCGAATCTTCAATTTGATAACATTCTTCCAATACTCTAGTTTTCCTATTTGCATGGTCGCCTGCTCTGGTGTCACCCCTCATCTTGTGATAATTATATTTCCTAGTCAGTTCCGTTTTGTCTTGCCTCAGATAGTGGTTGCTGGCGGTGCATACAGTGACTTTCATATGGAAGCGGAAATTTAGGGAGTCGGTGGAGTTGAAGTCCGCATTTTGGCTCATAACTCTGGACTTAGGTATTATGTCTCCATGAATTGACTCTGGGTGTAGATCTTAGTCATTTTTGTTTAGAGAGAAGATGTGCAAGAGGTGCATTCACCGTAAAAAATCTGTACTTCGACCCTTCTCAAATCCTCTACTCTTTTTTCGTTACTTTCTACTTCTTCTGTAGTTCTAAATGGTACTTTTGTTGAGCTTCTACATGAGCATCTGATAGAGCCTCTGAATGGCTTCTGCAGGATCATCTATCGTTCTTGTCCGAGGTCTGTTGGTGGATACATTTTCTGCAGGTGCTAGTCATATCAAGCTCAGGCATATGTTGATGAGCAATGGTTAGACGGGGTCGGAAGGAATTGGAAAACTACAGTTTACATTGAAACGTCTCTGAAACGATGAGGTGGTACGAATGAGATTGGATGTTGGCTTCGATGTATGGAAGTTGTAATCTGACATAGGACCCTACACCGACTATTTCTTTTGATCATATTTTAGTTCCATTCCTATAAAATGAGACTGAATTGTCGAATGTGTTTGTTGGATCTCACAGTTGCTCCATATTATAGGGCCCGGTTTGGTATGTCCAACGATTCAGTTCGATTTCAGTCGGAAGTATTCTCCATCAAACCACCATTGCGAGTTCCGAATATCATTCTTAGTTCATTGAAGAATCAAGAATTAGGGCGTCCTGCCAATATGGTACACATCCTGACCGTTCAATGTAACGATTGATGTGCCACTCCCACTCTTCATATTCGACATATTTGAGCAAACTACACTTCAGCTCATAAAAATCAGCTATATGATAGTTCTCTCTTGGCTCTTCCGATGGCCCTTTTGAAAATGTTTTCTCATCGGTACCAACTTGTACCAGTCCTTCCTTCCCCTCCATTTTGCACCCATTAATAATGCACCCGTACACCACACACATGCGATGGTCTTCTACTGCTCGTTAAACTCATCTCCTCTCCACCGAAATGGCATTCTCTTCAAATACGTCCAAGGCTAAGGCCAAGGCCACAGTCAACAAGCTCTTTGAAAGCATGCTTCCCGGAACGGCCTTGACAAGTCTGGGAAAACAAGGTGCTTCCGCCACAGAGAAATTTGCAAGAGAAATTTCAAAGAAAAGACTATCCAAGGAAGAGATCAGAAAAGCAAACAAGGCGGAAAAAGTCAAGCAGAACAAGGTTATCAACAAAAAGCTTGAATCTGACAAAAAGTTCCAGAAACTTGTCAAATACCAGGTCATCAAATCGCACAAATCCACCGAGAATCTCTCGCCTGAAGAACAGAAATACTTGAAGAAGCTAATAAAGAAGAATTCCAATGCCGTTAAAAGAGCTGGCGGAGTGGATGATCCTTTCGTTCAGGAAGAAATCGAAGACTTGCGAAAGGAAATCTTGGAATTGTCCAACGAAAAGTACAAAAAGTCAAAGGAGAGAAAGCTCGATGCCAAATTGGAGTCCTTCAACCACAGATTGCACAAGAAAGAATACAAGGAGACGGATGCTCCAGGATTGACGCCTGGTTTGGCTCCTGTTGGATTCGACGAGTCTGACGATGAGTAACATTACAGCATTAAGATGTATAGTAGTCTATTAATATAAATTAGGATGTTCTTATCTATCCAACTCGTAGAGCATTTGGCGTACATCGCTGGTCTTCTTACGCACGCTTCTCTTTTTGTCGTCGAGCCCAACTGTGAGGCGGTTTCGAATAGGAATCTGGTACTTCAATACCTCGGCCAACTCCAATTTTTGGAAGAGCCCCATCAAGCACTCTAAACTCAACAATCTGATTTGCTCGTTGTTCACCAAATGTTTGTTGACGACAATCTTGCTGATACTCAACTCAGTAAGTTTTTCAATGAGGCTTCCCAAGTTTTCCAGAATAAGCTGTGGTGACTCGAAGATAATTACCTTGAATGTCTGCAAAGATGCTTCCAAAATAGATGAATCCTCAAAAGTCAACCCGTTCAAGACCAAAGGAAACACTGCTTCCAAGTGCGACCTCAAAATCTTGGTGGATACATTGTTAATAATGATGGCCAACGTGCTTAAAAGAACTCCTCTCTTTGTGTTATCCTTGACATTCTTGAAGCTTTCAATCAATGATTTCAAGACTTTCTCAAAGATTTGCTGTTTGTATAACAATCTGACATTTGTGTTCACCACACCTGAGATGATTTTAGGCTTGCTGTTTTCTTTGTTCACATAGATGTCCAAGTCTGCCATCAAGACATTGAATGACTGCGAGAGTGCCATTGAAAAGGAAATATTAGATGATTGGGTCAAATCTTTCACAATCAAATCCAAGTACTTTGAGCCCACGCTATCGATACGGACGATTAAGGCCTTAACGATCCATACAAATACTTCTAGGTCCTCAACATTCTGTTCAATGGTCTCGTATGTCTTCTCAAGCAACTTATCAATCAATTCACCATTCTGAGGAATAAATTTGTTCACGAGCAACGACAACACTTGCAAGTACTCGAGACTCAAAAATTGATCATGCATTTTCCTGAAAACACCAATAGTTTTTTGGATATAATAGTCTGATTCACCGGGCAATTGAGTGTTCTTGTCAATCTTGGCAAGGAAGTACTTGAGGAGAGTGACTTTTGGGGATGGTTTAGATAAAACATCTTCCAAGACAATCCCTTCGTATTTCTTACTCTCAATGAAGACAGGGATCATTTCATCCAAAATCTCTTGGTGCTTGGCTTTCTCCATATATCTCACCACGAGACCAAAAAGCTGACCGCTTAGGTCATAAACCATCAAGTCGTCATTGCATTTTGTGATTGTGACTGATAAGAATCTAGGAATGAACTTCTTGTACCAAGAATTAGTGAGAAATGGTTTCACACTTTGTGTTTGGGTGAACGAATCAATCAAACATTGAACCATTGCGGCGTAAGAGTAAGCGTCATAATCATCATAAGCCAATTTGTTCAACAATCTAATTGACAATACCTCCAAGAACTGATAATTGACACAGAGTTTATTCACGAGCTTCAAAACTCCGGGATCAGAGATGTGATTGAGTAGCTCAGGCAAAACAATCTCAATAATGGAAGAAACGTTGAGATAGACTGCATCGTCGGGTCCCTCAGACATCACACGAACAAATCCATTAACTATTTCCAACAAAAGAATGTCAGATTCCCAATTTGTTGTCTCACTTTCAACGATTCCGACCAAAGTGTCGTTCAACCATCCTAGGATGAGTTTTACTTCCTCTCTTGATAGAAACTCATGGAGTCCAATCAATTTCACGAGCTGTTGAATAATCTTGCACTTCAAAGTTTTCTCCAACTTGGAAGACGTCTGGAGCAACTGGCCCATGAAGATCAATAAGTGGTCTTTGTAGTTCTCCAAGTTCGTTGCTTGGTTAAGGATTCTGGCGGCGGTGAAAATAAATCCCAAGTTGTCAATAAGTTCTCTTTGACGAGCAATAGTTAATGCAACGTCCACTTCCTCTTCATCTTGAGGCTCTTGGTAATCACTTCTTATGTACTTACCCCAAATTTCAAAGGAGAATACAAACTCCACAACCGCATTGTAAAGCTTAACAGATGTTGAGCCAATAGCACTCAAAATCAATACAGACTGCTTCAAAGTCTTCTCGTTGAGCGATTTGAAGTTCTTCTCTAAGTTGGAGGTTACAGTTTCCATGAACGAGTCCTGTGTGTCTGAATCGGCTAGCTTTTCAGCAATAGCACAAATTGTCTTCAAAGTATAGATGAGAGTCTTGTTATCGTCAGTATCTTCGAGAGTTTCAGCAGCAGGGGGAATTATGTATTCTGCCTCTGGCTTAAAAATCAGAACGTCATTGTGGAGGATCTCGAACTTTAATGCGTCCCAGATACTTACCCAATACTGCTCAACAGTTGACTGAGAATATTGCAAGACACATTGGTAGATTGTGAGCAAAACATCGTTCCTCACGGCCGGGTTGGTTGAAGTGAGTTTCTCGAAAAGCGAGGGGAATGTGTCTTGAGCATACTGGCTTTGTGATGCAATTGTATCTCTCAATTCCGTCTTCAACTGTGGGGCGGTAATTTTATACGGATCGTTTGGAGGAGGGGTGAAAGAGATTGGGAAATAGCAGAAGCTGACGTCGAAAAGTTCTGACAAAAGGCGGTCATGGGTAGAATTGGTTGTTCTGTCTTCGAATTGGACGGTCTGATTAATGCTAGTGTTTAGCTTGAAAGAAATGAGCAAGTTTCTGGGGTCTTTCTCGCCGCCAGCTATGTGTATGAAAGCAGACACGAAATCTTCAGCATATTTGGGATTTGTGGCTATGACTGCCGAGTGGTTGGAAAAAAGAGACTCCAAAAGCACAAACGCTTCGTATCTGACCTTCGCCAAATGCTTTCTTGGCTCATACTTGGTAGAAACAGCCGAAAGCAAGTTTTCCAAGTTGTTGTTCACCGCAGGTAAGAAATTCTTGTATTGCACCAACAGGCCAAGAGCTTGAAGAACATAGATGGAGAGTTTCTCATCCTCGAATTTTGTCACGAGAAACTGCAAGAGAACACCCACGTCTTGTTTGGAGAGTTTGGTAGAAAGTGTTTCCTGTGCCAACGTGGTGGCCAAGCACTGAACAGCTTGAGCTCTCGTGGAACTATCATCAGAGGTCAACTTTGGACCCAAAGTCTGAATCAACTGGAGTAATGAGGCATCGTCTGCTGCAATTATACTGGCAATCTTTTGCGCAGAAACAGTGGAGTCTTCGTCACTGACCACGGCAGCCACAAACTGGTTCACCAAAATGTTAAGTTCGGCTGAAGACATGGTAATGTTCGCTTATATCGACGATCGAGATAGCGATCAATCTCCGATCTTGATGGGTAGGTGCACTACTGGTGTTGAAATTGCAACAGAATAGAGAAAGGTGGGTAGAGGTGTGGTTTCTACTTATTTATGAAGATGGTCCGATTCGATTTATGTTTTTATTTTAGGATATACGAGTTTTTACAGAGGTTGGAGATTTTTGGATTTTTGCTGAATAGGTAAACCAATTGTGGTTTTTAACATTGACGGTAAAAAATGTGTGAAATACAAGTGTGAGGCCAACACCAGAATTATGGCTGAGATAAGGATGAAACAACTTTAATATAATAAAAGAAAAAAAACCAAGAAAAATCACATTCAAATTAAATTGACCCACCATTTTTCTCGACTCTCACCTACTGAATGCCATTTTTCATACTTTGACTCTGGATTTTTTATTCACTTGATATAGAGATGCCATTCCTGCAGAGGGCATCGACTCACTTAGCAACAAGAAACAGCAGTCCTTCAAAAAACACATTCAGAATAGGAAACACGAGATATAATCCACTTACACGTCATTTCATCTCAAATAATTTTCAAACTTATTGAAAAAAACTTCAGATCCTTTACATGAACTCAAAACACCCACCCTATTCTGTAGGTTGGTAGACTTACATGCAGTACCACAGGCGGTTCCGCAGGCACTAACCTCGATCTATCAAATCTCCATGTTCAATAAACTAAAGTAGGTACCTGCCACCTTATCCACCGATAACCATTGTCTTTATTCTTCCACTGGTACGATTGACTAGAGTGATATTTCTGTCTTGATTCCTTACCGTGCAGGTGCCATTGGATCTACAGATCTCATATCGAACCATGATCGAAATTCCAAACTTGGATCAGCCCTCCTACGGTCAGGACGAACTCGACCAACTTCAGGTTCAGTACAATCGCCATTCAGCACATAGTCAAATGCCTGATGGCGCGTCCTCTGATAACACCATCCGCGTTAATCTTCATTCGGACCTGGAACCGCTGCTCCACACAGAGAACCTTCGTAGTTCAGTCCGTGCTGGGCTCGAGCTGCCCATCGACTTTGTCAACGATAGCATGCTGCCTGCTGCTTCGCTTCCGAATCTTATTCACATGACTACGAACTCTCCGCTGGCCGTGGATCTGTACTTTCTGTCTCATAAGCGTATAGACGATATGGACGGGTACTCACCGCAGATCGAGCCCGCCAACATCATCGAGGAGCTGCCTGAGGCCGATGCAGATGATACCGAAGTTCAGATTGATAAGCTGCTGCTGTTTCAGTATCAGGATAACCCCACTCTATCTGAATCTATCCAGAAATTAGCTGACCAGTTCAATGGCAAGGGTGGCCACTCGGATTCGCTAAACGAGATGCTGCAAGAGGATCAGGAGCTCTACAATAATACCAGACTGTTCATGATCTCACCGAATCAACAAAGTACGTCTGACGCTTCCCTTGCGCTTTCTGACTATATGCGAGAGCTTGAAATCGATCCTCAGGAAGTCCAATACAGTAGAGCAACTCCTGTGCATATGAAAGCAGCGAAATTTACTGTCCGTCATCCTCTCAGTCAGGCTACGGGTCCAGATTCAATAAATATTGACGATATCGATGCAGAGGCTGTTATGGAGAATGTTAGTGACATTGATCTGGTGAACGAATCCCCAAAACAGCTCAATCAGCATCCTCTTGGAGCCAACACCATAGATCTCGACATGCCTACACCTTTAAGATCTTCCCTATCTCAGGAATTTGCATCGCCTCGCAGCCAGAAACTCGAGTACGTGGAACCCTCCCCACAGTTGCCTCCTCCACTTTCTGCAAAATCTCTGAAACAAGCATTCGCACACTTTCAAGAGTTCTCCAACACCAGAAGAAGTCTAGCCACTGAACTAAAGAATCCTGCGGAATATACCTTGCATATCGTCTTCACCCAGTTTGTTCGTCACGCTGAACTGAAGTTGAACATGTGCCTCGACTTTCCACTTCTGGAAGAACCTCCCATCATTGAGATCTTAGCAGAAGGGGTTGACAGAGAATTTGACCACATCATTTCCTCACTTGGCTACATTGCAAAACGTAAACCAAAACCTGTCATTGACAGTGTGATGTTTTGGAGGAAGTCCAAAAGCGAAGTTGCTGCTCGCGCAGCGTCTGAAGTCGAAAAGATCGTTACTTTATCGCAGACCTCGATGTCTCGCTTGTCTGAAAGTAGTAATGTTACAACAGTTGGTACCGCAGTTGGTACAGCAGTTGGCGGTGCCTTGGATGCTCTCAATTTCAAGGGCCCCCAGAACAAAGGCAAGAGGAGTCTCAGTCTAATGAGAAGTAAGAGTATTTCCAAATTAACGCACCGCAGAAACAATTCAGCATCTGTGTTGTTGGATTCACGCTCACAGGCTAAACAAAGTTCAGAATCAAACCTAGGCAATCCGTCCTACGATTATGAGCTTGCAAGACAGAAACATTATTTTGAGGAACAGATCGCACATGCGCAAGAAACGGCTGTTCAGGCCGAGCGCAAGTCTTTGGCTTCAATATATATACTTTGTCGTGTTTTGATTGAAGTCGTGAAGCAAACTTCTCAAGACACAATGGGGGATGATCTAGGAGGAAGACTCGAGGAGATTGTTTACAACCAATTGAAAACGACCGACCCAGTGAGCGCTAGTGAATCTTTCGTAAGACTGGCCAATTGGAATTTATTTGCTGAACTTCTCGGGTTCATGTCCGAGAAGAGGTTCTTGAGTGTCAGCGATCGGTTCATTGCCGATTTGGAAAAAGTTCCTATCAATGTGAAGCATGAAGATGAACCCAGCTTGCATCTCCTTATCTACGGTATGAGGTATCTAAAGCTCACTAACTATCACCTTGATAAGTTTGAAGAAAGTGCAGAGTTCATCCAGTCCTTGACGAAGTTCTTTTCGAACTCGCGAAACCAGACATTGACATTTGCATACGCTGAGGTATTGAGTAACTTGATTCTCCCTCTTGCTTCAATTCTTACAGCTGAAGCTAATCATCCCATATGGGTAGACGCCGTCACCAAGATCTATTCTAAGGCTCGCAAATTATGGTCAATATCCAATTCGGCTTACCATCCTGGAAATGCGAGCTCGATAAATCTTGCCCAAATAGGTGGACCAATCTTACCAAATAATGATTGGGATATTTCATTGATCTTGATGACATCCGCATTGAGTGTTGCTCCCAGAGAATTGTTTGCAGATAATTGGTTCCTGATCATTGAAAACAACATCAACAAGTTGAAACCTAAAGGAGACACTTCTGTGAAAACAAAACTAATGGTTTGTTTGAGTAGACTCCTATGGGTTTACATCAACAGGCTCCCTGATACATTGAATAACACTATCAAGAAGTTGGACAGCTTGTTTGACTTATTGTTCTTCGGTTCGCTAGTTGCAGGAAAGAAACAGCAATGGATTTCTCCGGATATCAACCTCTTGAATGCATTGTCAGAGATTATTCGAATCGTGAGTTTCCAGCATTTTAGCTACGTGCTTGACAACGTGATTCTTAGGCTTTTGAAGTCGAGTTTTAACGGAGAATCTCTTGAGAACATGTATACCGAAAAGTTAACTTTAGTCGTGAAGTCATATATGCTATGCCTTCAGGACAACAAGGTTGGTGTGAAGCCAAGTTTCCCAACTGACGAATACATGAATGAGAGATTTGCTGAATCTGTTGGAAGCTTCGAAAATGCACGTTCGAAGTCTGTTAGTATTAAACTTGATTCAACAACTCAGAGACAGAATAGAATCATGTTTGATAACAAGCAAATCAAAAATCAGGCTGCACATGAAGACATTTGTCAAACTTTTGCTTCGTTGCTAAAATTACTCGATAGCCTAGTTGGTATGCATACCTGGACCAAAACCGAAGGATCATTAGTCTCTGCTGCCTATTCAAAGTCGTTGACCTCGTTCTCATCATTCCATTTTGGACAGGAATCGTCTCATCTGACCTCTAGAGACGTTCAAATTGAACTATTTGCCAGCTTACTCTCTGCAAGCGCGTGGTCAATTGTTCCACTAACAAATGAGCATTCTGGAAGTACAGTTGTTGGAATCCAGTTCAAGTCTCTCGTTGAAATATTGGTCCGTAATGCCATTCATGACAACGCAGTTATTTCTCTGGCATCGATCAATGCTTTAGGAAAGCTTGCAGCCAGAAAGAATGCCGGTAATTTTCTTCTCACTTATGCTAGAATTGCATTCCGTCTCACAGAGAAGCCAGGACTTGTTTATGAGTCAGAGTATTTCAACTCTGAAAACTTTGTACGTCTCTTGAAGATTTATGTGGAGTTATTGAAATGCTGGCTCAATCAATTCAATGACGATGACCCGGTACTGGATAAGCGTGATGTAAACGATACTTTGATGAACAATGATGTCCTTAATGATTTATACCAGATAAACCATAAGGCATCTGATTTAACGAACTTGGAGCCGCCATCTTCGAAATTGAAGCCATACGAGGAGCTTGAATGGAAAACAATTATCACTGTGATTGAAGAAGTTGAAGGAAATGGATTGTTCTTCCTCTGTTCGAATGACAGTCGTATTAGACTGTTTGCGATCTCGATTTTGAAAGTTGTGGAACAATTTGACCAATCTATCTATAACAGTACGAACAAAGAGCTCAGTCCTTCAAATTCCAATTCAAACTCCAATTCAGGAAAAGGTCACTCCAGAAGCTCTTCAAAGTATGTGGCCGATGAGGGAACGAGATTGATCCATGTGATGGAGAATCAAGACATCCTTGAGCTAATCAAGCCAATAAAACACGAAATGAGTGTTCCCGAAAGAACAAGATTGAGCAAGATCAAGAACAAGAAGGGCACAATTTTGAAACTCGCTGCTTCTGATTATGGAATTGATTCGACTGTATGGTTTAGAATCTACCCTAAACTTTTGGATATTTTCTTCGAGAAGTGTCCAATGCCTCTTGCTCTATGCCGTTCAACAGTTTGCGTCCGCTTAGTTCAGATGCACGAGATAGTTGTCGAATTCTCAGAGAATCATAAAAACAATACGTCGTCCATTTTTGGACGTCCAACTTCTTCCACACCTCCGGAAGTTTTGGTGAATCAATGGAAGCTTTACCTAATTTTTGCTTGTTGTTCTTTGACTAGTACAAACGAGCAGAAGATTTCAATTCCTTTACAGCCAACGCATGGACGCAAGAAGTCGTTACCCATGTATATTCAGCATCAGAAAATCACTAGTGCGAAATCTATTTTCCGGATGGTTTTACCATTACTCAAATCACTTCAACCAATGATAAGGGAGGCAGTAATTTCTGGTCTCAGTTCTATCAATATCAACATCTGCAAAACCTTAGCAGAAAATCTACCCGAATGTATCAACGACTGGGATACACAATCAATTAAAAGAAATCGAGCAGACGATAGAGTTCGAATTGAAGTCGTTCATATCTTGAGCATCATTACCAGCAGATTCAAATCTGATTCAATACTTTACTCCGACGATTCAACTGTTGCAAACTTTGTCTCAATAATTAAGAATGTTAAGGGATTTTTGTCAGTGCAATCAATTCAAACTCTGCCAGAATTTCAAAGTCTCAGGATTTACTTCAGTTCTCTTTTGGAAAATGTCTTTATTGGATTGAAGGATCGACTGGACTTGAATAGGTGGCTTCCTTTTGAGGCGCGTATTGGATGCTTCAACTTCTTGAAGGAGTGGTGTGGCTTTGGTGACTCAAAATTGATTCTTGAAGAGAGATACGCTCATATGATGCAGTGTACTCTGCAATTGAAGATTCCAACAGCGGCAGCATTTCTAGAAATGGAGAAGAAGACATTGCAGAATGCGTCATTGAGTTGCATGGCCACAATCTGCTCAGGTGTCTTGAAACAAACATTCAATGTTCCTGGAAAAACCGCAGTGATGTCTTTTGATATAAAAAGCGTTATGAATTGGGTTCACGAAATCATCAGTTCCGATAACGAGAAAGTCAAAGAGATTGGGCAAGTTGCATTGAGAAACATTCTTGAGTCCAACATTAACAGTGATGATATCTATCAAGATGTCTTGAGCCAGTGTTACAACCCACAAAATTCTTTGCATGTAAGGGAGGTATATTTCACTAATGTTGTGAAGACCTTCTTGAAATCAAAGCAGATCGAACTGATGCCTTATGATATTTTCAGTCTATCTACCTTTTTGGTGGGTACAGACAATTATGAGATCAGATTTGCTGCAGTGAAGCTCCTTAAGCATATTGAAACAAAGTTTTTGAACACCTCATCAATGGATTATTTCACTGAAAGCGTTTGTTGTTCCACCATGGTTGTTTACAAAAAAGTTCTTTTTGAAATTTCAGTTAAGTTGGCTTCGGAACACCCAAAAGATGCGTTCACATATATCAGTTACTTAACGAAGTACTTTATCGCTGTTGATAATTCAACTAGAAAAGATATCTTAGCATGTCTCCTTCCTTGGGTTCAAACAGTGGGGTTGAAATACGCTGGAGATGTCGAAACTGAAAATGGAGAAGCGGAGACAATTCAGGTTATCGAACAGCCCCAACAGATTGACCCCGCATCTTTGATGGTGCTTAACAACTTGTTTGAGATTACTGTTAAGTTCAGCAAGAAGATTTCAAATGAAGTCGAAGCATTGTGGGTTGCTCTCGGAACAAACGCAAAAAATTTTGATATAATATGTGGTTACATCATCAGAAACTGTTTGGAGAGAAAAAATGCAAGCTTCGTGTCATATTCAAGGCAAATTATTGCATACTTGGTGTTTTCCAAACCTGATGCTTCTTACATCATCAAGAAGTTGATCGACAACCTACAGCCGAAAGCAATGGTGCCCTTGCAACAGAATAACAGAAAACCTACTGAAAGTGAAGAGTTAGACTTCCCATATACAGCAGACATATCCAAACTCCTTGGTACAGGCGGTAAAGAATCTCCATTCTCCCTCGGCCAGTTGTCAATGATCTTCTTAGTTGATTTGTTCCGATCAAATAATGACATGATCTTAGAACATCTTCCATTATTGTTGCATGTTTGTTTTTCATTACTTGACCATTATTTTCCCCTTGTTCAAGAACAATCAGCATCCTTGATAATTCATTTGGTGCATTCGATAGCTCCTGGTAACCAGAAGTCAATTCAAGTTATGGATACATTGAGACAAAAAGATCACCACAAACACTTGTGGGTCTACGAGGACTTGAATAACGATAAAAAAGGAGGCATGACTCCAAAAAATATGGATCTTCTAGTGAGAAATATCCTCGAGATTTTCACTCCCACTGTTCCAAATCTTCAGACAGAGTGGAGCAGAGTTTCTCTTAAATGGGCTACTACATGTGCTGTTCGTCATTTGGCATGCCGTTCATTCCAACTTTTCAGATCACTCTTGTCATTTTTGGACCAATCCATGCTTAAAGATATGTTGCATAGACTATCAAACACGATTGCAGATGAAGGAGTGGATATTCAGGGATTTGCAATGCAAATTCTTATGACATTGAATGCAATCACAGCCGAGTTAGATTCTGAGAAATTGATTGACTTCCCTCAATTATTCTGGTCGAGTGTGGCATGCCTCAGCACAATTCATGAGCATGAATTCATCGAAACAATCTCAACCATGTCGAAGTTCGTTTCCAAAATTGACCTTGATGCACCAGATACCATCTCATGCTTAACAGCAACATTTCCGCCAAAGTGGGAAGGAAGATTTGAAGGCCTACAGCAAGTTGTGTTAGTAGGTCTTCGCTCGGCAACCGCATGGGATGCAACCATCAAATTTCTTGACAAGTTGAATAAATTGCAAGATAGTATCATTATTGGCTCCGGTGATTACAGACTTCTAACCGCTTTATTAACCAACTTGCCAAGATTCTTGCACGCCCTTGATCAGAAGTCCATTACAGCTGAAATTGAACAAGTGTGCGAGCTCATGAGTCAGATGGCCATCAACTGTGACAAGCCATCTTTGGCGAGAATCTTGAATTCTCTCGCAAAGTACCGTTTTAGATCAAAGAAGGATTTCTTAGTCCAAACCATCTCCACCATACGAACTAGTTTCTTCCCAGAGTACGAGGCGCAGACACTCACTATATTATTGAGTTTGCTTTCGAACAAAATTCCTTGGGTTAAGTTGGAGACGCTCAGTATCCTCAAGCATATTTTTCCGCTCGTTGATCTTCAGAGAGATGAGTTTCTTGGAGTTGGCGCTGATCTTGTTTCGCCTTTGTTGAGATTGTTATTGACAGAGTACGCCGAGCCCGCATTAGAGGTTATCGATGAAGCGGTGGTCATTTCAGGCTCTCAGATGGATAAAGACATCTTGAGGATGAGTTTAGGAGGAACCTCGATGAGAAGGGAGTACGAAAAGACAGCTACACTCTTTGGAATTCCAGAGGAGAGCGGCTGGGCCATCCCAATGCCCGCCATGGTTGCAGCCAACACGAGGCACAATGTTCATGCTGTTTTTGCCACTTGTGGAGAGTCAGCAGTTGTTGATGAGGTTTCTAAGGATTCTTTTGCTGGTGAAGATATTGAGTTCTTAATGGACGAGTACCACCCGCATAGATCAGATTACGGAGATGCCCAATCTGTGGGTGTTGAGGAGCCAGCAGCCTCATTGAGTAACATGTGGGCTGCGTTGGACGATTTTGACTCTTTTTTTACCAAGTCGGACCAGCGCGCTCAGATTGCCTCTGGAGCTCCTAATGGCCGTCAATTTGCCAAAAAGAATAGTGGATACCATGCGCCAAGCTTGTCAATGGACACAAAGACTAGCAACTCCAGCGATCTCACATCACCTATCGATTCAGTACCACAGGTTTATGATAAGAAAGCACTTGTTATTCTTAACCGGAGTTTGGCAAGAACGCAATCTACTACCTCGTTTAAGAGTAGTTTGGCAGATAACTACGGATCTCCTACTAGTTATGGCGGCCAAGTTGACAATGGCGGAGCCAAGAGGTCATACATCCCGTTCCGGAGCAGCAAGCATGCAAAAAGCAAGGATCCATACATGACACCCAAGTTGAACTCGTCAGGTAGTGTTTTCGACCAAAGCACCATTGGCACTCCACCGACAAAGACTCCCAACAAGTCTAGTCCGCCAGTGCCATTTTTAGCTCCGCTGTCAGCAAGTCCACAAGAAACAATTTCTCAAGACTCAATGAACTCGGAAGCCATCAACCGATTCGATGCAATCTTGAATGGAAGAAAGAGGAGCCGGAAGCCATAGGAGATAAATGAAGTATAAAAGGAAAGAGGTTAGATGTTATATACAGTAATTTTGCAACCTGCTTATGTCAGCAACCAAAACCTGCGCAAGGTAGAAAAAAAACTCGAAGGTGAAAAGATCTAAAATCAAAGAATGCCACCAAAGAATAGGAAAGAGCAAGACAAGGCAGCCAAGGCTAAGGCTAAGGCCAAGTCCGGTGAAGACAAAGGTTTTGGTATGAAGAATAAAAACAAATCGAAGAAAGTCCAGAATCAGATCCAGCAGATGCAACAAGGTGCTGATGGAGGACTTGCAAAGAAGAGAGAGGCCGAACAGAAGAGAAAAGCCGAGGAAAAGAAGGCATCTGAACAGGCCAAGAAGGAGGCTGCTGCTATGTTTGGTATTCAGCAGCAGAAGGTACCGTTTGGTGTGGATCCAAAGTCGATTTTGTGTGAGTTCTTCAAGAATGGAGTATGTACCAAGGGAAACAAGTGTAAATTTTCCCACGATCCTAATGTTGGACGTAAGGACGCCAAGAAGGACTTGTACACCGATGCCAGAGCTGATGCTAAGGCAGAGAAGGAGGCTGATACCATGGATAACTGGGACGAAGAGAAATTGAGAAAGGTTATTATGTCCAAGCATGGTAACCCAAAGACCACCACGGATAAGATTTGTAAATTCTTTATTGAAGCTGTGGAGAACGACAAGTATGGATGGTTCTGGGTATGTCCTAACGGAGGACACGAGTGTATGTACAAGCATGCTTTGCCTCCAGGATTCGTATTGAAGACGAAGGAACAGAAGAGACTAGAAAGATTGGCCAAGGAGGCCGAGCCTCAAATCACGTTGGAGGAGTTCATTGAGATGGAGAGAGGCAGATTGGATAGATCCAAGTTCACGCCGATAACATTGGAGACCTTCAAGAAGTGGAAGTTGCAACAGAAGGCCAAGAAAGCTGCCGAGAGAAAGAAAGAGGAACAGAGCGGTAAGAGACAGTTGACCGGAAGAGAAATCTTGACCAAGAAATATGCAGACAAATACTACCAGGAAGAAGAAAACGAGGGTGACGAGATGGATTTGTCAGAGTTCAGAACTGCCTTGCCTGAAAACGAGGAGTTCAAGGACTATGGAGATGGAGAAGATATCGAGGAGTTCGATGACGAGGAGACTGCTCCTGAAGCCACTACTGATGCCACTGCTGAAACTGCTGTCGAGACTAAAGCCGAGCCTTCCACAGCCGACTCTGCATCTGAATTGACGAGAGAAAACGCAACAGACAGCGCCATCACGGCATAAGATGGGAATGATGAGCATATGGAAAAGCGAGGTGCCTTTCCTCATAGAGCATCCGAAAGGGCGCTTACTGGTAATCATTAGCCCTAGTTTTTGATTATGTGTAATATAGAATGCAGTTCGGTGAGCTTGCGATTATTCAAGATCTTGTAGCGAATCCTTAAAGAATTGATCATCGGTGTCTCTAAAAAGATGAAGCTTGACATCCGTTCCTTCAAGTGAATGTAGTACAGCTTTTATCCGCTGGAGCCACTCTGCTCCACGCTTATCCACATCCTCGAGTTCGAAGAAACTTTGAGCTCCATTTAGGTTATCAACATGGAATTGCTCTGAAGATTGGTCAATAGATTCAACTTGAGGCAATGATAGCAAAGGACTTGCTCCAGTTCTTCTGCGAGGCGGAGGTGGAGGTGGCGGAGGTGGAGAAGAAGTTGATACCCTTGGACTCACTGAGCCTGACTTTGGAACCTTCAGAGAAACCCTGCTTCCCGAGTGTTCCTGATGATATGAATCAGACAATATTGAGTCAGTGGCAGCTTTCTGCAAGTATTTTCTCTCTGGCAATGGCGGAGCTTTCGTGACGGTGACTCCCTTAAGTGCAATAGGTTTTCTGGGAATCATAGGTGGTAGTTTTGCAGCTCTTGAAGTCGAGATTGGGTCTGGCCCATTGAAAACTGCGTTCAGTTGAGTGGAAACAGCGTCACGTTGATTAGTGGCTGGTTGATTAGTGGCTGGGACCGCAGAGCTATCTGACATATCTATAAGGTCAGGTTCAGACTCCACACGAGGAACCACAGGAGTATCCTTTTGGCGACGAGACCATTCTTTGATCATCCATTCAATTTCATTAAGAATGTTGTCGTCATTCACATCAGAAAGAGAATCCTCAACAACACGAATGTAGATACTTTTGATCTGAGTTGGGTAGTTGACCGCCAAATCTGTGTAAGCTTCAATGTCTCTCTCACCAGAGTCCCCGACACAAATGAATTTCTTTTCGGGGAAGTCTTGAGCAATTTTGAAGAGCGACTTCTTTTTACGGGATGATGATGGTTCCATGAGCGATGAAATGATGTTTCCAGTGTACTGCTTGAGATGAATAGAGCCGGGAGGTAGCTGAACTGCTTCAAAGTATTGACTGATCAAAGAAAAAAGCTGCCAAGGAGAATTTGACACGTAGTGGAAGGTAAGGTCTGATCTCGAGAGAAGAGCCTTATACCATGCGATCACAGGAGGAATGTTCCACGACATGACGTCCCCTAGCAATAATCTATGCATCAATTCACGTTTGTCGCCAATGACTCCTGTGAGTTTAACGGTATCATCAATGTCACTAATAAGCCCATATCCCGCAATTGTGACTACCCTGACCTCTTGGAACACGCATACAGTTTCATCGGCCACCGAGCTGACCTGTACTACCGAGGGTTCGTAGGGAACAAAGATTTCCGTCTCGAAATTGCCGTTAGAGTCAGTCGTTGTCTCTATTTGTTTGAGGTTTGAGCTTCTAGCCGTATCGACTGCCCCTACCACGATACTGATATGAGCAGCAGGGATAGATCTAGCAATAAACGAGCTCAATCGATCTCGAATGAGTTTGTCATTGTCAATAGAACCCAAAGAGGGTGCCATCAGAGGCGAAGCCGAATTTCCAGACGAAATGGAAGATACATCGCTATTCTGGTCACAATCCTGTAATGTGTCCTGATTCAAGTTTGGATCCAGTTCCAAGCGATCTACAGCCGCCAGCGCCGCGGATCCACCCCCGTAGCGTGTTATTTGTTTGGCCAAGGACAATATCAAGCGGTTTTTGCGGCTCATGACGCCTGGACACCACATCCACCCTCGCACACTCACCATCCAGCCATCGCCATTCTCAGAATTTTTGACCGGCCGTGTGTACGTAGGAAAAAGTGTGAACGTTGTATCTTTTGGAAATGTGATGGGCGAGCCATATTCATCATACTGGATATCTCGTGCAGTGATACCTGTTGCCAACAGTGTCACCGAGGAGGTCAAGCGAGGGATGTATGTATCCCTAGTAGCACGAGCAAAACCGATAAGACGCAGACGACGTGATACGGGAGCATTGGACGTATTATCTGAGGGATTGGGAGAAGGCTTGGTACCAGTCAGTGGCCCCAGCAAACCTGCGTTGCCCTCTGGAGATTCTTGAATAGAACCAGAAATAGAGTCTGGCATGATTCGAGATTGGATATTCCGGCCACGCACGCGGGCCCAAAGTCCAACACGGGGTGCTCGAAGTGCCTTGTAGTCTTTGTAGACGTCCCTTAAGAAGGAGAACTTGGAAGGCTTGGACCTAAGCCAGCGAGTGGGGAACTTGATACGAGGAGATCTCAATGCAATTGACCCTTGAAGGGAAAACGGAGATTGTAAAGAAAAGTACCGATGACGGGTACCGTAATTTACTGCTGTAGGTTTATATACAACAGTGATGTGGGTGGGTTTGCTGAAGAAGAAGGTGTAGATCAGAGGTTGAAGAGCGAGATGCAGTACGGTAGCAGGGCCCACGATAAGGAAATAATAGAAAAGAGGATAAGGGGAGGCAAAGTATGAGATCAAGAGAATGATATAAGAAGGAGGGACTGCGGTCAAACAAAGCTAGTATTTCATTTTTTTTTTTTCAATGTTCTTTTGTTGTTTTACATTATGTCCTTTTTTTCTTCTTGAGATTGAGAGTACATTGGCCCTTGAATCCGAGAGATAGAGTGATACAAGATGATTTGAACGGTAACAACTTGATGCCCCTTACTATTCAATGTGAAGGTAATAAAACACTCAGCCATGGGATTTTTTTCTTCACTTTTTCATTCTCATTCAGCGAAACAAAACGAATAAAGAACCCATGCAATGAGTAACAAAAGAAGAAGATTAAAACACAACAATCGAATTAATTGCTTTAATTGAACCTCAAAGATTTTGGGATCATTACTGACGATCATTGTATCATTTCCAGAAAAAATAGAGTGGACTTTCTTCTGGACGTCTGTCACGGCAATTTCATCCATAAACAGGTCTGGATTCTTGAAGAAGACACACAATTCCTTGAAGATCGGCGGTGAATGTGTATCTGGATAGTTGGAGGCGGCGTGTTCTGCGGCTTGCTCAATAGTATCGTCTACGCCAAAATAAAAAACAGCTTGTTTTCTCCGAATGAGACTGAAGAAGCCTGGTTTGTCAATTGTCGTCATGAACTCCACCTTTGTGATGGAGCTGGACAGTGGAAACATACTAGCCATTTTATTGGAATCGGTGACGTCGATAAAATGAGAATCCAATTCAGCCCCTTATTTCAGTTGGATCATGTATTGTGAGAAGATCGAAAGGTTAGAGAGTGTATAGACTATCATGTCATGGGTTTGACACATTCAGGGCACTACACCAAGGGCATTAAATCGGGTGTAGAGAGGGAATAGCTTGGAAATAAATCACTCAAATCAAAAAAGATGCAAAAGATTAAACCTTTTGAGATTCAGTGTTCTGTTGTTCAATGTTTCTTTTATGTCACTGTGAGCATGTGGTCGTGAGTATGTAGAGATTGTGAGTCAGTGATTATGTTGAAATTGTGATTTGAAGGTTGTCCTCCAGTAGTGATTGAGATTTGGAGATTGTTACATGGAAAAGAAAACGATGGTAAATGCCAATACTAAATGGTGTCTTGAAAGAACCTACAAATTGTTCTCAACAGGAAGTTCTCAACATCTCCCAAGTTGGCAAGATCAAGATCGCGAGCTACCCATTCAACAGCAATGTTCAGCCTAAAGGAAAAAGAGAGATATTCTAGTCAAATGTTGAAGACTTCGTCAAAATTCTAAGTGATTATAGAAAGTTTAGTTGTTGCTTGCAACATAACAATCGTACTACTTGAATAATCTTAATAAAGGCTCCAATCACCATTGTATCCTTCAATCTAAAGCACTACTATGCCACACTTTCAATTCACTTACAATCTCCCGTTGAGAGTTTCAAATTGAATCATTCAGATCTCTCTAGGGGATCGCAAGTGACACCTTCCACAGACAGTTCATTAGTGACATTATCGAGCAATTGACAACAAATAGTTGGTGCAGTCATTGATGACAAGAATTAATCAAAGACTGCTTAAGAATAGAAAACAAATAAATTTACGGTTGAATTGAACATCTCCATGTCGTATGCTTTTCGCAGCAATAGCTACCCACCACACCTCCATGCCCCATCCATTTACATCCAATATATCATAACGGCTCGCACAAGAAAATCACTAACAGAAAAATTTCCAAATGTCATTCACAAATGTCATTCATAATCTCCATATAATCTTGGCCACCCTATAATCCTCGGTGTCGATAACCAAGCCAAGGTATGACCACCTCCAGCCATTATAGTCAATGTGCACTACTAACGATAGGAGTCAAGAATCGACTACTTACCATGGAGAATCTTTCCATAGGAAACGAGCTCAAGGATTCGTACAGCATCACAGAGAAATGGGTCACCAACGGAATCAATTGGTTAACGGACATTGACGAATTTTATAAAGAGAGAGCCATCATTGAGAGGGAATATGCCACCAAGCTTCGGGAGTTGACCAAACGTCACTTCGACAAGAAAGCAAAGAACTCGTCGCGGTTGTCGGTGGGAGACGAGCCTCAGATCACACCTGGATCACTAGAGTCTGCGTCTGTGGTACTCTGGAACGAGGTTTTGACCCAAACAGAAGCTATTGCCAAAGAGAGAGATCACTTTGCGCTGGAAATCAGCAACAAGATTTGCTCCAACTTGGACAAATTGCAGGTCAAGCTGAACAAGATAGCAAGACATATTGCTACTATTAACGAATTCTTGGATCTGGAGAAAAAGGCCACAGAAGATGACGTTTCTAAGGCTAAGAAGAACTACGATGCGCTTTGCCAGGGTACAGAGAATGCCCGACAGAAGACAGAGAAGTCTGCCGGTGACAAGTATCTGCGGCGTCTTGAAGAGAAGGAGGTGGAGATGAACATCGGAAAGAACAATTACTTGATCCGGATCAGTGTAGCCAACCGCTTGAAAGACAAGTACTATTTCCAGGACTTGCCAGAGCTTCTCGACTACTTCCAGGATTTGAACGAGTCGAGAGTGGGGATCTTGAACAAGCTCTTGAAGAATGCCAGCATAATTGAGCGCAACAGCAACGATAAGGTTAAGGAACATTTACACGAGATCGATAGTACCATCGAGCAGAATAACCCCAAGTTGGATACTGCTATGTATATCAAGCACAATGCGGTGGCTTGGAAGGAGCCACAGGACTTCTACTTCATCCCTTGTGATTTCTGGCACGACGACGAGTCTCTTATCATTAAAGAGCCTGAATTGACAGACTTGAAGAAACGCTTGAATGTTAGCTTAAATGGATATGCTGTTTCCAAAGAGTCTACACTTAGTGCCAAGCAGAAGCTTGAGGAGGTGTCACAGAAGCGGAAAGCCAGCGACGACTCGCTCACTTTGAAGTTTGACATGGCGTTAGATGATGCATTGACCCTACTTCAGAAGTTCATGCGTGAAGATTCCGCGAGGGTCAAGAACGAAGTCGAGATCGAGATTATTCAGAATTTCGCAGGAGATCAAGATTTATCGTATGTGGAGGTGAAGAAGGAGAAGAAGAGTAGATTTGGCTTGTTCAAGAACCACAAAACTCCTACGACCCTGGAAGTTGTCAGCAATGATGTCCAATCGATTCATACAGTTGGGAGCAACGTCACCACCCATTCTGGAGGGGGATAGGTGGAATCTTCAGTTTGAGGAGAAATAAAACGGCGACCTCAACATCAGGACCATCAACAGGAACATCAGCAGGCAAGGCCACTGCCATCTACCCGTACGAGGCTACTGGTAATGACGAAATATCAATGGCACAGGGCGAAGATCTTGATGTGGTAGAGGAAGATGACGGATCTGGCTGGACAATGGTAAGACTGACTCAGAGTGGAAAGCAGGGCCTCGCACCTACAAGTTACTTAGAGATTAACAAGAATTACGACGGGAACAAGAAGAAAGGACCGTCTGTTGCACCCAAAAGAGGAGCAAAGAGGGTGCAGTATGTGGAGGCTTTGTATGATTACACTGCCGATGAAGATAATGAATTGAGCATCGTTGCAGGCGACAGAATAGTGTTGATACAAGAAGACACGGATGGGAGTGGATGGACAGAAGGAGAGCTCAACGGCGCGAGGGGACTTTTCCCAACTTCTTATGTCAAAAAGATATAGTCATTGTAGAGCACTTGGCATCAATAAGAGTATACTTTGCTTCACTACAACAAATTAACGTAGGAGGTTATTTATAAGTCGATAAATACCAAATTACAGTATTTGTCAGTTTTTGCTATAGAGCATGACCGGTCTGACGAACACCCGGGTCATTCCAACACGAGTATCCAATCAAACGTAAAACACAGGGGAAATGATGGAAGTAAGATTGTAGACCTCATTAAAACGCTTAGTAAACGTCACCTGGGATTTCGAAAACAACTTGCTTACCAGTCAACTTGTTGTACAATTGGGAGAAAGACTCGAGCTTGTAGTCAACGGCGGAGGAGTCCTTGGAGTCCAACAAGACCTTCTGGATCTTGTTACCACCAACCAAGTATCTGACTCTCTTACCAACAATCTCGGTTGGGAAAACCAAGTCCTCCAAGACCTTGTCGTGGACAGCGGTCAAGGTTCTGGATCTTGGTCTCTTCTGGAGCTTCTTAGCCTTTCTAGCTGGCTTTGGCAAGATTCTTCTCTCAGCCAAGAACACAACGTGTCTGTCTGGGAACTTCTTCTCCAACTCTCTGGTCAATCTGGTCTGAACCTTTCTGTAGCCAGCAACGGATGGAACTGGAACGAAAACGGCCAAAGCCTTCTTACCACCGGCAACATCGAACTCCTTGATGGACTTGAACTGCAATGGTCTCAAGTCAGCCTTCAAGTCGGTTTGAGCCTCCAAGTCAATGAAAGCCTGGGCAACTTGCAACTCCAATTCGGTTGGGTTTTCAGACAAAATCTTGTTGGCAGCAGACATGTTTGATTATGTGTTGATGTGGAAGAGGAAAATTTTTAGAAGGAAAAAAACTTGCGAAGGTGAAAAAGTTGGATACCGGAGTGCACACAGGACCACCAACCTACTGCTTAATTTTTTTGTTTGATCGCACTCTTTACCACTGAAGAGGTACGGATGTAATGCACAGGGCCATGAGTTACCAGTAATTTGTGTGCACTTTACTCTTGATCACGTGCTGGATGTGACTGCGAATGCGTACCTAAAATTGAGGGTGAAACGGGTGGGGGTACCAATAACCGCCAACAGCAACTACTTTCTCCTTTTGTTTCTCGAAATTATGACTTTGTGATTTGTGATGAAAGTTAGAAATTGATTGGTAGATTTTGAAAACACTTCTTTCGTATTAATTCAACTGCCTTTTATCTCCACTTGACGCTCTGTTCATACTTCCGGGGCTAGAAAGTTATGTTTCTTGACTTTTGCAAACTTATCAGTTGGAAAAGGGGGACCAAGAAAGAAGTAGGAAATAACTGACATTAATAAATTTGAATGGTAATATCATTTGAGTTAGTAAGCTGGTGGTCCGAAATTGCCGCTGGTGTATGATTTGCAGCCAATACCTTCGACGGTCTGTATGGCATATAGTGCCGGGCGCCAACTGCCCCAGATATCCATCCCCCACAATATGCTTCTGCAAGGCAGACACCGCATTTGCAACAACTACAAGCACTTTTTCAGAACGATGGCTTCTCTTGTTGACCAAGCTAAAAAGGCTGCTGCTTACAAGGCAGTAGACGATAACTTCCCAAAGACCGCTAAGGTTGTTGGTGTTGGTTCCGGCTCTACCGTGGTGTTCGTCGCCGAGAGATTGGGCCAGCTTCCAAACAAGAGTCAATTCGTCTGTATTCCAACTGGTTTCCAGTCAAAGCAGTTGATTATCGACAATGGACTTAACTTGGGCACCATCGAGCAATTTCCTACTGTCGACATAGCGTTTGATGGTGCTGATGAGGTGGATGGTCATCTCAACTTGATCAAGGGAGGAGGCGCTTGTTTGTTCCAAGAGAAGTTGGTTGCAGGAGCAGCATCTAAGTTCATCGTGGTGGCTGACTTCAGAAAGAAGTCGAAGGCATTGGGCCTACAGTGGACGCAGGGTGTGCCAATTGAGATTGTTCCAAACTCGTATGCCAAGGTTACTTTAGATTTACAGGCTCTAGGAGCCAAAAACGTTGCGTTGAGGCAAGGAGGCGCGGCTAAGGCGGGCCCTGTCATCACCGACAACAACAACTTCTTGCTTGACGCAGACTTTGGTGAGATCAATGACCCAGTAACGTTGCACAACAAGATTAAGGCGCTCGTGGGAGTGGTTGAGACAGGACTCTTCACCGGCATGGCTCAGAAGGCCTACTTTGGAGAGGAGACCGGTGAGGTGTCACTGTGGGAGAGCAATTAAGCAAGGACAACAATCGATGACCAGAAGTTAACACTTACATGTATTATAGTAACGTAGAATAACTAAGGAGAGAACGAGCGTGGGTGGGAGGAAGGTTGAGCTATGTGGCGAAATAAAACGGACCATAGCCAGTATGTGAGCCGGGAACTTCCGTCATGGAAGAGTTGCGAATACAGATTAAGTTTACTTGGAGTGGGAGGAGATCCAGTTCAAAGTCTCGGCAAGGCCAGTACCATCGATGGCAATGGTTGGAATCACAGACCATGTGTGCTGTCCGCTCAAGGCATTCATGTCAAAGCGCTCGATAAGCTCTTTTGGCTTAATTGCACCAGGCACATCCTGCTTGTTGGCCACGACAATCAACAAACAGTTCGCCAACTCCTTGTCGTTGATCACACGCATTAACTCCTTTTTAGACTCTTCCAATCTGTCCCAGTCACTGGTGTCTACCACGTATATCAACGCGTTTGTTCCCGTGAAGTAATGTCTCCACAATGGACGGATTCTCTCCTGTCCACCACAGTCCCAAACGGCAAAAGACACGTTTTTGTGCTTGACAGTCTCCACGTTGAAACCGACGGTGGGAACAGTTTTGGAAGTCTTGCCCAACTTTAACTTGTACAAGATGGTTGTTTTACCCGCGTTGTCGAGTCCCAACATCAAGATTCTCATCTCACGGTTCTTGAACATCCGTGACTGGCGGTTAGTGGTGGCAAATCGAATTTTGTGAAAAGCTTTTACATACTAACATATGACCCATGGCTGGCAGATTTGGTGGGAGAAAAACGGAGGAAGGAAAGTATAAGTTGGATACGAGTGGTTGGAGAGCGTGATAAAGACGACACGAAATGAGACACTGTCTGCACGACTTAGACGAGATGAACTAGTAGTGAGAGCAAGCGGGAAGGAAACACGTAAATGCGGCGGTAACAGAAAGCTGTTGGTGGCAATTGTTTTATTTTCACGAGATTTCTGTGGAGTTTTTCTCTTTCCAAATTCTTCTTTTGCTCCCACTCAGACTTCCATAAGTTTGCTGTTGTATGATTTCCATGGTTGGCGTTGAAGTACATACATGTCCGTTATGAAGACATAAATACTGCAGATAAATGCATGAGATGCTTCGGCTGCGAATTGAGAGGTGGTCTACAGCATATGTAGTTGGAGGACAAGAGAAGTACGTCACCGGAACAGGAATGGTTATGGTCTTGCAGGATAAAAGGAGATAGATAGATAGTATATTTTGCAGGGAAGGAGATTGCGAAATTGATTGAAGGTCATAGTGAAATCGGTGTGGGTAGTATAGGTAGTAAGAGATTTTTTTGGTTAGACTATGATGATACTGTTACCAGTACTGCTACTATCAACAGATTTTTCAAGCTTTAATATTCTAAATTTATTGGATTCTGGATCTTTCTCCAGTATATCTTCTATTCCCTACTTTCTCACCCGGTTCATCGTTTCCACGCGGCCAATCACCCTCTCCAACGAAAGACGGACGTCGCCCTTGCTGAAATGCTCCAAATTGTAGTATTTGGGTGCCAACTCAATTAACCATTCCGGACGAATATTGGTCACCGTACGGATATAGTTTTTCAGCGTGAGAACAAACTCGTTGTAAATTACCCACTCGTTCTCTTTGGCCAACACCGTCAGCGGATGGATCAAAACATCCTGGTTGTCCTTAATGGTCAAGAATCCCTTGCTTCCGCTCTTTTTCTTAGCGACTTGCATGAAGAAGCCCGCCGTCAATGCCTTTCTGATATTGTCCCAGTAAGATGGATTTTCAAAGTTTGTGGAGTTCAACTCCAAGTCGTTTCTCTCCATAATTCTTCTTAACTGAGATCTCACACTTTGCGCAGATGTGAGAGAACGGTATGATAAGAAGTTGTCTCTACACCACTGGTGTAAGCCAACGTTGTATGCATCATCGGAGTTGAACGCCTCAAACACATTGAGTAACGTCAAGTGATCTCCATCAGGGTGTGCAAACATCATCTTCATTTCATCTGCTCTCTTTTTGGCAGAACCAGGACGAACGAAAACGTTCGGAACAGATAAGAGTGCAACAATCGACAAGATTTCCTCCGAACACTTGAATGCTGGAGATCCAATCAACATTACAGCAAGCATGGGGTCCAATGGGAATGCAGAAGCCAAACGACCCAACGCAGTCAAGTCTCCCTCATCAGAAAGACATTGTAAGTAGTTCAATTCCTCCAATGCACGCATCATGGTTTCTGGGGCCGGAGGGTCCATGAAGTCGAAATGAACCAAATCATCCACACCCAATTTCTTGAGCTCAAGAACAGTCGAGGCCAAGTTACTTCTTAAGATTTCGGGGTACAGCTGTTCAATCAACTCCTTCTTGAATGCTTCCTCAGTGTAGAGACGGAAACATTTACCTGGACGTGTACGACCTGCTCTACCTGCTCTCTGCTGAGCGGAAGCCTTGGAGATGGGCGAGACAAGCAACGATTCCACTCTAATTCTGGGGTTGTACACTTTTTGTTTAGAGAAACCAGGATCCACAACATACACAATACCATCGATGGTCAACGATGTTTCGGCAATGTTGGTGGACACAATAATCTTTCTTCCTGGTCTTCCTCCGGGCTTGTGGTTTTCAGGAGCAGGATCAAAGATCTTCTGTTGCTGGTGTGGAGGCAAAGATCCATACAATGGGTAGACCTTCAAAGGTCCACAATCCTGCTCTCTGATAAGCTCGTCACCTTCCAACAGGATCTTTCTGCATGCATCTTCAATTTCTTCTTCACCAGTGAGAAACAACAAGATATCACCCTCGTCCTCAGTGGCATGAATCTGTAATACCGTACGGATAGCAGCATCCAAGTAGTCCTTTTGATACTCAGGTGTGTAGTAGATTTCGACTGGGTGGGTTCTTCCAGGCACAGCAAGCAAAGGAGCTTCCAAGAAGTACTTCTGGAACTTCTCAGCATCCAAGGTGGCCGACATGATGATAAGCTTCAAGTCAGGTCTTCTGGTGGTAACCTGTTTCAAAAGACCCATCAAGATATCCGTGGATAAGGTTCTTTCGTGGGCCTCATCCAAAATGATACACGAGTACTTGGACAAGTTGTGGTCCTCCATAGCTTCACGCAACAACATACCGTCGGTCAAGTACTTCAAAATGGTTTTTGGCGAAGTCTTGTTCTCGAAACGAATGGAGTAACCCACTTCCTGGCCCAATTCGACATCCATTTCATCTGCAACTCTCTTGGCCACAGACATGGCTGCCACTCTTCTAGGCTGAGTACATGCGACCATATTTCCATGCAAATGAGGCATGTCGTCGTAGAGTACGAACTGAGGAATCTGCGTGGTCTTTCCCGAACCGGTTTCACCAACAAACACCATGATTTGGGTGGACTGGAAAATCTTCAAGAACTCATCTCTCTGGGCATGAACAGGCAAGTCTCTACGGACTTTCAAGATGTCAAAGTATTTCTGAGAGAATTCAGAACCTGTGAATGGGTTGATCTGGCCGGATTCCAAGCCTTGTGCCAATGAGGCAGTAGTTTTATTTCTCTGGGTGAGGTTGAATTCTCCACCATCATGGAAATCCATTCTGTCGGGAGTGGAGGGGTGTGGATGGATTTTCAAGGATTCTTCAGCAGCCTCAGCCATCTTCTCGGCTTCTGAATCCATAAGCTTTTGCTTTTTGTATTTTTTCTTGTCTTCCTTAGCCATGGTAAAGAGTAGTGATGAGGTTGAGATGAGTTAGGCAGATTTGATAGAGGATGAGTGCAGGAGCGAAGAGATAGGGTGGAGGGAATCGAAAAAGGAAAATAGAAAATTTAGATTCCATCGAATTGATGTTGATACTTGCCAAATAGTTGAATAATATATTATATTTTCCTTTTTTTATGTTCTTTGTATCTTGGTGCTTTCCAGTTCTATGAGGGTGAGTATGAACTGGAAAAGCTCATCAGATAAGATGGAACTTGTAAAGTGGAATGTGAAGTGAATTCTTTTCCTCGATGCTCATCTTAAAGACTCGAATGCTTTTAAGAAAGATATTTTAATAATTCAAAGGGGGGGGGGGGGGCTGTAGACCTCTCTATTTTATTTTTTTCGTCCGGTTTCAAGTTGTCACAATTAAGCTTTTGCTCACAGAAAGTAATTTTATAGGATTTTCGCAGCCATTGTATTCTGGCAGTTCACTGTTAAAATATAGCGATTATCTTTCACTCTTTGTTAGTTAGCCATTATCTGCAACGTTTTTTTTTTATGAAACTACGATTCAATGTTTCTCTTTTCTATTCCAGAATCATATCAAACTTCGGACCATTTGCTTAGAATTCCTGATCACAACCTTCTCCAACTTGTGTACATTTAGAAACCTCACCGACCAATTTCGATTTCTTATCTACATGCTACCTTGAGCTGATGCACTTCTTAGCCATCGAATTTTTATTGACCCAATATTTCGTTGTATGGAAGGTTCCAACTCAATAGCAATCCATTCTTTCTCAAAAGCCAGACCTAAAGCTACATATGAACCGAAATCAGCAGTTCAAACGAAAATCTTATATTAGTCACTAAGTGAAGCCTAAGATCCCTAGAAATTCTAAACAATTGCCTTTCAAGATCCAAAAGATAAACCTCACATTTATGCTTCTCCATTTACCCCATGGCGTGGCTCTGTACTCCATACGGTGCTGTGCGAAAGTCGAAAATTCCGAACCTAAAATTCTCCACCTTATGCCACTTTCAAAGTCAATCTTCGAGACGGTAGCTATCGTGTCATCTCTAGGACACGTAGTCCGTGGTACTACTGCTGTGGTGCAAAAAGATGTGGCTTCGTGGTGGAATCTGTCGTTTGTTCGGGCCCTGGCCCAGGCATGTGATGCCAGCCAACCAATGTGGTCCGAACTCCAGGAAAAGTCGCTAGGAGCACGAGAAAAGGAGACTAATGGGTCTAACGCCAATGGCAGCAGCCCGAGAGGAACTACAAAAGCTCCGGGCAAAAGTGCCGGAGGCAACTCTAAGAGAACATTCTCCACCAGCACAGGAGCTTTCAACGTGGGTCGGTCTCAAGTCAGATACTACCTGACGAAAAACGGCCACGATGAGGTAAAGCGGAGGAAACCTCAAAAGTCAAAGATTGTCAAGCCCAAATTGATTGGAGTGGAGGAAACGAAAGACCACCAGTTGTCTCAAAGTGAGATTCCAAGCAGTAGATTGGCCAGAATCTTTCACTATGGTACATTGGCAGCCGGAATGGGTATCGGTGCCGCCACCCACGGAATCAAGCACTATGCTTCAGGAAACAAACTGGAGTTAACCATGAAACTGATGTTTTTGAGCCCGGCCAACATTGAACGTATGGCCAAAAAATTCTCTCAAATGCGTGGTGCAGCCTTGAAGGTGGGCCAGATGATGTCGTTCCAGGACCTGCTGATTTTGCCAGCAGAAATCCAGCAGATCTTGTTGCGAGTGCAGAATAATGCCCACTACATGCCTCCGGGCCAGTTGCACCGAGTTATGGCTGCAGAGTTGGGCCAGGACTGGAGAAAGAAGTACTTTGCCAAATTTGTGGATGTTCCATTTGCTGCTGCATCCATTGGTCAGGTGCACGATGCCGTCACCGTTGACCTTACCCCCGTGGTTGTTAAGGTCCAGTACCCGGGCGTTCTGGACTCCATCGACTCAGACTTGAATAATTTACTTTTGCTCTTGACAGCCCTGTCGATTCTTCCCAAGGGCCTTTTCTTGGATAAAACCATAGCTAATGCCCGTGTGGAGCTTAAATGGGAGTGTGATTACATCCGTGAAGCTCAAAATCTTATCAGATTTCGTGAATTGTTGCAGGATGATCCCGTTTTTGAAGTTCCTAGAGTTCTCCACCAGATGTGCGGAGAACATGTATTGACAATGGAAAAAATGAAGGGAGTCGAGATTGTCAAGGGCAACTGGGACCAGGAAACAAAGGATTGGATCGCTACGAACATTATGAGACTCTGCTTGCTTGAGCTCAAGAAGTTCAAGTTCATGCAGACTGATCCTAATTGGGCCAATTTCTTATACAATGACGAGACCAAGAAGATCGAGTTGCTAGACTTCGGAGCTTCGCGTGACTTCTCCGATGCATTTGTGGAAGATTACGTTGAGGTGCTTCGGGCTGCTGTAAGAAAGGACCGTGAGGCAGTTCAAGAATACTCCAAGAAACTCGGATATCTCACTGGATTGGAGTCTCCACAGATGATCAGTGCTCATGTGGATTCTGTGATGGTTTTGGGAGAAGCGTTTGTGCCACAGGAAGGCGACAAGCCGTTCAACTTCCGTGAACAGACCATCACCGACCGGGTGAGAGAAAACATAGGTTTGATGTTGAATGAGAGATTGACTCCACCTCCAGAAGAGACATACTCGCTCCACCGGAAATTGAGCGGAGTTTTCTTGTTGTGTGCCAAATTGGGTTCCACGGTGCCTTGTGCTAAGCTCTTCGAAGACATCATCGGCTACTAACTGTATATAATTAATGAAAAGGTGCGATGAGTAAGTTGTCATGAGACCAGGTACGTAGTGAGAGCATAATTGCGAAATAGGCATAGCAACTACATCCTTCACATAAAACCTCTTATCAGTCCGGCAACCAAAGTGCCAATTGAAGTATCATACCTCACTGTTAATCGAGAAATCTGTTTTTATCTTCTATTTGTGAAGTTTTGGCAGTAACCTCGTAATTTCAGTTTTGTGTTGGCATGTCGGCCCGCATCCCAGACGAACCAGTTCCTGGCAAGCCATCGCAGTCCCATGAGTCCAGCCGTTCTCCCAGTCTGGCCATTCTGGAACGAGATGACTCGGAAATTGAGTTTATAACCGGAGGAAGGGGCTTTAATCGCAAGATGAACAAGGTTAATTCGGTGATTTTGGCCGAAAGTGGCCAGAAAGTGTACCGATCTAATTCGTTTTTCAATACCGAGTTCGAAAGCTTCAACGACGAGTCCTTCCACGAATCTGAGTACCTGGATAGCATGGTGAGCTTGCCATTGCTTCTGCAGCCGCGACAGCCCCGTTCTATTGTACATCGACTCAAAAGAAGGGCCACCAAGTGGATGAAATTCACCCGGACTGAAATGTTCCAGAGCGTCTTCAAATGCTCGCTAGCATACTTGATAGCGTCGCTAGGTGTCTACTGGACGCCATTTAATCTGCTCTTGGGAAAAACAGACTCGAAACATGTGGCTGCTACCACAGCTGTGTATTTCCATCCGGCCAGAACCAAAGGGTCCATGCACCAGCTGTGCTTCTTTGTTCTCATTTCACTCTCGTTTAGTTTTGCTGTATCGTTGGGATGCCGGTCCATTTCGACGTTTTTCTTTACCAATGGCCAGGGGAATGTTAGCTTCTCAATTGACTTGGCCGTGAGTTCCATTGGTCTCGGGTTCATTGCTTTCATGAAACAGAAGGTGGGAAAGGATACTTTCAACACTGCCTGCTCCTTGGCATCAATATCCTTGGTCACATGTATAGTCAAGGAGGGTGCTCTCAACTCCGATGTGATACCCATGGTGAGGCTTCTATCTACCGCAAGAGTTGTCCTAGTAGGTGCAGCTATATCAGTAGCAATCTGTTACGTAGTGTGGCCAAAGAGTGCTGTGACTCTGCTTCGAAGTTCTCTTAATGACTCATTCAACATCATGTCTTCCCTTATATCCGTCACGACGCATCGGTTTTTGCATGGAGACAGAATCAACCCAAAGGATGCTGAGATCTTCAGTTTGCTCAGGAAGAAGGCTCTTGAACTCAGGAAATACCTCGAGGAAGCAAAGTTCGAGTTGAAGCTTCTTGGAAGAGAAGCAGAATATAACACATACTGCGAGATTGTGGAGGCTACGGTGTCACTCATCGAACATTCACAAGCACTCAAGGCTTCTTGTGAAATGCAGTGGCTCCTACTCAATGAAAATGAACATGGCGCTAGTGGGGAGCATTCTGGGGGACAAGGAACCAGTGCTCACAATGAGATGGAGTCGGTGAGAAGCCTCTCATCATACAATTCTGATACCATCCGCTTATCTCAGTCTGTGGAGAACCTCGGGGCAGTGTTTCCACAGAACACTAGTTTCCAGAAAAGTGACATGGATTATAATGCCATCTATCCAACCCAACTATTTGACTTATTTGTATACTACTTGTCGCCTCTGATTAAGTCATTTGTGTTTACTGTCAAAGAAATTTTGGGTGCTGTTCCCTTCGAAAAGAAGTTTGTCGAAGACACTAACCAGAGTTTTTTTGTCAAGTCCACCAATTACCAGATTTCTCTCCAGAAGGCCATACAACTCTTTGAAGATAAGCAGGTCAAGTCTTTCGATAAGTTGTATTCGCAGGACATTTTCAAACCCAATAATGCTATGTTCAAAACAGACCAGGAGGAAGTGACAGCATGTTGTGGAAATTTTTCATCCTTACTTGCCTTGTATGGAAAAGAACTCATTCACTTTTTGCAACTTACCGAGCATTTTGAAGTTGTTTCCAAGACAAGCCCGAGAACATGGAGCTGGCTTTGGTGGTGGAAGAAGGAGCCAAAGGAGAGAAGAAAGAGTCGTCTCGATGCAACATTTGTTGAGGCATTGAGGGAATTGAAGTCTCAATTGAAGCCAATAAGATCTAATGTGGTAACAGAGGCTACGTCACTACTTCCTACCAAGCAAACATTGGATGAATACAGGCAGAAGCTTTGGCAGTCATTAAGTTTCTTCCGTCGGACAGATATCCAGTTTGGCATTCGTGTTGGAATAGGCGCAGCGTGTATCTCAGTGTTTGCCTTTCTCGACAGAACAAAGGCTTTTTTCGTCAATTGGAGACTTGAATGGGCCCTTGCAATTTATTGTATCATGATGAGTAAGTCCGTGGGAGGAACAACTATGACTGTCAAGTGGAGAATTGTTGGAACATTTTTAGGAGCATTTCTGGCATCCATCGCTTGGGTTTTGTTTGATGGAAATGGCGTCGGACTAGCGATAATAGGGTATTTGATTTCTATCCCATGTTTCTATATTATCGTGTATTGGAAGCGTTTTAACGCTTATGGCCGGTTTATTCTCTTAGCATACAATTTGACGGCACTTTACTCGTATTCGATGGTACAGAATGATTCTGAGGATGGAAATGAAGGAGGCGATCTGCCGGTTGTTTGGGAGATTGCATTTCACAGGTTTATCTCGGTGTCAATTGGTATTTTGTGGGCTTTGACAGTAGCGACACTATTCATACCAAATAGCGCAAGAGCACGGCTCAAATCAGGATTGACTGTCTTATGGCTTCGAATGGGAGTTATTTGGAATAGTGACCCCATGGACTATACGAAATATGCCAATGATGCCAGGCTCATTGGTTTGAAAGACTATAAAGGAACGAGAGACTTGCTTTTGGAATGCCAGACTTTGCTAAAGCAGGCACCGGTGGAGTTTCGTCTCAAAGGGCCATTTCCTAAAGAAACCTATGAGAAGCTTCTAGCCAGTACTTCGGAAATTCTAGACGCATTTCTGAATCTCCAATTGATGATAGAGGTCGACAACCAGATTGTTCCAAAGGAAGAGTATGTGCTTGAGTACATAGCTACAGAAAGAGAGGAATTGGAACACCGGATTTTCTTGATTTTTTATATGGTCGCAAGTGCATTGGCGCTAGGGTTCCCGCTTCCTTCCAAACCAGCCTCAACAGAACATGCTAAGGATCGGATGCTCTTGAAGCTCAGTGAGATCCGGTCAAAACCGGCTGACCAAATACAGCTCAACAACGAGGACTACGTGCTTCTATACTCGTACATTTTGGTCACGACCAAGATTTCCCATGAGTTGGATACGATCATTTTGTTGATTAAAGATTTACTTGGAGATATCTCGGAGGAAATATTTCTGTTAGTTTAATATGGTTGCAAAATTGCGACTGGTGATCTACTAACACGTATACGGAGTAGGCAGAGTTTGATAGATGTGAAAAATCTCACGCTAGGGGAAGAAGGAAACATTAAAAAAAGCGAAATTAAACAAACAAAGCAATTAGAATTTAAACAGAAAGACAGAAAATTACGCCTTCAACACTAGTTCGGATTGCTCTAAAATTCCTTCTAACCATGACCCGGAGAAACACGTGACTCGCAGCTTAACAAATAGAAACCTGGAAATTCTCGATTACCTCCATCTCCAAATACTCTGGCCATCTACTTCCATATTCTGCTGCTTTATCTAGCAGATTGCATAACCTTACATCTTGTTGCATAGATCCTGTTCATCTGGAAGTTTCAACCATGCCAGAAAAGGACCAAATCCTAAATGACTACGAGTCGCTTTTCGACAAACTAGACATTGAACATAATGGAGAAATCACTTTCCAGGACTTCAAGAAAGCTGTCAAGTCGTTCAATCACCCAGTGGGAGACAATCCAGACTTGCTAAAGAAGGTTTTTGACTCGTTTGACAGCAACCAGGACCATGTCATCGACTTTAACGACTTTAAACTCTACTTGACCACCACCGACGACCAGATTCTTAGAGGATTCGACAAAATTGACCAGGACCACGACGGTAAACTCACTAAGGCCGACTTCATCTTTTATTTGAAGAAAACACTCAACTTGAGCCCCACAGACCAAATGGTGGATAGCATATTCAGCCGCATAGATCATTATGACCATGGCTACATCACTTACGATGAATTCCGAGAGTTCTTATTGTTGATGCCCCGTTTGCACGGCTCACGAATCAAAACTGCATTTACTTACATTGCCGAGGAGTTGGACTTGTCTTCCGACGGAGATGTCACCTTAATCAATCAGTTCTTGAGTGGCTTTGGCTTTTTCCTTGCTGGGGGTCTATCAGGAGTGGTTTCTAGAACATGTACCGCTCCCTTCGACAGAATCAAGGTTTTTCTTATTGCCCGTACAGATTTGTCGCTGACGATCATGCATTCCAAGAAGGAGATTGCTGCTGCCGTCGCCTCGGGTGCTCCCAGACAAGTCATTGAAGAGGCACGTAAGAAGTTGGCGAAAATACAACTTGAGTCCAAACTGGCCCCCGAGCCTCCTCACGCAAGAACTATCCGGTCACCTATAATTCAGGCAGCTCGTACTATCTGGAAACAAGGAGGATTTCGTGCGTTTTACGTGGGAAATGGGTTGAACGTGCTTAAGGTGTTTCCCGAGTCAGCCATGAAGTTTGGGTCTTTTGAGGCGGCAAAGAGGTTCTTTGCACGAATAGAAGATGTCGATGACACATCTAAATTGTCCAAAGTGTCCACGTATCTTGCGGGAGGATTAGGTGGTGTGGTAGCACAATTCACTGTATACCCCATTGATACTTTAAAATTCCGCTTGCAATGCTCCAACCTTGATTCTCTGTTAAGAGGTAACGAGCTTTTGATTCAGACTGCCAAAAACATGTACAAAGAAGGTGGACTTCGGATGTTCTACCGAGGTATATTTGTGGGAACAAGCGGTATTTTCCCCTACGCAGCCCTTGACTTGGGAACATTCACTAGCATTAAGAACTATCTCATCAGACGGGAGGCTAAAAGAAATAAGGTGTCAGAGGAGTCGGTCAGATTACCTAACTACATGGTGCTCTCGCTCGGAGCACTCTCAGGCACATTTGGAGCCACTGTCGTTTATCCTATTAATCTCTTGAGAACAAGATTGCAGGCCCAGGGAACCTACGCCCATCCATATCGATACGATGGTTTCCGTGATGTGTTACTCAAAACCATCGAGCGGGAAGGTATGCCAGGACTTTTTAAGGGATTGGTTCCTAATTTGGCCAAGGTGGCTCCTGCGGTGTCCATCTCATACTTCATGTATGAGAACCTCAAGAACATCATGGGTCTCAACAACAAACTAGACTAACTGAGTCTTTCTCACGCCCCTATATAATAACTCAGCGCATTACATATTCGTTATGGAGGTCAAAACACAAGAACCCCACGTCCATCTCGCCCACCAGCACGTATTTTGCTGGCCTGGAATCATTCTGCGAAGTTAGCTGGACCCATGTAGTATCGCTAGAATTTAGCTGCACCTCTCCATCCACATTGAGCAATAGCTTGAAGAAATAGTCATTGGGTGCAGCCTCCTCTGTGCGCTTGAGCTCCTCCACATGGTAAAACATCATGCTCCGCATACTATTGTGAAGATTGGTCCATGTCATGTCTGGAACATTCACCTTGGCTACATGGACATCAATAGCTCCATCAAGAAAGTCCATCAGAGAGATCTTATCTGCAAGGCCCACAAACTGGCTGAAGTTGGCCACATACCGCTTGTGAACGTGTAATTTTGACTCATCGTAGATCACCACAATAACCTCGTGAACTTTTCCTCCGCTGGCCTTCTCCACCAAAACGCGTACCATCAGATTGGCAAACGATTCCAAGTACTTGCTGAGATCCGGCACACGGCTCTGGGTCACCACCACGTCGAGATACTGGCGTTTTTCATACGCGTTATCTTCGTAAATGTGGTTGTAGTAGAGAATCTGGCTGATCCAGACCACAAGGAAGTCTCTTAGCAGTAGAAGTGCTTTATCTAGGGTGAGTGCACCCATTGTGGTCGTAGATCTGCGTTTGAACGGAAGAAGGGCCCGATTTGAACTAGTTCCCCAGATAACTAAATTAGTTGATGTCCGCGTGTGTATAGTTAACCACTATCAAAGAACAAGTTGATCTTGGAATTGAACTTACTGGCGGTTCACACGAACAAATAGGACCTGAAAGATATTATTTTATCGGTGAATATTCATATTTTTGAAATTATTCCCAATTTGTTTTGGTACCCAAGCCTACTATACTGTCTGTTGCGTTTATTGAGCATATTCAGTGAATGCACCACGCTGGGGATATTCATCTTTGACGATCAAAAAGCTGAGAATACCAGTTAAAAGTATAAAAATACATAGTGGGATGTCTATAAAATCCATCAATACTCATGATGTGGCGAAAATCACGTCGGGACAAGTCATCATCGACCTCGTTTCGGTAGTCAAGGAACTTGTGGAAAACGCAATCGATGCTGGCAGTGACAAGATTGAAATCACATTTAACAATTACGGAACGATCTCTGTTGAGGTTGCCGATAATGGAAGAGGAATAGAGGCTGAGGACTTTGCGTCATTAGCACTCAAACATCATACATCAAAGTTGACTACATTTGAGGATTTGGCTTTGGTGAGCACGTTGGGGTTCCGTGGCGAAGCCATGAGCTCGCTCTGTTCAGTGGCATCTGTCAAACTATCAACTTGCACGTCTTCAAGTTTCCCCCGGGCAACAGAGTTGCACTTCGACACGTTGGGCAATTTGACTTCTCAGAAAACAGCAGTTTCGGGGAAGAAAGGCACAACAGTCACAATCAGCGACCTCTTCCGTGGCATGCCCGTGAGAGAGAAGAATTTCATCAAAAACTCCAAGCGTGAATACTCGAGAGCTTTGACTATGCTCATGGCCTACTTGCTCACATACACCAATATCCGGTTTACAGTGTTTAACGTGAGTGGGTCGACGGGGAAAAAAACCATGGCTATGGGGACACAGGGAGGAAAAGCATCCACCATAGATGCCTTAGTAAGTGTCTTCGGTAGTAACGGAGCGTATGGCTTAATACCCATTGATATAAAATCCACCAATATTGATGCAAGGTTTAAGTTGAATATGCACAGCGTACCTATGTCACTCGGTGTTCGGCTATTCGGGTTCATTTCAGATACTTCTTTTGGGCTTGGAAGAGGTTCGGGTGACCGGCAGTTTTTGACTGTGAACAAGAGACCCGTAACTCACAAACGTATAGCGAAAGTGATCAATGAGGTCTACAAGACGTTCAACACTACACAAGTACCGGTATTTGTGCTTGAAATAGAGCTTGACACAGCATTCGTTGATGTCAACGTGACACCAGATAAACGGATGGTATTAATGCAGAGCGAGGATGTGGTGGTGGAGGTTCTTCGAGAGGAACTTTGTAGTTTCTTCGAGGGCAGGGATAATTTCGTTCCAAAAAGCGCTCTTGGGGCTGTAAGCATTGGGAGAAAACCAGCAAGCAAAGAAGAGCTGATAGCTATGAATAATGAATCTAGTTTGGATGAAGTTCTGGAAACTAATGAAAAAGAAACCGGCCAATACGGGGATGAAACAAAAGAAAAACAAAAAGACTCAACGTCATGGGGAGCGACTGATCGAGAAGCAAACTGTCTGTTTTCTGAAGAAAGGAAAGCAGATAGAGAGGCTACTGCATCGCTCGAAGGCAATTCGGAAGACTCCGAAGAGACAGCACTCGCAGTTTCCGGGGAAAATTACGAGAGCTTCGAAGTTATTAATGGGAACGAGACGGAATCGCACAATGCCGAGGATGTTGAGTCAGATGTTGGCCAAGAAAACCCATCGGAAGATCAGAAGAGAGACGAGTATCACCATGTTGTTTCGCTCGATTCTCAGGACCCTTCTCTTAAGCAAGGTACTGACCTGTTACAAGGACGATCCTCCCGCACGATCAATAAAGTTAATACTACTTTGCATTTGGTTGATCCTCCGGTAGAATCCGTTTCAATCGAATCACACCCCGAGCATGGACAAGTTAGTTGCAAAATCGCAAATGGAGCTCCACTGTTGCAACATTCTACGGATGGATGTACAGACTCAAGGGCCCATTGTGCGATATTAACACCTGATGAGGTGATCGACCACACAACGTTCACTGACGATGTCGAAGCAAATTGTGCAAGCGATGAAGTCGACAAGTTTGATGACCTTCAGGAAACTGCCATATACGAGCTTTTTGTTCCAGAGGTCACTGAAGAAGATGTGAATCATTTGAATGGCGCCAACGACCCACGCAGGGCGATGTCACTGACACAGTCTAGCCAAAGGGTTTCCAAGCATAATGCACGGCAGACACTGCATGACGTTGACGCAGCTATCGGTAGTCATCCTGTGGATGCAGGACGAGCAAATAGATCCCGCGGTGCTTGCACGGAGCTGGTGTATCAACAACGATCTCACTTAGCCTTGAAGATCCCAAGGGAGAATTTTCCGCCCCATCATGATAGCAAATCAGGCCTGCAGCTTGAGTATAAGGAATCCTACTCCGAGAAACAAAAGAGTTATAGTGGTGTTCGAGCAGCCTTTCATGACTTGACACAAGCATTGGAGATCAAGAAATCGGACTTTGGAAGAATGCAAGTGGTTGGCCAATTCAATTTGGGTTTCATCATTGTTGTTCATCTTGGGAAACTCTTCATCGTTGATCAGCATGCACTGGATGAGATATTCAACTATGAAAGACTCATGCGAAGCCTAGTACTTCGTGCCCAACCATTGGTAGTGCCCCGGACATTGGAGCTCAGTGCTGTAGATGAGATGGTTGTGTTGGAGCATATGACTCAATTACGAAAGAACGGTTTCATTGTTGAAGAAGATGCCGATGCTCCGCCTGGCCATCGAGTGAAGTTGATGGCTGTTCCGGTGCTGAAAAACGTTGTATTTGACGATTCCGATCTTCATGAGCTTGTTCACAAGCTCCACCACCATGGCATTTCAGCATCCCAGACGTCATCTCAACGCCTCCGGCAAACGGTCAGATGCACCAAAGTCGATGGTATGATAGCCCTGCGAGCTTGTCGTCTGAGTATCATGGTGGGACAACTGTTGGGTAAGAGTACTATGTCCATTGTCGTGAAGCACTTGTCCACACTTGATCGACCATGGAATTGTCCTCATGGAAGACCAACAATGCGTCATTTAGTTGACTTAGAAGGTGATCTGTTCGGAGAAGATTACGAGGTTTGATTGATTTCTAAAGTTTAGCTGTCTACAAGGTTAAACTAATTGCACTGATTTTTAAGTTTAGACAAATTGCGGAACTGAAATTTGTGGCCCCATTGATTGGAGCAAGCAAGTCAATCTTGTTTGCGCAAGTCTATTGAGGGGTGCTATGACCGCTACTTAATCAGGACGATCTGCGCCTCGAGGCGGGTTCTTCTCACTTAGTCTTTCGAGGCGACAGATGGGAGTCTTTCACTAACTGTACTATTCGAGTCGAAAGATTCTTAATACTTTGGACCCCAGGGCAGATTATATGCATGGAAGCATGTTTGTCGAATGGCCTGTTCATCTTCTACTCCTGATGCTTATCAGCTTAAAATAAAAAAAATGGTGTGAACAATGGCTTAGGATCCAAATGCCGGACTTGGTTGAGAATTTCGAATTGCCGCTATGCCGAGTCCCACTTTCCAAACCAATCCAGTAAAGATGATCGATTTGCAGTAGGAACATGATTTACTATTGTATCTGCACCAATTGGATATAGAACCCGGTAAGGGTTGCCGAGTTTAGATGATAGGCCATCAGAACCCAAATTAACGTGGTTGCTGCACACGTGAGGCGCAAGATTGAAATGGACACGCGGTGCAGGCCCCCTTACTCGTACGTGCTGCATATGCACATACTTGTCTGTACATAGTTCCACTTTTAGTGGCACCTGCCGGAGTGTCTGGTAAGTAGAAATCCATTCAACATACAGGCCCTAACCACCTCCATCATCATCCTTACTTCCTCTCCTCTACATTTATTTGAGCGAGTCCTGAACCAAGAGAGCTACCCTCCTTATAACTATTCGATATTTCGTGTTGAACCTTTCGTCCACCGTGTATTGGCTTCGAGTTATCTGATCTCCACGATTGCTCTAGGTAATTCGATTTCCAGAGAATCATATCATATCGAGATGACAGAGCTTCCGAAGCCCGCAGCACCCAAGCGGGAGCGGAAGACTCGAAGAACCCATAAAAATTCGCGAGACGGTTGTCCTAACTGTCGATCCAAGCGTATAAAATGTACTGAAGAGCTACCTAGTTGTGGAAACTGTCTTAAGAAAGGTTATAGGTGTGGTTACTTGGAGTTTCCGCCTGAAAAATTGGAGATAATACGCAAGAAGAACGAAATAAAACACTCAAAGACAGAGGACTCCGACTTCATGACGTCTACGCCTCTGCAAACCAACTTGAGCGAAGGTGGTGTTGGACTGGCTAAATCAGAAGGTTCAATTGTGGACACATGGACCGGACAACCAAAGAAACATAGAGCATCAATTACAATTCGTCGAAGAAAATCATCCCCTGGACTTTCGGTTCCCAATATGTCCAGTTTACGAAGCGATACTTACCAAAAAACATTGAAGGTTATGACAGAAGGAAGCAAGTCTCCTTCTTCAGCAGCCAAAAGGAACAAAGAAAACGACTTCATGTTCCACTGGGGTGTAAATCATACACGGAGTCCGAAACCAGTGTCGAAGGAAGAATTATTTTACGGAACAAGTGAATACATCGAGCACCTATTCAGATCACCTCAAGTGGACGAGTTCTCACCAACATTAACAGGTAGCAACCTGCAAACACCGGCAAATATTGATCATGCCGAGAGTCTTGGACATGTTGACCCAAACCACGTTAAGAACGAGCACGACCTCAATGGGCTACATTTGCAAGCACCACCTATTTCATCAATGGACATTCTGCTACGATCGAAGATGCTTCCCAGCTCCAAAATTGTCCATAGAACATTCTTAAAGCAGAAGTTGCCTCCACATCTTCAGAATATGAAGCTTGAACATACCCTAAAAATGGTTAGGGATGGAAACTTTCACCTTAAGGCCGTGACAAACCATGTCCCTCAAGCAACTATCAGTCCCGTCTGGTCAGAACAGCAGGGACAAAATTTCTGGGTGATTGTATTAAAACAGGCCATGGTTCTTGACTTGTACTTCAAGTATTTCATTGATAAGTCGGTGAACATCTTAATGCGGGCATCGGAGGCTGTTGTTAATGGAGATATAGATGTTTCGGTACTGCCAGCAACGACTTCGGGGAGCTCGTCGCCTTCGGACTCCCCTTCTCCTGAGCTAAAATTCTTTTACACAAAGGAAGACCTTCATTTGCTCACTTGCAAATCGTATGTAACTTATGGGCGACTTGTACGTGAGTTACGTGAATCGATCAATAAGTACCATAACGAGTACCCTGCGAAGATATCCCTTTACTGGGCCTGGGCCTGCTATATCAATTTGGATGCCGACTTCAACACCTTTTGCATCATGATTCGTGGCACTTTGTTGCTTATTCACAATGTGATTATGGAGGCACAGTCGTTGGCAGAAGTGTCGTCTGTTATAAGGCAAGAGATCATGTTGATTAACGATTTCGTCCATGCAGCAAAATTTCCCGATTATCTGTTTGATGTTATTCTTGATCTAGCAGCCAACTTTCGGACCTATCAGCAACTTGTCGGAGGTTTCATTTCCAGGTACGAGAATGGAGAGACGTTCAATGACGATTTAACGAAAGTTTTGAGAGACCCTCTTTTCCGCCACGAGTGCCACGAACTTGATAAATTCATTACTAGTTGTCAGACCCACTACTATCCGAAGTTCGCCGGGATCAACAACTACTACAAAGAGCGCAAGAATTTGCCCCAAGACACGAATGCTTTCTTCGTGTCTCCTAAGCTTGTTTTCGAAATGGCGTATGACTGGTTTAGGATTTATCCTGGAGATAAAATGTCGCTGAACTCTGAAAATGATCCTTTGAAAAGGACACTCTACTTCTTTTACCACGCCTTAGCAAAGAGTTTAGCACACGTCTTTTCTCTGTTCAAAAGCTTGCTGTTTGTGGATGTCTGCAACATTATGTTCACCAAAGTTGGAATGCCCCTTTCGGACTTTGACCCTCATGGTCGGCCCCTATACGCCCCCTTCGAGCCTTTGGCGAGGGGACTTATTAAAACAATTAAGTTTTTTGAAAACAGACTGAGACTCTACTGCTACCACTTGGAAAACAGTGACATTCTCCAAAATGAATTCGTCAACGCAGTCGATGACGAGCCTCCTACTAATTGGTCACACAGAGATATCGTTCATCTCGTTTCACCTAAGGTTGCTGTTCTGGAACACCAGTTGAGCAGTGTGAGCACACAGATCGTATCTGCCGAAAACTATGCATTTTTCCCGAGGATCCTCAATGATGAAGTAAGTTCCATTCTCATACGGACGGAAACAGAACGACAAATGTATGCGCTCAAGAATGAGCCTTACCAATTCGACTGGCAATTGGGGTTGCTGAACCATGATTTCAATCCAACGTCGGTTATCTCTCGGTTCGTTAACACACGCAACCACGAACTTCACACGCAGCCATCACCGAGTCTTGAGGTTATCAGAGCCCAGATAAACGAGTTGATAAGAAGCAGAGACGAAATCCTGAAGGCATCAGAGCGAACATAAAAAACCACGGACTTTCTTCTATTGTTGCAACAAATGAATTCGAACTACGCTACTAAATACGTTCACTTGCCAGCTTTGGCAATTACGAACAGGTCTAGGGCCATCCATATTCTCATTCGAATATTCACGAGTGTCATTCTTTCGGGTTATTGTAATGATTATTTTGGTGCGGAATGGAAATAAACCAGTGAGCAGCAATATATGTTTACCAATGCACTATCCATACGTCAAAACGCCGCCTGAACGTCAATGCAACCTAACCCATACTTAATTAGTCCCCTCATGTACTATATAATCTATCAACGTATCTACACAGCACGGCTGTGGTACGAGAGTTTAGAGTGACCTAAATGCGTAGCGAGCACTGCACGCAAAGGGCCCAATATTATAAGGGAGGAACCTTTTTAGTCCTCCTGGGTAGTATCGAGGGCAACAACCACACTAAAAAAGTCTAATCAGATTGACACGGCATTCTGCCAAATAAATGGGGTCCGTCAGGGGGCTGATTGGAGTTGTAGAACGCCGTGGCATCTAATAGCAATAGATAAGCAGCACCTGGAGGTAAAGGACGATTCGGCCGGTTTGATTGACCACAATAGGCCAGGCCACTTGCATAACGAGGCTTAGGGAGCACTGTACGCACCAGGAGCTCTGCGACTATGTTAGATTTGGCAATAGGGAGGGGTCAGAGACACAAAGTATGGAACACTAGTTTCATGAAAATGCAAGGAAGTGGCATTTGGTCACTTTGAAGTGGCATTTGATTACATGGAAGTCTGCATCTCCTACATGAGTGAATGTTCCACAGTGGGGACCACGTCAACATATCCACTGCCGAATGCAGTCAGACACTCGTTGATAGCAGTTTTTGCATGCGATGCCTGCAGGTCGCAGACTCCAGAAGATCCTCACCGCATTCTCACTGCTAGGACAAGGCAATGATGGGATTAAGTCTTGGAAACATCTTAAGGACGTAATCTTACAGGGCCATAAAATTTACCAGTCAATTGATCATATCAGCATCTCCAGGTTTCTAAATACAAAACACGGCAATGGGCTCTTTGCGATGTTATGTGCAGCAAACGGCGAATATGTAGATGGTCATTAGTGAGGAGTTCACTAAAAATATATTCAGGCAAGGGCAACTATGTTGAGAAACCATTTAGATGTGTATGCAGCGACCTAGTACTATAAGGAACACGGGCAAAAGCTGGGAGGATGTGGCAGTGTAAGATATCACCGATATGACACTGATTATCGAAACGGCGTTTATCTCATGAAGGAAATTGTGACAGTTTGTACATGACCCTGCTGATCAGGGAGAGATGCCAATTGATGTTTGCATGTGGAGATAGTTGTGGGGAGAATGAACGACCAGACCTCGTAATTGATCAATTGTGGGCCATATGTTCCAATTGACTTGTTCAATGTCACGGTCACGGTGAAACAATATTATTTCGAGTTGTTGTGGTGACAATTTCCAGAATGGGACCCTGGTGAGAGTGACACAAGCAGTAGAGTTTCCGCAGCCGCAACGTGCCGAGCCCAGAATGCCATTAACAGACTTCATGTACCATCCGCAGCGAGGGTAAAAAAATAAAAACAGTGTGACAGCGTTAATTCGTACAGGTTGGGGTTTGGCGGACAGGACGGGGCTTCTGTAATTGTCTGCACTGTGCGTTATAAATATGCACAACGCACTTTGAAGACCATTTATAAAATGACGAACTGTCCTTCGTTTCCTAGTGGATCCTGACACCTCGTACTCATAATGGCTGACGGTCGAGGTCAACGCCGAAGACGACACAGGAATTCGAGATTGGGCTGCGCTACTTGTAAGAGGAGAAGAGTTAAGTGCATGGAAGACCTTCCTTCTTGCCACAACTGTCGGACACATCGAGTCCACTGTGACTATTTGGATTACACTCCTCAACAGATCGAAGAGTTGAAGCGGGCTCAACTAGCGCAGATGGCCGATCGTGAGCTGGCAGGAGCTGATTCTCGAGCTCCTTCTGAGGGAACCTCCACTGCTAATGCATCATCAGTGATAGATCGGACGTCTGATGGTAGTGACGGAGACATGGATGCCCACATGGGAGCTTTAGAGTTGCAAAAACGCTCACAACTGGAGCTTGATCCTGTTGGATTACAGCATTTCCCCGAAGATGATGCCAAGCCTGATCTCATGGAATTAGACACAACTGCGGACTATGAAGTCGAACCTCTTCATCCATATCACCTCCAAAGACAGCAACTGCAATATCTGCAACATCTGCAACATCTGCAATATCTGGAACATCTGGAACATCTGTCTCTTCTGCCACCGTTGGTACCAAGCCTTGAGTCACCCAGTTTGGAACATCAATATCTGCACTTTGAACGGACAGATTTTCCTTTTGACCTTACGTACTCGGAGAACAACGACCATTCAAATTCCGTCAAAAGAAGAGATGCTTTACAAGGCACCATTACCCAGTCCTTCAACAATGTACTTGACAATGGAGAACTAGAACTCATTTTGCCAGGGTATTCTATGGACTATCCTGTTCATGAGGGCCAAATAGAGCAGCCTCCGAGTGGAACAAATAATTCTTCCTCACTACTTCGTGATGTGCTTCTGATAGGTGGGATGGAAAATGAGATCACAATACAGAATCCGAAAGCTCTTCCCAATGCACAACGCCTGCTTCCGAAGTTTTTTGTTCAAACTCATGAAGAAAGGAATTACGAAGATTTCTTTACCAAGAAGGTCAATGATATGGGGGTTAAAGTAGCACAGGGTCGAGCTAGTCTCCCTGAGATTCGTCAGCTTTTCCAGATCTGGCTCTCCTATTTTATTTATAGAGCATTCGCTCTGGAGTTGATGTTCCTGTGTCTTCTAAACTTAACCACAAATTACATGATCACTTCAGTCTACCAATCGAACTCCAAAACTGGGTTCCGTTTGTTGGTGCATCTGATTGAGCATTATGCTATCACCATCAAGAAACTCCTGGCTCTTTTGAATGACAATGCAAGTCCCGAATTGACCTCCTCGATTTCCTACATTTTATCCCTTATGTCCATTTATGACCCGGAGGCTACGGCCTACTCCACGAAATGTTTTCGGGATGGCATGTTTTCCGTTCTCACTCATACCTTGCACCAGACTCAGATTCCTTCCCTGTCACTTGTTCCCATCCACCTCCAGTTAATGACGAACATAGCCAAGTCAGTCTATCTCCCAGCATATAACACATCGTTTTTAGACGAGTACCAAGAAATGTTGGGCTCATTCGGCATGCTTTTGCTGGATATTAAAGCGAGGTCGATTAACAATCATGAAACCTGGTCATTTGTGAAAGAAGAATATGACCAGCTTTCTAGGTTCTGTAATGAGGCATTGGAGAATTACATTCCCCACGTTAATGACTCGTTGCACAATTTAGAAAGTCAGGAGGATCTTTTCTTTAGGATTTTCCGCAAGTGGGCTCGTCATCAATCAGCTAGGTTGCTTATGGTGAACAAGAGATCTGATCCGATCGAAAAGGTGCTTTATTTATTCAGCCGGCTTTTCCGTAAAGCACTATATGCTGTAATGCCCCAAATGAGATTTTTCTACTTAAGAGATTTGGATAGTCCATTGTTTCTAGAGGTGTTCCCGTCTCACGAGGATAGCGAAATTTTTTCTGAGCTTGATCTGACAGAAAACCTCTTTGTTGATGTGGAAGTCTACAATCTGTTGAAGGCTCGATTAAAGAAGTTGGCCGCATACGCTATCAGAGTTCTTACGTTTCTCAAATTGAGAATGTCGATTTTGTATCAAAACCTCATGTATAATGAGGATGTCAGAACTTACTATTGCATCGACAACGTGGTGAGCTGGCGGAGAACCATCACGGATATCCAGCACACCAGGAAGGAGTTCAATGACCGTATTGGTGTTCGAGAATATCCAATTTGTGCCTTTAACAATGGATACATCATGCCACATCATTTCCCACAAATTAATAAGCCAGAAATTCCAGAAAGAGACCGGATTCCTTACCATCTGAATGTCGATCTTCTGAAATTGACACCAAATGGCTTCCTCAAAGAGGATTCTTATCCGGCACTCTAGGGTAACATTCATAGAATTTTCATGATTAAACGATTTAAATCACTAGGTTCAAGGTCTAGCCATTGACTGGATGATGTAAAGTTTCAGTGAACCATTTCCGACTTCAAATGATGCCGATACTCGGCTGTTAATTGAAGTAACGATTATTTCATTGAACCAAAAGGTGTTTGAATATTGACTTTCTCGACGAATACCACCAGAAGATTTTTGGCAAGGCATCAGAAAAAGTAAACGAATAGATCGGATTTGTCTCGAAAAATGTAATTCATTAGGTGAAAATCTGGCGAAATTGTATGAATGGGAAATGTACCATAAACATTCGAAATACGAACTCCCGTTGATTCTCGTATATCCTCACCGATTCCTCGGTTGAAAATCATCACCAAGAATCAAGCAGAATTTCGTATCTTCACCCGATAGGACTTCAGCATGTGGAGGACGTCCAGCAGTGAACTTGTTGTGCAAATATCACAATGGCTACTCAGACATGTCAAGTTTTCCACGTCTATTTCCCTTACTTATCGTGTTTGATGTGGAAGATACAAGTGTCCGCAACTATGTTCTTTTGGTTTAGAAGGAGGAAAGGGAAGTATATATCACCCCTTTTGCCGGGAAATGAAACGATTATTGTTGAAAAAAAATTACAACCTACATAATTAGGAATTGTGGTTGGACGTGGGCTGCATGACGAGAATTCCGGATTTCAAAAAATAAAATAAAAAGATATTACGGATTACCAGATCCAGGAGGATCTCAGGAAGATGCTAGTCAAATTTTAACAATGAAATCAGCCACTTGAAAGGACGGCTTTCCGCATGGCATCGATGTAATCAGATGGGTGGTTTGATGGATGTAGAGAAACGTAGACGCAGAAGTCATGCGAAACAAGAAATAAAGGAAAAAAAAAAAAACGAAGGAGACCCTAGAATCCTAAAATGCAATACAATCTAAAGAAAACGGATTTATCACACTAGTGACTCCATTGCTTTCGTAACTAAGGTAACCATCGTTGGGGTCTTTATGGACCCCAGAGATGCAGGTCAACACCACCAACACTCTTCTCTAATGGACGACGAGTACAAAGCTATCACCGCTACGTTGCATGCATTTGTTACGTTTCACCAGTGGCAGCACGAACAAGTATTGAAACCCAAATCCATCAAATGGAAACTGCTCAGCAATGACGAACAGCAGTTACTTGATTTCTATCCTCTCTTGATCCGAGACTTGGGACAGTGTATCGATATCAATCGCCTGTTTACCGAGCTGTTGGCAGTGACTGCTGCCCAGGATTGGGGAATCGATCCCAATCCATCAGCGTGGGCGCCTGCCGCTTACTCCGATTACGACAAAGTGCGGTCTACACTACTACAATTTGCTAGGGAATGGAGCGACGAGGGCATAGGCGAGCGGGAGCAGACATTTGGACGACTCCTCGACAAGGTCTGTGATCTCTACGGCGAGGAGAATCGAGATAAGGTAAAGGTTTTGGTCCCAGGTTGTGGCTTAGGCCGTTTGGTGTATGAATTCGTGAAGAGAGGTTTCTGGACACAAGGAAACGAGGTCAGTTACCATATGTTACTAGCGCTGGGATTCGTGCTAAATCATACGCTGGTGCCTCATTCTCACACCATTTTTCCATACATTCATCGCCTGTCACATTTGGCTCGACGTTTATACCAGGTGAGACCCGTTCAAATGCCTGATGAAAGTGGCATGTCAATTTTTAGTGGGAACCCCGAGGAGGATGCCAAGGTCGGTGAACTCATGTCTATGGCTGCAGGCTCGTTTGTGGATCTCTACGGTCCCCCTGGATTGGCGGAAAGCGAAACGTATAGTCTGGACGCTACGGCGTCACAATTTCGGAGTGAAAATGCCAACAGATTCGACGTGGTGGCCACCTGTTTTTTCGTGGATACGGCAAGCAATATCATTGATTACTTGAAGACTATTCACCACTGTCTCAAGGACGACGGAGTTTGGGTCAACATAGGACCCCTTCATTGGCACTTTGAAGGGGATCTGTCAACATCGGTGGTCAAGAAGGTAATGGAACATGGGAAGGAGCCACAGGAAGTACTCACGACTTTGGAAGGCTTGGAGTTGTCACGCGAAGAGTTGTTGTTGCTCATGGACAAAATTGGATTTGACGTGGAGCACCACGAGTCAGGAATTCAGACAACATATAGCACGGACACCAAGGCATTGCTGAATTTTTCTTACCATGTGGAATTCTGGGTGGCCCGGAAACGGAAATCTGTTAACACTCAAGCGTAAATGAATCAGGAGATATGCGATTCCAGGGATTTGAGGTCGATCACTTTAAAGTTAAGTCAAAGAGGTTACATTTTGCCCAAATTTGTTTTCGTGAAAAGCACAATGCGGAGTTGTCTCGATCAATAACGCCCCGCAAATGCTTCAGAATGCACAACACTTTACAAGGAAAATAGTAAGGATATGCATAGTAAATCTTACAGAAGGGACATTATCCCCAGAGGTGGTATACGGCAAACTGAAAGTAGCCTATTGATTGTCTGGATCATATCATATGTCAAAAGTAAGTTCAGTGTTGCATACGTCACCACTAATACAGTATTAAGTCAAATTGCGGGAAAATGACCTGCGAAGTGCCGTGACGACCTGTAGTGTCCCTGTTTAGTTTCTATCTTTGCTTCAGAGTTTGTGCATACTGGGCTAAGAATAAAATTGGAGACGAGGCAAGGAATCCCTCTTTGGAGCTGACAAATCCTCTTGTTGTGGGGTGCAAGTACTTGCTAGGGTTTTCTTTTTTTTTGGGAGGCTCGTGGTCCTTGAAGATGCCGTTGCCATGGAAAGCGGAGTATGCAGCGATCCCAAAATTTGAAAAAAAAAAAACTATTATGAATCGACTGACGATTGCGTAGCCCGGGAAAGGGAAGGGCTGTAGTCTGTTTCCTTTCGACATGAGGTACCTAGACTATAGGTTCAACCGTTGTCTAAGGATGCATACATTCCGTTTGTACATGAGTAATAACCATTAGTGACATTGTCTCGAGGGGGAGCACAAACTGGCAAACTATAACTCAGAAAGCGCTGAGGATGTTCAAATACGACCCAGTGATGGAATTCCTGGCAAGATGAAGGTACCGGTTTGTGGAATTTTTGGTACATCAGGTGCCGATCTCATGGAATTTGACTGCTTCCATGCACACTTCATGCAATGTCAAGCAAACTGTGCGTTTCTGTGCGACTCGAAATCCTCACGCATCGCAAGCGAGCTGTTGTGTCTTGCAGCGGCTATATGCACACGCCCCTCCCACTTCCAATGCTTTAGCTTACACACACCATCATAAAACGGTCAAAGGTGACATAACGAATGCCTACTTCACCAGGTCTTCAGTGAGTTCTAGAGTTGGTAGTACTGATTCCTGAGACACATCGGGAAAAAGTAAGCATACGGAGCTCCCATAAGGTTAGCCACAATCGGTTTGTCGCATTACAAATTAAGGACAATTAGGTACATTGTCTATGAGTCGTCCCTAGTTGCAACATCAAGATACCAATAGACGAAGGTGTCGATGAGGGAGAGCTTTACCAGAAAAAGGCTGTTTCGGTGTTAGCAGTAATATCGAGATACAGGAGTGATTGACCGCATGAGAGCTGATCGATACGACAATTCTGGAAATGAATGTGAAACGAATGCGTACAGACGTGATGCGGGTGAAATATTATCTCGTTCTGAACAATAGATACTCCTCATAGAGAAGAAAGTATACAAATTAAACAATAGAGTCTTTTGGAGCAACAGTACCACAAGATGAAGATTGTCAGCTAAAAATTTCCAGGAAGATGCTTTATAGGGAGGTTCAAAGATAACACTCCTCGAAGTAATTCCGACTAACACTTGAAGATTTTCCATGCCAGCACCATACACAAGTTTGCCATACTTGTGTACTTCATATATAAGCCATCATACATTTGCCTTAATATTTAAATTTTGTATTTGTTTTGTCGATTATTATTTTCTTTTTTATTTTGTTTCTTGGGCAGATGTACTTTTGTGTCATTCACGTGACTAAACTCTAATTACGAATATGTACATGGAACCGAAATTCGTTTGCAATACTCATGGAGAGACAACTAACCGTTCAAAATTTTATTTAAGAAGAAATGAGAAAGAAAATAGAAGTTAGATTGTCATCCGGAACGGTTTATCTTTATTTCTCTATTTCTCCTCCTCCTCTACATACGACAATTTCTAACAATAGTAAATGGGCTGAATATTGTCTTCAAGCAAGTAGATAAGCCCACCTCAGATTGAAATATTTATATTGGTCCAATATTGCTCAGTCGGTATGTCTCTTGTGTGTATTCAATCAGAAGATTATTACGTCTACCATGAACGAACTTTACTCTGTATTCCTAAAACTCTTCTGCCATAAGAAGAGACGAAAGAGTAACCGAAACGGCTCTCTAGACTCTTCACGAATATACCTTTCGCACGTTTTAATGATGGCCATCACAATACTAACGACTATTATTAATCGAGAGGTAAACAGGATTTTGTTGCCAATGACGCTATTAGCGACACGTCCTAGACATGAAAACAACAAAATTGAAATTTCTATTACCCACTCTGTTTCCGAGCTTGAATATTAATTTCTTCGTTTTCAGCAATCAAATTGATACAATTCTCCATTCCGTAATACTTACAAGTGTCCCCAAGTCGTGCGCAACTCACTAGTCCACAACCCCATCAGGACCTCCCGATCCCCTATCGGTCACTTTATCTAGCACATCCATAAATAGAAGCTGGCACCAGGTCTTCATCAAGTGTATTATTTGGCACCAAACTCACATCTAGTCCACTTCCTTGTCTGCTTTCTGTATTTTTGTTATCCCATGAGTTTTCCTCCCCCAGCAACCTCGGTGAAGCTTGTACTACTCGGCGAAGCCGCCGTTGGCAAGTCATCGTTGGTTTTACGTTTTGTGAGCAATGATTTCCAAGAAAACAAAGAGCCCACCATTGGTGCTGCTTTCTTAACACAAAAGTGCACCATTGGCGACCGAACTATTAAATATGAAATCTGGGACACCGCGGGGCAAGAACGGTTTGCCTCCTTGGCCCCCATGTACTACAGAAACGCCCAGGCTGCGTTGGTCGTTTACGACATCACCAAACCCGCATCGTTCATCAAGGCCAGACACTGGGTCAAGGAATTACATGAACAGGCCTCTAAGGACATAACCATTGCACTTGTTGGAAACAAGTATGATTTGGTGGCTGACGAGAACGATGCAGACGACTCATTGCGGAAAGTGAGTGTAGAAGAGGGCCGTGCGTTGGCCGAGGAGGAGGGCCTTTTGTTCTTCGAAACCTCGGCAAAGACGCTGTACAATGTCAACGAGGTGTTTGTTGCCATTGGAAGCAAGATTCCTGAGCTGAAGACGGTAGCAGAAGAGTCGCGTCCTGCTGAGGGTGGACGTATTGATTTGAGTGGGGCTGGGCAGCGTCCTGCCGCCTCCGACTGTGCATGTTAAGGTAAATATATGTGATTCTGGGTGTATGAGCCATGTGACTATTTATTCTAAACAACCTCGATATCTTTCTTTTGAAAGTTTTGAAACTTTTATTCTTCTGATATTTTGACCCCGTTTTATGGATTGTATTCCGTAGTTCTTGATTCCCATTCAATGACTTATACGATGATCAGTTATTCTTACTAACTAAGGGGGTCACGTGCATGAATGTCAGATTCATTTTCAGCATCTTGACTTCTCCACATTTGGACATATAATCTCAGTGTACCATTACAATGGCCAAACTTACTGTTGCTTACATCCCAGAGCACTTCTCTACGCCTCTCTTCTTTGCTCGTGATCAAGGCTTTTACGCCGAGAAAAATCTTGAAGTAGAATTTGTCCCTGTGGTTGAAGGCTCTGGAAGGCTTATTAACCTTCTTAACGAAGGATCTATTGACATTGCCGTAGGATTGACCGAAGCATTCATTGCTGATATCGCCAAAGGTAATGAGAAATACAGCGTGATTGGAACCTATGTGGAGAGCCCTCTATGCTGGGCCATTTCCACGGGTAAAGACAGAGATATTTCTGGTGCCCAAGATTTGGCTGGTAAGAAAATTGGAGTATCGAGAATTGGATCTGGATCGTACGTTATGTCGTTTGTTTTGGGCTTGCAGCAAAAGTTTACTTCGCCTTATTTCAGCGATTTCCCTATCTTGCACAACTTTCAAAACTTGAGAGATGCTGTCAATCAGAAGTACACTGACGAAAATGGACGGAAGGTGGACGCAGACGCTTTCATGTGGGAGCATTTCACATCCAAGAAATATTACGACTCGGGTGAGATCAAGAGAATTGGCGAAATCTACACTCCTTGGCCTTCGTGGGTTGTTTCTGTCAACAAAACGGTGTTGGATACACGGAAGGGCGACATCCAGGGATTCCTTGCTGCTGTCAACAAGGGTATTGCATACTTTTTACAGAACCCGGAGGCTGCAGTGGAGCACATCCTGACCCACTTGAACTATTCTGCTGAAGATGCACGCGAATGGTTGAAAACTGTCAAGTTCAACGAACAGATAGGCCAGAGAGAGATTGAATGGGACCGTGTGGTCAAGAATACTGCTTCGGTGTTAAAGATTGCAGGAGTTTTGACTGATAGTGATGAGCAAATTGAGTCCAGATTGAATGCCCGTATTACTTCAGTGTTGGAATGAAAATAGTATTAGACTGACAGATGTGGAGAATACAAGAGAGTAAGTGAAATCGCTAATGGACATCCGAAAAATCTACTAAATCCGAGAAATCAATATTATCACCGAGATCAATGCCGAGATCGTAACCAAGACCAAAACCCAAACTCAATTAAAATCGAAAACCAAAAGCAGAGATTCAAATCAAAAATACAATGATCGATGCCCATGGGGTCTCAAGCTCTCGAGAATGATCACTCTACTGTTCTAAGACCCAAAGCTTCAACTTTCTCTTATCAGATCTAATGTGCAAGTCTAAGTCTAACCTTACACAGTGTATGGGCGGACGTTGTCTAACAATTTCAAATTCCGGCCCATAAATTCGAGATTTCGACCTATAAATTGTACCTTACTAACCTGAATTCTTTACTAACAAGTCTAGAGCATTAGCTGTTATTGACTCTGAAGGTAGGTATTCATTTCAGAGTCACCAGTGGTATAGGTTTACCTCCACAAAACAAGTTCCGCGCACCCGACACCGGCCACCCGGAACCAAGTCCGACGGCGTTTGGTGTCTCCGAGCTCTCATAACCAGATTGACGGCCCCATCAAATAACGTGAAAACACTACAAGTTCAACATTGGGAACAATATTCAACAAAAAGGGTATCACTGGCCACGATCCACCAACAGAACCTATCAGTTAGCCCTGTTGACCTTCGGCAAACTCCGAAGTAGTGGCTCATCACCTGCGCGGGCTTAAGATAACGCATTTCTGGTGTTATCGGAGTGACTCTGACTCAGATTCCGGGCATGCGGACTGACTCTGGTTCCCGTGGATATAAAGAGCCTTCCATGGCCTGATGGACACATTGAATCAGATATATTTGTGGAATCAATAAGCTTTGTCATTCAACTGCTAAATTTTGCACCCAAGTCGCTCTTCTTATTCACGTTTTACTCAAATTCACTTGACCACTTGAATCGTTGATCACTCCATTTCAGAAAATGCTTTACTCTTCCCTCGAAAATGTTCTGGTCCTTGCACCAGTATCTGCAAAGGCAGAATACGATTCTGGAACATCTCAAACTGACATTCTTACCAAATCAGCACTTTCGTTCGTTGTGATGCTTCACCGTGCTTTCAACTCCACCAGAAAGGAATTACTCGACAACAGACAGAAAGTTCAGGCCCAGCTTGATGCCGGAAAGCCTCTCGAATTCTTAAAAGACGCTGAACTCGTGAAGATCAGAGAAAACCCAGAATGGACTGGTGCAATTCCTGCCTTGGGATTGGCAGATAGACGGACTGAGATTACCGGACCTCCAGAACGTAAAATGGTGGTTAATGCCTTGAACACTCCAGTTAAGACATACATGTCGGACTTTGAGGACTCATCATCTCCAACTTGGCTTAATGTTATCAACGGACAGGTTAATTTGTACGATGCCGTTAGACACAAGGTCGATTTCGTACACCAGGACACCGGAAAGGCCTACAGAGTTGACAGAACTCCAGGTCGTCATATCCCTGTGCTCATAGTGAGACCAAGAGGCTGGCATATGGTTGACAAGCACATTTTGGTCGACGGCGAGCCTATTTCTGCATCCGTGCTTGATTTTGGTCTCTACTTCTTCCACAACGTCAACCAATTGCTTGCTAATGGCCATGGTCCATACTTTTACTTGCCTAAGATGGAACATCACTTAGAGGCCAAGTTGTGGAACGATATTTTCAATGTATCTCAGGATGCTTTGAGTATTCCTCGTGGAACTATCCGTGCTACTGTCCTTATTGAAACCCTTCCTGCTGCATACCAGATGGAGGAGATTATTTACCAGTTGAGACACCATAGCGCCGGTCTCAATTGTGGTCGTTGGGATTACATTTTCAACACCATCAAGAGATTGAGAAATGACAAGTCCAAGATACTTCCTGACCGTGGCTTGGTCACCATGAAGGTTCCATTCATGCAAGCATACTGTGAGAGACTCATTAACGTGTGCCACAGAAGACAGGTACACGCTATGGGAGGAATGGCCGCTCAGATTCCAATCAAGAACGATGTGGCTGCGAACTCCGCAGCTATGGGAAAGGTCGAGGCAGACAAGCTTCGGGAGGCTACAATGCATTACGATGGAACTTGGGTGGCCCACCCAGCATTGGCCCCCATCGCCAACGGAGTCTTCAACCAACACATGCCTACTCCTAATCAAATTCATATTGTTCCAGCAGAAAACGTGAGTGAGAGTGATCTTTCCAACACTGCCATTGAGGGAGCACAAATTACTACAGCCGGAATCAAGGAAAACTTGTACATTGCACTTTGCTACATGGAATCGTGGATTAGGGGCATTGGATGTGTCCCTATCAACAATTTGATGGAGGATGCTGCAACTGCAGAGGTTTCTAGACTTCAATTGTACTCCTGGGTTAAGCATGGAGTGATTTTGGCCGACACAAAAGAGCAAATCACTCCAGAGTTGGCCCTGAAGCTTTTGGATGAAGAAACTAAGAAGCTCCAGACGAAGTTCGGAGGCAAGTTTGATGTCGCTGCTCGGTACTTGAGACCAGAGATCCGTGGAGATAGTTTGGCTGAATTTTTGACTACATTGGTTTATGATGAAATTGTTACTGTTGGTGAGGAAGTTGATCTTAGTACTTTGAAAGACTAAGAGTTCAGAAGATGAACGGATGAGGCCTGTGAACTGGGCTGGAACAACGGTTGTGAATTGAATAGAGGCTTGCTTTACTGGGTTATTAGTTGTTTATTGATTTTTTTTAAGTGAATGTCAACTTTGAGGCAGATTTAAATTAAAAGCGCTAAACATAATGGCTTGTTGCAAAAGTTGCCAGTGTAGCAAACCCATGCATATGCAAATCAGGATCGACAAATTTGGCTTTGTCCAATGTAAGCCACTTTAGGATTTCCTGGAACATACAGGCAACCGGTTGTAATTGCTTCAACGCTAATACTACCTCATTTTTGTCGTCATTCGGAGTAATGATTGGTTGAAAACACTATTTGTATGAATTTCCAATGGATTCTCAACAAGTTTCTAGCTCCGCAGAATTAAAATTGCTTCCTGTGTCTTACAGACCTGTAGGGGTCCTCGTCGAGTTCTTTGTTATGATTGTTTTGCTATTTATTTTAATCTTCAACTCTACTTGTGGATGAAATAAGATCTCTGACCCCATCCATGGATATTAATCTGAATTCCCTACCACCTATGTAACTTCCTCATTTCTATTCATATGACCGCCCTCCAATGCAAGGAAATAACTAATATCCTCTTCATCCTCGATATCCTCTACATCTTTTGTATCGTCTATATTCATAGGTATAAGAGTACACTCATAACTCGCTTCTCATTCACTTTCGCCATTTATATCAATCCTCCCTAGCTTTTGATCTCTCTCAGAACCCACACATTTACTTCCACATGACACCCAGAACTCAATATTAACTGTAACGGTAATCCTGAGCATAAGAACGATAAAACAACGACGTCGAAATCTAAACTATCAATATCCTGCTACTCAGTCACGATTGGCAGCATTCATTCAAACTCGGTAAAATTTTAACCAACCGTCAACAATTTAGCCCATTGTCCGAGAATTCCCATTGGTACTTCTAGATCTATTGGCCCACACCGCATCGGGACTAACGGGTGTGCATCTACGGAATATGGAACACCTAAATTGCCATTAATTGTGGGGCACAAAACTTCTTCCCAGAATAACCAACTTTTTTGTTTTCCCACCTTCAAAACTCTTTGTGTTTTTATCATAGCTCCATCTATTCCCCTTTGAATCTGGAACTCCAATTTTATTATCCAGATCACACCCGTGCACCAGGTTTACATGTCTCAGTTGATCCCCAGTGTGAACATCTCAGGTGTTTTTCCCAAAGAAATCATCCAATTTGTCATTTCTACCCTTCGAAGTTTCCGGCGGTTAATGAGTGTGCTCCCGCCATTTTTGACTCTTTCTACTGCCCAGAAAAGGGCCCGTTTCTCCGAGATCTCGGACCTCTGTGAAGACCATCTCTCAGAAGCGTTTAACCACGTCCCAAACTCTCCCTGGAGTATCGATGCCGCCGTTTCCAGTAAGTCTCGCTCCCGCAACCGATATCTGAACGTTTTTCCATGGGACCGTACAAGAGTGGTGCTTCCAACCTCGGGAGTAGGAGCGTGTGACTATATCAATGCTTCTTTGATCAAACTATCGCCCGAAGCACAATACATCGCCACTCAAGGTCCTCTCACGGGCACAATTCACCATTTCTGGGCCATGTGCTTTGATGAGGCGCTCAAGCTGGACGCAGAGACAATCGTTATTGCCATGGTTACGCCACTAGTTGAAATGGGAAGAGAGAAATGTGCAAAGTATTGGCCATCGCAGAACCATCTGGATTGGGACTTGTCTGAGGCGTTACAGCGAGATAGAATTTCACCTGGTGACTTGACGGTCACGTGGCTTGGTGAAGAACTCCATGAAGACAAGTTTGCGGTGACAAGCTTGCTATTGCGGAGTGGGGATGTCTCCAAGAAGGTGTTGCACTTCTATTACGAGGGATGGCAGGATACGAAAGTGCCTGACGCCGTAGAACCGCTTATTTCGCTTTCAGAAGAGATTCTGGCGGTGCGTGCTGAACACCCTAGTGTTGTTCCCATTGTTCATTGCTCTGCTGGTGTGGGAAGAACTGGCACATTTATAGCCATTGACTACTTGCGCAACTTCTCCGATCCGTTTGACAGGACATCTGCGGATCCAGTTCTTGATCTAGTCAAACAAATGCGGAGTGACCGTATGATGATGGTGCAAACACCACATCAGTATGCGTTCTTATATGAGTTGTTGGAACGGATGTTCAGAGAACGAGTTTGAATATTGGAAATAATGGGTATTTGGGGTTAACGGAGTAGGTTTTACAGAGTAATTGGAAAAGGCTATCGGTTGTTTGAATGACTGTATGTTATCTGAGGCTATTTGGGAATGACAAGGAATTAGGAGGAAGGTCCATGCAAGTTAAGAGATGAGACAATCAACGAAGTCATAGAGGTAGATTAATGAAAAAGAAAAACACTTGAAATGTTGTTCGAAATCTTATAAACATATTCTAGTAAAGATATGAAAATCAATTGGTGGAAATACGGAGGTAAATAAAGTGTATTTCTCTCAAGAAAGCACTTGGAACCATTAAGCCCAGAATTCAACAGTCCAGACATCATCTATACCTATCACAGTCTTTCTAAATCAATACCTGAAACTCAATTTTATCATAATCAATAGTAGCCATTTTAAGATATTCATATCATATCTTTAAAGAAAATAGTACCTATTTTATGTATCTTCTATTACACAGTTCCACCCATCACCATAGTCTCCACAGTGAAGCTTAGACGTCTACAACTTGGTATGGTAGATCTACTCTGTAAACTCCAAATGACAATCACATCCAGAAAATTTCGACAGTCATATGTTTCTATGTATTTAAACAATATTCAATTTCAATTATCCAATCTCCTATCTTCAATTTCCCATTAATTTCAGATCTCATCTCTCTATGCTTTTTTAACTGGACTAACTGCAGGTCATTTCTTTCTCATCTCTGGCTGCAAAGCACTGCATACTTGCTCATCCATGATTCTTTTTTTTTGACATAGGGATGCCCATATCACGTGATGTTCCATCTCCAAAAACATACCCTTTCATCAAAACCTACAATTCGAAGCTTCAAATCAGATCTAATTCACTCCAGATAATCTTCCCATCCAATTCCACTCTCTCATCAACTTTCTTTCCCCTATTTAACCGTCCATCACCCCCAATCCCACCACACCATCCACCTGCGTATATCTCAGACCAGACTCTATACACACTCGTACCCAATCTCATGGTGCACGGATGCGCGGCCTGAAAAATTTTCGCCCATTTTTTCCCATTTAAATCCTCTCTTTCCCATCTTTTTCCAACCACTATCAAAAACAAAATGGCTGACGGTGTTTTCCAGGGTGCTATCGGTATCGATTTGGGTACCACTTACTCGTGTGTTGCTACTTACGACTCGGCTGTCGAGATCATCGCCAACGAGCAGGGTAACAGAGTTACTCCATCTTTCGTTGCTTTCACCTCTGAGGAGAGATTGATTGGTGATGCTGCTAAGAACCAGGCTGCTTTGAACCCAAAGAACACTGTGTTCGATGCTAAGCGTTTGATTGGTCGTGGTTTCGATGACGAGTCCGTCCAGAAGGACATCAAGACCTGGCCTTTCAAGGTTGTCAACGAGAACGGCAACCCATTGATTGAGGTTGAGTACTTGGAGGAGACCAAGACTTTCTCCCCACAGGAGATCTCCGCCATGGTTTTGACCAAGATGAAGGAGATTGCCGAGGCTAAGATCGGTAAGAAGGTTGAGAAGGCTGTTGTCACTGTCCCAGCTTACTTTAACGACGCTCAGAGACAGGCCACCAAGGATGCTGGTTCTATTGCTGGTTTGAACGTTTTGCGTATCATCAACGAGCCAACCGCCGCTGCCATTGCCTACGGTTTGGGTGCTGGTAAGTCCGAGAAGGAGAGACACGTTCTTATTTTCGACTTGGGTGGAGGAACCTTCGATGTTTCCTTGTTGAACATCACCGGTGGTGTTTTCACCGTCAAGGCCACCGCTGGTGACACTCACTTGGGTGGTCAGGATTTCGACACCAACTTGTTGGACTTCTTCAAGGCCGACTTCCAGAAGAAGACTGGTCACGACATCTCTGGTGACGCCAGAGCTTTGAGAAGATTGAGAACTGCCTGTGAGCGTGCTAAGAGAACTTTATCTTCTGTCACTCAGACCACCGTTGAGGTTGACTCTTTGTTCGAGGGTGAGGACTTCTCCGCTAACATCACCAGAGCCAGATTCGAGGACATCAACTCTGCTTTGTTCAAGTCCACTTTGGAGCCAGTTGAGCAGGTGTTGAAGGATGCCAAGCTCGGTAAGGCCACTGTTGACGAGGTTGTGTTGGTTGGTGGTTCTACCAGAATCCCAAAGATCCAGAAGTTGTTGTCCGACTTCTTCGACGGTAAGCAGTTGGAGAAGTCCATCAACCCAGATGAGGCTGTTGCCTACGGTGCTGCTGTCCAGGGTGCTATCTTGACCGGTCAGTCCACCTCCGAGGACACCAAGGACTTGTTGTTGTTGGATGTCATCCCATTGTCTTTGGGTGTTGCCATGCAGGGTAACGTGTTCGCTCCAGTTGTCCCAAGAAACACCACTGTGCCAACTATCAAGAGAAGAACCTTCACCACTGTTGCTGACCACCAGACCACCGTGCAGTTCCCAGTTTACCAGGGTGAGCGTGTCAACTGTTCCGAGAACACCTTGTTGGGTGAGTTCGACTTGAAGAACATCCCACCAATGCCTGCTGGAGAGCCAGTCTTGGAGTCCATCTTCGAGGTTGATGCCAACGGTATCTTGAAGGTTACTGCTGTTGAGAAGTCTACCGGCAGAACCGCTAACATCACCATCTCTAACTCTATTGGTAGATTGTCTACTGACGAGATTGAGAAGATGATCTCTGACGCTGAGAAGTTCAAGAACGCTGACGATGCTTTCGCCAAGAGACACGAGCAGAAGCAGAAGTTGGAGGCTTACGTTGCCTCTGTTGAGTCCACTGTCACTGACCCAGTGTTGTCTGCTAAGTTGAAGAAGTCCGCTAAGGACAAGATCGAGGCTGCTTTGTCTGACGCTATGCAAGCTTTGGAGATCGAGGAGTCTACCGGTGACGACTACAGAAAGGCTGAGTTGGCTTTGAAGAGAGCCGTTACCAAAGGTATGGCCACCCGTTAAGCATAGAGAATGATAAGCTAATTCTGTACAAAAAAATCATTTTGCCGTTTGTTTATTATACTTTGGGGAAATAAATATCACATTATAACAAATGTATGTCTACTTAGAAACCTGCGTTTACTTCCAGTTCTAGATGTTCTCAATATTAACTTTATACACTTCGTCTCCATTCACTCTTCTAAGATGTAATTTCCTAACTTATCCATCTTTAAGTTTTTGGATCCTGCTGAAATGGCCTCAATGATCTTCTCATTCTCTTCATGATCGCTCTCTTCTTCTTCATCCTCAAATTCCTCATCGAATTCCTCGTCGCTGTACTCGCCATCATCATCATCTTCGTCTTGAGAGTCAACCTCAGACAAATCCTCATCGTCTCCATCTTCCTCGTTTTCCAAATCAAGAGCTCTCATACCTTGAACTGCACTTTCCAAATCACGATCTTCCTTGTTCTTCTTTTTGGTCCAACCAGAAGCCTTGACTTCCGCATCCAACTCCTTAACTCTCTTCACATCTCTTTTGAAGTTGGGATATGCGTATTTATATCCCTCTCCATATCCGTCTGTATCAAGCATGGTCCCATCATGATCAGGTTTATAGTTGAATTTCTTCTCAAAAAATGTCTGGATTCCTTGAACATCTCTGTCAAAATAGAACTTGGCATCAGTATGTTCAATGGAAACACACTGTGGGAAGTCGATCACCACGAAGTCAAACTCGTAGCCGTCTCTCTTTGCGTCTTCACGAATAATAATGTTAAATTCATTGAAATCACAGTGGATCAATCCATGGTTGGCTAACTTCACAATGAAGTTCATCAAATCAGAGTATAACTTCTTGTATGCTGGGTATTTCTTCATATGCTTCATGGGGTAACCCTTGATCCACTCCATCATCACACAGTGTCTAGAGTAGTCGTATGGTGTTGGCACAATAAAGCCGTTGTCGTGTAAAATGGTCATGAACTGATACTCTTTCTCTGCAGCCAAACGACTCAAATACATCCAGTTAGAGGTGTTTCTGTTCTTCAAGTAGTCTCTGTTGTTTTTCACCGTCTTGAAAGATGTTCTTCCCAAACGGTGGATTTTCAACACCTTCTGCTGCCCCAGAGGATCACTGACTGAGTAAATATCCGACTCCTTTCCAACACCAATGGTTGATCCAACAGAGTATAAGGTATTTCTATTAAGCATCAGCTTGAGTGCAAGGTAATCGTAACCTGAGTAGGAGATTCTGAAACCATCATACTTTGCATTCCTAAGTCTCGATACCAATTTGAGCTTAGCCAAATCACCAAGGGCTCTATTAGTACCAGATGGAGACTTTAAACCTCCAATGGAGTGAATCATCTGAGTAGGCACCAACTCATGGTTTCTTGAGCCGAGTTCGATGGCCTGAAGCACACGAAAGTCGTCTGCGGTAAGATACCGCATGTGGGAGGTATCCAACTTCATCTTGTTCTGGGAATTTTTCACTGTGCTACCAGACTATATTAAGATGGAAATTAGAAAATGGTGATGGGCTTCGCTATAGTGTGCACACCACCACATCAACAAGTATCTACAATATACATCTGGAGCTTTTAATCACCAATTACTGCTGACCTCTCCTATTTTGTGTACTTATGTTCTCAAAGCGGAGATACAATCGTAAAAAAGGAACTCGGCGACATGTTCGACGGCCGTCCAAAAAGAACAGAATTCTACGACCTCCAACGGTGATCAATACAGTGGAGAAGCCCACTTTTGACGCCAGCGGCTGCCTGGTCTATCTGTGGCAATACATTGCTCCTAAAATAGCTGCTAGCTCCTCTGTTGGTCTCAATAATGTGACTTCTCTCCGTCAATTGTGTGCTTATCAAGTAGCTCTAAATGCGGAAGCATTATCTTCAGAATATCTACAACTGGCACCGTGGTCTTGCTGGGAACACGTGTGGAAAAACATTTTGGCTATGGGAAAGGATTCTCCGGATATTTTTCGAATGTTTGCAAAGGAATTCGGCAAACAACCATCGTTCTGGTGTCATGAAATGACATTAGGACTTAACCACTTGGATGCCGATCCTCGGGCGCAGGCGCTCGAATGGGCATTAATTCCTGGTTCAAAAAAGCATCGAATGGAAAACGTTTTCAGTAATGTGTCAGTGTCGGATGTGGTGGCGTTTGTGGCCAAGTTGGACTGTTCGGTGGTGGTCGAGTGTTCTAACGTGGACAACTTCACGGCTCCGCAGTTAATCTCACTAGCGTGTCTTCCAAATCTTGTTGCGCTAGACTTGTCTGGTAACAACTTGGTGGATGACCAGTTTCTCTATACTTTGAGGCTGTGCCTTACGAGCAAGGATTTGAAGTTGAAGATTCTTCGGATAAGTTCGTGTGAGAATGTTACCAAACGTGGGGTTGCCAGTTTGCTTGCTGCCGACATTTTGTCGCCGCTTTGTTATGTCGAATCAGACATTAACATGATCACCACGTCAACTTTTGTGCAGAAGTTTCTGGATACTCCAGCAATTGCTGACCATGATCCTGTTCCAAATACAAAATGGAAACTTTTGAACGAAGCTGTTCAAACAACACTGCAAGTGGCCCACTACTCGCTTCCTTACAAATTGCAGTATTTACTGAGAAATAGTGACTTGGTGGATATTCCGTCCATGATCTGGGATATTAAGTTTTTCTCGGAAACTATTGACATCCTAAATTCAAAAAGTGCAGCTGAAAGCTACCAAGAATCATGGGCAAAACGTTTGAGGTCGGCCAAAATGAGATCAGCATATGTCCCATATTGCTACTTGAAAGATCCCGACCAAGTCATTGTGCCTGAAGTGAAATCGAAACCACCAGTGGAACGGATTTTGCCATTTTCGAGACAGGGTACGAAAGATACGAGGGCATCAAAACCAACCATCAGAAAACCCAAAGCGATCAAGATAGACGCAAAAAGTTTCTTTGGGATGTAGGTGATGAATAAACAAATTTGATACTGCTTTACCTGATGTGTGTATTATGCTATCAAGAGCGGCCGCCCTTCAAGATGCTTAGGAGCTCATTGCGTCCATCTCCACTAGATGTGGAGTCACCTGTTGGGGGACGGCGTCCTAAAACCTTGAGGAAATCCGCTCCATTACCTGATGGGAATGCAGAGGGTTTGTTTACCTGGCTTGCACTTGGGTTGGGAGCTCCATAAGTCTCCTGATAATTTGTAGTTGGAGGTTTTCCTCCGTTGAGAAGCAGTAACAAATGGTTTCCCTGTGCGTTGGAATGGTTGACTGGCGGCGAAATTGGAGCCACTTCAGGTTGAGGAGCATTTGCATCCTCAAATTCGTCGTCAGAATCAACGTCGAAGGTGTTGGCGATGCTATTGTAAATGTCGTTCCGCGATGCACTGATTTCATCAAAATCATCAAAGTCTTCGAAGTTTTCAAACTCCTCGAAATCTTCTGGTGGTGGGGTAGGTTTAATGACTGGCTTTGATTGCGGCGTCGTGGATTTTCTGTTCAACGTGCTTAAGATCAGATTGGCAAAGCTTGCATTCGATTCCCCACCTGGAGTGCTTGATCCACTTTCCCCTAAGACACTTCTGAGGTCCGGAGTGCCACCCTCTCTCTTTGCAATGCGTACAGGCTTCTTTGGCTGATTTAAAATACTAAGTAACTCACCAGATGCCTGCTTATCTTCATGAGATTTTTGACCATTGAGAACTTTCAAGAACTCGCCTGGGTTGGCCAAGGAGCGACCCTCTATCTCTTCCACAATGGGCTTTCTCTCCACTGGGGCCCTCTTAAGAATGCCTAGTAACTCTTTAGAAGAGTCGTTCTTCTCCTCAAAAATTGAGGGACTTGGTTTGCTGACCTGAGACTTACCGCCATTGATTAAGCCTAGAAGCTCTGCTGAGGCTGTGGATGACGTCTGTGGTCTTGGAGATACAACATGTCCGTCTTCCTTCTTCTGCGTTTCCTCCTTCTCCTCTCTTGGGGCCGTGGAAGGCTTCTTGCCCAAAAGTCCTAAAAGCGTGGCCGAGGCATCGCTCTCCAGAGTGCCCTTTTCTCTCTTGAGAATGATCTTTGGTGGCGCCTCAGGTTTTGAGGAAGAACTCTCAGGCTTCTTGCTGAGCATCTGAAGAAACTCACCTGCTCTAGTATTCTTAGGCTCCGGTTCTTTCTTCAAAGGTCCACCCTTCAAAACAGAAAGAAGCTCCTTAGAGTTTGTGCTATTAGTTGGTGTTGAAGCGGGCTGAGGAGAGTGAGGGAATTGCTGAGCTGGAGATATCTGTGGAACTTGCTGAAGTGGAGGAAGCGGCATGTGTTGGCCCTGGTTAGCAAAGTACCCACCGTTGACTTGAGGTGGGCGGAACTGATGCATGGGCATGAATCCATTTGAGGGTGGAAAGAACTGGGGCATTTGACCCATTCCAGCGTAAAAGTTTTGCAAATGCTGGGGAACGTTCATGTGGATGTATTGTGGGCGTGGAACCGTAGAAGGAGAGTCCATATTGTTAAGAACAGGTTCTGCCGCAGGTTTGGCTGCTCCTTGTAAGATATCGAGCAATTCTCTGCCTGCGTCGGCGGAATCCGAAGGAGCAACTGTCAGAATACCCATCAATGCCTTCAACTTTACCTCAGCCACTCTCATCAATTCCTCTTCGCTCACCACACCCTTGTTCTTGTTGATCCACCTTGTCAATGGCTTCAAGAAGGGTGCCACGATAAAGTACTTGTTTGGAGATTGCTTGACCCTCTTTTGAAGAGCCTTGATGTCATGCCATTGAATCAGGGCAATTTCGTTCCGCACCTCGGGCTCGAACATGTAGTCCTCGGGAACATTTCTAGCCAAGTAAATCTTGAAGTTTTTGCCGTACACGGTTCTCTCAACCACATCTTTCTCGTTGACGTAGTCTTTAGCGTCAAAGCCAGTCTCTTCCTTGACTTCTCGCACCGCACACACCAAATCATCTTCGTCCTTGGAGATTTTTCCTCGCGGAAACGACCACAGCGATGACTCCGTGCCCTGCACTAACACCACTTTGGTCATTTCCTTGTTGAGCAAGGCAATTCCCCTTACAGGGATGGTACGCTTGTACATTCCAAACCGGGATAAAGCATCAGCAGGGTCACCCCATTTCCAGAGAAGGGGACATTTGCTTAACAAACGAGGAGCAAATGACTTCATTTTCATGCCAGGAAACAGTGGGTTGAGCTGTCTAATGAAATCAGTGTAAAACCATTGTGCTTCTTCCACCTGGAAAAACACTCGTTCAATGGAGGACAAATCCTCGTCAGGGCAATTGATAACGAATCTCACAAGGAGATCTTCAAGAATGTGATCGACGGGCTCGTTGGCTAAGCCGTCTCTTAGCTGTATACTCATGGTGATGGTGGGGAAATTTTGTAGTTGGTGATTTTTTGTTAGGGTGTTGGAGTGCAGGTAATGTGTATGTTAAGGTCTGGATGGGTTTTTGATTTGGAAAGTTTAGAGAAAATGGTGATTTTGGACTCTTTTGGGGAGACTAAAAGCTTTTGTGAGATCTTTGAATTGTAATGTAATCATGTATTTCCCTTTTTTTTCTGGTTATGAATTGGTGATATTTTGCTGTCTCTGTTGAGGCTAAAATGGGTGTTGAAGCATACTTAAGAGAGTTGGAAGTACAAAAAATGACATGAAAGATTGAAGAAAAACCAAAATTGAATATGAAATTTCTTCCTTTTGGATTTTTTCTGTACCATTCAAATGCCCTTCACAATGCATAATTCATGAACAATTACCATCTATACTTCAACAATCTACACATCACTTCACATCCGTACATCCTCCCCGCCAAATAGCCACCATCTGTCTGGATTCAAACATCATTCAATGCAAAGACGATTATTCTGCAGCTCTACCAGCACTTTCCAACGTCAGGTGCCTCGTTTTGTGACCACGTTAAAAGAGGCCGCCAAACCGGCCTTGGAAAAAGCCCAGGCCATCAACAGGCCATTTGGGTTTGACTCTCCAACAAAAATTGGACAGAATCATGGCCAATTATCCAACCCATTCAGTGCAGCAGCTAAGGAGCAACGCCAAAGACAGTTGGACCATGATATTGCACATTCGCCATTCTACGAGTCCAAATCGTTCTCCAACACCCAGGGAAAGATCTTTACTCCACCTGTATCATATTTTAAGAAGGAGAAGGCCAAATATTTTGTGGATTTCCAAGGTTATACCCTTTTGAATGAAAAGAGACAGTTATCACAACTTCTAAAAGGTAAAGTGACGTTGTTGCGGATATTCTCCACGATTTCTGGTGAGAATTGTGCCAACACCTATATTTCAGACTACCTCGATGAAAATGGATACAAGACACTCCAGGAAAAGTATCCCAACACGCAGATTGTCGATGTAAATCTTCCCCAAAGTTGGATCAAGGGTCTCTTTGTCAAGATGGCCAAGTCTAACTTGAAAACCATCGTTCCTCCTGCTAGACAGAACCTCTACTTCATTTTGCCGAATACCTTGTTTACTCTGGAAGTCAAGAAGACCTTGAAGTGCGACAACATGTGTTCTGGGTATCTTTACGTTTTGGATGAAGACGGAAAGATTAGATGGGCCACTAGTGGGTTTTCTAATGACGAGGAAAGTGAAGTCTTGTGGAGAACTGTCAGAGGTTTGGAGAAGGAGATGAAAGGAAATTAGAGAATGGAGAGATTGTTCATTAGTAATTGATCAGCCAGTTCTGAAATGTTTTTTGTTCTTTTGTTTTGCTTCCTTTCAAGTTCGAATGAATCAAACTATCTTGAATTGGCTCTTCTGGTCTGGTAGTGCCCTGGGTGCAATTGGTTATCACAGTTACCCGCACCGTGTATATAGTCACCACAATCAACACTCGCAGTTCTTACTCAAAGGATACTACTACTTTCACTTGGTATGTGCAAGTTTAGACTTACTGATGAACTTTCAATTGGGAATCTCTCTGACTTAATCCAAAAATCTACCCATGGAGAAAACCATTAATTGATATCTGATGGTCTTATGTGCTGACAATATACTAACATTCAGAATTCAAAGATTCATTTGTTGTACTTTGAAATGCTGATCGGTGATCTTCACCTATCTGAGCTAATAGATGTTGACATCACTCTTTCATTTCTCAAATTTTCTAACTCACTTCTTCTCTATTAGATACTACGTGTCAATTTTCAAAACGTTTATCTCTTCGCCACCAGCCTTTATCGTCTATTTCTCTACATGCTTTAAATTTGCACATTACCTTGATGTTCTAGAACACATGTTCCACATGTCTGCATCAACGTATCTTCTTTATTTATTCTCTGAAACGGATCTATCAATTGTTCTAATCGTTTAGCTATCGGGGGATTCAATTTGCATCACGTGTTATTAGGGCATTTGCCCTCGTCACGTGAGCAAAATTTTTGCGCATCCGCCTACTACCCATTTTTTCACATCCAAACTTTTTTTAATTTCTCTACAACGTCAAACATGTCTGCCCCAATCAACAAGGAAAAAGTCCAGGAACAAGCCCAGGAGATCCACAAGATCAGAATCACCTTGACCTCCACCAAGGTCAAGCAGTTGGAGAAGGTCTGCACCAACATCATCAACAACGCTGTCCAGAACGACATCGTCAAGAAGGGTCCAGTTAGATTGCCAACCAAGGTCTTGAAGATCACCACCAGAAAGACTCCTAACGGTGAGGGTTCTAAGACCTGGGATGCTTACGAGATGAAGATTCACAAGAGAGTCATCGACTTGCAGGCCCCAGCCCAGATCGTCAAGAAGATCACCCAGATCACCATCGAGCCTGGTGTGGATGTGGAGGTCACCATTGCTGCTTAAGCTTACTGAGCTGAGCTGCAAGGTGGCAGAGTGTTGCTGCTAAGCTAGTCGACGAATGTGTTTTGATATTGGAGAGGGTGTGTTGTATCCAAGTGCTCTAGGCGTGCCGTGTATTTAATACACAGACGTTGCGGTGTTAGCTATCAGGATTTGGTGCATCTGTTGGCGGCTTTCAGTAATACTTGCTGGTTTGTATAGTTCCTAATATATTTGGTGCATAGAAAGTGTAGATTGGATACTTTAAGGTTGACATGGCTGTGAAAACGATGAATATCAGAACAATAACCGCGTAAAGAACGAAACGTCCTTATAGAAATGATTATCTACTGCTGATACAGACAGCTTCATGACTACCTTCTATATTATGTTACTGTAGTGGCGACACGTGACTTGACTAAATTATCACGAAAACATCCGGAGATACTATTAACGTCCTAATTATCACTTTCCAGTAGCTCTCTTTAATATAAAACCTCTTCCATCCGAAAATGTCAGGAATCTCTCGATTTATTCCATCGTATAACCTTTCCTCGGAGTTTAACTATTCCTACTTGACACGTGATCGATCAATCACCTAGTCTCCTAATACTCGTATAATCACAGTATCCTCATTTCTTCAATCGAATTCATCACATTTCATCTCTATCCTCTCTTCTGCTTTTCCGTCTTCTCGTGATTTCAAATCTTCTATTTAGATTCCAAAACTGGGCCCACCCTTTGCTAACTATAATCTCCTCAATCCTCGCTTTCCGGCACCCAGCAACCAATCCCCACAAACCTATTGCTCTACTTTTAGGCAGCGACTCAACGTCTATTATTCGACTGTTTTTGCATCGAGAAAGCTGCTTTTGCTGCTCCCAATCGAACCGGCACACTCAAATTACTCACATTTGCCGCCCCAACCCCTACCAACTCCCCCTTCACCATGTTTGTCATGAGACCCAAAGCCCCCAGGCTATATATCGCTTCCCGGAACTTACAACTTGCCAAAAGATACCTCACCACCCATGGCACTCTGATCTCGCGAAAGACTGCCAATAAGCTTTTCAAAAAGCGCAATGTGGCGCTCGTTTCTGGCATCATCATTGTCGGGCTGTACGTCACTTTCAGCCAACCAAATTACTACAAGTTGGACAGTGTTCCCTCGTCGCTAGGCGGGCCATTACTGAAGATCGCACCACCCCCCTCCAAGTCAGCTAATGGAGTTATGGAAAATAAGTATTTTTCGTCATCCACCAGCTCCATGCTCCAGAGTAATGGACTTGGCTCCCAGCAGCACAAAGAAGGTGTTTTCCTCTTGAACGAAGAGCAGGTCAGTACCAAACTCAGGCAATATGAGGAGTCGTACTTTGTCAACCGAGGCAAAGGTGTCACTCGGTACGATATTTGCCAACTTCCCTCCAATTCGCCTATTGAAGATGACAGAGCAGAGGAGATTGTGCAAGTCCCCATTTTGCAGGATAATAACGTCCGGGCCAGTACAGACTGGATGTTCTTTGGTGTTTTCGATGGTCATGGAGGCTGGACCACTTCATCCAAGTTGCGTGACCAGTTGATCTCGTACGTGATCCATGAGCTCGGCACCATCTTCAAGCCTGCTCAAGAGGACAATTTGAGGTATGTTCCCAACAGTGCCACCATCGACCAGGCCATCAAAAACGGCTTTTTGAAGTTGGACCATGAGATTGTTAACAAGAATATCGAGAAGCTTTTGAACGACAACAATAAGGCCAAAGCAGCCGAGTTGTTGATGCCTGCGTTGTCTGGATCATGTGCCTTGCTCTCGTTCTACGACACAAACTCCAAAATGTTGAAAGTGGCAGTTACTGGAGATTCTAGAGCGCTCTTGGGATCTTTCAAAGACAACCAATGGACTGTCAGACAGCTTAGTATCGACCAGACGGGATCGAATCCAACTGAAGTCGCCCGAATCATTTCAGAACATCCAGATGAGCCCAACGTTATCAGAAACGGAAGAGTGTTGGGAACTTTGGAACCCTCTAGGGCATTTGGTGATTGCAGATACAAATTACCAGCATCGATCCAGGAACGTATCTACAAGCAGTTTTTCGGTAGGAGACTCCCCAGCAACTTAAATTCTCCACCATATGTGACTGCAGAACCTGTGATCACTACCACCAAAGTCAGCCCCGAGAACAACGACTTTTTGGTGATGGCTTCCGACGGCCTTTTCGAGATGCTCTCCAACGAGGAAATCGTGGGTCTTGTTGTGAAGTGGATGGAAAAGGAGAAGATGGTGAAGCCCAGCAAATCTTTTTGGAACTACTTTGGCTCCACAGAGAAGGGCTTGCCGCAGGTTGCAGATGTGACTGGGGATAAATCAAGCAAACCTCCATTCCGCAAATCTAGACAACTGGCCGGAAACGGTTACTTGTTGGAGGACAACAACGTGTCGACGCACTTGATTCGCAATGCCTTGTCTAACGGTGGATCTCGTGAGCAAACACTGATGCTCGTGAGCATCCCTAACCCAGTTTCGAGACGTTACCGTGATGATTTGACGGTGACAGTGGTGTTTTTTGGCAATGAAGTAAAGGAGGCCGACAACGGTAAGTTGGAAATTAATTCACAGGCCACTGCTGGTGGCTACGATTCCTCGAAGCCGAAGTTGTGAAGTAATTTATTCGACATACTTTATATATTCGTAACTAGACTCAATTGCATGTATTATGAAGGAGTGATAGTTAAATATTAACTGATGGTTGCAACATTGAGGGCAGAAGAAGATGCTAAATTATGTTAACCCACATTACTTCCCTTGGAAGGGTCCCTTTTTATTTTTTATCTTCTTACCGTGCCAAACTTTATTCATCTTCTAGTTTTCTCCATCCCACCATATGCCTAAATACAGTCTCTATGAGTCTTCATCCAATATACAGATCGATTGGGAACAGTATCATATATCAACCATATATAACATAATGGCCAGTGGAACCTTAGATCCACTAGAGAAGCTCAAAGTGCCGACCTCATCTGAGTCGATCGCAGATTCACTTTCTCGTGAGCTCTTGGAACCATCGAACAGATTGACATGGGACCTTTTGGATTTGGTTCAAGCAGTTCCTGCCATCGACAAGCAGAGAGTTTTCGATGATCTCTTGGTACAGCCACTGCCAATCAGCAGAACCAGTTTCCGCTTCAAACGTGAGGGAATTGCTGGTAAAATTTCCGGGTATAAGGAAGAGATGAAAGTGAGTGAGCTCGACAATGCCACGGCGTCCAATTCTCTCTCCATCAACAGAAAGTACGGACTGAAACAGGATGCTGTGAGTGGAAAGTCAAGTTTCTTGCCATTTCAACCTGGTGGACTTCTCAATCGGGCTCAGACAAACCAGACCTTAAACTTGAATCAACAGAAAAGTGAGGCACTGTTCTTGAAAAGAAACAAGCTTGGACTATTCGATACCCCACAGGGATTGCTGCGAGGCTTGAAATTGCTGAATACTGCTGCTTCAGCTGAAGGTGTGATAGAGTTGGGTTCCGATCAGGGCGAAAATGTCGAAGAGAGTGACCTCCCAGCAAGCAAAGACCAAGGTCTTATGGAAGCATTGGGGTCTGCAACAGTCACAGAAGATTCTGGCACAAGCGATGCACTTGATGAACTCGAAGATATTGTACCACACTACGAGGTTATGAAGGACCAAATGGATGCAGATGCAAGAGTCAAGCACAACTGGGCACATGTGGTGGACTTGGACCATAAGATCGAAAATTTCAAGGACGTGGTTCCCAACATGGCACGTGAGTGGCCGTTCGAGTTGGATACTTTCCAGAAAGAGGCAGTTTACCATCTTGAGCAAGGAGATTCGGTGTTTGTTGCTGCTCATACATCGGCTGGTAAGACTGTGGTGGCCGAGTATGCCATTGCCATGGCTGCGAGAAACATGACCAAAACCATTTACACCTCGCCCATCAAGGCACTCTCCAATCAGAAATTTCGTGATTTCAAGGAAACTTTCAAAGATATAGATGTGGGCTTAATCACCGGTGATGTACAAATCAATCCAGATGCCAACTGTTTGATCATGACAACTGAGATTTTGCGTTCCATGTTATACAGAGGCGCGGACCTTATAAGAGATGTGGAGTTTGTCATTTTCGACGAAGTGCATTATGTCAATGACATAGACAGAGGTGTTGTGTGGGAAGAGGTGATCATCATGCTTCCAGACCACGTCAAGTATATTTTGCTATCTGCTACTGTTCCAAACACCTATGAGTTTGCAAACTGGGTGGGCAGAACTAAACAAAAGGATATGTATGTTATTTCCACACCGAAGAGACCGGTCCCTCTCGAGATTTTTGTGTGGGCGAAGACTGACCTTTACAAGGCCATCAATGCACAGGGAGTGTTCAGTGAGCTGGAGTTCAAGAAGCATAGTTTGGCTTTGACTGCGAACCAGAAATCTGGCCCTCCAAATGTCACAATGGGCTCGGGCTCCAGAAATGGCCCAGGAGGTACTGCTAGAGGAGGTAATAGGGGTGGAAACAGAGGTGGTGGACCTCTGGCCAGAGGAAGAGGCAACTTCCAGCCTCGTGGTGCTTTTACTAGGGACGGGCCCAATAAGCAGACTTGGGTACAATTGGTGCAATATCTCAACCAACAGAAGCTTCTACCAGCCGTTGTTTTCGTTTTCTCCAAAAAAAGATGTGAGGATTACGCTGACACCTTGGGTGGTGTGAACTTCTGTACTGCCAAAGAAAGATCTGAGATACACATGTTCATTGATCGTGCAGTGGCTAGGCTTAAGAAGGAAGACCGTGAGTTGCCTCAGATCTTAAAGATTAGGGACATGTTAAGTCGAGGCATTGCTGTGCATCATGGAGGTCTTTTACCTATTGTCAAAGAATGTATCGAAATTTTGTTTTCCAAGACTTTAGTCAAAGTCTTATTTGCAACCGAAACGTTTGCAATGGGTTTGAATTTGCCTACTAGAACAGTTGTGTTTTGCGAATTGAGGAAACATGATGGAAGAGGATTTAGAAACTTGCTTCCAGGCGAATTCACACAGATGGCTGGAAGAGCAGGAAGAAGAGGTTTGGATTCTACGGGTACAGTGATCGTCATGTCCTACAATCAACCCCTCTCACCAACTGACTTCAAGGACGTGACCATGGGAGTTCCCACCAAATTACTGTCGCAGTTCAGATTGACATACAACATGATCTTGAATTTGTTGAGAATTGAGGCCCTACGTGTGGAGGAAATGATCAAGCACTCATTCAGTGAGAACTCCACCCAGACACTTTTGCCTGAACATAAGATTGAAGTGGAGCATTTGACAGAACAACTAGACTTGGTGAAGATAAAAGACACTCCCAATTTGGCTGCTTATGAGGAAGCATATGAGCTTTTCTCTGAATATCAGCAGCTTTATGGAAAGATTGTTGCTGAAGTTCAACTGCTGGTGTCCAGTAGGGTGAGCATCTTCAAAATCGGTAAGAATATGATTTTCCTTGATGACGACGATGTCTTGAGGTTCGGATTTTTGATTAAGAGTGACATCGCCAACGGCAAGCTCGTCTTTATCACTTTTGACCATGGAAAGCAGTATGAAGACGACAGTAGGGAGTACCAGTTGCCATACTTCCCCAATAAAATGTATCTCCTGAAGGTCATGGAAGAGATTCGCTACTGTGGAAAGTTGAGATTGACTTCAGTTCCATACGAGAGAGTTCAATTTGTCAGCAAATATACTGCCAAATTCAGTGTTAAGGGCCTCGTCCAGAATGATCCAGCTGTCATAAAGGAAGTCGAGGATTCTTTCAAAGTGATCACCAGGTTCCAGTATCGCTTGGATCAGGTTGAGTTTAGCCAGGCAGTGCAATTGTCACTTCATGAGTTGTTGGGTAGAATGGCCGAGGTGACCAGCAAGATCAATAGCTTGACGATTTTAACAAGTCCGGATTACAAGATTATCTACTCACAGTTGCATAAGAGGAATACTATTAAGAATAATATTGAATCCCTCAACAGATTAATTTCCGATGAGAACTTGGAATTGCTTCCGGACTATGAACAGAGATTGCAAGTGCTTCAGAAGCTCGATTTTATTGACAAGAACCAAAATGTGGTGTTGAAGGGACGTGTTGCTTGCGAGATCAACTCTGGGTGGGAACTTGTGTTGACGGAGTTAATCCTTGATAACTTCCTTGGAGACTTTGAGCCCGAGGAAATTGTGGCGCTCTTATCGTGCTTCGTGTACGAGGGTCGTACTAAAGAAGAGGAACCTCAACCAATCACTCCCCGTTTGGAGAAAGGAAGAACTAAAATCTTGGAGATCAGTGAGCGCTTATTGAAGATCTACACCGAGTACCAAGTGTCGCTCACATCCGAAGAAGAGGAGTTCTTGGAAAGAAATAGATTCGCTTTGGTGAATGTTGTGTATGAATGGGCACGTGGATTGACGTTCCGTGAAATTATGCAAATTAGCGTGGAGCTGGAGGGAACAATCGTTCGTGTGATCACTCGTTTGGATGAAATCTGTCGCCAGGTTAAGAATGCTGCTTTGATTGTGGGAGATTCAACATTACACCTGAAGATGTCTGAGGCTCAGGAAAGAATCAAGAGGGACATCGTTTTCTGTGCTTCGTTATATCTTTAATTGACTAATTGTCGGAACCTGTAAGCCTTGCTGTTATGATGTCAAGTATGCCCTTGTCCGAAGACATGATTATGGGATTCCAGAGCCCGTCAAGTACTTTCTGAGAACCAAACCGAGCATTCATGACGCCCAACATAGTGTAAAAACTAGCCACAGCCGTGTCGTCCTTAATTTGACTTCGAAGACGATCGTACTCTTTCTGATCTAGAGGTAAACCTGAAGTTGCTCCTCTATATGGTATTAGGCAATCGTAGAGGTTGTTTTTCCTCATAAACTCGGTTATAAGTAATTTTGTGTCATCTAGACAGCTGAGAGAGTGTTCAAGTTCCATTTGAGATGCTGTAAGATGTTGTAGATCGGCGAAAACAGTAGAGCTCATGCAATGAAGACTGAAGAAGCGTTCGCCCATGTCTCGGAGCCTATTGTGTTCCACATGCAAATTTGGAAAGACGGGATTATTTAGACTGATCTTTTCGGTTCCCAAGTCGATTGTTATGTCTGAAATGCCACAGAGGATGCAGAGAAGGTCATTGAAGTCAAGTTTGAAGTCCGGACCCAAGAAATTCTGGATATGATCTGTCCTTGACTCAAGATGCTTTCTGAAATGTAAGTCATGTTCCAAAGTCTCTTTTATGTAGGTGTTTCGGTATTTTCTGCCTTGAGATGCTTCGTCAGGTTTGTAATCAGTGACTATTCTGGAATAGAACGAAGGTTTTCTTCCCAGGTAAGAGACCTTATTTACGGAGCTGACTTGTGGAAATAATAGAAAAAGATCTCTCGTCAGAACCGTCTCTGGGGTAGGTAGATGTCGTAAAATACGGCAAGAAGACCTCATTTTTATATGACGATATTATTATATTGGAGAAGAGTGATAGGTTGTAATAATAAAGTGCAGGTGAAGATTTGACATCTCATACATACGAGAGGACCAGTGAGAATAATTCTGTTAATTAGAACTGATATCATCGCTGCTATCTTGGCGATATTACTTTTTTCAAGAACATTGTCGGTGCTCATTCTTGAAGTTATTGGTGCTTCTAGTTTATCCCAAGTTTCTTCTTCAGATCACCTACACATCTCATCGAGACCTCATCATGCTGTCCAAAACCAAGAAAAAGTCATCAACGCCGGCTCCAGAAGGCAAAAAGATTAAAATCCCAAAGCTGTTTATCGTCAGACCTTCCCAGAAGCAGTCGACCATATTCCTCGATCCTGATGTTGTTGAGGCCATGGAACTTCAGAATGGGAAGTTTGTAATGGTTTCTAAGGATGGAGGAGCAGGTGTCTTGGCCATTTTGTCGACGACACAAGAGGTGGATGAATCCAATGTCGCATTACTCCCGAAATCGATTCGTCAGTTGGGTGGACTTCTACTTGGAGACAGAGTTACGGTTGCAAAATATGATAGACAGCCTCCATACGCTATCAACGTTGATGTTCGTGTTGAATGCGAAGGAGAACCAAAGGGTGTAAAGAAGGCATTGTCGGACGCTGGTCTCATACAGCCAGGGTTGGTGCTTGTTCATAATGAGCAAAAAATTACCATTGTGGACGTGAGACAGAAAGACGATAAGGATACAGTTGACGCAGTATCTGCTCTGCTCTCCAATCTCTCATTTTCAGATAACGCTGAGTCCTCGTTGGTCTCTCCTGTTTACCTTTACAATACGGCCACCAATGTTAACTACGTTGACTATGGTGTCAGCACCAAGAAGTACCCTAAATTACCTCGTCCATTGGCATTCGAACAGGTCGGGGGCCTTGAAAAGCCTATTGCTTTGCTCAGCTCTACAGTGCAACTTCCGCTTCATCATCCTGCTTTGTTTCTGGACTTTGGCATCTCTCCTCCTCGTGGTATCCTTCTCCACGGACCTCCTGGAACTGGTAAGACCATGCTTTTACGATGCGTTGCTCACGAGTATGATGCACACGTGTTGATGGTTAATGGTCCCCTGATTGTTTCAAAGTACTTGGGTGAAACAGAAAATGCACTCCGTGACATGTTCGCTGAAGCCACCAAATATCAGCCTTCCATTATTTTTATGGATGAGATCGATTCGCTTGCTCCTAGACGTGATCTGGATGATGCCGGAGAGACCGAGTCTCGTGTGGTCGCTACATTGTTGACGATGTTAGATGGGATGGGTGATTCAGGAAGAGTGGTTGTTGTGGGGGCCACTAATAGACCTAACTCAATTGATCCGGCCCTCAGACGTCCAGGTCGTTTTGATCAAGAAGTTGAGGTGGGCATTCCCGATGTAGATGCCCGTGCAGATATCTTGACGAAGCAATTAGCTAGAATGAACAGGGAAAAATGTGCATTGCTGGAGGAGCAGGTAAAGTTAATCGCAGGAAAGACACATGGCTACGTTGGAGCAGACTTGGCAGCCTTGTGCAGAGAAGGTGTCATGAAGGCTATTGCTAGAGGTCTCACTGGAGTGCCCCACGCCAATAGGGTTGGAGGTTTTGGAGTGGGAAGTATTGCTGCCCTTGGAAATTTCGAAAAGATGGACCCTGCTACTAAAGTCGAGGTAGGTGATCTCGAGGCTGCGCTCGCCGATGTTCGTCCATCCGCGATGCGAGAAATCTTCTTGGAAATGCCAAAGGTATCCTGGGATGATATTGCGGGCCAAGAGGACTTGAAGAAGAAATTGGTGGAGGTTGTTCAGTTACCTCTCGAGGCGTCTGCGACATTTGCTCTGCTTGGAGTTTCGGCTCCGAAGGGAGTTTTGCTCTATGGTCCTCCTGGTTGTTCGAAGACATTGACTGCCAAAGCACTTGCATCTGAATCTGGCCTCAATTTCCTTGCTGTGAAAGGTCCAGAAATCTTCAACAAATATGTGGGAGAAAGTGAGCGGACAATTAGAGAGATATTTCGCAAAGCCAAGGCAGCCTCTCCCTCGATTATTTTCTTTGATGAGATTGATGCTTTGGCTGCCAGCAGAGAGGATTCTCTGACACTGGCTGCCCAGAACGTTCTAACATCTTTGCTTAATGAAATCGATGGTGTTGAGGAGCTCAATGGAGTAGTGATTGTGGCAGCCACCAACCGTCCTACTGAAATCGACGCCGCCCTTTTACGTCCTGGTCGTCTTGATAGGCACATTTATGTTTCACCTCCAGACAGGGATGCTCGTCTACATATCATCTCTCGCAGGTGCTCGAAGTTTAATGTTCCCGACCTGGAGCCACTTTTTGCCAGCCTAGCAGACGCAACTGAGGGCTGCTCAGGTGCAGAGGTTTCTTTGTTGTGTCAGGAAGCAGGTTTGGCTGCCATTATGGAGGATAGAAATGCTACCACCGTCGAAGCCCGTCACTTTCAACATGCGCTCGAGGGTATCTCTAGAGGTATCACCGAGGAAATGTTGGAGTACTACCGCGAATTCTCCAGCCGTAGTGGACTTTCCATTTAGAATAATAGACCAGGAGAGAAATCTACATTTTAAAGTCAGTAGTATGATGCTCATTACACTCGTACATTACGTCTAGGTCTGCTTGCATCCTTCCTCCAACTGCTTCTCGAAGTCTGGAGGTAAGTCTTTTGAGTCAAAATCTAAGCCGTCACCTTCACCTAATCCTCCCAAACCTCCTGCGCCTCCCATGCCTCCAAAACCAGGGAAGTCATTATCATCACCAACCAATTCCTTAGGAGGGTTACCCAATTCCTGTAACGATTCAAGCAACCTGTTGACTTCGTCGCTCTTTTCGGGGCTCTCACTGTCATAGTCGGATGCATCAAACACAGCCAAGATCTGGTTCGTGATTTCATACTGTTTCGTATACTTGACATGCTCATCGTCTGGGATCTTGCCCTTATTCTCCTTCAAGTAGTCAGGAAATTTGTCATTTAGATCCTTAATTGGTTCATAAAGCACCTCCTTGGAAGACAATTGCTCCAACATGTCAGCCAAAAGCTTCGACATGTCAAAGTCACCACCTTCTCCGCCTGCTCCACCCAAGCCAGCCATTAGCTGTGCAAGCATGTCTTCTGGATTACCACCAGCCGGGTCGTTCTTCAACTGCTCGTCGATGGTCTCGCCCGACTTCTTCAATCTCTCCATCGTATCCTTCATCACGCTGTCAAAATTTTGTGGATCTTGAATCTTCTTAGCGTCTTCCTTGTGAGTGTCTTCGAACTGTTTGACTAACTGTTCAAACTGCACCTTTGCCTCAGGGTCCTCGATGTTGAGGTCCTTGATCAAATCCTCGATATTCTGAGTGAACTCATCGCCGACTGGATTTGTCGAAGCGTTCTTGGTGGCGGTGGTATTGCCGTCACTTTCACTGGCTGGAGGTTTAGGTAACAGTTGCTCGTCAAACTCATCCAACAAGTCGTCCAAGTCATCGTCATTTTCGTCCTCCACAGGATGTGGAGGTTTTTCCTTAGTTGGTTCAGTCATATTAATTATTTTCTTGAAAAAGTAGCAGCAGTAAGAATTGGATGATGGAGAAAGTCGTTAGTAGTTTAACTAGCATGTGGAGGGCAGGTGGGGCACTGTCTGCAGTCCACTATGGGGAGACTTTTGGGAGTAATGGAGAATCAAATTTGAATGTGAAATGCGGACATTTGAAATGTACTTAAATAGATTTTGTTTAATATATTAGGAAGTATATGTGGATTCTTTTCCACAGTGCTGGTGGAATATCTTCCTGATTTGGGAAATTATAAGTGGGGAGTGCCGAGGGCCTGGGTGCAAAATGTAGTCCTGCGGGGCGACAGACCAATTCTGATGGAGTTATTGGCAAATGCTGACAAGTTTAGTTTTCTGTCAAACAATAGTCAGAAAGTTTTGTATTTTTACAAAGACGTTTTGTCTTTTAGGATAAATCAATATCCTGACTGTGTTACTTGGTATGAATCATGCTTGAAAGGAACGAATGTGAATGGTATATGTGAGAAACGATTATGAGAAGAGCTGGAAGTGCTGTATATGTTTATTAGTTGATTATATTGATGCTCCAGTTTGTCTTCTTCGAATTTTGAGTTTTATTCTTTCTTTACATTTACTTTGTAATTCCTACTTCGTTCCGTTTCCTGTTCTCATTAATTGTTAACATTTCCGTCTTTTTCTTGTACATCTGTGGGAATGGTACAATCCTACCCACTCAACTTCACCATATAAAATCACTCGTCATCAGAACTCCCTAAACTAATTCCACACCACAAATCAACAAATGCTCTCTTTCCCATAACATACTTACCTTACGGAAATAGTCATCATAACATTATCCCGAAACATTTCAAAGCATCAACCTCCAGCCTTTCGTAATCCTTCCTGCAGGACCAACTACTATCATAAATCTCACCAAAACTAATCAGACCTTTGACCTCAGGTGGACCCACCATGTCGCTCTGCAAAACAAGATTACAGGAGGAAAGAAAACAGTGGAGAAAGGACCACCCTTTTGGTTTCTTCGCCAGACCCCGTCGTGGTGAGGATGGCTCCCTAGACTTGACCCACTGGGACGCTGGCATTCCTGGAAAAGCAAACAGCTTGTGGGGAGACGCCACCTACCCTGTGAGCATCTCCTTCTCCGAAGAATATCCATCCAAACCACCCAAGGTGATGTTTCCTGCGGGCTTCTACCATCCTAATGTTTATCCCAGTGGAACGGTGTGCTTGTCCATCTTAAACGAATCACAAGACTGGCGTCCAGCTATCACCTTGAAGCAGATTGTATTGGGAATCCAAGAACTTCTCACTAATCCTAATCCCGACTCTCCAGCACAGGAGCCAGCCTGGAAGGCGTTCAGCAAGGACCGTGCCACTTATGAGAAACGAGTCAAAGAGCAAGCAAAACGCTATGCTACCGCCACTTAGCATGTATAGTATTGAATAGATCGTGTATTTTTAGCATTGTAATGATAATTTGTTATCAAGAAATTTACTTTTTTTTTTTTTGTTTGCCTGTTTGTTCTTGCTGAAATACAAAATTGATTGTGGACGTATTTATTGGTTTACTGCTAACTCACCAAACTTCAAGCGTCAGAAAAAGCCGTCAAGACATGGAAAAAATCAACATGGCGCCAATAATCTCTATATAATAGAAATAGTACTTCATCCAGAAGATTTTCATGACTCCTTGCTGTTGCTGATGATGTCACGCGATTTGAGAGAGCTACCAGCCAGCTCTCCTAACTGGGATGTTCCTTTCTCTTTGTAGGTGCTGACAGCAGGGATATCTGCCTTAATACGCGATACCAAGGTCGAGTAAGCCCGAGGCTCCAACTTGATCAATGTGTGCAAAGGAATCAGCATCCAAGGACTCTCTTCCTGAGGGACATTCATGAAGTAGGCATACAAGCAACGCAAAACTGCCTGGTGGGTAATAATGAGAATATTCTCCTGCCTCTCCAACTCCATGATGATAGGCTCCAACCGAATGACAATATCTCGGTACAGTTCACCACCTGGGTATCTGTACTCGTACTTGTTGTCGTCACGAGCCTTAAAGTCCTCAGGGAACTCTTGTTCAATCTCTTCGTAAGTCATGGCATCACATTCTCCCGCATCCAACTCGTCGAGTGCCTTCCACTCCAACTTCTTCTTGTAGGGTAAGAATGAAGCGGTTTGTTGGGTTCTCTTCAACGTTGACGTCCACACCGTCAAGTTTGTGTGCTGATTATCCTCACCCAACAGCTTGAGCACAATCTCGGGGAGTCTCTTGGCGTATCTCCAACCACGCTCGGATAAGTTGGAGTCTCCACCAATTTGACCAGTCAAGTTGTACTCAGACTCTCCGTGCCGCAGCAACCAGATACATCTTGGCTTGATGTGCAAGTTCATAACGTAGTAGACAATACGTGATTCCAAGTAGGATTCGATACGGTTGACAATAATTTGCGAGCTCACATTGACGAGCTTAATGAAGGTGAGAGCACCCTCATCCTCGACATTCATAGTCTGGTAGTTGCGCTCGTACTGAGAAATCCGCTTTAGAAAGTCTTGGGTAGCAATTTCCAGGTCCATCTCCTTGTAATCCGGAGAAGTCGTCTTTACATCGGCAATATTCTGCAATATGAGGTCCTGGTCATCACACCAACTCTCCAAGAAGATTGGCTCAATGGAGTTTTCACGACATAAACGAAGCAAGCCAGCACGGCGTTCACGTGTCAGGTTAGTTGCATCGATAATACCCACCACGCCATTTTCCTCGACGAACCATTGCATCATTTCTTTAGTGGCCTGGTTGACGGCCTCCAAGCGCACCTTCATGCCCGACTCATTATCTGGGTCGAAAAAGTCTGCAGTGACTACATTAGGCTCCAAAACTCTTCGGTAACTTCCGACATTGAAACACTTCGACTTGATCAGAAGCCACGAGAGGTAGCGGACGATTTTTTGTGCAATCAAAGATTTACCTCTGGCGGGCAACCCGACCATGATGACACAGATACGCACGTTCTCCACGTGGGAGACAGAGTAGACGGGCATTCTGGCAAGTGTAGTTGGGGCGATTTGGCTTGCAAAGGTAAGTGAAGAAGAAAGTGTTGAAGACCACAAGATAATTGGGGTTTGAGAAAGCGGAGTGGAGCTATATACAGAGCAGACAGGGCCATCAATTCCCCGGATTTTGGTTTGAGGTCATTGCGTGATCGAAAAATACGAAAAAACTTGGGAGAGAACGTAAGGATTCAAAGTAATGGGAGAGGTTAAAAAGAGTTCAAAGTTGAAATGGACGACAGAAAGGTGAAGAGACGAGTTGGCGAAGTGAATTTTTCGTATAGTGGGGTTGACTGATCGGCGTAACGAGGTGGTGCAATGAGAAGGTTGAGTGAGAATTTCAGTTCGAGTCGGATAACTGGAGATTGTCGGTATGCAACTCGAAATTTCGGAAAATGTGACATTTGGTGATTTCATTGTGGAAATCAACAATGGCCGAGGATGGAAGAATAAAAATATCGTGACTCAGGTGACTGATTTCCGGATTGGTGGGAGCCTGGATAGGAACATTTAATTCGCAGCCAGGTGACTGCGAAAGAATGAATTCGCGACAGTGAGCAGGGTATAAATTGGGAAGGGTGGAAGAAAGAATGGGAAAAATAGAAAGATGATTCAAGAGGATAAGAATTAGAGAAAAAAGTGGGAGCAGTGGAGATGAGAGAGGAATGCCATTGAAAAGAGAGAAGATTGCGATTCAAGAGGGGTTAAGTAGAAAGTGACCTACTCAACAGAATGGATGAGGTAAAAGTCGAGATGGAATGGGATATGGTAGATGTCAGATGGACATGATATATGAAAATCAAGTTTAGTTTGAAGGAACTTACAATCTCGATGCTAAGTTTAACCTTTGCAGACAAATTAAAACTGGCACTTGATACTCTTCCACAGACATACAATCCATAGACAGGAAGTATTCTCTGACCTTTCATAACTGATATACACCCAAAATCGATGGAAATGACTTTTCATATTATCGCTCGCAGAACCCGAAGATTATATAAGGGGAAGACTACAAAAAAGCGCCAAGAAAGACCGCGGATCACTCTGTGCTATTTATTAATCAGAGAAAGTCAGGGGGTTTCAGTTACCATATCGTGCGTTCTCCATGTTTAGTCTCGCGCATTCTGTCTTCACTTCATAGTCATTCAATTCGCCAAATAGGACAATCACCTTATATTTTATCACCATCCAAGGATGCATAATTTTAGTAATGTTTTGTTCTTTGCATTTATAGACCTTATAGAGCAACAAAATTCATTACAAATAAACTTCCCATCTCAATCAATTTACAGCCTTGCCTTTTGAATCAAGATTCATGCAAGGCCATATAAACCACTTAATGCGCCTGAAAGAACCACACAAATATTCCCGAAATAACAGAAACCAACACCGAGCCAATGCACCCTCGTCTTGTGCCCCTGACGCCCCTCTAGCCACACTGTAACCACCCCTCTCGCTTCCTCGTGACAGTTTTGACCCGTACCGGTGATTGTTCTCCGGTTACAGTATCCCAGTGCGAACGGCTCCGCACCTCGTTCAGTGCCCACAATCTGTAATTATCATTGATGACGAGAGAAACGAAGACAAAAGGATTTTAAAATTAGCAACCAATTAGAATCATGAAAATTTCCAATTTGTGAATTCTTTAAGCAACGGAAAGATACCCGAATCCCTCTCTTTATAGACCTCTCTTCACATCTATCTTTGAGCTCCTGTCGGCAGCCACCCTGCATACCGACAAGGCAAAAATCAAATGTGCCGTGCTAGTCAATATAACTGCCCCATTATCACTTACCATGAAGAAGTTCCTAGGCATGCTGAAGAAGGACTCGAAAGAGGCCCCTAAAGAGGCCTCTGCAGATTCCCACGATACGGATCAGGCGTCAGGTAACGCATCCGTGCTTTCCGAGCCTGACTCGCTACGTGAGCTCCACCCTATGTTCGAGGACCACACCACCAGTTTCACCAATGATACGAACTTGAACTTGAATCCCAGCATTCTGGGCGGCAACTCTGTGTTTACTGAGGCGTCTACGGCACTTCCCAAATCGATTTTCTCCTCCAAATACTCAAGCTCTACCAAGCAGTCTTCTTACTTTTCTCAGGCCAGTCGAACAAAGAAGCCAGTTAGAACTGACTATGGCCAGCCGCTCCAGATCTTGGAAGTTCCAGAGGATTCCAAGGAAGATATCAGCGGGAGCTCCAGTGACATCATCGCAGACAAACTCCACAAATTGTGGCAGGATATCTTCTACATTCTGAACCAGTACACTGCGTCCGTACACACTTTGTCTACGACGGTGATCAACATGATCAACTGCTTGAAGGACTATGTGGCATTTGTAGACACACTTAACCCATATGCGGATGCCTGGAGTTTCTCTTCCTACAACAACGACGACGTGAGAAAGATTTTGAGAATGTATCTCCACATGTATGACAACTTGCTTAAGGATGACGCATATCTCCGTTTAAAGCTCTTATTGTGCAAGGTTTTCAATGACTTCAACGCATCCTTGAAGAGCCATACGAGAAACTTGTCACACCTGCTCCCAGATACGATGGCGAAACCCACAAACTTTGCAATTGGAATTAACGACGGACTCGAACTTCCCAACCAGGAGGCGATCTCTCGTATTATTGCAAAGGTTGCCAACAGTCCTCTCTCTGTCAAGGAGCAGAATGGATCCTTCATCGCTCCTATTGCTCGTGGTATCGATAAAGACATGAACGTGCTCTGTCTCTACTTCGGATACCCGACCCTCACTGACCACCACTCCAGAATCGTGAGCAGCGTTCAGGACCTTTTTGAGGATGTCCACGTGTTGTTGGCCAAAAACCAGATTGACTTGGCTTCTGCGACAACCGAGTCTAGACCCAATCCTGTTCAGTTGCCTTCTTTCCCACCTGGTGGGGCACAGAAGTTCAAGCTTCCGTTTAGAAACCCTGTGGACCCCTTGCGCCCGCCTATGTCCCTCTCACTTTCGGTGGAAACATCTGCCCGTGTGTCCGGAACCATGGGCGGCTTCATCTTCCCTATTATTGATACTAAGAAGCAGCCACATTTGACTTCCTACGCGAACTCAAAGTTTGCAATCTCTTGTGGTCACGTTTGCCTAGACAAGAGGGACGATAGTGACGAGTATCCATACGTTCATTCGCCTCTGTCGGTCTTGATTAGTTTGTACAAGCAAGCATTAACTGCTCAGCACCAAAAGTGTGGTGATTCCAACCAGAATATGCTTCAGCTGCAAGTTGCCTATGGATCTATTTTGGAGCAGCTTGACGAATTCTTCCCACCCAGAGAAGTAGACCTTTACGATTCGAAGACTAAGCAAGGGCGCTTGGAGATGAGAAACTTCCCCAAGCACAGATTCGGTCAGATCATCTGGGGTGAAAGAACTTTGATTCAGGCCAAGAACACAAAAACTGGTCTGTTCCTCACTGACAAGAGATTGAGTGACTTGGCAATCATAAAAGTCAACAAGATCCTCCAATGTGACCAGAACTACCTTGGTGACGACATTGCATTCAACGAGTATGATCCTTCTTTGATGTTTGATAATTTATATGTCAGGAAAGTCATTAATCTCAACCGTCATACCAAAGAGGTACCACTAGAGAGAATAGCTGAAGTGGACTCTCTCGCATCTGATGAAAATGCAGACAGTCTCAGCGGGTTGCCTGTTTTCAAGTACGGTTCAACCACTAAATTCACGAGAGGCAACTTGAATGGCATCAAATTGGTCTATTGGATGGATGGTGCAATCCACTCGTCTGAATTTGTTGTGAACTCACAAGAGAATACTACCTCGTTCGCCGCGGGCGGTGACAGTGGGTCATGGATTTTGACAAAGCTTGAAGATCTTGAGGGGTCTTCTGAATCCAAGGGGTTAGGTGTTGTTGGAATGTTGCATTCGTATGACGGAGAATATAGACAGTTTGGACTATTTACTCCAATGACTGAGATTCTCAGTCGTCTTGAGGAGGTCACTAATATTAAATGGGGTGTTGTCGGTGTTAACCAGAAGGATATGGTTATTAACCTGAGCGATTCAGAAAGTGAGTCGGAATTCGACGAAGATACTGATGAGGAAGACAGCGAGTATGAAAGTGGGGTGGAAGAACAGGCCAACCCTCCGGACATTGACTAGTGTATGATGTAAAATTCAGGGTTTAAAATATATAGGTTGTTATCAAGATTTGTAGATCATTATTGGTGAATGTACTAACCCAGTAACATATGCAACACAACAGCAGCTTAAATTAGCTTCTCTCGCTCTTTTTGTATTCGATGAACCTGTTCAAGTTGGTCCATGTCTCCTCTGCTCTCAACTTGAGCTCAGAATTCTTTTTCTTGTCAATCTGCTTATAACATACCTTGATTTGTGGCTCCAATTGCGTCAATCTGGAGATGTAGTCACCCTCCACAAATACGGGGTAGTCATATTCGAATTCAGCATCACCAAATATGTCATAAATTAAATTCAAACTTTCAAGTGCAATCTCAATGGCTTTAGGGTCTTTTCCGTTGTTTTGCTCTTGGGCAAAGTGTCCAATTTGTGCAAGTAAAAACTCGGATATACTTCTGGTGATTTCAGCATTTCCTATTGTCTGAGCGATGGTTCCCAAGAAACCTGCAGCAGAGAGGATAAACTCCAAAGAAGTCAAGTGCTCTTCACTTTCAGGGATCTGCGACAAAATCTCTCCACATTTCGACAAAAGGGCATTGACAGAATCAGAAGAGATCTTATCTCTGATCTCAGCACCAACAGTCTTGCTGAGGGCCCAAAATACACTCAAACAGAGTTTCAGGGTGTCCAAGTTGTCAGTTTGTGAAGCCTTTTCTAACATGTCCCACAACTGAGGGATACGCTCGAACCATGCCACTGGAATAGTTTCGCTGGACAAGAAGAGCCAGCACAAATTGTTAAGAGCGATTAACACCTTTTGAGAGATCTGCAACGATTGGCTGTGCTCCTGGTCATAGGTCAAAAGGTGTAACAAAGCTGGATATGAAAGATTTAAGAGTGTATCGAGAATTTCCTCGCTGAGCCTGACAGGAGCCAGCAAATTTTGCTCGTTTATGGCAAGATACTCACAAATGGTGGTGAAAATATCAATTGCGACATCAATAGCTTGAAGATCCGACTTGGCCTGGGATTTTTCAAGTGAATCTCCACCAAATGGAACGTCAATATTTTGAGGCTTCTCATCATTCTTCTCAGCTTCCTTGAGTTTTGTCACAGGTGCTTGGGCGTTGTCGGGAGTAGCCAACAAGTCGTTGATTTCTTCAATGTTGGCAGTAGTGATGGCTGCAAATGTGTTCTTAAGAATGTCTCCACAGAAAGATTGTTTTTCAGAATTTCCTTGCACTTCATACAAATGGAACTGGATGCCTTGAACGTAAACCTTACCTAAAAGATTCTTCTCATGAGGTGGTGTGTTGATAGCCTCTTGCAACTCGTTCAACGAAAATGCAGGGTACTGGACCAATTCGTTGATGAAGTCAGCCGAGTCAGAAGCGAATTCATAGATGAATTCCAATAAGGCATTGTACAACTTGGTGGTTGTGCGAAGCTTGGGGCTGTTCCATTTAAGAAGATCCACCACCAATTTCACCACCAGTTCAATCCTCGAGTAGACGTTTTCATAGAGCTCATCGGAGCAGCTGGCAATGGCAACCACCAACGAAAGCATATTCTCAGTGAAATCATAGAGTAAGTATGCTCTCTTCTTTTCCAACTTCTTGTTTTCTCCGTTCATGTACTCAAAAGAGCCCTGAATCTTTTGAAGACCGCTCTCGATAGCAGCCCAAATATTAGATCTCCACAAAAATTTGGCCACTTCATGGCCCTCTTCTATTGTCAAGTTTCTAAGTAATCCGAAGGCCTCTACCACAATCTCGTCGTTGGAGTCATTGAGACACTGCTCCATTACAGTAGCAACAAGACGCTCTTTCAAGAGCATTCTTCTCATTCTGGTATCCTCGGCAAGCACAGTGATGGCGCTCAAGGCCATGGATCTGTCGTTTGGTGCAGCCGAAGCCAATTTAGCAATAAGAGGAACAATTTTGTTCTGACGAGTATTCTCATCCTTGGTGTCCTGCTTTGAGCCGCCATTTTTGCGTGCCACAGGGTTATGTCTTCCCCTCTGGTTTCTTCTGCCTTTTTTTAATTTTCCCATGATGGATACCTATAGTAGGAAAATCGATTGGACTGAGATGAGCTTTTGGAGATGGAATTATATGCAATACCAACAGTGGAGTTCGGTAAGTTGAGAGGAGGACGAGACAAAGAATAGATAAATTGTTTAGGAATTAGTTATATATAATCTTTTAATATGTCGCTGATGTCGGTTGTGTGCTATTTATCATATTTTATTCCTTTGGTGACGGATTCTCTGGGACGGACTCCACCTTAATACTGTCCACAGTCAGAATAGTAGCATTCTGACCTAAGGTCTCGGGTGGCACGTTCTCTGGATGAACAACATCCTTCCATCTATCCTTAACATCCTGCCATGACTTGGGCAGGTCGTCTTTATCATTGACATAGATGTCGTCTCGAAGGTTTCCGTCTTTCTTCAACTGTTCACTGTGGGGTTAGTATAGGACAAGGAAGAACGAGACTTTTACACATACATTACAAGGGGCTGCCAGAACTTGACTCCAGTGTACCAGCTGATGGCCACTGCTGCCATGACCGTCAATGCTTTGCCTCCTCTTCCAGACATTGATGAAGAAGTTGTAGATTGGTTAGAGTTGCATACAGTATGGGGTAACCTGAGCAGGAAAGGTGAATGATCAAAAAAGATGTAGTCTTGGTAAGTAATGGGTGATGATTCCCATATTCATTAGCCATCGTACATTACAGTTTTATACTTTGTTGTTCTTTTTACAACCATAATCAAGTAATTGTCAAGTGGAGTCCAGGACCACTCTTGAGATATGCCAATGTGTAAGTTCACTTACTAGTAAACCATCCAGACCTCATGAATTGACACGAAATTTAACAAAGGATTAATTATCTCAAATGAGAAGTTAATTTTCTCATCAATATCTCATTTCAACTCATTTTCCGGTTTTTTTTGTATTTCCAACCCTAACAACGCTGGTCGTGTCCCAATCAACATACTATAAAAGATGCCTCTTCGCAGCTCCGTCATAGATTCTTTTCTTCTTCAATCAAAAAGTAACCGGGAATATTTGCCACGACGGGATGATGTAAATTGTCAAGTCTTCACCGTTGCCATATATCTAGTTATATTTCATTCCCCAGAGTAATGTAACTCCCACTAGGAAGTTTGATATCCGATGGGTCTCTTCAGTGAGGCGATGGATATTGAATGTCGAATAATGGGACACATTTTAACAGTAGGAGAATGTTCTTGAACGTTCTTATTCTTTTTTCTCTATTATTATTCACACATTTGTCAACTTGGGCTAAAGTTAATGCTGGGCCAAGAAGATGTTGTGTGTTATAGAATGCGAGTATCTTGATATTGTACGTGGAAGACACTGGTCTCACTATGAAGTTGAGACCTTGTAGCGAGCCTGAGATATTTGAAGATCGAAATTATGATGAAAATTTACCAGAATCTGCGTGCTTCCAAATTAGAACTTTACTGGGAACATATCCAAAGTATAGGATCCTTCAAAGCATACATCAATATTGACCTTTAACTGAATATGGACCATTGTGAAAGTCAACATTGGATTCCTGAGAATTCCTCACCCTACAAGGATCATCTTGAACCCTACACATCTCAAATAACTATGTGTTATATTTTAATTATACACGGCAGCAGCAGTATATGGCGCTGCTTAACGGTGCTTGTGGAAACCAATGTCAGTGGCTCTCTCTCTGAAACATTGACGGCAGATGTCCAAACCGTACTTTCTGATCAAACCAGAGTGAGAAGCACACACTCTGCACTTTCTAGAACCCTTACCGTAGTGTCTTGGGTGGGAGAACCAAACGTTTTCGTGAGCCATATTGCTGGATAGTTAGTATAAGAAGAGAGTGGAAAGCAGACAGAAAGTGGAGCCACAAATGCCAGCAGATGTCAAATAGCGTCAAGGAATTTTGATGGATAGTAGGATAATCAAACTTTTCAATAGAATTTCATATGGCTGGACATGGACATTCAACTTCAAGATCAAGATAATCAGAATCTATGGCAGAAACTTTAACTTTTCAAATGAAACATGGATATTTCTTGGAGAACGCCTCGAGGATTCGTGACATCGTCTGGCTTTGCTGTGAGTTCACACTATATGGAGCAAACATACAATTATAACTTGGTATTGATATGGGTTACAAGGAGGTGGAAATTTGAACACCAAGTAGTAGTTGGGAAAATTTTGCGTGGAGTGCAGGGTAGGGCCAGAGTGCGCGTAGAGTAAAGTGTGCACGTGATCAACCATATGTGAAGGCTCATCAAAAGTGACTAGGGCTTGTGCCCTAGAGAGATGCGATGGCCTCTCCGAAAAAGGTAGTCATCTCAAATCATCCCATCTCAAACCAGAAATACCCTAAATTCCCAATTATATACAATGGCTAAGGGCGGCCACTCACATAGAAACACGCTCAAGAAGGACCACAAACCTTTCAAGTCCAAACATGCATCCAAAGGTCTGTTGAAGAACCAGTACAAGGGTAAGGTTGAGAAATCAACTGGAGGATCCAACAAGGCGATTCGTGTTGTCAGCAAGTTGGAGAGAAAGAACTTGTCAAAGCAGTTGAAGGAGAAGAAAATGTTAGAGTCAAAGTTGGTGCGGAAATTGTTCGAAGGTAGCTCTGGAGCTGAAAAGATTGTTACCATTATTGGCTTGACTAACGACATCAATGTATCAGACATATTGTCTCAGTTCGTCAATTCTTTGAAGGAGAACCCCGATGAGCCTGATCAGGTCTTTGAGAGCCCCATGGTGGCCTCTTTGAAGTTGCCACGCTTCAAGTCCAATATCAAATTCATCTTACCTGACCACTCCAACCTTCTCTCTGTATTAGACGCCGCTAAAGTTGCTGACTACGTTGTGTTTGGCCTTTCTGCCGTGGAAGAAGTCAAGGAGTACGGTGAACTGATCTTGCGTGCTGTGATTGCACAGGGTGTAGCATCTGTTGTTGGTGTCATGCCTAACCTTGTGTCTGCTTACCCCAAGAAGAATTTCCAGGACGACATCAGACTGTCATTGGAGTCGTTTTTCAAGCACTTCTTCCCTACTGAAGAAAAGTTGTATGCTTTGGAAAGTGAAAGAGATTGTCTTAACTGTATCAGAACCATTTCGCAGCAATTCCCCAAGCCCGTCAATTGGAGAGATGCCAGAGGCTATGTTTTGGCGGACAATACATACTGGCATGCACTTGAGGGAGAGGATGGGTACGTGGTCGTCGAAGGTACTGCTAGAGGTATCGGGTTCAGTGCCAACAGATTGGTACATATTGCTGGCCATGGAGACTTCCAAGTTGACAGAATTGAACAGATCTCCAGACATAAGAACGAGGAGAACAAGGGGTATGTTCCAGATGAGAACAGAGAGACCTTGGAGGAGTTGAGCCCAGAGGAGATCGAGATGGAGGACGATTACGAAGACTTCGATTACGACCAGTACGAAAAGGGTATCAAGATGGAAGGAAAGAACTACTTTGACAGCAGCGATGGTTTTGGGCCAAGAAAGATCAAGCCCCCTAAGGGAACTTCTGAATACCAGAGTAAATGGCTTTTGGACGACGTTCTCGAAGGAGCCTCTGATGTTGAAGATGATGACGAGGAAGACATGGAAGCCTTGGATGAAATGAGGGATGAAATGGAAGTCGAGGGTGGAAACACTGAATATGAACCTACTGAAGCTGGAGATTTGCAATCTGAAATGTTTGTGGAATTGTCCCCTGAGGAGGAAGAGGAACAATTGAGACAATTCCGTGCATTGGAGAAAGAAGATAAGGAGTTCCCCGATGAAGTCGAATTATCTCCTACAGACTCTGCCAAGGATAAATTCCGTGAGTACAGGGGTATCAAGTCATTGGGAAGTTGTGACTGGGAGTGGGATGAGCATGATTCCCAGAGACCTAGCATTTACTCGAGGTTGTTGCGTATCAACAACTTCAGAGCCACCAGAAACAAGATGCAGAAGGATGCCATTAAAGAGGCACAAGTGACCATCGGAAACAAAGTTCGTTTGTACATCAAGGCCCCTCAATACATTTTGGCCAACGTTGAGGTGGCCAAGGCACCTTTTGTTGTCTACTCTTTGCTTGCTCACGAACACAAGCTTGCGGTTGCCAACTTCTCGTTCAAGTCTTGGGAAGACTACGAGGAGCCAATTCCATCTGGAGAGGCCATTGTGGTGCAGTATGGTTTCAGACGTCAAGTCATCACTCCTACATTCAACCAGGCATCCAACAGCGCCAACAACGTCCATAAGTTCGAAAGATTTGCACACCTTGGAGATACTTGCATTGCGACTGCTATCGCACCTCCACTCTTCTATAACGCTCCAGCTATCTTCTTTAGGCAGACTGCTCCAGGTGCTCCAATTGAGCTTGTGGGCCAGGGTACGTTCTTGAACTGTGACCACACACGTGTTTTGGCCGAGAGAATTGTGTTGACGGGCCACCCAGTGAAGATCCACAAAAGATTGGTGACGGTCAGATACATGTTCTTTAATGCCGAAGATATCAACTGGTTCAAGGCAGTGCCGTTGTTCACAAAATCTGGAAGAACTGGATTCATCAAGGAGAGTTTGGGTACGCATGGTTACTTCAAATCTACATTTGACGGGCGGTTGACTGCACAAGATGTTGTTGCCATGCCTCTTTACAGAAGAGTGTGGCCTGGACTTTCGCAGCAATGGACTGAGTAATAGACTACATAAGCATAATGGATGGGAGAACGGAAAAGCACTGAAAACTAGGATGGAAGAAACTTCAAAATGTAAAACGAAATTCTCGATTATAGAATCTGAAGCATTGTTAAAACGTGATTCATAAAAATTCCTGAAAGGCTTCTAATGCCTTCAGTTGCTGACTTGCTGACTTGCTGACTTATTATTAAGCACACAATGCTCACACTAAACCTTATCGGAACATACATCAAAAGTCCGATTCACAGATTCAATGTAATAATATCAGATTTTAGAATTTTGTCACATCATTCTATTTAATCCCATGATTACCTTCTAGATGATTCATGCTTCCTATCTCAGAAATCCATCTTCTCTCATCTACACTCCATTCGCATCCATCTCCCAACTACTGCTTCTTACTCCATGAGCACCTTACCCCACGGTTCACACCCCCAAACTTCGGGGTTCACATGTAACACCTGCCAGGTTCGTTTTATCACTGCTGAGTTGCAGAGACAACACATGAGAACTGATTGGCACCGGTACAACTTGAAGAGAAGAGTGGCCCAGTTACCATGTATTCTGCTGGATGTCTTCGCCGAGAAAGTGTTGGAGCTGCAGAGACAAGCGGACGAGGAGGGTGAAGAGGAGGATGAATTTGGTTTCCACGTCAACCACAGACGGAAATCTGGTGGTGAGAGACAGCTCACTAAGAAGGATTTGAAGAATTTGGCCAGACTTGAAGCCAAGAGAGGCCGTCACACCAACACCACCACCTCGTCGACGGAGAGAGCACACAGTCCTGCTACAAGTGTGGCTTCAGAGCTCTCGGAATTCTCATTGGGCGAAAGTGTCCATTATTCGGAGGTTGATTCCAACATTGATACTAGCTCAGACTACAACTATTCAGACAGCACACATAGCGACTGGGACAGCATGCGTGACAGTGATGAAGAAAACGAAAACTCGTCAGATGGTGAAAATCAGCATGACGAGGAGGCTACGGAAGTCTTCCCCAACACCTTCTGTTTCTACTGTGGAAAGAACAACGAAGAGATTGAAAATAACATCAGACACATGTCTCACCGCCACGGGCTCTATATTCCAGAGAGAACTTACTTGGTGGATTTGGATGGCTTGCTCACATTCTTGAATGAGGTCGTGACCTTAGACCATGAATGCTTAGTGTGTGGATTCCTAGGTAAATCTTTGGAGAGTATCAGGCAACACATTCATTCCAAGGGCCACTGTAGGATTCCATACGAAAGTCGGGAGGAGAAGGCTATAGTTGCAGAATTCTACAACTTCCGCGTAGACGCCAAACCTACGGCTCTGACGTCCTCTAAGAAGGTGTCCTTCAGAGAAGTCCCCGACACTGAATACGTGGATGTTGTTCCAGAAGGCGAGGAAGTTGATGACTTGAGCGACTCAAATGGTGTTTACGACAACTACACCACCGGCCAATTAGATGCAACGGGAGTGGAGTTGACACTTCCTACCGGCTCCAAGGTGGGCCATCGTTCTATGGTGAAATACTACAGACAGAACTTGCCACTTCCTCGGGAGTTCCCAGAGTCTAACAAGACGGTTGCATTAGTGGATCGCAGGTTTGCTCCAGGACTTACCAGTGGTCAAATTACGAGACAGGAGAAGGATATGAAGAGACTCGAGGCCAAGGCACGCAATGTGCACATGAGAAAGACCAAGAGTAAACGTGCAAACTTCCAGGCCCACTTTAGAGACGAGATTTTGGGTACGTAAGTATGAGAGTATTTCTTTTTTGGGACATAGATATAAACAAGCCAGGTGCCATTTGTAATCCCCTTTGTCCGCTACTTTTCGAAGATAGTTGGTTGGAGTTTTCTCATGGTCAGTTATTACCGAGATTTTCGGTGATATCTGGTACAGATAAGGAAGTAAGGGAAAAAGCTAGAAGGAAATGGAAATTTTTGGGCATAAAGAAGTGCTTTGGGATTCGATATATGGGTTTTGACAATAGTCAACTGTGCATCAGTTTTAAACGCTGATTAAGTTGAAGTGCTTTTGTGCAAATTAATCTGGGGTACATGTTATGAGCGTTCGGTGCGATAAGAAGTATAAATTCAGACTGATTTCCACCTCTTAGACCTCAGAACTGCCAAAACTACCACCTCAAACTATTAATGTCTCCGATATACCATGGATCGTGTCTCTGTCAGTCGGTGAAGATTACTGTGAGGGGAGAACCTCAGCGAGTCTATGTTTGCTATTGCGGAGATTGTCGCAAGAACTCGGGTCATCTAGGACAGATTAACGCACCATATGCTGTTGAAGATGTCACCATTGACGACCCCGACAATGTGGTTGGAGAGTATGTGGTGAAAGTTACAAAGAGCGGGAAACCTAAGCACAAGTTCTTTTGTCTGCGTTGTGGGTGTACTATTCGGACAGCATGTGAATCACTTCCCGGAAAGTCTATTGTGAGGGTCATGATATTAGATGATGCTAACGGGCGATTTGTTCCAGAAGAGGCGTTATTCGCCGAAGAGAAGAACAGATATACCGGAGGTGTTAAAAGTGAGTATTTCTAGATTTGGGCAGAAATTTAGGGTGTATACCAAGTGGGTAGAATAGGGCACAAGGGATAAGAGCAAAGAGAAGATACAGATTGTTTTGGTGATCAATGAGAAAAAAGTAAGGATAAGTAGCTTTAGAAACATGTGTTCGAAACAAGTGAGATCTTGACTATGTAGATAGGAGGCTCCTCACGTAACCTACAACGTTGAATCAGACCCCCAATAGTTAGAAGACAGAGAAGGCAAAGAGAGAAAATGGCACATAAAATGATTGGAGTAACACGTTAGCTACCAAAGAGAACATGCTTTAGCATAATGACAAGCATATTTGGATTACTCTAGTTTCATTCAATCGCTGGGTAATATTTACATTTCCCGTACTCACCAGTACATTGGAATGGTACTGTGGTCCCTTTGGCGACTACACTAATCAATATCTGAGATATATTGGAACATCATTGGTCCTTTGATCATTGCTTAATTACGTAGTTAACTAAGGTGAAACACTAGGCAACCAAAATTAGCTAAATACAATAAAACAGATTGCTTAGTAACCAGTTAATTCATGGACAGTTCCCGATCAATTAATCAGTTTGACTAGAATTATGGATCAACTCTACATTTCCCAAACACTACTATACTGTCTAGGTCTAGTATTAAACAATGCCGATCATGCTTAGCAGCAATTTATTAATAACCAACTAAGCAACTGCACAATCAAAAGAAGAAAAACGCCACCAGCTTCTTCCATTTCCATTTATTTCATCACGCAAGCTTCCATACATCCCTCCACATTTCTCAGTGCTTCCATGTCGCACGTCACTCTCTCAGCAAATCCCATCTCCTAACTCCACAAAACCATCTCCAACATTCCAAATTTATCATATTATTTACATATACATATTCATCTCATTAGCGTAAATATTGTATATCCCCTCTCATTTCCGATCCCCTCTATTAATCCTACTTTCCCCTCCCTTTCCTATTCTCTTCCCCTCTACCTGATTCTTCCCAGGGCCTCTACGTTATCATCACCCTGCATATCACGTCGCAGAACACTATCGAATTCTGTCCTACATGGATGCCTATATCATCACCTTCAGCCCCACTTAGTAATTACATCTTCAACCGCAACTAGTTAGCACCTCTTGCTTCACATTACAAGCAAGCACATATTATTACCATCTATTCATCACATTCCACTGTTCATGCTTTCGCGCCTCTGATGGTTCACGACACCCAATTGTACGACCTCTTGGCGGTGCCAGCATCGGCATCTCTCGAGGAAATCACAAAATCTTACAAGCGCTTAGCGCTCCGATACCACCCGGACAAAACAAACCATGATCCTGAGTTGACGGAGAAGTTCAAGGACGCCACTCGAGCCTATGAGATCCTCAAAGATGCATCTATGCGTCAAGTATATGATGTCTATGGAATGGGAGGACTCGACGGCACAGTTGCCGAAGCTCAACAATCACAAGGTCTGTTTTCAACTCCTTTTGCATGTCCTCTGGCGCTGACACTTTTTTCCCAAATCTTTAGCGACATGAACTCCATGTTTAATGGTGGTCAAACCTTCAACAACGGGTTCCTGACGTTTGGCTTCAGTGCTCCGCAACATAACGCAGTTAGAAACGTTCTGCCTGCCCCTGCAGACCCAACAGCTAACGTGTTGCGCCGTGGCCAGGATATTCACCATACTTTCAATGTTACCTTGACGGATATGTACTATGGTAAGACCGTCAAATTCCAGCTTCCGAAAACTACAAAATGCTCTGTATGCGACGGTCAAGGTTGTACTCTGCCTCGTACTTGTCGAGTTTGTAAGGGAAGCGGCCGTGTAGTCATCACCACTACTGACCAGTTCCTGAAGTTCCAGGAACTTTGTTCATGCTCTCCATGTAGAGGTACAGGAACATATTACAACAAACAGAACAAATGTCCTCTGTGTGATGATGGTTACTTGACGGTCAAGAAGATAATCAAAGTGATGATTCTTCCTGGTTCGAAGAATGGAGACAAAGTCATATTGCAGGGCCAATCTGACGAGGGGAAAAACATCATTCCTGGCGACTTGATAATCCACTTGAAGGAGACTCCATCTAAGAACTTGGTACGTAGGTTCAATGACCTTTATTTGGAGCAAGATATTGATCTCCGCACAGCTCTTCTAGGAGGAAGTATCATCGTGCATGATTTCTTAAAAGACGGTCAGGATCTTCAAGTATTTATCAATGCCCATGGTCAGCCTGGCCTCAATACTGCTGAAGATTCTTCCATTCTCAAGGGAGAAGTGGTGGGCACAATCGACCAGGGAAGTGTCAAGATTGTCAAGGGCTTGGGAATGCCCATCAACAAGCATGTCAAGAACGGAGTCTTCTTGCAAGGGGCAGACGACGGAGTCATTGGCAACTTGGATCTGTATAAGCGCGGTGACTTGTTTATCCGCTTCAATGTTCAGATTCCTCAATTACACGGTTTCGCGAGTTATGAAGATTTGCTCATTCTCTCTCGTATTTTGCCTCAAAGTCCTCCATCGGCACTTACTGAATCCACAAAAGTTCATCATCTTTCCAATTTACGGAGCAGTGCGGCCAAACAGACAAAGCTCGAGTCTGCAGACCCAATCGCTAATCAACAGAGTGAAGTTTTGAAGGCTGCCAAGGATGCCGAAGATTCGGCCAGTTCGTCGCCTGATAACTTTGACTACGATCAGCTCGATATCGACAGCCAGGACGACGTTGAGCAGGAAGACAACCAGTTCTACGAGACTGAGTGGCTGAAAGATGATGACCTCCGCAAAAGACGCAAGAGCACCATGGATAGCCCAATCCCATCTAAAGTCAAAAAAGCTCAACAAGACCAACGACAAGGCCTACAGGCATAATCAGTGAAATACCACCTACCTATTTATTATCGAGGTTTAAGAGCTATTTTACGAATTTGACAATGCAAAATTAAAAGCACGGGTCAACATTAGGCAAGGCCTGCTTAATTTTGCACTAGGGAGAATATGTATTACGAATGTACAATATATTGTTTAATGAGTCGCATACAGTAGCGAGATACTTACGTAGATACCAGGTGCACGCACTATCAAAAGATCAGAAGTATACAACTTTAGCTCGTCTAGTCTCGTCCCGCACCCGCAATATCAATATGTCTGAAGCCAGAATCTTAGATGTGGCCACTATCAAAGACTTGCTGAACCACATTTATGAGAAAAGAAAGGCCACTGCTTTCCAAATTGAAGGCTACACGAAATCAGCATTAGCACGCAACGATTCGGCCACCATCTTCAAGATCATTGCTGAATTAACGGAATTGGCCAATGGCGGCTCCACTTCAGCCAAAATGGGTGCCATTACCGCCTTGGGAAGTGTCTCCGTGGCGCTTGGGTCGTTTGCAATTGCGTACTTTCTAGAGGAGATCGTCACGCCGATATTCGCTACCTTCAGGGATACCGACGCTCGTGTACGTTACTACGCGTGTGAATCGTTGTATAATATTGCTAAGATTGCAAGAGGCGAAATTTTGTTGTACTTCAACGAAGTTTTTGACATCTTGTGTATTCTCGTCACCGACACCGAATCTTCGGTGAAAAACGCTGCTGATATCTTGGATAGACTCATCAAAGACATTGTAAGTTCCAAACTGACCAACTATGTATCAGTTTTGCACCAGCAGCCTGAAGAGACTGATGTTCAGTCGAACATTGTACTTCCAGATGGAGTAGCAGTTCAGGTCAACGAAATCCAGGATCCCCTGAAGGCATTCCTGCTACCAAAGTTCATTCCAACCCTCTTGGAGCGCATGTACACTATCGAGCCATTTGCAAAGAAATTTTTGCTCAGTTGGCTTGAGCTTTTTGATGATATTCCATCCTCAGAGTTGATCACCTTCTTGCCAAACTTCTTGGAGCCTCTCATCCGATTCCTCATGAATAACTGTCCTTCTGATGTTCGTATTGAGACTCAGAACTTGCTCAATATCTTCTTGAAGGAAATAAGAGCTATTTATAAAGTCAGATATGAAGTGAAGAGAGACAGACTCTTGGCAGAGAAGCTGAAGCAGCGTGCCGAATTCTTGAGATCCCAAGCACATGTAAATGCTCAATCTACTCCTGAACCAGAAGATACAAAGAGTAAGCTGGCATTGACAGAGAAAATGAGAGACTTCTCTTTGAATGCAAATCCCGAGTCACCAGATGATGATAACATCTCAACCAAGTCGACTAGCACTACCATAATCCGTAAACCAAATGATGATGAGCAGGGACCAGAGGTTGCTGATACCGAGGCTACTTTCAATTCTGCTGAGGGGTCTGTTTTCATCAATGGCCAGGATATTTTCATTGACTATCCCAGGATCATTGATATTCTTCTCTCGTTTTTGAGAACAAATCGCCCCGCTGGTACGAGTGACGTGAAGTTTAACGATTTAACCGGAGAAAGTCATGATGTTTACGTTGATATCCAATTGACCGTGCTCAAGTGGCTCCTGGAGATTATTTCTATAAGTCCGACCAGCTTCTCCAAGTTCCTTCCAGATTGTGTCTCTATTATCATGCAGAATGTGGCACTCACAGACGTCAACAATGACGTTGAATTGAACAAGCAATTTCTTGATTTTAACAATATGTTGAAGTCTTATTTGCTTCGTTTGAATGATGCAAGCAGGCTGGAAGAGGTTCACTTGGAAATTGGTCCAGATGATCTTTCTGAGGTTAGCGAGAGCATTATTCAAGGACTTAACAGGGAAGTTTACGATGAGTTCTTGGAGCTATACTTGGGAAAAACTTTGCAGGTTGTTACTAAGGAATGCCTACTGAGCTTAAACGAGCTGGCAAGATTGACACTGTTGGATTGGTTGGCATTCTTGTACACTAATTATCCAGGTAGCTTTTCGGCATCAGAGACCGATGATTCAACAGAGAAATCCACTACCAACAGATACAACTTTGATGTCATTTCCTTATTGAAATTGGCCACAGATGCAAGTAATGAGGTGATATCTAAAGTTTTGCAGCTTGCTTCTCGAATTTCAGAGGAGAACCAGGACTTTTTCAAGCATTTCATTGTGAAATTGGTTACTTTCTTCGAGAGAGATGGCTCTATTGGAGCGACTCAAAATGGCACGTCCAACCAGACCATCTCACGAAGCAAAGTGGAGTTCATCATCCGTCGTTTCTGTGTTACGAACAGTTCTGAAAAGATTTTCAAAGCATTTTCGGAAGTTTTGGTAACATTTGAAAGTACCAACTTGGAGTTTATCAGTAATCTTGTGGTGACATTGAACAATATTTTGTTGACTTCCCACGAACTTCAGGACCTTCGTAAGGTGCTCAAGAATCTTGATATATATAAGGCAGATGACTGGGCCTTGTTTTCGACTTTATTTCAGAGTTGGTGTCATAATGTTCCCAGTGCTTTGTCGTTGTGCTTGCTCACGTCAAACTACGAGCTCAGTTACTTGATTATTAAAAGCTTAGCAGACCTGGAGGTGACATTTCAGCTCCTCACGCAATTGGACGTTCTTGTTCAACTCCTTGAGTCGCATATCTTCTTGAAATTGAGACTTCAACTCTTGGAGCCTGACAAGAATCCATATTTGTACAAGACCTTATTTGGAATACTCATGATTATGCCACAATCTTCAACTTTCAACACATTGAAGAACAGGCTTACTGCTTTGACTCTGTTTGTTCAGGGACAACAAAATATCCCGGTCTTGGGTACTCCAGTGACCACTCCAGCTGCGACTAGCAGCTCAGCAGCAAATCAGCTCTCCACGAAAAGGAAAAGAGTTCACGAGTTGGCTGACAAGTTCGTTAGAGTTAATGAGATGCATGAGAACTATTTATACGAACGTCGTGTCAAAGATAGCAGTCTTGAAGAAGAGGGAGCTAAGTCTAACAGGAAAGTTACGAACGTTCTGCTTCCTAAATCGGAATCCAAACCTCTGTTACAAGAATATTTTCCCAACACATACGGAAAGCATCAAACCCATGACAAGTCCAAGTTGAATGGTTGAGGAGTTTATAGTCATGATATACACATTGTCCCATTATTAATCATTTCTATATATTATTGAATTGTCATGTCACTCTTTGTTTTTTCATTGTTTCGAACAGTGCTTAGTGGAGCAATTGAGCTGTAAACACTGGAGGGGGAATTTGTAGAGATTGAGGTCTCGGTGTATCCATCATGGATCGAGCCTCCCATTGAATGATGTTCTTTACTGGCCGAGCGATTCTGAACCATGCTCTTGCTTGTGGATGCATATGTGAGTCCTAAGAGATCACTTTCATATTGTTTTTCTCTTTGAAGATTCTGCAAAATGTTCTCTAGTGAGTAGTGCTGATTGAAATTCTGAGCTCGATCATTTGGCTGCACAGCTCCACGAGTGTTTGCAGACTTCAGATCAATCGAGTTTTGTGCCCCGTATAAGTCACGAGTCGAGGCATCGTACGACCCGGAATAAATAGAACTAGAAGTGAGTTTTTCGGGAGAAATTTGCGGTGTGTCTTCGTTAGAAGTAACGGTAATGTAGTGTAAACCTCCATTGTTGACCAAATACTCATTGACAGAGTTGGCCAAATTATCCAAACTGTGAATGATGGAGGTCCTCGTCGTAGATCTGGATCCTCTTTTGCTTCTATGGTATGAACTAATGAAGGACAGCTGCTCATTCTCGGTCTGCTTTCCGAAATGACTTGAGTCCGAGTTATCTGAATTGAATTTATCCACAACGTTGATATCCCCAGAAGAAGAGAGTGTTGCAATGGATCTGTTCATGGGCCTGAGCGAGTATAGATTCAAGTTGGAAAGGTTCTTTTCGTAGTTCATATCTTGTTTTCTCTTTTCTGCGTCGAAGAAAAAGTTGTTCAAGTCAATAGCAAACTTTTCCGAGAATGCTGGTGATGGGATCACTGGCGATAGGGTATCTATGACAGGTGCTCTAGTGAGTTTTGAAGGCTTGGGGTCGGAACTGCCTCCTGAGCTCTTATCTGCTGAGTATACCGAAGATGAGGTGATATGCGTCTTTGGGGTTTGGGTTATGTCGGACTCATTGGCTGGAGTCAATTTGAGTGGAGCAACAAGGGCTCCACTTCGGTTGACCTTGGAATCCTTTGAAAGGATTCCAGGAGATTCTTCGAGGTCATTCTCGAAGAGTTTGGAGCCAAAACTCAAAGCAAAACTTATCTGAGGAGAGGGAAGTGCTTCTGAAGGTGCCATATCCTTTAAGAAATCGGTGGTATTCATGGACGAGAACCCAGAAGAGGGCTTAGATCTTCTATCTTGACGGCGCTTTTCTTTCATTCGGTTTTGGTATTGTTCAGGCCTGTTAGAAGATGATGAGGAAGATGCTGACCTTCCATCTGATCCAGACGTTCCAGAAGTCTCTCCTCGAGAAGATGAGAAAGAAGCTCTAGAATATCCACTTCTTTTGAGTCGATAGTCGATTTTCGCAGCCAATGTACGTCTGAGCAAGACCTCAAGCGCCAATTTGGTATCGATTGCCACATTCTCCTCTGGAGTCAAAATGTCAGCCTCGAATGGAAGGACCTGGTGGAGCCTAGGAGGAACTTTGTAATTGCCCGCAAATACTTTGTTTCTGTACTCCTTGGTGACGGTGCTAATGAATATCTGGCGTCTTTCCTTCTCCGATAATGTTGCAGATGGTGTTTTCTCCAACTGTGCCATGGAGAGCCGTTTGGTCTGCATTGATACTTTCGTGCCCTGGAGAGTAGGAACTGGAGCAGATAACTGGATTTGGTCAGGGACCATAGTGAAGTTTGCTGCACGAGAAATAGCAAAATGCTCTATCTTTGAATGTAGGACAGGATCCACCTTAGTGAGTCCCTTAAACTCGAATGTTTTTAATTTCCTAGGTAGCATGTCTCTCATGATGGCTGCGATATTGTTGATCATGAAGTACTCATCGACACCCCGCTGAGTCTCGAAGCTGCGTTTATTTGCACTGGTGGAAACAGGAGTGTATTTGAATGACGTTCTCCTCTTAATTGGAAACACGAAAGAGAGTCCGTTTCTTCTTCTTTTCTTCTTCTTGGACGAAACTACTGAGAATACCGACATGGAATCGTCTTTGAGGTCTTCACGGTGGACCATTTTGTTTCGCAGGCGGATTGAGTTGCCTGTTCGGCGCCGTATCGATACTTGAGGTGATATGCCCAGCCCTCCTCTTCTCAACGAACCATCATTGATGACTGTCACTGTAGGTGGAGGAGCACTCAAGTAGTGGCCATTGTCGGCCCTTGAAGTATCATTATGGGCTCGAGACACTCCTGTGGCCCGGGTGGGAGACCCTGAAAAGATTTCTTGCTCAATTTGAATGTAACTGGGAGACTTCGTGAGTCTCCTAGGATTTTCATCAGTCTCTCTCTTCTTGTCGTATAGTATGTCAAAGGGATTGGATGCATTTCGAGAATTGGGATGGATGGCTTTTGTGGGAGCCGGATCTGAGTCTTGGAACGAAATTGGGGACTGTGAATTCAATTGAGACTGTGATAGACTGAACTCATCAGACCACATTGAGCCTACTGCGATCAGCATCTTGCAAAGGCTGACGAAATGATGAGATCAGAACGTTGATGTTGGGAGCCAAAATTGTAAATTGTTGAAAAGCAACTGCTTATAAAGAAAAGACGAAGGATGAGTGTCAGGTATTTTTCCCTTTTTTTTATCACTTGTCAACCTCTTAGACGATCTACTGTGGAGGTCTTCGCTGCGATCTGCCCAGCTGGCTGGTACTAATCCCAAATAGGAAACGATATCAAAATATGGGGCACGGGTTTCTTAACAGAACAATTTTTACACTTTGTGCCTAGGTTGCTCTGGCGAGACGGTCGGCTATTATTGAGTATCCTGAGAATTCAGGGGTATTCAATGATTTCCGTCATTTGATTTTTTTCTTCAAAAAATGGCTGAAAGTGGAGGGATCATTAACGTTCGGTTGGTAAATTGAGCTGGTTGATTAGGTTGTGCAGGAAGTGAAAATCCTCGCTTATCGAGACAGGTTGTTTTTGGATTTCAGGAGAGACTAACGTACTTGAGAGGCGGCTAATATGCACTGGTTTTGTTTGACATTTGGCCAATAGAGTGATGTCCAAAAAAATGGCCATTGTGACACCGTTATGGTGCTGATTGAGGTTTCCGTATTATTAGGAATATGAGAACCGTCATAAGTGCAAGCATCTGCACCAGCACTTAGTGAAACGACGAGAAATTTAGAGGAACGCCCTGAAATTAAGTGAAATAAAGTCAATGTTAGAGTTCGAAAAAAATGCGCAAGCCCGGAATCGAACCGGGGGCCCAACGATGGCAACGTTGGATTTTACCACTAAACCACTTGCGCTAGAAGTGCTCCGAGACGGGGAATTGAACCCCGGTCTACCACGCGACAAGCGGTAATTCTAGCCACTAAACTATCTCGGACTTTTCTTGATTTTGATTTCTGGTGGTGTAGTTTGAGCATTATATACTATCATGAAATTCCAAAAAAAGCCCCAAGCACTAGGGATTTTAACTCTATACCCTATGCTCATACGGACCTGCCTCGCTTAACTCTCTCCCGTGCATTGGAACTTAGCGAACAAGAACTCAAGTGGTGCACTAACAGGTCTATGATTACATAAGTAGTCCATGATGTAAAACCTAGAAAACGTTATTTAAAAAAAAAAAAAAAACTTTCTTTGTTTTTACTAAATTCTTCTTTTTGTTGAACGATATTGATATTTATCAGTTTATTAGGTATGTAGCAAAGCCAATCCATTGCAATTGCACTCCAAAAATTTTAATTTTGTAAAGTAATCAAAATCCAAGAGAGCAGGAATGAACCAAGAAACTGAGCAGAAAAATGTCCGGTTTTGCTTTGAAAAATTATCTGAGTTTCCACATTAAACAGAAACCAATGAAAACAAATGTACCTAACTTTTGCCGACAATTGGGGAGCCTTCGTCGAGCATTGAGTACGGTTACCATCATCAAGGATAGAAATCCTAATGGGATATAGCTAGCTGTTCTGTTGAATTCAAAAGACACATATCAGCTAGCACTTCTATATCGCCCAGCACAACTTCGTCATGTCACATCTTCTACACCTTCTAGGCAATACGTCTATTGTTAACAATGTTAATTAAAACCTAAACCCAGAACCGATGAAAATAACTATACAGATATTTACTCTTCGTCCTCCTCCTCCTCAGCGATGGAGTAGAACTGCAACTGGTACTGGTTCTTCTTGACAGAAACAAATCTGATCCAGTCTCTAAGCTGGTTCTTCTTCAAGAATCTCTTGGTCAAGTACTTCAAGTACTTACCGGAGAACTTGGCGGTGGAAACAACAATGACCTTGTTGCCCTCCTCGGAGATGGAGATCTCCTCACCCAAGTTACCGATGATACCCTCGACCTTGATGTGCTCAACCAAGTACTTGACGTAAGCCTCCTGGTCGAAAACGCCGTTCTCAACTGGAGCAGAAGTGTCAACGACGAACTTCTTAGCAGCCTGAGTGTTCTTGGTGGTCTAGATTCCCTGTTAGCCTACCGCACTATTATCACGATACACACATATGGTGATGAAGATAAAGACAGCATAGCCCGGGACGGGTTCGCTAAAAAATTTTATAAATGAAATTTCATGGTCGAGACCCGTTCAAGGTGGACATGTCAATATCGGAATAACTTAAGTGATACATACAATTGGAGCCATTTTTAATGTTAGTAGTTGTTAAGAAGAAGAATGGAAATTTTTTTTCGTGGTATCGACGATGGTGTGGTGTGTTGAGTGCAGGAGACAAAATTTACTTGGTGTATGGGTCTTGTTTTGTGAAGTCAAGTTTTTCTCTACCCATAGTGGTGTGTGTACAGGGGATAGAAGTGCGACTCAGGGCTTGTGCCCTAAATTGCGTCCATTGTACATGACTCAAATGACTCCTAGGTGGAGATAAGGGCAAGGTTGTTGTGACTCAAGTGACTCCCGCACCTACAATCATGGCCCAACAATAGGTAGGTATATATATAAACCCGTAATTTTGAAATTCTAAAAAGAACAAATCTTTTCTCTTTCAACATTTATGATTATCATGAGTTTGCCTATTAAATCGTTGGCTAGAACTTTCTCCACCGTCACTCCTGCTCTCTCCGCTTCCAAAGTGCTCAACGCTCAAGCACCAATCACGGACGCTCCATTACTCCCCCAAGTGAAGGCACTTGATTTGGCTCTCAATGCAAAGCCTCACAACAAATGGACTAGAGATCAGATTAGGGAAATCTACCAAACTCCATTGCAGGAGTTGATGTTCCAAGCGCAGATTCAACATAGAAATTACCATAATCCTGCTGAGGTTCAGCTATGCACGTTGCTTAGTATTAAGACCGGTGGATGCACCGAAGACTGTAAGTACTGTGCTCAATCTTCACGGTATGATACTGGTACGAAAGCAGAGAAATTAATTCAATTGGATGAAGTCAAAGCTGCAGCCATCAAGGCCAAAGAGAACGGCTCCACTCGATTTTGTATGGGAGCAGCCTGGAGAGACATGAGTGGAAGAAAATCCGGGTTGAAAAAAATCGCTAACATGGTGGAATGGATCAACAAGGAATTGAAGATGGAAACTTGTGTGACATTGGGAATGGTGGATGAAAATCAGGCCAACATGCTTAAAGATGCTGGGTTGACAGCCTACAACCATAATATCGACACTTCGCGTGAACATTATCCCAAAGTCATTTCAACCAGATCTTACGATGACCGTTTGCAGACTATCAAGAACGTCCAGAAAGTTGGATTGAAGGCATGTACCGGTGGTATTTTGGGATTGGGAGAAACCGAAAATGACCATATTGGTTTCCTCCACACTCTAGCAACCATGGACAAGCACCCAGAATCATTGCCTATCAACAGATTGGTTCCTATCAAGGGTACTCCATTGGAGCAGGAACTCTCGGAGCTTCCTAAGGATCTGACGAGAAAATTGAAATTCGACGCTATTCTTAGAACAATTGCTACTGCCAGACTTATCATGCCTGAGTCGATTATTAGATTGGCTGCGGGTCGTTACACCATGAAGGAGCATGAACAGTTCTTGTGTTTTATGGCCGGATGCAATGCTATTTTCACGGGCGAAAAAATGTTGACCACCATGTGCAATGGCTGGGACGAGGACATCGAGATGTTGAGAAAGTGGGGGTTGAAGCCCATGAAGCCATTCAGAAAGGATGGAGAAGAGAAGATCGTTCCTGTTGAAAATGAGTCAAGTGAGTCAGCCACGAGCGGTCCATGATCAGACAGATTTGCCTAGTTATGTTCAAATCCATCAACCTACAAGATCATTGTTTCTTTTATTAAGCGTTTCAATTTATATTCGGAAGCACAAGTTTTCATTTTTAATAAATTCACTTATTTTCAGTTATCACTCTATGTAACGTGATTGACCTGTAGCCACACTATCGCATTTATACGTTGAACCGCTACTCCATTCAAGTTGCATTCACACCATGTTCAAGTCCAAAATAGCTCAAACTATAAGGCAGACTCGAGCATTCTCGGTCAAGCCGCTGGGTTCACTGTCTCGAGCAGGACTTGTTGGTGCAACTGTTGTTTCGACGCTTCTTTTGGCAGGTGGCTCGTACTTTTATGGTCAGAAGGTACTTAGAGATCGTCCTCCTCAAGATCTCTTTCCCCTTTCGTCCACAACGAAACTCTCCCAGATTGCTCCACCAAAATACTGTACGGATGCTGAGTTATCTAAGGCCATTGAGGAAATCAAGAAAGCCATTGGACATGAAAAAGTAACCAACTCCACAGTGGAATTGGATGGGCATACTGATAACGGTCTCACTCCACATTCTCCAAGACCTCATGAGAAGCCCAAATGGGTGGTCTACGGAACTTCCACGCAAGAGGTGTCAGAGATTATGAAGATTATATTCAAGTACAATGTGCCTGTAGTTCCGTACTCTGGAGGAACGTCATTGGAGGGCCACTTCTTTTCAACCAGACCTGGCATAATATTGGATACTAGTCGAATGAACAAAGTGCTCCAAATTAATCACGATGATTTGGATGTGGTGGTGGAGGCTGGAGTTAACTGGGTAGCACTCAACGAGCAGCTTGAGAATCTGAAATTGATGTTTGGCTGTGACTGCGGACCCAACGGCCTTATTGGAGGAATGGTTAACACCAACGCTTCAGGAATCAATGCTTCCAGATACGGAGCCATGATCCTGAACGTGGTGTCGTTGACGGTAGTTTTGGCAGACGGTACAATCATCAAGACTCGTCAAAGACCCAGAAAAACTAGTGCTGGCTACAATCTCACCGGATTATTTGTTGGCAGTGAAGGAACCTTGGGAATTGTCACCGAAGCAACGGTGAAGCTCCATGTCAAACCGATTTACGAGACAGTGGTGGTGGGCCAATTTCCTACCATCTTAGACACCACCAACACGGTAGCGGAGTTGTTCCGATTGGGAATTAAGCCTGAGGCTATCGAGTTGCTAGACAAGGACATGATGCATTGTATCAACTACAGTGGATACTTCACCAAGGAATGGCTCGAGGTTCCTACGATATTCTTCAAGGTGGGAGGATTGAATAAAACCACTGTGGACGAGGTGTTGAAGACCGTCAAGGCTGTTGCATTGAAGCACAACTGCGCAGATTTCATTACTGCTAAGGATAAGGAGGAGGAAGAGGAGTTGTTCAGTGCACGTAAGAATGCCTTTTATGCCATTCTCAACTACGGTCGTAATGAGATCCATGAGGATGTTCGTCTTTGGGTAACAGATATTGCTGTTCCTCTTTCAAAGCTTTCGAGTGTTTTAGAGCAAGTGCGTGTTCTTATTGAGAATTCGGGACTTCAGTCTGTGATTTTGGGACATGTGGGCGATGGAAACTTCCATGCTGATATTTTCTACACGAAAGAGCAAAAGGAAAAGTGTGAGGAGTTAGTTACTGAGATGACAAAGATCGGTTTGGCCAATGAAGGAACATCGACTGGTGAGCATGGAATTGGTAATGGTAAGCGAAAGTTTTTGGAGCTTGAGTTGGGGCCCGATGCGGTGGATACTATGAGAAAGGTGAAGATGGCTATGGATCCAAAAAGACTCTTGAACCCTGATAAGGTGTTCAAAATAGATCCGAATGATGACGGAGAGTACTGAAAAGAATGATAGAGTATAGATAGAATAGACTAGACAAATAGAAGATTCACATGGTGAAGTTTAAAGAAGAATGCAAAGAAGAAGAGAAGGATGAATGACATAAATAGATAAATGGACATGAACTAGACAATCCGCCATCAGAAAAAAAAAAAGCCAACAAAAGAAAAACAAAAGAAAAATGATGAGCTCAAACAACACTTAAATGAAATTGCCAGTTGCATCTCTCTTTAATTTACATTCTCGTGGCATCTATGGCTCGTACTTCCGTCTCTGACTTAAGCACAACCACATCTATGTCCGAAATTCTGCGATTTGCGGAGAAGAAAATAAAACACCATAATTTGTCTCGGAAACATGAGAAACCTTGCATAATTCCAAATAGATTGCTCAATAAAATTCCATCACATCAACTGCCTCCACCACCACCTTTCTTCTACTCTACATCAACTTCTTGGAAGTCTCTGGATGTTCCAACAGCAAAGCAAAGTCGCCCCATTATCAGTAGCACACCTGCAGGTTTGACACACTATTCTTTGGGGTTCACCAGCATGTCTGGTGCCGCAATGTAAAGTGGCAGAGCAAATTTTTCCATCGGACGAGTACCAGGTTAAAACTTCCCCGAAATGCAACACTTAACGCCTCCTCCCGGAACCTCCGCCTCCGCCCCATCTAAGTCTACGTTTCCACTGGTCGCTGATAGTGATATTTTATCGCTACCTGCACTCTGCCCCTATACAGCAACAAACCAGTGATCGTTAAACTTGGGGCAAAAAAAAAAAAAACTGCCATATGGTCGCAGGATAAAATAGATTGTCCCACCTCATTGACACCACACCCAATTTTTCCCTTCCTCCACCTCCTTCAATACCAGTTCTATTCGCCCGTTATCAGAAACACTTATAAGTCTCGTAAATGGAATTAAAATACCGACCTGCAGACACCTTATCTTATCACGTGCCCGGCAGCTTGCCGGGAAATTTTTGATCGTGAGGAGTAAAAACCTCACAGTGTCACGAACTTTTCTATTTAGCGGATCGGCGCTTCTTTTCTGATTGTGGTTATTCACTCCATACATCTTGCGTTCCAGTTCACGTTGGCTTTTTCTCCACGTCCCTCCTCGCGATACTCGAAGTCATCTCGTCCCTCGCCGTTGGCCCTTGTCCGTTTCGTATATCGTGATTTCGTGGCCTCTCACTCATTAATATCATGGCGCTGAGGTTCTCTACAAATAACATCCACAGCAAGCTCGGTGACTTGAATATCGACTCACTGCCGGAATCGAAAGAGCTGTTGGCATCTGATCAGCCATCTTACGCCACTAAATCACTTCTTTCGACGTCATTAGCAGGAGAGAATTACTCCACTCAAAAACCAGACCTTCAGCGGTTTCTGATGGAAGAACTACTGAAGAACTTGACCGACGAACATCCAGAGCCCGAGTTGTTGGCCACCTCTGTGGGTAAGGACAACGATGGGCGGCTACTTCCATCTTCCTCCACCATATCACTTCTATCTCTCAGCAACAACGCAGTGTCTGTATCCACCAACTACCTGGACTTTACACCAGTGCAGAAGCAGGCACCTCCTGTTGTGCCTTCAGGTGTGCCTGCGGTGCCCATGGCACCTATAATGGACCGTAAGAACTCTTATAATAACATGCGCTCGCGAAACTCGCTCACACACTTGAGTCAGCAGCGCTTGCAGCCATACCAAAAGCTTACGTCGCCCACAGTGGGCTCTAGTGCGGAGTTCTCGTCCATGACGAGCCCGCAAAACATTCCCATGCCGAGAAACCAGAGCTTTATGACTCCGGACTCGCCAAACTTGGACCCAACTTCGCTCGGAGGATCTCCATCTCGCTTCTGGTTGAGCTCACAGACACCTCCAAGATCACTTCTGAATTCGCTCTCCAAGTCAAGAACCCACATTTTCCCGTTCACGCAGATCCATAGCCAACCCCACGGCCAGCACACGCACACTTCAGTGCAGACAGTTCAGACGACGGGCCAGGTGCCAATTCCACACTCTTCCAGCGTAGGATCTATGCATTCTGTGTCCAAGGCCATCAACATCAATAAAGCGGGAGGTGAGTCGCCGGTTCTCAACCCGGTGCAGACACCACTGGAAGATTTTCCAATGACTCCGTTGTATTTGAATGGTGGGGGCGACAATTATTTTGTTCTCACCAATGGGCTGAATGTACGGGATTATCTGCACGGAGGGTTTAATGGCATTGAGGAGAATGAACGGGAGGAGGAAGATGAGGACTGTAGCATGGATGAGTATAAGGACGTTGTCTGAGAAAAGTATTCCACTAGGTAGCTAGTACATTTGCATCTTTGAACTCTGTAGGCAAAGAAATTGTTGTAGGATGATTTTGTTTGAACTGATTCTCAATCCATGTAATCTTCCATTTCTGCATGTCCCATTTTCCATACTTTAACTTCCATGATATATCATCTTATGTCACTATAATTTTATCAGTCCTCTAGATTTTTCCCTCCCAATTCTGGTAGTCTAGTTTCCTTTTGCTTTACCTCTCTCTTCAAATCATTCCGTTCAATCTCAATACTCATAGGACACTGTGCATAATGCACATATGATGCTAATAACCCAACCATATAGACATCCAAAAAGAATATGATACAGAGATAAAATGATTTAACTATTGACCTTCACGGTCTATATTCTCCAAGAACTTCACATCCCCTATCCATTCATTGTCTTCATTTGCCATACATCGCCATCTCCGGAGGATCCTCTATCCACTCTTATCTCCTACACACTCTAATGGCGAACACCAACCACGATGTCTTATCAAGGTACGTATTCTGTCAACAATATCACAGCAACTATCGCATGTCAGATCAGTTCCCGCTAACTATTAGATGATCATAATTTGCAATCAACCAACGCATCCATTTCCCTGGCAGATAGCAGGCGACAGCATCTATCACTCTCTTCCGCCATCGATGCCTTTATCTCCAGCACAGTTGAGATGGACGGCCAGTCCATAACCGGGCGCGAGATATTCAACCGGGCATTGCTCTTGCTGAGAGGTGATGAGGGCTCCGAGGAAGTGCGGGAGCTTTTAGCCCATCTTGAGTCATTGGATCCAACTGCGGCCGAAGGTGGAGTTTCTGATGAGTTCTTGGAATCATTGGAGCGAGTGGACGTGTCATCATTGCCTGCTAACGCTGACTGTGCCATTTGCACCAATAAGTTTGTAGATAACGAGTATCCGTTGTTGGTGAAGCTTCCTTGTCATGTTCAGGTGTCGCTGAAGAAGGCCCATGTGTTTGACATGGATTGCATAGCTCCATGGCTCAAGATGCATCCCACATGTCCGATGTGTCGCTTTAATGTGAATGAGGCGGAGAAGATCCGTCTCCAGAAGTTACAGGAGGAGTTGGGACTGTCGGATGATGAAGCTGAGGAGGGCTGGGATGTTTACGGATAGGAGACTACCAAACTTGTGGGGGATCCTGTTTAGACACCAATGAATGAAAACGCTAGAAGTGAATGTTAATAATCTTTTAATGTATTCTACGTAATGACTGGCTAAATGACTTGCTAGATATCTTGCTAAATTTCCTCCTAAATTACCTTCTTAATGGTAGGTTTAATGACGTGGTCTCGATTCCAACTTCTTGAATGTCATCTACTTCAACTACAAGTCTTTTGGTCGTATCACCATTATCTATGTACAATAATGAACTAAAGAAGCTTCATCCTCTGCTCCGTTATCTACTTCTTCTCCTCAAGGAAACTTTTGAAAGTGTCAGACTTCAACAACTCTTCAACCTTGGCAGCCACAGGATCCGACGAGTCTGAACTGTAAGCCTCAGGCAACTTCATGTCGTCAACTCCTAAGTTGGCCAATTTATCTGCAAAGTCAAGAGACTCTCTAGTGTGGATCTGTGCAGTGTATTTGACCTTCTCGAAAGAATGCTTGTTAATGTAGGACAACCACAAGTCCAAAACCTCTGGGTTGGCATCATAGGCAGCCAATCCACGATTGTATGTCACACGGTGGAAATTCTCCTTGGACTTGGCTTGAGCGAATGGTGATCTGATCACAGTATACAATCTCTTCTCGGTCTTTAACGTCTTCACCAGGTCACAAGGAATGCCTAAGAAATATGCTGCACGAGCAGCAAACTCAGATGCACGGATGATGTCTTCCTCCTCATAACTTCTGAACTTCAACTGAGCCACCTTATGCCCGTGAGTCTTTGGTACACGCAAAGGCTTGTACTGCAACAACTCCACATTGAGTGGAACAGGTCTCTTAGAAATGGCATCCACTGTGTCTTCCTTTATAAGTTTAGGAGCGTAGTCGAACTGCTCTTTCAACATGCTGGAGACAAACTGCTGCTGTTCAGCATCCTCCGACACCTTCTTCTGTATGAATTCCTTTGGCGTAAGGAACTTATCACTTTTGGCTTCACTCAAGCGCATGCTGGTTGCAAGGCCTCTAGGACGAGCGGCCCTAAGTGCTGTGCGGGAGAACATGGAGAAGTAGATGGTGGTTGTAGTTGGTGGACGAAAATTTTGGCTGCAGGCAGGTATCACTCACGTGAAGGTGGAGGTGGGTGTCAGAATGATTTGAAGGAAGAGTAAAACGGATCGAGAGGAAATTAAAAGTCAATGAAGAAATTTGAAGTTTTGTGGCATTGTTTTTTTTTTTTTTTTTTTTGTTGTTGTTGTTGTTATTTTCGTAGATATTGTATTCGTTGTGGTGGTGTATCTTCTCAGAGCACAAAGTGGCTTACATCGAACCATGAGAGACGATGACAATAATGAATTGAACTGAGAGAAAAAAGAGAAAAAAATACCTCAGCAAAATACATATTATTAAAATAAATTTACCTAACCAAGTAAAATTCTCTGAAATGATTATCAATTGAAGTTCCCATTGCTATCTCCAAGGTCTACTACATCATCAGTAGTGCACACATTCGAGATGCCCTACACCTTTTCTTCATCATGGGAAAAGCTAGCAAAGACAAGAGAGACCTCTACTATAGAAGGGCCAAGGAAGAAGGCTGGAGAGCTCGTTCCGCATTCAAACTTCTCCAAATAAATGAGCAGTTCAACATCTTCGATGGTGTGAGTAAAGTGGTGGACCTCTGTGCTGCTCCGGGTTCTTGGTCTCAAGTGCTCAGCAGGGAATTGAACAAGAATCAGGAAGAAAAAACGGCGAAAATCGTGGCGGTGGACTTACAGCCCATGGTTCCAATCGACGGTGTCACATGTCTTCAAGCTGATATCACCCACCCAAAAACGTTGCAGAGAATCTTGGATATCTTTGGTGGTGAAAGTGCAGACTTCGTCTGTAGTGACGGCGCTCCAGACGTCACAGGACTCCATGATCTTGACGAATACATTCAGGCACAATTGATCTTGGCTGCTCTTCAACTTACTACCTGTATTCTCCGGCCCGGAGGAACGTTTGTGGCTAAAATCTTCAGGGGCAGAGACATCGACCTCCTCTACAGTCAGCTTGGATATCTTTTCGATAGAGTGGTATGTGCAAAGCCCCGCTCATCTCGTGGAACATCGTTAGAAGCGTTTATTGTGTGTTTGGGATACCGTCCGCGTCCAGACTGGAACCCCAAACTAGAGCTCAATATGTCTACTGAAGAATTCTTCGAGCACGCAGGCATCGGCAAGAGTTACATCCAAGAGGAGATGGAATTGCCCGAGCTCGAAGAGAGAGCAATTGCAAAATTCATTTCATGTGGAGACTTAAACGACGGAGATTCGGATGCAACATACACCTTGAACTCTACAGAGGAGAAGCGTAATCTTCAACCCGTCCAATTGCCAACAGCCCCACCTTACAAAAAGGCATTGGAAATGAAGAGAAAGGGAGACTTGGTTAGAAGATAAATGGTCGAAGTCAGGCACTTGTAATATAGATCTACAGAATATCACAGATAATAACATTAACCCAATAAGGAAATTAGGCAGAAGTGGTGTCCTCACCCTTCACCAAAGCATCTGGCTTCAAGGTTGGGAACAACAACACCTCTCTAATAGTGTTGGAGTTGGTCAAGAACATAGCAATTCTGTCGATACCACAACCCCAACCGGCAGTTGGAGGCAAACCGTACTCCAAGGCGTTACAGAAAGTTTCGTCCACCATCTGGGCCTCGTCATCACCCTGGGCCTTCTGTCTGGCCTGCTCCTCGAATCTAGCTCTCTGGTCAAATGGATCGTTCAACTCAGTGTAAGCGTTACAGATCTCCTTGGTGGCAACGAAAACCTCGAATCTCTCACACAAACCTGGAATCTCTCTGTCTCTCTTGGCCAATGGCGACATCATCTGTGGGTGGCCAAAGATGAAGGTTGGGTTGATAGAGGCATCCTCAAGCTCACCAACCAACTTGTCCAACATTCTGGCGTTGGTCAATGGAGGAGTACAGTCGAGCTTGTTGTCGATCAAGATCTGCTTCAAGAACTTACCGGTCTCCTCGGTGTGCAACTCGTCTCCAGGTGGGAACTTGACATTGTAGACCTTCTCCAACTCCTCGATCATATTGATTCTCTTCCATGGTCTGGAGAAGTCCAAGGTCAATTCCTCGCCCTCTGGTCCGTCAGGGTGGTACTTGATCTTGTAGTCACCAGTAATCTCCTTGACCATCTCAGAGAACATCAATTCAGTCATGTCCATCAAGTCGTAAACATCAGCGTAGGCCTGATAGAACTCACAAGTAGTGAACTCTGGGTTGTGAGTCATATCGATACCCTCGTTTCTGAACTGACGACCAATCTCGTAAACTCTGTCCATACCACCAACAACCAACTCCTTCAAGAACAACTCAGGAGCGATTCTCATGAACATCTGCATGTCCAAGTCGTTGTGGTGGGTGGTGAAAGGCTTAGCGGTGGCACCACCAGCAATCACGTTCAAGATTGGAGTTTCAACCTCAATGAAATCTCTATTGTCCAAGAATCTACGGATGTAAGAAATGATGGCAGATCTCACCTTGAAACGGTCTCTAACGCTGTCGTTGACGATCAAGTCCAAGTAACGCTTTCTGTATCTAGCCTCCTGGTCCTTGAAACCGTAGTGCTCAGTTGGCAACATGTGCAAACATGGAGTCAACAACTGGATGGAAGTAGCAAACACAGAAACTTCGCCCTCACCACCCTTGGCTGGCGAGGTTCTACCTGGGTAACCAGTGACACCGATGATGTCACCTCTTCTCAAGTTGTCGTGCTCCTTCTCGTAAATCTCCAACGACTCGGCATCCTGGGCCTGAGCCATAATTTGGATCTGGACACCATCACCCTTCAAAACATAGAATCTCAACTTGGAACCAGACTCTCTCTTTGTCATGATTCTACCGGTGATCTTGACCTCCACATCTGGAAGAGTCTCACCTCTCTTCAAGGACTCGTACTTGGCAGCGAACTCTGGAACCGTCAAGCTTCTGTGGAACTTGTGTGGGTAAGGATTGAAGGCACTTGGGTCGGCCAAGTTTGCCTTTCTGTACTCCTCAATCTGACGCGATCTGATGTCGAAGTATTGGTTAGGGTTCAAGTCGGCCATGATGTCCTTCTTCTTTGGCTGCTTGTTAACGTTGGCCTTAGCCTTTTCGGCCTTCTTGGCCTCAATTTGTCTGGTCTTTTGTCTCTTCTTCAATTCCGACTTGGAGACGTACTCACCGGTGACATCGTCCAAGTAGGTCTTGGCGACCTGTTCCGTGATTTCGTTGACTGCGTCCGACATGGTTGGTTAGATAAGGTGTAAAAATTTTATAATTTTTCGCAGTTATTCTCTGAACTGTGTGGAGGACTGATGGACGTGAGTCAGGGTATTGATAGCACGACGAGGGAAGATGTAAAGGGTGACGTAAATAATAAAAGAGGTGTGGTCATTGTTTTGCTGAGTTTTGTGACTCAATCGATATCTGAACTGACAAAATATTTGCTTGAATTAGTGGGTCGCATTTACTGAGTAAGTTGTGTTTGCATGTTTACGATGCTGTCCGGTGTTGGCAAATTGATGTTCTGCAATGAAACTTTTGTTTTAGGAAGTAATTTTGAGGCTTCATTGGTTCTAAATCTGGTCTCTAAGTTTGATTATACTTTGTTGGAAGGTTGCTATTGAATGATTCGCATTAGATAACTCCAGCTTGTGTTTTGAACATAGACAAAACTGACATTGTAGATGGAAACTCTATTGGAGATTTGTAAAAAGTTTCTGCTTTACGTTCTTTGAGTCATTTTTCTGGTTCGAATTGGGCCCATTGATTTCTTTTGCATGCTGATTACGGATATTGTGATGGCTGCGAAAACTGAAAGACCTTCGTTGAAATGGAAAACAGAAGCTTTACGTACTGCCTACTCTTTATAACTCCGCTGTAATTAGTAATTGGGAGTACTTCGCAGTGGCGCTTTTTGTTTATTACCCTTGTACAATGTAAAACAACAACCACTGCTTCGAGCTGCCAACCTTTACAAAATTTTCCTACCTCCTCCAAGTTTTCAAAACATAACTGTCTTTTAGAGGCAATCTTGAAATTTCTCGAATTATTATCTCCTTGATATTTGTTTAGAATCTCACTTAAAGTTCACATGAAGCTTCATAACATTCTTATTGGCAGCTCACTCGGGGATCATTTGCACTGCGTGGCGCTCACTTAAAGCATACTATCAACCACTTGTTGATTAAGTAATTTTCGAACTTAAAACTCATATGGATAGAGTTGAAGCAATTACTGTTGTTACACTTTAATTGTTTACTCAAATGCAACGTGTCTTTTATTTTAATTTTATGTTTCCAATTATCTCAATATGAATGTTCCTTCCATTTACCAGTAAAAAGTGAGAATGATTGAGTGAAGTCATACACAATTGGCTTAACAAATAACACAATAGAATATTCTAAGAATCGAAAATTCAGATTAATATTAACTATCCTCAATATCATCGAATCTTAAGAACTGACTTAATCAATTAAATCCTAATCTACTTGATTCAAACTCTACGTTAAGTTCCCGCACCAACATCACCACCAATAACACCCAAAAGAATCAGTAATAAAAGAACAGCTAAAATCACTCAAGATCACTTTATATCATCCAATACAAGCCACCTCTCCTCTTTCCCATTTAAAATCATCTAAATCCCAAACCTTTCACCAACTACTAGTTTGTGGTGTACGGGTGCACCACCCTAAAACTTTTCCATGAAAATTTTACCTTTCTAGTACCTAAAGAAACCATGGCTACAAAACAACCAACCAAGGCGTACGAAGCGCCTACGGCCACCTCCATTGAAATCGAGGGCAGTGTCTTGTTGTCTGTGGTCAGACACACCTCGGAGAACTACCCTTCGTTGTACTCGGGATCGCTCTTAGGTTTTGAGGACGACAACGGATCCATCGATATCACCCACGCATACCCTTTCCCATACCCAGACCAGTACGAGGGCGGATCTTTGAGATCCAGATCGGGAAACAAGTACCAGCAGGAGATTTTGGAGGCGTTGAAGTCCTTGGGTCTGGGTGTCGAGTTTCAAGGCTGGTTCCAGTCCACCATCTCTGGTAACTTCATCACGTCGCTGTTGATCGAGGCATTGGCACAACAACAGTTGACCAACAAAAACGCATTCATTCTTATCCACAACATGGCTTCTATCGGCAAGGCTGTCGAGTTGAAGGCGGTCAGATTGTCGGAGAACTTCCTCTCTACATACTTGGACGGCAAGTGGAAGACCAAGGACTTGGAGAACCACAAGTTGTCGTTCCTCAACATCTTCGACGAGATTCCTGTGAAGATCCACAACCAGGAGTTGGTCAACTTGTATTTGGCCGACACCAAACCATCGGTTACTAGCAACGAGTTCGACAACTTGAACTTCTCATCCAACTCGAACATCACCACTCAGTTGTTGGAGAACTTGTATAGCCAGATCGATTCGTTCAACTTCGACCAGACCAACTTCAACTACTATCAGAGACAATTGCAGAAGGAACACACTCGTATTCTTCAGTGGAAGCAAGCTAGAAAGAACGAAAACGCCGAGAGAGCCAAGGTTGGCGAGTCTGAGTTGGACCCCGAGGAGTGGCAGACTCTCTTCAAGTTGCCCGCTGGTCCATCCAGATTGAACAACACTTTGTACTCTAGAGCTATTGACGAGTTTGCTGATGACATCTTGAAGAAGTGTGACGAGGAGTTGATCCAGAGCTTTGCTATTGAGAGAAAGTTGACTGCCAACTAGGGAGGATATGTAGATTAATTAAGGTTTAATACAAATCAGAGAATATGAAGCTGTAGATCCAAAAGGAATTGTTTTTCCGTGTAGATAGGGTGCCATCACTATAGAGCCAATCACTGCATTTTCAATAATGAAGTGCGACCTTATTGTCCTCAAGTCAAACACTGAAATGGACCCAAATTGACCAGAAAGCAATTTTTTTCTAAATTTATCAACCTCCTATTCATACCGCTTCTCCTCAATTTCGGATATACGATCAAGAGGCTACGTCAAAAGACCCCGGAATGAGCTCGGCAACATGGAGATTTGCGTGGTTCTGCATCAGAGCCACTACAGAAAGATAGTGGCTCCATTACTAAATTACAACTATCTTGTTTTTCTACAAGCGATGCCTTTACCCAAAGTATGTACATTTAAAGCAAAGAGATAGCCTAGAGGATAGCAAATGTTTGTCAGAATCTGACAATACCGCATAGATAGGCCCGCTCTCTATTCATTTTTGGACCATTTACTAACCAGTCAAGTATATTCTATTAGTAAGACACGGCGAGTCTGAAGGAAATTGTAACAAGTCTGTCAACAGATATACGCCAAACCACAAAGTCTGTCTCACGGAGCAGGGCCACCAGCAGGCGAAGCAGGCGGGGATTGTCTTGCGGGACTTCTTGAACTCGATCTCACCACCTCAAGGCAAGTCCGGCCGCAACCCCAAAAGTGTTCTTTTCTACACATCGCCATACTTGCGAGCTAGACAAACATGCCAGGACATTATCTCGGGGATCAAGGACGTGGAAGGAGTTGAGTATCGCGTAAGCGAAGAGGCTCGAATGAGAGAACAAGACTTCGGAAACTTTCAAAGCACCCCCGAGGAAATGGACCAAATATGGGAGCAGAGAGCGCACTACGGCCACTTTTTCTACAGAATTCCCCACGGCGAAAGTGCAGCAGATGTCTATGACCGGATAGCCAGTTTTAACGAGACCCTCTTCCGTAAGTTTTCTCAGGAATCATTCCCTAATGTCTTGGTGCTCGTCACCCACGGGATTTGGGCAAGAGTTTTCCTTATGAAGTGGTTCCGGTGGTCCTACGAGGAGTTTGAGTCGCTACGAAATATTCCTCACTGCCAGTATCTTGTAATGAAGCAGCAGGCCGATGGGAAGTACTGCTTAAAGACTCCCTTAAAGACATGGGATGACTTGCCAGAAGCGGACGTGGATGAAGAGTTACGCAAGGAAATCACCCAGGAGGTGAAGTTCAACACCCAGGGAAAGATAGAGCACACAGATGACCTAGATATTGCCAGCATTTTACGTGCTCAAAAAGAGGCCATAAAAGAGAGCAGAACGAAAGACCAGGAGATCAAACAGGCATACATGGAGTCGATGAACAAGTTCAGCGAGTACTTACAGGACAATCAGAGTGTTCTCAATAGTACGGACGACCTCCAGATGGATTCGGGGTCTTCCAGTTCGTGAGTTAAACGTCAGTGATGGATCATGTTACCTGGATTCGTAAGCGCATAGTGGTATCCAGTGTGCCTGATAGTATCACATGATGATGGTATACAACCTAGAACTTCAGAAGTATTGAATAGAGAACTCACTGAAGGAGGCCATGTACAATTTGTAGAAGAAAATAGCCACAGCAGTCGATAAGAATTAAGAAATTTCCATCAAAACATTACCTATATCAATATATCCACATATTTCTTTAAAATTATTCACCCCCGGTTCTCTGGGGTCGTTGCGTGGTGTTGTGTAGTTACATACAGGAAATTGTTCATAATGAGAACCCCGGACACCCTCGGAGATGTATCGCCCACCGACAAATATATAAAGGCCTAGGGATCCCAATTTCTATTTCACCTCAATTCATAAAAACAAATAATCACAAAAATGGCTCGTCAATTCTTCGTCGGTGGAAACTTCAAAATGAACGGTACCAAGGACTCGATCACCAAGATCGTCGAGAACTTGAACTCTACTGACTTGCCAAGTAACGTGGAGGTTGTCATTGCTCCTCCAGCACCTTACCTTGCCTTGGCTGTTCAGCTCAACAAGCAGAAGACCGTCGAGATTTCTGCTCAGAACGTCTTCAACAAGGCCTCTGGTGCCTACACTGGTGAGATCTCTGCTGACCAATTGAAGGACTTGGGTGTCGCTTGGACCTTGACTGGTCACTCTGAGAGAAGAACCATCATCAAGGAGTCCGACGAGTTCATTGCCGAGAAGACCAAGTTTGCCTTGGACAACGGTGTTTCCGTTATTTTGTGTATTGGTGAGACTTTGGAGGAGAGAAAGGCTGGTGTTACCATTGACGTGTGTGCCAGACAATTGGATGCTGTTTCCAAGATTGTTTCTGACTGGTCCAACATCGTTGTCGCCTACGAGCCAGTCTGGGCTATTGGTACCGGTTTGGCTGCCACCCCAGAGGATGCTCAGGACACCCACAAGCAGATCAGAGCTCACTTGTCCAAGACCATTGGTGCTCAGGCTGACAGTGTGAGAATCTTGTACGGAGGTTCCGTCAACGGTAAGAACGCTCCAGAGTTCAAGGATAAGGCTGACGTGGACGGGTTCTTGGTCGGTGGTGCTTCCTTGAAGCCAGAGTTTGTTGACATCATCAAGTCCAGATTGTAAGTAGTGTACGAGACAATGCAGATATATGAGAGAGAGATTAGAGAACCGTAAGCGCATGCAGCGAATCAGTGGAGGTTACGATTAGATTGGATGTTTGTTGGGAAATGCACATCAATGGATGCTAGGATCCACATTCAATTGTTAATCTTCGATTATCTACGTTTCCATAAGTTGTCATTGGTAATTGTGTTCCTAAGAAGTGCACAATTTATACTTTAATCTCTAGATAATCTTCTTATAGTTGTCTGAGTCGCTTCAATTACCTTAATTAGTCTTTACCAATTGCTTTACCAAAGTCTCATCTTACTTTACTGTCAATTGCAATGCATTTTGATGGAGTTGGGCCATCCCCATTTCGATCTCCCACTCTTTACTTTCACAGATCACCCTTCCAACATTCTCCAATTGTGAAAAGTAGTCCTCCATCTTCTCTCCGTCCTCGAGAAAAAACTTGTCCACGGGCATATCTGACTCTATGAGAATCTGGCTATCGTCAAGTAGTTTCACCAAATCACGTAGAGAATCCTCCTTGGGCTCGCTTGCATTGATATAATTCGAGAATGAAAACCGCAAGTTCCGTTTCTGTTTAGAAAACTCGCGCATCCAAGATTTGGCCTGATCCACCGACCCCGTGTATGAGTGTAGAATAACATTAGGGATATCAGGGTATCCTTTAGTCACTATATCAAAAAAGGGCCCGTGTGCCCTTACACAATGCAATGAGACTTGCTTGGAAAGCAGATTTGCCAAATCAAGCTGGCGAGTGAATACCTGTTTTTGATGGTCCATGGCAACCTTGGACTTAGTAAGCACAACATCCTCGACATTCTTCTGATTGCCGAAAAACCCATTGGAAGGCACCCGGAAAACTTTATCCAAGCCAATTTCGCCTATTCCATAAGGTTTATTCGAAACATCGTATTTCTCCGCCAATTGCTGTATCTTATGGAGATGCACATCCAAGTCTACTGGCTCAGGAAGCACCGCAAGAAGCTCTGCACTAGGACCCGGCTCAAGACACAGCTCATAATGTGCTTTCTTATCTAATGTTGAGTCTATACGGTACAAATGTGAATACCATGGGTGGATGCCCATGTATGGCACTACTGACTCGGAGAAGGTTGCTAGTTGCGAGATGACATCCAAGTCCCAGTGGTTTGTGCACATTAAATGAAAGTGACGACTTTCCACGCTTGGCTGGCTGTTTATGGCGATAGCAATATCCTCGACCTGCTGCACCGTTGCATCAACGCCAACATGGCAGTGGGTATCGCTCAATTTCATTTAGTAATGTAACAGGTGACGCACAGCGGTCTGGTGAGCATATATCCGAGAATCCACAGTGCAGGGAGAAGAAGTAATAAGATAAGAGAAAAGATGTGGAAGAAGAGGAGCAAAAGGATAAAAAATTGTCTCACCGAGATCAGAAATGGCGTTTAAAACGAAACTTGCCCTTGAATTTCCATCTTCAATATTTTGTTCCAAAATTCAACATACCCAATTTATTAGATAGCCCCGCCAATTGTGCAGGACGCACCACCTTATACCATCACCTCCAAATTCAACCTTGCTAACTACACCTAGCGCAATAAAGAAAACTTTTAGGATTTTTTAGCAATTGGAGACGCAAAAATGACTATAATAATTGGTTCACTGTAAGTACTGACCTTCTGCGTCCATTCGCAACATCCTCGTCCTTCCATCCTATACTAACAGCAAGCTTCTTGCCTTATACCGTCAAATTTGAGGTTGCTCAAGACGATTTTAACTCTGATACTCGGTATTTGGAGCTGTCGACAGCTTCACTGGCAACTCCAATTCCCATTAAGCCTGGCAGACCGCCCTTGAGGTCGGCCATCACAAACTCCATTCTACCTTCATTGAGCAATGTTCCCACTGCGGCTCAAACTCCGAGTGGTTCACCGCCCCACCTTGGTATTCGAGAGATCGAGGGTTCTGCTCAGCTGTTTTTCCAAAAGGCACGTAAACCTTCTAGTGATAATGCTACTATCTTGCAGGATACTGTCAACGAACGGTTGGCTCCACACTTGATTCAGCCCAAATCTCGCTATCTGGGACTGATTCCAAGTCTGGTGATTGAGGCCAAAAAAAGGGACGAGGACCTGGGATTGTCTGGCCTCAAGATCAGTCGGTCGCTGACATCGTTGGCTGCACATCCGGGACTCAGCAGAAGTGGCTCGTCCTCAAGCGATTTCCCTGTGATTCCACGTGGGCGAAGCTCAATATCAAGACAGTTTTCTGGGTTTACTTTGGGAAACAATAGCAACAGCTCACTTGTCATCGCAGAGGAGGATGAGCCTTCGAGGTATTTTGACCCACCACATAAACTGACACTGGGCGACGCTGACACCACCGTCGAGTTGGAGAACGAACGATTGGCACCTTACGGAGGCTTTTCCCGCCCAGACTTGGAGGAGACGTTTCTCAGCCAGAGAAGTGTGTTTGATCTGGCACCTTGGCAGGTGGTGAAGACTGATAAGGGCAATGGGTCGTTGATTAACGCAGTCCATTTGGCTCACGAGAAAGGCATCATCAACAATGTGAAATGGGTGGGCACCATGTCCCTGCCCAGTGACGCTATCCCCGAAAAGGTCATGAACAAGATCTCGGATAAATTGCATGAGGAGTACAACTGTGAGTCAGTGGTGGTCAACGACATCACTTTCCAAGGACACTACAAGTCGTTCTGTAAGCAAATCTTGTGGCCTACGTTGCATTACCAGATCCCCGACGACCCTAAATCCAAGGCATTTGAGGAACACTCGTACCATCACTACAAGCTCTTGAATCAGACTATTGCAGACAAATTGGTGGCTACCTATTTGAGGGAGAATAACCACTTATCTCCAGACGACCCGGAGAACATGATCTGGATTCATGACTACCATTTACTCTTAGTTCCTGGTATGATCCGCGAGAAATTGCCTGATGCCAAAATTGGTTTTTTCATGCATGTCTCTTTCCCGTCTTCGGAGGTGTTCAAGTGTTTGGCTCAGAGAGAGGCTCTCCTCCAGGGTATGCTAGGTGCTGATTGTATCACCTTCCAAACAAAAGAGTATGTGAGACATTTCTTGCAGACATGTAGCAGGCTAGTGTTGGCCGATACACTTGAAGACGGGCTTACTCACGATGGCACCTTCACCAAGGTGAACACCATTCCAGTTGGAATTGATGCAAACGACTTACGGGTCAAGCTCAGCAGCAATGAAGTTTTGGACTGGAAGCAATTGATCACTGAGCGTTGGAATAATCAGACACTCATTGTATCCAGAGATCATTTGGATAAGTTGAGAGGCGTGAAACAGAAGCTTCTAGCATATGAACGGTTTTTGCGTGAGAATCCGTCATATGTTGAGACAACTGTATTGCTTCAGATTTACATGGGAACCACTGATGACGATGACTACGAGAGTGAGGTGATGCAAATTGCTTCAAGGATCAATTCCATGTCCGAGAATATCTCTGATACCCCACCAGTTGCCATCGTTCATCAGGATATTGGATTTGATCAGTACATTGCCCTCTTGAGTGAAGCTGATGTGTTTATTGTCTCTTCCATGAGAGAAGGATTGAATTTAACATGTCATGAATTTATCGTCGCAGCAGAAAAAAAGAAGGCTCCTCTTATTTTATCTGAGTTCACAGGCTCATCCAACTTGTTGGGCGGTGATGGTAAAGGTGCATTATTGATTAACCCTTGGGATATTAAAAATTTCAGCGATACAATTAAGTTTGCTTTGAATATGCTGCCACTGGAGAAGGAGAAACATTGGAAGGTTTGCAATGAAATTGTGACCAAGCATGATTCGATGGACTGGATTAAGGGCTGTATTAAGTCTATTAATGATGCCTGGAAGAAGGATTCAGAGAAGCTGTCGGATGTTGTTCCTTTGAGCAGTACTGTCTTTGATAAATTCTACGAATCTGCAACAGGAGGAAGACTCTTTTTCCTTAGTTTGGATCAAATGATCAACAGAAGCACACTATATGGAGGTAGATCTGGTTCGAGAGACTCGTTCCTCGAGTTTTCCCGAATTGGTAGCCTTTTGCGAGGTTTGATCTCAAACCCAAATAACCGAGTGTATGTTACCAGTGCAATGAAGAAGTCAGAAATGTATCTGATTTTCAAGAACACTCCAAATATTGGATTGGTTGCAGAAAGTGGAGGGTACATTAGAATTATTGGGGAGTCTAAATGGTTCTCGCTCATAGACGAAAAGCAGGTCAACAACTGGAAACCACAGGTGTCACAGTTGATCAAATCTAAAGCTGAAAGACTTCCAGGATCTAGTGCCGTCATCGAGGACTGTACAGTTCGTTTGCTTGCGGATACTTCGATGGCAGAAGACCCGAAGAGAAGTCTCGATGTTATGGGCGATTGTATCCAGCACATCAACGAGGCCTACGAAGAAAGTCAGGGTGTACATGCTACCATTGTTGACAATTCTGTCTTTGTTCTGGAAAAGAATATCACATTACGAGCATTGAATATTCTTTTGGCTATTTACACCACGGACATCTCAGTGGACGCGATCTCTCAAAAGTTTAACATTAAGAGGGTTCTGTCCTCAACGGATGCATTGTTCCGCTCGGAATCCAATAACACAAAGAATGACGATAGATTCAAGGAAGCCAACAAAGTCACCTCTCTTTTCTATGCTGGTGGCCTCAACCCTCTTGACGAGACTGTTTTCGACAGTATTTCTCAATTTGAGAAGGATGGTGTTCTTGACTCCACATTGAGTGTTGTTGTTCGTGGTAATCGTGATGACACACGAACCTCTGCAACTTACACTGTCTCGGGTCTGAATGAATTGTTTGGAATTCTTTCGAAGGCAGGCAGACGTTAAGGAACATCTAGATTGGGTCTTTATAACTAGCACTAGCCAATCTGTTCATTTCATCGAACGAACTGAGAAATTCGGTCATTTTCTTTGTAGGAAGCTTTTCTATTCTTTGCCAGTAGTAGTTGGAGAACTCCTCCTCTGTTAGCGTATTGGATCCGCTGGGTCTATTGACCACCCAAAGAGTTTCCTTTGACTTCTTGTGAGTCTCTCTGTCGTCTTCCATTCTGGCAAGAATTTGCTTTTTCGAGAGCATCAGCTCGTTCACTTTCTTTGTAGGATCTCCAACCCTAGATGGCCGAATGCTAAACATCTCTTCTTCATTCACGGCATCATCACGATACTTTTGATGCTTTAAAAGACGAAGACGTTCATAGTGACTCTGTTTTCTCTTTCGAAGGAGAATCTCCCACGCCTGAACAGCAGGGTCAGAGCCCTCCTCAATTTCCTCAAGGTTTATCTCTGGGTAGGGAATATCCATCTCGACACTCTCCAATTCTTCCGTGGAGAGTAATGTTTCCACATCCTTATACTGCTTTTCGTAGTCTGAATAGGAGACATTAAGGGACTCAGAAATATTCTTCAAGTTATTGAAGATATTATAAAGATTGGCATTGTTGGTACCTGGAAGTACCTTCAAAATGATTTTGGGAAGGGCCAGCTTTAAATTGTGAACGTAAGGATAGTTATAGTGGGAGTTTGTCTGCTGGGAAATAAAGAATGACTCATGGATCAAAACGTCGATAAATTGGAAGACGGTTGATTTGGTATTGAGCTCCACTTTTGGGTCGTCAAGAAGATCTATTATAGCGTAGAAGAGATAGTCCTCACTTTCCGAGTGTTTCAAGGCAAAGTGCGCAGCACGTAACAAAGATTGCATCTGAGGGACCAATGCCCTCAAGATCTGGACGAACTGTGAACTCGTCTCAAACAGATCCATGATGATATGGAGTAGAAAGATGGAGGGTTTAGGTAAATAGTTGATGTATGGTCAACACCTGTACATCCCACAGAGAATCTCTATGAGCTACATTCGGACTAACTATATGAGTTTTGATTGACTATTTAGTTCTTGCCACATTGACAGGTGGAGCTCGACGAGCAAGTACATGAAGAGCACGAGCAAGAAGAACAGGAGCAGGATTCAGTTTGGTAGTTGTACATTTTATTGATTGAGGTGAAAATGGAAGAGAATGAAAGCAGAGAATGGCCGGTTTATATACCAGTGCGTTTTTTTTGCGTGAGACTATTTTGCCCATGTATTTTTTACTGCGACCTTTTTGCCTGGAGACTTTTTTGCCATACAGTATAGATGACCTTGGCAAGAAAAGTTGGAAGGACAACGACGGAGGTGAACGAAGAAATTCAAAGGCAAAAATGGCGAAGAAAGCAACAAATGGCAAACAAGGTAAAAAAAATTAAAAGTTAAGAGAAGTTAAATGGGTGGCAAATATAACATAAAATCTAGTGGAAGGGTGTGATGAGAGTCATGGGTTATTGGTAAATTGATAAATATAATTTCGTCTGGTAAATATCATAATCTTTACTCGGGATTTCGTCGAATTAATTGGAAATGATAACAGTTTTGCTCTTGCTAAGAATTGGAATGGACAGATAAGAATTAGATATTAAAGAAGGTTGTAGTTTCATCATCAACAGTGGATCCGATATTAGACGTTATCTACTCTTTTCTCTGAAAACAAGTGTGCAGAAGGACTTCCCATTTACAAAATTCCAAGATCATTGAAAATAATAAAAAAAAAAATGATTGTTATGAAGGGATGTACTGATTGGCTGCCATCCGTTGATATGATTGTTTGTATTATGGGTTGGAGTTAGTTTGCGATTTGGTTGCGAAATTTGCTGCCTTGACACTTAACAACATAATTGTTTACATTAGTGGATGAGATGAACAAGAAGCGAAGTTGACGACAAAATGGAATATTTTGATTATATTCAATAGCTCTATTTCGTTAGTCATAGGCGTCGAAGAACAACAATCTACGAGGGTAGAATTAGCCTAGTTAGACCAAACATACAGGGTCCAAGCCAGTAGTTTGTTCTCGGATAATAAATTGACAATAAGAAGTCAACTTATCATTGACCAATAACGAAGTAGCGAGAGTAGTATCACACCCTTAACAATCATAAAGTAAGTGAAGACTATCATAAGTCAGGGAAAGCTTGCTTACAGACACCTAATCTATGGTACCTTGCTGTCACATGACCTTGAGGATCTTCAACTTGACCATTTACAAAGATGAAGTAGCTCAGAATCCTACAACGATTCCAGCCGTATCATACAGTTTATTGGCTACTCTTAATTTCACCAAATCACATACCTCCAGTAGTCAGCACACACAACCTCCCAACACCACCACTACCTGAGTTCCCAACACACCCGTGCACCACATGGTGGTAGTAGATAAAAATTTTCCCGGAACATCGAATACTTTTCTTCTCATACAAAATGGGTAAATCTTCTAAAGGAAAAGGAGGCAAAAACAGAAGAAAGGGAAAGAACGTGAACGGTGGTCAGAAAAGAGAGTTGATCCACAAGGATGAGGGCCAAGAATACGCCCAAATTACCAAGATGTTGGGAAATGGTAGACTTGAGGTTTCCTGTTTTGATGGTATCAAGAGAATGGGCCACATTAGAGGAAAATTGAGAAAGAAGGTGTGGATGGGTCAAGGTGACATCATCTTGGTGTCGTTGAGAGATTTCCAGGATGACCAGTGTGATGTGGTGCATAAGTACAACTCTGACGAGGCCAGAACCTTGAAGAACATTGGGGAGTTGCCTGAGTCCGCCAAGATCAACGAGACCGACACCTTTGGTGCAGATGACGACGAGGAGGTCAACTTCGAGTTCGGAGAAGACGACGATGATGATGAGGAAGACGACGAGTTGGACATCGACGACATTTAGTTGCATTAGCAGTTTGTACCATATTTATCCCCAATCCACGCTAGAGAGAGAAAGATAGTAGGCCACAAGTTTAAGAAATTAATTTACTTGAAAGACTTATAAGTATTCATGTGGGTATGAGAATTACTTGGATTCATAAAGGTGCTTAGAGCCATAAGATGTAAGATGTGAGACAAGTTATAGCCAAGATACTACTACCTAACATAATAGACTAAGTGCTTACATAAATTTCTAAACCCTTAAATATCCATTGAGAAAATGCATAGATTATATTACAGCGAGAACTATAAACCAAATACCGTGCAAAAAACTTAGTTGACCAAAGCAGAAGCGGTGGCAGACTCGTACTTCCAGTTTGGTGGCAACACAGAGACGGTTCTGTAGTATCTAGCCAATCTGTGGATTCTAGACTCAATCAAAATCAATCTGAACTTGGAGTCCTTGTCCTTTCTGTTTCTCTCCAAGTGCTTTCTGACAGAGACAGCCTTCTTGATCAAGAAGTACAAGTCCTCTGGGATCTCTGGAGCCAAACCGTTGGACTTCAAGATTCTCAAGATCTTGTTACCAGTGACAACCTTGGCCTGGGAGACACCGTGAGCATCTCTCAAGATAACACCGATCTGGGATGGAGTCAAACCCTTTCTGGCGTACTTGATGATCTGCTCAACAATGTCATCAGAGCTCAACTTGAACCAAGCTGGAGCGTTTCTGGAGTATGGAAGAGCGGAGGAGGAAATACCCTTACCCTGAATATGTTAGTACAGTCTCAGAGGACATCGGTACCGAAGGATGAGGTCAGCAGGCTAGGATGAACAGGAAAGAAGTTAGAACGGTAGCATAGCAAAATTGGACTCGCCATATGGTATAATACATTATTTGGGTGGGACCCAGTAACGTATTGATAACATAGAGTGCATGTCTTACTGAACAATTGACCGCATCATACCCAAACCCAGAACGTTCATGACGCCTGTTGCTGACCACATCAGGAGAATCACCTCCGTCGACGTTGGTCTACAAATAGTGGAATCGACCAGCTATTGCACCCGCCCTTAGAGTGGTATCAACTAACAGGAGCTGGCGGCTATTCTCGACGAATGCCACTCCTGTTAAGACCCACCAAGCGGTTGCACCGAATCGACCCAGTTCACTATTCAACCATACCATGATAGAAAAGTGAAGTCACATACTTTAGAATGCATACGACCCATGGCTGAAGATTTTTTTTAGTAGTAGATAGAAAATTTGAGAGAGATGGATATCGCGACAATATATAGTTGGAAAAATTTGCACATTGGCCCATGCACGACCCGAGTGAGCTTTTGGAGAGGATGAGGCCTGAAAGTTACGCTGTGTTGATATGTACGCAGGGATAATGGGACCTTCCAGTGAAGGTACTCATTAATAGTATTAACAAGAGAAATACTACTAGCAAAGATATTATATACCATGTATGATACTCATATTTGATAATTATTATGTCGAATAATAACAAACTAAATTACTCGATCAAAGACTCCAATTCTTCGAAGTCTTCCTCTTCCTCTATCTCGATAAGTCTAAGGTTAGTAAAATGTCTAAGTAATTATTCCGAAACTTGGCTGCTGCCAGACACTGACTGCAAGATTTCTGCGAAGATTTGGCTGTGGCAATTCTCCGAGAACCCTAATTCTGCAATTCAGTTTTCTTCTTCCCGGTCTTCTCTAATATACATACTTTGAAACTCCAGCTTTCTCCCTCATCAATTCAACGGCTCCAGCGTAAAGCATTTTGCTTTCTTGTCCACAAGTAGGTGGCCGCCAGTAGAGCATCACAAACGGACTCTTAATACGTCCGTCTGCAAGCTTCATGGGGTAAGAAAGAAGAATGTACCGAGCACTATTGTCAGGGAGCTCCTCCACGAGTTCTTCAACGGTCTCTATTGGAGTATCTGTCACTTTCTTCACTTCGTAGGAAGATTTGTCGATTTCATCTGCCGTTAGTATAGAGCAAATTATGGATATCGTATATCCAATGAAACTGAGATAGTATCAGAGTAGGGGAGATCATGAATTCAATAATTGATGGAAACACCAGGAAAAACAACCATTTTTCAGATTATTAACCTACTTATGCATTGAATATCTCTGAAATCCCCTCAAACCTTTTCTAATCCATGAACTCATTGAAATCTCCTGAAAGCCTTATCACAATACATACAAATCACTGCCTCCATCGTTGTGGCCCTGGCACTGCCAAAGCGGAACTTTCGGAGATCCGTTAACGTCTCCGAAGTAAAAGTATACAATGAAGCCTACTATTAGTATCGTTCATAATCCTTAAATCCATTTCAACTTACCATTTGGGAGCAACCATACCTTGACCCCAAATAGTGCTCACTATAGATTAATCCACTCCTGCAGACAATCCGATTTCATCACCAAGCCAAATCCAGCCTAAACATAAACACATACTCACCACATAAACTATCTGTTTTTTTATCCATTTGTTACGATCTAGATATTCTTCCTAACAATGGCTCGTGCTAGACTGAACATCCCGATCATCGAGTTTTTGAAGAGTGTGTATTTATTGTATTTCCGATTTGCCATTTACCTATGGCCCACCATATCTAAAACTAACTCCAGATCGTATATACCTCGGCGCTTACGACTATACTCCCCAGGATACCCATGACTTAGTTTATTTTACCGTGGACGATGCGTTAGTGTACAACTCGTTTCATTTGGACTTTGGTCCCTTGCATATCGGAAGCTTGTATCGTTTCGCCGTAGTGTTACATAATATCTTGAATGAAGAGGCTAATCTGGGCAAGGCTGTCGTGTTTTATAGTGGAACATCTCCCAAGGAGCGTGCCAACGCTGCATGCTTGCTTGCATGCTATATGGTGTTGGTACAATCGTGGGCTCCACACCAGGTCTTACAGCCACTTTGTCAAGTGGAAGTCCCATTCCAACCATTCAGAGACGCCGGATACTCCACGGCAGATTTTGAAATCAGCATCCAGGACATTGTTTACGCTATGTGGCGGGCTAAAGAGCGTGGAATGATTGACTTGACCTCTTTCAACTTGGAGGAGTATGAGCAATACGAGAGAGTGGATCAGGGTGACTTCAACTTAATCTCCAAAGATTTTATTGCATTTGCATCGCCTCAACAGAGCCTGAGAAAGCCCGGAGCACTCAATGAGCCCTTCAAGAAAGTTCTTAACTACTTCATGAGCTCCAATGTTCAGCTTGTGGTGAGACTCAACTCGCATTTGTATGACGCGAATGAGTTCACTAAGCGTAGCATCAAGCATATCGACATGATTTTCGAGGATGGTACGTGTCCTACTTTGGATTATGTGCGCAAGTTCATTGGTGCTGCTGAGTGCATCATCAATAAGGGTGGTAAAATCGCGGTCCACTGTAAAGCTGGCTTGGGCAGAACTGGATGCCTTATCGGTGCTCATTTGATCTACACCCATGGCTTCACCGCCAACGAATGTATCGCCTACATGCGGATGATCCGTCCCGGAATGGTGGTGGGACCTCAGCAGCACTGGTTGTACTTGCACCAACATGAGTTTAGAGACTGGAGACACACAATGTGCTTGGACAACAGACCAGACCTATTCATTGGCGGGCTCTTTTCATTGGTTCCCTACGAAGATTTCAAGGCAAGGTTGAAACAAGAGGCTAAACAGAGAAAACAACAACAGCAGCAGCAACTCAACTCCTCTTACTTGAGTCCGCTCGATTCCTCATTCAACACCACGCCTATTCGTAGAAGAAAAATTAGCGGAGCACTTGCCTCGAAAATCCAGAATGCTGTACCCATGGAATCCCCTGGCCAGCCTAGAAAATACAAGGATTCAGCAAACGAGCTTGTTCTTGACGTGATCAACAACTCCGACGAAGAAGGAAATGGAACCGCCTCCATGCATGATCCAGAGAACCAGTCAGCCACATTCGAACACGAGATCAACACTGCAGATGGAGAAATTTGTCATAGCTCTCCCAAAAGAGATAGAGATACAAGCGATTGGAAAGTGTTGAGATCGATCTCTACAAATAGCACCCACCAGCCCGTATCTATGACCAAAACCACCACTACAACCACTACGCGGACAATCAGCACCACGTTGACTTCTTCACCAACGTCACCAGGAGGTAGCAAGCTTCCCAGGTCTCGGTCGGGGACTAAGATTAGCGGAGGAATTCTTCCAGGGAAGAACGCAACCAGAATTCAGTCTGGAGGAATCCGCAAAGTAAGTGGCCGCAAGTACTAATTAAGACTGGCTTCTCTCCCTTTCAGCATTAGCATCACGCTCTTTTCGACTCTTGTATTACCTATTGGCATGAATATACTGTTTCATTCTACTTTTCTCCATGCATCTTTTTTTTCTTCATGCATCTATATTCATTTCCTTGCATTCACTCTTCGTCCACATACTCCAGCTGCTCCACCCGGAAGTGCTCATCGTCTGCAAACTTGAATGCAAGAATGTCGTAGTCGTTTAAAACCACTGTTTTCAAGCTCAGGTCGTCTTCGATTGGGATCCATTCGTTGTCATACGGCGACTCCTTCGACTTTGGGAATGCAAGCTCCAAATCTGGCGAGGTAACCTGTAAGCCATCATCCTCATCCAATGGCACATCTTCTCCCCCATCGATATCCACTAGGCGTAGACCACCGGAGGAATTGATGGCTTCAACCAACGATTCTAGGAAGTACTCTCTCAGAAGGTTCTTCTTGTCAAGAACTAACGGCACCACATAGGTTGTTCGGGACCGCTTGAACTTTATGATGGTGATTTGGGGTTTAGGAGGCTGATGTTAATACGATGCCATAATCTAGTCTTGGTGGACAATTCATGAACATACCATTGAGTATAGTGTTAGTGATGAGACGCGAAGTATACAGTAGATAGCGTTGAGGTTAAAGATCGTCTCGAGATTTGAGAGAAGGTGAACAGCCAAAAGGAACAAACACAAATAAAAAAAAGGGAAAAAAGATAGCCAGGTATACCCAATCAAATATCCATTCAAGTCTACCTATTAAGTGTGCTATCTTGTTAGACCTGGTTGACCACTCTGCTCGTCACTATACAGACTATAGTACACTGATGCGAAGACGTCAGTCACTAATGCCTCCAATCATACCATGGCCGAGTCACCAAGAGCTGCTTCGGGCTTTATACCGGCAACTACTACGGAATCTCACCCGACTTCGATCTTTTATCCCAGATATAGATGCTGGAGAGAACGCAAGTGGTGAGTTAATCAAAGCCAAGAGGAATCCACAATTGTACGGAGAACTTCTACGAACAGAGTTGAAATACAGAATCGATGAGGAATTCCGCAAGGTTCATCCAAGAATTAATGAACGCAGTTTTTATTCCAATCTCATTATGGGTGAGAGACTCAACTCAATGCTTGAATCCGTCATTAATGGAAAAGACATAAAGACGGTCCAACAAGGCTGGAGTGGCATTATCCAGATCGTTGTTGACCATCGCAATATGGAACAAGAACGAAATCGTTGGAAAATGGCTTATCTTCGCAACAAGAGCGAAATCGACCAACGAAGGGATAAGGATACAGACTCACTCACAGCCAGGCGTCGAAGCTCGTCTCGTAACAGAACTACGGTGGCCCAGACGAATTTTGCCAACATGAGTCTTAAGGAGCAGCGCAAGGCTATGAGAAAAGCCGAGACTAAAGCTTCGGAAAACAGCGCCTTTGTCGTTCGAAATTACCTTAAGAAGCTTCAGTTGGAGGGCAAAATCCCAAACCCATACAAGTTGCCGTATGTCCCAGTTTCGCTATCCAGACTGTTGATCGACATGCCACGGGATGATGTTCTCATCCCAGGATCCACAAAAAGCGTTGTATTGGATGCAGCGTACGACTCCGAGTATATTGAGAGCATCATTAAGCCTGAGGTAGAATTTAAGATCAACCATTTGCACCATATGGGTCAGATTGAGAGAAATATCAAGGATGGCCCATACAAAGTGAAAATACGCAATACCAATGCTGGTGTCATGACGGCCCATTTTTTAAGGCTTCCATTTAATAGAGAATCTCAAATGAGAGAGATTGCTCTTGATATTAAACGACTGATGCGAGCGGTAAGGAAACAATTTGTCTGGAACCTTCAGCCTTCGAAGGGCATGTCTGTACCAGAGAAGAGGCATGGCCAAGGGTATGGAGTTAGGGATAGCGGGGGTTTTTCTGCAGCAGAGATCATGTTTCCTAGAGAATATTATGAGAAGTTGGTGTCGGATGAGGCCTACTGGGAAATGTTGATGGAAATAGAGCAATTGAGATCCATTCGTGGAGATTCTGTATTGGAGGATCTGGGCATAATTGAACGCCTACATCGAAAAGCAAATGCGTCTCTTGCAGAGTGGAACCAGCCTTTGGTGGAAGCAACCAAAGCTGTCAACGACGAAGTGCAATACTACTACACAAAATACAAAATCGACCTGAATAGTCCAATTTGGAAAGATCAGGAACACTTCCAAAAGCTCATGGATGAGAAATTTGACCACACTGTGGCCAGGTATGCGGACTTACTAGGCAAGTTACAGCAAGACAGGGTGTTCATGCATTCAGAACTATACAGAGCCAGTGTAGTCAGTCGGGAGCATTATATTTCGGGACAGGAAAAGTCCAAATTAGAGGAGATACCTGAAAATCCCAGAAGGGGCCAAGGGAAACATCTTGGTGATTACTTGGAGGACCATGGCTTCAAGGCATATATGCTGGGGTATAATTATCGGCAACGATTTGACTTCTAACCACAAATATCCTTGCAAAACTACAAGTTCAGATACTTTTCGCTCGTTCATTAATCATAAATGCTAAACCACATATCCACCAAAGCTGCGGCTCGTAGTGATGTAGCCGTCTACACCTTTGGATGCTGTTTCTTTATCGTACTCCACATCGTCTGGGTCTTCACCTATAACACCACCTTCATGTTCGATGATATCGAAGTCCTGGATGAGTTTTACCAAGTCCGATACTTCGCTACTTTCGCTGTCAGCCACCAGCAAGCCATTTATCATTGCAATCACCTCACTAAGTGACTTGCCCTGCTGCTTCATCTCACGGTGCTTAGCAAGTACCTCCTCTAAACATGTAATATTGTTTTCGTACCAAGGCCCTGCCACAGAAGCAAATGGTGGCACCACCAAAATGTTCTTGCGTGCAAACACAGCCTCTTGTGAGAGCTGGTTGCGGTAGAACAACGATGCCTGGTAATGTTCCTTGCAACAGTACTGCAGCAAGTACGTGTTTGGCAATATCATGGACGGTTTGCGGTTCCAGATTTGGTATCTGGTGGCAGTTTCCATGGCTCCACTATTGGAAGGTCTTCTAACTTGGTGCTTGGGCGATTTCCCACATAAAGGGTAGCCACACTGGTGCTCGATGTTACGCTCTTCAACCAACTCGTCATACGATTGCTGGGTCAAAAATCGGCTCAAAAATTTGAGAAGTGGGACATCAATTGTGTTGTCCAAAACTAGCTCGGCGATTTTAAGCTGAAGTAACAGCGCTTCGCCGGGCGTGAGGGTTTCTTTATTACCGAGGGGGGCCATATGACCCAAGAATGCTTCCACGTCGAGGTCTTTCATGCTGTGTTCGTCGCTTCTGCATGAGGGTTTATGGGCGGTAATTGATGATGAGAAGATGAAATGATGTTTGGAATCAGTGGGGTTTATATAGGGCCTCAGTGATAACGTCCTGCAGATAACGAGAGGGTGATGCTGATCGACAGACGTTGGCCCCTAACTCCATGAGCGTGTGATGAGTTGCAAATCTACCAAAGATTTGGTAGATTACGTCCTCCATTGGTTCAGAGCTGTTTTGGATATGAAAAATTAAAAAAATATGCGATTTCTGTGGATCGAACACAGGACCTCCAGATCTTCAGTCTGACGCTCTCCCAACTGAGCTAAAACCGCTAAGAACCCATGCCGGGACTCGAACCCGGAATCTTTTGATTAGAAGTCAAATGCGCTAACCATTACGCCACACAGGCTTTGTTTCTGGAAAGTTTTGCAAGCATAATATGACCCATAGTTATTCTATTCTACCATAAACATGCCTATTTTTTGGTTATCGAATGCTTATCCAGAAATTAGAACTTCATTCATGTTGAATAACCTATTTTTGAATACTTCTTCCCTTGTATTGATAACACAACACACCATTTATTTCGTGTATCTCGATGCACGAATACGTCCTGCGAAGTGAAAAAGAGCATCGTTAATGAACTTGCCGCCAAAGAAGGGGATAGCGGTATTAATTCAGAAAAGTTCATTCTTAAGCTCCTCCCTTTTGTCTCTGAGAAAGTGTTACTCGATGAAAAGAAGTATTAACCAGTCAATCGTCCTCAATGGAACTGAATCCAAGATCAGAAACCTTTTGGTGGATTTCTGTGGACAATACAACCAGACGGCTCAACAGCCATTGGAGTTGAGAATCACCGGAGGTTGGGTTAGGGATAAGTTGTTGGGAAACGAGAGTAACGATCTAGATATCGCCATTAATGTGCTTTCTGGAGAAGACTTTGCTTCTCAGTTATTGTCTTACGCCCATTCCCAAGGTGTTGATTTGGGTAAAAACGCTTCCAGTTTACACACTATCAAGAAGAATCCGGAAAAGTCAAAGCATTTGGAGACTTGTACGACCAAGTTGTACGGCCTAGACATTGACTTTGTTAATTTGAGAAGTGAACAGTACACTGAAGATAGTAGAGTACCTATTATTGAATGTGGAACTGCCGAGGAGGATGCATTGAGGAGAGATGCCACGCTCAATGCACTCTTTTACAACTTGAACAAAGGCGAAATTGAGGACTTGACCGGCAAAGGTCTAGAAGATCTTCAAAATGGAATCTTGAGAACTCCACTTCAGCCATTGCAGACATTCTTGGACGATCCTTTAAGGGTTTTGCGTCTTGTGAGATTTGCTAGTCGCTTCAACTTTCTCATTGACAGTGACACTTTGCAAGCCATGAAAGACGAACGAATCCGGTCTACTCTAGTGCATAAGATCAGTCGAGAGAGAGTGGGTGTCGAAGTGGACAAAATCTTGACTAGTGACAACGTCCAGTATGGCCTCCGACTTATCAACTATGTTGGCTTGACCGAGAGCATATTCAACTCGGGCGTTATATCTGAAACCGTGGATGCCATCAATGACAAGTCCATTCTTGAGGAATTGGAGGTGCGCAAGCAATCTTCTATTTACAGAATCGACGCTTCCACTCAAGCTTATCAAGCATTTCGCCAATACATTGCTTCTAGCAGCAATGTCCAGTTCAAGAGAATGGTAGAGGATGTTTTCGTTTCGAAGCCATTGCAGAAACTTTTTTGGCTCTGCACAGCCTTGCAGCCTTATGGAAACATCAGAGTGAAGATCAACCCCAAGAAGTTGTCCCTTCTGTCGTACGTGGAGCTAGTTTTGAAGGAGGGATTGCGGTTTGGCAAACACGACTACGACTCTGCAGCATCTATTGTGGACAAGTTGGATTCGTCGGATGTTCTCCATAGACTATTCCAGGATGGTCAGGTATCGCGGTCTGATTTGGGACTTTACATCAGACAATTTGGGTCATTTTTTCCCATTAATGTGGTTGTTAATGCTTTCAACGATTTCCTTTCGGCCACTGATATCCCGATTCATATTGAGGATGTGCCTTCCCCACAGAATGTGGAATTTGCTTGCAATACAGAAATAATGGAGAATTTGACTAGCGAATACGAGAGACTTTTAGCTACAATTTCTGACTATCAACTCGAGAATGTCAACAGCATGAAACCACTTATTGACGGTAAGTTTATTGCCAAGGCCATTGGAAGAAAGCCAGGACCATGGATGAGTTCCGTCACGGGAGAAGTTCTAAGATGGCAGTTGGATCATCCAAAAGGTACACAAGATGAGTGTATTGCTCATATTCGGGAGATTTTGGATTAGTTGTCATGTTCTTAAGGATAATAGAGAAGTGTGCAAGGTGGTAGCAAAGTTTAATTTCAGCCAGGAATAAAAAATGAAAGAAATAAATAAGTACTAAAACATATGCATTAATTCTGTTTTACAAGACAGTCTACAGTTTTTTCTTTCCCAAGGTATCGTACTCTCTTTCATTACCAATCTGGGTCAGGTTAGAAGAGCTCTACCCTAACGCATACCCTAATCAAGTCTCAGGGTGCGACTACGAGTCACATGTACAGAAATATCCACTAAAAGAACGTACAGAAGAAGAGAATATAAATTAATTCGACAGAATAATGACAAAGAAAGAAATATAAATGCCCAAACTATCATAAGTTCCAAAAAAAGTGAAATTTCCATCACCGTCTTCCCCACCTCTATGGACTCTTCCGGCCCTGTCCTGCACGACCACACCACCTCCACGAAAAATTTAAGAGTCATAGTACTACCAGAAAAATCACTACTACAAAAAAACTGGAAAGCCATGTCCGTGGAGAAGGTGTCGATTCTCGGCAGACAGTCGATCCATGTGGGTTTCGACATCCAGGAACATATAGTGGCAGAGACTCTCGAAAATGAAAAGTCCTCCACATATGTCATTATTACTGATACTAATATGGAGAAAACTGCTCCATTCCAGAAATTGACGGCCACTTTCGAGCAACAAATTAAGGTGGTGCGTCCAGAATCTCGCTTGATTCACTACTCCGTGTCGCCTGGTGAAAACAACAAGTCCCGTGAGACGAAAGCTCAGGTGGAAGATTTCTTGTTGCAAAAAGGCTGTACCAGAGACACTGTCATCATTGCAGTGGGCGGAGGAGTTGTTGGAGACATGATTGGCTTTGTTGCTGCTACATTCATGCGTGGAGTCCGTGTTATCCAGGTTCCTACCACATTGCTTGCCATGGTCGATTCGGCAATTGGTGGTAAAACTGCCGTGGATACTGCCTTGGGTAAGAACTTCATCGGTGCCTTCCATCAACCTCGCTATGTTTTTGTGGATGTGTCCTTCTTGTCAACATTGCCTACGAGGCAATTCATTAACGGTATGGCCGAGGTTGTGAAGACCGCAGCCATCTGGAACGAGGAAGAATTCACCAGACTTGAAAACTTCGCTGAGACCTTTATTTCCGTAGTCACAGCCGACAACATTGATCTTGTTACCATCAAGGATAGTTTGGTGGAGACTGTGCTCCAATCCATTCGCGTGAAGGCCGAAGTTGTGTCTAAGGATGAGAAAGAGTCTAGTTTGAGAAACCTTCTCAATTTCGGTCACACTATCGGACATGCTATCGAGGCTATTGTCACCCCACAGGCTTTGCACGGTGAGTGTGTGGCTGTGGGTATGGTGCTCGAGGCCGAGTTGGCCCGTTACTGGGGAATTTTGAGTCCTGTTGCAGTGGCCAGATTAGTCAAGTGCATTAGTGCTTACCAATTACCAACTTCCGTGGGCGACAAGATCTTCCTCCAAAGAATTGGCCACAAACGTCACTTCATCGAGATCAATTCTTTGTTGGAGAAGATGGCCATTGACAAGAAGAATGATGGTTCCAAGATCAGAACCGTCATTTTGGAGGCTATTGGTAAATGCTACCAATGGAAGGCTCATGAAGTTTCCAAGGAAGACTTGAGATTTGTATTGACTGACGAAGTGCTTGTGCATCCTTTCGACCCAGCTTCCACTCCAGAGACCAACGTTGTGACTCCTCCAGGCTCTAAGTCTATTTCTAACAGAGCCTTGGTTTTGGCTGCTCTTGGTAAGGGTACTGTTAGAGTCAAGAACTTGCTTCACTCCGACGACACCAAACACATGCTTGCTGCAGTGAGTGCCTTAAAAGGTGCTGAAATCTCCACCGAGGATAACGGAGACACCATCGTAGTCAAGGGTAACGGAGGTAACTTCATCACCTGCGACCAAGAAATCTACTTGGGTAACGCAGGTACTGCGTCCAGATTCTTGACTACGGTTGCGTCTTTGGTTGGTGTGAATAAGGAGTCCAACGACTACACTATCTTGACCGGAAATGCAAGAATGCAAGAGAGACCTATTGGACCATTGGTTGATGCATTGAGAGCCAATGGTTCTGAAATCGAGTACTTAAAAAATGAGGGCTCTTTGCCTTTAAAACTCCAAGCTGGAAAAGGCTTGAGAGGCGGAAGACTTGAATTGGCTGCCACCATTTCCTCTCAGTACGTGTCTTCCATCTTGATGTGCGCTCCATATGCCGACGAAGAGGTCACTTTGGCCTTGGTGGGCGGAAAGCCTATCTCTCAGTTGTACATCGACATGACCATTGCCATGATGAAGAATTTCGGTATTACTGTCACTAGATCTGCTACTGAGGACCACACCTACCACATTCCTAAGGGTGTTTATGTGAACCCAGATGTGTATGAGGTCGAATCTGACGCTTCGTCTGCCACTTACCCATTAGCATTTGCTGCTATGACTGGAACTTCTTGTACTGTTCCCAACATCGGTTCTTCTTCTTTGCAGGGTGATGCTAGATTTGCTGTGGATGTGTTGAAACCAATGGGTTGTACCGTTGTGCAGACGGCCACCTCCACCACAGTCACTGGACCTGCAAGAGGTCAGTTGAAGTCTTTGCCTCATGTTGATATGGAACCAATGACTGATGCCTTCTTGACCGCTTCTGTTGTTGCTGCTATTGCTAACGACAGCACTCCTACCCAGATTACTGGTATCGCTAACCAAAGAGTTAAGGAGTGTAACAGAATTAAGGCCATGGTAGACGAGTTGGCCAAGTTCAACGTTAAGGCAGCGGAGTTGCCTGATGGAATTGAGATCTTCGGTATTGATTACAAGGATTTGACTATCCCAAGTACTGAAAAAAGAGGAATCTGTACTTATGACGATCATAGGGTCGCTATGTCGTTCTCTTTATTAGCAGGAATGTGCTCCGAGCCTGTCTTGATCACTGAAAGATCTTGTACTGGAAAGACCTGGCCTGGTTGGTGGGATGTTTTGCACACCAAGTTTGGTGTCAGACTTGACGGATACGAGGAGTCTAAGAACTTGGACGACCCAACTTTGTTAATCAACAAGGCTGTGAACGGCGATAGATCGATCATTGTGATTGGTATGAGAGCCGCAGGTAAGTCTACCTTGAGTAAATGGATTGCCAACTTCATGGGCTTCGAGCTAGTGGATTTGGACACAGTATTCGAGGAGAGATATGGTGACATCAGACCTTTCATCAAGGAGCACGGTTGGAGCAAATTCCGTGAAAATGAAGCTGCTTTGATGAAAGAATACTTTGCAAAGTGCTCTAATGGTTATGTCATCTCTACTGGTGGTGGAATTGTCGAAGGTGAAGAGTCTAGAGACATCTTGAAGGCTTATTCTAAGTCTGGAGGAATTGTTCTCCACTTGCACCGTGACTTGGATGAAACCATTGTGTTCTTGAGTTCCGACACCACTCGTCCAGCTTATGTCAGCGAAATCAAGGATGTTTGGTTGAGAAGAGAAAAGTGGTATCACGAATGTTCCAACTACCACTTCTACTCCTCGCATTGTTCGAACGAATCCGAGTTCAAGAAGTTGAGACACTCGTTCGTAAGCTACTTGAAAACCATCACTGGTCTTGAGCTCACTCCAATTTCTAAACACAGAAACTTCGTAGCCAGCTTGACTTGTTCGGACTTGAACGAGTACACTGAAGACCTAGAGGATATTGCCGCTGGGTGTGAGGCAATTGAGTTTAGAGTGGATCTCTTGAAGGACTATTCTCCATCTTACGTTGCAGACCAAACTGCCACCTTAAGAAAGTTCATCAACTTGCCTATTGTGTACACTATTCGTACAAAGAGCCAGGGAGGACAATTCCCAGATGAGGAAGTTGACTCTCTCGAGGAGTTGAGTTACTTGGGTATCAAGCTCGGTGTTGAGTTTTTGGATGTTCAGTTGAGTAACTCTGAAAAGCTTGTGAAGAAGATTATTGAGAGAAAGGCATTCACCAGAATCATCGCAACATACATAGATGTTTCTGGAAACTTGAAGTGGGATAATGCTGAGTGGGACAACAAGTACAACCAGGCTATCAGTTTGAACGCAGACATTATTCAGTTGGTTGGAAAGGCTCTGACTTTCGAAGACAACATTGCTCTTGAGTACTTCCGTGCCAACCACAAGGGTACACCATTGATCTCATTCAATGAAGGAGAGAAGGGTAAGTTGTCAAGAGTTTTGAATGGTCTTATGACTCCTGTGACTAGCGATTTGTTGCCCAAGATAACAAAAAATGGAGAGCTTACAGTTGCTGAAATCAATAAGTCTTACAGCGAGATTGGTGGATTGACTTATAAGAAGTTTACCGTCGTTGGATCTCCAATCGCTCATTCGAGATCTCCCCAATTGCACAACTCCGCCTACAAGGCTTTGAATTTGCCATACGAGTTTGATAGATTCGAGGCTGATGATGCTAGCAAGGTATACGAAGAAGTTATGACTAAGCCTGGTTTCGGTGGTTTGGCTGTGACCATGCCATTGAAGTTGGACATCATGAAGTACTTGAGTGAATTGTCCGAGGCTGCTTCTATTATTGGAGCTGTGAATACTGTGATTCCTATTGAGGGCCAGCCAGGTAAGTACTTTGGAGACAACACTGACTGGTACGGTATCTCGAACTCTTTTATCAGACACGGTGTGCCATCGATTGGAAACTCTGAGATCACAGGTTTAGTTGTCGGTGGAGGAGGAACTTCTAGAGCTGCTGCTTTCGCTTTGCACCACATGGGATGTAAGAAGATCTACATGGTAAACAGAACTAGCTCAAAGTTGCACGAGATCAAAAAGCTACTTCCAGCTGAGTTTAACATTGAAGTTTTGGAGACTGTTGAGCAAGTTGAGGCCGCAGACCCTGTGTCATTGATCGTGTCTTGTGTTCCAGCAGACAGGCCACTTGACGACCAGCTTTTGAACAAGTTGGAGAGAGTTTTGCACAAGGGTATCCAGCAAAAGAAGGGAGGTTTCAATCCTACCTTGCTTGATGCGGCCTACAAGCCTAGAGTGACGCCCATCATGAGAATTGCTGAAGAGAAGTTCCAGTGGACCATTGTCCCAGGAGTTGAGATGCTTGTGAACCAGGGAGTGTTGCAGTTCCGTACCCACACGAAGTTTACGCCACCATACAAGGTCTCATATGACGCAGTTGTGCATGACCGTACATAGAATGATTATAATGAAAGAGTTATATGAAGAATTGTATGGAGATTTGTATGAAGATTTGAATCAATAGGTGAATTCAATAAGACATTTTGCATTGGGAGGAATTGAATGATTCTTGAAAATTGAGCTCCAGTTGTAAACGATTTATAAAAGTTTCTACAGATAAGATGTGGAGGCACTTAAAGGGTTTGGGTGGGTGTAGATTAGAAATAGGTAAATGATGTTGAGTTCCAGAAATCCAACGTGCTGGAAAAGGGTATTGTCGATCCAGATTAGGCAAGTCAGTGAATCGTTTCTGGTTTCAGATAAAGTTATTCAGGTGGAGATAGCGAGGTATAAAAGAAGCCAAACTTTCGCCATGTTAAAATTATTTTCATCACTGAAATTAATAACAATGGCTGCTGCTCAAAACACTCAGAACAAGACTACTGCTCCACCAAAGGACAACGCTAGCTTAAATAGAAAGTATGAACGTGGTATTGTTCCATTTGGATGCACCATCGCTTAAACAATCTGCTGGACCAGAATATTCATTGGTTGGATTTTTCTATGGTGTCTATAGACTTTATAGTTTTTGCCAATAAATTGTGTATCGTGTGAGAAGTGGGTGTAGTGTGAAGGTTTTAGAGATCAAAAGCCAGAAAGCTACGAATTAGAAATAAACAACGGATTAACGCGAAAATGAAGTAAACCCAAATAATCAAAATAAAAATATTTTTAAAAAATTGTTCAAAAGTCCAGTTCTTAGTGGAAATCATGAGATGAAGATCGCATTGACTAGATCACATAACGAAGTATCGTCCTGGGTTCCCTATTGATTGTGTAACCTACATTTTCAAAAAAATTAAGAAGTACATCTACTAGTAAATCTCATACTGTTAAAATTTCACGTCTATATGACAAATATCATAAATACCTTGACTGTAATACTTGGACCACTTAGTCATTGGTAACTGTAGCGAACTCTTCAACCATAAACATAATTATCGGCCAGTGGCCCTAACCATCAAAAATATAAAATCAACTGCAGTTGCCTAATCTTTAATCAATAGATAACACAAAAAAAAGACCAACTCAAATTCAAAATCAGCCAATCACAATCTGAAATGTCCTCAGTATCACCACCAAATCATGGTACAGGTGCGGGAATCGGGACATTAATTTGGACATGATAAGCCCGCCATAAAGAAATGCGAACCGCTAAAAGTAACGGCGGAATCACACGACTTGAAGAAATAGAAAACAATAAATTATATAAAGAAGATAAAGATGCGAAAATTATACCAAAAAGAGTACTCAAAGACACTTTAATTTAGAAAAAATCTAGAATATCTCGAAAAGTGTCAAACGTCCCGCCATTCTAGTGGCTGAAAGTGACTGAGGGGGCTGCGAAAAAGAAAACCAGTTGCATGTATTATGTGCAGTATCCGAGCTTCGGACCCTCAGGCCCATCGGACTTTAATGCATATTATAAATATAGGCCATCTTTCCCACATCTCATCCGCCACGGATTTTTTTGGACCTACTGCTTCAACACGTTATCACGCCATGTTCTTGCGTTATCTGAGGATACCGGCTGTCACGCGTGCCGCCCGTACGGCGCGACTCTTTTCGACTACCGCCCCAGCTTGGACCCAGGCTAATGAGTCCACATCACCGAGCTTCTTTGGCAGCATGAGAAATATCTTTGCAACCAAAAAGACAGAAAAACAGCGGGAGCTCGAAAACAGAGAAGCTCGCGAGAATGCAAACAATCCTTACATTCAGTATCCGCTTATCACCAAAGAGCAGATGAAGAGCATCACCTATGATCGCTTCAAGTTCGAGACAGCTTACTCATCTTTCGCTCACCACAGCATGAACACGGATCCTACCGTGCATTCTCTCAGTGACTTGACCGACCCTACCCAACTCAATACGCTTCTTCCGAGACGTAGGCCCCACGGCTCACCCGCTGACACACTCTCCATCAAGGCAGGTGATGATGCCATGCTCATCTCGCCTACTGTAATGGCGATCGCTGATGGAGTGTCTGGATGGGAATCCAAGGGCGAACAGTCTTCGTCTGGTATCTGGGCGCGGTCCATGGTCGAGACTGTCAGTCGCTTGATGACGGAATACAAAATCAGCCATACCCCACATTACTTGAATGACAGAGACATTGAACAAATCTTGGACGATTCGTACCTCCACACATCGCATCTTATGGACTTGCAGGGCTTGAAGGGCCTGTCTACGTTGGTCTTGTGTATGTTGAGTGGCGACACTTTAAAGATGGTCAGTATCGGTGATCTGAAGATATACGTGGTCAGAAATGGTGAGATCATCAAGACAAACGAAGAACAAATGGTCTCTGACTTGTGTCCGCAGCAAATTGGTACACAGACGCTCAATGTGATGCCCTCTGAAATGGCATGGGTCGACGAAATCGAGTTACAGGCCGACGACATTATTGTCATGTGCTCCGATGGAATCTCCGACAACTTGTACGACTGGGAGATCTTGCATATCCTTGACGAGTTCTTGAACTTCAAGAAGGACAATGTACGGACAGTTGCTAATAAATTATTGGCCAAATGTAAGCAAATTGCATTTGACGACAATGCCTACACTCCATACAATGAGAAGGTAAACAAACTACCCAAAAGTCGGTTCGGCAAAAATTACAGTTTGGGAGGCAAACTCGATGATATGTCGCTTTGCATTGCCAAGGTGGTTGTGAACGAGCCCAAGAAGACCGCCAAGAGGTCAAACCAAGAGACTAAATAATGGGGATATAAGCGACTGAAAGACACTTTTGAGGGTCTTGCATATCAATGGCATACGGATGGGATAATTAATACATATAATACTCTAAACTTCTAAATATTAGCTATCTCGGAGAAGTACTGTCTCAAGATCAACGAAAGCATTTCTGGCAACTCGGAGATGTTTCTTACCACAACATAAAACTCGAAGGGGAATGTATCCAAGTAATTCTCAACCTTCAACGACATAGCTCCAGTGATAGGGTCTGCAACGTAGCTCACCTGTGACATGTCCATTATGGACTCATTGGAGGTGATACCATCAATGACAACAAACACAAGCATCACCTTCTCTTCTCTAGCTTTTCTCACCAATCTCTGGATGGTCTCGTGGTCTTCACAAACACCATCGGAGATGATTATCTGTAACTGCCACAAGTCACTGTTGGATGTGGCACGAGCATTCTCAAAGATCTTCAACGATTTGGTACACAATTGCTTGATGTCGGTTCTCTCCTGTTTGAAGTCAAACCATTGGAACACATTGGCACCACTCTCCTGGTTGAAAGGCTTGTCGAATGGATGCACCAACTTGACATCCTCTCCGAACCTCACAATCGATAGCCCTCCACTCTCTAATTGAGTAAGGGCCTTGGATACCAACGCAATACTGTGGAAAGCCAACTCTGTAGATTTACTTTCACTCATGGATTTGGAATCATCCACAGCAATCATGATCTGGTACTGTCTTTTGGAAGGTTTGGTTCTTCTGAGCCAGATCTTGTCTTTTCTGAAATCTGACGCAATGTATGGAATAATCCTTTTCATATTGAGTCGCTTTCCAGTCTTGTAGTCTCCTCTTAACTTGGTAGCTAATGTGGGTTCCAAGATCAATCTCAATTGCTCGCTAAGTCCCGAGGCCAACTCTTGAGTAGACACTTCACTGTGTCTCCACAAGTCACGAGCCTCGTTCATGTCCATGGCAGGAGCATCCGCTTGGTTGATGGTATATTCTTCCTCCTTGTAATTGCGCAACTCTTTCTCGGCTTCCAAGTCCTCGAACTCTGCGTTAGCAATCAAGTCGGTGTCTTCATCCTCCTCCGACCGTTTTCGTTCTCCAACAACGGCACCTTTAGACTTTGCATCGAAGTCATCGGAGTCATTCTCTGACTTTTCAGGAACCTCTTCGGCATTTTCATCCACCTCCATCTCGTCTTCTTGCTTGACTTCGGTAGGCTTCTCTTCCTCGTTGATTTGTTCATCCTCATCATCAATGGCCATGTCTTCATCAATCTTCTGGACCTGGTCTTTATTGTCAGCAGCACCGAGGGCTTGAGTATCGTGACTAGTGTTGTCTCCGTCCACATGCTCAAACTCGTCGGGTTTGGTGTTAGCCTTATCCTCAGTTTCCTCTTTCTTATCTTGCTGAGAACTTTCTTTGATTTCCTGGCGACGACGGTGGAATTCCTTCAACGAGTCTCCAAGCTGCTTCAATGACTCCTTCATCTCATCCCTAGCAGAATCTTCATTGGGAGCTTCGTCCTTGCTATCCTCTTCTTGCTTCATGTCCGAGCTGGCTCCTCCAGAAGCACCAATATCGTCCTGTTCTTCAATCACTTGGTTGTCTGAACCGTCGCCCTTCTCGCCAGCTTCGGTCTTGGTTGCTGAATCCATATCAACATCCTCGTCGTTGTTATTTTCAGCACCCTCGACACCTTCAGCTGCCTCTTCTCCATTATCGGCTTCGTCGTTCTCCTCAGGCTTGTCATCTTCATCTTCTGGAGCTTTAGCAGCATCTTCATCAGAATCAATATTGTTTTCCTCGTCGATTTCCCCTCCTCCGACTTCATTTTCTTCCTGTGCTTCTTCATTTTCTTCATTTTCTTCATCGTTTTCCATTTCATTATTCTCCTCACCATTTTCTTCACCTTCTGATTCTTCTTCTTCTTGAACAGCCTCTTCCTCGGCCTTACTATCCTTTTTATCATCCTTTTCATCGTCACTCATGTCCATCTTGTCTTCAAACTCTTCCTCTTCGTCCTCGTCGCCTTCTTTATCTTGTTCATCGTCCAAATTCATGTCCTCTGGCAAGTCCAAGGTCTCAGTCTCAGGAACAAAGTCATCCATCTGTTCATTTTCTTGGTTTTTGACCTCATCCTCCTGCTCACCGACATCTTCCTCATCATCGCCACTTTCATTGTCATTCTCGTCATTCTCATCGTTATTTTCATCGTCCTGGCCATTTTCATTGTTGTTGTCTTTGGACTCTTCTTCATCTTCGTTGGCTTCCATGTTATCATCATCATTTGTAGAATTCTGAGGCATTTTGTCAGAATCCTTCTCCTTTTCGTCTTCCTTTGCCTCTTCGTCCCACATCTTTTCATCAACTGCATTAGGATCAAGGTCGTCGATGTCATCCACTTCTTCATCAAGCTCCTCTTCATCATCACCATCTTTCTCGTCTTCGTCTTTCTCTTGGTCCGATGTTTCCTCGAGATCACCAGCCATATCACCTTCCATATCAACTGCATCATCGTCATCGTCCTCGTTGTCATCTTTGTCCTTGTCCTCATTAGGTTGTTGAGCATGCTCCGCTAAGTCATCGTCTTCTTCTTCATCTTTCGAGTTGTTTGTAGCACCTTCTCCGTCTCCAAGTCCGGTACCATCGTGCAAGTTGTTATCCTGCTTTTGTTCGCTTGGCGGTTCTGGAGAACAAAAACCTTCTGTTGCCAAAGTATGGAGTGATTTAGCCATAGCATGAGTAGCTCTAGATAAATGAACGTAGTTGGTTCTAGCCCTCTCTAAAATTGTCAACACAAGCTTCTGGTACTGACTGACCAATGGCATAGTCCAGGCAACCAAAGCGGAAACAATAGCCGAAGTTTCGGAGTTGTACTCAATCTGCTCAATCTGTTGCTTGCAAAAAAGCATGGTTTCCACGATTTTCTTGTGGTGCAACAGCTTGATTGAAGACATGAGCGTTTTCTGTGAATTAGCGAGCCATTCATCGTCATCATCGGTGACTTCTTCCTTAGTGAGCTCCAACACTTGTTGGACAGCAATAAGAATGGAGTTCGAGAGCTTTCTCAACGAAATTTCAACGTCTTCAATGGTCTTGATTTCTTTCAATGAAGTTGAGGTGTTGATGAATGGCCTGTAAGGCCACTTGGCAATCCACTCAAGTAGGCCATCAGCAACGAAGGCTGCAGCAGGGTTCTGCACCTTCCATGTCTTCAAACTATCCACCAACTCAATCAAGATTGTCTTGAATGTGTTAATTGTGGTAGCCTCTTTGTTGGTGAAAACTGTATTCTCGGGAAAGTCGTCAATATACTTCTCAAGCTTGCTCTTGGTGACAGAGAAAACATCACCAGGGACAGTCTTATAGAGAAGTGAAATTCCACCCAACACACTGAGAGAGAAATCCAAATACTTGCACAAGTACATTGACATCTGTCTCAGTTGATCCAAGTTCAGGGCAATCGATTCAACCACGGATGTTGGTTGTAAATCACCTGTTTCATTGTCGGCAACACTTTGAAGAGTTGAATAGACGTTTCTAACCGTTTTTACAGATTCTGCCAACTCGCAAAGCGGCTTTCTCGTGGTTAACAAAGAGAAAATTAAGTTCTCGGTAGCAGCGAGTCCTCTTTCGAGATCAGGTTGTGGAATGTCGTCGTTTCCTCCAGCAATAGCACTTCTCAATCTAGGAAGAATATCAAGAATTCGGAAGTAATATGGATCTGAGCCTTGCAACAAAGAATCCTCAAAAGTTTCGGAGTTCGCAAAGATGAGGTTAACTGTAGTGAGAACCTTCTTCACACCAGGCTTGATGGACGTCTTTACGCCGATTCTTCTGAGTTCCTTCAATGTTTCACTCAATAATTTGTGCTTCTGAGTTTTCAATGCCGCAATAGTCTTCTTGGTGTCGTCGTTCATCACCTTAGGCGTCTCGTCACGAAGTCTCTTCATCTCCTCGATGACCTCTTTGGCATAGTCGTAAAGGGATGGTGCATCGGATTTTGCGATCTTGTCAACATATATCTTCATGTTGTTTTCAATAGTATCCATGTTCTTCAATCTATTTGGTCTCTCAGACCAAGTTGCAACTGCATTACAGGACTTCAAGATAGCCAATTTCTCTTCCTTCGTCTTGGAAACTGGCTCAACAACTCTGACTGTCGCTTCATCGATGATCACCCTCGTTTCTTCAGGGACGCCACCTTGAATGATGGCAGACACTGGCTGGTTCAACAATGTACGGTACTTTCTCACAATCTTGTAAAGGTTGTTGTGAGACTTACGAGAACTCTGTTTGAGAGCATCGATGTTTACATCCTTCCAACTTGCAAGAAGAATAACTTCAGAAACATCCTTTTCGAGAGTTTTCTGTGTCTGCGCAATTGCGTCTTCGATCTTTGGAACAAACTGCTCGTAGAACGTTATGAGGTTGCAAAGTGCATTGTAGACTTCTCCGTCATTCAAGTTGAGAGTGGCGATGTGGTTTTTGAATGCCTTTACTAAATTCAATCTTGCGATGTACTCTCCATAAGTGGTTTCACTCATGAAAATGTTGAGTGCAGCCAAGATTTGAACCACCGAAGGCTTATCGGAGTCTTCGTTCTCGGTCAATTCATCCTGATATTGAATGAATGGAACGATAATGGATTCAAACAAGTGGAACCACCACTTGCCAATACCCTTCTCCACGTTGGACTTCTCAAACTGGAAAAGACATTTCCAAGACGAAAGCTCCAATCTTCTCCATGAAACAATGAGTTGAGTGAGTTCCTCGTAGTGGTTTTTCAATGTCACCTGGCTTGAAGCAAATTTTTCCCACTCGTTCATGAAGTTGAAAATCAGCTCAATTTTGTGCAACAACTTAGCTAATGGATAGTTCGATGGATAACTGAGAAATTCCTCAGCGGATCTCGAAATACTCTGCAAAGTAGCGTGCTCTGGCCACTGCATCAAAAGTTTTGCAACTCCACTGTAAAGAGATAGAATGGTCTTCATGGCTCGTCTATACTCGGCAGGATGAGCATCATGGTAGAAATCTACCTCTATATCAGTGTTGACTGAGTATACCTCAAACGAATTCTGAATACCCAAAATCAAAGCAGATAAATACGAGGAGGAGTTGGCATCCAGAGCAGTGTTCTTAAAGGCTGACAAATCAGCACACAATCTGGATCCCTTGGCACTTATTTTCTCTAAAGACAACGAAGTGCCATGCAAAAAATGATTGACATATAGATCGACAATTTCGTAGTAAACTTCATCGAAATCATCCGTTTTCTTCAGATCCTGAGCACTAAGGTCCATCACCTCATCATAGTCTGGGAATAGTTCTCTGAAATCACCCTCCTCATCGTCAGTGTCCTTGTGTTTATAAAGTGAACCTTGTTGAGCAGCCTGCTCCTCCGCCTTCATGCGACGATAATACCATCTGTAATAGAGCGATTGAAGAGCTTGGCTGAGCACCAGGCTCAATGCTGAGTCTTTGGTACTGGACTTTTGCATGAAGCATAATCCCACAATGTAAACCATAAGCTTTTCACTTATCAGTGAGCCAACGTCCATACTCTTACTCATGCTCTTGACAGTCAAGAAAGTTGATTCAAGCTTTTGTGGACTCAATAAGTTGGTCAAATCCACAGGCCACATGGAAGAGATCTGGAATTTAGCATCCTGCTGCTTAGTGTTAGTGGTGAGAATGTCCAAACCCAATTTAACACCCTTGATGAAGCCGTTCAAGATGTCGTTCAAGTCAGCATAAATAAAATACTTGGACCCCAAACGCATCATGAAGTTGGAAGAATTTTTTTGGAAAATTCCTATGATTTGAGCGTTTCGTTCTTCCAGCGCATGCTCAGCTGCTGCCAACAAGTTCTTAATTGGTTCAACGTCAATGGAAGATTCCATGAATGCATTCCATTCCTCGAAGAGCTCGTCAATGCTCTCATTCTTTCTGTAAACACGTGGTTGAGTGAGCTTCGTTTCACTGGAATCTGGCAAGTACTCTTCAAGCTGCAACTTATTGTCTCCACTAATCACACTACGAACCTTTCTCCAGGATTCAACAAGACTTTGTGCAACTTTCTTTTGGCTCTCGAGAACATCGTAGGCAACATGCTCCTCAATTGCAGGGTCCAACGGAGAACTTGGAACAAATAGCTGAATACATCCACTGGAGAACAACACCCAAGCTTTACCGAGGTCAGAAAGATTCAAGGAAGCGGTTGCAAGGTACAAAGCTGGTAAGAAGTAGTCATTGAAAATGGATGCAACGGAAGGTTCAATAGATTCGTTGATGAACTTCACTAATTCTTCAATATCTGCACATGATAAGGTTTCAGCGTTCTTTTCCTCAAGTGTGACGCCATGAGCATCGATAACATCGAAAAACCATTTCAAAACCAATCGGCGGAAGTTCACCTGTTGATTCTCGAGAATGGATACGGAGCCCTCAATAATTTCCTTTCCTAAAGTCTTCATGTCTGTCAAGTTTTGGTCAAGGTATTTGCCTGGACACAACTCGAGCCTGACAGATTTGGTCAAAGACGACGATAAAAGTTCATTGGTGAAGATTGCACCAACAAGGGATTTTGAGCCATCCGTATTCCAGAAGGAATCCAAGATTCTCGGATATGGAGTGAAAGTAGCACTCTTGGAATCGTGAATGAACGCAGACGAGTCTTTGGAGGTATAATTGGCCAAAATCATCTGCTTGTCAAAATTCTTCTCTCCAAACAACGCACTGACCTCCAAGAAATTAGACAAGTAAGTAAACTCTTGTTGGAACTCGTTGTTTCGTTGGATTACAAAAGTCTCACTGAGTTCACTGAGTTTCTTCATGGCGGTTGAGAGAGACTCGAACAATTCTGTGAGCTCCTCCGACTTCAACTCGTTGCCAATGATATCATCATGGATAGATAATATCTGTGCCCTGAGCAACGACACTTCACCATAAGTCTCGGGATAAAGTTTGTGAGACAAAGAGTCCAAATCGTTCAATAGAGTCAAGAGGCTCACGTAGTTCTCCCAAGAAACCTCGGAGTCAGGATAAATCTGTCTGAATTTCTCCCAGATTTTGGCCATGGAGAAACCAGAAGTCAACTTGAGACCGAGATCCAAAGAGTTGATCTGACTAGAAAACTGCGAAATGATCGCAACGTTGCTGTTCTTTTCGAACCAAGAGGATAACTTAGAATGGAAGACTCTCAACTTCGAAATGTTCTGCGAAGTGCAGACCTCCAATAGGCTGAACCAGAGAGATTGCAATTCAGCGATTTCAGAGTACAAGGTCTCTTCCTGGAAGAAGTTATCCTTCTTCATTGATTCACCAATAACCAAGCTAATGAAAACATTGACACCCTTGATGTAACTGTAAATATCAATCTTAGGGGCTCTTTTCAATTCTCTTCCAAGGCTCTTTGCAGCCGACAGTTCAATAAACGAGAGTTCGGATGCCTTTCCATGAAGTGCCTTGTTTTCGACATAACTCAAGAACGAATTTGCTCTAATGGCCCCAGAAACTACTTGGAGAAGCATTGCCGGCTCTGCATTATCCACAGCTGGAGCATATTTCTCAATATAGCCCAAGATGTAGCAGTTGATAAGTGGATGAGTGGTTTGGTTTGAGCTGAAAGAATTACTAACAACTTCAGACACATTTGTTGAATCATACATGTTCTTAGCGTTCTCCACAAACCCACAATCGTTCAAGCCCTGAACTAACTTCTCCGTATCCTCGAGGGCAGATTTCTCCGCATGGGAAAACTCAGACACTGAAATAGCAGTGCGAACCCAATCACTAAAAGAGAAAATGTGAGACAAGATTAAAACTCCAGCTAAAGAGCTAGAAACAACAGATTCGTTGTTAAGGTCAATAGCGTCATGAACAGCAACGATGTTTCTCAATTTGGAGTCAGTACATGAAATAAAAGATGTCATGGGCTTCGCTGTGGAGCTGACTTCCTCCACCTCTAAGTTCTCCATCATGTTTTCAATTTCTGAATTGGTGGTGCTGGCCATTATACTTCTCTCCATTCCAAGACAGAGTTTATCAAAAGAGGTAGCTCTCTCTTCGAGACCATTCAAGAACACCTCCACACATCTGTTTCTCATGGCACGGGAAAGTTCGCCGTACTTAGGATCCACAGTCAAAAATAATCTGAAGTTGGGGTGTGGTTCCAAAACTCTAGGAGATCCATCCTCTTCACTGCACTCGTTAATTATAAGAGTACCGTTGGTCTCTAATAAAGAGTTAAGTCTATCCAACACAGAAGGATTACACAAGTTAGCATTGTCCAATACCAACCAGTCACCTCTGGAGACAGCCTGGACGAGCAAACCATCGAACCACTTGAATTTGACAGTGGAAGCTTCCTGAAGACGCGCTCCCAACTCTTGACATCTCCTGAGGAGGGAAGATAACTCTTCATTGGAGTACATCGAGAGGAAAGCCATGAAACGTTTCAAGAATTCATTAAAGTTGTTGGTTCCGATCATGACATCCTCAATGTACTGAATCAACCCCAAGGCAGCAGCAAGCAGGCTATTTTCGGTCTCGTGTTGTTGCAAGTTGATCACAATCAACAGGTTGAGCACACTGTGCACAGATGAAATGATTTCAGTGAGGGATCTAGTGAGATCGACCTGTTCATATCCACCCAAAATATCCATTGAGTCGACGTCACTGTTCATAGCAAATTCCACGAGTTTGACACCCACCACGTTAGCAAGGAATCTAATAGTCTCAGTTTTTCCGGAGTTAGTAGGACCGGTCAAGATCAATGGGATGTTCTCGTTCACACTTCTGATGGCGGACTCAAGCACATCAAAGTTTGTTTGCAAAGGCACATAACTAACCTTATCAGTAGAATTGGAAAATTGAATGAGGTCATTACGCTTGATAACAGAACCTCCCGACTGAACATAATCTGGTCCAAGAGAGTAGAAGGAGTCCTTAATGTTCTGAGGGCCGAAAATGCCTTCGAAGAGCTTGACAGCATTTTCACGATCATCGAAAGTACGGAATCTTTGACAAACAATCATCTTCAAGAAGTCACTGAGAGAGGCGTCCTGCTTAGACTCCAAGTTGTGTTTGGAGTTGTACAATGCTAACCAACGCATGGTATCACGTAAGTTGAATTCCCAAGGACCACCGTAGGTTCCCCATGCTTTCTTTGTGACTACCTGCTCTTCCAAGGAGGCCATAAAAGTGATCATCTTAGCACAGTCATCCTTTGGGACGTTAGGGAAGATCTGGTGCGAGATCATTGTCAAATCTTCAGGCTTCAAGATATCAACATACACCACTGTGAAACGGTTTACGAACGATTTAGGCAAACCCTTTCTTCCTCCACCTTGATATTGAGGATTCTGAGCAGCGAAAACCTTAAAATCAGGGTGACGCGGGAACGATCTGTCCAATTCAGGAATGTAAGCTTCACCTCTATGGTCCAAACAGGCGTTCAAACCTTCCAAGACGGATTGAGAGGCCAAGTTCATTTCGTCAAGCAAAACCCATTCACCATTTTTCATGGCTCTGAGGAAAGGAGCATCTCTCCATACAAACTCTCCTGTCTGGCCACCTTCCACTGGTGCATCCGAACCGAACAAGTCAATTAAGTCAGTTTGCTCTGACAAATTTATACGGATCAACGGGTTTCCAGTTGCTTTCGAAATAGCAGAAATCAAACTTGTCTTTCCAACACCCGGGCTACCTTCAAGAAGTATAGGCTTGGGCACTTGCATGGCACGAACCACTCTCATGGCATTGGCTGCAGTGGTTGGGGCATGCAAGTTGAATGGATCGTTCCATTCCTGATTTGGCAACCGAGGAATCTGAAACACACCTGCTTCCAATGTGGAAGTAGTGAGGTTTACAGTTATGTTGGAACCTTCAAGATACTGCGACAAGTCCATGTTCACAAGAGTTGATAACTGCGCAATACATTCTTTTTTGTGACGAGCTAAAGTCTCTTCGTTTTCAGCCAAATATGCTGTGTTGTTGGTTCCAAGTGCATCAATAAAAACCATAGAAGCACCGTGCAATAATGCAGCTTCTGGGAGAATGGAGTCTTCGCATGAATTCAAGAACTCAACCCATGCCAAAATATCACGAAGAGAGATCACTCCGCTGTTGGCGTTTCCGTTTCCAAGTCTCTTACCGAACCATTCAGCAAAGTCAACCAAAGGTTCACAAACTTTGGAGAATCTAGGCTTCAATCTTGCAGAGACAATCTGCTTGACGTCATTAAAATCGTCCATTGAGGGGACCCAAATCTCTGTGAATCTGTTTCTTAATGCTGGAGACAATTCCTTCTTACCATAATCTCCTCCAGGATTCATGGTAGCCAAGAACTGGAAAGTGTCGCTAGCTGTAAGGAATGCATCTTCGGTACCCTTTTCAGCAAGCAACAAGCTTCTCTCAGGTTCCAAAACGGAATTGAGTCTTTCCAATACAGAATCATCAGCCAAAGAAATCTCATCCAACAAAAAGAATTCACCAGTCTTCATAGCTTGGATCAAAGGACCATCCATCCATTCGAAAAGCATGGTAGAGTTTTTGATATTCTCGTCAATCTGGTTGATGAAGTCTTGGTCAATAGCGACAGTTTCATCTTCGAGAAGCTTGTTCTTTACTTGCTGGTACTTCTTAATTAAGTCTTCAACCTTGGAATCGTCAAGAGAGACCTCAATCTTGGCAATATTGAAGAAAGTGATAAGATTCTTGAGGAGGTTGGATCTAATCTCAAATCTGTTCCTGAGAGGTCTTTGAGCACCAAGAATATCGCCAGTCTCGGTATTCTGGTGTGCGTTCACAGTTATGATTTGTCTGCCGAGTAATGAGGCAAGAATCTGACAAACAGTGGTCTTTCCGCATCCGGTTTCTCCAACCAACAAGAGAGGTTCTTTGTATTGGATAGAGGTTTTGACCAATACGGCAAGTCTTCTCATTGCTTTGGTCCACACAATCGACAGTTCCATGCTCATGAGCTCCTTGTCCTCCAATTTTTCGTAGAAGGCGTCCATATCAAGTTTGACCCTCATGACCTTTTCTATTGTTTCCTTGACTACTACCTTTTCCTCGTCATTTCGGACTCTTTCAGCAAGAAGCATGTAACCATTGGCAGCAAGTTCCTCGTAGCCAACAGCCTCACGCATGGCCCATCTGAATAAATCTCTCAATGTTGCAAAAGAGTTCTTTTGTTCAAACAATCTGGTAGATTGTCTGCGAAGAGACAATTGTTTGTACACCTCCACAATTTTCTTTCCGTAAGATGGGGCGATCTGACATCTTTCTTTCAAGATGATCTCGAGCTCATCCTGAGGGATATCATCGAAGTGCAATTCAAGAAATCTGTTTCTGAAGGCACGCGAAAGTACCTTTCTACCTCCGTACAATCCAGGAGGGTTCTGGGTAGCAAACAACATAAAGTCTGGATGTGGATGGACAACCTCCTGGGTCTCGGGGATGAATAACTCTCTGTTATCATCAAGTAAACGGTTCAATGCCTCCAAAACATCAGTAGGTGCAAGATTCAATTCATCAAGAACAATCCAGTGACCCTTTTTCAACGCCTCCACTAATACTCCTTCTCTGAAAACCAATTTTCCGCTTGCATCTGAAACATACGTACCGAGATACTCTTGTAAGTCAGTATGTTCGTGGTTATTAATACGCACAAACTTGTGTCCCGTGATGCTAGCCAAATAGTTGATCATAGATGTCTTTCCAGCCGATGTTGGACCCTGGACCAAAACAGGAAATTTTCTGCTTGCGGTGGCACGCACCAAATTAAGCAAGTTTTTCTCAACAAATGGAGTGATGATGTAGTTAGGAGATCCCACTTCACCGGGTCCACGCTTCATCCAGTAGTGTCTGAATTGGACGTACTCATCTTCGTTAGTCGAAGGGGCAGGAGGACAACGGGAAATTATCGCTTTAGCGTTCTTCAATTTGCCGATTGTGAATTTTTCAATCACTGGCTGCAAAATCTTCTCGGACTTGATATCAAGCAACGTCAAAAAGGCCATGCAAAAACCTTCGTAAAGTGCTCTTCTCAATCCATAGATGGCAACAATGTCACGAACGTAAATCAAGGTACGGGTCAATGTTCTGATACTGAAATGTGGCTTCTGGTTTGCACCGTCAACAATCTTGTTTGTTTCAGCCAAATTCTTAGCTTCAGTATACAATTCAGCAATGTCATCTGCTACCCACTTATCTCCAACGGCGTATCTGTCAATGTACTTGTCAATGATAGAGAGCAAGTCCTCTCTGTCTCTATCGGGCGAATGGACGTAGATTTCGCTGAATCTGGACCGAATACTCAATGGGAGGTCTCTCTTTCCGACATCGGTGGAAGGATTCATACATCCAAAGATTCTGAAGTCCTGGTGGGCTCTGATGGCCTCAACATCTCCACGCTCACTTAGCAAAATCGATCTTTGTTCTAAACTTTCGGAAAGAAGATCTGCGATACTCTCCAATGTATCTGGAGATGCCAAGTTGATTTCATCTAAAAGTAACCATTCTCCATTCTTGACAGCTTTCACCAAGGACCCCTCAACGAAGCTGAAAACAAAGGAGCTTTCAAGGTTGCTTGCCTGAGCCTCAAATTTAGATACGTCCTCTTTAAACTCAAGCCACTTTTTGAGTAAAACTGACTTTTCAGTAGAACGAAGCTTTCTCTTCTTCTTTGGTCCTCCCTCTTGAGTTTCTTCGTCCGAATCTTCAACCTTAGCCAAGAGCTCCTTGGCCATTTTCACTGCCTCGTTCCAAAGCTTTATCACATTCTTCCATTGGTTTTTGTTGAAGCATTTGGACAAAAGTTGGGAAAATTTAGCATTCTTCTTTTGCGAGAATGTTGCCAAGAACAAGTTTTCAAACACCTCTTGAAGAGGAATGGCCACTGTCTTTGTGTTGACTGGCTTGTATCCACCAAGCAAATCTCCTGACTCGGTTTGCTGAGAAACGTTGATTACAGTCAACTTTTTGTTCATGATTTTAGCGATTTCCTGAACCACGGTTGTTTTACCAGTACCGGTTTCACCGACCAAAAGCACGGGCTCCACCATCTCGATGGCAACTCCAATCTGCTCCATCAAACGTTTGGAGTGCTTGGTACGAGCAAAATTGGTATCATTTCCGGACTTCTTCTTGATGTATAGAGCCTTATCGGCAGCAGACTTCCAAAGGACAGCTCTGCCAATCTCAATCTTCTCCTCATCGACATGCAAATTAGGAACATAAGATTGAAGAAATAAATTGATTCTTGACGTGGGGACCTCCAAGATTTCTCCAATAGCACTTACCAAAGGCACAAGTGCACCGTGTTCAGTGATGGCGCTTCCAAAGCACTCGACTGTTTCAGCGAAAATGTTCTCATACAAATGAGATTCCAAAAGAGCGTCAGGAGAGGTAATACCCTTATTCTTGAGCATGCGGTCACATCTAGAACAAAACTTCATGAGGTCTCTAGTAGAAATGACTCTAGGATGGGAGCCTTTGTTCAAGGAAATAAACGAAGACATGGAGTAGATGCTGAGAACCTTGTTGTAAACAATGATGAACTTTGCAATGAGATTCTTAAGGAGAGGGAACTTAGTCACTAAAATGTTTCTGAGTTCAATCTCGCTAGGCGTTTGGACCTCAATAAGCTCCCACAAACGAAGACCAATCATATCGGGAACCTTGGATGAGCCATCGTTCAGGGTTCTAATGGTAGAAATTAACTGGAACCCACTATGTGCTCTGATGACCTCCCCTCGGGAGGGAATGCTTAACTCTCTCTTCTCGAGCAATGTAAGAAGAATGGATAAAACTTCCGTGGGGGCCTTGTCGATATCTTCAACAAGAACCCATTTTCCTTCTTTCACAGCCGTGGTCAAAACACCTGATCTCCATTGGAATGAGCCAGGTTTCTCGCCAGAAGTATACGTTCCCAATAATAACTTGGCATCTGTCTGCTCGCCCAAATGGATTTTCACTATCTCGTCTTGACATGACAAATATTGTGCCAACTGGTTTATGAGAAAGGTTTTTCCAGAACCGGCACCTCCGTATAACATCACTGGTCTATCGTTCTGGATGTTGCGGGCTAACTGTCTTAATACTTGCACGGAATTTTTGGTTTCAACAGCGTTGTCGATAGAGCTTTGGCTTCTCGAAGGATTTGAAACGATAACTCCACAAATGGAGATCACCAACAGCGAGAGGTCTCCGGTTGTAATCGTGATCAAGCGAGACTCTTGGCATTCAATTTCATTAGGCAATTTTGTGTGGTTGGAGAGTCTTTTCGCCTCCACCAATGCAAGAAAATGGTAGTCTATTTTGTAGTCAGCGTCATATGTGTTGACCAACGAGTTCTTTTGGATGTGAGTTTTAATCATGTTGTCTTTGGAGATCTCTGAAGCATTCAAGTATGATGCCAACATTCCGATGGCCAAATACTTGGCCACACTGTACTCCGTTGTAAGATCTAACACCTTGTGCAAAGTGGTGACAGAGAGGAACTGCTTGAACTTGTGAGGTTTAGCATTGTAGACTCGAGAGAATGCCAAAAGCGGACTGTTCAATGAGGTGGGCTCAGCGCCAGTGATAATAGCATCTTCAACACGCAGAAAGATAGGATTTTGCTCCATGAACAACTCAATAAGGTTGCATGATTCGGGATACAAGTCCACCACTCTGGACAAAGCCATGAAGACGATGGAGCCTGGAATGTGGGAAGATGGAATTTTGTGAGCTTCACAGAAGGCATTTTCAAATTTGGCTGGGTTTTCGACCCATCGAGCCATCAAGTCAAGAAAAACAGGCTTGTATGCGTATAAGACAGCCAATGTGGCATTGTGGTGTAAAGCCAATAATGCTAAGTTGTCCAAGTTGGACAGAATGGATGCAGACTTCTCAAATTGGAACAGTGGCACATTTCTCTCGGGAAAGCGTTCCACGTATATGGCAAAGCGGGCGTTGGCTTCGGCTGTGTTTAACCGGATAGAATGGTTCATGGCCAATAGTTCCAGATTTGATGTAGTTGATAAATGAAAAAAGTGCGATGAGCATCGAATAGTGCGTAGCCCATAGGCAGGTGGGAGAGTGTGAATTTGGAGAACGATGAGACTGTGAGAAATTCGTATGGCTTATGTTAGTAAAGAATTAATACAGTAGTATTCTTGAGTGTTTGATGTTTTGTTTACTTTTTTATATTTCATGACTCCTTGTTTGGTTACTGTTTGGTGTGTTTGTTTGTAATCTGTCTATGGGGAAGTACTGTAGATGATGAGAATGCCTTATACATCAATAAACAAACTACATGTGGAGGACGATTTCGAAACTTTTACAAGGATTCCTACTGTCTCCGATCTTTTTAATTTTCTGTTCTTTGTTTTTTCCATATTCTTTTCTTTTTTTTTTTTTGTATTCTTTTTGGCTCTTTATACCTTTTAATCTACGGTATTTCAATAAATCTTTATGGCAACAAATGAAATCAGATACCGTTCAAAAGTGTTTAATCTTCAACCACTTGCCATCGTGAAAGTCAAGATTTTTAAACTTTGTCCGTATACCTACGTCAGAGTCGTTTCGGTTTGCCATTCTTCAAGTTCTCATGAGATCACTTTTTGCACCCAGTGCGATTCACAAAACTACCCACTCATTCATGTTCTTTCTTCAATTGGCAATCCTCACGTTTGCTACAAGCACTTTATGTGAATCCTTCAATTTCACTGGTATGTACATGAAATCGAATTCTGCAATCCTTTCAAGTCCACTTCTAATACTTCAGAATCACCTCAACCAACCTACCTTCCTCATTGTATAAGAGATAAATTTCTCATCAAGTCCCAGGGAGATGTTGAGATTATTCAAAGCTGTTCAAGAATTTCCGGTTCTATCGAAATTCGAGGCTTTTCCGACGCTCTTCTTGTGCTTGACAACTTGCAAGCTTTGAATGGCTCACTCTATATTGTTCAGTCTCCAAACTTAGTGAGAATTGAAGCTCCAAGGTTGGAAACCATTTCAAATGTCTTTCATATGGAAAAGTTGACTTCCTTAGCCTTAGTTCACATGCCTGTTTTGACATCTGTTACCAATTTGGAGTGGAGAGTCCTACCTATCTTGGGTAATATCAATTTTGGAAACATCGACGGACTCCAAAGCATCATTATATCAGATACCTCCCTTACAGGTGTTTCTGGTTTCTCTTCCGCAAAATTGAAAGTTGTTGATGTCAATAACAACCGGTTCATGGAATCCCTTAGGTCTGATGTCGGCCACGTCTCTGAGAAGCTCCATATTGCTGCTAATGCTAACAATATGGTGGTAGAACTCAAGAGCTTGGTCTCGGCGCACAATATCAGCGTTCATAATTTAGCCAGTTTAGATATATCCAGGTTGGAGGAGGTCAAAGGGTCTATCAACTTGATTGCCAATCTCTTCTCTGAAGTGAAAATGCCCAAGTTGACTACTGTGGGAGGAACCTTCAGTATCTCCAAAAATGAGAAGTTGGAAACCATTAACCTTACAAGTCTTAAGGAAGTTGGTGGAGGTTTACAAATCAACGGCAATTTGTACATTTCCAAAATTGATTTCCTTCCCAAACTATCCATTGTTGGGGGTGCTTTGGAACTCGTTGGAAACATCAAAGAGGTGACCATGAAGAGCTTGAAATTGGTCAAGGGCAGTGCCCGTGTCATAACTTCAGACCAAAACTTTAACTGTGCAACTTGGAAGCAAAAAGATGCTAGCACGGTGGTTAGAGGAGGAAAGGTTGAGTGTATGATTTTGCTGGCGAAGTCTGCAGAGAATGTTTCAGTGCCTTCAGTGAAGGCACTCTCCGGAGCCTCGAATTTTGGTGTTGGTATCCTCCAGTTGATGGTTGCGGGGGCTCTTGGGTCTATTGGCTGGTTTCACTGAGTAGCTATATTCAATACATGGAGTGAAGAATAAGTAGGACTAAGGTGGGTGCCGACAGAACCACAGAATATCGTTTTTTTCTCTTTAGGCCTCAGTGAGTGCGTTTGAACACTTAACTTTCAACGTACAACTTGTTTTCTTCGATATACTTCTTGATCTCGGGAATCACAGGTACATTGTTGGTGATCCCAGAAGCAAACGCAGCACGCACACTAGTAGAAGAGACCAGTCCAACACCATCTCTATCTTGCTCCACGCTCATTACATGGATGTTGTCGGCCCAGGCCTTCGGAATGTTATCAAGCTTACCATGGCGAAGCTGGCCGAAATAATCCATTTGTTCCTGATAGCTTTCCACATTCTCTGAGCGAGTCAAGCAGAACAAGTCAGTGGTGGTCATGAATTCCTGAAGCAGATCCAGTAAAAGATCCGGGAGGTAGTATTTTGGGTCTAAAATACGAACCAAAGTGTCAAACCCCACGGCAAATGTCACCTTAATGGAGTGGTACTCCTTGGCAAAATACGTCTTCAAATAGTTAATTAATGCCACAGATTTGTCAACAAATTTGGCATGGTTGGTCAAGCCAATGCTCACGTGGACATCAAGGTTCTTTTCGAGGTATTGGGCCATTAATAGCATCATATTAAGTCTGTGGTCATACGCAGCGGGGGTTTCCAGCACCTTGTCTGCGTTCTTCACCGAGAGCAAAAGCAAAAGAGACAGCTCATCTTTTGGCGTTTCCAAGTTGTTATATTTGAACTTCAATGCCTCTTTAGCAAGCGCATAGTGGGCCAAATGTGGAGGATTGAATGACGAGTCAAGCACGAAGATTCGACGAGTGGACTCGTTGGCTAGTGGGGACGTAGCAAGCGACGAGTAGACGATTCGAAAGTCAGATTTGGACGCTAAAAAGTCTTTTAATTGTTTGGCTAAGGCAGACATGGGAAGAGTATGGGGGAATTAATGTAGGAATTAAAAGTGGAGTTATATTAGCTATACAGTCCATGATCAAAGCTCGTCCTTAGGGACGCCCAGGATATCGACCAATTCAACGTTGAACACTGCGGTTAGTATGCTGTTTTTATGAGGATATGAATAATGTGATAGATGCAAAAGTAGCTGTGGATGGAGTGTGGTCAATGATTGAGGATTGGAAGTGCTCGATAGTGGAGAATTGATATCTGAATCAGAGGAGGATGACAGACGATGAAAGATCAATGGAGGGTAATGAAGTTTGTGACTCAGTAATGTTAAACATTAATGTTGGCGGATACCTCACAGCTGGATTGAAAGTAATTAATCATCGATGCAAGAATATTCATAAGACTCAATGGTGACTTCTAAGAACCCAACCAATTATACATACAAAGATCGGAGTTGGCAGGAATTGGACCAACACCACGGGAGCCGTAGCCCAAACTGGATGGAATAGTCAACTTTCTCTTCTCTCCAATACACATGTCTTTGATACCTTGCTCCCAGCCCTGGATAACACGCCCAGCACCCAATTGAAATGTGATTGGAGTGCCACGGTCGTAAGAAGAGTCGAAGGGAGTTCCATCCATGAGGAATCCCTCGTAATGGACAGAGACGGTGTCGCCAAACTTAGACTTGTGTTTACAGGTAACTTCCTTAGTAACATCTACAGTTAGTAATGGCAGGTAAAAGGTCACGAAAATGACACATACCAATTTGCACCTTGGCGGCAAAGACAGCCAGGGCAAGAACAAGGAGGAGAGTGGCGGACTTGACGAGTTGGGAGAACATAGAGTAGTTGCAAGATGAAGTTGACGTTGGAGTGTGTGCAGAACACTACAGTGGTAACATAGAAGATGGAGATAGATATGGAACTTTGAAGCTAGAATCGGGATTGAAGAAACTTTTCAGAATTTGGCGGAAAATTATACGATGGATTTACGGCTTTTTATTATTTTGAAGAAACTTTATTAATTGTCGTAGTTAATATGTTGGTTTTTTTTTTGATGAATTCTAGTTGGTCAAGACTTTAATACAGTGAAAAAGTAAGAGAGGACAATTGATTTACATTTGAGCTGAAAATTTCAACACAGCACACTCAATCGTTGAATTTCAAGAAGAATGGCTTTCAATTGAACCTAATACATGAATGAATCTTTCGCTTTTCTCATTCGAGATTAATAATGAAGTCATGTCAATCTATTCTAAGTGTAATTCCTCAAGCGAGCATCATATATTTCATGACTCAACCTTGTAGTTCTTTTCATATATCCCACTACGTTCATATCAATTAGGAGGTGTCAATAAACAGTCTATACTTCCACCATGATTTGTTCCCATTGTGATCCAACTGTCAAGTTCTGATAGTACCAATCATGGCAAAATAACTACAACTTCACTCACTTAGATGATGCTACACATTATGATTACTCTGAAATGATAAGAAGTCTATTCATTCTGAAAAGTCCTTACCTAAAGGAAAATTTTTACCCCTGATTCTTCCAGCTTTGAGTAAGTCATGCAAGTCAAAGGAGATAAGAGTCTTCTAAGTATGGGTGAGAAGTTCCATCAAATTCTGTTTCAGTTAACACCTTGCTTGACAAAAATTTAGATTTCAGTTTTACTTGTTGGATTTCAGCTAGATTTATTCATGGATTATTTCCATTCATTGACTGCTCCACATTCACGGTCATGAACTTCTTGCTTTCAAAATCGTTAAAGAAGTCACAATGTACCATTATCCTTTCATCTAATCAAGCATGCTACATTGATTTTCAAGTACTTATGTTATCTTAGAATCGCTCCTTTCTTCAGTCATAAATATATGCTGTCATTCTTTCTATGGTTATTGGCACGGAAGTCGCATAAAACTAAGCCTTTGACAGCTCCTTGAACTCTATCTACTTTGAACTTATTTCAACACGAAATGAGTAAAAATCACGAGTTAGAGAGCTTCGTGCCTCCTCCAGACTATGAATATTCCACGGTACCCTTACAGTTGGAACAGGTGGAAGGCCCTTCTCAGAAGCAGAAGGTTTTAGTGAAGTATTTGGTTACAACGAAGAATAGGGTCAAAGAATTCGAGAGTGAGTTCTGGATGGATCCATCTACCACTCTTGAAGCAGCATGTGCCATCGCCAACAAGAATTTTGTACGCGATTTGAATTTGTCGGATAAGAACTCGGCTCGCAGGCTTGTTCGTAGTTTAGGAAAGTGGTTGGATCTTGAATCCACTCAAGGCGCATGTGGCGTTGTGTTTATAAAGCCTCTGATATTGGCTGGTGACCTTCAGCAGACCATTGGAAGCACTATTCAAGACGATAACTATTTGTATTTGTCGAATTCTGTTGACTGTTTCCACGTGAAAGAGAGATATGAAGCTATCGGGGTTGTTCTAGGTGTGATTAGTGTTGCCATTTTCATTCTCATCTTTCTTGCCATACTTTATCATTAGATATGGATGATAACTGGCTTATTGTTTGTTTTTGATTATTACTGGAGGGATGTGTTTCACTGTGAGAATTTTGAGAGTATTTTAGCATGTTTAGCGAATTAATTTTTAGCACATTTTCTTGAAAAGCAGTAGGTACAATTGCTCTTTGTTATGTGAGTAATTGGTCGTTGTTTGGGAGACTCCTTTCTTCAAAAGGTCTCAACCATTGACTATCCGCCGTCTGGAGAATGAATTTGCCAGTATGGACCTGTTTTTGCCAAGATGAGAACAAATAGTGGTGTCAATACTCCTGAAATAGAATAGGTAAAAAATGATTAACTATTTCATTATTTTTAAGTTTGTTCCTTATTCATCTTGGTTCTTGTCCCACTTTGTGCGCACACAAACTACTTACCACATCAACATACGATACAAGTCACCAAAGTCATCACATCCATCATGAGTGTCTCCCAAGAACTATACATTGAGAGTCTTCCCAAGTATTCGGAAAACTCCTTCGGAAATTGTACAGGAGACTTTAAGCTCACTGTCAAGTTTATGGTTGCAAATCCAATTACTCATGACGTTAGCTGTTCTGAGGCTGAATTCAGGTTTGATGGTGAAATGACAATTGATGAAGCATCAGAATTTTCCCTTCGAAATTTCTCAGGTACTTTAGAAGTACCTCAGTTTTATGGCAGAACTGTTTTTTACAAGGAACCAATCTTTAAGGGTTTCCTTTCATATTTCCAAGATCCGAAGATGCTTGGGACTTTAAACCAGAAGTTGAAAGAAGTCTTCGAAAACGGAGGAGTCATGTGGATTGGCAATGATCCAAGATGTTTCGAGTTAGAGATGTACAGTGAATTTAGAAAGAATCGGCTCTTGATTATGGGATTGGCGGTGTTCTTAATATTTCTTACTGTTGGTCCTGAATTGCTTGAGCTTTTCAGAACCATTTTGCTACTCAAATATGGTGACATCGTTGTAATTAGAAGTCAGAGGGTGTGATAAAATGTTGATTATGAGTATGTGTTGCATTGCTTGGGATCGACTTACTTTCGCCTTCTGTTCCCCGAAAGCATGAGAGAAAATAGAGATTAGTGTTGAGAAGGTACTTCTTACATTAAGATGCAATTATTTTGGCAAGTGGCCATCTTCTAAGCATGATCGAGGACAAAATTGTTAGCTTAGATTCTCTTGAAGATCAGTATTCAAATTTTGTTCTGGAGTGAACAACAAATTGGAACCGATTAATACACAACTTAATGCCCTTTTCTAACGCTATCTTCCCTATACTTTGTTTAACACCTTATCAATGACCTCTCCCGCTGCTAACAATTTTTCCTCTAAAGCACGGGGAGTTACAATCTGTATCGACGTCAATCCCTTGGAGAAAACCTCTGGATCATATTTGGAATAAATACCTTCAAGATGAGGTTCATACTCGGCTGTAGCCTCGTAAGAAGTCTCTACTTTTCCATATGGGATAACTAAAGCTGGGTAGTCCACAAGATTCCACATAGAAGTGTACGGGGCAATACCATATGTGTCATGAGGTGGAGCCGTGGAAGGAGATGGAGGAGTAATCAAGACGTCAATATTGTTCTTTGTGAATATCTCCAGCCACTTCTGGCAGAAGCCCTTTCTTTCACGTAATAGCTTGACTACTTCTTTCAAATTATCAGCCACTTTCGGCACATAATGATCTATGCCACCTTGAGACAATGATTTGATAAGTGGCTCTTCGGCCCTAAGGAGGACCTCTATAAGGTCTTCGTCTCCCTCGATTTGAATTGTGAAGATACTAAGAGCCACTTTCCACCCGTCATCATAAGAGGGGAAGTCTTTAATAGTTACAATCTCGTGGCCAGCCTTCTCCAATTCGTGTGCGGCAACTCTTAAAGCAGCCTTCACTGGAGGGTGAACAGGAAGCAGTGGACACTCGTAAATGACACCAACCCTCAATTTTTCAATTGGTTCGGTCTTGATAAGAGGAGAAGGCGAACAGTTGACGTCATAAGCCCACGGCTTCTTTTCCACCACGGTGTCAAAGAAGAATTTCAAGTCCTCAAAAGTGTTGGCAAGAGGACCAGAGCTCGTTTCTATGCCCAACGAGAATGGCCCGTCCTCATAGCCACGAGTGTTGTATGGAAGTCTATTTGACGAGGGTTTGAGGCCATAGGTATAACAACATGCACTTGGGATACGGATTGAGCCTGCGATATCGGTTCCAACACCAATAATTGAGCCCCTTTGTCTAACAAGGGCACCCTCACCACCAGATGAACCCCCAGCGGTGAGAGACACATCATTGGGGTTGAGTGTTCTTCCAAAAATATTATTCTCCGAATCTGCCGTCATCATAGTCTGTGGAATATTGGTTTTGATATATAACACTGCACCAAGATCGAGTAGCAAGTTCACCATCGACGCTTGTGGAAACTTATTGGCATTCCCAATGAATTCGGTGATTCCGAGAGTAGTATCTATGTCATTGATGTTGAAACTATCCTTGACAGAGATTGGAAGCCCATGGAAGGGTCCAATGAGTTTTCCATGTTTAGCATAATATTCGTCGAGATACTTGGCTCTTTCTAAGCCAATATCGAAGAAGATCTCGGTGCCACAATTCGTCAATTGCGTGGCCACAGCTGCACGATGCATGAATGCAGACGCCACGTCCACGGCAGACAATTCGCCTGTGGCCAATTTTCTCAGAAGTTCAAGAGCACTGGCAGTCTGGGTGATTTCCAACTCTTTCGCAGTAAGAAGTTTGGCTGGAGCAGCCATTACATCTTCGCGCAATTCCTTAAGATTATTAGCATGGATAAGCCATTCAGTGGGAATTCTTGCCTTCACAGCTTCACGTTTAGCTTCTGCCTTACTTTTCCAGGCCGGCTCAGAGATAATTGAGGGAGTCATGAGAATAGTGAACAATTTTTTTTTTTTCTTTGGCACAGTTTGGTAACTGCCTCTTATATATGGGGAAGGTCGAAAGTTGAGAGTCTGATGCACGGTGTGCATGAATAATCTTGGTCGCTTAAATTATCGCCATACGTGCGCGCCTAGTTAAGAGCGATCCAGGTCCGACATGGAATTCCCAACTACCATGATCGCTATCATTAATTCATTGTCGCATCCGCCAGCGCATAAATTGGCGCATCAACTAGCGCCAATGGTGGGCGTATTAATTAGCGCGGCAATCACTTCGCTGGCGGGTTCGATATTTCCTTTCACGTTTCTCAATGTTGATTTACGTTAATCATCTAATGGATGTACATTGATGGATTCGCTGAGGGTGTCAGTCAGGCAAAACTCAAATGCACTAAGTACCAACACTTCCCCTCCACCAATTTCGGGATAATAATTGTTGGGCGGTATTAACTGCTGGAGTATAACTCTCAACTGCTTTTTTTTTTTCTTCAGCCTGTTCCAAATTCCGCTGTTTCTTATCTCTTTGTCCTGTCAGTTGTATTATCTTCGAGAATGAGAAATTGTTGGATCTCGTTCATTAAGCTGCTAAACCTACACTCACCTGAAAAAAAATCTTTCCTTGAAACGAAGATTTCTTAACCAAATGCCTACAATAGCTCCTATCATCATCTCTACTTTTCCTTCTCTACATTTGTTTCCCGTTTTTCTCCTCGTCATTTGCTCCACATTCTCATCTGTCTTCTCATTGCGCGCACTATCATGCGCGATCCCGCCATTCCTGACAAAATAGTGCGGCATGAGCCTTCGTTACTTTATCAGTGTCTTAAACAATAGAAAATTCTGCGGGGAGATAACGTCTAAAATAGCTAAACTAGATAAATGGTTCGTATAAAAAGCACGGCCTTTTCTCAAGTCAACCACACCACGCCAAGTCTCAACCTATTAGTTCTCTAAACCATCTCAACTGAAGTTTTAATAATCTCATTAATCTTTCAACTTTACTAACTTCCTTCACTATAATGAGGTGGCTCAAATACTCTGAAGATTTGGATGTTCCTGGAACCTCCATCTTGGTTGACGAAACAAAAAAACTTGTTGCCGCCGAGGAAACAGATGATCACATTGTCTACATTCCTCAACCCAGCGATAGTCCTCTGGACCCATTGAGATGGTCTGGAGCTTGGAAATTGATACACTATTCGGTGTGTCTTATTTTCGTGTTGGTTGCTGCTGCCACTGCCTCGTGGAATGGTATCTTGTATGATATCTTTGTTTATGAGTTTGGTGTCTCATACAACCAGCTCAACACTGGGTCCGGTTTATCGTATTTGTTCTTGGCTTTTGGCTGTTGGTTCACCCAAATCAGTGCCAATGTTTTTGGCAGAAGACCAACTTACTTGTTTTTCACGGTGTTGGTCATTTTAGCTTCTATTGTGTTTGCTGCTCGCAAGAACTATTCTGGCTACCTTGTGTACAACATCTTGAACGGTTTGGGTGTGGCCCCTATCGACACTTTGGTCCAAGTAACTATCGGAGATGTTTTCTTCTTGCACCAGCATGGACGATTGATGGCTCTTTACACCTTGTGCCTTGCCACCGGATCGTCTTTCGGTCCTATCATTACTGGATACATTTCGTCCCACGGTGATTGGTCATGGACAAACTACACCATCATTATCCTAATGTCTTTCATATTGATCTGCCAAATCTTATTTATTCAAGAATCTTACTTTGACAGAGAATCTAGTGAAACAGCTCTATCCATGGTTGAGCTGCACAAGTCTCCCTCGGTTGAAAAGTCTCAACTCAATGTCGAGACCCAGGAAATCAAGCCAGAGTCGCTTCCATTCTTACAAAGATTGAAGTTCATGAGACCTCGATCTCCTATTGGTTCCATCTTCAAGTTAGTTATTGCCCCATTTAAAACTCTCAGATACCCAGCTGTTGCTTGGGTTGCCGTGGCTTATGGGTTGCAAATGTGCTGGCTCTCTTTGTTGAGCTTGACTGTGGCTCAGTTCTTCGCTTCTCCTCCATATTTGTTCTCTACTGCGGCCATGGGTAACACCTCGTATGCTGGTGTGATCGGCTCAATCATTGGTCCTATCTACGTCTCATTTAGCGACAAGTATTGTATCTGGAGAGCAAAGAGAAACAATGGTATCTTGGAGCCTGAATTCCGACTTGACTTTATGTGGTTACCACTCTTGATCAACACTCTTGGCTTATTATTGTATGGATTCTGCCCTTACTATCAGTGGAAGTGGATTGTTGGAGTTATTGGTATCGGTTTTATCAACTTTGGCATCTGTACCATCACTTCGTGTATGTTGACCTACGTGTTGGAATGTTATACTGACCAGGTCACCGATACAATGTCCTCGTTACTTTTCATTAGAAACATTGTGGGTGCAATATTTAACTGGGTCTTCCAGGACTGGCTAGATGCCATGGGAATCAAGAACTTTACAATTTTGATGGCTGTTTTGTGTGTTGTGATCAATGGCTTTGGCTTTATTTTTGTTATCTATGGTAAGTCTTTCAGAAAATTGACTGCTAAGTGGTATGTTGAAGCTTCACAGCATTTATAGTGGGTTATTTGTTGGTAGCGTCGATTAAAGCCTGAAGTTTCGAAGTCCGGCAAAAATTAATAGAAACATTGATAACGATTGTAGATAAATATGTAGTTCAAATTTTAAATATCAAAAAAAAACAATGGAGCAGTCAAGATACCCAATGTTCGTATCATAGCATTCCAAGAATCCAAACTTTTACGCCGTCTGGTTGGTCTATCACAGTCAAAGTCCTTTTCTGATCTGTTTGTCAATTTAGCGCATCTTATTGTAATCTAGCCTGCACTAGAGAAGCAGCGATACGAAAACTACTGAACGCCTAGTATGTTTCATCTATTATACAAGCTTATATAAGTACCCATGTGGAGATGAATTCAGTTCAGAATCCATTTCTCAGATAAAAAAATTTCATAACCGTGTAACCCCAATTTCAACTAATAAAACAATGGTAAAGCAATATGGTGAGAGACAGTTGTTAACTTCTCTCTCTTCGTGTCGTTACTTTTTCAGGCACCTTCAGTTGGTGAAAAGACGACCATCTTCCAAGTCATCGATTGTTGCTTCGATAACTTCATCGTCGTCATCATCTTCTACCAACTCGATGGTGGCATATTTGATCATATCCCAACGTTTCCAAAAGTCAGAAGCGTCGTTGTAATCATCAGAATCAACCAAGTCTTGCAAAAAGTACTTTGCCCTGATCAAACGATCTTTCAACTCCTGCAATTGGCAAGAAGCATCCTTTGTGGATGCCAGGGCAGGGTCTGCAGACATGGTAGTCATGGAAGAAGGATTCATCAATGATGGCTTTCTTCCAAAGGATGGCTTGGGAACATGCTCAAAGTCACTTTCGTAGTCAGTTAAGTCAGTGGTATTTCCAAACTCCTCGTCATCAGTAGCGACAGAACAAGGAGTGTTGTAACCATATGTCTCATCTTCAACATAAGAAGCGACGTCGCAATATCTAGCCCAAGCCTCATCAATAGCGCCAACAAGATAGTCGAAACATCTACTTCTCGAGTTCTTGTCAGCTTCTGGCATGCATTTCTTTGTACTGGCTGTCGAGGAATTACTGTCGGAGATGTGCAAGAAGCTTCCAGTGGACGAGTTGCGGTGGTGAGACATCTGGACGTTGCCGTTGTTGTTGCAAATGTACACCGAAGAAGTACATGGGGAGCTCAACAACTTGCAGTCAATGTTGTCATCACCAGCCTGCAGAACGGCCTTTGTATCAAGAGGCTCGTACAGGTTGTCATCGTCATCGCTGTATTGGGAAACCGCTTTGGACAACTCATTATTCAAAGAGAAGGAAACTCTAGAGGAGGCTCTTCTCTTTGCACGAATCTGGTCCGCTTTGTAACAAGACTGGTCGTCAGAATCGTTTTCCGAGTCAGAGGAGGAGGAGTAGCAAGCCTGAGCAGGCAACAGCTTGTCGAAGGATACCCTTGGGTAACGCTTCTGAGGAGAGTTCAACTCTATTCTGGACAAGCAGACTCTCTTGTTGAGGGGCGAACGTGGGGCTGCAAAGTCGCAAGAGCGCTTTGCAGAGGTGGAGAACGCCAGCGAGCACAAGGCCATTGTATGTAGGACAGAAAAGAAAAGATAAATGCAGGAAGTGCGAAGTGGCGAGAGGCAACTGCAGGACACGGCACGGGATTACCACAACGTTTGGATGAAGTTGTGCCGGCTATGCGAAAGAAGAGCACTTGTTCTGAACCAGCCAATCAAGGGGTCAGGACACACTTGCGCGCAGGAAAAAAGGGTGGCAAGGGGTGAACGAGCCAGCCAGGAGAAAAATCAGCAGCAAAGGGAGAAAACGCCACCAAAAGAAAAGGAACAGACAAAAAGAATAATTTTGTAGTTACAAAATACAAAAATTCTTCTATTCCAAGCACAACTATTCCAAACACCACCAGGCTAACCGAGGGAAAGATAATGGGAGGGAAGTAGAGAGTGCGAATGAAAAGTTTGTGTCGGAAAAAAAAAACACAAGGAGGAGGGTGCGCGGATATAAAAAAAAGGCGCTAGAAAAAAAAAGAAGCTGGCGACTATTTCTATGACTTCTGGGGGGAGGTTGTGATAAGCACGACACACAGGAAGAGTGCATGTGTGTATAGGGGCTGAGGCTTTGATTGGGCGAGAACGATGTCGCTGTCCGGGTAATGGAGGACAAAGTACAGTGCTCGTGACTTGGTGCACCATGTGCAGGGTATATGAAGGATTGTTGCTAGAAGCGGTGGCTAGGGGAGGGGGAGCAAGAGATAAAGCATTTGTACATGAGGAGAGAATGAAAGAAGTTAAAGCGGAGAATTCTGGAAGTCGAGAATTTTGGGGGGAAACAGATGTGACGTGATGGAAAGAAGGAAAAATTTTCAAGTTGTCAAAAAAAAATCTGAAAAAAAAAAACTTACCTTCATATTGTGTCAAATATTGTTATAGAAGAATACCAAAATAGCCAGATTCTTCTTGTAAGTGACACGTACACTGGAATGCACATAATAGCATGCATTGAGGAATGTGAAAAGTGGGTATGATAGAGATAACGGGCAGAAATGAATTGTTCACCTCATGCATTTCATTCTAAAAAAATTGATATTTCAATGGATTGGTAAATTTTTTTGAAATAATACAACACATGTTCAGTGGTGATACTGGGAATATCCAAGATGAAATTACAGATTGCCACGAAATGCGAGCTTCTGTCATGTGTAGGAATGCGTTCAAAATCTCCATTTCGAGAGTGTTCTTAGTGAGGCAATTCCACTCCTAATTGTAGTAGGCATTTTGATGGAATTTCCAATCCATTGAATTCCAGCATTATTTCAATAGAGACATACATTCCTGGAATTTTGAAGACAAAAAGTGACTTCCTGTGGCTTAGATGATCTTTTGGACTCTTGGAACACTTTTCATGATTCTTCTTTCAGTAATTTTTTCTCATGCCATTACTTAGGTTTTCGACAACTACGCACAGTCTCCTAACCCATGTATAGAACATCGGTTTTTACAGTTTCTAGAGATTTTCATTTTTTCTAAGCATCGATCATTGATTTGCAACCAAGAGAAGCTTTTCCGATTGGCGGCTTAGTCATTCATTTGACTCAATGGAAATGGCTTGCAATGGAGATTTTTCAGTGGATGAAATAATTTTGCATCGAACCACTAGTAGAAAAACGTGTACTTCTAGATAGTGTTTATAGTGTTCAGGTAATTGATTGGTCTTTTGACACGGTTTGTCTTCTCAAGACTCAGAGGCTTGATCTTCCAGTTCATATAATAATTGAGAATTAAGAGATTCACCATCTCTGTCCCTACCACACAACTATGATGCTTCCTTCGTCACCTACTCCGTTTACTCATATCCTAATATTCCATATTCCGATCATTATATTCTCGTTATCCCATATCTCGTGCAAATTGCTGTGCAACTTGAAACACCGAAGGATGTTCTCCTCTTAAGTAGGTTTCTTCCTCTTCGATGGTCATCTTGCGCCTTTCAGCAAAGTACTGTGCGTACCGTGGATCATTCGTAAAATCCGTATTGTCTATAGCATCTTCTGCCCATCTGGACATTGAGTATCTGGCCACAGCAGAAGCCCATGAGTCGCCACCAGCCAACCCGCCTTCCTCGAATATCTCTATTGTCTGAATTCCTGGGACTCTTGTGTTGTTCGTTTCGTTATCAAGTCGCTCTTCCATGGTCTCCATCACGTGAATCACAGTGTTTAGCAACTTGTTGAAGTTTCTATTGTTCAAAACCATGAGCTCGTTGTTCTTGAACTTGGTGTAGATCGCAGTTGAGATTGGTACGAAGAGCTTGAACCCCATGAAGGCCAACCGAATCAGTAGGATCATCAACATTTGGATCTTATCTACCAATGGTGTATCTTTCTGCGAAAGCTCCTGGGTAAAATTTGTCATGTCTGTCTCATTATTTAAACCCAAATCTCTCTGTAGCTGTCTTAGAAGTTTTACCTTTTCATTGTAGTCCATGGTGTCCAATGAAATGGCGTTTGTTTGAATGAGATCGTTGTTAGACCTAAGCACAGCTTCTCCGTGAGATTCTTCGTCTGGGCTAACAGTTGGCGACTCCACAAATGGCATCCACAGGCAAACAGACTTTGTAGCTCGCAGAACTAACAGTCCCAAACTAGAAGACACTTCAGTAGGATTTCTGGCCATGGCCAACTTGAACATAATCTCTCGCCAGCTTGCATCGTCTTCAAACTGACTCTGCTGCTTGAGTACCTCACCCAAGTTCTTATTGATGAGATCATCAAACTTGGCATTCTGCTCATCAAGATAGTTCTGCATAACTGTTCTCTTTGAAGTCACAGACTCTGTCTCTCTCAATGTATCTTCTTCGTCAAAAATTGGATTCAAAGAACTTGCCGTTAAATCTGTCCTTCTGTTCATCGCCACCGGTGACTCCGCTAGTCGCTTATCCATCAATCTGTTGTGGATCTTCTCTTTGGGACTAAGAGGTCTAGCCACGGTGTCTGGGGTATGCTCCAATTGTCGGAAACGCCCTTCATCCAACTTCACACGCCCATCATCTAGCACCGTTTTGACTATGGGAGGCAACCGATCGGAATACGGCATCCTAAACACCACAGCACTGATGGTTGACCGAATTACCATGGTTGTTGGGTAAGGTAATGTAAAGTAGTGGAAAAAGACCAGAAATAGCGCTAGAAAGTTGTAAATAAAATGTTTTCCTCAAAACTGATACACCACACCACTGTTTAATATACTCAGCAGGGAGAAACCGCCGTAGGCTAGGAAAACGCTCTGGTGCAAAATGTTGGCTAGATAGCCTCATCTGCACATAAATATGCACATGATAATTGTTGGTGTAGGACGCCGTTTTCGCAGCAATAGCAACCTATTTGAGTGATCACAACTTGTTGCTGATATATTAATTGGCCACACCACCTACTGCTGTTATAAATACCACCAGACCATTTCATATCATTTATCTTGTGATTCTTTCCAAATTATCAACTTTTATTAGGGCTGTTAGTGTCATCAAATTTCAGATCTTCTATTTACACCTCGTTTAATTTCACTTCAGAGTTCATTGTTTCGACATGTCATCATTTATCGTCAAATGGGTAGCCAACCGCTTCCTCAAGGACAACCAGCTCAACAAATTGGGTGTAGAGGATCCATATTATGAGTATGTGCCACTTCGCCACGATAAGAATGGCAAGGTTACCAAGCACAAGAAGGTTGCTCGCAGAGTGCCCAATGGCATTTCGGAAAACGACATTACTGTATTGCTGGATGTGCGTAGACAGGCATATCGCTATGATATGTGGTTCTCATTACTTGGAATGAAGTTTGGATGGTCAAATGTGGTTGGATTGGTTCCAGTAGCGGGTGCACTCATTTCCAACTACTGGTCCATCCGGATTTACTTGCTGGCCCGGAAACTAGACGATGGTCTTCCGCTCGATATCCAACTTATTTTCTTCTTCAACATCTTGGTGGATTTCTTGCTCTCGCTTATCCCTTTTGTGGGCGATCTTATCGAGATAGGCTATAAGGCCAACCTGCGGAATTTCTTGTTACTTGAGAAGCACTTGGTGCGGGTTGGAGAGAAGAACTTGGGCATAATTCGTGAGGAGGACGTTCGTCCAGGATTTATCAATGATAAAGTCCAACCATTTGTGGAGGAGACCATCGTTCCTGGAGCAAAGAAGGCTGGTGGTCAGATTAGGCCATTTGTTGAAGAAACCATCGTTCCAGGTGCCAAATTGGCTGGTGCTCAGATTAAGAATCTAGTCAATCGCAACAAGCAGCCAACTACGGCCCCAACTACCCAAAGTAGTGGGGCTGTAGCCACGGCTACACTTGAGAAGGACGACGATACCAGGAGTATTCGCAGTTTGCACGAGCATTCTAGAAGGGCCCTGACCAGCGAATGAGAACAGCGTCACGAGCTAATAGCACGAGAGAAGCGCGAGTTGACATATATTCTGGCGTGTATTATGAGCATGTGAACCCACAAGCCAAGTGAGCCTGTAAAAACCACAGTAGTGAAGAAAATTGTTACGGAAATAGAAAATTGAAAATATTTACTAGTCCATATCTCTAATTCATATTGGCTTGACTATTACCAACAACGTTCATACAACTTGGGACAGATGGCCTTCATCGTCTCGGGCTCATTCTCCTTCCAATTGAAGGTGATTTCGAGAGTATAACCCCGTTTGGTTCTGAATGTCTCGTAATCTGTATAGTCCCATATGTTCTTTTTGAATTTCTCTTTAAACGCGTCAATCGAGGCATATGAGAAGCTTTCGAATTCAAATCCGAAGTCAATTTCGGAGTCCTCAGTTACTTGGGAAATCAACGAGTCAGGGTCTGCCTTCGCATTGTAATACACGTCTTTACCTCGCGAGACGACCCATCTTCTAAAATACTCGAACCCATCATCGGAGCATCCGCCGTTCATAAGATATCCAGCACACCACATCTCGGAAGTGTACAATTCCCAAACTAGTCTCTCGCATTGCAATCGAAATCCAACCATTTCTTCTGCTGTCATCTTACCTATCTCAGAGATGAGCCACTTTAACTGGTCATCTTCGTTACCAGCTTCCTGGAGCGACTTATTAACAATTGACCAGAATTTGTCTTCATCCATGGGCTCCGAAATAGGCTCCAATTGTGAAAGGTCGTCAACGGTCATAATTCTATAGAAATTGTATTAATATCAAAATCTTTAGAGGAAGAACGTGGAGAAGCTCACCGCGTGCGGAGTTGACGAGTGCTGCAGGCTCCCATGGCAGATCCATAAATCCTTGGCATAGAAAGGTGAAGGAAAAGCGAGTCGGTGCGTGAAGTAAGACATATTGAGTAATTCAAAAGTTTGGTAAGTCGTGATTTTCGCATGTGTGAGGCTTATGGAATGCAGACGAAGTTTAGCGGGTATGTGATTATGAGATTTGATGCAAGCGAACGATTGAAGTTGACGATGTGCTAGAATTAAGGTTGGTATTACTACAATGCGAGTAAACTTCACAATATAGAACTGGAGGAGATCAATTCAGAATTTGGCCCGAAACCCCTCTCGCTGTAGGAAATTGACAAAAGAATGCACGTAAGTTAGCATAACCGAATGATTTTCAAAATTACTGGAAACATTCCAGGTATTCAAATTGACTTCAATTGATATGAATTGATTAAATATATAAGATTTGTTTTTTCTTATTATTCTCGTCAGTATGCTCAACCTCAACGGTCACCGACTAGTCAGGTTGTGGCTAATAGAGTAAAATTTTGACGAGTCTCTTCTAAAAATCCTCAAGAAATCTTCTTTTCAGGTCTAATCCAATTTCTTCCATTTACCAACTCTAGCATCCATAGAAATCATTTACATTTTGTTTAATATATGAACTGCTCTATATTCTAGTTCATTTAGCATCCCACCAATACTTTCGCATATTTACCATTCTTCGACACATCCTGTCCAAAATTGAAACACAAATCATCCACGTAAAAATCCAAAATCAACTAAAACTCAACTAAAACCCTGAATTCATAGATTTCAAACCCCCCTCTTTACTTTAGTACCAACATCTTCATTATTTTTCCATCCCTCAGCCTCGCTACCGCATCGCCATCATTCCAACTTACCCAGCCTCATACTTTCATACACTCCACAGATCAGTTATCTACTACTTCACTATGGAGACTCTAAACACAAAGGTATCCACAGAGATAGACAGCGCTTCCATGGTGCCGACTGACGCGTCAATTGCTGATGTACCATTGGATGAGCTTGAGCGGCCATCTCTGGATATAGAGCACCAGAATCTTGAGGACATTGGATTGGATGACCTAACAAAGGTGGAATCGAATTCTGAAGCACTCCCTAATCCTGAGGAGATCGATGACACCAACGAAGAATTTAATAACACAGAAGCTGCTAAAGCGTCCGAGGAGGCATCGAACCCCACGTTGGCTCTGTTCATGGCTGCATGTCAGAATGGTGACTTGGAGGGTGTCAAGTCGCTCATTTCCAGCGGGGAAGTTTCAGCATCTGACACTTTCAGCGAAGGAATCACCGGTCTTCATTGGGCTGCCATAAACAACCGTATCACCGTGGTCAAGTATTTGATGGAGAATGATCATTCAAAAGCCGATCCCAATGCCTTTGGTGGAACTCTTCATGCAACTCCACTTCACTGGGCATGTAGAAACGGCTTGGTATACGTGGTAGACTACTTTTTGAGCCATACAGATGCAGACCCTACTCTTGTGGATTCCCAGAAGTACAATGCACTCCATCTTGCTGTGCACAGCTCGAACATTACATTGGTGGTATATTTATTGTTAAACTGTGTTGTGGGAAAGAGAAATATTTATATTGACGAGCAAGATGGGATCCACTGTACCCCATTGCATTGGGCCGCATATCAAGGCGACATTCTCACTGTGAATGCGTTGATCAAATACGGTGCAGATGTGAACAAAGTGGACAAATCGCTCATGACTCCATTGCACTGGTCGTTTATTCGAGGCTACAAGTCGGTAATGTCTGCGCTTTTGGAGGCTCAATCTGATATCTTTGCCAAAAATGACAAGGGCAAAGACTCGTTTGCTGTATCCAAAGATATGAACTGTGAAAACACATGGTTACAGGTCTTAAAGGAGGCAGATAGGGACCCAGCACTCAATTGGCAGCCACGCCGTCACATAATCTCTGCCAAAATAGCCAAACTCATCACTTTCTTCACCCCTTATGTGGTACTTCCAGTGGTTCTCTATATATGCTCTTTCGCTGAGGGTCTTACTATTCCAAAACTTTTCTTGTCTGGATTGGTGATCGCGGTGGCTGGCTTGATCTTGGAAAAGCTTGTGGTTCCCACTTACATGCTCAAGGAGAGGCCAATGTTCAAAACACCGCTCATGGCTGGAGTATTTTCTGCCACTGCATTTTGGGCGGTTCTTCTGTTGATCGTCACCATTATTCCATGGGTTTGGAAGAAATTGTTCTTACAGAACGTCGTGCTTGCCATCATGATTGGAATCTTTTCCGCCACTTTCTTTAAGGCTATGTTTATTAATCCGGGATATGTTCCTGAACCTTCTGACCCCGCCACCATCCAAGAACAAGTCAAGGATTTGATTGCAATTGGAAAATTCGACACAGAGCACTTTTGTGTCAACACATTTGTCCGAAAACCGCTCAGATCCAAGTACTCCAAGTTCTGCAACAGACTCATTGCCAGATTCGACCACTACTGCCCATGGGTATACAACGATATCGGTGTTAGAAATCACAAATTGTTCATGACTTTTGTGTACACGTTGACCATTGCTATTCCTCTCTTCAATCAGCTGACCTCAAAGTACTTCGAGATGAAGGCAGAGAAATTGGGCTACGAGAGTGACTTTGAGAACAAGTGCTACTTGCTTTCTGAAAACCTTTGTGTGGGATTCTACAATAACCATTTTCTCTTCAACTTGTACATTTGGTGCTGGTTTCAGTTTATGTGGCTTTCGTTTCTTTGCGTTGTCCAAACGTTCCAGATCTTCAAGGGTCTTACTTCCTGGGAATTTTCTTCTTTGAGCGATAAAGTGTCGAGTCCCAAATACAATCACTCTACTGTTCCTAGAGATTTCCATGGACCAAATGCTCCTCCAATGTCAGAGCCTCCCATGACACATGCTCATACACATCGCCATGGATTCAGTACTCTTATGAAGTTGATCGGGTTGGATCAGTTTTTCTTGACTTTGAAATTAGCTGCGCTCTCTATTTTTCAAAGAACTACTCACTCTCAGAGTTATACATCCATTGACAACCTCGATATTCCAACAGATTTTGGATGGAAGCAGAATTGGCTTGATTTTTGGTTCATTGGTGATATTGAGTGGAGGAATTTACTCTTTTTGCCAATCGAAGGAGAGAACAACTTGAATGGCAAAGTGGTGGACTATTACAAGTTGTACGAGTACCCACCCAAGGTATCTGGCCCAGAGGTGGTATAATTTAATCCGAGAAACAATAAAGCAAGCAGCCCTAGTTACTCATAGCCTTCGAATATAGTTTACATGGACAACAACCACATGAACACTGCACTGAAGTAAACGGAAAAAGCTCCTAAGAAGAAACAGTAGCTAAAACAGTTCACATGAACAGAAGCTAGTGACCGATCTGATGAACAGAAACAACTCACATGCCAAGAACTATTATAAGTCATGGGGCACTTAATAGTCACCGAAACGAACAGAAATTAGAAGGGATCAAATGACTACCGCTCAAATGACGCAGACATCAGCACAAACACACTGAGTCTAGGACTACTGTCTGTTGCAGAAAAATCTAGCAACTACTACAGGTGGTCGACACAACAACATACAGTCAACTACAGTCACTGAACGCTATATGGAAAATTCCAATAGTGAATCAAGTAACTTGTCAGACAGCCACTCGCACCCACCCAAAACTAAGTCTCCCGAGAGAGCATTTAGAAAAGGGTCAAGATCATCGCTCCTTTCGAGACCAATGCACGAGGCAAAGGTGCTAATGAAAGGCAAACAAATTGTAGATGACCAGACCGCAAAGGATCATGGACAAGCTAAATTGGTTCTCACTTTGAGGGCGCAAGGGTATCTTACTCATCAACCAAGTTGGATTCGATGGCTCTTTAGAAGAGTCAAAGTGGGACGTGAACTATAGAAATGATCCTATGAAGTACGTCGACAAAGAAAAAAAAAAAAAAACAAGTAAGGCGGCGGATGTGATGGGCTTCTTATAGTGCGAGATGAAAAGGCGGGTAACACTCTGGCTCTAGGTATTGTTTCAAGATTCACGTGACCTAAATTGTACTATCTCGATCTTGTCAAGACCAACGACTTCGAAATTAATAATTGATGATCTTTGTTCTATATTAATATAAGCTGTAATTACGAGTATGATGCGTGTTTCAAGACTTCAAGTCATAGTCTCGTCTAGAACATCTTCTCATTCAGAGGAATAGTTTTTGCAACTAATGCCTAGAATACACCACTTCAGAAATACTAATAAGTACAAGTCAAGTACTAGCCTTATGATAGAGAAAAGACCGATCTCATTCGTTCCAATATATTGATCACAATTTGGCCTCAAGAACCTTCACAAATTCCAGGTACAACTAACTATAAGTACATTGAATGCAACACAAGATACAAGAGTTAAATTAAGCTTAATGTTCAAGAAGTAAACGCTGAAGGTAGTCATATTTGGTTGAGAGATTAAATAAATTGAATTTAAGCTTGTAACTCCTGGTTATTCTCATACCTGACAGTCTTTTGGATTCAAAAACCCATACACCCATACACAAACCCCAGATTGTTGCCAAATCACCTCTTGCACGATTAATGTTCCGAAATCCAAATAATGTGTTCATAAATACCGCATGCCCGGATCTAACTAAGAATGGAGTGTGCAATGTGGTCAACTGTATCTTTAAGCATCCGGTTTCATCGCAAAGAAAACGAAGTGAAAGTCCTCAAGACCGAGATACAAAAAGAGTAAAGATAGATGCTGATTCTGCAACTCCAACAAAGCAGGACAAGAAAGAATCACCACCAGAGACACCTAAAATCAAAGATGTACTGTTTGTTGTACCAAAAGCACTCAACAATGGTGCCAATATTCAGCGAATTGACCGTATCGAATCAGCTAAGAAGATACTGAAGCACTTGGAGAAAACAAACGCCAGTCCTACTCCCAACAAGCTGGCAATGAATAGGGAGCTAGAAATCGCAAGTTCAAGCAAGAATGAAAAAGACTACCGTGAAAAAGTGGATAAGTTTCTTGGAATTCACTCTCAGCAGTCTCCTAGGAATGATCCTCAACATATTGTACCTTTAGAGGTCAATCCAGCGCCTGCAATGCGGCCAGTTCGGAAAAAGTACATCGAGCATTTGGTGGAAGCGATCAAGAGAACAGATCCCGAGAACAAAACTCCAATTTCTACGGCTATTGAAGAAGAGTTCAAGATAGCAAGCACCAATTCCACGACCACATACAATATCGCTGTGAAGCGGAGGCTCTATGCCATTAACCACCCAGAGAGGGTCAAGGTGGCTGCTCCGGTGAAAATATCCCCAGCAGAGTACCTCCATGAACTTCGTGCACTTTGCATTCCTAAGGAAAAGCTCATCAAATTCGGATTCATCATGGAAACACCAGAAGATATAGACGGACCTAAGAACGAAAGAGTTTGTCACAGATGCAAGCAAGAGTTCAAATTGAGCGAAGTAATGACAGAAGTTGATTGCCGGTACCATTCAGGCAAAATCATCAAGAATCAACTGGGAACTAGAATTTACTCGTGCTGTGGTGGAGTATTGGGAGAAACAGACACAGATCCATGTGCAAAATCTAACCATCATGTTTTCTACTGGCAGGGTCCACAAGAAATGCATCATGCCCAACCATTCAAACACACGAAGAAACTTTGGGGAGTTAGAAAGGGAAGTTTGGATGCCGTGGGAATAGATTGTGAGATGGGATTCACCAGTCTAGGCTTTGAATTGCTTCGTATCACTGCTATAGATTTCGTCTCTGGAGAGGAAGTTTTCGATATTTTAGTCAAACCAAAAGGACAAGTACTCGACCTCAATACTCGGTGGTCAGGAATTGCTGAGATCAAGGAAGAAGCACTTATGTTTGAGAATGCTATTGAGTTATTGGGAGAAATTGTTGACAGCAAAACGGTGATGATAGGCCATGGTCTTGAAAACGATATGAACACTATGAGGCTCATTCATGAGAATATCGTTGATACGGCAGTGTTGTACCCCAAACACAAGGCTACTCCTACGTTTAGGTATTCATTGAAACAGCTAGCATTTGAGTGTCTTGGACGGAACATTCAAGGGGGCCAACATGATAGTTCTGAGGATTCGCTAGCAGCCATAGATGTCACCAAGCATTTTATTGCGAAGGACATCGCACTCAAAGCACGTCGCAGGTCAGCTTGAATTGGGGCAGATCTTTAGAGAGAGCAGAAGAGATGGGACAGGATATGAGGCGAAAAAAACAGTCAGAGACAGAGTATAAATAGAGTCAGAGACAGAATTTAGAACAGAGGAGCTTGACAAAATATAATTGATGAGGAAAAGGTATTATTTATGTCAGTAATTTCAATGGCGCGATAAGAATTTAGAAACCTTGATCTAGATTGCTCCGACATATATTACTTGATACAGACAAGAAAATGCCAATAATAATAATGGGTTTAAACATACTGAATACAACAAAAGAAATAATCATGGAACCATGTCTTTCAAAATCCACTTTGTTCTCTTATTTCAAACATCATTCCAATCTCTCCGCTATAGATTGTTACCCTCGTGTTGTTCACAATCTTCCTGTGTGGTGATCCTGTGTAATGCTGCAAGGGTTGCAAATGATGACTCCACTTCCAGCAGTATAAATAGCCCTATAAATAGCCAGCTATTGCTAAAATTTTTCTCCAAATTCTTTATTGCAAACTATGGCAGTAAAAGCAGTCATACTCGTGGGTGGCGAGACTACCGGCACCAGATTTAGACCGTTGACGATGGACTTCGACAAGTGTCTATTCCCGGTAGCTGGCCAACCTCTTCTTAGTCATATCATTACCAAATTGAAGTCAGATTTAGGTGACAATTTGGATGAAATCTTTCTCATCAGTTTCTTCAAGGACCCTGTCAAGTTCGAGACCTATATAAAAGAAGCCAAGTCTTTGTTTCCGGGAGTTAAATTGTCCCTCTTGACTGAGCCTACTCCCATGGGTACAGGTGGAGGTATATTCTACTTTAAAGATAAGATTTTGGGACTGAAGCCGGATTCTTCGATTTTGCTCATTCACGGAGATGTCGTTTGTGACTATCCATTCAAGGAACTTGTGAGTTTCCAGTCTGAAAACAATGCAGATGTGACCATTCTCGGAATCGACCCACCCGTCTTGCTCAAGGATAGAGCTTTCCATGGCTTAGACAAGGAGCAGGTTTTGAGAAGGTACGGAACTTTGTTCTCAAATAAGCAGTCTCATAAGGTGGTGCACTATGTGGAGAAACCCAAGTCCGACTCATTTGCTAAGTTTGTAGACACCGATTACCTGACGTCTATTAATGGCGGAGTATATGCATTCAAGCCGACCATTTTTGACTTGTTGGAGGAAGCAAAGGCCAAGAAATTATCGTCAGAACCTTTCCCCAGTTACGATGTTGATGACCAAGAGGATCCATACTACCCCAACATATTGTCGTTTGAGTTGGATATTTTCAAAACTTTACCTGGAAAAGAGGGACTTACTTTCCTCAACTTTCCATACACGCAATCCTGGTACCAGTTGACGAATCCAGTGTTTGCATTGGCTGCAAATGCCTTCTTGTTGAAGAAAGATGCCCAGCCAAGTACAAGCACTCTAACTTCACCAGTGAAGATATTAAGTGACTTGAAGTTAGATGGTAGTAAGATCGGTCCTGACGTCTCTATTGGTAAGAACGTCAAAATTGGAAGTGGAGTACGCCTCAGAAACTGCATCATTTGCGATGGTGTAGAGATTGGAGACCATAGTGTGATTGTAAATGCTATAATCTCCAGGAACGTGGTGATTGGAAAATGGTGTCGTATTGAGGGAACTTTAAACAATCCCGTTTTGGAGGCCAGTTTGGAGCATTCCTCTAAACTCTTGAGTAATATGGTGATCTTGTGCAAAGATACCACTGTAGGCAACCAGGTGTTCGTCTACAACTCGGTGGTGTTACCTCACAAGGAATTGCGTGGTGACGTCAAGTACGAAATTGTCATGTAGTTTATGAATTGGCTGCTAGTCAAAATGCTTGTAGCGAGAATTGCGAGAGGTGGCGATGGATTTACGACAAGTAGGAGACGTTCCGAGCTTACACTCAAATGTGCCATTGACTGGAATCTCTACAGTCACTTCTGAAATGTAGTCTGTTCCAAATGCTGGATTCACATTGGCGAACGAGCACTTTTCCGGAACATTAACTACTTTTTTCAACTTGGCCTCCAAAAGGGTCTCTCTATACAAAATTTGCATGAGTTCATGGTGACGGGCCAAGCATTCGAAGTCATAGTCAAGTGCAGAATAGTTATAGAAGCCTATCTGAGCAATCGGGAGACTCTCAATGTACAATTGTGTTTTATGCTTGAGCTCATCATGTCCGCTCTCAAGACTGCCATGCAATATGGCCAGAGGATTGAAGGTTGGTCGTAAAACACTGAAATGACGGTCACTGGTGTTGATTCGACATTCGGATGCTTGATAGTTTCTCTGGGTTAGTGTCACAGTCTTGAGGAAGAATCTAACCAGACTCTGCTCCAAGCATTCAGGTTTTCTACTTAGCTGAAGAAAGATGCTTTGAGAATTGAGTTTAGCCAGTGCCTTGGGTGTTTTGCCAAGATCAAACACCTCCGAGTAGGTGTTGTAAAGCATGGAGGACACCATATCTTTTGGATGGTCGTGGATAGAGACTTTATGCACCGCTTGATTGGCCAAGGGAGTGGCAATAATGGGGATAATAAAAACGATAAGAAGCAATGCATTCATAATTGGAGAAAAATGAAATAGATTTGGATAAAGTTGAATCAGTTAACTGCGCACAAAGTATAGTGCAAAGCAAAGGCAGTGTAATATGGGTGGCAGTGGAATGTGGGAATGCGGAGTAAGAAAGAAAAATACAGTAAAAAGGTACATTTTGAAAGTAAAAGAAACTGGAAAATTGGTAACTCATTTCACTTGACCAACAATGTTTATCACGTAGTCACTATCGGTATCGATACTATGGCTGCGAATATCTCGTTTCTGGGAGTTTATACTTAACACAAGCTCATAATCAGCGATATATAGGGTCATAGCACTTACAAAATTGTCTGTTGAATATAATACTAATGACTTAGTGGAATCATTGGCTGTAAATTGTCTCTATTCGAAACACCTGGCCATCATTCGAGAGCGACAAATGCTAGCATTGGTTGCTATTCAGGATGACCAGGCTGCTTGTAAAATCTCTCAGCATTCATATCTTTCTTACATCTAATTTTCAGTGCTTTCCACTTACATAATATAATTATTATCCGTTTGGTGGTTCATTATCTAAGTGATTCTCCATTCTAGTATTACTGGACTCTGTAGTACTTGGGAACAGATTAACAGGACGACAGGACGAAAGAATAACCAAACAATAAACGAGAAATAATCAGACATGAAACAAAGAAGCTCATATTTAAAATCAATAGAACATTCTGAAAACTCTAATTTTGTGGAGTAATGGGGACTTTGATAGTTAATGAGCCATATACAGACCACCTAGATGAGTATAACTTACCCAGAATTCCATCCAAAATTCACGAAGACATCAAACAGAGCAAAATAACCAAAGAAATCAAAGCTGCAATAACATGCTACTCAAACTGACAATATTTATGAGAAATATCCATGCATTCAACCTCATCAACCTTATCCTCCACCTTATCCACTAACCCATCACTATTCCCGTGCAGGCTGCGATGAGAGACTTTTCAAACCCACCATGTCCTTCTACAAATACAAAGACTTGATCGAAGAGGGCGATCTCGTCCTCGCATTCGTGTCTCGTGGCCTCATAAAGCCCTTTACAGTCACCAAGGGTCAGCTCCTCAACACCCGGTTCGGAAACTTCGAGCATGACAAGATGATCGGCATGAAGTTTGGAACCCAAATGGGTGGTGTTAAAGACCGTGGGTTCGTCCACCTTCTTCATCCTAGTGCCGAGCTCTGGACAGTTTCACTTCCCCACAGAACCCAAATCGTGTATACGCCTGACTCGTCGTACATTGTACAGCGACTTGGAATCACCAGTGGAAGTCGAGTCATCGAGGCTGGAACAGGTTCAGCATCGTTCACCCACGCATTTGCCCGTACTTTAGGAGCAACCGGACGTCTCTTTACTTACGAGTTCCACGAGCCCCGGTTTTTGGAAGCCAAGCGGGAATTGGAAGAGCATGGTCTTCTACAAGAGAACACTATCATCACTCATCGAGATGTATGCAATGGAGGCTTTGACATCGAGACGTTGCCAGAGAAATTTGGGTCCGAGATCGCCTGTGACGCCATCTTCTTGGACTTGCCATCTCCCTGGACTGCCATTCCGCACCTCAAGTCGGTGGTGTCTCAAACTTCGAAGGTGGGCATCTGCTGCTTCAGTCCATGCATTGAGCAGGTGGATAAAACCATCGAGGCCCTTGAAGAAAACGGCTGGACAGGAATAGAAATGGTAGAGATTGCTGGAAGACGCTGGGAGGCACGTAAGGAAATGGTCCGTGACCTCAAAGACGTGGTTGCAAGACTCAAAGACATTCAGGGCAGAAAATCCCAAGGCATTGAGAGCAGAAGAGTTGTTAAGGTGGATGGCCAGAGCCATATTGGTGACAAGAGAAGCATTGCCGAGGTGGACAGCGAAATAAGTTCACCAGAGCCTTCCTCAAAGTCCAATCGGGTCAATCCATTTGGAAAAGGCTTGAGAATCAAGGAAGGTGACGAGATGTTCCAGTGGAAGCAGGTGACCAAGATCGAGCCTGAAATCAAGACTCATACTTCTTACTTGACGTTTGCATACTTGGTTCCAGAAAAAAGTTGAGGAATCCGAGCCATCGATGAATAGAATTGAATGCAATTTTTAAATTACGGTTTCTTCATTTTATTCTAGAAGTAATTCTACTCTAATACATTTCACATCTACTTAACTCTCCTTCCATTCTCCTGCAGATTAGTGCTCCACTATCCAGACACTTGCGCCCTCAATAACGGACAACTTTCATCTACTCCTATCTTCAACTATGGAAGGAACCCCAATTGGTATGTACTAGTCCATTGTAATTGGCTGAAAATCAGGAATTATATCCCATGCACCCGGATTGTCCCTAGAGTATGCTCGAGTTTACTCCTGCCAGCCATGTCTTTTCCATTACAAGTCACCCCAACTAACCGCTTCCAGTTCTTGACCAGGGTACTGGTTTTGTGAAAATCGGCAGGGCCGGAACAAACTTTCCAGACTACACATTTCCTTCACTTGTAGGAAGACCCATATTGAGAGCGGAGGAAAGAAACGCTTTGGTACCAGATGACATCGAAATCAAGGACATAATGTGCGGCCAGGAGGCCAGTGATGTTAGATCCTTGTTGCAAATCAGCTACCCTATGGAGAATGGTATCATTAAGAACTGGGAGGATATGGAACACTTGTGGGACTACGCATTCTACGAGAAAATGAAGATTCCTACCCAGGGCAAGAAGATCTTATTGACCGAGCCACCAATGAACCCATTGAAGAATAGAGAGACCATGTGCAATGTTATGTTTGAGAAGTACCAGTTTGGTGGCGTTTATGTCGCCATCCAGGCCGTTTTGGCCTTATATGCTCAAGGTTTGTCCTCGGGGGTGGTTGTGGACTCCGGTGATGGTGTGACCCACATTGTGCCCGTGTATGAGTCGGTAGTGTTGAACCATTTGACCAGAAGATTGGACGTGGCCGGAAGAGACGTGACAAGAAACTTGATTAACTTATTGTTGCGCCGTGGATATGCATTTAACAGAACAGCAGACTTTGAAACGGTGCGCCAGATTAAGGAGAAGTTGTGCTACGTTTCCTACGATTTGACTTTGGACACCAAATTGGCAACAGAAACAACCACATTGGTCGAGTCATATGAGTTGCCAGACGGCAGAGTCATCAAGGTGGGTTCGGAGAGATTTGAGGCTCCAGAATGTTTGTTCAACCCCAACTTGGTGGATGTGGAGCAGGCTGGTGTTGGTGAGACTCTCTTCAACACAATACAATCTGCTGATGTTGACATCAGATCTTCGTTATACAAAGCCATTGTGTTGTCAGGTGGTTCTTCCATGTACCCTGGCTTACCCTCCAGATTAGAGAAGGAATTGAAGCAATTGTGGTTGACCCGCGTTTTGCATGGAGATGCTACTCGGTTGGAGAAGTTCAAGGTGAGAATCGAGGATCCTCCAAGAAGAAGACATATGGTGTTCATTGGAGGTGCTGTCTTGGCCAACATCATGGCCGACAAGGACCACATGTGGATCAGCAAACAGGAATGGGAGGAACAAGGTTCTCGTGTGTTGGAGAAGCTTGGTCCTCGCTAGATGTACAATATATATAAAAAAACTTTACTGAAATCACGATTTTCCACAAAACTTCAATGTGTCTGAAATTATTATTGTAATGCAAAAAGTTATATAGTACAATAGTTATGCAAATGTGTCCTCAACTGTCTATGCATAGTTGAGATCTTCAATCTGTCGAAGTACAGTCTCAACAAGTTTCTCGTAAACATCATCCGTTATCTCCTCGATCTTGTTTTGACTACCAAAGTTCACAGCTGAATATACTAAATCCTTGACGAACTCACGGCTCACCGATTTGGGCCTCAAAAAGTCGCTGTTCATACACTGCTCCACTGTCCATCTCTCGTTTGGATTACGGGTGAGGCACTTTTGCATCAACTCGATACAACTGAGTGGAACAGGCACACCTCCGATACCTGTAGATGGGTAATCAATCTTGACTTGCGGATTCATAATGGCCATAATGCGCAGCTGCCCAGAGTAAGAGCCATATGGTGGTTTGCCGTAAATCATCTGGTAGATCATACAGCCACACGACCAGATATCCGAGGGCCGTCCGACTTTCCATGTGTTCGAGCCGCTCGATGTTCTCTTGGATACCACGAATGAATGGTTCACATCCACTAGCGCTTCAGGAGCCATATAGTTCGGGGTACCGATTTGTGATTCACGGTAAATGTTGGCAGTATGATCTGGGACTGCGTTGGCTATACCAAAGTCAATGATTTTCATTACTCCTTTCACGAAAAGGAAATTAGCAGGCTTTAAGTCGCTGTGAACAATACCCGCACGGTGGACAGCTTCAACGCAGCGTAAAATTTCCATAGCATGGAACTTGACGAAATTAAAATCAAGTTTGGATTCAAGGCTAAGCTTTGTCTGCAAAACACGAGCCAAATCCAAGTCTCCACACTCCATTACTAAAAAGATGGAGCCGTCACTGATGGAATGGTCCACCAATTTGACTACTCTAGGCTCATTCTTTAACTTTATCAATAGATCGATTTCTCCCTTGAAACCTTTGACACACGAATCATCAAACTGGTCAAACGAGACCTTCTTTATGGCCAACGTTTGTTTGGTTGCAAGGGAGCGAACCTTATAGACCTTCGACGTGCCACCACGACCAAGAAGCTCTAGCTTCTCGTATTGTTGAGAATTAATTTGGATTATTTTCTTTCGCTTCCCTTCATCATTGAACTTGCTTTCCGAAATAGACTTTTCGGAGCTGGCCGTGGAATGGAAACTAGCATGCAGAGGCGAAGCAGGCTGTTTCGATGCAAATGGAGTGTGTTCGACAGAATATGGCTTGGTGTTAATGGGTTTCTTGAAGTCCAAGAGTTTTCTCTCACTATTAAGAATATGAGGAGCAATTTCGTGCAAAGGAGGCCGAGACAGCAGTGGGCGTTGAAACGGATTTTCTTGATGTTGAGCCGATCTGTTAGTGAGTACAGAACTGGACTTGGAAGCGTCAAAACGTCTATTTGATTCATGAGAAGGACCCTCGTGTCTCGGAGGACTGACATGGCCAAACGTACCTGAACCCGACTCAAGAACGGGCGATCTCAGCTTGAGCTTCTCGAGAGTTTTGAAAAAGTCCAAGTTGCTAGTCACGGCCGTCTTTCCGAGTCTGGACGTCGAGGGGTCTGGAGAAATGGGCAATAATCTTTTGGGACGCTGTAACTTTGAGTCTTCAGCTGTATGGCCCAAATCCAGAACAGGCGAGTCTATGGGCTCTGTCTTCACTTCTTCAAGTGGCTCAGGTACCTCGGATGCACGTTTGGGTGGCCCCAAGGACCGAAATCTGCGTGCCAATCGCGACCGTTTTACTCCCGAGAAACCGTTGGAATGTGGTCGAGCAAGCAGTTTCCCCAGCGCAAGCGACCCACCAGGGGCAATAGCTTGCGAAGATTTGGCCAAGTTCTCGCCCGAAACATCCATAGGGTCTTCGTCTTGCTGAGCATTGAATGAACTACCAATAGATGTGTTGCTTGTGTTGTGTGTGCTGTGGCCACTTGTGCTATGGCTAAGATTGTTCCCACTTAGATTGTGACTTGTAAGGTTATGACTGGAGAGATTTTGGCTGATGTTGCCGCTAATTCCAATGGTTCCAGTATTTGTATTGGCAGAGTTTGCGTTGATTGAGCTCATTGCAGAGTTTGCAGAGTTTCCATTAATCCCTGAAGCTGCAGTTTGACCAAATTGCTCAGAAGTAGCGCCTGGAGCCTTCGACAGAAAATGAACTGACAATTTGTTCTTCAAGGAGGTCTTCAAGTCGAGATTCTCAGAAGGTTTGACCGTGAATCCAGACGAGACATGGTCACTCAAAAGCGCGATACTGTAGGCGCTAAGAGGTGGAGGTGCAAACGTGTTATCGTCATCCGGTAGGTGCAGCCGCCCATAGGGGTACGACATGTCCTCGTTGACTTCCATTGATTTGTATTTTGTGTTTGGAGTATGAGTAGTAAGGTAAACATTGGAGGTGCACGGGTGTGCGTATGGTGGGTAGGGTAGTGGTGATGACATTTGGAGTGTTTATAAATTTCATAATCTTTGGATTAAGATGATTTTTTATAACAAAACTAATTTGATGATTAGTCTTCTTTGACAAACAAATTTTATTATTTTTAATTGAAAGGAGACCGTATCAAGTTAGTCGCCTTAGTAGGTTTGGCCATTTAAGAGGGTGATGCGATATGTACGGTCTGAAAGTCAAACAACTACTATAGATGAGTAAGTGAAGTTTTTTTTTGTTTTCAAATATTTTTTTATTGAGATGACGATTAAACTTTCTGATACGATTATTCATAGTACTAGACGTGAGTAACGAGACTTTCTCTGACGTCTCTATTTAAAGTTCACAGATTCTTCATCTGGATCCATTCATTGAAGCTAATCCAATGATGCTCCATAGACTCTAGAAGCGCTCTGTTTTCGAACTTTATCAGAACAACCCAGTATTTAACTTTGTTCGCCTACTATTCGTCATCCATATTCTATATATTCTTCCGATACTATACCACCAGGGTCCATCAAACGGTCTTGCAACCTTCTCTATTTACACCCTCAACCACCATGCTCTAATTTGGTGAACATCATTAGTTCCCATTGTTATTTGTGTCTCTCATTTCTTGACTCCCCACTCCTTCTATGTATCTCATCTCTCAACTCCATTTTCTCCATAATCAAGTCACCACCTTCCACTTCCAACTCATCCTTCCAAATCACAGTCACCTTAATAGTCATATGGCCACAACCAGACCATTTAGTCTTCTGAAGGATTGAATATTGCAATCGCCTCTCCCAACTACATTTCTATTCGGTCCTCTCTTTTTCATGATCAATCAGATAACGACATTCACATCTGTCATATCGCGATGCCCCACTACAAAGTTCCCAGCCACCAATTTTCAATTAATCTATTTCAAAAACACCATCTCTTACCTCTTCAATTCAACCTTTCCAATTCCCTCTTTTTGCCCTTCTTAACTCCCTCCAAGATATTCACAATCTCATCTCTCTCTCCATATTCTTTTCCCTTATAACTCCAACCTACATCCACAACACTCATCTCGCATGCGCACACTATTTTCCACATTCATGTCCCACTTCATTCGCCAAACCTCGTTTGACGTGGACTACGCCCCCGCTAAGATATCCAAATGGAAGTCTTCCCGGACTGGTCTACTGCTCACCTATATCGACCAGCCGTCCCCGGTGGTCAACGGCTACTTTGCTGTTGCTACTGAGATTGAAAACGACTCTGGCTGTCCTCATACCCTCGAGCATTTGGTGTTCATGGGGTCGAAAAAGTTCCCTTATAAAGGTCTTCTTGACAGTTTGGGAAATCGCTTCTTTTCCAGCACAAATGCTTGGACTGCTGTGGACCAAACCGTTTACACATTGACCACCGCAGGCTGGGAAGGCTTCAAGACGCTTTTGCCCATCTACTTGGATCATTTGCTCAACCCTACTTTGACAGACGAGGCGTGCCTCACGGAGGTCTATCATATAGATGGTCATGGTAAGGAAAAGGGTGTTGTTTTCAGCGAAATGCAGGGTATCGAGAGCCAGTCTTGGTTTATTTCGTACATGAACTTGCAAAAGACCTTGTATGACGAGTCCTCGGGCTACTCTTCAGAAACTGGAGGTCTCATGGCCGAGTTGCGTCATTTGACCAATGATCAGATCAGACTGTTTCACAAGGCCATGTACAACCCCAACAACCTCTGTGTTGTGATCACAGGCTCAGTTGAAGAGTCAGAGTTATTGGATATCATGGCCAAATTTGACTCCGAATTAGAATCATTGCCCGCAATTCCCCAAAAAAGACCTTTTGTGGATTCTGCCCCTGTGGAGCCACTCAAAAAGGCTATCAAAAAGAGGGTAGAATTTCCAGACAAAGACGAATCCATGGGAGAGATCGTCATTGGGTGGGTTGGTCCTGAAAGCGGTGCTACTTTAGAGAACATGGCGGTGGACATGGTGGGTAGCTATCTCACGGACTCACCTATTTCCTTGTTGAACAAGCATCTTGTTGAGATCGAGGATCCGTTAGCTACTGAAATAGACTACGGTACCGACGACTACTCCCGCACGGGATTGAACTTGACATTAGGAGGTGTTCCCACGGACAAGTTGGATCTCGTGGATGCCAAAATCAAGGAATTACTCAAGGAACAGACGGAAGAAAAGAACTTTGACTTGGCCTACATGAAACAGGTAGTTAACCAGCAAAAGCTTAAGTTTGTTGCCAGTACTGAAAGGTCTGCTAACACTTTTTCCAACATTGCCATTCTGGAGTTCATTTATGGTAAACCAGACGGCTCTGATTTGGCTAGATGGGTCAAGGACCTTCGAGAATTCGATCAGTTGGCTACCTGGTCAGCTTCCCAATGGTGTAAGATTATCAGAGAATATTTTGTGGAAAATCACAGCGCTTCTATCATCGGAGTTCCTTCTGCTGCACTCAATAACTCTGTCAAGGCCAGAAATAAGGAGAGAGCTAGAGCCATCAAGGAAAAATATGGAGATGAGGGTCTTGCTAGATTGGGCGAAGCTTTGGATGCTGCCCAAAGGAAGAACGATATGCCTATACCTGATGAAGTTCTTGTTCAATTTGGCAAGCCCGATCCTTCGAAGATTGAATTTATTGACACAAACTCCTACCGTGCCGGCTCTAACGATCTGAAATTGGATATATACCGTTCCGAGGGACCATTCGTGAAGACCTTAGCCAAGGATACTCCTGAAAAGTTTCCGTTGTACTTGCACTTTGAGGACTTCAAATCACAGTTTGCTACTATCCACTTGGTGATGTCATCCACTACTGTCCCGGCACCTTTATTGAAGTACTTCTCTGTCATTGAAGAGATCTTCACATTATCTATCAAGCTTCCAAATGGCCAGTACAAGCCATACGAGGAAGTAATTGCTGAAATCAATGACGACCTTATTGAATTCCAATTTGACAATGGTTTCGACAGTAATTTCGTGGAACTCATGAGTGTCAAAGTCAAGTTTGAGGTAAAGAAGTACAACAGAGCCATCGAGTGGTTGATCAATGTATTGAAATACTCCGTGTTCGAGGAGTCCAGATTGAGGGTGATTGTCGAGAAAATCATTAACTCCTTGCCCGACAAGAAGAGAAACGACGAGTTGATGATGTACTCCTCTGAATATCGTACGGTTTACACAGACGAGTCGATCAGAAAAGCCCAGGACTCTATCAATACGGAGGACTTCTACAGAGAGATGCTCCAGAAGCTCGATGATGGAAAATTTGAAGAAATTGAAGCAGACCTCAACACCATCAGAAAGTGTCTCTTCAATCTTCCCAACATGAAGGCTATTATTATCGGAGGGTGCACTGGACTTGACAAACCCGTTTCTATGTGGGAATCATTTGTTGAGCAGTTCAAGGATGAATCCACCAACGAGCCAACGTTTGACCTCGCAAACTTCCCTAGATCTTTCCAGTTCAGAACCGAAGTTGGCCAGAAATGTTCTCGAAATGCCTTCCTCGTATCTTCATCCGCAGGAGAAACGACACATCTCCTCTCGTTGACACCAATTCCTTCCGAATATCTCAATGAAGATATCTTCAAGATCGCGCTTGCCAGTGAATTCTTGGGAGGTGTTGAAGGACCTTTCTGGAGAGGAATCCGTGGAACGGGCCTTGCTTACGGAGCCAGTTTCCGTCGTATAATCGAGTCCGGATACTTGAGTTTTTCAATTTACAGAGGTTCTGATGCTCAAGAGGCATGGACAACAGGAAAGAAGATTATTGCAGACTATGTTTCTGGAGAACTCATAATTGATGCGATCAGCATCGAAAACTCCATTGCCGCCATCGTCAACGAGCTTGCCAATGGAGAGGCCAATCCTTACGATGCATCGACTACCAAAATCATTGATAATATTTTCAAAAAGAGAGGTTCTCACTACATCAAGTACTTCTTGGAAAGACTCAATACCTACACAAGTGAAGATCTAGTGTACATAATGAAGAAGTACTTCCTTCCACTATTTGAGGCAGACACCTCGCTCATTTTCAGTTGTTTGCCTTCAACTGCAACTGGTGGATTCGTTGATTTCTTAAAGAGTGAAGGATACGAGGTCAGTGTGGAAGAAATTGCAACCACAGGTCACGAAGAGGACGGATCTGACTGCGGATCTGATTGTGAGTCTGATTGCAGCAGCTGCGACGAAAGCGAAGAAGAAGATTAGAGAAGACGTAGAAAGGTTTAGATTAAATGCGTTCGTATTGAATTTAGAAAAGTTAGTAGTTTACAATCAAGGACTGAAACCTGATAAATCTACAACATAAAGTTGACAATGCGATAAATGATCTATTAAATTTTAATGGAAGTGAACTTTTGGGGACTCTTGTCTTTGGTGTCCAGTTTAAGGAATTCAACATACTTGGTGACTTCCTCACAAACCTTTTTCTGGTCACGATCCACCGATTTCCACCAGTTGTCACTGTTGATTCCCTTACATGCTACCCACTGAACAATGAGGTTAAAACGGAGCTCCCAATCGGTTTCTCCGAAATGCTCTGCGTAGTGGCCATGCAAGTCAAGGTTTCTCTGTTTGAAACAGTCAAAATAACCCTCTGGTTTCGTCATGAAAACAGGATTTAGCTTTGGGCGGTGGATATGTAAGAACTGAACTTTTGGTGTCACGGTAAGTTTCTCCCCCATTTCATTCTTGAATTCTTCGAGTTGGGATCGAGCCTGGCCCGTGTCCTGGTCGTACATCTGTCTAGAGTCCATACCTTTGCTGCGTAACCACGATCTCCAACTATCTGCAAACTTGGATGTGGAAGTTGGCTCGTATTGTACAATGGTAGTTTCTTGAAACCTGCCAGATTCTTCTCTGAAACCGGCCAACCATGTGGCGTGCTCAACAATATGGTATGGCTCATTGAAAACATGCAATGCTGGAACAAATGTGTCCCTGTCTCCAGATCCCGGACTGCCCTGGTAAAACATCCGCCAGTAGTGGCTCTCACCATAAACGTTATAGTATAATGACAAAATGAACGAACGGAAGTGCTCTCTCTTAGAAAATACCATTTGGCCGGTTTCGGTCGACGTTGCGTCGGGGATGTTGTCTAAATCGTGGAAATGCACCTTATCCCATGGGTCCTTAGCATAATCAGCGAACAGGTCACCATTTGCGAGGCGGTTTCTCTTGGTGACTTCACCAGGAATGATTCCAGCAATTTCATAATAGGCTGGCGAGATGGTTCTCTGCCAAAGATCTGGCCACAAGAGGAACTTTGTTTTCAAGTATTGCTCGGATGTCAAGAGCAAGTCTGGGTTGAGAAGGGCCATGTTGTCGGCGTCAAGCGAGATGATATGATCGAACGATGACACTAAGAGCCCCAAAATCTTCAACTGGAAACTGGAGAGTTTGAGCTGGTCCCAAATTTCGTTGCTGATGAGGTCTCTGATCACCACACATCTGGCATTGAAGTTCTTCTCCAAATCGTTGCACACGGCCTTATCGTACTGTTCGTGGGTGTCAAGAATGAGCTCAATAGGTAATTTGGAACCAGCTTCACGGAGCTGAACAATGGCCACCAATGCACCAGCAAAATACTCTCCACCACCACTGATTACAATACCCTCACCGTTGAATAGGTCAGCTGGAGGTACGTCCATGCGTCTTAGAGATTTCACCAACTTGGAGTGCAGCGACTTGAAGTCATCCATTCTCTCCGAGTCAAACTTGACTCGCGAGAGAAAGTCACGGTCGTAATTGACGGTATTGACCACACGGTGACAGCCCCTAATAGGATCACCCATTTCTTTATCTGTCAAACGTGGCATATTGGGAGCGTGAGCCTTGATGATGTCAGTCAAGACAAATCCAAGCCACGATTTCAAAGACATCTCCGACTTGAGTTCATCGGCCACTTTCTTCTTGAGATCGGTCTGAATATCTTTGGGCTGATCCTTCAACACCTTATTCAACAGCGACAATGCAGCTTCACTCTTGAGGAGCTCTTCATTATCCCTGAAATACTTCATTCTCAACTCTTCCAATAAGTTGTAGTTTTTGACTCTTGTCTCATGGAATTTCTTGGTGTAGTGCCTATTAATTTCGTCATGCAACTGCTGCTTGAACTCTTTTTCATATCTGTCCTTGCTTTTGGCAGAAAATTCCACGTGGAGTTTCTCGACAAACTTGTCCTTGTATTCCTTTGTCAATTCTGCCTTGATCTCGTCCAAAAGTTCTTCTTTTCGAGACGACTCCAAGTCTTCCTTCAAGGCATTCAGGTATTCATCAGAAAATAGGTAATCAAGTTTCTGTTCGAGGCCTTGTTTGGAGTCGATAAGTGTGGTGGAAGGTTTGTGGAATGTAATGGCGGTGACATTTAAGAGTACCACCACCACGAGAAAACATGCCAAATAGAGCCTCAGCGATAGCACCTTAGCAATTATGTTCATGACGGATGCAAAGTAGATGGGAGAAACAGATTATGCTGGAGGTAAAAAAAAATGACAGAAGGAGGCCGAAATGAAAAAGAAAACAAAACTTATAACTAATTTGAAGGAGATATGTTGGTGGGTTCCTTTTTGAGATAATTTTTTCCTTATTGATTTAGCCTGAGATGCGGATAATACAGCGAAAATGAAGGAATTGGCGCAACGGGGCAAAGTCATAACGAAGAAAAGCAATCCGGCAAATACACCTCTGATACACAAAGCCTTGTTGGGAGATCTGGATGTGAATCTTGATTAGATGAAAATGTTTATGATATGGGGAAAATCTTACTCTGTGTCCGATTTGTCACTATGGATCGACGCAGTTAATTTGGGGCGGCGCTCACAGATCACGACCATCAGGCGGTACAATGCCAGGGTTTGCCGGAGTGCACACTGCCGAGCATATTAATAACTTATAACGGCCAACTGAGGCTGTGTGTGAACCGAGGGTGGTTCACCAGGCACGGCCACCAGTAAGTTCAGGTATTGATACTAGACTTAGTGGGTCCAGGCACTGACTCGAAACCACATGCAATCGAAGAGTGATATTCGGCATTCGTGCTGATCATTAAGTAATGCAATGTACAAAACGTGGCATGCACTAGAATAACTGAGGCTGTCATCCTGCATAAACCAAGCGGGCGATTTTGGCTATAAAGAAAATAAATCTGGCTCGGCGATAGGTTTGAACCACATGCAGGCGGTAGAATCATTAAATGTGGGGTGTGACGTGGTTTGACAATAAGAGGGTGTTGTGAGTGATTTATTGTCGTCTGAGGTTAAAAAGAGATCGAAATATTTGGATTTTTGAATATTGCATTAAAGGGTAACCCAATGACAATGACATATCACGTGACTACAAAATAATGTCACGTGTGATGTCACGTGTATAAATTCCTAATCAACTATCTATCTAACTCTTGCCATCGACTTATTCCCTAATGTCTTTAACGGTATCCTTATCAAGTGATCTAGACAGACTCTCTGATAAGTGCATATTACCCCAATCAATTCTCACGGCAGCTCTTGAGTCTCACCCGTCATTACCGCACCCACTTGTTTTTAGACTACATGCGAGTGAACATTCTATCTTGGTTGGAGTGAAAGAGTTCACTGCACCAGAAGGCGAGATTTTGGTGCCTCAGGCCGTATTCGATCGGCTAGGTGATGTGACTGTCCATGTTGAGCTTGCAGATGTACCCAAAGCGACGTTTCTCCAGTTGAAACCAAGACATTTTTATCCTCACATCACTAATTGGAAATACTACCTCGAGTCATTTGTCAGCAAGAGCTATACGGTACTCACCAAGAAACAAAAGTTTGGCGTATATGATGCAGTGGCCAAAATGGATGTTGAGTTGCAAGTTGAAGATGCCAATGAGGTCCTGGTGGTCGTGGTAGACACTGACATCGAGTTAGATGTGGTTCCTCTTAACGATATCATGGCCGCGCAGCAATTGGCGCATAACCAAAACTTGTCATACTTGGAAAATATTCCTGAGGTAGTGTGGGATGCTCCGATCAAGTTGGAGCCCTTCAATCAAGTCCAGATTCCCGCCATCCACCGGCTTGATCTTCGAAAATTGACTGCGAAGAGCTATATCCATCTCACTACACAAGAAGACATTTACAATGTGGATTTACTCGCTGGACTCGACCGTTTCGTTACTCTTGAAAACTTTTCATGGTGCACTATGGCCCAGGACCCGATGGGACGCAAGTACATTGAGATCGACAAGAACTCAGATTCCGTGGCTAACTACATGCTCAAGCACACAGACGATACAAACTGCTGGGTGTATGTTGTTCCTTTTGCATGGGAACATGCGTCTACAGTTCAATTAAGCATTTCTACAGATGCTCCAGTCCATCAGGCTGAACAAACACAGGCATCCAACTCTTCAGACATTCAGTGCACCAACTGTCTCAAGTACATTGATAGCAGCAAGTTTTCGCTTCACGAGGCATTTTGCCGCCGCCACAATGTCCGCTGTTCATGCTCCGAGGTTTTTCCGCAGAGCATTCCATCCACACACTGGCATTGTGACTTGTGCGAGTCTGGAATACACGGAAATTCTTCCCTTTTCAAATTCAAGCATGATAAACTCTTCCACGGCGGACCGTATGTATGTGAGCAATGCGAGGATGACGGAAGCTACGATAATTTTATATCGTTAGTTCAAAATCATAAGGCGAGCGAATGTGGAGCCAAACTACATGAATGTATCTTCTGCCATGTAGTGGTGCCTCAAGGCGTGGCTTCGTACGAGGAGAAGTTCAATAATCTCACCCACCACGAGAGTCAATGTGGAAACAAGACGGTAGAGTGTTTTGAATGTGGCAAGGTGGTCAAGAGTAAGGATATGGCCAGCCATATGAAGATCCACTACCTCAACAAGATGCAAAGTGCTGCGGAGGAGGTGGGGAGATGTACGAACGTGAACTGCGTGAATATATTTGGACAGGGGCCGCTGAACGGGGCCAATACTGTTGCTAGCAATGAGTTGGGGCTTTGTGACGGATGCTTTGGATCATTGTATGCTCAAGTTCATGATCCCACTCATATTAAGCTCCAGAATAGACTTGAAAGGAAGTACGTGATGCAACTTACAAAAGGTTGTGGAAATACATGGTGTGAGAATGTTGAATGTGGAAACCACAGAAAATGGGACATTCGACTGGCCCTAGACCATATCAAGGAGTTGTTAGGAGACATCGTGGTTCCGCAGCTACCTATTAATGAGAAACAAAAATCACAACACAATGACAATGGAGACAACAATTCAAAGCAGTCAGATATTAACACAAAGCACTACGAAAGTTCCAACCAAAACATGACTCCAAAACACAACAGAATGTGGTTCTGTCTCAATGCCAGTGTGGCCGCAAGACGTGTTCTCTACGATAAGATAATGAGCGAGGGGATCTATACACTGAACATGATACTTAAGGCATTGGCAGGAAACTCTGACGAAACAAACGTTCGTGGTTGGCTCCAGACCCATAGCGTATAGAATAATGAATATCATGAATTGCTTCCATTTCTCCGATTTTCCTTCGATTTTCCTTGATTTCTTAATCCTGTTTCGAACCGTTTTGCCCCGGTCTATCTCCCTGACCTTTATCTCCTGCACCCACACTGTGGCCCAACACCGCACCTCGGTATCTTATCGTGGATGGGTTCCCCCACAGCCAACAAGTGATTGGCTCTCCATTTCATTCTCGACATGTATCCACATATGAGTTCATGATATTCGAAACTTGGAAATTGCATTTTTATATTTTTCTTATGTCCTTTGATTTTTGTTCATCGATCAAACATCCTATCGGGCCACAACCAGCAAATTTAACTAGTCGGGAAACCCATCTCACTCATCCTGCACAATAACCATGGCATTATATAAAAGCCAGCCTTATCGCCACCCTCAATTCTTCCTCCTTTCCTTCTCATCTGTGGATCCTTCTATAAGTTCTACAGTCACCCCCATAAATCCACCAAACTCAAAACTTAATCCCACAGACTGATGTTGCTCTCTCGCTCCGTCGCTCTTTCTATTTTGGCCACCCTCGGCGTCAACGCCTTGGTCCTCCCCAATGTCGGCGACATCATCGATGTCTTCCTGGGCTCTGAGCTTGCTGAGCTCAAGGATTCCATCGTGGAATCTTCCAAGAAGTTGGGCCAGCAGGTCATTTCAACCGTGGCTGACTACGAGGCCAAATTCGCAAACTCAAAGGCTCTTGCTCCTTTGATGGACAACGATAGACAGGCCATTGCTCACAAGTACATTGTGGTGTTCAAGACCGGCTTGGCCCCTGATGCAACCCAATTCCATCGCGAGTGGGTCGCTGCCAAGCACGCAGAGGATGTCAAGTCCACCGACGCTTCCGACGATTACTTTGCTTCTATCAAGGACGCCAACGTGGAGGGCGGTATCTCCGATATTTTCGACATTGCTGACTTCTTATCTGGATACTCCGGTTACTTCTTGGATCTGACCATTGATTGGATCCGTCGCGATCCTTCAGTGGCTTTTGTCGAGAAGGACTCCATGGTTTACGCTAATGAGTTCGAAGTGCAGAAGGGTGCTCCCTGGGGTTTGGCCAGAATCTCCCACAGAGCTCCTCTCTCCTTGGGCTCCTTCAACCAGTACCTCTATGATTCCGAGGGTGGTGAGGGTGTCACCTCCTACGTGATTGACACTGGTGTGTTCGTTGACCATGTTCAATTTGAAGGCAGAGCCCTTTGGGGTGCCACCATCCCATCGGGCGACAGCGACACTGATGGTAACGGTCACGGTACCCACTGTGCCGGTACAATTGCCTCCAAGGACTACGGTGTGGCCAAGAAGGCCAACGTCGTGGCTGTTAAGGTGTTGAGATCGAACGGTTCAGGTTCCATGTCCGATGTCGTTAAGGGTGTTGAGTTCGCTGCCAAATCTCACCAGGCTGCTGCTAAGGCTGGAAAGAAGGGCTTCAAGGGCTCCACCGCTAATATGTCTTTGGGTGGAGGTAAGTCTCCGGCCCTTGACTTGGCCGTCAACGCTGCTGTTAAGGCCGGTATCCACTTTGCCGTGGCCGCTGGTAACGAAAACCAGGATGCTGCCAACACTTCCCCAGCATCCGCTGAGTTGGCCATCACTGTCGGAGCATCGACCATTTCTGATGCCAGAGCATACTTCTCCAACTACGGCTCCACTGTGGATATTTTCGCTCCAGGTCTCAACATTGTCAGTACTTACATTGGATCTGAGACTGCCACTGCCACTTTGAGTGGTACTTCGATGGCTTCTCCACATATTGCTGGATTGTTGTCGTACTTCGTCTCGTTACAACCAGGCGCCAAGTCTGAATTCTTTGTCTCCGACAAGGGTGTCTCAACTACTCAATTGAAGAAGAACTTGGTGAACTACGCCTCTAAAAACAAGTTGACTGACATTCCAGAAGACGGTACTCCAAACATTTTGGCATTCAACGGTGCTGGCCACAACTTGACTGACTTCTGGAGTGGAGCTGTGTATTTGGAGAGTGCTAAGGCAGTCTCCGATAACGAGTTCTCCATTCTTGGAGACAAGTTTGAGGCCATGTACGAGAAAGTGGGCAAGGACTCAAAAGAGCTCTTGGATGAGGTAAAGGAGCTCGTCAACGGCATCTACAACAGAGATTAGTACTATTGAGTAGGAAGATCTAGATATCCCAATGTATGTTTGAAAATCAGTCTTGTAGGTCTCTGTAGTGCTGAGTCTGCTTAGTTTGGAGAGTCGTTTATGCCTTTGCTCATAATGTAAAGAACTCAATTGGGGACAACACCAAGTACCCAAAGAACCGTTGAGCTTGAGGTCATTGAAAAGGTGTATGTGGAATTTGAATTTGAATTTGTATTTGATTTTGAGTTTTCCAGTATTCTGTTGGATTGATCTTGAATTGCCTAAGCATAGCCAAAGCAGAAAAGACAAATTATTAGCATATTCAGGTTTTCGTTTATTCACCAGAAAAGAAGAAAAAAAACCAAACCTGTAAGTTTGTATAATTCGTTTTGTCTTTGGGATCAAAGATCATTGCGATCCACTGTGTCTGATTGATGTCATTGAGGATTATTAGGGCCACTGAGGTTGTGAACCATTAATTACAAATCGTTGAGGTCATTGTCATATTTTAATTTCCTAAACAGATCATTTTTAAATATTTTACACCAGTTTATACTCTGGTCTCTCTTAGCCTCCACTCAATTCACTTTTGTTCTACCATTCAAGAGCATCATCTTTTGGAGTTGACTTTCATACCAGATATTCAAATTCCTATTCTCTAATATCTTTGAATTTCTCCGTTACTCTCAATATTGTTTCCTATCTGAATTCTGATGACATTTCAGTTAAAAATTTATAATTCTTTTGAATACCATATTCTCATATATATTACATTTCACATAAATATCACATTTCATTTCCAGTCCATTTCCATACCTACTGTGTCCATTTCCGCCTCCACACCTGCATTAATAACGGTCACATCCACCATTCTATCCCTCTACCAAATACCAAAGAACGATAGCTCATTCATGTAATACAACATAATCTAAATGTTATCATTTCTTCCAATTCTTCTCCTCCACCCTACCTTTTTTACTCTCTATTCCTTCCAAATATGCCCGACCCCAATTACCTGTTATCAGGTAGAATATGCTCCATATGCACGCATCAATCTAATCTACCCTTAGCACTATCTTTTTCTGAAAATCAACATCATCCCTCCTTCTCGAGTGATGCCTCCTCCGACCTCTCCCAACCGGACCCCGCTCCCTCCCTCCAGCAATATTCTGCCTGGTTATGGCAGAGAGTCCTCTTTTATCTCCAGAGATATATTGAACAGAATGAATGAACTCCTGGCCAATATCTTGAGTCAATACACGGAAGCCAGCGACGACACCAACGACTATTTGGCGTGGCACCCTTCACGGGACGAAGCTCCACATCTTACCAGCTTGCCAGCTCAGATCCGCAACTTAGCGCCTCCCATTCGATTCTTTTCCATTCCCGACTTGGACTTGGACATGGATTTAAACACAGACAACCCCCAGCGGGCCGTCGCAGGTACATCTACTACGACATTTGCAGCTGATCTGGACGATTCGAGCGGTCTGACTATGACCTCTGAACTGGATGTCGACTTCGAGCACAACGAACTGAACTCCGACAATAGCAGCGAAGGCAACATGGACGATGACGACGATGACGACCTTGAGGTCGAGGGCGATGACGACTCGGACCTGCCTCAAAGAGGAACGTTCCACCGAATTCCGGACCAGCGTCTATTGCTCTCTTCGGCGAGACAGAATCTCACCAACAGAAATACCCTAATCAACTTGGGCCAGGCAACGTCGTCTCGATCGCGGCCAATTGGAGCCGTTGATTTGGATCGCCTGAATGCCATCCGTATGACATGCAGACATCCACCCAACCCGAACTTGGAGAATGTTGCTCGGGACTACCACGCCGACTTTGAGGCAGCAATCAATTCCATCAAGGGTCTTGACTCGTTTGTGGGGAAATCGCCTCTTTTTGCCCACCACCCACACTCAGAGGGCCGTCAGGGCTTGCGTAAGTGGAGCAATCTGCGTCGTCTGATTCGTAAGGCAAGTTTCGAGCTGAACATGGACCGTCTCTTGAACCATCGCCGCAAGGGCTCCCTCTGGTCTCAAGACTCAAACCACATGTGCGAAGCTGGCACGAATGAGGCATTTCTCAACATTCGAGAGTCCAAACGAAAACATTTGGGCACATCAGGTAATCAGAAACGTCGTAAAGTTGCGAACAAAACGAATCCACAGTGCCGGCCACGCTTTAAGAGCCGCTCCATAGAAGGCGGTGAAGCTATTGACTACAACCACTTGTCACAGGAAGACAAGTATAAGATTTTGGATGCTTTACCATGTTCGTACTTGCAGAGCGGTTCCACATTTGCTTTGGATCTCTTGGTTCGTGGAAATGACAGCATTGATTTGTCATTTGCCAGCGTAGATCTCAGAGAGAAGACTTTACATGGCCACTTCAATGTTAAGGCCTGTGGTGAACGATCTGGTCACATTCACCTTATCATTGGGTTTCTTTCATTTTTATGTGGAGGCATTCGCTCCAAGTATACCATAAATTGCACAAACAAGGTAATCCAGACCAAATCTGCATTGCTTGATCACACATTTATGGAGGCCATTGTTGAGCGTGGACTTTCTAGTCCGCAGGTGATCGAATGCCTTACTGGAGCGTTCCAGATACCTTTTAGCGGGGAGATTGTGGATTTCAATAAGAATGACTTGCGTTTTTTGCAGGAGACCCGACCCATATCCTCCAAGACAAGTTTCAGCCGTTCTATGCATGTGTCTCGGATGAGAAATGAACAAATCAAGATGCAACTAGGGGAATGGTTGCGAGTCCGGCCATTCCACAATTTTTCCGAGGCGTTCTTCTTGAATTACTTGTTCTTCGTGGAAAAGTACTTGCGTAACTTCAAGGAAAGTTCTACTGTCGAACAGGAACTCGTAATTGAGTTTGCTAAGAACATGAAAGATCTGATCCACGATATCACACGAGACTTTGATTTCGTAAAAGAAGCAAAAATACCAATGGTTGAAGAGAAGAGCATCCAAAATCAGAAAGACATCTGGGAGAGAAGACGCCACGAGCCTCGTTCGAATCTCCAGAAATCCTCCTTTCTCAAAGAATGGGAGTCCAAACTCTGTGAGAAACTCTCGGACTATATTACCTGCGAAGACAGTTGTCTTTGTAACATTCAATTGAACTATGTGCTATTTACAGTGAAAGTTGATATCTCCGCTGCCCTTGATCAAACCTTTGAAAAGTTTATCAAGCTTGTTACCAAGGAGTCCGAGCGAAAGATGCTTCAGAAAAAGTACAAGGCCATCTCCAAAGAGCAGCTACTGCCTGAGGCAAGAGAGTGTGTTTTTTTGTGTTCACTTAACCGGAAGACTGGCCATTTAGAAATGCAGAATACCCGGCTGAACTTAGACTACAAGTACGCTGGATCTTGCGATGCCAGAGGTTCTCTCCAGCGTGAGTCCTTCAGCGCCTCATCCGGAGGATTCACAGAGAGCGATGACGAAGATTTCTTGAGACCTATGGGCCGGTATTCTGTGTTTTCGACCCACTGGAAGTACTTGGAAGATCCCCACCTTATGGATAATCCCACCGTGACCATGGGCAAATGGAAACGAGGCTCTTCAGGTTTTTCATCTGGTGGAGGAATAGGCCAAGCGGACTTTGCCTAGAAGATTTGTCTAGAGAATCACCAGATTCCCCATCCCTTTTTGCCCTCTCTACGGTCTTGTCTTTTCTTAGCAAAAAAGTCCTTGCTGCATTCACGGTATGCATCAAAAAACTCCTGACACACAGACTTGTCCTTCTGGTTACGCAACACGCAGTTGATGGATGCCTGTCTACTCTCCTCACATGGGTCATAGTACCTTGAAGCTTCCTTGTTGGCCCATCTATACTTGTGACGATGGTTCTTTGGGTTGTCTGGATAGAACTTGTATTCTTCCACCTCTCCCTCAGTGAAGTTTACTTTTTCCTTGTCAGTGACAGCCTTGTCGGACAATATGCGTTCGTTATTGGTTTTATCGGACATTTGGTTGAGAAAGGATAGAGTGTGTGGATGTTTAATGGAGGTTGGTATACTCACGTGACTTGACTCCCAGATGTAGGGGTTTTCTTGAAACGTGGAGAATTGAAACTGGAAAAAATTGGAAATCGAAATAGGAATCGAAATGGAAATGGAAATGGATAATGATATGGAGCCCGAAATTAATCTTCTCCCTACTTTTCTCATGCTAAACCTTCTTAATCTTCTACAATGCCCTGTTCATTATCTCATCGTCAATTTCTCATGCTAAGATCAGACAAAGTTTACCATCTGCCTCCCTGGCCACCCTGCTGACCACCAAAGTCATTGCCGCGGCCACCAAACCCACTCTGGTCCCCATAGCCTCCCTGTTGACCACCATAGCTTCCCTGTTGACCACCATAACCTTCCTGGCCACCATAGCCACCTGGACCACCTGGACCACCTGGACCACCTGGGCCACCGAAGTCACCGCCACGACGACCGTAACCACCCTGTTGACCACCGAAGTCACCACCACGGCCACCACCGTAACCGCCCTGATGATTGCCGTAACCGCCATGTTGACCGCCATAGCCGCCCTGGTTGTGTTTGTTTTCGTGGCGCTCCTCAAACTTGTCTTCGATCTTGTTTGCAGCCAAGGCACCTACAAGACCTCCTGCAATCTTTCCCAAAGTGGAGTGCTGACCAGAAACCTTGCCACCACCGTAAGCTCCAGCGGCTCCTCCAATCACGGTGGAAAGCAAGCCTCTCTCACCCTCCTGACCTTCCTGACCTGCTTGTTGCTGTTGGTTCTGGTTGTTGTCAGATCTTTCGCCTTGTGGACCCGAAGAGTAAAAATCGTTAGCCGACATTTTTTCAATTGTTGATTAATTTGTTTTTTTGTTGCAATTATAAAAGGCAATTGACAATAAAAAAGATATGAAGGAAATTACAGCGCCTTTTATAGCGGAGGAGTCTTGACACGGTGGGTGACCCAATTGCCCAATCCATGCTTATTCCTCAGGTACGCAGGAGGCACCGAAGACCGGGCCGGTTAGCAATTGCCGATTCTGTGCAGTCTGTTATTACCAAGGACCTCCAAACCAGGCATATGGTGGCTTGACGGTCACCACACTACAAGAATAGAAAATGAAGGCGTGACCTTGGGCAAATCCAGTGTATTTCCACAGGTTCCAGGGGAATGATGTTACGCCGAGGACAAAGGCAAGTAATGTTTGGCAGTGCGTATATCTCCGTTGTTTTCGCTAAATCTGGAAACTGTTAGTTGGAAGCTAGTGATCGCTACTGAATTGATTGATTACTCTTTCCTGGGTATTGTGAAGCCCGCTCGTCAAGCTCCTGCCAGTCCGAAAGCTGTGTTTACGTCATGGTGCTGTATGTAACACTTGTACCTTGGCTTCCCTCATGAGAACCATTATTGTGTGGTGCACGGGTGTGTTGTCATGGATTCTGTATTGAATGAGCCCAGGTAGGTTCCACATATTCTTGGTGCACGGGTTTTTAATTCGACTGCTTGAGGTACGGGTGCATTTGGCACATCTCTTACTGTAACCTCTTCAGTGATGTCCAATCCAGTTCAATATCTCTCAAATGCTCTGGAAATTTGTCAACGGTGTCACAATGTGCCGGCAGTATTAATATCTCGGAAGGAGAAGTTTTGTGGGGAATGCTTCGTGTTTTTTATGCGAGGAAAGCAGAGGAAACAAATGCTCGATGAGCGGTACAAGGTCAAATATGGTGCAGTTTTGGAAAGATTGGGTACTCAGCGGGTGCTTTTACCGTTATCATTTGGTCCCTCTTCTTTGGTTTTGTTTGATATGATAGCATCTTTATTGCAGGAGCAGAACTTAGCACATAAGGGAAAGCAGGGTTTCGAATTAGTGGTGCTTCACTTGCAAGAGGACGAACAGGCCGCTGAAAAGTTTGAACTCCTTACAAAAAGCTACTCGCCCATAGAAATCAAATTCAAGATTGTGAATGCTGATGATTGGAAACTATCTGACAAGATGAAAATCTCAGTAAGTAACGAGTTTGACGTCATAGCACAGAAACTTGATTCCAAATCGGAGATAGCGCTCACTGTGTCACATCTATTGGAGTTGTCTCCCAGTAGATCACTGCGAGCAGACTTACTAGCTATTATCTACGAAGACATCATTTTTCGGACGGCAGTGGCCGAAGGATGCCAGACAATTTTATTTGGTCACAGCATGACGCGATTGGCTACAGAAGTCATTTCATTGACAGTAAAGGGCCGTGGGCTGCAAATTAGCCAGGAAATTGCCGATGGCCCAAGATCGTACGGAGATCACTCTGTACATGTGATCTTTCCACTTCGTGAGGTGCTATTCGCAGAAGTGGATGCTGTTCTCAAGTTGAGAGAAGGGTTGTTACAATACATGAAGATATCGGAGGAACCTCAAACAAGAATCGTCAAGAACATGACTGTCCAGGCACTCACATCGCAGTACTTCGACAATCTCGATGCTACAGGATATGCATCTACGGCGTCCACAGTTGTCAAGACCGCCGAGAAGCTTGGTGGCCCAAAAGATCCCAAAACGGGAATCTGTCAGATTTGTGGGTGTGACATTCATCAGGACGCACGTAAATGGCTCCGAAACATTACAGTGTCTGAGGCGGCACCACTAGTTAAGGACGAACAGAGAAAATATGCAGAAGCGTACGAACTGGAGTTTCAGGCTGATGATGTCAGCGGAGGAGGATTGATAGTCTGCTATGGATGCACCACTACATTGGCTGGTGCTGGGAGTGGGTTTGTATGGCCCGTGAGAGCCTCCAAGGATGAGATTCTTGATGAGTACGTGTTGACCGACGATGAGGAATAGGAACTAATAGACTAATGAGGCCATATCTCCAGTATTCTTTGGACTAGATATCCCCGATTCTCTAAACGACCCTCTATTTTTGTGCTTTATGATTGAGCATTTTCGAATAATCTACTAGTTACTCTTCCTATTATATCCTTCAATATCTCGTCACTAATCATTTTGTTCTCTTTCCCATTATTCAATATTGTCCAGACTACATTCTTCTGATCCGCCTGCACAGGGCCATATCTATAACTACAAACCACCATCTCCCAATTCGCTAGCAATACCCCGATATCCATAATTGGACCGTTTTTGCCTTCCTTTTACCCACATGTACTCCACTTCTTTCTCCTTTGATGCACATACGCTTTGGCGTCAGCGCAATCATCATACTCCCAGAGTCCATGAAGACATGAGCATCCATGGCCAGAACCAGCGTCCAAATGGCCCTTACATCCATGGAAATGGGCAGAATCACACAACTAGCATGGCATCCCAGGCCACTGGATCTAATCGTCTCTTCAGCCCGCAAAACCACCTCCATAATCTCCCTGCAGATGTAAGCCACTATGCTCCTCCACTATCTGCGTACTTGACCGAGGAATGCGGTCCCTCAGGCGTTTACACAGAGTATAATATGGCCAAACAGTTGGCGCTGGTATCTGGAAGCACGGACATGCCACTTTTGAGTCCCATGTTGCTGAAACGGCTTCAAACACTCAAGAAAATCCGCACTACTGGCTACAATCTGATTGTGCCCATTGGCATTGGGAAAACCATGGCACAGCTAGATGCAGAGGCCCAGATGAATGATGACGACTCCCATTGTGTTCAGGAGAACCTGGTCCATGGAACCACGAATGCAGAGGCTCTGGCAGTGATGGACGCCAATGTCAACCCAAACCAAGAACCTGGAACCACCGACAACGTCTTGGGCATGGATCGTGATTTGGACGCCCAGGTGGTGGATGCCGATGCCAGTGATACGTTTGATGAGGATTTCGACAACCATGTGGAGTCGTTGGGGCACGACGGTTTCATGGCCGAAGATGTGGAGTACCAAAACGATCACAGCCTAGGGATGGTGTCTGCCTCCACGGAGAGATCCAGAGTTGTGTCTGGAAACTCATTTGTAAGCCATCTGATTTTAACGGGATCTACTCCAGCAACAACTTTGTCGGGAAATGTATTGGCATGTGATGACTCCGATATGGATATGGCAATTGAAGAGTAGAGAACATGGTTCTGAGGAAATAGAGAAAGCGCCAGAGGACGATGTCAGAGGTTAAGATTAGAGGAGAATTCAGTTGAGATATCAAGGATGATTGCAGAGATTTGAGATGTCTTTCTCGCTGTTTATTTGGGTCGGCTCCGTCTATAATCATTTCTTCATCTTGTCGACCTTGGCTGCTTGCAAATGCAATGCTGGGATCATCCACTTACCACACGAACACCGGGATCCTCTCCAGCTGTACCCACCGACCTTGGCTTCACATTTCAGACATGCAAACTTACCCTCGAGCTCTTCCTTCTCCAATTCGGGTCTCATCCAGTCAAGGGGCTCAGCCATGAAGTAATGTGAACATGTTGTTGAAGCCTCAGTGACCGAAATGATACGACGAGAATTGGGGGCATTTTTCACGAATTTGGACTGACGAGAGTCTGCACCTGGAGCATCGTGAGCTTCGATGTCACTTTCTGATGCTAAGACCTGTCGACACATCTTGCATCGAAGGTTATATTGGTCTGTCTCGGTCACTGCGTTGCTTCCGCTCTTTTTCGTGGAGAAAACGTCAATGTGAGGAAGCAGACTCCCCGATGGATCCTGCTTGAGGCTGTTGGCAACTATTAATTGTCTGTATTCTGTGTTTCCAGTGTCCACTTCGCACTTCATCTTCTCGAAGAGCTTGAGCTGTTCAACAAAGCCAGCGTTAGGCTGTGCATCTGCCACCTTTCTGGTAACTGCGTGCAAAGCTTGCGTGTATGAGAGGTGGTACTTGGCCATCAAATATGCAATGATCACGGCTACTGATCTAGACTTGCCTTGAGCACAGTGGATCAAAATGGCGCCGTTGTGTTTTTTCTGGTTCTCTGCTGAACCACCTGGAAATAGTGCCAGATTTATGAAGGCGACAGCAGCAGGAAGTTGCTGTAGAAGATTTGTAGTTTCATCGTCATTGATGTCGATTTGAAGATGCTGGTAGTTTTCCTTGAGGTATGCGGGAAGTGGTCCAGAGAGCACGGATATCACGTGCGTGATGCCATATTCAGACTTGAAATCGTATTGGTCATTGATGGGTTCTATCGACAGGAGGTAAATGCCTCCAAGAATCCTTTCTGCCATTATATCTGAGAGTTTAACGAATCGACCTGGAGCGATGACTTACTGCTGGACATCCGTACACCATATGATTTTACTTTCTGATTTGACAGGAAGAATTGTTCGAAGATGACAATTGGGCAGGCGATGCTGTTTTCGTGTGGGATTCCAAATGAGCATGGTGAATGTTGGAGAATCTTGGACATAAACGCTTGAGCGCCTCTCTTGTTGACGATTTTTCCGTGCAGTGGGAGTATTTCCGGTCTTCTTGTTTAGCGTCAGGCTCTAGAGTCCACAGAATTGTTGGAGAGTAATTTCTAAAAATTTTTTGTTGGGCAAGCATTGGAAGTGGGACGGGAAAGCTCGATCATTACCCAAGCCGTCAGCTAGGTTGTAATTGTTGGCTGAACCCACGACTCCGCAGCCGTTCCTACCGGAACAACTCTCGGAGAAAGCGGATCTGCAAGTCATCGTGTGGGGGACGCGACACCCTCAGTAGCTGAAAAATCTTTGGAGGTTCAAACATTGCGAAACCTTAACAACATGTTTAACAGGTTTCCTGGAAAATAATTTCAAATGTTGTCTCATTGTGCAACTTGGGAGAGAAATGTATAATTCGGATCATCTTAAGATTGGGAACCCTTCGTTCGGGATCATTTTAGATAGAATTTTGCCCGGGGGTTCCCATTGTCCCGATGCCACAGCCTCGAAAGACCTATCCTTTTCTGATGGATCATTAACACGAGCCTGGCAGCTTAATGGCGCCATAAAAACGACAATACAATTTTCAATGCCCGCCCTGAGCCAGACTCAAGCCATTCTATTGCGTGACAATTACTCCAAGCACGACCTGATCGACTTTACCCTGCTTACAGCAGAAATTACTAAAATACTTAGTTAAATTTGGTGCGCCGGAACTTATGTTTCAAGTTAAGGGCCCTGGTGAGCGGGGTGATGCATCATGCATGGAAAGAAAAAAATACTTTTGTGATCCCCCCATTTCGGAAAAACTCGGGGTCATTCGTTTGAGCGACCTTGTTGCCATGCACTTAGCAACTAACCAGGGTTAGATCTAAGACTGAATTATTGTTGAAACCCTACTAAGAATTTCTATCAAGAAGCTGACCCAAATCCCAATATGTTCGTTCTCGTCTCCATTCCAATCTACATCATAATGCCATAACCAGATTAATTAAAAGTATAAAAATCGTTATCAATTACCAAATACCTCTCTTCAAGTTAGAAACATTCTCACGTGCAATGGTGAAAGCGGATTTGTTGAAGATGTCATCGATCTCTTCCAAAGTCTTATCCTTGGTCTCAGGCATGAAGAGAACCTGGTAAATAAGACCAAGGAAGGCAATTCCACCATAGAATCCCAATGTCAAACCGGTGTATGTGAAAACAGACTTCATTTTAGCGAAGTTGTAAGTGACAGTGAACGACCACAAGTAAAGGAAAGTAGAACAGATGGTCATACCCAAGGATCTGGTCTTCAAATCGAAAGATTCGGAAGGAATAACCCACGTCAATGTGGAGTAAGAACCGAAGAACAAGAAGTAAATGACAATACCAGACAAATAGATACCTTCAGCCTTAGATTTCTCAGTAACTGGGTTGAAACGGTAACCAACACCAACGAGAACCAAACCGATGAAGAAACCAACAATATTGTAACCCCAAACTCTTCTTCCGAAACGGTCCATCCACAAAATGGCTGGAATGGTACCAAGAAGCAAAGATCCACCACCGACAAGAGACATGAAGACAGAGTTCTTTTCAGAGAATCCGATAGCAGCCATCAAATCAGACATGTAGTACATGACAGCGTTGACACCAGTCAATTGACCCAAAGTAACCATAATAACTGCGTAAGTAAGTGCTCTTCTGTTTCTAGAAATAGTGAACAAGTCCACTGCGTTCTTCCAGGTAGACTCCTGGGCTCTTCTCTCGTGCTCCTGGAAGGCAGCCTGTCTCATTTCCAAGAATTCAAGCTTAGACTTTTCGTCGTTGATGTCTCTCAATCTCTTCCAAACGTTGTAGGCCATTCCGTATCTTCCCTTGTGCACCAACCAACGTGGAGACTCAGGCAAGAAGAACAAACCAATGAACAACAAGGTGGAGAAAACCAATGAGGAACCGACCATGAATCTCCAGCCTCCGTGAACAGAGTAGAACATGGCAGCAACAGCGAAACCCAAAACCTCACCCAAAGCAATATTGAACTGGTACATCGAAACAATGTTACCTCTAACGTTGGCAGGGACAGACTCGGAAATATAGATACCCACACATCCACCTTCGATTCCAACACCAATTCCAAGAAGGAATCTACCAGCGTACAACAAGTGATGATTATGGGAAGCAGCACACAAAACACCTCCAATAGTATACCAGATACAAGAGATGATCAAGGAAGTTCTTCTTCCCAAATATTCATTCAATGGGGTCATCATGATGGAACCAGCACAGGCTCCAAGAGGCATAAGAGAAGACACCAACGACATCTGAGAGGTGGTGATGTGCAACTCCTTCTTCATACCGATTTGGGCACCAGAGATAATGGACTGATCCAAACCAGACAACAAACCAGCAGCGGCAGCGAAAGCTCCCAAAAGGTAAACCATGTGCTGTCTGTTTCTGAACTCCACCTTGTACTCCATGGATAAGAGTCTGTCGACAAAAGATGGTTTTTCGTTGACCTGGGCAGCCAAGATCTCCAACTCCTCAAACTCTTTGTCGAAGTTGAAGTTCTGGCCCACAATGGTGGTGTCAACCTTGTTGTTGTTGTCGTATTTGATGTCTTTCGACTCAACTGACGAAATCTCCTTATCTTTTCCTTCGAAGATACTCATGATTGACGAATTATAGAAGTGATGATCAGAATTTTACAGCCGGGCCCTCTCTATTTATTTCCTACAGATTTCTAGCGGGCTCCTGGTACGCGGTCCCAACTTTTGGGGTGTGCATTGCTGAAGACCAATGATATTTCCCATCGACAAGCATGATGCACAAGTTCGGAATTACTCGAAGTTTGTGTGCCGTACGTGTGGAGGAGCACCGGAACGTCCAATGATAGTCCCGCATTGTCCGTAATTTTTCTCCCCCATGCATAATTCAATTCCCCCTCCAACCTGCGGGATGCATGAGAGTTTTTCCAGGTTGCTAGTTGGGCAAAATCTCAACTTGCTCCAACACACAGACAATACAGAGTCACTTGGCTCATTCATGTATCATATGCCAAGTGAAAGTGCTCTTCTTGACAGGGTTCACTGTCAAAAACACTAAGGCTGGGCACTGCAGCCTAAACGCCAACTCTCGGAAATTCATGGTTTTTTCCACAGGGGCAGGATCGGGTGTACTTACCTGTCAGAAAAGGAATGTGCATTTGATATGCATGACTCCGGAAAAACACCCCACAGTCCCCCGCAACCTCCATCCCAACTCGCTCCACTTTGCATGCGTCTATTCTTAAAAGTCTATTCCATCGATATGTTATCTGAAAAGTGGTGTTACTGAACTGGATATAGGTCGATTGTACGATAGGCAGATAAAGAACGCCTGAATCACCTACAGACATTTCCTGCAACCTACGGTTAGACCCATGCGTTTCTGAAACAGATGTTGGTCTCGTGAGCTTCAGAGTCCCGTTGCCAGTACGTGGAGGATAGTGGTCCGATCCTTTTCACCTTGTACGCTCCACACATCCGGCGAAAGATGCATACTGGAAAAATTGTTTTCTGCCTTGTAGATCTTCTGCATGAGTACAAGTTGACGTTTGATTCCATGCTTTCACTAGTCTATTGTTGTAGGACTCATAATTCCGAGCTATGATTTCCCCTCCAGTTTCCCCTCTGACATGTGGGAGGTACCCAAGTATATTGTTTCGTATTCCTTTAGCAAATGCGCCTTTAGGCCAGCCATGCTCGCTCCAAACACCTTGTTGCAATGTACACATCTCAAGGGAGTGTCTCGGACAATTTTGTTGAGCTGAATTTCATCACGAACAAATCTGTTCCTATTGCCGACCAACATGCCGTGGGGTGAGCCAGCGTCAGACAAATTGCCGCCGTCCAAGTCGGAGTCGTTGTCATCTGAAGACCCAGAATGCGGTGTGAGAAAATCTGAATTGGCATTGGCCTTCAAGTAGGGGTCGAGTCGGTCGTAATCCACAAAGAAGTCTGTGTTGAAGGAATTGTAGTGTTTCTTGTTCTTCATACGTGGCAGATAGAAATCCTGGCTGATTACGTGGATGTGTAAGTTGGCTAACGATGGTATGGAATGGACTCCAGCCCGGATAAATCGATTGCGGAACGTTGCCCTGGAGTTCTTGTCAACGGCTACAAGACCGTCTCGCACTAACGAGTCTACCATCAAATCCTTAGCCTTTTCGACATAGGTGTCGTATTTGTCGTAAATTTCATGGTCTTTGAAAGCATCGAGTGGATGAGTTTTGGACAACTCCGAATCACGAGGAAGAACCAAGTAGTGACGGACGGACTTGGGGTAAGCGTCTTTGATGATCACTACGTTGTCATCATAGAACAACGCGCGGTCTTGTGTAGGGTTGTTGATGTAACTTTGTAGTGCAAACCTGAAGCTCATAAGTAGTACAGCCTGTACAGTGAATGATTATGGAGGAAGTAGGGTGAGAGGAACGAAATTCGGAGGTGATACTAAAAAGGAAAGTGATACTGAAAATGATAGAAGAAATTTTGAAAAGAAGTTGTAGGGTAAGTGGTCTGGAAAAGATATCAATTGACGTAATTATGAAACGGATTTGGAAAGTGTTTAGAGATTATATCACATGGAAGAGAAATGTCAATACTACCAATACTGGACCTGAGCCAACATCGTTAACTATTTTCGTGAACGCATCTGTTGGAGTATTTTGAACACCGAGACCGCTGATTTTGTCTAGAACTTCCAACATTTCGCTTATTATGATCCCTCTACCATGGCTCTCCAACTGTAATGCAGGGCCAATCAAATCTTGCTAACTCAACAAATTATGCCTTTCTCTTCTTTATTGGAGACTTGTGCTGGGTACCGGTACTGATTCCAGCCGGCTTCTCGGTCACCACCTCTACCTTGTCTTCCTCCTTCTTCTCCTCCTCTTTCGTTTCCTCCTTCTTCTGCTCTTCCAACAATTCCTCGTTGTTCTGGAGCTTAGTGTGTTTGAGTTCGTTAACAAACCAAATCACTGACCCATACAAGAAACCAGCAATCACAAAGAGGTTGACGAAGTGAATTGATCGAGTGTAGTAGATCAAAGATAAAAGTGACAAAAGAAGGAGAATGAATGAGGCATGTGTAGCTTTCAAAAGCGCAGGAGTGGTTCCTGGAGTGAAAATAGACTCCCAAAGTTCAACTATGAATGCCATTGTGGATATTAACTTGGAAAACTTGGTGCTTAAAGTTATTCAACGCCTCTTAGTGTTGGATGTAACACCTGTACCTCTCCTTTAACCTCTGTACATCTCAATGATTATATCCAGCTATTATAACCCATTAGATGATAACTAACGAATGTGAAAGAGTCTTATTATCACTCCTGAAGTTTAATTTTACTATCATCCATTTCGGTACTATCTTGTCTCCGTCCTTTACTCCTAAATTTTCCATCAAATATTTGGTATATCACGTGACCTTGTTCCTCGCCAACATCTCCAAATTGATTCCTCACAGTAAATCTCAACCAAATCATCATGGTACTCCTAGAAGATCTGTTCATCTCCGACGAGGAGGTGGAGTACTGGTATGTCCTTAATCTATTTTCAATATATTGTTTATATACTAACCGTTAGCCCCTTATGTGTTGAAGAAATGGATATTTCCGACAAGAACTTCAAGCCTTGCCCTTGTGGCTATCAGATTTGTCAGTTTTGCTACAACAACATCAGACAGAATCCGGAACTTAATGGTCGTTGTCCTGGATGTAGACGTCTCTACGACGATGAAAGCGTCGAGTACAAGACATTGACAGCTGAGGAGTACAAGTTACAGCAATTCAAGAAGGAAAGACGTGAACGTGACAAGAAACAGAGGGAGAAGGAGAGGAAGGAGCTGGAGATTGCAAGCAAGAAGCATTTGGCGGGGCTCCGTGTGGTGCAGAAGAATTTGGTGTATGTGACTGGGTTGAATCCGCCTTGTCCGCCTGAGGATTTGCACCTGGTTCTTAGATCAGACAAGTACTTTGGTCAGTACGGGAAAATTCTGAAAATCGTTATCAACCGCAAGACTCCTGCGGGGCCCTCTGCTCACCAGACTCAAAACTCAAACCAGGGCATCGTTGTGTATGTTACTTTTGCCAAAAAGGAGGATGCTCTTAGATGTATCAATGAGCTCGATGGATCGGTGTGTGATGGTCGGGTCCTCCGTGCTGCTCATGGAACCACAAAGTACTGCCTGTCGTACTTGCGTGGCCATCCATGCCCCAACCCAAACTGTATGTTCTTGCATGAGCCTGGTGAGGAAGCTGACTCTTACACTCGTAAGGATTTGTCTACACAACAGGGTATTAAGATGGGCATGAGTGGGCTGCGTAGTGGCAGCGGGGTTAACTTGCATCAGTCCCACTTTGGTGAGCACGAGGAGTCCGATGATGAACGTCACTCCACTGTTTCATCATCAGTGGGAACTTCTACTGCTGTCCCTACGGGAACTACTCCAGTTGCCACACACGCTGTACCCGTACTTCCTGCCACTGCACATTGGGCAAAGAATATGGCACTGGACTCTGCCAGCTCGTCGCCTGCAGTTTCCAATGTCCTGATGGCTGATTCGGCTGCATTCCCTACTTTGGGCGAGATCTTCAAGGATCAGAAGCTTCAGAAGAAGGATGCGAAAAAGAAGTCCAAGTCCAATAAGGACGGCACAGTTTTGCCTGATGACATCGATATCGACGACAACCTGGCTTTCCAGATTGCGGAGGATGCCAGCGAACGCTTGAAACAATTGTCTGAGTCCAACCGTGCATTGAAAGTTTACTTTGACGATTTGAGCGACGCGCAACCTATTCCACTTTTCCACTTTGACCGTAACATGGGGCCATATTCTGGCTCGTTGGATGAGGAGAAGGTGCTTGCCAGACAGGTGATCGAACGGTTTTTGTTGCGTCCAATCAAGAAATATCACTTGGCGTATCTGAATCACCCGGTAAGCCAGCAGCAACAGTATTTGACACAGCAGGCACACTTACAGCAGCAACTGCTGCAGCAGCCGCAACAACAGCAACAGCAACAACAAATGCAACTGCAGCAACTGCAGCAACTGCAAACTCCACTTGTGACTGCTAGATTACAACAGATGCACTTGGATGAATCACAAAAGCAACAGCAACAGCAACAGCAACAAATGCTCTTGATGCAACTCCAGCAGCAGGTACACCAGGGTAATGTTCAAGGAAACGCTCAAGGTAACGTTCAAGGTAATGTTCCAGCACAAGGCCAATTCTCACAGATCAATGCCTTGAGAATGAGCCAGAGAGGAGCAGCTACACCTCCACCTCCAGGATTATTTGGTAAGAATCAGGACGTTCCACTGCACCCAAGCACACTATCCAACCAGTCGTCTAGCTCTCAGTTGTTGACACAATTAATGAGTGGAAAGTAGTTTGTATTATATAGATGGCAGCACTGCGGTGATTGTACTATAGAACATGTCAAAAAAAAATTGTAGTGAAATTGAGTATAGCAGAATGTATACTCGCTTTTATTAATTATACCACTCACATGGCAATAGATACAACGATGCAAAATCTTGCTAAAAATTGCCTAGTTTGATTATGAGCTCAAACTAAACGCTGAATTAAATTCTCAAATCTAAAGCTAAAACTGGAAGCTCGAAATAAAAACTCAAGTTAATGCTTAAATGGCATTCTTGGTCACCTTGATCATGGCGGGAGTAAAAACATCATGTTCCATCATGTTCATGAGCTTGTTCTCTACCAAATTCTCCAGCACTTTGATTTTGAATCCACGAAGTAGTCTCAATCGTGTCATTTTCTTCAAGTTTGACCGTGCCACTCTCAATGTGAGATCAGGAGTGTCCGCTGGAACACCGGCAAAGAATTCAACGGTTACATAAACACATTTACACTTCTCGTAATCCCAGAAGTCTGTGTAAATAGAAGGCTTGAACTTTGCCTTATAATACCAATCTGGCTTTGTCAGTTTTTCGATGCGAGTGAGCAACTGGTCAAACTGGCCCGATCCGTCACTTGAAGTCTGTTGTGATGCAACTGGAGCTTTAGCAAGATGATTAGGGGTGCTTGCAGGAATATTTGCAGCAGTGGCGTTGGTTTCTGCGGGAACACTGGCAGGAGCGTTAGTGGACGATTCACTAGAAGGTTTAGAGAGTTGAGTGGTAGCTCCGGAAGCGGTCTGCTTTGCTGATGTAGGGTGAACAGTATGACCCAAATTAACTTGCGGGTTTCTTGAGTCTGTCTGCAACGAAGTTCCAGCACTTGATATCCGATTGGCGGCGCTGGCACTCATCTGTACTTCCTTAATCTCTTTTTCCCTTTGGCGTAATAACTTAGACACTCCGAGCTCCACATCTCTCCATCTCAGTCTGCTCTCGATCTCCTTCACATCAAATTCCTTGTTCGTCTTGAGCTTAATGTAGTGTTTTATCACCAACATGCGGTTCATTAAATTTAGAGGAAGCTTGCTGTGTGCTTCAATAAGTGCATCCACGTAAAGTGGTGTCCACAACTGCTCTTCATCTTCGACAGAAATCGAAGTGTTTCCCGCCTGGAATTCTAATCCTGCTTGTTGCTGCGTGGCTGGTGGACTGGCTCTTAGGTTAGGCGACAGGTTGCGAAGATTTAGCAGCTTCTTCCACTCTTCAACCAAGTCGCTGTAATTTGAAGGTGGCTCACCGTTGGCACCATATACTTTGCGATGAAGCAAGAATAGCAGGTAACGGCCACGTACCTCCCAGTCTGCGAGTGTCAATCCAGTCTTTCTGGCAAATTGCAAGCGAATATCAGCCCATGGAACAGTCACGTAGTTCGGATTATCATGGAACTGGGAGGCTACCAGATGGAACGCCTGAATGTAGTATTGGTACTTATCTTGTGTTCTGTCAGAGTACCCGTAGTGCAGCTCTAATGTTGCAATGGCTCGCTGAGAGAGTGTGATGCCAAATTGCTTGTAAATGGCCAGATAAATTGATTGAGACGTGCGAAGTGGGTCATCCATTACAGCCTTGAAGATGCAATAGTTATGCTCTCTAGTCCATGTACCAAACGCACCGAAGTCATCGTCCTCATTTTTCCTTTTCTTCACAACGATATCCTCCGATGTTGATGGTCTTTTTGAAGCATTGAAACTGGAACTAGCAACTGCTGGATTAGAATGTGAAAGTTTAGTGTTCACTTGTTGAAGTACAGTCTGCGATGGTGGAGAAAAACTTGTAGGAGCATGAGAAGCAGATGGTGGAACATTGTGCCCTGAGGCACCGTAAGCATGGCTTCGCTGATCGTTAAGCGACTGAGGCAGTTGAAACTGGAAAGCGTGATAACCGGGAGATCGATGATTTTCGAAAGCACTGGGAGCACCAGATCCAGCAAGCTGATAAGGTGTAGATGGAACTGTCAGATGTTGCGATACCACGGGTTGAGGTTTCAGATGCTGGGATGTCACGAAATGTGATGGAGGAGACACCACAGGTTGGTATGGTTGAGTTGAATGAGATACCACTGGTTGAGCTGAATGGGATATCAATGGTTGAGTTGAATGGGATACCGCTGATTGAATTGAATGGGACACAACAGATTGGGATGACTTAGGATGAGAAACCAAAGGTTGAGGAGCAGAAACCTGAGACGACTGCGATGAGTAACCTGTCGACAGTTCTGCAACAGAAGCATGCATAGCCAATTTACCTGAATCCCTTTTGTTGTTCTCCTCTAATGGCGTTCCAGTTGTAGATTTCTGGATATCCACCCCCAAAATCTCTTTCAAGACACTCATGTCAACAGACAGCGACACTATCAGGTATGCCACCTTTCCGCCCTCCCTAGCGTTCTCTCTGAATTCCCGTCGAAGTACGGAAAGTTCTGGGAGCTCCAGATACAACTCTGCCACAGGAATCTTGTCTTCAATTCGAAGGTGTAACGACGATAGGTCATCGAGAAGATTACGGTAATCCAGGTCCCAGCGCGACTTCGAGAGGTCGTAGTACGACTTCAATGCATAGTACGAGTAACACAACTGGTCAAACTCGTAAAGATCCATCAAACCCTGGCGTAGGTCCGTGTCTACCTGTTTCTGGGTGATGGTGACATACTTCTTGTGGAGATCGTCCTTAATGGCAAGGTAGCTCCGTATTTTTTTCTGCACAACGATACTCATGGCAAAGCAGACGTATAGAGATCGATCTTCACTCAGTTAGTGTTTATTGTTGGGGAATCTTCTGCCTGTTTATCTTCAAGGTGCGATCACAACGAAGGGAGACCAGGATGTTTTGGGCCTGGTGGTGCGCAGGCGTGAAGGAAAAAAATGAGACAAAAAAACAACACCCAGGGCGAGAAGATGATGAATGAAGACGAATTGGGCTAGTGAATCAACAAATTCTTCGTCAATGACGAGAGATATGGTGTGTTGGAGATTGGATCCGCCGAGAGGATGACTTTTGATGCCGCAGCAGTTGCAGCACTGAATACTATGTGGAATAACGATGGTAGTTCGTTCCTGCTACAGACTTTTTTTTTTCCTCCATGAGGCCCCGGCTAGTGCGAAACGACACAGTCGCACCAGGAATTTGGCGCCGTATTGCATACAATTTTGGGCCGGTACTGGCATAAGAGAACGGGTATTTTGCTGGGTTACACGTCGGAAATAGTGGGGGAGAATGGAAAAAAAGGATAGCAAATGAAGTCCTATATTTGATGTCATTGATTATGGAGGCAAAGTTGAAGCAGGCAAATTTCTGGCTCCATTTGGCCATGTTTTTTCAAGGACCTTGTCTAAATGGATATTGCGACATTGTCTACACAATTTTTTTCTGGCACAGCGCGCATTCACCAATTGTTCTAAACTATGAGGATGTACGGGTTTCTATATTTTGTATGGACGATATTTTCTGCATCTGAAAGTTAACTATGCTAAACAACCTTGAGTTGCACTCATATTCAAAAACTACCATATGATGAAAAATGGCCCCGGAAAACCGCGCAGCTTCTCCGGCTCCAAACCCTATTAACTATATACAACTATTAAACAACTTCAGCACATTTTCCACAGAGAACGTCCTCGGCCTCGGAAATGTACTTCCAGCATCTCGGACACTTGCAAGAGGCTGAATGGGTGATGGTGGCATTGACACTGTCATTGCCAACTTGGACCGAAAACGTTCCTGATTGAGTACCGGGCAGTGGAGAACCCAATATTACTCTAGAAACCAAGAAGTAGTCGTCCAAGAAGTCCTTGTGCTTTTCGAGCAACAGGGTCAACCAGTCAGATTTGGTATCAAGGTAAATCTCGGCCTCCAATTTATTTTTAAAATGACCCTCGAGTCTAAGCGACTCCAAAGACTTGTAGAGCAGGTCTCTGATTTTCCAGATGGTTTCAAATTCACTCAATATTTCATTGTCGACAACTTCCTCTGGTAAAGCGTAGAAGTCCCAATTCTTCTTGAATGGAGAATCCTCGCTTATATTGAATTTGCCAGCGTATAGGTCCCAAACTTCCTGGGTAAGCAAAGGTTGGATAGGTGCCAAAATACCAACATATACCCGCACAAGGTGGTCCAACACCGTCTGAATGCCTCTTCTTCTTAATGAGTTCTGCCCGGATGTATAAAGGCAGTCCTTGGATATGTCGAAATAAAGAGCACTAAGGTCTCCACTCATATGCAAGTTCAATTCTCTGACTACCTTCGCATAGTTATGGCTTTGATATGCCTCCACCGTCTTCTCTTGCAACGTGTACAACCTAGAGAGAACCCACCTATCCAAGGGATTCAATTGGTTCAATGGAACAGGGTGTTCAAAATCCTGGAGGTTCCCCAACATATACTTGAAGGTTACCCGAAGCTTCTTTACGTTCTCCACTACTCGTGTCAAAACTTCTGGACTCACACTGACGTCCAGGGTATAATTGGACGAAGCCACCCACAATCTGAGCCCGTCAGTGCCCAACGCAGGAACAAGTGGTTTTCCTCCTCCATTAATTACCTGTGAGGGTAAAATCACATTGCCCTTGGACTTGGACATCTTGTCCATTTTCTTATCCAAGGTGAAACCGTGAGTGATGATTTTCTTGTATGGGGCCACGGGCTTAAATTCGTTTCCGTTGCCTGACGCAATGATCTTGTTAAGTAATGAAGACTGGAACCATCCTCTGTGCTGGTCGCTACCTTCCAAGTAAATGTCTGCAATTGGTTTATCGGAATTCATGAGCTTTTCCAAGTTGTCACCAAGAGTCGACCACGAAGTTCCCGAGTCAAACCACACATCCATTGTATCCTTTCCCTTATAGTATTCTGCACCATTCTTGTCCTCTGGAAGCCATCTGGAGATATCATCCTCCTCCTCAAACCACTGGTCGGTTCCATATTCAGAAAGTCTATTGACAACATACCGGATGGTGTCCACGTCGTCTAGAGGCTCGTGGGTGTTCTTATTGTAAACAATAGGCAAAGGAACACCCCATGTTCTCTGTCTAGAAATGCACCATTCGCTTCTGTTGTTGACAAACAGTGTAAGTCTGTTTCTGCCTGTTTCTGGAATGAACTCGACTTGCTCCAACAGCTTGGTGGCCGCGTCCTTGATCTTCTCCACATTTACGAACCACTGTGGAGTGGCACGCTGTATCACCGGTGTTTTCGACCGCCAATCATATGGGTATGAGTGGGTATACTTCTTGTTGACGTGGAAAATCATGTTATGGCTCTCCAAGATATCCAAGCACCTGAAGATGCTAGCCTTCCCATTAGCATATTTACCTGCGAGCTCGTGGAAGCCCTGAGGAATATTCGACTGGATATATAATCCCTTTCCATCCACTGAAGATGCCACATGCAACTTGTGTTTCTGGCCAACGTGGAAATCCTCTAAACCGTGTGCTGGGGCATTGTGAACTAGGCCCGTACCGGCTGTTGCAGTCACATGGTCTCCATGTAGCACTGGGTACTTTGCATTGTCTTGGAAACTAGGGTTTTCGTAGGATAATCCCTCCAACTCTGAACCCTTTATCACAATGTCTGTTTGTGAGTATGATGGATCAAGCTTCACAATTTCGTCTACTAATTCTATGCCCACAATCAACTTCTCGCCTGTCTGAACATTCTCCAATACAGTATAATCCAACTGAGAGTTCACACAGATGGCCTTATTGGCAGGAATAGTCCATGGAGTCGAAGTCCAGATGAGAAGGTGCACGTTTCCACCCAACCGGTCAACCAAGTCATTTCTGACAAGGGGAAACTTCACATGGACAGCCACAGACTTGTGGCTGGCGTTATACTCTAGCTCTGCCTCTGCCAATGCCGTTTGGGTCTCACAGCCCCACCAAACTGGCTTCAATTGTCTCGACAAGAGGCCATTTTCGAACAATTTTAAGAAAATTTGAAGTTGAGCAGACTCGTAGGTGCTTGACATGGTCACGTACGGCGTATTGAAGTCGGCCATGATGCCAAAATCAAGAAATTGTTCACGCTGCTTCTCGATCATACCACTAGCCAATTCACGGCACAAGCGCCGAGTCTCTAGCGCAGACAATCTTCCAGCATCCTGAATAGCTTTCATCTCAATTGGAAGCCCGTGACAATCCCAACCGGGGCGGTAGGAGACCTTCAGCCCATTATGGAGAACCTCAAAACGATTGATGATATCCTTCAAAATTTTGTTGAGGGAGTGGCCTAAATGCAAGTCGCCGTTGGCATAAGGAGGTCCATCATGAAGAATAAACTCTTTTTTGTAGTCTGTCCGTTCATGCTGCCATTTATATAGGGACTTTCCGGATTTTTCAATCAAGTCTCTTCTCTCCTGGTCCTTTGGAATCTTGGGTGAGAACGAAGTTTTCGGAAGAAGCAAAGTTTTCAGATACAGCACTTTGGCACTTTGTGCCAAACGAAGGGCAGAAACCGAAAGTTGACGAATGTCTCGCCGAAGCATACTGGCCGGAAGATTGACAAGTACAAATTCCAGATCTTGATCTTTTTATGGGTGCACGGGTTTTTTTTTCTTTAACTACAATAGGTTCACAGATTTAAGAGTCAATTGGATGGAAGGATTGAAATATATGTCCTACAACTTCACTACAACTTCAGTTTTTAAATAACAAAGTCATTTTTCGTTAGATACATAAGAAACTCAAGGTCGCGAGACAAACGACAAATAAATAATATAGACAAGATAACGAGCACCTGTGGCCGCTACGGCGTCTGGTATAAATAAATATACGTCTCACGCTTATTTCTTACCAATGGACTTGACCAACTCAATGTACTTCTCAGTGGAGAAGGACTTTGGTCTCTCAATGGACATACCAAGACCACGGTCAAGGATCAACTGTGGCAAAACACCGAAGGCTCTGGCAACACCGAACAACACAGTGTAGAAGGACTGCTCAGTCAAACCGTAGTACTGCAACAAGACACCAGAGTGGGAGTCCACATTTGGCCATGGGTTCTTGGTCTTACCGTGCTTGGTCAAGACACCTGGGGCAACCTCGTAAATGTTGGACACCAAGGTGAACAAGTCGTAGTCTGGCATGTGCTTCAAGGCAAACTCTCTCTGAGCAGTGTAACGAGGGTCAGTCTTTCTCAAGACGGCGTGACCATAACCTGGAACAACTCTACCGGAGTTAAGAGTGTCCCACAAGTACTTCTCAATAGCCTCCTTAGAGTGGTCACCCTTCAAGTCCTCCTTCAACTTGAACAACCACTCCAACACCTCCTGGTTGGCTCTACCGTGCAAAGGACCAGCCAAACCGTTCAAACCAGCGGCAAGAGACAAGAATGGAGAGGACAATGCGGAACCAACCAAATGGGTGGTGTGAGCAGAAACGTTACCACCCTCGTGGTCAGAGTGAATAGTCAAGTACAATCTCATCAACTCGACGAACTCCTTGTTCTGGCCGAAACCGAGCAAGGTGGACAAGTTGGCGGAGTAGTCCAAGTCCTGGGAGATGGAGCCAGCCAACTTACCGTCGTGGAAAACGTTTCTGTAGATTCTGGCAGCGATGTTTGGCAACTTAGCCAACAACTCGATAGAGTCCTCGTAAGTGTACTTCCAGTACTCAGACTTTGGAACACCCTTAGCGTAAGCCTTGGCGAACTGAGACTCGGACTCCAAAGCGTTAACAGCAATGGAGAACTGAGCCATTGGGTGCAAGTTGGTAGGACAACGGTCAATCAACTCCTCAACGTGCTTTGGCAAAGCAGCTCTGGCGGCCAACTCCTCAGACAAACCCTTGGTCTGAGCATCAGTTGGGACCTCACCAGTCAACAACAACCAGAACAAAGCTTCTGGCAATGGCTCAGCACCATCAGCAGCATGTGGCAATTCCTTCTGGATGTCTGGAATGGTTCTGCCTCTGAAACGGATACCCTCGATTGGGTCCAAGACGGAACCTTCCCAGACCAAACCCTTGATACCTCTCATACCACCGTAGGCCTGCTCCAAGAGAACCTCACCAATGACCTATAATTGTTAGTTGTGCGCGGAGAATAAAGTCCGAGGATGTGCCGAGGACAACTTTGCAACGAGCCAAATTTCGATGGCCGGAACCTCGACAATCCTCTAAAATTGTGAACCCGATAATTTTAGTCAAATACCATTGGCAGTTCAGGTATAATAATTACGGTTTGTATGGGCAAACTTAAGTCTGATCACATGCCAATGGGTATATCGACTTCAACCTCGGGGAAATTGATACATACGGTTTTACCATATTCCTTCTTCAATTGCTTGACCTCTTCGGCCTTCTCAGGCAAGATCTCGGCCAAACGAGCCTTCAAGGTCTGGGGGAGTTAGTACTTAATATTAAAAAGGGATTCCAAATGTAAGGACATACTGGCTCAGTAGCGTAGGTTCTAATACCCAAAGCTCTCTTCAAAGCGGAACGTTGGAAAGAACGGACAGCAGACATAATAATAGTGGTTTTAGAAAAAATTTGTGGGAAAGGGAAAAAAATCCACTGGGAAAACGCACTTTTTATAGTCCTCTCTGTGGGATGAATCGGCACCATAGGTGTGAACAGCGGATTACGTAAAATCACTGTGTTTCTTGTATATAATAGCCCTCGGATTGTTTGTGAACCAATAAAATCGCACCATTCTTATCCCGGAAGTTGTAACTCGGACTTGCACACCAATCCGCACCCGCATCCTGGAGATCATCTACCTGGTGCTACCTGGCCACGGAATTTTCCAAGGAGAAGTCATCTGAGATTAGGAGACATTTGAATCCATTAAATAGGCTGCTAGTAACGAGAACTTCTATTTTTTTTCCATCTCTGACCCCAGTCGTCACGAAGTTTCAAGTCCCCAGGTTTCATTCCACGGACTTTTGGTCCCCTGCAGACTGTTCCCCCGGTGCTGCCGCGCACTGTTGACCCCAGATTTCGGAGTTGGCGAATAAGAATGCCCCACGACGTCAGTTCAGTGCCTCTACCAAAAGCCATAATTTCGAAATCACAAGCATAAGCCTTTATCCGATTCTCGCAGTTGTCCTTTCTGGTTCTTTTTTCGCCATCACACTACGATACGCAGATGTGATGACTGTGATATGCGGATTAACCATCCGAGGCTCCGGTTGATTCGTTGGGGCCAGAAACAGGTAGCTTAAACTCGGTCATTGGAACTCAAATGAATTAAACACCGCACACCTGTGCCGGTCGTGATTTCTTGTCCGTTTCTGGCCGAGTCGGTGATCGGCATCTTACGATTTGTGTGGGGGTGGTTAACGTATCGGTTAAGAGGATTTTGTGGGGCATGAAGAGGTGACGGCTTGGGAGGTATGGATGTTAGACGTTTAAGAAAGATCGGAATATCGGAGATTTTGTCAATTCCATTAGTCCTGGTTAATATTAGGCGTGGATGGAAGGAAGTAGTTTCGGGACTTGTAATTCGAAAAGAGCCTAAAAGTAGAACTGGCAGGTTGATCTACGTTTATCATACTAATTGCTGTATCCGTAGATGTTGCCCCTAATTTCGCGCCAATTTCCGCCAGTTCCTCGGATTGGACCGATACCTAACTTCTTCCGAACCCTCCGGGTAACGTCGTGTGCGAGCCAATTACTTGTTACCACTTCATCACAGCGAGCGCGTTCACAATTCTTTTTCCTCTCGTGGGACTTTTATCTCCATTTATATGCCGTATCCAGATATACGTGGTAAACGAATCCCACAGAGTAATGCGGTCGCAAGACCTGGAAGTCTGCAGAGGTGGTGCCATAGACAAGTGTGGTACTACCTTTGATGGCGTCTGACATCTTTTTTTAACATTCTGTTGTTCACATTTCAAGTAACTTGTAGATAGCATCTCCTGCTAAGGTGTCAACTGGTTTGTTGATAGCTGGACACCTAGTCCGAAAATCACATCTGCGGCACATGGTGAGGTCATTTGTCTCCTTCGGTGGGCGCTGTCCGCTCCAGAACTTGCTTGCTTTATCCATATGTTGTTCAATCAACTTCAAATCGAAAGGATAGTGCTTGAAGCCAAAAATACTGAGAGATCTCGCGTTGTGGTATTCAATGCAAACAGATGCTGGCTCGAAGCTTTCAAAAATATTGTATGCTTGGGCAGCTCTAGCTGCAAAATACCGAATTGTTACGGGATACCGCCAGGGCTGAAACAAGTCCAGGATGTCCATTTCCATAATCTCTTTGGAATCGCCGTAGAATAGTGCTAACATTTCTCGGAACCGTGCCTCTGTAACAAAGTTGCTAAGTGAAAATTGCGCTTCTCCTTCTACTTTAGTTGTTGATCCTCCTGATTTTTGGTATTCATCAAACTCATCGCACCCTATCGGTTCTCCACGAGCCAATTTCTTCATATCTTGCGCTAGTACCGGGAATTGGGCAATTATGATGCGTAAAGCCCATGCTACACCCAAAGGCTCGTCGATCTCCACTCCACGTCGTCTTGCGTTCTCAAGATGGCTAGCATAGGCAAACTCGGTACTCTGAGAGAGGTTATCGAAAAATCGAGCATAATATAAGCACTGATCACGAGCAGCAGTCATGACCAGTTGGTATGGAGGGAACAGGTCATCCGCACGAGTTTTCACGTCTCTAACATGTAGAAAATACTTGCCTTCATTGGATAGTTTTGTGACTACCTCTTTAGCCTTGGGAATCTCTTCTGATAAGTCTACCAATCGCAGCTTATTCAAACGCAAAATTTCGAGCTGCAGTCGAAGATCCTCAATGAATTTGCTCAGCCCTTCATCGCGTGCAATGGTGCTTCGATAAGGTTTGTTAGCATTGGACTGATCAATTTTGACAATGTCAGCAATTCCATTTACGAGCACGGCCAGCAGTAGCTCTTCGGCAGTGGTTGCCAACTTTCCATTGTAAAAGTTGATGAATCCATGTACGTTAATTTCTCTTGCAAAGTGCTTTTCGGCAACGAATAGAAGTCTGACCAAGCCATGCTCTATCCATTGTTCCCCTAAGTATCTTCCCCATGAATTCTTCGTAAGAAGAGCTTGTTCTTCTTCCAGAAAGTGCTCTAACTCCTCATCAATTATAGAGATGAGTGTTTCCTCGTTTACCTGCGCATGCGTCTGGTCTTCCAAGTGCTGATGGTAATTTCTGCCTTCTCTCAACCGTCCCGAGTCAATCGAAGGCAGGCCAGCGTAAATCTCGTAGTACTTTCGAAGCTCACAATACGTGTTTGTCAATAATTTAGAAACCGAGAGCCGCGGCTGACTCAAATATGTCACGTCTCCATTGACTGTACTATGATAGGTGAAAGGCAGTGGGAGAGCAGAGGCTTCCGGGAGTTCTAGAAGCGAATCGGGCGGCTTATTAAATGCCGCAAGTACCAATTCCTCTTGAGGTGTTGGCGGACTTGGTCTATTGCTGTCACAAGGTCCAAGTTGTTTCATTAACTCCCACGTAGCTGATCGATCTGACCGAACAGCAGCTATTGGGGTTTTCTGAGAGGTAAGCGGCACCTTGAAATTTAGCACGCGAACCATATTTAAGTGTAGGTAAGGTAATTTTGATTAAAGTTGAAGTCAAAATGGGACGCGGCAATTTCAATCAAGTAGCTAATGATCCTGAATAATTATGCGTCCATTGACAATTATCAAGACAACCGATGTATCTTAGAATACTTCTGGTGTTAAAATTTACGATTACGGCACAATCAGCCAATACTTGTACCTTTTTTTTTCTTGTTCGAAAAGAGAAGAGATAAGAAAGTAGTACGCAGCAGAAGCACGAATTGATGATTTGCTTATATGCAATATGTTATCCAAATTAATAGCATTCTGATAAAACTTTTAGGCACCAAGAATGAATTTTGGATATTTCGTTTCATGAAATTGAAGATTTTATAACTGGGTTTTCTACTCTCGAATTTGATTGAATTTCATGGAGCTCTAATATTTTTTCTAGTAATTGTTAAATTATGATAATAATGCGACAAACTAATAGGAATATAAAAACTGGAATTTTTACTTTCAAACTATTCATTAATTTTGATGTGGTCTATATGATACAGTTATATCCAAAAGTGTAAAACTTGATACAAATTAACGGAGATTCTCTTGTTGTCGCAAATCAATCTACTAATATTTCTCCAAGCAGGTCTATGAGTATTGTTAATACGAAGTCCAAGTTGTCCGATGTATTGATCTATGAATTAATGGATACCTCTCTTAAGCTTCAAGCTATCTCTCTTCTTCTCGCTTAAACTGTACTGACCAGGCAAGTTGATTTTGTTGTTGCCGTTAGCCATAGGCGAGTCCTTTGCAGGGCTCTCAGGAATCAAAGGTCCACTTCTTAATCCACCAAGACCAGGCAGAACGTTTCCGAGTCCCGAGAAGTGCCCATTCGAGCCGAAGTACCCCACATCTTCGGTGGGTATTGTTGCGGAAACAAATGGAGAGTTCAACGTCTCGCCAAGAACAGCCCCATTGTTTCCATTGTTGATATGGCCATTTGCGCCATTAGAGCCACCATGTGGCATTCCATGATTCATGCTCAGCACGAAATTGGATGTGTCGGTGTTAATGGTGAGGGGCTTGGGGAACAGACCACCCACATTACCACGGCTCGAGGAGCGTGAGCGCATTAGCAGCTGGGTGAACTCCTCGTACTCTGCAGCTGCCCCCAGCGAGTTCAAGCAAATGGTGTCACGATTTCCCACCACGGATGGCGGCGTACTTCCCAGCAGAATGGAACTCTTGACAGAGCTTGGAGGAGTGTGATAGTCGAGCATCATGGAGTTGAAGCCCGTGGATGGAGTATTTTGGTTCCAATTAGGGGCTGTCTGGGTGAGGTTTGACAGCAGCGCCCCCAGACGGATAAATGCCTGTGGCACGTAATCATGCATCAGCTGGAGAGATTCATTGGATGCACAGAAGTCAGGATTCATACCCAACCCATTGGCCCCACTGGAACGGATGTTCTGCACGTTCCCCACATGCAACCAATTGGAACCAGTATACGAGTTGTTTCTTGTGAGAGAGTGCTTGCGCAAGCTGAGCGAAGACAGACGCAGGCGCGAGTTATTGAGAGCAGCCACCTGGGCCACCTGGGCCAGCAGTTGGTTGTAGTTTGACACGTTTTGCTCATTCAACAGCAAATTGGAGATGGACAGCTGGCGCAATCCTCCTCCATTGTAAACGGCATGCGAGGCCGCAGCATTGCCTCCATTGTAACCGTTGGCATTGTTACTGTATGGAGCCCCGTTACAGATACCATTGGCGGAACCAGTCTGACCCGAGACAGGTGGAGCTCCAAGCGGAACAGGAACTTGCACGGATGTGAATTGGGGAAGCAGCAGATTGGAAGCACGTTGCACGGTACACAAGTCGATCAAGCGCTTACGAATCAACTGCAAGAAGATGGGCTGGTAGGCATGGTTTCTCAAATGGTCAAGACTCAACATACTTTGGGTATCGTACACCACTGAGCTATCAGCGGCGGTGTTCTTGAGAAGGCTATGAAAAGTCTCATTTGCCACACGAGAAACCAAGCCCGAGGGCGGCACAGCTCCCAGAAACGGCGTGGTGGTCGGAAGAGACAAGATATGCGAGTAGATGTTCAACACCAACGAGTCAAACAGCGGCGTGAACGCCACCGAGTAACTGCGCATGACCTTTGACGAGGGTTCGTCCACGTCGGTTAAGATATCATCGCTCTCGTTGTATTGGGGGTTGCTGTAGAGCGAGTGGTTTGGAGGTTGGGGGAAGTAGGATGACGCGTTATTTGGAGGGTCCACAGGGGTGCGGAGGGTCTGGTCGACAGGGGTAAATGGAGCGTCGGACGGCAACACGAACGACTTGTTCATTTTAAGGGAGAGAGTCTTTTTGTTGAGCATTGTGGAATTGAGCGAGTCAAGAAGTCTTACCAAAAACGGTCAAGTGGTCGCAGGCGCAAAGTCAGAGTCACAATCAGCAACAGTCAGGCACGGACAATCACAAGCAAACAGTTTCTGAATGAGGTTCGTCAATGTCGTTGAGTCGTTGTTGTTGGTCACTCAAGGTCGGCTAGTGTCGGTCAGTGTTGGTCAATGGTAGTCAATATCCGTGAGTGCCGGGTGGTGCAGTCTTATAATGAGTAGGTGACCTAGGCAAAAGTTAAATTGTGGAAACAAAGGAAAATGGAAAGCTCCAACAGGAATGGAATGGCACAAACAGCACGACAAAATTTCAGGAACACAAGGTGGTGTGGTCACAAAAAGCTAAAAGTTGGAATGCAAGCAACGTTGTGGAGGAAGAGACAACACTTTAAATGTAAAAAAAACCGACTGTTGACCGGCCGGCCAGGAAGGGGTGACGCGCGCACTAATTATTCCCAACCTGGCGAATCCCAGGGCCAGTGCAGGCCCGTTAGGGGCCAGGGAGATCCTTGGAGGGGCAGGATGCCTGTAGGGAGTGGAGGAATTTAGGCAGGCAGACAGGTCGGTGGGGAGGCAGGCCAGGCAGAAAGTGGATTGCACGAAGGAATTGATGGGAAGATTGCAAGATTGCGAATATTGGATGGAGTGATTTGACAAACAGACGCAAAAGTCAAAAATTATGTTGAATTTGAGGGGTGTTTGAAGGAATAATAAATCAATCAATCTATCAGTAATTGACCCAATGATCTTCACAAGTGATCCCTACGACTGGAACTTTAATTGTTATCAGGTTCTCCAATGCCCCTGTCTGATCATATTGAATCGCTCGGAACAATCAGGATTCGCAGGACTCACACTTAGACACCTCGCATAAGCCCCATGCATTCTATTGTTTGCGGTGGCTTCGTGAGACCTCTAATTAGTTTAATTTGGGTCAATGCAATTGACCACCCACTTACCAACAATAGCCAGGAAATCAATGGGCAAGGCAGATCAATCTGTCAGGTAGATCAATCGATGAGTTGGTCAGTTGCTATTAACTTTCACGGTTTTGTTTTCTAGGGTTTCTCACACATAGAAGTGCCAGTGGTTCCACTCCCCACGGCGCTCAATCTCGCCCCACATCATCCGGCTCCAACACCCCCAGATCCTCCAACCACTCTCCATTCCCCCTCCCCCCCTCCCCCAGCGGCCTCACCCCCAGCTTGGACGCTCCCAACTCTCCATATTGTTCCCCTATTTGTCATGGTTCCATGCATTTGTCCCAAGAGCATCTACAACATCCTCTGCATCTTCTGGGGCCAAGTCAGCGCTCGTATTGTCCATCTCGCCTATTCTCCTGCCTCCCCTATGTCAGGCCTCACTGTACCCGGATATGCGCTGCACCAGTCGACGCCGTGCGCCAGTCTAGGCGAAGACGCGTAACCCTCGCCGAGCAATAGACGACACTGACAAAAAGAAGCTCCCAGACGCCTCGAACAGATCGGGTCTGACATGGATGCGGATGCTACCAAATTCCCAGTACCCTGGCTAACCTGGCTAAAGTTTCTATCATGTCTCTCCTGTGTAACTTTGCTGACCGTCCTGTCTAGTTACTATCTTTTTTTTTTCTTAGGCTTTAGTTGTTATTGTTCTGATCAATTGTTCCCTGTGTGTGAATAAATTCACTCATTGTGGTAGATCCCACTTCGGGTGCCAAAAGTCTGGTTTAAGATTGTGATTCTTCTCCGCCTTTTTTTCCTTTTGTTTCTGAACTACATTGACAAACATTTTGTCTGTCTCATGTCTCGGGCAAGCGACATTGTGTGACATCGCATGCCTGCTTTGGTATGAAGCTGATCTGTGCTCTCAACGGCACTAACTAATAAATTGGCCTCGCATCAGTTACGTTGTCTGACTTTTGAAAATTCTCAGGCAGATTCTCGTTTGCAAGGGCATTTGGTTTGGCTTCACCACGCGAATGTAACCTATTGGCCAATTTACCTGTAGCATTCAATTCCCACAGGGCTGCTAGTTGAAAACCGACGGCCACGGGCTCCTTTCAGAAAGGAGGGCCTCTGCATGGCGCCAACCCAATTGAAAACGACCGAGCGCAATATTTCCTCCACAGGTCCGTAAATCATATAGGTCAAAGCGAGATTCGTCTCTACCTTATCAGAGATCCGCAGAAGGGGGAACATCAAGACAGACAATTGCGAAACATACTATCACAAACCGAAATGAACCTCGGGTTGCAAATGTTTACCTATTGACAAAATAATCTCCCTCAACATCATTCGTCTTCATCTCCAACATCTATTCTTTTCCTTCCAAACATTTGCATATGTCTAATATCTCTATTCTTGTGCGAAGATAGACGCAGAGCCAATCCTCGCAATTTCTTCCCATTGTGGTCTCGCTAGAGGTGTCGCATATTGACATGAGTAATTCCAACCATAAGTGCTCCGATTCATCCCATTCAGTAACTACTTGAACAATCAACCGATTCACCTAAGATTTTTCTCCAGCCAACTTCTCTGTGCTGTGGAGATTGCCGCCACAACATAGTTCATTGGGTTATCTCTTCCTTTGCAACCGTACTTGTGCCCCGACCCAAGGCGAGTTTGTGCGCCCACAACTTAATGGCTCGACACATTCGTTGCAACTATTTGTGGTGATTGCCGACTTGCAGCCAATTAAGAACCCTCTTTCGTCAAATGGATGTAGCTAACCTCTACACCACGGGACAATTCCACCGGTTGGTGCTTTTCGCACCCCATTGCTCCACCCCCATTCTGAAACTCTACCTCTACCTCTCACTCGCAGCCATTGGTCGCACTAGCCAGGCCCTTATGGGTTTGAGCTTGGAAGCCGAGTACGTTTCTGATCCTGGTCTCAAGGCAAAATACCTAGATGCTCTCCGGGAGGTTGGTCATGCAAATACGAGATTAGGGGCAAAGTTCTCGCATGAATTGATGTCGGAACTGTGGTCTACGCGGGCCATTGTAGAGTGCGGAATCTCGCGTGAAAGTCTACTCCGTCCTGTGGGAGTGGGACTGGCGGCCCTGGAACCAAAGGGTCTGGAACACTGTCAAGAATTTGATCTGCTGAAGCTTCCTCTGATCTACATCGCAAAAGCTCATTTTCAAGTTGATCGGTTCAGGAGGCTGGGAGCTTTTGTTTCGGAATTGTCGTATGCTCGGGCATGTGAGGAAGACTACCGAGTTGCGGAGCAAATGGAGAGAGCGATCGACCGACAGAAGCAGAAGCAGAGAGAAGAACGGGGGAAAGGAAAAGGTAAAAGAATGGGAGAAGAAAAATCAGAAGAACAAGGAGGGAAGAAGATAAAACCGAATTTCGCAGAAGGTCAAGAGAACTATAAGCTGGGCAAATATGATGAGAACAAAGCTGATAAAAATTGGGGCCTCTTGAAGTTGGTTTCTGAATTTGGCCCTCTAGAAATGGTCCGAACCAATCTACTCAAAGACGACACATTTGAGAAATTAATGAAAACATGCGACATGGATGAGATTCTCAATCAATACGAGCCTTTAAACCCTCCTGATTTTACAAGTCGATCTACAAATTGTGACTGTGAGGTTTTCCCTTGTTCTCATGGTCCACGATCGACAGTGATTGACCTTATGTCCTCTGGTAGAAGGATCAGAAGCGTCTCTCATGGGTCGGATGAATTCTTTCTGCGATCACATGGCATGCCAGAATCAACCAATATTTTGTCTTCCAACCTCTCATCCAAACTTTTGTCTACAATATCACCCATATCAATTATTTCTCTCACACCAGAATTTCTCAGCCGCCTTTCGAACACCCAAATACTCGCAGCAGCGCTGTTCGCTCTTTGCAACCCGCAAGCCCACAACCTCACTTTCCTCCTCGCATTCCACGCTTGTAGACAGATGGACTCTATATGCGACAACCCCGGGACACTTGCAGGGATCCACCAGTTCGATGCCCTCACCATGGCGATCGTCGCTGGGCAATGTGCAACATCCAATGCCAGCCCTGACAATCTTTTCGACTTGCTCTATTTTTTGGTTGCACCCCTACTAGATCAGCACCGCGGATCGTCTGCTGGCAAGAAAACGTGCACTAGTTTAGCGCGACGCACTGTCGGTACTGGCGACACTGGCGCCTCTACTCGCGGTGGCCAAACTGCCAACGGGGAGACTGTCTGTGGTCGCACATCAGACTTCCAAGTCGAAATGAACGGACACGGGCCACACCAATTCCATGAGGGTTGTGAACTCGGCCCAGAACGTGTTCCTGAGCAAAATAAGAGCGTGTGCACTTGTGTTGGTGACAACGCACACGATCTCGTACCAGTGGTGGTGCCTGGCGTACCTGACAGTTACATAAGTGCGGAAGCAGGTCAAGTTGATTCAGGCGCTAGCGCGACCCAACTTCATTCAAACCCTGAAACCCAATGTGATTCACATCATGCGACCCGAATTAATTCGCGCTGTGGTGCACCCTACCCTTCACCATATGACCATCATCCACAACCATTGGTCCATGGAATAAAGCATTCAGCTGGCAGCGATTTAAATTGCACTCCTTCCTCTCCGTTCTGCAGTTCCTCACCGGAATCCTCTCTTCACTCCCCATCAACAACAACATCATCTCGTTCCCCAGTATCTACTTGCAAATATTTCTCAGCATCGTCCATGTGCATTACGACACTCTTACCTCTAGCATCTCTTCGACGGAGCCACTACTTCTTCGCGTGCGGAAATGTGTATAGGCTACTCTTCCTTCAGTCCTCCGATATTGCGATCCTGGCATACACAGTCAAGTTTCGCAGCCACTCGTCCAACTACCTTATTGAGGCGGCACGTAAGTTTATCGTGGGTGTAGCAGGCCACCCTCTTGACGACCCACTTCTCTACAAAAAATACGACCAGGTGCTTTGGTGCCTTCTACTAAGTGGAGGAATTGACATGGAAGTTATTTGGGTGTTTCTTTCCGCCCGATGCCATTTTGCGCGCCATGGATGGTTTGTGTTAAGCGATGGCCCCAGCCACTCGGATTACTCCGGGGACTTCGTGGGTTGGCCCTCCTATACTAATGGCGCGGAGGTGCTAGACTCACTCATGTCTTTCTGCCTCTGGAACTATGGTAGGCACAACAATTGGGAGGTAAAACCAGAGTCTAAAAGACATCTCTGGCAAGAAAAAGTTGGGATCGGTGTTGCGGCTAATTTGCACGCGTCAGCGTTCTCCAGGCAGAAACTAGACACACATGAAGGATTATACGAAGCAAGTTGCCAGGAAGAGCAGAAAAGGCAAAATGACCTAGATAGCTCAAACGGCCAAAATGTACAGAGCCGCCAAAATTACCACGGTGCAAGTGACAACGGCACCGAAACGTTTGAGAAATCGGACAAACCCGGGAAGAATAGCAGGCTAGGCTCGACATCTGGAGGAGGAAGTGGCCCCAGTGAATCTCAGGCTCAAGCCAATTTTTGTTCCAGTCCGAATCAAGAAAACACCAAGAATGATTGCCCAATGCAAACAATTAAATTAAGGAATTTTCAGGATTACAACAGAAAATTATTTCTTCTGCCTACAATGGTCGATAATGGCGACAATGTTCTTGTGGCTGGGGAGTATTATCCTCAAGTTACAGAGTTTGTTCGAAATGGGTGCGAAATAGTACCTCAAGGCATTAAGGAAACTCAGGCCCACTGCGATTTGGCCCTGTACAAATGTGACCCTCAATGGGAAATTTGGCACCAAAGGTCCAATTTTTTTCATTGCTCCGGGAACGAGCTTTCACTCAAACTTTCTCTGCAACACGAGTTAGTCAAATTGTGGGCTGAAACTTATTGTGAGACCCATGGCATACTCCCCGCACCCCTTCAGAAATCCGTTCAACGACTCCTAGGAGTATCCTAGATCATCTTCCTACACCCAGAGCCATTTTCTGCAGGAGATTATAACCACTAATTGACCTGGCAACTTCAACTAAGAGAATCATAATTATCATGGCCGACGAAATGATGCGGGAAGCATTAATCCGGGCTGCCCGGCCAAACCTCCTCGGTATCTTTAACCATGCTCCTCGTCAGATCCCCAACTTCAACTTTCAATTTCAAGATGCCCCGCCCCAAGAAGTCCGTCGACAACGTCAAGAAATACTTGGAATAGTGTGGATTTGGGGTCTCTTGCCGCTTCCGACAATCAATTATGCCCTTCTCTGGCACAGATACCGTCCAGAAAGCTTCAGCGCCCTCTTTTTGCGGATAGTGACAACCACAGCAGTTTTGATGGTCAAGTTCGGGCGAATAGTCGTCTATTTGATGGTGACTGGCAATTGGATCAGAGACGTGTTACGGTTTATCATGGTTTTTGGTAGCTTAGTCACATTCTCCGAAAACTTCTTTCAAGATATATTCAACTATGCCATGCGTGGATATCCACAGCTACTTGAGCGCAAATGCGAAATGTTAAAGAATGGAGAGCCCACAATGATCGAATGGAATAGCATTACCCAGGTACTAGTTGATACGCTTGCTCAGAATGTCAAAGGAGTTTGTATTAACGGATTTTACGAAACTGCTGACGGAACCTCACACGAGCTTCATGAATATACATTGGATGTCAAGTCGTTGATCTTCCGGTTTTCTGATGCTTTGGTCCGTGTCTTTCCAATCTTCGAATCTGTTCCTACCATCTTTCTTACCGTGACTACAATTATTATCTACGTGCTTTACGGGTTGATGGGCCAATTAATTGGGTTCAACGTGCTCTTTTTCCTTCTGCTACACTCATTCCACCGGTGGATGGGGTTACTTTCGTTCATTGGTCGTCTATGCAAGGCTCTATGGTATAGCACTGAGACAATGGTGTTTTAGGAGAGAGCAAGGAAGATGAAGTAGCTGGATCTTGAGAACTTAACGATTTAATCATGGAGAAAAGACGACAAAATCATTTAATAGGGGTTCTGTCAGGATGATGACGACATATCGCTATAAGAAGTTTGGAGGGCCGTCTTTTCGTATCATTCCAGCGGAAAATGGCTTCCGTCATAACGAGGAGGAACTGACCTGTGGGGAAGGAAGCTTGTGTGTGCGACATGAGACCGCTAACATGGCGCGACATTATATGGAGATATAATATCCGGGGAAGTCCTACGTTGGACAGCATTTTCAAATTTATCATGTCGCAATACATGAAAGCTGCCGTATTCCAGAAACCATATGTGGTTGAAACCATTACAAAGCCAATCCCCCAAATTTCACAACAAAATGAAGTATTAGTAAAGGTCAAATACAGTGGACTCTGCGGGTCTGATCTCCACTATTACCGAGGCCACATCCCTCTGACTGCTGGTCAGACCATGGGACATGAATTTGTGGGAGCAATTGTTGAGAAGTCTTCCGATATCCCCGATTCTGTATTGGCCGTCGGTGATGAAGTTATCTCGACTTTCACCATCCAATGTGGAGAGTGTTGGTATTGTCAGCATGGATACTCTGGTACATGTGAAAAAACCAACACCTTCGGCAAGGTTGGCTTGGATGGTGCCCAGGCAGAGTATGTGCTTGTTCCATATGCAACGACCACGCTAGTGAAGAAACCAAAGTCTACTCCAGATGCAGATGACTCAATTTATACACTAATGGCTGACATTTTCGTCACGGGATATTTTGGAGTGAAGAAGATTGTTGACCACTTCCAGAGCTTACCAATTAATGAGATTTCCGTGTTACAAATGGGTGCTGGACCTGTGGGATTGTGTGCGGTGAGGGTTTTGAGACAATTTGGCTTTAAGAGTATTGTAGTTGTCGACGGCATCGACGCACGTTTGCAACAGGCACAAAAGTTGGGCGCAACAGCCACAGTGAACTTCAGGACTGAGCCAGACAAGTTGAAGCAGCTAATTGCAACTCTCACAGATAATAGAGGGTTTGACGCATCATTGGAAATTGTGGGAGCCACCACGGCCATGAGAACGGCATTTGATTCCATACGGAGAGGAGGATTCATCAGCTCTGTAGGAATGGGTCATGAGGAGTTGCCATTCAATGCGTTGGAGTGCTATGCTAAGGGTTTGACGGTCAGTTTTGGTAGGTGCAACACATGGGCACTTTTCCACGAGGCATTGAAAATGTTTGAGCAGGTGAAGGAGGACTTCAGTGATTTCATCGAGGTGAAACCACATATTGATGAGGCTGGCGTGTACTATACGAGGTTTGAAAAAGGAGAGGTTTTGAAAGTTGTATTTAGATTTCAATGAGAATAAGTTGAAGAGGCATTTTAATAGCCAAAACAACCAGACGAAAACTATTGAATATAAAAAAAAATTTGGACGAGACAGGAATCGAACCAGTGACCTTCTGCTTGCAAGGCAGACGCGCTACCAACTACGCCACACGCCCAGATTTTGAGGTAAAAATGCTCTCGCTATTCCTGACCGATATTAGAAATCTTTCTTTGGCTTTTTTTTAAGATTTTTCGACTCTAGGGATCTTTTCTCGATCCCGAAGGTCTCTTGATTTGTAGGGGTAGCTGTTGACAATTATTTGGAATGGTTAGTGATGTTCTTAAGTCTTAGCTCTGTGAGATAAACGAGTGATTTTTGGACAGCAAGTATAAGTAAAGAGAAAGGAGCAGTTAAGAATGTATCATCAAAGGAATTATCGTTAGATCACTCACTTCGTTGTGCTGTAATAAGTGACTGGGGCAGGTTTGTTGTTGGAGCATGTTTTCAATATTTTTCCCAAATAGCTTGTTAACGGATAGTGCATTTGCAAAAGACCTGAATCTCTAAGGAAGACTGGCCCCCAAACCCTAAAAGCAGTTTTTCAGGGGTGAATTTGAATGGAAACACTTTGTAAGGAGCGAAATGATCAAGGCAGTAACTTCAGAGTCATCCCAAGAAGACAAGATGCATATGAGAATGTCTGTAAAGATATATTCAACAATTGTTTTCGAATTAGGCATGGGAAAACGAAATCAGAAGGATGGAGGAACTATAATGATAAAGAAACATCGAAGTGGAAATAGAACACGGTGATCAGGTAACTCAGATAATTGACTAACAAAAAAAAAATAAGGGAAAACATTATCAAAAGGCGAAAAAAACAAAAAACGAATAGAGTATATCAAACCGAAGAGAACCAAAGAATTTATTAAGCAAGAAAAGTTTTAAAAAGAAAAACAACTTTAAAGGTCTACCTAAAGCAACATTTCAGCAAGTTATACTTGGTAATGGGAGACTCATAAATACTAATATCAAGAATGAACAGAAGTCGAACAAAGGACTCAGGAAATAGGAACTTAGGGGAAACGGATGAGCAACATGTCAAAATAGTGAATTAGATAAATCTTCGAAGAGAGACTGATGAAGAGAAGTAAATGGAAAATCAAAAAAAAAGAAGGATAATATCACCTTTACCAGACCAAATCTGAATTCTGAATTAAAGTTTACGAATTTTCTTCAACCTCTCGACAATACTCTATGATAATTAATCTAGTAGGGTCTTCGCGAGTCCCAAGCCTCAATCAAAACAAATAAACATTAAAGGTTCGTATTGGTTCGCATACACGATTCCAATAGTGGTTGCCCGCTTAAGAGAAGCGGCCAAACCTAGAGTTGCGAGGCCACAAAATACCTCCTATTGGGAAGGAGCACTGGAAAAAAAAAATAACTCGCCATAAGACAAGGCATTACCTCGTAATTTAAATCTTCACTGAAGAGGCTCGGAGTATCATTTAGTAAACACCACAAAGTCAAGATCAAAAATTTCAGATAATCACTAGCACGGAAGAACACAAGGAGTAACACCAGAAGTAGTGAAATCCTACAAAATCAAAGCAAACCGAAAGATTCAGACCAACGCAGTATCAATTGGAAAGAATCAAGACCAAGGCAATTCCAAACGGGACAGACTATTTACGAAATGAGACAACAAATACCCAATACGAGATGCTACCTAAAAAATATCTTACAAGGAAAAAAAAATAAAAGTGCAATGGACAATCACGAAGGAAAAGCGATGGAAGATGAGGCGGGCGAAGTTGCCATTACGAGGATCCACGTCAATGAATGATGAATCGTACAAAACAGAACGGAGAATCACAGAGTATTCGCGAATCATGCGATTCCAAGCATAGATTTATACTCCAATTATCCGAATGTTGAGTAATTATTCCGTTGTTTTCACTTTTATCTATCCTATCGTTCATTTCTGATTTTTGAATGTTTCCATATCCATATTTCCATTTGTTTCCATTTATTTCTATCTCTTCACTTATCCAAATGTTTTCTATCTTCGAAATGTATTCACGTTGTCGTCAGGTTGATTTCACGTGTCCCAATGTTATGGATTGTATAGTAGTCATCCAGTATGCTGGGCGGGTTAAAATAGAATCCGGTGAGATCAGATCCACCGCTAAAACCCTATTTCATACATCAGTCAACTAATCCCCTCCACGTGAACACGACACTTGAATCCATCAATACGAGAGATCTTGCATTTTACAAAAAAAACCTGGTGATATGAAATCTCAATGTTTTCGGCCAGACTGCTGGCTGGGACAAGAAATCATGCGGATCGCGATATCAAGATGCGGCAACGGGATCTACAATCGTGATTCCAACTCCGGGGAATTCATTTGCCGACACTACCGGCTCTAGACCTCCCATTCAAGCTTTTCTATCATGATTTCTATTAAGAATCTAATGATCAATCTCATGGTCAACTCATCATCCCTACTATCACCAACTTTTTCAAGCCACGGCATCCTAGCCAGCGCCAGCACCTCAGCCTCTTGGCGACCATGGTTATTGCCTGCAGAACAATTGATGTGGTTTGCATTAGACCCATGCGCTTTAGGGTAGGCCATGCGCCGCTTCCGCCACACAAGACGCACCCGCCGCGTGTTTCCCTCGTAATGGGCCTGCAAAATGCTGGTTGCCCGTTATTGCTTGGTGCACTCGCTCCCAATCAGGTATCTACAACTACCGATTCTGCAACATGTGCAGCACACCTGTCAACCTCGCAGTGGCTCACATCTCCAGAAAACTGCAATTATCCACCTATCCCAATATATATTTACGTCGGTTCCCAGCAAATTTGTCCATTTTTTTTTCTTTTCTCTCTCCCTCACCTTTTGACTCTCACTTTCTTACGCACTTCCTAATCCTCGGATTTGCACCCACTTGTCTTGGATATCGAATCGCTCCCTTCTCGATTCCCCATACTCAGCGCTAATCTGCCTATTAGCAAAACATCCCTTCATTTTAGTCTCAATATGAGATTCCTTTCAACCGCCGCGTTGTCCCTCTTGGCTGCCTTCGTCGCTGCCGAGGAGGACTTCACGGTCACCGTGACCAATTACGTGACGGCGCCATGTTTTGCCAGCGCCATCAAGTCTGTTGACAATGGAAAGGCTGCCGTCCTGGGAATTCCCGTGGTTATGGTCTGGGGAGATGCAAAGGTCCCCTCCAGCATCACCACGCCGACCACTACAGAGGGTGCGGCAATTGAGTCTGATGACGTAACATTCACCGTCACAGAATACTCCACTGAGTTTCTCACCACCGAGGTTCCATGCACAGTCACCGACTACATTACCACTCAGACCACCATCACCACATGTGTTGACTACGACTGTAGGAGAGTTGTCACCACCACCCTCTGCCCCACTACCTATGTGACCACTGTCAAGAGCATCTACCCAGTGTCTTCGAAGGTGGTCACGGAGTCTGTTTCTACGCTGATCGCTACAGGCACTGGCTCCAAGCAGTCTGGTGTATCTGTGTCCAAGCAGACTGGCAATTCGGGTGTAGAAAACTGTACCAAGTGTAAGGTGCTTACACTTCTTCTGACCTACGAAATCACCAGCACTAGTGTCATATTTTCAGCAACTGAGACTCCTGCTCTTTCCAAACCAACCTCCTCTGAGGCGTCCGTATCCCATACTGGCTCCAATCCTCTCTACACCGAGCTGGCTGTCACCACCGGCTCAGTGATTTCCGCCTCTGGCTCTCTCGACCTCAGCAGCTTGTTGGCCGACACTTCTTCCACTCTTCGTGCAACTAGTGACATCTCGAGCTTGTTAACCGGCACTTCTGCTACCGCAAAGCCAACCAGTGGCTTCTCAAGCCTGGAGCTTTCACTGTTTGGGTATTCCAACGCAACGCTGGCAATTCCCTCATCCAGTTCTGTTAGCTCAGGATCCAGTTCTGTCAGTTCTAGCTCGAGCACAACTCAGGAATCAACTTTGACCTTGTCCAGCACTCCGACCTGTCATTCAGTGGTTGATTTATTTGCTGAAATTTCCACCGAGGACCCAACGAAGTACTTTGCCGCTGGAGAATTGCCTCTCGCCATTCCTGATGGAGTTACAAACACTCTTCCATTCCAGACAAACAAGTTCTACGCTAACTTGTTCTTGGAAAACCAGGACCAAGAGGTATGGACCTTCCCTTACGGTGTTTTCTGGGATAAGACTAATAAGTATGGTTTTGCTGTACAGCACACCGATTCAGAAGACAAAACGTATGGTCCCGAAAATGCTAACGGTGCCGCTAGTTACTACTATAATAATCCTAGGGTTGGTGATCTTGTTTTCTCCGCTTCAAACATTGGCAAAAACGCCAATTCTATTGAAGTTAGCGATATGACAGAGTTTTCTGCCAAGGTTACATTGTCAGATGGCCTGAGCACCTCTAGCTATATTGAATTTCCTCTTGTGAAGGGTATGGGTTTCTTCACTGCCATTTACCATGGTGAATCAACATTGAGAATCTCCTCCTTTAATGCCATCACCTTGTTGACCCAGATTTTACCTTCTGACAGAAACCAGCTCGTTTACAGGGTTACGTTGAACTCGGGGATTTCTTGGTTGTTATTCGTCACTTTACCATCCAGCAGCACCGAGTTTAGCTTGAAGATCGAAAACGGTGAGATTTTCGGAGATCGTAATTTGGATGGTGTTATTGTTCAAGCTGCTGTTGCCCCATCGACCACATCTCTTATACCTGTCTACGCCGCTGCTGCCGGTCAGTATGTCACCTCTGCAAAGGTTGTTGGAGCTCTTGATTGTACTAGTGCATCTTACAGTTTCAAGTACACTTCTTCCGGTTCGTCTTCAGCTGGAGTTCCCCTTTTGTTTGCCTTGCCTCACCACTTGCAAACTTTAGATGACAATGTATTGAACAGATTCACCGGTATCCAATTGGACTCTACCACTAAAGGAAAGATGTCAGCATTTTTGACTAACTCCTTTGATTTCAAGGAGACAATCAACAACAACATCCAATTCTTACCTTGGACACAAGATGTCGGTACATCACCTATCACTTATTCTGCCTCCCAGATTAAAAAGATTTATGCTGCTGCCGTCGCTGAGCTTAACGGTGTTGACGTGGCTGCAACTATTCTCCAGTTGCAGTCCTTGTATTACATGGGCAAGCTGGTTGACAAATATGCATACATTTTATTAACGCTCAACGACATTGTCAAGGACGAGGATTTAACCAAACTGTTATTGTCCGCTTTGAAGAGTTTTTTCTCCGAACTTTCTCTGAACCACATTACCTATCCATTGATGTACGACACGAAGTTCCATGGTGTTACTTCTACTGCCAACAACAAAGGTGACACCGGTGCCGAGTTTGGCTCTGGCTATTACAATGATCATCATTTCCATTACGGCTACATTGTACATGCTGCTGCCATTGTTGGTTACGTCGACAAGCTGTTGGGAGGAAGTTGGGCTGAAGACAACAAGGGCTGGGTTAACGCTTTGATTAGAGATGTTGCTAACCCTTCAACGAGTGATCCATATTTCCCAGTGTCGAGACTGTTCGACTGGTTCCACGGTCACTCTTACGCCAAGGGATTGTTCGCCAGTGCCGATGGTAAGGATGAGGAGTCCTCCTCTGAGGACTACAACTTCTCCTATGGTATGAAATTATGGGGTAATGTCATTGGTGACAATGCAATGGAGGCTAGAGGTGACTTAATCTTGAAAATCCAAAGCAGGTCGATGAACGACTACTTCCTCTATTCAAGTGATAACACTATTGAGCCAAGCAACTTTATTGCTAACAAGGTTTCGGGTATCTACTTTGATAACAAGATCGACTACAACACTTACTTTGGCTCCAACACTGAGTTTATTCACGGTATCCACATGTTGCCAATAACTCCAGCATCGTCTTTAATCAGAGGACCCGGCTATGTGTCTGAGGAATGGTCAGCTATTATTGGCAAGATCATTAATTCTGTGAATTCGGGCTGGACAGGTATCTTGCGTTTAAACCAGGCTCTCTTTGATGGCTCAAGCTCTTACGACTTCTTCAGCTCTAGATCCTTCTCAGCCAAGTATCTTGATGGAGGACAGAGTCTTACGTGGAGTTTGGCATTCTCGGCTGCCATTGCTAATGCCGCCTAGCGGGTTGTTTATAGATTGAAAGTACAACTTTATTAAGGAATAATAGGACTAGCGAGAGATCATACTGATGGAGAAAAGTGGCGAGCCCAATTTATTCAAACCCACACTCTACTTTATCATTCCAATTGTACCTCATACACTGCATCAGCTACCTTAATACTCCAATCCCACCTTGAATCTTCCAAGTATTCAATGGCACCATCATCCCTGAAGTATTTGAGTTTCTTCAAATCTGAATTGTCCCAATCAAAAGCCTCTTCGTATGATAGGAACTCAATATATGGCTGGATCCAATTCCGAACACTAGTTCTTTCTTTCTCAGAAAAGCCTTCTCTAAGGGGATAAAACCAAACATAAGTATCTACGCCATGTGGAACCTTATGCTCCTTGGCAATGAGATTGTCAACACATTTTGGACGATAGCTGACTCGATAACGGAAAATTCTCGATAAAGGAAATCCATTCTTTACTAGTTGATTGAGGAAACCCCGTGAAGATACATAAACTTGGCCGTCAGAGATAATTTTTCCGTATAATGAGGTGACTTTCTCGATGAAGTCTGGGTCCTTCTCATTCAATGACTCATCAACGTACAATTCAAGAAGCTTTCTAGCCACATTTTCTGGGTAGTAATTGTTGACCTGGATCTTCAAGTTCTCAATCGTGGTCGGTGAATACATGAGCGAGTAGGTGTACTGTTCATTATCGACCTCGCCAGAAATAAATCTGAACTGCTTTTTGGTGAGTTTACGAGCGTACTCGCCTGTCGTGAGATCTCTGATGAAACCGAATGGCACAAACTTCCCATCAGAAACGGCACGGAAAGTGTGCTGTTGCAACGATGGAATAAAGCCTTCAAGGTAGTCAGAGTCGAGTTTGCGGAGAGATATTAACTTCTCCAGGCCACTGAGCGTCTTATCTATCCCCAACTTATCGATTACCTCGTCAAATTGGGCCTGGGATTCGTCAATGGTCTTTGGCTGCGAAAGTGGAGTGTTCGAGAACAAAACAGCTTGTTTAATGATCTGTGGAACCTCAGGGTGATAGAGCTCATACGTAAGCTGGAAGAAAGTCGAGTATGCTCCAGCAGAAAGTCCAGCAAGGGTAATTTGTTGAGGGTTGCCTCCAAAATACTTGATGTACTTGTATGTCCATTCAAGAGCAAGTCTCTGATCCCAGAAGCCAAAGTTAGCCGACTCTTCGTCTTCCTCCAAGAGTTCCTTGCTCGACAAAAACCCAAAAATATTGAGTCTATAACCAACAGAAACAAGAATGAACTTCTTCTGCAACTCTTCGTCGTCGTGCAAGTCGGAGATGTTGAAGATCTCCAGACTAGGCGTACCGTATTGCAACCAGCCTCCATGGATGTACACAAGCACGGGCCATCCAGCAGCAGGCTTATACTTGTCCGAGGAAGGCACCCAAATGTTCACGTACTGAACGTCTTCAGTGCTGGGTGACTTGACATAATTGAACACCGGATTCTCAACTGCTGGCTGTGGACATTTGAGTCCTAAGTCGTAATAATCGCCAGTGAGATCATAGCTACCAGGAATTGGCACAGGCTTCTTGAATCGGCCACAAGCACCTTGGGGAACCGCATAAGGGACGTTTCCATACCGGTAGGAGGTGATATTTCCAGATGAAGATCTGAGCAGATAACCAGTCAAAAGTCCATGACCAGGAATCGAAATTGTGTGGGGAAGAGACCTTTCTGCTGATACAGTTTGGCCCATAATGAATCAAGAATCAGAAAATGAACGGATTGTGAAGGATATTGACGAATTGAAGGATATATACGGGGAGTGTGGAGGAATTTACGCACAATGCCGTTGAGGTCGCAAAATGATAAGAGATAAGGTGGAAACAGGGAAAGAACCCTACAACATGAAAATTAGAATTTAATTGGAATTGAACTTTCGAGTTGGTGTTGCTGAGACAGATATTACTTCACTTTCCAAGGCATTCTGGTGGGTTTTCCTGGATGGTACTGATTTCTGGCCCCCGATCCTTTATACATGGCGGATCTCGGATTATCGGGAAGGAGCCCGTCCTTAATCCGTATAGGGAATTGCGAAGAGGCGATCCGATGAGGGGGTATTGCTTTTGACGACATTTCTGACATTGATTATTTTGGTTTTTCCTGTATCATGGATGAATTTTGGCGCTAATGTTCGCTGTGTTCAAGTTTTGTGGAGATAACCATTAAAAATTGGTATGGGTCATTGCGCAGGACTACCTAGCCATGTTTCTTTTGGTAGAACAAAGATAACAAGAACAAAATACTGGTAGAATATTAAAGAAGTTAGGGGCTCTATCTGTCCCTGATGTATTACCTTATTCATTTAGTATTCTTTCAAAAAATTGAAAATGTACAAGTGAAAAGCCTCATGATCGGAGACTATGTGTGATACAGTTTCGCCAACTAAAGTAAGTTTCGTTTGAAAGCGCGGAAAAGTGCTGTAATCTCTCAAAGAGGCTCTATGAAGTTAAATAATGAGAAAAGAGTAGAAAATTGGCAATTTCGAGAATAATATATTTGGTATAATCAACTTGAGGGTGATTCTTTCACAACAAGGCAACTTGTCCGAGTGGTTAAGGAGAAAGATTAGAAATCTTTTGGGCTTTGCCCGCGCAGGTTCGAATCCTGCAGTTGTCGTTATTTTTCCAATTCCAGTGTATTGAAGTTTTTTTTTTTTGCTGGCACTGTTCAGGTGCATAATTCTGATGGGCTTCGTTTTTAGTCGTTTTCCAATGGTTTCCACGTTTCGTTATCTAAGTCGCGTGAAAAGTCATGAATTTCCACGCGAGTGACCACAAATAGTGATTGTGTTCACATGGTCCATCCTAATAATTCAATTCGAGTCTTTCAATTTCGCTTTCTAAGTCTATCCATTCCATCACCATTACCATTTTGAAAGATTCTCATTACATCCTATGTATTAGTCTCTATCAGCATCAGTTCTCATTGCGTAGTTGTTAATATTCCTAGGAATAGTTTTACATGAGTTATATTTTGTGTAAACTTCATTATATAATTCTAATGGTACTAAACTCATTGATAATGAGGGAAGCAACCTAAGGAAATATTTTATTTTTATTTTGCAGAGTATCAGTTTAATTCTATTATTCTCGGACTATAGTTCCCAGTCTCAGTCTCAGTCTCAGTCTCAGTTAGTCTATCAGTCAGAGCCAAAAATCACTCTCTTTGACCACTTCCCCTTAATCCATTCAACATTTTCCAAATATCAATCAACTTCAAATTATATATCGTAAATCTCTGAATGAAAATTTCCCAGCTCCAATTCTTTTCAACTTCAATCTCTTGTTCACCTACTCATCAACTTCCCCAATTCCATACACTCCCACTCATCAACTACACCTTTTTCTCCACCATGGGAGTCCCAGCCCTCTTCAGATGGCTCTCAACCAAGTATCCTAAAATCATCTCGCCCGTCGTGGAAGATGTAGGAGACCTCCAATACGGCCGTGTGCCCCAATACCTGGACCCAAACCCAAACGGTGAACTAGACAACCTCTACTTGGACATGAATGGTATTGTCCATCCATGTTCTCATCCTGAACACAAGCCAGCCCCAGAGACGGAAGATGAGATGTTTTTGGACATTTTCAAGTATACGGACCGTGTACTAATGATGGCCAGACCTCGAAAAGTTTTAATGATCGCTGTGGACGGTGTAGCACCTAGAGCCAAGATGAATCAGCAGCGTGCCAGACGGTTCCGGGCAGCTCAGGACGCGAAAATTGCAAATGAAGAGAAGGAGAGACAGATCCGTGAGTTTGAGGCTCGTGGTGAAGTAATTGACGATGTGGTCAAAGGAAAAAGAAAATGGGATACCAACGTCATTACTCCTGGTACGCCGTTCATGGACGGACTTGCGAGTGCCTTGCGCTACTGGGTGGCATATAAGTTGGCGTCAGATCCTGGCTGGAAGGATCTTCAGGTGATTATCAGTGATGCTACTGTGCCAGGAGAAGGTGAACATAAGCTCATGGGTTTCATTCGGTCCCAGCGGTCCGACCCACAATATGACCCCAACACTCGCCATTGTATCTATGGATTGGATGCTGATCTTATCTTTTTGGGATTGGCCACCCACGAGCCGCACTTCCGTGTGCTTCGAGAGGATGTTTTCGCTCAAGGAAACCGTAGAATGCGTGTGGGCGATCAGTTGCTGATGACTTCGGAACAGAAGGAGCTTCTTGACGCTCAGGATGCGCAGAAGCCATTCTTGTGGCTTCACGTTAACGTATTGCGTGAATACTTAGAAGTGGAATTGAACCAGAAGATGCTGATGACTTGGGATTTGGAAAGAGCCATCGACGATTGGGTGTTCATGTGTTTCTTTGTGGGTAATGATTTCTTACCTCATTTCCCATCTTTGAGTGTTCGAGACAACGGCATTGACATCTTAGTCCAATGCTGGAAGCAGGTTGTTCATAAGTTGCGGGATTACATCACTTGTGACGGAAAACTTAATTTGGAAGGTGTCGAGCAGCTTTTAGGAGCTCTTGCGCAGAAGGAAGACGGAATCTTCAGGAAAAGACACGAGAATGAGATGCGTTACTCCAACAACGAAAAAAGACGCCGCGTAGGACGTGCTGAAGAGACTGCCTTGCGGAAACAGTACTTGCTGACGGTTTCCAAGGGTAAAGAGAAGGCGCCCATTACTGCCGACACTAACATGCCTTTGATGGATACCTCTGGTAATATGGTGGAAGGGTACGCCCAGCTCTCCAACAAGGATATCGTGCACAATCGTGGAGTCATCACGAAGGCTAACATGGCCAATGCAGATGCTGCCAATGCACTCAAGTTGCTTTTGGCACAGAAGGCTAGCCAGGCTGATTCCGCTGCAGACTCCTCGACTGAAGTGACTACCGAAGACGCTTCGGTGCAGACCGATACTGATACTGACTCGAAAAAGCGGTCTGCAAGTGATATGGACACCGCAGATTCTTCAGATGCAGATGAAGATGGTGGCGACGATGTGAGAAACTGGGAAGCTGGATACAGAGACCGTTACTATAAGAACAAGTTCCACGTTGAGACACCAGAAGAAATCAATCAGATCAGAAAAGACGTAGTCAGAGCATACTTGGAAGGTATTTCGTGGGTGTTGCTCTACTATTACCAGGGCTGTCCTTCGTGGCAGTGGTACTACCCATACCACTATGCTCCATTTGCTGCAGACTTTACTGATGTGAGGGAGATTGTGGGCGAGGAAGGAATCAGGTTCACTGTCGGAGAGCCGTTTAACCCTTACGAGCAGCTTATGGCTGTACTTCCTGCTGCTTCTGGTCACACATTGCCTGCTGTTTTCCGAGGCTTGATGAAGGACCCAGATAGTGAAATCATCGATTTCTACCCCGAAGATTTCCAGATCGACATGAACGGAGCGAAAATGAGCTGGCAAGGTATTGCGCTCTTACCGTTCATCGACGAAACAAGACTCCTCACAGCTGTCAGAGGGAAATACCCATTGTTGACAGACGCAGAAAGAGAGCGGAACACCAATAAGGGTGCTCAGTTGTATATCTCAAGTGCTAACAAAAACTACAAGCATTTCGCTACTGAGTTCGCTGACGACAGAAGTGTGGAGTTCCACGCCCACAACACGGGTCTCTCAGGCAGAGTGAAGGTGGTCGAAACTTTTTCGACAGATGGGGAATTGATATTCCCATTGAAGGAAGGCGACATGCCAAACATCAGTAAGTCTCAGTACATGCAAGCATGGTACGAGTTCCCCAAGACACATCCAGGAAAGTCCATGTTGTTAAATGGGTACATTAGCCATGGAAAGGTTCTCAACGATGGAGACAAGTACAACATCCTTAACTCACAAGGAAGACCACCAAGGAACTTCAACCGATTCCGCAACACGTCTGACTACGTCAACCATGGTCCTAGTGGAAAAGAGAACTTCCTAGTATATTCGATGCGTCCTGGAGGATACCGTGCGGCAATTGAGTTGCAGAATGGGTCTCAGAATAGCCAGAATTCCAATGGTAGCCAGTACAACAGAAACAACGGTTACAATGGACAGAATGACTACAACAGAAACAACGGAGGGTACCGAGGAAACAATTATGGTGGCCAGAGAGGAGGTTACCAGGGTCAGAATTACAATAATTACAACCTGGGCCAAGGGTATAACAATTACAACCAGGGGCAGAATTACAACAATCGGAACCAGGGTTACCAAGGAGATCGAGGCTACCAAGGAAACCAAGGTTATCAAGGAAACCAAGGTTACCAGGGAAATCAGGGTTATAGCAACCAAGGTCAAAACTACAACCAAGGATATGGAACCCAGGGTCAAAACTACAATCCATATGGTAAGCAAGGGAACTATAATCTGTCTGGATACGGACAGGATGGAAACTATAACAACTACGGTAACCAAGGATATAATGGTCAGAACCAAGGCAACTATCAGGGTCAAAACTACCAGGGCCAAAATTACCAGAATAACTACAATTCTGGATCCAACTCCAGATCGGGCTACATGCCCCCACGTCGTTAGTTCTTTGCTTTGGTTCTAATTCCAGTATGGTCCAAGATATGAAAAACATCATAAGAAGAAGATATAAACAAATCAAGAAAAAGAAGAGACACGCAAATCCAGATGATCTATTATCATTTCAAGCTGTCATGTGGAATTTGCAATGGCTTTATCAATATTAAAACTGTCTGCAGGTTAGTCTCCGGTGTGGCATCAAACCTTAATCTACTCTATCTATTTACTCAATATATAGTGTCAAACAATCTCTTTCTAAAATGGTAGATATCTTTTACGAGACGTCACTGGAGCAGGTGGTGTCGTTGGAGAAAAGTGGCGACCAAACCGTTCTAAAACTGGAAAGGGCCCCCAAATCTGCCTTTCCAAACCTTGTCTCAGTAAATCGAGCAGATATTGCTATTGCCAACGACGATGTCTACGTGTTGGACCTGGTTAGGTCCGGAACAGGCAGACAAGCTGCTTCTGGCATTTATAGCAGAATTCTCCGGCCATTGTTTGACTCTGTGCTTCTGATTCCCCATCAGTACATTGCAACTGATAGTCCCTCTTCAATTGATACTTTTGCAGCGTCCTTGAACTCCAATGGTCGTCCCATAACGTTGGTGGTGATTGCTGGAGATACTTCCGTGAATGAGCTCATCAATGGCTTAAGTCCGGGCCATCAGGCTCTCGTGAAAATCCTAATAGTACCAGCTGGCACAGGAAACTCGTTGGCACTCTCAATTGGGCTCACGGACGAGGTAGCCGCGGTGAAGAAATTGGTTTTATATGGCGAGACTGATGTTCGTCCATTAAACTTGTACCTGGCGCAATTTCCAGCTGGTTCATACTTCCTCCACCACGATGGAACCAAATCAAATGTCCCCAGTTCTCTACTCTTCTTAGTGGTTACTTCTTGGGCTTTCCATGCGTCGTTGGTGGCAGATAGTGACCTGGACGAGATGAGAAAGCATGGAATTGATCGGTTCAAGATCGCTGCTGGCCAGAACTTGGGCCGGGAACAGAAATACCTGGGTGATTTCTCTGTTACTCGCCAAGGTGCCACTACCGCACATCACAAAGGGCCATTTGCTTACTTTGTTGTAACTCCGTCGAAGAAGTTCGAGCCTACGTTTGAGGTCCTGCCCAAGGGTAATATTTTCGACTCCAACCTCTATGTTGTGGGCTTTCCCACTGAGCAAGACGACAAGTATATTATGGACATCATGATGGAGGTTTATGCGGGCGGAAAGCATGTAGAAAACGATAAGGTTTTCTACAATTTGGTGGAGAAGGACCAGGTGATAAAGCTACAGGTAAGAGACGCTGACGTGATCGAGAAAAGACGCTTTTGCGTGGATGGAGCTATCGTGGTGTTGCCTGAGCTGGAGGGAGAAGTGGAGATTCGGTATCATGGCCCTGAGGCCAATGGATGGAAAGTTAGTATTATAAGCTGACTTTATTAATCTATTAATCTTTAGAAGTATACCATTTTTTCATTTTAACCATTAACCCTCAAAATCATCAGTCCCTCAAAATCATCAATCCCTCAGAATCATCAAAATCTTCAGAATCAAAAACACCAGACTATAAAAAGTCATGAATATCACAACTTAAAGTCACAAAAATCACCTCTTTCCGTCTTCTATATACAAATAGGCCACACAGAAGCTGGCTAATCCACACAATATAGCCATAAGAGTGTAACACCAACCCATGCCCATACTTTCCATTTGAGTGAGCACTCCAACAAACAAAGCAGCACACCAGCATCTGGTAAGATTGACACAGGCACAAGATCCGGAAGCCTGAGTAGGATTGGCATCCACAACCACCGTACTGGAGATAGTGAGCCAGTTCATGGCTCCATAAGCAATAATGCATGAGGCAACAATCACCAATGCCACAGGACCATGGAGCTGTAAGGTCCACGCAAACACCAAAGATGCCCCAACACACAAACACGAAGGAAGTGCAGACACAATAAGACGAGAGCGTAAAACACTGAATCTACAGCCTTCTGTTTGACTCTTCCTAAGTGACCTCTTGTATGAGTAGTCCAACATCTCACCAATAGAGACAGACCCTGCTAAGCCACCAAGTCCACTGGGAATGTATGCTAAAGCCACTTGGTCGAGTGAAAAGCCGTAATCTTTGGTCAATGCATGTGAAAGCGATGTAAGCATCATGAGCCAGAGCGCATAGCAGAGGGAAGCTGGGATGAGAGTCATGTATACTTGACGAATGGCCAAGATCTTTAAAGGCTTGAACAAGTTGAATGACCGCGAGGTCTGAGGAGTTTTGTCTGATTGGAGGCCCTTGGAGCTTGCAACTACCATTTTTGGACTTGCAAGCCTATTCTTGAACATTCTTGTCTTCATTATGGGAGCAACGGTGACCAAAGTCCACTTGGTTGGAAGTCGGTCCGCCTTCATTCCCACAATCTTTGCGCCTGTCTCTGGAAGCAACAAGTAAATAACAAGGAAAGTAACTCCAGCCGAAATGGCTAGAAACCAAAAGATTGCACGCCAGCCAAAGGCAGATGAGATCATTCCACCAATGAAGGCACCGAATGCCTGCCCCAAAAGCGCTAGACCAGTTGTAAGGCCAATGAAGGAGGCACGTTCCGCTCTGGTAGTGATATCACTGGCTATTCCGCTTCCAACAGAGATGGTGGACGAGATTCCAAATGCCTGGATGCATCGAAGCACGACCAAACCTGGGAAACTGGTGTTGACAGCAATTAACACATTGGCAGCAACATAGAGCAAAAGACACACTAAAATAATCGGGCGACGACCAGTAGAGTCGGCCAAATTCGAGAAAACGACTGGGCCAAGACCCTGGAAGATCGAATACACAACTAAAGTGATATTGACGTCCAGTTCTGTAACTTTGAAGGATTCTTCAATTTGTGAAAGTACAGGCACGTAAATCGGCAGTGAGATGGATGACCAGAATCCTGAAAGACCCCCAAGGACCACGATAACGTACTTCTCGTATTTGTAAAAGATTGACTGTGGCTTGGTCTCCATTTCATCATCCAGCTGGCTCAGATGTAGTCTGGGAACCTGGATGAGTAAGACCTCTTCCGTATGCTCATGATCAGACTCACCCTTTTCACTTTCATTATCACTGACATCTGGAGTATCTTGCAGCGACCACGTTTTCCTCATCACCATAGATGATAACCTTGTCAGGGAAAGCATGGTGGTGAGTGGGATTGGGTGGATAGTTCTCGCCCGCTCCAACATTTCTGTTTCGACTAATGTCTCTGAGCTCTGTAGTGCGGACTCAGTTTGTAGCATTTCTTATTTTCGTTTAAGGAAAGCAAAACGGCTAGATCCCCGGGTATTTATAGCAATAACCATGGAAGATAGAAGAGTCATGAGTGCACAGGATAATATTCGTTCTTTCGCAGCCGACTCACCTGATCGGAATAGTCCAGAACTTAAAAGGATTATGAGGAGCAAACTGAAGAAAAAGAGAAAACATGAGGAATAATGGTAAACAATTTGATGTAGAGATTAAGTTGCAATATTAATATGATCTTGAATTAAAACTTTTCCTGTTTTGGGAACGAACAGCGGTGAGAGATGACCCGGAAAAACCAGTTGATCCGGTCTAGATTATGCGCGAGATCGGATGACTATGCACCCTGGGCCAAATCACGATCACGCTTATCGTCGCCATTATGACTAATATACATGGCTACTCCTTAGCCTTTTTGGTGTCTGGCTGCGAGGAAGTGGTTTGTGTAGCATCTAGTGGCCGCTTGTTGGTGCCATTTGTAATTCCACCAGTTCCAAACGAGGGGTTGGTCGGTCCAGGACTTCCGGTGTTGCTCAGGTTACTAGCAAAAGTAGGGAGATTTCCAGATCCGCTAGGTGCAGAACCAGTCCCGATACCTGAATTTTTGATATTGGCATTGACATTAGCATTAGCATTAGCTTTAACACTGCTGTTCGCATTAGCATTGGTATTGCCTGTAGTGGTTGCATTGGTAGTGTTGGAATTGCCACCAGCATTTGGCTTGACCTGTGGTTGTTTGTCTTTCTCCAACCGCTCAACCTTCCTGTTCAAAACACGAAGTTTGAACTCATATTTCTTATCGACGGCACTTTCCGCAGTCTTGACCTCTTGTGCCAACCTCTTGTCAAATTCCTCTTTGAGATTCTTTATCTTCTTCTCGTACTCCTCAGTGAGCGACTTCTTCACTTTTTCGATATTACTCTTGTCCGGTGCCAGTGCAAGCTTTTCATTCACCTTTTGCTGGACCTTGGAATCGAGCTCCTTGGCATATTTAGCGGCGATTTCCTTCTTGGATGCCTCCAATTTAGATCTCCATTCGCTTTCAACTTGCTTCTTCATTGCATCCAAAGAGGTGCTGGAGTTGTTAGCTTTGGCTGCCTCGAGTTCCTTATGTAGACTTTCATCATACTGCTTTTTCAACGTATCAGTAAGAGCTTGTTTTTCGGTCGCGAAAGTTGCCTTCAACCTATTAATCTCCTCAGCTAAATTCTTATCTTCGTTGGCCTTTTGAGATGCGTTGCTAGTGGCTAGCTTCTGTGCTTCTTCGAGAGACGTCTTTGTTTCATTGAGTTGCTTCTCTAGCTCCTTGTTCTTGTTCCTGTGACCCGTAAGTTTGGTCTTAAACTCGTTCTTCAAGTTCTCAAATCTCTGCAACAAATTCTTCACCTCGTCATTATTGGTGAGTTGAGTCTTCAAGCGCTCATTCTCTTCTTTCAAAAGTTGGAGTTCTTGCAATTGCACTGCCACCTCAGTATCATCTGCATTGACAGTAACTGGAGCTTGGTTTTTGAGCTTTTCAATTTCAGCTCGCAACTTTGTAACCTGCTCTAAAGTGACCTTATTTTCATTTCTCAAAGTCGTATTGCTTTCACGTAAGATGTTCAACTGTTCAAGTTGCTCCTTCAAGCGTTCGTGGTCCTTTGTGGCATCGTCCAATTGCAACTTCATTGTCTGCATTCGGGACACCTGACTTCTTGAAGCGTTCAATTCGGAAGTCAAGTTATTGAGCTGAGACTTCAATCTGGATTGTTCGTCAACGAGGCTAATAACCTTGGCTTCTGCATTATCTTTTTCACGTCTCAAATACAGAACCACTTGCTTCAAATCATCAGATCCTTCAGAGTCAACTGATGGAGCGCCACCAGTGTTCAATTCAATTTGATTGAGTGCGAGGTTATATTGGTACTCCAAATCCTTGATCTTCATTTTTGCAGCTGCCAATTCCTCCTGACTTCCTGCTTGTTGTTCAGATATGATTTCCTCTTTAGCCTTCAACTCTGCATCCACATTTTGAAGCTTTGATGTTACGTCATGTACCTTGCTTCTCAAATCATCGTTGATTCTCTTCTCATCTGTGATTTGAGCAGTCAATTGTTCAATCTCCTTCAACTTGGACTTGTAATTACCATCAAGCTCAGTGTTGATGTTAATTTGGGATTGCAAATCGCTGTTGATTGTGGCAATCTTAGTTTCAAAATCTGATTGGAGAGTATCATAAGAGCTAGCTTTCAAGGAGAACTCGTGGACCTTCGATTTAAGTTCCTGAACTTCATTCATATACTTGTTTTCAGTCGAATACAACTGTGATTGAAGGTCTTCCACGTTCTTCTTGTAAGTTGTGACTTCAGAAGTTAAGTCATCACGCTCGGAAATAAGATCATGAATTTTTTCGTCAGAGGAAACCTTGAACTTGTCAAATGATTCCGTAGCTTTCATGAGAGCATCTTCTGCAGCCTTTGCGATATTACTAAATTCAGTGACCTGGGATTCTGCGATCTTCAAATCATTCTTTATATCTTCGTACTCGGAAGGAAGAATAGTAGCATCGTTGTCAGCATGCAAAATTGTGGAAGATTGCCTTGGACGATGATCAGCAGGTACTGATTCTGTAAGTTTTCTCCTAAGACTGTCAATGAGGGATTGCTTTTCTGCAAGTTTTGACTTAGCATCTAAAAGTTTCTGACTTAACTCATTAACCTGTTCAAGCTTTACGTTCTGTGCCTTCAATGCCAATTCAGATTGGTTGGCTAAGATCAGAATACGCTCTTCCTTCTCCGAAATCTTCTGCTGCAACGCCTGATAATTCTGAACACTCTCCGACAACTTATTAGACAAGTCCAAGGAGGCGGATTCTCTTTCCTTGATAAGAGATTGCAAATTGAACACAAAGGTATTAAGATGCTCTTTGTCTTTCTTCAAATGAAGAATCTCGTCTTTCAAAGTCAGGTGCAAAGAAGTCCAAACTTCTTTCTCCGTGGCCAAATTCTTAGTAGCCGAAGCGGCGTCAATCAAGTTCTTCTCAGCATCACGCAACTCGTTGGACTTCTTCACCAAGAGACTTTCCTGTTTAGAGGCCTGCTCCTTCCAAAAAGTTGCCTCTTTTCTGAAGTAGTCAAGGTCGGCTCTCACGTTTTCAAGCAACTTTTTAGAATTTTCAAGTCTGCTTTCTGACAATTCCACGGAATGCTTGACTGATGAAAGTTTGAGCTGCAATTCTTCCTTTGTGTTGTTAGCCTCGGTCAATTTTTCGTTGACTTTACCGATCTTCTTCGCGGTCTGTGATTGAAGTTCTCTCATGGCTTTCTCGGTCTCAGTTATTCTGGCTTTTAATTCCTTGTTTGATGAGTTGAGAATGGATAAGTCAGCACCCGAAGCATCGGCTCCGGTCTCATTTCCATTAAGCGACTTCAAAAGATCTCTTTCCTTGGTGACTGCACTGAGTTTGAGCGTCACACTGTCCAATTCCCCCTGCAAAGTTAAAATTGCTTCCCTAGCTTCTTCGACTGCGGCAGCTTCAAATCCATTTGTTTCGTGTTCTCTTTCTTCAAGCTGCTTACCCAACAGGCGCACAGATAAAAGCAATTCCTCATTTTTATGCTGCATCTCGATAACACTGGCGAAGTTAACCAATCTCTCAGAGATGAGTTTATCTGTATCCGTTTCGATAACTCCGTCTCTATTTCCGCTCCTCGATAAGATCAGGTCAATTACCCTCTTCTCATTTGAAGTCAACGGATCCTCATTAGTTTCTCTGATCTTCGAATGGATCAAATAGTAGCACAACTGTCTGCCGAGATCTTTTGACAATTGCTTCATGGACATGAGTTCTGTTTCGTAGGAAGCCAATCTGGTTCTCAACCTGTTGGCCTCCTTTTCACTTTCAACTTTATCAAGGCGCACCGATTCGAGCTTTCCTAGCATGTCTTTCATAGACTGCTCGTAGAACTGTATTTGGTTTCTGTAATTGGTAATAGCTGGTTTCTTGGATTCGAGTTCCGAAACAAAATGTTGCAATTGAACAGCCAATTTCTCCTTCTGGGACCTTTCCAAAGCAAGCTCTTTCTTGATATGGTTGAACTCAGTATACAATGTTGACAATGAGATACCCAGAGGGCTGGTTTGCATAATGAGCTCGGCCGATTGCGATAGTCTTGGAAGCTTCGTTTCCTTGTGTAATTCTGAATCTAAGGCTTCTTCTGTACGTCTGAGACGTTCTTCCAAGATGATGATTTTCTCTTCCTTTCCGGCAATATCCTTGTGTAAGGCCTCAATGGATTCAGCAGAAGAGGACTGTAACTCTTCTGCATATTCCTCAAGCTGGGTGATTCTCCCACTTCTTTCTCCTAGTTGGACGTTCAAAAGCTCAACCAAGTCATCTTTGGCGCTTGATTCTCTTGAATATTTAATGGTCTGCACCTCCAACTTCGATTCCAAATCCGAAGCTCTGGTGCGTTCCTTCTCTAAGTTTGCTTCCAAGGTCTTGACTTGATTTTGCAAGGAATCTCTTAAAGAAGTTAAGGTTTCGGTCTGGGAACGCAACGACGAGATTTTGTTGGAATCTTGCAAATATGTCGAATCGTGCTTCTTGATCAATTCGGTATACTTTTCCTGAATATTCTTCAATTCCTGTTCGTACCAATCCTTCTGGTTTTTAATATACGAAAGCTCGTTGGTAACTTTGCTCAAATTGAGTTTATAAGTGAATTTTTCATTGGTAACTTCATTGAGTTCTTTGGTAAGTTCGCTCAAACGCTGCTCACATTCCACATTGGACTTTGTAAGCTTGTTGAGAGACTCGTTGACCCTGAAAAGCTCCAAATCTTTTGTTCGGAGAATTTCGTTGTTAGAAGCGTCGGATTCCTTGGTGCTAGATTCGAGTTTATACAACTTGTCATTGAGCAAAGACAAACGGTTCTGCAAACTCGTTACAAGATCATCTTTGCGACTAACCTCAGAAGAGAGAGTCTCATTCTGCGATGTGAGAGTCTCATTGGCTGCAGACAATTTCTCCACACGTTTCAGGAGAGTCTCGAACTTCTTCTGTTCCACCTGATTGATCAGCTCTTGGTTCAACTTGAAAAACGAGAGCTCCGACAGAACGCCCTGATACTGTTGAGCTCTGTATGCAATCTTAGCTACCACATCGCTGCCCACAGCCACAAGTTCAGATGGGTCGACGCCAATAAAAGTGGCACCAGCATGTAATTCTGCGGCTCTCGAAGCCGATGCACTTTCCTTGCGGATTTCCGGCTCTGCAGTGCTTGCAAATGTATCGTTGGCTACCGAGTCGAACGCATCCTCCTCTGCTTCTGCTAAATTCTGGAGCTGCGTGCTGCGTGGCTGTTCAACTGGAGAACTGTTCACATTCTGAGTCATGGTGTCCTTCGCCACGCTAAAGCTCTTCGGTGTCGTGATAGGTTCGATATCCTTGAGGGGTGGGAGCAGTTTCAGGGGTGTGGTAAACTGCTGGCCTGAGCTGGCGGGGTGTAGAGTCATGGAAGTGTTTGGATCTTGGTCCATTGCGTCAGAGGCCTCATCGGGGACGCTGGACGCGTCATTGGTGGCATCATTGACAACATCAGTACTCTCCACGTCAATTTGGGGAACAGTTTCTGCGTCGGCAGTTTCTGGCCCTGAAAATTGGTTGGGAGTTTGTAGTTGGGCTGAGTGTGAGGTTTGTGGGATATTTGTCGAATGATCAGCCACAAATTGCGAGTTGGTAGGTGGCAATTGGTGAGAATCATCTTCATGTGCCTCGTTCTCTTTATCGGAGAGATGATCTTGAGCAGAGGCGTCCATTGCTGGAAGATAATTTGATGAGAGATGGGTATTTGGAGATTAGTTGAGAGGTATGTTTGACATCCGTACACCAGAGCTGAGGAATGGAGTTGGTTATATACATATATTTATCGAGGTATATGTGGAGACTTATTATGAGAAGCATTGTGCATTAGTAGTTTTTTGTTGCCTTTTAAAGTGAATAGAAAAGGCGTTGTGAACTTTTCAACTACTGAGCGAAGTTATTGTGCTATGCGTAATGGGAACACTAGTTACTTTGAAAACAGACTCATTGCCCAAGAAGCCCAGTAGTACTTGGGTCACAATCATTGAAATTCTTCAAATGTTTAGTATATTATAGAACCATAAACTTCAAAGGAAAGTAATGAAGTTGTCTCTGGGAACAGTCATTCGGAGCGAAATGAGATTTATGGCTCATATTGAATGTATGGAGGTCGAGATCATCCGAATTTGTTGACAGTTTAACTTAAGACAGTTTTGCTTCATTGACATGTTTCGAACTTACATATCTAGATAAGTATACATTGAGTAACTGGATGAATCAACTTTCAAAATATAATGGATTTTTGATGTGGCCAATCAGATTCCCGGTTCGGACTACAGTGTTGATATGCTCCCAAGATTCTTATGGAACAACTTTTTTGATAAGAGATTCGATGGAGAGCTAACATCTATCCCTTTGTAGGTTTTAGAGGAATTAGGATTTTATCAAATGCTTCAAGGTACATGACTCTTTCTATCAGCCGAAGTATATTCAATGGAAATTTTAAGTGGCCTCTCAACGATATTCATTTGCTCATAGTTGAACTCTTGATTGATTCCATCTACAACAAGAAATAACGAGTAAGTGGCATCATGAGAAAACTTGGAGTGTTTCTTTTACTTGCAATATTATCTTTAGACTTTCCTCAAATATTTCTAGTCGGTCTAATATAATGATCTTTCTATCTTACTATCATTCTATCATTCTATCATTCTATCTTTCTATCATTCTATCATTAAATCATTCTATCATTGTATCATTCAATCATTATATTATAAGATTTTTTTTCTCTACTCTCTTGATCCAACAATTTCACAGCCACTTTTCCCATAATGTTCCATAGATCCCTCTATACTCCTTCTCCACTCTCAAAAACTCTACATCTCGCCACCAATTTCCTTCCAGTATCAGCAGTTCTACACGACTCTAAACTCTCTAAACTCTTCATAACAAAATCTTCACTTCCAAACTGCACACTTGACTTTCAATTTCCCTACTTTCTCTCCCATTTGCCTTGGTTTCCCATTATTCCTTGTCTCTAGGGCTCCAGCCCTCGTCACATGACGCACGCCATCCGACCACAACTCACATCCTGCACACCCAACCTCCACCCAGTGCGTAATTCCAAAAAACATTTTTCGCTCTTCATTTCTCTCTTTCTATCAGCAGCCATGATTGAACCATCGTTGAAAGCCTTGGCTTCCAAGTACAACTGTGAGAAGTCCATCTGCCGTAAGTGTTACGCCAGATTGCCACCTAGAGCCACCAACTGCAGAAAGAGAAAGTGTGGCCACACCAACCAATTGAGACCAAAGAAGAAGTTGAAGTAATCGGACAGCTTTTTTGGCACATGGTGCTCTGCTGCTGATGCGATGTGGCAGTTGTTGCCGTGTGGGATATTTAGCTTATACATGTTAATACATCTATCTATTGGAGTTGATGTAGGGAGAGTGGAGTGAAGAAAAGTTGAAAAAGTGAAAGAAGTGCGAGAAATGAGACAAATTTCAAGGAAACTGGAGGGAAGTTGAATAAGGAGAGAGAGCTGATGGGAATAACATCATGGTGAGTGACGGAGGGTACTGTCGTTTGAAAGTGTTGAGGTTGGTCAGTAATGACTGTAAGGAGTTCAAAGAGGTTGGGGATTTTTTGAGAAGTGATAGTTGGAGTGACGGGTGATAGTTCGAGTGACGGTTCACGGAGTAGAAGTTTTCGTTGGCATAAGCTTGACTGTTTACTTCACTTCAGTGCTGGTTTGAACCTTATGGCCCCCAACGTTTACTTCAATCTGCCTCTTCCTCTCAATCCCCAGCCTTCTGTCTAACATGTCTAACCTCAAAATCATGACTTACTTGTTTCTGTTGCTTACTTCTTCTTGACTCTTCTTTTACTCTAAGTTCACTCAATTTGTCGTTGTTTTCTGGGCTTTCACGTATCGATAGCTTTTTCAACTTTTTCTGACCACACGAAATTCTTCTAGAATCCTTCTTTGTAAACATTCATTTAATCACCTTTAATCACGACTGAATAACTCCTCCCCTACTTATTGGTTTGCGAGCTTAACTCAGTGAAGTCCCTACCACGATCAGTTGCCTTTTAAATTCACAACATATCTCTACCCAATTCTCTCTGATATTTGCATTAATATGTATTTAGTTTGATCCAATTTTACTCTTGTCAACTTTTCAATTCTAGCAATTTTGGAATCAACCGAGCCTCACCTTAACGTGTCATGAGATCTACCGATTCGGCAATATAGCTTTTTTATATTATTCCGAACTTGGGCATGAATTTCATCCTCTTTCTCTATATCAATCTTCGCCTCTATTTTTTCTCTTTTAATAATTTCAACCCTCTCGTGTTAATTTCACCATCAATATCTTCTATATTCTCTTCTATATTCTCTTCTGTATTTTCTTCTGTATTTTCTTCTGTATTTTCTTCTATATTTTCTTCTATATTCTCGTCATACACTCTCGCGTGGTGGTTCGTTTTGAATCTAAAGAATCAGGTTCTCATATATACAGTGGTTTATCTTGGTAGTTCATCTCCAGTTGAATTCCCTAGTGATCCCATCGTAAGCAAAATCCCATTTTTTCTCTATCATCGATGTACTCTTTCACCACTGGCTGATTTCTCCCGGCAATTTCGTTCCCTGGTGATTTTCTCCGTTCTCGTATTACTAAGATCACACATTCTCAAAAAGTAAATGAATGTCCATTTTTCTATGGATCGTTCTGCAAATTCAATGCTTGGTCGTTCTGAATCTACGATTTTAATCCCTCTTAAAAAATTCTTTTGCTTGTTCATTTCCGACTTTTTTCCTCTCTTTTAAACATTCTGCAACTCTGACTTCTTTGCAGATCTCTGACTCTTCCCTACAATCCCACATTCTCACGATATTTTCCCATTCCTCTTGAACTTTTCTACCGACTCGATCCACTATACCTGACCAATAACATACTCCCGACATTTTCATTCATTATCTAATTCCCTACATTTTCCACGACCATCTCCCCTCATGTCTTCTTCTTTTTCTTCTTCTCCTCCTTCCACCCCTCGAATCTCAGTTCAACTTTCGCAGCCATGATCGACGTTTCCAACGAAATCAATCTAAGTTATTATTTCCAATATTTTCCTTTATTTAACTTGCTTTCACCATTTCCCTAGGCCCTAAACCTCGCCTCTCAGGTGTCTCCAGTTTCTCCCCCGAATTCCCCGTTAACTCCACCTCCTTCTGCATACGCTATTGGGCCATGGTGACATCTTATCGACGCTGCGGCATTTCTGTCACATATCGCACTAACTGCCAGCACGGTCTCCATAACATCCCCCTCCTCAGTAAAACTATCCGCCACCACACTTTTTTTATCTGGAAAAAGATTATTAATATCCAATTCCATTCTACAATTCATTAGAATACTCTTTTCCGCTTTTAATCATCATTCTTCAAGCGATATCTCCTCACATACCTCAACGGCGGCCTCCACGGTCGTGCCAAACTCATCTCTCACGGTAAAAAAATGCCTACAACCAACTCACCTATCCTGATCTTACTAAGAATCTCCATTTAACCTGGCTGCGTCGTCATCCACTCCAACCCGGCAACTGCACTCCAACCTTCCATCCCCCACTACCTTCCCCATCCTGCACTGGTGTTTTATTCCCTTTGCTCCGGTTTCTGTCAGCACTCTTAGATCCTTTTGGTGATTGATCTGCCTTTGGCTCCACACCTTCAACATTGACAGTTGCCACTCTGCTTGACCGCTGCCGCTAGCTGCTAGCCGCCCAAGTACTGCTCCTCTATCCTCCTCGGTCGGTATATTCTTCCCCTTGCGGCCGCCAATCCATCGTGCCTGGCGGGTCGCTGACTTCAGTTCCTCCCCCAAGGCATGAACAACCTGTTTGAAGAGCAGGGATTCACATATCCGCAGTCGGCCGCTGTAGCATCACCGCCGGACCAGGCATCGGTTGCTGCCACTGCCTATTCAGGTACTCAACTTTCGCAGACTAAGCGCCAGAATTCCATGAGTGCTTACAACAACAATCCATCGCTGAAACGCGCTGCAAACCCGTTGCAAATGCAATTTCAGATGCAGACTAGCAATTCAACTGCTCAATCTTTCCCTTCAGCGACTCCTCCCGCAGCTCCTGCTCGTTTCCCCACCGCAGCTTCGTCTCGTCGAAATGCTCGTAAATCGGGCCAGTACCTCGCGGGTCAGGCAATCAAAACCCCAACTCCAACCACTTACGAGATTCCACTGAGTCCTAATGCTAATCTTGCCATTCAAAACAATCTGGACCTGACGGGCTCGAGTCCCATGGTGGATCAACAGGTATCTGGGACTACAAATAAGGATGCGTCCACGCGACTTCCTGGCTCGCTGCTGAACTCGAATATGGGTGTTCTGCAAGGTCAACAATCCGTCCAGCAGCCTCAGCAAGCTCAACAGAATCAGCAACCTCAGCAGATTCAACCACCTCAGCAACCTCAGCAACGAGCAATGTCCGACGAAGAACAGCAGCTCGCAACGAAGTTAAAGGAGACTTATAAGAACATTGTTAACTTTGAGGAGGTAGTTCAAAAGAGCTGCATTGAGTTGACCATGAGAATTAACCAGAACAATTTCACCAGTTTGAATTCTCCCTACACATCGTCCATGTACGGCCAGCAGCAGTCACAGCATTTACCTGGCTCTCCAGCTCTGTTTCAGTCTGCCGTATCGACAAGCTCTACCGAATTATCTAATAACTTGTGGACTATCTATCACCATAATGTGACGTTGTTGAACAACTACTACGATTTTCTCATCACTGCTCTCAAGCCGACCGCTAATTCCACCCAGTTCAAGACAGGGAAGAACATTGTTGACCTCTACAAGATACCACGACGCATGTGGGTTTACGGTATAGTCGGGTTCTTGGAGGTGCTTAAGAACATCATGAGTATTTTCCTGGACCACGAGATCTATCTGTGTTTTATTGCATACTGTTTCAGCATCGTCTCAAACTTGACCGATCCAGCCCTTGAGATGGAGGGTTGGTGGTGTGAGAAACTTGGTGACTTGTCTCGTATGGCCATAGCCCTCTATGCCTCGCGTTTCATTGATTGGAAAATCAGCGCCGAGTACTGGTACTCGGTAGCAATGAAAACGATGTATGGACATGGAAAAATCTATTATCATATATGTACTGTGCAGCAGGACAACTTGGATGCACTCGTTAACATCGGGAAATCTGTTATCTGTCGTGACCCATTTGTCCCAACACAACAATATTTGCGTTTGGTCGTTGAGAACATTTGCACTCAGCGTAACATCCTTTCTTTGCTAGAGTTGCCGATCATCGACTTTATCAAGATTCACAAGGTTCTCTTGAGTATCCACACTAATTCCATTAACGCTAATGAAGCGTCGCACCAAACAGAGAATATCCATGATTCACAGTTACAATACGGAATTGATTTGGTAACACGATATGGTCTCACTTTTGGTTGTGATTCTCATGGTTTTAACTTCTTCACGAGAACTTTCTGTATTCCAGGTGCCACACATAACAAGTACGGTGCAGATCCATTCAACCAATATCTCAAGCAACAGCATGAACAAGATCAGCAAAGCAATACTTTAGACACCCTCGAAAAAATGAATTTCTGGTTCAACAAGGGCTCACTATTTGCCATTGCCAATGTGAATCACTTAATTGGTTTCGGTGATCCAAAAAATCCTTTCGCAAAAATCTTCCAACTACCTGAGGCACTCAAAGAAAGGAAAGATAAGAAAGAAAGAAAGCGCAAGTCTAAATCTCAAGGCTCTCAGGAGGATTCGACGGAAATGGGTGCTAGTCTCTCTAATATGAGTGGAGCCGAGGGTCAGTTTTTAGTTGCTTCTGAGCTTTCTATAACTGACTGGTTCTATTGCTTGACTTACATTAACAAGTCGGTTTTAGAACTCTCTTTCCGTATCTTAAATCACTATTTAATTGGTCCCAAGCTGGTATCAACATGCCATGTGATCGTGTGGTTGTATTTTCTCATTGCAGTGGGAGAAGCTTCTAATAAGTATCCTAACTCCAAGAGCATGTTCTTGTGGTTGTTCCGCAAGTTTTTTCCCTGGGAGTCACTTATTAACTATTTGAACACCTTGGTGGCTGTCACGACTAACAACCCCAACTTGAACGGTATGTGTCGCAACTATTTACTAAACCATCCAAATTATCTCCAATACTTCAATGAAAACGAATTTTTGCCAGAAGTCTGGAAATGTTGGGGTACATTATGGTTTGACGTGATTTCTTCAAAGCAAGACTATAACGATTTGAACTCTGCAGGTGTTCTGAGTCACAGCTTGTTTGATTTGCCGATTTGCGGAACATCTCCTGTCATCAACATACACGGAAACAACAACCACTCCCACGGAAATAAGAGCAAATCTAGAGATCAGCAAGAACGCGATAACGATGAGAGACTTGTTAGGATCATTTTGTTGGCCAGAATTCTCGCTGACAAGTATGACTTTGGAATCGTGCGTACACTGGACGGCTTCAAATACGATGAAGAAATTTACAATCAAACTGAAAGAGACTACTTGCTTACATCTGCTGCTCCAACGTTAACGAATGAACTATTCGCATTCATCCGTGAGGTGGTTTACGGCGATGGACGTCTTGTTCAGGACAACTTTGTGATTCCGATTTCTCCAGGCAACCTTGTCAAGACTGAGCATTTGAGTATGATTAGTGCCGAAGACAAGGATGAGCATTGGTTCAAGCTTCGTAATCATACTGGCTGGGACCAGGCAGACGATGCCAACAACTTGGGAGAAGAAATGATCGACGACGAGGATGATTTGGCTGGTTATGCAGACTCTGAGTTTGACGAAGATGAGACTGATTACCAAAAGCAATTAGAATCACAAGCTTTGAATCAGTCAAGACATCTTCAGGACCATCACTTCTATCATCAGCTGCAACAACAACATGCGCTGATGGAGAATGATTCACGGAAGTTTGGTGAATTCTACAGTGATAATTATGTCGTTAATCCTGAACTCCTTCCAGGTATAGTGAATACGGATATCCAGATTGAGGGTGACCTCGGAGATCGAATGGATTCCAGTTTGACATACATCACTTTGGATACAAACATTTGGTTGAAGCACTGTGGACGAATCTTCAAATGTGTGCGAAATGGAGTATTTAAGGTGCTGATTCCCTTGATTGTTTTTCAAGAACTTCGGTCTTTAAGAAAGTCTGCTGAAGCAACTATTGCTGATGCTGCTACTAGATCCGTGATCATAATTCGCGAGTTGTATTTGGCCCGAGAGGTAGTGCCATTGCGCTTCGATGGCACGGTTGCAAGTGACATCAACGAGACAACTGAGTTCGAGAACAACTCCAATTGGATGAGCAACGTTGATCTGACAATCTTGAATGTTGTCAATGAGCACGACGAGATCAGCAAGAAGTTGTTGAAGGGTCTCCATTGTACCATCAATGGCCACAAACAGATCATTCTTGACAGCAAGTATGCCAAGATGTTCCGCTATTGCATTTTAATTACTGATGACAGAAATATGCGGCTCCGCGCAAAGACATCTGGGCTCACCAGCTACCAAAGCAAATGGCTCTTTGGCCAGCTTGAGGAGATGTTCCCCGACAAGTGCATCGACTAAACATTACTCCGCATCACCCCGGCATTTAAACATATTGCATCGATGGACAATATTTCAAACATTCTCATAAACATTTTACATATTGATAACAAGAGTAGATATAAGACATCTCAAAATAGTTACAACTAGAGCGGATCTAAAATGCATTATATTGTACGATATTAATTTTAAGAAAAGTAAAATTTAGAGAAGCCAGCCCAAGGTTTTGTCGAGGAGCGTAGGCTTCGTTCTTCCGTTAGCCTCCAACTCCGCGTAGCATTCATATTCGTGCTCTTCAATCTCTTCGAGTCCAGTCTGGAGATCAGCATCTTCAGGTCTGATGAACAGGGTACGTTTCCAAACCTTCCAGAAAATGAAAATACCGATGGCCACAAATAACATAACGTAATTGAACAAGAACGTGTCGACTTGCCACCGTCCTGGCATAAACACCTCGTAGCCCAAGATTCCCACCACACACCACAAGATACATGTGACGACAATGGCACCATAAGGCTGGAACCATGATTTGAATGTGAAATTGTTTCTGTCGATGCCTTGTGCCTTGCATGCTCTATAGAAGCACAAGTAGGTGATACCCATCATGGCATAGTTAAGAATCTGCGAACCAGTACACAAGGAAACCATGAAGTTCAACACCTTCATACCAGAGTCACCCAACTGCATCAACGACAAGAATGAGAAGGCAATCGATACACCAACACAGTAAATTGGGACACCCTTGTTGGTACAGTATTGGAAGAAGCTAGGAACGAAACCCTTGAGAGAAAGCGAATAAAGTGCTCTGGATGAACAGTAAGTATAGGAGAGACCAGCTGAGAATGCAGAGGTAACAATCACAGCGTTGACAATGTGAGGAAGAACATCAATACCCATGTTTTGCATGGCAACGACATATGGAGATGCAGCAGCGTTGGAGGAATCGGAACTCTTCTCCACATAAGTTGGATCATTGTAAGCAATCAAGATGGTCACCGAGAGGGAACCACCAATATAGAAGAGCACCAAACGGGCCAAGACGGTTCTGAAAGCCTTGGCCATTGTCTTTCTAGGATTCTTAGCCTCACCAGCCGTCATACTTAAGTATTCGGCAGAAACAACCACGAAACAGGCCGAAAAGATACCTGCCAAAAATCCTTGGAACCTGCCAGTGCTTCCAGTTCCAATGTACTCTGCGATGGGACCACCTGGGGCTCTCCAGTTTCTGAAACCAAATGCATCATGTTTGGGGTTTCCGCCGCACATAGTGATGAGAGTGAAGAACAAGAGACCAATACACAAGATTAACTTTCCAATGGAAAGCCAGAACTCGGACTCTCCGTATGCTCTCACGGCAAAAACGTTGAGGGCAGCGTAAATGGCGATCTGAATGCAGAGTGTGATAGCAGGCGAGTAGTCATCTCTCCAGAAATGAATCATTCCATTGACAGCTGTGATCTCAAATGGAATGTACAAACTTTCCATCAACCAAAAGTTGATGGAAGCTGCAGCCTCGAATGCGGGGTCAACCACACGACCGGCCATGGTTAAGAAGGGAGAGTCGAGAGGCAAGTAGCACACCATTTCTCCCACGGAAACAGTCAACATCAAAATCACCGAGGTCCAGACCAAGTAGGCCAAAAACAACCCCAAAGGTCCAGCGTTGACCAAACCACCCGATCCGATAGTAATGAACAAACCTGTACCAATACTTCCTCCGATGGCAATAAGGTTAATGTGTCTGCTGTGTAAGGTTCTCCGTGTGGAGTTGACCTGGACTGTCGAACGGTCATCAGATTGGCTTTCAGAGTAGCCATAATTATCCTGGACCTTAAAGGCTGGTTCCACAGGTTTTTTCTCTTCAAACGACATAATGAACAGCAGTAGGTAATTTAAAGACTATTTGGAGTGTCACAATATGCCAACCAGTTGCTGTGGAAAAAAAATATGTGGAGGTTTATCTAGAGAAGGATTTCAAAGATTGGATTAGCAGCCATTGGTGCGGGCTCATTTCATTATAAAGACAAAAGTTTCCGAAACAAGATGAAAAAACTGCACCAGTTCTGCGTACTACGCACCAGTGGGAACAACCATATCATGCAGCGGACTCATCGTCTTGCTGTGGTTGATCATGGGAAGTTTTCAACAGTAGTTGCTGTTACATGACATCATGGTTGGCGAGGTGCATGGAGAACTCGTTTTCTGCAGGAACGAAGTACATCGTCTGAAAATAATCATGGGCACCGTCTCATTTATATGCAGTATGGGACCAAATGCTATTGTATAACTTCATGTAGCGGGACTAAAGAATGTAGTGAGAGTGGAAAGTAAATTGCCACGGCTTCAAATCTCGGTCTATTCCGATGGCACGTGACTCGCTTCCCCAGATAAACTTTTTTTTCCATCAAGGTCAAGTAAAAGAATAACTCGCATATATTATATGCAGAGGGATTAGATTAGTACTAATTTGGATTCTCATTCCCACTTGCTGTTTCGAATGATTTGATAATTCCGAGTTTTCATTTATTTGGACTTGGTCTATGTTATTTATTTCTTCCATGAATTTCCACCTCATATTGGCTTTGTGTGACTTTGGAGGCCATCAAATCTATGGAAATCGTATGCAAATTTGTATCCATCGAATTTCCTCCATGAACTAGTATATTTCCCTGCAGACGGACTGGCGGAATCCACCCTCATCCTCTATTGAGGCCTAGATATTCTTCTCCAAAAACCTTACCGAAAACCTGCAGCCAGCAGTTTGGATACCAGTTGCCATTTTCTTGTGTGACAGACCACCCCAAATCACCCCACCAATTACCATTCAAATGACTAAGGCGAGTTCTCATGACAACGAGCATCTAACCGGCGTGCCGAGAGTTAGGTTTCGTTGCGTGGCATTTCCACGAGCGAATCGATCAACGCAAGTAACCTCACAAGCTGCTTGAGCCCCACAAAGGACACTCCCAGGGTCTCTTCGCTGCCAAGCTTCTCATTTTCTAGTAATGCATCTCTCTTCATAATAGCAACCACAAATTGGTGGTAATGTCTCATCAACTCTTCTACCTGTAGGATTCCTGGAGTGTAAGAAGGTCCGAGTGAAAGAAGCACTGTTGCAACAAGTTGGAAGGTCGGCACCATAAACTCGTAATACGAAACCATTCTCATGGAGTCGCCCGATGGTGCACTGATGTTGTTCCGGAGAACAAGTGGAACATCAAGCGAAAGGTTGAGTTGGGCACTCTTTTGGCTTGTGTGTGGATCGGTGGACGTATCAATTTGGAGATTCAAGCCGAGGTCGGCGTCGATCGACAAGAACTTCAATTGTCTTATGATGGGGAAGATTTCATTCTGCACAAGCTGCGATGCTCCGACCTTTGTCTGAGCAATGCGTATTAGAACATACAATGTAGACTTCAATGCTGTGAGCTCGTAAAGAAGTGTCTCCACATTTATGCCTGAAGCCTTCTTTGCATCGCTCGAGTCCCCGCAAGCGACTATGATCTCATCCGTCCTCTTCAATGACCTTACCAACAACGAGAGCGAGTTGTTACTGATCAACACATCAAGGATGGCAGAAGAGTTCTCGATGGTCGAGAGGTGGATCAATGATTCCATGAAAAGAATAGACGTAATGCGGGGCACACCTTCCAGGTAGATGGAGTCTTTGCACACAATGTCGATGAACCTCTTGTCAATTGATCTCAAGATAGACAAGATATTGTGGAGAATGGTTTCGGCTTTGATACTTCGGCGCAAGAACTTATTGAGTAAGAGGTACAAGTCCGACCTCAATGTAGGTGTGGAATTGGGACTCATTACTCCATTGACGCATGTCTTAAAGAGAGGAAGAAGACGGTGCAAATTATTTTCAGTGCCGTCTTGCTGTGGTATGTTATTGTCTTCCTCATACAAGTCGAAAAGAAGCACGCACAACGACATCAACTCCTCGGCAAACTGGATGTCTCGTTCATAGTACTCGTTGTTAATTTTAGGAAGCACCATTTGCAAAACCCTAAGAATGAAGTCTGACTTGTCGGCCACACCATCGCTGGTTAGAACTTGAATTATTTGGACCCAAGAGTGCAAAGACTTCAAGTGGAGAGTCTTGAGCTCATTAATAACAAGCAACTTGTTGAGAATCTCGGCGATTCGGTCTGCCTCAACTTGGCTTTCTCTTCGAAGTGCAGCCTTGGTTTCATCGCTAGGAATGTTGATGTCTGCAAGTTGGCAAGTCAAACGAATCAATTTCTTGAAAACAGGAACGTTTGCACCCTCGATGTTCTTGTCCTTCTCAAACTCCACAACCAAGCTGTGCAAGTTGTACTTCTTCTCAAACGTGTCAAGTCTGTAGTCTTCCACATTGTAGAATTGATAGTTCAACACATCCAAGTAGTTTAAAACCTTGGGTGTGCCGTTGAGGAACTCGTTACTCTGAAGAAGAAGATTAACATAGTACTCTCTCTTAGTGATCGACTTGATGTCATGAAGTTCGAGCGACAAATATTGAAGGACGCAGTTGCGGTAGTTGATGAAGCTGAAGAACGTTTCGCAACTCAAATCATCTTGGACAAATTTGTTATTGACTCCATCCTGTAGGTCTCCCTCGAACTTGTAGTTCTGCCAGACTGTCATATCGTCAATTTTCAATTGAACCGTTAAAAGCTTTGAAAACAAGTCGAACTGTCTCAAGAACTGCAACGTAATCTTAGACGAAACCGGGTTCTGACACAATTGTACAATAATTTGAATGATGAGTGAAGTCAACTTGGCTGGGCCGATTCCGATATGATGCTTGAAACCTTTGCTGTAGTCGACTTCAGAAATCAAATCTAAGGTTGAGATCAACAACTCAACTAAACTCAGAAGCAAAACTCCGCTCTCGCCGTTGGCATAACTCGATATTTCTAAACGATCTGCCTTTACAGTGTATCCAAGAAGGAAGTGTGCAACAGATGGTTCAGCTGATGTAGGCAAATTCTCGATCAAAAACTTTAATATGCTGTATTTTGTTTGAAGCAGGTCTGTTAGAGACTCCATTTGATGTACAAAACCAAACTGAATTCTCAAGGACTCATCAATATTCTCAAAAATACTCAACAAACGGTTACGTTTCAACAAATGGTTAGTCCCTCCGAATCCACGTTGCACAAACAACGGAGATTTAGCAATCTTGGCCAAAATACTCAACGACGATTCAACAATTGAGGAACTCTCATTTCCCACGTACAAAGCAAAATGAGCAGTGCTGAGAATGTGGAAAGATAAGACTTCATAGAAGTCACTAACTCCATTAGTGCCCAAACTTGCTGGATAGTAAATGTTATCAAAAGTCGATTTAGGGGCAGAAATAGTCAAACTCAAAGCTGTACCGTATCCCATAGGTACATTGACTTCCGAACCAGGAACTGTATCAGCATTCTTCAATAGCGGAAGGATCTTTCCTGTGAATGCATCCTGAGCATTCAAGACTTGATCAAAGGACTTCAATGCCATGTCGACAAGTGTCGTGGTGATTTCGTCGCTGGCGATTGCTTCACTTCCGATATTGATGATGTCAAAAAGCACATTGCTGGCCCTATCGTCAAACAAGTAGTTTAGGATTGCGGGGGCATGGTGCAACTTCAAGAACGTCTCATAAGACAATGCAACTATCTCACCAGAAACTAATTCTGAAGATGCAAAAACTCCATTTTGTTTAGCAAGGTCAACCATAATGCTTGGAGCAACATCGTTCAAAAACTGCCAATCAATCTCTGCTAATGAGTTGTGGATGATGTCCAACAATATGGCTTGGAAGGAGTGTCTGCTACTTGTCTTCTTCAAGTCCTTAGTGTGTCCGAAAACCTCAATCAAAAGGAATTCAATGTATGGCCAAATACCAATCTGATTCTTGTGGCGATAACCTGCACCAAGATTGGCCGGGTATAAGAGTTTTATGGACTTGATGGCAACTTCATCTTCATTCAAAGCAGAAAGAAGCTTTTGAATGAGTTGAACAAAGTTGAACACCTCTGAAAGATTAGTCAAAGTGATCAGGAAACTCTGCTTTAAGCTAATACCACGGTGAAGCAGTTTAAGCTTTGTCAACTCGGATTTGACCGTATTGGGTGGGTTACTAGACAATGAAACACCAGTGTAGCGTGTTGGTTCGGAAGTAGTCGAGGTATTAGTATCATTTTCGTTGATATTGTAGCATAGCCAACGATCCACTATGACCCAAATCTTGTATCTGATGTCCAAGTTTTCTGTATCAGATGCAAAAGTGGATAAGAGGTTGAGAGTCAAGTTGAGTGTGATGGTTCTGTTAGCGGTGTCAAAGACAACAGGCGAGCTTTTATTATCACTCTGTAGGCTCTTCGCAGAAATGATCAAGTTGTCAAACTTAAGGAAGCTGGTGATGATCGGCAGGAAACGGGCGAAGGCAGCCAGTCTGAGGTTTTTGGATATTGTGCCATTTCCGTTTGCATTCTCAACAATAGATGCCACGAGCATGAAGAATCCAGACATGAACACAATTGAGTCTTCAGATAATTGGATCAAAAGTGGTCCAGAGTTCTCCGCATCTGACTTGCTCAACGAAGAGCTAGAAAACAAGAATTCTTGCTTCTTCTGTTGGTTTTTCATATGAAGACTCAAATCGTGTTCTAAATTTTCCGTTAATGCATCGATGTAGTATGTCAAAGAGTTTATGATTGAATCAATGGAAATCTTTGAGTAGTCATTTCTCTTAATGCTTCCACTTTGTGCATTGACCAAGATGTCCCAGACCTTAGCACTGGCAATTTCTCCCCCATAAGTCAAACTTCCTAAAAGCAAACAGAAGGTTGCAGTGATCAATGGAGATGTATTATTGGAGATTCCCCAGCCAATAAATCCGACAATATTGGAGTCCTCGGCCTCCCAAAATTCCTTGCAAAGACTTTGTCTATGGGTGTATGTGTAGGCACAAGACATGTAGAATCTCTCCAACTCTGCACGAGAGGCGATTTCATCGAGATTCAAGCCTTCTTTGCCGCCATCACCAGTAGATTTGGAGAGTTCTCCAGCCAGAGTCTTGGTGGAAAGGATAAAGATGTCAAATTCACCACCCGATATAGAGCCATTTCGAGCAGTAGAGGCTGGTGCCTCCTCGAGTTGTTTCCTGTTAGCTGAAGATAACAAAAAGTCTTCTTCACTGTCGCGCAACAGAGTGAGAACAATTGCTGCATGGCTAATGAAGTTGCTGATGAATTTGTGAAAAAATGGAGCTAGCCATGAGTCGCAGAAGCTGGTAGATAGCGTGAATGTCTGGTAGGAACATAAAGTGGTCACGTTGGAAAGTTCTGGTCTTTGCTTGACAAGACCTAGCAACTCCTCAGTACCAGGATATATGAACTTCAATGGTTTCAACGTAGGGAAAGTCTTTTGAAGGAGCGGTCTGAAATTGTAGAGCCTATCTTGTTCGTAAAGAGCCTTTGCTTCTGGCCGGGCAGTCTCTGCTGTGTAGGAAAGCACTTGTTCCAATGTGCCGTAGCTGATGAGCCACTCGACATACTTCAATATGTCCTTTTCGAAGTCGAATTTCTGTGTACGTGTATCATGCTCCTTGCACCAAGGAATAAATGCAATGAAGAACATTAGCTTGACCACTAGCAAGTACATTCTTATAGAAGTTGTTGACAAATCGATCTCATCGCCATTTCCACTGACCTTTGCGTAGTCTGCCGTCAAAATACGCACAAAATTTTCATGGAACTTGACCACTTGGCTATCAGAAAGGTCTTTTGGACTGCTGGCGACCCTCAAAAGAGTAGGAAGGTAATGCAAGACTAGCACGTCCGCGTCGTCGGTGATATTTTCGCTCACGTGTGCAACAATGGACAGATAAGACTCCCAAGTGCCCAACACTTCGATATAGTTGTCCATGAGGGTATACATAACCTCACTTAAGAGCGTATGGGTGTCAAAGAGCTTATTCTTGACGAACTTTACTGCCGTAACAAACTGCAAATCATTGATATCACTGGTGACTTTTTGCTTATCAATTAGATCATTTTGGATGCGAAGTAGCTCGTAAACCTTCTTGAAGCTCGCGAGAAGCGAGCTGAGAAGCTGAGTTGCCGGCTCACCCAGAGGATATAGAAGCTGTAACTTTTTCTCGCCCACCAAGTAGCCCACGATGTTCAAAATGTAGTCAATTCGCTGGAAGTATACAAGTCTTCCGGAATCCATCAAGTCCGTACCCTTGGCAGACGTTGTAGATGATGCATTTTGAAGCAATTCTGCTGCCGAAAGTTCATCCAAGGCCAACTCGGTGGAGATGGCGCTTGCATTGGCGATGAATGGCTTGTTGAGTTTGTATTCCTCACCACTATGAAATGCCACTGGTTTGCCCGATTCTCCGGCTGCTAAGGCGCTTCTGCTTTTGTCATTCCTTGGAGGTAAATCAACAAGACGTCTGAGATCATTTCCGATCCAGTTTTCAAGATCTGCCGGAACGGAGCTTTGAAATCGAATGAAATTGTAACATTCGGAGAATACATCCAAATCCCAGATTAGCAGAGTTGGTTGGGACATGATGAAAGTGATGTGAATTGTTAGTATATAAATTTTCGTTCTGGATGTGTATGTATTACATGCAGGATCTGGGTGATGGATGTGACAATGTGGGATATTTGGGTAGGAGGAAGTGTAATTCTATGAATTATGGGTTAGAGAATTATTATTCATGCTTGAATCAGTTTGAATTTTTTAATTTGCTATTTTGTAAGTTTTGAGGTAGATAGTTGGATGTTTAAGTATGTGTAGGATTGGAGTCTTAAAATGTTGACGAATCTGAACTAAGAAATTAAGATAACCTGGATGGGATAAAATAAAATGATTTCGGGAATAAATATTATCCGTTTCTTGGCTTACTTTTTCATTCGAGTTTGGTTACGTCCAATTTTAAATTTTTTCTTGAGTACTTGTGTAAATGAAGGATATTAAGGATCTCTGTATACTGACAGCTTGTAAGGATTGGTATTTCAATAGATATCATAATTACGAAAATGATGCACATCGTGAATCTTATCCAATATGTGACATCTCGAGACATGGTTCATCGGTTGGTATTCAGATATGACAACATCATCAACCTTTAGAATTAAAAAACAGAATGTCGAGTCAACGACCAAATTCAAGTTCTCTCCCTGTGAGCAACTATGCCTTATTAAGTTCAAATGACTCTAAGCTTCAAGTATTGAATCTTAAGTCATGCTAACATTACATCCATAAAACAAAGACATAGTCAAGTGAGTCATCTTGAGCGGTGGGTACTGGGAATCGAAAGACTCGATATGCTTGAATAATTGCAAGAGTCTTACCGTTGTATAGGATGCTTCAGTCAATGCAAATTGTTGGCCCAAACAGACTCTAGGTCCTCCATTAAATGGAACAAATGCCCAGCCGTACTTCTTGGCTTCTGGTTCGCCCCATCTTTCTGGTCTGAAAGTCTCAGCATCCTTACCGTAGTACTCTGGGTCTCTATGCGTGGCGTACACCGTGTAAGAAATAGAAGCACCTTTTGGAATGAATATTGGAGACATTCCGTCAGGTCCACCTCCACGTGGAAGAGTTGTGTTCTTCTGTGCAACTCGGAAGTTGGTAGGAACTGATGGGTACATGCGAAGAGCTTCATTGAGAACCCACTTGAGATACTCACATTTCTTGAGCGATTCAAAAGTTATAAGAGACAAGTCCTCACCGTCTCCAAACGCTTCATAGATTTCTTGACGCAACTTGTTCAAAATCTCAGGGTTGCGTGCCAACTCATAGAATGTGAATGACAACAAACCAGCAGTGGTGTCTCTGGCAGCCAATAAAATGTTCAAGCATTGATCTCTCAATACCTTGGGATCTCTGGTTTGCTTGGCCAATTCGTACAAAAAGACATAACCATGCTTAGAGTACTTATCGATATCCTCTTCGCTTGAGTTCAAAGCTAATTGAACATAATGGTCTGTGAATGCATGTACAACCAGATTGCTCCTTCTGAACTTGAAGCTGTCACGGAGGAAATAGAGCCCCTGGGTAACAACACGGTTGAATAGCATGTTTTGAGAGTAGTTAAAAGAATCAGAGAAGTTCTGTCTGATCTTCTCAAATGAGCTATGGTCAATCACAGCATTAGGATCGGCACTTAAAGAATCACAGGACTCTCCAAAGAGAAATTCTGTTCCAGTATCAATAGTCAACTCAAAAAAAAGTGGTTGGAGGTCAAAACTAGACCCCTTAGCCCGTCTGATTCTTTTAGCTAATGCCTGAATATGAGGCTCTAATGAAGCAACATGGCCAACTTGGTCTCTAGCAAACTGTGGTCTCAACATGGCTCTGGAGTGTTTCCATCCATTTCCATCCAAGGTGAAAATACCGTCTCCTAAGGTCACTTTGATGGCATTATAACGTGTGCTTCCTAAAGCAAAATCATTGAACTGAGTAGCCAAAAGTGCTTTGATGTTTTCTGGATCTTTCGTGGTGATTCCAGTAGTACCAGCCATGTAACTTCTGAAAGTTTTCCCTTTAACTGTCGAATATTTTGACTGAAAATACTCCGGAGTGGTTCCAGCTTGCTGTTGTTTTATGAGCTCTGCAACATTCTTGAATCCCAAAATGTAATCACCAGTACGAGGCGGCAATGATGCTCCAGACCTTCTATAGATAATGTATTGCTTAAGGTGATTAAGTGCGACATATGCAACGAACAAAAATGCAATGACTCCGTACCATGCCCTTCCCTTCGTGTGCTCTTCAATAGCATATATCAAGTGGTCAAGTTTTGTCATTATATCCCAGGATGAAATGGGAAGAACTTGACAAGGCAGTCGTCGCTATTTATATGGGAGGGGAATTTGCCATTTGGATGGATAACGATATATTGTCCTGCAGAAAACTCCAGCAACTTAATAGTGGTTGCAGCCTCTCACCTTTCACCTATTATGCAAGGGAACATGCGCAGAAAATCCCCCTTGACACCGTTGCAATGGTGAATCGCTGTATGCTAGCAGCTAATTCTAGGGTTTGAACTTCCACTGTTCTTCTTTTGAAGCTTCCCACCACCAATGTAGATGGTGCTGGCCTAGTTGGACGAGATGTCATTTCTGGAAATCGGCGCTGCTCCGCAGTTTGCATCGGACTTGTATTTACATTAGCCCGTCGCGAAGAAGCGGAATATTCGACATTCCCGACTTCAATCTTGTGAACTCGATATGGAGTATCTCCGCATCCGATAGGAACTGTTTTCGATGCTATCAAGTGTGTGATGTAGGAGGTACATTGTTTGGTCATTAGATTCACAGATTGGTTGATTTTTATTGACCTGATTCGTCTTCTTTTTTTTCAGAGTGTTCGTCACTTGATTTGAAACGATGGACGGAGATATTAATTTCCGGCAATTCGGGATGTTTCCCTGTCAGAACTTCCGTTAAAGCCGTTGTATGAAATAGGAATCTACTAAAAATGTATAGAAGCAGCAACTCAAAGTTAAAAGTTATTCAAGGTATGAGCCGGAAAATGTAATTACTCATCTACTTCATATCGCTCTGTCTACGTTTTGGATCATCTTGCCATGAATCACTTGTACCAAAATCATTTGAATCATATACATCTTAGTTGAATGCAACATTGCACCCGTTGGCGAGCGACATTGTCAAATGCGTCAGTTTGGCTGGTGGATAGTCCATGTCAAATGCCACAAGATTCTTGAATGTCTGCAAAAGTCTAACTGTAACATATGAAGCCTCCGTTAATGCAAATTGTTGGCCCAAACAGATTCGTGGTCCTCCATTGAATGGAACGTAAGCCCATCCATACTTTTTGGCCTCTGGCTCGCCCCATCTCTCCGGTCTGTATACTTCAGAGTCCTCACCGTAGAACTCTGGCTCCCTGTGCATGGCAAATGTGCTGTAGGCAACAGAAGTACCCTTTGGAACGAAAATTGAGGAGTTTCCATCAGGTCCACCTCCACGTGGAAGTGTAGTGTTCTTCTGTGCAACTCGGAAGTTGGTAGGAACTGATGGGTACATGCGAAGAGCTTCATTGAGAACCCATTTGAGATACTCGCATTTCTTGAGCGATTCGAAGGTGACAAGAGACAAGTCCTCTCCATCTCCAAACGCTTCATAGATTTCTTGACGCAACTTGTTTAAAATCTCAGGGTTACGTGCCAACTCATAGAATGTGAATGACAACAAACCAGCAGTGGTGTCTCTGGCAGCCAATAAAATGTTCAAACACTGATCTCTCAACAATTTGGGATCTCTGGTCTGGCCAAGCAACTCATACAAGAACACATATCCTTCACCGGAGATCTTCTCCACTTCTTTATCGGTAGTATGCAAAGCCTTTTGCACATAATAGTCGGCAAATGCATGGATAACTTCATTGCTTCTCTTAAATTTACTACCTCCTGCAATGAAGTATAGTGACTGTAATGCAGCACGACGGAAAAGCATATCTTGGGCATAGTTGAAAGAGGTTGGAAATTCTTGCTTGAGCTTTTCGAAAGAGCTTAGGTCACCCACAGCTTTCTCGTTTGCACGTAACGACTCACAAGATTCACCAAAGAGGAACTCTGTTCCCGCATCAATGGTCAACTGGAAGAAGAGCTTTTGGAGGTCTAGTGACTGTCCATGAGCCTCCTTGACTCTCGAAATGAGTGCTTGCACGTGTGGCTCTAACATGGTAACGTGGCCGACTTGCTCTCTGGCAAATTGAGGTCTCAACATGGCTCTAGAGTGCTTCCATCCATCACCGTCTAAAGTAAATATGCCTGCGCCCAAGGTAATGTTCATTGCATCATAACGGGTACCCAAAGCGAAGTCGTTGAACTGTGTGGCTAATATTGCCTTGATATTCTCAGGGTCTTTGGTCATAATGGTGCCCTTTCCAGCCATTCTGGCTCTGAAAGTCTTCACAGGTGCTCCATTCAAAAACCCTTCCTGGAAGAACTCCGTCAGGCGGTTTTCACTCTGACTCTTGACCGTATCGTAAAGAATTTTGAATCCGAAGACCCAGTCTCCTTTGAAAGGAGCCCATACGACACCTGATTTCTTGTAAATGATATACTGCTTAATTTGGATGAGTGCAACATAAACACCTAATAGAATCCCAAATATAACTAACCACGATTTCTCCTTGGTATGGTCATCGACAGCGACCTTCAAATCGTTAATCAGTGTCATGCTGTGTAGTAGCAAAATTGTTTCAACCAATAAAGTGAAAAGGAATTACCTTAATGGCAGATGAGAGCTTTATATACCTATTGGGCTAGTCGATTGCATATGAGATTGTGCAAGCAACCCTACTTAAATCTGACATTGAATTTACTCGTTGAATCACTGAACGCACACTAGCGGGGTTGTTGGTCGGTTAACCGAAATTCAGGTTCTCAGTCCTTCCGGAGATAAAATCAAAGATACTACTTCTCAGGCGGAACCTGTAGTATCATGATCACTTTTCGTTCTTTCTGGGATCCATTTCATGTGACATGTTTCGGACTTTCTGTTGGGGAAGGTGACAATCCTGTATCTTGTGTAAATTACTCCCGATCTTTGCATTTTTCTTGTATGTAAGGCTATTATCTGCGGTTTGTGCGTCATTATTCCCCCCATCTTCGCACAAGTCACCGAAAACCCAATTCCCTGGAGTTAACGGAATATCTCCGTCGAAGTACTATAGAGATTCGAAGTTTAACTGAATAAGAGTATATAAAGAGAAGCAATTGGCAATTTAATGGAGATGAGTCCCCTTCACAAATAAGAAAGAATATGCAATTTGGCAATTGAGTTGTGGTACAAAGAGTGGTACAACTTTGAAGAAATCCTGATGGTTGCAATAGCACTACATCAGGAACTTTTATCTACTTACATAAGATTTATGATAAAGCTCCAAGAAAAGCAATATGGAGAAGTATGACACTCCAACAGAGTTGTATGTCCAACAATCAAGTGTAGCTAACGGTGCTTGCGTTAAATCATATTGAGAGAAACGAACGAAGTATATATCCTAAATTCTCTCTGTTATATCATAATTCATAATCCTAATAGAATACAACATTGCACCCGTTGGCAAGCGACATTGTCAAATGCGTTAGTTTGGCTGGTGGATAGTCCATGTCAAATGCCACAAGATTCTTGAATGTCTGCAAAAGTCTAACTGTAACATATGAAGCCTCCGTTAATGCAAATTGTTGGCCCAAACAGATTCGTGGTCCTCCATTGAATGGAACGTAAGCCCATCCATACTTTTTGGCCTCTGGCTCGCCCCATCTCTCCGGTCTGTATACTTCAGCGTCTTCGCCGTAATATTCTGGATCTCTTTGCATCGCATACGGGCAATATGTCACTGAAGCACCCTTGTGAATGAATATTGGAGACATTCCGTCAGATCCACCTCCATGTGGAAGAGTTGTGTTCTTCTGTGCAACTCGGAAGTTGGTAGGAACTGATGGGTACATGCGAAGAGCTTCATTGAGAACCCACTTGAGATACTCGCATTTCTTGAGCGATTCAAAAGTTATAAGAGACAAGTCCTCACCGTCTCCAAACGCTTCATAGATTTCTTGACGCAACTTGTTCAAAATCTCAGGGTTGCGTGCCAACTCATAGAATGTGAATGACAACAAACCAGCAGTGGTGTCTCTGGCAGCCAATAAAATGTTCAAGCATTGGTCTCTCAACAATTTAGGGTCCCTAGTCTGCTTGACTAACTCGTACAAGAACACATAGCTTTCGCTGTGGATTTTCTCAATATCTTCATTGCTAGTAGCCAAAGCCTTGTGCACATAATGATCGGTAAAATCATGAACAATCTTATTGCAGACTCTGAATTTGCGGCTATCAGCAAGAAAGAATAACTTTTGCAAGGAAACACGGTGAGCAAGCATGGTTTGAGAGTAGTTGAAAGAATCGGCGAAATCCTGCTTGAGTTTTTCAAACGAGTCGTAGCCATTGATGGCGTGCTTGCTTCGTAAAGATTCACAAGATTCTCCGAAGAGGAATTCGGTGCCGGCATCGATGGTCAATTCGAAGAAGAGTTTCTGAAGGTCAAATTGCTGACCATGAGCCTCTCTGACTCTCATAAAAAGCGCTTGAACATGTGGTTCCAACATGGTAACATGACCAACCTGTTCTCTGGCAAATTGAGGTCTCAACATGGCTCTGGAATGTCTCCAACCATTTCCATCCAACGTGAATATACCATCTCCCAAAGTGACATTCATTGCATCGTGGCGGGTACCCAAGGCGAAGTCATTGAACTGTGTGGCCAAAAGTGCCTTAACATTTTCAGGATCCTTGGTGGTGAATATGGAACTTCCAGCAACATATCCATTGAAGGTCTTAAGTGGGGTACCCTCTTGGAAGATATCTTGGAGATATTCGACAAGACGATTCTCCTTCCGACTTTTGATGATATCTGCCAAATTTTTGAATCCGAGTACTGAGTCTCCTCTATAGGGAGCTCTGGTGGCTCCGGATCTTCTGAAAATAATATAGTTCTTGAGGTAGTTGAGCACCACATACCCCACAACTAAAAATGCGGCGATGTGGAGCCACGATTGTTGTCCGATCTTGTCATTGAGAGTCCCAATAAAGCCTTGAATCATGGCCAAATTCTTGTTTGAAATAAAATAAAGAAGAGAAAAAAAAACTAGAATGTGGTGCCTCTTTATATGTCGTGAGGGGAGTGGTTATGGTGGCCGTGAGTTACCCCAAAGTCATTTCGCAGCCAAAATATAAATCCAGTAAGGACATGGAAGGTCGGTTATTTCAAAGTTGATTGCACGACATTGTTTTTGATATTATTTAAGGCTCCATAAAATCAGAAACAGATCTGCTGGTACTCGATCATTTCAATTGAACAATTTCCTACTTTGGTCAAGTACCGGACTTGGTCATGTAGGGGTTTCTCCTGTCTGCATTATCTGGCAGTACCTGCGCATAATGTTCAACGGACAATATCTAGGTGTGATATTACCATTCACTCAAACTCTACTGGATCATTTGTTGAAGTTGGTGGTCCTACAGAATAGGTACCTCGGGTGTTGTCTCGAATTATTAGTTAAATTTTCACCTTTCCATTTTACTGAATGTGATAAAATTTGCTTTCGGTAAGGTCAACAAATCGGTGTAGATGGAGTGTTCAATTACCCCCACTACTTATATCCGGGCACACGTTATTTCCGGAGAATATTTCAATTCCAGAATTGGAGCCCCGATCCAGGGCATATGGTAGTATGTTGAAAACCGTAACACTTACCAGTGTATTCATTCGTTGTTCAATTCATCCTACAATCGCAAAGTCTCTCGATATGTTTATGATTAAATATAGTATATGCCATTTCACGTTTAAGCCTGTGGGCCAGCAGCGACAACCTCAGCAGTAGCCTGGTCGGCGTACTTAGTGAAGTTCTCAGCAAACTTGCCAGCAAGGAACTTGATCTCGGAGTTGAAAGAGTCGGTACCCTCGCTCCAGGCCTTGGTTGGGTTCAAGATCTCGTCTGGAACACCTGGACAGCTCTTTGGAATGTTCAAGTTGAAAGTTGGGAACACCTCGTAGTCAACATTAGCCAACTCACCGCTGTGAATAGCATCCAAGATGGCTCTGGTGTACTTCAAGGAACATCTCTTGCCACCTCTGGCAGCAGAAGCACCAACCCAACCGGTGTTCAACAACCAAGCGTTAGCACTGTGTTCGCTGATCTTGTCAGACAACTGCTGAGCGTACTTCATTGGGTGCAACACCAAGAATGGCTGACCGAAACAAGCAGAGAAGGTAGCCTGTGGCTCGGTGACACCTTCCTCAGTACCAGCCATCTTGGAAGTGTAACCGGAAATAAAGTGGTACATAACCTGGGCGTTGGTCAACTTGGAAACTGGTGGCAAGACACCGGAAGCGTCACAGGTCAACAACACAATGTTAGTTGGGTGGACATCAGCCAAACATGGGATCTTAGCAGATGGAATGAAGTCAATTGGGTATGCACATCTGGTGTTCTCAGTAACATTAGAGGCATCGTAGTTGACAACCTTGGTGATAGGGTCGTAGACAACGTTCTCCAAGATAGCACCGAACTTGATGGAGTTGAAAATTTCTGGCTCCTTCTCGGCACTCAAGTCCAAACACTTGGCGTAACAACCACCCTCGATGTTGAACACACCGTTGTCGGACCAACAGTGCTCATCATCACCGATCAACTTTCTCTTAGGATCAGCAGACAAGGTGGTCTTACCAGTACCAGACAAACCGAAGAACAAGGTGACGTCACCGTCCTCCTCACCTTGGTTACAGGAAGAGTGCAAGGTCAAGACCTTGTACTTGATTGGCATGATGTAGAACATCACAGTGAAGATACCCTTCTTCATCTCACCAGCGTACTCAGTACCCAAGATGACCATCTCCATAGCCTTGAAGTTGATCTCAACGGAGGTAGCAGATGTCATACCCTTGGTGTGGATGTTGGCTGGGAACTGACCAGCGTTGTAAATGGTGAAGTCTGGCTCACCGAAGTTAGCAAGCTCCTCCTCGGTTGGTCTGATCAACATGTTGGTCATGAACAAAGCGTGGTAAGCTCTGGCACACACAACTCTGACCTTAAGTCTGTATCTTGGGTCCCAACCGGCAAAGGCATCGACAATGAACAACTTCTCTCTGGTTCTCAAGTAGTCCAAAGCTCTGGATCTGGAGATCTTCCAGGTCAACTCATCGACCTGCTTGTTGACAGGACCCCACCAAATGTTCTCAGTGGAGGTCTCCTCATCGACAATTCTCTTATCCTTTGGAGATCTACCGGTCTTCTTACCGGAGTAAGCCATCAAGGCACCGGTGGAGGAGATGACGGTTCCCTTCTCCAACAAACCATCTTCGTACAAAGTTGGTGGAGGAGCGTTGTGTCTAATAGTGACGTCCTCATTGAGGGACAACTGCTGCACCAATGGGTCCTGGGTGGACTTGATGTTTGGGTGGTTGAAGTTCAACGACGTTTCGACTGCGGTAGGTGGAGCCATTTTGGTAGTTTTAGTCTGATGAGGAATTATAGAAATCAGTGGAAATGTCTGCCTTTTATAATTTGTACCATGCCCCGGGAACTCGGATGAACACTACTAGACACCCCGGAGCAATGGAAAACCTGGGGAAGCATGCGGGAAAAAGCCTTGCACGGAACAAAACGGAGCAGCTTTAGTGTGTCGGGTGTCTTCGGGACGTGGCCAAAACATCCCGGGGAAAAGGAAGATACTGCATATGTGTGGGAAACCAGCAGCACAGATAACGCAGTACACGGAAGTGCCCGGGTATTACCATCTACATGCCCCTAATTATCCGAACTCAACCTTCTGAGATTGATGGATACCGATATAATGAGATCTTTTAGGGTTTGCACCTAAAAAATCCGCAAAAGTTGTCCCAATTTCCCCTGTTTTTGTGGCCAATGACCTCTCCGCAAATGGAAGATTTTCACCTCACTGCATTATGTGGAGTGCCGCGAACTCCACTTTGTAGTGTTTATTGACAGGGTTCCGAGTACTTGCAGCCATGGAAAAAGAGTACAATTTTCACTGCCTCTTCCATCTCGGTCCGAAGATGTTGATTATGCATCGTAATCGCCGGAAGTAATGGTCCCACTGCATCGCTTGTAGCATTTTGACGTTCCTCGGTCGACGGGAAGTTTGCGGGAGTGAAAAGTCTGGGGTAACTAGTGCACCGTGCAGGATGGGTGATCAAAATGTGTTGCGTACCACTGGCTGAGAGTGGAAAAGTGCACTGAGAAGTTTTGGAGTGTAAACCCGGGGGAATGCGGGGCAATGGGAAATTTTCACCATTTTCCGAGTTTGAAAGAATGTTTCGAGCATTGAAACATGTCACGTCAAGTTGGAGACATCAAAGAGAGGTTCAGCAATTGCTGGGCCTTTTCACTTGGTTGTATCTGATCTTGCCTGGCTTTTCCGCCATTAATCCGAGCCTTTCTTCTCAATTAGCTTACCATTCCTGTCCAGTGTGACAAATTCGAATTTTCTCTCCGAGAGTTCCCTAATAAACTAACATGCAACTGTCTAACTCTTTCCTGTTCAATTGTCTTTCTTCTACCTGCAATCTGCCATTACTCTCCTATCATCATAGAAACATCGCTGACTCTATCGTAATAATCATGATACACCAGGTATGGCTCAAATCCCATATCCTTAACCCCAGAAAGTAACTTGTCGTCTATCACGTCAACCATCACGCACTGCTCCATGCGCTCTGAAGACAGGTCAGAGTGGTTGGATCGCAAGTAGGTGATCCCTGAGCAAATCAAGCCGAACTTGAAAATTTCTGTCAAGTTCAGGTATGACGGGTCTATCACAGGACCAACAATGCCTCCGGTTAGATGTCCTTTCTTGCCGTTTCCAAGTTCTTCCATAAACGGATAGAAACGTGCTAGTGAACTTTTGTTGGTGAAGAGCACTATACTTCCAATCACACTCTGATTCGTAGGCTCGAGTGCAATGATAATTTTTACCTCGTAAGGGGAACCTCCAGTCATACAATTGATGGCTTCCTGATATAAGTAACGTGTGTGACGGTTCCGGTCGGTTTGTTCCTCTGTGTTTAGTGGTGGAGGATCTCCGTTGGAACCTGCTCCGCTCTCTGGAGTGACATTGCTAGTCGCTCTCTCAATAAGTGCCTGGAGCTTGTCTGGTTGCATGCAAATATCAAACCGGACACCCACAATCGTCAATTCCCTGAATATTTTCTGTGGTACTGTCCACGCTGAAAGCTCCTTCAAAATCACAACATTAGCTTGTTTCAGTCGAGAAGAAGCACTCAAATCCCAACCAGAGTTATTGAAGAAGATCACTGCTCTTGGGTCTGCCAAAACATGTGATTTCTCAGAAAACTCGAGCAAAGGGAACAGACTACCCAAATAGATCGACGTACACCCTGCTTCTTTGAAAAGGTATCGTACTGCTCGAGCATGAAGATTCTTCCCCACCAGTTGAAGTCTCTTGGCCTTGTCCACCAAAATATAAGCGATTCGGCCGATCTTCTCATTCTCAGTACCACTGGACGCAACCGCTTCCTCAACCCATGTCAAAACCACTCCATAAAGTATGTTGAGTGACGAATTACGGATAACAAAGTGCTTCTGCGCAGACGTGTTCAGGTGTAGAAGCAGAACTAGTAATCTGAAGTATCCGTCCGAATGTGGGGCTATCAGATTGGTTTTAAAAAGCTTGATTAAGCCTCTCCAATCGCGGTTGAGGTCAAACTCATCCACCAACCACCGACGTTTCGGTGGATGTGCTCTGCGGATTTTGATGAATTGGCGATCTGGACTGGTTACACTCAGTGAGCGTCTCTTTTTCGATTTTGCAACTAAAAATTTTTTTTCTCCAGGAATGCACCCATTGGCAGTATGTGCACCCATGAGTACTCCTGCCAACTCGGTAAGGGCATTCTTTGTGTAATCGAAACAGCACAAGTAAGCAGAGCCAATGCTCTTATTATAAAAAAAGTCATATGGCGACAGGGTAGCCACAATGACCAAAGGCTTGGCTAGCAGAACCTGATCCTTTGACTTTGAAAACGACTGTGGTGTGGCTCCACATAGAATAGACACATACTTGACTATTCCAATCTGATACATGTTCCTCAGAGCCTCAGATGTTGCGATGATCACTGCAGCAGAATTCTCAATTAACAGCTCGTGCAATGCAGTTAGCCCATTTGCCGTATATGTTGTATGAAGAACATTGAACTTCTTAGACTTATCCGTCTGGTACAGTGCTAGTAGTTCACCAAATCCCTGGAACACTTCCTCACCAGTATACAAAACCTTCTTATCTTTGACAGTATCTCCGTGTCTCGGATAAACTGGATTAAGTAGAGGTGTGAGAAGAAGAATATTCTGGTTGGGTTCTTCGCCAACGAATTGCGTGAGTGGAAGCACACCCTCATAGTCCCTAACGAGAGTTATGGAGCTCCTATATGCGATTTCTGAGAGATTTTGGTGTTGGGCCCACAAGTCTGGATATTCATCCTTGAACAAGCGAACCCCTCTTTCCTCGCCATTTGGAAAGATTTCATCCCACGAAGGCAATCTGCGCTTTACAGCCTCGAGACGCTTCAAAGACGCATTGATGATATCCTCATCGAGCATTCCATTCGCCAATGCTTTCGCTATGGATTCTATGGCCTCGGCTTGGAGCTTGAAGTCGTGGCATACCATCACTAAGTCGCATCCAGCATAAATAGCCAATACCACACCTTGCCCAAGACCAATCAGGTGGTAAAGTGCGTCCATCTCCAAGCACTCGCTGATGACAAAGCCTTGGAAGCCCAAATCTTTTCGAAGCAATTGCGTCAACAATACAGGCAGTAAACATGCGTGGGTTTCATCTGGAGAAATGGTAGGCACTCCACATCCTGCTGCAGATATGCCATCTAAGAGATTTTCTTTAATAAGTTCAGCAAATGGAACCAGGTTCAAGCGTCTGATTTCGTCGAGTGAATCGGTCATCATAGGCAACTCAAGGAGGGAATCCACACTGGCATTTCCCATCCCGGGGAAATGCTTTCCCACAGTAATAAGACCACCATCTCGTAATCCCCGAGCACACTCTTTGCCGTATTTGATGACTTCATCGACGGTGGTCCCGAAAGCCCGAACAGAAACTAACTGGTGGGATAATTTGGTAATCACATCAAGCACCGGGCCCAATATGATCGAAAAGCCTATCTGCTTCAATTGGATGGCAATAGCCTTCAGCACCTCGTAAACAAGTTCGGTGTCCCCGGTGGCAGCAAGTGCCATGGCACCCGGAAATTGTGTGAGGTTCTCTGGATCGAATAGCGAGTTCAACATGCCACCTTCTTCGTCAATAGCAAAAGCAAGGGGATATTTGTAGTTCGCATGCTTGAATGCGATGTATTGGAGATCATGGATGAGCTGAGACATCTGCTGGACCGAATGGGCGTTTTTTCTCGATAAAATCATTGTTGAAATCTTATATTTGACTATCAATTCGTATGCCTGTCGAGTGACGGTAGTACCCTGAAAGCCTCCACATACTAGCTGGCCTAGAGAGTCTTCAATCATTTGGTAGTGTTGGCAATTTATGTGATAGGATGTGGTTTGATAAATGCTGGCTCTCGGCGAAATCGGGTATGTATGGTTATGAAGCTAAGTTTAGAAAAGATCAATTTGGAGATAGTGTAGGATGTTGATGCAGGTTGGGGTACTGGGCAAAGTCTGGTGTTAAATGTAAGATGGATACATTGATTAATAAAGAGAAAAAATCCAGAAATATTATAGATCGATGAGTTGGTGAGTTATCAATTTACGTTGGGGATGGTGGTGGAATCGAATTTCGGTGACTGTGTGATGAAAGACCTGAAGATGGACTGAATCAATCGAACCAGAGACTTTGAAGTAAGAGGGAATTTTTAATAGAGTGGATGATAAGTATATCTGACAATTGAAGTGAAAGTGGAATAGAGTAGATGATATCATTTGTGACCTCCTCTATCGTTTGTGGCCTTATACTTTCTCATTTCTCCCAATCTCAATACTTCCATCCATTTGACACTTAAGGACTTGCGATTTACTGTTTGACATAGCTAATGGTCATTCCCGGAGTTTCTTTCTGATCTGTAATCAAATTCAATTACTGTTTCTTTGTTCTCTCTATACTGTGGCGTTTTCACATTCGTCGTACCAGTGAACCACTCGTCGTGCTAATCAATCCCATTAAACCACTCTATTCTACACAAGTAAAAACCATCTTGAAACTTTCCAGAGAGTTTCTTTTCTGCCATTCTTCATCATAAATCTAATTAATGTTGATTTCAAACATCATCTGTTTCTTTCCTCTACAAGTGCACCACCTCTTGTTCTCATTTTTCAATAATATCTCCCATCACTAACAAAATAAAGAAACCTTCAAATCTCCTCTAAAAATCAGACAACAATCTAAAACGAATGAAAATGATCCGACAATATTCTCCTCCTCTAATTCATCTATAACTTTTGTTTCCGCATCCAAAAACGTCTCTTATCTTGATTTCCACCTTGTCTCATCATATCAACTTCTGCGACTCTATATAAATACATCACCTACTTCTACTCGAAAGTACACCGCGTGTGAACACTGGCAAAAAAAGCATGGAATGGGAATTGCCGACCTCTGGCCCATCTTAAGCTCTGAGAGCGATGAAAGGCTCGCTTTTCCGGTATTCTTAACCCGTTTTATCCAAAAATATGGCAGGTTTCCAAGACTTGCTATAGACGCCTATATGTTCATGTTTTGGTCCCAACTTCCAGGAGCGGAGGACGATCCCAACATACACCGACGCATTATCCGCAATTTCATGGCAAAATTGTGGTATTTAGTTCAACACAATGTGCTGTTCGTCGTGGTATTCGATGGGAAATACAAACCAGGAAAGCTCCGAAACGGTCACATTCCAGACATCCCAGGGTCGACCTCCTATGATGAATTGCTTGTCTTTTTTAAGAAATTGGCTCCTTACACGTACTCGGAGGGTCTGTCCTTGGTAGAAATGCTCAAGAAGATTCTCCAGAGAAATTGTATGGACTACGTTCAGGCGCCAGCAGAAGCGGAAGCTGAATGTGCGTGGCTCCAAAGATTGGGTGTTGTGGACTTCGTAGTTTCTGATGATTCGGATACTCTAGTTTTCGGTGCTACCCAGATGCTTCGCTTGTTCAACAGATTGAAGTATAAGAATGAGAATGGAGAAGATGTGCTCAGCTCCTCGGATTACTATGTGAATCCCGTGTACATGGACCAGATTACAGATAGAACTGGGCTAGATAGAGATCGTTTGGTGTTGGTGGCTGTTCTACGTGGAGGCGACTACTCTACTGGGGCTCTGAATATAGGAATAACTAGAGCCAGTGAAATAGCACTTTGCGGGTCTAATATTCTTCAGCATTCCCCCAGAAAGGCACTCCAGGATTTTGGAGCCATGCCAGACTTCACCAGGATGTTCACCGAGACCTTTGTTCATATGGAGAGTAAGAACTGTATTCTGACAGACAGATACTTCTCTCTCAAGGCGGAACTTGACAGAAATGATTCCCTTGACTCGTTCAACAAGTACCTTGGTAGCTACTTGAAGGAAAGCGCAAAGGAAGTGTTTGGTAGAATGGCTACCATGAAGGGTAATCTTGCTGTCGATGACTACTACTCACTTCTATACCTATTTCCGTTGGTGAACCAGAAAATATTCAAGTTTACTCCCTACTCAGTGAGTTTCAGCGACCTCAATGCTGACTACGATGATCTTCCAAACGTAGATGTGGATTGCTTAGCTTTAAGGTATAATTTTGTTTGCTCTGCTACAGATATAGGTAAACTGACCGTTGTCGAAGGGACACAACAGTTTGTGGGTTACGGAAGAGGTAAAAATCTCGTAAGGGAGAAGTACCTGCTTCCAAGAGAACGCAAGTATAATCTTAAATCATTTGCTCTCAAACTTCTCTCTGAGGAGAAATTTCGGGAGATCATTCATCTTGCTAGAACAAAATTGCTAGACGGCGTCTCGTTAGCTGTGCTCAAGTTTCAAAGGCAGCAATTAAATGAAGCTGTGTATTTGAAAAAGTCTAAAGAGACAGCACCTGAGAGTGAAAGAGTGCAACAGGCAGATACAGAAGCAGATGCTGACGATCCAAATTCTCTGGTTATCGACAATGAAGAAGAAGAGGAAGATAAGTCTATCACCGTCGCGGTGCCGTTGGAAGCAGTGCGCCTCATAGCACCCAGTGTTGTTGAGGAATTTGAGAAACTCAAACTGATGAAAAGGTCGCCAAAAAAGAAACCATCCCCACAGAAAACGACTCTTGATTCAATGTGGAACTTACTGCCTACTAAAAGTAACCTGTCACCTACGAAGTTGGACTCGTCTGAAACCAAGTCATTATACTCTCCTAAAAAAATTGAATCGAGGAGTTCTTCGATGGCCGATACAAAATGCTCACCTGCTAAAGCAGAAGTGGGTTCAGCAGACTTCAGAAAGTTCGCCTCAATTCTGGACACGCAAGCCAAAGGATCTCCTCGCAGAAGATCAAACCGAACTGCTCTTCTACCCGGTCAATCAATAGTAACTTCATTTTTCAGGCCACACCAGGAGATTGATCCCTTCCAAGATGTCATTTTTGTCCCTTCTGATGAAGAGAATGACCCCAAGCCAGCAGACTACATGAACATGAAAAATGTTATCGCCAATGCTCCATTGCTTGGACAATCAAGGCTCAAAGCCCCAATTGAGTCTCGTTTGAATTCACCTGAATCGAGTCCCTCCAAAAGAATCCGAAAGGAATTCGCGCTTTCTCCGAATAACTCACCTGTCAAGCCGAAACGAGAGGATTCAAGTGGGTATCCGCCAATATAAACCCCACCATACACTGCACATAACATAACCTCATAAAGTTGGTTTTGATGACATCAACATTATGGCCTACAGACATGTCTTCTCCAAACTTCTCGAAACCCGAAAAAAGAATATTTGATGGCTCAGACTTAGTCTACTTTCAAAAGTCCCTTGCACTAAAGCGTCTCCATCTGGTGATCTCAGTGATTCTTGATAAGGTGAAAGGACAGAGCGTTCCGAAAGGTTGGCTATCGCCTGCCACCGTCACCAGATCCCGTACAAAAACCGTAGGTACGGAATTCGAAGCCGAAAAACAGCCCTGTGACTTAACTGGGCTTTCCTCGTCTGTCGGAAAGGTGATTGGTATTCTTGATAACTGTAACCTGTTGATCGATGAGACACCTCCATTTGAAGGGCCCAGAAGATACGGAAACTTGGCTTGCCGTGAATGGCACGTCAAGATCGAGGCTAATGCTGGCACTTGGCTTCAGGCTTTTTCGTCCAATCGGGGACTAAATGATGAACTCGGATATTACTTATTGAATTCGTTTGGCTCTGCTCTTAGGCTAGACTACGGTTCTGGTCATGAATTGTCGTATGTGGCTTTCATTGGTGGACTCATGGAGTGTGGTTTTCTTGAACGGGATGTACTGGGCTCTGATCTCCTCGCAATTTTCGCCAGATACTATGAGATAACGCGTAGACTCATTGTGGAATATAATCTTGAGCCGGCCGGATCTCACGGAGTATGGGGCCTTGATGATCACTTCCACTTCATCTACATATTGGGAGCAGCACAATTCAACCCTCCAGAAGATAAGAAGGAGACCCAGTATATTCCACCAGTCCAGCAAGTGTTGACCGCCCAAATTATTGATGGATATAAAGAAAGCAATCTCTACGTCAACGCGATCGCATTTATCTACAAAATTAAGCTGGGTCCATTCAATGAGCATTCTCCTATCATCTACGATATTCACCATTCGGTATCACTTTGGTCAAAGGTCCTTTCAGGTCTATTAAAAATGTATGAAGTGGAAGTATTCGGAAAAGTTCCTGTCGTGCAACACTTTTGGTTCGGCAATGGATTGTATCCATGGAAGGATGCCGAAACCAAGGCTGATTTGCCTGTTAAGCAGTTCGAGATAAATGATCAATACGATAAAAATGAGGAGGAGTCTGTTCCAGGCCTAATAAATGGATTCACTGGAACAAAAACCACGAGATCGAATATCACTTTGACCGCTGCACCATGGGCCAGAAGCGACGTTAGTCAGAGAGTTCCAGATATGCGCTCCAAGCAAGGCACACATACACAAAGAGGCTTTAAACGCAACTAAGCTCTTGAGGTCTTGAAATTGAATGCACAACGACACAATGGACAGGTACTGCTTCCAGAACTCTTGAACCATTTATAAAGACATGCCGCATGGAACTTATTCAGACATGTAGGACAAACCTTAGAAGGTAGAGAATGATCCTGGTGCAAAATGGAGTAACAAATTGCACATTCCTCAAATCCAGAGAAGTGGAGATTAACGTTCTTGTTGAAAAGCTCAACACAGTCGAAAATGGAACCATTTGTCAAGGAAATCACCCTCTGGGAAGCCAAGAGCCAAGCCTTCCATTGGTTCTCTTTCACTCCCAATCTCACAGGTCCCTCAACACTAACATTAGAAAGAGGGAAGGTTTCAGGGATCTTAACCACCATTTCCATAGTTTGTTCATCAATAACATACACGGATTTAATTTCGTTAATGACACGGTTAACCTTTATGGTGAGATTCTCATCTCGTTCAACCAATTTCTTCTTCTGGTTGTCGACTTCCTCCAACATTTTGGAAATGAGAATTGGCGAAACGTATCTCAATGAAAACTTTTCGACTTGGTTTTTCAATTGCAAATCACGGATCTCATTGAACCATTGCTGAACAAACGACCCCAAATACTGGAAAGAAAGATAATAAAGATGAACGAGTAAAAAGCGCATTTCGAAGCTGGTAGTTTCTCCAATGCATCCATCTTTCACCAGAATTTCTTGGATGAGACAGTTATCGGGTGTGGCCTTAGCCAGCTTTGCAAGCGGGGTAACCACCAACTTCTTGAGGAAGTTAGTGTCAGAAACATCGACAGAATTGAAAATAACGTGCAAAAGAGTGTCGATAGCTCCTTCAGCTTTGAGTTGGTTGATATACTCGGCTTTGATGGAGTATGTAGTGTCCTTAAAGTGGTCAAAAATGAGGACCCAACTCCATAAATACCTGGCAGCTGTCGAAAAATCTTCTTCCTCAAGCGCAGTCTCGAACTTGACACCATCATGTATGTTGCTAAGCAATAAAAGAGGCAAATTGATGCTTTGGACAAGATTGTCATCACTGTCACCCAACTTCGTTTTTTGCAACAGGTATTCGATAACAAAGTCTTGCTGAGACTCAACGATGTACTTGTTCAAGTATGATGTGGCAACTCTCTGCAAATTTAAGAATTTGGAAGTAGACAACAAGTCGTAGAATTTGTCCACCTTATGACCGACAAAGGATTTCGGTAATGTGGTCTTGATCAAGATTCTTTCAAGCAACTCGTTAGACAAGAGAACAGGCTGGTTGTTCAAGCGCATATTGTGGATCTCAATTTCCTTGTTGATCATCAAATCCACCAACTCTTCCACAATTGAAGCCTTGGATTCATTCCACAGAACGAAAACATCCTCATTGACATGCTTGCATAACACAATGAAGAGTTTCATGGAAAAATATTTGAGCTCTAAGTCTTGTGACTCCACTTGTGCCGTGCTGAGGTTGTTGAGACACAAGTCAACTGCCACTTCCCATGCTTTGTCTGGCAAGTTTGATGCAACTACAGGAACCAAGTACGAGAAAAACACAGCAAGCAAACATCTCATAGGAAGGAACTCATTATCATAGGCAATGTCAGACTCCAACCAGGAGTTAATGCTATTCATGAACATACCCCACTTGTGAATCGGTAAAACCTCGTAGCCAGACACACTTTCTGGATCGACTCTAACAAAGTTGGTAGCCAATGTAATCCACGTTGTTCCCGACTCCATAATCTGGTGCAGCTTGACTCCCAATACTTCACCGAAAACGTAATTGCGGATTCTGTCCAACTTCTTGGACACCCCAATGAACTTGACTGCAGAGCATAAGAAAATTGCCAATATTAATGGAGTGTTGACCAATCGAGTATATTGAATTTCAAGATTCTCAAACTCGCCTAATGACATCGACTCGAAGACCTTTGTGAAGAGCAAGACGAGCAATCTAGCATTGTAGAATTGGAATGGGGTATATGGTCCCTTGCCAGCAACATTAGCTTGCAACAATACATAAATCAGACCAGCCCCCTCGTCTAATGAGCCATTAATTAATGAAGTGATGATGTTGGTGGTTGGATGGTGCTCAGAAAAAGTGGATGTTAACTGATGCTCCAAATTCAAAATTGTGCTCTTCGATTTGTCAACATCAAGAACAAAGGAGTAATCCTGACAATACTGACCACAGAGTCCCAAGGAAATTAAAATTTCGGAACTCACATCAGCTGCGACTCCCTTATAATCGAGCAAAAACTTTCCAATAGATAAAACATTCTCATTAGCTTCACATTCAGAAGGTGAAGGAAATTCAACCAAGTGAATATTCTGTACTAAAGGGTTGGCAAGAGATACCATGGAAAGATCCATCGAGGCGAGAGAAGTCTGCAACTCCGTAGAAATCTCCAGACTTGGAAACAAGTCAGCATTTGAGTAAAGAAACTTGGAAAGTGCTTCAAAATCACTAGTGTGCGTGCTCCGGATTACGAACTTAAAGATCGACCCTGCAACCAAGTCTTTATCCTTAATTAAAGATAAAAACTGCTGGCTCAGTTTGGAGCTGATGTTCTTGAGGGATGTTGAAATGAGTGTCTCCAACTCGGAAGAGGGTTCCACTGGTAGCTGGCTGTCAGCAAGTTTCTCGATCAACCTCTTTTGAGACGTTTCGTCAGTGAGTGATGAACTAAGAACATTGGATACCATTTCCGAACTGTTTAAGTAAACAAAAACAATCTCATCCTCTTCTTTCGAGCGGTCGTTCTTCTTAGAAAGAGAAACGAGATACTGGTGAATTCCAGGGTTGGAAGTTTCGAGACTCTTAACATCAAGGGCATTATGACGGTTGAGAATGACAAAGAGATCTTTCAAGCGAGAAGGAGCATCTGTAGACAATTTCGTGAAGAAATCCTCAACCAATTCCGAAAGATTGAGTTCGGTCTTCTTACTTACCAACAACTCAAGCACCTGAAGAGGCAAATCAGTAAAATCGGGTGAAACGAAGCCCGGTAACGTAGGAGCAAAATCCAACAAGGCACAGGATGCTGGTACAATCTTAAGTGCAGCGACCAAAGCGGTAAAGGCATCAGTAACTTCGTCCGGCTCGTACAATTCTTGTAGGCGATCCAAGAGCTCACTCAACAAAGTATCTGAGAGATTCTCAGGAAGCAGAGAGACAAACTTTGCAAATGTAGAGAAGATATTGCCTATTGAGCAATTAAAAACATACGAATCAACAGTGAATGGTCTGATTCCAACCAGTTCAACAAAATTAGTCACATAAACCTCCTGACCTAGCTCTTGAGTTGAAGCAAATTTTGCAAGTTGATTAATGGACTCATCTTGAACTCTCTGCTCATTTGCACGAACAGTAACAGCAAATCCATCAAGTAGAACTACCAAGATCTGCTTGAGTAGTGGCTCGTAGGAAGACTGTTTGATGTCAAAGAGTTCTAGAACTGAACAGATGCAATCAGCGGCATTCTTTTTGTACAAAGCTGAGTTCAATCCACGAATCTGAGTAAACTTGGGGAGAAAGATCTTCTCAATAATTGATTTGGCGTCCTTAGAGCTTGAAAAGCTCAAAAAGGAGAAATCATCATCGCTAGCTATTCTTTGTGCCTTCAACCCAATGAAAAATGACTTCACTATAAGATAGTAAACTGGATCTGACAGACAGGATCCAAGCTTCAAATAATCACGAAGACGAGAGTAACTTTTGGAACCTCCAATTTGCCAAAAATTTTTCTTGATCTTCAAAGCTTTCTGGGTTGCTGCATCTAAGTTAGTGAACAGCGTGAGTACACTGAGGGTATCCCAAAATTGTAGAATAGTGCTCAGGTATATTATGGTGGAGTTTGGAGATTCAGGATGGGGGACCAGAAACTTGACACACTTAATGAACTTCTTAGACACAGCTTTATACAAGCTTCTAATATCACTTAAATGTTCCGTAAATGGTAAAAGGTTGTTGGAATCATCAAGTGCAAATACAGCCTTGAGTAATTGCATGTAAGACTTTGTCAATTGCACATTGATTGAAGAGCCACTTGTGCATGACAGCAACGCATCCCAGAAAGCCTCATGGGCTAAAATCTCATCGAAATCACTCATGGCTCTTTCAGAAAGGAAAAATTGGCCCTTGTTGGCCATGTTAATGAGTTTCACAAGCATCTGAATGGCTCCATTGACTGCTCGATCGTACTTAAGCAAAACATCGTCTTGAGTTTCGTACCTCTCGTCAGTAATGGACGAAGCAGTTTCGTTGACTATCACTGCACGGCAGTAGTTTGTGATTTGCTCGTGGAAGACTTCCCACAACTTGACATTCACTCTGTCTGAGTCGTTGTTGAAACTCTGCATCAACGTCGCATGTGTGCCATTCGCTATGGACTTGTCGTCATACAAGGACTGGAGCATCACTGGAATAGACGACTTTAAGTACTTGCTAAACTCTCTGCCACCCACTTTCTCCAATAATGTCGCCTGGATCTGGTGGGCAGTTTGTCTTACAGTTTTGGAGCTATCCAATGCAACTCGAGGGTACAACTGGAGCCACACCATGATGAAAGTGTCATCTCTGAAATCGATTTTGTCGTTCTGTACCAAATTCAACAAGTCTGCTAGCCTTTTCTCTCGTGTGACAGCATTTTTCTTCACCAAGTTTTTGAAGATGACAGTGAGGTTGGCATCGGTGATGCACTCGATGTCTATGCGGGCTAGATAGAACAAGGAGACGAGAAACCCATTATACCCAATATCTCCTGGTTCACCTGAATGTCCCGAGGTTCTGTTCATGGTGTAGTAAACAGGTGAAAATGTGGATCTTGATTTCCGACTTCTACGCAGTATAGTAGTAGTAGATTGAGCAAACATGGGTAGTACTAAAACGATAGATATGAACGCTTGAAAGGATTAAATGTAATGTAAACTCCTTAAGGAAGGTTCTTTTCTACAGATAAGGAGTATTTTTTTAACTTCTTGATAATCTGCAAGTGAATAACTATTTCATCTCTGACATTATTTTTCTCTATGCCAATCATAAATTTTACTACTTGCAACTATCATGATACTCGACTTAAATCTTCATCGTTAAGAAACTCAAAAAAGTTCGAAAAAAGATTATCCTGAGCAGTCAAGTCTCCCCCGAGCTCCATGATCTCGTCAAGCTCTCGCTGTGATAATTTGTTCTGGTAGGCATCTTCAGCAGTATCAAACACATGAGAAATGGAAGGCACGTTGAGCTCTGAGATACGCTTGGTAAGGAACATCAACGCCTTGGATGCCAACTTCCAGCTCGAACAAGCACGTGAAAGCGTCGCATAGAACACCATCAAGCCTCTCAAATCCTCCTCTGGTATTTCGTGCGTCCCCTCTGCCGAATACACCTTTGCAAGTATTACACTAATGCCTAGAATGGACGAGTAGACAACTAGACAAGATGGTGGGAAGCCAGAGTCGTTGAATTTGGAAAGAATGATCAGCAATTCGGAGATAGCGCTATTGCATATTTCAAGAGGGGTTGGTCCTTGTACTTCAACCTTGATGGTGAGAAAGGGCTTGTTCAAGCATAATAATATCACATAGTAGAATAGACGGTTGGCCATTACGGTTGGGTTGTACAATTGTTTTGCCAAAGTCTTCTTGTTCCACCTCATCGAGGACGGGATATGCGCACGCCAATCCACTAGTAGTTTGTTGTAGCGATCAAGTCTGCCTCCAGTTAAGTAAGCGAAACCGTCTTCCCCAGCATCACTGGAGAAAATATCAGAAAGCAACGAACCCACGCAGTCACAAAGTAAACAGAGTTGGCGCAACGTCGCTGAAGCATCGAGATTCTCCACACTTCCCTCATCTTTGCTTGGTCGGAATATATAATCTTCAATCTTATTAGAGTTGGGGAGATGTTCACTGGATGGAATTGATGCCTCCGACTTTCGAATAGTCACCGGTCGACCCATAACCAAGGACACAAAATGATCAAAAATGTAGCAGCCCCAATAGATCCTTGACCTCACCATGACGTCCATGTTAGCAATTATGGCATGTTGCGAGATAGTGGAATCTGTGGAAGCAATTGTCCAATCGCTTGGATTCAATTGGAATCCCAAGTCATATCCCATACGAATGGCCATTCCCGATAACATCCAACTGGCAGAAGCATTACCATCGCCGAGCTCATAGAGAGAGAGACAAAGGAGTGCTTGGAGTGTGTTTACATGCGGTTGACATATCTTTTTTGAGAAGATCTTGGTCTTAGCTGTCTCGAAAAAGGATTGCGAGAGCAGCCGTAGATTGTTATCCTCAGAACATTTGGCACCTAATGCAGCAATCGAGTAAACAAGTTCTTCGGAACAATAACTCAGCGTACTCAGAGGATTCAAGAAATCATTGAGGAAACTCTCACGATGGATGAACATCGCAATGTCTGGGTACTGCCACTTGAAGAAATTGCAGAGACACAACATCAAAGACGACAGGTTCATCAAGGCATTGTCAAAGAGCTCAGCAGTCATCGTGCTCGAGGACATATCCACCACGTTATAAAAGGCAGATGTAGGGCCAAAAATGGAGAAACTGCCTCCACTCGATGCTCCGATGGATACTGGCAACTTCCGAGCGCCCTTTTCTTGATCTTTCAGCTTCTGGCTAGCATGGAGGACTTCTTTGATCTTCATTAGACTCTTCTCGAAAGGTTCATTGTAGACTATATCGTTAATCTTGTCAAGTGTAGCCAGTAGAGTGGAAACGAGATTCTGTAGTCGTTCGATCTCCACAGTAGTGGGCCTAATACTTCTCCTATCCCTGACAGACCGTTCACACTTGATTCCCGCTTTCTGACAATTGCCACATACCTCATTTCCGTCACATTTTTTCTATAGCTGTTAGTCATGTTATCAAGTTGTTTGTGATGAGTGCGCTTACCTTCTTAACTCGACAGTGGATACATCTAGATGTTAGTTTGAACAGAATGAGAATTCGAATGGATCCACATACGATTGAGAGCAGTATTTCTTGCCTATCATCCGTGTATTGAAGTTATTATCTCACTATGGATGTCCTAGAGTGATTCTAAGGTCCGACATATTAACCACACAATGTGTAGGTGATAAGGACCTGATGGATATTATATATATCAGTAATTCGGCCATTTGGTCATTTAGAGAGATTTGTAAAAGTCCCGGACCTCCTGAGCAACATGAATTCGCCGATGGTCGAAATTAAGAACTTCTAAATGGTCCTTGGAGGTTGCACGCGAAAGTGCAACATAAACTTGACCTTTCTCGAAAATCTTGCGTAGATCAACACGAAGGCGGTCAATGGATTGGCCCTGTGCCTTATGAATAGACATAGCCCATGCTAGTAAAAGGGGAAGTTGAACTCGTGTGATCTGCTCAGGTGCGCTGCCTGGGATTGCCTTAGCTTTCAATTGGTCTACACTGAACTCCTCTCTGCGCACTAAGATAACTGTGAACTCTCCATCCGCAGCTTTGAAATTCACCACCGGCAACATGTCCGCTTTATTCATTTGGCGTGCATCCATGGTGAGCTTAGTAGCCTTGGATTGCCACTCAGCAGGTAAATTGTTAAATATGTCTCTCTGTTCGTCAGTGAATGTTCCCGACCCTGCTAGTCCTGAAATTAACTGTAGCAAGAGAATAAACTCCCGAGATGGGTTGACGAGTTCACGAACTCCAAACTGAGAACAAATGGTTCCCCATATATTCTCTGTGACAAAACCAATCACCGTGCCAATCGATCCGTTGACAACAATGTTATCTGGATGGTTTTTAAGATACATGACTTGAGAGCCTTCCTTCAACTCCAAAAGTTCCTCACACATCAAATTGTCGTAAATCTTCTTTAGGTAAGGATCCATGACATTGTCCTGCGCTTTATAAACGTAATTAGCACCCCTCAATGATCGTAATCTCATCTCATTAGCCCGCTTGACCTCCTGTCTTGTAGGAAACAACTCTGTAGGTTCGATTCCATCGCTATATGTGACTTTTCGACTCAACAGGTGGAACTTAGCTATCATGGCGGGGTCGAGATTACCGCTTCTTAACGAATTTAACATGTCAATCAACTCTGAGTCGCCTTTCTGACGGAAAACCTGCTTCAACGTAATTGTGCGAGTAATGGCTCTACTCCACGAGGGACTCTTAAAGCAATACTCGCTCTCATTAGTCTTAGAAACGGGAGGTAGCTGGAAGAAGTCTCCTGTGCACACGATTTGGATTCCTCCAAATGGTTGCTGGTTGTTTCTGATTATCTTGGCTGCCTCATCGATCTTGGTAAACAACTTTCCGTCGATCATCAGGATTTCATCAATAATGAGCACCCTCAACGACATCCAGCGCTTTTTGGCAGGCCCATTTCGCTTAATCTTGGTGGCCAAATCCTGGGGAGACCCCAAGCCTAGACCAATGCTGAGAAACTTGTGCACGGTCTGACCGTTGATGTTACATGCCGCCAAACCTGTGGAAGCCGTGACACCCACATTGAATTGACCATGTTTTCTCCTTAACTCCGTCACTAAGTATCGCAACACAACGGACTTACCTGTACCGGCAGAACCAGTGAAGAACACATTCTCTCCTCTGGTGACCACATAGTCAATAATGGCCCTCTGCTCATGACTGAGAGCAATCGAAGACGATGTCTGAGCCAATTGTACTGTTGGAGGAGGTGTGCGACTGGCTACTTTCTTCGGGTTTCGCTTAAGCTGCCCATTCAAGAAGTCTAAAAGATTAGACGAACCCGAACGTTTCAATGGCACTTTCTTGACCGGACTAGAATTCTGCTGAGCACTGAGAAGACCCAGACTAGGCTCAGTGTTTTCCTTCTCTTCCTCTGAATCGAGATCCACAAACAACGCCGCCTGTTGCTTGCGCCTCTCCTCAGGCAGACCCATGAGGTTGCTTGAGAAGCGAGAGAGAGTTGGATTGTGGAAATTGTTGACTTCTGGAGATCCGAACGACGTGTCGGAGCTTCCACGTTCGTCGAAAGCCGAACGAGATTGCGAGATCCGAGCAAGTTTACTTTCTTTGTGGGAAATCACAACCTTCTCTGGTGTTTTGGTATTTGATGTTGATCCTCCACCAAAGAAGCTAGCAATCAGACGTTGGTTGCGTTCTGGCTTCCTGGACTTGGCTCGCATGGTAGACTATAAATGTGTACAAAATATGTGGTGAGTAAATACGTCAACGAACTGGAAGCCACAAGTTTATGAATCCAGTGGTGAATGTTATTGTTATAAAGGTCTGTGTAGGTTGGCCCAACCTCCAGTAAACTTTTGTTACGCGGGGCGCGAATTTTGTTACGCGGCCCTGAAGATTGGCGCCAGAGCGCGCACGCAGTGATTTTTTTTATACCTGTAGTGCCTAGTCTAGGGCCTAGGGCAGGCCAGCATTTGGGGCCACCGCCGGTACATGAGGATAGTAATTTAAACGTAGCTAAGAGAAAATTTGAGTGAGGCTTTGAAGTGGGAGAGTTGACCCTATTTATATATTCGCATGTAAGCATAATGTATGCCAAGGCTGGTAATTAAAGAAAAATCAGGGGTCTTTACGTACACTTGAGAGTGATGAGTATATAAGTTTGACTAGCAGTGTGCGAAAATATGTCCGTTGGACTGCGAAATGGTAGGCAGGTTTCCAGGAAGAAGAACAGGCGCTGACCGGACGAACTAGGATATGAGATATAATTTTGTCTTCAGATGGAACTTAAGATGATTTTCAAGAGCTTAGTTGGATGTATAGGAAGGTAGTGAGGAGAGGAGTTCAATATCACCGGACCGCCCAATGGGATGAAAAAGGGTAATCCATCGAACTATTAAGACATCAATACAGAGAAGAATGAAGTTCTAAAAATCCACGAAATTTCTCGTCCAAATACAGAGAAAAGGCGACAAATCAGATATATCTTCACTTCAACTATTCCTGCGAAGAAAGAAGTCAATTTATGATTGCAAGTTATGGCACCCATTTATGAAGGTTGAAAAGGCAATGATACTCTGATACACTTGAACATCCCAATTTCGAAGAATTCCAAAGCATTGTTGATTTACAATTTATTATTTCGTTCACAAACTTTCTGGTTGATGCCCGACTACTTGCATTTTCAAGTTTCCCTTTAGTCCTAACCCTGTCCTGAACCGTATGGAATTCCAGATTCAATGGATAAACTCTTCCAGCAGACTGGAAGATCCACACCCAAATTTAAAGTTCTATTATCACTCAATTAGAGTCGACGAAGAGCCGGGAACTTAGCATCGCCAATTTTACTAAGGTTATTACCTTTCAAGTTAATATCCTTAAGAGATGTGGGAAATTTGAAGTCAGCAATTGAGTTAAGAGAACAGTTCAGGAGGTCCAATACCTCAATAGAGTCAGGTAGTATGATTCCAGCAAGACTTGGTAGCTTGCAATGGGTGAGAGACAATTCCTTAACTTCCAAAGGTAAACTTGATAGAAGTAAAGGATAATCCTCAACAGTGCACAGGTAAAAATGAATTTTTCGAAGTAGGTCGGGAAATGCGCCGTACGACTCGAAGAATGTATCTTTAAATGTTAGGATCTTGAGTTTCGGGGGAAATCTGGGCCAAGTTTCCATGTAACATGCCCCAAAGTGGAGCTCCTCGAGTTCCAATGGAAACCTCACATTGTACAATGAATCCAGAAGTTCGCTCACATCTAATGATTTTAACGTGCTGGGTAAGGAAGAAATAACCGAATAAAGCAGTACTCCAGATTTAGAATGTTTTGGCTGTTCCACGTCTTCGTCGATCACAACTTTTACACTCATCAAGTTGTCCACTGACACAGCACTCAAGTATACAGAAATGTTCACAACTGATGTCTGCAATTCAATTTCTTTTATCGATGAGACGAAAGCACGGTTCTGCTTGCAAAATTCTAAAAACATCTTGAAATTTTCCTTGTTTTCATAAGGGGAATATAGTAGATAGTCAACAGAGGCTGTGATAGATGCTCCAGCCAATTCCTCAAGTTCCTTCAATGTCACGAAGCGAACATTATCAAGATGTGAGGTTTTCCTTCCAAAGCTCACTCTTTGGTACAGCTCAGCAGTTGAATCAGGTTGTAACAAAACATGCTCTTGAAATGAAGTTACTTGTGCAGAGACATTGAATGTATGTGTCTCATTCTGTGAATCGTCCATGGTGGTCCAAGGCTGTAGGATATGACTTGAATCGGGAGATTTAGCGATCAACTTAATAAGAATGAGTCAATTGACACTAATAGCTAGTAAGCAAGGTAAATCTCAAGTGACTGTATCGTTATCCTCTGGAGAAAATTAATGTAGAGGAGATAACAGAAGCTGCGAAATAGGTGAATGCGATTTGGTCCAAGAATCAATATGATTATACATTGATACAAAATAAACAGCATTCTTAATAAAATCTCATATATCAAATAGTTAATACGGGCTGATAACCTTCCGTCGGAACCTGGCGTTAGCCAGTCATGCAAGCATCGTACTTTTTGTTCTAAGATCATTCTAGTTATTTGACAAATTCGTGAATATTCATTATTTCCCTTTAACCTCACACCCTATTTTCATTTACCCACTGGTGAATTTATATCATCCATCAACCTCTTGTCAATATGTTCACTAATATGCTCAAGAGTATCTGGAACGTCATGCATTTCCTCATTGATGATCTCACCATAATAGCCACTCAGCAATCTGAGTCTTTCCAATTGCAGCGGTAATACCCAAGCAAACAGAGAACCGAAGTTCCATATCGTCAAATGTCTAACCATACTTATAGTTCTGAACACTTTTTAGCCTAGGATATGTGTTTACTGGATATGTCAATTCCAAATTCTCCACATTAGCAGGAATGACTAAATCCTGGAATAAACTAGCATCTTGCGAAGAGATTGCAACGTTAGTGACTGAGTTAGGAATCAGAACAAATCCTCTAAACGGCTCAATATGGAATATTTGTAGGTTTGGAAGGTTCCACTCGAATTCTGTCGAGCACCCTCCGTATATTGAAAGCGCCTGCAATGAAGAAGGTAACATAAAATCACAATAGGACCCGTTAAATGATTCTGGTAATACGAGAATGAGTGTCTCCAACCCAAATGGAATTATTAAGCTCTTTGGATCTTCCAGTGTCTGAAGTTCAAGCACCCTTAATGTGTCAGGGAATGGTCCCTTGGACCAGGTCTGAACCTGCTGCTCCAAGACCTTGATTACCTCAAGATGTGGAGGAAACGATGCTCCATCAAAAGATGATATCTCATTATCATACAAATCAAGTGTTCTAAGCATACGAGGGAACACGACACCGTCGAGTGACGAGATGGAACAGGAGAGAATTTTCAAGACTTCAATAGAATCTGGCAATGCTGCACCAATTAACGTATAAAGAGGATTTTCCCTGAAATCTAATATCTTCAAATGCTGTGGCCATCTAATAGTGTTAAGTGACTGAATTCCACAATCCCAAAACGACAACTCATGAAGTTGATCAGGGAACACGCACATTTCAAATGTGAAGTAAGTCTCCTGGAACTTTAAGTATTGAAGACTTTCAGGATATGTTTGCCAGATATCACCGTATGACTCAAGGCACACAAGTCTCTCAAGTAATGGAGGAAGCTCAATTCCAATTGGATCTCCACATTCGTCAATTACCAACGATTTCAAAGACTTTGGAAGACATTCGATACCTGCGGGGTGCCTTCCTTGAAAGTTAAGATACAAATGCTCAAGATTTGGCATTGCTTGCGCCATGGTGAAAGTTGAAGCACCATACAACTCTAAATCGACAATGTTGTGAATATCAGCAACTGCTGCCAACTCATAAAATTGTGAAGCACGGCCGTGGAAAGATACTTCACTAATAGAGGACATGAATGTTGGAAACTCCTTGCAAAATGAGAGAAAAACATCAAAATCTAATTGCCCAAAGCAATCCTCATACATGAAATAAGTTATGTTAGCCCTCACTGCACCTCCAGCGATCCCGTAGAGCTCCTCAATAGTAGAGCAATATAATCCTTGTATGCTGAAAGGAAAAGTTCCAAAATATAATCTTTCATACTTGTCTATGCTTCTGCCTAATGCAAGCTGGTCACTTGTAAGAGGTACCGTGTTCATAGAAACCAGTCCACTTGGGACCACCGACAAAATCTGAGTGCCTGAACGTCTAGAATCTGTTAAGTTCATATTTATTAAAGAGGTTCTCTGGTGAATTGAAGGTTATTTTTATACTGGTTGTAATGAGTCAGAGTGGGGAAAGTTTGGGTGCGAAAAGTAATATTGGAAAACTAGTGATGACACTGGTTATGGGAAGATAAGTTCATGACTCATTCGTTATCAACTGTCTTAAGAATGATTTTGATAAGGTTTTAGTAAAGATAAAGTAAAGTTATAATAAAAGAAAAGGTGGAGAAAAAAGAAATCTCAAACATCACACCTCTTTTGAAGCATTCCACCTCCATCACACTAATACATTACGGAACCAGAGCACTTTGACTCAGCGAAAGAATTTACTCTTTTCTGGAGTTGATTTCTTCCATAATTTCCTGGTCAAATGGTCCCGAAATATATCGAAGAGTGGACGGAAGGATAACATCAGAAGGGATGCTCCCTCTGCTCGCGATACGGAGTTTCTTCAAAAACTTTGGGAGTATCAAATCACCGGTAGGTTCAAACCTCCAAATAAGCAATTCTGTAACGCTGTCTGGATACACTTTTGGTGGATAAGTCACCTGTAAAACATCGACCATTGGAGGAATCTTCAAACTTTCAAAGGATTTTCGATCTTGCGACCTGAGAGTGAGCTTTTGAACACAACTGGGAACAACAATGGGCCCAGTAAAGTTATCAACAAACATATTACGAAGAACAGGAAGATTCCATTCAAATTCTGTCGAAATACCGTTCTCCAAATGAAGATCAACCAAACTAGGTGGGAGTTTAAGATCACAGAAGTTTCCATTGCCAGCATTCTTAAATTTCAAGGTGAGGACTTCCAACCCGGGAGGGAATTTCAACGCCTTAGCGTCCTCAGAGGTGTCCAACTCCCAAGTTCTCAAGTTTTCAGGAACAGAAGTTTCCGCCCAGTCCGTAATAGGATGTCCCTTGGCTTGCAAGGTCTCGAGTGTGGATGGAAATTGGACACTTGCCAATGAATTAATTGTCTTTTTGCCCGAATCTCCCGTGATGTCGAGAATTTTTAAAGCTGGAAACTTGACATGGTCCAATGACGCAATTTCATTGTATGTCAAATGGAGCTCTGTAAGCATACGAGGGAAAGCCACACCATCAAGAGACGTGATTGAACACGACCTGAGATTGAGAAAGTCAAGAGAGTCAGGGAATTTAACACCTGCTATAGACTTGATTGGATTTCTTGCCAAATCCAATTTTTTCAAACCCATGGGCCACTTTGCTTGTAGAACATCAAGGTTCTCAATACTGCAGTCAAATAGAGCCAATTCACACAACAGATCAGGGAAACGACTAGAATTAAATGTTATTGCTTCACCTTGGTATTCCAATATGCGAAGGTTGGGTGGATATTGGTTCCAAGGCTCTTCAGAACCACATGCCCAGACAAGAAGCTCTTCGAGACCAGCAGGGAGCTCTACAAGCAGCGGACTGTTACATCTCTCTATAATTAATGTCTTTAAAGATTGTGGCCAGCCACGAAGGGGCGCAACCTGAGACTCATAGAAGTAGAGATGAATCTTCCTCAAGTAAGGAGGTGCAAGGTCCATGACGAACTGCTGGCCCTCACTCAAGATCAAAACCTTGACATTATCCGTTGAGAAGTTGGCAGCAAACTTCCGGAATTGCTCTACGGAGCCATTGAATTCGATCTCTTTCACATCTTTGAGAGATCTCGGATTCTGTTTACAGTAAAAGAGAAACGGATCGTCGTCAACTTCTGAAAAAACAGCATCATATTTTAACGAACGAATCACATCTGTGTTGCCTGATAGTGAGAGTTCCTGAAATTCCTCAATAGAAAGTTTATGGAATCCAAGAATAGAATAATCATAAGGTCCAACATACACTTTTGCATAGATATCTGAGTCTATGAGGTGACGTAATGGGTCATTTTTGGGCAATTGCTTAGAAATGTTTTTCAAATCTGCTTCGGGAACATGCAGAATGATTTCGGAAACAGTTTCTATGGGCATCTTATCCATTTTGTGATTTTGAGAGAATGGTTGGATGAAAAGAGTCTTGTTTGTCAAAGAGGAAGTGGATATTTGAGCCTTCAGGGCTCAGAACCGATTACGTAGGGTGTGCTAAATTAATAAAGGGGAAAAAAGGTTGGAATATTTAGAGATAGATGAAAGAAAAGTAGAAATGAAATAGTGGAGCGGCGGAAATAGCAGAAAAGTAGCTATAGAAGAATGAGTAGAAATAGAGAATGAGTATAAGCAATTATGGAATTGGAGCTGAGTTTGAGCGGAGAATGAGAAATTAATGTGTATCTTAGATAGTATAAAGTGCAGTTCGCCGTAGTGCCAGATGGTCCTGCAATGCGGCGAAATGTGAAAGGATTTAAAGTTCGTATCATCTTGGAGTAGAAGGAGTTCTAAGGAAGAAGTATGGCAGAAAATGGGCACAAAAGTATGACTCAATATTGTAGATCTTACCGCCAACGATGTATCCGTCATGCCAGATATATTTATGGATCGAAAATAATTTGCTCAACTAAAGTATTCTACCAATAAGATAAATGGGACACTGGGAGCAGAAATTATGAATTAAGAGGACAGCAAGACTAGAAACAGAACAAGATCCCTAGTAGACCAGACCATAAGGAGGTTTAGTTGCTACGAAACGGCCAGTGGAATTTCCAGAAGTGCGTCCAAGGGAGACAACGGTAAATGAAAATGAACACTACTTTAAGTCAAATTAACTGTGTGTGGATTCATCAGAAAAGAGGATAGGTTAATCAGATTACAAGTACAATTACCTAAAGAAGTGGAATTAGTAAGGAAAATTGTTTAAAGTCACCAATAAAAGCACGATTGCCAGTGTAGTCAAAGAAATTACAACTAGAATCATTGGTAGACCGACAAAAGTGGACCATAAATGCTACTGCCTCTAAATACCAATCAAGAGCTAATACAATCGTATATGGAGCTGCTAGTACATTCTCCTCATGGCACATAGAATTGAATTGTCATTGCCAACACCTCTAAATAGATGAGTTCAGTATAATAGGTAAGTTTCCTAACAGTTAACAGAAATAACAACACCAGTTATTTAGAAAAACTCAGATTTCAATTATGAGCTACTCTATATCAATCTGTCTCCTGCTTTTGCACATTATTCTGTAACTCAAACACCATAGAGTGATGGAAAACTCCAGAATCTAACTTCTTTCACCAAAAAATTCAAAAATTACTCAAAACCTCCACGGAAAATCACCATGGAAAGTTTCCATACTAAATCATGAAAAATACCACGTCTGTTCGCCTATCATCCTATACAGTCACGATAAAAATAGACAAAATCATGACCCTGAAAAACCGTGCAACACCACGTCAAAAATATGTAACCTACAAAAAAAAGAAATAAAAAAGACACGAGAAAATCATCGAAATATGAAAACTCCAACTAAAACAATAAAATCATTTAAAATTCAAAAAAATATTCCAATACATTTGTTCTTCCGACTCTCGTCACACGCAATTTAATACGCCTTCCTAACCTAGGAGAGTCGCGGAAAGCCCCGGTCCGCACACGACCAACCCTGCACACCCGCGATTTGCTGTTCTTTTACCTCGACATCCTAAACAACTGACTCGCCTCCTATCAATCAGCCTTAACCTCCGCTGATCGTTTAATATCGCCTACTACACTACATAATCATGGGTTTGTCTTTCTCCAAGTTGTTCGCCAACCTCTTTGGCAACAAGGAAATGAGAATCTTGATGGTCGGCTTGGATGCCGCCGGTAAAACCACCATCTTGTACAAGTTGAAGTTGGGTGAGATCGTCACCACCATTCCAACCATCGGTTTCAACGTCGAGACTGTCGAGTACAAGAACATCTCTTTCACCGTCTGGGATGTCGGTGGACAGGATAAGATCAGACCTTTGTGGAGATACTACTTCCAGAACACCCAGGGTATTATTTTCGTGGTTGACTCCAACGACAGAGACCGTATCGCCGAGGCCCGTGAGGAATTGCAGCAGATGCTTAACGAGGACGAGTTGAGAGACGCGTTGTTGCTTGTGTTTGCCAACAAGCAGGACTTGCCTAATGCCATGAACGCTGCAGAGATCACCGAGAAGTTGGGCTTGCATTCCATCAGACAGAGACCATGGTACATCCAGTCCACTTGTGCCACCACCGGAGACGGTTTGTACGAGGGTTTGGAGTGGTTGTCGACCAACTTGAAGAACTCCTCTTAGTTTTATTGTTTTGTAGCCGTTGGGTATAGAATGCATGACATATTCTACTGGTCAAGTTTGGTGTACATTAAGAATGTGGTCTACACAATAGTATGTTCATGTAATAATCTATGTAAGATATCTGGAGTTAGATTGTCCCCTAAGGAGTACGTTCATTGAAATGTATTCCGTTTATATGGTCCGAATTCCAACTTATTATTCAATAGTACGAGACCCTTTTGTACAACTAACTAGTCCAAAGTTTATCTACTGGCCCTTTTCGTATTAAAGTTACGCAGATTTAATTATCACTCAATATTCTAATTTGATTGGTTTGTCATTTAAATTGATGAGATTGTGAGTGATGAGGCTACAATGACTTGAATGGACAAGTCTAGGTGTCCAACATACAAAAACTCGGGACGGATCTCACTAGAATTGATTCTCATAGACAATTCAGAGAGTTAAATAGGATTGGTCGACCTAACAAATTTAGTTTTCTTCACGACAGTTGTCACTTAGGTGGCTCAGCTAATGTATCATGATAACTCTCTCGCTTAGATCCTATATAGGAACTCACTTGTTCTTCTACAGCAGTGCACTCAACCTCTAAACGCTCCAACGAAGTCAAAAAAACTGACCAACCCGATAGAAATATTCTGATTCAAAATTAACAAATAAGAGAAGTTTCGAATATAGGTCCCCTTTCAATTAACATCTATATTGTTCTGTAGCCCAACACCTGTACCTCCTCATCTTATTTCCAAGTTTGCATGATTGGCAATCTAAAAATCATCTAGGGCTTACGCCCTAAAGCACGTGAGACTTATATTAGCATACATAACTGTTAAGTCCCTCCCACAACACCCATACATCTCGCACTTCTCATCTGCCTTCCCTGTGCAGTCCCCACCACATCCTCCTCGCTGAAAATTTTGTTCGTTTTTCTTACCTAAAATTCTCTTCATCACACATACAAAATGGTATGTCCGACCCATGAATTTATGCCTATGAACCGAGATGTGATTCCACCGTCCTAAACTTTCAACTGTCCAATTTCCCCCGTCAATTTTCATCCATTATTGCTTTCCATCAATCATCGTTTGTCATTCATCCAACATCTTACTTTATTTGGTCCCATATCGAATATTGAACATGTCCGAAGAATCTGATATTGCCTTTTAAATATTAAACACTCATCAATTTTCAATCCATCGACATCCCCACATCCATCTCTGGCATCTCCCACCGCATTATACTAACATTACAGTCTATCAAGGTTGCTGAATTGAGATCCAAGTCCAAGGAACAGTTGGAGACCCAGTTGGCTGAGTTGAAGCAGGAGCTTGCTTCCTTGAAGGTCCAGAAGTTGACCAGACCAGCTGTCCCACAGATCGGTTCCGTCAGAAAGGACATTGCCAGAGTTTTGACTGTCATCAACGCTGCTCAGAGAGAGAACGTCAGAGCCTTCTACGCCGGCAAGAAGTTCCTTCCAAAGGACTTGAGAGCCAAGAAGACCAGAGCTTTGAGAAGAGCTTTGTCCAAGGAGGATGCTGCTAAGTTGACCGTCAAGGCCAGAAAGCAGAAGCTCGCTTTCCCAAAGAGAGTCTACGCTATCAAGGCTTAAGTTTGTAATGGTAGTAATAATATAGTACGATTTGGCATCGAGAAATAGGCTAGTAGTTCTTTGTCCAGTATCTTAATTAGTCACTTCGATGCTTACATTTAGTATCTTCATTAGTATCTTCGCTGTTTACATCGACGACAATAGTACTATTCTTTTTCTTATCTATACTTGATACTTACCCTGTTTGAACAAGGCAATCTTCTCGCGAGTTTCAACGTCGTCAATGACATCATCTATCTTCAATGGCATTCTATTGAAGGGATCAGTTGAATCACTGAGCAAGTGTGCTTTGATTGTAGACCTGTCAATGGTCACCTTGGAGCCAGGCAAGATCACTGGGTCTTCCATGAGGGTGAACATTAATGGGTCCAACAACTCGTCTGGAACCTCACCCAAGTCCATTTCTTGCTGCTCGATTGCAAGTCGCTCTTCATCGGCCCTTATACCGAATTGGTAGAATTGATCAATCACATCTTGACTGAATTGCGTTTTCTTGGTCAAAATGTCTCTGGCTCGCTCAAAATACAGCACATTAAACGAACGGCCATCACGAGCCACTGCAAGCATGAACTTATCTTGCTTACTCAAGTTGCAGTAGACAGTACAAATATCAGAAAGGATCTTCTTAGGCTCGAACTGGTACTTCTCAGGCTCTTTCACCTTCAAGTTCGAACATTTGGGTCCCACCATTAGACTCAAGTTGTAGTCCAACATACCGGCCAATCTGTCAACAAGCTCATCAATTGTAAATCCCTCGGGTACCTGTTTTGTGAACAAAATGAACATTTTCATGGTCTCGTTAGCCAATCCCATATATGATTGAGCTTTCGACTCCGCCGACAGCAAGTTCTTTTCCAATTCCTGAGTTGTTCCATATTCCTCCTCGTTTGCTGGTTCACCGCGAGCTCGGGCTTTAAGTTCTTCTTGCAATTTGTGAATGGTATTCAACTCGTTGAATGATTCGTCAAACAAGAAAGTAGTGTCATTCAACATACGAGCAATGAATCGAATAAAGAAGTCCACGTTGTTCTTAGAGTACCCACTCAATTGCTGCTTATAGTGATTGATTTTCCACAAATCCTCAACAATTTTCGAAATGTAATATCTTGTGTTGAACTTGTCGTAGAACTGAGAAGATGCTCCAGTCTTTTCTATCATCACATAAATATCCAAGAGCGAATACAACAAATTGCCTTTGACCAAGGTGTTGGTTTCAAAGATGTTAGCGAAGTACCCAGGTTTACCCAGACGAGAAGTAAGGGTACCCATGAAGAAAATCTCCACAATGTTTCCTTTCATATGGGGATTTCCGATAAGCTCAGGGCAACGCAACAAAATAGTGGCATATTCCGCAAAGACAGATAGTTTGTCTGGATTATCCATTAATGGGTTGAAATTGTAAGAAGTCACAAATTTGCAGTAGTTAATGATTCCTTCCACTGCAAACTCTGGGAAATACTTCCATGGCTCCGGGGTCTTAGACTTAAGAAACTCATAATCATCAAGTTGACTGACTCTCTCGATCTGTAAAAGAGGAATCGACACCTTTGGTGTTGGATGCTTGTGTTCTGGATCAATGACACGGACCATGAATTGACACGCTCCAACAATGAAATCGAAAATCTCCAAGTTTAACGGGCGGAAGAAAGCAAGGGCATCAATTGCGTGTTTTTTGCACTTCAGAGCATTGATCCTTCCGTAAATTCTAGCCAACATGGGCGCCATACGTCTATCTTCGAATCTTTCTCTTTGTCTCTCGAAGTTCTTGATTTCGTCTTTCATTTTACCAAAGTTAGTGATAACTCCTCCAATTCCGTATTGTAAGTAGGTCAAAGTCAAGTAAAAACAATCGGAAATGAAGTTCACATCCTCATCCATAGCGCTCTCGTAGTATTGGCCAGCATCCTTGGCAGAGGCATAAACTCTTGACTCTTCAGATACATCAATTAACTTGCATTTGGGCCCAAAATAATCAGGATCTATTTTGTCAAGTTTGGAGAACACAGGAAAGTCCAAGAACGGCAAGCTAAACCGAATCAAGAGGTAAGAAATGTTGAACATGAGAGCGTCAGATGCCAACTTGGAACTGTCTGAATGGGAACCAGTTCTTAAGTGGGAAACATTGACCAAGTCTGCAAACCACTTAAGCAAATCTGATCTGGTCTGTGGCGAACCTCTTACCAACTTATCGACAATGAACCAGATTCTCTCAAAGATGGCCTTGAACTCGGTCTGAACTGTGGAGTAAATAGACAGCAATGCGGAGTCGGTAAGTTCAAGAATGGCATCGGTCTTCGGACCTCCTGCAAACGTTGAAACTGCCACATTCTCGTGAAGGGGAGATAATCTCAATAACGGACCCAAGAGAGTCTTGCGTTCGAAGTCCAAGCCATTAGAGGCATCTGGTGGTAAAAAGCCCGGGATTTTCGAGAAAACAGCAGCCACAGCCTTAATAGACACCAACGTCTCCCAGATGGTCAAGTAGCTGGCAAATTGCGCATTGTGGATGTTGAAGGCATGAAGCCGAGCACTAATGGCGGGAAACAACATTCCTAGAAAGTCCACAAGAAACTCCAGCTCCACAGCACGTGCTACAATGTCCACCAAGAACGTATGAGTGTTTGGCTTGTCGATAAACAAGGTGATTGTCTTATGCAAATCGTTACCAAGCACCATCTCGGGAATCTGGAAGCAGATGAGTCCGTAGGAGGTGGCATAGCGGATAATGCTGTTCAAGCAAGCCAATTTCTGGTCGTGAAGTGCATCTTTTCTGAGCAAGACTCTCTTCTGGGCAAATGCCCGCGTGTATACCTGGTGTAGATATGCCATAGGTAGTTGTTCGCCAGGAACACCGATATCGGTCAAAATCTCTACGAAGGCGTCTTCCAACAGGTCCGCAGAGAGCGGAGATGACCCGAAAGAGATGAAATTGGTTTTTCTAGCACCAAAACCTACATCAAATAGATCGGAAATCTGGTTTCTAAGCCATTTGTCCATACTAGCTTCTGGGTTAGCTGGAGGTGTAGAAAGATCGACTTTTCTTGACTTCTCGGTGTGTTCTGAGTTTCCAGGATGTTCCGACTTTTCAGAGCTTTTACCAGTCTCCTTTGGCACCTCCGCTTTCTTCTTAGCTTGTGGCTGGGGAGTTTGAGTGGTGGGCGAAGGCGAACCTCGACGTGACAAAGAACTGGTTCTCGAGTTGGAGGATGCAGAGGGCTGGCCCAAGGCTGCAAGACGAGCCAAACGTTTAGCACGAATCTGTTACGTTAGTAATTGATTGGAATCGACTCTTTAAGGTACATACATCGTCAGCGTCACTCATGGTGATGGAAATCAGAATCAGAAGCTGTTGGTAATGTAAGGGTAACGGATGTACGGGTGTTTAATATCTGGGGAAGAAGTGAAGGTAGTGAATAGACGGTGGAAAGAGGCAATTAATTGATGAAGGTACTGTAGCTGATTCTGGATGAATAAACATGATCATAGAAAAATTCTGGGTGATTTTGGTAGTTTGAATGTGTTTGAATGTGTTTGATATTTGTTAGCGTGGTCGTTTGTACTGTGGGTGGAATGGGAGAAAATTGAGAAGATAAGAAAGGAAGCGAAGGAAGGTAAAAATAGATTGAGTAGGCATCCACAATCTAAAGAAAGAAAAAAGAAAAAACTGGACGAGCTCAGTAGAATGAACATTGTGGGATTACAGAGATTCATGTCCGAGTCAACATTGACAAGTTAAGCTAGAAATTAGCAGCAATTCAAGTTGATTTTAAGATTGCCAGATCTGAAAATCCACTTTAACCATCAAATTGGATTTAAATATTAAAACCATATTCTTTGACAATCGTCTTATCGCACCTAACTTTTCAGCGGTCTTCCCACCTATTCCACTCTAATCAACCACATCTCTCAACCCAATGAGGACCAAACCCAAGGCTCAGGACTGACGCCAAAACGATTATTTCAATCCCAAAACTTCTAGCTAATTCAAAGAAAATTTCTCGCAAACATTTTGCAGCCACTGCTACCCGATTTCCAATTAAGGAGCCTGGTCTTCCGCCGTCTGCCTGTGTCTGCCTGTGTCTGCCTGTGTCTGCCTGTGTCCGCCTTTGCCTGCCTCGTGTGCCTGTGCATAGTTATGTTTTCACTTCTGTTTTGGCCACGAATGTATCATGCAGCCCAAACAAATTGGCGGAGCAAGAGATATCTGCTGATTAGTATTAACCGGCCAAATCAGGTCGAAATTGAAAAATTCTCACCAGCACTATTTTTTATCAGGTGGTCACTAATTCTCAATTTCTTTAGACCTCCTTTTGACTGCTCAATTGTGATTTCTCCTACTTCGCATTTTTGACACATTTGTTCACCACTTCAGCCTCACCTAAAAAGGGCATACACCAAACATTCTTCTCTCAAGAACAATGAAAAATTCTCTAAACATTCCTTCTTATTCTCCCGTCCAATCACAGGCTGCAAAACCTTCTCTCACAGCCGCGTAGCACATCGGTCCCCCTTCCCAATTGTTCGTCTATTGCTCGGGTGAACGATCCGACTTGGTGCACGGGTGCACTCTAAAAGTGCACCAAACCAAGCCTCTTGTAAAGTTGTTTCCAAGCGTTTCCTTATTTTCAACCCTCAACTTGCATCATGGCTCACGACGACGAATTAGTCCCGGAATCTGTCGAAGGTTACACCGTCGGCGAAAAGAAAACCATTGACGAGTACACCAAGCTCGATGCCGAAGACGAGAGTTTGGCCAAGTGGAAGGCTTCCCTTGGTTTAAGTGCCGATTCATCCCCATATCCAGTCAAGGCTGGCGACAAGAGAACGGTGGTCATTGTGGAAATGGCCCTCACGTTCCCTGAAGACGCGTCCATGCAGCCCATCGTCATCCCATTGGAGGATGCTAGTGGAAACACCATCTCCAAGGACATCAAGTTCACCATCAAGGAGAAGTCTGTGTACGAGTTGCAGATCAAATTCAGAGTGCAACACGAAATCATTACCGGATTGAAGTACTTGCATTCGGTGAAGAAGGCTGGAATCCGGGTGGATAAGTTGGAGGAGCCTTTGGGATCATATGCTCCCAACACCAAAGAGAAGCCATACTATGAGAAGTTTCTCGGTGCAGTGGAGGCCCCATCTGGAATGTTGGCCAGAGGCTCTTATTCGGCTGTGACGAAGTTTGTTGATGACGACAAGACAGAGCACTTGTCGTTCCCTTGGGCTTTCCAGATTACCAAGTAATCATATAGGAATTAAATTAGCGTGTTCCCAAGCGTCTTTTCGTACCTGATCTGACCGGAATGTAGGCTGGAGCTCTTTTGACTGCAGAATTGATGTTTGTATTGGTAGTCTGCTTGACAGAAGTTCCAAAATTAGTAGTGTTACTCGTCTTGGTGGAATTGCCAATGGACTGGATTTTAGAATTGATTATCCCGTTTGAATTGCCAACAGAATTAGTAGATTTGCCTGGCCCTGTCATTGGTCTCATTGGGATATAAGCAGGTGCCTTGGAAGCCGGTCTTTCTGCTGCTTTTCCAGGGGGCTTCCAAGCTGTCCCTGGTGCTCTCCATGACGCTTTGCTCAGTATTTCATTCGTCTTCCACTCTCTCGTGGTCATTTTTCCCACTTTGGTGAATCCTATATCACTGGGAGTTTCCTCAATTTGTCCACTCACAAAAGAATTCATACACATTTCATATCTTTTGTGGTTGGCTGCAAAGTCGAACTTGCCGGTTTTATTTCTCTCCATCATGTCGTAAAGCCTGTCGAGCTTCTCTTCACTGTCAATTGGCGTATTCTTACTGAACATATGCCCAAGTCTATCTAGAAACCTGGATGGCCGCTCAATTGGTCGACGTCCCCAATTTCCTCCATCGGTATACGAAGAGAGGTATAAGAGCGTTTTGGCCCTGCTTGTAGCCACGTAGAAACATCGCCGTTCTTCGTTGATCGATTCAATGTTATCGTCTGCAGAGGCAAAACTTGCTGGGAGTAGTCCTTCACTGACTCCAGGAACAAACACCACCGGCCACTCAAGACCTTTGGCACCATGGATTGTGGAAATGGCCACTTTTGGCTTATTCTCGTCTCCTTCCTTTGCATCAGGGTTCGTATCAAAGAGAGTCACCAGAGAAAGGAAGGTCAGGAGGAATTCCGTCCCTGATGGGACTTTGATGACATCTGAGGCGGGGTCTTGAAGATTTTCAATATCAACTGTATCAGTCACGTTTCCAAATTCTGTTTCTGGGGGCATTTCAAAGTCCATAAGTTGCGACTTCACTTCCATTATGTTGAGATCGCAGTTGACATCTTCGCTGAATTCTTTTTTAATTCCCGATTTTACGTACAAATTCAGGAAAAATTGATCCATTGCTGCCTGATTATTAGCACCCTGGTACACCTCGTTCAATTCTTTTCTAGCTTCCTCGATGATATCGAGAAACGATTCAAGACTTTGCTTCACTTTAGGTCCTAAATTGCAGGTAAATTTCGATTCCGCAACCAATCTGAGAGTTTTGAATACCAGGATTGGACTCACGTTTTGAACATTCTGAACTTGCTGTTTTTCGATGATACTATCCAATTCGGTCACCGACTTAGGGCCCAATCCACGTTTAGGGAAATTCGAGCTTCGTAGTAACGCAATACGGTCGTTCTCATTGGCCACGCATCGCAAGTAGTCTACCATAGCAGCCACTTCCTTGCGTTCCCAGAATGCCTTTCCTCTAACCATGAAATAAGGAATTTTCTTTTTAGTGAGCTCGGTCTCAATGACTCGTGTCTGATATGCTGATCTAACCAAGATTGCCATATCAGAGTAGTTAAACAATCCATCCGGAAACCTCTTCAAATGGTCGATCTGATAAGCTATCCACCGACCTTCCTGGTCCGAAGATTCAAGGTCGGCTCTCATTGGCTTGAATGAAGTCTCCAACTGAGACCGGAGGTTTTTTGTCATTCTATCTGTCTGCTGTCGCATGATGTTCTCTGAAACCTGCAAAATATCGGTGGTTGATCTATAATTCTCCGTCAAGGAGATGATTTTGGCTTGAATTTGGTGGCTCTGTAGGTAATGCTGTCTCATTTTGTCGAAATTACCACTTTGAGCATGCCTGAAGGCATAAATGCTCTGGTCTGGGTCTCCAACAATAGTCACATTATGCTGAAGGGAAGGAATGGTTAAATGGCCCTTGGCAAATTCATACATTAACTGAAGCTGGATCTCGTTCGTGTCCTGGAACTCATCCACTAGCGTATGTTCAATGTGGCTTAACACCGGGAATCTCGATACAATCTTGTAGCAGTAAAGTAAGCAGTCGTCAAAGTCTAGAAGCTTGTTGGTCTGGAGATTCTGCTGGTAATGGGTATAGACGATCTGAACGAACAGGTTTTCGGAAGACTTCTTCACATCCTCAATGGTGATTCCTGTGGCTTTCAACTGCGAGATTTTCTTTCTTAATTTCTTCATGTCGTAACCTCTATACTTCTCACTTTCGTTTTTACTTCTAAATGGCACCGTCTGTTCCTCTGGAAGCAGATCAATAATATCCCATTCGGGGTCACTGACACGTTTCAACAACACGTCTATAAGAATTTGCAGCGCGTCTCTATCATCAGCAATGGCGTAATTCTCTATACCTATGCGTTTACCAAACTTCTGGATGATTTTGTAGCATATACTGTGGAAGGTGCCTATAAGGAGGTTTCCAACGATAATGTCTGTACCTTTGAGCATTTCTCGAAGTCGCTCCATCATCTCGTTGGCTGCTTTCTTGGTGAATGTCGTGACAATAATGTTGTGGGGCAGAATCTGTTCGTGAAGTAGTAGGTATGCGACTCTCGAGACCAAAACCTTGGTCTTTCCGGTTCCAGGACCGGCCACGATTTGAAGTACTCCAGACGATGGACACGTAGCCGCATCTTTCTGGCTGGCATTCAATGTAGCCAATATTCCATTGGTAAGTGTGGAATAATCCATGTAGTTGATGTAAACAGTGTGCACATTAGAGATTGTAGATGGAGATGATGGAGTTGGAGAAGAAGGTAATCATAGGTAAAGCAAGGAGAAAATAAATAAATTAATGCTTGAGTGGATATAAAAATTTCATTGCATTTGCTAATCTTGAATCTATTCTTCTGATTCAATATGTTCAACATCTCTTCTGGTCAACTTTTCTCGGCATGAGATGACTACAGGCACATCCGAAAGAATATAAGGATTACTGTTTGGCTCAGGGTTGAGATCATAAGCAATAATTCCATTTAAATGTCTATTAGAATGTGTTTTGGGGGCTTTCGATTTTTTTCGCCATTTATTTGATATAACATTCATGGAATAATATTACTGTCCTTCATTTTGTGAGTTTCTACAAATCCACCAAAATGTGAAGATAGATGAATTTAAAAAAGATAATATAACTAAACCAACTCAACAACACTCAGTCTCGCAAATTCGAAAGTGGCCATACTTTCACTCAGCCACTCAAGATCTAGAGTCGAAGTGAAACGACAGAATGGCTATGGAGTTCTAGAAGAATATTAAACATCGAAAAGAGCCTAATAGCGGGAAACCCTCATCATGTAACGAACCTGGAACTACTTAAAAATATACGTTCAAATTGATCTTCCCTATACGCCCCGCTAGGTCTACTACACTAAACAATAATGACAACTCTTTCCTAGTAGATATCCCACCACGTTCAGTAGCACAACCGGAATTAATTGTACCCACTCACAAATACCGATGTCTAGAACAGTGAGTGAGCCATGGGACCAACCACAGCATATCAGAACTGGAAGTTCTGTTGGTTCTGCACACCGAAACCAAACGAGTCTCCGTAAGCCTCGGGTTGCAATCCATTCTCGTTGAATGCGTCGTCTTCCTCCTCACCAAAGTACTTCTCGATAATGCTGTAGGCTTTGTTGTAAATATTCTCATTCGAGTTGGCTTGACACTCGAAGATCTTTTCCATACCACCAGCTTCCTCGATGTAAATGGCGTATTCGTTGTTGTTGGAGTGGCCCTGTTCCTTGTCCAACTCACCCACCTTCAAGATGTTCACCAACGAGTCCAAGGTCACCTCAATAATCTTGGAATCAGCCACAGACAACAAATCACACAATGGCTTGATACATCCCTGGTTGACCAAGTAACGGATTTGTTCAGGCTTGGTCAAACCACCCGAAGAGGCGTTGGAGATGGCCCAACAAGCTTCTTTCTTAGTCTTGTAGTCACCGTCTGCCAACAAGCGAATGATGAGAGGGATCAAGTTGGCGTCAATAACCGCCTGGATCTGCTCGCTGTTACCAGCTGTGATATTGGAGATGGTCCAACATGCCTCCTTTTTGAGTGTATCCTTGGACGAGGTCAACAATGGAGCCAAGTGTTGCAAAACACCTACGTTGATCATGACCTGGGTTTGCAAGTCATTACCGGTGACGATGTTACCAATGGCTCTCAAAGCAGGAGTCTGGACCAAGGTGGACTCGTGGCTCAACAACTCAACCAATCTCTGTGGAATACGAGCGTCAATCACGGCCTGGATGGCCTCAGATGGTCCGTCACTCAAGTAAGAAACGGCCCACAGAGCATCCACCAAGGTCTCGGTGTCGACAGAGTAGATCAACTTCAGCAATGTTGGAATTGCCTGTTGGACCAAGTTCCAGTCTGGATGTGGGTTCTTGCCTCGGCACAAGTTGGACAAGGTCCAAGTAGCAGTACGGATCAACGAGATCTTAGTGGTGTTAAACAAGGATAAAACAGGCTCCATGGCACCAGTGCTCAACACAAAGTCTCTGTAGAGCGTGGAGTCACCAGCCACATTACCCAAGGCCCAAATGGCTTGCTCCTTGACTTCTAAAGACTGAGAGTTCAACAACTGTACAAAGTAAGGCACAGCACCGGAATCCACCACGATTCTTGTCTGTTCCAGGGTTCCAGAGGCAATGTTGGTCAATGCCCATGCAGCCTCAAGTTGCAACATGTCTGGGTGACCATCCTTCATGAATTCGACTAAAGTAGGTATCACACCAGACTGAATCACCATGTCAATTGGTGGATTATGTTCCCTACTCAAAACCTGTCTGAATTTGACGGTAGCAGCCAACTGGTTCTCGAAATCGGACAGCTGGATCATTTCCATCATTTTGGGCAAATCCTGCTGCAATTTGCCGTAGAACAGCAGCTCGTCCTGTGATGCGGTCAAGTCAAAGTTGATGGCGTCATCCTCCTCTTCGGAGTCGTTTGCCAACGCGCCGTTGTCGACGTAGTTTCTTCTCTTTGCCAAAACTTCCTCCCTCTTTTGCTTTCTCAAGTCCACCTGGTGGGTCTCTCTCCGTCTTCTCAACTCATCGCTCTGGAAACGTCCTTTATTCTTGAAGTTGGTCCGACGGTACTCGGGGATATATTTATTGGCGGAGTCGTCCATGGTTATTGATGTCTAAAGAAGAAAAAGATTTGTGGTTGATGATATGGGAGGTGTGCCTGCAGGATGAGTGGATGGATAATGAGTGGGAGGCATTTGAGAAGCAGGGAGAGGGAATCTAAATAGAGATTTTATCAATTGTTTAGTGATCATTCAAGTATTGAGTTAGACATTTTGGCTTTGTTTTTCGATCTTTTGTATTTGTTAGGATCAATAATTGTGGATTTTAATATACGGTCACGTGACAATAGATCAAATTGATTCTATTGGGGGAAATGTTAGAGGGTGAGAGCAACATGAGAGAGTATAGAAATCAGAAAGAAATATTTCATTCAAGGTATACCGTTCAAATGATTCTGGGTTGTAGTGTCGATCTACATGCTAGCTGCATGTGAAGGGATTAGATTTGTAGAGCAATAGAGCAACGCTAGACTATATAGTTAAGTAACAACAAAATGAGAGAAGTAATAAAGAAATAAAAAGGGTCTCTATTCTTTTCTTGCTGGAGACAAGAAAAAGTTCCATTTACATCAAATAAATGTAATCAGCCTCTAGAATACATACATACTATGCCTAAATAACCAAAACCGGCCGCACACGACCTCAATACAAACTACTCCATCACCTTCTTATCTTCTATTTATTATGCTTCGTGTTCCATTCGTTGCCAAACATGGCCTACAATGTACCATAAGGCCTTCTAGAACATTCTGTACGTCGATGATCCCTCGAATCAGACACAAGGGTACCTACAAATCGGAAGACTCCACCGTGGAGACCGATGAGATCATTTCTGAGAATAATCCTTGGTCTCCAACGCTTTACAACGATATAGTCCGCGTGAGAGAAGGATGGAGAAATGTTGCTCTACCCGAAAACTACCGGCTCCTGTACGAGCCGCTCTATGAAGCTCCCGGATCCAAATACGTCGCTATGCTTAAGAGACTTACGCTTTCCTTTGCAGTGATTGGAGTTTACGGTGCCAAACTCTTTTACGAGCTGGTACAATTCGATGATGTGTATGCTTTGGGTACAATAATCGGTACGTGGGCACCTGCAGTGGCCGTACAATATAAGACTAGGGATTATGTCACGAGAGTGTTCAGATTGTACGACAAGACCAAGCCACAAACGTTGGAGAACTTGGTGAACGACGAGAAACTCATCATGGAGAAGTTATCAGCCACTGGAGGCAAGACATACAACACTCTCTTAACCATTTCGGGAAACAGCACCCTCAAGCTCTGTGGAGATGAACAGTCGACGTTTGCTCCGTACCAAAGCTGGGAAGCCCACGGCGAAAATGGGAAGCAGTACTACTACGTGGTGGATAACGTGGGAGGCATGAAGATGGACCGATTGTGGGGGATTGTGGAACACAATCTGGGGGTTGACAATGGAAGGTATATTGCAGAGGCAGCCGTTGAGACGAAGTAAATGTATATAGAAGTTTCAATGGAGAAAGAGGCAGTAAAGCGAGAAATCAATTACTAGAACTAAATTATTTAGATCATATATTCAACTGATAACGAATTAGAAAAGAGCAATCATCGATTGGAGTTTTTCCTAATTTTAGCAAGTACCTGAATGTAGATCTTATTGACAACAGACTTTACAATAATATATTAAGATAAATCAATAAAGAACAATTTTTGTGGGTTTTTTTTTTTGGAAACTTTTCTACTTATCACTTTTATTTTTTTTTTTTTTTTTGCCCTAGACTTTGATCGGAAGCACATCATCCAATCGTGGTCTCTCTCGTGAAATCAATCTACAAGGTCCATAAACTCCAGATGTATTTTGTTGGACAAAAGGTTTAGACAATTCCCGCGAAAATTGACCACGCAAAGTCTCGGAATTATCTCACATGAAATTGTTCCTTTGCATATTGTTGCCTTCCCATTCAAGATATTCCCATCTCCTACTTTCAAAACCTCATAACTATATTCATATATCGATCCATACATACCCATACTAAATGATACTACAATATTGATATCATCATAATTATTATCCCTTTTCACTCTTTCCTTTTCTCGTATTTTTGGTTGCTCCTACTCAGTCTTACTTAGGCTGCGAAATGCGAGCACGGATTAACCAGCATATCTTCTACACCTACAAGCAGCCCAACGGTCAAAAACGGTCTATTCTCCGCCAATTAGGAGGCGAAAACCTTCAAATGTTCCGACTTGAAACGCCTCGAGGGGCTATGGTTCCCGCAACCCTCCGTCTCCCCTACTTTCTCCGGGTGCTGTCAAGGCATCTCGAGCCTCGCACGACCGTAGATCACTATAGCCGTGCTTTTCCCTAATTAACAACCAACAACATCCTAGAATACCATGGGATTATTTACTCCAAAACATAAAACATATTACGTGCCCGGGAATGCCATTATTAGGGCTCCGAAGCACGATCAAAATGCAAATGTGCATGCTCCCACTGCTGGAAAAGCCAATCCACACTTTGGCGAAGATGAAGACGACGACAATACGACAGAAAAGAAGGTTTACGACAAGGAAAAAGCTGTTTTGGGTGGCGTGGACAAAGAAAGAACCGATGGAAAGCCCGAAACAGAAACAGAGCTCAACACTCGCTTGAATGCTCTCTTGTATCACACTGCAAATGACAGTATCGAGATGTATCGTCTGGAAAACAACTCGCTGGATCTTCTTGGAAGGTTGCATTACGACGATTTCGATATCAACGATAAGGAGTCGGTGTCTCGAGTGGCGTCGTACACATCGTTGTCGCAAATGGTGCCAACTCCGACGTTTGCTCAGTCACTTTCTCAGAATATCAGCACGAGCGCATCCAGATCATCCACGCCATCGAGCAAGGTTCCATTATCACGTCCCAGACCGCTGTTCGAACGAGGTGTTTCTTTTGACACGCTGGATGATTCACACCACATGTCCATCACACGTAAAGTGAAGCATCCGGAGTTTAAATTCAGAAGAAACAATAAGACGTACTTGATTGGATTTTGCAACGATGCAGAGTCGTTGAGAGCAGTTGAATGGGTGTTTCAAGAGATGGTCATTCATGGTGACACTATTGTCGTTTTCCAGGTGTTGGATGAGAAACACTATAAGTTTGTCGATCCAGACTTGGCTGACAAGGTGTTGGAGAAGCTCGAGTCTCTCAACACACACAACCGTAGAATCTCAATGGTGTACGAGGTGATCATTGGACGCCCACAGAAACTTCTCAAACTGGCTATCGATGAATACAAACCCGCAATGATGATTGTGGGAAGCCACCAGTATGGCCTGTCACCTATTCCTACTTCCAGCTCCACCGCCAACCTCATCAACCAAAGTCACGGTCTCCAGCCACATGTACACAGCCATTTCCCGTTCTTGAATAAGACATCGGTGTCCAAATACTTCCTAATGTTTGCGCTCGTGCCGGTGATTCTTGTCAAGCCGTTCTATCAACACCAGGAGTTGTTGGCAAAGCCCATTGATTCAAACCACTACTTCCAAGACATGCTTGCCAACATCGATGTTTCACATACACGTGAGAAGAAGAAGAAACATAAGTTCGGCTTCTTGAGTCCGTCATCGTCCAGGACTTCCTCTGCCACGAACTTGTCGGGAATGATTACTCCCGAGGATCGTGGCCGGAGTCCGGAAAATTTGTCTCCAGTGGAAAGTAGAGATTCTTCGTCTGACCGGTCCAGATCACATTCACGGTCTCAATCGCAGAACCATCACTCCCGACTCAGCAAGCTCTTTTCCTTATAAAGAGAGATCTCGGCACGATTTAATGTTTACTGAGGTCATAAAATAAGACATTGACGTCAACTACATGTCATTTTATGAGGGCTTTGTAAGTACCTTATCAATAGCGAATTTGCGGTCGGATTCATGTGAGGAGTTTATCCTCACAGTTCTACTTTCTCTCCATCACTGTCGGATTTCCTATATTCCAAGAGGTGCCGGCCCGATTCACCTTGAACGGCATATTGGACTGTTATACGGCAGACAACGCACATGATAGCCCGCGGACCACATCCGTTTTCCTGCACATATCTCAATGATAATTGTTTCTCCTAGCAATATCGACAATGTTGAGGCAAACTTACTTTCTTTATCCATCGTCATTATGCCGCTCAGGGGAAGCAGAGCTCCAGGAAATCCGGTAATCACCGCCATCAGTGCGTCTGCGTTTGCATCAGGTACTTGGGCCCTCAACTACTTGGTCAGTCAGGTTGACTTACCTCCGCATCTCGCAGGAGGAGGCCATTGGCAATTCTTGACCAATTTATCGCTTCTCTTCACTTTGGTGGTACTTTTCATTGGTGTCATAGCTCACATCACCAAGTCCGCTTCGCTTTTCAACTTGAAAAACAACCTACACCCCATTGCACTTGTTCTTGAGTGTGTGGTGACCACGGTGTACTGGCCGTTAAAGTTGTTCTTCTTGCATTTGCTAGTCAAGGACCCCACGCGCAAGATGATTCCGTTGGTGGTGGACTTGTGCTTGCATTTGGTTCCCGTGGTCTCCTTGTTGGTGGACTACATCTTCTTCATGCCCAAGTGGACAATCACTAATTGGACTGCACTTGCTACATGCCTGGTGCTCACCACGTTATATTGGGTTTTGTTGAAGCAGTTGGTTGATTTCGAAAACGGTGGAGAGTACCCATACATGTTCTTGAACGTGGACAACGAGGCCACTCGAATTCTAATTTTTCAGGTGGTTGGCCTTGTAGGATTTGCGTCGTTTTTATTCTTCAAGAAAGTGTATGACCTCGTTGTTCATCCCGAGGTGGAGAAAATCGAGGAAACCAAGTTGAAGAAGAACCTTTAGAGCTATTTTACTTCCCCATGAATCTCATTTTAGAAATCATTTCATTTAAATTTTCTGTAGAAGCCATATCAAGACTCTACCATCACACTTGAAGTTAAAGTATTAAGGTTTTTGGAGGCACGGGTCTATTTCCAAATTACCTTGGTTCTAAGTGCTCCACATACATTTCAGTATAATATCCCCATAATGAAAGTGTATAAACTTGCATTATTTACCGCCTTAGCGGCTGCAATACAGATCCCCATATCGCTCAATGTCTTTCGGGACCCAGAACGCCCCCATTTCTCCACTCTTGAGGAGTCGCTGTGGCCCATTGACTTGAACCCTTACATAAATCAGGTGGTGGTGAGAATCTCATCATCTGGCGATGTAATCAAGTATTTGAGAAGTCACGGCTTGAACATCTGGGCCAAGAATCCTTCGGAGAGAACCGTGGATGTTCAGGGTCATGAGTCGGACATCAAGAACATGTTGGCCCACTTTGAGATTAGTGATGCCAATTACATAATTCACGACCTTGCGCAAACTGTTCTCGAGTCATATCCAGAAAAATTGAAACAGGGATCTTTTCAGACATTTGCAGAGTCGTCGTTTGATGAGGTTACCGCAGCAGCAGAAGATAGTATCCATGCAGCAGCAGAGGTGTTCTTCAAGCTGTATAGACCGTTGCTGTCAATCGATGCTTGGTTAAAATTGTTGGAGGAGACATACCCAGATGTTGTAACCACTGAGGTGATCGGTAAAACCTACGAGGAAAGAGATTTCAAAGTGTTGCATGTGCTGATTCCTGACAGTGATATTCCTCACGACGAGAAGAGAACTATAGTCATAACTGGCGGAGTACATGCACGGGAATGGATCTCGGTATCTTCTACCTTGTACACCATCTACGAGATGTTGAATGTGTATGAGAATAGTCCCGAGAGATGGAAGGAATTGGCTAAATTGGACTTTCTATTCATTCCCGTACTCAACCCTGATGGCTACGAGTACTCATGGAATTCCGACCGTCTTTGGCGTAAAAACCGTCAACAGGTCGAAGGAGGTGATGGTGCTCGTTGCATGGGCATTGATATTGACCACTCTTTCGATTACCACTGGACCCAATCAAGTGACGGGGTCTGCGGAGAAGAGTATTCCGGTCAGGCACCATTTGAGGCATACGAGCTGAAAATCTGGGACGAATATTTGAATTCAACTAATGTGAACCACAATATTTGGGGTTACATCGATTTGCACTCGTACTCGCAGGAGATTTTGTATCCATATGCCTATTCGTGCAATGAGACTCCAAGAGATGAGGAGAACTTGATTGAGTTGGCATACGGCATTACCAAGGCAATTCGCTTGACTTCTGGAAAGTCGTATTCAGTGTTGCCTGCTTGTGTGGACAGAGACCTGGACTTGATTCCAGATTTGGGGTCGGGCTCTGCATTGGACTTTATGTACCACCATAGAGCCTACTGGGCATACCAGGTGAAGTTAAGAGATAGTGGTGCCCATGGGTTTTTGCTTCCTGACAAGTACATCCAGCCTGTTGGAGAGGAGATTGCTGCAGGTATCAGGTTCTTCAGTCGTTTTATTTTGTCCGAGGACCGTTAATTGAGGTATAGGCATAAATATTTTGTGTTTTAATCTGTTTTCCTTTGGATTCTTATACCATTTTCTTTCGAGTCTTCTGCTTCCTCTACATTTTTTAACATCCTACAACATCTGAAATCTAAATTTCGAAACCACTCCATTTCGCTCACTAGTGTGCACATTCAGATTTCAACAACCAAATGAGAGTCGTCATCCAGAAAGTCAAGCGTGCCTCTGTCACCGTCGATGATGTCATCGTCTCGTCCATAAACCGTGGCCTCATGATTCTTGTAGGTGTGTCTACGTCAGATACCTCGGACGATGTGTCCAGATTGGTCAAAAAGATCTCGACACTTCGACTTTTCGAAGATTTCTCCAATCCTCCGCCTGAACAGTCAAAATGGGACGGCAAGCCATGGAGCAGCAGTTTGGCAGCAGACAAGGAGCTCAGTGTTTTGTCTGTTTCTCAGTTTACGCTCTATGGAACCATCAAAAAGGGAACAAAGCCAGACTTCCACAAGGCAGCCAAGGGTCCAGATGCCATTCATTTGTATCAGGACTTTTTGGCAGGATTGAGAAAAGAGTTGGGCTCAGACGATAGAGTCCAGGATGGCCGGTTTGGAGAGAAAATGGAGGTGGACTTGGTCAATGATGGTCCTGTCACTATCGTATGGGACACTCGTGACAGCACTCTTTGAGTTATGACAAAGAAATGGTGGATTGAGTGGTTAGACTGCTATAGAATGGTAGCATACTAGAATAGAACTATATTATAAATTAAACTATGGTACAGAAATTAGACAGCATTGCTGACACATGTGAACGGACTGCCATAGAGTCCAGATTCATAGGACAAGACAATACTCTTGATGGTAGCGTAGAGACCAGGTCCCAAAATGTACAAACCAATTATGACCAAAATGACGTTGGCGATCATCTCGAGTTTGGTGATCAAAGAAGCCGTTTTGAAATACGAAGTGAACGAAGTTTCCGGGTTATAGTACCTGATCAACTTGAAGTAGGCAACACCCCAGAATACGAAACCAAACCAGCAGTCAAACAAGGAAGACATCAAAGAAAGCAAATCAGAGAAGAACGGAATGACCTCAGCCACCACGAATGCAATCAACCATAAGCCCAAGTTCAATCCGGTCCAGGTAGCCCATCCAAGCACGGTGTGGCTGTTTCTGTTCTTGGAGTCCTCGGAGAAGATCTTGAGGAATAAAAACTGCGAGGAAACGTTGGAATACAACGAACCCAAGAAGAGAATAGTTGGTAATGCAAAAGAAAAGGCAACCTTCTTGTAATTTCCAATGAGGGACCCAAAAGCAGGTGCTGTAATGTACTGGTTACCAACGTAGACATACACCACCGAACCAGCCAACGCAAAGGTAATAACTTCGCACAAGGTGACAATGTAGAGAGCTTTCTTGAAGTCCCTTGGCTCTCTCATTTGCGAAATAAACGATGGATAGGTAATTTGTCCCACGAAGGTGTAGACAATGTTCAACACGGCACCCATTCCCTCGACGTATGTTGTACCCTCTTTTGGCCACAAATGGTACGTCACTGGAGTTCCATCAAATCCGTATGGATGATCTTGGACACCAGCAAAAGCCATGGCTAAAACCACAGCAATGAACATAGTGATAGCAGAGAAGTAAGCGATAGACAGCATGGACGAGAAGGTTCTAGGCAAGGAAATCAAGAAGCAAATGATGGTAGTCACGACAGCAAACACAATGGAGCAAATATGCTTACCTCCAACTGCATCGGTGTTGTCGGAGATTGTGTTGAAGTATTTTGCACCCACCAAAACGTGCAACGCCTGAATCAAGGTATTGTTGCACAAGAAGCATACAGCAGTGGCATACCACACAGCATTGGAGTTCCAGAACAAATGCTTTCCAATATCACACACACTGGTGATGTGGGGGTAGGCAATACAGTATTCAGTGATAGTCAAGCCGGTATAGAGAACGGTAAGCGACACGAAAACCGTCAAAATAAGGCCCGGAATCAACCCCAAAACAGAATATGACCAAGGAAATGACATGATGGCCAAGCAAATGTATTCGGAGAACAAAAGCCCAGCGGCCCTTTGCCACGAGCAGTTGTTATAATCGATGGATGGACCAGTCTCCTGGTCGGAGATGTGCTCGAGTTCAGATTTCTCGTACTCAGACATTATTAGTTGGAAGAAGAGTTAGACGAGGTAAAATTCTGTGGTCTCATGATTTTAAAAGCAGCCATCCTAATATATATGCCATGTAGATGAGTCTTGAGCAACAAACCAGACCCAGATAGATGCCCTGATCCGAGTAAACTGACGGAACGTAATTACTTAGTAAGGGTATTTCGGGCTAATGGTTTGAAGATCTTCACTTACTGCATTCACGCCTCAGGTGAGTAGTGTGTTTAAATGATTGGTGGACCCTTTCTGATGTTCCGCAAAATTGTCTGGAGAAACAGTGAGTATGCATAGAAATAGTGCAGCATTGTTGTATGCTGGAAATCCTGTCGGAGAGACTCAAACGTTACTTTTTGACATTGACAGTTGCTTTCCAAGGTGATCAGGTAAAATTTAGGTATGATGGTAGCAAAGAAGTTTAAGTGGTGCGGCTGTTTCAGAGGCAATAGCCGAATGGAGGAGGGGGTTACAGTATGTGCTGGGAATCGCTTTCAAGTGATATTAAGTCTTCCAACTATTTTTTTTATGTCAGCGGTGACGTCGTTTTTCATGTAGACCAAGAAATTCTCGCCTTCTATTGCGTGCTTGTGCCACACTAACAAGTCCAGATTAAGTAATTAGCAACAGGAAACGCTCGTAATAACGAAAAGAAACATTTGACAAAAGGAAAAGGATGCCGGCATGAAGGTAGAAAATAACAGATCGTGTGTATTGGTGGTTCCTGAAATTCGTCGTAAATGCACTGACCCAGTCGGTGATAAGTAACAAGTATCAAGTATCAAGTATCAAGTATCAAGTATCAAGTATCAAGTACCAAGTATCAAGTATCAAGTATCAAGTATCAAGTATCAAGTATCAAGTATCAAGTATCAAGTATCAAGTATCAAGTATCAAGTATCAAGTATCAAGTATCAAGTATCAAGTATCAAGTATCAAGTATCAAGTATCAAGTATCAAGTACCAAGTATCAAGTATCAAGTATCAAGTATCAAGTATCAAGTATCAAGTATCAAGTATCAAGTATCAAGTATCAAGTATCAAGTATCAAGTATCAAGTATCAAGTATCAAGTATCAAGTATCAAGTATCAAGTATCAAGTATCAAGTATCAAGTATCAAGTATCAAGTATCAAGTATCAAGTATCAAGATTCAAATATCAACTACACGGCATCTCGAAGGTTGTATGTTGGTCCTTGTACCTTGTAACAAGTACGTCATACCTGGTAACAAGTACCTCATACCTGGTAACAAGTACCTTATACCTGGTAACAAGTACCTTATACCATGTGCCATGTACCTGATACATGTTACTTACCCACACATACTGTTAACTCACACTTATTCTACTCTACATCAATTCGTTCAATCCCCTTAACTACACAATCTTCTGCTTCACAAAGAAACCCTTCAAGTGACGCAATTGATATGCACAGGTCAGCACCAACACAATCAATTGAATGATACTCCACCAAACCACACGCGAGTTGGTGGACTCGGACTGGTTTCTGAAAAAAGCTTCTCTCTCTCTGATGTTCTCCTGCTCCAAGTGAATCTCTTGCAACTTCTTGTTCAAGTTCTGGATCTGCAAGGTCAACCCGTCAACCTTCTTGGAAGACTTGGAGTCCACGTAATCGTCAGACGATCCAATAGCAATGTCAAAGAAAATCTGGTGCAAACGACCCTTGGTACCGTCGTTGTACTTTGGAGTCAAACAGATCTTGTGCTCACCAGAATCAGCAGAGGTGAAGGTTAAGTCACCGTCAGTGCTAGCAGTCTGGTCCACCACACGGTGGTCATTGTCGAAAGTCTCGTCGATGGTGATCTGCAACTTCAAGTTAGGGTTCTTGAAGTAGTCATTCTGTCTTTCGTCGAACTCATATGCTCCCAACTTTCCAACCACCAACGTGCCTGCCTGCAAGTCTTCGTAGAAACATCTGGACTCACCGGTCTTCAAGTAGAAATGTAATGCCTGAACATGGCACACAAATGCGAGGAGGGCCACGAAATACTTCATTGTGGATGTTGCTAGTTGTTCATGGAAAAAAATCAACGCGTATAGGTTGGGAGGAGGTATGTGCAGGATGTAACATTTAGTGTAGAGTGATTTGAATGATTGTTAATCTGGGAAGGGTATTATCGAGCGGTTTGAATGAATTTTGGGATAATTAACGTTCAAATTTACTAAATCTTTCCAATTTTTTTTTTTCTTTTCGGTTTGTTCTGACATTTTTGTGAAGTACTTATTTGTCAAATGCCACCTTCACTATTGTGAGCACTGAGTACACGAAGACCACGCCGGAGACTGAAACTTAACAATTATTAAACTCAGACTTACAAGTCCAAAAATATACAAGCAATGGAATAAATCGTACCTTAAGTGAAATATATGTAATCTATGCATTTACCTACCTCCTTTCTTCTTCAACTTCTCCACTAAATTGTTCAATGAGGAAGACTCATCCACATTCTTGGTGGTCTTGGCCCTCTTACTCTTTCTTCCGTCCTCGTTTCTCAGTCTCTTTGACCGCTCTTGCAAGATCTCCTTCATTGTTTCAGTCTTCTTGAACTCGCTACTGTTAGGGTCAATAGCATACTCGTGGCTCTCAAACACTTCCTTAAAACGTGGATCGTTCAAGTCTGCAGCAAACTTGTCCTGAACAAGCTCGCTATCGTAATTCTTCTTGCCCTTCTTCTTGCCCTTGCGCTTCTCCGCCTTGACAATATCTCTCATGTTGAAATGGTCGGCATTATCTTGCTCGTTATTCTCGTCCAACATAAGTAGCTCCAACTCAGCTTTGCTCTTCTCGCTAGACTCGTCAACTCTCTTCTTATTCTTTTTATTCTTTTTCTTGTCTCCCTTCTCAGCCTTTTCTTCCTGTTCTTGGGCTGCAACCTGGCTCTTATACTTCTCCAATCTGCGGGCCCGCCGTTCCTTCTCCTTTCTCTTGTATGCGCTAATAGTTGTTTCTTCCTCTTCTGCCTTTGGCTCTGGCGCAGGCTTGTTCTCATCCAATCCAGGGTTGAATGTGATTTCCATGTCCACATCGCCCTCATCCTCCTCAGCACCCTTGTCAAACGAGAACTTACCTCCCAAAAGGTTCTTGTACTTATTTTTCAAGTCCTCGTTTTGCTCGCCGTCACTGCCGTCCGAATCCGAAGCCAAATATGCCTTGAAATCCATATCATCGATTTCCTTTTGTGAGAACAGTCTCGTGGACAAAGTCAACCGCTCCTTGGGCGTTTCATCCCATGTGAGCTTCACTTTAGAGTGCTGCAATGCATCCGTCACAAAAGTAGAATCTGGACGATAAGAAGAGGGGATCTTGGTGCAAACATCCTTTGCCTCGGATTCATCAAACTCCATGCCTTCAGGAACGTATCGCAAGTCAAAAATGTTGGCTGTGGACTCGTATTCAGATCCATCACAGTTATCGTAGATATTTTTGGCAGTTCCAACCGAGTCACACACTACAACAGCATAGTAGTATCTCAATCTCTGGAGCTGGTACTTTCGCAAGGCCTTGGAGTCATAGTCTTCCTCTCCATCATCTTCCTCGTACAATTTACGAGCCGCTTTTTCCAAGTCCTCCTTGTTGGTGAGGTCAAGTTCTTCGTCTGAATCAGAGTCCAGGTCGTTTTTCTTCTTGCTCTTGAAAAGCTCTTTTGGAGGGCCCTCTATCTCTTCTTTCTGCATCTGTTCTTTTCCAAATTCCGATGGGTAAATGGTGACATTCTTTATAGCTCCACCCTTTGGTACAAATGATGCGAACGTAGCCATCAAGTCCACAGCTCTGACGTTGTCCCAGTCCAAGTTCACTACGGCAAAAGTAGCCGAAGGCTCACCTTCTTCGGGCTTCTGATCTTCCTCAACCTCAGACTCCTCAAGCTCAGCCTCAGAGTCAGATTCAGACTCCGATGAGTCAGATTGTAACCCTTCACCTCTGGCTCTATCAATGAATTCTCCAGACTCTGAGTCAGAGTCAGATTCAGATTCAGATCCTGACCCAGACACGGATTCACTAGCTTGTTTCTTAGCGAGATTGACCTTTTCTCGCTTTTGCAACTTTTTTCTTTCTGCTTTGGGCAATTCCTCTTCATCTTCAGATCCAGTTTCACTGTCGGCTTCAGATCCAGATTCCTCGGACTCTTCAGACTCCTCAGACTCTTCAGCTTCGGACTTCTTCTCTTCGCTATTCTCCGCCTCAAAGTACTTGTCGTAAACCTCATCGGCATCCTTCTTCACTTTTCTTCCATATCTGTCGACCTTAACTTTACGTCCTGTAGCAGTGACATTTAACTTCTTTAATTCTTCCTTGGAGAAACGGTCATCCACTTTAATTTTGTTCTTTTTCAAGCTCGGGACAATGAACCGAGGATCATACAGCGAGGAGGCGAACCTGGGATCCTCCTTGGACTTTTGGGGCTTTCCCATTATAAATATATCTGATGAGATGAGATGAGATGGTTGAGAAACTTCGATGTTTGAGATGGTCTTCGCACCAGGTGTACGGGTGTATTTTGCAGCCAAAGTATTGGTAAGAAAAGCGTGGAATGTTCAATGGGAGTATAGTGAACTTTGAAATCACCTAACAAAAAAAAATTACTGAGAAAAAATCATTGTTTAAACCTTTAAATACCCAAATTACCCCATGGAACCTCCTGCATGGTTCCCAACGAGACCCACCATCTCAAGGAATGCTCTGTCCTCACCCAAGGTCCGCATATTCACGCTCTGACGAGCTTTGGCTTGTTTCTCCTCCCATTCCCATTGTTTCCTTTGTTCGTCCAACTCCTTGGTCGACCCAACACCCCATACTTCCAAATCAGTGATCATAAACCGATCTTCGTAGTCTTGGCTTTGCACCACCTGTTGCTCTGACCGATTAAAATAGCTGGGTGTATTGGCGCTGGAATTTGCTATGTGTCTAAACACTCCAAACTCTAGATTGGCTTCCAAAGTCAACGAGACAGACCCAGGCAAATACTTGCGCACGTTGTTCTTGTTAACAGGTTGGTCGTTGCCAAATCCAAGTCCCATCCCCAAGTTGTTAAAGTAAATCAGCCGGCCCTGGTTGATAGGATCTGGTTTTGACTTGAAGAAGTCATAACGAGGGGAAACACACATGATTGCGGTGTTCTCGTCTCCAAAATTTTTCTTGTTGGAGTTTCTCCATGGCTGATGCACATAAATCAAATAAGTGATCTTGTCGTTGTCAGATTGCCATTCCCGGTGAGGATCTTCCGTGGACCTGAAGTATCGAGGATATTCTGAGTCAAACAGCTGGTATCGCTTGTTGGTGGTCATTGTTTTATGCCGTAATCGTTTGCCAGAAACAAGAAAGAGCGTAGGAGCCTGCCACTTGATGATTTTCAGCTCCAATGAGCGAATGGAAAATCCGCTATTGGAGCCATTGTAGAGCAGAACAAGATTGGATGGCGACACTGTGTATCCAACGCCAACCGTGTTGAGGAACACAGAAACGTAGGCAAGGGTGGCTGTATTAACTAACCTCGTTTCTTCAAACTTAATGGTTTTCTTGGTTTTCTTATGATCTTCATCGTCGTCGTCATTCTTTTCCTCGGGAAGAGCATCGGGTAAAGCCTCTGCTACGACTAGTGAGAAAATACCATGTTTGAACAACTTTGCAAAAGCCAGGGGAACGAAATCACGGAATCCAGTTTCTATGCCTGATTTGAATTGGTCAAAAGTGACCATTACAGTGCTCAAGTTAGACGCAGTTATCTCTACGTTCAAATAACGAACGAGGAGTATGGCAGACTGTTTGAATTCGCCCCATTTGTTGTTTATACTTGTTTGTAGCTCTTTCTGCATTTCCAGATGAGCTTTCTGGGGAATCGAGTTACAAATGAGCAAAAGCGTAAAAATTTGTACCAAAACGCTCGCTGAGACTTCCATAGACTCAACCTCAAGCTCGTCATATTCTTTGAGCGGCTTGAAAGTACTCCACCGGATCCGTTTCGCCGTTGTGTTCGTGCTGGTATCATCTTGGTATCCATTTGGAAGTTCTAAGACTTCTGCTACATACGGATCGTCCGGGGTAGTTTCTCTGGCACTTTTCTCCACCTCTCCATTATCAGATTTCTCATTGAGCGTGTGGCCAATGGAATTGGTGGATAATGAAAGTGACATGAAGATCAACTTCAAGTAGTCAATATCTTGCCATATCTTGTTGATCCGGCCAGTATGCACAAGTGATGCGATGATCAATCCATTAAGCGTGAGTTGGTCATCATGATCAGGATTTAAGCAGTCTTGTAGGAAAGGTAGATTGCCCAATACCTTAAATGATCCATACAAGATCTTAATAGCAGTAGCAAAGTCCGAATGAACAGACAGAACATCGATGTTCTTGTCATTCTGCAACTGAAGTAAATATGCTAGGTCCGAGTATGTTATCACAGTATGAGCATCGTTGGCTACAGTCACGTTGAGTTTCTGGCTCACCAATGCTTGCTCAGACTTAGAGAGTAAGTTCATTACTCTCCACCGGAAGAGTGTAATGATCTGCAGTTTTGTGAACAGCTCAAGTGATGTATTCCTTGAATGCGAATTGTCTGAACTTGCAAATTGGCCCATGGTTAACGATATTTGCGTGGTATGATTGGAGTATTAGTGTAGTACGAGCGTAGTAATAGAACAGATATAACTAGCTGGAGATATCAATATTGAAGCGTGAAAGATAATCGCGATTGATAACTTGTATTGAATTGAAAATGCAGTAATGGACGCTAAATATGGAATAAATAATATCGGAACCTATCAGGAGGAGGTCGGTGAGGAGATTTACTTAGAAGTCGATGATGGTAAAGGTTATATATACAAGTACCTGCACTACTTGCCACTTGTGGGTCATTAGACAAGAGATTAAGTTGAGAATAAGAAATTTGAGATTAGCTTATATTGCTTCCAGGAGCAGATACTGGGTCTAGAACAGAATTGTGTTTTATCATGGAAATGTATGCAAGGTATTTATGAAGTCATTATCAAACTTACTTATCTCACTTTACTATGGGACGTTATCACTATCTGTCTCATTTCTCAATTTCATGATTATGATCAGTCACTTACAGGCTCACTAACTGTAAGCACTTTTCTGGTGGATTTAACTTCAAAAGGGATCAATTACATCCCTGGCAGTCTTTTCTTTTATTTCCCACTACTCATAGTTAATTGATCTTGTTACCATTGAATCAGTCAAGTCAGGTATCCTGGGTGGTTCTTCGAGAGTGTTCTGAGGTTAAATGCTTAACTGACGTGGATTCAGTGAGAACATGCCAAATTCACATGAGTAGATGAGTAAAGGATGGTCGCAGAAAATTTGTAAAACGTAATGAAACTCGTGTGAAATGCTTGACACTACGAAGCTCAATAATACCAGTAGTTTTCACATTAACTGCTGTGGTATACCAACAGGCTGTCTTAAAAATAGAAACTTGGAGACCAAAACCAAGTGTCATCTGGCTCAACTGTATGGTATTGCGTCATCTACTATGTTTTCAGAATTGGACTACTAGGTTTGGTGAAGAAAGTACTTCGTATAGATGTTGTCAGTTAACTGGGGCTGTTGTTACCGATAATAAAAAATGAGTAGCTCTTGTTCAATATGTAAGAGCTCTGATTAAGTATTGTTGGGATTTGGCTGGAAAGTTGTTATCTAACGAAAACAAGGGAAGACAATTAGTATATTTCGGCAAGCAACGATTCCGTGAGTTTGTACTTGAAGAAGAAATTAAGTGAAATCATGTTTCTGGTTGTTCATGGCGGGTTTAAGCAAATGCATCAGTGAAATAGAGCTTTGCTCTCATTTCCAAGTCATAAACGAATTTCTTGACTTTGCCCAAGAAGCTCGTTGGATGAATCACTTCTTCTCCAACAGAGTCTGTGCCATGATTTCTCTGATTAATCTGAGCCTGCTTCAAGAGCTGCTTGGTGAATGAAAGAAATACAAGACAGAAGTAGAGCCTTAAGATACTGGTGATAATGGTTCCACTAACAGTCAAGAACAATTCTCTCGATGGAGATGCAGACTGTGACAGAGCCTCTACTGCTCTCTTGACAACGTCATCAACACCGATTTTTCCCTCCCCTAGAGCCTTTTCGTTTCCTCCGTAAGATCCGGGAGCGCTATCCTCTCTACTGAACCAGAAATAGACAAAATACACCGTATACAAGAAACCCACCAAGGTATCCAAGAGATAGATCACACAGGCCAAGCATGTTTTTCTTACATTAGTTCCTCGGTTCAGCAAGTTGAAAAGTGCCGAAATGTAGAATGGAAGCGTAAGGAATGCCAACAAGTTATATAGCCATTGCCAAAAGTTCAAGTGGTGGCCAGTCAAAATGGACAACACACCGTAGGCTCCGCCGGCCTTATTTAAAATGGCAATAGAGAGAATGAGCTCCGTGCCAACATAAAGCGGGATGATGAAAAAGAACTTCTATGCCCTGTTAGTAGATTCCTGAAATTTGGATATGTTGTCTATACATACTGATGGAAGAATTTTATCGAGAAGCAGGACAGGCATAATGAAAACAACAGTTGAATTGTGGAGAATATAGAAAGAATTTTGTACTGAAAATGAAGTTTCAACCGTTTCCCCTATTTGGTTTTTCCCGGAATCTAGTTTATAGGATACTACTTTTGAGTGAAATCAACCATGCACACCACTCATCTCATCACATTTTCTTTCTGCCATGATTGACCAAGAGTTGCCAGTAGCAGTGGAGAAATTGGAAATATATTCCTCTGATACAGATTCAAGTGATGACGAGACCCTGCAAATTTCAGGCAACAAAACCATCACGGACCGTGGAGAAATTGTGGAGAAGTATTCCAAGGTGATAAATGTGGAACCTCTAAAAAAGGGTCCTAAAACCACAAAAGACAGAGCTAACAGAGCCACTGTCGAGCAAGTCTTGGATCCTAGAACGATGAGATTCTTGGGTAAGATTATTAATAAGGGTATCATCTCCAGAATCAACGGGTGCATCAGTACAGGTAAAGAAGCTAATGTGTACCATGGAGATCACGAAGACCCTTCGGTGACGACACGAGAGTTTGCCGTAAAGATTTACAAGACTTCCATTTTGGTGTTTAAAGATAGAGAACGTTATGTGGACGGAGAGTTCCGATTCAGAAACACAAAGAACCAAAGTAATCCAAGAAAAATGGTCAAGGTTTGGGCCGAGAAAGAGTTCCGTAACTTGAAAAGATTGTATGTGAACGGCATTCCTTGTCCTGAGCCTGTGGAGCTCAGATCGCATGTTCTTGTGATGGAGTACTTGACCAAGGGTAATGGCCAACCTTCTCCAAAACTTAGAGATCATCCATTCAAGGATATTGACGAAATCGTACATTATTACCAGCAAATGTTATTCTATATGAGAAGAATGTACCAGAAGTGTCGTTTGGTGCATGCAGATTTGTCTGAATACAACTCTATTGTTCACAATGATAAACTTTACATCATCGACGTTTCCCAATCGGTTGAGCCAGAGCATCCTATGGCGCTTGATTTCCTTCGAATGGATATCAAGAATGTCAATGATTATTTCTCCAGGAAGCATATTAACGTTTATCCTGAAAGGCTCCTTTTCAAGTACATCACCGAGAGTGACTACAACTTGCAGTTGACTGATGATTCCGACGAAGTTTTGGGAGCCTACTTGGACAAATTACCTTTGAAGAGTGAGCTTGGTGATGATGTAGATGATGAGGTTTTTCGATCATTGCACTTGGTGAGAAGCTTGAATAATCTCGAGGAAAGAGATTTTGAGAAGTTCACCGAAGGAAAAGTGGATACGTTAACGGATTTGGTTGCAAAGAGTAATGAGATAGAAAATGAGGATGAAGACGATGAAGATGAAGACGATGAAGATGATGAATCTGATGACTCTGATGACGATGATGATGACGACGATGATACCCAGGACGAAGAGGATTCCGAGGAAGAAGGAAACGAGAAACCAAAGAAAAGGTGGGTGGAGAGAGATCAGGTATTAAAGGGAAAGAAGCACGAGGACAAAGACGAAAAGAAGCAGAGAAAGGCCGCCGCCAAAGAGGCTAAAGCAGAGAAGAGGAAAACAAAGATGAAGAAGCACGTCAAAAAGAAGCTCATCAACAAGCGTAAAACCGGATAGTGATAATATATAGAGCATACGGCATATCCTAATTTTTTCCCATTGTTTTTGTTGTATGGCAGATTAAATCAGCATGTTGCTGCTATGGCAAGTAAGTTGAAGCAGCATAGCGCAAAATCAGATCAACCATATAAGGAAGGAGAGGACACGGCAATGGTACACCTCTCCTCATAGTATGGTTAAAGTAAAAGATTTGGTGTCTCAATTCGAAGTGGATGGCAGTGAGCCCAAGACATTTCGTCGAAAGGTGATCATTAATCCTCGGGGTAAAGTGGACAGTTTCATACCAAAGTCGGCGGAAAAGGATCTACATACGAAGTTTGCGTCTCCCACTGAACCAAAGGAATTAAAACAGTTAACGAATAGCAATTTTGAGAGGCTAGTTAGTGCTAAAAAGGAGAAAGTTAAGGAGCACGCTGTAAAGAATGACGTTCAAGAGTTCATGAAGAGGGCGATTGAGGCAAGAGAGGAACAATTTGAGTCTGTGTTAGCATCGCTAGAAAGAATGAAGCGAGGCGAGTTTGCTGCTGTGAAGTCTCTGTCCAACAAAGAGACTCAGAATAAGGTGGATGACATAGCAAACAATGAAAAGCGCAAATCAGATCTGTTTGAAGCTTCGAGCGGAAAGATTAACAAACTGAAACTTGAAGATGCAATAAGTATTCAGAAACTACATGAATTGGAGAATCTTCAAAATTTCAAATCCAATGGAAGCGTCGATTGTCTACTCGAGACCTCAAGCCCAGCTCTCGAGGAGAACGAAAGATCAGATCAGAAATCAGATGGGATTCAAACTCCAGCTCAGACTCCAGTTCAGATTCCGATACAGACTGCAGCTCATGTTCCAACTGGGACTTCCCTTGAGTCATTAGAAAAATGTCCACTCAAATCGCCTTGTCAAGTTTCCATCGATGAAAGTGAGATTTACTATGACTCTCAGGCCCATTCCAGCACTGTTGACCCACTTCCGGAGTTGGAAGAGCCGTTCGATGAAACACTTCCACTATTTATCATGAAGAATGATTGCAGAAGCTCGGGTGAAAGCAGTATCAGAAGTCTTAACCTGCCAATGAGTAATTTGAAGCAGAAGAATCCCAATCTACAAGTGACAACTCCAGCCACCGAGTACTTCAGTGATGCTGGAAGAGAGGAAGAGAGCTGTGCAGAAGTACCAAAGATGAAGGAAATAAAGCCACCATCTGAGTTTTCCAAAGAGAAAGTGGTGGATAATACAAGCAAATACACATTTGGTTTGGATTTAAAAGAGGGCACAATTACACCCAGATCTTCTCGAAGACTGAGCAGCAATTCAAAGCACTTGCACAGTGACTCAAATCTGAACTCGATAGATAAATTCAGTTGCCAGAAGAATTCAATGAGAGATTCAATCACTGATTCAGCAAGAAATTTCAGTTTAAGCACCCCCAAAAGGGAAGTTGCCAAAAGTCAGGGTATGCCCAAGCTTAAGGCGCAGAAGTTGAGAGAAAGTTCACCAGGAATTGTACAACCGGGATCTTTCAGATTGGGATCCCCGACAATGAAAGCATTTTCGAAGTCTGCATCTTCCAGTATCGTCCCTTCTCCTGATCTGTTGAGAGTAACACAGAAACAGAACGAGGTGAATCTCACAACCGCAGGTCCGGAAAGTGAAATTAATGATGGAGGAATGGAAGGCAAAACGAATGCGAAATTGGATCAGCATATTGAAAGTTTCATTTTGGATAGAGGTCAGCGGAATGAAATTGACCAGAAAGATGAAGCGGATATGTCGGTCGATGTCAGGGTCCTTCTTAACAAGCAAAACGAAAGTCACCAAAACATTGGCAAGGTTGAGACAAATTTGATCAAAAACAGTGATAAGGTTGTTCTCAAGTCTGAATCGCTAGAGAAAGTGCACAGATTTATTATTCCTAGTCTTCCATCAGGGTCACAAGAACAGCTAATCAAGTTTTATCACACCAAATCTGGTCAGTACAAGAACCCAATCAGTACAGCTGACAGGTCCACACCTGAATTCATTCAAGCAGAAAGCTCTAGAAAATACAGCTCTTCGGCCACGACTCGCTCCACCACTTGGAACCCGAATGCTTCAATGGAGATGGCCAGAAAGTCTCTTGGAGACAAGGACCAACATTCGTCTGGATTCATTACTCCAGACGCCCACAGTGGAAGGTATCCTACCTTCAAACATCCCTATAACCAGATGGCAAAGACTTCTGAAGAAGTTTCTAAAGGGTCAAACTTTGACAGTAGTGTAATTGGAAGTGGTGTTTCGCAGCCAAATCGGCAAGTGCACAGTGAAAAGAAAAGACCAACCACGAACATAAGGATACTCCGGATATTAACAACAACTATATTTTCAACATAGGAGGGTCTCGAGAAGATGTTTCAGATGCTGGAGACAAAAACAGGACTCGAAGGTTCTCGTTCAGATTGAAGCTGCTTTTTGCACGAAGGTCTCAGAAGTCCAGTAAGAAAGATTCAAGAGACAATGCGAGAGAAGCAGGAAAAGCATCGGTTCCTACCGAGATCGACGTGCCGTTGACACTCCCACCTTTAATTGCACGACCCGCCGTTGTTGCACTTTCCACATCGGCTCCTCCACTAACCTCCATGGACGAGTCTTACCATGAGTATATTGAGCAACTGAAACGAGACGGTCGAGCCATCTCGCCGCGGGGCTTTCTGCTGTACCTTGCGAGTAATCAGGATGGTTCTGAATGGGACGAATATCTTCATACGTTTGCCAATTACATTGAGAGTCGATTTGCTATGGCAACCTCAATTTGAGTGGATACGTAATGAATGATTGGAAGTTTGAGAAGAAGAGGATACAAAAAAAAATCGAGAATTCGAAAGCCAAGTTTAAAAGGGAAAATAACAAGCCAAATTTATATAAATAGTTAGTAAGCAAATTTACTTTCAATCGAAACTATTAGTTTTATTTATTATTAGCTTGATAACCACAGCAAGCCTCTATAAATAGTTCGCGCTAACCACACTCACCCATTCACGAACTACTCCATATCCAATGCCGGGTAACCCAGCTGTTACATGCACGCCACTCTCACCTACAAACTACCTAATCAACAGATAATTAAAAGCCAAATAGCTGCGTTGTCCGTAGACACACCAAGTCGCCTCTGGAAACACTCAATTGCGCTCGGATCAATTCTTTTGCTTACGTAAGACGTTCGCATCCATTTATTTCCTTCTACAACCATGGATTATTTGCGAGACTCGCCCTTCGAGGAATCGTCAAGGGCGGATACAGAAAACAGACATTATAGCACGGAATTCGATGGCTCCATGCCTGCCGGAGACTTTGAATTTGCTATTGGTCAACCCTATCCATCCACAACGTATGATGGTGATGCGCTGCAGTACGGAGTGGACTCATCAACGGGTATGCCAGCTAGCGACCCATACTTCCAGACATTTGATACTGTCGGGTCTCCATCCAACCAGCCAGTGCTGCCCACCATGCCAGGCGGCCACATGAACCCACAGGATTTGGGGCTAGACAACGTCTTTAATGAGTCCTTACAGTTCAACGTGAACAACGACATGAACAACTTAGACCTGTTGGTTTCTCCTGACAACGGTGCTGCGATGGCTCAAGCTAACATGTTCAATACTTCGCAATATTTTTCGCCCAATACTCGGCAGGAAAATTTTGGCCTGTTGAACGATATCGCCGAGGACCTGCTCTCGAAGCAGTTTCTGAATAGCACATTCAGTCCCGACCTCTCCCGCCATGGCAGTGTGAGCGTAGCTCCTCCAAAACCGGAGCTGTACCTTCTGCCGAATTACTTGTCACCACAGCTGAATGCCTACGACGGCCTGTTTGACACGTTGAAGTCGCCATACCTGGGTCTGTATTTGAATTCGCCACCTCCGCTTAATTTACAGAGCACCAGCATACCTAAAGCGACCAACTTCAACCAGACCTCCATAAGCCACACGCTTGCGCTGCCGCTGCAACTGTATGAGCTGTATGGATTGGGAATGTCTGCGCCGACGGCAAGCGAAACTCCAAGAAATGCTTCAGATGTGAATACCAACAGGCAGCTAACGCCGGAGGAGAAAGCTAGAAGACGCAGAGAGTTCCACAATGCTGTTGAGCGGAGGAGGCGTGACTTGATCAAGGAGAAAATCAAGGAGCTTGGCGGTCTCGTTCCTCCGCTGTTACTCACTCCTCAATTGTGCGCGGTCCAAGCGCTCCTGAAGCAATCCCATCTGAACCTGGCCGAGATCAAAGAGTTATTGGCTTCCGTTAAGGTTAAAGAAACAAAGCCTAACAAGGCGACTATCTTATTGACTTCTGTGGACTATATTCGCCACTTGCAATATGTTCTTAGCCAACAAGAGCGCAAGCGTGAAGAGCTTGAACAGCAGATTGCTGATCTTCAAGTGGATGATAGCAGTTCTAGCGTTTCAACGAGGCGTTCTGACCAATACCCGCTGTCATCCTCGGAGTTCAATCCCAATGATTTTTTGTCAGATGCCTTTGGAGAGGGTCTGCAGTTCTGATAATGCCTTTCGAATGTCTGGGACATTTGAATTATGCAACCAAGCTTCAATTTGATAGACAATAATTGCTGGAGTCCTCTACGGCGCAAGATATATGCTGAACATTCTTGGAGGCACATGTGATATAATTGATATTTACGAAATCATACGTGTATGATTTGTACTACTTTGTTGGGTACTTCGGAAATTTCCTTTCATTGATGATATTCTTATTTTTCTCACATGTTTCGCTTCCCTAACCCTCCTTCTAACGTCCATCCTACCTGAGAATTGTCTCAATACGAAAACCCAAATTTTATTAATGGAAAGGATCGGGATTAAAAAAAGTTCCTCGAACTGCTCTTCATTGACTTATCTTCATCTTCCAGCCCGAATTTCTGATCTATATTTATATTCATTGATATCCTCATTTAGCCCAAGCCGTCCATCAAACGGCACTACACACAGGCCTTATAAGATGTTCGATTCTGTAATCTTCAAACAGAACAACTATGGATTCCCAAACGAGAGACTCAGCTGAAAGATTCGTTCAGTTTGTGGCCAAATCGCCAACTCCATACCATGCTGTGGCCAATGTCAAGGAGAAACTCGTGGCCAATGGGTTCGAGAGCCTTAAAGAGGTTGATCAGTGGTCCATTTCGCCTGGGAAGTCTTATGTGGTGACCAGAAATGGATCGTCGCTCATTGCTTTCCGTGTTGGCGATAACTACAAGCCTGGAGGTGCTGTTGCTATCGTTGGTGCCCATACTGATTCGCCTTGTCTTCGAATTAAGCCCATTCTGAAGAAGTCTGGTGAAGGCTTCATTCAGGTCGGAGTGGAGCAGTACGGAGGACTCATTGCTCATCTGTGGTTCGACAGAGATTTAAGTATTGCTGGAAGAGTGTATGTGAGGGAGTCCAGTGGCAAATACGTGGCTAGATTGCTTCATATTAATAAGCCTTTAATGAGAATCCCAACTTTGGCAATTCACTTGAACCGTGAAGTTAATCAGAAGTTCGAGTTCAACCGTGAAACCGAAATGGTTCCTATTGCGGGGCAGGAGGAGTACCGTCACACATGTGCCACGGATCCCAACTTGAAGCTCACAGAGCTGGAATTCCAGGCTGTCAAGCATGTGGTAGAGAGACACAATGAATCCTTGGTGGGTCTCATAGCCCAGGAATTGAATGTCCAGGTTGACCAGATTGAAGATTTTGAGTTACTTCTCTGTGACAACCAGCCACCCACACTTGGAGGAATGCATGACGAGTTCATTTTCTCTCCCAGGCTTGACAACTTGACGTCTTGTTTTGCTGCTGCCGATGGTATTGTAGCCGCCAAACCCGCATCTGACGCTATTCTGATGATTTCTCTTTTTGACCATGAAGAAATTGGCTCGGTTTCTGCACAAGGTGCCGATTCGTCATTTTTGCCTGATGTGCTCAACAGACTAGTCGAGTCACTGCCTGGAGCTTTGCCCAGAATGTGCAGCAAGTCATTCTTGCTCTCTTCTGACCAGGCACATGGTATCCACCCCAACTACGAGCGTTTCTACGAGAAAGCAAACCGTCCTCATGTGAATGGTGGCCCCGTGATCAAGATCAATGCCAACCAGAGATATGCCACCAATTCTCGTGGTATTGTGATAATTAAGGCTGTTGCAGAGAAAGCAAAGGTTCCATTGCAGTTGTTTGTGGTGAGAAATGACTCCCCTTGTGGTTCTACAATTGGCCCCATGATCTCAGCAAAGTTAGGACTTCGGACTCTCGACTTGGGAAACCCACAGTTATCAATGCATCTGATCAGAGAAACTGGAGGCTCTCATGATGTTATCAGATTGTCTACTCTTTTCGGGGAATTCTTCTCCAGTTTCTCCGAGGTGGACTCTCTTGTAGAATGTGATTAGTGTAATAAAACGACATTAGAAGTTCATGGCTTTACAAACGATCTCCTTATGAAATTAGCGGATGAATGGATTTAACATAATAACTTTTCCTACCACGCAAGTAAATTTCCATTAGCTCCGCTTCTCGTTTCAATATGGTAAATCGGATGCTTTTACTATTGTCCTCGAGCTCTTTTTAGTTTAACTCCGTTAGATAAACAGCGGATATATCCGAATTATGTCAGATTTCGGGCGCCACGGAAGTTGATGAAATTGCCGACGGAAAACCGGCAATTGGATTTAACATCTGGTACTAATAAGAACCGTCCTCCATCCTACTAGAGGCATCAATTATGCCTGCTAATACATTCTCTCTGTGCTGTGTGCAAGGGAAACTCCATGATGGGGAGGCCTCCGGTGTTATCAAGAAACAATTTGGAATCAATGCTTATGTGACTGGTGAAGACTATGGAGATGCGCGGAATATTGTTATCTTCTCCGATGTATTTGGAATAGGTTTGAAAAACAACTTACTTATTGCGGACTGCTTGGCTGATGCCGGTTATCGTGTGTATATCCCTGACATCTTCGACGGGGATGCTATCAAAGTTGAATCTATGTCGAATGGTTTTGATCCAGAAGCCTTTGCTGCGTGGAAGAAACGTCATGACCCAGTCAATGTTGCATCCTTCACTCAAAAGTTTTTGGATGACCTAAGACAATCCGTTGGTGATAGCAAATATATTGCAACAATTGGACACTGTTACGGAGCAGGATTTGTGTTGAGATCTTTGGCAGAAGGTGGTGGGGCGGATGCTGGAGCCGTTGCCCATCCATCATTTGTGAGTGGAAGCTTATTTGAGGGTGTCACTAAACCATTGCTCATTTCTGCTGCAGAGAATGATAATGCATTTGCTCGGCAAGATCGGGTTGAGGCAGAGATTGCGCTCCATGAAAACGGCATCAAGTATCAAATCACAGTGTTTTCTGGTGTGAGCCATGGGTATGCTGTTCGTGGAGATATGTCAGACCTTTCAGTGAAGTATGCCAAAGAGAAGACGTTGATGGATCAGATTTCATGGATAAATCACTTTCTGAGATGAAGAAATTGGTGGTGAGCAACAGAAGTGGGGCCATTGGTACGTTGTAAGAATTTTCTAGATATCTTCCGTATATATAATGCTATTTATGTTTCAAAATTCCAAACAATATCTGTTTAGTCCATTCAAACAAGGTTCAGGTACACTATTGAATCTTCCAGAGCCAATTGTTGACACGATAGCTCTTACTTGCGACGATACTTATAAGGAATATATAAGAGAAGACAACTTGGTACTGTTGACACAATTCCATATATGTTGCAATGTGAATTCCAATACATTCGTATTTAGTCACAGAGTTTTAATCCTTATTCGTAAAGTAATCCTCGATCACTTTATACGAAGCAGTCCTGTGAAACATAAATTCCTGATATGCTTTTTCATCCAACACTCTACGCCACACGAGATCAGATACCAAATCACTGACAAGCGCTAAAGGTGTCTGAACTCCAATAAGGAAAACATCGATCATGGCAGGTACATTCATATGTAAGAAAATTTCCAATGGAATTCAAGAGAGACACGGCAGACTAAGAAGGAGAACAATAAACCAGGTTGAAGAAGTCCATAAAGAACCACTAGACGGAATAATAATGAATCGCAAGTGGGAGTACTTGGCAGGGTATTGGTGGTGGCGAAATGTCCAGTTTCGCAACTCAAGTTACAATATTAGTTTGGGGAGGGTATTGTGCAGAAGGGCCCGCAGTGAGAGTTATTTTGTAGAGACACACTCCGTTCGAAGACATCCGGATAGATGCACGAGAAGATGTGAGTTGATGTGAACAAGACAGGGCTTGTTGGTTTTTGTCTACGAAAGTTGGCTAATCATGTTTTTTTTCTTTTGCTTTTCTCCATTTTTTCAAAACAAATTATAATCTCGTTCCCGGTACAAACACATAGTCTACAATACTCATCCACAGACAACCCCTTTGATTTAGTTCATCAAAAGCCAACTTTTCCAGTGTGCCTTTCAGCTCTGTTTTCCCAATTTAGTTGGAAGTGCCAACCAAAGCTTAATCTTATCTTTTGACATCACTTGGTGCAGGAATTTCTGCAGGAACAATCTTCTATACATATAAGGAACGTAGTTCCCCACGAGTATATAACCTTACTTATAATTGCTATTTCGGCTTCCAATTCTAAATTTTCACTTTAATCACTTTGGCATCTTTGCCTTCAGCCTTTGAAGTTGCTCAATCCCTCCAAGTTTGCCGGATTAACCTCCATTAACTCTACAAGGCCATTGACGTTTCATATATGGCTACTGAGATGCTGATGAACAATATGGAACACGTTGTGCTGTCTAATAGCTAACCATGCTTCCAAAATCATCACCAAGCACTCAAATACTTGAGTCCAACTCCGATCTTCATTTCCAACGTTCGATCCTAGGTCAACCATTGGCAAATTAGAGACTTGCTCCAGGTCGATTCTCGTAACGGAAACATATACAACATATTCGATAATTCTTTCCGTAGAATATCAATTAATCTACTGAACACCTGCCTGGTGAATAGCCACGACTACTTGGGCCTCCCTTATGCCCCGGTTTGCTTAAACCACTCTCCTGGGGGCATAGTGGTGGCTGGTGGATCAGTGACTTCCTGGCCGAATGTTGACCTGATGAATATTCCCGACTTTACTTGGCGAAACTAGCAGTCCCGGCCTCTTAAGTCTATTCTCGGTGTATACCCCAAGATTGGAGAAAGAAATGACATTTAATTTGGGGAAGAATATCAATAATTCAGTGACAGTCTACCCAATGGATGGAAGCTCTTTTCAGTATACCTCATACGTGTTTAACAACGATTCAAGCTTATGTGTTGTCGATATTGGCAACAGCGCAGTAAGAGCCACACGAAGAATCATTTGTGAGTCTAATACCCTTGACTAATGTTCACCAATCTCCGGACGGTAGATTATTGACTATCACTGGCGATTCTGGAAACATTTTTTTAGTTGATCCTCGTGAGGAATCACCAATCATCAACACCATCAAAACTCTCAATGACGCGGGGTTTGGGATTTCATACCATAGCAACGAGCACGTTCTTGCTTGTGCCTTTCAAAACGAAATAAGTTTGCTCTTCGATTTGAGGCGACGTGAAATACCACTCCGTGACGTGTGAGGTAACATCGAGCCATCCAGACATTTTCTCTGGAGTTTTTAGATGCTGCAAATTCATGAAGTCACCCATCCAAGACCTCTTGGTTATTCTGGAACTTGGAAGGGCGCATCTTGTTAATCTCAATGTTCTGAATGATGATGATCACCAAGTAATTGTGTTCCCATTTGCTTCCGATCAGTTTGCTCATTTCAACCACGAGCAGCTCAGCAATAGCGAAAAGCTGCTTATGACACTGCCAAGTTACAATCCGGGTAATAACGGAGACTCACGGAATGATTTGGAGGTTGACCTTGAGGACGACCACAAGAGTTTTACAATTTACAATGAATCGACTCAGTTTACTGTTCCCTTGGTAAATGATTTTGAATATCTATCGGATAAGGATCCTGATCTTTTCAAAGATATCGAATACCAGAGTCCTTCTATCACAGAATGTGTGAATTCCAGACTTCATAGCATTCCACGAGATCCCGAGCACCCACAGTCGAATTTGATACTTGCGCATATGAATGAGTGTAAAAGCAGTTCGACCGAAGCTCAACCAACTCCAGACTCATGTAACCTACCAATAGATTATAGGTGAGATGGACATCACAGGTGTGGACTGGTTCGGAAGTCATTTATACTTAGGGAGTGAAGCGGAGATTCTTCTGTGGGATACCAACACGAAGTAGCTCCTTGCCTCCATCTTCATGGATCATCTTCCAATTTAGTTTTCCAAAAGCCTGCAGCAGCCAAAAATTGTGTGGTTGAAATGTATTTCTCGTACTTTAGACATACGAAGTCTGAAATTGGTTAACAATACCGTCATGAATTCGGACATTGATTAAATTGAGATTTTAGAAATATGGAATATGTATGTCATGAGTCTCAATGTCTACAGCTTATGCAACGGTTGCAATAATAATGCTGTTTACGAATTGGGTATGGCAATGTATTTTTCTTGGTTACTCTTCTCAGAGTTTAAAAACACTGTTTAGAGAAACAACAATTTGTGATATTTAATAATTGCAGGCACATTTTGAGGTTTACCCGTTTTTTTGTGGCTCCCTTTATCCGTTCCACACGTTTTTTCTCATTAGTTCGTCTCCTTATAGACAACATTGTATGCAACAACAATGCGATTGTCTACTTCAAGCTAACTTTCTTGCATGAGAAATCTCGTTGTTGGGACGTTTCCCTTTTTCAGAAGTAGCCAGTAACACTTTTCTTTACACCAAATTACCGTAACCAGGAGTGGAATCGCCCAAATTTTGCAACACATGACTACTCATCTGAGGTACTCAAGAAAAAAGTGGCAATGCTTTGTTTCAGTCAACTGCTTTGTTCCCTGTAGTTTTCAGCGTTTGAATCGAGAACTACGAAGATTTGCAGGTAGTTCTTTATTAGCACTACCGAGTATCTTTCTTTGCCAGGCCCAAGAAAGCTAATTGGCGGTGGAAGTCAAGAAAGCGACAAATTCAAGAGACCGAAGATCTTATGAATGATACCCGACTCTTTTTTAGATTTCCAGAGAATTTGATTCTTTGGCTCTTCATTCCCTTGACTGTGTGTTAAATTTGCCAATAATTCTTCGATCTCGGTTCTGCCGTTTGTCGCTTTAGATTTTGCGGACTAAACCTATTTACCCTCTTTGATGCAATGGTATCTACCCCCAAATGCATTTGTAATCTATTGTTTAATTTAACTAAAGAATAACAAGAGTTTGCTTGTGAGTTATACGTCTAGTTCCTAATTCCTATGGAGTACATGAAGTTATATTCTTGATTAAGTAATCATCCTCAACAGTTCACTTGTTTTTTGAATTCCACCTTTACAAGGTTCTCTCACACTCATCAAGGAAGTGCCATCATTTGAGATTTATTGAGATTTGAATCCAGACACCCTGTAGATCTTCTCATCAACAGTACCTATTGTTCTCCGTATGTGCCAAGAACTATCAGGCCCTACCTATTGTTTTGGTCATTAGTTTTGGAAGAATGGAGAACCAGAAGTTATTCGTGGTTGGTGAGCTTGAAAAGTACCTGGAGAAAAAACAATAACCAGAAGAATGATTTACTACCTCTAGAATGTGAAAGAAGATACGGATACTTTCCGAAATCTCTGAAATTTCCGGAAACATGCCAAAATTCTCTCGTACCTACTGGTCCCAGAACCGGACTTGGAATGGCGAACACTGTATTCAAATCTATTCTAAAGTTCCTTCAGTTGTCCATAGCATTCACTTACTAAGAATAAACGAGAACATTGACTACTGCATGCCTGTACATAGTCGCACTTCTCTATCTGCACTGTGGTTGCAAAACTATTCTTATGAAGAATCCCACAATAGGCAAGGAGTAGCAGTCTATAAATTACCTCTAACTTCCCATAATCGACACTATCCTTCTCAACTTGCTCAAGAATGAAAGTTGACTTGTATTGGAGAACCTGGTATGTAGCTACTGTGATCACCACAGTATTGGCGGCTACTATCACCATTTCAGAAACGACGACTATTAGTACTACCAGTTATGTTCAGGCGGGCACGAACATGTTCTATATTCAGCCTACTGGTGCCTTGATTGCACCTAATGCTCGAATCCTTACTTTTGGAAATGATTTGGCTAATTATGGATCTATCGATATTGATTACACAGGCAATTCGGCTATCAGAATCCCTGGAGGGAATAACTATGACACTGGATTAATTGACATCGATATTACAGGTACATTAAGCTTTTATAATTCAAGAACATTTGTTAATTACGGTACTATCGACGCCTTTGCTGGTTTGGTTGATATCGATTTAGGCAAGGGACTTTCAATGACCACCACCAATGAAGGCACATTGAAATTTACGAGCCGAAGTTCTCTTGAGTTCGACACCAACAGACTTTTTACCAACTTAGGTACATTGGATTTCAGCGCGGTAACACAAGGAAGTGTCACATTTAGCGAACTTGACAATTATGGTAACATAACTGTCGTTTCGCTGTCAGCCAATGACGCATTTGTTATTGGGCTGAACCTCAACAACCATGGATATATCCATTACAGTTATGGCTCAAACAGCGGTATTGCTTTCAACCTAAATTCACAAATGAATAACACTGGCGTTATTTACATCTCGGGAACAACTGGCGCTTCCGAGTTTGACCAAGGCTTTGCTGTCAATAATGACGGAAGTATTTGTCTTCTGCATACCTTTTTCGATCAGTCAGCGAAGTTTACTGGAACGGGATGTGTTGTGGCATCTAACTCAGGATATATGAGCATGGATTTGTTCTTTGAGTTTCCGGTTACTCAAAGTATTGTGCTCAACGACATAAGTGCACGAGTCAATATCAAATTTCAGGATACTGGAACTAAGATATTCAGCCTCTTCGGAGTTGAAAGCGGGCATACTTTTATAACGAGTAGTGGATTAGCTTCAATTAGCGCCTCTCACACGTCATACAACCCAGAAACTGGAATCTTGACTTGCGGTCAGAGTGATCTTTTTAAGTCATATTTTAACATTGGCGTTGGCTACGACCCATCGGGATTCACTGTTGTGAGCAATCTGATTACATACAATGGGGATCTTCCACTTCCAAGACCTTTTCCAGCTATTTGTGTCTGCGCAGATGAGAAGTTCACTCAGCCCGATGAAGTTACCTCCTATACAACAACGTGGACAACTACTAATGACGCTGGCGCTACAACGACTCAATCTGGTGTAGTCGTCATCATCAGTGATGACATTCCATATACCACTACATCCGTATTCCCCGAGCCATTAGAGCCAACTTTGTATACATCCACATGGCTCACCAGTGACTCGCTTGGAACAATCCATTTGGAATCTGGAATCATTCTCGTCACTTCCGATTCTGAAGGGCAATTCTTCACTACCACTTCCGTATTCTCTACTAATAACCAGCAACCCAGTTACCTAACAACTTGGACTACTGATGTCGATGGTGCAACTGTGACCCATTCTGGTTTAGTAATTGTCACTACTGATGAATCTGGTGATTTCATCACTACTACGTCGCAAATCGAAGGTCCTGACTTTACTTCGTACCTAACGACGTGGACTACTACTGATGTCGAAGGCGCGACTGTCACCAATTCTGGTTTAGTAATTGTCACTACTGATGAATCTGGTGATTTCATCACTACTACGTCGCAAATCGAAGGTCCTGACTTTACCTCGTACCTAACGACGTGGACTACTACTGATGTCGATGGCGCGACTGTCACCAATTCTGGTTTAGTAATTGTCACTACTAATGAATCTGGTGATTTCATCACTTCTACGTCGCAAATCGAAGGTCCTGACTTTACTTCGTACCTAACGACGTGGACTACTACCAATGTCGATGGTGCGACTGTCACTAATTCTGGTTTAGTAATTGTCACTACTGATGAATCTGGTGATTTCATCACTACTACGTCGCAAATCGAAGGTCCTGACTTTACTTCGTACCTAACGACGTGGACTACTACTGATGTCGAAGGCGCGACTGTCACCAATTCTGGTTTAGTAATTGTCACTACTGATGAATCTGGTGATTTCATCACTACTACGTCGCAAATCGAAGGTCCTGCTCTTACCTCGTACCTAACGACGTGGACTACTACTGATGTCGAAGGCGCGACTGTCACCAATTCTGGTTTAGTAATTGTCACTACTGATGAATCTGGTGATTTCATCACTACTACGTCGCAAATCGAAGGTCCTGCTCTTACCTCGTACCTAACGACGTGGACTACTACTGATGTCGAAGGCGCGACTGTCACCAATTCTGGTTTAGTAATTGTCACTACTGATGAATCTGGTGATTTCATCACTACTACGTCGCAAATCGAAGGTCCTGACTTTACTTCGTACTTAACGACGTGGACTACTACTGATGTCGAAGGCGCGACTGTCACTAATTCTGGTTTAGTAATTGTCACTACTAATGAATCTGGCGATTTCATCACCTCAACTTCCCTTGCTGGTCCTGCTCTTACTTCGTACCTAACGACGTGGATTACTACTGATGTCGATGGTGCGACTGTCACTAATTCTGGTTTAGTAATTGTCACTACTGATGAATCTGGTGATTTCATCACTACTACGTCGCAAATCGAAGGTCCTGACTTTACTTCGTACCTAACGACGTGGACTACTACTGATGTCGAAGGCGCGACTGTCACCAATTCTGGTTTAGTAATTGTCACTACTGATGAATCTGGTGATTTCATCACTACTACGTCGCAAATCGAAGGTCCTGACTTTACCTCGTACCTAACGACGTGGACTACTACTGATGTCGAAGGCGCGACTGTCACCAATTCTGGTTTAGTAATTGTCACTACTAATGAATCTGGTGATTTCATCACCTCAACTTCCCTTGCTGGTCCTGCTCTTACTTCGTACCTAACGACGTGGACTACTACTGATGTCGAAGGCGCGACTGTCACCAATTCTGGTTTAGTAATTGTCACTACTGATGAATCTGGTGATTTCATCACTACTACGTCGCAAATCGAAGGTCCTGACTTTACTTCGTACCTAACGACGTGGACTACTACTGATGTCGAAGGCGCGACTGTCACCAATTCTGGTTTAGTAATTGTCACTACTGATGAATCTGGTGATTTCATCACTACTACGTCGCAAATCGAAGGTCCTGCTCTTACCTCGTACCTAACGACGTGGACTACTACCAATGTCGATGGTGCGACTGTCACTAATTCTGGTTTAGTAATTGTCACTACTGATGAATCTGGTGATTTCATCACTACTACGTCGCAAATCGAAGGTCCTGACTTTACCTCGTACCTAACGACGTGGACTACTACTGATGTCGAAGGCGCGACTGTCACCAATTCTGGTTTAGTAATTGTCACTACTGATGAATCTGGTGATTTCATCACTACTACGTCGCAAATCGAAGGTCCTGACTTTACTTCGTACTTAACGACGTGGACTACTACTGATGTCGAAGGCGCGACTGTCACCAATTCTGGTTTAGTAATTGTCACTACTAATGAATCTGGCGATTTCATCACCTCAACTTCCCTTGCTGGTCCTGCTCTTACTTCGTACCTAACGACGTGGATTACTACTGATGTCGATGGTGCGACTGTCACTAATTCTGGTTTAGTAATTGTCACTACTAATGAATCTGGCGATTTCATCACTTCTACGTCGCAAATCGAAGGTCCTGACTTTACTTCGTACCTAACGACGTGGACTACTACCAATGTCGATGGTGCGACTGTCACCAATTCTGGTTTAGTAATTGTCACTACTGATGAATCTGGTGATTTCATCACTACTACGTCGCAAATCGAAGGTCCTGCTCTTACCTCGTACCTAACGACGTGGACTACTACTGATGTCGAAGGCGCGACTGTCACCAATTCTGGTTTAGTAATTGTCACTACTGATGAATCTGGTGATTTCATCACTACTACGTCGCAAATCGAAGGTCCTGACTTTACTTCGTACTTAACGACGTGGACTACTACTGATGTCGAAGGCGCGACTGTCACCAATTCTGGTTTAGTAATTGTCACTACTAATGAATCTGGCGATTTCATCACCTCAACTTCCCTTGCTGGTCCTGCTCTTACTTCGTACCTAACGACGTGGATTACTACTGATGTCGATGGTGCGACTGTCACTAATTCTGGTTTAGTAATTGTCACTACTAATGAATCTGGCGATTTCATCACCTCAACTTCCCTTGCTGGTCCTGCTCTTACTTCGTACTTAACGACGTGGACTACTACTGATGTCGAAGGCGCGACTGTCACTAATTCTGGTTTAGTAATTGTCACTACTAATGAATCTGGTGATTTCATCACTACTACGTCGCAAATCGAAGGTCCTGACTTTACCTCGTACCTAACGACGTGGACTACTACTGATGTCGAAGGCGCGACTGTCACCAATTCTGGTTTAGTAATTGTCACTACTAATGAATCTGGCGATTTCATCACTACTACGTCGCAAATCGAAGGTCCTGACTTTACTTCGTACCTAACGACGTGGACTACTACTGATGTCGAAGGCGCGACTGTCACCAATTCTGGTTTAGTAATTGTCACTACTAATGAATCTGGTGATTTCATCACTACTACGTCGCAAATCGAAGGTCCTGACTTTACTTCGTACCTAACGACGTGGACTACTACCGATGTCGAAGGCGCGACTGTCACTAATTCTGGTTTAGTAATTGTCACTACTAATGAATCTGGCGATTTCATCACTTCTACGTCGCAAATCGAAGGTCCTGCTCTTACCTCGTACCTAACGACGTGGACTACTACTGATGTCGAAGGCGCGACTGTCACCAATTCTGGTTTAGTAATTGTCACTACTAATGAATCTGGTGATTTCATCACTACTACGTCGCAAATCGAAGGTCCTGACTTTACTTCGTACCTAACGACGTGGACTACTACTGATGTCGAAGGCGCGACTGTCACCAATTCTGGTTTAGTAATTGTCACTACTAATGAATCTGGCGATTTCATCACCTCAACTTCCCTTGCTGGTCCTGCTCTTACTTCGTACTTAACGACGTGGACTACTACTGATGTCGAAGGCGCGACTGTCACTAATTCTGGTTTAGTAATTGTCACTACTAATGAATCTGGCGATTTCATCACCTCAACTTCCCTTGCTGGTCCTGCTCTTACTTCGTACCTAACGACGTGGATTACTACTGATGTCGATGGTGCGACTGTCACTAATTCTGGTTTAGTAATTGTCACTACTAATGAATCTGGCGATTTCATCACCTCAACTTCCCTTGCTGGTCCTGCTCTTACTTCGTACCTAACGACGTGGACTACTACCAATGTCGATGGTGCGACTGTCACCAATTCTGGTTTAGTAATTGTCACTACTAATGAATCTGGTGATTTCATCACTACTACGTCGCAAATCGAAGGTCCTGACTTTACTTCGTACCTAACGACGTGGATTACTACTGATGTCGATGGTGCGACTGTCACCAATTCTGGTTTAGTAATTGTCACTACTAATGAATCTGGCGATTTCATCACCTCAACTTCCCTTGCTGGTCCTGCTCTTACTTCGTACTTAACGACGTGGACTACTACTGATGTCGAAGGCGCGACTGTCACCAATTCTGGTTTAGTAATTGTCACTACTAATGAATCTGGCGATTTCATCACCTCAACTTCCCTTGCTGGTCCTGCTCTTACTTCGTACTTAACGACGTGGACTACTACTGATGTCGAAGGCGCGACTGTCACTAATTCTGGTTTAGTAATTGTCACTACTAATGAATCTGGCGATTTCATCACCTCAACTTCCCTTGCTGGTCCTGCTCTTACTTCGTACCTAACGACGTGGATTACTACTGATGTCGATGGTGCGACTGTCACTAATTCTGGTTTAGTAATTGTCACTACTATTGAATCTGGCGATTTCATCACTTCTACGTCGCAAATCGAAGGTCCTGACTTTACTTCGTACCTAACGACGTGGACTACTACTGATGTCGAAGGCGCGACTGTCACCAATTCTGGTTTAGTAATTGTCACTACTAATGAATCTGGCGATTTCATCACCTCAACTTCCCTTGCTGGTCCTGCTCTTACTTCGTACTTAACGACGTGGACTACTACTGATGTCGAAGGCGCGACTGTCACTAATTCTGGTTTAGTAATTGTCACTACTAATGAATCTGGTGATTTCATCACTACTACGTCGCAAATCGAAGGTCCTGACTTTACTTCGTACCTAACGACGTGGACTACTACCGATGTCGAAGGCGCGACTGTCACTAATTCTGGTTTAGTAATTGTCACTACTGATTCACTGGGGACATTAATGACTATTACTTCGGTTTTGTCGAATACCTTCCAAACTGGAGTCAGGTCTTACATTACAACATGGACAGCTACTAAGTCTGAGGGTGCTACTGCAACTTTTTCTGGTTTGGTTGTGGAATCGACTAATGATATTGGATCTGTGCTTATCTCAACCTCAGAATATCCCCAGCTGAATGCAGCGGAGGCATACCAGATTACTTGGACAAATACAAACTATGAAGGTATTACTGTTACTGAATCTGGTATCGGTTTTGTTTCGGCTGACTCCGCTGGACACTTTTTAACGTCTACATCAACTTTTGCTTATACAAATCCTTCTGACCAAACAAAATTTACTACTTGGACGACAGTTAATCCTGATGGAATAACTATCACCGAATCCGGAATAGTATTAGTTACTAGAGAGACATCGGGAGGATTGTTTACGCCAACTTCTGTGATCCCTCCAAGCGGACCTGTTAGCATCAGTTCATTTTCTACTGCATTTGCATCAACAAACGCAGTTAAGCTGCTCCCAAACAGTGGAGAGAACCACCCATCAACGGCCGAAATTGAAGCGAAGATCTTCACAACTGTTTATTTCACAGATTTCGAAGGCGCGACTATTGAGGTGACCGTCAAACCAACGGAAATCACGGATGATCCTACTTTGAGCACCACCTTCCAAAGCATAACATTTAGTAGTTCCGCAAGATTTGAACTGTTAGAAGGAAAGGCTCAATCGGATCGGATCAATTATGGTCTCCACTTCATATTTATCATAATTGCTTTGGTCTGATTAGAGCTATGGAAAGAATCTTTGATGCGACTTCGGAGTTTTCTGGAACATTATATACCTTTACGATACATTTGGATATTCAATTTTCTAAGGAACAATTTTACTCATTTATTAATGTGCTCTAATGATAGGACCTGATATTTCAATCAATCCCGTGAAATTTTTTTGCTCCGTTGGATGTCAAATTATTAAAGATTAGCAATCGATAATTAAATCAATTGGTTTATGAGATTTTTTTTGTGAACAAATCAGTTGATAACGGAGTGAGTAGAACTATCTTGTCCAATTTTATGGAATTTATGCCATGGCCAGCAAACATTTGAAGTAAACAGTGATTGATTTAAAACAGCTTAAAGAGAGTACCCATAAAACTAAGAAAGTAAGAAATTTTTTATTTCTGTGACTGTCATGACATCATAATTTCCAGGTACGTTAATTGGACTAGCTTGCTACTAAATATGACAGCTCACTAACATATTGATTATGCGAAGTTTTGTAGCTTGGGATTTTCATAATCAGGCAAAGCATGGGAATGAAATCCCTTTTTTTTTTGATGATCACTGTAATTGGTGCTAGACAACGACAGCATCAATAATTCCTGTCAGATGTTCTCTTGACAGTCTCTGTAGAACACAATTTTAAAGAACAGCTCCTTCTTGGTCCCATCTTTGTTGGAACCCGAAGAGCTTTTATTAAAAAAACTCTTATTTGGTTAGGCACTTCAGTCGAATCAGTGCCACAAGGCTTCTAAGAATTCTTCAAGATATTGAAAATGAATTCCAGGTTGCACTAGGGGTATGATTATTTTTCCTAGAAAGCTTTCTGATTCATGTTTATACTCTCTCCAGAAGGTGGGAATTCTTTTGATTCTAGAGCATATTCGAAACAACCAATGTTCGTAAGTCCAAATGAATCATCTATGGCACTTTCTTGAATTTCAGTTTTTCTTCGATAATTAAAAATAATTTGATTCCTTCGATCTCCTGGCAATCTGTGATGCATTCTGATTCGAGATCTCAAGCATTTTATTTCGGTCTGGACCATTATATTTCTATAAAGAATAAGCAAAAATCAAAAGGAACCAAACTTAGCGATAAATGAATGAATTATTAAATTTTTGAAAAAAAAAATCGTTATGCTTTTCTATTACTGTCCCTGATGGACCAACAACTTTTACTTTCGCGCAACCATTGGCACTTCTCCGCAAAACCCCACGTAATGGGTTCACCCACCAAGTTACAGAGACTGAAATGAATCATCGAAAACACTTCACTGCAATTTACTAAAGGAAAAACATTTAATGTTCGCCCGCATGTTTGTTGTTGCGGCCCGCAAAGGGTCCCCCACCAAATCGAACAGTGTCTTAAACGGCTGGTCCCTGCACCCACCTATGTTGCATATTTTCCGTGAGTGGAGAAGTCTTGGGCGATGGATCGAGTAGAATAAGCACATTGGCCCCTCACTTTCTTTCTTATAAATAAAATGTAGATTGGAGTGGTTCTGGTTTTTCTTTCAACGATCAATCATGCCTTCCCACTCCATCTCCTCTGACTCGAAGGCTGCCTTTGAGCACATCGATTCAGTCTCTTCAAACCATGACAACGACAACGATGTCGACAACGAAATTCAAGCATCTCGCGTGGATAATGAAATTCTCGGATACATCGAAGAGAAGGCAGTCGAAATTGACGATGAAACCAATCGTATTCTCAGAAGAAAGATTAACATTCGCGTTCTTCCTGTTATGGTGGTAACCTACTTCCTCCAAGCTTTGGATAAGGGAACACTTTCCTTTGCTTCCATTATGGGCATTCGGGAGGATGCCAATCTTGTTGGCCAACAATATTCTTGGTTAACCACTTGTACTTATCTTGCGGTTCTTTTCTGGGAGTTTCCCACCAATGTAATTATTCAAAAGGTGCCTGTTGCTAAATATTTGTCTTTCAACATCATTTGTTGGGGAATTGTTTTGGGATGTCACGCACTTGGAAAGAATTTCACTGTTCTTGTGGTGGTAAGAACTCTTCTTGGTTTCTTTGAATGTTGCTGTCAGCCTGTGTTTATCATGATGTCGGCCATGTGGTATAAACGTGAGGAGCAGGCCTTCATTGTTGCTCTCTGGTATATGATGAACGGCGGACAACAGATTGTCGGTGGTGTTCTTGCTTACTGTTTCACACTCATCGACAATGCAAAGTTGAGAAACTGGGAAATTTTGTTTCTTGTTTACGGTGCTCTCACAGTGGTTTGGGGTGCTTTTGTCTTGTACTGGACCCCCGACTCACCTATGAAAGCACACTGCTTCACAGAAGAGGAGAAACGCCTCATGGTGGAGAGAGTCAGGGCCAACCAGACTGGTTTGCAGAACAAGAAATGGAAGAAAGAGCATCTCATGGAAGCCCTCAAGGATCCTCAGACTTATTGCTACTTCTTCATTCAGTTTCTCACTTCCTTGCCCACTTCTGGTTTGGGTGCATTCGCCAACATTATCATCAGTTCGTTTGGGTTTACAGTCTTACAGACTCAGTTGCTTGCCATGGTTCTTGGTGCATATCTTATTTTCCTTCTCTTGACATCGGCATACCTTGCCAACCGTTTCAAGCAGAACATTCTCTTTATGATTTGTTTCGTGATTCCTTCTATTGTGGGAACTGTGGTCTTGATGACTCTCACTTACGATGGCCTTGACAAGCTGTCACATGAGTATAAGGTCAGAAGAGGAGTATTGCTTTTCTGTTACTACTTGACTCTTTCGTTTTGGGGTGTGGCTAATCTTGGACTTTCACTCTTGTCGAGAAATGTTGCTGGTCAATCCAAGAAATCTTTTGTTACTGCTTCCAATTTTGTCGGCTGGGCCGTCGGAAACTGTGTGGGTCCTCAAGTGTTCTTGAAGCAAGAGCACCCAAGATATCTTACTGCATTCGGCACCCACATGGGTTGCTATGGTGCCTTGATCTTGCTCTTGGTTTTCATGCGTTTGTGGTTAATGAAGGAGAACGCCAGGAAGGATAAGTTAATCGCTGAAGGCAAGAAGCAAGCAGATATGGACTTGAAGCATGCCTTTGAGGACTTGACTGACCGCGAAAATGTCAATTTCCGTTACATGTACTAGTTTATCTATTGTTTAATGAAATATCAAGAGTTGAAGAACATGAGTATCTAGAAACCAAAAATATTACCAAAGTAAATCAAAAATATGACTTATCTTAGGACATAGAATTTGCAACCAATTGGATTACTCACTCCATAAGAGAAAAATTCAGGGTTCTTTTATATCCGATAAAAACCGCCATTTTCAATCTTTCCAGCCGCAACTTACTTCTTGCTTCCCTTTTTGCAATGTTGTCAAATGGATGTCATGACAACTAATTCCGCGTTCGGGTGTGAGAAAATAGAAGAATCAGTGGGGCACATAATTATTGGTGGGGGAGGGGAACCAAGAGTAGTATTTTGGAGGGTTTCTTGCGGAGTATCGAGTCACCACTTGCGCAAAGGTAGAAAGATATCCCGAGATCAGAAGCTGGTGTTATTTATACGGTTGAATCCAATTCGTACTCACAATCAGTAATGGCTGTACTCCAGGTTTCTCAGAAAGAGTGCGATGTGCTCGTAAACAAATTGATCACTAACCTTGTCAACATAAAAGATGAGACAGGGCAGTTTCTTATGGAAATCCCAGGTGGACGAATCATTGATACCAAGGGCTGGATCACTGGTTGGGAATGGACCCACGGAATTGGTTTGTATGGAATTTGGAACTATTACGACTTGAAGAACGACCCGAAGTTTTTGCAACACATCTACGACTGGTTTGAGGCGCAGATGTTCGGTCCTGACGGTTCAACGCTGAAAAATATCAATACTATGGCCGTTTTCCTTCCATTGGCATATGTAATTGAGCGGTTTCCTCAAACCAGTCACAAGTACATTCCCTATGTTGATGCATGGGCTGAGTGGGCGATGTACGATCTCCAGAAGACCAAGTGTGGGGGATTCCAGCATGCAACGTACTTGACAGATAACAATGAGCAGATGTGGGACGACACATTGATGATGACGGTGATGCCACTTGCCAAAATCGGGCTCTTATTGGATCGCCCTCATTACCTTGAAGAAGCAAAGAAGCAGATGTTGCTTCACATCAAATATCTCGTAGGCACGAAGACTGGTCTTTTTTTCCATGGATTCACATTTGATGGAAATCATCACTTTGCTGAAGCGTTGTGGGCAAGAGGTAACTCATGGATCACCATGGTAATCCCCGAATTCATTGAACTCTTGAAGTTGAAGCCTGGTGAATTTTTGAGAGAGTTTCTTTTGGAGACATTACGTGCACAAGTGGAAGCTTTGGTCGAGTTGCAAGATAAGGAACTGGGCTTGTGGCATACGTTGTTGGACGATCCCGACTCGTACCTTGAAAGTTCTGCTTCAGCTGGGTTTGCTTATGGAATTTTGAAGGCTGTTCGGAGAGGCTACCTCAACAAGAAATATAGAAATTGTGCAGAAAAGGCTATTTCGGGAGTTATCTCACACATTGATAATAATGGAGAGCTCCAGAACACTTCCTTCGGAACAGGAATGGGTGACACGTTACAATTCTACAGAGATATCCCGCTTACTGCTATGCCATACGGTCAAGCTATGGCCATAATGGCACTTGGTGAATACTCGAGACTTCACCTCTGATTCCACGGTTATAGTATTGGTGTAGTATGACATCCTCTCGATGGTAGATCTCACTGGTTGCAAAATGTAGTTACAGAATAAAAGGTCAAGAAAAATTTGTCTCCTATTGGGAAGGAAAGGAAGGCGACACCGATTACTCCAGTAGAGGCAAATACTCAGTTTCCCAATGTGACTGTACGATTAGAAATCAGAATGTTCTAAGAGTTTCTACCCGGACATTAGGATCTGATTACAATAGCAAAGAGTATGGAAAACGCCTTGCGGTGCTAAACGGAAGGTGGTATATCCGAATTATTCATAATCATAGCGGCTTTAAAGTTATCAGAGAGAAGGTTGAGACGTTTTCTCCGCCCGCTCATAACCCCATTATGCCCAACCTCCGCAATAAGAATTTGTAAGCACTCTCCTATATAACACAATGGTTGCGAAATTTATTGACAATAATATTAAAAAGCGAATAACAAAATAACAATGACTACTACATACTTCATTACTGGTGCCAACAGAGGAATTGGCTTTGAGTTGACCAAAAAGATTTCGGAGAACAAGGACAATGTTGTTGTTGCTACCACTCGTTCTTTCGACCGTGCTGGACAGCTCAAGGATTTGAAGAGAGATAACATTGAGATCATCCAATTGGATGTTACCGACTCTTTGGATGAGTTGAAGGACTCCTTGAGCAAGCTGAAAGTCTTGCAAGAGAATGGAGTTGATGTCTTCATTCAGAATGCTGGAATCTACCTCGATGCTGGTGAAGGTACTGCAACTACACCAATTGAGCACTTCACTGACATGTTCAACGGCAACACTCTCTCCAGTATCAAGGTTTACCAAGCTATCTACCCATACTGGATTAGGGAGCACAAGGGTGTCACTAAGAAGGCAGTGTATATCTCGTCGCTTCTTGGCTCCATGGGCGGATTCATTTTGCCATCTTTCGGCTATGGTTTGTCCAAGGCTGCCTTGAACTTCCATGCAAAGCACACCGCTTTTGAGCATTCCAATAGTGAGAACCCTGTATTGAAGGAATCAATTACGGTCAGTTTGCACCCTGGAGTTGTCACTACTGACATGGGTTCTGCAGGTGCAGAGAAGCTCCGCCAGAATGAGAGTTTTGCGGGCCTTGATCTTGACAAGATCATTATCTCTCCTCCACAAAGTGCTTCCGATCTTGTGAAGATTATTGATGGTTTGAAGTTGGAAGACACAGGATCATTTTTCAACCATGATGGATCCAAGCTTCCCTTCTAAGCCACTTTGTAGGTGATCTGACACTTCTTGGTATTTCTTTGTTTGAATTCACCAACGAATAATCATGCGGAGGAGACGCTCTGCATTAAGCTTATGTTGAATAGTTTATACAATATTTAAAATTAAACCGAGCGTAGTAGTGCTACTGTTAGAAGAACTTCATGAAGATGTTTTTTTTTTTTTTTGTTTCATTGAATTTACCCCGCGTAACCTTTGCGAAGAAGATAATTCTTCTTTAGAATTGAAATCCTAATGACCTTACGGATCCACCTGAATTCTCAAAATGACCTAAGTTTGCGTCAACAGACTCTCGGACATTAATGAGGAAGCTCGGGAATTTGGCCCAATTGGGGTTACCTCCGCGTTAGTAATCGCGGTGGGGGCAAGCCACCACTACTGGCTAAGCATCGGGAAAAGGGTTTTTGCCACGGGGAAAAGGTTATTCTCATGACAGCAAAACGAAGCGTTGGGAATTTGTAATTGGCTTGAATGGGGCATATTCCCGAATTATCGAATTAGGCCCATGAACCGAGATATGGTATTTATAAGCTCGAGGTATAAAAAGACCATAGGTATGCCAAATACCAATTGATTATAGAATTACATCTTAAACTTTGAAACACATATTACGAACAAAAAAAAATGACCACTTCTTATATTGTTGCCGGTGCCAATAGAGGTATTGGGTTTGAGTTGGTGAAGAAGCTTTCTGAAAATGCGGACAATGTCGTGGTTGCAACCTCGCGTTCATTAGACAGAGCAGATCAACTAAAGGAGTTGAACAGATCGAACGTCGAAATTATTCAGTTGGATGTTACTGACTCTGTGGATCAGTTGAAGAACGCTTTGAGTAAGCTGAAGTTCTTAGCCAAGTATGGTGTTGACGTATTTGTTCAAAATGCTGGAATTGGAATCTCGGGTTCCCACTCTACTTTTAATGAGCCAATTGAATCTTATACTTACTTCTTCGAAGGAAATGCTTTGTCCTCGATCAAGTTCTATCAAGCCATTTATCCTTATTGGATCAAGGAAGTCACTGGAAAAGCTAAGAAGGGTATCTACATTTCGTCGCTTGCTGGGTCCATCGGAGGGCTCAGTATTGGTACTTTTGGATATGGGTTATCAAAAGCTGCTTTGAATTTCCATGCCAAACATACTTCGTTTGAGCACGCCCACAGCGAGAACCCCGTCTTGAAGAACTCTATCACTGTGGCGGTTCATCCTGGTGTCGTTCTTACAGATATGGGAAAGCCTGTTATCGATGACTTGGGGCTTACTGATTTGGCTATCACTCCGGAAGAGAGCGGAGAGCTGTTGGCTGTTTTGATCGATGGTTTGAAACCTGAAGACAACGGCGAGTTTTATAACTATGATGGAACTAAGGCTACCTATTAATAGAATTTATGTTTTGCGGATACGAATCAAGAATATCTGGTATGCTGTTTCAAATTAGATAAATCTTCCACGGCGTTTGTAGAACATTTTCTAGTTATCTCCCATTTATGACTTCTCAAACTAGTATTCCCTCCGGTTGTTTCAGGCAAACAAACAATAACAGAACTGTGTCTGACGAAAGCAAGGAAAAGAAAACATCATCGTAAAGATGAGAGAAGTAAATAGTATAATATTTTATCTCTTCAATCAAAAGCTAATTTAAGGAGTTCTTAACCAACTGTGGTGATATCAGTTCAAGAAACACATACATGCATTTACACAATTGCATGAAGGCCGAATACTCTCTACACTAAGCTTTGAGTTATGATCGCTCATAGAAATCTCCGAATTCAAACTGTGGTAAGCTCCCGGAATTTAAATGTTATGAAGTTTCCCGACTGTGGGTTGCACAATTGGTGTTAACTCCGCGATTAATAAGCTGTCATAACATGAGGATTTTCAAGAATAAAAGGAGCAGAGATAGACAATTGTATGATTTTCTAAATATAATTACAAGAACCGATTAAAATCAATTAAGAATGACCACCTCCTACATTGTTACAGGAGCCAATAGAGGCATTGGCTTTGAGTTGGTGAAGAAGCTTTCTGAGAATGTTGACAATGTCGTTGTTGCAACCTCTCGCTCTTTAGAGCGTGCCGAAGCACTCCGGAATTTGAACAAGCAGAACATCGAAATCATTCAATTAGATGTTACTGATTCTGTGGATGAGTTGAAAGCGGCACTCGCTAAACTGAAGTTTTTGGCCAAATACGGCGTTGATGTCTTCATCCAGAATGCTGGAATTGGATTTTTACCAAAGGTGCCTGATTACACCATCGATCAGCCCATTGAGTCGTACACCAAATTTTTTGAAGGCAACACTTTGTCCTCCGTGAAATTTTATCAGGCCATTTACCCATATTGGTTGAAAGAACACGCCGGTGTAACTAAGAAGGGTGTGTACGTTTCTTCAGTTGCAGGAACCATTGGAGACCTTGCTTATACCACTTTTGCCTATGGATTGTCAAAGGCTGCTTTGAATTTCCATGCAAAGCACACTTCCTTTGAACACTCCAATAGTGAAAACCCCACTTTGAAAAGCTCAATTACTGTTGCCATCCACCCTGGTCTAGTCCTTACTGACATGGGAACTCCGGGAGCCAAAGCATACAATCTCGAGTCGATTGCTATAACTCCCGAACAGAGTGGAGAGAGCGTGGTCAAATTGATCGAGGGCTTGAAAAGTGAGGATAATGGCGAGTTCTTAAACTATGACGGCACCAAGCTTAACTATTAAGAATTGAGAATTGGTTGCAACTATCTTTATTACGTCAGGAAATGTATATTTGTGCGTCAATTTTCAAGTCTTCTACCAAGCTCCCCTCCCCCACCATTCTTTTGCACCCCGCAATGCCCACCATCTTCTTTTAAATCAAATGCAAATTCACATCCTCTCATCGAAATATACATTAAAAGATAAAAAAAATGAAGTTTTCAGGATTTGCAGCTACTGGTCCAAAGGACTTCACTGGTGTAAAGAAGGTTACGTACGAACCAAAGCCATTTGGAGATTATGACATTGACACCAAGATTGAAGCCTGCGGAGTTTGCGGATCTGACTGTCTGACCTTAAGTGGAGAATGGGGCGACTACAATACGCCATTGGTTGTTGGTCACGAAATTGTTGGTGACGTTGTTGCGGTGGGACCAAAAGCGAAGACCGGTTTGAAAGTTGGTGACAGAGTGGGTGTTGGAGCGCAGTCCTTTGCATGTTTAGAATGCAAAGTCTGTGAAAAACATCATGAGAACTACTGTCCAGATCAAGTCGACACCTACAATGGATACTACAAGGACGGCGTCCAGTCCCAGGGTGGATATGCTTCACACGTGAGAACCCATGAACATTTTGTGTTCAAAATCCCACCCCAGCTTGCTAGTGAACTGGCAGCGCCTTTGATGTGTGCTGGAATCACCACATATGCGCCATTGAAACAATTTCTCGACCTGCAAACTGAAAAGACAGGTCTCAAAGTCGGAGTGGTTGGTCTAGGTGGTCTTGGCCACATCGCAGTGATGTTTGCCAAAAAGATGGGCTTCGAGGTGCATGTATTCTCCAGAGGAGACCTGAAGAAAGCTGATGCGCTTAAGATGGGTGCAGACTTCTATCACGACTCTAGCTCTCCTGACATGGGTAAAGATATTCGCTTCGAGCTCGACTTAATACTTTCCACGGCCAATGTGTCCAGTATTCCATTGGCTGGATATTTGAGCACTCTCAAGGTCTTCGGAAAGTTTATCACTTTGGGGTTACCTCCACATCCATTTTCGTTGAAGGCATTTGACCTTTTGGCAAATGGAGTGTCTCTTGGATCTTCTCATTTGGGAAATAGAGAAGAGATGATTGAAATGCTCCAGTTTGCAAGTGATCATGGAATTAAGCCATGGGTAGAGAAGTTGCCCATCAGCAAGGATAACGTTGAAAAAGGCTTGCAGAACACCAGCAAGAGCAAGTGCCGGTACCGTCTTGTGTTCACCAACTTCGAAAAGGAGTTTGAGTAGGAGATTCTACATAGACGTAATTTTACGAAGGTTCAAATTTAGTTTCTTGTATATATGGTGGATGCTCACGGAAGCTACACATCTACCATAATGTATCACGAAGCAATTGAAGTTTGCTAGTAGTTCACAAAAGGAGGAATCGGTATAATATCCTGCTCTTTGTTCCCCACAAATTCTTCACTTTCATACGGAAATATGGGCTGGGATAAAGATAGTGCGAGAGTTTGGTGGGGGTAGAGAGTGTGTTACGAGCCCTTTTTGGTGGGGCAATGGAGAACCATATGAACACGCTTTTTTTCCAATTGTGAGCCAACCGCACCAAATTATGTCCACTAAGTATGAAAAGCGTTTCTCACCTTTCTTCAATGGCCACTAACATCTCTAGATCTCAAAAAACGTATACACTCAACACATCTAAGACCATTCCAGCTATTGGCTTGGGAACTTGGAAATCTTCGGATGAAGACGTTTATAAAGCTGTTCTTGCTGCCATTGAAACTGGTTATCGACACATTGACACTGCTGCGTGTTACGGGAATGAAAAGCCAATAGGTGATGCCATTCGTGACTCCAAAATTCCTCGAGACCAACTCTTTGTCACCACCAAAGTATGGTGCACTGACCACACTAGAGTCAGGCAGGCTTTGGACACTTCGCTCGAGAAGTTGGGTCTTGATTACGTGGACTTGTACTTGATGCACTGGCCTGTGCCTTTGAACCCCAATGGGAACCACCCTAACTTCCCTACCCTTGAGAATGGAAAGAGAGATATTTTAAAAGACTGGGACTTCATTAAAACTTACGAGCAATTGCAGGACGTATTAACGACTTCGAAAACTAAGGCTATTGGTGTATCCAACTTCACGATTACGAACTTGAAGAAGCTATTGGAGGCCCCAGGTGTCACAGTGGTTCCGGCCACTAACCAGGTTGAATTGCATCCATATTTGCCTCAGCCCAAATTGGTCCAGTTCTGTAAGGATAATGGAATTGTTGTAGAGGCTTACAGTCCATTAGGATCCACTGATTCCCCATTATTGCTGGACGAGATTGTGGCTGATATTGCTAAGAAGAATAACGTGAGTCCTGCGACTATTCTTATTTCCTGGGCCCTTTGGAGAGGTACAGTTGTCTTGCCCAAATCTGTTACTCCATCACGTATTTCTTCCAATTTTGAAGTAATTGAGCTTTCTGATGAAGACGGGAAGCAGTTAAATGATTTGTGGAGCATTAGAGGCGTTTCCAGACTCGTGCAACCAGACTGGTCCCCGTTGGTCGTTTTTGATTCTGATGAGTGAGAATCAGTCTGCTCGAAGTTAATAGCTAAATTCTGAATGTATGAGACACCATCCACTTCTGTTATGAGATCTAAAATCTGGATTCGGGAAACTTCGTAGGACTCCGAAACATGTAATGCCATATTGCAATTCTGTTTATTTCTGCCACACTACTCAGACATTGAGGATGATCCTTATATTATGTACGATTATCAAGTTCTGTAGATGTTGTAAAATATTATATTGAACCATAACCAGCAAATAACTATCTGTATATGGGAACTAGATGGAATTTTCGTACTCTCGCAACTTCAGTATGTCTTCTGTATAGGAGTCGTAGATGCTGATGTTAACAGGCTTACTGAGAGGAGCACGGCCTTCTAATTTTTCACCTAAGTCGTAAATCTGGTTCAATGCATACTTAACACCAAGCACATTCAACTCAGTTACCATCAAATCGACTTTAGTTACCATCCATTGCAATTTGGCAGCCTCCTCCTGCTTTCCACTAGTGTACAATTCGTACAATCTAACCATTGTCTTAGGGAAAATACCAGATAAACCATCAATGGCACCGAAGAGAGAAACTGAGAGTGCTGGCCCAAGAACCTGTCCGAGTCCAGTGAAAGATTTGAAGTTGTTAGCTTCAAAAGTTGGATCATGTCCCAACAACGTGTACATATCGAAGTTATAATGAGTTAACTTCACTCCAACAATGTTTGGGTGTTCAGACAACTTTTTGAAAGTATCATATGTCAAATTGACATTATTGCATGTGTTTGGGTAGTTGTAAATGATCAAAGGAAGTGCACTCTTGTCTGCCACTTGCTCGAAGTAATCAATGATACCCTCTTGGCTAACCAAATTGGGACCAAAGTATCCAGGGACAAGAACCATGAGGAAATCAGCGCCTTTGCTGGCAGTCAATTGTGATTCTTCAACGATATCAGCTACACAGCCAAGGCCAGCACCAGCGATTATCTTGAAGTTTGAATCAGTGACGGCACCTCTCGCAACTTCAATACTCCGCACTCTCTCATGCAAGGTTAAGTTGGTACCTTCACCCATTGAGCCTGAGACCACTACACCGGTGATCCTTGAAGCTGCAAGCATCTTAACGTGCTTTTCCAATGTTGAGTAATCGACCGCATCTTTTTGGTTGGTGAAAAATGTTGGAATGGGAGTGTAGATTCCTGATGGAATGATGTTACTGGCATTAGAGGAGGAGGTTTGCATGATCATAGTGATGAAATGAAGGCTCGCGGATTTCTATGATCCAACTGAGACAAGACGAATTTGTGAATGGTATTTATACTTGTATAGCATCCCCCATCTCTGGTTCTCAAGTTACCCTATGGAGTATCATTGATGTATGATTGATGGACTGGTCTTGTTTTTTGGTGGGGGAGTGCAACTTACCCCACATATGAGATAGCCTCCCCCACCTGGTTCCAATTTGAATATCTGGCTCGCTCCAAAATTCATGCGGAAACAGATGGCAGCTGGGTCAAAAATATAATGAAACGAATGGAACTATCGAAGGAGGGCTGAGTGCGTTTGTTATGTGTGGTTCATATGAGTTGCAAAAACGAACATCCAACGAGTTATGCGAATAAAAAAAAACTAGATGAAAGACTCCCGTGAACAGGAATTGGAAAAACGACGGAAAAAAAAAACTAATGTAAAGAATTCCAATGCTTTTTAATTTTCGTTCTCAAGTTCGGCACCTTTTGTTCATTCCCACGCAATTTGCGCGAGGAGTATTATTAATCATTTGGTAATTGAGGGCATCAAAATACGAGAACGATCGCACTCTGAAGTTAAAAATTTATAGACAAGGTCGATAAGAATAGCTCGGTTCATGGACATGTCAGATATTGCATCAGTGCATTCAGCGAATTTATTGTCAACTTCCTCTCAACTACATAATTCTCCTTCGAGGACGACGACACACGTTTGGTCGAAGAATTGAGTTCCATTCCACCTTTGTTCTCGAAATTTAAGACGGGCAACTGGCATATGTGTTGCCAATTAATTTACAATTCTATTGCCGGAAACGGCTGTGGTAGTCGCGGGATACCAGAAACGATTCGATTATGCATGAGTGTGGCTTTACTTCACTAGCGGAAAAAACAGCAAGTGCTTCAAATCCCCCAAAAAACGCCAGGAACAATGCACATAAACTGAAAACTGATAAGGGAATTGATTTCTCTATTGGCTGATTGGTCTTGAGCCATAAGTAAAAAAGAAAAAGCAATACCTTGTGCCATTCTGATTCTTCTCTTTTATGAGCTTAATTAATTAGGACGAGCTATTAAGAAGGAATTGTTGACATTATATTATCTAGGCTTAGCTTTTTAATCTAGGATGTCAAAGTATACTAATGACTAAGTACCTGACTCCGCTCAGAAGAAATGCATTTTTCTTAGACAATGAGAATGACGTTGAACTTGACACAAGAAGTTCGGCATAAACTGTGGTTCGTCGCATGGTTGAATTTGACAGATGCCGGGATGGTCCAATAGAAATCCGGCTCTGTATCAGTTGGGCGGACATTTACACTTCGCACTAAAATGTGGTGGCTGCGAAATTACCTGATAACATCCACAATAGGTAAATTTCTTCAAAAAAACTCCGTCGCTAATCAAATGCCTTAACTGCCACAATAATTATCTAGCGAGATTATCATCGTAAAGTTTCTGACTCCACGTTTTGAATCAGTATATAATGTGTTGTTGATCTTGAGTTTTCTTTTTAGCTCAAGATTCCAAAGCAATGACTGTTACTACTAGTGGAAAGTCGCTGGACATCAACTACGATGAAGACAAGAAGGTGCAATCTTTGAATGAGGTTGTTGCTATCGAATCTACTCATAGTGGAGTCGATGAAATCTTTGGTGAAGAAAAGAGACTCAACAGAGGATTAAAACAAAGACACATCCAAATGCTTGCTCTTGTGGGTGTCTTTGGTACCGGTCTTTTCTTGTCCAGTGGTTCAACCTTATACTTGACAGGAAATGTTGGAATGTTGATTTCCTACCTTTTCGTGGGAACTTTGGTGGGTTTGAACCAGTTGGCTAATATTGAGCTTTCCTGTTTTGTTCCCCTCACAAGTGCTACTGTGAGACAAACTGAACATTTTGTTGATGAGTCCTATGGTTTTGCTTTGGGATGGATCCAAGTTTATTCTGGCTTGATGCCAGGTGAACTTGCTGCTACCGCAGTTGTGATGCACTATTGGAGTGATTTGAACCCTGCGGTATGGTTGTCTGTCTTCCTTGTTATTATTGTTGCCTTGAACTCCTACAGTATTCGCTTTTATGGAGAAGTTGAATTCGCCTTTGGATGTTTGAAAATATTGTTGATCGCTGGCTTGATCATTTTGAGTATTGTTATCGACTTGGGAGGAGTTCCTCACATTGACAGAATCGGCTTTAGATATTGGAAGGATTCTCCTTTCAAACCCAAGTACAAACTTGGATCTGCTGGTAAGTTTTTGGCTTGGTGGAAGGCTTCGGGTTCGACAATTTATGCCTTTGGAGGTATTTCTTCTATTTCCTTCTTTGGAGGAGAAACCAGAAATCCAAGAAGAGCCATCTACATTGCTGGTAAGAGAATTTTTTATCGTGTCTTCCTGTTGTACATTTTGACTGTGTTTGGATTGACTTTGATCTTGTCAGCCAATGACTCTGCAATTGCTTCTCCAACCGGTGATGCCACGGGTTCACCCTTCGTCATTGCAATCAAAAGAGCAGGAATCAAAGGTCTCCCAAGTGTTGTTAACGCATTGGTGTTGAGTTCCGCATTTTCTGCTGCTAACCTTGCATTGGTTCAAACATCTAGAAACTTATTTGCTCTTGCTTCTAAGGGCCAGGCTCCAAGAATTTTCCTCAAGACCAATAGCAGAGGTTTGCCATATTATGGAGTCATTTTGGCAGGATTATTTATGCCTTTGTCCTACATGAGTGTGAGTTCGGGATCCGCCACGGTTTTCGGTTGGTTCCAGTCTTTAACCTCTTCGAATTTATTGCTTGGATGGATCTCTATATCCCTTGCACATATCGGTTTGCAGCGTGCCTTGAAAGCCCAAGGCTACACCCGTGACGACTTGCCATATAAGATGCCATTTGCTCATGTTGGTGCATACATCCTGTTGTTCTTCTTCGTTATCTTGTTGCTCACCGGCGGATTCCCCAACTTCATGAAAGGAAGGTTTGAGATCTCCAGTTTCTTTAGCAGTTACTTCTCTATTGCTTACTTTGCTGTCTTTTATACTTTCTGGAAAGTCTGGAAGAGAACAAAGTTCATCGCTCCAGCGGATGTTGATCTCCAGTCGTTATTTCTCAAAGTCGAAGAGACTCCAGAGCCACCTCCACAGCCACTCAGAGGATGGAAGTACTTGACTCTCCTTTGGTCTTAATCGTTCATTTCTATAAAAGTGTGCTTGCCATAAACTTATTGATTATTTTAAATGGAAAATGTAGCCCGGTCGATTCCTCCAATTTATTTAACTTTCCGAACTTGAAAGCTGAATGAAAAGAATCAAATTGGGCGCATCTCGGGATGAAAAGTAATGTGATGGCTCGAGGTTCTATAAACGCATTGCGATTTTGGCTACAGGAGTATATGCATTCACAGGTTATCGAGTAGAATAATTATGAAAATAAAAACCTAAGTTGATAAAATTCTTGTAGGTCATCTACGAAAATTTTGTCACAATTACCTTCTTGATTTTTATTGAATTCTGATCATAACTTGATTTTTGCGTGGACTTATTAGCTTTTACGTTAATGTGCATTGAATAGATTTTGCTGAAAAAGTGAGAAATTGTAGTGGCTTGCAAACTGGGAAAAAATGTTGTGGCTTGTAGAAAGACACACCAGATGGTCGCAAATGATACTCTTATAAATTCTCTTAGTAATTCACTCACAGTACAATTTACTCTATCTGATTGACAACATTTGGAGTTCCATGTTGTCACACAATGTCATTGCATCTTGTCGTTGTCCCATTTACTTCATTTACATAATATATAAATGTATATATAAATGACTTCGCTGCAAACTATTATGAATAAAGATAGCACAAGCATGAGACACCAACTTGTTTTAGTGAAATATCAGTATTTCTTAGAGGTAAGAGATGAGGAGGACAAAATTTATCGTATTCATCAAGATTTATTGAACGATATTCTTAGTTTTATCATGTCTTAAAGTATATAGCCCGCCAAGGGATAGCCTGATTCAGACACTTGGATTTGTGTCATATGGTAACAAGAATAATACGTCCTGATCTTTTTTTTACTTCTCTCGTATCCTCTTACTCAACTTCCTTGCATTGAGAATCATCATCAAATTCCTGGGCACAAGATAAACCAAGACTTCATTGTTATTAAATCTGCATTTGAGATATCATTCATGCCAACTTGATTGTATCTAATTTCTTTAAATCATCTCCAGTAAACCCAAGATCTGTCTCATCTAAAAGAACAGCATTATCAAATTTTCGTCTTTCATCTCTCTCGATGTGGTCATTCTTCAATCCATAGTTATCCACTAGAATATCGTCAGGATTTTTCCATCTGAACAAGTCAGTATAATCATTAATTTTCCCCTGAAGTCTGTCCACAACAGTTTTTCCTAAAACTGGTAGGAACTTGAATGCATGCGCAGATCCACCAGTCGCAACGATAAAGTTTTGCAAGTTGGGCACAAAATCAATAATGAAATCACTATTGATGGCATCTGTATACCAGAACAACTTTGATTGAAGTTTGATGTTTTCAACCCGAGCAAGATCTGGAGCGATGGCAAGCAATATATCCTTTGCTTCTTGAATTACTGATTTTGGTAATCTTTCAGACCCAAGTGTTTTGGGAACAGAGATATAATTGTCCCCGATCCTAATTGGATTCAAGAACTTGATTTGTCTTGTATTGAGCTTCAAAATTCCTTCTGTTCTCGTTGGAGGAAAAAAAGCAAACCCACCTTCTCCATTTTCATGGTTTTGATTCCGATCATTCTCACTTGATGTCGTTTTCCACTGGATATGAGGATAATTAGAGTACTTGTCTATCAAATCCTGGCGATCTTTTGGGATCTGAATATAAATAATGTTGGCAAGAGACGCTTGGGTTCGATTTCTCAACTGAGTGACTAAGGAAGTTGTCCAAGAGCCAGCACTAGCTATGACCAAATCCGCCAAATGGATCTTGCTGTCGGCAGTCTCTATCCCAGTAACTTTTGAACCTTCCTGAACAAGACCCTTAAAAGTTCCTTCATTTCCATAGTGGAACTTTACTCCAGCTTTCTCTAGCAAAATTTTTACGTAGAAGCAAGCCTTGTCTGCTTTAAGCATTCTACCAATGCTATCGAATGTTCCAGAAATATGTGCTGTTTTTTGACGACTCAATAAGTCCCTCACAACTTCAAGCTTCCTATCATTACCAGTTAATTTTGCTCGCAAAATATCGTTCTCATCGTTTAAATCGAACTGGGTTGCTCTTAAGCCAAGTTCCTCAAAGCCCTTCAAGTTGGATCTCTCCACATCGGGGAGTTCCGGTGCATCGCCAATTCTCAATCCACCCGTAAGTCTCACTAATTCCAAGTCCTCATCAATGAATCTTGCTTTCTCTTCCGGAGAAAGATTCCAGATATCTTTGTTCCATGCCTCCCAAGTCTCAAGAGCTTCAATGGCTAATTTGGAGTAAAGCGTCTTGTTTTCGTAATAAATACGGAAAAACTTATTAATATCTCCACTGGCAGCATCAGACCCCTTCAATGGATAATACTTTGTTTCCTCATAATCAGTCCTATCAAATATCTCAACGTTCTTGTACCCATTCTTGACAAGATGGTAGGCGCTTGAAAGTCCAAAAACTCCCGAACCTATAATCACAACTTTTGTATTTGAGGAATAGGGCATCTTTTCTGTGGCTGATATTTGGGTGGAAACTGGTCTTTTATATTCGGATTGTAGTTTCCGTTTCGGTCTTGGATCTAGGCGGCATCTTGATGTTAGAATATCCGCAATGACGAGCTGCGGAACCACATTTCCAAATTCAGTCCATTCCGGATTTGAATTACCGTTTTCAGTCAGTGTGGATTGATTTCAATAGTATATACTCCACTGCAAACACTTACGTGATTAGATTGATAACGGAAGTGTCAGTGAATAAAAGGCTATGAGTTTTGGCCTTAGTCAAACTAATTTTCTGACAAGGAGCAATGCTGAACGATAAAGTCGACTTTCAAGATACTGAATCAAGAGTAGAAAGCTACACTTCTCACTCTGACAAAGATAATGAACAGAAGAAGCAATCATTTTGGACTAGTATCTGGTTTTCGAACCAGGATCATCACGATATCCAGAAGAAGTATGCAGACGTGACTTTGGATCTCATTCAGCAGAATGGTGGAGATGTGGGCGAGTTGACTCCAGAGAAGGAGAAGAAACTCAGAAGAAAGCTCTGGTTGACCATCTTGCCTATTGTATTCATTATCAATGCCACATTGTTCATTGACAAAGATGCCATCTCTTACTCGAAGTTGTTAGGTGTCTACACTGACATGAATATCACTGCAAATGATTACAATAACGTCTTAACATACTTTTATGTTGGATATATTCTTGGTCAGATTCCTTCTCATTACCTCATTCAGAGATTGCCAATCTCTTGGTATATTACAGGAACCTTGGCAATTTGGTCGGTTTTGGCATTTTCTACACTTGCATCAAGAAGTTACGGTGGCCTTGCTGCTACTAGATTCTTTTTGGGATTTTTTGAGTCTGGAATAACTCCATGTATTGAACACACTTTAGGAATGTTCTTTACACCTGCTGAACAAGCTATTGTGAATCCCATCTTCTGGATTTCATGTGTTGGAATCGATGTTCCAACTGGTTTCATCTCTTACGGACTTCAATTCGTGACTAAATGGAGACCTTGGAAGTGGTATTGGCTCTTTGTTGGTATTGTGTCGACATGTTCGACAGTATTTGCCTACTTCTTCTACCCTGACAACCCAAGTAGTAGTTGGTTGTTCACTACTGAAGAGAAGATTCACATTATTAGAAAAGTGAAAAATGCCACTAGGTCATCGATTGAGCTGAAATCATTCAAGTATTATCAATTCATTGAATGTTTGAAAGATCCAATCAGTTGGTTGTTCTTTTTTTACTGCTTTTGCAATATGTTGGAGAACTCTACCATGTATCAAGCTGCCACAATCTACACTGAGTTGGGATTTGACCATCTTAAGACAACACTTCTCATGGTTGTTCAGAATGGTTTTGGTACTTTCTCGGCTATTTGCGGAACCATTGCCCTCTCTATCTTCAGAAAACAGTCGTGCTTTGTTGCTGCAGCATGGTTAATGCCATCTCTTTTGGGTGCTATTCTAGCTGTATCTTTACCTTGGAGTAATAAGCCGGGAATTTTAGGTGGTATGTTCTTGACAAGAACCAATGGAACCGCCTACATTATCGTATTGTCTTTGAGTCAAGCTACGGCTGCTGGGTACACAAAGAAGTTGACCAGAACACTTCTTTTCATGATTGCTTACTCTATAAGTAACATCATTGCGCCCCAATTATGGAGATCACAGTACAAGCCACGTTACAGGCTCTCCTGGATTATCCAAATCGTCTTTAGTTGGTTCATCTCTCCGATCATTCTTCTTGTTATTCGTTATATTTTATCGAGAAGAAACAAGGAGCGCCTCGCCGCTATAAACGATGACAATGAAGAAGATTACGGTTTTGTGGAGACGGTAGATGAAGATGGAAATGCGAAGAGAACGAAAGTTGATATTTCTATGCTCGATCTTACTGATTTGGAGAATAAGAAATTTATTTACCCTCTTTAAGGGAGGCTAAGGTGAATAGTGCAAATTAACTGAGAATTTTTTTTAAACTTGTTGTAGTTCACGAAATCCCCCTCAACCTCCTGGTCACTCCGCAGATCTCTAATCTTCTCCGAACGGCTTTACTGACGACCGATTCCGCATACATTGCCTATTTGAGCATAAGACCGAAATTAAATGCATAAGCCACAGTTCTGCAACACATTATAGTTCTTGTGTAATAATTAGGACTGATTAGGAAATAATTCTCCGCAACTCCTTAACCTTATATGTAAGCACTTTCCACTTCTACACCAACGTTATCGTTATCGCCAATGGAACTCGAGAAATTGGACTTAGTGAACGCGCATGTATTTCATGAAAATGAATTTCCCGCTGCATTTAACATTGTGAATGCAAAGAGAAACAGCTTACTGGAAAAGCTCGCATTCCTCAAGGAAAGGGCTTCGAAAGGACTCTTCAATGATTTGCTCTCCAAACATGGTGCAGTTTTACTCAGGGGTTTGGATGTACTGGATCCTGATTCTTTGGCAGAAATTATCAAGACTATCGGCTCCAATAGCCACGCTGTCTTCTTTGAACAAAACGGCTCAACAGCTCAGAGGACGGAAATTAATAGTGTTCTCAGCACCGCCAATGAAGGTCCAGCAACTCGTGTCTTATATCAACACAATGAATTTTCCAGATTTGTTTCGTATCCTAGTATTCTATTCTTTGTCTGTACGAAGTTTAATGCTGAGGGGGGTGAAACACCGCTTGTGCATGGCGGAGAGTATTTTGAGAGGCTCTTCAAGGAGTATCCAGAGGAGATCAAGAAATTGGCAAAAAAGGGCCTCTATTTTGAACAGACTTGGCCATTGGTGACTGATAACAATACAAGTTGGTCAGACAGATTCTGTTTTGGTAGACACTTAAACAAGGAATCGGAGGATATCGAGGAACAAAAGAAGAAGGCGGAAGTGCTCGTCAAGAGCAAGGTGAGTACCGAATTTGAATGGGATTCCGAGAACAATCTAGTAGTGCATCAGAGAACAGAACCTATACGTCTCTACGAGCCCTCTCTGGGTGACGAGCTGTATCCTGTTTTCTTCAACAGTATTGCAACTTACTACGCGGATATCAAGTACAATCTTAGTGGTCACAGAAAAACAAAACCCCTCAAATACAATGACGGTGAAATCATTCCCGAAGCTTTCCTTGATGCGGTGTTGGAAGCCTCAGTTGATCTTTCCTTTAAGCATGAATGGAGAGAGGGAGATGTTGTTATTATTGATAATTATCAAGTCAGTCACGGGAGAGAGCCATGGAGGAGTGGGGAACGAAAGGTTTTGGTGAGTATGTGGGATAAGGCTGAAAAAAGTGAGTATAAAGTATGGAGTCCTTGATGTTTCTATAAATGTACATCCTAACGGAAGAAATCAACGACTAAATAATCAATTGGTAGTCTTATCATTTACGAAAACAGGGATGCACCGAAAGTCGCTCGGGAAATTATGATGACTGTGTTCATGTTGTGACCTCCTCATCTTTCCCAAATCATGATATCAACCTTCTTTTCGGGCTTCACCATATCTGATTATAAATAACAGTTTGATACGTTGCAAGTTTCTCAAAAGGACCTCAAGATTGTAATAGTATGAACTCCTAAAGAAGGATTTTATTCCGAACTATACTCAAAAGTCGATTGCTAAAGTACCCATTTGCCTATCACTATTTTCTACTTTGACAGGATTAGGATATTTTTTTTATAAAGAATGCTTTGGGGTAGTGAAGCGTAGACAACATTGAAAGGTGTAAACGCGTACTTATATTTTTGAAGAAGTAGTCTCTTCCCCATGAGAATTCGGGATTGTGAAAGGAGTCGTTTATTGTCCACATATAAATATAAAAAGTTAAAGTGCATCGTAATTCTCTTTAAAAAATGGAAATACGGAGTTACAATCAAACTGACGTTGAATGAAACGCATTATTTTGCTGTTTGATTACGACTAGTAGATGATCCTTAGCACCAGGATGATCAGTTCGATTTATTTTATTTTAATCCACAGATGAAGACTCAGTCCTGTTTTTCTACATGTCATTCAATATATTCCAATAATTTTGTACAAACATAATAATCAAACTTCCTCGACGTGCTCCATGGAATGCTTGTTGGTTCCAATAGTATCAAGGTGTCTGTTAGAAAGTTCAGGTGCCTCATCGCCGAAAACTTGTGCCACTTCCTCCAAAGTGTAACCAGACGTCTCTGGGAAAGTGAATATAACAATAAGAAGCTCGACAGCAAGGATACAACAGAACACAATATAATACTTCCAATCAATGGCATCCATGGCAATTGGGTTGACATAACCGTTGTAGACCAAAACAACCATCATGGTGAATTGCATGAGATTAATACCCTTTGCTCTATGGGAGTAAGGCAAAATCTCGGTGATGTACAAAAGTGGTAAACCGTTCAATCCGATATCATAGAACAAGTAGTAGAAGAAGATCATGGTAAGGACACCGTTGGCCAAAGACTTATCCTTAAAATCTCTCTGCTGATTGAGAGCAGATAAAATTGTCCATATCACATAAGACAACATCATACCTGCAACACAAGAGATAAACATAGTTCTTCTCTTGAAGTATCGAACCACTGATGCACATGCGAGGCAAATGACAAAGTTATAAATCATCAAACATCCGTTGATCTGTAATTGCTTCTTTTCTTCAGTGATACCAATAGAATTCAAAACTTTGACCAAGTAGTACGAGACCAACCCATTACCAGAGAGTTGCATCATGGTGCCAACCATCACCACTAAAAACCCTCTTTTTCTGAAGTTTTTCTTGGTAATGAAATCGAAGTAAGATGTGTTCGAGCTGATTTTCTCTTGCTCTAATGCACTTTCAATCTCACGTAATTCAAAGTCAACTAATGCAATGTCCCTGGGGTCTTGAGAGTCTCCGATATGGTGCTTCGACAATAACTGTCTTGCTTTCTCAATATTGCCCTTGGAAACATAAAATCTTGGGGACTCAGGAATAATCCAACACAATGCGAGCTGCAATACTGGCAAGGCACCTTGCAAGAAAGAGGGAACCTTCCAGGAGGCATTTCCATTGATCGTTCTAGTTCCGTAAGTAACCCAAGCAGCCACAATAGCACCCAAATACCAGCAGATATTGTAAAGGAAGGTAGAAACTTCTCTATGCGTTGGGTACGCCAATTCAGAAATCAAGGTGGGGGAACCAACTGTAGCAACCGCAGAACCAAAACCAATAATAAGTCTCGATCCCAAGAAAAAACCATAGTTAGTGGAAACTCCTTGCAAGATAGCACCGAGAACAGTAAGTGACTGTCCGAAAACAAGAGAAAATCTTCTTCCGAATCGATCAGTCAAGAATGGAGCGACAGGCACAGCTGCGATAGAACCAAATAATGTACCGTTACTCAAAGCTCCAAGCTTCTGACCCTGTGGATGGCCCATAGCAGACTGCCAATGAGATAAAGATTGCAAACCGTTCAACATTGATCCATCATAACCATTGTTGGTAGAAGTGATAGTGATCAAGAAAATAGCAAACGACAAGTATCTCAAGTGGGGCACCTTGTACCAGGGTCTCGTTTCGGCAATGTAGTCATGAACAGACAACTCGTGAGTCTCAACAACTTGCTCGTCAAAAGTTTGTCCCTTCTTGATAGGAGACTCTGATCCAGAACTGTCAGCCATTGTAATTAAATTATCGTTGTTCGATATCGGGTAATGAAGCTAGGCAAGATCTAGATATTTATATTTACGGTCGGCGAGATACAATTCTAGTCCTACCACCAACGAAATGTCCCCGCTACTCAATTGCTTGAATAATTTCTTTCGGGCATTAAACAGCGTTTCCTACAAAATTGAAAGCTTCCCGGATGATTCGAACGGAAGTGTGTGGGGAAGATCTGGTGCGGCTATATGATTCCAAATTGGTGATGTTCCCGAGAGTTCCGTACACCCCACAAGTCCGTTTACACGGTTTTGAATTTTTTCTATTTAGCTACAAACTGTAGTCCATGTCAAAACTCTTCTTTGGTGCCCAGGATTGCCTGTAACCATATTGGAGTATGGAGCCTAGGAGTCAAAGAACTGAAGTTGACGTGGCCAAGTAATATCATCCCCGTAAATCTGTGTCCGATTAACGTTCTCGCATAGTGCTGCAGAAGAGAAGCAGGGATATTCTTGGCTAGAGATTTCCTTTTTTGGACGGCAAAGCTGGGGTAAAGTTGGGGTCGAGTGGGGTGATTTCGAAAATCACACATCCCACTTAAACTATCTTCGGCCACTGGTCAGACCAATCTGGAAATTGAACGCTTGCTCCTCATTATCGCCTTTGTGCATTGGGTAAGCTTCCCAAAGAGGGTCCCTATGCTGCGCATACGGATTGAAGATTGTCTTCCACGTAATCACATTTGCATTACGAATTATTACGACTGGTATTGATGAATAAGCGTAGCCTCAACTCTACGACCAAGGCTTCAAGCAATGACGTTAAATCTCATGCCGAAGAAATAGATTGCCATTTCAGCTAATTGGTGTTCAATCTTAGTTGGTACCTTACGAGTTAGGTTTTGCTTAAAGTAGCAGGAAGGAGTAGGCCCCTAAAATGTTGTAGTCTTGCATTGAAAATGGTATAAACTAAATAAGAAGGTAGAGGTTTTACTTGGGGTGGCCACTACCACAAGTTACAATGTATCGACTTAGTCTTTAATATGTAAGTCTATGTATTAGATAAACAATTCCTATTAAGAGAAGCACGAGTTTTGAGCCGAGCGTGATGTGACTGTCCGATGACGATAACCGAGTGGGGGCTGACCTAGACTTGTTCGTTTGAATCTGAAACTTCTCAGTCGTAATATGAAAAAACCAGCAGATCCCAGATTATGAGAGGGAACGGAAATTTAGATAAAGTATCTAAATCATGTCGGGGTATGGTAAATTTTTTTTCTTGTGCCATTCCTCTTCCGAGTTGGATATTTTATCCAGCGATTGCAAAAATAATGAAAGGAAGCTTACGCGGACTTACCCCAGATTTTGGGCTGAGTATGCACCGATTAACGTCGTGCGCGGACTTATGGACTGCTCCTTATCTGTCTGTTTTTATCCAGCTAGTCGCATCTAAAACATGTCCATGATATCCCTCTCTCCATGCCCGTTGGATGAGGTGAAAAGTGATGATCTTCAGCAAAGATGTTGATATTATTGATTAGTTGGCACAGTAACCGTAGATATTGCGAATTTCTCGATTGCAGTATGAGGTGGCATACATTTCTTTTATTCTGGTCCTCTGGAGATTTCTTAATAAAACTTTTTCTAGAAATCAAATGCTTCTCAAGTATACGTCTGAAAGAATAGATGCGGAGCACCGACGGGGAACAATTGCCTTACCGAAAGCTGTACAGAAAGGAAATGGTGAGAGAGGAACATAGAGGGAATCTGAAGAAGGTGTAGGGTTGTCAAATAGTTCCAAGTTACACTACGGTTCATTTCAGGAGGTTGATGAGAAAAAGATGAAAAATGTAATGAAAGAAAGATAATAAGGTGGAAATCAGTGAATGCAAAGAATCACAAGATTTGAAAAATCTAACTGATGAATGCAGAAATTTTCAAGATAATTTATGGAGGTTCAAGAATATCAGGATCAACTTATTTGAAGATATATTATTTTAACTACACAAAACAAGATCTCAGAAAAGTATCGGTGATACATATTTGATACATGTTCTGAAGAATTCAGAAAAAGGATTATGTGTTGAAAGGAAGAAAGAACTGTGCGCAGTGGAAGCTTAACATCCAACAGGTGCTAAGGTTTACGAAATCCAAGGACACCCAGAATACGAAACTATATAATGACTTTTTAAGCTGCAAATATTAGAAAATAAATATTCTGTCAAATAAGTACTAATATAAAAATTTTCAATACCATATTCAATAAATAAATCAAAAAAGAATCTATTAAAGTAAGCACCTTTGCTAATACAGTATGACATGCTACTTTTATTTGTAATGATAGATTCTTTTATATCAATACTTGAACTTAATAATTTAAATAACTTAACATCTCCATATAAGCACAGTTTATGAAATTCCATAGTAAACTTCATCCTGTGATAGTCTTATAAAATTCAAAAATGATGATTTGGATACTCTTCTTGCTATCATGAATATAAGACCTTTGGTGTTTATAAGCCCAGCGAAGAGATTTTCCATGCACGTCAAAAAGGATTGTTAGGGCCAGACGCGAAGCGGTCATCTCGTGTATTCTTAGGTATCGATTGGTTCTTATAGAAGCCGAGTTGGATAAGGTATAGCCCAGGATCTACATAGAGGTTCATTTTTTTTCGCCTGGCGTGGTACTGGCAAACAACTTGGGAAGATGACCCTGGACCGTACGCTCTCAATGTTTAGCCTGTTTGTTCAAAAATGAAACTTCCCAGCAAGTAAAATAAAGTCCGCAGATTCTACGGGGTGGAGAGCTGTTTTTGGGGAATGGCAACCACAAGTTACAGGGTTTCACCTTCATCTTCAGCAATGTATGCGTGCGTAATTAAGGATGATTCCTATTAGAAACATGATTCTTTTTATTGTCGAGCGTGGTGTGGTGGTCCTATTCCGATAACTGAGGAAGAAAAACCAGGTGCAACAAACTACATTGACAAAATATTCTGGAAAAGATCATAATCATGACCATTCGCCATCTTAAACACGTCTTCAAGCTTGTCACTTTTCCTTTCGAACTCCAACTGCTTAATATATGAGGCTATCATGACCACCAGTTTCCACATCCGATCTGTTTGGATTGTTTCCATGGCATCTTGTTCATCTGACCTAGTAAAACCTCTAACTTCCACGGTATACAACTCTTTATAGACTCTGTGTTCGTCTCTATACTTTCTCAACGAACGTAGAATCAGATCTAAATCACTAGTGCCATAATTGAGACCTGCTTGAGAAACAGCTTCTATGTCTCCATCAATAGTGTCTAACCAGCAAAGCGCTAGTTTGACATACTGGCAAGCTTTACCCTGCGCCCACGCGCACCTTGAACCTTTCAGAAGCTCATCATAAATTCCGCCAACACCTTCTCCTAGTTCAACTAAGATTTGTTTCAATGAAATTATTTTATAGCTGTCAACTCCCGGCTTCAACTTGATGGAGCATTGGGCTCTATATGCAAGTTTGCAAATAACCTGTTTCATACGAGTGCAACCAAGTAAAAGCGGCCTCAACTTGAGTAACGCTCCTGTTCCAAAATAACTGTTGCAAACTCGAGGGAACAATTCATTTACGCAAACTAAATCTCCGAGAATTGCTCCTGCTGCCTTCATGAAGTAAATTGCGCTTGCACTATAATTCGTCCGACTTTCCGCATGAATGTAAAGAGCATAGAAAACACTCAGAATGAAACATGAACAAACAATGAGAAGCCGGAACCTAACGAGTTTCAAATTATCTTCCAAATCTTGATTTAAGTAGTGTTCCGGCTTCCCAAGTAGTTCTAACATGAGTTTTTCAAGCTCAGCAGTATCAGCCATAAGGTTTGAACGTTCTATTTGGAGTCCAGGTGTTAGCGTACTTTTCGTGAGACGATGCAACAGTTCTACCACCGGCATGATACAACTAAACTTTGAGCTCCCATGGGTAGGAGTACTTAGTAGACTGAATTTCGGTGCACGCCCATAGAGTACTGATAACTCCACATCCAACAATATCACCGAGTGCAGAAAGCTCTCTCTGGGTTTTGTACTCCATTCAGGAGCCCAATTCATCGGAACACTGTGAATGTCATTCATATGTAGAGCTTCCATCATTAGAATAATGTTTCCCAAAAACATTCCTGCTTCTCCGTCGTCGGTGAAGCAATCTCCTTCAGGGCAGTGGTAATGATAGAGGAGTCGAATCGCTTGTGCCTGCAATAGGTTTGGGTGCACATCAAATGAAAAAGAGATTTCCTTCAAAATATGTTCACCTACATTGATCACATCTATTGAGATGAAGCCTTTGCTTCCATCTTTTTGACGCTCAAGGTCATGCTTTGGGAAGCTAATAAGACCCAAATAGCCAAATCGCAAGACAAACATCAAAGTAGCAAGGATCGCTAAATCACCGGTGGATTCAATGCGAATATCTGTGACGATGGATGTGTTCGTTTGAAAGTTAATACCGAGTATGCGCTGCAAACATTCCTTGAAAGAAGCCTCGTCGATAATAGGAAAGCCAGCACAGTTGTGTGCAAAAAAAGCTTCAACGAAGAATGATATTGATTCTACAGGTGGTAAGACTTCTTGGACCTGTGAAACGAGTGTCTCCAGAATGTAAGATATGCTCAGGTGAAACAGAATTCCAATATGTTGACCAAACTGTGAAACGGAGGCTCTTAGACCGTCAAACTCTTCGATGTCATGAATGGCTGTTAATTTAGGAATGTATTGGAGATCCGGTTGGATCTTCCACTCGTTATCAAAGGTCAGCACCCTAGCCTCAGATAAAATGGTATTTCGCCAGAAAAGTGCATCGTACATACGCGGAGGCGAGGATTTTAAGAGAAACCAGATCAAGCCAGTTGTCGGATCCGAATTCACGAATGACACATGGGGTAACATCCCCTTTATTCGAGGCATTCCTACATCCGCCGAAGTAGCAAGAAAATCAATCAAACTGATCTTGCCATCACCTTCAACATCAGCCAACGGAATTGAAGATGATGCAGTAAATGGCAAAGTCTCAACAGCGGTCCCCGATTGTGGGATCCCGTATGGCAATGGCACATTGCTATTGAGCGTACTGTAGCGACAGAGAGACCCTCGTCCAGCCCTAACACAAGTGCCGCACGGGCTCTGACGATCGCATTTTTTCTTTTTCAAATGGCAACCAGTACATACGAACGTAGATCTGATCCGCTTTCGTGTCGACATGGGTGCATCCATTCGAATGATATCCATATGGATGTGCATGCTTTTAGGTTGGTATGCACACTCCGGCAGCAATCAGTACAACTGTCAGGCCGTAGTGGGATAATAGATCTGCTGAGAAATATTTCTCTGTCAAGGCATCTTCTTGTTATGTTCGAAAAATCTTGTCTTTCGGGTAGGAGCTTATTTATTTCAACAAAATTCACTGGGCGGCGCTAGGGGCGATTGCGATTAAACGTGCCGCTCAAAATCCGATTACAAGTCGCACATGTGGCCGACAAGTCGCCGCTAATTGCCGCTTATCACCGAAAAGTATCACCGCCTAGTCACATTTAACGCATTCCAGCCATCAGCTTTGTAGCCACACAGGGCCATTACCCAGGCTCTTTTTTTGTTCTGACTTTTAGGGGCCGAAATGACAGTCGTATAGAGCAGTAGTAGGTAGATGGAAGAGCTGGAAGCAAATCTGCCATAGTTATCCAGCATTTTACGCGGTGCCACCAACTAGTCAGATCATTACTCTATAGCGTAGACCTCGCCATTTCAGTTAGGAGCATCTCCACAACCTCACTCAGAGGAGGGGCTGAGCCAGATCTGCAAGTCGCCTACAACGAGATATAAAGAGGGCAAGAGATCCCACTTGCTGCACCACAATAAAATATCATGACCAGAGACTTGTACAATTACGATCCTTCAAATATCGGTTCTGGAGTATTTGCTGCTCTTTTTGGCTTGGCCACCTTAGTGACAGTAATCCAATTCATCCGTATTTACACAAAGAGAACGGACCGAAGAGTATGGATCAATCTCCCTTTCATCATAGGTGGGTTGTTGGAATTCATTGGATATGTTTCCAGAATTATCTCTTCCAATAACCCTGACTCACTCGGTGCATACGTTGGTCTGTCTGCTTGTCTTTTAGTATCGCCCGCCTTGTTCGCTGCGTCTATCTACATGGCACTCGGAAGAGTCATTATGGTCGTGGATGCTGAAGAATACTCGTTCATTAGAATAGGTTTTCTCACCAAAATTTTTGTGTTCGGAGACGTACTTTCGTTTCTCATGCAAGCTTCGGGTAGTGGCTTGATGGCGAAGCAAGAAGATGGCTCAGGCGGGCTCGGAAAGACCATCGTGATTATTGGTTTATGTGTTCAGATTCTCTTTTTCTCATGCTTCATGATAGTTACTGCATGCTTTCAGTACCGTATTAGACAGACCCCGACCATAAAAGGAATGTGCTACAGATACTTGCCCTCCAAGAGCAGAAACTGGCAGATGGTGATTGTCACGCTATTTGCCTGTTCAATTCTAATCTTGATTCGTTGTGTTGTTAGAACCATTGAGTTCACTCAAGGTTGGGAAGGAAATATTCGGTCTCACGAGGTGTATTTGTTCGTTTTCGACGGAGGGTTGATGTTTATGACAATGGTCATTTACGCCAGTCAGGATCTTGGAGCCTTCTTCCATTTCTTCTACCAAGAGCTGATTTCGCCAAGAGTAATGGGAAAAGAAGGCCGTGAACTTATCTAGATTAATTCACTTTGCAAGCTGCTGTATTGCTTTTTTTTTGTACTGAATATTACTTACGGGTAGAGAAAGATTTTACATTTGGGGAGGCACTAGCACAATTACAAAGTATTGACCTCGTCATCAACTATGTAAGTCGCTTTAGCTAATCAATCCCCATTAAGAGAAACACGATCTTTTTGCCGAGCGTGATGAGGTTGTTCTATGCTGATAACCGAGTGGGGGGCAGAGGGCAGACGTAAAAACGTTAGTTTCTAACTGAAACTCCTCAGTGGGTAATATGAAACTCTAATATTATTTCGTTTTCTCATTTACGTTTTTGTTCTCATCGAAAGGTTGTAAAAATTAGGGCGGGATGCGCTTGCATAAACGTTCCTGTACTTCCCTAAATCGAGCTGTGGGTGGTCTGCGTCGCTTAATACGGTGCGCAGATTTACGCACAGTCCGTGCATTAGCTCGGCTGATCTCCTTTCATCTGTCAAATCGTATCTAAAACAATTTCTTAATATCTCATCTGTATGTTTACCTTGAACAAGGTGGTAAGAGAATGATCGGGAGCAAAATACTCGGATAGTATTATTTTGTTGATTTTTGGAAGTAATCGTAGATGTTGCGAATTACATCCTAGTGTATATGGCATAAATTTATTGTACTTCGGGTTCTGGAAACTTGTTGAAAACAAAATTTTCCAGGAGTCAAAATTTCCTCAGGTGTGCGTCTGCATTCCATCACAATAGAACTGCTACGTATACAGATGTCGAGATTAAAGAAGGTGTTTTCTGACCCGCATTTAATCAGAAGGAGAGTGAGCCCTAGAAATAAGAGATAGGATATGACCAAAGTTGCAGTTATCAATAAGTATAGTTAATCATAGTTATTCAAATGCAAGATAGAGAAGCGTTAGCAAAAGCTACAGAGGATATTATTTTGCAACAACAGCTGTTTAATTATACAGCAATAAGCACCGAAATAAAGGAGAAATACCCATTACGAAAGACAATCCAGTAAGAGAAAATAATAAAAGCCTTGAAAATGAATATAAAAACTATGTCTGACGATTTAGTTGAGCCATATATGAGAATATTGCAACTCTGCCCAATGAAAAGTACGATAATGAAGCGTCTGAACTATGTTAAGTTCTAATATGTAAACTAGTCAAAAATATGATGAAAAACTTTGCAATTGTAACATGATATATGAAGCTAAATTCAAATTCACAAATAAAGACCATTTGAGGCCTCACCAGAAAGCATGATATCCTCCTGTCTAACTATTAATATTCTTTTGCCTAGACTCCAGTTACAATTTCAAATCTTATTTAAGACATGTGCGAACGCATGTGGCTCGGTTATCAGGGTTATAGAATTGCCCCATTGATTTTGGCTAACCTCAGTTTGCAAGGTTGGGATGATCGGTTCATATCGGTTCATATCAATGTGGTTCTGAACCTTTTACCATTGCCAATAAATTTTATCTTTTCCCATTCACGATCTAGGTGGTCAGCTCGTAATGAATGTATTACTGCCTGAGTGGATTTCAAGTCACAAGTGTGTATCGGACAAGCACTAATCTGGAAAACAATGATACGAAGGTGCTGTCAAAAAGGAAATAGAAATCGGAGAGTTGATTTTGGTACTGTGCCGTTTTATCTGAGGCAGTGATCGACGAATCGATAGGGAGCGGTAGAATAGTTGTGGATGTGCCAAAACCTAACTTTTGCTTCGCCAATAGTACGAAAAGGAAATTTTTGGAGAGGAAAGTAGAGATAATAACTGGAAAATTTTGGGCTAACAGATCGTATAAATTATGAAAAAGGAGAGATGAAGAATAGTAGGCAAATGTTGCGTAAGAATATAATATCGTGGATGTAGTGGATGGGTTTGGGTAAAATTAGTAAGAACGGTTGATAGAAAGAATTAAGAGCAGTCAAGGAGAGTCGAATCAACTCTGCTTAAGATATATAATACTATATAGAAATAGAAAGAATCCAAAAAGTATTGGTGATGTAAATCCGTTTGATGCAGGTTCTGAATTTTGGAAGACGATGGGACTCCCCAACGTAAAGTTCAACACACCAAACGCGAGTATTCAAATAGAAGAACAGACATTGATTATTAGGAAAATCAAGCACATGAATAGCAGAAAAATGTGAAAATATAGCACGCAGCCACTTGAGTTTTGAAAAGTTGATAGTATATACTGACATAATTTTTAAAAATTCAAATTATATATTAAACACTTATATTCATGAACAGATATATTTTCGACTTCAACCATTTCTTCCTACAAGTAATTTTTTGATGGAATATCAAATAATTTAACAAGCTTACTTGTTCTTATAAGACTATTATAATATGAAACATTTTTCATCTTATTAAAGTAATTATTAAGACGTAGAATATTATATTCAACGAAATCAAAATTTTCTTTAAACTCAAGACTAAGTTCATAAATACTGCTTTGTTTATATAAAATCATATAAAAATAAACTAATTATTTGTTTCTATTTTAACAAGTTTAAATCAACTTATATTTTATCATGTTCAGGATTATAACCTATATAAGGTGTATCCACTGTGATTACCTTCATATGTATTGTTGAGCGGGCTAGGGAAATCAGATGTCCAGAAGCTAAAAATACCTTCCATAGTGCTCGCAACCTCTTTCTTCAAGAAATAAAAGTCTTAGAAGCTGTGAGAATTTCCTCCCGTGGAGACCACTGAAAGCTGCCCTACCATTTGATTTAGTGACATGCAGCGTGACTGCAATTGTTGTTTCTTCCGAATGCTTTACAAAACTTTAGTAAGGGGTGGTAAGTTGTTTAAAAAATGACTGTATTAAGAATAGTGGTAGGACAGCTATAGTCCATGTACTAACAGTTTGTGTTCTTCGTGGTATCGTGCTTAAACACGGAGAACGCAGTAGAGATTGTGGATGCAACTCACACATTAGGGAAATTTTAGGCAGACACGGAGGAGACAAGGTGTCTGAGATCCTCGAAGTATGTGGAGAAGTACAAGGAATGGAAGATCTCGAGGCAGTAAAAGAGCTTCTCCCTATGGAGATGGCGGTTTTATGTTGTCCACCAGCTGTTCAAGTTGCATCGAGCAATTAGCATCGGGAAAGGTATTCAGGTTACAGCTAGCCTAATCTTTCCTTCCTGTGTCCGTATTATGTCAGTTTTTAAGTAAATGGAGTCTCATGGTCCACCTACTCAGGGAGATTAAACACCGCAGATGTTCGCTTAAGCGAGTGAAAGTACGACGCAGGATGCATCAATCTCGACAGGAAGTTACAATGTACAGTACCAAACAGATTTTTGCTTTCTTGATGTATAAAAAGGAATACATTGGACACTTGTCAAAAACATGGCTAAAAAAATTATAATGATTGCAAAAAGGAAGGAAAAAAAAATAATTGGAGATATCCATAACCACCTACATTCGTTGGGCTTACACCCAGGTGAAATGAGAATCGCTTCTTGCTAACGTGTTGTGCCCAATTATTGGATCAGCCAGAAAGGTAAGCAGAATATTTTAGAAGCACTTTGAGATTGGTACTATTTTTTGAATCTCGTACAGCTAGGTGATCGGCTTTGCAAGGACTTTATAACGCAACGGATTCAGGTGTAAATTAATGAGGCTCGTCAGGAAAATCGGGATGCTGCTATGAACAGGATTGAAACAACTTGTGTGTGAAGTAGGTATAGTTGCAACCACAAAAGAAGATAATTGGGCTTTCGATTTGCCATCAGCACATACTTATGATGCTCCCAATGCGCAGTTGTAAGTTGCCGACCTCCGGTTTCTCTCAAAACCTAGTAAGAGATCAAAATTACTTGATTTGAGAACTATAATTCTCTGAGAAGCATCCATTTTCAGTCCCTCTCAGATGTTGAAAGGAATGCAGAAGAAATCTGGCACAACAGCTTCCCAGGGGATAAGATAATTGGCTTTTGTCAAATAGTGTATTCACGAATAACTTCAACAACTGGAATTATTCTATAGCGAATTTGATCTCGAATCTTCAAAAAGGAAATCCACCACAGCGGAAAATATTACCTAATATGGCAGTGCTTGGAAACGGGCAGAAGAATTCTCACTTGAGAACTGCTTCCGACTACTCATTACGGTGAGATACTTCTCTATACTGGAGGAGCTGCAAATCTTCTCCAGATAGCTCAAATTTGCATTTCTGGGAACCATCTCCGACATTGCTGATTGGGCTATACGATTGAATATGCAGAATCATCTGTGTTTCAGGTACTTGTTTGGTAGGCGCAGCTCTTCAATTGATATATTGACCATAGAGTGGTATATCAACACCAAAAGCACCATATGAAGATGGACTTCATTTAATCATAGAAAAAAAAAAAAAAACAGTTCGATGATCAAATCATCGAATAAACTTCTTGTAACTCAGGGAATGTAGAAAAAGAAAGAAAAATTAATAAGAAACACTCCCACGGAGTTTCAACTTAGATAAGTAGCTTTCGACATTGAACTAGTTTGGGACTCTCGGGGAGCAGGGTGTGAACTGTTGGCTCTGTGTATTATCCCTATTTACTACTGTATTTACAGCATTGGTGGATCCTTCTAGTGCTTCGAACTTGTACATGAACATCATCAAGCATCTCAAAGCATAGCCTCTTTGGCGTAGTGGAAGAGGCTTCTACAACTAAATCAAGAACAAGCGAATTACTGCGTGTCAATTTTCGGACTCATGTAAGAACTTTATCCATGGTCTTCTACGCTAGCCGTCGTCAAATTTAGACAGATATTCCATTTGACAATCTCTAATCGCTTTATCTGTGAGAAATTCTGCTTTTCCGGATAAGAGAACCGATAATGTTCAGTTTATGATTCTTATAGCAGCTGCTGAGCTGATTCAACGGCGGGTTGTGCTGGTCCTAGGTACTAAGAGGGAGGAATCTTCGAAAGAGAATCTGCTTGTAACAGGCAGTCTCCGTCAAAAAGAAGGTTGCTTTGTAGCCTTTCCGGTGACTATATCTAATGATTTCAAACTTACCTTTGGGTGTACAAATAAAAATAGGGAAATTCCTCCACCCAGAGGTAAATCAATCCAACTAAGAGATACGTGTGTGTCGAGCCCCCAGAACTGAAGCTTTTGGGAGAATGTCCTTGGTTTATTTGTAGCTATCATCTTTTGGCCATATTCTTCAATTTTCGTCATCGTGAAAATGATGACCCCATTGTTGAGACATTGAGTTGAAGATTTGGTTGATGAAGAAAAAATCCGATCATTGAAGAGATGAGAAGAATCAATGGAGCACATGCACAGTAGTTTGGACCCCCACGCTCAAGGTACGTATTGAATATGTCGGGTGTTCTTTTTATTTGCCTCCTGAACGTTCTATTAGAATCCCAACTACAATGAGAGAGATTTTATTCATCGGTCACGATACTAATTACTCTTTTTCCTTTTCCACATGAAACACTCGGCTGGAAGCAAGAAGGACAGCTTTCCGAAATTTGTGTTGAGTGGCGACTGCTGAATAAAAAAGATACGATCATAGTACTATCGGACGGCAATGGGTCCGGTAGCTGAAGGCAAATACATCCCTTGACTCTATGAGACCCTCCTGGGGCTCATCTAAATGGTCAATTGCGTCATGACATTCATCACACCCCCTTTTCTCTTTCAGAACACAATGCTACGAACTGGTTTTGGCTAGGACGCAGTTATCATTTGAGATAATTATATGTTTGAAACCTATCAATCATCATTATGACAAGATAAAAGAGTGCCCGACAGACCAAAGTAAAATTCTAAGGTAGAATATTTCCCCTTCTGTTAGCAAAAGAAGTCGACAGCTGAATAAGTCAAAGCCTTTTTCCATAATTCATCACATTTTGGAATCTCTTTGTTTTCCTCGAGTAGTTTCTGATTGTTTAGTTGATTTCTAATGAAATTTGAAAAGTATTAATCTTTATCATTGATCTATATAATTCAGCTTTGCAGTGCAAACATGGAGTTCGCTGAGTGCATTTTTGGGAGGGTGATATGGAACCCGTTCAATGCTTTGGAAATCAAATATTTTGTCTGTTTCAATCATTAGCCCTTCATGCCCACTAGCTGTTAGTGTCTTGTAAGTTCATCGTTAGATTCTATCCCTAGAGATACTAATTCTTCATAACCAAGGCTCGGGAGGAAGAGTAACGGCTGCCCTCTTTTGTGTGTAAATAATATTCAGAGACCAGAGAACTTGATTTTGAACGTCAAAATATTTCTTATTCAAATGCTGGAACCAGCTTGTTGAAAGATTTCCACCTGTAGCCGACTCGGGAAACAAATTTCTCATGCATCGTTTTTGGAACCACGCTTCCACAAATTTTATTTCTCTCTGGCAAATAGGCTATTTTCGTCAGAATGTTTGGTAAAAATAGATCAAAGCTCATCTGAAAAATTTCTAAAGTCTCCTTGATATATTTGCAACATCGTTAGACACAAAAATAGCAGGGAACGAATAAAGCTTTCTTACTTGGGGATGGAGGTACAAGGGGGTAAAATTTGCTCTGATTAATTGAACTCTCATCAAATTCCAACGAATTGAAAATCAGCAAAGATGAACTGCAAACTTGAACAACAACACATGTCACTGTGGTCAACTAGAAATAACTCTGTTGTAAAATTTTTAAATAAGTATGTGAGTAAAGTTCAGAGAAAAGATAAAATTTCTTAGTAATACTTAGTGTAAATTTTTAAGCTCATGCAATTCGAAAAACAATTCAGATTCTATTGAAAACAATTAGGTCAACAATTTCAAAAATAAAAAAAACAAGTCGAAGAGGATACTCAGATTGATAAAATGAGAACCACAAATGATTCTATCCACCTGGCGAGAGGTAGCAAAATACCAGCGTTTGAAGAGGAAGTAGAAGTTGGCCGAGATCCACTAGCGGAAAGCTCGGAAGAAGTGGGTTTGGACACTTTCGCAGAGGATACCCTTGCAGAACCAGACACAGAGTTAGAGACATATGAAGACAGAGTGATTGTTCCGTCATCACCGGTTTGAGTCGTGAAAGTACTTGTGGCAGTGTTTGTCACAGTGTGAAGAGTCGAAGTGGTAATCAGCCCAGTTAACAAAACTTCGGTTCCAGTATTCGAAACTGACAGTTCGGAGCTAGGAAAGCTGCCATCAGAAATAATAACAGGTCCATCAGAGGAATCAATTCCCGATGCGGGGTCAATGTAAGGGGAGGGCAGAGACCCATCGTCTACTGTAACAGCCTCCACTCCTCCACTTGCAGAAGGTAAGTTGACAATGGGAATTCCAGCTTGGTAAGCAATCGAGACAAAAGAGAATGGATTAAAGTATCCAGTGTTGACTTTTTGCCATTCATCATAGGCGTCTTTCCGGCAGTAAAAAATGTTGTAGCGTTGATCTCCCAGCTTCAACAACTGTATACTCCCACATACAATCTGATATGCGCGGATTACTCCGAGAACTTCCCAAGCTCCTTCGGAACAGGTTAATTTATCCCAATAGCAGGCATCTTGAACAGATCCGCCAATGATATCATTGCTTTGTTCGAGATGAACGTACCATCTATAGTTCTGCAGATCCACTTTGGACAGGTATCCATCTCTTATGCCACATCCCCCATTGTAACCATTCCAGCTCTCAACTTGTGAATATATCCAATCTCCAACAGGGTGACTTGGGTCCATAATGTTAGCAACTTCCGCTGAGCCTTCGTTGGGTTTTACATAGTAGAACGTTCTGAGGGACTGGATGATGCTGTCACAAGAAGCACCCTCGAATACCTGAGGGGGAGCTCCAACAGCAACAGCTGAGGTGATCAAAAGAAAAAAAAAGAGCATTTGAGTCTATGGAAAGGGCGAGAAGGTCACTGTAAGTACATTTTTATCATGACAGGGAGCTTGCCCTATTAAAAAACCAGATAAAAATAGCTGAAGGCACGCCCCACCTTTACGAACTTCCAACTGTGAAATTTAAACCTGAGTGGAGTTCCCATTATTCTTAAATGCCCAACTTCGTGACGTCAGCATTTAAGGCTGGCAGCCCGAGGGGAGAATCAATGGATCCAACGTTCTAATCATTCCATTAATGGTTTTTCAGGCTTTGTAGTGAATACTCATGGACGAGTTGGAACGTGCCGATATTTTCTTAGAGAGTTTATATGTTGTCCTCTATATGAGAAAACCAAAAATGCATGTCTTGACATCGATCGGCCAACACCCAACTTCATAATTTCATTTGACAGTATAACTTCCGACATCTACAAGCATTTATATGAAGTATCATCAGGAAGCATCCTTACAAATCGAAAACAAAACCTCCTTCTATGAGTTCAGGAGAAGTATTTCAACTAGCTCCACATTTACGCAACGGAACATGCGAGAGTGCACCCAGGGAATTGCTTGCTTTCACCGGAGAAACTCAAAAGGGTCACATCCTTTCACTTTTTGACCATGTGTTCACACTATACAAGAATGAATGCAGCAAGACAAATCCTGCTTCTCCCTCTCCCAGGAAATAAATGAGCCCAGAATCGACAACCAACCAGATTTCAGTTATTTTAATTGTTGGTGCCATTTTGCTCACAATTTCTGCAACAAGGCTAATAGATAAGAGGCAGGATAATCAATCCCTTTAGAGTATATCTGAAACCAAAACCGAGAGTAATAAGGAAGGTTAAAGGCTTTACTGTCCACTAGAGGGGGTAGGGTGATCCCAGATCTGCAAGATTACTTTTGATGATCAAGCCTCCGGGCGGAGATGTGTATTTCTAATTTCCATGCACATAACCTACTTCAATCAATTCTGTGGAAGGCCCAATACTTCCGAACTGTTTTAAAGCTGGATATGCAAGGAATTGAAGCGTGTAAGATTCGGATATACAGGTGCAGCACAGTGTCTCCTTAATTATGTGGAGGCAATGCACTGTCCTTATGCCCTCCCTGCTGTGTTACGGCGGAGCTTGATCGACAACACGAAGTTGCCACCTCAAAATGGTTACAGTTCTTATAGCTGAGAAAATTAATAGGGAAACTAATGAAACTGTCCTCGAGGTTTCAGCGTCCGTCATTCCGCTGGTGTAATACCTGGCAGAAGTAATCTGGTAGTACATATCCAGTCTGGTAGTACATATCCAGTTTCGATCTACACCCACCCCCTCAAGACCCAGACAATAGACAGATGCATGTAGTCACGACCGTTAACTGTCCCCTTCTTGAAACCGAGAAGTTACATGAAGTCTGAGTTCGCAATTGGTTGGGGGATTGAGGTATAAATTCGAAAATTGACTCAGATATGCATATGCGAGAAATGATATGTGCAGGTAATACATAAAGCACGTTAGGTTTAGGGGATTACAGTTACAGAAGTTCATTTGCATGATCGAATAGAAAAAGAATTCTGAGATAAATCTGAAATAAAATGTAAAAGTAAAGGACCATGTGAAATGGCGATTAAAGGTAGCAGACAGAGAGTAGTGCGTATTATGCCCAACCGAAAGATCACTCGAATGCATGCACGTACGCCGTTACTGCCATGAGAGAAGGGCGATCAAATGCCGATATGCAGAAAGGCGGATAGGAGCGTTAAGTGCACGGGGCGCAAATCAGTAGCATGCATGAACATCATAACGCAGTGCCTTAGTTACGGAAAAGGCAATACAACAACCCACATGCAAGGCTTGCGTCTTGATTATTAGAAGGACGAGGTTGCTAAAAATTGAAATTTCATCAAAGCAATGTCTCACTGCAGCTGCAAGGCGTGAATATTCAGAACGGTCTAGAAAATCGGTAAACATGCCAATCGGGAGCCGAATCCTTCCCGGCAAGTGTTATAAATATTCGCAGCACTTCCCCCTTATTGAATTGCCAACAATGAAGATTCAAAACAGTTTCACGTTTCTAGTGGTACTTGGGCTTGTCACTTGCGCCTCAAACCCCTTCAATGATGTACCTGGACGATACATTGTGGAGCTTGACCATGGAGATGCAGCAACTGAAGTTTCTGATAACTTTGACATTTTCGTCCAGCACCAAATTGAGTCTGACGTTTTTTCTGGTTTCTCTTTCGATGTCAGAAACGAGAATAGTACTACTTTGCAGGACTTGAGAGCTCTCAGAGGAGTTAAGAATGCTTGGAAAGCAACATACGTAACGTTGGATGCCGCCGTGAAGGAAAAACGAGTCGACTACAGCCAACTTCCATATTATAATCCTCATCAAATGACCGGTGTGGATGAACTCCATGACCAAGGCTATCTTGGTGATGGAATAGTGGTTGCTGTTGTAGACACTGGTGCCGATTCATCCCATCCGGCATTGGCGGGGAAGATATTGGGAGGATATGATTTCACATTGGATAAAAATAATCCTGGTACGGATTACACCGACTGTGACGGCCACGGAACCTTTGTTTCCTCGATAATAGTGTCCGATACATCTGATATGGTGGGAGTTGCTCCCAATTCTCGTCTCAAAATTTACAAAGTATTTGAATGTTCGTCTACCACTACCAGCGACCTAATTATGGCTGGGTTGTCTAAAGCGTATGTTGATGGTCCGGACATAATCAATTTGTCAGCAGGGAGAACTTACGGATACTCAAACGATCCAGTATCGTTGCTAGCATCCAGAATCGCAGAAACTATCCCTATATTTATTGCAGCAGGCAACAGTGGCGTTGGAGGAACCATGTTCAGCTCGTCCACTGGTGCTGCTGGCAAAGGAGTACTAGCTGTTGGTGCTGCTCAGGGTGATTACCTTTACTCTTGGCCCGTTACAGCAATATCCTCTAGTGGGGAGTCATACTCTTTTTCTTATGCGCTGGCTTTCCGTTTCGATCTTGTGGGTACTGTGGACATTGATTTTATTGGTAACGCGTGCTTCGTATCGTCCTTGGGGAAAACTGGCACTGGAAACAAGTTCTTGTTGGCAAATCGGGGAAGTTGCTCGGATTCCGATATCCTTCAGGGCTTGAACGAGCAAGAATACTTGGGTGCTCTTTTGTTTGTAACAAATGCTGAGTTACAGTACTTGTATACTGACTTCTCTGACGCCGAATACACTCTGTACATCGCGCTTATTACTGAGGATGTGCGAACGTGGATCATGTCTCAGACTGCTAGTGGAAACTCCATCCAGGTGACCTTCCCGGATGACTATACCTCCAGCCTGTTGTTGAAAAGTCAAACCACTCAGTTTTCATCGTGGGGCCCGACTTTTGAAAACAATTTCTACCCACATATCATGGCCCCAGGAGGACAGGTCTTGGGTGCAGATATACAAATTAGTGGCAGCTATGTGTTGGAAGACGGAACTTCCTTTGCCTCTCCATATGCTGCAGGGGTAGCTGCTCTCTACTTGAGCGCATTTCCAGGAGTAGATGTGCAAGTACTCAGAAACAAGCTCATTGGTGCCTCCCGAATGATGTTTCAACAAGTGTGGTCAAATGACGTGGATCTTGGACTAGACACCGGGGCACTTGCTCCAAGTATCCAGCAGGGTAACGGTTTGCTCTCTGCCCGAAATCTCTTTTTCACAAAGACCAAAATTCTCTCAGAGCCTTACCTCGAGTGTAATGACACTAATAACTTTGTCGGAACACACACCATTACGTTCATTAACGAGGGCGACACTTCTGTCAACTATGAAATCAACTACTGGGATTTGAGTTCCGTGTACACGCGAGACGCCAGTACATGGTTTGTTGCATCGTACTATCCCCTGCTTGTGGATGGCCTGCCCAACGCAGGTCTCAGTCAGAACCTCGTGACGCTTGGTCCGGGCGAATCTACATCTATAGTTGTGGAAGTTTATCCTCCACTGACTCTAGACAACGACCAAGCGCCAGTATACGAGGGAACATTTATCATTCATGGAGACAATGGCGATGTGGTGTCCGTTCCATACATGGGGATAATAGCCGACACCAACGATTGGACGCCATGGATTGAATCACCGTACTTGTCTGGAACTATGACACTGTTTGAGAACGTGACTGACTCAGGTCGGGACTACACACCTTCAAAAAGCGACTCACCATATATCTTCTACAACATTCGATATGGAACAGAGGAATACTCGTTTGATTTGGTGGACAAGGATTACCAGCTTTCAGATTTTCTGTATCCTCCAGCTATTGGAGTGAACGGGTATTTGGGACCAATTCTGGTGGTTACTAGTGATGACCAATCACTTACTCTTCCTTTAGAGTTCACCAGCATATTTACGGATGTTCTGTACGTGAAGTTCACAACATTTGCAGACGGAACAGTGTTTCCCACTGGAAGATATAAGATATTGTTTCGTGCATTGAAAACATTTGGAGACAAGGCAAAAAATGAGGGATGGCAACTCTTCTTAAGTGACGAATTTAACGTGTTGGAAAACTCTGACTCTAGTCTGGTGTCATCGAGCTCGTCAAATTTGTCAAGTTCTAGTCTGTCAAGTTCTAGTCTGTCAAGTTCTAGTCTGTCAAGTTCTAGTTTGTCAATCTATAGCTCATCCAGCTCTTTTGAGTTGTCTTCCGGTTTTGCTTCTAGTCTCTCTAGTACTGAATCGACAAGCTTGCCAATTTCGTTGAGTACGAGTTCTTATGACTCGAATTCATCAGGTTGGAAATCAGTGGCGGAATCTTCCCGTTCAAGCTTCTCCATTTCAAGCACTTTGAGTGAGGGGTCCCTGGCTTCAGTTTCGAACTTGTCAGATTTTGGTGTGTCCACCACCAGCTCTGATATCATTTCTCGCGGGATGTCTTCAGTTGTACCGTCTGGAGAAACTTCTTCGGCTCCATCAGGTTTCTCGAGCACTTCGACTACGAATGAAACAGTCGTCCTGTCGTTTGAAAGGCAGATATCTTCTTTGGATTTCTCAAACCCAAACAGTGTAGACTCTAAATCGGGAACTAGTTTTAGTGTTCCACAGTCGCTGTATACCAGATACTATAACCTGTCTAGTTTAACAGGAGAGGTTTCCATTAGTTCACAATCTGAGATCTTAACTTTTGAGACATCTGCTTCAAGGAGTGAATTATCCCTCTCGCGAAGTTCTCCACTCGCAGAGTCACCAACTTCTCTCTCACCACCAGAGAGCTCCGAGAACTCCTCCACTACTGATGTTACATTATCAGGGAGATCCAATGCCAATGAAAGCAGTAGTTTTGCTGTGACCAAGACAGGAGAAGGGATTAGCGAAAGCGAAAGGGAACTGGAAGGTAACTGGACTGAACCAAATTCTGAAGATAGTTCAAGAAGTACTGAGCAACCTGAGTCTTACAAGTCCGCAAATCTTTCGACTGGTAATGCAGACAGCCGTGTTACAGGTGAAGAAGGGTTCAATAGTAATACTGAAGGAGAACTTGCTGAAACAACAGACTTAAAATTGGCTACTGTCACTGTCACTTCCTGTGTTGACCATTCGTGTTTTGAGCTGACCTTTACAGCACAGGTGTCCATTAGCACAAGTGTTTTTGGTGACCTGACTACCATTATCTCAACTTATTATTGTTCGACTTCCGAACAGGCTTCAATTCCCAATGCAGTGGCTCCTAGTGTGCCTCCAGATGTGACTTCCACAGGTGCTTCGGCCAAGATTCCAGGTCAAGTATCGGGCTACTTTGTGTCTCATTTGTCGGAAGCCAGACCCCTTACACACAACACCAATATAACACTCCACACATCAGTGAGTTCACCTACTGGAATCGGATCATTTATCTCTTCTGGTTCCAAATTACCGTATCTATCGATTGCACCCGCTCCTCAGACTTCAACCGGTTCTGATGTTGGTTTGAAATCAAATGTTTTGACTGGCAGTTCTACTGTGAAATCTGTTGGAGTATCTTCCGAGATTTCCTACCTGAGTAATATTCCAGAGGTCAGTTTGTCTCAAGGCTCAGGATCCATGCATAGCTTGACCAAAAGCTATTTATATTTGTTTATGCTCTTCTTTTTACCTACTGTGATAGTTGTTGAATTGTGATCTAATTGAAGTGTGACTTTTCTTATTTTTAATATATTTCTCATCTTCGTGTAGGGCTAATGGCAAATGAAATCTCTCGATTCGGCCATTTTTGACTTGTTATCTGTTCTATTGCAGATTCTTGGCGATTTTTCATTTCATTTTATACTTTTCTGCTCCTGACCAATTTTGAACTCACCTACTAGCCAGATCTGTGCAGTATGGATGTGTGTCAAGTTGCATTTGTAGATATACTCACCATTCCACAAGGCACATACCATATCAAGTGCGTAGTGCTTCAGGAAGGGTGACCCATGAGTTAGCGGCGTTACTGCTTCAGATACACTGTGGATAATAGGTTGCAAAAGTTCGCTTTGATGTCGTTCGGTTTGACGTAGGACATATTCATGTTTATGATACGAACGAGGCGATCAGCCCGGCAAAGGTGATCAAGTCACAGGTTGGGATAAAGCACCTGAACGAGACCGAGCTAAGAGTGAAGGGTTGATGCATGGAGGATCTGGAGTTAAAGAGGTGAAACGCATCTAGTTCATGGCTTAGCGGCCTATGAATTTTTTATTTTTCTTCTCGGATTTTTGTCTCTCGACTGCGAAGTTCATGGGCAGCTTACGCAGGCCTGTACTTCGCTAGATTAGTGTGAGCCATGCGTGGTCCATTGCGATGTGCAGGTTTGAACGCAGTCCGTGCTTTACACCACATATCCAGATGAGTTCGATGCGCCCTGCAAATTGCGTCATACTCATTTCTCACCTCTAATCTGTTTAAGACCGTTGAGAGGTGATAATGTAATGATGTTCAACAAATTTTATCCGAAAAATAATTTGCTAATTTTTGTGCATTATTCGGAAAAATTGCGAATTCGTCCTCCTCTAATATCACTTAGGGAGGTAGAGGTTTATCTTAGGTATCAATTGGCCATAATTCGTGTCACGAAGTGAGTTGGATAAGAAAAAGGACAGGATCGATAAAGGAGTACACATTTTTATCGCCTAGCATGGTAGCGGCAAACAACTTTACGGGCGCGGGAAGATAAACCTTGATCAACACTGGACCGTGCGCTCTAAATAACACGTTCGTTCGCGCGTTCGTTCCAAACTGAAAATCCATTTGGGCAGCGGCGTGTAGAGGGGGCAGGACTTTCCGCTTCTGGGACCCGCTCGTAAATCCTCGCCCTTTATCACGCTTGGCGCTTTTCGGTCGCGTGCGCTTACTGTTGGTTTCATACTCGCTTCTAAATCTTTACCTAGCTTTATTAAGGCATCAATACCATCCAGTCTGTTCAGTTGCCATTTTCGTTTGCATCTAAATCGGAAGGGTGTCGATGAAAGAAATGCATTGCGTGCAGTATCTGTATTACTTAATTCATCGTTCTTAATGATGGATATAATTTGAAAACGCCTGACTGTTAAATGAAAGTGCAGGCTATGTTTCTATAGTTGTACTATTCCATTTCTCTAAAGTCGGATTTCTGCATGCGCCTTGTGTTTTTTTGATACTTCCATTTGCTGACATTATCTTCATCCTTCTTGTCATTCTGCACAGGCTACTCAAATTCGAATTAATAGGAAACGAACACGTTACACCGAAATTCTAATTCGCACGGGACAGTGTACAAAGTTTCACAGCCGTTTTTTCATGAATTAACGCATTTCATTTTCGCGAGAAGAAGGATTATGCACGAGCTGGATACGACATTGCACAACAGTATCGATGAGACTTTCGTGAACTACATAAACTTCCAAACTTCATGTAAGAGAGGAGAATCTGATAGCCGAAGTTAAGGAAATTCAAATAGCCATAATTGATGTGCCCACCCTCATATTAATAGATTTGGGTTTATCCTTCATGTGCATGTATCCGGGAAGGCTGAAATAACTGAACGTTGGGTTCTAATAGAAATTTCATTCATTCCATGCTGCAAAGCAATGTAAATGGCCCCATTATTACCACCTTTTTGAAGTTTTGTATAAAGGGTTACTTATTCCCATACTCTATTCAAAACACAAATGTTACACTCGTGTTAAATGCAATCTCACATAAGCTGTCAGAGATCTACAGGACTGTTTCAAGCTTTTGAATATTTTGGAATTTATACGCACTCTTAAGAGAGAGAGATCAGTCCATTTTCGATAATTTTAGGTGTGTTTCAGAGATATCTAGATTATTTTATAAATCTATAAGAATTTTCGTTCAATATCGGGCTCTTTCACCGCATAAAGATACGTTAAACTTAGGGAGGTAGAGGTTTTTTCTTAGGGAGGTAGAGGTTTTTCTTAGGGAGGTAGAGGTTTTTTCTTAGGGAGGTAGAGGTTTTTCTTAGGGAGGTAGAGGTTTTTCTTAGGGAGGTAGAGGTTTTTCTTAGGGAGGTAGAGGTTTTTCTTAGGGAGGTAGAGGTTTTTCTTAGGGAGGTAGAGGTTTTTCTTAGGGAGGTAGAGGTTTTTCTTAGGGAGGTAGAGGTTTTTTTTTAGGGAGGTAGAGGTTTTTCTTAGGGAGGTTTTTCTTAGGGAGGTAGAGGTTTTTCTTAGGGAGGTAGAGGTTTTCTTAGAGGTA